GTATAAGTGAAAAGTATGGCCGACTGCCTCTGGGAGCTAGCTCGCATCTCACCCACCTGCCCTAAAGGTCCCACCTGAGGGAGCCCTTTCCACGCCCGATGGAGCAGTAAACCCATGTCTTTTGAAAGGTATCTCATGTATCGACGATCATATCATCCCACAACAGCCACAAAGCTTGTCTCTGTACCTAATCGCCCACAGACTGAGCCCTGTTCCAGGGTTCAGCATGTATCAGGAGCTCTGGAGAATGTCAGTGTGCCCTATGAAGGGTCTGAGCTCAAGGCCCGATGGTGCTCTCAGCAACAAACTATCGCCATCATCAGCCTCAGTCACACTTACGCCTACGCCAACTGTAACGTGCCAACAATGAGCATCATGTTGTGTTCCAAGTGTCATCCACCCAGTACGCAACAAACCACCCCCCGCGTGTCTCCCATGCAAATGCTCGCTCATGTAATACATTTTTTGCTGACCGATACACTCTTGGCCTCGCTGGCTGCTTCGTAAATGGTTCCTTGGCTAGCCACGTCAAACACCATGCATGGCAAGCGCGGGCGGTCTGCTCGAGATTGGAGGTGTCTGGACCTCGTTCGATGCATGGGTTCCCCCATGGAAGTTTCCAGTATGACCCCACTGGCCCGTTCACTGGCCCGTTCACTGGCCCTTTGGACCACGGCACACCTCAACGTCGACGCTGCACCTGATGGGCGGGCTTGACTTAGCATCGACGCCACAAACTTCTCGAAAAGGTAAGTGCTTGGGGGTGTATTTCTCAAGTTCGTCATGCCGCATGGATTGCTGGGGAGCAATCCGGGCCCTGCCACCATCCCGAAACCTGGTGCGGATACCTCAAGCCGAAGCACTTTAACCCAAGGGCGTAAAGGGTGGATATTTCTGTGATTTGCTCTTCCTGGTTAGCAAATGGCCCGATCGCGAATCTGGTGGATGAGCAGCCCAATCAAAGCTCTGTTTACGGCATAATGTCCCTACGAGCACGGAGCTTGGGCTATCGCAACGGTGACCTGCTCTCGAACTCTTGCAACGGTTCCGAGGAGCCGACTGGTCATGTGCTCGGTGGTGTGAAGGAGGCACTGATCCCCAAATCCTCCTATCTTTTAAAAGCGGCGTGAGTCGCGGCAGGGCTGCGCTTTGCAAAGCTGGGCAGGTGCCAAGAAGCAGATATTCCAGATGAGGCAACCCCCCTATGAATCTCTCCTTGGTTTTCTTGTGCCCAGTCGCCTAGTCACAGCGCCTGGGCTGCCTTCGCAAAGACTTGCGCAACAAAGCAATTTGAACCACCACAAACTTCCACCGTTGGGGTGAGCAATACGAAGGTCTAAGACTCTCGAAGCCGTCTTCGATGTTCCCACGCATCTTGCTCCGTTGCTGGCTGTCACTCGTCGCCTTTCCCCGCCCCCGTTGCTCTCCGGTCGACACTCCATCAGTCGATGCTGCTGACTGACTGGATGCCGCTGCCTTACGTATATCAGTTTTGGGATATTCTTCAATACCTAGTGGCTGGGTAGGGGCCGCTCGGACCGCAGCTTCGAGCTACGTTGAAACCCACACTTTTCAAACAGACCCCTGGGGATGATCTGCTTGAAACCGCCGTGGTGGCCGTGACCACATGGCATTATGTGGTCATCCGTGCGGACCCCTTGATCGGCACATTCATAGCCGCAATGGGTAACTTTTTAAAGCACCTACTCAAAGCAGAAGTGGATTTGAACACACTCTTTGAGTCCGGTACCTGTCTTCGTTGCATGCAGTGAGAAAACAGTCAAGGAATAATTTCGGACTCAGCACGGAGCGTGAGAACACAGATTTAGAACGAGCACCGACATCATCCATAGATGATCAATCAATCAGGAGGATCTCCGAGACTGCTGGTCAGGCAGGATACAGGACCCCAACGCGTGTGGATTGTCTTCGGACTAGGTAGGAGGAATAGAATGTTGCTCACGTGAGACTTCCGATAACCACACACTACCATGTACTCCGTACTTACCTGCAATTACCGGTGGAACCAGTACTCCGTGGATAAGTCTCCGGCGTACAAGGCAGATCGAGGTGAGAGCAGCAAGCCCCCATTGCCCCCACAGCACAAGGCATGCTCGGGTCTCAAAGCCGACGTTCCCTCTCCTCCCGTTTTTTGAACCCTCAGATGAGACTGGGTGACCTTGTCGCAAATAGCTTGATATCGGACAATGCCCCCTCTGAGGCTCGTCGACCTTACCTTCCGCAGCTAAGGGTGTGCGTTGAAGAGATCCTTAGGTAAATATTTACAAAGTACAGAGCACATCTGCAGGTACACAGCCTTGGGACAAATGGGGTCCACGTGGAAGGGAAAAGTTGTCGCAGAGTGTCAACGGCGCCCTCAGGCCCTGGCTAATTTCCCCTGGACATTCACAGGTTCGCCTGAGCCATCGCGCATCAGTTACGTAGGTGTAGCACTGCCGATTACTCCTCAATAGTAGAGACCGAGCGTACGCGTCAAGATGAGTGTCTCACATGGAACGTTGGGGCTTTTGTGCGTCGATATGAACTTTGTACTCTAAGCTCTGACACGAGTCCCGTTCGGGACGATGACCGGAGAGGTACGGAGTGTTTGAATTCGTCGCGACATCGATCTCTGCTTATTTGAGGTATCGATCGGTCGATTGGCACCAAATCAAGGTAGTAATCTGTAGGTCTGCCTGTCAACTCCGCTGGAGGTATGGCGCCATGCTTCGGTCGCTCGCTGGCAATACCGCTATTAGGAACGATGTGGGCAGTTTTGGGGAAGAATGTAGGTATGTAGCTGCCAGCAGCTGAATGATGGGTACGTAGCTTTTCTTGTTATTAGCCGGCATTGTTCCAGAGATCAGCCGATGACGGCCGTCTTTGCCTGGAATCAGAAAATCGCGCCGAGCAACGACTGGGTCCTGAATTGATCCTCATATGCCGGGTGATATATCTTGCATTGATCCGATGGATAGATAGTAGAGGGTTGTCGAGCTCTGGACCTGAGGTTACGAAGGGGCGGAGCTGAGGTCGTACGACTACTTTGTAAAGTAGAGTCACGACCTCGTTTCACTCGCAGAAGGGCGAGATCAGGCTCTGCGTAACCCATAGCTGGACACATCCAAATATTCGACACTCCATTGCCCGGGAGAACGATGAATTTTCGTTGTGACACGGAGGATGTCCCAGCTGGCCAGATCCTGTGTTTGAATTCCGCCTGACTCTGACTTTGACTTTCCCACGAGTCTTCTCCCACCTCGTGGCAAGACCCTGTCACAACAAGAAGGTTGCACGGCATCAGGGTCGTCCACGAGGCGTGGAGACAATATGGCCAAGATCGATGTGTACCAAGGATCTGGCCTTCTGCACTCGTAAGTAATTTGTCAACGAGCCTGAAGGCTGAAGACCCTTTCGCTTAGATTGTTGGCACCTACCGCGACGGACCGCAGGAAGCAGATGTAATCATTCTCGACCTGTTTTACAAATGATTTTTGACTTGCCCGATGGTTCATGCACAGGACTTCATGCGACTTGTACTCGATGGACACTGACCCAAGCGGACTTCCAGCTTTGAAGGAAGCTCAAGAGCCGCATGCAGGTACAAATACTCCTTGTAAACAGAGAATCTACAGGAGACAACGGTATTCGGTACATAATGCTTTTCTTGCCACCTCTTGCCCAGGACTGTGATGTCAAAGAATCGGGAGGATGTCCCCGACGAGGAACGCAGTCAAAGCTCACATCTACGAGGACATTGAATTGGCGTCCACAAGTTACGGGTCGTGTTACATGCTTACCCTTCGTCCCAGAGATCTATGTCGGTGACACAAGGGACAGGAAGAGGTGGCACAAAGGGAATGACAACATGAGAAAGAAGATTTACGATTGAAACACAGAAAAACGTGGCGAGTGCGTGGTACTGTTGAGCGGCCCCTGAGGCCACGCACCTGGAGGGGCAATGGCTACCCTTTGGAAAAGCCTTGGTTAAAGAGAGCCCCCAAGGCACTACAATCGTAGGGGCGCCGTAAGGGGCTACAAAGGCCCCCAAAAGCGCAGATCCTGCCCAAATACAATCTGCGGGCACATGGTCCGCCCCTGTTAGACCTATGGTTCTACCCCCTCTTCTAGACCACATTGGTTCTCTAGCGTGGCTTTAGCGATACCTGTTGGGTGCCTCTCCAATTCCCCCTTTGATCCACCGTGGACGCTGTGGCCGGTGTGGCGGCCACCATCTTCGATCTGTGTCCCCTCTAGGGCCCTTGGGGCCCCCTTACAGGCTCCTATAGGTTCCTCCAAGCCCCTCCGGCCCTTCAAAGGAGGTTTCTACCCTTGGCGCCGGCTCCCTCCAGGCTGGATGGAAATCATGCCCCGTGGCTCCCCGGCCAGTCAGAGCCTGAGCGATCAGGTCCTTCCAATTCTAATTGCTGGAGCTTGCAAAGCTTTCTCTCCACTACACGCTTTCACCACGCTTCAGCCAAACCTGCCGTACTACCAGCTCCTCCACCTCCACCTTGCAACTTGCACTTGCACGCATCCAACACCTCTACCATACTCCATCTGTCTATCACCCTCACCTAGCATCGCGACTGCTTGGGCGTTGTCCCTCTACGAGCATACACAGGAGAATCATCCGACGCAGCTGCATCCATTTCTTCCATCTTCAATATCCATCTGTCTGTGCTATTGTCCTCACTTCGAAGGTGAGTCGATCTGGTGTTAAGAGCTCTGCATCTGCCAAGTTTTTTTGGGGGCAGACTCGACATTGCCCCTGCCGCCTGCTAATCATGGTTTTTTGTGCTGCAGGTGCCTCATCTCCTTCGACCGCAATTCGTATCTCGAGCTCCTGCTGGTCCAGTTTCCCAACACCATCGCTCTCTCCAGGTCGAGCATGTTTTAGCCACGGCCAATTGAACTGAACAGCGTATACTATCCTGTACCACACTTATCAGGCCGACCGTGTTCACGTCTGGGTACTGGGCGGTCGTCGCGTTGTCACAATGGGCTGCACAGGATCCAAGATAGATCCGAGGGAAAAGGAGGCCGCACAACAAAATGCAAAGATTGAACGTCAATTACGCGCGGATAGAAGGACGGAGTCCCGAACTGTCAAGATTCTCCTGCTAGGTATGCGACCAGGAGTATGGAATCTCCATCTCTACTGCGGGCCGCTGACACAGGTATAGGTGCCGGTGAATCCGGAAAGTCGACAATCATCAAGCAGATGCGCATTATCCATTCTAGTGGATTTCAGGATGACGAGCGCGTGCAGGTGAAGGCCGTCATATTTTCCAATGTTGTTGTCGCATTCCGCGTCTTGTACGAGATCATGCAAGACGAAGGCATCGAGTTTGCCGATGAGCACAACGAATCGTATGCCGAATACCTCGAGACCATTAATGCCGACGTCGATGCACATGAAGCATTCCGGGACAAGAAAGTCAAAGAGGCCATGGTTGCGCTCTGGAAGGACGCCGGCGTACAGAAGGCCGTTACGAAGGGCCACGAATTTGCGCTTCATGACAATCTCACCTTTTACTTCGACAACATCAATCGCATGTTCGAGCCCGACTGGCTGCCCAACGACCAAGATATGCTCCATGCCCGGCTCAGAACAACGGGCATTACTGAAACCGTCTTCGAACTCCAGCAGCTTACCTTTCGCATGATGGACGTGGGAGGGCAAAGGTCGGAACGAAAGAAATGGATCCACTGCTTCGAAGGTGTCCAGTGCTTGCTTTTCATGGCCGCACTCTCCGGATATGACCAGTGCCTCGTGGAGGATGTAAACGCCAATCAGATGCACGAGGCTCTGATGCTGTTTGAATCATTGGTCAACGGGGAGTGGTTCAAGGACAAACCCATTATCCTGTTCCTCAACAAAATAGATATCTTCCGGGAGAAGCTACCCATATCACCTGTTTCAGCACATTTCCCCGATTATACTGGCAAAGACGGCGACGAAGAAGCCGCCAAGCAATTCTTTGCCAACAAGTTCCGATCAATCAACCGCAACTCCAACCGGGAAATCTATATTCATTTCACCAATGCAACTGATACGAATCTTCTGAAGAAGACCATGGAAGACGTGCAGGATATTTTGATCCAGAAGAACCTTCAACGACTTGTTTTGTAACGAGGCGGGCCCAAAAGTTTTCTGGCCGAGAACTCTCCGCCTGTCTCGATCTTGATGGCACAGTACAAAACAGAATCAAGCACGGTCTCTTGGTCGAATCAAGACGGAATTTCTCAGTGTTGACTCGACATTTGTTGCATTTTCCACGGTGGTGCGGTTTGCAAGACACGGGTATATTCTATCCATCAAAAAGGAGGCAAGACTATCTTCCGTTTCATTATTGCAGCGTTGGCGTATAGGAAAATGCTTTTAGGCCGGCAAATTATGTGTTTCGGTTCACCAAAAATCCGTTGACCCGATCGATATGCGATTGATGTGAATAGGGTCAGATTCGCACAACAACTATTCACATCAGGGCGAAGGATGCTTAAACTCTTGATGCACCAGACACAAGCATGCCATCTGGAGGATCGGCAGATGACTCCCTTCTGATGCATGCAACTGTGGGGAAGTACGGCTAGTGACTCAAAGTCACGGTGGCCAGCCCAGCACAAGTGTCGACAATGTGGTCTGGCTGATGGATCGTGTTGGAGAAGGACATGCAAACAAGAGATGTCTGGAAACGCATTCATGGATAGAGTGTCAGAGAGGGCATTTGGAGCTTCACCAGGACGCGCCGGTGCAGACACGGCACCACACCCTTCTGCTATGGACTTCCCTTTCCTCGGGATCCATTGTCCTTGTTTTGTTCGGTCTCGATGTTGATGTAGCTGACGGTAGTGGCTGCCATTTTGCGAGCTGAAAAGGTTAATGATATTCACTCTCACCATGGTTACCAACCATTCCGTACCGGCCCTCCGGCCTCTTGCAGTGAAGGGCGGAGAGGGACGTCCTGGCGAAGCCCCGTCCATCTTTCTAAATCCTTCCTCATTCAGCCTGCTTCCCCCCCTCTGAATCCGTCGTTGCGTCGAACAGGGCCATGTCCGACATTGTAACCGCATGGTGCCACCAATACACTGACAGCCACGTTACTGTTACTGTGGCCATGGGTGTTCGCCTGCCAATGACCGCTGTCTACACGCCCACTTCTGGCGAGACTAGGTGAGAATCGACTCGGGAATTGTGGATAGAGACCAGACTCTGTCTGCCTCACGACTTCCTGTCCCTGGCCCCGACACCTGCCACCTCACACACCACATAACAAGTAAAAGCAGGAAGCGCCGGAGCCGGGAAGTGACAAGGGCCTGTACATGCTGGGATCATGAGCTGAGAAACGAAGAGTTGGTCGCCAATGACGACGGACTGGTGAATAACACACTGCCTGCTGGGAGAACGTATTCAAGGTTTGTAAATTAGGGTTTCCTCAGTCATCATGCGCCGGCGATGATGGGTCGCATACGAAGTGCAGACTTTGTGATTGTAACTTCCTTACAGCGTCTATGTGCAGGTAGGTGGAGGGAGTGTAGGGAGGGAGTATAATGCATTCAAAGCACCCGTCCTTTAGCTCGGGAGCGGATATAAGTTTCCACTGCGTGATGGGCAGAAATATTACCCGACCCAAATCTATTCCCAAGTGTTGACTCGACCAATGCGACGATTCGTACTTGTTCGGCCGATGAACCGAAGGAGCGATCGTTTGCACCAACTGCGTCGTTCGGAAGGTTTGGGTTTCTCTTCGAAGAAAGTCGTTCCCGAAGGGGTGGTTGACGGTGATGAACTAATGCACTGTGCCAGGTGCACGGATATAGAAAAACACAGCAAGTGACAGCGAGCTTCGATTCGAGGGCATGCTCCATGCTGGGATAGATCTGGACAGGCCGATTGCCGCAAAGCAACTTCTGAACCGAAAAACCCTGTCGACAATGCTAAGACCTTTTTCTCCTCAGCAACAAATTCCCAGATGGGAGTAGAGGCAGACAGCCGAATGGGAAAATCAGATGTGCAGAGCTCAATGGTCAAAACTGTATGGATTTCGGAACTATAACGGGCAAATGACGGAACAAAAGGGACACATCATAGACGAGGGCAGAAGACAACGCGAAACCAACATCCAGCGTGCCTCAGTGGCACTGAACGACGTCCGCACTCGACATCCCGAAGCTTTGCAACCAACCATGTCTTTTGGCCAGCTTCTCCTTCACTTGTTATCTCCCTTGATCTTATGAAACAAATCACTGGCAAGAGAGGTGCTTGGCCTGCGCTGCTCCGACATTCTCCGGCCACCGGTGGCCTCCAGTCCAAAGATGCTGTCTTTGCGGGTGACGTCGCTGGCGACGGCCACGCTGCCCTTCCTGGAGTTTGCCGTTGCCGCGCCTCCTTCTGCGACCACGACGCTCCCTCTGCGATGTGCACCATCGGCTGCAACGTTTTGGACGGCCTGGGCAGCGGCTGCGGCGTGCTCGTCGAGCGCTGCTTGGGAGGCTCGTCGGTCAGTCTCCAAGGCATTGGACGCGGCACTGTGACGTCGGTAAAACCCGCTGTGTTTGCGCAGGAACTCATCGTACGTCGGATTGGCCTTGTAGCCCGCCCCACCTGTGAGGGCGTGCGGCATGGTGAAGGCGCCGGACATCTTGGGATGGAGGAAACCGAAATTCGATCAACACCCGGGGTTGTTCCTTTGCACCGTTACACTGGGTAGCTGGCTGACTGGCGTACCGCTTACTTGGCGCTGGATGCAGGCAGGTGTTCACCCAATGCAGCGTCCAGCAAAGAGGGTTGGTGCTGCTACCGACTCTGGTATCGCGCAAGTGGAACCCCCCTTCTCTTTCTCGATCTGTGCTCTGACAACGCTCGGAATGTAAGCTTCGCTTCTCGAGAGGTCTTTGTGGGGAACTCCGAGAATTCCTGGTCTGGACGAGGAGGTGGTATGGACCTAGAGCAATCCTAAGTCAAAAGAGGCTCGAGCAATGCAACCACACTCAACTCTCCGGGTATGCGAGGTCGTGCCAACGGCATGGTTCTGTGGTTTGCTGCTGTACCATGACGTTGGCTTCCAAGCCTCTGTTGCAGCAGAACCCATTCCACAACCGTGAGCTTGCAGGTGGGGGTGGTTCCCGGGCACCGAGAAGGGTGAGTCTTACCAGGGTGATGATAGGTGCTAAGGGGGATTCAACGTGCGTGGGTATGTAATCTTGTGAGGAAGCTGAGTAAGGATGGGCAGTGACGAACAAGGCCTTCCGCGCTCGAGCCAGCTCCAGACGATTTGGACTTCAGTATCTCGCTTGGATAAAGCGGCAAAGGTCGGTTCTGATAAGTGTGATCAAGCTCACAAAAGGGCAGCGACGGTTTCCCGAACGAGATCGAGGAATTCGAGATTTTCCTGATTGGGACTGTATCCTTCTGGCAGAGTCTCTGGATGAAGAAATGAAGTGACAAGATGAAGAGGCCACAGAGAAGTTTATATGACGGTTGCCCACAACGAGGGACAGCAACGACCGTCGCCTATGAATGCCATAGCTGCACGACGCACCCTCAATCTATCTCTAGGGGGCCGTGTCGTCAATTCTGAACTCTCAACCCCTACCAGACCTGCAAGTTGAGGGTGTGCTTGGCCACTGCTTGGTCGACATGTACCACACCCCGCATCTTTTAGGCGTGAGCTATGCGAGGCCAACGAATCAGCACGCCCTTGTCTCGGAGAAACAGTTGTTCCATTGCAGACCTGGAGCTTCGGGGCGCTGGATTTCTCGGGGAAAGATACGCTGACTTGTGTGTCTGCTGATGTGTATGGAACACGAACTGCTGCAAGGCTTGCTGAGTGGCGCTGTTTGGTGTTGTTGGCGGCCAAGGCTGAGACGGAGTCGGGCCGATTGTCGGCACGTGGTCTTTCACGTGAGTCGGCATGTGATGTTCGGGAAAAGGATTGTTCCGAAGTCCTTGGCATCCGAAATGTCCTTCCTGTTCCGGATTGCGCCATCATGACGAAACCCATTTGTATGAGCCTCGGATGTTGCATAGTCTTCCCAATGATTGCTTCAAGTCTACACATTCAAAGCTTCTGACTGGACCGTCTCTGTCGTGTTTGGCGCTTGTTTCATGCAAGGCTCGAACCCCATCAGCCATCTCCTGATTGCGCAGTTGCGTTATTCCAAATACTTATCCTGCTGACGTTCCACAGGCATATCTCCTGCATTAATAAAACCAGGCCAAACTGCGCTTCTCGTGGGCCACCTCCGTACCTATTCCCGGTTTCATGCGCTCAACTTCCATCTTATTCCAATTTCACGTCGGCGTCAAAACTGTTGCCTTTCCTCTCGTTCAGGCAGGAAGACTTGTATCGAAGCACCACGCCTCAAGGTTGAGATCTCCTGCACCGCCGTTCACGGTCTTGACTCGGCACCTCATCACCCGCAGCAACAGCGCCGGCGTTGTCGATAGGCGGCATCAGCCTCGTCCTTTTGCCACTACCCCTCCACGGTCATCCTCTCCCCTCGATCCCGCCGCTACGCCCACGATGGCTTCCGCAACGACCTTCTTCGACTTCACGCCCAAGGACAAGCTCAACCAAGACTACCCGCTCGCGCAACACAAGGGCAAAGTGGTATTGGTGGTCAACACGGCGTCCAAGTGCGGGTTCACGCCGCAGTTCAAGGGCCTCGAGAAGGTGTGGAAGGACATCTCGGAGAAGTACCCGGACCAGTTCGTGGTCATCGGCTTCCCCTGCAACCAGTTCGGCGGGCAGGACCCGGGCTCCAATGACCAGATCCAGGAGTTTTGCCAGGTCAATTACGGCGTCTCGTTCCCCGTGCTGGGCAAGACCGACGTCAACGGCGACAAGGCCGAGCCCGTCTGGGAGTGGATGAAGGCCGAGAAGCCCGGCATCATGGGCCTCAAGCGCGTCAAGTGGAACTTTGAAAAGTTCCTCATCGGCCGTGACGGCTCCGTCGTCCACCGCTGGGGGTCCATGACCAAGCCCGAGAGCATTGAGAAGGAGATCATCGCCGAGATTGAGAAGGGGAAGAAGTCGTAGGCAGTGGAAGGAAGGGGGCGCAGTTGTATATTGAAGGCTAGGAAGTGTCGTGTACGAGGACGAAGTTCAAAAGCTGGGGAGACGATCGGTGGTGATGATGCTGCATGCAGCACTGGCTGGCCATGGGAGTGAATGCGGTGGTTCCGGGGGTGTGCACAAAACGAGATGCCGATCGAAGAGCCATTGATGATACCCAAAACATTCGAGTTTTACCCAACAAGCGTGAAAATGATGATGCTGTCGATGCTTGTGAGCATGCAATGCAATGCCATTCATTCATTCATTCATTTGTCCATTTTTGTTTCGGTGCCAAAGCGCCTGGACCAGAAAAGCGGCCTCCGTTTTGTTACAAAACACACACAACACAACAAAAATGTCACCCATCGACCCCCCCGAGGTCATCTTCCCACCGCAGGCGACACGTCTCGACTCCGACGTCTTCCCTCGAGATCCGCCTCGAAGGGATTCTCCGTTTCCAGGCCCAGCCCGTTGTTGCTGTTGTTCTTGTCCTGCGCCTCGAAATGCTTGTACGCCTGGTCCCGCGGGTACGTATTGACGACCAGCTCCAGGTCGCCGTTGTCGTCGTCGATCTCGCGGTTCTTCTGGGCCTCTTGGGCGTGCCGTTGGCGGCGTTTGCGGCGGACGATGATGAACAGGACGATGGCGAGGATGATGAAGAGGCTGTTTTTTTTTTTTAAAAAAAATTGTCAGTTGCAGATCAGACAACAACGAGATGGTGCTTCGAGTATATATAAGACATGTACAAGACATATAAGTATATATTACCCTATTGTTGTCTTTTTTGAGGATGTGATGTGAGAAGGGGAGGAGGGGGAATCTGGGACATTATCATCCGCGTACCATAGACTGATGAGCAGGGGCACTCCGGTGGTCAGGAACTGGCTGGTGTACTTCTCGCACACGTCGTCGTTCGGGTTGGGGTTGACGCATTTGTCTCTCCTGCGGAGGGTGTGTAACTGCCACATCTTTCTGTTGGCGGTTGTTTTCTTTCTCTTTCTCTTTCTCTTTCCCACTTCTTATTTTCTATTCCTCGAAGGGAGGTCCGTCTTAGAAGAAGTGGTGGTAGTGGTGGTGGTTGTTCAGTTGTCTAGTTGTTTGTTTGTTTGTTTACTTTTGCTCTCTGGGCCCCTGGGTCCCTGAGTCCCTGAGCGGTGCGGGAATATTTCGGTGGGGGAGGGGAAGGGGGGAAGGAAATGATTATTGCTTCGTTGTATTGTACAGCGGAAATGAGAGCAGTCCTCGTAGCTGTGGTGTAGCGTGGTGTGGTCTGTGGTTAGAATTAAAGAGAGGTATGGTTGTGTGTAAACGGCATTGATTGCCCATATGAATGTCATACATACTTTAACTCTGGTACACAGCCTAGCCGTTCAATCAGCCCGCCAGCCATCAAGCCCCTGCGCTGCTCTGCCTCACCTCCGCCAAACTTAGGATCGTGGAGGCGAAACTCAATCTTGAAACCACCAGCTCCAGGCCAGGGGGGAATGAATACCTATTACCTCCTGCGTGCGCGGCCCTAACCGTTCGTGTAGCCGTTTTTCCTTTCTTTTTCTCCTTCTTTTTCGTCTCCTTCCTTTCCTATCCTACCGTTGGCGCTCCCCTTAAGATTGTTTCAACGACACGGCGTGCGCCATGATCTAGAACAAGACAAAAAAAAGGGGGGGTGCCCGGGACGAGGCCTCGGCGGCGCGTATCAGGATTCAGGAACAAGACCAAGCCAGGCCTCCTGCGTAATTTCCCGCATCCGTGTTTGAGATGCGCCGGACCAGGCGTCTCAGATTGCCCACGGAGAAACATAGTAGTTCTCAAAAAAGGTTTGTCTCCTGTCAGATCCTCGTGATAGGATCATTAAATGACCTGGGATTGATAGCCCTCCTGGTATAATATATCCTTTGCCGATGGGAGGATCTCGCGTTCGACCATACACAAGTGGCTATTGATCGAATCTCTTCACGCACCCACCAACACTTCGACCAAATCACTATCACGAGCTGATCAATGTGAGAAAACCCATTTATATATGTACAACTCGTTATGAGTCCGTCCCATGGGATCAACCAGCCTTCAAGGCCCTCGAGAATCCCTTACTCCATGTTATGCTTCTACTTCTGAATAGTCGCCGATCCCCCATTGAGACAGACATCTGAATAAGCGTCCGCTCGAGGAGTGGTCCCTGGTCCCTCATAAAGAGTACCAGGATATCCTGTTGCGCCCATGATAATGACATCAATCAGTCCGAGATACATCTTTTCGCAAATGAAACCCTTCGCTTGCCAATGATCCTCAGATTCCGTCCATGCATGTGTCCTCGCCCTCATCAAATACCGCCGGAAGACGGATGGGTCAGATAGTATTTTGTCTCGTCGACCGATGCGGAATGTCTTCCACATAATCATCCGTAAAGTCCTGCTCGTCGAGTCGATCTCTTCTGCTGATCCTCGTAGCTTCAAGCACCTCAGCTGCGTCGTCCACTTCAATCGACTCTCGGATCGACTCGCTCAGCGCAGAGTCGTCCAAGCTCTCCCGCGAGATGAAGCTGTCGCCCATCTCGTTGTCAGATGCAACCTCTGCTTCTTCCTCATCGTCGTCCAAGTCTTCATCCTCTTCGTCCTCTTCTTCTGAATCAGTCGGCGTGAAGTCTTCCAAGTCCTGCGGCGTATCTCGCCAGTACGTAAAGTCGGTATAGTCCTCGCCTCCCTCCCTGACCAGCGTCGACACGGGCGGGAAGAAATGGTCAACCAACTCACGCATCGACACGTAGCTGCTGCGGTATTTGTTCAGCGTCAACAAATCGAGCGACACCTCCGCGTTGGTGTTGATCGTGAAGATCCGTGTGGAAGGAATGTTGACACTGCGATAACTCAGCGCGTCTGTGAAGCGATTGCCAAACCCGGCGTAGAATGGGTTCGTCTTGCCAGGGAACAAGTTGAGGATATCTCTCAGACAGGCCATCTTGAACACTTCGGGTTTACGCAGATAGATCTCTCGCCGCAATGCCGCAATCGTACGATCTGGGCTCATGATAACGGGACCGCGAGGGAGTTTCCAGCCATCTTGGACAATGCCGTTGAGATAGGTCCGGGTGGTGTCGGCTTGTCCAACGGAACGACTCGTCAAGTAAAAGATATTGTAGCCATTCGCAGCGATATCCGAGTACAATTTGGCCACGCCAACATGCGTCCAGTCGCGCCCGACCATATTGAGGAGATGACCCAAGGCATCCGATTTGGTGATTGTCCCATCAATATCGGATATCACAATGGGGACGTCACAAGTCCAGTAGAACATGTAGGCTATACATGTGGCGCGGTTGACGGTGAATGACATTTGATTTTCGCCCCGTTTCAGATTAAGTGACTTCAGTTGATCGCTCGTTAGCCGGAGCGTCTTCGCGAAATTTCGAGCTTGTTCCCCAGAGGGGCGAGAAGGCTGGATCTCTTCGGATTGTGCGCGCTGGTGGCCGGAAGTTTTCGCGGTAAGCTGCGGCGAGGCGCTGCGGTCGCTGTCGCTGTGATAGCCTGGATCAGAGATGTTGTCCGCTGAGATGGTGGTAGTTGACTCTGGATTCTGTGCCGCCCATTTTCGGGCAGCTGCGTCTCGAGCTTCTTCGCTGCTATATATCCATAGGTTTCCGTGCTCGTCAGTCCCAATCAAAGACCCAATATCGTAGTTCCCCTCCAGTTCTTCCGAGAGGATTTTCCGGGCCACGGCTTCTGCTCGCAGAGCTTCAGGCTCGCTCGTCTTATACCCCGTCATGTCAAGCATAAGGTCTCCGGACTCGGTAACTTGGGATCGAATGTTGGAGGAAGAGAGTTTCTTCGAGAGGGTCATTGCTCGGTCGTATGCTTGTTTCGGTTTTAGAGCGGGAGGGCTCGCAGAAGCTTTCGGAGTAACAGTCCCATCCAGACCCAATCTTGGCGAAGGAGGTAGGCCACTGTTATGAAAAGCTCCACTGACCGAATCCAGTTGCTCTCGTGCAGTGACGGGGAGGATTTCTTCAGATGCCGCTCGGCCCAGTGAGCCAGGAGAGGTGAGAGTGGTATCGGATAGAGGGGTCCCAGTTGGATCGGTGTGTATGGTACCTAGATCAATTTCTTCGCTCATGTTCGTCCCCTCGCGTCTTATTATAGGCACCGGAGCTGAGCTTGAAATGGGAGGTGTATGACGACCCTTTGCTGCCTCTGTGATATCCAAGTAGGTAGGTTCCGAAAGACCGGGGGAAGGGGGTCTGCCTGCAGCATTTATAGGTGGACTATTGGCGGGAGATATTAAAGGAGATGTCTGTAATCCTTCTGGGATCTCACTCGACGTCTCGAAGACAAAAAAGGCTTCCCCTCCATCCCCGAGTTTCATGGCGTAAGGTTGAGCCACTCCATTGACCTTAAATGCAACCTTCTTATCCGAAGGCCGCAGTAAAGAGAACTTGCCAAAGCGCACATGGAAAGGCGAACAGGCCAGAGAGCCATCAGGCTGTTCAATCACAATAACGTCGATGGCTCCGGACAAGGTTGCTGGATTGATGGAATTCCACGTCTTGGAGACACCGCTCCCTAGACTCCGGACGTACTGCATTATGACCAGAGGTTGACAAGTTTGAGAGGTTGGTCTCGGAGCTGAGTGATATGACGAAAATATGAGGTTGCCGGAATCAGCACATGACGGTTGGGAGCCTGATTGGGGGAAAGCTCGGAACTGGGCTGTGCGGAATGCTCGACCACGACAGAGAAGCAAATGCCCGTATCCCAAGATGCCGGTGAGAAGCTCAATCAGGCCACATACAGAGGATTTCTAGGAAGACATCAAGACAGAAGGACAGAAAAGAAGGGCGGAAAGAGCGAGAAGGAGACGGGATGGGGCTGGCATAATATAATAAAGATTGGGGAAGAGGATGAGGAAATCGGGTCATTCAGCATGATGCATGACAACATTTTCGGCGGGAAATCCACTAGTCCGCTTTGGGTATCATACTGAGTATCTCTAATAATATTAATCATTTCCCCAGATTTTCCCGTTTGGCCCTGTCACTTTCATCTCACTGCACCTGTGCAACGCACTGAGAAACACACAAAGGCCAGTCAGTACAGATAACGTGGTGCCTTTCTATCCTCGATGGTCTGATTATGGTGCTATTATTTTGACGTCCCATCGGCCCAACCGTTACCGATTTCCCCGTGTCCTATCCCTGGCCGGTGTCTGTACTCCCAATATGAGCTCGCCCACAAACCCTCCTGGTCCTCTCACTCCCCCTGCAGAACCCTCCTCACAAGCGCCTCAGACCACGCAAGCCTCTCAACCATCAGCACCACCCCAGGTCGAAGCACTCCTCTCACAACCCTTGACCTCACTCTCAGACGATGGAAGTTCGAGCAGACCCCGGGATCACCGACTGATCCACCTGCTACTCGTGTCTCACGGCATCGCAGCATATCAGCAGCGCGTTCCCCTCCAACTCATGGACTTTGCCTACCGATACACCAGTTCCGTTCTCGCTGACGCCCTCCATATTCAAAATGAGGCCTACGACCAAGCCGACGGAGGAACTCAGAGTAAAGGTCGGGGCTCCAAGGCAAATCCGAACAAAGGCGAAGAAGGCGACATCAGCCTCGCTGCTCTGCGGATGTCAATAGGCTCGAGAATGGGATACCAGTTCCAGGGAAGCCTGCCAAAGGAGTTTCTCAAGCAGTTGGCGGACGAGAGGAATCGAATATCGATGCAGACTCAAATACGGGACAGTGACAAGAGCGGGCCGATGATAGGAGGTGTGCGACTTCCACATGAAAAATATTGCCTGACGGGCGTGGGCTGGGGTCTGAAGGATGAATGGGACAGCGAAGGCGAGGAAAGCGAGGATCAGGCCGAGGGAGAAGAGCGCCCTGAACCGGAAGATCTCATGCAAATGGACGAGAAAGAAGGTAACGAAGACGAAGAGGGCCTGGGCACCATGGAGGATGTGTTTGGTCCCGACGATGGAGGAGGTGAAAAAGAAGCAGACGCAGATGGGGATGTGGACCTGTCGTAGGGCGACGTGGACATGGGGGACGGTCATGTAAAGGGCATGATCAACCGTGTATTATGGCATACGAACGGCATTCTGTAACAATGTGATACCCTTGGACTATTCAGTCCATAGTTGGCAGGAAACAGGGCAATGTGTGTGTGTGTGTGTGTGACTCGCGGCTTCATTTCCTGAAACCACCCATGATCTTCCCATGGAAGGAAAAGGAGTCATGGCAAAGCATACATCTTGATTGTCAATGTACCCGTCATCTTTCCTTCTCGACATTGGTGGCATCCAGGTGGTGAACCTATCATCGCTATTGCCCGTCAGGGTGAGTAAAGGGACGGAGTGACGCCGCCCTATGCTCACCCCCGGCTCGCGCTGGTCAGGTGAGAGATCACCGAGTACTGGGCCTCGGGTTGTTCAGACTGCACCTATCCCAGCCGCAATCGTTTGTTGCCTCTGTACGCAGTAGTTCCTCATAGTCCGTCACCATGATCTGGTCACGTCAACGACCCCCTGGTTAAGTACCTAGGCAAGGATCCCCTGGAAGAAATTCGCATAGCTTATATAGACCATCCCCCTGCTTCAGGTCAGTGGAGATGCTGCGGCGGAGCAAACAGACCAAACAGCATGTCGTCGTATATATTCCGCGCGTCTTCATCCCAAACATCCATCAAACCTTGATGATGATCGTTGGTGAACAGGGAGGCAGGCCCAGCGCCAAAATCCACATTATTATCCGACATTGACGCCGAGTGGGAATAGTTGTTGCCTGCAAACCTTGCACCGTGGCACACCTGGTTGTCATCCCCGTGATGATTCAACAGCTCCCCGCCACCGCGTTCCTCGGCGGCTGTCCACGAGGACTCCAACATCCGCGAGACCTGCGAATTAGAACCACCACCATCCTCGGTTTGAAAGGAGACACTCTCCTCTCCTAGCTCGCGCATCATCTGCCGGAGAACAGACAGCGGCTTATGGAGGCCGAAGTTGCACCCACGCTGGAGCTCGCAGAGAGCTGTCCAGAAGAATATGATCTCACCCTTGAGCTGGGTGCGTTCGGCATTGCCTTTGTGCAGGAGTACCACGGCCGCAGAGTATGCGGCGTACGAGAGCAGGTAAGGCGCTCGACGGAGGGTAAAGGTTGCTCGGTAGGCTTTGATGAGCTTGGAGATGGCTAGCGCGGCCTCCAGACAGATTCTCTCTCCTTCGGCCTTTTCATCCGCGTCCGAGTGTTTCTTTAGATGGCCGTTTGCGAGAAATGGGCGTTGCACAAGGATGTTCAACGTTCGGTAGGATGTGCTGGTTGTGCCAACAGTCAGTCGGAAAGAAAACCCATAGTTAGTCTGAGATGAAGGACAAGGTTACTTACTGCGGCGTCAATTGATGAGGGGGTGGGACTGGGTCAAGGCCTGGTCGGAAGTGTAGATAGATTGGGAGCGCAGCATTCCAATCGTCAAGTTCTTGCATGATCTGTTGTCTCGCTTCCCGTAAGTAATGGCTTGAGTGTGCGATGCTGTCAATTCCGTAGAAAGCACGTGTGATTTTGGCCGAGATTTGAAAGAGTCTCGCTTGCGCCTGGAATGTAGACACGGCATAGGCTGGTTTGGGCTGATAGTTTGACAGGGACATCATGCTGGCATCGCCAAGTTGCGACTGGGGATCCAAGTACGGAGTCCACTCCTCGAGCTCCTCAAAGGTATCAAGGAGCATCAGTGGGACCCGAGCATCAGAGTTATGAAGAATGGGCTTGCGGCCAAGGTAGAGCGACTGGGTGGCATCTGTGATGAAGGCTCCCCAATAGATGCGTTTTCGCATCTCTCTCTCCATGTCAGTGAGGATTTGCCGGTCAGAAGGTACTTCGGCGGACAGCAGACGAGCGTCGGTCACAAGATGACACCCCAGATCGATCACCATCCGGTAAGCGATGCCACATAGAATCCACCCCGCGCTGGGTTTCCCGTGGGATACCAATGTCGCTCCACAAAGAAGCAATGCCGTCGCCGTGGGAATGCTGGGATTCACAATCTCTTCGACAAGAAGGCTTCTGAAACGGTCGTAGAACCGGATACCACAGGTGGAGAGATCGTCCGGCTCCGAGCGCAGTATCTCTGTTCTGTCGCTGTATTGGCAGCTCGAGTAGTAAATTGCGTTGAGGAGAAGCTTGTTGACATATGGTCCATTGTTGAACAAGCCTCCCATTATGGCTGGTCGGTATGTCAAGAGAAATGCATAGTGTTGTCGATTCCAATGGAGGTCAAGCAGATGCTTTGCCATTTCTGGATCCACGCCGTCAAAGTCGATGCTGAGCCTTGGTCCTCGAAAGAGATAAGGCTCTCGCTGCCGTTGGATCGAAGCGTTGCTGATTAAACGAGCACTTGCCGCTTCGTTGTGCCGACGACAAGGGACATTCAAAGTGGAATCGGCCTTGTCCGGAGCGGCGTGAGATCCTGATTGATGTAGGAAGCTGGAAATTCCATGTACGGAAACCTTCCCATTGTGTTGAAAGAGACCAGCTATCTGAGCCTCGCTGGGAGAGAGACCTGAGCTATCTTCGGTTACTGATTCCTCTGCTCCTTCTAGTCCACCTTCTCCATGACTTCTGACCTGGCTAGGGTCGTCCAAGTTGCTCTGTAAGTGGTTGGGAGTGGCACGGGGTGGAAAAAGTGCAGGACCAACGTGCCTGGAATCCAAGAACTCAAATGCACCACTCCCGTTATGAAGATTTGTATCTGCCGTCCCTGATGTCCTCTGCCGATTTCTATTGTGGTCTGACACCGATAGAGTGTTGGCAGAGGGCGACCCGTCAGAAATACGTTGAGCATCGCTTGACAGACCGGGAGAGGTCAAGCTGTCCTCCTGGTGTGAGTTGACCTGCTTCAACAGAGAAGCAATTGTGGCTTCCAGGTTTTGCACCGTCGACCAAGATGGTCTTGGTTGGCGGCGAGTGTCTTCAAGATACTGGCAGTCCACTTGTAGCGCCAGACAGGTACCACATCGCGGCCGTTGGCCATCACATTTGGTCTGAGCAAATCCATGTTAGGTGTTTGGTTGTGCTAAAGTCTGAGAGCCTCCCTAGGAGCAAAGATGGCGGCCCATACCTTTCTGATTCGACAGACAGTGCAAGCCTTACAGATGACTCTTCCTTCTCGCTTCCGCTTCAGACGATCTCTACGGCTGGCTTGTCGTTCAGCTGCCGTCTCCGTCTCCGTCTCCGTCTGCATCTGTGGCTGCATCTGCAACTGAGGCATGGCATCAGCATATCGGTGTTCCATCTGCGCTCGTCAATGTCTGACGGTGAGCAGAAGTGGGGAGGACATCAACTACTACACAGGCCTTGCCAGGGGTATGTGTCGGATTTCAATGTCCATTTACAATGTCCATCTCCATCGGACATAGATGCGCGAGACACGGGAACATGCCGATCTAAGGTCAAGGTGTCGGCTCACCCCGCGCTGTTCTCGGCACTTCGGCAGGCACAGGCGAGGGAGCAGAATCGGGGCAGAGTATTCCACGCCTGGGTCTTGTGGTCTTCGGCTCTCATGCTGACCTTGAAATGACCTGATTCAAGCCGAGTTGCTTTTCAATGTGTCAATTTTGGAAAGGGGGAGTAATAAGCTCTATCCGAGGAGGGCGAATATCGATATACCCACTGACGGGTATATCTCCGGACAACGACTCTGGCCGCGACTTCGTCCAATCGCGACCTTCGGTTAATGCTCGGTAGAATATAACCACACCCAATTTGAAGCGAATTGACTCTTCACAACATACGGAGTAGATCTATGGACTCGCTTGCCTCCGCCTCTACCTCCCCCACTGCCACTGCCACTGCCTCGCCACTGCTAATGTCTCTATCACTGCCTCTACTACTAATACTACCACTAGCACTACCATTACCACTACTAGTGCCAGTGCCAGTACCAGGACTAATGTCACTTTCTATGTTTCTATCGTAGGTTCAGCATGAACTATCGCTCCTTCTCTATACGGCTCGACGGGAATACAGGGAAGGGCTTGGCGGTGGAGCCGAGCGGCTATTGGACAACCAGCACGGACGTCAGCCAATTAGATCTGTTAGCGAAGTCCCGGTTGGACAAAGTCGCGGCCAGAGTCGCTGTCCGGAGACATACCCCCCACTGACGAACATGTCTCAAGTCCGACTCGCTGTTTAGTCCACTGTAGAGATCAGAATTGTGTTCTTGTTGTACTTTGAGTTATGAAGCTTCAACTTCTGACATCCCAATAGAATTTCAGGGGAATGCAGATTACTCTAATCATCAAATATAGGAAAATTCATCAATGCTCGATCAGTGGGCTCGTATATATCATCATTTTAACAACAGCCATTCTTCTACAGCCACAGTTCAACCTACGAGAACCTTCCATGCCGTATTTCCTTCCCCTTCCATGCCCCCATGCCCTCATGCCCTGCTCAAATGAGAGGCATGCCTAGACTCTCACGTCGCGACTTAGAGGTCGGATCAAGATATGGCTTTTCACCAATGGATGTAGTTCGCACTCCGATACGGACACTGCCGGGTACCAGATGTGTATCAGGCTAGTAACGATGTTGTCAGTCATCCATGTAGGAGTCTCAAAGTCTCAAGAAGTAGGGGCTCATTGCTTACAGTTGCAGCATGGAACACGCAAGCATTGTTCCAGATGGCTGCACTATATTTGGTCCAGTGCATTCTGGCAATACAGTCGTGGTTTCTGGTGATTAGACGAATCATGTAGTCCCGGATCATCTTGTCTTCGTAGTCGTAGACGTCATTGATTCGAGATACATGAATACCTACCACTGCACACAAGGTCTTCCACCCGGTGACAGGGTGAGTTCGAACGAGCGGGTGCGAAGGTGCAAAATCATCACCAACATTCAGGGGCGAGCCTCGTGGAGACATGATTTCGTAACCTCCGGCTGTCGCAGCGTTTTTAAATGCTGGCTGATGACATGTAGCGGTCAGAGTTTCGAGATAGCTTCTAAAGGACGGAGAGATGCGATCATAGCTGGAAAAGATGGTGTCAGTCGCAAAAGGACCGTGGCGGGGGAAATTTTGTGAAGAGCATACAGTTCATAGCCAGAGCAGAAGAGCGTATCTCCTCCGTGTTTCGGTGTCTCCTCCATCAGGAGAAAGCTGTAGTCGGCCGGACACGGCTCAAACAGACCTTCGAATGGTTAGTCAAAAATGCTCACGTTCGACAAACCCCTCACCTGGTTGGAATACGTACAATCACTGTGCCATTCACGAGCCAGATCTTTTGGCTCGGTCGAGTGGTTCTTGGGGATTGATTTGAACAGCTTCTTGTGGGCTTCCGTGTTTAGGACGTAGCTACTCTCTGTCAGCCAGCTCCTCTCTTTTTCCAACATCAAGTTCGGGCTGAAAGGGCATGGAAAATGAGCATACACGTGCTTGTCGGTCGTTCCTGTTCTTGCCATGGGAATGTTGTTCTCGTCGCGGAACAGTGGATGGACGTGGAGGCCATTCTCTTCTGGTCGCCCACTCAGCTTGCCCAGGAGGTCCGTGAAGCGCTTCTGCTCCTCGATCGTCAAGTCGTCTTGAGGCGCTCGAAAAAATACCACGCCTCGCTCGCTGATGGTGATTGCCAAATCCTTGATCTGCTGTTCGGCATTCTCAGCATAAAGCATATCCTTAAGCTTTGCCGTGTGATATTCACGCCCGATGATGGGACTGTATTCTGTAAATTCCAGGTGATCGAGGGAGCCTGAGTATTGAAGGGGCTGGCGATGCCACTCAGGTGGAGATGTTGCGGAAGGCATTTTTGTACTGATTGTTGTTTGTTCCAGCCCGAAGGCAGTAGTAATATTTGACGATAAGGTACTGGTACTTTGATCGACGGGAGCTGATGGTCTCGCAGACTTGTTCAAACTACACGAACCACCGTGTATCTTATATTTCTCGTCAACAAGAACCCATGCGCCCATGTCAGCCCCATGTGCTGTTGCCACAACTTCCAGTCTGTGTCTTCTCCGCAAAGACAGTCCGGACTGTGGAGTACGATGGGACGCTCTCTCGGGGTTGGATTTCCGCTAAGTAGGGGTATTCGTAGAGGGATCGTGAGCTAGACCGATATTTCGATCCTCTAGATATGACCTAGTCTCGCTCAACTTCATCGGCATCTAGATGCCGACGGTGTACCAACGGAGCGGCAGATATCTGCGGGAAGTTTCTTGAAGATGTTCATGGCCCACCGTCGCTGTGTCCGTGTCCATTCATTGGTCAAGTGGTCGCTTTTGATCTATTCATTTGGTTCTTACATCTGGGGTAACACGTTCTGGGGGAGTCCAAGTGGGAGCGTTGCGGAGTCGGGTACAATTAACCGGGGTTCTGGACATGCTCTCGAAGCTCTTGAATTCAGAGATATTAAGGCTGTCGGTTCTCCCACAGGTCGAAGCATCTCTTACGAGCTGGTAGCAGGAAGACCGGAACCTAGCAGCTTAACTATGGCCGCCAACCAGCCCGTTAAGTTCAACAACGTCGAGCATTTCGATGTCTCGACCGGCAAAGGAGTCTTGATTGACGAAACGAGGCTCGACCCAGAGCTTCATGTTGCGGCCACCCTACAGCATGGATCCGACCTCGATGAGAAAGAATACAAGAGGGTGATGTGGAAAGTCGACCTCCGACTTATGCCTCCTCTCGCATTACTCTACGCCTGGGCGCTGATAGATCGGGTCAATCTATCAAGCGTGAGTGATCAACCTTCCGACCACCTCTGGACGGTTGCTGAAAAGAAGGAAAACAGATCCAAATTGGAGGACTGTCGGCCGATCTGGGAACAGACAAGGGCAATCGGTACACTTTGATCACGATGATTGTAAGGGAATTCGCATATGCCAGTCCAGCGCACGAGGTCTCTAACCCAGCGTCGTGTTCAAGTTCTTCATCCCCTACGTGCTCTTTGACTGTAAGTTGTCCCTGCGCCAAGTCAAAGTCTCTTCACACCGATACTGATGCTAGGGGATGGCTTTGTAGATCCCTCAAACCTGGCCCTTCGTAAATTTGGCCCTCAAAAATGGCTTGGCTTCATCGGTTTGTGAGTAACGACATTCCCTTGTCCCAGGACTCAACACACAACGAATGATTTCTGACTTACTAGTTAATAGTACCTGGGGGTAACACTGCTCACCTCGCCGCAAACAACAGAATATGATCTGATTATTCGCATAGCTGTCTCACGATTGCCATGGGATTCACACACTCCTGGATATCCATTCTTAGTGGGTAGGAGGCCACGCCCGTTGTTTCCACCGCAACCTTTGCTGATCCAGCACTCAATCAGTCTTGCGCATCATTTTTGGAGCCCTTGAAGCCGGGCTTTCGCCAGGCTGCATATACCGTAAGTCGGGGTTCTGCAAACTTACTTCACTTGGCCATCTCTAACTCATGCGGCGATCAGTCATGTCCTGCTGGTATCCACGGTATGAAGTCCAAAAGAGGTCGGTTCATCCTATTCTCCAAAGTCAATTAAGAGCATGTTTTAAAGATCGCACAGGTTCAGCTTTTGGGCAGCAGGCGCGATCCTATGTTCAGGTATCTCCAGTCTTCTCGTATACGGGATCGAGAAGGTTGGAACAGTCGACGGACTTCATCCTTGGAGATGGGTCTATATCATTGTAGGTATTCATCCCAAATCTATCCATGCAGGCAAGTTGAGAAGGGACTGACACTAACCCAGGAAGGCATTGTGAGTGCCGCTGTCGGCCTGCTTTGCGGGATCGTCCTTGTCGACTTTCCTGACAGAGGTACGTGTTCATTCCAGGCTGTTCCAGATATATGTCGTGAGCTCGTAATGACCAAGAATGCCTAGCCGTTCGTCCCGGATTATTGCATAGCAAAGGCTTCCTTACCACAGACGAAGCTTCGCTCATCCTCGCTCGCCTTCAGCGCGACCGCGGAGATGCTGTGCCTGATAAGCTTACTATGAAAAAATTAGTCACGTTCCTGATGGACTGGAAAATGTGGGAGTTTCCATTCCTACTCCTGTGCAACGTAGGTCATACCCCACCGATTGCACTTCTCTCTGCGTGTGTCACACCCAGTGGCAGAACTTTGCACTGACTTGAGCGACTTGTCCAGAATATGGCGATCTACTCATACTCATATTTCCTCCCACTCATTCTTCGTGGATCCTTTGGCTATTCTCTCGAAAAGTCTTATATTCTCAACTTTCCTCCATATGTCCTAGCGGCAATAGTGAGTCAACCTTGCTTGCCTCTTCAGATTCCCTCAGGTATTGTAACCTTCAATCGCAAAGAGCCTGACATCTATTTTTGCTGGCAGTGGATGCTGGTAGTTGGATACTTCGGGGACAAATATAAGATCCGCGGTCCCATTGTCCTCGTACAGGCCCTCATCATCATTCTGGGAGTCTGCATGACCGCGTTCCTGAACAATGGAGCTGCGCGATACGTCGGTGTCTTCCTCGGAGTTGGCGCTATCAATTCGAACATCCCTGCAATTCTCAGCTACCAGCATAACAATATCAGTGAGTACCGAAGTCCTTCATCCACCGTGGGGAAAGACAATCTGATATGAGGTGATATTCCAGCTGGTCAACTTAAACGAGCACTTGCAACTGCCATGATCATAGGTGGTGGTGGATGCGGCGGTATTGTTGCGAGCAACGTCTTTAGGCACCAAGACGCTCCAAATTACACGTATGTACTGCTGAACATACGAGCGAGACACGGGAGAACGAACTTTATCTGACGAATATGTAGGCCTGGACTAATCGCTGTAATTGTTTCGCAGGTAAGCCGAACAGCCAGGCCAGAGCATGGAGAATCGACCAAGCTGGTCGAGTCGTTGAAAAGGTCAAAGTTGCTGACTCCTTTGCACGAAACATAGGTCCTCACAGCTGTAATCGTCCTGAAAAACTTCGCGGTTTTCAAAAGACTGAACCGCAAGGCCGACCGTGGAGAGATCATTCTCGAGGATACGGAAGGCTTCAGGTACACCTACTGAAGAGAAGACGATGGTCGTCACCTTCACTGACTCCGCATGTGCAGAAGATTATTGTTGGAAGAAGGAGTCGAACGATTGAAGGTGAAAGTTGCTCAGCCCGTGGCATTTAGGCAGACAACATCATTGTACACCTCCTGGCCACACTGATGTGGGACGTACCTATATCGCAAGTAGTAGAGAACAATGAAATCTTACGTTCCTGCCTGCCTTTGATCTTGGTCGAGTTGAAGTGAAAGGGGTCGAAAGACGAAAAAGCGTACGTTTATGTGTAATAGTACAGCACCCTAGCAAAAATATCCGTCCGCGGTCGATTCCACACCAAAAAGTCCATTTTTCAAGACGGTCTAACTCCAAAAATTAGTAGGACGACTACACGTTTTAAAGTGTTAATATAAAAATAAATACTGAAAAGTATATATATATTAATTTATAGAGATGGAATACTTTATTAAGCCTATTAAAACTATAGTTGAAGATATTCTGTGGGAAAAGACTCAGAGATTTGAAGACTTTTGGTAGAGATTTTACTTCCTCTTTACTCTCGTTGGTATATCTCAACGAAAACTAATGGTTTTCTGAAAATTCCTTTGATATTATGAAATCTAGATATTTATCTATACTATATTCAATTATAGAGATATGCTACTATATATAAAGCGGCGTCTCCAGCCGCTCGCCGCCAAGGCTCAACCCAGAGTTTGCGGGCGTCGACTTGTCGCTGTGGCTCTCGCCGACTTCTCCGCCCCCCGATCAAACTCATGCCACCAAAGTTAATACCTCGTACATGGCTTTCGCTGATTTATAGGATATATTCTTGCATTTATCTGTCGAGCGCATGCCTGCCATCCCTACCTTGTGGATGGACTCATCTCGATGGCATCAAGAGCCATTGGATTGGGCTGCTCACGCCTATCAACTGCTTGCCCCTCAAATTAACGTCAAAGGTCGCATGGCTCTACTTTTGCTGCTCGCCGTCATCTGGGCTTTCTCATGGTCGGTCCTCCCAAGATCGTTTGTCGCACGCGTCGCTGACTCTCTAGGCTCCTATGGCGCGCATACCAGGTGCTCACTACGCCCAACGAGATCTTGGTAGAGAAACTCGGCCTCGACATCCCCCCCGCTCCGGTCCTGATCCTCGAAGAAATCTCCTCCACTGAGGTGTATGTGACTTGGAAACATGCCGAACCGTCTTCCTCTGTTCAAGAGCACTACGTGGAGCTCAATGGCGTCATTATTGGGACTACCAAGAAGAGCGAGATGGGCGCTGTCATATCTGGCCTTCGTCCTGGGACAAAATATGCCATTCGCGTCTTCTGCGTCAGCACCGGCACCTTCCAGACTCCTAGCGCTCCCTTCCACGTACGCACTCCTCATCTTCCCGAGGGGAAGGAGGCTCCCGAATCGGTTCCCACGGTCAGAGGGGTTTCGGTGCGAAATGCTTCCACGGCAACCCCTTTAGCTGCCCCCTCCATGACGCGCGATCTTAGTGGAGGACAGCCCATGGGAAGAAGGGGAACCACCGGCCGGAGGCCTTCTCCGGCCGGTCATGGCACTGATGCACAGGGTCAAGACGGAGGGTCCAGGGCCGAGGAGGAGGAAATGGACGGCGATCTCGCCGAATTGTCGCAACGGTTCCAAAAGGTCCAACAGGACATCGAGGCTGTCGAGGCTCAGATCCAAGAGGAAGACAGGGAGTTCGAGGCCGCCATGAAGGAGCTCGAGGCACGCCGCGACGAATTGAAACAGAGTCTGAAAGAGCGGGATGAAGCCAGCAGTGACCTCCGCAAGCAAGTCCACAAGGCAGAGACACTCAGTCGCACAGCTCAAAACGAAAAGACCAAGAAAGAGCGCTTATTACAGCAGAAGGAGAACCAGCGACGGAAGAGGAAGGATGACATTTCCCGGTGGGAAGAGGCCACCGCCGCGATGAAGGAGGAAATTGCGGGCATCGAAAAGCAGAAAGCAGCTATTGAGCGTCGAACGCAATCTGAGCTCCGGGAAATGCGCAGGAAAATCGAAGAGGAACAGAAGGAAGTCGCCATGCTGGAGGAGGACAACAAGGATAAAGCGCTCCAGATCAAAGCCTTGGAAGAGGAACGCAAACTGCAGAACGTCGATGAGGAGACGGATGAAACGAGAGAAGCTGATCGCCTCGATCGCGAGCGGGATATGAGATGGCGGGCCAGATACGAAGGCCTGCAGCAAACCTACACTCGACTGTGGAACGACCTGCAATTGGCCAATCAGCAAGTCAACTACACCCGGGAGCAGATCAATCAGCTCGAGGCAAGGCGAGCAAATTCGATGGCCTTCGCGCCCATTGCACCGCTGGACATGGACGCCATTCGCCGAGGAATGAGGCCTATTCGACGAGCGAGACCGACGGGCTCCCTCGGGAGTAGTATCTCTTCGCCACGAGGTCCGTTTGCTGGGCCGGAGCCTTTCCCGTCAGGACTGCAGTACACCTCTGCTCCGACTTCGTCTCCTACAGCGGTCGTGCCCAGCTATTTCAACCCGCAGAACGGGATGACACTGGCAATGCCCGTGGAGATGACGGCTTCGACCCACGATGAGCCTGACACTATCTCTTCGATTCCCATGAGTCCTCGGGCAGATTCCCTCCTCCCAGCAGATCTTCTTGGGGACGAATCTGCTGATGATCTTCCTGAGGCAGAAATTCCGCAGCAGAGAGAGAAATCTGAGACGGGCACGTCACCTTTCCCCACGATAGGGTCGCCCGTCCTGCATCCGGACAGCGGCCGGACCGAGTCGCCCAGTGTTGGTTCCTCGTCTGGCCGGTCGTTCTCGAGCCCCATGCAAATTTCTGCCCCGGCCGAAGGCGATGAGAAGTCGTCCAATTCCGGCAAGAAGTCAGATGAACCACCTGAAGAAGACGAGGTGGTCCAGCAACCGAAGAAGCCCAAGTACACATCCGTGTCGTCCATGTTTGGCCTCAATCGTCAGCGAGGAAAGACTCTTGCGGACCAGCCACCCCTGCTTGGGTCTCTCAAGCCCAGCCAGAGCCAGTCATTTCCCAGAAATGTGGAAGATTTCGATCCCCGACTGGAAACCAAAAGGCGACTGAGCTATGGCGGAAATTGGGCGTTTCCCGGATCGGCCCTTTTAAACAGTAGCAGCACCCAGGAAGACAAAGAGCCTTCGGTCTCCCGCTTTGCTGCGACGAGACGCGCCTTTGGCTTGGGCGGCTTTGGGAAATCGGCTGCGGCTTCAGCGAACTACGACCCATTCGCCATGCGGTCCGCCTCCTTCGATCCAGGACTTCGAGGTGATACTTCGTCTCCAAGACCATCGTCCACTTATTCTTTCGACAAAATGCCGCGACCGTCGATGGAAAGCCAGTTTCGTGCGTGGAATGACAAGTCGGCACTGCGAAACAGCCCTTTGGCTCCAGACTGGGGTTCCCTACATTCTTTTTCCCGTTCCCACTCGCGACGCCCCTCGATCGTTTACGGGTCGACCAGCAACCTCTCCCTTCCACACGGGGACGAGGAAGTTGTCGAGCCAGACCGGAAACCAACACGTCCTCTGCAGGCACCCATTGGCACCCGACCAGCATCTTCTCAACAGTCCTCGACTCCGAAACTGAATCCCGCCGCTCCGTCATTCACGACACTCTTCAGCAGGCGGAGTGAGAAGTCCAAGGACAAGGACAAAACCAAGGCGAAAGAGTCGAAGGAGAGGGTCAATGACTTGGACACTGCGTCGGTCCCGGAGTCTCGACGGTCCAAAGACACCAACTCGATCGCGGCGACCGTGTCTACCCTTGAATCGGAAACGCTCGATCGAACACAGTCGGCGACCAGTGCTCAGTTGTCTCTTGAGAGTACTCCGGCCAAGCCGACCTTCATCTCCAAGATCACGCGCAAGGCCAGCAGCAATAAATTTGGGAGCTGGAAGGACAAGGGCAGCTTATTCTCTAGAAAGGAAGCATCTGTTCCGACGGGGGAGAACGAAGAGGAACAAGGGTCCACGGAACATCTCGGGAGGAGTTTGGAAAGCACGTCGACGACGCCGAGCGCGGAGGACAAGAAGACAAGTCGAACGAGCCTGAGCACCTGGAGCTTTATGCGCAAGAGCAAAAAGGGGCTGAAGGAAGACTTGACAGCGAGCGAGATCAGCGAGAGCAGCGAGAGGGCCAGTGAGGCTGAGGAAGTTGGGGAGGAGCGAGAAGAGGACGAACAGCCTTGAGGGAGGAGAGAGAGCGAGCATTACCACGGACCATTTGCATTTGCAACTCGATTGACAGCAGAATCCAGAGACTTAAAAGAGGATGATGGGTTGGATGGGATGCCAGTCGGTGACTCATTGTTGTAGTCTCTGTAGTCTCTGTATAAGATGCCTCTCTCCACCGTTACGGATCGTATTTCCTCCGCTTTGGCTTGTGAAAAATTCCCTGTAGAACCAACCCACTTTGTGTATTTGCAATCCTCATGGCCAATTCCAAGTATGTCCAACTGCTGTCCCAGCCATCTAATCCATCTAATAAATGCCCGTCCCAGGTACGAATATGTCCGCAGCTTCGAGCGCGAGGAGGTGCTGCTGCCGAACACGTGGATCGTGGTGCGCATCGACGGCCGCGGGTTTCATAAGTACGTGTCACTCACCCACCCTATTTGTCTGAGCTTTTCATCGGAATATGCATAAGCAGATGATGAGATGAGATGAGATGAGATGGGATGTCCACAGGTGGTTGTTCTGGATTGTTTCCATCCCTGGCCGGAACGTGTAAATCCCATCACTATCCCATCCTATCCTCCCTCCATCTTCATCCAACGACGGAAAATGACTAATGACCGCGAAGACTCTCCGACCACTACGGCTTCCGCAAGCCGAACGACGTCCGTGCCCTTCGTGTCATGAACGCCGCGGCCACGCACGTCGTCGCGGCCATCCCGGACATCGTCCTCGCATACGGCGTGTCGGACGAGTTCAGTTTCGTGTTCCACCGCGCCGCCACGCTGTTCGACCGCCGCCGCGACAAGCTCGTCTCCACCGTCGTCAGCGCCTTCACCGCCGCGTATGCGCTGTCCTGGGATTGTTTTTTTGGTCCTAGAGGTAGTGATGATGCAGGAGGAGACGAAGGCCAGGTCGGTCAGGGGGACGAACGGGAACGACAGCCTAGAGGAAAGGAGGAGGATAGTCGGAATGCTACGAGGTTGAGCATGGACATGTTGCCGACCTTTGACGGCCGGGCCGTCTGTTACCCCTCCTGGGCCAACTTGAGGGACTATCTGAGCTGGAGGCAGGTTGACTATAAGAGAATCTCCCCTTTTTCTCCCGCTTCTTACGTCCGAGACGAGTGGTTTCCTGTCGCGATCTACACAAATCCCATCAAGAGGCCCAAAGTGATGGCTCCCCCACTTACTTTCCTTTCCCCCTTCCCGCCACTGACCGGGGCCACAATCGACAACTGGTGTATGCATGTATTTATGATTTGACAGGCCACATCAACAACCTCTACAACACGACCTTCTGGGCGCTGGTGCAGCAGGGCGGCATGACACACGCCGCCGCCGAGGAGTCCCTCAAGGGCACCGTGGCCGGCGACAAGAACGAGATCCTGTGGTCGCGCTTCGGCATCAACTACAACAACGAGCCCGAGATGTACCGGAAGGGCAGCGTCGTGTTCAGGGAGTATATGCTGGAAGTCCTCGGCGGTGAGGGGAGCGGAAGGAGAAAGAGTAAAAGAGGAGAGGAGCAGGAAATGGAGGCCGAAGACGACGACGACGACGACGACGACGAACGATCTGGAGTCTCCAAGTCGGCCATGTCCAAGACGCAAGCGGAGAAGATGCGCAAGGCGCGGAAGAAAGCCAAGGTGGTCACGAGACACGTCGACATCATCCGCGACGAGTTCTGGAACCAGAGGCCCTGGCTCCGGAGTGGGAAGCCTGGAAGACCGGTTTTAGGTGATGAAGCAGGAAATGCGGCGGATGCGGGAGGTGGGTGAATGAATTGAGAGAAGGAGAGTATGAAAGCGTTGGCTCTGGTTTTCGCTGTCAAAGCTCTTGAGCATCCCTGCTCCTCCTGGTCTTGTCTTGTCTTGTCTGGTGTGTGGAGTGTTGGATGTTGTCGCTGGCTGTGTCAAGGATGGTACAATGGCCCTGGCCCTTACTTGATACATCCTCCGACACGTCCGTCGTCTTCGCACCTACCTACCTATACACCTTGAGCAGGAATCCATTATGTTCCCAGCCCTGAAAGAGGATTAGGTGAGTCTTGGAAATCATGGATTGAGATGGATGACTAGGTAACTAACCAAAGCAGATAGAAAAGAAACAATCAGAGGGCGACTCACTCACTCACTCACTCACTCACTCACACCCCAGCCAGTCTTGTGCCGGGGGAGAAAGAATTTATTACATAGGTACAGTATGTACCCCTGAATAGATCGCTCAGAGCACCAAACTGTGTACAACACTGTGTCCGTAGGTTTTTAAGGGGGTTTTGGTTTATGCAGGTATTTAGTTGCCAGGAAACCTCAATAGTTACTGGCTGAATGATTGATTGACGCACTGATCACATACAGTACATCGGGCCCCCCTCGAGAGTCGATTGACGATAACCTCCTCTTATCATAAAAACATAGTTAATCAATGTTATAATGTCCATGTTTATCATGCACGGGATCTTCCTTCCTCCGCAACCCTTTCTGTCTAAACAGTGACCTACCAACCTACCCACATACTTTACTTATGTACTTTTCCACCTACATATGTGTACATCTGTCTGTCTCTCTCCGTCTCGCGTCCCGAACCACCACCACCACCACCTCCTCCTCCTCCTGGCTTTCTGTCTTTCTGCCTTTCTCCCTCCATGTTATCATCCAAGGAGCTAGCCGGAGCCGAGAAGGGATAGTGGCCCGAACGCCGAAATAATTATAGTGTAATCAACCCATGCCGCTGGGGGAATGTGGGAGGAGGAGGAGGGAGAAATTAATAATTCAACAAGAGACGGACCATCCATCCATCCATCCTTTGCTCCTGGACTGGACTGGACTAGAATGAAAGGAAATTCCATCCCCCAACTACTTTGTATGTTGTATGTATGTATGTATGGATGGATGGATGCATGTAATGACTGTGCAGCAGCCGTCCCACACACCACCCCTCGTACACGTACATGTACAACCGGGACCACCAGCGGCACTCTTCCATGGTTCCTCGTCACATCGTCGTCGGCCACATTATTAATGATCTGGGCGCGGGGTCGTACCCACCCGGAAGTGTCGAGTGTCGAGAGCCGAGAGCTGCTGCTCGGGTTTAGGGGGCAAGGAAATTCCTGGTTATCCCCGACCGACCAGCCTTATGTAAGGGTGGGTGGGGACGGCAATTGATACTGCTGGGCATTGGGATGGTCAAGTGCAAACAGACCAGGTTGGACGATATATACATATACATGTAGGTATATATATGTATGTAGGGCGACCCTCGAGCAGCTCGACGGGGCAGATGGAAATGGAAATGCCCATGGTAGTATAGTAATAGGAGTAGGGTTGTTCACTTTCTCCGCTGAAACGACAAAAGAGACAAAAAGAGATCTATTACACCACCAAAGCCAGCATGCCAGTCACGCAACAGCACAACGGCCTCGAGGTGGTGCCCTGCTGGATCAATGGGAAACCCATCCCACTCGACCCCGGACGCCTGATCGAAGTCCACTCGTCGGCCCAGGGCAAGCTCGTCCACTACGCCCAGGGCGCCTCCGTGGACGATGCCACAGCCGCCGTTCAGGTCGCCGCAGAAACGTTCAAGACGTTCAAGCGGGTGCCGTACCAAGAACGCCGGGCGTTGCTGTGGAAGGTGGCAGACATCCTCGACAGTCGCGTGGACGAGCTGGCCCGCTACCAGGTCGAGGAGACGTCCTGCCCCGAGGCCTGGGCCAGTTTCAACGTCACCCTCGCCGCCAGGGCCGTCCGCGAGATGGCCGCGAATATCACCATCGCTTGCACGGGGGAGATACCGCCATCTCAGAGTGCAGAAAACTTTTGTCTTGTCTACAAGCAACCGATCGGCCCGGTTCTGAGCATTGCCCCCTGGAACGGCAGCATCATACTGTCCGCGAGGGCCCTTGCGGCTCCCCTTGCCGCGGGGTGCACCGTCGTCTTCAAAGCATCCGAATTGAGCCCACGTGTCCACCACGGCGTGGTAGAAGCATTTCTGGCCGCCGGTCTCCCAGACGGCTGTATCAACCAAATCCAGGCCCAGCGTGAAGACGCCAGCCGCATTACCGAGACGATCATTGCCCATCCGGCGATACGCAAGGTCGAGTTTATCGGGAGCGCAGGCGTAGGCCGAATTATTGGCCAGCTGGCGTCGAAATACCTTAAACCGGTGTTGATGGAACTCGGCGGCAAGGCCCCAGCCATCGTGCTCAAGGACGCCGATCTGAAAAGCGCGGCGGCGCTCTGCGCTCAAGGCGCCACGATGCATCACGGACAAATCTGCATGTCGACGGAGCGCATTATTGTTGTCCAAGACGTCGCAGACGAGTTCATCGGCCACCTGCGCGAGGCCGTTGCACGCTTTGAAGGCAACGCCGGCTTTGCTGTCACAAAAGCAATGGCGCAAAAGGCCCACAAATTGCTGTCTGACGCCACAGATCAGGGAGCGACGTATCTGATCGGGGACAACAGGTGGCACGGTGGCAGCGGCGCTGCGCTCGAGCCCACGATCCTCACCAACGTCAAGCCGGGAAACCCCATCTATGATCTCGAAACCTTTGGGCCATCAGCAGCTGTCTTCATTGCCGCGGACGAAGACGACGCCATTAGAATCGCCAACGACAGCTCCTATGGCCTCACGGGAGCCATCCACACGCGTGATATCTTGAGAGGTCTTCGATTAGCTCAAGAGTTGGAGGTCGGATGGTTGACCCTGAACAACATGACACTGTATGACGAGCCATCGGTCCCTCTGGGCGGGACAAAGGGGAGTGGCTGGGGCAGAAACAACAGCAGATTTGCAGTTGAAGAATTTCTGATCACAAAGACCGTGGCGGTTGCCGCAAATGTCGGAATCCCTGATTTTGGGGCCAGATAAGGGACGCAGGATTTGTCTCTTTGTCCTAGTCAGTTGTGGCAAACGTACGGGGATCCAGGGCATGCATGCATGGGTCATCGTGGGCATCGAGCTCCATCAATATAATGATATTCGGTTTCCTAGTCCAAAATCTGCTTCTGAATTGGCACTTTCTTGGCGGCCTGTGGCGACGATCTCGTGGACGTCGGTTATGCTCAAAGGCACTTTCGCGAGCAAGTACTCTCCGAGTTTGGCCGTAACTTCAAGGGGCTGTCGTGCATATTTCGAATACCTCAGACTGTTCAATGCAAAAGTAAACTGACCAAGATACTTTGCAGATGTCCCAACGGAGCTCGCTTGTCTTAATATTGTTGGCAGATGATCCGAGTATTGATCCACTGTTTTTAAGGGTTGCCGAACAGCAGTAAGCAACTCTGATGCGGTGGTCAGTCTGTCTTCAGGACCATTTCATCTATACAATTGTAGCAGAAAACTTACGAAGCATTTCCGACCCGATCGCCCAGTATTTCGCGTAATGGCTGAGGATCAGCCCAGCCACTTCCTGGGCACGAGCGGTAGATTCACACTGCTGGGTAGCTATGCTGGCTGGTAGAATGACGGCACAGCACACCATGGGATGATTCAACGGTATGTATTCTGGCGGCCATACTTGGGCAACGTTGACGAGATAAGAGGCCATCCGCCTTGCGAAAGGCCCTGTATCTTGAGCGGAGGTTGGAGAGTCGACATCGTGCCGCACACCCGAGGGCCGTCTCGAGCTCTCCAGAAGAGTTTCACACCTGCATCATGTGAGCTCCATGCTGCGTGCAATTTCAGTCGGAGTGAGCGTACGCTACGATGATCAAGTGTGTGGAAATGACCCAATTAGCCTCCTCATAATTCTGATTGTTGACAAACAGCGATCGCAATTGGAATTCTGCTGGTAGTGAGAGCTTGAAATTGCACAGGGCAGTCTCGAGGCTGGACTTTGTGCTTGTCGTGATCTCAGGCAAATGATGGCAGGGAACCGACATGCAAGACTTGAGGTAATTTGCAAGGAGGAACCAGGCTCGGGGTGACTGATTGGAAGATCCTCGCAAGCTCGTCCACACGGACTCAGGACGATGGTGGATGAAAGCCGACTTCACCGGAATACCGCGGATCCAGTCGCAGTCGGGAACGGGGAGGAGGACTCTTATCCTCCTTTCAATGTCAGATGGCTGACAAGATAGGGTGGCCATATATATCTCAAGTTCCCATGTTGCCCACCACAATCTCCGAAGCTGCTCCTTTCTAACCCAGGAGCCCGCGCTCTCTTCAAAGCTCTCAGTGTTGAGCGTGCCGTCCTCGTTCATGAGCTCTGCGTCGATTTCATTTAGCGAGAGCGCGAAGGCGAAACGGACACAAACGCTGGTCAAGGCAAAACCGGGGCCCGCGTGTCCTGCCATCAAATGATAGACTGCAAGCATAATGCAGCCTTGTAGGAACTCTACGCTCGGCTCCTGGTGCGTCTTGAAGATGCAATCCAAAGTCGTTGCAGCGTGACTGGCATACTTCTGGCCTTGGTCGACAGGAGGAACTTTGTCGAAATAAGGGGACCTGGAAAATCTTGCCCCTAATGCGAAGATGCCGTACATCAGAAAGGCTTCAACGTCGGAGACTGTCGACCGATCTACCACTGTGGCGGTCTCGCCTGCGCGCCGTATGAATCTTGCAGCAAATTTAGGCCGGTGGATTATGGGCAGCCAACATTGAACTTTCTCAAAGAAGAGCTCGATTCTGCAGATGTAAGACGTTACCCGACAGAGATGCGAATCTAACTTACAGTTGGGCACCTAAACCAGGATCAAGGCTCCAACCACTGTTTTCAGGGTTGCTAGAAGGATCATGGCTATCTGTGTTTGTATCGAGAAAGTACGATGCTATCCCTTCAAGGGTGCTGTCCGGGTCGATTCCACCAGAGAAACGTTGCGAGGGTCTGAACGAAGGATCTCTCTGGGTTTCTACATGCAGCGCTCTTGTCTGCTCCAACGATTGTCGACCTGAAAGGTTAGAAAGATGAACAACCCAGATGACGCGAGGAGGTGGTTCACCCACTCTTTGAATGATCTTTGGTAGAACCACAGGAGTACCCAAGGTTGAGGCATCGAGACCGACGGGCAACAAGAACGTCAGGCTCAGGAAGAACTGACATGACAGAAAAGCAGCAGCTTACCGTCTGAACAGCATGTTCTTCCTGGAACTGTGCTCAGAGATTTTTCTCTACACCCGGCCCTCCTCAGACCGTTTCGAGATTTGGAAGGCTTTTGTCGGATGGGAAACGAGCATTGCATGCCTACTCTTTGGCAAAGTCCACATGTTGGTCTTGTCATGTCACCTTGCGGGCTAAGAGTCAACGTTGGAGCTAAAGACTTGCTAGAGATGGTTGACAGAACTTGCATTTTATCTTTTTCCTGTGTTGGGAGTCAGTGAATGGACGAAGACAGCCATGCGGCCAGAAGCCTGCCTGTTGCAGCCCCAACATGCCCGGTTTACCGTCGGAGGCCATCCTGGGAAATTTGATATGGAAATTCCATCGTTTTGAGCCATCGGTGCTGCTTAATTGCACGTATCGTAATCGAAGTCCACAGAGGCTTTGATGCCTTGGTGCCTTGGTGCATAGACGACTTGGCAGCTGCTTTCGGGGGATGCGAAATGGATACCCAAGGTGACGACAGGAAATGGCAAGCGAATTCGTGGGACCATTACTTGCCATCCGCTTGGGCCAATGTAGTTCCAGAACTTATGTCCCGTACTCAGTCTTGCTTTGAGGTACCACTTGAAACATGTGGGACATGTAACATATACCTCGTCGATGCACCGAAGTCAGGGCGACGTGCATGGTGTCGAACAACACGGCGATAACCAAGCAATGTCCGCCCGAAGATGATGACGGTGGCACCAGCAGGAAATCAAATTCGAAAACAGCCACGTGGGACCGTCAAGGGTCGTTGTTTCTGGGGCATAAATCTGAATCCACCATCGACCACGAGATCACTGCCGGACTGTGGGTGGGTACAAGCACAACGAGCATCAGCCTTGCAGGAGATGTGTTTTTGATGATGAATACAAAGGTAAGTAAGGCATTGCTGGAAAATCGATAATCGTGAAGACCTGCCTCACGACATTGCTTGGGGGGGTTGAGATGGTAACTACAGGCTTGCATGCACGGGCCATGGGGCGAAATTACAGAGGACTAAGCACACGACAGAGATCAAGGAGACGGTTTGTCTCCCACCGACAGATGTGGCTTGTGATACGAGGTATACATGCCTCCCTAATCACTTTCATCGTGGGCTGTTAACTGCCCTTTTCATGCCCAGACTGCAATCCTCGGGGATATGCAAGTCCGCTGGAAACAAGATTTGCCACCCTGGGCACCCTCTACGGGCGATCCCTAGCCAGCTCTAGGCATTTCTGGGCATCTCTGGGCAACTCTGGGCAATCTGGGGCTGTTGAGTCACTAGGCCAAGCAATCATAGGCTCCCCCACATCGGGGAAAGCGGATATTGGGCTCTTTGGGCGCCCGGGGGCGCCCTTAGCCACAGCCTCGGGTGCCTCTAAGGAGCAACAGGGAGAACAGGGAGAACAAGCAGGCCAAGGGCTTTTCTTTGCCCTCGGGTATCATTGGATCACCCCCTCCTGCCTTAGCCGACGGACAATCGTCTCCCATTCCCATTCCCTATCTTCCTGACTCTTCAATATCAAGTCAGAGGATGTGCCATCTGACTCTGAGTAAGAAAGTCCACTGTCATAATCATCCCCCTCGTACCTCGTAATCAATGATGGACGCGTCCACGCCTAAATCGACCAAGTCTTCTCGGCGGCGCGACACCGCCACCGACGACAGCCGACTGGAGAGAAAGAGGATCCAGGACCGCTTGGCCCAACGGGCCACGCGCGAGAGGACCAAGAACCGTATCGCCTACTTGGAGCAGCGTCTCAGCAGCCTCGAGTCAGGCGACAGAGACGGCGAAATCGCCAACCTGACCCGCATTATCGACGGCTTGCGCAGTGACAACTACCGCCTGCGCAATGCATTGGTCAAGATGCGGAGCGTCATTGACCAAGCGGTGCGGACTGCCGATGTCTCCTCCGTGAGCGGTGGTGAGGATGCTCAGCCAGACAACACCACCACCACCACCACCACCAAGCCCTGTGGATGCAGCGTGCAGTCCCCTTGCACTTGTGCTCAGACACCATTCACCGCAGCAGGAGGAGGCGCTCCTCCAGCGACGGTAGGATTCGAAGATCCCAGTGCGGCCTTTCGTCACACGTCCGTGTCCTCGACCGACACGACGTCAGAGGTCACCGAGGTGATCAACAGCCAGAGTCTGGGCTTGAACGTGGACGTGACACAGCCGGATCCCGCCATGGGCTCGGCGCCGGGCTTGGAGGACTTTTTCGACTTCAGTCCGAACTCGCTGCTGGAGATGTTTGAGATGGGCAGCACCAATGGTTTCAACGGGTGGCAGCCCCAAACGCCCTCACCGTTCGACTATCGCTTTCCTTCGTCCGATGCCGTGGTCAAGGTCGCCCCGGACGTGGACAAGTGGCACGTCTCCAACGGGGCCTTCATCAGCTGCTTGGACAGCGTCAAGCATCAGACGGCGTCGACCGCCACCCTCGACATGCATGTGCCGTTCAAGGCGGCCATCTGGGGATGGGACAATGTCGGCCCGGAAGCCCAGCACCCGGTGTGGAATGCGCTGCGGCAGGTCGACCAGAGAGTTTTTGGCACATGGACGTCCAAAGCGCAGAGGATCGCCTTGATGTACGTCTGCCAAACACTAATCCAATACCGAGAGAATCCGATCAAAGAGAACCTGGAACGGGTCCCCGTCTTCCTGCGACCGAGGTATGCCTGGCTTGCTTAATACTCGGGAATAGAGATGCCTTGCTGACCCCCTTCCTCCTTAGACCGTCACAAGAAAAGATCCAACATCCAGCCGTGATAGATTTTCTGATATGGTATGTCTTTTACCCCATCCAGTCCCCTGGGGTCTAGAAGCCCGGCTTTAACCAAAAGGCCTGTCTAATAACAATCCAGGCCCGGACTTCGCGACCGCCTCGTCTTCGAGCACAAGAAATACACGTCGACGGGCGACTTCTCGGCCGCCTTCGTCGAAAACTTCAATTTCCACTGGCCCTACTCGGACCGCGACATCTTCGCCTACAACCCGGTCCAGAACCGTTACGAGGTGTCCAAGATCTTCCTCGAGTACGCGTACAACTTCAAGAACTGGACCATGAGGCCGGGATTCTTCAAGAAGTTCCCCGAGATGCAGCACGACATCGCCGCCTTTGAGGGGACCATGGATTTTCCCAAGGCGAGCTGGTCGGTCTGAGGTAGATGAGGAAGAAAGAAAAGGTGGTCAGCTCTATTATTCCACCCAATTATCTACCGACGAGGATGTGCCAGCGACCATCCTTTTTGGAGTGATCCGAGTCATCCTCACCTGGCAACCACTCCAAGTCCGGCCATATCATGCCAATATAGTTGGTTGCTCGCGCCGCCCAACTTGAGGAGTGATGGCCTACGGAATCTGCACGTACAGATCGATATTTTAAGTTGACATGCCATGCATTGCTTCAACCTCAGTGCGGCATTCCCAAAGACGCCGCCGATGTATGCATCAGTGCGACGACGGAAGTGCTGGTCGTGGTCGTCTGCCGTGAGTCATGACACTCTGTCAAGCTGTCATTGGTGCATTAGAGGCTGAGAGCCATCCTTGGACCAACCGCCCGCTGGAGTGGAGAGACATGCTGAAGGCCACTGCGCAGCTACTACGACTGGAGCACTCGTTCGAGCGAGATCAATAAAAAACACAAGTGGTTTGGTTGGGCTCCTCGAAAAAGTCTGGTCTCTTCAATTCGATCAAGATACAAAAGCTCAGACATGGTCTACATATTCGAGATCTGTCTAGTAGGTATTCTCGTTGATGGTGAATCCGCTAGAATGGCACCCAACGTCAGCAAAACAGAGGAACTGTGAAGGAGGGGTTTGGAAATAGGGCAACATCAAGCGTGCCTGGTGGCATTACATACCCATCAATGACAAGGTTGTGGCCCACCACCAGGCTCATGCGCGGAGTGCTCAGGAGCACCACGACGTCGCCGATCTCGTCGAACGTCGCCTTGCGACCTTGTCGGGCCTCGTACTCCTCCCACGCCTTGGACGCGAGCTCGCCGTTTCCTTGCTTCATGAAGGGGTCGAGGAGCTTGGTCAGGAGGAAACCCGGCGACACCGCGTTGACGCGGATGTCGTGCCGGCGGGCTTCGAGGGCAACCTGGATTGGGGCAAGAGGTATTAATCGGTGGTGACGACAACGACGACGGCCAAGGGGAAGCGAGGCAAGAAGGGATAGTCAGGGTCGCATGCATTCAGTCATATATTACTTACCGATTTTGTAATGCCCATCACGGCATGTTTCGACGCGGTATATCCCGAGGTGCCAGCACCAGCCTGGATGGAATTGACAGATGCGCAGTTGACGATGGAGCCTCGTTGACGGGGTCGGCCTTCCTCGCTGTCGAATGCCTCAGCCTTGGCCCGAGATCAGATCTCCTGCCACTTACACTTCGATTGATTCTTGTTTGATCATTTGCTTCAGCTCATACTTGTTGCACAGCCACACTCCAACGGTGTTGACTTCGATCACTCGCTTCCATTGATCCGTGTCGGTTTCCCACGTCTCGCCCAAAGGTCCGATAATGCCGGCAAAGTTGCTGTGTCGTTCTCTGTCTCAGTAATGCTCCTCAAATCACATGCCACCAGAGAACTGGTCAGAGGGAGAGGGATAGGGTGCACTGACGCTGCATAGTCGATGCGTCCAAACTCCTTGACAGCTTCATTGACCGCTCGTTCCACGTCCTCCTCCTTGGTCACGTCGGCACGGATACAAAGCACCTATGACGTGAGTCAGGATGATCAAAATTAATTCGGAACCGTCTCTATCCCTTTTGGGGAGCATAGTTTCCCGCTTGGTAAGTAATAGCCCTTACCTTGGCACCGTATTTCTCGACGGCTTTCTTTCCCTCTTCGAATGTCGCCTCGTCTTGGATGTCGACGATGCACACGCCTTTAGCACCCTCCTTTGCAAACGATACACAAATAGCGTTCCCTAGCCCACGCGCGCCTCCAGTGACGAATGCAATGCCTGGGGCAACAGGTCCCGAGCGAAAGACCATTCTGCCGAGGCTCAGAGACGGAACGGATATGGAGTATTGGCGGTTTCGCAGGTCACAACACTTCGCAAAGGTGTACAGCTTCTGCAATTTATGTCGCTGATGAATAGAGGTGGCACGACGTCCGTCAACGGGGTAGCGAGTGGGATCTTCTCCAGCGTCCCGATCAGCATCAGCAAGCAATGACTGAGCACCTCTCCAACGACCTTTGTACCTAGGCTCGCGGGATTGGACACTCACAGCCTTGTTGATTCCCAGTGCTTGCCCCCGCTTTCTCCACATGCATATACACCAAGAGGTTTGAGATCGTTTCGCCTGGTCTTCCCCACAACCAGCGGTTCTATGCTTGGTAGGAGGTGCAGGTTGGACCTCGGATAGGAAGCAAATCCTTCGTGTTCTTCACACAAAAGTCTTGTCAGTAGCTGTTCCGCGGTTCTCTCGTATGCCCATCAAGCATTTGATTGCACAGCACGGCTCGCCGGCAAACTCATCCCTGGTGGCGTGAACTGGCGACCTGTCAGGAAATGCTGAATCACAGCAAATTCTTGAAAATGGGCCAAATTCTATCGCTCGCTCATTATTCAGGCTCGTGCGGGGATGCCGAACTGAAAGGTAGATTCAGTGGATGCTCCCAAGCAGCGATTACCGAAGCCCATATAGGAGAGTGTTGAGTGCGAGTGGCTGTTTCAATCAACTTGAGTTGTAACCCTTCCTTGCAGTTGTCGCGATCCCTCCATTCCAGCTCCCTTTCAGTCCTTCGAAATGGTGGGCGAACTCGGTTACAAGGTTGAGCCGCAATGGCATTCGAAGCCAAATTACATCCGGGTGATTTGTGTTGGTGCCGGTGCGGCAGGCCTGCTTGTGGGATACAAGATGAAGAAAGATTTCAAGAATTACGAATTCGTCTGCTATGAGAAGTTTGTACTCACCTTTCACCATCTATGAGAAGGCCCGCTGACAACTCCATAGAAACTCCGGGATTGGTGGAACGTGGTTTGAGAATCGGTATCCAGGTTGCGCTTGTGATGTTCCCGCACATGCGTATACCTATTCCTTTGAGCCAAATCCAGAGTGGTCGAGTTTCTACGCCTATGCGCCGGAGATCAAGCAGTATTTTGAGAAATTCGCCGACAAGTACGATCTGCACCCCTCGATAAAACTCAATTCCAAAGTTCTATCGGCAACTTGGGTGGAGGACAAAGGCATCTGTGAGTCCACGCGACGACACCACGAGGATCTCCTGGAGACTGACCTTGGGTAGACGAGGTTGAGGTTGATTCCGAAGGTCGTAAGATCAACGACTGGTGCCATGTCATCATAAATGGCACCGGTTTTCTCAACAACTGGAAGTGTGAGTGCGAGTAGTTGTCCAACACCAGTGAGATATTGACCATTCGGCAGGGCCAAAGATCGAAGGACTGCATGACTTTGCGGGGCAGCTTCTTCATAGCGCAAACTGGGACACATGTAGGCTTTCCATCTGCCGTCGACCCCCAACATGACTGACCTTTGCTAGCGGTTGACTACACGGACAAAACGGTTGCGGTAATTGGAACAGGATCGTCCGCCATTCAAATTGTGCCCCAGGTCCAGAAGAAAGCAAAACATCTGACCACGTTCATGAGATCTGTGACATGGATTTCTCCGCCCGTTGGAGGCCAAGTTCTTGAAGAAGACAAGAGCCATTCATCAGACTCGAGTCAAGCCCAGGCTCCTCAGGCACAATACTGGTACACGGAGGAGGACAAGAAGAAATTCCGCGAAGATCCTGAAGCGTTGCTTGAATACCGAAAGAAACTCGAATCAAGTGTCAACAATCTGTTCGATATGTTCATCGCCGGATCGGAAACATCCAAGTGGGCCGAGAAACTGATGCGCGAAGAAATGCACCGGCGGATCGGACCCGGGCATGAAGAGCTCAAGGAGAGATTGATTCCAAAATGGGCACCAGGATGTATGTTGCATTGCGATGCTTTCAGATGGATTGTTGACACTTCGAACAGGCCGAAGAATAACTCCTGGCGACGGCTATCTCGAGGCTTTGGTTAAAGACAGTTAGTATGCTAGAACGTTTCGTCGACCTCGGCTAACGGAATCACAGATGTGACGCCCATCCATAACGAGATCGTCAAGGTCGTGCCGGAAGGACTGATCGATGATGCTGGTCGGCTGCACAAGGTCGACATACTTGTTTGCGCAACGGGCTTCAACCTCGCGTTTGCGCCGCCATTCAAAGTCCTCGGAGTTAACGGTGTCAACATGGCAGACGAGTTCAACCCTGAACCACACGTCTACCTCGCCCTGACAGTGCCCAAATTCCCCAATTATTTTGTTGTGAATGGTGTCCGAGGCAATTGGGCCTCTGGGACATCTCTCCCATCGCATGAGGTCCAAGTCGAATACATCTTGCAGTGCATGAAGAGAATGCAAGAGGAGAACATTCGAGCCCTCGAAGTTAAAATGGAGCCAGTGAAGCAGTTATACGAGCATATCGATGAATGGCACAAGGGTTCCGTCTGGAACACGGAGTGCAAGAGGTAGGTTTGCGACCACCATTTGGATCAGACACGACAGCTAACAAGACCAGTTGGTATAAGAACAATATCATCGGCGGTAAGCTGTGGATCTGGGGTGGTTCGGTAAGTAAGAGGCATCTTCCATGGAAACAAGGCTGACTTCAGTAGGCGCTCCATTACATGAAAACCATCAAGTTCGTCCGATGGGAGCATTATGATTTCCGATATAACAACAAGAACATGTGGTCATTCCTCGGCAATGGTCGCGTCGAGGCTGAAGTGATGAAAGATACTTCAAGATTAGCACCCTACATGAGGAACGAGGACGTACCTTGGACAATAGACTGACCAACCACGTTGGAACATGTGTGTGTGTAGATTGCAGGATGAATATTAGTAAAGCAGAAACTTTGACATGTAGAGAGGAGAAGCTTAACGCAAACTGTACGAAGTGTCATGTCGAATCTTATTTTTGCATGACATTATTGACTGACTTAGTCAAAAGTTGTCCTGCGGGGCCAACAGGTGTAGGAGTCTCATCGAACAATGACAATCTGGAATATTAGAAACGCCACCTGCTCAAGGAAATGTGGGGAAGAATACAACTCTGCACCTCGGTAGTCACTGAATCAGTCGGATCCTCGTCAGCGAGCAACGTTCCATTATGAAGTGGTGCACATATCAACCCATTGAAAGTGTAATGTTTTGCCATCTCCAAAGGGAAACCAGCCCTTAGACTTGCTTCAATCCGTCACTAGCCTCGAAAGTTCTGAGGAAAACCGTCGTTACATCATGAAAGCTGCAAGATATCACGGGCAGCGCGATTTGAGGGTTGAGGATGTGGATGTTCCACAGATCGCGAACGGTCAAGCTCTGATCCAGATCGAATGGTGTGGGATATGTGGCTCTGATCTGCACGAGTATCTGGTCGGTAAGTCGCAATATCCGAAGATATTATTTTCGAGACCATGCCTGAAGAAATCGTCAGGACCAGCCGTTATACCCAGGAAGGAAGCACCCCATCCCCTGACTGGGGCAGTGCTGCCTGTAACGATGGGCCACGAGTTTTGCGGTCGAGTGAGCAAGGTTGGTCCAAATAGCAAGTTACGAATCGGCGAGCCTGTCATGGTCGACCCGCGGTTCTTCTGTTCCAGCTGCCATTCCTGCAACGTCGGCGACACCAACATTTGCAATAGTTGGGGTTTCTTGGGACTGCAGTCCAATGACGGAGGAGGCTATTCGGAATACGTCGCAGTCAAAGAGGACATGTGTTATGTCCTGCCTGATTCAGTACCTTTATCCGAGGCCGCCTTGATTGAGCCGTTGACGGTCGCCAGGCATGCAACCAAAAAGTCTGGATTCGACGATTATCGAGACAAAACTGTTCTCGTGCTTGGTGGCGGTCCCGTAGGGCTGGCTTTGATCTTTGTCTTAAAGGCCTCGGGAGTCGGCAAACTCATCGTGAGCGAGCCAACGGCGAAGCGGCAAGAACAGGCGGCCAAGTTTGTCGACGTCGTGTTGAATCCCAGGGAGGTCAATGTGCCAGATAAATGCCGTGAATTAACGGACGGCAAGGGAGTGGATATTGTTTTCGACTGTGCAGGCATCATGCCAGGTCTGAAAGATGGTATGGATGCTCTTCGACGAGGCGGGACATATGTTAACGTTGCTGGTTGGGAAAGAGAGGTAAAGGGATTCCTTCACATCGAAGAGCTTCCCATAGCTAACCAATCCTTGCAGTGCATTGTGCCGATGGGACATTTCATGTTGAAAGAGATCGTCTTCAGGGCCTCAATGAGCTACACCGAAGAAGATTTCAAACAGACTGTGGACGAATTCGTTGCAGGTAAAGGATTCCGCCCGAGATATCTGGAGCCGTAACTAACCTAATCTAGGAAAATTCAAGGGATTTGAGAAGCTGGTTACGGCAAGAATAGCATTGGACGACGTCGTGGCCAAAGGGTTCGAGGAGCTGGTCAACAACAAAGATGATCACGTCAAGATCATGGTGACTCCCAGGAAGGAGCTGTTGGTGCAGTCATGAAGGACGACAGTGTCCAGTAGACATTGTAGAGTGGTTGAATAGAGGCTGTGGAGAACACAAGCGTTGCCAAGGCATGTCATGTGACAATGAGTGTCGGGTACGAGACTGTTGCCACGGGAGGAACCGAGGCGGCGACCCCACTGGAACTTTTTGTTTTTCCGCAGCCCAAATTTCATGCCTCAACCTTTCGACAGACAATTCAGATATGATTTCTTCGGGGTCCAATTCACTATGAAACCCCCCCCTTGTTAGCACCGGTCTCCCTTCTCTCCATGGACGCCCACGCGCATTTACTTTCTCTCGGCTGGGCAGGACCCGGCCATTCCCTTGACTCGAGACCATACAAACAAAAAGGGCATCGAGGCCTGGCTTATGATCCCGCAAAGGTCGGCAATAACGGCGTCGGTCTTGTCAAACCCCTCTCGATCTCACAAAGAAAAGGACGATTTGGTGTTGGAAGGAAGACGCATGAACCTCCAGCTGGAAATCAGTGGTGGCTGAAGGGTTTTGAGAATGCGTTGGGAAACATTGGCAAGAGCGAGAGTGAGAGAAGTAGCGGGACAGCTACTCCAATAGCAAATGACTATGGTGCCGGAAAACATGGCGGACTTTACAGCTTCTTCGTCAAGGGTCAAGAGATGGAAGGCACCATTGGGAAAGTCGGCGACATGAAACGAACTTCGAAGAAGCGGAAGAGCGATGCCCTCGACGATGGAGAACTGGATGATACCGCAGAAGCTACAGAGATCAAAGGGCGAGAAGCTACGGCTGAGTTCGAAGAGGTTGGGGCATTCTTTGCGTTACGTGATAAAGACGAGAAGCGTTCCAAACGTGTGCAAAAACAGCATCCTGTTACAGAATTCGAGCAAGTCGGCCAGTATCTTCAGGCAACGTTGGAGAAGAAACAAAGGAAACGGAAATCGCAAATTGGGCTCGACACCCTGGTCGACGTTGATACCGAAATGCGGTCACCGCCGGGCCATGTAGAAACGAAAGAAACGAAAGAAGAGAGGCGTGAACGACGGCGGCGACGGAAAGAGAAGAAAGAGCAGAAGCGAAACGCATTGGCAGATCTGGAAAACCACAAGCAAACTCCCTTACTCAACGATGCTGATCCCGAAGATCCGGGCGCCAAAGCTGAACGAAGAGCAGAGCGCAAGCGAAGGAAAAGTGAAAAGTCTACCAAGTCTTCGAAGCAGAGCTAAGCATGAATTTCGAAATGTTCTTTCCTGGTTTCTGGGGGTTTCAATTTTCCGACTTTGACAGTGTCCGTAAGATCCATCTTGGGCAGCTGGCCACATCTACTCGTTGACGGCTTCTGCACCTTCACGTCTTCCACCAAACGCCTTGATTATCAATGCCGCTCACTAGGTGAGCCTTGCCACTTTTGTGCTGGTGGGAGGGATGTGTATCAAGGTGCTCGAATCTCCTTTACGCGCATCAGGCTGTCCTGGACTACGTGGTTATGCTTCATTGGTCAAATGCAAGACGGGGCCGATGGTCGTGACGCCTGCCTAAGTTCGAGTTCTGCCAACTGACTACTATCGGGCACAAACCACGTTCTTCCAACAATCTCCAAAACCCAATGCAGCTCCCTACTATATGCAAGGCAATAGCAACCTAAACAGGTTATCCTCTGGTAACATGGATTCCCTAGCAACAGTGGCACTCTTGATGGAGAGTCATGAAGACTGGGGCTCGCTGCACTACGCTGCCAACGACGAGCTGGAACAAATGGCTGTCGCCTGATCACTGCCCGACTCACGCTATGCCCAAACTTCCAGCGTTTTCATATATTACTGGCATAAATGGTTGAGAGCCGTATTGCAATCATTCATGGCAGAAGGGCTATTGCACCAACTGACGAAGCCGGCCAGCGGCTCAATTTAACCCTTTTCCACATCGACGAGCTTGGCTTAAATTGATGGTCCGTTAGCAGTTCCAATTTCGAATGGTTGACTTGAAAAATACCTCAGATGTATTCGTCTAGAATAGCGTACCACGAAGACGACCCGAGACTATCAATTGGGATACTTGCGTCGGCGCTCCGGGATGTTGTCACTCTCGGACTGTCTACAGCACGGGGAGTGGGTGCATACAACCGTCTGATTTGGAAGCTGGCCCGCTTTGTGCCGTTCCAGTCGACCCTCCGTCATACAGTGGGAGCGACAGCAGGGTAGCAATCCAGGGGCCCTCTAATCAGCAATGTCTGGCGGGCTCGGTATCTCGTATGCGTCGAGACGCAGGAAATCTCTACAACCTTGGGCGCAAGAACATGTTTCAAGGGCCAACTGCTGTAAGAGATATCTTGTCATATCTCGAAAAATAGACCTGTGATCGTCTCGAATCTTGTTAGCAGACAGAAGAGAACTTGTGGACTGACTTTCAAGCTGAGATCTCAGGGCGAAGGCTGGATGTTATGATGCTGTAATAGTTAGTTGGAACTATTTTTTAAAACTGCGCAACATTGCCGTCTTGGTCAACAGTACCAATACGGAGACTCAATGCGCTGTCACCAACCTCCTTCCAAATCATTTTTTATTTTTTTGGGTCTGTGTTTCAATGCATATTATTTCTGTGTTCATTTCCTACAGTTTTATGATGTTGACTTCGTTACTCGGCGCCAGCGTGGGATAGTGAGCTTTGTTCTGATTCGTATGTTTCCTGTTGGGCGTTGTTGGGTGTTTGCTTCCTATCACACTTAAGCCACCTGGTTTGCTTTGTAGACCGGAACTTCAACTACCCTCCCTCAGCGGTCTCACAGTTCAACGTGGTAATGCACCAGCTCGTGGACTGGGACATCCGTGCAGAAAGACATCTTGCATGCATGTTTTCGTATACAAACGAAAATGGTCAGTCCATGGGGTAGGCGCGTCGTTAACGATTGCGTCCATCATCACGGCTGCTTAAAAAGAACCCGCGTTGACTTGTTGCAAGTAGCCACCGTCGAAGACCAAAAAGAAGACCAACGTTGTGTTCATTTACACGTGTTGCCGGTGTGGACAGACGCCGATCAGCATTCAGAAACACCACTGCCCTTCCTGTGACCATACCCGCTGCAGCAACTGTAAATGTGAAAAGGTTGTCCAGAGATAACACCAACGACCTTGAATCTTCGAACAATCGAGACTCTTTTTCCGCGCCACCCCTATTCTTCGACATATGCTGGCTCACCGGTTGGGGGACGCTCGCCCCAGGCCATTTCCCGCAATTCTTCCTGGGACAAGAAAGAGCAGGCACCGGGGGAGAAAATGTGGGAGTTGGGGGCTGCTGGAGAAAATCCCAGGCAAGAGAAGGAATAGAGGCCAACTTTCAATTACTCTTCTAATCCCATCTCGGGTGCAATGTTGTGGTTCACGACTGCTGAAACCATAATGATGATTTGAGTCGATGACTTCTGTGTGCGTGGTGATTGGAGGTATACCCCCGGCGTGGAACATCACTTCAGGACTTGGATTTAGGAGTTCGTGTGTGATGGCTTTCGCCATCTGAGGTAGGAGGATCAAGACCCTGAGACCAACAGTTAGTTCGGTCGTTCTTTTGGGAGTATCTCCAAAGGGCCGCTTGCTCTTTGGCTTCGACCACTGTTCTGACATGGCACCTCGTGCATACGAGTCGTCGTGGGAGCTTCTGGCACGCGCCTACGAAAGTCAATGGTCGCACAGTCATGCCTGGGCAGCCGGTGCCGCAAGAGGATCTGCCCTGCAATCTTTGCGTCCTTCTTACAGCTGAGCAACCCGTTCGATGCACCACTGCATTGAGAGCCGCATGGACCTTTTGGCATCTCTTTGGCGTCACGTACACGAATCGCCACTTGCTTTCGTATCCACAACTATGAGCCAGCTTCGTACTGGAATAAGAAAATCTATCCACACGGAGCAAGGTTTCCAACAGCACCATTACCGATGTAAGATTGAAAGCACACGGAATCTCTGCGCATTCCGTAGAGACTAAAGTCATGCGCCTAGGTATCAAGTAGACTTTCAACAAAAGGCGACCAGATTCCTGTCAGGCGTAGACACCAGCAGATGTCGACCAAGCCGGGCCTTTGGGCAATCAGCGCTGTACGTCTCTGACTTTTCCGACTCTTCGGTTAATCGAGGCTACTCGCATTGCTTCTGCTTAATGCGAGGTCTCGACTGAGGTACCTGTCTAAGAATGTGGCTTGGACAACATGATGCCCAAACAACGCGAGTTACACGTCTCTAGCAGCATCGAAGCCGACGGAGCAAGTTACGTGCCGCACAGAAGCCTGAGTCACAGGGTAGAGCTGAGCATTTCGGATTTGTAACTCACCAGGGAATGAATCGGCGTCAACACCAAGGGCAACGGCACATGGACCAGGCGATGCGAGCAAAGCACTGAAAGTCGGGGCTGGTCGGGTGTCATGTGCGTCACCTGTAGGGCGTCGATCTTTCTTCGGTTCTGTGGCTGGTGCCGCAGATGCACCGACCTTGCTGTCCCGGCGCCTCTTCACCTTGTCGACCACATCAACCACACTCTCAAAAATTCCCCCCGTGCCCCCCCATGCTCCCTCGGTCCAACGACGTGGCATTTCGAGCACAGCCCAATCACCTAGCTTTGGAGCCCGAGTCCTTCTTACGAGATGCGATGGATGTGGTTGAGGAATGCTGATGCCTTGCCAGACTTCGCCTTACTTCCCAGCCCGCTTTGTTGGATCCAATGGCCTTGATTTGCCACAAGAACTGATTTTGGGGGCTTCTCTTCTCACGGACCTATCATTCCCACAGATTGAAGATCTGCACGTCCCAAGCCCTGCTAAAGATGAAGGTGCAAGTCTGTTGCAATCACAGCCGCCAGATCGAATGGTGGCATCTCATCGGCGTTGATATACAAGTGCCTCCTCCACCCATGCGCAACTTTCCTATGCAGGAACAGCAAAGTAACCATGATACTGATATTCCAGCATTGCTGCCCGCATCCTCTATGTGCGTGGCCCTCTCACCCAACTTACCGTCGCACCTGAGTATACCCCCCAAGACTGGTCGCCCTCATGGGAAAACGCAAAACAAAACAACGGAGAGTATCCCATGGTAGGGATGAAAACCAGGCCGAACAAGCCGAACCTCTACGTGATGCGCCCCCGGCACCGGCCCTCGAAAACTGGCCCACAATATTTCAGCAACGGCGAAACATCCAACTCGGAGTCGAAAACAAATCGCATGTTGCCGTTAGAGCCGAGTTGGGCGAGGACGAAACCGACGACATGGTCCGGATTTTCATGCGCGAGCCCGAAGAATCAGAGGGCTGCCTGCCACGAGCCGACAGAGTTGAAGAATTTTGCTTTGGGATGAACACTGATCGTCTCCAAAAAGCCCATCCCAACCCAGATGGGACTTTGCGGAGGATCGCTTGGCTTGATGATAGGAATTTGGAGGCTCCTCTCGATCTGTCAAGAGCACACTGCAAGCCTCTGACGGTGTATGATCTCTGGGAAGAACTGGAAGCCCCTCGCTTTCCCTCGGCAGGTCATGTCGCTTCTCCGGCCACTGGAGGCTCCCAAACGACTTTGGCAGATGCAGACCGGCGGCTCATTTTCATCTCGGACCTGGACTGCTACAGCATCTATGCCATAATACGAACGGCTTCTACTCACCAAGCTTCCGCTCTCCGGGGAGCCTTGTACAATCATCTGGAGTTTGAACCCTCCTTGGAATTAGCCGCGATCACGGAAGGATTTCCAATGTTCAAACTCGCATTTCACCTACCCTTCTTCGTCTTGAGCACTTCAAAGGCTCAACAGACGGATTCCCGCCGGGACCGGAACGGGGTTTCCTTACGACGCTCGCGAGATGTTTCGTTCCTCGATCAGAAGGACACTGCATCTCCAATTTACCTCTATGATGCCCAAGTCTCCTGCGTAGTTGCAGGTTTGGACTGGTCGAGGTGGGTCGCATGGCTCTTCGTCGACACCTATTACTTCGATCCAGAAGACCCATCAGAAGAAGACGTTCTGGAGTACTATGAAGATGGGCTTCCCGAGGCTGGCATGCGTGCAGATCCGCTCACATACGGGTTTCTAGATGCTGACAAGCCAATCTGGGACCCTCAAGAATACTTCTTGGTGGTATTCAAAACTCGCTTTGCGCAAACAGAACGAGAATGGAGGCGAGTGGTGATGAAGCTGAAATCAAGTTTTCGACACCATCAGTCTACGCATGAATATCGACTCTGCTCTCCAACATCCGGTGGCCCCTCCAAAGACGAGAGTCATACCGAAAGCCTCCGCCGTTCCCTTGATTGGGTGCTGTTGTTTATGCACCTCGCAAAGGAATTGAACGAAACTCTATCAAAGACCGTCAAGAGCTACGAACCATTTTGCTCCAAGCAGGCTGGCGGCTGTGTTGGCGGGCTCAGTTTTCCACACGCGAACAAGTCGCTTCCTTCGATTCAGAAGACTTTCGATGAGCTGTGCCAACAGAAAGAGACCCTGGACCATCTTCTGGATCGCTGCGCTCAGTATACCAAAGAGCTTCAGTTCAAACTCGACCTAGAAGTTCGCGAAATAGGCAACCAACAAATAAGACTCGCGCTCGAAGCCAATCGATTCAACAAAGGGCTTGCATGGATTATGATGATTTGCGTTACACCGGTGGCGCTGTCGTCGAGCGTATTCTCAATGCGGCCCACAGTCATCCCTTTCATTCCATCGACATTTGGGTGGTTCGTGGCCCTAACTGCCATGCTCTCTTTCGCGGGTTTTCTCGTCTCCACGACGTGGTTTTGTTGTTGGCCGGAAGTGAAGGCCGCAACTTTTCAACACTATTGTGTATTGTCTGGCTTGATGCGAACAACGGTTGCCGTAACTGTGCAATATTGCTGTGCGTTGTCTGGCTTGTTTCGGGTACCGCAACAACTCAGGAATGACCCGACGGACGAAGATTTCGGCAATCTGGCCGCAGCTGCGAACTCTCCTGTCTGAAATACTGACCAGGAAGTTTGCCCGCTCATCGATTGGCCTATGAAGGATAGGCCACCCAACTTTCAGCACGCGTCTGCAACACTGGAAGGCGGGAACTTACAGGATGGACCACCTTTGTCCATTTTCGGTGGCAGTGGCATTTAGCAGCCAACTGAAGCAATAGGATCGAATGAAGATCTGAGATACGATCGACAGCGATTTCGAGCAACCAAGGGTGAAGCTAGAATAGTCACAATGATACCGCCAATCATCGAATCTCCCTGTTTCGTTTCCTCCCTGACAAGCATGTGCCCGAGTGGCTTGCTGCGCAGCAGTTGGCGCCTCACCCCCTCCAGCAATCCTGATGGGTGTCACACGATGATTGGCCGAGTATTTCGGGAATACCACTGCTATATCTTCTGACTGATACGTCACGTACAAATGTTTCTTTCACTGTTTCACCCTCTTCCACGACTACACTACGTTTCACGCATCGAGCGAAGATGGCAACAACGTCGGCCGAAGGTCTATATGGCTTCCTTAAAGCCATGGGCATTGAAGATCCGAGCTTTGTGTCGGCGAAACCAGAACTTTATAGCAATCCACTTGCAATCTACTTCTCGCATCTGACGGAACTCATCGTCCAACTCACGGATTGTGAAAAGCATATCGCCTACAAGTCAATTGTATGGGCAAGTGATATGACCCATCTGGTGGTTGTGGCGCCTCGTCTTCGACTCAAGGGCGTCGATTCCGAAGACCTCGCCGCCGACTTACAGCAAAGGGTCAGTGTCCTTCGTGATTTCTTTGAACCGACATGCCTCCCCACGAGCTTTGTGAATGACTTTGAGACAGTTCCCAGCTTCACCTCTCTTTGGACATCCCGTCAACGATGGGATCAACCTCTTGTTTTACTTTTCGAACACCAACCTCGCCCATTTACTTCTCTCCTATGTCATTGACCGTGGCTCTTCATATGGCAATAATCTGTTTACCGAAATCCCAGCCGAAAATGGAGTAGGGGCAAAGGGGCAAAAGGTCATCGTTGAGTTTTCATCGCCAAACCTTGGGAAAGCGTTCACTGGCCTCCACCTGAGAAGTACAATCGTTGGTACATTCGTCGCCTCTATCTACGAAAGGCTGGGTTGGGACGTGACCAGGATGACATTTCTCGGTGACTGGGGCAAGCATGTTGGACTTCTGGCGGCAGGCTGGGCGCGGTTTGGGTCCGACGAGCAATTCGAGGCTGATCCCCTACGACATCTGCTTGACGTGTATAACCAGATTGAAGACCTCTTCAAAAAAGAGCAGGAGGCTGCGAAGAATATTTCTGACGGGCAAGACGTCACCGACGTGAGCCACGAGATTGAAGCAGAGAGAGACGACTTTTTCAAAAAACTGGAGGACGGCGATGAGGATGCTCTTGCCTTGTGGAGAAAGTTCCGCGAGGTCTGCATTGCACGGTATACCGAACTCTACGCACGCCTCGGCGTCAGGTTTGACGATTACTCGGGTGAATCGGATGTCTCTCACGAAGCCATCGAAGAGGTCGAAAATGCATTGAAGGAGAAGGGTGTGTATAGGGAGAGCGATGGCGCTTGGGTGATTGATATCAATAGGAACGACGAAAAGCACGGGTCGGCTATTGCGCGGTTCCGTAATGGCACGACGACTTATTTACTAAGGGATGTTGCCGCGGTCCTTGAGCGGAGCAAGAAATATTCTTTCGACAAGATGATTTATGTGGTCTCGGTACGACAGACTACACATTTTCAGCAAGTGTTTAAGGTCCTCGACTTGATGGACCGCTCCGACCTGGCGCAACGACTCGATCACATCGGCTTCGGCGACGTACATGGTCTCTTGCCGAAGGAAGGGACAAGTGGCCTTCTCTTGGGTGACATGCTAGATCAATGTCGCGATGCAACCAAGCTGGCGCTGGACGCAGATGAAGAGACAGCCCAGCTGTTTTCAGGGGACGACCCGTCGCACGCTCTGGATGCCTTGGGTGCCACCAATCTTATGGTGGACGATCTATCAACCAAACGCGGCGGTGTGTTCAACTTTGACCTCACCAATCTGGCCAACGAAGGAGACTATACTGGCCTGAACCTGCAAAAGTGGTATACAAAGGTTGGCTCGAAACTCCGCAGCGTCGAGATCGATCGTGCAGAGCTGGAAAGTGCAGATTACAGCGTGTTCGAAGGTGAGGACAATACCTATGCCGACATTCTCAGGCTCCTCGTCCAGTTCCCGGATATCATGAAGACATCCTTTGAGAGGCTGGAGTCGTCTCAGGTTTTGACATTCCTATTCAACATCATTGACCTCTTGCCAAACACCTGGGAGGCCGAGGCCGAGGCTGCAGACTCCACTCCGAGCCTTGCCAAATTGGCCTTCTACAAATGCTGCCACATCGTGTTGGAAAACGGGATGAGGGCTCTGGGGCTGATGTCTCTGACGGATTGACGCCCAAGAGCAACTTCGACTTGCTGGTCCTGGGCCAAAACCAACGCGTGCCTACGCAGGCCCCCTCAAGGATTCCTCGACTATTTTCGAAATAACTCTGTACAGTGCCGATTGACTGTGAGCTAAGCTGGCTGTTGGGCATGATTCAGATCAGTTTCGACTCCATGTTTACATCAACCTTTGTTATATTAGCGAGTACCTACCCTAAGACACCGCCCGAATTTGTGGATTTGAGCCTCACTTCTGCCACGAAAGTCCTGGAGTCTGAGCAACATCTCAGACAAGTCACCTCTGTCGGATTTCGACTGTATAGACACCCAAGAGCATGTGGTTCAGCGCGTTTGTCAATTCGCCGCAAGGTATTTCGGGCATCGGAAATGCGAGCAGCGGTTGCCTCGCGCTAATGCGCCGTTGACAAAGGCTGCTGGGCCCCGTGCCCAATCTATATCCAGATTTGGGCATTCCATGCACTATCACTATCCGGCTCTTCCAGCTCTCTTTCTCGGACCCGACAAGCTGGCCAGCGCATTGCAGCCTGCCATGCGACGCTTGCGTCAACTAATTAATGCCCAAACACAGCTACTATGGGCGCCCAACAAAGCGCCCAATGATTACAATCCATATCGTCCCGAACCAGTCGGTGCCTGCGACTCTGCAAGGGAGTTTTCCTGCATGCAAAATGTAGGGTAGAGTTCCAGACGGTTTTCAGACATGCTCTAAATACTCTGCGCAGGCCTCAAGCCTACACTTTCGACAAGGACTCATCGGTGTGTCGTGATGAATAAAGCCACCCACACCAAAAGCCCGTCCTAGGATTGTGAGGAGGGCTTGATGCCCGAGACCTTTGGTGCATCACTTCCTGCAGACTGGAATTATTATTCCTGCCCACCCCCCCAGAACCCAGGATCCCTTTCGTACTGCCCAAGTTCTGGAAGCAAAGCCGTGCCTCTTTCGACTGGCTGTGCGAGGAGATGACGCTGCAGACCGCTGAACTGCCCCCCTCTCCTGCTTGACCCCACTGGTCCACTAGTGTGCATATATCCCAATGCCATCGGTGAGGAACGTGATCCAGCCTATTCACAATGGCCATCTTACACGGAGCAGTGCCAAATAAAAAATGATTAGATCATTGGAAGTGACATTGACCGGTGAGTCTACCAAGGCGAGGACTGGCAGATGCAGCCTCAGGTTCAAGGTAAGTCAGCTTCACTTCCCTCCACCACTCAAAGACTTCCACGCATGATTTCCCGGGGTTGGCCATTCACCGTGATCTTGTCTCTCCCCCTACGAGTCTGAACTTGAGGCTCTAACAGGATTAACACGTGCTATGAGAGATTTTCTTTCAGTATACATTGCGCTGTTTTGGCGCTGTTTTCTATCTAGAACTATGGTCACCTTCTCCTTCTTGGGATCCCAAGGCCATTTCATGAGCGATGGATCCTCGTCACCGCGGGCTCTACGTCCAGTTAGTAGATACAGTCGTCCCCATTGGAGCCGTTTCACTAACCAGCCCTTAGATGGTGTCAGAGTCCTCGGGTTGTACTGTTGGTCGGCCAAGATGTTGGCCTACCTGAGCGATTCATCATCCCTGAGGAGCTTCTGCGACGTCGCTCGCGGACACTCAGGGAGCCAATCGCCAGCCTCCCGCCGTATTTTCCCACGAGGGAAATTGCGCTCCCGGAGATCGCTCCTCAGACCATGGAAGAGTTCTTCATTTGGAACCTCACCCCAACTCCTCAAATCGATGATCGACTGAGTTTCATGGAAGTTGTCCAACTCGGAGTGTTCGCCTGGAAGTATCAGGTCTCCGCCCTGAGCAACCAGGTGACCGACGTGATCCGCCACAATCTCGCAAACAATGACTGGAGATTGGAACCTGCTATAGTGGACGCCATTTACCAAGCGGCGCCCGAGAGCAGTCCGCTCCGAGAAGTGGTCAAGGCAGCATTGGGGCAGATGCCGAGATCTAGTATCGATGGCGAGGAATGGGAGAGGACCTGGAAGCGCAATCCAGACTTTGGCTGGGATTATCACATATCATCTGGCAATGACTGGACCGCCAAGGACTATCTGACCGGGCCTTGTCGTTTCCATAACCATGACGAAGTCAAACGTCGGCAGAGCCTGTGTGATGGATGTTCCTATGCCCAAGAAGATTGCTATCCCTATTGGGAAGAGGACGAGGAACCAGAGCAGATCCGGGAGGTCAGAGACACGACCGAAGAGACGCCACCAGTGGCAGATCAGGTTCCGGAGGACAATTTACCCGAGCTCACTGCGACGGAACCAGCAGTTGCAGAAGTGAATGGATTCGAGGCCTCGGTCTTTGAGGATGCGCCGGAACATGCACCCGAAGAGACAACTGACCTCGATACCACTGTTCAGATGAACCAAGTGACCGACAACAGTGTTCCAGAGGACGTGATTGAGGTTGTTGAAGGTATGCAAACACCGCAAGCAGACACCGACAGACTCCGGAACCCCTTTTCTCCTGACGAAGGTCCATGTGAGCCATCGTATGCCGACACATTCAACGATGAAGGGGCTGTGGGGGAAAATGGCATCGTGACCATCACTCTGGAAGAGAAAGGTGTTGACGCTGTGCATGTGGAGGCAGTGAATGAGCACGAGGCCCCTGTGAGCGGAAACAAGAAGAAGAGGAAGAAGAACAAGAAGGGGTCGGGCTTCAACAACGGCACCGTCGACCCCGGTGAAGTAGTGGTTGAGCCCTGACTCTCTGATTCTAGCGTGCCAGAGCTTTCGAGCAGGGGAGAAGCATGAAAGGAACGGAGGAAATGGGGTTTTGCTAGTGAATTCCTGTCTTTTGGTCACTCAGAATGTATCACAAAGGTTAAACTGTCAACAAGTATGAGGCAAAATGGATCTATCTCATTGGACAAGTTTGGGCTTCATGTTGCGAATTGTTTAAAGTTCCTCGCACTGTATTGCCCGTCTCCCAAGTAGTTTCTACCGGTATCCAGGGCCCAGCGGGTAACGGGGTATTATGGTAGCTTGATCCCCAGCTCGATGTACGAATACTCAGAGAGCAATAGGACAGGACACACCAGAGCAAATCCCGTTCTCCACTGTGCAGTTGGCCCAACACAGACACAGGAAGAGTATGTGTTCTCCTTCACATCGAATGTCGTCATTTCAAACATGCCACCGAATATTTCCCGCTGTATAAATCCATACTACATCATAATCAAACATAATATTCACCTCTCTCGCCTCGTCCTCGAACCCATTCTGTATCTCCGTACCCTCCACCCTCTGCATGTTTCGGTGATTAATTAAGTGAGAGTGCTTCTCCGGGCTGAGGTAAATGAGGTAGGTGAAGGGTCGAGAGACAAAAACAAAAACTAAAATTCAAATACAATGGCGCCGTCTCCTCCCGCCGTCACCGACGGGTCTAAGACGTGGGCGCCCTCGCACCTCTTTTCCTCTTCCTCCACCTCCTCCGACGAGGAAACAGCCCCAGGAACCTGGGACAGGATTCACACCCATCTCCGGGCCAACGAGTTTCGTGCCGCCGTCGCCGCGGCCTTTGAACTCCCGCCCGGCGACAACTTCACGTACCACGCCACCGCATCGGTCAACCTCGGCCAAGCGGAGGCAGCCATCCGCGCCGGGAGTGCGAATGGCCTGCACGCCTGGTACGTCGAGGCTGTTACTTCGACGGATTCGGCCGAGGACAGCCATCACGATGGTGGTGATGGGGACCATGACACAGAGTCGAGGATCCCAGGACAGCCGTCGCTCCGAATATCAGGCTACCCGCCGCCAGCAGACGTCCAAGCGTACATTGCGGTCTTCGACCCGACCAAGTCGGCGGCCAACAGCCTGAAATCGCTGGCGGCCAATGCCAAACGGGGCTCCCTCCGCGCTACCGTGGCAGACTATCTCCTAAGCAAACGCTACCTGGACCCCTCGATCACGGTGCCCAAATTCAAAGCCGTTTCTGCGATTGCGACTCACCAGCAGCAGCAGCAGCAGGAGGAGGAGAAGAAGGAATCAAGATCCACCACCAACCAACAACAACAGCTACCGCCCTCCGCCCCCCGCAAGACACAGCACGAGAACCCGGCACTGGATTTCTGGGCGTATTCGTGCATGGCGCTCGAGTACGCGGGGCCCAACGCGAACACGGCACGGGTCAAGACGTCGCACCACATCCTGCCCGTGTACATGCACCACTTCGGCTGCGTGTGCCCGTCGTGGGAGGCGCTGCAGGTGATTGCGAAACTGGCATCGTCGTCATCGTCGTCATCGTCGTCGTCGTCGTCGCCGACCACCACAATGCCGAGAAGTGGCCGCCGTTCCGTGCTCGACATGGGCAGCGGCAACGGGTACTGGACGCTGATGCTGCGACGGCTGGGGCTGGACGTGGTCGCCGTGGACAGCGGGCAGTCGCGGTGGCGCACCGTGTGGATCCCGGACACCCACGTCGCCGACGGCGTGCAGTACCTGCGCAAACGCGCCGGCTGCCCGGAGTCGCTGCTGCTGCTGGTCTACCCGATCGTCGGCAGCGGCGGCGAATTCACCCGCAAGGTCCTCGACGCCTACGCGGGCGACGTCATCTGCGTGGCCGGCACCCAGAACGGCAACGGGTACACCGGCTTCCGCGACATGATGGTCGACGAGTACATGGCCCGCGAGAAGCCGCGGTGGGAGAAGGTCGCGCAGGTGGCTCTGCCGAGCTTTGCGGGCAAGGATGATGCGCTGTTTGCGTTTCGGCGGAGGAAGGATGGAGGAGCTTGATAACTCCTACTAATACCGCTGCTGCTGTTGCTGCTTATAGATGACGAGTGGGTAGGTGGCTGGCTGGGTGGGCGGGTAGAAGAGAGGAGGCGGCGAGGAAAAGCTCACACACAGAGACACAGAGAGAGATACCGTGCGCGTACATGTATGTATGATGGATGGATGGATGGATGGATGTGTGCGCGCGTGTGTGTGTGCGTACATTTCCAATTCCTCGACAAACTCACATTCTATTATTGTGCTACAGTATGTCGGACCACCCGTATGAAAAACAAATATATATAAATCTAGTGAAATAAAGCGGTGTGTGGGCGTAAGTGAGGAGATATAACGGTAGAGGAGAGACAGCACGGGTAGAGAGAGTAGAGAGTATAGAGAGACAGACCATTGGATGAGAGACCGGATATATAGTTGCCTATAGGACTGCTATCGGTCTCCTCTTGACCACCGTCCTCTCGAGCATAGTCTTGTTATCACATATAAGTGTCCTCTTCCTCATCGGCCTCACACCCGGCGGCACAGCAATGAGAGGGCGGTGGTTTCGTCGACCGCAGGAGAGTTGTCGTCCTCTTCGTCGCTTGTGTCTTTCATCTGGCCTGGAGTGCGTCAGAACCTCCAGCTGACTGGATGCCCCTCCTGCTCCGCTGGAAAGTGCCGTCTCTATTACATATCATCGTTCACCTTGTCCTCTGGCTCACCGGCCGAAGACTCAGGCTCTGCAAAGAGGGGCGTGGTCTCATCAACTGTGGGGATCCATGTTGTGTCTTCCTCGTTGGAGCGCTCTGCAGGCTTGGACTCTGCCTCAGAGACTCCTAGAGGATTACCCAAATAGATTCTCTCTGCGATCTTCTGGAGACTGTGGTGTTTGGGGTCCTTCTTCCGCTTCTGGAGGACGTTATTGTCATTGCCATTCTTAACTACCCTCTTCATCGTCGGCTAACGTCGTGAAGTCGAGGTGGCACCTCCGAGAAGAACACCTGACGGACATCGAGATCGGCCAGCTTCAACGCTTTACTCGAACAGCTCGACTGTCGAGGGCCTGTACTTGTCTTCCACAATGGAGTCTTCTCCTAGCTTGGAGGTTGCCAGAGAGACAGTGCCAGAGATTCACCCACCTAGATTCCCTCCTCGCTCTTCTGGATGCCGTTGTCATCATCGTTCTCAATGTCAGCTTCATCTTCATCTCCCTTGTCACCATCGTCGTCCGACACACAATCACCTGCACAGGGGAAGAAACAGTCACAGTGGGGGCCCACTCCACAAGGAATAAGTAGGAAAAGGTAAAGCTCAAGGCGGCCACCGGCGACCGGAACACATGTGAAAAGCTCCAGTCGAGATTCGTCTTGTTGCCATTAAATGAATTGTTGGTACACATTCCCCATCTATTCTAAAAGTCTTGCTTTTTGAGGTCCTCGAGAAACCCGTCGGGATCTCTATTCCCTCCGCAGCATGTCCCAAGCAAACCGCAACAAAGTCTATCACATGCAAGAATTTTTCTGGCGCGGCCCTCAAGAAAGGTCGTCCAGGCCTTCGTCCAGGTCCGTCTATTCGGAAATGCTCCGATCGTCTTAAAGCTTCTCGCAGCGTCGCTCAAGGTGGTATGCCGTGTTGTGTAAGCAGAAGATCCGCCCGCGCAACAAGGTATGAAAATGCTCCGAATCCGTAAACCTGAGCGGAAATCATGTAAAACCCGTCGTGTTTTCCACCGTCTATTTGGAGATTTCAACACCGCCCTGTAGACGTCCGTTAGCTGATGCCCGAGAAATAATAAAATCTGTTTCGTATAGGCGGCAGATCGTCGAGCCGAGGAAAACTTACAGTCGCACCAATCATTCTGTGAAAAATTCATGTTAGCATTTGTTGCCGAGGTTATACAGTTGGGGAAGAAATGTACCTCTTGATATCACCGTAAATGGCGAATTGACCAGCAGTCAAGGTACCAACCATGAACAGACGAGCGCCAATACCAGCATAGCTGCCACGGAAACCGAGCTCCTTTCCAATCTTGAAAAGCCGGCTGGTGGTGCTCTCACCCGGGAGACCCTTGGTCTTGTTGATCTTGGAAAGCATGGTGTCGGCGGGTTGGGAGACAATGGCGGCAGCAAAACCAGCAATCAAACCGGAGCCGAGGTTGACGACGGTCTTGGTGCCATCAGAAGCAGTGTTCTTGTCCAGTGAGCGCCAAACAGTTTCGGCAACCTTCTCATAGACGACGAACTTGGCCATTGTGTAAGGGACCTGCTTGAACAAGATGGGACCGAAACCGCTGTAGAAGGCCATGACACCCTCATTTCTGAAGATCTTGCCAAAACCACCGATCAGGCCAGAAGCGAACGTGGGCTCGGAGACCAATCGGATACGGGTGGCCTCGAGGGGGCAGAGAGCAATATCGGCGAAGAACTCGGCGGCGGCAGAGGAGGCGAGGTAGACAGCAGTTCGGTTGTTCGAGGCGGTCTCGTAGCCGAGCAGGTTGATGGATTGTTGCTTGAAGAACTCGTAACCTCCGAACTTGAAAGCACCCTGCAGGAAGTAGCCTGCGAAGGTCGGACCGACACCAGTCAAGAGAGCACCGGCACCCTCATTCTGGATGACTTTTCGGAAACCACCGATCATGCCATTGTTGTATGTAGCAGGGTCAAGCTGAATTCTCGTCTTGACGCTGAGAGAGGTTGTCAGCACTTGGTCTGTCGCGCGGCTAGAGATGAGACACTTACACATCGACGGGAGTGAGGGCACCGTGGGTGACGGAGCAGCAGACTGCACCAGCGAAGGCCTGGAATGGATCAGCAACAAAAACATATGGTCTGACGGCTGTCAACTCACGAATCTGCTGTAGAGGTCGAGGCCAGAGAGCTGTTTGGGCGCGGGGGCGGTAGCTGGGATAGCAGCACCAACTGGGGATGTCGCGGTCGCCATTGCGAATGGAGTGGAGATGAGAGAGACAGTTGAACTCGCGAAAAGGAATCTAACGAGGACGCAGCAAAGAGATCTAGAGACGAGCAGAAGGAAAAAGGACGGTGTCTTGTGTGTTTGGGGCTGGTACTGTACTTGGGGAAAATTAAAAAGGGACGATTGAAGCTGCGGCGAAAATGAATCGGACCTTTGCCGGCAACCAAAAAAAATGCCGCACCAAAGACGCCAAGCCGCTAAAAGGAGCCGATCGGCCGGCAAGGCTTTGACCACGGCAACCAATCACATGATCACGTGTGAGTCCTCTTTGGGCTTGGCGTCCCCAACCCCTTTTCGCCTTTTCTTAGTACATACACGTATATAAAAGGGGGCGAACGGCTGCACCGCACTTCTCCACGACGGAGGCGACCGTGAACTTTCGAGGCACCAGAGGGTTGACTTGGAGATAGAGCTATTGTTGCGTTGTCGCAGAGCTCCATTGACACGAGTCAGGGCTACAAGGACACCTGCCAGAGCAATCAGGTGGAAATGGCGGCTGCACGAGACAACTGAGAGAAAGCTATTGCCAAAAGCCCAGATACGTCAATGCTTTGTGCGACCAGCGCAAGAAGCAGTGCCCCGAGACCGTTGCAAGGTAAGTGCTGGAATCCAGGCCGCAAGAGATATTGTGATGCGCCGATGGCAGCATACGTAGCGCTGCTGCTGCCGTTTCCAAGTCGCAGGTTACTAGAAAGTTCGGTGTTGGATAAGAACACATCGGTCCATGCGAGAAACACCTCGTCACCATTGCTCAAACACGGAGGGGACTTCTACGTCCTCTACCTTGACCATATTCCAGTACAGAAAACGATGCCCAACGTGGATATCTATATCCTAGCCCTCTCGTGCTTGAGGCTCCGCTGAAAGTTGTTTACTGTCAGGCTTCTTTATCGTTCTTTCAAGAAGCTAGCCATCTCCAGCAGCTTGATGGCTGCCGGGCATGCCACCAAGTTTGCAATCGCGTCGATTGTCGCTAGCCTGACTGTTGTCGGCGCCGTGCACATGTCAAGTCTACGTGCTACACTGACTGCGCCGCCCAGGGCTGCTACCAGCTTGTCCGCCTTGAACATCAATCTCGAATGCAGGTCTACTGATGGTTGATTATGTGTGGGCACAGATGCAGACTTATGTTGCGACGGGAAAGATGCGCACTGGCTGTCATTCGCCTGCGCATATACCTCGACCAGCAACGCCACAACTGTAACCTCGGACCCTACCCTGTGACTGTGCCCAACCACCGGACGCAAGCCTCACGCGCTGCCTCCGAAGCCATGCTCCTAGGCCCGAACTCGACAACGTCGTCTGCGACCTCGTCTCATATGTTGACCCCGGCTGCGGAGATGCTTGCTGCTGCGTCTCTCTACTGGCTCATAGCTGCGTGCTAGCATGATCCCGGGAGCCCGAAAGACTAGAAATGCGACATTCAGGGACGGACGATCGCCTCATATCGATAATGAAATCGGTAATATGTCGTCCCAGACAATGGTAACTCTAATCCAACATGAAGTCTCCACCCGCCCTTTACGAAATCTCTGGCTCCAAGAAGTAAAGGCGCCGATAGCTTAAGACGGAAACGGCTGGCACATCCTCGAAAAGAGTTTCCCGCAAGCCGTGATGGGGTCTCGTGACCACCCTCACAATACTCAAAAAAATAAAAATATACAGTTTATCGCTGCGATCAGTCGGGTCAGGCATCGCGAAAATGACGTCCATTGTATTGCATGCCTCGTCGCACCTTCTCCAAGGCTGTTCGCTCAGTGGTTGTTTCTGTCGGCAATGGAGCTGCTGGAAAGGTCGAGTCAAGGATGACGGGTGCCACGGTGGTGGCCATTATCAATTCCGGTGGAGAAGTGTTTGTCTGGAACGTTGTGGGAATATCGGTGGGCAGTACTTCCGGAGCGGTGGTCGTTTCTTCTAGACCTATGCTCGTAGCTTCGGAGATTGTCGACAGTGACTCAATCATCTGGGACGATGGGCTCACTGTGCTGGCGACAGGAGGCAGCTCAGAAGAGGGATTCGTGCTGTCAGTAGATTCAGCCGCAGACGTCGTTACCGACTCCGTTGCACTGCTCATGCTGGTCATGGCCTCCGTCGTCGCAATGGCCTCAGTACTTGAGCTAGTCGGGGATGATAACCCAGAATCTGTTGCCAGAGGGCTGTTTGTGCCGAACGTCTCCTGAGAAGACTGAGCTATGATACTCGCGATGGGTGTCGTCACAGCGGACTCTGAGCCGCTGTCCCCAGTACTTGACACTGTAGGGGATGCCTCGACGGACGTCGGGCTGACGAAAGTCGAACTGGTGTCATTCGTTACTCCCATCACAGAAGAAGCGCTTGTGCCGGTCATCGACATTGCTGGGGTGTTGATCGTGGTCAGTCCGCTTGTTGTCTTGGACGGCGATCCTTGGGAAGATGTGTCGCTTGTTGCCGCAGTGATGGTACTTGCGATCTCAGATGAGGATGCAGTCGTAGATTCTGTGCTGCTGCTGTCGACGGTCGACGGTCCAGAATAGGGTATCGTCATTGTTGTTGTCGTCGTCGTTATCGTCGTCGGCGGAAGACTTGTAGAGGAAGTTCCTGCTTCTGAAAACGTGATCGAACTGAATGACGTGAGGGCAGCAACTGGCAACGTAGTGGAAGAAGTGTCAGAGTCCCAATTGGTGCTCGACGCGGAAGAGATCGATATCGCCGTCCCTATGGTAGTTGTAGCAGCTGGATGAATGCTGGCCGTGCTGTTACTTGAGGATGAAGGCGTCGTGTCTGGGCTGGTACTAGACAAGGCAATAATAGTACTAGATGATTCGACCATGGAAGAAGGTGACACAGTCGTTGACTCTGCTGATACCATAGTTAATGAAGATGCAGCAGAGGTCGTCAGAATAACACTTCCCGTGCTACTGCTCAATATTGCACTGCTCTTGGTTCTGTCCAAGGTTGTTGTGTCGGAAGCCGTCGTCTTGCCACTTGACACAGATTGGCCCCCTTTAAATGAAGTTGTAAATGTCGGCTGCCCTCCCGAGAAGGATCGAATATCAGAGGACGATGTCGAAGACGTCGACGTCGTCATAGATTGAGATTCTGTACTTGATGAAGTCGCAGACGATGCAGAATCTTCAGAGTCAGCAGAGAAACTACTGCTTGTCATTGATGCCCTTGAAGAAGTGATTATAGCTGAAATACTGGACAACGATTCAGACATGGAGGGATCAGTTACGCTACTAGTGCTGCTGATAGACGATAATGTTCCAGACTGTATTGAGGTGGTCGACGGAGTAACGGCAGAGGTCGACAATGATCCAGCTTGTAAAGTCGCGGAGGGAGACAAGAAGGTGCTGCTTGACGGGGAACCTGCAAATGTGTGAGAACCGTTGAGTGGTGGATCGACTCTTGATCACCTACCGGATATAACGGGGGTGGCTTCCAGGACTATAGTGAAGCAAGTGAATGGGGTTGCGCTTTCAAACAGAATGTACACAACGCCTTCCTCATTGGTGCAGAAACTAGCTCCCGCCACTCGGAGCAGCAGATTGCCGTTAGCATCAATAGTCCACTGAGAGAGATTGTCATTGATAGCCGTAATCAAGGAGAAAGTAAGATATGGTTGAGAGAAATCTGCATCGACGTAGGAAGTGCCAAAGCGCAAATTGCCTGTTGTATCCAAAAAGAATTGAGCTGCCGCAGATGAATCGCTTGATAGGGTGCCTGTACCACCAGAGAAACCCAAGTACTGGAGGGCTCGCTTGCGAGTTTTTAGAGGTGAATTTGTGCTAATAAGGAAGAGGTCCGGAGTAGGAGCGATTTGTGTGCTTGGTGTCCCGCTGGACGTCGAAGTGGTGCTGCTGTCGATTGTTGTGGAAGATGTGCTAGAGGTAGTTAAGGAGGTGCTGATAGGTGCAAAGGTGGAAACGGTAGAAAGGATCGCGTCTCGAAAAGAGGAGGCGGATGAGCTTATGATCGATCCACTTGACATGCTAACAATAGGGATTGAGGTTGAAGTTGAAGCAGCGGACGTTGATGTGGTACCAAAGGAGCTGGAGCTGGAGCTGGAACTGGAAGAGGCAGAAGTTGAACCGCCAATCGGGCCAGCACCAAAGCTAGAAGAGCTGCTAGTTGAGGTAATTCCTAAAATTGCCGTGGCCGACGAGCTTGATAGAGAGGAAGTGGAGACCAATGAGCTGGAAAATGGCAGAGTTGACAGACTGGAATTAGTGCTAGAAGTGCTCGGACTAGCAGTTGAGCTTATAGTTGAGGAAGGGGCCGTAGATTCGGGGTTGGCATTGGTGCTGGGACTGGAAGCACCGTTTATTGTAGTTGTCATTCCAGAGGCACTGGTAAGCAGGCCTGATGCAGTCACGGAGGCTGTGCTTGATATACCAATCGTACTTGACTCGGCCGAAGAGCCATTGATGGGGGAGCTGCCGGAAGAACTGATCTGGCTGGAAAGGGCGGTATTGGATGAGCTTGTGGTCGACCCAGCGATTGGACCAGCGCTGAAGCTCGAAGTCGTAGAGGACGTGATCAAAGCACCGGTTGTCTGAGAGGTTGTACTGGAAGTGGAGCCAGGAGTTGGTCCGCCCGAGAAACTTGGGTTATTGGACGAGCCTGAGGCCGATGTACTAGAAGCAATAACAGAGTTTGAGTTGGCAGATAGAATCGACGTTGAGCCTGAAGTCGACGGTGAGATCGGAATAGAACTGGTGGACAAGCTAGAGCTCAAACTTAAAGTTGATGTCGGACCAGGAACAGGCCCACCAGAAAAGCTTGATGTATTGACGGTGGGAACAAACACGCTACTTGTTGACGATGACCCAGAGATGCCGCCAGATAAGATGCTAGTAGTTTCGCTGGTAGCGCTCGCAGAGTAAGTGGTGAGGAGAGAGCTGGTGGTCACCGAAGACGAAGATTGTTGGAGGCTGAAGCTAAGAGAACTGCTGGGCATCCCAGTCTCGGACACAATGTATGTACTGGAGGTCGCTATATACGGGTTACTCGCAGACCCACTGATTGAGCTGAAGCCGGAACTCTGAGACACGCTGAGAGATTCAGTCCTGGGAGTGGTTTGGGAGTAGTTGGAAGTCCAGTCGGCCCAGTCTTGGGGAAGAGGAAGGCTAGGGTTGGTCACGTCGTCGCTCCCCCAGTCAGCCCAGTCGTACGCATCGCCACCCAGATTATCAAGAGACAAACTCGACCCCTTATCTGGTTGATGGAAGCCTGGAATTTCGTGGGAGCCACTCGGGATTGGAACGGCGCTTGAGGTCCACGGTGGCTGTCTGCTGCAGGGGACGGTCCAGTAAATTGTTTTGGTAACGACAATGGTGAAATCAATAACCTCTCGGGGCCTGCGGCATTCACGAATGACTTGATGAAAGTATGGACTTGGGGCGACTGTGATGGTTTCGACTCCAGCAGTGATGATGTGTTTAGGAGCCGTCAGAGTGAACGTGAGAGTATAGGTCCCAGCCGAGGGAGCCACGAATCTGGTTGCGAGGGGTGCCACCGTTGTTGAGGATGAAGCAGTTGCCGACTTGGAGATCCATGTCTCTGCATATCCCATGCACCTGGCCCCAATGGGACCTGCCCTGCACTCAATGACATCCACGACCTGAGATCGACTTCCATCGTGCTGCACACCACACTCCTTGCAAAGGCCACTTCCACCATAGCCCGGAACCGCCAATGGCCCAATTTTGTTGTAGGCAACCATAAAATCCTTCGCAACAGTAAGGTGAACCGCATTTGGAGAAGCATGGAAAGTTGTCCCGTTCTTGATGACAGCTGAGGTAGCGGTAGCGAACTTGGTGATCGTCGAACGGAATCGAGACACCGTCACCGTTTGAGCAGTCGAAGTGACCGTGGTCGCATGGACCGAAGTACCATCCCATGCCGCCGGGATGACGGTGCTTACATAGGCAAATGTGTCGAGGGAATTCCTGGTAGTACAAGCTCCTCGTAAACATGTTGATGTGCCGGAACAGGTTGACACAATTTGATGCTGCACCGTCACGGTGATTGGAGTTGCCGATATGCTTGGTACATTTGTACAAGGGGTGATGGTCGTCAGAGGTCCAGCAAGAGCATTTATCGGCACTAATGCCCCCAGTGAGATGACAAGACGCATTGGACAGGGACAAAATGAGTGACTGTGTAAAAAAGGGAGTGACTGAAGGAAAAGTCCTTCCAAAGCGAGAGAAAGAACGAGCTACTGTTGGTGAAAAGTCTCTGGGGGGATAGGAGAAGGGTGGAAGAGATTGGAAGGATATATAGCAAGACAAATTGATCCCCGTCGAAAGGAGCGAGCCATACATTGGGGTATGACGAGAAATGCCATACGGATGAGGTTTTGGATCGAGGCGGCGCAATGACCTTGACTATAGACACACCAGTTGGCTGCGCCATGGGCGTAACTCTCTCCACGAAACCCAGACAGGCTCGAGGTGGACGCCACGATGTTGTCCATGGTGGCCAGAAGGAGGGATGTGGATGATTTGGCGGAGGCCTCAGCGAGGTTGATAGCTTTGACAGAGGTCTCCAATCTCCCCAAGGTGTGTGAGTCTGAACGCAGGCCTTCACAAAAAGTGAGCATAAACTGGCCAAAAACAGAACGACTACTCATCAGATTCTCAACGCCAGTGTGGCGGACGACCAGTAGAGTCATGGGGCCTCTGGACCAGTCCATCTCATTGTGATGTAGGGCTCTCTGGATGACGACTAGGCACAAGCAAAGAGCAAAGACGACGCATAAAGTAACATCTCAATAAGGTATAGATATCGCAGCTGGGAAAATAGTTAACTCTGACACACTTTTGTGATCCAGATTCCGCTCGTTCCCTTGAGAGGTTGTCTGGAAGACCGACGACACCGAAGTTCCAAACAAGAAAATGTGTCTATCATCGTCTTGACCCCAGTTTTTTCAACTTGTAGAGTATTCATAGTGTAAAATAGCATCTTAATGCCCTGGAAACCGCTGGCGTTGTTGGGCGGAGGACCGGATCAGACGCCTTTGATAAAGAGCTGGAGCCTCCGCCTCCTCGGTGGGAACTGCGTGTTGCAAGAGCCCAGAGAGCAAAAAGCGGAGGACACGTGCGTGAGTTAAGGGACAAAGAAGGGGTGCAATCTGTTATTATTGGAAGGAGATGAATCGTGCCGTCCTCCCTAACATTGGGTTGAAGTGAGGGTGAAGATTTTTGAAGGTCGATTTCTAGTTTGGCGGTTGCGGCGGAAGGTGGATCCCGTGGTGGATGGGCTGGGCTACTAGTCATGTTCTGATCAGCTCACAGCGTCTTGGCTTGGCATACTCATTGGCTCGGTAGAGATTACCGTCCGATTTCTCCTCTCTGTTGCCCATCTCGTGGTGTGGGCTAAGTCCTCGTAGGCTCACAATGGTTCGGCTCTCAGTGCCGATAAGACGGGCCACAGTCAGGATGAAGTTCGGTGGGGTCCCCTCTCCTACACCCTGCATTTGGCTGTTATCTAGGGCTCCTATGGGTATGGATACAGGGTCCCCTTTTTCTAGCCACCGAGCTGCTTGTGTAACCTATATTCCTACGGGCCGACGATTGTCCCTGAACTTTTGTGAGACTACAATGTTGTTTGATAGAATTGATTCAAGAGGCATAACAACAACGAGCAAGCTCGCTGCACTATCTTAGATGAGCAAACCAAACCTTGCTTGCTTAGTGGGAAAGAAAGGCGTCTTTTGTCCCCCTAACCCCGCCAGATCTGCGCCTAAGCGAGCTCCCCGGGAGGACCCCCCAGAGAAGACCTGTAGGTACCTGATCTATCCCAACACAATTGGCCCCGTCCACCCTTTGGATGCCACTACCCTTTTCATCTCGTCTTTCCGTGCTTTGTACCTTTCCCCCTTGTCTCGTATCTTGTACCGAGGGACAACAGACCTTTGAAAGCAAGAGGCAACAATGCCTGGCTGGGGTAGGGGTATTTGCGCTTCCGCGACCGCCGGTCACACGATTCAATTTTAAATCTCTCACCCTGTACCACTATCTCTGGCGCCCTTGTGATCTCCGTGATACGCGGAGGAAAGGATTACCTCCCTTCTTGGAAATCATCTCAGCTGCACACCCACCTATCCAGCCCAACGCAGTCCATATTTCTTTTTCTGCCTGCCGCCTAGCCAATCCTTTTCGATGGCAGATGGCCCTGTGCAACCTCCGGCTGCGCTGAAGTCGTTGGAGAAGGACTACAGGGTTAAGGCCACCGAGATTGAAGCAGTCTTTGAAGTGCTGTTGATCCTCCCCATCTCACCAGTACCACGGCAGCTAACTCCCCCAGAAACTAGTCCAACTTCTTAGCGCCAAAGAAGCAGAATGTGAGAATCTCAAGTACGATCTTGAGGATCAGACTGAATCTCGAAGACAATGGCACAAGCGGGCGACGGAAGCCGAATCTCGATTGGTTTGTCCTCTTCTCTAGCACATCCCAGGTGCGTCGATTTACTGATCCATCATGACAGTCGAGCGTTCAACATGTCATGGTCCTCTTCGACGGAAATCACCACTTTTTCAAGCCAAACCTTGTAAGAGCAGGAATAGAGGGGGCAAAATCAGCTATCGACACTCTCGTGACTGAAGCCAAAGCGTTCGCCCGCGCGCAGCACAAGAATGACCTGCCCGACCACCTTTCGGTAGTAGTGCACATCTTCATCGACGTTGGAAAGCTAGCCGACGATCTCTCAACCGCTGGCTTGCTTCCCGACCCTGATCAGCTCTGGACTTTCATTCAAGATGCCGGCAAACTGGAGACAGGTGTCACAATCTCCGATTGTGGTGCTGGTCATCAGGCTGTTGATGCAAAGATGAAGTGTAGGTCCAAGTGGATCCGGATTGGGGGCCGTTGCTGAACGATATCTAGACTTTTACGAACTGTATCTCGAAAACTGCCACTGCAGACATCTTTTCCTGGCCTTGAATCGCCAATCGGAATACTACAAGATTCTTGAGACTTACGCCGACGATGACTACACGAGGTCGAAGACATCTCTCGTTCGGCTGGGCGGAGGGATGGTCAATGGCTACAACCTCCCGTTCCACACAGTTGACTTCTCTGTCATTGAGGGCGTTCCTCAACAGGCCGCGTCTATCCCTGTGACCAGTACGCAGGCTAATGGGACAGCCAACGGCCATGTGCCAGCTCGACAGAACGGGGACATGAATGTGCGGCGACTGCCAAACCAACTTGACCACTCGCAGCCGTTACGACAACCAGCTCTGCCCTCCCATTCCAACGCCCCTTTGTCCAACTCCGAGAGTTCGACGAGTCAGACCAAGAACCATAGCCAGAAGCTATCCACCACTGCGAAGCAGTGGTCTACGGCTCCGCTCTCCCGACCCGCCGCCGCCCTTTCATCCGGCCCTGACAATCCGACTGATGGGAGCATGGACAACATGCAGAAGCTATCCGCTTCAAGCTCGCAAAAGTCTACAAAATCACATGTCGAGGTGAACGGCGACGGGAACAAACTGGACAGCTCAAGTTCAGTCGGAGTTGTTAAGCTCGACACGTCTTCACACTCTTCTCGTCAATCGAAGGCTGCAGGGCAGAGCTGGGAGAGTGCGACAACTAACAGTTACGCACCACCCCCCATTGCCGATCCGTGGGGAGAGGAAAAGAAACAAGCTGAACAAGTTGTGGATGACGAGCCTGTTTTGTGGAGAAGGCAAAACAATGGTCACAATAGGAGACAAAAGCAAGGCCACCGGAAGCAAGACCGTTCCTTCAACGCTCAGCCGAAACAGACTCCTCGGCAGTTTGAAGGGTCGTGGGATGAGATGGTCCAAAGCGAGCAGTCCAAAGTACCAACTCAAGTATCATCGCCCTCACCGGCGCCAGCGAGCGCGTCCCTCTTGTCGGCGGCAGCCAGATCGAACGACTTTTCGCCGACATTTTCACGTCAGGCTGTGACGAAACCCGACCCGGGCCCCCTCGCACGCCCGATTTGCTCTCCCGTCGCATTGAACCAGCTGGGACAGCGCATTGACTTGAAACTTCCGCGTCAGACACCATCTGAGCATGAAGCTTTCGAACTGCGTGTAAACAACCGACCATTGTGCAACGAGCATCACATGCGAAACGATTGTAGCGATGCAAGGTGTCCATTCGACCACGAGAAGATTTCAGACAGTATTTATCTTGGATTGCGAAACATAGCTCGCACGACGCCGTGCGATCAAGGTGCCGACTGCCGACGTCACGATTGCTATTCAGGGCATCATTGTCCAAACAATTCGAACTTGTCCAGATGCTCCAGGTACACGTGTCCATTCGGAAAGAAGGGGCTTCATTCGACTATCGACCTGGAAATTGTCGATACGATTCAACCGCCGGTCAAGAAGACTCGAGAAGAAGAGCAATCGCTTATGTGAGAGACGGTCAAATGGTTCGACGAAGAAAAAACTAGCTGGCGAGGTACTACTGGAGCTGTAATCTCGAAGCAGGAGTGGTCATCAGCAACCAGGCAAGTTTTCGTTTTGCATTGGTTATCGGTTTACTTTTGTTTGATCGCACCCTGGTGGGTTCGGGTGACTCATGGAGGAAGCAAGAGAGGCCCATGGATGGCAAGACCAGGACAGGCTTTTCGAAGGTCGCGCGTTTGGATTGCGTCACCGACCATAATGATGTGGTTGACAAGCGCCAGCGAGCTGCCATGTAGCAAGGTGGTCTCCTGGGTTCAACTTGGAATTTGATTTCATTTCTCACGACATATTCCCCGGAAGAGCCTTCAGCCGCGAAGCATCGGTCCACCGCGAGTGTCGCACGTTGAAGGGTAGTAGTATGTTTGTGGTGGACTTACTAACTGGGCAATGTCATTAGCGAGCAAATGAGAAAAATGGTTCGGAAAGGTTAGACCAACCTGGACCAAGGTCATGCTGTGATGCCGACCATCTGTCGGCAGTGTCCAACCATTCTCGACCAGGCTGAATGAAGGGTTGATTCAAACATCACGAGCCACATTTTCATATGTGCAGATCGTCTGAGATGGTCGCCGAGCCTGGTACTCAGCGTACCATTGAAGACTCAAAGCAGTGTCGTGAATAGTGCCGCTTTAAGCAGGACTCGGTAGTGTCCCGGGCCCAGTCCTATGGGGACGATGCGTGCCACGGAAGACCCTCCGATGGGCTTCCAGAAATTCTCGCCGTTGGGGCTTCTCAATCTCTATCCATCTTGTCCTCGTCACGGTCCCTCCGCCGGTCTCTGTCGCGGCTCCGACTCCGGCTCTTGCTCCTGCTCCGCGATTTGCTGCGGCTTCGACTCCTGCCCCCTCTGCCGCCGGCGCCGCGGCCCTTGTTGGCGACACCGCTGGCGCGGCTTCCTTTGTCCTTTGGCGGTGGCCGCACGAAGGCGTAGTCGACGGAGATGGTCTGGTCGAGGAGCTTTGCGCCGTCCAGTGCCTTGATCGCGGCCTGTGCTTCGACTTGGGTAGGGTATTCGATCAGGACGTAGCCCTACACAAAAGAAATATCCCAGAGGCCCGAGTTAGCCGGTGTATTGCAATCAATTAATGTGTCTTTTTGTTCCCCTCCGCCTCTTTGCTTTTCTGTTCTGTCCGGAGTGTGCTTTGCTTTGTGCCATTATGTACATACCTTGACGTAGCCCGTCCTCCGGTCCAGGTTCAAGTGCAAGTTCTTGATGTCCCCATACTCAGCGAAGAGGTCGTGGATGTCCTCCTCGGTGGCTTCCTCATGGATGTTCGTCGCGATCACGATCCAGCCTTCGATGCTGCGCACCGCGACCGCATTCTGGGCCGTGCGCGCCTCGGCGCCGGCGCCGGCGTTTGCAGACGACTTTTTGGCGTCCGCTGTGGCAGTAGGCGAGGCGACGGCGCCGTTCTTGGGGTCGGCCGGGGGGGCGGTGTCCACGTCCATTTCGGTCGACATGATTGGCGGGGAATATATGTAGAGGGACAGAAAAAGGGGACAGTGTCGGTGATGAGTTCGCAGAAGAAAGGGGATGTGGCGTGAGAGGCTATTATGAGAAAAGGAGTCTATTGTCGTACATAAAGGTCGGTTTTGACGTCGAGGAACAAAACTCAAGGTTGTCGCTTCAATTCGCGCCTCGTATGGTGGCCCAAGACCGAAGTTTAGCCAGTAGAGCCAAGAGGCACTGAGAGGGTGCAGGTAGAGGCTCCAGGCTACAAAATGACGTGGTCAAAGCGATATTAATTCAACAACCATGGGCTGTGTTTGATAGGCAGAGCTAAAGATGCAAAATTTGAACAAAGTCGAGAAACCCATGGAGCCGATAAAGGGTCCAGCCTCCCATAATAGTCAGTTGTAGAAGTAGTGTGTTTCCAGTAGATTTATGGACTACGTTGCTCCTCTTCCATCCAATAGAGATCATGGGTATATGTATACGACAAGCTCAAAGTCAACATTGGTGTTGTTCACAAACATGAAACGCCATGGCCACGGCATGATCAGTCACCACGAACTGACAACAACAAAGACCACCAAAGTACAGCAAATTTAAACCCCTCCAAATCGTTTCGATCGGTCTCTTCCAAAGTATAGTCGACCGTCTTCTGGTAGAGTCGTTGCATTACTGTCTTGCAAAGGCTGATCGACCCGCAACAAGTAGTCTTGTAGCCCAGATACCCCGAAAGGGCTGCGACCGCGGTGATGTTGATCCCTCGAGCCACTGTGGCCATTGTGCTCAAGCCATTTTCGGTCAGCTTGATGGTCGCCACCCTGGTTAATATGCGTCAGTTTGAAGTACGAAGTCTTCTCGTCTCACAGGCTAGGAAAGGGTGCTTCAGGGTTTGTGTTACGTACAAAGCCACACTAAGGAGGGAGAACATGGTAAACCTTGTGCTTGACTTGGTGTAGAGGACATCCAGCAAGCGTATGCAGATGTCAAGTTCATTCTTGAGATTGTCCCGAGCCGCTTTCAGAGCCCAGACAGGACTGGATGCCGGAGGCCGCGTCTGCAACACTGTAGATGCAGGTAGTCAGGGCATGAGATCCCACATTGTGCACTGCACATATCTCACCGAGTTCTAGAGAGTCCGATCCCAAGGTTCCGCCTTCCTGCACGATAGTCTTACGATGATCGAGATATCTTTTCAGATGGAATATGGCAGATCTCTTGTATTCCTCGAAATATCGCCATATTTCTGCGGCACTCAGATGAGACACGTCGTCCTGTGGTGGCGGCAAAGTCGAGATGTCTGCTCCGGTCGAAGCCATCCCAGCAGGACCGCCATTTCCCTTCGGTCGTGGGGGAAGAAGTGCTTGTGAGTCGTCGGGATCCCCTGAGTCCAAAGAATCAATATCGTTTTGATGTTGCATGACAGGGTGAGTGGTGGGGGGATACTGGACGAGGAACGAGTAAACCGGATGAGGCTGAGAGGTGTATGAGGTACGCCGTATTATGTGGTAGTGGTGACGGGGCCCCGAAACACTGCTGGTGGGGGCCCACTAGGCCTCGCTAGGCGGGCACCCAGCGAGTAAGGTCGCCTACGGGTTAATAATGAACACGCAGAACAGAGCCCCCTAAGAGGTATCTGGGGCGCGTTGCCAGCGGCTGCTACCGACGTGGGTTTGCAGTAGTGCGAAGTTCTGCGAACCCCATCATAGTCGTTGCCTGACGAGTTGCCTTCTCCCTCTTCCAACCCTGCCCAGCTGCCCACTCAAGACTGTGAGCCAATGCCAAAGGCTGCAGATATGCAGAGAGCAGAGCTGACCACCTCGAGTCGTCGCCGGCGCACGCACCTCGAGTGCGCAGCCTCACGGCATATGATGGCTTTTCAAGGACTCCTCCCACTCCATACCGTTATCCTCTCTGGAGAACCAAGATTACTTCCTCACCTTGTCAGAACTATCCTTAGCACCTGGCCTAATGGCACAAGACGGTGGGCTCATCCTCCGGCTTCAATATTGGCATCAAAGCCCCGTGGGAGAATCAGAACAGCACAATGTCGCGTTTCACAGCCTAATCAACGACTATCTTGAAGCGTGCCGTCGTCGAGCTCCTCTCTCCTATCCCTGGGATTGTCGGCAGGTACCACTCACACCGGGCAGCGGTAACCCTCGCTGTATTGTTCCAGTCCAGGTGAGTGACTTGCTCTAGGTATTGAAATCGGAAACTGAGTCTTGTTCAAAAGGTCAATCTTGTACATCAACACCACCGCCATGCGAGCGACGTCGCCGCATCGGAGTGCAGGCACCTATGGAACAGCCTCAAGTCGCTCACGACGCTTGCAGAGTTCCGAACCTTCTTTGGCAGCCCGTTCATTTGTCTCAATGTCTATGCGGTTGGGGTAGAAGACAGCTGGAGACACGAATACGCATTTGGCATCATGGTTCAGAACTTGCGGATTGAAACAATCCCCGTCCATCATATCGTTGAGAATCAGCTGGACTTCCTTAGGGACAGCGTGTAGGTGTCTATCACCTCAGGCCCGGAGCCGAGTGTCTTGGAATTCAAGGTTACTGACATCGACCGCAGACTCCTCACAGCTGAAGTGGTTGCCATCCTTGTGAGGCACGCATTGCCGATGGCAGGCGCTCAAGGTGCGGTGCAAAGATCCGCACAGGAAGAGCTCTTAAGGGTGATCGAAATAGCACAAGAGGTACGTTCTTAACCCCGTTATCACAATCTACCACTAAATCCATCAAGTTACACGACATTCAGATTCCGAGTCGTGGCTCTCAGCTCAATGATGAAAGAGTGCTTCAGGAAATCTTGCAACCAATCACAAGAGCAAGACAAGTATTCCAGGAAGCCTATGGCTCCGCGGTCTCGAGGCTCCAGACAGTTTGTGACAGCCAAAGTCAGTGATGAGACGTCATCCTTGCCTTTTCGAGTCTTCTATCCTTCGCCCTGGAAGAGCAATATACTGATTGGGCTTCAGATGCACGACCCGAGGATGTTATGGAGGCTATCGTCGCCGTCCGCAAAATGTCATTGCTTTTCCCAGGTGCGGACCAGGCTTCGCGTGACCTTACCACCACCGTCAAAAACAAGAAAAGTGACACAAACAGAAAAGTCGGGGCTGGAGCTATCGGTGGCGGTCTAGTCGCTCTTTATGCTGCTGTCTACTTCTTTGGTGGTCCTGTCGTTGCCGGATGCTGTATCTACACCTGGGTAACGGGAGGCACGGCCAGCAGCCTCGCACTTGCAGGAATAATTGGTGCTATCGGAGGGTCAGCTTGTGCGGAGCGAATAGCCGTTGATTGTGTCCAAACCCAGCGCCATAATGAGACCCGTAAGACCCACCAGAACAATTATCGATATTTGACTTGCCGGTCTCTAAATTATTGTTTATGCAGTCAAAAATGCACGAAATGACGTCCATGCGGCGCTGCGGAAACTTCAGCTCCTCTTAGCCGCTTACTGGTTGACGAACGTTTGGAAGATCGACCTTGCACAGAGCCCGGATCGGGAGAGAGAGGCGTACCTGAGCAGCCTCGGGGTCGATTCACAATATTTTGGGCAGAGAGAGTACGACCTGGCACAACTTCGCGATCTGTTTGACGAATTTGTGCTCAGGCATGATACCATGAGGCGGTGCTGTGACCGCCTATACCGTGATCTTGGAGTCACGGTGGATGTGCAAGCTCAAGAACCTGTCGGATGAACAAATCGAAGCCATTTGGTGCTAGACATTTCTGCAAACAGGTCGACGGATTTCACTTACTTCTCGAGGCGTCGACTCACGATTGATTTTCAAAGATGTGCTGGCGAGACTGAGTTGTTGTATTTCTTTGTAAAATAGTCGTGTGGCTCGATGCTCGTGGTGGTAAGAGAACTGTCATATCCACAACCCTGCGGACTCGCTGTGAGGCACTGATGAAAACCGTTGGCTAGACACCAAAACGCCTTGACCATTTGGCAGGAAGAAATGATCTTGTCTTCAAGATTCAGCACTGACTGTGACACATCTTGCCCGTTCGAACCGGCACATGGAACCTCCAAAACAGTGCGTAACGGAGGACGAGGAGAAGGGTGGGTGGGTTGAGTATGTGACGGATCCCTACTTGGGCCAAGCATGGTACTCGTTCCTGGTCTGATATTTTCTTCTCGTCGTGTCCTTGTCGTCTTTGGGAGGGAGTTCCTGTCGTGCTGTCGGCCGTGGGATCTCTTCCCCCAGACCCGAGTTTGAAAGGGATTCCTCGCTCAGCTCCTTCGGGCCCTTTATGCCCCAAGCAATGACGACGAGCAATCCGTCCAACGGCTTTGCGAAGCCAGCGCTATGGTGCTGGGAGGTAATTCAACTCTGTCGATCTACCGCGGCCGGTGTCGTGCTTGGAATGCTGCCCCGGAAGGCCTCCGCCGCCGTTAGATTGCACTTCCCCCCAAGCGAGGAACCTGCCTGTTCCTCGGTCAAGAAGCATATGGAATACAAAGATTGTCGAGATGATGTGTACTTCCGCATGCAAATTTCGCATCTTGTATCAAGAACTGGAAGATCGAATCCCCTCCCAGCAGCTCTTCATTTGTTGAGGGAGAAAACTCCCCATATAATGCGGTACGTAGGTCCGTAATTTCAACGTCTGATATGACCAATGCACCTTACCTCCAAGCCACTCAACACTCGATATCCTTCTATTTCGAAAATATGGGTTGAGTTGATCTGGAGTCGGCGAGAATCAGGACCCAGGCAACCATACGGCACCCCAGGCTGTAGACTCAGAAGTTGAATGAAATGGCATCGGCCGGTGGATGGGCTGCGTGATCTGAGTCGTTCCGTCACCGTTGGGCGCCAGCTGGGGCTATTCAGCATGAAGGGGATGAACCCCGGGAGGTATCTGTCCACGTTCTTCCAACGAAACGGGGGCCGGAGATTCGTGTACGAATAATATACATTTTTTCCGAAACCGTGTCAAGCACGTGTACGATTGAGGCTGGTGTCCACCACAAGGCGCACATGCCGCAATAGAAACAGAAGCCTGGATTGCACGTTCAGCTCCTGGAGAAACAAGAATATGCCACTTGCAGAACTGTACTCATTTTTGTTTTTGGTCTCTGAAACCTGAATGTTGACGTACTCTTACTCGTTCTAAGCTTACATTGGAAAAATCCATACACACCTCAGCACACAATGAATGCTCCTTGCTCCATTACTTGTCTCCGTGTGACACGTTTTCTCGGGACGTCGATACTCGATCTCACTTGCCGACCGTCTTAAGATATCGAGGGAAGCGCACCACTGACTTCCTCCATCCAGCACAACCCTGATGTTGCGCGTAACTCCACACAATCCACCGGTCCCTGCGAACTCGTCTCATTTCGTCTCTGCGTGGCGCGTTCTGCTACCACAGAAGAGTATTCCTTGTCTGCTTCAAACAATCCAAATATCCAAGCTAGATTGGCTCCCTCTAGAAAAAGAGGTAAGCGATGAGGAAGCTGAGAAGGCATAGGGCAGCCACGATTTGCAACGGGACCCCTGACTCGTGGCTCTGTTGTACGACCGCCTGGACTTTCTCGTTCGCCTCTTGCGCCTTTCTCTGCCGGAATTGTGGATCTTGCAGTTGGCCTGTCAATTTTGTAATCTGGGCCTTTGCTGCTGCTAACTGCTCCTTCAAGTCTTCGTTCGACGTGGGCACAGCGGTGGCAACGGAGGAAGCGGCAGCGGTGAGGCCAGTTGCTTCCGCGGCATTGGTCACAGCCGACTTCACGGATTCCGCGGCGGATGCATTCGTTGAGGTTTGCTGAGCGGGTGAACCGAATTGGGGCGTCGGGGAGGAATAGGCCGGCGGTTGTTCTTCGTGGGAAGACACACCGTTGGGTGTAGCAGCTGCGGCCGGGAGGAAGTTGACACGGATCTTCCTTTCCTGGATGGTGTTTTTGGCCGTCTTCTCCACCGTTTGCCAAAGGGTTGTGACATTGGGATCTTGATCGGCTGAAGTGAGAACGGACTGAACGAGGAACTTATCCCGACATTTGGCATCCAGTGGAGGTTCTTCCTTCATAGCTTGTAGGAGGACTGCAGAGGTTAGCTACTGTAGTGTATGCCAGAACGCCACATCGCACCTTGAACGTCGACCGATTCATTGGGTGCGATGATACCCGAATTCGGTCGCACACAGTATCTGATCCATATTAGAATGTATCCTTTATTTCCTTCTGTTTTTCGGGCGCAAAACTCACTGCTTAGGGGCTGTGGTCTTAACCTGTTCACCATCCGTTAGTATGCCCGGGATCACTTGACAGACGGAGAGGGTCGTACCTTGAAGGCCACAGGCTGGGTATTGGTATTTGTAAGTTTGAGGATCTCTGTAACTTCGCGGTTGAAAGGGCCTGCTCAAGCGTAAGTGTGGGATGTGTTGTTGGAGTGAGGGTACTGACGTCGGAAGCCCAGTTCGGCTGGCTGGAGATCTACAGACATGACGGGTTGTCGACGGAGACGATGCGCAGTCTTGCAGCGAGGATAATGGCAATTGGAGAGTGTCAGAAGAGCAAGATAGAAGGATGTTAGAGTAAAGGATTCTGCGAACGTGTGGAATCGATGGAGATAGTCGAGTGGATTGTTCAGCAAAGGCCTAGTGGTTTAGCGAAGCAACGGAAGGGGATGGACTATGACGACCTAGAGGTGCTGGGCAGTCACAGTGACAAGAAGCAATGACCGGGATTTAGAGAGGCTGGAAGCCGGTTGTGCTAGACATGGGGCCGGTGGCACTTACAAGGAGGAGCTACAGACGCCCAGATGAAAGCTGGTGGGCAATACGCTGGGCGCTGGGGGTGATGACGCTGCGGGCTAGTGAGGCTAAAGTCCTCTAGCTACTTTTACCCTTAGGTACCTGCTTAGCAGCGTCACCACCGTGGTAGCCTCAGATAGCCTAATGAGTGTCCCGCATCAACCACAATCCTCCGTAAATTCACGTCGACTCCCCGCACCCTCGTTGTACCCTCTCGAGTAGATGAGCGTTTGCTGCCCTAGAGGCAATCGCCAGCAGTATCTGTATCCTCTGACTCCGTGTCTTCGCCCTCACCGTCACGTTCCCACTCAAGCCACCAGTTCCGCCACCACCTGCACCTACATAAATATCCCCCGCCTCTAAGTTCCACAACCTCTCCTTCATCTTCCTCCCACGGCAGCCTGGACCCAAAAAACTCCTCAAGGAACCCAAAAGACACACACTGAAAGCAAAGATGGCGACATCTGATCTGGATCAACTGGTCATGATGGGCTTCGACAAGGAACGCAGTGAGATGGCATTGAAGAATACAGGTAGTTGTAAGTAGCCCGAACCTTCGACGCCTTCGATCTATGCTGAACGATGATACAGTGGCAGACGCGATCGACTGGCTCGATGCGAACTCGTCAAAGTCATTAGAAGAACTGAAGGCCGAGAAAGACGCAGCGGCGGCGGCAAAGGCGGCGGAGGAGGCGGAGGAGGCGCGCAGTCTGGTGTGCAACGAGTGTGGGAAGAAGTTTAGAGGGACCACTCAGGCCGAGTTCCACGCATCAAAGTCCGGCCACACCGACTTCTCGGAATCAACTGAAGAAATCGCGCCCTTGACCGAAGAAGAGAAAAAAGCCAAGCTTGCAGAGTTGAGAGAGAAACTGGCAGCCAAGCGAGCAGTCCAGTCAGAACAAGACAAGGTCGACAAGAAGCGCAATGAACAAATCAACCGGAAGAAGACCAAGGAAACAGAAGATCTTAAGGAGCAACTCAAGGCCAAAGAGCAGATTAAGGAGGCCGAGAAGAAGAGACGAGAAAAGCAAGAGGAAATTGAAGCAAAGAAGAGGATTCAAGCCAAGATCGCCGCCGACAAAGAGGAACGCAGATTGCGAGCGGAGCGGGAAAAGGCTCAGCGCGCTGGGATGGCACCTCCAGTCGCAGCCGCCCCCCCTCCGACAGCAGCTCCAGCAGTTCCCAAGCCAGCGTCGGAGTACAAGGAGACACGGTTGAGGTTGCAGACCTCGACAGGAAATATCATGAAAACCTTCCCAGTCGAAACAACTTTGTTCGAGGTTGCAGCGGCTGTGGGAGAGGAAACCGGTCGCGACGTCGAAAGCTTCACGCAGAACTTCCCCAGAAAGGTCTTCGACCAGGAATACTTTGGGGAGAGTCTGAAGGATCTAAAGCTCGTGCCCAGTGCCAGCTTGATTGTGAAGTAGGTCTGGTTCCGTTTGCCTGCACAATGATTTTATTCCTCATGGCGAAGGCGTCTGAGCGAGGCTGGCTTCTAACAAGGTCGTTTTCATGTGGGTTGGAGCTGACCGACAATCACAAGGAAATACCCGTTGCCCTGGTAGCATTTGGGGCCTCAGAGCTTATGGGCATATAGACAAACAGATATCACCCTCGAGCAGATTTTGAGGCAGGTGTCATTTTGTCAAGGGCGACTGACTCAAACCCATCCAGCCTCAATTTGTGCGCCTTTTCATCAGTCCATTCATTTTCTTGTGCCAGGGCCGCTTTCATGCTTCCGACCTAGCTACATCATCAGTTCATCTACTCAGATGTTGTCTCTCAATCTTCCTAATTATGTCTCAGCCCCCGATATGCTGTCTCCACGCAGGGGGGGTGCCATTACGCTGGAGACAGGACTACCAACGTTCCATCGCTGAACTAGAGATCTTCCCGGAAAAGAAAAGACCAACCAGAAAGCGCGCTTTTCATTGTCTCGATCTCCACAAAGTATCCATCAGCTAACGCAGAATCCATCTCTCCGTTGGGAGGGATTTCTTCACGAACGGACTATCGTACTCCGGCTGAGGACGAAAGTATCCTCTACAGATGTTTGATATTAGGCACTCATCGCTGCCACCCTTCCGATAACCGGCTTAGTGAGCACCAATCCCAGCAGGGGAGGCTCTAATAAGGGCGTCTCCAAGCCGGTACTGACTTCCTCTGAAGTATCGATTCATCGCTCCCATACTAATAGGGTTCCTCAAACACATGGAGGAGTTGCTCGAAAGGGAGATGGCTGAATCCATTGTTGCGGAAGAGCTGCCGGAAAGCAAGGACGAAAAAGATGAGATGGAAGAAACATAAGACCTCCTCGGTTTCGTTGCGATATCCCCTCCAGCATCTTGACGCCCATACCCTACTGGATCTGTCTGGACTCCAGCGTCTGAATATTCGGGACGTCGGATCGAGCCAGGATGGCCCCAGTGTACAGTTGTCCTGGACGGCCATTCTCTCATCACCGCATTCCCCTGGCTTGTGTTCCTCTCGTGTGACGATTTCACTGACAGCACTCCCGCTACTGCAATGCTTCGTGGTCTGATTCTCTTCTTGGTTCCCTGCCGCGATTGTATTGACAAAGGCTGTTGATCGTGCTTTTGAACATCGTCCGGGTGCGAAAAGGTATACGCTTTTCTTCTGATTACCACTGCCTGACACTCTTTTACCGCAGCTTGTGTGGGTGATTTCTGGTTTGCGCCGCTCACAGTTTTCCGCATATTGGTATTGATGTGTGATATCCGCTCATACTGGTCGAAGGCGAAGTATTCATCGTTATGGCCGAGGGATACTTGGAGGCTCTCTAGGTCTCTAGTTGACCCATCGGGAGGGAAAAGCCATTCATCGAGGGCGCGTGGTAGTCCGTGTCTTTCTGCACAAAGAACCCAGTCAAATGGTGGCTCCTTCTCGAAGAAACGACACGCACTCCTTCTCACCTTGCCGGTATCCTCCCTGCCTATCCAGCCAACAGATGTAATATCGGTCAAAGGCACCAAAAGCATACACCAGTATTTTGTCCACACACTCCAACTGCCCGAAGAGGCTGTTCAATGAGACCTCTACACTTTCTGGTCTTTGTGGGTTTGTCGCAGTCCTGCGCCGAACGATCAGTTTTTCATCTGGTACAACCTCTGTTGCTTTAACTGTAACATACTCGTCCCCGAGTCTGAAAGCTGTTATATCTCCGGAAGACGAAGTCGTCATTCTTGGTTTTCAGTCTCACTAAGGACTCTCAACCTCGACACTATCGACTTTTGGGGAGGTTGTCTTGACCTATATACATCATCGACATTATAACGGGGAGCGACAGTCTCGTCAATGGTGGCATCTACCCTCTCCTACTTTGTTGTGGGTCTCAGTCCTCGACCTCTTCTTTGGGAACGAGGCCGTCAGGCCACTCTGCTCATGATGTTCGCCGATGAAGCACCTATTGTCGCATCGAATCCCAACACCGTCGGCATCTCCTACACTGTGGACAACCCCGAGCCCTCACTGTCGCAGGCCTACGTCTCTATGGCACTCACGGTGGTGTTGAACTTTGAGTCACTAATCCATCGGAAATGTCTCAGCATCGTTTACATCATGCATCGAAACGAAGTGCCCTTATCACTATTGATTCCAAGTGGCAGCCCTACAGCTTTGGACATCTGGGATAGACCACTTAGATCCTCGCCCTCTATGCTATTGCATGTGCACTTGGCAGAACTCCTTATCTATTCACCACGTACTTCAAGTGTTTTGTTTCGCCTGCTCCAGCTGCCGCAGGCCTGGGTCCTTTTTCCACCGCTTCTCCCTCCTCCACAATTCGACTTCCAATACCCTTTTTCCCTGGGGAACCTTTGCTCGCAGGCCATCATCTTCACGATCAAAATATAGAGCCCACAATCCAGGCTCTTCTTCCACGACCACAAAACCTTCCCATCCTTCCAGAGTCACTCGACGGTCTTGCCTTGTACAATCCCACGGCCCTGTTACGTGGGGCTGGGCATCTACCCGGATCCCGTATTTGACCTCGTAGGTGTCTTTGTCCACATAGATCCAGTTCAACATGGGCGGGATGTCAGAGATTGTCGAGACGAGGCCTTCGTACGTTGTTTCAGGATATGGGAGGAAGTATCCAGAAAAGGGGTGGTGGCATGGTTTCTTGTCTGCGTTTTCTCGTTCGCAGTCGCCGTCGTCGACATTAATCTCATCATCAGTACCAATACCACTCGGCTTCGTGGATGGGTTGTCGACATAGAGCTAGATGACCATCGACATCAGCACACCCATAGTCTTCAATAACTAGAGGCTCCACCACACGAAGAAAATACAGCCTCCTCACTCACTTTCTGATCCCGCAAAATGATCCGTCGACCATCAATCTCTTGACTTCTGCTCGACGCCTTCACGCATGTCGCGACCAGGTTGCATCGTCGGGCACGGTGTTCTTCTCGCCTATCCTTTGCCTGCCCCTGCCGTATTGCTTCCGCTGTTGCCAGCATGGCCGGGCATGTTATGAGGGCAATAACCGTCGAGAGCACCATTCTCGCCCGGAGGGATGCGTGAGACTCTATGGGTGTTTCAGACTTTTGAGGTGGAATCACCTCTCCCGGCCTGTCAGCAGTCCGTGCGAAGGGATCGGGGCTTGAGAGAGTCGAGCTACCCTCTTTCTGCTCGTCAGTGACTGGGTGGTCTGTCTGATCACCATCTTGCACTTGTAGTAGTGTCGCCATGGCGGGGAATAGTGTCCTGTTATTGTACTTTGTGCAGTGCACTGATGTGGCCCGGGCTCGGATCAGGCCACACTCGTTCCAATGCATTGAGGTGGTGAGATCTGGGGTTCAACCTGGAACACTAAGGCTTGGGCGGTTTCATGTCCTTCAGTAATGGGTCAGGCTGCGGCAAGCGAAGTTGATTGCCTCAGCCTTGCGACTCGCTACTGTTTCAAGGACAACCCTGTCTTGGGAGAAGCCATCGAGGTCATCATGCCACTGTTCTTTCAGACACCGTACCGAGTACTCTCGAGTTTCTGCAACTATGGGGTCGGTGGCAGATTTCTGGAAACATGTGCTGTGACATTGCAGACACAGAAGCCCCCTAGTTCCTATAACTCCAGCTCAGCCTGTACCGTGGCATCGATAGTGTTTCAGGCGGCAATATCTGAGTCTTTGAGGGAAAGATAAAAGAGGACAGAATATCGCTGTTATCGAGATGTATGTTCATCTTCTTCCCATCAACAACGACAAAACAAAACCCCCGATCCAAACGTCACTGAGCCGTCTGGTACGGCCGGGAAAGCATCCAACGCCGCCTTACTTATTGTCTGAATCGAAAGCTGTTGTCCTCGGACTCCTTTAGACCTCGAATATCTCCTGTTTCTCTCCGTTCCTCCATACCCTATCACAATGTCTGCAACGTACGTAGCCTTCTTAAGGGATTGCAGAATCCAGAGTCTGACCAAGTTCTAGGACCGCGTACGGCAACAACACCGTCGATAAGGGCTACTCCAGCGGTAGCGAAGATGGACAAGCCGCAGGCCAGCGAAAGGCGCTGGCTCCAACCAACGGGCCTTCAGCATTACCCCTGCCGCCGACTTCGGATTATCTGGCTCAACCAGCGGGTATGTCAGGTTTTGGCATGATACATGGCTCTGGCTCACCCATACTGACTGATTCGATTGTGTAGGTGGCCTGCTCAAAGGAGCCACCGATGAAAACGGCAACCTCAAGCCCGCGGCGCTCATGGTCGGCATCAAGCTTGATCTCGAGGCAGAGGTCCATTTGACAGCCCGTGTTCGAGGCGACATCACAATTGGCCTGTATTGAGCCTGGATTGAACATGGATGGTAGAGGACGCAGGTTGGTGCCGAACACGACAACGGTTGAGCAGGTTGTCAGGCCTCGCTGGCTGCAGGTTCAGCCTAGGGAAGCCATTGACTTCTCATGTGCGCGTGTCCGATCCCAGAAAGAGGATGCTTTCGTGCTAGAAGGATCGTCTCATCGGTCGTGCACGGATTGGCTTTTGGAGGGCCAGATTTGCTGGAGAGAAATTCTGAGCTTGTCCATGTAGGGACCGTCAGGACCACCCATACGTACACCACTTACCATAGCCAGATCAAGAGACAGCAAAACCCCAATGACTCCAATCAGGAAATTTCAAAACATGGATTCTGTGCGTAATTGTCTCCGTTACGACAGACCAACATAGAGATGGTGGAGTGATGGTGGTGGAATCTCTCCTTACGGAGGACGAAGGCGTCTACGAGGCATTCAGACTCTTGGCCTACCGTGATTTTGTTGTCCGTAAAGTTGTCCAAACTACTATGTACTGTGTTGGAGTCACCCAGTCTAAGCACATATGGTCTATTCGAGAGTATTACCGACATCGGTTACTGAATTTGGTCTACCTACCTTGGCCTCACGTCTCCATACCCTGGCAGCTGAACGTAATTGTGATACACGGGTGTGTCATTGGTAGTAACCTTCCTATGCTGCTGTGGCTATTGTCGACATCACACCACGGACAAGAAAGGTGGAAGGAAGGAGGTCATCTTTAGCTCCCAAGCCAAAGGCCGTGCTGTTTTAGGGTGCCTCCGGCCTAGCTATATATGGTCTAGTTCAAGAGTGTCACCGACCTCTGCTCATCCCACTTAAACAGACTTTGGCTTTTGTACCTGCTCCTCCTGAATCTTGCCTATAACCTCTGATACTTGTCGACCAACGGTTCGAGATCTGCCAAAGCTCACAGTCGGGGAGCAAGAGTATGGCCACCGCTACGGAGACACAGTCCATCAGCAGGGCTCGTCGCGCAAATTTGTCACACACCACGAAGGTCGAGGACAGAGATACATCAGAAGAGCTGGGCCACAAGCAACGATCCGCGGAAGACAAGTTTTTTTGGACATACACGGAGGAACCTCACCGCACACGGCGGCAAGCCATCATAAAAGCGCACAAGGACATCCTGCAGTTGTGCGGTCCGGAACCGCTGACGAAATATGTCGTCCTCTTTGTCGTCCTGTTACAGGTTTTCTGCGCCTATCTCCTCAAGGACTCTCCGGTCTTCTCATGGCGATTCTTCCTCACCGCATACGTGATTGGCGCCACGGCGAACCAGAATCTCTTCCTGGCTATCCATGAGATCAGTCATAATTTGGCGTTCCGGACAGCCATCTACAATAGACTTCTCGCCATCTTCGCCAATCTTCCCATTGGGATACCATACTCTGCCGGATTTCGGCAGTATCATTTGACACACCACAAGTCGTTGGGTGTGGATGGTGTTGACACAGATCTTCCTACAGCACTTGAGGCAATCTTCTTAGACTCGGTTTTCGGCAAAGCGTTCTTCTGCACCTTCCAGCTCTTATTTTACGCATTTCGCCCCATGATGGTGTACAAGATTCCCTTTGGACCGATCCATTATTGCAATATTGCGGCTCAAGTTGTCTTCGATATTCTGCTCGTCCGATATGTGGGCTGGAAAGCCTTGTCCTATCTAATCATGAGCTCATTTCTGGCCGGTTCTCTCCACCCGTGCGCGGCGCATTTCATCTCGGAGCACTACGTCTTTGCGAAATCCACTCTGCAGAACGGAAAGGTGCCGAAAGATGTGCCTATTCCAGAGACATATTCTTATTATGGTCCCCTCAATGTCCTCACTTACAATGTCGGGTATCACAACGAACACCACGACTTTCCAGCCATCCCTTGGACCCGATTACCCGAGGTCTATGAAAGAGCGCGTGAATTTTATGAGCCTCTGCCATGCCACAATAGTTGGCCTTGGGTGCTGTGGCAGTTCATCACCGATAAGGAAGTCGGGATGTGGTGTCGAGTCAAGAGAGCAGAAGGTGGGCGCATTGTGGGAGGTTGGCAAGACGCTGAGGTCCAGAGTTGAATGAACAACTCTTCTATGTGCATATGACCAGATAGACACAAAAAATGTAAAGAGACGAGATTATGAATGCACATGACTGAAGCCACTGTGATGCACCGTTGTGGACTGCCAAGTTTCAAATCAGGTTGAGCTTTGAGCAACACGACCTCCACGACACCTTCACGCCTCATACTTATGCCTTGTCTCCCCGTTTTCTCTTCCATGCCCAATCTGTGAACGCTTATATACTTCCAAGGATGCCATCATCGGCTCTGGGATGTGCCACGTCTCGCCGGGGCCGTGGTCGCAGTGGCCGAGCCAGAGGACGATCACACGCTGGCACATCTCGGAATCGACAGGGTATCCAGCCCTCTCGATATTCGCGCAATGGGAGAAATTCCTCTGCGACTCCATCCCAGGCTGCCTCCAACGACCGCTCAACACCTATTCGTGCGACTCTCTCCCCTCAGAGCGAAGGAGTTTACCTTGACGTGCCCCGGGACGACGACTTCCTGGAGCAGGTGATCGTGGCCGTCGACATCAAGGGCCGAGGTGAAATAGGCTGTGCGTACTACATCGCGGGCGAGGAGAGACTTTTGTGCATGGAAGAGGTCATGGGTGGTGCCGCCGACGTCGTTGACAAATGTGTGAGCCATCGACTCCTCATGTTGACCACGATCTCACTTAATTTCTGCAGTGAAACTGGACCTTCAGCCCACTAGAGTCATCCTCTCCCTCCGCTCAGAAGCTACTGCGGCCTCCGCCGATGCTCGGTTACGCCAAAACGTATCGCTGGTGGACGGTGGTAAGGAAAGGGATCATCAATGTGATGAATTGACACGGCTGACCGAAAGATAGATGGCGATCGACAACCTCTGCCGTATCAAATTGAGATACGCCCGACACCGGAATTCAACTATGAGGACGCTCTGAACAAGTTGGTCGGACTCTGCTCCTTTGCCGACAATCCCTCGACTCAATTCCTCGTCCCGGGCGACTCCGTGGTGTACGACGAAAGGCTGCCGCCAGAAGAGCTCGGGCTGACCAAGAGACGAGGAAAGCTGATGCAGATATCTTCGTGGTTGGATCTCGACAACAGAATCAGCATCGGCTGTGCGGGTGCCATCGTATCTTGCTTGCAGCGAAGACGATCGGCCGCCTACCTGCCCGGAGATCCAGACGCCAACCACACCTTCCGTATCGCCCGACTTGAAATGTTCAACCTCCGGGGGACCATGCTCGTGAACAATGATACCCTAGTCTCGTTGCAAATTATCCAGCCCGAGTCTCATCCCAACGCATTCAACCAAGGGCCTGGCGCCTCCGGGGCGAAGGAATCGCTCTCAATCTACGGCCTCTTCCAGCACCATGCCCGAACACCACAAGGCAAGAGCCGCCTTCGGGAGGCTTTCCTGCGACCGTCCCTTGACATGGAGCTGATCAACAGCCGCCTCGACTTCATTTCCGTCTTCGTCCGGCCAGAGAATCAATCTGTGCGTGAACAACTCAGCAAGAGCCTCGGGCGGATCAAGAATATGCGGAACACCGTCACTCTGCTGCACAAGGGCATTGACGCCGGTAAGTCCAAGCAGAACGCGTTCAAGGGCAGCGTTTGGGAGTCCCTTCTGGGTTTCTGCTACCACGCCATCGACGTTGCAGAGACGCTCCGAGAGGCCCTGGGCGCCGGGCACCTGCCCCTGTGCGTCCGTGCCGCCGAGGCACTCGACCGCTATGGCCTCAAGAGGATCGGCCGCATGGTCAACGAGGTCGTGGACCGCGAATCGTCGATTGACCAGCACCGCACGGTGGTGAACCGCGGCGTCAACGAAGACCTGGACCAGTTGAAAGATGTCTACAACGGCATGGAAGAGATCTTGGACGAAAAGGCTCGCGACATCCAGCTGCTGATCCCGCGAGAGTTCAATGTCGAATTGAACGTCACCTACCTGCCACATCTGGGGTTCCACCTGACCATCCCCCGGGATCCAGCAACCGGCCGGGCGATGTACGATGGGCAAGAACTGGCGTGGCAGCTCATGTTCACCACGCCAGCCCAGGCCTACTACAAGGACGCCACGATGCACGAGATGGACCATGAACTGGGCGATCTGTACTCTGCGATCTGCGACATGGAGGTCGAAATTGCCTACGACTTGGCTCAGAACGTGCTCCAGGACGAAGGTCTTCTGACCGCGGCGTCTGATATTTGCGGTGAACTGGACTGCTCGTTGGCCTTTGCCCACGTCGCGCACCAATATCACCTGAGCCGGCCCACGATTACGGAGGACAACATCATCGAGATCAAGGGCGGCAGACATCTGTTGCAAGAGATGACCGTGCCCTCGTTTGTGCCCAATGACACCTATCTCGTGGGAGGGAATGGAGAAACCGATCCGGCAGGACCAAGCATGATATTGTTGACGGGCCCAAATTATTCGGGCAAGTCTGTCTATCAAAAGCAGGTTGCCCTGGCAGTATACATGGCCAGATGGTTCATTCCTCCCCGCCGAGTCCGCAACCATCGGCATCACGGACAAGATCCTCACGCGCATCGCAGCTCGAGAGACCGTGTCCAAAGTCCAGTCGGCCTTCATGATCGAGATGCAGCAGATTGCCATCGCTCTGAATTCCTGCACCCGACGAAGCCTACTGGTGATTGATGAGTTCGGGAAAGGCACGGACACATTTGACGGGGCCGGCCTCGCGGCAGGAGTGTTCCATCACCTGCTTGCCCTGGGACCTCAAGCTCCGAAGACGCTGGTTGCGACACACTTTCACGAGATCTTCGAGTTGGGACTCTTCCGCGCAGTACGGAATGTTGCTTTTGCACATATGGAGGTTCAACTCGATGAAAGAGATAGCCCTGGTGTCGGCGAGGCCAACAGCCAGGTTACCTATCTATTTAATCTTCGCCCGGGCCGCAGTAGTTTGTCCTACGGCGTCCAGTGCGCTGCGTTGAACGGCGTCCCGGCAGAGATTGTCGACCGAGCAGTCGCAATCGCTCGATTGGCGCAACAGGGAGAGGACCTTGTAGCGATATGTTCGGCCATGAACGAGGATGAAGTTGAAAAGTTGCGGAGCGCGGAGCGGGCGTCCCGGATGTTTCTGGGTGAGGACTATGAACGCGACTGGACGACGGAGGAACTGGTGTCTTCTTTGAATGCCATGCTAGAGGTCGACAGAGACCCAGAGGAGACGACTGTGTCGGAATGAACCTTGCCCGCATCACCTCAGCTGACCTTTGTCGTGGCGTTCATCCCCTTCTGCTTGCCCCAGTTTCTGCACTTTGAGAGAAAATCGGTTGCCACGAAAATGATAACCAGAGAGCCTAGCCAGTTCCAAAAGACGTCCATCACATTCATACGTACACTGCCGCTCATGCCCAGCCCGCGCATCAAGTGGCCCAGGAACATGGTGCTGATCATGAAGTCGCCGGCCGCCAACCGCTTCAGCACAATCCGGGCAATCTGATCCGGCTGCTGTGGCTGGTCGTCCTTTTCGAGTTGTAGCGTTAAGGACGGCTTGATCTTGTTTTCGTTCTCGAACCCCGGCGAGATGATGCCCATCGGGAACAGGATGTGGACTTTCATGTCGGCGTCCGGCACGGGGCCCAGGGACGGATTCAGTCGCGATCCGTTGTACACTTCGACCTCTTGGTTCAGGCTGTCGGCTAAAGCCCGCATGGCCGCTTTGCAGGGCGAATAGGGACTGTAGCCGGCCACGGGGAAGCAGGCCAAGGTAGAACAGGTGAAAATCAGGTGGCGTGTCGGTCTTGAGGGACTGGGAGAGGTGGACGACTTGTTCCCACTGCTGCTGGTGCTGCTCCCGGCTTTTGACGACGGGGTCTTCCACAAGTTGATCGCCGCGTGGGCCATGTACGCGCTGCTCCAGTAGATCGTGTCCATCTGGTCCCTGAGCCTATCGATCGGAGCGTCCGCGAAGAAGGCCGGGTAACAGTTCCCCGCGCAGCAGAAGATCAAGTCCGGCGCCGCGCCGTTGTTCCACGTCTTAACTTCCTCCAGGATCTTCGTAGCGGATTCCGGCCGGCGGAGATCGAAGGACAGCGAGAGGAACCGTTGCGACTGCGCGCTTTTGGCGCGACTGTAGAGGATCTTGACCGCGTCTTCGAGTTTGGGCACGTTTTGCGCCACGATGGCCACATTGGCGCCCCGGGCTGCGAGTTCTTCTGCGATGGCCAGCCCGAGACCCTGTGAGCCGCCGGTCACGATGGCCGTGAGGCCCTCGACAGGGAAGTGGTTCTTGGACGCGAAGAGCATTCTGGCAACGAGGACGGTGGACAGGGCGAGGACGAGGACGGTGACGGTGAGGATCGTTATCGAGCTTCCGGGGGACGACCACCAGTCCGACGACGAAGACATGAGAGAGTGATCTTCAGAAAGGAGAGGTCCAAGTACGTGAGGGTCCGGAGTCCGTACCTAGGCAATCCAATTGCTCTAGGGAGGGTCTTCAACGCTAAAAGATGACGCGCCGCAATGATAATGGGGAAACAAAATTATTTCTCGTCCGAGTAGTAAGTGAGTGCGCGCGGAAGAGCTTGTGCCGACCAAGCAAGCGTGCAATTATTTAATTTTTAAGCAACTACTGCGTTAAGGGGGGCCGCGGCGCCCAGAAACGGGGGTCTTGTACGCCAGGCCCGCCTAAGTAATGCCGAGTAGTAGTATTTCAGTGGCCTGAAGCATATTTCGACGACAAGTCCCAGGTGGTTCGAACCAACCGCCAAGGAGAGAAGAATCAAAGCCCGGATGGTTGGAGACGAGGTTGCTGACGGTATGGTATTATTGCCAGCCTTTCTGACCAGGGTTTATCGAATATGATATGTACTCGGTATCTACTTCTTTCTGCTGCCCCTCATCCGGCGACCCAGCTCGAAATCCCTGGGCCTACTGGTCAACGGTAAGGGGTTCCAACAATTCCACCACCCACCTGGCTTCTAGGCGGCGCTCATCGTGAAGAGAGACAGCCCCACGGCCACAACGATAGACACCCATATTTTGCAATCCCTGGTTTTAGTTCGTGTTTGGAAGAAACTGTCCATAGAGGCCACACTCACGCTGCGACATAAAAGCCACCACGACCGAGTAGTGATGGTAATAGTGGTGAGGTGAAGGGCCTGAAGCGGCACTAGCCCAAAGTGGCCGCCGACGGCGATTGCGTACGCCAAGCCCGCGTCCCCCAAAAAAAGTTTCTATCTTCAAGTCGATAGAGAAACAACAAACTAGATTCGGCCACTGACCCGCGCAAGGGGAAAATACCTTGTGAGCAGTCCTTCGAAATGGCCAACAAGAGAAAGGCCGCGCGCGTGGCCGAACCCTCCACCCGACGTCCACAAAACGGTCGCCATGACGCAGATGAAACCTTTGCCGACTCGGAGGACGAGTTTTTCGCAGCACGAGACAAGGTCCTGCTGGACGAGGGGCCCGCTGCAAAGAGGAGGAGGAGATTACAAGAACAAGAGCGAGACCTGCAACCGTCTGACGAGGAGGTTTACGGAGATCCGGCCACTGACGACGAGTCCGATGGCCAACTTGATGACAACGGGGAGCGAGAAGAAGAAGACGAAGAAGATGGCCACTGGGGCACGTCCAAGGCCGACTATTACAGTGCCGATGTGATCGAGACCGAGGCTGATGCATTAGAGGAGGAACAAGAGGCTAGGAGACTGCAGCTGAAACAACTCAAGGCCATGACGGAGGCAGATTTCGGCTTCGATGAGAGTGCATGGATCGGTGACAATCACCAATCTCAGGGGCAGCGGTCAGCGGTGGAGAAACTGCCTGAACTCCATATCTCTGAAAATGCGAGCGTCGACGAACGGATGAAAATCTTGAGGTCGAGATATCCCGAGTTCGAGCCTCTAACAAAGGACTTTCTCTCGTTGCAAGACACCTACCAGTCAGTGAGGAAGGAGGCAGAATTGGAAGGCCACGTTGATGGAGGTGTCGCACTGACGAAATTCCGAGCCTTGTCAGCGTACCTTGGGGCTGTGGCGATGTACCTTGCTCTCCTTACTTCCACCAAGACCGGCATGGCGCTGGCACCGGGGGAGCTTCGAGATCACCCCGTCATGGCGAACCTTGTTCGGTGTCGCCAGCTGTGGCAAGAGGCCGAAATACTTCGCCCGATAGATCCTGTTGAAAAGCCGGAGACCAAAGCATCAGCCCCAGCGCCACCGAGTGTGCCTCAGGAGACTTCACGACAACCCGCCAAGAAAAAGACAAAGACCAAGCCAGCGTCCCCAGAGCCACCCTCTCCGGAAGTTCCAGTAGTGAGCACAAAATCCAAGAAGACGAGAAAACCAAAGAGAAATGAATTGCAAGAACTCCTGGCGACGTCAATGCGGAAACCGGCCGAGGAGGAGTCCGACTTTGGCGACGAAGCACCGCTGACGCTAGAGGAAGCTGCAGAAAAGGCTCGGCGAAAGAAGACTCTGAGATTCTACACCTCGCAGATTGTGCAGAAAGCCAACAAACGCGGCGCAGCATCACGCCAGGCCGGCGGCGACGACGACCTGCCCTACAAAGAGCGCATCCGAGACAAACAGGAACGGCTTATGCGCGAGGCCGAGCAGAGAGGTCGAGCCACCGCCAACGAGAGGGAAGTACTCGATGATGATGGTGACGATGACGACGACGATCCCGAAGCAGGCCGAAGGATCAACGACGAGGCCAACGAGTACTACGACATGCTGGTCACCAACTCCGAGCAAAAGAAAGCGGACAAGCGAGCCCGGGCCGCCGCGTACGCCGACGCCGCCCGACAAGGCGCACAGGTGCACGAAGAAGAGCAGGTGGGGCCCGACGGGAAGCGGAAGATCACGTACGCCATCGAGAAGAACAAGGGCCTGACGCCCAAGCGGAAGAAGGAGGTGCGCAACCCGCGCGTCAAGAAGCGGAAGAAGTTCGACGAAAAGATGAAGAAGCTGGCCTCCATCCGGCCCGTGTACAAAGGCGGCGAGGGCCGCGGGGGCTACGGTGGCGAGGCGACGGGCATCAAGACGAACCTGGTCAAGAGCATCAAACTGTGAGGGTGAGGCATGGCATTCCCTCTCGGGTATAGAGATGGAGGCTGTATGTGTCTTGTGTTGTGTATACGGTGTGTGTGTGTGCTCTCAGCCAGCCAGTCACTCAATCAGTCAGTCAAACAATCAATGCGGATAACATACCCACTCATCTCGACTCATCCCGTCCATTGCCTTCCTTGGTTTTGAACCCCATCGTCGCTTCTCGACTTTGCCTCTTCATCTCTGACTCAGACACCAGATTCACAGTCTCTCGCTAGAGATTCAATGGAACAGAGTCAGTCCGAGTGCTTAAGCAAAGCCATCCGAGACCAAATGGGATTCGCTCGCCGGCCGTCAAGGTGATAAGGAGGGAAGTGGTTCTGGTCTGTCTATACCATAGGTCTGGTGGGACTTTTCAAGTACCTCCTCATCTACAGTACCCCCCAACATACAGTATCTATCTACCCCTGAGGGCTCCGGGCATCCAGGAAAACCGCCCGACCTCTTTTGTTTTACGAGGTACTTTCTTTCTCATTGAGCAATACCACACCACAGGAAGCATGCTCTGTGCACCAACGACCGGAGAACGGAGGTACACAGCTTGTGTACAGGCCACAAATCCCCTATTCCCCCGCCCAGAGTCACTATCTACACACCATCTCCACCGTCTCCATCTCTCTCTATTTTTCTCTGTACCTCTGTCTTGTCTGTTCTGTTCTTCACGCCCCCAGGGCCGTCCGCCGCGACACCGAGTGCGGGTCAAAGTACGGCCGTTCGCCGAGCGAGACGACGCGGTTGCCCTGGCGCTTGCCGTCGTAGTCGTTGGTGGCGGTGTGGAAGACGGAGCGGTTGTCCCAGATGGCCAGGTCGTTCTCGTTCCAGCGGAAGCGCACCTGCAGGTCGTGGTTGTCGGTGATCAGCTGCAGGAAGTAGGCCTTGAGGATGTCGCTTTCGCGCGGCGTGACGCCGTCGATCCACCCGTGCTCGATCTGGTGGCCCGCCCCGAAGAGGGATTTCCATCCCGTCACTGGGTTGGTGCGCACGACAGGGCTGTTTTGGAGAGTAATATCATATATACGTTAGTTTCGGTTTGATCTGCGAAACAACCATTACAGGGAGGGGTGCCGGTGGGTTCAGAGGGAGGAGGGATTTCCAAGGGACTTGGTCTGGAAGACTCACTGCGACGCGGTAAAGTCGATGCCCGTGTTCTCAGGCGCGCCCCGGTCCTGCTCGATCAGGTCCTCGCCAAACTCCTTCGCGACCTTGACGAAGTTGGGCTGGTGGTGCGTCGCCGTCAACCGCTCGGCCAGCTTCTGGAACTCCGGCGACAGCCGGTCGTACAGCTCGTAGCCCGACGCCCACAGCGTGTCGCCGCCAGCGTCTTCGGGCTTCTTGATGATCTTGAGGATGGCGTAGTCGGACGGGATGCGCTCGAAGGTGATACTACGAAAGTCAACAGTGTGATCCCAAAGAATCGTCCGCTGGTATGGATGGGTCGATGCGAGACAGGGTGACCCCGGCAGACACTTACTCGGCGTGCCATCCTTGGCTGGCCAGCACCTTGGACTGCGAGGAGAAGCGGTCCTTGTAGAACTTGCGGTTTTGCTGTGGTGCACATCAGTTCAGTCAGCATTGATTCTCCGTGCTGCCCAGCGATGTCCTGAAGCGGTGGAAACATACTTCGGAAGAAATGACCGACACTTCGTCGTCCAGTTTCCCGTTCTCGTCCACGGCGATGCCTCGCTTGCTATTGCTCAGAGCATGACGATGGAGCTGTGGCGGAGATTAGCTCGAGGACATCACAGCTGTCGACGCCGACTTGGTTGAGGATCATAATACCTTGGACGTCTCAGGCTTTCCCGTGAGCTCACCGAGTTTCTGGCCCAAGATCTTCTGGTCGTCGATGTTGAGGTCCTGGTTACGGAAGAAGACCACACCACGCTGGGACACTGCGACCGCATGATACACATCAGCCTCGGCCCGCAACCCAGCTCGCTAGCGAGCGATATGGGACACAAACGTACCCGTGATGGCCAAGTCCCGGATCTTTGCGTCGTCGTGCAGGATCTGGCTGAGTTGCAGGTCCGGAAATTCCCTGCCGATAACCTTGGTGACGTCGAAGGACTTGTACTGGTCCAACGACCCCGTGTACTTGAGCGGCTCCTTGAGGGTGCTCTGGGCGTTGACTTTGGTGATGGGGATTGGGCCCGAGCTCGTGTGCGAGTACAAGTCTGTGTCTGCTGCTGGGGGCGCCATGGTAGTCGAGTCTCAGGACAGACAGAGTCGAGAGATGTGCTGTGTAGCCTGATTATAGTATTCCTTTCTTGGGCTATCTTTTCCTTTCTTCGTCAGGAAGGAAGGGTGGATTGTCAGGGAAAGATCTCTGAATGGGAGAACAAAAAAGGACTCAGGAAGGAAGAGCAACGACTCACCCTCATATACATGCGAGTCCACTGTTGATGCCGAGCTTCTCCTGTTGCACCATCCGTCTCCGAATGAATGGATGTATTCCAGCGTGCCGATGTGCCGTCTTGTCCCCTCACTCCTTCTCAGCCAGAGCTATCTGGACGAGGATAATTGGGCGACGCGATAATCGCAACGGTAATGCAATGAGCTCTTGATATTGCAAAATGGCATCTTATCGCCCGGGTGAATGCGCAGCAAACCAGAATGTATCCTCAGACTGAACTGGAGCCGGGGGCGGACGCGTCACTGGCGCAAATCCATGGGCGAACGGTACCACGACCCATATCTCGTGGATGTTCATGCCCAGTTCTCGCCTCCCCCGCTGTAGTTCCTCGCCCAGATGTACGGAGGCACTGTAGCGTGGACAAATCCCTCCTTTCTGCACTGAAAGGAGTCGAGCTGAGTGGGTGGACGTGCACTACCTGCCACCAAACGAGCCGGGATCCGGTGTCTCGCAGGACGAGGAGGAGAAGGCAGTGCACATCATTTTCGGTACCCATGGCGCGATAATACAGTCTGGGGGATCAATGTTGGCTGGCCAGATCAGTATCTCGTCAGCTTGGTCGTGTATTGCACCACCACCGCTGCCACCAACAGAGTCGATGAAGGCAGAATACCGGCTCACGATGGCGCAATGGAGATGCGAGGGGATGGGATGGATGGTCCTGTAGCGAGCGGGCTTTGGCCGTGACGAGGAGACAAGACAGACGGACAGGCATGTGCAATCAAATGAACGAGGATTGTACCATTGTAGTGTCTTGCACAGCATGGGGATCGGATCGGTTGAGGGAGAAGCATGTGGTTGGAATTGGCAGTTCAATGGTTGGTTGTTTGGTAGTTGATGCTTCCCATTCTTTCAGAGTCTTGGACCTTAACAACCACGTGGATCTTCGCACTACACTTCACATTATGCGAGACCCTTTCTATAGCAAGCAAGAGGAGGATTGGTCATGCTCGCGCAGAAAAAGAGAGAGAAGAAGGAGGAGGTTGAGTGATCAGCGAGTGATCCGTCTATCTCTACTGCCCTCCAAACTTCTAGTTGCTCGCACGCAATTCAGCACAATCATCTCAGTTTATCCGTCTCTTCCCCCTGTCACTCGTCTATCACCTCTCCTCTAGGTACAGAACCAATGATTGCGAGTCTAAAACATCCCAGCCAATACTCGGCTACTCTCCCTGAGTTTATCGACCCCGGCTCACAGATCCTTCAGCTCCCTCATCTATTTCGTCGCACATCCACTGCTTATGCGACGTGGCAACACATCAAGATTGTTCAGCTAGCGAAGCGAAAGTCCAGACGCTTGTTCCCCTTGTCGGTTGTCGTGGCAAGGTACTCCGCGCGCTGCTCATCCGTCATGTTGTTCCAGATCCGGTCACGTTGCCTATTGCGCAAGACGTAGTAAACCTTTGCAAACACATAGATCCCCACGTTCAAAGCGCACAGAGAGACAAGGACTCGGTTCCCGCGACTATAGCGGGGTCGATCATCTAAAAATGGCCGGTCAGCAATCAGAACCATCGGTCTTGTCAGGGTCTGAGACTTGCCTTGCCGATAGATGTTGCTTGCAATGATACCAGAAGATTGGCATGCCATATTGTACACCGCGGCACTCACCGTACGGCTACGAACCGAGTTGGAATTCCTCGAGCTCCATCCGACCTGGATAGCGTGTGTGCTCGGGTACGCAAGAAGGACAGTCATGATGCCGAACGCCGTCCATTTATTGATCGAGTTGATGTCGATCGCATAGATGTAGGCCAGGAAGGGGAGGGCCCATAATTGCGCGAGCAGGCCAAAGATCCAAAGCTGACCCACAATCTCCGCAAGGTATGTGAAGAGTAGCATCGTGATAATGTGCCCAATTGTTGATGGGACCACCAGCAAGTTCGTCTTGATGGTGCCGAATCCCAACTGTTTGAGTGACAGGGTCAAGTATTGCGTGGGGGTCGCTGTTTCCTCAGTATGGTTCTGCATGAATCAGTGAAGGGGGGGCTTACTCATTGGAGTTTGGAAGTTGAGCCCAATCAGATACAAAGGCCAGAGATCGTAGTCCGTCAGACTCTGCCAGAGCAGCTTCGGAGTGATCGGCTGCCTGTTGTGCATGGTACTCTTGCTGGGATCTTCCCTGATGATCCTGTTGACCATGATGGTTTCCTCACTGCCGCCATATCAGCGAAGGAATTCTGACAGTATGCACGGTCTTCAATACTGACCGTTCTGTGAACCATCCCTTCTTTCCTCTTGCCCAATTGGCAGTTTGGCAGGGGCTAGGAGGCATCAAGACGAACGCAATTAGTCCGAGAACGAAAGTCAAAAGCCCCTTCAAATCAGTCAACATAAGACGCCCGTACATCCGAGGGGAACACTGGCCTCGATCAAGAAAAGCCATCTCCAACCGGCGTACCCAAGGTGTCCTCGAAGGTCCAGCAAGCCAGCACCAAGGAAACTGGCGATGATGTCGGCGATGGACATGGCTGTCCACCAGAAACCTAGCCGCAAAGAAAGCTCGCCGTGCTTGTAGAAGTATGAGAGATATAGGATCATCTGGAGAAAAGGTCAGCTTCCGCAGGTAAAAGTAACAGAAACAGAACATACATCTGGTATGAAACCACCCTGCAAAAGTGCAAGCAGAGCCCTGCACGTAAGAAAACTAGCCCGACCAGAAAGCCAAAATTGTGAACCGGCCACTATGGACCAAAGCACCATCTGGGTAGGGATCCAGCGGTCGGGACCCATCCACTTGGATACCAGCTGGGATGGGAGTTCGGCGCACAGGAAGCTGAGTTTGAAGACGGTATTTCCCCAGTTGTAGTCTATACGCAGTCAGCACACGGGTCATTGCATTGGATGTCCTGGCAGCACGAACCATTTGTATTCATTCCAAGGTCGCCCAGAAAGTTGTCCGTGACGGCTTGCGTCAGGTTCGAGCGGTCCAGCTCCAAAGACATGAACATGATGCAGGCGAAGATCATGATTCGGAAGTCGATCTTCCGCAGGACAGCGTACTCCTCGCGCCATGTCCATCTCGCCAGAGGATCAAACCGGCGGATGTTCTCCCAGTCGGCGCGAGGCTGATAGTGTTTGGCGGTTTCAGGGTCATCGAACACGGACGGAAGAGTTGCAATGGCATCAGGGTCATAGCCTCGACCCCTCTGCCACCAGAACTTCTTCTCGTTCGCAGGGACACCAAGCTCAGGTATATCAGCTTGTGTAGTTGGAATGCTCTCCTTCGAATCTGAGGGGCTGCTGTTGAGGATCTCACTTGTCACGATTGTTTCGTCCTTTTCCTTCAGGAAAGGTCGAAGCAAAACAGTCGCCATTGTCAAAAATTGAACTCGTTAATTGCTTCACCAATGTCTCGTCCACCATTGGAGAGACACGACAGGTATTTTAAACTATCATAACGACACATATCTGCGGGCACCCTCTCCTCACCTTGCAGAAAGGTGCAAGGGAGAGCCGATCTTGGCCGTATTGCGACATCCCCGCCGTACATATTGCAATACTTGCCAATCGAGCGCTGTAGCACGACATCTTCGAGGATCATTTCGTGATGCAGATCTGATAGCGGGAGTATACACCGGTAGGAGTTAGCACGTCGCGAAGCTAGGGTCTCGCCTTTCGCTTGGAAGAGCGATACAAAGCTTCAGACACGATCTGGAACGGTCGTGGTGGTCTCCGGACGAGACCTGCTGACGGCATGCCCTGGCTCTTGAACAGCACAGATATGGCGACATGGTCCTCTCACCAGGAGCCAGATGCCGAGGAGACAGGAAGCTCGACCACCCTGGACGATAGGAGATCCTCGGAGCGATACAACAGAGGCAATCACCTCTATGGACTCAGAATGGCGCCATCAGGAGTCTTCATTCGCCCGCATACTCATCTCGCAGTAGGCGGCAAAGCCTTTGGGCCATCTCCACGTGCAAAGAGTTGCTCAAGGTCTAGGGCCAGCGTAGTGAGCACAGGATTCATTCCCTGGTCAATCGAGATCTCGAGAAAGAGGAAAGTCCCTGAGGAAGAGGAGAATGAAGAAGAAAGGGGTTGAAATGTCACATGACGCCAAGACTAGTTAGTCCAACTGCTAGCACGTGATATCGTCAGGAGTTTGGCGGGCCTGTTTCTTCTCACGAGGCTTTCCTTCACTCCTCAGACTTTCATTTGGGTATTTCGGCTATTATGTTTGTGTCTCTCAATTCTATGACAGAATCCGGTGGACTGCCACTAGTAGCTCTGCTACCACTTCTCGCAGTCCAATGAGAAAGTGGGAGTTTGAGGGAACTCTCGTCTTGTTCCGTGTCGACAGGAGAGAGTGCAACAATTCAGAGCCTAGATGTCGTTATGGAACGTGGGAGGCTTCTGCCAAGAGCTGTTCCTCCACTGGATGCCCTTGAACCGGAGCACAACCATCGGGATCAAGAAAACGACGTGGATTAAGGCAAAAGTCAACCACGCGTACTGATACTGGATCTTGTCGCCGAGTGGAATTCTATTTTGCGAGATGGGGTCAGTGCGATCCAACAAAAGGCTCTTCCGTATATCACTGGGAGAGTGGGAAGGTTGGGGTCACTCACGCATAGAAGGAGATGGTCATGGAGAAGACGTTGCGGAACACGTTGAGGATGCAGGATATCTCGGAGCTCTGGGGCTTGTAGCACTGGTGCGAGTCAGCGTCAATATCGCGTGATCAGGAATGAACCACATACATCCGTGCAGTAGCTGTACGTAACTGTGGTCGCGATCTGGAGACCAAAGTTCGCAATGCCCATGCCGAACGCGGCGCCCACCCACGACACCGTCTTGAAGTGCGACAGACAGATGCCGTCGATGATGATGCCGATCGGGCACAAGACCGCCAGTGCTACCATGTTGATACGCGGCTCGGGCTCCCGTCTGCCTCCGTGGTGTTTGGCGTATCGGTACACCATGTAATCCGTGAGCCAGCCGGCGCTCATTTCGCCCAGCAGACAGCCGATGAGGAGCGGAATGCTAAGCAGCATTCCAGTCTGCGCTACGTCAAAGTGGTACAGTGATCGGAACAGGCTCGAACCCGTCGCGGCAAACATCACCGAGCCGAACCCAAAGGCCGTCATGTAGTAAAAGCCCGGGATCACGATCGGGAGGTATCTCAGCATGTAGAAAGGCCGGAAGAAGTCTCCGAAGCGGAGTTTGCGATCCTGCAAGCCAGAGTGTCTAAAGAGCAGGAGATCCATGAAAGAGTGTTCACGACGATTGGCGAGGGTGGTCGGCCGACGAGAGAAGAGGGTTTCTGGCAAGCAAAAAATCGTGAAGACGAACACGCCGAGCTGGACATAACCCTACAAGAAATGCTCATCAGCGAATTGACCCAGGACGCAGGGTCTCGACGAACTCACTGGGATCAAAAAGCACCACCTCCACCCAAGACTCTGGGCAATGAAGCCGCCGAACAACGACGCCGCATGAGGTCCGTTGGTCAGAAGGAAGGTGAAGATTCCCATGTAAAATCCACGTTCGTGCAGGAAGTACATGTCACAGACGGTTGCTGCCCCGATGGCGCCTGGAGAGCCAGCACCAATGCCGTTGAAGACACGAGTCACCATGATCCCAGCCCATGTGTCGCAGTACCCTGCCGCAATGTTGGTGACGGCAGCTAAGAGGTTGCCGAAAAGGTAGACAGGTCTTCGGCCATACACGTTGGCGAGTGGCACCGTCAATAAGGGACCGACGCCCGCAGCGACAATATACACTGTCAGTTCATATGAAGCCTGGACCACTGTGATGTGGAATTGCTTGCTGAGTGGCACAAAGGCCGGATTGACGATTGCGCCTGCCATAGGCCCGAGGAAAGCAAGGAAGCTGACTTGCAACAGGATGAAGAATTTGAGCCATGGCGACCAGTTCTACATTCCGTCAGCAGCTGTTCGGACTCAGAATTGCTCCGTTCAAAGCCTCGGGCGCGCTCTTCACGTACAAGAGGATCATCCTTGCGATCTGTTGGCTGCGGCACGAGAGGCAGACCACGTTTGTCGAGCTTCAGGGCTGCGTGCCCTTCTCTTTCATCAATTTCGCCTCGTTTCGCCTCGGCAATGTCGACGGCGGCTTCTTCGGACGACCACTTGTCCTGTTCCATATGCAGGACCTCCGCCTTGTTCTGGAGGGACCCCATAGTATTTGCCTATGGACCTTGGGCGGAAAATGAAAGAGCAAAAAAGAAAGCTGTGTAAATATCAGCAATCAACCTGGGTCGAGGTAGAAGAACAACCCATGTCTCTTCTCCCCAGCCATGGGAAAGATAATGAAGCGGCAGCCCCAGCGCACGGCTCACACTTGCCTAGGCGAGTAAAGGGAGTGGAGATCTCTGTGCTCGGTAGTTGCATGGATGCCTCCAGATTCTGGGATTGCCAAAGGGCAATCGTGTGGGGGAAGTGGGTTTGTTTCCCAGACCTCCTGACCTGCTTGCCATGAGAGATGGGGTAACGGGACAGATGAGAGGGAGAACAACACGTTGTACACGTTCTCAGGCGTCTTGGCCTGCATGTGGTCGCCCCTGAACATGAGGTCAAACAGACGAAGTCCAAGCTTGATAACGTCCCCGGGGAGATAATGCCGTTTATCTCCTGCACGCCTGATCCCATTCTGCACAAGCTTTTCCCCACAAGCTTGAGGAACTCTTGTTCATTGGAGCCATCCTTTCTCCGCTCAGACCCCAGAATTTGGTGGCGGTGGGCCTCGGGGACTTTACCAGGTGCTTGGTGCTGGATGGGGACAGAAGGGGAAGAGACGGGACTATATTTGGAGATGCGCCCATGCCATGCCTTTGTCGAAAACGTGCCATAAGCCTGCAAGAAAACCCCGGGAATTCCTGGTTACGAACGAAGTCGGGCTTCCAATCACAGACAATAGTCCCGACGCCTCAGTCTTGGTGATCCGGCTCCTGACCGAGAAATGCCCGCAGCAATCAACCGCCCCCCACTGAGGGTGGCCATAGTAGGTGGTGGCATCGGCGGGCTCTGCACCGCCCTGTCCCTCCATTATCATTGTGGCTCGAATGTCGATATAGATGTCTACGAGCAAGCTCCGCAGTACAAAGAGATCGGGGCCGGTGTCGGCATCGGCGTCAATGCTGCAAAGCTGCTGCACAAGATAGGCATTGGCGAAACCATCTCGACGATTGCAGGAAAGCGAACCGGCATCTGGATCACGTTTCGCAAGTTCGACGACGGATCGGACGTCGTGACAGTGCCATCCGTAGACACGGAGGAGATCAAACAACTGCCCGTGCATCGCGCCGAGTTTCTGGACCTGCTGGTTGATATTGTGAGGCAGAAGGATGCCGCCAGACTGCATACCAACAAACGATGCAAGAAACTTACTGTATTTGTCCATCCACTGAACACCTGGTCCACCCAGCTGACAGACAAACAGGAGCAAGGCGACGAGGTATTGATCGAATTCGAGGATGGGACGACCGCCACGGCCAACATGGTTGTCGGATGCGACGGTATACATTCTGCCGTCCGGGCCCAGTTCACCAGCGACAACCCCGACTACAGTGGCAGGATCGCATACCGTGCACTGGTGCCCATATCTGAGATCGAGGATTGGTGGGGGTTCGAGACGTACTCGGTGACGTGGCTGGGCAAGAACCGGCACTTTCTATGCTTCCCGATCTCGCGCAACAAGACGCTCAACATCGTCGCGTTCGTGGCCGAGAAGGAAGAGAACCTGGGCGACCTCCGGGAGAGCTGGACGGCGGTGGGCAAGAAAGAGGAAGTCTTCGAGGCCTTCCAGGGGTTCGAGGAAAAAGTGCAGAGGTTGATCCGGTTGATGCCCGAGCAGCCGTCCAAGTGGCTGATCAATGACCGCAAGCCGCTCGATCAGTGGGTGTATCTCGGAGGCAAAGCTATACTATTGGGAGATGCTGCTCACGCCATGACTCCCCACCAAGGTCAGTATCCTGGTGTGTGGTATGGATGCAAATGTGTGGTGCTGACAATTCAAACAGGCGCGGGAGCAGGTCAAGCCATCGAAGACGGATACATTCTCGGTCGAGCACTGCAGGACTACTTCCGAAGTCCATCATCCGGGAAAGGCAGCCTCGAATCCTGGACGAGGGTGTACCAGGATGTGCGCCTCCCACGAGCACAGAAGGTACAGCGTACGTCCAGAGATGCCGTCGAGGTGTATCAGGCCCAGGCGGACATCATGAAGGATCTGCCCTTTGACCAATGCGTGCCAGAGATTCATAAACGCGTGATTGACCGTATGCGCTGGGTTTGGACGGATGATATCGACGCCGAGTATGATCAGGCGGTGAAGAAGCGGAAGGACATGGGCAAATTGTAAGATTAGACGAGTTGTGGGAGGAGTCCAGATACGTCCCATGGCTATTCCCTCTCGACATGCGTGACATCTCCAGAGAGCACAAATACAGAAGCATCCAATCGGCAAAGGAATGACGAGAAGGGCCAAACACCAATCGGATGTTATCTTCGAGGGGTGACATAGAAAACTCGAAGTAATATTCTCCGTACTTATACGTCGAAAGCCAAATCAGTCATACCACCTCAGAATCCTTTATTCTCGGGTGGTCATACTTATCGTCACTCGGTCGTAGGATAGCCAAATTTTGACGCTCTATGCAGCATTACAACCTGAACTGGATGTGTTCAGGACTAATTGACCTTTCCTCTATTCTTCCCCTTCGTCTGGACCGCAGGGCGCAACGTGGATCTGCCAGTATTTGCGGAACTCCTTCGGCAACGGGCCAGAAGTTGTTCTGTTCTTGTCTTCCACGTTGTACTCTGGATGCGTCACACATTCTGAGAGGATCCCTCTTATGGTCCCCGTGCTCTGGTACCTGAGGAACTTCTCCGAGACCTTGACATATTGATTAACACCTTCGTGTGCGTCGATCGTCGAGCCCGTTGTCCACCGAAGCAGCAATGGCTCGATCAGTGGTGCGTCCGTGACTGACGGATGAGATGTGCCCACTGCAAAAGAGGTCAGCGACTTATACATCCGGATTATGATTCGTAGTCGGGGGCCGATCCACGTACAGGATGTCAGGAACCATGCATCCTTTCCTCTCCTCAAAACACCCTGGACGACATCCTTGACTACGTCGAAATGAGGCCTGCCAAAGAAAATGGAATGGCTCTTCGACCATGAATTCGAATGGATAATTAAAGCCGGCACCTGGACGTCATCGTTTAGACGACCGCTTTGCTTCCCACTGCTGGCGGTCAGAAATTGAAACTGTAACGGGACATTGATGACTTACGGATCGAGGGCAATAGCGCCTTGGAAGGGGAGAAGTTTAGAGGGACCTTGCTTCAATGTCTGGAGCTGCGCAATGTCAGAGAGAGAAACAGCCCCAGTGGTGTGGATCAACTCACTGCCAAGGTGGCTCCAAACGAGTGTCCTCCCATCGTCGTGTTGTTCAGGGCTAATCGTCCTTCCCACTGATGCAGATACTGGCCTTCAGACCGGGAATTTGACACAAAAACCTCATCGCCTCCACCGTTATTGATGTGCTCCAGCGTTCGAACGGTTTCCTCGACTTCGGCCTGCCGGAAATCCAGCTGTGCTTGTTTGAACGTGTCACTGTCCAGCTGAGAGTTACCCCTGCTACCAGTTAGATACTGTCCGGAACTAGTAGCACATGGACCTACTTCAAGTGTCTAATATCAAAGTGGTGCAAAATCCGAGACTTCGCGCCATGCTTCATGATCATCGTACCCGGTCCACTGCCATCGCGATGCTCGATGGCCGCAACAACAATTCCACGACTCGCCAACTCCCCCACGTACTGAGTATACTGGGTCCGGGAGCTGGCCATTCCGTGGGAGAAGACCATGACCGGAAACCCGTTCTCATGCGTGACGGGATAGTCTTGGAAATCTGGCAGTTGGAGCACGACGGGAGATTGATGGAGAGGGACGTCCACGTGCGCGGGGATTTTGGTGTTTCCTACCAACGTCCATAGGCCCAGCGTAAATATCGCATTCGTGACAAAGTTGCTGATGTGGGCGAACCGAGCGTATCCCTTGCCGGTCACTCTCAGCGGCTTCGGGACCCAGAAATGTTGTGGCTTGGACGAGATGGCGCCCCTTTCAGAGGGATAGTAGAGAGTGAACAGGACGGTTTCCAACTGTGTGTAGAATGTCAGAGCTTCTGTCTGAGCCCGCCTCGATCTCGCTCACCTGGAAAGCTGGATGGCCACCGTCCTTGAATGTTGCATTGTGGATGGATCGCGTCTCGACGGGGACCTCGACGTCAATTGCGCCCACAGAGTATGGGCCGGTGTATGCCGGCAACCTCGACGACAAGACCGGGGCCGAGAAGAGAGTGCAGTAGACGACGTAGGTGGCGGTACAGCAGCAAAGAATGTATCTCCAGGTCCAGCGTGGCCACACGACGGGCTTGAGGCGGAACCAGAGCCTTTCCCACACCATCGACCCCATGGTTATGATATTGTGAAAAAAGAGGGCGAGACGTGATGATGACACATCGTTCGAGAAGACGGATTAGGTGGATGGAGATATCATCATGTCGATATAATTTCACGGATGTTGGAAGCCGAAAAGTGGCAAGTGGCGTGCCGGTGGATCGATTTGGCTCCTGGGGAACATCCCGGGTGCCTCCCCTTGGGGCCACCCAGGGGCACCCAAGGGGCTACCAGGCATGCGGTTTACTTAAGCAGACTTAACGGGTGGCTGAGCCTAGTAGCCCTCACAGGCACCAGGCCTAGGCACTCCCATCCACCCGGGACAGTTGCTTCCAATGCGCCCGTTATCGCCTACTAGGCACTGGTGACATCACCTCTCAAGGTTACCTTCGTCCTGTTGATTTCGGGGGCAATGTTCCTCCTCGAACACGAACGGACAGTCTTAATCATTTCGATACAGTATATCCTTGCGCAGGGTAACAGGTCGCCTGGCAGAGTCAACCATTGCTGATGCCATCAAGATGCCGTTATGAAGGCTAGTGTATATCGTCATATATCCCACACAAAAAACACTTCCTTCTTGACCGCTCAAAGATCCCCATCCTTGCAACGACTTTCTACTTCTCCTCCTTCTCCGTAGCGATGACGCTGAGATTCTGCCCCGCGGGCGCGGCCAGCCACAGCTCATGCATGTCCATGCTCTCATCCGAGACCGGCCCCGCGAAACGAAGGTCGAACCGGTGGAACAAGGCCGCGAGGATCACGCGCAACTCCATGTACGCCAGGTGGATGCCGATGCATTTGCGCGGGCCGTCCGCGCCGAACGGGACATAGAGATGTCGCATCTCCGGTGTCTCGTCCAGCCATCGCTCGGGCCAGAAGCGGTCGGGGTCTGGGAAGACGTCTGGTTGTCGGTGAGTCGTGTATGCTTGGATCGAGACGATGGTGCCCCCAGGGAGGTTGTATCCGCCGAGAACGGCCCCTTCGGCAGGGACGTAACGCGGCGTCGAGCCTGGCACCGAGGTGTCGATCCGGAGTCCCTCTTTGATGATGCAGTTGAGGTAGGTGAGGCCGTCGAGCTTGGAGTGTGGTGGCACTACGTGACGGTCGTCCGTCCCCAGCGCCTCGTCGAGTTCTTCGTTCAGCTTGCGGTGGATCTCCGGGTTCGAGAGGATACGCCAGACGATCCAGGTCAGCGAGGACGACGTGGTGTGAGACCCCGCGAGGATGAAACTTGTGGACTGAATGTTCAGGTCATCTTCCGGGAGCGGCTGGTCGTTCTCGTCTCGTGCGTTGATCATCTTCTGCAGCAGATCTTTACGTTGGCCCTTGTCCTCTTTTCTCTTGTATTCTTGCACGATCTTGGTCCCCCTCTGGAAACCCCGGACGCTGCAGGCCTCGGCGTCCCGGACGAATTTGAAGGGCGCCCAGCTAGCATACCGGTTCAGCCACCCGAAATGCCAGCGGACCGGCTCGATGGTCAGCGAGCCGTACATGTCCTGGATGTAAGGGTTCTCGTCTCCCTTGTGGAGCATGTCGAACCCGATTCCAAAGGAGAGCTCGCAGATGATGTCCATGGACAGGTAATGCCACCAGTCATAGAGATTGCTGGCCCGGCCGGCCTTGCCTTCTGCGGCGATGAGGTTCATGCACTCGAGGACATTTCCCGCGATGATGTCCTCGTACTCGGTGATGGTGGACATGGAAAACAGGTGAGCCAACTCGCGGCGTCGTTTGGCATGCGCCTTGCGGTCCGACATGGTGAACAGCTCCGGGATACCTCGCAGCTGGTACGTGTAGAACGCCGTCTTGGTGAACTCGGAGTTGACGCCATAGATGGGCGCGATCGCCTTGCTGTCCGAGGTCGAGATCTCGTCCGGGGCGACACGCACCCAGGGCCCGTACTTGAGATGCAGGTCGTGGATCGTCTTTGCACGCACGCCCCGCCAGGTCTTGTAGACGAGCCACCATTTGGTATAGACGGCGTACCAGGGCCCTGGGACATTGCGCAAGGGCGAGAAGTACCACGGATAGAGCAGCCAATAGATGACAAGAGCTGGCAAGAGCACCTCCGTGAACCGGAGTGCGACTTCAGAGCTGAGCATGCCCATGTTAGATGAGGAGGACGACCATCAACCACGTGTCCGCTTGTGAACGTCTGATGGTGTTATTTGTTTCTGTGTCCAGAAAATGTACGCCTCGACGATCTCAAAAGAGACAAAGGGAGGAAGCACTTCCTGATCACAACGAAGCGGTGAAGTACCTGTTGCTGGATGTGACGGACGGCTGTGCTTTGGGTATATACTGTACGTACCCTCCTGGTAAACCACCTACTACCCCGTTCATTCAACCTCTCGACCGGCTCTCCACCGCCAGCCGGCATCCCCCCGCTGCAGCCAATCTTCGATCTAAAGATTTGTTTTCAGCAAGCTGCATTGGTGCAGGATGCGGAGGGACATTGCCGTGTCGTCCAATGGTGTATGGTCACAGGCGTATTCACTCCGCCTTTGTCCGCGCCACATCCGCCTCCTAGGCGGCCACTTGGTCTTGTCATTGGACAAAGGGGCGAGGCCGGTCGAATGATGAGAAAGGCGGGGGTGGGTCGTGGAAGGCCCAGGGAGCCCCGTTGGCATTGGCATCCGGGGGACTGTTCCTGCGGAGATGTGCTTGTACTGAGTGACCTCTGTGTTGTGTCTAGCCGTATGCTGTAAAGCCGAAAATTCTGCACGGCTCTTGTTTAGGAAAGGAAAGCTGTTTCCAGCTTATACACGTCCTCAAGCAGGCGGCTATGATGCCACGTCGGATGGGTTCAGCTATTCCACGGGATGTCGTCCTTCTAGCACACTTTCCGGTTGTATGGATCAGAGGCTCAGCCATCAAGCGGACATAAATCTATGATGAATCGACAAACACAAGACGCAGGGGTTCAACCTAAATGTCTCAGCAGTCCGCCTTTCTGCGCAACCTTAGGACTGGGTTGTCATCATTTCAACCTTATAGAGGCCGTTGAAAGCAATTCACTTTTCTGCTCAAGAGCCCCCTGGACTTTCTAGCTCTTGGCAATACACTTTAGGTATGTGGCTGCATATCCGGTCCGCTCTATGTTGGACAGTCTTGATTGATACGAACGTCCAACGAAGCGGGAAAAAGCCCTGCAGAAAACGATCGACACTGGCAAGCTTCTATCCGGGAACTTGTCATGGATACGTTCCATTTGTCCGTCGGATGGTTCACAGTCCCGAGGCCTTGATGCTTTGATCTCTCAGCGTTGGTAACGGAGCTTGGTGGCCCGGAGAATAAGGCCATAAGGACGTAGTGTATGTCCCTGACATCGCGAGCTCAGCCGCATATGGTGTTGCCAGGTGAAACCCTACCATTCGAGCTCAATGGCAATCAACTTGACCCTCGGTTCAAAGCAAATGATCGCCGTTGGCAATACCATCCGCTCAGAGCTCACAGGAAGAACTTCCCGATTGTCCTCACCACTTCGTCGGGAGATTGCTCGGGGATGTAATGGCCCGAGTCGATACTTCGTCCGTCGACAGGAACACCTGCTGCTGTGACTTTTTTCCACTCAGACACGGCGTCAAAGCATTTCTCAATGACGCCGTGACGACCCCAGAGGACCGTCAATGGGCATTGGATGAGCCTGTTGTTCTTGAGGTCTTCTCTCGCCTCGTCCATGTCCAAAGACGCGCTTGCTCGGTAATCCTGGCACATGGCATGCACGATCGCTGGATCTCCGAGGTTGTGGACATACCGGTCGAAACTCTCAGGCTTGAAGATGTCAAGTCCACTGGCTTGTCTCCCGCCCATGAACATCTCCGCAAACCGTCTAGGATTCTGAGATATTGTGGTTTCTGGGAGAGGCTCCTTCTGGATCAAGAAGAACCAGTGAAAGTAGGACCGTGCAAATTCGAAGTTGGTCGACGAGTACATCGCCAGCGTGGGACAAATGTCCAGGAAAATCGCCTTCCTCACTCGTTGCGGATAGTCCACGCACAACTTGTGCGCGACTCTTGCTCCTCGATCATGTGCACAGATGAAGAAAGAATCGAATCCAAGCTTCTCCATTACTTGAACACAATCTCGCGCCATGGCACTTTTTGCATAACTTGACAGATCCGAGGGTGCAGATGACTGTCCATATCCGCGAAGATCAATGGCAACTATCTCGAACTGCGATTGCAGTCGACTCGCAACAGCGTCCCAGATGTGGTGAGTCTGTGGGAAGCCATGCAGGAGAAGTAGAGGCGGAAGGCTGCTCCCATTGCCTTTGCTCTTGACACCATGGATTGTCACCTCGGGCGATGTCTGTGTGGTGGTATCGAATGTCTCGAAGCCGTCGAACATGATTAACCGATCTGGTACTATCCAAAAACAGTTTGGCGACAAGTCTTCGCTGCGTTCTTCCCATCTCCCGTGTCATATATCAGCAATCCTGGTGGCTTCACTCCCGGGCGTTGAAACAAGCGACGCTTAAAAAATTGGCCGATCGGGTAATTCTCTATCCGAAAGCAACCCGGCTCTTGACTAAGCGTCGCTTGTCAGTCTTGGTTGCTCGAACCTCACCAAGAAACAATTTTATGCCGACGCCGACCGCCCCAAAGCCAGCAGGCCTGCTTGACGCAAACCCACACCTAGGAAGATCGGTTGGGGGCCTGTCCTGTTGCGCTAGTCCATGCCTCAGCCTAAACTGTCGTCCGAAAGTGCTTCGGGCTCCAGAAGTCGCTCGGCTTGCTATGCCTGTAGGGCAAGGAAACAGAAGGTCAGTCCTGTTCGCTTTTGTGTTGTGTCCACTGCACTTCCCAGTGTTGGATTCTTGGGGTCAATACTGACAAAGCTCTCTAGTGCGATGGCAATAGGTCCGTTGACGCCATGAATTCCTGCTGTTCGCTTTCCCAGAGATGTAGCGCTGACGACATTCAAGACCCATCTGCAGCCGCTGTAGAAGTCTCGCCCAGAGCTGTTCATGGCCAAGGAGTCAAAAGAGGTCAGTGCTGATCCAGAATAACTGTGATTGTTAGCAGGTCCAGCGGACGGGTGGCCCTACTGACTTCCCACGGACAACAGAGGTCCTGCAAAAGGCTATATCGAGGCGCTGGAGATCCGACTGAAGGAGACAGAACGGATGCTCTGGCGGATCCTTGCCACTTGTCAGCAAGAAAACTTGACAGCGGCCTTCTCTCCTGAGGTACAAGATCGGATACCGCAACTCCTCTCCGTTGAGACTTTGAGCACGACGGAGGAGAAGAAGTCCGCCATCGCCTTTTGGGAACAGTTTCCTCTGCATACCGCCGAGGACGTAGTCATATGGAAGGAGCAAGTCGAGAACCCGTCTGCAACGGATATCACAGGCTTTGGAGTGAATCAGGACCAGCAATCGCGCCTGACGAATACTCCGAGTGAATCACAAGATCAAGATCCGCCGTCTCCAATGGATGAAGACAAAGACCCGACATCAATGGCCATGATTCCAGATCCCCAAGACCTTGCTGACACATCCTCCCGAACGCCTCAGATGGCCAATGTACGCCATCGAGGGTCTTCTGCCTCTGTATCCAATCAAGGCACGGCAGGTGGGAGGTTTTCTCTCTCTAAGGAGTTTCAGGACACTTTCCTTTGGTGAGAGGTTGTGATCAAGCATGGCGACAGAGTCGGAAGTCGCTAGGATACACAAAAGAGCTCTCTTTCACTCAAAACTTCGGTGTTCCCCAAGTGGCCCAGCTCTGCATGTTGCCAGAACCGTTAGCCATTGCCTCCCATCCGATGTTACCGAAGGCCCCGGGATTGTTGGGGTACAGATCGTCGGAAACTGGCAGACCAAGGAACTCGAAGTCGTCCATCGTTGGATACTGTCCATTGCTGAAACCAAAATCTGGCCCTGTGTATTCGAGGATCGGGAACATTGACCCACTGTTGAGGCTGGGCAGTTGGTATGAGTCGGCGTCAAAATCTTGGTTGATCGTTTGAGATTGAGTCGAGCGACCATTTGTCGCGTCAGGTAGCTCGCTTTGTTGTTGGCTCTGTCCTTGTTGCCCCCGATTGGTCCTCTTCCTCTTCCTGGAAGGCTCACTCGGCTCTGTCAAGGAGAGCTGCGTGGCAATTTGTTCGGATGGTCCGCCAACCGTTGCTGGCATTGAAGTCCCCGTGGCAGCCATATTTGAGGACGAAGGCGAGGCCATAACATTCTGCCCCCGGCTATATTGTGTTGTCAGGTTTTCCAACAGGGTTTGAAGGGCTTCTGCACAGTGTCTCGCATTGTTCCAGCTCTTTGCCATTGCCGAAAGACTACGAATTGCGTCCTCGATTTCTCTGCGTAGCGTCAGCGTATACTCTAGAGTGCCATGCCTCTGCTCACCTTTGCGCTTTGCTGAATGGATATCGTTTCAGAGTACAAGCAAAGGCCAAAACCAACCCGGCCATCCACGTCGCTGAGAGCATTCCGGGCCAAGATACAATCAACCCGCGGTCGTGCTGCCGTCTTGAGGTCGTAATAATCTGACGGCTTGCTGCAATGCATGTCTGCAGACTCGACTTGAATTCTAGAGACTTTGGTGATAGAGATAGGAATGGACGATTACTGAGCAGCAAAAGATGATTATACAGTACTGAAAAGAAGAATGTGAAAGTCGACGCTAGCTTCACTCCGTCTCCAGTATACTCGTCCTGTAATTCCTGGGGCAGCCCATTCCACCACGCGTGGACGTTTGACTGCAGCTCCATCATTCGCTCCGCACTGATCGTCCGGTTCTGAAGCGAGATGTGGAATATCTGAACTGCTTGGCCTGTGAGCCGGCAATAGAGCACATAATGACCCAGAATCTGCGAGCTTTGGGACGACTGTGAAAAGTTGATATCATTAGAAGGATCCAGGCTGGGGGACTCTGATTCCGAGGCCGTCGCGGGACCCCCAGCCTGTTCTGAGGCCATAGGTTCTTCTGAGCGCGACTCACGCCTGTAATGACCCCGAGGCAGGTGAGCTAGGACTCCTTCAGTGGCCGCGCGAGCCGTAGACGATACCTGCTGGCCTGTTTTGACTGGTTTATGCAGTTCGCCCATGCCTGGGATGCAAACATCCAAGTCAGAATCTTGAATGCTCAGAGGATGACCGAGTGCTTGGCTCAAATAGCGATCCAGCACGTAGGCGCTCCAGAAGATCCTCTTGCGCAATTCGCATTCATGGGGTGACAGCTGGGGGTACCGGAAAGCGCAGCGATGGAAACCTGCGTGATACATCACCCGTATCAGGGTGCCTCCTATCGTCGACGCCGCTCGCAGAGACATGGTTGCCACGAGGTAGAGCTGGGCAGCGAGCAGGGCCTGCAACGAGAGGTTGTCGTGGTTGCTCGCGACGTAGCCGAGGAGTGAGAGTAATTTCGCAGGCGAATCCAGCCGCGATGCCGTGGCAAGGGCTCCGTCGGGCTTGTCGAGGGCTGCAACGTTGAATACGCATTGACAGATGATGGCATGGCATAGACGGTGCCTCAGTGAAAGCTTCCTCTGGCCGTCGCTCTCATACAGACCGCGGATTGTCTCGAAGAGGGTCGGCCCATGCAGAAATGGGAAAAGAGGATGCCAGTTCTTGAGGTAGAGCATGAGAAGCTCCCTGGCTGAGTCTTGCTCTGGAGCCACCCCGAGCCCATGCCCTTTGACGCCATAAGAATTCGGGCCAGTTTCGTTCTCTATGAGGATCCTCATCCCCGCGCTCTCATGGTCCAGTTGCATGGGGGTCTCTGGATCGACCAGCCGGCTGTCGACGGAACCAGGGTCATTTTGTGCAGACTGATCGTTGGAAGTTAGCGTCTTGGAGTTATAAGCTGATCGAGCAAAGGCGCGAAAGACGGTGTTGACGAAGAAGACTCCGCTGGCGCTGCCGATGAATTCGGTCTTTTCAGGCGTCGAGGCAGTGAACGACCCTATCTCGATCGGGGCGATGGATTTAGATGACATGATGTGCATTTAATAGAGAGCATGTTAATGAGAGCGGGCCTGGGTTGAAACAAAGTGGTAGGGCTTGAATTGTTGTGATCGAGGAGATGTTTTGGTTGCATGAAGTTGCGAGGAAAAAGCCTGTTGGCGGTAGATTTTCGGCTCATAATCTGAAGCCACAGCCACCGAACAGCCTATATACAGTACGTGTACCATGCATTTTCACGCGTATGAAAGTGATCTGCTTGTTCTATGAGGCATGTATTGTAATATGCTTGCAACTATGACTTGATATTCCGTTGCTGCTGCATTTACGATTGGACAAAGGTCGTATATTGAGTCATATTTATATATATAGATCTGTGACTACAGCAGCGACAGCAAGACCAGGTCTGGCAGAGTTGACAGACAAGGTGCCTTGACGGTACCAAGCCCCACCACATCTCGCACGGCAGTACATTCAGTAAGCGTACGCAAGTCCAATATCCCCAGAGTTGGCTTTCAATTTCCGGTTTTCCGCCATCAGCCAGACCTTCAGCCCCCATGCGCAAAGTACGGTTCCTGCTGCGAAGCCTGCATTGGCGCCCATCGCCGGTAGGTAGCGCGGACCATCAGAGCTTGGGTACAAGTACGGGGTGTAGATGTAGGATGCGTTGGCTACAATGTTGACGAATCCCAAGGAAATGGCTTTCTTCTCTGCCGTCTGTCCGAGCGTCGCCGATACCCACCCGAGGATGCAGGAGTTGACGGAATAGACACCAGCCGAGAACAGAAAACAGGCCACATATCGAGCAGCCGTGTTAAGTGTCGCGGCTGCGATCGCAAAACCCGCAATACCCATAGCCATACCACCAGTGATGTGCCACGTACGCTCGTTGAATCTTCCAGAGCTGAGTGCAAGGAGGGGCCCAAAAATAGCTGCAAATAGAAATGGCGGACATGTCAGGGCCAGCGTAACCGTGCGATTGAATCCAAGTGTACCGACCACCGTAGGGAAGAAGTTGTTGAATCCGGCCGCAGAGAGATGGAGATTTTGCATCAAGGCCAGAAGGTAGAGGCGGGGGTCGGAAAATGCGATCTTCAAGTTCTGGAGAGCACTCTGGGATTCCGTCTTCTCCACAGTATCTCTGGCAATCCTTTCTTGTGCTATAGCCATCTCGGCTTCGGAAAGCCAGCGTGTCGACGAGGGATGGTCAGGCAGCACGAACATGGATAGGAGCGCAATGCCGAAGGTGACGACTCCTTCAATGATGAACAGCCTGGTCCCCGAGTTAGCTAACGCCACAAAGAGCCTACCGGGTCTCTCACCATCGCCAGCCTTGGATTCCATGCGCTCCGTCAATTGTAGAAAATATGGCAGCCGCGATCAATCCGGAGAATGCGGTGGAGAGAATATTGGCGGAGTACAGAATTGCAATACGGGTAGCAATCTCTTTCCTTGTGTAGAAGATGGACAAGATGAATAAGGCACCGGGGTAGACTGCGAATGTTAGCAAAGCCTCTTCAAAATACCTGATGAGCCACTCACAAGGTGCTTCAGCGACTCCCAGGAAAAAACGGGCGATCACGAGGCCGTGATAGTTCTGGACCAAAGCAGTGCACGCTGAGCAAACGGCCCACAATGCCATGCAGCAGCCCATGTAGATTGACGGTCGAATCTTTTTGGATGCCATGAGCATATTGGATGGTAGCTGCATTAACAAATATCTATGATCTGATCAGCGGATATAGATCACCAAAGCTCGAGTAAGGTTTTTTTACCCAACGAAGAGAATCGAAATGCAAGTATTGTATTGGGAACCTGTGAGGCCGATATCATCTTCCAATTTGTTGAGACGTGCTGAGGCAATGGCGTTTTTGTCCAGCTGCGCATATCGTTAGTTGAGCCTGCGTTGCACTGGAATCTCTCTCACATAGTTCAAGAAGTACATCGCCCAAATCATCGGCATGATTCGGTAATCGAGCTTCCTGACAAGGGCGATTTCCGCAGGATCGGTCTTGCTTGTTGCTCCAGAGTAATCGTACGCCTTTGAAGCCGCGAGCTTTTCAATCTCCACGTCGACCAGCTCATCATGAGCCTTTTCCACGTTTATGGAGGTTTCAATGATTTTAGAATCCATAGCGAGAAAATATCTGTGCAGTCTGACGTCTCAGATATGGAGGCGCCAGGAAGGAGAATGGAAAGATGGAAAATGCCTAGCCGAAGGCGTGTGAATGCTTCTTATATCTCAGAAGTGGAAGCGGTGAACCAGAACCCCGGGATCCGTCCCCATGGGGTTGTTCGGTCAATTTGAATAACTGCTTGAAATGTGTATAGTCGGCGCGAAAACGAACGTGTTTTCGGTGTAGAGTTTATGCGAACAGGACCTCTGCACACTTCCATTGGGTAGGATTAGGGTTTGGCGTATTGTCCTTGTAAGCAAGTGGTTTTATCAGGAGAGATATCCAACCTGGCACTCCTCGACGGCCGCCTACAACTCTGGAAAAGTATGCTGAGTGTAGGCGCCGGATCAAGCAGCTGGAGGAAGCGGAGACGACATCGTATTGAGCTGATTCGGTTGCCTCCGCCAAACCCCAGATCCTGTATTCAACATAGCGTGCCCGTGATCTGGCCCGAGAACATGTATGTGCTCCGCAGTCAAATGTGCCCGAACGGGTAGAGAATATCCGACTGCATCCGGGTAATTTTCTGGCCGTTGCCTCGTCGTCCGATGTCTTCAATCCCCGTCGACTGATGAAATACATCCGAAGTGAATGTAAACGTCTCAATCAACATGTTGCTTTGCTCCAGCACACAAGGAAGTGGTTCGGAACATGTTCCCGCCAGCTCCTGGCCAATGGGCAAACCGGCTCATGCACCAAACAAATCATGACTGTTGGATCAAGATGTATCGGAGTCAAGCGTCTCGTTTGTTGTCGACTGTATTCATTTGGAAGGTTCAGTGCGCAACCGTACAACGGCGCATCACAATAAACCTGAAGTGCAATCTAGAATTTGCGGAGAAGCGACTTCGTTCCAACAGCCCGTCATCCATCCCCCATTGCCGACATCCGCCTCAAGCTCTCTGTTCCAAATGCCAATTCCCTGTGTCCGCTTGCCTCTTTTGGAGCGGAGCTTTCCTGGCCCGTTTTCTCTTCGGAATAGTGCTTGTCGAGTGCCAGAGACGTCCTCTCGCCAGAACCTCAATTTGACCTCGCGGGCCATGGAATGACGCATCCTCATAGCTCAAACTTCAAACATGGATGCTTCCCTGACTCAGACCATCGTTAAGTCAAGCCTCTTCCGGCATCGACAGGATGGTGCAGGTGATTGTGGGCCGCGACGACTGGCGCTGCAGGTAGCCCGACTCGTGATCCAGGGTCGCCTCGGGGTGTATACTTGGGAGTAATCACAAGAAGCAGAAAATGGGGACGATCATCGAGAGGGGACGGAAATGCAACGATTTAAAATCGAAGGGAAGCCTGTATGACTTGCCTCCGCCTCTACCGATTGCTCGGCATTGTATAAAGTCTGTGACGGCGACGGCGACCACGACGACATCATCATCATCATGGCTATCTTCATCGTTTGGGCCCTACTCTCCTTGAGCTCTTTGTTCGCTTTCTGCACCTCTCAAGCAACCCCATCGAATGATAGTTACGACATGTTTTGGGGAACTTCAAGTTACTATGCTCATGGTGAGTAAGGATACAATAAAGGTAGTCTGTCACTCATCGCTTCAGGGCTCGATGAAGCCACTCAGGCTGCATGGCTTGACGGCCTGCAGCGAGATGGAGCACGGATCATTAGAATCTGGATCAACGGCATCTCACCAGGAACTTATAAAGGCACGAACGTCACAGTAACTATTCCCGATCTCGAAGAAACTGTTGGTGTATTCAACGACACCGTTCTTGATGCTATTGACAGTCTCCTCGTGGAAGGACACCGCCGTGGTATCAAATTTATCATTTCGATCCATGATGGCAACGCATTCGGGCAGAACTCTTGCGATGCCTACTGTACCGAATTCGGGGGGGTTGGCCCGGCTTCTGGAACACCAATTACTCTGGGGAACTCGTTCTACACAAATCCCGCGGCGGTGGCCGCTTTTGACAACAGAATTGCCCACATAATGAACTACCGGTCGCCAAACTTTGGACAACCCTGGGCGCAGCTAACCGAAGCAATAGCTGCATTCGACATTGAAAATGAACCCATGATCCAGGCTATCACCCAGCTTGATATTGTTGGCCCAACCTGGTTTTGTGACCGTGCAAAGCAGTTCAAAAAATATATCGGCACCGCTCCTATAGCCGTGTCGACTGGGGGTACTGGTGGTAGCGGGAACATCTACCAGAACTGGAACTGGAGACCGTGGCTGTTTACCTGTCCAGAAATTGATTGGATCGCCTTACATGGTTACGATGGCGATTGGACCGAGTGGGTGCCGAATGCTACCGCTCTCGCTGCTCAAAACAACAAGAAGCTGTTTGTAGAAGAATGGGGAGTGGTTGCCTCTGCGCGGGCGAACAACCTCGCCTGGAATTTCGAGAAATTTGTGGAACTGGGTCTCAGCTGGGTGTATTGGGAGCTCGTTCCAGGACCGATCAAAAGCTGCTACTGTGGTTCGGATCGCAGCAACGCTGTGTTTGAGGTTAGCGCGATGGCGAACGGATTCCATTTAAATTAGCTGACTCTGAACAGGTGCAGCTTGATGGCCCAGACTACGCGGGTTTTCAAAGTATTGCAAATCGCACATTGACGGCGAAGTCTGCATATGACTTCTCAGCCTATCTGGCTTTGTGACAAGCGAGGAGAAAACTACGTCACGGCGCACACGCAAGCACCCGTATCGCCTTGGTACTGAAGTGCATGGATGGAAGTCGAAAATTCCGACTTTAGGCTTCAAAAATGAGAGAACTGGCCCCTAGGCTCATTGTCGCAAAGCGAATAGCAATATATCCCTATTACGGCAGTTCAGGATGGGTGGCAGAGGCCTTCACGCTACGGCTGGCATGTGGCCGCGAGCATACCATCAATAAGCTCCTATGCTGTGCAACTAACGGCGCCTCGCGGTCGTGTACGACTAACTGTCCTTGTTGATTGCGCTCCCCTGCCAGGACGTACTTGCAGCAAGACCTCTCAGCCTCAACGAATAGGGGCGACGGCCTCAAGCAGACCATATCCACTGCTCATGCAACCTCACGTCCTGCGTCACTCCACAGCCGGCTAAGCGAACGTCATACGGGTCGCGTGCAACCAAAGATCAACACCTACCCACGGGGTAATATGACCTCCCCCTCACAAAATAGTCGGAGATCAGGCTACGCTTTTCCTAGTTTGGAGCGGACGATGGAAAAGTCCGCGCCAAATACGGTAATCGATCTCCACCGAGTGTATGCTCGCGGCAGTGGATAGTCCTGGTCTTCGTGCAGAGAGCATATAAATTGGCAGATCATCCTGGCTTCCAGAGGCAGGTCTCGGACTAACAAATCTCTCCTGCTCATTAGTCACCATGGCAACACTCAGTGTAAGTATGCAGCTCTTCCAATCTGCTTGCTGAGAATTGACGAGGGTTGCAGGAAAAGGAGACTCTCCATCAGGTGGAAGACTCGAAGCCCACTGCCACAGACCAGGAAATCAGTGCCGTCAATGCAGACTTTGCTGCTGCCCTGAGTCAGAATGCTCCGAATCCATGGGGACGTGGACATATCGCCTTGTACGGTTGCTGTCTCATCGTGTATCTCTGTTCCACCATGAACGGTATGTATCTCTATAAGCACTTGACACGACGGGGACTAACGATCACAGGTTACGACGGCTCTCTCATGGGCAGTATCAATGCTCTTCCCAATTATCTCCACTACTACAACGTGTCCGAAAATGAACAGGCGGGAACTGGGATCGTATTTGCGATCTTCCAGGTCGGGCAAATGACAGGGGCCCTGTTTGTCTGGTTAGCCGACTGGAAAGGAAGAAAGCTCCCAATATTCCTCGGCTGTGCCGGCGTGATAGTCGGCACGATCGTCACTGCCACAGCTAAGACAAGTGGGTGAAGCTGTCCTATGGTATACGAGCCGGCACTAACACCGTCAGTGGCTATATTCATCGGTGGTCGCTTCTTGCTCTCTTTTTTCTGCACGTGGGCTACAACTGCAGCACCCATGTACATCGTCGAAATCGCGCCCCCTTTGGTAAGAATGACCTACTTCGCACAGGACAAGCTATTGACTTGACAATCAGTATCGTGGCACTGTGTCTGGACTATATAACACTCTCTGGTATATGGGTTCAATTATCGCCACCTTTGGTAAGATAACCCACATAGACCTCTGCCGACGAGATCTCTGACAACCTTTCAGCCGTCTATGGGACGCATCTCCATTTTACATCAAACCTAGACTGGCGGCTACCCCTGTGGCTTCAACTGCTCTGCCCCGGTATCGTTTGTCTCGGAGTCTGGTTTCTCCCGGAATCTCCTCGTTTCTTGGTTGCCACCGATCGCCTGGATGAAGCTCGAGATTTCATTGTGAAATACCACGCAAATGGAGATGGATCACACCCCATCGTGAACCTGGAACTCAATGAAATTCAATACAATTTGCGTGATGTTCCGTTGGCCTCGTGGAGCAACTTTTTCGATCTTCGGATTCTCGTCAAGTCCCGTTCGAGAAGATACCGAAGCATGTTGAACCTGGCGTGGAGTTGGTTTGGCCAGTTCTCCGGAAACAAGTAGGTGCCGAGTCCAAAGTTGTCCATCAACTGCTGACCGTACCAGCGTGATTTCTTACTACTTACCTCTGCTCCTTACCAACGTTGGGGTCGCGGACACCAACACCGTGCTCTTACTCAACGCGGTGTATGCTTTGACTGGTTGGATCGCTGCCGCTGCTGGAGCTCGCTTCCACGATGTCTTCGGCCGACGTAAAATGATGCTGGGGTCGACCTTTGGCATGATCATCTGCCTGTCTATCACCGCCGGGACTGCAGCGGGATACGTCAATACCGGATCGAAAAGCTCGTCAGATGCAAGCATCGCCTTCATCTACATCTTTGGCGTCGTTTTCGCGTTCGCCTACACAAGTATGCAACCCATCTACCCTGCCGAGGTCATGTCAAACGAAATGCGAGCCAAAGGGATGTGGCTTTTCCAGTTCACGGCCGGCCTCGCGTCATTCGTCAACACCTTCGCCGCGCCCGTGGCCTTGAAGAACATCAAGTACTGGTTTTATGTGTTCTTCGTGTTCTGGGATTGCTTCGAGTTCCTCTTCATCTACTTCTTCTTTGTTGAGACCAAGGGCAGGACTCTGGAGGAGTTGGATGAGGTGTTCGAAGCGAAGAACCCGAGGAAGGCCAGTACGAGGAAAGTTGTGGTGAGAAGGCGGGAATTTGTGGACAAGGAAGGTGCCCATAATGTTCACGTCTCGAAAGTGGATCAGCTCGCCTAAGTCGTTATCCTGGTGGAAGGGTGACTGCGCTCAAGCGAAATCTGAATACATATCGCTCAAGAAGGAGCATGGGCTGGATGGGGGCCTGTGGGATGTTTCAATGTGGCGGCAGCCACTATAGGAAAAACGAAATGCAGGCCCATCAACGAAGGCACCGGCAAACAGGAGGAACAGTACTACTCTGGGATCATGTTTCTGAAAGACAAGACCAAGTAGAATCTGAATATGACATGCATGTTCTTGATACCTAAGGCTTTCTTGGACTTAAATAGTCAATGAAGTCAGGATACACTAGTACCAAGTCCAATGATCAGAGCACCCAAACGCTACAACCAAGCTCTGATGGAGCCTAAATGTCTGAGCGCTCACACGCTGGTGAGACTACCTGGCTAACAATGTCCTACGGCAACAAGTGCAGTCGGCTGTAAAATGACACGATGAAGAGGCGACTCCACCACAGACAAGACTCTACCTACACAACGAAGCTCCATCGACATAGTCCACAGAGCGAGGTTGGCTTTAACTCCTGGGTACGGCAAGGTACAGTAAAGTGTCATCGGTACAAAATCCATCTTTGACGTGCTACTATTCGGACATGGATATCTCCAAAATTGCAACCGCGACAGTATACCGCCGGACTGGCCGTGGTTCGCTACCACGTTCAAGGAAGGTCAGACCAGAATGCCGGGAACTATACATATAAGCCTGAGTACCATAGCCCGTGAGAGCCTCGGTACGCCGCCCGGCAAGGTGGCCCAGTCAATTAAGAGATGTGTTTACCCACTCGCAATCAGTCCACTTTGACTGGCAGTGTCCTCTTTAGCCAAATCCAAATGCCGGAACCACAAAGCGGCTGTACCCTCGAGGCTGACTAGGAACTCTGTACTGGATTGTCTGTCTGTCGCCCTTTCATCTACGCAATCAGGAAGAAGTTAGTGGGCTTCCGGGATTCTCTTGTCTCCTGCACGCAAAAGCGATCCACAATGTCCACAGCACAGGGCAGACAACACTGTCCACTTTTCAAAAACAATCCGTCAATTTGAGTCCTTTCTCTTGACGACGTTCCCGCCTGATTGGAATCCTCCGAGTCACTAGCCGCCGCAGCAGAGAGGATATCCAACTGAAACCATCTATATGCCGGCCCGTCCAGCGTCTTGCTGACTCTGATGCCTGCTTCCTTTTCCCCGGTTGATGAGACATTGGCATGGTAGAATTCAATAGTTTCGCATCCTACAGGCAAGGCCACTGTATCCTTGGGTGGCGTAGCACGTTTGTGATGCTCGCAGCCCGACTCCCGAAGCATGATAACTTGGGTCCGCAGACCTTGCATCCGCCGAAATCCCGTATACCGACGGGGATATTTCGACAATTCAAAGCATACCGAGACTTCAAAGGCCTGATCTGACAGTCCAATATAGTACGCTGGTTTAGCGTTGGGAAATTCTGCCACAAAATCGGCGACTGGAGTTGCGTCTGTGGGGCCTTGAGGGAATGGCCTTGAATAGTGGTCTGGCCCTGCTTTGCTAAATCCTGAAGTTCTTGGTCCGTCAACTATGAACCTAGACCTTTCTCCATTTCTTGATGGAACACCTCGACGCACCAGGAACATGTTGCCGTCGACCTGCGTTGGACATTGTGCTCCTACTGAGGTCAGGCAGATGCTCCAACCCCAGGCACTCACCAGAGCAGACCGCGAGACTACCGACTCATTATATTCACTGCCCAACAGCAAGCGAGCCATATAGCGAAACTGGACAAAGATATCCGGTTCGCCTTCCTTGACATTTTCCATAAAGGGCCGACTGATGCAGAGCGGAAGATCGTGGCACGAGTCAATATTCTTGATGCTTGAAAAGGCAATCAATGCTTTGGCCAAATAAGCGGATAAATATGTCGTGTTTTTTGTGGCGAACTTTGCCACAATCCCATCCAGGCCATTCCCGAATTCGAGTTCGAGGCCGTGAAATAAGATTTGCGCCGCTCTTAGTAGTCCTGGCTTTAGATGACGACCGCTTTGACCGGTGGCAACAGCAACTGCCACTTCGGCTTCAGAACGCATGTTGTGCTCGCTGCAGCCCGAGCTCTGAAGCAGTTTAATACCGAAGCCACGTGCAGTCGCCCGGATATCAGGTGTCAGCGGTGGGTCCATGTCAAACTCGCCAATCCGAAGAATCTCGTCGGTTTTATCCATGAGACAGATTGTTGGGCCCAACTTGTTGATACAAAATATGATCTGCTCAGGCCCATTCCCAAAGACGTATCCCTTCTTGTGGCGATACTTGCGGACTTCCACGGTCAGTCCAAGCAGATGATGGGCCCAGACGACAATTGCTGAGTAGCCCGTCTCAGCATTGATGTGAATCATTCGGTCTTCTGGGAGGGTCTGAACCGCAGTGAGCATATCCAAGCAGCCCTGGAGAATGGGAATGGGTAAATTGCGCCCGTCTTCGGAATTCAAGTCGTGGGGGACACGTCTCTGGGCGTTTAACGGGCGCTTGTCGCAGCCCAACACACATTCCACTGCTTCAAAAAGAAGGGTCCAGTTGAAGCCTGCAGTCTGCTCACGGCAGGCTCGCAGGGTTCCACGCATGCTTTCGGCGCTTGGGTGGCTCTGGAGGTGCTGCGGCGCGCCACTCAGCCGACGCTCAAAGAGCTTGGAAAGTGTCCATGAGAGTCTATTGAGCTGCTGTGTAAAGGCGAGGAGTGATAACTGGGCCACCGTGGAAAAATATGGCGGGTGCTTCAGACTTCGTTGCACGGTAGGCCCGGCACCGGCCTCGAGAATGATGTCGACGAATTCTCCAATCTGCTGCTGCGACGAGCCTCTCACGGCGACCCGGAAGGTGGATTCGAATTTTGGGCAAATACGATTTCGGCCGAGCACCAGCGTGAGGTCCTCTTCCACCGTGATATCTGATCCAGATCTTCGCAGGTCTCTCGCCAAGTTTAAGATGCCGCTGCCAGCTGCAGAAAGAATGTTTCCGAGGGGGACAAGCTTGGTCAACTCCACTGACAACGAAAATTGATTGGAAAACGCCATGCTTCAGTCCAAAATATCCCGAGTCGTAATAACCCAGCAAGAGGGCTCCTCGTAATGACGATTTGAGGGTGTAATAGCTCTCTTTTCTGTGATTTCAGTACATGGGGTTCTGTCTAAACTAACGAGAGAGAGAGTGCCTGAGTCATATGGACTCGAGCGCACCTGCAGGCTAGTCCTGTCAGGTCATGCGGCCTCGTTATGTGACACGAGTCGAGCGAGTCGCCGGCACGAGGGATCTCGATTCTGCGGCTGCGGTTGTAATGTGTGGACTTTACCCAATAGGGGCCCTTGCACAATGAAAGAAATTGGCCAGCATGAGCTTAAGAGTGTCGAGGTTACGCAGTTTCTGCCTTCGCTACCACGGGGTATCCGGAGCTGTGGAAAACCATTGGTGCCCGATTTGAAGCCTACATCAGTACTGAGTAAATCTCACGTACGGCGTTGGGTTCCTTCAGTGCTACTATATTTACAAACTTAATTTAATTTTCGTATTTCAAGGCTATGGCTTCTGCTGTTCCCTTCTTCTTCTTCTTCTTCTTCTTCTTCTTCTTCTGCTGCTGCTGCTGTTGTTTGCTTTTCCTGCTAGCGAGAGGGGGGCTTGACGGGAAAAGGGGGAATGCGCGCCCGCGATGCTCGGCACCTGGACTAGTCACTCGGGGCACATTGTTCGAAGGAGCATTTCGCCAGGGGGAAACGAATTAAATCTAATGGTTGGTGAGAGCGCCCATGTGCTACTGTATGTCCTCGCATCCGGTGTAAATCTAGACCGCGCCACATGCAGAAGATCCCATGGCAGTCACGCCAAGTCAATCTGCTGATTTCAGCCTGATGGCCACCCGCCCATCGAGATGGAAAGACCAAGCTCAATAAAGGTTTTTAATATCGGTTTAGGAGACATAAATACCAAGTCAATATCCCTCTCATGTCGATTTTAATAGAATTTCGTGGTTGCCACAACCTACCGGAATTTCAGCCAGTTGAACTTTTCAAAACTGATACTTTTCAGCGAAAACCCCAAAGCACCAAACCCTTTGCTAGGCATCTGGACATTCATACTTCACAATGGCAGAGTCTTCGGGCAGGCGATATCAAATCCCTGCGACATTACCTGGAGGTCCTCAGGAATCACTAAGCATCAAAGTCCACTGTAAGCGCAAAGCACGTCTACATTCGCCGTCGGGCGGCTGCTGATTATGGTAGCAATGTTCATGAAGCCGCACGTGGTGGAGATTGAAGTTTCAGATACCGTAAAAATCCTCAAGGAATGCATTGAGGATGTGTGCTGTCACCCTGCAGGAGACATGAGCCTCTATACGAATAGTGGGAGAGCAATGATGGATGACCGTGAGACTCACCCCTTTTGCTTTTCTACTCCTCGCGCTGATATGCAACAACAGAGCGAATTAGCGAGTTTGATCAGGCCGACATATCCACCATCATGCTCTACAATTCAGGAAAGCGTATGGAACCACTCCCTCTTGCTAATCCTGAGGCAATTCGGAAATTAGGCCTGGTTCCAGCTCCGCCTTTTCGCGAGGGTACCCGTGTTTCGATCGAGTCTGCATTTCGAATTACGAGAATGATGATGGGATTACCATATGACCTGCAGTCCAGTACACCTGTTCGACCGCCAATGACTCGCAAGCCGCTCGATGAGCCAATCCTGGACAGATCGGAACCCAAACCGCAAGGAGGACGAAGTCGACTGGAGACCAATGGTTTGTCCAACCCCATAGTTTGCGAGTTTGCGCTATGATACTAATTGTTGGTACAGTTGATAGTTCCTCAGAGAAGGAAATCGAGAAAAACAGCGAGATTCTAGATCGATTTGAAGTGGCAAAGGTGCTGAAAGAGGACGCAATCTGGTACATTGAACAAGCCCTTAGAGTGTACCAGGAATGGTGCACAGAAGTCCCTGGGAATGGTAAGCTCAGCGAGGTTAACTCGGCTTGAATATTGGTTCACTCAGTCGTTTCAGGCAGCAAGCTCGCCGCACATCGGGGAAACAAAATGAGAATTTGGGCCGACGCGGCGCGATGGAGTCAAGATCCGCCTTCTACACAAATCACCTCCAAAGCTAAGGCCCAATTTCACGGCTGGTGGGTGCGGGCGGCGTTCGCGATGGGAAATAGTCTCTGGCTGAAAACCGAACATGTCGATTCCAATGGTATGTAACAGCATCGTTCTCCCATGTAGCACGGCTCCACTAACCCATATCACTCATGTGTAGTCCAAGACCCGTACCGACTTCAGCAATGGCAGGTCAATCAGTGCAGGACTGCCATTGGCTATAAAGAAATATCGACCATCTTTGCAACCAACGTGTACAGCAAAAATTTCGGTGCCAAAGCCATGGAGCACGCACGCAGATACCAAAAAGGCGCTTGGGATGACATTCCTCCCGTTTTCTTCGCCGCGCCCGTAAGTTCCATTATTTTCACAAGTGGTGCAATAAATGTTAAATATTTACAGGACCGTCTTTTCTTCAAGTATTTCAGAACCGGTTGGACAAACGACCTCATTAACTTAGTTCCTTCAGAGCCTGAATCTCTGGACCGTGCAGCGTACTGGCAAACTTACTGCCGTAACGGCCTCTTTGACGCGCTTCCTCGATCGGCCACTCTACATGAACGAGCGCTAGCACTGTGCGCTGACGACATCGTGTTCCTGATCTGCCAGGAGAGCAAACTTCGCAAAACTAAGGCCCCGATTACCACGATTGTGTCAAAACTCGAGGAGGAGCTGAGACCGCATCTCGCGCGCCGGGCGCTAAGTACGCAAGCAGAAGCTCATCGTCTAGGCCTCCAAGGATTGATTCAAGAAAAGGTTGATTCTATCACTGAAAGCTTCCGACAAGGCTATGAACTGGAATCTGATGCGACTCCCATCGGCCTTGAACTTTGCTTGCAAGAGCTGCTTGCGCCTTGGTACACCGTTACCACACTAATGATCAAGGGCGATACTCCGTTGGAGATTGTGGTCTATCCATTTGGCAACACCTACTACGAGAATCGGAGCAAGGCTTCCGACTATCGTCTCTGGGTCCGCTTCTTGACCATATATAGGGTGGAACGGGAGGTTGGTAGGATTCGATCGCGGATTCTTGCCGGCCAGCAGGTCAGTGATGATGACACGGATCTTGCCAAAGCGTTCCGCCGATTCTTGGAATCCGGCCGGAAAGAGGATATGCCTTACATTGCTGTAGGCAGTGAGCGAGTGAAGGCACTAACTGGACTCGATGTCTGGGAGTCAATCGGATGCGAGAACAAAAACTGCCAGTGTGATATTTCAAAAGAAATGCGTGGAAAAGACAAGGAAATCGCGCGAAGACAGTCCATGGAGCCAAAAGCAAGGAGTGAGAGAGAACTCATCAAAGCATATTTCCGAAACCTTAGGTAGTGGAGAAGAAACTGCTCTCTTAGAAAGAAGGTCATGTTTTGACTTATCATAGAAAGACACCTGGATCGCGCAGGGCGGCCCGGCCGCACAGGCCACAAGAAGCAAAGTGGCGCTCCAGTTTCATCATCCTGGAATTGATTCCGTGAAAACGTTCAAAGGGGACCCTCGGACCGAGAGCATGTAAAGTCACCACAGCTGTGTGACCTTTACGCGTGCAAATCGGCCGTGCTATTTCGCCGTTTCTCCTTTTCGGAGCCTCGGCCGAAGTAATATTCTCCTGCTCGGCACGCGGTAGCAAGGCATCCTCTCTAGGATCCCACCATTTATTAGGGCCGGAACGGGCCCTCGTCGATATAATCGGGTGAAGTTACCACGAGGCTGGACGTGCGCGATGTTGGCGCCTGTAGGACTAGAGCCCGAACGGGCGCCTCCCTAGTAGACGAGGGAGCACGGCAGGAGCGGACTAGAGTCGTAAGGGAGTACCAGGGAGAGGAGGTGTGCGCGAGGGGAGAGGAGGGGGAGCGCGAAAGAGAGGAAGGGGAGTGGAAGAGAGCGGACGAGGGAGCGAATCGACTAAATAGTCGTTAGCGGGAGAGCAAAGCGGCGGGGGATGAGTTAGCGAAAGGTCGGGGGCGTCGACTCTTCGGGGATTATATATAGATATATATATATATATATATAGCCTACTTGAACGAATAGAATCTCGAATACAGGTTGGTAACCAGCTCTTTCATCAAGTCCAGGTCATTTCCAGCGGCTCACTGGATGATGGATGCTCTATTTGTCATGCTAGCCTTAAGCAGGCAGCTGGCTAGGGTTTGTATGATCGCTTTCCTGTCCCCCCTCCCGACGAGTCAAGCCTGTGGCCTGAGAATGTACACAAAGAGCCCGACGGACACTGTGATTGCTCTTGGTCTATCAACTAGACTATCACATGTCAAGCACTTAACGCAAGAGCCTTCGTCCTCTCATGCGTAACTAGGCACCTCGACATTCTTCACGACGACCTTGTTGTCCTTGTTGTTTGCATAGTTGGCGTCGATGCTTGCAAATCGTATCTTGACCCACTCCTCAGCAGTAACCCCCTGCGGGGGCATGGCTCTGTTGTTGTCGCCCTGGACCTTCTCCCTCTCTAGCAGCGGACTCTTGACCGGTTCGAGTAGGATGTCGTCGTCCGCGTTGGCGAAATAAATCACACCGTAGCGCGGGACATCCCTCTGGTCCTCGGGCGGTAGCACGACGCGGTGAATCGAGCTCTCGAGGTACCCACCCGTCAGGAACGACAGCGTGTCTGCGACGTTGACCGTGATGCTGCCCCGGAGCGGCTTGACCCATTTCCACTCTGTCTCCCCATACGGTCGAACCTGCAGCGCCGCAACGGGCTGGCGCATCAGCAGCGTCAGTGACCCGAAGTCCGTGTGGCCGTACACATTGTGGTCGACGTTATGCTTCTTCATTATGTCCAGCTCCTCGCGGGTCCGCGGATGGTAGAGCATGTAGCGGAGGTGGCACTGGGATCTGGTATCGTAGTTGTGCAGCTTCCACAGGGCCTCCTCGTCCTCTAGCTCCATGATGATGGCGCACAGGATCAACAGGCGCCGGAGCACGTACGTCGCCATGTGTCTCTGGAACCGTTCAGCCTTTGCGGCGGCGTGGACCAGGGGCGCCGGGCGCGGCAGATCTCTGTAGGCATCGCACCATTTCGGGTCATCATAGAGCTCCAGGTTGTCGACCAGCCCGTGCTGCTGTTTCCGGCTGCCCCGGGGTTTCCAGCCAAAGAAGCCCAGCCCGTCCTTGCCCACGCGGCACTTCTGCTTCTCTTCGTCCGGGAGGTCGAAGATGGCTTTGGCCAGCGCGAACTGCTCATTCACCTCCTCCTCCGACAGCCCGAAGTTGGTCACGTAGAAGAATCCTACCGTCGAGATGGCGTGCTTGAGCTGTGCGGCCAGCGCCTGTTTCCCGCCTGGGTCGTCATACCGTGACAGGTCGATGGTGATCAGGTCGGCCCAATTCAGCTCGGCCTTGGTTTCGGGAATGTCCTGATAGCGTGTGTAGTCGACGCCGAGGGAACCCATTTCTTTGTTTGACGAGGTTGGTTGGAAGAGAAGTCACAGTATTGATATTATACAACTTAACACTGGCGTAACTAGTTCCACCAAAGCCATCATACAGTTTTAAAATGCGTCGGAGGGTCGAATGCGGAGAGACCGAGGGTGCCCGGCTATCCCAAACGATGCACCACGGCTGCTTGCGAATGGCAACGACCAGTCTCGCCTTCAGCAAGAGAGTTTGAAACTACACTCAATACAATTGTAATCCATTGGCTACAGTAGCCAGATTGGGGACTCGTATAGCAGGGCGTACGTATTCCCATAGTTGGCTTACTTTCTCCGCCGAACAAAGACTTCCAGCCCACTCTGGACCACGAAGAACGTCGAGTGGGACTTCAGCGGCCGTCCGGGGTAGACAAGCTCAAAGTCAAAGTTCATGAGAAGTTGGGGAATGATCTTGTTCATCTCAAATAGCGCGAGATTCCGTCCAATGCACAGATGGCCGCCGCCTCCAAACTGGACAAATGGTGGTGTTAGTTGCTTGCTAAAAGGGTGTACTCCCACGGCTGATGTTTGCTTACCTGGTACAGATGCTTCTTCATGTCCCTGACATCGCCAGAAAGCCAGCGTTCGGGTCGGAAGTTGTCAACATGGTCGCCGAAAAGAGCATCGCGATGGACCGCCCAGCCGTTGACTGATGCCACGATTCCTCCTGGGTAGTGATGACCGTCGATCACGGCACCTCGTTTCGGGACGTATCGAGGAATGCTCAGTCCAACGGCAGGCCGCAATCGCATCGCCTCCAGCAGACAAGCCTGGAAGTAAGGCAATTCTTGTGCCTCTGTCCAAGTCACGCTGGGCGATAGACGTGCCTGCCGAATCTCCTCGCAGAGTTTGCGATACACTTCCGAATTGGATAATACGAAATGGAAGAATGACTGCATTGTCGAAGCAGTAGAGTCAGCTCCAGCGCCTCTGTTGGAACAGTTAGAGGTGAGTGTGGATGTCTAGACCTGTGAGAATCACTTACATGGCGCCATGAGCCACCGAGAAGACATCCATTTCCGAGAATCTGCTGGGATCTCTAGCGCTGCCCTCCATCAGTTGACCCAGCAGATCTCGCCGGTCAGGCTCGAGGAAGAAGCCGTCAGTCTTGTTCTTTTTCCTTTTGGCTATCTCGCCCAGAGCCATCTGGGTGACTTGTGGGGGACTCAACAACGTCAGGAGATACTGGAACACAGGGCTTTCCCGAAGGACGTGTCGTAGCTCTGGAACCTGGCCAACAATGCCGTCGTACCACTGTACGTCGTCGATCAGCTTGATGGTCCCGCCGATGTCTTTCTCCTGGGCTACGAATCCATAACGTTGTGAAAATGCAAACTCCCCAACAACCTAGAAGATATCAGCCACGCTTCGGGGACGAAGAAGATTCCTACATCAAAGGCAAAATAATGGAGCAGGTCGCCGAGGTCACAAACTCTCCCAGAGTCAGCATACTCTCCAATTTTAGCGATGAATTCCTTCTGCACGTCTTCGATCCACGGACCCATCTTCTGCACGCTGGCAAGGCTATAGGGAACCACGGCCACCCGCTTCATGGCGGCGTGTTTCCACTCCCGAGTTTCAGTGAAGATATCTGGTGCGTGTTTCGGAGGGAACACTCGGTAGAATTCGGTCTTTGTGAAGCCATTTCCAGGGGTCAGGATATCGTGCGCGGCAACGGGCGAAGAGAAAGAGAGCTCGTTGGGCGCAACGCGCACAATACGGCCGTATTTTCGGTGCAAGTCGACAAAATCAAGTTCTGTGTGACCATTGTACACGCTCCACACTTTCCAGAGCCGCGTGCAGGAACAGATCACCGGGCCCGGGTATTTTGCCAAGGGGTGGAAGTACCGGCGATAGGCGCAGCGCAGCACGATGAAGAGCACAAAGAACGAAACAAAGTTGGTTTTGATGAGTAGCAAAACGTCAGTAACGAGAGCCGATGGCATTCCCTCTTCTTGCGCCATCCTGACCTTCCGTGGCTATCGTATCGACGAAGTCTTACTTTCCTTGTAGTTATCGCCTTGTCAGCTGGGAAGCTCGAGTGGGAAATTTCCAGGTCAATACAATACTGAACGGTCAGCACTTAGTCTATCGACAGGCCGGTGTTGCACGGTCCCCGTAGAAGGATCTTCGGGGCGCCACTAGATCAACACGGCGAGCGACATGAGGCCGAGAATCCCATGTATACTCCGTCGAGCATTTCAGGTTAGAACGTTGAGGGGCCAAATCATTTCGTATTTGCTGCGTTCTAGACCCCGACATCTGCAACTCGTATTGTAAAGGATTGACTGTTAGAGCTGCAGCTGCAGCCATGACCCGCCTCCCGCATTCTTCCTTGTCCGGGAACCCGGAACTACAAAGCATACACACCTTGCATCTCCACATATTCTCCCATTCTGGTTATCCGAGGAGCCTATCGAAGCGTGGGCACTTAAAATGCAGTTAAGAAAATTACAGAGTAGACAACTAGACAACTAACAGCCACCTTCGTACCACAAAATACCAAAAATATCCTCGACCGATCAATCATGGGTGACGCAAGTGGATTATCATCTCGTGAAGAATTATATAAATCCGCGCGAGAGCATCTGCGCGAGGAGGGCTGGGCTGTCATCCCCGACGTTCTGACCAAAGAAGAAGCGACGAATGCACTCGAGAGGCTGTGGAAAGCCAAAGAGACGGGTGAAAGCAAGGGGCACGCGACATACATCCCTCGCCTGGATCCCAACGAGGCCAATGTTCGGGTGTTCTATCTTCTCGAGCTAGACCAGATCTTTCGAGATCTCATCGTCCACCCAGTAGCACTCGATATGGTAAAATCAGTCCTGGGAGAGAATTTCTTGATCTCCAACTTTACAGCAAATATTGCCCGCCCCGGCAGTCAATCCATGGCACTCCACAGTGACCAAAGCATCGTTGTGCCGGAGCCATGGAAGGAGGTGTGGGCATTGAACGTCATTTGGTGCCTGACCGATGTGTACGGCGACAACGGCGCGACCTTGTATATCCCCGGATCGAACAAGTACGAGTCGAGGCAAGATATTCCTCCAGATGCGAACAAGTTACTACGACCATTCGAAGCGAAAGCAGGCAGCATCATACTGATGGACGGCCGCGTCTGGCACACATCCGGCGCCAATATCACCAAAGATCAAGATAGGGCTTTGATGTTTGGTTATTACACCAAGCCTTTCCTTCGACAGCAAGTCAATTGGACGGCAAAATTACCCCGCGAAATACAAGATACTCTGAGCGACGAGATGAAGGAGTGGTTGGGTTTGGGTTACAATGCCAACATTGCGAGGACGGGCAATACTTCGTACAATTATCTCAGTCGGCAGTTCCCAAAGCCAGAAGAAGCCCAGGCTTGAACGGGCCGGCCTTACAACAAGGTCCTGTACAGCACTACGAGATATCTTTCGATCAATTCCCTTCTATCCCTTCACTGTACATATTGTAGTCAAAATTTGGTGACTGAGAATATGGACTGGTCTCCGCTTTTCCAGACTGCCCGTCCTCGGGTCTTGAATAGCGACACTGCGGAGAATAGATTGCAAAGTCCCACTATTGTCAAATGCAGGCAGGGATCCAGAGACATGAAATTCCCGAGGCTTACTAGATGAGGTGTTTGAGCCAGTGTGGGGGGGGGGCGTTTCGGACCAAACAAGGACGAAAGGCTGAATGAGCCTCGTGGGAGCATTTGACCCTCCCCTATGTCCGCGCTATCAGATAAAAGAGGATCTATTCCCATTTCCTTCGCCTGACACTTCCTCATCAGCTCACATATCCATACACCATCATGGCGACTCAAACATCGACACAGGCGCCGCCTGTCTCGATAAAGATCAAGGGGAAGGCAGCGGACATTGACAAGCATATCAACCTTGCCAAGTTCTCCAAGGACGTGCCAAAGGCCGACTATGACCGAGCAGTGAGCCTAATCAAGTCCAGGCTGGACAACATGTCTCTCGTTGCAGCCAAACTCTCACTCACTCTCGGACCCAATCACTCTCCGTTGCTGATCGATGCAAGGGCAAGCCCGGCGACGCTCGATTTCATTACGGGCGAAACGCCTGAGGATCTGGACGCTCAGGTCTACATCACGGCGGTCATGATCAAGAGATTCATGGATGGCCTCATGGACGCTCGCTATGCTCTCAATTGGGGCCATATCTTCATGCTCACCGGCCCTACGCGAGTGGGAGTGAAACTCGTCGACGCCCTGACACCGTTCAATGCCGTTCACCCTAAACTTGACCGGTTGGATCTCAATGACCTGCCCAAGCCCACCGAGGACATTGAGCAAGTCAAGCGAGATCTCGACGTCTGGGGATATGGGTTTGTCAAGAATGCCCTCAGCCCAGAAGAGGTCCGCGTGTTGAGGAAGCGGCTCATGGATCAAGCCAAGGGCGAGGCCGATGCAGGCATCGGATTCTTTGACGGCGGCGAGAAGAAGCCCAACCAGCGAGTTTGGTGTCTACCCAACAAGGGTCAAGAGTTCATCGATTTGCTGGAGAACAACAAGACCATTCAAGATGTGGTTCCTGACTTCCTCGGCGACGATGCAATCTTGTTCTCATACACCGCGAACATTGCTCGACCTGGGAACACCCCGATGCACCTGCACACGGATCAAATCACCATTCAACCACCGATCAGATCCGTGGCGGTGGGCATGAACTTGATGTATTTCCTCGAAGACGTCAGCGAGGCGAACGGCGGGACTTTGGTCATGCCCGGGAGCCACAAGGGGAACTGGGCACCCGATGACCCGTACGATGTGGCGGACACGGTGGCGGCAGCTGGTCCAGCGGGGACGTGTATGGTGTTTGAAAGTAGACTGTGGCACGCGACCGGCGCGAACAAGATGCCCGCCGACAGCGGCAGCGAGCGACCTGTCATCCTGGTCTTCTTTACACGGCCATGGATGCGACAGCAGGAGAACTACTCGCTGTCCGTCAAGGAGGACGTGCTCGCCACGTGCTCGGACAAGGTCAAGGGTTACATGGGATTCCGGACCACGGGGAGCATCGGGGGTGTCCAGACCAGGCAGAAGGACGGGGACATTGTGAGAAGACCCAAGGAAGACGAGTATATTGGCGTCATGGGTGTCGGCAGTTCTAAGTACTAGTTTACGACATAGCCCCTCAGTCAAAACTAATACATGGACGTTGAATCCCACCCTCGCAGCCCCGGGGTCAGGAGATCCTGGGCCACAATGGTCTCACGCTTTGCCAGCAGCTCGTCCACATCCCAGTTCACGTATAAAAATCGGTTCTGAAGGAATGCCGCCTCAGGGGCGTTTAGCCAGACGAGGAAGTCTGCAGCGAGTTCGGCTGGACAGAGTCAGTCAAGCCGAGGATTGCTTGCTTGGGGGGTTTATCACATACCAGTGTCATCACAAACTGATTTCCCTTCCTTGGCCATTGCAGTAGCCACGATTCCTGGGTGGACGTGAAACACCTTGAGACCACGCTCGGCCTGCTCGTGGTAAAGGTAGCTGAACATCTTGAGAGCGGCCAATTTGCTCGTGCCGTACCCAGACAACCCGGCCACGAAGTCGATGACGGCCGCGCCGGATGAGATATTTAGAAGCGTGGGGCGTTCCGACGCATGTTCGAGAAACGCCGTCGCGAGGGCCAGTGGTCCCTTCACATTGACTTCGAAGTGTCTCCAGTACTTCTCAAAATCCCAGTTGCCGCTCGGAGATGGTGTCGTTGGCATGGACGCGATATATCCGGCGTTGTTCATCAGAATGTCGAGTGGACCATCAGCGATCTTGCACGCTTCCGTGAAGACCTGGCGAGCCTTTTCAAGCCCTTCACTAACATCGAAGACAAACTTCCCGACAATAGCATTTGGACACTCCTTCGATATCCGCTGTTGTGTCTCCTCGAGGGTCGAGGGTGTACGACCACAGAGAAAGACGGCCTTTGCCCCTGCTCTCGCGAGAGACAGCGCCGTCGCTGCTCCAATGCCCGTTCCAGATCCTGTGATGAAGGCTACCTTGCCTGCCAGATCCGCATTTTTCAGCCGTTCCTGCAAGGCCGGATATGTGTCATTGTGGAATTTGGAGGTGAAGTTCTTTCGTGTTATGACGACCATGTTGGGCTGGAATGGCACTGGACCCTACAAACGACAGTATGTTGCACGCGACTCCTGGGCAAGAGGCCCCCTGACAAGATACAGGGGGCTTTCACCTCATTTGGTCAAGGCTATCTCCATCACGGAGAGCAAGACACCCGAAGAAACAAAGCCTCGGCGATGACTAAATGAGGGAATTGGCTTGCCGACAACGCTAATCTCTTTCTGGCTAACCGAGGAGCCGAGATTGCGGGGTTCGTTGCCATGCGCGGGCGAAGCTCCACTTTGCTCTTCCCCAACATTGCGGGGGAAGACCCAGGCAAGATTTTTGCGGACCACTAGGCTGTTCTCCATCGGCGATGGAGGTGGTCCTGCAGGTGCAGCGTCCAGCTGCGATTCATGACCCTCCCACCCTCGCATTGCCCGCGACTCGCATCGTGCGACGTCCCCTCCGGAGCACAACTCTTTTCGGACTCACTGGTTTACTGTCTCGAAAGGCATTGAGCCCTGCAGCAGCAGTCCCCCCAGCCAGACTCCTTTCCTGTCAAACATGAGCACGCTCCAGCAGGACTCTGAACCCTTCTCGCCCCCGACCGGGTCGAAATACAGGTTCATCCGCAACAAGCCTCCAAAGAAGCGTTCGTCGCAAGCATGCCTCGAGTGCCGTCGGCGAAAGGTCCGGTGCGACATCGTGGCCCAGAAGCCCTCCTCTTGCACGAACTGTCGACTGGATGGAGTTACCTGTGAGCTAGGACGAAGAAAGAGACGACCACCGTATGATCGATATAGGTGCTGTCGGACCGGGTTGCTGATACGAAGCACAGAAGACATGAGACTATCCAACCGTCCCCCCCGACGCCCGACTCGTCCATCTCGTCACAGCGACAGTATGCTGCCAATCCAGAGATCGAGGCGCCACCCCAGCACGACGACCGTGGCGCCTTCGACATCCTCTCCAGCCCGGCGTTCACCTTTCACGACACTCCTCGGCAGAACCTCCATCCCGAGATCACGGCTCCAGCACTCTCGGCCCTAGCGAAGCTCGCCACGGACATCGACCTGCCCGCTTTCATCAAGCCGTTTCCCGACACCCTCCAGTCGGAGGATTGGCAGTACCTCTGCGCAAAAAAATGCTTCGACTTCCCACACCCAGATTTTGAGAGGGTCATCCTTCAGCGGTTCGCCGAGTTCGTCCACCCGCTCCTGCCTGTGGTCGATGTGCCCGATGTGGTTGCCGCTATTGCGGGGGAGTCTCCAACCAAAATATCACTTCTGCTGTACCACACGCTAATTGGCGCGGGCCTTGCTGCCACGGAACTTGATGAGATCAAGAGATATGGATACGAGAGCAAAGCGGCCGCGAGAAATAGCTTCTATTCTAAGGCTAAGGTTGGTGGTCACTGTAAGAAACGTGGGGGAAGTTCGCTAACGAATTCAAGGCGCTACTTGACATGGAAGTCGAGCCTGACCGGATGACAATGTGTCAGGCCGCCCTGCTGTTCATCAGCTGGTCGAGAACAACGATCCGAAGGACGGACTGCATTGGACTGGGATCGCTCTGACCCAGGCATATTCGATCGCTCTTCAGAAAACAGCCAACAATGCCGATTGCCCACTAAAAAGACGTCTGTGGTGGACGTTGGTGATGAAAGAATCTGACGTCTGTCTCTCAATGGGAAAGCCACCACGCATGATGGCCCTGGATCAGCTCATGCTGGATCATGCCGACTTCGGCAGCACGGCGCAGGAAACGTCCTCACAGCATATGCTCCAAGCAGCCTGCATTGAGAAGGCAAAACTCTGCCTCATCATACACCGAATCCTGCGCCTGTTGCACACGGTCGACCGACGGTCAGTGACTCCTGGAGCTCAAGATTCTCGAGTATGGCAGATGGACTCGGAGCTGCAAGACTGGAAACATCAAGCACCCTTTGACCTGTGGCGATTTTCCGACGACTTCGACTCGAAACGCGCGCTCCTCACCGTTTCCATGGTCAAGCTGACTTTCCTCATGGCTGTGATCATGCTGCACAAGCCGGAAGTCCCTATCAAGAAATGGACGAAGTGTATGGAAGAAACACCCGACCTGTACCTCGATGAGGAGCTCTGCCGGTATCAAGCCCACGCAAGGGCGATGCGAAGAGCTGCAGACGACATGACCCGCATCCACAAGGACTTGCACGAGAGCGGGATGACGAGTGTGATCCCCGCCCTCGGGGTTGCGACGATTTGTGCAGCCGTCAGTGTCCACCTGCTGGACGCGCGGTCGACGAGCGAGGCGATCCGGGCCCGGAGTCTGCAGCAACTCGACGGGTGCCTGGCCGTCCTGCGGGAAGTCAAGAATCTGCACTACACCGGGGGCGAGGTCGCCAAGATCGTCGAAGGAGCCATCAGGGCGGTGCGCGAGAACCGGTCGCTGGAGATCATGAAGCCCTCCGGGACTGCGCAGACCATCTGCAACACGCTGCCCCAGGCCGAAGACATCTCGGACCAGAACGGACAGGAGAATTCGTGCGCGAATATCTGGATCGATCCGTCGCTCGACGTCGAGTATCTTTTCAATTTTGACTTGGAAAGAGACCTCTTTTTCGAATGAGAGGTCCTCCGAGTGTATATACTGTGAGATTCGACTGATCGCTGGCCTTTTTTGTTATAATGTTATAACCTGTTGACCGTTGACTCATTCAGTCCCAATTTTGCTGCCATCAATATTAACCCTATGTTCTGCGATACCTCCCTGAACTCTACACATATTATGAGCGGCAGATTACACCATGAACCCAGACATGAAGACTTTCTTGCCATCCGTCATGATGGTGAAGTGCACATACGTTTCTAGTCGAACGTTCTCCCCCTGAAATATGCCAGGTATATGGCATCTTTCCCGCCTGGTTCACAGTGGAGAAAGACCTCCAATTCCGATTTCCAAAGCTCGACCTTGAATTCCAACGCTTTGTGATTCAGGCCACACGACGCAGCTCGGCCGTCACCACATCGTACACATATCCCTGAGCCCTATCCGAGAGCTCCTTTCGCAAGAGCGGCGACTGCTTCAACCACGCGATGTCGCTCTTGGTGCTCTCTTCGACGCTATCCCAAACAAACCCTTCAGTCAGCATGTAAAGGTTAGGAGGAGAAAGTCGCATTGAGATGGGCCCACGACGTACTCGGTAATTGCCCCAAAGTCCATCGCGTTGATGACGTCCGCATGTTCCGGTCCAATACGCGATATTATCTCCTTCCGCATGCTTTCATTGCTATACCGAAGGCAGCCGCAGTCGGTGTGGTGGATGACCATGATCTCGTCGAGCCCGACCAGCACGTCGAGGGCGAGGATGTCTTCGATGGCGCTGCTCACGTTTCCTGCCGCGCTGCGGTGGACGATGACTTCTATTCGACGCGAGTCAGTCGGCATCAGCACATAAAATGGTTTCTGGGAAGTCTTACCGGTGGGTTTGAGGTCGAAGATGTGTTCGGGAGTCGAGCGAGGGTCGACACACGCCACTGCCGCCGACAGTTTGTTAGTCCCCGGATTCGAGTCCTCTCTTCCCACCCCTTCCTGTCTGCCGCAAGAAATGGAAAGATAAAAAGCTGCTGGGAGACCACTCAACGTACAGACAAGGGTTGCGCTCATCTTAATGCCTCTCGCTCGTCGTTCGTTGCCAGACATCACCGGCTTGTGGGTTTTGGCGGTTTCTCTGCGCTGCTAGTCAGCGTGCTGTCCGACGAAGTCATGCACATAGTGATGCACTCACTTGCTCCGCTCTACGAGCTCCGCAATTGTCGGATAGGCCATGGTGTATGTGCTCTGGCGACCGCAGTAAGCTCTGTTGCAATGGACGCTTGTGTGACGATGGTTGGTATGGATGATCTTATGTCGGCTTTAAAAGGTATGACAGTGAAGCTAGTCCCTAAATCTGAGTCGCAGCATATATTCTTATGACACTAGAGGCATCTGTATTCTTGAAGCATTCCTTATAAGTTCCCATGAATCTCAAATATGAGGCAGGAATCCAACAGCGATTGGGACTAGTGAGACGTAAGCTGATAGGCTAAAAGTGGGTGGGGAGGAAACAGACTAACCGGATGAGTATATTGGTACCCTGGCCGGAGTTCTCTACAGTGGAGAAGCCATGGTAAAGTAATCATTCTACTCGGACTAGCATCACGATCGGAAACCCCGAGATCTGTAGTCCTCCACACCTACAGACAGGGAGAATCAAAGACCTCTCCCGAATTGCCCTGTGACGGAGATAAGACAAGCAGCCGTGAAGTCCGACGCCTACCAAGCAAGGACCAGATCTAATCACTCCCCGAAGGAACAACGACAAAATTCGATTCCAAGTTAGTAATCCTTATATGGAAGAACGTATCTAGAGTCATGTGTGCATACTCCATCCCCAAGGTGCACACCATGCTGCGTGGAGAAGGGCATTGCCCAGACTACCTCAAGCCCTTTATTACTGCTATCCTTGTCGGGAGCAAAGACTGTCATTTCATTCTGTGCCATGTATCACTGTTACACTCTAAACCACCCATCTCGCACTTCGGACTTCGCATTTGGCATTCTGCACCGCCGCACTCGCTGTCATATAGATATTCGTGGATCCGCAGACTCCATCGAGCCCCAACAGCGAAACGAGCATGACGTGAAGGAGTCTGTTGAAGACAGGACATCCGATGTAATATCTCAACTATAGGTGAGATCAGCGTGGTTGATCTGCTCAAGAGGCCAGGCCATCCACGCCCTCCACTCCTCGTCCATAGTATGATACAGGGTGGTCACGAGCTTTTCGGCGGCGCCTACCATGTACCAGCAAGATGCCGCACCCCTCTCCATGAGGATACAAAAATGGGCAAGCAGGATAGCTGCCTGGGGTTTGCGCCGATCCAGAAGTTCGAGGTATTCCTGAGGAAGGCGTTCCATCCACAAGAACATGCAAAACTTGATACCCAGAGGTGGGTCCGGTAACAATGAAATTGCGAAACTCTCACGAAGAAATCTCAATGTCGTGCAATAGATTTGCCTTTCACCGTTTGATAAGGAATGTGGTGAATTATGCTCGTCGAAAAGAGCCTCGAGGACAGCCAGCCTCGCATCATCGGGGCTTTGAGAAAGATTGATATTGCCTTCGGGCTGACGTAGGTGAAAAGCCATAGGTCCCTTGATAATCCAGGCCTTCACAACTTGAAGAAGCTTACGACCACCCCGGAGAAGATGAATCCATTCCGGGACAGCGGATCGTGGTGGCCCGCTGAACCCACAGCCCATGACAGCGTCGAGGTCAGCAAAGGCAAATGCAATGGTAAGACTCGCAAAAGCCATGACTGCGTGACAGTTCTCCTCCGTCATCTTCTCCTTCAAGTCATCAATGACGTTACGGTAGAATGGGAGTGCTCGGTTTTGATGATGGACAGCACAGACGAGATACTTCTGGCTGACTTCCGGTTCAGTGCGTGACTTGTGCAGTGCTGAAATGGCCAGTATCCCATGCATCAAGAACGGATGTCTGCAGGCAACTTGAGGGATGTCGAATTGCCATGCCTCGATATCGATTGGCTTGTCGCCAAAGCCCCGACACGCAAGTGTAGTCCAGCGGTGGAGCAGCTCTAGTTCTTGTAGCTGCAAGTCCGTGCCGCGGGCGGTTGGCTCAATCGTACTATTCTTGGAGAGCTGCACGCAAATGGCTCTTGTATGCAATAAAGAGTTCGTCGTTGGCTTTGTTCGTGAGGTTCGGTAGATGCATGATGTTGAGTATCTCTTGCACAGAGAACATTGTGGCCGGCCTTCGTCGCACTTGCAGGGATCAGCATCAGCGTTCAACACGAAGGTCCCATCCTCTCCTACCTTGATCTTCCGTGATTTACATTCCACGCAGCCAGATCTCACTTTACGATGTGGTCGAATTCGTGTTTGCGGCATGTGCTCCTTGTGGTATGAAATCTCGGATCGTGTAATTGAAAAATAGGAAGACATTCGATGAGACGGTTAAAGAGTGACATCCCGTGGGCTCCTCTGTTCTCGGCCCCAGTAGCTCTTTGCAGCATTGTCTTACAGTATGGCTAGGCGATGGTGCATTGTCGACCTGTTGGAGTTCGATGTACGAATCAGGCACGAATACATGCGTGATTACTGATCGACACAGCTCGAGTTGTCAGACTAGGATTTCTGGAGAAAATCCGGCAGGTGGAAGGAAGAATGGTTATTCTCTGACAAAGGAGTTTTGATTGGACGATTTTATCGACTCTACTCTCAGAGATAATCTCGTTCCAGGGGAAATTGATCTTTCCTACTATCTTTCTCTAAGGCGACTAATTTTCCCAACCAGAAGCAGGGCTATTGCCCAAATCCGCACTACGAGAGTCAAAATGCCGCCTAAAGAGTTCGAATTTGTGAATTCGACCACCTCCAAGGTCCCACAATGCAAGAATTTACGGACGCTGATCCGCAAGCAAGCCATGAAAGATGTGGCTGCCGCGAGAAGACGGAGGGGCAACTACGGGAAGAAGAACCTCAGGCAGTTGCCGGATTCGTCAACCTCGACTCCGCCTACAGGCCCAGACAAACCCGAAATCCAAAAATCCATTGTTCGGCAGGCAGGTTCGTCCTGTGAAGTACAAGGGTTTGGATCCCACCTGTGCATGGAATGTCAGTCCCCAAGATGCGTCATGTCTCGACTGAAGAGTTATATTCCTCCTCGCAATCCGATGCAGAGTGATTACTTACGCCTTGGTGTCTCTTCGGGGTTCTCAATCCTCAACATCTGTCCACTGACGAGCCTCCATCTGGGGGTCGCTAAGATGTCACACTTTGCATCCGAGGGCGCCGAGGCCGTGCGGGTCTTTCCGCTCCCACCCGGGCCCTCATCCTGGCTCGCTTTCATTCCTAGTCGGTACGGGAATGTTGAGAGCCTCAGTTATGCTGCAGACTGTGTCGTTGAGGGGCTGAAATGGAATTTTGGCTCAACTGCAGCTGCTAGTGAGGGGACATCAGTGGCTCGATCATATATGAGAGCATTGAGAAGCCTCCAAGCGGTACTGAAAGAGGCTAAAGAGTCGAGGACAACGGAGACTCTCTGTGCCGCTGCATTGCTAGGCACCTACGAAGTAAGTATAGGGATAATTTCGTCACAAGAGAGATGTGAAACCTTTCAACTGACGGTTTACTCGAGCTTCTCGATACTGGCAGAAGCCACGGGTGGATGCAGCATGCCGGAGGCGTGGCCAAACTCATCGAACATCGGGGGCCAGTTATGTTCGAGGACGACTTCGATAAAGCCATTCTCCTGGCGCACATTGGCCCTATAGTGAGTCATGGATCAGTGACAGGTACCGAGCTCGGGATGAAAATAACTGACTTAATACGATTCAGGTAACTCAAGCCCTCATGAGCGGTAGACGATGCTTCTTGGCCACAGAGCGCTGGAAAAGGGTGCTTTTCTCTTCGATTCAGACTTCTCGACTGTTCGGCGGCAGAATCGGCTTCGCAATGTCACTCTGGGCGAATGTGGTATCGCTCCCGGACCTCTTCAACATGGCAGAAGAATTAATCCACTCAGAACATCCGAGTCCAGATTCTAGTGTCTCTGCGCTGATAGATCATGCCCTTGTCTTCTGGGAAGACCTTTCAAGCTGGTACCGGAAGTATAGTGCAGCAACTGGCCTTTCCAATAACATAAATGCGTGCGGTACTTTCGATTACCTCGATTATCCACCATGTTCGAAAGTTCTACAGCACGTCCAGCTACACGCAACATATGTTTCGTGCATCATGCTGACATCCAGGCTTATCTTTGCCCTCGCCCCCACCAAATTTCATCATTTTGAGGCGGAATGCCAGAATCTGGCATGGCAAATCCTACAACGGCGGGAGCGCGCTGAAAATGCCACCCATTCACTTTCGTCTGGACTCTTCATAACGCAGACATGTTGGATTGCAAAAGCGACAATAGATACAAAAGCAGATTGGATAGAGAATCTCGTGGACGGTGGCCGTTTCGTTGATCGGCACATGCTTGAGAGCGCAAAGTTCAAAGTCTGGACTGACGCTCTAGGGAGGAAGTCACCCTGAAATGCGACATATAACGTGGAGGAGAGGGATTGAGAAGGGGGACAAAGCTCTCCGCGGTCGAGGCCTCGACAGCGACTTGATTTGCCTCCACGAGGATCCGGCAAGTTCTTCGGAGAGCAAGAACTAGATCCTGCTCTTGCACCCAGAAATGGTCCGGGTCGGAAATACCTTACAAATCTGAATTCAACCTTGTAACTCCAGCATACTACCTCCACTGCAAGGCACGAAGTTGCCATTCACCCATTTGCTGTCCGGTCCTGCCAACCAGCTCACGACACCAGTCACATCATCTACCTCAGCGATGCGTCTTTCCGCAGTTGCCCTTGCGTACAGCGCTTCCGTCCATTCTTTGGGCAGTCCAGCCATGCCCATACGCAAAGCATCTGTGTTTGTGGGGCCTACGGCGACGCTGTTGATGGTGATCCCTGTGCCACGGGGATATTTCGCTGCAAGGGCCCTCGTGATTGCATCCGATGCTGCCTTCGTCGCGCCTAGGATTACCAAAGGGTCGGACTAGAATTGAGGATTACGGAATATATGTCAGTCTCATGCAAAACATTCAGACCTGGGGACTACTACACTGGATTCCATGCCAAGTCGAAACTGACCACAGGGATTGGTAGTAGGGTAGACTCACATTTGGGCGCCTACTGGCGACGCTGGAGATGGAGATGATCCTTCCTCCTCGCGGCATATGCGGAATGGCAGCGAGCGATAGCTGAAATGGACTCCAGATGTTGGCGGTCATGAATCGATCGAAAGCCTCCTTGGTATGCGTCTCCATATTCTGCAGGGTATTCATGTCCGACAAGGCTGCATTGGACACAACAATGTCGATGTGGTCCACGGCAAGAGATCTGAGGGTTTCTTTGATGACATCCGGGCCAAAGGTTTCCGAGGTGACGTCGGCTCTAATCAGTGCTGTTTTGATGTCGGATGAAATCTCTTCGATGGTCGAGAGCACCTTCTTCGCTGCGTCGATGTTACCTAGATAGGTGATTGCGACGTGGGAACAGCCTCTGCGTGCAAAGTCGATTGCTATGGCTGCTCCAATGCCTCGAGACCCTCCGGTGACGATGGCCACGCGGCCGGCAAGAGGCGCTGGGATGCTGGAAATCATGGTTGCGGTGGAAAAGGCTTCCGAGACTAGACAACGGAATGTCAGTACTTAAGGTTGCTTCTTGTGATGAACCTCAATTCGTTGACACTTTCACATATACCTCTTATATACCCTCGAGACTGCCTTTCTTGCCGCTAATCCTGTTACATTCCGTACTGAATGAGCCACCAACCCTAATGTAGGGGCTTTCCGAGGAATGGTCTCGATACCCAAACCTGATATCGCCAGTGTGATCCTTCGGCCCGGTACTCGGCGCCTACGTCGCACTTGTCGAAGCCTTGCCATTCTGTCGGGTCCTATGGGCACTGCTCGTAGTTGCAGAGGATCTTGTCCAAAAGAGGTTGTACGACACGGAGGCCAGGGTACCGATTGCCTGATATGGTAGGTACAGACAGACGCGCCAATCAGCATCTGTTCCATTCGTCTCCACTATTGATCACCGGAGATGACCCACACTCTACCTATTTTCATATTATCATCCCGTGGAGAGGACTTTATATTAATCCTGTAGAGTCCTTCATTTCACCAATGTCCACAAATGGACATCACTTCTATATGTATGGGAAATACGCACGAAGGAGTTGAGGAAGCACTTAAAGCCGGCACGTAATAAATGGCCCCGTCGACATGCATTCGGGAGTCGGTCAACAGTCCTGGGCAATCGACCAGTCGCCAGACGCTCCCACTGATGGTGTTTTTATGATGTCACTATCGCTCATCAAAATCCCAATTTAGACCAATTGGCAAGCACCTTCTGCTTGATTTCCTCGGGAAACCCGCGCTCAAAGTCGCCCACCTCCCAATTCGGCCCCGTGGTATACTCGACCGGCAAGAGACAATTAGACACGATCTTCGTGGCAACGTCGGGAGGTCCCTGACCCTGAGACTGGTAGGGCACCAAGGGAAAGCCAAGGGTATTGTGGAAGTAGAAGTTGTCCACACCTGGCCTGCACCGGGTGGCATACGCCCACATGACATCTTTGAAGTTGTAGATATCGATTTCGTCGGACACGACCAAGATGTGATGTTCAAACATGCTAGTTTTGTTGGGGAAAATGGTATCTCCGATACGCTGGCAGAGCTCTTTCGGGTTGGTCTTCATGGTACGAAGTCGTGCGCCGTCGATCTGTACTACCGCCCACAAGGTCTGCGTCTCGTAGGGCGTGAAAACCTCTTTGACCGGGAGGTCCGCGTCTTGAAGGAGTTGACGAATCACGGCACCGCAGAAGGCACCTGCGAGTGTATGCTATGAAGAGCACGTCAGCCTCGATCCTTTTGACGATATATAGTAAGGGTTGACTCTTACGGTCTCATCAACAGGTCTGCCTGGTACACAAATCGGGAGGATCGCGTTGGTCCTGTACGTCACCGCCTTAACCGTGAACAAGGGCATGTATTTGGGAGGTTCGATGAATGTGTAACCGTGAATTTCGCCAAATGGTCCCTCTGGGCCCCGTTCCGTGACAGAAATGGTTCCCTCCATCACAATCTCTGAGCTTGCCGGGACGCATAGGTCGTTTGTCTCGCACTTCACCACCTCTAGTGGGACACCGCACATTGCACCAACAAAATCAGCTTCAGAGACCCCTTCGGGAACTCCAATGCCAGACGCCAGAATCGCTGCCGGGGGCACTCCAAACGCCATTGCCCAAGGGATGTCCTCTCCCTTCTTCTGCCACTGAGCAAAGATGCGGCCGATGTGCTGGGGTGGCATCACTAGGCCGCTGAGACGCGTCTTGTCATGGACCATAGCTCGGGAGATGGACCAGTTTGTCCATTCCTTGTCTGGAGTCTGCACGACATGCATGCCGTATGTCTGGAGGTACTTCCCGCCGTCGAATCTATGCATTTGGGGCACAGGCATTTTGTTGAGGTCAATATCATCCCCGAAAAGCTTGTTCTCCTTACAGGGGCCGTCGGCGACTCGCACAGGGGGTATGGGCTTCAACTTATTGGCGCCGAGAATTTTGTCGAAGATCTCTGACATGGTCGCCGTCGGTTCGAGGCCTATGTGTCTCGCCAATCGGGCGAATTGTTCCGTCTTTTTCTTCCGGAGCGACGCAGGGGCTCCCAATACCCTAAACAGACCGTCCCGAGCACCCTTCACGTTGTGGAAGAGGGGCGCCTTGTCGCATGTCTCGAGAGCACGACGAGTAATTGCAGATAGCTCGAGGTCAGGGTCCACCTCCTGATACACGTCTGCGAGGTCGCCGTCATCTCGAAGTGCCTCCACGAAGCTTCGGAAGTTCAGATGCGGTTCCGTGTTATTGGAACTATACTGTCGGAGGCCGACGACGCTATTCAACCTGTGAAATCTCGCAGAGCTGGCCAGTCTCAGCTGTGACAGGTGTGTTGTGAAGGACGCAAGCATAGTACTTGCAGGTGCTTCAGGAGATGGGAGACGGGGTAACACCGCAAGAAATCAGTAGTTGTCAAGGAGAGCTCTGAAGTGCGCGTCGCAAGGATTCCGAGCCACGGCTTTTGTGAGGTTTCGTCCCCAACAGGTATCTGGACGTGGATCGTCTGTGCAGCGAAGCCCTGGAGGCATGCGTAAACATGCGCCACAGAGAAAAATATTGCACCTGACACGACAGAACTGACCGTCAGCGTCTTCGCATTTCGGACTCTTCACTGATGCCTAGTCGAACATAGCCCCACTGGAATGCCAATCATTTACCTGAAAAGATGCCAGTTAGGCTGTCCGAGCGGCAGTACGGCACTGAAAGGATGGCTAGAAGCAAGGAGGTTCCGAGAAGCCAGAGGTTAGACAACACCGATATCAGGTTTCAGGAAGTCCTTTCCGCCTTCCCGCATATAGCATGAGTAGATTCCCTTTGATATATCACAACATCTGCTCTCTGAGTTCTATATTTCCTGGATTTCTTCTACCCGAAGCAGAATGTTTGTCAACACTCTGGTAGCTAGGACAAGGAAGCTATTTCGTGCAAAGATACAACCTTTCTTTCTTAGACGGATTCACAAAAATTATGGCGTATTTCTTATGCCGCTGATCCCTGAACAGAAACGCGACTTCTATTCTGGCCCATCACACTTGCATGATAATCCCAATCGAGGCCTGCAGGCTCGAAAACGCAGAATAATCGTGGGCATGACCGGTGCCACGGGTTCTATCATAGGAGTCCGGGTGCTCGAGGCTCTTCGAAAGCTGGACGTCGAAACGCACTTGATTATGAGCAAGTGGGCTGAGGCAACACTCAAGTACGAAACCAACGATTATACTCCCTCAGATATACGAGCACTGGCGACGCACAACCATGCCATCAAAGACGTATCGGCACCCGTCTCGAGCGGCTCTTTTCTCACAGATGGCATGATCATCGTCCCATGCAGCATGAAGACTTTGGCGGGAGTCCGGATAGGTTACGCAGACGATCTCATTTCTCGGGCGGCCGATGTTGTCTTGAAGGAGCGACGAAGGCTTGTGCTTGTTGTGCGTGAAACTCCCTTGAGTAGCATTCACCTGGAGAACATGGCAAGTCTGAGCCGTAGCGGAGCCATCATATTTCCACCAGTTCCCGCTTTCTACACAAAGCCAGAAACGATAGATGATATCGTGGACCAGACTGTGGGAAGAATCCTGGATATGTTTCACCTGGACACCTCCGGGTTCGAGCGATGGAGTGGTATGAAATGGAAATGACAGTTATTGGCATGTCAGAATGGGCATGTTAGCCCCAGTAACTGGAGAACTTGCCAGAAATGTTGCGAATAAGATGAATAATGACATAGATCAGTATAGATCGAGAGAGAGCATGTCGAGCGACAGGAGCTCGGTCTTGAACAGCGGCGGTATGGTAATGTCAAACCACTTGTCTGACAACTGTATTTAACAAGCAATAGCTCAGCGGTCTCGGCCTAGTTGACATGCTTGGACAGGAGATGGATGAAAGAGGCAGGTTAGGCGCGTACCGGCTGCTTAAATTCCTGTGAGAACAGAGGCCTATCAAGCAGGTTGGTTATTGATATGAAAACTTTTCCTGTAACGGACTAGTGGAAAGCCAGATAACGGAGCCTGCCGATCGCCCAAGATTCGTAGATACTCAGTGATACTCCAGTGCTTTTGTGCGACAACGTTTTCATCCAGTGTTGCTTCCATCTCAAGTCTCGAGTCCTGAGACAACTTGTTTGGCCTGCCTGGCAGCACTACACTATGAGTACCAACCGAAGTGCACAACCTACATTCACAATCCCAACGGTTGACCTGACTGGCTATCTCAATGACCCTGAATCCTCCCAGGCTGAGACCATCGTGACACAAATTCGCACTGCTTGCACAACGAGTGGTTTCTTCCAGATCACTGGACACGGTGTCCCGGAATCGCTCCAGAAACGAGTGTTTGCTGCAGCAAAAGCGCTGTTTGATCTACCTGATGAGGAGAAGCACAAGCTCAGTGGAAAACCCGGGCGCGGGTTCGAGGTCATCGGCGCCCAGACGTTGGAGGATGGCAAGAAGCCCGATTTGAAAGAGGTACAGAGTTCCGAGTCACCCTCATAGATAGTAAATTTCATGCTAACACTCTATAAGGGATACTATGTCGGTCGCGAGATCCCTGGCAACAAGCCGCCATTCAGACCTTTCCAAGAAGCAAATATCTGGCCATCTCAAATCCCAGAATCAGAATTCAAACAGCCTCTAATTGAATACCATCAGGCTATCTCTGAAATATCATTCCAGCTGATGCGGATACTGGCCAGAGGGTTGGCCAATTTCGATACTACAGTGTTCGAAAACTTCTGTCGGGATCCAATTGCTGCAGTCCGGCTACTTCATTACCCTCCGCATCCCAAATCCGATGACTCAGCCTTGGTGGGCGCCGGCGCACATACCGACTTTGGAGCCATCACCCTCTTGCTTCAGGATGGACACTCCGGTCTGCAGGTCTTGAACCAGTTTACTGGGGAATGGATTGACGTTCCACCTCAAGAACATGCATATGTGGTCAATGTCGGAGATATGCTAGAAGCCTGGACGAGTGGCGTCTACAAAAGCAACATACACCGGGTCATCAACACTTCTGGCACTGACAGATATTCAATCCCTTTTTTCCTGGACGGCAATGCAGACTGTATCATCAAGCCCCTGGATGGCTCCGAGGGCAAGGCATTTACGGTTGAAGAGCATATGCTGTCCAGATACGCTGCTAGCTACAAATAGTAGCGGGAAAGAAACTGCCAGGCCAATCCCAACACTTCGCAAATGCTGCCTCGTCGAGACTGGTTCCTGCGAGTACGTTAGTTGTTCTTCTCTGGAGCTGTCCGCTTTCCTATCCCATCGCGACCACGCTCATAACGACCACGCTCATAACGACCACGACTAGAAAGCAACATCCGCTGCTTCATTTCTTGAAAACATACTCCGACCCGGTGGATTTCGCGTCTCTCAGAGGACGGATAGAGACACAAACGCCAGCCGCTCCTCTGATTCGGGCAGCTGTCAAAACCAGAGCCCTCCCTGTGCTGATTATGCAGCCTTGACGGCGTCCCGAGACCATCTTACACAAAGCCCCCAGCTATAGGTCGCCGTGCAGATGTTTTTCCGTGAGCAATAGACATTTGCACTTCCTCAAGGGTCTACGAGTTATGTACCACCGGAAATAGCACCGGCTCGTAACTTATCTTCAGCCGCACTGCACGATGACGTATTCTCAGCCTGATCTCCAAAGTTCCTGAAACCTCGACGCAGGCGTCCAGGTTGATATTTACACTGCAAAGGCATGCCAAATGATTGGTGACACAAGGCCACAGGCGACCAGCTCGTCTAGGGACATCACAAAAAACTATCCTTCGCCGTCCTTGCGACTTGCCGCAAGAATATTTTCCATCAGGCTGAGCTTCGACATGCATGTGGCTTGCATCTAGACCCTGTTCGATTAGGCGAGTTCACCTCCCAGTTCGCCAGATAAACCCCTCTTCGCAGGGGCCCCCCTTGTCAAGAGACCTAAACCAGCAACCAGGGGTTTATGCCTAGGCGACGAGTTTTCCTTCTCATGAGGAAGGCTTCCCACAGCCTTAAAACCCTTGATCGCTCCTCGCTTCTGTCCTTCATACTCTGAGACTTTATCGTATCTGTTTCAAGTCTCTGAAACGGCGTCTGATGAATAGAAATTCTGATTGAAATGGATGGTCCCTCGCAACGACTCTCCAGACCGGAGCTGCCGCCTGGTCCAGCCTCTTATCCCTCGACGTCCTCGCGCAACCCTTCCCCTTATTCTAATTTCGGCAGCCGTTCGCAAGTGGGCCTTCTGAACAACAATGCGAACATAGAGGCCGACCCACGAATTGTCTTTTTGTCTCGAAATAATGATTCGGCTGAGGACAGATCCAGCTTGCTGGAGCAGCCTCCAGGTGGACTATCCCCTCTCTCGCCCGACTGTGGGATTCTCGGCTAATTCTCGGCTCGGGACAGTCACCTTCACTGCCGTCACAGACATTGGTAGGAGACAGTTGGCACCGTTGGACTTCTGGCCAGCGATTTTGAAATGGTATTCGACAGTATTCTTGACCGTTTTATATATTGGAACGGCCGGTGCTATCGTGGCACTCTGGCTCGCCGCTGGGACTAACGGTCAATATCACTTGTCAAGCGAAAATGTTCGCATGATATCCCGTTACTTTCCTTCCGCGCTGGGTACCCTCAACGTGATTCTATTCCGCCAACTTGTCCGTGAATATATCAGAATGAAACCCTTCGTGGCGATGGCGGATCAGGGCGAGACACGCTTTGGACAAGAGCCCAGCAAAAGTGTCAGTGGGGCTTTCTTTCCGTGGCAGGATATCTCAATCACTCGAGGCCTGACCTCGATAATCTCCTTGCTCTGTCAACTCATGGTTGGATTCATCGTCAGTTTGAAGGTTGCACTGTTGGCCAGCGGTCCCGCCACCGTCGAACACAGCGGCGAGGATGCGACAGCAAGCTGGACCCTGACCCTCCGAGTGTGGCCAGCCATCTTTCTCATCATCGGGCATGTCATAATGGCGGCATACGTGATCTGGGTTGCTTACCTTAATCGCGGAAAGTCGACTGGCCTCAGATGGGACCCTGTCACCATTGCCGACTACACCGCTCTGTTTGCACAATGCAACGTTGCAGAGTACTTCTCGGCCCTTGAGTTGCTCCATGACCGCAAAGCAAAGAAAGTCCTGTCGACACATCATCTATTTCGTCTGGGCTACTGGAGAAAGAACGTTACTGGAATGCCCGGTAGAAGTCGTTTGGTATACGGCATTGGCACCACTTGGAGCGCAGCAGGTAGTTGCAAAGATCAGATTTTATGAACAAGTGCTCACCGAACAACAGATCTTCCGCCAACTGCATTTAAACCCACCTGGTACGATCGGCTGACTGGAAATGACAAGGGACCCACTCCAGTAGACGATTGCGATAAGTACAGGGGTGGTGACGATGAGCGTTTACCCTGCAACCAAGGAACATGGCCAGACTGCGAGCACTATCCCTACCGTCATAGCCCTGGTTGCGGAAAGGGCTGGATCATTTTGTCGGTGATCCTGGCATGGGCAGGACTTTGTGTTGCCATATACGGACTGATCAATGGCATTGTTTTCCATGGCTTCCATCTAACAAAGCATTGGAGCATGCCGGAATTGTCAGTTTCTGCTGGCAATCACACCTTTGACTTGCCGCCTATCGACCCGACGGACCCAGAATCTAAGCTCATTGTGTACGCTCTGTTGTTTCGCTCGGCGCCAGTCTATGTTGCTGGCGTGTTCACAGCGACGATTGTTGAGTGGGTGGACTTGAACATGCGGTTCATGCAACCATTTATCAACATGTTCGGCCATGCAGGGGACGCCGCGGATACCGTTCTACTCGCATATATCACCACGTCCCCACTCCAAGTCCCTATCACGGCGATCGAGAAAGGCCATTACAAAGTCGCAGTATTCTCAATCTTAAACACCCTCTCACCACTTTTCCCAATCTTCATCGGTGGCCTTCTCCAGCTAGAAGACGACGGCAAGAAAGTCAAGTTCAATTTTTCACTGTCAGCCTATATTGGTATCATGGTCTTTCTCAGCGCTTGGAGTGTGGCAATGCCATTCGCATTCCCGATTCAGAAAAGGCTGCTCCCTCGCCAATTTTACAGCATGGCGGATTTAATGGCCATGTGCCACAAATCCTACTTCCTGCAAAGGTCTTATCTTGACTTTGGGGACAACCGTCGCACCCCGACGAAGGACATCATGGAAGCTCGTATCCTTATGTCAGGAGACAGATTCTTGTTCGGTCATTACACGGACGACGAAGACAGAAAGCATATTGGATTCGACATTCACAGCACCGTGGACTATAACACCGGGAATGTGGAGGAGACCCAACTTGTGGTCGCCATCACGCCGCCAGGTGAGATAGACAAGCTCACAAGCCAGACCGTCAGAACGATGACGAACCTGCTCCGTGGTGCGGGCAGGGTCCAAAAGAGCAGCAAAGGTTTCGCGGCATGGCTACGGCGAACTCTGCGAGGCCAGCCAAAACGCCCAGAAGAGGCGGAGATGGACTTCCTACCTAGGGGATCTGCCACTGGTTCACACCTTGAGGGGCAGGAAGCACGCCAGCGCCCTGCTGTGGCATTCGCTGCTGAATTGAACTGACCGGACGATGGCTTGGCTGGCTGGAACTATCCTGGTCGGAAGAACCCCAGACCCAACCCATTCCCAGACAGGTACGGTTGACTTAAGCTGGGCATTTCCCCATACCACTGTTGGAGGATGCGACATCTAATACAGGCCAGGAACCCCGGTCGGGATCCGAACGTCCAAATATTCCAAGCTCAAGAGTTCTCCACTGCTACTGCCGAAGCTGTTGCTTGTCAGGTACGATGGACTAGGAAAGAAAAGTCTCTGGATATAGATCAGTGTACAAGGCGACGTGCTACCGCCACTATTCATTCAATTCAGCAAAGGCTACTCCGGGAACATATGGTGTAGTAGGGCCTGCAAATAATATGGCAGGCTCTTGCAAACTTGCATAACGCTACCTGGATGGTTACTAATCTCCCAGCACGACGCGCCGCATGGGTGCCATCATTGCTGCGGCGAGATATGATCCTTTTAAAGATATTGACGATACCTTCACTGGCTCAAGCATCTGAGGCGCCCTCCAAACGAGACGTTGTGTTCTCCCTCACTCTCAGCTCATCCATCCAACGATGTCCATGATTGCATCAGGAAAGGGTATATATTGGATTTACTCATCCCTCCTTCGCAAACCCTGTCGCTACCGGATTCTCGGCCCGAGGTATCTGCGCCGAGTTTCGAGGCAGACCAGTGCGAAGCTTCACTGGCTGTTCTCCCAATCAGCTGTGTCAGATGCAGGATAGGCTGGAGTGCGGGGTTCGAGAGTAAGCGTGTAAGCATACCTCGGTCCTCCCTACGTTATATTCACAGTTATAATATGGGATACTCCTGCCCAGCATCAGCCGTCATTGTCAAATCCGACCGACATTCGCCCTGACGCACGTACTGTTACCAGTTTGACGATCCATATCATTTGAACAGTATGGCAGGAAACGCTTACGTTCTGGGGGTTGGCATGAGTGCCTTCCTCAAACCCCGGAAACAGCGCTTTTACACCGAGCTCGCCTTTGAAGCCGGCGTCAAGGCCATGCTAGACGCCCATGTGACCTACGACGACGTCGAGGCTGGCGTTGCCTGCTTCTGCACATTGCCGTCCTGCAGTGGACAACGGTGTTTCTACCAATTTGGCATGTCGGACATCCCCATCTACAACACAAACAACGCCTGTGCCACTGGCTCAACTGGACTTCACATGGCCCGGAACTTTGTGAAGGGTGGTATTTACGACTGTGTCCTGGTCGTTGGGTTTGAGCAGATGAAGCCCGGTGCACTGGGTGGCGGCACTGTGGATTTCCCAACGCCTCAAGATCTCAGTTTGAAGTTGATGAGCAAGACGAGAGGAGATGCCCAGTCTCCGAAAAACCCGCAGATGTTCGGCAATGCCGGCAGAGAGTACATGGAGAAGTAAGTAACGATAACATCCATCCCATTGAATGCCTCGCCCAACTTGAATATGCGGCATCATGCTGACTGCGAGTCGTCGTGCGTGCTCAGGTATGGCGCCTCTGCTGAAGACTTTGGCGAGATCGCTCGAATCTCGCACGAACACTCGTCGCGCAACCCCTACGCACAGTTCCGAGATGTCTACACGCTCAAGCAAATCATGGACTCCCCCATGATCCACTACCCCATCACCAAGCTCCAGTGCTCACCGACGTCAGACGGGGCCGCCGCCGCCGTGGTCGTGTCACAGCGATTCCTCGACCAGCGACCCGAGCTTAAATCGCACGCCATCCTGATCAAGGGACAGGCCCTCAGAACTGACACCCCGAACCTGTACAACGGTAGCGCGATGGAGCTGGTCGGCTTCAGCACCGCAGGACGCGCCGCTAAGGCCGCGTACGCAGAAGCCGGCATCGGCCCCAAGGACGTCAAAGTGTGCGAGCTGCACGACTGCTTCTCTACCAACGAGCTGATTACGCTGGAAGGTCTGGGCTTCTGCGACGAGGGCAAGGCGCACCTGATGGTGCGCAACGGCGACATCACGTACGGCGGCAAGGGCCCGATCATCAACCCTTCCGGGGGCCTGATCTCGAAGGGCCACCCCTTGGGCGCCACCGGTCTGGCGCAGTGTGCCGAATTGACCTGGCAACTCCGCGGATGGGCCAACAACGGCCGCCTGGTCAAGAATACCCAGTACGCCCTGCAACACAACCTCGGCCTCGGCGGCGCCTGCGTGGTGACTGTGTATACCCGTGCCGACGGCAAAGTCAACAGCGACCGTGCCGTGCGTGACGAGGAAATCGCCGAACTCAGCGGCCTGGGCTACAACCCGGCCGTCGAGGCTAAATGGGTCACGCCGGCCCAGGCGAAGAAGGTCCGAAGCAAGAAGGCTGATTGTGACTATGCGCTGGGCGAGACGTTCAGCAAGCTCGAGAATGTCAGATTGTAGACAAGCAGTTGGTCGGTCAGATCTAGCAAAATTCAAGCGAAGTTTTACTACCAATATATAGAACACATGCCACGCTAGTAATCCTGAGCTCTCTTATATTTTCGAGCTCACGCCAGATGTTGTCGCTCGCTGTGCATTCCGCGAGGGCAGATTTGGATAATCGGGCCCAGCACCGGACGCCCTGATGCGCCAGGCGCCGCCATCGACGTCGATCGTAGCGCCATTGACAAAGTTCCCCGTGTCTGCAAACAGGAAGATGGTCGCGTCCGAAATGTCCTTGATCAGCCCCAGCCGTTGCACAGGGACACTCCTAATGAGTTCGTCCCTCCGGGCCGGATCGGTCAACCGCTTAGCGCCCTCGGTGTCGTCGATCAGGCCCGGGGCAATGACGTTCGAGGTCACTCCCCTAGGCCCGTACTCGAGCGAGATACAGTCCGAGAGAGCGTTAACGCCGGCCTTGGCTGCGCAGACGTGAGCCTGGGCGATACGCGCACACTGGTAGTTGGTCGAGCTGACGAAGATGATGCGGCCACCAGTCAGGCTGGGAGATTCTGGACGAGGCGAGTGAGTGAGAGATCAAAAGGGGAGAAAACCCACGGTCGTCGTTCTTGCATGTTTCCTGACACTTACCTGAAGAATCCTTGGTGGCTCTGGCTCGTTCCGCAGAAGCAGCGAGGTGCGGCAGAGTCGATTTCGCCGTGATGAAAGAGCCTACCAGATCGATGTCGACGACCGCCTTGAAAGCGTTCACAGAGAGATCATCGATGGTCGAGACGAAATTGCCTGCTGCTCCGGCTCTGAAGAGGCGTAGTAGCATGGACTGTCAGTCTCTGTGCACTCCTGCGTCTTTGTGCGAGAGAGCAACTTACATGACAAAATCAATGCTGCCCAAGCGTTGCACACAAGTCTCGACCGCCCCTTTCACGCTCTCATAGTTCCTGACATCCACCCCGCCGAGACCCAGCACCGTGCTCCCTGGCCGCACGAGCGCAATATCCGCAGCGACCTTTTTCGCCTTGTCGTGGTTGCGGCCGACGATGCAGGCGTTGGCGCCCAAGGCGACGAGAGCCCGCACTTGGCCGGAGCAGATGCTGCCGGATCCGCCGGTGCAGAATACCACTTTGTTGTCTGTATAAACAGTTTCCTTATCAGCTAGGTTCCGGTGTAGAGAGAGAGAAAGAGGCTCTGGGCCTGGGGAGAAGGGGAAGGAATAATAAATAACAAGAAGGCGCACCGAATAATCCCAGCCTCCACGATGTGCTTGCGAATTGCCTAACAGAAGAAGCCATTTCCTGCACTGCCTGCCAAAAAAAGTGTTGAGGACTCGGATTTCAAGCTTTCATACTTTTGTAGATACTAGATTCTCGAGAAGTTGAATACGACAACTTGAACTTGAAGGTCTGATGAAGTCTTGGGGTTTGTATTGCGACGCATCTGGATGTTGCTGAGTTCACAGGTGCCGAGGCGCGGCGTTTTCGCATATCGGTGATTTCGGCACTTTCAAATAATATGACTTGGGTTCGAGTCGATTGAAGGCTTCCTTCCCCGCTGACCCGCCATAGTATGCCCGTTAGCGATTGCTTTGTGTCTAGATACAGAGTGCCTAACATAGGTATGATACTACTACTGGCAAAAACTGTGCTAGTTGCCGCCGCGCATGGGGTAAGGCCAATGCGCTGTTGACCAGCCCAGAACAGCAGCCTAATTAGGAAAATAAGCACCAGATTGGGTCATGTATGGCCGGCCGCTGGAAGCACCATCAGCTAACTCAGATCGTGAGCAGCTCGATTCCAGCCCCGATATCCTTTCTCCAATTGATTCTCCTGGTAGTGGTTGTCGTGCTGGCTTGAGAAGCCCAATTTGGGGTAGTAACTTGAAATTAAATTATGGGCCGTTGACTTTCCGCATTCGGCGAAAATCGTGATGTGTTTAGATCTATCCTTAACGGATTATATTTTCAGGCCAGAACGTACTACCTACAACACAACTAACTACCCCGAGTGACGCTATTGTACAACTTACACCCACCCAATGGTCGGCCGCCGTGTCGTATTTCTCTCATCGCCGGTGTTAGAGGTGCGACAACAAGCTGGGGCGCGTGAATAATGCATAACAGTTCCCAGGTGGTCATCACCGATTATTGGCTCTGGGGTTCTCTATAGATACATCAAAAGGTTTTAATCTTTCGATCACCAGAAATGCTTTGGTCACCTCTTCAGGCTTCCTCCCACGTCCTCCTCCCTTTCAATGGCGTCCGTCATTCACCTTGCGCCTAAATTGCCCAAGGAAGCTCCTGGAAGCTAACGTTGTCAGGCTGGTATAAGCCGAATAGATTTCCTTGGCCAGTGTAGTGGGTCCTTGCCAGAAGGTCTTCTTGGGCGCTTTGCTTCGGGTTGACCCTCCCTCTTGTGGGTCGAAACGACAAGCGAGCCGACGTCCACCTCGGACGAGGCCAGTGATAATAGGCTGTTCAGGTTGACGGTAGACTCCCGCGGCGAAGGACTCCGGCCACAGCTCCTGTGGTGCCAGCTTGAAGTCCATTGGGTCACACGCTGAAGATTGACTCGGACCTTCTGCTGCAGTCTTGTCTCCCTCCCCTTGATCTCTGATCCCCTTTGAAGTGTCGTCTCTGTAGATCGGCCCGCGGCCCATAGAACCATTCTTGGCGGGGGCTGCCCAGCGAGCTCACGGCGGCCCATGGGCCGTGGTTGCCCAGGGGGCTCATGAGTTGGAAGGTTGACCGTGGGAGCCCACAGCCGCCCTGGGCTTACTGGGCCAAGCGGGGCTTTTTGCCCATGTGATAGCAGATCTACTTATCAATATGTTGCTTTTGGTCCTCGGGGAGAAGTTATTGTAATCTTAAGATATCTTGGGAGACTTTATATGCCAATAATTCCTTATTATTCTCCGCTTATATTTCATCCACGTCGGTATGAAAAGCCTGTTTCGACGGGCGTACTACTGGAGGGCGAACTACGTAATATCTTCGTTAATGTCGGGATTAATCGTTCGAGCTTCTTTCGTCATTAATTTCAAGGTAGGGTTCTACCCTCTCTCGTTCGTTGATCCATTCCGGGATAGGGTGATTGTATTGGTGCTCTCTTCTAGGCGTTGACTGGAAGCTTTTTGGCTTTGGATTCGAAGGGAGAGCGCCGTGAAAAGAGTCAGCTGGGGACTGTTCTTCGGTTGGTCAAGATAGGCGATATTATCGACGGGCACATCCTCATCAACGGGGCCTGATGGTATAGTGGGCGCCAGATTCAAGTAGATATCAATCCCCTGGGTAACTGTCCCGGAGAGAGTCAGTGAGGAGGACTGACCTCGGATCCATCAAAAAAAAGCCATGTTGTTCCTCCTCCTCTAGGGCAAGTAGATGGAGGAAGAGTGGATACCGTACCTAGTACCCGGGGAGGACTCTATCAGTATATACACCGCTTTTCTTGATGTAAGAGCGGGGCCTGTTGATGCGATGGCGAGGATAAGTAAGTTAAGCACGTCAGGTACTTAAGGTGCATTAAAGAGCTCATTGAGAACAGCGGGCTGATTAATGGCGATGCCCTCCTTCGGCAGGGTGTACCGATGCCGCTCACCCCTGGCCAGACGGTGTGAGACCAGACCTAGCGCTACTGTCCCTGAATCTCGACGACTTCCACCTATTCCACACTCTCGATCTTCTCCACTAGGCCTCTGCCGTCCGACGTCATATCCAGTATGACCTCCTCACCAAACAACCCGCCCATCTCCTCCACGGGCCGTCCACGCGTTTCGGGCACGAAGAAGTAGACGACGATTTCGGAGCCGATCGAACAGGCCATGAAAACCAGGTAGATTCTGCGAGTTAAGATACGGTACAGTCAGCCAGCTGGATGTTCAACCGGTTTCGCAGGGAGCCAAACTCAGTTAACGATGGGTGGAAGACTGTCTGCGACTTACATGTTCCGAAAACTCCGGACCCGGCGTGGAAAGGTCATCAGATGAATCCGGCGAATAATAGGCAAACATGCTCAAGCCCATCGATGCCCTTTGCTCGGATCGTGGTGGGGAATATCTCGGAGCACCACACAAACGACGGCGCGTCGATGAAATTAGTACAGAACAATAAAGAGGAAAATGCAGGCCACCGTAGCACCGTTGCCCACTTGATTCGTCGTTCCGAGATATTGTCGCTGGAGAAGAGCTTCAATAAGAAGATTGACGGCCAGCGCTACAAACCCGATTACTAAATTTGGGAGACAGGTCAGAAAGGTCGACTTTGCCCAGAAGACTTCTGAGAAGTTGAAGCAACAGATTGCCCATATAGGACTCACAGAAAAGTCTCCTCTGTCTGAACTTGTCCGTCGTGAAACAAACAGGCCATAGAAGCGGCAATTGTACCAATAACGGGCGTAAATCGCTAGTTATCAAGTGTTAGACTTTTGATAATATCAAGTCCTGACGACAACTCACCGTAAACAAGTAATGGCATCACCCTCTTAAGACCCAACGTCCTAAAAATGCGGACCTCATGGTTTGCAACGCCATTAACCTGGGCACAGGAAGATCAGCTCACACCAACGACACACTATACATGACGTTAGGGTAACATACCCCGGTTCCTTGAGACGCAAACCTAACACATGTATCAGTCTGTGCGACGCAAATGCCACCTCTCCCGGATTCCGCATGCCAGGACTGAACAACTTACATCACAAAGAGCGCGAGAAGCGAGCGTTTGCGCCAACTCGGCTTTGTGAACATGAGGACACAGCTCGAATTCTGCTCCTTGTCCTTTTCAACCTGTGCCCGAATCTGAATGAATTCCGCTTGGGCACTAGCATTCTCTGGGTGTTCGGGATCGCGATGGAGGTGTTGGATGACCCGGAGTGTCTCTTCGTAGCGGCCAATTCAGCACGGTTAGCGAGGAGACTCTTCTCATCACATTTTCAGTCATGCTTGGGGCCAGAAAGAGGCCAACAATACCGACCCGGCACAAAATAGATTCCGACCAAGAGGCCGAGGGGTCCAACGCAGGCCAGGACAAGAGGCAGGCGCCATTGCAATCTCTCATTCTCGGCGAAGGAGGTCGCCACCGAAACCCACGCGACCCTAAAATATGTCAAAGGGACATGAAAAACAGAGGAAGGAAGCGTACGCGACATAGCCAAGCCCAAATCCCATGACGGTCATGCCAGCCATGAGTCCGCGGCAATGTGGTGGGGATACTTCGGTGAGATATAACGAGACCAGACATATCAACATGCCGAGGCCAAACCCATGCAGGATTCTGATTGTAATAGCATCGCCAGGTATGGAGACCCAGCAGTCCAGCCAGTGACGATCAAAGAGAACAGTGCCGACGCTGCGAGGACTTTCCTGCGTCCAGCCCAGTCTGCCAGCAAAGCCTAGAAGAGGGAACCAAAGGCAGCCCCGGCTGCAAAGAGGGCATTGACGGTGCCCAAGACGCTAGAAGAACGGCGCGTCAGAGAAGTCTTCTTTCGTGTAGAGGAGTCATACGCACCTTGCAGTATACTGGCTTATTGCTGTCTTGTCTGTCAGCGTCATGGTAACTGACAAACATGCTCCCTGGCACACTCACGATCAAGATTGAAGTCCTTGTAAAAGCCGGGTTGGCCGATGCCGTCGATGAATACTCCAAACCCAAATCCATACCCGAACGTGCCAATGGAAACGATCATGCCGATAAAGACGTTATACAGAGTAATTTTTGCCATTGTGTACCACTACAAGCGTGTTCAGAAGATGAGCCTGTGATTCTCCCCATGATGTGACTTCGTTTAGTTCTTTAATGTAGCTCTCATGTAATTGCATTAGGCGTACGATAACCGGACGCCGAGACAAGCTCGAATAATTTCAGCTAGTGCTGTGTTGAGGCCTCGACTTTCTGTGAAAGCTGGTAAACAACTCGTGTCCGAAGCTGCCCCGTGGGGAGCCTAGAGTCTTGTTTTTCAGATAAAAGCTGGGGTCAAGAGGCTGGGTGGGGAATGGAGCTCGAGGCCGCGGAGTTGAAAATTTTTGACGAGTGCAGTTATACCGGACGCCAAAAAATGGAAGGCATTCAGCAACTCGTGGAATGTTGGGACATCCAAAGTTGGTGAAGCATTCAGGAGAATCGATATTCTGACAAAACTAGGTGGTGCCACTTGAACACCTGAGCAATCTCTTAGCAGCAGCCCCTCGTCCTATTGGCCAAAGAGACCAAAAGAGGCTAGACGGTGCCGCCAAAGAAATGGGGAACGAGACATCAGGTCATATCACGAGAACAGATATCCCTAGTTTCGACGAAAAATCGGCTTAAATGGCCCAAGATTCTAGATCTCGAGCTGCGTGATGAACCTCACATTGGAGAGTCAGGCTGAAGACCCCAGAGGAGTTTCTCGCGGACTCGCCCAGATCAATTCGCCCACTAAGTAAATCCACGTTGTCTTGCGGCCGAGGAAAACGGGAAATAATCGATTCAGTAACGCTAAGGCATGATCATCTTCATTTATCATCTTCAGAGGCAACGGTTTGAGAGAATCCAGAAGGCCGGGTGTTTCTGAAGGCGACTGTGATTCTTGGGAAGAAGCTTTGCCCTTTGTGCCTTGTATCACCATGGGCTGACTTAAGAGCGGAATAGATGGCCAACCAACAGAGATAATGGTGGTCTGTGGCTATTCCTCAGGGTGATTGTAGCGTCTATCAAGGACGTGTTGAAGACTAGGTCGCACTTGCCATGTCGAGCGCGTGTTCTCGCGGCGATGGACTGAACACTAGACCTTGGTCTGGACCTTCTGAATCAGGAACTCTAGCCGTCGCACATGTCAGTTGGGCTACGGACAGGTTCTGCTGCCGTTGTCGACATCTTCGACCACTTGGATCGCACGGGAGAGAGGACGGCTCCTAGAGGGCTATTCATCAGCACCTCGTTCAAGAGAAGAGGTCACCTGGATGACTTACATCTCAACCGCTACGCCTGCCTATCTCGTACCCGCTCCTTTGCCCTAGCATCTTCGTCGCAAAATCAGGTATCGACGCTCGCCTCAATCTTGAGCCTTCCTCTTTTGTGCCGCTCAGCCTTGTATTACCAGTCGGGCTTGGGCTGAGTGCTGCTCCTCGGGGATATCTCGAATGGCAATGGTGTCTTATTCACACAAGAAGCTGATTCCGGAACATTGTTGTTTGCACAAGGCTCGTTGAACTATATGGAAAAGGTCACTTTCTGACGATTTCGTCACTCGAAAGAAGCGTCGTCTCTGGTTACAATAGACAAGGTTATGCATCGCAATGCACGCTGTCGAGAGCCGGAAATTACGTCTTCAGCTCGTAGAAGGGATACCGAGTCTCAATGTCGCATGATGCTCTTGGTCAATCCACCTGCAGTCTCGCCCCACGTCGAATGTCGTGTTTGTAGAGGTCAAGGCCGGCTTTTTGTTGGCGTTTTGATTCGTCATGACAGCCTGGTCTCGAGAGAAAGACCGTGACCTAAATTCTGACAAAATTGTGACTCACTCTTTGGGGGTTGTAGCCTTGTGCGTGTGGAAAGAGTTGGTTTATGACTCAAGAAAGGCTCGCATATGGTGTTCAGGGTCGAGCATTTTGCCGGATACAACATGGAGGTGGCGAAGAATCGTGCCTCAAGTGACGCAATAGGTCGACAGACCTTGCACTTTGCTTAAACCTGAGACGAATGGTTGATAAGCCAATGATCTGACAATTCTGGGTTTGCTGGAGGATTTGGCTGGATTTGCCAAGGTCGAATTGACATATTTGACAGGAAGAAGCGCCCAACGGTGGACTTGTCGTATCACTCCAGCTGAAATCGGCGACACTAGCATGAGGTTCGTCACATATTCAAAAGCAAGCTGCCGGTTTGCCGCTGTGGTCTTGTCTGTAATCGGCATGCTTGAGCACATTCGTGAGAGTCTTGAACCTTTGTTTTGCGAGAGAAGTGTCGTGTGTATCAAAAATCCGGCGTTGTGTTGCTGACGGTCCACAATGCTTAGCGTATCTGTTCGACTGGTTTCTCCTGAAGCAGATCACACGCTTCATCCCAAAAAGTATGACATAGATCTCCTAGGTCATACTCCAAAGGCAGGAATTTCTGTGACACGCTTTTCACGTATGCCCATGAATCCTTTTCTATAACCATAGAAGAGTCTCGCAATCTGGCAGCGAAATCTGACACTCGAGCGCTCTGGCGTGCAGCAAGTCCGCCGATTACTGTAGCCCATACGAGAAACTCTCGCTGTGTCTGCCAGTATTGACAGGAGGCACATTCATCCAGGGCTTGGAGGAGAAGTTTAGTGACCTTTTCGTGGAAGCCACTGATGACCGGCAACGTCCAGGTGAGTTCGGCTACCTTTGATCCCAGCTACTCAGTATGGCGCTCCAAAAAAAAGTCTTGCCGGAAGTCCAGGCACGAGAGTATATGCAGCGACGAGAACAGCACCAGGGACTGCTAGGGGAGGGACTTACGAATACAATGAAAGAAAGCCGAGCGACTTCAAACAAGCAATCTCCTCCTGATGGAACCTGCATGGCATTGTGCTGGAGAACGCGACGAGTATGGACCATAAGCATGAGATCCGGGCTTCTGCGGGGATCGCGTAGGCAAAGAGAGAATGTCTCGAGAAGCACCCAAACCTGACAGATGATTTCGTGTAGTCGAGGACCACAGCGTAGAGCTTCCAGGAACTCGAACCCATCTTGACGGCTTCCAAATCGAGACTTTGCGACGTCATCCCATGTCTCTCGTAACGAAGCCACGAGGCACGGTGCTGAATAAAGAGTTGGGAAGGTCGGTTTGGTAAGATTCATCAAAGAATGAAATGTGTCGACCCTGAAACGGTAAGTCGTAGGCCTCGAGGGGTGTATTCTGGAACTTATCTACATTGAAATCATGTTGCTCAGGCCATGCAGCGCCAACGTCTGCAGACCTCCTTTCTGGGTGACGAGCGTCCTCAAAGCACGCAGATGGGTCCCTTCGAATTCCAGGCTGGAATAGAATTCGTTGTCTCGATACACGGGAGTGGTGAACCGGGGGTGCTTCAAGGTACGGACCGAACCATGGATTGCCAGAAGGGTTATCGTCCAGAGTACTTCATCCGACGCGACACCTCCGTGGTCCTGCAGGGCTCTTCGCAGATGTCTCAGCGCCTGTTGTTTCAATTGGAGTTGGAGCATCTCATTGCGGAGTGTTCTGCCGCCGAAATAGGATCTGTAACACTCGCCGGCATATATGGTGGCAAAGAGACAATGCGGTGCTAACAGCGAGGTGCGGATGACGGCTTCTCGAATCTGTGTGATTGCAGCTTCGTGCGTAGCCAAGGCAAACGCCGGCCACTGATGGATCAATGCTTCAACACGGTCTCAGCCACAACTCCCCAACGCACTCAGACCTTCATCCCTACCGGCATCCAAGATACTTTGAAACTCGTGCGAAAGTCCGAGTGGACCAAGCAGGTTGAGGGGGCCCCAACGGGTTGTGTCAAGGATCGATCTAGGCGAAATTGGGGTGTTGAAGCCGGCTGCAAAAGGATCGTGCGCCACATGAGAAGTGTCCCTCGACATCTTCCATGAGGTGTGGCTTCGGGATGATGGTGAAAGCTGTCTGGAAGAGCCCGACGAGCTGCCACTCGGACCAGCACTGCTTATACTGCGCAATCTCTTTCGTTGCAAGCTGCGGAGTTCTCGGTTCTTTTGGTGTGAAGCTAGCGCGGTATGCTGGTGTCGACGCGAGGCCTGAAGCCGCCTGTCGGACTCGTTCGTCTGGCCATCCCCGATCCAAGGCAGAAATGTCAGTTCCATCGTCTGCCGGGACTTTTTGTGGTGAGATTGAGCAGATGAGGGATGATGAGCAAATGTTACGGGGGGAAACTTGCATGCGCGACATTCACGGGCAAACACGGCAAACTTACTGGCGGCGGGTTTTTCCGTTTTGCTTTGTGCTTCGATACACCGTCACCACCAACACGTTACACGGTGAGTGCGGCCACAGTTGACAGTCTCTACACACGATTCACATGCGAAGGGAGCAGGGAAAGTCTTGAACAATGCTACCTGATCCGGTGTATTCTCGTTACTTCTCAGCAGGCGTTGGCCTCCGTCCCGACAAACCAGTCAGCACGTGGTTTCAAGCATCCTGTCGGTTTCCTTACAAGATCCCAATGCAGATGTCCCCTTTGACCTTCGCAATGACACGGATGTCCACTTCGAGGGCCAGTCGTACGTGAACCTTCAAGCTTCCTCCCATGTTCTCAATATCCTTCTTGGAGAATCCCTTGGGGATATAATCGGGCGTACTGTCACCAACGTCTCCCTCGGGTTGCTTTGCGACCTCGCCCGAATTGCGACCGCCAGGGGCACTGTCGAAGGTGTCATTCCTGCATTGAGAGTGATTAGGATCGAAATTCTGACAATGGAGAAGAAGACATCGTGGACTTACAAGTCCTTGGTTTCGCTCGACATCTTTCGTGGATGCTTTTTCTTGGCCTTGGAGATTTCTCGATCTGAATTGCTCTGGACGACACGACTTGTCTGCGGGTAGTCGAGCTATGAGTACGGCGTTGTTTTTGGATCCCTTTGCAGTCTCAGCTGTTCGGCTTCTCCTCAGTCTCGTTGGTAAGTCAAACAAGGCTTCCCGAGACTGCAAGTCTGGCGTGCAAGTTGCTCTGGGGTGTTGAAGAACTATTGTGATTCTTTTCTCGATGTGGCCGATCGGATTTCTATTAGGAGCTGCGATCACCCGGATACCCGTCAGTGCTACCGTGCTCGAAATGATTGTCCAGCGCCGCTTCCGATTCTCGGTCCTTCCAAAATCAGCAACGATAGTCCCTTCCCGAGAAATGGAATGGTTCACAGAGACATACGGTGAAGCCGGGGCTTGAATGGAGCTTGCTAGAAGTTGGTGGTCTGCATGCGGGAGGAGGCTGGAAGTTAGGTGGTCAGGTGCACCAGGTGGGAAGAGGAGGCTATCGTCATCAAAGATGTCCGGGTCTTGCGGAGCAGTGTCGACAGTCGGTGATACTGGCTTGTCAGGGTTCATGGCGTACCTGGCCCCAGCATTGAGTGTTTAGACATGCTAAGCAGTGCCCTGATCTGTCGGGTGGCAGGACCGGTGGGATAAAGCTGCTCGCGCGAACAGCTAGTGAGCAAGCTATCGTCGATGTGATGCGTTAGTCCTTGCTGCTTGGTCGGTTCCAATACCGCCCAGGTACCCACCAGGTGTCTCATTGGTCACTCGATGCAGGAACCAAGGTTTCAAGCCCTCGAGGAACGACGGACAGACTCCACCTGCGAGACGTCAGGGCTCTGTTTGCTACCAGAGGCCGTGCATGCATGGGTTGCAGGGACGAACAACAAAAGAAACAAGGAAATAACTGCCAGAAATGAGGCCTCGTAACAGGTGCAGACACGTTGATCCACACATATTACGTCACGGGCGAAGCGAGGCCTTGACCAGGATCCTATACAAGATTGAAGACACCAAACACCAGCTCCACAACAAGGCTGCAGGTCAAAAGCCACTGGTACTCTCCTTGCAGGTACTTTCATACGGCCCCTGCCAACTTGACACGATCGACTGTCAAATTCTCCGCTTCTGGGGCGCAAGCACAACCACATCTGCCGATCAAGGTAGTGCATCACCCGCCTCCAGATTAACCATCCCCTGAAGCTACTTAGTATCTCCATCCCATTCCGACGTTGCTATGCGTTATCCACCCCATCTGTGGTGAGCAACAATGGTGCTCTCGTTGATTACGCTGGCGGCTACAGTGCCTCTGCTCGCCACCTCGACCATTCAGCTTCAGGAGCAGAGTCAGCGGAAACAGGAAGAGGGCGAGCTCGAGCTCAAGACAGAGAAATGCCACCTCAATGGGCGAGCGACAAACCGAATGAGCGCCAAGCGTCGAGAACAGTTTCAGGACATGAGAGTGGTGCTGGATGATGGAAATGTTTTGCTGGAGCCTAGGGGGGCATCGCGGAAACATCCCTTCACTGGCTATCTTCTACCATACCCGGACAAATCCTACGACGGCATCGTCAGCACCATCAATGCCGAAAACATGCTCAACTGGATCTTCATCAACAAGGACACCTACCGACTGCAGTACGGCATCCGGGCTGAGGCCCAACCGCAATGGACTGGCCCGATGACTTTGGTGTCCGGCCAGGCATTGAACGAGTGGAGGATAGCATTTGATGGCTGGGAAGGATTCGTGGCGGTCCAGGAGGACGAAGAAAGGTGGGCCATCTATTTCGACAAGAGTGACAATGGATTGGCGGGGAAAATTGAGGGCAAGGCGGTGGTCGAAATCGAATTGGTCCGAGCACCCCTGGAGGAAGAAACACGGAGTGATGAAGAGCCCGATTGAATCACATCTTCTGGTGGAGATACAGGCGAAAATGATGGCGAGAAGTGGGAGCCAGAATGAGATGCGAACACCCTGATTTGGATCACCCTTCTTTTCCTGGCTCAACCTTTGCCGAAACATAGCAATTGCAGACATTTGGCGAGCCCGGTTGTCTTAGGCGAGTAAGCTTGCAGATCCGGCTGATCTGCGCCCGGAGTGGGCTTCGTGTCGGGTCTTTTTGACGCTGATCAGCCCTCCGTTGACCCGATTCATCTGCACTGTGACCAACTTAACGACCCGCTGTCGATAACCAGTCCGCCTAAACGCAACCAGACCAGAGCTTCAGAGGCCTGAACATTTTTCACCGGTGTGCTTGAGTCGTGTGGAACTGAGGCATCAGCTATGTGACATATGCAGGGTTGTCTATGTCGGACCGCAACACGACGTTAGATCACGACAGCTGTCAATAAAGTCGGGGCTGGGCAAAGGCAAAGGTCCGTGGCATGTAAAATCAGGCAGTTGAGCTCTGTGACGTCTGCCCAACTGCGCGTATAGATCCCACGTAGGCATGTCCTGGCACCAGTTGATATACAGTATCTCGTAGCTGATTGGGTACTGCCACTAGCCTTGCCAACAAGACTTTTCCCCTCTTCCGTGACCTATTCGCTGCCCCAGTGAAGCTGTCCTGTGTAGACCTCACCGCTGAGTGTGCTGTCCTCCTCAAACAAACAATGTCATATTATTGTCGGTCCATAAGTTCAGAGAGGTCGTGCTAAGAGGACTATGTCCTATTCCTTCCCCGGCACGACATATGAAGGAACCGAAAAGTATGGGTTCTATGGGCTAAAAGCCGACATGGGCCAGACCGCATCGCGACCGAAAAAGCAACCAGAGGCGAGTCCGCAGCCTCCGCAAGAGGAAGAAGAAGAAGGATGGGGGCTCTTCAACCATGGCCAAGCGATACCTGCGCCCGAAAGGACCGATTCACAGCGGGCGCATGAAGAAAACTTACCTCCCAGCGAATTTGTCCCAGATAACACAACAGACGCCTCTGGAGAAGATCAGATCCAGCAGCCTTTTGGTTCGCAAGTCGAAGGTACAGATCACGAAAATGAGAATCAGATAGATCCCATCGCATCGTACGCGTCCGGCTTGGCGCACGATGAGCAGGACAAGAAAAGTGACGGTCTCGAACACGAACCAGATCGACCCGACGAGGCGAGTGTACACGGGGAGGCTTCTAACTCTCCTCCCGACGACTCCAGCGAAGAGACCAGAAATGAAAACAGCCAGACATCAGAGCCACACAACATGGCCAGCCAAGAGGTCGGTGACCCAGAGGCAGACCAAACGAAAGAAGACCACAAAATGTCGAAGAGTCCAGATAGACAGGTAGCGGGCCACTTCGCCAACAGCACACCATATACCTGGTTTGATATGGTCATTGACCTCGATGATCCGAAACCCCTCGGACCTGCAGGATACTTCCCTGGACCGATAACATTGCCCGACCTGCCGCCTTTAGGACCACGGACCAGTATTCGAGTGTTTTAGTCCGCTAAGGACGGGGCGAACGGCGGTGATTTGTAAGTGTTCCTCGGATACAAGGAAGACATCACCTCAACCCGACCTCGTCTTTGTCGGAAGAACAGGTCTTGCGCAAATGCGGAATCTAGGTGCGAGATGTTTGATTGAAGAGGGTGTAAATTTTCAAATATCCTGTCCCATGATCGTTCCTCATACCATCATCGCAGTCATCAGCAATTGAATCATCCAATTTTCGGGCGAGCATCAATTCTGAAGGATGCGGGAAGTTCCAGACTACCAGCGTCGCTGGACTCATTGATTTGATCGTCATGCGGTCGCATGGTTGTCCTGTTCGTCCTTTTCCCTCTCCACGAATCGACCGGTTGCTGGAATTTATCCCACCAACCCATTCTGAACATCTCGCTCTGCCAGATACCCCTCTTCTCCCATTCGTCATCCGACCAGTACTCAGAACCGGGGGGCGCCAAACCAGATTTCGGGTCCACAATACGGGAACCCGCGAGCAGGCTTGCCACAGCAGCGATGCTCCCAACAGGTTTAGGCAAGACATTGCGCATATCAACAGTAATGAAGACTACGAGCGCACAGATCAATAACGCTCCGACAACACCCACCAGCAAATGAGTGGACAGCGGCGATTGAACAAGACGAAAATGACGAGGATTGATATAGACGGCCTGCAGAGGATTAGCCACGGTCTCGGTCGCGTTGTTGGATAGGGTAGAGAAGTCTGCCCGGAGGAAACTGTTCACGACTTGAGCCATGTACCGGCGATACAAGTGCGTGTATGACGTGATCAACGTGTTCTCATCCAACAGCTCATTCGTCGGAGTTCCATCCTGTCCATACACCATGGCGTTAAACGTATCGTCAAGCTCATCAGCTGTTGATGTAATATTCAACACCTGGAGCGCGGGAAATCCAGTGTAGTAGTTGGAGAACTTGATCGCCGAGCCAGGGTGCACCATCGGCTCAGTCGAAATTGAAAAGTCGGGCAGATCGAAGCTCACATTGGCCTGTACTCGTTCGAGATATTGCGTGCACAAGACCGGAGTAAAGTGGTCGATTTTGTTGTTAGTAACATGGCCGTAGTACAATGCGAGCGTCGGGCAAGTGTCAAGAAATCCCAACACTAACGTTGAACCGAAGTACCCGGACGTATTTACTGGGACCTGCATTCCTGAGTAGAGCCATGTATTTCCTGCGTTGATAGAGCCAGAGTTCCCACAGCCATCGGGCGTACTAATGTTGGAGACAAGGTTACCACCACTAATAGTGGTGTTCATGATTCGGTCCTGAGGAACGACATTGCATATCACTGCTCCTCGAATCGCCGGTGTATCAACGGATATGGTTCCTCCTCGACCGACAAGCTGATTTGGGTCGTCGTCCACCAGACTAAGTTTGGGGAGCGCGACTTCGGAGTAGGTCCACTGAGGATATGACATGTTGCCCTCAATAACGAGAAGTGGGATATTTGTGGCAGTGTTTATCAACGTGGTCGTATTAAACCAATCCATAGCATTCACCTGGACAGAAATGCCCTGAGTGGTCGCCTTACTGGTGAATAGGCCCGACACGATGATGGTGAGCAGGGGAGCGAGGACAGCCGAGAAAGATGCTGCAGTCAAGGCAAACCGGCTGTGCCGGAGACCGTTATAAGCGGCATGGAGCGATATGTGCCTCAGTGGATACCAAAGCATTGAAGAACTGGCGTCGCAGTCGGCCTTAGCCAGGGCGTGAAAGGACTCGGTGAACTCTATCTCAAAATCCATGAGGTTGAACAGAGTCGCCAGCAGGAGGAAGACCAAAACCGGCACATACAACCATGAGTATCTGGTTGCGCTGTTGTCATTGACGCTCCCCAGTCCGTGATGTGCTTGCGACTGTGACAGAAGGACCTCTAAAGTAATAATAGCGGCGATGGACGCTAGGATAGTACAGGACATGCCAATTCTGCGTAGAATGAAAGGTCGAGTCCATTCGATGTTGCGAGGAACCGGGTCGCCGCGGACAGCTGATCCGTGTATTCCTGATTCGGCGCTGGTGAACATTTGAATCGAGAAGGTTCGTGCTCCATCTTCATAACCAGTAACGGTCATGAACTTGTGCGGAGCCAGAATCTCACGAAGCTCACTCAAGCTTCGGTGGCCAGAACCTCTAAGACGGGCCTCCAATGCTGGGCTGCGAGCAAGAATTGCGGCAACCGCAGCAATGGAGTCAACACTCCTTGGTACCACGCCTCTGGGGCGAACAAATAAGATGATAGTGATGAGCAAGACCATCAACCCGGCGACTCCCTGCATCACCCTGATCGGAATTTGTCTAGCAACGAGACGGTTCTCATCCTTAGAGATGGTTCCTTTTATGGCCGGCCCTGCATTTTCAGATGTATCAGGAAGTAAATAAAGATTTGCAAGTTGTGCTGTGATTTTTTGGTATATTCTGTTCGCGGTAGTATTAAGATACGCCGTATCAAGGAGATCTTCGGCCTTGAAGTTGGCTGTATCTTGTTGCATCATAGTTGTGAAGACATCTAAGACCACATTGGGTGATGTCGAGGTCGAGGTTGAAATTGTAGTGGCTTGTTGCGTCGTTGCCAGAACTCCATTAGCGACGTCAACGGCACTGAGTCCGATGAGGCCACGCGGTTTTCCAGTCAGGTTGACGGATTGGACGTTTCCCTCGGTATCGAGTGTAACCAGCGCCGAGTGAATTGAGTAGGATGGAATGCAGACGATGTTTGACGACTTCAACAAAGTGTTGTTATTCAGGCCAAATCCCTCCGAATATGCAGTGGCAATCATGAATCGGAGCCTTGTAGGATCTTCGGGTGGGAGGTTTGAGCAAGTCACATTCTGCAGTGAAGCTCGATAACCAAAACGATGAGTGGTGTCGTTTTGCTCATAGAACCAATCTGGGGCATCAAGGTATGCATTGAATACCTGGCAGTCCGGAAGTGACACCGATGAGTTGTAGTATGAAGATATCGGCGCATTACTATGTGTGTCAAAAGACGTGTTGTGCTTCAAGATCCCGGATTCGCAGCTGAGATTGGCACTGAAAACATCAACCGTGGCAGAATACGTGAGACTGCCGTTCACGAGTCCATCACTGGGGGCAAAGGTTTGCACGGCGTGCTGGTCAGTCGTACCGACAGGCAGGCTGATATTATAGGCCTTGTGACCGTAGGCGATATACGCAGCCCTCGAGTCGACTGATTCCGCATGATGAAATTGTGTGCCATCAAAGGTGTTGTTCAGGGCCATTGAGGTCGGCACTCCGTTCTTTTGGACGGACTGGAGGCTGAAGATACCGGTGCTCAAGACAGTTATAACCTTGATTAGAACGAAGACAACAATGCTAGACGAGACAGCGAAGTGGCCTCGTCGCAAAGATGTCCAGAGTGATGAGAGCTGGAGCGGCGTGACATAATCCAGGAGAAGGCTGTTCTCTGCTCTTTGATGGCCTTTTGCCATTTCCGCCCAGGGTTGGATTGATTTTGCAGCATAGTCAACCTGACGCCAAAGAACAGTGACAACCACAAACAAAGCTGTTGGGCCGTAAGTCCACAAATAATGCTCGTTATTGTCGCTAGTCGCAACTCCATGATTATTCTGCGAAACGGTGTACACCACTTGCAAGGCAGCAATAACAGCCGCGAAAAAGAGCGCGAAGGTGACCAGGATCCAGTGCCTCAAGAAGAGCGGATCCCATTTTGTGTTCAGCCGATGCTCTCTTTCTTCAGGCTTTGATTCATTCGTGGATTCGAGCAATGCGAAATCTGGAGAAAACTCGTGCTGAATTGGTCTCGGAGCATTTCGAGGGCTTTCTAACTCGATATCAGGGGCAAAGCCATAAGGAGGTTTCAGATTGCCGAGAATAAGGCGCGAATAACCTCTGGGTCGAAAATTATCCATTACAACAGTGTGGACGTGAGCAAAGAAAAGGAAAGAGTTTGGAGCTGAAGATCCTCCGCCCTCCGCTACCTTAAGAGCAACGATGCCATGGCCTATATTGAAAACAAAGAAACGTCCAAAGTTGGATAGTAATGAAGGGGTGGAGATGTGAGGGCGTGAAAGGGGAGGCTCAACAACAATATCTCAGATGGCAGAAAAACATGACTACGTGGGGACGTCGGGTTGGTCGAGTCCCCATTGACGTAGGTCGTACTCCTTATTTGGCTCGTCACACGCTCTGAGAGAGCGATGGGAGCCTCGTCAGGGGGAATTTTGGCCTGTGAAACAAAAGCTCGGCCGCCGTTGCAACCGTACGGGGTTCGGTCTGTCGAAGCGTAAACCTTGGTGATTGGGGAGATGAACTGAGGGGGCAATGAGATGAGGAATGGCCAAAATCGCCTTGTCTGACAGCCCCACCTCGGTCGTTCGCTCAGACATTTGGTTAGTGAGTCTCTAAATTTATCCGTCTGACGCCGACTTCTCCCCCTGGCATTCTCACTTCCATCCCGCTTTTAAAGGATTAGCGCTGGTGGTGTTGGGCCTCATGCCGTTAGCGCCTTGGCACACGTTACGCAGATTGGAGAGCTGTCAGACTCCCAAGTGCGTCTATTCATCACAGGCCACTATCTTTCCTCCAAGGTTGCCGACCAGAGTAGTGTAGGCCGTGATATATGCGTCGGGTTCGAACGCAGATTTTTGCCAACCGCCCGAGTCTCTGATTTCTCATTCGTCTGTGCCACGCTCACATTTTTTGGCCGCTACACCTGTGGCCGCATCAACGAAGAGCAATCTATCGTAGATGCTCCATTGAAAGAATGGTGAGCTCCGACAGGTGTGTGGAAAAAGAGTATTTGCTTTAATGGGCGACACTCCGCGTTTCTTAAGAATCTCGGAGAATGCAGCGCCACACTCTCTCCATCTTGCTGTTTCCGCAATCAGATTGATATCATTGGTGGAATGATCTTCGACTGCTCGACTTTTAGGGGAAGACCAGTTTATGTCGAAAATAGCCACAAGTTGCCAGTCTCTATCCTACTTGCTACGTCGACCGTGGAAAAGGGGGGGTCATCTTGAGGTCGGCCATATCAGTGAATACCTGCTTGATGGCTTCCTTGGTGCTCACGAAGCCGTGCCACCCCAACTTGCGATTGCGGTCCATGCTGAGAACTCTAGCCCAGCCACCGAGGATCTCCCCATCAATGAGCCCAAAAGTATCCATGGACTTATCACCGAAGGGGCTATACTTGAGCCCATGCTTTGCTTTCAATTCCTCCCATGCTTTCAACACTTCGGGCTTCTTGCTCCACTCAAGGAAACTAAATGACGCCTTCACAATCCCTGGTCCGCCAAATCCACGAGGCGAATCCGGATATGGCATGGTGATCGTTGCGTACGCGTCAGTATTGGTGGCTGGTCGACCTGCAGATGTTTGGTACCAGTCGGCAAGTGTTGGCCAGAACTTTCCCCAGGCAAAGGCACTATCGTCGCACTGGTTGAGCGCCTTGTTACCGGCCTCGGGCGTCAAAAGTGCCCACTCAGCATGGTATGCGATCAAAGTGGACATCGATTGCTGCTTGACAGCGTCCCATGCCGCCACATCCGCTGGAAACTCGAGAGGAAGTCCCAGATGGGCCTGAATGGCTGCGTAAATCGACAGAGGCCACAATATATTCATGGCTGCGCTTTCAACAGCGCCAAGAATAAAGCATGGCCGGGTAACCACCCAGCTGCAGTTGTTGTCTTTGCAAAACTCCTCCAAGAGGTCCTCCTGGGGAAAGTAAAAGTTCCCCTCGATTCCGTGCCGAGCATCTTCTTCTTCCATCGGTATCGCTGTTGGTCCAATCTGCAACCCATAATACTTTGCACCCGTCTGAAGCAGGATACGCTTTGGAAATATGTTTGCCAGTGGCAGGGCACCGAGGAAGTTGGACAACAAGGCCATGTTCTGCTTGGTCGATTCTTCAATGTCGCTCCACAAGCTCCGGCCCTCGAGGGGAGGTGGTTGGATGTATGATGCGAAGTACACATAATCCCTACCTCGTCAGCGAGATCACTGGGGTGGAGAAGACTTACGCTGCAACATTCTTGTCCTTCAGAATCTGAGCAATCTGTTCTGGGGTGCTCTCAAGGAAATCCGCCGAGATATGCTCGACACCAGGCGCAGTCTGGCTGGAGGGAGGGCGACGTGACAGAGCGTAAACCCTCTCCCATCTCTCGGGAGCCTCACTCAGCACCTTGGTCATTGCCGATCCCGAGATACCATTCGCTCCTGTCACAATGATGCGCAATTTCTTCCCGTCGTACTCTGGAAAGGTCGGAAGACCATGGAAGATTCCTTTGGAAACGACTGTTCGCGACATTTTCACTATCCTGGAATATTTTGTCGAAAATGAAAAGAGATGGGAAAGGAGGAGGTTTCGAGACTGGGACCCAGCCTTTATATCCCAGAGGTGCCCGCAAGCACTGATCCATATTCAGTAATTGCAGCAACGCGGGTATTTTGTGCAATGCCATAACGAGGGTCCTAGTCAGTGTTACATTTGTCGAGGTTGCGGGTTAGCGCCTTGAGCAATGCGCAGTACGATACAAAGTGCCACACAGCATTCTGCTCATCTGCTCCTACTACCAATCCCTGAAAGAGGAAATATCCATCACCGGTCACGTGGATGGCTGTCCGCCCCTTTCCACTTATTGTTCCTTGACATACATGATGACTACAAATGGTTGGCATTAGACTCAAAATCAGCCGCCATTATTAAGCACGCTTTGACCGACAGCTTGGTGATTGGGAGTAGCAACAGCTCGATCAAGTAGCCATGCCGACTGCTCGCGGAGAAGACGGTGTTTCGGCACATTGGCCAGCAATTGACACGGATGCATATCGGCTGGAGCAGCGTCAACAGGTCAGAAAGATGCTCTTCCCATGAATTACACTCGGACTTCCGATTGTGACATCCCAATTCAAGGGTTGGCTAATCGACAGAGTCGCGTTCATGAATGGTGCATGGGTGTTGCTCAGTACATGCTGCAATTCTTTATTGACCACTTAAACAAGCGCAAAGACATTTTGGCCCTACAGTTACCCACTGAGATCTCGGCCGCTATCGATGAAAACCCTAATCACCAATTTGGGCTGGGACCGAGATTTACAGGTGAAAACGACTCGACAGAGAACACGCCAGGCAAGAAAAGCAGCTACATTATGGGTGTAGGGCTCTATTGTTTTCTAAAAATGTCTCTCATTGAAGAAAGCCTTCTGGTAGCTGGTGGGAAGAAGATGAAGAGAGGCGGATTGGGGAGTTGACTCCCTGAGTCCTCCATCGATCTTTGCCTCTGTAATCATCAGCCAGAAGCAACGTCGAATAACACGTTAGGCTACATTCAGGCACATTCTCATTGCATTTATGGCGAATCAGATGGTTGGTATAGCCTCCAAATTCCATGAGCTATGCTGAATGTCGGAGAGCTCATCCAGGAACCGGCCAGGATCGCTGACCCTGCCTAATCGTGCTATTGGATTATCAAGAAGGAGAGCATATGAGAGGTCCATCAGGAATCGTCCGTCGACAGCAGTTGGATGTGATTGCCAACTCAGCATTCACCTTTCTTGACTATTAGACCGAGATAGCGGTCCCCAGAAGGCACATGTCGGAGTTGTCCTCAAGTGGGGCGTCGCCATTTGTGGCACGAATATCAGCTACACGGAGCATCCTCCGCTTGACTTGAAGGGCGTGGACCAATGTAAGCCTCGACCATTCTTGAAGCCTCAGGTATTAAAACAACGAGAAATTTACAGAATCCCCTCGCGTGAGGCGGTCGAACTGTACAAAACTCTGCATAAGAACTGCAATCCCCACATCGTTTCAACAGAGGGTTTGGAGACCACACTACCATGGCGAACCGCGGACGGACGCTGGACCCCGAAGTTTTCTCGATCAGAGATCTGAAAGAGAAGGCGTCGAAAAAACTACCAAAGATGTATCGAGGTTAGATAAGCCACGTTTCCGTTTGTTCAAAGTCGAATAACATGTACAGAGTACTTCAACGAGGGCGCTATGGATATGATAACGTGAGTCTGCTACACTGAGCTACTGTGGCAGATGAAATTTGTCACGTCAGCCAACGCTTCCTTGTCGGCAGTCTTCGAGACAATGAGGCAGCCTTCGACAGATATCGTATACGACCCCGCATTCTGCGCAACGTGTCCATGGTCGACACGAGCGCCACAATATGGGGAAGCAAGGTGTTGTTTCCATTTGGGTTTTCTCCCGCGGCTATGCATCGACTTGCTCATCCAGAGGGCGAAGTGGGTACTTCAAGAGCCTGTGCAGCTCTGAATGTCGCCATGGGACTCAGTGCCTACTCGAATGACTCGCTTGAAGACGTCATCCAGCAAGCCGAAGGGAAGACGAACCCCTATGCGATGCAGGTCAGTCTTTTGAGGAGTCGAGAGCTGACTGTACAGTTGTTGAAGAGAGCTGAGAGTATGTGATGGTCCCTTCAAGTGATGATCGATAAATCCTGTTTTCCAGTCCCCGACTGCGCTCTGGGCGTGACTAACCACCCGCACAGAGGCGGGCTACAAAGCTATCCTTTTGACAGTTGATGCGCCAATGCTGGGACGACGATTGAATGAATTCCGCAACTCTTTCGCTATGCCCAAGGGCACCACTTATCCCAACATTGCCCCAGGGTTGGACATGAGTAACTTGGAAGGAGGAGACAATGAACTGGCGTATGGTACGTTCCACACTGCGCCGTCTTCGGCGCACTTATTGGCGACGTCTCACGCGGGCTAATGGCCTTGGACAGAGAATGGAGTGGACTGGGACGAAGCCATCTCTTTCGTCAAAAATCACACCACCCTCGAGCTGTGGATAAAAGGACGTATGTCAAAACTCCAGGAAGGGGCTTTGTGAGACTGACACCATCTATTCCAGTCTACACCGCGGAAGATGTCGTCACTGCGATCCAGTACGGCTTGGACGGTGTTGTCATCTCTAACCACGGCGGACGACAACTTGACAGTGTGCCTGCGACGTTGGATGCCCTCCGCGAATGCGCCCCTGTGGCGAAAGGTAAGATCAAGATTGCCATCGACGGAGGGATCCGCAGAGGGACAGACATCTTTAAAGCCTTGGCTTTGGGCGCCGATTTCTGCTTCGCCGGCAGAATCCCAATCTGGGGGTTGGCTGTGAGTTTCTTCTCCGAATTATGTCTGCAATCTCCCGGCGCTGACCATAATCATATATAGTACAACGGCCAGAAGGGGGTCGAGCTGGCCATCCAGCTTCTGTATGACGAATTCAAACTCACAATGGGTCTAGCTGGGTGAGTTGTCAACCCTCCGTCACAAGCCATTCAGCACCTGTGTGGCTGAGAGACCTTTTCGTTTCATCCAGGTGCAAGACAATCTCCGGGATCAATCGCGGACATCTCTCAGTCCTGGAGAGCAATGGTGTCCTGTCAAAGCTGTGATTGTATGGGGATAAGGGCCTCTTTTGCACAAGATGCAGTCTTCAATGATGATCCGTCAGGTGCAGAAAAGGAAGACGAAAACTTCGGCCGACGACGTACTGAGAGCAACAAGGAGCGGCCAAGTTTCCCAAGTTTTTCAAGTTGTGATTGAATTGCGATATCAATGAGGTTGAGATGGTGAGAGTTGCGGTTCGGAAAATATGTTCATCCGAAAGCCCGAAAAGGCTGCTGTCCACCATCCGGACTTCAATCTCGACGTCTCATTTACTTTGACAATTTCGTCTCGACAAGGATACCAGCATCGGGCAAGAGTACTTTGTTCCATTTTCAATGGCCACATGCTGGAACTTGCCTCTTTCTCCCAACCAGGTGTTTTCAATTATGGCTAGACCGGCGCTGCCTGTAATTTCTCCAGCCCTCCAACGTAACCTTACATTTTCCCAGGTGTCAATACACATCGAATACTATCTCTTGTGGCGGAAGAATTCTCGCAAGGAGGGATATGTAATGGCAATGTGTTGTGGCCTTGCTCTTCAAAGCATGCCCTTCCCATTAGACGTCTCCCTATGCGACTTCCCCAAGTTGCGTTGGCACGTTCAAGATAGTGAGTGTCTGCCGCTTTGTCGCACTTTCCCAATTTGCAGGGCCAGATTCTGGTTCGCAATGGAGATGGAACTGCTACAGCATTGCAGCTTCCCAATGCGCCTGGATAGAGAGCCAGCAAGGAGCCACAGCTCTGCTTTCTCCCCTCCTCTCTCTTTGCGTCTCTTCATCGCCGTTGTTAGTTGGACTTCTAGACCGCTGATATGCAGCTCTTGGATTGATTGGTATACTTTGAAAGAATTAGCCCAGAACCATCCACCCATCACCTGGTCCTCAGTTTGGGCTTGTAGAAGTCCTTGCTTGTTTTCGTGGACATATCGTGGCGATTGAACAACACTGTTGCCACAAAGCCCTCGAAGTTTGTCATACCTTCTCTCCAAACTGCGTCGCCCTTCTGTCTGCGGCTCTCCTGTGGCTGCGTATTTGGTAGTCAATACGCGTGATGTCTTGGAAGTTGGCCGAGTTAAGGTGGCGTCAAGATGTTGGCTTGAATGAGAGCTGCTGGGAACGAAATGGCAGAGCAGGCCTAAATGACCGCCTTGAGAGTACAAAGAGCAAAGGGCCCGATGGCACAAAGCGTGGTCGTTCCTATACTGCTCCATGGTGCCATGTCGTGTTGGAAAAGAGTCCAGCCGAAACCTCTGTCAACAACAGAATTCGGCCGGACCCGGTACCACTCGCGTTGGCCACCAGTCTGTCAGACTCTTCAACAACTCCTCTTCTTCGAAGCAACCAGGACAAAACAGACATTTTGACAGGTCATCATCACTCCCTCTCAGCCATTGATCAGGACAACACGCAGACAGGTCTGTCGCTCAATCACTTCCAGAGTCCGTGTCGACCCACCTCATTTCCACGCCGGACCATCCTTTGTCCAGGGCTTTGCGAGACTGAGCGGACTTGCTCCTCACAAGACGGTGTGTTCTTCTCTTGAGATGTCGACAGAGAAGTCACTGATGATTTGTAGGCCATCAGTCTTCGCCAGATGGTTCAACGTCGCCTTTGCAGCCCGACGAGAGCAGCGCACACGACCTGATTAGACAACAACTGAAAAGTCTGTCGCCGCCATTGCCAAATGTGAGTTTCTCTCTTAATCCCCTTTCCAAGGATAGGCATCTCACAATAGTCGGCAGAACACCAACACGGATCTAGAGTTCTCGAATCGAGTTAAGTCCGAATTTGTTCGTCCTCCAAGTTTTGGGCTCCAGTTCTGCAAGCCAGACCGGGTAGTTGGGGACAAACCAGAAGGAGAAGGCCTGGATATCGAACATTGCAGTGTCTGGAGACAGAGCCATTGTTCATCAAGCCCTAGACGCGCCTCAATAGTATCAACCCATCATTCAGATTCAGCTCTCCTGCAAAACATCAGCATGGACATTCCAACAAGTCATTCGAGTCCCGAGCCACGCACAACGCGACCCCTTTATCCAGATCTGCCTTCTGCTTATGCACAGATTCAAGGCCGTAGAGCTACCAGTCTCCAGCCAGTCTCGTTTGATAGAAGCGCAACCCGCTTCCCTCTCAGCCCAGCAAGCTCGTCTTCCGAAGAAGATGGTTATCGGGATCCGGCCATTGATGGTGATTCTACACCACCGAGGATCCTACCGTACCGAGAAGTCCATTCCGCTCAGGCAATTCTGCATGAGGCTGATCATCACCAAGAGTCCAGCGCAGTATTTGAGAGTTCAGAGGACAACAGCGACCATGACTTGGACTGGAACAGAGCCTCGACCACATTGGACGACATCGTCTCTCAATATGCAGATTCCAGGCCCGGTGCCTCTTACATACGTGATGACAGAATTGAAAATGGAGGACATGTTGAGCCCGACCAATTGAACCCCACCAGAGACCGCGAATTTGCAGGTGATGTCGCTTGCTTTTGGACGCCAATGACACGACCAGGCGATGTTAACTTGGAAAATCAATTCCTCGGATCTTACAGACATTGCGCAGGGGACCAAATTCCTCGAAACCCCGGTAGCTTTGGCGCTGTTGACGACGACGACGAAGAGTGGGTAACGCTGCCAGAGAGTAGTCGAAGCGGTTTTCTGACTCCCTCGAGGCTGCGATTTCGCCTGGTAAAAAGAGAAACTGGAGAGACGTCCACTTCCAATCTGACCTCCAGAAGAAGCCCTGCGTCACCCTGGGATCCGCTCTCGAACACAACGCAGTCCAAGACACGCCCTCAACAACGACACAGAGGTCCTCTGAACCCAGATCAACATCAACGTTCTCCTAGCTCACAACCGTACAGAGATCAAACCTCACGGTTCAGACAATGGTCACACAAGGGATCACAGTCTCTGACGACAACCAGTCAAATCGCAGACGCTGATGAACGAAGCTGTTGTCTGGATTCTGCGGGCGCCTCTACAGCCAAGGCACAACACCTTAGACCGCGCCCTCTCAACCAGATATCTTCATCACTTCTCATCTCTCAGTCTCGTTCTGCACAGTCTACCACTTTATCATCATCTCACCGGATCGAGGTTGCTCTTCCATCAAGTTCGTTGCTTCCAGGAATCCCAGATCACACCCATTCATCAAGCTTGCTCTCTCCTCAAGCCATGGCAATCTTGAACAGTACACCAAGAGGATCGATAGCAGATCAGAATTTTACGATACCTTCTGTCTATGATGACTCGGTCGACGTCAGCGATAGAGCGATGGCAAACTCTCAGAACGTAAATCTTCCTCTGAATACTCGAAACATCGCTGCCAGCAACAGAGGCTTTGTTGTTGAACATGCTGAAGCATCTGGATCAGCCGTTGCTCTCGACCCTTTCTGTTCACCCTCTATCCATGGTCTCGTTCCACGCCACAGAATTGGGAAACAATACGTTTCCAGCCGAGAGGCGGAAATTCTGGCGGCTCGACAGTACAACACAGGTGGTTACAGACTCAACGACGCCGAAATCTCTCGCTTTCTCAGAGATAGTCGCCGCCTTCGCCAAAGATTTGGTGATAGATATGAACACGAACGCAACGGTGTCTTATTCGGCCGACATGGAACTCTAGCCACCGGAAGCAGCCTTGCCAATTTATCATCCGATTCAACCACCTTGAACCGTCTGCGACACGCTCGAGATCTATCTCCCAGCAGTAACTACTCTACCAGTGATGACCCTGCCGGAATTACGAGCCAAGTGACACGCAAATTCAAGCAATTCCTCACCCGCACTGGCGGTGGGATTACCGACGGTACAAAATCCGAGTACTCGAGTCTCGGAAGCGTTCACACCTCAACCAACAGCACCTCTCGCTCTCTGATGCTTCAGGAGTTAGAGAAGAGCTTCAATACCTCCGACCCGGTCATATCTTGTGACCGGTGCCCTGCCTTCCCTCTTGCCCCTGAGATGCTGGGAGCCCTGCGCCTCGAGAACTTGGGCCGTGTCCCATTTGAGCGTGTACAGCTCTGGGACGACGGCGAATGGCTTGAGAAGGGCTGGTGTTTCCTGCACGGGCGCGTGGAATACAGCCATGCTGTGCTTGTTGGCAACGAGGCTGCCGTCAGCGAAGACCTTCGGTCTGTCCAGCGTACAGCTGGCAGAATCCTGTTGGTCTTCGGGGTGGCGACGTTTTTGCTGGGTGGGTGGACCCTGATCCGCTCGATCGGGGGGGGAGGCTCTCTGGCCACTTCGGCCATGGCCGATTTGACGAGGTTGTTGGCGGGTGGGAAGGGGGAGGAGGGAGTGGTGTGCTGTGTGCATCCCAGGGACGCAGCAATGGCGCAGGCCATTGAAAAGGCGGCGGTGTCGGTCGTGGTGTTGGTGGTTGTTGGTGTTTTGGCGGTGCTGTGTTGGGCGGCGGTGACCAGTTAGGTGGTGCACAGAGGTTGAAGCAGGCGGGCAAAAGCCCTTAAAATCAGGATGATTCAATATGAATGGAAGCGTCACCATCTTTTTTCTTTCTCCGTATCGTTTGTTTGCGACGTTTATCTGCCTGTCATGGTAGTGGCGAGACTTCCATGGTTGAACTGTGGTCAAGAATACGCCCTGAGACCAGCAAATATGTGACTATGTGCCGAAGCATTGCGTCAGACACAAAGAAGGGAGGCACAGGCGCATGGTCTACATTGACCTCCAGGAGGATGTGAAAGCTAATATTTGCATGACACAATGAGAATGGCGGCACGGACCTGGGCGACGATGCTATTGTACAACTATCACGCTAAGCTGAAGAGTGATAAGTGACCGACCGACTAACCGACTGACAGTCGAGTGATTGCTACTCCTCATCGACGACATATCCAAGGGCCTGGCCCATCTTCACCTTTTGTCCCTTCTCGACCGCCCATCGGAAGCCAGGCTTCGCCTCGGTGCCCGCGGGCGCCTCGAAGACCAAGACGACGCTGCTCCCTAATCTGAATCCGCCCATCTCTTCACCTCGGCGCAGGGCATGCCCACCGAGCACTCTGCTCGCCCTCTCGTACGTGGCCTCGCTGAAGCCTGAGTACGGCTCACCTCGTTCCGCGGCGGCAGCGGCTTGTCTGTCCGCCTCTGTGTCTGTGGTGAGCGAGTTGGTGCGCAGTTCCTTGTCAAAGTTGATCACGATGGAGCCGACGTTCGTGGCGCCCACGGGGACGTAGGAGAAGAAGCCGTACTTCCACCTCCCCAGCAGCACGACGCGTTCGTTCAAGGTGAACAATCCCGGAAGCGTGCGTTGAACGTACGGACTGACGGAATATAGTTCCCCCGCGAAGTGGCGGCGAGCCGTGCACACCCAGCTCACCGGCGAGTGGAAGCGATGGTAGTCGCCTGGCGCGAGATAGACGACGGCGTAGTACAGGTTCGAGGATCGAGCCGGTTGGGAGAAGATAGACCACCAGGGCTGCGTGCTCGCCAGGTCGGCCGAGACAGCCGCCTCAGATGATGGCGCCGAGGTCATAGAGGCATCCTGAGTCTGGACTGGACTTGAAGAAGACTGTGATCCCGAGAACAGGTTGGGAAGTGTGTACGAGATGCCGTTGACGTTGGCGAATTCTTCGTCGGCTGAGATGGATGTTGCATCTGTGCTGCTATCTGATGAATCTGAAGGCGTCTGATCCTTTGGTTGTGCGGAAATTCGCGTACCGGGAGAAGAAGGTGGTGTAATTCTCCCCAGCAGGGCGTCGACAGAATATGTCATTCCCTTGACTTGTTCGACTTCGCCGTTCTCAATTGTACCGAATTGGAGGACTCTGGCGTCGGCGGGTGAGAGGACTGCATTGGGGTTTGGGTCAAGGGGCCGGATGCCAGGCTTTATCTCACGGTAGAAGAAAGCAGACAGGTTTGGGTAGACGTGGAGGTCCGGTTCAGCTATCTCATCGAAATTGACACCAAAGATCCAGCCGTAGAGCTTGAAGCCGGGGACACGGAGGTAATAGGGGATGGTGAGCTCATTGAACCGGCCCCAGACTCTCGAAATGGCCTTCAAGGGGAGGGTGGACATGATCTGGACCTGCCAGCCGCCTCCTGATGGATGGATTCTCTTTCTCTTGGGGGGGTGGGTTCATTGTCCTGGGCAGCGCCTTCTCTTTGGCGAATGCGTATAAATTGAAACAGCCCTAGAAATGCAATGCCCAAGCCAACGGGGATCGGCTTCCATTCTATGCGTGTGGACCGCCATGCTTTCCCCAGGCGGGAAGAGAAGCTCTCATGGTCTCTTTTCTTCTTCTCTTCCTCCCATAGCCTCTTGCTGTTCGAAAAGGTCCGGCGTTGTTGTAATGGTAGACGGACATGGAGGGGTCTGGATTGCAGAGGCCGAGACGGGAACGCTTCGGCGGGAAGCTGTCTGTGCTGGGGTGGCAATATCGACCGGCGATAGAGACACGACCTGCCCACTTGCGCAGCAGCGGCAGCCATAGTTTGTGCAGTGGGGTTCAGAAGTGAAAGAGGATTGTTGGAGGATAATGGACGGGCAATGACACCATGAACATAGATAGAATCTGGAATCTGGGGAGTCACGTGGGAGTTTTCTCTGCGAATGCACAATGACGCAGGCAGGTGTCGCCAATACTTCTGATTGGCTCGTTCACGACGCGTCTCAGACTGCGCAAAGGATCTTGTCCTTCTGGCCTCTTCATATTCACCAAAACTCAACACATTCAGTATTCCTTCTCTCCAGCATGTGTTTGTGATCTCATCATGGCTTCTTCCTCTTCGTCTTCTTCTTCGTCTACGTTTTCTGGCTCGCCGCCGCCGCCGCCGCCCGATCAAGCTCTACCGGATCCGGATCATGTGAACCTGCGAATCATCTACCTTGTTACGGGCAACCCGCGGCCACCACATCATCTGGGGAGACTCGATCTGAATACCACCGTATTGGTGCTCAAGGAGAAAATCCAGTCTGAGCTGCCTGAGCATCCGTCTCCGTCCGAACAGCGACTCATCTACCAGGGTCGTCCTCTGCTCCGAAATGATGCTAACTTACGAGAGATCCTCAGAATAGAGGTATGTGTACCGAGGATATTGGTGGCAGATACACTTCTGACCGGTGCTTCTTTTGTTTAGCACGGTGTTGTACCTGATACCCTTCCGTACACAATCCATATCGTCATTCAGCCTCAGCAGAATCCTTCCCAACCGCAGGCATCGTCGAACCCCATTCTGAACCCTCCTCCGCCACCCCCTATACACCTCCATCACGGACACGCAGACTTGACAGGCCCCCTCAGAGCTGCAGAAAATTCAGCCAACAGACTTCAGGAGTCGCTCGTCCGCATACAGCAGCAGATTGAAGCCAACAGAGCTGAGTTGAGATCTGTTCAGCACAGAATAGCGGTACAACACACCAGTCTGGGCACACCTCCAACTCTCCTCAACGGTCAAGTTGCTGTCACCGGCCCGGTGCTGCCTGCTCCTCATCCGCAGACCCTTTTCGTGAACCCCCTAGTTAACCATGGTTTCGACAACCAAGCACCGACCCAACGACGTCCAGCCGGAGTACAAGCACACCTCCGCTTCCAGCCTCATGCGATACCAACTCTCCCTCCACAACAGCCCGGGACCGTACCACTGGGTCAGCCTCGACTGAATGGTGTGGAATTGCATGGACCGAACGGAGAACACATGATGGTTGTGGCATCAGAACAAATGAGTTTTGTGTTGCCTGTGAATGGCATAGGCCCAGGAGGCCCAGGCTCCGGAACTGGACAGCAACCCGCTGCACAATCCCAACCACAGCCGAATCCTACCACCCAAGCGCCACAAAACGGCATCCCTCTGCCTATGCAAACGCCCTATGTCCCTCCTGCCAACTTACTTTCTTCGATGCCGTTGCCGCCCATACACGTCCCAGTGTCATTCGCACAAAATCGCCCCAGTCCCCCACGAGTGCCAGATCCGACAGCCTGGCTGCTATGGTCGCCAGCCGGCCCCGAAGGGTTCTTGTTTGCTCCTGGCCATGGCTTATTTACTTCGGAGCCCCCGAGCCAGTCGCAACAAGCTGGGGGTGTGACAAATTTTCCATCTCAGACGAATGGCACAAACCGAACAGGTGCATCTCATCAGGCAGAAGCAAATAACCAGGGTCGGCCAAATGCAATCCGTGCAATAGTACGAGCTAATCAGCCTCAACCCGACCTGCCGCAACCTGGTGCAGCTGTGGCACAAGCACAGCAAAATGGAGAAGACAATGACCTCTTCGCATTCATCATCAACCGAGGGTGGCTCTTCTTGCGCCTCTACCTCTTCATGTTTGTTTTCTCCGAACCGGGCACCTGGAAGCGGTGGATCATGATTTTTGTTGCCGCAGTCGTCTGTCTACAGCCTCGAGATGGTCCCCTCACTCGACTGTTGGCAGCGGCTCGCCGCCATCTTGACAATCTGATTGGACCCCCTCCACCGCAACCTCCACCAGAAGCTGCGACTCAACGACGAGATCCCGCGGCAGACACATTTCGAACTGCGGTCACTGCACAACGTCCCGCTAACGTCCGTGGCGCCACAACGATGACTCCGCAAGAAGCAAGAGCTCGACTCGAAGAGCAGCAGAACCCCGAACCACGCCCCTGGCGAGACATGCTATATCGTGTCGAGCAGAGTGTAGCTCTGTTCCTCGCGAGTTTGATCCCTGGCGTGGGAGAGCGTCACGTGCGAGCACGAGAGGAAGCGAGAAGGGAAGAGCAACGTCGCGTCGAAGAAAGAGGCCGCGTGGAGAACGAATCTGCGGCGCAGAGGCAAAATGGAGACGAGGCAGAAACCTCTGCTAGTGAAACGCACGCTGCATCTGCAGAGCCGACAAAGCCCGAAGTCACCATGGGAGGACCTGGAGAACAGAGTACGTCGACCTCGGTCCAGGTCAGAGACGGCGAAGCCGAATCTGGCGAACTACGGAATAGAACTTGACTTCAGCCTGTCAGCAGCGCCGCGCCGTAGCTCTGAACTGAACATGTGCTTTCTACGATGCGATGTGCTCGTTGAAAATCAGGGTCAAGGCCTCCGAAAAGTTTACATCAAGTCGAAGTTTAGGGACCATTGGAGGGACAAGCGCAATGTATTGAATGGCATGACGATGCCCATAATGAAACCATTTTCTATTCCCATAAATCCATACTACGAGACACTTTCGGCTGATGGGAGCATCGCCGGAATTCTCAACGTCATTAAAAAAAAGGTATTCTGATTGCCAGCGGAAGCCCGCTCCCTTTCTATACACGCCCACACACAGAAGGTAACCAACCAACCGAGACACCGAGCTATGCTATGGAAATTACCAGGTAAAGCGACACAGTAGATTAGATAGATGGCTAGATGGATAGCCTACCGAGGATGTAAGAGTCGTGCTCGGAAAGACAAGCTCGTGCGCGAAATCCTGCCCTGGCCTGGAGCCACGCCAGCATGATGGTGGAGGATATTCCAATGTCTCTCCACCTGCGATGGATGTTGTAGTTGTCGTCATTCAGGGAGTAGTCGTCGTCGTCGTCTGCTGCTGCTGCTGCTTTGGTTCTCCTCTCCCCTTCTTCTGTTCGGGTTGCTGCTGCTGCTGCTGCTGCTGTTGCTGCTTGGGTTTCCAGCCGCACCCGCTGAAGATCTCGCGCTTCAGCAACTCCCGCACCTCCACGTTGGCGAAGTGCAGCGTGGCCAGGGCGTCCTGCAGGCTCGGGGCGCCGCTCGGGTAGATAATGTGCAGGCCGGAGTCCAGGGCCGGGTCGGGGCGGAATTTGTCGTGGTAGGCCTTCTTGCCGCCGATGGGGAGGTGGCGGAACGCGCGGCGGTAGCAGGACTTGGTCAGCGCGGTCGTGGGTCGCGACAGGCCGGTGACTTCGTCGAGTTGCGAGGCCGGCTCGAAGCCGAAGCTGAGGTAGCCGATGCCGGCTTGCTGGAGGAGGGACATGGCCGAGAAGACGAGCAGGTCGGTGATGCCTTTCGGCGCCGTCGGGGTCGCACAGTAGGGATCGATATGGTAGCCCTTGTTGGCGCCGATCTTTCGCAAAGCCGCGAACCCATTGCACTGGCCTTGTTGGTCCGTGGTGTACAGGTATGTCATAAGCATAGGGATAGCGAACGGGTCGAACACCGTCATGTATGCCTGTGGCTGGCCGGATTGATTGCGGGAGTCGCGCCACAAGTCGTACACTTGTCGTAATTCCCGTTCTAGAGCCTCGTCGCGCCCCTGAGCCGGAGCATATGCATGGACGGAAATTCCACCTTTTTCGGGGTCGAGGAGCTGTTTGTTTTGCGTGATCATTCTCCTCTGTTCCTTCTCTTGCAGGACGGGGTTGTCGAGAGGATTGAGGACCCGCTCGGTGCCAAAGCGCATGGTCACCCACTTCTGTTTGCTCGCATATGACGCGAATTTGTCGGTTGCGCCAAGAAAGACCATGCCCCAGCGGCGTCGTTTACGCAGGCGTCGAAATTCTTCCAAAAGACGATCGTACTCAGCAGGTTCACACAGAGGATCGCCTCCGACCACCGCAACATTGTTCCTGACCTTATAATAAAGTGCTGCTTGACGATCTTTGGTCATGAAGAACCGGTAGCTGGGGTCTAGGATCCCCATGTGGGAGACTTTGCCGAAGCGCTCGACAAGGGAACCCAGGGCCGAAATGGCCGTGAAGTCGTCGAGGGTGAATGTGTGGATGTCGTTGTTCTTTCTTTTTGGGTATGTAGGAATATGATTGAGGCTCGTACTGGAGTCGTTGAAGCTCACAGTCATGGAGGTCGATATGCATTGCTGGTGCTCACAAACATCATGGACTGGTGAAAGTATGCCTCGCGAAGAAATCGACGTGGTGACGACGGTCGTGCTGCTTTGGTTAAAGTCGATGAATCTTGGTCCCAACAAGGCATCACCCTTGAGGAACTGAAGGCGCTGTATGATGTTCATGGAGTCAATGTCTCTGGCCTGGGTCATAAGTATTTGCGCCAGGCCTCCGCCTAGATCTTCGGAAAGGAGATTTTTTGCCCGAGGCATCTGAGCTGCTGGCTTCTTGCGTGGTGCTTTTGACTTGGCCGCATTATTGGAGGTCTGTGGCTGCCTACGAGCCTGTAGGGTGTTTGTAGTTTCGGTTTCTACATCTGGAAAGGAAGCCATGTTGCGTTGGATACGTTCTCCTTGTCAATGCTGAGCTAGAAGTGAATGATGCTGGTGGTAGAGGTTCAGAAGTGTTGGGTCTGGGGAGGACAAAGGAGATTAAAGGGTTTGCATTGACAAACGGGTGCCTATTTGAACATTACCAGTGTAAGGTATGCTGCTCCACCCAGCTGATTTTCGAGCCCTCTTTCTGTGACATCTGCATGGTGATTCGGCTCTAGAGGCATTTGTGTCGCGTGCAACAGCAGCCCTGCAAGTGAGCGTCACCAGGCTCGACAAGTCAACAACGGCCGAGCACGGAGACATCCAAATTTGGAGCCAAAGAGACCTCACGCTGCATGTCGCGACCTACCATCTCGCCCATCGGCAGACTGATTCATTGGGTTTGCCGCGCAATCTGGAGGCTGGAGCGTGGATGGAAGTATCGAAAGACCGAAGCAAGCCACGCAAGCATGCAGGGGCGCAACGTCAGGCAGAAGCGATTTGATTGGTTGCGCGCGTTGGCCGACCACGGGAAGAAATAGGTTCTGAACCCATTGAAGAATGGCTGTTGCTTGATCTGACTTCGCTCGTATTCACTTACTGTAAGCAGATGCCACTTTCTGCGGGTGGGCGCCGGAATGATCAGGCTCCCTTCCGCCTGCAATGAATAATAGCTTCAGCCCTCCCTCTCCTCCTGCAGAAGCCCTCAACGGTTTAGCTTGGGGATATTTTCGGGTGAATCTGGTTGGCGAAATTTCGGGTCTTCAGCCTCGCAGAGGGCCGCTCAGGCGACCTCTTTTCTTGCCAGCGCACGTGCGCACGTATTCGGGATTGGTTCCTCGTACTCTTTTCCCGTCGTGTTCCAGAAGCCACCGAGTCAGTTGGCAACTCGAGCTCCTGAGAGTTTCTCCGGTCAGCAGTGATCAGTCAATGTTATCCTTGTTCCAGTTGTGATGCCCAGGGGGAGTGACTGCGAATAGAATCAGATCACTCCTTGGAAAGATGGTGTTCGAGTCTTACCTCTTTGCTGTCTACTATACATTAGGGTGCACAGCTGTATGCTGGCGCTCGATCTATGGCAGCTCCAAGCATGGAATGTGAGTTCCGAGTATCCACAGGCTTTTTTTGTGTCTTAGCAATCTTTGTAGGAGGCGGATCGAGGGTGATGGTGTGCCACTACGTGGACTTGTGAGGTTGAATAATCAGCAATCATGGAACCGTATTGGTTTTGGGGAGCTGCAGCTTGGCCGTGAGCAGACAAAATGTTAAGGACTTGGGACTGGCTGAGGTCTGAACATGTGGGCCGGCGACAGACAGAACAAGGAGGGGTTGTGCTGGTCGTGGTCGTGGTCGTGGTCGTGGTCGTGGTCGTGGTGTTGGGTGCAAACATGTTCAATTCGCCTGGTTGAACACTGAAGCCCTTTGGACCCCATGTAAAAGCGGCGATTTGCACTACCTAGTACGGTCCGAGCCACTGATGTCATTGACTTTTGGCCCTTATCGAGCCTCACTAGGCCCCTGGGAGCGCCCATGAGCCCCGCGAACCCGATAGCCCATCAGGGCTGGTGCGTCCTTAGACATAGCCTAGAGAGCCTGGACATGGCGCCGTCACGCATTCGGCCGCATGGCCCCTACCATCATCACCAGTATCCATATCTTCAATCCCTCTTTTCCAACCTAACGGACGTATTTTTTTTTAATGCACATACCCCACAATCGCCATGTCCCTGACTGATTCATGCTGTACTTGTGCCACTTTCCTCTCGGACGCAAAGGTGCCCTACGACCCTCGGTCAGAGAAGTCACCGCTGCATCACCGACAACTTGATTGCTGCTCGCGGTTCATATGCGCGACATGTCAGTATAAGAACCCCCGATTTCAGGCCTACTGCCCATTCTGCCAGATATCGTCCGGCCCATCTGCATTGCCTAGGGAAGGGCTTCGACTCCCGCCCTCATACACCAAAACCGCAGCCTCAGGAGGCTCGAGAAGGGCGGAATCGCCACCGCCTTCATATAACGATTCGATAGCCCCCAGGCGGCTCCTAGAGCAGAGCACTGGGCCGCCAGCAGATACCGACGATACAGTCCATTTCGTGGGATCTGAAGACTCGTTACAGTCATTGTCGCTTGCCTACAGGGTGCCCATTGCTGTCCTACGACACCACAATAACCTCTATTCAGACCAGCTCCTGGCCGCCCGCAAGTGGATCCTCGTTCCCAAGTCTCATTACACCGGTCCTCCTTTATCGACACCACCAGATGCAGAAGAGGAAGAGCGTAAGACAAAGGTGCGGAGGTGGATGATCGCTACAAAATGTGCGGACTACAACGTCGCCCAGCTATACCTCAAGGGCAGTGATTTTAACCTGGAACTTGCTGTGGAGGCGTTCAAATCAGACGAGGAATGGGAGAAGAATAATCCACTGAAAGGGAAGGGTAAAGACAACAGTGGGAGGCATAGACGCCCCTATGGAATGGGCGGAAGCATTTCTGGACAGTTGTCGTGACACGACTGATACCTTCCTTGCGACGACGTTACGACCTCTTGATGAGACAAATAGTGCGGTGTATACATACAAAAGACATGTCTTCTTTGCTCTTCTCATGCTTGCCAACTCTTACATGTGGAAACGTGTCGATGCGGTGGACGTATTCATGGTGTGAGAGGCTCTCTATCGATATTTCATCGCCGGGAGCTTTGACTCGAGGGGCCTTGAATGAATGCATGCCTGTGGACACCATGATATCCTTGGACTTTTGGCTCATGCAACGAACGGCCTTGCGTCTGCTCGACAAGGTATGTCGATGCCCAAGGCCTGAGAGACGTTTGGACCATCGACGCACCAAATTCTGACCCCGTAGTGGCCGAGTTATTCACTCACACAAGTTGGACCGCTATTTCGCAAGGCGAAGCGTATGGCCTTGGATTTGTCACTCCATATCTATTTGCCCTTCTCCCTCCCTCACTTTCGTGTTTGTCGGAGCAACCAATCTATGTCGTGCTCGGACCCCGGAGGAAACTTCGGTCGGGGATATCAGCCTAGAATTGTAACTGGCTTTGTCTTCTTCTGACGCCCCATTTCGGGAGTTTTTTGGTGCAATCCGTGGGCACTCGCACGCTACATAACAAGCTAGTTGCTCATCCTCCGCGTTTTATTTGTAGCTGCAGCTGCAGCTGCATCCTTACCAGGAAGGATGGTCTGTGTCCAGTCAATTCTTTAGAGGTAACTGGCATTTTTTGGTCATATTATTATCTTGCGCCGAATGACTCACAGGTAAGCTTATCCCTCGATATTTTACATCTCTACCACATTGGCCTTTGAAGTGGCATAGTTGCCAGTTCAGTCTCGCCGTGGCCATGTCTCTCTACAACGTGTGTGCCATCGTCGGGGCATCGACCATTGGCTATCTTGGATACCAGCTGGCCTCGGCGCTGCAATTCCACCTCCATTCATCCAAACTCCAGCGCTACCACCATGGAACAGACCCGTGGGCTTTGATCACGGGGGCCAGCGATGGGATCGGGCTGGCGTTCGTGAACGCTTTCGCACAGCGTGGGTTTAACGTGGTCCTGCACGGGCGCAACGGCGCGAAGCTGGACAAGATCGTCGCCGGGCTGAAAACGCAGTACCCCAGCACCAGCTTCCGGACGCTCGTGCTCGACGCAGGGACGCCGGCGACGCCGGAGACGCGCTTTGACGAGACGGTGCTCGCGGCGGTGCAGGGCCTCAACCTGACGGTGGTGGTGCACAATGTGGCCGGCTCAGGCGATCCAAAATTCGACATGAAACTGTTCGCGGACTTCTCGGCGCGGGAGTGCGACGGCTGGATCAACGTCAATGCACGCTTCACGACGCACCTAACGCGCCTGCTGCTGCCGGGCCTGCAGCAGCGCCAACCGGGGCTGATGCTGTTCGTGTCCAGCGCTGTCACCGAACTCGCGACGCCGTACGTGTCGCTGTACACGGCGGTCAAGTGCTACATCGAGGGCCTGGCCAAGTGTCTGAAGATGGAGATGGCGCTGGGCGGTCACGATGTCGAGGTCATGTCCTTCACCACTGGCACCGTCGCCACCGCGTCGTCCGGCCGGTCCGAGAAAGACATCTCCTTCACCATGCCCAGCACCAGCACCTTCGTCAAGGCCGCCCTCGACAAGGTCGGCGTCGGCAGCCCCAAGGTCTCCCCCTACATCGGCCACTCGCTGCAGGTCGGCTTCATGCAGTTGCTGCCTGCCTGGGCACGCGATCAGATGCTGCTCCGCCTTACGGCAAAGGTGCGGAACGCCGTCGAGAAAAGGGATTGAAATATCATGGAGTGAAGGGAAGGATCAAGGCCACGGAGCGAGGACGAGAGAGTGTGTGAAGGAGGGGAAGGAGGGAGAGGGAGAGAAAAAGAGGAGGGAGGAGTCTGCTCCGTCGTAATGCTTTCCTTGATACGAATGAAGTCTTTGGAACCGAATCTTCTCTCAGTGACTTACGGGGTGGATCGAGCCACAGCTAGTTTGAGGATAACCGAAACATCGGATCTATCCTTCTTCCTCCTCTCCTCTCTTCTGACTCTTAGCGGGAAAGACCAGAAACGAGCGAGGTTCAAGGTTGTCGAAGGATCATTTTGGATCATTTGGATGGAGTTGTAAAATGAATTATTGGTCTGAGCTGACACCTCAAAGAGGCGGTTCTGCGCAACTGCTCGATAGCAATACATATGCTTTTGGTAAGTCCTCTGAGCCTGACGTCGTATCTTCTAAACATGCTGTCTCGTCTTGTTCTGATGAGATCTCGTCATCGCAGCCCCCCACCCATAAACTCTTCGCAGCCCTCAGCGTGCCGCCCATCGTGCCAAACAGCAACAGACTAAACTTACATGACAAACAAGAAAAGAAATAACCCCGCAAGCAAAGCACTGCTGTTTAGATGCCGTTGAGGCCGAAGAGATAGCCCAACTCCCGCACACCCAGTCTCGACACCTCACGACCAGCTGATTCATCGAGGGCAGTTTCAACGAGCTCCCGTTTCCGCTCTTGAAGCTGCAAAATACGATCTTCAACCGTGAATCCTGCAGGGTCAGAAGGCCCTTTGGAGTCGCCTTCACCAATGAGGACTCGATGAATAGTCACGACTTTCTCTTGGCCAATCCGATAACATCGGTCCGCAGCTTGGTACTCAACGAATGGATTCCAGAACGGATCAAGCATGATAACATGATTTGCCACGGTCAAGTTCAAGCCTGCATTGCCTGCTTTCAAACTGATCAAGATCACTTTGCAGTTGGGGTTGTCGGTGAACTCAAGGACTGCGTCGTTGCGGTCCTTAGCGCTCATAGAACCGTCGTAACGGACGTACTTGCGGAAATCTTCGTGTTTCCACAGAGGCAGCTCTACCAGATCGAGAAACGATGTGAAGTTGGAGAAGATGATGGTCTTTTCGTTCTGTCCGTTATCTCTGATTTCTTCCAACAACTCAATAGTACGCGTGATTTTCGCGGACGGGTGGAAATTCTTCTGGAGTCGTTTCAAATACTTTCGTTTGGCGGCTTTGCTGCGCAAACCTTCTTTCCGAAGTTGTGCGAGACTCTTTGGTGGTTCTTTGGCTCTTGGCCTTGATCCTGAGCGGGACTTTCCCTTCCCTTCCTTGGATTTGGGTCGGGGCGATTTTTTCTTCGCCTGCTTCTCTGATTCATCATTGGAGTCGTCAGCAACATCATCGAACACGATGAAACCGCCGAGGTCGTCGCCTTCGTCCGAGTCATCGCTGCTGGAGTCGTCGACGTCGGAGTCAGAGTCAGAGGCAGGAGTACAATTCTCCAGCTTTTCCGCTTCCACTCGTTCTGGACAGTGGACGCGGAGGAAACTGACGTAGTCCGTGACGTTGTTAACGTCAATCCTTGCCCTACAATGAGGGCAACCCGGAGGCGCGCCGTTGTTATCGTTGGTGGCTTGCTCTACGAGCTGATTGAGACAGTCTCCACAAATAGCATGCCCACAAAAGAACACCACTGGGTTTTCTGTGACATCAAAGCAGATCGGGCATTCATAAGCATCTATTGCCTTCAGTCGTTCGACCACCTTTCCATCCAGCTGTTCTGCATTACGAAGCAGCGCATCCGTATCCAGCTCCCCACCTGGAAGTTGAATGAAGTCTTTGCTTGCAATGACAAGGGTCGGGTGACAGCAGGCCTGCCGGAGCCGAAGGAGCAGTACTAATGCGTGAGAGTAGTTTCGGCCGAGGGTTCCTTTCTGCAGGTATTTGTTCACTTGAATTTGAGCACGCGTCTCTAGGGCTTTGTAGAATTCAAGCTGATCTTGGTCGAAGATGACTCGTTCCTCCCTAGTCTCTTTAGGGGGGAGCTGGATAATTGGTTGATCATGTATCTTCGAGTGCTTGGTTCGCCTCAGAAGGATAGCCCGCAGGAGAGCTTGTAGTGTTATCATGGCTGTTTCCTTTGCAGGATCGTACCTGCTTTTGAGCGGACGTACAATGGTAGACCTAAATTTCTCCCAATTGTTATAGGGTCGAATTCGAGTGAACCGGATGAGGCTGAAGATTTCTTCAGTAGAATTTTGCATTGGCGTCCCAGTAAGAGCCCAGCGATACTCGGCTCGGATGCGACACGCGGCAAGGGCTGACTTTGCATTTCTGTTCTTTATGTTTTGTGCCTCGTCGAGAATCACCCGGTGGAACTGGGACCTGTCTCCAAGGATCGGGCAATCCTCAGCAACCGACGGTTTCCAATCCTTCAATTTCTTGACCTTTTCATCCAGAGCATTTTTACGTTTCAGCTCCGAGGTAAGAAGTCCGTACGTAGTCAGAACTACGTCGTAGGCTCTGAGCGCGGACCACGTGGTTTTGCGACCGTCTCCATGTAGGATATGGACATTCAGACGAGCTCGCGGTAGAACCATCTTTTCGATTTCTCGCTTCCATTGATGCATCAGTGCCACAGGTGCCACGACAAGGGTAGGGTAGGGTTTGTCTGCGGGAGGCGGGCGCTCCAGCATCAATGCGATGCTCTGTAATGTCTTGCCAAGTCCCATATCATCAGCTAGAATACCACCTTTGTTGGTGCCTTCTTCCATTCGCTTCATCCATGCAAGGCCGCTGAGCTGATGAGGCATAAGTTTTACCTTAAGCCCAGGTGGCTCCTTCGGCATTTGATCCACCGTGAGCTCTTCATCAGGCCTGATATGCTGCAGAAGCTCTTCCAATTGTTCCTGAGTTTGAGCCTCATCTTGATATCCGTATGGTGAATACCCAAAGGAGCTCGGGTAAGATCGACCTGGAAAAGGGGGGTTTAAAGCAGAAGGTGCCGAAAAAGAAGGATTTAGAGGAGCGTTCTGGGAAGGAAGACTTGTAAATGAAGGGCCCGGATAGTGTAGGCGTGACTGGGATGGTAAAGAGGAAGATCGGAGATCGTCGTCGCTGGAATCGGAAATTGTTAGATGATCAGGCGTAGAGAGCTCGGACTGGTACACCTGTCTTCCACCGACATTGCTGTAGGATTCCAAGTGCGGGAAAGCCCCAGGTATTGCTGTTGGAAGGGCAAAGCCTGGGTCGTTTTTGATGGCCTTCGCTGCTGGCCTGACGGAGGTCGATGACAGAGCGTCGTAAGTAACGGAATCTCTCTGGGTGTGTTGAAGTGATCGAGAACTGTCGTGAGAGGACGAAGGCTGGCTGGTGGGAAGTCGATTTAGACTGCCATCCGACTTCAAAAAGGACTGAGTATACCCCCATGGACGTGAGAGGCTGGGTTGCGTTGTATCTGAGCCAGTCTCGCCAGCCCATTCCTGTGAAAGCCGCAGGGCAAGTCTGGCATCGTCTTCCTCCTGTTGTAATTGGTGTTCCCGTCTCTTCCAGTAATCCTGATTCAGCTTAACAGCCTCCTTCGAGAGCCCGTCACTGAGAGGGTCTCCAAACACATCCTCTAGACTACTTAGACTAGCGGAGGAGGGGGCAGGTGAGGGGGCGGCAGTGCGAAGTGAGCCAGGACTCGGACTTGTTCGCCGAGATTTGGAAGATTCCTGTCTGCGATCGCCGAGGCTGTCTTGTCTGTGGCGCTTGCGGTTCCCTACTTCGTAGTTGGATGGAGGCATAAGATGGCCTGAAGACTCGGGCTGTTGGGCATTTTGTGAGTGGCGACTGACGGGACCCCGGTCGCTCAATCCTTCAGAAGTGTGGTTTGAATTCCTCAGAGGCAGACCGTGGCGGGAATCCTTTTTCTGGGCTGGTAGAAGAGCATGAATATATTTGTGCAACCTCCTCAGCTCTTTCTCTGTTGCATTTCTGATTTCCTCGTCCGCGGACCTGTCCCCAGGATTGTCAAGCAGACTCCGGAGGATCGTCTTGTTGAAATCGATGTCGTTGCGAAGGTGGCGAATCTCAGCGAGAAGAGCAGGGTCGGTTACGTTGTCCATTGTATCTTGAGATGTAGTAACAATTAGGCTGGGTTGGTCTTGAGGTTCTTAACAGTAAATTTATTAGCCAACAGGGCGCAGGAAAGGCAATCAATCTGCCTCACGAGGCAACTCGCCGGTTGGTCGTGAATAAAGATTGCTTTATCATGAAGAACAAAGAAAGGGTAAAGTTGAAAGGCAGAAGTGAGAGGAGAATGACAGAAATAGCAGTCGAGGCCAAACTTAAGAATGGCGGTCCGTTGGCACTATGTTTTGTTCCCTTGACAATTCACTTGTTGTTCTTTGTTGACCTGGAAAAACGCTGACGGAGGCTTGACTTGGACATTAGCGTGGTCATTGGTAAGTGAAGAGTCTTCATTCCACTGGAAGGCATTTTGATTTGACCTTCACCACATTTCAATAGGAGCGAGCACTTCACATGCGGCGTGCCGGCCTGGAGCATGTGGTGTGCGGGAGTGAAAGTGAACTTTAGGTGACAAGCAGCGACGCCACGCGCTACGTTCGACGCCAGGCGCGTGTCACGTGGATATAAAGTTCGCTACATCTGGATTATGTAAGCGGAGGGGCAGGATTTCCTTCACCGGGTTCTACGAGTAGCAGTGGTAGTATTACTCCTAAAAGCATCGCGTGAGAGGCCGATTCAGCCTCAAATCTTGGTGATACTTTACTCCGGTTTCTTTCTATTCGGTTCCAGTTCTATCCCTCAAGCCACTCGTCCTCTGACCTGCTTGATATCTTTGACGCAAGTGTTCCTCCACATGGCGACGGATACAATGGCTAGAGCTAGGAAAGCCGTTGAAGCAATCAGCATCAGCTTCTGCGTGTCTCCATATGCTCTGTTAATGGCCTCCCTTGTGGGAGTTCCTGGAGGATAGGACGATTGCACCACCAAGCTGCCGTAGATGGTGTCGATATGACCTTGCGCCGAGGGCGGCAAATACACCCTCAATTTGTTGCGAAACTCGCCCGTCCAGATCGCCGTCGCAATCGTAGACCCGATTGCGCCACCGACCGAGGAAAACATTCCCTCAATGGCAATGACGACAGCGACGTGTTGGTGAGAGGCAGCAGCCATGACAGCGATCTGTTCGCAAATGACCAAGGTCCCGCCCCCGAACGCAATAAAGATCTGGCACATGATGATGTACCCGATATGTGTGTTGGGCTGCCGGAAATGCAGCATGAGCGCCACCCCCAAGATGGTCAGTGGCACGCCAAAGAACAAGGCGATGTTCTTAAAGTGTCCTCGCCATCGGATATACATGCCCACCGGGATTGCGAAGAAACAGGCGCCAATGCTGTAGATGTTGGTGATGTAGGATGCATGCGTGACTGTCTGATTGTTGACAACGATGAGGAAGGAGTAAAAGAAGGCGTCCCATATGTAGAAGCTGACGAAGAGGACGGCGGAAAGGATATTTGCACCTATGACGGTCCGATCGGCCAGGAGCTCCCACGGAATGAACTTTTTAGGTGCCCAGAACTTCTCCCACGGACCGAATCCCACGAGCAGGAGGCCACCGAAGATGATCATGCAGATGATCATCGGCGAGCGCCAGCCATCAGGCTGGTAGGAGTAGAGGGAAAAGGGGAGCAGGAAAAGCGCCAGTTCAGCCGTGATCAACAGCAAGCCGAAGAGGTCGAACTCGATGGCGTAGTGTTTGATGGTTTGGATCGTCGTTCGTTCACTCTGTCGGACAGGCATCAAACCTGCTTTCTTCGCTTTTCGATAGTTGAAAATGAAGAGGAAGAACACAGGCAAGCAGACGGCAGGAGTAACAATGGCAAATGTACCAAAGCCCCAACGGAAGCCAGCACCGTCAAGGAAGCATTGCGCGGCTGGACCACCTGCCCAGGTGGTTGCAATATATGGTGAGGAGGCGAAGGCGAACATGAAACCTCGATTCTTGAGATGTGAGGTATCGGCAACGAAGATGCTCAATGCATACCCGACACCGTTATAGCCAACCCAGTAGAATACTTGAGCAGCGGCATATGTCTCGACATTTTGGCACGCCGCCATCATAATCAGACCGACTGTTAGTAGGACCACCATGAAAATGAAGCCTTGTGGGCGGCCCCAAATATCCAAAATCTTTGCAAGCGGGAAGCTTGCTCAAGCCCCCAATGATCTGGGAGAGGATGCCCGTTGTGGCGGTGAGGGAATGGAGTTGAAAGTCGCTCGTGACATAGGGAGTCAGTACCCCTGTGATCTGCTGTTGGAGCGAGTCGACAAATAAATCAGAAAGATCCTAAATCGCCGTAAGTTGCCTTGACTCGAAACTACACTGTGGCGAACACGTACAGAATGTAGGCAAGGACCAGTTGATTTCTGCCCCAAGCGGATGTGTTGCTTCAATTTTCTGGACGCCGGCTTGGGCATTCTCGTCGACGCCGATAGAGTCTGAGTCGGATGTGCCAGGTCTTTCCGAGATGAAACCAATCTCTTTCGAGTCAGACGCCGGAGCAGCAGCTTCTGAGTCGCTGCCACGCTGGCTGGCAGTTACAGGCACAAAGCTGGGCTTGATCCAAGCTGAATTAAACTTCATTGTGAAGGGTAGAGGATTGAAAGACAATGGAATGCGAGAAGAAGGAGGCGTCTCGCAGGGTCTTATAACCCTTCAGCACATTGATACTTCCCCTGTACCATCACTAGAACTCATGAATTCGATCCTACAATGGGACCAGTTTGAGTTACTCGGGACTTCAGGGTTGCATTGGTAGCCACATGAAGAACCACTCATGGCTTTACGCGAGCTCTATGATTGAATACTAGCGGCTCGGCCATGCCAGACAGCTAGGATGAGCTCTCGGGCGTCTCCAGACCGACCTATTGTAAGCTGAGCAGCAGCTCTCAACGGTGTATTACCGGACATGGTGATGATTAGCACGGCTTGAAAGCAGCAGACGATTGATGAAGGCACTCGCCAGAGAGACAGCGGAGATGAGTACTCCGTAGGGCGGAAGATCAAAGTGCCAGCAGGACCCAGAGCAGAGCGACAAGAAGCCAAAGCTCGAGGCGACGTTGATCTGTACCCCAAAATGGACAAGCGCCACGAAAATTCTGATCTTATCTGATTTCTGATCTTATCTGATGGAGTCACATGGACTGCCAAGACAATTGCGTTTTCTTCCTCCTCCACCTTCTGTCCCTTGATCTCCACGCACTTTGTCTCCATCCAGAACAAAATCCAAATGCTACTCCTGTAATATCCTCACCTTGGCGCTATAACCATGATGGTGACCCGCTTTTGGGCATTCGCTTGAGGTGACTTCTAGGTATGAGCTCTTCAGAAGCGACATTGAAACTGTCCTCACGATATTTCGAGTTCCTTCCTGTCTCTGTGGTGCAGCTACTATGCCACCGGCTACTAATGATATCCATTGCACAGAGCCTGTCCATTTTGACATCCTTTGCCAGGTATTTGCATCTTGTAGCGGACCCTCCCACAAACTTGCGATTCAACCCGCTCCATGGTGGCTCCACTGGCCGACTCAATATATCTCTGGTCTCCACATGGCAAGATAAATACTACCTCCGTCCACGGCGGGACGAAAACGTTGTCTGCGCCAACGCCAAGTTCAACTATCACTTTTTCTTCAGTGGAGCTGTATGACACCGTGAAAGAGGAGATATCTGGACAGAGAGCGAGGCCGTCGTCCTCGTACCAGGTCGAGGTAAAGGTTTTCCCATGCGAGCTGCCTTTGGGTGGGAATATTTCGAGACCCCGATAGTCATCCTCAGGAAGAGCTCTGCCTTCTGCCTTGGCATCGCCAGGCATTCGTGTCTGCACGCTCCTTCCGACAGGGATCGCTCCACCAATTCTGGCGAAGATCGGGATGCTTTCTCTCCATGGCGACGCAACACACACCCACTGGCCGGACGCATAGGATTCATAAGGTGCATTGAGATTGATGTAACCATAGTCGAACCCTTCTTCAGTCCGGCGTGGAAGGTAAATTCTGGCGGTTTCGACACCAGGCTGGTATACGCCACCAACCAGCAATGTGTCTCCAAACCAATACTGCTCTTCACCAGACTTGAGCGGCCTAGTCCACACCTCTGGATCAGACTCATGGCCCCAGCCGATCCATCTCTGGGGTGGAGTTGCAGTCAAGTGACTTTCCAGGCCGAGTGAGTAGATGTAGGGCATAATCTCGTATCTTCTCTTGATTGCCTTTCTGATCATGGGCGTGATCTCTGGATACATCCAAGGCTCAATAACCTCTCCAGCTTGGTTGTCTTGAGGAGACGTCTTGAAGCAGTTGATGGCAAAGCGGATCTGGTGGCATCCAAGCTGAACCCAGCGAAGCAGCAATTCCGGAGAAGGCTGTGGCCCTTCAAATCCACCGATATCGTGGCCATAGCAGTGCATCAAGCTGACACCCGCATTTAGAGATATCGCATTTGCTGCCTTCATGCTCTCCCAGCTGGTCATATTGTCACCGCTCCACGAACTGCACGCATACCGCAGAGTTCCAATACTCGCGCTTCGTGTCAAGACAAAGGGCCGAACGCCGGGTTCTGCTCGGAGCAGGCCCTCGTATGAAGCTTTGGCCATCAGTTCGGTGTGCATGGCACGGCCCCAGAGTCCAATCTTGTCCGATGCCTGTTCCTTGCCTGTGGGAACGGTCTCGAGAGCCAGCTTCCACTCATCGTTCGGCAAGGTGTACTCATTGTTGTCGTTCCACATGGCATCAATGCCTTGTTCCTTCAGTCTCTCGACTCCACGGGTCCACCATTCATACGCAGCTGCCGAAGAAAAATCAATGTGGCTGCCGGTTCCACTTTCGCCTCCACCGGCACTCCATAAACGCATTTCAGCAGTCTTTCCACTCTTGTGGTCTGTAAACAGCCCCCGGTTCTTGGCCAGATACTGGTAGTCGGGATGCGATGCAAGGACGAAGGGCTTGATGTTGGTCAGCAGCCTTATCCCCAAAGCGTGGTATTGGGCGATCCATTTTTCTGGCTCGGGGAACCGATGCTTGTTCCATGTAAACACATTCCTCACCCTGGGTTCGGTTTCGGCAATGGAGTAACCTGAACTCATTTGGTGCGCAGAGCAGGGAATGTCATGCTCCTTCAGCTTTTCGGCGAAGTCGAGCAACGTCTGGTGCGCGGGTGGATCGTCCATCATCGTGTATCGATAACCTCCACTCAGGTATCCGTATGCCCAGCGAGGCGCGAGGAGTGGAAAGCCGGCCAGTTCCGCATAGCTGCGAACCACGTCTTTCAAGGTCCGTCCCATGATCAGGTACTCCTCGAGCCCGCCGTAGTCTTGCCTATAGACTTTGAAGTGTCCCCAGAGGCCGTCGATCTCTGCGCCAACAGACCACGTTCCTCGACTATGGCTAGTGGAGACCATGGCCACGCAGCCACTCGGAGTCGCCTTGATCAGCAACGGCATATGCTTGTACATGGGATCTGTAGCGTACGCCTCATACCCGAAGCAGTCTGTGGCAGAAACCTGGAAGAACCGGGCCGTGAGATCCATCGGGGCAGACTTCTCTCCCAGTCCCACGTGAAGGGCCTTGCGGTCATGCTGGACATAGTGGGCGACACCCTGACCATCGACGACATAGGAACGAAACGCGAGGTCAGAATGCAAAATCTGCTTGGACCCCGACCAGCTCAAGGATACAACCGGCGCATGATTCCAGTCGACTGATGCCCTGATATCGCCGAGAGCAAAGGAACAACTTGTCTTGCTGGTCTGGTTAGCGATAACTTTGACGTTTTCGAGTTTCCCCTCGGGCTGAGGTATTGACGGGTAAGGCGGTAGTGGATGTGAGTCCGAAGTAAAGGTCGTCCTAAATACGTTGGATCTGACGGCTTCAAATGTAAAACTAAAGGGAGTTTCCAAGTCTTCCGACCGAAGGTGAATTAATGTTGGTGTCTCCGATTTCGAGATGACCGGCTTGTACGACTTTGAAATGCTTTCTAACTGCGGCATTTCGACGAATCAAGAGAAGAGATATGGTAAGGAAGAGGGCAAGCAGACCATTGAAACGAGAGGGCCGTGTTAGGATGGCCCTGTAGGAGGGTGATACTTAACCTTGGGAGGTTTCGCAGCTTGCGGAGGTCAGCTTCCTCGTTCTTCTCTTTTTGCGTTGCATGCCACTCTCTCCACACCCTTCGGAGCGAGCAAGCGAGGGATGGGATATACGAATATCGGCTTCGAAAGCGCTGTAGGATCGGACTTCGGCTGCCAAGTGCGATCCCTGCAACCGGCTATACAAATGTCCCAATCACGTTGCCTGCCATGGTCGCTAGCCTCGCTCCTGGCGCACAAAGACCGACGGCCTTTTGCCCTGCTTTTGTTCTTTGGTCCCGTCCCCCGCGTTGGTGGCGTCGCCGATCCTCCATCATGCTCGAACTAGGAAGAACCTGTCGCGTGGGAAATTGTCTGGAGGACATTCTGGGATGAAGTTGGGGCTCCCATACGGAGTTCGTTCGCTTCCCCGGGCATTTGGGGCATGGATCGAATACAAGGATGCATGCTCACCGTCGGCTGACGGGTCCGAATGCTCTTGACGATGCAACGTCTCCTCTGCTGAGTATTTATCCTGGCCACACCTCCGTTTGTGCGATCAGCGGACGGTGGTATCCAATATCCCTCTTTTTGCTCCGCTTCAAGAACCCTTCTCCGTTTGACCACGCCGGTGTAGCCTGAGGCCAAGGCGTACCATCAGAAACCATGGAAGATATCGGCGTCAAATCTCCCACCGATCATGTCGAGGGCAAAGTCGACTTGGGCGACGTAAAGAACGACAAAGCAAACCAAGTCCTGAGCGAAGCAGCAGGACAACGCATCGTCCTCACACCCGAGAACAACTCGAGAGTCCTGAGAAAGATCGATTTATGCATACTCCCAGTGGTCCTGGGGATCTATTTCCTGCAGGCCTTGGACAAGGCAACATTGGCATACGCTTCAGTGTTCGGCCTCGTGGATGACACCAATCTCGTGGGACATGAATACTCCTGGCTGGGCGCTGTCGTCTACCTTGCGCAGCTGGTGGCGCAGCCCTTAATCGCCTATGCCCTGGTCAAACTGCCGCTTGGGAAATTCCTCGCCGTGATAGTCTTGCTCTGGGGTGTCGCCCTGTCAGCTATGCCAGCAGCGCACAACTTCGCAGGCCTGCTGGTGTGTCGGTTGTTCCTTGGCCTGTTCGAGGCTGGTGTCGGTATGGTTTGGTTTCAGTAAAGTCAATTCTCGTCTCGCTGACTGGTTCGGTAGCTCCTGCTTTTATCGCACTCACCCAGATGTGGTGGCGCCGTCGAGAGCAGCCCGTCAGACTCGGAGCCTGGTATGCGATGAACGGCATCACCAACATCGTTGGCTCTCTATTGACTTATGGAATTGGCCACATCCACTCCAGCTCACTTAAACCCTACCAGGTCTGTCTTTCCCGTGGGAGTTGAAAAGAGCCAGGGTTTCTGACGAGGCGGACAGATCATCTTTTTGTTTTTTGGCTTGATCACCGTGGTTTTCTCCGTGGTGGTTTGGTTTTTCCTCCCAGATTCTCCCATCACGGCACATTTCCTCAAGGGCGAAGACAAGTTGGTTGCCATTGAGAGGTGAGACAAACTGTACTGTAGTAATATCTCGAGCTAACTTCGGCCAGATTGCGGGCAAACAACCAGGGTGTCGAAGGCACCGAGTGGAAGTGGGCTCACGTCAAAGAAGCAGCCCTCGACCTCAAGACGTGGCTTTGGGCGGCGATGATGTTTACCATTTCTGTGCCGAGCGGTGGTGTTTCGACCTTTGGTCCCCTGATCGTGAAGAACTTTGGCTTTGATCAATTTGAGACGATTCTTCTGAACATGCCCTTTGGCGCGGTCCAGCTGATTGCCACCATGGGCGGTGCATGGGCGGCTACGGCTCTGAAGCTAAAGTCGCCGGTATTGGCGTTCCTCAGCCTACCGCCCATTGCGGGCTGTGTCATGCTTCTGCATCTTCCCCGAGACGCGTCGGCGAAGGCGCCGTTGCTGGTGGCGTACTACCTGGTGACTCGTCTCATGTCGCTTGCCATTACTTCCGCTGACAGACATACAGATATCCGTCTACCCCGGTATCAGTAAGCGATCCTACCGGTTCTCTCCGTTTTGAACGCACTAACTATACTAGCACCGTTGATATATTCCTGGTCTGCAGCCAACACAGCTGGTGAGACAAAGAAGAAGGTATTTGACCGCACAACACCCCGTTTCCGTGGTTGAGACTAACCTCGATGACAGGTCACAACGGGCGCACTCTTCATCGCCCAATGCGCCGGCAACGTTCTCGGACCAAACCTATATACCACAGGAGAAGCACCGCTCTATCACAGAGGATTATTGTCAAAGTATGTGGAGAAATACGTGTGGCGTGCAAACGTGAGCTTTCAGCACTAACCTCTGTCGACAATAGTCTCGCCCTCTTTGTCGTGCTCATTGGCCTCTACGCTGCCCAGGTGTGTTTCTTGATGTTCCTCAACAAACGGCATAGCAAGACCCGGGAAAGTATGGGCAAGCGAGCAGTCTTGGTTGATAAATCCATGAATCGCGTCCGGGCGGTGGGAGCGGATGGTGCATCCGAGGACCAGGACGAGGACTTGACCGGCCAGCAAGCATTCCATGACAAGACCGACTGGCAGAATGAGGATTTCATTTTCGTCTACTAGTTAGCAAGGCCGTTTCGGGGGGTCTCTTATTTCGAGAATGAAGTAACTGCCATGGGGTTTGATACATAGTTTCGGGGTGAACAAAGTCGTCTTGTGTTCTCTTTCGCCGTGGCGAGCATTCCCCAGCATTTAGTATACGGCGCACGATTCCCCTTCCCCCTAAAACACGTCGGGGAGCATAAGCCCTTACAGCTCCAGCCAAGCGTTGCTCAACTAGCCCAGTTAGCTGATTAGTTGTATAGGCGTCGAAGAGCCAGAGGAATATGCAGGCGGAACCTCCCCACCTCTTCGGTGCCAAATTGCCGAGGAGCAGATTCGAGACTTGGGACCGCAAAACCTTCTTCTGTATTACATACCTCGTACATATACATATGGTATAGTTCCCTGAAACACGAATAATTGTAGTTCAATCCTCGCGTCGTCGAGCACCATGGAGGAAGCAGCAGGTAATAACTCTGTGGCTATTGGCAAGAAGAGAATCCCAGTAGGTCCCCCACCCCCTTTACGCCTTGACTTGTTGTTTCTGTTTGGGGCCAGCCAGCCTACACGGTGGATGTTGACTGTCTGTCTCTGTCTCCCCCCACCAGAAAGCATGCGGCTCGTGCAGAGCAAGCAAAGTAAAATGCGACGGCGAAAGACCTTGCTCCCGGTAAGAGCCCAGCCAGGGCGGAGAAACTCCCCGCTACCCCCCGGGGTATTCGATGTCTCGTCTCTGTTGTTGACGTGCCAAAAGATGCCAGAATCTGAAGAAGGTCTGTATATATGTCGAGAGGCCTCCAGACCCCCATGAACAGTGAGCGTTCCTCTTTTTCCCCCCTACCTTGTCTCTGGGTGTCCTTTGCTGGTTGGTCCTGACTACTCGTGTCTACAAACAAAGAAAGATCGAGGCGCTGGAGAAACAAGTCCAAATGCTCAAGCAGCGGTTGGATTCGCAGCAGAACGACCTCTACGCATCACTCGGCGCCGCCGCCGCCGTGGACGCGACAGCCTCCACCGCGTCTGCCTTGGGCTCGCCAGAACAAGTGGCCAGTCTGACCAGGACGGCGTCGGATATGCCGTCAAATCCAAGCGATCTACGCCGCAAGCGCCCACGATCTCAGTTTGAAGTCGAGGTGGCCTCGGTGCCCAACTTCGCTGCCAAAGGGCTGATTACTTTGGACCAGGCTGAGTTGTTTTTCAACGCCTTCTTCCAGGGTTGCGACCGCTACGTTCCCATTTTTGACCCCCTACACGACACGTTCGAGTCAATCAGTTACCGGAGCGCACTGCTGTTCGACGCAATCATCACCGTTGGATGCGGCGTGCTCAGCGATGCCGACTCTCAGATCTGTCATCTGCTCAACTTCCACCTGAAGAAGCTGCTCAACCTGGTCATTGTCAGTCCCGAGCATGCATCTCTGGAGACCGTCCAGGCTCTTCTCGTCACGGCTTGCTATACCTCGGAACGATCCCTGCTACTGGCGTTTGCCACGAGGATGGCTCTCGATCTGGGCCTGCCGGGCGCGTACGAGGACTTGACCAGGAAGATTGTCAGCAGAGGGTCACAGGCACAGTCACAGTCACAGGACCGAGCGGCGCAGAAATACGACGAAGCCGACGCGGTGTTGATGAGACGCGCGCGAGCATGGTTTCAGCTGATGGTGCTCGAGCAGATTCTGCGCGTGGACGCAGGGAACTTACGAAGCTTCCACTCACGGGGCGACGCTCGACGATGCCGGATTCTCCTGAACAAGCCGTTCACCACGGTCCTGGACCTCCGTCTGCTGTCGCAGGTCGAGCTGAACTCGCTCCGAGGGCGGACGCACGACTCGATCGCCGGGACCGAGCAATTCGACGACGAGGCAGTCATGGACATCCTCCGGGACGTCCAGGTCGACATCGACGTCTGGTACAACGACTGGAAGAATATCATGCAGGGTTCTTCTTCCAGCGAGACGCCCGTGTTGCTCCTCAACCTGGAGGTGCAAAAGTACTGGTCTCAGACGGTCGCCCTGTGTCGGGCGCTGCGTGCTCTGGGCAACGAGAACATTGCCTCCATGTCCTCGACCCAGCGGGACATCCTCCACATGGCCAAGGACGCGCTCAAGGGCCACCTGCGGATCATCCTGGACCAGCCGCAGCACTATCTGTCCAAATTCTGCTACGCGATGGACTTCGTCTGGGCCAAGTGCGCCTTCTGCTTCCTCCTGCTCCTGAAGCTGACCCGGCTGCTCCCGGAGGAAGACCACGGCTCGAAGCGCCAGCTGCTCGCGGACGGATACACGCTGCTGAACGAATTGAACAAGGCCGGCGGTGGCTGGACCAGCGGCGGCCGCAGCAACACCAGCCGCATGTACCTGCAGGTGCTCCAGCAGAGCATCCAAAAGTACGACCGGGCACTGCAGAACGACGGCACGGCTGCTGCTGGTGCTGGTGCTCCTGGTGGCCAGGGCGGCAGCGAGATCGACCCGATCAACAGCAACATCGAGCAGGATCCTCGCTCGCCGCTCAACTTCTTCTGGACCACCGGCGGCGGCACCGCGGCCGTGGCGGCGAACGAAATCGAGACCTTTGTACCCGAGCAGTTTGTGTTCGAGTGGGATTTCCCGGGCCTGACCCTGTTCTCCTCGCCGGGGGCGATGGGAGACGCCTTGTTCGACGAGTTTCTGATCGGCAACGGGGCTAATGACCCGTTGTTCTTTGGCATGCTGGGCTGGCCTCGAGAATGAAGAGCATGTCGTCCTCTACGGAGTCACCGGAGTCACTCCAGTGAGCTTCTTTGAGTTTGAGGATCGTCACCTACCCGACCCGATACTCCCTCCCCCCACGCCGTATCTCATCCCCAGCAAGCAGATCACCGGGGTACTTTCTGCTGGCCAATGGCTCAATGAAATCCTTCTCCAAACTTGCCGAGGACGTCTCCTGAGTGGCTGGTGTACAGGTTGCGCCTCGGGCCCTGTCTTGGGGTATGTAACCATGCTCTCCAAACCCCGCTTCTATTGGGGCTGGCAACTGGTCATTGTAATGGTTCTCGTTCGCGAATCTCACACATGACGAGAACTCTTGGACTGCTCGTAACAGGGCCTTAACTACGACGTTGACAGGATATTGGGTTCGACTTGGCTCTGCATTCGGGTAGGTATACACCACCACCACCACCACCACCACCATCGGAAAAATACCTATCATATGGCGCCACCACTCAGGTAGAATACTGTCCCTCGCATATATTATTAGAGATTCAAGATGGGTAGGGTGGTCGAACAACAATCTGGTCGTGAGCCACGTTAGATTAACATGGGTGGCAGCACCAGCAACCGCAACAGCAATCGGACTCGCGGGTGCCGCCGCCCTCTCTGCCTATCTCAACGCCAAGTTCCACCTGGGCAAAGACCTGACGCACATCTACTACCAACACCGCGGGGAACGCCACCAGGCACGGCTGAAGGCGCAGCACAAGATCAACATCTGGGCCACGTTCTGCGAGAACTGCGACACATTCGCCGACCGGGACTGCATCTGGTACTCCGACCCCGGTCCGTCCTCGTCGATCAGTCCGCCCACGACGGTAGCGCACACGTACACCTGGCGCGAGGCCCGCGAGTATGCGTGTCAATACGCGCAGTGGTTCCTGGCCGCCGCCAACGTCCGGCCCGGAGACTGCGTGGGGTTCTACCTGCAGAACAGTCCGGACTTTGTGCTCGCGTGGCTCGGCTTGCTGGCCATCGGATGCTACCCGGCCATGATCAACTACAACCTCGTCGGAGGGGCGCTGGTGCATTGTGTGAAGATCGCGGAGTGCAAAGTGCTGCTGGTCGATGAGGACTTCAAGGACCGAGTGTTGGGGAACAATGAGCTGCAGCAGCTGGGCGTCAGCATGCACGTCGTTGATCGAGGATTTCGGGCCCGCTTGTCGAGACTCCCAGCGACGATGCCCAGTGCAGAGTACACAAAGGATGTGGGCGAGAAGACAAGACTGGCATTGCGGTACACCAGGTACGTCCGCAGTGGTCACGTGTTGACCCAGTGCGTCTGCGCTGACCATACAGTGGCACGACCGGGTACCCGAAAGGTGTCATGGCGACAGTCGGCCGGTACTACGCGCGACTCGCCAGCCAGTTCACCGAGATGGGCATCCACCCTTTGCGATCAGATGGCTCAGGGGATCGATGGTACATCTGTATGCCCATGTGCCATTCCACTGCAGGTTCGGCAGTCATCATTTGCATGATCATGCCGACGACATTGTGCATCGGGTCAGTGAACAAGACACCGGCGGCTGCTGGCAATTAGCTGACGGACAATAGCAAGAAATTCTCCGCCTCACGGTTCTGGGACGAGGTACGGGCGTCTCGCTCGACAATGGCCACCTACGTCGGGGAGATCGCCCGGTATCTGCTCGCTCAGCCCCCGTCCGCGTCGGATCGCCAGCACTCCCTCCGCATGGTGTACGGCAACGGCATGAGACCGGACGTGTGGGGACGGTTCCAGGAGAGATTCGGCATCCCCAAGGTGTGCGAGTTCTACGGCTCCACGGAAGGCGGTCTCTCGCACCTCAACCTCCAAGAGGGAGATTTCCTCCGCGACGCCGTGGGCCACGACGGGCTGATCCGCCGGTGGCAGCTGCACGACCAGATGGTGCCGGTATTGGTGGACGCCGAGACGAACGAAATCGTGCGCGACGGTACCACAGGGTTCGCGGTGCGCATGCCGTACGCGGTTGGAGGCGAGCTGCTGTTCCGACTCGACTCCGAGGCCAACTTCGTGGGGTACTGGGGCAATCGGGAAGCGACGGAGAAGAAGCTGGCGCGCGACGTTTTCCGCAAGGGGGACCTGTGGTACCGCACGGGCGACTCGCTGCGGCGCGACGCGGACGGCAAGTGGTCGTTCCTCGACCGGCTGGGCGACACCTTCCGCTGGAAGGGCGAGAACGTCGCCACCGCCGAGGTGTCCGAGTGTCTGGGCCGGTTTCCTGGGGTGATTGACGCCAACGTCTACGGCGTGCGGGTGCCCAACCACGACGGCCGGGCCGGTTGTGCCGCGTTGATGCTCAGTCCGGAAGTGGCGGGGAGGTTTGACTTTGATGGGCTGTTGAGGTAGGTTTGCTTCTGTCCCACTTCACACCCCCCAATATCTGCTCGACAGACCTCCTTGAGATCAAGCTAACGCATGTCATCTGTCGCAAGACACGCACGCAGAGACCTCCCGGGCTACGCGATCCCGCTCTTCCTCCGCATCGTACCCACAGGCTCGCTGAACTCGATGGGCCTGAAGCAGGACAAAGTCCAGCCGCGGGACGAGGGCGTCGACCCGGCCAGGGTGGGCGGCGACCAGCTCTACGTCTTGCGGGGGGACCGGTACGTCGTCTTTGCCAGGGCAGACTGGGACGATTTGGCGAAGGCGAGGGCACGGTTGTGAGGTATGTATTGGGTAGAGGTGGAGTATAGATTGGACATATACACACACACACATACATACCCAATCAGTAATTGTGTCCGGGTACGTCTTCCGAAAGATGTCGACTAAAACTGCATACTGCGTTGAAAGTAGTGTAGTATGTATTAGCGCGGGGCGAGGCTGAACCAAGGCAGACGCCGAGGCGGACAAGAGGCGAACCAAGGAGCTGAAAAATGCTTGGACAGCTTCGTGTTCCCAGTCCAATCATGTGTCTCGATGTTTCTGTTAACTCGAACTCAACTGAGACGTGACCCTCTTCCTTCATCCGGGGAACATAGGACTCGGTGCACAGGCACAGAAGTGTCCGGACACCTGTGCTAACCCCCTCACAAACAAGTCCCTGACCACGTGGTGTCCAAAGCTACCTGTCGACCGAATGTACGCTGTGGGAAGTTAGAGTATGGGGACCCCCGTTGGGAGATCTCGAGGGACCATTCATATATAGGCACATATCCCTTGTGAGGGCGGGGGGCTCACCTATATCCATCTCCCCACCCAACGAGACACATCCATCAAAAACTCTACTGTACCTTTAGCATGTCCAGCTTCACCGGCTCAGTACTTGTTACTGGAGGCACGAAAGGTCTCGGATTCTACGCGGCGGTCGAGATCGCCCGACAACGCCCCGAGTACTGCGTGTGGCTCGCATCCCCCAGGGCCACCGACAGCAGTGCAGACGTGATCAACCAGCAACTCGGCAGAAATCATCGCCGCCAAGTGGAATTCGCGGGCTTGGACCTGGCCGATCCGGCGAGCGTGCGGTCGTTCGTGGAGCGCTGGGCGGTGACAAACCTACCACCAATCTCGGTCCTCCTGCTCAACGCAGGCCGCCAGTTCCCCTTTGGTGAAGTCCAATACACGCGGGAAGGGATTGAGGCGACCTTCAGCGTCAACCACGTCGGCCACGCGCTGCTGTTCGCCCTCCTGCAGCCGCACCTGGCCGACGATGCGCGCATCGTCGTCACCGCCAGCGGCACGCACGATCCGGCCCAGAAGACGGGCATGCCGCCTGCAACATACACGACAGCCGAGGATTTGGCGCACCCGGCGGGACCCGCGCTCAAGGCGCCGGGCCGCCAGCGCTACACGACCAGCAAGCTGTGCAACGTCCTTTGGACCTACGCGCTGGACCGACGCCTGCGACGACTGCAGCCAGGCAAGAAGTGGACGGTGGTGGCATTCGACCCGGGACTCATGCCCGGCACCGGGCTGGCCAGACAGTACCCGGCGGTCATGCGGTTCCTGTGGAAGCGGCTGCTGCCGGCCTTGATCCCGCTGCTGCGACTCGTCATGTCCCCCAACGTCCACCACCCAGCAGAGTCTGGCGCGGCACTGGCATGGCTGGCTCTCGACGCGGAGGCGAGGGAGAAGAGTGGCGTGTATTTCGAGGGCAGGAGGCAGATCAAGTCCAGCGTCGACAGCTACGACGAGGCCAAGCAGGAGGATCTGTGGGCATGGACGGTGAAGACGCTGGCGATTGGCGAGGAGGAGAGGCGGCTGTTCGAGGTTGTACCGGCGTAGTCGTTCTGCTGGGGGTGGATAGTGTGAGGAGAGATTGTTGACGGATGCTGGTAGTTCTAGTGAAGTCAATGCAGGCCTGCCTTGCAGAAAATCAACAAAGTCGTCAGTGGGTTAATCAACCCAACTAACCAGCTGCGTGTGGGCCACTTCGGGGTTTCCCTTGTTTCGGGAACCCACAGAACTCAGAGGGGAAAGAATTGCGACGTGGTGTGCATGTGGTGGTGTGGTGTCAGGAGAGAGAAAAGTGCTTGTATAGAGAATATGTGAGAGAAGAGAGATGAAGGATGAAGGATGAAGGAGAGAGGATGAAAAGGTGACCGACCTCACGTGCCTCACAGTCACTGTCTCTCCGATGCTTACTGTACTGTAGGTACGAGGTACTTGGCACTGCCTCCAGGTATGGGTGGCGCTGCAGCCCACAAGGCCCGCGCCCACGCCCACGCCCAACGCATACCCACTACTACTTAGGTACTGTAGGTAACCCCACTGACTTCTCATCACCCCTAGCCACCCTTGTCATCGCCCCTAAACAATCAGAGCTTCCCCCAACACCGCCAGGTGGGCTACATCATTCTGCATTAGGTACATTCCACGAGGGACCCAATCACAAGTGGGCACAACTGTGCACTCTGGGGGCCTGAACGCACACACAGCGTCCGATGATTAGAGGAGGATCAGGGAGGTGGATGCGAGTACATAGTCGTATCAATGCAAGGAAGATCACTTCACTCACTCACTTACTCCCTTACGAACTCATGCAGGTGTGTGAGAGAGATCATTGGATAAGGAGCATGATGGGGGGCCGAGCAGCTGGATGCATACCTCGTAATTGTCCTTTACTGTACCTACAGTAGTTAGCACTAGGCGACTAATTACATACCCATCTTGGCCAGCGTAGGCGAAGGGGAGAAAGGCGCCTCCGTCTCCATCGCTGTCGATCTGCAAACGTTCCCCCACCAATCGCAGATAGGGCCGAATTGGGAAATGGTGGCACAGCGAAACTCTCTTCTCTGACCCCGATAGAGAGTCATATCCATCCACTATGTCTGATATATAAATTGAGATCGTCTCGAACACTATATCTATCTACCTTCTATACACACCAGACCTCGAAATCTACCTACCTACCTACGCACAACTGACCAACCCGACACCTCCCAAGCACCAAATACATTTTCTCTATATCTTATATATACCGACAACCAGCCCGCCGCCAATCATGTGTGGCCACAAACGACATTCCAGTCGAGCAAGAGACTCCAAGGCCCCAGATAAATCATACTACAACGACGACTATCCCGAGAACTACGACAGTGGCTTTGCCGGGACGTCGAGACAACCACCAAATCAACAATATCAATGTGAACATCAATATCAACAACCACAGCAACCACGACAACAACTACAACAACAACAACAACCGTACAGATCATATACACCCAGTTACAACGACTCCAAACGTCCAATGACGCTCTCGACCGAACAACAACAAGCGCCACCGCCAACGTATACCGAAGCCATTGACGAGTCCGTCCAGTCTAGTCGGAAGACGGGAGAAAAGAGCAATGCTTATCCTTCTCCTTCTCGCTATCCCGCCATCGACGAACCCGCCCCGTCGAGCCAATGGACGGGTGACAAGAGCAATGGCTATCCCGCTCCATCTCCCTCTGGCTATCTCTCTGGCAATAGCTACTACCCCCAACCCCTTCCCTCCCCAGTATCACCACGGTCACCACGGTCACCACTGTCCCCAGCCCTGTCCGCCGGCCCCTCTCGCTCGCGCTCGTCGTCGCAGTCCCGACTCGGCAAACCCATCGCCATCCCCGCGACGCTGGCACGGTACGGCTCGCCGTTTCTGCGCGCGTACCCGCCCAGCCTGGCGCAGTACCACATCTCCCCGACGCTCTTCCTGTCGTTCCTGGACACGTTGAACCGCGTGGCGGTCAAGTCGCCGCCGCTGCAGGTGCTCAGCCTGGCGGGCAACATCGTCGGCCAGGTGCCCTCGGCCACGGCCCAGATCGTCGGCGGCGTGGTCAACCTGACGGCCGAGGTGTCGGCGGGCGTCATCCAGCACGGCCGCACCGAGATCGAGCTGCGGCGCGCCAACGCCGACATCTTCAACCCGCGCGGCCTGAAGGTCGAGATCGCCAAGACCGAGGCCCTCGCCCGCCTGGTCGGCATGGACGGCGTCTTGGACGCGGACGGCAAGCTGAACAAGAAGGCGGCGCTGCTGCTGCCGTTGGACGGGGTGGGGGACGCTGACGGCCAGGGTGGTGACGACGAGCTGAGCGGGCAGCAGCGTCGGCTGGACGCCATGCGGCCGTGGATCGCCGAGCTGGACATCACGCCGCAGCAGGTGCCGGACATCGACGTGCCCACCAACGCGATGAGCCGGCTGCACGTCAAGATGAACGAGCGCGACCGGCGCAGCGGCGAGAAGAAGCTGGTCGAGAAGCGCAACAAGGTGCAGGCCGAGTACGCCAAGGAGGCCGCGAAGGCCCAGCGCGGCTTCGACCGCGAGATGGCCAAGATCAACCGCGACCTCGACAAGAACCTGCGCGACGTCGACGACAAGCTGGCCGAGGCCACCCGCAAGAACAAGTCGCGCGACGTGGCCAAGCTGGAGCGCGAGAGGCAGAAGGTCCTCGACAAGTATGACCGGGAACGACGCAAGGAGGAGGGGGAACTACAAAAAGAGATGAGGGGCGCTGAAAGGGAGAGGATGAAGGACGACAAGGAGGAGAAGAACATGCGCAAGCTCAACTGGTTGGTGATCCGGGAGTTGAATGCTTGGAGTGGTGACAACCCCAATGCATATCTTCCGACACCCTAGATTCTAGAGAGATAGAGGGCAATGTGTACTGATACAGCGAGCGGGTCATGGCGTTTCCTGGCGTGATGCAGTGTCATCCCCAATATACCCCGGACGTTCCAACTCTCCCTTTGGCTGGGTGTCCTTCCCATCTCCCACGATAAACACCTGATTCAGCTCATCCTGAATCTCTTTTCTCCTCTTCTCCCAGGTATCCACCATGGCCAGCCTCTCCTTCAACTCGGCGATCTCTTTTTCCACGCCCAGCTTCTCCTCCTCAGTCCCTATTCTCATCAGCTCCCAATCAAACCCTTCCTCACCAAGGCCCAGAACCAGGTTGAACGTGTGGTATTTGCGAAGACTGGCGCGCGTGGAGAGGGTGATGACCGTGATTCCCTTCTCCTTACACCGCTCATACAGCAACCCCTCCACATCCGAAGACACCGCAGAAGTGCCCTCGTCGAGGAACGCATACTTGGGTTCATGGTAGAACAAACGAGCAATCGCCATCCGCTGCTTCTCACCTCCCGAGAGCACATCTTTCCACTCCTTCCGCGTGTCCCAACCCCCTTCTCGCGACAACAAGTGGCCCAGTTTCGCTTCCTCGAGGATCCGCTCCAGTTCACTGTCCCGCCGGTCGTTCTCCCGCATATCCATCTCCGTGTGCGGGTAGATGACCTGATCTCGGAGCGTGCCAATGCTGAGGTACGGTCGCTGCGGCAGAAACATGATCCCGTCCATGCCGTTGTTTCGAGGGCGTGAGACCAACCCGCGGTAGACAGGCCACAGTCCACCGACAATACGAGAAATCGCGGACTTACCCACGCCGTTTGACCCGGATATCAGGAGATGTTCGCCACTGTGAACCACAAAGGAGAGAGACTCAATCAGCTCGTCGCCACCATAGGGCCACAAGCCCGGTGCCACGACAGGGACATCCTCGAAACGAACTCCATCGAAGCCGTATTGGATCGTGCCTTGTACGTCCGCAAGCGAGTAGAGCTCGATTCTTTGAGATGCGCGACGACCGACGGGCGCATAGGCGTTGGCGTGCACGCGGTGAAGTGTTGAGATGAGTTGGTAGACCCGCGAGGTGTAGCCGGCCAGCTCAGAAAGGTCTTTGATGCTGTACATCATTCGACCGCCTGCATCGGCGAGTGAGAGCATGAGTCTCTTGTTGGTCGTGAACTCTTTCATGTGAGACCCTGACCGCGAGGACTCTGTCACCTCTCTCCCCGAACCTGTATTGGCTTCGAGAATCGCATTCAGCCCGGCCCATGCAGGCAGGTACACCGGTATCGAAGTGATGATGTAGCCAAAAGCCGACCACGAGTACTTCAGGATAAAGTCTTCCAGCATATTATACCGGACTTTGACGTTGTAAATCCCCTCCATCCAACTCCGGAGTTCTTTGAACGATCTATCCAAATAGACCTTCTCGACGTCAGCACCCCCGTAGAATGCAACTTCTTCTGCATTGGCGATCAATCGGGCATGGAGCCCACGGAAGTCGCCCTCTTTCTTTCCCTCGACGGCCTTTAGTTTACCAAAGGGTGGAGAGAGCCGCCGAAGCATGGTAGCGGTGCCGAAGTAATTGACCAGCAGTCCGGTCAAAGCCAAGGGTCCCAGGGAGCGGTAGAGTTGGTAGTTGAAGACAAATATGTCCACCAGAGGTTTCCCAAGAGAAGAATACAATGATGCTGCCGCCGTACAAAATAGTGTCAGATCTTGTGTGATGAACTGGTCTGCGCCCTCGACCCCGCCATCGAGATTCGTGAGTTTGTAGTACGTAAGATTCGAGTTCAAGTAGAGATCGTGGATGTATCTCGTCAGCCGCGTGCGGAAGGCGATGGATATTTTGGACTGGAGGAATTTGATCATCGAGTTGGTATAGGAGGCCAGTGTGCCAATCGAGAGCCACCTCAGCAACCCGAGCAGGAATTGCTTTCCATGACCGCCAACCAAGTCTCGGACGATGGCGCCGTCCAGCCTCGCAACCAGAAGCGAGAGGTACGTTCTCAAGATCAGGAAGACGGCGTGACTCAGCAGCAAGGCCGTCTCCTTGCTCCGGAATCTGGGAACCATGATATTCGCCAGACTGAGGAATTGATGGAGGAAAGCCAGATTGAGGCCCGGCTTGGTCTGCGCGGGAGGAGGGCCATATGCCGGGGTTGACGTTCCACTGGCCAGACGAGTGACTCGTGGAGGGGTCAGAAACAGTCGGCGATGAGCATCAAACGTGGTCGAGCGGATGGGATGGATGATAACTTTGGAGGTGGTATCGCCCTTGGGGACATAGATGATGCGTTCTCCTCCCTTCCCCCGTAAACCACTGTTCTTGCGGACCAGAGTCCGGCCCTGGGCCTTCTCTTTCGAACGAGCCTGCCACCACTTGAGACCGCCATAGCTAGAGGAGATGATGGACAGGACGAGGGCAGCGGTCGCGGCGAGTTTGACGGATCGAGGTGTGCGGCGGACGTGGGAGCGAAAGAGAGTGAGGTAGTGGTTGTACAGGACCATCAACGGGTCCTCCTTCGACTGCACAGGCATTCTGACTGAGTCAGAGGAACGAACGAGGGCGAAGCGTCATGGTCTGCTACCACATCGTATGTCGAGCGAGATAGAGGACGGGAAGCGCAGGATCATCTATTTTGGATCATTCTTCGGCGTACGGCGAACAATCGAGGCACAGCACAGCACAGCACTGGGCGGACCGAGACATGTGCTCGCAACTGTTACTGACGCAAGGCGGATCGCCGAGAGTGGCGGACGCCGCAGTTGTTGTGGTTGCTCAACTCGCGCCGAGGCATGCCAGATTCCTGCCGCTTTTACACTTGATACAAACACGCTGAGGGATACCGAGAGCGACATCAACCAGTAACTCAGCCTCCGTCTACTGATCAATACGATACCGGATCAACATGCCTGCAATCCCCCCCTCCTTCACCACAAGCACGTTCTCCTGTTCGATCACAAAGACGTCACCATCATTCAACACAGCATCGATTCTGTCAGTCTGTCCATCTCTGGTAATAGCGACAAGCTTCAATTGATGTCTCAGCGTGCCGACGTCGATGGCGCCGCCAGTCTTCCAAGTATCACTAGTCAACAGGCTCCGGAGTGTGCTTAGCACTACTTCGGGCGGTGGTGTCCTGATGAATGCAGCGATATGTCTTTCTGTGGTCGATATGGAGTCCTCTACCCACAGGACTGACAGCCCGTCAGGGACTATTCTCAGACCCTTCTCAGAGGCTCTTTGGACGATTTCTTGATGCTTTGCACCTCGTCAATACGTTTCGGCCGTGGAAGAGCCCCGTCTCAGACGTTACCACTGTTCGTTTGAAGCAAGAGTAAATCTCTTGCAGCGGCGGTGGCAGGCCGCTTTCTTTGCTGACAGGCAGCTCCCACCACTTCCTCGATTCTTTTATCCGTTTCATATCCTCGAGACAGATATGCACCCGCCGGGCGGCGTTCTGCAGCTCCCTTTCAGAAGTGACATACATGTCGCTCAATCGCACGAAAGAGCGGTGGAGCTCGTAGCTCTCCCTGGAGATTCACGAGGTACGCACCAAAAGTCGACCTGGGCTAGAAACCATGAGAATTGTGTGTCGGGAATATCACCCTCGCCTCAAGGGCTGCAAAGGACTGACAGCCCGAGTCGTGAAGGAGCCCAGAGATCACGACAAGGTAACACAGTGGCGCTAAACAAAGCACAGGCGAAGGAATGCCGAGGTCTTCGCTATTGCAGAAGCACAACAAATAATATCCAGGTTCGTCCGCCCAAGCCTACCCGAGCACCATTTATCATCTATGAGTCTATCCTAGACTGCTTTTGAGTCTCATCACAAATTCCCCTTGGGGTTTCCCTTCTGCTCCGGAATCGGGGTCAACAGAGAACCCTTGTCCACCGCATTCTCCAGGTTCTGCAACACCAGCAGCTCCATCTCCCGCTGCGTCTCGTAGGTACTGGTGCCAATGTGCGGCACGATGAAGGCCTTCTCGTTCTTCAACAGCCCTTCTTCCACCTTGGGCTCCTCTTCGAACACGTCCAGCCCCGCCGACGACACTTTGCCGCTCTCCAGCGCCGCGACCAGGTCTTTCTCGTTGATGAGCGCCCCTCGAGCCGTGTTGACGATCACCACGCCGTCCTTCATCTTTGCGAATTCCGGCGCAGATATGATGTGCCGCGTCTTGGCGTTGAGAGAGAGATTCAGGCTGAGCACGTCGGACTGGGCAAGTAATTGGTCGAAATTCAGGTACGTCGCGTCGCCCTCGAGCTCTTTCGGCAGCCGCGTGCGGTTGTGGTACACAATCTTCATCCCAAATGCTCGTGCTCGGTGAGCCATCGCCTGTCTCCAGTCAGTCCATCATTCCCAGGAGTAATGCTGCTGTTGAGCTTACTCTGCCAATTCCTCCCATCCCCAAGATCCCCAGCACTTTGCCCTTGGGGTCATGTCCGAGCTGGGCCTTCCCGCGCCATTTGCCTTCCCGGATCGCCACCAAAGGGACCCACGCCAGCCGCAAAGCACCCAGCATCAGGAAGATGCCCACATCAGCGGTCGCGTCGTCAACGGCGATCGGCGTGCTGGATATCTTGAGACCTCTTTGGGTGCAAGCCTCCACGTCAATGTTGTCGTATCCCGCCCCGTTGTGGCAGATGTATTGCAGAGACCGGGGCAGGACAGAGACCAGCTCTTTGTCGAAGGGCCCTGTTTCTGACACGGACAAGTTCGAGCGATAGAGAGCCACCACGTCGTCGTACTGGCCGCTCTTGCAGTTGGAGAGGAACTGCTCGCGGGTGCCCTTCCGGAACTCCTTCAGATTATATTTGGAACTCAGACTTTGCCATTCTCTGTCGACGTGTGCCAATCCTCCGATGAGGAGAACTGCAGGCTTTGACATGTTGCTAATGAACTGGGGGAAGGACGGTCTCAGTAAGCACCCACGAGTCAGAGAAACACCGGTTGGCAACGCCTTTTGTAGAAAGCAAGAAGACAAGGCGAACATGACAAAATATTAAAGGCCCATCAATCCCCGTGTCACCTGCGTGACATAAAAAGTGAAGGAGGGCATCCCGTCACCTACCGTCGGCATTTGAAATTGCGAATATCGCAATGTCGACCATCCATCTCGCCGTTTCACCCCGCACCGTCAATTGCCGCCTGCTGCCGTCGTTTTCTTTTTCATCCTTCACCCCCACATCCGCTGACTTCTCTCCATGACTGGAGAGTCACCCTCTCAGGGTCGGAGTCTCCCTCGCACATTCGCCGAAGATTACTCGAATAGACTTGCCTCCAGTATCGGAGAAAAACCCGCTGCCCGACACATCTGGGTACAGACGGGCCTTGATGGATGCCACATCCTTTAAACGCTGGAGTCGTGCCCCCTCAGGTGTTCATTAATGTGATTCAGGCAGATAGTATATACCACATATCACAATAAAAAGTTCGAATATCTCCCCCAAAGGCCAAAACTGAGCAGTGCAGAAAGAGGAGGACGTTAACACGGGACCACCGTAAAACACGAGATTAAACGCCATGGCTCCGACAGAGACGGTTCAAGCTCTGGTGCTACATGGCATGAACGACCTCAGACTGGTAAGGAAACGGGCTTCTGTTTTCGAGCAGGTGCAAGACTGACAGAAGTGTGCTTGGACAGGAAACGAGGCCACCACCAATTCTGCAACCTGGCGAAGTCCAAATAGCAATCAAGGCAACAGGTATTTGCGGTTCGGACTTACACTACTACCGTCAGGGAAAGAATGGAAACTTTGTGGTTCGGGCGCCTCTCGTCCTCGGTCATGAAGCATCCGGAGTGGTCACTGCTATTCCGGAGGTCGCAAGTGGCGTCACCAATGGCGACAGTCCTTCCACGACTCTCCGGGTGGGCGACAGAGTGGCCTTGGAAGTCGGCTTTCCCTGTCGGTCATGCGCGTTATGCACCATAGGCCGATACAATCTGTGTTCCAAACTATCTTTCAGATCTTCTGCAAAGACGTTCCCACACGTTGACGGAACGCTTCAGACGTTGATCTCACAACCAGCGGCCATGTGCCACAAACTCCCTGACAATGTCACCTTCGAGCAAGGCGCCTTGGTCGAGCCCTTGGCTGTCTCTCTACACGCATTGAACCGCAGCGAGTCTGCAGGATCGGGTGTAGGAGTGCCTTTGGTTGGGTCAAGCGCCTTGGTCCTGGGGGCGGGCGCCGTGGGGATGTTGACGGCTGCTTCTTTGTCTGTTGCTGGTGTATCCAAGATTGTCATTGCCGACATCGACGGGCCCAGGTTAAAGATCGCCGCAACGCTGGCTGGCGGCAGGTTCAAGTTGAAGACCTTTCTCATTCCTCGAAAAGCTCCTTCCCAAGACGTGTCAGTAAATCTATCGGACGCCCAGGAACAAGCGGCGGAGATATGCAAGGCAGAGGGGCTCGAAGCCGGGTTCGATCGTGTTTTTGAGTGCTCGGGCGCTCCACCATGTGTCCAGCTGGGCGTGTATGCCACCGCAGCAGGCGGGAAGCTGGTCCTGGTGGGAATGGGCGCACCGGTTCAGACCTTGCCCTTGGGTGCGGCTGCTCTGAGGGAGGTGGACATCGTCGGGGTATTCCGATATGCCAACTGCTATCCCGCGGCCATCGCACTCTTTGCCAGTGGTCAGTTGGATGGTGTTGCGGAAGATCTGGTCACGCATCGGGTGGCACTTGCTGAGGGCGAGAAGGCCTTCCGAGTGGCTTCCAATACAGGTCGGGAGGGAGAGGACGAGGGAAGAGTACCTGTCAAGGTGGTGATCACTTCATAATGTACGAGTCCTTTGTTTGCAAGGTCCCTAGGTAGTTTTGAAAGGTTGTGTATGTACATGTACTCGGTACATTGGGTCAAAGGAAGCGGCTGAGATGGTCACCATGGGACATGCGCTTTGGGCCTTCCACCTCCGGCGCGTCGCGGTTCGACGCGTGAACCACTTGAACCGGAAGTTGCACAAAGAATTTGTCTGCAGATGACACTCAATGATGAAGCCGGAGACTCTCTTCCTAGTCGCAGTACGACAGAGCACAGCAAGATCTCCGGCGCATGATGTTGCCGTCTTTTGGGGCTGACGTCAATTCTCCGTCTGCGCATGTGCTCAAGAAATACTCATTCTGCGTCGGTCTCCAACCCAACTCCTTGTTATATATCGCAACAGGATTGAACACCGTCAGAATCCAATCTAATGGCAACAGCAGACATGGTGACACGAAAGATTCTCGTGACAGGTGCTACAGGCAAGCAAGGCGGCGCCGTTGTCAAAGCACTGCTGGCGAACCCTCCTCCTTTTGACTACGAAATCCTCGCCCTCACCCGCAAAACCACCTCCAACGCGGCGAAAGCTCTGGCCTCTAAGCCCCAAGTCACCCTCATCGAGGGAGACCTTGATGACTGTACGAGCATCTTCACAAAAGCTGGAGGCGTCGGGGCGGTATGGGGCGTCTTCTGCGTCACATTGCCCAATTTCAAGAGCAAGGTGCAGGGCAAGGAGACACAGCAGGGAAACAATTTGGTAGATGCGGCTGTGGCCCACAGAGTCAATCACTTCGTCTATACCTCTGTTGACCGTGGTGGCCCGGACAAATCTGAAGTCGACGCCACCTATGTTGCTCACTTCGTTTCCAAGGTATGTCGGAGCTGTGCGAGCTGTGCGAGCGCATGCGACAAGTATTGACCTGGTGCTAGTACAAAGTAGAAAAGCATCTCAAAGAAAAGGTCCGAGGCACAGACATGACCTATACTATCTTGCGACCGACGGCATTCATGGACAATCTCACACCAAACCTCCCCGGCCGCATCTTTGCTGCGACATGGCATACCATGGGCGACAAGCGTCTCCAATTGGTGGCCGTCAAAGACATTGGAGTCTTTGCAGCCAAGGCATTTGGCGCCGCGGAAACAGAAGACTACAAAAACGCGGCCATCAGTCTGGCCGGCTGCGATCTGACCCAGGCCGAAGCTGATGAGATCTTTTGGAAGGTCCTGGGACGACCCATGCCTCGGTCATACGATTTTGTGAGCCATTTCCTCATGTACATGGTCCCGGACGCGGGCACCATGATTCGATGGTTCAAGGAACAAGGGTACGGTGCCGATCTGCAACAATGCCGACGATTGAACGAAAAGATGCTGGATTTTGAGGCATACCTCCGAGAGGAAAGCGGCTTCAGACGGTAAGGTGGATGGAGGAACCATCACCAAACCAGACAGCATGGATTATCAAGACCGTTGGCCCGTGGAGGGAACATCTCATCTCAAGTCGGCCTTATTGCGTGGGGGGGGGGAGACGGTCCATTCAGTGTCCTCGAAGCGAAGATGATGGGATGGGAGCCTTGGCCATCTTCCTTCAATCTGCTTCTGTATCACCAACATCTACTGCTCCATATCTACGTCATTTTGGTGCGTATTGTGCCAGGGCCACCGACACCAGTTTGGGATAATTATGTGCAGCGCCGTCATTCATCGTCTTTGGGGAGCTTAAGCTTTTGTTGGTCCTTGGAATAAAGTGTCACACCAGCCTAGTGAGCGTGATGGCCAAGATTATTTTCTCGGGAGAGAGATCTGTAATTCTGAATACTATTTCTGGGAGTCCCTCTTGTGAGGCAATCATCATGTTGCTCGTGCCGTGCCATGATCATGCAGAGAAGGGTCGTGTTTCCATGTGGCAAGAGTGGTCGAGAACAACTGGCCAGACAAAAGCGACGGGTTCATGCAATGCAGGAACAAGGAGCTTGAGGCTATATGCCGTAATACGATTGATTGGCTGGTGGCGCAATCTGGCCTGGCACCTGAAACACAGGCTAATGTTTGGAATCCGAACGACTTTCGTGCCTTATCATTCTTCTCCGTCTTTTCCGAATCCCCATCCACTGCCTATCGTTTGCCCCGTTGTCCTCGACCATGACAGTCATGGTGAAATGAAAGGGGTCACAAGGGACCTTACTTTCTTGGTTGTGTGCCATCAGTACTCCGTAAGTGTCCTGTCAACGGCGGTGTGACGTCCTGGCGTTTAGAGGTACATTGTTTCACTCACTTCACTTTCAACGCGTGGTGCTGTTGCCTCATCGGGACAAGACCGACGCATCCTCTACTGTCTCTACTAGAAAGAACTTCTGAATACGGGTCGCTTGACTCTGTACCGCACCCGACAGAAGGTAGGTTCCCCTTACACGACCTCCGCAAAGCTTCGACCAGAAGCCTATCCGCAAATTTGACTAAAGAAAAATCCCGCACCAACCACATCTGCCTCTGTCCTGCCACGCGAGCAGCGCAAGGTCAAGCTTCAAGCTCCTGAAACGCCATCTCCGTCAGATCTAGACCCTTTTCCCTGCGTGGAGGCGGGCTGTCCGCTGTTTGTGTGGCTGGTTTGGCCCTGTCGATAGCGGACCGTGAGGTCTATCTCAGCCTTGAACACCCCAGATAGGGGAGGGCCATGGACATGGGTCAAAGCTGGTACTAACCGCCCCCTTGCGCTTAGATGTCGATCGAAATATTCACATATCCATGCTCCACTCGCTCATCTGCTGGTTCCCAAGCTCTTGTTTTCTTCCTTGACTTCTGCCTAACCCTCTGGTCGTCCACTGACCCCAAGTGAAGTCGCTCGCTTATCGACCTGCCGTTCCTTACCATTGTTCTCACGACCAACACAAACAATGCTTGCGCTGGCATTGTAGCATCGCTTTGTTCCAGAGATCAATGTGATCCATTGTCACTCCTTTCAGTCCTCACTGCCTTTGTTGTTTGTTCTTGTCGCTCTTTGTCACGGCCGGTGCCGATTTATCTACTTTTCTACCAACGTTTGAGCTTCGACGAGTTTCGAGCCACACCAATCCTTTGAGACAAAAGATACTCAGCGAGTACTACACCATCCTTTCAAAGAACTCAAATCCCACATTGAGATTTGCCCCATACCTTTGACAACTCTTCTTGCTGGTCATCAGAAGCATTCAACCTTGATCCGGATCTCCCACATCATGCCCATCAAGTCAATCTTCAGCAGCGCCCTCATCGGGTTGCTTGCTACGGTACCTCTCACAACTGCGCACACGTGGATCGAACAGTTGATGGTCATCGCTCCAAACGGGACCCTCGTAGGACAACCCGGGTTTGCTCGTGGAAATGTCCTGCGTGGTACTCCTGGATTCAGTGATCCCACCATGGTCAATCTCATCCCCCCCGACGGGCGTCCAATCAACCAAATTCAGCCCTCCGACCTCATGTGCAAATCCTCTCAAACATCTCAAACCCAAACCGATGGTTCCCCGAGACTGCAGGCGGCTGCTGGAGCAGGTGTTGCGCTGCGCTACCAAGAAAACGGCCATGTCACTTTGCCAGACAATCAACCAGGCAAGCCACCCAATCGAGGCACAGTCTATGTCTACGGAACTACTCAACCCAGCCCCGACGATTCTTTCCTCGCCATCCACCGTGTTTGGACGCCTGATGGCTCGGGCGGTGATGGCCGCGGTCGTCTCTTGTCCACTCGCAATTTCGACGATAGCCAATGCTATCAAGTCAACGGCGGCCAGATCTCTCAACAACGCCAACAGCAATACAAGCATCCTGCCGACGATCTGATGGGCCAGGATCTCTGGTGCCAACAAGACATTCAAATCCCGGATGATGCCCCGTCAGGTCAACCCTACACGCTTTACTGGGTATGGGACTGGCCTACCTTGCCAGGCACCGCCGGTTTCCCCGATGGCAAGCAAGAGATCTACACCACTTGCATGGACGTTGATATCGTCGACGACACTGGAGATGATACGGTTTCCAAGGCACAAGTCGACTATGCACAAGGTCAACCTCTTGACAATGCTGCAGTGTCTGCTCAAATGACCGATCTTGCCAATCCTACCGCCGTCACAGGTCAGAACATCCCTTCACCAACATTCCCACCACTTTTCTTACACAAACCGTATCACCGACCACGACTACCACCCCCGTACTGACGTCTTCTCTCACAGGTTCCACTATTGCCTTCTCTGCGTCAGCGACAGGCCCCGTTTCCGGTGGTGCAAGCGAAGCTAGTGTCTCCGCTGCCACAGCATCTGACACCGGTGTGCCTGCCTTCCTGAGTGTTCACGTGGGTTCAACAGCTGGGCCGGGCATCGAGACTCAAACGTTCAGTGTCATTCCAATCGGCGTATTCACTACCACCACTACTGATGCCGCCCAGGCGCAACAAACTGGCGGGTCAAATGGTGGAAATGAAAACAGCCGTGGCGGCCGTGGTGGCGACAACAACAACAATAACAACAGCCGTGCGTTACCACTCCCCTGGATCTTCTCCGTTCTCGCCAACTGGCTGAAGAGCCTTTCGAATGCTGACTCTAACTTCTCACCAGAACCCGAAGTGACCGCGGCTCCCAATGCGGCCGGTAACGTCGTCGTGGCCACTTTCACCGAGTACGAATCTGTGACCGAAACCGTCTTCCAAACGGTGTATCAAACGAAGTACACCAAGCGAAGTGCAGGTGAGTCATCCTATCCAACTGCCCGCGGGTCTGTGGACAATGATTATGCTTTCCCGACGACCTCCCCCATACACACTCCTCCCTACCCTGTCAGCTGCTTCTGGTGCCCGACTGGCTCGGCGTCTCAAAGGTTCACCCAACCTAGTGGCCCACCGCCCTGGCTCAGTGGCGCCTGGGCCTCTAGGGCGCAGAGACCTCATCTACGTCCCACCGACTGGGTCGGACACAGCAACGGCAGCACCGAGTATGGTGGCAGACATGGCTCCGATGACAACAGCTCCAACCTTTATACAACAACTACGACGGCTGAAAGCACGATCACACTTGCAAGCACAGTGACTTTGACGAAATACCGGCCCTTAGTCTCATCTGCCGCCGCGGTAGTCCCTGTGTCTTCGTCGCCCACATTGACTGAGGCTACAACGGCTCACGTGACTGTCACCCTCAGCACCATGTTGACCTTGACGACATACCTGCCATCTGCCTCTGCTTCTGGTGTTGCCGACGCTGTTGTTAGCTCCTCAGCCGGTTCGGCGTCATTGCCCAGCTACAGCCCCCAACCATTCCCACCGCTTCCTCTCTCATCCGCCCCAGACACAAACATCTACTCTGCTCAGCCCACTTCTCTTCCTCCCATGTCCTTTACCTCCACGTCCACAGATACAGCCTCGGTCACAATCTTTCCAACCAACCCGTCGCCTACCCTTCCACCCACAAATACTCAAGAAGATCAAGCACTAACATTCACTGTTCTGCCAATTCCAGATCCTGCACCGACGCCTGCACCCGCTCCAACAGTTTCGACAGACCACTCTGTGTTTCGGCTCAGGGCTCGAAACCCGTTCGTGTGGCTAGGCTGGTCCGCGCAGAAGGCAGAAGTGACCCAGAGTCCTTCTTCCTCCTCATGACGTGAACGATGATCTTCTTGCAAGCTGGACTTTCAACATGAAAAAAATCTACTGTACATTACCAGATCGCATCAATATGGACAGGAAAGAAAGAGCCGGGCTCCTTCTGCTGGGCTTTTTGTTTTAACGAATCGATCAGCGGAAAAAAGAAAAGGGTCACCCACGGCACCCAATGCAGACGAGCGCTAGACAGACTTTTACTGCTATGCTACTCAGAGCAGGCAGCAGGAACAACAACGACAACGACAAAACCCGCCGGGTGTGGGGATAGGGAAATGAGCTTTACGATGATCTTCTGCGTGTCCGTTCCGCATCGCTTTCCACGAATTTGCTGACGAACGGGATGGGATGCCCTGGGCCTAACCAACGTTCTTGTTGTCGTCGTCGTCGTCGTATGACACGAACACAGGGACAGGAGCGGGAACAGGAACAGGAACAGGACCTTTTTTTTTCCCACGGTGATTCATGCATGCATGCATGCTATGTTCTCATGTTCTTTATCTACCTTACCTAGCTAGATATGACACACACACATACGGAGTACATATGACACATGTGACACATAAACATGAAAACACATATGAAAACACAATCACAAATCCACGTGCTACATTGCCGCAAGCATACACACACTGTTTGTCACCCTTATATTCTGATGTTCAACTGTTTGCAAAATCTACAAAGCTTTTCTCCAAAAGGAGGTAGGTAGGTAGGTGGAAAGGGGGGTGGCCAGAGAGAGAGGGGGACATCATCACCAGTCGCACGCATTTCGTTCGCCCGCATCATACATAACTGGATAGGACAGCGAATGGATGAATGAATGAATGAATGAATGAATGAATGAATGGGGGCAAGTAGTAGCTTATTTTTTTGCTTTTTCCCCCTCCCTTTACCATACATACGTTTGCTTGCTTCTGTCTCCTCACTCACTCACTCACAGGTCCTGTAGCTGGCTGGCTGGTTCGCTGGCTGGTTGATAATGTGCTCCGAGGGCTGGTTGATGATGAGCTCCCTGGCTGGTTTGCTGGCTGGCTGGAAAACTTCTCCCCAGGACAAAAGGACTGGAACGAACGAAGCCGACGGGATGGGATGGGATGGGAAGGGAGCAGAGGAGGACGGCGACTTAGGACTGAATAAAATGTTCGCTCGAAGACCCAAGAGCCAGTGATTCGTGGAATCATTAATATTAAAGTACGGGGGGAGGGGTGTTTTTGGTTGTATCGCATAGAATGCTTCCTATCCAAGCACACCCACCCAACCCCCAGATGCCAGTGATATGTATGTACCTATTTGAAGAGGGAGAGAGAGAGAGATCTTATGTCCGTTCTCTCCAGCCCTGCATCTGCCTTGGAACGCCGACGTGCCTAGGAAATATGGCAAATTCAACCACGGAGAGCAAAACCGACCTTCAGAGACCGCCGTCCCCCCACCCGCCCACTCACAGTCTAGTAGACACCGTTCTTGTGATTATCGTCCGTGCTGATGTGACCCGTCTATCGTGCGGAGATGTATTGTATTGTACAAAGTGAAGGCTGCCGTCAACGGCATCCATGAGGTGCCCTGTGCAGAGAGCTTAGGACGACTTGATCGGCTTCGTGTATTTGAGCTCCGTGCCCCAAACGTAGTCCCAGAACTTGGACGTCACGCCAAATCTGACACAATGTTAGCCATAGCCTTGATTATTAACCCGCAGCGAGAGTTGCTATGTCGCACACTTACCCAAGCTCGAAGTTCTGATAGTGATGCGCTAGATGATATTTCTTCAAATCCCTCACGTAGGCGGGCAGTTGGTGGTGATGCAGCCAGTAATGCGTGCAGTCGTAGCAAATATAGCCGAAGATGCCACCGCTGAAGACCGTGATGGCGGCGTACCAGTTGTACCAAAAGACGAAATGGGCGAGTCTGTAGAACGGTGTGGCCAGAATGAGGAACAGGGTCGGCGGCATGACAAGCCGATATTTGTCCATGGGCAGATAATGATGGATGCCGTGCAGGACGAAATGGAGAGTCAGGAAGAGCGGGTGATCGGGGAGATAGGCGTCAACATGGAACAGAAAGCGATGGAGGAGGTATTCGACCAGTGTCCACAAAAAGAGCCCCAGGCTCCAATATGCGATGCCCACGACTGGATTGGGGAGGTTACTGATTCCCAGGACCGAGCCGTAGATGACGGGAGGAAGCCAGAGAATTGGCACCACGTACCACGCCGTCTTACTGAGCGGTTCAAGGATATTCCCAAACAATGGCGCCGAGTCGCCGCCCTTGTAGTGTCGCGGCCGGTGGACTTGTTCGAGGTAGAACTCCTTGGAAAACTTGCTGAAGATCATCTGCGGGAAAAGCGGTCGGTTCAAATCGAGGAACTTGTGTTGCTTCCAATCTTGCTCCAAGTCCGTCTCTTTCGAGAGATCATCTTCCGAGGACATGCCTGTCGATGCGTAGAGGGGGCGGGAGGGGAGGTTGTCGGCTTGCACACCGTGGGCTTTCAGTTGTTCGTTGCCTGCAGCGGTTGCAGGCAGTGGCACGACTTGGTCAGGATGCGACGAGTCCACCGCGGTCTTGAGCACGGCATCGGTGGGCACGAATCCAACCAGGCTTTCCTCCAGGATCTCATACGCCGTCTCGGTGTGGAAATGTGAGTCTTCATCTTCCAAGATTTCCTTGACATCCTTGCCAGCAAATTCGAGGATCAACTCGCCGCCACCAGGATGATCGTCAATGAAGTCCGTCACATCAAAAACACGTTCGCCGATTGTCACGTAGCACGACTTCCGAGTATTGTGCTGTTCCACCTCAGCGCGGGTGATTGTAGGGAGCGTCTTGCCCGGCATGTTGGGCGGTGGAAAAAGAGGATTAGGGATAGACGGGTGGCTAGCTGGTCGCACGGACGGAAGAATGGCGAGACGGAGGATCAGGAGGGTCTAGGATTCACTGATAGGGAGGACAGAGATGCTGACATGGAGGAAGACCTGGAGGATAGAGAGATTTATGAATGTTTGCGATTTGCGGTTTGCGGTTTTTTGCCTCCTGTCAATCTCTTAGTTGGCGGATTGTAAGGGCTACTAGGCACAGGCTCCCGGCTCCCGGGCTCCAGGGGCACCTGCGGCGTGTCTCCAGCACCCAATGGCAGGCCTGGATGGAGGTGCAGAATCCCGCCGCCTTCCGCTGCCGCAGTCCATGACTGTCACTCCACCATGTGCGTGATGACGCCAGTGGAGTTACTATCGGTGCCCACTTAACGCGTGCTCTACGGCGAGGGGGTCTGTGTCTGAAGTGCAGTTAGATTTTCGTCGACGAGGCCCCAGCGTGGAAGAAGCAACAGCGATGTCTACCTCCAAAGTCTCGACAACCACAAATTCATCAGAGGAGGATTCATTCCATCTCAGAGAACCCACCTTGGAACACCCTTCTGTACTGTTCACATAATGAAACGGAAGTTCTCCGCCAAGGAGCAATCTCTTTCTTCCCAGGCTCCCATTGATGCAGAAGCCCATGACGCCACCTCACCAAAAGAAGAGACAGTCGACCCGGATGACCTGTGTCCCATCTGCCATTCACTCATCTACAAGCCGGTCCGAACCAGATGCAATCATACTCTGTGCCAGTCTTGTATGTCCCTGTGGGCAGATGTGTCAGTTACGTCCCAATTGACAGCCGTCGGACTCGACGATGAGGTGGCTGTCATGCTGCCTCATGAGATCGAAACCCGTTGCCCCATGTGTCGAACGTTCACCATCTCGACCCTAGATCCGACTAGAGAACGAGCGCTTCAGCGGTTGTATCCCGCTTCCTACCAGGCACGTGAGGCCGAGTCCCAAACAGCCGAGGAAGATGGTTCTGCCTCGACCATTGAGACGCTGACCATTCACATCGGAAACGAGCACACAGAAGTCAGAGCCGAACAGGGGTCGAACAACAAGCATCATTGGAAGTTCTTCATCCGACCTTCGAGAACTGACTTGATTGAGGAAGTCCAAGTGTTTCTGGTAAGTCTCACTCTGCATTGCGAGTTGGATTCACCAACCTGTGACTTCAGCATCCTACGTTTAGAAATCCGATAGTCGTTATTGAATGGCCCCCGTACGAGATCAGACGACTCGGATGGGGCTATTTCACCATCTACGCCAATATAATCCTGAAACCCGGGTACAGTTGGGTGAGCTCTGAGGCAGAAGGTACCCGAGACGGCGCACCCAAGGGCAAGTTGCCGCTTGAATGGACGCTGGACTTTAATGGCCGTGGAGCGCAAGCACGGATCAGACTCAAAGTCAGAAAGGAGAAGGAAGGTCAGGAAGCGGAGCTGGACATGCAAAGAGAACGCGTTCGCAGATCTTACGCGCGACAACGAGAGACAGATCCTGATTGGGAAGATTCGTGATAGGTCAGATCAAGAGGAGACTGTATAGAGAAGGGTCAGGCTCCAATTCCTTGTTAGGACAAGATGTCTTTGACATTGTGTGCTGACCTCTAGACAAAGCCGGGGGCCTTTTATCTTTGATGCGTCTTGTTAAAAACCTTTTTCCTCGCCGTTGTCCCTTTGTCCAACATTGTTCACATTAAGCTGCACAGCCTTCTCTGCGATATGAACCGAATGTTTGGGTTTTCCCGTATTTAAGCTGATGCCCGTGCGGAAGAACTGAATGTCCCTTGCTCTTTTCCAGTTCCAACAGTTTTGCTTCTTTAACCATTGTACACTTTGCTGTTCCCGTCATTGCAGCCCTCAGTTTCGACACTCAGACCCAGGTTCAGGCCGTTACGACAACAGGAACTCGTCACACATACGTCAAGCCTGGCTAATATTTCTGTCGAGATGGCGGTGCAGCGCACCAGCACACTTCCCGAAGGTAGGATTCCAGTTCGGACATTCTCGCTGTCCAATGGCACGAAGTCAAAAGCCCCCCATACCATCAATCCCAACTATGTTACCTGGCCGGCCCCAGACGGATGGTACACTCCTCCACGAGACGCATTGGATGATGATGCGGTGCAGCCCTTCCCAGATTTCCCAGACCCTTCCAAAACTCTCATTATCGAACGAACTCTGCTTCTGGACCAGCTCTATGCAGGTCGAAAATACGGCCCTACGCACGTTAGAGATAATGCAGTGTTCGAAGCTCTCTTGGCCCGCATCGCCCCGTCTGGTCACATCAAACATGACCAAGACCTGTCGCACACCAGATCATCCGTCCGAGGGATACTCGCCGTGGGTGAGAACTATCGCGCTCAAAGAAGTCGTGACAACAAAGTCAAGCTACCTTCGGGCTGGACATTGACGACTGGGTATCACCCGAGCAATGATCACTCGATCGGCAATGCGCTCGACCCGAAAGTGGTCTTGAGGTGGAAGTTGCGTGATCGATGCGATAGAGCAGTCCATCAGGCCAGGATCTATGCCAGGGATTTTGGCATGAGGTTTTCCTGGGACACGGTTAACGAAGGTATGCGAGCTCAAGCTGTGAAGCGTGCCACTCCTACCGCGTGCGATCGGGCAAAAGTGGTCACTGCACTTACCGCGCTCCATCAGACTTTCCCGGGTCAATATCAGGCGATCCCTCTCGAACTGTTGAAGACCAGTGAGACGTCACAGAAGGAGTCGAGTGAGAAGCTCACATCGGAAGAGGCCAGTCAAGAAGAGCTTACTTTGGGTAAGCAAACGTCTCCAAGTGCCAATGATACTGAGGAATCTCCCGCTTCTTCGAAGCACACACATACGTTTGCATCAGTCAGGAGGATGACTTCGTCTTTCTTCCGAGGTTTGATGTGCAACGGAAACGTTGGACAATTCTCAGGTGAGAAAAGCACTCCCCAGAGCTGTGCGATTGAACTCGACAGTTTTCCCGTCGTTGTAAAGATGGATTATAGGGATAGGACGCACAAAGAAACGTCTGAATCCCTCTTTACAAGAAAGCATCTTGCAACCAGGGAATTTGTGATTGAGGCAGGAATCATCCGCGCCAATAAAGGTCACGTTTCCAGGGGGCCGGCTCATCCTAATGCACCGACTGCGGCCCACAAGACAGCTGTTGAAAAGCCGCTGATAGAGTGCTCATCTATTGGGATCACCGACAACAACACAGCTCGTGGAACCCTCACCGAAATCTGCCGACCTGTCAATCCCCCACATGTGGTTGAAGTTAAGACCAAGAACAAATTGCGTAAGTTTTTGCTAACGCAGAAGTCTTCGCTCCCAGCCCCGAGCAAGGCTGAGGAGCCGCAAAAGATAATCACGGTGGATACGAAGAGTGCGCCCTCTCGCCCGCAGGTCAAGGTGGACGCTCAACATCACCATACTCTCAGCGAGAGCAAGGACAAGTTGCGTGCTATGATGGCAAGGCTGGATAGAGAGGTGTTTGGTGTGCGTGACGCTCGATGACTGGATCTTCGAGCTCACTGTGTGGGAGTCAATGGTGAGGCAATCGCTGGTGAGGGTGCCAGTAACGGGATATAACACGATGCTGTTGTCACAAGGATCAAAGACTGGAAACTCCAATAGGCAACAAGGTAAGTTAGTAAAACTCTTCATTTCAAAATCTCGTCATAAACCCGGTTAATCTGCTGTTTGGCATTAGCAGATCATTGTGGATGGTGACATATCTCACTTGAACTGTAGGTGGTTGTCGATATACATTGAAGGAGCCCCTGATTGAAGAGCCTTGTTGATGACTAAGTGGACTCCCAGGTCAGCCTCGCCGTACAGTATCTTGTGTCTTGTCCTTGACAGCAGGATTGCCCTGAGCTGCTGAAAGGCTTCACCTCATTCATCGGCTTCGTTCTACTCACGGCCCCAAGAAGCAAAAGATTCCACTTTCACTAGGCCTAGCATGAGGAACCTCATCCATTCCGGGATTTTTCCTCGTGAGGGGCTGCCATAATCGAATTTGATAATGAATGCGAGAAGACCTTCGGACCGGTTAACAAGATTTCCGGTCTGGCATGACTGCCCGGGATTTCTGGACGCAGGGAATCCTCATGTGATTGCTATAGTCGCATTCTTAACTGGAGCAATCCGCGGAGTGTCGGGGCGGGGATGGAGTATGGAGAATATGCAATATTGATCCACCATCGGTCTTGATCTCCAATTCTCGCATTACATGGAACTCATTACGTCTCCCATATTTTCCTCTCCATGGTCACACGCACGGTATTCAGATGCCCAATTGAGGTACGGGTGTAGTATTCGACAAGTCTCAAAACTGTCATTCCTCCCTGCCTGAACGATATACGACATCAAGACGCCAGTTAAGTCAAGCCCACAGCGAGATATATGAGAGCTATACGGCCTCGGATGAAAACACCCGTATACCTTTGACTCTCTTTCCGCTATCTAACGTGCCAACGGGGTGTGTTTGTCTTTGTCTGCAGAGACAACTGTGCAATGTCATGCTCCGCTCCGGGAAGTGGCCTTTTAGCCGTGCGATGGAAATGGAAGGTAACTTCCAACTACATTGCAACGTTATGAAGCTGGAGAAGATCGACATCAATATGCCTCACATAGCCGGTGGCCTTGCTTACTCAAAAAGGCGGAGTACCCCAGGTTCTTGGGTCTCTGGTACACAGTGACAAGAGACACAGAAATCCTCATAATGGACTTCCTGATACCATTCTGTGCCTTGATACTATTTCAGAGCACCTTGCTTGCTGCCCAGTCTGTCCAAAATCTCGGCGTCTCGTGTATTGCCAGCTCTCAAATCTGTGGTCCTCGAGGAGGTATCGGAGATGGAGACCATCCTATACTCGCTTCTCAATCGTTTATTACGGACGCTCTAATCCCTACAGTCCCAAACACAACCCGTCAGTTGGCAATTGGTCCCGCGCCCGTTCGACTGTCAGCATCCCCGAGCAGCTCCTCATCATGCCCACCAAGACGGAGCATCATCATTGACTCTGCCAACGGTGCGCAACAGGAGATGGTGGGGTTTGGACACGCCTGGACCGACAGCGCCGTCAGTGTGTTTAGTACCTTGGATAATGCTACCCTCGCTCGTGTGCTGGAGGATCTCTTTGGGCAGACTGGCAACAACATGGGCTTTATGCGGCATACCATCGGCTCATCTGACCTGTCAGGCGAGCAATATACCTACGACGACAACGGCCCCAGCTTCAACGAAGGAGAACCTGATCTTAATTTGTCCAATTTCAGTCTCGGCCCACACGGCAGGGGGCAGGCCGAATTCATAGCCCGAATGGGCACAGTCAAGGGAGATGTCTTCCTCTTCGGTTCGCCATGGTCGTATCCTGGGTGGACAAAATACAACGATCTGTTCATTGCGCCAAATCTCAACGTGGACGGCGGTGGAAGCTACAACATCCTCAACAACAGCTTCAATCCTGCATACATCCCACAAATGGTGGGATACTTTTCCAAGTACGTCGATGCATTTCGTGACATGGGAGTTCAAGTCAACGGCATTACGCCGATGAACGAACCACTGAACTATCAAGGCGGCTATCCTTGCATGTTTCTTGACCCAGTGGATGCAGCAAGCTTGATTGCCCAGGGCCTGGGTCAGGCAATGCATGACCGCGGTGTTATAATCATGGCATATGTAAGTCTCCTTCCGCCGTCCCTGTTCCCTGGAAGCTTTGTTTACTTCGGTCACAACCCCAACTCTATACTCACCACGCTCGACGCCAGGACCACAATACCGATCAGCCCGTCTATCCTGCTCGCGTCATTCAAGGCACAGGCGGTGAGGGATCTCTTACGGATGCAGCAGCCTGGCATTGCTACGCCGGTCCTGTTGCAAACTACAGCGTCATGTCGGATTTTCACTATGCCTTCCCCAACACACTGCAATTCATGACCGAATGCTCCAATTACCTGCCGGAGAGTGGGAGCTGGAACTTCGAAGTGGCCTCGAATTTCATCCCGCCGGTAACGCACGGTGCTTCGGCGGCTGCAATGTGGGTTATGGCGACGGATCAGGAATATGGACCTCATGCACCATATGGCGGATGTGCCGGATGCCAGGGAAGCGTGATTGTGAATTCGTCCACGCAATACACGCTCACCAATGACTATTACATGGTAGGACAATTTTCACGCTTCGTCCGTCGGGGCAGCGTGAACTATCGGATCCTGGGCGACGGAAACGAAGGCGACGCCAGACAAGACAACCAGTTCTACACCATGGCAGTGCGTAATCCGGACTCGAGCTGGGTTGTGATCATGATGAACAATATCGGTAGTGACCAGGATGTCGTGCTCGGGTTCAACAATGGGGAGACCGACGTGTGGCAGGGGACAGTACCCAACGCGACGGTGGTGACATGGCTGCTGCCACCCCAAGGGGTGGGACCTGCTGCTGCACCCTATACCAATGGGACGGCATCTACAACTAGCGCTGGAAGCGGAGTGGCAGCCGTGTGTCCGACAGTGAGCACTTCGTCGACCTCCAGCTCGTCCAGCAGCAGCACGAGCACCCTCGAACTGGTACCAAACACGACACATACGATTGATTCGCCTGCTCCCACCAGCAGCAACGGCACCAGCGGCAGCACCAATGATGAATAACGGCAACTTGGTAGTGATATTTGAATAGCCCGGGTGTACGAGGATGTCACTGCATATGCCTATCTCGTACGGTATACGTCGATCGGAGCTTTTATGTAATGCTTTAAATAGCACCCATAAGCAAATTGTGCAGGATAGCTAGCCTCGCAGCGGCTGGGCTAATTAGTCTCCTACCTAGCTTGGTAGGCGCCTTAGGCTTCACTAGCCGCATGTAGAGGCCTCACCAGCCCCGACATGTGCTTTTACAGGGAGCGGCTTAGTTAAGCTAGGTAAGTTCAGCAACTACCGGTGTTGGCGCCCCCGCCTAGGGAACCTCTAGGTCACCCCCGCCGCTCCCCTTGATGCATCGCTCCCCCTCCAACACATGTGGGAATTCGGCGGATCCTCGCCAGGTACGAACCCCGGGGCCCTTGAAGCTCCCCAGACTCATCCATCCGAGTTATCTTCCCCAGCTTTTGTGCGTGAACAAGGCATCTCCTCTTCTCTGACCTCGCATCAACCGAGACCAGCCACTCTCCAAGAATGACTCTGTTGGTCTATAGTCTCCCAACAGATGATCGATCGCCTGGGCCACGAGGGCTGAGCGCATTTGCATTGCCGATTTGCGAATCCTCGACAACCCGCGATGGCTGACGATCAACACCAAAGCCCTCCGGCGGCCATGAAACGTGTGTCGAGAGCATGCACCTTCTGTCGCGCCCGCAAATCCAGATGTGAACTGTAAGCGATCTGTTTTATTCTCTTCGACGTAACTGCATATTGTTTTTCATGGCAATGCCGGCCAACACGAAGAAGAGAAAGGCCAGGTGGGACCTTTTTACCTACGTCTTCTGTCGGGCTTGTGCGCCTGCCATTCGCCTGGGGCCCCCGGCTATCTGAGAAACCTCTCACAAGTTGCAATAGCCGCCTATCGGCAACCGCCCACACATTGACTATCAGTTTGGTATCGACTTTTATCCTTGCCGTTCATTGACCCTGATTGATTTGTCTAGGGAAGCTTCAGGCGGCCAACCTCCGTGCGCAAGATGCAAGAAAGAAAACCGCGAGTGCGTGCTGGGCACGTCCAACCGCGGCGGCAGCCGAGTGAGGAAGAAGCTGCTTTCCACCAGCCTGTCCAACCTGTCCAACCCTCCGACATTGTCACCCCTTCTCGAGACCGACGACACTGCCGACACCAACGCTAAATCCCACGTCCGTCCCCCTCCATTCTTACAACCCTCCCCTCTCCAAGATCGCGCTTCGAGCACCGCAGGCTTGGCAAGTGGTGTGGGAGGAACCACCACCAGTGTGAACGCAGCCGACGATGATGACTCGGCGTCCACGGCCGACAGCACAATTGGGAACACTATACCGAGGAATCCATCAGATGCATGGCAGTTGTTGAAAGATGTGGCGAACCGAGAGGCAGACCAGCTACAAATCCGAGGAGGAATGACTCAGTCGGGTGATGTATCACACCAAGACATGCAGAATGGAGCGAGACCAGAGCCCAGGGGGTCCATCAATGGCATACATGCTGGAATATCCACCTATCGACTGGTGCGCGAAGGCTACCTCACTCCCGAGATCATCCAAATGCTGGTTCGACGGTATGCCGAGCATTATCACCCGTACCTCCCCTTGGTCCCGCGCAAATATTTTGATCCTGCTCAACTGGACGTCTTCGCGGTCAATGATAAACATCTATTGACCGCCGTCATCACTATCTCGTCCAAGGACCTTATTGAACAGCCGACGATCCATACGTGCTGCTCCCGATACATGCATGATCTGATATCGGGGATCGCTGCTGGCCACGACTGCGAGGTCGAGGCCGTCGAGGCATTGCTGTTGCTCGCCGAATGGGAGCCGCAAGGCCTGCGGAATCGCATCGAAGCTGTGGGACGAGGTGAGGAGGATCGATCGGCTTGGATGCATGTTGGGATGGCCCTTCGTACTGGCTATTTCCTGGGCCTCGACCGAACTTCATTTCGACAAGAGTCTGCTGAAGAGGCGAGGATTGATGGACGGAAACGCCTAGCTTGGGCCAACTGCTATGTCTCGGATCGACTGATCTCGGTGAGAATCGGAAAGGCATTCTGGTCGAGAGGCCCTGGACCCATGACAGGCCTATCCTCTCAAGATTTCCCTTCGTTACAGCCACTCAGTCCGGACGACGAAGATTATGCCAAAATCATGCAGGCCACCTTGGATCTCACCCAGCTCTACTCCAATGTGCACGACGTTCTCTACTCGGGTATGCGCACTAGTGGACAGATGATGCTCATGGGAGACTATGTCAAGTATGTCGACGATTTTCGCGCCGCCATTGCTCGCTGGAACACCACCTGGGGTAAACTGGAGTGCTCCCCTTATATCAAGGTCACCCTGCAGATGGCGTACGAGTATCTGTGTCTGTACACCAACGCCTTTGCCTTTCAAGCGGCGATCGCTCAAGCAATTGCCAGCAAACCCAAGAGTGACGCCCACTCACTGAGGGATCATCTTCGAAGTGTGTTCAGGAATGTCGGGGCGATGCCAGATGCCCGCTTCATTTGGGCCAGTGTGGCCGCTGCGAAGGCCTATCTGACGCTTCTCAGCACACAAGTGGACCCCAGCAAATACCTGCGGTACATGCCGTTGAGATATTACCTCTACTGCATATATTCCGCGGTCTTCTTGTACAAGGCACGCTCGTTCGGTGTGATGACGGACATGGAAGAGCGCCAAGTTCGACAACTGGTCTTCCAGACCATGGAAGTTCTGAAACGAGCGTCTGTCTCTGCTCAGGATCCGGGTTCGCGCTATGCAAGGCTATTGGAGTTGTTGTGGATTAAGCCGCAAAAGGCCCCTTCACAATTCCCGCCTCCAATTCAATCCCCCGCAGCATCGGACGGTCCACTGTCGTCGAGTGGCAGCGTTCGCGTTGACGCACAAGGCTATATGCAATTCAGTCCGGCCAACGACTTCTCATGGCTGGATCTGGAGGCGGTCGGCGATTACGTCTCGGGTGACCAAATAACGGGCAATGGGGTAAATATGCTCGCTCCGATGGTGAATTTCGAGTCGGCGTCGACTTTCATGCCTCAGGGGCAGGCCCAAGGGATGCAGTGGCAGCAGACCAACAATTCGATGAACTGGCCAGTGGACTGGAATGGCAACTTGTTCTTCTGAGTGCTTCTCCCACTCGAGGCCTCGCTTGGAGACCTCGACCGCTCCAAATGAACGACGGCGCAGTTCTATCCGCCGAGCCGTTTCGAGCTAATGTCGGCGAATGCGAGCAGAAGCCGACGCGTGGGCAGCATTTGGATTTCCCCGCACCATCCACCACGACCTGCCGTCCAAATCGGCGCAGACACCGCGGCTGCACCGTGCGATCTTTCTCTAAAGAGGCTGCTCTGTGCTCGCGAGCACAGTTTCATATCTCAAGGCATGAGCACAACGCAGCGACTTTCCCAACTGACCTCCCATACCAGCAGTTCGCCGACACCAGGATCAAGCCGGTCCACCATGTCTGTCGACAACGAAATCAAGGGCAGATTAGCCCTGATCACGGGTGCATCTGGAGGGTATGTTTGTCCAGCCCCAAGACTCTGCGTTGGACTTCGACTGACAGAAAAGGACAGAATTGGAGCCGGTTGCGCACGAGACCTGTACAAGAACGGCTGTCACCTCGCCCTGACATATTCCAAAAACAAGGCCAATGTTGACACCCTCATCGCCGAGCTCCTAGGTGACTCGACGTCCTCCGGGCTGAAGATCTCGTCGCACCAAGTAGATATGGCGTCCACAGAAGATATGGAAAGACTATATAAAGAGATTGAAGCACAGCACGGTCACGGTCCAGATATTTTGGTTGCCAATGCAGGATACGGAAAGCGAGTGCCTCAAATAGTGGACATCACATATGAAGAATTCGACTATACGATCCAGATCAACTTGCGCGCACCTTTTATTCTTGCCAAGCTCGCCGTCCCACACATGGCGCAGCAGAAATGGGGCCGCATCATCATGATGTCCAGCATAGCTGGCTACGGTGGTGGGATCAACGGCTGCCACTATGCCGCCTCCAAGGCCGGGCTGACGGGGATGATGAGAAATCTGGCCATCAAACTCGCCAAGGATGGCATCACGGTCAACGACGTGGCACCGGCCATGATCGGTGAGACCGGCATGATCCCCAACGCGAAGTTCCTCGAGGGCACTCCTGGCGATGTCAGGAATATCCCCGTCGGCCGGCTTGGGACGCCACAGGAGTGTGCGAATGTGGTGACCATGCTGTGCCGGACGGGCTATTTGACCGGGCAGAGCATCTTGTTGAGCGGGGGATTGAAATGAGGTGCTGTCTACGTGGTTTATGCAGCACATATAAGAATGAATCGAAATCATGACAGACACATCTTCTGACACGGCCATTGTTCAATGTGTGACCAACTGCATTGTTTCGTCTCGTCCCGTCTTGTCAGCATGGCTGCGACCTGTCCTTATGTTATTTAGGTATATTATGTCGCGTCACGTCACGTCACGTCACAACATGCACACAGTATATATATATATACATTATATATGCCCCGAACTGTACTTTGTCCCTTACCATTTTCGTTCAGGAAAGGGAGCGAAGCCGCTTTAATGGGGGCACGTGACGGAGCACCGAGGAGGCCCGGCCGAGCCCGGGAGAGCATCGTGGGAGCCACGGCAGAGTACGGGGGAACGCGCCCGAGCACCGGGGAGACACCCCGGAGCACTGGGCGAGCCACAGGGAGCGCTGCCTAATGCCTTTGCCCATTCGCGGACGCCAATTCGGGCTCAGGGTTCCCCTTTGGGCCTCGGCTGAGCACACCCTAAGCAAATACACTACCACCTGTGTCCCAGTATCACCAGCACCTGAAAACCCTATACGTCTGACTTAGCATAGGCCAGTCCATAACCTATCCTTTAGACAAAGGACAAAAGGGAGCAGTACTTGGCTTGGTTCAGAGTTGGGTACACAAGCCCGGCAGCTCGCCGAGTTTCAGAAGCCTCAGACAGCTTTTAATGAGTGTCAGCAGCATCATGACACGGCCGCAGCGGAGTATTTTGCAGTCATTTGTCAAAATGACACCCAAAAGCGTCGCACGATGCTTCACAAACCACTGCGAATTTTTTCACGCCACTTATTCATCGAGGACCTGATCGAGATGTATCCTGACGCCAAAGTCGTACTGACTGTCCGGAAAGGGGGTGCAGCAGACTGGGAAGCTAGTATAAAACCCGCAATCGCACCATTGATAAACTAAGACAACATTCCGTGGGATAGTTCTGTGAGCAGAGAGCTAGGAACTAATGTCGCAGAAGGGTCGCGGTTTTCCAAAGTGAACTCCATTGCACTGCCTGCAATCGCGGAATGTACAAGAATCCGTAGATGGTTGCTTCGACATCAGTCCAATTGAGCAGCCACAGATCGTGCGTATATTCGGCGAGGAATTTAGTGAAGAACGGCTCCTCGGGTTGGCCCTGAGCAAATTGAGCAAACATAAATAATGCCCAAGTGATAGTTTTAAGTTCTGTGCACCGAGTTTCGCCGTCTTATCCTGGAGCCACGCTTCCGTAGCTCTTTGTTGGTGGTGCGTTAATGCTCTCCCTAATCCCGAAGAGGGCAAGATAGTGTGAGGTGTGAACGACAGCAACCCGATTGCTGCTAAGCGGATGACCTTTTCAAGGGGAGGCATCACCGGTTCATCGTCGTCGCCGCGGGGAAATATCGCATGTTCGTAGGGATAGGATAGTAGGTCGAACTCCAGCTCAGTCGCCTTACGTCCAAGAACACTGAACTCGACGGGGGACAAGCCGCCGCTGTGAGTAGCATGTAGTTCGCAAAAGTTGCAAATATCTCGGGCAACCAATAGCAGCGACTTCAATCGATCACTGAGACCTTCCAGGTGGACGAAGTCGGAACCCAGGCGGGCCATGTCAGTGTTCGGTCTAGGCAAGATGTGTTGTAGGATATCCGGAGGTATTACTTCCCGTAGCCATGGTATGGTATCGCTGAGCAGAATCTAGGACGCATATGTTTCAGACGCACCAATCCATAGAGATCAGCTTTGCGGTGCCTTTTAGATGTATCCTTGCCTCATGGAAGCTGCCCACCACTGTTGCCATTGCGATAAGGGCAAAGCAAGCATCGATCACATCTTCATCTGGTACCTCTAGACTCTCCATTTTCCTACGCACTGCAACAATGGCCGCCAGATAAGCCTCTTGCTTCTCCTCGTTGACAAGAGCTGGTATTAGTGAAGTGTATTCATTCGTCACCGGAGACTCGGAACTGCTGGAAGAGCTATCAGTTTTCTCCAGGTTGGCTTTTTTGGAGTTCGCTCGTCTGTTGGATCTTTTCTTGCCCTGGGCAAATTCGTGCTGGGGTATGCGTGGCATAACGTGGGAACGGATGACGCGGCGTTGTTGTTAATTTCGAATCATGCGATTGGGCTAGAGGCACCAGATCCTTGGCTTGGTCTATAAAGGTGAAGTTGATGGTGGGAGAGGGTGAAGAGGCATTTGAAATTGGGCCGTTGGACATAGCTTTCAATTGTTCTACCGAGGCTTGGGCGCCGTAGAGACATGTATGCCGCACCCGTGTCACCATTGCTGATGCTCATTTTTTCCCATCGATCTCGTCTAGCCAAACCCCTCCAGTATTGTTGCGCGAGAAGCTCTTCCCAGAGGAAGAGGGCGACAACTAGCGGGGCACGGACCAACCTTTGGTTTAAGGAGGGGACCATTGAGGACAAGCAACCCGTACATGCCCACCCATATCGTGGCAACCGCATCCAGGCTCGTTAGTTGGACCACGGCTTGGTGTAGTCGCCAACATGCTGGGAGGCATTCTCATTCCGTCTTGATTGCAACGAACCGCATCAAAGCGTAGAAACAGCTAAACCCTCCTGATGACAGGGAATGTTGGTCAACGCTCGCTCGAATCTCGATGCAAATTCGCTCCTAAGCCTTCTGCACTCTGAGATTGATACTCTATTTACAAACAGCTTCGGTACAGTCAGCAAACCTGGCATGACTTCCAGACCGGACCCCGTGCTGCGCGTATATCGTCAGCACTCTGGACAAGATACCGCATCCGACTTGGAGGCAAAGTTGGTGCTGACTCCGGAAGGCACTTCCAATCTATAGGCATTAACCTATAGATTCACCGATGATCCGACTCAATGTGTGATCGACAAGTTTGCTTCTGGGATTGGATGATTGGCACGGATTCGTACCAAATCTAGCCCACGTGGTGTTCGAAGAGTCAATTCGGTCCTCTTCATTATGTATCCTAGGCTCTGAGTTGAGTCCACGTATGCAGAGAAGCCGGATGAAGTGTTTTAGACCTGTGCCATAACTACGCTGACGTCCTTATAGCACGTGTGTGGTTGGAGACTGGCTTCGATCGCAACATGGTGTTGAGGCTCGCCGTACCTACCTCGGCCGTCCAATGAGGGTTGTGAGGTTTGGCGACAGTTTCGTGGTAGAAAAGTCTCACATGCTTGGGCATGTCAAAATCCCTAACAGTGCCCTTCGAAGTCGGTGGTTCATCACCCTCGCTTCTGCCTGGCTGTCGGACAGTGATAGCCGGTCTCGATGTTGCCATTCACCTCGCCGAACGGTGGTTGAGCACGCTATTTTTGGATGCGGCTGTGTTTCGACCACCACGAGGGTGGCTTCACCACCAATGGTTATGCAAATGATCTCAGAACCACGAAGAAATACGGTCAGGGCGGCCCAATCATACATGCTTTGCCTGATGTCGGCGAAGGCCAGAGAAGGTGTTCGAAGGGCGTCAAGTTGACCACAGGAAACCATGGTGCGCGTGCTCCTTTCAGAGTCAAGACCACTCCCCTACAATTTTCATTTTTCTACCTCATCAACAGACAAAGAGTGGCTTGACGTCGTCCAATCACATGTTCACGCCTTATGTGCTCAGATTGTGCACGTACGATCCACTATATTCCATCTTGATCACTCGGTGGCAATGATTTCACGAAAGCCTTATAGTCAGGGTTACTGGTGCCGGGCTCCTGACCTGTGTGCTTGTGTGTGCACTGGGGTTCTGGTGAGTTTTGAGGCATGATGAACGATATGCTGATCCAGAGACGAAGGTTGACTGGTTCACAAACTGGTGAGTGGGATCTTGAGAATACGTAGTGCGAACTTGAGGCAGAGATTCGAGTTTTAGCGGATACTGAACAGGCCTGTCCTTATCCTGCTGCTCTAGCATCCTTGCAACTCTCGTGTTTCGTAGAAGGGTTATGATGTTGTAGTTGCACCGTCTTCTCATAGCCGTGTCATTCGCTGTCACGAGTATGGCCGGAGCAAGCTTTCATTGGCCGTAACAGCTTCTAACAACTGAAGGCTCTTGAATAAGAGCTGCTGTCGACTTGGGCTTGGTATTGATCCAATTTTCCACTAAACTGCTCGTCGCTATTCTTGAACGGCCTTCCGCGGTCAGATTGGGGTCTTCGATTTTGGATTGATGCATTTCATTTAGTGACCCATGGGTTGTCAGAGACAACGCGTTATTGAATTGCCGTAGGGACAGCATGCAGCGGTAGATATTCGCGTCCGCTTTGTAGCAGAAGGCCTCTGGCCGAGATTCCGTAAAACCTTCCGTTGCAGCTCGGTCCAATACCTCCAGAGACACATACAAGCAAGTGCCCCGGGGCAGAGTCAAATGAACCGCCATCACGACTTAGTGTTCCCCCACCTTCGTTTCTTGCTTGGGGTGTTGTCGTGTTCGGTGGCCATGGGACCGCGATCTTGACTCGCATACTTGTATCAGCATCCTGGCATCGTCAGGCGTCGTGACAAAGCCAAAGAATGAATGTGAGAGGTCAGTGATAGATTGCATCACGGGCTTGCATGGAAGGCCTCAATATGAGGAAGGCATGGGCAGCCAGACTGGAGAAGCCTGTTCAGCACAAATCGGCCGGGGCAAATCAGGTCGTTAATGCTGCCACGGAATCTCAGTGCAGGCGTCTCACCGAAATCGCGCAGTTGCATCTCATCACGATTGTATAGCTGTTGTCTTAAAAAAAAGACCACGCGATTGTCTATCTAAAGCTAATGCAGAGGTCGTCTGCCATGGATCTTCTGCACCATGCAGCTCTCCCTCATAGACTAAGTAATATACCTAATGCTGAAAACCAATGGCCCAGCGGTGACCAATGACCCCCACCAGGGAGACGACGCTCGCCATGGCAGTGGCAAGCAAAGGGATCCCGGCCTTGGATATGCCGGAACGTGACGCAGATATCGAACCCTACATGTGACTCTTCAAGTGGCCATCTCCTGATGGACTCTGCACAAGCTCGTCACCGGCGACACCACTAGAGTCGTTGGTGGCCACAGTGCCTTCTGCTATCACTCGGGCTTTTTTCCCATCAAAGATAATCGCCACCTCCTCGAGCGAAAGCCCTTTTGTCTCGGGATAAAAGAGATAGACCGTGATCAGAATGATCACGAGCATCGCAACGAAGACCAGATAGTATTTCCACCCAATCGCACCGAGCGCGATAGGATTTACAATTACGTTGAAAAATGTGGCGAGCAGGATGCACTGCTGTGTCAAGGCCAAACCCCGAGAACGAAGGTTATAGGGCCACATCTCCGTAACGTAGGTAAGCATAAGCGGCGGTCTGCATCACTTGTTAATAACCTGTTTTTCCGGGAGCTGAAGAAGGGGTCAAACTTACACTCCCGCGGCATAGAAAGCATTGTATACGAAGAGGAATGGAATAACTGCTATGCCGACAGCTTCATCACCATGTCTTGCAAAGCCTCCAGTCAGACCAGAAATAACCATAAAGCTGAACAGCATGCCCGCAGCCCCTAATAGCCACAAGGGACGCCGTCCAGTTTTATCAACGCTGAGAGCACCAACAATCGCAAATATAAAGCCCCAGATTTGAAGGCATGCGTTGATCAGTGTCTGGCGAGTGACGTCGGTGATTCCAGCGGTGTCGAGTACCAGTGATAGATAATACGTCACTACTTCGATCCCGTTCCAGTGGGAGAAGATGCCGACCGTGATGGAGAGGAATGCGCGGTAACGGTTGGCTGGTGTGCGGAAAAGATCGAGGTACGAAGTATTCTGTCTGATCTTGTGCTCCAGTTCGATGGCACGCTCGATTTCGGAAATCTCGAAGTCAATGAGAGGAGACTTCTCATCACCAAGGGTATGGTATTTGGTGAGAATTTGGCGCGCTCGTTCCAGTTTCCCTTTGGATACAAGGAATCGAGGAGACTCTGGGATCAGGAAGAGGCCAGGCAGAAGCGCTATGGGAATAGCGAGCTGTACAAAGGAGGGAATCTATGCGATTCAGTATCAGCACCTTCATGTCCGGAACGGCGAAAGGAGAAGGCCAACAGCGGCATGTTTTCCTTGCCAAATTTCACGTCTCGTATTGAACATCGAGGTTAGGAGTGCAAAAGATGGCGGCAAAATGGGCAAACAACAAACAGGAAGTCATTGCTTACGCGCCAAACCCAATTGCTACCATAGCTCCTGGTGCCGTATGTAACCCAAGCTGCCAGGATCGACCCAATGTACCAATTGCACTCGTATAGAGAAGTAAAAAAAGCTCGGTGGGTTGGGTAAGCTAGTTCGGTAATGAGAAGTGGTGCAAGGCCACTCCACCAAGCCCCAGGCTGACCAAGCAAGGCACGGCTAATGATGAATCCAGCCGAGTTAGGTGTGAAGCCCTGGAGGAAGGCGCCAACAAGAAGGAAGAAGTAACCAATGTATATTCCTGGCTTCCGGCCCCAGCGATTGGCTGTCCAAGCGACCAAGGGATATACAACGAATGAGGAGAGAGACTGAATAGCGATGATGAAGCCGAGCCAAGAACCAGACGGGCCGCCCATGAATTCATCCCACTCTGGCAAGGCCAGGAACCCGAATATCATACTGGTCTCGTATCTGGAGAGACGTGACGCCAACGGTGTCAGTGATAGGAGCATATTCAGAGGTTAATTGCTGAGAAAGACATACCCATTCGCTGCGGAGAGCATTGCCGCATTGACGAGTAACACATTCAGGCCGACGAGATGGCTTTGCTTGTACCAAGCGCCCGAAGCATTTGGAAGGACCTGGGCAAGGTTGTGGCCGACGGGGCCGACGGGGCGCTCAGCCCTAACGTACTTTTTCACCGTAGCCAACATATGTCGCTGCCCTCTGGGGTATAATTTGCCGGGATCGAAGGGTATGTAGAGCGAAGGTCATGATGATGGGTGGGAAGAGCAGCCCTTAAGCGCTCTGAAGTGCATGCCATCTGGATTCAAGCAGCAGCTTCCTGTCTTCAAGCAAACTTGGTGAGGCTCTGTGTGAGCGCCGAATACCGAAACCTCACGCTTCTGAAGCCAGCTATATTAACAGAGTACTGTATATTCAGCCGCAACCGATGGGCTTCAGTGTAAGTGCCGAGCACCGAAGTTTTGAAGTTACTTTTCCACTTACAGGAATGGTCGCTCCATCCTGGTCGTGTTGAGCACATTTGACAATTATGCCAAGAAGGACGAGCAGACTGGTGCGTCTTTTGTGATTCTTGCAATGTCAATTGGTCCTTTCTGCTGGATTTTGAGGACCTTATTTCTCTAATTCACGTGGTCTGGTGCGGTCTCAAGACGGTGCACACCCAAGTCATTATGATTGCCATCCCAGGTGCTTACCATGTGTTGAATCCTGAGACCAACTCTGCCGTAGCGTTCTGAAGTTGTGGAGGAACACCTTGTATGTATTTTAGTTGTCCTGGGCAAGCTGCTGAGAGGGCATACTGGGTGCAGTATCGATCGGCCTGGTCAGTACATGCTGAAGCTTCTTCGGGAGCTTACAAATGCTCGAGGTCTCGGCCATTGTCTTCCCCCACTAGTCTTGAAGGATCTGATCAGCAACATTTCAATTCCACCATCGAGATACAACCTTGTGGTGAGATCACATGTGAAGGTCGTGGATTTGCAAGACCGAGTGGACAGACAGGGTGCGAATAGGGCTCTGACGCCTGACACTATGATTTTGAGAAATGTCGGCGATCTCATCAGATCTGTCTCATCTGTCTCCCTCTGGACAAGGCTCTACCATGGCCAACAAAACCAATCACGTAAAGAACGTCTGGAGAGCCTGTGAATTCTGCCGGAAGCACAAAGTTCGCTGCGTACCCGCAAGAGATTGTACGTCGGCTAATCCGCAGGGTCACTGCCAGCGATGCGCGGACGCGAACAGGCCATGTCTTTTCACCCCGCCAACTCGTACCAAAGCGAAACGATCTGACGTGAGGATCAGAGAGCTGGAGAGGAATGTCGAAGCGCTGACTGCTCTTCTGAGGAATGGGCAATCCACCGGTCCATTCGGAAATAGGGAGACAGATACAAGACCGGTGTTGGATGAGGCGGCGAGAGCGGTGGTAGAAGGAGCCGATGGCGAAGTCGAAAGACCTCAGCCGGAGACCAGAAAACCGTGGCTGAAGAGGAAAAGACCAGTGTCTGGCGAAACAGACCTCGACCGTCAACGGCCATCAAGTTCGCAGATGGTTGACTCGGAAAAATCGACATCCACGCCCGGTGCTGGGGTCCTGGACGTTATTGATAGCGGCTTGCTGTCCATCCGCACAGCGACCGAGCTCTTCAATCGCTACGTCAACGACCTGGCACCTCATCGACCCATTGTCGTCTTCCCGCCGGAGACTGACCTCAACTGCTTGCGAACCCAGAAACCGACTCTGGCTCTTGCAATTCTGGCTGTTGCTGCGGGGACTGTGGACCAGCATCTTGCCAAAACGCTCAACACTCGAATCAAGCAGGTGTATGCGGACCGTGTGATGGTCCAGGGAGAGAAGTCCCTGGAATTGATCCAGAGCCTCCTAGTCACCGCGAATTGGTACCACTCCCCCGAGAGTTTCGACGAGTTGAAGTTCTATCAGTACCTCCACCTTGCCGGCGCCATGGCCATTTACATTGGTCTTGGTGAAGTCAGCTCCACGGGCACGAAATGGGCCGAAGTAAGGCCTGGATCGGTACTTCGAAAAGGTAACCACGGGCTCGAAGTGGACAAGGGCTGTATCGAAAGTCGAAGGACACTGTTGGCCTGCTACTTGTGCTGTGCCAGGTGAATATATCCCTTTCTGATTCCAAGCAACAGGCTACTGGTCTAATCTCCTCACAGCGTCTCACTCGGTTTTCATCGACTCAACATGTTCCCCTTTACCACGCACATGGCTGAAAGTCTCGAGATTCTTGAGACCTCTCCCTGTGCCGCCCCCACTGATCCTCGTCTTGTCGCGTGGATTCGCCTTCAGCTTATTATGGATACGTCCGCCCCCTCTCTTGGTCTAAACAACACCGGCAATGAGATCAGTCTCGCAGACCAGCAAATCCAGCTAGCACTCAAAAACTGTTCGAAGCAACTCAAATCATGGGAGAAGCATACCGTTTTTCCCGTAATGAATGGTATGGACACCATTTCCATTCCTCATCGGATGCTTATAATCCTGCACTTCAGAAACCCTCTCCATCAATTACCATTACTTCACCTGCATCCTCCACGAAATCGGCTTCTACGGCGAATTCGACCCGGAAGACTTCAAACCCCCCTACACAATCAGCAAGTTCCGTCCAGCCACTTTCCCTAAATATAGCAACTTCACTCCAATCCATCTCTCCTCCATCACGACATGCTTATCTTCAGCACGTACCATTCTCGATACAATGCTTCGGATGACAACACACCAACTCCGATGCAGCCCTTGCATAGTGTTTGCTCGCATGTGCTATGCTGTAGTGCTTCTCCTCAAGATCTCCCTTTCGGCGTCATCCACAGAAGGTGCGCTCAACGGCGTCTGCGATTTCGATATGACGAATGTGGGAACGTATCTTGAGCAGCTCGAGTTCAAACTGAGAGAGATAGCCAACGGACAGATCCTCCGATCGGGAGCAACGTTCCTGGGCGTGGTCGCCAAGCTCGGCGAATGGTATCGAAAGCATCAGTTGAATGAAGAACTAAGGCGGGACTCGCCGAACATGGACGCGGATGAATTTGAGCTTGTCGAGCCGTTGAAGCATCTTTACGTTTCAATGCCCCATACTCCTCCCGATGATGGAAGTAGTTCTCTGACCACGACCGCCACGGGCTCCAAGTCGGCGAGTGCAGCCCAGGACACTGCAGGTGAGCCACATCGTGACCCCTTTTCGCTCAACAATATCCCCGCCGTTATCGACGATGACTTCCAAGACCTTCAAATAACCGCCTTCTACCCATCCCAAGACGACACCATGTTCAGCTTCGATTCCAGCGGCCTTTCCTTCCCGTCCATCCGTCAACATGAAGTCGCTTGCACTATTTCAAACACGAACAATATCCAGGCGGATGTGGACGGCATGGCCATTGGTGTCAACGTCGATGCTGACCAGCATGCGTGGAATATGGACGCCTTTCTGGAATATGGATGCCTTTCTTGATTCTGTGGGTAGGGGCACTGGAGAGACTGGGTTGAATGAGCTCCTGAGAGAGAGGGAGGGATACGGTTGGGACGTGGAGCGGACGTCTTAATTTGTCACGCCTGGTTTTTATTTGGAGCCACGGATATTTTGTCGGAAACGAGAGGTATTACAACGTTGTGGATTTTGGGACCGCCTTGGAACCAAGGAGAAAGCTTCATGGACAACGGGGTAAAGGACAAAGGAAAACTACAAGACTAATTAATAGTCTACGCAGTATCCGCTCCCCTCTCGGCCTCCTGCTCCTTTGATCCACGTGCGATCCTCCTCCGCTCCTCCTCTGCCTCCAAACCAGTCCTAACCTCTTCGTGCGTATTACTCAACCTTCTGGTCCGTTCCACAAAGGCCGCCGCGACCAGCCCAGCAGCAGCAAGACAGACAATCTCGATCCATACACTTTGCAACGAGTCGTAATAGGCGTAACGGACGACGGCTTGCTGTTCAGTGTGCAGGGAGTCGATGAGGAGGATGCCGGCCTGGGCTTCGTTCCCTGAGAAGCGAGCCGCAGCGTCCGGGCCGAGAGATGCGACAAGGGCGGATTGGTGGCTTGTCATCTTGTTGGATAGGACTGTGGATCCGATCACTATGCCAATGGCGCTCGCCAGATTCCGGACGAATGCGTATGTGGCTGTGACGGTCGCGTTGTCTTGTGCAGCGACGCTGCTCTGCAAGGCGATCATCGGAGATTGGAAGATTGGCCCCGTGCCGATGCCGGATATGATTTGGTAGATTATGACCTTTGGCCACAATCTGCGGTCGGGGAGGTTGTAGAGGAGACCGTAGCCTAGAACCGAGAGAAGGAGGCCGAACAAGATGCAGTCGAAGCAGCGTCCTGTTTTTTTTATGTAGATTCCAGTGGCTGCTGAGCTCAAGGAGACGGACAAGGCCCAGGGCAGGAGCCAGACACCGGAGAGGAGCGGGCTGGCAGCGAGGACGGATTGGAAGTAGACCGGAAGGAAGTAAGCCCCCTGCAAGAAGTAGGTACTGTGGGAAAAGTTGACGAACAGTATGGCGAGGTTGGACGACTTGCTGAAGATATGGAGGGGAATAATGGGATAACGAGCTCTCGATTCGACGATGACGAAGATAACTCCGGTGGCCATTCCGAATATCATGAGACAAAGGACTGTGGGTGAAGACCAAGGGTGGAAGGTGCCGCCAAATTGCAGGCCCATTAGGAACATGATTGTAGCGCCGATTATCGTGAGACTCCCCATCCAATCGACAGCTTTCAGACCTGCAAGGATTTGCGTCTTTGTCGTTTGCAGATTGAGTGTAAGGAGAATAATGATGAACGCAGATCCAGATATCGGCACTGGCCATTGGGAAAATTTCAGCTTCCTTCCAAAGGAGACAAATGTACAATAAAGTTATGAGACTCACGGTTCATGTAGAAACACCATCTCCAAGACGCTTTATCAGTCAAGGCTCCTCCAACGGCGGGACCAAGGGCCGCCGCCGTTGCCCAGACCATGCCAATGATTCCGTAGTACATCCCCCGCTCCCTGGAAAACGATCAATGAGATCGAGAACCGTTTCTGTAAAAGCCAACTTGCCTTTGGGAGAAGAGATCTCCAATCACGATATTCACCAATGTCAACAGACCACCTGCCCCAATGCCTTGGACAGCTCTCCCAGTTATCAGCATTGCAACGCTTATCGCAGAACCGCACAAGGCACTGCCCAAGAAGAATACTGCCACGGCGAGGAGCAGCAGTGGTTTTCGTCCCCAGATATCACTCAGCTTTCCCCAAGTCGGGACAGACGAGCCGTTTCCCAAGAGAAATGCCGACGGGACCCAGACATAGCCAGCCATTGAATGAAAGTGCCATACGATCGTGGGTAACGCGGTGCCAACGATGGTGATGTCGAGAGCTGCCAGGAAGACGGCCATCTTGATGACGGCTGTCAGATTGAACAAGCCAGGGGGGAACTACACTCACACATAGTGCCACCATAGAGAGGGCTGTTTGTAACTTTCCTCGACTTCCCATACCTGTAGAAGACGAAGCAGAGCTTGAAGGGCCCGCGTCGGCCGAGGAAGTCGGTGGCTGCAGAGGGTCTTGGGATCTCGAGACAGCACCTAGCTTGAGGTCCATTGAAGTCAACGAGTAGGCCAATGAGCCAGTGTGCTGCAAAGGCAAAATATCCAAGTCGATTCAAACGTTAGAAAGTCCTCCTGGCCTAAGATTAGACGAGCCGAATAGATAGAAGACCTCTGCTGGTGGATGACACAGAATGCCTTTGGGATGGCACTTCAGCTCGACAAGCACAATATATACGTGCCCGGCTACAATATTCGTTCCATATCTTCATCATTTGAGGGCTTTCCCGGTCGTAGTTGACTCCGATCCCGACGAGTTCGTTGTTGGCGTGTCCTTCAACATGTTCCCAGAGTTTGGATCTTCGATTGAAACGAAGTCGGGCTTCGGCGCTCACCCGCTCCATGCCAATTTCGCATCCGTGGGAGGATCAAAGAATGATGCAGGGCTCCGCGAGGCTCCGCAATCGGGCATCCGTGATTGGTGGTCCAACCATCCCCGAACTGGTCTTCACCCATTACCATTTCCATTCGGAAAAGGGAGCGAGGCCGCCTTAATCGAGCACGTGACAGAGCACTGGGCGAGCTGCAGGGAGTACTGCACTGATGCCAATCCGCAGAAGCCTTCATGCATTTCAGCCAAGCCTGCTGCCTGGAAACGTTCGACCCTTCCGTCTACGTGGTAACGCGTCTTGCCTAATCCTGGCGTAGGAGATGGGTTTGTGGCAGAAATGTGCGCGCGAAGAACATTATGTACCAACACTACCGCTTGTGGCATGTTATCTCTTGGGGACCAGTCAAGAGAACCACCATCTGTTCTGGATTCGACATCAAGCTCAACAAGTTGCATCATGTCGGGTGAGCTGCTACTTCTGACAAGAGATGTATGCCAAAGATGCCATTCCCTAGACCTCGTCTCGGTCATCGAGCGGCAGAAACACAACATCCCGAAACAAGATATACTCTGGTCACCATTCCTTGCCCTGAACACGACGACAATGCTGCTATCATGCAGCGAGTTCTGTTCGACTTGGATGTTCCATTCTCAGCAGACTGTTGTTGTTGTGAGATTTTGCAACGAATCTCCGCAGCATACTTTGCTTTCAGAGTGGACCCAGACGGAGGCACTTCAGTCAACGGTCCTTGGAGATTTGGGCTCGATGACGGCTGGTTTGCATTCGCAAGAAACAGAAATTCCATTCAACATTACAGCACTGTAGCTTCTTCCGAAGGCACAGCCTTCTCACGCATCATGGGTCGGGATACCAACCACTGTTCCACCGCCGCTTGGCGCTCCATATGCTGGCTATATCACTCGAATTGTCCCACCGAGACTTAAAGACTACGGGGTCCTCCGCGGGTGGCTAGAAACCTGCGAGCGAAATCATCCTGGCTGTGTGCCAGAGAAATCGCTGGAGCTGAACACCATCAGACTTATCAACTTAAAATTACGAAAGCTGGTTACCTTCCCAACTGATGTTCCGCAGGTAAACTTTGCGGCTCTCAGCTATGTCTGGGGGGACGTTCACAAGAAGTCGTTTCAGGTTGGCCAACTGCTCCCGCAGCTCCCACAAACGTTGGAGGATGCTATGGTTGCAATTCAAGAGCTAGGTCTGCAATATCTGTGGGTCGACTACGTCTGTGTCGATCAGCACGACCACTCATCAAAGCATGAACAGATCAGAATCATGGGCAGCATTTATGGCGGTGCATATGTGACATTGGTTGTTCCTCATAGCAAATCTGCCGTAGAGGGAATACCGCGTGTAGGAGAGTCTGCCGCATTTGTTCACCAAGCACATGTCAGTATCGGCCGAGGCAATGAGATTGTCTCGCGTCTACCATCCTTAAGGACCGAGATGGGAAGCTCTCCCCATGCACAACGTGCTTGGACTTATCAGGAGATACTCCTTTCCCGGCGTAAGCTAATTTTCACAAAACATCAAGTCCACTTTAGCTGCCGGAAGATGATGCAGTGCGAGTCTATATTCGAGAATGGCCGATTTGACGATGAAGAGGCTAGTGGAGGCTTTGGTATGGACAACGCGGCCACCAAAATATTGGATGGAACATCGGAAAACTCAGATTGGCGTGGTATATATGACAAAATGGTTCTTGAATATGCCGTTCGGAAGATGTCGTTCGAGAATGATGCCTTAAATGCCATCTCCGGTATCTTGTCACGCCTTCAGCGTACGATATACCCCAAAGGTTTTGCATATGGATTGCCCCGAGACGAATTTCGGAAAAGGCTCTGCTGGATCCAGCAAAGCGACAGGTTTGAATACGATGAACAATCTCTCAAGCGACGCTTTGGTTTCCCTAGCTGGTCCTGGCTTGGATGGGTGTGGGAGATGGAATCTTCACCTAGCTGGTGGTATGAGCACGATGACAAGACCAACTACTGTCCATATTGCTGTTTGATTCAGCCACCCCTGCTCATCCGACTTGGGCCGGATGATGAGGTCGACTGTGCGAATGACAACGTCTGTGAGACGACTAGAACTGTGTTCACGGGCCGGGATGCAATACGAAGAATGCAATTCCTCCAGCATCTGTACCAAACAGGCAGGATGAAAGGCAACACTGAAAAACGCCGATTCGACCCGTTTACTGAAGTATGTGAAACTATGGTCCAGGTATTTGCCTTCCTTCGGTCTCTGCATCGGTCGGACAGGATGCCTGGTGGCAATACGCAAAGGCAAGTCGATGGTTTGGCCGAAATATGTGGAGTCATCGTCCAGATATCTGTTATTTTGAGGCAGCGAGCAGGCAAGAGATACAATTTCACCGACGGATTCCAGGTACTGCCTCACGTGTATGACAGCCTCAATCTGAAAGACTGTGAAGCAAGAGCTCGAGCTCCTAGACTCCGCGCATATCTTGACGGTCCCATCCGCGACGTGGTGTCTCAGCAAGACGTCTGCACGGAGGTGGACTGCCTTTTAGTGGCATGGAGGGTCGGTGTTAAGGCTCAAGCAGACGGGTGCCCGGTGTTTGATGATTCTGATTCTGACATGGCTGAACTTGCTGAGCAGTTAAGGGAGATGGACACGGCAGCCCCGGAGTCTTCGAGACGCGTGGAATTGTCTTTGTTGCTCTTGAAGTGGCGAGATGGGGTGGCATATCGGGCTGGCTTCGTCACGCTCACGCTCGATGCGGAGGAACTGTTCAGGAATCTGGAGCACTTGAATCCGGTATGGACACGTTTCGTTATGGGTTGAAAAGATGGCACCGCTCACTTTCGGTCTACTCTCCGTCTTCTGGAGCGGTGACGCGATTCTGGGCGAACCATATCAAATACAAAATACCGGATATCTCTACTCCTGCAGTGTGTAGATTAGCGCGCCGACGGGAAAGAAAGCAACCAAAACTCCTCCCTTCCTTTCCTTGCAAGGCTGGCCAGAATGTTCCGCCGCCCGGGAATTGCTATATCCTTCTTCACGAACCCTCCCTTTAGAGGACGTAAGGGGGGTGGGTCCGTCCGTCACAAGGGGGAGATGGGATGGGATGGGATGAGACCAAAATCAAACTCGAATACCATATCAATATTCCTTGAATATCGATATCAGAATCAGTATCAACATCAACGGCAGCCCGTCCGCCCCTTTCAAACCCACATGAGTCGGCTCATCGATTGAGGTAAGTAATAACCCCTCTCTCCCTCTCTAGGAGGTCCCCTTTTTGCGTTTTGCCATTGCCATTGAACTCCGATCCCGGTTTCGTGCCGAATGCCAATCCGATCTCCCCGTTCCACGAGCTTCCTTTTGGGGGTCCCATCGACCCATATGTGACACCATTTATCCGAGTAACGTACTGTAGAGTAAAGCAGAGGGAAGGAGAGTAGATGTAGAGTGACCAGCTATGTAACGAATTACCTCGCCCCCGGCCGGATAATGGGCCCCCGGCCGCCACCCGGCATGGCGTCCTTCCTGGTATCGGTGCCGGCGAAGACCTTCTTGCGCGGGGGCGCGTCGGTGGCGTTGGTTGTGGTGGCGGTGGCAGTGGTAGTGGTGGACTTGGACTTTTGGGTGGTGGTGCCGACGTAGGTCCTGCTCTGAGAGGATGCGTGGGGGATGGCGTCGCCCTGCACCGTGGCGGCGCCCTCGATCTCGGACGTGGTCGAGCTGATCTCGACGTTGGCCGGGCTGACTTCGAGCGGGTTGAATTGAGCGGACGGTGTCGGGGAAGAAGTATTATTGTTATGACTCGAGGTCCTCGTCGTTGCTGCACCACCCGTCAGGTTCTGGATCTGCATCTGCTCGGCCGCCTGGGCGATCGACTTGGCCGGGTCCGCGGTCGCCGCACTGTCGGGCGAGAACGACACGGCCTGGGCGGCCACGGCGTCATCTGTCCCGGACTTGCTGTACTCACTCGGTTGGCGGCTGATGCGCGTCCGGTCTTGTTGCGCCGACCGGTTCGCCTGGATGTCCTGTTGGCATTCGGAGGAGGAGGTGGAGGAGGGAACGGAGGAGGATTGATGGCGGGCGGTGATGGTGGTCGAGGTGAGGAGTGGTTGTTCTCGGGGCTGGCATTGAGACTGATGTTGCTGGCTGGGTAGGAGACCTGTGAGTCGGTGGAGAGGGGTGGTGGGAGCTCTTAAACTCGGGATTCGAAGGCGTAGAGGCGTCATGTTGTAACTTGGTGTCTCAAGTGGTGGTTGCCGGTGTTGGTATGTGGTGAAGGTGTAAGTCGAGTCGTCAAATCAATAGTTAGGGGAGGAAGGAAGTTAGTAGTTGTCGAGTCTGGCGCCTAGAGTATATATGAAAACGCTAGGCCAACCCATTGTCGCAGATCAGCAGTGACATTGGCCCCTTTGAGCATTTCTGATATCATCCTGACGTGGGTGGACAATGGATGTACAATGGATGTACAATGGATGTACAATGGATGTACAATGGATGTACAATGAGCTTCCCCGGATTTCTAGCCCCGTGGCGATTGGTGTCTACGGTAGATTGTGACCACCACCGATTCTAGGCTCGTTTGATAGTTTCCCATCTTCCTCCTTCTTCGAATGGCTGCAGAAGCGACGCATCGACTGAGCCCTCATGGCTGGTGTCATGTCAACAGCAAATAGAAGTTGGCCATGTGTCGACTCCGCCTGCCACAAACGGGCGCCTTGCATCACCAGGATCGTGCCCAACACGAGGAATTCAGCCCCCAGTGGGCAGTCTGCCCTATCTTCCAATTCTCCATTAATATTGTATCATTGCCACCGCCCCTCCGATAACCCCCTCCGATAGATGAGGGCTGAGCTGCGTCGAGTTCGTATCTTTTCTGACGATCATCGAGATTGCACCTCATCTTCCAGGGAATGTCAGACCCCTTCTCAACAGCAAGCAGTGTGATCGGTGTGGTCTCGTTGGGCTTGACTGTCTGTCAAGGCCTGGTGTCCTACTACTCAGCCTTCAAGGGTCAAAATCAATATGTCGATAGCCTCACCCAGAGAGTTCAAAACCTGCAAGGCTGCCTCAACTTGTTGCAACAGGCCCTACCAGTATGGACGATACGCTTTGCCAACACGGCGCCCCAGATCCAACAGCATATCACCGCCTGTGAGCCTAGCATCGTGGCTTTGCGCAACAAGCTCTCTGGCTTCAAACAGATGCAAGGGCCTTCATTGCGCAGGGACAAACTGCAACATTTAGCACAAAAAGCAGCCTTTCCATTCAGAAAGGCCACCATCGATGAATTATGTGGCATCCTTGATGGGTTGCAGAAGAACCTGGACACCGTCCTCCTCATCGCTGGTTTGTAGGTGATAAACAAATTAACCTGTAGCTCATTCTCTCAGCTGACGGCGGCAAAGGGATGCATCCTCAACCACACTGAACGCCCTGGTTGTCCGAGACACAAAGATTGACGCCATCTTATCCGCTTCAGATGTCATAACTGCTCGGTCCCAACAGACTAGCGACCAACTTTCCTTTTTGTGCTCCGAAATATCCACGATCAAAAATTATATCCAAGCTGAAAAAGCCCTTCACGGTGCCGGCTCGCATAAGCTCATCCAACCGCCCGACGGCTCGATCTCGACTGCGAGACCGCAGAACTCGCAGCTACGGGGTCCTGGAGAAGGGCAGGTCCAGCCTCCGCACTTCCCACAACCGAATCTTTCTTCCAGAGCTTACTATCAAGACTTACACGGGCGTCCAACTTCTCCAGCAACCAACACATCCAAATGGTCTCATTACCCAATCTGCCTATGCCTGAAAACCAGGACGCGCCGACCCCCAAGAGCAACTACACTGTTCATTTCCTATCTTCACACCGAAGAGCATGAGGAGGATTGTCCCTGCTATCTGCCAACGGCCAAGAAGAGAAAACTAGACATCTGGATATCGTATCGCTCGGTGCTGATCTCTCGTGGTTTCCGGTGCATGGCGTCCTTTGTCACCGGCTCGGGTGGAGGCTCAATCAGTGCAACTGTGGACTGGATTCCGATTGTTTCTTGGGAGACTTCGAGCGCAATCCAACTTCTTCTGCGACTAAAACATGCACTGTTTGGTTGTGAAGCGCCGGAGGCCCTTCTGGATGGAGCCCGCGTGGAGCTGATGGGCCTCTTCGCCCAGAGAAAAGCACATCCGAGAGAGGTTGATGAGGGTGGTCGTGGCCTCCTCTATGTGGGTGTATCCATGGCTTACGTGGTCAATTCTTGCTAATTGTGGGCACAGCACGCAATCAGGCTCATTGAAATATCCCCCAGCTATCTAAAAGGTACGAACTCCCCAGCCTTTTCAATAATCCTATCGCCCAAGGCCGCGTTGATCCACCGAGCGGATTGCATGGGAGTAACTAGATTGCATGTCAGGAGTAAAAGGTTCAGATTACATGCCGGGACTGATCCTTTGGACGCAACAGATGACAGAGACTCTTTTTATTCTTCTTATTCCCGCCTCTTATACTGGCTTGCGTCCTTGGGTGCCAAAGTAAACGCTCCAGCAAGTAAGCCAGTCATTTCCTTGCAATGACTCAGCTACCTGACCTGATGGTATAGCCAGGCAGTACATATGGCCGGGCAGCAGGAGTTCCAGACTTTTAGGTACTATTACGAAGGATCTGACCGAGAGAGGAGCTGTTGTGGTCGCTTCGGATAGCCTTGGAATGTCGTGGCCTGTTTGGGCCTGCCTGACTACGTGCCTACAATGGCACCATGGTATGCTATCTGAAAACATGCCCATTGAAAATATGATGAACTGCTAACTTTCCAGTGGTCGAAAGCGGACCACTGAGCTGCGCGATTCTGCGACGGAACCCCGAAGAGGCTATTCGCCTGCTTCAGCACAAACGCGCTCTCGCTCAGGAGTTGAATGACTGGGGTCACTCACTTTTGCACCTCAGTTGGAATTGGCCACTAGGTCTGGTTATTCTTCTCAAATATGGAGCCTCATCACTAGTCAACCATGAAGATAACGTCGGCAACAGACCAGCGAATAGGCGTGGCTTTACCTTCGAATCCATGATATTGATGGCCGCAGGGGCTGGGTTCGACACCAAGCTACTTGACGAGCTTCTGGATAGGTACAACGCGCGTTCACGGGAACTAGACGTTGTCTTGGAGGGACTTGCTGGCAGAAGAAGGCAGCTACAGCGCCTAGCGGCATTGCACTTGCCGCAATATGGACACACATTGGTCGGAGACACCGTCAAGGTCCTGGATGAACAAGCCGCTGGGGTTTCCATCGCACTTGAAAAGGCTGGCATCAGGGTGCCACCGGCTCTCTGCACTCCCAGACGCCAGACAACCGTATACCATGGTGATGGGCTTCCTGTCTGGCTCGCACAGAGGCTGTTCGACGCTGGTTTTTGTGACGTTGACGGGCGGGACGACCGAGGCTACACACCTCTGATGGGGGAAAGTTGGTGGCTTGCCGGATCTGACTTACTCGCATATGCACAATGGCTTTGTGACCGTGGCAGCGATTTGCTTTGCCGTTTTCCTGCATGCACGAGCAGCAACTGCAAAAAGAGAGACGACCACCAGAGGCCAATCGCGCTGAGAGCAATCCATTCGGTTGCGTGCAGAATCGGTCGGGAATCTTGGCGCGCGCATTGGAGTGCGACAAACCATGGAAAGCTTGCTATTCGAACAAGCCATTCGGAGCTTCTTTCAACTATCGTGTCCTCGAACATTTCAGACGGCTGCTCTTGTGCTTGTTCCAGCTCAGGGTGCATTCCTGTTCTTAATCTTGTGAACAATCCTGGTATATATTCTGGGCGAGACAGCTATTGGTCCTTGCAGTGGCTGGATGTGCATCTTCCCGTTGCCTTCCCCCAAATATTCTTGAAAGTACTCAGACTCTACACTTTCGACGCTCTCGGCCTGACACACACCTGTTGCCGTCATGGCAGTGTTCCTGATCCGGATGGATCTTTTCAACCCTGGTCTAAAGCTTGCCCATTTTCAACACCCGTTGATGAGGAGATCCGAGAGATTCAAGACGAAGAAAGGCACCAGATATCCCTTCTAGATTCACTTATGGCCGAGTTCACCGAACAGTGGTTGTCGTCGACTTTAAAGTGGCGCGTGGAGAAGTTCATGTCCACGATTTGGCGGCCTAGATTGAGACAGATTCGGAGAGAAAGAGCACGAATGTCGACGGAAGAGCAGGCTCGGTTACGGTCCCTAGGCATCGAAATGCACTTTGACGACCAAGACTCTTTGAGTGACGATCGAGGTGATGATGAACGTTCTGTGGAAGACGAGGAGCTTGAAGATGATGGTGTAGACGAGGAGCTTGAAGATGATGGTGTAGACGAGGAGATTGCAGAAGAGGAGATTGCAGACGAGCAGATTGCAGACGAGGAGATCAAAGGCGCTGGTGCAGACGAGGAGGTTGAGGCTGAGAGAGCACACAAAGAAACCAAAGCTGAAAGACAGCTTCGAGAGATCCGAGCCTTCTTCACCGACGTCGAAGTCGCAGAGATCCTCAAGGAATCTGCGCGAGTGAACGGCCTCGAAGATGACGACAACGCCTGGTTCAAGATAATCAGAGCGATCGATTCACGACAACATCGAGAGCTAGCTGGAGAGCAATGAGTCGCTGGGATGTTTTGTGTCGACGCCGCGAGACAGGTTCCTTGAAGCGTTGTTGGCGATGCGGACCACGCATGCCGATGTCGCTGTGTGACCCAATCGCGAGACTCGGAATTTTGGCAGAGGAGGATAATGAATCTTGCAGGATTGTTGGTCGGGTGTGCGGCGCGATGGATGGATGGATGTATGTATGTATGTCTTAGACAGGAAGAGGCTGTCATACAACAGTGTTCTATTCCCTCTCTATGCACACGGTTCTTCCCTTCCAGCATGGTCCTCCGCGGCTCTCCCCCTATCCTTTCCACAATCGATCGGAGCTGGCCCGTTGAACAAGCTGAGCTGTTCGGCGCTCATGCTGGATGGATGGACCAAGTAGCGGCGGGGCCATATATGCATCATGAAGGGGATGGTTCTCCTCCATTACATATATAGACCTGGACCTAGATTCAGATCTAGATCTGGTCGGTCGTGTTTGGCTTGCTTCTGCTCTACTGGAGAATCAATCAGTGCTGTCTGATCTGATCTAATGTGGAGGGAGGGAGGGGGGGAAGAAACGTGGCTTAGTCGAGAAACCTTTGTGAACTTCCTCTCTCTCCCCTCTCTCTCTCTGTGGGTTGTGGAGCTTATTTATTTATGTATGTGTACAATACAACACAAGTTAGAATTCAATTCAGGTCCACCACGTAAAAATTTCCCTCGCTGCCAGGGCTGGGCAGGGCGGGTGCTATCAACAATAATGATAAGGCTGGCTGGGTGGCTGCCCCATACACCTACCTACCTACCTACCTTCTCGAACAGACAGCCTGATTGGGCTGAAAAGCAATCTCATCATCCACGAGGTCGTATTGAATCCCTACTAGTACTAAGTTAGAGGGAGCCTCTCCCCCTCCTCCCTCCCTCGTGTCTTCCAGCTCTGCCGAAGGGGATCTGAGGGGTTTCATTGTGTTGCTGTCCTGCTTGAGTTCTTCTGCTCAGGTCAGACTAACCCAAGCAAGTAACTTTTCGTGCAGACGCCGGACACTTGAAAGACTTGGGTCCAGGTGGCTTTCGTTGCGTCCTGTTACCCACCCACCCAGGCATTTTGATACGCCGCACGCAGAGTGATAATATTTGCGTGAATGTAAGCTCGCATGGTCTACTTGCACACAAAGTAGTTCTTCTGCAGGGCGTCGTGCAGACGGCCGAAGACGCCGCCGTGCCAGGTCTTGAAGTCGGCCCATTCCTCGCGCGGCATGGTGGCCGAGAGCATGTTCAGCCAGCCGCCCACGATCAGGTCGGCGTAGGTGGCGCGGGCACCCTCGAGGTAGGGCCCAGCGTCGTGCACCGTGAACAGCTGGGCCAGCGACGTGAGGGCCACCTGGAAGGCGGCCGTGAGCTGCGCGCGCATCTCGCCCTGGATCAGGACGTCGTCCCACGACGCCAGGCCGGCGCGCTTGGCGAACAGCGCCCGCGTCGCCTCCGCCGTGGCCGGGTTGAACGGCATGTAGTACGCGACCAGCACCACGTGCGCCGAGAAGGTCGCGTCGACGTGCATGTTGAAATGGGCGTAGGGGGCGGTCTTCGCACTTCCCGTGCGCGTCGTCAGGGGAGCCGGGAAGGCCATGTCTCGGTGCGGACTCTCGTAGTCGAGCCCCGTGCCCGTCGAGTCGGCGGGGAACAGACTGCCGGCGCCGGAGTCCGGGAACTTCTCCTCCAGGTAGCTGGCAATGTCGAACGAGTCGCCCACCACGGTGCCCGAGGTCGGGTCCTGCAGCATCGGCAACGTGTAGAAGTCGGAGCCGTCGGCGAGCTGTCGCACGGGCGGGCAGCCGAGCCCCTTGCGCACGTCGGGGATGTCGAGGATCTCGATCCACTTGGTGGTGAAGGGCACTCGCTTGAAGCTGAGCGCGAGCCGGGCCTTGGAGGGGTTAGGTGCGTACGACCGCGGCTGGAGGGGCGACGAGATGTCGTAGAGCACGAGAGGGTTGGAGTCTGTCATGGGTGCAGGGTGCAGGATTGCAAGAAAGGATGGGTTGGGAGTGGCAGATGTAGTATTGTGTCGGTGTAGAGACGGAGCAGAGCAGAGCAGGGCCAGTGGCGCAGGAGGAAGAGGACGAGCAGTGTTTTATGTGTATGCAGCACGCACTCTTCCCTTTCCTCGTCTACCAACCTACCAACCTACCAACCTACCAACCTTTGCTGGCACAGACAGACATTGTACAACAAACAAGTCACATCTGTCAATTCGTTCTCTGCTCGTTCCCCTCTATTTGCCCCTCTTTCCAATCAGACCACATGATCCTTTTTCTTTCTGGGAGCACAGACCCATCTTGGTGCTGTCTATCCACCGCATCGTGCATCGTGCCTAAGTGTTGAGATGGGCTGAAATCGGAATAGGAATGTCAAGATAGAAATATTATATCAAGATCTAAGCCCTACCTGTATATTGTCGGCTGTCTTGCGGCTACCGGCTTTAGTGAGTGGCTTACAATGTTGGCGCAGTTGACGCCATCGTCAGGCGACCAGGGTTGCTGCGAGGGTTACTCGCCCATGGGAGAGACTGGTCCCACGGCGCCAGGAGTTGCTCCTGCCTCCTATCTGAATAGACGGCACTCCTAGCTTTGTATCGTTCTATCGAGAATGAGAATAGGCCTTTACTCGACATGTTGGTATACGATTCCTGGCCGCTTCAAAATATAGTTGGAAAACCCCCCGACAGAGACGTCCAAATAATAGACAGCATGTCAACATTGCGAGCGGTCAAGAGTCGTCGACTACAGATGTTCGCTCAATCCAAGAAACTAGCAGAGAGAACAACCTAGCCGTGCTGGAATACGCCCATCAATATATCTCACATTGGACCCTCCCTTTGGTGCTCGAGGACTTCGTTACCAGCGAGAAGAGAATTCCACCCAATGGAATGAAGAAGAGGGGATAACACCGATAAGAAGCGCAGCAATGCCCCAAAGCCAGCCGCAGAAGGGCTTTGAATCCAATCCATCGTCAGCAATGTGCATTTGTCGGCAAAGGACCGTCCAAGGGGCTGTCCTTCACTCTTATATACAACGTGCCGTCCAGCACGTCGGTACATCCACTCTCTTTCTGACACCATATCTACACCACCGTCACTTTTTTTTCTTTTGGTAAAGCGAGCGCCCCAAGCCTGATCGCCAATGCCGTGCGACTTTTCCGTGACGCCCGATGCAGAAAGATGGATTCAATCATCATTGCGTCTTGAACAGCAGTATGGCAACATGTCCCAAGTAGAAGTAGATGAAATGCTTCGTCTCTGCCAGTCTCTCGGTCAGTCCCAATTCGGCCTGGCAAGTGAGGCTCTCCCTACCGTGGGTGACAAAACTGCCGAAGTTCCGGCCGACTATGCAATGCCATGTGGCTCCCTTTTTTGAGTCGAACTGCGAAGAGGTGTGTTAGGGATTGTGTCGATATATCATCGTCAGGCTGAGGGAGCTCAATACCTCTCGCTTAATGTGTTGGGCAATATCCTGAATTCCCAGTGAGCATGTTCCTTCAGATCAAGGCCTGTCATCCCGCTGCATACCTTCTCGACGCTGAATTTCTCCATTGCCTCTTGTGCTGGACACCAAGTCAACATCTCACTCTCCGCCTCTTAGTCACCGACGCCTTTCCATACCAACTTCAATTGCCTCTTGTTGCATGTCCTCGCTCTTTACGTTCTGTCAACGATCGTCCGATTCAATCCAGCACGGCCGTCTTACCATATCGACAGATTTGATCTGGGCTTTTCGTAGGTGGTCAGCAGGGGAATCGGGAGGGAAGGGAACATCTCAGGCTCCAACTCACGCTCCAACTTCACCTTCTTCTCTGGGACTCCTTCGGCAGTAGCCATGATGTCGGGAGTATTATATTAGGCAGGAAAAGACAATCAATCGCGACGGGACAGACTGTACAGCGCACAAAGGAATCGATGGATGACCTGCAAAGCGGTATGTATGAATATGAATCGTGGAAGCCGACTGCGGAAGATGCGCATGTGCCGTAATAAGTGGTTCGTTCCAGTGCAAATCATCACAAACCAGGGTCATGCGGGTCCAGCCAATGGCGCCGCGTCTTGGCAGCCAGTCAAAAGACCCTCCTACGAGTCACGCTTCCCTCGAGCCCTGCCGCTTTTAGATATCCACAGTATTTCGTGTGGGATTACACCAGGTTGTCGGCTGATCGATCTCACTCCTTATAAACCATCATGTACATTTTCTGTCATCTCCAGGAGAGACGTCTATTAGATATAGCGAATATGTGGTACTCATGTTATATATCAGCAGGATCACAGGAAGTACGGGTGACAAGTCCAAGAAGTTTGAGCAGCGGCCTGAGTGGCCAAGAATCATTCCGCTTTACCCTTCCCATTCGCCTTCGACGCCTTGTTTTTCTTCTCCTTCCCACTTTCTTTCATGTTCTTCGATTCAAAAGTGTTCGTCCTGCTCCTCCAAGTCGTCACTCTGTCAGGCTTTGATTCAATCTGGAAGCTGAAGTCGACCTCGCCCACAAGACTCTTGACCATGCCTATCAATCGCTCCAGTTCCTCGCTGACCAGACTGCTGGCGACCTGACAGACGGCAAAGGCCGCATAGCACGGCTCCGAAACATGTTCAATGCGTAGAACGTCGGGGTCAATGATGTGGAGGTCTGGACCGAGTCGGTACGGTTGCGGCACTCGGAGAAAGGGTGGGAGAGGTTGTGCGTTGGTGACGCTGGCCGAGAGCAGACTGAGCACGGATGTGATGTCGTGTGTGGTGATGTGGAGGCTGCGCATGAAGAGGCGAAAGTTGTTGATCCATGGTTTCTCGATGCCGGGATCTGCTTGAGATTCACCCGTGATGATAGGAGCAAGGCAGTGAGTCGATGGGCGTGCCGACGCGGAGAAGAGAGGGGAGGCGGGAGAAAAGGTGCGTGTCGAATACGAGATGAGAGTCATGTAATTGAAAATGGTCTGCATGGAGGCGATGATGTCGTGGTACGTTTCTTTCGGGAACCGGCCGCCGATGGTGGGCTCCCATTCACGAGCGAGGACCTGGAGTTTGGAGATTTGAATTCCCGTCTTTGCAAACATCTTGTTTCGTGCCTTTTCGACCCGGTAAGCCGGGCTTTTCTTGATCCGGGGATCCAGAACGTCATCTCGGAGGCGCATCTCCACCGTGCTGTGTACGGTTGCATAGTACGTGGCCAGAAGGTACAGGCCCGCTCCGAGATCTCGTCGAAGTTTACCGTGCGTCGTCACCGGGAACGGAAAATATGACCAGATGAACGCGACAAACGTTCCGGTCAGGACAGTGGCGAGTCTGTAGGGCGCCAGAAGATAGATTGGATAATACGGCTGCCCATTGGAGGTCACCGTCTCCTTCCCAAGCTTGTTGACTTCCAGTTCATATCCCACAATCAGCAGATTAGTGACATTGAAGAGGATGGCGCCGACAGAAAATTGTGGATACTTGAAGATGGTGTAGAATCCGAGGAATTCGACAATGAAAAGCACGGGGATGACGCCGCCGGCCTTGCCGTCCGCGATATACCACAGAGTTATCGAGCTGCAACAAGCTGCTATTGTTCCGACGACTCGGCCCAGGAATCCGATCACTGAAGCGCCTGTCGTCGGAGCGAGTGAAATGGCAACGAGGATGAGAGCCCATAGGCCACGTTGCTGAAGAAACCAAGCCTGAGTATCGTGGAGAAAGCCGATGATTGCCACAGTCATCATGGCGCAGACAGCTCTGAATCCAAAGGCAGATTCCGCAGAGGCGAAGAAATGCGACGTGCCGCGTATTCGATCGCCAATGATTTCTAGGTAGCTGGCAGCTGGCAAATGTTCAGGGTCTTTTCGCTTTCTGTAGGCTTCTCCCAGATGGACAATGGTTCGTGTGCCCTCACGGCCCGTAATCGTCGGATCTGCAATGGAGTCTGTTGAAGTCCACATACTTCGAATCCATTTCTTCATCCGCCGCTTTCCGGGAAGAATCAACCTTGACCCTCTTTTGTTGGCTTCGTGTGATTTGACGTCCGCAAACACCACCAGGTCCAGAACGCCTTTTGCAATGGACCAGGTCAGAAACTCGATGTACAAGACAAGATACATCCGCTGTTGATTCTTTCGGTGATGTCTTAACCCTGTAAAAGGGCCGGTCATCGTTGGTGGTGGAGCACTTGAAAGATCCGTCATGAAAGAAACCGGCAGATCAACCCGCGCTGCTTCACTCCAGCCTCGTAGAGTACTGGAACGGGAGGAGTCAAATTCCTCAATCTTCCGACTCAAGACAGCCACGAAATCCCCATCCTCTGGTCGTGACATTCCATTCTCTGCGTCCTCGGCCCGCTTTCTCCTCCGGCCAAATCGCAATTGAATGTATATGTGATCCAATGCGGTTTCCAAAGTCTCTGCTAGAGAGTCGAAAGAACTGACGAGCGAATCCATCACATGCGCCCATGCAACGCGCTCTGCTTGCAGATCGTCGAAAGCCAATCCCTCGGGGTCATCGTCGTCTTCTGCACCAACTGCTCGGATGGCCACTTCTTTCAAGATGTCAACCAAGGTGGACATTCCGTTCATGGGTAGCAGAATAGACTGGAGCAATTCGCGAATCTTTTTGATGTCGTATACATCGAGGTGGCCGACCGCAAATTCGGTCTTAGCATACTCCAGTTCAGTGTGCATGCGTCCGAAGGTAGCACCGAGACTTGCGGTGCTGTGCTTCAACCGCTGTGCTTCGGGCGAGTTTGTGGCTCTGATTTCTTTGGGAGTCATCCTCGCCGTGGAAACATTTGTCTCTTGCACGCACGTGAAAACCAAGTTTTTGCGCCGCATTCGTCGCATATACGCACCCTGAGCTTTCAGCGAATCTTTGAGCTTGCTGACAAAGTCATCCGTCAGCTTGAAGCATAGCTTCCGATGACTTCGGGGGAAAATGAAGAACGAAACACCGACAGCGACAGCAAATCCCATAAGAAATGCCCCAATCAGGTGTTTGATCAAAAGCTCGGCCTGTGACATTTGTACTATTTGCTATGTCATGTCAGCTCACGCTTTTGGCCGAAATCCTGGCGTATCTTTACCGTGGCGTTAACAGAAGCGACAATAACAAAAAAGCTCAAAATGGTGCCTGTAACTGAGTATTGTGGACGCAGCGCCCGTCCCACATTGATGAGGTAGATGGAGAGACAGAGCCAGAGGGCGATTATGGCGCTGGCTGAGCCGCTGTAATTGATAGTGCGCTTGGTATTCGAAGGGCCAGGCTGTGCTGCGCTCCTTGAATGCTCCCTGGATTTAACTGCACAGTACATAGACAATAGCATGACAGCTGCAGAGAGGCAGACCCCGAAAACATTCAAAAGCATGGTTTGGACAAATCGTGCTCGCGGCTGAGTTGCAAATGAGAAAAAGGACATGATGGAGACCAGATATCCGAGACTTGTATAGAAATGTGCGACCGAGCTTGATTGATTCCTGTTGTTGTTCAGAACAGCGGTCTTTGCAGATTTACAAGACTCACATTGCAGCGGCAATTGCCGGTGGGAGGGCACCCCTGTCTCCATGTTATTTTCAAGCCAACAATAGATACGGGCAAAAATCACTTTGCCATCATTTTCACTGTTTCCAGGTCGAGATCTAACCATTGCCAGACGCGCTCCCAAATTGGGACGGACGGCTTTGACTCTTCGGTTGTGCTGGAGTCGTCATCGGTATCCCACTCCAAGGGCGACCGAGACGAGGGGTCGTCTGCACCGCCTTTGTCTTGCATTGTGCTTGAGAAAACCGGAGGAAATAGATCGTCTAGACTTGGTTTCACGCGTCATGACCGAAGAGTCATCTCTTCGGCGCGGCGTATCCGGTTCCCTCCGACGGATAACGTTGCTCACCAGGTCCTGTAAGACGAGAAAGCGCTGGTCTCTCGCCGCAGTCAGATTCTCGATAAGACATACTCACCACAGTGTGACGTACGCATGTGCCTGAAATCAAATAGAGGTTCGACGAAAATTATAAGAAATATCCGAAGCTGTGTAAAAGGTGTACCGAGTAGAGACACGCGGATCATCCGTCGTTTGATACCCCGCCGCCAGAAGCGACGATCTCCAATTAAGATTCCATTGCTGGATAAGAACAGGGCGGCGTCACTATTGGCCCAATCCGGTTTAGGCTTCCTGCTCAACCACCTCGGCTAGCCCCTTTTTTCAACTCCATACCAACTTTCGATCTGCACACCCAACCGCCTGGCCCCATCCTCACTCATGTGGGAAGAAGCTTTGTACCTGAAACTATCGTCTTCTGAGTTACCCCTAGCCTCTGGACCATAAGTGTGGGATGGCTTGCAAGCTTTGTCGCCGAGGATGTCAAATCATGGCCGCAGCACTGACATAATATATGAACTGAAGCTGCGCGGATCCATATGCTCGGGTACTGCTAGGATTCGAGAAAGGCCTCGTATGTTGGTGCTATCTCAGCCGCAACCTCGATTGGATTTGGAGATGAGATGTGGCTCTTCCAATCTGCCTCCAGCTTTTCACGACGGCACAGTTCACTCATTGGCTTTGTGGGTCCTTCACACTGAACTCGCCCTGATTAGGTCGGGCCGATCTGTGCAGTTGTTACGCGGCTCCAATCCGCTACGAGGCGCAGGGGCCTTTTGCAAAGGGTTGCCCAATATAGCGATCGGGGAGGGTTCTAACTCGGGTTGCTAGAAGGGCTGACGACGTTAACCATAAGAAAGTTCTATTCCAAAGGGAGGGAGTCTGCGGATTTCGGCCAGTTTGTGACGTGTGCCAGTCCAGGGCCTCAATATTGCGATGCCATGGCTGGATCCGAAAATTCTATGCGATTAGTGGATGCTGCGGGAGAATCTTTCTACGGCGAGGTTGACCATATTTAGGAGACCACCACAGACATATTCCTCGGTTGATATGCCGCTCTTCAAAGGTGGGGACAGTCGGGGCGTTGATGAAACCCCTGCAGTGTATATACACATTGATGGAGGCCAAGACCAGTCACATTGTGGTTATGAAAACTGATATGAGATATGAAAGACAGCCTATTATGGTGATCAGCTTAGGAAAAATACCAGCCTTAAGATCTTCATTTGGGTTTAGGGACTTTCGTAGTCGGCGTCCAAAGTTCCCCCCTTTATGAGTGGAGCATATCTGGTGATTCACTCAGTCATCATTAGCGAGGACTGCTGCCTTGCAGTTCATGTCGGGGAGCAAACAATCGACTACCTGCCCTACGGAGACATGACCTCACGTATGTGGTCTTGACACGCCTTCATGCAAAGCCCTTGCAATTGACCGTACCGGATCTATTCCCAGCTATCGCTTTCGAATTGCCTGAAACCGTAATCCAGAATATGGTAGTGGTTGTCATCGAAATGCCTAACCAGCAATAAGAATGCCAAGGGCGGGAAAGGCAAACCTCAACCTTATATACTTCGACGCTTTACCAGCAGCAGGATAAACCGTGACGTATCCGCCGCGGCTGTGCCTTGCGCTGAGCCTCACGTCTCCGCCTTGCCCCTATTCATGGCCCATCGACATCACAACATATACAGCCACATTCCTGCTATATTTGATGTCATCCGCGAACTGATCACAAGGTGCGTTCGTTGTTGCAAGATGAGCTCGACAGGTCGACTCCCACGAGGTGCTTGGATGCCGCGATCAGAAGATGACTGTTGCACAGTATGTCGTTCATATCTAGGTCTGATAGGACTGCAGCAGAGCACCTCCGAGGCAGTCATGGAATTCCATAACATGCGGCAACTGGTGGATTCGGCCGACGAAGGGTGCCATCTCTGCAGCCTGATCTTGTTAGAGATCCCCCCTTCTCAACGGGAGAAGTATTTGGAGGATCTTGAACGCGACGGAGACGGCGAGCCTCAGATCGTAGCAGTGGTCTGGTATTATAGATTCCCAGATGAGCGTCGTCCTCCAGTGCCATACCTGAGGATCGAGGAAGCAAAACTGAGACCACCGGTTGTCAATCGCGTCATCATCTGCGAATTCCAATGCCACCTACCTGAGGATGAACGTCAGATGAGTATGTGAGATTGCCCCGAAGAATTGTCTATAGATACTCACAGTGTCTTTGTCAGGGCGGCTTCTGAAGCATGTGCAACCATTCACGGGGTCTTGGGAGACCTTCAATGACATACATTACTGGCTGAGGGAGTGTGAGAACGTACATACCAGATGTGCACAAAGACGGCAGGAGCGACGGTGCCAGCTGCCGACTCGATTGCTACAGGTAGGAGCTTTTGATCCGGGTCCTCGGGTATATCTACGTCAGTCTTCTCAGATCCTCCCGGACTCACGATATGCGACTCTTAGCCATTGCTGGGGTCAGAATATGCCGGTGAAGCTGGAACAGAGCACGTTACAAGCTTTCTCTGAGGGACTCGATATCGCCTCACTACCACGAACGTTCCAAGAAGCTATTGGGCTCACAAAGGCTCTCGGCATAGACTACCTGTGGATTGACTCTCTTTGTATCATTCAAGACAGTCCAGATGACTGGGCGTACGAATGTACCCGTATGTCGTCTGTCTACATGGGTTCATTTGTCAACATCGGGGCGAATGTATCAGCAGACTCCTCCGGAGGTCTCTTCTGCCAGAGATCCTGGAAATCGGTAAATGCTCTCGCTGTGCGTCTGACATACCCACCCATCGGGTGGCATCGCAAGCCAGTCATTCTGTATCCGAAGGGAGAAGGCAATATCCTCGACCATGCACCACTAGGGAGCAGGGCTTGGGTTGCTCAAGAGCGCCTTCTCGCGCCCCGCACGATCCACTTTCTGCAGCACAAGGTCGTGTGGGAGTGTGACGAATGCATGGCATCCGAGTCCGACGTGACCGGGCGGCTTGAGGGGAAATACTTCGTCAAGAGGACGTACCTGGCCCGGCCTACAGCGACGAATGATAACCACGACCAAGCCCGAACCCGATTCCTGCACACTTGGGCCGACATCGTCAGCTTTTACAGTGCGGGAAGACTGTCCGTGGCAACGGACAAACTCATTGCAATATCCGGTGTTGCCAAATATGTGCAGAGCACGCTCTCGAGCGACCGGTCGTTGCAATACTACGCAGGGCACTGGGGCCACAATTTTGAAATGCAGTTGACATGGTCCGCATCCTGCTTCAGCGTTGGCAACAGGCTGCCGACATATATCGCTCCATCATGGTCATGGGCATCGTACAATGGCGCGGTCTTGTTTCCGCGTCCCTATCGGAGAACGTTATGGGCGACACTCGTCGATATCGACGTCCATCCTGTATCAGACCCATTTGGCGCGATCAGGTCGGGCTCCATCCGCATGCGTGGTCCTTTGTGCAGAGCTGTCCTGCCGGATACAAGGGTGCTCGTAGACGAGGAGAGACCCAAAACACTCAGATTACTTGGATCTGATGCCGAGATCGAGTGTGTTGACCTGAGTTTCGACGATGAGGTTAGCGAACCGGAAATGGCCGAGGATGGTGCGGAACAACAAACCCATCTCGTCATGTTTGGCATCATGCAAGGCGAGGATACCGATGATAGACCGTTTGAAGGAATCATCCTACGCCTGACTGGGCTACAACCGGGCCAGTACAAGCGTATTGGTGCCTTCCGAGTCGATGACCTCGTCCCCCGTTCGCTAGAAGAGCAGCAAACGCAGGAGCGGATATACGCTATCTTTGGGGGCGACCCGCAAGAATTCGAGCGGGATAACTTTGGAGCGTTGAGAGATGAATTCGATGCTATGGACATGCCCGAACAATATTTCGAAGAAAAGGGAGACGATTGGTATGAGTTTACAATCATTTGAGGTTTATGTATGCCACGATATTTCTTGACCGGGGTATGTATAATATTTGAATGGTGGCAATTGGCTACCTATATAACGAGCTCGCTATGGCTGCCTGCACGCACACATCGCTTCTGCCGGTCCCCTCGATTACGAGTACTGTATTGTGTAACCTACACGGGCACGGGGCATCCGAAGCTGACGGCGACGGTTCCACCTGGGCCGAAGACGGCAATCAACCCCTCAATAGCGGCCCAGGTACCCATTCCGCAACACGCAAGGCCGAGGAGAACGTAAATCAGTGCCACGGTGCTCCGGAACCAGGTCTTCTTGTAGCCTCGGATCCATCGCTTGAGGCCGTCGTCGTGGCGAATGGTCTCGCGCGTGGCCGGGTTGAAGCCCTCCCCGGGGAGCTCGGCGGCCTTGTGGATGGTGCTGCTCAGGTACATCATGCCGGGGAAGGTGTAGGTGAAGTTCATCATGAAGACGGCGCCGACGAAGCTGACGATGCCGTTGAGGTTGGGGACGGCGCCGGCGACGATAAACGCCAAAATCCAGTAGCACGGGCCCAGCAGGTACCAGAGGATCTTGCCCTTCTTCTCCACGATGGACGGGAACTTGAAGATGGCCTGGAACACCTCCAGGTACACAGTCTTCATGCCGATGTTGAAGTACATGATGATGGCGATCCAGCCGGAGAGCAGGCGCAGGATGTTCCCGGCCGTCTGCAGCCCGTACGGGTTGACCACGTTGACGATGTTGTTGGCCGAGTACTGCCCGTAGAAAGAGTAGACGAACACGCCGAAGAACATGTACACGAGGCAAATGAAGGCCTGAGCGAGGAACATGCCCTTCCAGAAGTCGAGCGGGTGTCTCATCTCGGCGAGAAAGGCGACAAAGAGGAGGGCGCCCGCGTAGGCGTAGACCATGGTGTTGACCGCGTTGAATGTGGCGGCGAAACCGGGAGATTGCTGTTGGTACTCGTCCGGTGGGATGCCGGCAAAGACTTTGATGGGCTGAATGGTCTGGATAAGCGTAGACTTTGTGATGGCTGGGTAATAAGGTGCGAAGTGTGAGGCAGCCACCATACTGTGGTAAGGCCGGTCAGCAAGCTATATTACGAGGTGAATCAGAGAGATGACTGACCAGATAATGAAGTTCACAATGTTCATCCACACGGCGGCATTCGAGATCCATCCGATCTTTCTCAAGCTTCGAATGAATCCTCCAAGCATCCCGACAACCATGATGACAACCATCATAGCGACGAAGCACACGCTCGAGTGGGCGATCTGCTCAATGTTCAAAGCCTTGCTGAAGATCAAGATGGCCACGGTGAAAAACTGCTGGAGAGATTGGGCGACGTTGATGAAATGTCGCATCCTCACGCCGAAGAGGCGCAAGAATGGATCACCAAAGCTCTGCATGGGGTAGCGAGACGAGTCGAGATCCAGGAAAGTCTTCCAGATGACCCAGCCGCCCCAGGCCGCGAAGATGCCGAAGATGAGATAGAGGGCGACGCCGGTGCCGTAGCCTACACTGGCAAAGACAAACCTGTGTTGAACCGTCAGTCATGATCTGTATTCATCCGAGTATCGAGAAGTACTCACGGTGCACCTGACCAACCAAGAATATCAGTGGTGATGAGGAAGAACATCTGGCCCCAGCTGGCGGTGCGGAGTGCACGAGCAGCAGTACGCCATTCTGCGTCTGTCACCCTCAGCGCCGAGTCAACAGAGCCGCCGTTGTTAACATCAGTGACCACGCCCGTTGGCTGCTTCTCGTCGAGTTGTGCCAAGGTCTGAAGTCTGGCCTCCTTCTCTGCCTTCGCCTTCTTTCGGCCAGACTTTGAAAAGGCGTTCTTTATCGAGTTGCGGAGAGGAGAGCCATGCTCCGCCTGGAACACTTTGTTCTCATCAATCTCCATCTCACGCTCGATCTTGGCCCAGTAGACGTATTCCTCGTACGTCACGGTGCTGTCGGTACGCGCGGCGAAACCCCACGTGCGCTCCATGACCTGGGGCTTCTCACTGGGTGCGACCGAGGACTTGCGCATCTGCTGTTCGGTTACCACATCCAGCTCCGGGGCTGGATGCGTGACTGGGGCGATATGCTCCATGGCTGGTAGACGGTGGAGTGAATGAGAGAAACACAGAAACGAGGTCGGGCGCGGAGAGGAAAGCAGGGTTGTTTGGGGGAACCCAGGAACTACTAATAAGTGGCCTCACCAACGACGCTGTCCGGTCATATCCCTGTTGTCGCACGCCTCACGATGTAACATGAAATGAACATCTGAGCAGTCAGGCCGTGGCGATTCGGCAATTGGCAGGTGCTGGAAATTGTGCACACAGTGTTAGCGATATCTCGTGCTCCTCCTTGATAAGATGGAGCAATGCTTGGGTCGCACAAGCACGACAATAAGCTCTACAGTGATCGGCGGGGCGTCCAATGAGATCCACGCAATAAGAGGCCGAGGCGTGGGACGCTTCCACTTCGAGCCAGACAGACGATGCGGGCGGCGAGATGCAGCGTTTCATCGCAGGTCATTGACCCAGTGGAACATAGCTCGCGATCAGATGGCCAGCCCAGGATCTGCACGACAGACTGAAGTCACCCCGGACATGCCAAGCACGGATCAATCCCGAGCGGGAAGGTGACAAGCTTCTCAAGCCGCCAAGCTTCCTTCGATTCGGCCTGGAGGATCGTTCGGAAATCTTGGCAGGACTTGGCAATGGCGAAGTGATCTTAAACTGCTGGGTCGGAGGAGGCGTTGTAGTGGCCGTTAAAACTTGAAGTGAGTCCGGCTCATTGATTCCACTGCGATGTCAATCCGTTAGTCTGTCTTTGTCCCACCCCCATGCACGGAGGTGACACCCAGCAGCCATAGCCATCGAATCCATAACCCTGCTCCAGCCTCCGGGAATGGGGTCATGCCACCAGCTCCGATGTAACACTCGGCTGGCTGCCTTCGAGCCATGAATGCGACAATCGATCCAATCATGCCTATAAGCGGTATTATCCGGCATATTCCCTATCAGGGGACCCTCGGTTGTCTGTAGATTTTGGGTCGAAGCCATCCCGACATGATACAGGACAGGGGAGCCAGAGTAATAACGGAGACATGGTTGGAATGGCTCAATGGCTAGCTATATAGCCAGCTGTCTGTCGTTATGGTGGTATGCATGTCTGTGGGAGAAGAGATGACGAGAGTTAAGAGTGGATCGAGAAGGCAACCCAGTGTAAGTATCCGTCCCACGCCAAGCCGGCGCACTTGCCTGTCCTGGCTATGGATAAGACACTTTCGGCGTCTTAATAACCTTCTTCAATGGGCTCATTCCCCCTAATTCTCTGTCACGTCCATTTCAATTGGTGACACAAGTGTGGATTTGTGACCCCGGGTGCAACACCCGTGCTCACTGTGGCGAGACAAAAGGACAAGCTCATCTCGATGTCTCGGTCAATCGTATGTGCACGGTGTCGTGCGTGGATTTGTTCTGGAAAACGAACTTCGTTTAGAACCAGTCCCCATTCTTCTGGAGTCGGTTGTACTAGATTTACCAATCAGCTTGTATCTGACATCGCTGGACACAGCATCAATGCGTAAGAGAAATACCGGTCTTTGATCGCATGATCAGATCGAGTTCGTGAGCTGGTGGCTCAAAACAGTTGTGCTTGAACCTTCTTTTTCGCAAAGTAGTGTCATTTGGACACGATTCTCAGAAATTGACGACGATTGATGCATGCTGCGAACGACATATTGATTACATTACATTATGAAGGGGGCAGGCTTCATGCCATAGCGTGGCTAGACCTTGGAGAGATGCGCTGAGAATCAGTTCTACGTGCTGAGAAGCATCTGAGGTTCTGATAAGCCAGTTCCCACAGTGTATGCTACTCATGGCGTGGCCGGGGTGATCTGCCGCAGAGATTGCAACCTCGATCGTGATGGATTGCCAGACACCTCGGGTCAAGCTCCGGCACGCACGTGAAATGCCTATAGCCTGTCGACTGTGCTCAGACCAGTCCAAATCGACCATGTCCTCTGACCGAGTCGACTTGACGGATGCGTACTTGGCACGTGCTGCCTAGCGACGTTTGGCTGTCGGTTGTGGTGCATAGAGAAATCCGCCAGACGCCTTCAGTCTGTAGGTGATAAACAAGGACGTGTCACGAAAGCATATCGCCAGCGTGGTGCATTGAAACCAAGTGGTCAAGTTCGAATTCAGCTATCCCGCAACAATGACCGGCGAGATGAAAGAGGTATGTTACAAAAGATCTTGGTCTTTGCAAGTCGCTGCGTCCATGAGGTCGGTATCACGAGACTTTTTCCGAAAGCATTGTCACGTGGCTCGTGAGTCCTAACGAGTGGGAAGAGGCTGAAGGTAGCACAGCCAGGGGCACACCAAAAAACCAAGCAGCTCAGAAGCAAATATATATTATCTGGCGGAGGTCAGTATCATGAAGGGAGCTCAAGCGCGATTATCTCCGATACGCCGCGTCTTCGGCGAGACGTTCAGCTCCGATTCGGCGTTCGTCGCCCGAATGCCGGAACTCGACCTCCAGCTCCGAATCCGGATGCACAGCTTCGATGCCTGATCTGTCAGCACAACAAACCCCGCCGTAAATAGCCGCCGTCGAACACTCAGCTCCCGGGGAGGCTTGTGACAGACCGAGGGGCGGGCAGCTTGGGGAAGGAAGGCGTCCAAAATGGCATGGGCTGATTGTGGGACTCATTGTAAGATGGGTTGCCGGTCTATACAAGCCCGAATATCTCAGGATCACTACCAAGTATTCTGCTCAAGTTTACATGTATAGGTAAACAAAGATGTCACAGCGCTGCTGCAGACCGCTGCGCGTCGCTGTGTCGACGACGCGCTCGGCCATCCGGTCTCGGTCATATGCAACCCAGGCGACACAGCCGGCGACGCGGAAGCTGAACGTGCCCATTGATTTCGGCAAGACGCCCCTTCTCCATCACTCCTCGAAGACGTTTGCACAGACGTCTGGGCTGCCGCAAGGCGGCTCGTCGACACGGTTGAATCTCTGCCAGGCCGTCAACGAGGGGCTGCGGACTGCTCTGCGCGAAGACAACAAGGTCCTCTGCTTCGGCGAGGACGTCGCGTTTGGTGGCGTCTTTCGCTGCACGTTGAACCTGCAATCCGAGTTTGGGCCCGACCGCGTCTTCAACACCCCCATTACCGAGCAGGGCATTGTCGGTGCGGCGATTGGCATGGCTGCTGAGGGCGCGAAACCCGTGGTCGAGATCCAGTTTGCCGACTATGTGTTCCCGGCCTTTGATCAAATCGTGAACGAGGCCTCCAAGTTTCGGTATCGCGAGGGCGCGACAGGTGCCAACCTGGCTGGCATGGTGATCAGAATGCCTTGTGGCGGCGTGGGACACGGTGCCTTGTGAGCCTCGCCATAATTGGGACCTGATATTCGACTTATTGTTCATTCCTTCTAACTCTCCTCTCACACCCCTAGATATCACACACAATCACCAGAGTCGCTTTTCTGCCACGTGCCGGGCTTCAAAGTGGTCGTGCCGCGGTCCCCGACGCAGGCGAAGGGGCTCCTTCTCGCGTCGATCCTCGAGTCGAAAGACCCCGTGATCTTCATGGAACCCAAGATCCTGTACCGCGCCGCGGTCGAAGAGGTCCCGGACGAACTGTACACGCTCCCGCTGAGCAAAGCCGAGGTCGTCAAGCCCGGCGCCGATCTCACGATTATCTCCTACGGCCGCCCGTTGTACAACTGTCTCGCGGCCATCGAGGCCGCGGAGAAGGCCTCCCCGGGCATCAGCGTCGAGCTGATCGATCTGCGGACGATCTACCCGTGGGACCGGCAGACGATTCTGGAGAGTGTGCGGAAGACCGGGCGCGCCATCGTCGTCCACGAGAGCATGGTCAACTACGGCGTGGGATCGGAAATTGCGGCAACGATCCAGGAACAGGCGCTCTTGTCTCTCGAGGCGCCGGTGAAGCGGCTTGGTGGTTGGACGACGCATACCGGATTGGCATGGGAGAAGTTCATTTTCCCGGATGTCACGAGTGAGTAATTCTGCGCCGTCTGGGAGTTCCTGGTACTGACATTTGATAGGGATATACGATGCAATTCTGGAAGTGTTGGAGTATTGAGAAGGAGTCGAAGAAGGGCATTCTATTCTGTACAGAGTCACAGAGAGAGCATAATCTGGAACAATCAAAAACTTGAATCTCTGGCATAGCATTGGGTTAAAGAAACGAATTTCTAGCGTTTTGATTTCCACATTTAGTTTCACACGTCTATACTTATTTACTACCTACTGCCTGCCAGGTTACCGGGATGAGATTGATTACAGTGCTTTAATACCGCCTTCATAGTCCTCCGCATCGTACTCCTCCGGGTATTTCTCCATCAGCCGCTTAAGTTCCTGCCTCTGAGCTTCCTGCTCCTCCGAATACTCGGCGTACACGTCGTCGAAGACTGAGCTCAGACGGGGTTTCTTCTCCCGCTCGGCGGCCTTCAGCTCCGTCAAGATGTCTTTTCGGATCTGGTTCCGGGCGTCCCGGTCCATGTCGTCGTTCCACAGACCCTTGTTCTCCAGCCACTTCTTGAGCCGGACGATCGGATTGTCCCGCGTCTTCCACGGGTTGACCTCGTCGTGGGTGCGGTAGGCGAAGCTGTCGTCGCTGGTGCTGTGGTGCGAAATACGGTAGCTCATCATTTCCAGGAGAATGGGCCGTCCACCGTTCTGCAGGGCGCGGCGGCGGGCTTCTTTCGTTGCTTCGTAGACCGCGAAGATATCTGTCCCGTCCACTCGCAGCGTTTCGATGCCGTAGCCGATCCCACGGCTTGCGATGCCGTCCCCACGATACTGCTCCGTCGTTGGCGTCGAGATGGCGAATCCGTTGTTGCGGCAGATGAAAATCACAGGACAATCGCGGACGGCGGCGAGATTGAGGGCGCCGTGGAAATCTCCCTCGCTTGCCGCGCCGTCTCCGAAATATGCCACCGCGACTCTGGGTGACTTGTTGCCGGTCTCTCGATCAGCAAGCTTCAGGGCATAGGCGGCGCCCGTGGCATGGGGGATTTGAGTCCCTAGAGTCGATGCAACAGCATGCTGCTCACATCAATATCGATCAGCGATATCCACACCCTGGCTTCGGTCATATTCTGCTTGCAATGTCCAGAGAACTTACCACCCCAGTCTTCAACCTTCCACTGTAGTGACAGGGCATATTCCGTCCTTTCCCGGGGTCGTTCTTGTTATGCACCAATTGGCTCAGGAAGTCCTTGAGCGTGTAGCCACGCTGCTTGAATACGCCCGTCTCTCGATATTGGCACGTAATGACGTCGTCGGGGCCGAGAGCTGCTGCGGATCCTACCATGATCCCCTCTTCGCCTGCTGAGACCTGCAAGAGTGTGTATGAGCAGCCTGTTCTTTTCGATAGCAGTCCTTCCGCGACGCACCATGTAAAAGCTCAGTCGACCCTGTCTTTGGGCTTCAGACATGATAGTATCCAAGATATTGACTGTATCCTCGGACGAGTTCTCAGCATGCCATGATCAGATCCTGCTGGGCTGGAGGCAAAAGGTACCAGTCAACATGTTCTTGTACCACTCAAGAACCTGCTCGTCCGTCACGTCCGGAGGTGCTCGAGAGTCATCCTGCACCTTTCCTTCCTGATTCATGACTCGGTAGGTCGCGATCGGTGGTAAGGATTTCGGTACCAAAAAGTCCATTTTGGTGCTGAGAGGACTTCCGGTCGCACCGGGAAAGCGAGGTCTGTAACCAGCACCTTGTTAAAAGTCGCCCAAACGATATATCTTTACACTGCTGGATGCGGATACTGACGAGGTTGAGATCTCCCCGAGCGTCACTGTTGAGTTCCATCTTGTAAAGACTGCGGCCCGGGCGCGTCGACAGGCGGGCGATATGCTCGCGCTCCCTGCATTTCGAAGCCACATAGTGGACGGTGGCCCTCTCATCTTGAACTGACACTCAGAACTCCATTGAAGTCAGAGCATCAGCTCTGATAATTACCAAGTTGACCATCCTCTGCAGAGAAAACCCCCGCAAGTTGGGCGGTTATCGCCGGGTACAACTTGCATCGGCAGACGCTTACTATTCGATGAGGGTCTGTCTCAGCTGATGTTGTCTGATGCTTTCGGCGAAGTCGATGTACAGCGCCGACTCGGAGGAATCAGCAGTTCCCAAACAATGGCCGACACTCGGGGTTTCAGCGACGTAGTTTCATTGGTTCGGGGAGAGACTCACAACTCCAGTAGCACCATCTGTAACTCCTTCCCCTATACGAGGCCCACTCAGCCTCGGACTCAGTCTTCCGGATTCATTCGACGCCCAAGCCTTGTCTCCTAACACCGACCGCCTTGATGGTTGGGACCTACAAGGAGCTCTGTGGCGTGGATCACACCAGCCGAAATGTAAAGCCGCCATGTCGCCGCAAAGAACCGTAGACAGCCGCAAGCGTACGGCCCCTTTGTGCTGAGACGTCAATGGCACAGCGGCTGCGGAGCCGCAGTGATATTACAACTGCCGTCTTGGTCGCCCATGTCAATGGACGTTGAGGACTGATCCCCCAGAGACGAAGCTGCACCAACATGAACCGGGTGCTGGTCAGAGACTTGCTGCGTCGAACTCACCGGATCTCAGTGACAGCGGCAGCACAGTATTCAAATCGACAGGCGTTTCACAGTTCACCGTCATGGCGTGTTGTCAGGCCGTATCTCCTCGCAGACATTGGAGAAGGTAAATCAACGTGAAGTTCCAATCACCCTCAAACAGCGGAATAACGAGAACACAGGAATCACAGAGTGTCAGATCATCAATTGGTCGGTAAAGCCCGGGGACCACGTTGCACAGTTCGACCCCATATGTGAAGTCCAGTCAGATAAAGCTACTGTAGAGGTGCGTGAGCTACTTCTTCCCTTCTTTCGGACCAAAATACTCACAGGCTGGTGTTGATAGATTACCTCACGATTTGACGGCGTGGTCAAAGCCCTCCATTACGAGCAGGATGAAGTTGCCCTCGTCGGGAAGGTGCGTAGTATTGCTCTGAAAAGAAGTCTGTGACCTGACTTGATGTGAAAGCCACTGTTGGATATGGATATCGCGGACGATATAACGGGGGATTCAGTTCTTGCGGAGGTTCCTGAACAGGAAGAACCATCGGAAATTAGAGATGAACCAGAGAAAGGAATCTTTGGGGGACAGATTGAACAGCCCACGCCATCACTCCAGCCACAGTCTGATACACAGGCCTCGTCGTCGGCCCTATCCACACCGATGTTGAAGGAAAACCGCCCCGCCAGATCTCCCGCACTCCTCACTCCGGCGGTGCGACATATGCTTAAGCAGGCGGCTATCGATGTAACGGATGTCCAGGGGACTGGTCGAGATGGACGCATCACCAAAGACGATGTCCAGCGTTATATCCAGACACAATCGAGCTCGAGTATCTCCCCGCCGCTGCCGACTGCTCCGGACGTCAGTGCATTGTCGCAGAAAGTGGCAGAGGACAAGGCCATACCACTGACCCCGACCGAGAAGCACATGTTCAAAGTCATGACCCATTCCCTGACGATCCCTCACTTCCTGTACACGCACAGCGTAGACGTCACCTCCATCAACTTCCTGCGCCGCAAGTTCAACACAAGCCCGAGTCTCTCATCCACGCTCTCCACGCCCGACACTTCCGTGTCGAAGCTGACGATCCTACCCTTCATCATGAAGGCGCTGTCGCAGGCATTTGCACGGTTTCCAAAACTCAATGCCCATCTAGATACCACCACGAATCCGTCCAACCCACAACTGATTCTCAAGTCCTCGTGCAACTTCGGCATCGCAGTCGACACCCCTCAGGGCCTGCTCGTGCCCGTGGTCAAGAATGTGGAGAGCCACTCCATCATCTCCCTCGCGGCGGAGATCAAGCGGTTGAGCGACCTCGCGCAAGCTGGACGTCTGGCGCCAGAGGACTTCAAGAATGCCACCTTCACCATCAGCAACATCGGAAGCATCGGCGGCAGTGCGGTGGCCCCTGTGATTGTGGCGCCGATGGTCGGGATCCTGGGGGTCGGCAGAGCTCAGAATGTCCCGGTTTTCACGACGGACGAGCACGGTGTCGAGCACGTCGTCAAGCAGGAGCAGGTGGTGCTGAGCTGGAGTGCCGATCACAGAGTTCTAGACGGCGCCACCGTCGCCAAAGCCGCTGAAGTCGTAGGTAGCTTGATACAAAATGCTGAGAGTCTGGGGTTGGCGTTGCGGTGAGGACAATCGAATTCACACACTATGGAGTGTTTTACATTATAGAACAAACCACTCATGTTGTGGTGGTAAAGTGCTTAATTCGAATTTCGTCTGGAGCAAAATCTGCAACTCCTCGGTCACAACTCACCACTCAATCAGATCCTGTATAGCGCCAAAGTATCTGTGAACCCGGACAAAGTGCTGCCATCGCTCGCCTTCTGCACCAGAGCCTTCCCGTCCCGGACGATCAAATCCGTCGTCCCCGCGGTGTTCAAGTTATACACGCCGATGTTCGCGAGCCTCCCATCGAGCGAGAAGAGGGCTGGCTGACACAGTCCGGGCGGCTGGCAACTCCCATTGTAGTTGTTGTAAAAGCTGTACATCCCGGCGCCGTAGGTGAGGATCGAGCTCGAGTCGAGGATCCGCACAGCGTACGCGGTGCAGTTGCCCCCGAAGAGCGGCGAACTACAGATCGCGGCGTAGCTTGGATCTCGGAGGGCAGGGTTCACGGGGAACGGCAGCACCGCGGGTGGATTTGGCTGGTAGTACGCCGTCTCAGTCTGGATCAAACCCCTGCTCCGTTGTTAGCTTTCCAAAACTTGGATGGAGAAAGACAAACGCGTGGTAAGGATTTTCAATCACCCCGGCCTGTCCCTTCGGGGAGACTTACATGACAACATTCTGCGTGTTGGCGAATTGGTACTGATATAGCGTGTGATGCTCGACCGCCGTGCCCACGAGCCAGAAGTTTCCCGAGACGCTTTCGTCGTAGAGTCCACGGCCCGCGTAGATGGTGATTTGTCTCTGGTCGTGGTCGTCAAGGTCGTGGTCGGCCACCCAAAGCCACACGTTCTCCAGATAGAGACCGGATGAGGACTTGGTCAAGTGCATCGTCATGTACGCCGCGATGCAATCGGGGTCAATGGGTGCCGGCGGTATGAGTATTTCCGGTGTTTTTAGGCACTGCTTGACGCTGAGATTGGAGCCGGCGAAGCCCCCGATCCGCGTGTGCACATCCCACATTCCCGAGGGCGAACTGGCCGGGGAAGCCAGATTGTATTCGATGAGGATGGCACCGGGCGCGGATCCCTGGGTGCTGACGATCAAGTCGGACAGCTCGATAAATCCCCTTTCACCGGGCCGGCCGACTTGCAGAACGGGGAATGGCTGGTTCATGTTTGCAAACCATCCTCCACTTCCCATGATGACGGGAAACGTCTCACCGACGATCCTGGCACCCGCGGGTATGTAGACTGTGGACGAGACTTTGTATGTGCCGTGATCGATGAAGAGGATCTTGCCGGAAAAGGCGGCAGCGAGAATGGCAGCTTGTAGAGCCGACGTATCATCCGTTACGCCGTCACCTCGACATCCGATGGTTCTCGCACTGAGGAATTGAGAAAGAGGGACAGCCTCGTATAAGGGCTTGGATCGAACATAGTACTGATCGCCGCTGAGGAGAGACGCTGGCCTTGCGTTCGGACTGACGGGTCCTTGGAACGACTTGACCCCGGTGGGTGTATATGTAATACCCTCTCCCCAGCCCGCAATAGCCATGGTCGTAGAGCCTTTTGTGCCCGTAAGAAGGGGCCCGCTTGATCCTTGTACGGCAACATGGACGTTCTTGAGTTTGACGTTCTCTAACACCAAGCTTCCAGTAGCAGGTTGTCGAGAATTGTACGAGGTACGTATGCCCACGCGCGTGTCGGTGATGCTCGAGTCAAAAAAGGTGACCGAGCCGGTCCCAGACATGTCTAGACCTGTCGAGCAGTTGACGATGTTGATGTTTTGGTATGTCCAGCTCCAGTCCCACTCATTCTTTATGGCGGTTACCGCATTGTGAAATGAGAGATTTCTCATGGTGAATTGCTGATTTCCGATCCAGGCGGCCTGATAACCTCCATAAAAAGCCAGGTCGCCGAGATAGCCGCCAGATCCTTCGTACATGCGCAATCCTGTCTGTTGAGTGCCCTTCGCGTCGCTCATCAAGAACCTCAGATTTTGAAGGCTGGTGGATTGCGACGTCGTCCACTGAATGCCTATCGCCGAATTTGCCGGGGGAAGCAGCGTCATGTCGATGTTGAGATTGCGAATCTGGCGCCAGAAGATGTTGGTAGGACTGTACCCCTTCGCGAAGTTTCCTTCGATCAGAATTTGGTCCGTGAAATTTCTGTTTGCGCGAATCGTCGGCATGCAGTTCGGGTTGCCGATGAGCTGAGTATAGTAGTAATCGATGATTGAGCGAGATATCATATACGTGCCCGCGGGGAAGTAGACAACGGCTGGTGTGGTTGTCGAAGAGTTGCAATTTCCTGGAGCACATCTGTCCCCACTGCTGATTGCCAGGTTAATAGCAGCTGTGTCATCAGTCACGCCGTCACCCTTTGCGCCATAGTCTTTCACGTTCCGAAAGACTCGATAGCTGCTCGGCCGCGGATTGAAGGCCGCAATACCTTGATGGGAGATGTCCTCAAGCCAGTAAGCACATGCCTTGGCCGGACTTGAGCTGGGTGGTGAGGCTTCATCCTCGATGCTGGTCGGAATCAACGGACTCTGCCCATAGTGATCTTGAGCTGCAGAAGATGCCAGCAAGGAGAACCAGCAGAACACTAGAATGAAATTAGACGCCATTTTTGGAGGCATCAACAGAGGTGTTGGACCGAGGGGATCTGGGTGGTTATCGAGAGGGGGCGATGACTATACAAGCCCTTTGCTGCAACAAGGTTTCTATACTTCCTCTACTCCTACTTCCGATCCGGAGTCTGGAGATCAGCCGCACGCGGGGAAAGTGAATAGTGCCACCATCTCCAGATTTTAGTGGCATGCCAATGAAACGCCCAGGGCAAGAGCTCGTGTCAGTCCCTGTTGGCCAGTAAAGACTCCAGGCTGGGCAGAAGCCGGGAGGGGAAGAGTTGAAAAACTTGGACCAATATCATGTCCGCTGTGGAATGGGTGACTGTGGAAAGAGCACCTCCTGCGTCAAGGCTGAAGGCGAGCTGAGCACCGTCAGCCAGCCTTCTTCCGTGGCACTCATCTAGAACAGGGTCTTTTTTCTTCCCCCGGTTCTTAGGCATACGGTCATCACCCTCGATAGTCGATCGTGTACCAGTTCTCAAGCAGCAGGGATTAGTGTGACCAATCCTGGAAAAATAAGAACGAGAGAGGCGGATAAGGGGCTGGTCATTCAGTACGGCGGATCATACGATGACATTTGCTGGAGCTCCTCGTTTTTGTTCCGTCAAAGCTTCAAAGGCGACTTGTAGAGGCTAATTTTCCTTACTTTCGCATCCTCAAATCCCACAGTTCGAAGTATCTTTGGCCGTTGCTCAAGTTGGGATCCATGCAGGTGGTCAGCTAGCACTCTGTCCAATTCTGGTGCAGGAGTATTGTCGATCTGTCCAAGGTTGGTCTAATTTCTTGCGCCACCAAGGCCTCGAACAGTCTGGTTGCTGGTGGCTCTAGCCAGCTGAACAGGTGCGCCCGGAGCCAAATATATGCCCACTGTGTTGTGTCACACAAGTCGATGCTGGCCTTGCTTTCAGCCTGGTCTTTTACGATGCAAGAACAGGCCAGATTCTGCGCCATGCATTCAGCTTATTTGTGGACTGGCATTCAGCCAGCTCCCCATGGGGCAAAGGCATCAATTTCTCACATTCAATCTAGCCCGCACACAGCCATGTCGCACCTCTGCCCTCTATTTAAGACTCGTATATGGTAGGTTCCAATTGTGATATCAATCGTCTTCCTGTTTATTGAGGAGCCCATGAGATCGATCGCCACATTTCTAAGAGACCTCAAGCCATGGCCCCGATTCCATCCTCAGAGTGGAACTTATTGACTCCCAAGACGGAGAAGGTTCCCACTCAAGACGACCCAGACGACCCGATCGTGGACCAAGAAATGACATATTATGAACTCCCAGCTTACAATGGCAAGACACTGAAGTTCACCATAGAAAAATTTGGCGATCGGCCACCAGCAGGCTATGCTGCATACGTCGCTCTCCATGGAGGCGGTGGCGACGAGGCTCGACAGAATCAAGATAAGAAACTAGCGCAGTGGCGAGCGAGATCGAACAACGATGCGTGGCACATGATGGCAGTTGGTCTCTATCGCCGGAACTTCAAAGGCGGCGATAAAAACAACCCGAATGTTGGAATCGAGGGTGCCATTTATATCTGCCCACGCGGGATCGTGGACGACTGGAATCTCCATTTCCGCCCTGAGTCCTACTACCTCTTTGACCAAATGATCACGAAGTTGCTCCAGCCTGCACCGAAACCGCTGGTGAACTCCAACCAAATTTTCCTTACCGGATTCTCTGCCGGCGGAGACGGCGTATATCGGCAGGCGGCCAATCTTACAGATCGCTGGGCGGCTGCCAATGCTTCATCTGGTCACCCTGGCGACGTGGTGTTCGACAACTTTGCCAATCTCCCCTTCTGCTCACAGGTTGGAGAGAAGGACAGCACAGTAACTAATCGAGCCCTTGCCGTTGTGGGTGCGAGCGTCGATAAGTTGACTCGACTCGAAAACGACGCGATCAAAAGGGGTATCTCTGGACTGTATATCCACGACTGCTTCTTGTATACCCAAGGGTGGAATTATCAGACAGACAAACCCGAGCCGGCTCTTCACGCCAATTGGGAGAGAGCAGAGGATGGGAATCTCGTGTCCACTGCGGTGAAGCAGGACAAATTGGCAACGTGGCTGCAGAATAACCTGAAAGGCCCGACTGAAACTCCAGCCAGCGATCTTGAACGGACCAACTCCAACGCAATCAGGTGGTTGCGTCAGTATGAAGTGAAGGGTCAAAAATACAACAGAAATCGCAATCCCGTTCCCCAGAATGTGATTTGGAACCTCGCATCTCGCCCTGGACAACCCCGGGACAAAAATGATCGACCAATTCCAGGCTGGGAGCCAAAGCGGTTCTTCTACTGGGTCTACCTTAAGCATTCGCCCTCCAAGGCCTTCGATCCTGCGGCCATCATACGGGCTTCGTACAACGCCAATGAGCGATGGGTCCAAATCGATCAACCCAACGATTACACGGTTCTCCTGCTCAATGAGGACATGTTTTCGTCTGAGGGCAAGCTGGACAAGCCCATCTCCGTCTACGCTGGTCCCAAGGACGGCAAGACGAAGGCCCAAAAAATCACCGTCCAGAAGAGTGAGAAGATCCGCCAGAGGACATTCCAAGCCAGAGGTGACAAGAAGCTTGAATTCTCTGCCATGGTCTATTTCACGTGGAACCCAAGCGGTGGAGGTTACTGGGAGGTCAAGTCGGCGGATTCTCTGGACCCGGTTGAGACGGCGAACCCGCCAAAGGCGCGACTGTGATTTTCCTATTGCTGCATTCGTCAGGGACGCTGTGCCCGGTACTGGGGTTTAATGGTAAGTTTTAGGAGGTATTATAGTGACCTTTCCAGGGTAAAGCGCCCGAGGAGACATTCGTTCGCGCTGATATAGGTCCATCGCTACTCTTATCTGGCTAATTTGAATGCTATTATGAGAACTGAGGCATTTTCACGTCTAGCTGGAGCCCCGACTCAAGCATAGCAGATTGATTTGTACATATAGTAGCAGGCCTCATCCTCGAGACCTTCGCTACACCATGATTGAAGGCTTCCTGATCGATCCTGACCGGTTCGCCGAACGGGAAATTCAGGGACCATTCATTCACACTGCGTCGACTATTTTACCTCATTCTAACCGTGTCTCTCTTCCTCTGCTTCAGTGCGTGCTGGAGCCCGAGACGTCGTCCACAGAGCACATCAGCAATCCCACTCAGCACATCGTGGTGACGGACAAGCCTGTTGCACATATATTCCTATCAGAGCGCCATAATGTACCTCAGTTTTCCGAGAAGTTTAATCATCACTTCCATTATTAGAATCATTACTACTATCGTTACTATTATACATATAATTTTCATCACTATCGTTATCATCGTCACCTTTTTAGTCATCATCTGATCGGATCTACGTTTATTTGCCTCTTCGGTGCCGTAACAACTCATCATTTCCGGGTTCAATGACATGCCAACATCGAGCAGGCGCTCGGAGAACAACGCCGCATATAGTCCCCTCATCAACCATCCAGATGTCTTCGACGGCCTCTTCGCTTTGCGACACCCTGCGGTTTCGACGGTTTTGGCAGATGTCCCTTTTTGAGGGGTCCATTCTTCCTGCTTTTCGTTCTCGCCAAGGTCTCTTGTACTTGCTGGTCTCGCTGTGGCTGCTTCATTACCCTGTCTTTGTTTAGATTTTCAACGGCTTCAGAAGGCACATCAGCACCCTTCAACCGCGCCTCTCTTTCTGCAATCCTGAGACTGCGACGGGGCGGAGTCGGTTTGGAGATTTTTGAAGACTTAGTTGGAGCTCGAGACACCCTCTGCCTTTGCCTGGTTTTCTGAGGAGCTGGAGAGGGCATATCGAACCGTGCAGTCGAACGAGAGGGGCGCGTATTCGACCGTAGTAGACGTTGCGTCTCACGTTCTGCACGAGGAGCCATACGGACATCAATCTCCACCAGGCTCTGCGGTGGTTCATTACCAATGTCACCAGCCATAGTCTCTGGTCTGTTATCCGCATGGTCACCATCACCGCCAGCTTGAGGCTTTGGGATATGCTCTGTAGATGTAGATGGTTGTGGGTCGGGTTCGTAGTCAGGGTCGAAAATTGACCTACCAGTTGGAACACGGTGCTCTAGGGACGACGGCTCTGGTGGCGGCGACGGCGTAGCAGGGCGTATCGCTTCTAGCGCATCAACCTCGGACGGGGTGAACTCCATGTCATTCGGATCCGCAGGTTCTGGTGATGAGGACTCGTGTCTCCATTTCCACCCCGGCATGTCTCTCCAACCACCGCTCCAGCCAGGCGGCATAACGTTACTCCAGCTGTCTTTCCAGTAGCCCTTCTCTTTCCATCGAGCTTGTACATTCACCCGTGCCGGTTTATAGGCTTCGATCATCGACTGATTTGGGTTGCGCTGCAGTCTCACCTCTTCCTCTGCGACCTCCAGTGCCCACACGAACCAAGGTCGTGTCGTGATTAGAGACTCACGATGATCCACCACGTCGGTGTCGTACTTGTTTGGAGCCTCTGATGACTGTAGCTTAAGCGTCTCGCTCCAGCGACCTTGCCCTTTCAGATACACTCGAATCGCTCGCTCATATGGGCTTTCCTCATCTTGCGAAGGCCAGCTGGCCATTTTTTCCTCGTATGGTAGGCCCGTAAACTTTCGTTCTGTGCCTCGCCATTTCCGTTGCCACTCCCAGGTATCAGGGCCGTCGTTGTTACGAAAAGCTTGAATGCCTCTATAGCACGTGGTGCCGGTTGGTATCCCCCATTCTGGGTTCCATACACCTAGCTTTTCCCATCGCTTTTTGATGTTGTGTCGGATTATAATATTTTGCCGCAGATGTTCCGCGCGCCAATCTAGGTCCGCTCCACGATCCGGGACATGATCTCCATTCCGTCTCCAACGTGCTGCATCGATCCGCTGCCACTCCTGCGATACTTCGTTGTCGTATCGCTCGCGTGGGTAGTAGCGCCCAACCAACTTTCCTCGGATCACGTTGATCTCATGATCACTTAACGGCTTGCGAACAAGTTCTTCAAGGTCGATATCGCCCTGGGTTTGAGGGAGTAACTCAGGGCTTGATTCTCTCGTGGTGCTGCGCGATGAATAAGGTGGCGGAGGTTCATCTTGTTCGAAACGACGCTCTCGGTATTCAAGGAACGAGGGATCGTCCTCCATCCGCTGTAGGGTGGGCATGATGGAATTCAGACGAGCCGGATTGATGTCGTAGATAGTACGAAGCATTGTGAGGGTGAAAGTATAGGTGAAAGAATAGGTGTGGTTGAAGTGCAGAAGGCGGCACGCTGGGGCGCAGTCGCGATTTAATTCACGAGTTCCCAAGGAATCACGTGACGTATGGGTTTCAACCCCTCAGGCAGTAGTTAAATTCATGCACGCGCCCGACCAAAAAAAAGTGATGTGTTTAGACGCCCTGCATGTTCATCCAATAAGACAAAACGTGATGCATTCTGTGATAATCGCTGTTGGCCCGTCGATTGAGGGGGAGCCCATGGTTCCTCAAACAGTCTCAGTGTTGCCTGGGCGCTTGAACCACGAATTGCCTGGGCGCTTGAACAACGAGGCTGGCTTGCTCAAAATGTGGGTTACCCTCCTAACCATTCTTTTCTTTTCTCGAGTCGTCTGTCTTATCACTGAAATCCCATCGATTGGAGGGTGCCTTCCTCCGAACAAGTCACTATCTTCACTCTCTTATTGAATGTGCGGCATCATGCCTCGCCAAACTCCTCATCCCCAGACGATCTGTTTCCTTGTGCCGGACCAAAAGTCTCCCAGGGCCAAAGCGATGCTTCTTCACCCGGACAACGAGCCATTTGTATCTCTGTATCAGAATGCTACTGCAACGGAGAGGGCCGAGTACGGACTCGAGATCGGCTATCACGTCCCGACGAGGCCTCGTCCTCTCGTGATAGTGGAAGTGGGAAAGAACGCCGACCTTGTGATGCCAGGCTCGAATATCTCCCAAGTCCATTTTTCGTTTGAGATCCATGCAGAATCCCGTCAAATCATGTTCTGGGACCGGTCCCGACTTCACACAACCAAAATAGAACCAGATGGTTTCCGGGTGGGTGGGAATTTCCGTCAGGTCGTCTTGGATGCGAAGACACCGGACTACAAAATCAGCGCTGGCGGCGAGAAATTAGACCAATTTGTTTTCCACTTGAAATGGTGCAAAGGGGCGACAGACGTGGTGCAAGAGTTGGAGAAAGAATCTCAAATAGTAGCTGCGCGGGTACACAATCCTCGCTGGGCTCGGACTATCGAGGATGGACCGACGGACCTCCCCTCTTGGTACAACACCCGACTTCACACGCCAGCCTTGGGGGCCGTCCAGCGAACGATGGATATTGGGCCGCTAGGAAGAGGATCGTACGGTGAGGTCCGTAAATCTGTCGATCTCGATTCAGGATGCTTCGTCGCGACCAAGATAATTCACCTGCCTCCCAAGGTCGACTTTGCGATGTCTAACGAGGAGGTCCTTCTACGGCGTGAAGTCAAAGTCCTTTCCAGTGTCTCTCACGTATGTCCCTTCACATACTGACTATGATAGCATTCTCACAAGTGTACAGAAAAACATTGTCGAATACTTGGGCTCGTCTGGTTGGGATACCAGTGATGTGAACATCCACATGAGCCTAAAACCGGGAAACCTATGCGATTTGCTCCGGAAATCTCCAGGAATACGTAGCAATAAAGACGTCCTCACGCGGCTGTGGCATGAAATGCTCGAGGCGCTGGACTATCTAGCGTACCGAGGCTGGATCCACCGAGACGTCAAGCCGGAAAACATTCTCTACACTCCATCAGGCGACAATAACTACCTTTTCCAGCTGGCTGATTTTGGTCTTGCCAATCGACAACTCCTCGCGCATACCTTATGCGGCTCTCCCCTCTACATGGCGCCCGAAGTAATGCACAATACGCACAAGCAGTCTCCCAAAATGGATGTCTGGGCGCTCTTTGTCGTGATTGGTGTTGTGACGCAGGCAGGGAACCTTCACCACCCAGGCTTAGCCAACTATGAAGATGTTCTGGAATGCGTTAGAGCTGCGGCCACTCAACATCCAGCACTGATCCCCATGGCACAGGAAGATCCCAATCTGCGGGCTTCGGCGGCTCAGATGCTTGTGAAATACTTCGATGGCGAAGGAATGAGCACACCTCGGCATCAAGTTGGGCTGATACCAGATTCGGGAAGCGCTCCAGGACCTACACAGACTCCAGGACGGCGTGAGTCTGGTCAGAAGTCGCAAGTTCCACCACTCAAAGGCCGTAGGCTTGCGGCCCGTGATCTGAGACGGATCAACCATGCTTCACCCAAAGTTGGAGCCAACGGCAATATCCCTCGACGTCGTCTTCATGCAAACGGGATCGCTGAAGGACGAGGGGAACCTCTGGGATTTCGGCGATTTACTTAACAGAGCATAGGAGCTCGGTGATATGTGGTGAGAGCGGGTCCCGTGCAATTCGGTCGATTTTGTCCCCAATTGTTTCATTTTCATACCCATTATGTCTTTTTAGTTATTGGCAGCCCTGAAATATTCTTCCATTTTGATTCCAATAAGCAATGGCCCAGAGTAATTTTCCCAATAAACAATTAGCGTCCAGCTCCGTTGTGAGGTGGATCGGAACCGTAAGCAGGATCCCTCAGTCTGTCTATACAGGACAAATGTTGCGTCGCTGGCCGTTGCTATCTTTATTTGCCATAGACGTCTTCAAGGAACCCGTCAAACCGGCTCCTCCGCCGAGCATATAACAAGCTTGGAGGTGCTGTTCCGGCTATGATCGAAGGGAAGACACTCCACCTCGAAAGTGGTGAGTGTCCCATATTGTGCGAGATCCTCTCTGCTTTCGTTCTTCGCATCGCCTTCATCCACGTGTTGAGGCGAAAAGTCTACAACATTCTCTTCAAGGCGAAAGCCAAGCCACGAGAGAAATCGGCTGCGAAACAAGCATCATTAACCTCGCCATTGATCGATCGTTCAACGCAGTAATGCTCTAGTATAGATGTCCAAGGCCGGCTGGTCTGTGGAAAAATGCAAAACCCGAAAGACATCCCAATACTCCGTATGCTGTGACGTTTTCTTCATCCATTGTCCGGAATACACCGACCTTCTGCGAATCGTTTTACGACGTCCACAGCGGGGCCCCGAGTGTGCTCTGTCCATCCCCATGTGTGGTTACGTAGCGAATCACACACGAGCATGCGCACTTTATTTCCAGAACTGCTGGGCGCCAATGTCCTGACGATGTGGGCCGATTGCCCGCTAACTTAACGAACCACAAGTTTCATGGAACTGCAAACGTGGAATTACTCCAGAGGATCTTGAGCCTACCAAGGTCAACTGCACAGGTAGGGAAAGCCCCCCAACCAGTAGTACCGCACAGACCATTCGGGGCTTTCGCCCAGGTGGTCTGCTGACCCTTCATGCCTTCCTGTCGGTATTGCTGCCTGCGAAGTGGTTGGCTCTCAACGATCGATAATAGACACCCTCAGTTTCACAAGCGGCACGAACTACAGTTCCGGCCACCAGAACTTCAGATCGGTCCAGGAGGAGAGTCATATGTACTGGTCCTCACCGCCCCTATGTGGAGATACAGTATCATTCGACGCCTTGCCTTAGTCACAACCTGGACTCCACAACACTTGGACGGCCAGCAGCTTTTCTCGGGGCACTAATTAGAGAACTCGCTTGGAGGAAGCAGCGAATTGGTGAGTTGTGAGCCAAAGACTTTGCCTTGTCTCGTGTCTCAGACGGGCTCATTCCTTCCTGCCAGGATGAGTGTGAACGACTGTCAAGACTATCCTTCCTGGTCCTGTGTATTAGCCAAACTTCTGAAATGAAAAGAACATGGAATCAAGGAAAATCCTATCATGACAATTGGGGGGTGGCTAGGTGTGGGCGAGGTGCTCTTTTCATGAGTGGGAGGTCTGTGCAGGTCTCATCTGCAATACGACAGCGTGGTTGGTTTCCGGTGGCCCCCTGGCAAGCGCCGCATGGGGAATCTGAAACAATACCCCAAATATGGTCGTAAAAGACGGTGTGACCCGGGACCGACTGAAGGAGGATTTCAATGTGATCTGCGTCGAAGTGGAGGCTGCAGGGTTTCAAGAGACGCTTCCAGGCCTTCTTATTCGCGGAATCTCTGACTATGCAGACTCCCACAAGAACGACGACTGACAGCCATACGCCGCAGCCTTTGCGGCCCAGATCTAGAAGACGCGAGGAGATCGAAGTTGCTGCATTGGCTGCGTATACAAGGAATCCTGCTGCCAACTTGTCCTCTCGTTCCTTGGATCATGTGCTCTTAGATACTCCGACGGTTCAACTCGCTGGATCAGAATCTTCTTGCGACACCCCGGGGGCCATTAATCCTCCACTAAGGGGGTTCTTCTGGTCACGAATGCTTATTTGTGTGTCGTTCTCATATGGGAGCCAGGAACCCCAGACAAGTCAAAAGCCTCCAATAACAAGGATCAGAGCTTGGCCCTCAGCGACAGGATTTCTAAAAGATCAAAAATGAGTGCCTTCAGAGGTGAATGTTGATGGGACGCGGGCAGTAACAGTATGTTAAAAGGATCCTCGAGGTGATCCATTTGAGATTACTCAATCGGATGAACGCGTATGCTTTGGGCAAGAATAGCTGTGGCAAAGGTTACATAAAGACGGTGTTCGCTCAGTCATACTAGCTAATGGTGGAAATTCAGTCCATGTGCGTCGAGTGAGTTCAGGGTCGGCGCAAGGCTGCCATGAGACGGGTCACCCAGCGAACCTGTCGGGCGGCATGATTATAGGCCGAAAGTAGGCTAGTCTATCTTGGCAGCTTTGTTCGAATTGCAGCCATTCCGTAAATTTTTTTAAACCCCGACTACCCCATCTCCAACCATTTCTGTCCATGCAAACCAGCTGCATCCCAGAAATCCCAACTCTGCCGTGCATGACTCTGACCGATACGATGACAGGCTCTGAGCCTGAAGATACCTCAGTCACTCGAGTCTATGTCTCGGGTCTCCCACCGTCAATGACCAGGGAGCAACTGTGGTCGCATTTTGCAGGAAAGTATTCGGTCACTGATGCTCATGTTATCCCAGACCGCCGTATAGGCTTTGTGGGATTCTCGAGTCACGAACAGGCTAAGAGCGCAGTCCAGTACTTCAACAGATCCTTCGTTCGCATGTCAAAGATCTCCGTAACCCTAGCAAAACCTGTACAGGTCAAGCGCAATGAAAAAGGCCAGGCCGTTCCTGTCTCCGAGCGTGCTTCGAGAAAAAGAAAGCGTGACCCCCGAGATAATGGCGAAGAACGTCAGCGACTTTCTGTGGCCCAGCCTCGAAAACCTGCCCGGGATGTTGCACCACCCACAGAAACTATCACGGAAGTGGTTTCTGAAGAGAAGGACAGTCCCTCATCTGAGGCTACTGCAGAACAGGAGAAAGAAGAAGCCATCGTGGAAGATAAATCTAGATCTGACGCCGATTGGCTCCGTGGTAAAACTAGCAGGACATTGGGTTTGCTTGCAGACGCTGAAGACGTGAATGAGCCGCCGGAGCCTCCTGGTAATAGTGGTGTCGGACCCAATGCAGCGGAACCAGTGGAAGATATTGAGGCCACCCAGGATACGGCGGAGGCAGGGAATACTGAATACTCAGACCACCGGCAACAACCATCGGTTCCCAATGCTCGCCTGTTCATCCGAAATCTTCCTTTCGATACCCGCGAAGATGATCTTCAGAAAGTCTTCGCGCCATATGGCCGAATTTCAGAAGTAAGCAGATAGCTTTTCTTTATTTCCATCTGCATTGCCTTTGTGATGATTTCCTGATAGGGACAGCTTATGCTTCGCATATGATTCGAACCGGGAAAGAGTATTTTAGTAGATGCTTCTCACCTCTGACTTCATCTCTTTTACAACCCCGTACCTTTTGCCCCTTGATACCTGCGCTAATGCTTGAACAGATCCATTTAGTGACCGACACCAGAAAATCTACCGGCAAGGGTCTTGGTTACGTCCAATTTGTGGAGCCGGAGCATGCTGAGAAGGCTCTCCTAGAACTCGACGGAAAGGACTTTAGAGGCAGACTTTTGCACATTCTACCGTCTTCGGACAAGAAAATCCAGAAGCTCAGTGAATTTGAAATTTCGAAACTGCCTCTCAAACAGCAAAGAGCACTCAAACAGAAGAACGAGGCCTCCAGTTCGACTTTCAGCTGGAACTCGCTCTATATGAATCCAGATGCAGTCCTGGCATCGGTGGCTGACCGCCTGAAAGTCTCCAAAGCCGACTTACTTGATCCTGCTTCAACTGACGCAGCCGTGAAGCAAGCCCATGCAGAGACAAGTGTTATCAAGGAAACCAAGGACTACTTGAAGTCCAATGGACTGAATCTGGACGCCTTCAAAAATAAAGCTCGTGACGGGAAAACCCTTCTCCTGAAGAACTTTTCTTTCGGCACCACTGCAGAAGAGCTCTCACAAATGCTTGGTCAGTACGGTACAATAGAGTCCCTGCTCTTTCCCCCGACTGGCACGATGGCTGTCGTCCGGTATCAGGAAATCAGCCAAGCTGCTTTAGCACTTAAGCAATTGGCATACCGTAATTTGAGGGGCTCTATCTTGTTTCTTGAAAAAGCACCAGTGGGTCTCTGGGATGGTTCCGAGCCCAAACCCAGCGCCGACTCACCCAATCTTGCTGGAGACGACACGAATAATGGTGCTCCGGCTACCACATTCACGGTATTTGTGCGCAATTTGAATTTCTCAACTACGAGCGTCAGATTGGCTGAAGCATTCAAACCACTTTCGGGCTTCCTCTCTGCGAGGGTGAAAACAAGGACTGATCCTAGCCGGCCAGGCGAGGTCCTCAGTATGGGCTTCGGCTTTGTCGAATTCCGCACCAAGGTCCAAGCGGAAGCTGCAATCGCCACAATGAACGGCAGACGACTGGACGGATATGAACTCCTGGTGCAGACGTCGCAAAAGTCAACTGATCTGGGAGAGGAGAGACGGAAAGAGGATACGGCGAAGAAGCTTGACTCCAACAGGACAAAGATCGTCATCAAAAATCTCCCTTTCGAAGCCACCAAGAAGGATGTTCGTGCACTGTTTGGTGCATACGGTCAGCTGCGCACGGTCCGAATGCCTAAAAAATTCGACAATACAGCCCGAGGTTTTGCCTTTGCTGAATTTCTCACGGCTCGAGAGGCGGAAAGCGCCATCGAGGCTCTGTCTAATACCCATTTGCTCGGCCGGAGGCTTGTTCTGGACTTTGCAGAAGGGGAAATAATTGACCCAGAAGCCGAGATCCAAGCAATGGAGAAGAAGATCCAGGGCCATCAGGATACTTTGACTCACCACAGGATGACAGGTTCGGCCCGGAAGAAGTTCAACGTTGGTGCAAGAGAAGATTTCGATCCTCTTTGAATGATCGCCGAATCTAGGGATCAGCGCCTTGCCCCCTTGCAGAGTTCTTTCTCTCACCCTTTCAACCCTCGAACTCATCCATATATTCTGCTTCAATCAAACCAAATTTGAATGCCACACCCTTTGGTTCTTCTCAATAATAGTCTCAGACGGAGTTCACCTCCAATACAACCATAAATCGAATCCCGTGGGCGGGACATCGGCTGATTTGCAGACTGGTGCCACCTAATATCATTCCAAAGGCAGATTGGCCACCGTCTTGACCACTTTCTGATTCGTCTGGCCACCATCTGTGCGCGGTCTTCCCATTCCATGATTGTACTACATTTGCCTCCTGCCCACTACCTTTGACCACCGAAGCGTCGAGATCGAGGTTGTTTCCGCCATGCTGGCTTACCTTATTGGGAAGCCGCCCATCCCTTGCGTTGACGTTCTGGCACCTGAGCCTGGGCAGCAAGGATGGCAAGGGAAGTTCACATTTTTGAAATTACTTGTCTTGCTTAGTCTCGACTCTTTGGACCAGTAAAGCATCGAACGTCCGTGGGGTACACGTCTATCTGGTCGACCGATCAATGGAAGGGTTGTGTGGCTGGCAATTCTGATTGAAGACATGGGAGGAGGTGTTAGATTGCACGAGCAGCTCTCGTGACATGGCGATTGCTATATCTTAAGCCGTCTGTTTCCTTCGCAGCATTCCCTTCTCTCATTCCAAAAGTCTTTTGTCCCTATCGAACATTGTCTACCGCATTTTTCATTCTGGTTCTCGAGCATACTTGGGTGAGCACTGGGCGCTTCATTCTCTGATGGAGTGCCTACATTCCGGTGTGGCAACACCTGTACACCTGGGGGATGCAAGATCGGCCACTGAGCGTCTCGCCATCTCCTCGGGAAATGTTCAACTGCTTCCAGTCAACCACAAAGAGGGCATTGAGAATCAATACCCCCTCCCGCCGGTGGACGCCCCTGGGGGGCATGTCCCTCGTCTTCCAATCCCAACGCTGAAGCTCGGCTCCAACGATGGATCGAACGGTGCATTTGCTTCGAAAAGAAAACGACACCCGCTCAAGCTGCATCGACTCAAGCAGCTGGGAAATTCGGACCGTCCTTATCTCCATCATCCGAAATACCTCGAATACAGATCCCGACCAAGACAGGACATCGGAAAAGATGGCAGACCGATTTGGCCTGACAATATCGAGGCTGCCTTTCAAGACGGTAAGTCAAGTTGGGACCAATGCTGATCACATCGAGGCTGACATGCGGCAGCCCTTGTGCACATCAAGCCGATGGGTCGAAAGAAATGCTCACAGCGAGGAAAGCCTTACGGGCGAAACATGCTCATTGCCGAGTGGATATACCGAGCCACAGGTCAGAAACGGGAACGTAAACAGGTCTCCAGTCACATTCAGGTCCTTGATAGATTTCTTCAAGGCATTCCAGAATGTATGTCAGAAGTATTCCTTGTGAAGCAGTGTTCAAGCTCATCCTTGTTCCAGGGGACCGGCTGATCAAGCCTGGCGATGACGAGGACGCCAGTCAACTAGAAGGTCACAAGTTCTATCACAACTCTATCGAGCACATGGTCAACGAACAAAAGGCAAGAAGCAAAGCGAGGCAACACAGCGATGGCTTATGGGACGATGAAACCAATGGTCACGCAGAGTCATTCGTCGGTGATACCCTCGCAGGCGATCTGGCTATTGTGCCGCATGTTGAACGTCTGATGTTTGAGATGTGGGTGAGCTCACCAGTCGACCCTGAGATCGCCTTACACTACTATACCGGACTGAAACCCACGAAACTCATGCCCTTTCCCCTGGAGGAACTGGCCGGATGGCGGATGTCTTTCCCACACCTGAAGTCCCTGGTTGATCACGGCAAGCGTCTCGACAGCTGCGACCTAATCCTCCTCAATGCGAGCTTCAGGCTGATGGACGATTTCCCACCACGACACTCCAAGCTGGGCATCTGCTTCGAACTCAAGTATCCGGATCCCATCTGGAAAGAATCGCAGTCAAACGCCCAGCCCAACAAGTGGTCCTGCGTCACGTACATGTACCGCGACGGCGCGCTCATCACCGAGCCAACCCGCGAAGAGTGCCAGTCGCAAGACCACTGGCGGGTCCGACCGTTCTTCCAGTCGAAATGGTGGGCGTCGACGTTCACCGCGCTGACGGAGGCGAAAAGAGTGGCCGAAGATTCTAAGGACCTTGAAGCCATCGAGCTCGCCAACGAGCAGTCGCGCAGTTTCTTCCGCGGCCTCTCCATCATGCAGGAGATCTACATCGTGCGTCCTTCCAACGGCGTCGACTTTGGCGCCGACAGCACGAAGCGGATGTCGCGGAAGAGGACGGCCATTCTGCTCTGGCAGTTCTCCCAAACGCCGGCGGACAGTGTCGGTGCCACGACCTGGCAGAACTTGATACCCCCACCGGATCGCCTGGCCACGAACAGCCCGTTCCCGCACGGCGCGGAAATGAGCCTGCCACCGCTCTCGATGGACTCCATGGTCGACTTTTCCCCTGCTGGCGGCGCCAGGTCGTTCGAGAACCATCATGGCCACTTCCAGCCCGAGAACAGCATGTCGTACGGCCTGTACCCTAATGCGATGGACGAGGAGCTCTGTCAGGACGGATTCATGGCCTTGAAGCACGAGCCCGTCGACGACTTTGGCCACTTGCAGTCCTCGTTCGACGTGGGTTCGAATCACAATTATACCGGCCTTGAACCCTCCATCCACGATACGTTCAACGTCCCGCACGCCAGCCTGCCGCCGTGGCCGCCACAAGTTGACGAGCAGGATGAGGCACTGCGTCGAGCGCTCCTCGCAGCATCGGACATCGACGTCGATGCCGCGGCGCCTCCACCACATGGGCCACCGACGCCGCGCCCGCGACAGCAATAAGCCATTCCCACGAGGACCAGAGGCGCGCTGGCACCGACAGTCACGCTCTGTAGTAGCACTTGCTCGTACGGAACGGGCTTCCACCGTCTTTGCGCTGCAGCATTACGAATTCCAACCTGCTGAATTTCGTTGTACGTCGCTGAAGAGGCGAAAGAACACCATTTATTCCGGATCAGGGCTGCGAGACACAATCACCTACCTCTCGCTAACGATAATGACTATAGAGGGCTAAGGGAGGGTTGGACGGAGGGAGCAAGGAGGATATCTCATGAAGCTAACAGCATTCCGGGATGTTCCTTTCGAGGCAAGCATGACTTTCTCCCATATTTATTGCGTGGGTACCGGGTGAGCTAGGAAGGACGCCATAGGTGATAATCTTAGTCACTAGTCATGTTATCTTTCTTACTTGGCTTTGCGATTCTGTGCTGTGCTGTACGTTGCTACACCATACCGTACCGTATCGCGCCACGCTTCTTACGCTCGACGAGCTCTGGCCCCTTCTACGGCCCTGAGGCACTTCTTCAATTTGAAGACTTGACGGGCTCGGCAATGTTCGGCTTGACGCGGTGATCCTGCCCTCGCTCTACCAGTCTACTCAGCGCCGAATATACCTAAGATCTATTTCCGTCTCTAGTCCTGAGCATTCTACCATTTGACCCGAGTCACGATTAAGCCATTCAGAGAATGGTTCATCGGGACTTAGAAATCCTTAGCCTGGGCTCTATTCTAATGTTTTATGGCTGACAAAAAAAGGAGATACTCTTGGGCGGTAATGTAACTTTCATGAGCGAGGCTGATGAATCACGTAACGCAGTACCAGGCTTTGTATGTCAACCAGGCATATATGCACCATGCGGTCCCATGTCCTATCACGTATGTAAACCCCTGATATACCGTATATAGTCTGACCACCCCGTCCTGACAGATCGCATACGTAAGGCCAACGCCACCACTACCTGATCGACCTTCTTGAGGTGAACTGAAAGCGGGAGCTGTCAAGTTTCCATTTTATATACTTGGGGAGATAGGAACTGTGGCTCCCTCGATGTATACCGTCGGACGGCTTTGTCTGCATCGTCCGGGTACGTTAAGAAATACTGCGCCAGTCAATGCGTCGAGTTGTACTCAGGTGTGCCATTGCAGAGTATTTGCGTTCCAGAGAATTGCTCCGGCCTCGACAGCGGCTCGCATAATGGCGAGGCTCTGCTTTTTAAGGGGGCCAAGATCATCCCATCCCAGATCGAACCTATCGTCCCGTCGGCGAACGAGGGCCAACTTCGGGCAAAGAAGTGCTCAAAAGCGAGATTTGTGGCATCTTAAATTCGCTTGGCTGGTCAAGGATTGGAAAGGGTCAAGGTCGTTAGTCTGTCTGTCTTCCTCCCCAGCTGGATTTCTTATAGTCTAACCTGTAACCAAACGTATACCCTTGAGCCAATCACGCGGACTCCATACACTCGTTTCCTTATTTGGACACAGCATTATCTAATTGCGGGAATGGAACTCGCCTAGTCTGAATCTGGACGTTAGAACCTCGGCGTGCACAAGTCCGTCCCCACCTCATATAGCCGATGAAGGCGATCTGGATGGGATACCCCGATGAACTACCGTTGGGCGGGGATGGAATGCCGAAGTCCTGGAGAGGAGACAGCCATCGACGACTTGTCATAAAGAACAAAAAGATTGTTTTTTTCTGGGAAAGAAAAAGGGGCCATTCGAAGAAACAGACTCCAGAAACATCCTCAGCTTGACGGCGAAAATGGGCGTGCGAAGACTCAAATCCAAAGAGGCACCTACCGCCCAACAGGGCCCCGCGGTAGATGTCTCCGGCATCGTCAAGGGCGTCATCGACAACATCAGAACCAACGGCGATGCCGCCGTGAGGCAGTACTCGGAGAAATTCGACTCGTGGTCGCCAGCCGAGTTCAAGCTGTCGGCGAAGCAGATCGACGACATCATCGCCTCGGTCGATCCGCAAACCATCCAGGACATCAAGGAAGTGCAACGCAATGTTCGGACTTTCGCCGAGAAGCAGAAAAGCGCGCTCCAAGAGTTCGAATTCGAGATTCAGCCGGGGGTGTTCCTGGGTCAGAAAAACAACCCCATTGAACGAGTGGGATGGTAACGAAAACTCGTCTTTGGCTTTGCGGTTCAATTCACTAACGATGGGGGACCATCAAGCTACATCCCTGGAGGAAGATATCCCCTCCTCGCGAGTGCCCACATGACGATCCTAACAGCCAAAGTCGCGGGCGTCAAGCATGTCATCGGCTGCACACCCCCCATCGCCGGCCAGCTTCCCGCCGCGACCATCTCGGCCATGCATCTGGCAGGTGCCGATGAGATTTTCATCCTGGGCGGCGTGCAAGCCATTGCCGCCATGGCGCTGGGCACAGAGACCATCGCCAAGGTCGATTTCCTGGCTGGGCCTGGCAACGCCTTTGTCGCCGACGCCAAGCGACAGATGTTTGGCCAGGTCGGAATCGACCTATTTGCGGGGCCGACCGAAGTCCTGATCGTCGCCGATGAGCACGCCGATCCGTACATGTGCGCCGTCGACCTGCTCTCGCAGTGCGAGCACGGACCCGACACGCCGGCGCAGCTAATCACCAACAGCGAAAACGTCGGGCGGGAGACGCTGCGCTGCATCGATGAGCTTTTGAAAGTCTTGCCGACGGCTCCCGTGGCGTCGGTGTCGTGGAAGGCCTTCGGTGAGGTGATCATCACGGACACGCTAGACGAGGCGTACAAGGTCGCCGATGAGTATGCGTCGGAGCACGTGCAGATCCTGACGCAGAATCCGCGCGAGGCGCTCGACAAGATGACAAATTACGGCGCCATCTTCTTGGGGAAGAACACCTGTGTGTCCTACGGCGACAAGGTAAGCAAAATCACAGCGCAGCGAAGCGAGGTCATGCGTTTTCCCCCCTTTCCCTCCCAAGTCCTCCTTTCAGCCATCTCGGGTCTGACTTCATCGGCAACAGTGCATCGGCACCAACCACGTCCTCCCGACGCGCAAGGCCGCCCGCTACACGGGCGGTCTGTGGGTCGGCAAGTTCCTGCGCACCCAGACCTATCAGGAAGTCCGGAACCCCGAGGCCTCTGGCAACTTGGGCAGGCTGTGTGGACGAGCAGCCCGGGCCGAAAGTTTCGAGGCCCACGCAAGGTCCGGCGACTTGCGTGCGGCAGAGCTGCTGGGAGACAAGGTGCAATGGATCGAGCAGACTCGCAAGGAGCTGTCGTTGCCGCAATTGGGTGCCACTGCTGCCAAGTAGCACGCACCCTAGCTGATGTGGTCTTGCTTACCAGAATCGAGCCCGAGTGTGAGAGAACGAGACTGTGGGTTTGACCTGTCAGGGCGAAATTTGCCCATCTGACTTGCCTGTGGAGCTGAAGGTAAGGGTAAAGTGCAAGGCCGACTATAGAGTAGCTGAGACCACAAAAGTTGTCGACCATGACCATTTTCTCCTGTACACAGATACTCTTATCCATAAATGCCCTCCCATAAGGAGATGACCACCGGACTTCGATCACCACGTTCTGACCGGTGATAGACCTTGTTGTTGTCTTGTGAGCGGAACGATCTGCTTCACTACATCCCAAATGTAAAGCACCAGTTCAGTTGCTCCTCGTTAGGTTCTTACAGGAACATTGGAGAAAAGGTCGTAATCTGCTTGAATGGTAGGTATGCGTCTGTAAGACACAGCCATCACACTTACATCGATGCACCGGTCTGGTTGTCGGGTTGAAGCGACGCCATTGGATCCTCAAGTGTTTTCCTCGTCGCAGCAGGGGTGCAGAGTTTGATCCTCTCCTCGAGATGGTGCTTGTTCTCTCATAACGCCGTCGTTATCTGGGGTTGATACGATGCTGCGGGATCTGAACATGTCGTAAAACAGAACATCAAGGGTTTATGTCAGACTCGAAGCGTACAGGAAGGGAGGGACATGGAGTTTTTCCAAGCTTGCCTGCTCTGGATTGCTGGGCAGTATCAATGATGAGTATCCAGGCAGCAAGCATAGCAGAGAAGACAAGGCAATTGGGGAGGTTACATCTCAGGCAGGTACAAGACGTCAAAGCAACAACAGCATTGATTAGCTACGTGAACCTCAAGTCACCACATTCGTCCAACAGCCAGTCTCCTTGATACCACGACCGCCGGGACCAAACACGGGTCATTGGCAAGTCAATTCAATCTGATCTCTGCCCTTGCAAAGAACATCCACGGCCAGAAAGTCTGCCTCGTATATGGACGTGCCGAAAAGAATGGTTGCAGTCCTCCGTGGCGTCGAAGCTTCACTGATCGGAGTTTTAATGCTGTTTGTCACAGTCAGGACACTGGCTCTTCCACAAAGCTAGATCTACTTTGCAAAAGAGCATAGACTTACTCCGCAGGAGGTGCATTTGCAGCCAGGGCCGCAGTTGCAGCTGCTGGGGCCAGAACAAGTGCAGGGACCCATGGTTGAGTTGCTGTCAAGAGACTTCTCTGGTGGTTTGGAATAAGTGGTATGTGAGTCGATATCGATGTGATATAGATGGACGAAGATTCAGTGTGTCGATGAGGATGGAGAGATCGAGACTACGGAGGAGAACCGAGGGGACTACCAATACTTATACCACGAGTAGAAGAAGCAAGTCGATCGGCCAGCACATCGCCCTGCGCTTTTTGTGCGTTGCCACAGACCAATCAAGGCAAATATAGCGTGTCTCTCTGCTCGGTCTGGACGAAGCATATCGATGGGAATCGAAGGAAGAATGAGTAAAGCGACCAACCAACGAGCACGAAGTGAACAACGTCCTGGGAAAACCGGCTCTCGGCTTGGGAATGATGGGGGAAGGAAGAAGCGGCGTGGGGTCTGGGCTTTGGGTTGTGGTGAGCGATCTTTGCGTATTCTACATCCTGTCAGCAGCCGTGGTGGTTTTGTCTGATGGTGGAGTTGACCGAAACGCCTTCATTGGTCAACGAGGAGGGTTTCAGGGGGGCGCAAGGTTTACTCGGGAACACACATTGGACTCAGGGGGCTCGGCACCGGCGCACAAAGGGCTCAAGGATCAACGGAAAGGCAGTGAGAGTGTGGTGGACCATCGACGAGCCATGAATGTCGTGATGTGTTTCTATCAACAAGAAGGCCCTTGATAAACACAAGAGGGTTTCCCCCCTCGACACTGAAGGGCCTCACATACTTCTGGACTTTTGTTCACCATCTAAGTGTATTCATACATCTTTTCCCAGCTTAAGAGCCCATATCCCCTCTGCACGCCCGCTAAATGGGACAGTCGTGGTTCTGCGGCTTACAAAAGAAATGGAACAGCAAGACCGGCGGCAGCGACAAGACCTTGGAGCAATTGAGGTCCATTCGTTGGGCCAGCCATGCCGGCTGAGCTGGACGAAGAGGCGCTTCCCGAGGCGGCGGCAGAGGCTGACGGGGAGGAAGTCGCCGACATGGATCCTGAGGCCGACGACGACGATGAACTGGTGTCGAAGCTATTCTGGTTGGTAATGGTTGCTGTCAGGCCAGTCACATTTGTGCAGCTGGAGCTGATGGTTGAGTTGACGCCGGTGACGAAGTTGACAGCCGCACACTGCGAGGTTCAATCTGTCAACAGACTTGGTCCTGGACGTTCTTGCGGGTTCTCAGCTTACCTGGTACAGGACACCGTCGGGGCCCTTCTGGATGACCTGGATAACACCCTTGTTGCCGGCGTAATCAGCCGGGGCAACGAGGTGTGGCAGACAGAATTGACCCAGGCCAGTCTCTGAAACGACGGGCAGCAGGTTGGTCCAGTTGAAGGGTGCCTTCTGGTCGAGGGTGACGCGGAAGAGCCAGTCGGCGGCGGGATGGGTGCTCAGCATTGAGACTGGGAAGCCACCAACGGGGATGGTGTCGTCGGTGCTGTTGAAGACCACATCGAAGCCGCCACAAGGCGCTGTTGCCTCGATGTCATCGTCGAAGCCGAGGGACTGGGGGTATTGGAGAATAAAATGGGCGGAGGTACAGAGGGTCCAGAGGGACAGGAGGGAGAGACGAGGGAGGAAGTGCATGTTGTCGGGAGGACAGACAGATGAAGCCTGAGTGATTGAGTGAGTGAGTGGTGGTGGTGGTGGTGGTGGTGGTGCTGGTGGAATGAAGATGAATGAGTTGAGTTGAGCGAGAGACGGCCAAGACTGGAGGCTCTCTCGGTGTCTTGTCTTTATCTTTTCTTTTCTCCTTTTTCTTCTCTGTTCCCGTTTTCTCTTATTAACTAATAATCTACCGAGTATTACTTGGGTTGTCCTCCCCCTTCACCGGACCTGTTCGTCGCTGTTTCTTGTCGCTTGCCGTTGCTTTGCATGCGCTAGTCGCGGTGAGCAAGTTTCGCAGTTTCGCAGGTGGGGCACCTCAGCGCACGAGCAGATTTTCCAGCCAATAACAGGCCCCCGTTCTGGGCTGGGCGATCGCGCACCGCCGTGAGCAGAATCCAACTGCTTCACACAAACAGCCACTCCAGCTTCATCCCTTTCTTTATTAGTCGTGTCTCTGTCTCCATCTCCATCTCACCCTCCGCCATGCCATCCCCCATCCCGCCGCCGTCGACCTGCTTTCGGTCACCCGTACCTCACACAAACGGCTGCTCGTCTCGGAGGATTGCCGCCTTTTATCTTGCTCACCTCTTCATGTCCTCCACCACTCTGTACCACACGAGCACGTTTCCCATGTTTCGGATACCCTAACCTCTCTCATTGTGTCTATTCTTAACCCCACGTCACTGGTACCCGGATGACATCGATGGCCTAAAAAGGTCTCCGTAATCTTCTTTCTACCTACCGTACAATCGTCCTCCCACGCGTAACTACTACTAGATACTTGATATCTGCCGTCCGTCATCTTGTGGCTTTTCCATTGGAGAAAGGCTTTCAAGCACACGGCGACGACCTGCCATCAACCACAACCACAATAACCTCCATTCATCGTCGATTCTTCCCGCAATCATGGACATGTCAGGAATGTCCGGAATGGGCGGGATGGACATGTCCAGCGCGGGCATGTTCACGCCAACGAATAAAAAGGTGGCGCATCTGTACTGGTACTTGGTCAGTGCGGTGGTGGGTGTCCTTGTGGTTCGGAGAGTGGTCGATCGAACCAGAATCCTCTTGAGGTAAATCAAACCCGTTCGAGCAACTTGTCGTCTTGTCGTGACTGACGAGGTCCAACAGGAAACAAAAATCCCAGAACCGACCGGGCCAGATTCCAGGGAGGCCGCAGAACGCCCTCGAGCAACTCTACGACACCACCATAGCCGTGTGCAGGGAGCTGGCATACCCTCAACTGTGGACGTGCACCGGCAAATTTACCAAATACTTTACTCCCCCTTCCTTAGGAAGATGTCTGCTGCTTCTCATCTATTGGGCCGTCATTCTGACGATGCTCTGGTCGAATGTCCTCCTGACGCCCTCCTCGCCCAACTACGCCTACAAATGGGAGATTGTGGGGTTTCGTGCTGCTTGGGTCTCGGTCACCCAACTACCCTTGATTTACATTTTGTCGGGGAAAGCCAACATCATCACCATCTTGACCGGCATCTCCTATGAAAGATTAAACTGGCTGCATCGCTGGGTCAGCCGCACCATTTTCCTGACCGTCATTGTCCACTGGTCTTACTTCTTCACCGAGTGGTCCATTGCCGACTTTGTCAGCTTGGAGCTTGAATGGATGCCTATGGTCAAATATGGATTCGGTGCGTGGGCGACGTTGGGTTGGATGGTCATCACCGGGTTCGGCTTCTTCCGGAATCTCTCGTATGAGCTCTGGTTCCTGCAGCATCTCGCGGCAGCCATGGTCCTGCTGTGGCTGGTCCATTCTCACGTCCCTTCCTACGCACAATACAACGTGTGGTTTGCAATTGGTGTCGTTGCCTTCGACCGGCTTGTCCGGACAGTGATGTCGTTGGTCATCAACCTACACCTCATTCCCAACAAAAGGGAGAGTGTTCCGTCTGGCCGCCGTATCGGTTATGAAGCCGAGGTCAAGGCTCTCTCCGGCGAGTTTCTGCAAGTCAGAGTGCGAAATGTCGCAATGTCTTGGCGGCCTGGTCAGCATGTGTACCTGTCCATTCCTCGCGCCGGCATCGTCGAAGCACATCCCTTCACCATTGCCAGCGTCCCGAAATCAATCACTGGAGAAAGTGGGCCGAACACTGTTGACCTATACATGCGGGTGCACAATGGATTCACCAAAAGGCTGTTCCGTCAATGCCGAAACCAGCTGACCTCACGGACCTTCCTCTCATTCATCAGCGGACCATGGGGAAACCCTCCCTCTATTGAACGGTTTGAATCAATGGTCTTCGCGGCTACGGGCAATGGCGTGTCCTTTACGCTGCCTATCTTTCAACAAGCCGTGCTGACCAATAATAACCTGCGGCAGATTTCCTTTGTTTGGATCTTCCGCCAAGCGGAGCAGCTGGACTGGTTTAAGGAAGAGTTGCTCTCCGCCTGGGGGGCAGCCCGGCGGCGCAACATCAAAATAAACATATACGCTTTCATTACTGGAAGTGGACAGTCTCGAACCCCGTCGGCATCAGAGAGCTATGCACTGCTCGATCCAACGTTAGGTTCAGAGTATTCACACGCAGAAAAAGAAGCCAACGGGGCGCCGACTATGGACAAAATGCCGAGCACCATTAAGCTTTCCATGGAGAAGACGGAAATAGGCAGCGTGAGCGAAAACTCGGTCTCGTCGTCCTCTTCGCTGAATGAGCAGCCCACAATACAGATCGGCTACGGTCGCCCGGATTTTGATTCTCTCATCCATCCCGTGGTGGAATCGGCATGGGGCGAGACAGGAATTCTCGCCTGCGGTGCCAGCCAATTTTCCGGGCAATTAAGGAATTATGTCGCACAGCTGTCTGACGAGAGAGCCGTCCATAAAGGAACCGGCGCTCAAGGTATATATCTGTTCTGTGAGACTTACGGGTGGTGAAAGCATAGCGATGGTTGTTAAGACTACATATCATGCATTTAGATACGAGAGATGACTTCCGCTAATCGCGGTGTACTTGAATTCAGCATTCCATGATCTGACGACCTCTGTCCTGGCCGAGATCCCTCACTTCCATGACCCAGGGCGCCCCTTTTCTTCGTCTCTCTCTCTCTCTCTCCTTGAGCGCCAAGTCTGTGAGTTTGTATCCCACGTCGTCCCTTCTGTGTTCCCCCAGTCCCAACAAGGCGTGGCTTCAGCCCCCGGCCTCAAGCGCATCCACGCCACGGGTTCCACCTGCTCACAGCACCAGCTCCAGCAGCATTCCCGGTCGACGGAGCACTGCCAAGCAATACCAAGAACCGACAGACCTACACCGTCCAGATGAGCAAGTTTACCATCATGGGCTGTTCCAACTCCTCACCAATGAGAATGCACGACTCTGTCCCAGGTGGTGCTGCTGCCATTTTCTTTCAAACCCCGACGGCCACCTAGCTATAGGTCCGAAATGTCGTGTTGGGTTCGAAAGAGGACCAGAAATGCTTGTGCAGGCTGCAAGCCAAGGGGAGGTGAGAAGGTACAAAAGGTCGAGAGGCCGCGGAGAGAGTTGAAGTCTCTGAGCTTTCAGTCCCCGGATCTTCTTGGATTTCGTTGATATTGCGTCCTGACCTGAACACCTTGTCCTGTGCCGCTCGATTCTATACTGCTCTTTCCCATCGTCCCATCATGGAGATCTTCATCGTTGCCCTCCTGGCCGCGGCCAAGATGGCGTCCGCCCACTTCGAGCTCCAATACCCAATCTGGCGAGGCGACTCCTTCCTGCCGCCAGCGTCGCAGTACATCTTCCCATGTAAGTCGACTCTAAACACATACCTCCCCCGGTCATTATCCCCGCCCAACACTCCTGAGCCTCCCTTCCTCGCAGCCAACTGAACGTGTGTGTGTGTGTGCTGGAATTAGGTGCCAACGTGAACACCACCGCCGAATCGGACGCCAACCGCACGATGTGGCCCCTCGACGGCGGCTCCCTGGTGATCGACTTCCACCACCCGTGGACCTACGTCGCGTTCAACCTGGGCTTCGGCTCCGACATCGCCACCTTCAACATCTCCCTGAACCCCATGCTGCTTAACGAGACGGGTAACGGCACCATTTGCATCCCCAAGTGGACGCTCCCTGCGGACTTGGGCATCGTCGACGGCATGGACGCGTCCCTGCAGGTCATCACTATCGGAGACAGTGGGACTGCTCTGTACAATGTACGTCGTGCTTCCCGGTCCAAACTGTTCTCGTTGATATGGTGAAATGTTCTTCAGAATTCACAGGCTGGTTGACTGAATGATTGAATGAATGAATGACTGACGTCCTGTCTTGTTGGTGTTCTAGTGTGCCGACATCCGATTCAGCGCCAACGCGACCACCTTGTCCGGCGACCAGTGCCAGAACTCGACGGGCGTGGACATCTACCCGCTCGTCCAGCAGCAGGCCAATGGATCTACGACACAGGCGACGGCGACCGTTACCGTAACCGCGACCCCTAGCGCCACGACTACCACGACCAATGCCGGAGGAAAATTAAGCGTGCAACCTTTGGCAGGTCTTGCTGGGATCAGCATCGCCTCCGCTCTCGTCGTGACATTGGGACTTGGCTTCTTCTAGGAGCGGCAAATAACTTGGAACGGTCTGCGAGGTGGAGTGAGTGCGTGCTTCGCGTTCAGCAAGTAGGGAGTCTACACTTAGACAGCTGAATGATGATGAGACATGTGTGAAAAAGCGTGTTGAACTTTCTTTTTTGGGATAGAGAAAGACTGCCTTTGTGATTGCTTGTGCCGCGTCACCACACGACTGAGACAGATGTACGTTAGACCGATCCCACCACTCGCTCGGGGGCCATCCAAGCATTCCAAAAAAAAAAAAAAAAGCAAACATCCAATCTCTATGCCTTTTGAGTGGTGAGATTGCCCACCACCGTCCCCTGGGCATTCTCAAACTTCGCCCACGCGCTGTTCAAGCCATACACGGCCGCACTCACCGTGACGCCGGGATTGAGCCCGCCGGCGCTGATCTTGAGGGTGTCAAGCGGCTGCTCGGGGAAGAAGGAGACGGTGGCGGAGGACTCGCCGCCGTTGATGAAGACCTCGAGAATGCTGCGATCGATGACGCCCTCGACGCGCCAGGTGAGTAACGACGCCGACGAGTTGTAGGGACAGCTGGTCGAGAACTTGTCGGTGAAGAAGGGGTTGTCGAACCCGCGCACGCCGCCGCGGTCGAGGAAGAACGCGCTGTCGGGCGCCAGGAAGTAGCCGCCCTTCAACGTCTCGCCGGATCGGGACGACGAGAATGTGAAGTTCGCGGTGCCCGTGATGTTGGCGCTGGGGATGTCCGTGACGTTGATCTGGAAGTACACCGCCCCCGAGGACACGGACGTGGAGTAGTCGACGCTGACGCTGCCGTTGCCCATGGTCCTGTTGGCCAGGGCGGTGGTGTTGATCACAGGAGAGAGATCGTATGGTGCGGACACCATGTCGTACCCCACCCGGCTGATGTTCTTCAGGTAGTTGACCCGCGGCAGCGACATGGACGAACGCCAGCCTTCCGAGGCTCCGGTCGGGACCACCTGTGAGTACTGCCAGTTGCTGGTCCAGGCGATGGAGATCTGGTCCTGGTCGGCGGGGATGCCGGAGAAGAACTGGCCGGCGTAGTTGTCCTTGCCGAAGTCGCCGATCCGCGCGGCCCCGTCGACAGGCGTGAACACGGTGCCGTTGAACGCGCCCGGGAAGTACTGGGTTATGGAGCCGCCGAGGGGGGCGCCAGGGTTGATGCTCACGGCGAGCACGTACATCGGCTGCGGCTGGCCTTCCATGGGGATCTGCACCAGGTTGGGACATTCATACTGGTCACCCAGCAGGCCGTGGTGGGAGAAGTTGGAGACGTGGGTCCAGTTCTTGAGGTTGGCGGACGTGAAGAAGCCGACGGTGAGGTCCTGCGCGTACGCGACCACCATCACCCACCGTTGCGTGGGCGCGTGCCAGAGGACCTTGGGATCGCGGAACTGGCTCGAGTTGTCGCTCAGCACCGGGTTGCCCGCGTACGGCTGGAACGTGTACCCGCCGTCGACCGAGTACGACAGGGCCTGTGTCTGCGACGTGGGCGTGTTGACCGTGTACACGGCGACCACGCCGTTGTCCTGGCGAGGGAAGAATCCCGACGTGTTGTTCACGTCCACCACCGCCGAGCCGGAGTAGATGTTGGAATGTGCGTCCGGGGGGAAGATGGCGATCTGTTGGTTCATCCAGTGGTACAGATCTTTGGAGGTCGCATGGCCCCAGTGCTGGTTGCCCGCCACGACGCCCGTGGGGTTGTCTTCTCTCTATCATCAGCAGGTGGAGTTTTGTGGGTTTGGGGATTTTGGAGCAGAGGACTGCATACGTACATTGGTAGTACAAGTGATACGTGCCGTTCGCATCGACGAACATGCCGTTGGGATCATTCATAAAGTCCTTGGGGGGCGAGAAATGGACCTGTGGGCGAAGAGCACCGCTATAGTTCCCCGGAATTGGAGTCCCCGTGGGAACCGTTGGCTCGACGTATTGAGAGCCCTGCGCCCAGGAGGGTGTGACCAACGACGCAGCAGCACATGCAAGAGAGACGAACGAAATCATGACTGCTGGCGCCCACGGGGAGTCTCACCTATGCACTCACTCGACGGCGAAGGTGTTCTGTTCCTCCAGCGTTCCACAGCAATCATCATGGGACTTAAGTATGCTGGACTCCCGGAAGCAGTATTGACGTCCATGCGGACTCTCCTCATACCTCTTGCGTAGCATGATGTCGACGTCATACCGCCCGGGGATCGAGTGCAAATCATACCAAATTGCGCGTGGGAGGCGTACCACAACCATTCGCGTTTTGCAGCACTGAGCATCATCACCGTCCTTTTCTCCATCTCTGTCAATAATATGCGAAGACAATCGGGCCGATTGGAAAAAGACAAATCCGTTGAAGTGGAGGGCGCCATGTTGTTGCTAAGCATGTTGTCCATATGGGTCGTTGCAGGCACTCCCAGGTGGTCCATTGGCACAAGTCAGGGGACCATGCATCGATCCAGCTCAAAAGGTATTGGTGCCCTGCTCGTTCATGTTAGGTCAAATGCACGGTAATGCGAGTGCTGGGCCATGATGCTGTGCGAGGCTGGCTACTTTAAGAAGAAACAACCTGATTGGACGGTGGCGTCGGCATGGCAGCCCGTGTCGGCATCCGAGGTTTCAAAAGCCGACATTGCGGGGGTTGAACAAGTCACGTGCCATAGTCTCATTGGCTCGCTCGCTGAAATACGGAGAAATAATAACCCGTCCCGTGCTGACCACTTACCCCATGCGACGTCGTCTTTATCTACTACTACCACAAGCTGCAGGCGGACGCCAGAGAGCCCATTCTCCTCAATCCCATCCCTGGCTGATGAGACTCATTGTGCAACCCTCCCGCGTCGAACTCTCCACCACGATTTCTACCAACGGGGGCACGAGATCGGCTGCACTGGCCGACCCAAACCATTGAACCCTGAGCGACGAGCATGTCACAACTGCAAAGCTAGGACATGAATGGGCGACGGCGTGTGGTGTGTGGAGGGGCCAAGGATCCAGCTTGATGCAAAATTGGGCATGTTTCGCCGACTCTCGGCGTATTAGACCTCGACCGGTGTGGTCAACCTCGTCAACCTGCAATGTCCTGGGAGTGTGACAGAGCTCCCTGGGCACATGGGAGCATTGTATATTTATATTGAGCAGACGTCCCCTCCTCCGCGGTTTTCGACATGCAGACCGCAAATCCTGAGCTCCCCCGACTTCCTCTCCACAAGTGGTTCCATTGTGTCCATCTGAGATCAGTCATCTAGCTATACGCCATCATGCCTTTCCTCTTCGCAAAGCCTGCGGATACCCCAGGCTCGGCGGTCCCTGCTATCATCATAGGATGTTTCGTTGCGTTTGGTGGTGTCTTGTGTAAGTCGACCAGCCCACCCGATACAGAGACAGCGTCTTGTGGCACTGAAGCTGTTTCCATGAACACTTGCTGACGTTCTCCTTTTGATTGCAACAGTTGGCTATGACACGGGGACAATCGGAGGCATATTGGCCATGAAATACTGGAGGAACCTCTTCTCGACCGGATATATCAACCCCAAGGACAATTATCCAGACGTGACAGCGAGCCAGACATCAGAAATTGTCTCCATCTTGTCTGCGGGCACTTTCTTCGGTGCTCTGTTCAGTGCTCCTATTGCAGATTTCTTGGGTCGTCGACTAGCCAGTAAGTTCTACCGCCTCTTTCCAGTATGGTTTTGCGTCGGGAAGGCCTGTTGTGCGAGGACCCGCGGTTTGCGCTGAAATGCAGCATCCCTCGGGAATTGGTCAACCCGCTTGTTCTTTTCGGAGAGTCTGAACCTTGTACTGATATCGCACACCAGTGATCTTCAACACTGGGGTGTTCACCTTTGGTGTTATTCTCCAGACGGCTGCCACCGCCATTCCGATGTTCGTTGCTGGCCGTTTCTTCGCCGGCTTGGGGGTTGGTCTCCTAAGTGCCACCATTCCTCTGTATCAGTCCGAGACGGCACCAAAATGGATCAGAGGAGCCATTGTCGGCTGCTATCAGTGGGCCAGTAAGTTTCCTGCGTTCTGAGATCAATCACCAGGGACTAACGCGACGGTCACAGTTACCATCGGTCTTTTCCTCGCAGCGATCGTCCTTAACTCCACCAAGAACCGTAACGACACGGGGTCTTACCGGATTCCCGTCGCCGTCCAGTTTGCGTGGGCCATTATTTTGGTGGCTGGCATGCTAATTCTGCCCGAAACTCCGCGCTTCTTGATTAAGAGGGGGAATGGTGAAAAGGCGGCAAAGTCTCTCGCCCGTCTCCGCAGACTTCCCGTGGATCACCCTGCTGTCGTGGAGGAGCTCACCGAAATCATTGCCAACCACGAGTATGAGATGGCCATCGGCACCGCCTCTTACCTTGCCTGCTTCCAGGCGCCGATCAGGAAGCGACTGTTTACCGGCATGGCTCTCCAGGCTCTGCAGCAGCTCACCGGTGTCAACTTCATCTTTTACTACGGCACGACTTATTTCACCAGCGCTGGCATCCACAACCCCTTCATCATCTCTGTCATCACCGACGTCGTCAACGTCTGCAGCACCGTTCCTGGTCTGTGGATGGTCGAGAAATGGGGAAGACGGCCGCTGCTTCTCTTTGGTGCCATTGGCATGTCCGTCTGTCAGCTTATCGTTGCCAGCGTCGGCACGGCCAGACCTGGTGAGCCGGCCGCCAGCAATGCCTTGATCGCTTTCGTCTGCATCTACATCTTCTTCTTCGCCTGCTCGTGGGGTCCTTGCGCTTGGGTAGTTACCGGTACGTTCTTTCTCTCTCTCTCTCTCTCTCTCTCTCTCTCTTTTCGATAAAATTTCAAGGGTCCTACTGACTGGTCCTCAGGCGAAATCTTCCCCTTGAAAGCCCGAGCAAAGGGCTTGTCCATGACTACCGCCTCGAACTGGCTTCTCAACTGGGCGATCGCATATTCCACGCCGTACATGGTGAATCCAGGGCCCGGGAATGCGTGAGTACCATCCAGCGATCAATGTCTGTCGTACTTTACTGACTTTTTGCGGTACAGGAACCTCGGATCCAAAGTCTTCTTCGTGTGGGGCGGATTCTGCTGCGTCTGCTGCGCATTTGTGTACTTTTTCATCTACGAGACCAAGGGCTTGACTCTCGAGCAGGTCGACGAGCTCTACGCGAAAGTCAGCTCCGCTCGGAACTCGCCGGGCTTTGTCCCCACCGTGCGCTTCACCGAGGTCAAGGATGTAGGCGCACACGAGGCCCGTCGTAGCACCTTGGCCGATCTCGAGCAGGCAGCGGTTCGCAGGAAGAGCTCAGCTGGCGTCCACGAGGAGTACGTCAAGGCCTGAGGGGTGAGGCGTTGTCGGCGAAGTATCAGCTTCCCATCCCCTAGTGTGCAGACAACAACAGAGTATGTATACTGGGACGGATGTTGTTGAACTATCCTGAGGAGGATGTCTTGCCAATGTATTTTTCCCGAGTTTGTGCTGTCCTTGGCTTGGTTCTGGATCAGGTGAATGAAGGTTTAGCCGCTTGGATCAAGCGAAGGAGGTCTGTCTTGGATGTATCCGCGGACGGCAATCTTGTGGGCGTAAAGTGCGTGCGCCATCCGACATGTATGGGGTACTTCGGTGGTGTTTCATCAAATGCTCGTAGTACTTCTTGCTCTCATCCCGTTTTTACTTCCAAAGATCTTGTGTTCTGAGCATCGAGTTATTGACCACGTGGGTGATGGGCCAGGAGGCGTTGAAACCCGCTAGAAATGCGGGCTGCGTGGCCCCTCGCATCCGTCGTAAAGTCATCAGAAAAATACGAGGAGGGGTCGCCACCCTCGCATCGCTCTCTCATGGATGACGATGACATTCTGTGTAATTAGTGGCAATTCTGCCCTGCATCCAGCAGGGGAGCCGCAGTCGTGGCAAGGCGGGGGAAATGCGTGAATAATGCACGGCTCGTGGGCTTGGAGAGGCTTGGACAAAAGCTTGACAGATCTTGGGTGATGACCGAACAGATGCTTGTCTTCTTCTAGGTAGAACGACGACCGATCCATCATCTGCACTAGACCGACGCGAGATTTGTCGCCCGAGGGATCTCATTGGCACTCATGGCGGGAGGCCGACGGGGGTTGACGCAGCCCGTCCTTGCACAGCCACGACCAGCCCTCGACCGGTCTTACATACTTAAATGCAAGGGATTTGTTAACCTTGCGACGACGACCTTGTTCTACCAACAGGTCCCAATACCCAATATGGCGACGACGCAAGAGAGCAGCAGTTTTGGACAGGTCAAGGCCGACAGCAAGGGTGTCGGTGTTGTCCAACAGGCTGCTGCGAATGAGTACTTCTGCAAACGGTGCGACCAAACCATGGGCTTCGATTTGAAAGACGAACACGAAGACTGGCATTTCGCACGGGATTTGCAGGAGCAAGAAGATGGCAGTACCACAGCTGCACCACCGACGACTCAGGCAACTGCGAAACCTCCACCGGTGGACATCAAACAGGCGGGCACAGGGGATAGTCATGACCATGACCCTCCAGGTTATGCGCCACCGTCATATCCGCCACCCGGTGCTGCTGCGAGCCGACCAGCGACGACCACCTATCGCCATACCAACCAGGTCATCGAAGCGGGCAAAGTGCGTGCTCGAGACGAGGTAGGTTTATCGTTCCCAGCCAGGGCAGACAGACGTGACGTGGCAAAGGCACCGGTCTAATATCCCAATAGCAACAAATGCAGAATGCCCTGCAAAAGCTGCAATACCAGTATCGAATCTACAATAGTGACATCGAGCCCGAACACGAGACAGATTTCTACTGTAGCTGCCCCATCCACGTCTACCAGAGGATGAAATACAACCGATATGGAGTGCAGGAAATGTGGTCGCGGGCAGTCATGTATCCTGGTCAGCATTTGCCCTTCTGTGGCTGTTCGTGCTCTACGTGAAGTCGGCTGACCAGCTGGGAGCAGGCGAGAAGTCCTACAACGACAATCCTATGGCGCCGACCCTCTTCAGTGGGAATCCGTACAGACTCCGCGTCATTTCGCCCTACGGCTACAATCAGTCTTCCTGGGGAGCGCAAGTCCCCCGGGCGAAATACCACGCCCAGTCGATCCATCAGACCATTGCCCTCAACAACCGCCTGAATGCGGAGGCGCTGGCCAAGATTGAGGCGCTGGAACCAAAGGTCGACATCTGGAATGATGCTGCCCTAGAAGCTGCAATGTCTCAGCTGAGCATCATGGCCAGCATTGACAGGAAGGCATCAACCAAGGCAGGCAACGAGAATGACTCTCGCCAACTGCCAGAAAAAGGAACCTCCTCCACGGCGAATGGAAGTGCGGAGAGACCTGGCAAGTCATCGAGACTTTCCAGTTTCAGGCAGTCGATTGGGATCATGTCGTCGAAGGAGAAAGCAGTCGCGAAGACAGAGAAGATGGTCGATCGGGGTCGTGAGCTGCGCAACGCCATCCTCGCCGAGGAAGCAGGCCGGTGGCCGGACGAGCAGTGGCGGCACATCGTGGCCGTGTACCAGGAGAAGGTGGGTATGACGGGGAAGATTGCTCACCTGCGCGCCCACCAGCCCATCCAGTACCTCCACCTCCTCCGGGCCGGCTACTTTGAGCCGATTCCTGTGGCGTGGGCGACGCAGGCGTCGAACCCACTCAAGTTTAGCATCGAAGCGGCGGCGGGCTGGAGAGGCATCACGCCAGCTTGGCGAGGGTATGAGGACACTGCCGAGGAGCGGCTCTACTGGGTCTTGAACCACCGGGAAGGCAGCGTCGGCGTGAGATTGAAGCCCGACTTCATCTCGGAGATGGACATGGCGCGCGCCAGAATGGCGACGGCCGTCGAGCCGCCGCCCGAGTACTACTCGGCCACCGACACCTGCCACATGCAACACACCTCGGAGGGCTACTCCAAGCAAGTCATGCCTCGACCCTTTGTGGCCTACGACCGCCCCGAAGTCCCGACCGACGACACCATGATTCTGCTGGATGTGTCTGGGTCCATGGACTTTGATCCGGTGCGACCACAATACGACCAGTATCTGATCACGGGCTATGCCCGGTCCACACAGCCCAAGAACAAAGGTGATTGAGGACTCCCCTCTGTTTCGCTTTGTTTCGTTTCATTTTACCCATACTGACTGACCATGTCCACCACAGACGTCGCCAAGGCCATCATCCGCCGCTTCACCGACGCGATGGCGAACCACGACCACCAATTCCAGGGATACGACCTGGTGACGTTCTCCAACTGGGCCGAGCACATCGGGACGGTCAACCACGCGAACCTCGACCAGATGTGGCGGCGGATCCAGATCGGCGGCGGCACGCGCGTGATGACGGGGTGGCAGAAGGTGAAGGAGCTGCACTTCCAGAAGCACTCGGCGTCGGCCACGCACCACCCGGTGTACGGGTGGCAGGCCGGACCGGCGACGCCGATGCTGCGGCTCCTGCTGCTGCTGGACGGCGAGGCCACGGACATGGACGAGTTCGAGCTGGACCTGCTGGGCCTGTCGTGGGCCCACGTCACCATCTTCCTCATCGGCGTCGACGGCTGCCCGCACCACCACCGCCACGCCAACGAGCTGCAGCGCATCAGCGACGTCAACCACCACGTCTCCTTCGTCGACGCCCAGGGCAACACACCCGAGCGCTTCGTCACCCACGAGCTGCTCAAGAGGCATCTGGGCTACGAGATCTCCCTGTCCGAGTTTGAGCAGATGGAGGAGCTGCCGGGGTATACGCCGTGATTGATTAATTGATTTTGCGGAGGACGGGGGTTTTGAGATGATATGGTTCCAGCAGCAATATGGTGGTTATATGATAAGTCATGCGTTGTCGGATGACTACGAGATATAACAAATTCGGCATTTCGAGGCATACTTTGTTAAGCGATATCTTACAGTTCGTCGAGGGATGGCAATAAAGTAAATGCCACGTTCAGTATGTTTGTCTGTCTGTCAAACTCCGAGTTCCAAAAAAACATGAATGATACGATTATCATCAACATCGTTTCCCGCTTTGGTCGTCGTTGTACATATCATCCATCAATCCTGTCCTGTTCTCATTCTTGGGGACATCTTTTTGTTTCCTGTCCCGTCTCTCCGAACCGAAGCCCACTCCCACGAACCCTATACCCGTCTGCTGTCTATCTATTTACCGACCGATGATATACAAGTGCGCGTGCGTCATTGTGGCGCCGTCCCGCCGTCGCGGCCGTGGTCGTGGTCGCAGTTGTGGCCGTGACGGCCCGACCCCAACACTCCAACAGCGCGGTCGCGACGCCGGGCTCGACGGGCGTGACGTTGCGCGCCACGTGCACAGCCTTGTCGGAGTTCCAGGGATTCGTCAGGCCGCGCACCGCCGCGAACGGCAGGCCCTGCGCGCACAGCCATTTGATGGCACAGGGGCTGCTGAAGCGGTCGAGCGTGGTGAGGAAGGACGGGGGAGGGTCGGCCCTGGTGGCAGTGACGGCGTGGAATGTGGAAGGTGGAGGAGATGGACAAGCAGAAGAAGGTCGGAGAGGGTGGTGGTGGTGGGAAGACGATGCTTGTTTCGCGGTCGATGGCGGATGAGGATTACCCCGGTCCGAGTCCGGTGGGTGGTAGTGGTGGCAGCAGCAGGACGACGGTATTGGTGATTTGTCAACGACGCAGGGTGTTGCCTGTAGCTCTTCACCGGGAGATGTGGACTCCTCAACAGTCCTCCGCAGCCACGAAGCCTCCCATACAATCCTCCTTCGCTCGGGCTGATAGATGATAGAGCCAGACGAGACTGAGGAGAGCGACGAGGAGGAGTAAGAGTGTGAAGAATCAGAAGACGCCAGCGACTCCGTCCGCGACCTGGTCCAAGACTGCGCGTCGCCTTCGATCTCCTCTCCGTGCTGGCTCGACTCGGAGTCATCCTCGACATCCAAGTCGTGGTGAGCGGACATGATATGCACTTCGTCGGCAAATGGGACGAGGTCGTCATCCTCCACGTGGATCTCGGAACGCATCGTCGCATACCCAAAGAAGCAGCCCGAGCCGTTGACGGAGAAGATCAGGTAGACTTTGCTGGCTGTCTGTGGAACGACAAGAGGGAAGGGAATACAACGTCAGCGGACGAGAACTCAGACTCATTTGATTTCGAAACCAAGAAGGAGGAGGAGGAGGAAATGGCTCGATGCCATTGAATCCATGAGCCCCCGAGTGTCAACGTACCTGAAACGCATGATTCAATCGCTCAACGTGCCGCTTCGGCACATGCCACCGACCCGTCTCGAGACTCTGGTAGAGGGCGTCGAGCGAGAAGCTCTTGAGGATGAAGTACTTCTCCCGGCCCCACGATGACCGATCTGCCTCGGGGAAATTGGCGAATTCTTCCACTTTGCTCCGCAAGCTTTTCGTCGCCCTGTCACAACAGGACGCGGCGCTCGATCCGTTGAACAGCGGCCTTTTGTTGACGCGGCTGTTGAGCCCGTAGTCGACCTTGGTCGACCTGCTCTGAGCCTCGTGCCGGATGCGGCAGTCCAGTCGCCTCCCCTCAAAGAGTCGAGCGGCCGCTTGACGGATGGCTGAAAGCCGTGCCGACTCCGAACTGAAGTTGACGAAGGCGTATCTCGCGTCTGGGTTGTAGGAGACGCTGAGCAGGTCCCACGGCGCCGGCTCGGAGAAGTAGTCCCGCAGACTCATGATGGTAGTGTTGGGGGGGATATTGCCGACCCATAAGGCGAACTCGCCCTGATGTCTCGGGGCATGCGTGCTTGGACGACGAGTAGGGCCTAAGCAGACTCGTTGAGTCACTGTTAGTGATCTTCAATTCGATTGTATGGTCGCGGCTCGACGGGATAGAGTGAAGGGTGTTCCTACCTTGTCGATAGCCATTACAACAAGCCATTCTTTGATTTAGTGGGTGACGTTGCACGGCTCTCACAGGGACTATGACTTTGAATAGCGAATGCTCCCACTCTCGATGGGATGTTGTTCAGAATCAGACGCCTTGACGCTTATTGTGAATATGTTGTGGTGTTCGATCCATCTCTCGACGGACACACGGCAAAGATATCATATCTGGATATACAACGTCTCTGCATCGCGAGAGACCTGACATCTCTGAGCAGGTATTTCGACCAGGGGATCCAATCAAGCATGTTTTGGGGGGTGTCGTCGCAGGAAAGGAGAGGTGGGAGGCCAAGAACTTGCGCCGGCCAAAATATGCTCAGCCACCCTTTTTGTCAAAAAGGAAATTTGCTCACGCCCGTCAACCCACTGATTATGGTCCCAGCCCTGGAGGGAGGTCCATCCGGCGGCCACTCTCCTGAGCTGGAGCCGCTTGCATTGCACACCGTAGAGCTGACATGCGGTGGGTGATGCCAAGGTGGGCGCCCATTGAGCAGATAATATGCAAACCCCAAAGTTGCTCACGTTCTCGAAGCTTTGTCACTCGTGTCGCCAGGTGGTTGGATCCGATTCTCTCCTCGCGTCTGTCGCTGTCTCCTTTTCGTCGAATGCTCCGACCGAGCCATACGTACAACAAAAGTACGTCCGTCCACAAGACAGCCGTGTGCAGCTGACTGATTGGCTGGTCGAAAGTCGACGAAGTACGTACTCCCTACTTTGTCGATACCGCTGATTGACCGAGTAATTGGAGACCCTCCGGCAGAGGACCAATGTCTTTCCGCAATTCGACCCCGGGGAATGAGGCGCTCACCAGTAGCGGGTTCAGCGACGCGTACAGGAACATCCTGAGTCTGGGCGGAGGTTGGGGGAATGTGAGGTGAGGTTGCGCGGGCGACGTATCTGTCCAGAAGAGATTTCCTCGGTCTAATCATATCTCCTGTCGCAGTGGTCCAGGCATATTGTAGGTGGTATCTTCCCCGACAGGATAAAGGCCCCCTTTCCCGCATTGGGCCAGGGCATGGACCGAGTATTATTTCTTCAAGTAACTTACCAGATTTATGTCTCAGCATGGCCCGTGTCATCGTCTCGGGTACCCTCGGCTCTATCTTCATGGGCATGAGCGGCGCCTCCATCGGTGCCGTGATCTTCGACACCGCCACAATTCCCTTTGTGGTGTCGGCGTGTGCGGGCTTCATGCTCGGTGCCGTGGGATTCTACCGTGACGCGGTGCGAAAGTCTCAGCGGGCACTGGACCGGTTTCCGCAGTTGCTCCAGCTCCATCTAGACTCCAACTTCCCGCACCGTGGCTTTGACACCTGGGAGGCGGAGCGGTTTCGGAGTGGCGTGTTTGGGAGAAGCTGGGTGTTGCAGAGCATGGCCGTCGCGAGCTGGTTGACGGCGACCCGCGCCATTGAGGTCAGTGTCTCATGTCCATGCACAGTCTCTGTGTCAATCAGGCCCAGAGATTGGAGGAGGTGTGATCTTTACTGGGGAGCTGTGGCTGACAGCGTCCTATGGGGGCAGCGAATCTACGAAGCTGAGGAAGAACGGATCCTCCTTCCTTTGACCGGGGCGGCGCAGGATGTGGATGACTCTGGAAACTAAGGCTGGATGATGGACTGGTGCCTGTTGCTGAGGCTGTCACCAATGCTGGGACATGGTGGTTGATATCCATCACCCTTCAGCGGTCAAGTTCCAGTATTGAGGGTATAAGTGACGGGATGAGGGAAAGGCAAAGACGATAGAAAACATCAGCTCGCGCTTAGACAATCAAAGATCGGGACATCCGATCATGAGAATTGTAAACTCCTCCATTTTCCTAGGAGAATTTCTCTCTGGACTCCTGTACACATGCGCATACGGGACTGTACAAGTCCCTAAGTATTTCCCAGCAGTCTGTGGACTGAATAACTACTCCTACTCAGTAGAGGTTCATAGATACTCGAGGTTTAACTGGTTGAATTTTGTGATTTACAGTAAAGAAGGACATGTTAGGCATAGGTGGGTTCAGTTAAAGCCACCCCTAAGAAATTGAAGATTTAGTTAAAGGTGTCCCCTAAAAGGCGCTGCCAAGCAGGTAGGTGGGCAGAAGGCGGAAGATACAGTAGGTAGGTAGGTAAATGGTAATTCCTGATTGGCACAATCCCAGAACCCACGCATACGTCATTGGGCTAGTGAGGCCCTGGTAAGCATTCCTGTGGCGTCCATTGGGGCTCACTACTAGGCCAGTCCTGCGCCCGGGACCATTTACCCCAGACGAAGCCATTTGGTTAAAGGCGGGGGCGGGACTGGGCCTAGTGAGCCTAGTAGCCTGGCCTCCTCCCTCTTATCCGCCCTCACATGTCACGGATCCCCCAGGGAAGGGAAAGGAGCTAGGCAGCGAGGCAGGTCGCCCCTCGTACCACATACCACACATCCAGCTCAGCTCTGTCTGCTCTTTGTAATCTATCTCCCCCCAACCCATCATCAAGAGGTTGTAATACTCCTTCTCCTTGCTACCTACCTACCTACCTCTATCTACCCTATCACTTACCCCCATTTTCCCAAACACACGTTAGGGCTGCCAACGGTATCTCACAGCTCCGAGGTCCTCCTCTCCTAGGCCTGTTATTACATCACTGTTTCCCCGGGCCCCCTATTTACACGTAGCCCATCCACCCACCATGTCCTCATCCTCGTCCTCATCCTCCTGGCAAGACCGCCGCTTCATGTTCCCGGCGGGCCGCGAGGTCCACGAAGGCAGCGCTGCCCGCCGCATGTCCGGCTCCTCCGGCAGCGACAAGACCGCCGACTCTCCCATCCTGACCAATGCCACCCCATCTGCTGCTGCTGCTGCCGCCGCCGGAGCGACACCAGCTCTGCCCGACTACCCGGTCGTGGACAAGAAGGTGCTCTCCAACCCGGACGCGTGGGGCGGCGACCGACGGTTCATGGGCATGGGCGCAAGAGAGGTGCACGTACCCGCGCGCCGCCTGAGCGGGTCGGGTGCGAACAAGCCCGCCGAGGTACCCAAGGCTAGCTCACCCCCTGCGACGAGCTCCGGCGGAGGTGTTGCGGCTGCGATTGCCGGGCGGAGACGGGTATGTATATTTACAAATACCACCTCAAGGATCCTTGCCTATCTCTAGTTGTGATATCTCCCCGCCTCTTGTGCAGCAAACTATGACTGACCCAGTCTCCTGACTGGATGATTAGTCCTCCGCTTCCAACCAAGGCGGTATTTTCTCCGGCCTCATGGCCAACCGAACCGCCCACTCCGAGCGTCGCCAGAGCTGGGAGGACATGAAGAAACCGGAAGGCTTCAGCGGCTTCTTGTCCGGGCTGGTCAATACCAAGCCTGCGGATGAGAAGAAGTAACGCACACAGACACACATACACACAATGTATCAAAAACAGAGAGGGTTGTTGTTGCATGCGAGAGGAGCGGGAGAGGAAAATGATAAGATTGACAAATATCAGACGTTACCAGGGCGTGTCCAAGGTGTTTGGTATTGGCTTCTTGGGCTGGACAAGGCCTTTGACAGAGAGTGAGCATGTGACAAGGGTGCAGTCCAGAATGAGAACTACCGTCTCGAAAGGTGGCTTCTGAGAAAATGAGTGGAACAGAACAGAAAATGAAGAAGACGAATAGGAAGATGTCTCCATCAATGCTGACATGAAAAGAATGCAGATGATGAAAAGTGAGACAGCACAAGCTGTATAACCAGAACTACAGAATGAGAAACGGATCTTGAATGAGTGAGCGAGTTGCTCTGGCTGGTTCGGTCTAGAAGAGTCTCATCCCGAGTCTGCTTCCCTCACCCAACGCAACTGTGGTTCTCTTTTTGTCTCTTTCCTAGCTAGCTCCCTTCCTTGCTGGTCAAGTTTCCCTGGGGTATCGTCGCAGCAGAATAAAAACGAGTGAAAGTCCCATTTTCGCGCTCCTCAAAGTAGTCAGTCAGTCAATCAGTCCTATATCCTGGCGAACGACGGCCATCTCTGGGTATTGGGCTCGTCTAGACAGTTGTCCCATTTACTCGCCCTTCATGACGACTTTCTCTTCACCATCCGGTGTCTGTTGTCCACTCGACTCGTCGCCTTCGACCTCGGCAGGGCGTCCGTGCAACGCCGGTCCTCTCTTTCCCGCGATGTCCAGGAAGATGGACTTGACCGTGTGCGCCATGGTCTTGCGGCCTTGCCAGAGAGGGAATAGGCCGACGCAGAACGAGCTGCAGAAGAGCCAGAGGATGCCGACCACGACCCAGCCTGTTCACATGAGAGAAAGACCGTTAGCATTGGATCAAGATCCAGGGTTGTGACGCAGATGGAGAGTGGGGGGTGACGGTGCCGAGCGACGATGTCGCAAAAACTCACCAGTAAAGAACTTCTTGGAGAAGATGTACCCGGTCCCGTACATGGGCATGGGCCACAACACCAACATGGCAATGGTCATGAAGCCGGTCAAGCTGCGCGAGATGATGGCCGCCTTGTTGAGCTTGGTCTGTTCGGCGGCTTCCTGTTCGGCTGTCCTCGCCGCAATCTCGCGTTGGATCTCTGTGTCCACGCTGGCGCGGCGGATGATTTCAGAGTCATCGCCCCTGCGAATCTTCTTCATCGACTGCCAGTCATAGTTCTGTCGACCGAAAGCGAAAGTAAGGATGGGGACGAAGACTAGCGGGCTGAGCAATGCGGTGACGTTGCCCGCCAACATGGGGTTGTTGGAGCCTGTGCAGTCGACGTTCAGTACACCACACTCCCTCTTGGCTGTGACGAGCCAGGCGATCAAGGCACATGCGAAGCCCAGCACAGGGGCACCGGCGGCGGCTTGCCAATTCTGGTCCTTCCACATCAGCGCCAGAGTGGCTGGGATGACCGCACTGCTGATGATACAACCCTGCAAGCAGATGCAGTTAGCATTTTATCACATGTGCTGATTGATGGGAGCATTACCATAAGAAGGTAGAGGTAGCCCATGCTAACACCGGCATAGAACAATCCGGTCGAAAAGGAGGCGAGGCAGATAGCGTAGACAATACAGGCAGCGTGAGACATTCGGATCAAGAACTTCCCCGAGGCCTTGGGGTTGATGTACGTCTGATAGATATCGTAGGTCCAAATCGACGAGACCGCAATCAGCTCTGCAGACGAGGCTGAGGTCACGGCCATGAAGACCAGGAGAAGAGTGGCGGCAGCTCCACCTTTTCCGAGCAGAGCGACGGCGGCATAGGGGAGGACCAGTCCTGCACTGACATCGGCGTGGGACATGCGGTTCGGGTAGGTCGGGAAGACGGGGTTGTTCTCGAGGGCAAGAGCAGCAAGTCCCATAGTCGTAGCACAAAGCCAGGGGATTGCGAACCACGAAAGACCGCCCATCACATACCCAGGCAGTGCGTCGACTGGCGAGGCGGCGATGGCTTTGTTATAGTAGCCGTTGTCCAAGAACACAGTCCCTGGATACATCAGCAGAAGCTTGCGAGATTGTGAGCATTCATCCTACCAAAATTGCCGACAATGTTGATCACAAAAAATATAGCTCCCTCTTGACTTCGCATAGTCAGATAGCTACCGTCTTTGTTACCTGACACGGGATGTCGTCTGGAAGCATCCACAAGAAGTTCCCATACTTTTCCTGGTGAGCCGGCAACCTCATTTGTGGCATAAGCGCTGAATGCAAACACGAAGATAATGACCAAGATAATAACTGTATGGATATAATCCGTCAAGAAAGTTGCTTTGATCCCGCCGAACATCGTGTACAATACGACGCCCACAGGGAGGAGGAAGCAGGCAGCGGCCGTGGGTACTCCACAGAGAGAGCTGGCTACAGCACTGCCTCCAGTCAAAAGCATAGCCGTTACGAGGATGTTCGTCATGAGGCCGAAAACCAGGAAGACAATGTGAGTTACCACGCCGTATCTGGCTTTGATCACTTCAAGAAACGTGTGTGCGTTGGGTGCACGCCTCTTTAATCTTCGGTTATGGTTAGCACAGGGCAAGGGCTGTGAGGCTCCAAAATGTAGAAAGCACTTACTCGATGGCCAAAGTTGCAAACAGCAAGATCTGAACAGTGGCTCCCGAGGCGTACCAAAATGGGCCAGAAACACCATACGAATAGGCCACACCGGAAGATTGGAGCAAGGTAGCGGCCCATGTCCAGCTGGACACCACAGCCGCGGCCACGAGACCTGATTTCACGGTTCTTCCTGCCGTCGAGAATTCTTCAGATGTTTGAACCTGAAAGGATGTCAGCTGTGGAACAGCCCGCAATTGGGCTATACTGACTTCTCCATGATATCGTTTCAGCGCCCATGTCGTCCCAATCATACCCAAGGCAAAAGCAAACCCCAGGCCGAGGATGATGCCATATCCGAACCCCTTAGAGAGTGGAACAATGGCTGCTCCTGCGGTATCTGACATCTTGAAACTAAGACGTCTGCCTTATGACACTAATTACAATATTTCCAGGCAGACTCGAGGAGGCAGACGAAGGCGGGATATTCAGGCCCGACAGCGGGCCTTCTCACCTTTTATAGTCCTAGGCTTACCGTTTGGTAGAATGAGCAAGCAGGCAGCTCCCAGCAGAAGAAATTCCGGGGTCGTGGAGAGAACCTCATCTCGCTCACCAGACAGGAGCACGCGATGGCTGGAGCTGAAAAATTTTCCTGCCCTTGCTGGCCCGATAACGGCATGAGGCACGACAGGCATGCTGTCTTCGATCTTCTCTCCAACCAAGCGAGAAACCTGGGGGAATGTTTGGCGTGGAGGTGTTGGTAGAGTTGACCTGCATTCTGACGCCAATTGCGGGTCCTAGACACCGGCCCCCGTTGGCTAACTGGAAACACTGATAAGGACAACATGGACGGGAGGAAGATACGTAGTGGAGTCTGAGGCAGATCACCCGCTGGCAGTGACAAATGTGGTGGGTGGCTTGTTGGGAGAGTGACAAGCCGTTTGAAAAATAGAAAAGCCATCTTATCAAGAAAACCAGCCTCGGTGATTGGTCAAGAGAGACCGTCATCGGGTATCTCCTCCTACACCTTCCCTTCCTGCCACCTCAATCTGCTTGTTACCATGCCTTTAGGCTTTGCCAATGCCCGAGGAAGGTCATAGGTATGCTTAAACTGATCCCATAAGACCCGCGGGCCTATCATTGTTCGAGATGATTGGTTGCGCCAGGAGAAAAGATCTGCGGCTCATTCGACATAGCTAGCCCCCAAGTGTTTTTCACGCCACGAAACACTGTCGTCTCCATTCAGAGATCCATCCATCGGAGCAAAGATGCCGTGCACAGCATGTCAAGGCTCCCGAGCAGATATAGCAGACCCAACATGGCTGGTCATTGGATCCTCAGGTTTCGAGCCCCAGCGACCTAGCAACAGGAAAATACTTCTCTCTCCGTTGTCCGAGGCAGCTGACCTACCTTTCTCCATGGAAGCACTTGTTTCGGTCTGCAGGGCGATATCAGACTCTGCGCGATTGGCGGATCTTGATGTTGGCTTGTACAGCATCCCGTTCTGGTCGCAGTAGCGTGCTCTAGCCACGGGCTCGTCCTTGGCTCCAAGGCTGAAATGATAAGCAGGGGTATACTTCGTACAGACAGATACATGCCTCCATCGATCGAGAACTCCAATTAGGTCAGTTGCCGCCCACCTCTGCTAGATGAGACTTACCCGAGCGAGTCTCGCTTTTCATGATAAGATGCATGAGCCAAACTTCCAGACCGTGCACATGCAGGGATGCAATACCATATGGTCGAAGCTCTTGAACCCAAAATGTCCATGTGGGCCAGTCGAACAACGAAACTCAGGGTTTGCGACTCCTGGGTCTGGTGTATCAGGCAGGTTCTCGCGGGACCTGGTTTGGCGACCCAGGACTTGTGGCCATTGGAATCGATCTGGTTTGTTGATAGCGTAGCTCCTCTCGTACCGCAGTTGCAGGGGAATAGTCAGGCTCGGTTCATATAGGCGCAGAAACTGGTACACACTCACAACTGGTCAAGGGTCAGGCGAACCTTTCGAGTGACTTGGACAGGCGAAAAGCTGTCATCTCGGCTAAAGGCGCGCCATGCTTGACTGGAGATGGAAGCGAGGTTGGTCCTTCATAGCTTCGCTGTCGAGAAGTGTGAAAAAGGCTTTCTCAGAGTCCTTCTTAGTGCGTTTCCCAGGCATTAATTGCAGAAGGTGCTTCTCTCCCGTCCATCCCTTCCAGCCCATGCAAAAGGGTTGCCACGTCTGGTAGCTGGTCGTCAGCCACGATAAGAAACCCCTGCTCCATGTGTCTCTGTGATATTTCGGGACTTCATAGAAACGAGTGTGACGGGAGCAATGTGAGAAGTCCGTCCGTAAGTGTGCGGGCTAGAGGCGCTCGGGAAGCAAGCGAGGTGCCTCATGTTCATGTCGTGTCCGTCTCCTGCCCCAATCGCGTCTATTGCAAGATAACGCCGAGAGACAGACACGGTTGTTGATGGCAGTCGAGTTCAGTTTCAGACAGCTTTCACATCTCTCTTCAGGACTTCTATGCTCAGTCAGAGGCCTGAAGTCCAGAATATTTGCAGGACGGGATCGAGTCAAAATACCATTTGGCTATTGTTAGTCTCGGCAGTTGACATGCCTTGCTCTGATCTTCGTTTGGCTCAGAAACTGCCTTACCACTAATCGGAGTTCCTCAGTGCACCAGCCGACCACCACAAACTCTCGGTATGAGCAAATGAGAGCCATTGAATCGCGTGACGGATCGTCCTTCTCTTACTGGCGACATCATCCCAACGTCTAGAGTCTTGGACTTCTCGGCGCACCAAACCTTCCGTCAGCCCTTGTTGCACAGCAATCGCAGCAAGATTTTGAGAATAACCATAAAATTAGATTAAGAGGATTTATCATCTTATAGGCACAACGCCCACCCGCTGAGCATGCATGGATTGCTGACCCGTGGCCCGGCGACTGAAGACATCGTCGATATTCAACTCCGCCTTTGCCAAAGACTTCGGCACAGGATACACAGGTCATTTCTTCGTATCGCCCTTGAACCAGAGTACGTCTTTGCCAGACGTCGTCATCATATCCGCGACTGGGGCAGGAGCTGCCTCTGAGCCTGCTCCCGATGTTACTGCAGAGGCATTTGCGGTTGTTGTTGCCGTCGTCGTCGTGGTTATGGAACCCCCTTCTGAACTCTTTGCGCCCCCAGCACTGCTACTGTCCGCAATACTTCCCCGGAACAGACTTTTCCACCCACTCTTGCTTTCCCTTCCAGCGTTGCTGCTTTTCTTCTTCTTCTTTTTCTTCTGCCTGCGTTCACCATCGAATTGTCCCGCAGAGGCGAAATCAGGTTCCACCATGGGTCGACCTCCCGGAGCAGGTGGTGCAGGGGCCTGCTCAGGGGGTCCTAGCGAACGCGATGATCGATGTGACCAGCGTTGTGCCGAATTTGAAGAGACGCTCGAAGCTGATCTATCGTGAATAGGTGAACCTGGCGGTGTATACGAGAGTCTGTCGATGATATCTGCAACCACATCTATTTTGAGCTTGGGGCCAGCACTGCCTACCGACGGGTTCGAGCTCCCGCCTGGGCTGGGGACTTGCACGGGAACAATCTTGCCATCTTTCTTAGCGAGCTTCAACCTCAGAGGGCGGATCGGCTCTGGCTTTCTGGAATCGCCAAAATCCTTGGGCTTCAGGCCAGGTCTGATTGTAAGCTCACTTGGCAGCTTGACAAAATCGTCGGGCAAGCTTTTGCTGTCGCGGGGAACTTCTTTCTCTAAATTGTGGGCAACTGCAGCTGGTCTGGGAGGTAGCTTGAAAGTTTGGTGAGGGGCCTCCAGCTCTACCGGTCCAAATGCTTCCTTCGGTTTGGGCTGAAGAGGTATGGGAACGACGGCCTCTAACTCGGCAATAAATTCTGTCTTCTGTGTCAAATTGTCGATTTCCCGAGCAAGCGTATTACTTGAAGTGTCGTCTGAATTTGTTTTCGCTGTGACTTCGCCCTTGAGATCGGTAAGCGCTTCAGCGGGAACCCGTGAATTTTTGCTGTCATCGGCGTGTCCGATTTCCCTAGTTGGCGGGAGCGCTGTCGCTGTCATATATGGCTGCAAAGTTGCTGAAATTACTTCTTCTGGGGCGTTTTCTGTGCTTTTCTTCGTCTCCGGTTGGCTGTTGAGCTGACTCTGCACGTTGTCTTCAGCCTTTAGCTGTGCGGCTGCGAATGTCTCTTCCTCGGCGGAAGCTGGCACGACAGCGACGGTAATAGTTGATGTGTCGATGAGAATTCTCGTGTCCAATACCGACCCCGAGGTCGACCTGGTCATTTCACCTTCGTTCAACTCCGGTCCAGGTTCGCCTAGGCTTGACAATTGACAGGTTTTTCTCGATGCGGAAGAGTTTGACCGCTCCTCTCTTACCGCTGGCTTAACCGGGGCAGGAAGCTCAACCGGAGGAGATGCCATGGCCATCACAGCAGGGTGCGACGTGAACGCCGGGTTAGGGGTTGATGACCGACGGGTTACTGGCCTGGATGGTTCCACTATGGATGCGCGAGCCGATGCCTGAACAGCGGTTTGAGACGCGTTGGCAGAGTCGGTGTCCCTCCTGTAATCTGGATTGAAAACCCCAATCGAAGGACTTTGTTCGTGGGAGAGGAAGAAGCCGGCTTCTCCCTCCGACATGACGGGCGATATCATAGCCTGCACAGGAGTGCCTTTTGACTTTCCAGTCTGCGGCGTGAGTAGCAGAGACGAAATCGCAGGAGACTTCAAAAGATCACCCAGCGCTCTCGGGTAGTAGACACTGGATATGCGGTGACTCGCAGTGTCCTTTGGCTTTAGCCCAAGTGTCATGCTCAATCGGTTCTTGATCGATACTGGCGCTTGTCGAAGTACATCTTCAGGAACATCGGCCGGGAGCTCAACGAGCTGCTCCTCACCGTGTTGGATGAGCAATCCCCCCAGACTGTGCATTCGGTCTGCAGCGTACTGCGGCCCCTCGTGCGCCAACGCCTCGGAGGAAAGTGACTGCCCAGGAATTCCATCGTTGCCTGGTCTTCTGTGTCCTGGAGATTGTGACTGTGAAGTCAATCCTTGGCTTGACTTCTGGCCGCTATTGGGTCGACTGGAGAAGCTGGTAAGTTGGGTGCTCCGAGATGAATTCCTGGTCGAGTGCTGGCGACCTGGTTCACTCGGTAGCGGCTTGTGTTCGGCGATGGACCCTAACTGAGAAAGGGCACGACCAGCATCCTGGGAAGTAATGTGTTTCGTCTTTTGAGCTCTAGCCTGCAACGGTAAGAAAACAATCAATGGGAGGGCAAGGACAGTCAAACCACAAGATTTCTGCTGACCGCAGCAGCTCGCTGCTGCATCTCAGCAACCACCTCCGCGAGCTTCTTCAGAGATCCAGCCAGCTTGTTCCCCTGTAGATGTAACTCCAGAAAGGCTCTGCGCCATCCTTCGACGTTCCCCAGCATAGCGACCAAAACAGCTTCATGTTCGGGAGAATCTCTCTTCCATGTTGAGTTCAATTTAGTCAGGTATTTTTCCATCACGTTGGTCGCGTCGAATCCCTTCTGGACGTCCTTCAGTGCATCCTTTGCCGCCTTCTTGGTCCGGCTCATGACATGGTCAATCTTTTCGTTCCCATCGAGAATAGAAGCGCGAAATGAACGATCCTCCAGCATTCGATCAAATACTTCTCCGTGTGCAAGTGGGAGTTTGAGACACCGGATCCGCTCATGGATATCGCTTTGGGCAAGATCGAAGTCCTCTGTGGTCCGTTCCAGGAAGGCATCGATGTCGTCGACATGAGACTGCAAGATTCTCATAACCTCCTCTTCCGAAATGGCCATGTTTTGTGATAAAAGATGCATTCCAAAGGTTAGTTGCGCCACGAGTTTCCACAATGGATGATATTTCTCTCCCGGTTTCTGCTTCCACCTCCCCGCAATAACCCGTTGATAAGTCGGCGCCTCGAGAAGAATTGTCCTTCGTGTCATAGCATCCGAAGGGACGTCTTCTGGCGTCTGATCAGTTATTGATTCCAGCATCGACTCCTCGAAAGGCTGTTGCAATTGCGGCACCGGATGCGCGGGCGGACGGACAAAGGCCTGCCCTGCATTGCTGCCCTTGTCTATCGACATTGCGCGAGCAGACAGTGCGACACAGGTCGAGACAGGTCGAGACAGATGTCAATCAATGGAAGCAATAGTCGCTATTATTCACGAGCACCTTGCGCCCACACGAATACATGTTCATAGAACACAGCCTTTTGACCCCGGACCCCATGTACTTCGATCCCGACGATCTTCTTCTGCGGCCTTCTATTCAAGCACCTGCGGGCGGATATTCAGACGGACAGTGAGTCGAGAGTTAACCACCAGGCCGTGCAACTTGAGTTCTCCCACACGTCCCAGCTGTTGTGTAATGACGGTAGACCACGGGGAGGGTAGACGGAAACCGAGTGCAAACGCGTAGAGAGGGGGTCAATGGCAGGTCATAGAAAGTCCAGTGTCTCGATTCGAGCGTCCGGATTCGCTGGTTTGAGGTGGCTCACGCATTCGAAGGAGAGTAGACAACGGTAAGGACCTAGGAAAACCAGTCTGAGGATGGCTTGGATGAGGAGAGAACAGAAGTTACTGCAGAATCGACCTGTGCCCACGCAGGCGAAAGGAGGAGGATGGGCATTTCTCGTCCATGGAGGTAAGCAACAAGTGCAGATCCATATCAAGCCACCCACGGAAAGGTCCAGGGTATCTCGCCTGTGGCCGTGGTTTTCGAGGCCTGGTGCGCCATTGGGGCGAGTCTTGACCAGGCTCCCATCGTTTCAGCCCGTTGAAAGCAGCGTGAGACGTCGCGTCGTGCTTGAGATGCAGCCGAATGGAAGAAGGGGAGTCATAGGAGTCAACGGTGGACCAGGTGGGATTGGCCAGGCCCGTTGTGGGCGTTGCAGATGGTGAAACGAAGTGTGCATTTCGGCCTCTCCCGCGATAGGCCCCAGGAAATTTCCCGACTCAGGGCTAAGGAATAGCTCATCAAAATTGCCCAACCCACCGACACCGCCGACGTCCATCTCCCCGGCGCCTTATTTTGAGTGACGGACAACAACGACCATGGCGTCCTTGAGCAAACGATTGGGACGAAAGAGACAGAGTACGTACTTCCATGCACAAGTTGACGGGCTTCTCGAGACCTCTGGCTCAGCATTGACTCTATCTAGAAGACCGTGTCAGGAGAGAAACAGCGGAGTGGACAGGAGCATCTGCTTGACTCCATCCTGCTCCTGATTCATATCTTTTCCCTGGGACCCCGGTCCGCCCCCGCTCCGAGTTGCACGGGTGGTCCTTGAAAGAAGCCTGCTGCTTTATCACTAAGTCACCAAAAAAAGATCCAAACCGCGTTGGGGAGATAGTACGATACACCACCTGCCAACAGTCCGCGTAGCACACCTCCCAAACTTATAGCCCTTTATCACTGGCTCAGGTATTGACGCTGCGACTGCTTAACATCGTCCTACCGCTATCGAAGGTGCCAACACGTTATCAAATCACAGGATGTCGACAGCGGCCTTTCCACTCTCGCCAAGAGACGCCCTCCTCCAGGCATACCAAAATCAATCTCTGCACGATGTACCTGTCCCGGCTGCGGTGATAGACGTGGCAAAGATAAAGGCAAACTGCACTTCCATGCTGAATGCCGTCAAAGAGCTGGGTTTCAGTTTCAGAGCTCACGTGAAGACTCACAAAACAACAGAGATTACGAGGCTTCAGGTCGGCGAGGGTTGCATTGACGTGAGGTTGATTGTGTCGACCGTTATCGAAGCCGAGCAGTTGATCCCCCTTCTGATGGAATATAAAAGTCGGAATGCAAAGGTCAACATCTTATATGGCGTCCCTTTGGGTCCCTCACACGTAAACCGGCTTGCTGCTGTAGGCCAGCAGCTGGGTGACGGGTCTATCACCCTCATGATCGATCACCCAGAGCAGTTGAAATGCTTGCCAACATTTAAAGAAAAGGCAGGATTTCCCGCCCTGATCTTCATCAAGACAGATTCTGGCTACCACAGGGCTGGTTTGGGTCCAGACTCGAAAGATATGATGGACTTGGTACAAGAAATTAGCATCAGCGAGCAGCAAGGCCACCTGCGGTTGCTTGGATTCTACTCACATAACAGTCTCAGCTACGGTGGTTCGTCCCCGGACGATGCTATGGACATGCTCAAAGTCGAAATTGATGTCTGCCGGCAAGCTTCGCGACACTTCAAGCGAGACCGACAGACGCCGCTGCTCGTGTCGGTTGGAGCGTCTCCCACTGCCCTCTCCATACAGAACATTCTGCCTGCCACTGCCAGTTCTACCCCTTCAGCTAATGCCCTCAGGGACACCCTCGAATTGACCAAAGCCAATCTCGAGCTTGAAATCCATGCCGGCGTCTACCCGATCTTTGATGTCCAGCAAGTGGCAGCCAGCAGCCGCAGCTTTACCTCAGATCCTCATGATACCATCGCAGTATCTGTGCTCGCCGAAGTCTGCTCCTTGTACCCGCATCGAACTAAACAGCCCGAGGCACTGATCTCTGCTGGTGCTTTGGCACTTGCAAGAGAGCCCTGTAAGGACTACTCTGGGTGGGGTGTTGTAAGTCCGTGGAACATGCCAGGCGACTATGGCACGTCAAAGAAAGATCGGATCATTGTCAGCCGCATCAGTCAGGAGCATGGCATCTTGGCTTTTGAAGACAGCAGTGTAGAAAACCGACAGCTTCCTTTGCAGTATGGACAAAAGCTGCGAGTTTGGCCTAATCATGCGTGCATCACCTTGGCAATGTTCAGTTGGTATTTCGTCGTCGATACAGATACAGCCACCCCCGACAAGATTGTTGATATCTGGATAAGGTGGCGAGGCTGGTAACGAAAAGCGACAACTGGGGAAACAGCTATTGCGGCCAGCATTGAACCGGTATCATCGGTCAATGGTGACTTCCGCTAGTTGCCACAATCAGAGACAGAATGAGAGACATTCCAGCAAGAAGGGCCAGTCCGACAAATTAGAAGTATATTCCGGCAGGCAAGCTGTCTCCGGGCAAGTCATCTATAACTCTCAAAGCACGAAGCAGACCATCCTCTGGCCACAAGATTGAAGCAGAACTCGACCTTCCCCTTTCTTTGCTTCCTTCTGTCGGGCACCCATGTATTCTTATCTCATATATTCATCCACTATACATCCCACTCTGCACTTTGCCACAGAAACAACCGGAAGATGGACCACATGCCATCAAATACCGGGAGCGTATGGAGTATGGTTGATCCCGGATATAACATCCAGGTTTGTCGGTTCACAAAACTCAGACTCTTGCCTGCAAAGGTAGGAGAATTTCCTCGTCTGGAATGGGATCAACGATCAGAAACGTCCTGCCTCAATTGTTGCCTTATAGAGATGGACTGCGGAGAAAGATGCGAGCTACAACGGACTGTTTGGGTTAGATACTGTGGACGGAAAGAGAATGACGTGGCGCTATATCCAACCGCTCGATGAGTCTCCCCGGTGATTCTTCCCGGGCATTCCATCAGTTGGCATCAAACAGAGCGCTGATGGCGCTAGCAAAGGCTGTTGGCATATCACCTGCTGATCTTGCCGCTCTAGGAGCTCATGTGTCTTGCAGGAGCACAGCCTCGTGGAGCACAAAGCGTGCTTGGACATGAAACGCAAGGACTGCCTTCCTCATGAGCTCTAACATTTTGCTGGGCAGAGGAGCTTCTGGCCCAGTGAGCAACATGGCAGGGAAGGATCTTGCTTGTGACTACACTGCACAAGGCTCGGCATGGTCGGCCTTTGGCAGTCGTCTTTGTTTCCGACACACTGGCATTCTGAGCGCCTGAGGCAAGTTGAGGAGGCAGCAAATTTTGGCTTTACAGAGTGCCCCGAATCTATATAGAAAACTTTTGCTTCCGGGTCCTCACTTTGTCCTTGCCATGAAAGTTCATTGCGTCTACGAAAGCCAGAACACCCTCAAGGCCTACTCGGTTGCTTCAACCTTATCATCACCCTCCAGTCACTTATAGGTGAGCCCAGTCAACGGAGAGATGACTGAACACTGCGGCCCGAAATCCAACAAAATCAGCTAATCTGGCAATGGTCAGGGAAGGAAGGGCTCGGCACGGTGGGGAAAACATTTGGGACCAGCTCCTGAGAACAGTCTCGCCTGTCCCCTTGACTTGGTCCATTTCATGGGCTCAGAGATCCACGACGCCCCAACCATCAACCCACCCTCGTTCTTAGGTTGCCAAGGTTTCGAAGCCACAGGAGCAGACTCCCTATCCTTAATGCCACGATCTCAGTTCGATGACTCGATACATCCCAGGCACCTTCCGATCCTTCACGCTCTTCGTCCCCCGCGTGTTCCCTGGATCCGGCTAATTTCAGCAGGAGATATCGGATCTATTTGAGCCTGGAACTCGCACCCGGGACCGTTCATGCGCGGACTTCACGTGGATGAGACCGTGGAATCTGCTGCTAGCTGGCCCAACCGCCGCGCTCCACATATCACAGCCAGAGTGGACTCCCATGCTTCCAGAACGACAAGTTACAAACATCTTTTTTTTGTTATCGTCCAGGTTTGGATGTCTCACTACGTTGCAGTGCCTGTATCCACGAAGTCCGGAAGAGATCTAGCACCCGTCTCGAAGCATGAGAGGAAATACTTCATGTCGATCCGCGACCATCGAACAGACAACTTCTAATGCCAGAACTCAGAGTTGCCGGTTCTAGAGACGGAGGAAATATAGCCCCGCAGTGTCCTGCTCGCTCCAATGTCTGTCGTCAAGTTTACAGCTCCCAAAACGTTTCAGACAACGCACGTCATCGAGAATGTTGGGCAGCTGTCGGGTGAAAGCACGGCGTTGCTCTTACAACACTACGAGCGACGAGACGGGGAACGGCGCAGAAATTCCACGGCAAACATGAGCCAAGCATTGAATAAGAAAGCGCGGACTGTAAGGGCTAATCGGTAAGAGTTCAATCTCGCCGTTGCGAGGGACCCGAACTATGGTCTGCAGCGTAGGTCCTGCCAACAACTACCGTCCCCGTACGGCCGATGTCGCTAACGTCCTCGTGTAAATTCCTAGAATACTCTGGCTGACGCGTTACCGCGTGCTAGTCTACTGAAAGAGCTGACTTCAACTTCGCCAAATTCGTCCAAATCCCTTCGATGTGCTGTCTACTGACAATGACAGCGAGGATGACCAATAAAGGGTAAGGAGTAGGAGGTCCAATACCGAGAACAAGGATGATAGCAGAGCTTGCCGCAACCTTCTTTGAGCGACTGTGTCCGATGCGACTTCAGAAGACAAGGCAGCTTGGTCTGTTACCGCCTATTCTGAGGTCGTCAGAATACCATGTTGCAGCAAGGTGTGGAGAGTTGTCCAAGAGATTTATGAGATAGATAGAATTCACCGAGGTCGGATTGGGTTGGGAGCGTTCACGGCACGTATAAGAAATGAAAACGGGACATAGCATAAAACCTTCTAGTGAACGAGGGGGACGTATCATGTCGCCTGGCCACCCGCGTCCCTCTTCACTGCCGTCCTAGAGAGGAGAATCAGCTAACATCACACAATTGTAGGGTAACTTGTAATCTAAGTGCTATAGGAACACCCGCACCCCAAGGTGATCTCTATTAACCCCATCCCTTAGATCAGTGGCTTCCGTAACACCCTCACTGCAATCATCCATATCCTTGTTACGCTCCGGCCAGGACAATATACCAGGCAAAGGGATCGAGCAACCACGTAGGACCATTGACTGACTCACTAACTCGCCGTGGCAAGAATGGGTGGAACACTGTGTGTAGCTTTATCTGCAACACTTATCGAGCCGTAGAGAAGAAAGGAAGAGATCTCGCTGTTCCACTTATAACTGTTAAGACACAAGATGTCGTGATTGGAGAAGAGTTATTGCTGTTGCAACGACGAAGTGCAATGTATCGAATTTTTATCCCAATCAGGTTAACTCCAAATTTGTCTCTTCAACTACATACATACATCCCTGTCTTCTGACGCTCTCCCCATCATTGCACTGTATCACACATCCAACAAGAAGTTTCTAATGAGCCTGGAATACATTCCTCACTGCATTTGGGAACTTTGACGTAATTTAACGTGCCTATGCCACCTATGAGACTTGAGGGTCGTCATCGACACCCCTGCAAAAACACCACGCAAGCTTCCCGCTCTCTGTGCACAAAAGAACAGACAGATAAACAAGTCCTTCAGTCAACTATTTCCTACACAAGCAAAGAAACAATGGCTTTACACTCCTCGTGGTTGATACGATGTGCCGCTGCCCGGAAAGCGAGGTCATCCAGGAGGAGAGACTAGTAGTCCACTGTTTCTGCAAGAACCACACCGTCGGTACCCTGGAGCTCGGGGGAGCCACTGACCTTGCAAGACTTTGAGTGAAGAAGAATTTTCAGACAGTGAAAGAACGGACGAACCATGGAGAAGTATACCTCATCTCAACTAATCAAGCAACGAACCACTCTTTTCCTCAAACACTGACTAACTAACACACCCACCTCTCGCACAACCAATTCCGACACCCCCGCCAGGCTGGCTGGCTGTTTGTCTTCCTCCCGAACAAAAATTCGAATAACCATTCCAAAAAAGAGGGAAAGGCCACAATCAATCTTTTACGCCGGTGCCTGGATTTGAACCAGGGTCTCTTCGAACATTGTACCGTTGTGGGTTCTGGCTCCTGTTCGTTGCTTGTTAGTCGTTGACTCGGGGAAAACCAGCCCAACCCGGCATGAAATCGAAGTATGCTGAACCAACTACACCACACCAGCTGGGCTTTGCATTGACTTGACTTGACTTGACTTGAATTGTTGAAAGGATTTGAGCGATTGCTCGCAATATATCCTTCGTTTCCCTCCTTTTTCACTTTGGTTTGTCACTCACTCGCTGTGGGGTGACACGTGGGCATGTGGTGCCGTGGTTTGTTTCTTGGTTCGTGTCGTTTGCTGCGGTTGGGTCGCAAGGCAAGCATAACCTTATCCCAGGGAGCTTGATATTATAGAACTGGCGTCGACCCTCGCGACAAAAGAAGGGCGTGAATACCAGAAGGGACCCGTGAGGATATCCTGACGTCCTTTCAGCCCTTACCTCTGTCCTAGAGCGAGATATCACATCCTTTGGTTCTGCTTTTTGCTGATCGCTGGGAGATGCGTCTACCCGCCCTTATCAGATATGAGGGCAAGAAGATCCCATTCCTATCCCGATTCGTCGCCCGATGTCTTGCACATCCAGAGGGGAGGGTTGGGCATATATACATACATGTGTACCCACCTAACTAGATACCCAGCTCATTTCCAGTCAGAGTACAGGATCTCTTCCTAGTCTATATCGCAATCGTAATCCTATCAGATACGCCGGGAAAGCACACCAGAAAAGGACATAGCGGTCCAGATGCAAATGCAAAGCCATGAGACGACAAGAATGAAGGATCACGAGGACAGAAGGGCACATTGCCGAAGACCAGGCTGAGGAGAAGGGAAAAAAGAGTTACGGGCGTGCATCACGCATGCAAGCAAAGCATGTTATGGATGTCCGCTCACCATTACCTACCTACCTACCTACCTACCTACCTACCACCTCACCGCCTCGTTGCTGATCGGATCTAACACTGGCAGGTATGCATATTGCTACAACCAACGAGAAGAAATATAATACGTCCTACAAAAGTGGAGCCACGGGAGAGAGAAAGAATCAGACAGCAGCTATAGCACGGCAGGCAAGCAGGCATGTAGACATGGGAAGTGGGTGCAGACCGACACACAGTCCGGGAATCGCCATCAATCTCATCGATCACGATGCGATAAAGCGCGGTGTGCGACATGCGGCATACGGGCGTATGCAGGCATATGCATGCATGCATGCTTGGACACAATCAAGGAGGCGAGGACATATGTAACATAGGTATTTATGACATCAGGAAAAACTACCGGTGAGGTCTTGGGGGTGTGCGACTGAAGGGAGTGCGCCAAAGGGAGACCAAATATTCTTTTTCGAGCGTCAGTCACCTTTCCTTCCATACCTATCTAACTAGACAGAGAAGGGATATTGTCCAAGGGATATGCTATGGCATCTGTCAAATCTGGAGCGCACGAAGTCGTGCAAGGGGGAGGGGAGGGCGAGCGTACCCAGATCGGGACTGGGCGGTCGAAAACAGACCTTACCACAGAGACGGGAAAAGAGGTAGACAGCAAGGGCATGATGCAAGAATTCTGACATATCTCCGCTCGTTGACTTTGAGGGAAGTGCCGTCGGCCTCTCCCATGACCTAGCCTATCCTACCTTTCCTAGCCTTGCCCTGCCAACCCCATCATGATTGAATGAGTCTCAGAAAGATGGAATTAGCACAGGTCATTTCCTCCCTCTTCCTTTCCTTTGACTTTCCTCCTGTGACCAGTATCGACAATACATGAAAGAAATCGCAAACTGACATTTACCCCCGCCCAAGATGACCAAGGCTCGCTAGCACCACCGGGGAAACGCGAAGAGCCAAACTTCGATGCACCAGCAAACAGATATTGAGCTAGGTATAGGCCTGCTCGGCATGGGAGAACCCATTCTCTCACCGTATAGGGCCCGGAAAGCTGGCCCGGATGGCTGACCCGGTCCCCGGCGGTATGGTTTACACTGCGGCAGAGAGGAGCTCGGGAAACACGATCTGGCGAGCATTAGCTGAGTAAATGTGGATTGCCATCGGCCAAAAGACCCAATCTGCCAAATGACCCATATCTACCAGCACAAGCAAGAGAGCGGGTGTGTATCAATCATGGGAAAAATTGAATTTGCGGCATGTGAAAGCAGATTGTAAGGTCTGGGGAAAGGAATTTCTCAGATTCCCATTCAGTAACCCCTATACACTGCAGCCGTTGATGTAGATTGAAGGGGCTGTGTGCAACGGGAAGAAAAGGTTCCCCTTCAGGCTCGTGACAGTGCAGGAGCTCTGTATCTGGTCACCAGGCAAAGGAGGCAGTGATAAATTTCTCCTCGGTGACAGCAGAAAACCCCGAATGGTCTTTAGCCCTTGCATTGTTGTCGCGACTCGGTTTGACGTTGGGGTGTGGATGCGCCGATCCGGATGCAAGGTATTTCTTGGAAGCAACAAGCCCTCCCAAGCTATAGGCTGCTAAACTTCGGATGCTGTATCTGTGGCAGAAGCTCCAGTGGTTGGTGCTGAGATTGGACGATCGGGCGCACATCCGGATGGAAGGTTGTCCAACTATGTAAAACTTCGGAGCAAGCGTTTGGAGAAGAAGGTTCAATGTGTGGTGGCGAGGTAATTCACAGATATGGGCATTTGGTGGCGAAGGGTAAAGGCATGCCCCCAAGAGACTGAGATTGGAAGGGTGTTAACCATGCGCCCAGGCTGCTCAAGGGTTGCGAAAGGGGTCCTGCATGGGGTAACCTACTCGTAGGACAAGTGTACATAAAGGAGGAATGAAAGTTGACTTCCAAGAAACGCCACCCCAAGGAGGGTATTTGCCCAAAAAGAATAGTGTCTGGTGGTGTGCAGGCTGGCAAGTGACGACTGTGCTCTCGCAATACGAGGTCGTTGCACGAATGGCGAGGCTGCGAGAAGCGAGCAGCCTACCAGATCGTCAGTTGCATCTCCGAGATGCCAATCATGACGAGTATTATTGAGGGGCTGAGTGGGCGGGCTGCATGTACTCGGTACTACCTGCGCACACCCCTGCTTCTGCAAGTCGTTGAGTGAAACCCCCAGGCTTTGAGAGCCCGTGTTCCCCGCCATACCCGGCATATGCAAACGAGATGGTCCGCCCGGGGCGAGCTGACTTCAGTAGCAGTTGGCGGCCCAGCAGCTGTATCGGTCGCATCGGCCAGAGGGTACCTACCTAGTCAGTCGTAATCAATCAGCCCATGGGAAGGGGGACCCAGGAAGAGGAACCTTAAACAAGGAGATGGATGGTTTCGAGCCATCCGAAGCGACAAGACGGCGCTCATTCGTTGGTCGGTGCCAGCTCCGGGACAACGGTCTGCGGTTGTGCGGTTCCGAGCGTCCCACCTACTATTGAACCGGGTGAAAGCCGGTGTCCGGGGGAGCTCCAGCGTGCGATGGGTAGCTGCCAGGGAGGCTTCTGCGTCAGGATTTGCTGAATCGACAGGCTGCTCTTCCCATTCCAGGTCGAGGTTTGTCTCCAGAGGCTGATCACTCGCTCGATTGTGTCCGACCGTTAGTCCTGGTAGCGTGACCAGTTCCAGGGGAGCGTGATCGCGACGTGATAGTTGCGAGAAGAATTGAGCATACAAATGCAATGCTTCCAGAGCTTCAATGGAAAAGGGAGCCGGGCGAATGACGAGGGAGATTCGTTCTTTGAACCACAGGTGCAGCAAAAGCCCCGAAATACAGAGGGGTTTGCCCATGCGACGGAATGGACGCCTCTTAAGCCACAAACGCATGGGAGGTCGGGCCCTAACCGAATGCCGAGACTTGAAACTCAAGTGTGCAGGGACACATTACAGCGTGGCTTAAGGGAAGGCTGCAACGCAAACGCGGGCTTGACCTGAATGCGTTCAACTGCATGCAGAGGCATATGAAGGACTGGTAGAGAGATCCAGATGGTGGAATGGTATGCCCGCTCACAGAAGACGTCCGTGCATCAAAACAGGGCGTAGGAATGGGATCGATAGTTTCCTGGTGAGTTACTGCATTCGGACGATTCGATAGATCGGTGCCAAAGTGTCGGGGCGACAAAGATCCCACCTCCCTCCACCAACATCCTGGGACACATAGTCTGAAGGATTTGTTTTCGTAGCCACTGACCATACACCCACACCAAGCCCGGCAGCGACAAGTCCTGTAGCATCGGACATATTCAATTATTGTTGAACAAGAAGAAGGGGGTTGAGGTAACTCGCCCACGTCAGGAAGTGATCTTCTCTGCGTAACTGGGGCACATGTCAAAGCAAGATTTGCAAGCGGCCAAGAGGCGGACATGGATGGATTTCAGTTCCACGTGCTGATCGAAAAGGATGTTCCTCTCCTGCTGTCCAGCTGACTCGTCGACGGACCACTTACCGTCTTTGTTTTTTCCCCTGCCCTCTTGATGGGCTTTACCTTTGACCGCGCTTATGGAGAACCTGTTGCCCCCCATCAGATAGCGTCAACGGGGAAGCGGGAGGCTGCTCAAGAAGGTGACAATGCTTACTCGACCTAAGTCCTCGACTCTTTCAGGTGTGTCCCGGGAGTTGCAGTGGCTGGGAGAGATTACCTTTCTGGCGGAATTCAACCCTCACCTCCAACTCCGCCAATCGCCGCATTATGATGATTGAATGCCACTCATTTCATTCGTTCGAGTCGAGTCAGCTGGCTTGACGAGTTTTGGGATCTCCCTTTATGGTGGTTGATGGCTTTGAGACTTTCCAAGGTGATTATGTTGGTCAGTCACATTGACAGTCCTAGCGAAACTATGTCGAAGCTGGTCCCAAATCATACGGTACCACTCAGCCAGTCGCCAGCATTGACCAGAGCCTGTAGGGCCGAGGAGGCGGAGGGTTACTTGCGTACCTTGCGACGTGGCTGAGGCGAAAAAACAACTCCTCCATAGGACCAGGGCAAATGTTATTATTGGCATGTGACCCGGCTTTGGAGACCTTTCGCAACGGGCCCACGAATACATTTATCCTGCTGTCTCACATGTCAACTAGTCATGAACAGGCCAGATTGTTTTGGGAAAAGGGAATAGGTACTATGTATCTCCGACTTCTTTTTGAGTTATTTGGTGGACAGTATCTCGACGAGAGTTTCCTGATGGACGAGATTTTACTGCCTGGCCTAAGGCACCATGATGCCTAGAGGGGTTGTTGGAGGGGATAAGTAAATGATCGGAGGCCCAAGAAGATACCAGATGGGCTGTGTGGGTGGTGCCCAAAGGGGCCCTACGAGGGCGAAGGGAGTGGGTGTCACCCGCCGGCCCCTTAGTCACTATGGAGCATTGGGGGGGGGAATGCGCCCCAAAGGAGCCATCACATCCATCAAGCAAGCTCCGAGCACTCTCCGACCACCTTCTCGGGCTTTGGGGCTGGTCTGGTTGCTGTCATTACATCTGATACCGACGGATTCTAGTGTATTCACTAAAACTTGGGTCTGCCAGAACGCCCTTGCCCTCCCAACCCTCTTCCCCTTGCCCCTTCTAGGCTTTCTCCCACTTTTTTCCCTCGTGTCTCGAACTTTGCACCCTCGTCCAATAACCACCTAGTTAAAGACCACAAATCTGCAGTCACCTTTTCTCACCTAGGGCTCCTCCTGCCCTGCTCGAACTCTGGTCTTGTCCTGGTCAGTCCGACCCGAACACCGGTCCTCTGCCACCTCCACCCCATCCCCCATCACATCCCTGCTCGCTTTTTTCGTGCCTTGTGCCCTGGTCCAGCTCCTTGCTCGAGGTGGACAAACACCCCCCCTGCAAGTCGCACACCTGGTCCCGTCCGGACTTGTGGTCCTTATACCGCTCGTCCCCATCCGCAAAGCCCCATCATCATTTCTTCACCATCCAACTTAACCGCGCTCACACACACACATACACACTTCAGACATCCCTCCCAACACCACCCACACAACTCATCCTCGTCGACACTATTACTCTCCGTTCGACCTCGACATCCGTCTCACCGACCCTTTAACTCACCCTCTGTCCACGTCGTCGGTTGCGTCCAGTCCTCTGAACACGTCCGTTCTGAAAATCGGCCCGAGGTCTCTCGCATTGCGTCACAAGCCGATCCCACCAAATTCCCACCCCGTTTGCGGTTCTGCAACTTCTGCCAACTGCCAGCGCCAGCGCCGTCCTCTTTATTTGATCCTCTCCCCCAGAATCCGTTGTTTGGCGTCTCATAGATTTCATTCTCACCTGTCCGCTCAACGAAACCTCTCCTGAAACATGCCCCCGCGCAAAATACCCCATGTCCTATGTCTGGACAGGGGCAAGATGCACTACATTGATCCATCAAACGCCTGCAGTTTGATGGCGATGTGGTCTATGTTCTCCAAATGCTCAGATACGTTGGACGAGGGCCCTCGATTAGAAAACTTGAGCTGGCGGATATGGTCGCGAGAGTCATTATGCGTGACACCCATCGATTCGTCTCCTCCGAGGGCGAGCCAAGTGCCCTCCCTTTCAAATTCCTGGTCGTCAGATGACAGTCTCAGTGAAGGACGATGCAGTCCTGCCCACGGCCGGACCAGGTCTCGATCACCTCCACAGGACGACTGCGCAAGTTCTCTCTCCAAGTCTCGACATTTGAGTCCCATCACGTTAGAAAAGATTGTCGCTTCGATCCAGGAAAAGACCGATCTATGTCCTCTATCTCCCTCACTTGAGGCCAGCCGCCCATTTACCAAAGGGCCCATCCTGGAGAAGCAGCCTTCAGACAAACAAGAAAACGAGGCCGAAGCACGGCCTCCAACCGTCCTGAAAACCCTCCAGGATTCCACCGACTCATGTCTTTCCGCCACCACGACCGCAACGTTAAGTACAGCTCGTCAAAGTGAGCATCGTGATTCCGACACTTCAGTGTCCTCAGACGGACTGATCCCAAGTGGTTCCATTGTCCATGGATTTTCCCCGGTGGCGTCCTCGTGCCGGTCACGAACTACAAGTTCGAGTGTCAAGCCGCCGACCGGCCCGTCCAAATTCATCCCTCCCCCTAAAGGTGCCCTGAAATCAACCGCCATGTTTACCCTGGGAGGCTCTTCCGAGGATGATGAATCTTCGTTTGAACAGCGAGTGCTGTCTGTCAGAGCCCCTCCGCAAAGAAGCTCACTCTCCCAAAGTTTGAGCAAGCAGAACTTGTCAGAGCGCAAGAGTGACTTGCCGCCTAAAAGGACGTCTTTCCGAGACGTCGTTGCCGAGCGGAGAATACAGGAGGATGCCGAAAACGATGAGGGAGCCATCGCAAGCAGTGACGAGGAGGATGACACGGACGAAGTTATCGAATCTGCGATTGACGAGGACGAGGAAGATGGCGATGACTGGGAAGATTCAACCTCGGACGATGGAAAAGTGGTTCAAGAGCCTCATCTTTTCCGCCGCGTTGACAGCCGCAGTGTCTTGCCATCTCGCCGCTCCATGTTGACCTTGGCCCTGAATAAGGGCCGAACAGGTCTCGCGCACGCATATTCCCAACCCGCACTGCATCGATCTCGGCAAGCGTCCCCGCCACAAGGACCCTCGTTCGCAAACTCGCCAGAGGAAGAGGACGGCATGATGATGCAGACGTCGAACCGGCCACCCATCGCCATTCCGCCACCTAAATCAGCCTCTAAACCTGTGGCTCATTCGCCAAGGACGACAAGACGTAATATGCTGTCGACCGAATTGACCGAATCTCTGAGGAAGAACCTCCTCTGGGAGAGACAACAGAAATCACAAACTGTCAATGCTTTCCTCAAGCGGAGTAGAAACGCCCAGTCAATGGCGAATCTCACCTCTGCTGCTGCTCAAGCAGGAGGTCAACCGCACCCTCTCGCCCCTGTTGTTGTGGACCACTCCAAGGACGACGCCTGGACCTTTGATAACACTTGGGAGTACCACACCAAAGGCTGGTAGGGGCGGCCTTGCTCCTTTTTTTGAATTTTCATATTCGTGCTCTTTTTTTCTTTCAATCTGCGTTCTGAGCGGGATCATGTTGTTCATGTGCTTTACGACCATTTACACCAAACTTTACGATTGGCGAGTCCAGAAAACGGCGAGGATGGTGAGGCCTGGCCCCATCCATGTACAAAGGCGCATTTCGGACCATACTCTTTTTACGGAAGGCGGCTCAAAAGTGACAAGCATATTTTTTACTTTCATGTTGAATGAACGGAGAGCTAGATACAATCAACCTCGACTTTGCCGTCTACGGGAAAAGAGGTATTGGCTCAACAATGGGTAATGCTCTGCTATTCATCCACCTTGTACTATACCACAAAGATACCAGATAGCTCGGGCTAGTATCGCTGCTGAGGAGACAAAGAAGCGACTTGAAGTTGTACCATTAGCAGAAGATCCAATCAGATCAAAGCCATATTTTCGTTGCCACTGTGCAGCACATAATAATATCAAGTAACATGTTTTGGTGGTTGTTGTTCCCAGGAACCTTGTGATTGGCCACCGCGGCATGCCTGACACGGGGTCCTCGGATGACTTGTCTGTGTGCTTGTCCACTCTTATGCATGGTGGTGTGCTCATGTGAGTGTCTTTTGCCAGGCTGGCCCCGATGCTAGACACGTCAATCGGGCGCGGAGGAGGCAGCATTGTTTACGGCCACCACCACCATCAGCACCTCCTCCACCGGCACCAGCACCGTCAAGTGGTCTCTCTTCCTGGTCCTGTTCCTCCTCTTCCTCTTTCCCCCTCTATGACAACACCTCTGCCTACCAGTCTAGATGTACCTCGGGATGTGGTGTATGAATGTGTGTGTGTGGGTGTGGGTGTGGGTGTTGGTGTATGTGGGCCCGTCCCCTTTAGGAAAACAATATCTGCCTTTTTTCTCTTTCTTGCCTTTTCTTTTTAGGCAAAAGGAGCGCCTGAGCCCAAAAAAGGAGTGGTATTCTGGAGTGGAATAGAATGGAAAGTACATACCTCCTTGTAACTACCAGGGGCGACGCGAAATACTACTGTACCTACATACTACCCGAGCGGGCGAGAATGTTACATGGGGGGTGGGGTGGACCAACCACTCACTCACTACCTCGTACAGTAGGTAGGGAGGTATTCGCTCACTCCTAACTACTCACTACCGAGTACTTGTGCAGGTACGGGAGGACAAGTTACCGAAGTCGTCTGTCTGTCTGTATGTAGTAGTGGCATTACTTCGTTTTCTCCGGACTCTGTACTCCGGTACCCAAAGAGAAAAGGAACGAGAAAGCAACCAGGTGGCTTGGTCCTTAGGTACAAGTATTAGTAGTGGCACCTACAAGCAAGTACATAAGCACAATAGTACGGCGTCGTGGTAGTGGTAGCAGTACGTGTCTTTTCGCCGGAATAACGACACCGACCTACAGCGTACCCACATATGTACAGGTACTTTAGGTGCAGGTATTGTATCTCTCAATCCCTGGAGTAACTGGTTGTAGTCTGTGCTTCGACTTGACAATCAGTACTCGTCTATGTTCCTCTGCGTACAGGACACTGCTGGACAAGTGTCGAAGCGATCAATCAACAGAGGTCTGGTTGGCGGCGGCACCCTCTACCGCCTTCGGCGCCGCCGCCGCCGCCGCTCTCCTATGTACCCCTCTGGTCTGCCACCACCGAACAACAAACGGGGTCAGCAAAAAGACCCGAGGCTCAACCACGACGAGCCGTAACACAGCCAAGGCGTTGGTTGGAGAGAGCAGGGTAAGAAAACGAAAGGAAAGAGAGATCGGGAACCTCTGCGAGAACCGGGGGCAACAAAACCAAACCAGGGGTGAGGAGGGCATGTGTACCTGATGACCTGAAGAAAATGTTCAGGGCGCCGGTTTTTCGTGAGGCTGAAACGAGGTGCCGAGAAAGAAGAAAAACAAACGAGCTCGTGCTCGTGGTTCGTTTTCTTGATTGATGCCTGACCCGACGCCGGAACCGAGTGGGCACATTCTCCGTGCCTGGCGCCAAATGTCACCTAAGCAGCGTAGGGTACGGACGGAGAGCAACCCCTTCTACCATTGACTTGTAGAAGTACCTACGTACACAGTAATGATCATTCTAATTCATTCGGCTGGTTGGTTGGATGGTTGGCCAGCTTGCTCAGCCAATGCACTTTTGGGGGCGGGTAAAGTATCTTACATACAGAGAGAGCTTTTGTTGGCCAAGTAGTAGTTGTTAATTACAGCTTCATGCCCTCTGGGCCGGTTGTTTTGCTGCCAACAGAGCTATTCTTCTACAAGTATATGCTGACCATTTTATCCGGAGAGTGGACTCCCTCCATGACTCCCCAGAGCAGTGGTGGTGGCGGCGGCTTTAGCCCTCTATTCTTCTGCCCTGACAGACGCCCAACAGGGATTGAGACTTGAAGAAGGAATGGCAAAAAGGATGGTGGTGTTGGTGGTGGTGGCTTGACAAGTACCCGACAACGATAATTGTTTTTTGGGCCATGTGACCCCTCCGCTCCAGCCAGAGGAAGGTGCGTCACGAATACGCAATAGTTTCCATAATAATGTCCCCTTTTCTTCGCATAATTTTTCCGAAGGAGGGGGATTCCGGGTAAAAGATTATGGGGAGGAGGGAGCTGGATGGCAGGCAAGGCAGCTACAGCTACAGCTACAGTACCTCGCCAGGCAGCTCCCTTCGGACCCATGCCACCGGGCACAAGATGATTGCCTGCCCTTTGTATACATATACACATCCATGCTGTTTGTTACTGACCCTACAAGTCGGGCTTATTGAACCCGAGAGAGAGGGGAGAGGAAAGGCACACGACAACACCACCCTCCAGACAACCATTCTGCATACAAGTACCTAGGGTAAGAATGCGGGCACAGAAAGGCGGGGAGATGATTAAGCGCCAGCCAGCCGGCCGGCCGGCTAAAGATGGAGAAGAGTCTGGAAAGGTGGAAGGAACATGGCCGGTGGGCGGGCAGGCACCCGGAAGGGAGAAAGAAAAAGAAGAATGGACCAGGGGATGGTGGTGGTGGTTGTGGTGGGAAATGGATTGTGAGATGCCATGCCATGTCCTACCATAATTATTACCATTCAAGCATGCTATTATTTATGGTTCGAGCCGGAAGCTGCCCTGTATGTTTCCTCCCTGTCTCATTACCCCCGTAATTATTATGACAATGACGCGGTCTCAGTCAGGGAAGATACGAGCATGCATTACTGGAGTGTACAGTAGATGGTGTTCTGCCGATGTGTGTGCGGGGAATTATGCACACGAAGACAAGACGGTGTGAGATGAGAAGAGGGCATGCTTCGGAAATGATACCTACCTAGTAGTACAGTACATTATGGGAAGAAAGGGGGGAGCCCATAAGCAAACAAACAAGTCAGATTTGCGGTGTGGTAGTTACCGTACCCGCGAGATGCCCCTTCACCAGCCCACTAGCCTGGTAGCCCCATCTACTGGAGGTATCTACCTAGACTGCGGATGCGGGCGCCCGGATGAGACACCAAGGTACACACGAAAGGTACTTTATACAGTACTCTCGGCTGGTATCGGTACTTGAGAAGGCACACACGGTAGGTAGTAAGTAGTAAGCACGCGCCCCATGGTACCCCTGTCCAGCCTTGTCCATGTCCAGGCCTCGGTTCCGAAAAAGACCTCTGACCTGGGTACGTACCGAGTACTTCGTGCTTCGTCACTTACCAATTAATTATACAAAGCGATACGAGGTACTGAGGTAAAATTCCATTCACTCGCTCGGGCCCAGCAATGGAGCCCGGCTGGTCGAGACATCACAAAATAACTCCGTCCTCTACGGGGTAATTACGGGGTAGCATGAGAGAGACACGGCACGGCAAAGGACCGTCACGAACAAGTAGAGGGGGGAGATTAGCAAGTCGTTTCAGAGGCCGTGGCCAGAAGCTTGGGTAGTAGGCGGTACATGATGAGCGGGCACCGCATGTAGCCGGTACCTACTAAGCCCGCTAAATTACGTGGCGAGGGGGGGTACCCAGTACCTGTGGGCCCCCCTGGGCTGGGCCGGGCTGGACTTCAGTCTCGAGAGAGGATGGAATCTTCTGGACCCTGAATATCTTTCCTCGTTATCTCCGTTAGCCCGGTCGATTGGGTCTCTCTCTCACTCCTCTCAATCTCGCGAGGAGTAAGCAAGAAACTGGGGAAAGCGAGTGAAATGGGGGACGAGTATGGGATCCATTATGCTTGCTCGAAGATTCGTTTGTTTCCCAACCTAGTGTCAGGCGGACAGAAAAAATGTCCAGATTACTTGTTCGCTGAAGGAGGAGCCGCGGGCCGGGAACAAGGTGCGGAGACACACCCAAACTAGGCAGAGCACATGGCGTTGTGACCACAACGATTTTGAACGGGGTAATAATGATCACGAGAAGAGAAAAAGGCAAACCAGTAACCCAGTCGTCCTTTGCGGGGGAGATTCTCGAACCTGCTGACTAGTCAAAGGCGCAACAGGAGCAGGAGCACGATGAGGATTACTGGTGCTGAAGATCAAGCAAGCCAGCATGCCTGCATGCATGCAAGACTCAGGTGGCGCGCCCCAGAGAAGATCATGTGAGGCTGAGACCCCAGGAATGTCCACATGGTTCCAACGTCCCATGGCTACACGATGTATCCCGTACCTACTGTACATACGTCCGTCCATCCGTGGGTGCCTCCTTGATGGCTGGGTGACAACGAAACGAGGAAGTAAAATGAACTATGGCTGCAGGGAGTCACAATACTGTGTAAACTGACTGACCGTCGTCCAGAACAGCGATAAACCTGGAGTGCAGGTCTAGAACATGACAGATATTGTGGGGTACATACACTGTACATACTTGTTGTTGTTGCTGGTCCCTTCATGCGCGTGTAACGGCCAGCGCAGCGACGCACTACCGGATGGTCCGGCGCTCGCTTGCCAGCCGGCTATTCGAGTGTTGAAAGGGAAGTACATTATTGGAGGATATCTCGAAAAGACGGTTGGTAAACGATCACACAAGGCGATTCGAAGCGAGCAGGCCTGGACTGCTTTGGTGTTGTTTCTCCCTGACGGAGTAATCTTCGCCAAACTACCTCTGAAATTGACCTTGAAAAGAAAAAGGGCTTATGTACTACCGTTATGGGGCGATCATACCAGAGTCTGGCTGTCCATTAGGTTCCAAACACGAGGCTGGTTGGTGGAGCACGGGACAAATTCTGCATGCAAGCGATCTTCTGAGCAAGCAAAGCCACTGCTGATTTTGACCCCAATCTGGAATCTGTACATTTTCCCAAGAGTGGTTGGACATTCGCAAAATCAAATGGCTGATTGGATTCGATGTTCTGGGCGTCTCAAAGACTTCCCGTGCGAGCCGCAGGTAGAACGCTTCGACTTCCACGTGATGATATACCTCAAGACCGCACCAGTATCATCTCGGTATAGCACGAGCCCGACGTGCATTAACAAGATCCCTGGCAGTCAAGCATGCAGGGGAGCCCCTTGTCGCTGTCGAATCCACGAACCCGGAACTCGGCCTTACGTACAGAAGTCCCACTTGCACATGCGAAAAAGAGCAGGCCCTGTCGATTCGTTCGCCCTGTCTTGCATTTGACACGCAATCTCGTCCAGGATGGCGAGATCCCAAAAATCCCAAAATGGGACAAAATGTCAAAGCGCCTGAAAATCCGTGGGTCGCCGAGAGGTGTCCATTAGTACCCGCTGCATCGTGTAATTACTGTATACCGACGTCAGGAACAAATATCGATTGCCACGGTCATGACTTGTCATGTCCATGCACTAGGAAAAAGGACAAGGTGACATGTATCACTGCCGCGGCGATGGCAATATGAAAAGACAGTTAACTCACTGCCACCCCTGCAACTCCCGGGAAATTTTCCTATTGCAGCCTACGTCCAGCAGGCGGCAAAGCGGTAATTTTTCCCATTCATCCAACCGCCGAGCCCGAGACCGGACTTCCGAGATAGTCGTCCCTCTCTTTTGGGAAATATGTAGGGAAATGGCCGACGTGAGTTTCAATCCTCGAAGCTTGAATTTTGGATGTTTGTTCCGAATGATATTTGTAGTGCCACGGGGCGCTTTCCGTAAGCCGAGGTGTTAGGCTGCCTCGATTATCTCGTCTGACCAAGATTTATCTATTCTTGTATGTGGTGGTCTCATGGACTTGTTAATGCACTTTGTGGCGGCTGGCTTCGTCCCGTACGGTCCCAGAAGGCTGCTAATCCTGCCAGACCGATGTTGATATGCACTGAACTCGAATGTTGGAGACATGACTAAGGTTTATAGGTGTCAGGACTTTGCGCCCGAGCCGAAGCTTGGATTTTCCCTCTCTCCGTATGGCTTCCAGAACTCAAATATCTCTTTATCTATTCAATGTTGTTGTGGACTGCGAAGGTGTGGCACATTGACAAGCGAAACTCAGCAGGAACGATGTGGGCGATCTGGGAAGAACATATTGCCTGCTCCAGTGGTGTTCCAGAGAGATTTTCGGGCTCCCACATAAATATGCTGTCCTGGATGTTTGCGAGGTGCTGCTTGTCTTCATGGCTATCACCTCAGGCACCTCCTGGGTTGTCTTGACGGTATGATGGCAGCGATCCAGGCTACTTGTACCACCCCTTTATGCCTCTCCTTTGCACAATATCCTTCATGTCTGCAAGTATGCTCCCACTTCATGACAGGGCAAGTACCGTCTTGGTACGAGAGCAGGGACGTGGGCTGATGGATGGATCAGACGTTCAAGTCTTGCCCTTGCTCATAGTTATGTAGCGCTGGGCCAGGAGATCATCTCAGTACCGAGTAGGCACTTCCAGTCGTAGTGAGGCGTGCGAAGGCCATCCGCGACGCTACGAGGGTCCCGAGATTTGTGCTTGAGCAAGTGGGAGACTCACGGTAGGATCGTTGCAAAGCGTGTCCCTCATACACGCGTAGTGATAGAAGCCAAGTCATTGACAGCCAGCACTGCAGTACACCATTATTGTCGAGCCCGATACTCCGCGAGGAGAACAGAAGGCTGTGGCATGCATCGGGGGCTTGTGATGCCTCCCGCTCACCAAGCAGTTTAGTTGAACTGTGGGGTAGTGGGAGATCATTTACCCTTCATCGCGAACAGGAACCTTTGTACTGGGAAATTGGACCCAAGCTCATAGCGATAGTGGTTGTTCGTATTCGTTCATCCTAGTCTTCTGGCACACACTGCGTTGAGGACTTCGAGAAAGGCATGTAACCTCCGGGCCATAGTCTTGCAGCTCCTCCGTTAGTGGAAGCGGAACGGAGCATGTATTCCTGGGGGCCGTCTAACTCGCGGACTTCGAAGCTTCGAGGGGGCCGACAATGTGGAATGACAGGGGAAATCTTCCTGACCATTGTGTGGAGAGAGAGAGAGACAAAGGGACCATGCAAACAAACGCGGTTGACAATTAGTTCCTTGGGAATGATGACCCCACGAGAGCAACTGGCGACGGCACATGGGTTGGCCGTGGTGCCCTTAAGGCCGTAGTAGGTGTTGAAATAGTTACGTGTAGAAGCCTGGAGGGTCTGCATCCCTGTGAGGACACCCAGAGCCCCTCCTGCACTGTATGCAATCTTGTGAGCAGTCCAGGACGATTGCACAAAAGTTCCAAGCTGGTTCTGGAAGTTGCAAGTACTGTACCAGGACAACGAGTTGGAGGTGTGGGACAAAGCACTGGCGAAGACGACCCAACATGATTCAACAGGGCAATTTTCCACCGGCGGTGATCTTTTAGGGCCGCGACTGCACGGAAAGGGAAGGTACTTGGTCGGAGGTCCCTTGCCCTTCATCAAGCCACCGATTGTCCAACGGTCCAACGGTCTAACGGTCTAATGGTGCGGAATGCCACACCTCCACACCCTCCAGACAAATCCTCCGAAGCTGATGAGGCAAGGGGCACGGCACGGTACTACTGTACTTGTACTCGGTATGCAGCCATTGTTCCAGGATTTCCCACTCCCTAGCCGGGGCTGCCCCATCTTTATCAGTGTATGTTGTTCTTGATTGAGCTTCCTGTTCTGGCAATTAAATGGAAAGCAGCCACCGACGAGAAACAGGAGCCTTCCGAACCAACACTAACGTCGGTTGCTGACCCAAGCGTAATTGAATCATGCGCCGCCATGTGGGAGGTCCGTGTATCGACCTCATGTGGGACTTCAACCGGCATACCGTCAAAGGGGAACGGAAAAAGACCCCTTCTTAGCAAGTGGGAAATGCTCTGCGTCCGGCAAATCCTATGTTTCGCGGTAGGCGAGGAGGTTGGGACAGGGACCAGGGCAGCCACCAAAATGATGCCAAGACCAATCTAGGAAAGGTCTTTCGGTGTTCAGTCGAGCAGCAGCAAGCGAGAAAGCCGTAGAGCAGGGAACGGAATTGGAAAGCCTACGCCAACGTTTGAAGTAAAGAAGTGTCGTGGACAATGCTGCAGGGCAAAAGTTTGAACTATTTGCGTTTTGACTCGGGACGAGGCTGAACAATTCAGGGAGACTCTCCAAGCATGTCGCCCACATATGAGAATATCCTTGGGTACTGCCGAGGACGTCGCACTCCCGTGGTGACTCGCTTTCTACCTCGTACTGCTGAGTCAATGCCTCCCCTGTCAGTTGGTGCCTCAGCTTGCGAGGCAGGGGCTGCATACAGATACCAGTTAGTAGTAGTCGGAGATGCATTGCAGCTACCAATGATACCGACCATGGACAAGATCTTATCTCTCAGCTCCTGCAGTCTGGAAGTTCAAGCACATGGAAATATCGAGCAGCTGTCTGTCAGGGGTTCAAAATCGACAACGGCACACCTAAAATTCCAGTTAGAGGGACATTTGGAATGGGATGCATGTGAAAACATAAGGCGCCCCTGTCCCACCTCCAAGACGGGTTGTGATGGCTCAACGGACCACTTCGAGTAACGAGGTAGTGAGCTAGCAAGCCACGCATATGCTCGATGCCACGGAGGAGCGTGTTCTTGATTTCGGGTCCGAACGAGGTCGATGCGAGCGCACAATCCGGCGATCAGGTATGTCGCAAGATCTTGCCTATCAAGAAAGTACCTCCCAATGCCGAATCTGCCGACCTGTCCGAAGGATCAAGCCGCCGCTCTCTAACGCGCGTATACCTGGGCGGCTTGATGAAGATCGTCGGGATCTAGCCACAATCATTTGTTTCTTAGCATGCATGTTGAACGACCATGCTACCTGCTCTCCATGCCACCGGACGTTTTGGGGGCATACAGTAGGACAGCAAACAAGGCACCTTGTCAGGAGACCAACCCCTTGAGCATGTTCACAAACAAGTTATCGGTCGAGAGGCCCATCACGATACCATCGCTAGGGTCGAAAGCGAAAGGTCTAGTCTCGCCAGAGCTAGTAAATCTATCCCATGATCTGCCAGCAAAACGGTCAGATAGCTAGGACGACAAGAAGGAAGGAGGAAAAAGAGAATAAGGTGATGATGATCATAGTGTGGAGCTTTGAAGCATGCCCAACGGGAACGGCACCTGCCGCGCCGCAGGCCACGGGGGTCCTTTGGAAATAAGCGAACCAGGTGGTTTGAAGTCCATGGCTGGCTTCCGAAGATGCATGGCCCGGTGATGATCGATCCGCACTAAGGCATCCCGAGGAAATGGGTAGGCGTCGGTGTGGGTGTGTGCGCGCGCAGAACATCGCGCGGTCTAGGGGAGGGCCGAAGAGGTGAGGTTCCACGTGGGATGTTTTGATAGCGATACTCGTACATCCAGACATAGCCTATCTAGCCACACCCACCGTCGACTAGGGTGATCACAAGAAAGGGTGTGACATGATTTCTCATAGGGGATTGGGGAGGGCGGCGGATGGCGGCCAGCGCAGAAGGAATGTTGCAGAAAATAACAGGTGATTCAACGCGGTGTCGCTCTGGTTACTTTCGAGGTTGGGGGTGAGAGGGATTTGTTGGCAGGTTTGGGGGTGGAAGGTGAGACGCCCAGTCGAGTGGCTAGTTGGGAGCTTGAGGGCTTGATTGATTGTTTGATTGACTGATGAAGTGATTTCAACCAGAGTGAGTTAATATTGCTTATGCGAGTTGTCAAAGATAGGTAGCCGGGTTGGGGGTTAGTTCATTAGAGCGGGCGGCAACGCTGGTTGGGCTTGGGTATCTGGCTAAGAGGGGGGGAAGAAGGGGCCCAGGGGAGGCGGAGGCCGGCGAAAGGGGGGAGGGCGGAGTGGCCCCGTAGGCTGCACAAATAGGTAGGTACTAAGCCTAGTGAGCCTAACTAGCCAAGCACTCAAGGTAACACTGTAGGTAGGTACAGGCTGTGACTTGAGTAACCCAGGCGAGCCAGTAGCTGGCAAAGATATGGTCACGTTGATCGCCGAGTGCCCCTGGGGACATGTACGGAGTACCTCGTATCACCGCCATGATCAAATTATTATGTGACAACGGCCTCCGTAATGGGACCAAGCAGGGGATACGGAATTTACGGAATTCTGGTTCTGATACACATCTCTTACGATACAGCGAGTGATCACGCCCTGAAAGAAAGAAGTTTGCAGTTGGACAAGCAAGAAGCACAGGCGGTTACGAGTACGAGTGAATAGTAGCCAAATCTATGTACAGGGGACAACACCAGCACCTAGGTGGCACCGGCCCCCCGAGAAGGAGAAAAGTCATGTTTCCAGGCCATGATGTCACTGCCTGAATTTCGAGTTTCGTCCGTTCCCCTGCGACTTCATCGCTGTCGTAAAGACTCTTGTCCATGGGAGTCATGGTGTGTGTGTGTGTGTGTGTTCTTTGCCACAGAGCCATCAATGAGTCAACAACATCAACTGCTGCTGTAAAGGTAAAAAAACTTGCTAAAATCATCGTGAGTCGGCCGGTTTGGTATCACTTGATCACTTCTCTTCCTCCTCCTTCGCTTCTGTTTTCCCTCTCATTCCTCTCAATCCCCGATCTACATCTAGATTTGTCCCCCAGTGCTGCCCATCCCCCATCATCCATCGGCCTTGTTCAGATTCGGAAGCTTATCATCCGCCTTCTTTCAAACAACCTAGACCAACAAACACTTGGTCTGCACACCATCTCCGCCAAACCTGCAAGTGGTTCCATCATCTGGCCGGCGAAACGTTGAAAATCAAGGAACCTTTGTTGATGAATGAACAGCATCGCTTTGCCAACTCATCAATCATCATGTCACTTGACAACGCCAGCCTCAGTAAGCCTGCAGCTCCTTTGTTGCCTTGTCCAGCTTCGCCTTGCCTGGTTGTGCGGGCTAAAACACCCATTGCCACCGTCCAACCGCCCCCATCACCCTCCACCCCCCTTCCCCCCAAGGCGCCTCTGCGTCGAATCCCTTTCCAGCAACCAAGTGACGGGGCCCCGATGGCTCGGTGGATGAAACACTGCCCATCGGTCATCTGACTGCTGAACTGTACCCCAGCTGCTGATCGCTTATTGCGCATTGCGCCCAATGTCCAGGCACCAGCCGTGTCAGCACCCAAATTCAGCATCAACCACTTCCTCAAGCCTCACCACCAATCACTCCTACGCCGGCTCAATCACAGCCAAGGGTCTGTCGCTTTTTCAATACCAACAAAGGTAATATGTCTCCGGTCTTTTACCACCCAATTTTGTCATTGGCCCAGCCCTGTAATCAATTCTCCAATAGCCTAAATTGAAATATGCACGGCACTGATGTCTGATGCCTGGCCTTAGCTGGCCATGTCCCTCATGTCTATGATTTCACGTGATAGCACAGCTAATCATCGTGCCAGGTTGTCGAGCTGGCGAGCATTGCCCGTTCAAACACCTTCAGCCTGAAGACCGGGTCACAAGCACTAGACCGAAACCTGACCATCAACACGCCGACGCTGCGCAAGGCCCGCCGGTCGTGCAAGACCGCCAGTCTCTGTCTCACCGACCCAGGACGTCGATCTCTAGGCCGGGCCCAAGTCAGAAGCCCCAATCCCAACTTCAACGGCGCGATCCTAGGGAGTTTGAGCTTGGTCAAGTGATTAAGAGGTTTTCTCCAGTTCGGGGAGACACCAACGAGGGCACAACCCTGTCCTTTGCCCTGTCTCCGTCGGACCCAGACTTCCCCTTCGAGCTTGAAGGCGGCCTCCGTTGCATTCTGACGGTTCCTGCAGCCTATCCTCAAAATGGCAAACCAACAATCAGGGTCACGAATGCCGAAATGGCCCGAGGCTTCCAGATCAACGTTGAAAAGGGGTTTGACAGCCTTGTCGCGTCCTTCCCAAACAAGACACTTTTGGCCTTGTTAAACGAGCTGGACAAGAAGCTTGAGACGTTCTTGACCTCGGAAAAGGCCCAAACCATCAAAATCATTGCGAACGCCGACAAGACTCGAAGAGTCCCTGACCCCGAGCCAGATGTGGTTCGCCGTGCCCCTTCTCCAACCAGACCCGTGGCGCCGCCTCCGCCAACATGGACCGCTGAACAAAGGTCCAGCGCTCTAGCTAAGAGGGAAGGTGACGTCCGCCAACTCGAAGCACGCATGGGACGGATTCCGCACTTCTCTAAAAGTCCCGACGGCACGAGATACAACATTCCTGTCCACATAGCCAGATCAGATCGGCTTCCGCAAAATCTACGACCACTCAAGGAAATTACACTCATTGTGCCGCAGCTTTATAACCTCGAGCCTTGCACCGTACTTCTGAAAGGTGTCAGTGGGCCAGAGGTCGAGAATGTTCAGTTGGCTTTTGAGAGACATGTCCGAAACAAACCCGACATGACCCTTATGGTCCATATCAACTACCTAACACAGAACATCCATTCAATGGCCTCAGAGGTGGCACAGAGCGCAGTACGGAGGGCTTCACCAGAGCCCTCTGTGGCCGAAACTCAGAAGGTTGCGTCAGGAGAGGAAGAGGTGGCAGAATCCAGAAAGATGGTCTTGGACGAAGACAGACCGCATGTCAAGCTCATTCCCCGACCTCCTGAATGGGACCGACGGGATTCCGAGGACGAGTCAGAATCGTCCTATGACTCGGGCGAATATTCCGATTCCGAAGATGAAGGACACGACGAAGAGGAGGAGGGAGACACTGAGCAAGGCGGCGCCACTCTCCCAGTCTCCTCGACCTCGACAGAAAAGGGAATCCACCTTTCCTTCCCGAACCTGGAACTCCACAACATTGAACTTTTGACCTTGTCGTCCCTATCTATCTCGGTCAAGTGCCTGCGCTGCAAATCTCCCCTGGACATCTCCAGCATCAAACCTAGCGGAGACGCCGCCGGTTCTTCGGCGTCTAGTGTCCGCACCGAAACCTGCTCAAAATGTACCACACCGTTCACGGTCTCTTACACGCCCAATGCCTTGCACGCCAACACGGTGCGTGCGGGCACGATTGAAGTCATGGGCTGCACGGTGGCCGATCTCCTCCCATCGGTCTTCCAGCCTACCTGCGCGTCGTGCTCGACGACCTTCCCCTCCCCTCCGGGTATGATCTCCGTCCGGGGCGACACACCAATCCAGGTCTGCCGGAGCTGCCACGCCAAAATGACCTTCACGATCCACGAGGTCAAGTTCCTGCGCGCGTCCTCGGCCTTTGCCTCGGGCACGCTGCCCCCGCGACGGCGGCCCAAAAAAGAGGACCTGGGCATCTCCGCGGGCACGCCGCTGCCGCACAACGGCACCTGTGCGCACTACCGCCACAGCTACCGCTGGTTTCGCTTCAGCTGCTGCCAGCGCGTGTACCCGTGCGACCGGTGCCACGACGCCGCCGAGGCGCACGTCAACGAGCACGCCGACCGCATGGTCTGTGGGTGGTGTTCGCGCGAGCAGCGCTTTCGGAGCGAAGACTGCGGCCTGTGCGGGCACAGCGTCATCCGACGACGCAAGGCTGCCGGCGGCTTCTGGGAAGGCGGCAGGGGCACCCGCGAGAAGGGTCTCATGAGCCGCAAGGAGAAGAGGAAGTATAAACGGCCTGGAAGCAGCGTGGTGGGTTCTGCTGCCACCGCTGCCACCGGGAAGAAGGACGGTGGTGCGAAGTAGATGTCTCGCGAAAAGGGGGCTGTATCTGGTCCTGATGGTGTCCAATCTCACTTGCTGGAGGACGCAATGATCCACAAATGGCGATGGCTTCTGCTTGGAACGAGTTGGACGGACGGAGATTCCACGTGTCTATATTATCGTCTGATAATAATATACTTGATGCACAAGGCTATTCTCTCTTGAACAAGTACTTGTCTTATTTCCCCTGGAGTCATACTGACACCCTCCCATGCGACTGATGATGACACAGACCTTTCTTTCTTTGCCGGATGAGTTCTTAACCCGCGAGCTGTAGGTAGGGTTGACCACCACCACTCACCTCGGGACTCGAGTCCCTGCATCCTTGTCTGGAGCATTTGGTACGATATCTGCGTAAGAGTTAGTTGCTTATCAACCCCCCTCTGTATGCTGCTATGTACCGATCTCCCGACCTCCCGACCTACCCTATCTACCTTCCCTTAAAGTGTCGCGTCGCTGAATATTGGACAACTTCTACGCTCTACTCTATTCTACTCTATCGTTACCTTTCCTCTAGCCCTGCACAGATCCAAGACACCGTAAGCAAAGACCTATCAACCGCGTCCTTTTGCTGCTGCTGCTGTTGCTGCCGCCGATGCCGCCACTTCTGTTCCAGCAAAGACGCATCGAGGTTCTTGTCGTCTGTCCTTTCTGGACCAGGAACACTACGAGGAGTGCCACCGTCACCACCACCGCCATGCCCCTCCTCCTCCGCCTCAACAACCATCCTGCCTCGAAGAACCTTCATCCACACCTCAAAAGCACCCTTGTCGCAAGCGCGTTCGAGCCAGAGGAAGCCGCGCATGACGGCCGTCAGCTGGGTGAATCGCACGACCCCCGACGCCGCGGACCAGGTTGCCACGAGGTCGAGGAAGAAGGATTCGTCGTGGTCGTTGGTCTTGGACGCGAGGGCCCCCAGCACGGCGAGCCAGAGGAGGAATGTCAGCGGAGAAGGGGATGGTTTCTTTGGAGAAGCTGCTGCGTGTGCATCTCCCTCCGCTGCGGCCTCGCTCTGATTGGAGGACGCTGGTGGTGGTGGTGGTGGTGGTGGTGGTGCTTGGTTGGGATTCAGCGTCGTCGGAAGACAGAGCTGCGGGTGATACTCCTCCAACGCGCTCCTCAGCCGCTTGACCAACAAGCGTAATGGTTCCGGGCGGGCGACGGGGAAAATGACGCCGTAGCTGAAGATCATGGCTCCAAGCCGGCAGAGTTCCTCCAGCTGGTTCTCGCAACCGGGCAGTCGCAGCAGACGGTACTGGATAAGATTGCGGTAGACGTTCGTTTCCCAGGCCACCGGTGACAGCACGAGGTCGGACTCCTCCCCATCACCGTCCGCAGGAGCACCGCCGCCGCCGCACTCTGTCGTCACTCGCTCGAGCTCGCGGCAGTACATTCTCATGTCGAGGAGCAGGTCCTTGAACTCGACGTTGGTGATGGCGGGGAACGCCTCGTCCAGCCTCTCACGGGGCGGGCGGATCATTTTGACGTGGTTATCCAGGACGTGCTGGTACAGGCGGCACAGCGTAAAATGTGGGCGGCAGAGTGAGATGCTGGCATGGAGGATGTCGGTGGACTGGATCTGCTCCGCGACACCAGGCATCGAGATATGCTGGAGACCGCCTCGCGCCGCCACCAGGGACTTGGCGGCTCGGATGTGCGACGGCGTCCAGCGAAAGTGCGAGAAACACTGGATCCAGCCGAGCGACCGAAGCGGAGGATCGAACCCTCCAAAGTAGCTATCATCATCGTCTCGGCCCTCCTGCCTTTCGACGACGCGGGGGTTGGTGTCGCGGATCGTGAGACCTAGGACCGCAAAGATTACCGAGTCCGAGACTTGGTTCCGCGCGATGTGCTCCCGGATGCTCTGGACCGCCCTGTTCTGGCAGGAGAACATAACGGCTTCGTTGTCCGTGGTGGTGTAAGGCAGGTGCATCGACATGGCCAACGCGGCGGTCCAGACGAAGGAATTGAGCAGCAGCTCGTCGACCATGCTCAAGTGGAAGAAGGACGAGGTCAAGGACTCGTTGGTCTCGAGGCTGTGGTGCTTGAAGGCCGGCCATAGCGTCGTGCGGGCGTAGTAGTGCACTCGCCGGACCTGAGGATTCGCTAGCAGCACTGCACACCCTGGTACCGGGGACGTGATTTGCTGGAGCCGAGTCTGAGAGCGTAGGTCGACTGGGCCGAAAGGGTGTCCTGGGGACGGGGCGTCTCGCCTAGACGACGCCTCGTTCACATTGCTTTTTGGATCTGCTGCAGGAACAATCTCCCGAGGGGCGAGCGGTAGGGGCTTCTGCGGGCTGCGAGTCGCTGACGCCCTTTTGGCCTCTCGTTCTGCTGCTCGTCTGCGGCCTGGGCAACGTCACAGTGAGTCAGTCAGTCCAGTGGACAGACAGCATGATGGATGGGTGCGACGTACGATAAGAGCGTTGGTTCAGCCGATTCTGGATCCTTCTCCTGGCTCTGGCATCCGACAAGCCGCCCCAGTCGTCTTGCTCCCTCCTCGCTTCTGCGGGGAGCCTCCTTTCGAAGACGATCCGAGATGGTTGTTGGTCGTAGTCCATGGTGTCTTTCGTGGCCCTACGTGACTCTTGTCCCTCGAAATGCTGCTGTTAGTGAGAAGAGATCAGCCAGTTCATTGCTTACCCATGAAACGAACACTCCTCAACCCTCCAAGTACAATGTCTTTTTCACTTCACTGGGCTGACACAGTCATCGCGGCAAGACAATGGATGTTTGCACGCCGTGCCCGCTTACTTTCGAGGTGGATATGGGGATATGCAGCCTGCTTACCTCTGGGGGACCAATCAGCATTTGTATATTTCCCGGCGCCACCTGCAGCCTTGCACGAGTCGGTCTTGGGGACTTCTGGCGATTGTGGATCAGACAATCCAGACTGCCTCTTGCATCAATATAATCTGTTCGTACGTATGCAGTTGAACAAGACAATCTTCCTCTTAGGTGAAGGGGCCGGCCCAATCTGAGACCCATTTCAAGGCGACAGTCGACGCTGCACTGGTAACACTTCAAAGGAGCACGAACATGGGAACAGGAGATTCTAGGCTTGTCGTCTCTCAGAAGATGATCCTGGGAAAGGTTGAGAGAGAGGGATTGAGGTTTCTTCCAGGGGGGCCAACGCGAAAACTCCAAAGACAAAACAATGGATGGATGGCACGTTACAGACGGTCAACAGCTCTTATTTTTCTTTCTATCCGATCTGCCGACGGGTATCATTTTGTACATTCCTTCGAATCATGTCTTCATGCAGGCTTTTTGCGCAAAACGCCGTGAAATGCTGACGCACTGCTGCTGGAACAAAGTCTAGAAGTCGTTATCGTCGCTGCCCGCCACAATTACGTTGTTGATTTTCAGGACCTGTGCGATATTCGTGAGCGACGTGGGCAAGATGGAGCATGGCCAGACTTACCATTCGACATAGCTGGGTCGCGAGGAGCAACTGTTGCCGCTTTCCAATCAAGGGGTCGATGACAAAGTTTGCCCGCATATCTTCCAGCAGGTCAGTAAAAGCGTAAGCCCAGCAAGGCAGAGTGACATACCATTGTTTCCGGTTCCCATGCAATCCACACCTAGTCGAGAGTTCTGTTCTTTGATCTGCCGCGATTTCACTTCGGCCAGCGTCTCAATCGGACTCAACCCAGAATTCTCTGCCAGTGCCATGGGAATTGCGTCCAGAGCGTCGGCAAATGCTCTCATGGCATACTGTTCCAAACCGGGCGATTTCGAAGCGGCATCCTCGACGGCAATGGAACACGCAATCTCGGCCGCGCCACCGCCATACACGACTCTATTGTCTCTGACAAGGTTGCGGACAACACACAGGGCATCGTGGAGCGATCTCTTCGCTTCGTCGATGATCATCTTGTTGCTGCCTCGTACAAACACTGTAACAGCTCGGGTGTTGGCGCACTCTTCAATGACCAGCATCTTTTCTCGGGTGGTACCAAACGTCATTTCTCGAACCACGCCAGCTGTGCCCAGTTTCTCGCTGCTTAGGTCCTCAAATCGTGGCACGATGCGACCGTTGGTGGCGATGGCGATCAGCTCGATTTCAGGCCCGCCAACCCATCGTACGGCCGGGAGCTTGTTTTGAAGAAGAAGATGGTTTGCCTCGTCGTCGAAACCCCACTGGCAAATGACGAGGTTTGCCCCCGTAGCTTTGATCATGTCGATCATCTCCACAAACTTGTTCTTTTCGTACTGTTGTAGCTTCTTGAATTCTTCCACCGTGGATATATCGAGCTTGTGTTTGGTTTTCGGTTTGGGTGGTTCAAATGCACATGTCAGGATGGCCAGTTTGGCGTCCCTCACCTCGCTGGGCATCTGTGGGTGGGAAAAGTCCTTATCGATGATGACTCCCTTGACCAGTAACGAGTCCTCAATTGAACCGCCTGCCTTGCCATCGACCTTGATAAGCTCGAAGTCGACGTCTTTCCGTTCGAGGTCGGCGACCGACATGACGGCATCGACAGCAATCTTCGCGAACTGGTCATGAGACTTGCTGACGATCTTGCTTCCGAGACTCGTTTTGGCCACCTTGATCAGGTTGTCCTGCTTCTCGCGAGTGAAGGCGATTTCGTCGCTGATCTTGTCCAGATGTGCCACGGCAACCTCGCAAGCCTGGTCGTACCCGTCAGCGATTCGGATTGGATGGATACCTTTGTCAATGAGGTCTGCGGCCTGATCGAGAAGAGCAGCAGCCAAGACGACGACGCCAGTGGTACCGTCACCAATCTCTTCGTCCTGGGATTTCGAAAGCTCGACCATCAGTTTGGCAATAGGATGAGTGATTTCCATCTCGGACATGATTGTGCGCCCATCGTTTGATATTTGAATGTCCCCGTCCGGAGATATGAGGATCTTGTCGAGTCCCCGCGGACCCAACGAGGTTCTGACGATGTTTGCGATCGTGCGAGCCGCAACAATGTGCTGCTTAACTGCATCTATGCCGTGTATTCTCTTCTTTTTCCCCTGGTCTCGCACGACGATAAAAGGTCTCCCTGTCTCATCTTTCACAATTTGTGCCTGGGAAAGGTCTAGTTGCATCGCCATGATGAAGTTCTTTCAGTCCACCAATGGTCACCCGGTCCCTTATGTTCGTAGCGATTTCCCTTTTCTTCGACCGCCGTTGACGTTGGGTGAGTTGGTGCCTGCGGGATGGTGTAGAGGGTGGTCGAGGACGGTGCAATGGAGGAGGATTTGCCCTCTATGGACGTTTTAGAAGGGTTCTGATGCAAAATATAACCTCAACATACGATCCGATGTGCGTGCCCAGAAGTGATGGCTAACTGCCCGCCGACCTCGTTCAAATGGTAAAGTGAACATTCTCAAATTTTTGGAGACGTTCCCGCCACGCTGCTTTTGGCCCCACGCCAAGACGCAACTACCATTTTCAGCAATAAATGACGCTGCCCTGTTCTCCTCTACACGCCCACTTCGTCCACCGTTCATCTGGATCTATCCTACCCCGTGAAGACATTGCTGTGGCGTGAAAATGTCTCCAAGTACTTGAAAATGACACGCCGACGCATTGTATAGTCGTCGAGAGATATTAGATGGGACATAAATATTCACTAAGTTCGGGTGCTCTCCACGAAGTCGTATTTCGGCCATGTTCGACGTGGCAGCACTGTGGCACCGCAAGATCGTTTGTTCAATGCATCTTTCTCAGCATACAGCCTTGACTAGAGTTCCTTTGAGGGATATCTCGGTACGGTCTCCTTTCGTTTTTCAGTGCTGTTTTCTTGGCCACGCCCACACAACGAAATCTTCTTGAATGACCAAAATCGCCCAAAGAGGCCATTGTTGAAGGCTTTGCATCAATCCTTGCAGTCTTTTGCCATCCAAGGACTCGGAACAAGCCAACGGCTCAGATATGGCACCCACAAGCAGAGTAAACGTGGCGAGAAAGTGGGTGACAACTGGCCGGATAGCTGATATACGAAACAGCTGGAGTTAATCTCACTTGGACTGACCATTGCCGATTGGATCCACAGAGAGCTATTCAAATTACCACTGCAGGCGACGCTGATGTTGGGAAAAAGGTCAGGTACCCCGTAGTCCACGGCCCATCGAGCTCCGCGCTGTCGACTAGCAGAGCGGGCTCTTGAAGCATCGTGCATGGAGCTCATATGCCGATGCGACTTTGGCAGCATGAATCTGCACGTCTCCGCCTGGAAGTATCGCTCGATTTCGACGACTTTGCAGCATGCGCGATTTGGATTTCACGAACGTCACCAGACTGACTTTCAAGTTGCCCACCGGGCCATGGGCCAAGGACGAAGAATTGAGGGAGGCCGGCCTGTATGGTTATGTGAATTCAATGGACGGCTTCTATGGCTTGAGCGTCAAGGTCTTCACGCAGTTGTTGGGCGGGACCCTTGAGGAGTTGGAGGTCTTCCTTTCCGAGTGCAGGCAAGAGCTGAGGCGCAAGGATATCCAGGCTACTAGCTAATGTGAATTTGCTTGCTCCCCATCCCTACCGTCCTGGAGCCCTACTTATAGCCGACCTCAATACAGCTGGATCATGTTCGCCCGAAGCCTCTCAACCTTGATGTGCGACCAGAAGATTCATCCAGTGTTGCGAATGGTGGATCAGGAGGTTCACGCGATCACCAGGCTGTGATACAGCATCGGCGACAACATCGTGCGAGGGGCTTCAGCGGAAGTGTACGGGCTATTTGTAGGCGCATCCGGTAATGACAAGGCGAATGCAGCGGGATATGGTCACCCCAGAGACTGAGACACGGCGGGCAGGAAACATGAATATATGGGCTGGCACCACACTTGCCTGACTTGAATTAATGGTTTATTGTTGTTAAGTTGTCTTCGATGGCGGCTTTAATACTGTCGGTCGACTCCGTATCATTTTTTTTAGTAGGCTTTCCCAGATTTTCTCGTCTCTACCGCTTCGTGAGCTCGTTGTATGTACGGGTAGGTTAGCCTCTCGACTGGTAGAGCTGATCCGGGGGGCCGTGAGGGTGAGAATGCCGCTGTAGTACTCGAGCCGGTCTAAAACCACTGTCCGGGTTGTCGGAAAACGAGGAATGTCTACACGAGCGTATTTTACTCACCTCATATAATCCCATTCCTGCTCTCATCCTCGGAGGCTTGTGCTACGAGGACGGCGTCTGTTTCGTCCAGTCGCGGATAGCATTCATCCGCTTGGTGTTGGCGGATACTTCGATCAAACGCTCCTCAACCGAATCCTCGATTCCAGTAAGATCACCGATGCCCAGCGGCACCGGTGCTCTTTTTGCGTCCTCCGTTCGCGCATTCGGGGAAACCTTATGGACCGTGAAGAACAATGTAAGTCCGCGGTTCTGGTTCTCGATAATGTTTCCAGCGTTGGTTTGGTCTGCTTGTTGTTCTTGTTGTTCTTGTGGTTCTTGTTGCTCGCGATAGAATTGAGCACCATGGCCTGCAAGCCGCCAACCATTTTTTGTTTCCAGTCGCCCGCAGATTCAACTGATGGGATTACCGCGCCTTCCTCGTCGTGAAAGCGATGACGAAACCCCCAACGGAGTCTCAATTGTTTGGGTCTCCAATCATGCCACGGAAGTCGAGGTTGAGTGGAGCTGTTTTGGTCTACCGGATTTGGCTTGCCTGCGTCCTGTTCTCTTCTCTCTCTTCTCTTCTCTTCTCTTCTCCTATACCAACTACAATTGGCATTTCGAGATGGGTTTTTTCATCAAACAATACCTGCTTGTTATTCTCGGCCTTTTGGCCACACTCCTCTCTGGCTTCCTCCCTCCCCGGGTTCAGCGCCTAGCTGCCCATCTGCGCCATGTGCCATTTTTAGGTACGTTCCTGGGCTTGGTCGCCCCTCAGGCGCCAGCGCAGTCCCTTCCTCCACCACCTCCTCTCCCCGACCCTGTCCACGTTTCCATTCGGCAGGAAGACGTGAATCGCTGGGCTGCTGTGATCGAGCGCGGCGTGAAAGACGGCAATAGGGCGCTTGTTGAAAAGATAGATCAGCTTTGTGGACAGACTTCGCGTCTCGTCAGGCTCATCGAGCTTCAAGAACAGCGCCCTGCCTACACGTACGAGCTGGTCGGGCGCCCAGACCCTCCACCTCCTCCTCCTCCTCCTCCTGCTCCTGGTCCTTCTTCTGGCTGACTGGTTTTAGCCTTCCCCTGGTAACCCATCCGAAAGGCACCACCTGCCAGGGTTACCAGGGGCGTCCCCATTCTTCGGCGATGATCGAAGTCGTCGGAGGGTGGGGGCGCACCAGCGACGGGCTCGCACTTCTACGCAGTGCTGGTGACTAGTAGCTCAAAGAGTGAAGCTAGGACGAGCCCAAAACACGAGTGGACAACGCACCGAGGTGAGCTTTCCAATTGAAATGGCGGACAATGCTGACACCATGCACGACGCAGACAGCCTGGCCGCGGGCACCACAAGATCTTTGAATGCCAACACGCTGCAAGTACTGGCGCCATCATCCTCCAGCACATTCGCAAAGACCATTGGCATATGGTTCCATCGGCTCAGCCCATAACAAAGGCGACCTCTCCTTGAACAAACGTGGCCCCCTCCATGACAAGAGAATGCACATCGGCAATGGCTGTCAAGCAGATACACCACACAAAAAGTCACGCACGAGTTTTCGTGCAATGGATTGCAGTCCATGAAACAGGAGCCATTCAATCAGGACCAGTATAGCTGCATATACCCGGAGTGTTCTTATAGTATGGATGGTCCCAGCCCCACCAATGTAGCCATCTGTGCCGTTGTTGCAGGCCGTTGGTAGGACTGCCACCGTTACCGAGGCTTTCGTTGTACAGGAGCTCGAGATTTCGGGTCGGAAGAGCAAATCGATAGCTTTGCGTCTCGCGTTTGCGAGAAAAACGAAAGCCGTACATCCTCTGGACTGTAGGGTCTTCTTCATCGAGATCACGCCCTCCGAAGCATTGCCATATACTTATTTGCGCTACCAACTGATCACTTCCTCGGGCTATGAATGCAACGCGTAGATCTGTTGCACATTCTGCGCAGTTGATATAATCGAAACACCGTGGTGCTTTCGAAGGGGTGCCAATATGTTCGATAGCGTCCATGACGAGACCAGGAAGACCGGGAGAAGAATGGCTACATCCAATGCGTCTCAGTTGGTCAAGCTGGTCCGCCAATGATGCCAGAGATTGCTGCAAGGACACTTGCATACTGCAGGACGTTCGGAGTAGCAGCTTCCCATTGACAACCCGCGCCGCCGTCTCCCTCGATATATCTGGGGACCATAAATGCCACGGCAGTGCCCCTTCGCATTTATGGTGAAGTTCTTGAAGTTGTGGGCCGTAGTCAGGGCCTCGCTCGTATCCCCTCAAGAAGGCAGCGACAGTCTCGAGGGGCAGCTCACAAGGATAATGCTCAGGGCAGTACTTTAGCCCTCTTGTGTGTATGCCGTTCATGTTACGGCGATATCGTCCAGGACACTCATAATATGGTGCAGACGCCTTCCATCGATAGAGTATATTACAGCAGTCACAGGCGATATACTCCGCCAGATCTACCTCAAGTAGACGAAGAAAGCGCTTCTTGCCAGCTCTGTCACTGAGACCAGGAAGAACATACTGCTTCAAAGCCAGGTAATGGTGTTTCGATATCAAGGCGACCGCAGCAGCTGACTCGATGGGCAGGTGCCGTACGATCTGTAGAAGTAGTTCCAGCGGTAACACTGCTAGACCTGGGAGCGTGCCTCTCTCTGGATCAACAACTGTTGAGGGGTCTTCGAAAGGTGATATGGATGATGAGGTAGATGGTAGTGAATGACACGGCATAAGAATACGCCTCAGACGAGCAAAAACTTCGATCATGACTTCTTGTGTCGTCGCGTGTCAGCGGGTTAGGCCAGATCCCCGTGCTGTAGAGTCGTGGTCATCTGGTTCGAGAGGCGTAGTGACAACGGCGATTATGTCTTAAAGAGAATGTCTAAGAATAATAATAATTCTAATGATAGAGGGGGGGAGAGAGGTCTGAGGGTCGATGGGTGAGAGAGCTACACACAGCGAAAAGGTGCGGTGGCTGGCTTGCAGAGGCAGAGAGGTAGGTATTAGCTTTGCAGGGTACGGAGTAATATGGAGTACGGAGTACGTAAGGAGGCTCGGAGCAGGAGGGAAGCAGGACGTTAAGAGCGGAACTCCGGCTAGTGAGGTCTAGTGAGCCCCTGCAGCTGCCCCGTGTTAGGCAGGGCAACTGCGATCCACCTTACCACCACAAAATTTCATCTCTTATTACCTGAAACATGTGACACGCTGATGTGCCAACTGCTGGAGCAGGTATCTGCAACCTCCGCGTCTTCAACACAAAGAAAAGAGGTCCAATTCGAGGTATGATATGTCAAAATTTTAGGCTAACACCAAAAGCACTGCGGACCTCGTCCCGAAACAGAGTTTGAGAGATGTATTGTTAGCTTCACGCTGACAATCGCCCTAGTTGCTAGCTAAGCTGCAGCGTCCTTGGACGTGATGCAAGTGCCACATCTTGGAGGATGGTGCATGGTCTCTTAGACTTGTCGCATGACGATACTATAATCTCTGATGCCTCTTTCAATCGACCGACAGACCAGGAAGCCTTGGCTGGCCATGAGGTCATGTATCGCCGAGGTCGAGGCGGGACCAAGAAATTTACCGAGTACATCCCACCTACTTCGGGGAAATCCCCCACCTCCTCATTCAGCCTCGATCCACAGCCTCACTAGCCGCCTATCCCGGCGACTACGATTCCGTGTCGCTTCGGGTACAGGCATCGTGGGCACGAACTAGTACCTGCCTTGTTTTTCTTCCCCGTGGAAAACGTTGGAGTAGGGATTGGTCCAGTTCACGAGGACTCATTTGAAAGAGATGTCTGACGAGAGGCAGATACGGTTCCTATACAGGCTCCCAAATGCTTCGTTGTCAAGACAACGCTATCTGAAAGTCTCGGTCAGTTGCGCGAGTGATGACAACTTACAAGTTGAGAGTTTTGCTGGAGCAGGCGGGAGGTTTCAAGTGACCAGATGGGTCCAAGACGTTTCTGGAGGCCCGAGGCATGACCAGAGCAATTAGGGACGGAAGGTCGAAAAGACATCGTGAGCGATGAAGGGGCGGTGGAGGACTCGTGAACAGTGGGCGATAGTGGTGCGAAGGGGCGAGCTATGTAGCCTTGAAGTGCTAGGATCCGTAATCTGCAAAGCCTGAGTCGACGCATTCTTTTGCTCATCAAAATGAAACTGTGGGCTCGATTCATTTTGTCGTCAGCTTCGCCGCAGAGGGAACCCTGAGGGATCACCGGCTAGTCAATCGATCTGAAGACGATCAACGATTCGACCAGAAGGATGGATGGCGATCATTCCTGTATTCGATCTTTTTCATCAGAGCATCATAATGTCTTGCGCGCGCTCTCTATGCCAATCCGTGCAGTGCGGCACAGGCAGGGGGTTTCATTCATCACTTCGTCCGTGTGTCCAATATCATAACGTCGTGCAGGTTCTCCCAGCAGGATCACGATTTGGTGACGTGGAGTGATGTTTCTCCAAAGAGATGCCGCAGTAAGAGCCTCGCCGAGAACGCCGCCTCCCCAACCGTCAGGTACCTCGTACTGTGTCGCGAAGGCTAAAGGCGGCAGGATTGAGTCCAAGCGCCAAGATAATTGCTAGCGTTGTTTTATTGGAGCAGCAAGCGGTGGCTCATTCCCAGCCACCGCGGTCCGAATTTCTCTCCGCGTCGCGCTCCCCCTCGCATCGCTTTGTTTCGCATTCTCGAGACGGCGGTGCCTTTCTCCATCACGCTTTCACGACCTCGCAAGCTTTATTCGAACTTGCTCTGAATTCGCTCTCCCGTTCTTCACATAGCTCATCATGCCTCACGGCTTCGGTAAGTTTTGTCGTCTTGCGCTCACATTGGCTTCAGTTTCAGCCTCATCTGAGCCTGTCCGCTATCGCACCCAGTCTCGACCGGGATACTGACCCGCTGCGCAGAAGACATTGAGAGTGCGGATGAAGATGGCATCATCCACGAACCCGCGCAAGAAGACGCCGGCCCCGGAGCATGTAACCAAATCAATGGAGAATTGAAAGACAAGGTCGATGACAAGGCCAACAGCGACGAGGATGACGAAGAAATTAAAGAAAAAGACGACGAGGATGACGAAGACGAACAGAAGGACCAACCGGAAAAGGAGGCTCCAGAGGCTTCTCAAGACGCAGACGACGTTTCCGACGATGACGCCGAAGGCGTCGCAAAAGGAGAAGAAGACCTCGACGATGACATGGACGAGGAGGAGGAAGAGCACTTCATCGTCCAGACTATCCGGAAACACAAATTCGTTGAAGATGCGGTGTACTATTACATCAAGTGGCAGGGCTATCCTGAGAAGGACAATACTTGGGAGCCGGAAGAACATCTGATACCGTACGTTTAACTAGAGGCCTCGGTCGTCGAGGTCGAGTCGCAAATCGCAAATCACGTGCTAACACAAAACCTCCCTTCTCTAGACATGCTCGGCAGCTCCTCGCGGATTACCACGAGAAAATCGGCGGCATTCCCAAACCCCGGATCAAGAAGACAAGATCTAGGCGGGCCCTGCGTGAAGAACCGTCATTCGAAGACCCCCAACCCAAGAAGCGTCAGAGGCGCGGTGAGGATGCGAGCACCGCCGACGACTCCGAGGACCAGTGGCTGCCGGACACAGAAGACTGGGAGCCCTTGGTGGCCAAAGTCGAGACCATCGAGTCCGATGGAAAAGGCCAGTACAATGCCTACCTCAAATTCACGAATGGCAAACGGACCAAAGTCAGCACGAAGCTGATCCGCAGGCACTGTCCCAGGCCGCTGGTCGACTTCTACGAAGGACATCTGAAGTTCACGTAATATTGAGGGCGGAAACCCTGTCGAAAAAGGGAGCACAAAGATGGCTCTGACAAACCAGCTCAAATACCCAGACATGCTGGGAAGGGTCCTACCGACTCTTGGTGAACCTTGCACACCATCCCCACCACAACTTCTTTTGTTACCTCGACACACAAGCAAGGCCAACGCGACCCTGTTCAGCCAAAAGACAATCAAGTATGAAGTTAACGGGGCTGATTTTATTTGTTTAACTGTCAGCGAATAGCGCCAAAAACCATGGATCGATGCACGGATGTATGTAATGGGCTCTTGGGGTCAGTTTGGGACCCGTGCAAGAAACATCAACAATGATGAGAAAACTCACCCATTCGTTCTTCGAAGCTGACACGCAGTTTGCAGTGGAGTTCAGCATAGCAAAGCAAAGCAAAGCAAGGAGGAGGGAAGGCGGGTGGGTGGCCAGACGATATCCTTCGGGGGTTTGAAAAGCTTGTATGGAGCATCGTATCGTTCTTGGTTACCAAGAGGAGGCAAGGAAGCACGCGAGCAAGCGACCTACCATACACTTCGGATGACGAGCCACGCCGTTGGCCGAACGAGGTCGCTGCTTTTCACCTAGCAAAGCTACGACAGCTAGCATTTGTGTCTTGTTGTATGCATAGTTTTAATTGCGGACTTGGAGCTCTGCGAGAGTGTATTGCATAGCGAAGCTGGCACGGGGGTTTGGACGCAGAGACCCCAAGGAGAGCTTTCGAGCAGAATTAGTCATTCAATGATGGTTCCACAGACCGAAAGCATGGAATTATATCCCTCGTATATTCATTCGCTTTACCATAACTGCTGCTCCTCTTCTTTGTTCGACCCTAGTCCCTCGCTGGAGCGGTCCTGGCCATCCTGAACTACAAGAAGTTTCTCATCTCTTTTGGGCATGCCAGAGTTTCCAGTGCGACAGAAGCTGCTGAGTGCTGTGCTTCTCACCCTTCCACGAACTCCGCTAGAAACACGAAGCGAGCATCACATCCGTCACGGCCATGTTTCCTCAACACTTTGTCCACATCGCTTGCGTTTGGACTTAGAAGGAGAGAGTCGTCGGTCTCGGTCCACACGCCCCGCATAGCCTGTGGAAGCAGACTCTCCATCTCCAGGTCAGCCTCTGCGAAACTAGCAGACCTTCCGACGCCGTTCGCCCAGTTCGGCCTCCGCTGCTCGGTTATGAGATGACGACGATTAGCTAGCATGATATCCACAACCTCGCTTGCACGTCTGAAATCGAAGCTGGTCGACTCGATGGCTTTAAACAGCACGGGTTCCAGGTTTCGGACATGTGGGTGCAGGCTCCGTTGAAGGGCGATCCATTCGTCCGTTTCATGACCGTCAGGTTCGGGCGACGAGCTCTCCCTAGCTCGTCCTTGCTCGCTCCTTTGCTCTTCAACTTGTTTCTGTTTCCCCTTGGCATTTTCCGAGGGACGTGGCACGTCTCCAGAGCCAGGTGATGATGGCAAGAGCATGGGAGGAGATCCAAGAAAGCGGTGGCTTTCCAGTTTGATAGGAACCTCCGGGTAATCCTGACTGTCGTCGGACTGGCCTATTTCTCCAAGGCTCATGGCATTTTCACAAGTAAGTTCGGTCTGCACCTGCGACTGTTCTTCCGGCCCTGTCCCGTATTCCTGAACAGACTCTTGGGCAGTCTCAAACTGTTCAGACGCCTGGTGTCGAAATGAGGAAACGGAACGGCTGAGCTCTGCCTCTTCATCATTATTGTCATGTTCTGGGAAAAATAGTGGCGAGTCGTTACGATGGGTTCGTACACGCTTTGGTGGGTTATATGAAGCCGTGAAATGCGAGACTTGGTTGTCCAAATCTGATTCTGCAATGGAAAAGGTTCGCGATGGCCTGTGTGCTCCATTCTCGGTGTCGATTGAGGCGTGTTTCCGAGCACTCGCGTCTCCAAGTCCATCTTGCAGCTGCATCCCTTTCGCTATTGGCGGAGTGGCTTTTAGAGATACACCCGCCTCGGTCAATGTTGATCGCGTAATCTGCGAGTCGCTCTCCTTCAACTGAGCTTCTCCCGTCTCTGCTGCCAGACTTTGCGACTGTACCGTTTGACTTTGACTTTCCCCTGGCAGACTGCAGTCCACGGTCTGACTCTGAGTGGCGGAGCGGTTTGATTCTTGTGTAGACTGCGACTGTGTACTTTGTCCAACACGCCGCTTCCTTGACTCGTTAGGACCAGGTGGACGACTTGTGGTGGAAGGATCCGGCTGAAACAAGGGAGGCGTTGGAAGGTTGGCGCTGCCTTCTCCGGCCAACGAATGATTCTGCTTTCCGCTGCTTACGAAACTGGTGTCTTGCGGAATGACAGTTTGTGTGCCGGAATTGTTCTGGTCCTCTGTACTTGGGGGTGGTCTTGCGTTTGGTCCGTCTGTGTTGACAACGTTTTCACCAATTGACCATCTCGTCGACGGCCGGTGATGGCCATGCCGCCTCACAAACTGCGCACATTCATAGCAAATGAGTTTGCCTTCCTGATCGTGTCGCCACTTGACAGTTTTATCTGTAAAGCAGTTTGTACATCGGTAATGTTCGGTTTCAGACGAGGCAGATGTTGCTTGGTCGTGTTCCGCAACCGGTTCAAATGTAGGAACAGCGTGTTTTTCAGATTTTTCGGACAAATAAGGAGCAGCTTGTGACAAGGTTAGCCCAGTATTTCTGCAATAATCAGGCACGACCCTTGAGATGTAAAAACGCTGCCATTCTGCCGCCGTGTGCGTACCACGTTCTTGCGCCACCATCCGCCACGGCGTATAGAAATCATCGAATTCTTGGCCAGCATACGTTGCAACCATTTGGTAAAGCTCGTCGTATTCGTCTTTGGTGAACGATTTGGGCAATTCAGGCAGTGCGTTTGTCGAAGACTGTGCCTGTTTGCTATCAGATTGCGATCCATCGGCGTGTTTGGGTCTCTCCGGAGAAGTGGGCATAGTGAGCCTTGCTTCCTCATCTGTAGTTGCAACCTCAGGCAGCCTGTCGGCACCTCTGCCTTCTGTAGCTGTCGTCAATTGACTCATTCCACCCTCGGGTCTGGCGCGTTCCTTCTCCCCGTCATCGTGCACTTCTCGTCGACGCTTCTTCTCTGGCGAAGAGTGTGACTGTGGCATTGCAGGTTCGTCCCCACGCGGCGTTCTCGGTGCAACAGTCTGGCTGACCTTTCTCTCCTGAAACCGAGTGTGCTTAATCCACCTATCACGCCAACTCTGGAATGTATGTCTTGGATTAGCCTCTTCTATCTGCTTGTAAATCTCATTTCCTTTCCAGGCTCCTCCCCTGTCCACGAACGGTTTCATCCAATCCCACAGGAACTGATCGTCCTCCGGAGTGAAAGGTATCCTTGCTGCCCTTGGGGCTGTGACAGTACTGCCGACAGGTCGTGAGACTCGTGACGGTGCCCCGACAGCATGGTCGGCAAGATTCTCGAGTTGGCCCTTGCGAAGAGAGAGCTCGACGTATCTGTACGAGTAGGTGCCTGGCGCGTTGTTCTTCCTGAGGTGGTCGACAAGCCTGACGTCGGCGTCGGTGTCTCGATCAACAATGACGGCGCCATTGCATCTAGCATTCTTCATCATGTCGTCCCGCAGGGGCATTCTGTGAGCGAACCATAGCTTCTGCCCCGCGAACAGACTCGCGCGAGGGCGATTGTCATCGTCGTCATTAGCCGTGCGAGACACACCATTGTACACGATGTGGCCTGACATTTACCGTGGGGTGGTGCTGAGGGTGAGGACGTTTATAGGAGTGGCAGGAGTCTCATTGCATCTGTGCAATTGTTTACTGGTGATGGAAATCAACAACTGCGCCCTCTCTCGCTCTCCGCACTCTGTATCCGGTGCGCGACCTGCCCGCACGAAGTCACGTGACCCATCCCTCGCTTTTTCGCACTCGCACCCACGCGCCCCAGATTTGCTGCTCCTGGAACGAGATACGGCATACGTCCCACATGCCCTACGGGCTCCCAAGAAAGGCAAAAGTCCCCCGAGACAAGCAGCGAGCTCAGGGCGGAATTGAGCGCGACCAAGTTCGGTGGAAGACGGCAAGTTATCGGAAGCGGGCTGACAGGTTTGGGGCATCAAGTCCCGCCATCTTGGACCTTATTATCACCTGCGCTCCGATTCGTGTGCCGAGTTGTTGCGAATTGAACGGGAATTGTGTGCATGGCTGTTGCTGTGGCTCCACCTGTCAGTTTCTCTCAGTTTCTCGGCTGCTGCTGGCATAATTAATGCCACCACCACCACCACTACCACCACTACTGTTTTCCCCGACCGACAATTTGGCACTTCTCTTCACAACACAATCACTCAATAGAAAACTCCCCCGTTCACCTGCACCCCTTGCTGCTCCCTGCGCGTCCCTTTCCACCGTCATCGATTCGAGCACCACAGTAATCTCCTCACCGACCTCCCTTCAATAGAAGCCGTCCTCATCTCACGAATCAGCCATGTCCGAAGAACTCACGTACGCCGAAGTGTCCAAGCACAACACCAAAAAAGATCTGTATCTGGTGATCCACGACAAGGTCTACAATGCCTCAACTTTCGTCGACGAGCATCCGTATGTGACAATGTGTTTACAATGATCCCCAACACCCTCCTTCCATCTCCCACTGTTGGTGGCCCCACATGGCCATTGACATCTGACGACTCTTCCCCATCTGGTGATGTGTTCGTGGCTGACCACCGTGTGTCTCATTGTTCTAGTGGTGGTGAAGAGGTCCTTCTCGACGTAGGAGGCCAAGACGCAACCGAAGCCTTCGAGGATGTCGGCCACTCAGACGAAGCCCGTGAAATCCTGGAAGGCCTGAAGGTCGGCTCCCTGAAGCGCGCCCCGGGTGACCCAAAGCCCAAGGTTGGTGCTACGGACAAGATTGCTGCGGGCCCTGGTGGACGAGGCGATGCCGGCACCGGCATGGGTGTTGCCATGTACGCTGTCCTCCTGGTCGGTGCAGCACTGGCATACTTCGGATACACATACATGCAAACCCAAGACAAGAAATAGATGGCGTTCCGTGCGTGACGGGGTGCTGGCGGTGAAAATACTGGGTTTACTGGGACGCGCTACGGATACAGAAACGTGTCGACCTTCTATTTCGTTCCTGGGATTTTGCACATTTAACGGTGGCTGCATTGCGTTTTGTGCGAACCAGTTTCGCAAGCCGCTACAAATCTGCTTGGCCAGAACCAATCCTCCCATTCTACACCTTTTTGCTCAGATGTGAATAATGCACCAAGGATAAACGCCAGATCATGCTACTTCGACAACACCAGCCTATCCGAGAAAGCCATCCATCCAACCCAGACAACTCTTCTGGACGAATTAACCTACGACGCACGCAGACTTGGGGTTTCTCTGCGAGTCGTCATCCTCCTGGTGTGTGGGAAGACGTTTTCGGCCAGGTCCAGATGTTTCAAATGCTTATACTACGTGGATAGATCTAGGGCGATGGGTTCTGGCCTTCTGTAGTCGAAAGAGTTGCTACTGAAGTTCCGAAATGTCGTTCCGGTCCACGTTGACGTCCCTTTTAGTTTTGTTGCCCTCTTGTGCTTTTTCGCTCGAAGCATTCAGGCTTAACCCAATAATGGCTGTGTGCTGTCCGTTCCAAACCCGACCCCAATTACTTCGCATTTCCAGCCCAGCAGCAATCGGGGGAGCGGTAGGTCTATTTCCCCGGCCTGTCTGTGTTTCTTTCCTCGGGAGGATCGGGTCCCGTTCCGATAGAATAGGGCAGGGAATTCCACGGCATTTGCAACAGTACTGTGCACTAATTAGCTCGCGCATACAAAAAGTCCGGGGGGGAGCCTCTTTCTTGGCCTTGGCTTGATCGGATATTATGTATCTGTCACCACAAACATCCAATGAGAGCGATAACAATATTAAGTAAGTACTGAGTATTATAGAGTAATGAGCACACAACCGACACCGGAATTTCTCAAGGGCCGTCTGTGTGCTCTGTCTGTCTGTGCACACATGAGGAAGAGATTATATCGTATCGTCCGGATGCTCACTGAGTCACTCACTCATACTCATACTCGTTGTACGCAGACTAGGAACCTACCTAGCCTGGCTCAGGGCGTGAGTGACTATGGATGGGATGGATGGGATGGAGTCCGGCAAAACAGGTTCTTTCTTCTATGAAAGGAAAAAGACTACCTACCTACCTACCTACCTACCTACCCACCACGACTTCTCCAAGGCGAAGGTTTTTCTCGGGGACGTTTGTTTCGTTGGGAATGATTCTCAAAAAGTTGAACGTGGATGAGATTCAAATATGGCTTCTTCTTCTTCTCCAATTTGCCAGAAGCAATCGATCAATCCATCCTTTCGACCAGGAATCTTGAAAAGTTTCGCGCGGCTTGCCCCTTTCCATCATCCTCAACAATCAATCAATCAATGAACGCACCTAAGAGCGGGTGCTAAGCCAAGCCAAACGCAGCGGAGACTCCTCTCACGACCCTTGGAAAAGAGATGGAATTTATATCTCCTCCATAGGGGTAAGTGAGGGAGAGCAGAGGTTCCGACGAGGTCTTCTTGCAAGAATAGGCGTACCTTGGTCGAGCAGGGCCTTCTTCCTCTCCCCCCACGAGGTCGCCCACACCAAACGGCACACCGCAATGACTACACCCGCCACCTAACGCCACGCATGAACTTGCCCTCTAACACAGCCCAACTCCGCCCCTCCCTCCCTGCCTCCTGGATCATGACCTCCGTAGTCCGTTCGAAGTTCTTCCCACGGCCCGCCCAGCCAACGTGGATGGCCCCCCAACCAAAGCTGAACTTGAACTTCCATTGCTCAGCCAGATTCCCGCGCCTATGGTGATGCGAATATCTCGAGCTCCCGAAAAACCCCCATCGGACGACAATGCTTCTACAGCATATTCCGAGCTTCGTGAACGGAAGTGGAAGCTATGGATGGAGCAAGGGACGGTTGGAGGGAATGATCCGCAGACCTCGCCAGAAACTTGTGCATTGTGATTCTTCTGTCTGCACGCCGAGGTCAAAATGGGATCCCATCCCCTTGCCGTGCCTTTCAATTTCCTGAAATGCGGTCCATCAACCGGCCAATCCATTCCTCTGTGTCCGGCCCTCCATCGTCAAAACGCTCCCTCTCCACTACCTCGTTCACCTGTAATAACTCGTTGGTCTCTGACTGTATGCCTGATACTGCGGGTTTGCTGGCGCCTGCGTCGGCGAAAACACTGGATACGCCGAGCTCTGTGGTAGTGGCGTGATAGGTCTCTGAGCAGGATCGACAAGGACCGGAGGAGGGCCATGGCTTGGAGCTGGGGGCGGAGAGCTGATGGGCGGAATTGGATAATCGTACGACGCGGGTGGTTGAGATGATGGGTACTGCGCCCGTGGAGGCTGCGAGGGCGGTGGTTGCCCTAGAGGCATGCCTTGTTGTGGTGGATATGGCTGTGGAGCCCCTGAGGCAGGCTGTGATGTTGGCAGATGTTGGTGGGTGAGATCATCAGTTGAGTAGTTTGAGGGCGAGTAATCTTTCCCTTCGTCCCCGTACTGTAACTGTGCTACATTCGGCGGTTGAATGGCTGGGTACTGGTGATGTCCCGGTGGAGCGGACCCGTCGGTGGGTGGAGGGTACGCTGGGTAGGAATCTGAAGGTTGAGGGTGTGATTGACGACGGAGTGGTCCTTGTGCTGGGTTGGGAAAGGACGCATAGTTATCCGGCAGCTGAGAAGGGGGAGGTTGGGGTTGATTTGAGGGCGTCTGGCTTGGAGGCGGTGGTGAGGCTACTGGATACGGAGGTTGAAAGGCGGGTTGCTGCTGTTGCTGGTTTGAAGCGTAGGGTATAGCATTGTTGGGTGGTTGACCATCTGTAAGCACCGGCTGTTTAGATCTTGTAGCCAAGAGCTTGTGTAGAAGATGGTTCAGAACTCACCAGGCGTATAGAATCTTTGAGGCGGATAACCCTGTTGAACCGGTGGGCCACCCCCTGTAGGCCCGTATGGGTATGCTGCATGCCCAGGGCGAGCGTATTGTGCAGCAGACTGCGCCATGGATGACTCCAAAAGCGCTTCATAGTCGCGGCGCGCTTTGATGAATTTCTCGTTGAGTTGCTGGAAGTCGTCTAAACGACCAACAGATATTAGCCATCCGTTGCAGATTGACAGTCTCATCTTCCCTCTGGATTTACCTTTCTTTTGCGTATATTTTCCGATCAGCTCGATTAACTTTGGCCGTATTGCCAACGTGCTGTGGTACAACTCGGTAATCTCCTCGTTATCGCGCGCGTTCATGTCCCCCGTACTCGTGCTGAGAAGGGCGAGCAGTTTCTCGACATTCTTGATCTGTCCAAACACCTCTGCCTCCATTTGTGCTTCTTTCTGCAATTCCTCGGGCGTCGGGTCCTGCAGCTTCTCGACATAGTTGAGTGGGAAAATGCCTGTTTGGCCGCGCAAAGAGCCCTTCCACCAGTCCTTGTATACGGACTCAAGCACGGCGATTACGTCGCCTTTGCGGAATTGTAACTCGCCAGGTTCAGACGGTTGAAAGTCGAAGAGGGCCCGTACCCGTGAAACAGTTGCGGCGGTTGTACCTGAGGGAACCGCCTGGTGTTCTGCCTGTTGCGAGACACTGCCTGGGGGCTGGGCTGCTAACTCGGCCGGACCGCCAGAGGGCTGGCTCGAGGGACCGGCAGGGGATTTGTCCTGAATCGAGAGTTTGAGAGCCATTTGCAGTTCTTCCTCTTCCCTTCGTCTGTCCCAATCTGTGATCGCACTCTTGACGGGGGCCTGAGGGGGTTGAAGGTTGGGATCTAGCGGTGTCGGGGTCAGTCCCGTAGATAGCCACGTCGAAATCTCAACCCAGACTCACTCTGCGCTTTCAATCTCATGTATGCCTGCTCCATGATGCCCAACTCGGTATTACTCGAAAAGTCTTTCGTCCAGGTCTCCATTCTTTCCACTATTTTGGATTTCACTTGTTGATGCGTATTCTAAGGCCCATTCATCAGCAATCCACCTTGTTGTACGATGTCACCGCGCAGTTCTCAGTTCCGTGAAGGGAAGTCGAAAGCCACATACTCGATCATTCGCCAGTCGCAACAGAGCCTCCGTAAAACTCCGACTTGCCAGTTCCCTGTGCATCTGAATTCCACAGTTTTGCGACAAGGCATTGGCCAGCTCCAGGGTATAGAGCTGGACATTTGCGTTGCGATGCGCCAGCCGCTTGATCATGGCGGCCACGACATCTTTGCTTCCGTTCTCGTTGGACGAGACTCTGTCGCAGACGTCGAGAATGTACTCCCAGTTCTCCGAGGTCAGGTTCTCGTCGGTTGCCTTAGCTACATAGGACAGAAGGGAAAAGGTAAGGGTCAGCACACAGACACAGACGATGAAGCAACAGTGGGAGTGAAATGCGGTGGTCGGGAGATTCAAAGCTTACCAACGGCATCGTCGAATGTATTTTGTTGTGCCCGGAACATGGCGGGCAAATCAGCTGAATCGATCGAACCAAGGGTTGGAGCAAAGGGAGATCAAGACTCAAAGAGAATGGAGACAATTACAACATGAACAGAAGGCTCAGTATGGAAGCACGACTTATCATCGGCCTGGCATGCAGCGCAGCCTAGTGAACAAATGCTAGTACTCGGTAGTAGGCAACTCACCTCCAGCTTTTAGCGTAGTTCGACTTTCGGTGACGCAGGCCAAAGTGGCGGGTGAAAGGTGGAGCATTCCTCCACACAAGCCACACTGCGTACGAGGTAATTAATTACTCGGTACTTACGGAGTACTGTAATAATACTCCATACTCTGCAGACATATGGGCTCGTCGTTGGTGTAGCATGATAGCAAAGCACGTGCTATCAACCCAGGGGTGGAAAGACAACGCACCAGTACACACAAATGGAAGCTCTTTATTTCAAGGGAGCTCTCTCATCTACATGGCCCATCTGCCTGCTTGCTGTTACACTTGAGGTCAAAATTCCTCGCTCATCTCGGCGCTTTTCAGACCTTGACATACTATCGTCCCGGAATTGCGTACCCGCCAGAGGGGGCCCTTTCATTGCCCATTGCTCGTCGCCCATCACCCATATCCCATATCCCACAGAACTCCTTTGCCCGCTCGTCTGATCATAATGTTTCCTTGACAGTCGTAAAAGCATCGGCACGCCGACAAGCCTGCGAAGACCGCTGCGCAAAAAAAAAGAATACCCGTAAATAGACATGGATAGCCCTCGACGAGCCCCATGTCAAAAGAAAAGAATAAAGGTTCCGTCGCACTGCGTCTAGTAAAATCGCCTCTTCCCAAGTCTTGTTCTGGTAGTTGACAATGCATTTTTGGATGCAATTGAGCATATAACACTCCGGCGCAAGGAGCCGAAAGCAAATCTCGCCCAGCGTAAGGTCGCGTTTGTCCAAAACACAGGCAAGTCGCATAGGGGGTGGGGTCGTCTCAGTCACACGTGGCCATAGTAATTGTACAAGAATCAGACCAGCGCAACCATCAGTTGCCTCTGTTGGCCTTTTCGGCAGCTCTGCTTTCTTTTGCAGATTGAACAAGAGGAGCGAGGCTGGAAAGCGGGGCACAATTATGCATGAATGGATGCTGTCGTTCCATGTTAGTGAGGTTGACGCGACACCGTTGGAGACCGCCTTACATGTAACAGATCATGAGCACTTGCTCGCTTCTCGGGTTCCACCTTCAGGGCGAAATGGAGGAAGTCTCGGAAGACCGGCGACAGCGCTTGCTCGTCCTTGATACGTGGTGTTCCGTACTTAGCGATCAGGTACAAGGCCCGCAGCGGTGACTCGGTCAGATATGGCGGTTCTCCCTCGATCATCTCGATCGCCATAATGCCCAAACTCCAGATGTCGACTTTTCGGCCGTATTCTTTTCTCGTCACCACCTCTGGAGCCATCCAGTATGGTGTCCCGACCATCGTTGTGCGCTTGTTGTGGCTGTCATTGATTTGGGCACAGAATCCGAAGTCCGTTAGCTTGATGTCCCCTCTCTCCGAAAGGAGGATATTGTCAGATTTGATGTCTCGGTGGATCACGTTCTTAGAATGCAGATGTTGTAAGCCGTAGAGCGTCTGAGCCTGTCAGTAAGGGGAATTGCGGCGCTGATTTCTCAGGACAAAATACTAACCTCTCTGCACACTGCCGCGATTTGGCCTTCGCTCATAACATTGAATGTTACCACATCGGTCAAACTGCCGCCTTGCATGTACTCCATGACCACCCACAGATCGCCCTCATGCAGATAGCTGTCGATGAAGTTGACAATGTTCTTATGCTTACTGTCCTTCATCACAATGATCTCGTTGATGATCAAGTCTTTCTTTGGTTGTTGTTCGAGGTTCATCTGTTTAATGGCAACACACCGTTTGGTGCCATTTTCAAAAGCGGTGTAGACACCACCGGAGGCACCTTGCCCAATTTTGTTGAGGTTGCTGTACTTCGTGGTCGGGTCACCAGGAGTGCATATTGCTCGTAACCTGGCTGTAACATCCACGATGTTGCTTTGTTGTCGCTTCTGTCGGGGTCGAGGCACAGCAGCTACCTGCGGAGCGCCCTCGAGGGCTGGCGAGGCTGTCACTGCAGCAAATTGAGCTTGTGGAATGTTGGGGCTGATTTGTTGAGGCAAGATCTTTGGTGGAACCTCGGGTGCGCCTTGCGCAACTTGACGCTGGCTGCGACTGCGGTCTAGTTGCTTACTCTGGATGGCTTGTTGCGCTAGAATCATGGCCTGTTCTTGTTGTTGTTGATACTGGGCCGGGGATTGAATTGCCTGTTGGGTCCGTGGCGGTGTGACAGCTGGGCCTTTCGAATTGGATCGACTCCGAGCTTCTTCTTGTGGAATCGATGGTGTATTAGGTAGAGAGGCCGGCGGCGGCGGCGGCGGTTTCGGCTGCTCCTGAACTGGCCGTAACGGTAGGTCTCGGCTTAGAGGGGGAGGCGGCGCAGGCCGAGAGGGTGCCATATCTCGAAGACTCTGTACCGGCGGTTTTGGAGGAGGGCGATTGGGCATCATCATCATGGGTGTTTGATTCGGTTTCATGCCTGCCATTGCGCTAGCAGGAGGGCCCTTTGGTACGGGCGGTGGAGCGCGAGGATTTTCGAAGCTGCCCTCGTGATTCTGTGGGAATCGAGGACTCGCGGGAGGAGATATGACACCAGCCATGGGGGAGTACGAAGCAACGCTGGACCCGATGATTGGCGTCACCGGACTCTGGTAGCTGCTATTGCTGCTCTGAGGAGAGTCGGAGAATTTGGCGTGGTCGAATTTCTGCCACACCCCATCGTCGTTGCCGCCCAGGTTGTTTTTGTAGGTCTCGACAATGTTGACCATCATCTGTGGATTTTGGTCTTGCTCAGACTTGGTGATGCCGCTGTCGGCTAGGATCCTCTGCCAGTCTGCAGGTAGTCCCTGTTGGAAACGTATCAGCATGGTCAGGCTCGCGAGTGGGGGCTGTTCCGTTCAATGAAATGAGATAACCGGGGGATGACTTACCGTAAACTGCCCGGTCTGGTTGTCGTAGCCAACGTGTATCATGTGAAGGGGGTTTTCTGGAGCTGAGATCTTGATAGTCCTCGGGGAACCCAGCATGTTGTTGACGAAGCTGGAGAAGCCGCTTTTCTTGCGAAAAGGCCCAGCGGGTTTTGTGTGACCGTCGCCCGAGAAGCGCTTGGGACTGAGCGTGCCATTCTCCGACTTGGGAGGCGTGACCTCCATCATAGCCACCATTCCAGGCCCAAAGGTCTGAGAGTTCCGGAGCGGATGTGATCGAAGGTCGGGGCTGGTATGGGTGTGGGCTAACGGCGGGGGATACGGTGACTGAGCACCGGCATTCTGACTGTCGTTCATCCCGGTGTTTTGAAAGGAAGATAAGAGGCCTGAGGCGTCAAATGGCGCTCCGATCAAGTCTTTGTGACGGTCATCTGAGGTCTGGGGCGTCAGAGGGAGGTGTTGCGGTGCCTGGTAGCCGTTGATGGACGACGCGAAGAAGTTGGCAGAAGGAACGATGGGGGACGGTGCGCCACTGCTGTGTTCAAGCGAGGACGTGGAGGAAGCGAACGCGCTGGATTGGGTTCTCTGATGGAATTCGCGAGACGAAAGTGAGGCGTCGTGACTGCGAGGGTATGGGGACGGAGCTGACGGGGCACGTTGAAGTGCGGCAGATGACTGTTGTTTGCGGAGGGAGCCTTTGGAGGGGAAGGCCGAAGGAGGAGGATTCTTGGTCAGAGTATTTCGACGTCGCTTGGAAGAGGTGAAGGTGGTCAAGTTGGAGTTGGACGTGTTGTGGACGTTGTCCATGGCTCAAGTCAACGTGAAGGTTGGCAGGTGCAGGTAGTTGCGAGTGCAGGTGCAGGTGCCACTGGACTGTGTGCTGTGGACTGGACTGCGGACTGCAGCACACTTGCAGACTGACGGAGGGAAATCAAGAAAAGCGGGCAGCAAATGCCAGGTGGGTGCTAGATGGGCGCCAGGTGGGCAGTCCGAGCCACTAAGCGTGCTAAGGGTTTAACTGAAGCCCGGGCGGGAGCGGCAGATGCCAGATGGGGAACTGAACTGCACTCAGCACCTGAGTTTTTGGCGGCCGGCTTCAGGCTTCAGGTCTCAGGCTGCTGTTCAGGCACCAGCTTCCGGGCGTGAATTTCCAGGCGTCGGGGTGCCTCTAGTTCTCTTAGTTGCTGTGAATCAGAGCGATGCACCACACAAACCACCAATGAGTGACGCGTGTTTGTGATATTTTCTCGCCCTTCTCTTTCTTTTTTTTCCAAATAAGGACAAGCGACAGACACGCAGCAGCCAGTCACAAGATCGTCACAGCAGTAACAGGGGCCAAGCCGTGACTGGACATGGTACGGAGGGGCGGAGCGCAGGAAGAAAGATCGGAAGAGAAGCACAAACATGCACATACCGGGGCTTGAAGCAGCTATGAATCTATGTATACAAGGCACAGACCCTAGGAAAAGCATCGACAGCGGGTAAGAAGCGCGCACCACCACGTCAAATCGTCAAAGTTCAAGTCCCGCCCAACAGGAACGAGCCGAAGAGGATGTATATTTAGTTACTCTTGATGCTGTTTGGTTGCTTCGTCGCCCAACGGTTTTGCCCACGGGCACCTCTCAAAACAGGTGCTCGCTGTTATTTCCTAACGGTATCGTATCATCCATTGTCCTGTCCTTTGTCCGGAACCTCGCAAAGGTGCTAACTTGCTAACGTGATATCAACTGCGGTCAGATTTCGGCTCAAACCAGTTTGGTCTTCGTCTTGTCCACATTCAAGCCACGCTGCTTCAGCCAGCAAACCTTCATCACTGTCACAAGCAAATGCATCACCAAATGCTCCCTGTGCGTTCATCCTTGGTCAATCTCCATCCCCCACTTTGGCCCTGCTAGCAATCGATAGACGTACCGCAGGCACTATCGATATACGACTCCGGTACTGCGTAGCAATTTCCCGGACCACCTTACGCGCAACGCCGCCAAATCCACACGGGACCTTCCACTGCTCAGAGTCTAGAGTCCAGAAGCCCAACCCTGCACTGCCACCTCCACGTGGCCCGCCCTTGCCCACCCTCGAGAAACACCGCAAGTCAACGGTGTCTGATCGACAGGATGACTGACCATTGACACCATAGTCCGATTGGGACGCACTCATTTCGTCCTCTGGGTCCTACGAAGTCGTGCCAGGATACAGCCTGGCGGCCAGGCTGGATTGATAACCCTTTTGTGGGCATATGCTTGCTTGATGCTTGCTTTCCTGAAACAAGACCAGCCCCGATTGTCGCAGAAATATCCAGGCTCTGCTTGCTGGGCCGAGCCACGCTGGCAGCCTATTAGGTTGACGATGCATGTCCGGAACGTTTTATCAGGTGCATCCGCTGCAGGTTCAACTCGACTGTGGGCTGCGCATTTTCCCGGAGTGTAGCCCCGTGGAAATGGCTGGTGATTGTTTGCCAGAATGGTGCGTGTATCAAATGCGAGATGAATTCACCTCCGTCACATGTGCCATTGGCTTGCAATCTACGGCCCGCTCCTGAACTAAGTCTTTGTTACGACTGACTGGTTGTTAGGAGTTCTCTCAGACAATTCTTACAGAGTTCAATGCAGGATATCATCAACCTTGCTCATCGACCTGTCAGCTGTCTCCATCACCCGGCCATTCCGTGCCACATCTGCAACATCCTTATCGGGAAGGATGCAATACTACTGTAGCTCTCGATGGAGTATTGAGGAACTAAAGTTTGCCCAAGCTGTACGAGGTAAAATGCTCCATAAGCCCCGTCTTTCGTTCTATCTGCAATACATGCTATTTTCTGGTCTGTTCAACATTTGCTTGCTTGCTCCTCTTCCTGAACTTTTACGACTGTGTCGTTCGACAATCCAGTATTATTTAGCTGTAATACTTCAGGCCCCTCCTGTTCCTCCATCGGTTGCGGACTTGATCAACCCGCGGCGGAACTCCGAGTCGAGTTGCAAGGAAAATGGATTGCCGACCGCAGCTTCCGCAAAATTGATCAAGGATCAAGGGAACCATCAAAGATCCCATTCGGCTGGATCGCTGACCGTCCGCCCTGGAGGAGCGGGCGAAACGGAGGCGGAAAGATGCTGATGGTCCTGTCCTTGACTTGTCCATACAGGTCGGCGCACTGGCAGTCGGGGGGGTGCAAACAGTAACACCTGATTATGTACTTTGGTCAGAGCAGGTCGATACCTCTTGCGGAAGACGAGTGTGCGTGCAGGCGTCGGTGATGCTCGAGCCTGCATGGCAGTCGTCGACGTCGCATCCCTACGACAACCCTGCTCTCAAGGTAAGCGTGATATATTGAACAACATTGAGGTCAATGTCTTGCATCTGGACTTCGGCCGGGAACGAGCGTCGTTGAATTACTTAAGATCCCTGCCCACCTCATATATAGCATACCAAGTATTCTCCCGGTCTTCTTCTCCCAACCGTTTCCTTCCGCCATTAATATTCCAAACACCATGTACTATGCAGCATTGAGGTCTGCCCCTTTAACAAATAAATCCCTGAAGGTCAGCCGAGATAGTTTTTATGATATTCCGGAGGTCGATTGTGATCACAGATTGAAGAAGGTGAAATGGTGGTCCGCGGTCTAAAGGAGTAATTCCACCCAGGAATGAAGAGTAAAGATTTGGGAGTACATTGTGCTACAAAAGTCCTCGACCGCGGTCGAGACTGCGTTTGTTCAAACCCCCGAGATAGCCTGTTGTTCAGTCTTTCGAGCGGATAGCTGCTTCGCGACAGTGGCTTGCGACTTTGAAGAAAGCTCAAAGCCCACAGCTGTGACAACAGGCATGAAGCCCATAGCAGCCAGGGCTGTTGGGCTACCAGGCATCACCGTCCTTGCCTTCGCTGCCGATGATGCCAAAGCCGCCCTTTGCGCGAGCTCAGCACCGCTGCCACCGAGGTTTGTCTGCGCTCGTTGGGCCAGAATGCGCGCGGCTTGGGTAGGGAACCAGACGCGACTTCCCAGCACAATGGTCCAGGTCAACAATGCCAAACTCCCGGCTTGATGTGCGCTGGCGAGTCCCGTGGGTACCAAATACAACAGCGTGGAAATGCCTAGAATGACCTGCAAGCTCACAAACCCGACGACGCCATGAACTCCCTTCTGCGCTGCTCTCGGTAGGATTTTCTGCATGGCTACCGAGCGTGAGAATGCCCATAGCGCCATGACTGCGGTGAACGTCGTCGTCGCAAGAATCCGGTGGTCAAGCTGGACCAAGCTGGGGTTCTCGAGCAGGTTGCGCCACCACAGGTCGCTGTGGTCGGGGGCCCGGCAGTAGAACTTGTCCCACAGCTCACTCCTTGGAGGCGTCAGACCAAGTCCCATGTACGGAAATTCGTTGTAGATCAAGCCTGCATCAAGACCAGCGACCAGCCCGCCAGACATTGCTGTAAGGAAGACCAGCCCTGCTAGGAGGGAGACATAGCGCTTGAAGGGTTTTAACGCGGGATTACTCAAGGTTTTGAGCGTTGCATTTGCAGCGTCGGGCGAGACACGCAGGAGTTTGTTTGTTCGTAGGATGTCAAGGCCGTTCCAGAGCATGGCGAGATAGCAGACGAAAGCCGCGCCCAGATGTGCGGTCAACCTGTACTGCGAGACACGGGGATGAGAACCTGGCGCGAAGAGGTCGTCTTTCAGTCCCGACTTCACCATCCACCAGCCGATGAAGCCCTGGAATCCGATCAAGCCTGCAATGCCCAGCAGTCTCATCGCCATGGAACGGGAGACTTGCTTCCGCGCGACGAAATACGCGGCCGGCAACACGAAGGAGAGCCCGATGAATCGACCCCAGAGCCGATGGATCCATTCCATCCAGTAAATGGATTTGAACTCTTCCAGCGTCATGCGCGAATTCAGCATGTGAAACTCCGGGCTCGAGCGGTATTTAGCGAATTCAGACTCCCAATCCGCGTCGGACATCGGGGGGAGGGAGCCGGTGACGGGTTTCCATTCTGTGATGCTCAGACTGGTATTGTTGCTCGAGTCAGTAGATTCTCTATATATGGACAAGATTGCAATGGCTCAACGAGTGTAGTGACTGGCGGTACATACCCTGACTCTGTAAGTCTCGTCAATCCTCCAAACACCACGATCCCAAAGACACTGGCAGCGCTGCCGAGCAGCCAGTAGGCCACAGTATTGGAGGAAGTATCTGGGAAGGAACTCTTGCTCTTGCTCTGATTTCCTGTTTCGCCCGCATCCTTGCCCTGCCTCTTTGGGTCTGTACCTTCGTCGGCCGTGCCTGCAGCTTTCGCGTTTGCAGATTGCGAGAATTCTCGGACGAGGGCATCTGGGGAGGATCTGTTCTTGAGGTTGGATGAAGGGCAGTTGGGCTTCAGCCCAGCGCAGTCTCGTATTAACGGAGTACAGCGCGTGCTGAGGCTCCGAGCATTTCTGATCGTAGCCGGCGTGGGTTGCGCTCTGCTGGAGCCCGTTGATTGGAGTTGGATCGTGCTAAGCTGAGAAGATTGACTGCGTCGGCTGCATTCGAAGAACCGTCTCGACAGGCCTGGTGCGACTTCCCGAAGGGTTCTCGAAAAGGCAGACGCAGGCAGCATCGCGGTGCCTGTGGAGGGTATGGCTCTCTACCTGTCTCGTGGAATAGGGAAATCCGATTAATATGTAGTTACGAGGTACCAGATGGAGTACGGAGTACGGAGTACATCTGACCAATCGGAGATATCAGGAGAGAGAGCTGTCCATGACCACCACTCGACCAGGTGTATCAGACCACTTCCCCTTCTTCAATGCAAAGGCTTGAACATGATCGACAGAGGCCAAAAATCAAAGTCAAAAAATGAATATGCCATTTGTGTTACAAACAGAATCTAGCTATTAATCGTTACTATTTCATCACCGCGAACACACGCGTCGCTTCCGTCTTGCGGGTGGCCAACCCATTAATAATGGTCCAATATATCGTCAACTCCTTGACTTCCCTGTCTCTGTGGAAGCGGCCTGTCTCGCGGACCACTGGGAAGACCTGGCTGTGATCCAAAAGGTGTGTATGTCCTTATTGGTTCGTTGACAATACGAATGGTAGCACTGGGGGGCATGGAAGAAACTGGGGTCATGGATCGCTCGGCCGAGTAAGGAACATAACTAGTAGAGCTTGATGTCTGTAATCGAGGTAACGTTGGAGCGCCAGTTGGTGTCACAGCCCTCATTGGGCCTACACCGTTGGGCGTAAATGATCTTTCTGGAGGGCTTTGGATAGGAGTTTGCGATCGGAATTGAGGTCCCGGTAAGGGTGAGTTCCGACCTCTTTCTTCAGGAATCATAGGAAATGCTGGAGCAGCGGCAGCTCCAGGCGTACGACGACCTGAAGCATCTACTTGGGTATCGAAGTTGGGTCCTGACAATGATGGTGGCTTCGTCGATGACGTCGAGCTTCGATCATCTGGGTAGGGAAGAGCGCTGCTGTTTTCCAATGGATATCTGGGCCGTCCATTGCCAGACATGGTAGACATGCTAGTGCCTGGTCGTGGGAGTGGATCCATTTGATACGCACCAGGACCATTTCTATCGCTCTGCGCTGTACCGGGTCGCGGAAGGGCAGGACTGAAGGACCGTGGCGGAGGTTGCGACAAGTTTGATATGCTGCGGTTTGGCGCTTGCCTCCCGTACCAGGGACTATTCAACTCCGATGCTGGTGTCTGAACTCGATCAGCTCCAAACCCCATGTCCGCGGCGGATCCCACCAAAGGAGCATTTGAGCTGTAGCTTGACCACGACGCTGCGGACCCATGAGTCAGGGTACGTGTAGGCATAGGCGGACGAGGCGCGATATCAGGTAAAGTTGGAATTGCATCATCACTGCTCCTGCTTGTGGCTGGTCGCGAACTGTACTCCGGGAGGGTTGTCATTGTCGTCTGTCTTGACAGTGGAGAAAGGAAGTCGTCATCGGCATCTCCGATGTTCGGTAAAGTCGGTTGCTTCTTCATGTCTGCTGTCCCTTCACGAGCTGCCCGAGCCTCTGCCCGAGCTCTCAACGCGTTCTCCTTTTTCAGTGCTTTGTCAACCTTGATCTTGACCACTCTCTCCATCCGTCGATTAATCTTGTTTCGGCAATATCCAGTTAGACCTCCATCCTCGGTAGGAATATGGTGCCAGAGAAAGACGAGGTAGAGGATGACCGAAATGATCAGACTGATGACGGAGATGACCCAGATGACCAGAGTCCACAGCATGCCAAAAAGAATGACGGCTTGCAGATGATTGGAATCGGCCAGGATCCCAACATTGACGAAGAACTGGACGACCGGAGAGTGACCATCCGATGGAGCGTGTTCACCTTCTGGGACCAATTTCAACCTCAACACAGAGTACAGTGTAATGGCGTTGACCACCTGTCGCGGACCTTCCGCAAAGACGATACGAAGCCAGGCTTCGAAAGAGAAATATGCGAACAACGCAACATAGTCGGCTCCTTTTCGACTTTTTGTCAACTCGGCAAAGACCAAGAATCGCTTCCATCCTCTTGCCTTTCCCCACCGTATCGACTGTATTCGTACAGCCAAGGGGTCCAAGTAGGTTTTCGCAACTCCACCTTGTCGCATAACTCTTACCGCTCTCATCCATCGGTAGACCAGGAGAACGAAGGATAGAATGATACATCCGGCAAAGATCCAACGAGAAATGTTGAGTGGGATTTCGGGCTTTATTTGACCAGCCCATCTATCGAAGGCGAGGAGGTTGATGGCGGTAAATGTGTCTACTGCGTAGACGGATATGGACACAACAAGCATGAGCAAAAGATAGCCATAGGCAAAAGGGGTCCAGCATGAGGAAGATTTGAAGTCATCAAGGTTCTGTGAGATGTGTCAGTCCGTGTTTGACTTCTTCTTGCCCATGCCATGCATACAATGTAGTCCCATTTCTGTTCCTCTCTCAAGTTCCCGAACTTTTCTCGTTCGCCTCCGCAACACCCCATGGCGAAAGCGGTATGTGGTTTGTGTTAAAAGATCGTTTAAGTCGCTGCGACCTGGCAGCGGCTTATCAATAATTGGTGAGAGGGAGCAGCCGATCCCTATTTGAGGTGGTTGTCCTTGTTGTCTCAGGCGCGGCACAGCCGAAAGCCTGGTAACAAGAGTCCAGCTCGATTGCCTCGTAGATCGAAACCTTTGTCTTGTAATGCCTTTATCGCATCGCTGTCAGAATGCGGCTGTTACCGAAACAGTGACGGCGACCGCCTCGTCTCGATATCCAGGAACTTTTCTTACTCCGCCGTGGAGGAGGGAGCTGTATCGGTGTTGAGGATAGAGAAGAGGACGTCGGGAGCAATTGACCGCCTGCTGACCTGCTCGTCGGCCGTCAAGGTGGACAAAGCGTGCGGCAGGGGACGAGACAAGGGGAGGCTGGGTAAACAAAAAAAGAACGAGCCTGGGTCGAGAACAGACCAGGAGAACAATGAGACAAAACAGGCCGAGAAATAAGAACGTGTATTCTGAACGAGAGACTTGATACGACAATGCTAAGGAATGGATTGAATCAGGAAACCTGAAGTGAAGGGCGTGCCAGTGAATAGGACGAAGAAGCTTGAAGAGACGAGGAGAGGGTGCAGCAGAATAGATGGAAACAGGAGCTGCTGCAAGCCACTGTACCAGTGGTGCCAGTGGTGCCAGTGGGCGGTGCGTGCCTGGGGCCCTGATTACCCGCCCCCCAAACATCAAACTGCGCTAGGCGTGTTGGGGCAACTTTGGGGGCCTCAATCTGGGCTAGCGACGCTGATCCCCTGCCATTCCCGCGCCCCTGTCCAGCATCCTCAAACACGCTTCGCTGCCCTCGGGACTTTGCTGATTCGCCCTTGAAACCCCCTGGGCGATCGTGCTCATGCAGGAACCCGTTCACCTTTGGGCGTTGGGCTTGCGAGATCTCCAAAGTTTGCATCACACTCTAGCCCTAGTTGAGACAACAAATCTCGGCAAGTCGTTGGACAGCGTTCTTGGGGCGTACAGGTCACGACCGGGAGTTCGTGGAGACTAGGTATGAACAACAATTCTATTTGAACGAAGCTCTTGTCCTGCAGACAGATGTTTCTCTTCTACGCGCCTGTGAACAGACGCAGACACCACCCCCGGACGCCTTCGCTTCAGTGGACAGCCACCTCGACTGATACCTCATGTTTACCGAGCTGATTTGTGCTCCTGCTGGCCTTTACCACCCGCCCGGCCCTGAAAGCCCCAGGATATCTGGTTTGCAACGTGTATCTCGACACCTAGGTCCTCGGCGAAGGTCCAAACAAGGCCGGGATTCTTCTGGAAATATCGTCCGACGAAAGTGGTGTCCAGGCCTTGGTCGAGAAGCTCTTCAGCCAAAGTCCCCGTTGTGATGGATCCAACAGTTCCGACAAGCAAAGAATCTCCCACCGCTTTCTTCACCGCCAGTGCAAACGGAGCTTGATAGCCCGGTCCCCCTTTGATTTGTTGGGAAGGGTGGATGCCGCCTGAACTGGTATCGAGAAGATCCACACCCAACTCGGCCAGGATTGGGGCCAGCTTGATCGTATCCTCGATAGTCCAGCTCTCTGGGAATTCGTCTTGACCTTTCAGCCAGTCGTCGGCGCTGATTCGGAAGAAAAGAGGCATGTCCTTGGGGATGACAGCCCTCACGGCCTCGACGATTTCTCGAGCGAGTCGTGTGCGGTTGTCAAAGGAGCCGCCGTATTGATCGGTCCGCTTGTTGCTGACTGGGCTCAGAAACTCGTGAAGAAGATAGCCATGGGCGCCGTGGATCTCAATGACGTCGAACCCAACTTTGACTGCTCTCTTGACGGCGTCCACAAAAGCGTTCTTGAGTCTCTGAATGCCCTCAAGCGTGAGGGCATTCGGATCAGGGTAGGTATCCTGGAAGGCGATGGCACTTGGAGCAAGTGTCTCGGTAGGCCAGCCGCCGGCTTCCTTCAGAGCAGTATCGCCCCGACTCAGCCAAGGAGCAACCGTGCTCGCCTTGCGACCCGCGTGGCCCAGCTGAATACCGATCTTTTGGCTCTGGCTGTGGGCGAACTCAACGATCCTCTTCAATGGGCCCATTTGGCCGTCTTCCCAAAGTCCGGAATCTTCAGGAGTGATTCGACCTTCCGGGGTGATGGCCGTTGCTTCGACGATTGCAAGGCCAGGCCCTCGCTGAATGATGCCGCCAAGGTGAGTCAAATGCCAGTCAGTCAGGTAGCCATTCTGGGCCGAGTACTGGCACAGAGGCGACAGGAAAATGCGATTCTGAAAAGTAACTCCGCGAATGGTCAGAGGTTGGAAGAGCTTGGGAATTGGACTGCCATCGGATTGAGGATTTCTGGCTGAGCCCGAGGGGGGTGATTGAGCGGGTGTGAAGTATGAGATCCCGGGAGTTCCCTTGTTGACGATGAGGGGCTTTGCATCATGGGCGTCCATTGCAGATGTATGAGAAAAACGACAAATTCTATGATAGAGTGGGAAGAGTCTTGGGGGGGGAAGGAATGGTGTTTGAGAAGCGCGGACTGTGGTTGTGAATCCGACAGAAGATTTGATGAGATAAAGAAGAGAAAGTGGACGGCCCATGTGTCCCATTTGGAGCTTTTATATATGCAGGCTACTGGGAGGCTTTCGAGCACGATTCACACCTCGTCACTCTTCTTGAGGGGCCGGAGAGCTGTTCCACAGACGCAGTGGGCTTTGAAATCAAGTGTCGAATCTACCAATTAGCATGGCTCACCACATCAAGTAACGTTGCCGGGGGCGTGACAATGACATGGACGGATGGCGCAAGTGAAAAAGAACACCGTACTCTGGGAAGAAAGGGCCAGAAGCCGGGAGGGAATCGAGTTCCGAGTCGATAGGGGCACACACCAGCAGTGACGTCGCCTACTGTGCACAGTACTTATTAGGGGAGAGCACGCCACTCAGCCTATTATTATTATTATTATTTTATTTTCCGTGGTATGTGGGTGTATGGTCCGTCCCTGCGTGGTCCGGTGGGTTGGGGATGCTGAGTAATAATACCGAGCAATGTACGAACTGGCGTCGAGTGAGTGGCATTTTGTCTGACAATAGTCAAAATGCTGATCCTCATTGCAATCAGGCAATTAGACTGTGGCATGTGGAACTATCTTTCTGTCAGACACCAACAGCTTCTCGAACAACGACATCGTACTTTCACCACCAACACCCTGCCCTCGTGTTTCATGTCAAGCTGCTGGCAAACCAGAACATGATGGAGACGCATCTCATTAACCACCAACAGTAGCCTGGCGAGACCACTCCAGCATCCACCTCACTCGCTGCTCCTGGCCATGCTCGTTGTTCAGAATGGGCTCCTTGGATTGACAAGCTCGTCCCTGAACCATGGTGTCCTTGAACACCGTGGCGAGCGCTCGCACGTCGATGACCCCGGCCCTGTTCTCCGTCCTCTTCCAAAGATGCCATACATGTCTAGGCGTGGCAGACAGTGGACGTCCCGAGTTTGACCTGGACGAGCGAAATTACCAGGTGTTTCATGGGCTCGCGATATCCATCCCGCAATTGCAGACGTCTACCAAGTGCGCCGTGTGCTGCCTTCTCCTCCGAGCCGTGCAGGAAGCTCTCTCCCAAGCCCCCCATTTCCTGCTGCCAGATACATATGTGATCGTTCGTGAACGTCTTGCCCTTGGACACATCTCCCTGGGTGCCATAGACAGGGAGCGACTTTCCGACCACGATCGAACCGTGGCGCCTCCACCATGTCTTCAGTGCTATTACTTGGACACTGCCTGTGGTGATTGCTTGGATCGTGACATGCAGATCCCCTGGCTGCACATGGGAGACTTTGAAATCAGTGTTCAGAGTGAGGTTCTAGAAGGGGGTAACATGCACAAGCAGATGCTGACGGCTCTCTCTAGACAACTCCCCATCGTGGCTCAGGACGCTTTTACCGAAGAGGCGATCAGTCCACCCGACGGCCTCAGACCCCCAGTGTTTTACCTTGATCGAGTCTTGGATACAAGAGTGCCGAGTCCATCATCAGGGGTGCTCGGCTCCTACACGGGCCACGATATCGCCAGACCACCTTATCGACATTGGACAAACAGCCGGATCCCGTGTTCAGATCATACCTTCCGCTAGCCTTCAAGTGCCATATGTCGCGCTGAGCTACTGTTGGGGGGCAACTAATAGCATGATGACCACGAGCACGAACATGATAAATGGGCTGCGCCAGATCGCTTGGGAGGCCCTGCCGGCAACCTTTCAGGACGCAGCCACAGTTGCACGGAGCCTGAATTACCGATACCTCTGGATCGACTCACTTTGCATCATCCAAGATACAGATGACTTGTTTGTCCAGCTGCGGAAAATGCCCGACATCTATCAGAATGCTGTGTTGGTCATTTCCGCCGACTCGTCGATCAACACTGTCTCCGGATTTCTCACCAAGCCACGACATCCCACCAAGAAGATCCCCGCTCGCTCGACACGCGGATCCTTCGCTCGTTTTCGTAAGGCAGCTGATGGCCCAGAGCTTCTCTTCAACGACCTATCACGTATCGGTGTCTCCCATCGATTCTTCATGCCGAGGGGCGACAACGGCATGGTTCGCGTCCCCAATTCGCAGGAAATGGCCGCCAGAAACGTTGTCTTCGAGCGGGCGTGGTGCTTTCAGGAGCGACTGCTGGCCAGCCGCGTCCTGCATTTCACCGCGGACGAGTTGGTATGGGAGTGCAGGACTGGATCAGATTGCGAGTGCGGGTGGATGAGAAATGCCACCAACGCCCTCGTGGGCGAGAAATGTCGTACTCTCAAGGAGGATTTCCACCGACCGAGGAGGGAGAACACGGGTATATACAACTTGACGGGGAATTCTGCTTGGGACAGATGGAAGCAGATTATTGCAACTTACTCCGCCTGTAAGTTGACCAAAGATGCCGACAGGCTACTCGCAATCTCCGCTGTGGCAAGACAACTACAGTCCGAGGAATTGGGAGACTATTACGCCGGGCTCTGGGCAAATGCGTTCCCCGGCTGCTTGTTATGGTGTTCCGCAGATGAGCCCAGTGAATATGATACGCAAACTTCAGCCGTCATCGCCGATTATGCATCCAGATCACCGCCGCAAATTCGCTCAGCCGCTACAGAGTCGGCGCTGAGGCAGTCCGCAACTCCCACGCATTCGCGGCCAGTCGAGTACGTGGCACCCAGCTGGTCCTGGGCTTCCGTGAAGGGACGTGTACAGTTTCGTCTCGAGAGCCGACTTTCGTTCTCGAAGATTTTGGACGTGCACGTTCAGCCCCGCAGCGGCCATGATGTCTATGGTCAACTCGAGTCGGCCTCTCTTCTCCTCCAAGCACCGGCCGTCGCGGCCACACTTGAGCTCTACCATCCGAAGGTGCAATTGGCCCGAGAGCTCTCGGCCCTCGAAGCGTGGGTGGTGATCAACGCCGACTGTCAGGGTACTGTCTTCTTGGACGCTTGCAAAGCACCCGAGGGCCATACGTCCGAAGAACGAGACGTCGTCTGCGTCTTCTTGGACTCCCCCCGAGCGCATCACGGCCGGCCAAGCTACCAGGCCTTGGTGCTGGAGCGATGTGACAGCCCGACTGGCGCGTATCGTCGATTTGGGATGGCCGAGTTTCCCTTGACCGAGGCGCAGAAGGCCGAGTTGAACGCGACCGAACCGAAGAATGAGAGACACCACCTTGTGGCAAGAGTACCTACCTTCCTCACCAACCATGGAGCAAGGATGCAGGAGATCCGGATAATTTGACCTCAGCTGGAAGCATTTCCTTGCCGAGGAAAGGCAGAGAGATAATACTCTTAGGTTACACTTCTCCTAGCGGCTGTTAATTAATTGTAGCAGCCGAATCATTCAATTTTCCGTCTTCCGCCGGATCTTACATCTCCGCATCTCCCACTGTCCATGCATTTGTCAACTGCAACTACAACTACACGAGCCACCATCCACCAACTCTCGCTCGTACGAGGGGAGGGAAGTATGCATATATGTCGACGGTAAGTGTTACGCGATCGCTTCCTGTACGAGTGTTCCTACATAAGCAAGCGACTTATACTTGATTGTGGTACTACAACATTGCTTCTGTATCAGCCTTGGTCGAGTTCGATATAATGAGCTCAATGCGGCTTGACGCCCAACGACTTTCTTTCGTCAGTGTCAAGTAGAGAGCGAATGATGGGCCTTTGATGATTGTCCCGAAAAAGGTATTGTGTCTGTATTGAATAATCAAGAAGGCCGTGCTCAACGGCCCCCCTTCACAGCTTGCTAGACGCTCCTTTGCTTGTCTCGTTGAAATCCATAACTCGTAATCTCGAACGCTACATGAATGCTTAAAATGCAAACGCCCTCCCAGGTGGCTTAGATGTTGCCAATGACGACCATATACCTCAACTTCCCGTCCTTGCTAGACTTCGTCGTTACACATCCACCGATCCCATCATCGAGCTGCATTTGGCTGCTCTTCCATCCCCAACTCTTGCTGACATCAAACTTGTCTGGTGCGCTCTCATAAATGCTCAAAAGTCGCCCGCCCTTGCTGGGTGAGTAGATCTTAAAATATGTTCGGATCGTCGGACGCGAATCCATGTAAGGTGGCATTGCCGAAACATTGTATTTCCTGTTGGTTCGCAACAGCTCTGCATCCTCTTCATCCGAGTCGAGCATCAGGCCGTCTGGAGGAGAGGAGTCGGTGGATTGGATGCCTGTAGCTTGGGGGGTTTGTGAAGTCTTTTGTACCGACTTGGCCGTCCGCCGGCGCAAAGTCACTCTTTCGCCTTCCGTCATCTGCGGATTTGAACTGTCATATTCTTGTGTCGACTCGGCTGATGCATCCTCCTGCTCAACTGCCGACCCACGAACGGGCTCATTGACGTGCCAACTCCGATTCCGCCGTTCGTTCTTCCGAAGCAGCATCTCCCGCTCCAGCTGCCCAATGCGATCGTCCACAGTGGAAGACATCCACAAGGCAAGAGGGTCTTCACACGGGTCTTTATCCTTGGCCCTGTGCAAGTATATGCCCAATTGCTGGACTTTGGAGTTATTGACGCGCTGGATATAAAGATTCCACAGACTCCCCGCATACCAAACCGTGTGGGAATAGACCCGTTTCTTTTCCTTGAGTGTCCGCGGGCTTGGGAACTCCGCTGAAAACCGAAATGGAGGGTAATAGCTGAAACGGGGCGCGGACGTCGGCGAGTATCCTCTGGAGGGAGGCCTGCCGCTGTCCATAACGTTGCCACTTGTGAAGTCGAGAGCCCAGGCGACATCAGTGGGCTCGAGGCTCGCTGATAACCTGGCGGCATGCGTGCTCCACTCTGCAACGCTCGTAGAGTTGGCGGCTACACAAGCTTCTCGAGTGCCCCCCATCACACACGAGACATCGTTAGTCGGAATCCAGAATTTTCGAGGTTTACCGTTGCCATCCCAAGAGCCAGACTCCATTTCTGCAGGAACTTCGTTCGGGTCGGCTGGGCCATCATCTCGTGACTTTCCCTTCTTGTGGACCGATGCTTGCTCAGCATGATCCTCGAGGTCCTCAACGTCTTCGGCTACCTCACTCAGTCCGAGTGTCTCGTCAGTTTCCCGGGCATTGAGAACTTTCTGTCGCAGTTCCATCGACATCCATAAAGCATCTCCAATGACCTTTTCTGGGAGTACTGGAACTCCAAGAATGTCCTTCTGCGTCCGGATTTGCTGCAGTTGTTCGAAGCGAAGATGAACATAGTGAATTCCCTCGTCCAGCAGGACAAGCAGTGGAGCGATTTCCGGAGATGTGTACAGCGCCACCCAAGCCTCGTCCTTCTCGGAAACATACCTATTGTGTCCAGTTATCCTATAAGGGGCATCAAATCTCACGGCAAAGAATCGCAGACTTGTTGGTTTGGGGTACAGGTATCGACCACTTGGGGAGACTAGCCCTCCTTCGATGGCTTTGGCCTTTAGTCGGCGATTCAACAGCTTCAAAGCGAGGTACCACCTCTCCCACTCGCTTGGGACGAAGAAGGGATCCCCACCAACGATCTCGCGAATGATTTCAGCCGGAATCTCGTCCCAATACTCATACGGCATCTCCCAGCCCTCTTTGCACAGCATGGCTTTGGCAGAAGCGAGGATGCGATCTCCAGCTTTCCCGTAGTAATTGTTAGTTACTAGCTTAATCAAGCTGTGAAGGGTAGCTGGCTGCATCTGTCGAAGGATCGAGTCGACACAAGAATCCACAAGGTCAGGCATGTCCAGCCAACATGCTGTAGCGAACAGCCCAATGGCTTCTTCTTCTTCCTGCACAGGAAACTGTGTTCCGTATATTCTCTTCAGGGCAAGCTCGAAAGCGTTTTTCGTGATGTAGGGATCGAGGTCTTCGCACGGGATTGTCATCTCTCGCGCTGTGCTCTCTGCCCAAGACCCAGAGAATGCAGACGAGAAATAAGGTACGCGGTCGAGAAGCAGTTTATGAAGTCTGTAACTCTGGCCAAAAGCATTCACAGTGATGTCGGAATGGCGGCCTTCCTCGAATCCATGGCGAAAGAGATGGCCCGTGAGAGTTGCGGTACCACCTAGACTTCGGCTGGCAGCGGACACGGTTCGGATGTGGGAACTGACTCTGGATGTGGGATCAGGACTCGTTGTGTCGCTTGTGATGAACAGACGAGCAAGGGTCGTCGAGGTATTGACAGAGTCAGGGTCAAAGCTGTTGCTGGTTGCGCCTGCCGTGGGGTCATCGCCATCCTTTTCGGGGTTGATCAAATGATGTCGACTGCTCGAGGCTCCGGGCAAAGCAGTCGGCGTGGTGTCCCCAGCCTTGATATTAGGACGTCGACTTCCGCCAGCGCTTGTCAACGCCGCCAACGAAACGGTATTGTTCGAGGACGCTGCAGCGCTCAGAGAGGCCAGAGCCGTGTTCGCGGAGACGGAAGCCGTAGGCGGTCCGGAGACGAATATCGATCGAAGAGGAGGCTCGAAGGAGATGGGGGGAGGTTGCTCCCCATAGGCCAAGCCAGAGATTTGATTTGAAGACGCTGTCCTTCGCTGAGCGACTGGTCTAGAGCTGGGGACTGAGCTGGGGACTGAGCTGGGGGGCTGTTGAAGCGGCGATCTGATGATTCCTGGGGAGGCAGGCTCGAGATAGCGTGAGTGATGAGGAGAGGACGTTGCAGTGCCTTGTTCACTCCAGGCGGTCCTGTCGACATCTGGTATGGTATTAGACGCATCAAACCCTGAGATCAGACCATCGAGGTCGTCTCGAGGGGGACTCCAGCCGCTGAACTGTTCTTGATCCATCAGATCGGACTATTGCCTAGACCCTTGGAACACCGGAACGAGGAGGTTCTGGACATAGCCGTCGAGTGGACTGGTGACAGGAAGCCCAACGAGAGCGATCCTGGAGGCCACTGGATCTTCTGTCAGCCTGGATAGCACGGTCTCTCTCCTTCATAGATAGTGGTAATTGCAAGAGACTCGAAAAAGTTGGCACGGTGTACACGGGACAAGATGATCGTCAAGGCGTCACCTGGTCGTTGTCTGCCGTTGTGTAGCCACGTGTGTGGCTGTGGCGGTTGTCCCGGAATTAGTGCGGACTTAAGTGATTTGGCGACATCTTCCCTTCCGCAGCGCAGGAGGACAGACTGGTTGTCTCTCGACTTATATCGACTGCTAACAGACACGCAGGGATGACAGTTTAGACATTGGACTTCCAACGGGACCTGCGACCAGTCCAAGACGATCCTGTTCTTCTTGTTTTCGAGGGCACAGCAGCATGGCTGGCTTCGTGTCTGCCACGTCTCCCTCTCCTGTTCATCATGGAAGGGCCAACCGTCGCAGCCGTCGTGAATGGTGACCACTATCACTTCGCTGGTCGAGAACCACTTACGCCCCCTAATTCTCAGAATACCCCGTCACCGGTTCCTTCCCCTACGATTCGAAAGAATGTTCGAGATGGAATCCCGCCGAGACAGAACAACAGTTCCTCCGAGTCCGGTAACACACCACTTCGACAAGACGAGGGTCTAAGCAGCGGTCTTGAAACACAAAATGGAGTTGAGGACACCACCACTGGGCTTGTCGACGTGGACTATGTTCATGTGGTGGGAGGTACAACATCTACAAACACGTTGCTGAACGGCGTATCAGAAGACCCAGCTTGTTCCCTCCCTCCAGCTGTGGAGTTGGGTCAATTGGCTCTGGAGCATATCGCAGAACATCCAAATGGATTGGGAGTCGAACAAAATGGAGGAATCGTGTACAAGTCATCGCCAGATAAATCTCACAGCCCGACGACTGCCGTGGACTCTCTTCCTGTCCGTCTTGATGATTCACAACCACCGCCACCGGTCTCCAACGATGAGCTAAGCCCTCACACCGCCCTACCCGTCGCCGACCAACTCCCTGAGTCCCCCAATGAAGATGTCTTGATTTCTACTCCAAAGGCAGAACCAAGCACGCTGAGGCAATCTGACACTGCGGGGACAAGACGAAGTCGTAACCTCACAATCGAGACCAGTAACCAACTGTTGCAATCTACAGGCAGTCCTTCACCCAGACCCTACCCCCCACAAAGAGCCCTATCCACTCCCGGCTCCATCAAGAGCCCTCTGTCTCCTCAGAGGCACGATAGAATCGGCCCACGACCAACTCTGAAGATACCTGAGACAGGCGTAAAGGTTGATGGAACTGGAGGAAGAAGACATTCGTCTTCAGGCAGACCTCTCCCGTCCCCTATGCCGGCGTCAATTCCGTTGCCGCCCTTGTCAATCCCGACTTATCTCCAACTTGAACTGTCCTCACAACGACCCTCCCAACTGTACATCCACCGGTCCGCTAACAGCGACTTTCCATATGAGTCTTCGCGGGTCAAGATCGAGAGACTGACGAACTTCTTGCTGCTGCCCATGTACCTCGAGAGTGTCCTTTGGTTCGGGACTCTTGCATGTCTCGATTCATGGCTTTATACTTTCACGATTCTACCGCTCAGACTCCTCAAATCGTTTTACATTCTGGCCAAATCGTGGTGCATTAACCTCATGAGTGAAGTGCATTTTGTCTTCAATTTTGTGTACAACGGAACTGGACGAATGTGGAAAAGACGCAGGAGCAGTCTCGTATCCGCTCCTACGCGGAAACCCTCGGCTTCTGACGTCGGCGAAGGCAAACCTGCCCAGCCTGTTGCAGCACAAAATCGCAGGCAGGTGAAACAGCATCAGAGAACAAAGTCGGTGCCGTCGGCGTTGCTTCCCGATGATAAAGCGGACATGCTCAAAGGGCTCCTGATCATTTGCACATGTATCATCCTTCTTAGGCTTGATGCTAGCCGGATGTACCATTGGATTCGCGGTCAAGCCGCCATCAAGCTATATGTCATTTACAATCTTCTGGAGGTCTGTGACAGGCTCTTCTCCGCAATAGGACAGGACGTCCTCGAATGCCTATTTTCCAAGGAAGCGCTCGAACGCAAGCCAGATGGCCACAGCAAGATTCTACGGCCGTTCTGGTTGTTCGTCCTGGCACTCATCTATACCGTCATCCATTCTACGGCCCTGTTCTACCAAGTCATCACGCTCAACGTGGCTGTCAACTCATATTCGAACGCCCTCATCACACTGCTGTTGTCAAACCAGTTTGTGGAGATCAAATCCACCGTCTTCAAAAAGTTTGAGAAGGAGAACCTTTTTCAGTTGACTTGTGCCGACGTGGTCGAACGCTTCCAACTTTGGCACATGCTGGTCATTATTGCATCCCGCAACATCGTGGAAACCGGAGGATTAAGTGCAGGATTAAGCGTTTTTACCAGAGCATCGACTGCAACAGCGGCGTCTCCATTGACTACGAATAGCAGCATTCTATTTACCAGCGCTCTTCCTCCGAGATCGGTGAGCTCGATCCTTCCGAAATCATTTACTCTGTTACCGGCAGCGGTCAACACGATAACATCGTACGCGCCAGCTGTCAGTCAGGTGCTCGGCCCGTTTCTGGCAGTGCTCGGTTCTGAAATGTTGGTCGATTGGCTCAAACACGCCTACATCAACAAGTTTAACAACACCCGTCCTGCAATATACGACCGATTTCTGGACGTTTTGGCAAAGGACTATTACACAAACGCTTTCGGCGACCAAAACCTCACCAAGCGGTTGGGTTTGCCGGTCATCCCGTTGAGCTGCCTCTTGATCCGAGCCACCGTTCAAACATATCAGATGTTCATGGCAGCCTGGGTCCCGTCAAGTTCGCCGAGTTCATCGACCAGCCTGGCCAGCATCCACGAGCATTACTCTGCGGCCCGCTCAAACATGCCGATGACCACCAGCACGGCGATCTCCAAAACGGTCGACGACATCATCCGAGCCATTCCTGCGGCCATCACCAGCTCCAGCGTCGTGACCCACATGACGACCATCCTTCTATTCCTTCTGTTCTTCTTAATCCTGCTGGCGTGCAAGCTCGTGTTGGGGATGCTTCTCCTCGCCTTTGCGAGATCCCGCTACCGGTCGATGAAGCTGCGCGAGAGAAACCCCATTTACCACGTTGACGGCGGTCGGCGCGTCGGAGGCTGGGGTGTCGTCGAGGTCGACGACGACAAACGCCGGTGGATCTACGAGGACGACCCCGCCGGCCTTAAAGCCCTGCGCGAGAGGGAGGAAAGGGACAAGAAGAACAAGGAAAAGGGCACCGGGGTCGAGAGTTTTGACAAAGTCAGACGATACGAGATGGTGGCCAAGAGGATATGGTAGACCTCAACCAAACTACTACCTAAGCAGTTAATTTATGTAGCTAGCGGAGCACCAAGTAGTCTGGCGGGAATTGAATTGTGTTATTTCTCTCATTGGTACCAAACATGAATGGGATGGTATCTATCTCTCTTTCTCTTCCTTTCGTCAAAGGAGACGCATATCCATCTCATCTTACTCGTTCTGCACACGTTCCTCTATCTATCCATCCTTTCTTGGATTTGTCCTCTCTCTCATGTGTCATTCATCTCTTAGTTTCGTAGACCATCAGCATAATAAGCGCGCGCACATACCCGTGACAGCTCCGCCCACACGTTCCAGGAAAGGAAAAGGAAAAATACCCTCAGTGGGAGGGGAAGGTTTGGGAGAGGGATGATGAAGAAAAAGCTCGTCACACACAACAAGCCGCAGTTTTGGTTTGGCAATGTTTAGCGACTGCGACAGCGACAGCAACAACGGGGCTCTAAGGGGCAGGCCTGGTGGCAACGACTTCCCCCGCGACGGCATTCTCCTTGCCGCCCTGCGGGGTCTTCTCCTCCTTCATGAAGGGGAAGGCCAGGACCTCGCGGATGGTGTAGTTGTCGGTGAGGAACATGACCATGCGGTCGATGCCCATGCCCCAGCCGCCGGTCGGGGGGAGGCCGAACTCGAGCGAGGTGCAGAAGTTCTCGTCGATCATCTGGGCCTCGTCGTCGCCCTGGGCCTTCTGGCGGGCCTGCTCCTCGAAGCGCAGGCGCTGGTCGAACGGGTCGTTCAGCTCGGTGTACGCGTTGACGATCTCCTTCTTGCACACGAACGCCTCGAAACGCTCGCAGATGCCCGGAGACGACCGGTGGTACTTGGCCAGCGGCGACATGATCTGCGGGTGGCCCGTGATGAAGGTCGGGTTGATGCACGTCTCCTCGATGAACTCGCCCACCAGCTTGTCGAGCATGCGCGCGTTGGTCTCGGGCGGCGGGCACGTCACGTTGCACTTCTTGAGCACACGCTTGAGGAATTCGTTGGTCTCGGTCGTGTGGAGCTGGTCGCCCGGCGGGAACTTCTCGCCCGTGGCCTCCTCGAGCGCCGGGATCATGTCGATGCGCTTCCACGGCCGCGACCAGTTGACCTCGTAGACCTCGCCGGTCTGTGTGTGGAAGGTCGTCTGGTAGCCGCCGGTGATTTCCTTGACCAGGCCCGAGACGAGTTCTTCGGTGCGGTCCATCACGTCGTACACGTCGGCGTACGCCTCGTAGAACTCGCAGGTGGTGAATTCGGGGTTATGCGTCAAGTCGGCGCCTTCGTTGCGGAATTGCTTGCCCAGCTCGTACACCCGCTCGATGCCTCCCACGACCAGCATCTTGAGGAAGAGTTCCGGCGCGATACGCATGAACATGTCCGTCTGGTACTCGTTGATGTGGGTCTTGAATGGCTTGGCCGTGGCGCCCCCGGCGATGGAGTTCATCATGGGTGTTTCCACCTCGACGAAGCCGTTGGAGTCGAAGTAGTGGCGGATGTAGGAGACGATCCTGGCGCGGGTGAGGAGGATGTTGCGCGACTTCTCGTTCATGATGAGGTCGAGGTAGCGTTGGCGGAAGCGGGTTTCCACATCCTGCAGACCGAAGTGTTCGGAGGGGATCTGGTGCAGGCACGGGGTGAGGAGGATGACCTGACGCGCAAACACGGACAGTTCACCCTCGTTGGGACGGTTCTTGGGTGAGGTTCGACCGGGGTATCCGATGACACCGATGATGTCTCCTCGCCGCAGGTGTTCGTGCTGGGCCTCGAAGGAGACGTCGCCGGCCGCTTCCTGCGCCTGGCACATGATTTGGACCTTGGTGCCGCCGCTCCTGATGTCGTAGAAGACCAGCTTCGCGCCCGCGGACCGCTTGACATAGACTCTGCCCGCGACCCGTATTTCCACCTCCTTCTTCTGCTCGCCGGGCTTGAGGTCGGCATATTCCTGGACGAACTTGCTCAGATCCGTGTTGACCGAGAACTTGTGCGGGTATGGGTTGGGGTCCTTGGTCTCTCGCAGCCGGTTGATGCGCCCACTTCGGATCTCGAAGTACTGGTTCGGGTTGAGATTGCTCTCGTCGAGTTCGGCCTTCATGGCCTTCTTCTCCACCTGGAGGGGAGCAGCAGCGGCGGCGGCGGCCTTTTCCTTCTTCTTCTCTTCCAGCTGTCTTTGCTTCTGTCTCTTCTTTAACTCGGACTTGGACACTCTTTCACCCGTGACCTCGTCGAGGTGGAGGTTGGCGGTGTCCTGCGTTACAGACTCGGTGGCGTCTGCCATGATGAAGGGTCAACGACAGGTTCTGAGAGGGAGGAGAGAGGGAGGATATTATGTACGACTGTGTAACCGTCGAGATGATGGCTGTTGAAATGCTGGACCGGAGAGTCACAAAATAAAATGCCCATGAAAAATGACTCACTTAGTGTGGGGTCGTGTCCTTCCATGACTCGTGTTCCTGCGCAGGACGCAGGACGAGGGGCACGCATTCGTATCAACGCTGTACAAAGAGGTTTAGGTCTATCTATCCACGGCGCAGAGTGATTCTGACCATCACATTCTGACGACGGGGAGGCGTGGCATTCATCCTCGCCAGTTTTCTGCAAAAAGGGAACCATCCCGTCTCAAAGCATCTTCAGAGCCGTGGCCACGCACAGGCCCCAGAGTCCACCTTGCAGCAACCAAAACCCGCCGCCGATATACCTGCCCGACCCATTCTTCTTCTGGCTGCTGATATAGCCATAAGCGAAGGCGATACGACAGACGACCCAGGCCGCTCCTAAGGCGGCGGTGGCGGTGGGATACTCCAAACCGGCAAACAACATGTATGCCATGGTCTGCGGCATGTTCTCGAGGAGATTTCCGTGCGCTCGCTGGGCGCAGTTGAACTTGTACGCGGCCTGGCTCTCTTTGGCCTGCTCGTGTGAGGCGTAGAGGTTCGGGTAAGGGACGCCAGCAGGCTTGCGGAACCGGGTCACCACGTTGCCCTGCATCCAGGAGAGGAAGGGGATAGCCCCGAGAGCGATGAGGGCCACATAGCTTCGAGTTGCGGTCAGCTCTATCCGAAGCGTGAGAGACTCAGTTGTTTTGCGCTGGACTCACCCGTAGCGATCAGGAACGGTCAGCGTGTACACCATGTTGCTTCGCCCTTTGCTCAATGTGTAGCCGTCGACACTGTGTCAGAAAGGTGAACCGAGTTCAAAAGATGGACCAAGCTGTTATAAAAAGGAAACAAGCTGTCACGTCAACAAGGCAACAGACAATTGACGAGAGTTCATCTCGGATGGTTGCGTCCTTCCGAGGGGATAAACCGGGCCAACGTTGGTCCGAGAGGCTTCTGATGCCAGCGTGTTCGATCCGTTTCTGCGAATTCATCGTGCATAGTGTGGCTTCATGTGTCCAAATCCATGGTGTTCCCATAATGACCTGTGTCAATGGTGGTCACAGCAAGGCTTCCCCGGTGCTGACGACGACGTTCAGGCCCCAGAGCTTGTGTTGCCGTCCACACCACATTCCTGCGCGCGACAATTGCCGTGTGCCGAGAACTTACTCACTGGTGTTGCATAGGCGGGCCAGGAGATGAGGGAGCATTGAATAAAAACCACAGAGAGAGGGCGGGAGAGTTGTGTGTGGGCGGGGGGGAGGCAGATGTCGAGTATCTTTATATCATCTTGCATGCCCTGATTTGTAGTAGTGGGTGCTTACTATTTATTCACCTCAGTCTCGAGGCGGATTGCGTGATAGGGGGAGACGAGAACCAATCATGCAGGAGAGACAATCTAGTGCTCGAGCACTGGTACATTATTTCACGCGTGAAACCAATCATCAAAGTCCTTTGAGCCTGTGGGAGGAGGCCTAATAACACACAACCTGGGTCCTTTTCTCTATGGCCTGCTTCTCCCACAAAAACAATCGCTTCTGTACCGGCCTCTATGTGTCCCGAATGTCACAATCGCACAACCAGGCTTACATGATGACCTCGTTGGCAACATCACGCTTCAACTCCTTGTACGGCAGGCAGATGCAGTTTTGAACCCGCACTTCATCTCCGACACCACACTCCTTGCCAAGAATGGTGATACTCTGCACTTTAACCCCGTTCTTGATGATGGTGGTGCTGTGATTGGTGACCGGAGTGGCCGTGCCCTCCACTCGAGCCCAGGCTCCGACACGACTGTTCCAGCCGATGATAGCATAGAGAACGCAGGCATCGTGCTTGATCTCTGCCTCGTCGAGGACGATGGCCTCCTTGACACGTGCGCCTGCACCGATGATGGCCTTGGGACCAATGGACACGTTCGGCCCCAACTTTGCGGTCGGGTCAACCTGGGCAGTTGGGTGGATGAAGACGGGGGGAACGATAGTCGCGGATGGCGTCGCAATCTCGTCTGACTGTGACTGGAAGGCTTTCTGCAGGTACAGGGCATTGGCGGGAACTGCAGACCCAGCGGTCTTGATCTGACGCCAGAAATCTTTAGTTTCATGGACGAAGAAGCGGTTGCTGTCGGCCAGATCAGGTAGAATGTCCTGCTCGAGACGCATCACCTCATTCCTTTCTCCGTCCTCATCGGGCTCGGCCATGAAGGACGAGTCGAGGTTCTCTGACGAAGGGTACGAGATCATCCGGGGGCGCTCGGTCTTGCGTTTGATGGCACTCTTGATGGAGGGGAAAATGGCGTCGGTGGCGAAGAGGTACACACCACAGTTGATCAGATTGGAGATGTGGCTCTCGGGCTTTTCGACGTAGTGGAGAACCCGTTTCGTGTGGGCGTCGGACACAATACAACCAAAGTTGGTGGCGGCATCGTTGCTGATACGAGTGCCAAGGATGACCGCCTCAGCATCTTTCTCCTCGAAGAGCTTCAACATGGCCTCAAGGGGGAAAGAGCAGCAGACATCCGAGTTCAGCACGAAGAACCTGTCGGGCTTGCCCTTCAAGATAGCATCACGGAAATGGTACAGACCGCCGGCAGTGCCCAGCGCCTGATACTCGCGCAAGTACTGGATCTTGAACTGGGGGAATTCTCTGGACGAGTCTTTGATGAAGTCACGGAAGACATTCTCTTCGTAGTAGCCAATGAGAATGACCTCTTTGATGTCTGGGACCTTGGAGACGGCCTTCAAGCAGTGCCAGATGATGGGATGGCCTGCAACATCGAAGAGCGGCTAGAGGTGGTTCTCGTTAGTCACCGTTGAGTTTGAAGTCGATCCATGCATGACCTACCTTGGGAACGTCGAGACTCAGGGGCCGGAAACGAGTTCCTCGCGAGGGACCTCCAACCTGCGTACGTTCAGTCGAGTTCTTTGCCACTCTTGATCCGCCCGTCTTACCAGAATGACTGCCTTGGTAACAGCCTGAGCCCCTGTGGGCTTTTGGCGGGATGGAACTCTCAGCATCTCCTCGACTGGGTCAATGCGAACAATTTGGTGGTTTGTTTGGGTTTTCCACTTGGACAAGGGACCTTTACAGGAATGTATGTCGGAGTCAGGTGTGGGTTGAACTGCAGCTGAGGCCACGGGGTCACTTTTTTGGGCTTTTCACCGCCAGCGCGTCGCCGCCCATACGAGGCGACGGGGCCAAGGCACTAAACCGCTTCAAGCCAAGTCACTCACCCACTCCATTTCCACTTCGTCTCCTGAACGCGCCTCGACGCCTCAACACCTCGATGCCCAACAAGGGCGGTGAAGGGGTTGGACATCGTTCTGGCCCGTGTCAATCCTCCACCAGCCTCCGGAGCACGTGGATTCATGGGAGATTCTATTATTGTGACAAGCGATGGCCACGTCACGTCACATACAGCCCCTAATTCGACTCAACAACTAGCTCATACATTGTAGCGAGGAGTCCGTACAGGAGGTTGACTAACACCTACAGACCGAAGAGACCAGGTTTGTAATTACACAGACCCTCACACACGCTCTTTTTGGATGTCTTCCTCTGTCAACTCACGATGCACCCCAGTCTGAGCCACACTACCAGTCAGGGCTGCAGTACCCACCTCCTTCAAAAACCCCAGGCTCGACACCTCCTTCTTCCAATACACGATATACTTGCTCTGGATCTCTATCAGGCTCATTCGCGGATCCTTCCAGGTCCCGTCGTGAACACCGTCTTTCAAATCCCCGAACCACGCGCTGATTTCTGAGCTATACAACTCCTTGATCCTCGGATCGTCGTTGCTGGCCGTCGTGGCAGTCCCGGTGATGGAGATCCAGTCCTGGGTCTTGCTGTCTTGGATGATAATCTGAACTTCCTTGTTCTTTTCCAGATCTTGAAATTTCCTCGAGTTCTTGTTCGCCAGGTACAAGATGTCCGGTCCAGAGCGTTTGGCAACGGCCATGGAGCGGCCAACGGGGCCAACCCCCTGTCGGTATGTGTTCAACATGCTTATCTTTTTGCCGTCAATGAGCTCGTACAGTTCTTTCCACTGGTCGGCTTTGGGAGTTCCGCGGTCATATTGTTTCGCGACCGAGGGGTCGGTCCGGGAGTTGACTTCTTTGGGGTCCAACGCTTCTGGCATCTTGAGGGGTGCTGTTACGCTGATCTGTCGAGTTTGAAATCGATGTGCAGAAAGGTATCCCGAGGGAGAGCAAGGAAGCAGAATTCTTGGAGTTGGGGATATTGCGAGCAGACGCCTGACACTCAAAGCAGGAGGCATTGCAGATGTACAGCAGCGCAGGCTCACCAGGCGTATTTATCTCAGCACTTGTCATGAAATCATCATGACCTACCCCATGTACGTGGCGTGCATTCTCCTCCAAGCCAGCCAAAGCAGTAACATACCGACAACGAGCACATCTCGGCCACTTCTAACCAACGAAACGTGGAGATCCACGTTTCTTCCCGCCGTTCACGCTGCCAACATCCGCATGGGGACCGGCTTCTGATGGGTTTGACTGGATGGCCGATTCGATGGAGGAGAAAGTGGTGACGACAGGACAAGTTCTGAGGCTGAGATCATGAGTTCGCCAAGTCTCGGGTCGGCATCCGGACTGTTGACGATCCGGCAGGGAATCCATCCCTTTTGACCACTTCACTTCACTTCATCAGACCAAACAAAGAAATACCCAGCCAAAAAACAAATGGATGCCAGCCACATATACACATACCCGCCAACAAGTTCATTCAGTAGCAGGTAGGTGCTTGCAACATTCGAACGACCAAACCAGCAAAAAGCTCAACTTGTGAGAAAACACCGCGAAGGTTTTTTTTTTCTCTTCAACAATCAATTGGCTTCAACTTCGAGGGCAAGTTGGCTCCCACCTCTGCCTTATTTTCCTTTCTTCTCTGTCTGTTGTATTTTCCAAAGCTCCTGCACCTTTTGTGTTAGAACCATTTCTGGCTGCAAGTCAGGGAAATGAATTATTAGGACGGATACTGGAGGACTCAGAATCAGAAGAAGAAGAGATAAGACTGTGGACGAGACTTATTTTCTTGCACCTTTGATTTCATCATTTGAATGGCTGACAGAATTTTGGTGGATGATTTATGTATCCCTGCAATATTGTTCTGCCGGACCTTGCCGGGAGGGGAGGTGTTCTGGCACGGGTGAGTGAACGAGTGAGTGAATAAGTAGGAGGTGAACTTGGCGAGGGAAGGCCGCGTTACGGTTTGACTGAGGAAGTGCAGGCGTGGAGGGTGTCGGTGCTGGGATGAAGGCGTGCCTTTTACGGTTGAGATCCGAAAGGATCCCAGGCCAAGAATCGGGGAGGACATCTACAACTCACACTGACGTATTACACACATTGACGAGGGAGAGCATCTTCAGAGTGAGGAACAATCACTGGAGCTGCGATCCGGTGAGCCTGCACTGTGTCTTGATCGATGGGTCAGGGTTCAAGGTCTGGCTGGACCAGAAGCGGACACGAGGACTTTGAGAACATCAGCCTTGAGAGTCAATGCCACCTTCCCGAGGGCGATGATGGACCGGTGGTAGCAAGTCTTCGGGGCTCATCAAAAGCCAACCTGTGTATCCGGACATCCTCCCTTCGAGCACAATATTTACACTTGGTGAAAGATTCCTGCCTCACCTTCTCTTCAAATTCACTACTGGGGTCCTCCCCCCAAGAACAACACCTACACTTGGCGAAATTGTTCCTGCCTCACCCTCCCCTTTTGGCACTTCCACTGCCTTGGCAAGCACTCGAAATATTACTTATATCTCCTCTCACGTCCATTTCTCTTCAACAAATTTTCTCTTCCTTTTCTATCACCATCTCCTTCGCCTTCACTTGAGGTCGAGTGTGCTTGTACATTCATCCTCAATGGAGGCAAAGACAGGTCTTCCACCGACTCTGTCGATCAGGTTTCCCCCTTCTGTTACTGGTCTCAAAGTGTGCTGACGTGTTTATAGAGGTCCGGCCAGGACTGCTCTCAAAGCAACTGACATCAGTCCAGGAACGGATCTCGACAACACAACGCGCACAAGGAAAACACAAGGTAACTTCAACTTCACTACGAGAATCTTCACCTCCAGATGACTGACACGCCGTTCAGCAGGTGAAGGACAGGGATTTTGGTGTTGCACCAAGTGGTGGCATACAGCCGTTGGAGATTGGGTAAGTGAAGTTGAAGTGAATCAACCTTGGCATGAGACTGACTTGAGACTACAGTGTTTTGGCTGTGCAAATGGAAGGTCTGTTGGGACTTTCATTCGGTGTGGTGGTTGGACTTGCTTGCCAAGTCGTGTTTGGAGTTGGTGTCGACGATGTTGCCGCAGAAGCACATCGGTCGGAGGTGTGGAAGGTGCATCAGAGATGTTGTGTGGTACAGCACTCTGAAAGGTCAGGTCGGGAAAGTCACGGTGCCAGTCCAACCCCCAAGTCAAAAAAAGCTCAGCTCAACAGCATTAGCCAGGACACAGTCACAAGAGCCTGAGCGCAAGAAGAACAAAAAACAAAAAAAAAAAAAAAAAAAAAAAAAAAAGGAGGGCAGAAAAGAAAAAGGAAAAAGGAGAACAACAAAAAAAAAAGGAGGGGGAGAGGAAGACAGGAGGGTGGGGGAGCGGGGGGGGGCGGCGGTGGGGGGGGAGGGGGGGGAGGAAGGTCCAAAAAGAAGACCACACAAACTCGAACAAAAAAAAAAAAGGCCATGCTATCAAAAAAGGCCAACGTGCGTTCGTCATAAGCACGAATGATAGCTTGTTGTTGAGTTGAGCTTGGGTCAGGGCATCATGGCAAAAAAGGGTGACAAAGTTGGAAGGAAGGAGGGCTTGGTTGCCTGGACAGGCAACGCGGCAGGTGGCTTTGCAGGAGGGTTGCGATGATGGAGACGTCCTGATTCGCAGTGGTTGGAAGGCTTGGATGTTGGATGGATGGGGAGAGAGCATGGACGGCCAGGTGTGGAGGAAGGGCTAAAAAAAAAGAGGATCACTGAGCGGGTTCACATCTGGTATGGGAAAGCTCGAGTGGCAGGAGGAACAGGATAGAGAACCGAAGCCGACACAACATCATCATCAACATCAGAGCCTTGGAGCATTCATCACAGCTCGGCTCCTCTCCTCTCTTCGTGCGAAGAACAGCATTCTCGCGGAACGTCAACTGCCGCGAGAAGAGGAGAGAAAGGCTTCGGTTCAACCACATGAATCACTTACAAAAAACAGGGGCACTGAGCGGGTTGCACGGAATGGGAAAGCTCCTTGCCTGGAGGACCAGGGGTGCAGCGTCACAAAACCCCAAACAAAAACACGAGCATAGCGCGGGCTATCATACACGGAATGGGAAAGCGCATTGCCTGGAGGATAAAGGGGTGCAGCGTCACAAAGCCCCGAACAAAAACACGAGCATAGCGCGGGTTATTATACACGGAATGGGAAAGCGCATTGCCTGGAGGATAAAGGGAGGTGGCGTCACAGATCGCCCCGAACAAAAAAAGGAGCATGGCGCGGGCACACTTTGAAAGGGAAAGCGCACTGCCGGAGGACCTGGCCGTGGCTCTGGATGTGGGCATGGGTATGGCGCTTGGGATGAGAGATGGGGAGCAGCTCTCGGGTGAAGGAAAGGCCTGTGTCGATGGATGGGTTACATAGATTCTGAGCATGGCTCAGAGAGGGGTTCAGGCACAGGCACAGGCAGATACATAGCATGGCAGTGGCAGCTCAGGTGAAGTCTCTCGAGTATGGGTGGTGCGTGGGAGTATGGATCCTGAGCAGAGCAGCTCTTCAGAGAAGCAGGCAGGCAGGCAGGTCAGAGTGACTGAGTGTGAGGTCCTTGCGCGGAAGGACTAGATAGAGGGAAGGACTAGATAGAGGGAAGGACTAGATAGAGGGAAGGACTAGATAGAGAGCGGTGGGCAGGCATGGTGGGTGGGATGGCTGGGTAACCATGCTCGCTCGGAGGGAAGCAGATCTGGTGGCGATGGCAAGCAGCGAGAGGGAGATAGATGGAAGAAGCTTCAAAGGAGTGAGCAGGCAAGTAGATGGATAGATAGATAGGCAGAGACGTCTCTCGGCTCATCGTGGACGCGCGACAAGTCTGAGAAATGAAAACGTCTCCAAACAATCCTCTTCTTTTCTGGTCCTTTCTTTCCTTTCACATACAAGAGTCTCACATTGCATGTTTCATGCTGCCATACCGAGCGAGGCCGAGGCAAACTGCAGACAGACGGACAGACGGACATGGAAAGAGCACATACGTTGTTCAGTGATCTAAAACAAAGAGATAAAGGGAGGGAGGGAGAGAGGCAGGCAGCATCAGCAGTTCCTCAGAGTCATATTCCTACCCCTAGTATCAAGTTGTGTGTGTTCTGTATTGCCCATTCCTATCTGCCGCCGCTTTGAGAAGCGCCACACGCACACATTCTCTCTTTTACTCTCTTTTGTGCCCGGTGTACAGATTAAAAAACAACATCTATGAAAATACACACACAAGATCAGGATCGGAATCCGGATCAGAGGGTACATAGAACTACGGAGACTGGGGTGCCTGAGAAAACCCATGTGTGGGCGGGTGGAGGGACTTTCAACTCCTCCAACGCCTCGCTAGCTAAGAGATTCTGCATTCCGGGATGATTTCGAAGGGCAGATATGGGTGTGTGTCGAGGTAGCGACCAAGGAGACTGCGGAAAATCTGCTTGTCACTCACCGTCCCATTTAAACAGGCGGCAGAGGGAGAAATCCCTAACAGATGATGCAGCAAGGCTCTTGTCGATACCAGAAGACGACTTAGAGAATGGAGTTATACACTCGAAGGCCGAAGCCGAGAAAAGGACTTGGGCAGGGGTTGGGCGAAGTCGAGTGCTTCAATCAATGCCGGCGTAGAGGTCGACGACGATATTGATGGCGCTGCAAGGGAAAAATTAGCAATCGGTCTCCTGTCGAGGTATCATTGAGGAGAAACAACTTACGCCACCAAGATTTCCGCAGCAATGAGAATGATAACTGTAGCTCGTCAGCTGGGCACCATCCACTGTATCGGGCGAAACTCACCAATCCATTCCAGCACTTCACCATGTCGTCTGCTGCCTTGTTCTCTCAGGACAGCAAGCAGGTCTGTTCCTATGTCAGCGAGCAGTACTCACCACGCACGGTGAAAAGAAGAAGCCTACCAGCAATAACGTCCAGTCGCTCTGTCAACAATCCAACGCGTTGTTCAATCTCCAGATAACTCCTGACAGCGGCGTATACGGGTTCCAAGTGCGGTTCGGACCACATTAACTCGGGTGAATCCAAGACAGAGCCTTGCAGATGGATATTGATCCGCAGGATGAACAGTTCCCCAATTTGCATGTTCAGTTGGCGTCTGGTCAAGTTGACACTGCCAGTCTGGGCGATGAGGGCCGGTAGTGGTGCGGTTGTCTCGATGGTCTCACTGACAAGGTCCTCAAATAGACTCGTCTTGACGGATTGGGACAGGGCGTGCGAAATGGCCAGTTTGGTCATATGGTTCCGTGGTTCTCGCAGGGAAATGAAATCGTTGTATATCCGCGCCTGGTATTCCTTCGTGTAGTAGAAGTTGAAGTTCTCGGTCTGGACAGATTCGGTCGGTAAAGGCGCATCACTGAACTTGGACATGTCATTGAGAAATCGTTGCTCTTGCTGAACGGTCATACCCCAGATGACGACAGTGCCGTAGTCGAAGATGAAGATCTCGGGGGTATGGACGGTGGTAGAGAATTCCGAATCCGCCCGTGGGCGGATCACATCACTTTCGGCTTGGCCGAGGTCGATGGAAGAATGGCTGGCAACGGCACTCAGATCAGTCGTTGTGTTTTCCGTTGTCGCAGCAATGCCTGTCGATGTATCCAGTTCCTCTTGCAGATCAATGAGGTGATCTCGTCGGGTTTTGTTGTTGTCTTCCACCTCTACCGCACTGTCCGAAAAGCGCCTCTCCCGGGGGCTTATTCTCGGCGACGCCATGACTCTTGCGATCCTCTCCTCTACCGGACTTGAACTCCTGTCTCCTTTGTTCTTCTTGACGTAGTCGTAGTCGTAAGGGCTGTAAAGACACTCGTCGAATAGCTTGGGGTTGGCACCTCTCGTCCGCGACCTCGACTTCATGAACTTCATGATCCCATCGAGCCGATATCCCTGTGCCACACAGTATGCCGTCACTCGCGGCAATCGATCGCGATCCGCTTTCCCCAACCTCGCCGCATCCCTCCTGGCCGTAGGGTCCTTTATCCGGGTGAACTGGGCATACACATCTCTGCCACTCTCCTCATCTCGTTCTTCCTCACCTATATCCGGATTCGGGAGAATCTTGAGTTTCTCTGTGGTTTTGGTGGTCCTCTGAGCACCTGCTCTGGGAGCTGCAGTAAAGGGCTGCGTGGTTGGGAGAGGGGCGCCGTGGCTATTTCTTCTGCGCAGTTTCGAGTTGAATGCACTCAGCATGGGCGGTTGATCTCGAACTGCCTGGGTGGTGGAACCGGTCAAGGCCGCCGACGGACTCTGGACGGGTCTGAGAGCTGCGGAGGAGGTGCCGCCAGATTGCGTGCTTACAGATGTCAATGGATTAAACGTGACCGTCCGTTGATTGCGTAGAGCGGGACGTGATGGCGACTCGCTGGGAGACGCATGCTGTGGCAGCAAGGGTGACGACTCGCTCACTGTGGCCGCCATGATGGATGTCGGGCTGTGGACAGGGAAGCACGTCACAGAGAGAGAGGGAGGGAGGGAGGGACTGAAATCGATTATTACCAGAGGTGGTGGTCCTTTGAGAGACTGCGGAGTGGGAGACGAATGAACGAAGCTAGGTGAGCCCAGCAGTGGTGTGCAGGTGTACGCAGACGAACTCAACCAGCCCAATCTTTCTGGCACTGCGGTTTGCATCATCGGTTCCCTGCTGCAACTCCGACTGGCAGCTTTCTGTGCTGAGAGCTCCCCCATCGGCTCCACTTAGGCTTGCTTAATAAGTTGGTTTAGTGTCACTTGCTGCCGAGCAAAGCTACAAAATGGTACATACAGATTATATGTCGACGCACGTGCAAAAGGGGCGAGGGCACCACCACCCACCCATCACCTATAGGTAAGGTAACCTGTTGCTGCAGTGCAACGACAACAAAGCTGGTGGCAACAAGTCCATTGATCAAAGGCAGACGGCGATCTCACCACCAACCACTCATGCTAACGTCCTTGCAAGGGTAAACTACGCCCTGGCTAAATATACACACAACTGCTTCAGAAACCCGCATTTTACCCCCAGCCGTTTCCCTCCAAAATGATGTCGAATAGGTCAATCAAGGGCCGAATTAATAGTAATATGTCTCGTCGGGTGTGCGTCCACGAATGTAGGCTGGCTCACTCCCACGCACGTAGATATCCTCGAAGAGAATCTTTTCCGTCGGGTCGGGAGGCGCCATCTTCTCGGCCTCGGCGACCTCTCCGTCCACATCCTCTCGTGCCTTTTTATCAATTGACTTGAGCTCATCTTCTGTGCACACTCCCCAGTCCAGGATCTTCTGCTTGAGTCCTGCAATGGGATCATTGGTCGAGCGCATCCGTTGGATTTCTTCTCTGGTTCGGTAGGTGGTACCTGGGTCCGACATGGAATGACCACCGTATCGGTATGTGACATACTCAAACACCAAGGGTCCCTTGTCGCTGGCCGTGTATTCCTTGCCATACTGAACGGCGGCCTTGACGGCGAGCACGTCCATGGCATTGATCTTCAGACCTGGGATGTACTGTCCTCGCTTGTAGTACTCGGTCAAGGCAGATGAGCGAGCCGCCGAGGTACCCATACCATATTTGTTGTTCTCGCAGCCGAACAAGACGGGGAGGTTCCATAACTTGGCCATGTTAAAAGCCTCAAAGACCTGGCCCTGGTTCGAAGCGCCATCTCCGTACAAAGTGACGGTGGCCGTCTTGCTGCCAGTGTACTGGTGCGCGAAGGCAATACCAGCGCCGACAGGCACTTGGGCTCCGACAATGCCGTTACCACCGTAGAAATTGGGAGCGAACATATGCATCGAGCCGCCTTTTCCGTAGGCAATGCCCTCTCGTCGGCCAAGAAGTTCACCAATGATGGATTTGACGGTGCCACCACGCATGAGCGCAAAGCCGTGGCATCGGTAGGCAGTGATGATAGCGTCGTCCCTGGTGATGGCATGCTCAATGCCCACTGCCACGGCTTCCTGGCCGGTGGACAAGTGGCAGAATCCTCGGATCTTCTTCTCCTTGTACAATCGATCGGCGGCCATTTCCATGCGGCTGTTGCGACTGTCAGAAACGCATCCTCGCAGTCTGTCCCTGTGACATTGTACTCACCGGATCGCTACCATATCATAGTACATCTTTTTCAGCTCCTTTTTCGTGGTCTCCAGGGTGTATGGGGGAGGATCGAGGTTGTAGGTTTCGAAGCTCTCGTCGGAGAGCTTGACGGGGAAGGGCTTGTCATCTTCCTGCACGGACATCGTCAGTTTCTTCTTCGACCACCAAAAAACCTCTTGCAGGAAAGGGTGCGCCCTACCTCGGGGACATCGTCCTTTTCTGCGTGAGAACTCGCGGCGTCCGTGGTGACGGTCCGTCGAGCAAGCTGGTACGCTTGTCTCTTCGGCAGCGATTGCAGGCCGAAGCCTCTTAGACAGGCTCTTGACAGCATCTCTAGATGGGAATAAGGAAGGAGAAGAAATGCAACAGAATTCAATTTGGGGGTGCCGACGAAGAGAAGTGGATGGGAGTCTGTTTAGCTGGGTGTTCGTATGTTGGGAGGCCGAAAGGAGTGCTAGTGTGCTCCAGCGGAGCTCAAAAAAGCCAACAAACGGGGAATCCGTCGCCGACACCAAAAGTTCCGCTGCTGCTGCTTTAATAACTCAACGCCTCGAACCCCCTACGATATACACGGGAAGATTAGGAGTCGCCAACTCATGTTATCAATTGCTGCGTCCAAGGATAAAATGCCGGTCAGTGTTGCACCTATCCCGATGCCGAATTTGTAGGATGCTTCCTCAAAGAGACGAGGGTATCACAATAGTAAACCTTGGTGTCTCAACCCATTTCCGCTCCACTGCCAACACCCATCACCTCTCAAGTGTGTAAGGGTTCATGAAGACCGTTACATGGCTTGTCATTACGCTCATTCAGACAAAAGGATATGCCTCTCATCACCAAACGGGTCAATATGTGCCCCCAGGGCCGCCGACCAACCCAGGTTGAGCACCGTACCCTCCGCCAACTCCGCCCTGATGTCCCAACTGTCCAGGTTGCTGCATCGTCGAGCTAACATGAGTCCTTCCGTGTCCGGCGTAGTTTGGCAGGTCCGAAAACCACGGATGTCTCAGCGCGTCTTGTGCGCTGATTCTATTTTCCGGTCGGAGCTGCAGCAACTTGCCTAGCAGATCGAGTCCTAACTGATCAATCTGTGGCAAGAGAATAGCCAACGACTGCGTAGCGTAAGATGGGAAGTTGCTCTTGTACTCCGGGAGCTGAGAGATGCCCGGCCACGTCCGCTCCGACGGGGTGCCCATCAGTCTGAAGATCTTCTGTAGTTGGTCCTCGTTCGTTGTCCCCGGGAACAGAGGCCGACCAGTGTACATCTCCGCCATGATGCAGCCCGCCGACCAGATGTCGATGCTCGTGTTGTAGGTTCTCGACCCCAGAAGTACGTCTGGGGCTCTGTACCACAGCGTGACCACTTCGTTGGAAAAGGTGTTAACAGGAATCCCGAATGCTCTTGCCAGGCCGAAATCTGCCAGCTTCAGCTGTCCCTTGGTATTGATCAACAGATTTTGGGGCTTCAGGTCGCGGTGGAGGACTCGGTTCTCGTGGCAGAATGCCGTCCCCCGGAGGAGATCTTGCATAAATCTCTTAATGGTGACATGGTCGAGTTGGCCCCGATCCCCCCGTGCGTCCATGTATTTTTTCAAGTCCTTGTCCATGTATTCGAAGACCAGCATGAGCTTGTTCTCGGTGTGTATGACATCGTGCAGCGTGACAATGTTTTCATGTTTGAGTTCCTTCATCAAACTGATTTCTCGGATCGCAGTCGACGGCGTGCCTTCTTCGGAGTCGAGGTGGATTTCTTTCAGGGCGACGAGTTCACCGGTCTGTCGGTTTCGTCCCTTGTAGACAGTGGCGTACGTCCCTTCACCTAGCTGGGGTTTTGGGTTAGTTCAGGCAGACTCCTGGCTGGGAGGGTTGACGGTGGCCAACGTACCTTTTCCAGCTGTTGGAACGAACTGGGATGTCTCCGATCCATCTCTGGACGTGGTGGTCGCTCTTGTTGGGTTTCTCGTCTGAAAGGCGGGGTACCGCCAGGGAACAGGAGTGAGGCTGGCGAGATGACCCGCTCGGCGAGTTGTTGCGCAGTGAGCCTCTGGGGTTGCGGGCGAGATCTCTGCTGGGTGGGAGCCTGTGACGGGGTCTGGGAATGCTGTGTCGATGTTGTCGAAGAGACTGAAGCACGATGAGGAATAGATGTGGAACGAGAAGACATGACAAGGGACACGGGGAAAAAGAGAGGCAGCGCCTTTAGGATTTTACTAGGATTGGTTCTCGCCGGCGACGATCCTCAGTCTCGCCTCTACGCATCAGGCCAAACTCCAGTAAAACGCGAATCATTTGCCACGAGCGGCTAGAAGGAACATGCCAGGGATATCGGTGCCTGGCTCTGGGTTACACATCAGTGTCAACTGGTCTCCCTGGTAAACGAAATAAAACCCTCTGGCACCATGGTGTCCTCAAGACCCTGCAAGACCCGGGCGCCTGCCTCGCCCCGCCATTCGCCTGTTTGCTCGTCCAGTCTTGCCTTTGCATCCCTTTGCTTTTGTGCGGTGGCTAGCTAGAATGCGTATTAGGTACGCTGCAAGATTTACCTCGGCGCTTGCACATTGCTATGAATAGACTTGCAGACAGACGCCCTGCTTCAGCCTCACACACCCTTCGACGATGGACTGGCTGCAAACACTCTCCGCTACGCACAGTACGAGGGAAAAGAAACATGCTGGGGCTGGTGGATGGGGAATTACAACATAGTGATTATGTCTATATGAGGACTCTGTCCATGCAATGCCGACCTGCGGCCTTGCCTCAGACATCCATCATCAATTCTATCCCAGCTGGCTTGCGCCAATCCGGACTCTTTGATCGGCACTGTAGCCGTTGTCGTTTCTTGCACGCTGAACTTTTGGTACAACGATATTCCGGGGGTCCGCTTTTAACCAAGTGCTAAGTCGCTCCAAAATAACAGGATGTCGTAAAGTTGCCGGTGGTATGTGGGAGAGGGGTATCTTCAAAACAAATCATTCAAAATGCACCTTTCTTTTCCATATCGTGTCATGTCAAGTCGTCTCATGTACTTCGTCCGTAATGCCTCCAGGGCTACGAGGTTGTGGAATAAATCAATGTGATGTATAAGCGCGGTCAGAATCAAGCTGTGCGTGGATTGCCGGGGTTTGACTGAGGCTGCGTCCTTCGCCCTGCTGTCGCCAGCGTTGGGATAACTGGCTCACTCATTGTTCGTCGACGTGCCGATTCGACGATTGGTCGTTGAGCGTATGCGATGAGCATCTTGAAACTCGATCCTCGACCTTTACATTCTCCCAGGACATTTCTGTCGGCAAATATGCTTCTGGCAAGATTGCCATCGCTAATGACGCTGGCCTCAAAGCAATGTTGCCACCACGTTCGTGCCGTCCTCGACACAATCTTTCCGATGCGGAGATCCGCATTGTCTGACCGGTCGGACAGAAGGTCGTTGAGAGATAGGTTGGCCCCTCGACGACCTTGACCAAATGTCATTCGTGGAGACGCATCTCCTGGCCGTGTGTCACCGGATCCTCGCCTTGGGAAGCCGTCCGATCCTCGGCTCGAGCGTGACGATGAGGACGAATCAGAAGAACCTGATGGGCGTCCAGCAACGGGGACTCCGACCACGCAGCGGCTGATGTTGGTGAACCCTCGCGCGCCTAACACGCTCTGGACATTGTCGATAATTGGTCGGAGGCTGATCTGCTTGTCTGCGGTCGTCATCCTGTACTTGAGCTCTCGGACAGCCCTCCGAGTCTGCACGCCCATGTTGACAATGTCGAGGTCGAGCAACATCAGTTCCAGGTAGCCGCCTGGTTCTAACACTCGCCTGCATTCAGACACAATATTCTTCATCTTTGCTTCAGCCATTGCCGGAGGAAAGCGAAGGACAACCACAGAGAAGAAATCCTGTGGGAAGGGGAACTTGTCATAGAAACTCGATACTTCTGCTCGTCGGTGGTTGTCCGGGGCATGCTGAGACGGTTTCGATGTCTTCGTTCCTTTCGACGTGGCCTTCTCCTTAAGATCGTGCACATATGCTCTCTGTGCCTCGTAAGTCACTGCACAATAGATTGACCAATCTTCGTTCCCTAATCCATCTATGACAAGGATGTGGCGCTCTGGAAATTTAAGGATATCATCGTGAGCGGGCGAGAATAAAACTCGTCCAAATGATAGCCACTTTGACACCATGAGCGAGGCATAGTGCAGCTCTGACTGAGCGACCGGGTCTTTGCCCCGTTCAACGACATCGAGAAGAGCAACGTTTTCTTGGTGAGACGATTCCGGAGGCATTTCGGGCGCACTGGTTGTTGTGGTCAGGCGCTCCAGGGAGCGGTTGGCGCTGGAGGTGCTCAGGCGTTCAGACAGTTTAGTACTGTGTCGTGGATGGTTTTCGTACTCGCTCAGTATGTCCCGAATTGAGAAGGGCGAGGTAGGGTCGCTGGAGCCATGCAGTGCCGAGACGATTCTCGATCGCCGTAATCGAATGTCTTCCCCGACGATGCGCTCGGGCATCGTAGGCGGAGGAAACACTACTGGAGGGGTGGCTGAAGTAGCTTGGGCCTGTGCGAGAACTGGTCTTTTCATGCCAGGGATAGGAAATTCTGACAAGATGGGATCTGCTTGCTCTTCCTCCGCGTGTTGATCCGACCGTGCGAACTGTGGAGGGGGCTCCAAACGCAGCGTGCTTTGTTTACCTTGCCGTGCCAGCGCCTTCACACTTTTTCTGCTTCGCGAAGGTGACATGACATGGTCAATAAAGTCATCGTATTCATTCCAGACCTCATCAAGGCTTGGGCTGCCTGTTAGGTAGGTATCTTGTGCCAGAGCAGGTCGTCCAGAGATGCCACTGCCAGGCAAGTCTGGAATCAAAGGTGGTCCAAGCATGCTTAAAACTCCTTCAGAGCTGCTCGATGCAGAGACTTCCGACGGCTGCCTCGACGGGAATCGCAAGAACTCTGTCTCTCCCAGTACCGGGGCACTGGCGGGTTTGGCGCTATCCACAGGGGCGAACGGTCTGCTCGGCAACACATCTGTGCTGATTTGGAGTGGCATAGGCGGCAGTGATTCAGAGAGGTCTAGCTCCATGTATGGATTTTCAAAAGCAGGATTTCTGACGAATGGTTGGGAAAACGACGCCCGGCTGGGTTTATGCTGTCTCTCGCTCCTCGGTACAACGGGTGGGATCCTTCCAACTCGGATCAGGCGCGGCTGTTTCTGTGGCGGTTCCTCTACTTGTACCGGAACGTGCTCAGTCTGACCCCGTAGCGGCACCGCTGGCGGTGACCTCGCAAATGACTGCGGTGGTGATATTGGCGCCGCTGGGAGAAAGACGTTATCCTCATGTATGGACGGCTGCAGCTCATCCTCTGCAGAGTCTGCCTCGTATCCGCCGATCAATGGGCTGTCTGCTGGCGAATAGACCACCTGCGCGAGGTAATCGCTGACATACTCGGGTGGATTGACTTCACTCTCAGAATCCATCACGGCATAGTACGGCATAGTTCGAGAGACAGGAATCGAAGATATGCTGACCGGCATCTCCTCAGGCGAAGATGAAGTCGCGCCGGTGGGTCTCTCGGGTTCTGGTTCAGGTCCTTTCCTCCGAAAGATATTCCACCTAAGCCTCCTGGACTTCTTGTCCTTCGGTTTCTGCATGGCGGCATCGCCGCGGCTGGGGTCGGTTGTCGTGCTGGGTGTAGAGGTCGGAAAGGCCGAAGAACGGCTGTCATCTTGGCTGTTAATATACAATGGCGCTGAAAGCCCTTCGGTTCGAATTGGTGTCGGGAGGTTGAAACTCTCTGCATCGTTGCCAAAGCGCTGTGATCGCCGAATCGCCAGCGTAGGGACACCCCCCTGGCTCGATATATGATCCTGAGCGAGCGGTGAACTGTCTTGAACTGACCGGCCCCCAATAGACGTCTGTGACCGTGAAGCGATTCTCCATGACTCGACAGGAGGAGCAGGTGGAATGGGAGGGCTCTCATACACGTCCAATTGGGTCGCAGAATTGCTCTTCATGCTACCTCCGGAGCCACCGATGATAGGGATGGGCCGCATTCGACTCGCTGCAAACTCATCGAGGTCGGATTGGCTGCTTCGATTGTGGCGGCTGCTACTGCGGCTCTCCTTGCCTCTGGAGAAGAGAGGTACCCTTCTGGTGCTGCTCACAGATCTTTCGCTCTCACTACCTCTAGCTGAGCCGCTCTCTTCAGATGTCTTGCGACCTCTTCTCCCATATTTTCCATACCCCTCGTGACCTGTCCCAGCCGCAGGCCCTCTGCGTTGCAGCTTCCGGGGGGACTTTTCGACTTCGACGGCTGGGGACTTAGTCCTACGGCCGAACAGTCCGAAGCGAGAGAACTTCCCTGTACGGCCCGGAGAGCTTGCTGCTACGACCTCCGTATCTTTAGGGGTCTTTGGACGGACGTCCACAGGCGCGGACCTCTCTTGTCCGCGCAAAAACTCATTCGGCCGAGGCTGAGTTTCGAGATCCCGGCGCGACAAGTCTGGCTGTCGACGAGTGGAACCCAAGCGATAAGTGTCTAGCGCACCAGCTCTTTGATCGTTGAAGGCGTTTGCAGGTGGGCGATTTGCGCTTGGTGGGTCGGTGTTTAGAGACTGCTGAAGATTGGCATGAGCACGTACAAGGGTGCGGTGCTGTATTGACTCTCCGGCGTTTCCCAAATGTAGATGGCCTCGAGCTCCCAAAGGGCTGCGTTCTAGATCGGACGAGGAAGGCGTGGGTTCGGGTTCCGGCCTCCCACGTTGTCTGTCGCTTTTGCTGCTGCTCCTGCTCAGGGAATGTTTCGCAGATGAAGACCTTGGAGGTGGGGTAGGCGCCGGCGTATTCAAGGGTGTTCTCCTCCTACCAGACGACTTGACTGACTCTTTCGAACTTGCTGGCCATTCGCTGGTGACAGGCGGAGGAATAGACTCTGGCAGAGCCGGCAGCTTGGGGGTCTTTTCGCGCTTGACTGCGGGAAGCGGGACTGTTTGCGACCGCTTTGCGGAACCTGCCACTGAGACTTGCTGCACGATACCAGGGGATGCCGACGACCATGATGTCGGAGTCGTCGTTGTGGTGGACACACTCCATGGACTCGGGGAACTGGAGAATCGAGTTGACGGACTGCTGATCGAGCTTGCAGATTTATTGAGTGATTGTGGTTGTCTTGTTGACGAGGCCGCAAGAGCTTGCAGCTCTGGAATCAATCGAGGCGGCAGTTCGCCTGTGCGAGCAGACGGGTTTGCTCTCGGCATCACTATGCCGAAGATGGCATCTTTGTCAATGTCCAAGGAAGATTGTGCGTCACTTGATGGACCCATGGGATAAACCAGTCTCCTGTTACTGGAGGCCTCGTCTCTCCGTCTTGATCCCGGATACGATTCCATGAGCAGAGGGACTTCTTGCGACAATGAATCTGAACGTGGATTCAACTTGGCCGTTCGAAGAGAGGCAGGAACGTTCTTCGTAGTGGCAATAGAGCGCTGGGATGGGTTTCTCGCTGCTGGTCGTGGAATTGCTGTTGGTCTTTGGCCAGGCTTTTCACCAGGACTCGGCGGGGCCTCCCTCATAGGGGGTGGTGAGCGCGAACCCGGACGTGTGCTTGCGGCGGGCCGCGTCGAGTCGAATTGACGAGCTCCATGACGGGAACCTGGTGTTCTGGTCGTTCGTGGCACGGTAGCATCTCTGTTTCTGGAAACACCAGGTTGGGTGTCATACGTCGGATTTCTGTGCGACATGTCCAATGTCTGTTGGGATCCTCCTTGCCGGCCTCCCTGAATGCGCACAATGGTTTTAGAAATGTTCGACTCATTCCGTTCTCAACAATGGTCAAGGCCAGACATTGAACTGGTACAAGCCTTCAGGTGGCGTTCGGGCCTCGCGGTAAATCGGATATTGCTGTTCAGGCCCACAGACAAAGTTGGACTGGCCTCAAAGTCGGATTTCGTCAATAATTAATTTTCAGAGTGACTCAAGCGGTGTGTCGTACAACTCATTCATACCCGAGACAGTCTGGTGAATGTTCAGTGTCTTGTCGGGCAGTCGCGCGGGGATAGTATAGAGGAGGGAATTTGGATCGACAGAATACGCCACATAAGCCTGTATAGCCTGGTCGGCCACCCCGAGGCAAAAAATAGCAGCCACGAATCCGGCACGTGACACGGCAGACGATGATCCAGATACTGGCGATATCCAAAGAGGAGGACACGTGTACAGCGAGAAGAGGAAGAGAAAAGGAAATCGAGATGGGAGGCGAAGTCCTTTTTCTGGAGTGTTAAAGGCTCGAGAGGTAAATGGGTTGCAGAGACCAAGCGGATCTCGCAGGCATCTTGTAACAAAAGAGACGGGGGTTAATAGTTAGGGCACAAGACGAGAGGATGCTGGCTCAGCGTCAAAGCAAAACCCCCGTCCCCTCCAAATGGCTGATGCTGATGGCTTGCTTCATGATCCAAGGGATTTTCCACCATGCATAGTCTTCTAACCTTCCAACGGGGCGGGGGGCCCGCCAACAGGGCCGCGGATAACTCGTATTCATCACTTGGAGTCAACCGTCTTCTGCTGCAAGGCGTCAAGACACCTTGGGGCTGTCCAAGTCCCGGGCCATCTTTTGTTCCTGATAGGTCTTGCATATGGGACGGGTCTCCATCATGGGTCCTCCCGTGTGCAGCTTGGAGAGGACGGACCAGGGTTGCGGCTGACATGCCTGGACAAATGCGATCCAAGGCATTCTGGGCCTCGTGGGGAAACCGTCTCCGTAGTCAAACCCAGCACTCGATTCGGGACCGTGTACGTACCGATCAAATGGACAGACAGGCATCTGCAAGCGTCACTCGCTAGATGTCGTGCGTGGGAATCGTGGGTTGACGAGGCCATGTGCCGTGGTATGACGACCAATGTGGGTGGCATGTGCGAGGATAGCCGCATCATAGGCAGAACTCAGGGTTCCGAAGGCGAGGCCGACGCCAGGCTGTCAACAAGGTCACCGAGGAGAGGAGGCCTCGAGGCAGGCCCATCATGTGGCGACGCTTGGATCTGCGCCGGATGAAACTGACGCTTGGAAAGAGCCCTCAACTGACTGGCGCCCTCGTATTGTCACAATGGAGAAAGAATCTGATTCAGCAGGGGAAGGACCTTTGCTGAACCCAGCAGAGAGCCCGGTGGGCAAAAGTTGCGAGGAGGATGAGGACCAGTGACGGGGTGTGGAATCGAGGAGTGGCCGCAGTAGTGGGGACCGGGAGGAGTTGATGAGCGAGGACAAAGCCGGGTTATTGGGGGGTGGCGACACTCCGGGCTGAACGAGCTACTCGTTAGGTGCCAGCTAGCTCACTGCGTTGCCTATTAGCCCCAAAGTCATATCTCTCCCAGAGGCTTGGATAGGTGGCTGCTCCCCCCACTGTACCGAGGTTCGGGCCACTGCCAGTGCCCCGTCCGCTTCTGGAGACCGCACCGTCTTGTTTATTTTTTACTTGGGGGCACTGTGATGGCTTCGCTGAACCGGCTTTGCCATGCCAGAACAAGTGTCTGATTGAGGCAAACTGTTTACGGAAAAAGCCTCGTCCACACGGGTTGACCGTTGAGTGAGCTGCCAGTGATACGTGTACCCAGGATGTACTGTACAAACCGCCGCGACTAGGGGACGCCTCGAAGTCGCCTGCGCCTCCGTGACGAGTAGAGTACTTTGTGGTAAAAGGACAATGTCACCACCACGGAAGACAACGGCAACGTGCCCTGGTCTCTGCCACAACTGTTGTTATCTTTTCATCATCACATGAAACACATCCGACAATCGTGGCTGATTCGGCAGTGGTTTGAGAGCACGCCCATCACTGCAGCTGCTGCAGGGAGTCACAGTTCTCTAACGTGTTCCTGCAAGTCAACAATGCAGCAAGCAACTCCTTTAGCGCTCTGCATGCCCTAGGACGCTCGACATGCGCACCTCTCCTCACCCCCGTCAGCGGTGGCTTGGAAAAATCCTCCGAACTCGAATTTTCCAGACTTCTTTTTACCCGATTCTCCCTCGTGCGTCCGCCATTTTCTGTGCCTTGCCACCAATGAACATCTAGAGATGGCCAATTATCTCTGTTTGTGGCTGATCATGATACCCGGGACGTTTGATAGGATGTGGCTCTAGAAGGATGTCTGGCGAATGCCGCCCGCGTGCCCACCACGTTCCTTGCGGAGGTTCTCGTGGTTTTGTTGGCGCAAAATCTCCGAACATGCCCTTGCGACACGGCTTGACGGTACCCCTGCGCCCTCAACTGTGAGCAGCTCGATCCGGTCACCTGATACGCGGGATGAGTTGGGGTTGGAGACCAGCGACCCGAACAAGGTTTTTGTATCCCAGAAAACTTCGTTTCCCAATTCTTGGGCCTTTCCAGTGACAGGAGTAAGTGTGTGATCAAGGTCTCCTGAACCAACCATAACTAATCACCACCAACCCGTCTCTCTCAACATTTCCGTAAACATCGCACCATGGCGCCGCAAGGAGTGGAGTTCCCCATTGAAGGGGGTTGCGACTGTGGAGAAGTGCGATACGCTTTGATGACCGAGCCGATGATTGTTCATTGCTGTCAGTGAGTTACAGACTCCATCACGCCATGGGAATGTCCTCTGCTGAAACGGCACAGTTGCCGATGGTGTCAACGGGAGACTGGAGCTTCCTTTGCGCTCAACGCCATGATCGAAACTGACAGGCTGAAACTTCTCAAAAACGAGCCGGAATATACCACTGTGCCGAGCCAAAGTGGCGCTGGGCAAAGCATCGCACGGTGTCCAAAATGCCAGATCGCTGTTTGGAGCGTTTACCTCGATAACCCAGCCAATGTAAAGGAACACATCCGCATCGTTCGTGTGGGGACTTTGGACAAGCCAGACCTTCTTCCACCGAATGCTCACATCTGGGCTGCTGAGAAACAACCGTGGATCATCCTCTCGGACAAAGCACCCGTATTCGAGGACGGCAGCTACCACGAGGACGAGGTGTGGTCCAAGGAAAGTCTTGAAAGGTATCGGGCCATGAAGGCACGCGACGCCACTACCCAATAGGATCTCTCAACCCTCGCCATTGATAGCACCTCCTTGCAAGTCCCCCTCCGCTGAGAGTCACGATGTGCCAGGTTCGGTGGCTGGCTGTCGCAGAGTTTGACGGAGAGCCTCCTAGCGGTTTACTTCTGATACACATCCGTAGCTAATACGGGCACCGTGTAAGTTCAGTCAGCTTAGAACAGATACCGGAAGGGGACAGAATATGCCTCACTTGGCAAAGCTGGGGGTTCTGTCAAATGTGTGCTTGAACCGAACAAACCTCCACGTAACTTGGATCCCGTGGTGTCGGCCACAGCGTCAGAGCTAACTCCAACATTCGTCAAGCACACCCGTAAGTTGTGAAGGCTGTCAGGTAAAAGGTTGCTGTGTTGGCAGCACTCATCGTCTTGTGTCCTCTGGTCCAATGACTCGCCGAACACTCCGTCCCGATTCGGCATAGTGAGCCGTTAGGGGCATTCAGCCTTGGGATCGCGAGACCATCTCAGCTGAAGTTGAGGCTGAAAGAAGCTAAGACCCAATAATTAAATTTTCCAACAACGTCAGCCGAATAGGGCCAGGAAACAAGCCAGAGTCTGGCCAGAGGAGGCATTCTGGACAATGGACGAGGCTAGCGCGATCGCGGGTCCTTAGGGTTTCGAAACGTGGTCCTCAGACCACACTCGATGTAAGAATCTCAACCGCGAGCAAAAGGGAATGTTTGCTCTTGGTCTCGATCCGCCATGCCTGGACCGGACCGTGGCAGGCTTCATTCCAGGTGAACCCTGATGGAGGACCCAGGTGTTGTCTTCCAATCGACTGGCTGGCTATTGGCGAACGACAAAACCTGAGACACGAGGTATATTGGCCGTGTCATCCACTGCCAGAGCTGCTCAACAATGAACGGATCAAATCTCTCACTTCTCACAGAAAGCTGGCGAATTGAAGGGCTAGTAATACAGGCACGAGCAGGAGGAACGCAGCAACGAGATTGAACCAGCCATTGGCCCGAGAGGAGCGTCCAGCTTTCACCCGGAGGTCACCAGTTGTGTCAAACTGTCTGATCACATCACCTGTGGTACCCGGGCTCAATGTTGCGGAAGGCCACGACGAGAGACTGTGATGACTATATTGCCAGACGCACCAGTAGCAATATTCGTTTGCCGAACACCAGCAAATCTGGCTCTTTGTCCTTCCTTAATCTGACCGTAATGCGCGCTCGAGCACATCATTGTCCACAGGTCACGAAACGTGTACTCTTCTGAGCTCTTGATATCTTACCAGGACTCCACTGTTGGTATCTTAACCCCAGCATGTATACTAGAGTCACCGACTTTGTAGATAGACATTGCATCAGTCTTTCTGAGAGCGATGTCGGCTGAGCAGCAATCCAAATGTAATACCCAGCCATCAAAAGTTGTTGAACCGGAGAGTTTTCCAGGAAGGCAGATAAATCGAATGTAGGTGCCGGGTCACAGGATGTATCGCTTTCCGATACTCTTCCTCGATCAACGATGTGTGAGCATGAGAAACGGTGTTGAATAGGAGATGACCTATGTAGGTGGTACTTTCAGTGACTCTATAAGAGATCAGAGGATATGCACTGCCGCTCATGCAAAGCCGTAAATGCAGGCCGAGTTCATTTCAGAGCTCAGTAGCCGCGACGCGAGGTTAGGTGAAGAGTCCAGTAGGCAGCTGAACAACTCGAGAGGCCTTCAGCATGCTTTGTCTGCCTACGATAATAATGGGTATCGGCCCTGTCTCATATGGTTTTCGGTGAGCCACTCCTCGCAATGGAGAATGCCGTCAATATTACAGGACGAGACTGAATAATAGGGGAAGTTAGAACGAAATACAAAATGACGTTGGCAGGGTGAGCCAAAACAAACCACTAAAAGCGGCCAGATGTGCTTCATACCCACATTCCTCAACACCATGCGAACGCGCTGAAATCAGTCGATCAACTGTCAATTCTTCAGATACTCGGTATTGATGCTTTTGAGGCGAATCGCTTGACACTCTCTACGATCCCGGCCTTGATCGCGCACGCATTTTCCAAGCTTTGTGTAATTTGATCCTATCCCCTGTTCGGCGCCGGCGGCGCGTCCCTTGTTTATCAGTCCCCTGACCGGACCGCGACCATGGTCGACTACTCCAAAAAGACGGTGGTTGAGCTGGTGGAGATCCTGAAATCGCGAAGCCTTCCACACTCAGGGAAGAAGGCAGACCTTGTTGCGAGGCTGAATGAAGCAGACGCGGAGGCCCGAGAAAACGGTACGTATACATCATTCTAGCGCAACGGCGCAATAGTTCTCCCCTGAACCTATTCTGCCCTTGGATTCAATTGATGTTGCGCGCTGGACATGTTTTGACTAACTTGTACGCAGAAACCGAGAAGGCGCCCCCAGCAGAATCCACCACCGCGCAACCCGCACAAGCACCGGAGCCCTCAGCAGCACCGGCACCAGAAACTACGTCTGAGGCACCTGCCGCCGCAGAACCCCCAGCGGCACCTGCGAGCGTCGACGAGAAAGAGTCCCCCTCCGCGAACACCGACACTGCCCTTGCCAATTCTGCCTCGTACGCGCTGAACTTACCACAATCAGACGTGGACTCTGAGATGGCCAAGCGCAAGGCCCGCGCCGAAAGATTCGGGACCAGTGCAGCCCCTGCGAATGGCGAAACAGGGACAGGAACCACAGACGACGATGCGCAGAAAGCTTTGGAGCGCGCGAGACGCTTTGGGACAGGTCAGACCGCTGTGGGAAAGCTGGACGAAGCCCTACCGGAAGAGCGTGAGCGCGGTCCAAGAAAACGAGGCAGAACTGAAGAGAGCGGCGCCATGGATGATACTGGTCTGAGAAGGACCTTCGGGGGTCGAGGCGGGCGAGGCCATGGTGGACGATTCCGCGGAAGAGGCGGCAGGGACAACTCGCGGCGGAGAACGGGAGAGAAGCCTTCTGGGGTCAGCAAGCCCGGAGGGGCGTTCTCTACAGACGCGGACCGTGCAGCTGCCGAGGCGAGGAGAAAGAAGTTCGCCACATCGTCGTGATCTTTGTCTTCTCTGTCACTATTATGAAGTCCTCCTGGTTGTTTTAGTCCACATCGGGCGGCCGAGGAGGTGGCTCACTCACTCGTGGGAAAGCAGCTCAACGCAAGGGGCTTCGCATCATTGTATTCATACATAGGTCATGTAACGCAAAGAAAAGGGCTCGTGGAATTGAACATGTGTCTCAAGGGGGGCTCGATAGGAGACATAATAAGGTCTCCATCTCTGGGAAATGTGGATAAGATTTGGACCATGAGTCAAGGTCTGGAAATCCCACACAAGGTGATTCGGTGATTCCATCAACAGAGGAGGGCATGGGATCTATTGACTCGCATTCTTTTTCGGCGTGGCCCTGGGCGCAGACGCTCGGTGTATATGTGATTCGGTATATCATTCACGGGTGACACTGATGTGCTAAACTGCACTGTGTATCAACCATCTCAATGTACACAAGGACTTTTATATGTGCAGGAACCTGCGCTGCTCTCCATCTCTATTATTCAGCACCCCTCCTGCTGCCAGCAGTGCTCCTCCACGTACTGGGTACAGCCAGCGTCCTCACGAGCCCTGCGACACGGTTTTGATGCCAAGAATTCTCGGGCCGAAAATGGACTGGTGTTGCGACCCTCTCACGTGCCTCTTCCGTCCGCCACATTCGCATCTCATTGGCTCGTCGTTAGTCGATAAGGAGCATTTTCTCAACCACATCATGGAACGGCATCAGTACAGACAGAGCGTCCAAGGACTTAAAAAGAGGTGGGCAAAAACTGAGCGGTCCTGCAGATGGAGGCTGAAGACGACATTTGCATCTCGCTCCCATTCAACGCCAGTTCTGGCCCCTCCTGCGCCACAGAATCTTGACTTTGGGAGTCGGTTATCTGACATGGTATCCCCGCGGAGACGATGCAGCGTTCAAAGACGTTCGGTCAAACCGGGGCCCTTATCGAAATGCCCTGCGAGCAACGAGGGAACAGGGAGCGTTAAGGACGCTAGATATGCAACTGAAGGCTGCTGGTCTGATAAGCAGGGTCCACTCGAATGGTCTCATGCATACATGCTTCAGATAAGCCTCGTCCAACCAAATCTTCATGTCTTCAGCTTCGTACGTCTTCTCGAGGGACTTGTGTGCCTACCTTGTGTGATGTCTCCATGCATTTGATCTTCCCTTTTGTTATCAACTGTTCAAGTACTGCAAGGATAGGGTCCCAGAGGGATCAAGGACATCACAAGCGACACCAATACCTCAGGAGGATCGACGAATGCCAACTTGTCGCGTTCCTCGATGCTGGAGGCTGGATCGACAATTAAGTCGAAGAACTGGATCGAGGGGTGTTCAAAGATCGCGTCGACCGAATCATCCTCAGCAGTCCCGAAGCCGTTTCTGCCAGGTTCACAGTGGTATGGCCTGGAACTCCGACGTGCCTTAGAGGCACAAATTCCTTTTGATGGACAACAGAAGCATTTCCGAGGCAGGTTGACGAGGTGACGTGACTGCGTGTACGTCCATCTATTTGAATACAATTGGAAATCTGGACAACGCCTCGGAGCTCGTCATCGATCAACTGGAGTCAAGGTCTAACAAGCAGCAGACCCATTTTATTCCGTTATCAGCAAGTGCCTGGCCAGATTCAGAGATGGCTTATCGGTACGACGGATTCTGATTCGTCTGGAGTGATTCGATCTCTGCGAGAGATCTGCCGCGGATATACTCTTTCAGAGACACTGTGGTCTCGAAGTGAATCTATGCCTTGTGCCCGGAGAAGGACAACAAAACGTCACATCGACTTCGCATGTGCACGAGGGCCTTCTTGTCCTGCGTGTCATCACTCCTTGTTGCAGACTATATATTGCCCTCGCATCACTCCTTCCAGACAACAACTTTGTGCATTCAACATTTCCCTCGAAAGCAAAGAAGACAAAACAATCCAACAACAACGCCATCAGGGGAATACACTACGATCGCCAAGCACGATGGCTGTCGACTTCGGCTTACCCTTCCGGGCCCCTGAGGTCAACCCTATCACCTACAAGGCCCGTGCCATCCCATTCCTGAACCCCATTAACATGTATGGAAGAGTATTTTTGGCGAGTTGGCTAGGCTTCTTCGTGGCATTCTGGAGTTGGTATGCGTTTCCTCCTCTGGTAAGTCGCTCTCCAGCCCTGTTTTGGTATCAGTGACATGAGCTGATGAGCGATAGTTGCACGACACCATCCAAAAGGACCTCAAACTGACCAAAATCGATGTCGCCAACTCCAACATCATCGCCTTGTGCGCAACTTTGCTTGTCCGACTCATCGCGGGCCCATGCTGCGACCGTTTCGGGCCTCGCTGGACATTTGCTGGCTGCTTGTTTGTTGGTGCTATCCCCACATTCTTGGCTGGAACTGCGTATACCAAGAGCCAGCTCTTTGCTGTTCGTTTCTTCGTTGGCATCCTCGGTGGCAGCTTCGTTCCGTGTCAAGTCTGGACCACTGGCTTCTGTGAGTACTCCTATCCCCTTTCCCATCTCCACATAGCCATAACTCCTTGCAGATAGGAATCCAAGCTAAGAGATTTTGCAGTTGACAAAAATGTGGTCGGCACTGCCAACGCCTTCACGGCTGGCTTTGGTAACGCTGGTGGAGGCGTCACATATTTCCTGATGCCATCCATCTACGACTCCCTCCTCAGCAATGGCTTGACTCCTCACACGGCCTGGCGTGTGGCCTTTGTTGTGCCGGGTATTGTCATCGTGGCTGTCGCTTCGGGCCTTCTTCTGCTTTGCCAGGATACCCCCACGGGCAAGTGGAGTGAGCGCCATCGTGCTGCTGAGTTTCACCTCGCAGCTCATGGCGTTCAAACTACCATTGTTGATCGACCCAGCGTCAGCATTGCGGACAAGCCTGCTTCGGCATCTTCAGGTACATTCAGTCCGCCAGCAGGCGAGAAGGTGCAGTACGATGCGAGTGCTGAGCGCAAAGTATCCGTCTACGCTGACCACGAGGCTCAAATGACTGAACAACAAATGCTCGACACGGCTCGTGGGGAAATTGTCGTAAAGCCCACGCCCAAGGAAGTCGCCGCGGCCATGTTCTCTCCCCAGACCCTCGTCGTCGCCTTGTGCTACTTCTGCTCCTTCGGCGCCGAACTGTCCATCAACTCTATCCTGGGAACATATTACCAGAAGAACTTCAAGCAGCTCGGCCAGACCACCTCCGGGCAATGGGCAGCCATGTTCGGCTTGCTCAATGTTGTCTGCCGTCCCTGTGGAGGCATTTTCGCGGACATCCTCTTCAAGCGCTTCCCCAACGTCTGGGTGAAGAAGGTCTGGATCCACACTCTGGCCGTCATCACTGGTGTCTTCCTCGTTGTCATCGGCGTTCTTGACTCGCACCATACGAGCACGATGTTCGGCCTCATCGCCGGTATGGCTTTCTTCTTGGAGGCGGGCAATGGAGCCAACTTCGCTCTCGTCCCACATGTCAACCCTCATGCAAACGGCGTGGTGTCGGGAATGACCGGTGGCATGGGGAACTTGGGCGGCATCGTCTTCTCCATCATCTTCCGCTATGAAAAGACCGACTATGGGAAGTCATTCTGGATCATCGGCGTCATCACCATTGCCATTAATGTGGCGGTCTGCTGGATTCCTCCGGTGTCAAGGAAGCAGATTGGCGGTCGGTAGGCTGTCACTCAGGGAGTGAGGGCTGGAGAGAAGAACCAAGCTCCTGATGGCCGGCGAGCCTTGAGCCTGTGACACTTCAGAGACGTAGATACACAGTGAAAAGATCGCGTGATTATCATGACGCGCTCTATAGAAAAGCAGTGAATCAATCAAACATTTGAAACCTTCGAGCAATGGGTTGAATTGGCGTCAATCTCTTTTCCACGTAGCCATGTAGCACCGTCTCTCGATTATCAGAAGTGTTCATGGTCGCTGGTTACAGACCGCTGCTGAGGTCACTCTCCTCACCATCTTCCTCCCACCCACAACCCCCAGAGCTGTATGCAGGTCGCAGCCTCGTCACGTGATACGCATATCGAGCAAAAACAACCTGGTTACCTTTTCTGCCAGACCTTATCATTCTCAACTCCTCCCAGATCATCCTTTCTGCCATACCTTCCATTGCCATCCGCCAAGTCCTCATGATTCTCACACATTAGTATACACTAGCCACATTTTAGTGATAACCAGACTGCCAAGCACTCGCCCACGAGGTGACTGTGACGGGAATAAATATCTCCCCGTCCTCTCCTTCAGACTCTGTCTTTGCTTTTCTTCTTCCTTTCCTTCCTCCAGTCGACCAAGATCAGAGTCTGTTGCGCGCACACAGAGCCTCGTACGTGTTAATGGCTACACGCAACAACCTTGTGAGAAACCTCAGGCGCCTGTTGCTTTCTCTGAGGTTGTCCCCCTTGCCGCCAGCAGACTTTGCCTTCTTGTTTGAGCTTCAAAAACAAACCGCTGTGTGATCTCTTTCTGAGAACACTGGCTGGTTCGTTTTTGGAGTTTCCCCTGAATGCTGACCAGGGGACACAGATCAGCAAAAAAGGAAAAAACAAGTGGAGTTCAACAGTACAGTGTGTATCAGTCAGCTGAGATACACCAACTTGTTGTTCATACACACAATTTTTGGAATCTTCTGTTGCAGACTCGTCCTGCAAAGGAGACGAGTCTCCACAACTTTTGTCTAGACATTTTCAATTTTTGGAACTTTTTCAAGGTCATCCTTTCCTGGATACCATTTTCTTTTTCATCGTTTCGACTTGGCCTTGTGCCAAGCAACGGAGAAGATGATCCAACAACATACTTGTCGACATTGACTTGTTGACGTGACAAGAGCGGGCATGTGGATTACACAAAAGCCTTGCTGTCAGCGTCGATTTGCTCGATTTGCTCTTGAGGCTCCAGAGCCCCGGTCACCATATCGCTGTAGATGAGCTCAACTCACGTTGGAATCAGATCTCGTTTATAACAAAGTCCAACATGATCTTGCCTGCGCGACTCTCGACGTTATGCTGAAGAGTTCAAGGATTGTAAGGTTTGTCATCATCGTCAACACACTCTGCCAGCCGGCCAGTCCACTCTCACTTCTTCGTCCCTGCTTGCCCTTGCTGTTGCTGTTGTTGCCATTGCATCATCTTTGCTCTTGCACTTCGGCTCCCTCCTAACTTTGGACCTCTTGATTCCGTGACGCCTGTCGTCTTTGGTTGGTTCTTTGGTTGGTTGGAATGATGTTTTCTGTTCCTCCTCTCTGACATCGCATCCATGAACTCCTGCCGGAATTGTTCTGCGAAGCGGTCGTCCGTGTCGCCCTCTTCAGCCGCTTCGCCAACCGCTGTCCGTCCGCTTGTCAGTCCCGAAGAGTTGGTGTCGTACAGATCAATTTTGTTCTCATGAAGAAATTGCTCTATAAGTGCGTCCCGTGCAATGTCTTCGCTGTTCCTTCGCTTCCTCGGTCGCGGCCTCATGGGTTTACCGTCCCGTCCCAGACGTGGTTTGCGAGGCTTCAGTGGTTTGTCCACTTCCTCGACTGGAGCTCGACCGGCCTGGACACGTTCGAGTGCAGCTCGCGTGCGGGCCAGGTTAGTATCGTGCACAGAATCTCCCAGATCGACTTCGGCCAGTTGGCGTGTGGTGGTGGGATTGGTACTTGATGTTTTCTGAATTGGCGGCCCCGGCTCGTTGGAAGATGGAGAGTCTTGATCCGTGTCTTCTTCCAGGTTTCTCGAGGAAACATTTGAAGGAGTGGCGAGATGACTTCGTCTCCTAGCCATTTCGGAGTCTATGAATGCAACCCTTATCTTGTCAGCCAGCTATGTCTCAGGACTGGGAATTTTGGGGGAACCACGAACATATGTTGATCGACATTAACAACCTGCCCGGTGCTTCCTACAAAGCGGTTGGTGATGTCGATGGGTTTGTCGACATTCTGATCCGATTTGACAACTTCCATGCCAGTTGTTTCATCTGCTCCATGCATGAATTTCGTGTTTGAGAATTTGACACCAGTCACAGCCTTCCGAATGTGCTTCCTTGCGCGTAATAGGCTCGAAATTCCACCTTCGTCGCCATCATCATCATCATCCGAGGTCTCAAGCCCACCACTCGTCACCGCATCATTCGTCTTAGAAGAAGCTGCGTTGGGGGATTCTGCAGAGGAGTCTTGAGGCCGTATAAATTTCCTACGCTTCACAGCCCTAAATACTGGAACGTCTTCCATAATTTGATACTGGAGGAAAAGGAAGATAATGGCTGATGAGATATGTATCGGTGCGGGTGGCGACCTGCGCGAGATGCGTATAATCTGGCCGTAGAATCGTTTACGATGACAGGATATTTCTAGAAGGGACCCAACTACATCCCAAGAACAGAGCATGCAGCTCCAAGTTGCATCCAGTTGTCGTCATCTGGGAAGAGAGGTAGGAATGATGTCTGATCTGGAGACTTCGTTCGAGACTTCGGGAAGATCACGTGCCTCTTGGCACGATCTGGCTGTCAATGCGCCATGATCGCGAGATTCTAATTTCTTGTATCTTTCGGTGCAATCGTCTGCTGTCTCCCATCACGCATTTGACGGGCTTCTCTTTTCCCTCTCTTTTCCTCATCGATACACGATGTCGTCCAAACTTCCAACGGTAACGTATCGTTGCTGCCACCTTGCAGTTCGGACGCAAAAACGCAGTCTCTCCTCCCAATGCCTCCGGATTTCCTCCACAAGCTCCGCGGACCAGAACAGACGAAGGAACAGCTTCACATCCTCAAAGTGTTCGAGGAGATGGCAATCGACGGATGCAGCTGCCGCGTCTACGAATCCTAAGATTGCTGGGATTGTCGATCAAATATCACAATTAACCCTGTTGGAGACTGCAGACTTGGTTGCGAGCTTAAAGGTATGCTCGAGCATTATTTTTCTGCAGTGGAAATACGCTTCACTCCCCAGAGGACTTCACCTGGTTTCTTCTTGAACTTCAGCTAATATGTACACCAATAGTCCCGGCTTAATATCCCCGACATGGCTTTCGCTGCTCCGGCCGCTGCCCCTGCTGGTGGTGCGGCTGCAACTCCAGCGGCCGAAGCAGAAGCTGCAGAAGAAGCTGCACCTGCACCCGCCGAAAAGACGATGTTCACCCTGAAACTCGATTCCTTCGATGCGGCTGCCAAACCCAAGGTTATCAAGGAAGTGAAGGGACTGCTGGGTCTGAGTTTGGTGGATTCCAAGAAGTTTGTGGAGAGCGCGCCGAAGGTCATGAAGGAGGGCGTGCCCAAAGAGGAGGCAGAGAAGATTGTCGCTGCCATGAAGGCACTGGGAGCTGTCGTTTCCATGTCATAAGGAGAAGCGGGTGAGAACAGCAGATGAAGAGACAACCCTCAAGACACTCCACGTCCGTTTGGCGTCTGTTCGATTGGGATCATTTTCAGAGATGAGATGGCTCCTCAAAACACACCGTCAGATGCCTCGAGGCATTGTATGGGAATGGGACGTGAAGATGCTCACTCGGGCGCATTGCCGGCGTCAGCCTAGCATTCTTCTACATCGAGTTCGTTGTCTCCATGGAATCATCTTTGACCGGGGGACCTTGTAACTATATCCTGGGTTTGCAGGGAGACTTGGACAAGATCCGAAAAATGTACAATTCAAGATTCGACAACCGCTTCAGAAGACAGATCATTGCATTTGTATAATGAATTGCAGCAGTTTCCCTGGAGACGGACAACCGCTCAGACTCCAGAACAACATGTGCCAAACTTTTCCACCCCAACATCCTGGATATAGACGGTGGAAAGAGGAGCCAAATCCGCGATGTCATTGGCCGTAAGTCCATCATTTTGCTTCGCAGAGTCATCGTGATTCCTTTCTTACCTGAGTTTCAATTCCGGGTACATCCACCCTTCAACCTTTGGCCTCTCCTCTTGCCGCTCAAAACCTCGTTCCATTGACGCCACTAACGCCCTTGCCCAACTGCGCTGCGACAACGGTAGCCTCTCTCACACTCCTCGCGACCGTTCCTCTTACCCTGCCCTCCTCCAACACCAACAACCCACCAATCGTGCACCCTCCAGGAGTAGACACCTTCTCCCTCACCAGTGCAGGATGTTCCCCCGACAAGACCATCCCGGCCGTGCCTCGCATCGTCTGAGCAGCCATAAGCTGGGCCTCTGCACGAGGTAGGCCCATCGCGACGGCTCCGTCAGCCAGAGATTCGAGCATGAGTGCAAGGAACGCCGGTCCAGAGCCGCACAAGGCGGTGGAAACATCCATCATCCCCGGCGGAAGGTGCACGACTCTGCCGATCCGCGTGAATATCCATTCGACTATTGACGATAGTTCGGCCGGTAGAGGAGGACTGGTGGTCGCGATAACTGTCATGGACTCGCGCACAATCGCGGCGGTGTTGGGCATGACTCTTACTATCTGGCAAGCGTTCTCGGGAATACCTTCTGGGTACGACTCGCCGTAGAGAACCCGGCCGATCTGTTCGACGGGGACACCGGCACAGATTGAAATTAGGAGTTTTCCGGCCAGAGCTTCTTTCATGCCTTCCTCACGCAGCAGCTCGGCGACCATGTATGGTTTACATCCCAGTATAACCACATCGGCGTGATGCGCCCCCTTGACATTCTCGTTCTGTAAGACCGTTACACTCGGGCGGTAGGATTGAACGGCCACCCTGATCCGTTTCGCAGATTCAGGTCGGCGCACACAGGCAATGAAGTTCGTCGGTGTTCGTTGTGGAGGTGACTCGGAGGTGGGAGTTGCGGTGCCGGAGTCGGGATAGGCGGGGGACGGAGCGTGTGAGGCAGAGGATTCCGAAAGGGAGGACAGGATGCCACTGAGGATGGCAATACCAAGTGTTCCTTGTTTCCAAGATTTAGCCAACAAACGGGTCTAGCAGACAGGAAGTGAGTGAAGGAGTATGTAAAGCAGAGACGCACCACATCCAAGAATGGTCAGAGTCATGCCGGAGTCTGAACCATTGATGCCGTTGGGCACACGCAGCATGGCCGCCATATCTCGCGAGTTCTTTGATCTGACAACAGAAAAATACTGTCCGCAGGAAGATGGTCGGCACCTTGATGCTGTCGTGCTATTCCAGAAATTGTTCTACACCCTCGTGCTGAAGAGAAAGGATGCGGGGAACAAAGTGAAATATTTTTGACGAGGCGGAAGCGGGAGGACCTCAAGAACCATCGGCCAAATCCGTCTGCAAGGCACACCAATAGGCAGAGATTCTATTCCACAGCTGTTTCGTGCAGTTTTACTATTACATCCGAAGTAGGGTTTTCGAAAGGAAACGCCGTCTTGTCACCAGCCCGACGGGCATCAGTGGATGTATTATTATTGTTTGCTCTTACCCGAACCAAGGAGCAGACAATGTGAACACCATCTGTCTACCACCAAATCTTTCTTGTCACACATTCCTACCCTGCTAACAGCGATCGTTGCCTATACACATCTATTACCCGTATCACCATGGCCGACCCCTTCGAGGTGCGCATGCGCTTCACCAATCTCCTCAGCCACCTCTCCGCGTCCGCCACGGCCGCGATCAAAACCGCGCAATATGCCCTCAAACACCGGGACATGGACGAGGACCTCCACTCATGTATCCTCGAGAACCTCGAGCGAGGGAACACAAACATGAACAACCGTGCCAACATCATGTACTTCTTGGAACACCACGCGGACATCAACATGAAGGAAGGAGGCCACGAGGCCTACGTGGAGATGGTCAAGAGGGACATTGTGAGGATCGTGGAAGCCGTCGCGCAGAGCGGTGCCAACGTCAAAGTCGTCAGGCGGGTTGTCACGGGCCTGGGCGAGAAAGGCGTCCTGACGACCGAGCTGATCGGTACGATCGAGAGTGGACTGAAGGACAAAGAGGAGAAACTGGGCAAACTCCTGGGAGACGAGTATGTCGACGCAGAAGCATCGGCCGAAAAGGACGCCATGGATCTCACTGCTGCGGAGGGTGGCGCAGGGGATGGTGTTCAGAAACCGACGCCACGCACCGGAGCAGAGCGTTCGGGAAAGTCGAACGGCGTGTCGAAGATGGATAAGCGGGCGATCGAGCAGAGGATAGAAGAGGACAGAGAGCGGAACAAACGACTACGAGAGAGTGTCTGGGCTGTCACGGGCGACGACGATCAGGAATTAGACAAAATGTGGGAGGAGGGTGCGTTGCTGGGCGAGGACGAGCAAGTTATCGCCGACGAAGAGGCTGAAGAACGTCTTCAATTCGTCTCTTATCATCAAGCTCTGGCTACCTGAAAATCCAACTGGACAAGGCGTTCTGTGACTCCCATGTGATGGTTAATCCTCATCTGCCATCTCTGGCCCGCCCCCAAATCCTAGGCTCCGGTGCCAGCCACTGAGTACAAGGTAAAGGCTGCTCCTGCTCATCATGGGTTATGCACAGGCATTCCTGAAGCGGCAATCATGAGCCCATGCGAACTGCTCGAGTACGTGGGGTCAACAAGCGCAAGGTTGGGCGAGAGAATGGCCCTAGACTTTGGGCCTCTTGGATTGGGAGGCTTCGCCATTCAGCGGCTCCTCGTCCTCGTCCTCGTCATCCTCAACAACCTTTCGCTTTCGCACGACGGCTGATGGCTCTCCATTTCCATGCGAATCTGCTTCTTTCTCTTTTCGAAGGGCATACGAAAGGATGAGACCTTCATATTCGTCCTCCTGCCCACGAGCACTGTCCTCAATATGAGGCAGTCGCTCTTCGAGTGGCATCTGACTGAGCAGATCCTTGTTCTTCTTGATTATGCGCTGTTTCAATAACAGTCGCCACCAATAATAGGTGCGGTCGTCTGGATTGGGTGCTCTGGCACCCTTAAGCAGCAGGCTAGTGAGTGACGCCCCACCAGCTGCACGACGGGGATAAGGGATCTGGGCCAGAAGATACATTTCGACCATCCTGGCGAACTGGCGACTCGCAATTTTGTTCTTGGATCGAATGGCTTGAAGCTCATCCAAAGGGAGCAGTTTGGCAGTCGGCATGCGTTTCAACCGTCCTCGGTCCATACTGGCAAAAGGCGACGTATTTATCTGGAGGTTCATAGCTTTGAACTGTGGTTCCAGAACGTCAAAGTCATTCATGTCGCGCAACTTGTCAAACTCCTCGCTCGGATCCTCAACTGTTAGTTCCAGAATCGTCGGATCGGCCATAACCTCGTTGTAGATGGCTTGATAAAGAGCCGAGCCATGGCCCGAGCTTTGAAAAGGTGGGGTGATCAGGAATTGCGATATTCGTAGTCGCGAGGGGAGCGTGTTGGGCGTAATAGTTTCCGACGGCGGAAATGAGAAGACGGTGTGGTCCTTCGGAGGTTTCTGAAACTTGTAGAAGCGGTAGGTCGTTGCATAGCCAACAAATGAATATGAAGATGCGTTGGGCACCGGGGGCTCTGACGCCTTGTGGTAGGTGAGATAGACCCTCCATCGATCCAATGTCCAGTCGACATCGTCCAAATTGATGAACTGTCCGCCCTCGATAAAGAAGACGATGAATATTTGAATGTTGTCAATCAGGGTTCTCATTGGCAAGTCTAGTAACGAGCCAGCCCACACCTCATAGTCTTCTCCGCCTCTTGTGTACTTCTTAACAAGAACACCTGGGGGTGTCCATTCCGCTGCTTTCGTATCTTTCAACAACTTCTTCTCGAACCCTTCTTCAAATGCTGAGGGGGGGAGAAAGTTGCCGAAGGTCTGGTTGAGATGGAGCGCGCTTGTAGTACCGACGGTGTTGAACTTTTTTTGGTAGGAGATTTTGATACGTGGTTGCAAACTGTGGGCCGCAAACTGGATCTCGACATCTAATCCTTTGTAACCGAAGATTTGCTCTGCCTCTCCGACGATGGGGTAGGTGAATTTGGGATGAAATTCGTGCCGGGTGACGACTTTGTCATTTGGGCCGGGCTGAACGATGGAGATACGAACAGCTTCATTCGCGCTCACCGAGACTTGGGAAAGTCAGCAAGAAACTTTCTCGTTCAAAGCGCAGCGCGACACTCACATTCTTCAGATAGCGCAGCCATGCTGGAGATGTCCAGGCAATGGTGCTCCTAATTCATGTCAGACGGGGTGCAAGTAAGTAGTCTTGAAGCGGCGATGAGACAAGCAAGTCCCGGCTTAGATGCGGGAGCACAGATGAAAATGACAGCAAAAGACGTGCTGATGGAATGAATCTCCAGTGACGCTCAACTATGGCGGTTGGGCGAAATTGGACGGCAGTTTTTTTGGTCGTCGCGAACACGCTTCTGGAGCAACGCGTCGTGAAAAATTGGAGCCGTCAGACAGTCACTCTGCGGTAATAGCCTCGGGTGCGCCACTACAGGTCGTATTGATATTCATGTACCATTATCACACTCAATCATCATGAACCACTGGTATTGCGCTTCTGGTTCCAGTACGAGCTTGACCTGTCATTGTCCATGAGACAACTCCAGTACCACTCTTGGTGTCTGCGCCACAACTTCCCAAGTACGCGTAAAGCAAAATCGAAGATCGCATCAGACAGCGGTTAGGGACATCAGCCTGACCTATGAACTCCAGTACCCCCTTATCCTAAAATATCGATCCGAAAGTTGGGCCAAGAACACGAGCAAGAAAACCGACACTCGTATTGCGTTACAATAGTGCGACATTGGTCTACCCTCTGACTTCCAAGATTCTCTCATGCAGGAAACACTCCCTGCCGCCAGTCTCGTCTTCTGGTTACGAAGGTTGCGACCTGTTCGTCGTTCACCCCTCCTCGACTTCCCTTCATTTCCATTATTATTTCCGACATTCAGCCTGCGTTGCTGTGGACAATGATGTTATCCTACTGCTATATCCGATTCTCAGATATCCAGAACTTCTCTAGTTTTCCACCGAGATAGGAAAAAGGTATGATAGACCGCGAGTCAGTTGGTCCGTGTAGACCAAAAGCTTCTCGCTTCTGCAAACTCCGGAGTTTTCAGAGACAGCATTGGATGAGATGGGCTTTAGCGAGACGGTGGTGAGAAGAGACCTTGTGTGCAGCGAGCTCTAGAGGGCCTGGCGATTATGTGAGCTTGCCAACTGCCCAGCTCTGGAGAATGCAATCACCAATTATCCTTCCCTTCAACACCACTACTCCGAAGTCTACAATGCGAGTTCGTGACGTTAATTCCCGATCTTCCCGATTTCGACATCTGTTCCTGACTTTTGCTGTTCGGCATTGTCCTAGGAAAATCCTGATCAATCCACCTAGGCATACGAGCAAGCAACTAGTCAGCCACACCATCCCCCGCTGAGGAGGATCTCAGGCATGAAGTAATAGTGTGATGCAGCGACTTCCAAGCGACGCAGACAGCCCCGTTCGAGCTCGCAATGTACCCCAAAACATATCCGTGGGTCTTGTTGGAAGAAGGGGTCGGTTGAGCCAAGTGGCCCGTGCCCAGGGCATCAGAGATGATGACCCTGTTAGCCTCGGGGCTAGCGGTTAGAAAGGCTCATTGGGGATGGTGTTTTCAGCGGTGTCGACTCCAGCCCCGTATGTCGGAGCCCAGGCAAGTGGTTTTCCCCTCGAAAACCCACTCGTCCCGCGACCCGGGCCTGGTGGTCAGCATTGTGGATTTTCTGCGTCTCCCGTCTACCCGCCTCTTCCCTTCGTGGGACTGGGTGACCCATTTCATGCTCTATTCTGCTCGACCTTCCTTTCATTCAGTCCACCTACTGTTCCCCGACACGCACACACAAAGCAATCTACAGTTTGGCTGGGCAGACAGGGCACTATCTTTGACAATGCAGCATAAAAACTTCGAATTGCAACCTCGAGCTGCGGCTTGTTCTCCAACCGCCTAGATCATCCCTCCAAACGACTGGTAGAGGCAATAGTTGAGGGTGCCCGGGTTGGCTATGCGCCGGTATCATGCTTGTTTCTCCTGAAGAAGCCAAACTTGGAGGTTGGGTGTGCGCAGGTGTATCGTTGGTCATATTAATAATTCGGATCATTGCGGCGAGGATATACCATGGATCATTAGACAGCAGCATCGCTATCTGTGTCGCTGCTGTCGTCACCATCGTGGTCCGCCTTGTTGTGAATCAATACGTCCTTACATATGGAACCTCAAACGACGCTCTGAACGGCAAATCGACATATTTCGACTCCAAGGATCTCCAAGATCTCAAAATCGGAAGTATCTTGTCCCTAATTGCGCGACTCCTGATCACCACGGTTTGCTGGCTCCAGAGTTGCTTATTGTTGCTGTTCTATTCTCGAATTTTCGAGATCAGAACGAAATGGACCACCAGACTCATTCGAATTACCTGGTTCGCGATTCCTGTCACCTATGTCGGTGTGGTGCTGGCAACTTTTCTTGAATGCCAACCATTTCATCTGTATTGGCAGGTTAAACCCAACCCCGGAACATGCATCAAAGCATATATTCAACTGCTTCTCCAGGGCATATCAAACATTGTTCTGGATTTACTCTTGTTGGCAATTTCTTACCCGCTCCTCGCTGCGGTGCGCCAACGAAGCGTTGCTGAGCAGCTCAGAGTTGGGATATTATGCTGTTTGGGATTTTTCTGCATCGTTATAACACTGGTCCGCATTGGTTATATTTATGCCGAACAGTCGTATCAGCCAGTGCGCAGCTTCTTCGCCTCGATTCAAATAGCTGCTTCCTGCTTTGTGGCCAACGTACCGACGATCTATGGTTGTATTAGAATGATCAGGAGACGCCGATCTCACCAAATGCAGAGACGGGGAAGTCGACCGGAAGTTTGGCTGCAGCTTCAAGTCACAAATGAGAGCAATGCTTCAGCCACTGTTCCGATCGCAATGCGAGACAACAGTTCGTCAAACACCTCGGAGAAGAAATGGTCACGCTTGATTCCATGATACTTTCCTGTGGTTGACAGTTGTCAACAATTACCGGATTGAGATATTCCACGGACCGGGGGAACCCACCACGCCTTTATTATATGGACAGTTCGAAGTAACTTCCCATGCGACTCCAGGCGGAAAAGATCCGTTTCTCTGAGAATGAAATGGAAAGCGTTTATTTGGTCGATGAAATCCCCAATCACCAGTCGGTGACGGGACTCCCAAGTTTCAACAAGCAAGATGGCAACGACCTGGCAAGAGGCCTTGCAGCCCCCGGTCTCGGTCTCGCATGCTGGATGTGGCAGATTGGAAGTCGTCCATCATTTGCAAGCACTGGCACAACATTGTCTGCCGAATAGTCTGCCGTCCAGGTCCTCGGAGTGATGGTGGCATTTTGGAATCTTCCTGGAGTTGTCGAACTGAATACTCACCTGGATACCGGACCGAAAGGAACACCAACTGGTGTTCTTGAGACAGACACTTGTCGTGCCGCCGGCGAACACCTTCTCACTGGACAACTTGCGGTCGATCACAGCGCTGTCACGTTCGCAGCTGAGTCGCGGGAAAGCGAAAGGCATGAAATGAAGGTGATATAATGGAGCTTGACTGGAAGAAAATCCATGGATCTGGGACTCGAGGACTAATCGTGGTGGATAGAGACATTCACGCCCGTCATCTTCTAGAGATGAATTAGCAGCCGCAGAAGGCAGAGAGACCTGGAAGTCTTACACAGAAGCAGTGCCACCCGTCGAGCCTTTAAAGTCGCATAAGACATGGATGTGCGGAATGCGACGTGGTTGAGCGTCATGAAAAGGCCATCAGGCCTCACATCTGAACGATATAGAAGAAAGCTCAGGCGAAAAGTGATAGATATATTCTGACAGAAGTGAACCTTCATCTTCAAGTACTGCTCAGGTCGTTTTCGGGGACGCACAGTTCGGAACAGAGCGCCAAAGGTGGAATGTTTCACGTCAATAGGTATTCTGTCGATGGAGGCAGATTGTCCCAAGAATAATGTGGTATAGTGTAGTCTGAGGTATCTGCTTCAAGTCGCTGCAGGAGCAGCATGGCCCGTCCAAGCTCTATTTTTGATTCAGGACTCAGCCCGAGACTTCCTTCTGCCGCCATAAAGCAAGCACGATGTCTACGGCACGTGCTGATAAGGTGACTTATTGACCTTATCGGAACGTCGCGAAAAGGGATAATCGACTACGTGCCTGCGCCTTCAGGAGGTCGGACGCTTGATCAATACAACACACCAGAACTACCAACTCCCCTTTTGCGTTGAGTTTGCAGTTCTCATATCAACCTCGAAAACAAGCACCATGTTTACCTCGACCGCTCTGAAGTGTGTCCCTTGTTAAATTGAGTCATCCATCACAACAGGCCTGATCTTCGCCCCTCCGCCTGCGACCATGGACGGGCTTTTCACTCTGCTCAGTCTGAGCATTGTCATGGCTGTGGCTTCCTTCCTAGCAGGTATCCTGCCGCTGTCGTTGACGCTCTCACAACCACAATTACGGTTCATCTCAACAATCGGCATGGGTGTCTTAGTGGGTACGTCCCTGGTTGTCATTATCCCTGAAGGGGTGGAGACTCTCTACAGCGCTTCTGAAGTCGGACACGCGCATGCTCAGCTCAGAAGGCATGTATCTGCGCGAGGGGTAGACATTCAATGGAGTCAGGGTTTTGCCGCTCAACCGTTTCACGAGATCCGAGCACGAGAACCTGCCGATTTGAACCCCTTCGATCTCCCCGGGCCTGTCATTCCATCCGATCTAGAGGCGCCACCGCGGACTCCTACAAAGCCTGGCGTGGTTGGTGTCATGGATGTTGAGGGAAAGTCTGATAAGCAGGCCCAAACAGAGCAGGAAAATGACGAGGAGGATGAAGAAGAAGTCCACAAAGAATCTCACCATGCGTGGATTGGAGTTGCTTTGTTGGCAGGCTTCATGCTCATGTACTTGATTGACAAGGTGCCACAATACAGCCAGCCAACAAAACAAAAGGCGAGGACGCATCATATCGCATTGAACAACTTGGGCCGCAGGTTCAACTTCACTACATCTTTGGATCGCGATGATGAAGCAGACGCTTTCATTGATTCAACTGAAGGGCGCCAGGTCCACCAACGGAGCTTCGCAACCACCATAGGTCTAGTCATTCATGCTGCTGCTGATGGGATAGCACTGGGGGCGTCTTCGACAGCAACAACGTCCGGACTGAGCTTTGTTATTTTCTTTGCGATTATGATTCACAAAGCACCAGCGGCATTTGGACTGACATCCGTGCTCGTCAAGCAAGGACTCTCCAAAAGAGCAGCCAGAGGACATCTGCTCCTCTTCAGTCTGGCTGCGCCTACAGGAGCAATCTTTACATGGTTGCTTGCTCACCTTCTTGGCGGTGGTCGGAATCAGAGTGCACAAACTACCAGGTGGTGGACGGGGATGCTGTTGCTGTTTTCAGCTGGGACCTTTCTCTACGTGGCTATGCATGCAATGCAAGAGAGCTTTGGTTCTCACCACGAAGGGATGAATGGGCACGCAAACGGCTATATTGACGGGCGCGAAAGCACGCAAAGTGAGCCCAAGCCGTCTTGGAAAGATCTTGGAGCCGCCTGCTTCGGAATGATCCTGCCATTGTTTTTACAGGTTGGACATGCTCATTGACGTGGAGCGGGTTTCTGTCACTATCTGACTAGCATTCTTGCTATGGCTTCGGATCAACTTCAAGAGCAGGGCGAGCGACCAGGGCGCTATTGGGCGGAAGACCACAGACGCCTCGTCTCCCCTCGATGGAAAAGACCTCATCAACACATTGGGCTGTATAGGTCGTGTCACCGACATGCACCTCCTTGCGTCACTCCGCTGACCAAGGCTGTGGGAGACATACCACCCCCCCTTGAACCTCGGATATTTGCGACACTAGGGCTCGGACCTAAGCTGGTCCCAGGATTTCGAGCGTGGCGATTGAATCATGGTCAGTCTTTGAAGTGCGACCCAAGGAAGACATTGTCTACGCCACAAAAGCCAGGTTTCGACCCCCGTAGTTGTGTCTTAATACCTGTCAGCGTGTCATATCTGTCTGTCGTGCTCTGATCGGGCATTGTTGGTATCCAAAAACAACTGACTGGTGATTGTCAACTCATCCATGCGTTCAATATCGGAAAGGCGCCTTTCGCCCTCACCCACCCAGTCTTCTAGGATTTGATATGCAGCGTGGCGTGTGAGATTCGAGCCTAGCAGTTAAGCGTAGCCTCTGGACAGAATCTAGACTCGACGATCATTCGACGAACAGATGGAGCACGGGCAGAGGGTGGTCAGTGGCCAAAAGTCGAGGTCCGCTGGGCATCCATGGGCATGTTAGGCATGCACTTTGGAAAACGGTGCATGTTCAGGCACCACCTCCTGCACGGACCCCACCCCGAGAGGCCAATTAGTCCCGGCGGACGACAGGCTAGTCCCAGGCGTATGGGCTACATCTGCACTCCTTGTTTCCTCCCTGCGGGTTGTTCCTCCTGCCTCTTCCCCCTCGGGTCTGCTGAGTTAGTAGTTAGGTTCACCCCGTACTTGGCCAATCTGACCTGTCCAGTAACCACTGATTCCCGAATTCCCCTCCTGCCCCCGAACCGCAAAATCCCATCAACCCGTCCACACATAATACCTTTCGATATCAACCACCACCGACGAGCTTTGCTTTCTGCAAGCTCCAAGATATAGGACAGCTTTGCTGACAAACCCCCAAAAACCCAGCCTCCCACGCCTCCTCTCGATCTCGCCGCCGCCTCCCTCCCTTCTCTCGGATCTCCATATTCTCCGGCTCATTCCTCTCCTGGGCTAGGCCCTGCCTCGCATGTCATAAGCGCTTTTCTGCCAGCGATACATCTGCAGCTCGAGTCGTCCTACTCCGTTGCCCTCTACCTGACGCTGACATGGCATGATCGGGAGAAATTTATAATATAGCCTCGAACAGGAGTTCTCTCGTTGTCTATCTGAAAGCTCTTCCGCTGTTTCCTTCATCGTGTCCACTCCTCAGCCTCCCAACTTGCAGTGGTCAAAACGTGCAGGGTGTTGTTGCCGAAACGTCGCCCTCCCCCGAACCGGCCCACACTGTGTTGAAAGAGATGGACCTAGATGATGACCATCGCTCTATGTCTATGGACAGACCTCTATCGCCGAGACCTTCCAGATCTGTCACGATAGACCCGAATCAACTTGCAAACCGAGGGTACAGTGACTCCCGATCAGAGTCGCTGGACCAGGAACATGACTTCGGTTTCGCGGCACCCCACGGTCATATCCCCCAGATAGACCCCCTTCGCTCATCGAGACCTCCACGGCACAGTGTGTCGCATCCGCGTCCAAAGCGACTGTCCACCTCGAACAAGACAGGCATGCCCTTGAGCATATTACCGTCGGCTCCCGCCTCTCCTCCTACACCGGCGCCTTCGCCCACGCCTTATCAACGGGCTCCTAGTTGGACTTCTGCAGGTGAAAATGAGGATTCCTTTCTCCGGGATGCCAGGGGCCATTTTTCCAATCTAAACGTTGCAGAAAGAGAGAGATATTTGGCCGAGTTGCTCAACATGTGTGACAGCCACTTGCTTTCCTTTGTTCACAATTTTGTGTCACCCAGGCTGAAGAAAGATCCATTTGAGCATCTTCCTGACGAGCTCTGCTTAAGGGTATGTGTCAGGTCCACTGGGCAGAATCTGCATCAACTAATACCAAAAAATAGGTATTATCATATATCGACGATCCTCTTAGCCTGGCTAGGGCCTCTCAAGTCTCGCATCGATGGCATAAACTTTTGAACGACGATATGCTCTGGAAGATCATGTGCGACAAGCATGCCTGGCGAAGGACATCCTCCGTGGGTCCAAGTGAAGACCCAGACTCACCATCCCTCTCTCAAGCGAGCCAAGGCCCGTACACATTCAACAATCGGTCTCCCAAACGGAACATCGATGGCTCTGTGGTTGGCCCTTCAAGCAGTGCACCGAACCTAACGTTGCCCAAGCAAGATGCTCTGTCGACCAGCCCACGGGCGAGGAAGCGAGCGTCACAGTCCCATTATTCTCATTTCCGTCACAAATACATGATTGAGGCTGCTTGGAGGAAAGGTGGTGAAAGCATTATCAAGCACATCACCCCGGATCAAGGAGTGGTCACCAGTCTGCATCTGACGGACAAATATATCGTGGTGGCCATGGATAATGCCAAGATTCATGTTTTCAATACAGTGGGCGAACATCAAAAGACACTAAAAGGCCATGTCATGGGTGTCTGGGCGATGGTCCCGTGGGACGATATTTTAGTATCTGGGGGCTGCGACCGTGATGTGAGGGTATGGGATATGAAGACAGGCAGAAGCATTCACGTCTTAAGAGGCCACACTTCGACAGTCAGGTGTCTGAAAATGTCTGACGCGAACACGGCCATTTCCGGATCTCGAGACACGACGCTGCGGATCTGGGACTTACAGTCTGGGGTCTGCAAGAATGTGCTGGTCGGGCACCAAGCCAGCGTCCGGTGCTTGGCCATTCATGGGGACCTTGTCATCTCTGGATCATACGATACCACGGCCCGAGTTTGGAGCATATCTGAAGGCCGCTGTCTTCGGACGCTCACTGGGCACTTCAGTCAAATTTACGCCATTGCTTTTGACGGAAACCGCTGCGCCACTGGCTCGCTTGATACAAGCGTCAGGATTTGGGATCCGAAGACCGGTCTATGTACCGCCATCTTGCAGGGTCACACATCACTGGTTGGCCAACTGCAGCTTCGCGGTGATACTCTTGTTACTGGTAAGTTTATCAACTCCGAACCTGTTAGATTACGGATTACTAAATTGATATATCATCCAGGTGGCTCTGACGGTTCCGTCCGTGTTTGGTCGTTAAAAACTAACTCGCCTATTCATCGTCTGGCTGCACACGATAATAGTGTTACGAGTTTGCAGTTTGATGACAACCGAATTTTGAGCGGTGGTAGCGACGGACGCGTGAAAGTCTGGAGTGTTGAGACTGGTCAACTTGTCCGTGAGCTCAGTCAACCTGCCGAAGCTGTGTGGAGAGTGGCCTTTGAGGAAGAAAAGGCCGTCATCATGGCGAGCCGGTCAAACCGGACGGTCATGGAGGTACGCATTGCGACCGCCTGCTGGTCATCCATATTGCTAATCTTCTTTGCAGGTGTGGTCATTTTCACCACCAGACGACCCAATAGATCGACGGTCCGAAAGCCCTCTCAGCATGCCTGAAAACGTGCCGCCGGCCGATGAGGAAGAAGAAGCAACTCAATTCCACCAAGAACTCGGTGACGGTGACGCGACCATGAGCGACATATAGGGATCCGTCGCTAGAGGGAGATGTCATGCCACGTTGACCGCATCAAGGCGTCCAGAACAGACGACGAGACGAATGGTGCCGGAGAACAGAAGATGATGTCACTGACGGAAAGCCAAGCCCAGCTGATACCCTGTGCACGAAGAGGGACAAAAACGAGGGGGGAGGTCCAACAGCAATATTGTGCTGTGGGCTCCGTCTCACACTGGATGTCAGAAACAAGAAGGACTGGATGGGGAAGGAGGGTTCTTTAATGAAGAACCGGTGCCGATGGCGAGTTGTGAACGTTGGAGTTTGGAAGCCCGATATTTGCCTATCGATACGGCAGCAGGGAGATTCTCCTGAACGGTCTTTTTCTTCCAGAGCATAGCGATTGGTGCAGGGAAGCTTGAGTTATGGCCGGCATGAAATCTATCTTTATGGATATTACTCATATTGATGTTGAACGAGAAGTGCATTGGTACGCTGGGATGCCTAAAAAGGAAGAAAGGCTTTTTCCCCAGAGGCAGGGTCTCGAACGCCCGCATCGCATTGAACGGCAAAGTTGAAATGACATTACTCTATTCTTATTATTTACATATGCTCTGAGAAGATTCATCGATTATTGATACATCATGTCCCTGCTTGCTTCCCCCATGCCTCCTTTGCTTTCGTCGACCGTCCACAAATCGTTACTCCTCCTCGTCCCCCCTCTTCAAGGTTACCGTAACCATCCTCCGACGGACGAACAGATAGGTGCCACATGGCTCTCAGAGGTAGGGACAGGAATAGGAACAACGAAGAGTGGGTTGGGAGAGGGAAAAGCGGGTGAGTGGATAGATGGATGATCGAGGCGGACCGATCCTGTCCAGTCCAGTCCGGTCCAGTCAGCCAGTCAGTTACATATGTAGCTCGCGCGTCTCGTGCGAGAATGATTTGAGGATCATCATGGCATATGAGTTTATATTATCAACGTCTAGAATTGCTTGTTCTCCCAGGACATGTGGTTGCTTCAACACGGGCCTATACATTCATACATACACATATACGGAGGTATGCATGCGTGTATTTACGTAGTATGGCTTGTCCTATCACAGACCAACGTGATTATCCGGATCTATCTCTGTGTTCCATAGGCAGTTGTAGCTAGCCAACCGGTCTCCTCTGAAAATAGAAGGTCTGATGAAATCCTGGAAACGCCTCTGGTCCGCAAAGATATCCCCAATCCCTGCTTCTAATCCAAACACAGAAATAAGACCCTCTCCAAAGTTGCACAGCAGATCTAACGTGAACTTGCTTTTCCCCTCAGGGCCCACGAAAAGAGACAGGGAACAGACATGGATGTCGTGGTCTGCATGTGCCAAATTGGCTGCGTGCTCTGCTGAGTCTTTGCTATGCCGTAATATCCCTTGTCAAAGCGCCATATTCTCCCATGCTCGGCCACAAACGCAGAAAGTATATCTGTAAAGACGTGAGAAGTGAGATCCGGGACAACCTCGCCGAGAGAGAGTCGGAACTGTGCTCTAGGAGGATCGTCCGGGTCCAGTTTCGTAGGGATGTCGTCTTATTCAATTTCTTGGAGAAGGGTCTTGCGATTGATTCCTGTGCGTTATATAGAGAGGAATTTTGAGAAAGGCTTCTCAAGAAGGTAGAAAGTGTGCTCGAGGCAAGAAACCTCTTCAGATGGTCATTATGTCGTTTCGTCGAAGGATGGTTAGGTCGTCTTTGGTTGGGAAAGGCCTCTCGGGGGAGTTGGCGCTTACAATGGCGGAACCGAATGAACTAAGGCCGTCCTCGTCTGGCGGATTTTGGATAGGCGGTGTCGTCTTCGAAAAGATGCCGTGTTTGATGGTCTAGTGGCCGCCAGTGGTTGGGAGACCGAGCCAGACCTTGAAGGAATCGTAGCTGTATAGCAGTCAGTCAACATGTCCTATGTGCTCCTAATCCTCCAAAGGTTCGGAGTAGGACGATTTTGGAAATTGGGGGAAACGTACATAAGCCATTGGAATCCAGTCAGTGTTCCAATCATGACGATTCTGACCGGTAGACCATTCCACAGACCCGTAAATCCAATATTGCCGTAAATTCGGCTCATGGCTTTTCCAGCAGATTCACCGGCTAGAATGAGTGAGCACGTATTCACTGAGAAGACGGAGAGCTGGTGGGACATACCTTGACGATCCGAGTTCAACTTGCTGACCATGACATCGGCAGGATGACTGACAATGGCGCAGGCAATACCGGCAATATAACCGGCCAAGAAACTCACACCTGTCTGTTGTAGACTGTTGTAGCTCTCCTTGGGCTTGCCGAGTTGTTTATAGATGACCTTGACGGTCTCTTCAAAGGTTGCGAACTTGCACATCGTGTACGGAATTTGACGGCCCCAAAGCGGGTAGAGACCCTTGTACAGCCCGGCAATGCCCTCCTTGTCGACGATTTTGGTCCATCCCTCCCGCAAGTTGTTCGCGTACGGAGGCAGTGTCGTCTGCATGCGGACTTTGATGGCTTCCCATGGGCACAAGAGCATGTCTGCGATGAATTCTGCCGTGGCGCTCGCACCCAGGTAAACTAGCGTGCGGTTGCTGTTGGGAAACATGTTGTCGCCGTACAGGTGCTTGAAGATTTCGTAAAAGCCATATTTCCCGAGACCCTGGAAGGAGTAGCCGACGAACGTCGGTGTCCAGCCGAAGAACACCCCACGAACACCTTCTTTTGCGTAGATGGAACTCCATCCTTGTATGTTGGACTTATAGATCTTCGGGTCGACTTGACGTCGGGTTTTGACTAAATCGAGAGGTGTGACGAGAGTATGTGTAGGTCCGCATGCTACAACACCGCCCAGCATGCATGCAGCGAAGTATTTGGTCTGGGAAGGGAGATGTTAGTTTCTTGCCATTCCAACGCAAGCACAGGCAGCATAGGTACGGAATGTGCAGATATGTCAGACATCAGAATCTGAGACTGCGCATCACAGCATTTGCGCTCACTGAGGTTTGTGCTTCGATCGGTCTCTACCGGAAAAGGATCATTCCAACGAGAATACGTACCGAGTACGGCTCGATCTTCCCCAGCGGATAGCTTTTGAGCACCTCGGCCGAAGGTGGCTTGAGAGTCGTTTTCGTCGCCATTGCGGTCAATTGAACTGGTGTTTGGTGGATGGGAAAAGGGAGAGTGTAAAGGCCAGAGTCGGGAGAGACTAAACAACGGTCTTTCTCAAGCAACCACTGCTCTTGCTACAGTGGAGCTCCAGGTTCTACCACGGAGTATGTGCGGGTTCGACACGAAATCAGAGAGTCTAACAAGAGAAATATGGAGGATGAGGGGAGATTCAAGATCTGTCAAGGGACTAGTTTTCCGCGAGTTGCACAGAAAGGAATAGAGCTGCCAGCAAGAAAAGAAGAGCTCGGGAGAAGTCAGGAAGGTCAGAAGTAAATAAGGGAAGCAAGCTCTCCCAATATGGCTCAAGGTAGCCGCCCCTGCCGCAGTAGCCGTAAGAGCTGCCCTCGCTGCGCAGATCCGGGAGGTCGAAGATTGCGAGATCCAGGATGTGGCATTGATGCGAATGGGCGAGTCGGTGCATGTGAAGGAGCGGCACCCACAGGCGGCCTACATCATCACCGATGAGACTATTCCTAATCAGGTTGGGCACGGCCGGGAGTTCCGGACGTGGACCACTGACATCATGCCCGCCAAAAGCTTGATTGTGGCTAGCGGGTGCTTATTCATCCGGTGCCATCATCTCACTCAGCCAACCAGCAGCCGGGACAATGTGCCTCTTTGAGGATAGAAACGGACACACGACCATACCTTTTGCCTGGTCTGTAGCGATGTGTACACATATAAATAAACTAAGTTCCAGGGATCCTTTGCCCAGATCCACGTCTACGGGGGCATTCCCAGTCCCAGGTGATGTGTCGGCCCCAGAACGCCCTGATTGCTATCTGGCGGAAAGAGTTGATCCCATTCGGCCTGTAAGGAAGATGTCCATGTCAGTGCGGCACTACAGGTATCAGGACGGAGGCACTCACCCAGTCAATATCGAGCATGACAGAATCATTACGGTTGTTGTTCTGGAATTGTGGGATGTTGATCTGATCACTTGGAAACCCCGAGTTGATCCCAAAGGGACTGCCACCTCCGGATGAGGGCTGCCTGGGTACAACTCCAGGAAGTGAATGAACGGCTGCAGGAGGCGGCGACGTATGCGGATTCGGCCCCAAGACTGTTCGCCAGCTGACTTGATCCGTCGTGATCAGTGGCGGCCAAGAGTCATTTGTGCCTGAGTCGCTGGGGCTGTTAAAGTCAATCTGCTGCCCAGGCGAAGTCTGATTTGCATCCGTCCGGGGTGGTGTTTGCTGCGGCAGCTGTTGTGACCTTGATTGTGATTGCGACAGCAGCGGCGATTGTTGTCTTGCAGAATGTGGCGGAAACTGCGGAGACGTGAACTGCGTGAGATGGCCAGCCTCGGCCGGTGGCAGGTATTTCGCGGAAACATACATCGTGGTCGGGGTATCAAAACTCCAGGGCTGGTCGGCCGAAAACCTTGGCTCTCCTCTGCCTGTATTCGGTGGTGATGTGGACGCGATAGCCGACGGGCGCAACGAGTCCGTCGTGTCGGTTTGAGCTTGGTCTTTCGCTGACGGTTCAGAGCTCTGAGGGCGTTTGTCCAGGCCCTGCTTCATGCTGACGGGAATCCGAATCCTGCGCAGGTCTCGGTATACGGCCGTCCGATCCCGCACCGCTGCAATAATTGTCCTGGCTCGTTGAGTCCGTGATAGAGAGAGATCCGGCTCAAATACAAAGTCGATCACATTCCATATTCGTTCAGCATCTCGAAGTGTCGGCTGTGCATAGATGACTGATAGCAGCAAAAAGGCGATGTGCCATTGCTGGTAAGCACCGTTATACCATTTCCATCTCCTCAGCTCCGGGATTCGTTCCATGGCGACTGCATTCTCCATGGCGAGCAGGCCGCTTTGGATGGTGAGATCTGCAAGCCTCTCAGGCACTTTGTTGCTTGCATTGTTCAAGTACCGATGCAAAATCATGACATACATCCGCTGAACCATAAGGTTCATCAGCAGTTGTGCATATTTTTGGATGGGCACTTCAATATTCAAGATGGGATTGTACTTGGCCGCCATGGCTTTTCGGAACGATTCCACTTTGCTCAGGACATGGGTCAAGGACGCCCGTTTCTTTTCGATGCGAATGCGATCGTACCATATAACTCGCTGCATTTCCGTGCATTCAAAATGTATCCGAGACATGGTCATGTCTGTCCACTTGTCCTTCGCTTCCTGAGGCTTCGCCACGAGGAGATCGGCATCGTTGATGTTGAGTGGGAATTTCGTGTCATAGTCTTCGCGCTTAATGCCTGGTCGCGGGCCTTGAGATTCACACGTGCGAAAATCCAGGAAGCAAAGTTGAAACCATACGATGCGGCGAACGTGACACTCCACAGGCGATAGGCCATAGACCACCTCCGGATCCCGATGGAGACCCATGCATTCCGCAAGGCGGACCGCCATGCCGACTATCACCGAGTGCGCTCGGGAGAGCTGGTCCCGACACATGGGGATGAGATAGATCACGAGAGCCTGTAACGTTTCAATCTTGGTCGCCCTCAGGACTTGTGCTTTACTTAGGGCCACCTCGGTGCCAGTCTGGAAATTCCCAAGTATGGTGGCTTTGGGCCGAGCGAAAATAGCTGTGACATCTGACTCTGGCATGCTTGCCACAGCGGAGAATAGGATCGAGAGGACAATGGATTGTTGCCATGGAGGAGGTTCGAGACCAGCAAGTACCGCGGTCCAGAAATTGTCATAATGCAGCTGGAAGCTGGGCCAGTGGACAACACGAGCAATGAAATGCACGTTCTCAAAATAGTTGCGCACCAAGATGTCGGCCGCAGTCTTTGCCGGCAAGAAATTGATGAGGGACCTCTTATTCCCGACCTCCGCAAACATGAACCCCGATCCCGGGGCGATGTACGAAGGTCCGGGGGCCAGGAAGTCACTATCATGATCAGGGAGTTGAGGCATTGCTGAGAGCTTCTCGTCGAGGGTGCGACGATCGTTGGAGGGTTCTGAGAGGGTGATGTCCATCTGAAGCGCATGTCAATCTCGCGGGAAATTTGCACATCGCTGCTGTACCTACCTCTTCATGGAGTCTGGGTCGGAAGAAGCCACCGAGTCGCTCCGTTAACCTTTGTGCTGGTCAGCCTATTTGATACCTCGACGCTTAGGTTACAAAGAGAACTTTACCGCATTTTGCCAATCCGAATACCCAGGTCTAGGACATCGTCATTGGCATCGTCCTCGTAAGCAGCATCAATGACTGCGAACGGTGTCGGTTCAAGCCCTTTTTCATCTTCGGGGACTGTCGCTTCGTTGTCAGAGCTGCTGTCCTCACCTCCGGGAAGGTCGGCTGAAGTTCTCCGTTGGGACTTTTGCGACGAGGCTGTGGCAGCCCTTCCTTCCTTGCGTGCGACGTCCTGCTCAAGCACTCGTTCCAGAGACCCCATCTTTTCCTTGATCTCGTTGAGACGTTGCTGTGACACCGAATCCAGAGCCGGCGCAAGGAAGAGACAGTCGCGGGAAAACTTGCTGCAATTAGTACAGGGATGCAGCTTATCACATTTGAGCTTTCTCCGGCGACATTCCAGACACGACGTGATCATCCGATTTCGCCGGCGCACTCGATTTTGACTGGCGGATTTCTGCTTCTCGTCGGCGGTGGCGCGACCGTCGGACGGAATTGGGCTATCCATGTCGTCCAGCGCTATAGTCGACAGTATGAACAAAAATGGGAGGATCTGTCGCAAAGTAATATAAACCACCCTGGTGACTCCGAACCTCGATATTTGCCGGGGTATCGGGCGGGGTAAGTCGGGAGGATAGCTCAATTCAGAGCAAGATCGACCTCGCGCCCGTTTCCCACTAAGGCACTGGCACTCGAATAATTTGCGACGTCGATGGCAGAACATGCACTGAGGAAGCCAGCGGAAGGCCAAGGGGAATTCGAGACAAATTTCAACGGCAGAGAGGTGAGACGTCGTCGGGAGAAGTCGACGTTAGTGGCGATTGGCTGAGTGGCACGTGCATCCGTCGCCGGCAACGCACACACACCGTAAAACACCACTTGTTACAGGCGCCCAGCGCGGTTGCCGCATCATCATGATCGCTGTTAAATCACCCACTGAACTAACCCTCGCTTCACTCCAGCATCAAGCGTCGTATAAGCGGCCATGCTGACTCGCCACTATCTCAGCCATTCAATGCTGGACTCTGGTGGGATGCTGTGGGCACCGAAAGACCGCTCGGGGTATAGGGAAGGCTGACTCAGCGACTTTGATGGGTCGGACACCAGACGGCAAGACTCACCATGCCGGTTAAAGCTTTGCCGAGAAACATCAGGGCTCCAGGAGGATTGAAAAATGCGTTGATGAGCACATTGGACTCGGCTGAATGCTGGGGTGTGCAAGTCTGGGGAATCATGGCGAGGCCAGGTCGGTGGTCTAGAATGGTGCGTGTGGCGGTGGTGCTGTTATCAGTGCTACATCCGAATCGATCCACGACGTCTCGAATCCCACTTCGAACTCTCCCAGAATCGTCCGTCTTATTAACATTCCTCGCTTAGCCTCAAGAATACCCTCAGTCTTTCCGAGGACATGCTACGCTGTAAGCAGGGCCAATGGACACCATTCCACCTGGATTCGATGCCACACGTATGTTTGCACGTGTACGAGCTACGGAGTCCTCATACGAGGCTTTAGGTAAGCTTGGGCGTAGCTGAGAAAACGAAAAGTCTCGACATCCGTGTTCGTCTTGCCACTCTGAGAAAGGTGGTATTTTCGCACCAAGGATCTAGTTCATGACACAGCTCTTGGGACGACAAACATAGCGTAACGTCAATGGCACCGGAAATCACGCAGTTCTGTCTCATACCTGGACAAGACCTCAAGCAATCTGGCTCCTTGGCTGCCCGGTGTCTCCAAAAGATTTCGACAAAGTGAACTAACAGATTGCGTTTATTTGTGGCTGCTGGCTAATTACACACATTTCTTAGACAGTGACACCGTTGTCCTAATCTTGTGTAGGTGTCTTAGCATAAAACCCCAAGGTTGCTCGTCGCGATTGTCGCTAGGATTGGTCGCAATCAAGTCTACGCCACTAGAGTATTCGAGTGAGCCATAGAGTTGCGCACAGTTGGCTGAGCGTCTGACAGACTGCGAGGACATCCAACATGACCAAGACCAGGTCAAGAGCGAGGATTATGCGGCTGTGGCTGGACATCGAGTCATCCTCCCTGTTGTCAAGGCGTCAGGCTAAGATTCTTACTATTCCATAGCCCAGGAAAGACGAGAAGAGTGCTCAGCCCACGTCAACTCCACCTCTCACTCTCACTCCACGAGTGTCTGTCGAGAATCTGTTGCTGTGTTGAAATCATTCGGGTCACCAGAGGACGAAAGAGAAGAACAGAAACCGGCATTGGAGGATTTGTTTCCTAACCTTGTCAAATTCTTGACGACCGACTCCCTATGTATAGCAGACATACACGCGGCAGGGGTGAGTATTGTGCGCAGCAGACTCCCCAGGTGTATACTACCTGCTTCGGCACCGGTTCCGGAAGCGCCCCTAAACGAGAACGCTTGTGAAAGCAGGGCACCTAGCTTTACTGGCTTCTCCGAGAGCCTTGGATGCTTGAGAGATAACCCTGGCGACACTCTACCTGTCGAGGCCATGGAGCCGATCTTAAGAGTTGTGCCCCTTCGGAGAAAAAGAGACGCCTTCCACGTCAGCCTGCGCCATTCTGGATAGACAATGGGTACTATATTCGTACCAATCGGGCAAGGGCTACCCACCTTGACGTCTTGGCCCTCACAACACATCTGCGGCTTCTGACTCTAGTGACCGTGATCATGATTGCCGAAGATTGGACCCTTCGCTTCCTTCAGTCGATCGCAATTGCGACAGTTCGCCATAATCACGCGGTGCTGTGAGACAAACCCCTTAGTGGCCTGGATAGCCGAGATCTGGGGAAATTGGTTGAGCTATATTTGGCCAATCACGGAACGAATATTGCAGCAAGGTTTAGCTTCAGGATGGTTCATCTGATGGTTGCCGGCCTTGGTTCAACGCCACTTCAAGTCTTTCTTCGGCCTGTCAACAAACACCTGCTTCTCTTTCAGAGAAGACGACGCTTAACGATTGTTACCCCAGTGACGAAAGCAATCCAGAGACCTCCTTCAGGGTTCGATATCCGCTCTCCACATCGCAAGCTTCGTTCGAGCACGAGGAGGACGGGGCCCAAGCCACAAGCAACGCTAGTTGCTCATTCTGGGTTTTTGGTCGTTCAAACAAGACTCTGTGTACGCATCCAGCCTCGAGTCTTTGTCGAAAACTTGTATTGCTAGCAGCTCCAAACCGGAATGTCTCATCCGCTCGAAAGGCCAAACTGAGGTCTGTCAATCTATGCGAAAGAAATACTTGAAAGATGGACACTCCTGCCTGGCTCGTCGATCCCTCGTGCTCAGCCGCTTCATCATCTCTCTCTGCTTCAGAAAAGCTCCGGTATTGTTATCAACGTCGTTACGAGTATGGAACTCTGGAGATGCTGGGGATGATTTCTGCTTACCGCTCAACTATGCCCCGAACTAATTAGCCGACCCACGATAAAATGAAGAATCCAGGCCTCACGTACGTACAACCGCAGCTTCATTTACTTTGATCGGTAGGTTGTTTTGGAATTAGAGTTCGAGGGCAAGACCCTCGTGAATATCTAGGCTATGCTGTCTCCACTAGGTAGGTCTGTTGCCGGTCTAGGTTCCTGCGGTACGAAGCGTGCTGGCAGACATCGTCGTCATTGCTTGTTTACGGGGTTATCAGATGCTCATCTCTCATTGTATATGGTCGATGCCGCCTCTGCTGTGTGGGCATAATCTACTCCTCTGTCCGTTTGAATCAACGTCTACATCCCCACTTACCTCATCGCTTCCCTCTTACTATGAAATCTTTGGATTTGTCTCCGTCCCTATGGCCACTCGCGTTGCTACCGAGTCTCACGCATGCCTACTGGCGCATGGCGTGCAGCGTTTCTCAGACTGTTCGGGTGGACCTCATCCTTAATCCAGACGACGTGTCTGGACATGTGCACAAGTTCGCCGGCGGCAGCAGTTAGTGCAAAGAGCATCAGCGTCCGACCATCGTGCTAATTACTCAGATGTCAACCAATATTCCGACTTCGATTCACTACAAACCTCCAATTGTTCGACGTGCGAAGTTCAGCAGGACAAATCGGCCTACTGGACCCCACAACTGTACTTTGCTCACGCAAACGGCTCATTCGAAGAAGTTCCAAACTATGGGATGACAGTGTATTACGTCGGTATGTACAGGCCCTCTGTGCCTCATATAATTTCTGACTGTTTGATGAGGCCGCGGGGGTAATGCATCTAATACGGTACCGTTTCCTCCTGGATTCAAGATGATCACAGGCGACACTCGACAGAGATCTTACGACAATACAACCTTGACATACCTGGATACCAGACCGGTGGCCGATAGGTATGCCTTCTTTCCATGATCTCAAAGATTCTGCTGCTAACCTTTTGATAGGGTAAGTTTCCGCTGCATAAATGAGGCTAACGATATTCCAGAAGAACACTACATGTTTCGTACCGACTGTGTCAATGGTATGCGAGCTCAGGTTAACTTCCAGTCCTGCTGGGACGGAGCCAATCTTTATCTCCCCAACAACGCCCACGTCGACTACTTGTCGGGCATCGACTACGGCGTCTGCCCTCCTACTCACCCGGTTCCGATTCCTGGCCTCTTCTTCGAGTGAGCAGTTTCCTTATGCTGGTACGGCTCCAAGCTTACCTCTACTAGAGTTCTTTACCTGACAAACTTGGTTGACCAATCGGGTGGTGGCCAGTTTGTCTTCTCCAACGGTGATGCCACAGGCTACGGGTTTCATGGCGATTTCCTGAACGGTTGGGATATGGACATACAGAATGCCGCGGTTGCAGACTGTCTCTACACAGACAACGGCGGGCTGGTGAGCGCGTGCTCCCACCTCGCCCCAAGCGACGATACCAATTTTCCACGCGACTGCCTTGAGCAGCCATCAGTATTTAATGAACCTGTGCACGGCTTGATTTCTGCCTTGCCTGGTTGCAATCCTATCACGTCTGGTCCCGACCTAGCTGAACAAGTCGTCTGTCCCCTTGGCTCCCACACCCCCGACTCCTTGGACCAAATACAAACCTCAATCGCCACCTCTATGTCGACTACTTCTTCTTCGGCAACAGCCTCCGGAACTGATCCGGGCGTTCCAGGCACGACGGATACATTCAGCATCCCAAGCCCAACTCCAATCAATGCAGTGGCTTCAAGTGGTTCCTCTTCCTCTACAGGGCTGTCATCCTCTGACCCGCCGCCGATGCCACCTACCGCCACATCCTTCGACCAACTGAGTACTTCAACCATGGAATCAGAAAACGGCCTAGTGACTACCACCGTCACCGAGTGGGTTACCATTACAGTGACAGGGCCTAACGATATTCCGTCAAATTTTGTCGCTGTCAGCAGTACCTCGGATTTCGCATTCGCACCGGCGGCTACAGACTCAATCCTAGCGGCAGTGGTATCTGCTGGGTCAACCATATATACCTATTCATGCCCTGACCAATATTCAAGACCGACTGCACGGTGGAGGACCACCCTCACCTTATATGCGACAGTGGCCCCGACGAATACACCTTCGGCATTCTCGCAGTTCGCATCCTCTCCAGGAGCCACTTCTGTGACAACGAGCACTCCTGATCCCACCAATACATCAGCATTTTCGCAATTCATATCTTCCTCAGACACCACTTTCACGGTAGTGGGAACTACTGCTCCAATGAACACAAGTGAGAGTAGGAGCATCACTATCTCGACATCTGTGGCCCTAGCCTACGGATTTCCTTGTTCTCTTTATTCAGGTTTTACGATCGATGGGTGTCCGCTTCCCGCCGCTACCGCATCAGCCACGGATACCACCACAGCGAACGTTCCGAGCGCATCTGTCACGACGATACCCTCGGTTACCGATAGCACGACTATGGCGCCTACCACATCTGCACCAGCTACAACACCTTTCAGGATTCGAGGACGTGAGGTATTCTTGACTGAGAAATAGGGCGGACGCGGGGGTCAGGGAAGTATTGAATTGACATTATGGCACTAATTAATGACAGAGAACGAGTTTACTGATATACAGGGACGAATCTAATACCAGCACAGATGGGCCAGGAGGATTATGGTGCTGCGACGAAATAAAGAGATACCCAGGGGGGCACAGGACCATTGACCTTGGACAGGTACACTGGCGGTCGGAGTACTACTGAGGCTTTAGAGAGATGGACTATCTGGTGGCTGGATGGGTTTGGGGAACCGGTGTTTTGAGTGAGTGGTCAGGAGCAATAGAATACAGGTCAGGAGCAAATGCAAAGTGTTATCCATTTCAATATTTCCAGTGTCTTGGAGTTTCAATCCCAGGCCACGGGGTTGGTGTTCCAGGACAACTTTGGCTACTTCATGCTACGGCGCTGCATACGTTTCGTACTAGTCACGCTTTTCCTCTTCGGGTCAGCCAGCATCGTCGACCTCGTCGCAGCTTTGTTCAATGCTAACTCAATTGACATCCTCGGGACTCTTTCTATCACCACCTCGCCCCAGCCCGCGTGCTGCGGTCCCTTTCGCATCTCTCCGATGTTATGACTAAACGCCTCTCTGCAGCCAGCTGCATTTCGTCCCAAACTCCGAGATTCGTGTGGATCTCCGACGCCCTCTTGACGGACGCTTTCAATCGATTCTGTCACCACAAGCGCTATGGCAGCAGCGTGCCAGGTCCCCTGGAGGCACAGCGGCGTGCTGCGAGACGCAAGAATACCAGTCTGGCGTACGCCAGCCCCGGAGGCATCTCGGCCGACCCTTCAATTGTCCTCGGGAGCTCCGCCAACAAGCTAGCTTGGTGGCAGTCTCCCCAGCATGCAGAAACCGCAGCAGATTCATGTATGCCCCGCGCAAAGTAAATCGTCCAAGAAACCTGTGCTTACTGCCTTGGATCTAGCTTCTCCTCGGGTCCTGCCATCATGGATTTTTCCTTTTGAAAGTTCGATTGCCCACTCCCCGCCCACCTCCGTTACAATCGAGACAGGAAGAACACCAGTAAAGCCGAAAACAACGCTTGGAGATGAGATGATGCGGCTGTCCAAATGCAAAACTCTGGTCGAGGTCAAGGATTGGGTTCAGGATGAAGGAGTCAGTCTGCGTGAAAACGCTCGTGTCCGAGCTGCAATACCTGGACATATCCTACAGATGGACTTCCAGATGCACGAGATCGCGTCGTATATATGCGACCCAATGTTTCATCCGCCAGGAACGTCATATGTCTTGCAATTAGTCCGTGGCTTACTCGGTCGTACTTGGGACGCAACCTCCTGGGGAATCTTGCGTGATGCACTTTGTTCCGCTACTGAACTTGGGCTTCTCACCATTCATGACCTGAAGGAAGTCATTGCTGAGGTGGCCAGCCTGGCTGAACTGCAGCTGACCGACGCCCATGGCAAGGAAAAGAGGGTCAAGGTCAATGCCCAAATGTATCTGATCTATGGAATGCTGGAATCTCTAGATCGCTCCACAGTGTTGCGGACTACCGACCTTGGATCCTCCTTCCTGGCTGGACTCTTCTCGAGGTTTGCGACACTGAAACACTATCGTGGCTGGTGCCAGAAGTTGTTGTGGCGTCTCCTACCGTGGGCACCGAAGTCTCAGGTTCCCGTCATTCGCCGGATCACTCTGAAACAGCTCCATTACGCCTGTCGACACAAACCCCAGGATGAAGTAGGGCGAAGGCTCGCAGAAAGGCTCGCAGTGGCCGACCCAGAGGTTCTACAGCTGGCTTTGACTGATGTAACGGAGAAGTTGCTCAGTATGACGACGGAATCCGGAACAATGCTGTACATGTACTTATGGCATCACTGGTGTGGCACATTGGCCGTTCTCGGATCTCCAGATTTCGACGTCTCTCTGACACAGCATGGATGGGTTTCTACTCAATCCGCCAAAAGCTCCGTGCCACAAGATCAACGTTTGCTGGCATTTGCCTGGACTGCTATGTATCTCTCACAAGACTGTCGAGGGTCGATGGACGTGGAGGAGCACCTGCAGTTCCGAATTCGCTTCGAAGCACTGCTCCGATCAATCCCCGAGTTCTCTGAGGATTTCCTGGATCGTGCCGTTACCGAGCTTGGGACTATGCCGCTACCGAACAAACATATACTCCTGCGAAATCTCGCGAGATTGTCGACTAGAGCAGACGCACTGCTTCCAACATTGGATGCCAAGTCTTATACTGAGTCGACACTTGGGCCCGGTATATCTCCAAGCTTGATCGACAAGCGCATTCAGAATGCTCATTTAGAGGGCAATGACACCCTGGCGGAGCTGATCAAGAGTTCAAAATGTGATCTTTCAGCTTTCAAGATTTTGTCCCGACGGATGATCCAGAAAAGCACGACTTCGTTCGGTTTTATTTGCCATCTTTTGGAGACCAATCTGCTTTTCAAGCTAGCTCTGCGGACACCTCTAAGGCCGGCTGCTCTTGAGAAGCGGATGTGCCAAAAGCACATCGGTATATTCGCGAATCTCAGTACTTCAGAGGAGGATCGAACGGAACACCCGTCGAGCAGGTCGAGCTTACCCAACAGGGACGAGGTAATCGACTTGATCGGTCATCTCGCCCTCTCATTTGCGACCTCGACTGTCGCCACTCCACGGGCTGCACTACGCAGAGTGTATTGGTGCTATCTGTTTCTTCGCCGCTACGGAGCACCCGTTCCACCAGCCATCACCCAAGCATTATGGCACGCCGGCATCACACGATATGGCGACCACGGTACGGCGGCAACACTGTTGAAGTGGGTTCTAATGCAAATAAAACAGGTCGAAGGCGAGAGCGTTGCTAACCTGCTACTCTGGAACGAGACCTTTCGTCGGATGCGGGAAGAGCAAATTGCCGCTTGTTCCAAGATCGATCAAGACGCGGAAAAGAGATTGGTTGCCGAATTAGAAGCTTCGGCTATAAGTGACGAGGGTGAAAGAGAGGTTGACGCAGCGTTCACCTCGGCTTCTTCCTCCTCGTCGGAAAACCATATTGCCAGTGGCGAAGAAGCAACAGACCCAGTCCTACTAAAGAAAATCGCATTCATCAGATCCGAGCCGCCGGACAAGCCAGTCTGGATTCCCAGAGCACAGAGGATGGCCAATTCTCACGAGTTCTCAATTGCAGCGGACGAGAAGCAGCAGGAGCTATTACAGCGCAGGGCGGCGGAAGCACTCAAGGTGGCGAACTTAGTGTATCGAGACTGATGCGGGCTCTGCACAAGATATTCAGGAGCTATGGGGACGGGGGCGACAAGGGATGGACAAATCCCTCCCCCTGAGCCGATGATCTATATTCCCTGTATATACGATAAGATATGAGAGAATTGGCGCAAATGCGTTTTAAAAGAAAAAGCACTCCCTGCGCCAGGTGGCTTCTTACCTGTTTTTCCGTCTTATCGTTGTTGTTATTGTTTCGCAGCACTTACATAGACATTGGACTCGGTCCTTCAGCACTCGAATTCCTGAGGGGATGGATGCGACGCCCTGGAAGAGCGACCGAGGCTTCCCAGCCAGCATCACAAGCGTATCCCTCTATCCCTCTATCCTGAATTCGAACTTTTTGGCGTCCATCTCGAAGTGGACAATGGCGCCGTGGGTGCCGCTGTAAGTGGTCGGTCCGTCGGGGGGAAGGGGAAGGGTATGTACATGATACAAAAATACCGACAGAGAGGGCCTGAAGTCACGGGCCATGGGCCATGGGGCCGATGTACCTGTACCGAGTACATATTACATACATACATACTGTACCTATCTAGGCAGGTAGACGCATGTGCAGCGGCCCACCGGGTGCCTTTCTAACTGATTACACCAGCCTTGTAGGCCAGTGCTTATCCTGCGATCCCGATCTTGGAAGAGAGGGAGAAAGGACAAAGCATTGATCGACGACCTTTAGCCGACGACAATCCTACCCAGCTGCATAGCTGGCCCTTGCAAGTTTTGCTGTCTTGTCTCGGAAGTCCTGGGAAAGCCCCGAAAATTCGCGGAGATATCGATCAGCTGTCATCTGACGCAAGACGGCAATGGTAGCGGCAAGGTCCCTGAATCGTGCATCAACAGTGTGCTTGACTGACAAGTTCCAAAGCAACATGCAGAAGCAGTCAGTCAACCTCGCGTGGTACGGGGACTGGACAGGCGCATGGTCGATGCTGTGAGAGAGCTACACAACGTTTCGATTACCTTGAGCACCTTGTAATTTCCATCTTTGCAAAGTAGCGCTAACCAAGGAAAGCAACAAAACCTAATAGTGCAATGCTGCGTTGCTTGCTTGCCTCCCCCCAATCAGCTCGAAAATCAGGGCCTGCTAACAAAGCCAGCCATGTCTATTTTTCGGATCTCAGAGAACAGGTGGATCACCAGGCTCATCTTCGGAGTGGATACCTGTGCTGCGCCTAGACACGAAGTTCAAACACCCATCCTGGCGCAAGCTATGAACCGTGATCCTGGACTCGGCTTGTTGACATTGGTTTGTGGCGCACTGTGTGTTGTACAACATCTTTCGCTATTGGTGTCCCCGAAAAGATGACACGTTCGCTGCATGTCGATGAGATCGCCAAGCGTAAAGCCTCACTTTGAGGCATGCAGTCGATCGCAGTGGAATTGTAAGATGACTGAGTCCATGGCCCTCAAACGCACTGACCAGGGGCCAGGCAAGTCAAAGTTTTTGCTCGTCCATGGACGTAGTCGCATGCAAGTTCCAGCTAGGACAGCCATTTTCCGCCCAGCAATGAATCCGTGAGCGGCACATGGTAGTCGGCGCAGGAAACGACTAGCCCACCAGTTGCGTCCGTGCCTTCAGAGGGGTGCCCCGGGCATCGTTTCCATATCCAACGGGACCAGACTTACCGATCAAGCCGAACCAGAGAAATCTTGCGTTGCTCCATCATCGGAAAGCTCGCAACGAACTGCAAGGAATCGGAGACCTTGTCTAAAAGGGGGAAGCTGGATAGGTTGCAATGGAAAATGAGCAAATCAGCATGCCATGCTAAGAACCCTCCTAGTCCGCTCCTCTGCAATAGAGTTTCCTGGGGAGCCGTCAAAGCGTAGCTTTGGTCCAATTATTCCGGTCCATAGCACTTGTGTGGTCCGTGACCTCGCCAGGCACTCAAGCCCGGGCCCGGCAACAGTCTCAAAGCATCTCCAAACGGCGTCGAGGAACTTGAGGCGAGGCCAACTGACCTATGACCTCGGACGGCACTCCGGCCATTTAAAGGAACGACCTGCGGCGTCGATGCAGAGGGCGTCTGGTGGAAGATCATGCCAGCTGGTATGGAGGGATTTCCGCAGGAACAGGGCACGTTTGACCGAAGCCACGTGTTCGACATTCGCTTTCACGGCGTATGGCAGCCACTGCGACCCTGAGATCTCAGTCCAACTCTCTTGGACATTCCGAGAAGCCTATTTTAACATGTTTTGAACAAGCTTGGGCAAGTTATCCCCAGTGATCTACCGGGCATGGTCACACTCGGTTTCCCTCCTCCCAGCGGCGTGAGTGAGGAGGAGCAGGCCCAAATAAAGACCCATTGCTGAGACACTATTGGTGATTTGGTTTTCGATGCGTATCATGCATGGAAAGTGGTTCCGTTAGTCCCTATGCAAGATTCCAATGAGACAGCACGCAGTGGGGAGGCGATGGAGGCGGTCAGATAGATCCAGGCTCAAACGGTTGACGAGTCATATTCTGTTCGAGGGAACCTGGCAGCCCCACCCCCCGGACGCTTGAATGGTTTGACATTGGGGGACTTCCAGAGTTGCGTGCGCCGAGCGAGCTGGGGAAGGGCCAAAGTGCAGATGAACGAGTTACACAGCCGTGAGCACGTACCACCCCAAGCATGACCCAAATCTCGGTGCGGATCGTGCAGTAACATGGATTGAAATCTTAGGAAAGGGCCGACAGAGTCACACAAAGGCGCTGAAATGTAACACCCGCGGGCGGGAAAACTGCTGTTCCTGAGAGGTGGAAGACAATCACAACCCTGGCCCAGTGAGGGGGGGAGACCCGGGAATGTGGTCAGAAGCGGGAGGCGACATCGATGTACTGTGACTGGGAACTGCATGCAACCCCGATCAGCCATTGAAGGATCTTGAACGACAGGGAGATCTGGTCATGGGGGAACGACAGAGATGGGCAGGTGGAAGACGGGGGGCGTCTCAACTTGGCTTGCGACCACCTGGTACCCTCGAAGCAAGGAAGATGGAAAGGCGAAACAGCTGACAGCTGCGGGTTGCGAGCTGACCAGAGCGCGGCAGCGATGAGTCTGCATGTTTTTTGGGGTGCTTTCTTGGGAAATATGAAGCCAGATCTCGTACGTAAGGGGGCATAACCCCAGACTCGTATGGGCACGGGGCCCTTTTACCAGGCAAGCTGCGAGTGCTAATTAGTTAGTAGATCGAAAGTTGATGGTGAAAGGAAAAGGTGGAGGCGAAGTGCTGCTGGCTTGTAAGCGAAAGGGGGGTGAGGTGCTTGATGCACGGGTGAACGGGATGAAAGGGGGCTAGTGGGCTAACTAGGCTTCGCCTATGTCGCCATGCGTAGTCTCCATCCTGGAACCCTGTCCAACTTCTGACCTCACTCACCAGCGTCACCACCGACTTGACTTCCCTTGCCTCGTGTGCTTTACCTTGTGCGGCGTGTCTAGGTACACTGCTTGCACTATCGGTGAGGGAATGCAACAACAGCGGTGTCTTAGGAGATCTTGGTTGTCGAGCCTCAGGTCCTCCCTCGTGAAAAGACCAGCACCGACCAACGCTGACCGAGAGAGGGGACGTTCCTATTGCCATTACGATCGAGCACTACAAATGAACAACAGAGAATTCACAGCAATCATGTTCGAGTCTCAGAGTGCTTGCTGGCTCTATTTGACCAGGCAACTGCTTCGACGCACGTGATCCAATGCATCCTGCTCCCGATCCCCCTCCCCCCCTCCCCGGTCACTCTTTGCTCAACATCAAGTACCATCTAACCAGAACGGCCTCAGAATGTCACCCAAAATGCTGCTCCGCCCGTTTTGCTTTCTGATACTGCTCCTCCCTTGCCTCATGGAGGAAAATGGCCAATAAGACTTCTTCTTATTCGAACCAGTCACGTTGGTTTCCCATGTTCAGCTCAATGCTCCCGAACAGGATGCTCTTCCCAATCCACCACACCCTACCATGTGCGTCCTTTGCCCGGCTTCAGCCCCCTTGCGTCGCCGTTCTCCTCCTGTGCGTCACGTATTCCCGTCCACGGGCCTAGCCAGCCCTATCTCCCGGTACCAGAACTTGTCCCCGCCTTCTTCCTATGGCGTCCCAGCCACTGGACCATGGCGGCCAATATGGCCAAGAGGACTCTCCCGAGACCACCACCAGACATCACATACCCTTGGCTTCCAGGTGAGAGCGGAAATTTTGAGTCCGTCTGCATCTCATTTTCCATCTGCCAGATCGACAGCAATCCTGCTGGGGCCGGGATTTGGGGCGTCCATAATGGAGACTTGCACTCTACAGGACCCTGGTCAGTCCGTACTGCCCTCCTATCTGTTCCACCACGCACCTTGCCTGGGAACTGTGCACCCACTCATATCGTCTGCCTCCAGACTACCTTTCTCAGGGCGGTCATCTCAGCTCCACCATGCCGCCACTACATCTGCTCGCTCAAGAGGCTCCAGATGTCCCCAGGACGAAAACGCTGTTGCTATATTTCGAAGAGAGCCCATCACTTTTCAAAACCCGACCTTGATTCTCATTCCATCCCGTTCGCGGATTGCGATTTCCTCGGAGCTTCCGGTCAGTGTGAACCACACTCGGACTGATCTTCTCTCAAATAGACAAGAGAACAGCTTTTATTTCACCGCCTGCCCCATCCTCTCGAACCTCGTTGGTCTGGTAAGTGTGTTCTGCATGTTCACTTTGTCCTGAAGGTCATTTCCCTGCGTTGCGCAGCGATGCCATTCAGGCACCCAACAAGGCCGTGTCATCGCTGTCATGGATATGTTTGACACTGGTCTTCTGAGGTCTGCAGCGTTGGCGTTTCGGTAATGCACTACCTCCGGCCGTTCACTGTCCCCCTTTGATGGGCCGTCTGGTAGCACACGAGCCCGTGGACGCAAAGCAGGATATCCTGGTCTGACATTGTCGACTGCCACATATCCTCATTCTTCAACACAAGGGTCGCTCGTGTCTCGGTGAAATTGTATCCTACTTTCCTCTCTTGCTTTCATGGATCCTTACGCTTCCTATGTCTGTCCTTCTAACTTTGGGGCAACCAGAATACAACGCTCAAACCCTCCCATCGAGGAGTCTAAACTTCTTCTTACGCAACAGCAGCAACAACAGCTACCGCCGTTTCGAGAGGTTGGTCGGACGAGACGCCCGTTCACAAGTTGTTGCTAATGCTTGGGTTAGCTCCTGGGATCCAACGTTCAACCCTCGATCGACCCTATAACCGCAAGTGAACCTAGAGCCGTTGTTCAAGCCGACAACATGACCAGAAGAACCTTCCAACCGCCATCCGGACCGTTAAAAATCGAGCCACCATCGCCCGAGCGATCGCAGAATGGGATCGGGATCGAATCCTACGACAACATGTCTGCTCAAAGCAGTGACTCGGCGTACACTGCTCCGCGTCACCATCACAGGCCGAACCCTTCCTGGAATTCGACTTCCCAATATTCTGAGCTCGTCAGTCCATATGGCCCTCAACAACGGCCTCCGTGCACCATCCAGACCCAATTTTCACCTTCCAGGGTGAGCCCATGTTTACCGTCAATTCGAGACTTCGACCGGTTGCACCCCTACAGCCCATCCTTTTCACCACCAGGCTCATATGGATACAGTGCGTCCGGCGGGCCTCCTCCCGCTGGCCACGAGGGCTACTCCTACAAGACGGAAACGTCCTCTTATTATGACCCACCCCACCGTTATGGACAGAGTTACCCGCAAACGAACAGACCGAATGCTCCGCAGATGGAATATTCGAGATATCCATCCTCACTCTATGAGTATCGAGGTGGTCTCACGTATCCGTCGCCCTATGCTGGCGATTATCTTCCCTCTCCGACCGGGTCCCATCATCCTGTCTCCCCAACAGTGTCAAACGAAGGATGTGGACTTCCAGGCAGAAAGCGGCGGGGCAACTTGCCCAAGGCGATTACCGACTATTTGCGACAGTGGTTCCTCGCGCATCTGGAGAATCCGTACCCAACGGAAGAGGACAAGCAACAATTTGCACAAGCGACAGGCCTCACCATTGCTCAGGTACCCAATCCCCCCTCCCCCCTTTTCTTGGCGTGGTGAAGCAAGGGCTGACGCTTGTTGCTGTGTAGATCAGCAACTGGTTCATCAACGCCAGAAGACGCCATCTCCCCGCGCTGCGTCATCAGGTCCGTGAGAGAGCGGCACAGACCTCGGCAGCTGAATATGATTCAGACCAAGTGCGACGTTAGGACTCAACGGTCGATGCTGCCAGCTAAGAGCCTCGTACGCACTTATTTTGCAGGTGGAAAGCTGAAAAGTGGGGTGGCTTTGGGAATGGTCTGCAGAATGATGATGATGCCAGCTCTGGCTTTGAAAAGTATGGATTCGTCTTTTGTTTTCTGCATCTCGGGCACTCTACCTCCGCCAGTCCACTCCTTTATTTGATCTTATTGAATAGCTTCTTGAGAATTATCGGTAGTTGGTGGTGGTGGTGGCGGCGGAATATTCCTTTTTCTTTTTCACCGACAAAGGAATTTGGTATCCAGTTGATGTGAGGAACGAGTCGACACTCATGCAGGTAGCGAATGGCAGGGCGGTACTAATGGCACAAAACGACTGATTGTATGCAATGAACTCTGTTCCCCCCCCCCGGGATTTTATGTTTCGTTCCTTGTCGTCGTACCAAGCTGCTATCTGGAATGGAGCTCGGTCCAAGCTAGTCACTGTCCGGTGGTCACAGCTCTACGATGCACAGGAGAATATGCAGGACGAGGTGTCACTGGGCTGCGGATTCCACGGGAATTGGTGTTGTTGGTAACCGATACGCATTCACCTATGTACCTGCACGTCATCTTTCACCTCTCAAATACGGGACAATAGCATCTGCAGATCTTGAGTCACCTCCATTTGTGCCAGATTCTTCCGGGTCGTGGACCTTCCCTTTGACTGTGGGATCCAGCTTGCGTAATCAGACACAGAAGGTGCCCGAGAGAGAGGTTCAGCCTTATGGCTGGACAGCGTCCTTCGTGTGCGCGCGGCCAAGTATATCCGCATTATTGGTACTGTAATACAAGTGCGCAAAGGAGAGGGTTTCCTATTATTAGCTTTCGAACTCTGCTTCCGTAGAAACGTTGCCAATCCAGAGGTTTGCGCGATGGTGAGCTTAGAAATGGTTCCTCACATCTGAGCTGCTGGGGGACCCTTTGTATGGCCAACATGCACGGGATAAAGGTCCTTACTGGCTCCTGCCTAGGTAGGCGAAGTTCTCTTAGCTCTGTCTGTTTGTACCGGGCACTCCGTAATGGTCTCGGTCCGGCAGCTGTGTCGGACCTGTCATTGGGTCCACGTGCTCCGGCCTTTGAACAGCATCGGGGGATGAACGGGTCAACCTAGCAATGTACATGCGAACCTCCTTCCGAGCAGTGGATTCTGATTGATGGACGTTGTGACAAAGATTCTGACATATGTTGGGCTGTAATATGAGGAGAATGCACGGTACTCTTGGTAATTGCATTGTTATTCTGTCTGTGGGATGACCAAGCCTACAGTAGGCCATAACTGAAACATCTGCGCGAATTATCTGATCAATAGTTTCCAGGGGAGATAAGATTAGATGACGTGGAGATCCATCAATTGAGTTTGGGGGAAGAGGGAAACGCGATTGTAGCGCTGATGGTACCAGAAATTGGGTCATCCAGTCGCCGTGATCGGAGCTCTCAGCACTGCTGCGAACTCTGCATGTAAGGTTTACGGACAGGAGAAGAGACCCAAGGAGACTTCCTCCCCATCTTGACCTCTTATCTTGTAACCCTCTCATTGTCGATCCAGCGTCTCTGTGTTCGAGGTCAGACTGACACTGCACACCTTGTCTGGAAAATACCATCCGGCGGACTCCGAGAGGGGGTGCCGAAAATGCCCAGACTCGGTTAACAGCCGAGGGAGCCCGATAATCAGGATAATCAGTCGCACGGAAATTAATCATATCTTATCGTATCAATCTCCTGTCAGATGTGGGTGGCATGCCGCATGTGGGACAACAGACAATCCACGGACGGTGCCCAAGTCTCAAAAGCAACGACTCGGTACGAAGTACGGCGGAAGAGGGCCTTAGACTGCGATGGGATAGCCGTTCCTAATTGCCTGTTTTGGTGCAAAAGAGAATGTCCGTCGTCGACAAGCCGGGAATCGGCGCGGGGCACGGCTCCATGGTCAAGGTCGAGATCGGCTTTTTTCCATCCTTTTATCTGCCCGCGGGAATGGGCCACCAAGTCCATAGTAGTGGCATGACAACTCATCGGACTACCCCCTGGCCAAGGGAGTACATAGGTGGCAATCACAGGCCCAACGGATTCTCGGCCTGGAGTATGGAGTGCATGGCAAGGGGATCTTTAAGGGGAAACAGAGGAGCGTGCACGAAGAGAACAAGAACGAAACGGCCAAGTGAGCCGAATCAACTTTATCCACGATTCCTTGACTGTAGTGTACATAGGTAATGTGCCGATTAACCCAGGGAGCCCCGAGCCCAGAAAAAGCCACCATCTCGTGCCCATCAAAAAGGATCTGCCACCCCCCATCAATTCCCCGAATTCCCATTATTCCACCACCTTTTTTTCCTTCAGCTTCTTCCACATCACATCATCCTCATCCCACTTTGTGCTCTTCCTCTCGCTTTCCTCGACCTCAACCTATTGCTCAACCCCGAGTTGAGATGTTCAACAGTCTTTACCCCTGATTATCCGTGCGGCCGCCCGCTGTTTCCCACCAATCCTTCAGGTCAAGCTGTCTGCACGCGTCCTGAGTCGAGGCCTGTCCCTGGCCTTCGCCGCCGTCCCGAAAACTGATTCCGCACCTTACATCATCCCCTCAACTGCCCGTAAGTTCTCAGCCCACACAACCCGCTTTCCGCCGTACTCAGCAATTTCATAATGCTCTCAAATCCCTTGGTCGATTGCCGTCCACCGCTGCTCTATTATTATACTACAGCTGAACGCTGCTGCCCTCAGATGTACTGACCCGTCGGCTGTCTCTAGGTGCACTTCACAGTATTTCGATCCGCCCCAAGATGTCAACCACCATTGCCTCGGGGCATCCATTGCCTCTCACAGCTCATTCACACCCTGACAATCCTGTTCCCGAGGAACCCATGTCTTCGAGAAGAATTTCAATCTCTGCCTCGCAGCTCTCACACTCACTCACCTCGAATGTTCCCTCCAGCTCCTACTCCGACAGTGCCTCGAGCGTAGACACAGAACCCACCACACCGACCACCGAAACCCTCTCAGATGTTCCCTTTGAGGAATTGGATGGCCAAGCACCTCAAAGCCCACAGGGCAAGAAAAGACGGGCTTCAACGCTGTTGGTCTCTCAAGATTCGGAAGATGCGAGACGATTTCTCGGTGAGCGGGGCGCGTCGACTGCAATGATCCAGAAAGCGTGCTGCGGCGGAGGTTGTTGCATGCTGCAAGAGCTGAAAACCAAGAGACCTCGTCCCGGTCAAACACCTCTCAAAGTCCCTCAAAATCTCGCCTACCAAAGCTTGAAGATCAACCTGGGCGACCTGAGTTTGGACAGTGACCTCTCAGGCATCGTCGAGGTACCTCCCAAAACAGTCTCTTTCGAGTCCTTGTCGACTTCGCCTTCGCGGACCTACGCAGAGCCTCCACAACAGCGAAAGCCCGAAGTTCTGAAGCATCCTCCCAGTTTCGTCACCCCGCACCCGCCCTATGAGGTATTTTCAGCCCCTCTGTTTCACGCCCGCGAATTGACCAGGCCTGGGGCGGAGAAAAGGACATACCACTTCGACATTGACGTGACTGATTACCCTAAGGAGAGTGGGGATGTCGACTTCGTGGTTGGGGGGGCCATTGGCGTGTGCGCCCCCAATCCGCCCGACATGGTCGACCAGATCTTCGATTTGTTGGGCGTCCCTAGTTTTGTGCGCGACAAGCCGATATTGCTGAAGACGACCACGGGAAGGTGGCCCACGATCTGGGGAGAAGAGGAGGCTCGGGAATTGGTCACCACACGAAGGGAGCTTTTGACTTGGTGCTCAGACATTCAGAGCTACCCTCCCACCAAACAGCTGTTCCGGCTCTTTGCCGAGCACGCAGAAGACGAGAATGAGAAGACCATTCTGATGTTCTTGTCTTCAGCGCAAGGCCAGGCGGCGTTTTGCGATCTCCGAACGGGCCCGTACATCACGCTGCCTCAACTTCTTAGTGCCTTCCCCTCCTCCAGACCTCCGCTCGACCATCTCCTGTCGGTCCTCAACCAACTCATGCCTCGATTCTACTCCTTGTCCCAAGATCCGACCATCTCTTGCCAGCGAGACGGCACACAATGTCGGCGATTGATCGAAATTGCAGTGACGGTCCACGAAGCGGATGACTACGCCACCGGCAAGCGAACGGGGGTCGGATCGGGATTTCTAGAGAGGCTGGCGCGGCAGGTCATCCAGGCAGAGCGAGAGGGAAAGAACCCTCGCGACTTGGATTTAAGAGTTCCGATGTTCCGAGGCCTCATGGCCAACCCATTGGCCCGCGAATTTGTCACCGATGGTCCCATGCTTCTCATTGGAGCTGGCGTTGGCATTGCCCCGTTCCGAGGATTCGTCCATCGTCGACTCAAGTCCGCCAATTGCGCAAACAAAGTTTGGGTGCTTCAGGGAGTGCGAGACAGCCTTCTGGACGAGCTTTACTCTGGCGACTGGGGCGTGCATGAGGACAAAGTGAAAAAGGTGGTCCAATCTCGCCGAGGACAAGGCCGTTACGTCCAAGAAGAGGTTCGCGCTCAAGCAGACTTGGTCTGGTTCATCATCAACGCCGTGGACGGCAGGATTTTTGTCTGTGGCAGTTCCAAAGGCATGGGTGAAGGTGTGGAAGCCGCGCTGATAGATGTGGCAATGGCCAAGGGCAAACTGAACCGCGAGGAGGCAAAGAGCTTCTGGGACGAGAAGAAGAGTTCGGGTCAGTATATTGCAGAGACTTGGTGAGCGAAACCAAGGGGCCGGTTTGCGATGGACTTCCGCCTTGGAGTACCGAAGTCAGAACCACTGGGTGCAGACAACAGCTTCGGGGAAACGAGCAAGATATCTGACTCCGAGAACCTTGTGCGAGTCACTCGACCCAAAATACGAAACGACCGGGCCGGCAGTTACTGTGATGGATTTTATCACTTGACATGGATCATGGCGCATAGCGACAGGCGTTTTGGGACTGCGGCGCAATATATGACACGTGAAAAGGCAAAATGTCTCTGGGCATCTCGATGTCTGGGTTGTTTGACGTGCCGCGAAAAGCAGGGAACCATCCGGTTAGACCTAGGGTGGTGTTCTCATATTGTGTTCTCTGCAAAAGCTGCATTACCTGGCGGGCGGAACCTGTTAACTTATGTTCGATCCAAACCCTCAACAACTCAGGCATCATCATGTAGATTCTTCTTGGATATATACATATTGCATATTTGTCATGGTTACCTACATATGGACTGCGAAATGCTGACATGTATGGAGTTGTCCACCCTCTTGGATATTATGAGGAATTGTGAATACGAAATATGAAGACGAGAATAGGATGAATAGATCCCTAGTAGCACCGTTGGTCAAGAATTTAAATCCCTTTCGCTACATTTTCCCTGCCTACATGCTCGATTCCTAGGTATACAAGCTGTATTCGTTCGTCCTTGGACCACAAGTCTTCTCACGGCCAGTCTTTGTCTCTTGTGCCCCCAACCAAGAAGAGGAAGAACAGGTGCTCGTGCCCGAGTATTCTCAATCACCGGGGTGGTTGGTGTTTCTCGATCACCATCGTCTGTGGAGGTCACACCCTATGTTCTGAAGTTGCCTGTCTGTTTTGGCCCAGGTGATTCTGCATTTGAATACTTTCTGAGCCGTATATGAAGCCCAGGATGTCTGACGTGCTCCTCAGACTTGCCCGATATAGCACATAGTCGTCTAGGCTTGGGAACCGGGAAGCTGGGTCCCGTGGGTCGTCATTACTTGATATATCCCAGGTCGCGAAACGCTCTGTCCAGGATCTCTCGTACGATTTTACCCTTGCGCACCGTGTATTCCTGCATCGACTCGCCCGTCGCTTCGGACATCGCCGCACACTCACGTTTGACGGCGGCATACCGCTCCCGGTCGTCGGGCGACGTGGCCAGCCACTCGCGGAAGATGCGGTGCCTCTCGACCTCGGGGCAGTCGGACCCGAAGACGTGCAGATTGACGGGGTACGCACCGGGCCGGTCGCCCTCGTCGACGAAGAAGCGGTGCTGGTGCCACGCCGGCTCGCGGAAGAGGAACAGGAAGCCCGCGCGCCCGAGCGGCTCGACGTACGCCGCCTCGTCCTGGACATCCCTCACCACCAGGTCGACGTCGATGACGTCCTTCGCCGGCAGGCCGGGGACGCTGGTGGATCCGGCGTGGAGAACGGCAACCGCGGTCGCGCCCAGTGCGGCTTCGATACGCGCCTTGGTGTCCAGGAAGCGCTGTGGCCACGCTGGATTGGGCTCGACGATGGCCATCTTGAGTCGCGACTTGCGGTGGTTCACCCGCTCCAAGGAACTGCCATCGTCAACGTACTCTCTGACAATGTCTTGGGGGGAGAGCGGCATGGCTGTGAGTCAAAGAACGGCAATAACGAGTTGTGACACGATTTCTTTGCAAATGATGTTGTGCTGAGAAAGTTGTTCCTCTCGTCGTCCTCGTTCTACATTATGTACAACGTTTCTTGGCGACTCCACTCGTTGTGATATACACCGTGTGTGACACTCAACCTGCTGGGGCGTCTGCTCGTTCTTGTCAGCCCTCTCGAAGAGATACAGAATATCCAAACGAATAGCGAGTCTAGTCAGTCTTGATGTTGATATCGACTCCGAAGACTCGTTCAAGTCGGACGGATATCCGGGTAACCGGGTATGTCATAAGGTTCGGGGAATCTGTATGACCAGCAAATCAATTCCCGTGTCGATTTCCCGTTGCTGATACATCGTTCGACTGACTTCATGCTGGCTTGTTATGTCCCACCTACGGACCAAGTCGTTGGAAGATGGACCTCGCACAGTCGCCAGCTCCGTCTCGCAAAGCCACAGTGAAACGGGTTTCGTTGGCGTGTGTGGCCTGCCGGGGTGCCCACGTGAAATGCAATGGCAAAAGACCCTGCGAGCGGTGTTCCTTGGAGGGCACTGAATGCCTGTATGCCCCATCTCGACGAGGAGGTCTGAACCGGGCCGCTTTGGTGGCCCGACGAAACCTTGTGGTGGCCGTCCCTTCGACCACTTTCGCTCCGACGGAGAATGCTTCTGCCTCGTCAGGGGGTGATCCCAGAAAGACACGAGACTATCTGCCCACGGAAGAATGGAATGGACAGCATCTCGACGACACCCTGGGCTCGCACGTCGCCAGTCCCGCCAAAGATCCGCTTATCCATCTCTATTACAGGCACTTTCACAAGTTCCATCCTCTAGCTGTGCCCCTTGCACACCTCGAGAGATTGTTGATTGCGGGGACCACCAAGTTGGACTTTCACCCATTGTTGGCCCTGATGCGCTACATCGGCTCTCTGTATTCCCGCTCAGTCAACTCCAACGAGCTGAAAGCCATTGCGGCCGACGCCATCCTCGAGCAGTTGTCACAAACCCCACCGAGTCCGGTCATGGCACAGTGTTATCTCCTGCAGTCTATCTCCCTTCACTGGTGCGATGAGCGGGAGCGAGCACAAGACAGCATGGACACTGCAATCCGCATCGCACTTCGACTCTCGATGAACCAGGCTGATTTCGCCCTAACCCACGGCGAGGGCGACCCCGTCATTGAGGAGAGCTGGAGGAGGACGTGGTGGCAGATCTACATCATTGACGCCCACTACGCAGCCATCCGACATGCGATGACCTTCCCGACCAGCGACGTGGACACTACAATGGAACTGCCCTGTGAAGAAGAACAGTATGAGTCGGGGGTGAGTCGCCTGGAAAGCTGCTCCTTCGTCCAAATTGAACCTAGACCTTGGATTCCACCGCTTGCTAACATTTCCCTTCCTCTGTTCTTTCCTAGATCATTCCAACTCCGAGGACGCTCGCCGAGTTTGATGCCCGCGAATTTGCCTCTGATGACCTCGTCTTCTCATCCTTTGCCTATCTTATCGGCGCCGTCCGCGGGATCGCATCGGCAATCAGCAGATTCCTGACCAGCGTGGCGAATACGAGCGACTCATCGAGTATTCTGGAGGCTGTCGACGCGGCCATTGATGGGTGGTTGCTCTTGCTCCCAGAATCTAAGAGGATCGCTGTGTTTGCCAGCGGCGAGACGGACGAACACATGTTCCAAGCACATATGGCCATTCACGCGTGAGTTATCCAATAGTCCATCCAAGAGGATCTTTCCTTGGTCGACATCAGTGGTATTCCAACAGTGTAAAATGGAAAGGCTGACTTTCACTACCGTGTTAGGGCTACGGTGGGATTCCACAGACCTTTATCAGAACTTCCCTACGACTCTCTGGAGTATTCGTCCTGCTGCTCAGCCGCCCCTCCAGAAGTTTCGCCTTCGCTCGAGCAATCATTCCGTGGCATTCATACCACCCGATGTCTCAGATCCACAGACTGCCTCGTGCAACTTCTTTCCATCTCCTCGAAGCCGGCATACCACACGCCGTTTACGGTCTGCATGGTCTCTTCTGTCGTCCTCGCACACTTGTCTGCATGCAGGCTTCTTTTCCAAGGGCAAAAGTTGGCAGTGGCGCGCGATCAAATACGGATGTGTATTGGTTGTCTCCGGCCTTTTGCTGGTGTGTGGCCGCTCGCCAGCAGGAGTCTGTGCGAGGTTCAGACTGTTGCCCGAGAAGTGTTGGGCCTCAATCATCCACATCAGAGACACAGGCTGGTGGACTCGGAGCTGGCGACTGTCGGCATGCACCAACACAGCATGCTGGCCACGGAAACCCTGGACAGTTTCACGGACTACTTGAACTTGGACGACGTGAATCTGTCCGCAATGTCTTGACTTCCTGCTTGGGGGTAATGGTCCATTACGCTTCCATTGGAAACTGACCTTTTCGTTCTCGTGATGCGATCAGGCTCAACGGTAAAGGGTCAAGAGCACTACCAGTTCTGCGGAACAGCATCAGTGCGCCGCGTGCGTATAAACAGCGTGAGCCTTGTGGGAGTACTTAATCAGAATGCAGAGGCCTCTTATAGACTTCTCACCGACATCGAACGCCGGATACTTGCGTGTCGAGAGTGTCGGGATCCACTTCTATACCCGGGAAACCACAAGGATACACAAACCGGAGCCCCGGAAGCGCTTCAATACCCGAAGGACAATTCTGCACCAGAAAAGCCCAACCAAACTTCGTCAGATGCAATTCAAGCACTGCCGCACCCTGGATTGTCCGGAACCCGGGATCCAACAAACGCCATGTCCGGGTTGCCGACGCCGGGTATCCAAAGGTGTGATGGCCTGACTGCATTTAAACTCATATATATATTCCAAGCTGGAGAACGGTCAAAATCCTGCATAAGTCGTCACTCTTTGCATTGCTACCACATCCCACGCCCTAACGATGACCGCAGCTTCCACGAGTAAAAGCACCATCAGTGTCCTCCTCCTCGGGGCCACTGGGTCCCTTGGGTCTCGCATTCTGGGCGCCCTGCTCGAAAGACCTTGCGTCGATGTCACCGTCGTCGTGAGGAACCGGGACAAATTGAACTCTATCCTCTCACTCCGGGAGAACTTGTACCAACAGACACCGGAACCTGATGCTGTATCTTCGCCCCAGCGACAACTCTCTATCATCGAGGGCAACGCCGCCGATTCGAACCTTTTAGCGCGAGTTATGCGAGAAAATTCCACCCGAGTCCTCGTCAATGCTGCGGGCCACGCTCCCATGTTCTCGCGGAGGGGTTCTCGTTCCGTCCCAGGAGAAGACAGCGAGGCCCTCAACAGCGACAATGAAGTGGCCCGCATCGTACGTGCTTCTGTCGATGCGGTAGAGGCAGTGGCAAAACCAGCAGAGGCCTGTGCAGCTGACAAGAGAGTCAGAGGATGGTTCATAGGCGGCATGTTGCTGTTAGACTTCCCCGAAGCGCATGACGGAAGTGCTAAACACCGGACGGCTGAGAAGGATCCCCGGGCTCTGGACAACTAGTATGTTCGACGTTCTGCTTTCGACTTTTGAAACCTCGAGATCTTTGCCCTCAGTATCATCCCTGATGAGCTCCGCTCTGATTCCTTGACAGTCTACCACTCTATCTCCACCACCGCCCTCTGGAATGCATCCTGCGATCGTCCAAACATCTCGACTGGACGCTTGTCTGTCCTGCGAAGATGATCCCTCGCCCACGGCGATCCCATCCACCTTCTCCTTCATTAGCCATCGCATCTGATGACGCCTGGTGTGGTACAGAGCACAAGGATCCGCAAACCCGTTCATCACCCGCAACCCTCCTTGCGAGCGCTGACGTGCCCCCAAAGTGGACTGTCTGGCCCTCTCTTCGCATGCTCCCCTGGGGCATCGGGCCGCTGCTGGAGATCATTGCAAACTCTGCTCGGTACACGGTCACATTTGAAGATGTGGCGGAATTCATCGTCGACGGAATCGTGTGTGAATACGAGTTGCAGCGGCGGGAGAAGCAGGTTGTGCCCAACAAACACCACGTCGACCACGACCAGCCTGCTGCTCTGGAGCAGGCCGTTGGCCCCAATGGAGAACGAGAAGCAGCGGAAGACACGTGCCCGAACGGCGTTTGGATCAATAAGAAGATTGGCCTCGTTGCCTCCGGCAATCCTTGAATTGGAACACAGGCTAGACCCCTACCTTAACCGGGTCTAATCTTTTGTGTGGTCCTTGTGTATTCGAAAGAGGGACTTGGAAGGGGTGCTGGAGAGAAGCTGTATATATATATATATATATGTGTGCGTGCGTGTGTGTGTGTGTGTGTGTACGTGACGTTTCACACCTCTGTATACTCCTTGATGGCAAAACAGAAACCCAGTTCTCTCGTATCCTGCACACCTGAGACGTGGCCCTCTCTTCTACTTGGGAGCTTGTTATACATATGCCCTGCCATCTGGCTAATAGAACAGCCCATTGAAGTTTCCTGAAATAGGTGTCGTTGTGCACACATTCCGTCTTGTGGTTCCTGGGAACAAATCACGTACATGGCTTCAGGCTAGGCATTTCTGGACGCGCGCTGGTGGCTATTTGTTAAAAACGCGCTCTCCGGTAAAATGGAATGGATGTGAGGACTAGTATAGGAGTGGTTGCAGTCCTGCTTGATTGCTCATTCGACAGTTGTCCGCATCACAAAGAGACACCTCCGCTGCGCGCCCCTGTGGAAGCTCCAGTCCCCTGGCGCGACCCACTTCTTCAACTGCTAGAAAGATGCGATTCCACTTGGCCGTGTGAGGGCGTGCTTTGCTGCAACCTGGACGGTAGCAGAGTCCTCGAAGGGGTTTCAAGACGCGCTGCCTGCATCGGTGGTAGGGGCGGTTGAGTTGGCGCAAAGAGTCTGGTCGAAGGTTGTCGCACTGGTGTGTCGGGGATGAGAGTTAACTCTCGTAGTCGGCCACGTGTTGCCGTGCTCGAAAAACTCCTCGGTAGGTTGGAGAGTCCTCTGGTTTGTCCTGTAGTCATGCTATACTGTGCTGTGTGGAAAGAAGCGCTCTTTGGCGCTCATGCAGGAGCAGATTTTCTTGGGAGAAACTTGAGGGGTCGTTCGCTGGTGAAGGATGAAGTGGTTTCTCTCAGCTTCTCGATCCTCGAAGAATGTCCAAATACAAGGTTGCCAGGTCCCAGTCCGGCGAGGCGTCACTGCTGTCTTTATCCTTGACATGAATCCTCGTGCGTCGAAACAGAGACCGGGTAGTTTCGCTGCTGAGGATCGAGGGCACGCCGCTGCCATCGGTGACCGAGTCGAGCAACCCCCGCAGCAGGGCCTCGTCTTCTTTGCCCACACCTTTCTGGCTGACGTCTTTCGGAGCATCATCCGGACCTCGACTGCTTGTGGCGTCACCCTGGGACCCAAGGTAAGAAACCTCAACCACCATGCCTCTGAGGTTGGGACCGACCTGGTTTGGTCGGGAGGGCGTCTTCAGATCCCCGATGCGGATGGTCCACTCGCCGTTCTCCAGGGACAGCGCCGTGCCGTTATCGATGATCATGGACTGCCGGTGCGCCCATTGCGGCTGGAGTTTCGTCCCGATGAGTTGGGTGAACGAGTCCGCAGAGCTCGAAGGGACGGTGACAACCGTAAATGCGGGGGCCGCCAGCGCCGGCTGGTCCGTTGGCGGGGGCGGAGATTTGTCTTTCGGGATGCTCGTGGCGACATACGTCTTGGTCGGCGTGCGTGATAAGGTCAATATACTGAGTGACCGACGCAGAGACACGTCGGTGTTGGGGAGCAACGAAGAGGTGTCGACGAAGAGGCGGTGGTCGAGGTGGAAAGACGGAAGAGGTTCGGCGGGAAAGGAGCGCGAGATGTGCGATAACAGAGCTGAAGATGGGGAAGACTGGCCTGGCGCGATGGGAAGGATGAAGACTCCTGTCACAGCCATGTTGAGAGTAGAGCGTGTTTTGGGTTCCTATCGATATAGACGTGCATATAGTTGGCTAGGTGTGTATATATATACATATATATATGTATGTATGTGCGGAGGACCTTTCAGGGCGGCAAAACCTGCAGGAATGTTCGTTTAGTGCAGGGGTTTAAGCTTAAAACTAGCCGGCATCTTTAACGAAAACCCTAAACAAAAGTGGGGGCCGAGGCCGCCCCTGAAACTCCAGATTCAGGCGCGTGTTTTCTATTTGCGGATCTTACAGCATTTTGTCTCCCTGCCCGTTAGACTACGTCTGCCACCGAGATGCAGATCATCCCTCACTACCGCCCAGCCATTGCGTCAAGATGATACTGATCCGGCGACTCTGGCTGTTGCCAGCATTCTTCCTGGCCGGTCTACTCTACTACATTTACCTCTACCCCAGCGATCCCACCGCCGTCCCCTTCCCTCCCTCGGGTCACAAGACCACCCTACACTGGACCAAGCGTCCCGAGCGATATCCTCCTGCAGGTTATCGAGAACTCCCCACGGGCCCTCTCGAACGAATCCCCGAGATCCAGTTCGACTTCGCATCGCACCCCGAATCCGCGGAGGCGAAGAAAATCCGAGACCAGAGAAGAGCTGCGGTCAAAGAAGCATTCGTGCACGCCTGGAGTGGGTACAAGAAGTATGCCTGGGGGCAAGATGAAGTTGCGCCGCTTAGCGGTGCGTTTCGCTCCAGTTTCGGCGGCTGGGGGGCGACTCTCGTCGACTCCATGGACACGCTCCTCCTCATGGGGCTGAAGGATGACTTTGACCTCTGCGTCGAGCAAGTCAAACACATCGATTTCACTACCAATGACGTTGAGACATTGAATGTCTTTGAGACCACGATCCGCTACCTCGGTGGCCTCCTGGCCGCATATGACCTCACGGACGGGAAGTACGGAATGCTGCTCGACAAATCTCGGGAACTGGGCGAGATGCTCTACTCGGCCTTTGACACGCCCACCCACATGCCCATGACGCGGTGGACCTGGAAGAAGACGGCCCTCGGCGGTGAGATTGAGCCCGCGACCCACACGCTGCTCGCGGAAATCGGGAGCTTGACGGTCGAGTTTACACGGTTGAGCCAGCTGACCGGCGACATGAAGTACTTCGACGCCGTCCAGCGGATCGCCGAGGAGATGGAATGGGCTCAGAACACCACCCGCATCCCGGGCCTGTGGCCGACCATCGTCAATGCCAAGGAGATTACGTGGAACTACAACCATTTTACAATGGGCGGGATGGCCGATTCAACCTATGAATATCTGCCGAAGCAGTACTTGATGCTTGGAGGCCGCGACCAGAAATTCAAGCACATGTATGAAGAGGCCATTGACACGGCAAAGAGGCACCTCTTCTTCCGCCCCTTGGTGCCAGGGGGTGACGATATCCTTTTCAGCGGCAACGCAGCCTTGACTGCTCTGGAGACGATCCCCATTGCCAACATTGAGCCGCAGGGCCAACACCTGGCTTGCTTCGTGAGCGGCATGGTCGGCATCGGTGCCAAAATCTTCTCCCGGCCTGACGAATTGGACGTTGCTCGTCGGTTGGTCGATGGCTGTGTCTGGGCGTATAATGCAATGCCGTCAGGCCTCATGCCCGAAACCTTCCACATGGTAGCATGCCAGGTCGGCACGATTGATGCACCGCCCGGAAAATGTGACTGGACTGACGACAAGTGGTACGAGGGCGTGTCTCGGAAACATGCCGCGAGCCAGGACACCGCCAGTATGAGCGCTGTCGAGCGCGGCAAGAAATTGGTCCAGCAGCGTCGCCTGTTCCCGGGGTTCACCGACCACGGCGACAACCGATACATTCTCCGTCCGGAAGCCATCGAGTCCGTGTTTATCATGTACCGCATTACGGGAGACCCACGATACCAAGACATTGCGTGGAAAATGTTCCAGTCCATCCAGAAAGCCACGAGAACACCCATTGCCCACGCGGCCATCCACGATGTGCGGCAGGCACAGCCCGGGCAAAGTGACCGCATGGAAAGCTTCTGGCTCGCCGAGACGCTGAAGTACTTTTACCTGGTGTTCAGCGAACCCACGGTGGTGAACTTGGATGAATGGGTCCTCAACACCGAGGCGCACCCGTTGAAGAGGCCGACGACGTGAGGACTCGTTGACGACTTGGATAGCTCCAAGACAATGCCTCGTTACACCTCATCCTCGACAGTAACCTGGAAGCGAGGGCATTGGGTCGTGCCCCAGCAGAGAAACATGCGGAAAATTTCTAGGGTCCAGGCGGCTCGATGTTTGAGCGACGCACGCTGCTCTCGGCCACTCGGCCGCTGTCGTTTCGACTCGACAAGCCTCCTCAATCCATCTTCAAGCTTCAAATTGGTCGGGCAGGACCAGCAGCGAGACACCTCTCTCTTATAGCACTGTATTCTATCGGAGTACACCACGCCCACGCACGAACTCGGTGCGCGAGTCTTCACGCCATACTTAGCATTGGATAGACCATCGCGTTCCAACGACACTACTCGCAAGCAACGAACTGCCGAATATCTTTTAGGCCTGCTGTGTTTTCTCGGCTCTGTTTTGGGGCGGGTGGGCGAGGGTCTCATTTCATAACGGCCTGAGAGCCAAAAGGAGGGCGGCGGGAAACCGTCAGGAAGCCACAGACCGATCCTGATTTAACACGGGGCAGTTTCTACACGTCCTTCCATGGGCATCCCGGAGCGGGCGTTCGCATACAATTTTTTTTCTCTTCCAAGGCACCTTTCCGGGAACGCAAGACGCCATTCCTCTGCTTCTACATGATGAAGTTAGCAACATGTAGCAAGCCATGCATGCCCCTTCACATGTTTCCTTGTTTCTCCCTCGTGGCCGTAGAACGATATGGCCGTGAAAGAAGGGGGAGAGAGTACTGTACACAATACATTAATTGCCACGATAGAGGAAAAGAAGGATCATAGCACAACTAACTCAAATCCCGAGACAGAATACCGGCACTATTCCCTCTTATCTCCAATATCTCTCTGTCTCTGTCTCACGTACGTCTGCGTGAACGCGCTCGTGCATTCGCTGCTCATATAATGTTCCATGGCAAATTCCCCCTTCATCGGAACGGTGTGTCTCTTCGCGGTGAGTATGATGATGGTACATTTGTGGTTTCGTTTCGAGAACAGCTCTGTGAAAGACAGTGGGACGTAGATACTGTACATACACTCACAGGGAGAGATATAAGAGATGGAACTCGGCCTTGGCCCCATGGCCGGTCGGCCAATGTATTGTTGAAAGCTTCACTCGTCCCCTCCTTCCCTTTGACCGACATGTTGCGACATAATACCATCCGCCCATCCGTCCATCCTCTCTCAGTCAAGGCATGGAGTAAAAACCAACAAGTATGCGAATTTGTCGCCCCTTCCCTGTCTCTCTGCCCCTCCTCCTCACTCGTAGTCTTCCTCTTGTTCGCCGTCGGTAGCATAGCACATTAGCCCATTTCGACGACGGCACCCTGAGCCACCACCACCACCACCACCACCGCCGCCACATCACGATTCAATCGTACAGTTCTCCCCCTCCGTCTCTTTGACTTTGGGCTGTGACATGTGTTGTTATTGTTGATCAGGCGCCAATCTAAAGCCCTGGCAATCTGCTCTGACCCCGAGCAGCCTCCTGCCTCAGCAGTTCGTCCACGTCCTCATCCAGATTCCTCAAGAGATCATCGCCTTGAGCATTTGTCTGTTGTCCTACCCCACCAAAAGCACCCATACTTTGGTCCTGGCCGTGTGGCAGACCGAACTCTTCCATGCCCATCTCACCCAGGTCAGGAACCTGCTCGTCCCCACTGTGGGATATTTTGCGTCTCTTTGCCCCAAAGCCATTGACGCCCTGGCCGCCACTTGCAGAGCGGACTCGCGGCAGTAACGGCGCGCTTGCGTGGCCACTCACACTGGAGGTGTTGCCAGGTAGAAATGCCGAATAGTCGGGCGTCGGCGTCGAGCCAACGCCGGCGAAATCCGCTAGAGCAGCAGCAATGGCGGGATTGTTGGGTCGAAAGTTTGCCTGGTCCGGAGAGGCCGAGGCAGGAACAGGTTGATCCCATTGTGCGTTATCAGCCGAAGGTCGATCGAACATGCCCCCAGTCACAAAGTCGCCCTCGTCGTCGGTAAGTTCTTCGATCTCAGGACGTTCGGAGAGGAAGTGGCTCGCTGAAATGTCGCCACCGACGTTGTGTCCATCAATTTCGCGGTCTATGGCGCCGTTGCCGTTCGAAGCGCCCCCTGTATTGGTGCCATGCTCGGACGATGATGCTGCCTCGGCGGAAGATAGTCCACGAAGAATGGCATCCTCGACTTCTCTCTTCTTTGCCTCGGTGCTCGACTTGCGACTCTCTAGCGTCAGGTACGTGTCCTCATCCTTCGCCAACGCCGCCTTGTTAATTTCCAGGATCCGCTCCAGGTCTGCAATCAGGGCCTTTCTAGCCTTGATACTGGCTGATACGGATGATTCAGCTGCCGCAAGGGACTTGATTAGGCTTGACAGTTGCGCAGCATGGACGGGTGGGCTGGGTGACACCACTTCCGGATCGTTGAGTTTGGTATACTCGTTCTGGGCGTTATCGATGGCGGGTCGCGCGGAGATAGTCTCCTTGGTCACAGCGATCTGTAACGGCGCGAGAGTCTCTAACTCCTTCGGCATGGCGCCTGAGGACGAAGTCGAGCCGAAGAGGGAATTGCCCAGGAGGGTCTTCTTTCCCCCGGATCCCTTCGATTTGTCGATTTCGTCGACTCGTGCGTCAATAGCATCTAAAATCGGGACCTCAAAGACGTTTCGTGTTCGCCACACTTCGACGACTCGCCGGATCTTGCCCTGGATCTCGGCTGGCGAGGAGCGGTAGGCGGTCTGGATGGCCTCAGCCATTAAAGGGGAAAACGCGTCGGGAAATTCAGTCCGCTTTCGCGCCCGCGCATTTTGGACAATATCGTTGACCAAGTAGATGAAGTTGAGTCGTTTCGCCGGCGGTGAATCGCGGAGACGGGTGAGCCAGTAGTTTGCGATGCGGTCTGCATGTCTCCTGGACCACAAGTGTCAGCTGTAGTTCAAGTGCTGGCGGAACGGCTTTGGTTGGAGACGGACTATGGCAATCGGGAAGGGACGTACTTATGAAACATAATCCATTGCGAAACCGAGACAATACTATCTTGCGTCTCGTTGAGGGTCGAGAGCTTCGCTTTGAGGGCCTCATCGGTGTACGACATGTTGATCTGGCCGTCTACACCATGCGGCAAGGGTGACTGTGGGTTGGAGCGTGTGAGACTTCTCTTTTTTCCGAGTCCCTCGTCTCCTACGCGTGGATGGAGTTGGGGGATTCACGATCGCTGGCCTATGCTACAAGCTATGACGGCACACACTGAGCTGTGAGTGAAGAGAGAGAGCTCGGCAACAGATCGATCAAAGTCTGGGTCGTTGGGGCCGGATTTTAATAACGGTCCCCCTCGCAAAGACTTCCACGACGCGAATTGTGAGAGTTTATCTGGGGCTGATGATGAGTTTGAATGGGCGGCGAGGACGAAGTCGAGATGCAAATATGGAATTGATGAAGTTGTTGTTTTGGACATTTGAGGTTTCAAATGACAGCTACAGTCACCATCACGTGATTTTGGCACGTGATGTTGGACTACAGATACAGAGTACAGATCCCCGGCCCAGTCTATCGTGTATGTATGTCTATAGATTGCGACTTCTCGCCAATGACCACTCCGTCTGCCACCGAGCCATCAAGGGTTCATTCCAGTAGTACCTCCTTAAAGACTCCATTGTCGTGTCCCAACTCTTCATCTGCCGACATAGAATGAACACCAGTCCCATGAGCTCTCTGCTTTCGTCCTCGCTCAGCTTGCTTTCATTCGCCGTCGTCACAATAACCATCGTGGCCCATATCATGAAGTCGCTGTCCACGGCTGTCCCAAGCTCAATCATATCCCGGGTCACTTCTCGCAAGTGGTCCCGAAATATTTGGTCCATTCGCCCGTACAGCCGTCGAGGGACGGCGGGTCCGGATGTTGTCGCAAGCCAGGACCGTTCGAAAATAAGGGCCAGGAAACAGATTTGCCGTTCCAGTTTTGGCGCGGCTTCCGTAGCGACGACGCGCATGAGTTCAAATTGCTCGCTCCGGCCCCAGACGTGTGGGAGTACTTCGGCGCACTCTCCGGACACTCTGGATGCGAGTTGGTACAGGAGCTCAATGGTCTTTATAGAGATCTTGCAACTGAGTGCCAGCTCACGAAAGCCGTCTGGGAGTTTGGTCACCAGGGCAGAAAGCGTGGGAGGGAACGGGTGCTTGGGATATCGTAGAACCAGTTGGGGAGTTATGGCCTTTAATCTGGTATTTTGTCGTCTTTGGATGGCCATATCGCACACAAACTCCGTGCTTCAATTGCACATGTCAGCGCAACTCATGCCCTCGCCTGGGATTAACCTACGACGATACCATGAATTTGGTCATTGTGTCGAAGCTTCCACTTTCCAGCCCGCCACGCATGGCTACCACCTGCCTCAGCCCAGCTCGATGCATTTCCACGTAGTCATCCTCGGCCATATGGAACTGTAAGAGCAACTTCAGCGTTGAAGTATTTGTTTTATATGACAAGGACTTACGTCAGAGCCCAGGAGAGTAGTGATAGCGTGTAAAGTGGTGTCGTCAGCACATAGCCGTGGATCGGATATCCTTTGGCGTAGTTTCTTCAAGATGCTGGCTCGATATTGGAGACAGATCTCGCGAATTCCAGGGTATGGTCGGTAGGAAGGGGGTAATTGGCAGAGAGTATACAATACAAGGCACTCAAAGAGGAGGTCAGATTGGAGAGCGACAGAAAACCGATAGCTCATCAGCCAATTCTCGCCATTTGCATCAGTGAAGAGTTCCCTGCTTTTGACGGCGACATCTTGTACATCTGTGGAAAATTAGCCTATAATTAGCATCCCAGGGTCCGATGCTTCGCCTTGCTTAGAAACGACGTACATTGGTCGACGGCCCATTTCACCAGATATGTGGCTTTAATAGGGTACGACTGGAATGGATCCTCACGCACTCCTCCGAGACTACTGGGTAGGGGAGGAAGCAGGTCACTGCTGTCCGCCTCAGTGGGCGTCCGTGTTTGATGCCTCTTATGGTCAAATTTGGTTCTGCGCCGTTGCGAAAAACCGATGGCTCGCCGAACCAAGGGCTCGGCTGCACGGGTTGGGGAGGCCGGTGTCTTCCTCTTATGCTTTTCTGTTCGACTCGTCGTCTGCTGTCGACGTGCTGCGAAAGAGGAGACTTGTTGCTGCTTGTCCCGATCCTTGATTTGGGAAGGATGAGTGTAGGTGACGAACATGTCGTGTGAGATTGCCCTGTGTCGCGACACACAGTCAGCGAAGACTCAATCCTCATTTGGTGATGTCAACAGATTTGGTGCTGCTGGTATGGCTCCCTCGAGTGAGCGACGTCTGGTTGGCCTCCTAGCATCTTGCATGGCAACGACAAACATAGATATTCATTATATCGTTGAAAAGAAGTCAAGGAGAAACTCGACCTAGCGGTAAACAATCCCTGAGGATGGTTCCCGGACGATCCTGACTGAAATCAATATGGAAAAAACCCGACCAATGGTGGATATTAACGTCATAACAAACCGAGAAACAAGGCCAGAGCCGTACCTGAGTGATTGCTGCCTCCGTGAACGGGCATCAAATCTCAGATAGCCCTCTTCTGTGGCAGCGTTGGTCAATACACACAAGCACTGCTGACATAGTCAATAGCGGAATGGAGACGGGCAACGCCAATGCCATAATATACGTACGCACTAGCCGCGAAGGCCATGAGGCACCAAGTTTGCAAAGCACCCGACGGCATGGCTGTCCCCGAGGTCGTCCTCATCTGTAAGGAGTCCGGAAAGTGAGGGAGACATCCAGTCCACCGCCGCAAGATCTCCATCAGGAACGGCCTAGTTAATTCATCAATTGGTCATTGGCGGAAAGAAAGCCTCATTCATGATCGGGATGCCTCATTAGCCTCCAGAAACTGGCCCGTGCCATCTTCTAGAAAATAATTTGTCAGACAATCCAAAGCTGCCGTGCTACGCGCCTCGACCCATGCGCCATCCTCCCTGTCTGACAGGTGGATTTCTTCAAGGCCAATTGTTCTTCCCCTGCAACTCTCATCGCAAACACCCGTCTCACAAATAGTGCCAGCTTGCTTGATTGTCCGTGGCACGGCCATTTCACACATCATTGCCTCTCCAATCACTCTCATACACTCAGTGACTCACGACCGATATCCTGCTTACTGAGAGTCTTCTGCCGCCGGAACGTCTCCGCCCCCTGCGTCTTCCTTCATCATGGCAGATCGGTTCCCTTCAATTGAAGACATTGATGCGGGTAAGCCTGGGACTTGATTCGCGCAACATCCTCGACTTTGCCTTTGCTCTGGATTGCTGATGGTTTGAGCCAGGAGAGACAGATGTCCGCCCCGATCCGGCCGCCCAAGGTAGCTTTCTCGAGCGCGAACGGGCGCTGCTGGGAGAGGACGCCGAACTCTTCAGTGCCAACGACAGACCTGGTGCTGCTACGGTCGAAGACGGCGACGATGATCTATTAGGCGGCGATGGCGACTTCACATCTGCTCCGGCACAGCCAGCAGGCGGCGACGGACAACTGGATCTGGACGACTTTGAAAGCTCCTTTCCTGTCATTGACACCCGAAACGAGGTATGCCGCTTCAAGATTGCTTTCGGAGAAGAGAGACCGTCAGACTGACGCAAGGCAAAATGAACAGAGCGTCGCACCGGGCGGTACCATAACCGATTCGACCTCCTTCGGCGGCTACACAAACTATACTGCTCCAGCACAAGACGAAGACACCGAACCCATCCGCGAATGGCGAGCCAAACGGGACGCCGAAATCGCCCGTCGCGACGAAGCCAGCCAACGCAAGAAGGAAGAGACCGTGTCCACCGCACAAAAGGACATCGATTCGTTCTACGAGTCCTACAACCGGAAAGTCGACAAGCAAAAGGCGCAGACCGCCAAAGAGGCCGAGGAGTTTCTGGCAAAGAGGGAAGACACCACCGCCGGCGGCACGGCCTGGGAGAGGATTGCCAAGCTGGTCGACTTGAGCGGGAAAGGCCAGTCGGGCGGTGGGGACGGAAGCTCCAAGAAGAGAATGCGCGACCTGCTCCTGAGTCTGAAAGCCGACAAGGACGCGCCGGGCGCGGCGGGAGTCTAAAGATGCACCGGTTACGCGATGACGGGGCGGCCGGGAGAGATGGGAGGGGAGAAGAAAATTGGTTCGACCCTGTGGCTCGTGCACATGGGTGAATGGAGCCATGATTGACACTTTTGTTCCTGGTGGTTTCTCCGAACCAAAAGCTTTTGAGGATGCTGAGGAACGTGGGCAAATGACAACTGGCGTTTTAGATTCGGGCATCATGGCTTGTGATGGATCTACTGTACCTGCGCTCGAGGTCCAAGATGTGGGACGGATACCTGTGGTGAAGAAATGAATACATAGGGAAGCGTTGGAGGAAGGAAAAGAGTGCTTTCCTGCTGCCTCCTCGTCGAATTGTGCAGAAAAAGGACCGAGGAAACGAGACCGATACAACCGACAAAGAAGCCGAAAACGTAATGCAAAATGCGTTAGATTGCACATGTCTGCCATTCCCGACGTTGCTTTGACTTGACCTGACCTATCTCGTGCAGCTTGTACCGCAGCTCATCGCCAAACTAACGACTACCTGGCGCCTTCTCTCTTCATCCTCTCCTACCTACTCTTGTAAACACTCAGTCCGACTATATTGTATTGTTCTGTCACCAGCTCACTCCCCCTTCTCTTCCAGCACAGCACCATGTGATCCGGTCGGCCCCTGCAGTCGTACAAGGAATGGCATGGCTGTATCCCATAATGCGATCGAGGACATAGGCAAGATCCCCAATTCCCAACCGGACAAATGCGTACATGATCAACACCGAAAAGATGGTCATCATAGACCCAAGTGACGCCACGCCCCATACATCCATAATGTCCAGCATGGCCTCGAGCTCCGAAAAGACATGACCGAGCATTCGTATCGAGCATTGGAGCAAAGTGTAGTCTGCAACCCCCTTTTTTTTGGTCTTTTGTCTTTTCCCCCTTTTTGAATTGGCGTTCCCGTAGCACAGCCACTGCTTTATTTGCACATTGCTTGAATCCATTGCCGTGACCCTTTGTGAAATTCAATGCTGGCGTAACGCGTTTCCTCGGGAGGTCAATAAGATCTTCTCATCCCATAACGCCGCACGCCTTTGAGTTTTCAATGAAAAGCAGTTATGACACAGTATCGCCATGATTCCCGCTGCCAACATAATTACGCCGTCAACAGGGACGACAAAAGCAGACAATCCCTGATCTTGTGCTACCACTTGCGCTTCGGCATTCGCTTGCGGCGATTCGAGACAACTTGCATCTGCGAGAGGAAATTGCGACCGAGTCGTTCTATGTCGGCCGCTGCTTGTCCGGCTTGTTGAACAGGGAAGGGATCTGGCGGCGCTGCGGCATTGGTGACCACAGAGTTCGCTGACCCTGCTGCTCCCGCTGTCCCTGCAGGTGTAGGCCCTGTGATTTGCGACTGCGGTTTCCCTTTCGCGGCGCCCATCTTGCTGATAATGTCGAATGCTATGGACTTCTTCCTTGCGTTTGCGTCGGCAAGGCTTCCATCAGTACCGTAATCGCCGCTGCCGTTAACTTTGAAGTTCTCCCCGAGAGGAGTGGGCATGGTCTGTGCGTAATAGTACTCCATCCAGGTTTGCAGTGCGCTGTATCCCTGAGCTTTGGCAATAATCCACGCCATCTCCACGTGGCCGATGAGCATGTCTTCGATTTGCCACGCCACGCCATCCAGAGCGAGGTCGTTCACGCCATGATGCATGACTGACGCAAATGAGTGCATCATGTCTACGCTGTCAGAGAATGTGAGGAGCCGGTCCCTGATCTCAACTTCTCGGTCCGTCATTCGCCAGTCGGAGTCGTCGTCCTCCTGGTCGGCTGTGGAAGCTGACTTGGTCTCGGATATCACTGCATTTGGCTCGCTCGAGATAGATGTCTCGTTCTGATGTCCCAAATAGCTCTCTGTCGCATCCTTCTCAAGGTTCCCCTTCTCGGAAGTGTTACTCGACAGGTTGTTTTGGATGCTGGGGACGTTGACAGGGACTGACTTGAGACTGAGCTGTCGTTGTGCGCCTGTTGAGTCCTTGGCCACAGGTTCGTTGGGAGGAGGGATCTCCGCAAATCGACCGGTCCCTACTTTTACCCTCAACTCTGCTATTCTTCTTTGGTTCCCCTCATAGGTTACAGGGCGCTCGTGCAGAGCCATAGCGTTTTTCTCCAGCACGTCCCACAAGTCCTTGGGGGGGTTTAAGCCTTTCTTGATCATCGTCTCAAGTTCAGCCAGATTGATATCGAGTGCGTGCTTCAGCACTTGAATTTCGTCGGCAAACTCCTGGTCAGCCCGACTGCATAAACACTTCTTCTTTTTCTTCTTGCTACCCTCGATGCATTTCAGATGGGGCGTGAGACTTTTCGCGACGTCCCAGTAGGCATTGACGGTCACTCGCATGTGGACATGTCGTGGCGGGCCGGTACTGGCTTTAGTTGCAGACGGCGCGGCCTTTTCTTGAATCTCCTTTTCTTTCTTGGTCACTTTCAGTGGGGCAGGGACGAGCGAGGCAAACTTCTCAGTGACAAAACGGGAGTACGTCGCTTGACATCTATGGTCTGGAGAACACCTGTACCTCGAAGAATCTTGACACATGTGGACGTACCGGGAGAAGATATCGCGGCACTTGTTGATAGGAGTACGACTTTCCATCAAAGTGCTGAGGATGAACTGCTCGAGGTAGCGTAAATTAAGTTCGGCTCTTATGGCGTCCATGGATCCGAGCACAAAAGTGCATATGAAAGCCAGAAAGTCCGCGGCCATGATGGCGATCTCGACATTGACCTGACCGACTAACTCGAACATCAGCATCGCAAAGGTGTCTGCCATGGCTTGACCGATGAAGTTGAAAGACCGGGCCCATTCCTTGTGCTTGAGGGATTCACAGTCCGCGTAAATATCCCTGAGCGCCATGATGTTGATTTTGGCGGCTTCGGCGTCCTGCCTCATCTGTAACGCGATACGCTGTGCGAGGATGATAGCAGCCCTCGCAGGGCAAATGCCGAGCTCTTGCAGCTGCAAGACGGTATCAGCGACCTTTGCAGCCGGCGTTGCGGCGGCGACTTGCATGTTCTCGATGCAGTATTTCTTTTCAGCCTCCCAATTTGCCCACCAGAATTTGCCCGAAGTTTGATGGTTTAGCACGACATGAAGCATATTCCAAATGCCCTCTTCGATATACATGTGATGATATTCACAAAAACGAGCTCGCAATGCTGCGGTGTCGTTTGCGGATGCAGTGCGGAAGAACTTCTTGAAGAGTTCGAAGGCCTTTTTGTCGACATGAGAACCCTCCAGGAGATGTTTAGTTGGGACATTAGGCTTCGTAAGGGCGTTAGGACTGGCTTTTTCCTCAGCATCGATCTGTTTTATTTTCTCCCCGTAGGCTTTGACAAACTGTGTCATGGAGGCTTCCACCTTTGAGACCGCCTCGAGGAGTACCTCAGGCGGGGCTTTCTTCCCTCTCGTTATCACATCTTTCGTCATTCTTAGCGTCGCCAAGTACTTTCCCGGGCTGTTGCGGGAGGTCGAAATGATCAGTGAAGTCACCTTGCCAGAGAGTTGCGCCAGGCTTGCACCCTTTGCTGCTTCGACGACCAGCGAGTTGACCGATCGCTGAAAGAGGAGTTCGCTAATCACATCATCAAGAACAATATCGGACAGTGGTGGGATGGGCGACTTTAGGATAGCCTTTGCCTTGATCTTCTTGAGCGCTGTCGTGACATTCAGTGCAGTGTCTGTCGCCATCTTCTCCATCATCTTTTGCATGTCCTTCTTTGCGGCATCTTCGACCTTGATACATTCTAGATTGGCCTTGATAGTGTCTTCATCGAGATTCAAGTCAGGATCAGCTGCGGTGGAAGGATTGTCAGAGGCTTGCATCTTTAATCGGAGATTCATCATAACCTCGACCACATTATTGCAGGTTCTCGTCTTTCCGTCGCCCGTGGTGACATCAACCGTGAAGCCTTTGGCGTTGGGTTTCGCGAGCATCTCTTCTAGCGCTTTGAAGGATTTTTGGAGGACTGGAGACATCGGGCCGTTGAGTTCGAGCACGCTGCGTAAGTCTGTGATGGCTGTTTGGACGTCATGTGGATCCGAGGCGCTGAAGAAGCCTTTCATCACGTTGAGGGCTTGAGAAAAGGCGTCGGCATTGGACGATGCCAAGGTGTTTTGAAGCACTGTAGTCAAGCTCGCCGGAGAAGTGGCGCTTGTGCGAGTCCCTATGGATGCAGAGTGTTGGTGAAGTTGTGAAAGCGCAGGTTCGGCATCGAGGATCATCTGCCGGAACTCATTGTTCTTCCTCTCGGCTTCCGCCATCTCAGAGTTTGCCTGGTCTAGCTTCACGCGGGCATCTGCTGGTGAGACTCTTCCGGCATTCACATCGTGTCGAATTTTATCCAGCCGTCCCCGTATTCTGCGCACGATGTGCTCATTCTCCTTGGCGGCTTCCAGAATGGCGCTGTTTTTGGGATCGAGGAGAAAATCTTTGGATGCCATGGGGAGCAGATCTAACGCTGAGGTCTCCAACGCGTTGCTGCTTCTGTCATCCTTCATTGTTGGTGTGGGAGGGAGACTGCTGCGAGTGGCTTTGTCCAAAATCGCATTTCTGCGGGCTCTCAAGGCGGCCTCTTCCTCATCATCTTTCTTGACACGCACTAATTCCACATCTCTCTGCTTGCGCAGGGCGTTTTGCATTCGGTGCGATTTCTCGGCCATGATTCTTGCATGGTAGTATTTTATCGTGTCCATCTCCATCCAAGAGATACCTTTCGTTTTTGCCCGCAGGCAAATTTCGTGCTTACAAGACCTGTCAGCGCCCTCGACCCTGTCAACTCCTCTGACATCAAAGTCCAAGCAACAGGTCCCCGGGCCCGTGAATTTGAAATCACCTCCTATCTGGGATTTGAAGAGCTTGTCCAAAGCCGTGGCGTTTTCATCAAGCAGGGCTCTCTGCGTTTGATGTCTGGAGGATTTCTGCTCCAGCTCGTTCTTTTCTTTTTCGAGCTTTGCTCTTTCGTTGAGCAATTCGTTGTAAGTTCGGATGTCCTCGTCCGCCCACCCGTCCACATTGTGGCCGTCCGCCGCTCTCAAATGGCTTGCCGGCCTGGGAACAGAGTTCGATTCGGGATGTAATTCTTGGGGAAGATCAGTCATCGCCGATTTGAGGCCTTTACCTTTCGGTTTGCCCATCCTCCCTGCGACGAAAGTGGACAGAAGGGCCGTCGGCCGCAGAGAAGCTAAGCAGTCTGATACTGGGTGGTGTAGTTGAATGTCGGGCTGGCCGGACTTTCTTCGTTTCCAGGTGGGGCAGGGTTGCTGCTTCAAATATGATGGCGTCGGCAACGGGATGTCGTCCAAAAGGCTAGCACGGGTTTACTATCACAAAGCTATCGCTTTTCACCGTACAATGATGTCGACAGCCTTGATGGTTGATAATTTGTGTAAAAACTCTCGACAGCTGCGACCCCAACTGGCTAAAGGCTCGGAGAATGCCTTCACCTCATCAGGGAACTCTGCATCACGATTTGTTGACACGGCAAAACATGGCTTGGTGAGAGGCGCCCTCATGTTTCCAGGAAAAGTAGACTGCAGCCCCCAGTCCTGGAATGTCTGCAGTGGTCGTATTGCGACCGCGTTGCGTTGTCGGAAGACGTCTTACAGGTCGGGCTGGGCAGGTGAATCAGATCCCGGGTTGTAGAATCGAGGATAGCCGCGACAGTACGACCCCTATCCTATTACGTCTCGAAAAGGTGTCCAAGGGACGAGATGGCCATCTCGCGATGGAAATGGAGGCTGCAAGAGTCTTAGAAAGCAAGACAAACCAAGCTGAGGTTAGTTTGAAGTTGGTTTGCCAGGGCAAGTCGATGGCGATTTCTGCACCGGGACTTTGGCGGGTCTTGGCCCGGGCCTCGGATTTTCTATTGTTCCGCACCACACTCCAGCAATATCAATTTTCCGAGGACGGCCAGATATTGCAATTCAACTGCCACTCTACGTACGGTCTACCCAGTCCACCATCTACCTACTGCAGCTGATGCCGGTCCTAGAGCTGAGCTGAACTGACTCCAGCCGACATGGCTACCCCTCCATCGGCGAGAGGCAATGATAGCCCCCCCGAAGACAACATCCAAGAAATCATCCGCGTCTCGGCCAACCACGACATACGGGCACTGCAAAGGTGTATCGATCGATATTCCTTCCCAGACTGCAGAGTCGTCGATGTCCAAGATCCGATCACCGGATTCTCGCCGTTGCATGCCGCCATAGCAGCCTGTGCCAAACAAGTCAATGGAGATTCTATTCCTTCCCCGCCCAATGAAGAGAGCGGAACCCGATTTCTCAAGTTCTTGCTCGAGAATGGCGCGATCTGGAACCAGCTAGACAAGAACGATGAGACCCCGGGATGCATTGCCTATCGCCTGGGCTTACATGATCTCTATCAAATCATGGTTGATGCCGGGGTTCGTGCCGAAATGGTTCTCAACCGCCTGGAAGGGTACACGAGACTACGTGACGATGAAGACGACGACCAAGTCAACGGGGCCGAAGATTCAGAAAATCAAGACAGTTCGGAAGCCAACAATTCACAGGAACATGTCGCTAGTTCTGTCTACCTCTCCTCAGCACTCTCAATCGGCGACAATAGACTCCTGGATGAACAACAAAACGGGGTGATGATGGCATGGGAAAGCGACATTATGCTTCAGTCTGCTAACGCTCTGCTATCGGAACCGGGGTTGAACATCTTGAATATCGGCTTTGGGATGGGCATCATCGATACACACATCCAAAACCATGTCAACAAACCCAACAACCACCATATCGTGGAAGCTCACCCCGAAGTCCTCGGTAACATGGAGAGGGATGGATGGATGGCGAAGCCCAATGTGGTCGTGCACAGAGGGAAATGGCAAAATATCCTCCCACAACTCATTGAAGAGGGCGAGACCTTCGACGCCATCTATTTCGACACGTTTGCCGAGTCATACAGCGCCTTCCGCGATTTCTTTTCGGAGCAGGTGATCGGCCTCCTGAACCCGAACGGGCGGTGGTCTTTCTTTAATGGCATGGGCGCCGATAGACAGATCAGCTACGACGTGTATCAGAAGGTTGTCGAGTTTGATTTATTTGAATCCGACTTCGACGTGGAATGGGAGACGGTCGACCTCCCCAATCTGACAGGGGAATGGGAAGGCGTCCGCCGAAAATATTGGGACATCGATCGCTATCGATTGCCCATTTGCAAATTCATGGATTGATGTATGGGCGAGTCAGACGCGGCTCGTCATGTGGTGATCTGGAGAACCCTGTACTCGGAATGCCCAACCTTATGATACAGTTGCTCCTCGATAACTGGAAGCCGTGAGATGGCGCGAAGTCTCCGTCTGGCGAATGAGACGAGACCAGGAGATGAGGCCCGACTGCGACGGGCCAATTCATGGCAGCAAACACTTCGGTCCCATTGCCCCGAGCCGGCGGAAGATGGGAACATTTTCTTTGTACCACCCCCGCCGATGATGCGTCTCTGGACGACCCCCTCCAACGAGCCAGCGAGACGTCTACGTATGTTTCGGGAAAATTCCCGCCCGAGCTACGTTCGGTCATCACTGCCCCGCACTTCTTCTCCCTCCCTCCATCTTTTCTCCTCGCCCTACTGTTGCTCACTCCACCTTCGAGTGGTTCGAGGGAAATCAATGGATAACTCACGCGGGTAGTTTTATCATGACACTCCGCGTGTCCGGAGAGGAGAAAACCTCGGGATGACCGCAGGGGGATGGGTCACGGTGTGGACATATATCTTACGTCGCGAGAAGCCCCAGATGCTCTAGATCTGCAACCGACTTGGAGCCTTTCAAGAATCACCTCGTCCACAATATCAAATAGGACCTCCCCTTTCCACCCACCGAAGCACAAGATCAGACAGATCAAATGGCCAAACGGACAGCAATCGTGACAGGTTCGTCCCGGGGGATGTAAGTGTGCCCTGAGCCGCCCAAACAATAAGTAGCCTCCACTAATATATCCCCTTCCTCCTCAAGAGGCGAATCTATCGTTCGGCGACTTGCGGCAGAAGGCTACGCGGTCTGCGTCAACGATGTCTCAGCCAATAAATCCGGCATCGACAAAGTCGTCTCCGAGCTCAACTCCGCACATGGCTCTGGTACCGCCATCGGCGTGGTGGCCGATGTGACCTCGTCGGAAGAAGTGCAATCCATGATCAAAGAGTCGGTAGAGAAACTGGGTCCCCTGACAGTGATGGTTGCGAACGCCGGTATCGCGCAGGTCGCGCCGGCACTGGAGATTTCCGACGCGGACGTCCGCAGAATGTTCGACGTGAACTTCATGGGGGTGTGGCTGTGCTATACGCAGGCGGCGAAACAGATGATCTCCCAGGGACCGGTACCCGAAGGCAGCAGCGGGTACAAGATCATAGGCTGCGCGAGCATCGTGGCCTTCAAGCCCTTCCCGCTCCTGTCGCACTACAGCGCCTCGAAATGGGCAGTGAGAGGACTCACCCAGGTGTTCGCGATGGAGCTGGCCAAGCACAAGATCAACGTGAACGCCTACGCGCCGGGAATCGTCGGGACCGCCATGTGGGAGCAGATCGACGAGAAGCTGGGCGAGATCGAGGGCAGGAAGAAGGGCGAGTCGCTCCATAAGTACAGCTCGGATTTGACGGCGCTGGGACGCGTGAGTGTGCCGGATGACGTCGGAAATGTTGTTGGCGGCTTCATGTGCTCCAAAGATGCTGAGTTCGTCACGGGTCAGACCTTGGTGATTGACGGCGGGATCGTGTTCACCTGAAGAGTCAAGCGGAGCGAAGCTGAGGCTGGCCTGGCATGAAGAGCCTGCGGTGTTGGTTGGTATCCTTGTGTCTGTCTGCCTTGCCCTCCCTCTCCATCGTGGCGTCTATCCCCTACCAACAAAAAAGCGAGAAAGAGATTCGAGACAACCCAGATGAAACAATGGACCTGATCACCCTGAGCAAACCTGTTTTCCCAATATCAGTCCACATTTGTCCCGTTCCATCGCGCCCTGCCTGTTTCGCCGAAGCCAAAAAAACAGTTCATTCCCCATCCCTTGTGTTTTGTTTCATTTCCATCCCCGTCTATCGTCCGTCCTTCCATTGAATGCATGCATGCACAGACAGCAGGCAGCTACTCAGGATGTCCTGTGCCCTGCTTGGGCGGGTACACCTGGCCGCTGACCTCGACCGTGGGTTTGCAGGTGCACCAGGCGTCTTTCGGTATCGAGTCCATGACGCTGGGAATGTGTCTCCCACAACCCCACCACGTCGACTTCTCTGCGCACGACGACAGGGTTTTAGTGAATTGTCTTTCCGGGTGGTTGTTCGTGGAAAGGATGGAAACGGCCAAAAGAGCCCCCAGGGGGTAAGGGAAAGGGAGCCAAGCGAAGACAGAAGAGGACTGCTGCCTTGCTGGCTTGGGACAAGGAGGAGAGGCAGAAGTGGAAAATGTTGCAGCAGCGCTCTCCAGGGACCACGGAAACAAAGTCCTGGGGAGAGGAATGGGAGTCGAAGAAGAAGAAGAAGAAGAAGGAAAAGGGCAACTTACGACAAGTAGGGCACGTTCTCTTCATGCACATCTTTGCAGATCTCCCTTTGGATGGTTGTCGTTATCGATGTATGCCGGTGGTGGACTTCTTTTCTTGCTGCTGCTGCTGCTATTGTTGTTATTGCTGTTGTTGCTATCGTTATTGTTTTCGACTTTATGGCCTGTATGCCTTCCGAATCGTGTTGGTATTGAGTTGATCGTGGGAACCCGGATTGTCGACTAGAAATGCCACACGGCTGGCTGGCGGGAAATGGTCCAGATAATATATATGTTTATTCCCCGTACCTATGTATATCCTCGTGCGTGCCCTTGCCAGCCCAGCCCAGCTCAGGATACCTTTTCCGTAGTATCTGCCCAGAATACTTCTCGCACGTACTGTAAGTAGATCCGGGAATTACGATCACCAAGGTCAGGCTCTTCTGCTCCTGCTGCTGCTACTGCTTCTTCTTCTTCCGGCAGAGCAAACTTAAAATACCTGATGATTACAATGCCATTCTTGGTAATTAATTAACATGACCCCGAATCCTTTTTAAATGCCCCTCCTTATTAATTCCGGGCCTCTTTGTTTTCCATCTATCGGGGAACTGGGCTTCAAAGACAGCGGGGCCGAGGGGGGCACGAGTCACGAGCAATTATTCAACATCATTATTAAGAAAGGGCGCACGTAGTAAGTGGTAGGAGTCGTAGTAGTGGTGGTTCGGTTTCTTTATTTTTGCCCCCCTTCACCCATCCCTTCGTCTGAGTCGACCCGTGTCCCCGGTTGCTCTATTCTCTGTTCCCCTTGCGTCCCCTTGCATTCGTTAGAAGAGGGGAGTAAAGGGGGGGCTCCTCCCCTCCCCTCGAGGATCCATCGCATCTGATAGAGTCGACGAGGCCAACATCCCGAACCGGCGCTGATTCGTCGCCGTTTCCAGCCCCCTGGTTGCCGATACTCTTGGCCCTTTCCTTTCGTCGCCCTGACCCTAGGCCTTGGGACACGGACGGGAGGAGAGACGGGGATCCATCCCCACTAAGGGAACCGGGCAAAGCATGCGTTTGGAAATTCTAAGAGTACATAGACCCCGAGGTCGCCGAGGAGGAGTGTGTGGGTCACAATAGGCGAAACTGTCGCCAGGAGACGCGTTCTTGCCCCCCCAAAATATACTATCAGGAAAGAGTGAAAGGTTGCAAAGGGGGAGGGAGGGGCGGAAAGGGCCCAAAAATGGGAAACATTAGTCTGGAGATATACTTCTACATAAGCGATTCGGACACTCGTGGGTGCATTAGTCTCGATTCGAAGAGTCATGGAGTCATCGCGGTATCGTAAACAGCTATCAGATGCGCCCAGAACATGCAGATCCTCCACGACACCCGTCCGTCTTGGGAGCAGATGTCGACCTTGTGCTGATGTGTCCATGATCATCACCCCTAGGCGGCCACGTCTGCCGCTGTGATGGTCGTTAATTCTGCTGCGGTCTGAACGCCGTTCTTGTTTGAGCCGAATCGCCATTCGGCCTTCCCAGGTTACGGGCACCAACTCAGCACGCCGAACCAGGACAGAGCGACTGCCGTAACGAGAATCGTCGACCATTTCGTCCTCGCAGTACCTCTGCTGACGACTTGATTCGAGTAGACGCACGCCCATCCAGAGAAAATGCCCCCACTCCCACCACAGCTCAGTGGCCGTAAGGGCGGTTCCGAAACACCATTGAACTGACATTTCTGCGTTGTCCAGTCGGCTGCATCCAGTCTAAGGACCCAGCCCGCAGGACAACAAGTCGCCCATGCCGAGTTACCGCTGTTCTGTTGCAGAATGAAGCAGAAGTTCTGTGGGCAGAGTGAATTTGTGGACGGGTTGGGACAGGAGGCTTGTCGTGCAGCGATGGAGCCTGTTTCGCTTCCTGTACCGAGGATATGTATCTGAGATATCGACTCGGAGATGTTGAGGTACTGAATGGCAGCTGCGGAATCCGCCGGATGTCCGTCCAGGCTGTGGACAATGGGGTTTGCCCACACTGCCCATGGCAATAGGAGAAGCACTATGTGGAATGGAGAGAGAAATCCAATCATTGCGACACCCGGGGCGATGTTTTCGACGATGACGCGCAGTCTAGAAAGGCTTTGACCGTGTATTTCAACGGATCGGAGCGGGCTGACAAGAGAGATAGCCTTGAAGTCGGCGGCTGGGAGAGTATCGGAACGCGGCTGCTGACTAAAGCGTCGAGGCTCGCTTCGTGCGACAGAGACGGCGTGATTGGTTCGTTAAGGTCTCAACCTTGACCGGGGCTGTACTCATGACCAGGGTGACCCTCGTAAAGCCTCACGTCTCACCTGAGCCTTGCCTGGATCTGCCGGACATGGGGCGAAACAGCCTCCGCAGACTTCAGCGTGAGCACTGCTGCCTCTTGAGCAACGGGCAGCACTTCCTCGACGGTGCGGCCTTTCGCGAGGCCTGCAATGATCACTCCCAGCATTGTGTCACCAATACCGTTGACAGAAACTATTTGGTCGTGTTCGACTTCGACCAATGGTGGAATCAATCGCATATACAAGCCACCAACCCCGGACTCTCGAGAGAAATTTCTCGATAGCACATATGGGGCATTCTCTGGCCGTGTGAGTCTAGGGTCGCCAGGCCTCAAGAGGCAAGCGAGGAGACAACCCTTCGGTCCAAGCTTTGTCACCAGATTTGGAATGAATGGGAGAAGCTGGATGCACTGTTGCGGGACCCCCCGTTCAACTAAATCAAGGCCTGCAACAGAAATCAATCGATCCCGAGAGCCCGAGCCAGAGAGGCCGAGGTTGTCGATGGTGTTCCACCACTGCTCCGACTCGAACATCATCGCGTTCCTGGCCGCATCATAGATTGCCGTCAACTCGAGTCTGTTGGGAGATGCCAGGCTCACAACGTGATTTGGCACTACGTGAGCGCTGGTAATGGCGGAATTGTCCTTGTGGAAAAGGCGAGCGGCCTTTGCAACCGAGACAGGCTCGAAAGCGACAGAGGCTTGATGGGCTTTCGCAGCGGTTAGGACGGATGACAGAATGGTAGGAGACCAGTTTGCGTCGACGACCACCCACTTTGGCTTGCTTTCGTCTATCTTTGCCATCCAATAGTCTGGCGATTCGAGTTCTGGGCGAGCAAATATTGACATATCTGCCATTGCAAGCACGAGGTCTTTGTTGGTGTCGTTGACAGCGACGTATTGTGCTGTCCGCGCCCCGTCGTTGGTGGAGAGCCGTCGTATTGCCGTCGTGTCAAGACCGCTCTTCTCGACGTGGTCGAGGAGAGACGCTCCAGCAAGGTCGTCTGCCACAACGCTCGCCAGGATGACCTTGGCACCTGCGAGATGAGCAGCCATGGCAACATTACGACCCACTCCGCCCGGCGACTGAGAGATGGTGGACGGATTCGACGTGTGAAGGGCTGGATTTGTTGATTCTGATGTAATGTTTAATGGTTGATGGTCACATATTGTATCACTTGCAAGCGACCCAGCAACGAGTATTTCCACAGGCTGAAAAGACGGTTCAACCGCCCCCTGTCCGGGGTCTGTTTGATCATCTGCAACTCTTTGAGAGCTCTTGATGGATTGGGAGCTGCCGATGACCTTGCTGGCATTTTCTCTACAACGTGTCAGCAAGTGCCTCGTCTGTCCTATCCAAAGTCTAACATGGCTCACCGCTGAGGCGCAACTCCCCCCCGTCTCTCAAGCTTCGCCAGTTCGACGGCGACTTTGGTCCCACGGACGACATTCGCCTCAATCAAAGCCTCATTTGCCTGCACACTTGCGCCATTGCTGAGTTCTCGGATCCGCTTCAGGATGTAGGGCGTGTTGGCACTCCCGCCAATACCCTTCTGCTCGGCCTCAGCGACCGCTGTAGCAACAATTGAGTCAATCTCTTCCTTTGCCATTGCTGATTGTTCGGGAACTGGATTGGCGAAAAGTAGTCCGGACTGCAGAGGGAATCCGTGTTGTGCGTAGATAATGGCTGCGGCATCCGTTTCATCCTTGATTGTCTTTGGACTCTTAACACCGCTGTCCCGGGAGAAGAAGGCAGGGAAGTCGACCTCCCCCTGTCTGCCATCCGCAAAGGTGCCCACGCCCACACCCTGGGTCTCTAGATATTCTAATGTGCGCGGAATATCCAAGAAGCTCTTGCAGCCGCTCGAAATTACGGCAACAGGTGTCCGCCCCAGCTCCGTCAAGTCTGCAGAGACGTCCATGGAGTTCTCCCCTCCACGATGGACACCCCCAAGACCGCCTGTTGCGAAGACCTTGATGCCCGCCAAATGGGCAAGGATCATGGTTCCAGCAATGGTTGTGCCCCCATTGAGCTTGTGACCCCGAAGACCCAGTCCTCCGATGAATCCGAGGTCTCGTCTTGATATCTTCCATGTGTTCTCACTACCAGCAGTAGAAACGAGTTGTATCAGCTCTTCCGGGGCCATGCCCACGCAGGCCTTGCCTTCGAGGATTCCGATGGTTGCGGGGACGCCGCCGTTGATGCGGACGAGGGATTCCAGGTGGGAGGAGAGGGCAACGTTTTCAGGGTAGGGGAACCCTGGCGAACTGTGAGCCCTGCACGACCTGCATCAGGTTGTTCATTGTACCATGTGTGTATATTGTAGTCTCTAGTGCCACGACCGGCTTGCCAGTTGCAAGGGCATCCTGAACTTCTTCAGAAATACGGAAGAACCTGTCTCGACCAGAAGAGTTCTCGCGTATTTGGTAGCGGAGACGAAGGCATTGTTGATAGGGAGAGCGGAGGAACAGCGATTTCCTGCACAAAGCCATTGCCCGGACACGACAACTTCAACGGCTGGGAAATTGATCCACCAAGAAATTCGGAGTCAAAGGCTCACAAAACCCGCGCACACAAGCACCCAGCCTTGCAGCAACAAGGCTGACGGGGAATCTGCCGGTGGCTTACGTCATACTCACGTTCAGTGGGATCACTCCCGATCCGGGCAAGAGTGCCGCCGCCCTGTGCTCACCCTCGGTTCGTGCGAGTCAGGATCGCCGGAATGGCGAAGGCCGTGAACTGGTTCCACGGAGATTGCCATACACCCCCTCAAAAGCAGCGTCGCTGGTTCTACGCTACTCGTTGTAGACAGGTCCCAGGACCCATTGCGTCACAGACTAGATTGTCCATCGCTTGAGCCGCCAAGTTTAAGAAGGACAATTACTGGATTTTCCATTCGATCTTACGATATACTTCTTCAGCTGCCCCTCCCGTAAGTCAGTCTCACACCGTTGAACTCTCAAGCAACATGGTGCGCGTAGAAATCGGCGGCAGGCCCATCATTGATGTTGACACCCGCCCTGGGGATGTTGGGCGTCTCAAGCAACAGATCCGGCATAGGATGCGCGGAGGTGGCCGGTCTGTGCACCTGAGCTGGACGACAACGACGCCCCGACTGGTCCTGACCAGTGACACGGAGGATTTTGATCCGACCATCATATCTCATTTTCAGGAGGAAGGGTTTCAGCTGAGCTATCTCCAATATGCGGGAGACAAGGCGGGCTACATGGCGCAACTCCAACACTTACAAGACCCCTTAGAGCTAGGGGAGCGCTACGCCATCGTAGGTAAGTGAGTTGGAAGACATACCTTACTCTCAAAGGCAGCCATCGAATCCTATCTTGTGTCAAGCCCTCTGCCGACTCGACCCCGACCCCCGACCCCGACCCCTGACAGACTCAACGCCATTCAATTTCAAGCATCTGACGGTTTGTGTTTTGTTTTCAGCGTACGGTGACGCCGCAAGCCTGGTTCTGGAAGCCTGTATGAAGCCCATGCCCAAGCTTGTTGCCGTCGTCGCATACTACCCAGACCACGTCCCGAGGAGCACCACCGGATTTCCCCCAACCCTGAACGTGTTGATCCACCTGGCCGCCTCACAACGATGGGGCACGCGGTTCCCGATGTACCGCTACGAGAAGACCAAGCCCGGTTTCGCCGAACACGATCTCGACGAGTTCGACAAGATTGGGGCCTCGTTGGCCTGGTCGCGGACGCTGGGCGTGTTGCGCTTGGCCTTCGACATCGAAGGACCGGACATCGAGAGCCTCTGGGAGGCGCACACCCGGCTCGAGTTTGCAGAAAAGGACGTCGACAAGACCATGGCGACCATGGTGCCGCAGCCGTACGTGAACCACGTGCCGACCATGACAGGGGGCATCGGCCACGACCAGCTTCGCCGGTTCTACGCCGAGTTCTTCATCCCCAACAACCCGCCCGACATGCGGATCCGGCTGCTGAGTCGGACCGTGGGCGTGGACCGCATAGTCGACGAGATGTTCGTGTCGTTCACCCACAGCACCGAGATCCCCTGGATGCTGCCCGGCGTGCCGCCCACGGGCAAGAAGGTCGAGGTCGTGCTGGTCAGCGTCGTGTGCCTGCGCGGCGGCAAGCTGTTCCACGAGCACATCCACTGGGACCAGGCCACCGTGCTGGTGCAGGTGGGGCTGCTGGATCCGAAGTACATTCCGAAGACGTTCAAGACTGCCGAGGAAGGGCGGGAGGACGAGGTCGAACGGTTGCCTGTTTGGGGAAGAGAGGCGGCGAGGAAAGTTCTGGATGAGGATAGTGCGCAGAGCAATGAGTTGATTCCAGATTGGTGATGAATGGACGTTCCCCGAGACCCAGGGTCAATCAGCGAAAGGACCCCGAAGCAATGGGACGGTAAAGCGCAAGGAGTAGTTCATTCAATCGTTGTCTCATGGTTTTGCGAAATGGGTAGAGGACGTAGTAATGATATAGCCAATCTTTCCCCCAGCGGTGCTAAAAGACAATGTCCCTAGATCTTAACAGAATCTCGATACCACCCGAAACGCCGCGCGATGTGCGTATAGTCGAACATGCAAAATGCGACGGCATTTATTATAGTTTTCCCCTATCAAGCCTCCTGTGGAATGCCTCAGCCTCCATGTTGAGTGGCTCCTCACTCAGCTTCAGCTCCTCCCAGATCTCCTTGAATCTCTGGAGATCCGTCCTTGCAAACTCCTCGACATCTCTCCACACCCTCCTTCTGGCCCCGCTGACCTTGTCGACAATTTCCAGCTCCGGCGTCAGGCGCTGGGTCTTCAAATACTCCCTGCCCAGCCTCTGGCTCTCCTCGGGGTCCAGCATGTGTTCCAAGTGCGGGATCTGCTGCCCGGACTCGATTTTCATGTGCTCCAGCAGCTCTGCGAACAAGGCGCGTAGAGCGCCGAGAAACTCATCTCCCTCGAGCGAAACGTGAAACAGTGCGAGGAGTTCGGAGCGGGCTCTCTCGTGGTCCGTCCGGTCGTGTTCGGCCATATGCACGCCCTCGTCGCCAAGGTACTCAATGAAAGCCGGCCGCATGATGATGTCCTCGGAGACGTCGTGCCGGACTAGGCGCCAGGTGACTTCCCGTAAGAGACGGGCACGATCCTGAGGCGCTTTGGCTCTGAGAAGGCGACCGGCAAACTTGTTAATGTTGTTGTGGTCATGGTCGATGACGGTTGAGAATGTGAGAGGAGGATCGTAGGGAAGATTGGGCGAGCCGACGCCGTGATGACTTGCATCGGGGGGGGAGTCAGAGCTATACGAAGGGGACGGAGCTGCCATGGTGGGGGCCGCAGTCTGGTCTGAACCTGTACAAGTGTGAAAGGGTGATGGTAGCTGCTGCACAATAAAGTCTTACAGCTTGGGCCTGAACTTCTTGTTGGAGGTCGTGGTGGCTGTCGAGGCATTCGGGTCAGAGCGAGAGGGCGCCTTTAATACCAACGCCTTACCAGGACGCTGTGTTGGCCAATGTGTGAAAGTACCGCAGAAGCCTCGTATAACCCAACCCACCAGAGGGCCATGAGCTTCTGATCGACACGGGATGGACCATGTCCTGCACGATGGAGACGGGGTGCGAGTGGAAGAAAGGGAGGAAGAGAGAAAGCGTCAAAGCGACCTTACTGTGGCGAAGCGGCCCTCCCTGACCGTGAGAGAGGCGTTGAGTTACTCGAGCGTCGCATAGCGATCATGCCAGAATGGAGCCCATCAGCAGACCGTCCCAATCATTGTGTCGAATACGAACAAGAGGGGGCAAGCAGAAAAACGGTGCCAGGGTGTAGCCGACATTGCATTGATGGGGTTTTGACGAAGTGGACGAATCAAAGGAGAAAAGAGCGCAAAGACGCGAGCAAAAGTACAATGGGAGACGGCAAGTCCGATGGTCGACCGTTGTGGTCTAGGCCATTCCAGGGAGTCGGGGGGAGCCACACCAACCAACGCAGTACCTGAGGTACGGAGTACAGAAGTAAAGGTACGAGGGTACGGAGTAGTCGGTACTGTAACACCCATCAGAAGACTGCGAATTAGGTAACAACAAAATCAAGCGCCAAAGGGGACTAATATGACGTTGCAGCATTTCCCCTGATAGGATTCCGACCATGGACGTCAATTACCAAGTCAAAGTGCGCTGAAACGCAGAACAATTGCAACAAAGCATGAAACGCCAAATTAAAAAAGCAGCTAATAGCCACGCTCTTCCAGGTCTGGCCCTCACGCCGATCCAGGTTCCCCAGCATCGTACACTTCCCGGCTATCCCAAATGCGCCGTATCAGTGCCTCTATCGGTGTGAGCCCAAAGTGCTCATCGTCCTGTGCACCGTCGGGATTGCCCTGCGACGGAGTCACCTCGATGTCATCATGGCTGCTCTGCCGCTGGAAATGAACTCTACCCCCGTGACGGCTACTGGTGGAGCGGGACAACAGTGGTGACGGCTTGGGGTCCTCAAAACTCCGGCTGGTGCCAGTCTTTGCCTGCCCGTTCACACTAGTGGTACTGGGTCCACGCCGGCTTTGCGGTCTGCTCTTGGAGAATGCGCCGCTCGAGGTGACTGAGCTAATGTCTTGTGGTAGCACGTTTCGCTCCTTGAGCCGGTTCATGCTTTCAACGAGTGGACTCCGGAATCTCCTGACCACCATCAACTGTTTGACGGCACTTTCGTAATCCTGCTTTGCGGCTTTGATCTCTCCGGCCAGAGATCGATTCCTATTCCGGGACCCTGCCCGGCCGTGCAACGCAGTCCCAGAACCTAGAGGATGTCCCATGCCAGTGGCGGGAGGGGTGGTAGGTGTCGCGGCTCCTGCTCTCATGATCTCTCTCCGCTGAAGCTCCAGCTTCTGCTGCGTTCGGGAAGGATTTTGAGAGATCCTTGCCTTGTGGAGGGTCTTGGTCTTCTCCGGCGATTCCGACGGTTGTGGCTTGAAGGTGGAAAGAAAATTCGACGGCATGTCTTCATCGGAGTCGTCTGCAATCTGACGGAGAGAGCTGGCCGGAGTGTCTGTCTGTAGGAAATGCGAGACACCACCTTCAATAGATGAGGACACCAGGACAGGGCCGGAGAGGGGCCCAGTCGAGGCAGGCGCGTGCTTCCCGGAAGCGGGAGTCTGACCCGAGTGACTGGCGCCGGCCATCGACGAAGAAGCGTCGGCATGAGAGATGTGAGTGAAGGACCGGGATGAGTCGTTGCGCACCAACTGGCTGGGCCCTACATGCGCCGAAACCGTCGACATTGTCGGGGGGGCCCGAGCTGAACGAGGATATTGTTGAAGGAGTGCAGGATCAGGCGGGTTCTGCAGCTGCGATATAACCGGCTCATTCTTGAGATTCGGCGCTGAGCGGTTCTTGGTCTTTAAGGATGCTTGAGGCGGCGATGAGGTCTTTTCAGGGCGGCTGGTGTCGCCCTCCGAAGGGTGTGGAGGAGCTGTGTCTCCGTTCGGCGTATGTGCCCGTGCAGGCGTAGATGTCTTCGAGTTATTGCGCGTGAGCTCGGGAGACTGCGTCGTTGAATCCTCCCATTCGCCCTCCTCTTCATCGTCTGAAGATCGATCTCCGAGTTGGAACACGCCATCTTTCTCGTCCTTGCTCTTTTTCCTTATGGCGGGCGTCAGTCCAACCTTCTTCAGAGCCCCGTGAGAGGCGTTTCGGGGCAGCGCGTTGGCCGATTGATTTTTGCGCAGGTTCCCGTACGAGGTATTCTTGACCAAGGCCACATGGGAGCTGTTGCGTTTGACCAGAGGCGTCTTCGGACTGTGCGAGGGTGAGGTGCCTCCTGACTTTTTCCTCTGGTGATGAGTTTGATAGTCGGAAGCGATGCTGGCGGTCGACTGGACTTTACCCAATTTACTCAGTCCCTTGCCGTGAGAGACATTTCTCGAGTGGCGATTGACGACGTGAGGTCGGTGGACTTTGTGGATGGTGGTGGTCTGTCTGCCCGAGGAACTCAGGGAATGGGTAGAGGAGGTGCGTTCGTTTAGCGAGGGCCGTTTAACGGGAGAGGGGGAAGCCGACGGCATGGTGTTGAGCCCATCGATCGAGAGCTGGGGAAGGTGGTAATCAAGAGCGCTTGGGTATCAGGTTAAGATTACTGTCTCTAAATGGCGGTGTTGAAGGAAAGCTGCAATGAGCAATGAGGTAATGGTCGAGAAGAACACGAGCACAGTTCGAGATCGTTGATCGGGCGCAGGAAGAAGTTGGCGGGCTGCCGATGCTGCTTCTGGACTTTTGCGGATGCCCGCTTTTGGCTCCGCTGCCCAAGTCTCTGCCAACTGCTCGTGATTCACCCGAATCACGGCAGAGTACATACACGGGGCAAGATGTCACCCTGGACTTCTCTTCATCACCCCCGGGGCTTGGGCTAATAGTGAGGCTTCAATCTGTGCTTGCTCATTTCGGGGTAAGACGTCCAGACCGAGGACTATTATGTCGAAAAGTCACTGCTGCATCTAACTGGTCCATCACTGAAGGAGTCGACACTCGTGCCCCGACACCCTCCCGGGCTGTCAAGACGTAACAAAGCCAACAGAACGTGAAATTTTCTACTGGGTACATGTTCTCGAGTCTTCAGACCATTGTACAAAATGGTCGAAATTCGGCTCGACACAGGATGGTTCCAAAAGGTATTGTGAGGTTCTTCGAAGGATCGTGGAAACCTTTGCAGCAGAGCACTCGCCTCGCCATCTGCTCCAATTTGCACAATTATTTCATGCCTGATCAGACCTTGACACGATCTATCGAGTGTCATCTCACATCTCTTCAACTGAGACGAGGTTCCCGCGATGCCTCGGGCAGAGCCAAGGCACGCAGTAGTTGCGATGGTCGGCACTGGGGTTGCTGGAACGATCCCCAATGCTCATGTCCAGATCCAAATCGGATCTCAGGCATGCAAAGGAGTGTACCTCCATCCCATCCAACACGTGTCCATGCAACCGCAATGGCCCGTCTTCTAGCCCATCATCAATGTATTGTAATATGTTGTGTGGGACGCCGGCCACTCTCCAGGATCACGACTAGGTCAAGCGCCACACCTTACTGGGAGTCTCCCTTCCTCTTTGATCGAGTGGCCATTCGCCGGTGCCAAAAAAAGATCAAACACTCGCCATGTATGATCCTCGACCGGGGGGAAGCCGACCACCTCCCCTAGACTCTGGTCTGGGTTATCTCCTGGAATTTTCTTCTACTGAAGACCTTCGTTATCGATGTTGACCACAAAGGCTCAGGACTAAGTGCAAAGTACCCGTTGCATCTCGTGTTGCAAATTGGCGAGCATCCATTCGACGACTGATCATGGATTCGTACGAAGAATCCAACGTGCCCTTTTTGCAAGATCTCAAAGACGACTCGATCGAAAGAGCCCAGACCCGTGAAAAGCCTGTCTCGATATCCAAGAAACTTGTGTGGTGGACGTTTTGTGCTTTAGTGCTCGTCGTCTCCAATGCGTTCACCTTTTATGGTGCTCGAGTCTACCGACATAGTCAGCTAGACAGGGTGTGCACCGCTCACACCTCACAGAGCTGGAGTGAGCTTTGGACCTACGTGTTTCTGAAGTTATGTCGTGTGCACTAACACCGAATTTATCAGGCCCTGTTGAGCAAGATGTAGACATTCATTACAACAGCAGACGGTTCAACGCGTCTTTCTATACGGAATCCATTTATCGACAACCCGCGAGCCCTGAAGTGGACGCGGCGTGGGAGGAGCTGGGCACTGAGCGTGAGTGCAGCCTCGCCTGGACATTGCACTTCCGGTGTCTACTGATTACGGTTTCTAACACTCCTTCCGATGTCCAGTCAAAGGCATTGTCCTATCGGTCGATGAGGCCAAAAAGTCCGGACTAGAGTTGGATCGTGTCATGGTAGGAGAGGACTATGGGGGTCCTGGCTATGTGGCATTTGTGGAAGTAACCCATCAGATCCACTGTTTGGTAAGGATTCAATGTTTCTTCGGCCCAAAAGCCTCTCAGGGGCGCAACACCAATGCTGGAGCTATCGCTAACCTGGACCTAGAACCTTTTACGCCGAGGACTCTGGTTCAACTACGAGTATTACCAGAGTCACAATATAGGCGAGTTCGCCGACGGCGATCGCATCGTCAAACTCCATATTGGTAAGCGGGAGCATTCTCTTTTCACCTCGATAGAGTCACTCTCTTGTGTTCGTCTCGATCAAGAAGAAGTTCCACTGACCTTGTGCGTCTGTATTAGGGCACTGTCTCGACACACTCCGCCAGGCCCTCATGTGCAGTTCAGACACTGGCCTCCTACCCTTCGTCTGGGTTGGCAACCCTCCGAAACAATTCCCTGACTTCTTTCGGGAACACAAATGTCGAAATTTCGAGCCTATCTTGGACTTTGCAAAAAGAAGAGAGGTAAAGGCGCTGGAGCATATGAAGGCGGTCCCGCATAAGGGGGCTTTGATTTTGGACGACTTTCCATGACCGTGAACAGTCTATATGAAAACATTGAAAAAGGAGCAGGGCGGTTATCCAACACTGCCAACCAGGATGTGGTTTTCTGCATTCAGGAGATGGAGTTGATGCACCAGTAATACTGGAAACAATCAGTGGTTTGTTTCGTCGATGAACCATGGACCGGACCTCTAGGGTGATACCTTGGAAGCTCGAGTCGCTAGGGTACGCTTTTTCAGAAAGAGAGGTTGACATACCTCATCGAGGAGCAGCGGACAGAGCGGTACCCCGGTCAAAGCGCGGACTGCGTGTCGTCGGGCTATACGACGACTCCTGCGTGGAGTATCCAGGGGAAACCCGTCATTTGAAGGAGGAAATGCCGCCTCGAAAGCAGCAAAAGCCGCGAAAGGGAGAAGCGGCAAGGAACGTCGTGTGCACCAAGATAGACATTTCACAAAACAGTGGAGTGTCTTCAGCAATATGTCTAGCCTCACACAACTCCAATTGAACGGTTATTGAATCAATTGGATTGCGTGAGGTTGCTGTCAAAATGCTCATGCCTTGTCCAGATCGTAGGGTTGGTCCTCCGACGATCTTCTCCCCAGATGAAGTGTTGGAGGCCGTGTCATTGGCGGCAGGGAGGGATAATGGAGAAGTAGGGAAGCAAAGAGTCACCCACCAGGCTCTGTGATGATGCCAGGCTGCAATGGTTTTTATGCAGTGTGATAGCAAGGTTCCTTTGAAATGTCGACATGAGTGCGTGCACTGTATTGACTCATGATGAGAAACTACATCTAGTCGTCGGATGTGTCTGAACAGAAGCCCACGCCCAGGTGTGCAGAGAATAGTGATCACAGCAGGCGCATGCCTTGCAATGTGATACGACGCTCCAACGAGTCTGGCCGGCCGCCAAACAATAGCCAGCCATGGCCGAGGATCGGACTCACATACTTCGTGTTATGCATGTGTCTGTGAAAAGGTCACGGTTGATATGGCCACCTCAGCATTTTAGCGTTGTTGCACAAAAGCGCAGATCAGGTACCGCCGATATGCTGTCTGGTTGGGAGGCTAAGCGAATGGAGTGTTGACAAGGGGTTCCGAACCTCAAACTGCAAGCCGCGGGTAGCCTCCCTTCCCGACTGCGGTGGTTCCGTCAGCTTCCAAGGTCTACCAGGCGGTCAAGGGCCTTGGGTAGGCCGCAATTGGGAGGAAGAACAGGAGGGGTTTGTCATCAGCGCGTAGTTCCGTACAGTAGGCGCTGAAGGTTCGGTACGGGCGTGAGAAAGCACATGCTGTGAGTAGCCGAGGTGATTGGGTTCGACCCTCGTTTCCGTGTCGGCGCAAGGTGCTGATTCAGGTGGCAGAAAGAGAGAGATGCTCGCGAGTGCATGCCGTGGGGTGTCGTCGTGTGCCTGACTGCACACTGGCAGAGCTGAGGAGTGCTGGGTCGAAGTCCTTCCTGGTCAGGTAGACGAGTGCTGGGTGAGTGGAGGGATACATTGGGAGGGACATAAATATTGCTAGTAAGTAAGTGGAGCTGGATAAGTACAGTAACTTTTAACTAAAGCTTAGGCGCGAAGTGCCTGCGTATGCTTCCTTCCTTCCCCCGGAGAGCTCGAGGGATCCCAAGGGAGAACGGAAGAGCTGCTCGTCAGGACCCCAAGACGCAAGCAGCGCCCCCACTAGATAGCCTAGATAGCGGCCGTTGTCTCTTTTTCTGCCGTTCAATGCACGCTCAACTTCATCACCGTGTCTTCTATTCCGTGCATACTCCGTACTCCGTGAACCGCGTCGTCTTTTCCTTTCTTGCGTCCTTCGCCTCTTCAATTGCGCCATCCACCATCCCTGACCATCGGTCCCCAGAGGAGGTAATCAATTCATCATCAACCAACCCCCTGGGAGGTTCCCCCCCGCAGGCGGTCCTCTTTCTCTCCTGTCGCTGGCCAACTGCATGATCTCGCCGAGTGCGACTGACTTATCTAGCGGCTGGTCTCTGAAACTGACCAATGTCTCTCGTCTTTGCCCTCTCAATCTCTCAATACCACCACAAAACCTTATCTCACCTGCACCGTTTCTTTTTCTTCCTCTGTGGGAGCTAGACAAATCGACTCTCGCCGGAAACCCACTTCTTTCTGGCCCATTCTCACCCAAGGCTCCCAGCTCTTCGACTTACTCCGCTGATAGGCACGAAACATACACCGCAGCAGTGGTAAAAATCTAGCCTCCCCCCCATCCCGTACCCTGGCCATCCACTCCCTTGTCGGCATTCCTCCTCGACGGTCGCAACGCGGGCGATAAGTTGATCGGGAAAACAACATTGATATCCTCTCCTTTGTCACTTCTCCGTTGTTTTCCTACCCTGACTCCAAGTACAACCAGGTTGTACGCGCCTCCCCGTGTCTGTTGCCTATTTCGCAACGTCTATGGCGTCATGATCTCAATATACTCTGTTCGCAATCTGGAGTGGCCGTCTGATTTGCGCTTCATCGATCGCTGACCCACGACCGTGGTGATGGTGAGATTCGATACTCACATTCCAATCCGATCATCACGAAAAAGTACATTCTTGAAGCGCTTGTCATATTGATAGAGCCTACTGTCCTCATTTCTGCTCAGACTGGGTGGTGGCAGATTTGAACTCCCAGCACTTTTTTTTGGGTGTTCCACGCCACGAAAGGCTGGACCCAGTCTCTCAAAATGGCCTACACTCTCCAGGCTTCTCTCCCAACGCCACTCACGCCTTCCATGCCATTATATGGCCCGCTTCCAGAACAAATTGAAGCCTTGCCAATTACACCGCCGGAAATACCAGCGGGCTTTGACGAGAAGACGTTCAAACCAGACAGTCGAACAATTAAGAAGGCCCTGCATGTGCTCGCCACTGAACGCCAGGCCCTCTCTCATCTCGAGGAACTATACACCCATTCTGCAGAGGTCCAGGATTCTCTTCTTCGAGCCATCCGTCAAATCATTCTTTCAGAGACGCGCCATGGAAAGACCATCTTCACTGGCGTTGGCAAGTCTGGCCACATCGCAAAGAAGCTTGTCGCCACTTTCGTCTCGCTGGGTATTCATGCCATTTTTCTCCACCCGGTTGAGGCTCTCCATGGTGACCTGGGAGTCGTTCGGCCCTCTGATACGGTTATCATGATCACATTTTCTGGCAGAACTCCTGAACTCTTAACTCTGCTTCCACATATAGATCCCTGTGTACCACTAATCGTCATGACGGCGCACCTGAGTCCGACCACTTGTCCTCTGCTCTCCCATTTCGGAAGACAGGCCTCGACGAACATCCTGCTACCCACCACCATCCATGAATCCGAGATTTCGTCATTTGGAGTCTCGGCTCCAACAACTTCGACGACCATCACACTGGCTCTGGGTGACAGCCTGGCCCTTGCAGTCGCAGACGAACTCCATGCTGCTGCCGGACTTCAGACGCCCGCCATTTTTGCGGCAAATCATCCTGGCGGTGCCATTGGCGCGGCCCTGAAAACGTGCACTCCAAGCGCACAGAGAATATCTGAACTGGCGACTGCGGTGGCCCAAGTCCCAATTGCGGTGCCACAACCGAATCATCCGCTCTTGTGCTTGGATGTGCTTGTGGCCGCAGTGAGGTCACCCCGTGGTTTCGTCCGAACTTCTCAAACGCACATGATAGGTCCTCGAAGAATTCAGAACCTACGAGATCCCTCTGCACCTGTCTCAGGCGCGGTGGACGAGCATGGCAGGATGGAGGTTGAGAGGACCGACTGGATATCTGTCCTCAGCTCAACCACGGTTGAAGAGTGCAAGAAATGGATTCACCAGATGCGAGACGAGGGATGCGGTCGCGGCAAAGAATTCCTCAAACGAGGCACATTACTTGGGATTGTTGATCACAACGAGGTGACAGGTGTTGTGGAGATAGAGGATGTCATGGGCGAAGACTTTGCTTGATTTTTGCACATTTGCCGCATTCTCGATCTGAGGGACATTATGACCAGACATTATAGAGCTTTTGCACGAGGGCGGCCAGCGAGTGACGATTGAATGTCGATTGAATGTCGATGTTGCATATTCCTAGTTTGGCAACATTATGAGTCTCACGAATACCACTCGTCTTCTTCCTCTTCCTCCTCCTCCTTCTCATCCTCTTCTTCGCCCGTGCCGTGTAGTGTTCCAGCACGGCTGTCCGCTGCATCCTGCCCAGCAGTATCAGCAGATATCGATTTAATGTCCTGCCCCATATCCGTTCCTGCCTTTATGCCGCTTCTCAGTGCGTCCCTCTTTTCTCGAAGTTTTCGCACTCGTTCCTCCATTTCCTCCATCACATCGAATTCCTCTTCGATCCTTCTCTCTTCATCTTCCTTCTCGTCATCTGCTTCTGTCTCCAACTTCCGCCGTTTGTCTTCTTCTTCCTGGGCTTGGAGCTGGGCTGTTGTGACGGGTGCTGCGACAATCGTTGCGGCCGAGGCGTAGTCCGGCTGCGCTGTGGCCAGTGGTGCAACCTCACGCTCAAAGGCCGCCCACTCGTCTTCATCCACTGCAGGTGGTTGTGTAGAGCCGTTTGTCGGAGGTGCACTCTCCGTTGCTGACGCAATTGGTGTCGACTGTTTTGCCGCCCCGTCGTGATCTTCATTCTGCGGAGGCAGCACTTGTGCGTGTATACTGCCCTCTCCTTTGTCCCCCACCACATTAATGCTCTCTGGCCGTGACTTCGGCTTTTTTCTCGCGTCGATCTCCGCTAGATCTCGTTCTCGTGGTGCATCGTCGTCGTCGTCTTCGACATCTTCAATCTTTCTCTTGACTCCCTTGCCTGCGTTTGTCCCGATGTTTACATTGGCGTTCTCCTGTGCAGCGGCCTGAGCGGCGTTCCGTCGGTGGTTTGCGCTCTTGAGGTGGCCTTCCCAGAGGGCCTCGGATTTGACGTTCAGGTTGCAGACAGTACAGATCAGCATACCTGATTTAGTGTAGGTGAGGTGAGGGTGCGTGATTCGGCGAGCCTGCCGCTCTGCAGCAAGGAGGGCTCGGACGTCGGCCATGGTTTCATCCCTCGATTTTTCGAAAATAATGCTCGTAGTGAAGGAGACGACCTGCGTGCTTCGAGCAGAACAAGAAAGGACTTGTAAAGCCTCGAATAATTGTCACCACGACCTACTAACTCCGAAACTGGTGGATCTCGGGATGCCTATTTTGTCTTGTTTGATTACGTCAGGCTGTTCACGTATCAGGGTCAATTATGCCGCTGCTTTAGCGCCGCTGCTGGTAATCGAACGGCTCCTCCTCTTTCGCCTGCGGCCCCAGCCAATCACAGCTTTTGGACCCTTACTGCAACCTCCGCTTTCTTGGCGGCAGTTTGTCGCAGCTCAGACCTTGAGGAGTTGCTTGCCACTTTCATCGCTGCCCGCAACCGCATCCAAACTCCTCTCTCCTATCTCCATATCATCATCGCAACATTAGCCAGGGACTCGTCGCCTTTGTTATTCCATCGCGCACTGCCTGCCGTCAGAGTCTGGCAGCGTGCCGTTGGCAGTGTTTATTAGTCTGTTCGAGTCTGGAGGCAACTGGTCTCGTGGACACTATCTCTACTACTCCAAACTTGTCGTAGATCGCGATATTAGACGTGGTTGATGACAAGCGCCCACGTCCTGCGTGTATCGTGTACATTGTAGTGTCTAGCGACTCGTCATTATTGTCGCCATGGCTGGTAAGCATTGCCATTACCTCGGTCGCTTTCGATACGCGCCCGTTCAGTTGAACCTTACTGACACAGTTACAGAAGAACCGCGACGCTCAGGTCGCGCGACCAAAGGCCATCACTCCAAGGATCGCGATATCACCGATGGTCTCCCTGCGAAGAAAAAAGGCAAAGGAAAGGCCTCCAAAGCCAAGGCGGCAGAACAAGACGAGAGCGACGAGATCATTCGCTGTGTCTGTGGCACCTACGAAGAAGAGGAAGATGTTCCCCGAGCCATGATATGTTGCGACAACTGCTCCGCGTGGCAACATAACGGCTGTATGGGTCTTCCGGAGGATTATGAACCTGCACAATACTTTTGCGAACAATGTCGTCCCGAGGACCATGCGGAATTGGTCGCAGCTATCGCACGGGGGGAGAGGCCGTGGGAAGAGGGGGCCCAATCGCGAGACACGGGAAAAGGGAAGAAGAAAGGTGGCCGGAAGGGTCGAAAATCGGCTACTGGTCGCACGAGCGAGGCCGTGTCTCGCGTCGCTTCTCAGGATGTCGACGAAACCCCGGCGGCACAGACTCCGGCCACTGGCCAGAAGCGTAAACACGAGGAGTCCCCTTCTGTCCCCGAAGTAAAGGTACGATATATCTGGCGCGAGTCGATAGACACCTACTAACATGCCATTAGAACAAGAAGGCACGAGGGACGCCCGCTGCTGATACCAATGGCACCATAGCAGTCAAGGCCGAGACCCCATCCAGGCCGGTGTCCAGATCAGAACCTGTCTCGGCGGTGGCGGTGGAGGTGAAGGAACTTACAAATACTACAAGGAAGCATGCTGCGTCTACGTTGATCAAACTCATAGAACAGCAAATCAAAGAAGCCGTAAAGCAAGGCGACTACAGTATTCCCACCGGCACATCCGCGACAGAAGTTGCCAACCAGATTGGCCTACGCATGGAGCATGCTCTGTATCACGTCCAGGTCGGTGGGAGCGCTGACCCCAACGAAGCCTACAAGGGTCAATTACGGGCGATAACCTTTAACGTGAAGAAGAACCGCACGTTAGGTGTGCGGCTGCTGAATGGAGATCTCCTTCCTCACACCCTGGCGTCGATGGACCCGAAGGACATGGCAAGTGATGAACAGAAGCAAAAGGATGCAGCTGTTATGAAAGAGATGGAGAAACAACACACCATCGTGGAAGAGCCGGGGCCGAGAATAAGGCGCACACACAAGGGCGAGGAATACGTGGACGAATCGAGGCAGGTTGCAGCAGAGTCTGCGACTTCGAATGCTCCTGTACGCAAACCTAGTGTTGCCGAACCAGACGGAGATGTAAAGAGCCCTGGCCTGAGAAGTCCCTCCGTCACGCCCGCCGCTCCCGGAAAAGGCTCCAGACCGAGACCATCTGTGGATACCACCCGGCGACAATCGTCGGCCAACTTCGACATTGACAAAGTCTGGTCGAACGTCCAAGGTTCTCCCGACGGCGAGAATCAGCGGTTCGGTGAACTACCTCAAACGACCTCGCCGACCGTCGCTGTCCGAGAACCCATCGCTCCAGGCACCAAAGCTGACGCAGATATCGATGAGCTGCTCAAGGACGAGGAGGCCGAGTCACCGCCTTATTCACCCAAGGAATCTGCTGAGGCTGACAGTATCATCTGGCGAGGAATTGTCAACGGCGGTAACCTAGGCCGATTCCAGGCGGTAGCAAGATATGCAGCGGGGGCTACTCCCGATGCCGATACGTTACGCTTGACCTACGACCAGATCATCCCGCCTGAAATCGACATAGGAGGTCGAATCCAGCCTGCTCGAGCGGACGAATACCTTTGTGGTCTTGAATACAGCAATACGTCCGATCTGGTCATTGTGTGTATGCCAGAGCCCGCAAGCTTGCGTGATCAGGAGCAATTTGACAAGTTCTTCCGGTATTTCAAGAACAAGGACCGCTTCGGGGTTGGGATCCAACATACGAATCCGGCAATCAAAGACATCTACTTGATCCCGCTGGATAAGGGTCAGGAGATGCCTACTTTCGTCAAGAAACTCGAAACCGATTTTCCGGATCCCGCTCAGGAGAGAATGCTTCTAGTCCCGATTGTGATCAAGAACAGCGAGTTACCACACAATGCACCTGCGACGTTGATTGATGGAACACCTGCTACGGCTGCCAGTCCCACGGTCGGAGGTGGACTCATCGCTCAAACTCCCATCACGCCTCATGAAGGCAACTTCCCTTACGATCAATCTCCGATGCCAAGTCAGCAAGGAGCGAATGGAATATCTCAGGCTCAACATGGCCTCGGTGTGACAGCAGCCTTTCCATCGGCCACTCCTCCATCGTCACTCCCACAGCCCCACCGGCAACCTTCCCAACAACCACTTCAGCCATCACCCCCGCTCAACGCCGCCATGGCTACGGCTCAGAAAGTACTTGGTCCCCAGTTAGCCTCGTCCCCTTCGGTCGTGCAGTTATGCACCCAAGTACACACCGTCGGAGAACACCAGTTTGCTGTGATCAAGAGGTGTCTGGAGCAGAATCCCGAGGCACAGGCCAGCTTGGGCGTCTTGACGGGGATGTTGCAGCGAGTTGATGCCGAGTCACGCGGCAGCGGCGGAGGTGACGGAGGTGGTACAGCTGGTGCATAGGGAGCGAACCAGGAGATGGGTGATCGAAAGAAGGGCGAGGGTGGCGGAAGATGTGCTTTGGACGAGCTGGGATGTTTGGATAGGGTAAAGGAGACTAAAGGGAGGCTTGCCTCTCACCGTGCGGCGTATGGATAGCAAGAGTGTGGAAAGCATTGATACCCCTGATGAGTTGTGATGTGGGAACCAAGCAATGCAATTGTAACTGTATGAGGAGCCCAGCTGATGAAAAGTGCCATCACGAGCACAGTTCATCTTCTCTCCTCCGTGCTTTCAATTTCTGGCATCAACGTAGGTAGCCATCACTCAAAGGCCTCGCTCGCGTCCGCAACGTTCAATGCTAGCTAGCCAGCTAGCTAGCTAGATTACACAGTAGAGCTCTTGGAAGGGCTGGTTGGTTATGTATTATTTACGGAGTATGTGTTGGAGTTGAGTGAGTGAGTGAGTTTGTTTAGTCTGTCCACGACGCGCAGGCAGCATGCATGCATGCATGAATGGTATTCACAATAGCCCAAATTGCTTCAAAGTTCACTTTGTACGTGCGAGTCAGGACCTGTCAGAGCTTGGGGCCGGGGCTGGGGCCAAGGCCTGTGGTTTGGATAAGGATATAGATATGAATCGCAGCTTTGAAATTTGTGCTTTGACGGTGAGATGGTCGTGTAGTAAGAATAGGATCGAGAAGCAAAAGAGGAGAGGGTTCTCCTGTATCTCACTCCTTGGACTACATAGTGTGGTTCTCTACAGTCCCCAGACAGACATGTGACATGCTCCTTACTATCTAACTCACTCTACAGCGTCTCCAAGAAGGTCTTTACAAGCTCATCCCTCCGGGCAGGTTCCACGATATAGAACCGGACGTCCCGCAGGACCGCGTCTGGCAGAGCGTCGCCCGGGGCAAAGTTGTCCCTGTCCAATTTGGCCTTGTCGACGCCGACAACGCCCTTGAGCAGGCCCACCAACTCCTTCCGCCGCTCGGCGTCGCCCAACTTCAACTTGGCCACGAGCTCTCGGTAGAGCTTCTCGCGGTCCTTGTCTTGCATCGCTCGCTCCAGCATCTCGGGGTGCTTCTTGAACTTGCGCCGGAATTCCGGCCAGTACAGTTTCGGCGTCGCGTGCTCCTGGAGGAAGCGCAGATACGCCACCCGGGGGTCCTTCTTGTGCTGCTGTGTCGCGGCCGCCGAGGCCTTGAGGGCTTGCTGCTCTGCGATGCGGTCCTTGGACCAGGCCACGAAGGCCTCTTTGCGTGACGAGGTGTTTGGTAGTGCGACGTACCGCGGGTCTTCTATTAGCGCCACGTCTTCGATCAACTTTTCAAAGGTGGAGTAGGGCGATATGCCGGAGTCGTCGAGCAGGGATCGGAAGAGTGCGATCTTGTCCTCCGCGGTTAGAGGGAGACCTTCGTCGTCGTCTTCATCTTGTTCCCCCTCTCCTCCATCGCCGTGTATGTAGTCTTGGCCCTCCTCTCCATAACCGTCACCGCCCTCCATCTGCGCCAGTTGCCAGGCTATGTCGTCTTCGTCGAATTCTACAGGTCCAGCAGGAGGTGGGTTCTCCCTTTCAGCCTCGTGGGAGAGACGAGGTCGCTTTGAGGGCTCGTCGACCGCTTCCGCCTCGTCATCTGTCACTTCGACTTCCTCGTACTCGTCGCTGTCGTACTCTTCAGGCCCAATAGATGCTCGAGATCTTTCCCTGGCGGGTGTCACTGATCTCGGTGTGTCGTCCCTTGGGTGTGATTTCTCACGTTCCTTCGTGGCCTCTTGCTGCTCGGTCTCTGCCTTTTTCTTAGCCTCCCACTCCAGCCTGTCCATCTCAATCACCGCCATCATGACATCTTGCGGAAATTTCCATAAACTCTGCTTTGTCTCGGTATTATGGACAAACCTCCGGCCTAGTTTTGTCTTCACCAGCACCCACGGTGTGCAGTTTGGTATAGGTGCTTTCGACTTCGGGCGGTCTCCCTGGTTGCGTCTCGGACGGGAATGTTCTTGATAACTTCTGCCCCCGGTGAAATGGCCCGGTTGCGCCGTGGCACTGTTTCTGTTGAACTCATCCATTGCCTGCATTGAGGCACGTACAACATGGTCAGGCTCACTTGCGCCATAGTCGATGCGGAGGGGCTCATCAGAGGGAAGACTGGGTCGAGTATAGGTAGACTGCTTCGTCTCCACATTGTAGTAGTAGGTATGGCCGGTGGGTGCTTTGTGCTCTGTCCACCCTGACGGCAGGGGAGGTCCTACAGGGCCCGATCGGTATGTAGACTTCAGCTTGCCACTCATTTTCACGGGACGTAGCAGGTGTCCTGACTTCAGGTGCAGAGAAAAGAGAACAACATACTGACCCGGGCAATTCTGGTGCCAGTCGTTGGAGGAAAATTCCTGGGAGATGATTGGCTGAACAGCGGGCGACGCGTGAGAGCCCGTGCCTGCGTCAATCCTCATGGACTATTTCTCTCTCCCTCTTCCATTTACCTCTCTTCGGCTGCCACTTGCTATCTGTTCAAATTCCATTCGCAATAGATCGCCCAGCATGTCTCGCAGATACGATTCGAGGGTGAGTTTTCCTTGCGTTTGAAATACCACACTGGGTGTTTGATTGACACAGCTGCTAACTTACTCCCCAGACCACCATCTTCTCCCCCGAAGGCCGCTTATACCAGGTCGAATATGCTCTCGAAGCTATCTCGCACGCCGGCACTGCATTAGGGATATTGGCACAGGATGGTATCGTCCTTGCTGCGGAGCGGAAAGTGACAAGCAAACTGCTGGAGCAAGACACTTCGGCCGAGAAGCTGTATATCCTGAACGAGTATGTCTCCTGGCTTGGGGAAGTGATTGCTAGACAGGGCCACATACTGATCGTCTCTTCCATGCAGTAACATGATTTGTGCAGTGGCAGGAATGACTGCTGACGCCAACATCCTCATCAACTTCGCTCGACAAGCTGCTCAGCGATACCTCCTTACCTACAACGAAGACATCCCCTGCGAACAGTTGGTGCGCCGCTTGTGCGACTTGAAGCAGGGATACACGCAACATGGTGGTCTGCGGCCTTTCGGAGTTTCGTTTATCTACGCCGGCTGGGATCCTCAACGGCAGTTTCAACTCTACCAAAGCAATCCTTCGGGCAACTACGGGGGGTGGAAGGCTACGAGTGTAGGAGCAAACAATGCTAGTGCACAGAGCCTCTTGAAGCAGGATTACAAGGAGGATTGTGACCTGAAGGAGGCATGTGGCATGGCGGTGAAGGTGTTGAGTAAGACGATGGACTCGACGAAACTAAGCAGCGAGAAAAGTGAGTTTGCATCACCCAGACGAAAGACCATTTGCTGACGAGTGCTTGTGTAGTCGAGTTTGCGACCGTGGGAAAGACCAAAGATGGCAAGATATACCACCATCTCTGGTCCGGCGACGAAATCATGACCCTCCTCAAAGAACACGGTCTGGCCAAGGAAGAGGAACCCGAGACCGGCTAGGTGCTTGCTGGTGCTACATCCACAGTCAGCGTTAGACGGAGGTGAGAGTCAAACCGGGCCGTGAGAAGACGGCAGATCCTCAACTTGTCTTTTTAGGTGGAAATCACACTAGTGCTGTCGGGGTTTGTACGTTTCTACAAGTTACAGAGAAAAGGCAGGAAATTTAAGGCAGCATCGCATAGCACCGGGCGTTCATGGCGAACGGTTGACATTGCGCTATTGAAAGAACCACAGTTCTCGAATTCCAATGGTCATGGGTAGACGCTGTCTTGTCTGCAAGGTCATCCATGAATGCCAATTGGAAACCTTGCAATGCTCCATTTGCCATCTATTCCTCCTCAGATGAAGATCTCTCGGAAGCGTCTTGGCGTTTGATCATGGCTGCTCCCGTTGGTGCAAGTATCAAGATGCCCTTTGACTCAAAAATTTCGATTGTCCTCCGCAAAGATACATGGAAGCTCTTACAGGAATATAGGGTTTTGGAAACTGCCACGACCCGGATCGGGCATCGACATGTAGAATGGGCACCAGCTCTGCGGAAGAGAATCTGTGGCCATTTGGGCAGACGAGAAGAACTACAACCAACCAAGACTCTCGACGATCCCAGAACGACTTCAACCATTGAAACTTCAGTCTAAGTCAAGAAAAAGGCGGGCGGGGGGGAGACCACGACGTGGCGGTCGCTTTCATTGACTGCTAAACCTCGTATTCGACAGGGAATCGATTCTCTCCGTCCCCCGCATTCTCACTTTGCCCTCAAGCGATACAAAGCCTCATTCAGTCCTCCCACACTCATGGAGAAAATCAGGCGGCGCATATTCAGGGGAATTGTCGAGCGGCTCGAGAAGAAAGGTTCACACGCGGCACCGGCCTCCGACGACAATTCCTACCTCGACTCGTCGGACAACGAGCCCAATTTTGACGCTACTTCACTCTGTGGAACGTGTGTTCCAAGATTGAGTGGAAACATGTCCTGAGAGGGACGCTGTCAGAGCGAGGACTTGACATCTTCAGTCATCGGCAATGTGTACAATCTCGACGGCATAGACAAAACCGGAGTCGCGTTCCTCTGCGCACCAGGATCTATCTTTGGCGAAAGGCGGACCGACCGCCATCTTGTCCGTTGTGCCAGCTGTGGCTCCGAGCGTATAGGAGAGTCTATCCCCATGAAGATCTTACGGCCACCAGCCAGAAGCACGACAATTCTTGGTTTACCTACTATGTGATGACAACAGATACTTTGGTCCTTGGGCGGGGAATCCACGCGGGATGGACGAGGACGTTCAAACAACGGAAACACGCCAAAAGGCCATGCTATCTTTTAGAATGAGATCCCGGGCTTTTCAATTGTCTCACGGCTTTGAGCAGCTCTTGGAATTGACCTGCCTCGATGAACATCTTCCCGAAGAATCGAAATCCAGAGGCGGAAGACTTCTCTCTGACGAGGGAGCACAGCCTGATTTATTCCAGGGTTGGCTGGAGATGTGCCACTCGGAGCATGGGGCAAATTGTGAGGCCTCGCTCCCGCCAGACACCTTAGATAAGGCGGCCAGATCCTTCAAGCTCCGTCTGATCGATGTTGAGGCTGTCGAAGTGCTCGTTGGATCCCTTATTGACCATTATTGTGCCTTGTCCTACGTCTGGGGAGACATCGAATCCTTCAAGGCTACGGCAGCATCATTGGCGCCGGATGCTCGACACCCGGGGGAGTTTTCACTACCACTGGGACATCATTCTGCGTCTTCCGAAGAGCCAGGACTGACCCAAGATACGGCCGCGAAGGCGTCAGGCCGGATTCGAAGGACCATCAGGGATGCAGTTGAGATGACAAAACGCTTAGGTCTCCGCTATCTGTGGTTGGATTCCTTATGCATAATACAAGACGACGTTGGCGACTGAATGCGCTGGTTGCCAACGTGGATATCGTGTACAGACAAGCCGTTCTGACCATCGTTGGGGCTGCTGGCTCCAATTGCGCAGGATTACCCCGATCTCATCCAGGAGCACCTCGAATAACACAAGTCACCGGCGACGTAGGCAGATGTAATTTATGCTGGCACAGCCCTACCTGGATCTAGTGCTTGAAAAGACGACATGGATATCTCGTGGCTGGACATTTCAAGAAGGGAAACTCCCGTCATGCTGTTGATCTATACAGACTATGGCATATATTTCCGGTGCCTTGCCGACACTTGGCCAGAAGACTCGATTGAAAAGGTGCAGTTTGCCTCGAGGGGACGTCCGGCAATCTGGTACTACGGCTCTATCCAAGCCACATACATTCAGGCGGAAGCAGCCTTTGTACATTATACCTAGGACGTGAGGTTGTACACGAAGAGGACCGTGGGCTTGCAGGCTGACATCATCAACGCATTCTCGGGCTACATTCAGAAATCTCGAGGCCAAGATTGCCATCACGTCTTGCTTGGGGACTTCCGCTGCGCTATATCAATGCCGCTCTCTTGTGGAAAGCCGTACGCTTATGGGAGTTCCGTGATTGGGCGTATCGCGATCCAGGTACAAAGGAAGAGTTGCGGAACAGAATTCCGTTTCCGGAAAGAGGCGAAAATTGGACCGAAATCCACGAAGACGCGCTGAAACGTGCTGCAAGGGGGTTTTCTTGGGGGCTTGAGGTGGAATATTTCGGGTTTCCCAAGTTATCGAGGAGGCAAGGCTTTCCGTCCTGGTCGTGGTGCGGCTGGCAAGGCCCGACAGGATACTTCCCACGAACAGTGAATCAGCCGGACCTCTACCCCCTCGAATCCATCGAGAGCCTGGTGTAATGGCCCTGGGATGGTGGGATGATCCCAGAAGCTGAGCATTGGAAGTTGGCGGTTAAGGTTAAACAAAGGGATCCTGACTTCCACAGCCTGGTGCGCCATGGTCGATTTCAACAAGCTACCCTATGGGCTCGTCGTCGCCGAAGAACGTCGACAAGGCTGGGTGGGCTGGCCCATGGACGGCGAGCAACCTCTTCGATCCGGCATCGCCGAATGTGTCTTGTTGTCTCGACAAAAGAAGGAGGAGAACAGGGACCCTTGACGCCGCTGGGTACGACGAAGAGAAGGTCCCGCTACTGAATGTTATGGTGGTCACGAGAGATGGGGAAGGGAAGACATATCGAAGAGGGATAGGTATGATGAGGGAGGATGTTTGGTGGAGCTTTGAGCCCGTACTCACTCGATCCAGCTTGCATAATGTCTGACTGCGGCCGCCCGGTGCTTGCCCCACAGATATACGGAATGTCGAGGGTTGGAGCGAGCGGGGATGAAGAGAGGCAATGTGCACGGCTGCCTGCAGAGAGACTATCAATGCCACGGTACCCTGGGCCGATAACACATGAGTATCAGTCTGTTGTCATCGTGGGCATAGCTGGGTGGCCTCGCACAGGTGGCTCTTTCCTCTCACACGGGCGGCCACGCTATGTAATGCGACAACTCCTCGCCCTGAAGATGCCAATGTCTTCGTCTTGTTACACCCAATTCTACCATGACAACCCGGTTTGCTCGTCCAGATGCAGGCGTCTTTCTCTGGCTAGCAGCGATTGACGATCATCATTCGAGTGACGATACAACACCTGAAGAAACTAATTGATGTGGGAATCTGACCCTTGTCTCATCCCTCACGACAAGCTCGCGGGCCTAGCAGGATCGAGAAAGAGTCTGCCTATTCCCATCCGCAGCACTCGATGGAGCATGAGAGGCAACACTCCGCTGGCATTGTTGCACAAGGCTGAGAGGCGGTGGCTGCCTCTTGCATACACTCGACCCAAGATCGAACCGGTGAGTGCGAGACAAGGCTTTTACCCTTTGGTGGTGATTCCACAACCAAAAGACCCCTCGGAGGTTTCGTGTTTGGAGGGCCTAAACATCCGAGTCTCAGGCATCTTACCATCTGACCGTAATATAGTTCGGCTTATGGATGAGGAGGCCATTCCCGCATCCACTGCCTTTGCAGCTACAAGACCTCACGCCATCCTAAATCCCGCATACAGGCAGCAATTCATCAGAGCGAGAAGTGTGACAAGCGGCGGTAATCGTTTGGCGCCATCTCTGGAGGAGACCTGGAGGCGAGGGTCACAAGTCATGTCAAGTTCAAGTCAGTCACGTTATGTCATCCGGCCAAGGCAACAGGCTTTTCCACCGGGGGCCACCAGGTCGGGAATTCGACAGTCTGCTGTTTTCTAGCCGCAATCTTATGGAGTCCGCTGGGATAGTGTCAGCCTTGAGCAACAATAATAATGAGCTGGAGGGCAAGATCGAAGCAAGCAGCAAGTATTCAATCCCTTTTGTCTCCCACTACGGGGTGGACCTTGCTTCCAACCGGGTCAAAAAAGCCGACGCAAGGTCTTACGAGTATTTCAATTGATGAGCGAAAGTCCCTTTTCAAGTCCTCAGAGGGTGGCTGGGCTTTCCATCGATCGTCAACGGAGTGTGTGGTGATTATCATTGAGAAAAAGTAATATTGACTAAAGTGGCACACTGGAGAGAGCAACGGAGGTGGCTGTGCAGAGCCTGGCGTGGTACTTTGCAGGGTCGGGCCCCCTCCGCCAATGGCCTTTCTGTATCTGGTATGCTTCAAGTGATGAACAAGGATATTATTATTAATTTAGGTAGATCGTGTGCCGAGAGGAATGAACGTGGTTAACAAGCTAAAGTTTCATAGCCAGCAAAAAAAAGAGATAAGAGAAAGCACCAGAGTTACGACTGTAGATGTTTAATGATAATAATGGAGAAGAAAACAGCCCGCCCCTTCTTGGCCTCTTCTTGCTTTGGTCTTGGTATACTTTTATGTGGCCTCGACATGTCTCGGCGAGCATCTCCTCCGTGGTATATCAAAAATAGAACACACGCATGCATCCCAAGTACATGCATACATACAGAGATAAACGAATGGAAAAAAAAATAACCTCTGCTACAAGTGGGCTGGACGGGGGCATACAACAGCCACCCGCCAACCCACACGTCCATGGAATACAATTCATTTCTAACCTCATTGGTATGAATTCAAAGAAAAAAGTGCCCCCACCTGATGAGACGGTGTATGCATGGTCGATCTCGGAACGTTTCTTGCCTGGCTGGCCATCACAAAGTAGTGAGTCGACGAACAATGAACAATGGAACAAGAAGAAGAATGTAGATAATAACACCACCCAACCGTCCGAGCACTCGGCCAGTGTAATTAATCGGATGTCTGTCTGTCTGTCTGTCTGTTGCGTATGTAGCACTCAGCTCGCAGCTGGGGCGTGATGAATGAACCATGTCCACACCCATACCCAGACACGATGTGTGACACACAACGCCCCCCCTCCAACGCCACAAAATCCCCGACATGCACCAATAACGCACACAGGAAGGACTACGAAATGACATGGCAATTTCAACATGGGGGGGTGTACTCGGTACAGTACTGTAAATGAACCAACCCCTCGTGTTTGACAGAGCCTCGAACTTCTTGCGGCCAGCGGCCCGCCACAGCCACCACACACACAGTTCGTGTCTCGTCCCTGACCGAGGGCCTTACTGAATCTTGCACTGGTCTCCTGAGCTGAGAGTGTCTCGCTCCGCTTCGCTGCACCATGACATCTCAGCCTCGTGCACCGCCTCAAGCGAGCGCCACATCAGGCCCAAGGGTAGCCCACGCGGGGCCAAATTCCGCAGATAATCCCTCTCCCCAACTTCTCTAGCACAGACGACCAAGTATTACGTATGGGGTGCTTACATATTAGTTACATAGCTACGTACCCAAGTAGGCAGTAGGCCAGCGACGATCTCACCAACTGGTGCCACACAAGGGCGTGACTTTGTCATGCGCACGTCTTTTAAGGAAAGAGAAGAGTCTGTGGAGGAATCGTCGCCACAAAGGCGGCGGCAGAAGGTGTTGGTTGTTATTCATGTTCACATTTGACTGAATACTAACTACTATCTCTAACCCCCTTCCAAAGTTCCCTCTTTCCTCCGAAGAAACAAAAGTCAGCCTGTGCCTCCGAAGAACAGCAATCCTCGCACTGTTCTGTACAAGTGCCAATATATCATGGCTGCTGCCTTGGCCCATTCGTGTCATGTCCATCAGAGAGTTCCACAATTCAACCCCCTCACTGTCGGGGGCACCAGAGTCTCATCACCTCGCGTGAGATGAAGGCAACAATAGATGAGTAATCCCAACCCAAGACAATTGCGCGCTCCTTTTTTTTCATGAATTGTTGATAAAGTCCCCTGCCACGATGATGATCATGTAACGAGACAACCCTGAATGGCAAAAAGACCGACGACGGTGTTGTCAGACAACCAACTGACCCTAGCGGTGTCACACCAATCATACCCGTATCGAACGTGAGCCCGGCTGGACTGCTGCAAGTCGTGCTCCCCTTTCGCATCGGTTCATCGCTGGACCATCCAGTTGTGTGGTGCTTATCGCTCACGGCGTGTGTGTGTCCGGGGGCCTTTCCGCCCGAACATCTCGTGTGATGTAGGCCATCATGTTGGTGTCATTGTTGATACATTCCATTAGATCCATATCCGTAAAAGTCCATCAAACTCCCCTACAACGCCCCTGTCCCTCACCGCCTGGTGGTGAACCGCTGGCCAGGCTCAGCGACGATGACCACAGGCTGGCGTTCGTACCGTTCTCGCCGCCGCCTCTCCTCTTCGTCTAGGACATACAGACTGCCCTTTCCCCCGGTGTAGGCGACCGACTTGGGTCTCTCCCGGCGTTGATACCGCGTTCGATCCTCAGCACGGTCATCATGGTAAACGATCCTCTCCTGTCGGTCCCTCCGGCTGGAGTGAGGGATGATTTCCACCACATCGTAGTCGTTGCGGACATAGCGTCTTTCTCGCGGTCGGTCTTCACTAGGGGACTCCCTCCGTCTCGAGGGCGAGACAGGAGAGACAACTCTGGCTGCCGGCTTCTCACCAGCCTCAGGTCTCTTGGTGTTCTCGACGACAACAACCCTTGTCGAGTCCAGCTTCATACCCTTGTCAAAGGCCTTGATGAGCAGGTCGACGGCTTCACAACCGGCGGGGACGCGGACTTGGACCCGTTGCCCATTGATTTTGTCGATGCGGGAAAAGGGCTTTCCACCTTTGGCGTACAGGTAGTTGGCGACATCCTTTGCATATGACAGGCCATTTCGACATAGAGGTCTGTCTTCTCTGTAGGCCTTGTATGGGTCGTAGCAGTATTCACAGCGAGCCGCGTGCTTGGCGAAGTGTTCCATGACGGAGAGCTCATCGTCACGGGGCTCCCGACAGGAGACCACCTCGGTCGCAAACTCGACGTTGCGGGCGCTAGCTCCTCTCGCCATCTTGTCGACTGGGGTCGAGGGTGACTTGAGAATGGGTGACGGTGTGTGAGAGAAACTCAATGGAGGTGTCGATGGGGGTGTCTGAATCTGAGAGTGTTCTCTTTTCGGGGCACGAGTGACGGTGATGTATTCGTAGGCCGGGGTTAATATGTCTGAAGCATAGGACCTTTTGGGGTAGTAATAGTAGGTGGTGGTGCGTGGAGACGACAGCGTGACGACGTATGGATGGATTGGAGTGAGGTGTATCGGCAGTCTGGTCGACTGCGACGAGTCTGTAGAAGACTGTATGGGTGGTACTTCACTGAATGGAGTCAATGTGGAATGTGTTGATGGAAAGAGAGAAATTCAATGTGAGCAAGAGGTGGGAAGTATGGAGGAGATATAGCCTCGAGGGGCATGAGCCAATTGAGCTGAGGACACATTGGTGCAATGTCGAGCATATCGAAGGATGGACTTTCGGAGGGACTTTGGTTGGAAGCCTGGTGAAGTGTTAAACCGCAACAGGAAAAGGGTGGAGCAGGAGGAGACCAAATCGCCAGGCTGCCACAGGGCCGAGACAGGCATCAGATGGAGGGAAGAGCACTCCCCGGCGTGAGTCATGATAGGCCACACGAGCCACAGGGCCTTTGCTTCAATGCGGGCCAGAGAATGTGACCCTGGTTGTTCCGAAACTGCCATGGGCGGGAAATAGGCATGAACCATAGTTTTGGGGCCAAAGGGGGCCTAGGATGTGATGATGATGTCGCACTGGGGGATGGAGGGTCAGTGAAACAAACATGTTTGATAGAGGCGTGGGCGGTAAGTGCACCGAGTAGTTACTCGCAGCGGGCCACCCCCAGAGACAACCCATGGCTGTTGAGGCCTCGGGGCGAGGCGGTGTTCCTTGCCTTAGCCCAGAGGTCGCTTAGTGATTGATGGTGGTGGTGGCCGGTTGCCTGCTTCGCCTCAACGGCGGAGAGTTTCCAGGGGCGCCAGTCATTGGAGGTTATGGGGGAGGTGGGCTGTTATGCTTGCCGCTTGTTACACCGGTCGACCACTGAAGCCAAGTGGCTCACTACGCCAAGCCGTCCACAAGCGGCGGCAGCACCTAGCACCTGCAGCATCTCATGTACGTTGCAGTCATTGACGATGATGAATTACTCAAACCCAGTCATAATACTTCCCAAGGTGCAGTGCATGCATGCATGGCCCAGAACCCTCCCTCGTGTTCCGGGAAATTATCATCTTCCCATATCATCATGATCTCCCATTGACGCTGGACTCGTGGCCAGGTGGTCAGGTGGTCGGTGATCAAGTGCGCCCTGCTAGAATGTGGCCGGCGACAAAGCGAACAAGCTAATACCCTCCCCCTCTCCCAGGCACTGCCATGCACGAAATGCCCTGGGTTTCTCTGAACCCCTCATTGTTGCGCCTCTTCCCATTGGCGCTTGACCTCCGCTCTTTGATCTAACGGCGTCGACCTTGGCCGTCCCCTCTTTTCTAACGCTCTTCTCTCTCACTCGATCTGCTCACCCACCCCATCATCCTATTCCTCTTTTGTTCTCCTTCTTCATCCTAGACCTCTTCCGAAAAAGTCCTGCAAAAGTCCCCCCGGGCTTATCCGGAGTATCGGACTCGTGCTCAGCCCTGCATGCATGGAGGATGCATGACGAAGTACTGTGCCCATTGAGAAGATTTGAGTGGTTGCTCATTGCACCGGCTAAATTACCTGACTCTGTCACCCCGTCTGTGAGTGCCATGGTCGATATACGAGTATGAATCACGGACTCAACCGAGTACATTCCTACGGGTCCACAAAATGTATGTCAAAAGTCCGGTTGTTCCTGGTAACAGTGGTGTGCATATTTCTCTACATTACCTCACCTGGACTGGTGGCCAACGCTGGGCAATTGTCTATCAGTTGTCGAGAGAACACCAAGCCTCACACTGAAGATGTCAAACTTGCTTCCCTGTGTCACTCATAGGATGGGGAGCTTAGGTCGAGTGTCTTGTTGTTGATCGATCACTCCCTCATACCTCTGGAGTTCATGCGAGATCATGACGTGCTTCATATCAAGGCTCTTTTGGCTGCCATCCACATTGGGAAGGGATAGAGCGGACGTCTGCTATTGAGGTGTACACAGCCACCGTCAACTCCTGCCAAGTACTTATGTCTACTCGGCACTCACCCAGCCATTATGCTTTCCAGCCTCCAATGTCTGTCGCTCGAAGGGCAATCTCGTCTCCTCCCTCAACAAGGTGCGTCACGGCAGGTTTCAACTTGCGTGGGCGAAGCCGCGTCAACCCCCAAATGTCCTTGTGACACTTGAAGAGAGTCAGCTTCATCCTTACTTTCGCTTCTCTCTGTCCGGCTCCACCATCCGTCACCCGAACGCCCGACTCCTTTGCCTTGACTATACTTGCCCTTTTCACTCTGGAACCCTTGTTCTTCTAGAACGTACCCAGGTATGGTGTGAACCTAGCACGCAAACTTGACCTGTCGACCTGCATGAACGCTGCAGCGCCCTCCTGTACTGTACAACACCGCCCCGTTCTATCCACTCCGGTCAGGTCCCGTTTGTTTCTTGATGCTACGGAGACTCTGGTTCCACTGTCATTCCAGAGCCTCACCTCCTCGGCGATGCAGAGAAGCTACAAGCCGGGTGACTTTCCGGTGTTACCCGCGTTGAGGGTTGTGTCGTCACCTGGCGCCTTTCTTGCTTGCGAGGGCGATGCTCGTATTCGAGCTCGAGCTATTCAGTTCAGCTTCCAGACCAAAGGACGATGAGCTTCACCCGGCCGTGACTGCCGGAGGAAAACCCCAGATTATCTTGCACGCTTCCGCCTGGAATCGTTTACCAGCGGCACCGTCGGTGTTTCTCACACTGCATCCTCGTCAACAAGACTAAGATGCGCTCGTTATCAAGGCCACACCCTTTCCTAGCACTAGCTCACCATGATCTCAGAGTCGCGTCTACAATGTCCAAACTCCACTCGGCTGAGACCGGTGGGAAATCCTTCTCGTCAAAAGATGCCTTACAACTTCCTTCTCATCGAGTTTGGACAAGTTGAGGTTGCACGCATTCGCTAACCTCGAGGCTCGAAGGACGGCACCTTGCGCATCTGCCACCAGACAGGAACTTTTGAGGGGCGTCTCCTGTGACAATGTCTATCAATGTCACCTGTGAGAACCGGAGAGTTACATCCCTGGTTCATGAGTAAGCATGTTGCTAATGACAGAGCTGCAAGAGAGACTTTTGCTATGCTAACTTCCAAAATCTCGTGCCTGCTATTGTGGTGTCTTCCCCGGAGCAGCACAGGGGACGCGCCTCTACCTGGAACTAGGGTGGGACTGCGAAGTCGCGGCTCCCGCGGGACTCTGACCGCCAGATCGTCACGCTCTCACGCTGTGGGAGGTCAGCCTGATGGACTGCAACTCGAGCCAGTCGGCTGCCCTTTAGCTGGGACGATTTCTGTCGGGCCATGATCACCCCAGATAATACTATGGAGTTAGCGCTGCTACTCAACCCTCGTTGAGTGTCCGGAAATGTCATCTGCAAGATGGAGCGATGTCAAAAACCGGTGAGGCATCAGGCTCATCTCAACTGCACAATGAGTCCCAAGGACACGATTCGCCCTCTTTCTGCAATCTTCTCCGGTTCCGGTAGACAGTCATTTATCGAGGTACATGATACCCACCTTCATTCAGAATCACTCACCAGAAGAAAGTTCACAATCCGAGAGAGGCCGAAAACCTCGTTGTCCTCGACTGACGACGAAGCCAGTGACATCTCCCACGAGATTTCTCAAAGCTGCCGGCTACGGGACAACTAAGCGGTGTACCAGGGCCACAGGATAGGCATAATACAGCAGCAAGGCATCAGAAACCTTCACGCCCCCCTCTCCCGATCGTTGCATTCTCGAAGTGGCGGGTGACCAGCGGCCAAACAACGAAATGGCTCAGGAAAGACTCTGGTCTTGGGGCAGGGAACACGAGCACAGGGTTGTAGATTCCGTTTGTTTTTTGCGCCTTGGATTGGGGAGGGAGAAGGGAAGGGGACACAGGGAGGGAAACAGATCCCAAGGACAGCAACGCCCGACGGAAATGGCGCACGCTGGGGTTTGCTTGCTTTGCTATACTTCTATGCATGGATTGAATTGCGTTCGTCCATTCATCCACTCATTCTCATTCAAACCCGGACATGACCACCTCGCCTCGCCTCGCCTGGACAGGTATTTTATGTTGTCTCTTTTCTTCTTCTCACCGCCAGACCCCATGAGCACACCTGGTGATTTCATTCCGTGCTCCCTTGCTTCGTGTCCCTGTAGTCTTCGTGACCATCGACCCTCTGAAACCCGAAGCAAATGTCGCTGACACCACGCACACGCAAACATCCCACCTGAGCGACTACTGCCTTCTTCAGCAGACACGGGCACAGTTCGTTGCCCACAACCCCTGTTTGTTCGCCTGGTGGCCGTCTCCTCCTTAGCTTCTGTTTTCTTCTACTGCTTTTCTTCTTCTTCCTCACCGCAAGACGTGTCATCCATCATGAATCACCCACTGACGGTAACCACAACCTTGCCCCTGGCATGCCCGGTCCTGAGCTTCTCAAACGCCCGGGGCGCGTCCTCAAAGGGCACGACCTCGTCCACCACGGCCCTGGCCTTGCCCTGGGCCATCCACCGGGCGATCTCGGCCAGCTGCGCCGCGTCGCTCGACACCATCATCATGTGGAACTTGCGCCGCCCGCCGCCCAGAAACCCCGGCCACAGCATCTTCTTGACCATCTGCAGCACCGCGTGCCCGGACATGCCCGCGCCGACCTGGACATACTTGGCCTTGGGGGACGTGAAGTGGTGACACTGCCAGTAGAGCTTGTCCGAGTTGCCCACGTTGTCGACCACGAGGTCAAATAGCTTGTTGCTCTCGTCATGCGGTGATGACGATGGTGGTGATGACGCGTTAGCATCACCCGCAGCCGTGGCAGTAGTTGTAGGAGTAGTAGCCATCTGCTTCAACGCACCCACGACATCCACCTGGGTGTAATCCAGCACCTCATCGGCGCCGAGGCTCTTGCACAGCTCGACGTTCCTGCCCGAGCAGGTCGCCACGACGTGGCACCCGAGGGCTTTGGCGATCTGGATGCTCCAGATGCCCGTACCGCCGCTGCCGCCGTTGATGAACACCCGGGGCGTTTTCCCGCCCGCCGCCCCCTTGCTGCCGACATTCGGCGCAATGGCCTGGTACGCCGTCAGGCCCGCGGTGGCGACACCCGCCGCGTCCGGGACCGCGACGACACCCTCGGGCACCGCCGCCAGCCCCGCCCGCCGCGCCACCGTGTACTCGGCCAGCGTGCCAAACTGGGTCGGCGCGTCCAGCCGCCCAAACACCATCTGGCCGACCTGGACCTCCGCTTCAGAGGCAGCATGAGCAGTGTGAGGAGGATGATCGGCAGGACCAACAGCCACAACCCGCCCGGCAAAATCCAGTCCTGGCGAACTCGGCGTCTTGACCGCCAGGCGGCCGACCAGAGGCAGCTCGACGAGCTTGTAGTCGACGGGGTTCAGCGCCGCCGCGAGCACCTTGACCAACACCTTGTCCCGGCCCAGCGTCTTTGCGTCGTGGGGCGGCAGGGCGGCCGATTCGTTCAGCTTGAGGTTTTTCTCCAGCCCGCCGTGTGTGGAGGAGAACTGCCAGGCCCGCATTGTCGGCGAGAGAGGCGGGGATGGTGCCGGCGATGTCGACGATGGCGGTGCTGGTGAAGAAGACGCCATGCCTTTTTTCTTTCTCTTCCTCTTCCTTTGCTTTCGCTCTCTGTGACTTTCTTCGCTCCTTGCACTGTATCCGTCTTTCGCACGCGACCGGAACCGTGTTGTACGACACAAATCGCGACAGTGGTTGGTGCGATCTCACACTCTTTTAAACCTGCCCTTCTGCCCACCTGTTAGACGAGAAGTTTTAAGGATCAAGCTTTGGTATTGCAGCCTTGCTGGTGGCCTCGTCGTTTCATACCAGCCGATACGGACCTGTGTTATCGTGCACAGGGAGGATCTTAAGTAGGCGCTTGCATTGACATGGATTCGGTGGTGTGATAATGGTATGAGAGATGCTAAGCAATTGGATAGTTATGTATCGACCATGGAAAAGGAACAATGAGTACGTCATCACCGCATCTGCCTGGCTGGGCGCGACCTCCAGCCTCTCCCAATGCCGATAAAAATATTAATGTCATCCACCTCTAACAAAGCAGAAGCCATTCTCTTCAGGAGACACTGCCATTTCGTTTTAGTACAAGGATATAGGTGGAAGAAAGTGCACCAACTCTCTGCCCATGTCAAGTCACGCCTGTCTACCCCCCTCGGTGGCCGCAACATGCATCGCGCGAGCGAAACAGTAACATCCTAGCGATCTTGACCCTTCCACACTCGACCTACGTTCTTTGGTGTACTGCCGACGAGAGAGATTCAGCGACATCTCACGCCTGGTTTGTCTTCGCGAGCAAGGCCGCACATTCACTGACCCACTTATCCACTTCTGGTCTCTGCAAGTATGTCTCGGTGTACTGTATCAACTTTGGCATCTTCAGATAGTCACCGAGGTCGATATCGTCCTTCCCTGTCGACGCATTAAACCGGTAGTAGAAGGTCTTCTTGGTGGGGTCTCGCTCGTTGCGCTGTCGCATGTTCCGTTCAAAGTCACGGTGCTTGGCTTCGGTGTTGGTCACAAAGGCCACCGTCTTCGTGATAGTATTGAAGAACCTCATAATGCCGGAGCCGGGTCGTTTGTTGTTGTCATATTCGGGATGTGTGGTCCCCAGGCTCACGATACATGTGATACGGGGAGACGGAGCATCGCGCAAGACAAGGTCATATCGATTGTCCCACGCCTGTACGATGGGGTTGTTGTTCAAGAGCCCACCATCCCAGAAGTTCAACCCCTGGATGCTAGCCTCCTTGAGATAGGTGGGGGCAGCAGAAGTTGCGCGGGCTGCCTCTTTGATGGTAATAGCATTGAAATTGAGGTTGCTAGCCCCCGTCGAGACCGGAAGCGGCGCGAATGGCGGGTCATAGTTGCGCAGGAGGATGCTCTCTCCTCTGTCAGCCAACGTCGCACACATGAACCTTGGTCCGGTTAACTTCCCACGCGTTCAAAATGTAACGGGTGAGTCGGACGACTTACATCTGGCCTTTGCTCGCTTTGACGAGTGCAGCATCCCCCTTTCTGGTTCGATCATCATCATCGAGCGGGAATGTCCCAACCACCGTGTCAATTGCCTTCTCAAGCGGCTTGTGGGAAAATTGTGATTGACCAGTGACGGCTTTGAGCTTCAACCAGATGTCTCCGATCCACTTCCCAAGAGCGCCGAGGGAGTTGAGATGAATAGATCCGAGCATTGGGCTGAAGACCTCCTCGGCCAAGTTTTGGTATTGGGCAATCACATTGGTGCAGTTCATCTCAAGGCGAAATAACATGAGGGCAATGAGTCCACCGGTGCTTGTCCCTGCGGCGAGGTCGAAATAATCTACGGGCTTTCTTTCCTCAGTGTCAACTGGTTTGCCTTTCTCGAGGTTTGCCTCGTTCTCAACGTCACGGACCCGGTCCATCTAAGCCCAAGTAGAATCAGTATCCTTGTTCCGCAACGGCTTCGATGAAACAGCCCCGGTAGGCACCTGCTTGTGGAGTTGAAAGGGGTGTCGAAGAAGATAACACGATTCACTCACAATTCTCTGGAGAATCATCATTGATGATATTCCCTTCACACCGCCGCCGTCCAAGGCCAAAATATTGTAAGCCTCGGTCGATCCGGACTTTGGGGGGTTAATATTCGAAGGGTCGCCCGTGAAAGACATGTTGACTGGTTTTGGTGAAATGTTCTGACTTCACACTGATGCGTGGGCCTCTGGTGACAGATCTGTCTCTCTCTACCAAGATGTTCCTTGGTTCGATCACTGAATTTATGTAAGGCAAAGTGAGCTGGACACTTTGGAAACAGAGAATGATCAGGCTAACCCGTTGCAGCAAACACGTTGTGGCCTGAGAAAACCGTGGTCCAAGCGCTACTCAGGAGTCGATGTTGACACACGAGTTGTTGGCCGGGCTAGAGGATTTTGGCATGTAGCAAGACGCCCAGGAAAGGCCATACGAGAATGACGACGGCGGAGGGAAACTCGAAGTAGAGATATGTGCCAGGGCTGAGGATGATTTTGCTTGGGATTGTCTAGGCGTGCAGGATGAAGACGGTGGTTGGGACAAGGCAGCTGTTGGTGGTGGGCGGTAGCTTCCATTTCCGGTTGCAGAGGGTGTCGTTTCTCGTATCCGTCCCAGGTCTCAACAAACAGTCATGGTAGGTGCGTATTCGTTTCTTGGGGGCAGGTGCCGCTGCCTCTTGGGACTTGTTCCTTGCTTTCAGGCCTCAGCCTCACGCCCCTCGTATATGCACAGCCTTTCCACGACCACGTGCACCAGAAGCATCAGCCAATCAGCCGGCTTGTCCAGCCTCCAGCAACCACATCACAAGGTATGAAGGTTTTTGCAAAAGGTCGGGTAAGATGCTTGGAGGTTGTCTCAGCGGCCTTCCAAAAATGTCCCATCCATCCGTCCCCGGAGCAATGCCTCAACATCGACCCGGCCGCCAGCGAGATATCTCTCGCTTATCCCTAGGTTAATCCTCTTTCTCAACAAAACATCCAACTCAGTCCGCCATTGAGCGAGCTGGTCTTTGCTAATTGCAGCGTGGCCCTTTTCCTTCTTTACCCTTCCACCCCCTCTCCCCCGCTTTCCTCTCTGCCCCTGACTTTCGAACTCTTCGCTGTCGTAGTCCACTCCCAACTCCTCCGCAGCAGATCGCAGCCAGTCTTCTTTAGTTGCTGTTTTCTCCTTAGCCTGGGTTGCCTCAGTGATCTTCTGTGCGAGCGATACGTGTGGTTCCAGGCTTTGCATGAGTCGCCCTTCTAGTTGAATTGTTTCCAGGGCCCCGTCATCCTTGTGCACTTCAGCAATCAGTCTTCTCACGCCAGCCACTTCATCCGGCGAGCACAGCAAGATTGATTGCCCTGACATCTCTGCACGAGCAGTCCTTCCAGATCGGTGGACATACATGTCGGCTGTACGGGGTACATGGTAATGAATGATCACTTCAATTCCCTTGATGTCGAGTCCACGAGCAGCAACATCTGTGGCGACCAGAACGTTGCTTTGTGCGGCAAATCTCTCCAAGGATCGTAACCGTGACTTCTGTGGCATCGTCGAATGTAAGCCCACTGCAGGTTGCTTCAAGGTTTGGAGCAATGCCGTCACTCGCTTCACGGCGGAAATGCTGTTTGTGAAAACCAACGTCTTTTTGTTGGGATGTTGCATTAGCAGAGTATAGAGAAATAAATCCTTCTTCATCGCAGGACATTCCACGACTGATTCGGCAAGTGCATCTGCCATTTGCGAACTGGGATTCACATCCACGAAAGTTGGCTTCTGTTCGCGGAATGACAGCTTTCGTAGGAGATACTCCATCGACTGTTGGTTGGTGAGGAGATTGCTGCTGTTCATGCGACTCGCTGACTTGAGCTTGCCTGTGAGCTTTTGATGCAAGCCTTTGTGGAATGTAGCCGAGAACACAAGGGTCTGCCTGGTCGAATTTGGCGACCCTTGTGCGGTGTCTTGGTCCTCTTCCTCGTCCACGATCTTCCGGTCCAAGGCGTCAAGGATATTTTCAATTTCTTTGAAGTGGCCTTCGCTCAGTAATCGATCGGCTTCGTCCACCACCAAGAATTGAATCTTCTTTAGACGGTCAACCAACCCATCGACATCGTGGTCGTTAGAAGCATCATTCATGACTTCCCACAATCGCCCTGGAGTCGCAACCACAATATCGGCGTATTCCAGCTGTCGATGTTGCTTGTAGATGGATAGTCCTCCCGTCACAGCAACAACTTTGGGATGGTCTTCTAGACCTATACACAGTTCATTCAGATGCCTGTTAAGCTGCAACGCGAGCTCTCTGGTGGGTGCAAGAATGAGAGCCAGGATAGACTCCTTGCTTTTTGCCGATGCGTTCGACACCGCATTCTCACTTGAAAGCCAATGTTCGAAAATCGGAATGCCAAACGCCAGAGTCTTCCCTGACCCGGTCACAGCCTTGCCAATCACATCATGGCCTTGCATGATCGGCGGAATACTGGCGGCCTGTATGGGCGTCGGGCGAGCAAACCCAAGTCGGGAGAGTTGGGAGAGGCTTGTTGGAGACAGATCAAGACCTTTCCAAGCTGACACGTCAATCTTGGGATCTTCCAGGCTCTCCAGCAGGACATCAAACTTCATATTGGGGACAACATCGTCCTCTCGTCTGGACTTGTTCGTCGGTTTCCGCTTTTCGGTGTCTTTGCCCTTTTTGGAAGACTGCAAAATATCCTTTGAAGAGTCTGGTCGAACGATCGGCTTTGATTCTACTTCCTCAGTCTCTGCGCTTTCATCATCGAAACCTTGCCATTCTTCGTCGGACTGTTTGCTGCTTGGGTTGTCATACACGCCTGCTAATGATTTGGGGCGAAACATCACATGGTGAGTGGTCCCGTCGCGGACGACGTCGACATCATCGATTTCCTCGAGACCAAAGAAACCCTCAGCATCCTCCAGTCTCGTCGGCAGTGGGACTGTTTTCCATTTCAACGCGTCTCCACGTATGGCCGGCCCGTGGTACGCTTGACCCTTGGTCGACTGCGACACCTTCTGTCTCTTTGAGCCATGCTGGACATGCTGAGACGCCGATGGCCCTTTCCTCTTTGCTGTTTTGGACATTGGGCTCCGCTGATCCGATTCGGTGCACAACTGGGAAATGACGGAGAAATGAAGTCTACAGCAGAAAAAAGTTTCGGTCGGAGAATTATATTTTGTCTGACGACGAATAGTTCTGATCCTGGCACTATTACAGCCCTCCGCGCACGTCAGACTGAAAATCTTAGTGGTGCGATGTCTTGGCGTGGCCGATTTTGCCCGAAGCATCTAACCAGCATTCAAGACTTTTCAAAGGATTGGAATTTATTATCTCTCGTTGGAGAGCTACACTCACGCATCCTGTCAAACTCCCCGACATATCTCCTGTAGCCGGTATCCTCAAAATGGCTCACGATACATGGCAGAGCCCCCTGGCGGCTCGCTACGCCAGCAGAGAAATGCTCACTTTATTCTCCCCCCGAACTCGATCTACAACCTGGCGCCAGCTCTGGATCTGGCTCGCCGAGGCAGAGAAGGAACTAGGACTCGACATTTCGGACGAGGCCATTGCGCAAATGGAGGCGGCCAAAGTCATGACGGATGAAGATTTCCAGGTCGCGGCTGTAGAGGAAAAGCGACGACGACACGACGTGATGGCACACGTCCACGCCTTTGGTCAGCGGGCACCTGCGGCCGCCGGGAAGATACACTTGGGAGCCACTTCTTGCTACGTGACAGATAACGCGGACTTGATATTCTTGAGAGACGGACTCTCCATTCTGTTGCCGAAGGTTGCCAAGTGTATCAAGAAGCTGTCGGATTTTGCGCTGCAATACAAGGCCATGCCGTGCCTCGGATTCACCCATGGACAACCCGCTCAACCCATCACTGTTGGTCGTCGGGCTACGCAATGGATTGAGTCGCTACTCATGGATTTGAGGAATTTCGAACGTGCTAGGGCGGACCTCGTCTTCCGAGGCGTCAAAGGCACAACCGGCACCCAAGCCTCCTTCCTTGAGTTATTTCATGGCGACCACATAAAGGTGAAGCAGCTCGACCAGTTGGTCACTAAGAAGGCCGGATTCAGTAAGCGCTCTATTGTGTCGGTACAGACCTATAACCGCAAAATTGATTTTGACATCGCCAATGTGTTGGCTTCGTTCGGCACCACCTGTGAGCACATTGGCACGGACCTGCGACATCTGGCCATGTTGAAAGAGGTCGAGGAGCCTTTTGAGAAGGATCAAATCGGCTCATCCGCGATGGCTTACAAGCGCAACCCCATGCGCTCGGAACGGATGTGTTCTCTTGCGAGGAAGTTGGTCTCACTCGCCTCTGGTTTCGGGCAAACGTACGCCCACCAGTGGTTTGAAAGATCGTTGGACGACTCCGCAATCCGACGTATTGATATTCCCGAGATGTTTCTCATCGCCGACGCGTTATGCATTCTGCTCGAAAACGTGTCTTCGGGTCTGGTCGTGTATCCACAAGTCATCAGCGCCCGGCTGCAGCAAGAGCTTCCCTTTATGGCCACCGAGACAATGATCATGCGCATGGCTGAAAAGGGCGCCAGCCGTCAAGAGACCCACGAACAGATCCGAGTGCTATCTCATCAAGCCGCTGCGGTGGTGAAATTGGAAGGCCAGGCAAACGACCTTGTCGACCGTATCAAGAGGGAGAAGTTTTTCGAGCCTATTTGGGGCGAGTTGACACCGGAGGATTTGCTCAACCCGTCGAAGTTCGTTGGCAGATCGGCGGAACAGGTTGACGAATTCGTGGAGGAGGCAGTGGAACCGGCCTTGCAGCCCTACAAGGACCAGATCCAGAGCAGTGCGGTCGCAGAAATCAATGTTTAGGTGGGCGACAGGGTAGCAAAAACACCGTAGAATGATGTTGTTCTTTGAAAGCTTCCTCACCAGTACGCGGTGCCGTGGCGGTGAGGCTTCTAACTGCCGGAGGACAGAGATAGGTCACAATCGCGATACCCATAAAACTCTCGGAGAAAGGAGGACTCCAAAGCCCACACTGGGTCTGAGATCGTAAGATTGATTTCATCAGGTCATTTCTTGTATCATTTTCCACAGCTTCCGCTGCTTCTCCATGATCTGGTCGTGAAAGGCCTTCGTCGTGGCAGGATCTCCCTTGGCTGCGTCCGGAACATCCGATGTCCCAAGCTTGCCCACATCTGCCAGAAAGTCGTCGATTCTCTGCTTCAGCTTGTCGCACTCGTCAATCTCTCTTTGTCCGTCTTCCAACATCCCTTGCAGCATTTCCTTGACGCTCTCCCGTGCTTGATGGGGCCGATAAATATTGATGACCACGTGGATGTTCAACAGAAGTTGCCGAATGTCTTCCATCTTTTCTTCGTGCTTGGTTGGGTCCAGCGACAGAATACTTGTGAGTTCGAGGAAGTTCAGCAACAGAGATTTCGTGAGGCGGCTGAGGAGCACTGCATGATTGAGGTTTGGATCGTCTGGGTTAAAGAGAAGTTGCTCGGTGGGCAAAGATGAGGGTTTCGTCGGATCCGTGACCTGTTTCTGGCCAAAAGTCGTGTAGTACTCTGCTGAGGGCGGTGGTGGAGGTGGAGGTCGCAGGTATGCCAGGTGAAGGGGCAGCTTTGGCTTCGGTTCGTCGGCGGACGAGGATGATTCGATCTTTCTGAGCTCCTCCTCATTGGCTACAGTGAAATGCCTCCAGAAAGGTGGAGGTGCGGGAAAGGGAGCCTCAGGCAATTGTTGGTCCTGTTCTGATTCTGCCATGATGTATGTGATAAAGGCGCATGATACGTGAAAGGAGGAGTGATGAAGAGCGCGCGGCGGAGGAAGATCAACCGTGGTTGGTGGTTGGGGATTGGCCAATAGAGACGGCCAATTTGCGGGGGGATCGCACACTACGCGTAATACTGCTCTCAGGTATCTCCTATCCTGCGAATTCTTGACCTCGTGCTTCTTTTCTCCCATCTCACCGTCGTCCAAATCTGCTTCGCCATGGCCCGTCGCTAATTCTCGGACAACATTTCATCTACTCCATCATGAGGCAAGGAAAGACCGATACCCCTGGCCTGGTAGCAGCCATCGGGCGCTTCTGGCAACGGTCGTATGCATCTGACTACGTTGGATTTGCTCTGCTTTTGACGGCATATGCTTGCGTGAGTAGCGTTCTGCCGTTTCGGTATCTTTAGCTTAGACATCTAGACCGAAGTCTTCCTCGAACCGGTCCACCAGATGTTCCGTCTCGACAACCCAGCGAAACAGTATCCCTATGCCTTGGTCGAGCGGGTTTCGCCCGGCGAGAACGTCCTGGTCGCTGCAATTGGTCCATGCGTCCTTCTCGTCATCTGGGCCGTTGTGATGCGACCAGGACTTCATCATGCACACGTTACGATCCTTGGACTTCTCATTAGTCTCTTCTTGACCGCACTACTGACGGATATCATCAAGAACGCCATCGGCCGCCCACGTCCAGATCTGATTGCCCGCTGTAAGCCAGAGGCAGGAACACCCGAGCATGAGCTTGTTACGGTTGCGGTGTGCACCGAGACGAGGCACCGTGTTCTCCACGATGGGTGGCGGAGTTTTCCAAGCGGCCACAGCAGCTGGGCATTCGCGGGTCTGGGATATCTGGCTTTGTTCCTGGCAGGACAACTGCGTGTCTTTCGACCGCATGCAGATCTAGCCAGGATTTTGGTTTTCCTGGCTCCGTTGACCGGAGCTGCACTGATTGCGATGTCGCGACTGGCAGACTACAGACATGACATCTATGATGTTACTTGCGGCAGTCTCTTAGGCATGTCAGTGGCCTACTTTACATATCGGCGGTACTTTCGTCCTCTCAGGCATCCTAAATGCGACGAGCCTTATCCGAGCAGGGCAGACTATGCTATGGCAAGAGCGGCAAGAGCGGCTAAAGCTGGCCCCAGAGATTTGGAACAACAGTTGGCCGACGAGTTTTCGTTGAGTGACCAGTCGGAGGACGAATCCCAATCCTATCTCTTAACAGAGTCCGCGCCTACTAGGACAAGGGAACAGGTTGAAGCGGCAGAGCCACCATAGTATGGTGCATTTGAAGAAAAAACATATTCTCATCTGCAGAAAAGCCAAGATGCTCTTTTTGTCATTTCGTTCGTAAATCATCGTCCTCCATCCTTTTATTACCGCTATGCTAAGAAGGCTCAGGACTGTGGAGCTGATCTCTGATTGTTGTGCCTGTAACCCGTTTCCCTCGACCTCCCAGTGCTTCTTGCCCCAACTCGGCCAACTTTCTACCACTCCCAACTGACTGCTCTTCACGGCCTTTCTCACATTATTGCGCACGGGATAATGCAGCAGTCACATTCCATATCGCCACAATCGCATGGAATGCACGGTTTCGTGGGCCCTTTGACGCCTTTCGTGATGCTCGAGGTAGAGGAGGTGGAAGGAGGCATTGTAGCGGTACGGGAAGGCTTGAGCTGGGGAAATGTCAACTTCGAAGGTTAAACGAGGCAGGATATGTATGTACCTTGTAACTAAGATGGGAAGCTTGAAGATTGGAATCGGCTGGCGAGGTCCCAAAACTGTTGTAGATGGGTTGAGACTCGTGGTAGTTGTGAAGATGGTGCGAGTTGGACAGTGAGCTTGAGTTGAGTTGAGTTGAGTTGAATTGAATTGAATTGACATGACGTCCTCAGCCTGTTCTTATGGGGCGCACCCGAGGGCGGCTTCCCCCACGAAACAGGTTAAATTCTAAGCCTGAAACACGCAAGCTAGGCGGCGCAAAGGCCAAGCTGCAGGTACGTAGGCACCTCTAGGTGAGCTCCCGGTGGGCCTGGTTGGCTAGTTCCGCCCGTACACACAAGACCTGCTTTCATCTTCTACACAGCATACTGGAGCACAGCCTCACTGGCCACACTCTACGCACATTGACCTGATCTGCAAGTACGCATGATCCTGACCCCATTCCCTTTTCACAGCTGCTGTCGCCATATTTACCAACCAGCCACCCACCCTCTTACGCAGATTAGGGTCCTTCACCGGCAGGATCCGACCCAGCCTTGTCCACTGCCAAGCCGTAATGGGCTTGTAAGTTGAGAAGGATGATTTTCACATGCTTCAGCAGTTCGCATAGCTACCAATGACATATTGAGTGGGTCTGGGTAGAAACTGAGGAAGAAATGCAACCGATTATGAAGGGTACCTGCATAATGACGTCCGAGGGTGTAATTTCTTACTCTTCATTAATAGGAATTTTATCACTATCTCAAGGGCCACGTCTCCCGTCCTTGTCCTTGTCGTCGTCGTCGTCGTCGTCGTCCTTTATCCGCGACAAGTGATCGTTCCGGGAACGACTTGACACGAATCATGGCCTTCAGTCCTTTCTTCTGGCTCTACGCCGTTCTCCAATGGATTCTTGACAAGATCTTTTCACCATACCCACCACCTCCTAACGCGCACCTCCGTCGTCCTAAAATCGCAGTGATTGGTGCCGGTCTGACCGGTGTCTCCGCGGCAGCTCATTGCGTCGGCCATGGCTTCGAGGTGACTATATTTGAAGCCGATGATGAAAAACACGTCGGAGGGATATGGACACATGTGAACACGACATCTGGTCTCCAGATCCACAGTGTCATGTATCGATTCCATCCTTCTGTCCAATGGAGTGGGGGATACCCGAAGCAACACCAGATTGTTGATCAAGTCCAGCAGTTGTGGCACAAGTACGAACTCGACCAGAGAACGATCTTCAATACAAAGGTCGAGAAAGTCTACAAAGACAATCAAGGACGCTGGATCGTCAACAACACCTCGAATGGCCGGTTTGATGGAATCATACCGGCAATCGGAACCTGCGGGGCTCCAAAGATGGCTCATTTGCCTGGCCAAGAGTCCTTCAAGGGAGACATTTTCCATTCCTCGGCCTTGGACGGCAAAGATGCGAGAGGGAAAAGAATCCTCATTGTTGGAGGCGGCGCAAGTGCGGTCGAAGCGTTGGAATGGGCTGTCAACACAGGAGCCGCAGAAATCAAAGTGCTGGCAAGATCTGACAAGTGGATTATTCCCCGGAACGCTCTCGTGGATGCACTTCTTGCCTTCAATATATTCGGCCAGGAAACCCTGCTGTCATGGATTCCTGAGAACTTGCTGCGCTTATTCTTCTACCGCGATCTCAGAGATATAGCGCCGGCAGATCAAGGTCTGTTCACAGAAACCCCCATGGTCAATTCAGAGATCTTCAAGCAGATACGTGCTGGAAAAGCATCTTGGTTACGAGGGGACATTGAGGAGGTCCGCGAAAATGGCATCTTCTTCAATCACCGGGCAAAGGGTGTACCTAAAGGAGGGCCCGGACGGCATAAACTGGTCGAGGGGGATATGATCATCATGGCGACTGGTTACAAACGTCCAAGCCTTGACTTTCTGCCCGACGAAGTCTTCGCCGACGGCTACCAGCCACCACGATGGTTCATACAATGCTTTCCACCCGCGGCGCCTTCAATTTGTGCAATCAATTCGACCTATGTGTCGGCTATCGGGTGAGTGAGATAAGATAGAACGACTTCTGGCGAGGACTGTGCAAACTAACTTGTCGTCCCAGGACTGTTGGCAATTATCACATCGGAATCTACACGCGAATGCTCCTGATGTTCCTCGTCGACCCTCTGACGACACCTCGCACTTGGTGGATGAAGCGATGGGTGGACTTTACCAGCACGATAAAGTTATTGGCTCCGACCAAAGCGTTCGACTTCTTCACCTACTCCGAGCTGCTCTACTGGTTCTGCTTCATCACGCTGATCAACCCGTTCAGATGGAAGTGGGCGCTCTTCGTGTTTTTCGGTATTGGGAAAAATTTGCCCGCCAGCATCGTGGAGCAAGAAGACAAGCTAAGGAACGGACTGGGATTCAGTAAAGACAACCATTATGATTAATCAGTGGTGAACTTGGTTCCAGAAATTATGCTCATCGCCGATGCACACACTGCATACGGAAAAAGAAAAGACTTTGCCGTGCACTCACTGTTTGAGTGCTCGCTTGTGTAAAAAGGGGAAGCTTTTCTCCCCTATCATATTCTCTTCTTCGGAGCACGGTTAGAACTTGCGAGAACGGATGTACAGACGACAAAGAGAAGTACACTGTAGCCCACTGGCAGAATCGAGACATTCACGGCACCAGCCGGTAACAGCTTGGTTGCGTTAGGAGAATGACGTCATGGTGTACGATTTGAATGTCAGAACCTCCTAGTCTCCTTGCAGCCTCAATATTCCACTTTTATACTCATGATGTAGCAAGAAAAACACGCAACTTCGAGCCAAGAGTTCTCGAGCTTTCGGCTACCACAGCCGCTGATTGCATTTGAAGCTTCCAGTATAACGACGTTGCCCTTTGACCAGTCTGATCTTTTTCCCTTGGTTCACCAAAGCAGTATCAATATTACGGAGACGACAACTCGAACTTGGTATTCCTCAGATTGGACGTCCAGCGTACTGTCAGTACTAGCACTGAAACCGGTCCAACATGGATGATCCGGGTATGACAGTCTGGTCAATGGCCAACTGAGTTCTCCCGCCCAAGATCATCAAGCTCTGACCATTCGTTCGTCAATGCAGTGGCGGATATCCCTCGAATAATCGAGACGCTTTGCACAGCTCCCGCAGCGATTCAAAGGGCGGCAATTGAGACCTACTTCACACCGACTGCATCCTTCACGCATCCATTTTGTCGAACAGGAAGCTTCCCCGGTTCAATATGGCTCATCATCATGATTTACCGCTGGTATAAAATCCTCAGTCCTCACATTGACGTTGCTGTGGACGGAGTTGGTACGTTATATCACATGTGATATTAGGCATGTCCCAAGTGTTGATGAGGAACAGCATTCGACGAAAAGCACCTGCGCCTGTACGTCTCCATTCACCAAAACTTCAAGCTCTGGGTGGTCCCATTCTACAATGCTCCGGTCAAACTCGTCACAGTCCTCCAGTTGACCACTAACCCGACCTCAATGCCGCATGAACCCCTTGAGCCTATGACTGCAACCGAACTTGACAATGGAAAGGTCAGCGATAGGAGAGGTAATTTCACGCCTGATTCCTCTCATAGTAGCGTCAGTGGACGCAAGCTGGGATTCCATGAAGTGGTTCACGACGGTAACGGTGACGGAACCAAATACTACATTCAATCGCAGAACGACCTGTATCAGACCACCGAGTTCATCAAATTCCTTGTCCCTTGGGGAATCGGGGTCTTTCTTGTGATCACGTGGCAATTCTGCGCAACAATGTTCTGTGTTATCGGCACCAAGGTCTACGATCTCCTGATGTGGGCGCCGCACAAGCTCTACCGCCAACACTTCGAGGTTTTTAGCAACAACGAGAAAGCACACCCACATCTCGGTGCCGATTGAATGGATCCAGGCCACGAGACACGAACTTGGAATACCAAAGAAGGACAAACTCACTTCGGTCAAAGAGTTGTTGTAACTCGTGCACACTAGCCCGCAACGTCGGGCTCTCAATCAAAACGCCCGGACTATCAGAACATTGATCAAGTACAGACATGGTATTAAAAAGTATTAAGATTAGCGGCCAGTGTTAGAGGCAGTTCTGGCGTTTTAAAGTGACTAGATAGGACGGTGGATAGACTCGGCCCTCTTTTAATCTCATGATACCCTTCGACTAGATGAATCAACATTAGTCTTAGCATACATAAGAACCTATAACTATGTATGTAATCACACGATCCAGTTCCCAATATATATACACGAATGCTGATGCTATATATCTGATGCGGTTGCCGACGCGCATTGGATGCTGCATTGAACATCCATCATCGATGTATGCATCTCTTCGGCTAGATACATCGGCAAAAAGTCCCGCAGGTTATAGGCCTCGTGCCGCGTCTGGGACCGTCTATATGCATCCCTGAACGCAGGTTATGGCCCAGCAGTTCTCCGAAACATTCTCCCGAACCCAAAGAGTGCGTTGCAGCGAAGACGTTTCTAACGTGGTTCAAGGTTAAAGAGGAGGGAGGATGGGGAAGCTAGGGTAGAGGTCGTGATATCTGACGACAAAGACCTTCATAACACTCTCGTAAGGGCACAGTAAATAGAGAACATAGTGCTCTAGGCTTAGGGTGGACAAATTTAGTAAAGTCCGTATAGATAGAGTTACTTGACTCACTCCATGGACCTAAAGACGACTGGAAAATACAGGGGACGACCGCGAACCCTAGATCAGACGGTTCCAGGAGGTCATATACAGCTGTAAGATCTTCCTCTGTAAGGCCTTCTCGTGATGCGATGTGCCAAGGGTTCTAAGGCGGAAAATGGTCTTTATGAAGCTTTCTAAGTGATAGTGCCTGTAACGATCGATGGGGATATTTAAACGAGTGCACACTCACTGCACATGATGTATATGGAGAGATATCTGGCGGATGTAGGCACTAAAACTCGAAACACAATAGGATTCCCAAGCACAGCGGTTACCCTACGATGCCATGGCTAAATAGACAGTGGCTATGGGAGCTTATGAGGGCGACCATATCGTGCCGTGGTGGCCTCATAAGTTGGACACAGGTTGACCGCGGGAGCCCACAGCCGCCCTGGGCTTGCTGGGCCAAGCGGGACTTGTTGCTGATGTAGGACACTTTAGAGCCAGAAGCTGGATTAGGTTCAAGCTGATTGAGACCTACCAGGATGACAAACCAGTATGGTGTAGATAAGACAGATGGGCGACAGACTTTGAACGAGGAGTGATGCATGTCCGAGAGACAGTTTTCTCTCCTGGCAGCACACCGTAACAGTCGACAAAGAACTAATATCGGCCTATATTTCGACAGTATCTAACTGAAACTACCATGGCATCGTCATATTCGAGGTCGGATCTTGCAAGTCTCTACAGGAGTAGTGGCACTCACTACCATACCCCTAATAGCTCTCTCCATTGTTTTTGGGTATTTGGTGTCCCTTAAACGTACCACGATTTTTGCTAAAAGCGGTAATCGGGGGTGGACCGCACGTGGAAGCTTATCCGATACCGCATCACGAGTATCGGTGTCACTAGCTGTACCTCGTACCGATTCTATCAATTTAATGTCCTCGAGATACAGACTTATCATGCTACTTGTATAGTGTAATGCCGCACTCAACGTACAGAGTTAACGGTCATGGGAAACTCGACTTCAATTCAGTCTCAGGCGAGTGATTTAGTAGGCAGCGCTTGGTTTGGTGATCAATCAGCCCCGGAGACGTTCGTAGCACAGCGATCCTGACGAGAAGCAGGGACGTACGGTTTACGCCTGCAACCCTGATTGCAATCATCCCGTCTTAGAAGCCCTGCAGCCAGCCACTCAGCCAGGACAAATGTATCGATAATTAGCTGAATCATGGGGATTTGGCCAGCCTTGCTTGCCGCTCAGCTACCGGCGTGGAGCAGAAGTTCTACAAGTAGAAGGATGAACAAGGCGACATTACTACCTCGTACGGAGTACACTGACTGGTATATGGAAATTTCACGAGTCGTCATGTCAGACCCTGGGTCGCGTTCTGCGCTAGTTCTGTTTTAGGCTTAGCTGCCCGGGATCAAAAAGTTAACCCCGCAAAGCTTAGGCCCCTACTTCGTCCCTGGGAAAAAAGGAGGCGATGCGAGATTGGCTGTTCCGAAAAGCGCGTGGCAGCTCCGCGACTATGAAAGCCTCCCAGCTGTACGAGGACTAGTGCCTAGGGCGACGATCATGCAGATACCCAAGTTGGGTAGGATAGCTGTCTTGGAGACCGTTGAAGATCGCCAAACGACACGCGAACCGAGATTGCCCTACATGAGACATGTCGTTCTAGCCGCCTGCAAAGGCTGATGGGCGCAATAATGGCACGGGCGACGCAAGCAGTATGTCACGTCACCGGCTGGAAGGCAATATAACGGATGTAATCCCCCGTCTATCTCTGTCGGTTGCAACGACTCTGCTTATTATCCTTACTCTTCATACGCTCTTTCCTGGCCAGCTTTTTGGCATTCGTTTAGTTAACTACCTGGTGGTGTCGCTCGTTGAACTCCCCACCCCCCACCTGTGCCATTCATTTCGTTACAGCCTGCCCCTTGTCCCACGAAAGCGACAACATGGTTACCTTGAAAGTTCTCGCGCTTTCGCTTTTTGCTCTCGGTAGTCAGGGTCTCACCCTTCCTGATTTGTTCGGAGGAGGAGGATATCAAGGCGGACCTCCAGGCGGGTCAGGCGGTCGAGGAGATCCAGGGGACGGCCCCGGGTCTCCTGGCTCTGGCCCCGGCTATGGAGGTGGTCCCCCTGGGCGTAACCCTCCTGGCTGGGGGGGAGGCTCTCCTGGATATCCGCAGCCTGGCCCTCCAGGCGGAGGACCACCAGGATGGCCTCAATCCAGCTTCCCGGGTTGGCCTAGCATTCCAGTCACTACTACTACCTCTGAGGCAACGACGACAATGTATGTTGCCCTTCTCGGCCTTTTCAAAGCAGCATTAATCTGGGCCTGAACGCTGTCGCCGTCTCCCATGAGTCTGGCTTGACGAAGCTTCCTGTGGTGAAGTTCTAAAATTCTGTCGAATCACGCTGACTATCACCGTAGCCCGACGACCTCCACAAGCACTAGTGCTACCACTCCCAGCGTAACGTCGACTTCTTCCTCAATATCAACGACCTCGCCGACCACAACCACGACAACAACGCCGACCACCACCAAAACGACGACGACGACGACTACGACGACGATACCCACAACAACGCCCACCACCACCACCACCACCACCACCACAACAACAACAACAACAACAACAACTCCACCAACAACCCCTACCACCACCACCTACACAACCCCCACCACTCCAACACAACAACAACAACAACGACGACGACGACGACGACCACCACCACCACCACCACCACGACGATTCCAAACTGCGCAGTTCCAACACTACAAAACGGTGGGTTCGAGTCGAGCGACACAAACATCTCCCCATGGGTCTATAGCGGTTTCACCCCCGGCCTTGTTGATACGGTTGAGCAAGCAGGCACCGGTAGCTTCACGCCACATTCCGGCAGTAACTATTTGTACGTAACCACTATCGGCTCTGTTTTCTCCCTCCTTACCCCATCCCTCCCCTGTGGATCGATCAACATGGAGTTAGTAATATCTGCGCTGACAACACTCCCTTTCTTTTCTTTTATCCAGCCAAGTGACCAACACTGCTTCCTCGCCATCGGAGGCACGTATCGCGCAGTCCCCGGAATTCTGCACTGGCGTCGAGTACAACATCACACTCTGGGCTATTGGAGATTGCAACGGGGCCGGCGCATGCGCCGGCTCCTCAGGTGTCCGCGTCCAGATCGTCACCAACATCGGCTTCAGCGAGGTCTTGTCGCTCTCTAATACCGGACCGGACGACTGGCAGGAACTCCTGTACCAGTTCACTTGGACTGGGGGTGACGGCCTCTCTCCAGTCGACATCAATGTCTTCATGGACGACGAGAACCAGTCGATCGGCTTGGACGATATCGACATCACGTTTTCTTGATCTAACAAAGCCAGCCAATGGTGTGCGTCGTTGGACCGGTTTTCTTGCTAGGACATACTCCAGCATGATAGGTACCGTGTGTAGCGTATCTGATACAGTGCTGAGGATCAAAATTAAGTCTGGGAGACAGCTTTCTCGTCATCTTGATGGTTGTTGTGCGCGCGATCGGGATTAATGGTCACTTAATGCGCTGGATTTCCATGTTTCTGGGGTATCTTCGAAGTCTCGGAGGAAGGGCATTCAATGTCACAGTTTTTCCTTCATGGCTTTTCCGTGGCCCTTTCACCACTCACAGAGTGGGAGTTTAGGGCACGTCAACATGTTCTCGTGGAGAGAGGCACCGCTTCGATCCTAGTAGTAGCATGGCTGACAATACTAGCACTGTAACTGTTGGGCGGCTGATATCTTTGTTGACCCCAGCATTCTATCTTCGGACGGTCCTACACATGTCAACATATGTCCTGGGAACAAGTGAGGCTGAGCAATAATAAGGCTGTTGTTGCCGGCGCCGCCGACCACGTCCTTGCATAAGCCTAATGAGCTACTCACCCACTACTTGGTGCCCGCCACATGTGGGTGGCATATGTACGCTTCCGATGTCCAATGATGCGATCCGTCATAGGGGCAGAACATATCCGATCACACCCACCCCAGGTCATACCTTGACTCATAACAAGCCACGAAGAGAAGCATTACCTCGTACATTCAAACTTCCACAATCGGCGTCGGCCGGCCTCACGAGGGAATTTCACCATCACAATGACGACGCGGGAGAAATGCTTCTGGCAGTTTGCTGGACACACTTGCAAATGAGGCGCAAGCATCATACAAACGCTACATTCCGACCTTTTCTGCCTTGCTGACCTGTCTCGCGCCTTCTCCCAATGATCAGCCAGTGCAGACTGACTCATAGAAAGACATCACCTCACCAGCATTGTGGCCATCCCCAACCATCCTGCTGAAGGAAACGTTAAGCGAGGCTAGCTCGCTGAGCCAGTCGCATTCACAATGTGCTATAAAGGATACAAGGTGTGAAAGCAGCATATCGACGGGAATAGTGCAGGCTGTGTTCAGAGGTGTGCTACTACGTTCTCTCCGGACTGACCACATCGCCCCTAGAACGGTGAATCTTCTCCATCTTCTCGCCACTGACTGGCGTCGATGCCTGGTCCCTTTCGAACACTTGCCCACCTCGCCGACACGGCTTTCCAGCTCCCAGGTTACGTTACACACCCCTGCTATTGTTATGCTCCAGGCATAAGCTAGAACATGGTCTACTCCCTTTTGTTCTTGTCAGCGTTGCTTACACATTAGTAACCGTTCGAGTGGATCTCAAAAGGTATTTTGGACGCTACAACCCTACAGGCACTTCCGCCGCCTCAGGAGTGGCAATGCATCTGTACTTTTGTGTGCTGTCCTTCAGTACCAGATTCAAGAAAAGACCATCCCAATGCTGTATAAAAAAGTACTTGGTCTATCACTGCGTAGGCGGTTGTTTCGTTATCTATCTATATCATTCAGCAGCAAGCGGTTTTCTTCGACCCCTTTGCATCTCTATATACTTCGATTTGTTCGACCTTTTCTTTTCGCCGACATATTCTCGTTATGCATCCTGCGTCATACTTCGCATTATCGTCATTTCTCCTGGCGGCCGTCTCTCCTGAAGTCTATGCAAGAGTGCTTCATCGCCGACAGGACGATACCCCGACATTGTCCACTGGGTGCGGTCCTGCAGACCTGACCCCCGACAACTGGAATGCGAACGACATTGATGCTGTCGTAACGGGCACCCCTGGTTTCGGCCAATGTAAGTGTCATCGACCCCTTCGCAGGGAGCCGACTAACAGAAGTCGCAGCTGCAAACTTTCCCCAGCAATTCGTTACGCAGTTCAACCCAAATCAATTCTCCGATGCTCCCTTTGATTGCACGAACTTCAGCGATCCCGGGGCTTGCTTGATCCCTGGCCCCTTCCCGAACGACGTCTTCTGCGATAACTTTTCCAACCCCCAAGTGGGCTTCATCGTCCAGGCTTGGATCAACATGTACCAGAACTTGAGAAACATGTACTATGCCATTCAAGATGCTCACGACCAGCTGGTCTCTGAGGGGTATCTTGCAGCCATGGTCAACGACATCTCTCCCCAGCCTCTCCCGATTGCTCGATCCACCCTCCTCGAACTGGCAAACCTGTCCCTCAACTTCATTCCCATTCCCGGCGCAGGGGCCGAGCTCGCTGGCATCAAAACAGTGCTGAAAACTTTCAAGAAGCTAGCCGGCAAGGTGGTCGACCGAGCCAAAGAGGATGCCGAAGACGCCGCGCAGACCCTGCAAGACCAGCCTCAGATCCTACAAGAGGTGCTCGACAACGCCGTCCCCAATGTCCAAGCCGCGATCATGGACCAGCTGAACGCCGTCTTCGTCGATGCCCAAATTGACGACTCGAGTGCCCAGGTCCTCCTGGGTGGGGTGCAGCTGAACGCTGTTCCGAGTCAGTCCGACTACGCGACCATCATGGCTCAGAACCTGCGCGCATTCCTCCTGGCCGAGGCCATGAACAAAATCCAAATGTTGCAGGTCGTGGATAATATCGTGAGTGAGTGTGACAGCGGCCCGGAGGACACACTATCGGCAGACGGCTCGCAATGTCGCCGTTTTGGGCTCCCAGAGGATGATGCCACCATACCAACAGCCGTGACGATTGACCACCCGAACGCGATGGGCGACCTTGAGGGCCGGTTTGGTTTCTCCATCTCGGCGATCGCGGATAATGCGCAGGCGTGTGCTGCAGCAGGCCAGAACTTCTCTAATGTCGACTTTGAAGGGTTTTTAGAGAGTGATGATCCGGGTGTCTATCCCACTTGCCTGTTTGGTGTGCCGTCTCACAATGAGAGCTTTTAAGTGCGTCAATGGAGGATAGAAGGCAGACATGCTGGGTGTTTTGTTTTTTTTGTTTTTGAGGCATCTTTTACATTCCCCCGCCGGTCGGGCTGTTTCGACTTGACTTGGACTTTTGGTCATATAATAGAGGCTACACAGCGCCAGGAGCTGGGCCAAAGACTGGAAGGGTGTTGTTCACTTAGGGGCGTATAGGGGTTCTCGGGGTTTAATTTAGAGTTTATCCGGGCCTTGGCTCCCGAGAAGCTTGTTTCTTACCTTTTCCAGCACCAGCCACTTCCTGCATTCTGACATCATCCAGTTGGTGTCAGAATGTGCTCCCTCCGTGTCGAGAGGCTCATCCTTTTCTCCCACCGCGTATCTGGAATGATCACAGGTCGGATTTGTTGTTGATGACGGGTCTAGACATGCTCTTCAGAGAATACAAACCCAAAGGTGACTCCTGTTGACATAGAATGATCGACTCATCGGGTTTTCTTTCTGCTTGGCAGCAAGCCGCTATATTCGCATAGATGGCTCTCGAACCGCTGTGTTGGCTTCGATCACTGTACGAGTTGGTGTCAAACCCGACCCCTCGACATGGTCTTCACCCCATTCCCGGCACCAAGCGCTCAGCTTTACAAGTGCCATCCTGCCACCTCTTCTCTACTACTTGGCGCTTCTCCTTCTCGCGCCTCCACCGCCGCCCGCAGTCGATCGCCTGGCCGTGAAGATTTTCCGAAACTGTCTCGCACTGGTCGCCGGGGTGTTGTTCTATCGCTTGCCTCTGGCATACCATGTCCCGCAGAGCATTGGGTTGACCTATCAGTTGGGCCTCGTGGGGCTGTACGGGGGATGCCGGGTCCTGGATGCGTTCTTCATAAGTCCCTACTTATTTGGACACATTCCACGGCGGGTCAAGTATCATCACAACCGTCGAGTGGACTCTGTCGGACCAGTGTCGGGAGTCGAAGACAAGGAATGGACAAACGGCGGTGTTGTTGACCCTTTCCACCACACCGGTGCTATTCAGGAGGATACCTCTAAAGTAACAAGTAACGGCGACGTAGCAGGACTCAATAAGCAAAGCTCAACACTTGCTACGCCTGCTATTTCTGCCGTGCGCTCTGCTCTCCGCAAATCCATCTCAGGCCCGGACCCGGTACCAGTCTTAGAGACCGCGACGACCGAAATCGGATGGCCAACCACTCTTTTGGATCGTGCGGCCTGGGCTCTCGAGCTCGAACTTTCCATGCGTGGCATTGGCTTCACATGGACCACTGCGGATGTCCGACACACTCGCAAAACCTGGCTTCCCACCGTCCAGAACCGCGTTCACAGCATATTTGTCCATGTCACGCCTGTTCTCCTCGTCAGCTGGTGTGTTATCCGAACTGTCTACGTCCGCTACCTCATGCCAACACAGGACGTGCCCTGGGACATGTATTCGGCGTATGACCTGTTCGACCGCCGCGTACCTCTGGTCTTTCAACTGCTATTGACCGCCGCCCTCGGCGCATTCCTCATGGCGGCGTTCTCTTTCGGGCATTCGCTCTTCGCGATCATGCTCAACCCGTTGGCGCCAAATCCACTCGCCTTTTTCCCTCCATTATACACGACACGGCCATGGCAAATTACAAGTGTGCGAACGTTCTGGAGTTTCGGCTGGCACAGACTCTTTGCGAGGCTGTTCCTGGTCTACGGCATATGGCCAGGGGAGTGGTTGGAACGTAAACTCCTAGGCAAAGGCCCGGATCAACCAGCTGACGTGGGCAAGGTCATCGGCGCTTTCTTGAGTTCTGCATTTGTCCACGCCTTCTCTGTCCGCGGCGTCCTAGCTGGCGACTGGAGAATGGCAACGGGGGAAGCCAAGTTCTTCGCCTTGAACGGTGTCGCAGTCGTGCTGGAGGGCATGGTTATCAGGATTGTGCGTAGAGCTCGGAAGAGGGAAGGTCGGCCAAGTCAAGTGTGGTATGACCCCATCGTGGGAAGGATCTGGTGGATTGTCGTGCTCTTGTGGACAGGGAGGAATTTTGCAAGAGGTTGGGTCAAGTCAGGCCTAGTGCGCGAGATGGCTTTCTTGTGAGGGTGTATATACACCGTTGGGTAATGGAGTTAGTATGTCAGGCTTGGAAAGCACAGTACAGGAATGGAGACATTCACAAGTAGCTTTGGCGGATCCAGACAGGGGCTTCCAGAGTCAGCGGCTACAGATGACGACGGACTGGGCTTTCTTGACCCCCAGGAAGTGACGCCAGATACTATAATAACTCAGGCCCCAGAGCCTCCGATGTTTCAGAAACTAAAGAAGAGATGAAACTTGGTATTCATATGACTGGAGAACATCCGAGATCACATCTGAAATCAGAGGGGGAAAGTGTTGAGGTACCAGTGTCCATATTCTATACCAGTTTGCTCTCAGTGTTATTCACAGCACGGCCAAGATATTCTCCTTACCACTCTAATACCTCTCCAACATGTCCACAAGGCCTCTCTTGATGAGTCTCTCGCAATCTAACTGTCGTAATCCCATAAACTCCTCATCCTCAAGGGCAGGGTCATCTTGTCCGGCGCCATCAGGGGACTCCGCTAACAGCTCCGCCATTGAGTGGTATTTCCCCCTCCAGCACTTGCCCATGATAGCATCACCAGTCGAATCAATGAGCGGTGGAAATTCTCTATCTTGAAATTTGTCGCACAAAATGACGAAATAGTCGGTGCCCCAGGACTCAGTCTCATACGGCTCGGGACCGCGCAGAAGGGTATAGTGGATTGAGCCTATAGCAAAGGTCTCTGTCCGAGCACTCGCCCTGCCATAACTGCCAGTAACTCCATCGTCTTCTTCGCCCAAGGAGCCGTTCGAACGGCTCAGTGAGCACCGTGATTTCTTCCCCAATGTCGATTGCCCGGTCAATGTCGCACACTTTCAAATTTCACTTCGAATCCAAGAGCGTGTTTCCTGGGCGGATATCTCCATGTGTGAGCCCGACCTGTTCGAGTCCCGTGGCGGCCAGACACAGTTGCCTCATCCAACGACGGATATTCTGTTGGTTGAGAACTTGCAAGACCGTAAGGACTGGTATTCCGTCACGTTTCTGGTACTGACTGAGGAGCATTGCGAGACTCCCGTTGGGTGCAAGCTCTAAAAAGGTATCGTGTGGCCTGTGGTAGAAGCAAACAATGAGATGCGGAATCTGGTGGGCGATCCTTGAGAAACCGAAATATTTCTTGCTCGTTGGCGCATGATCAGCCTCCTCCTCTCATGTACGAGCTCTTTTTACGGCAATAAGGGCACTCAGTTGATACACTGTACCATTAGCGCCTCGGCCAATAAGACCCATGTTCTTCGAACCGAGATCTGATCAACGAAATATCCTATGGGTTGTGAAAGGGGGGACCGGTACTATAATGGTTCCAGCCAGGAGGCATATGACGACGTTCACCGGTACTCCTTGAATCCTGGCATTAATCTGTGGCTAAGCCTCTCATGAGATCTCAGATTTGACCCATGCACGGACAATGTTCAAAAGGCGAGTTTGCGTCCCAAATGAGTGCTCTAGAAGCTATCGGTCAACGCAGGTGTGAAGAGTAAGTTGGGCCAGTAAGAGTTCCCACGAAGATAGTGGGTGCTGTATCCAGTCTGCGGGGAAGGTCTATAATTAGTGGAGTCAATTACTTCAGGGTTAGCTACCTGGAACTAGTGACTCCAAACGGCCGGCCACCCTCGTGAAGCCTATTGCATGCATCCCTTCCCAATCCCCTAATTCTTTATCTTGTTCGTGTAAAGCCCCATTTACTCAAAGAAAAAGAAAATAGATAGCAATACACCTCGAGGCCATTTTCATGCCGAACCAAAAACAATCAACAGCTAGGATTCCCACCTGGTCACCCACGGTAGTACTAACTGGCCGGCATCAGGCTTGAGTACGGCTGAGCGAACGGGAAGCCCTATTTTCCTGATCCTATGGTCGATTGCGAAAGACGTTCTGCGGTAATACATTATATACTTAGTTTTTCCAGTTCCACATCTTTCAAAAACCAAAAATGGTGCCGAAACAGGCAAGACGGCTCAGCCAGCGTTGACGCAGTGCAATACACAAGCTCTTCGGGTGGATGATGAATTCATTTGATAATGCATTTCTCCAAGATCGAATATCCCCAGTAACCACACCCCGTCAGCCCCAGGTACGAAACCCCCAGCAAGCGAATTGTATGTTCGAGGCTGGTGGTTGAATGCCCCGTGCCTGTGACTTGTTTCTGCCGATGGGGAATTGTAATGTTCGGTGCGGCTGGTAGTTCAAGCATTGCAGCACCGCTTCTATTTACGTAGGAGTGGGTTGATGGAAACACCCATTTTAAGGTGGATTGGAGCTGAGTATTCGTGAAGCATGTCAAGAGACAAGGACGAGCTGCGATCTCCCATCTGGCCGTGGTACGTGCCCGCACTTTGGTGGGGAAGCATCGATAAACCAACCGACACCTCTGCACCATAATATGTAGGCATCAGTCATGCATCCACCCGAGTCAATCTGTACCTAGGCACTTCGGTAGTTAAACTTCAGGTATATATGGGGTTGGCCTACTCTGACTCGCGAACCGTGACTCCCCTGCCTCGCCCATCTGCTGGGCTCATTGACACCGAGGTGAATTGAGTTACACAGCCAGGACCAAGCATCGCTGACTCGACTTCAAAGGGCTAATAGTGCAGGTGGTCTCCAGGTCAATAAGGCGGCTCTCCATCTAGATCGGCATTGACATCAATCCAACTTCGAGCCGCCGAAGCACCCAATAACCGACACGGAAGACTTCAGACGCTTTCTCGATAACCCCAGAGCAACTATCATATCATGGCCCGTCAGCTTCCCGCTCACTATGGCCAGCATTTCACACCGACGCTCCACCACAAGGCCGAGGGCCCGACACTGCCAGAAAACAATCGTTCCTCGCCGTATGTCGTGGTGGTTACCGGCGCCGGCAAGGGTCTAGGTGTCTACGTAAGTCGCTTCCCCAGCCTCCAACCTCTGTGATGGTTGGATAGACATGATATAGTCCCTATGCTGCATGTCTTGCTATGCCTCCTTTCTCCTTCTGGCTAACGGTCTCGGAAAGATCTCCCTCGCGTACGCCCGTGCCGGGGTCACGGGGATCTGCATCTCGAGCCGTACACAGAAAGACCTCGACGCGCTGGAGAAGCAGCTGAAGGAGGTCAACCCGAAGCTAGAGATCCTGTCGGAGATCTGTGATACGACGAAGCCCGAGGCCGTCAAGGCACTCGCCGAGAAGGTGCGCCAGAAGTGGCACGGGCGCCTGGACGTGGCGATCGCGAACGCCGGGGTCATCTCCAACTACCTGTACGACACGGACCCTCAGACCGGGGAGAAGACCAACCGGCGGCTGCCCGTGGGCATCATCGAGGACGACGACTTCAAGCGCGTCATCGACATCAACCTGCTCGGCAGCTACTACGTGGCCAAGTACTTCACTCCCGTGCTGATCGCGCCGGAAAACCCGAGCATCGTGAAGAGCTACGTGGTCATCACGAGCCTCGCATCGCAGATGGCCGAGAGCAGCTTCGTGCCCGTGGCGTACAACCTTGCCAAGCTGGCCAACAACCGCATGGTCGAGCACATGGCCACTGACCACAAGGGGGACGGCCTGCTGGCCTTCGCCGTGCACCCGGGCGCCGTCGTGACGCCGCAGACCGAACGCCACTCGACCCAGCCGGGCGACGCCTGGGACACCCTGCTGACCGAAGACATTGACTTGTGCGGCGGCTGGCTGACCTGGTTGACTCGGGAGAGGAGAGAGTGGTTGAGTGGGCGTTATCTTGCGGTGACCTGGGATGTGGACGAGCTGGAGGCCATGAAGGACGACATTGTGCGCGAGGACAAGTTGAAATTCAGGATGGCCGTCTAGACGGGGAGAGGTTGGAGCAGATATAGCTATCCATGTGAGATGGTGGGTGCCCATGAGGGAGAGGAAGGCTTGTAACCAGAGCCCCCTTTCCCCTTTCCCGATCCAGCCTTATCTGCCGGCTAGATATGAAAGAGATAGAAGAACCCAAATAGAGAGTGGCATTGGGGGGGAATGATCCATCGACACAATGCCTGAATATGCAGCCTTTACTAGTGATACCGTCCATGGTTTGCAGAACGCCTTGGATAATTTGATTTGATTTCCGCCGACGCATGGAGCTCATTGGATACACACATGTTGATCTTCGGCAGCCGTCTGATAGCCTGAGTGAGGGGAAAGCCAGGGGGTCGATCGAAGCTCGCTTAGCTGGCTATGCGGTTGCCGGGTGTATCATCCACGAGGGAGGAGTTGCTCGTCTGGAAAACGAGCACGAGGGCAAGCCCATTTGCTCACCCATTCCAAGATGGGACGAAAATGCCTCAAAGCTAGACATGTATAAGCAGAGAACAAGGGCGGTGAATCCGATAGTCTTCACGCGCACACCTTCCCTCGACCCCTTGATTGATGAGACTGCATCGCTACCAGCTCCGCCCCCTGACTCCTACTCCGTAGGTGCAACAACATGGCCCGACTCTCGACTTCTCCCGTCGGGTTGCTGGTTGGCTGCGAGATTTTTACCTCCGCCGCTTTGATTCTGTTCGCTATCGCCCTATGTGCGGGCATGTCGCCCGGCTCGCTGGAGGAGCTGGCGATATTGACGGTATGTATTTGCTTGCTGCACGGCCGGGAAGAGGCTTGAAGGGTGACCGGTGGTGAACAACGGGGCGACGATGGAGAAGTTGAACGTGGGATTGCCGTCCAGCGGCCTCAGAGATCCGCCGGGACGTGTTGCATGCTTCTTGAGGCTCCTTTCAGGGCAAACTGCATCACAGCACATATCTGCTTGTTCAGACTGAACTACCGTGTCATACAGATGGCTGATCGCAGACACTCACAGAGGTCGATATCAGTGCCTTGACCAACTCTACCTTGCGCAGCAGCACCCTGGCGACCACAGACTGGCACGACCTGCACTACCTCTCCAACTGCTCGGGCATGTGGAACAGGCACCTGGCACGGGCGGGCAAAAACCGCAGCACCGTCACCTGCACGTCCCAGAGCGCTGGATACACCTTCTCGCTGGCGCAGATCGTCGGCGGCGGCGATGCGGGACAGCAGCTTCTGGCTCTGAATACCCATCACCGCCTCACGCTGGACACCAAAGCCCCGTTCGTCCTGCTCGCTCTGGGAATCGCCAGCATGGGGCTCACCGTCCTCAGCTTCCTCTACGGCATTTTCGTATTGCACGCCATTGCCCGGCAAGGAGGACGGCGGGGCAGGAAAGAGATGCCCCTCGTGGTCCTGCGCTTCGGGTTCATTCTGTGCATCGCCTCGACAATCCTGCTGACCATCTCGTCGGCGAAGATCACTGCGTCGGCAGGTAAGATGGCGGGCAGGGTCCAGGTCGGCGGTCGGAGAAATATCCACGCGTGGATGGACGCCAGGTTCTATGCGGTCACCTGGGTCGGCATGGCGTTTGTCTGGACAGCCTTGGGACTGGTGGTTGCGGCAGCCTTCAAGATTGCGGACGTGCTGGAGGAGGAGAAGGTAGTCCAGAAGGGCAGATCCAGGTAGTAGACGACGAGCTGGAATGTATTATGTCCTTAGGAAGGAGAGTTGACGTTCAAGACGCCCGATATAACAATGTCCGAACAAACGCCGATGGTCCTTGTTTGGCTCTCTCTCACTCTCCTCTTGGCCTCTTCTCATACGTACGACATGCCATCACCTCGTTCGAAACCCGCACATTGCTCGGTCGGCTGTTGAACAAGCCCCAGAATCCAAATGTCCAATGCCATCAGACTTTGCTCATCACCTAGATGGCCCCCAATTTGTCATTGATCGCCCGAGTTCAGAGCGAACCCGTAGAGGAGCTTTGTCCTTAATCACTTACTCACTTACTCACTTACTCTCAGTCAATGAGAAGCTTCCTTTGTGGAGAAAAGATGGGGGCGGGAGCTCACCTCCTCCACTCACTTTCCTGGGCAGAGCCTGGATATTAATTCCATATCTGCCGTTTTCTACAAACACTTAACCTCATCATCGACCAATGCACACAGAACCCCCTGCGTGCTACCCGATGATACAGCCCTGAACTAAAAACCGACCCTTCTCCGGGCCATTTATATCTTCGGCCAGGGAGAACTGGACAGGATTGAATCTCAAATACTAATATAGAAGATGTCGAGAAATTTGTCATTGACGACAACAAATGCTTCATCGATACGACAATGCAATTTAGCTTCGGCCCAGAAGTCTGGCCACCAGGGTTCGAGAGATGCATAAATGTGAGACTGTATAAGTTGAATGGAAGTCCTCCTCCTTCTCCTGGTATGACTGCTCGTCCATATCGCATTCACAGAACAACAACACCTACCAGGACCAAGCAGAGAATCGAAACACCACAAACTCAACCACCAAAGCTCCGGCGTGATCCCCGGCAAGATGCCCTTCATCACAGTCAAGGACGGCACCGAGATCTACTATAAGGACTGGGGCAACAAGGATGGGCCGACGGTGGTCTTCTCGCACGGCTGGCCCCTGAACGCCGACAACTGGGAGGCCCAGATGTTCTTCCTGGCCAACAAGGGCTACCGCGTGGTTGCGCACGATCGTCGCGGTCACGGACGCTCCAGCCAGCCGTGGGACGGGAACGACATGGACACGTACACCGACGACTTGCTCGCCTTGTTTGAGCATCTGGACCTCAAGGACGTCATGAGTAAGTTTTTCAACCCCCCCGTTGCCCCCTTGGCCCCTTCGATCGGCCCTGTGACTGATGCTGATGGCTCGTAAACAGTGGTCGGCCACTCGACCGGTGGCGGCGAAGTGACTCGCTTCCTGGGCCGCCACGGCAGTAGCAGGGTGCGCAAGGCTGTGCTCGTGGGCGCGATCCCGCCGCTGATGCTCAAGACCGACACCAACCCGCTGGGCCTGCCGATGGGCGTGTTTGACGGCTTTCGCGCCGCCATGGAGAAGGACCGCGCGCAGTTCTTCCTCGACGTGCCCAGCGGCCCCTTCTTCGGCTACAACCGCGACGGCGCGGACGTGAGCCAGGGCCAGATCTGGAGCTGGTGGCAGCAGGGAATGATGTGCGGCTTCAAGAACGCCTACGAGTGCATCCGCGTCTTCTCCGAGACCGACATGCGCGAGGACCTGAAGAAGATTGATATCCCGGTCTTGGTCATTCATGGGTACGTCAAAAGAATCTCTCTCTTTTTGGCATTCACCCCCTCCCCTCCCTTCTTTCTCCTCCTTCAGATGACTTTTCACGCCACTGACAGCAATTCTGATCGTTTTCATTGTCCAGCGACGACGACCAAATCGTGCCCATCGTGGCCAGTGCCCACGAGTCGATCAAGCTGCTCAAGCACGGCACATTGAAGATCTACCCGGGCGGTGCGCATGCGTTGCCCAACACCGTCCCGGACGAGATCAACAAGGACTTGCTCGAGTTCTTCCAGGCCTGATTCCGATGGATTGATCGAAGAAGAAGACGTCGTTGTCGTCGTCATCATTATCATCATCATCATCATCATCCAACAACCTCGCTTTTCTTAGTCATTCTCTTTTATTGCCTTCGTGCCGAGCAGGGCGCAATCAATGTTCATGCAGGAAGCACCGAGTGCAATGGAAAGAAAACCCTCGTTCTATCCCTTCCCCCTCCGTGGCTTTGCAGTCCATACACCAACCCGACACAAGCGGGTAGCATTCAATCAGTTGGTTAGTCTGTTAGTTTGAAGACACTCGTTACATATAGTAAATGACTACATGAATCTGAACACAGCGGACAAGGCTTTTGTTGTTGCGTATGGGATATCCAATTTTTGGGCTTTCCCTCGTGGGCCATGCCTGTGCCGATCTTTAAATTGAATTACCTAGGTATCCTATCATATTTTCTGGATTCCTCCACACACCATCCGATGCCCGTTTCGGGAAGAAACCTCGCCCCCAGCACGACCAATTGCGAGAGCTCGATCATTTTATGTAGACGCAATGCGCAGTATGTACACCCCCACAAGCAGTTGCCTGGACAGGACTAGATCCAGGAACGAACACAGCTTGAGCCATCCGTCCATCCAAGCCAGACCAGCCATGCATGCATGCGCGCGTGCATGAATAATCATACGAGCCACCCACAGCGGTGACAAGTCAGTGATGTATGGGTGTGGGGGACAGGGCCAGGTAACACGAGGGCAGGTGTCGGGTAACCCTTCTGAGTGGTTCGTATGGCAGCTCAGCTTCAAGTCTTGGGAAAATCTGTACAGTAGCTCGACGCTGAAGCTGAAGCTGAAGTAATCAATCAATCGATCCATCGTCTGTCTCCAGGCGCGGGCTGACCACTTTTGGGGGTTTCCAGCGAGCTGGCGCAAGACCGTCGAGCATATCATATCATATAATACAATACAAGACCCCCGGACGAGAGTCTGAGTCTCTCATCGTTGCAGAGAAAGCGCATATGTAAAGAGCCCATCGACTCGTAGCAAACAGGCTGTTTGGCTGGTTAGTCGGGTGCTTTTCTTGACCGAAAGTACGGAACGAACCGAAACGAACAGAAATAATGGAAAATTCAGAATACGCCACGGCTCCGGTCCAGATCATCAGGGTCAACAACAGTACGTTTGCATACCGACTGTTTGGCAACAACAGCAGGACACAACAAGACGACGGCGACGACGACGTCCCTCTCCTCCTGCCGACGCACTTCCGCAGCCGTCTGGACTTCTGGGACCCTGCCTTGATCAACGCCCTCGCTACGCAACGCCGACTGCTTCTGCTCGACAACCATGGCAGTGCGGAGCCCCAGTCTCTCAAAGGGAGCAAAAGGACCGCAAGGCCCGATGCGCGACGAACCCAGACGGCAACGACGTCGCCCGCGACGGCCCTGTCCTTTCAGTTTTGGGCCAGGGAGATCGTGGCCTTGATCAAGGCACTCGGCTTCAAGCAGGTCGATGTATTGGGATTCAGCATGGGGGGCTTCATTGCGCAGATGTTGGCTCTCGACGCCCCCCCCGGTTTGATCAGAAAACTCATCCTCGCGGGCACCGCGCCCAGCCAGGGACCGGGCGTCGAAAGTGGGGATATGCAGTACTTCCAGAATCTGACGAATGCAGTCACGGATGGCGACGTCAAGGCAGGCTTCCTCGCCGGATTCTTTGGGTTGAGTGAAGACAGACAGAAAACGGGTGAGAAATGGTGGAACCGTATCACGAGCTGCTCATCTATGTGGCCATTTGTCTCGACCAACGACATCGATGGCCAGATCACGGCGATGATGAGGTGGTATGGTCTCACCCACCGCGACGAGGGGTCGTATGACCGACTGGGCGAGATCAGCTGTCCTGTCTTGATCTTGTGCGGTCAGAGGGACAAACTGGTACCTGAACAGAACAGCATTCTGCTGTGGCAGAAGATCAGCCAGGCCAACCCCAACGTCCACATACACATGTACCCAGAGTCGGGCCACGGGTTTATGTTTGAATACCATCATCATTGTGCGAGACTGGTCAATGAATTTTTGGATGAAAGGGTAAAAGTGCAGTGTTCATGCGAATACTGTCGATACTGAACAGGAGCCGCCTGATATCATACAAGTCCTAGGACAGATATAATGATAAGCCACAAAACCGGAAATCTCTCAAAGTCGGCGCCCGCCCACGTGGGAATGCGGAACCGCTCCTTTCTTTTGGACGGACTATCTGTATTTGTCCATGAATTCTTTGTGGAATTTGGTCCAGCGGCCGACCCACTCCGTCCCCGGAGCGAGAAAGGTAGTTCGAAGATGTAGTGTACCAGGTTTCTGCCCAAAGCCGGAGCCGGGGACGACACAGATGCCGGTCGCGTCGAGGAGACGGAGGCAATAGAATTCGTCAGGAGTACGATTCGCCTCTTTGGCAGCCTGGACGGCTTTCTCTGAGACAGTAATGGTAGGGAAAAGATACATCGATCCCTGGGGGAAAGTTAGCAAGGGCCAAACGATGCCGATCTGGGCTGATGGATAACATACCTGTGGCTCCCCCACCTCGACCCCCTCCATCTCCTTGAACGCTCGGTACAAAGCCCAGGCCCGCTCCTTCAACCCGTTCCTGACGCCGTTGTATTCCTCATCGTAGAGCTCGAAGCTGGGATCGCCGGGTTTCGGAGGGTCGACCACGAGGTCCAGCAGACATTGACCGATGACAGGAGGGCACAGCATGATACTAATGAACTTGTAGATTTCGGCCTGGACTTCTTGGTCAAAGCCCACAAGCTCAAAGTAGCCAGCACGGTGCCCACATTCGCCCACCATCCCTTTGGAGACCGAGTTCAACGAGGCGAGTTCCACGGTGTCATACCGGCCCGGTTCCCGTTGCTGCATCCTCCGCAAGGCGCCTTTGAAAGAGTGGAATTGACCAACGAAGACGTTCGTTTGGTACACCTCGTCAGCCATGATGACCAGATTCTTCTCTGCGGCGAATTTGATCGTGTCTTCAACGTCCTTTTCAGACAACGAGGCACCGGTTGGATTTCCGGGGTTGATGACGACAATGGCACGCACGTCGGTGCCCTCACTGACGGCCTTGTCATACGCGTCCTTGATTATGGAAAGCTCTGTGCTCCATGACTGAGACTCGTCCAAATAGTATGGGACACAGCGGGCATTGAGAATCGAAAGTGTCGCAGTGTAGAGTGGATATTGTGGTATGGGGACGAGCACGCCGGTCTCAGGTCTGCCACAGATGATGTGAAGAAGGGTGTTGACCCCTGACGAAGCACCGGCAGAGAGGTAGATGTCGTCCTTGTTCGAGGGAAAACCATCACGGCGCTCAATAAAGTTGGCCACGGACTGACGAATACCGGGAGCGCCTGCAGACTGTGAATATGCTCCGACCGACTGGACTTCCTTCAGCAGCCGGCGAGCACGGTCGATGGCGTCTTGTTTGTAACCAAAGCTCGACTTGAGGGCTTCCTCGTTGTTCAACAGTGCCGGGTACTCTAGCAGAGCAAGTACCTGCCGGAAGAATGTGATGGGTTTCTGGTCGAGTTGCTGCGGGTTGCCAATGTTGGCCGAGATGACAGTGTCGAAGGGCAGAGGGTTCTCTGGCGGTGTGGGAGGGTCTCCTTTCTTCAATTTCGAGCGATATTCCTCTGACTTGATGGCCAGTTCACCTCGCACGGCATACTTGGCTGCCTTTACATGGGGGTTGATATTATGGATGCTTAAACTGCGTAACGGACGGGTGGACGACATGTTGCGGCGGCAGCAAGGAAATGGAGGTCGGATACAAGGACGAGGAACTGTACATTGAATCTTGTTAGTTTTGAGCTGGTCACCAGATAGCAGGGAGGCAAGAAAAAATAGTCGGGTGCACAAGAAGCAACTATACTCGGTTGAGTCACTAAGTGGTGTGCAAAAAAGAAATTGACCAGCGCAGCTGCGACTTCGCTCTTTCTCACCTCGTGATGGGCTTGGCTGGTGTGTTGGAGGGGAAGAATGTGTTATACTCGCGGTCGACAGAGTCCTGCAGGCGATGGCAAGTTCACTGGATAAACGTTGAGCTCGCCGCAACACAGATGACGTTCTCGGCGTGGATATTGAGGGTGGGGGCATGTTCTGGTACATATAAAGGGCAGAACCTGGAGACCAGGGTGGGTGGGGGCCTCCTGGGGGAATAGATGATTTGGCGGGTCAGATTTGGAGCAGGCAAAGCGATATCGGGACTTCGAACGCGGATATCAAATTTTTGCAGAAGCCTTTGAAGCTGCAAGGCTATTTGAGGTATTATTCGAGACGGGTGGCTCGGTGGGTAGACCATCGGAAGAAGACCAGGGGCGGCGCACACGATCTCGTCTCGTCATGGGGTCGCGTGGGAGCTTTTCCCTCCACGGCTATCTTATCGCCCAAGTGTGGGGGACGCCACAGCGTGCTGCACGCTGCAGGTCGGTCTCGGCGGCCAAAGCTGCCAGTCAGCCAGGGGTTTCAAGAGCCGACAAGGAATAATTGGAGAAGGGAGAGAGTTTTCTTGGTTAACGATTAACGCTGGGCGCGGTGAGCGACTCATGGGGGCGGCCTTCCACCCAGAAGCCGGCTAAACTGTCCGATCCAAGCACTCGCACCCTTTGGAGAAATGTTATCGCCAACAGCCTGTTCCGTGTCTTCCTTACTTTTTGCTTCTTCCTGTCTCTAAGAGATCCTCGTGGCCATCGCAGTACCTCATACGAGGGTGGTATGGTACATGACACAGTCCATGCAGCCGTCTTTCTACCTGCCGTCCGCTCTCCAAAAACGCCTGGGGCCTTCGTACAGATGGACATGGGGTCCTCACGCTCGCTCGCTCCCTCTCAGTCTCACAGCCTGGCCGTACTTCTGCAGCTTGGTGATCAGGGCATCACCCTGTTTCACAACGTCTGCATACTGTTTGTTCTTGTCATCCGGCCTGGTTGTTTCGATCGTTCCTTGCACTCGGTCGATCGTGCAACTCACTCGACCCCCAGCAATGAACTTGGCCAGATCGCGGTCCAAGAAATCCACGCTGACACCAAATGCCTGTGCCATCGTCGCCAGACCCACCACCCGGTAAGATTGGAGGAGTTGCTGATATCCACGCAACCGCATTTCTCGCACAAACCAGGCTCGGTGCTCAAATAGGTATCGATCCTGTGTCAAGAAATTCTCTTCGACAGCAGCCAATGACAGGAAGAAATTGCGATAGTTGCCACTGTAGAGGCTGTTGACCAACCCGGCCAACGAGGACACATCCATGGGGGCTTCGTTCTGCGACTGCACTGCGCTGCTAGAGCCCAGCGTGTTGACGTTGACGAGGCCGGCAGCACGTTCTGCAGTTGCCGCAGACGCATCCTTCATCTCTTCATCTGCGCCGACGGCTTTGTCCTCGCTATCTCCCAAGATCGCCTTAATCTCAGGCGCGTCTACCACTTTGGCTTTGAAGTCGACCCGTTTGAGGGAAAGCGACCCTGCAAGTACAGCGTATACGACGAGGGAAGAGTAGCTGCACAGCTCATAGCTGGTGAAGGTGGAGAGACTGTCAAGGAGCAAAGGAGCGGCGAGGTTGTAGGATCGGACGGTGAGGAGGTGCAGGCCCTTGTAAGCTTTTAATCGATTTCTTCGGTCCCAGTCTCCGCCACCCTCCACCAGAATATTTGCTCGTTCAATCTGTTTCTTGGTGAAAGCCTTGTCGTTGAAGAAGATGCCGATGCGGATGATTGCGAGGACAATGTCAATCTTGGTGCCCAACGGGCCGGTTTTGTCGAAGACTTTTTCATATGCAGCAATAGCTTTGTCCTAGTGTACCTGATCAGAGAGCTGTAAACTCACAAGGTCATCTGCTGGCTTACCTTGTCGCCAACCCGAGCCCAGAACTCGGCACGCTTGCTTCGAGCCGCTTGTATCTCGGTTTCGCCCGCCTTCTCTTCAGCTTCCTCTTCCTCTTTTTGGAACTGCTCCAGTTCCTTTGCGTTGTCGGCCTTGAGTTCCTCATATAGCGATTCGTCCCATGGCAGAATGCCCGAGGGTACAGGCTTTTTGGGCGGTAATAGGTTGCTTGACACGAGTGACGCACGTCGGGCAGTAGGCTTGGATGGCGGCTGTAATGGCTGAGCTGTGCTTTCCCCGACGGTATTCAGCACACCTTCAGTTGGATGGGCCAAGTGCCGATATAACGGCGCCATCTTCTGGTCTTTGATTGCATTTTGAAGGTAATTCAAGGATGCTGGCTGGACGCTCCGAGGCGCATTCGCCAGGGAGAAGATGTGCTGGGCGAGGGTCAGGTCGGGATATTTGGCGAATTGAGGATCTGAACCCATGGTGCAGGATGACAGGACCGAGAGGTACTAGCTGCAGAGACAAGAAAGAGAAGATGCAAGAACAAGCTACTGATTGATTGTTGGCTTTTTGGGTAAATATCACCACGAAGTCGGAGAACGCGCAGTACAAGCCAGCCTAGTGTTCGTCCGGCCTGAGTGAGCCACCGTAGTAATTAGCAATTTGTACGGGCGATCAAAAGAGCTTACACAAGAAATCCAAGAGCGGATGAGTGGGTTCACGTGGCTCGCTGAACTGTGTCGTCGTTCAACTTCATCCATCACTTTTCCATGTTTGCGAGACACGACTTTCAAGTGAAATCGGTCTCGTGTCTGAGCGTCAATCACTACTTATTGAACTGGCAATGCCGATGTCGACATTGGCCGACAACGGGGTGCAGGCGCGGGCTTGTCGCGCCCAGGCCCTCTCCGCGCCTGTCTATCTGAACGGGATGAGCTGCGTCTAACTTTGCTCAAATACCAATGTGCGTCTGGGGTCCGTGACGCCCCTGGCTGATGCCGACTAGAGGAACCCTGGATGCGCTGAATCCAGCTGCCGCAATGGTGCATTGTCATCGACTGTCCTTGATGTCAAACATGGCGGGCTGCTCAGATGCAAAGCAGCCTCCCCCGTTCCCGCTCCCCTGGGCGCTCTCACCCGGTGTTCTGCCAATTGAGATAGGGTTGCGGCCAAAGGTGGCATATTCATTGATTTAACCCTTCGAATTCGGTGGTGTTCGCATAGAAGCAAAATGCCTGTCCCCATTTGCTTCCAGATATTGCTCGCGCCTTGCGCTATCACACTTCAAACCTTCTCTTCCACTGTTCTTCAGTCTTGTCCTCTTCATTTAACATTGTTTTGAGGCTGCCCCCCCGCGAGACAGGAATAGTTACAAGCATTGGACTTCTCTTCCCTGTGGCTTTTCTCCGTTTCTCGGCGTTTTATCCTTACAACAACTGTGTTGGCTCGGTCTTCATCTCGACAAACCTGCACCCATTCATATCAGCCCCCATATGTTGTCTCTCCGGCCTTGACTGTCGCCCTGGTTTCATACAAGATTGCCTTGATCCCGCCAGAGGGTGATAGGCTTGACCTTGTGATCCCATTCGATGACAGTTGTACATTTTCAGACCTTTCTGCCACGGCCTTCCAATGCGCCTCCAATACCGCTCCTTGCCCTTCTACATCCGACAAGATTGCTTGAAACTCTGCCTAGGCTCGGAAATAGGCTTCGTGATCGAGGTGAATAACATTGTCCAGGATGTTATGGACTCTAAAGATGTGCTGTTCATCATCTTTCTCGATGGCCCACCCTCTGACGATCTGACAGATCGCGATGAACATACTGCCACTGATGCAGTTCGAATTCGAGTTATCACCCCAACATCTGCACTGCAACATTCCGATGTCCACACAATCCCTTTCCTAAAAGACGGCCACATTTACCCACCCTTTTCGACCCTAAGAAAGATAAGAGATGATATTGCACAACACCTCCATGTGTCTGCTGTCCCACCTGAAGAACCGATTGATGCTGAGTGCAATTGCGCGTTAGCCGAGCTTTTGGTGAAGAGAGGCGAGTGGGAGGAGCTTCCTTGTGAGGGCTACGAGTCGTGCGCTCGATGTGGCAGACCTGTCGCCCACCACAGCGAAACAGAGGAGACAGACCTTTGCCGATCATACGTTCTCCGTCGGCTGGACCTGCCTTGCGGACATGTTATCCACTCTCAATGCCTCAACAATGGAAAGGAGTATGAATGCCCAGGGTCCTGTTACGTGACGACGCCTTGTCACCCAATATCTTCTGCCTACACCTGGGTTGTCTCCGGCAATGGCCACATTGAGAAGCTGGAGCTGGCATCGTCGAGTCACTCAGCACTGATGGGGGCGCTCGCAGATCGACTCGGGGCCGAATTCGCCCATGCAGAAGCCGTGTCCTGCAAAGGCGGTCTGAAAGAGAACGACGTCTGCATTCGACTACCCATAGTGGCTATTTGCGCCAATGCTAGACATCACTCGAAAGGGTTAATCTTGACCCCATACAAAGATACTACCTCCGTTGAGCTCGATCTACACACCGTCGAAGCTCCGATCAACGCTAGCAATCTCAGCCTAACCCTTAGAGGGGTTTGGTTAGCCCAGATCGCCGTCGACGGCATCCTCACGGTCTACGCCGTCACGCGGACCGCTGGACTGGTCCTTGGGTTGGTTCTCCACAACGTCAATCTCAACACAGCACGGGAACAAGGAGGTGGGGTCACAGAAGAGTCCTCGAAACCTAGCATGCCTTACCTTACGGGCTATCACACGATTGATCTGAGGGATGTCAAGACTCTAGAAGTTGTGACCGAGCCAGTTTCGACGGACATGGGCTTGGTCAACAAGGGTATCTTCGTAGCATTCTCCAACTCTGGACTCATGCAAGGCAGCCCTTCATACAGCCTCACAGATTAAAGTCGGGAAGACTCTGGACGGATCCGTGCAGCACTGATGTATGGTGGCGCAGCTCTAGAGGCGACTTATTATGATCCAAATGTTTTCGGAACTGCACTCAGCGAGTCCACTGCTGTGTCGCCACACACTCTTCACCTAAAGATCTTGTCTGGCGACATTGCTTATCTCGCTTTTGCGGGTGTGCTGAGCAGATTCGTGGTTGTTTCACCACGTCAGTTGGCAGGTGCAAACGCACCATGCCTGACGCTTGATCGATCTGGCAATATGGCGGTCTACACAGGAAGGGCTGCTTTCGCTGTACCAGGGCACAATTTCACGGTGTTCCAACCATTGACGGGAACCGAGGAGAATGTCGATGTTACAATCCTTACCCAGCAGCTGAAGCCCATTCTGAGAGCCCGTAAGAGAGATGGCACCCAAGTGTTCACTCCGCTCAGTACGAGCTTCCGCCGCAAGGAAACCCATCCAACTGAACTACTCGTCTTCTGCGTTGACTGCAGCCACAGCATGGGCGAGTAGTCAGAACTTTTGGAGCGAAATGAAAGCGACAGCCCCGACAGAGATGACGACGTCGTGCCCTTCTCCCAGGCCAATAATGATGTCGTCTTGGATGATGGGGAAGACGTTACAGATGTTCCTTTCCACGAGATCAAGTCCTGGCTACATAGCCACGAATCCTACGAAGACATGCTCCATATCATTCGTCTTTCTCCCACTGACCATCACGGAACCGTGTGCAAAATACTTGAGTTTCTGAGATGCTTAATAGTTCGAGAGCTCAAGCATTTAGCGACTCAGGCCGGGATAGCTTCGCGAGAGGCTCAGTCAGCACGTCCTTACACCGGACCTGCCGTGCAACAGATGCATTCTCTGCGGAGGGCCCTTACCGGGCTCAATCTTCACGACAGAGCCTTGTCCGATTTCTTGATTTTCAGCGCCGAAGACCCGTCGTTTCAATCGAAACGTTTCGTGTGGTCCTACGGCGATGATCAGCCTTGCTGCCCGCCCTCTTCGACCGAGGAGACCACAGAACTGGACGACTTTTGTGTCATTCCTGACGAGTACCTATGTCCGATCAGCCCCAGCCTTTTTGAGGAACCAGTGCATTCATCTGATGGGTTTGTATACGACAGACAGGCAATCGTGAGGTGGTGGCAACTCTGCAGAAGCTCACCGATGACGGGGCTTCCTATTGTGGACACGCACCTGAGGCCTGATGAAGTTTTAAGGGATCAAATCAATGCCTGGGTCGCAGGAGAAGATGTCATCAATTCTTTGCCGTCGACGTTTGAGCATGCCCGACTCTCCGGACACCAGCCACGACATATTATAGACTTTGTCGGCCCCTCGGTCTGCTTCAGCAGACAGCTGCCGGGTCGGTCACTTTTGTTGAATCTACACAAAGTCGCTTTTCGATGGATGCGAGGCCTTTACCACAGATTCTCGTTACACGTGGGAGGCGTCTATCTACCTTGCTCTGAAGAGGCCATATCTGACAGAGGAGTGGTAAGCGGCCAGACTATCACCATCAGTCCAGACTACGGCACAGATGGTGACACCTCCGGAGGCTCAACAAGCCAGAGGCCAATGTGTCCCATCCGAGTTTACAACACACCTGACCTGTCAAAGGAGTCTTTCAAATACTGGGTACCGTTGAAATCTGAACTTGCCTACGGCTCGATTATTTTCCACAACTGGAGATACCACGTCCAGCATGGCAGTCTTGACCACTACAAGCATGATACGTCTCCATGGGTTAATCTCATTAACCACGGCGACGGTTCTATCAATGGCTCATTCCGTAATTTGTGGGCTTCATTGTCTCAGGAGTTGAGGACGCTTCGCCGTATGGAGGTACAAAAGTATGAAGCTGCCTATAAACATACGCGCGACGATGGCACGGGGCCAGAAGCCCGTCAATGTTGCAATTGTCGCATTCTTAAGGTTCATCTCATGACCTATGCGCAGACAGAAGAGCGGAAGCTCAAGGAGACCGAACTCCAGCAGGGGAAAGTTCGATCAAAGATGGCTGTTGCCAACGGAATTTTCTCGCAATTCATCAATGGATTAATTGCGTACAGTTACCCCACGAACTTCGGGCTGGTTACCTTCGAGACAGAGGCGGGGATCAGCCAGAAGTAGACGGGCGTCACCAAGGACTTTCGACAGGCCATGGATGATATGCAGGAAAATGGCGACACTGCGCTATGGGACGCACTTGCATTGGCGGCGGATCATCTGGTCGAAGAAGGTGGACGTTACCCCGGGATCAAGAAGAGGATCATATGCCTTTCTGATGGCCATGATACCAGTTCAACCCAGACGGCAGCGGACGTTTCTCAAATACCGATCCAGCATGGCATCGTGGTGGACTCGGTTTGCATAGAGAAGGAGGAAAACCGGGAGCTGCGATCGGTCTCGTGCTATGCAGGCGGATACAAATTCACACCCACGTCTCTCGAACAGACTGCTATCTTGTGCGACCTTGAGCCGGTGTTGTCGATCCATGAACGACCACGAGGGCCTCGAACCATGTCTGCTCGACTTCCCATTTCTCACCTCGCAACTTACGCCGCAAAGCCAGACCCCGTCTTCATATCTGATTTTCCTGCCCGCAAGACACATGAGAATCTGCACGACACATTCGTTCCGGTCAGCCGCATCGAAAGAATGACACACGCAACATTGTCCGAGCAGCCACGCTCTGCCCCGAGCTCGACCTCATCGATTCGAACTAACAGACTTCTGGGAGAAATCCGCGCTATTGCCGATCAGCCTCATCCCTCGTACGATGTATATTCATTTCTGAGAACAACGTGGGTTTCTGGAATATAGCGTTGCAGGGCCCAGGCGCCTCAGCATACGCAAGTGGAGCATTCGTCGTGTATCTGGACATGGGAGAAGAATAGCCGAGGAAGCCTCCCAGTGGACGTTTCGTCACGCCGATCTTCCATTCCAACGTCAACAGACACGGACAGATTTTGTAAGTTTGGGCCCTCCACCACTCCCCTCAGCGTTGTTGATTCGTGTTTTATGGTATGGGATGTTGAGAACTGACCCATTCTTGATTTCATACTTCTGGCAATTCGATTTTTAACCGCAATTGGACGGTCAACACCACCAACAAGCAAATTCTCGACGCGCTCCTCTAGCTCCTTCTCGCTCCGCAGTTCACGGACCCCATCAACATAGCGGCGACATGGTATATCGCCGGGACTGAGTCACCTTCGTGGACGAAGTGAAGAAGTACATTAGGGTGCAAGCGTCGAAACCGAAAGCCGAGCTCGGTCAAGACATCCTCAAAGGACGTTGATCAGAAGCGTATCTAACACAGATCCCGCCACATACGACGCAAAGCTTGGGTTGGGACAGACACGCACAACACAATCGCAGGAGAGACTTTTGTCCATTCTCCGCATTTTTTTCCTGCTACGTCCTGTGGATCAATCCCTGTTGGGAGGAAGAAAGCAACAACGAAAATGCGAAAAAGAAAACACAACCACCAAAAAAAGGGAGGGGGAAACAGAAGGAAAAGGAAAACTGATTGCTCAACAAGATGGCAATACATACATGGCCGTGTCAGGCTGGGCAGGGCAGTGCTTGGTTTGAGAACTATTTAAATAATCTTGTATTGTATGCTGGGGTCGATGCAGTCAGTTCGCGCGGTGAAAACAAGCTCTCGGCGAACGGACGCACAACACGGTCATGTCCAATCGGAAAAGGGCAATCAGGGGCAGAGCTGAGCTGAGCTGAATTGTTCTAGACAGACCGGGGGGGAGAGGCAGTGACTCGAAGGAGTAATAATGAAGAGTTGGCGGGGTTATGGGAGCTATTAAACAGTCCAAAACAACAACAAACAGCAAGTGGAATTCTTGAACGGCTGACTCGATATTCTTGAGATCAATCGGGGGCGTATCAGCGTGGAAATCAGACTGTACTTACTGGATAGATTGTGCTACGATGGAAAGAAGCAAAGAAAGAAACAGACAGGGGCTTTGTAAACTAGCTTGGTCGACGACGACAAAAATGCATCTCTACTCTCTGTTGGTATCTTATCATGATGATGGCTTCCCGACTATCGTCATCATACTCGGACTCGCACGCCCAATGCGCTAGGCCAAGTCCCCTTAATCTCATTCATTGTCCCCCGATCCTGGTATGACATAACGTCGCCAACAAAATAATTCCATATACACAGCGTGAGGAGCTTGCTTCACATCTCTTGAGCCCGTTCGACAGCCATGACCCTCTCCTCATGAAACTTCTTGGTGCCGAGGGTGCTGACGTCGTAGCCATGCTTAATCAGATACTCCCGGAAGCGCTCGTCCTCCTTGGTGATGGTGTCCTGGCCGATGTGGGGCAGGAAGAACAGGGCGACCAGGCCGGAGAAGATGCACAGGGAGCTGGAGACGTAGAAGGGGTATTGACCCTGCTTGATCACGTTGTCGCCGGCAGCCTTGATGATGTCGGGGAAGATGTAGTTGCCGACGAAGGCGCCGATCTTGCCGCATGCCGCGGCGATGCCATAGTACATACCACGCACCGAGGTGGCCGAGGTCTTGGACGCGACCAGGCCGATGTTGTCGCCGGGGCCGATCTCGCCCAGGGCAAGGAAAATGCCGTACACAACGACAAAGCCGCCTACTTGGGACGCCTGGTCGAGGTGCTTGTAGATGGCGGTCATGATGAAACCGACGATGCCCTGCAGCATGACACCGACAATGAGGCAGTACTTGGGGCCGATCCAGTCAGAAAGGAAGGCACCGATGATGGCGCCGGGAACGTAGAACAAGTTGATAACCGTGTTCCAGCCAAATGATTTCCAGAGAGGTGCGTCGGCTGGGAGCAAGAAGGCCAGCCACGCAGACGAGTAGATGCTGAATGAGTAGGCGGAAAAGTCATACACAAACCAGATCAGGGAGACGACAATCAGGCGCCACCAGTAGAACTTGATAATCAGCAAGTATGGGTAGTGGTTCATCTTGTTGCGGTGGTATTCTTCGGGTTCCTGCAGCTTGATTCGCAGCCAGAGGAGCGACAAGGGAGGAATCATGCCCAGGCCCAGCGCAATCCGCCAGGCCGCACGCAGGTGTTTGTCGGTGAAGATCAGGGCCAGGATCATGGGCACGAAGGCTGCGACAACAAAGCCAACGTCGATGGCCAGATTGGTGAAGGCAATGAACCAGCGGTTACGGTGCCCGCTCTTAAGTTCACCGGTGCTCTCCGCGCACGCGACTGAGCCGGCTGGATACTCTCCTCCGATACCGATACCAAGAATGAAGCGATAGGCAGCCAATGCGGCAAAGAGCCCTTGAATGCTGCCGCCAGCACCGTACGAGCCCGCGCCCAGGGCCGAAAAGATGATGAGAATGACGGTAGAAATGAGGAGTGAGTGTCGACGGGACCAGTGATCGGACAGATAGCCAAAGACCAGCTGGCCAAGGACTGTGCCGGCGAAAGCGATCGAGGCGACGTTGCTCTGGGCATTGGACTTGGTGTACTCGTCCTTGTAAATCGTCTTGAGCATGGTGTTAACCGAACCAATGACCTAGAAACCAACCCGTTAGCTCACGTCTGTCTTGAGGTGTGGGGGCTCTGCTCTGGAAGTCACATACGCCGTTGAGATAGCCATCAGAAAACAATCCGGCACCGCAGGCCATGACAGGCCATGTTCGTTCCCATCTTGACTTGGGGGTAGCGTCAAGTGGATCTTCGTGGATCGAGTATGAGCGGGCAGCGTCAGGACCGAGTCTTTCCTCGATGATCTTCTTCTCTGGAGGAGTATCCATTGTCACTGTGGAGGGGAGGTTTTGGCTTGGAGTGTTGGCCCTGGGACGAGGGTTGGACAGAGTGAGGGACAGACGCAGGGTGGATATATAACTTTTTGGCAGAGAGACTTCCGAATGCTCGTGGTATCTAAGCGTGCATCGAGAGATCGAAGGGCGAGACCGAAAGAAGAAACTGTATGCTGCTGGACAGGCATGTTGACGGCAAGGAGTGGGGTGAGAGATACAGGGAACGAGTTGTGAGCCATGCTGCTGGAAGGGTGGAGGAGTGAACGTCAGAGTCGGGGTGGGTGATGGGCGGACAGAAGCAAGGACGTCACAGTAGTTGGCATTCGTACTGGGTGGTAGTGGTGGTGGTAACCTTTGACTAGGTATCCAGTAATAGGCAAGGGAGGGTACCTAGGTAACAGAGTTAGTTGGTGGGTTAGTTACACTGCTAGCCTGTGCTAGGTGGCTAGGGGTGCCCTGCTGGGTATGGCTCCTGATAAAGGCCCCTGCCTCCGCCCCACGATCCTGCCCCAATGCGGGTTCGGGCCCGTTGCGCAGGATTAAGTGGCACTCGACACCTTGCCCATTGTAGAGCCCGAGGTCACGGGTGCCGTCTGCGTGAGTGGCTGGATTTCCCACAAGCGAACCTCCGATGGTAACATCGAGCTCGTCGACTGGAAGAGACTTCGGGATCGCCGCTGCAAGAGAGCTCTTCGACGATCAGTTAGCGCCACCCTGCTGCTTCTCAGGAAAATGACCGTCCTCAGTAGTAATCTCACCCGTGCTCACCTGCCCACAGACACGGGGGATCTTCCCATCTCTGGACACTGAACCGTGTGGCGGTCGCATCGTCTGTTCTGACATCGAGAACACGTGTAGGGACTGATTGGTTGCGGAACGGAAGAACTTTTGTGCCCACCCACTCCGGCCCCGCGAGCAGGGTACGTTCTTTTCATCTTTCCATCGAGAACAGAAAAAAAAAGAACATGCCCAGCTATTGTCCAGAGGCTTAATCGGCACAGACTCCCGAATCAGATCTTATCGCCAAAAAGCTTGTCATTGGTCCTCGCCTTGGCCATGACTTGCCTCGACGACATCCTGACCCGTACAGTCTCCGTGTCGTGGACACCAGTTTACTTTCTGTACAGTATGTATCTGAGAGGGTTCTTGCCACACCAAGGGCAGAATGAAAAAGGTGCAAAATCGAGAACAAACCCAAGTGTCCCTCCCTCGCTCGGCTGTTCCATCGGTGGAGGCCTAGAGTTTCGCCTTGACCTTGTTCCCTGCATCTTCCTCCTTAGCCCTGTCCTTCAGTAATCTCCGCAGGATCTTGCCCGCTGCACTCTTTGGAATCTCGTCAATAAACCTCACGCCGCCTCGCAACCTCTTGTGATTGGCCACTTTCCCAGCCAGCCATTGCACGATCTCCTCTGCGTCCTTCTCACTGGTCTTGCTGCGATCACTGGCCACGACGTAAGCCCGAGGCACTTCGGTGTGTTGGAATTCGTCGTACACCCCAATGACGGCTACGTCGTTGATCCCAGGGTGATCCATCAGTTTGCCCTCGAGCTCGGCAGGGGGCACCTGGAATCCCTTGTATTTGATGAGTTCCTTGACTCGGTCTGTGATGTAGAAGTTGTGGTTTTCGTCCTGGAAGCCCACGTCCCCGGTCTTGAAGTAGCCGTCTTCCGTGATGGCGTCCTTGGTTGCTTGCTCGTTCTGCCAATACCCCTTGAAAACGTTTGGTCCAGACAGCCACAGCTCGCCGGCCTCACCGGGCCCAAGTTCTTTGCCATCGGGAGACATGTATTTGGCTGTCATACTTGGGAACATCTTTCCCACGCTTCCCACGGACGTGTACCATTCATCCCAGGGCTACAATAATCTGGGTTAGCGGCGAAAACAAACATCTTTCCCCATCTCGGATGGGTCCAGGGCATGCTTACCTGCGTATGTGTCATAGGAGAAGTCTCGCTCAATCCATAAGCCTGGTTGATCTTGATTTTCAGTCTTTTGTGGACTGCATCGACCAGTTCCCGAGTCAACGGAGCTGCACCGCTTGTGATCATCCTCACGCTGCTTAGGTCGTACTTGTCGACAACCTCGTCCCGAGAAAGTCGCACGATCACTGGGGGCGCAACGTAAATGAACGTGATCTTGTGCTCCTGGATCGCCTTCAAAAACACCTCGAGATTGAACGCGGGCATCACGACAAGCTCAATGCCGCGATGCAACGGCTGATGGACCAGTCCTGTGAGCCCGTAAATGTGGTAAAACGGCAGGACTCCAAGGATCTTGTCGTTCCCGCTCGAGTACCACTTGCCCATGGCTCCTTTGATCATTAGGACGTCGGCGATGATATTGCGGTGACTCAGCATAACTCCCTTCGGCAGGCCGGTCGTCCCAGAGCTGTAGACGAGGAAAGCCAGCTCCTTGTCCGGGTCCATCTTGCGCCGTCTGTAGCGGGTCGCGCCCGACGTCTTGCGGATGTTGGTCCAGTGCTTGACTCGATGGGACGGATCTCTTTTGCTGCCCAGCAATATGACGCGGTCCTCGGGGATGTTGGACTTCTTGGCCGCTTTGAGAGCCGTGGCCAGGAAATCCGTCGTCGTCACGATCGCCTTGGACCCGGAATTGGACAGCTGGAAGGAAAGCTCGTCGGCCGAATACGCGGGGTTCGCGGGCGACACGATGCCGCCAGCGAAAAAGACGCCATAGACGATCGGGGCAAAGTCGATGTCGTTGGGGGCATATATATTCAGCACGTCGCCCTTCTCCCAGTCCCAGAGGTTGCGGAGACCGGCTCCAAAAGCCGCGGCCGCTTCTTTGACATCGGCCCACGTGTAGTGCCGGGAAGAGTCCACAGCACGGTAGATAACTGTGTTTATGAGGCTTCGAGTTAACAGACAAGGATCTCAATTTCCACAAATTCAAGCGACTTTTGTCTTCACGAACCTTGGGAGTCGGGGAAGTCCCGAGGCTGCTCAAACATCAACCCCCAAAGGTCGACATTGGGGATCTGGATGTCCGGATACGGCGACTTGGTTGGCATTGTGCTCTGTGTCTCTGTCTTCCTCTCGCTATCTCTCTTGCTTTCCCTATTCGCCTTCGCACTGCTCTGCAGCTATGCTTCTCTGACAATCACGAATTAAGAAATCAGGAATTGGAGCTGCCTGGAGTATGTGTCCAAGTGATGGCCCGTCGTCGTGACCGATCTCCGACCTCCGATTCCTCGCTCTGCTGCTGCTGCTGCTGCTCCACGTACTGACGTGAGATACTCTTTCGGTTCAATATAACGCGGATTCTCGTTCGCTATATCCACACCTTTCAGTCCCGCCAGGAACAGCTAGACGATTGGGCCCAAGCCGGTTTCAAGACAAGGGAGCAGCGCTATCTGGAAGACCTTTACGAGATGGCAATTATAACAATAGGGGAGAACGTTTCAGGAGCTGTGGCCATCTTCGCATGGTTTGTGCCATGATTTGCTCCACCTCCGCAAAACCGGCGGAATTCGATATCGGAGCCTCGGCTTTTAAAAGCGGGTCTTTACCCTTTACGGAATATCACGTGCTATTTCCTTCCCCTCCGAACTTCGACCACGGCCATTGAACACAAGGAGACAGAGGGTGGTTATCAAACGACAGATACGCAGTATTCCTGATACTGATGCTGCTGCTGCTGCCACTGATATCCAAGGATTTGCTAATACGGCCTTGCATTCGTGGGTCTACCAGTGGGGCCGCGTTAAGCGGAATCCGCACTCGAGTTCCCGGCCGACTCCTTGACTTCCTCCCGACGGATTTCATCCACCACTGCGTTTGACACCGTCCAGACACGCTTCCGTAGTGCTGAAGCCGTGCAACGTCGCCGCCGCCGACTCTCGCCGAAGAGTTCCGCCGATTGGTGGCGGACAGAAGCTCACTCAAGGTCTTTTCCGGGTGGTCGCCATGCCAACTACCAGTATCCTGCCGCAGCAGTCAATGCAAATAACAGTGGCTTCGGGCTCTTAAAACAGTCTGAGAGACTTTGGATTTGTCCCTGCTGAACATTGAGATGCATGTCCTCGGGCCGATCCCTTCTTGGATTCAGTCCACAGGCGTGAGGGGCCCGCGGCCAAGTCTTCGTCCTGTCAAGGAGACTGTGCCTGCGTTTGTTATGCCCCGGAGATTCTACGTCCCAGATTTCCGATTCGCTCGGAAGACACCTACACGGTGGCTTCGGTCTGGATGTGAACTCCTCTATCTTGACTTCAAGATTGAAAATTGTGTCTTCCTTCCATGCAAGCTCTCTTTGAAGAGTCTTATTTGTCCTCTCCACCTCGTCATACTTGTGGAGAGAGACCGCAAAGACATCCTGGCTATCTATTAATCCCATTTTCTATCCCAATGCCATTGTGCTTGATTGCCCTCTATCTCTTTAATGTGCGTCGTAGTGGCTTGGAGTTCTTTTTCAAGTTCGCCTTGTTGGCTTTTGAACTGCTCGTTGCGGAAGTACAATGCTGTTTGGATGTCCTGAGAGCGAGACTCGTTTCTCTGTATCAAGATGTTGTTATTCCTTTTCACGGGCTTCGGGTTGGCATCCTTGAGTTGCCTGATCAGATCAGGGCGTGATTCCCCCATTACCACCTCAAGAGAAGCTCCAGGTGGCATTTCCCAGTGTTATACTGAGCTGTTCCGTCAGGTCGGCTTTTGCCTTCAATGTTCATGCGCACTAACGACTGAATTCCATCTCGAGTCTCGCATACGGTTTCAAAATAGGTCCCTTCTTGCTCCTTACATTTTTGTCGAGCAACTACCGGCTCTCTTTCCTTGCTTTCCGGACCTCCCTCTGATGGGGTGATCTTCTCCTGGATATTTGTAAGTCAGCTTGCGGGGATGAACCTGCAGTCCTGGAGCCTTTATACTCGAAATCCGGCAGGAGCGACTCCTGCAAACTTACGTTGTGCACTCTGGCTGATGTTGAGCAACAAACTGAGAGTGACAGCGTTGAGGGGCCACCAACTTCAATCCCTATCTTCAAGCCCGTGGAAGCTCGACAGGAACACAAGGAGAAAGGAGCTTGATACTACAGAGACAGAAAGGCTCCGCCCCAAGAATCTACGCCCAACACCGGGTGACAATACCAGGCGAAGAACCTTCTCTTCGAGCCAAACAAGGTGCCAATTGATTTTGCCCGTCCGCACCGCTACGATACTATACTACCTCGGTGATTGACTATGTGCTCAGCGGCAAGACTCAGACGCTTGGAGGAAAGCTGCGGCCCCTTGTAATGGTCCATCCAGGCTATGGTAACCACGGCAAAACTGAGAGGGTAGACAGCTGGATCATTTCATGCGCTGGAACTTGACGTCGTGGACTATGCAAAAATCAAACTGGGAGATGAGCTTTTTGGTGCAAGAGCACTGTACGCTGGCTCGACGCTTGATTCTCCGTTGAAGGACTTCTGAGCCATGCCAATGGGTATGTTAAGTTGATAACTTACCTCTTCCCCCCCGACACAGCTTTTTTAAGTCTGCTGCGTGATCGACAATCGTTATCAGTAGCGAATTTGGCTGCAGGAGCCATGTGTCGATGTGCAAGTTTAACTGCATAGGAAGGACACGATCACATGGGAATTTGAAGGGTGATAGCAGCGGTCCCAGCATGATGCCCAGCGAACACACATGTTTCCCAGGTGTGTCGGATGGCCGGCAGATGACCGATTGTCCACCGAATATGAGAGGAGGTGAGGTTGTTGCCGCTTTGAATATCGCACAGGATGTTGAAGAAGAATAGATATAGAGTTATGACTTGAATATGAGTACGAGCATCATCAGCACAAGCACAAGCATGGTATGTAATAGTCGGCCCTCGTTGAATGTGGTTGTGGTCCGAAGAGCCGAGGCAGCGTTATTCGGCGGCTGACCTCCCCCCTTGCTACCCGGCGTCGCGCTTTAAGGTCGTCACTTTCACCCTGAGTTGCACTCCGAATGCCCCATCATTTTTGACCTTCTTATCTGCCAGAAGGCCTAGAGGCATCCCAAAGGGCATCACCATCATGGTAGCGGACGCCCTCGTCTATCACCCTGCGGTGACCCATTACCTGCGATATATTGCGACAACCGGTGAGTTGGTACAATGTCGGGCTCACCGAGTGCCTCACTTAATCTGACCTTCTATCTTCGCAGTCGGTCGTGACAAGGTCCTCCGAACGATCCAGTACTTCAGCAGATTCTACGCCTGGTACTTGTATCGCACCAACAATCCGACAAGCGCCATCCTGCCATGGACCACGGTCAAGAATCAATTTGGGTTGACGAGGAAGATCCTGCGTGTTGGGAAATTCGTCGAGCACATTCGGGCTGGGTCCGAACTATACGATGCGGCCATCAAGTCAGGCAACGGGGACAAGATCGTACAATATCTGCAGGTTCTGAGGCAGATTGGGTACGCCGGCTATATGTTCTTTGATATGATGACGCTGTTGGACGCAATGGGAGTCAAGAAGGATCCTCGGGCGAAGAACATCCAGGCCACGGCATACAAATTCTGGTTCACAGGCCTGGTCGCCAGCGCCCTCGCCGGGGTCTACAACACTTACAAGTTGAGGGAACGCGCCAAGAGCGTCGACGAGAAGGACGCCGAAGCCAAGCTGGAGAAGGTCAAGATTGCCAGGTACGTCGCAGACCCATGCTCTCACTCCCCGTCCTGCTTTGGGATGTACACACTGACTCCTAGACCTAGACAACAACAAGCCGTCAATATCCAGCTGGTTTCAGACCTCTGCGACCTTACAGTGCCGAGCACGATGCTTGGATACACCAATCTTGACGATGGCATCATTGGTCTGGCGGGGGTGACCAGCAGTCTGCTCGGGTTGTATGGAGCATGGCAGAAAACCGCCTGATGTCTCATGACGTGAGGGTCAAGCAGACTCGTTACAAGGTTATCTACTGCCTGGATTCTCGCGCAAAGCCTGCAGGTGTCTTGGAGGATGATTTGGCAGCTCTCGGACAGATGGGTTGAGGCCTTGCAAAGTGGAGATTTGAGTCCCCAATATAGATATTGATCGATGTTCCTACGGCAGAGGTTGGTCATGGTAAAGCTCGAATGATGTAGTCGTTCCTCAGCATTACTCTGCTATATTATGGCAGAGGAACAACGGTTGGATAATTGTTTGTGCTTTCCCTCTCCGGGCCCTGGCTCGACAGACTTGTGCCGCTGCGTTTTGCCCTGATCAGCATTTGGTAATGTCTTTAACATCTTGACGTATGCACGGAGCTCCTCCTCTCCTCTCCTCTTCCTGCTCCTCTTTCAGAGTTATTTGTCATTGGATGACGGTGACGGTTCACACCGGAACTTCATATTCGATTGGCGCCAAAACACAGAGGCGTAACAGACACGCTGACGCAGGGAGAAAACCAGCGAGGCACACAGCCATTCAACAGCAGCTGTGCTGGGCAAAGGGGGGCGAGATTGGCGGGGGTCAAAGGAACATCACGAGAGGCGAAAGAGTGAGAGGAGGACTAAGCCCTCTGCAGAACTCAGGTCTCGCCTCCACCTCAATTGCAGCTGTCTTCCGTCGCCCTCCCGCCATCCTCTTCCTTTCCCTCCCCTTCTCGAAATCTCGACCAGCACGATAATAAGAAGGGTATTTCATTCCATTATCGCATGCTCCGCATCTGTGGCATTGATCTCCAATTAGTACAACACGGCACATCGACGGCACTTGGCCTCTTCCAATCAGCAGGCATCGGGCAGAGTCGGACTGACTGTGTACGCAAAAGCTCCTCGTCGCCCTCCGATCTCTCCCGTGAGTTCATCGGGAATAGCACTTCACTTCGGCTTGGCCCCAGCGTCAGAAAGATACAATATCAGGTCGATCCCCAAGTCATGGCTGCCGACTATTCTACTCGTCTCCAAGCTGTTCACCAGATCAGGCCTCACTCGCCTTCTCCAGCAACTGGCACAGCACGTTCAGAATTAGCCAAAGTCCAGCTTCGAGCCTTTTCCTCCAGGATGGTTTCCCACTCTGTCAACAAAACGGCTCTCCACCCCGGTGGTGTCGAGTAAGTTTGTCGTCATCTTGACGCCCAAGTCTTTTTGAGATCAACCTCAACTCACATCAACTTCAGGCCGACCCGCGAGCACACCGAGCTCGAAGAGGAGCTCCACACCACTGCTCACATTGACTACGACCGTGTGGCCATTGTGGCCAATCCATCAGTGTCTGCTCTCTACGAAGATGCCCTGGTCTACGAAACCGGCACAGCCATTACATCCTCAGGAGCTTTGACAGCCTACTCAGGCTCCAAGACCGGTCGTTCCCCGCTGGATAAGCGTGTGGTCAAGGAAGAAAGCTCGGAGAAGGATATCTGGTGGGGGCCCGTCAACAAGCCCATGACTCCAGAGGTCAGTATTGCCATCGTTTTCCTCATCTTCTATCCCTTGTATATTGCACGTCGTGTTCCACCTAAATCCGAAAGACCAAGCACATGCCCTAGCACACCTACGAGTCGTATGATCTCGGTCAGGAGCGAGCAGCTTGACCTGCCAACACCCAGCACTTCCCCGCAATGCACGGTGATGTATTGGTTCGCATGTGCGCTACGGACGGCAGGAAACACGACTTTTCTCAGCTGGAATGTGGCTCTGCCCCGCGTTGCCCGGAAAAGCCCAGTGACGCAGCAGTTGGGGCTTGTGCCGCGGCTAACGATTCTTGGCTGCGGATGACTCGGCCAGCCCAAGTCATGGCGCTGGAAATGTTTCCGTTCTTTGTACTGGTGCTTCGGTGCCCCACCACGTGTTGAATACCAGTTGTCCAAGAGAGATGGTGCTAACATATGGTGTGCTCTCTAGGTCTGGAAGATCAACCGAGAACGTGCTGTCGACTACCTCAACACCCGAAACCGCATCTATGTTATCGATGGCTTCGCCGGCTGGGATGAACGATACCGCATCAGCGTCCGAGTTGTCTGCGCCCGGGCCTATCATGCCCTGTTCATGCGGAATATGCTCATCAGACCCTCCCGTGAAGAGCTGCAACATTTCCATCCCGACTATGTCATTTACAATGCCGGATCCTTCCCCGCCAACAGATACACGAGTGGCATGACCAGTGCCACCAGCGTTGCCATCAACTTCGCTGAGAAAGAGATGGTTATCCTCGGCACTGAATATGCTGGTGAGATGAAGAAGGGTGTCTTCACCGTTCTCTTCTACGAGATGCCCGTCAAGCACAACGTCTTGACCCTGCACTCCTCGGCCAATGAGGGCGAGAAGGGCGATGTGACTGTCTTCTTCGGCTTGTCCGGCACTGGCAAGACCACACTGTCGGCCGATCCCAACCGCAAGCTGATCGGTGATGACGAACACTGCTGGTCCGACAAGGGTGTCTTCAACATCGAAGGAGGGTGCTACGCCAAGTGCATCGGTCTGTCGGCCGAGAAGGAACCAGATATCTTCAATGCCATTCGCTTTGGTTCTGTTTTGGAGAACGTCGTCTTTGACCCTGAGACCCGTGAGGTGGACTACGATGATGCGACCCTGACGGAGAACACCCGTTGCGCATATCCTATCGAATACATCAGCAACGCAAAGATCCCGTGTATCAGCGACAACCATCCTAGCAACATCATCCTGTTGACCTGCGACGCTCGTGGTGTGCTACCACCCATCTCCAAACTGAACACGGCCCAGACTATGTTCCATTTCATCTCTGGCTACACGTCCAAGATGGCTGGTACCGAAGATGGTGTCACCGAGCCCCAGGCTACGTTCTCATCCTGCTTTGCTCAACCTTTCTTGGCCCTGCACCCGATGCGCTATGCTAAGATGCTTGCCGACAAGATCTCTCAACACAATGTCAACGCGTGGCTGCTCAACACCGGTTGGGTCGGTGCTGGTGCTACCACTGGTGGCAAGCGTTGCCCACTGAAGTACACTCGTGCTATCCTGGACGCCATCCACTCCGGAGAGCTCGCCAAGGTCGAGTATGAGACCTATGATGTTTTCAACCTCAGCGTGCCCAAGACATGCCCCAACGTGCCGGACGAGCTTTTGAACCCCAAGAAGTCGTGGACCGGCTCCGCCGACTTCAGCGACGAGGTGACCAAACTCGCGAAATTGTTCAATGAGAACTTCAAGAAGTACTCTGATGAGGCCACCGAGGAGGTTATCAAGGCGGGCCCCACCGTGTAGATGGAGCGAAGCCGTGCGCAGTGAAGCGAGCTGTGGTTGAGCTGGACGTACTGTGTTTTGATTTCTCACTTTGGGGAAATTTTGGCTGTACAAAGTGGCATTGAAAGGGCGTTTGGATAAGCAGCGTTCGATTGTTTGGAGCAGGGCAAAACAACAATACGAACGCAAGACGCGAGAGGCATCACGATTTCAACGAACGGACAAGATTTATGACGGCCGTCCTCCCACCCCGCTGCCACTGCCGCCGTTGCGGCCTTGCAGACGCGCAGGGGTAGGGAGTCGACTGGCCTCCATTATATGCCTGCTACAGTAGCTCAGAGATGGATGATCATTTTCCTACGACAACCATGTGTTGATAGCTTTCCTTGATTAAACCCCCCAAAAATAAAAGGAGCTTTTTTGTCAGTCCGACATCTCCACCATAGACACCCTCAAAACTGCGAGTCCACGTGCCACGGCTGTCCTCATACAGTCACTTAATCCGCTTGATTGTTACATGTACGGACGGTTGTCAGGAACCTGGACAGGGAAACAATGGGGTACATAGATGATGATGACTGCGATTTCATGCCCGTATGAGGACAAAGTGCCTGAGGAAAGTAGCCGCCAGTGAGAAGGGAGCATGAGGGCCCCTCACAACGGGATTCCGAGAGACTGATGGGGAAGTTACAACAACGAATCCTGTGATCCTGTCCCGTTCATCTTCATCGCGCATGAGGGATGATCAAGGTAATTCTCCGGGTCTTTGTTCTTCTGGTGGAGATTCTGACCATTCATTTACCGTCAACCTGAATGGGTAGTGTCTCGTGCACCCCCGTGGCGAGCCACAGCAGAACAACTGGACCCGGGCGTCCTAAACTGCCAGAGTACGCCATGTCACGGGGCGAAAGCGACGTGCTGCGAACTCCAGATGCGCATAGGTGAGGATCCTCGGCCGTTGGCGGGTGGGTGCCCGAGTCGAGGAATGTTGCAATGGGCAGGCAAAGCCCGGAAAGGCACTCGGGCAATAGCTACCTAGCTGCTGTAGCCTCACCGAGTGCCCGTCGGTTAAGACGGGCTTCACGGGCATTGGTGAAGGGAGGGGAGTGGCAGTGCAGTGACCCGAGGTTGCCCAAGAAAATCTCCAACAAGGCCAAAAGGGACTCCAGGAGCCCTGGGTGAGGGGCAGCGATGAGGGTGCAGGAGGGCGCCCACCCTGTTTGAACGAGGCCTTCTAGGTGGCCTCTGCCTCTAAGTCAGTCGTTAGTACGGGCGCACGGGGGATAACTATAGTAATGCAACGGCATTCGTGCTTCCTAAGGTACCGGCACATGCCATGCACCCACTGACCATGAACTCGACAGCAACTTACCAAAGAAACTTAGTTACGGGTTACTAAGAGATTCCCTTGCATGCCATCCACCTCGATCACCTGCGAATTCTGTGGTCCACCAAACTCGAATCGAAAAATCCACTGATCAACCTTGTAACGAAATCCCACTCCACTGGCTCCGGCTTCCAGGGCTTCCAGGGCCCCCAAAGCGCTTCCACAGGGTGGAAACCCGCGGCCACGCCGCCTTTCTTCTTGCGCTTTTCTCGAATTTTGTCAGTCCTTCCGCTCATCCTCTTTCAAACACATCCATCCTCACCCACTCCCTCTCTTTGTTTCTACAACACTCCTCTCCATCAGCAACGAGCACAAACAGCATCCCCTTTTGCTGAACAACACCACAACCTCGAACCATGGCCGATCCCGACCCATATTAGCTTCCCCTGCTCGCCCTGCCAATCTTTCCTTTTTTCCCTGTCCACACTTCCGGCGTCAGGCGGTTCTTTCTCGAAGTTCTTTCGGATCCTATCCCAGGAACCCTTCCGCACCCATCCTTAGTCTTGCCGACAACGTCCACCCTTGCACCTTCTGGCGTTTGATATTCACCAGATCTTTCCTTTGCCATACATCCTTGGGAGGCGTACCCATCAGGATCCTCTATACCGTTGTATCCGACGTGGTCGGTGACAGTCCCCTTGCCCCGCCGCCTCGAGAAATTGTCCTCTACCCGACTGCCGCGCTCCCGGCGTCCTCCTGCTTCTTTTTCTGAGGTAGACCTTCTCACCTCCGCGACGAATCCTGTCCGAATCGACCGAGACTCCGGACAGCCTGGACAACCAGAATGCTCATCAACGGGGAGAAATTCGCCTGCGAGGCCTGCGTGAGGGGCCATCGTGTTAGTTCTTGCCACCATCAAGGTGAGTTGGCTTGATCTCTTCGCGAATTCTTAGCAAGGTTATCGGACTCGCAACTAACCCTGTGTTTTCTCCAGACCGCCCCCTGGTGCATGTTAACAAGAAAGGTCGCCCGGTATCACAATGCCAACACTGCCGAGGCCTGCGCAAGTCCCGCGCTCAGCATGTCAAATGCGAGTGTCATGATAAGTCTCATTCGAAGGAAAACTGTCCTCATGAGAAGCAAGAAGGGAAATCCGGTATGTGCATATCTTGTTTAAGAAAAGATCATGGGCCTGATGCCCTCCCCAGATCAGCAAAGTTGCTGCTGCCAGCACGGGTCGCGGTGCACCTGCGCTCTCAAGAAAGACCACCTCGACCCGGTCCCTGAAGACATCTCGCAACTCCACCATGCGAAGGATCATGCGAAACACCGCCATAACATGAACTCCCATGACCCCAAAACGACGATATTCACCAACGGGCATCACAAGCCAGTTCACAAGTTCAATGATGCTCACAACCAGCTCGGAACCCCATATAAGATCCCATCGCGCTCGAACTCGCTTCATGGCCACAGGGAGATTGCTCAGCGTTCCACCGACAGTCTTCCGCTGACCAAGTTCGCCAAACCTTTCCACGAATCGCCCCTCCATAACTCGATAACAGAGGCTATGCAAATTGTGGAACGGAAGGTCAAGTCAGAACACAATTCGCCCGTGCTCGGACCAACAAGAATGGGAGGGCATTCGTCAATACAGGACTTCAAGATACCCAATTTCGACCCCCGCGCGTATGCATATTCGCCGTTTGGCACAGATACACCGCCAACCCAGCCAAACAGCTTACAAAACAGCCAAAACCCAAGTCTGCAAGATCTGACACTCCCAGAGCGGTTTCCGGAGAACTGGTTCATGACCTATGAACAAGCTCATGATTACGAGCCCCCACCGTGGGCAAGGTTCAACGACACCTCTTCCACCGACTGGAACAACTTGAACCTAGATGGCGGTAATGGTTTCTACAGCCTGAAAAAGGAAAACTCGCCGTACATGTTGTCCCAGCAAGCTGCTTTCCAGGCTTCTGAGCTGACGAGCCAAATCAATCAAGTGGGGATTACATCCTCGAGCGAAGAGCCTTCGGAGGTCGAGGATCAATCTCCTCCATCCATCGCCAACCCGTGGGGTGCCGAACGGTCACTAGCAAATGATCGACAGACTGGTCTGGACGCGTTTAACGATTACAGCAGCGTCGGCGGAGATGACGCCTCTGATCGGTTCCGGCTCAGTTCAGCCTCGTCTTACTTTGGGACGCCTCAAGCAAACATGCTGGCCAATGACAACCTCGGGAGTCTCGACATTGACGATTATCTGAAGCAGGCGGAAGCGGAGACGAAAAGAATGCAAATGCAACATCAGTTGGCGCAGATGCAGATGAACCCGCAAGAGTCCCAAACCCCGTCGCGATTATCGAGTGTCAGCAGAGGTATAACACCCAGCATTTCTACACCAGGAAGCACTGGCAACGGCGAGCATCCATACACCATCCGTGAGGCACAGAGATATGCACATCCTGATGGGGTAGCGAATGTTTCCGTGGAGCAGCCCAGAGCTGCAATGCCGCCGTCGTATCTGACAGATGATCCGGCGTGGTCAGTAGCGCCTGATATGAGCCACCCGGAACTGGTCCTGGACGACGAACGAGAAGATGAGGACTGGGTTCGGTAGCACTTGCTGAAGGAACCCTCTTTTTACATTCCTGCACAAAGACAGATCAATATCAAAGCACCAGACACCCCAAGTTATGATTTATGAAAATGCAGCTTTACGTACCTCGGATGATACCATGGGCTTTCTGGATAAACCAAAGAATCAGATTTTGAGTCGGCGAAAGCTCGGGCTGGAGTGGCCCAGAGCGGACTGAAATGGATTGGATAGGACTGGATTGGGTTGAGTTTTCGCTGCACATAATCGGTTTTTCCTTTTTCTCTTTGGCAAACGGCGGTGTCGATGTGTGGAGCGCGCTATTTCCTGGCGCCTCTGTGGGAGTCTACGCACATGCCGTTGCGGTTGTTAAGGACCACCTTGTTGCATGCCTTTTACTTCCCCTTCTGGGTCGAAGTCGAGTGTGGTCGCTTCTTCGCTGAATTGCGAATTGTCTTTCTGGGTTGGCCCAGGAGCGGGCGTGGCATTAGATGGTGATTGAGCTTTGGGCTGGGACAATGCAATATAGAATCAGCTTGCTGTGTTTTCAATGAAAGCTTTCTGTGTTGCTTTACGTGTCAATGGCTTCATGGCGAATAATGCTCAACTGTGTTTCCTGTAATGTGGGGAATTTACAACGTGCCGTTCTCTTATATCCTTTAGAAGCGAACGACAGGCCGCATGATCAAGTCAAGCCAGTGCAACGGGGAATTTGATGTTGGCTGGTGCCGACAAGCAGAAGATGCTGGTTGATAGCCGTGATCGGAACAATTATACTCCGGAGACGACTTTGCCGAGGCCAAGATCTTCCGGGAGCCGCTAGTGAGGATAGAATACTTGTGATTGGCTTTGGGGAAACCTTAGGGTTGGCCATCCCTGCCCGACGAATTCGTTGATGACTCGTCGCCTTTTCTCTCGTTCACCGAATTTAGGGCATTCAGCCTTAATGCTTTGCACACGCTCTCAATACTTTGCACTCTCTGTGGAACTTTACCCCCCCGAATCGTCCTATAACAGCTCATTACCGTTTCCGGCAGCCAGTACCTCCCTCCAGCCACGTTCCTCGGCTTTTTATACGAGCAACCTCAAGAGGGACTGATTCAGTGTTGCGCGTGATGACAGTCCAGCAAGGCTGCCGATGAGTCGCGCTGTCAACCACCTTTGTCTGAACCCCTCTTGTCACCTTCTCTCCAGCTCCTGCCCTGACCTGGTGATTGAGTAAGCGAACTACTTTGTCAGCCTGTCTAGAAAGACCCGAAGTTGTAAGCTTGGGTTTCTGGTGGCTTGGCCGATAAGGACGCGGTTCATGTAACTCAGCCGCCACCATGAAACTGTATGCCATTTCAGATCTCCATCTCAGCTACAGGCACAACCGCGAAGCTCTATGCGACCTTAAACCTCACTTGGACGACAGCCTGATCATCTGTGGCGATGTTGGAGAGAAGATCGAACACCTCCACGAGGCCTTTAAGCTCACGACGAAACTCTTCAAGCAGGTCTTCTGGGTGCCCGGCAATCACGAGCTGTACACGCTGCCGGGACATCGCAACCCCGTCGAGGGACACGAAGAGGACGTCCTCGACGAGGAACTCCGCGGAGACTTCAAGTATCAAGAATGTCTCCGGGTCGCCAACGAGTACGGCGTCATCACCCCCGAGGACGAGTACGTGAAGTGGGAAGGAGAAGGCGGGCCCTGCATCATCTGCCCCATGTTTACGCTTTACGACTACAGTTTCCGGCCCGACGACGTGTCGAGAGCAGACGCGTTGGAATGGGCCATGGAGGAGAACATCGTGGCGACGGACGAAGCCCTCCTCCACCCGGACCCGTACGAGTCGCGCGATCTGTGGTGCCAGGAGCTCGTTTCCAAGGCCGAGGAACGACTGGAAGCCACCTCTCGACGAGGCATCCCCCTGGTGCTGGTCAACCACTGGCCGCTGCGCCAAGACACCATCACGATTCCCATGATTCCCCGCTTCAGCCTCTGGTGCGGCACCAAAAAGACCGAAGACTGGCACCGGCGGTTCAACGCCAAAGTTGTGGTGACGGGCCATCTGCACGTTCGCCGGACGGATTGGCGAGACGGAGTGAGATTCGAGGAGGTCAGCCTGGGATATCCCAGGCAGTGGCAGATTGCACGCGAGAAAGGGTTGGACATTAACGACCTGCTGAGGGAGATTTTGCCGGCACCAGACATGCAGGATCCCGGTGACGGCAAGACCATCTGGAGACGATCGGGGCGGCCGTCCATAGATCTTGTCAAGAGCATCAAGGGGCTGGATTGAGGGTCAGCGACGGATGGACAGCCCCCGCCTGGTTTTTTTCTTAAACACCAAGACTGCGCAGCGCTTTTTTGGCGTCTCAAGTACATGTGTGGGAAGCTGAGTCAGGCTCCTCTGGCTCTCCTTGAACACTTCCCGTCTTTTCTTTTTTTTTTGTTTTTGGTCACTATTACGGGACTTCTGAGCAGGTTTGGGGCGGCGTTGGGGAGCCATTGCACAGATTACGCGCTCCGCATTTTACCACGTTCCCAGGCGTTTCAACCATATATATACCCTGTGCCAGTCTGGTAGAGAGCACAGATGGCTAGGGCTAGACGTGTGGGCTCATGATGGAATCTGCTTTTAGGGGGTCAAGCTGCTGGGGGTTGAACCAACGACGAGGCAGTCATTGTTTTGCTGTATCTGCGGCTGTAGTCGGTCTACTTCAGTTGGGGTCAGGCTGCTGAGCGTGGCCATGTTCCTCCTCTTTCTCTTTCTTCCTTCCCTCCTCCTTCATCCTTTCCTTCATCCTTTCCTTCATCTCTTCGTGCTGTGCTGCGGGAGTTCAACCACCCCATCCATCCCCGTCCTGTCTCCTCCTCTCCTCCCCTGGCCCCTCCTCTCCACCGTCTTCGGTAAGAGAAAGATCGACGGTCGCAATCACTTCTTCTTGGCCTGGTACTCCTTCTCCGAGACCTCTTCGTGCCAGACAGTCTTCCCGTGGCTGACGGCGAGATGGAGCATGAAGGTGCCGTCGTCGCCGCCGTGCCAGTGGGTGGTGCCGGGGTCGCACCAGACGGTGTCGCCGACGCTCAGCCGGCGCGGCTCGCCGCCCTTGTCGCACACCCACCCGGCGCCCGCCAGCACGCGCAGCAGCTGGCCCTTCTCGTGCGTGTGCCAGTAGGTGCGCGCTCCCGGCGTGAACATGACGTGGTTGATGTTGATGTTCGGCCCCGCGTCGCTGTAGATCGGGTCCATCCACACCGTGCCCGTGAACGTGCCGCTGGCCTGTCGGCTCGAGGCCGTGGCGTTGCGGGACGAGGGGATGATGGTGGATGGCATTGTTGGTGTTGGTGTTGGTGTTGTTGTTTATTCTTCACAGGGAGGGATGTGCTGGGGATTGTGATGGTCTTGATGGGGGTCGATATAATATCAACCTTGTTTACTCCTCGCTGGGTTGCTCTGTCTGCTCTGGTCGGTCAAATTCTCTTTACCAAGGGTATAAGGAGCAGTACAATGTTCAGAACATCGTCTCCAACTCTGCGAGAAAGCATATACGAGGAGGCAATTACCCGCGGGCACTTTGCTCTTCCCCTCAGGCAGGAATTGGAGTTTTTCTCAGTCGTCGGACTCAACTCACAACAATCTCCAGCCCAAACGACCGCTCCTCCCGCAGCCGCCGCCGATATCGAAGCGATGATGGGACCTTTTTCTCCAAAGCATGGAGTATCGCCCATCATCCCCCTTTCCTACGTACCTTCTCCCTCTCTCCGTCTCTCTCTCTCTCTCTCACTCCCCCCACACTCTGACTCTCGCACCCATCGAACACTTGCCCTTTGCGGAACTCGATGAGCCGGCCGGGGGCCCAACCTCAGCTTCGCGTTGTCGAGACGCGACCTAGGGTTCAGCCGCAACAACGGCTCCCCTTTCCCGCTACTACGAACCATGCATTCCCAGGGAGAAGCGGAGGGAGAAAAAAAAGAAAGAGACTTTTGCGGCTGGAAAGCTTCCATCTGCGCTTGAATCCCCCTTTTCTCTCGTATAACTAACTCCCCTTTTGTTTTCACGCGGACCATACATTCAGTACGAGGAACACACCAACGAATCGGAATGTGTGCTGGTTCGCTTGCAGTGCCCTGCAAAGGAGAGAGCGTAGGTCGTATCTGTCGATTCTCAGGTTGACGGTTTCCCCTTCTACCCGTGCTGCTGAGCGATAATATGTGCCGTGTGTACGACGGCTGTGAGAGCGAGAAAGGGAGCAGGAGCCCTGGATGGCTTGTCCTGTGACATGCATATATATATATATATTCATACTGCCAGCTCGTCACGGCGGCTGTGGTTGTCAAACATCTCCCTGCCCTGTGTCCAAGAACCACCACCCGACGTCCAGCAAACCTATAGCACTGTCACATTGAGATAGGTCTCTTCTTTTGCTTTGCTTTGCCTTACATTTCATTGCATTACATTGCATCGAACCACCCACCTCGCTCAGCCATGACTTCCACCTCGCCCCCAGAACACCGCAACCTGGTGCCCATCAACAACTTCGTCTCGTCCACGGGCAAGGACGGCTCCCTCATGGTCACCGACATCTACATCTTCCCGGACAGGCTGGCCGAGTACGTCGCACTGGTGACCCCTGTGGTGCACAAGATGCGCGCCATGCCCGAGTGCCTCTTCTGCGAGATCTCCCAGGACCCCACAGACCCGGCGCACATCCGCATCCAGCACAGCTGGACCAAGGGGACGGATTGGTTCACGGAGGTGAGTGGTGCTATTTTTCCTTCCCTTCCCTTTTTCTCCTTGTCTTGTGTGCAGTCTCATGGTTGAGAAATGTTGTGGAGGGAAGACGAGGCGCGAGGAAGATGAGTGACAAGGGAATAAGAGACCGTGGACTATCCCGCAAGCCGAATGAAGATATTGTTTCATCCCACAGTCCGCTGACCAAAGCTAACCAATTGTTCGAGGGGCGGGGTGGGAAAAAACACCTCTTCCCTCAACGACTGTAACAGGCCTGCGAATCCCAACAATGGTTTGCCGACTACGTCAAAGGACTCGCCAGCATCGCCGACAAGAGCAGAGGCCGTAAGTTTGTTTCCCCCTGTTATCCTTGTGCAATGAATCTCCCTGCAAGGAGACAAACGAGACCAAAAGGAGCAGCATCTCTCACCTTCCTCCCATCTGCCGCCCCCCCATATATCAATGGGACAAAACTTGCAGCCCTTCTTTTTCTTTGGTTGACTAACCTTTGTTCTGGCTCTGCTTAGGAAGCGTTCAGCATTACAATCGCATCCCAATCAATTGAGGCCCGAGATAGGGGGGAAGGCGACGCTGGGAGCATAGCATTCGAGCACCTTCAGGGGCAAAATGTTTGGCCATGTGATGGACCACCATCTCATCCAGCCGTCCATCCATTGCACGCGGAGATTGGGGGAAAAGAGACGGAGATATTTGACCTGGCTGGTCTTGCGTCCGGCCAGGCTCGTAGAGAAGGAAAAGAGGGTGTTGCGACATACGCTGGAATGAATTGCCGGGACTGAACATAATAATGATGTCGATTGTCTGTTCCAGGTAGGAGTGACAGTGTCTTGGGTGTCAATTCGATTGCACATCAGACAGTCTACTTTCGTGACCAGCTTCCACCGTAGCGGATGAACTCCTGCCCACCCACCGTCGTGTTCCTATCCCTGTCGATAAGTGCAGGTACGGTCCACTTACCTGTTTGCGTCGTCCACCTCACCTTGGCCTTAATTCCCGCATTGGGGAGCATCGAGGAAGCTCACGACCCTTCCCAAGCAACCCCGAGAACATCTCGCGTGGGTCACCCTGGGAATCGAAAGACAGTGTGATTTTGGAGCCGGCTTCACTTCTGTCACACATGTAAGGTAGAGTGCAATGGCCATAACTTTCTCACATCACGGGACGAGACCAGAGTGACGCGGTGGGAGACGACCGTCAAGAGCTCGAGTCGAGTTCAAGTCTTCCAGACACGCCTACTCAACCGTAGGCTTGGAAACAGCCCCGTTGCTGACAGATATCTGTCGGAATGAGTAGCAGGCATAGACTGCCCATGCTCTTGCGGACCGCTTTTTGTTTTATGTTGACCCTTCCAGGTGGCCATGAACCTCTTTGTATCCCTCGTCCATGTCAAACACAATGGTCGTTAGCTTGCTCACAAATCTGCTGACATGCAAGGGGTTCTCGGAAGGCTGTTTCAGGCTTTCGAGGATGAAGTGTTGTTGGTTTGTGGTATGGATGTCCCAGGTACGTCGAATTGGGACTATGCGGCCTCTGTGTAGATGACAATGGCGAAAGAACATCAGGGCTGTAAGATGACCAAGTACCGCAGCATCGCGCAACTAGATCACGGTCATTGGTCCGCCTCCCCATTGGAACAGCCTACCAGGCGGCCTCTTCCTCTGCGTGACGGACTGCGCCGTATGAACTGATGCTATGCTTTGGTGCAATAGCGATGCTTCCCCTGACCATGATCACCTGGCGAGAAGTGGGAAATCGTGCACGTCACGTACATAGCGGCTATTCGTCGAATAGCTTGACGTTCATTGATCGCTCACCGTCGCTCTCACATTTGTGGTCCTGCTCTTGAATTCATTATACAGAAGTATTGCCAGTTCCCAGCACCCACCCTTGTGTGCTTCTCAAGAAGAGGACATTCGTTTGATCGTGCTCGGAGGTCCAAGCTGGAATGAGGCCGCAGAACGCATCAATGAAAATCGAGAGAGGGTCCGAGCAGGTACGCATTCGCTCCGTAAAACTTTGCGGCCTCGAGGGCATCCTGTGAGGGCAGTCTCTGAGATGCAGGACCAAGGACTCGGTCCGCATTGAAGTGTCTTCTTAAAACACACGGTTGGAACACAAAGCGAACAGAAGCAAATGCAAACATCATGGCCGGAACACAAAGGCCACTAATTACAACGCTTCAAGTTGGTTTCAAAGAGGCGGTGAAAGTAAACGGAGAGGGACGGAGCCAAAGCGGGCTAGATCGCTAGAGTACCAACAATGAAACAGGAAGAAGGTTTCGAAACTTAGAAGAAGCTGCTGAATGTCTTCTGTGAAAGTTACCGGTTCCCTGGTCCAGCATGCACGGACTAGACAAGGGCACTACGTGAAGTGACCTGTGGTGTCACTCCACAAAATCCGTAGAGCGGTATGGGCGGTCGCCGTCGACCCATAGCGGACTCCTCCAGCAGCGAACAGCTTGGAAGATCAAAACATCATTGGTGAAGAGTTCCAAACACGGATATCCACTTCTTCGGGGGGAAGTGAGTGGTGGCCGGATGAGATGGCACGCCAATGGTGAGAAATGTGCACTCGGCGCCGTCCTGGAATGTGGTACCGAACAGCGACCGGCTTGCTGCGCATGACACAAGACTAGTAGTGTAGAATAACTTCGTGCCTCAAATGTGAGATATCTTCCCGTTCTCCTTTGTCGGGCGGTCCCAGCTTCTGGCAATCAATTCTCGATCCTTGCAGGGTAAGGTATTGAACGAGGAAACCTGCAGCGTCAAACGGTCCAATCACTGCCATCCAGGAATGGCTGACTTTCGATGACCTTACCTGGCTTGACTTACTTTCTGAAAGGGATGGAGGAGGTTGACAGAGCTGGAGTGACATGGCAGAGAGCAGCGGGCACCACAAAACCCAAGACCGTGGTCGGCGCGCAACATTTTTCCGGCCACGTCGCACAGCAGCCAGCTTTGCCAAAGCTTGGGGAGAGCGTGTTCCAGTGTGTATTGTTCTTCTCTTTCCACTGGGCCGCCCTCCAGCGAGACCAAGAGCCCGGTACCCCATGTTGGGCAGCAATCCGTGGGGCAGAGCACAGCTAATCGTGATCAGGTGAATATCAGGACGTCTCGACCGGCTGACCGTCCCAAAGGAGGTGATCCACATACGGGGCCAGGAGAGGCTCAGGAATGTGATATGAAGACAGAGTTGTGACGGCAAAGACGTGGCTCTCCTGGACGTTGGGCTGCCAGGTCCAAGTGCACGCTCTTCCGGCGATGGGCGCACCCAGGCAGGTCGGGAGGCGCACAGAGGGCTGTGAAGGACTGTACAGGAATGTGCTGACAGGCGAGTGGGATGGGCCATTCCACATCAGGGCCAACAAGTCTGGGGCGGAGTCACAGGAAAGAGTCTTTCAGTGAAGCAACAAACCCAAGAGTGTAGGTGAGTGAGGTGAGGATAGGAAAAGTTCTGTGCAGCCGCCCGCAGGTACGAGGCAGCAGTAGTCGAGGCGATCCGATCCCCTTTTCTCTCGGCACAAACACCGGGAACCACACACACCAATTACTCCAGCTGTCTTCATCGTCCGCAGCTTCAAAGGCATCACGTCGGTATTGGCTGCTTCTTCTATGTTTCCCTTGATGCCGGGCCTTGTTCCAAGCAGCTGATTGATTCTCATCAGACCTAGGAAATCTGCCTCGCCATACAATCCACCCTGGCCATGGTTCAAGTCTTCCTCCCTCGTCCCGTTTGAATGCTCAAGCGAAAAGGCAGCCGCTATCCTCGCCCTGTGAAGCTTATTGCAATACTCCTGTTGGTCGCTTTGCATTGGGCGAGGCAGCACTGCACTGTCGATCTACTCTGGCACTCCTTTCTTTGCTCTCACACCGCTATTCAGGCTCGGCTCATCTCGTGATTCAGGATTCATACCGTACCCTCATGTTGCAGATCGATGCGACCAGTCCAACATAATTCCCTCATTCCGTTGACCAAGGACATTTCGAATTCCAAGCCCCCCGATGCCCAAAAGATGGCAGTGTCCAGAGGGCTTTGCTATCAGGGACATTCTCTCGAGAGTGCCCATCCCAGCTGGCGGAGAGATTGCTACTTGGAGCATGGTGACTCTTCCTGGCAGAGGCCAATGATAGAGCACTCTTGCTGATGGAAAGGTGACAAGTCGGGATCACCAGAACTAGTATATATTCCGGGCCAGGCCGACACTGCCTGCCGTCACTATTTACCTGTCCTTTCCAGAATCAGCGACAAAATGCCACCGTTACGCAACGTCGATCGCCCTGGCGCGTCAAGTGACACTGGAAACCATAGTTCCCCGTTTGGTGATGATGGACAACATCGACTTGACCCATATACAGAAGGCCAGAAGCCTGCTCCACTTCAATCTTCTTGCTCATCATCTCCTACTCTGGAAACAAAAGCAAAGGACTCGGTCATTTCCACTCTCACTTCACAAGAGCCGCACCAGCATGATCAGCGTCAGAGTGAGCGGAAACCTCTCGTGGACAAACGACCAAAATATACTAACGTTCGCAGGAACTCCATCCATCGGCGAAGACCCCTCCCACGATCCTGCCATTCCCCCATCCAAGATGACCAGTACTGGAACGAGTATCGATTGTGGGCAGAGGACTGACGATGGTTCTCGGTCTGGATCACATAGTCCGGAGATACCTCCGCAAATGAAGGAGCGCTGCGCCTCTCCGCAAAACACCATACCTTCGTCAGTTGGATCCTCCATGCTCCTTGAGATTGGTAGTGGCTTTGCGTCCCCTAACCCACAACTGTATGCCCCTCTGGCCTCTCTTGAGGGCGAGGACAACCGACCGATTCATCATCCAGGCCAGCTCGACAATACCGATGCACAGGATTGAAAGGATGACATTGCGCGATTTGTCTCACTTCGGCAAAGACTACGGACAGAAGGAGCATCCCATTCGGCGTATCGCGTTTGGTTGGAGGTCCTTCTGCAAGCTTACCGGCTTTGGTCATATTCCTGTCCTTCGTGTATTGCTTCTTTAAACGGTGCCGGTGTGATGTTAACATAGGGTTCTTCTCGTCGGATCCAGAAGCCGCCGTCAATTGTCCCACAATGGATCTTTCATATAACTAATTGTTTCTATTGATTATATTTCTAGTCAATTAAAGGTACCTATCCGTCTCATGTCTATTTTTCCATCATGACTACTTCCAACCAAACCAAACCTAAAGGCTTGTTGCCGCTTTAGTCCCGACTTCCTTGACACATTTGATTTTGTTAGTTTCTACAGCGAGCCACGCACTCACGTATTGAGATGTCCAAGTTTAATTAGGATCCCTGTAACACCGGCTTAGGATGGTATCCATCGCCATTGGCGACACCTACTATGTATTGTTCTGGCAAGACTCGTACATACGTGGGCACCCATTCAACTCACGCCGCTTTCAGAAGACAACTCACCTCCCCTTTTCGACCTCAACCCTCTCCTCGAAATGTTCTTTATGCATCCGTGATCTGCTAGTCCCCAGCTCCTTGACGGCTTCCCCTGTCCCTGGTATCGATGGCCATCGCTTTACACGTGTGGTAAGCGGCAGGGTGTATCGCCGACTTGCGAGAACCGAACAACAGGCATTATCCGTTTCTCCTCTTTACTGGCTGAGATGCATTATATCGAGCTTTACCGGACATACGCCTGACTCGTCTCCCACACCTCAGAGCTGTCATACCTCTTGAGCCCTGGAATGTCGGGTTGCTCTCTCGAAAAGGGCCGCGCGTAGCGTCTTACAGTGGAGTCACATATTACCTGGTTACCCAGACTCAATCAGGCTATATCTAGCGCATCGCCGGTGGTAATTATGTCCTTGTCTGCATCCGATTCTTAGTGCCTCAGAAGCACTCGTCAGCACCCAAGATTTTCCTTTTAGCACTGCACTTACCGAAATGGACGTCTCAACGTCTCTCATAAGTGGGAAGCAGCCGAACGAGTCTCCGTTCCATTCAGCTGAAGAGAAGCATAAGTATCTGACGGAGCATGCGTCAACAATGTTCTTCTTCAAACCCAAGATCAGGAGTGTCGACTTTGCCGACTTTCTGATACGTCTGACGCCATGTCCCATCAATTCAATTTCATCGTAGTCGGAGGTGCGTCGATTGCCCAGGATGCCAGCACAAAAGCTTTCAATCTAACCGATCATCCAGCTGGAGCCGCAGGATGCCTCCTGGCCTCTAGACTCTCGCGTACGTCCACTGCCCCATCGGTCCTCCTCATCGAAGCAGGAAAAGCCCTCGACGACCCCGAACTCCGTGCTGCTGGACGGAAGTTTGTCAATCTCGCTGATCCGAGCCTTGGGTGGACCGACTATTCCCACGTCCAGAAGAATGTCCACGGCAGGAGTATTATCTATCCGAGAGGAAAAGGACTGGGCGGTTCAACCATGATAAACGCCATGGTATACTATGTTGGCTCGTCCGAGGAATACGACTATTGGGCAGACTTGACGGGTTGCCAAAAATGGAGATGGCAGGAGACAAAGGAAAGATTCAGACGGGTAGGGTATACCACCACCACCACTCTGAAGAGTATTTTCAGATTGACATTCTCGAGATCGAGCGGTTCCGGGACGATACTCCGATCGAATTCAGAAAATACTCTCGTACATCGCCAGAAACCCATGGCTTTACGGGTCCTGTCGATGTCAGTCTCCCATTGGAATGGGAGCCCGGTGTGACAAAGGTTTTGGATATCGCTCAAACTCATGGAGTATGTAACACTGCTTGCTGTTTGTTCTCTTGTGCTGACGCTTGCCCAAAGTTTCCCATCAACCTGGATCAGAACAGTGGGAATCCGATAGGAATAGGCATGTCACCGACCACTGTATCCAACGGACTTCGCACAACCGCAGCCTCGGCGTTTCTCGCGGATCGACCTTTCAACCTTTCGGTGTGGACTGATGCTGTCGTCACTCGAATACTGTTTAGCGGCAAGACAGCAGTTGGGGTTGAGCTGGCAGACGGGCGCAGTGGTACGACTCGCTATGCCAGGAAATAGCTCTACGGTACTGATCGTTGTGCAATAATAGCCTACGGGACTAAAGCCACGATTCTATGCGCCGGTGCCCTTGACACCCCAAAACTGCTTCTTCTCTCAGGAATAGGCCCGAAGGACGAATTGATGCCACTGGGTATACCAGTTGTCCACGACCTCGAAGGCGTCGGCAAGAACCTCCAGGATCACCTCCAGTCGCTGATTGAAACTCGTCTGTCCAAGAAGCTGTTGGACCGAGACGTGGCGCGGGACGGTGAGCCCGACGTGGCGGGACCGTGGTCGTGTCTGCCCTTTTGTTTCCTCAAGGTGGAAGAGAATCTGGAGACGGACGAGTTCAAACGGTTGGATCCCTCGACACAGGACTATCTGAAGGGGAAGACGGTCCCTCAGTTGTCACTTGGCACGGTAAGGATACTTGAGCGGAAGACACAACAACCCGCTTATCCCTTTCTTTTCTTGTCCGCATATCTATTCATGAATCCTGACCATTCGCACAGGCAGCTCCCCTCTTTGGCCAAGGGAGAACCTTCCCCGACGTGCAGTACTACCACGTCTACGTCAACTGCCTGATGAACCCACAGTCTCGCGGGGAGGTGAGACTCCGATCCGCCAACCCTGCGGATCCGCCGTACTTTGACTTCAATGCCCTCTCCCACCCGTACGATCGCCGGGCCTACATCAACAACACGCGCAAGGTCATGGAGTTCATCGAGGGCGAGGCCAACGCCGAGTACTTTGCCGGATATATCAACGGGCCATCGAGCAAATCAGACGAGGACATTGAAGTGAGATGCTCCCACTCTTTCCCTGCCCATCTGTCATTGACTAAAGCGGGGGAGTTCCTGTTTGGTCTACTTCTTCAAGCCTGGTCTCAACGGGTACTCTTCAGTTGACTTCTTCCTGACGTTCTTGTTTTGGCAATCTAGAAATGGCTCAAGGCCGTCTCGGGCCCCCAGTTCCACGCCACAGGGACGGTCATGATGGGTCGACCGGAGAACAAGCTCGCGTGCAGCGACTCGGACTTTCAGGTCTTGGGCGTCGAAAATCTCCATGTGGCCGATCTCAGCGTCTGTCCGACCACTCCATGGTATGTTACATACTCCGCCCCTTTCCCCTCCCCTCCTCTCGACGTCCACCGAACCAGCACGGCGGGAAAGGTAAGAATAGGTTTTGTAACTGTGTCTGTAAGTGTATGTACTGATACGTCAAATTACTGAAGCTGCATGACTCAAAGCACGGCGTACATGGTAGCGGAAACCGCTGCAGAGACGCTGATCGAGAAGTTCGGTCTGGAGTGACAAGGTCTGGTGGAAGGGTTGAGGCCAGTGATCCATCTATCCGGTATCTACGTACATCCTTGCAAGTCCCCGTGTGGGATAGATCCGCGAGGGGACATCTGTCCAGAATAGAATGAGGTGCAAGAAAACATCAGAAAGAACCTTTCCATCTTCAAGGTATCATTCCGCCCAGTTGGCTGGAAAGGGACTCTCCCTCTTCTGCAGCCTCTTGAAGTCATACATTCTAGTCACGACGCTCGGGATCGACAGTCCGCTTTCGTCCCCGGCCCCTAAATGATGTTAAAGCTGCTTCCCCAGCCTGCAATCTCTGGAGACTGATCCGATCCGTTTCCTGCTCTTTCACACCGCCATCACTGTAACCATAGAATGTTTTCTCCATGCAAGCCTACCGGGACAGGACGTAGGCGGGGGGTTGAAAAGGGAATGAATCGATAGACGTAATGAGCAAGAGCTCGCTGGCTGGCTGGCTGGCTGACTGGCTGGCTGGCTGGCTGGCTGGCTGGCTGACTGGCTGACTGGGAAACTCACTCTCTTGCGCTCAAGCAAGTCGACATGTATCGGGAATAAAAGAAGTCGCTGGCTTTCGTACCATGTCTCTCGTAGCCAGCCAGAAGCGCCAAACCCGCTGCTATGGTAGCCAAAATCGATGTTGTGAAGGAGGAGGGCATAGGAAACAGTGTAAGTGTAGACAAGACACATCTTGTACCGTCAAGCCAGGAAGGCCGTCACCCAAACCGCAGGCGAAGCGAGGCATCCCTTTGCACCGTACCAAGGTGCGGGAGGGTTCTGTCAGAGGGTGCGGTGTCTGAAAAGGACCCCCTACCGGGAAAATTGCACACATATGATGTTTTCTTTCCAATTTCTCTCACACAAAGTTCCCCTATAGGCGACTTAGGGCGAAGCCGAACCGGCGACTCCAAGATCAGGTCTTGTACAGGTCAACCTAGCACCGGGCTAAGGCAGCAGGACCTCGATTGGAATATCACTCCGAGCATCGCCGATAACCACAACAAACAGGTCCTGTCAGGTCGAACTAACACCGGGGTTGGTTATTGCAGCAGGTACCTCTCCTCTTCCAGGACTCAACTTATAGAAAATTCGTAGTTATATAACCGGCCGGCCGAGAAAACCCAACCCGCAAGGGCGAGTTTCGCTTATCCACGAACCAGAGTTGAGCTGCTTCGTGTTTAAGTTTTTGCCATTCTGTAGGATTCCTGGTATTTGTTGGCTCTTCTTTTCTTTTTTGTGCGTGTGTGATCGATCGGAAAGGGGGTTGTGGGAAGGACACCATGCCAAGGACGAAGAAGTGAATCACATGGGGGACTTCGACTTCAAGGAGCAGAAAGAATATCGCCCAGGAAGAAACATCGGAGCTTATACTTTTCAAAATCTCAATCCTAGTTGCATACGATTCATACTTATTGGCTGGGATATCTCCTAGAACTCGTGAGCGAGGTCGCTATAGGAATGAAGGACGAAGAAGACTGTCCGTGTGACCCCAATTCTCGGCACGGCTGTCTCGTAGACAAGGCTGTGGAATTTGATACTAGGCTGAGATATCTTGCCCTGCGGCTCACGGCCACTCCTGTCTCTTTCCCCTCCTAGCATCTGATTGGCTGACCATTCTTTGACCAACAGCCCTGGTGTAAGTGACGACATGGTCAAAAGCGGCCACAGGAAGAATGGATAAGCAGCCAACATTTCTGAGGGCCGCCCTTCGGATCGGAATGTGGACTGTCCAAAACACCATATGGGACCCATCGCAATAGAGCCATGTTCACTGAGGGCAATGTCATGGAATATTCCTTCCTTCGAAATGGTGGCGATGCTGGTCGATATTAGAACCAGGAAATCGAAGGCCCCACCCGAACGCTCGGAGACGGAAAAACTCGTCGTCCGATCTCTATAGAGTCAGATATAGGGCTTGACTCCTTAAGATTTCCATGCGCGAAGAAGTCCCTGGCAACCTCAAAACTTACCTCGAACTGTTCAAATTTGCTGGCTTGGTCCTTTTGAAGGCGTAATATCGCTCTCAGACGGTGCTGAGGCCCGTCCACGCAAGGGAGATTGAGACGGAGCCCTCGAGGATACCCATAGCAGCAGAATGTCGTCAGAAAGCATCGGAGACGAGAGCCAATACTTTGTCTTGGTCTCTGTATAATGTGGTAGATTGTCTTTCCAAGACTTCAATGAGCTTTCTTCACTGTGTTCGTGCCAAATATCCGCATGCTGTCCCAATTTACTGTTGCCACGAAAGGTCCAGCTCTTCAAAGGTCTACCACAGGCATTTCGCGTTCATGTTCAGGGAAGGAGAAGATGTTCGCAGGTAGGGATAGGAAACATGATCTGAGTCGACTGTGTTTTGAATCAACGAGTATCTGGCAGACTTGCCGCAGTCGATCCCTGCGCTGGTGTCCGTTCTGTAGTTCATCCCGCTTTTCAATGATATTGCACCTCGAGTCCCAAGGCTCAAATGCGCTCAAACATAGGTCGTGCACGGAAATGAAATTGCGAACAGAAGAAGCTGTTGGGAAGGATAAGGGCTTTGTTGTCTGCAGGATCATGTCTGTCAAAGACTTATGCGAAGCAGGAGTCACGCGCGTCGTGGCTGCTCGATAAAAGCCTCAATGCTTTGCAATGCCTTTCGCACAGGCATTGAGTGCTCATATGATCCATGGCTCATTCCGAAATGCCAAAGGAGACCTTGAACCCAGACTTGATCCAAGAGACAGAACCGACAAAGGTGTTATCGTCCGGGAGTTGAGTGATTATCAGGAGAAGAAGCATGGAAGCGAATGAGGAAAGGCCCTCCGTCACTGCAACGAAGAAACTGCCCATCTTGATGGCTAACAATAAGTCAATCAAACAGACTAATGAATAGGAATTGCTGCTCAGCGCGAAGACGACTCGGGGGCATGTTTCCAATCAGGCTAAGGCTCACCTTGGGGTGTTTCTGGAAGTCTTTTCCGGCAGGATGCATCAAAGCGCAGGCTGGTTCCTTTTTCCGGACTTGTCTGTTGTTGATTATCTCTCCTAACAAGACTCGAGAACAGAGTTCATCAACAACGTGAACGACGCCATCCTTGGAATCCCTAGTAATGGCTTCCTTCAATATCAAGAAGGCGTTGCGTCGGACGCAGAATTCCAGGCTCTACACTGGCAAGTGCGAGCGAAGGCGACAGGTCGACAGACAAGATTCCAAGCTCCTTTGGTGTTCCGCACAATCATGAAGATCTTCAGCCATCTTTCTGGCTGACTGCGGCCTACCAAGCACCGCCAACTCGACTTGAATCCAATTGTTTTGCTGAAGGATCGAGCATACGAGACAGACGGTGGTGATTCAAATGTTGTCAGCGGTCGCAGCCCTCCATGGCAAGTGGTGTTCTAATGGAATGACGATGAAAATGGACTTCAGGGGGAGGAGGCGAGAGAGGGAAGGAGCAATATGCATGTAAGTTCTGCTTGGAGTAGCCTCTGTCAAACTGACAACCAGGCTGCAGAGCAGAAAGACCTGCGGTGGCCGGAGCCTGTTCATACGAGTTGAAGACAGATGGGGATATTGCCACCATTCACTACCATCATGAGAGATAAGTTTGGGATTTCAATGCCAACTACACCATCTCATTATCGAACGTTGCGGCTTGCCATGCAAGACTTACCTGTGCCTAGTTAAGGAGACGGCGAGACAGTGGTGGAAAATCGACAAAGAGCAGGGAAAATACCAGACATGCAGTGAAATGGGTGTCATGATCGATTTGAGATACCGATGATGACGAACTTGTAGCCTCGTCTACACAAGTATGTCGGTGACGGTAAGTGATCGTGGTGCGACTCAGCGTATTTGGCTGTTGTGACATTTGAAATGCGCGGAAATGTGGCCAGTCAGGCGAAATTGATTTCTTCATGGCCCCTTTCCCATCGTTCGACGAAGCTGAAGCCCACCGCTCGGCGCAGGAGGGATTGCCATGGCTGCAATCGTGCCATCAACCGCTCCAGAAGAGGAATTTGCGCCCCTTGCACTCAGATATTGATATTGGTGATGCTGTCTGCGCTGCAGGGTGATTGATATGGAAGCTGCATTGCAGCACGGGTTTCGAGTGGATTGACGTCGAAACCGAAACCTCTCCTTGTTGCTATGCAGCTGCGACTCTCTGCACCGCCGATATGCTGCAAACTGGCAAGGGTATATATCCCAAATGCCATCCAAAGCGCCTACACAGAGGCACCAGACGTCGAAACCAGAGAGGCGGTCCCATCACTATCAACCGCAGATACGGAGCAGAATCTCAGAGATCCTCGTGGGAGGGCTTCATTGAGCTGTATATATCTAACGTGCAGGTCTAGCACAACGAGGTCGTCTTCAATCTTCCAATCGTTCATCTTCATCCTCATCATCGACCTCTGTCACTATGGCAATGTCTGTGGCTTTCCCCCCGTTAAATCCACCTTCTTCGAACGGGCAACTGCTCACCGCGCACACAGCATCCACTTCCGCGCGCATTTCTAGGAAATCTCCCGGCCGGGAGCAGTTCAGCGCCTTGATGGTGTAATAGGGAGTGTTCTGGAAGACATTGAACGGATCAACTACTTCACTCCAGTGCTTCATGCCCCAGGGCTTCATGGCTTCAGCAACATTGGTGGCACAGGAGCGATGGACAGGTTGGCCGTGGCGTGCATAGAAGCCCGGATTGCAAGCCATGAAGAGCAGGTCGTGGGTCTTGACAACGTCCGCAACTATAGAAAACATTTTCCGGTCCCGATTTGTATACAGCGCCTCGCCTACCTCGGGACACGCCGAACCTCCCAGTGCGTATCGCGTGTAACTCGTGGAAAAATGCTCTGGGTTCGTACCGGGCGAGTAAGGGAGGGTCCACGCCATGAAGTCGACCACCTGCTGGCCGTGGAGATCGACGATGCGGAAATGCGACGACGCTTTCACCTCGAAGGCGTAGCCGTGGGCAGCCGGGACCAGGTGCGTTTTCAGCTTCGAACGAGGATGTCGCACCAGAAGTGTCTGCCAGGCCGGACGCGGGGCCGATGATTGGTTGCGTTTCGAGTTAGAGGGTTCATGGTTCCCATAAGACTCTGGAGTGACATGGTGGTGCTGAGGACCTTGTGCAGGGAGTCTGCGGGTCATGGTTGGTCGACTGGAGCTTCTTTCGAAATGAGGAGAGGAGAGGAGGAGAGCAGGAGGGGAGGAGGAAGAGTGGTGGGGGAGAGGGTTGGCAGCATGCTTGAGAACTACAATATGCAAGCCGGATATCACAAGCGGAGGTGGGCGTGCAAAGTGCTGCGAGGAATGGAGGGGTATGGTGGGTGAGATAGGTTCAATGGAGGGGCCAATTCTATGGCGTAGTAGTGGCGACGAGGGCAGTCTGACGCTGGGTACCGAAGAGTCACATGATCTTCCGGAATATGTGTCGAGGTCTACAATGTCGACTTCCCACCAGAGTTGTCGATACTGATCTGTTTGACCTTGGTGATGCGTCCCTATGCCTTCAAGATCGGAGGACACCTACGCCTCGGGATACAGGACTTGTGTGCTTCTTTCTGCGGCGAGACGCAGCAGCCAGGATGAGAAGAACGATCAAGATCAACGGCTTACACGTCCTCGAAAATCTGGGAATGCGACCGATCTTCGCGAATAGCGCACGCACTCTGCTCCTGGCGTCGACTCTATGATGTCGTGTTCTCTCAGCTGGGAAGATCAACAATCGCTCGCCTGTGTGGGGTGTGAGAAGACATCTTCTGACCCAGGTTGTTTCTCGTGATGCCTGTCTGACCAGCGTATTTTGGTGTACTTGGTATGTTTCGTGGCAGTCGTGGCAAGCAGCACCAAAATCAGTCCCGATGATGTCGTTGATACACACCCGAGTTCACATGTCGGGGGGCGGTGCATGGCCTGCTGCTCCATAGCAACACTCTTCAACGATCAACTCGAAGATTTTTGAGTCCAAAAATCACAAAGATTCGTCGCTCGCCTGGATTCCATTTCCGGATCCTTCCCATGTTCTGTCCATCCACAGGCAGTGTCCAAGCAAAAGGTTTCACGGACCAGAGGATTAGTACTTCCAAGCCAGTATTCGTTGGCAAGTTCGCCGTCGGACTGGGTCCTTGTGGTCCTTAGCTCTCGCCACTATGCTTCTTTCGCCTTCCATATCAACATGATGCAAACCCCAGTATCGCCAGCGGATCCCTGGCTGATAATGACCGTGCTATGCAGACTAGATCCATGCACAAACCCTGCTGCAAAAGGTGCATGACACGGAGAGGTAAACCGTATGTAGCCTTCTGTGTAGAGAAACAATGCAGTTCGAACAATCAATTTCGCTCCTGCTTCCAGCACTTAGGTTAGTTCGAGTCAACCAGCGCAAGGGAAAGAGGGCCATAAAGTCATCCTCAGTGGTGTGAATTCGGCCCATCATCCACGTACTCAATAGTAGCATTCGCCACGACTCAATATATAGGGGTTCCCAATCTCGAGTGCTTTTGCACCGATGGCCCCATCAGCGCCCCGCCCCCAGTTCTATCTTCCTTGTACTTCCTCTTAGCGCGGCGGTTTTAGTCTGTCCATCTTGGATTGATCACTGGAAGAAAATCTGGTGGAACTGGTGTCGCTTTGCTCTTCTGATCCCCGCGATTCGTCGTTTGGTAAAACTTGCATCTGGGCCGGGGAAGGCAATTCTGTGCCTCCATCAATGACGAAGTCAATCTGGTCGAAAGCCTGCTGGATTGCGATATTAGCCCGACACTCGTTCCGAACATGGGCAGCTAGTTGTGATAGTTCGACGCCTGAACGTATGACGCGGATCAAGTCCTCGGTCGCACTGTACCCGCCGGCGCGCACGGTCGCAATGATTCCTCCCAGGAGTTGCTGTTGTCGATCAAGAGCGAGCTGCTTGTCCGCGAGTTCTTGGGCGGTTCGGTGGTTCGCAATCTTCCGTCGCTGGTCAGAACTTGCATCGTAAACGCATAGACTTTTTCTCGTCGCACAAGCCTCGCAAGGGTTGCCCCCAGAGCACTGGAACAGGTCAGACACACCCCCTGGTGAACAATGCGAATGTGCTGTATACCTTTGTTTTCCTCTGTTTGCAGGCACCGCAAGCGGTGGATATTTTCCGAGGGCGCTGAGAAGATGGAGGCTCCTGAGGACTTTCGCCGCCTTGAGGTGGTCGTGGTGCCAGTATCTGAGACATGGAGAGGGATTCGCTCCCGTGAATTCATTTGGTATGCCGAGATACAGTTGGATCTCTCGGATTCCTCTTTGAGGTGACAATTGGCTCGACAATTCATGCTATTGAAGGCGCGCCATCGGAGGAAGATACCTGAAAGGGTGGGATACCGGGGATTTCGAGGAGGCTAGAGGATATGAGCAGAGTTCGGTCGGTGGGAAACAACTAAAGGAGGTAAGACAGAATTTGGCGGACGAGATATCCGAACTCTGAGAGGTGGGCAGTTGGGCCCCGACATACTTATACTAGGCGCTCCTCGGAGGAACATGCAACCATCCACACTTACGACATGAAGGGGGGAACCTGATCCGTCCAATGTGTAGCCATCTCTGGGCAATGGGACTGCGACATTGTTTTTAATCAAGAAACATGGATCTCTCTGTCTCCAGACACTCACTCTCTCGGCTTGTGTCCATCCACCGTCTGGTCCATCCTGAAGCATATAAAATACTCCTGATATGGAAGGAGCAGAAAATCGTAGATGACTTTTACGAGGGTCATTCGCAAGAGATTGACGGTTTCTCCCCATTTGCAGAGAGACAAGGAAGTCCGATCAGTGCAAAGCTGGCCCAGGATATCCGCCTGTTTATGAAAATTTCAGAGGGCGACTGGCTGAGTAGGTGATTCGGGGGGTGTGCTAGGCCTACACTCCTTAGCCTCGCCGGTAATTTTCTCCGGGCTGCCCGAGCCTGTGTCTAGAAAGGCAAATTTGGCGCAAAAAGTTTTTGGTCGCGAATTTCTGGAGCCCAGTGAGAGATCAGCAGCCCTAGAGGGCCAGTCTCGGATGCCGACTGCTCGCATTTCTTTTTCTCTCGGTGGTTGGGGAGTTGTCAAGGGAAATCAAAGATGTTGGTGGGTAGCTATACCTCGAACTCCAGGGGGGTAAAGCTGCGGCGAAGCCTAAGCTACCCTACCTTAGGAAACATAAGCAACTGACGGCTGTGGTGCGCTGCAAGGAGGAGCCATTGCCTGCAATCTCTGGGGCTTAATGTTGTGTGATTGGTAGCCGAATGACATGCGGCGCAGAGGAAGCCAAGGGGGGCTGCGAAGATTTCTTGACTGCAGAGGTTTGGATCTCAACTTTGCCGTCCCGGTCACGTGCATTCTTTGACGTAGGTCACGTGCATCTGTTGACGCAGGTCACGTGTTGTGACTTGGCGCACGTGTCGCATGCCGAGGCCTTCCAAGCTCTATTGGGGCTAGTGCGAATCTTAATTTGCTGCGCTATGATGTTGATCTCGAATTCGGTTTGGGGATTTTGCAGCCCAAAAAAATTCCTCGAGACTGCGCCTAAAATTTCTTTGATTTAATTATCCACGCTCGGGACATTGGGTCTAATCCCTTTCCTGGCTTTGCAATTCTATATATTTTCCCTTTTTTTGACTTTCTTACCGTAATTGATCAGAACAACCGCAGAGAGCTCCGCGGGCTGTCCCTGCAACCATGGACGAACAGAAATTCTTGGAGCAGCTCGCCATCATCCTCGATCCAAAGAAAGGGAACGTCAAGGCTGCCACGAGTATCCTTCAAAATGAATACTACAAACAGCCACAGTCCCTCCTCGCTCTCATCCACCTGGCCATCTCACACGAAACCGCAGACCTGAAACAACTGGCTGCCACCCAGGCAAAGCCGCTCGTCTCGAAGCATTGGACGAAAATCCCCAACAACCAGCGCCAACAAGCCCGAACACAACTCTTTCAGGCAACTCTTGCTGAATCCTCCCCCCTCGTCCGACATTCGTCCTCCCGTCTAATAAGTACAATCGCAAACATTGATCTCGACGACGGGGAATGGCCCGAACTGCCTGGCATGTTGCAGCAGGCTGCCACAAGCTCAAATGCCGCTGAGCGCGCGGTCGGCGTGTACGTGCTTTATAGCATACTGGAGACTATGGGAGATGGCTTCAGCTCCAAATTCAAAGAGTTATTCACATTGTTCAGCAATACAATCAAAGACCCAGAGAGCTTGGAAGTCAGAGTCAACACGCTACTGGCCATCTCCAAAATGGCGCTGGTTATCGATGCTGAAGAAGACCAGGCCTCGATCAAGGCATTTCAGAACATCTTCCCTTCCATGGTTTCTGTTCTGAAAGATACAATCGACTCGGGCCAGGAAGACCAGATCATGCTCGCTTTTGAAGTTTTCAATACCCTCCTCACTGCCGAGTATCAGCTCATGGCCAAACACTTCCAGGATTTAGTCGTCTTTATGACCGAGATCGCCACCAATGCAGAGATGATCGAGGATGCTAGGACTCAAGCCATCAGCTTTTTGATGCAGTGTGTCATCTATAGACGCTTGCGAGTTCAAGGTGCTAAGATGGGAGAGCCACTGACCAAGAGCATGTTGCAAATTGTCACGGAGATTGACGATGATTCTGCTGACGACGATGAAATCACACCTGCTCGCTCGGCCCTGGGTCTCATCGACACTATGGCCCAGAGCCTCCCTGCCAACCAAGTCGTCGTTCCATTGCTGAACGCGCTCCCGGAATATTCCAAAAGCCCCAATCCCAAACATCGACAAGCCGGTATCCTGGCTCTTGGTATGGCCGTCGAAGGAGCCCCAGAATTCCTCGGCACTCAGCTCTCCTCGGTTCTGCCGATCCTTTTTACTCTTTTGGAGGACTCGGAGGTTGTCGTCAGACAAGCCGCTCTCCAGACCACGGCTAGGCTGGCCGAGGACTTGCCGGAGGACATCAGCAAGGCGCATGAGAAATTGATGCCGCTTCTCGTCAAGAATCTGACGGCAGCCATGGGCGCTTACAAGGGCGAGGAGGAAGGACCTACCGTCGACATCATGAAGTCTGCGACAAGCGCCATCGATGCAGTCGTGGACGGGATGGATGCCGAAGATGCTGTTCCATACCTGGATAAATTGGTCCCGCTGCTTCAACGGCTCTTCAAGCACCCGGATTTCAAGATCAAAGCATTGGCCGCGGGCGCTCTGGGTTCGTTGGCCTCCACAGTCGAGGCGCCTTTCTTGCCCTACCTTCACGATTCTATGAATGCTATGCAAGAATTCATTACGAAGAAGGAGAGCGAGGAGGAACTCGACCTGCGCGCCAGCTGTACTGATGCCATGGGCGAGATGGCGCTCGCCGTTGGTCCATCTGAGTTCAAGAACTACGTCCAGCCACTCATGCAGACCAGCGAAGAGGCCCTACATCTTGAGCACTCGAGACTCAAAGAGAGCACCTACATCCTGTGGGGCTCTCTCGCCAAGGTCTATGAATCCGAGTTTGCGCCTTTCCTGGAGGGAGTAGTAAAGGGTCTCTTCGATTGTATTGACCAAGAAGAGGCCGATCTAGAAGTTGAGCTTGGTGACAGTGCAAGGGACCTGCTCGGCAAAGAGGTGACGATTGCTGGAAAAAAGGTCAAGGTTACCGCGGCCGACGATGACGAAGATGGGGACATCGAGGATATCGAGATTGATGGCGACGATGACAGCGACTGGGGCGATCTCGCAACCGTCACTCCTATCGCTCTTGAGAAGGAAATCGCCATTGAGGTTATCGGTGACGTCGTCTCCAACACCAAGACGGCCTACCTGCCATTCTTTGAGAAGACGATTGAAAAACTGCTGCCTTTGGTAGAACACAACTACGAGAACGTGCGCAAGGCCACAATCAGCACATTGCATCGTGCGTATGCTGCTCTGTACGATATCTCGGAAGAATCTGGCAAGCTACCAAAATGGAAGCCTGGCCTACCGCTGCAGGTTGAGCCGACGCCGGAGCTGAAGAAGTTTGGAGAGGTCTTGATGGGTGCGACATTGAACGTCTGGCCCGAGGAAGAAGACGTGTAAGTGGCATTTTGTTGCGTTTCCCCTCAGCCGTGCTTGTCTTCAAGATGAGATACTCTCGTTAATCCCAGCTCACTCCGACACGCAAGTCGTGGATGAAGCGAACGCGATCTTCAACCCTCTGAAAGACACTGTCTGCGCCCAATGGTCATCATCAGAAGGTGGTGGAATCAATGCTGATTTGTCGAATTACCAGTGCTACCGTCATCGAGATCTCGAGAGCGCTCGCCGAGAACCTCAAGATGACAGGCCCATCCCTCCTCAACTATCCCGACGTTCTTTCCAAGATCGTGCAGACAGTGACGGATCTGATCACGAAGAAACATGCGTGCCAGGTCGGCATGGCAGAAGAGGCCCTGGACGATGACGACTTGGAGTCTACAGAAATGGAATGGCTTGTCATAGACAGTGCCATGGACGTTGTCTCGGGCCTTGCAGCTGCACTAGGCCCCAGTTTCGGAGAGCTATGGAAGATATTTGAGAAACAGGTCCTGCGATATGCAAGCGGCGGTGAAGCTCTGGGCCGCGCCTCTGCATGTGGAGTGCTCGCTGAAATCATCACGGGCATGGGAGGTGCCGTCACTCCGTATACGACGCAGATGCTGAACGTCCTCCTCAAACGTTTGGGGGACGAAGATCCTCAGACGAAGTCTAACGCCGCGTACGCCGTGGGCCGCCTGGTCGAGAAGTCCGAAGACGCTGGCAATATTGTCAAAGCATACCCTCAAATCCTGTCGAAACTCGAGTCGATCCTGCACATCACCGCCGGCCGCTGCCAGGACAACGCGGCGGGATGCGTCTCCAGGCTAATCTTGAAGCACAAGGATAAAGTGCCCATCCAGCAGGTCCTTCCGGCACTTGTGGACAGCGGCATCTTACCTCTGAAGGAGGATTATCAAGAGAACGAACCGTTGTGGACGATGATTGTACAACTCTACCGCGACCAGGACCCGACGATTCAGCAGCTAACGCCGAAGCTGGCCCCAATCATGTTGAGTGTGCTGGGGGAGCCGGAGGAGCAGTTGTCAGATGAAGTGAGAGAGCAGGTCCAGGCACTGGTGGAGCATCTGAAGAGCATGCACTAGAGCCTACCTGTATGCGTGATATCTGCCCTTCTGGTCACGAGGAACCCAGGATTTCACTACTGGGGAGTGAGGGGGACGCGATGGCCTCCAAAAACGCCGAGAAGATATCACCCATGATGGAACGATGGATGAGATCTTGGGATGTTTTTTTTTAACGTGTCACGAAATGAACGTCATTGAGCACAGTTAGACTAGAGATACCACGTATCATGCCGGATACAATGCAATGCTAGGTGCTTTTGAGGAGAAGCAGCAGCAGCAGCAGGGGGGGAACAAGCTGCTCATCCACGACGCAATGAGCAACTGTTAATTGTCGTTTCTTTCTACACATCAGTATGAATATTGTTGCACAGTCTTTGACGTGAAATCGTCTCCCTCTCAGCATGGGTTGGTTACATGCGCTCCTCCTCTTGCCGGTCATCGTTGTCATCATCATAACCAGAATCTTCGTCACCGGGAGCAGGAATCGTTAAAATACCACGGAGTGTAACAGCTGCGAGAGCGTCACTCGTCGCCTCCTTGGGACTGACGATGCTCGGGATCCATCACCCTTCTGGCACTACTACTCAGTCGACTCTGCAATAGCGGAGGACCAAACTCCGCGTGGCGTTGTTCGGCGTGGCTCTTGGGGCGCCGTTTCCTTGTTGCTCGGATCGTATCATGGTGTTGTTGGCAGGGTGAGCGAAGGTGTTCTGATCTCTGTGTGGCAGCTGTCCTATTGAGCTTAACGTATCCAGTGTCACTATCGACGCGCTGTCGAGGCTGGCCATTTCTGTCGCCGAATCTGAGACTGAATCCCTTGTCTTCGACATATTGTTCAATGGGTAAGCTCTGCGGTGATGGGTAATGTCTCCTGGGTGGTGGTGGTGGTGATGGCGTCTCGGGGGTGGCAGCGAAACCCTGTTCCGGTTCACATCCCGTTTCCGACAATAACCCCAGTTCACATAATGGAAGTGGGCTGTACAATTAATGAATCGCCAGCACAAACAAGGCTGAGGCTGCCAGACAAGCATGGAATTCGCGCCCTTGGGATGGCTGTGATAGTGGCGCAGCGTTCACCCAATATCAATTGTTGGCCAGCTGAGACACACATATATATCCTTCGAGGGCTTGTACCACCTGGAGAACCCTAGTCACACAATCCCCACGTTCAGGCCGATTTGTATTTCAGAAGATTTGGGCAAGACGGGTGTTCCATTGAGCCACCCACCTCAATGTCCCATATTAGCTCCTTAATAACCTTCCAAAGTCTAGGCAGCCAAGGTCTATGGACATCAGACTCAATCCAATTCGGTTCGCTGCGTCAAGGTCCCTCTTTCGCACATGAGCATGTAGAGAGTCGCTGATCTTAACTATATCAAGGTCCATATTTAGTGGAGACATGTCGTGGCGCTTTGCCGCTTCTGTTTCGGGTGCAAGTGTAACTCCTCCAATCGGGATTAACAAAGCTTCCAGGCGATGGTGCAGTATCTCTTCTGTTCTTCCTGAGCAAACATCTCTTCGTTTCTATCCGTGCCACAGACTCAAGTCCAATGCAGGTTGAAATAATTGCTCCCGTGGGTCTCCAGTCTCGGCCGTCTTTTGGATGCCATCTGGAGCCATCATGGCTGAACCCCTCCTCCCTCTTGGCAATAATGACTCCTCCCGCCGCACTATTCTACTTCCAGGGGTAGATGCATCGGTCTCTGATAGGGCAGTTCAGAGCTTGAGAGCTGGCTCTGTCCTATATTTCCTTTCCAAGACTCTTACTCAGCGCCCGTGGTGCAATCTTCAAGCCAATAGGTGAGTGACAGGATGCCGGACTTCACTAATTATGAGTGCGAGGAGAGACCAGGATCAGAGGTTTGCCCAGGCTGTTGTTGTTCGGGCGAGTGCATTTATATAACTGCAAAACGAACGCCGATAAAACGACTGGACTCGTTCCTTGCTTTCTCCTCTTCTCTTTAGATGCAAGGGTCAATCAAGGGCACGGCCATAACTACCTGTTTGCCTTTACACCTAATTGAAAGATGCAAGAAAACCAGACAAACGGTTCTCCAGATCAAAATGGAGGACGCACGACTCGAGCCATCGAGTCTCCCCCTTCACAGCAGCAACGGGTCAACCCTGAGGGACCACCTTCCCCGGCCGCGAGGGACCACGTCACTTTAGCCGTCGAAAACGACTCCAAAGAAGAACAAGTACAAACAGATGATGATGATGTTGTTGATGGTCGGCAGGATCGTGGATTTCGAAGGATCATCAGAAATTTCACTCCTTCGTACATTCTTCCCCCCTCCCTCCTTTCCTTTCCTCTTCTCTTCCCCTTCAACAACCACAGCGGCAAGTCGGCTAACCACCTCCCTTATGCACGGACGAACACGCACAGATGGTTCATCATCACCATGAGCACCGGTGTGCTCTCCATCATGCTCCATCAACTGCCCTACAACGGGCACTGGTCCCGCGTCATCTCGGTCGTTTTCTTCGTCATCAACCTCGCCCTCTTCTTGACGTTTACGGCGTTGTCAACATTGCGCTACACGCTCTATCCGCGCATCTTCCTGGCCGTCCTCAAACATCCCCACCAGAGCCTATTCCTCGCCACCTTCCCCGTCGGGCTGGCTACGCTGGTGAATATAACCGTGTTGGTGTGTGCGCCGGCATGGGGGCACGGCCTCGCGATATTGGCGTGGATTCTCTGGTGGATCGTTGCTGTGCTGGCGTTGACCACCTGCTTTCACTTGACCTTCGTCATGTACGTCAACTAACTGACTGCCTTGTCGTCGATATGCCAGCAACCATCATCGAGGGATTTTTGTGCTCATCATTCTCTTCCCTAGCATGACACATCGACGAGGCGAGCTGGAGGAAATGACGGCTCTCTATCTGATCCCAATTGTCGCCGTCGTCATCGCCGCGACCTCTGGCGGCCTCGTCGCGGGTGCCATCCCTAACCCCGAGCATCAGCTGTGGACTCTCATCATCAGTTACATATTGTGGGGAATCGGATCGCCGCTCTCGTGGATCATACTGACGATATACTTCCTCCGAATGATTTTGCACAAACCCTTGAAGCGCGAGGTCATCGTGTCCCTTCTCCTCCCAATCGGTCCATTGAGTCTTTCAGGGTTCTCGTGAGTCTTTTCCCGCGCGGGCTTTTGCTTCCCCCTCGGCCAGAAAGGTGTGGCTAAGGCTAACGGACATCTTGGCTGTTTTGTTGCGCAGAATCATCGTGTTGAGCAAGGTCGCAAAACACCTTTTCCTGACGACGCACACCCTACCACACCTGAGCAAGACATCCGCGGGGGAAGTGCTGTATATCGTCAGCTTTTTCGTCGGCCTCATCCTGTGGGGATTTTCGATCGTCTGGTTCATCGTCGCCGTGATGATGGTGGCCACCTCGGGCCGATTCCCGTTCAACATGGGATGGTGGGGTTTTATCTTTCCTGTCGGTATGCGTGCTGTGCTGTGCTGTTTATTTTCCCATAAATTTCCGTACAGAGTACCTAGTGACTATGGTTGTTGTGGGACTAACCCTTTCCTCCACAATGCAGGCGTGTTTACCCTCCTGACCATGACAATCGGGGAAGAGCTCGAGTCTCGATTCTTCAAGGTTCTCTCGTGTGTAAGTTCACATTGTTGTTCTTGGGCGATTTAACATCACCAAATGGGAACATACGACAGACAGGCTGGCTGATACACCGGCTCCAGGTCCTCACGGTCGCCTGTATTGCCATGTGGCTGGTCATTGCGGCGATGACCCTGCAGCGCTCCATCAAAGGAACAATGTTTTACGCTCCGTGCTTGGGAACGGATCTGTATGGGAAAAGAACCAAGGAACTCTCCAAGGACAATGCGTCACACAAGGAGACGGTATGAGGGTTTGGTCTTTGGGGATCTGATGCTACCGGGCAACAATTTTTAGCAATGTCGAGCTTGAGAAGCTTGAGAAGCTTCAGAAGCTTCAGAAGCATTTCTCGTCTTCACAATTTCCTTTTTTATTTTTAGCAGCGTCGCTCTTCAGCCCACTCTGTAATTCAATGGTGTGGTTCGGTACAAAAGACTTACTTCATCGTCAAAAAGTTCTTCAGGCCGCAAAAGGGAATATGGCAGACCATGTTTTCCCTTCGCAGTACCATGTCTCTCCTTCCGCTGTCTCTCCTTCCGAGCCTCCGTGTAATTTCCCGACTTTGCCATTGGAACTCGTGTTGCTCACGGTTCTTAGACCGGGACTGCCTCTCGACTGAAACTGGCAGTAGGAGCGAGGAGTGTCGGGTGAGAGTGTTCAGTTGTGGACTCTGATGGCTGTTTTTGAGCGTGCATTCCGCCCTTGCAAGAGTGGTGAGGTATAGAATATGGAAAACAAGGCAATTCTGCACAATTCACTCCCTCCATTGCGCTGCATAGGCAGTAGGTACTAGTTATCATGCTGTCAGTTTGTGCTGATGGTGGCATCTGGCGGTGGCCTGAAAACTCACGACCACACAAGCTCGAGTACGTGAAGAGGTATCTCAGTCGAATTTATCGACGATACCAGGTGTCGTAGCCCCGTGGAGTGGATCTTTAGCGCGTGCGTGTCTCCATCCATGATCTGTCAGAGAGTTCTTAACATTGTCGGACCGACGTCCAGAAGACTCCTGGCTTACCGCAGCGATGGTAAGACACGTCACACTATACGATATCGTAATCAAATCTTGGGCTTGACAGCGATTGAATGTATGCCGAATATGTTTCAGGGCAGCCATCTTTATTGTAAATATCTGGCTTATAGGGAAGTTGCCGTTGTCGCTGATCGCACACCTTGAATCGATTGTCTGAGGTAAGCTGGCACATATTGACGCGCCGGCAGCAGCGATAGCAAAGAAGACCATCCAATTGGCTCTAGCGGTTCGAAGAATCCAGCGAGTATGTTCTTTGCCGTGCGTATATGCGGGAAACATCACAGGTATGAAGTTCTCTAAATCTGCTCCAAGAGTGCCAGTAAGCATAGATACATAGATGTATGGCTTGCATTTCAGGGCTGAGGAGACAGCCAGGAAAGATGATTGCACAACTCACAACACTGAAAAAAAAGCCTGAAGAAGTTGGACTCCAGAAGCCTGACCTTCACAGCTGGTATCTGCCTGTCAGGCGCCAAACCTGCTCCAGATCGAGGCGGCCGTTCGTTCACCGGCGGTAAAAACCGCCCCTTTTCATTCTCATTCGTCTTATCTTCTCTCTCTAGGCGGTGATAGGTTGGAAAATAGCCTTGGTTTGAATCAGGCTTTCTGGCAGACGATTTTGGTTGACCACTACTGTCATGTATCGGGCCACGGTTGTTAAGATGGCATTTCTCCACCCACGTTAATCGCCGGGCATGGAATTTCAGTTGCGTACCTGGGAATATCGCCGGTATCAGTCTGATTTTTGCCTCGAGACGTTTTCTGTTTCTGATCACTCGCTGGACGTGGGAGCCAACAGTTCTCCTATCAGGTCGACAAACAGTTTGGGATCCTTTGACCAAGTGTTGATTGATGAAGAGCAGCACTCCATATTGAGAGTTGCCTTGGGACTTCAAAACATTGTTCCTATTTTTCCCGTCTGTAGCTGATGCCAAAATGGTGGACATAGATAGATACACCACGTCCCGCCTTCTGCGTTTCCCCTGGAGTCGCTGGTAAGTCTCAAGAGGATGTCAATGCCGTAGATGTTGTTTCAGAAGCATCCTTTCAGTCGTTGCAAAGACCATTGATCTCTTGAAGCAAGATGCGGCTTCGTCTGTGAAGGAGAAAGCGATCCCAACAGCGTAACAAGCAATGAATGCTCGAAAATGGAGCTGCCCTTGCCGTGGGCGTGAAATACGGCACCCCCTTTGGTTCAATTTTGATCGAGAACAGTCCGACACGGCATCTTCAATAGATCGAGAGCCAAGCCAATGCAGTCATTCATGTCCCTTCCCCAAGGGACTGAGACTCGGCCGGTCGAGTTTGCTAATGTCACCAACTTGTGTAAAAGTGTGAAGTAAGCACCTATCGTTGTGAGGTAGATCTCTATTAGTCATTTGCTCAAGCATGAGGAATGCTTGTTGGAGAGAGGGTTCATACAAAGCAGCCACCGTTCTCAACGTTGTGCCATGGAAGAGCTTTCCGTAACGGGCTGTCGGCCGCCAAATTCCCACATGTGGTTAGTAGTCAGCCCAACTCAACGGCACAAATATCGAGGGTTTAGGGATAGGAGGACCCTTACTCGCTTGGTGGCATATGTATGTCTTTGTCAGGCGGCCAGGGTAAGCGATTTGCACATGTGAACTTCTTTTTTTCCGATAATACAGAATCACAAAGTGGTACTGCCTCGCTTTGGCCATCTTCGCCGAAAAGCGCCCACCATTTGTTTCAAATCGCTCAAACTGCCATTTGAATGTGAATCGTGCTCCGAGTAGCTCTCACGGGATTCTAGATGCTTTATGCACAGCTCAAAGTTGTAGCACGCATAAGGCGGAAGTCGATCGATATTTGTAATTTTCATCAAGTGGTCTTTAGCGACGTCGGTCATCATGTTGACAACCGCATCCATGGCAGCGCAGGAACCCTCGGAATTCAGTGCATTTACGGGCTTCGCCATCGTACTCTTAGTTGATATTTCGAAGATTGCTTGATGAATGAGGTAAAGTGTCCTGTCTCGTGTCAAATCCTTCACCTCATCGACAACATCTAGAGAATGCACCAACCTCAAGGCAGTCGCGTTAGCCCCACAATGAGATCCAGGCCCTCGATACTCGCTCATTGTGATGGCGAGTAATTGCTGTATATCGTTATCGATATTTCTCAGTGTTGAAATTTTGACATCGTCTTCATCCTTGTTCGTGAGCACGGACATCATTTGTTCGAGAAGGTGCGCTACCTGACCCTGGCGGCCGAACGCGTTGATATTACTGCTACGCACGATAGGCAGGATGAGTGAGGGGCATTCATCCCGTTCACATCCATCTTCGTCCAGGCCGTCGAGCAGTGAAGGTAAAAAAACATCATTCGAGGGAAAGATCGTTCTTGAATATTTCAATCGGCTTCCATCTTCGACGAGAATTTGTCTGTAGGGAATATCAATCTTTCAGCTCTCAATTGATTCAAGTTCAACCTCACCTTTCTAGAATGATCAAACCCCACCATATGTTTCGCCTCTCGATGGATTCCAAGTCCGTACACCCGGTGCCAAATCCAGGCTCATGTTGGCCCAGACCGATGATGTGACCCATCCTGGAAGATACTCCAATAGATATATACGCCGTTTGCAATTGTCCGCAAGCATATTCATAGGCCGCTATCAAGACACTTGCCTGTATCATTGTCGCCGAGATATCGGTCGTTGTTTGGACGTGCGTCAATGTTGACTTGGCAATTCGATAAAGGTCATCCAATGAAGTCGCATGTCCCGAGGGCTCGAGAGGGTCAATAACGATGAGAGATATGGCCAATAGGAGAAGGGAGAATTCAGGAGAGGCGGTCTCGTCTTGAGACTCCTGAAGCCTTTTGCGAAAGCCTTGGGGAGAGATAATGGGTAGCCAGGTAAAAACGCCACTGAAGAATCGATTGGCCACTTCGCCCAGTGAGAGTGCAAACCCCTTCAAGATATCCTGGACTTGAATCCACTGAGCATTACCCAGTTCCTTGTACTTTTCCGTTATTGGAAGAGAAGAGGAGAACCCCGAGAAGCAGGAGGGAGGAGGGACTTGGCTCCCGTCACGGTCGTTGCCAGCTGATGTGTTTGATCCTGTCGACCTCAATGGATTCCATTGTCTCCATTTCTCGTTGCTGTGATGATCGGAGGCTCTACCTCTTGGTAAAACGCCCTCCTCGTATGCACAGGGAAGGTCGTGAGCTCTGCAGTATCCACAATCCGGCAACCTTTTGTCGCATCGCTTCTTACGGGCTTTGCAGCTCCTACACACATGGAGAGCATGCTTGTCTTTCGTTGGATCCATACGAACTTAAAGCTGCCAATCGACGAACATCAATGCAGCAAACAAGATGTCTTATTTTGACCTCAACCTCCCCACGGATTCGGAAAGTTTTGAGGACGTCCGTCTTCCTGTCTGAGGGAACAGGGTAACGAGGCAACGGGGCAACGGGACACCGAGCCTATCCGCAAACGGTGTGCGCTATTTTTTTTTTTACAAAGTTCCAGCCTCACGTCCCAACTCAATGACTGAGTAGCAATGCACCAGAGGAATAGACTGAAGAGCTATAATGGATCAGCGCAGGCTGCGCAGCTCACGCTCTGAACCGAAGTTGTCCCTGGTCAAAAGATGCCTGAGTTAGAGCGGCAGCCTGTAGGGCCGCCAAGATTAGGTGCATTGTTTGCCGCTCGCATCGGTGCAGGAGCTCGCGCTGTCCATCTCTTGCATTTTCTTCACACATAGCCTGGCCTCATCAACGCCTGAACAAATCTTCCTGCCTCATCTGTCGGAGCACCCAACACCTTCGCTTGTCTTCCAAACCACCGATTACGACCAGTCAGAATTTCCATCAATCGTCAACAATCTTCATGCTCAGAACTCAGCTTCGATACACGTCTTCCTTCACGAACTTAACAATAACATAGGGAAACTAATTTCCAGTGAATGGCCGAGTGCAATGCATGCCCTCCGTCAACAACCTCTTCAGCAGTAAGGCCCTATCCAACAAGAGCGACGGGCTAGCCATCTGACTGCTTACCGCGCAGTCCCCGGACACTGAATCCTGCTGCCTCCGCAACCATTATACGATCTGAGATCTTGTGACTGTCCCCGAACGCGTCAACCATCTCATTTGTCCATACATCCGTAAATGATGATGGAATGACCCAAGAACCGGCTTTCGTGACCTCGTTGCTCAGTATACAAACTCCAGGGTCGTCTTTTGCTCTTTTGGCGACGACGGCCTGGTTCTCCTGAAGTGTTTTTGATAGTACTTGATTTTTCTTGAACTGAGTTTTTTGGTGGGTTTTTTTTTTTTTTTTTTTTGTGGCTGAGTGATTTTCCCTTGTGTTTCTTGAGTTGTCATTCGTAAAATATGCGATTTGCAGAAATGAGTACGCCTGGAGTAATAACTGGCACTCTGCTGCTGGGTGGCTGTCGGAATCAACGAATGACTCATGAACTCGTCCAGGCCAAATCCAGATAAATCAGCAAAGAGTCGACAAGAGGACCTGCGAACACAGCATAACCGCAGACTATTAGTCTCAACATAGGCAAAGCAAATTTGTTCTTGCTGTATGCGTTCTCCATTGGTCGAAGGACAACAGTCCAGCATCCTCATGATCATGAGTACTGGCCCAGCTGAGTGCTTTTGGTGAGGGTTAGGGGTCATTAGTTCGTGCAACAACCAAATGAGATGCTGTCGACTTGGCTATTGGACGTCATGTTTGGTTGTAGGCACTGAAGAAAAGGCTGACTCATGGGCACAAGTGATCAAACGAGCTGTCCCAGACGCCATTTGGCATCCGGGCCACTGTAGTCTGGCGAATGCTGTGTGCTCGCTTGTGTGCTGTCCAGCAAAACTCTCCTCGGGTTTCCTTCCAAGCATCCCTGCAAATGCCAACTTTCAGGCCCGTGTCAGGAGGCAGACTCCCACGATGGCCCAGGCACGAACCCGGTTCAAGCCTCTCAGCATTGGTAGCTCCTCAGATTGCTCTATCTACGCGTCGAGGGATTATACAGCCTCGCCGTCAAGGCGCAATGACGCGCTAATCCCGAGTGCATACCGGGTTCTGGCCAAATGCGTCGTGTGCAGCCACCATTCGTTCGGAGATGGTGAAAGTATGCGGCATGCACGGTATGAAAGCCAGATTGGATATGCCGTGGGCTAGGGGGCCACCTAGTGAGATTAATCCTTGAACCTCAGGGGCTGCGTGTAAGAGGGGAGCCCCGCAAGCATCCGTCGGCCGGGAAGGTGGACAACAGCTAAGCTATAAAGCAGCTAGCTTCACACCAAGGGTCGTATTTGACTGGCCAATGTGACTTCCGGTTGCTCTGATTTTTCAGCCTGAGTGTCGCCTGCACCAGGCAGGGAACGGTAGTGGCAAAGAGCAGCGGTCTTGCTGGAGTTATTAAGGAGCTCTCCTCCCGCTGTTCTGGGTAGCACTCGACTTTTCATCCCTTTTGGAGGCAGTTCACCAACGCAAACAATTTTGACAATTCTCGGACTGTCTCTTCGAGGTTCCGTCGGACCTCATGGATTGATGTACGGTTTCCTTTCGGCACTTCTCTCATTCTCATGCACTTTTTGGAGAGAATGAACTGTCGAATCCAGTTTTCGGCGATTCTCAAATGCCCTTCTGTTTGAGAAAGTTGGACTGGAAGATGGTCGTGCTTGCAATGCTTGGTCCAGCTTTCATCGATATCAGCCTTGTCTGGGACTTTTGAGCCTCAAATTCGTCGTCGTTGCCTTTTTGGCGGCTCGTTGCCTTTTTTTTTCATCAACCGGTTGACTGCGACACCCGAGTACGGATCTCCTCTCTTTGCCAAGTCGTCGGACAAAGGTTAAGCCGAAATTATTCCAGTCTGACCCAGAATGACATGGGCATGGTGGTCATGGGCCTCCCTGCATTGGACTCTTTGTTAACAATCAGAGGTCTCTTTTCGCTTTCGGTCCTGTCGAAGCTCATGTCTCGGTCGAGAGCTCCGAAAAGGTGCCACCGATGTCACTTCACGACACGCAACCATGCTTTCACCGTCATTTTCTCGGTCGCCTTTTCACCCTGCATTCTTGTTTTCCACCAAATTGTCGTTGAGATGATCAATGCAAACATGTCGTGTCAGCATGTCATTACATGAGAAAGCTCTTCTCCCTGCAGAAGATGGCACATCATCTTACTGCTTCGTGCTCGCTGCAACATCGTAGACACAAAGAAATTGAACGAATGACTCGAGGTAACCATCAGCGAATGTGGAGAGTATTGTCTAACGTTGGTACTGACCTGAACATGTAGGAAAGTTAACCAGCCACCCTCCCGATTCACAGCTCTTCCTGTGCATGCCGCGGTACCTCGAATACTCGCTGCACGTCGTCAAGGGTGACTGCAAATCTTGCCAGATGCTCCATCCTCCTTTCTCCGACTGGCTGCCCAGCAAAATATGCAGCCACCAGCCGAGGTTCTTGCAACATTATGGTCATCGCGTAGATGTCCTCAGCGCCTTGCTCGGTTTGGGGTGCCGTTGAAAGACCGACCAGAGAAGGGGCAGTGTCCACTTCAAGAATTGGCGCATGCAAGGTGTTTGAAGAGGAGGTCGAGTCTGTCTGGGAAGAAGTCACGCTTTCTGTGGAGGAGCTATCGTACATATCAGCGGCGCTCGCTCCAGACTATCGCTGGACACTCGAGTGCTTTAGGGGATCAAGGGTTAGAGTGCATCATCAGGTACTTTGCAGCCCTTGATTGTCCGGTCTAATGATCGGGGCCAATCCCGAAGGACCAGGATCGGTTGTTCTCATCTCGAGAACGGACTTGAGCAGTCGGGCGAGTCACTGTTCTTGGGACCAGAGAGACCGCACTCGAGTTGCAGGCACAGTCAAAAGAAGACGCAGGGAAATCAACATGCCCATGGCATTATGAAAATATTTCTCACCCCATTTTCGTGCCTGGCTGGCAATTCATGGTGTGTTAGGTTTGGGTGTGGGTGAGTGGGTTAGGGCGCAGGCAGGCAGGCTTTCGAGAGGTGAGTAATTTGCCTAGGCAGGGAAAATTTGTGCCAGCACCAGACTAGATGTAGCAGGCAAAATGATTGTTCTCACAATTCAAACAATTCTCAAATCTCGAGTATCTTCTGTAAGAGGACGTATTGGGGAGATGCGTGAGAGTTTGTAAGTGTCGTAGGTGCGGTAGTGAATCGAAAGGGAAGCGTAAGCCTAGCAAAAAAGCGGAAAGGAATATGGGGGAAACATACGAGGTACAAATCTCGTTCCCACGTCCTATGCTCAATTGGGTGAAGCCTAAGGGCTGCTCGCTAGTCCCGCAGGATGGTTCAAGGAACAACACTCATCGCTGGTAGTGTCACATATTGATTCTCGATTCGTTTGGAACTGACCAAAGGGCTATGTCCTAAGGAATTGGTTTTTTGACCCAGCAGTCGCGTAGGAAGCCTGCAGACGTCAAGAGGGTTTCTTGACCTCGCCACACACCCTCATCGATGAGCGGCGATGGTTTGGGGGCTTCTCAAGGAAACTTGTTCAACATGTGCCACAATTGCAACCCGTCGAGGCCCGATGGATGAAGCTTTCCTTGAAGCTTGAAAATACTTAACTTTCGGAGCATCTACCTTTTTTCTCTCCTCAGAGCAGTAATGGGGTGGTAGACCACGCGGTACGCACATCGAAGATCAGGATCGTCATACGTGGAGATACGCGCTGTTACAATCTTTTCGTGCGTGCGAACCATAACCCGTGGGTGGCCCTGGGGCCTTTTCTTTGCACCAGTGATGTCTCCCAGCCGCCCTCCACCCTCGGATATGCCAATGGATCTTTGTAACCACCACCCTGGGGAGCTCTTGAGGCTCTGTATGGGGTTGGTGAAAAATTTTCATCCTTTTGTTTTAGCCCTGATTACCATCTCCTCCATCAGTGGCTGCGGAACAGGACCAAATTTTTTGGTGTTTTGGAGACATTGTCCTAGAAAAAGCTCCAATCGTTTCAGCTTTGTGCCAAAGTGATAACACATTTCTCTGTCTGCTCCTTCCCATCGCCAGAGCCCCGAGTGTCTTCCACGTGGGTATGGTTCTTCGTGTGACACAATAGACAATTGTGCTCAGGCAGGACGCAAGGGGTAAACAATAGGTGCGCAATGTCCAAGATTTTAGGCGGGAGGGGTCCGTCTGCGGGGAAGAGGGGCTCTTGCTGGGTGGCTCGTACAGAAGGGATCTACGCGCTTCCCGTACCTTATTGTACAGAGGAGCCTAAGTGGCCGCTGGGCTAGCCCAAGTGACTATGATTAATGTCAGTTTGTGCCGCTTCACCTCTTGATCCTCCATATGCGAACAGCACACTCCTCTGCTATTGACACTGGTATTTTGCTCTTCCGGCGTGAGCATGTGCTTTCATAATACTAATTATCAGAATTTGGCAAACCGGTGGGTGGTTTGAGTTTAGACTTGCGCATTGTTTTCCCCGAGACGTTCCAGATGACCTGATTCCCAGAGATGTGGCTTGGTGCATTCATCCCGAGACCGAGGGACTTTTTATGAGCGACAAACCTTCCATCGGCGCCAGAAGTGTAATTCCATTCGCCCGTGCCTTGCAACTTTCGGTTTGCTGCAACCCACCTTAGGTAGATTTGTCAGTCGCAGTTGGGGCCTTTGCACGCTGAGGTGAATTGGAGGCAGATGCCGGCTGGTTCATGCACGGGCTTTTTGATCCATGCACCCCAGTGACAGGCTCGGCACATGACGCGCGCAAATGCACGATCACAGGCTCGCGTAACAGTCAGAAGTGAGGAATAGTCCTGGGCTCTCAACCCATCCAGAACCTAAAGCTTTATCACGGCATGGAGAGCAAACCTCGACCTAAAAGTTCCCGCCGGGACCACAAGAAGCCGAAACTTGCATCAGGTGCGAAAGGTCCCTCGCTGGGTGAGTACTCTACATACAGGTCTGAACCTTCCGAGTCTTGCTGTGGTCCACGCACCATTGACTGGGTTGTCTTCTACCCTATGTCATGCAAATGATCGGTAGCAAGTTTGGGGCTTCTCCAGTTGAGATGCTCAAGTACTTAATTCACAAAACCGCACGCGAGTGGGGATTACTTCTTTCCTCCAGCATGCTTAGCAGACATGTCTGTCATGATCAGAGCGCTATCACTCCCGGCCGTGTCTCGCGAGGAGCGGGTAAACCGCAACCTTGACCAGTGCACCCATTTGGATCACCTGTACGCAGGCATTCCCAGCTCGGAATACCACAAACGCAAACTCTCCATGATCCACAATTTCTTCGACATTCTTCTGTCTCTCTTCGGTTCGAACTATGGCTATTCTGTGCACACTGGCCCCTTTCGTGAGACACTGCCAGAATGGCCAGAACTTGGTTGGGTCTTCCCCCCCACAGAATAATGGTGCAAGAGTTTCTGACAGATACCAGCAAATATTGGAGCTGGCCTACAACCTATATGAGTCTGAGGGATTGATCCTCAGACAATTTCCCAAATGGGATGGCTGCGTGGCTGGTAATAATAGGCCTGGCAGGGTCACCAATTGAGATTGGCGGATTCTCTCTCACCATCTGGGGTTGTCCGCGACTCGACTGCCCTACCTATATCCTTTCCTCCTGCGGTGTTCAACCGTTTGGGGGAAAGTGTTGCTTCCCAACATCCAGTGCAAACCACTAGCTTCCCTCAATACAAGAACAGGCACTAGCAACATGACTTGGTTGGCAATTGGGCTCGTTGAAGGTAGGGGTGACTGAAGGGCGGGGTGCATGCTTACCAGGATCGCTAAACTTGATGTGTGGCTCATCGGGTCAGTCGGTAGTCGGGGTTCCGATTATTGAAAAGAGTGGGAAGGGTGGCTGAACGGCACATCTACTCTGTACCTGTGGCTAGGTGGGTGTTATTAGTGGTGTTCGGGCTGTTCTCATGGAATTACTCTGTTGTTTCGCATTTTAGTGCACGGGACCTGTAATTAGTACTTGTGCCCGCCGTGGCATCATTGGTGTGATGCCTGGTTCTCTACGTCATATCCATCCCAGTCACGTGAATACGGGTCTGATCATTGGCAGGCATCCCTGTTCCTGGTGCGCCTCCTGCAGATGTTTTTCCCAGATCGTCCTTGTCAAACCCATCGAGCCGTCTATCGTCATCACCGTGACACTTCAACCATTGGGTCTTGTCTTTATTTCACTCTGCTTGTTTCTTCTCTTTCTCATTATCTTTAACCCCCGATCAGACTCTGTTTCTCAGTTTCTGCTCTTTGGCATATGCTGGCCGGTGGTTCTCTAGTCCACGAGTAAAAATGCGCATGTAGCCCCTATTCTTGTCCCCTTGTGTCCATGTCAGCCTTCCTCGCTAACCTCCACCTTAGATCGCTTCAGAGCATGGGCACATTCGTCTGCTCACCGGCACAACTTCAATCCATGGTCGCCCGTAAATGACAATCAAGCTTCTTCAGCGAGTAAGGCTCCGACGCAGAGCGAAGATTCGACAGAGCAGAAAAAGCACAACCGCTCCATTGTTGGTCGCGTGCTAGCCAATATCAAGGTCGCCCTGTTCCACAGCTGGGTGAATGTTCTCCTGGTTTTTGTGCCCGTGGGCATCGCCATCCACTTTGCCGGAATCAACCCGAATGTGGTTTTTGCGATCAATGCGATTGCCATTATCCCTTTGGCTGGGCTTCTGACATTCGCAACCGAAAGCGTTGCTCATCGGCTTGGGCCCACTTTGGGAGCTCTGCTGAATGTGAGTTTTGGAAATGCAGTCGAGTTGATCATATTGTAAGTCCATTTCTGCCCGTCGATGAAGCATTGTGCTGACCGCATACAGTATGTACGTGATGTCTAACCCTAGTTCGAGTGCGACAACACTAACTACCCACAAGTATTGCCCTGGTCAAGGATGAGATTCGCATTGTCCAAGCTTCCCTGATCGGCTCACTTCTTGCCAACCTCCTCCTCATCTTGGGTATGGCCTTTTTGATTGGAGGCCTAGAGTTCCAGGAGCAGATTTATGACAGCACCGTTACTCAGATGTCGGCTTGCTTATTGGCGCTGGCGGTTCTTAGCTTGCTCATTCCGGTCAGTTCTAATGTCTCGCGCTGATTTGGACTCGGAATCCAGAGTGTGCTAATGGAGATCGTCAGACCGCCTTCCACGCGTCTTTCAGTGACCTTCAGAAAGCTGATCGCGCGGTCATCAAACTCAGCCGAGGGACTTCCGTCATACTACTCATCATCTATGTCCTTTACCTGCTCTTCCAACTGAAGTCCCATGCGTATCTCTATCAAGGAACACCACAACACATCATCGATGAAGAGGCGACGCCGGGTATCCTTCAACGCTTCGACTCTACGAGCTCCTCCTCTGCCAGTTCTTCAAGATCATCTATTACGAGTGGCTCGCATCGGCGTGTGAGCAAGAGGCTCAGGGCTAAGCTGGGCCGGAGACGGGAGGTGAAAACCGAGGTCGAGTCTGAAGTGGCAAATGGAGAATCCGCTGTACAGATGGATCCGAACGTGATTGACGTTCACGCAGAAAAGACTGCCGAGCCAGAGGAGATCAAGTCGCAAGACGTATCAATGGAAGGTATGCCACCCAATCCTCCGGCAGCTTCAGCCAAGGATAAGAAACCAAACACTGGGTCCCGCGGACTCTCTTTCCGAACTCCGCCAGTGTTCCGATCATCAACACATCCGGCCCCCAACGGCAGAGAACCAAATTATCACTCTCATTCCCTTCGACAGTGTTCGTCAGCCCCCAACGATCAACAAAGCCAAGGTCTGGGAGCTGCACGAATCGTACGCCGCACGACACCGAAAACTGCGCCCACAGAGGACGACGCTCCTCCCATGAGCCAAACCGCTTCGATAGTGCTCCTGCTGGCCTCCACCGCTCTTGTTGCACTCTGTGCGGAGTTCCTTGTTGGAAGTATTGAGCACTTGGTGGAAGACTCTCCCTTGTCGGAGGCTTTCATTGGGCTGATCATCCTGCCCATCGTTGGCAATGCTGCCGAGCATGTCACGGCTGTAACGGTGGCCGCCAAGAACAAGCTCGACCTCGCCTTGGGGGTGTCGCTCGGATCGTCCATTCAAATTGCGCTCTTTGTTACTCCATTCGTCGTGATTCTGGGGTGGATCATGGACAAGGACATGTCTCTGTACTTCAGCTTGTTCGAGACTGGGTCGTTGTTTGTTTCCACCTTCATCGTCAACTTCCTAGTCCTGGACGGACGCAGCAACTATCTGGAGGGCGCGCTGTTGTGCGCGTGCTATGTGATTGTGGCTGTCGGAGCATACTTCTTCCCCGACGGACAGGACCAGAGTTCGCTAACAAGTGGACCCTCGACTTGATGCGTGCTTCCCATGCTGAAAGTCGTCTTTGCCAATCTGTGTATTGGACGAGAACAAAAGTGCTTGCGACTCCAAACCCGAGTCAGCTTTGCAACACAGCTTTATCATGGCCCAAATGCGTTGTTCTGATGTACGCTGGGTGGCGGTTGTGTTTCCTGGACCATGTTACAACAGGCCACAGTTCCATTTGCCATGGGTGGAAGCCACAATTGACTTCTTACCTACTCGAAAGAGATCGATTCCAATGTCATCATCGGGGTGCAGAACGACCGAGTTGCAGATTACCTTGCTGATGATCAGCTGTCGCCTCTTTTTGTGACACATACACACAAATGAATTGCTCGGCGTACAACCCACAGTGACTAGCTGGCAATTAGGTCTATGGTCTTGCAGGTCATTGGAGAGGTATGTGAAACTACATAAGAGCGCTGGTTTACGTGAATTGCAGTACCCAATTCACTCCTGACGAAGATTTGGGTATACTTGCTTCTCACTCTATCCCAAGCATATTGACCAACCGCGGAAAGTACGAGGTCTGATCAGGCCGGTGGAGGGGTGATAGTCAAACAGCATGTGACGATTTGCGTCGACCACAAAAGCAACTCGGCTAGCTGAAGTGGTCGATACATGCAGGAATTAGAGCTGGAGCAGTCCTAACTCATGTGCCACCGCAGTACCATCGCCATAGCGCGAAGACAGAACTTGCAATAGGGCTGCTGGCGGGAGAGTCAAAACAACAATAGATTAGGCACATATACGAATTCGTGGCCATATCATTACTTCTCCCCAGCCGGGCAAGGCTTCGCTACTGTGCTCCACGTGATGATACGGAGCATGGACGCGGAGCACGGAGCACGGAGCAGCGGAGCGAGTGACTCACGATCGAATGCACCATGTCCCTCAGGCGATAGAAGAGCCCTCAAAGCGTGCCTGGCAGATGTGGACGTTGCCGTGGGGCAATCAATGTGCAGGATTGTTCCACCCACTGACTCTCGATCTGGACGTATTCAGCTGTACATGAATTAATATTAACATCACACCAACTCGAGGCGGGATTGAAGGTATTTGGAGTAAGAGAGACATTTTGCTTGACCAATACTCCAAGATCCACCACTCTTCTTGAGTCCTTGTCTTTAAGACACGTAGGAGAAGCAGATAAAAGCTTCTACGTGTTGGTGTCGTACTGGACCACAAACAGGCCAGATATACGGGAATACGACGCTCGCTCGCTTGCTGCCTGGCTCACACACTGACTCACTGACTGGCCGGCACCGATACCGACACAACCCCTGGCTTCGGCTCCGGCGCTCCGCTCATCAATCCCACAGCGGAAAATATTAATTCTCTCTTCATTTGTCTCACTGTCGAGATTGTGAGAGCCCCAAGACGAACACCAACGACAGAAGCTCTTAGAAGTCTTCCTGTGTCTCAGGCTGGAGAGGTGGAGATTGGGACGTCCACCAGCAGATCGACAAGGGCTATTGGAAAGAAAACAAACACACTCCAACTCTCAACGATACCCAGTCGTGCATCATCAAGATGGCATCCACGACATCTCGGCAGTCGAATGACCGCGATCCGACATTTCGCAACTACGATCCCGTGTCGGCGGCCAAATACCTCCAATCTCGACCCAGGTACACTGACGTGCTGATCGATCTGGTCATCTCCAAACACACCTCGTCTGGCGGGGGTTTGGACCTGGTGGTCGACGTCGGCTGTGGGCCCGGCATCGCGACCCTCAACCTGGCGCCGCACTTTCAACATGCCATCGGTGCCGATCCAGGCCAGAGCATGATTGAAGCCGCAAAGACCGTCCCTTCCACGACAAAATCGGGCGAGCCGATCAAGTACGAGGTCTGCCCGGCGGAGGCATTGAGCACGCTATCGGCGCTGAAAGAGATATCAGGCGCTGGGAAGGACGGGATGGAGTCTGTGGACCTCATCACCGCCGCTACTGCCGCCCACTGGTTCGATATGCCTCGTTTCTGGGGCGAGGCCGCGAAGATCCTCAAACCCGGCGGCAGTGTCATCATCTGGTGCTATGGAGGTCATTTCTGCAACCCGAGCACCCCCAACGCAGAGAAGCTCCAGGAATGGCTCAAGACCTTCGAAGAGGAGGTCCTTGGGCCATACGAGCTGCCCGGAAACAGAGTGGCCCGAGAACTGTATGTCAATCTGGGACTGCCGTGGGAATGTCTCGACAGGATCGACGGCGACGGCGACGACAGCCAAGAACTGAAGACCCTTCTGAAGGAATTTGACGAGCAACAGTTTGAGAGGATTGAGACGGATAGGGAAGGCCGGCTACCCACTGGAGATGCCTTTTCCGCCTTCAGGAGGCTCGAGTTCGCCAAAATCAAGACGGTGATGGCCACAGCCAGTCCGATCACGCGGTGGAGAGAAGCCAACAAAGAAAAGGTGGAACGCGGTGAGCTAGAGGACGTTTTGGATCTGCTGATCAGAAGGGCCAAGGAGATCCTTGAGGAGGTGCCAGAGGGGAAGGGCAGGGATTGGATCGAGAATGGAAGTCGGATGGTTATATTGGTTGTGAAGAAAAGGAAGTGAGGGCAAGAGGAGGGATGAAGGCGAATTTTCCTAGAACGGGCTAACGCTAGAGGTATTCTACATGCGCGAAGATGCCCAGAGGGAGCACTCCTTTCCATAGAGAAGCACTGAGATTGGATTTATCAAGGTACATTGGAGACCATTTCTATATATCCCTTTCTTCCAGCGGCTCTCCGATCGGCGAATTGTTTTTCCGAGTGCTTGGCAACAAGGCTGCTCCTCACAAGGCTGTCAATTGCTGCACAATTTTTGACGTTTCGGATCCCAGGTACCACGTCGACTACTGCACCGCCATCTGCGCATACCACTGCCTACGACCCCTATCCTCTTCTACCCTTGTATATTGTCCAGTGCAGTTGCTCGCGACAGTCCAGCACTCTACCTCAACGAACGATTCGGAGGCTGTTGCGAATTCTGCGCTCCGCGGCGCAACCCGCGCAAAATGAAGCTTGTTAGGTTCGTTACGCCCGTGTTCACTCCTCAACGCTATCTTTACTGGGAGTCGCGCTCGCCCGGAGCTGTGGGGGCTAGATCTACTTGTTGTTGTGCACGTGAAAAAGATGCCGAGTTGCTGACAACCGGGAATCAGGTTCCTCATGAAATGCGCCAACGAGTCGGTCACGATCGAACTCAAGAACGGCACCATCGTGTCGGGCACCATCACGTCGGTGTCGCCGCAGATGAACACGGCGCTGCGGGCGGTGAAGATGACGACCAAGAACCGGTCGAACCCCTCGGCGCCCGGCGACACGGTCAGCCTCGACACCATCAACATCCGCGGCTCGACCATCCGCTACTACATCCTGCCGGACTCGCTGCCCCTCGACACGCTGCTCGTCGATGACCAGCCCAAACCGAAGAACAAGGCGAGGAAGGAAGGTGAATCGCGGGGTGGCCGGGGAAGAGGCGGCGGGAGGGGTCGGGGAAGAGGTGGTGGCGGTGGGCGTGGACGTGGGAGAGGGAGAGGCTTTTAGGGTGGCCGCATGCCCCCCAAAAAAACTTGGGACGGGATGTACACATCTGCATTCGAGCAGCCACTCAGTTGTCCCTGACGCCGCGGCTATGATTAGGTTTTTATGGCTTTCATGAGGAACAATCAATGCTTTGTAAAGGCCAAAAAAGAACAACCAAGCCCTGCGGCAGAAAAACACGGACGTCTCATGTACGAGAGCCGCTCAGCACACCAATGAGCATGTTGTCATGACGGAAACGGCATTTACTACAGGACACACCTTCCGCCACGGGGACCGTTGGTCGGTCGACACCTGCACCGTCGTGGTGGGATGGAAAGGTCTCAGAAAAGGAATGGTTCTGGCGCAGTTTTGGTGGTACGTGCGAGATACGCAACAGCTTTACAGTCGAAAGGGTGAGAAAGACAAAAAGGGCACGGCGAACTGCTATCAGAAGCGGGTTTGGCTTCTCTTCGACTACCGCGAGATGCTGCAGACCTTATTCCCCGTCATGATCGAAGGAAGATTCAAAATCAAAATGGATAGATGCTCTGACACGTCTGACACGTCCTTTCTGTTTTTGGGGCTGCAGTTGTCTCATGACCATATGCACTTCTTGTGTCAAAGAGATATGGCTTCGCTGAGAGAGGAACCAAAGCTCCATGCATGCAACTGCACGTCTTCCTTGGTTGATTCGCCTGCTTTATGAGATAGATCACAGAGCATTCCCTTTCTTTTTTTCTTTCTTTTTTTGAAGCTCTATTTTCACTTGATCCAATCCCTCGTAGAGCTGCCGCTGCTCCCATCCCCTTGCTCGCTGGGCCATTTTTGCTTCCCATAGCACCAAGCAAGATATCAGTCTCGTATGTTGAGGAGTGAGGACCAGGTAGGTGGTTCGACGACCTGCCATGATGTTCGAGTAATAATAATGGTAGCCGTCCTCCTGCCTCCTCCCCTCCCCTCTCCTCTCGTCCTTGATTCTCGTCAGGAATGCCTGCCCCCGGCCCCCCTCAACCCGACCCAACCCAAAGGCCGATCATCCACGCTGCTGCTCAAACAGGCAGAGCACGGTAGAGTAAGTACTGTAGTACAAGATGGGGGCCGCCACGCTGACGAGGCTGACGAATACATGACATGTTATGGGGAGATCAATCAATCAATCAGGGCACCAACTACATACTATGTACATATGTATGTTTGTACGTACGAGTATGGGTGGGGACCAACGATCCATCCGCCGTGCGTGTGTCAAGCCCGACTATTTTCCTCATTATTCTTATTATTATCATGACAGCGCCACCACTCCTTTCCACTCTTTTCTCCATAGTATGGTTACAATACACTAGAGGAAGAAGAGGGAGTCGGTCACGGAGCACCGAGCACCGAATACCATTTCCATCTATGTATGTATGTATGCACCTGCCCTACCGACCCACAAATGATTCTCTCCACAAAGGACCCCTAACACCTACCTACCTGATAGGACATACTGTATGTACATGCAAACATAGGTGAATGAGCAGATAAAATACCCTAATTATATGGGTCCCCGAAGAGCCCGAGTATCTATCTAGAGAACCGCTTCACCCCTACCTGCCTAGTGCGTGTCGAACCTGCTCTCTCTCGCTCGCTCACACACATTGTTTTGGAGTGTATCCGAGAGAGACGATTGGGGAAGAATATGTCCATATCTATCTATCACAGTAGGGAGTAGTAATATGGAGTTTGCGGAGTCTACATACTCTCCGAATCTTCCCAATGAATTGAATTATTTGCTCGCTCTCTCCCTCGGATAGCGCCCCCTCTGGGTCCTCCGGGTACGGCAAAGGGCGTTCGTGTCAGATTATTGTCCCCAACCTCGCCTATCCGCGTGGATGTGAGAGAGAGAGAGAGATCCCTTTTCTGTCAGGCGAACTGCTGCCCCAATGCCTGCCTGCCTGCCTGACTGACCGACTCCACAGCGGTGGCGACTGTGATGTGTGATCTGATGGAGATTGAGCCGTACGGTAGCGTTTGGGGAGAAGCGACATTGAGAACAATAATGAAGGAATGACACCGCCGGCCCCTCCACCCTGGCCCCCCCTCTAGGACCTTGATTGATGACAAGACCCAGGCCCTCTGTTGACACGCGTATACCTATTATGTATTATATACCCAGGTGCCAAGTTACCACGTTGATCATGTTGTACATACTAGTATATATCAGCCACGGCCCACGGGGACTGGGCTTAGGGGTCCTGGCTCCTTGTCTTCCTCGTCCTCCTCGTCCTACTCAAAAACACCGTGCAAGTTCTATCCCATAGGAGTTAACTAAATAAGCTGGAGTGGAAAAGGACCACGACCCCCGTCCCCCTCAACCACGACCAACCCGCCCTGCCTGCACGGGGCACATGAGAATAGTAATATAGGAAATATCCAGCCAGGGGTCAGCAGCACGAAACACCCTCCCGAAATGTCACTGGAAATCCAAACCCCCTACGGCACCGCACTGCCGCCCGCCCCCAGGCACGCCATCACCGTCCACCTCCCGCTGTGGCAGTCGATCGTGCGCTTCCGCGACCACGACCCGGAGCTGTTCAAGGCCCTCAAGAGCATGTACCCGCGCTTCGTCCTGCACAAGGACGTCTTGGAGGTATGTATGGACAATCTTGTCCCTTCTGCTTAGGACGGGGTTCGATTCCCAACCAACCGGGGGTCCCCTTCCGGGTCATTTGATACATTCATCGTCTTTGACCGTTTTTGGTTGTATGTACTCATGCAGGGTGAGGAGAGAGAGAGAGAGACAGAGAGAAAGAGAGGAAGAGAGGAAGAGAGAGATGCTAACACACAATCAATATAATATAGCTTACCGAGAAGATCGTCGAGGTCGCCGGCGTCGAGGGACAAGGCTGTTTCGTGTTCCCCTCGTCGCAGTCGGCGCGCGATTGTGAGGAATATGCGACCTCTCCCAGTCGCGGAGAAGGTGCCATCCCGGGCGACAAGATCTCCGTCCGGGTCTTCAAGGCGCACGTCCCGCTGCACGCGGTCTTTTTCCCCGCCGAGTCCCTCGCCACGGTCCACGGCTTCTGGGTCAACGCGGGCGTCGGCATCTCCTCCCGCTTGGCGGAGGACAGCCTCAAGCACATCAGCGGACTGCGAGAAGTCCACGAGGACGAACAACAGCTCGCCACGACCGAAACCACCGACACAGGAGCCCGTCAGCAGGTCAAGGAGAGGATAGCAGGCCTGCTTAACCGAGCCCCAACCGACCCGCAACGCACGGCGCGCGTGTTGGCCAGTGACGTGTACCTGTTCTCGACGGGGATGGCGTCGATATACTGGGTGCACCGCTACCTGCTGAGCAAGTACGCCGCGCCGTCCGTGCTGTTCGGGTTCTCGTTCCACTCGACCATCCACGTCCTGGAGGACTTTGGGCCGGGCGTCGAGTTCCTGGGTCTGGGTTCGGAGCAGGATCTCGACCGGCTCGAGAAACACCTCACGACGACGCAGCGGGGGCTGGGCAAGACCGTGCAGGCCATCTGGGCCGAGTTCCCCTCCAATCCCCTGCTGAGCACCCCCGATCTGCGCCGGCTCAGACAGCTGGCAGATGAACACGGCGCGCTGCTCGTCGTGGACGACACGGTCGGTAGCTTCTGCAACGTCGATGTGCTGGGTGTCGCGGACATCGTCGTCACCTCTCTGACCAAGTCGTTCAGCGGGTACGCGGACGTCATGGCCGGCAGCGCCGTCCTCAGCCCCCTGTCGTCACGGTACGGGGAGCTCAAGGCCCTGTTCGACACCGAACACCACGACGACTTGTACATCCGTGACGCCGAGACGTTGGCGCACAACAGTCTCGACTACCTCGAGCGCTCTGTCGTGTTGAACCGCAACGCCGAGAAACTGGTCGACTACCTCCAGAGCAAAGCGCAGGATCCCACCAGCAGCGTCAAACGGGTCTTCTACCCGACGGTCAACCTCGACACCCTCCCCAACTACACGCCCTGGATGCGTAGGCCGACACCCGAATTCCCCCATCCCGGGTACGGGTGCCTGTTGAGCGTAGAGTTCCGCGACATCGAGGCCACCATCGCCTTCTACGACAATCTGCACGTCCACAAGGGCCCGCATCTAGGTGCGCATCTGACGCTGGCACTCCCATATTCGCTGGGCGTGTATGGGAACGAGGCCGAGTGGGCGAGCGGGTACGGCGTCAGGCAGGAGCAGGTGAGGATTTCGGTCGGGTTGGAGGACACGGAGGAGCTGGTGGAGAGGTTGAGATGGGCGGTCGAGGCGGCTGACAGATTCGGTGGGAGAAATGTCGACTTGAAGAACTGAGTATCGAACGAAGGGTGACTGTTTCTGGATGCATACGCGGATGTGCTCGTAACTGAATTGTAGCACACAGAGTTTCTGTTCCGGGATACCTGTGTTGTCTTGTTCATTGCCCATTCCAGACGAGAGGAATTGTGATCCTGTGCTTTGTGATTCTGGAGGTCTGTCTTCGCCTCGCTCCGGTCCCTGCCATCGTCAGTGGGCTGTGATAGTCAATCAGTGGGTTCGAAAACAGCTGCGTCTGGCCGGTTAGACCGAGGAATCTTTGAACGAGAGATATCTCAGAGACCGGAATTTCAGGAATAAATCTTGTTTTTACATTTGCTCGCAAAAGGTGCAGTCCCCAGGAGTCCCTCTCGTATTGGACTGGAAAATTGTGTGCTTTGCTTCGACCTGGCCTGAGAGGAGGAATGCCGCGCGGTGTTTCCACTGGACATCAACAGGTTGCAAATCGGAGTTGATAGATGCCACCTTGATTCATCCGTCTTCCTTTCTTTCTTGTTCCAGCTAATCATGCCTCACTCATCGACATGTTCCTCTTGTTGTTCATCCCCCTGAGCCGACTTCATTTCTTCATCTGGTTCATCTTGTTTTCCAGTTCCGTCACGTATGAGTGGATGCGCTGCACGGCCGCTTGTAGGGCCTGAGGTCGAGATGTCAGTGTCCGGTGTGAAAGGTCAGAGCTTCTGGGGAAGCGGAGGAAATCAAGTGGTCGTTACTAGGCGCATGGCGTGTCCAAAATTGATGTCGCGAAGAGCTTGTGCAGTTGGCAGGCAGCACAGGCGGGGGATCACGTACATAGATGTCCTCCGTCAACAACTCATTGGAGACCTTGTATTCCTCGAGGATGTAATAGTAGACGGACGCGCCAGCCAGGGTCGAACCGAGTAAGAAACCGAACAGTCTAGGGAGAGGGCGCAGCATTAGCGGTTCATTCTCTCATCCATCTTGTGCCGGAGCTTCCTGAGAGCTTTCCTGGCATTTCGCTCGTCTGTCGACGGTAGGAACGCGGCAAGCTCACCCTCCTCTGAAAGCTCCCATGGGCTTTTTCACCGGGACCGCCGCGGCACCAGCTTCTTGGAATCTGCGGCTCGTGGACTGGAATGTTCTCGATTGGAACTGAGGAAGGCATCTGAGGGTCCGGGACGCGAAGGAGAGGCGCGGGACGAGCACGCGGGACGCCATAGCTTGCGGGAGGACAGGGTCGAGCTGAATCTGTAGCAGAGGGGCGCAGGCTGGTGGTGGAGAGACGCGTTGGGAGAGGATGTCGAGCTTGACACACAATTGAGGGAGGTGAATTGCGGTAATTTATGATGGGGATAGACGTTCGGGCGGAGTCGCTTCAGGATAGTGAGGACGAGCAATATATTCCGTCCGGGAGGCACAAGCAGCAGATTTCTCCACATTTTGGGGGGAAAACCGCCATGACGATGGTTAGTTATAATACTAATATGTACGAGGTAGAACGGTGGCTGTGCTAGCTCAGCAGCACCAGGAGACACACAACCAATGCTACATAATCCAATCCAACGTGCATTCATCCTCCTTGCACCGAAATGGCCATGGCCATGATCTTGGTCTTCTCTATTCTCTATTCCAGCACATAACCGTGAGATCATTCAGTCCACAAACAAATCCGCCAGCAGATCCTTCCTACATGCCGCCAGATCGGGTGGTTGGAGGCTGTACGTGTCTTCAAAAGCATGAATGCTCAATTGCCGGAAGAACGGACGCAAAAGGGCAAGGGGGTCTTCGCTTGTCCGTGTCATGTCCGTGCACAGCCAGGGAGTTCGGGCTCCAGTGTCTGCCACCGTAGGAAGCTCCGCCTCATGGCCTCCCTTGCTCACCATCAGGTCGGCAATTGCGGTTGACGTGAAGTCATGTGGAGGATGGACTGCATCCACCGTGTCGGTCACGAACAACCATTCGTGTAGTTGGAACTCTTCTGGCTTCAGGAGAAGGAGCAGGTCCAGCAGCTTGGCTCCCTGCAGTTGGGAATAGCCCGTAGATCCAGCCTCAGCCCCCTTCTGCACACTCGTGAATAGTTCTCGAAGCTCCATGTCCACTATCGGCCATATCGAAACCAGATGCACCTGAGTAAACGCCAACGTCACCGCTCGAAGAACGAGATAGACATCTCCGCGGGTGCTTGACGATGGAGACGACGACGGGGTTGCCGTAAGGAGTTCCTCGAGTCTGTGAACGATCTGGCCGAGGTCTGACACGAACGCGTCGACATCTCCAGCCAACAGAAGCAGAGCAATCCGTCGCAGGTTAAGCTGAGTCTTCCTGTCGGCCTCCGTTCGCGCAGCGGCAGCACCGACGCCAAACATCAGCCCTGCCGTCGTCGGAGGAGTCAGTCGGGACACAAATTCGGCCATGAGCCCTTTATCGGACAGCCAGAGTTGCTTCAAGACGGGAAGCCATCCCGTTTCGGCCAACCAAGGAGCCGACTGGAAGAATTTGTTGTCGTTGAGGGCATCCTGGATATCTTTCTTCCAGACCTTGTTGTTCGGCTGGGATTTGGCCATGAGAAGGACAAGTTGCAGAACGTCCATATTCACCGTTTGGGGAAACTGCTTGGATCGCAGGGCTGGTCCGGTGACATAGGTGGCCACTCCAGGAAGTGTGACATTCAGCCTGTCTTGGTCTCCGAGCGCATTGCCGATGATAGGCAGGGCTTCACACAAAACCTCAATGGCATTGCCAACCTGCAACGAAACCTTCCGCCGCATGACCTTCGCCCCTGTTGAATGTTGAACGTCCGGCATCGGCTGAGCAGCCGAGTCAAGTCCAGCCGGCCTGATCGTAAATATAGCTGTGAGAAGTCTCGCACACAGATCGCTCAGTTCGCGCCGCATTTTCAGAACCTCCCCAAAATTCGTGTTCTCCATCTTCTGACACAGAACAGCCACAAATTCCAGAAGCTTCAGCAGGATTTGACGGTGCGGCATAGGGTTGGCAAGAACTTCCCGCAAGAAGGCCGTGCAATCGGTCCAGATCTCTTCGAGCAGGTCATCTTCAAGCGCGCTGGTGTACGCTATCAGAAACGCCATCAACTCGGGTGCACTAACGTCCACCGACAAGCTGGATTTCTGAGACTGGTCGAGCGCTGATGGGTTCGTCCGGTTGTAGATCGCGTTGAACGTGGCCGGCATCATGAATTTCGGTCGTGCTCCGTCGAGGCTTTGCATCAGATTAAGAGTGATGTCTTGTTGAGAATCTCGACGAGCCCCCTCAATCCACATGCCCATCAGCGTTTCAAGACATTCCTGTGGTTCCGCGTCTGCAAGATGCTCCAGGATCCGTCGGGTTCTGGTCCGCAGCCGCGTGGACATATACGCAAAGGATTTATTGTCAGGAGCAGAAATCGATGGCCTTTTGAGCATTCTCCAGGCCCAAATCTCACCGCACAACTTGATCGTGTCTTGCATGCAAAGAATCACAGTCAATCGATGATTCGCGATCGAGCGCGACTGAGATTTTTCCGAACTGTTCGGGTTTGCCTCTAACCCAGAAGCGTGATCCACCAGGTGTGTATGCGCTCTTGCTAAAATGTATTCAAGCCCGGCAAGTAGATTATTGACTGATCTTTCCGGGTGCTTGACCATTTTGAGAGATTTATCTCCGTTGGCTTGGACTACCCTCGGTCTTTCGTACAGCTGTTGCATCAGCATGAAGTAGTCTCTGGTCCGTTCACAAAAACATGCTGTCAGCTTGAGCATATTTGAGAATAGATTTTGAGTCGTATACAGCGGAATGGTGTTACACAGAAGTGTGATCCATTTGTCGATCGTGGAATCAATAGCTGGGGATGAGATGCCGGAAATCAAGATCGGAATGAGTTCACTGGGTGGGTTGCCAAAGTTGGGTCTTGCAAATATTATCCGCAACAGGTCCAGTATTTCTTCCTGCGAGGTACTATCCTGGGTTATGTCGGTCAATTGCTTTAATAAGAGGCTGATCAGATCATGGTGTTCTTGCACGTCAGTTTCTTCAATGATCAATCGCAAAATTGACAACGTTGTCGTGAAGCTTTCTTCTCCCCTCCGTCCGCCTGCGATGTGCTCAATGCACATGTCTAGCACTGCTTCAGAAAATCCGTCACGTCCGAAGAGCTCGTTCCGCTGCACGTTCGACTGCCGTGCGAGAGTCAAGATCTTTCGAAGTCTGTGCAAAGCAAGCAGTGAGAGTTGAGCGTTCGATGTATTGGTAGACTCAGAATAGATGATTTTAAAGACGGGTCGAATTGATGGAAGGCTTGTCAACCAAGTCCGCCGCCGATCCTCTGGTAGAGAGGGGTCGAGCTCATCAACCATGTTCAAGATCGGCTGCCGCAGCAGAGACCAGGGCACCTCGTCGTCAGTGCCGTCATTTTTGGCAGCAAACAGCTCGACGTTGACCTCCGGAAAGCGGGTATGCGTCCACAGGGTCGAGAACCGTGCCAGTTGATCTTCGAGACACGGACGGTCCTGGTCTTGTTCGCACATGAGATCCGTTATTTTGCTGTCCACGAGGAGAAGTTGTTGGGAGATCATGCGAAGGTTCCAGATCTGTTCCACAGCCTCGACGTGGAATTGTGGTGTGGAGGGTAGAAGAACCTCCCACAGTTGCGCGATGAGTTCCGGTATCAGCCGAAGAAGGTAAGACTCTGTCAAAGTCGACCTGCTCGGGTCGAATATATGCAAGCTATCCACTATCCTTGCGGTGGTTCGAACAGTTTCGTATTTGACATTGATGTCTTCTGCGGGGAGCCTCAGTAAATCATATAGTCGATTTCCAAGTCCAAGTTCACGCAATGGCTCGAAGTTGCTGGTTCTGGCTATCGCCTTGACGAGACTGTTGGTGAGAGGTCCGAGCAGTGTCTTGCTGGATGGGTGATTCAAGCAGTCCAGAATGATGAGTGCAATGTTTCGAAGAAGAATTTGAGCGGCGGCAGTCGGAGGGATCAGGTCAAAAATAGCCTTTTTCGCGTAGGACGACTCTTCGTAAAGCGTCTTCAGCTTCATCAGCCAGCCCTCCTCCGGTATTTGACCTGATGCTTCGGAGGAAGCACCTCCCGGATGAGGTGGCAATAAGGTCAAGATGGCCTCCAGGAGCGTTGCTAATCGCTCTTGGTAGGAATCATCTCGGCCACTGGCCTCGTGCGGGTCAGATTTTATCCCCTCGAGGAGCATTTCCGAGATTGCCAGGCACAGCATGGGTAAATGAATGGTCGTCATTTCCTCTTCTTGCAAGTTGAAATTTGAGAAGATAAACTCAATAAGATTCAGATCCCCTCGTACAAGAAGGCCGAAGAGCTGATTGGTGATCAACTGGGGTTCAATTGCGTCGAAGAACACATTGGCACTCCTAAAGACCTCGTCAAATGACGACTGCGAAGGAGCGGCTGTCTGATACTTCTGTAAATCCTGCATTGCAGGAACGAACAGTTCCTCGACAGGCAGCTTTCCGATGATCCAGCGGTCCATCAGTGAAAGCATGATCCGGAAAGGACGGGCTCTGTCGACAGGCGACAGTGACTCCCTGTGAAGCATTTTCTCCAGGCTTCGGATTACGGGCTTTAGGCCATACGCAGCAAAGTAGTCATGCCTCGTATGCGCCTTGTCCTGCATTTTCGAGACTGTGGGTGTTGCCGCCTCGATCCCTGAGCCAGGCACGATGTCTGTCGACCCTTCTCGCTTGTCTTCTCTGCCAATGAACCAGGTCCACAAGCGGCGGTTGAGACTCATATCTCTTCTGAGGACAACCGACATCGCAGACATGACAAGGATGTCCAAGTCCGATGGTACAACAAGTGATTGGAGTATCGGAGCATTGAGAGGCAGATGGGATACTAAGAGATCGAGAAAACCGCGTTGAACTAGAGGTTGTTCATCCTGAAGCCCCGTAGCAAAGCATCGAACAAGCAATCCAGGCTCAGGAGCAGTCACAGATTTGATGGCCGCTCGCAACGCTTCAGTTGATTCTTGTTCCTGAGTGACGTCGCCAGACGGCTGACCTGCTACCGGACCTAGTTTGGGGAGCTGCCTTATCAGGTAGACCAATGCACCTGGACGCTTGGACGTACTCGTGATGGAGGCCAGGAACAGGCTTTGCCAGAAGAACTCCTCATTGCCGTCATCAGCAAAGATCTGTCGTAGATGGTTGACTGTGCTCAAGGTGCGGTCAAAATCTTCACTGTTCTCCTCTTCTATTCCTGGGAGCAGAGACAGGATGATCGCCCTTAAGGCAGGCCTTAGAGCATGGCTGGGCAGTCGAAGGATATGCTCATCGTAGAGGGAAAGGAATAGAGGCCTCGTTGTCAGTGTGGCAAACGTGAGAGTATGTGAAACTCCAGGAAACCAAATGGGCAGGTCTCGAGACAGTCCGTCAGTCCCGAGCAGGGAGAATACTAGGTTGTACACCTCCAGGGCCTTCTGGTGCACTCCTGATGGCAGAGATGGTTTCAGACATAGTGCCAGATACTTGGCCAAAGTCGACTTGAATGGGACTTCTGCGTCAGGTGGAGATGCTTGCAGAGCTTTTGCCAGCCGACTTAGAAAGGCAATATAGTCAGCCCATTCATTTGTGGCATCCCAGAGGCCCAGAGCCCTCTCAACACCCGCATGATAGCGGCGAATCGCTTTCGCGTCAGTAGTCATTGCGAGCTTGTCGGCAACAGAGTACTGGCATCGCCAGTTTCAATTACTGGCAGGTCAAGCTGTTGTCCATCGAGGCTTTGTATTAAGGGGGTGAGCGAGGTCGACGATGTGACAACTCGAGAACACGGTGTTGTCGGAGAGGGTTCACAACTATCATGATCTGTCCGAGATATCGAGTAGAATTCACAGTGAGAACTAGAGCAATCCTGACTGGATTTCGGCGATATACATGTATATGAGAGACACGGACGTTGGCAAAGACACGGTGGTCCTGTCGAAAAAGGCTCCCGCCAAGCCTAACGCCCGCGCCATCGTCTATCGTCCTTCATCATCATCGATCCGCAGTCCACTGGCCATGACCTCTTCTCATTGGCATCCTGGTCATCATCGTCAATTGACTCTCCGATGTGATGCCAGGATTCTTTCCCTGCGATCATGAATGTCATGAGCAATGACCGAAACGCGGGAAAGAGCGCCTATGATGGAGGCTAGGCCCAAAACTGGACAGCCGACAACTTGACAACAACAAACTGATGAAGACAGTTTCCAGTGCCCCAGCCTCCACGATGGGTGGTACGGACAATAGCACTCCTGGGACTACCAGGAGTCGTCAGACCTCGATCGCCTCAGAGGGAGACCGACCTCCCCTTCCTCCCAGACCAAGCGAATTAAGCCTCATGCACACCATGCCCTCTACAGGCCACTCTTCTCGCCCTCCTACTCGAGGCCTTATTGCAGGGGCAACGACGGCCGTGTCCATGACCGATGTCAACGCTTACAACCGGCCCGACGGCTCCAAGGAGCTGCGCGTCAGTGCTTCTCGTACACCTTCCAGCCATTCCATTCGGCCCTCCACCAGCAACAAAACCAGTGATGTGGGAGAAGACAGCTCCAGCGTCAGAAGCTATGCACCCATAGGCCGATATATCCAAGATACAGAAAGCATATTTGAGGGAGGCCTCCAAGAGGAACAAACCCTTTCTGCATCGGTCAGCAGCTCCCAAGGATTGTTCGAGGCAGAGTCGGACAGCCTGTACGACGAAGGTGACGTCGATTTTGATAACGAGTTTGAAGAGGTAGACGAGAAGATTGTGGGTGAAGAGGCAGCCCAAAAGCTCTGGACGTCCAAGCGCAAGCACTTCATCATCCTATCTGCAGCCGGTAAGCCTATTTATACTAGGCATGGATCCGACGCGGTCATCTCGAGTTATGTTGGTATCATTCAGGCTATCATCTCCTCGTATTCCGATGCGGGTGACCAGCTGGGAAGTTTCCAGGCAGATGGCGTTTTGTTTGTCGTCCTCTCACAGACAAATCTGTTTCTCGTAGGAATCACAAACCTTCCGGAGAGCGAGGCACAGGTCCGAGGTCAGCTTGAAGCTCTTTATATGCAGATCTTGTCGACTCTGACCTTACCGACGTTGACGCATATTTTCTCGGTTCGCCCCTCGACCGACCTCAGACGACCCTTGCAAGGCACCGAAGTCCTCCTGTCCTCGCTGGCGGACAGCTTTACGCGAGGCTCACCGTCTGCACTCTTGTCTGCTCTTGAATGTTTGAAGATCAGAAAGTCGCACCGCAACATTATCAACAGTACGATGATCAAAGCTCGGGTGGACGACTTGCTGTACGGTCTTGTGGTTGCTGGAGGGCGACTGGTCAGCGTCATCCGGCCAAAGAAACACTCTCTGCACCCAAGTGATCTGCAACTGATTTTCAACATGCTCTTCGAAGCTGAGGGAGTCAAGGCTGGTGGAGGAGACTCTTGGATACCCGTTTGTCTTCCCGGCTTCAACAACACCGGCTATCTGTACATGTATGTCAGTTTCCTCGACATGGGAGGGGAGCAGGTCCGCGAAATGGCCCAGAACGAACGTATCGCCAAAGAGGACTCGGTGGCGATCATCCTCCTAAGTGCCAACAGGGAGAGCTTCGAAGACTTGCAAAGCATGAAGAATTACCTTGTCCACGAATTTCACCGGAACAAGAGCATGCACATCATCCATGCGGCAGTGCAGGCTGGCCGACCCGCACCCACAGACATCATCGCCGGCACCGTCCTGAGACATTTTCTATACAAATCAAAGGGCAATGTGCAGTTTTTCATGCCGTCTTTCTCGCCAGGCTTCGAGACACTGAAACAACGTCGACGATTAATGTCCTTGTATCACAATCTTCACGCCAGTGTGCATGCCAAACACGCCGCGGTCAAGGTCCACCATAGCGTTGGAGTGTCAGCAACGGCATTGGCTTGGGTTACGCCCATGTTTGAACTCTATTGTGTGGCCGGTCCCTCGGCGTCGAGGAATGCATTGGCACAGAGTGCAAACAAGGTTGTGCAATGGGTGCAGAAAGAGGAGGAGCGGATTTTTATTATTGGTGGTGCGGTATTCTAATATCTATATATATTGTATTACCGCGGGCTTGCAACTGGAAGCAATGCCCCTGACAACGCTCAATCTAGCCTTCGTCATTGCCTTCCAAGGCTGCTGCTTCACCGCCGTCCTCCAGCCACTTCGTCTAGGACCTCCTCGATCAACTTGCCATCTCTCTCGAGATCGACCTTCCAGTTACTTATGGCAATTCTTGCTGCGGGCTTCCCATCCCACACCGTCCCCGTCATATAGATCAGCCCGGTGTGATTCACCCTGCTCACAAAGGTCCTCATCAGGCTCTCATCCTTCAACCTAAACAAGACCACAATAAATGTCCTGACCAGAGTGTCTTGTTCGATCTCCCCGCCACTCTGCATTGGTAGGAGGTCGAACCTTTCGTCTCTGAGGAGCCAACTGCTCACCCTCCTCGCCAGCCTGATCTGCCGTTTCAACATATCCAGATAGCCCGCTCTTCCGTAAGCCACGAGCGTCGCATATACAGGCAGTGCGCGGAATCTACGCGAGTTCTCGATGCCGATGTTCAACGGGCTTTGGATTGCATCGTAGGCATCCCCACCCGCGTCTGCGTTGCCCGGCAAGGTGCTAGCAGGGGCGGTGGCGCTGGTGAGATATGCCGCGTTGCCGTTCCGGAAGACATCTTCGCACAGAGTCTTGTGGCGGGTGAAGAAGACGCCACAGTCGTAGGGGACGTTGAGCAGTTTGTGACAGTCGCCGGTGATCGAATCGGCGAGCTCGAGGCCTGCGACTCCACGTATCACCGCGTCGAATTCGGCGTTGCCGTCGTAGTTGTCGTCGGAAGGGAAGACGCGCCCAAAGAGCCCAAACGCACCGTCAACGTGGATCCAGATGCCGAACTCGTCACATATGCGGCGAAGTCGGGTCATTTGGTCGAACGAGTCCGTGGCGAAGCGGCCCGTGTTGACCTCGCCGGCCGAGATGGCCAGGATGTTGGCAACGTCCGGTCTGGCGGCCTCCACGCCCAAGCGCTTTATGTCGATCTGCAGGCCGTCGCCCTCCGGGGAGGAAACGGAGATGACGTTCTTCCGTCCGATCCCGACGATGCTGGCTGCTTTGGCAATGCTGGAATGCGGCAGCGTGCTGAGCACCTGGATCTTCCGGAGACCGGCCTGGTGCATGAGCTCCGCGACACCCTGCTCGCCACAGCTCAAGTCGCCACCATTTGGGATGCCTCGCCTCTGCAGGGCCCGGCGGAGCACGAACTCCCTCCCCAGTGCCAGGCCGAGGACGTTGCTCGCCGTGGCGCCGGTGGTAAACGTCCCCCCGCCGCCCGAGCTGCGTTGTCCAATCCCCCACTCCGCGTCCGGCAGCCGGAACAACTCCACGAGCAGGTTCAGGGTGGCCACTTCGAGGGTCGTCGCCATGGTTTCGCGCGGGAGGTGGACCTGGACGTTTTGGTCGTAGACAGAGCTGAGGAACTCGCCCAGCAGCGCCGCCGGGGTGGCGCCGCCGGTCACGAAGCCGTAGTAGTTGGGCGAGAGCGAGCTGAGGTTGAGATATGGGAGGATTCTGGTCGTGAAGTGCTCTGCTAGGCTTGCGAGAGTATCATCGTCGTTCTTGCCATCTTCTGCATGTGAGAGTGAAGCAGCAGGGAGCGTCCGATCGAGTCTGGCCAGCGGAACAGCCGGCATTTCTCGAGGCAAGACCGGAAACCTGTTTGTCGTCGTCGCCCCGTCCTCTGACAAGGGCTCCAAGTACTCCGAGACAGCAAGGTCAGGCGAAGATAGTATCCTCTGCAGCGTCCTCAAGACCTCCGCGAGGCCCGTCGTTCGCGGGTCCATGGGGTCTCCGGTCTCCTACCCCTTCTTAGGGTTTCTTTATTGCAGTTTCGCACCCGTCGTCGTCTCCGGCAGGGGTTGGTTTCTGCGTCAAATATGCAGCTGAGATGACCCAGGTGGGTGGAGGGAGGAAAGGGAAGAATAGAATAGAACAGAACAATAAGTAAATAAATGTGCAGCACGAATGAAGATTGCCTAGTCCGGCGCAAATCCTTTGTATATAATCCCCCATTCGACGCTCACACACCGTACAATTAATTATTTCCGAAAATATGGTACAGTACCCATCAGTGTCAGCGGGTCTTTTCTTATATGCAGCACGATTTGTATGATTGGCATGGCTGACCTGGTTCGCTTCCAGCTGCCCTGTTAGGATTTGTACATACTGTACCTCGTACTCCGCACAGCGTGTCTATGCAGCATACGCTTTGAGTCTGGCACGACGCCACGGGCAACGACGTATGGCGAGTACTATTACCAGGAGTCTGGAGAAGGAAAGAAATGAAAAGGAGAGAGTGCCTAGGGCTTGCAGGTATGTATCAGCAGAGGGCCTTTGTCACGCGTATTCATGCAGTGGCATTTGTGATATACGACAATCCTACAAACAGATACAACAACAAAACAAAAGACAAAGGACCACGAGAAATGGACAGTACATCATCAATACCGAGTCAGATCCAATACGTACGTAGCGCAGTCCCGGAATGGTTCGTTCTTTTGATTCCAAACCCCTGTCGGCGTCAAGGGCCATCCGTCCTGATCCATCATTATCAGAAAACCCAAGTCAACCTGGCACAGGTTCGGTACCCGGTTGTATGCTTTGAGGTCATAATGTACAAATACATTCGGCTGATGACGAAGCATCATCTCGCCTTCCCAAACCGTGTTCTATCCTGCCGACATCTTTCTTCATTCAGCTGGTTGGCCTCCCCCTAAGTGATGACCTCCTCCCGTATCGGCGTGTCTGTACCCGTCTCTGGCTTGATGAGTTCCTCCTCCCCAGCTTGATCGTCCACAAACTTCCTGTCACTGACATGTTGCTTTGTTGCGTCCTGTTCGGTCTGCTTATCCGGTGTCCAAGTGTAATCGGCAAAATTAGTCGTCTTTTGCTGTCCCGGTTCATGCTTGTATGGACATCTCAGGTTCGTACACGGGTTGAAGCGGCAGGGTACCTGCAAGTGTGTGAACGGGCAGTTGGGAGTCTTGCAGTTGGCACCGAACTTGCACAAGGGCATGGTCGGGTGCTTGAACGGGCAGTTGAGCTTGGTACAGTTCGGAAAGAACTTGCACAGCTCTTGTGCCTGGAATGCCCTGACTTGCGCCGGCGAAGGATGTTTGCCAACACACTTCGAGTTCTTGCAGGCAGGACCAAACGTGCATGTCTCGGTCATGTCGACAATCGTTCCCTCAGGTGCCGCTGGAGATTGGTGGACGTAAGGGCAATCTTTGTTGGTACAGCGGAGATTGAAGTGGCACATGGTGGTGGACGGATCTTGTGGCTTTCGTTCACTCTCGCCAGTCATCTGTGCATCTGTCGTGGCTGTCTCGGTGCCAGGCGTCTGACCATCGCCTTCCATGGCTGTGTCTTGGTCGCTTGTTTTCGCCGGCGACTTGATATGGCCATTCTGGCTGTTACCTCCTCGGCCCCGACCCCGACCACCTCCGCGGCCTCGCCCAGGTTCGACTCTATCAAACAAGGACCGGCCTTGATTATTATTCGGCTGGTTGGTGCCTGGTGAGAAGGCCGGGTTCGCCGCTCCTGGCATCATTCCAGTAAACTGTGCCAGCATGCGAGTCTGTTGTTCCATCATAGCCATGAATTCCATCTGTTGCTGCGGGGTCATCTGCATCATCCCTTGACCTTGTTGTGCCCCGTTCATCATCATCGCGTTCTGCATCCCCTGAGCAGAACCTGACATGCCCATGTTCAGTGCCTTTTGCATGCCAGGGCGCACATCTCTGCTCTGGACGTTGCGGGGTCCTTTTGGCGCGCCGCGCATATTGCTATGGCTGTTTATTCGGTCGTTGCCGCGGGTTCGGTGTAGAGCTGAATCGCCGGATTTGTTAATTGCACCGCCTCGCCCGCCCCTGCCAGCAGGTCGGCCACCGTGTAAACCTTTGGGACCTCGAGGTCTGCGAAGGATGTTAGCATGGGACTTGATAAATTGCCTAGATTGGAGCGCCACGTACGCATTTTCAGGAGCATTGTCAACCATATCCATGTCGTATGCGGCAGGTATTGAAGAGTTTCCATTCTCTGTAGTGCCTGACGATAGCGACGTGGGCGCAGTGCCTTGCGCCGGTTGTTCTGAAGAGTGTGATGTTGTCGTCGCATCAGCAGCGGTCGCGCCTCCAGACAGAAGATTGACTTGATCGAAAAGCCATTGCGCGAACTCGGTTGTTCCCTTCGCGTCCTGCAATAGCTCGCCAGCAAGCTCTGATGCAATTTGATTCTGGGTCTTTCCGTTGGCGAGCATGAGAACGATATATTCGGCTAACGAAGTGTCATCATCTTGTGTCCAGCCTTCTTCCACAATCTTGGAGTGCACAGCGCTGCTGAGCGCTTCGGCCAGCGGCGTCTCGAGGGCGATGGTCGACATTCTAAGAGAGAGGGAGTCTGAGGGATGGATGTATAAGGGCAGGAGAAAGGAGATTCGCCTCACTGGGAGGGTCGAGAAGAGTGATCGCGGCTTTGCGGTGGTTGCGGTACGATGACAGAGTCCTTTGTTGCACCTGAACGAGCAATTGTTGAAATGTGGAGGCTATCTGAGCGAGCCTCTCGTGAATCTGGATAGAATGACAAATGTGCGCGGTGTCCTAGGATGAGATCAAGTGGATAGTCGAATGTGCAGTGTTGATGGTGGTAGAAACTACGAGAGGCGACGGCAGTATTTGACATCAAGCACGTGACTGTCCTTTTCTACTTTAGAGCGGCCAGATATTTTCAATGTTTTCATCGGCTGATTACGGAGAAGGATATTTCATCGTCTCGCTGCTTTTCAATGCGCGTTTGATGGTGTCTGTTTGAAGTTCATCACCAGCGTCCAATATAGAATCCAGCCACAACACCTTGGTCCAGTGCCAACTTCAGCACGAGATCCATCTGTCACCGTTTGATGCCACGTTTCCCTTCCCCCATGATTCAAGCCATCGCTGCCTTCTTCTCGCTCTTGACAAATCCCACTTTCACACCCTCAGCCGGAGTCAGGATAATCTCGACATGCATGATGCGTTTGCTCCCATAATCAATGATCTGGTCGAATTCCTGCAGGATCCTGACTATGGTGTACGCCATTTCTACCATGGCAAATTGCTGTCCAATGCATATTCTGGGTCCGCCGTTGAATGGGATGAAATTCCACGCCTTTGGGGTCCACGTCGCCCAGCGCTCCGGCCACCACTCCAGCGGATCATAAGGGAAGGACGGCGAGATCGGCGGATATAGGTCTCGTCTTCGCTGCATCAGCAGAGTGCTGTATCCTATCACCGTTCCCTTTGGACAGCCGACTGGTGCATTGCCGTCTTTGCCACCACCCCGAGGCAGTGTGGTGTCGGTGAGTGCTGATCGGACGTTGAATGGTACTACAGGATACAGACGCAGGGTTTCGTTGATGACATATGTCAAGTATTTCATGTCCTTGATCTCCTGATAGGTTGGTGGTCGGCCACCCTCCCCTAAGAATTCCTTGATCTCGGCACGCAGTTTTTCCACTGCTCGGGGATTTTTAGCCAGCTCGAGAAAGACCCAGGACAGTGTGCCCGCTGTGGTGTCACGGCCGGCCAACAGTAATGCTGTGAGCTGATCACGCATTACCTTCCGGTCTCTTGTGTATCGGGCCAGGGCGTGGATAAAGGTATCTGAGCGGGACAACTTGGTCTCCAGCTCTTCCGGAGTCATCGACAGTGCCTCGGTGATGAATGGCTCAATGAAATGATCCATTGTCTTCAAGCCTTCATAGAAGGATCTCTTGCTGCGGAAATGCTTCAAGGGCCTGCAGAAGTGGTGAGTTGAACGGAGATGACCAGTGGCTGGGAGGGACTTACCCCAAGCGACCTTCCAGGGATTGGACGCGTTGGACTTCGTCGAAGGCAGCAGCGAATTCGGACTGCTCTTTGTCCAAGCTGCCAACGCTGTGCCCGAACAGGAAGTGGGTGGAAGCATCAAGGCTGAACCTGAAGAGCAGCTTGTTTAACATGACTTGGCTCCCATCCCCCGTGCCCATCAACGATATCAACTTGCGGACATGAGTCTCGATCAAAGGCAGATCGGCGACCTTCTCACGGACAAACATTGGGCGAATGAGCTGTCGCGAGTTGTGCCATTGCTGCCCGTCGGTGGTGAAGATGCTGTCACCGAGGAAGTCCTGCCACTCATTGTGGAATTCTTCGCCTATAGTGTTTTTAGAGCAAGGTTTAGCCTTGTGCCACCAGAGGAATCCCCAGTGTCATCTCAGGAATTTGATGACGCCTTACCTTTGCCAAAGTCCTGGAATTGCGTCGTCAAGATCGCTTTAGTGTTCTCGGGGTCTGCGGTGAAGAGAACACGAACATCCGCCAGGATATGGAGCTCGGCCGTGTAGGAACCTGTCCCTTTGCTGTCGGTCTTCGTGTCTTCATAGATCCAATCCCAGAACTCCAGCGCCTCGTTTCTGAGGATTGCCAGGGTCGAATGGACAGGGAAGTCAAGTCCTGCGGACAGAGTATCAGCATGTTTGTGATTGAGGGCTCTGAACGAAGTGCGCCGACCAAATATGAAGCGCGTCGTGACCCGGGGCGATTCACCGCCGAGGGCCTCGACCTTCTTCCATTTTCTATATCTCCTGACATATACCGAGGCGATGTATGCGAGGAGCGTCACAAGAATGAAATATTGCCAGAGGCGGATTGACAGCATCATCTTCAGAAATACCGGCCACCGTGGGCATTAACTGGAGGTTCAATGTGGGCACACGACACCCCTTCGGCAGGGTATAAGCAACAATAATCCTTTATGACCATCAAGACCTGGGAGGAACTGTCCGGGAGTGGAAGCTCTTATGGCAGAGACGGATATGGAGTATTACGTGCGAAGAGGGACAAGGTCCAAAGCGGCTTCCAAGTAGGTGGCCCCCAACCGGATGGGTTCTTATCGTTGGCATTACTGGTCCGTTGTTCAAGGCTCTCCAGGCATCATCCCTCCCTCCCGAGCCTCCGCCAAACAAGCCCGGAACTATTGTTGATCTAGATCATGCCACTCCGCTGGAGTTTTATTAAGATGGATGGTAAGGGCTGCATCCCCCCTCTGCCTTCTTGATATTGCTTGCTTGCTCACAGATTGGAAGTTCTTCTCCCTCGTAGGCTGTCACCTGCTCGAAAACAAGTTTCAGGTTAGTTTCGTATCCCGTTTGATGTTATACGAAGTACGCCTTTCATTCTAGTTTACCTACAAGGAGACCGTCGCTGCGGGCCAATGACAAGCAGACCATCTCGCAAGGGGATCCCTTTTCAGGATGCCGATGAACTCTGAGTCCAGCCTTGGAAAGTTGAGCTCAGATCACCAGATAATCTAGTCGCTTGCTCGTTCTGAACAAACAAATCCCACACGCGCCAGATCGTTACAGGTTGCATCCACCTTCCATCAAACACCATGTCATGGTGACTGGGGACATACCGAGCCCCAGGTCTATGACCCCTCTTTCTCTCCATTCCCCCAGTCTTTTGGTGGCGTCCTCGAGCATGGATTCTTCCCTCACACCTGCCCAAAGGACTTCTGCAGCAGCCGCTGCTCGGGGCCACAGCTTGGAGTCAAGGTCGCTAGAGTCGGTCTGCTCCGACCACATTAATACCTCGCCCCCCTCAATTCCTGCTTGGAGATCGGCACTAATGTTCGCCAACGGGTTATATGTATACATTTGCCGCCAGTTGTGATAGGGGTTGCAATAGTCGAGGTACGGCTTTTTTAGTCTGCTCGAGTATCCGCCCGATGTGTTGTAGGGGACTCCAGGAGGTGACTTGCCCGATGGATAAGGGTCGAGGAAAACGCCAAAACCACCTTTCATGGTGAGCACCGGTTGTCAATCAAGCTAACGGTATTACTTACAGTCAAGATACCAATAATGGTAATCTCCAAATAGTACTCGATGACCCCGTTTCAACACTTCTTCAATCCGTTCACTATTCCGCCAAACTTGGACCAAGGTCTGCCGCGACGGAGGATTATCCGCGGCAGAGGGTAGCGTCAGGTTCCAATCAAGGAGCACTGGTGTGTCGTTAGCATCGAACCGCAAACCGGAAGTTTTCAGGCTGCCGTAACAGCGAGACATGCTGCCGGGGAAGCTTACTTTCCTCCCAGACAATTGGCTGGTGGCCATGACGGATGCTTGCCTCGATGACGTTGTCAATGAATTTCTGAAGCAATGGTTGTAGCACTCTCGGGTCGTCACTCTGGACAGTGTCGTCGAGAAGATAGGCCGCTCTGTTCAATTCATCGCCACCAACGTGGTACAAAGAGGTATAAGGTCGTGTTCGCGGCAAGAGGTCGTCAAGGACAGTGCCTACAAATCCATGAACATCCGACGAATTGAGCTTAAGCTGGCCACTCAAAGGTTCTGCAGCAAATGTTGACCAATCCAATTCATTGAATGCTGCAATCAAGTCTGGAAAGGCATACGCCACAGAGGCCGTGTGTCCGGGCATGTCAATCTCAATAAAGACTGAAATGCCTTTGGCAGCACCATACATTTGAACGTCACGAAGATTGTTGGTGCCCCAAACATGACGAGGTTGATACGCCCCTTTTCGCGCCAAGTCCGGGAGAGAAGGTATCTCGATAGGCCAACTTTGCGAATCGGTCGCGTGGATGTGCAATCTGTTCAACTTAGCCATTGCCATTGCATCGATTGTGCGTATCAAATCTCTTGAGTCAAAAGGATTTCTCGCTATGTCGATACTCAACCCACGGTGGCGCCATCTCGCTCTATCAGCTATGCTCAAAGGTGCGAATGGTGTGTACGATCCCGATCTTGTCGAGTGTGCAAAAAATAGCTGTTCAAGTGTCTGCAGGGCTCTGATTGTCCCAATACTGGAGTTCGACTTGATAGAGGCGATTCCGTGATCGTCAATATCAATCACGTATGATTCATCCCCTCCAAAGTAGCTCTGTGGATGTAGTGGCTCTGATCCCGGACAAGCTTTTTGTTGGATATGCAATGTGGACATGTAATGACGAGGCGTGTCTGGGTCAGGTTCGAAAGTCGAATGCCGTCTGTGAAGCTTCCAGGGGACGAAGTTGGACCTCTGGATCGATCGAACCGTCTCGCGTACGCTATCCTGCACAATTGACCTCTCCGAGAAGGCATGCTCCTCACTGTTGTTCCTGTGCACAAAAGGGAATTGGAGCTTATCCATCAGGCCTTGTGTGATTTCTAGAGCGCCATTAAGCACACTCGCCAGATGGCCCCCTTGTGAGCCAGGAGCGCCATAGAGATCAATAGTTTGCTCTTCACAGCGAAGAGTGGCATGGATCGCGGGATCGAGCCACAACACTCGATTACCCGTCTGGATCTCGGCGGGTTGCGGCCAAACAGCAAGGCAAGCCGTGATGGACCCTAGGATATACAAAAGTCGCAGCTGCATCGCAGAGAGCTGTTAAGCAATGCAAGCATCTGGGACTTTGTTGGACGACGATTGAAGTGTTCACTCCAGGACATCACCGCGCACAATGCTGGGGCAGAAGGTAGGTGAGGTGGGGCTCATATTTTTCCGTTCCGTGTCACGGTAATCCGGAACCATGTTTTTCCGTCGCCGCGACCGCTGGAGGACTCGAAGGGCCCCGGGGGTCGTCTCTAGTAGATACTGTGGGTGCCTTTCTCCACAACCCGTAATATAACCAGACACCAAACGTCCTTTTTCCGCATGGCACCTTTCCCTCGCCTTGTCACCTTGTGTTGATCTATCACAACACCTGTCACTATTCTTCCTACAACCCTAGCTACGGTGACAGGAGTCACCGTCTACTTTGCTTTACTCTATAAATCTGAGATAGTCTGTGGAAAGAGCTTCATGCTTCCCACATTCTAACCCTTCAAAGCGTCTCGGTTCCCCGTCCTTCCCTCTCGGTTCCTCCCTTAACGGTTCTTTCGAGGCTTTCTTCGGAGCCACCACGACCCCCATGGCTACCGCAACGGCAGACCCTGCTGCAAACGCCAGCTCTAGCATCACCAAAACCCCTGCTCAGCTTATGCAGGAGAAACATGAGGCTGCAGAAACCCATCGTGTGACGGTCGAAGAGGTTGTTGATGAATACGATCTTCAACACCCTCCTCCCTCCCATCATGGTGCAGAAGAGGCGAAAGAGACCACAACCACGAGCAACGGGACTGGCAATGCCCCTATGTCGGCTAAGGCTGCGGGGAAGCAAAAGGCGGCAGACAAGCCCCCGGTCCTCGACACTCAGTCCGAAGAGGCCTTCCCGGCTCTGGGAGCTGCCACGAAAACTGCCGCCGCTGCGTCCGCAAGACAGCCCGGCTGGATAGCCAGTGCCTCAGCCAAAGCTGCTCCAACAAATGGTTCTCCTGCCCTGGGATCTCGCCCGACTTCTTCTGGCGCTCTGACACCAAACTCGACGCCTGGTGCCCGGACTCCTATTGCCGCAACCGGCCCACGTGGTACCGTCGTCCTTCCCGGAAGATACCGTGACTCCTTTGAGATCGACAACGCCGACTTGGACAAGAGCAAACCCCTATCACGGGTGTTGAACGATGTCAAGAAGAAGTTCAATGTCATCGTCACTCCGAAGTCCACCAACTTCGCAACCCGCACTGAATTCATTGCCGAAGGCCCCAAAGCCCGAGTTACGGAGGCTCTGATGTACGTCTCTAAGGAACTGACCCTTGAGAAACAAGTTAAACTGGAAATTCCATCTACCGTCTCCGCTCAGATCATTGGCAAAGCCGGGGCGAATATCAAAAAGCTAGAAAACCAGTTCAATGTCCGCATTCATATTGACCGTGATACCAAACCTGTGACGAGCCCCGAAGATGTCAAAACCGATGTGGTCGAGATCCGTGGAAACGCTGCTCAGGTTCGACAAGTCTACGAGCAAATCTCAAACCAGGTCAAGTCGCTTCAGCCGAAGGTCGATCTCCCTGTACGCAGTATTCCCCCCGAATTCTATCCCTTCATTGCTGGTCGACACGCAGATCGTATCCAACAGTTGGAGCAAGACCGTGACGTTCGTATCAATGTGCCGCAGTATCACACGTGGCAGCAACAGCCACCACCACGACCTGCCGACGCGGATCAGCCTCCCACTTTCGTCCCTCATGGAGACAATCATATCGTCATCTCTGGCGACCAAGCAGCTACCTTAGAAGCGCGTTTGTTCCTCGAGCAGTTGGCTGAAGAGCTTCAAAAAGAGCTCCTCCTCGAAGAGCTTGCCGCCGAACAGATTTTACATCCGTACATCGTCGGAGAGCGCGGGATGGACCCTCTGAAATTCTTGGAGGAGACAGGTTGTGCTGTCATTCTGCCACCACCAAATCATGAGACGGAAGATATCCACATCATCGGCCCCCGAGACAAGCTCGAAGCGGGTCGAAATTTGGCCGAAGAACTCATGTCTCGAAAGCACAATCGAGCCGTCGATATGCACAAGCATTTCAACGACGCCCCTCAGGGCCCGGAGCGTCACTCGAGAGCGCTTGCTCAATACCTTCAACAGAAGGCTATCGAGCGGGAATTCATGAAGTCCCACGGTGCCGAAATTATCTTCCCCCCAAGCAGCAGTGCCTCACCAAGCTGGAGTGTCATTAGCAACGACCCGCAGAAGGCACTGTCCGCACGCAACGAGCTCTCCAAAATCACCCAAGCTTATCCTTCGGCAAGAATTCAGTTGGTCGAGGTCGATCCTTTCTTCCATCCTCACCTCGAACAAATGCATGCTTCCAATCTGAGGGACGGTCTAGGTGTTCATATGATCGTTCCTGAGGACGGCTCGGACCCCGTCGTCCTAGTCTACGAGGGACCTTCACAGGGGCAGGCTTTCTCGATTCCTCGCAACAAACCCAGCAAAGCTGAAATGGCCAATTTTGAGGAAGCCCTTCAAAAGGCACAAGCATTGCTGCTCAGCAACATTCCTCATCAAGGTATCTCTGTTCAGGATATTCACGTTCCAAAGAAATTTCACGACAAAGTCAAGAGATTCGTGAACAATGAGCCTCGGCCAACGCCTCCGGAGGCTTTCCCCGTTCAAGTGGACTTTGGTGGCGCTAGAGGCGATCCAAGACAAGCCAATGGCGTCTCTAGAGGCTCCCCGTCCGAAAGAGTCTATCTCCGTGGTCCGAGCGAGGCAGATATTGCGGAACTCCGCCAGAAGATCGAAGAGTTCCTACGGGAGGCCGAAGAAGACGAGAAAGAGCGTGGATACACCACGACATTTGCTTTCCCCGCCCAATTCAACAAGAACTTGATTGGAAAGCAGGGCGCCAGCATTAGGGCCCTGCGTGAAAAGCACGACGTCGAAATTGACACTCGCGAGGACGGCCATATCACCATCAAAGGCCCCGCAAAGAAAGCGGAGGCGTGCAAAGCGGAAATTCAGCGCCTTGCCAAACAATGGGAAGACGAAGTCAACTTCAACATCAAAATTGATCCCAAGTACCATGGTATGCTCGTGGGTCGGAATGGAGAGAATCTGCAGAAAATCCAAAGCAAAGTCGACAATACGGTTCGAATTGACTTCCCCAAGGTGCAGAAATTCAGCGATGACGCCTCTGTCGCCGATACCGCGAGCGAAGCTGGCGCCGGCCGGGGTCAGCCTCATGATGAGATCAGAATCCGAGGACCTCGAGCAAAGGCCGAGAAGGTTCGGGACGAACTGCTGAGTCTTCACCAATACTTGGTGGATAACTCTCACACTGCCACTGTTTCGGTGGCACAAGGCCAGATTGCCTCTCTCATCGGCAGGCGTGGTCAGGAGATGGAGAAACTCCGAGCCGATACGGGAGCCCAAATCGATATCCCGAAAGCTGATGGCTCTGATCGTGTGACTATTCAAATCAAAGGTACCAAGCAGCAAGTCGAAAAGGCCAAACAAGAACTGGAGAAACGAGCCAAGGCTTTTGATAATATTGTAACACGCACTTTGACGGTGGACAGGAAGCATCACCGTGCTCTGATCGGAGCTGGCGGTATGTACTATCATCGAAACACTCCAAGAATTCAAGCTAACTCGAACAGGCTCTCACATCCAGAACCTGGTTGCCAAAGCAGGTGGCACCGGGTCCAGCGCCGAACACGTACGATTCCCCCGTCAAGGGGACGAGTCCGATGAACTCACTGTTCGGGGCACGGCCGACGTGGTTGAGAAGATCCTTGCCGCCATTCAGGCCTTCGTGGACGAGCGAGAGAATCAAACGACCGAGACGATCGATGTTCCCGTCACCCAGCACCGTGCGCTGATTGGGCCAAACGGCAGTATTCGAAAGAAACTCGAAGAGGAGTTTGGCGTGACCCTCAATGTGCCCACACGAGGTACAGGACTCACTGGCGTCAAGATCATCGGTCGGCCAGAAAATGTCTCAAAGGCCAAGGAACGCATACAAGGCATGATTTCGAAGCCTCAGGGCGAAACGATCATGGTTCCACGACATCTGCACCATATCGTTTCCAGGAATGGAGCTCTGTTCCGAGAGCTTTCGCGAGATGGCATTCGTGTCGATCACAATGGACAGAAACCACCGTCGAAGACCACTGCCAGCCGCGGTCCACGGACGCGAACCATGAATGGTGATATGCCACTGATCACGGACCAACCTGGAGAAGAGAACTATTCATGGGACATTGTCTCCAACCAGCAAGAACTGGATGGTGAATCAGGGGAGATCCCGTGGGTGATTCTGGCCGGGAAGGACGCCTCGGACAACACAGTCGCCAAGGCCAAGGACAAGATCCAATCGCTGCTCGAGAAGGCTGCCGAACCCCAGCACACTGGCTTCCTCATTCTCCCAGATCCTAGACTTCACCGCCACATCATTGGGCCGGGCGGTTCGACCATCAATGCCATCCGGAAACAGTCTGGCTGTGACATTCAAGTGCCCAACAGGAATTCTAGCAAGGGCGAGGAAGGAGAAGCTATCACTATTGTGGGCAAGGAAGACGGTGTTCTGACTGCTCGGGACATGATTCTAGAGGAGATTAAGAGGGCCGAAGCCGGACGAAACTCGCCGAGGGGTGCTGGTCGTGCTTAGCATGCGTGAAGAGAGACGTCGCGCCGGCCATTTTGACGGAGAAGCGGAATTTTTGCCCGTCAGCACTTTGTAAGAGTATCGAGAGGACGCTGTTGCTTGAGTTTACAGGGGGTGGTGACGCATGGACTCTGGAGAAAAGAAAAAAGTTTGCTGTCGAGTAATTTGGATTGAAAAGTAGCACGGAGCCAGAATTTAGAGCAAGAAATTATCTGATCGAAGGACGCATAGCCCCCCCTCGTGTCATGGGTGTGTGCGTGCGTGAAGCCAAAACAAAATCAGAAGGGAAGGTCGCGTTGCTGGACCTCTGTCCCGCCATCCTCCAGGTAGGAAGTCGTATATGGTTTCGAGTCGTAGAACACGTTTTTGTCTCCAGACCTGTTCTATTCTGGCTTTTGTCTTTTGTCTACAGTCGACACGGTGAAATTGTGTCGCATACATACCCCACCAGGCATGCTCACCAGGCTGACGAGATAAAAGCAAAAGGGCCAGGGAGGGGGTTTGTTTCGGGACATGCAGGTAAATAGGTAGGTAGGTAGGTAGGTAGGTGGGAATGTATGTAGGTCCGAAAAAAGCTATTAACTGCACACACACACACACACACAGCTCTCAAAAAAGTTTGTTGAACATCGACATTCAGTAAGTATATGCTGCTGCTGCTGCGAAGGAGGAAAGAGGGGGAGAAGAGGGAAGGAAAAAGAACGGGGTGGGAATGGGGGTTCCGGGCTAATTTGATTTGAAGGACTCGTGCAGCAGGAGGAGGAGGAGGTATTATCTATATACCCTCTGGCATGTGGTTTGGGCGACATTATTAACTCATTAAATATGTAGATGGATGGATGGCTTGCGGGAAGGATTTAAGAAGCGCAAAACCAACGTTATACATAGACTCTTCGAGATTCGTCAGGGTCCCCAAGTGCTATTATACACAGGAACGAACGCGTGTGTCTGAGGAAATGGATCGAAAATGTTCAGGAGGTCTTTGGGAGCTTAGAGAATGGGCATATGCTTAACATGCAGCAGTGCAATGCTTCATTTATGCGTGATATCTATGGAAGCCCAGTCCGACGCCGCGCCAGAAACTTTTTATATGAGGATATGTATATAGGGATAGATAGATAGATGGAGGGAGGGAGAGAGGGAGCAGTTTAATACACCTCCAGCACATACCTCCCCTCGTCCTTCAGCTTCATGATCTCCCGGGCAGTGTCGATCTTCTTGGTGACGCCGTTGGCCTTGGCGTCCTTCGCGATGGCCTCCTCGAGCACGTTCGTGACGTCGGGCACGGGCCAGGTCGGGCCGCACAGGTAGAACGCGCCGTCCTCCTTGATGTACGCCTGCACGATGTCATCCAGCGTTTGCCGCATGCGGTCCTGGATGTAGATCTTGTGCGGCTGGTCGCGGCTAAACGCCCGGCCGAGCAACGTGATGACGCCCGCCGCCTGATACGCCTCCCACTCCTCGCCGTAGCAGTACTCCTCCCGCTGGTGGCGCGAGCCCATGTAGAGCAGGACCGAACCGATGTCCTTGCCCTGCGCCTTCTCCATGGCGCGGTGCTGGACGAAGGCCCGGAACGGCGCCAGGCCCGTGCCGAGACCGGCCATGATGATCGGCTGGGTCGACTTCGGAGGCAGCTTCATGACGGACGGCTTGACGCTGACCGTTACAGGGGCGCCGACCTTGAGAGCGGACAAATATTTGGTGGCTTGACCGAAGCGGTCGCGGCCCTTGGGATCGACCCAGTTCACGACGACCACCATGAGTGCGACCGAGGTCGGCGTCACGGCTTGGCAGGACGCGATCGAGTATTCACGACGCTTCATCGGTGAAACGATCCGAGCGATGTCGTGGAACGACGGATGTGCAGAGGGGAACTCGAGCAGGACATCCGCGTACGTAACGGTGTCGACCTCAGCCCGTCTCTGGAACTCCTTGAAACCCTCTGGCCCAGCCAGGGTCAGCAGGTTCTTCTTCTCGTTCTCGTCGTCCGCAAAGTCAGCCAGAGCTTCGTAGAACTTCTTGGGTGGACGACCGAAGATGTCGATGTTTTGCATGAGCGCTTGGTAGATGGTGCGATTCTCAAACACGCTGGGGTCGTCGCGCGAGGCGACCTCGACCACATCCTCCGCGTTGAGGCCGTACCATTTGATGAACTCCATGACTTGATCGTGGTCATTTTCTGCGTGAATGCCGAGGGCCTCGCCGATGTCGTACTTGAGGCCGGAGCTGCCGAGATCGAACTCGATGTGGAAAATGTTCCGGTCATACGTCAAGGGCGTCAGGCGGCGGTTTTCTTTGACGTGGACCGTGTAAGTTTTCACGGGCAGGTCGGGTCGGAGGACGCTCGACGCGTTATACGCTTCCTTGAAGAGGAGGCCTTTGGCGGCCTTTTGCCAGCTCCGAAGGAGAGACGGTGGCTCTTCTTCAGTCTTGTCAAAGGAGGTGAGGCTGTTCGGCGAGATATTGGTGGGCAACCCTGATTTGTCCTCTTCCAATTCCGCCCATTCCTTGGGTACCTCGATCCCGCGCAGGGTCTTCTCGAGGTCAGCCGCCACCTGCTTGAGGGTCTCCAGATCGTTGTTAGTGGTTGCAAGCTTCTGGAGACTGGCCTCCTCGGCAGAGTTTCGCTGTGTGATTCTGATAAAGGCGACTTGAAGAATAAGTGATTCAAGCTCAGGATTCTCAGTAGAGAGAGCAGTGTTGGCCGGATTGATCAGATACAGGTGGATGCTCTTCTCGGCGACCGATTTCTTGAACGCTGCAGGGAGCTTCTTCTCGACGTCTTCGTCTTTAACACCCGGTAACAGGAGGATAATGGCACCGCCTTGTTGAACAGACTGAACCACGTCGATTTGCTCCAACAGTTTGACATCTGTGACCACGGCGGTATTGGCATAAGTAATGGGATATGCAGCGTCAAGGCTTCTGGGGGATTTGCGGATGTCGACTCTGTGAATACCTCCTTGGATAGAGTTGTCGTGGGTGGTATTGACCGTGACGTTCTGAGACGATTCGGTCGCGAGGGCTTCCGCCAGGTAGGTGGCTGCAGGGGCAGATGGCGCGTCATCGATGTTCCAGAAAGTGTAACGTTGAACAGAGTTGTCCAAGAATGTGGTGATGCCCTGGTCGTCAGCGGCCTTGCCCAGGAGCATCTGGAAAAGCGGGGAGATGGATGACGGTGTCCAACGTTCAGCCCGAGCATATTTCAGCTCTTGCACTTCTGGGTGACCGTGAATTGCCGTTCCATACGAGACGGCGGCAAGCACATCCTCATAAAGACGGGAGTGAACACCGGCCTCCTGCACGGCCTGCGAGTCAACGACCTGACCGAGGACACCGATTACTCTCACGCTCTTGGGAATGAGCTTCAAGAACTGTTCCTCCGCGAACGGTCGATAGAGTCGAACATTGATTGCTCCAACCCTGCTACCGGTTTGGGCCAGGACCGACGCCGCCTGTGCAGCCAGTGAGGACTCAACCGAGCCGAAGGCGACCAGGACGACCTCGGGTTGCTCATGACCAAAATACTCAAATGGCTTGTAGTCGGTTCCAAGTTCGTCGTTGAGGGCCCGGAGGGTTCTCAGGACTCTACCCTCGGCGTTCAAATGCTTCCTGTCCTCGTCCGAGATCGAGGCCAGGATCGAGCTGTACGCGCTGCCCAACCCTGATTTGTCGAGGATGTCAATGACTCTTGTGGTCTCCCTCCCGATCCTCAGGCCGTCATAGACATGGAGCGTGGGGAGATCGTGAGCCAGCAGAGTGGCAAGCAACGACATATGCTGTGTCTCGTATGCGGATTGACTAGCAACCAAAGCGAGACCTAGATCTTCGGCCGCGGACAAAGCGGAGACGTAGTCCGTAACCAGACCTCCGTTCTTGTCGCCTTCGTAGTCGAGTGCCGCCACATGGGCCACGAAGGGGTTGCTGACCGAATAGAGCAGCGACAGCTGGTCGAGGACCGGACGCAGGAACTTGAGCGCCGAAGTCGGGGCTAGGAGACCCTGTGGAATGTGCCTCTTCTTCAGGTCAAAGTCCCTGGAGAACATGTAACCGAGGGCAATGGTTCCCGCTCCATTTCGAATCTGCATTGGTTGTACCCCAGTGGTGTATCCATTGATGTTCGCCTCTTGTGCCTCAGCCCAGGATTTTGCGGCAACGTCGAGATCAAATGTCTCGGGGGAGTAGGAGAAGATCTTGTCGGACAGAGCATAGGCGACCTGCTGGACGAGGATCTGGGCAGTCACGTAGGTAGGGCCAGCAACCGAGGACAGGGACGGCGCTTGACCAAAGGGCAGGTTCCTTGAGGCACGGAAGGCCACCTTGGAGTCTCCCTCCGGCGCTGGACCGCTGGAAGAGGGCAATTCGAGACGCATAGTTGCGGGCTTTTGCAGAGAAATGAGAGAGATGAGGAATGGGAAGAGGCGAACTTACCGTGGAGGACGCATTTTACAATGAATAGAACGGTCGAGGACCGACTGCCGACCGAGTTCCATGCACCTCATTCATTTTTTGAATTGCGTTATCGATCGGCAGCCAGAAAACATACAGTCGGAGGGAAAAATTGGTGGAGGCTCGATCACGCAATTCCACTAGCGCCAAATAAAAAGATCTGGATCACCGTCACGTGGCGCGAGGCTGAAGGTTGCATCCACCAATGGGGGATTTGCCCGTTGAGAGTGCCATGGGGGGGAGTGTCACCACGAAGACTGGCCGATAACGGTGCGAGTGCTCGTCAGTTGATTTTGCGATGTGATACAAGGATGCTCATTGCATCGAGTACAGTCACAGGAAGTGGTACCCACGTGACGCCCACGCAGAGCCTTGTCGATCGAGGTGCCTTCAGCCCCTGGTGAGGATGAGAACTCCGACACTTCGGGCGCGGTCTGTGTCATCGAAATGTTCTGTGGAGGCACCCTGGCGGTCCATATGTCTCTGGTAGTGCTATTTTCAATAGCGATGATGGTGTATTGTTATCAGAGGTCGTTGCCAATGAGCTCCAACGGATATCAGGTGAGAAAACTGTGCAGACATCATCTAGTCCCATTCAGGAGATACGAGGCCGACCAGAGAGAAGGAAATAATGGAACCAGATGCCATCCATGACTGCCAGGGCGCAGGAGTGGCGTAGTAGCTGTTTCCTCGTAGGTTGGTCGGTCGGTGAGGTCGAAAGACATGACTGTGTGTTTTTGAGCTGAAGATATTTCAAGTGCTGTCCGATGATATACCGAGTATACAAGAGTGATACAGGAACAAGCATGCGAGAATCCCTTATCAGCCCCAGAAAAGGAAGGATGACTCCAGTAGTAGTTGATATCTACCTCGTACTCTACCCTCAGTTGATCGAATCCAAAACCAGGAGGCAACGACATGTTTGTGGCCAATATCATCTAACCGTCTTTGGACTAGCTTGCCACGCCTCTGGTTGCAGCCTTTACGGCAGCATCAGATACGGCCGAACTGGTGCGCCTCACGTCTCTCTATATGTTAGCAACACAAGGGAAGGGAATCTCTCAAAAGTGCTGAAAGCCACCACCACTATCATCCACCATCATTCAAACTGTCGTTGATATTCCATCGAGGTCAAAACAATGGCAAAAGCTCTTGTTCTCGGCAGCACGGGCCTCGTAGTATGTCCCATCTCCATCCGCATGCCCGTCACAGGTACCTATCTGCTGACACAGAGAACAGGGCTCTTTTATCCTGTCGACTCTGAGGACCAACCCATCCTCTCAGTTCTCCAGCATTGAGGTCATTGCTCGACGACCTCCCCCAGCAGCCACAGGCCAATCCATCCCGGTCAACGAGTTTATTGAGAAGGACACCACCAAGTGGGCCGGTCACATCTCGTCGCTGTCCCCACCAGCGTCGGTCCTCTTCTGTGGTCTCGCCACGACGCGTGCCGCGGCCGGGGGCTTCGATAAGCAGTACCAGCTCGAACACGACTTGAACATCGAGCTGGCCAAAGCCGCCAAAGAGGCCGGCACGAAGACCTACGTCTTGATTTCCGCGGGGGGTGCCGATCCCCACTCATTTTTCGCGTACCCCAAGATGAAAGGCGAGATCGAAGAACACGTCAAGGACCTGGACTTTGACCACACGATCATCGTGCGCCCTGGCCTCATCATGGGCAAGCGTCAAGAACACCGCTTTGTGGAGAGCCTCTTCCAAGGGGTGGCCTCGGGACTGGGGAAACTCCATTCGTCCCTGAAGGACGTCTGGGCCCAGGACGCGGATGTCATCGCAAAGGCGGCGATTGCTGCCGCGATCAAGGCCGAAAAGGGAGAGCTCAAGGACAAGGTGTGGGTGATTGGCCAAAAAGAAATTATCCAGCTTGGGCTCAAGGAGTGGAAGGAGGGTAATTGAGTGGTTTTGTCGCGATCGAGGCTGAAGTGTCGGATGAACTGGACGGTGCAATCAAAGATACCCATCTCTGCTTTTTGTTTTAAGGATAATACGAACTGAACTGACTCCGTCTGTTTATTCATGAATATGCCCACTCCAGTACGTAAAATGTTCCACGACTGCCGCAGCTTTTCCACCGTCTGAAGACGCCGAGGATTGCAAGTCTCGGGGCATCTCAAGTGCTCTGTTCACCTTTCCCCGCCTCTCCACCACCTTTTCTCCCACCACCGCCTTCGGACATCTTCTTCTTGGCTCCTCCCTCCTCTTCTGCCGTCCCTTGGCTAATTTCTGGGTTGGCCGGGCTTGCATCCAGCGGATTGACCTCATTGCCCTCAACCGCTTTCCGCTTGGCCTCTTGGGGATCGGTGATGTTGGGGTCAAAGGCGGCCTCTTCGTTGGCCGCAGAGGTGTCGTCGGTGCCGGACTTGGAGTATTCGGACGGCTCGGGGTCCATCTTCTCGCGGTCTAATTGTGCGTCTCGCTGGGGGTGAGGGTGGCGGTCGGGGTCTTGATCTGCCGCAAAGGCGCGGGGGGTCGTGGAGAGGGCCCGAAAGGGGGAGTTGGCGGGAAAGAGTGGACGTGAGAGGGATTGGAGGTTCCGAGGGAAACGGAGACGGGGAGGCATGTTGAGGGTGCGGGATGGGTGCTGGAAATCTGGGTAGAATAGCGATTCCTCAGTGTCGGGCTCTGTCTGTATTGTCACCGGAGCAGTAAGTGTCCTAGAGTTGTTCAATCAATGGTACTGCTTGTACTGTTTTGTGAGGATGCAGAAGGGGGGAAGTTTGAACGAGAGAACTTATGAAGCAGAAAAAGCAGCAAACCATCGTCATTCATCATTCAACCACCGACTTTGCTGCAACTGCGATTGGAGCTCGTCATCTCTCCAGGGCGACTTGATTTACTCGGGCGCAGATCAATGATGCCAGTCGCTTCTGAGCTACTGGGTGTGATGCCCTGTGACGTCATGACGGATCGCTGTCCCGTTCCGATTTGGGTATACACACATATTCCATCCGACTTCATCTTAGAGCATTCTCCGCCAATACCTCTCGAAGCTTTTCTCGGAGCATCTTAAGCCGTCGGCTCCTCAGAGGGCTACGAACGGGTATTTTGGTGCCACACCATTTCGACCAAGGCGCCTCGAGGACATGTCAGATAAGATAGGAGGATTCACCGCGAACTTGCTCTAGATTTCAGATCAAATCGCATTCGAGGACTCTAGCGCCCTGCAAACGTTGGCGAGACATAAGAAGTTCTAGGTATATATATGTATATATATATGTGCACATCCAGCTAGACACGGTAATGGGTCATTTGCGGCCCACAACAATATCAAGCACACTCATTCCATTCAAGCTGGCAAATCTGTTTGGCAGGCAGAAAGCCCTTGCTTGTTAGACGATCATCTTCAGCATCTGCAACTACCTCTGCTGATACAGGTCCACATGTCATGCTGATCGCTGTACAGAGTAGCTTCGGTCAGTATGAGCTCCCCGGCAGTCTCACACGGCGCCATGCTCAAGTAGGTGGTCCTCTGGCACCCTGCCACCAGTCAAGCCAAGCCCAGCGTGCTGCAGTCTTCCTCGTCCATCTCACCCTGCTGATCGTGAGGCTGCTGCCATGACCTATGGGGTCTCATAGAGATCACCCTGAGAACACCGACCCGTCCTGAGGCGACTATGACCAGGCCATAGACGGGTGGAAGAAGTGTGTAGTGCCTCCGAGATTTCCTACATTGATCATGACCCTTTTCTATCCGTCTGGCCCACGATGCACATTATTGACATGTACAGCAGGGCAATGCCCAAGATCTTGAGCCTTTAGCCTAAGGCCTGAGGCACTGAGATGCCCTCAACAATCAGGGACGCTGACAGGGATATGAAACGGCACGCTGGTGGCCAATCCGCTCAGACTGGTCTCCTTGAACTCGTTCCTCATCCCTCGGGCGGTCAGGCGCATGGCCCGGATGGCATCGTCCAGCCGGACCTTCTGCGTGCCGGTTTCGCTGCTGAGAGCGAGGTTGGCACTCGAGATCGCCTTGATGGCACCCAGGGCATTTCGCTCGATACACGGCGCCTGCACAAGACCACCAATGGGGTCGCACGTCAGGCCCAGGTTGTGCTCGATGCCGATCTCGGCAGCCTGTTCCACAGCTTCGGGGCTCGCCCCCATGCACGCCGCAAACGCACCCGCAGCCATCGAACACGCGACGCCGACTTCTGCCATGCAGCCGCCCTCGGCCGCCGAGATGGTCGCGCCGCGCTTGTACAGCATGCCGATGGCCGCGGCGGTGAGGAGGAAGGTCGGCACGTCCCGTTCGGGATCGTCGCTGATGAACTCGATCGTGTACTTGAGCACGGCGGGGATGATACCCGCGGCGCCGTTCGTCGGAGCCGTGACAATTCGTCCCCCGGCCGCGTTGGTCTCGTTAACGGCAATCGCGTATGCGGTCAAGTAGTCCATGGCAGGGAACGTCGTGCGACGTACGGGAGGCGGTGGGATGGGATGATCGAGAGCGCCGTGGACGCGGGGAACCCGTCGCAGGCCCATGCGATTCGGTGCCCGAGCCACCGCCGTGGCTGCCGGGTGAGGGAGGGAGGCATCGCCCGTCTTTGCAGGAGAGATGGATCCCACATGTTCGACGTCTTGGGTTCCCTGGGTGTGTGCAGGGTAGAGACCTCTCGTAAGCCGCCGGTACAGTGCGGGAGCTCGTCGATGCAGCTTCAGGGAGCCGGGCAAAGTCGAGTCGAGCGGAGCCTGAACACCCTCGAGGATGCTGTCGTCCATGACTCGCCAGATGCGAAAGAGCTTCCGGTAGATTTCTTCCTCGGAAGACCCATGGCTTTTCTCGTTCTCGAACACCAATTGTGCAATCGTCAGGTTGTGCTTGTGGCAGAGATGCAATAAGCTGGCTGCATCGCGGAACGGGTAGCGAGGCTGGCGTGAGGTCGTAGCCGTGTTGTGGTCGCCTCCGGGCTCGATGTCTGCAGGGCCCGTCGGGGACACTGTCGAAAGGGCACTTCCAGTGTCCTCGACTCCCGTCTCCGACATACCGTCACCGTCCAGGAGTTTGACCTCGAGCCCAGTTTTCCGATCTCCCGCGGCGTCTGCGCGGCGGATCTCCTTGTAGTACATGTTCTCGCTCAGATCTGCCGGATGATGTCCCGCATCTGGCGACACCAGATCGTGGGACTGTGTGGGGGAGCTGTTGGCCGGGTCTTGGTTCTCTGCATTGTTCGACAGGGCACCATTGACGACAAAGCCGCCGCCGACACTGAAGAAGTCATTCGTGGCCAACATGTCGCCCTGGGCGTCGAACACCATCAGACGCATGCCGTTGCTGTGCAAGGGCAGCTTCTTGCCCCATTCCCAGATGAAGTCGCGTTCGTAGTCGAAGGTGATCTCTTTACCCCTGGGGCCGCCGGGAAGCCCCTGGCCCAGGAAGAGCTTCTTGGTCGACTTGATCTCGGCGAACCGCTTCGGCACGTACGCCGTGTCCACCGTCTCCACGTCGGCACTCTCCAGGCCGAGCAGCAGGGCCGACGGCGTCATGTGTCCCTCGCCCGTCAGGGCCAGGCTGCCGTAGATGGCCACGCGGATCTTTTCGACCCGCTGCAGCAGGTTAGCTTCCACAAGATCGGCCACGAAGATGTTGCCGGCGCGCATGGGTCCGACGGTGTGAGATGACGAGGGGCCGATGCCGATGGAGAAGAGGTCAAATGTTGAGATAACCGCGTGTTCGTAGTCCGCTTCACTGTACGTGCCGGCATCTTCATCGTCGTCGTTGTTGGTGTTGTTGTATCGTCTCCGCGGAAGCGTGCTGAATCGGCGGAGAGCATGTATCCGGAAGGCAGCTGGAGGTCTGGTGCATGGACGATGACAGCCTCCAGCTATTGCAGCCCGGCCATATCTTGGGCTGACAGCCAGCTGTCCGCGCAAGCCCCAAGCTAAAGTCCCAACACCCCGAAGCACGACAAACCTCTGCCAGCCCGTGCGCTTCATTTGTCGTAGAAGGAGAAGAAGACTGCCAGGCGGTAAGGAGACGACGGCAGTGGCGACAACGAAGGGCAAAACATATGTCGCGAAGGGGGAAAGGAAAGTATTTACGTTTATGGACGATGATGATAGGGTTGTGTTTCCCGACACTTCTCGGGGATTTTATCCTACAAAGGGATGGTGCAGTCTTTAGGTATACGGCGAACTGTCCACACGCATTCTCCATATTAGAAATGCTCCACTCTGGCAGGGAATAAATGTGTGGCAACGGTCCTCCACTACCTATATCTGCCTCGAACACGCTGCTATCTTACAGTGTTCAAGGCCATCACAAGCAGCAGCACGGACCTCCCGACCGGGTATCATCTCAAATCACATATCGGAAATCAGGCAGCTGCCGATCTGTCTTGCCCGACAGATCTTCCCGTAGAGCGTCACTCCCGCTCAGTCTCTGGCTTGGTCCGTGCCGCTTGTTCCTCCGTGCGTTTTCCCAGACGTAATAGGCAAGAAGACAGGCGAGAAACCAGGCCCCTAAGGCTAGCCCCGAAAGTGCAGCCTTGATGCCGGTCTAAATCAAAGGATAGAGATGTCAACAACTCCATTTTATAGGGACAAAATGTAGGGCTTTAGACTAGAGGTGAACTTACGGGATATTTGGGAGCCTGGCTGGACTGGAAGAACTGCGGGCCCACGATGTTGCCGATGCAGTAGGCGACAAACAGGGTGGAGCTGGTCACAGACCGCTTGGTGAAGCCGCCGACGTTGGAACTTATCAGACTCAGCGAGAGGGGGATATTGGCCACGAAGACGCTTCCGAGACACAGTCCGCCCATCCGCGCCGCGCGACTTTTACATTCGTATACCATAATCAAGCCTGCCATGGCGATGAGGGTGTTCATGATCATGAGCACCAGCCGAGCTGACGGCAGGAGAGTGGCCAGAGTCGAAGTCAACAGGATGAAAACGAGCTGCGTCGCCCCCTGGGACATCTGAACCAGAAGAGTTTTCAGGGTTGAGAACCCAAAGCCTTTGATGACAAGTGCTCCGAACTGGACGGCCGTTGTCAGCATTCTTTCGTCAGATGGCTGCGACGCATGCGCACGGCTCCAGAGGTAAGAGCCTCTGGAAAAGGCCAAGGCGCGTCGCCCGGTCGGAAAAACGGCGAAAGAAGGGAGACGGGACTCACGCTGGTTAATCCACCGTTGGCCAGATTGACTGAGATAGTATAGAGAACCAAGGGCCACAGCTGCGGATCGGTCAGGGCGTCGATGACCTGGGCCGGGACGAAGTCGTCGTTGTCCTTGAAACCCGTCTTGTTCTCGATCGTGCGCTTCAGGGCGACTTGCTGCTGCTTTTCATCGAGAAAGACGGCTTTGTCTGGCGCATCGGGGAGGAACAGGTATAATAGCAGAGCATATGCCGCGGTAATACTGCCGAGGATGAGGAAGAGCAGACGCCAGTGCGCGATGGCGGGCATCTGGATCTCGCCGATGCCGTACGCGACCAGTCCGCCAAAAATACTTGCGAAGGAGTTTCCAACGAACCAAGCACCTTGTCTGTGATCGCGGATATCTCGTCAGTTTCGTGGACCGGGGAGAAGGCTCAACCGCCGGCGGCTGAGTCGAATGGGATCGCAGCGCCCCAGACACCAGGAGAGGAGTGCGGATGGAGTCATCGGTGCTTACCGCAGAGGCTGTTCTTTGCGTGTATAAAACATGCTAATGATCAAAGAAAATCCAGGGGCTATGGCGGCCTCGCCCACACCCAGGAAGAAACGTGCCGCCATGAGTCCGCCAAAACTGTGAACGGCACCGTGGCACATGAGAATGCCGCCCCATAAGCACCTGTGGATTGACATACATCAGCCGGTTGCCTTGTGATTGCGACTCGCGTGCATGGGTCACAAGGTGGACAGTTACAAGACAAGATGCGACTTGGGGACGGGGAGGAAGCCAGAAGTTCGAGACCAGAAAACATTTCTCGTACACTGTGACGGCGAGGTATTTCCCCGAGGGAAAGCGGACAATAACGTAGGAGCTGGGCCAACTCCACGCGAGGTATCCAAAATAGAAGATGGCTGAGCACCAGGAGTATTGGGTGCCGTGGAGGTTCTGGTTGATAGAAAAAGTTGTGTCAGCACGCACAAGCCTATGGGAAAAAGAAAGGAATATATTTGAAGCATAGATGTCCGCTCACGGGGTGCCTCTCACTTACCAAATCGTCCAACAGTCCCAGCAGAGCCGCATAACTCAGAGCCAATTTGTCCATGAATTGCAGTAGATAACAGAATCCCATCAGGGGAATCACGCTAAAGACCCGAACAAGGTCAGCGTTGGGGGAAGATTCATGTTCTTCACGACTGACCAGAGATCGATCCTTCTCAAGACCTCCCTCGACTCTGACGGCGACACAGTCAAGTCGTCACCCGTTTGCACTTCCGAAATTTCTCCAGGGGGCAAGCCATAGTCGAGCTTGACTTCCGAAGAAGTAGCATGGTTGTGTTTTTCCATCGTCGTGGGGGAATTGTCCGTCCTTGATCGAGAACGCAAATAGATAGTAGCCACGTCTTTTCAAGAGTCGAGGGTTTGAACTGCGCACAGACGGCGACCCTCTTTTTCTTTGCAAGGCACTCTGAAATCAAATGTGGCGGTGGGAGACCTGAGCAAGTCCACCGAGCCCTACGTCGTGAAGCAGAGGTCTTCACTTTATGCTGACCAAATCCTAATCTCATCCCCCTGCTGGATTTCGATAGGCGCTCTTGGCGATTCGTGTCGGGAATGGATATATATCTGCAGGTCTGGCCGATCCGCCTGGGTTGTATCCAGCAGAATTTGCCGTTTCTGGTCCGTCGGTAAGGCTCTGTAAAACCGGCCTTGTACCGAGTGCAGTGGTTGGGCGGCCAGGTCGGCAACCGCCGGAGCCCCTCCCCACACCCTCTTATCTCATGTTACAGTTTACCGAGTTCAGCTATTAGCCGACCCTTAATCAGCTCCAGAAGGTAGGTGGACGCTACATCCCCGGCCCAATGTGCATTCCTGGTAGAGCCCGACAGCAGCTGCCCCGTCCCAGATCACGATATGTAAGCCGAGGTGCAGAGGTGCAGAAGCTAGACTTACCCAGAACGAACCTCGTACTGCATAGTTAAGGTCGGGACTATCACACATGGAGCGAAGGTGGAAAGGTGGCCAAACTCAGAGGTAGGTAGAATATCACAGAAATCCTGCAAAGTGGTAGTAGTGACGGCGGCCATTGACAAAAATTCCCTCTATCTGAAGTCGATGGCCTTTCGACGCCCATTAGTCAGCTGTCGTGGCTGTAGGATTGTAATCTTGAATCACCCGGCGCAGCCAAGAAGGCCAGAGCAAAAGAGGAGGACTCGTGCCATCAAGAGCTGGTCTTTGAGCCAAGTCGCGATGGATTTAGCGACGTCGAGAGTCGAGACTGTGGTCATTAGCAGTCGACCGCTATACCTATTTCAGAAGTTGTGTTAGCAGCTTATGGAATAGCGCGGCCGGTCGATGACAAAAGCTTGACGAACTAGTGGCACTTATGTAAACATGTCCAGGGCGGAAATATATACTGCCAGCCAATAAAACACCTGGGATGGCTAGGACTTCTACCCGCGTAGTCCAACACCAGATCCTGAGTATGCCAGGTACTCGTAACCGAGTCATGACTGAGTCATGGCTGCTGTGGATGAACTGCCGGAATATCTGGTCAGTATCGCCACTATTGCGAATAGCCAGACTAAACAATAATGTTGCCAAGGGTCTTCTTCACCTGCTTTGTGTGATGCTCATCTGATACTGATGAATTTTGCTCGAACCAGTCCGGCCAGGCTGGAGATCACTCATCAGGATCCATACGGTAGAACAATATGCCCAAGTACGGCTTGAGACAGAGCGCATTGAGGTCGTTGTCGCGGGCCATAGAGAAGGATATGTGAACCACTAAGCAGACAGATCTCTCGGGGATGTCGCAGAGTGGTCCGACCGGCCGACTCGCTCATACTGGATAGACAATGATGTCTCATAGTGCCGGGCTTGAATGGCTGTCGATCGTAGCTCCATGGAATACGCAGCAACAAAGATCCTCATCACACCCGCGTATCTACTTACAGTATTCTAGAGGCTGTTCCATTGGGAAGCCTTGCCGATTCCGAGGGCCATCACAGAGACCGAGATATCCACGAAGGGGCGTTGATCCCACGAACACAGCCTGAGCACCACCAGCTCCATCGCACTGCAGCATTTATTGTAGCAACTGAGGCATCAGGATGGTGGGCCTGATGTAGCATAGAGGAATCCAGGTGGCGCGGTGGCAAGCACGACAAAGGCATATCGGGGACGGGCGGAGGTGGAAAGGGGCGGACAAAGATGTTGGAAAAGAAGCGGAGAGTGGAAAGAGATTCTTTATGCGATGTCAGAAGCAGCTACTCGCCAAGCTTTAAACCATACTCGAAGAAGGAACCAACTTAAGCCAGCAGCCGTACTACTAGCCGGATCTCCCGTCTTAACTTCCTGGGGCCGTAGAGCAACCTTTAAGCACTGCGGCGCACACGCAGCACCGATGATATCCACGTGCCATGCCCCAGAGAGGACGACAAGGGTCTCCGGCTATATGCCTTGCTGGACATGTAATGCGGTGAACTGGTGCGGAGCAACCAGACATCTAATTGGAGAATGCATGGCGTTTGGATAAAACAGAAGCCCGTGGGTATTACTCCGAATATAGACGGTAGCAGCCGATTGCTCTCCGCAGTGTCAGATTCATCTCATGATCGGCAGACGTCATGACGCCTGTGCTGATGCGAGCCATGAACAATTGCTGATTTCCCAGCAAGCACAAGGGAAACGGGGACAATCTTAGCCATCACCTGTACAACAACAGGCTCTCTCACTCTATTCCAATCCCGGGAAGAGCCATGCCTCCGACGTACCCAGAGACACTAAACGTGCGCTACTCATCCGACGACCCGTCCCTCCGATTCCCCGTCCACAACCCAGCGACCGGTGAGGTTATCACCCATCTTCAAGCGGGGACACCTTCTCAAGTCGACGCCGCCGTCCGAAGTGCCCAGAAAGCATACGACAGCGACTGGCGGTGGCGCTCCCCAGCGGAGCGAAGCGCCTTTCTCTTCAGATGCGCCGACGCACTGGAGCCCCACAAGGACGAGCTGGCCGAGTTGTTGTGCCTGGAGAATGGCAAGCCAAAGCAGGATGCCCTGTCCTTCGACATCAACTTTCTCGTCAACATCTTTCGGTTCTTTGCCAGTATCTGTGACAAGCTGCCGGGCGAGTTCTACCAGCGAGGCAGCGTCAACGCGACGGTGATCTATGAGCCATTCGGCGTCTGTGCTGGGATTCTGCCCTTCAACTGGCCACCAATCCATTTCGGGGGCAAGACGGCTCCAGCCCTGGCGGCGGGGAATGTCATGATCATCAAGCCCGGGGAACAGGCTCCTTTGACGGTGCTCCGGATGTGTGAGATCATCTCCCAAGTCCTGCCCCCGGACGTGGTTCAGGTTGTGCCAGGCCTTGGGCCGGAGGTCCCTGCGGCATTGATCAAGCACGACCTTGTCAAGATGGTGTCTTTCACAGGGTCAACTGTGGCGGGAGCAAAGGCGGCCGAGACAGCGGCGAAGACTGTGACGCCTGTAGTGCTCGAGCTTGGGGGGAAGAATGCGTTCGTTGTCTTCGATGACGTCGAGAATCTCGATCGCGCAGTTGGGTATGCTCTCGAAGGGGCATTTTTCAACAAAGGCGAGGCGTGCACGGCATCATCCAGAATATTGGTCCAAAACGGGGTGTATAATCAATTCTGCGACAAACTTGCTGCGGGGGTGAAGAACCTCAAGTCCGGAAACGGTCTGTCCCCAACCACCCACCTGGGACCGCAGGTCAGCAAGGCACAACAAGAGAGGGTCCTCGGATACCTCAAGAAGGCCAAGGACCTCGAGAAAGAAGGAAAAGTCAAGATCGCGGCCCAGGGTCAATTGCCCGACGACCCGGCTTGCCAGAACGGCTTCTTCGTGCCGCCCACCCTGATCACCGACGTCACGAGAGACATGGTGATCGCCCAGGAGGAAATGTTCGGTGTGCTCGTGACAGTGACGCCATTTAAGACGGAGGACGAAGCCATTGACATCGTGAACGAGTCCCGGTACGGCCTGACGAGCATCATCTTCAGCCAGAGTAGCGAGAGGTGTTGGCGCTTCTCGAAAAAGGTCGACGTCGGGTTGGTCTACGTCAACAACTACTTCCGGAACATTCTGGGGATTCCCTTTGGAGGAGCTAAAGAAACCGGGTACGGGTGAGAGCATAGTATCGACACGCTGAAGGAATGGTGTCGCGCAAAAGTCATCACGCAGCCCAGCGGGTTCGGGGAGACCCCCAGCTGGAGGGCCGTTAAGGAGGTCTACGGGGCGTGAAGCAGGTACCAAAATTTGCAGGGACGAATTTCTTGAAATACGCCTGGGCTCTCCTAGTTTTTGATTGAAATATGAGAACGAAAATGGACAACAAAGTAGCATGGGAAAATCTTATTGGGAGCGAGGTATTCAGGTCTGTGGACACAACGCTGGCCAGCCAATCGGCTTGACTCTTGTATAGCGCTTTAGAGTCTGCTAGTGGCACAACTTTAATTTCCTAGTGTGACTAGCGCCTTGGCGCGAACACCGACTCCGGCCAAGCTGAAATCTCTCTCAATACTCGAATTTCTGTCCGACCAGCTTCTCACTCAGTTCCCACAGCTTCTCCGCCAGCTTCGGATCCTGCGCCCACGCCGGCGCCGGTGTGACTTGTCCGTCACTCAAGAAGATGCCGCTGCCGTCCCTGAGGTCGGCGGGGGCGAGACTGTGGTCCAGCCCCGCGACCAAGGACGTGGCGCAGCCCTGGTCGACGCTCTTGAACTCGGCCTGGAACTTCTCGACGATGGCGGCGAGGGCCGCTGGCGGGTAGTGGCGGCTGAGCTCCGTCATGATGGCGCCCGGGTGCAGGGCGAAACTCAGCACGCCGTGCTTCTTGTACAGGCGCGCCGTGAGCCCCAAGGCGAAGAGCACGTTGGCGGACTTGGACTGCCCGTACGCCACGGTGGGGTTGTACGTCTCGGTGAGCTCTACCGGACGGCCGGTGGCGGCCAGAGCCGCGTAGTTAGGTTGCTCGTCCTCCGGCAGGCTGCCCATCTCCTTGTCGAAGTTGATGTCGGAGAAACGGACCGGACTGTAGGCCACGCCGCGCGAGGAGACGTTGACGATGCGCGTGCGGCCCGCCGTGGGACTCGACTGTGCGGCCGCGAGGATCTTCGGCATTAGCAGGTTCGTGAAGAGGAAGTGGCCGATATGGTTGGTGGCGAACTGCAGCTCGATCCCTTCGGGGCTGAGTTGGCGGTCTTGAATGCTCATGACGGCGGCGTTGTTGAAGACGATGTCGATCTGCTCGACCTGGGCGTTGGATATGATGGACGCGGCTGCGGCACGGCACGACTGCTGCGATGAGAGGTCCAGCGGGACGGCGATGTACGTCGTGTCGGGCGATTTTGAGTGTGCCTCGTCGATGATCTCCTGGATCTTGGACGGCGTGCGGCTCGCGAGGATGAGCGTCTTGGGCGCGTGGGCGCTGAGGATCTCAACCATCTTGCCTCCCAAACCGCCTTTGTTGACGCCCGTGATGAGGATGGTCCTGCCCTTGATCGCGAGGGCAAACATCTCTGCCACGGACGTCCCCGTGGTCGAAAAGTCGAATGAGTGTGCCATGTTGCTGTTGTTTATTCTGTTGGAACTGAGCTGTCTTGCCTGAATCCTCCGTTGCACTGTGACTCTCGTTCGCTTTGGGAAGGAGGAGACGCTGGGCTTTCGGGACCTGATCTCAAACCGACGCAAGACGTTATAAAACCTGCTGCTATAGAAACATTCCATTTCGATTTTTCCCCTATAGTCCAGAGATACCTGCCCCTTTTTATACGAGTTACCTACGTTGCCTATGATAGGTTAGTTTTTTTCCTTTACCAGAGCAACGAACACGGCTCCATGGAATGTCCCTTCCCCTCCCCCTTTCCCCCTTACGCGATGGTTCTCTGAACACCACCAGCCCGGAGTTTAGCTCCAACAGTACTTACCTCCGACCGCAAACATAAATCCGAGGCTGTGTGGTTGCTAAAACCCAGTCCTTGTCATATAGTTGCATGAAGAGAAAATGGGGCCCTGGGGGTCGGCCACTATGTGGATTCCGAAATTGCGAGGGTTTCGTTGGTATGTGTGTACCGAGTACATACAGTATGTCGCATGTATGTAAATCCGAGTTCATCAATCAGTTAATGCTACATCGGCAGGGGATATATACTGATTGCCAACCATGTATGTCAAGGAATATGCTGGTGCGATCTTGCATATTCTACATAAAGCGAATGGCCACGACTCAAGACGTGTACGACGAATGGTGAAAGCATTTGTCGATCTGGATGCTATTACTTGACCCTTCCCTTTCATATGGGTAAAGTGGGTTGGACTGGTGTCATGAATGACAAGGATATAAGCTAAGAGGTCCAAGATCTGTCATGAAATGACAGGATTCTTAGTCTTTTTGGGCGATCCCCAAGGGGCTGTGGACCTCTTCCTGACATTATCCTGTCATTTCATGCGGAGCCTGTCTCTGAGATCTACACGTGGGACGTATAGGTACGCTGTGCTCCCGTACTGAGCTACGCACGGTAGGCGAGGGTTCGATCCGCGTAAAAGACATGAGTTTTTTATGGCTTTTCGGATTACGTAGCTTTTGTGCGTACTTGGCGAGCCGTGCGTGCGGGGTCTGTGTCCTCCCCAAGAGTCGACGTCTCGGAGTACTTATTCGGACCTGCCTATGCGACTCGGGGGCGAGCCGCCTAGGAGGAGGGGATAATTGTCATGAATGACAAGCATATAAGCTAAGAGGTCCAAGATCTGTCATGAAATGACAGGATTCTTAGTCTTTTTGGGCGATCCCCAAGGGGCTGTGGACCTCTTCCTGACAACTGGTCGGATATGTCGTGGCCGAAAAATTGCCATTCATCCTCCGTAACCTCAATTCCAGAATCGACAAAGGATGGATAGCTGGCACTGATCCTCCGGTTTCCTCCTTTCCTTTCTTTCTCATTACACCATCGTCTTCAAGGGCTCATGTCCTAGTCGTCGCCCAGCTCTGCAATATCCGGCACGGGCCCCTCGGGAACGATGCCGCTCGGATTCAACATGGTCAGGCTGGTAAAGTAGTGGCCCTTGATGTGCGCGAAGCTGGTGGTGCCTCCGAACGCCGCAACCGTCCAGTAGAGGTGCCTCACCCAGCGGTGGATGTGCGGGTAGTGGGTGCGAATCATGGCGCGGTTCGTCTTGAAGAGCGACACGTACACGGGGTCGAAGCGGACGATGGTCACGTACAGGCGCACGTCGGCCTCTGTGATCCTCGCCCCAAAGTAGTACGGTCCCTCGTTGGACGCGGACGCGAGATGCTGTTCGACTTGGTCCAGGGAGGCGAAGAGTGAGGTGACGGCATCGTGGTATGCGGATTGGGTTTGGGCGAGGCCGCATTTGCTGCGTGTGGGAGGCTGTGTCAGTGCTCTGGGTCTCTTTACTTCTATTGCGAGAGAGGAAGCGGTCTGAACATTGACAGACAAGGAGAAAGGAGCGCTGTACTCACTAGACGCCGTTGTTGATGTTATCGTAAGTCCACCCGTTGACCTCGTCAATCTTCCCCCTCAACGTTTCCGGATAGAGGTCAACCTTTCTCTTCTCCTCAGGTAGAAGTTGATCGAACTCTGTATACAACATGCGGATAATCTCACTGCTTTCGTTGCTCACGATGGACTCCGTCTTCTTATCCCACAGCACGGGGACCGTGAAGCGACCCGTGTAGTTGGGTTCGGCGTGGTAGTAGAGGTCCTTCATGCGTTTGAAGTCTGGATGTAAAGGATCCGGCGTCACGTCCTCCATTGGCAAGGATTCATCGGGATCCACGAAGCGCCAGCTGTCGACGATGGACATGTGGTAGTGGACTGACGTGACAGAAATGATAGACTCGAGGCCCTTGAGTTTCCGGACGATCAGGGTTCTGTGGGCCCATGGACACGCGTACGAGACGTAGAGATGATATCGCCCCTTTTCGGGAGGAAACCTCGCGCCCGGTTCGCGAGAGATCCAGTTGCGGAACTGAGATGACGGTCTTTGCAATTCGCCCTTCTCGTTGAACAGCTTGGCCGGTAAAGGGCTCTCCTTCGTACTCTGTTGGACCGGAGACCAGTGATCCGTCAGCATCGCTGGTCAGGCTTTCTGTATGCCGTCGCGATCCAACTATGACATACCTGGATAGACATTGTTCGGGCAGCACTTCGGATCGAAAATACTTCTGTTGTCAATCCAGATCTGGAGTCAAGTAAAGTACAACAATCCACCTACTGACCAAGTCCGCATCAGCTGGTCAGAAAACAGCGGGGAAATCATTCTCACTTATACCTCGTCGTGACGAAATTCTCACATAAGTAATCAGGGCGTATAGCACGCGGCCGCATCTATATCAAGCATCGAAGCCGCAAGGGCGACCGCATTTTGCAATTTTCCCAAATGCTGAATGAGAATCCAACGTCAGGTTCGTTTAGCGAAAGCTTATAGCAGCCGTTTCTATTCATTTGCTTCATCTGCATCTTGGTCAGCCCATTGTTAAGCCGCTCCACAAATATCTCTCGGCCGACAAGTTCGGACGAAAGAGCTAGATTGTCACGTGAAGCTCGCTGCTGCTCAGCGGAAGCCCTGCAGTCAGCAATGGGACAACACCGTGGATGCAGTTGAGTTCTTGAAGCTCTCCAATCGTGCTGTGATTTCTCGTCGGAGCGCAGGATAGCGGGCAGTGCGAGGTAGAGTCGCCGCTGGTCGTTCCACGAAGAAGACCACGCCCGGTCTCAACATTTCAGCCTGATTCCTTTTCGTTTCTCCTCTTCGCGATGCTCAAACATCACCTGAACGCCGACAAACAAGGCACAACAAGCGCCGAGCATGAAGAGCGCGCCTTGCCAGCTGCCAACAATGCCATTTACAAGTCCCGTCAACCCATCCAAGCCCAAAGCAAAACCAACCAGATGCGCCGTCATCATCATCAGAACATTGATGACCCCCCCAATCCCGCAAATGACGCGGTATGCATTCGGACGAGTCTTCCATTTTGATGCCGGGAACGCCATCGTCGCGAGAACTTCCGGCAACACGAAAAGCACAACTAACCAACCCCACACCAGGAGTCGTAGTTGAATATCGTGCCACAAGGCCACAAAAGTGAAGACCGCCAGCATATTGAGTATGCCGCGCACTTTGCCTGCTCCCCCTCCAGGTCCGCCTCCAAGTGGCACGTAGACGTAGCGAACCGTCCATCTGTTGAAGCTCCGGTGCCACGCGCGCCAGAAAGCCAAAGCAGAATAGTTGTCGCTCATGCAGCGAAGCATGTTTTCAGGTGGATCAATACCGTCCACCAAAGCCCAGAATCTGAAAAACCGCCAAGGGATCATTAATTTCAGCCAGATGTGGTGCAGATAAAAGTAAGCAAGCATGCTGAGTTGAAACGGCGTATATGCAGACCAGTTCGGTGAGGCGTTTGAAATGGCAACCATGTAAGCCGTGTGTATCAGAAACTCCATGCAAAACATTGTGATCAAAAGTCTAATGCCGTAGAGAGTGGTTCTTTTCGTCGTGATGGACGGTGCTCGATAGGTGGATTGGGCGATGTAGTCATTGAAAGTCAAAATCGGGCCAGCCAGATAAAGAGGCGGATATAGCACATAGGCGAAGTATGTACGAAATGAGGTATAGGCTGACGCCGGAGCCTGCATGGTGACTCGATCTCTTTCGGAGAGCGTCGAGGGATCGAGTTGCTTCTTCTTGACATTGTCAGCAACCGCAGTCGAAGCGTGAGAGTTACAAACAATACCTCGACAGGGCTCCCTGCTCTTGAACGATCTAACGACCAATAGTAGTCAAAATTGAAAGAAATCATCCGCAACACAGTGATATTGAAAAGGACCTCCCAACGCGGATTGAGCCCTCCATAAGAATCCAAGATTTCGCCCCAATGGACGGCACCGGGAAAGAAAGGCACGAGGGCCTTGGCCATGGCCGAGTATCGGTAGCCTTGACCAAGTTCATTAGCGAAGAGAATTGCGATGTTGAACACCCACGTCGCTATCGGAATCCATGGGCGCGGAAGAGCTGTGGCAATCTTGAAGTTAATGAAAAGGATGATTAGGATTTTAAAGATCGAGGAACCGTTCAATGCAAGAATGTAGATCAATGCAGAGCCGAAGTCGAAAGTCAGCCGGTGTCGAAGCCGGGATTCAGCGGTCGACTGGCTGACAGGAGAGTGCGAATTGGCACTGCCATTGGAAGCTGGTGGGTTGGGAAGGCTGAGACGTTCATATGCCTTGCGCAGGAGAGGATGCAAAACAACGAGAGCTGCTAGAGATGGGATGTTGTCTCGAAAGCTAGCATATTGGCCGTCGGAATTGTCCTGCGCTCTTTATAAGCCTGGCAGATCACCTACATCGGGTTGTGTTTCTCTCGACGTACCACTTTCCGACCAAAAAGCCAGCCGGGAGAGAGGAGATGTTCGTATTTGGAGTAATTGGGGGAATCAGCTATTGTTTTCATTCTGTCAAATCCACCGTCTTACTGCTTGGGTGCAGAGGTCTGGGTTTCTTACGCTGCGAGACACTGACTACAGCCCAGTACATCTGTGGGACACAAAACAGGAAGATGACCAGATATATCTTGAACTCGAGAGTCCTCCATCGTGGCTGCGATGCATCAGTGGGTTGTGTCTTTCCATCTCTTGGTGGTTGTTTGGTGGGCGCCTCGTTCACGGACTTCAAGGGCGTCGAGGAGGAATTCGTAAATCGTGTATCTAGAGTGTCCAGGGAGTACAGTTCGCGGAGGTATGAGAGGATTGTCATGTTGACATGTGTATCCCGCAGTTCCCTCTGGAACGCTGGAGGACTCTTGGGATATTAGATTTCCTTGAAAGGTGGCCTGGACTCGTGGTTGCGATCGCGGATGCGCGTCGTGGACAGGGGAAATGCTAGGCCAATGAAAACGCGAAGATATCCCCGCGCGCAGGCAGGGCGATTGGTTTAATTATTTCTTAGCTCGGCCGTTGAATACCCCTCTAACACTTAGTTAAAGGATCCCCTATTAATAACGGCTGGTGACGCTGTTCGGGGCGTTAGCTAGGGCTCCTATTGTTATTTCTGTCTGACAAGTCAGATGCACAAGCACCTGCCCAAGAGCATAACATGAGTCTTTTTGGTCAGACAAAATTGGTGCCCAGGTGAATCCTTGTCACCAACGTCGTCAATCCGTCACTGCGTCGAACAACAACTTCCTCATCTCCACGCCAGCATGCCTTTGATAGAAGAACTACCCGTTACCACCACTGCCCGTGCCTCACATGGTTGGACCTACGTCCCCGACACAGCAGCGCCCATTCCCGCCGTCCAGCTGGGCTCCCGCAAACGTGGCCGCGACGGAACGGTGGCACATGCGGCTGCCCATAAACTCTCGGCGAAGCAAGAAAAGGCCATCCAGCAACGACTGAATGACTTGAACAAGGAGAACTACCGCGACGCCCATATCCCGATCCCGAAACGAGAGGGCGCGAGAGGAAAAGAGAGGAAGACCACACAAAATGTGAGGCGGATTCTCGCCTACAACAGGACATTCCAGCATTATCTGGCGGACGAGGAAGCAGGGGTGAATGTTTATGGGAGTGCTGCCAATGTACTCCCTGCCACAGGTACCAAGGGTCAAGCGAGACCGGAGCAGACCCAGAAATCAGCGACAGATTCGAGGAGGCGCAGTGCCGCTGTCAACGACACTCCGTCAACAACTACCCAGAAAGGAGCTGCGCGACGTCGGAGCTCGTTGAAGCATGTCAAGTCCACGCCTGCGACGACCACCGCAGGGGAGAGTGCCGACCGTGTTGACGTTGAGATGCCTGATGCTCCCCCATCTACGAAACCCTTGGACCCGGCTTCGCCAACCACACCTATCAAATCGCCTACTTCATTTCAGGGAAAACAACAACCTTCCTCGTCTCCCTCGGCCAGTCAACCACCTCCTTCAGCATACGACCCAGCTCTTGACCGCGATCCGCTGCTTCGTACACGAGATCTTCCCAAGATGCCGTCAGATCGCGTCATGCAAGCTCTCCAGTCCGAACCCCCGTTGAGTTACGTTGCTGCGCGGGCAAAACCCCTTGATGACAACAGCGAGGGCGATGGCACGTTCGCCATGCGCACGGGGAACAACTCGCTCATGGCCAAACCGCAGCGCTGGTTCTGCTCGGTATGTGGCTACTGGGGTAAAGTGAGGTGCAAGTATGGATGTGGAGAGCGGGTGTGTGGGCTGCTGGACTGTTGGAGGGGCCACGAAGCTGTTTGTACGTTGGCGGCAACAGGCTACTGAGTGTATGAGTCCTGCCTGCGAGCCACTCATCTGTCGAGGTAGGTGATACAAGCACCTGCCTGTCCGTGCCCTATCTCTCAGGAGGGCGAGCTGCTTCTCTTTCTAGCATCCAGCGCATTTCTGCCTATAGTGAGTATAGGTGGTCGCCACACGGTGTCTGCATCACTGTTGGCCCCCAATCTGCATCAGGGCGGGCATCTAGGCACCCCTGTGCATGCACATTGTCGATCACGAATGTGACTTTGTGCTATCTTGTCTCCATATTCTTGGTTGCCGACTTGTTCGCGAATCCTTTTCACAATCTCAGAGGATGATTTTCAGAGCATGCGAAACACGCCGACAGTCTTCCCCCCAATGACAAGACAAACCGCATTCGCGACAAAGAGCCCACTGCTGGCCGGCCGAAGGACAAACGAGCACTTTGTGTATGTGTTTTGGATCGACCAAATCCTGAACGTCAAGCGAGTTGAATCGAGGGCGGCTGGCAAAGCTCGAGTCGGCACCATGATCGGCCAGAAACGAGAGAGATGCGATACATAGATTTGTCTGAATTTGCACAATGATGGATGGTGGACGAGTACCTGCCACCAATGCTGATCCGACCGTGTGTGGTGGGTGTGTGTGAAAATCCCGACTCGCTTCCCCTGATGCTGAAAATAAATCAATAATAGCACATGGACTAAAACACCTTGCAAGTTAAGTTACGCCTCCTTCCATCCATCAAGCTGCTGCTGTCCTTGCCATTGTAACCTACCCCGTACATATTAATTACTTGTCCAAGTCCACTGCACTGCACTACACTAAACTACACTAGCTTCGCCACTGCTGCTACCAGGCACATAATTCCTTGTACATGCCATGTTGATCTATCTAGATATCTCCACCATCACTCACTCGTTTACTGTATCCTCCGCCAAGCGCGAGAGAGATTATCACTTAGGTATTGGGTGGGTATGTGTGTAGTATCAATAATACTCATTGAGTTAGTACTATTTCCTATTCCAACCACCTCACCACCTCCCCTCCCCCTGTTTACCTTTTGTCTGATGTCCAAAGTATAATAATAACTAACTAACTCGACCAGGTCCGTTCAATAGACGGGTTGATTGTCGCCCTCACTACTAACTACTATGTATGTACGTACGTACGTACTAGGTATATATCATCACCGTCATCACCATCATCATTGCTATGATGATGGCACCAGGGGTATCATGTCGTGCCATCAGATTTGTAGTTCATACAATACAACCTGACCTGCCTTATTCACCGCGAAACCCACCTCGCCGTCCACCGTCCCGCTCAATTCGTTCCTACGCTGCCGTACATACTATCCAAAAATAAATAACTTTCCTCGGCGTGTTTTCGAGCATAGCACACTTGTAGTCGTTCAGTAGTCGTCTTTCGTTCTTTCGTTCTTTCCATCTAGATCCGCCAGCGGTTACATTCCGCCACAGGGGCCTTTTTGGGCCCTTCCCAGAAGATATGATTTTTGAAGGGCAAAAGAAGAGCCCCCTCCGAAACAGACTGTATCCATCCATCGATCAATCGCTCGGCCTCGCGCCCTCCATCTGTATCCTGCGGCCGCGTGGAGCAGCAAAGAAGGTATACTCTTCTCTCTTGACCACACCACAGATGCCCGGACGTACTATTCGCTCATGCCAGAGGCCACAGGAGTCAATCGATCAACCACCCTTCTTCGTCCCGCAAAGCCCACAGACGCCCGCATCGCCTGCATTCACATACCCGCTCTGACTGTACCTGCACACAGCGCTCTGACACGACCAGTGTCGTGGGTCTTTTCGGGTGTCCAGGACGTGCGAGCATGCCATGCACGTCGCGTTGAGCCGGGGGTTCTCGAGCGAGCAGATGGGGCAGGGTACGATTATGGGCCGCGACAAGGGTGACGAGGTGGATGAGGCTGAGGGTGGTGAATTGGGTGAGGTTGCTTTGACTAGGCTCGAGGTCCGGGTCGCCTGGGTAGAGTCTAATTTTTGGGTCACAGATGGTGTGGTTGGTCTGAGTTTCAAGATGGGAGACGGGTCGTCTGTAGGTTGGGTTGGTTCTGGACTGGGTGTATGGCTCGAAACTTTCGCTGGGGTTCCTTTTTTCTGGGGCTGCTGTTGTTGTCCGTCCATTTTCTCCGAGGCCTGGCCGCTGTCATTCGTGTCAGATTCTAGCGTTGCTATTATATTCGGCTGCTCTAGCGAAGGTTTGTCCGTGGGGTCCAGGTCTTGGGTCTGGATAATACCAGATCCCCTGCCGTTTTGAAAGGGTTTGAAATAACGGTCGAGCGTATTCAGGTCTTGTAATTCGCGTTGAACATTGATGTCTCCGGTATCTTCGTCGTCGCAGACTCGGATCATGCCACGGCCTTGGCCATCCAGCATTCTCTGGCCACTGATGTCCTTAGCGTCTTCTTGGCCGTCATCTGCGTCCTCGTAAGTGTCTTCGTCCTCTCCTCCGGCGTGCTGGAGCTCTTCGACCTCCATTTTGTTCGTCTCGAACCGAGCCAATGCCGCAGCAGCTCTCAATTCTCGACCTCGTTTACTCTGGGCTACCCGAGGCTTGTTCCCAATAGGACCCTTGCGGTTGATCTCCAGGCTCAATCGGGCGTCCTCATCCTCACCCAGCGCCACGCCGTTCTTGCCGAATTTCTTCTCGATGCGCCGGTCTCTCTTCTCCTTCCAGGTCAATTCTGGCTTGTCACTCCGTGTTTTGCGTTTTCTGTTGCGACTTCGATATGTCCCTCCACAAAGCGGCAACCCCTCCAACTCCTCGCTGCGTAAAATGTTGTTGCCCATGACAGTTCCCAAGTCACTTAACGTCCGTCCACCCCCCCAAAAGCCTTCACCCGTGTAGCCCTTGGCCCACAAGACCTTCATCTCTTCCGCGTAGAGATTTCTTGTCTTCCAGAAGTCCCGCCCGTGATTCATGTGGGTGTTGTGTGCCAGCTCGTGCATCATGACCATTTGCACCATATTGAACGGCACCCATCCGCCACCCTTGCTCTGAAGCACCAACTGGATGATCTCGCCATTGTTGAAGTTGCGGCCGATGAACTCTCGGTTTGGCTCGTATTCCTCGAGGGTCGTGACGGAGAGATAGTGGTTCTTCATGAGGGGGAGGCATTGGGCGGCGATGGCTCGCAGGAACGTGTCGGCGAGCTCGTAGGACGCCTGATCCGACGGCGGCCGCGGAAGGGGCTTGATAAAAACAATGCGATCATTGGGATGGGATGATTTCTGATGGTTAAGCCGCAGAGTGTTGAGGGGCATTGCGATGAATTGCTTGGACGGAAAGTAGCGAGCATAACCAGGAAAGAAATGAGGCGGGGAAAATGTTAGTACATAATTAAGTCCCTTCGACGCCAGACGCGGAGTCGCGTAAAGTGGCGGACGACAAAGTGCCGCGAAAATCGCCCGTCGAAACGTGACCACCATCAACGTTCTCCCTTATGGATCAATAGCACCGAGTTTCATCGTTTTAATCTGCATCTAGGAATACACAATGACGGATAGAAGCCTGTATCTTCATTCTTTGCGCTGTGACTATCTCTAGCGACGCCCTACCCATCGTTTCCAACGACCGCCGCCTTCATCCTCATCTTTCCCGTCGTTCTCAAACTCAAGTTCCTGATCGAATGGCTTTTTGGCATTGAAATATCCAGACCTCGACCAGTCAAAGGGAACATGCTCACCCGCCGCCTCATCCCACGGCGCCCAGGAAGAATGTGTCCAGTCGGGCTGACACTTGACGAGCTGAGGCGGTGACTTCTGCCACTCGATCTCTGTTGATAGGCCCATATCGTGTTCTGCCTGTTGGACGTTTCCTGAAGCATATCCGTGTTTGGCCTTTGTCGATCGCGATTGTTCATCGTTGTACCCAATATTGACGCTGGGAATGACGGCGATGCGGCCGTGCCCCAGAGCCCACAGGTCTTTACAGAACAATGTCGGCTCGCCCGAGTAGCATTCACCTTTGTACGCCGCCCGAAACCGGATGCTATGTGACAGGAAAGGCTCTGCCTTGAAAACCACGGCTCCGTTCCAGCATGCAAAGACTTGGAGGGGTCGCTTCTCATCAATATGTGTTCGAGCCTTCTTGTCATTCCAGAACAGGTTGTGGGAGAATTCAAATGATCCACTCTGAGGAACCTCGACGAACAAGTCGCCGTTCATGCTGCGGCCTATCCAAGAGTCATAGAAGGTGTCTCCGTTATTGTTCCAGTCCATGGCACACACCATATCCGCTCGCTGATGCTGTTTCTGATAGATGAGTTCCAAGATGTCATCCGTGCAGATTGACACGTCGTTCAAGAAAATAACAGAGGTATCTCTTGCGTACTTGTCGCGTTGGGTGATGAGTGGAGCGAGCGCCAGATTCCGCAGCTTTGCGAGCTCCGTGACTCGATCATGACCATTTTTCAGGGGGTCGATGTCGCTCGTCCCAAAATGGTAGCTTGCATTCAAGGCCTCGATCTCGTCCTCCAGTGCGACCAGTATCTCTGTCGTCCCGTCGTCGGAGCGGCCGCCTACAATGGAAAGAGTGCACTTTTCCGGGCCAAGGAAACGCATTGCTTCGACAATCGAGCCCAGAAGGCGCGGGAGCACATAAGCACACTGATAAAGGTTGAGGGCAAAAAAGTACCGTTTCTGTGGTTGCTGGATTTCGAGAGGGAGACTCTTTTTGGGTCGCAACGTCTTGTATCGGCCCTTCAGAGGCCGCGGACATTGGAGCCGGTCGAAATGTGTGTCGCTTGGGTCCATTATGGCTGCGATGTATGGTCCTACCGTACCCATTTTCGATTCGTCCAAATCTTCAACGGTATGGAGTGATAACGAACCGTCCGTCTCTTCTGCAGGATCTGCGGTGAAAAATGCAGAGGTGTTTTCCTCAACGTCATCCGGATCACTGGAAGATCCTCCTCCCCCGACCGTCACTGTCTCGTCAACACCAAGGTCTGAGGACTCGCTGATGTCGCCGTTGGTAGGGACTTTCCAAGCAGGCCTGACGATGGACTCGGCATGCTTCAATATTGGACTGGACAGGAGGATGTAAAGGAGACAGAGGAGCAAAAGCGCAGCGTAGATTCTCTCCGAGCCTCTCATGGGCCATAGCGAAGTCGCCATTGTCGGACCCCAGTCTGAGAAATTAGCGGAGGCAGGAAGATTTCAGCACCATGTAGCAAACAGACAGGACTCAAAGGATTAACCCATGGCACGAATCCTTACCTGTTGTTGTTTCAGTCCCATTGCTGAGGCACGGGTTCGGCATTCCTTGCATGAGGTGGAGCGCGACGACGACGAGGACGCGTCCATGTCAACCAGCAGCATTCTCCGCCCTTTTTTTGTCTGGATCAAGAGAATGCCTGAGCAGGCCCTTCTCGAGCAGTCCAGTTCTCAAATGGCCTCACCCTGTCTTGTGTAACACCTCTTTGATCTGGGTGTAGAATGGATAGGAGTGTAGAATCGCGATCCATGTCCCGAGATCTTGACTGTGCCTGTGCCTGTGCGACACAAAGTCTGTGAAAAGAGTGGCTCGCCATAGCATGTACATGCCAGCGACAGCCGATGCCTGCCTCCGACAATGCATGTATCTTCCAGATGAGACACTCTCATCGTGCATCGTTCACTGTTCACCACGGGGTGGTTTACTGCCCAGTCCAGCCATATGCACTACCGTAGTCAGAAGGGGCCAGTCCGGTGGAGTATAACCCCGTCGCAGCGCGTGTCTCTTTCCCGTTTTGAGTCCCTTCAGGTCACGACGAGAATGGGATGCGCAGGAGTTCGCGACGTGACATCCATCGACATCGACACCGACACCGTGATCATCTTCAACCAAGCCTCAGGTGATCCACCAAAGCAAGGCGAGTTTCTGATTTACGCTCTGTCCCTCCACATCTCATGTTCATGCAAGGCCCTTTTGCATTCAGCCGAGGTTCAAATTTCTCCCTCCAATCCCGACGACCAATTTCCCCGAGTCCATTCTAGTACTGAGACGTCGTGCAAACCAGTTGATTTACATAAAAACATGCCGAGGCGACTAATATGACATGGGTGCAAATACTGCAATGGGACAGGAGGTGGAGCGTCATCAAGCCCTAGCTATACTCTCTTTTGCGCTGACAGGTCTCAACACTACCACGCTTGGGGGTTTCACGCCACTGTCGCTTTAAAAGGACGGGAACATCTACTGCATTGCATTGCATAGCATCAAACCCTGGTCCTGGTCCAACACTTAAGAGGATACTGCCAGAAGAGGATACCATGGATTCGAGAAGGCCGTCGTCGTCGACCACCGGGTTCTTCCAAGCGCTTCCCGCCGTGCCGCAGCAATACACAGCGTCTTCGTCGCGACACGAAACATCAGATGATGTCGTTTTCTCACGAGCCCTGTCCCTCTACCTCCCGGACCCGCTGCCGATCTCTCTCCAGAACCATTTCCACGATTTTTCACGCCTCGTCCTCGAACCGTCGACCCTCCAGCACACGATCGATTGTGATACGGACCTGCCGACACTCCACCCACTGACCACTTTTGGCGAAGAGAACAAAGTCAATCCCCTCCGCACGAGTGAGGGATGGCGAGCCCTGAAGCAGATCCAGACGCGCGCGGGCGTGGTCGGATACGGATATCCCCAGCCCACCTTCAAGCAGGACTTCAACCGACGGGTTCACCAATTCGGCACTCTCCACCTCTGGCACGGTACATGCGCAGTGACCACTTGTCCTATGGCCATGACTGATGGGGCGGCTGTGCTGTTACGTCGACATTTCGACGACCCAGATGGAGATCAGCCCGGTCGCGGAGCTGTGTTCCGTGAAAGCCACCGCCGTCTGGTGTCTTTGGACCCGACGACTGCCTGGACCAGTGGACAGTGGATGACGGAACGCAGCGGCGGAAGTGACGTGCGAGGCACCGAGACCGTCGCACGTCGGATGACTGCGCAAGAAGTGCAGAACGATGTCAATGCCGGTCGAGACAAAGACGCACATGGACTCCCTCTCGGGCCCTGGATTGTGGACGGGTTCAAATGGTTCTCCTCTGCCACCGATGCCGATATGGCCGTTCTTCTGGCGCAGACTAGCAAAGGGCTGAGTGCGTTCTACGCTCCTCTCCGCCGAAGCACGGGCAGTCGGACCCGACCCCCTCTCTCGACCGAAACAAACGGCATTCGCATCCAACGCCTCAAGAACAAACTTGGCACGAAGGGCGTACCCACCGCCGAGCTCGAGCTCAAGGGCATGCGCGCCTACCTCGTCGGCCAGGAAGGCCAAGGCATCAAGGAAATCAGCTCCATCCTGAACATCACACGGCTGCACACCGCAAGTGCCGGCGCGGGCTACTTGGCGAGAGGGTTGGCAGTGAGTCGCGCATACACGCTCGTCCGCAAAGTCAGAGACGGACAACTCCTGCGCGACAACGCGCAGCATCTGGCCTGGATGGCCGGCGAAAGCGTCAAGTATCGCGCCAACACACACCTGGTCCTGTTGGGGGTGGCGCTGCTGGGCGCCACAGAACAAGACTACGGCGTGGTGACACGACAAACCCGCGGCGCCGCGACACTCATCCCCCGCGCGAAGGAGAAACAGGAGATGCTGCTCCGTCTGCTCACGCCCGTGATGAAGGCGCAGGTGACCCTGAACAGCGTCTCAGGCTTGCACGCCTGCATGGAGTCGCTCGGCGGCGTCGGTTACTGCGAGAACAACGAGGACGGCGGCGTGATGAACATCGCCCGCCTGTTCCGCGATAGCGTGGTCGGCACCATCTGGGAGGGCACCACGAGTGTCATGGCCGAGGACGTGCTACGCGTGGTGGCGAACCCCAAGACACAGAAGACCGGCCGCGACGTCCTCGACGAGGTTCTCGGCGAGTGGATGCGGAATGTGCTGAGTGCGATCCAAAGCTCACCGAAGCGAGGCGCTAGTTTCGCTCTGGAGTGCGACATGACCGCGAACCGTTACCGGGCGCTTCACGAGCTGGTCCGGACGGCCGACGCGCTCGACCTGCAGCGCCGCGGCAGGGACATCCTGGAGCACATCGAGGCCGTGACGTGCGCGTGTCTGCTCATGTTCGACGCCGCCACCACCGAAGAAGGAGACGAGGTCGCGGCGGAGGTCGCGCGGCGCTGGGTCAGGATGCACGCGCTGCCGGCCGACCAGGTGGCGAAGAAATCACAGAGCGAGGGGATCCCCAGTCCCAGTGGTGACCGGTCCAGGGAGATCGACATGGATCGGAGGATCTTTCTCGGCTCGGCGGCGGCGGACGCTCCGGACGCGACGATACGGGCCAGACTGTGAAATAGTAGTAGTAGTGACTTGAATCCATAGAAGTAGTCATATACCGAGTACAAAACCGTCGAATGAAGAGAGAGTATAAGTAGAAACACTATATATATTCGACTATGGACTTTCCTATCTCTTCATTAAACGGGCTCTACACTCCGCATATCATCAACTAAACACCTCGCACACGGTTCCCACAAATCCAGACAGGCCGCCGCCTGTATTAGCAATCGGGGCTGGGCCGGTCACTGGCCCAGTCGCCGTCATGGTCGGGACCACAAGGACCTGATCGCCCACCTCTATCCACTCAATCGTACTGCCAAAACGAAAGGACACTCTGATTTCCCTTCTTTCTTTGTGGGGCTTGCTGCTCTCGCCGTCGTCTTCTCCAAACCCCTCGCCATTGTCATCATCATCATCATCATTAATGTCCAAAGGGAAAAGCTCCGCGTCGTCTCGGGGCGGTGCTGCAGACGGATATCTCCTGAAATGCTGGTCATCCTCGTCGAGTGCCACCGCCGTCACTTTGACAGCAGCCCGCACACTGTTGATGTAAACGATTGCATGGCCTCCGAGTATCAACACCGGTGAAGTTGACTGTGCAAAGTCCGAGGTAGGAAACCTCGCAGAAAACGAACGACACCCCACGAGAGTTTGGTTGACGTCAGTAAGTACCATACCTTTGCGAGCCCGACCGAGCCCGACGCTGGTGTGTTCGCCGTCCAGGGGCTCAACACCAATGGTGCCTGTTTCCCCATGGTGCATGCGCATCACTGGAAGTCGTAAAGTCCGAAGAGACACGACGCGGACTTGGAGAAATGCCGCCGATGGCAGATATCTTCGAGTCGGGTGCTGTGGCATATCTCCCTGATAAGAACGCGCGAGAACACTCGAGAGCCTCTCTGCATAAGATGACTCAGCCGCAGCGTAGGAATTCGCTCTCACAGCGGACTGAGAGACGTGGGTAGAAAAGCCGTCAGTGTCCAAATTGAAAGGCCCCAGGAGCATGATGTCGCCAACCGACAACAGGCCATAGGAGAGGTGTCCACAAAGCACAATGCCCTGTCTGGCGATTTGAGTTTCGGCATCCAAGGTATACACACGCGATGGAGGGATGCTGAAGACTTCATCGACATGGAAAAGCGATGAGCTCATTATGGACCCACGATCGAGAGATTGCCTGGGCTTACAGGCGGTGGGAACGGTTCGAAACAATGCGTGCAGTTTGCTTATGCCGAGTCCTGTGACAGCGGAAGTCATGAGAATCGGGACAGGGCTCTGTCCAATGTCCCCTTGCATTGATCCAATAAGTCGTTCAACCTCCGCCTGATCCCTTTCGGAGATGATTTGTAGGTCCGGGAGGGCACCTCCTTGCTCTGAAGTAGACAGGGAGCCTGACATGTTGCTGAGCATGACGGGTTTCCGACCAGCCGCCTTGAGAGCCGAAAGAATTCTCGCAAGTACCAGTCGCAGTCCCGCCTTGGTCGCGATGTCCATTTTTGTGATGGCCACTATCAACGGCACTTGTAACCGCAGACATAAATCCAAGTATGAATGTGAGAGGTCCCCACTCTCCCCGGTTCCGCTATTAGCAAACAGCTGCTGACCTAGTGCGCCGGTTCGGCCAGTTGCCTCGTCACTTTCATTTGCTGCAACGCATAGAATGGTCCAAGAAGGTCTCCATGATATGAGACTTCGGAAAGCAGACTTTGAAAATTTGGGGAGACCAGGGGAGTCGGAGAGCAAGACAAGACGTTGACCTAGGTTGTGGATATCTATCCAAGAGGAAACATTACCTGACGCATAGTTGATCACAGTACGTGGAGGGCCACGATCCTCTCGATACCCGACGAGTTCGTGCGCAACAGAACTTGTGACCCCTGAAGCAATCTCATGTCGATGTTTGAGCAGCGACAACCGGCTCTTGCCTCGTCCATTATCTAGTGTAGATGTTGACAGGGTCCCTAAGAGAGAAGACTTTCCAGCAGTGGTCGCGCCCACCAGGGTCACTCGAATTTGGTCGGTCGAAGCGTGGTCGGCAAGATCCGACGACACATCGTCCGGTCCGGAGGAACCGGGTGAGATATCGAGTGTTGTTCTTGGGATGTCGGCGTCGGCTGAGCCTCGCGAGTCAGGGTACACCAGCACTTCAGCAACCCAGAGTGCATCTTTGCGCGTTTGCGCGTGGCCGGTTTCGCCGTCACTATCTACCCACTCACACGTTCCTACCGGGACTTTTCGCAGTATATTTGTAGTGCAGCCGAGGCTTGCAGCCATGGCCTTGAGATTGTTTAAGCTCTCTTTTAGCTCGTCTTCGACCAAGCCCGCCAGGACACCATCATCAGCCACGCCGATTTCGTAGAGGGCGCCTTGGCTTTCTTCGAGACCTGGTAGGAGCTTTGCTGGACGTTCCGGAACTCCCAACTTCGGGGTCGCTTCAGGAAGCAGCGGTAATACCAAATCTGCGTTTGACGAAGAATGAAATGGCGAAGACTGTTGGAGCCTCCATAGCAGCTGTGTAGTCAGTTGTTGTAGTCTAGTCTGACGAGCCTGTGCAGAAGGTTGCGATGGTGGGCGATCTATCAAAGAGCCACCAGGGGAGCGACTTGGTCCAGCTGCGACCTGAACTGGGGGAGTCAATGGCTTTGACCCAACGACGGGGCACGTCGTCGTTGCCGAGAGGAATTTCCGCCTCGGACGAAGGAGGAGATGGAGCTTATACTCGGTAGGACCATCTTGACGTTCTGGCTCTAGCTTCATGAGTCCATGTGTGGCATGATGTCCTCCACTGGGAGGATTGTCAAGCGAGTGAAGTGGCTGAGGGGTTGAAGTTCCTGGTGTCGACCAAGGAGAATGTATTCGGGGAGGCTCATTTTGGTAAGTGAAGATGGAAGCCATGACGTTTTTGTTTATAACCTTCTCTTCCTCTCCAACTATCTCATATGGTACGCCGTGTTAATGATGACCGAAACGGGGGCCGCGATAAAGATCGGGTGACAGTATGGGAATAGTAGAGAAGCTGAGACAGGCGAACAACCATTGTTGCGATGGCTCAAGCTGCGTGGTGGTCTGTGAGGTATCAATTTCGCGTAGAGAGTGGCGATCAGGGCATATGAGAGAGTCAGAACCCGGGCTAGCGGGCGGATGACAACTCTGAGTCACTACTGGGAGCAGCGTCACCGATATAGAGGAGAGTCACAAAGTCGAGGCTGAGTGAAGAAAAGACAAGAGGAGAGAACGAAAGGCTGATCGGCGCTTCGGGTTTGGTTAGCTGCCAGCGGGTCATGCCGACGCATCCTCCCTCCCTTTCCCCTTGTCGCATGCTGCACGTAAGGGCCCGTCTGGTCACGGCTCCTCTGACAGGACAACCTCGTTATGATCTCGTGCAGCCATCATTCCTGCGGCAGAGGGATTCCATCTGTCCACGAGGACGCAGCTTAAGCTACATGCGAGGGACCCGGATGTACTGGCGTAAGCCGTTCCAGTGCGGGGCATGTTTATGAGGGAGTATTAGGATCCCCGCGATCGGATCATGTCTCAACATATATAGAAGTCATTGCATTGTCTTCATCTGGGTATCTTGAATCTGTCAACTATGCTCTTGGGGGTATAGCAAGTCAAGGTCGCTGTTGAAATGTGGGTGTCTGAGTAGATGGGTACATTGGACGAAAACGGTGGTCTGGCGGAAAGGCGCCCTCTGTCATTTCTTTCCTCTCTTCTATTTCGTCTGGGAGGCAGCAGAAAATCTTCCCGTTGGTGGTGCCACAAGAGATGCTCTCTTTCACTTGCTCTTGTCTTCTCCCTCGGAGACCTTCTCCCACTCACTATCAGTGCTGACATAACCTGAGCTCTCGCCCAGGCTGCGCCGACGCCTTAATGCCTCTGTACTCTCGGCCATCTTCGGCTCAAGGAGCGTGGTTGCAATGTCTTTCGGCCGCTCGTGTCTTGGACTCTGACTGCGCGCCGATGGTGCCGTCGTTGGTTTTCCAGGATCAGCTCCCGACGCCTGCGGTGTCGGCGCTTCAGTTTCAGTGTCACTCGCGTTATCGGGCTCCGGGCTCTTTTCTTTCTTCTCTTTTGCCTTTTGCGCTTGCTGTTCTTTTGCGATTTCAGTAGCAAACCAGTTGATGGAGTACCAAAGACCGCCGCACAGAACGGATAATACCAAAAAGTGGAGAGAGTACGTTGCGATGAGGAGGATCAAAAGGAGGAGCTGGAGGGCGGCAAATGCGGCATTCGTCGCAACGAGGAGTGTGGGCGTCGGGCCAGGCGTAAAGATGGAATTCCAAAGCTCTTCAAGGAACGAGGCCATGTTCTATTCCTGTGTCGGACTGCGCAGTGCTGGATCGTGAGAGGGAAGCAAAAATCGAGGAGGCAGGCGGCCGGTGAGCACGAGGGTTGGAAGAAAAGCGACAAAGTCTGCCCCGCCCTCCAGGAGGGTTTAGAGAGCTTTTTAATGGGAGACCCAACCTCCTGGCGCCTTGCCCCCCTTGTGATTGCTGTAGAGGTAGGCGATCGCTCTAGAAGGACACTTTGGAGTATTTGAGTGGCTGCAGGAGGTTAGAAAAGGTGTAAACGTGGCATCGATGAAGGACCACTGAAGGTTTGCACCCAAGGCCAGCAGTCAAGCGACCGATGACCATGACCGCAGTCGGACGCCGCGGCTGGGGAGTCAGAAGCCCATCCCCCGCCCACAAACTGCCCGGCGCCCATCCAGGCAAACGAATTAATGACCCTGGTGAACGTGATCTTCTCAGTTTGACCCGAGATCTTAATGTTACTGGCTCATCCCAGAGCTGCGTACAATATTTCTGCTGCGAACACCATTGTCTTGCACCACCAGATTCTTCAAGCAATACGAGCATCCACCATTCTCGGCACACGAGTTCTTCCTCTTTTGACACGACCCCTATCCTATCGACACCCTCTACAAGCCTTGACTGTTTCCGAATCGAGAGATTTCTGATAGTCTCGACGGCTCCGGAGTTCTCATTGATGTCTTCATCTTAGCGCCCCGTCAATATATATGAGTATCGGTGGCCATAACAGCCAAGATCAGGCACCAGGAGAAACAGATTTGGCTTTCTTCAATGTTTATTGCTGAGAGATGACGTTGCGACATGTCAACCGCATGGTTCAAGATGGAGCCCGCAGATCTCGGTGATACCAATCTGAAGTATGCGCTTAGTGGCCGTTTTACATTCAACAGCAAAATCTCAGTCCAGGATGAAGAGGTTGCGTCTCGTCCGTTACCCGTAGTAATCTTCTATGAGGTGCCGACCCTTCTGCGCAGGACGTCGGCAAAGAAGCTCGAAAAGCATCACGTAGCAGGATATACGAGGTACAGTGCTAGAGGGCGTCAAAGCGAACGGAGATGTGTTACCTGTTTTTGCATCTCATCCAATTTCGGCACAGCAATGGGGCCAGCTGCGTCATGACGAATAAGTCAGATTCTTCCTTGAAGTTGTGAGAGTTTCGTTCTGATACTTCCTCGAAACAATCTCGCAGGCCGAATGTCCGCCCCATGGTTGAATTATATGTCGAGCTGATGACGGAAAGCTGAATCGAAGTAAGAAGGGGTGCCATGCCCCAGTTATCCACTGCCAGCCAAACTCACGCTGAATGCCGATATCCTGGTCCTTACTCGTAGCTACCAGAGCCCTAATTACAGAGCCCGAAGGAAATAGGGATGTACGAGTAGTCCCGCACTCGTACCTAGGAGCTACAGAACAGTAGTGCCTCTTTGCAGGGTGAACAGCCACCGGAGCACGGGGTAAGTGGCTGGTGAAATCCTTCGTGTTGACCATCAGCCACAGGTGCAAGCGAAAGGATTCAAGCCACAGATCCCTTTGCCCACATCGGGGTGAGGCTGAATGATCGGCCAATTGCTGCACATGATATCCTTGGGAAGACTCCTCCGGGCGAAGTGGTCGATCATGAGGTTTTCGGTGGCTTCCTCCAGGTCGTGGCGTTGGGGGCCTGGATGTGGCTGGTGAGCCAGCTCGCCAGGTACCACTCCGACTCTCCGCGAGGAACTTGGATTTGGTTGGATTCGACACCTTCCCAAAGAGTGATGCCCCAGGGCTTATGTCCCGTTGAGGACGCAGTAGCTGGCTGGAGAGCTTGAGCAGCATCAATACCCTGGCACCTCTGGGTCGACTTTCTGACGTAAACGGGGTCTGTTGCCCAAGGATTGTTGCAAGTGGATTAAACACCCCGGTCCTTGCTAGGTTTAGTGGCCATCCACATGGTGCGTACGAGTCGCCGCGGACTCTCAGTCACTTGCTCGTTTCCATTGTGATTCTGGTTCTGGTCAATCTCTTCTCCCATATTCAACAGCTTGAGCAGAGGGCGGAGAACGGAGGCACCTAGACAGGCGACCGACAAATATACCTCGTACCCGTGGAAGCAGAACGGGAGGAGCGGGTCGCTCAAAGAGGTAGACAGTGGCGTGGATGGCGGTCCCGGATTGGCCATCTCGCAGTCTCTAAATCAGCATTAAGTATTGTTGTATGGAGGCGAAATGATTAGCGTCGAGGTCCAAGAGGTTAGCTTACCACTCACGCCCCCTCGAGTTAGGTGAGGGTTGGTTGCATTCGTCCATCTCCGAGCTTGCTGGGGGTTTGGAGGTTTAGCGACGCGCGAGGGTAGCTAGGAGAAGAAACGGCAAGAGAAACGAGAAGACCGACACGAGGTGGCCTATCGGCTTCAGCACAAGAAGGTCTGCAAGATTAATGCCGTGATGCATGTCGACTGTGAATTATTATCTGGGCTCTTGCTGGCCATCGTGGGGGCGAATTTATTACGGACTCTCGCACCTCGCTCCCCTGCCTCCCTGCTTCCCTTTTCTCTCCCTCCCCCGGGTGGTGCTTGGTGCTCACCACTGATCTCGCCATCTGTGCCTATCCACCAACCACTTCGTCACTTGCCCTCCACTAGCAGCCGATCCGTTGAGGCCGCCTTTCCAGGGCTCGACTCCCGTAATTTAGCCTCACCAACCCACCTACTCGGTCCCCATCGGGCCAACTAGGAGTGCCAGACCTTTTTCAATTCACCATCCAGTACCGGGGACGCTGTACGTACGATTACTCCGGACGAGTTCGCCTTTGGCACCCCCTGCGACGTTAAGCTATCACAAGGAGGGCCCGGTGGACGCTGCTTTTGCCTCTGGCAAAATGTTTGACACTGGGGAATTGCTAGAGATTAGCCACCCTCACCTGGAGGGGTCGACGAGGAAGAGGAGGACAAGAGAGACAACGCTCAACCTTCGTCTCTCCTCGACCATCGGGACGGGCTAACTCTCCATGACTAAAAACACACAGTGTAGAAGTTGATGAAATCTTTTTCAACAAGACAAATTGATGCCACCTGCCGGATGAAGCAATTGTTGTGCTGTGGCCTCTGGAAACCCTCGAGGCTGATAGGCCACAGGGCGGCCGAAGCCGGGGGTCAGACGCCCGCCATCGACAGGTAGCCTTTGCAACACTGTTTTCCAGCACAGCTCTCCTACCAGGCTGTGGTGGCCGGTTGGTGGTGGTGGCCACCACCCCTCTGCTGACCTGCTTATTGCTCACCTCTTGCAGTCCTTGGTCGGTGCTAAATGGCGGGCGGGTTTGCCAGGCTCTCCTCTTCTGACGCCATGCAAGTCAGGCTAGCTCTCCATGGTTGGTTACACGACCCTCCGTATAACGTGGTTCTGTCATTTCAAGGCTGTACGCCGTCCGCATCGGATTACCACCCACGGTGGTGCTTGTCGCTCTCGAACAAAGAGCCATTCTGGCAGCGCTTCCAGGTTTCCACAGCACTACTAAACTGGCCCCACTGGAGACGAGTTTTGGTGAGTTATGTAAGTAAGCAGTGCTGACCGTGGCTGAGGTCGCTCCGCTCTCCATGGCCTTTGGAGAGTGGGCTATGCTGGTGAACCGGCAATGGGCTTTGGGCCCATGTACGGTCGCTCCACGATCCCCTCGACCACTTCCCCCATCACCGTACCTGAGCGCGCTGTTTCTTGCCGTGTTGAGCGTGCCGTCCTCTGTGATTAGCTGCAACAAGCACCTCCCCTGGATCTCACAAGCTAGGCTCTGCGAGTATGATATCTGATTTCTGGGACTTCTGATCGCGGGTCAGACTCCGCCCGACCTGGTCTGGCAATGACCTTTTCACCACCAACCTGCTCTTACGAAGGACCCCCGATTGCTGGCTACCCAATGTGAACAACCGCCTGGCCCCCCCTTTTTCGACATTGTCTTCAAACGGCCATCCGTCATCTTCGGCTTGGGCTTTGATCCATTCCAGTTCACCCCGTCTCCATCTGCTTAAAACGTGGCGTGGCAGCACGCTTCCTAACAACCCCCCCCTCTCTCGAGCCACATCTCCGTCCATCGCCCTTGGGATCGTTCAGGCCCCCAAAAAGGATCAAAACGTTCTTAAGCCATATGAGTACCGTACGACGGGGACTATAGGGCTGCGCTAAGGGGGAGCTTTCAAAGAGTTTATCCGTTGAAGATATCCCCGTGTCGAAGGCTCGTGGCATCAGCAATCCACCTCGACCTCAAAAGATCCGGTCATCAGCATCTCTCGTCTATGCCTTCAACGTGCCGTGCCTAAAGGCAATTCGGATTCTCCCAACACCGGCCAATCATTGCATATCGTCATTACGCAGTCTTGCCTGTAACAGAATCTGAGCGGACCCTTTCCCACCGCGGGGATAAAGCAGCACCTATTTCGAGATATTATTTATCGGAGCGGGCCCGGTGGTTTTGGGACAGTCAGTGACCGCCAACTCTCCGTTGCTATCAACCAGAACTTCGTCGATCGGAACCCGACCATAAAAAGATCATCCAGAATATCTCGAGCTTGCTCTTGCAGGCTCGGTTGTAGCCTCAGTCAATATTGCGTACCTTAACTCGTGCCAGTCCACTCCTTCCATCTTGTCGGTCTCGCCTTCGGCCTCGGAGCGTTCGTCCAGTCGAGCCCAGAGCGCGACGTACGGCGAGAACCGGGTCTCGACCGCAAGTGGTCAAGGTAGTGGTCGTGTCGGCACTTATCAGGGAGGACAAGACCACGCCAGGTCGATAATACCGACCAACACGGGATTACAATCGCACCTAGAGGAGAGGCAGCGTCCAGAGCCCTTTCCTTATTCAAGCCACCAGTACTCTTGGACTCCAAACCAACAACAAGCAGCTTCAGCAGAACTACAGCCGTCCGGGTTGCCACAGTATCCGTTACAGCGACAAGGGTTAGTAGAAATCCGTTGAACTGGTCGGTTTACGGGCATGACTGACACCCATGCGTTCTAGAATGGCTGCTCAAGTTCTCCCGACACCGTCCTCGCAATTCCCCAACCACTTGTCTTACGGGAACGAGATGCTCAATTCTTTCCAGAGTAAGAACTCCCAGCTTCACACTCCTTATTTTCCGTTACTAGTTGCTGATCAGGCGTCAGATTTTGAGACTCTGCCATCTGGGAGCGTTGCCTACACTTCCGGCCCCCCGTCACAGTCGCTTCTGATGGTATCTCAACCTTCAATGAATTCCGAGGTGCCATATCGCAGACGTTCCTCTCATTCGCCGCAGGCGCCCATGAGCGCGCCGGCAATCCGTGACCGAACACCCATTCGGCACCACAGGCCCAGCCTGTCGCGCGGTCGCAGTCACAGTCGAAGCGATTTGTTGCTGGCATACGCCACCGAACAAAACCAGCTGCACCAGACACAGTCACTGCCGTCAATGGCTGCTATGCCGTCACAGAGCGGGTCGACGATGCCACAAATGTACAACATGCCATCGTACAGCATGTCGCCCCCCATCACCAGCTTTCCGCACCAAGGGGGTTATTTTGGATCCCCAGTGCCGCCACCAACGGCACAACAAGACACGACGACTGATTTCCCGCTGCACCATAATGAAACGGAAGCCCACGCCTTCTACCCTGTGGGCCGCACAACTTCTCACGGCTCAGCGCTGAGCCTACCCCCGCCTGATTCGCCGAATACTCTGTACCTGCACGGTCAGCCACAACATAGTCAACAACCACTACCCTCGATTGGGATGACGATGCAACCTTTCCCAGCGGTACCCCTTACGTTGGAATCTTCTCCCGCCGAAATCGAGATTATGCCATCCAGACCCAAACCACAATGCTGGGATCACGGTTGCAACGGACGTCAGTTCTCGACCTTTTCGAACTTACTTCGCCACCAAAGAGAGAAGAGTGGCAGCGCCGTCAAAGCCGTTTGCCCACACTGTGGCACGGAGTTTACGAGAACAACGGCGAGAAACGGCCACATGTCGGGCGGCAAGTGTAAAGGGCGGCCTGAGGGGGAGAGTTCGAACCGAGCGAAAAAGGAATCTTGATGTTTTGCAATTTGATTGTTAGGAGTGCATGGCGATGACGACGATACGATTTCAAGGCATCCGACGAGCAAGTGGAATAGGCAGGGCTGGGCCGGGACATGACAGCTGTTTGCAACGTCAAATCATGGCCCAATGGCCAATTGTTCCTAGGAATGGCAATGGAAATGCCAACGCCAACGACAAAGAAAATGGGGCGCAAATGCTTGGTGACGGCGTCAGGACACTGGTGGCTCGGGAGGGACTGGAAAGGGCAGCAATGTTGATCCACACTGGTGCAATTTCTGGAATTGATTTGGCTTCTTTTTGTCTGGCAAAAGCATGGAAACTCTAACTTCTGAGTGTAGGCGATCACGATGATACTTTGCAGCGAGCGTTCTTGGTCTGGGGGCGGCCGCTGCAATGCTACGTCGTAGACCTCAGAAGCGGAGACCCGTTTCTTGGTTTAGGTGGGAGCAGCATTTCGAGCAGTTTTGCCCTTCCAGAAGTGGCTCGCCACTTTTGCAACTCCTCACAGTGTTCCCAGTATGCATAGAAAGAGTATTGAAAACGCCTTCAGACCAAAGCCAGTGGACGAGCGAGCAGGCTCGAATGGTGGGATTTTTGTGTCGCAGGAAGCGCTGGATACGAGCAGAGGACAAGGCTCCGAATGCAGGTCGCGAGGAACCAACCGAGCGACTACCGACAAGAGAGGACGGGGCTTCACTAGCCAGTGCTGTAGCCGGCATGGCCCGTGGGCTGAGGCTTGATCTAAGAGGCAACGCGCAGCCCGCTTGAGTGGCAGATCATGGCGACTCGACCGACGACTTGCCCGAAGGGAAATGGCTCGCTTGGCTGGAGAATCCACATTGGGTTAGAATGAACATCTCAATAGTCTCTACCTTGAACTTGGGAAGGGAACGATTGAGCCGTGAGAGGAGAGAGGGAGAGGAGAGGGGAGACCTGGCAGAAGGGCATGTTTGCACATGCGCTGGCACATGTACTCATAGATTGCGGGTGTACGGCTCGTGGTGGGTGATTTGGCTGGCGTTCTGTCAGCTTGCACCAACAACACGTTCTGAGGACAATTGCACCACCACTATTACCGAGTACATGCATCGTCAGTCTACGGACTGCCTCGGTGGGTGGGCGGACGATGGCACCAACCAGAAAGTGGTAATGGCATGGGGCAGCCAGGGTGGTAGCTCGAGGCGAGGCTGGCGCTGTTTTAGGCATTCTCAAATTCTTGGCTTGGTAAGCCGGGCGTTCGGCCCCAGGCACCCACAGGCGCCAATCCTGAGATCGACCAGGGAGCGCCAGAGAAAGACTAGGGGAACTCCACACCGGCCAGGGACCAGGAACCGGCAGGAGGTTCACTGGGCGTTATCCGAATAGGCTTCTCCAACCGCCCGAGGACAGCGTCATGACACAATAGGCACCTAGGGAGCCACTATAGGCACCACCTAACCAGGAACTTCAGTGCCTACGGGGATTGATGGTGCTCACAACTCAACCACACTGCTGACTCGCTGAGTGGCATGAGTGAATGCCGCTACACATCCCCGGCTCCCTTGTCACCTGTCTTGCCGCGCTGCCCTTGTCGCTCGCTTCTTCGTTTCTTGTCATCAATTGTCATGTCGCTAACTCGGTCACTCTCTCGCTCTATTCTCTGTTTTTATGTCCTTATCTCCATCTCAGCTGCAGTGGCATCCCTGCCCCTCTGCCCTTTTCACAGTGAGTCTTGTACCGAGACTGGAGCAGCTACAGGATGCTCAACCTCAGGACCTTGACGGCATCTCTGTAACATACAGCCTCAGTCCTCAGACAGATCCTTGGGTAGCTAAATACGTGTGGCCCGCGTCTCCATGTTGAGGTGATTGCCCCGATGTGATCTGATCGATATTACGATCTGCTTGCTGCCCTGATCCTCTTCTACGGTTGCCTGGTTTCCTCACAGGACGTCGTCTCAGCCGTGCGTTCCAGCGCCGTGGACATCTTCTCCTCCCTCGTTACTATCCACCACAGCTCACCGCACCAGTGGCGAGCAACACTCTCGCCCCTTATTCGGAACAAATAATATTGCCGCCAATATTATTGCCTGGTGCGGCTTAGGGCCTGGCAGTCGTTGTCCGCCGAATTGTTCACGCGGCCAGATCACACATCTGGATCGAGGAGCCCTATCCCTAAGCCTCGTGAACATTGCTGGAAGCGCCACGGTGCCTCCTGTTCCTTCTAGATGTGCAAGAGACGCACCGCCAATGTCGACGATCCCGTCCACCGCTCGACCCTGTCTGTGGCTGAACGGGATGCCCCAAACCTCACGATTTGTGCCCAGGCGCATATCTATACCTGCTTAGGGGAATGCTACGGCACATGTCAAGTGGCCACATCTCTCCAATGTCAGCGTAACACGCGGTCCGACACCGGCTTGCTCGCAGGGACCACGAGGGTCTTTCCAGGGCTGTTAGGTATCATCAGAGACAGTCACCTCCTTTACCCCCTCCTTCTCGTGTAATCGATGGCCACCAACCCATCCTCGGGGTGGGGTACGTCGGCATATTACCATTTTCTACCTCGTCTGGCAGTTTTGCCAAAGCCGCCGCTCTTCCTGACTAAAAAAAGAAGGGGGCTGCGCGTAATGATCTGTCAATAATGCAACCAGAGTAACGGGTCGTTGATTGACCTCGCCAAAAAAACACACTACTCTCAGCCCTGCCCCAAGCCCATGGTCCTCCATACGCACAGCTGGCGTGCCAGTCCGGATCCTTCAAAAGTCCACGCCATACCTCTGTGGCTGATGATGGTGCCAGGAAGGACGACGGCGATCGCGGATCGCGTCGGTACGTCTGTATACCACGGGGCCGCTGAGGTGCGGCCAAGCGAGAAACATCATCCATCCAGGCTCGGCGGCTCGTGAGACCTGGGTTGCGGTATTGTCAGTCTCAGCTGTCAAGACTTAGCCAGGGGAAGTGAGAACTTCCCTCTTGAACAGAGCCCGATATGTTTAGTCAGTCCTGAGCTGATCGTTACTCGCACATATCGCTCCTTCCAAGTCCGTCAAGCTCCACTGAGGAAGAGTCGATCCCTGTCTCCATTCGATCCTTCGCTTCTGGTCTGAACCCAAGATTTTCCGCCTCCAACGTCCGTCGTTCTCTCCTCGAGTCATCCGCGTTTTTTCCCGACATGGTCCCAGGACGCTTGCGGGCCTTTCGTCGATGTGGATGTGGACAACCGGGGTTGGGACCGTTCGCTAGGTGTGTCACTAATCGTTGGACTTTACAAGCTGTATTACGACCACGCTGGAACAACATGTGGTGTGAACCGAAATAAAGCTACACAGCAGATCAGCATTCCTACACTGATTTGACTCTCCACCTCATTGCGAAGTGCTTACGAGAAAGCCCCAGCCGGCCAGAACCACGAGGCTCTCACCAGCTGCGCTCCACAGACTTGGCTAGGAGGAATTATTTTCACGAGAGCGGCGAAGCGCCCCAGATGGTCAACAGGGAGCAGCTCTCGATCCAGAATATCCCACCAGACTAGCACAATCGAGCAGAAATTACCAAATTGGTGTTCTTGGAGACGGCATACCACAATGCAGCCGTTACAATCATAAGGGAAACGTCCACCGTCTATCCAGCAGGTGCCTTTACCGCTACCGATAATCCACCGTTCGCCCGTTGGATAGCTTCATTTGAAAGTACACACATGGTTTGGGCTCAACTTTCAACACGATGGAGCGACCGGCAGCATCAAAAGGACGTTTAACATCTGACATCGGTACCACGATGGTGGCTCTTGAAACTTTGCGTACCTTTCCGGGCTTTGAGCCCCTGAGATCTGCATCCTGGTCGAGCCGCCTCAATCCCACGACGACATTCTTAGCATTTCTGTCGGAACGATTGTCATTGCCGTTGAGTTCTTCCGACAATCAAACCGTAACGAAAGCTGAGGATAATCCTGGGGGAGACGTTTAGAGTCCACACAGCCGATCAAGCATAATCTCCACAAAGGGCCAAAAGATTTCCCTTTCGAGGTCCCATGGGAAGCATTCCTATTCGCCGAGCGAACTGGGTTCATCGCGTCCACCGGCCCTCGCAATTATGGTGGAGCTGTCCACTATTGAAGCACGGCTGAAAGTCTGACTTTGATCTTTTAACGAGCTCGAGAACTTTTTTTATTATCTGGAAAAACCATTTCCCCTTTCTAGTATGTACCCTACTCGTCTAAGTGCAATTGACAATTGCTCCACATGCAAGAGCAGCCGGGTATGTTTGTGAAGGCCCTGGCACGCCCCAGGACAAGACGCAAGTTGCATCAGTTTTTTATGTCTCCCGCAGTCTCAGTCGAGCTTCATGACTTCTCCTATGTATGGACTAACGGCGCTCAGCAAGCGAAGTTTTTTCTTTTGTCACGTGTGCCACATTCCGGACGAGACAAGCATGGGCATAGCGTCCGGGGTCCAGCTGTCTGAAACGGTCTGGATGAGGCCATTTCGTTCACCACCACTCCCCTAGTTGTAAGCGGCAATGGCAGAGGATGGGAGTGATGTTTGCAGCCTAGTATTGGGACGAGCGTTCTTGGATGGGATCGTGCCCCTTCCCTCACAATGAGGGTGATAGTCATGGCGACACGCGAGCACTTCCCCTGAGTCGATCTTTCGAGAGCCAATGGATCCAATAATGACACATCCTGGCCATGTCAAAATCTCTCCAAGGGATTATGAGGGTAACGCCATAAATTGCAGAGCGGTTACTGAAGTTCCACTCAGCTGGAAGCTCTTTCAACTCGTACAACAGTCTGGTGAATCAGGGTACAGAAACCGTTATCACCAAGGACGGCCAATCGCCAGGAGTACGTGCCACTCAAGGCGAGGAGGGGTATGAAACGTCGAGTCTTTTTTCAGCTTACTTTTCGGCTCTTCCTCACGACAAAGAAGATCAATCTCGAATAGGTGAACGGTTCATCGCAAGCTGGCCGTCTCACTGACTGCTTTAGCAACCCCCATTACCTGTCCCAACGACCTCAGTTCAATCTCCACTCGGAGACGATACAGGGTCAATTTTTAAATCTGGCTCCTGGAGTATTATTGCCTGTCGATCCAGGGGGACATGGAAAACGAACCAGCTTGGGTTGAGATATCCAGAATCTCAGCAAGGCAACACGGTGAAGTCCACAAGACCCTCTCTGGCTTCATCGGGACCGGGATACCCACAGGACGGAGAATGTGTCTTATTGGGTATGTTTGCACTTCCTTGTTTTTCAGCGCCCACCATAAGTGGAACCGTCCTTGCCTGTTATTCTTTGCTGTCTACCGTACATACGTGATTGCCTCTTATGCGCCCCGTCTACCGGATGGATACCGCGACCGCACTATTCATAAACATGGGCGAAATGACGAGGAACGATGACGATGACGGGGGCGGCGGGCACGGCCGCTAGGGAATTCGGGGGTGTTCCATGTTAACAACATCCAGACGATATCTCGCCAGGGGAAAAACACGAATTCCAAATACCTCGCGTCATGGCTGCATTGTCCAGGTATTGTATTTTCCAATTCCGGGGCCGTCAAGGCTCGACTGTCGCCACAAATCGGCGGTGGACTTACATTTGTATACGTTCCAAGCCGCCAATAGCAAACGCCACCCGACAAACGGCCGAGATTGACTAGCCGGGCTCGACTCCGGGCGGGCGATGGCGTTACCAGGTATGAGGGTGTATTCGAACTAGGCACATTGAACCCCATTCTTTTCTGAGAGTGTGGAAATACTCGCTGCTGAGATAAGGAGGTCTCCATATCCCCAACGGGGATCCAGCGGCACACGGTACTTGTGCTCCGTGCAGAGAGAGTTCGTGCCTGTCTGGTAACGGACACGGTCTATCAGATAGGGGAAATTCCTGAAGGAGTAAAGAACACGCACTGGACGACACAGGGGCCCTCGTATTTTGGTTTCGTTCTGTGGAACATGACGCGGCGGCAGTCCTTGCCTGTTTGTTTGGACGTTCGGTTGTTGAGAGTCGGATTTTTGGGGGCCAATGTTACTATTAATTTTGCTTCGCATTTCGCTTTCCTTCCACACCCCCCCTGGGTGGCTCAAACAGGATATTGTTCTCAGCCTTGTCGGCCAAACGCCTAACTCCTCAGACTCAGGTCCGGTCACCAGAACTTTGTCGTACGACGGCGCAATGTCTGTGTTCGAAGCTGACTGCCGACTTATTGCCCGACTCAATGACTAAGTCGCTGGTTATCTAATGGCTAAGAATGGATGCATGCTAGCGAGTGCGTCGATGCATGGTGGCAGTGGCGGTGTCACTGGGGCGGGGAGTGGCTTGCGTGGAAGGAAAGAAAGGAGAAGAAAAACAGGTAACTAAGAAGCTCTCCAGCCACCACCACTACGAGGTACTCGGTACTACTTAATTCCTCGCTACCTTGCGGCCTTGTAGTAGCCGGTGACCACTGACACTGCCCCTTGCTTTGTCGTACTCGGTACCTGCATTATGCCTGCATGACCGTTATTTGATGCTCCTCGCTACTACGAGGAGGAATCGATGGAATGCATATGATAGATCATCAGTTTTTTCCTATTTCATGATCCTACCGAGTAATAGTCAGTCCTTCTTGTCTCGTCTGACTCCTCTCCCCCCTCTCTCACTCGCATGTTCTTTCGGTCTGATAACCATCCCCTGCACGCACCCGGCTGGCCTACACCAGCCCACCCAAATCGCACATCGGACATTATTATTGCTCATGCGCACATACTCCTCCGTACCTGTATTTGTCGCGTCTGACAAGAGGAAAACTCAACCACCCACACACCCAGCCCTACCGCCCGGTGACTGCCCGCTATTGTTATTATTTTATTCGATTATTATCATTACTACAGGTGGGGGACGGGTCGACTTGTCATTAGCACCCGAGATTACTAAACAGGCCCCCTTGCGTTCCAAGGGGTGGAGGAAATGAGTACTATTATTACTCGGGTCCGTGTACCGCTCGTTCCAGCATTCATTACAGTATTCAAGGAGTTTGTTGGGTATCACCACCACCACCATCGCCGTCATTAGCGGTTCTGCTGCTGGTACGTATAGGATTGCCCCCCGCGTATATGGATCGAAGCAAGGGGGCCGGAGGGACATGGGTGCTTTCGGTAGTGGACGGACGGGGCTTCCCTACGCACTGTACTCCGTATGTATGTATGTCAGGTACCAAGTACAACTCGGAGTAGGAAGGGAGAGTGTGGGCTGTTCCCAGAGCCGCAGCTGCGAAAGACATTCACTCACTCACTCATGTATGGACGCGCATGACCGATGACGCGTGAGATGTTCGTGAAGTTTCGCTCTCTCTCTCTCTCTCTCTTTCCCCATCAATACATTCATCGGGCGAGTTCGGTTCATACATATATATATATATATATGTATCTAGGAAGTGGAGGCGGGGGAGAGGCGGAGGGGTTGGTTATATATTCTGTATTCTCGATTTACAGTATATTATATACACGTGCACGCAATGAATGCACAAAGCCGATCGACGTCAATATTGTGCGGAGGAGACACGAGGGGACGAGCGGAAAAGGCACCCAGTAATTAATTATGTACACAACATTCAGTACTGTCTGCACATTGGACGGATGTCCCCTGCCACGCAATACCTAGGATGCCGTGTCCGAGCATGTATATCCCATTCCATCCCATCCCGTCTTGTCTTCTCCGCAGCCACAGCCTCGTCGGTCTGTTACTGACTCCCACCGCCAGGATGGCCCATATCCATACCCATATCCACATTCATATCAATGCTCATGCACCGGTGCCTCGTGCCTCGTACTCGTTCACACTCACCCGCCCCTTCATAGTGGCCTTGGCCCGTGGCGCGCCCGCCCGCCAGCCCTCTTCTTCCACGTGCCCGTGTGCCCGTGCTCACCATTGCACATACATACCTCTCGTCCGAGTGAACACTGCTCAGATGAACATTTGTCGTGCTTAGCTGAAAGTTTTCTGACATGTGCCGCCCCACGTATCTATGAACAACACACACACACACACAGATACGCACACACATCACACACATCACACCCGTGTCTATCGATCTATCGATCTATCATGCCCAACCCGCTCTGCCTGCCCTGGATGAGGTATATGGACGTACTCCCGTGGCGTCTCACAACCGATCGACCGACCCACTGAACCAGCAAGGCACGGATGGTTCTTTTGCCTTTTTTCCTTGCCCCTGGACGGCGACGGCAACGGCAACCCTCGCTTGCTTATGGAGGTCATGTGTGTATAACTCCTCCTCGACGCGAAGGCAAGGTCCTTTCAAAAGCAAACCAGGGCTCGCTGTGTTTTATTACCATACGAGTAGATGCTCTGTACGAGGGACTGTCAGGCAGACTTTCACTAGTTCAGTCGGTGGCTGTATGGCTAGTAGTAGGCTGCTGAAGAGGAGCAAGAGGTTGTTAACCGCTTCTTATATATGGATGGTCGGTTGAAGGAGCTGCTAGCCCGGCAACGGAGTAAGTAACACCAGGATATTGTAGTTGGGCTCGGGTCTTGGTAGTCTTTTGTGATTGTATTTCGTGCTATGTATATATCTCATCTGGTGGTGGTTCGCAAGGGACTGACAACAGAGAGCCTGATGTCTGACTTTGAATTGTGTATCATGCTGCTGTCCCCATGTAAGTGTCGTAGGACGACGGCAAAGGAGGAATCCATGTCAAAACTGTTCCGTCGCAGGTCCACCGGTTCCATTCGCCTCATCCCTCCCATTCACAACCGAGTATCCCTCCTTTTAATCCATCCTTTCCTATCATCGTTTCATAGACCAACCCTTGACATTCTGTGGATTACATTTGTATTCGTATTACAACCGTCCATGCCTCGCCTTGAAGATCGAGATCTTGTCATCATAGAACAGAATCTCCCGCAACCTCCAGGTCGGTTTCGGCCCACCAGAACCACCGGCTTCTCCTCCATCTTCGCTCTCCTCACCGTCGTCGGTCAGGTCATATCCATCGTCCGAAACAGCGTCGAAATCGCTGTCGTCATCCGGATCGCCATGTTCGCCGTGGTCACCTGCTTCCTCGTCGTGAGAGTCGTGATCGTGATGAGCTTGGGGCTGACTGGGATGTGGCGCCGCCGTGTCATCACCTGGTCCAACATCGTCTCCAGAGTGATCCTCACCGCTCGTTCCTGAATAGGATCCCTTTCGAGGAGTCGCATACTCCAATATCTCGAAACACTGGGTCTGAATTCCGAGATAGCACAGCTCAAGCTCTGGTCTCAGGGCAACGATGTCGAGGACTTGCAATGCCGCTTCGCGAGAATGAACCGTTCCATTGATGTGCTCGGCGATATGCGGGATGTGCAAAGAGCGCAATGTCGTCGCATTGGGCAAACGCCGGAGGAAATAGTGCCAGTCCTTGTAGTCGATTGACATGCTTAGCTCTCGCAGTTTCATTTTGCCGCTGGTGATGCAGGTGATGAGCTCACGGTTGCTCACCCATCTCTTCCAGTTGGTGTGAGGACGTTCTGGGTCTTCGGTTCGGAGTGTGCTGTCGATGAGGAGTTTCGTGAGGCTGGAACGGTGCCGTCGGATTGCGCTTCTGAATATCGTGTCGACCGTCACCGACGACTTGTAATTCGCGTTTTCTTGAAGGAAAAGCCATTCGAGGCTGTCCGGTGCCAGAGTGTCCTTGAGGAACGCAATCAACGATTGAGATACCATGTCCGTGTGCAATCGCTTCAATCTCAGGGGATAGTCGGACCGCGCTGGTGTAGGTGTTGGGGGCGTGTTCATTTGCGACCGAAGCAACATGCTCGACATTCCGTTCGCTGAAACCCTGAAAGGCGTTGCTGACGCTCTCCTCCGACTGGTAGGAGTAAACTGTTTTCGAAGCGCTCTCCACAGCTGATCGTGGTTTCGACAGCCGAGAAGAGTTAAAGTCGTCAGTCGTGACCAGTCGACTGCTTTTGAAAACACCGCGATTGACAGGTAAACACGCTCCAGTTCGAGCGTCTCCAGCTGCAACTTTCGCGCCGGTCGACCTTCTCTCTGAGAGTCGTGGAATACGTCGCTGGCGTGGTGTATCTGGTTGTGGCCCAAGGCGGGAATGGGGTCCTCTGGTGATCGTTGCTTTGTCGCTGAGACAGGAACCATGTCGGAGTGGTCATCCTGGACACTGTGGGCAAAAAGGAGAGCACCCAACTGGCTTATCTCTGCAGTGCTGACTGACTCTTCGGAGCCTTCCTCTCTCTCGTGTTCTCGAGACGTGTCCACGGTCGTAGCGTGGTGGGCTGAGTCTTGTTGCGAACCCAAGGTCGACGACGATTGATCCTGTGCATAATGAGAGAAGGCGTCGCAGAATCGATGTACCAGGATGCCGAGGATGCCTCCTGGCCGCGGACTCTGGTCAGCCATTCCAGGCATAGGAGGCAGAATAACGGTTCGGTCCTCCAAAGGTTTTGCCCATATGTCGAATTGGGCGTGCGAAGCTATGCCGACACGGAGTTCCTGGAGTCTTCCCAAGGACCTCTCGATGAGAACGCTCATCTCCTCTGCATAGGGTAGTTCGTCGATGTCGAGGACACTGAGGCTTCTGAGAGGTGGTAGAATCGAAAATGTCGGGAACTCGACTCGAGGATATGGCGGAATCTGAAAGAGAGAATTGGCAGATCCCGCCAGAATGGACGGCAAGTTGGAAGCCTGCGGCCCTGGAATGGATCCCGGTGGCGGAGGAGAGGCCAAAGGCCCCTGGTCTTGATTGTCATGCCAGCGAACCCAGACTCGTTCAAGACGACATTCTTGTCCGTCATCGCGGTTGCCGAGCGAAGCCAGAGCCATCCAGACATCTCGAAGAACACCAGTGGGCATGTCCCAAATGAAGGCTTCAAGATTTCGCATCCGTCCTACTGCTAGTGCGACCAAAGTCCCCAGCATCTTTCCCCCCTCTTTCGTGATGAGATATTCCTGAACCCACTCGGCGGGCCCGTTCCCCAGACTGAATTTCCGGGTGTACTGAGCAAAGTGATTGCCACGTCGAATCTTTTTCGGCCGGTCCAAGGCTGTCTGAGCGACCTGATTTCGGTGGCCGCAGTTCTGACAGGCATGTTGGGTTTGCTGCTGATACGGGGCCTCCCCAAACACGTCCTGGGCCATGACCAAAGTTGCCAACCCGTAGGTTAGAGCATCGACGCCCATGCGATTCTCAAATGTAGCGTTGGCATCCGGCCAAACAATATCAAAGCGGGCATAGATATGAGGGATGACCAACGCATGTAGAGCTGAATGGGTCAAAGCGAGGGATGTCAGGTCATTTGTATGTGTCAGCTCTCGAAGAATGGCTTGTAGAATGTCGACGGGCAAATCCAACAGGCGCAAAGGCTCTTTATGCGCCATAATTGTGTCCCACTCTTGTTTCTTTCCATGAAGATGCTTCGCCAGAAGAGTCTCTGCGCCCTTCGCCATTGATTTCGTGGGCACTTCCTCGATCTCCACAGCCGCTTCCATTGTAAATTGGTCTTTGCAACTTAACGGGATTTTGACGCTTCAGAAAAGAGCCTGTGTTGGGCCTGACACGGTGTCTCGTGCGGTATGGCGAACAGGCTCAGAGCATAAGCCCTGAGCCGGAGAGAATCCTTTATTAGCTGACCATGGAGGTGTCACTGAGGGCGGGAGATGAGTGGAGGAGGGATGACAGGTGAGGCGACGGTGAACGAGTGAAGTGAAGAGCCAGGTTGCACGGTGAAAGAGGGCGGTGCTGGCGGTCCAGAGGAGGTTTTCAGGCGCAGGTTGAGGTTGTGATGTGGTGTTGGTGGTGGTGGTGATAGTGGGTTGGACAGTGCTGAGCGCCGCAACGAGTTGACATGCACCTACCTGCGCGGTTAAGGGACTCGAAATGGGTTGGCTGGGGGAAGCCATGGCGAACTAGAGCCAACTGGGCTAGCCCTTGAGCAATCACTTTACGCGGGTCGCGTGAAAGCTTCTCGTCAGGTGCGCGAAGGTCGCTCGGGTCTCCATATCCTCGTGCTCCCTCATCCCGCACTTTAGGTCACAGGCGAGCCTAATTTGTGAGCCACAGGCACCATTACAGCCATCCATCCCACCCATTCTGCAGGGCTCCGGTAGTCTCTCCTCACCCGCTTTGTCCCTCACCCCCTGGGAAAGTTTGAACCCCCAAGGCTGCTTTTTTGTTGCCCTCTTCCCCTTAATACCTAGATTTTTTCCCCCGATAACACCCACCCCGGCCGAACGTCACGTTTTGTTGCTCATCTTTTCCCTTCCAATCTTGCATCTCTCTTCATCTACCCTCCCCTTCATCTTCAATCATTTGGCCATCCTTCGATGGCTTGAATCACACCACACTCGTTCTCGTCGCGCTGGCCAGACAGTCTGTCAGGTCGAGAGCTGCTCCTCAGCCCAGCCTAATTCTGCTTCTGCGCAGCTCCTTTGCCTCTGCGACCGTCAACGGCCGGTGCCCAACTGCCCCTCACCTATCCTCAAAATCACAGCCAGCCGCTTCCTCCTCTTCCTTCTACGGTTCATTTGTGTCACGTCACATCTCGTCCATTACACTACATCAACATGGACAGATGCCCCGATGAGGTGCTCGTCAAAGTCTGCTCCCGGTTGAGCTTTCAGAGCCTTGCCAATGTGCGACTGGTCAACAAGCGGTTGGCCGAGGTCGGAGCCGAAGCCTTGGTAAAGAGAGTGCGCTTTCACTGCACCCAGGAATCCCTCAAACGTCTGCATGCCATTTCTCAGCACGACGTCTTCTCCAAGTATGTCGACACCATCGTCTTCGAAGGCAACCTCCTCGCCAGCGTCCCCTGCATCCACACCTACCAAGCCCACTACGAGCTCGACCATCACCAGAGTGAGAGACCGCGATCGCCTGGCTCAGATGCAACTCCCCGCGAGCAGAGACTCTACGAGCGAAACATGGCCAAGTTCATCCGCGAAATCGAGAAAAAGTACGAGCGCTATTTGGACCTCTACATCAAACAACAGAAAATCCTTCAGTCCGCTGCCTATGCTGACTTTATTGCGGCGAGCATGCTCTCTTTCCCCCGGCTGAACAAGCTTGTCCTTTCGACTATTGGCCGCTGCAAGCACGTTCTCTCTGAAAGATTCCTCGAGTCGTTTACTGCCGACTGTGCGATGCCAATCGAACAAGACACCAGTTTCACCAAAGAACAGCTGAAACATTTGCTCTTCCCGCAAGATCGACCGCTCACCCACCTGGCCATGTTAGAAGTCCACGTCATGAGCCCCAAATTCTTCACCGGCTTCGTGGAGGCTGATTTGATCTGTCGCGCCTTCCAAAACCTGAAAGTGATTGACTTGAACTTCCGCCTGGAGAAAGATGATAGAATCGGGTTGGACATTATGACGGCGGACCGCTGCTATGCAGACCTTACCAAGGGATGTCTAGGAGCTGCACTCGCGACCGCGCGCTCTCTGGAACAGCTGACGATCAACTTCGATGACTACGGCTACTATGGGGCGGTCACCAGCCTCGAAACCATTCTAGGGTTCAACGCGTGGCCACACCTCACGATGTTGAACGTGGACTGCATGTCGACGACCGAAGATTATTTCTTGGGCATGCTGAAACGCCAATCATCTTTGCGTGACTTGCGACTGGGCTTTATGACTCTCGAAAAAGGTCGCTGGCCGAATGCCACGAAGCGGATGCGAACAGACCTGCACTTGATGACCTTCGTCGCCAGTGGCATTCTCGAGGATCCGAATCAAATGTTCCCAATGCATCTTCTCGATACTGAAGCCTACGTGGAGGATCACCACCACTTCTCCTTAAGCGACGCCCTCGCACTCTATGTCACCGACGAATTTGGCATAAGTGATGGGGACGACTACCACCCATTGCTCGACGAAGATTTCACCGACGAAGAAACCCTACGGGAAGAATACGGACCATTCGCGGAAGCCGATGATGACCTTTCGGAAATGGACTGCAGTGACTAGGCGAGCCAAGCAGCCCATTTCTTCTTGATCCATGCCCATGTATGATTACGAGCTTACGACCTTTTTCGCACCCACCTGTACAGTACTCAGCACTGCATTTTACGAGAGACGGTCGACCGCAGATACCCCCGTGAGCTTCCTTGTCCAGTCATTTTCCGGTTTCGAAAGACTTTTTCTACTGTTCAGGCTAGAGGCCCTTATCGATATGCTTTGAAACCGAGGACAGATTGTGGCTTTGTGTGGGACGGATGGGACAAAATGGTGTCGCCATGGCTAATATTCCCTGTGTATCCATACCTAGATCAGCCCGGGAAGCCACCGTCAGATTTCATGCCCTCAGAAGAACTCGAAGCGATTGTAATTAGAAAAGCATACTCTCTGTATGTAGAACTTATTTTCCAACCAGGGGTCCAGCCTTGCAGATGCTGATTCTGCTTTCCTGTATGAGGCGTAGACGGCTAATTGTCGGGCGATGGGAGCTGGTGCTCAATTGCTCTTAAAGACGGAGTCGTCGTTTTATTTTGTTTGACTGTTCGTCGGACCTCCCTCAGACTTCACAGTGCCTCCTTCTACCATGCGACCAAGTCTCCGTTCACTTGCTGCTCCCGTCACTCCCTCGTTCAGACCAGGCCAGCGGCCGCAAGCGTTGGCCTTGCTCCCTCCAATCCCTCTATATCGTCGTCTCCTGCGCATTCACCGCAAGCGGCTCAATCCTGAGGAACGGGTCTTCGGCGACACATATTTGAAGGCGGAATTCCGAAGACACAAAGATATCGAAAACCCTCTACACATTGTCGGATTTCTGACGGAATGGCAACAGTACGGCCAGCAACTTGAAGGGGAGGACTGGAAGGGGCAAAAAATTGATTCTCAGTTGTTGGATAAATTGAGTGACCAACAAGTCGGGCAGATGTACGAGCTAATGTTGGCGATTCAAAGGAGAGGGAGAGACAGTGTCGACGAGGAAGAGGAGGGAGACATTTTGAAGGCGATTGAAGACGCCCAAGCCTCAGGTACAAATAAGCAGTCATGACGAGTGCCAACAGTGTGTATCAATACGGGTTCGGCAAGGCCCCAAACCTCCTCTGTCGTGAGTTCCAGCTCCTGCTTCTTCATGGATTCGGACTATGCCTGCCAGCCAGGGTGTACCTTTGTTCTCTACCTTCAACCTGCGAGCGACCGGAGGACCAGAACAGACAGCTCAAGGCTTTGTGCGACCGAGGAGTTGTATAACATTCCGAAATGGCACTATGTTGAGGAAGACGTTATGTACGACTACTGTGCTGGGTGTAACACCAAACCTGCCAACGAAGCCATGAGAAAGGGTTTGGTACCAGTTCAACAATGCCGGAAGACCTGCACCGGATGAAGATGTCAACTTTGAGCATAGGATACCCTTGAGCACCCTATTGCCAACACTCACACACCAAACGGATAAGTCTCCGCCTCAAGCAGAGCTGTATTGGGCTGTGTCTTTTCCAGCGCTCCGACCGCGTGCGTCCTATCGAAGAACATATACGCGTCGAACTGCTTGGACAACCTGGATCGGCTGTAATGACTCCACAGCTCAGTCTTTGGACGATAGATGACGCCGATGAATCGTTCAAGCCGGTTGATCGAGAGGGTTCTGCGCGTATTGTCGTCACAATGTATCTTGCGCATGTCGAGCAGAAATCTCGAGAGCTTGGTGCTGTGGGCCACATATTCCCAGCTGTCCTCCAGCGACGGATTGACGTTCATGATCTGCATATCACCACCCCACTCGTGTGCGGCAGCTACTGTGCCTTCGTGTGTGCCGCAGCCTACGAGGACCACGTCGGATAGATTCTCGCGACAGAGCTGACCGAGATTGAGTTCTTCCCGCTGCGCGCCCATGTCGGTGTATCGCGCGTCCCCGAGGTGGCTGTTATGAGCCCATACCACCGTCTTGCATTTCCGGAAGTCAAGCAGGCGCTTCAACGCGCCGAACATATGCAGATCCCTCAGGTTCCAGCTGGCGGCATCACTATAGTACATTTTGCGATAGTACGCCTCCGCATCCGCCACCAGCACCGCATTCTGCTCGGCGCTGTGGAACCTCTCACCGTCGTTGATTTTGGCCGAGTACTCCAATCTTTTGCGCAGCAGATCTAGGAGCAGCTTGATGACATCTTCCTCACAGGACTTGAGGTGCTCTGCGTATTTGCTCTGGAGCATTTTGCGTCCATACTGGTGTTCTCTGTTAACCCAGCGCTGCAGTCCAGCATATCGTTCTCTTGCCTCCTTGGCCATTTCGGGGTCGATATTCTGCAAGTACTCAATCACCGAACTCATACTCGATCCCATTGAGTACAGATCCAATCCATACACGCCCGCCTTCTCCTCTGAGGGCAAACCCTCGTTATGGTCCCTCATCCAATGGACCAAGTCTTGCATTTCGCGGTTCCTCCACATCCATGTCGGGAACCGTTGAAAAGGACTTTCCTTGTTCCTGGCCTCTTTCACCGGGTCAGGATGTTGGCCAGGCCACCGTCGCACGTAATGATCCATTGCCTCTGCGTCGGGCCAATCCGCCTCCAGCGCTACACACTGGAACCCATGTTCTTTGATGAGCCGCTTTGTGATTTCTGCGCGAGCGGCATAGAACTCTGACGTGCCGTGGCTGGCATCGCCCAGCAGAACCACCTGATATTGGCCCAACCAGTCGAATGATTCGCCGAAACCGGCCGTGTTGATAGGTGGCAGTATCTTTGCGGCACGCCGCATCACTTGGACCAGTGCAGATGTGCTCGACATGTTGAAATGGTGATCTGACGAGCCGGATTGGAGAGAAGCAGGCCTCTACTTTCAGACTCACGGACGATCCTTCTCTGATGATACTTTGTGATATATATATATATATATATATATATACACATATATATTTATATCCTGCTATCCTGGAATCCTGGAAGCTGTGACGTAGCGGAGTGATTTCATTTACCAGGAAATGGTTTCCACCTGTTTCCTCCCCACACTAAATGGACAGATGATTTGCTAGAGTGAAGAGTCCTCCCGGACGGGGGGATATCTCTCTATACCACCCACAGCTGAGCTAACTCGACACCTTTCTGATGCCGCTGCCGCTGCCGCTGATTGGGGAAGTCTATCAAGGAATGGCACGGGCAGTGGCCCCCAGCTCGGACTGCGACCATCACCATCACTATTCCTGCAGTCCGTTGAGCGGCTGAGAGGGCGATATGACGACCACCTTGCCTCGAAGCATCGTCGGGTCCAAGCGATCCGGCTTCTCCCTGATCGACCCGCAAACAGAGCTCTTCCACCACAGGGTCGGCCGAGCACAACATGTGGCCATCTCATACGTGTGGAGCGACTGGACCGACGCACAGGATGCGAGAAACCCTCTCCGCCATTGGCCTGAACTGCGAGAGAGACTTCTGAAGATCGTCGGGCCCGGCGCCAGCACGTTCATGAAGATATGCAGCGGCCAAGCGACGCGCTGCTGGATCGACTGCAAGTGCATCGACCAGGACTCGGCCGACGACAAGAGCTACTGGGTGCCGCGAATGGACGAGATCTACTCTGAGGCGAGGTGTACGGTGCTGTTGCTCCGAGACGTCGACATCGCTGCTCTCCAGAAGGCCGAGGCGCTCCTGGGCTGCGATGTCGACGAAGACGACAACAACCACTCCTGTCTCCTGACGCAGAGTTGCGTTTCCGCCACGCTGGATGAGGAGCTGGAGAGGAGTTGCGTGGACAGCCTGCATTCAGTCTCCATGGCGGCATGGCGGAAACGCGCATGGATTTTCCAGGAAATCCTCCTGAGCAAAGAGTACATTCTCACCGACGGCCATGGCGGCGAGATCAAGCTGTCGGACGTGGGCACCATGACCTCGCTCCTCTTCCGCACGCACCCAGACCAACAATGGCTGGGCGAGCTGGCGAGCTGGTGCCGGCGCATCTTTCGCCTGCGGGCGTATTACTTCAACTACACGCTCTGTCCGTCCAACGTCCTCCAGCTGGCCGCGTCTCTCGAGGCGACGTTGCCGTGTGATAAGTACTATGCGCTCTGCGGCATCCTGCGCCTGAAATCCATCCAGTACCAGAGCACCCACACGGAACACGACGCCCTGCAGAATATCCTGGTGACCTTGACCGCAAAGGGGAGGTTCTCCTGGCTATGCGCCATCCCTCCCAGCCCCCCCGACAGGGCGAACAGTCTTCACCTGGACGGCCCGCTGCTGCCGTACATTGAGAACCACCTCGACCTGCACTCGACCTGGTATGGGCAGCCCGAAATCTCACGGTCGACGGTCAGCTTCAGCTGCTACCACGTCGGACTCGTGAAGGAAGCGACTCCTCTCGCAGAGCGCATCGAAGAGGCTGCGCGATATGCGGACCACATCGCCGACTTGTCTGCCACCGACATCCCGCGCCACCTGGCCGTCCTCCCGCCCCTGCTGCTGCGCATCTGCCGCGACGCGATCCTGCCGTTGGTGACCGAGCCGATCCTGTCGCGTCTGTGCAAGGTGTTCCAGACGCCGCCGAAGGACGCGGGATCCACGATCCTCATGAAGCTGCTGACGCTGCGAGATCCAGCCTCGTTATACGAACAACCACCACCACCACCACCACCACCACCACCATTACCGCAGCAACCTCCACATCGCACAAAGCCTACCTCGGTATCAGATGTCGACATGGCCGTCGCCGCAGCGCGATTGATCCAGCACCACGTCGACGAGGTCAAGAAAGATCTGGACCTGATCATCTGGACCCCGTTCCAGCAGAGCCGCCGCCGTCGCCGCAAGGAGGACCAGACCGAACACGATTACTACGCCATCGGGACGAAAGGGTGCGTGGCGGGCACCGACGTCTTCCACATCCGGCAATACCCGCTGCTCTTCGCCGCGACGCCTGTCCGCGAGCAACAACAACAACAACAACAACAGCACCACCACCAGAAAGAAGATGAATCCTCCCCTTCCTCCTCGCTCCGGTGTGTCTGGCACACGGTGCTGCACCAGCCGGAGAACAAGGAAACACGCTTCACCACAGCCACGGGTCGCACCACGCTGCTCTTTCCTCTGAGGCGCCACACCTGGACGAAGTACCGCTTGACGATGCAGCTGGAGGTGCCCTCGGAGACATAGACTCACTCACTCACGCGCTGGGAGGGAGGAAAATCATGTTTGTTGTACACACGTGGCTGGCAGTGGCGGAACGAAATGATGATCACTGACTGGATGGTGGACTTGGGAATTTGAAGAGGGGATATCGTCTACTAGGTTGGTGATGGTGGTGTTTGGTAGATATAACCCGCGTCACCACATATTTACATAAGTCAACAAGGATGACCATCCCTGGACCTCACTCATTTAAGGCGGTGTCGAGTTGGCCTCTTCAGTAGCATAACTCTGGCAAGCCAAAGTCCTTCCTTGCCCTTCATCCTCATTGCTCCTCTTCGCTATCATCCCCCTGGTCGAACTGGTGTGATCTTCGTCGATCACGGTGCCCCATGCCGGGAACTGGTCTCCCAATCGAAGTCTGGCTGCTGCGTATCCTTGCCCGTTTCGCAGACTCGTTGATGCTGCCCATGAAACTTGACTCCTTTTCAAGGGACATCGCTGAATCTTCATTGTCTTCGTCGTCTTCATATTCACGGGGTGAATCCTCATCAACATTGTTTCCGTCGTCCTCATCCGTGTCCTCGTCCGTACGTGCAGAGTCATCGTCATTAGTATTATCGTCATCGTCGTCATCTTCGGTTTCTGCCGCTTGAGCATCGACAACCTGTTCTGCCAGTACGTCGTCATCTCCGTCCGCGGAACCCTCAGAAGTACCGTCTTGCTCCTCATCAGTTTGCTGAGCCGCGTCTAGGTCATCCGATTCTCCATCATCATTCGTTCTGCTTTCGCTGTCGCTCTCCTCCTCTTCGTGCTTCTCCTCATCAAGGACGAAGTCGCCATTCTCCATCACAGGGATCTCCTTCAAAGGAGACCTCGATTCCAGTCGTCGTCGCTGGATGGGGATGTTCGGCGATGGTCGTTCCTGGCTGCCCTGGAGTATTGCCTTCAGGCTGCTCGTTTGCGAAGGCTTCAGCGCCGAAGTATTGGCCTGGGTTTGCTCAAAGAGTTGGCTAGACCCAAGAGTCTTACCAGGCGTCTTTGTGATCAGCGGAATCCCGGTGCGAGGAATTTCACTGGCCGGGGATCCATCTTCGGCCGACGAGCGCAGCACTCTCTCCTCATCCTCGCTGTCTGCTTCAGAGTTGAACTCATGCTCGCTGCTAGCGTTCTCGTTCAGAGCATTCTGTGCCAACTTGTCGTCCGCGGCAGCTTCGCCATCAGCTTGACCCTGACCTTCTCCCGCACCTTCATCACTATCCTCGTCGTCATCGACAACATACTTTTCCGAGAGGCCTTTGTTCGGGGTTCTTGTTCTCGGCGCCTCTCCACTTAGCCTCAACACCATCTTCGACGGCTTCAGAACCCGACTCGACCCGGGACGTTTCTCCAACGCATCAACCTTGACCCACCTCCCCCGTTCCTTTCGTGAATGCCGAGCGCGATAATGGTTGGAGCACTGCTGTGCGGACCGTGTGCCCATTCTCTCACTGACCTTGTTCCACGGGATGCGGTGATCCTGCACTTCGTTCCCCGTTGAGTCGTGCCGTAACTCATCCAAAATCTGGCTGAGCTTGACGTCCTCCGCTTTGGACCACTCACCAGTATCCACCTCGCCGTATCGTAATTTATGCCACCATCGTTGACTGACTGCATCGACGGTCCTCGTCAGCCTTCTTGCAATCTCAGCCCATTTTGGCCCGAGCTCTTTGTGCAATCGAATCAGGTCCTGGTCATCTTCAGCCGTCCAGTTCCTCGATCCCTCCACATTCTGAAAGTGTCGCTCACGATAGCGCAGCAACGATCGTTTGTTCCGATCTGGGAGAACATCCATGTACTCTTTTAGAAACTCTGCTCGCGTGATGAACGGCCAGTTCCAACTGCTTCCCTTGCCCCGTGCCAAGGTATCGGTCATCATGTCGTTAAATTGAATCCGGCTGATGTTGTGGTACGCGCAAAACCGATCTCTCCACTTGTTCAGCTTGTTGGCCTCGGCCTGACTGAAGGCGCCTGTGCGTCCTTGCAAGCCGGTACCCTTGCCGTGGCCCACGTCCTTTTCGTGTTCGGCGAGTGCAGAAGCAGCCCAGAACTGCTCCGAGCAATCTTGGCACCGAAGCAAGTGCACGTGCGCAGAAGGCATCTTCAAGTGTTTATTTAGTTGGGTCTGGTTCGCATATCTTCGATGACACCTGGGACACTCGGCCGAATCTCCATTGCCGGGTCGTTCAGATTTCGGAGCTTCGGTAACTCGGCGGGCTCTCTTGGCCGATTCTGCATCGCTCACATCGCTGTCGGTATCGGTATGTTGATCCGCAGCAAGGTCCGACTCATTGTTGTCCTCCTGATCTTGTTCTTGTGCCCTTGACGCAGGAAACGACCTCTTGGCGACAGATGTTGCAATGTCGGCAGGTTCACTGTCGCTATCGCTTTCAGATATATGAGCCTCAATCTGGGCAGATTCCTTCATCGGAGTTGAATAATCTACACCAGGCTCTGCTCGGTTTTTGCCCTTTGGCGTCGTGTAAGGGGTGTTTCTTACTTCCTTCCGACTGAGCCCTTCAAAGACATGCAATCCAGTGCGCTCACGGCCGGCCAGCGTGTAGTCCTTCTTCTTCAACTTCATGCTAGAAGAACCTGCTTCGCCCGTTCGTGGAACGACTACTTCAAGTAGTTGTTTGACTGAGCTGGATGGCGGTGATTTCGGATTGAGGGTGGGGTGCCTGAGGTTCGAACCTGGTGTGTATTTTTGAGCCCAGCCATCCACCCTTCCCTGTCTTTTCTGCAGCCGTGGCACAATCTTGTCCGTGATTTGCCGACTTTGTAGGACGTCCGCGGCCCCTGACTTTTTCGAGGAAATTAAATCGCCCAGTTCGTTTGGTGGGACAGAAGGCGGCGGAGAGTCAGGCGATCCCTTCCTGCGTTTGCGGATCCTTTCTGGGCTCGGTCGTTGGGGATCATCTCCCGAATTCCGCTTGCGTTTGAGATTCCCTTTCGGCATCGGAGTGTCTTTCACAATTATATCCTCTTTTTCATCGAAGACGCTAGACGGGGAGGTGGACTGCTTGTCGGAAACATCGTCGGCGGTGTCGGCGTCAGGTGTAGCCTCATTCATCTCGATCTCCAGTTCGTCCTGTCCATCTGGCTGCATCTCTGCTTCGAGGTTGTGGTCATGATCCCAAGGCTCCGGTTGCTCGCGAGGAGTCGTGAATTCTATTGGATCCTCTTCTGGCGGCTCCCCGTCTTCAACCTGAATATGGGCATCGTTTGACACCTTGGGCGGTGCAGATTCTTGTTGCTCAGGTATCTCGACTTGTGGATCGTCATTGGGGGTTGAGAAGGCTTCAGCAGATGCTATCTCCTTGGCACTGTGCAGCTTCATATGATTATCCAGGCTATCTTTTCGACTCATCTGTTTGCCGCAGACGACACACCGGAAACTCGTCGTGTGAACCTTGGCGTGTCTTGTGGCTGCCTTTCTTGAGCTGAAGGTCGATTCGCAGTTGTGGACGGTCGCCAAAGGACATGGAAACCGGGCTTTGTCGTTCATCTTGAGCTGTGGTACCTCTATGGCTGGCGGGCTCAAATCCTCTCCATCTCTCGCTTTGGTCCCTGCAGCAACGGCAACCTCAGCGGCAAGATTTGTGTGGATGGTCTCAGCCTGCTGGGAAGCCAGATTGTCTTCATGCACACGGTCGGGACGCGCGTATGACATTGAAGCAGCATTCTTCTGACTTGCTTGATTGAGCGCAGTAAATGTAGTGTTGCCAAGATGCCGCTCAAGCCTTTTCGCAATGTCTACATCGCTTGAATCTGATACCGCATAGATGTGATAGGTTTCAGGCTCCGTATCTTGCAAGGGTCGATAGTTTGGACTTGCGTCCCTGGAGTGTCTGAAAGGGGGGGAGGGACGTTTTGTAACCCCGTTGGTTGCGTCGTCACTGGTGTGGTTCTTCGAGAGCCGCCTCCGGCGCCTGCGGTTCTTGGATTCCCTCCTTGGCTTATCGACGCCCTGTCTCACCGCCAAAGCCCGGGCGCCGTGTTTGCGATCGGATCGTTTTGCCATACTTGTGGACTCATCGAAAGCAGGTTGCAGATTGCGATCAGGTTCAACATGGGAGTTGGGGCGCGAAGCTTGGTCTCGGTCGTCGGGAATCTGAGAGATGTCAAAGTCTTCTGAATGCGCACTTAGTCACTCTGCCTCCTACGCGCCACGAACAAGACCCGTAAGGATTCACTTACCGTCTTCAGGATCAGATTTTGGGGGTGAGGTAGACCCAGACTCTTGACTTTGAGTCTGCCCCATAATAATAGCACAATGCGCAGGACTGTTTCATATTATATGCATATGCACAGCCGACAGAGGCCACATGGAACGAGAGGAAGGACTGCAATGCGCGTCAAGTGAGATATTGTTCCGTATACATGACGGGGTGCCACCTCGGATCGCGAACAGCAAGCGGAGTTGAGGTTTCGAAAAAGAAGGTGAATCTCCAGCGAGAGGTCCCCACCGAGCACCACGCGAAGGACCACTCGGAGCTACCCACCGGGAGCCACCCTGCGGCTAAAGGATCTACGCAGCACTCGGTTCGTCGGTAGGCGCACCTATGGAAGTGGGGGGCGGGCTTGCTAAAGGGCCACAGGCACCACCCGGGCTTCGACGAGGCCCATTGTTGCCCATCTTCATCACGGCACCAGCCATTTCGTCTGTGTTCCCATCGCATATGCAGGAGATACGGCGAGATGGTCCTCCTTACTGCCACACCTCGCATTCTATCTGCCATCTCCTCCCTCTCCTCGAGTGACCGCTCGTCTCTGGCCACCGTAAACTTGCCCACGACATGCGGGCAGGCAATCGAGCACACCACCCTCATCGCCATATCCCGTCTCAGTAAAACAATCACTCTCAACAGTCTCCTCCGCGGTACCCGCATCTATGTTCCTCCACCGCCGCCAAAACCCCAGCCATCGCCGGAATACGTTGCTCTCATGGCAAAATTACGGAGAGAACAAGAACAACGCGAATACGCCGCTCTGGTTTCCAGTTCCGTCTCCAGTTCCTTCGATACAGGCCGAGAAGATGAGGACGATGACATCTCCCCTTCACTAGTCCTCAACATCTTCCTCAGCATAATCCTGTGCGCAGCAGCAATATTCTACTTGACACGCTGGTGGGCGAACGACGGGTTACGGGTGCTCCTGTCTCTAGCTACAGGAGTTGTGGTGGGTGTCGCGGAAGTCGGCGTATATGCGGCGTATCTGAGGAAAGTCAAGATGAGCAGGGACAAGGAGAGAAGGAAGAAAGAGCGAAAGGTCGTCCTGGGAGAGTACACTGGTACGGAAACAGGAGGATCGTTGGCCTTGGACGCCAAGGGCACACCTGTGTCTGTCGATGTCCATGCGATCATGGAGAAAGAAGAAATATGGGGCAAGGGCATTAACGGGGGTATGAGAAGGCGTGTGAGGGAGAAATGGCAGAAGGATCAAGAGAAGGTTGAAACATGAAATGGTATTCGTTTGGAGGATGTCTACAGTCATCATGTCAGAATCTCATAAAAAAGCTCTTCGGGAATTCAGCCGTCGAAGTCATAAATCCACCTTTTAAACCAGCTCTTCACCTTCTTCAGCTCCTTGGTTCTCGGCTCCAGCAACAACTGTCCCTCGCATTCCTTGCCAACAAACCCGTTGTTGCTTCCGTCCCTCACGAACACCTGTTTTCCTCTCAACCACGTCTCTTTGACCTGTCCGATCATGGTCTTTCCTTGATACGGAGAGCATTTGTTGCGGAACAGCATTGTGCTTGGCTCGACAATCCACTCCTTGGTTTCGTCAAAGATACAGATGTCGGCGTCAAATCCGACGGCCAGGTCGCCTTTCTGCTTTTCCAAACCTACTTGTGAGGCAGTATTGGTGCAACACCATGTGACGACGTCGATGATGGCTGATTCTGTACCAGTCAAACCCCGGCGAGTCATTTCCGTCCACAGGATGGGGAGGCCCAGCCCGACCGATGAGATGCCTCCCCAGGCGGAGAAGAAGTCGCCTTGATCTGTCTCTAGTTGTAAGGATTTGACGCTGTCTTTGGGTAGATTGATATGTCCCGGGATGTGAGAAGGGAGAATCTTGAGATCAGGTGTACAGGGGGAGTGATCAGACACCACCGTCTTGATCACGCCTTCCTCGGCATGCTGTTTCAATTCTTCCCAGAGACTATCTTGGTTCGACTGGGTTCGAATGGGTGGGCAGCATTTGTGTCTCGTGTCGCCCAAAGCAACCTGTTCCGCAGCCAGGGACAAATAGTGTGGGCAGGTTTCGGCCGTGACATTGATTCCTTGCGCACGTGCCTTCCTCAGCAGAGGAATCGCTTCCATAGCTGACAAGTGGACGATATGCAGAGGTAGGTTCGGCGCAAGGTGGGCCAAGGAGAGAATCTCCTCAATGGCATAGGTTTCAAAGGAGGGCGGCCTCGACTCGAGGAAGGTACTGTACGCATTAAGAGGTCCGTGCGGCTGCAGGGGAGGTAATGATATCTGGACGTCATCACCGACTGAATCTGCAATAGGCGGTATCATCTCTGCATGAAACATGACAGTCGTAGGTTCATCTGCCAATTCAGCAAAGACCTTGGCGATGTCGGTGGATGAGACGGCCGGAAACTCTTCGACGCCACTGTCAATGAGGAAGCCCTTAAATCCCCTCACTCCCTCTCGGACAAGAGCCCTGAGCTCGCCCTCGTTGCCAGGGATGATGCCCCCATAGAAGCCCACGTCAACCCAGCATTGGCCTTGTGCTGCTTTGATCTTCTCTTGCAGCCCCGCAACCGTCGTGGTGGGCGGTATGGCGTTCAATGGCATGTCCACCACAGTCGTCACTCCACCAAAGGCGGCGGCCTGTGTCCCCGTGTAGAAGCCCTCCCATTCTGTTCGGCCAGGCTCGTTGAGGTGGACGTGGGCGTCCACTAAACCCGGCAGAAGTATATGCGGCGAGTAGTCAGTATATGGCGTGTTGGGAGGGAAATCGGACTCAGGAACGATCGAATCAAAGGTCGCGGTGATTTTCCCTGTGGCATTGGATATGACAATGGTAGCCGGGGAAAGTCGACCAGACCGGATGGCTCGAGACGAAGCGATCACAGTTATCGGAGACTCCCCTGCCGCTTCTAACAAGCCATTCGGGGGAGATCGTGGAGGCGTCGGATAAGGATGGAAGGCTCTGGTCCAGCTAGTCATTGTTAAGATAGGCGGTAGAGCATCAGCCGCTTGCAAAGGCTCGATATGAACAGCACAGGCTTTGTGAACACACGCCGGGGGAAATGGAGACGCTGGGCATGTGAACTGGGGAATACAGCCCAAATCAAATGAGAGTTGATAAGCAATGCGCAAGTCCTCTCAGCACCGTTTTGAAGAATGGGATTGGGGCGAGACTTCAAGTGGCTAGAACAAAGGACGACGACAAAGGAGAGACATATCACCTTTCATCGGCCACTCGCGCACATCCCTCGCATCAGCTTAGGTCCCACGCAGCCACCGTCGGGAAGACAGGGCCAGCTGGTTATCCCCAGCAATATCGCAGGAGCGAAGGGTGGAAGCCATGCTGGCGGAGGAGTCCGATCGACATCTGCATTGCCGGACGCTGTGAGAGGCGCCATTGGTGAGAACCCGCGTGCGCGCCGACGCTGAGCGCGTGGGCGGTATCTGTTACTCGATCATATCGAGTAGAGATAAGAGGAAACGTCTCTCCGGAGGCTCGAAGTTTGAATTTTGGTGGGATGGTGGGCATCGCTGGCGCTGACGTACGCCTGTTATCGTTGGGGAATGGAGACATGTGCCTGGACCTGGAGCTTGTGCGCAACGACGCTTTGCCCTATGCAGCTGGCCTAAGCAGCGGAATTCGGGACTCGGGAGGCGTCGCGATAAGGGGCCTCGGGTGTGTCCTAATCCATATTTGGCCTCGGCTGCCTCTGGAAATGTATGTCCATTACTCGATCTTATGTCCATTTTTACTCGATGGAAACTCCTGACTGGTACTTTCTGTGTGTATGTCTCTCCTCTTGCTCAAATTTCGCTCACATTCCGTAAACGCGACGTAATACTTTCGCTTTGCTCCGGTGAAAATTTGAGGTATTTCGCATAGGGTTTCCGCGGCCTGCGCAGGCAAGGAATCGGCAACGACGAGGTCTTTGCAGGAGGCGCATTCGGTGGCTATGGTCACCAATGAAGAGTCGGGGGTAGCCCGGAGACCTAGAGGTACATTGGAGGCACAACAGGCAAGTAAAGGCGACGGGAATCGAATGGTCTTGACCTTAAGTCAAAGGTTAGCAACACGCAGCTGGGCTTACTAGCCTCACTGATTGGAAGCTTCATCGGAGAGACGACAAGCCTGTGGGTTGTCTCCCGTCAACGTGAACGGCGACCTCCGATATCATTGAAGAGAGGGTATGAAACATGGACAAACAACAATTCTGAAGCACTGAGAAGAGACTGAGGATTTATGAAAGGAAGATGAATGAGGAGGTTGCTCTGGACCTCGTGTGGTCACAGGATCAGACCAAAAAGCACTATGGTCACGTGCCATGCTCTCTCTCAACTTCTGTTCCACCTCAACTTCCTTCTTCCTCCTTGATACAAAGCGGTCGGTCTACCTTTTTCGTTTGCAATCAGGAAATAAGTCCACTCTCTTCCTCTCCACCCCTAACGAGCTCCAACCATGGCTCAAGCGCGGCTGGGCAACTGGTCAGGCCTTGGATGCCACGCGCCCTCCACTTGCTCTGCCCCTTGGATGGGTGCGATCCATTCCGGACGATGACTTGTATAGATCTCCACCTGAGGCTTGCTGGCGTGTAACATCTCGTCCCCGTCAACACCACCAATCATCACGGCCACGCCACCATCGAATCCGCTGGGTCTACGGAACAAGGTCGATCCGCAATTGTCGCAGAAGAAGCTGGTCATCTGGTTTCCAGAGTCGACGTCCAAGGTGAACGTTTTGAGGTTGCCCTTCAACACTCGCATCCCTTTGAGGGCGACCAAGATATTGTTTGTATTCGTCGACCCCGAGAACTTCTTACAGTCCACACACCAACAACGCATCTGAGTGAGAGTCAGGGAGGGGCTTCACCGGAAGAGCATGGCAGACGTACCCTCAAGAAAGGCTCAGCTTCCCAGCGCAACCGATTCGCGCCGCACAGGCAGCTGGACTCAAACATTGCCCTTTGTCTCGCTTTTCCTTTGCAGTGTTTTTTGTTCAAGTTGTCCGTTACGGTGTAAACGAGAAGTGACTTATATACGAGTCCGTGTTCTGCCTCTGCGATGCGATGCCTCAAGTGTTAATTCCATGACTGTGTCTTCGCTGCCAGCAATTGGTGACAAGCAAAGCCCAAATGGTCCTTGTATCTCCTAAATCCGACTCGAGCAAGTATCGGGCTTCAAGCTGACGTCTGCAGACCCCGAATGTCTGACTAGAGAAATGCATCAACTGTCCAAAAGGACAAAGAAATAAAGTTGTCCTCGAGCATTCAAAGCAGCCGAGGCGTATCGCGGTGGTTCTAACTAGTATTATGGGACTGACCGTTATCCCTGCCTCTACATGGGTCAGGCGGCTCCGAGGCTCGAGCCAAACGACAACCACCCCATTCACCCCCTCGGCGCAAGGAATACTCCCCAGAAAAAACACATAGGGGAAATTATTCTACCGCCGTTCAAGCACAGCTTGGACAAATAGCAATGGTGCCGACGCGCGGCGAGCTTTATGCAGACGATTATGCCACGATGGCAGGATGGCCACACGAGGTCCAGGTGACATGATCTAAGGCAACGACTCGAGAGGCCGTGCCTCATGCGCACCGAAAGGTTCGCAGCCGTGGAGAAAGGTTGCAAAGTCCTCATTCCCAGGCCTTCAATTGGTGATCGTTTAAGATCACGCCTGCCAATTCACTACGGGTGTCGCTGGTTGGGCCTCATTCGATCGATCAATGCCCATGTCATACCAGCATAGTCCTTGGGCAAATAGCGATCGAACAGTTCCTGCCAGATATTACGCTTTCTAAAGTTCTCTATGCCAATATCTCGGAGCAGCAAGTCTGTGTACAGCAACCCGTCGAAGACAAGATCTGGACATCTCTCGCCTGCGCCTCCGCCAGCAGGTGGGTGTCTCCACCGACAGTATTCACTTTGGAGGACTGTTTGGTATTCAATATCTTGGTGTGCGCTTTTGGAAGAGTTTAATCCTGTGATCTCATGTTGGAAGAATGCCGTTATCCACAGCGCTTGAGCTTGCGCGACCGTGATGGCATTGAGAGCAAGGTGAGCGCCGATGAAAGCGATGTTACGTTGGTCCAGAAAAGGCTTTGCTGGCGGCACCATGAAACGGTACAACCGATACGGCCCATGCCCCAGGAGATCCCTTGAGAGATTGGTCGGTCCTGATCCATCCGGCAGAACCTTTAGGGGACCTGAGCGAAGTCCTGGCACAGCTCTGAAAACCTCCTCATCGGCAAGCTTGACGAGATGCGTAGTCTCGGCCTTTTCTTGTCCTGGAAGTCCGAGTTGCGCTGCCGCACTTGGTGGCATGAACTTGATCGGCGGAGCGGCCCTCCAGCCGGTGCAACAGACGAAGGTGTCAGCGTGAAGGACGTCGCCATTTGAAAGAAGGACCTCATCGCCGGCCAGAGATGTTACGTCAGCCACATGGACAGTTACCCTTCCTTGCTTCACCAGTTCGAACCAGTTCGTTTCATAATTGTGAACGCCTAAGGAATTGCCCATCCAGAACATTGACGCCCAGGGTTTTAGTTTTCTCAGCTCCGGATGCTGGTGGTACCCGTTCGCTGAGAGCACGGGATTCGTTATCACCTTCCAGAACAACTTTACCAACTGTCGACCAAGCCAGGTGTGGTGCAGGAATCTCCGGGCTGGGTTGAAGCCGCTCCCCTCGGCCCAGATGCAGGGCTCAAACAGTGTGAAGAATCTTGTGGTTGCCATTCTTTGGATCGAGAGCTTCAGAGGAGAGAACATGACCGGCCATACCCAACTGGGACCGCCCCCTCCTGGTCTGATCACCATGTTGACATGGGCTCCCGAGGTCGCAGCAGTATAGCAGACGTCCCATGCCGACTTATTGGCTCCAACTACCACGACCTCTTTTGACGCCTCGATATCTTTTGCACGATCTCTTAACTGGCGGGAATGAAGGAAGTTCCCCGTGAAACTCTCCCTTCCAGCATAGTTGGGCACGTATGGGTCAGAGGTCAAGCCCGTAGCCACAACAAGCCGCTTTGCCTTCAGGGATGACGCCCTATCGTTTCTGGCTTGGCCACTTATTCGAAGCAGCCACTCCCCGGTCTCTTGCAGCTCTGCAGATTCGACGTTAGCCTGAAGCCTCAACCGCGACCCCAGACCGAAATGATCAGCGAACTGACACAGATATTCATGCACGACGCTACCGGGGATATGCCGTCCTGGCTCGACACCGAACTTCTCAGGCGTCATAGGAAAGTCTCCGAATTCGTACGAGCCGATGATGTTGTTTGTTTTGAGGCCAGGGTACAGGCGTTCTTTGGCCCACGTTCCGCCGATGGACATGGCAGAGTCTATGATGAGCAAAGTAGCGTCTGGACAGACCTCGGTGTACGTCTTTGCCATCGCCAGTCCATGCCATCCTGCGATCGTTGTCGAATGAGTATGCAAGTCCTTACAGAGTTTCTGGCAGAGCGAGCCAACTCAACTCACCTGCACCAACGATGACCAGATCGAAAGTCTCCATGACGACCGGATATGTCTCCCCCCAATAATCGCTCAGCAGCCCCAAGGTTGTCTAGCTGCTCGCACATCAAGCTTGACGCTCGACCGGCGTATCACAAGTGCATACCTCGTCGCATATTGTGAGTCAGGGTTCAAGGTGACAGACAAATCCTGACCCTTGAACAGCCTGCGTGCTTGTGCTCACACCAGGCGGTCACAGCACTAACGCTGGTATGTATGTATACACCCTGACAAGAAACCCCCTATGCGACTTCTTCAGTATAGTACGTAAGTGCGTACGTGTTTCGAATGTAAGCCAGGACTCATGCCCAGCAGACATGTCCACTTGGGTCTAGTACTCATTATTACAGCACAGACATCTCTTCCCCCTCTGTAACCAGGTCGGCAGCCAACTCGGCTTATCTCGCACCAGGCGGCATGGGGACGGAAATGTCCTCCTCGTACTAAACTTCGTTCCCCACGGTGGAGAAAAACTATTTCACGGGGTTGTAAGACGAATGTTCCGAGCGTTGGTTGGTGGATTCACATTTTTTAGTGACACGCCCGTGACATCGTCCCGTCTGGACTTCGACATAAGCCAGTCCACCAGGGCCTCTAATGCATCAGGTGTCCTTGACTACCCTGGACATAGACGAGTCGTCGCTGACAAAAGCTATATCTGAACCCACCAACCAGGGCGCCCCATTCATCGGTCATACAAGCACCAGTTCAACATCATCCCTCGATCAAAGACAGGGCGCGAGGAGGACGGGATTGATTTTTCGACTAAAATTGGTCGGAAACCCCGCAACCCAGAGTGTGCTGTACAATATAGAGTCTGCAAGGCTCCGTGGTTGGACTATCGGAAGACTCGACGGGCTTCAAGATTGGCTTTGTGGTGTCTCGCCATAGACAACGCCGGACCGGGCCAACGAAGAACGAGCTGAAAGGAGAAAGAGAACAGGGGGAATTAGTTTCGTGACGAGCTTGGTCGGGAAAACAGAGTGATTACCTTCCCTTCTTCCAATACCGACACAATGGCAGACGCCCCCCTCCTGGATCTCGAGGTGTATCCTACCGCGAAGGAATTCGTGTCCAAGTGCCACGAGTTCTTCAGGGAAGTCAAGAACTTGTATGCAAACCCTCCTCCTCCTCCCCTTCCACCCTTCATCCCGTGCTTGTCTTGAAGGCTCTGCAAGTTGTCCGATGATTTTCTTCCCTGTGTCAATCGCTGTCACCACTGACATCTCTCTTGCCTGGGCTGTCCCAGAACCCCGGGCAAAGACCTCGAGGCCCGACTCAACAGCGAATACGGCCCAGGCACGCCCTTCTACGAGGCCTTCGCGCAATACATGCGCCGGGGGCTCGAGGAAGGCTGGGTCGCGCGCGACGAACTGGACGGGCCCAAGTACCGGCGCGGCCGCATCGCACCGCCTACGCCGGAGAGCAGCTTCATCTCCATCACCGCGGTGTACATGGACTCGCAGGAGGTGTATCGGGGCCAATACCACCAGCATCCGTACGGGGAGATAAACTGCGTCATTTTGCTGGACGAGACGGCCGAGTTGAGGGGCATGCAGGGCTGGCAGGGCGCCGGATGGACCAGTCCAGGACCGGGGACACACCACTATCCCGAAGTCAGAGGCGGTGCGTTGGTTGCGCTGTTTTTCCTGCCCGCGGGCAGGATCAGTTACGCGGCGACGCCGGATATGCCACAGCCAGCGTCTTTATAGGGGATTCCTTGCATGCGTGGGGATGTGGCACAGTAGTGGATAATCGAGGCATCAATGTCGACGCCGCCACTTGATGGTCGCTGGATGCATGGGACGCGAGAACATGGACTGTCGAAGCGCAACAAGGTAGTTAGTTAGCTGGCACTACCACACTCTCTCGGATCTCTGAAGACTCAGGAGAAAGCTGACCCTGGGCCAGTGCTTTGGAGAAGGCCTCATGCATACAGCATCCATAGATAGCACTTACCGAATAGTCCGTGGCGGGCACCGGCGCCTGGGGGTCGACTTGTTCCCACTGCAGCAGTCTCACCACCGTCGCCAATATGGCTCCCAGCTGCGCGTAGGCAAAAGTCTCCCCAACGCACCGATGTCGACCAGCCCCAAAGGGCAGATACGGGCTGTAGACAGCCTTCGAGGAGACGGCTCCATATCCGTAATCGACCGTGTCGTGATCCTCGACCTTTCCGTCCAACCACTGTTGTTGTTCTTGCTGCTGCTGCTGCTGCTGCTCAGCCTCATCTGGTTTATCCCATCGATGCGGATTCCATGCCAGGGGTTCCGGGAAGAATTCCTCGCATCGCGACGGGACTCCGGGGGCTGCGAGCAGGATGTGGCCTGCGGGGACGACGACGCCCGTCTCGGGAATCGGCATCGGCCGCTTGACCTTGCGCATGATCGAGTGGATGGGGCTGTGCAGGCGCAACGTCTCCTTGATGACATTGTTGTGCAGTGTCAGCTCCTGCAGTGTCTCGTACGTTGGGGCCTGGTCGTCGTCGCCCAGGACGCGGAGCTGCTCTTGGTACAGCTCTTCCACGAGGTGCGGACGGTGGGCGAGGTGCAGCATGATCCAGGTGCCCGAGGCGGCGGTGTTGTGCTGCCCGCCCATGAGCAAGGCGATCATGAGGTTGGCGATCTCCTCGTCGGCGAGAGGCGTGCCGTCCTTGTAGCGCCCGTCCATGAGGGCCCAGAGCATGTCGTGGCTGCCGTCCCCGTTGCCCGATGCCCGTCGCCTCTGGATGATGTCCATGTATAGCTTCGCCATCATCTTTTGGGCGCGATCGCGTCGCCGGTTGACGGGGGTAGGCAGCCACGGGAACATGAAGTTGACGGGTGCGAAGCCGTCGTCGAGATGGCGGTAGTACGTGGCGAACGAGGAGTCGAAGGAATCCCGCACCTCCTTTCCCTGCAGCGAGCCTGCCGCCGCGTACAGGGAGATCTCAGAGAGCACCGTGGATATGTCGCACACCCCACCGTCATTGCCCTGGAAGGTCGCGTTGGTGTTGATGTACTGCTCGGTTTCTTTGATGAACTGGGGAACGTATGCGCGCAGGTTCGTGCTGGTGAAGCCTTCCTTCAGCAACTACAAAAGGATTCAATCGCAGTCAGTTATAGATTCTTGTCATGCCTGGGAAAGAGGGACACCGTTGGTGTCGGTCGTACCCTTTTCTGGTCCATGAACCTGGCATTGTCCACGTCGTACACCACGCCGCGACCGAAGACCGGCACCGTCAGTGGGCCATAGACCTCCTGAACATCCTGTGAGTGCTGTGATCATGGTGACAGGGCGTCCTTTACCCTTACTTCCGCATTGAGATCCTTCAGCTTCCCATTCAAGATGAAATTGTTGCCCTTGGCCCCCAGATATACCGTGACTTTCATCCCGAGCAGCCCAAATGTGAAGAAGTCACCGTACTGGGCAATCGTTTAGCGACAAGTGAGTCATTCAGGGGATCAGGTCCCAACCGGCAGGTGTCTGAGGAAGCATCCCAGGCGAACGCACCTTTTCTCGGCACTTGAAGAAGAACCGGTACGGGTCTTGCCCATAGTCGACGGTGCTACCAATCAAGGGGAACCAGTGCCATACCACTGGTGGCCTGTGAGGATCTCGGAAGAACAGTTGCTTGACAATATTGCTGATGACTGTGATCACTATAAGCCAGAGGAGGGCCGTCAGGGTCCTGGCGATGAGCGACGACATTGTTGGGCTCTGCGACGCCACCTCGAGATGGTCGGTGCTGGGGCTTGTTTAAGGCAGTATCTGGCTATTTGGGGATATCATAAGCTAGAACTGATCGTGGTAATATGATTTGCAACATTTGGATCTGTGGGTTGGTTGATTTATGGTCAGGAAATTAGGAGATTGCAGTTGGCGGTGAACGGGAGAAAGCATTGCCAAAAGCGGCGGCCATGAATACGAGGTATTAATACGATGGGTACCGCCGTCTTCTCCAGCACAACTACGTGTGGCACCAACTCTTGGCCAAGGCCCTTCCTTCTATGACTGTCAGAAGTCGTGGTCCGAGCCCACCTACGCCGCCTTGACCATCATGACCACCAGGCAGGTCGCCAAAAGGCCAGCCAAGTCCTCGCGCTTTGACTTCATGCAGAGCTGCCGCCGGCTCTCCTTGATCGACCCTGAAGTTCGTGTCGGTACTGCAGACGACTCCCAGGCGCGAGTCCTCCTCGAAAAGATTTCCTTTCAAAGGAGGTGACCTGACATATCTGACGGGGCTGGAATCATGACCCCTTTTGCACGCACACACGCAACGCTCAGATCGACCTCTTCGAGCCCACGTCCGAAACTTCTCAGTGCCGCAAGGATTGCGGCAGGATGTGAACTCAAAACACCAAAAGTACCGTCCTCCCTACCTTCTCGGAGCTCGAGCAGAAGCTAGGCAGATTCGGATTCGGATTGTTGTGGTGTAGTTGGGATGGTGTCCTCACCCTTGTAGCCAGCCGACGACGTCTATATTGATGATCCACGCACAACTGGGTGACCTAGCAGACTTGACCGCCTTCGAAGTCCCAGCACGTCGCAGAAACGTGGCCAACGAGGGTATTTCTGGCCGTGGCTCTAACAAAGAAGTTCTCTGCATGATCTGGCAGGCACTCCTGCCGCAGATGGTCGGCGTCATGCGAACACGGCGGCCTGTTGGCACGATTAGTGTTGTGACTTGGCCCAGAAAGACAATCCCCGGATACCATGCTTCGCAAACGGTCCAATCTTTTCCTCTGCATGCGGGCCCCAAATGCCGTATGCACGTGAGAGCCACGCCGCCACCTCTTTAAATCATGTCTTCTGTGATCTCGTTTGTGGCCACGATCTCGAAGGTGGGTAGTAGCTTAGCAGGACGTGCAATTTGTCCGTCCAAGCCCTCGCAAGCCACTGCGAAGCGCGTCCTCCTTGAATCCATTGTCCACAGGCGCGGTAATGTATATCATCTCCTATTAGTCCTACGTCCATCAGGGCTGACATTCTGAGGGTTTCCCTCTCTTGATCAGCCCTTTCGTCGTCTGTACTCAGATCATGCAGTCTGTAAGGGAAAGATGCGTCGGGGATCATTGCGGCGAACAGTGGAAGTAGTAGGCGGCCGCAGACAGACGCGGTAGAAAGGTTGAGGAAGGCGACTTGATGACCTCTCGAGGCTGGCCTCTGGGCACTTGAACGCAGGTAACAATGGCCACCAGCCATGGAGCGCGGCTGCAAGCCTTCGAAAGGCTCATCCATAAAACAATGCGGTCTGGTCATGACTCGACATGACGCTGCTTTCGAGAGACAATAGCAGGCTTGAATCAGATGTGGATGAATGAGTGAATAGCCACGTGATAGCCCAACCAGCCCCCCACCATCTCTTAGTGGCCCGCAGTCAGCTTGGCACAAAAATCTATGCCAAGATTTCACCTGCCTGCGGACCGTTGCTTCTCCACTGCCACCCGCCTGTCGAGTCGCTGGACCATGAGATCTCGCAGAATCTTTGGCCCAGTAGCAGAACAGGCATACAACCCTCAGCGAAGACAAGTGTCGCGAGGAAGTTGTGAAGACGTTTTTGTTTGAGTTGAGGTTTGTCCGTCGACATGGCCGATGACTTGACGGTATGCTTCACCGCCCTCTCCTCCCGAAGGAAATTTGACTGATCTTGTTGTAGGAGCGGCTCAAAAGCCATGCACGGTCATTTGATAGTTTATTGTCCCTGATTCCAGCAAAACTATATTACGGAGAAGATGTTAGCGTACGTACTGCGGAAAATGTCATGTCTCAAACAATACCGACTCATACTTCTTCCAGGATCAATGGAAAAGAAAAAAGCAGACTCCGGAGCAGAAGCGGGCGGCAAAAATGGCCAAACTGGACCCCGACAATTGGAAAAGTGCCAAAGATATCATGGATGAAAGGGAGGCAGCCGCAGCCTTGAAGCGGAAACGAGACACAGAAGAAGAGGAGCCTGATGGGAGCCCAACCCCGGCCGAAGGTAGCGAGATGGAACAACCCAAGGCTATCCAGGATGCACAAGCACAAGCGCCAAAACCGAAAAGACAAAAGACCGAAAAATTAGGTGCAGGTCAAACAACTGATACCCAGGATGTCGACGACTCACCAGAAGACAAACGACGCCGGAAGGCAGAAGAAAGAGCTGCCAAAAGACAACGGAAAAGGGAAAGAAAAGACAAGGCCAAGCAGAAGCTGGAACGACAAAAGGCTAAGAAAAGGGAAGCGGAACAACTGGATGACCCTCACAAGGAAGCCTTGAAGAAGGAAGGGAAGAAGGAACTAAATCTCCAGATTCCGGTTGATCTTGAAGTGCCCACCCAACGAGACAGTCACCCTGGTGCAGCGTCGCCGTCCACCGCGTCTTCCGAGGACGAACCCGAAGAGGTCTTCTCTCCCCAGCACGAGTCCGGCACATCTTCAACATCATCCATTCAACCTACTTCACTCGAGGAACCCGTCAAGATTAAACCTTCTGTTTCGCTCACTCCAACGACCGTGCCGTCAAGCAAAGACGATAGCGACGCAATGACCAAAACGCCCCGGGAACGGCTACAGGAAGCGCTTTCCCAATTCCGCGCAGAGCGCAAGGCGGACGGTGGTGACGGTCGTCCCCCGAAGAACCGACAAGAGCTGTTGGAGCAACGACGTCGGAAGGAGGAGGCGAAGAAGGCCGCCAAGAAGGAACAAAAACGTCGAGAGAAGGAAGAAGAGGCTCGTCGTCAAGATGAGGAGATTGCGAGGCACTTCTCGCCCGGTGGCTCAGGCTCTCTGCTGGCGTCACCCCGGTCTCCCATGCTCGGCGACAATCGCAGCTCTTCTCCAACCTCCAACTCTGCCAATAACTTCACGTTTGGCCGTATCACTTTCGAAGATGGCACACAACTCGAACCTTCGTCAACCTCCGCCGTGGAGGAACACAAAAAGAAAGGCGTCCGTGACACTGCCACAGAGCTCAAACTCGCGGAGGCCAAAAAGGCTCGTATAGCCGGTCTCGACGAGGAGAAACGCCTTGACATTGAACAAAAGGACATGTGGTTGAACGCCAAACGACGCGCCCACGGCGAACACGTCCGGGACAACACTTCGCTGCTCAAGAAGGCACTCAAAAGGCAGCAGGGCCAGAAAAAGAAGAGCGAGCGAGAGTGGAATGAGAGGTTGGAAGGTGTGAAGAAGGCTCAAGACACGAAGCAAAAGAAAAGAGCCGAGAATTTGGCCAAGAGGAAGGAAGAAAAGGGTTCGAAGAAAGGAAAAGTCAAGAGGCCAGGCTTTGAGGGAAGTTTCAAAGGAAGGACAGGCGGGAAAAGGAAACCGTGATCGAGACGTTCGATGATCTAGTGGTGCGTGGCAATGAATACTATGGTTTAATCCAGCTCCATCTTTCCGGGCCCAAATCTCTGTGCCCTTGGGAGGCTGCATGTTCGTCTCAGCAGTAGGAATCTTAGATTTTGGCTATCTCTGTCCGTCGTGATAAATTCGGCGGACGGCGAGGACTTGATGTCCGTATCAGCCTGCTGCGGCCATGATGCCATGTGTGATACCTACCGGCGAAAGAAGTTTCCCATGGAACAGATGCATTGAAATGAAGTCGTGAAATAGATTGAAAGCCGAGCAGCAAGTTCTTACCAGCTGAGCCAATCAATGCCCTCGTCGAATTGATCTTGTGTGTACGGTACTTACCTGGTGCATGGTCCGCGTGCTGAAGCTCGAGTATCTCAACGTATCAGTCAAGCCACCCTCGCCATCACCCCTCGATGTCGTCGTCATTCGTAAGCCAGTAGATTTGTGCACCCAAAGGTTCGCCTTGGGGGCCTCCAAGCCTTATGCTGTGCTAACCGGCGCACTTGGCTGCCATGTTCGGTGGGACGTTCTCGGCCCATGGGGGTCTTCACCGCGATCCTCCACTTTGTGCTCATCCTTCTTGGTTCGGATGCATTTTGTCCGGTCTCGTGCCCGGGACGATGTCAATTGAGATGGGCAGGAGCATGACCGGAGAGCAAAAGTCCCTTAAGGCTGGTGGGACAATGACCGAGATCTGGTTGCACGTTTCACGGGGGTGGTCGTCAGCTTATAATGGGGATGTTGGACGTCAGCAAAGCATTAGAAGGACAGTTTGCCTACCTTGTGGGAGGTAATGACGAAGAAAGATGAAAGAAGCTGAGGTCAATTCGTCGCCATGTAATTGTATCATGGTATCACGAATAGCGAAGGCATCTCTGATTGGTCAGAAGTGGCACGGCTATGCAGAGATGAGGTCCTCTCGCCGACTTTTGGCTTGTCTCCCGGATAAACACATCTATCTATTCTAAGATGCCGAAGCAAATACTTCCTTGGTCTCTCCATTACCGTCGAGCTAGCATGGCTAGTAAACTCGACTTGGTCTTCCCTTTGTTACGAGAGGGAAGGTGGGTTACCGCTTGCTTCGTGCTAGATATACCTGTTTTGCGACTGATGTCCTCTCAAAAAAGATGTCTACGTAGGTAGCCTCAAAAATAACCTTTTGATTGTCAAGAGTGGGCTTTCTTCTCCTGTTGGCCCCAGACCGGGTGGTAAGTCAACGCTTTCAGGAAGGACCCAGCAAAAGCGAATGCTACACTTCGCTCCTGGACATCACACGGAAGCCCTGAAAGATCCACAGTTCTGCTCTTCCTGCACTGAACACAGCATACCACACCATCGAGTGTCATCACATGGTCCGACCTGCAGACAGGCGGTCATTCAGAGTGTGATGGACTTGCATCTCCAGAGCCAAAGCCTCCTCAGTCAGGCGACAGCTCCCTCCTTCATCAGCCACAACCACCGGTAAATCTCGATGACCGGTGAAGCGACTACCCCGAAATTCTAGAATCTTTGGTCGTCATACATTGTCGCTCGATCCCGAGTGCAACTATGGAGGACAACAGGCATCCAAGTGTGAGAGATATCGAAAGCGATCTTAGCACTCCTGACTTATATATATCTGCTCCTTTCCTTGCATTTCCGATCCCTCGTCCATCAGACTTCACCTCAAGACATTTCATCATCATTTACAACAGAATACTCTCGCAGGAACAACAACATGGCTTCCCAAGCACCATTGAGCGATAGCCAAACCTACAAGATAGCTGGCGCCTTGATCGGGTCCTACAAAATTCAAAACGATGACACTTTCAGCACGATCGCCACTCACCATGGGCTAGATGTCAACGCCGTGCTAGCCGCCAACCCAGGTGTCGATGCCGACGGCCTCAAGGCCGGACAAGTCGTTAACTTGCCGATCAAAACACTGGGACTGGTTTACAGCCTTGCCGACGTCGCGCGTATTCTCGGTGTGACTCTCAAAGATCTCCAGTCCGGCAATCCCGGTATCTCCTCCGAGCTGTCCATCAACGAAGTCATCAAAGGTCCCAAGGTCTCTGGAGGTAGGGAACTGATGGTTTCGCAACTCTCTGCAGGACTCCCAGGAGGCAGCGGTGGTGGGAATGGAGGCGGTGGCTACGTCAACTACAGCGGACCGGCCTCCGCATTCCCGCCAACGTCGCAGTGGGCATCGTACGCGGCACTCTGGGCCAACAACTCCAAGTTGATGAAATACAACGACTCCGACGCGGAAATTGCCGACATCAAAACCGCCATCGAAACAGTCGCTCGCGAGTCCCAGGTCGACGTCCGCGTCATTCTGTGCACCATCATGCAGGAATCTGGCGGCAACGTCCGGGTCCACACGACCGTCTCGCCAGATGGTTCTGTTCGAAATCCGGGGATCATGCAGTCTCACAATGGCTCGGAATTCAATCCCCAAAATGCTGCCCAGAGTATCTTGCAGATGGTCAGGGATGGAGTCGAGGGAACCAGGTCCGGAGATGGATTGAAACAGTGTTTCCAACATCAAGGAAACTGGTACGCGGCGCTGAGGCAGTATAATTCCGGGAGTGTGGACGTCAACAACCTCGATGACGGGATGGGGGCCACGGCCAACTATGTCAGGGACGTAGCGAATCGGTTGATGGGGCACGCCTGGGCTGGAATGTAGGTTGGACGAAGAACGAACGAGGCATTGTTTGCAACGGGAGCAAGGAGGAACGGCATGGAGGGAGGATAGACAGGACGGGTGGTGGGATATCACGTGGATCTCCTTTTTTTGCTAGATTTCTGCTTCAGCACTCATTTGATCTTTTGTTCCTTTCACATGGTTGCTCTGCCATCTAGTCCCCAGCTGGTTCTGCTGGAAAGTGTTCAATATTCCAAGCGGATACTTCTTGGAGCAGTCGCTGCCGACTACCGAGTTCTCGATACTCGGTCGACAGAGGAGCAAGATTGTTTTGTGCCAGTGGCCACGACATGGGGATGGCCACTCTCTGTCATTTCAAGACGATGTGACGGAACTCTCATGATACTCCGACAGCCGATCTTGTCCTTCGACGACATCCGACTTCATCCACCCGGACACCTGCTAACTAACCTAAATCTCCCGGAGACCTGAAGTACCGTCTCGGGGAACAGTACCATTCGACACCCAATGTGCTCGAGGTTGTCTTTCCTGGAAAAGGCAAATATGCGCAATGCGATATCGCAGTCCCCGACGGCCAAGACAATGGCATTTCTTGCGGTAAGTCGCAGACATGGGCTCCTCGGTCCACGTGAGGGAAGCTTGTCTGCGATGCCTTCACTCATATATTCATGCCGAACGAACGGAAAGCGAATTTGGCTAAGGCCCTCTGAGGCAAAGAACTTAGAGGTCACACCCCGTCGGATAGATTGGCCTACTCTTCGACAACCGTGGAGATGGAGTTATATCATCACTTGCTCAAGCTTTCGCAGTCATTCCTCGTGGACAAGTCGCAGCAAAGTGCGAGGGACTCAGTGAGAGAATTGACCGAAAAGACGACAAGGGCCATTCCCAACATCTATCTCGAGCATGAACCTTCTGTGTCCGAATGGCTTGCCTCGCTCGTGCCGACAAAAGAGGGCACTTATCAATACCTTCACAGCCTCTTCCCTTCCATCGGCTGGGTCCCTCGCTACAACTGGCGGTGGTTGTTCGCAGACTCCACAGCAGGGCTGACTGTTGGCCTGGTGGTGGTGCCCCAAGCCATGGCATACGCTCTGCTTGCGACTTTAAGCCCAGACTTTGGCCTGTACACGTCGTTCGCTGGGGCAGCAACATATTGGCTGTTTGGCACTTCCAAGGACATCGTCATCGGCGTATGTAACAATCATTTTTGATTCTGTGATCACTCTGACATGCGTCTTAGACGACTGCGGTCGGATCGCTCCTCGTTGGCAACGTGATTACAAACATACAGAATGCGCACCCGGGGCTCTACACCAACGTCGAGATTGCGAAAACGCTGTCTTTCATAACCGGGGCGATGCTCCTGGCAATTGGCCTGCTGCGACTCGGGTGGATCGTCGAAGTCATACCGTACATTCCCATCTCTGCATTCATCACCGCCGCCAGTATCACGATCATGTCGACCCAATTCCCCGTCATGATGGGCATTCCTGGGATCAACACGCGAGAAGAGCCGTACAAGGTTATCATCAACTCACTCCGCAACCTCGGAAATGCCCAGCTGGACGCCGCGATCGGCATCTCCTGTTTGATCCTGTTGGAGCTGATCAAGATAATCTGCGCCAAAATGGAGGTTCGTCAACCGTCCCGGAAACGCCTGTGGGCGACGATTTCATGCCTCCGACTCTCGAGCGCCATGCTGTTCTACACCTTCGTGAGCTGGCTGGTGCATCGCGATCTCCCAAAGGGCGAGAGTAAGTTTCGGGTCGTGGGGGTGATACAGTCAGGTGTGTATATCGTACAAGCGCTACAGACCTCTGCAACATGCATGCTGATCAGATGTATGTACAGGTTTCAAGCACTCAGGAGTTCCTCGGTTCGACGCCGAACTGGTGCGACTCGTCATCCCGCAAACCCCCATCATGATGGTCATCCTGGTGGTCGAGCACATTGCAATCGCAAAGAACTTTGGCAAACAGTTCGGCTACCAGGTGATTCCCTCGCAGGAGATCATGGCCCAGGGCACGGCCAATCTGCTGGGCCCTTTTCTGGGCGGCTATGCCTGCACTGGATCCTTCGGGGCCTCAGCTGTCCTCGCCAAAGCTGGGGTCAAGACTCCGCTGGCGGGTCTCTTCAGTGCCCTTATCCTCCTGCTGGCACTGTATGCTTTGACGGGCGTCTTCTACTACATCCCCAGGGCGGCACTCGCCGGTCTCATCATTCACGCAGTTTTGAACTTGGTGGCGTCTCCGAAGACGTGTTACAGATACTGGCGCATTTCTCCATTTGAATTCCTAATATGGTTTGTCGGGGTGGTCGTTGCCATATTCACCGGACTGGAGACATCCATCTACACTACTATCGCCCTGTCACTATTCCTCCTCCTGGTGCGAATCGCCCGCACAAATGGACAGTTTCTTGGACCGGTACCGATCTGGCAGGTGGCGGTTGATCTCAGCGTGGACGCCGATGGACGGGACGAGATTCCTCGTCAACAACCATCTGGGGAACTAGAGGTTCGAGACGTCTACATCCCCATGGACCGGAAAGACGCCTCCAACCCAGAGGTGATTGTTCAATCGCCATACCCGGGAGTGTTCGTCTATCGTTTCCCCGAGGGCTTCAACTACCTCAACAAAACACTGCAGTTGAACAACCTGACGCACTACATCCTGACCCACACCCGGCGCACGACAAAACAGGACGACTTAGAGTCGCATCGACGGCTGTGGTGCGAATCGGGAGAGTCACAGAGCACAGACGCCAGCCTACCTGTCCTGCGAGCCATTATCTTCGACTGCTCGTCGGTGAACAACATCGACATCACCGCTGTGCAAGGACTGGTCGACGCCCGAAACGCCTTGGACCGACATGCAGCCCCGGCCCTGGTCGATTGGCACTTCGCGGCGCTGTGGAACCGCTGGTCCCGGCGCGCGCTGGCGACAGCGGGGTTCGGATATCCCACCAAACGGAGCCGGTTCGCGCCGGGGAACTGGACGCCCGTCTATTCCCTCACCAGCTCGTTCGCTGGCGCAGGGCCGGAAGACGCCTGTGCCGAGGCGCGGCGCAAGGAGCAGTTGGCGAAGACGGACTGTGAGAGCAACGTGGTAGAAAGAGTGGAGACTGATGGTGACGCTGAGGGGATTAGATCGTGCGTGCGACAGGTCTCGACGCTGGAGAATGGCAGCACGGGCCCCAAGCACGCGGCGACGGCAGCGCTCAGGCCAGTGTTTGGACTTGATCGGCCGTTCTTCCACATCGATCTTGGGCAGGCTGTGGCAGCGGCCGTGCGATGCGCGAAAATGAGTGATTGATGGTGATGGTGATGGTGATGATGATGATGATGATGATACTAGCAACGAAGAAGGCAAAGTTTCCACACACACACACACACACACACACACACACACACATATATTATATATTCATTCCGGTGATTGACAGGCCCATCGGGACATATTCCTCCTCTGGCTTCATTATGGACCTGGGAGCACCACTGCCGCCGGTCCCTGCTTACCCAGACACCTTTCTAGCGACTATATAGCGGATTAACATCTTCGTCCCCTCCCATCCCATGAACACCCAACAACCCACGTACGTACCGGCAACAACAAGGCTCGTCACCGAAAAGGGGAAGGGGAGGTGTGGGATCGACAAGGCTGAAGGGGGGAAGGGGAGGTATGGCGTGATCCGCGCTAACAGGCACTAGCGACTCTCACGACGAAGAACTGACCAACGGAGTCGCTGCATTTGAGCTGGAGCTGGGGTATTCAATGCACGGATAACGGAAAGGGAGGGGGCTTGTATAGACGTCTTTGTCGATTGTTGTATATAGCTTGTTTGAACCTCGTCGTTGTCGTTGTCGTCGTTGTTGTTGTTGTTGTCTGTCCTTTGTTTCCCAGGGAAAAGGTCGAGAAGGTACGGAAATTGGCCGCCGGAAATCTTTCCGCCGCCCACACGCGCACAGTTAGTCACACAGACCTCCGAGAGATTGCCGCCGGGATCTGGGCTCTGGACCCTGGGCTTTGGGCCTCTGAAGAGGGGACGGGGCTGAGGGGTTCGCTTCTGGGCGAGTCCCCGAAGCCCAGAAATTCTCGTTCTCGTTCTCGTTGGGTAAGGTACTGTAAGATAGATGGTGGAACGAAAACCGGAAAACGAAAAAACGCTCCCTGCATTCGACGATAATAATTACAGAGGACACCGTATCGTCGTTCGTTCGTTCGTTCGGGGACCATGATTTCCCTGTGGAGACCTAAATGCACTGGGGGATCCCTTTTTTTTTCTCCCTTTTGTTAGTGTTTTCTCCCATATCCCCCAAGTTCTGAACGATAAGCATAGCCGCCGCTCATTTGTGGTAACACTATGACGCCGCTGCCCCCCCCCTCCCTGACGTTGTCCCGGTTTTGGTTCCTTGAGACCGCGGGTTTGAATACGAGGTACCGAGTAGTGCGTGCCCCCCTTCCGCCCTCCCGTCGTTGCTCGGAGATCACAACCTCGAGCTGAGCAAGTTTGTTTCCCCAATGGGGTGTGTGTGTGAGCGAGGGGCTGCTTGCTTAGTGGACGACTCCACCACAAGACATCGTCACGGATGTCCGGGATCTGTGTACGCGTGAATGGAAGGATGGATGGATGGATGGGTATCAGTTCACCTCAGCTCGGCAGCCTGTGCATACACAGACCTATCCATCCATGCTCACGGGGAAGGGGAAGATCCACCACCGCTTCACGCGTTTCTGACGAGGCCTCTCGTGCCCAGGTCTAGCTAGTGGGGTGTTTGGCCATCAAAACATGCGTGACGAGGTACTGCAGCAGGGGATAGGAATTCAAAAGAATACGAAGCCGCACTCAGAAACATGCACAGTGCGTGCACAGGAACCTATCCAATTCTTCGCCACTAGCTCCCCTAACAAAATCCACACAGTAACGTCACATACTCTTCGTGGTATGTTCCGTAACGATGTATGTAGCCGATGCCGACGAGACCCTCTCGTTTGCATTCGTTGAGCCCGAAGTTAGCTCCTCGCCGCCAGCAGTATCCGTAGCTCCTGCTGGCCATTACGACGAGTACCCAGTGGGAGAAAAAAAAAATGACAGCCCTTGTATCTACTGGAACAGAGAGGGAGGGAGTACCGGAGTATCGATTGGTATTGATGGATGTGTGATCATTTGCACGATTAACGCCTACTCAACTGCTGGCAGTCGTCGTCCGTGATGCCTTCCCTGCCGTTGAGGGGAGGGAAGGTCAGGGAACTAACTCCTCAAAGCCCACGGCCATAACGAGAAGTGGTGGTGATACATACATATAATGCCGTGAACATCAACACTCCAACCGGATATATAAATTGATGTTGAAGTAAATTTCACGCACATCAAGCCACCCGAATCACCACTCCAACGTCTTCGGCTTGAGCGGAAGATGCAGCATTCTCAACCCGGCGTCCGTCGGCTTGGGCAGCCTGCCCGCTCGGATATTCACCTGCAAGGACTGATGGATCAGCCTGGGCGCCGCGAGCCCGGCGTCCCGCTCGTTGCGCATGGCCACAAATTCCTCCTCGGTGGTGCCGTCCTTCAGGTGCTTGTTGCGTTGCCGGTGTTGCGCGACCGTCATCCAGGGCACGGGCGCGTCGCGGCCGGCGGGAGGGTAGTCGTGGCCCGTCCAGATCTTGACGTGGTCGGGCAGAGAAAGCAGCCGGCGTCCGGACTTGAAGAGGTCGCTGGCGCTGCCCCCCGGGAAATCGCAGCGCGCGGTGCCGATGTCGGCGTGGAAAATGGAGTCGCCGCAGAAGACGTTGTCTGGACAAATCACATTAGCCTAGGCATGCATGGCTTGATGGGAGATAGAAAACTCGCCTCCGATCTTGTAGCCCAAGTGGTCTGGGGTATGACCAGGAAGATGCATGGCGGTGGCTTCCAGCTCCCCAATATTAAAAGTCTCGTCGTCTTCAAAGAGCTTGTCGAAGACGCCCTCATATTCATCGGCGGGAACTCCGTATCTGTTGGCAAATAATTGCTGCACCCTGCCGATGCGCTTGCCGATGCCGATAATGGGGATTCGACCTTGCTCTTGGGCGAGGCGATTCTGGAGATACGACGACGCAGTCAGGTGGTCCGCATGCGCGTGTGTCTCGAGAATCAGGTCGACCGTGTAGCCCTTGTCCTTAACTAGGGCAATCAAGGCATCGGCGCTCTTGGTGGTTACGGCCTGGGTCGCCGGATCATAGTCCAGGACCGGGTCAATGATGGCGGCTGTCCTGGTGGCCGGATCGGCAACCACATACTGCCACGTACCTGTCTTGGTCTCAAAGACATCGTGAACCACGGGTTGCTGAGACCCAGCAGCTTCAGTACTGTACGAGGATCGACCTTTAGTTGCCCACGGAAGTGCTCGGGAAGATCGAGGGTTGCACGGTCCACACACTGGCGTTCTTTTGGAGAGAGGTCTACGGGGCGTGGTCTGGACCAGAGAGCCGTTGTCGACGGAGGTTTGGGTACTGTATGCAGCTTTGCGCTCGGAAGAGAGGCAAGATTGTCTGCTGGAGTTGACGACGGTGGAAGCAGGGCTCGCAGTGGTGGGCGTCAACAGCAACCTCCTCGTCGCCTGAGAGCAGCTGCCGATATGAGGGCGAAGGGACTGCATCGCTGTGTCTATGAGAGGGTTGTAGCTGGCTGTCCCGACATTGAAACAGGACGACGTCTTAGTATAGTATTTGAACGCCGGGCGGATAGGCCGATAGTTCCCAAAGAGGCAGAAGATGACGAGATGGACCCACACCCCGATACTAAGCCTTACTAGCGTCTGCTAGCGTCTGATAATCGACACTAACTCTCCATCGTTTGTTACTGTTGGCTGTCATTTCATCGGCTTTGTTCGGGTGCTGGTCATTACACGGCGATCACAACTACATGCTGACGGCTTCGTATTGTTGCACCCCCTTCGCCCCCTGAAGGCTTGGAGCCTCGCATCTCGGTTCCAAAGGGCGTATCTGTGGCAAAACAACGGGTCAAACCACTCGGTGATCAGAATGTGACCTGTTTTCGGCATTCTAGCTGCAGAAAACTTCCGGCCGTTAGGGGGAGTCAGTCTCACTGGAAGATGTAAAGTATTATTAAATACAGACGCTGACCCTGAAAATCCCCGTCACATGATTAGTATTTTCCTGCAAAACTCCTCCCAACGTCTTTTCGCCTTCCATTCTTTTTTCTTCCCTTTTCTCACCACCACAAGCCCGTCAACGGTCCAGCTCCGTCTTTTGTCCGCCATGTTTCGCACCGTCTTGACGTCGTCTAAGGCCTGCGGCAATGGACTTTCGGTTCTCGCCGCGCAGGCTGTCCCGACAAGCACCAGAACGTTCGCGACCGTCTCGCCCGTGAGTCCAGCAGCGCGGAGCCACAAGGTCGTGATCGTCGGTGGAGGGAGTGCCGGCCTCGCAATCAGCCACCAGCTCCTGCGCACGGGCAAGTTTGCCAAGAACGACATCGCCGTCGTCGACCCGGCCAAGTGGCACAACTACCAGCCCGGGTGGACGCTGGTGGGTGGCGGCCTCAAGACCAAGGAGGAGCTGCGCAAGCCGCTAGACACGCTGCTGGACCCTAACCTGCGGTTCTACAACGAGGGCGTCAACACCTTTTCGCCCACGGAGAACCAGCTCACGCTCAGCAACGGCGACACCCTCGGCTACGACCAGCTGGTCGTGGTGCCCGGCATCAGCGTCAACTTCGACTCCATCAAAGGCCTGCCCGAAGCCCTGGCCGACCCCAAATCCCTGGTCTCATCCATCTACAGCTACGACACCTGCGACAAGGTGTACCCTACCATCACGAGTCTGCGCAAAGGCAACGCCATCTTCAGCCAGCCCGCCGGCGTGATCAAGTGCGCCGGCGCCCCGCAGAAGATCATGTGGCTCGCGCTGGACTACTGGAAGCGGGCGGGGCTCTACGACGCCAACAAGGGCGCCGAGTCACCCATCCAGATCAGCTTCGCCACCGCCCTGCCGGGTATGTTCGGCGTACCCAAGTACAGCGCGCGGCTGAACGAGCTGCGGCTCGAACGGGGCGTGGAAGGCTTATTTCAGCACGACCTGGTGGCTGTGGAGGGCAACACGGCGACATTCGCGCGGCTCGACGAGCCCAAGGAGCAAGTCACGCGGCACTTCGACCTGCTGCACGTCGTGCCGAAGATGGGCCCGCACGCATTCGTCCAGAAGAGCGAGCTGGCCAACGCGGCGGGGTTCGTCGAGGTCGACGACGCCACGACGCGGCACACGCGGTTCGCCAACGTGTGGTCGGCCGGCGACGCATCGAGCCTGCCGACGTCCAAGACGGCCGCGGCCATCACGGCGCAGGCGCCCGTGCTGGTGCAGAACCTGCTGCTCGCGCTCGACGGCGGCAGGGCCCCCACGGCCACGTACAACGGCTACACGTCGTGCCCGCTGACCACCGAGTACGGCAAGGTCATGCTGGCCGAGTTCAAGTACGGCGGCGAGCCGCACGAGACCTTTGGCCGGCTGCTGGGCGTCGACCAGGGCACCCCGCGCCGCGCCTTCTACCACCTCAAGAAGGACTTCTTCCCCTGGGTCTACTACAAGTCCATGGTCAAGGGCACCTGGGCGGGACCCAAGGGGTGGCTGAATTAGAGAGGAGGGAGCAGTTGAGCGAGCTCTGCTTATCATTACGATGCCCTTGTTGTTCTGTACTATAGAAACCCAAAAAGGTTCTGGACTGACGAGGGAGGGAGGGGGATTGCATCCCGTCTTGTGTAGCCAGGATCCAGCCAACATAACATATACGGCTGCACTCACGATTTAGATTTTTAGAGTCATGCTTTGTAGACTTGCCAAAAAATACCAATCAATCAGTCAATCAGAGAACAAACGAAGAAGGTTGTCCTCCTCAGATGCCGGTCTAGAATATGAACTCGTCTGGGATTCTCCAGCCCGTATTTGCCCCCAACGCCCTGCTGTTACCGACTGTATTCGCAGCCCTCTGTGTCTCTCTCTCGGTATCCTCGAGGGAATAAAACATATGTCTCAATCTCAATCTCGAGTTCATGCCAAGTGGTTCTGGATCGTGGCTAGTCTGGGTCTACTTTATTAACATTCATCAATCATTTCCTCCGGCCGGCGGGACAGACGCAGGGAGGTATCGAGGTAACATAAAAATACCGCATGTAGTACTGCCCTACTAGGGGCGCTGTCACTAGCCCATCTGGGTTATCCGTCTACATACAGTATGTGTACCTCGTACTTCTATCTACGCGACGTGGTCCAAGGCTACGGTAGCTACATATGTAGCATTCTATCAGTACCTCGCGCGATCACAAGACAACTATTACGAGCTATAGCTACTACTACTACTAGCCAGGCAGCGCCAACGGTCAGGCCGTCATAGTCCTAACATCGGGAAAATCCAGGCACAGCGTACGTCAAAGGAAGTTGTACAGTATATGTGGTGACGGTCAGCCAGCCGGCCAGGGATGGGTTCAAACTACAAATGTCAAACCATGTTAGATAGGTATAGCACACCTGCGTATATCACGGTTATGATTAAGTACACTTCAAATGCGATATGTCTATCGATCTATTCACTTGGCACAATGCAATTCAGAAATTCTGCTTGTGACGCACTTGTTCCTGACCAGAGCCCCAACGACTCAAGTCTTTCTGGCGCCGATCTCGAGTCCGAAGGAGATGTGCAATTTTAGGTTGAAAGTTCCCCTTTTCGCACCCGGGAAAAATTGCAAGAGAATGAATATTGAACGGAGCAGACCAGTCAATACCTTCGCGGGAGCAGATCCACTGAGATTCTTGTTATTAGTTGCCTCCTCTCATGTCTATCCGTGTCTATATTCACACCTACACATACTCCAGTTGAGCCCAGACGATGTCCTCCCACAGATCAGCTCCAATATGATCCCCATGATGAATCTCCAGCGACCCCACGTCGACGTGTAATGGCTCGTTCAGGACCGCCAGGCCACCCTTGCTTGCCACTCATTGCGTATGGCCGACAGTCAAGGGATACCGCTCAAGTAAATCAAGGCAATCCCATGTGGAAAAAAATACATCAAAATGTTCCCTCCAACCTGGTCGGATGGGATGGTCGGTTCACGACACCACCGTGTAGGTGCTTCGCTGTCGGATTCTCGGACCATACTTGTACAGGACCCAAGGGATCGGCAGCAAAGCGACAGTGACGAATCCGAATAGGCTTGTTGCCCAGGCGACGCCCATGCCGCGATACCTTATATGATCAGTAAAGCTGGCTTGAGCAAGATCAAGAACTTTCCACTCACATCTGAACCGTGAATAGCGGAAATACCGCGCCGATCACATATCTCAGAAAACCATTGGCGGCAGCGGCACTCGCACCCGTCAACGGGCCGTACGTGTCAATGAGATACAAGACGCAAGAGCAGAAAACCAGCATATTGCCAATACCAAAGGGAATGGTGGCAATGATCGGCGAGATCCAGTGGATGTCCTTTTTGGCGGTCCAGGCAAACCAGAACAGGCCGATCGGCAACAGAAAGGAGCCAAGCATGGCCGCCCAAAGTCTTTCCTCCGGTGGCAAGGGCGTGAAGTTTCCCTGCAACCTTCGCTTCAGCGTTTTCTTCCGGTAAATCATGCGGTCGATCCAAATGAAAATACAGGTCGCGGACACGACACCCAGTCCGATTCCCAAAAAGACCAGGCCCGATTCACCGGTGTTGAAGTGGTAGATCTGAATCTCAGGGTAGGGCGACTGGAACACGATGGGAAATGCGGCAAAGAAGCCGAACAGGACACTGAAGTTGAAGGCGGTATAGGTACTGAAGAACGCGACGATCGATTCGGTGAACAACATCCTCAGCGGCCTCAGAACGGTGACGACCAGAACAAATCGAAGTTTTGACATGCCCGGGGGCAAGGGGTTCGGAGGAGGCTGGAGACCAAGTTTCTGCGCGCGCTTCTTCAGGATGATTTTCTTATATGTTTCTCTCTGAGGAAGAGAGACGGCGTAGGCGACTGCACCGGCAAAAAGGATGAGCCACTGTGTCCAACGCCAGCCTTTCTTCATCGTAACGTATCCTCCCAAGGCCGGTCCTACGTGCGCCGGCCATGTTAGCCATCGAACCGTGTGACATGCTCAGAGTTCTTTTTCTCGAGGCCACCCACCCAAAGCAGGGCCCAAAAAAGGAGCCAGCAAAAACACCGCACTGGCGACGGCCCGGTGGAGATGGGAAAATAGGTCGGAATTGGTGCCAGCTCCGACGGCCAGACAGCCCGAGCCCAGAATACCTGCGAAAAGGCGACAGATGACGAGGGATGCGTATGATTTGGAGAGTCCCGCTCCCAGAGACAAGAGGAGAGACGGCGGGAAGAAGGTCAGGTACACTGCGCGCCGTCCGTAGGTTTCTGAGAGGGGAGCACTGATGACTGGACCGAATCCCAGACCCATCACATACACAGTCAGGGGGACCAGTGCGGCGGTAGTGCTAACGCCAAAGTGGCGGGCAACCTCTGGAACGCCTATATCAATGTCAATGAGTAAAGGATCCTGGTCCGAACATGGTTCATGCTCACTGGGAGTGTACACCGAGGAGCCAAAAGTACTGTGACACGTTAGCGTCCTCCATGGAGTGTCCTTTGACATCATGATCCGGCGTACATGGTGAAGCACTGCAATGCAGGGACTAATGTATGGTAAATCTTGATAAGCACGGGCCAGTTCAGTGGATTGTCTGGGTCGTCCTCGCCATCCCAGTCCTGCGCGGTGGTAGGGACATGGTTGGAGTGGCCACTTCTTGAGGTTCGCTGCGAGGCCTTGGTCGTCGTCTTCTCGAGATCCGCGTGCGGCGTCACAACTGGAACAGGGAGCGAGTGCACAGAGGAACTGTCCGAGTCAGTTCCGTCCATCTTCTCCGTCTCATCGGTGTGATCGTCCTTGGCTCCGCCGGACATGGGAGGAATATGTGAATTTCGAGCTCAGGAGAGTACAATGAGAGAGCTTCAGCGGTCACTGTAACCTCAATGTGCTTGGGACTGTTGGAGAGGAAGTCAAAAAAGGGTACTTCGAAGTCCGATGGCGGCATGCGACGAAAGATGAACGGCAACTCACGGGTATACCAGGCCGACGCTGGATTTTATATGGATCGCTCGAGGGACCTGCCTCAGTATCACGCCTTCACTTGAGAAATCAGGTTCGATGGCTTTTTTTCCAAAAGGAGCAGAAGCAGGACAATCTTGAATGGACACCTCGGAGGTGGCTTTCTCAAAACGCTTCCCGGTCGACAGGTCAAAGAATGGCAAAATCTGAAGCTCTCCATTTCACAGCAAGCAGTATTATCTGGTTAGTGAACATCGGCTACCTTGGCAAGGCGGTACCTCGGGCAGAGGCTCGTGACGGGAGTTTTCACGTGAAGATAGGGAAGGGCGCAAGTGCTGAATAAAGGAAAGTGAAAACAGCAAGGAAAGGCGACAGCGGACGTCACCACAGCTCCAATATGCTCCAGTCATTGGAGCAGGCCAAGTCGCTGCTTTGAACGACGGCCTGTCGAAGCCAATCAGGCACCGTGAAGTACGATCAGTAATCGACGCAGACTCAGGGGTTTGGCTTGCATCAAAGGCCGGAAATGTTGCCGACGATATGGCCGTAGAGTGTTCGGAGTGCTATCATGCCGAGGTGGATGAATGGAAAGGAGAAAAGAGAACGACAGTGAAATGAGGAGTTGACGGTGCATTTAAAGATTCTCATGGTGCCAGGAGGTGTCAGCCCGATCCAATAATCCTGATATTGCGATCTTACCTGATGAAGTGTCGGGAAGGACAGGGAGGTACGGAGCGGAAAGGCTTGGGGGAAGGGAAAGAGGCAGGTTTGCCGAGGGAAACTCCGCCGTAAGGCTGACGTAATCCTCATTTCCCCTCCCACGTGCCGTCACCCCTCATCGATACTGATCATGCTGATGTCGAGAGAGCTCTCGCAGACGAGGCATGCGAATAACACAGTCAGCAAAATACAGCATAGCACATGAAGGTACAGAGAATGGCGAATATATCTCATTTTCATTAGCTAGTAGCCGCCCCGTGGTATTCCATTGTTTCGTTCAAGCTCACGCTTGCCTTCGAATCCTCACTGCAGCCTCATTTCGTCAACCAACCACGAACAGCAGAGTTCTCCTGGTTACCCAGTTGCCTCTGTTTGATTCCAATCCTGGCTGTGTCGTCCCCTTACGTACCTGATATCTAAATGTGGACACAGCCCAATCATCCGTCTGTGTAAGTCAATATCACGCACACCACTCAGAATCCCCTCGATAAATGCCTTGGCCTCTGCCGATAACCCCCGCCTATGTTACGGTTTTCTGTTGAGTCAGGGGATCCATCTCCTCAGTGTTTTCATATTCCTCACGTCTCATGATGCTCTCGACGGGTCCGAGAAGTCGTTTGAATCCATCTCTTCCAAGTTTGGCCACCGTGACATTGTCCTTGGCCACTACGCTGGCGGCACGAGGCTTGTCATCTAACAAAGCCAGCTCACCAAAGTAACCACCACGGCCGTACTCTCTGACCGGATGATCTACTCCGTGCCTGTAAGCCACAGCATGTCCGGACTCTAGAAGATAGAAGGCGTCGCCCGGCTCTCCTTCGGTGATGATGTTTTGGCCTGGCTCATATTTGACCGTCTCCAGGGCGTCGGCGATTTTGGCTCTTTCGTAGGGTTTGAGAGATGAGAGGAGAGGCACTTCGCCCAGGAACCCTTCGTACATTTCTCGTTTCTGGAATGCATTGTTCATGAGAATCCGCCGGAAGGTGACGCGGTCCAACGCCCAGAGGAGGCCTCCTTTGGACGAGCTCACCACGGTCGCAGCTCGAGGAGCATTGTACATCAACGCCAGTTCACCAAAGCTGCCCCCAGGCCCGATCGTCGCCACCTTGTTCCCCATGCCATCTGGGCCTGCTTCGACCGCTCCGCTGGGGTTGATGTAGATGTCAAAATCTCCCGATTCAATGACGTAGAAGTAGTCACCCTCATCGCCTTGGGTGATAACTTTGATGTTGGGAGCAGGGATCGACTTCTCGACCAACGCGTCCAGGACCAGATTGAAGGATTCTTCGTCGAGGCTGGAGAACAAGAAATTGCCAGCTACCGCATGCCGGAGTCTCTCGTACTGCTCAGGCGTCTTGGGGTGTTTGGGTGGCTTCCAGCTGCCAGAGTCCGAGTCCGGTTGCATGGATTCGGCCGACACCGACGTCCTGCGTCCTGCGGCATAGTTGTTGGGCAACGACTGAGCTTGTGGTTCTGTCTCTTCTGATGCTTGATTGCCTAGCCAGTTGCCAAACAAGCCACCTCCGGCGGCGCCCCCAGCTGCGGCACCAAAGCCCGAGCCGCCAAAGGGCGACCGACCGGAATCACGAGCTTTGAAGGTGGCATCAGTGGGAGAGCCAAAGGTGTCACGTTCTTCATCCTCCTCTTGTATACTGTTCTTGGCGGCGAAAGGGCTGCGGTTGTCGAAAGGGCCAGCGGTGTCTGCCATCTTGCCGTTGGCGGTTGGAGTGGGCTTTCCCGCTCTGAATAAGGACCGCTCGAGTTCGAGCTTGCGACTGAAGTAATTGGCACAGTACTGGAGAGGGTCGTCGGGTTTGGCTTGTGTCAAGTCCTTGATCAGAGCATCAACGATAGCTTGGTGAGGAGCAGGAAGAGACATGGATATGTGCGGCGAGGTTTGAGGATGTGGGGAGGGGGAGGACGTTTGTTTGGGTCCGGGTATTGAGACCCCAGGGACGCCTGCTACTTGTCGTTGGCTTAAGCTTGGGTTAGGATGGGTACCCCTTCTCCTGTGGACTGACTCAACTGGACTTCGTGTGGTGCTTAGAAGGATACTGAACGACCCTCTTTTGGGCAGGGAGGGTGGCCTGTCACCGATGTGGTCCGTGAAACCGTGGGCCACTGACCTGACGGATTGCAGGACCGTTGGGTTTGCGACAAGCAGGGGGAGAAACAGGAGTGAGAATGGGCAAGGGCGTGATGCCTATCTCAGGCAACGAAGCGGGCGTATGATGTCCACTGGCAACAGCGAGTTGCACTGGATTGCTACGGCGGTGGAGCGGACCAGACCACGAGAGGGAGCGGTAGGCTCGTTCGAGATTGTGAGGAAGTGAGAGCAAGTGGGGCAATGAGCAACTCTGAGTCGCAGATGACGCAGTGGAGGGGTAGCCGAGGACCACTTTGGTTCGAAGGGGTCAGAGAGCGGCCAGAGATTGGAGATTGGATAGCACACGATCAAGTGGGCAGGCGAGAAGACGAAAGCCTGGGGGATGGATATAAAAGGAAGAAAGAAGGTCAGCCGGGAAGACAGACGAGATGGGGGGGATGATATGGGTTGGTGAAGTCTATTTCCCAAGCTGTGCACTGCAGTGCAGGCAGTGGCTTTCTCAAACGTCTGCTCGATCGAACAAACAGCTCCTCCAGCACATATGTCATGTAGCTCAATGGAAGAAGAAAAACTGGGCAAGAATAACCCAACCACAAGATCTGGTAGAGCCAGCTGCCAGCAGCCAGCAAGGGGCAGCTCCCTCCTTCTCCTCTCCTTGCCCGTGTGCAGCAATTCTAGTTGCAAACCCCTCTCCTTCATTTGCATTCAAAGCTCCAGCAGCTCCCTCCTCCGACCAGTAGCAATCCCAGGAGCTCGGTAGGCGATGTCATAGCTACAGCTTTTGCATTAACTAGGCGGTCAACGGCGAGCCGAACCAGGCACTGATTGGCCCTCCAGGCTATGTTTCTGCAGCCACCGGATGACCTGGGAGACTGCTTCCTGCCTCGTGCAATGAAGTTCTTCGGGTCCAAGGACGCAGCGTAAGCACACGGCACAGGAGGCACCCAGGAGGTGTAAGAAGGGGAGGGCCCAAAGTGGTTACCCATACGCCTCAGGGAAGTAAGTGGCTGCATGTTCCCGGCTACACTGGACGAGCGCCCACAGCTTCCACAGCTTCGAGAATCCTTCTGGTGCTTCCAGAACACGAGGAGAAGACCTTCCCAGCCAGTAGTTAATGAGCAAAACCGTGCAGCCCGCATCAACACATTTGGATTAGCCATTATGGAACACAAAAGGCTCCGTCCTCTCCGAATACAAACACAACGGAAGGGGATATCTACAAGACAAACAAGTTCCAAATCAACACGAATCCGCGGTTCAAACCCCAACGGGTGCGCCGACCCGTTCGCAATGCATGCATTCCCAATTGCTCCTGCACAAATCCTACACCCACACCCAGCCCCCTTCCTCCACGTCTGCCCTGCACGTTCGCTTGTAGTATCACTCCTCGGCCTTTTCCTGGTCTGTATGACATCCCGTCGCTCTCTTTGGCATCTAGTCAAAGATCTTCTTGAAGAATGAGCTGACTCGGTGTTTCTTCTTCTTCTCTTTGGTCGCCGAGGATGATGGGGTAGTGGTTGGTGTGGTCTCTGTTTTCTTGGTCGGCGTCGAGGTCGCGCTCGTAGGTGCAGCGGGTGCAGCTGCTTTGGTTTCCTCCTTCTTGGATTCTGGTGCCGCCGTCGTGGGCGCGGTGGCCGTTGGGGGTTCGGTCGCGGGGGCCGCTGGTTTTTCGGCCGCTTCAGCTTCATTCTTGTTCATCATTTGTACGGCAGGCTCGTCGGCAAGAGTAGGATCTTCTGCACCGTCAGAGATCGCCGCCGCTGCAGACCCCGACACTCCAGGAGCAGCACCCGGCGCATGCGGTGGAGCGTATTCAGTGGTGTCACCCTCCGTCTTCTCTGGCTCCACCTTATGTGTTGGAGCTTCTGTGGGCTCGATCGTTCCATCTGCACCGTCAGCCAAAGCGGCCGCGGCCGCGGGGGATGTCCCAGGCGCAGGACCACCAGATGGAACAGCAGTGGGTGACGGTGCAGTCTCAGTTGTGGCAGCTGCGATTGTCGGCGCGGGCTCTCCAGCTTCCTCAGCCTCCGGCACTTTCTTTACCAACTCCTCTTCCACCTCCGCCTTTTCTTTGACAGCTTCGGCAGAAGCGGTGGCCTCGGGATCAGTATGTGCCGCTGCAATCGATTCCTTGACCACCTCAGGTACCGTAGATGTGATGGCTTGCGCAGGATCGACCTCGGTTGCCGGCTTGCTTTCTTCCAAAGGCACTTTCCCCGCCAGTTCGGCCGTGGTCGACGTAGCGCCAGCTGAACTGATGAAAGGACCTGCGTCGAGTGAAGTTCCGGCGCCCTCGCCCATGGGTAGAGAAGACTCTGGAATCAAGTTCTCCTTTGTGGCTACGGCGCCACCAAGACCCAACGCGGCAAGCGCTCCTCCAATGATTGGAATGCTCGAGCCCGCATTTTCATAGTCGTCTTTCGAGGTGGTCACGGCGGAATGGGTGGTATTTGCCGTGACTTCGCTGGGAGGAGGGACCTTTTCGCCTGCAGGAAGGTCGACGGGATTGCCTGCGCCACTGGTAGGCGGCAAGGGACTGACGCCGTACGAGTCTGGCTCTTTGGCTGGAGTCTCCGGGAACGTGCCGGGAACACTGCTTCCAGTGGTCACTTGGTTGAGGTGGGAATCAGATGCAGGTGTGACTAGAAGGGTTAATGTTAGGGTTGCGATGGTATGGTTTGGCTTCCCACTCACCTTCGGTGGCCTCTGCTTTCGGCTCTAATGGCACCTGGCCAGCCAAGGCTGCAGTGGTGCTCTCGGGAGCTACGCTGGACGTGGTCACAGCTTCGGGCACCATGGACGCCTTGGGCTTGATCTGTTCGGGGAGGAGCACGTTGTTGACGTTCCCACGGCCATCGTCCTCTTGCGGCGCCTCGGGATCGATGATCCACTGGTCGTTGACGACGAACTTGTAAAAGATTTTCTTGTCGGTGGGCAAATCCACCTCTTTCTCCCAGATGTCTCCAACTTTGTCTAATTGGACACTCTTTCCCCAGTCATCGAAGGTGCCCGTAACGTGGACGTCGTTGGCCTCGGGATGGGGCCTATGAAACTGTGTCAGCGAACTGGTGGGAACTTGGCGCCGGTCTTAGGGTATGACAGAGGCGGTGACAAAATAGTGTGTAGCAATGCGCCGCGACTCACCATTTGAATACGAAGCTCCCCATGACAGGCGATCCAGGTGAGGGCACTGAGAAGACTGGATAGGGTTGGTAAAAGGTGAAAATGGCTCAATGGCGCAATAGGCAGACGGCGCACAGCTTTGGGAAAAGCTTGACGTGGGCGGGCTCTGATTGAGTGAAGGGGGCAGATGGTACAATAACACAGCTGTCCAAAGAGCTAGGTGATATCCGGGGTATCAATGCGAAAGTTTGCCAAAAGGACACGACGCAGAACGCAAGATGTGAACAATCTGGTGATGGGAGAAGTAGGCGGCGGGGGATTGCGAAAACGAACTGTTGATATTGGTTCCTGGCACGGAGGACGGAGGCGAAGTCGTTGAGCGGCAGCTATCACATAATATGATGCAGTCGGTGGAGTCCGACTGCCCAGGTGCCTAGGCGCCTCCTTTGGTGGTAAGCCTGGGAGGCTGGGGGCAGCCCACTAGTCTTAGCTTGGACGCCTACAAGCCCTCGGTGGGGGATCCAATTTGATTGAAGCTCCTCACCGTTGATCCAGGGGGGCTGGTCACGTTCACACCCGAGGCTGCGCCAACTCACAGAAGTAATTACTTGCTTTCCTCGACGACACAGAGCTGACCGCTCCCTTGTCTAAAGTCACTCTTGCTCCCTCGGCCAACAGATACACACACTGCCCCAGCAGCAGCTCGGTCGCACGACCCCATGACAACGTTCTCGTGTCCTTCACTGCCGCCGTACCACCTGAGGAGAAGCTAAGTGGACAGTTTGCAAACTGTTTCGCCGCCTAGCCGACACTCAAAATACTGTCCTCGGCCGTCGTCGTTAATACCTCTGCTGCAGTGACCACCCCGGGCACAGAGGACAGATAACGGTGGTGCTTTGACGTTGTCTTAGCGGCGCAGATCTGATCATAATCCAAGGTCCACAGTCCGAACTGGACCTTGCCTGCCTGAAGACGCCAAATGCTCAAAATTCCGGGAAGCACTGTGGGGATTGCTTGGTCGCGTTTCTTTGGCCGGCAGCTCCAACAGCCTGTCTCCCAGCATTGTACCACTGTTGCCACCACTGCGTCTCAAGGAGACAAACATGCAGGAGCGGTAAACGCACACTAGCTGAATCCAATATCTATTCGAAGAGGAATGTTGTAAACGATGCCCAGACCAAGATCGGCAACTTTTCAAAGTTTCGAAGATGAGGTGCTAGTGCGTGGTAAGGTGCAAGTGCCGTTAAAGACATGAACATCTCCACGAATTGCCGCTCATGGTAGGGAGTCTTCTTCTCAGACACGCCGTCGCTCTCGGATTTGTTCGAATCAACCATCACACTGACATGGAGCATAGCACCAACAGATCCAGAAAAGAAGAAAAAGGTTGGATGATCTACCTATAAGTTGAATAACCAGCCTGAGTTTTGATTGGCCCTTGGCCCGGGCTGAGCAAGTCACAGTTCCTTGACCAGCAAATTCAGTGTCCTTTGGATGAAGATCTCAATGTCTCTCCTGTTGATCTGACGGTGCTGGTCATATACAAACACCTCATCGTTGTCACCACGATGTACAGCGAAGGCAGGTAGGCGTGTCGAGTCCACACCAAGCGGCTCGAGCAAAAAGGACAGCTGGGTTGTGTCGAGAGTAACAAAGTTGATTTTGCCTTTGTATGTGAGAGCAACTTGTTTCAGTGATTCGGCGATGGCCTTCCTCTCCTTGTCGGTCTCGGCCAGGATAAAAGCGAGGGGCAAACCAGACTGGGATGTCAGTCAGCAGCGAAACACACGAGAAAAGTGAATGGCATCTGGCACCTGAGTGTGCTCAATATAAGACTGCAAGTCCAGCCTGCCGACTACCGGCGTCGAGGCTTTTTCTGCGAATTTGAGGATACGTCCCGTTTCAAGCTTGCCGTGATATACTGGCTTTACTTCGTCGAGGGAATTCCAGACAACCACAAAAGGTGGCTGGGCGTCCACTTCTTCAGCCAAGGTCAGGTCAGTGGTGGTCGCCACCAAAAACCTGTCGTGAAGCTTATCGGCCACCTGGGTTATCACAGTCGACATTTGGGAGGTCTCATCTTCAGACTCCGTAAACAGAAGCACCGGGATATCCAACGACTTCAACGTATCGAAGATTGGCCTACTAGGTTGGGAAAAGACTGGCACCATAGTCTTGAGTACTTTGGTTACAATGCTGGACTGGTTAGCCGTTGTGGAGTCACCAACAAAGCGACACTCACGAGGAAGCCTGGAATTGCCCTCGATATCGAATCTGTTCTGGGCCATGAAAGAGTCGAATGGTGGGAAAGGAAGTAACCCCATAAGAAATACAAGCATCCAATACACCTTCACAATTTATAGCCAGCAATTGAGCGGACGGCCATGGCTGTAGTACCTCATGGGCCTTTTCCAGCTCAGGAGCCAGCATCTTGCATGGTTCACTGGGAAATGATCAGTCTACGGATCAGAAGGTCAAACTTCGTTCCGTTCAACGTACTGCCACGGCTACGTTCATGGGAACGTGAGTTAGGTAGGATCAGGGCTGAATGGGAAAAGAGTCGACGCACCAGGCAAACTGGGGTTCCAGCTCGTTATTAGCGACAAGAAATGCTTTGAATGTTCTATAACTCACAGGCAGCAATGATCATGTCCTCTTTGCTCGACGATGCTGACAAAAGGGCTTTGAGTGTTGTCGGATCACTATACTGAAGCTCAGCCTTGCAGGCGTGCATGAAGCAGCAGAGTGCGACACATATTATAAAGAGCATCTGGGCTTCCATCTTGAAGGTAGATATCGAATCTAACGCCACATGGCCCATGTAGTGATATTCTCTCTTTGCGAGAAGTCGACAGGTAACGGCTCTGTAGGATGAAAGCAGCAGGCGGAAGAGCAGCCAGTCGGCGCATTTACCGAGAGCACGATGAGATGCTGCATGTACAGCATCGAGCGCTACCGCAGCCAACATAGACCAACACCTTCTTTCCACTCTATACAAATGTTTTTAGAAGCTCTCTGCAGGCTGAGCTAGTCTCTTGGATACTCATTGTGATGCGAATATGACACCAGCTGGGAAGTTGTCTCTTGTACTAATACCTGCTCTAGCGGTCGTTCTCGGTGTCGCCCACTTGTATCTTGACTGGAACTTCCTGCTTTTCAAGCAAAGCAACGACGGACCCCATGCCAAGGGACCGAAGACCTACCTGCTATCAGAGGATCCCTTAGTGGTGTACATACAAGACTTCATCACGCCCCAAGAGGCAACCCATCTGGTCCAGCTCGCGTAAGTGCAGCCCGGCTGCGATCCCAACATATCAGGACTTTTAAGAACTCTTGTATGATAGCGAGCCCCGATTCAAGCCCTCCGTACTTTGGACGGATAAAGGCAAAGTCCACAGAGACTCGGCCTACCGATCCTCCATGACGGCCAAGCTGCCCCGGGACAAGACCGTTCAACAGATCGAGGATCGCGCACGGAGCTTCCCTTTCTACGAGGCTGTTGGCGACTTCCAGCCCCTGGTGGTGCAGAACTACGGCATAGCAGGACAGTATCGCGACCATTATGACTGGTACGGCGACGCCAGCGCGGTCGGCGGCAATGTGGTCTCGACTTTCTTCGTGTATATCCACGCAAATTGTACCGGAGGAGGGACAAACTTCCCACGACTGCCGCCGCCGCCGGAGGAGGAAGAGTGGTGGTGCCAGTTCATCGATTGTGACCGGCCCATCGATGACGGCGTCACCTTCAAGCCGATCCAAGGGAATGCCGTATACTGGAACAATCTCCGTGGCGACGGCAGGGGGAACCCGCAAACCTTGCACGCAGGAATGCCTGTGACTTCGGGGAACAAGATGGGGTTGAACATGTGGACGTGGCAGTCCGTTTGAGTGTTCTCACATGTTAGTTCTGAGCATAAGAGAAGTCAAGATCTGAGAATTGAATAGGGCCAAAAGTAGGCCAGTGCGATGCATGTTTACATGTCTGGAACTAGTGCAACAGTCTGAGGGATGTATTAATATATCAAACTGGATCAAGTCCCCAAACGATGTTAATTACCCTACGACCAGACCGGGTAAATTGGATGGGGAGCACTACCATGAATGGCCTTGCTCGAAGAGGGAGATGTCGGGAAGCGAGTTGAAAATGTAGAGGTTGGAAGTCAAGGATTACTCGTAGATGGTTGTTCGAGAATCACACGTTACGGTTCAACCATTCAGGGAAGAGATGAAGTCACTGGCCCGTTTGAGTTGCTTGGACCAAAGATCCACGATGCATTTCAAATATCCCCGCAACCTTGAGTACACAATCGCACCCCTCGTTTTATGGACAAACATTCACACCAGCTGTCGTTGCCCGCCGCCCTGAGACTGCGTGCGCTGATACTAACAGCAACTCAGCCAAATCGAGAAATTAGACGACATCACAATGCGCCTCGTCAAGCGAAATATCAACAGCGATGGGAGTGGGAGTGTCACATTGTGCCCTGAAGAGCCTGAAGACATGGTACCTCCACCACCTTCTCTGCTCCCCCCGTCGCGCTCATTCTGAAATTTCCATTAGTGGCATGCTTATAACCTCATTCGACCTACAGACCTCCTCACTGCCTCTGCCATACGGCGAGTGACCACCGAATCCTCGTCCACGGGTTCTACGTCATCTCAACGAGTTCACACCAACCTCACGATACGGGTCAAGTCCTTGGATTTTGACCCCCAGGCTGGGCAACTGCATGTGTCCGGCCAGATCGCCAGGGAGAATAGATATACAAAGCTAGGCCAATTTCACACACTTGACCTTGAGCTGCAGCGCAACTTCACCCTCGAAAAGGAAGTCGAAGGCAGTGATGGTTCAGAGGGTTGGGACAGCGTCGCCCGTGCGCAGCTGGAAGAGGCTATAGACCCTTCGAGGGGCACTGAAGCGGTCGCGGTCGTCATGCAGGAAGGGCTGGCCAACATCTGCTTCCTGACACAATTCCAGACTGTCTTGAGGCAGAGGGTCGAAGTCTCGGTCCCGCGGAAGCGGACAGGCGCTGGGAGATCCGCCGACCATGACAAAGGCTTGATGAAATTCTACAGTACCGTGCTGGACACGCTACTCAGACAGCTTCAGGGCTTGATGGAGCACAAAGACAGCAGCGCGAGTTTCCCGATATTGCTCGCGAGTCCTGGCTTCACGGCCGCCGGCTTCCTGAAACACATCAACGAGACCGCCGTTGCAAAAGGGGACAAAATGCTACAAGACTTGGTGAGGCGGAACGCTTTTATTGTGGTCCACAGCAGCTCCGGTCACCTCCACAGTCTCAATGAGGTCCTCAAAAGCCCAGAGGTGCTCGTGAGGTTGAAGAATACAAAATATGCCCGGGAGACGGCACTCATGGACGAGTTCTATACACTCCTACGCAAGGACGATGGCCGGGCATGGTACGGGCCGAAAGAGGGAGAGACATGCGTAGAGAAGGGCGCTGTTGGCCGAGGGGGAGGAGTTCTTTTGATCAGCAACGCCTTGTTTCGCAGCCAGGACGTAGCCACGAGGCGAAGATGGGTCAAACTTGTCGATCGGGTGAGGGAGGTAGAGGGCGGTGAAGTCAGAGTCCTGAGCAGTGACCATGAGAGTGGGAGACGACTGGAGGGCCTAGGAGGCATTGCCGCCATCCTGACATTTCCCATCGAAGACATAGATTCAGAGGACGAGGACGCGGACGAGGGCTCTGAGCAGGCTGAGCATGGCCGGGAAGAATGATAGATTGTTCAGCAGGCAAGCCCAGAGATCCTTCGGGTCTGTCGCAAGACAAGGAAGGTCTACCGGCCGCAGGCGGAAATGTTTCCGCCGTGCCCTAAAGTGACGTGCATCTCGTCTATTTGTTTAGCCCAAGCCATCGCGTCAATGTACCAGGGTTGTTTTTCTGTGCGAACTGCATCTTGTGTTCGGCCGGTTCCCTTCCCTTCTATCTTACCCTCGCCCACGATGCCGCGGCCCGCGAAGCCTCCGATGACTCTGAAGGAGGCCAAGCGGGCTTACAAGAAAGAGGGAGGCTTCCGATACACTGCGTCGCAAATGGCACGCGCCGACAGGTTGGACGCACATGAAGAGAAGCGCAAGAAAGAGTTAGAGAAAGAGAAGCAACGCGTGGAGAACAAACGCAAGCGGGAAGAGAAGCTGGAGAGGGAGCGAAATGTCAGACAGAAGATGTTGGAGGAGGGTCGCATCAGTGTCGAGGAGACTTGGGGGAAGGTGACCGCGAGTCAACCCCGACTGAACAAATTCTTTGGACAGAAGCCTGCACTTCTGTCGTCGAAGGGGGCGGTGAGAGCTCAACCGATAGTGGAGGAAGAAGACATGCCGGTAGCAGACCCCACCGCTGAGGGCCAAGGAGAGAAAACTTGTGCTGGTGAGGACGACGGCCTTTCACAGAAAGGACTTGCAGATGCCGCAGCTGTCCAAGGTCCAACAGCACCGACGAGCCTTTCTTCAGTCCCCACTTCAACCGCCGGCCTTGGTCAACAAGAAAAAAACCATGACTCAACAGTCCCCATTTCTCCGAGACAGATGTCGTCTAATCCAGCATTATCACCAGGGCTTAGAGAGCTGAGACCTTCGGAGATCAATTCTCGTCGGCTGGTCGCATGTCAGCCTCCGAATGAAGGCAAGATCGGATCACCACAGAGGTGTATAGGGAAATCATGGCCAAACCCCAAACCCCCAGAGACAAAGGCAACTGCAAGTGTCGTGCAGCGGCGTTTTGAAGGCATACTGCTTCCAAAGGACAAACTCGGCAGCATAAGCTGCGAAAGCAGCCAAGGGAATCAGGAAGCCGAGTCAGCCAAAGGCGGTCTTGATACGTCAAGCATGTATCTGGATGAAGATTTCACTGATGGTATAGATGACGAGACTTTTCTCATGCTATGCGCCACACAAAAGTCTCTTCCAGATGAGCCGTTAACACGAGAGAATTCGCCGGCTACGGCCTCGCTCGGTGGGACGCCGGTGCCTGATTCCCCGAGACATAAAGCAAGCCCTAGTCCGGCGAGAACGATTCTGGCCCAAGAGTCCAGAACGCCGCTGTCGAAGGGTCTTTCGGAAAGCTTCAACTCAGTGTTCAATGAAATCGAGGACGATGATTTGATTGCCCTTGCCCAGGAAGTGGAGGCCGAAATGGCCACGCCGATCCCAACACCCACAATACCATTAATAGCAAGAAATATGGCTTCGATGGCTCCGCCTCCACCTCCAAGGTCCAAGGCCCTGTCGCCGCTGGCCGCACAGAATAAGATGCAAAAGCCAGAGCTGCCACGATCGAGGTTGAAGGAAAAGAGGAGACTTCCATGGAACCTTCCCAGGGATGATTTCATTGACCTCGGTCCGTCGACGCAAGCTTTAACGTTGGAACTCCTGGAGCAGGCTGAAGCGAACATGAGATGAAGAAGCGAGGAACAAGACATTCGCAGATTCCAGCGCGGATCTAATGACTTCACAGAACGGTGGGGTGCCTGCAAGGCTATATTGTTCACGACCAAGACGACGTGTTATCCGGCTCCATGGGGGATTAGGTTGGCTTTGCACAATGTGGCGACGATACCCGACGCCATTAGAGATGACAGCATTGAGCACGACACGACGGCGTCGGATATTTGACTTGAGATGGATCAAGGCTGCATTACACTGGAAATGACATTGTGGGATATTGCATAGCGAGGTCACTGATCCAGTGACTATGACGTTTGGGGATTTGGATAACTGCATCAGCGCGGGTTGGATACGAGCATTTCAATGGGTCGGTTGGGCAGAACCAGGACTAATTTTTGACTTTGTTCTCTATGTGTTGGATATGATACCCGGCGAGGATATGAGCTGGCGCGGACATGTTGCATTTATTCTTGGGCAGCGGAAGCAAGCAAGCAAACAATGAAGTGCTTACCGCAGGGCTTTCGTGGCGGGCGAGCGAGCGAGCGAGCACCAGGACCAGGACCCGGAGTGGGTGTACTGTAGATACATACATACAGTCAGTAAATGCATCAGATTGAGACCCCTAAACCTCATTGACAGACAGACAGACAGACTGTGCCCGGCTCGTTTCTCCCTCGGTATGGAACTGTTACCTTGATACTCTCTTTCTTTAATCTCCTTTCAACCAACCAGCCAACCAGCCAACCAATCCGAGTCCTTTTCACAGGAGCTACCACGTACCTCGTAGATAGATGGATAGATATATGGATATAGACTGTGTGTTTGTTTCGTTTGTCATTTGGCGCCTGTACTCGTGCCGTACCATGAAATACTGTAGATATATCAAGACATTAATCAGCGTACATAAACGGTCAATTATTTCCAAGCATAATAGGCTCCCAAACTAATAGGACCACCAGGTAGGTAACATGTAACATATCCGCCTCTCCCAAAATGACCGCCTGGGTGCCGGTCTACAGTAGTAATAATCGTAATAATACCCATGATCCATCCGTCCTTTTCCCATCAGCCAGTTTTTCATAGTCGGTTCGTTGCAGAAAGAAAGAAAGAAAGATGAAAACAAAACGGCTCCCTTGATTTTTTTTTCTAACCCTCGCACACAATTCAAATATGTGCATGCATGGAACCCACGAATGGCCGCGCCGAGTTCAGAAAAACAGAGAAACTCAGACTTGCATCTCGCTCTTTTCCCGTCCCAGGTCCTGCTCTTCATCCCCCAACCCCTCTTTGATGACTGTCGTCTTGCTCCATCCCCGGATCTTGTGGCCCCAAATGTAGAAGATGACGGGGATGGGAATCATGACCGCGGCGAGGCAGCCCAGTAAGGTCCCGGCCCACTGGATGCCGAGATTGTTAAACATCTGGTCGGCGAACAGGGGGAAGCCGGCACCGAAGAACGATCGGAGCAGGGAATTGGCGGCGATGGCCGAGGCGGCGAACATCAAATACGTGTCGATGATGTAGTTGAAGCATTGCAGGAAGATGCACAGAATACCGAAGCCGGTCACCACGCCCGACGCTGTGGGCGCGAGCCAGTGGATGGATTTGTTCCAGCCCGTCCAGCCGAGCCAGAAGAGACCGACGGAGAAGGCGATGGCGCCGATGATGACGGGCGGGAGTCGCCATTCCGGAATCTGCACGCCGTGGTTGCGGGCGAGCTTCTTCTTGTACGCGACCTGGTCGATCATGATGTAGATGCCGCCGCAGACTTGGCCGATGATCAAGCCGATAAAGGGCAGGCCGCCCACACCTTCGTTCATGCCGTGCACGCCCTGGAAGATGATCGGGTAGGCGCCCAAGAACAGGTAGATGAGGCCGTAGATGAAGGACATGTACAGGGTAATCAGGAAGATGATGGGTTCGGTGAACAACATCCGGATGGGTCGCATGAAGTTCTCGTCCACGAGCTCCAGAAAGTCCACCTCGACCTCCTCTTGTTTCGCGTGGATGGCGAAGTTCTTGGTCTCGCGTCGGACCCGCCCGGCTTTCGCGACAAGGACCGCAGGTGCGTACGTTTCCTTGGTGAACAAGACGAGGAAGGTGGATAGGAAGCCCATGATGGAGGCGATGTACATGGTCCAGCGCCAGCGCAGGTGGCTGTCTGCGATGAAGCCGCCGACAATGGGTGAGGAGAAGGGCCCACAGAAAACGGCCATGGCGAACGCGGTGATGGCGATCCCGCGCTGGCTGTCGTCGTACATGTCGGCGAAGCAGGCGGGGACAATCGCCAGCGGACACGCGGCGAAGAAGCCACTGAAGAAGCGTGCGAGCATCAGTGTCTGGTAGTCCTTGGCCACGGCTGCTGCGACGGCAAAGACACCGAAGCCGAACATGGCCACCACGAGGGGCTTTTTGCGGCCCATCAACTCAGAACCGGGGCCCCAGAGGATGGGGCCGAACGCAAAGCCCAGCACATATAGCGTGATACCGAGGACGCCGACCTCGGTCGAGACGTGGAACTCGTGGGATACTTGGTGGATGGTAGAGGAGAAGATGGCGCTGGCGAAGGACGCCACGAAGGTGATGAAGGAGAAAATGATGGACGTTCTGACTCTGTAGGCGCGTGTCAGTGACCACAAGGGGCTCAATGTTTTAGAAAGAGACGTACTTATACCAGAAGGGCCAGTTCTGGGGGTGTTCGGGGTCATCTACACCGTCGAATTCGACGACGTACCCTTCCGTTTCGTCTTTGGGTGGTAGAGGCTTGCCAGCTCCCAATGTCTGCACCGTGGCTGTTGTTCGTTTTCGTGCAATAGTCGACGGCCGACTGCCTACGGTGAGAAGATGCTGTGTCCGCGATCGAGCGATGCGATCGAGCTCCACAGGATGGAGCGTGCGTTGGGTGGCATTCTGCTCGTCTTGTCAGCCACTTCGACATCCTCGAAGCCAAGTTTTGGGCAGACATACCGTGTAAGTGTGGGTGACATGACGGGAAATAGGTGAAGAAGAAACGTCTGATCGAGACCAGTCTCTCTCGATATCTGGTCCATGGGTGGCAATGTACGACAAGGTGTCGGGTCGATTGTCATTGGCGTCGACCTCTGCACGGATGATGTCTCTGCTCAAGGGATCCATAGCGTAGACTCTATTACGGCTTGTTGGGTCTCGTCTGGCGTCTGTGTCGATCCTGAAGGTGAACTCGGGCCTTCTCTCCCTGCCTTGATATATCCAGTGCTTCGATATCGTGGTCCATCTTGCCCGGATGCCCGGCCAGATCCTGGCTTTGTCTTTGCGGTCTTTTGAGCCAGATCCGCTCGAGATGCACCTATCATCGTGTCGGGAATTGATGAGTGAGGATGGAATTCGTTCCAGGGGCTCTGGGGTCGTTCGTATCCTCTCTCGAGCGAGCGAATGGGCGTCGTGCACCGCTCGTCACAGATCCGTGAACCGAATGGGTGAACATACAACCCTCTCAGAGGCGGAATAAACGATCGTTCCAGGGGCCGACGCGAGCTGCATTGTGATGACTGTCCCGCCCTTGCCAAAAGAAGCCAAGTATGAGCGGCTGCTTGTCGCTTCAGGCATGAAACACGCAGTGGAGGTCGACGTCATTCAGCGCGGACTGCGGAATCGGCTGTGGAATTCGGCCAGCGGTAGGATGCGGCAACGCGAGATGCCTGCCACAAGCTCGTCCTGGGCATTGTATCGAGACCTAGAGCGTTGTTGGAAGTGCCGCATTGTGTACTCATTGGCTCGAGTGAATCTGGATGTTGGTGTAGTCATGTAGTCATCCAGTTGTCATCCAAGAGCTGAGGCCGGAGAGCAACAACTTGGGGACATATTGACGCAGTTTGTGGGCGCAGTTGTGGGTCACGGGTCACAATAACCAATGCTGGCTGCAAACTGCGACTCTCACCGTCTGTCTCTCTTCTCTCCTCTCCACCACTACTCGGGACAACCACACCAGCCACCACACTGCTGGTGACCTACTACTGGTGCTGCTGCCTTCTTGATTACATACTACTCCTCCTCCTCAAAGACACGGACGGCATCAGTGATTCGAGGCCGTAATGCAAACATCTTACCTAACACGGTGCCCGCACTGTCGAATCAACGACGCCAAATGTCCATCAAAGCTATCTTCTATAGCAAGTTCGATCCTCACGAAGGCACGCAGCCCCTGAGTCTCCTTGTCCATCACTGATGCCCAAGTTTGACACGTGTATAGGTCCCAAGATCGTGCATCAAGTGCCTGAGGACTCGATCCTGACCACGAGCGAACTGTCCGCAGCGTCCAATGGCACGGCCACCACCTCGCCCTCGAGTGCACCGCTGTTGTCATTTTCCACCATCTCGCGCTTCGTGATTCCTCGTCAGTCGCTCTGTGGGAATTTGATCTCCCTGTCGCCTCCGCCGCTCACGTCGAGCACGCCTCCCACACTCGTCCTGTCGTATCCCATATGTCTGACTTCCCCCCACTACCCGCGCAATGAGTTCATCTTCAATTTCGCCCTGGTCCTCGGTGAACCTGCGACGATCGACGTGCCTTCGTACAAATCCGTGGTGAAGAAATTGGCACACTTGATGCGCAGCCTGGAGGAACAGTCGCACTTCTTGAGTGATGATGCCGCATCCCCAAACTCGGGCAAGATATACAGCCTGTGCGAGATGCTGATGGAAGACCTGAATAACTACTGTGAATGTATGATCCCTATCGACGAGTTGAACACGTTGAACATCAAGCTGTTTCCCACCTTGCCGAACCCCGCCAGCGTCAAGCCCTGGCATGTCCCCCTGTTTACCGTGAGGATCGAGACCATGGTGGACGAGAACTGGGACTTGACCATGCTGCGAATTATCCCTTTTATCAACGGCGTAAATAGCGTGAAACGGATTGCGATTCTCGCCGACGCCGACCTTAAGCTCACCAAGAAGTGCGTCAAACACTTGCTCTATTACGGCTGTATCCTGCTGCTCGATATCTTTAGCTTCAATGCCATCTACGCTCCAACCGCCGAATTTGCCAACATGATTGCCAAGGACACCGAGATGCAAAAGGAATGCGCCAGATACGTCAACACGGCGTTTGCACCGGGCGCACAGGAGGAAGTCATCATTGACGGCGCCACCGAACGACGTACGAGTGGCCTGACGAATGCGACCCTTCAGGACGAGGAGATATGGCCCTTGACGGGAAAAGGCGACCCCGTCGACGGTGTCGGGATCGTCCAGCTCTTCGCCAATCTGCGACAAGGCCTCACTGTGCGAGAATGGTACGCCCAGAATGCCAACATGCTCGCGAACATCGACATGCGGCGGTTCGTGACGTTCGGAGTCATCAAGGGCTTCCTCTATCGGGTGCACCGGTATGCCATTCGCACGCACAAAGGGACGGTGTCCTACGGACCCTCAGACGGGGGTACGGCCCGATATGCCCATCTGACTCGGAGCATGTCCAGCGAACGACATTTCGCCGAAGAGTCTTCGCCACGGACGAGACACAAACAGCACAAGCACTCTCGCAGTGTCGGGAAAATCCATACAGAGTATCAGACCCTGAATGCCAGAATAGTGGAATTTCTCGACGGCACACACTGTTTCGATGAGATTTGTACGGATCTGGGGATCAGCGAAAAAGATCTTACGGAGAGGTTGAAGAGTCGCGAAATGGGCGAGGTCACCATTATTTGCAGGTGAAGGACTCTCACAATCGTTCATCGTGACCTGTCTCGTACTCTCAGCCGAGTTGTCTCTATGCTGGGCGAGAGACAATGACTTCAGCCGGTGACTCCGGGCTACCACGCCGCTGAGGCGTCTGGGTTCTTCCATCGTTGAGTACTGTCATGCCCTTCAGACTACCCCGGAGTACGGGGCCGTCTGGGTTGTCCACAGATTGCCAGACATGAAGCTTATCCGGACCTGTTCAGACCTCGCTCTAAACAAGCATTTTACGGACGAAACGATCAGCGGCTATGCCGAAGGATGCACTGGCGAGTTTCGATCGAGCATCTCACTCATCCTGTGATCGACACGCAAATTTGGATCTTGGCTGACCCTCCGTGCACCGGTCCCGTAGCGCTTACGAGGTCCATAAGTCGAGACTCGGCATATGGCAGGCAACTCGACCCATAAGGATCGAGCAGGATTCTGTGGAGAAGAGGAGCGGTCCGGATGGCTCGCCCCTGATTTGGCCATTCCCAACCACATCGGACCTTCCTCTTCTATACGATTACACTTGGGCTTGACGTTCCTTGTCCCCGGACTGGGTTCCACAAAGCTCGAACTGCGGTGGTGGCTTGCACAGTTTCAACATATCACAAGGAGGGCTCTGGACTAGCCTGTAAAGGATGTCCTACATGCAGGCCATGCTATGCCCCGCTGTTGCATTGCCTTGCTGGAATCCCTGGTGGTCGGCAACGTCATCCTCGTTGTGTGTCGAGTCACTTTTCGTAGGGAGGCGATAGGGGGTGCCATTCGATTGCAAGGTGACAGTTGCATTCAAGCGTGTGTTGGAATGTGACCAAAGGCTGTCCAGAAGAGACCAATCATGAGTCTATGTATGATTGTGTCTATCAAGCTTTCAGAACATGAATGCTCAGCCCCCTTCGTCTGCTCAAAGTGCCGCCGACCTCTCCCTGTCGGCACCCACCAGCTTCCAGTATTTGGTGGCGCTGCTCACGCGGAATTTCTTGCCGTACACGATCATGAAGAAGAAAACAGACGAGGCTGCCATGCCGATGAAGGCGGCGGAGATGAAGCAGTTCTGATAGCCCAAGTTGGTCAACCAGGGCGTGATCCTGCAGTCGGTCAGTTATGTGCTCTCATTGCAAGGGCAGGGGACACTTACCCGTAGCTGATGGCGAAGGACATGGTGTTCCGCACCAGGATCACGGTCACGATGGCGTCGCCGCTGATGTCGTGATAGCTGTCGATCATGTACTGCCAACGGACGTCAGTCTCCCATCTCAACAATGTTGATCTCCTCACGGAATGAGTGGCACTTAAATACTTACGTTGACACTGAGGGTGACTCCAAATGTGGTAGCCAACGCCAATGCACCCATCGCGAAGATCAAGCCGAACCAATGAACCCCATGCGCGGCGCCAACTCCCCACAGGATCAAGCTTCCTGGAACGATCAGGACACAGAGGATGAAGGGCCACAGACGCTGCTCAGCCTCCATGATACCGTTGTTTCGACGGGCGAGCTTGATCGTCAGCCAGTCACTGAACCTTCCAGAGACGAGACAGCCGATGATGACGCCGATGGTGCACGACAGATACGACAGGCCGACCATCGAGGGCCTGAAGTTGTAGGGCGGCCCACCCAGGATGATCGAGGCCGTGGCGTTGAGCACGTTGAACCAGATCAGGTACGAACCGTACGAGAAGCCCGCGTAGAAGATGACCGGCCAGGTCAGGTAGGTCAAGCTGCGGTACGCGCGCTGGAACATGGGCTGGCCGGGTTGCGGGTTCCAGAGCGACAGTTTCTGGACAAACGTCTTCGGTGGGCCGTACTCGGTGGCGGACGGGGCGGTTGAAAGAACGGTCGTGGGGAGCTTCTCCTTGCTCGCGGCGTCCATCGCGGCAGCCGGCTCTGGCGGCGGGGTGTCGACCTCGACGATGAGCCCGGCGGTCTTGCGCGTGTAGTTGGTCTCCTCCATGAAGAAGAACAGGAAGAGGAAGACAAACGCCAGGAAGATGGCCGGCCAGTAGAACACCCACCTCCAGCCCTGGCCATCGGCGATGAAGCCGCAGAGGACAGGGGTGAAGTAGTTGCTGCCGGCGAGGGTGAAGGCGTAGATGCCCATGTATGTGCCCCGCTGGTGGGTGAAGTACTGTACGAGATGGTCAGCTCTGCATTGTCGTGGTTAGACAACGACACATACCACATCAGTGACGGAGATCTCGGGCAGAGCTTCGATGGGGGCATTGAAGAAGCCTTGGATGATGCACTTGGCGATCCATTCTCCGTTGCTCGTCACGTAGGCGCTGCAAGGTCGGTCAGTCAGTATGGGGAGTGATCGGGGGAAGGGGGTCACGGATTGCATGTACCTCCATATGCTGGTTCCCTGGACATCAAGGTCAGTAACACTCCCACCAGGACATAACACCACTCACCAGCGATCCGAGGATGGAGATCAGGTAGGTCATGCGTTTGCCGTATCGCAGCGAGAAGGGTTGCCAGAAGAGCAAGCTCCAGCCGAGAAACAGAAACATGTAGCCGGTACCCTGGTTGAGGGTCGACACGGACACGCCCGACGCGGCCGAGAGAGGCACCAAGACCGAGTATACGGTCGACACGCTCATGCCGGTGAACCACGTGTATCTGTGACACCGTCTCATCAGTTTCAGGGTTCCCTTTCCCGCCGGGGATGTCATGCAAGGCCAGGCCAGGCCAGGTGTACTCACAGATTCGTGCAGATGGTCGACAGGATCTTGCGTCGCGGCGTCCAGTTGAGCGGGTCGTCTGGGTCATTGGACGGGGTCGGCACCAGCACGATGTCGCCGGCGCCCGCGTCGGCGTGGCGCGTGTGCATGGTGTGGTCCAGGTCGACGAGGTGGACCGTGCCGGGGATCACCTCCGACGTGGTTTCGGCGAGGATGGTCATGTTGTCGGTTGATCTGTTGGTTCTTTTGCTAGAATCCACGGTCGTGATGGACAAACGGGGAGGTGGTGTGGGAGAGCGAGAGGGAAGTGAGAGGGAGGGAAGAGGAGGAGGAAGATGGACACAGCAGAGATGATGGATATATAGATGGATTGCCAAAGAGAAAGCGAGTCTAAGAAAGTAACTTGGATACTACTTCCTTATATCCTCCTCGAGTCAATGCACATAAGACTACTCCCGAGCAAGTCCTTTCTTCCCATGGGGGGCGTGCCCTTTGTCGTGCCTTGCCCTTGCCATTTATATCTCTAGCCGCACTGCATACACCACGTTCAAGTAAGGCTCCGTCCAAGGGCTGGCTCGAACGGACGGCAACAATTCTGGGGCCGGACGGTGGACATCTCCACCACCACTGCCGCCACCGTAGTCGAGAGAGGGAAGGGAAGAAAGACCGGGGTTCCCCCATCATCAGCAGCAGCAGCATCATCGGGTTTGTAGGAGTGGGCGGCGATCCTAGTCCCAGTCCCAGGAATGGTTGCATGGCGCATGGTATTACAAGGCGCCGCTATCGGGGCCCAGCCTGAGGCGAGGGAGATATGCATCGATAATGGTCCCCAGGCCACGCACCGATCCAGTCATTGGTGGTGGCGTTACATTGGGGCACGAAACGAAACGAGGATGGGAAGTAAGTAATCGCGCGTGGTTGGGGCATGGATGGAATGCATACCCATGCCAGGCCATGCCAGGACATGCCAAGCTGGGACATGATATGATATGGATATGGATATGATAGTGGGATGGGATGGGATGGGATGAGAGCGGACATTCCGCCCACACGCCTTGGATCCCGGTACCTGGGCAAGCTAGAAACATGGGAGAGCGAGCCTTGCCCGTTCTTGATTGAAATGCCCCCCATTTGCAGATCAAGGGAAGAATAAGCGTCTGATAGAATGATGGAGGATAGAGACAAAGCCCGTGCCCACTTGGCCCACCACGACAGAGATACGGACAATCTCCGATTTGATTTGATTTGATTCGTCTCCGTCTCGTCTGGGCGAGGGGATACAGACCAGACAGACCAGACCGGACCCCACGAAAACAAAAGGTTGTTTTGTCCTGTTTGGGACCTGTGTGCGTCTCAGTCAGTCAGTCAGTCAAGCAATCAATCAATCAATCAGTCATACAGCAGTAAATCAACCGACCCGATGACGACGACGACGAAAGAATATGGCATATGATTATTTCGAATGCCGACGGCTAATGATGGCAGAGCTGGATAGGCTGTCGATTCTGGCTAGATGGACGGCTAGGCGTGTTGTTGAGCTTGATTATTGATCCGAAGGACGGCCCTCCCCTTCCTCACTAACTTCCCTATCTTGAGTTTCCTGGAGAAGAAAGCCGATGGCCTCGAACTGCGCAAATCGAGGGGATTGGCTGGCTGGCGGCATAGTGCCTCCTCGCTCTACCGGAACATATTCATCCCCTAAGGGCGTGGCGTCGCGGGGAGGCTAGTAACTGGGCATACTGGTGCATGTATGTCGCATGGTTTTCACTACTACGACTAGCTACTACTTCTTCCAGCTACTAATAGCTAGCTTTTGATGTGCGAACGCGTGAACCCAAACAGGACTTCGAATTTGCCTTTCAAGCCAGCCGGGGACCGGGGAGGGGGGAGGAATCGCTAGATATCTGTGACCAGCGAGAAGCGTTTGCGCGAGGAGCCAGCAGCGGAGATGCACGATCGAATGCCCACACGCCAATACCCGCTAGAAGGAAAGTCGAGGCGCTTCGCTGCCGCGGGCTATCATTAGTAGGTACGTAGGTATCAGAGGCAATTGATAGAGAGGGGGAGCCGGATTGAAAACCCTCGACACATAACAACAACAACAATAACAACAACGACTTACAGTACGACAGCACCATCGCCGGCCGAAAAAGGTCTCTGCACGTCCCAAGTTGTTGACAGACTATCTCGTGTCCCGTATCGTCACTCCCAGATCATCAACTCGGTCATCCCGGTTGAAAACTGCTCTATCCGAGGTAACAGATACAGGTACAGAAGAAGCCAGCAAAAATGGTGGTCAGGCCATTCAACGTCATCCAACCCAAGGACATCCCTGAGGGCACGCCCGAGTACGAGTCGAAACGGGCGGCAGTGCTGCGAGCCTTCCAGGAGAAGATCCCTCAGGAGTACTACATCCCCCAGGAGGTGGTCAACAGCCCGCCACAGGACGTGTCGGGCCTGGCGACCACCTTTGGCATCCTGACGCCCGAGGACGTCGAGATCACCGAGACCGTCGATGCCACGGCCCTGGCGGAGGCCATTGCCAGCCGCAAGTACACGGCCGTCGCGGTGGCCACGGCGTTCTGCAAGCGCGCCATCGTCGCCCACCAGCTGACCTGCTGCCTGACCCAGTGGTTCATGGACGAGGCGGTCGAGCAGGCCAAGGCCCTCGACGAGTACCTGGCCACGCACGGCAAGACCGTGGGCCCGCTGCACGGCGTGCCCGTCAGCATCAAGGACCACATGCCCATCGCCGGCACGTACTCGTCGACCGGCTTTTTTGGCAGCATCGTCAAGAACGACACGGACAGCCAGCTGGTGGCCATCCTGCGGAGCTTGGGGGCCGTCTTCTACTGCAAGACGAACCAGCCCCAGACCCTGATGCATCTCGAGTCTGACTCGCACTGGGGCCGGGTGCTGAACCCCTACAATATTCACCTGTCTGCCGGCGGCTCGACGGGCGGCGAGGCGGCATTGATTGCCATGAAAGGGTCGATCCTGGGCGTCGGCACCGACATCGGCGGCAGCATCCGTGGCCCGTCGGCATTCTGCGGCATCTACGGGTTCAAACCGACGTCGTACACCCTGCCCATGAAGGACATGATCGCGGCGCCGTTCCCCGCCGAGCTGAACGTGTTGTGCTCGATCGGGCCGATGTGCCGCTCTCTGAGAGACATGGACCTGTTCACGAGCCACGTCATCGCCGCGAAGCCACACCTTGAAGACCCAAGGGTCGTGCCGCTGCCGTGGACGGGCCTCAAGACGCCCATCGCCGGGAAGTTGAAGGTGGGCGTGATCAGCCACGATGGGTTCATCGACCCCCAGCCGCCGGTCAAGCGCGCCGTGGCGTGGGCGAAGTCGCTCCTCTCAGACCCCAAGTACGCCGACATCATCGAGGTCAAGGACTTCACGCCGTACGACGCCGCGGGCGCCTGGGCTAAGATCCGCCGCATGTACTGGCCGGACGGCGGCAAGGGGCTGGCCGAGCACATCACCGAGACCGGGGAGCCGATCCACCCGCTGTCGTCGTGGATCTGGAAGGACGCTGAGCCGCACGGGATGCTGACGGGCGTCGACGTGAGCAACATGCGCGGCGAGCGCGACGCCTTCCGCATCGCCTTCGCCGCGCACTGGAACGCCCAGGACGTCGACGTGGTCATCGGACCGTGCTTCGTGGGGCCCGCGTCGGCCCACGACACCGCCTTCTACTGGACCTACACGTCGCTGTACAACTTTGTCGACTACCCCGGCGTGGTGATCCCGACGCCCATCAAGGCGGAGAAGGAGGAGAAGTATGCGGAGGGTTACACGCCGTTGAGCGACGCGTGCGCCCACGTCAAGCAGCTGTGGGAGGAGGGCAATTTCGAGAAAGCCCCCATCAACCTGCAACTCGTGGCCAGGAAGTACCACGACAGCCAGCTGTTTGGGGCCTTGACGGTGTTGAAAGACGTCTTGGGGCTATCGTGAGGTTTGTTAGGGTAGAGGGAAGGGGTAAAAATGCCTCCTTGTTGGCAACCTTGCTGTATGAGAGGGAATGTGTATTCTCTTCTATTCCCGTGCCACTGTGTTAGACGATAAGAGGGAGCGGATTCGTTCTCGACGGAGAGGCACCCATCGGTATGGCGTGCCCAATCGACATTGAGCACATACATGAGTGCTTGGAGTGTTCAAATAGTTCCCGGCGAATTCGTGAGTGAATTGCCTCCTGAGGTCCCCCCAGCCAGGCAGGTCTGACGGCCACACTGCTTGATGATTGGCTGTCTAGCACTTCCGCCTGCCTACTCCACCCGCCAAAAATCTTTTGGTGATGTATAGAAGTTACTAAAATCCACTAAATTTATGCTCCCAAAACGCAACGAAGATTAACAACTTCGTCGCATGCCTGAATTAAGTCTGGAGAGATTGGCCGAGTGGTTCAAGGCGGTAGATTTAAGTTTACACACCCCGAAAGCTTGAAATCCTCTACTTTCCGAAAGGAAGCGTGGGTTCGAACCCCACATCTCTCATTCATGACATTATATTTTTTGCTCCCTTGACGTAGTATATGTATAGAACGAGACTTTGGTGTTCTTAGCGAGCGCTGGAACAATACATGTTATTTTTAACGATCGTTCAATTTCCGAGAAGCACGTATGTGTCTAAGAGAAGAGAGACAATCTCGATGACTTCGGCGCTGCAAAAGCCACTCATTTGACTGGACTGATCACCAAATGTGCCCCAGGACGAAGGGGACACGGCACAGATCACCATGATGAGGTGGACAGAGACAGGGAAGGGTCAACTAAACAGATTCCAGCCGGTCCTTTTCGGCCTCCTGTCTATGTTGGACGTTTTCAGTCGGGAAGGAAGCCTGCTGAGGTGGTGTAGAAGACATGGATGGATGGAGAGAGTTGTTGAACGACAGCTTGCTAGGACTATGATAGGACTTGGAGTGGACAACACACACACACACACACACACACACACAGAGAGAGAGAGAGAGAGAGAGCAGCAAATAGAGCACAGAGGACATGGGAAGTGCTTGTTTACTGGGGAGGGAAGAACCTCTCGAGGACTCGCGCGAGTTTGATTGATCTTTTTCTCTCTATCCATTTCGCGGTTTATGTTGCTCTGTTCAGCTCGACCCCATGGGCTCCTCAAGGACCATCAATAGCAGCATCTCGTCTGTTCAGTTGCTGACTGATGTCTTCGCTGATCGCCAAAGGGGCCGTAGAGGATGTGGATCCGGCTCAAGACCGGTTCGGTCAAGTCGCTTGAACGTGTCGGTTCGGGGTCGAGGGCGGCTCGTCTCGAGGCAATTCATGACCTGTTACCGATATACCTTCTCCGGAGGAAGTAGGTGATGCGCGAACATTTCACTCACGGCCAGGCTAGGCACCACCCCTACCTACCTATATAATATTATATTTTGAGAAGGGCTCCTCGCACCGCGCCCCCCAGCCGGGCCCGCCACACCTTGGTCTCGTTCAGCAGAAACATCTCGCCACGGCGGCCGAAGCAGAAATTGGCCACGCCGCCCGCCACGCGGATCTTCCCCAGCAACACGCCCCCGGCCGACCAGACGTGCACGCCGTCGCCGCAGCCGCTGTACACGTTGCCGTCCATGTCGCATTTGATGCCGTCCGGGATGCCCGTCTCGCAGAACGCAAAGAGCCGGCGATTCGTCAGGAACGGCTGGCCCGCGTACTGCTGCACGTCGAAGGCGTATCTTCAGACGTGGTGAGCCTGCGGGAACTCGGAACGTCGCCGAAGGGGATACTCACATGGTCGATGCTCTCGTGTCATCGATGTTGTCCAGGGTCTGGATCCAGTCGGTGTCGGTCACGTAGACGGTCTTCTCGTCAGGCGAGAAGCAGATCCCGTTCGGTCGGCCGAACCCGTCGGCCACGGCGCGAATGCCGCGCGATGTCGGGTCGTATCTGTAGACCTGGTTTGGAAGACGCGGCCTGGGCTTGAAACCCCCACCGAAGCCGTAGCAGGGGTCGGTAAACCAGATACTCCCGTCACTGTGGACGACGACATCATTGACCGAGTTGAAAGGCCGTCCGTGGAAATCGGCCACGACCAGCTCGGTCTTGTACGGAGGATTGATGTCCACAAAGTAGAGACCGCCCGGAGGGCCAGAGTGCGAGCCTTGGGCGCAGACCAGCCACTTGTCCTGGTCATAATTGACACCGCCGTTCGCCATCTCGACGCTGGGACAGCTGATCTCCTCGCTCTGTGCCGTCCCATCCTGCCCGATAATGATCTTGGTGATCTGCACTCTGCGACGACCGTCACCGTCGACTAATTGGTTGCTCGTGATGAACAGCTCATTTTTCTCGGGAATGAAGACGCCGGCTTCATGAGCAAAGGGATAGTCCTTTTCGAGCAGGAGTTCGAGCTGGGGGGCGTCTCCTGTTAGCGTGTGGAAGGCCGGATCGTATACCTGAAAGTGCTCCATGTCCGCGCCCAAGAGATGTCCTGTAGCAGGTCGAGGGATTCGTGCGCTGCTTCGACTGCGGGGATGAGGAGGTCAGACCGTGGGGCATCAAACTGGCTTCCTTCGTCTCGAGGCTGTCGCCTTGAGGGCATCAACATCTTGTACTCCACCTCGGCATTGGCCCCGTCCGCTTCCTGAGAAGAGCTTGCTGCCCTGTATATAGTGATTTCATACTTCTCACTCGAGGGATAGCGGGCAGATACATACTCTCACTGCGAAGGAATGTTACGGTGATGTGCCGGCCGATTCTAATATGTAGACCAATCACCAAGATAGATGCTCGTGGTCTCTCTCTCTCTCACACACACACACAAAAGCGTCTGGAACACCCATAGCACGCAGTAGCATCTCGGGAAAAACGAGGTGGACAGGTGTGTAGATGGCTCGTCTCGAGTGTCTCGGTCAATCAACGCCCAGAGACTAGAACATGTAGAAAATGTCTTGCTTGCCTATCAAACAATGGAGTGGCGCCAATGTAGTGGAAAATCTTCATGTAGGAAATTGGGCCACAAGAATAACAGAAGTTCCATACGTCCCTTGATAGATAGAGCATATGTGTTTCCAAATGGCCAGTCCCTCATTCACCCTGCCGCGTCCTCGACCTTCTTCGCGCTATCGACGCCGACCTTCCCAGCCTCCCTCTCCCCCGCCCCCTTGCGAACATCATCCTGGCCGAACAACGTCGCGATGGCCTTCATGGTCGTGTTCCCACCACTGAACACGATGCCGACATCCCAGGGGGAGGAGGTCGTCCCGCCGTCCCGTATCCGCTGGCGCTCGGCCACCATGTCGCGGAACTCGCGGTTAAACAGCACGACAGCAAGGGGCACGCAGCCGCTGGGCTCGACGACCAGCTTGAGCCGCTCAAAGACCAGCCGCATGGCCTTCTTGATGTCCTCCTCGCCCACGGCGTAGAGGCCCTCGACTTTGGTACGGTCCGACACGATCGTCCAGTTGGTCAGGCCGACGGGCGTGCGGAGGCCGTCGGCGATGGTCAGCGACTTGACGTGCTCGATTCTTTGGTTCTGCAGGAGCCCGCGCCGGGCATCGTCGGCGCCTTGGAAGGACGGTTCCGCCCCGAAAACCAACGTGTCAGGTTGGGAGGAGAAGAAGGTGGCGACACCCCCTAAGAGGCCACCGCCGCCGATGGGCGTGATCACCGCATCGAAGCTGGCCGTGCCGCCGTTCTCACCCCCAAGTTCGCGCAACTGCTCCTCCATCTCCAACCCCACCGTCCCTTGTCCCAGAATGATGTCGGGATGGTCGTACGGCGGCACCAGGATCGCGCCTTTCTCCTTGATGACGTCGGCGACAACGGCTTCCCGCTCTTGGGAGGTGGAGCCGCTGAAGATTACGTTCGGGGTGTACAGACGAGTGCCGGCGATTTTGGACGTGGTGGATATCGAAGGCATGACGATGTAAGCAGGGATGGAGAATGTCGAAGCTGCGAGGGCGAGCGCCTGGGCGTGGTTTCCTTTGGCCAGGTGAGCATGATTCCATTAAGTCGTCGTCGCACGTGAGTTGAAACAATATGTGCATCTCCGCTGGCTGTACGTGGCCTCGCACAACTTGTGATATGGCAAACCACACCCACCGAGAAGGTGGTTACATTCAAGCAATGACAGACTCACCACTACTATGCGTGACAACCCCTCTCGTCCTAACCTCATCGATCCCCAGCTCCTCGATCAGCCTGGTCACGGCATGAAAAGCGCCTCTGGCCTTGAACGCCCCGATCTTCTGGAAATTCTCGCATTTGAAATACAGCCGGAATTGGGGAGAAGCGTCATTGACGTTTGACTCTGCCGAGTCGAAAGGTGGCGGGTCGTCGGACAGAAACACCGACGGGTCGCTGGACGAGGCAATGGCATTCAGGGATCTGCTCGTAATGAGGGGAGTTCTATGGACGTAGGTTTTGATTTTCGTGTAGGCATTGCGGATGGAGGACGGCGCCAGTGGCGGGCAGGTGGACGGGTCTGCCATGCCTTTGAGGTCACTTTGCCCACTGTATATCTTGGGTGTTTTCCTGGGTGTGTTTAATACTTTGCTTCCAAGGCTGTGTGATATTGGCCTGTGTGATATTGGCGCATTTGCCCTCGAATAACACCGGTCAGGGTGGCAAATGCACAAAATGAATGATTGCAGTGACCAGCCGCGGAAGATTGAAGCAGGGGCAAAGAGAAATGAAAGCATGGCAAAATTGCAGAGTCAATGGAAAGAAAAACAATCCAAAAAGCATGAAATTGGTAATCGTGCAGATGTCCGAAGCTCTGCCGAGATCGGCGTATTGCATTTCACAGCGGCCATATCTAACCGGTTGAGACACTCGCAGGTGCACAATGCAGGTCGCGTGGCTGCTGCTGCTAAGATCCATGTTCACCATCCAAAGACCTCTCCATATGGTATATGCTCAACTTTTGGTTGGAAAAAACGCCAGACAGAAGGAAACAGGGGTACAATGAGACCCATCACTGGTTCTCAGGGCGGAGGGAGCTATTATCCATCGTCAGCAAGGGGAGGAGTATAAAGAGTGTGCCAGGACACGTACCGAACGGCCTTCCCGGCACGCCAGATCTCCAAGTCCCGGATATCTTGCATCTCCTTCTCGTACTTCTCTCTGTAGTCAGGTGCACTGTTGAACTCCAAGCTGCGCTTGGTCTCGGAACCGTCCCTCACGCTGTCGTAGAGCTGGTTGAACAGAGGCTTGAGGGTGTCCTTGAACTTGCTGGACCAGTCGATCGCTCCGCGACGGGCGGTGGTCGAACATGCGGCGTACATCCAGTCCATGCCGTTGGCGCCGATCAGAGGGTACAGGGATTGAGTGGCCTCCTCAACGGTCTCGTTGAAGGCCTCCGAGGGCGAATGGCCGCGCTCGCGAAGGACCTCGTATTGGGCCAGGAACATGCCGTGAATGCCGCCCATCAGGCATCCTCGTTCACCATAGAGGTCGGAGTAGACTTCCTTCTCGAAGGTGGTCTTGTACAGGTAGCCGCTACCAATGGCCACACCAAGGGCGATGGCCTTCTCTTCGGCTTTGCCGGTCACGTCTTGGTAGACGGCCACGGACGAGTTAATACCTCGGCCCTCACGGAACAAGCTTCGCACGGTGCGGCCGGAACCCTTGGGGGCGACGAGGATGACATCAATGTCCTTGGGGACGTCGACTTTTGTGAGGTCTTTGAAGACTGGGGAGAAGCCGTGGGAGAAATACAGGGTCTGATTGGCAGAGTTAGCTCTGTTTCCAAACACGGTGTGCGCTTATCTCACCTTGCCCTTGGTCAACTTGGGCTTGATGGCAGGCCAGGTCTCACTCTGAGCAGCATCACTGAGCAGGTTCATGATGATGGTGCCCCGGTCGATAGCTTCGTCGACGTCGAACAAGTTCTTGCCCGGGATCCAGCCATCTTGTTCCGCCTCCTTCCACGACGCGCCGTTCTTGCGCACGCCGATGATGACGTTCAAGCCATTGTCTCGGAGGTTCAGACCTTGACCGTGACCCTGCGAGCCATAGCCGATCAGGGCGAGGGTGTCGTTCTTGAAGTACTCCTGAGGATGTGGTCAGTGGGGACGAGCCTTCTTTCTTGGAATTTAGGGGGGTTCAGCATACGAGGAGCTTCTCGCGCGGCCAGTCTTCCCGTTCTGTACACAATGATCAGCACAATGTCACCTGGTAGTGAGAAAAACAGTCTTCTGCGTACCGAAGACGGTTTCTTTTGTGCCGGCGAAGTCGATGGTCTTGACTCCTCGCTTTTGCTGCTGAGCTGGAGCTGCAAAAAGTGGACGTTGGGTGGCAGCAACAAGAGGTCTGGTTGCCAGGGCAGTCGCGATGGAGCGTTTCTGCACGGCGGGGGAGCTGATTTTCTGCTTGGAAGCAGTGCGCAGGGTTCGAGCAAAGGTCTTGGAGGCCATTGTGATCGGGTGTTTGTAGGTATGGGTGTGGGAAAAAGAGTAAGGGTGAAGGGGGGCAGTGACTTTGCAATAAGTAATAAGTTCGGGGTACCTGGGAGGAAATTTTTCCCTGGGCGGCTCGAGAGTCTAATAATTAATAGTTAACAGTCACCCACAGTCTTACTCACAATGAAAGCTGCTGAGCTTCTTTGGCTGCCACACTTTTTTTTTTGGCTTGGCTCCGACAGCGGCACCAGGGCGAAGCTGGTGGTCGCCAGTGTCGCCCATACCGGAGACACTCAAGACTCCCCGCCCCGCAATCTTGTGTTCACACACCTGCGTTTGCCCTCCACACAATTCGCTGCGTCGGTCCTCAACACGGGGGACTTGGTGCATATCGATCTCGTCGTCGATGTGTCTCCACTCTACAAGCGGTCTGGCCTGGTGAGCCTGGTGGAAACTACCAAACCCGGTGTCGGCAATACCCTCGATCGTCATGCCATCCTCCTCTTGTGTCGTCCCCGTTGGCCCCCAACCACAGGCCAAATCTATCTTGAAGAGCATGGATTGACATGATAACTGTCAGGCACTGGTCATCGTGGCTAAGAAGCCCCGAGTTGACTCAAGAACGAACATATAGTATACCAATTCTAGGGGCCACACAGCACCAACTGCCTGTTACTCGGTACACCATGAGATCCTCACGATGTCACCCCAACCATATCCTGACCATTCTATGTTACGATTCACCGCAAGCATGTGAAAACACCCTCATACGCCACATCAACGTCCTCTCTGGTTATGTCAACACCACAAGGTCCAGGGAAGCCCAGGGAGTTACGCATCCACGCCCACAGTAGGCCAACCCGGTCGGGGTAAAGCAGGCAAAGCTCCTCTCAATCAAATTTGCCTGGTCGATGTTTTATTTTTCCAAAGAGATGATCAATAATAGAGGTAGCTTCAGAGTCTGGTACACTCCCTACAGCTAACAATGCCACCAGTACGGCAGATCATTCTACATCTTGATCCGTCCAAGAGGTCCTCGTGCACATGCCGGTTTGTCCTAAGCCTCACTAGCACTAGCTAAGCACTTTTGGAAATATGGCTAGCTGTGCGGCTAGTAGGCTGGACAGTGAACCCCACAGCGCTAGGCGCCCGGAGCCATCAACGTGCTCGGCAGCCTCAAGCCGTACGCTTCACTCACTTCCACATTGTTACTAGAAGTGCTGTTCAAAGCCAGTCCGCCGTCCGCGTTGGAACTCTCCTGTCATACCAGCTTTAGTGAGGCTGCTCATGTGAAATATGGTCCTTTGACCGAGACAATTCTGCAACCCAGACATTTTCGCCCAACACGGCTGTAAACAGCTGTAGAAAGCCACATTCGGCTGCGGAAAGGCAACTGGTCGCTGCCTTGAGTCGTCCCAGCCCCAGCAATGCATCATAAACGATGCCACTACCAAATATATCGGCCAATGGCCTACTACCTCACGCGCCCACTGAACCAGTAGCGCAGGTTGGGCCCATGGCCTGCAGGTATGATCTCCGCGGTGAATTGAGCCGCATCATGGCGTTCCGCCCTGCCTGCGATATTTCTTTCTCAGCCCGAGATGTGTCTTGGTTTCAATATGTGAAATTGGTTGTTGTCTACACCCCTTCAACTAGCTGGACAGTTTGGAGCCATCGCAGTTCGATTCTCACTGTTGCCTTCGTCTGTGGTGTCACAGAAACGTACTACTCTATCCCAACACATTGACTCGGGGAGCACCAGAGCCGCAACATTGAAATATGGCCTATCACATACCGGGAGCTTTTCCTCTATCAGATTCGAATACGCACGAGTTACCAGAGGATAGTCTTGGAGGAATCTCAGTGGGACACGACGATTCACTCGTCATTGGCCTCCAAACGAAGCGGACAGAGCTAGCACCAGCTTTGCACAGCCAAGCATCCGTCGCTGAACCGCAAGCTACGGAGGAGGATCTCAGTGTACGTCTATTCTCTGAACCCGCCTTTCGAACAATCATCTTACGTCCTCAGCATATGAGGCAGGGGCTACCGCGTGCGGGCAGCAGTCCGGAAACGCTCCCCGAACTTTCGGCGGAGGAAGTTGCAGCATTGTGTCTTGCCTCAAATATGACAGAAAATAGCAATTTAACGGTAGAGTTGTCCAGGGATCAGGTAAATCACGTTTTAGACTCCATCCAAGGCCCCAGCTGACCAGTTGGGACGTCAGGGGACAGATTCCAACTCGGTGAGCAACAACCTCTCGGACAAGTGCCAGGCCTGTAAGGACTATCGTGACGATGTTTCGCAATGCAATATTTGTCGCCTCAACTATTGCGACCCCTGTTGGGACCAGCAAATTGTGCATCGTGAAATGCCGTTGATTTATGACGAGGGTTCCGATTATGTCCCGCATGAAAAGACCAATCTTCGGCTGACGAGAAAGGTGCAACGTGCGTTGCGCCCGAGACGATTGCCGGAAGCCGACAAAAGCTTACATCAACAAGATGCCGGTACTATGTGGTTTGGAATGTACCACGCGGAACATGAGATCAAGTTCCTTGACGGTACCAGGTATGAGCAGATCATGGCCGGCTATCCGCCAAATAAACGTACGGGCCTGTTTCCGAGTTTGGTATCTTTCGTTGGCAACACTGGTATGTATACCATGGCCATTAGGAGTGTGGTCACTGACAGGAGAACCAGGAGCGGGAAAAAGCAGTCTAATCAATCTGTTGATCACCGTGGGTTGAAAAGACTCCGTAATGGTTCGATTGTTGGCTGACGACCGCAGTTGAATCAGCCCGGCTCAAGGGAGTATCCTAAACCAGTTGTAGGCAACCCCAGTAACCCTCAACCGACGTCCAGTGATGTCCACCTCTATCAAGACCCTGCATCGGCAGATTCTCAGACTCCCATTCTTTTCGCGGATAGCGAAGGTCTGTGCGGAGGTAACAATAAACCAAGGAGCCAAGTGCTCCAAGAAGAGGAGGATATTACGATCAGGGCAATAGTAAAGGTGATCTACAAGAAAGCCAGGAGGCTCTTTTGGTTGGATCAAGCAGCCACGCAGCCAAGGGAATATGTTGTCAAAAACCTTTACTCTAGGATCCTCTATGCCTTCTCCGATGTTGTCGTGTTCGTGATGGAAAATGCAGGGTATGCGTTGTAACAGCCCCCTGATCAACTTCAACTAACGTCACACTTAGCATGATCGAGGGCGTGGCATCCCAGCTCCTGGACTGGGGTGCCCAGGCCATCGAGCATACCTCAAACCAAGCAGTGCGACCACATGCTATTATCGTCATCAACAAGGCAGAAAGCACCCTTGCACAAGACCTTTGGGATATTCACGTCGCGACGTCGTGGCTGTTTGCCAATGTGGATACCCAGTTACTCACCAATCCACGCTTTCGGACTTACCTCGACAAGTGGAGGCATACAGGTCGCATGAGCACGAAGCAACTGGTGGAGAAGTATTATTCATCCGTCAAGGTGATCTGTATCCCCGGACTCACTAATGGCATCGGGCGGATGAATCTGATTGAGCAGCAAATGCTGAAGCTTTACACCGAAATCTCCATTGCCGGCACCGAGGTCAGAGAATTCAAGAGGGAACACCGCCTCTTGTTGAATGCGGATCAGCTCAATCCTTACTTGCAGCTGGCCTTTGAACACTTCTCCTCGAGGGAAGGGCTCTCGCAACCATTTGACTTTGTTCAAGCTTCATTTCTTAACGCACCAATATCGCCCGATTTTAGCGACAATCTCCTCACACTGGCGGTACGACTCCGGTCACGATTGACTGCCAAGGCCAGTAATCGTCCGAAAGACGTCAAATTGTCTTCTCTTATAGCTGAACTCAGCTTACCCGCAGCTTCAGCGATCATGCTGGATGCTGCACGGCATGATCGCCTCGGTAAATGCGAAACAATACTTCCACAGTACAAGTCTCGTTTCACCCAAGGTCTCAAAAAGTTCCTCGACCAGCATTGGCTCTGCGAATTTGGCGATTGTCAGATCAATAAGGTCAGCCATCATTCTGGCCACAAGGACGCGTCCAACAAACAGATTGGAGCAGAAAAAGGCGTCAGACAGGAATATCACTGCGAGAAAACCGAGGCACAATGTTTACGGGACTTCGAATCGGAAGTACAGAGACATCTCGAACAACTGTTGGACTGGTCGTCTTCCTCATTGTCAGATCGATTCAGTCGAGCAAGGGCTGTGGTCGTCCACAAAGAAAAGTTGCGCCAATTCTACAAGCGATACGAGAGCAACTTTGGAACCGTTTTTTGTGACAATATAGGCTGCCTCTGCTGCCTCATGAGCTCCGCAAGCCACTGTTTGGAATGCAAACATGTTGTTTGCACAGACTGCGTGAAAGACTTTGGTGTGGCCATAAATGCCACCACGGTCGAAATGAGTGATTGTCCTATGCACGAAACACAACCTTGGATCCACAAGCCCTTGATCCGATTTAAGCCCCCGGCTGCCGGTTTGCGGTTACTTTCACTTGATGGGTGAGGCTCGTTCTTCAAAGGGTCTCAACCTACTGACGAGTTCTTTCAGCGGCGGCATACGAGGTATCGTCCAGCTTGTTCTCCTACAACAGTTGGAGAAGCACCTCGGAGGAAGGATTCCGATACAGTCATTCTTCGATCTCGTCGTTGGAACTAGGTATGTCGCTCCGGGTACTAGCTTTTCTTACGTGACCGCATTGCTAAATCGTGAAGTGTTGGCGGCATCATTGGAGCAGCACTCAATGTCAGAGGTTGGAGTACCGACAGAAGTGTCGCCGAATTCAAGACACTCTGCCGCAAAGCATTTACACCTCGCTTCCCTAATTTTATTGCTGTTAATCCGAACGGCATGTTCTCGTTCTTGCGGAAATGGACCCACGTCTACGACACGGAAGCTCTAGAAGATGCTCTGAAAGACGCGTTCACATCCGCTGACACATTGTTTGGCCACCCAACCTATCGTGTGTTCGATAGCAAGCTCGCTATCACGGCAGCATCCAATGGTGGTGGAGCTTTCGTTTTTGGCACTTACAACAGACCAGAGAACAGTAGGTCCTCCACATCCGTGTTGACGTTCTAAAGGGATCTGAGCAGAACGCATACTAAGCTGCATCAGCCGACCGACGTCGCACTTCGTATACGTGGATGAGAGCAAGGCAATTTGACAAAGAAATCAAAATATGGGAAGCGTAAGTGGTCGAATTGCTCTACCGAAATATACCAGCTGATTCTAAAGTGCCCGAGCCTCTTCGGCTGCCCCGACGTGGTTCGAAAGCTTCGCCCATCGAGCTTCACAGAGAAAGTTCGTCGACGGGGGCATTTACTTCAATAACCCAGTCCACGTTGCCGACCAGGAGCGCGAGTTCCTCTGGCCCAATTCAAGAGCAGATTTAATACTGTCTGTGGGTACTGGGATGAACAAGGAGGTCCAAGACAAAGTAGAACAAGGCGTGAAAGCACAGCCTGACCTTGACGGTATCCCCGAGGTGAACGAATCATGGTGGCCATTCTCGCAAAACCAGATCTTCATTCTGGGTCAGATTGCAATTGACAAAATCAACAGCAGCTTAGATTCGGAAAACACCTGGAACGAATTCCGTGCCGCTTATGGTGCTGCTGCTCTGGATCCTTGTGTCCGGTTGAATATACCGCTTGATCCACTCCCTGAACTTGATGAGGTCGGCAAGCTCGAAGACCTGCGTTTAGCCGCACAGCGGTATTGGAACAGGGCGGCGCCATTCGCCCGCCTGGAACGGCTTGCCAATCGTCTTCTTGCGACCTGCTTTTACCTCGATGTACAAGGGACTGGAGAACAAAGAGATGGCACTTTTGTTGTGACAGGTAAGTCATGTTGTTTGTGCCTCTGGAAATCACCATCGTGTGTAACATGTTGTGACTCTTCCAGGTCGAATCTTGTGCCGCTTTATTCCTGAGTCGCCAAATCGGGAACTCCAGCACCTGGGGCAGGTCCTTGGGGACAGAAAGACAACCAGCCCGAATTCGCCCCATCAGTTTCCTCACTTCAAGTCTCTCGAACGAGGTCGGCCAAGCACAATGCAGTACCACCCACTGGGCGACGAAGCGGTGACCAGGATGAAGGAACGCAACCAGTTCTCGCTCGCCGAGGAGTTTTTGACCCTTCGACTCTCCAGCTCCATCGCGATGGCGGAGATCCTTCTCTGTTTCAGCAATCAAGAAGAGTTTCCCATCAGTGGATTTCCCCAGGCCTTATAAGTCAAGTAGATTACGGTAGTGTTGCCACAACTTTGAAAGACCTTTACTTCGTATTATATGTCCAGGATACTATATCTGTGCTCGTCGCCCTCCATCCAGCAGCCGCTGTCTAATATCTATATTCATATCCTAAATAAAGGGCTGTGTGACCTCAGAGCAGACAGAAAGAAAACCGAGACGCTCCCGGCCTATGGATCCATGAAGACCTGTCAAATTAAGCGAGGTTGTTGATGCGCTTCAGCCAGTACAGCACTTGTTCTTACGCCAGCCCAGTTTCAGTGTCTACATTGGGATTAATCGTCGATAGCAGGCCTTGCGTCCCTGTCCCCGTCGCGGTGTGCTTCTCCGACTTCTCCTCTCTTCACTTCACCGAGGACTGTTTCGGCAGATTCGTCGAGCACGCTGCCCTCCTTGCTCTCCTTGGGGCTGGCGAGTTCTCTCTGCTTTTTCCCACGCTTGGACATGCGCTTTGGCACTCGGGCCAGCCAGTACAGGAACACGGCGCCGGCGACGTTGAAGACGATGTACGGCCACATCAGGCCGAAGTTGCGCCACATGTCTTGCGGATGGGCCGAGACACTGGCCAGGAAGGCGTCCGTGGTCGCAATCGCGCAGTAGCTGCAATTGTTGCCCGTGCCCGTGCCCGACGAGTCCTGGAGATACCCCCCGACCGCGTCGATGTAGGAATGCATGTACTCCGCACAGGTCTGGCCCGCCGGGGCCGTGAAGTGGAGATACTCGTTGGCGGCGCAGGTGACGGGGGCGTGGGCGACGGCCGTGCTGAGCATCCCGTCGATCAGGTAATTGAAGGGGGAGACGCGGTACATGAAGATCCAGAACCCGGGGAGGGCCTTGGGACCGACGAGGACGCCGCAGAAGACCAAGGTCAGCGAGAAGGACAGGTTGGCGATGTTGCCGCCGGTCTCGGCGGTCTCGATGGCGGCGATGACCATGTGGGCGAAGGTTGAGGTGAACAGCAAGAAAGCCCAAATCAGGAGGAACATGAGGGCACCGCGCTCGTGCACGGCGTGCGTGGGCTCCGCGTTGCGGTACAGGCCGATCGGGTAGTACCAGGTGACGAAGATCAGGACGGCGCAGAGCGTCGACCACGGCAGCTCGACCAGGATGTTGCTCATCATGAAGGCCTGCCACGAGTACGTCTTGCTCGGCCGCTCGCGCACCTCGTACAGCGACCGCTGCGTCACGAACAGCGGCATGATCTGCTGCACCAGTTGGCCGAAGATGGTCATCAGCATGAAGATGCCGAACATCTGGTTCTGGAGCCCCTGCTGCGTGACCCGGGCGTGGAAGAAGGAGAAGCCGATGAAGAGACCCTAAATTATGAAGAAAGAAAGAATGTGGTCAGCAACGCTGATGGCAGTAGCAGGGCGAGAAAGAAAAGACGGGGGCCCGGGCATTTCTTACCGAAGCAATACACAGAGACAGCTTGCTGTAGATATACGACGGCGTGCGCCAGTACTGCTCAAAGACGCGCTTCAACACCTCATGCAGCTGCTGGTAGAAGGGCGCCGCGAACTCGCGATAGCTGGCCCGGTCGGCTCGGTTGGAGGTCGCCCTGGCGAGTTGACAGCGCTCCGCTTTCATCTGGGAGAGCTCGGCGTGCACGGCGCGGTACTCGGGCGACCGACGCCACGTCTCGACCCAGTCGATCTCGGTGTGCGAGCCCGGCGCGGCGCCGATGACCTCGAGCATCCACTCGGCGGGATTTGCGTCGGGCGGGCAGCGGTGGGCGCCGTTGCGCTCGAAGTAGTCGGTGAGGATCCGCGACGAGTCGCCCACGGGGCCGAAGTAGACGGTGCGGCCGCCCTTTGCGAGGAAGAGGAGGCGGTCGAAGCGCTGGAAGAGCATGGCCGACGGCTGGTGGATGGTGCACAGGATGGCCTGGCCGTTCTGTTTCAGCTTCTCCAGCAGGTCCAGGATGGACCACGACGTCTGCGAGTCAAGGCCGGACGTGGGCTCGTCGAGGAACAGCAGCAGCTCCGGTTTGGCGGCCAGCTCGACGCCGATGGTCAGTCGTTTGCGCTGCTCCACGTTGAGGCCCTCGCCGGGCACCCCGACCACGGCGTCGGCGTACTCGGACATCTCGAGCAGCTTGATGACCTCGTCGACGTACGCCAGCTTCTCGCGCCGCGGGATGTGGGCGGGTTGCCGGAGGAGGGCGCTGAAGCTCAAGGCTTCTCGCACCGTCGATGTCTCCAGATGCAGATCTTGTTGTTGGACGTAGCCGGTCTTGCGCTGGAATGACTCGTCTCGCTGTTGCCCGTCGACCAACATCTCGCCGGTGATAACTCCCATGGTCACACGGGTGGCCAGGACATCCAGGAGCGTTGTTTTGCCAGCCCCGGACACGCCCATCAAGGCTGTCATGGTGCCCGGCTTGACCCAGCCATCGACGTGGTCAAGGAGCCGCCGTCCACCGTTGAGTGGGATGTCGTAGCAGACGTCGCGCCATTGGAAGATGGCCGTCTGTCTCTGAATGACACTCGATATGTCGGCGGACTGCTGGTTCTTCGCGGCCGTGACGGCTGACGTGACGTTGCCGGTCTCTGTGTCTTGAGGCAACTGCATCTTCAACAGAGCCGGCGTCTGACCACGACGGAAAACCAGCACCTCGCCCTTAGATTTCTTGGCCTGGACGAACTCCGCCGACACCAAGTAGGTGAGGAACAGACCGACCATGAAGGCGATCAGGATGCCGAAATTGCGCCACTTGTGCGAGGCGTAGTACTTGTAACTGCTGTTGATAAAGTCATCGCCGTTGACAAACGTCTGACCGGGACGAGACCCGACCGCCGAGCAGACTCGATTGGAATCGCCATATCCCGGACCCGACGGCACGTACCTGGCACAGCCGTAATCTCGGCCAGAGAACTCGTTGATCATGAGTGCTTCGAACCCATAGGCGACCGGGTCCAGGTAATTGATCCACCGTGCCCATCCGAGCATGTAGTTGACGGGGATGGCGAAGCCGGTGTAGATGACAATGGCTAGGATGAGGATGGCGGCCGGTGCCAATGCCTGACTCAATGTTCGTGAGACGGAGGCGATGGTCCGAAAGAGCATGCTCATCACCAGCGTCAAGGTGAAGGAAATGAGGAGAAAGAAGAAGAAATGGCCGGCTTCTCGGCGGAGGTTGGTCATGAAATAGATGGTGACGTTGAAGATGATGGCGTTGGTGATCTTGTATGGCATGTCCGTCAACATGGAGGCAAACGCCTCGCTCGAGGGGTGGTACAGCGCGTACCGCTGGTGCTTCTCGACGATGGGCCGCTGTGCATAGAGGGTGAGAATCTCCAGAGCCGAGCTGAAGGCGTTGATGAGGATGGCGAAGAACAGCAGGGCGCCCCGTGCGTAGAAGGAGTTGGTGGTGCTGTCGAGGTTGTAGAAGATGGATCCGATGATCAGCGCAAAGACGTTGTTGCCGATGATGGAGGTCAGCGTGAGACTCGGGTCGGCCATCAACCTGCGGAATCCGCGCCAGAGACAGAGCCGTACCTGTTGGCCGTACGAGAGCGTGTAGGGCGACGCCACCCGCTGCCTCTTCGCCTGCTGCAGTCTCCTGGATTCCTTGAACTTGTCCAGATCCTCGCCGCCGAGAGGGTGTCGCCGGTCGAAATCTTCGATGTCTGCGAGGAGCCGGGCACGTTCGGCACTCTCCTTCCAGGCCCGGGCGAATTCGTCGGGGGTGCGAGGTGCCCGGTCCTCGAAGCCTTCGCGGACAATGCGCTCGTCCGCGCTGGTCATGGAGGTGAGGAAGTCGGCGGTGGTTTGCCGTTCGGGACAGTGGAAGCCCAGCTGGACGAAGTAGTCTTTAGCGTCCCCAGTCCTGCCGAAGTAGATCTGTCGTCCCTCGTAGAGGACAATGACCTTGTCGAAGATGTCGTAGGCCGCCTGGGGAGCCTGGTAGATGGCCACGGCGGCCGTGGCGTTGAGGATCTCGGTCGAGAGACGCAGCGTTTTGCAGAACTCGATAGCGTTGGCGCTGTCGAGGCCGCGGGTGCTGTTGTCCCAGCACTGCAGAGGCGACATGTTCAACGCGGCTTCGGCGATGCTGACACGTTTCCTTTCTCCCCCGCTCACGCCTCGGATGAAGTCGTTGCCCACACGAGTTTTGGAGGTGTGTCGGATGCCAAAGATGGCCATGATGACATCTCGCATGTGGCACGCGTACTCATGCGCCGAGATATTTCCCGGCCGGTGCCTGGGGGCTCTGGCGCGGGCGGCGAAGTAGAGCGTGTCTGCGACCGAGAGCTGCGGGAAGTGGATGTCCTGTTCGGCAGTGTAGATGGCCTCGCCGCGGAAGTGCTTGTGCATCTGGTCAAAGGGGATGCCTTGGTAGTTGATGTAGGAATCCTTGTCGACGTGGAACCCGTGCGTCTCGCCGGCCAGCGTCTTGAGGAACGTCGAGCACCCCGAGCCCGGTGGCCCCAGCACCACCAGCATTTCCCCGTGGTTCACCAGCCCGTCGAACCCGCGGAGGATGTTGATCCTGCGCTGTCCCGCGCCCATCAGCTGGCGCAGGAGACCGACGACTTGGAAAGGCGCGGTGCCAACAGTCTTTTGGTAGTCCGTGGCAGAGCCGAAGCCGTGGGCGCTGAGGTTACGGAACGCGACGCCAGCCGTCCGGGCCAGGAACCGGTCGTCTTTGGACTGGAGGTTGAACAGGGCCTTGACCCAGTCCCGGGTTTGGAAGTTGTCGGAGCTGGGGTCCAACGAGGAGCCTGGCGGCGCGGCGAAGGGATTGGCGTCCTCGGTTCTGGTAGACGTCCGCGAGAACTGTCGGGCCAGGTATCTGACACGCATGTCGTCGTCGTCATCGTCGCCGACGTCGTTCTCTGAATGTGCAGGTCGATCGCCCTGTATTTTCTCATCGTTGCTTGCCGAGCTCGAGTGACGCTCCGGCACGGTACCGTCATGTGATTCTGTCCGCAAATGTGCCGGGAGTCCAGGTCCTCGCTTTCCGGCACTGTTGTCGTAGTTGGAAACGAAGTTTCCCACTAGGGACATCTTGATATTCTTCTCTTGCGTGGGCAAGCAACCCAAAATGGGGTTGGTTTCGAGTCCGTGCAGCAATAAAGAGGTAGGATGGGAGAGGGGAGTGTATTCTCAATTGGACAATGCACGGGTAAAACACCTGAGACGATGATTTGGGAAACGTGACTGTATCGCAAGCTCCGGAGAGCAGTCTATGAAAGAAAGCAACGAATGGAGGGCAAAGAAAGGAGCTAGAGACGAAAGGTGATAGTTGAGGGTGCGGTGTTGGAGGCTTCGATCTACAGGTGAAATCGATCTTATATCGACGATACCAGACAAACCTCGAATCTTGGATTGGCAATACAATACGCATCCTCAGTGGATCGACAAGCCCTCCATTTGAGCTATTCACATCCGTTGCTGGAACCGTTCGGACCGTTTATGCGTGTTCGGGCCATGAGGGAGACCACGGTCGTACGAGACCTCCTGAGCATTCGGAAGATGTGCACCGGCCACGGAAGCGCCAGGTGCACAAGGAGCAAATGCCAATTTCAGGGACGGTGGCCATTGTTGATGTCTGCTCGAGGGCAATCGTGCTGGACGGAGGGAGAATTAGTTCGAACAGGTGGAAATCGAGAGGACTTCGGAGAAAATAGAGTTTGGCATGAGTCAAGGGGGAGGCGAGTTATTGGCTAAGGCTCCACAGCCTGACTCGAGCGGCACTGTGGGTCTCTCCGATGGATCCACTCTCCGTCCGCCCCTTAATTGGACCAGCCTTACCATCAAGCATTTGCACAATCTACCGTGTAGGTTTGTGAATAGTGCTTCGGTAGCCGGAATGGCGACGGCTGACTGTGCATCCGGCTCTTCATAAATGCATTAATTAACACTTACACTTAGATATAGCCCAGTTTCCCTTGCTAAAGGTTCTCAATTGAGCGAAGCTTCCTGGCCTGGTCGAATCAGTTGTACCTCCTCGACAAGAAGATCAGGAGATCAGCAGATTCAGCTATTTTAGCTAATCCCCCTTGTTAGGACCTATGGAGTTAAATGAGTCTTGTTGGGCTTTAGCTGCATTGGGGGTGATAGAGAACAATAAAATGACTTGGATATGGTCCCATGGGCACCGCCCCGGACCTGTCTCCGTTCTTCCCATCGATGGTAGATCAGATGATGCAATGTTCCTTGCTGAGCGAGTAAGTACGACAATGGAATCCCCTTGTTTCACAGCATCTGATGCTAACTTGACGACCACGGATCTCTGAGATCAACAACATTCCAGTTCCTGGTCGGCTTGGAGCACAAGGCATTCAATGTCCACTCAACGCTGGTTGTTCAACTCTCCCCGGTCTTCGCTGCCATGATCAATGGAAACATGCTCGAGAGCGTTGAACGACGGGCCGTCTTGGACGACATCGACGAGGCGACTTTTGTACGTTTCTGCGAATATGCCTACAAGGGCGACTTCTCGGTTCCGCCCCCCACGACTGTCGTCATCGACAAGGAGCGTTCATCGTCACCGCTGCGGGAGACAATCGACCACAGCAAGGCCACGCCAGGCTACCATGACGCCCTCTCTAGTGTTGCGCAGGTTGGAAAAGCGGGTGGCAACAGCGGCGAGAGAGATGGGCTGGCAATGTTTGCGGAAGGCCCTCGGCTGCCACCGGCCATGCGAGATAACCACCACGACGAGAAACCATCGTGGAAGCATCGGATTTCTCGACCTGTTTCGTGGCTGAAGGGGCATACGGTGGTTCGGAACTCGAACGCCCACACGGCAAGGGACACCCAGCTCAATAATAACAGTCTCCTCCTTTCCAAACCCCCCGTGCCAGGCTCGAAGTTGGCGACGGACTGGGCTAAATTCTGCAGCGGGGATACTGCGGCAGACTGGAAGGGCCCGGTCTTCCAACCGTACCGCAACCGCACGTCCTCGGAAAGCCTGGCGGAGACCCTCCTGTCCCAGGCACGACTGTACGTCTTCGCCGACCGGTACGTCGTGGAATCACTCCGGCTGCGGGTCCTGTACAAGATGCGCCGCAGCTTGGCCTCGCTCAAACTATTTCCCGAACGGGTGCCAGAGGTCTTCGGCCTCGTGCAGTACGTCTACGAGAACACAAGAGAAGGCGACGACCTCAGGCTACTACTGACGCATTTCGCCGCCTGCAAGGTCACCGCGCTTCTGGAACACCCCGACTGGGAGCAGTTCATTGGCGAGCAGCGCACCTTCACCTGGGATCTGCTGCAACATCTGAGGGAGAGTGTGGAGGTGGTTGAGAAGGCGAGGGCGGGTCCCGCCACATGATATATTGATATTTTGCAGCTGCTGGGCCCCCGAAACCGTGTCCGATATCAATCAGGTACTCAATCCCCATTTCACGTTAGACACCACAGGCGCCCATTGTCCAGGAGTGATATCAGTGGCTAATACGCGGACGTCGCCATCTAATCGAGCGTTCCATCATAACCTTTGCAGAAAGGCGGCCCTGCCTCATGTCCGTGAGACGGATATTACTGGGCATCGGGCGTCATGAACCAAGCTGCAGAATATCTCCATGCTCAACGACCTGTTCTGGTGGCGGAGAGATACAGCATCTCACCAATGCCTTCGCCAGCTGCGTGACCGGGACGACGGGGGTCATGAACGACACGAATTTGCGGAAGAGAACGCTGTCGTCGGGCACGATGCCGCCGGGACGAAGCACGATGGCCTCGAACACGTCTGGATTGGCCATGGCGAGGTCCAGCAAACCCCGTTCAACCTCGCCCTTTTTGGTTTGTTGACGTTAGTGAGTTAGTACCTAAATGCCATACAAGCTAGCCAGACACAGGGAGGGTGTAGAAAGTAGGAGGAGGAGGGGACGGACGGTTACCCACCTTCAATTTTCGGGTGTCGGAGAACAGCCAGAGTTTCTTGTCCTGATCCCACTCTGCGCCCATGCCGCTGCAAAAGACGAAGCGGAATCTGTGTCCTTGCGGCGCCAGGTTCGGACATATCGTCTTGACGAAGGCGTCGGCGGCGGCCAGGGTGAAATCGACCCCGACCTTCCTCGCCGTCTGGAAATCGGGAAAGTCCTCGACCTTGCCTCCCAGGCACCTGGGATACACCGGATCAGCCTTTTAGTCAGAGAATCAGAGGTAGAGGCAGATTGCCCGTACCAAACGCAGCCTTGCGCTCCTTGGAGTTGTTCGAGAAGGCTTGCTGGATAGGACTGGAAGTCATCGTGCAAGATGACCCGTACCTTGGGACTTTGGCTCTGTTGTTCGTCGATGTGTCGCCTAGTAAGCACAATGATGGAGGAAATCCCCGGATTTTGGATGGCTTGGGCAACGACCTCTTTCCCGACAAAACCAGTCGCGCCAGTGATGATAATCTTCATGTCGAAAGTCAGGTATCTGTGACTGATTGGGCAATTCAGAAATCTGCGTTCGACCCGGTTTACGGAGAGATGCGTCAAGCAGAATGAGAAAGTCCGGAAGGGGGCAGCTATTGATGTGGAAGTGACCGTGAGTAGTCATGGCCACACCTCGTCCGAGCCTCAAGCGTACGAGCATCCTGCACATTGAGCCAGACTTGTCGAGCACTATGGCACGTAAGTCCGAGTTGTGTTGTCCGAGGCAAATGATTCTGATAGGTGGAACCGACGCCCTCAGCCCCGTGGTCTGGTTGGTTCAACGCCGTGGCTGGGATTAGTGATGTAGACCATTGACGCATGGAGGACGGTACAGAGGGAACACTGGCAAACAGAGTACTTACAGCGAGTATAAGATATCAGATTCCACCTACCGTCTTATACAAATCGGGCCATCAACCAATGGCTGGAATAGTTTCGAACAATGCCATTGGTCGCGCGTAGAGACACTACATCTCAAAGAAAGGGACAAAGACCTCGTAATGACGAGAACTGGCGCTAGGGCATCTCCGGGAGGTGTTGCACGGGAGAGCCCCTGGTTTGCAGAAGGTGAGCGGTGCAAGCCATCTCAGAAGTTCTGGCAATGGTGCAGGAATCAAGACCGAGCAAAAAAGGGACCGCGGCAAGGAACCTCCAGAGGCCACAGGCCCGATAAGAGCCACAGATCTAGTAAGTTGGAGAACGAGCACTGGTGCAAAGGGTGGTTGAATGGTGTCGAATTAGCGGATACCATATGTAGGGTGGAAACAAGGAGAAAGAATGACGCCATCACGCGGATCCAAGATGAGGGAGTCTCATGAACTCAGAGGTGCAACAAGAGGAGAGAAGATCCAGACAACCATCTTCGCCTCTGAGGGGTCCGAGCAGACTCGTAGATAGATTACCTGGAGCCTTACGTGGTCTTTGAGCGTTGGACAGACGTCCCGAGAGAACGTCTTGCCTGGCGTTATCCACCATCAAAACTCGAAATCAACTCCGGTTTCATAAGAAGCACTCTGCTGTACAAGTGATCAGCCCTGCTGCCCGGAATAACGCCTCCAGCCTTACCAGGGCGTCCGCAACCCTTGAACAAAGCTCGCGGTGTAGATTCCCTATCTTCGACCCGTCGTTCAGTCATTTCAGTCGTCATGCCGACCTCACGGCTCCCATTGGCATCATCGCAATACTCGATCGTAGGCCTGTCCTCTCACGGTCCCACCCCCCATTGCCGTTCGTGCATTACGCCGGAATCCTTCTCGATTGCTTCTGAGGTCTTCCGCCGCCTCCTTGTTCAGCGGATCAGACGCATTCGGCTCAAGGAAGAGGAACTGTCCATCGGGTCAACCACTCATGGTCCGTCTGTGAGCCCAGATTTTGTAAGGGTGATGTATACCTGCATGCCAACAATTACAGCGTTCAAATTCAACACAGGTTTCCAGTCCTCCCTCAAGATGTTCAAGCAGACGTTTCCCTCTAGGTCGATGTTCGGATGGTAGATCTTCTGTGTGCATTTGACTTTGGGTGGATCGTGAGGGAAGTTTTGGTTGATAGCAAAATTGAACACGAAGCTACCGCCCTTGTACATTCCTTCATCTGGTTCAATCGTGAGGGTAAAGTTCAAGATGTCGTCCGGGTTGGGGAACGTTGTCTTCATGGTCGACCCAAGCGACAGTTCACTGAGATCTGAGTGAGACCGCATTAGAAATCCTTCGGGAGGACAGAGGCGACTGCTTTCCGAACTCTTATTCACCTTTTTGGACACGGAGTTGAGCAGCTGTGACCTTCTTCTTCTTTTGTGTCACCCCCTGTGCCTGCTCATCCTTTTGTTGTTGTTGCTTCTGCAGACCGTGCATCAGTGTCTAGCCACAAGTACCTGGAACCGCTCGTACCATCGACCATATCTTCATCATCTTGCCGGCGGGTTGTCACCACGGGGCGACGCAACAGTGCAATCAAAGTCTGCTTGTTTGAAAATGAATCCAGGGCACTGGAAGAAGCGTGAGGGAGAGGGCTGGTCGACGGAGACGGGTGCGTCAGACAAATTGGTGGCAGAGGCGAAAGAATGGGAAATGAAGGCAGGACGCAGCCTGAACCTCGGCGGGCAACGGCGTATTCTCACGTCTCTCACGGTGAATGGAATTAAAGCAGCGGGTAAAATCGAGCACCAGCAGCAAGAGGAATCCGCGGAAAAAGTGCACAAGCAATACAGATAATATAGATGGCAGTGATTTGAGGAGTTGCTGGGAGTCAGAGATGAAGACCTGTCTCGCGTGGTACTTGCTCGTACGCTCACATGACGCAGGCGGCATCCGAACCATCGCCTCTTATCGGAAAGACAGCCGAACATACAGTACAGTCCCGCGTACAAGCAGAAAGCGCAAAACTTTTACATGTTACATGTGTGTAATCCCAACTCCAACGCCGTGTTATGGCGAGTTCGTTGCTAAATCCGACAGGAACTGTGTCTTTGCCAATTTCAGAATAAAAGAGATTATTCTCGTCCGGTGACGATCTCCCTGAAATGCCCTAGGACTCCCCAGAATGCTGGCCGTGATCAAGCCGTTGCCGCCCCCAATATGCCCCTGGTAGGACCATTATCTCCTATTGAAACAGCAGAGCAGACCCGTCCTGCCAAGGAACCAACAGCATCCGGTGAAGCGAACGACAGAGAGAGCTGCCGTCGTCCACAAGAGCGCTTGGAAAAAGTGACTGCTTCGACTGGTCGCCCTGGACTTTTTCAAGAAGTTAGCAGAGTCGGGGGTGGAGACGTATGATGACGATGATACTTACAGTAAACCCGAAGTTGTCGACGCTATCACTAGTAATGATGACGGAGAGCAAGGCATTCGAAAAGATCCAGGTCGCCACAAGCCGAGTTCGGAAGTTCTTGTATGAGTCTTCCAAGTTTTTGTCTTCCTTCTCCGCAGGGGGCACGTACGGCGCCAAAGCACGCCGGACGGTGGCTTCAAACTGGGAGTCGATGTCGGCTTGGGGTCTGTCCACTTCTTCCACCACCGTCGTCTTGCCCTTTTCATCTTTTTTGGTTTGTGCCGAAGGCAACACGTCTACCTTGTCCGAACCTTTGGTTCCCCACGAGACGTCGTGCCAATTGCTGAAAGCGTAGATCATGAGGATGTTGATGAAGGATGGCATGAGCAGCAGGTACTGGATGAAGGATGTGAACATGTGCCAGGGATCCAGGTACAGAAACGAGGCCACAAAGTAGAGCCCAAAGGTGGCCGCCAGCGCGATGATGACGATACCCGGTCCGGTCGAGGCGAAGAAGGACTTGATGAATTCGTTGGCTCCCTCGTTGGTGACGATGTCCGTGCCGTCTTTCGTAGTGAATGCGCGGACCACCAAGTACATGGACAGGACAATGACGTAGAGCTGAATGACGGCGAAGGTACAGAATGAGATGATATATGCGACTTTGGAACCCTTGGGACGGTTACCCAAGGCCAGGATGAACTGCAAAAGAAGGAAAGCCAGGTAAGCGTACTGCAGGACCGTGTTGATAATCGGCGTCGCGCTGTTGCCGAACGGGAAAGCGTGGTCGTTATTGTTGGTGCTGGGCTGACCGACTAGATCCATGATGATTTTGGTGGTAAGCCAGAACGCTGCGAGTGAGAACCAGGAAAGCACGACCGAAACAATGTTGTAGAGCATTTGGATGTGGAAGAAGATCATTCGGATGATGTTGTGACCCGATTTGTACATGCGGGAGAAGTGCATGAGGGAGTAGATGGAGGCGGCAAAGGACCCGTTGAGCCATCGTCGACGTTGGCCGATAAATTCTGCGGCACCTTCAGGTACGTCGGTTTCGGCTTTCGAGGCCTTGACGTAGGTCAGATGCCATTTCGAACCTGCTTTGGCGACCAATTCGAAACACAGGATACGATCCTCGGCCAAGAACATGTTCTTCTTGAAGATATTCATTCCTTCGATACCCTTCTTGCCCAGCCGCTTTGAGAGGGTGTGATCACCGTGGAAATACTGTTCCAGAGGACGGCCCATGATCGCGCGGAAACGATATGCCGAGAACGCACCGGGCAACACACTAACGTAGCCGAATGAGCTCTCCAATGGCTTGTCCAAGATGTTGCTGATCTTGTACTCGAAGTTTTGCGCAGCGACAAGAGGGTTCAAGAGCTTTCGTCCAAAAACTCCCCCACGACCCAACATGGCGTGAATCTCACCGCAAGCGCCTCCGAGGTCCTTGTCGTTGTAGAACGCCTCCCACAAAGCCATCAATGCCTTGGAACCGGGCTTGGTGCCGGCGTCGAGGAGAATGCAAATCTCCGGGTTCAGAATGCGGCCAAATGCGTTAAACAGCCATCGGTGGGAGTTGATCTTCTTGCTGTTCTTCTGCTTCAGACAGAACATCATCTGAACCGGGGGCAGCGACGTTGGGTCATTGTCACTGGGTCTGATGAGCTGCTGATTCGCGGTCACCGAGAGTTGAGTCGTGTATTCGAAGATATGCACCACGGTCTCCTTGCCATCGACGTCCTTCTTCATGACCCCGTCTTGGTACACACCCACGGTCGCGAGAACATCCAGAGTATTCTTGTCACAAGGGTCGATACCGTCAAAAACCAGGCACACGACAATCTTTTGCCAGGCCGGTCCGCCCTTATTCCAGAACTCGGATTTTTTCAGGTTCACAATGTCACGGATGTTCTGCATCACACCGTGCAGCGTGCGTGCGGTCAAGACCTTGTCCTCGTTATAGGCCGTAATGGCGATGAGGAGCTCAGTGTGCCGGTTGTACATAGCTGGACGCAGATTGTAGCCGTTCTTCAGGGTGAAATCGTCCGGGTCACAGGTCGCGGCCGTGTAGCGCATGTGGGTAAACTCCTCGCTGCCGCCCTCGAGATCGGTCCGGTATTTGGACTGGATTGCATTTTGAATGGCACTGGGCACCGGATAGTCGATACTCAGCACGCTGTTGACCACCTTGACCTTTCTGGTGGCATAGCGTTTGACTGAACCGAACCCAGGAGCCTGTCGTTGCTGCCATGCTTCGGTAGAATTGCTGCGCTCGGTCGGATCAGGATATCCCGGGGTCGGAAACCCAGCCTGTGTGTTGCTCAAGCCGTAGGGATCCTCGCGGCCGTATGCCTGAGTGTGTTGAGGGTTGTAGCCGGTAACCGGGACTTGTGACTTGTCTCCCCCTGCGTATGTCTCATTCAAGGTGTAGATTGACTCTTGTCCCGGTGTCAATGGCCGGGAATGGGGATCTTCGTACTGCGACTGATATGCGGCGTTCTGGTGCAGCAAGGAATGCTCTGCTTCGTCGTCTGAATGTTGTTCAGTGGGTCGGTAAGTCTACACAAGGGGTCAGTTGAGCTGGCTTCATGGCGCGGGAGGCCTCGTTTCCACGTACATTGCCATGCGGTATGTCACTGAGTTGATGGCCATTGTCATAACCACCCGGATATTGGCTTGCCATGGCGCTGAGAGGTGGGTAAAGAGAAAGGGTGGTGTTGTGCTAGAGAGAAGGGTGCGAGTGCTGAGACGGAGCACCACCGTATATGTTTCTGGGTACCCTGCGGGTAATGTGCGATCTGGCGGACGGGTCACTGGTCAAGTGAGCCGCTGTGAGAGTGTACGACTGACAGCCGCCAGGGCCGGTCAGAGGGTAGAAATCGGTGCTGATGCGGGCTGTCAGAGGAATAAGGGACTGGTGAATTAGGTGATACGCAGGACCTGGATGCGGAGAAGGAAGAGGGAAAGGAATGTAAAGTTTTGGGGGGATCCCAAAGCAGAGGACAAAGAACTAGGACCAAGAAATATCGATTGTGATCGAATTAGGATTTTTACAAGATGAGGAATTGAGAGACGAGGATGATGAGAGATGTTGGTTTCACTTTTTCGTGGGATATCTGGTCAGTATCACACAGCCGCACAGCCTGCTGAAACGCAGCCCAGCCCTTTTTTTATGGAGGGTTCCCAATCCCCTGAGCTGAATCCGGCTGGGAGGTGCAGGGAAATGGGAACAAAGCGCTGACGACACGCATTGCACTACTGCTGGCAGGTGGCCACCTAGCCACCCAGTCCACTCGGTCTGAGGCAGTTGAGCCCTCGCCTAACTGCAGCGTTTTCTGGGCTGGCGAATCCCCGTCTCGGTGCCCGATCCTAGATGCCAGGAAGGCCATAAAGACCCTCAGCCGCACCATGGCCGAGTTTCCTGCCTGCTTATTGTTTCCTTGACGGGAGGCTCTGGACTGCGTGCAGCACACACTTGACACTGGCACAGATGCACTTCGTTCACAGACTGCACACCGCGTGCCTCCTCTCCAACGCAGATCGCATCTCTAATAGATCTCAACTATGAAACACCGGCAACGAACGAGTGGATCCAGCTCGCCAGTGTGTTTGGCCTGCAAGGGTTCACCCGCCTACGAGTATACGATGGTGGCGTCCTCTCTGGTTTTGGCCAAATTCCACTCCCCCGCAGTTTTCTGTTGGAATGGCTTCGCAGGCACGCCAGAGTAGCAAAGAGGATAACACACCTACTGCACATGTGGCATTCACAACAGTCAGCTATGGGCTTGCTATTCCAGTCGATTTGCTGCAGGGCGATGACACCCACTGCCTGCGGTAATTCTGTGTTCAGCCGATTCTCAAATCGTCCAACCGACTCTGACATTCCTCGCGTGGGATATGCATTGGGGCGCCACAGGGTAAGACCTTGGCTTAAACCGTATGTAGCTACCCAGCGTACTCCGTACGCAGCATGTGTCCATATTTAGAGCTTGCGAGTAGTTGGTTAGTAAGGTCCTGCGCCACAGGTGGCGGTCATCACAAACATGGGATGCACAGCACCCACCGGAATACTCGTGTACAGAAGTAATGCACTGTGATCCGCCGAGAGACTAGGGCCGATCTTACATGATGACCTTTGATGTAGCGTTGCTACTGTTCATTCATGTAGCTGTCTAGGAGGGAGCTTCCCGATACCTGTCTGCCCCTATTTTCTGCGGGATTGTCAGCATCCTGAAGACCATATCGAAGAAAAATATCTTTCTGTTCCTGCTCTTTAAAACAGATTGTCAACTGCAGACAAGAAGAAAGAGAGGATCCCGAAAGACAATGAATGGGTGACGACGGCATGATGCTGTCGATGAAACTATAGATGTGTTACTTGGCTGTTCTGCAACAAGTAATAGAAGTTCGGTAGCTGATCAGTTTCCACAACGGGTCAAAGCTCTGCTTTGCACTGCCCTGCATGATGTGCCACTTGGCGAGCAACTTTCCTTGGTGTGCACAGAACAAACTTCTCGCCTGTCGCTCTGTGTCGACACCTCGAAATCCATCGTGGTCGGGTCAGCCACCAGCGTTCGGCAGTATTCTCCCTCGTAGATGAGCTGATGCTGGTCTTGATCATTGTTGACTACTGATTGGACGTAGGCCTATGCCAGGTCAGGAGATTTTCAACCGTCTTCAGATTCAACACCCTTGCGGCAGCGTGTTTGAAGAAGAGATTTTGCGGGCGGCGCTTTTCCCCTTGCAGGCAGTAGGCCTCCAATAGGCACCCCGTAGGCGCACCAAGCTTTCTCTCCCCGAGGCCTGTGAGCCAACCGCATGCGGGTTCCACCGCCGGAGGCTTCGTGTACAATGCCCCTTCATCTCGCACTTCACCCATCGCCTTCTGCTCCCTGCAAGCAATCAATGCCCATTTGTCCGTGTCTTTTCGCTGGTTGCCTTGGGTCGTCTCCATCCCTCTCCACCAATCTCTGTGCTGGCCAGAGGGTCGAGAACGAGAGATCTGCTGGCCCAAACTCACCTGCGATTGTTCTTTGATTCTTCATCCTTTGCACTTGAGCGCCCTTCAGTCTTTCAACAGCTCCATACCTACTTCAATTCAGTCTTTTCCACGTTGGATTTTGGCTTTCTGTTGAGACGGTTGTCTCGTCCCACATTCTTTTGTCTGTTTTCGGCCACGGCTCCAATCACGGGCCAGTCGCTTCATTTCGACGACGCAACTCTCCTTTTCGTCACAACAAGAACTCGTGGTTGATCCACAGTCGTTTGGCACTTTACTCGCATCATAATCTTTTCTGTGTCAGAGCCTCCGACCATTTATCGACGTCGATTCGTCAAAGGGGTCAAAGCCCAACAGTCACGACCGCAGATTGTGCACACCGCCCAAGGAGAAAGTGTAGGCGGGATCAACACGTCTGAATTCGCCTGGTGCAATTGATCTAGCGACTCCAGTGTGAGAAACAAACGTTTGGACCTTCGCGACGACCAACGCTGCAATGGCGTCGAGCGGGCGTATGCAATACCCATGGAGATCGTTGAATCAAGGCTAACATCATATGAAGTTTTCGAGTCCTCTGCACATCAGCTATTCCGTCGCTGCGTCCAGTGCCCCCCTGATCCTCCCAGCTGCCCAGCATGCGACGTGGATGAGACTTGCTCCTTGACCGCTCAGTCATGCGACTCTTGTGCATCCACCACCTGCGTAAAGATTGGATCTCTGCCTGGTCAATCAGCACCGAAAAAGTCTACACCGGTTGGCCCTATCGTCGGCGGAGTCGTTGGAGGTGTCGTCATTCTGGCTGCCATTGTTTATCTGGTCTATCGGTATCGAATTCGTAAGAAACGACGCGCACCGACTTGGGATCCTCCCGAGAAGAGGGATCAATCCACCCTTCACCGCGCAGACCGTCAATCCACTAGGTCTGCCCACTCGATCGCCTCCACTGTTTTTACGCGAGCCTCAAATGTCATCCAGATAGCCTATATTCCAGGAGTTACCGTGCGATCGCCCCCAGACTCCCCGGGAGTCATGATCCCACCCGTGCCTTCAATTCCTGGAGGCATTGCCACCAACTCTGCCACCGGGTCACCCCAGCTGGAGCAACATTTCTTCATGCCGAAGGATCTGAGAGATTCCACGTGGTCTGACGCGTCTTCCCTCGATCCACGAATCAGTCTGGCCCCGAGCTTGGCTCGCGCAAGCGTGGCGACCACCATTTACCGCAATGATGCTATTGTCCCACCTATACCAGCTCAGCAGGCCTTCCGAGCGCAAGCCAATGTTGTGAGTGTCAAGTCCGGATCGAACACTCCGGGATCCTCCTCGACCCCGAGCGCGAGGACGCCACAGATCCCGCAAGTCCCGCAAATGCCCAAATTGGGAAGCAGCAACAGCTCCATTGTTGCGCGAAACGTAACGGCACGGCCTATCGAGGTCAAGAAAATCAGTTCAGGGGCTCGAGTCCCTACACTGGCAAATCTGGCCAAAGAAGCCGCCCGAAAGAGCAGCACTGCGGCAAGCTCCAAGGAGAGCATTCCTTTTTTCGTGGACGAAAAGGAGGTCGTGCCTTCGCCCGCGACGACCACCCCGATGACCATCCTCGACGATTCCCCGATCTCACCTCTGGTGATTCCTAAGCAGCCCTTTGCTGCTAATCACTCGGCGAGATCGTCATCGGTGAGCGCCATTCTTTCTCTGGATGGTTCTCAAGAAGGCTCCTCGCGCGGGCCCACGCACCGGCACACTGGCAGCGCCACCTTGAGTGCCGTGATTGAGGACGCTATCAAACGTGCACGGAACCCCGAACACATGAATGTGAGCAGTCCAACCCTACGGCCAGAGCTGGTCAAGCATGACTCCGGACCGTTCTCGGACGCCAATGAAGTGAAGGAGAATTTACCTTGATGTACAATACCTTTTTTTGTTTCTCTTTCATATCCGGCACTTCGGAATGCCGGCATGTGCCACGAGGCCTTGGATGATATTTTGGATGGTTAGATTAGGATGATCTAAAGATCGAGTCTCACTTGGAAAATGACACTGATATACCATCACGATCAAGACTTGCTCCTTTTCACATTTAATGAATATTGCATTTGCTTGTATCATAACGTGCTGCCGTCAATCTGGGAATTACTAGGGTAGATGGATGCTAGCACGTCGTGCCTGCCTCGTGCGTGATGATGCGATTTCACGTGATTTAAATGGGTGGCACGCTTAAGCAAACGCGCCCCTCAACGCGTTCATTTACACGCGTTAACCCGACACATTTCCTGTAGCCAGAGTAGATATCACCATCTTACGCGAAACTATTGTCCTTTTACAAGTGGCCAACATGGGCATCAAGATGGCAGACGATTCTTCACCACAACAGCACTCGCCTTCGCGGGATGAGGACATTGACCTACCCGACGCTCCATTCCCAGTTGGCGTTCGGCATGATGGAACAGGAGATGATTCCATAGTAAAGCCCGCCGACCAGAACCCAGTGGCATTGGAAGATCTGTTTGACGACGATGACGATGCCGACGACCTTGAGAGCGCCTTACATTCTTCCAGCGAAGCTAATGTACCCTCATCACCACCAACGCAATCGGCACCGGAGTCCTCAGTCGGCCCCGCTGCGACGATACAGCAAGAGTCATATTCAGATCCCACCATAATGAAACAATTCTACGCTCGACTTTTCCCCTTTCGATCCCTTTTCCAGTGGCTCAACCACTCCCCAAAACCAGGACCTGATTTTACGAATCGAGAGTTCGCATTGACCCTTTCGAACGACGCGTACCTTCGCTATCAGTCCTACCCTACGGCAGACCTATTGCGCAAGGACATCTTGCGACACATCCCTTCTCGGTTTGAGATTGGCCCAGTCTACACCACCAATCCAAGTGAGCGGAAGACGCTCAAGAAAAGCTCCATGTTCAAACCGCTGAGCAAAGAGATCGTTTTTGATATTGATTTGACGGATTATGATGACATCCGTACATGTTGTGAAAAGGCGAATATTTGTGCAAAATGTTGGTCCTTCGCTACAATGGCGATCAAAGTCGTTGATGTTGCCCTGAGAGAAGACTTCGGCTTTGAACACATCATCTGGATCTATTCCGGACGTCGAGGTGTCCATGCCTGGATCAGTGACAAAGAAGCAAGAGAGCTGGACGACGACAAGCGCAAAGCCATCACCGGCTACTTTGAAGTGCTGAAAGGAGGCGTACAAGGTGGCAAGAGAGTGAATCTCAAGCGACCACTCCATCCCCACATTGCCCGAAGCCTTGAGATCTTGAAACCATACTTTCAACAGGTCTTGATCGAGCAGGAGCCTTTCCGATCTCAAGAAGGGCAGGACCGCCTCCTCCAATTGCTGCCCGACAAGGCGCTGAACGAGGCTCTGGTCAAAAAGTGGTCGAGCAGCCCAGACCGACCAAGCATCAGAAAGTGGGAAGATATTGATTCTCTAGCCAAGACTGGCGTGAGCAAAACCCTTGACACCAAGGCGTTGATCGAAGCCAAGCAGGACATTCTCCTCGAGTACACCTATCCGAGATTGGACGTAGAAGTCGGCAAGAAGAGGATTCACCTGTTGAAAAGCCCCTTTGTCGTGCACCCAGGTACGGGACGAGTGTGCGTACCCATCACAGCCGGTGGTGACATGGAACGCGCTGAAGCATTTGACCCACTTTCCGTTCCCAAGGTCACCGAGCTTCTCAGTGAAGTCGACCAGTTCGGCAACAACGAGGCAGCCGATGCACAAACGAATGGATATGTCGAGGATGGTATCACAATGAGGAAGCTGAATGATTGGGAAAAGACCAGTCTCAAATCCTACGTGGAACTGTTTGATGGATTTGTCAAGTCACTGCTCAAGAGCGAAATGGTCCGAGTGAAAAGGGAACGAGACGAGGACGGAGTTACTGGAGCGGATGGCATGGAGTTTTGATGACCGGCTCCGATGTTCCATGTCGATCTCTTCCTGGCCCTGGTTTTGCTGCCTGCACAGATTCCAAACCAAATCCAGTCTCTTGAAAACAACTACCCGGATAACAGTCTCAAAGCGACGCTTTTACTTGCTGTGGAGAGGGAGCATGCAGCTTCAACACCCGCCTCGCATTACCACCCATAAACGCTGCAACCACTTCGGGGCGAATGCCTCCTTCTCCCAACAGGTGTTGCTTGACGCTATCCACACAAGCGTCCCAAGTCAGCTGGGGAAAGTTGGTTCCGAACATGACCTTTTTCCGTCCAGTCGTGTTGGCAAAAGTGATCAACTCTGGCGGATAATATTTTGGAAGATAAGCGCTGGTATCGATATAGATGTTCTCATGCTTCCAAGCGACGGCCACCATTTCGGCCGTCCAAGGATAGCCTATGTGACCGCATATGATTTTTAGCTGAGGGAACTTTAGTGCAAGATTGTCGATATAAGGGATAGGTCTGCCCGTTTCGCTCGGACACAGAGGGCCGGTGTGACCAACTTGGGTACAGAACGGGATATCGAGCTCGATGCACTTGACGTACAACGGCCAGTAATGAGCATCAGTGGGTGGCAGAGCCCATAACCATGGCACGACACGCAAGCCTTTGAATCCCTCATTCACAACGTAATGCTCGAGTTCTTTCACAGCGTTCACCGGGTCCAGCAAGTCCACAGACGCAAGACCAAAGATTCTATCAGGATACGCCCTCGTGAACTCGGCGACTTGTTCATTGGAGAAGATAATTCGGCCAGGCCGGCGCCACGATGCCAGACAGATTTGTGACACTCCTGCTGAGTCCATCATGGCGACCAATTCCTTGGGCGTCGGTCGACGAGTCAGAAAGTCTGGATTGGCATGGCTTTGTTGAAAGAGCCTATAGGCCTCTGGCACGCCATCCTGTAGCCGTTGTCAGGGACTGCGAATAACAGAGCAATCAATGGAGCTTGAGCAAGTCCTGCGGAGACACGGGATGGCCCCTACGAAACCGAAGGTCGAACACATACCAGAGCGAAGGGATTTGCCCACACATCCACAATGGGAAAGTTCATATCCGATGCCATCGCGAAGCGACTCTTGCCTACCAACAGAGATACAATCGACTTCTCCAGGATTGCCTGGGGTGTGCTGTCTGCTATTTGATTGCAGAGGGACAGTGAGCGTCAGCCTCGGTTCTGAGCGACGAGGCTGCAGCGCGTCCAAGAGGGGAGTATCCACAGAATCACCAGTCTGACCGGCAAGCATCACTGGCCTTGTGGCTTGAGGTCATCCGCTAACCACTGGCACTCGGCGTCCACTGGTGGAATCTTCCGAGTTACCTAGGCTACTCGTACGGCTCATCCCCGAGCGAGTTGGACCGGTGACTTCGGCCTTGCGGAGCAAAACAGTCTCCGTGGTGCCGGATGCGCCGGTTTTTTGTCAGCAGGACTCCTACCCGGGCAATTGAATCTCGCATCTACGCGCACAAATACCGTCGGGGCAATTGCTGAAGGTTTGACTGGAGATCCTCGACTGGATCGGATTACTCAGAAACGAACAATCAAAGGCCTGTTCCAGTAAAACCCCAACGTCATGGGCATTCCTCGAACATTTCAAATGCACGTCCTTGACTTCAGATTTCACCCACCCTCCGATAGTCTAATTTCTCTTTGCCAGCTAAGCGCGCCGGATCTGCATTTCCGTTCCCAGCGTTTTCTGTCGCGTTGAGCTTGGGACACGACACGAGGTACACCTGTAGGGCGACCAGCCGGACCAGCCGGGACCCTTAGACATCTTTAGAGGTGATATAACACCATGTCCCAAACAATTACGCAACCGCCCAAGACCGGCAACATGGCCCAGGTAGGCTTTCTCCAGAATTCAAACCATTTGGGCGACAGGGTCCTGACCCTTGAATTTTCAGGCCTGCGATCTTTGCCGCTTGAAAAAGCGAAAATGTGATTTGAAGACGGCAGGCGGTAGGTGTTCGGCTTGCGAGAAATCCAAATCAGTGTGCCAGATGACACATGTCACGAAGCCGCGGGAGAAGCGAAAAAAGTTGTGTCCCCTCTCCCCTTCCTGGTAGGAGTGCTTGGTCTGACAAAGAGTAGGAAACAGATGGAGAACCTAGAGGAGCGGCTCAAGAGTCTTGAGGAACTCATCAAATTGTCGGTCGCGGCCAAGTTGTCGGAGAACGGCCCTTCAGAACGGGTGGACGTGTTGACTCCATCATCACTTCCATCGACCTCCTCTTCTGCGGAACCGACCTCATACGTCCCAGACACACTTTTAGCAGAAGTCACAGATAATAGTGCTCAACCATCACCATCCCAGACACTGCTGCAAGCGCTCGGCCCCCACCGACTGGGAGGTATAACGAGTGACTTCTCGTTGTCGCCAAGCAGAGAAATCAGCCAGCTTGCGACCGACGTGGCTCAGGAATGGAGCCCAAACCCAGATTCACAGTTTGCCATGCCTGCACCGGCTCTGGCTACGACGGATGAGGAGCTTCGTCCCCAGACCCGTTATGATGGGTCGAAGAAGTGCTCCCTGCCGCCCGTGCAAGGCGGCCTCTTCCTGCTGCAGGAATTCCTGGTAGATTTTAATGCAGCTCTTCCGCTCTTCGACCCGGCCGTTATCACCAAATTGTTTCAGGACTGTTATCACGGAAGAGCCAATGGGAAACCGATTGAGTGGGTTGCGCTCAAGGTGGTCCTGGGAATTGCGCACCGCTTGCGTGCTATGAGTCCGCTGGGGGTCCCTCAAGACACAGAGAATGCCGAAATCTATCTGCAGGAATCCCTTGACACGGTCCCGGACCTGCTTGTGCTGCGACCGTCCTTGCTTCTGGCCCAATGTTTTCTCGGCTTGGCTGTGGTGATATCCACGTCCTCGCGACCGTATCCGGCGCAGATGTTTGTCTCCTTGGCCCTACGCGTCGTCCAGGATCTTCGGGTCAACGACCCCCAGGCGATCCTACCCATCAACACCGTCGACCGAGTCCAGCAAGAACGTGTTTTCTGGATTGCTTACTTTATGGAAGTAGACATGAATCTGAGGGCGGGCAGACTCCCCAACTTGCCACCACGACTGATCAATGTCGAATTGCCAGGAGAGAACGAGCCAGATGCTGCTGGGGAGATTACTGCGGCTGACGGACAATTCAAGGTCAATATCTTTCGACTCCATGTGGAGCTTGCCTTGCTCCAGGCCGAGTTCGGGGAGCAACTTTCGCTCCTGCGTACTGCTCAAGAGTCCGATCAAGCAGGCAATGTCAAGTTACGTTCAATCAACTCACGGCTGGAGGAGTGGCGGCGAAATTGGATCTTCGAGCTTGACGCTGAGGATCTGCGCACATCTCTGCATCGGTCGGATCTGGTTCATGTTGTCGTCCTCGAGTCAACGTATTTCTCGACAACCTATGCCTTTTGGGCAGATATTCTACCAGCGCCGCGGACCAGAAACAATGCCTTTTCTGCCCAAGGACTGATTGAAGGAATGTCGAAACAAAAAGCACAGATTTTGCACAAGGACGCACGGAGGTTTATCGACCTTTTGAGGTTGATTCCGGGCGACGACATTGCGTGCAATTGGTGAGTTTGGCAAAATACTTCCGACCACAACCCACACTGACAACATGCCTCGTAGGTTGTCGCTAGAGACCATTGTCTCAGCACTAGTTGTCGTTCTCGCCCATATCATATTTAATCCACCCCACGAAAGCTCAGTATCAGACTTCGGTGTGTCCAGACACATGCTACAAATCCTGCATCGACTGAGCAACATCAGCAAAGACGACGGCCTGGTTGCCGTTCAGAATCTATGTGTAGATCTGTATCTGAGGGCCGAGAGGGTATTGCAGGGAGACAAACCGCTGCACCGGTGAAGGGCCTTTTTCTGAATATGTTAATGGGCGGCACAGCGACAGTACTTGTATTGGCAATATACCCAGGCGTTGCATGTTTTCATACTTGTCTCAATTGCCGGTGCCGAGCAGTCGATGAATAGAACAGTGTCGGCTATATGGATGAGCCTAGAATGGCCTCTCTCGGCACGCTACAGAAACGGCTACCAGGCCAGGACGGACATTGGAGTGCGCTTCCCCGCAAGAATCCGCCCGCATTTTACTAATGATCCTCCCGAGATCCATCTTCGTCTTCAGCCTGCCACCGTGCAAAACCTTTTCTGTCCAGTCCGGGTCTCATCATCAGGACCTCATCTCTTGCGCTTCGATTCCAAATCAGCATTTGTCGCCCAGAAAACACAGCATAGTTGCCCTATGGAGCGCCCATCCGCGCCAGACTACAGGACGCATTGCTGATCGAATCAATGCTGTCCATCCGTACTCGGTAGACTTCGTGTGAGAGAGTAGCCTGATGTCGTCCCAAACCAGTTCTTCTGATCCACAGCCAAAACGCCAGGGAAAGCATGTCACCACCGCCTGTCTTGGCTGTCGCAAGCGTAAAATCAAGTGCGATGGTACGAGCCCACGGTGCTCCAACTGTGTCCTCTACGGCCAGGAGTGCGTCTTCCAGCACGGCGTGGATAAGCGGAAGATTGCGCCCAAGGAGAGATTGCAAGCCCTGACGAGCTACTGTCAACAACTCGAGTCCTTGCTCATTGCCAATGGCATAGATGTGCCGCCTCCACCACCGCTCCATATTCGAACCGTCTCAGCGGCGCCATCATGGCCGGTCGAGGCGTCTCCGCCTCAAAACTTCCCCTTGGGCATCAGCGAGCCCGATTTTGGCATCTCAGAATGGCCTGGTGAGGCTTCCCGGTAGTTCAAAGATGAATTGACGTACTAAAACTGGTACAGGAGAAGACGGGTACGATGGACAACCTGCGTCGTCCATGACGGGAAAGCCTCTCGGGGATGGCTACTTGTATCCGGAGTCTTCTCCGGACGTGCCGGGAATCGACAATGCAAATTCTGAGCTCAAAGCGACAGCCCCGATCCCCAATGAAGACACTTTGCTCGATCAATTGTCCGGGAGGATGGGTTCGTTGCAGATTGCCGAGGACGGACAGCTACGGTTTTATGGTGCCACATCCAACTTGCACATCCTCCACAACGGACCACTATCTTTGTCACGATCAAAGTTCCGCTCCCCCTCTGAACAGGGGACTGAATTGCTTAATGGAGGAGGTGTCGGTCATTTTGTCGACGAAAGCATTGAAGATCACCTCTTGCGACTGTACTTCACCTGGGAGGAGCCCTCGATCCATGTGGTTGATGAATCCGTGTTCTGGCGCGAGCGACTGATTTGCAAAGGTGGAGGTCAAGTCAGTTCCTTGTACTCGGAGGTGCTGACGAACGCAATGTGAGTGATATTGCCTCAGGTAACATCAATTGCACGTTGTCTGACCATCCTCTCCAGGTGCTCTGTTGGAGCGAGCCTAACCTCCAGGACATATCCTCACTTACCTGATCCTCTGCCGGACTTCTTTGCCACCAGATCCAAACTGCTTTTGGAACTCGAGATGGATGCTCCAACCCTGTCGACTGTTCAATCCCTGGTCATTCTTAGCGCCGTCGAGGCCCTTCTGACGAGGGATGCCCGTGGCTGGCTTGATAGCGGTATGCGATGACTCAACGATATCAAACTGGCTGTGACTCTGACCAAGTCGCATAGGAATGGCTGTCAGACTCGCTGTTGATCTAGGTCTCCATCTTGATCCAGAGCCGTACGTTCAGGCCGGTCTCATCACGTCTGAAGAAGGGATGGTTCGCAAGGTGATATGGAGTGGAGTCTTCGTCCACGACAGGTATTTGTGTCTGCTCTCCCGGAAATATGACGTTGAATGACCGGGTACCAGGATGTGGAGTCTATACGTCGGCAGGCCCGTCGCTCTGGACGACAAGCATATAACGGTACAGTTTTCGGCCGAAGAAGCTAGCGCGGGTCGGGTCCAAAGGTTCTGGACCCCTTACGATGACAGCGGAGCATTAGACCTGCCTCGCATGGTGGACTCAATCGACGAGCTGGGCATCTGGAACGTCAAATTATGCGCACACATGACCGCGATCAGGGAGACGCTGTAAGTTGCTCGCGCCTCCACAGAAACATCACTGACACCAATTAGGTACCCTGACGCCATGACGGGCCCAACCAACGCCAGACAGTTGTTTCAATTTGCCAACCAGATGCGCGAGAGGTTGTTGGGCTGGCAGAGAAGTCTCCCGCCCAGCTTGGCTGTCAACAACCTGGACAAGCGGGCGCTATACCTTCCGCACGTCCTTCAACTTCAGTGGGTGGACACGCTGGCATCCATTGTTCTTCCAGGCTGATGGCTTTTTAGCATGCAATATCATAGCATCATGATCATCACATTCCGCCCGTTCTTCGCCTCAATCAAGACTCTGCCGGGTCTCACCACCACTGAAATTGCAGCCGGCCGCAACTATTGCACGAGCTCGGCCAATTTCGTGGCAAGGCTAATCCAGACTTATCGTCGCCAATATAGCCTCCGAAGAATCAATGTTCAAGCAGTCCATCTCGTCTTTACAGCGACGTTGATCCACGTGTTCACCGCTTGTGCGGCAACGGACCCAGTGCGAAGCAACAGCGCGTGGAAGAATTTGGAAATCTGTTGTCAAGCACTGAGTGAATTAGGACTTGCCTTCAAAAGCGCTTCGAGAGCACTGGAAGTGATCATGGGCATCAAGAGTGATCTCCTCCGCAGGTCCAAGTCGAATATCAAGCGACAGAATCCATGGAGTGACACCCAAGACGCCGGACCGGCGCCAGCAAAGAAGCGGCGGCCCACCAATGCCGAAAGCGACCTGTTGCAGACGCACCAATCTCCACAAAGTCAAGGCAGCTCCGACTTTGGCCTCAATCTGAGCGAGGCCGACCCGGCGTTCAACTTTTTCGACACTTCGTACGACGACTTTTCCCTCGAAACTCTGTTTTGGGGTGGCTACACCAATCTCGAACTACCTCATTCTCCGCCCCGAGAACCATGAGACCTTGCAGAGTCGACCGAAGTGATGCTATCCATATCTTCAGCCGACTTTATCTACCGCAACATGGGTCGAATGATCTGCTCCTTCGACAAGACATACATCTCCTCCAGACGCAGGCATCCTGTGTGGACCTAATCTTAGGCGAAGCTCCTTTCGCCCCTCCCGTGCTACAATTGACCGGCATGCACACCGCCAGTAACGAGGACATCGGCACCGGTGGTATACGCCGCTGCATCACTCAGAAGATATCCGACGGCGCCCTTGAGATCAGCACGGTCACCTATCCTCCCCATTGGCGGTGCAGACTTGAACACCGTCAGCAATTCAGGCCTTGTTAAAGCCAACCCTTTTGTCATCTCCGTGGCGATGAAACCAGGGGATACTGTGTTTACTCGAATTCCCATTGGTGCAAGCTCCACTGCCAGCTGTCCACAAAGGGACTTGACTGCGCCTTTGGAGGCAGCGTATATGTTCAGTCTTTGCGTTGGCAGGGCGGTTTGAACTGTCACCGACGCTATCATCACAATGCTCCCTCCGGTATTCTGGGCTCGCATTTGTTTGGCCGCCAGTTGCGCACTGAGCATTGTGCCCATCACCTGAACCAAGGTTAGCGCGGTGTCCTCGATGAGGAACATATTCCACACGCACATTGACTTCGAGAATCCTGGCACCTTCATCCCAAGTTGTGTCCAGGAATGGCTTATCGTGCACGATGCCCGCCGCCGTGACGCTGTGACCGTGGTTAAGAGCGTTCGCTGCCATCAGAGTCTACCTTACCAGTTGTCTATCCGACCGAAATCTTTCACCACGGCGTCGAAACTTCTAGTTAGGCCATCCGGATCTGTGACACTTGTTCTACAAGTACAATAGTCAGCCGAATACCGTATATCCGTCTCAATGGTACGCAGACTTACCGGTAATATTTGGCCGTCACACCCAGTTCCTTTTCAAAATCAAGAAAAGCATCGGATGGCTTCTCGAGGATATCGAGAACGGCGACATTGCTTCCTAGCTCTGCAGCACCCCTGGCCAGGGCTAGGCCAATGCCTCGTGCTCCCCCTGCGAATTTTCAGGGACGTGACGCAATCTGGCTTTGATCACTTCCTTACCAGTGACGACGGTGACCCTGCCCTTCAGAGACATCAGATCTTGTATTGACCTCGTCCGGAAGGCATCTTCGCTGGAAGCTCCGAGCTTGGTGGCTGGAGCAGTGTTCTCTGTCGACATAGCTCGCGTCTGGTGGGCGACATCCCTTCGGATGGCCGGCAACGACTGTGTTAAGTAGGGCTTTGGCCTCACCAGACTGGACGGGGGCGCGGATCGGAGTATGTGCAGAGCACGAAGCCCGACGTACTGCTGCCTCAGGTACATTCTCTGGTGCGATCCAGTCTGTGCCTCTGGCCGTTTCGGAATGAACCCACGACTGGAGCAAGACACGACGAAATGGCACCCGACTCGTCCAAAAGCGTTGGCCTCACGAGAAGTGTCAAGCTCTAGGGCTCTCTGGCTGACCTCAAAGACCTGCTCTTAGTCACGACGAAGTAGGATGTAAACGGGGAATTACGGCCTCCCTTCGACATGCTGACTTTTTCCTCGTTTATTTCCCATGGGAGAATCAAGTTCCCCGGGTTTCGATTCCCGTATAGTTGCGGGGGTGGGTTTCTATTCTCCAAGCTGGGCCAATCACATACTGTCTTCTCGTGATTATGGGGCTTGGTCTCCGTATCAATTATGTGGGGTGCCAAGTCATACCGCGATATCTCGACATACATATTTTAGGGCTGCTGGCTCGAAGCATTGTCCCCAACAATCTTTCCTTCACTACGCTGCTGCCCAACATGATGTTCCTCAAATCTGTCAGAGGTCGAACCTTGTACCGGATAATGAGCATTTGCTGCTCACTAGTGAGTATGCCCAGCTTGTATCCATGTCGCCTTGTGCTAATGTCAGCCAGTCCTTCTGCATGTACGGCTACGATGCCGGCGTCCTCGGAGGCGTACAAACCACAAAGCCTTTCCTCGACGCCATGGGACATCCCACGGGTACATACGTCATTCCCATGATCGCATCCTCATACACACTCGCAGCCGCAGTCTGCTCGCTGGCCGTCACCGTCCTCGGCATGCCTCTGGGACGGCGAGGCTGTATCCTGATGGGCGATGCCCTCGTCATTGTTGGAGCCAGTATCCAAGCCTCTGCCTGGTCTGTGGCCCAGATCATCGTCGGTCGCGTCCTGTGCGGCTTTGGCATCGGCTTCATCTCCTGCAGTGTGCCCACCTACATGGCCGAGATGAGCATCACATCCAAAGAGCGAGGACCCGAGGTCTCCGTTCAGTGCGTCTGGTTGATAAGTGGCGTGTCATTAGCGTACTGGATTTCACTGGGCTGTACTCGAATGTCGAACCAGGTTTCGTGGCGGTTTCCCATTGCCTTTCAAGCATCCTTCGCGACCGTGTCCATTATCGGCATGTTTTTCCTCCCTGATACGCCCCGATGGTACTACGCAAAGGGCCGCGTCGAGGAAGGCGACAGCATTGTGATGCGCCTCCATGACCGTCCACTGGAAGACCCTGCTGTCCAGGCCATGCGGGACGAAATCTTGGCCTCAATCAAACTTGAAGACGAGGATGAGCACAGATTCAATCCGCTCGATCTCTTTTGGGACAGAAGCGACCTGCGAGCCGGCCGCCGCATCAGGATATCCTTCCTAATTCTTTCGATCCAGCAAATGATGGGTTCGTCTCTCTCTCTCTCTCTCTGCCGGTTTCACGCGGGGAATCCGATTGCTGACCCAACTTGTCTAATAGGCATCAACCTGTCGGTCTACTACTCGACCGTCATCTTTTCGCAGGTCGGCTTGTCACCTTTCCTCTCTCAACTGCTCGCGGCGGTGATGAATACCGGTTTCGCCCTGGGCACAGTTCCACTGCCGTGGACGATCGAACGGTTCGGCCGTCGTGCCGTTTTGATATGGTCCGCCGTCATCTTGACGATCTGTATGCTCGTGTTTGTGATTATGATTGGCTTGCCAAATCCGACGGTCTCGATGCAATGGACAGCTGTCGCTTTTGTGATCATTTACAACTTTGTGTTTGGGTATGGCTGGATTGGCGTCCCGTGGTTGTACGGGCCTGAGGTGAGTTCTCTCACATGTAAACGGTCGTCTTCTTCCTCTCTGGGCTTTCTTCTAGATGGGCGAACGACAAGTTCATGGTGGGATTTTCTACTGACCGGGTGGATGTTGCTACAGATCGCACCGCTCAAACTCCGTCACCTCGGCGGTGCGGCCGGTGCATTCGGCGAGTGGCTGTTCAGCTTCATCACCGTCTTTGCCGGAGGTATCGCGCTGCAGAATGTCGGATGGAAGATCTGGATCTGGATGCTCTTGTCCTGCGCGGCTGCTGTGCCGTTTGTATATTTCATGTGTCCTGAGGTATGTCATGCCTTACCACCAAAGCCCCCTTTCTCCCCCTATCCCCTATCCACAGAGACAAAATTTCGCTCCAGAAACTCATGCATTTCCTCCCCTGCGTCCCGTCTTTTCCTTCTTCCCTCTCCTTTTTTAGTCCACACGCACGATCAAACTCCATCACGATAGAGATATAGTCTAACCTCATCCGCCTGCAGACCACGGGCAAGACCCTCGAAGAGATCGACCTGATCTTCGCGAAGCCCGAGATCCGAGACTCGTCGATCGCGGCGCGCATGATACACGACCACCATGCCGAGACGGTGCAGGGAAAGGAGCAGGTCATCCAGTTCGAGGAGAAGGAGGCCGTTTGAACAACAAGAAGATACCGAATCGAGGGGTGGACAAGGCTACGAGACAGACAAGTGCGAGGCGCTGGAGGACAACGCAGGCCTTGCACAGGGTTTTTCCACTGTGTAGGACTCCTCGATCCGCGGGGTTTTATGGTTCTTCTTCCCAGGGGAAGAAGCTGGAGCGGACGGGACAGGATCAACCGCCAACAAAGATTCAAACCGAAGAGCACCTCACAGGGCGGAGATGAGTTCCCTATTATTGTCATCGTGAACAATGAAACTAAACTATAGAGATATAATACATCTTCACATCTATCGAGGAATGAATGTCAAGATCTAACTAACAGGCAGATACAGAAGCACGAAGACTTATCTATGCTCCCGTCCCTGTGTCCGTCGTGGCCTCCATAATAAAGTTCACAGACCACCGGCAGCAGTAGCAAAAGTAGTAATCCAAGACCCGACACTTGTCACGTGGCAGAACGGTCAACAGAGTTAAGGATTTTATAGGAATATCAGAGAGTGGTGGTGGTGGCGGTATCGTGGTGCTCTTCTCCTCCTCCTCCTCCTCCTCCTCCTCCTCCTCCTCCTCCTCCTTCTTCTTCTTCATCCTTCATCACAAAACGATAATCGATAACTTCCAAAATCCCATCTTACTTCTATACCTTCATTTCTGTAGAGATACCTGTTTCTACGGAAGGCGAAGAAAGCCTTATCGACCCATAACATCTCACTTATTTCTGCAAAACCCGAAGACTAAAACCGCTTCATTGGGTGTCCGGAAGGACAGAAAACAGACAGTCTTATCGACCACATTCTACAGAGCTACTTCTTGCTGACATCCAAAATGGAGTGTTGAGCCCTTGGGATGGCCGTGGACTGATAGGATGTGCGATAAGTCCCGTACCACTATGGTGACCTCGTTTAAGCATTACAAGACACAGTATTGGCATATCTAACAAACACAAATTATCACTTAGCTCTTTCCTCCTCTCGCAAGATCTTTGGCCCAATTTTCTGTCGATCCTCCTGACTCCAAAGTGGTGCATAATGGCATTTGTTTCTGTTCGCTCTGTCACGGCGGCGACGGTCGTGGTCAGCGTAGAGGCGAGGAAGGCCACGAAGGGATCATCCAGCCGAACGGAAGACGCACCATAGATTGATGCGCACGATCAATAAACCATTATTAACTCATAAGCCTGCGAGGCATACGCTGAGAGATCCTCCGGAACTCCTTCGCCCAAAAAAGGATATTGTGGTTTGACTGCCGTAGAAATAGGATTGCTCAATTCGCTCTTATAATAACAATATCCAATAAATACCTCGCCTCGGCTAGGCCGGTTTGCCATTTCCACTAATCCAGCCATCTGTGGGGAACGCGGAAAACCGTCATAGTGAGTAAGTGATGCTTTTCGACGACCAGAGGCGGATTCAAAAACGGGGGGGGAGAGAGAGAGGGAGACTTACGTGTGCGGTTCGCGACGTCGTTGACATACGACGGCGTACCGACGCTGGCAGGATCGCTGAGATCGCCGCTCGCGGCGATGCTCCCGGAGTTGTATAACCGCAGCGCCTCGTAGATGTTCTCCTTCTGCTTTAAGCATTGTGCAAAGTGGTTTGCACCCGTGGTAAGCATCGAGACGACATCTCCGAGCTGGGGTGTGGTGACCTGGAAGGACACGTCCTCCGTTAGCACAGTGTTAAAAGCAATATCAACGTGGTGTGTATGGAGTCCCTTGGGAGGGCGCTGCATATTTGGTGGAATAGATAGACAACTTACCGATGCCGCCAGGCCCTCGCAGCCAGAACATTGCATGAGCCCCCCTGTCGGTTGTTGATCCGCGTCGTAAGTCGTCTATGGCGGCTATTGATCAGTGAGAGACCTCAAAAGAGCCACAGATAGAGCCCCAACGGCAACAGCCTCGGGAAGTACCTACCGGGACGAACAGATTCCCCGTACTTTCTTGCATAATGATGCACAGCATGATGTATGTTGGGACCCCAGTCTGCCCGCTGACCTGCTGAATTGCTTGATCGATCTGTAGAAAGGGTCAACAGCAGCTCCAAAACATGTCTGGCGCAACCCTTCAGGGGGGTTGTATTCACTCACCAAACTGGCATAATCAGTGTTGCCATGTCCGGCATTGGCCTGCTGTATCGTGGTCCGAAAGGCACCCAACAAAGTCTGATAAGAACAGACTTTGGAGTCAAATGTAGCCGCGAACGCCGTGGCGGGCCCATTCTGCACGTAGTACTTTGGATCAATGGATGTACCCGGGCCAGGTGGAGGGGCACCACCGCTGGAAGGTGGAGCGCCGGTTCCGGGAGGAGCACCACTGCCAGGCGGAGGAGCACCAGTACCTGGAGGCGGAGCGCCATTGCCTGGAGGGGGAGCACCACTGCCGGGCGGAGGAGCACCACTGCTGGGCGGAGGAACACCAGTACCTGGAGGCGGAGCGCCATTGCCTTGAGGGGGAGCACCACCACTGCTGGGTGGAGCGCCACTACTAGGAGGGGGAGCGCCATTGCCTGGAGGGGGAACACCACTACCGGGCGGAGGAGCACCAGTACCTGGAGGGGGAGCACCACTACCAGGCGGAGCGCCATTGCCTGGAGGGGGAGCACCACTGCTGGGAGGGGGAGCGCCGTAACCAGATGGAGGAGCGGGATAGCTCGAGGGGGGAGCGCCGTCTTCGGGCATATAAGGTTCGTCGCCCCAAGGACCCTCATCGTTGCCTTCCTCATAGCTAGGGTCCTGATAGCTGGGGTCCTCGTAGCTGGGGTCCTCGTAGCTGGGGTCCTCGTAGCTGGGATCCTCGTAGCTGGGATCCTCGTAGCTGGGGTCATCGTAGCTAGGGTCTTGATAGCTGGGATCCTCGTAGCTGGGATCCTCGTAGCTGGGGTCCTGATAGCTGGGGTCCTCGTAGCTGGGATCCTCATAGCTGGGGTCATAATAGTCATCTTCGTCTTCCGGATAGACTTCGTCGTCATTCATTTGTCCACCGCTCTCATCCATTTGGGTACCTTCATTTTGAAGAGAGGCAGGGTTGGCATTCAGTTGGGTACCGCTCTGGTTCATTTGTGTGCCTTCGCTTGGAAGATAGGTAGGGTTGAGTTGGATACCGCTGTGGTTCATTTGTGTGGTTTCGCTTGGAAGATAGGCAGGGTTGAGTTGGATACCGATGTGGTTCATTTGTGTGCCTTTGCTTGGAAGAGAGGCAGTGTTGGCGGCCATGGCACGGTCAGGGCGAACAACTTGCGTGTTTGGAGTCCAGTGAAGACGAGCGAGTTACTTGTTTGCTCGAAAAGCCCGTCTCTTGAAACAATGGAATGGAATTTATCATGGGCCCCTTTCTAACCTTACCTTCGGACATAATATACCAAGGTTGAGCTTTATCCGTTCCTGGAATCATCAAGACATAATAGCCCACAAGTGGGCGCTCAAAGAGGTGTAATAAATAAAGGGGAGGATTCGAGGCGCGGCCCCAGTAATATGTAACCGAATATAATTATATTTGGCCCAAGTCAGCCAATGGAGCACGGAACAGCCGCTTTCCGCGTCAGACTGAAGGACGCGTTGAAGGCATGTAAGACGGCGGACGACCGCTCGTAAGCGGCATGCTTTGGGTTGTTGGGGCTAGTGGTTGATCCCATTGTGCCACCTGATATACCGCCTGCTTCATGCTCCCACGGGATATATGTACAGCATATGTCTAAGAATGACGGATGTACCTCGATCCTTGGGCGTTGAATTATAGGCTAGTGGATTCCCACCCGGCCTCGTTTGCCTGTAGACTCGGTTGTTCTTTCGGTGTCTCAGCGACGTGATTACTCGTCATCCCATCTGGAATGCTCTCTTGGATCCCTTTTGCTGGATAAGGTCCTGTCATTCACACGACCTGGGGGCTCTGAATCGATGAATATGAATAACAAACCTGAAGATCTCGATAAAGTGGTGGTTTTAGAGTTGGCTTGGCGATGGACTGAAAAGCTTCGAGTGGCTTTAACGAGCTGGATGACCGGCTACTTTACCCCAATTCGATGTCTTGCTGCTTATGCTTTGGTTTGATCCCAGTCTTTGTAGAGGCTGAAGGACCGACAGAACGGAAGTGGGCCGCGACCTACAGCGGATAAAACCAAGGATGATATTCGAAGATAGATGCCAGCCGAGTCACTGGCGCATGAGCACCCTTGTAATGGTAAGACGTTCTTATTCCCTCTACCACCTGTCGCTCACGGGCTTGCCATTCATTACACATCTCAAACTCGCTGCGTGACATCTACTACACCATTTCGCCCCTCAGGTGTGCACATGGTGCCTCACAAAACATCATTGACATCCTCGAGATTGTACTCGCCCATTTTCCTGGGTGGAACTCGGTGCTGGAACAAATAGTCAATCTCCTGGAATGTGCGGCCCTTCAGCTCAGGCACGTAGAAGTAGCTCCACACGGTGCCCAAAGCACAGGCTCCACCAAACACAAAGCCGACTTTGCCTTTCAAGTTGGCCTTGTCTGGGTTGACCATGTAGGGAACCACAATGTTCATCACCGTGCCAAACACAGCTTGGCATGCAGTGGCGAGACCGACCGTCTTGGCTCGAAGTGAGGGACTGGAAACTTCGCCGAGTAAAGCGAATGCGATGCACCCGATTGTGATCTGGTAGATGAGTGCGTAGACAACGGTGCACGAGGCTTGAACCCAGCGAGCAGCCGAGGTGTGGACGACGTCGAGAATCCCCATCAAGACGAGGACAATGGTCATGCCGACCATGCCCGAGACGAACAGCTTTCTCCGACCTAGGGTGTTGATCGCTGCCCACGAGATCATGACGCCAACCACACCGCAGGCCGTGACTCCCACACCAAGGTCGAAAGCGTCCTTTGTTTGGATTCCGGCAAGCTCGAAGAAGTAGGTCGAGAAACCCAACACGAAAACAATACCCGAGAGATGCTGGCAGGCAAAGGCACCGACCGAAATGGTTGTTCGCACGAGGTTGGTGCCGCGGAAGCATTGGTCCCATCTGGCAGACTTGGACAATTCGGCGTCCTCCTCGACGGTCCTGATGATCATGGCCAGCTTCGGTGATACATCAACATCCTTGCCGTGCAGACGCTCGAGTGAGCGTCGAGCATCTTCCATGCGGCCGCGACGGACATAGTGCCAAGGAGACTCGGGTGCAAAAGGGATGCCGACGAGAAGTATGGCTAGTTCGATTGGTCAGACGTGGACATCCTCCGAAAGGGAGTGTTGTGGAAATGCTTACCGACGAACAACCATTGAATGGCAAAAGGCCCTCGAAAAGCCCAGCGGTCGGTTCTGTCCCCGAATCCTTTGATAACGGCATTTGACAGGAGCTGTCCAATCACAATGGCAAAGTTGATGCCGCCAGTGATCATGCCACGAAGAACGACCGGCGCCACCTCAGAGCAGTAGAGAGGGCCGATGGTCAAGTAGAATCCAAGGCCGACACCCAGGATCAACTTGCCGATGAGGAAGGCCGGTCTGGTGGTCGAGAAGACCTCACCGAAAATACCCCCCGTGACAAAGGCCAGCCCTATGAGCAGGGAGTGCCGACGTCCGATGCGGTCGGAGATCCATGAGCACATAAAGCCACCGAAAAACTGGCCAACGCTGGAGATGCTATTGAAGCCACTCTGCCAGCTGGCGGGAATCACGGGTTGTCCTTTGTAGATGTAGCTGCGGCAACAGTCAGCCTCTCTATATCGGGTCATCACAGAGACGAGGGCGCTGTGGGTGGGCCTCCTGGAGACTTACCCGAAGGTATACCGAAACTGTGGCACTGAGATCATGGCGCCATTCACCTGTGCGTCGAAGCCCCTGGCAAAAGTCGGTCAGTCATCGGGTGGTTATTCGAGGTGCCAATGTGTGTCACTTACCAACCAATGCAGCTGAAGGCAAAGAAGACACACCAGAAGACGACAGTCTTGTTCTTGGAAAGGGCTTCCCACACCGAGAGACTGTGTTCTTCTTGAGCGGCTGCACGTGCCTGTTCGACCTTGGGTGCCACATCTTCAATAATTGAGTCGGCAGCCTTGTGGTGGTCGGCGCTATGGACTTTCTCCATGTTCAAGGACGTGAGTCACACTCGTTCGCCGTGTGTCGGGGAGGATGGATGGTGATGAGGGAGGTGAGAGAGAGATCGCCACCTTGTCACAGAAAATTGGACCTCACCTACAGAGGGCACGAAGGGCTTTATGTATTGTTTCTCTTCTGTGTGCGATGCAGGCAGGTATGGATCATGATGCATGTTGTGGAAGTCGCATCCAACCCCAGATCCATCCTTGAGGCCTCTCCGTACTCTGTTGTGGTTGAATTCGTTCGTGCATTCCGGAATTCCGCAGATGTTCTCATGGGGGGATTTTTGCCTGCGGAGGGGAGGCTGGATACTAGGCAAAATGTTTGGGTAGCATTGGAGAGCCATCGAAGGAGGCAACGGACATGGCATGGGTGGTGATGCCTCTGGTGATTCTACCCCGCCGGCGCCCAGCTATTGAATCCTTGTGGCATGACTCGACCAGTCGGTTGGAGTCAAATGTTGGCTCAGAGCGGTAAAGTGGTGTTGCAATCACACACACACCGCGCACACCAGGGTCCGGAGTAGCGGGTGGTAGACTGCTGATTGATGGCACCTCTCACTTGAATTGAAACACAGATCGTATTTTCCCATGCGGTGAGCTAAGGGGTTTTCGGCTGCCACAATGCAGCCAGAGCGCAGTTAGATCGCAGCCAAGGGCTTCTAGAAAGACTGGGCGCAGTTATGAATCCGAGGCTCCCTTGGTCCTTGTCGGTGGGCAGGCCTATCAGGGCCTGGCAAGCCTAGTGGCCTAGCGGGCTCTGGCGAGGGTGGTGCCCATTGCCCCCCTCGATCGCCCGCCTTTAGTGCCCCTGTTGGATATCTAAGCACCCTTTAGCTTCACGGAGGGTGACTCTGGGCGACTGTGGGTGACTGTGCTTTCCGGGTCAACCCCCCGTACACCCCCTCCCTCCACCCCCCCGCAACAAAAACGTCGTCGTCTGAGCTTGCTCTCCCTCCTCCAGCACTCCGCTGGTGGCCTTTATCACTCCCCCGGTATTCCGCTCATCCAACTTCCCATCCTCCTCTCCAGAGTCGAGCATCACTTCCCCAGATCTTCAAACCCCAGTTGTCCTGGTGGAGCAACAGCTCACTCCTGTTATCGGCAATGCAGATGGAAAGCTCGCTCCGCAACATTCTCCATTCCAGCGAACCTGCTTATGATTCCTCGTCTCTCCATACTGGCCATTTGCCGGCAACCGTGCAACAAAATGGCCCTTTTATCGGCGCAATGGAGGCTGAAAATGTCTTGAACGATTCCCGGAAGCGTCCTGCCACGCGGATAAAGTCGTCCTATCCGCGAAAGAGAGCCATTCAAGCCTGCCAGAAGTGCAGAGTCCGGCGAACAAAATGCAATAACGCTCGTCCAACCTGCTCCTCCTGCTTGTCGATTGGCGCCGAGTGCACATATAGCGAAGGAGACCATTCTACGTATGTGCGTGCAGCGGTACATCTTCGGATGTGCTGTATGACGACGACTCTCTTCTGACCGTGGCAGCTTCGATTCCGCGAGTCTGGCAATTTTGGACAAGTTGAACACCATCGAGGAGCTCTTGAGATCGCCCACTGCCCGGCCCCCGGCCGTCCCAGCAGCCCCCAGCACTGCAGCTGACAGCCCCAGTCGCGGGGTCTTGTCCCGGCTAAAGTCACTGAATTCACCCAGTCTCGAAAGAGCGAAGGATGCCACCCCCTGTCACATGAACATTGAAGGAGTCTTGTCGTGGTCAGTGTTCGATGATGTTAGCCCCAACCTGGACCTCAAAGGCCTTCTCAACGCCAGCCACGGCGCGTTGCAAAACCTGTCAATCGTGTCGGAATTCGACGAACATGTCGCCGAGGAGGAGTTGGTCGCGAGGTTTATGAACAATGTCTTCATTTACAATCCGGTCTTGGAGGAAGCCAAAATTCATCGGTACATGCGTGATGCCCGCTTCAACGGCATTGGATGGGACGCCCAGTCGTGTCTGTTGGTGAGAGGGCTTCTGATACGAAATTGGCGTCAAGATTGCTGACTGTCGTGATTGCCGTTAGCTCCTGATATACGCTCATGGCTCGATCGTCGGCCCATTTGATGGTGGACAACAACAAGATGCATCGTCATTTCGGTCATCTCCTCAGTTCAAACAGTCCGAGTCGTACTTCTCTGCCGCCCAGAAAAGGATGGGGCACCTTCTCTGCCGCACGGGGGTGTTGGAGGCACAGTGTTTCTTCCTGGCAGGAGTTTATTTGATGGCAACATTGCGTCCAATGGAGGCGTGGAAGATGTTTGTCCAAGCCCTTGCCTGCTGCCAGGCGTTCTATACGGAGAAAGAGTCGCCCGAAGCCGACAGGGAAGGAGAACAGCGTCTGCGGGAAAGCATCTACTGGACTTGTTTCAAATCAGAGCTGTAAGTTGACTTTTCACACCCGGGGTATTGTTCTACTCTACTACGACACTGACTCTCAACCAGCGAACTCCGTCTCGAACTGAATGTTTCCGAAACGTCGATTTGGGACCTCACTTACCCTGCCTTCTTCCCTTCTCCTCCCGAGGGTCTCCGATCCCAACGAGAAATAGTGTGGTATTTTTATCTGGCCGAGATTGCCCTTCGACGGCTTGGCAATAGGATCCTTAACTTTATCTACGATACTAAGGCCACGAGTTCCCTCTCCAACGCGGCCGAGTCTACTATTGGATTTGAACAGCAGGCGGCAGATTGGATCCGATCGCTCCCGCAAGCACTCGATCTCGACGCGCCGTCAGTCGGAGAGGAGAGTGATCTGCATCACTCACTCAAATTCATACTGAAAGGACACCTCCTCGACTGCTACGAAATGATGTATTGGCCCTTTATCGTCGCGGCGGTCAACTATGATACCCCCGAGAGGACCCCAACGATCTCGACTGATTCGATGGACTCGTTTGTGCGCAAAGCGCTGGTAGTGTGCGTGGAGCGCATCGAAAAGAACGAACAGGGCTTTTTCTATCGCCATCACGGGACCTGGCTGATGCTGCGGTCTTGCACGAGAAGTGCACTTGTTCTTCTTGGGGCGGCCAGGCTTGAAAAGCTAACACTATTAATGCCGGATCGCTGGCGAGCGGCGGTGGAAAAGGTAGTCGAAATGTTGATATTCTGGAGGCGAGAGAGCAGAGACGTGGAAGACCGCCTGCGACTCGTGGAGACGTTGCTGGCCGGTCTGACGTTCAATGATCCGCGTGCTTTGTGAGCAGAGTGTGCGGGATTTCGGCTTTTCATGATAGCATTATAAGTCTGGCGCTTGTTGCATTATACAGATATTTCAGGACAGTGTGAGGTGACCAAAAATGCGTCATCGCCTGGGGGAATCACATTCAAGCATCTACCTCTCGGATCTTGTATTCGAACATGCCATTTGACGGTATTCTGTTCTTGTCGAGCATTTTCATCGAGGTTTCAATGCCGGCCGCGGGCACCTGATACTCGAACTTCTTGCCTGGCCCCGGTTTCGACCCATCCGGGAGCGCATAGGGATACGGGAGATATTCCGGCATGAGACCCAACTGGATCAGGAGCGAAGCTTGGTCCCAGGCGATATGTTCATGATACAGCCGATCGCCGCGCACGCAGACCACAGAGGTGCACGGAAGCTCAACCTTTCGCCCCGTTGGCGGAATGCCAGGAGCCCTGCCGACAACAAGTCAGTTCGTGGGAGTCCCGTCCACAGTCGACGTCGTTGGATCTTACAGCCAGTCGATTTCCATATCGTGCGTGAACTTGGCAACAAACTCGTCACAGACGCGATCGATGCCGATCGTTCGACTCACAAGCAGGAGCTCCATGTCTTTTGGATTTTTGGGGATGAAATTGTTGCTGTAAAAGTTTGTCAAGCTCGTTCTGCCAATGCCGCCCGTCATCTGCGTGTCCGTCCGAAACAGTCAATACTTCGCCCGAACGCAAAGGTGGGCGGCTCAAAAGAGACATGTTCGTACCGTGGTAATGTGATTGACGTAGGGCTCCTGCACCATGGTCGCCATGGTCTTGGGCACAGAGCGCTCGGCAAATTCATAGTACGTGTGCTCTTCCCAGATGGCTTCCAGGTCGAAATCCAGGCCGCGAATGTACTTCTTGAGAAAAGTGAGGTTTCGAGTATGCGAGACGGCTTCGTTGGTGCTGTCGAACTCGGCCTGACCGGGTATCACAAACTTGGAAGAGCTGACCGAAGGGTAGGTGTATATTTTGGCATCTGGGTGCGAACCTGCCTTTTCGTCTCCCGCGAAATGACAGAGCCTGGGTACCGCGACCGAAGTGACCAAGTCCCCCGCCGTGCCATAGACCACAGCTGCCGCAATCTTGGGGCTTATGCCTCCACTACGGGCAAGGTCATTCCACAGCGAGGTGTCGTAGACTTGAAAGGCTAGCTTTTAGTCCTGACGGTGAAGAACTGAAATACTGGTTTTGGGGGAGTGAGAGGGACGGAGGGAGAGAGAACTCACCGACCATTCCGATCCCATCGTTGAAATCGCACTTCTCACATCCTTCCAGTGCTGCGAGAGCTTTCACGACATCCGCCATGGTTGAACCCTGGGTGAACCCTTCGCCTCGAATCTCCACCACTGCAAATCCTTCTTCTGCCCACTTGAGCAGGGGAGGCGGAATGCCGTCCTCGCAAACGACGCCGCCATCGGTGTAGCGGGGTGCTTTCGCCGGCAATACAAGGATCAGCCCTGGCCCGTGGCCCTTTCGAGACAATGGCGGTAAAAGTGAGATGTGATCGGCGACTTTGACGAGGTCGGCCGTTGGGAGAGAGACATGCTCTTCGGCGGCAGTGATTGATTCTGCCATGGCGGTCTAGGAAGCGGAGATTTTGGATGAAGATAGGTTATATTTCGCCTTCGAATTTCAGGTTGATCGAGAGTTGATCGAGAGTCTTCTAAGATGAGGGAGGGCAAGGTCCACAAAGAGAGAGTGGTATCGAAGCTGCTGATGGTTGGTGAGCGGACGAGTGCGCCGACCGCGGCGCTTGATAAGGCGTTCAGCCTCGCTCGGCATTTCGTTTGGTTTGGACAGGGATGAACCACGACTCGAATCATGAGATGGTAAAAGTTTCAAATGGCCCATGACAGCTCTCGTGACATTATTCAAGACTATCTACTCATGTAGAGCCGGTATAGCCAACTGGTCTAGCACGGATTGCACCTAGAGGTACCATGGCTGTAACTATCTTCCATCGTCCTCTTGCCAACGAACCCTCACGCTTTGGGGCAAAACAAAAATATTGCCGCTTTCCCAGCTTCTTGAATCACAGTCCACATGGTACCAAGCCACAGAGGCCGCTAGCTATATTCGGGTCCGCATACCGTATTGAAGAGTCCAAAATTCTGAGAGCCTGCTTCCAGAAGCCCAAACGCAAGTAGACTCTGCAACACGTAGCTGAAGAGACTTGCCGCCACAATAGATCATCAGGCATCCTCTCGCGGTGAGTGGCCCGGCCTGCCAAGGTCTATCTCTTCAAAGTCACATACCAGATCTGATAAATTGCGACGTGCGAGGACGGTAAGTTGTATTATGTAGGTTATGTAGTAGCAAAGAGGGACGCCGACAAGGTTGTGGATGCCCGGTTGACCTTCCATTCTCGGCATTAGTATAGCCAGAAAAACACTAGTTCATATCTGGCTAGCACTCCTTTGTTATCGATAACCAGAAAAATTGTTGCTCTCCTCCGCAGCAATTTTTGTCCCCGAGTGACATTTTGCATCTAGTCTCACCGCCCGTCGGATTTCACGAGGAACAACAGCATGTCCAACACAATGGATCCCCAATTGGCAGAGTCCAAGAAACGCAAAAGGAAGCGGACAAAGCCCACAGAGGCTAGAACCGAAACGCAACCAGCACCGTCTGCCCCAAGCGACCACATTCAAGCGTCCTCAAAGGAACCTCAGGAAAAGAGCAAGAAGAGACGGAAGACGTCTCATTCGAGCGAAGAGGAAGACAATGTGGAGATGACTGCTTCGACCAAAGCCGTGGACGATGCTGCGGGAGAAACAGAGGAAGAATCTTCGGACAGCGAGGTGGATGGCGCAGTCGACGACAAAGACGACGCAGGCCCTGAACTCGAAGAAACAGTCAACACCACAACCATGAGCACAGAAATCACCTCTGCGCCCGCTCCCGCCGACCTGCCTACAGACGCTGCTCCTTCGCTGCCGGGCACCGAAACTACCCCGCAGGCCTTCTCGGAACTTGGCCTGTCGGAAAAGACTATGAAAGCCATCACGGAAATGGGCTTCACCAGCATGACCGAGATCCAAAGGCGAGGCATCCCGCCGCTGATGGCAGGTCGGGACGTTCTGGGAGCTGCCAAAACTGGGTCGGGTAAGACGCTCGCCTTCCTCATCCCGGCAGTGGAAATGCTGCACGCTCTCCGATTCAAACCACGCAACGGGACTGGTGTCATCGTCGTCTCGCCCACACGAGAACTGGCTCTGCAAATCTTCGGTGTGGCCCGCGACCTCATGCAATTCCACAGCCAGACGTTTGGGATCGTCATTGGGGGCGCCAACCGCAGCGCCGAGGCCGACAAGCTCACCAAGGGCGTCAACCTGCTGATCGCCACGCCGGGTCGGTTGCTCGACCACCTTCAAAACACCAAGGGCTTCGTGTACAAGAACGTGAAGGCGCTCGTGATCGACGAAGCCGACCGCATCCTGGAAGTCGGGTTCGAGGACGAGATGCGGCAGATCGTCAAGATCCTTCCGGACCGTGACCACCGCCAGACGATGCTGTTTAGTGCGACGCAGACCACCAAGGTGGAGGACCTGGCGCGCATCTCGCTCCGACCCGGCCCGCTCTACATCAACGTCGACCACAAGAAGGAGCACAGCACGGTCGAAGGCCTCGAGCAGGGCTACGTGATCTGCGACTCAGACAAGCGGTTCCTGCTGCTGTTCAGCTTCCTGAAGCGCAACCTGAAGAAGAAGGTCATCGTGTTCATGAGCAGCTGCAACTGCGTCAAGTACCACTGCGAGCTGCTCAACTACATCGACCTGCCCGTGCTGGAGCTGCACGGCAACCTCAAGCAGCAAAAGCGCACCAACACCTTCTTCGAGTTCTGCAACGCCACCCACGGCACCCTGATCTGCACCGACGTCGCCGCCCGGGGGCTCGACATCCCCGCCGTCGACTGGATCGTGCAGTTCGACCCCCCCGACGACCCGCGCGACTACATCCACCGCGTGGGCCGCACCGCGCGCGGCGCCAACGGCAAGGGCCGCAGTCTGATGTTCCTGCAGCCCAGCGAGGTCGGCTTCCTCACTCAGTTGAAAGAGGCCCGCGTGCCCGTCGTCGAGTTCGACTTCCCGGCCAAGAAGCTGGTCAACATCCAGAGCCAGCTGGAGAAGTTGATTGGCCAGAACTATTACTTGAACAAGGTGAGTAACTTCGAGTCGATACTTTTTATTTAATCAACCCCTCCCCACTCCCCATTTCCATTCCACCTCTCTCTTCCTTCCCCATCAACTACGGGAGACTGTTGTCGTCGTTCGTCGTACCAGCTAAACTGACCTATATCTGTTCCCCCCTTTCAATAGTCCGCCAAGGATGGCTACCGCTCGTACCTGCAAGCCTACGCCTCACACAGCCTGCGCTCCGTCTTCGACGTGAACAAACTTGACCTGGTCAAGGTCGCAAAGAGCTTCGGCTTCCCCACACCGCCGAGGGTGGACATCCAGTTGGGCGCGAGCATGCGGGACAAGAAGCAGAGCCACCCCGCGAGGAGGAGTTATGGGAGCCAGCCGAGACAGAAAAATGGGTTCAAGAGGAGATGAAGTATTAACAATTGATCAGTTGTCTGGAGTGATTCTAGTATGCTTCTCGTCAACAAGTTCGGAGCTAATGGCGTTGGCAAAGTTATGTAACTGGGGTTAATCTGGCACAAAAGACTGGTTGGCCGACAATCCTAGCCTTGAATATTGTTTGTCTGCATGATCCCCGCGACTCCTACTCCGGTGTTCTGATTTCCTAAGTTTGTCGCTCCCTACCTCGATCCATGTTTCCCATTTGCCTAGATGGCACTGTTGCATCTCACGAAGCCAGCATGTTTGAAAGCTTTTGAAAGTCTGGCGTTCCCCAGCCTGTAACGGGATCCCAACCGGGAGCCGCATTCCAACTGGCATTCAAAATCTTAGGTGTCGGCTGTCCCGTGTACATGTCCTGACCTGAACAACCGCGAGAGTGTCCTAGGGTGATATCGTTGAATGCCTGATAGCCCTGCGAGTACAGCCAAGGGTTCAAGAAGCCGAGCTTGGTCTTCCCCTGTGCCAGACGTTGGTTGTTCAGATTGGATATAATGGCCGCAAAGGTTGGCGCCGCGCAAGACGTCCCGTATAGGAACTCCGGGTGATCTTGGTTCTCTATGAGGTAGCGCACAGATTGGGCAGAGACATCAGGGTATCCTCGACCAGAGGCATTATAATAACCTTTGTTCTTATCACCCAGCCTGCTGAGATAGGCTTTCGTGGTGTTGACTTGGTAAGAGGGTGCCACGAAGTAGTTGGAAAATCCTCCTGACGAGAAAGCAGCCGCAATCTCTGGATTTAAGGCATAAGTGCCTCCAACGGCGGTCACATAGGGGCACGTTGCTGGAAAGTTTGGTGCAAAGCGTGGTGTTTCCTTTCCGTCATTGGATTGACACGCACTGCCAACACCGGTATCACCCGAAGCGAAGATCACAGATACTCCACGTAGACCAAGAAACGAGAATGCAATGCACACTTCTGTCGCCCAGTCAAGGGGTACTGTCTGCTCGTCCTCAGCGTACGAGGTCGTAAGAACGTCGGGAAGGTCTGAGTTGTTGAGACTCAGTAAGTATTGCAGTTGATCAAGGTACGGTTCGTTGCTGCCGTTTTGGGAAGGCGTCGGCTGGTCAAGATCTGCGAGCATTGGAGCTCGTCCGCCTGTTGAGTAGTAAACCACTGACGTCCCTTGTGCCAGGGCTACGGCATATTGCACCTGAGATCAGTTAAAAAGGATGAAACTTTTTGACAGACAATATACGAACATCGAGATTCCCCTCTGCAGTTTTGTTAACCCCTTGCTGGTCGCTGACCCCATTGTTGATTGGGACAATAGAGAAGTCATGGGACTGACTCCCGGCACCGGTAAGCTTGAGAAAATCTTCAAGGTCGTCAAAATACACTCCTTCGTCAATGAAGCCAGATACACCGAGTTTTGTCTTTCCGTTGGGATCGGCTTGGAAATTGCTCATCCTGTAGATGCCTCGAATGCATGCTGGAGTGATGGTGCTGTTACAGAAGGTGGCATTATAGGTGGTCAGCAGTCCGGGATTCCCAATTGGCGAGATTAAACCAGGGTCGGGGTTATCTCTGGTCTCTAGCATAAGCCTGGCTTGTGCTCTTGGTTGACCAAACCGAGTAGTGGGCTGAATTGTAGTGATCAATGGCATCAGGCTTGTCGGGACCGAGTACTGCAGAGTGCGAATCAAAATCGTGTCTCCGTTGTGATACTCGTAGAATTCAGTGCTAAGAAGACTCTCTGCTTGGTAAATGGAAGCGTTGAACGTGATCCAGGATCCTTGATGGGTGATGTTGCTTGGCAGGATACCTTTGCCCTCGAGCCAGTCAAGAATTGCAGCAGTCACATCGCTGGCTGGCCGCAGCAGAGCATCGAGTTCATGTTTTTCCAGGTGGTGACCATAGAATGGATGATCGGGTGTAGAGATGTCCAGTAGGTGCTGATGGATATCACCCATTGCAGGTCGATTCATGGCGATACGCAGTTTGACGACTTCATTTGAACTTGGTTTTCTGCCCTTTCTCGGGTGAGTAAGCGACACCTTCCTTCCAGCAATCAGCATACCTGAGTCCATCCTTCTGGAACGGCTGGTAGCTTTCCGACGATGGTAGTTGAGAGATCGCATAGAGCGGTAGTGGAGACACTCCAAGCGCAAAGGATCAGGCTAAGGATGAGGGCAGCCATGTTTCCGACAATGACGACAGCGATGGACCTGGAGTTAGCTTTCAGAAGGCGTCATGAACTATTCATCGGTATCGAGGTCGGTAAGGACATCGGAATGTGAGAGTACTGAGGAAGGCTGGCATCCATTTCAGCCTCTAAGTGGAGAAACATCTGTCATGCACAGGCACAGCTGTCATGGAAGTAGCGACTGTCCGGGCGCCGAGCGTTGTTGAGATGACAGGAAGGAACATTGAAGCCGAGAGGTGAAGTTCTCGTCGGCGAGGCAGCATTCACTGCACGGAAGACTGAAACCCGGGGCACGGAGAGAACAAGGACTGACAGGCCCATCGACAAATTGTCTACCTACGATTCAGTTTGGAACATATGCTTCCCCTTTCCAGTTGCAGATTGGCAGAAAGAACGGTACAAAAAGTTTTGCCAAGGGCAGGCATTCAAGTGTATTGTGATATTTTCGTGCATTGATACCTCGTTGATATCATCTCCAAATTGAACAAAACGGGAAAAAGTCCGGAAGGCCAGAAACGTCTATCGTCTCATATCTGCTCCCAACTGTAGCTCGTGCTCGAGGTCATTGGTCGCAAAGGCACCTGCCTCTTGCGGTCTTGGATCCTCGTGGCTGCTCCATTGACTCGGATTCTCGGGAATCGGCACGTTGATGTTGGCAGTTGGGGTCTGCGACGGCTGGTGGCGGACATGGTGACGGAATCTCATGACCTCGTCCAGGATCATTTTTCGCATCTCCTGCACATCCTCGACAACCTCGAACGCAAAGTCAAAGGTCTTGGGACAGGCGGGCTCGTCACTGGCATCGTGCCAAATGTGAAGGTATCTGTGCTCCAAAGCATCCTCTACCGAGATGCGAGACGATGGATCGAATGCCAGCATTCGGTCCAGAAGGTCGAGGGCGTCGGGGTTCGCCTGTGGGAACAATCTCTGGAAAGGGATCTTGGGCATGTATGGCAGATTTCGGACATACTCCTGAGCCCTGGGTGATCCGATTCTTGACAGCGTTTCCTCGTTAGGTGTACCCAGGTAATGCAAGATCTGGTTCAACTGGTCGACGTAGTCCCGGCCTTTGAAGAAGGGTCTGCCTCCGAGCAATTCTGCCAAAATACAGCCAACCGACCACACATCGACTATTACGCATGTTAGCAGAGAGTAAAGTGTCCATCGAATGTCAACGTACTAGCTTTGGTGTAGCTCTGGAAGCTCAGCATAATCTCCGGAGCACGATACCATCGAGTTGCGACGTATTCGGTCATATATCCCGCATTCTCTTCGGGATCCTGAGAGAAACCTCTGGCCAGACCGAAGTCGCAAATCTTGAGCTCGCAATCGGCATTGACGAGAAGATTGCCGGGTTTCAGATCTCTATGCAACACATTCGCTGAGTGGATATACTTGAGACCACACAAAATTTGGTAGATGAAAGATTGAAAGTGAGCATCGGTGAGCGGTTGGCCTGATCGAATGATTGCCGCCAGATCGCACTCCATCAATTCTAGTGCGCGTTAACCACTGTCTCTGTCCACAAGGCGGTCAATATACCTTCATAGAGATACGTCTCGTTGAAGTTGTCTGGCCGGGGAATGTCCATGTCATAGAGACAGGTGATCTGTGCCTAGTCAGCCCGGAGGTCTTCCTACAATTGATCGATCGCAACAACGTACATTTCGATGGCCGCGGAAGTGCTGGAGAAGCTTGATTTCGCGCAATGCCCGCTTGGCGAGAATCTTCTTGCTGAAGACATTGGTGACTTTCTTGATGGCCACTCCTTCTCCCGTTTGCGAGTTGGTCGCAGCACTTTTCGGCCAGGTCAGCAAGGCCCCAGCGCATCGCGGAGGTACTCCTACCAGACAATACCATATGCACCCTGGCCCAGCTCTTTTGTCACGGTGTATCTCTCATCGACAATGAAGTCTTGATTGAAGACCTTGAACACTTTGCGCCCTGCTAGGTCCCCCATGTTGCTGTTGCTATCACGATTATCGATTGGCTCTGGTCAGGGACAAACAGGATCGGACGGCGAGTTGAGGGTGACGGGAAAGGTCAGGACAGCAGTTCAAGCGTTATAAGGGAGAAGGGCCAAGCAGATCGAGGGGGGCAAGGCAGACTTTTGATCTTGGATGATTCTGCGGCTGAATGATAGAGTTGAGCAGTGCTGACACGCTGAATGCAACTGCGATCTTGGAATTGCGGCGAGATGTGTCCAGACGGAGTCAAAGGTGGGGGCCACGTCAGGTGTAGCGTGAGGATATTTGTGTAAGACCTAGCCAGTAAAAGGATTTGGACACCAGGAGACGGCCAAGGGGAGAGATTGAAGGAAATTGAGACTTTAGATGTGCATTAGATAGCCGCTGAGGTGGATTGGCACCACCGTTTGCGATGAAGGTGCTTTGGATTGTCGTTTGAAGCAGCCGCGCGCTGTGGTTTCAAGACGGGATAGGGGAAAAGCGAAGGGAGGGGCAGCCACCTGCCCTTGAAGCCTAATTGAACTCGTGGGGGGCTGAAGTGCCACCAGTGCTGTCCCTGGAGCCTGTAATAGTGTCTGACAAAAGATTACTGGGGTGAGCGCCGGGTACGCCACTATTATGATGAGCACGTGCCAGGGCTAGTGGGAGCCACCTCTCGCCTCTTAGCAAAAAAAGTGTGGCTTGAGTTATCCTTCCACAAATTGATAATCGATCTTTCGTCTGACTCGCTTTGACATTATTTCTTGTTATGAGAAACCAGGTCTCTGGCTACTACTGATTGACGTCTATCAAGCTCTGAGTATTGAGCCATTGCTGCCACAAAAGAGGTGCATCTGAACTCCCGAAGACGTGAGTTTGTGGAAAGAAATTCGTCGTGATGTCAAAAAGTTAGGTGAAGCCAATTATCGCAATCATCAGCTGGTCGCCATGGAAGAATTACTCGCGAAACACCGCAAGGAGAAGCGAGACCTCCAGGCAAGGATCACGCAGAAAAAGAAAAATGCAACCAAGAAGACCAGAAAGGGGGTCAATGACGAGTGTGAAAGACTCGAGCGAGAACTGGCTGAGAAGCAGCAGGCCGAGATTCAGGACTTGGATCCCCAAGATCCCAATGAAGTACAGGAGACGCTGGAGGATCTGGCCATCAGTGATCAACCAGGAAGCGAAATCAATGGCCAGCCAGAATTGGAACCGGAACCTCTTCAACAAGTCGACCCTGCAACACCAACGTCAGGGGATCAGTCCCGGCATCGAAAGCCAAACCGGCAAAAAGCAAGACTGGCACGGCGAGCAGCGGAGCAAGAGGCACAAGCAGCGGCGGCCGCTCTTGAGGCGGAGAACATTCCCGATCTCCGTGAGCAAGAACTCGCTAGCATGAAGCAACAGATGAGCAAACTAGGCTTGTCAGAAACGCTCATCCGGCCGGACGGTCACTGTCTCTTTTCCGCCTGCGCACACAGCATGCCTCTCGACATACTTGCAACAAAAGCCGCAGGGAACAAAAAGGAGCCGTATGAGAGAGTTAGATATGCAGCAGCAGAGTTCATGGCTCAACATCCCGAGGATTTCGAGGCATTCATGGAGGAGCCGTTGAACGCGTATGTGAGCAAGATCAGAGATACGGCAGAATGGGGTGGCGAGTTGGAGTTGCAGGCTATTGCGCGATCGTACAATGTCGAGATCAACGTGCTTCAAGCGGATGGCCGGGTGGAAAAGATCTCCTCCCAAAGCGGACCAAACGACACCATCTGGCTGGCATATTACCGACACAGCTTTGGGTTGGGTGAGCACTATAATGCGCTGAGGAAAGTGGACAAAAGTTGAGCAACTGCCTCTTTTCCACACACTGCATCATAACTCGTTCATGCAAACACGGGTTTTTGGGGGCCTGTCGAAGCTCCTCAGCTCCTCGGCCACAGGCCGATCAGGGAACTACTGGACTCTGTCAATATCTCAACGATGGCGCCAAACCGAGATGTAGTCTTCCACGTTGCCGTCCTTGTCCTTGCCCACATTATGCGTGTCCGCAGGATGCCAATGTCCAACCCTTTCCAATGCACCTGGGCTGGACGGGGCCAGCGGATTCATTCTGACATTGCCTTCGTCATCGTAGGGGACTTCCTCTCCTGGATGGCTCAGATGCTCGAGATATGTCTTTGGAGCAACGCCGTAAGGGGGACCACCGGACTTAGCAGGTTTGCTAACTGGGAACTCCAGACAGACAAGATTTGCTTGAGCGGAATGGCGCAGCAGCTCGGTCATGCGCTTGGCCCAAGCAGGACGCATGCCCGGGTGCATTGCGCAGAAGAACTGGAAAAGCACGTGTGAGTGCGTGATGTATTACATCAACCAAGATGTCTGGGAATGCGGACAACGACAAGCCAGAGGATAAGAGTTTCATCAGATGGGGCCGTAGCAGGGGAGCTGAAGTCAGGCACGGGACTCACAGTATAGTCATAAATCAAATCGAACTTGCCATCCCACTCACTACCAGCAGCTAGCTCTGCCCTCGCTTTTTCCACCCACTCGTCCTTGTAAAAGTCTCCTTGAAGAAACACCATTTTGCCCTTGCCGATACTCTCATCGTACACGGGATACTTGCCGGCGTTTTCGGCCACATACTTCTTACAGGCCTCGAGTGCCTTTTCAGCATACTCCAACCCAACAACATCATATCCAAAACTCGCCAGTAATAGCACATCCACCCCGCGGCCACAGCCGGGGACTAATGCGCGTTTCCGCTGCTTCTGGCCATCTGCAGACGAGGCAAGAAGGGCGTTGCCAATAACGGGGACGTGGTTGATCAGCGTGTCGGCGAGGGCTGGAGATGGAGAACCACGGTCCCAGGGCAAGAAGTCTCCCTTGTTCCACAGCTCGGCCCAGCCTTCGGTGTAGGCGCCTCCTTGGTACTGGGACATGTGGCCCTTGAGCTTTTCACGGTTTTCAGCCGTGCCGGTTGTCGAGGCCATGGTTGCGGTTGGTGCTGGTATCAGCACGGGTAAGGCAGCCGAGCTCAATGGCCTGGGGGAAGCCTCGAAAGGGTGAACGGCAAGAAGCGGAAGGGAGCGTCGGTAGCGGGCGTTTGGTCGAAGTTGCCTGAAGGGGAATAAAGTGGATGGTGGATGGTGTTGGTGCAAGAAGGATCGACTCTGACCCCCGGGAAGAGGAGGACGGATGGCTGCCTTTGTCCACGTGTCCTTCGATACGCACAGTCCCGAGAGATTCAGACTTTGCGAGGTTCTGCTATTGTTTCGTACAGCATTATTAGCCAGCGATACAATGTCTCGAACGTGGTGAGGAGTTAGATGGGAGAACATCGGAATCACCCAGACTCAGATTCCGACCCTCGAACCACTAACTCGGTTGCTCAGATCACCATTGGTTCCAGGGCCAGTCCTGAGGATGACCACAGCAGCCAGTCGGAAGTGTACATGTAAATCGAAAAGTGTGTGTGCGGATGATGCCTCGACGCAGCCCTGACTCCAATACTTTCACCAGGACAATCGAGGTGGCTGCTATGATGAAACAAGGCTGGATGTTCTTTGGCACGATTCTCTCACTCTCTTGACCTTTTGTCCCCAGTGGCAGCTGCGAAAGTGATGTGTGGTGAACTCAGCAGGACCGAGTACAGGTAGGTACCTCGTACAGGGACAGGTGAGCAGGGTACGAGGATGAGCTAGAAAGAAAAGGTGCCTCGGTTATATGGGCAACTGAGTGGGAGATCGTACAACATAATAATACGAAGGTAATCTGGGCCTGATTGGTGCCTGGACAGCGTCTCAGTGTCCCACTGTCCTCCATACTGCCAGAGAGTCTTTCACCTACGACATGGCCTTACTAGCCATCTCATGGGCCCTTACCTGGGCACGGGATTATCTCTGGCAATGTACCTACCTCGTACGACGTGCCCCGAAACCGCCAGGGAACGTCCTCGCAGTGCCAATTGTCCTCTCGTCCCTCTGACTTCCCCCGGCAATAACGGCACAACATCCATCATCTCTCCTCGATCTCTCCATCTGCTTGCGACTATCAACAGCAAAACCTACCCTCCCGAGCTAGCAATGCTGAAACCCCACCAAGGTCTTATCCTCATTGGTTCTGCTGGCCGCGGCGAAGTCGTTCTTTGATGTTGGGCCACCGGTAAACTGCAAATACCCTCGAGAAGCAGCGCAACCCCATGCGCGCCATTTGCCGCTGCGGACGTCCTTTCTCCTCTGCTGGTCACGCCCTTTGCCTTATATCCGATCCAGGCATTGCCTTGGAGGATCTGCGACCTCAGCGACATGCAGCTGACCGTATCTTTAACGTGCTCATCTCCAAATCTTCATCCCTCTGTCTCCATTTCTTAGATTCTCTCTCTCTTTTGGTTTCATTCTTGGGGTATAAGTGTTTGAGTGATGACCTGGACAGCAGATACTCGATCTTTCCTGTCCAATCCTGACCTACATTCGTCCTGCTTCGGATTGCGCACATGGCTCACGATGGCCTCGAGAAACTTCCCCCCTCACCGGATACCGTGTGCGGCCCAGCCTCGCAAGAAAGACTGACAAAAGAGAAAGACCACGATGACATTCTCGAGAGTCGGTCTATCCATTCAGACCATTCAGGCCATTCGACCGTCATCGACCAGCACGATGTCGAGATCGGCCAAGATGCGTTGGCCAGGACCATCACTCCCAAACGACCCATTGTCAAGGTGCCGCAGTCCGAGCGACGTGGTCTGTTTGCTCGTGTCTGTGTCATGGCCGAGGTCACAGTGCCCACAGACTATAGTAATAAAGTAAAGTGGTTTATCACCTTCATCGTGGCCATTGCTGCGGCCGCCGCCCCTGTGGGTAGTGCCATCATATTGCGTATGTTACGTCTGCCGTTGATTTGGTGGAGGGTTGGCCGATAGACTGACTCGAAGTTTTTCTTTGTAGCGACCCTGGACGAAGTGGCTAGATCCCTTCACTCGGATGCGACCACCACCAACCTATCAGTTGCGTTGTATATGTTGAGCATGGCCATTTTCCCGCTCTGGTGGTCGGCCTTTTCAGAAACGGCTGGACGCCGGACCGTTTACATCACTTCATTTGCATTGTTCATCTTGTTTTCCGTCTTGAGCGCCGTCGCTCATTCGATCTCCGTGCTTATCGTCATGCGAATGTTGGCTGGAGGAGCCTCGGCGTCTGTGCAAGCCGTGGGCGCGGGAACGATCGCCGACATCTGGGAATCACGGGAGAGAGGCCGTGCGATGGGCCTCTTCTACCTGGGGCCTCTCTGTGGCCCGTTACTGGCACCCATTGTGGGTGGGATTCTCGGCCAAGTTTGGGACTGGAGGGCGACGCAATGGGCCCTCGCCATATACGGAGGTAAGCCGCAACATCTCTCGCAAGAAGCAAATTGATTTTTTGCTGCAAGAATGGCTTCTGACCTAGTTTCAGTCCTGACATGGGTGTTGATCTTCTTCGGTCTGCCGGAAACGCTGAAGGCACGGAAGGATGTGGTCGAGGAAGCCCTGCCGGACACGGCATCGTCGATCAACCACAGCACCCATCGACCGCCATTGAGTCGAACCTCGACCCGAGAAGTGATACAGCATAAGTCGAAGAAGTACCTCAGGGTTGCACGGATGTTGTTGTTGGACCCACTGAGCGTCATCCTGTACCTCCGGTTCATGCCTGTCTTGCTGACGGTGTATTACTCGGCGGTTACTTTCGGCTCGCTTTACGTACTCAACATCAGTATCCAGTATTCTTTTGAAAGGCAACCTTATGACTATTCAACCATCATCATCGGCGTGCTCTACCTGCCCAATTCCCTCGGGTACATTATTGCCAGTGTACTTGGCGGTCGCTGGATGGACTATATCATGAGGCGCGAGGCGATCAAGGCGAAGCGGGTGGATCAGAACGGCAAATTAATCTTTCGACCAGAAGACCGCATGCGCGAAAACGCGTGGCTGGGTGCGTTAGTCTATCCCTGTGCCTTGATATGGTACGGGTGGACCGTTGAGAAGGGCGTCCTGTGGGTAGCACCGGTAAGTCGACCTGAAACAGGAACACATGGGGAAACTTGCCATATGCAAGGTACCAAAGTTGACGACGTGTGGCACAGATCATTGCGAATTTCTTTTACGGCCTGGGGTCCATGATTATCTTCGCCATGTCAACCACGATGCTGACCGAATTCATGCCACGTCGATCCTCCTCCGGTGTTGCTCTAAACAACTTGTGCCGGAACATTCTATCATGTGTTGGCGCCATTGTCGGGGCTCCCCTCATTGCGGCAATCGGCAACGGGTGGCTGTTCACCATCCTGGGACTTTGGGCACTCTGCAGTGCCCTGGTCATTTGGGCCATGAAGCGATATGGCGAGAATTGGCGAGAAAAGATGGACCGACAGCTAGGATAAAAATATAACATGCAGCAAAAGGATAGAATAGACCAAAAGACCAAAAGCAGTTCCAAAGGCCTAGGACCATCCTGCACGTGACTCATCCCGCACTCGTGACGACTGGTCACATGTCTCCCCTCTTTCGTCCCCTGCGCCCCCAGAACACATCAAATAAAACGCGGAGGTTGGAAGTGAGGCAACGATTCCACTCAGGACAACGGGGAAGACGGCGATGTCCTCGAGACTGATCGGCGGCTACCTGTTCATCGGCTCGAGCTGTGCCAAAGTTCCCTGAGAGCAGAAAATCTTCGCATGGCTTCTACCTCATTCTTTATCACTTTCCCATGGGCATCCGACCACTCGAGCCGTCGACATGGTCATGATCATCGCCTCCCCGTCGGATCGCCAATGGCAGCAATCCCTCACCAGTGCCGCCCACGCCAGCAGACGGGCCAACAGAGACACTAAAAGCTCCTTTCCTTTTTTTTCCGTCCTCATTCCGTGACAGAACAAGGATCCAGCCAGCATCCTGTGCCTCGTCAATGAACTCCTCCACGTCCTTGGACGAACTGGCGTCAAGGGATCCAACACATTGCATAGCCCTCTAACAAATCGAAACACATGGCGACTCACCACAAGAGAAGAATCCCCCAAGATAGAGCTGCTTCCTTCTGGCCGCACAATTTTTTTCTTTCCTCGTGGCTGACCAGTCATGTTTGTTGGGCACCAATCTAGGTACAACTTCCGCCCTCTACGCGACCCAATCGTCGCCCTCGTGATGCACATTTCGTCCAATTGCGGACATTTGGGCTGGATTATTCCATTCACCTTTGCAGTTGTCTGACCTTGAGTCAGAACTATCCTGCTTTGTCTTCTTTCCCACCCGCATATCGCCGCATGAATGCTGCAGAAGTCGCCCTCCCAAACATCCGCCAGACCAGCATTTTCTCATTGACGTGGTCCAATTGCCGGGCCCTGCTGTTCCTAAACAGGATGCCACGGTCCCTTGTTCATCGTTTGGCTGAAAGTCGCCATGCTGCCCGGTGGGATGATTCACGCCTGGGCTTTGCAGGTCACCCTCCCGTTCAACCAGCCTTCACACCACCATGCACCCCTTCAGCCACTCCCTCCCCTTGTCTATACACATTTTCGTCACTGTGTGAGGTTCATGAGGTTTTTGCCCTCCAGTGTTGAGTCGGCTAGATAGCGTCATTGTGCTTTCCGACCCCTCCGCAGCGTTCGTGATCCTTGCGCAAACGAAGGGATTGGTAGCTCCGAGCATTTGGCCTGACAGCAGAGCGCCCTACAACCCCAGGCACTGGCCATGGGAAAGCCTAAAAAGAGAAAGAATAAGAAGACTTTCGTTGACCCCTGGTCGGATGAACCCAAGCACATCGGCGATGGCTCAATTATACGGGTCCCAGTTCCAGTACGCCAAACTTCCTGCTTATCAATGGCAAACGTTTGATGCCAACGCCGTTACATACTCCCTTCATCCTATCATTGCACCCGACGAAATTGATCCCAGCAACCATGATACTGACGACCAGTTGAAGAATGAGGACGCCGCCACCACATCTGACGACGTCGCAGAGCCTCCGCCGCCGTCCGAAGACAATACCAAAGAATTCGAAGGTAAATTGCACCCCCGAGAAATACCTGGCCCCTCCTCTCACTCTCTTTTCTAGATATTATAGTCATGGACGGTGTCGCGGCGCCAGAAAATGCTGGCACTGGCGAGGCTGTGATAGAGGGAAACACAGGTATATCCTGCAACAACCTTTCTCAACCGCCTTGCTCAGACGCACTGATTCTAGTAGTAGAAAAAATCGCGTCCGAGGCCTCCGAGAGCGTAGAGCCGAAGGAGGATGGTGCTCCTCCAGAGACTGCGGACCAAACACCGCCAGATGCACCGGATCCTGTTGCGGAACCGGAGCAGGAGGAGCTAAAGGACGGAAATGCTGAGCAGCCCGCCAAGGATGAATCACAGGATCCCGGCGAAGACCAAGATCCTGCAGACTCGTCGGAAGCTACCGCCGTCGAATCCAGCGACGGCGAAAGATCTTCCGAGCCAGAAACAGTGGTGGAAGTGGTAGAGAAGATGCAAGAAGCTGATGCTCCTCCGGAGCAAATCACTGAGATCTTGGAAAAGGCCATGTCTGACGTCGGAGCCAGTCCTGCTTCTCCGGGGTCAGCGGCCGATATTGACCTGCCAGCAGGCGAGAGCGAAGAGATTGCAGAAGCACCCAACGGAGATGAAGGAGAGGCCGCATCTGACCCCGCTGCTGACCCAGCATCCGAGGAGGACAGTCCAACTGAAGATAGCCCTGCCAAGGATGCAGAAGAGCCACCAGCCCCAGATCAGAGCGATGCTAGCGACGGTCCTGCAGATGCAGAGCCCGCAGACAAGCCGGAAGAGACCGTCGAGGCAAGCGAGGAATCAGCGGCTGAAGAGGCTTCGGTAGAAGGGGTGTCAGACAGCAACGAAGGTGAAGCTCCCGCCACAGATGCAGCAGAGGATGCGCAGCCCGACTCACCGGCTGCGGAAGAAAAAGAAGGCGAACCGGACGAGAATCCGGCGCTGGGGGCTGCAGAAGCCGATGTTGACGGGGCCAACGACGATACAGAGGAAAATACAGCCTCGGATGATCCCGTCCCCGAAGAAAAGATGGAGGAAAATGAAGTCGAGGAGGGGTCACCAGAAGCAGGCGTCGGGGCACCAGCGGCTGGAGACGACTCCAGCCAAAATGAAGAAACGGGTGCCGAAGAGACGTCTGAAGTAGAAGACCCTCCCGAAGTTGTACCAGGAGAAGAACCTGCGGCTGAAAACCTATCTACGGAAGGGGCCGCAGCGCAAGAGGCCCCGGCAGAAAATACCCCGGCCGAGGAGCCACACCCGGAAGAGACTGCTGTAGAGAATGACGGAGCTGGACAAGCGACAGAAGCAGAGGCCCCCGAAGACACAGCTATAGACGAGGCGGGCGATTCACCAACAACGAATGCCGCCGAGGGAGCTTCTGCGGAAGAACCAGAATCAGGACAGCCGGCTGCTGAGGAGGACGAGCCCGCAGAAGCTAATGCTGAAGAATCCGAACAGACTGGAGAAGGCGACAGCAAAGAGCCTACTACAGAACCTGCTGAAGAATCTGCTGAGGAACCTGCTGAGGAACCTGCTGAGGAACCTGCTGAGGAACCTGCTGAGGAACCTGCTGAGGAACCTGCTGAGGAACCTGCTGAGGAACCTGCTGAGGAACCTGCTGAGGAACCTGCTGAGGAACCTGCTGAGCTGAGGAACCTGCTGAGGAACCTGCTGAGGAACCTGCTGAGGAACCTGCTGAGGAACCTGCTGAGGAACCTGCTGAGGAACCTGCTGAGGAATCTACGGAGGAGCCTGCCGAGGAGTCCGCCGAGATTATCGCTCAATCAGATTCTGAAGAAGCTGCCGACGAACCAACTGAGGAAGCTGCAGACGAACCGGCAGAGAAACCTACAGAGGAAGCAGCTAACGGATCAGCGGAAGAACCCGCAGAAGAATCAGCCGAAGATCCAGCAGAGGAGCCTACCAAAGAGCCTGCCGAAGAGACTGCCGAAGAGCCTCCCGAAGAGGTATGTGAGGAGCCGGCTGACGAAGAGACCCTTAAAGAGGCCGCAGAAGAAGTGGAAGACCCGCCGGAAGAGGCTCCGGGAGAGGCTGGGGAAGAACTCGCTGCCGAAGAAACACTTCAAGAAGCTCCTGAAGAGCCTGCAGAAGAAGAGGTGGAAGACCCGCCGGAAGAGGCTCCGGGAGAGGAGGCTATTGAAGAATCAGCCGAAGAGCCTGCAGAAGAAGAGGTGGAAGACCCGCCGGAAGAGGCTCCGGGAGAGGAGGCTATTGAAGAACCAGCTGAAGAGCCAGCTGAAGAGCCAGCTGAAGAGCTTGCTGAAGAGCCTGCTGAAGAGCCTGCTGAAGAGCCTGCTGAAGAGCCTGCTCAAGAGCCTGCTGAAGAGGAGGCTATTGCAGAGGGGGCTGTTGAAGAGGATGCTATTGAAGAACCAGCTGAAGAGGAGGCTCCTGAAGAAGCCCCCGAAGAAGTTAGAGAAGAACGCGAAGAAGAGACTCCCACAGAGGCACTCGAAGAGCAAGTACCAGAAGAAGACGCCGAAGAACCGACAGAGGATGCTGCAGAGGAACCAGCTGCTGAAGAAGCATCCGAGGCGCCCGAAGCAACAGTCGAGGCCACTGAAGAAGCAACCGAAGAAGTCCCAACTGCAGATGAACCAATCGACGAGACGCCTTTAGCGGAGGACGCTGAACATGGAGAAGAAGTTGAGTTGGTTTCTGAAGACAAAGAGGCACCAGTGCCTGACAGATCAGCGACGCCACTTGAAGCAGCTGCCGTTGGTGCACTTTCCGGCGCGGCGGGTGGTCTTGTTGCATCGGAGGCGTCCAAGGGTCTAAAGGAGAGACGAAGGAAGTACCATGATAAACGGGGACGCAGCTCGAAAGACCAATTGCACGGGCACAAAGGGAAACTCGAGAGGAGCAGGGGTGAAGCAGGGCTCTTCGACAGTGCGTTTGCCAGACAAATCAAAAAACAGTCCAAAGAAAAAGAGCCTGCTCGACAAGAGCTAACGCCTGAAATAAAGGAGCGGGAAAGAGAAGAGAGAAGGAGAGCCAGGAGGGCCCGCCACGAAGGCGAGGCACATGTACCAAGAGAGGACCATGGTCGTCGCCAGGCAGAGGAAGACGCAGCCAAGGACGAAAGGAGGCGGAGGCGTCACGAGGAGAAGGAGAAGCGAAGGCAGGAGGCTGAGGCAGCAGAACACGCCAGGAAGAGGAAAGGCAAGGAGAAAGAGATATCCCCAGAGTCACCCCGACATGCTGCGACCGAAGGCGGCAGTGAGCCCAGAACCAGAACGAGGCGGCCCAGCAGCGCGGGAACCAGTGGCGGTGGTTCTTCAGTGGTACCGATTCCCGAAATCTTCAAGAGGATGGCAACAGGCGAAAGCGACACCAGACCTCTCCTTATGATCAAGGTGAACGACACGGACCTTCCTGGGGGCCGGTCACGGGAGAGAACGAGAAGTCGTCATCACGAACACCACGAACACCGTGAACACAGACACCACAGATCTCGCGAAGATGGTTCCGACCGTGATCGAGACGGCAAGAACGAGGTCGCAGAAGATCGGCTGAAGACATCGAGGCACTCGAGCTCTAAAAGGAATACCCAATACCACGCCGAGCTTCGAACCACTCCAAGATTCGGAATCTTGGGCAAAGCAATAAGTACGCTTGTGGAGCACACGACTGTGAGGGAGATCTGGCGTGGAGAGCGGGTTGGTGCCTGATGTACTGAGTACGCGGTATAGGGTCTAAAATATGCTCTTCAGCACGAGGCTGAGGACAAACGGGGGATGCGCATCGTCGACAGTACATGCAGGGACACATGACAAAAACGGAGGGACTGGAGCACTCGTTTTAGGAGGATCTCGTATGTTCCGGGCGGCGGATTGGTCTCACGACCAATTCTTTGTATAACTAGTACCTAACGTGTTTAGCAGTAGCCAATGTATGGAGATGGTAGTTCATGAGGGTGAATGAAGCAACTTGTTCTGGATAACATGGGACGCTGAATTGCCGGACGGGCACATCGCCGTTGTGGCCTGTCGCCTGTCGCCGACCCGGGGAGCAACCGGAGTCTCCATCAGTGCCCGTATCGAGCGGAGAAGTCCTGACGGTTCCTCGACACCCAGAACGACCTGCCGGAAAAGCTCAAGCTTGTAACACTACTAGCTCGTTTCCATTTCTCTTCCCTCATGTATGGACAGATGCCCGTTCGAGTTCTCCACGTCATGGAGGGGCAGGCGGCATGAATGCGCCGATCAAGTAAATTTATTTACTGTTCGGCAAAACGAAGGGCCACCCCTCCAAAGGGCTGAGGAAATCCATTGATTCCAATCAGAAGGTCAAGTGCATTAAAATTCCTATTGCTCTTCATTTCGTGCTCGCCTTTTCACATTGCACGTCTGCCGGAGGATTTGCATTCAACGTCGAGGCACCCTCGTCCAGCCAACACCTTCGCGTCGACGTCTCTATCGCTCCTGCAGACCCAGCCGATTCGCAGAGATGGGTTCAACGGGCAAAGACATGAAGGCGGAGGCCGTCTTCCCCGGAAACACTCCAATGTTTATGAAGTTCCCGAGCAGAAGGAGTGTGGTTCACAGCACACAGGGCATGGTCGCATGCACACAACCTCTGGCCGCGGAGGCGGGGCAGAGGATCTTGAAGATGGGAGGGAATGCTGCTGTAAGTGAACATATACACAGGGATACGATGTGAGACAGTCTCAATGGGCACAGCACAACTGACAAACCCTTCAGGATGCTGCTGTCGCAGTCGGTATGTCGAGAACCTTTATCATCCTCTCAGATTTTCTCTGACGCTCCACCACCAGCTGCTGCCTTAAACATGACCGAGCCCACCTCGACCGGTATTGGGGGAGACATGTTCTGTCTCTTCTTCGATGCAAAGACAAAGAAGGTCCATGCTCTCAACGGCTCAGGACGCAGCCCGAAGAACACCACTCTCGAACAAGTGAGGAAAGAGTTGGGCCTGTCCGCGTCACAGATTGGCAAGATTCCCGTCCTGAGTGCGCTGTCCGTCACCGTTCCCGGCGCCCCTGGGGGATGGGTCGATACTATTGAGAAATTTGGGAGCGGTAAATTGAGCTTGGAGCAGATCCTGATGCCGGCAATTGAACTGGGAGAGAACGGTTTCCCGGTCAGCGAGCTTTCTGCGATGTGGGTGAGTGCTATCTGAGCTCCAGCGTATTGTGGGAGGCCAACACTGATACGTCCGCAGTGGCACGAAGGTGAACAAACCCTGAGGGAGGCCTCGCCCAATTACCGTGAAATGCTCAAAAGAGACAAACACTCTGAAGATTTCGTTCGGGCTCCTCGGGCTGGTGAGATCATGAAGAACCCCAATTTGGCAAAGACTTTCAGGACATTGGCAGCAGAAGGGAAGAAAGGATTTTACACAGGGAGAATCGCTCAAGCCATCGTCGACGTCCTGAAACTTACTGGTGGACATATGGAACTGTCGGACTTGGAAGACCATATGAACCGGGGCGCCCACGAGACCGAACCGATCTCGTTGAGATTTAACGCTCAAAATGTCAAGAAGATGGGAGCTCAACGAGTGACGAATGGGTCGCCCGACGACCACTTTGTCGAATTGTGGGAGCATCCGCCCAATGGACAGGGCATAGTTGCTCTTATGGCCCTTGGCATCCTGGAAGAACTGGAGCGGACGAGACAGATCCCCACGTTTGCCCAGGAGGACCATAACAGTGCTGCACACCTGCATGCCGTGATAGAGGCACTTCGGATAGCATTTGCGGATGCCAGCTGGTGGGTGACGGATCCAGACTTCATGCCCGTCAAGCCGGCAGAGATGATTGCACGACCGTATCTGGCCGAACGCGCCAAGCTGTTCGACAAAGACAAGGCAGGCATATTCAGCAATGGACAGCCAGGACCCAGTCCGGCTCAAAATCATAGCGACACTGTATATTTCGCCGTGACCGACAAAGAAGGCAACGGCATGAGCTTCATCAACTCCAATTACGAAGGGTTCGGGTCTTCCATCATCCCTCAGGGCTGCGGATTTACCCTCCAAAATCGAGGGTCGAACTTCGAGCTTGGACCAGCCAACCACCCGAACATCTACCAGGGGGGGAAGAGACCTTACCACACGATTATCCCGGGAATGATTACCCACGGATCCGAGAGAGAGCGAGAACTGCACTCGGTGTATGGAGTGATGGGTGGCTTCATGCAGCCGCAGGGTCATGTTCAAGTGCTGCTCAACATGGAAGTCTTTGGCATGAACCCGCAACAAGCCCTGGATGCTCCTCGGATATGTATTGGTGCGGCCGCGCCCAACGAAGGCGATACGAATGCAGGACCTGTTTATGTGGAAGAAGGGATCGACGAGGCCGTGGTCAAGGCATTGAGGCAGATGGGGCACGACGTCCAGGTTCTTCAAGGATTCAGCCGAGCAAGATTTGGCCGAGGACAGATTATTCGGAGACACGTTGACGAAGACACCGGCATAATGGTGTACAGCGCTGGAAGTGACATGAGAGGTGATGGATGTGCTCTGCCAGGATAGAAGGAAGCTGCTTGTACCTCTTTACCTCCGAGTACCTGCGTCGTGGTGGGTGTACCGTTCAGCCAGCCACAAGGTCAGCTTTGAGGGTTTGTCGAACAGCCACTGGGGATCGGAGACGATCTTGCCTCCCTAGTCGATTCGTTAGGCTTGAGCCTTGCGCCAGGAAGTCTCGGAGAGATGGGCTTCCCGAATACGAGCCTTGCTTAACTTTGGTGACCAACTTCAGCATGTGCCTTGTAGTCCCTATTCCGTGAGAACACCAGAGACTGGTATAGTCGTGGACGGAGAGTACAACAGTCCGGGAAATCTGCTATCTCTGGAAACGATGCTCGTACTTCGACCTGCCCCATGAGGTTACCGTACTTGTGGAAGCAGTTGGGAAGGTGACACTGGGACAAGTGATGATCAGGCGATGATCAGGCGATGATCAGCCACAGTTAGAGGAACAAGCTTTTCTGGAAGCCTGGAAGCAACGCTGAAAGGTTTAACTAACAAGGCTTAGTGAGCCCTAAAACTCTCTACTGAAAGGGACGAGTAGCTAATTAGCTACTGTATAAGCACCACCGAAGTCCAGCTAGGGGTTGGCCACCCCGGGCGACTAACTAGGCTGAGAAGTGGCTCCTGTCGCCTGGCTTGCCGTTGGTTTCCCGCTATCAGAACCCTTCTGCTGCTTCTGCTTCTCCTCCACTTCACTGGCCATCTTCCAAATCATTGCGCATCTCGTCGCCAAATTGCTCATGTACCTCTGGCTCATCTCTTTGGCTACTCGAATGCTTCATCTCGTCTCAACTGCTCTGTCAGTCTGATTTCCTCTGCGGTCCTTTTGTCTGATGGACTCAATCTCGGCCTGTGGCCGAATCACTGGCAGAACAATGCTCACTGACCGAGGTATTCTCGAAAGCTCTGGTGGAGAAAACCCCCCCGCTCGGTAGGTTACATGCTGGCAGCAGGGGAAAATGTTATCAGCTTCTACGCAGGCACACGATCACGCTGTCGACGAATCATCAATGGCGAAGACCAATTCTCCCGAGAGATCGTCTCCATCCTATGTCCTAACGCCTCGCCGCTCTCATATGAACCCTGCCTCACACGCGTCATAGACCGGGTCCTTGACTGCTGCTTCTGCGCAGGCGCTTCTCGATCAGCGTTGCAATGTCGCTTACCACGGGCCTCTTTTCAGCAATGGTACACAACTTGACTTCGGCTTTGGCCGTCGCCTCGCGACACGGGAAGCTGCATGATCTTGTTATCGTGCAATCACCGTGCTTGTATCACCCTGCGTAGCATGGATGCCACCACGAGGTGGAGACGGACACCCTGGCTCATCAGGTAAACCTTTCATCATGGTGCACAATCAAGCGAGAGTCTCCCCAGCTTGGATGGAGGGGAAAGCTATGGGGGCCTTTGGGATTTTCCTTTATTTACCTTGGTCCCCGTCCTGGTGCATTCACGCAGCTCTCAGTGCGACTTTCACTCTGTCCATCTGCTGGATACCATGAAGTTCTCCGTCATTGCTTTGGCCTTGGGCCTGGTTTCTCTCGCTTCAGCGCGCAGGAGCCCTCAGCATGTAGGCAAGAAGCTCCCACAGCTCAAGAGATCCCCGGCGCCTCACCCGCATCCTGTCGTGCCGGAGCTCGAGAAGCGAGCGGCACCGCACAAGTTCTTGAACAACGCGACCAAGAGTGTGTTTCCCCAAACCCCAACTGGAATTGGGATCATGGCTGAACCTGATACAGAATTTGCGGTCAATGGCACCGGCATTCCTGACGTGGACTTCGATGTGGGCGAATCCTATGCCGGTCTTCTGCCTATCTCGAGCGAGAAGAATGCGTCGGAACTCTATTTCTGGTTCTTTCCTTCGACAAACCCGAACGCGACCAACGAGATCCTGATCTGGCTGAACGGAGGTCCTGGGTGCAGCTCCTTGGAAGGGCTCTTGCAAGGTGAGCGGGAATGTGACCTCAGCCCCAAGTCTGCTGTTGACAGATGTTATTAGAGAACGGACCTTTCCTCTGGCAATACGGCACCTTCAAACCAGTGCGCAATCAATGGTCGTGGACAAACCTGACCAACGTGGTGTGGGTTGAGCGTGAGTTTCCCACACGGCGATCGACGTTAAGAATGGAGAGCTAATTTTAGGTGTAGAACCTGTTGGCACTGGCTTCAGCCAGGGCACCCCGACGGCAACGTCCGAGAAAGATGTTGCTTCGCAGTTCCTTGGCTTCTTCAAGAACTTTGTCGAGCTTTTCTCGATGCAAGGCTACACCGTCTACATCGCAGGCGAATCCTATGCAGGCTACTACGTTCCTTACATCGCGGACGCCATGTTCAGCGCCAACGACACCGAATACTACAACATTAGCTCGATCTTGATCAACGACCCGAGCTTGAGTTACGATGTCGTGCAAGAACACATTCCGGTGACCGCCTTTGTCGACTATTGGCTTCCGCTCCTCGACCTCAATGCCAGTTTTGTCCAGCAACTGCATAACATGTCGGATGCCTGTGGATACACTGCCTTCATGGAGGAGAATCTTGTGTTCCCTCCCAAGGGACCCTTGCCGACCCCGCCGAATGCCGATCTCAGTGACGACTCTTGCGATACCTTTGATGCGGTCTTCTTCGCTGCATCAGCCATCAACCCATGTTTTGACATCTATCAGGTGGCGACGACATGTCCACTGCTGTGGGACGTGCTCGGTTTCCCCGGCTCTTTCGGCTACACCCCTGCGGGAGCCTCAGTTTACTTCAACCGCACTGACGTGCAGAAGGCTATCCACGCTCCTCTGCAAGAGTGGGAGGAGTGCACGGATGAGAACGTGTTTGTCAACGGCACGGACAACTCGCCGCCGTCTGCTCTGAGCGTCTTGCCTGGCGTGATTGAAAGCGCTGACCGTGTCATCATCGGCCACGGTATTCTCGACATGATCCTGCTGTACAACGGCACTCTGCTTGCCATCCAGAACATGACCTGGAACGGTGCCCAAGGTTTCTCGGCTCCGCCCTCGCACTTTGGTGACATGTACGTCCCATACTACACCGAGTTTGACTCCGAACTGGGCTCGACTGCTGGGTCGGGCTTCATGGGCAAGTGGCATACGGAACGAGGATTGACCCTCGCCACGGTGGAACTTTCGGGCCACATGATCCCACAATATGCACCGTCTGCGGCCTACAGAATGCTTGAGTTCTTGCTGGGCCGCATTCCAAGCTTGGGGACCGTTGGGCCGTTCACCACGCTCCAGAGTACGAGCTACTGATCGCGCCAGCGTCGCGACGAGCAGCAATGAACAGAGGTGGATGTGGACGCGTATGCCAGACGAACCGTGATGTTAATATATAATGTATATCTATATATATATATGACAACGAAAAGTATCGAATCGATGCCAAACTAACCCAAATTGTTGTATCTGTTGTCAGCATCATGCCAGTCGAGCTGGTGCGACGCTGCTCTCCGCACGCAAGGCTGCAGTATCAACCAGGTCGGTATTGGGTCACCTCACCACCTTCCACCCTCTTCCACCAATAGTCAGACAACCAGCACAAAACAGCCCGTGCCCTCACCAGGATGCCTGTCGGATTCATTCGCTCCTTCGTCCACTGCTCGGAAGAAGATGGTGTCCTGATGTCCCACCAACCCTCCAAGATGCGAGTGAGCGACCCCACATTGATGCCATCGCTGCAATTTCGGCAGATCGTGGGGCACATTTTTTCTCGTGGACTTTGATCATCGCAGTCGACCAGACCGTTGACGCAACGGAATCAGCACCGCGACTGCTGACAGATCCTTTGTTCTTCAGTTCCGACTCTGCCTCAGCCCGGCCAGCAATGTAAACCCGTGGGGGGAAGCCCCGACAACGTCGCGATCGTGGCGGGAGGGCGAAGACGCGGATCTTTATGATGAGATGCTGGAGTCGACGCACTGCGGGGACGGTCTTGGACGGTGAAATCGTACAGGAAGAGCCACACGCACCACGGCAGCTCGCTCTGGATATGCTCGATTGGGTTCTGGGGATCACCCTCGTGGATGGGGCTCATCACACTCCCCCCGACTCTATGCCTTTTCCCATGGACTGGGCTCGCACAATGGATGGCCTGGACCCCGTTGGATTCCTCTCTTACCGTGCGGACTATCTTCGCGGACACTGTGGGGTAGTTTTTCTGTACAAATGGGCTGTATTGTGTCGCGGTGGCCCTCGTTGTTTTTCAGTGGCCACGCGACAACTTCAACGTCAGCATTCTCGAGACAACTCTTTCATTGCACTTAAAACAGCCCGTGTTGCCACATATACCCTCCAGTATTTCCTCTCGCACCTTTTTGGAGACTTGATATCTTGTCTCTTCAGCTGCTTTCACGTGCCTTTCTTTACCTTCTCCTCCCCTCGACGTCGGTTTGGAGCGACAACTTTAAGCTTGTTCGTGCCTTCCGCCCATTTACGACATCAAACACCTCTTCTTCACTTGACCGACAATACACCACATTACCATAACCATCTTCACGCAGCGTCGAGCCACAGAAAAGGATCCGGCTGAAGATAAAACCCCCAACCTGTTCCCACCTTGAGGCGCCGACGACAGCAGTCTCCCAGAAAGCCACAATGAATAAACTCGACGAACTCAAGCATAACATCACGGAGGTGGCGTTGAAGAACGGTGAAAAGGTATGTGTGACTCCCCCCGCTTCCCTCCTTCCCAACTTCTGACCTTGCTTGTCCCCTTCAGCAAACAACCACCAATGGCGCCATATCCCGCGGACCGAGCCCTAACCGTGGTGCCTCTGTTCGCGATGTCGAAGCGATTGGCCCAGACTCAGAGAGCCGGCGCGAGTGGCAGAAGAAGCGCGGCATCGACCTCTCCAAGCAGGTCAGGATCACCAAGTTAAGCCACATGCGATATCAGCATCCCGATTTGAATAAGATCACGACGTTTCTGAGAGGTCAGTAGACATGTCACTTGAGCCAACCCCTCAGTCTGCTACGAAGGCTGCTCCTTTGACATCTGCTTGGAACATTGGTTGTGGCCACTTGACTGACCCCTTGTGTCTCGCTCCAGACTTTGGCATGCATGTGACTAAGAAAGGCGAGAATGAGCGTTGGTTCCGTGGCTACGGCCCTGACCAATACGTCTACTATGCCCGCCAGGGACCCACGAAATTCCTGGGAGGTGCTTTTGAAGTCGAGTCCAAGGAGGAACTTGAAAAGGTCTTGAAACTCCCTGGCGCCACTGTCCTCACGAATGGTATCGAAGAGATGAAAGACGCCCCTGGAGGAGGGTATATCGTCACCATCGCTGATCCAGAGGGATTCCACGTCAATTTCATCTACGGACAAGCACCGGTCAAGGAGGAGCGGCAGAAACCGGTTAAATTGCTACTGAACGACGAGTCAGACAAGCCGAGAGCGAAGGCTTTCCAGAGATTCCAGCCTGGACCGGCCGCTGTACACAAGGTAAGTCGCACTGTGCCATCCCCATGTCTGATCGGAGGTGGCACTGACGCTTTGTTCTCTCTCACAGCTGGGCCATTTCGGCCTCAACGTCGACAACTTCCCCGAGACGATGGACTGGTACACACGCCACTTCAACATCTACCCAAGCGACATTCTCTACGTGCCTCAAGATTCCATTGACCCCGCCACGGGCAAGCCGGCACGCAAGGAGGTCGGCCTCTTCGCTGCCATCGACCGCGGCCAGGAATGTGTGGACCACCACACCTTCTTCATGACCACCACCGTTCCCGGCAAGGAGAAGCATGTCCACCACTCCTCGTATGAAGTGCACGACTTCGACACTCAACTCCTGGGCCATCAATGGCTCGCAGAGAAGAAGTACGAACCTGTCTGGGGCGTGGGGCGACATATTCTTGGATCCCAGATCTTCGACTACTGGTGGGACGTTTCGGGTTTCATGGTCGAGCATTACGCCGATGGAGACCTTGTTAACGAGGACACACCGGTCGGATATGGGCCCGCAGAGCACGAAGGACTGGCGGTTTGGGGCCCCGAGGTGCCGCAGACCTTCTTGGAGTAGAATGGAGAACAGATGGGGTGTGCAACCTTGAGGAGGATGAGGTGGCTGGCAGACATTGTGGACTCTGAGGAGGACTCCTCGTGTCCATGCACGTGAAGAAACATCAGGACGAGAGAAGGTAAGGGTGTCCCGATGGACGTGCTTGTGCTTGTATATGTCAGTACTCGGGGGACACCCTCCCGGGGCACTAGACCAGGTTACGGGAAAGTGCATTTGTTCGTATGGCTTTCGCTTGGTGAAACGCTATGCAGTTATGCGAGTGCTGTGCTGAGATGTAGTCATGCAGCGATAACATGCTACACTTTGAATGAATAAACAAAATAATGGTTCGGTCAATATTAGGCTACCATTTCGTTTCACTTGGTCGCAAGAGCCAGCTTCTCACTCAACTAAACTCAAATGTGCCGTTGGGCTGGGGTTGGGAAGGATATATTTCGAAGATAGGTTTTGGGAGAGGGGACAGGGGAGAGGCGGATGCCAGTTCTTATTATTTGTGTTTGGCGAGAGATGTACTACATACATACAGTATGTACGTACTGCCACGGCTTCTTAGCCTCTTCTGCTGCTCGAAGCTGGTGTGGCAATGGAGCAATACATACTGCTCCGACCAAGCTAAAGTGCAGGTGCTGATACCGTTCACATAAAACATACACATACAGTATATCCCCCGCCCCCCGACTCTCCCGATTGGCAAAGTATAGATAGGGCTTGGACATGTATGTATGTATGTATGTATGTATGTATGTATGTATGCATGTATGCATGTATGTATGTGGCTGTCTATCTAGTCGAGCGATCGCCCCACAACTTTTCCAGCTCGGGTTGCGTGGCCGCTTGCTTTCTTGATAAGCATGTCACGTATATGGATAGATGGATGGATGGATAGATAGATAGATGTATCAGCATACGTCAACGCACGAACATGTTTCTAGCACACACTCCTCCTCAAAGGTGCCCCACGTCCACGCACGTACATACATACATACATACATACATACAGGCCACACATGGCAGGCTAGCCGGCCGCTTCTCCTCCTCCTCCGCTTCCGTTCCCGCTCTATCCATCTACAGTATCTAATTTACCACTCCTCATACCGCACCTTGTTGACCAAGGTGCCAATCTTCTCGATCTCGATGCGGATGTCGCCACCGTGCTCGAGCACGACGCGCGGGTTGCGGAAGAAGCCGATGCCCGCGGGCGTGCCAGTCAGGAAGATAGTACCGGCCTCGATGGTCGTGCCTTGCGAGAGGTAGCTGATTTGCTTGGCGATGGGGAAGATCATGTCCCTTTGTTTTTTGAAAATTAGCGTCGGGCGCGTGTTCAGTAAAAAATTGACACGGAAAGGAAAGACACAGAGACAGAATGAGAAGAGGATCTGTGGGGGGACATACTTGGTGTTCCCATCCTGCACGACCTGGCCGTTGTATATTGCTTTAATTTTCAGAGCCTGCGGGTCGGGAATGGCGTCCTTGGTGACCAGCACGGGGCCCAGCGGACAGCTGCCGTCCAGGCCCTTGGAAAACGACCACTGCGTGGTCAACATCTGCATCGTCCGCGCCGAGACGTCGTTGCTGCACGTGTAGCCCAGGACGTAGTCGAGGGCCTTGTCCTCGGGGATGTCTCGTCCCGTCTTCCCGATCACGACGCACAACTCGGCCTCGTAGTCCGACGTGCCGTCCTGCGCGGCCTTGGGCACGGGGATCACGGCGGGGTAGGGGTCGGCCAGCGCGGTGCGCGGCTTGGTGAAGAGGATGGGGGCCTTGGGGAGGGCCATGTTCGCTTCCTATACGTACCCCAACACCTCCATCGTCAATATCTCTTGCGCTATGAAGAGAGGGGGACCAGAGCATGCTGGTAAAGCATACTGCGCTGAGGTCAAAGGTTGGAGGGGGGATGGTTGACTGACATTTGCGTGATCCATATAGTTCAACCCCAAACACCGGATGTAGTTGCAGTCTTCCATCGACACGGGGCTCAGCAGCTGCTTAACCGTGTAGACATGCTCTGTGACCTCGGGCGCGAATATCGAGCCGTTGATCAGGTAGGCCTTGATTTCCTTGCCCTCGACGCTATCCAGGCCAACGTCTCGAGTCGTGTCAACCAACTGGCCCAGGTGAATGCGGTTGTCCTCGCTCGCGACGAAGCGGATGATGTGTGTTGCTTTCCCCATGTTTGCCAGAGACCGGGCTTCTTCCTTTTGTTTCTGGGAAATGGTTTGTCGAAAGTAGCACGAAGAACAGAACACACCGAAAAAGGCTTTTGGAGCAAAACTGCTGTATGCTCGAGAAGAACAGGGCAACCAAAGCTCAGGAGAGAAATAGAAAAGAGAAAGATGCAATTGCGCAACCTACCTCTGCTCACGACCACCACATGGTCATCAAGTGCCCCACGGTGTTTGAAGGGCATTTGTTTCCCCTCAATCCAAACAAAAAATGGCCGTAGTGTGGTTCTTCGGCACGTTGTCGGCGCGATCGATTTCCCCCCCCCCCCACGGAGAGCCCTTTGCTTGCCCGCGGTTTGTCCAAGTGCCGACACGAGAAGCCTGGTGGGGGAGTTTATGGTGGACGGAGTTTGGTGGATTGTGGGAAAATGGCCGATGGAGGAATGCCGTGTTTGGCCGTTGCCACCCCCGCGGCCTCTTATTGATGTAGGTAGACGGAATCTCTTGCTTCTCCCCGTGACTGTTATGTACCTGGTCGGATCCGAGCCTGGTGTTTCTCTGTCTGGACAGGTATGCAACTCGCGCGTCCGACCTTCCACGACGACGTCGACCTCGCTCAGGATACGTTGAGCCTCTTCGTTTCCGTGGCTGCAGGCTCTACCATGAAACGTCCCACAGCAGAGTTCTGTGCACGGCCACAGGAAGTCAATGGCAACAATTCCGGGTCCGAAGCATGAAAGGTATTTCCGCTGCTTGTGAGCAGAGTGATCATCCCAGAGATCAAGCTGAAACGATCATTCCATCTCGGCAAGCGTTTCTGTCGAGTAGATTCCCAGGCTTGTCGGGCGCTGACCTGGATTCCGACGCCCTGGCTCCCTCGCATTGTGAGTTTGTCAACACACTACCCTCGGATCCGGACAATCTGGCTGAGAGGCTGCAGTATACATCATGTAAAAGGATGTTTGGTGCATGGTCCGGTGGGTTTTGTAAGACATTGTGTACACCACCGTTCGAGGTGTGTTTCGTGAGTATAGGCCAGTCAGTGTAGATGGCGTTGAAAGGCATGTGATGTGCCAGCTGTTGGGTCTAGATCCAGAATGATCAAGGCAGGTTTCTGCAGAATAGCCCACGGGGATCCTGGATGAAAGGGACATCGACTGGACAGAAAGTACAAACGTAAGCCAGTTACATATCTGAGGACATTAACGCTGAGTCAGTGAATTGAGGCATCTGTGTAACACGTGGATGGCCAAATCTCAGAGCAGCTACCTTGACTCTCATTCATCTACTTCGAGACACTCTCTCGTCAGAAGTCCATACCAGTTCGCAGCTCTTGAGGATCAAGGGCGCTGCGTGCCATCCATATCGACGGAGACAATTGATGTCTGTCATGCCCTGTCTGGACTTCTCTACCACAGCCCACTTTTAATGAATTTTCTAACCTCCTTGTGCTCGGCTGCAGCGTCTCTCGCGTGATCCCGACACCTCCATGTACATGTCATTCTGGTCACCAGATATTTCAACAGTGAAAACAATGGACCTCCACAGCTGCTCCCAGTCTAAGCACAGGCCGGGCAATTCCATTCGACACTTCACCTGCAGTTGGCGGGTTGTGGTCGATTATTCAGAACCAGGCGCGGGATTCGGGAAGGTCTCGACTTCCAGAAACGCACGAGGAGAAATGAATCTCAAGACAAATAGAAATACTTGCTCGCGCGTAGCAGCCGCATGAGGCCAAGCGTCGTTGTGAGTTGCTGCATTGGTCATGTTGACATTGCGCTCTCTCTCTCTGATGGCATTCCGCCAATGGGCGAAGAGGCTTTTCGGGGTCGAGAACGATGGCTAAAAGAGTCCCCATGAGTGGTGGCAGTCGGATATCGACGGGTGAGATGACTACTGCCTGTTTCTGCGGGGATGTTCAGCATGCACTGTCATGTTGGAGAAGCAGCCGTTGATCGACGACTCTGAACATTGTTGGGCGTAACAGATCCAGTCTGTGACGCCGAGAGAGGTGAACAGATAGATCAGCGAAGAATGAGGACGTGCGAATGAGCCTCGACTGAGAGGAGGAGTATGTATTTATGTATTTATGTATGTCCGTATGTCTGTCTGTATATGTATGGTATGATGGTATCATGTTTGGCTCTTCGTGGATGTCATCCATGGACAAGTGAGACCTCGATCGCCTCATTCGCCCATGTCGTACCTAACCTCCACCTCGCTGCTCACCACTGCTTCCTCGTGTCCTATCAAAGCTGTCCCAACGCACTCCGTTCCAGGCCGATCTGTCGATTACCTCCTCACGAGTAGTACTTGTATCCATACTGCCTCCCGTCCCCTCCTTTGACTGTGTTGCCCAAGGTATATATGTGAGGACCCTCCATGCAGTCTCTCCCTGGAAGCAGTTCAGAGGATCATTCAAGCTCCTGTTGAGACCATCAGATCAACCATCATGGCAAACGATACTTCCTTTGCCGCACATGTTGCCCATCAGTTCAATTCGTACCAGCAAGACCGTTCCATGGACTCCAAGCAAACCATCTACGCCGCCAGGTCAGTAAAATCTCCCGCTGCTATAGTCCTCTGGTCAACTGACTGACTACCTCGTAGCAATGGTGTGCCTGCAGCTCATCCCTACGAAGCTCAACGAGCAGGCGAGAGCGGTCCTCTACTTGTTCAGGACTTCCACCTGATCGATCTCATTTCCCACTTCGACCGGGAGCGCATCCCAGAACGTGTGGTCCACGCGAAGGGTACTGGTGCCCATGGCTTCTTTGAGTGTACCAACCCTGCCGATGATCTATCTTGTCTCGACATCTGGAGTGCCAAAGGCAAGAAATGCCCCGTCACGGTGCGATTCTCTACCGTGGGTGGCGAGGCTGGCTCCCACGACTGTGCCCGAGACCCCCGAGGCTTCGCGGTCAAGTTCAGAACAGACGAGGGTAATTGGGACCTGGTCGCCAACAATACTCCCGTCTTCTTCTTGAGAGATCCGGCCAAGTTCCCCCATTTCATCCACACACAAAAGAGACATCCCTCCACGCACTTAACCCACGCAGACGACTCGACGATGTTCTGGGATTACTTTTCAAACAACCCTGAAACTATTCATCAGGTCATGGTGTTGATGGGGGACCGGGGCATTCCTGATGGCGTCCGATTCATGCATGGCTATTCCGGCCACGCACTGAAGCTCGTCAAAAAGAACGGCGACTGGATTTATTGCCAAATCCATATGAAGTCCATGCAGGGCACCAAGTTCCTGACCCAGGAAGAGTCTGCCACCAAATCTCCCGACCACTCACAGAAGGATCTCTACGAGGCTATCCAACGTGGTGACTTCCCCAAGTGGTCCGTGGAGATCCAAACCATGACCCCCAAGCAGGCCGAAGAGGTCTGGGCCAAGCAGGGCATCAACGTCTTGGACTTGACCCATGTATGGCCTCAGAAACAATTTCCCCGGCGCAAAGTGGGCGAGTTCACGTTAAACGAGAATGCTGTCAACTACTTTGCCGAAATCGAGCAAGCGGCGTTCAGCCCTTCTCACATGCCTCCTGGGATCGAACCCTCAGCCGACCCAGTGCTGCAATCCCGTCTCTTCTCCTACCCGGACACCCACCGCCACCGCCTGGGTACAAACTACCAACAACTCCCTGTCAATGCGTCCCACACGGCCTACAAATACGGGAACTTCCAACGTGACGGCCCCATGGCATTCTACAACCAAGGGGCCCGGGCCAACTATCTCTCGTCCATCGACCCCATCCAGTTCCGCGAAAGAAGTGTCGACTATGACAAGACACACGGCCATTTCCAAGGCCATGCCATCACCTTCCTCTCCCAGATCCGGCCCGAAGACTTCAACGCGCCACGCGCCCTGTGGGAGAAGGTCTTCGATGAGCCAGCGCGGCAACGTTTCATCAGCAACGTCACCGGCAAGATGGAGGTCTGCAAGGACAAAGAGATCCTGAAAAGGCAGATTGCCATCTTCCGCGAAGTCAGCGAGGACCTCGCCCAGCGCCTGGAGAAGTCGACAGGGATCAAGGGCTACGATGGGATCAAGAACATGAAGTTTAACGGCACCCACAATGGCATGAGTTCGGATCCTGCCATCAAGCAGGCCAACGGCGTGAAAGCTCCGACCTTCGCGAATGACAACAACGGAGCACCGACTCCGGGGTCGCACGACAGCATCCCAAATGTCGCATAGAGTGTGTTCAATGAGGACCAGAAGTCATGGATTGACGACACCAAAGGGGTGAAATATAGCCATTATGATAGGGTTGTAACAACAAGATAAACATCTTGCCTTTTTAACTCAACTCAGAGAATGTGTATCCACCACCACCACCACCACCACCCTGGTTGCTTGACATTGACGCCCTCTGGACGAACCCATTTCTATCTCGTAGATCTCATCTCTTTAGAACTCTCAATAATAAAGGAGAACAAGAGCAAATACATTGAGAGAGAAAGAGAGAAAGAATAAAAGCAATAATAAAAGGAGGCAAAAACAATCAACAGTCAGGATTCCCACCTGGTCACCCACGGTAGTACTAACTGGACCGGCATATGGCTTAAGTACGGCTGAGCGAACGGGAAGCCCTGCTTTCCATATCCTATGGTCGATTGCGGAAGACTCTCTGCGACTATATAATCTATATGACATACAAATACATACATATATACGTGACTCGTATAGACACACACACATGAAATAGGGGGCCAGGAAGACATCGAAGAGAGAACCAGTCAGACCCTCAACAGTGTCTGCGATAGGAAGAACAGCAATGCGCTTCGCCTGCGGAGAGTGTCAGTACTTTTCTGGAGACGGTCAAACAAGACGTTACTCACATATTTGATGTACACACATACACTTTGTATGTCTTGGCATCACCACCCGCGCTATTGATTCGAAATGAATCGAGCCGTGGCGAGGTAGACATATATATAATATACAGACACGCACGTGCAGCTCGTCGAGGTTATGATCGATCATTTCATCGTTATAGATACCCACTAGAGGGACTTAATCCTGCTGGATGACCCGCCATTCCTAGTAACAACCAGGGTCAACCTACGTATCTTTCGAGGGAACATGGGAATGAACTTCCTGTGACCTTTTTGATCGCTCGGCCTGGAGTCTAACGTCCGCGTAATTTTTCTTCCTCTCTCTCTCTCTTAACCTGGCAGCTAGAAACTCATCATCGTCCATATGTCGAGATGAATCTGTCCGAGATGTACTGGATACCCTCGGCACGGTAGTAGTCCGGCTCCACGTACAACAGGTCTGTGGCGTTGGCGTCAAAGACGATGTTTTGGGGGTCGTCCAGCGTGTACACGGGCCAGTGGACGGAGGTAGCTAGTCCATGGGTGCAGGGTTAGTAAGTTGATGAGTTTTTATAGAGCAGCAGCTTCAGGACGGAGTGCATTGGGGGGGATAACGCACCGTTGTTCGTATTGGGATCTCCATCCACGATGAAACTGACCCACATGCGACTCATGATCGTCGCCAGCCGATCGAAGCTGGCCGGTTTGTTCTCGAACGGGTCTTCCGCCACCGAGTTGTTGTACCCCATTCCCTCGATGTTGTGGAACACAAACGCGACTTCCTGAAAATGCGTTGCGCCGATCGCGGGAGGCTGGCCATTGACGAGCACGTTGAAGTGGTAGCTCCAGCTGCTGACGTTGTTGGCCGCGTAGATTTGGGATATCAATCGGCGTGGTGCATGTTGACGTAGATCACCTATATACGCGGCTTCACGCTTCCACTGGACCCCCAGCGAGGCGTTGGACGGCGGCGGGCGGCCTGATAGTGTGGCTGGAATGCCGATGGCAGGGATGTCTGGGTACAAGGCCGCGATGGTTGTGGCAGTGGCATTGTCCGGGCCGTCCTTCATCACGCCGGCAAGGAACTCCTCTGTCGTGTTAATGCCTTTCGTCGCGAAACTAGTACCCTCGTCAAAGTTCCGTCCGTGGAGGAGGGGTACTTTGATGAATTTGCCGTCGAGGAGCTGACGCGTGCCCGTGTCGATGATCATGTCGTTGTCCACCATGGGGCCCCAGTAGGGCACTTGTGCCGTCACGCTGCTGTTGAGTACGGCGTTGAGGGATTCGATAGGTACTTTGCGCAGGCATGCCAAGGTGTCCGAGGCCGTGCTGCAGTTTGTGGCGCGCGTGATGTTGTTGTAGTACTTGTCCCAAGTGGTGGCGTTGGTGTAGCGAGTAGAGCTTATGTGTCCTCCACTTTCCTGAATCGCACCGCGGAAGAGTCTGTCGTCTCTCCCTCCGTAGGCAAGCAATTGCACGCCAACACTGGATGCACCGGCGCTTTCCCCCCAACTGTTATATCGGTCAGCCTGTGCCCATATCACACCCTAGCCGTGACCTGTGCAGAGGTTTCGAAGTCATCAAAAGACAGGGGACAACTTACATGGTCACTTTGCTTGGATCTCCTCCAAACGCAGCTATATTCTCCTGGATCCATTGCAGGGCAAGACGTTGATCACGGTAACCCATATTAGTAATGCCTGCTTTGAGTGCTGCTGTGCCGAATAGGTATCCAAATGCTTGAAGACGATAGTTGATACTGACGCCAATGAATGGTTTGCCCATCTCCACAGATTGCTGGACAATAAATGATAAATTGTAACGTGGATCAAGGCTGCTACCCATGTAGCCTCCGCCGCCGTAAATCCAGACTCCAACCGGAAGATCTGCATTCGCCTGCGTACCAGCAGGCCGGATGACATTGAGGGTGAGACAGTCCTCGCTCACCGGGTTGCCCAAGACCCAATCATCCGAGCCATAACCATAACATGCATAGGAATATTGTGTTGCGTTCTTACTTCCAGTCCACGAGGTGTTGAGAGAGACGGGGTTACGGAAGCGAAGGTCGCCTGTGGGTGGTTGAGCAAAGGGCATACCTAGGAAGAGGTCTTGATTGTATGTTGGATTATGAAAGCCATGATAGCTTCCATTCTTGACGGTGACAGTTGGGGGTTTGCTCTGGCGAGGAAGCAGAGCACCTAGGGATATATCTGAGAAGGCGAGAAGCACGCAAACCAAAATTGAGAACATTTTATGTAGCATTCCCAGCACCTTCAGGGCAATAGTCGTCGAACAGGCAATCAACGGTAGGTTTTGATCAGCAGGCAACTTACAGCAAGACGACATCTCACATATATACCCTTCTCCGGTCGTATTTTTCCTGCATCATGTACTTGGCCACGGGACTTCTCGTCAACGATCGCCCACACCGCAAGGACATAATGCCGATTTTGCCCCAGGGTACCATTGTCCGCCGGTGATCGTCACGCATCATGTCCCGAAGCGATGTATATAGGATGCGGGGAATGCAGATGCTGGCAACAGGCGACTGCCCTGGTCACGTCGGGGCTTTTTAAGTCCTTGGCGGTCGAGTCACAGCTGGGGGAAGGAGGATCCATAGCCTCAGGAAATCAAGGAATGCCACGTATTAGTAGATGGAGTATATGCAAATTTAAGTCAGGGAGGGGCCTGTCGATCCGCACAGTGTGCTGAAGCATTATCTGCTTTCTGATGGGGGCGTTGACTGAGAAAGGCAGCAGCAAAGACAGAGTGCAGAGGAGGTGGTACAGTATGTAATATGGCGTGAGTCGGAAGAGTTGCCTAGATTGGTTTTCTAACTTCCGATGGATTGAGAACAATGAAGTCCATCTCATTCACAACAAACACCCACGAAGATGCTGATTACCCTGCATCACAGAGCGGGAAGACATACAGCCTTCTTGCTGAGGTGGAAGTGAGCTCGCCCTGACTTGTCACCAATGAACCGCCGTGACGCGTCTGAGATATCGCCAGACCGCGTCGTGTTGTTGTTGTGCGCAGTACGAGGGCAAGTGCGACGATGAGGCGTCAGACCCATAATCATGGCGACACCAACAAAATCCCAGGCCATTTCCACCCCTAAACCGCATCTCTCCCCTCCAAACAGGCTCATGGCCTCACCGCGTCCGGGCACCTCGGGAAACTCGCATCGGCCCCTCGCCTACAAATCTCCTGCGGTCAAGACTCCAGCCTCAGTGCACGGACATCATGTCAGTGTCTCGTCGCAACCGTCCTCCACACCCCTGGCCGCAGCCGCCGTGCATGATGATCTGCTGGCCCTCAACTCGCCTGCTGCCGCTCTCATCAACTCTTTAGGAAATACGGGACTCACACCTTTGGGGAATGGTGCGGACGGCCTAGGCATCACCACCTCGCTGTCAGGTGGGCCCGTGAGACCTGCTCCTCTCGCTGTCCACCCAGAGGTCGAACGATTCCATAGAGCGGAACTAGTTGTGGATTTGCTCAAGAGTCGAGTCGGGGGTCACGGAATCACTCGCGGGGGGGTGGAGAGAATAGCACAGTTGCAAGGCTTCACAACTCTATGGGACGATGACAACCTAACAATTGCCGGAAATTGTGTAGACCTCGAGATCAACTTCGAATCTGGCGGCAGGGACGATGTCAGAGATGTGAGTCTCAAGCTCAATATATCAGACAGCGCGTCCGAAAGCGAGGAGCCCCAATTTCAGGAACAAGGCACCCAGGTTATTAAGGGTAACCTGCAAGACCTTGGCGACATTGACCGAGGCCCGCGATGGAGGTCTCTCGATGCCTTTACAGCAAATCTTCAGTACCTCAGCCAACTCGATAGAATCGAAAGTGGAACGCCTTGCTTTAACGCTGTAGGGGACCTGTACAATGCGTTTCAAAAGATCTGGAATGCCGAAAAGGAGAGATTCAAAGGGCGGTCTACTAGGCAACACCTGAGACAAGGCACAGTTGGCAGACCTGTGATGGATCGAAAACCCCGATTGGGGCTGGCTCTGGATTACTGGGGCTCTCCAGACGAACCAAGGCAACAACCCGAAGGCGTCGTCAAAGATATGGACGACGATGACACCCGTGTCTACACGGCACGAATATCCTGTGAGCCTGGTTTACCTTCGACCGCCATCACAAAGCAATGGGTTTCGGACCGGGTTCTTATCCAGGACCCAGAGGTGATGCTGGACGTTGAGAATGAGAAATGGAAGCCGGATTGGCGAGACCCGGCACAGGATACGGCAACCGCAGATCTGTTAGCCAAGCCAGAAGCAGATGATCCAGCCGCAGAGAAGTCGACAGATATGGTCCCAGGTGTCTTGGATATGCATTTCTCGTGTACCCTGGAACCTGAAATTTATCTCCCCCTCAATGTAGCGGCCAACTTGAATCTGGAGGTTGCTATGCTGGACATAAAGCAGGAGCTGACCTCAACATACCAAGCGGCGTTGCAGAAACACTTCAGCGGCGCCAGCGTCGATGGCATCAGGAGAGCCTCTCAAGAGAGATGGCTTAGAGTCTTACTGATTGCCGATGACAGCAACGCAGACCGGTTGCGACGACATTCATATGCCCTGCAGTCCTCTCAGCACGCTCCACCCCTATGGTGTTGTCCTGTGAGACACTTGCAATTCAATCATCCAAAACACCTTGCAGCCGTGCTGCCTGTTCTGCGGCAGTATGCCGTCGTTTGGGGTATTTTGCGGAGCTTAGTTGAGTATGAGAGTAATCACCAACAGGCCAGCCCGTCAAGGACGGTCCAATCCAATGGAAGACATGGCTCAGAAGCCTCTCCCCGACCTTTGAAGCGAACTAACAAGAAAAGTTCCGGCTCTGACCTCGATGATCTTGCTAAGCCGAACGGTGAGCCGGATCCCGACCAGCCGTTACCCATCGACTTGAACATGGACGTGCTCTCTGATTCTTCCAAGGCGAGGCTTGATATGTACATTCCGCTACGCGGACCGGTTAGAAGAGAACAAAAGGTTCCATTCATTTTCTTGTCCTTGAATATCTGTCAGGGCGGAGGAATTGAAGTTCGAGACTTGCGCGGGATCCCCACAGATGGCATGGACGGTGGAATCCGGTCCAAGATCATACGGATCTTGGAGATGACAGAGGATATTGGCTTGATGGTTGAATGGCTTCTGGAACAGGCTGCTGCGCGCAGGTGATAACTTGTAAGCTTGGAGACAACGGCACAGGCGCATTGGACACACGCCTAGCATTTTGTGGATAGATAATCCAGTGCCGAGGGCATACAGCACTGCTTTGAGTGGATCAAGCCCAGCTGTACAATGGGCAATGACCTACCAATGCTCTGTCGGTCACCCCATACCTCCTGATAAGCTACGTGGGCCTCCAAGGATCAGGCTCATAGATGACAAACGCAAAGCAACGCTGGGCGACGGGCTGCATCACATGGCACCGACGACGGGACTTCCTCTCTGGGTAGTCCGGACACGATGAAACCTAGGCACGACTTGATGGATCCCTAAAACCTACAGTAAAAGTGGTTCTGTGAAGGGATTCTGGGGGTCTATCAATGTCCCATGGGGAACGGCCAACCATCGGCCACCCACACCGACCTCGTGCTATGTCCCATCAGCACGCGACGAATTGTTGTCCGACGGCCTGTTACCGCATCCAAAATCCACATGGAACCCTGTGCCAGGGACCCAGACCCTCTCTTCACCCTCTGCTCGCCACAGTCTAACACTATAGAGGTGTATCTCTGGCCAGCAATGCTGTTTTCCCAGAGCATCAGAAGACTCATCCTTCACTTACATTCCCTGCTCGTCTCGGTGCCTTACTGCAGTCAACCAATATGCCCAGGCCAGACCAGCAGGAATCACAATGCAGATCCGAATACTCAGGTTGGAGAATACACAGTATGCGACGTCCCACATTACGCCAGTCCACTAAAAGAAAATTCTCCGTGAACCAATGGGCAGTTCGAAATGGAATTGCCGTTCGTGGGGATTCAATCAGATCCCGACCCGACACGCCACCGACATCATGAGGAAGACCCTTTTTGGCAATCCGAGTGGACGCTCTATTCATTCCTGGCGATCCATGATGCACAGAATTGAGGAGCCCTCGAAGGGGTTTTCTCCGCATTTACTGCACGACGGTCTCCATCAATGCAACATTACGAGGGAAGAGAATCTGGAGCAGCCACAGCAACGCTTCTGTGCTGGATTATGGTCCGGGGCTCAACGCCGTCTTCCCTCCGACAGTCGCGGTTTTGCTATTCCGATCCTAGTGCCGTCGTCTTCAAGTTAAGACATGGCCATTATATAAAGAACGTTTTCCCACGGATCTCCCACTCTTCTACACTTCCATACACATAGCATATACGATCTGCCTGCTAATCCATCCATCATGAAGTTGTTCAACCAGCGCTACTTGGGCTTTCGTGGCCTCAAGCTCAACATCGCAATTGGTATCATTGCCGGGATTGATTTCTTGTGAGCAGCACAGAGCCCAGAATTCTAAGCCCAACTGACAATCCAAGGCTATTCGGCTATGACCAAGGTGTTATGGGAGGCCTTTTGACGCTACCAGCCTTCACGTCCGTCTTCCCAGAGATCGATACAACCAAGGAAGGCTTGCAAGGCCTGAACCAAAGCCAAGCCAACCATCGGTCAACGATTCAAGGCATTTCTATCGCGTCGTACAATCTCGGCTGTTTCTGCGGGGCTATTGCTTGCATCTGGATCGGTGACATCCTTGGACGACGCAAAACCATCTTCCTGGGATCTTCTATCATGGTTGTTGGTGCCACCCTCCAAGCAACTGCGTTTAGTCTACCACATTTGATCGTTGGACGGATCATCACCGGCATGGGGAACGGTCTCAACACTTCCACCGTCCCCACCTGGCAATCTGAATGCTCGAAATCTCATCGAAGGGGTCAACTGGTCATGGTGGAGGGTGCGCTCATCACTGGCGGCATTGCCCTCTCGTACTTTTTGGATCTAGGCACGTCGTTCATTCACAACCAAGCATCGTGGCGGTTCCCTATCGCCTTCCAGATCGTTTTTGCTGTGATCATACTCTGTTTCATCCTAGAGCTACCGGAATCCCCAAGGTAACCCGCGAACAACCCCGACATTCATGCTTTTTGGCTAATATTCTACAGATGGCTCATCTTGAAAGGTAGAGAAGAAGAGGCTGTCCAGGTTCTTGCGGCTCTATCCGACAAGCCAGCCGACGACAAGTATATTCTTTCCGAATTCGCAGCTATCAAGGACACAGTGCTTGAACAAGAGAAGGCAACGTTCCGCGATCTGTTCACCATGGACGAAAACCGACATTTCCACCGTGTGGCTCTCGCGTATGTCAACCAAGTCATGCAACAGGTCTCGGGAATCAATTTGATCACCTATTATGCGGCTACGATTTATCAAAACGAGATTGGCCTTTCGCCCTTCATCTCCCGTGTTCTGGCGGCTTGTAACGGCCTGGAATATTTCCTGGCATCCTGGATTGCAGTCTTCATCATCGAAAGGGTCGGGCGTCGAAAGCTTATGCTGTTTGGCGCCGTGGGTCAGTCGGCTTCTATGATCGTCCTTGCGGTTATGACCAAGATCGGAGGCCAGGGCCCAGGGATTGTCGCCGCGATGTTTTTGTTCATCTTCAACACCTTCTTTGCTGTGAGTTCTCTTTCCTCCACAGACAGTCCACACGCCTCCCACCAGACGACCCTCATTGATCCCTTTTGAAACATGCACTAACCTGGATGTGCAGGTCGGTTGGCTCGGCATGACCTGGCTTTATCCGAGTGAGATTGTGCCACTGAAAATTCGTGCACCGTCTTCAGCCTTGTCTACGTCCGCCAATTGGATTTTCAACTTTATGGTGGTTATGATTACTCCCGTTAGTTTCAGCTCAGTATGTATTTACCTCCCCTCAAACTTTGTGTCTCAGGCAGACAAGTTATTACCACTCGAGAACCTGTGTGGCTAACAGATGAATGTTCAGATCAAATGGAAAACCTATTTGGTATTTGCAGTTATGTGAGTGCAGCGAGCCTTTTCCACTTGCTTGGCGATAAACTGACTCGAAGCTTCAGAAACGCGGCTATGGTTCCTGTCGTATTCTTCTTCTATCCGGAAACTGCCTACCGCTCTCTTGAGGAGATGGATACGATATTCCACAAAACAAAGAACATCTTCACAGTTGTATGGACCGCTAAGAACGAGCCACACCGCTATGGCAAACGCGGAGAAGTCTTGATCGACTATGAGGAGACGGGTGAACACCAGCGACGTTTGAGCAGCGTGGCGCGCCGAAGTAGCGTCGTCAGCACTCAGGGCCAAACCGAATATGTCTCAGAGAAAGGGGCTCACGTTGAAAATGAATAGAAGAGCAGTTTTACGAGATCTGCGAATCGCTTTTGCTCTGGTAGGCAGGAATTCGCCAGAATAGGGGTATAGCCTTGTCAAGAAACGCACAGCCTGGCGTTCAAGGCGCTCTCGGTACGTTGTGGGTTATGCTGAAGAATGAGATCCACTGAGTCATACACCCCTTTTTGGGATAGATTGATATGATCGAGGCCAGAAAATTAACGCACTGGATTTATCATTACATCTCCACGGTTAGCCATCCTTAGGGTGAGTCTGCGACCGAGGAGCGTGATTTTCTGCGCAATTCGAAACGCTTCTCCAGGCGATAAGAGATGGCTTTCCTGGATGTAGGTGTTCAAAATGGCCCCGAACAGAACGTCCATGGGAAATAGCTACCACGGATGCCATTCGCCCGAATAGGAAAGTTTTGGTGATTCTCGGGCAGGTTTGATGCCATCATCTCCTTACCATTAGCCCGGATGGACAGGTTTCTCGGACGAATCGAGGCTGAGCACTGATGACAAACGCCAGTTCGAAGGACTTAGGTATGTACCAAGTAATTAATTATAACCTCCAGACATTGGCATGCATTTCGCATATGTTACGGGGGTGTCTTGGTTCCGTAAGCCCCGCAATAGAATAGCATTTTAGCAGTGTGTCAGCACATATTGTTCCTCGCCGAGTTGTGGACACTGGACACAGATCTATTAGTGATCATTTGCTAGACGTCGTTGACAGCGCGTATATTTGAACCCCCTCATTTTCTTGCCTCTTTCGACCAGCTACGGCATCAAGCAGGTATCGTTTGTCAGTCTCAGTTTCTTCTTAGGACACCTTCGACGTCAACTACGAACCTGAGTCGGCGAATAGATATATCTGGGACAACTCTCGCTGCAAATCTCTTCATCATTCAATTTCAAGTATCTTGACCATTTCAGACCTGGCGCTACGATCTATTACCCGGATACAACTCACCCATAGCCATCTGTCGCCCAAATCTCTAACCAGTCAAACGAGAGCAATGTCTGAGTAAGAGGAAGATGCCCTCTGCCTCTTACATGTGAATTACTAACACACTCGCAGTCTCGCAGAACTTGGCTCCAAACTCTTCAGTCCCAACCCCCAATCTCGACCAAAGATTGTGGGCACGGAGAAACGAATCCGGGGAGTGCTTAATGGCAAATACATCTTTGACACCACGACCGCGAAGCTCGTGTGGGAGAATGGATACTATCCGATGTATTGGATCCCCAAGGCCGACTTCCTCGACAACGCCAAGTTCACCGACGACAAGCCCATTTCGGGCATCGACTCGTCCACCTCGACCCTCAGCGTCGGCGACAAATCCGTCCCTTCGCTCATTGTCCCCGACTCGTTCAACTCTGAACTGGTCGGTTACGTGAAAGTCGACTTTAAATCCCTCGATGCCTGGTATGAGGAGCAGGCACAGGTGCTCTACCACCCCAAGGACCCGTATCACAGAGTCGATCTCCTCCCCTCAGGGCGACACGTGCGCATCGAGGTCGACGGTGTGTGTCTCGCCGACACCGGCTCCGAAGGCGGCGTCATGTCCCTCTGGGAAACCAACTTCCCGGCTCGTTGGTATCTGCCCCGGACGGCCATCAAGTGGGAGTATCTGACTCCGAGTGACACGCACACCGGATGTCCCTACAAAGGCGAAGCCAGCTATTACAATGCCGTGATCAACGGCAAGGAAATCAAGGACGTGGCCTGGTGGTATAAGAATCCGACTCAGGAGAGCGCCGGCATCATCGGCATGCTGTGTTTCTACCCGAATAAAGTCGACACTTGGGTCGATGGGAAGGAAATCGCAAAAATCGGGATGCCGGGCAAGAAGTAGAAGAGGCCGGGCCAAACGGTAAAAAGCTGGAATTAATTATGCGATGGAACTATCAAGTGAGGAAGTAATAGCATCCACAGCTATCGGTATTGGATAGCTGGCATGGGTTTGTGTAACGAGGTAGCCCAAAAGTCAACTAAAGACGTCATCTAGGCGAGCTTCATTGCGCTGCGTCAAAATAATTTTTATTAGCATCCTCCCTCTCCAGATGCGATCGGCCCCAGCACCCTGTATCCCTCAGTGTTTTTCTGTAGGGCAAGACGCAACAAGATGAACAGAGCTACCGGAAGTCGGGTGCTATGGCGAGCACCGCGACTACTGCTCCGGCTACGCTCCGTTTCGACGTTGAGCACCAACCCTCACATTGTAAGGTCTCGTCACCACCCATCAACCTCCAATTCTACGAAACTAACGTGGGTTATCGAGCAGTATGTTTTCAAGGACCCTCAAAACCCCTCCTCTCATCTCCTGTCGCTCCTCTCCACGGATCCTCCCTCACCTTCGTTAGCCATTGGCACCGCAACGCAACTCCCACCCACGCCTCGATCCTTTACCGAAAACCCCAAGTTCCTCCCTATTCTTCACTCCGTCATTGGCGAGAATGCATCCTCCGACCCCGAGGTCCAATCGCAAGCCGCGGCAATGGTATCCTCGTCCGGAGCGTCCTTCTTTCAGACCGCCCGCCGCCAGCAGACAGGCTCCTCGGGCGCCAGCGACCAGGGCGGCTATGGCAGCGCTGGTCGGGGAGGCTGGGTCCACGTCTCTGATCAACGGCGCATACCGGACTTTGGACGCATCGCGGAGCCGGAAGATATCTTCGGCAGCGTGGAAGTCGATGGGCAAGGGAAATTCGTCGATGGGCACGGAGGCTACCAGCCCAGTGGGACGTATCGTATCTGCACAAACGATGGGATCCTGGGCCTGACAGACTTCATGAGGCAGAGATTGGTCGAGAGGCTGAAGGTACAAGAGGCGGCGGAGAGGAACAAGCAGTGATGGGCTTTGACACACGAGAAAACGCGCGTAGTTCGAGGATGCTGGGCAGTTCTCGACTTCTGAACGCAGTGCGCGACAGAAGCGTTTGCTCAAGCGCTACCGAATCAGGGCTGCTGTGAACACCCAACATATCAGACTTCGCCTTGGAGCTGAAAGAAGAACCAGCTCGCACCGGGGATCCAATGTCTACCGGACGCCCAGTGTCTGTGCTTTATCAATCGTCCTTGGCTGGCCAACACGCACCTCTACATCCCAATAACGCTTAGCACCGGCGAGTGCCCACCTGGACGTCCGCGTCAGGATGAAGACGACATCGACCCTACACCGGAGGCTGCCGAAGACCAGAGCATGCGAGGCATGTTTCCATTCCTTTGGCTAAATGAAAACCCCTGGACTCGGGACTGTATGTATAGTTATGACGAGGGATCCCCACACCTCGCGTCACGGGAATGCTAAGGCGCCCATAGCACGACAGCTGTTAATAGATGGGAACAACTACAGACTATTATGCATGGAATATCAAGAGGAGGAGCCTGCGCGTGGCATTTCAGAGTCAGGGCTGTGACAGGGAGAAAGTCATATAAAGTTGTCTCCATGAACGATGGATGCCTGTGCCGTAGTTCATATGCTGATGCTGCTTCACCCAAAGGGCATCTAGCATGTACCATAATGGAATGCAACTCTAATGCACCTGCCCATGACGGTAGCCAATCAGAGCAACAGTGAATGGGCCCGGAAACCATCGTCATTGGTGGATCCGCGTGTATCACGGTGCGGGGTTGTGCAACTTTGGTTTGGTCGTTGCCTGGACCTCGAAGCAAAGCAGCCACGCCAGCCTTGTTCTTCATGCTCACTTTCTCTGTCTCTCTTTCTCTCTCGTCTCTCACAACCCTATCAATCCTCCTATGTACTTTCTAACATCCCAGGGAAAGCCTCGAAACTAGCCTTTCTCGCTTCTGTCATGGCTAATCTCGATCTCCCGGCCTTTGGCATCCGTGATCTGAACGGCCCTACGTGTCCCCCGGGTATCGTTCAGATCACCGCCTCGCAGTATGACAGCACCATCCATAGCCAGCCTGACGCTGTGCTCTCCTATATCGACCATGACGATGGTGAGCTCATCACTGTTGGAAGTTCCCTCGAGTTGCAACAACGCCTGGAAGAGCCTGTGCCTCCTTCGGTTGCTCTGGTCCCCCCCGCCCCCCAAAGCGTGGCCTCGCTGAGAGGTGCAAGAGAGACGAAGGAAAACAGCCTGGTGCATATCTTTGACATTCGACACACTGGCGGGAGTCTGGCTGTCTGGAGACATCATGAGGCATACACCACGAAGAAACTGCGGGACCAGGAGTCTTCGTCGTCGTCGTCACGTTCGGGTACAAGAGTCTCGAGTCCACACCGGCCATCCTCATCTGGACCTCAGCCCAGGCTCACTTTTGATACTCTCGAAAAACCTTTCAGCCAGAACATACTGGGCACGACTTTCACTCTACCGCCCCAATCTGCCCCAGTTTCGGACCCTACCATGGCCGATGATGGGAGGACTAAGCACACCTCCACCGCACAGCCAGTCATCCCCGGTGAAGGAGAGTCATTGATGCAGACGGAAAAGGCCCCTGAGAGTGCCTCGCCCTGCCCTGATAGTCAGCTGGGTCCATTGGCCGACTTCCTTGAGTCCACAGCAGAGGGGCTGCGAAAGCTTGCGGAGAAGACGAGAGATGCAGACACGTCAGCTGTCGAGAATGTCTTGTTTGGGTTCAAGAATATCCTGAAAGAAGCCGGCGAACTGGGCCTGGGCCTGTTGGCAACAATCATGGACCAAGAACTGGAAACTATTGGAAGCAACAAAGTCGAAACCACTGACCGACCCGGCTCTCGCTTAGAAGCGCAGCAAACCCCCAGGGCAATCAATAACTCCGTGACAGAAGACAAGGTCGAGGTGGTCTTGCAGCCTCATGTGAAGAGGTTCAGCTTCGGCGAGAACAGAAGTAACGGGGTCGGCACGACTAATCGATCATGCACTCGTGTGAGAGGACTGCCGTTCCTTTACTCCTTTGGCGCGACCAAGAAGCCCGGAGAAGAAAACAAGCTGAAATTGGATGTTCGCCCTGCTGGGAGGTTCGGTCCCGTCAAGAACAGAAGTAACGGAATTAACACAACTGGTAGACCTTTTCACGAAGGAATACCCATCTGCGACGACGCCTGTGTACCTGAACCATCCAGGGGCGAAGATAAAGTGCAGCCGGACATCCAGCCTTCTGAAAAGAGAGTCAGCTTCGTCGAGACAACGCATCCCGCGCCACCTCAGACGACGTTAAGGTCCAAAGTTTACGAGGTCAAGAAGGAAAGCTCCACTTCTGAGGTCCAGACATCAAGTCTGCCTTCATCTGTGCCTCCGACCAACAATCAACAGCCATCTGAGAGCCCCTATTCCATGCCAAACCTCCTGTCTCCGTCCTTGCCACCTCATAACAAGACTGGCGGGCGCACCGAGTCTGTTGGCAACTCCATTATTGACTCGCAGCCTTCTGATGCCGATGTTCTGGCCCGATTTCCTGCATTGAAATCTCTTGGCAAAGTCACCAGTGCCAGCCGATTTGAAGACTTCCTAGCAATGGCTGGTACCTTTCGAGACAGCATGAGAACAAAGTCAGCCTTGTCTCGATATCCTAGCATTAGCCAACTTGAAGAGTGTTCAAAGGCAAACCCCTCAATCGATCTCGACTCGAAGACGCACAGTGACGGTCGTTGGGAACGACTGTATCGGCCACCAGTCCGGCCGGTCCCCCAGAAGATCAATGCCTACAAGAAGCCCACGGTCGACGACGAAGAAGAGCCCGTCCGTTCCCAACGAGAAGAATCGGCAGGGAAAATAAAAGCGCCAGGCTTGTCGGACACCTTCTCGTGGTCCTCATACTCACTCCCAGGTGCCTGGCCTCAGCCAAAGTCTGAGCAACAGTCTGAGCCGAAGCGTGAAGCCCCGTTCCGTAAAGAGTCTCCTGCCACCGCTGGCCCCAGCAACATATACCAAGGTCTACCTCAGTGGCAATCCGAGGGAAATCGAAGTTCAATTTTTGGTGCTCCACCACGATTTATCAGGCCTGACGACATGATATATCCTCGCGGACCAGTCTTTCTAAGAAAGGCCCAGACAGTTAGTGGTACCAACCCGGCAGCGAGACTGAACGGACCATTTGATCCTCTTGCACACATTCCTGCCCTGCAACCCCGACCCCAACGGTCGCAGCCAGAATTGTCTTCATTCGATGTCGTCACTCCAGATATCCGAGTCAAACGAGGGTTTTCTTACCGCTTGCCACAACGCAGCCAGACCCTTCATCACACCGATCGTTACAAACCTCGTGATGCGGCCCCGTACGAGAACCCAACGTCGAGGTCCTGGGAGGACTACTTGGAGAACAGTCGCAACACAACCCCGAACTCCAGAGTGGCCCCACAGACTCGATTTTCTGCTGAACCAGGCTATAGACCTGATCCTCCCGCTCCGTCCAGCCTGCGAGCACCTCGTGCCACCCGACTCCCAAGTTTTACGGGGTACGAGCGCCCGATGCAATTGTTGCAGCAAATTGCGGACCAAAATGAGCATTCTCCCAGCGTTGGATCTCTGCCCTCTCATCCACAGCCCCTCGAGACTCATCGACCAGAAACCATTCGAGCAGGACCGCCGCAAGTCAAGTCCGCCTCGAAACCATCACCACCGCTCATACCTGCTCCCCCTCCAGCCGCCGTACTCTTGCCCCCAGCACCAGCTGCTACTAACATCTCTCGCTCATCATCGATTCTTTCTCCGATCCCGCCAGCGCCACCCCATCCTCCGGGTCGAGTTGAGATTTCCCCACCATCTGTTTCGAGCAAGAAGGTTGACGAGTGCGTCAGGGCACTAAAAGCTATGGGCTTCGGCAGAGATGATCCGATTGAATTTTCTCGCCTGGGCATCTATGCGGCAGCGGCGGAAGGATATGTCGGAGTCGCAATCCAGTTGCTCGAGGACGATCGTGCAGCTGCCAAAGAGCTTGGGAAGAAGGAACACGTTGACATCAGCAGGGACTTGGAGAAGGAGGCAGATGTCGAGAAGAATCCCTGGGAAGAGTAAAACAGGGCAGTCGGGTCAGGTATTGAAACTTGGGTGCTTGGACTTTGTGATGTATCCAATGACAGAAATTGCACGTCGAACGATCAAAAACAACACTCTCGGGCTTTGGATTGAAAAACTCAAAGGGGATTTTATATTTGTCTGTACGGTGTTGTTAGGGCTGCGTGGAAACGAAGCACATCAAGAACAGACTGACCAATCGCGCTTTTCTTTGTTTTTCAGAAAAGGTATCGGATAGTAACTGATGGCTACAGCAATTCAATGCATTCTGGTCGTGCAGCATGGTCGATGGTCGTAATGAGTACATACATAGTGTATCCATTCGTATCCGCAATACCTCTGAGGAGAATCATCCTTGCTAAAGGCATCACTATCTACTGTGACTGATCTAGTTGTCTACAGGTACACACCTCCCTGTCATCCATCCATCATTAAGACATGCTTCGTACATGGCTCCTCCGTGCTCTATAGCATAGACAGTCGTACCCACATGGCTCGCTCTCGGCCGTGGCTTGATAGGGTTGGCATATATATTATAATCCCGTATCGACAGGCGTACATGTTCTTTGTGTGGGAAATAGCGAGAGTGCCCGGTCAGAAAAATGCCGCCCGGATCGAGGCCGAGCTTTATGTTGCCGTGGGGCAGAGCAGGGCGGACAGGAACAGCACAGCAGGAGGTGAGTCTTGTTGGGAGCTTTGTCCCCGTCCCCTGCGACAGCAACAGAGGGAGTGAGATCAGAGATGAAAGGGAAGTCGAGGAGAACGAGAACGAGAAAGGTGAAACTTGTCCGTGTGCCGTAGGGTCAGGTTCAGGATGTACTGTAGTTGAGGCGCGGGGAGGCATGTCATTCGCATTGTATGTGGGTTGTTGTCGGTCTTTCAATCAATCCATCAACCAACCAACCAATCATTGATAGGGGCAGACAACCAACACTCATCAATGCCTACCTCCGTTTCAAAAATCAATGGAGCGCCGCATCGAGGATCCTCTTCCGGACTTCGTCGCTGAAACTGGTGGCGACCGCCTCCTGGTCCGTCATGACGTTCATCTCGGCGTCCACGGCGGCCTCGTACGCCTTGAGCACGCTGTCCTCGTCGACCCGCACCCCGTCCTCGGCCAGGATCTTGATACACTCCGCGATCCGCGCGATCTCCCGTCGGGTGCCCTCGCCAATGTCGTCGTTCTGGCTCGAGTAGATGGCGCTGCTGACCACGTCGTCGAGGTTGGAAATGCTGACCCCGCCACTCGTCATCCGGCCCTGGTCTTCGGCCTGCTCCATGTGCTTGCTCAGCCAGATGTATCCGTTCACCCCGAGGATGACGTTGACGTCGCCCCCGCCTTGGGCGCCGCTGTTAACCGTGAAGACCTGTCTTCGACTGCGCACTACGCCTCCGCCGCCCCCGGTCCCCGTCACCGCCAGGAACATGCCATTGCGCAGCTTGCCGTATTTCAGACTGCGGGTGTGCAGGTTTGCCGTGCCGTCACTGCTCCTCAACTGTTGGACTTCCGCTACGACCAAGTCTCCTTCCTGGAAGTAATTCCGCATCTGGAGTTCGTCGGCCGTTGTGCGCCGCCTCAGGACGCCTCCCGGGAGGTTGATGGACGATAAGGGTAATTGTGCCAATAACGGTGCCGCGACGTCCACTTTCCACTGGCTCTTTTGGACTTCCACGATCCGACCGACCACCAAGTCTCCGATTTCCGGCGTGTATCTCGCGCGAAGAGGGGCCACGGAAAGTAATTTGTTTGTCTTTTTGAGGGCTCCCGCGAGGGTTGCGATCATGGTGGTTGACTGCTCGGGCATGAAGGTACCATGTCCTCTGTATGTGCATCAGTAAATTGTATCTGAGTTTCGCCCCCCGGCCTGTTCTCGCCTACCTCATCCATTGCGTATCATCTGTAATGACCTCTCCCGGCAGCGCAATCTGTCGAGACGAAGAGGACAGTCGGCGCCGTTTTGACGGCCGACCGCCATCTTGGTGCTCTGAGGTGTCACTGTCTTCTTCGTCGTCGTCGTAGATATCGGCTTGCACGACCTCGTCCTCGGGATCCGGCGGCAACACAGCCAAGCCCATGTTTGCGATTTCACAGACCAGTTCAATGCTATCGAAGAAAGAATTCGGGGAACAACGAGGGCAGCGACTTGGAGGTGGCGGAAAAACCTCGGATCATCACGTGGCGATAACGATAAGGGCTGATCTCTAAGAAAACGTTTCGTTGAAGTCATCGACCACGACAAAGAAAACCACAAAGTCTCATCTGCCACTGTCTCGACTTGTCTCTACTTTGCCTGCTTCATCACCACGATGGTCCGCCATAAGAAAGACGGGGCCTCTTCCAAGTCCAAAAAATTCTCCACCAGATCGCGGCACACCCCTCGCGCCACACGAGAAGGGGGCGACGATGATGCCCCTCCTGAACGTCTGCCTTTCAAAGCAGCATGCTGGGATTTCGGTCATTGCGATGCAAAACGCTGCAGCGGCAAGAGACTCATGCACTTTGGTATGATGCGAGAGCTGGCGGTGGGTCAGAAGTTCCCTGGAGTGGTCATATCGTGAGTAAAGCCTCTCTTCAAGGCTCTTTCGTCATGTTGATAATGTCTCCAGGCCCAACGCGAAGCAGCTCTTGTCACCGGCAGATCGAGAATTACTCGAACAGCACGGCGCCGCGGTGGTGGAATGTTCGTGGGTCAGGGTGCAAGAAGTTCCCTTCTCACGGATAGGCGGGAAATGCGAGCGGCTTCTGCCCTATCTTGTGGCCGCCAACCCCGTCAACTATGGGAGGCCATGGAGACTAAATTGTGTCGAAGCCCTGGCAGCCTGCTTTTGCATTTGCGGGCATGACGACTGGGCCGAGATCATTTTACAGCATTTCCCCTACGGCAAACCGTTTCTCGAAATCAACTCCCAGCTCTTCAAGCGGTACGCCGCCTGTGAGAATGAAGAGGAGATGAAGAAGGCCGAAGAGAGGTGGCTCGCCAAGCTGGAGAAAGAATACGCCGATAGTCGACTCAACAAGGATGCCGCTGGCGGAGAAGATGACTGGGCCGGTGGGAATATGAACAGGAGAGAGGTATATGAATCTGACGACGAAGACGGCGAGGGAGATCAAGACTCAGATGATGATGCAGATAATGAGCACGGCCCCCTCCAGCAAGGCGTATCATTGGAACTGCCCCCTGAGGAAGAAGATGAGGACGAAGAGGCAGAGATGGCTGAGATCCGCCGTAAGATCCTCGCCTCCAAGCCATTCACCGACAATTTCCCTGCAGAACCACCAAAAAAGGCACCCCAGCCGGGTATCAGCAAAAGCGATACAAAGACACCACTTCCATCGGAAGAACAGGCACAGCCGCCTCTACAGCTTGTTGACTCAGACGCAGAGTCAGGCTCTGCCGAGGACGACTACGATGACTTTGATCAAATCGCAAACGCGACGCCAGTAACTGACCGCACAGGGATAGTGGCACGTGAGAGACAGAAGAAGCTCGAACAAGCAAGTGCATCGTTCTCCCGTACGCAGCTCTCTGCACCAAAGAGGTGGTAACACGCCATGCACCTGCGTTGTTGACTCCAAAATTCGGCTTGCCTGTATGCTCGGAAGTAATAATACATGATCCATGCTTGTGCCTCATCATCCGAACTATGTGCCTCCGTTCTCATACGCTCCACAGCTGGTAAAGCCAGAAGCGATGAAAACGCCCACAGGGATGGATCTTTGGCATGGATCCCAGGCACGAATACGTGGCCTAGGCAATGGAAGAAGCATGGGGATGTCCTTGTCCATATTCCGATGATCGAAAAACCATCAGTGGGATCGGTGCTTGAATAGATACCGACTCCTTGAGGCTATGGGAATCTCAACCTCCGAAGAGACGCCGATATCGCCTGGATATGACTTGACCTGCCCTTGTCCTCATGGTGGGGAGTCGGCGGGAGAAAACCTAAGCACGTTCTCGGGGCATTCAGCCTTCCCCGCCTCTAGTTACACATGCTCCGAGGCAATCGACCTTTCAGGTCTCGCAAAGCGACCAGTCAATGTCACAAGTGACGAAGAGATGGCGAGCTTACCATCATCCCAACGGAACAAGTCAGCGCCCCTTCCTCGCGTGCGGCAATGTCGAAGGGACACTTGGTGAGTCAAGGATCGTCTGTCATATCACGGTTGTCTTTTCCGGTCTTACAAGCCCGCTGCGTTGCCCCTCGATGACCAGGTGCACAAAGCCTTGACAAATGTTGAATGCAGACACGGTCCAGATTCTGGAATATCCCATTTCTTCACGCAGCAGCTTTGTCGGGTTGCGTATAGGTACGCGGCACGTCAGTTCCTATAGGCTTGGGCATTAAATCCGTCGGAAGGAAAATGTCTTGAGGGAGACTTGGAAAAGTCATCCCCAGTGGGTCACTATGAATCCTGAATGTCCTGGCCCAGAGGCAACCCTGGAAGTGAGTTCCTTTGGCCTCTTTAAGCGATATAAGCGAAAGGGTGGAGAATCCGTGCAGCTGGCATTTGCTTCCAACCCGAGCGCCACGACAATCTGGCGATCACCTGCCCAACTAGGTTCGAGTTGGAGAGCATCTCCGTCCTACGAAGTTGCCCCAACGGTGGGATGGTGGTCTTTCTTCGGTCTAGCCATCTCGCCACATGCTGAAATGTTTGCTTGTTTCCAGGGCAATTTAGCGATCTTGCGAAAGCACAAGACAGCACGGCATCGGGGCACCCTCCCCTTTGCGATCATCTTCATTGATAAGCCCGGTGTTCTCGGGTAGTTGATCCGCTGGAGATCATTTACTCTGTAGAGTCTTGTCAGACATTCTCGATGGAGACCCGGACATTCTAGCCGCGGAACTTGCGCTGGTGACGCTGAACCTCGTTGGCCCTCCAAGCGAGGAGCGAGCGAGGGTAGAGCATTCGCAAAGTCCCCTCCCCCCCAGCCTCGACGCGTCTCCAACGCCAGAGCAGGGAGTGGAGAGAGAGGTCATTGCTTTGCCCCCAGAAGTGACTGAAACATCCCGTATACACACATGTTTTAGGTATTTTGGTAGCAAAGCGCTGTGGATGAAATATACAAGTCGATCCGCCCAATTGACTTCAATGCAGCCACCACCAGGAAGAAGCACTTTTCGCCACAAATATGCAAAAGGTAAATCAAAACAAGGGCAGATATCCACCGTGGGAGGGATCCATGCCTTTGTAAATATCCCGAGAGGGCGGAATAGTCCGTAGACGCCCTTCCAGGTTTTCTCCCCAGATTCAATAGCCTTTTTTGGATAACGATACAAACCCCATCCAGTCCATCAAGTGTGTCCCTTTTTTTTAGTCCTCCCAGCAGGAAACAGCAGAAAGTATGTGTTTGCAGTTCTCCTCGTGCAAACCACTCAGTTACAACACAGTGCTAGCAGTAGTAGAAGGGAGAAAAATCAAAAGACCACACAACAGATCAAAATAGCGTGGCTCATCCCGTCGCCACCGGTCGATGGGCGGGAACCACAGTGGTAGTAGTCCCGGGCGACGCGGTCAAATAGCCATCAAACATGTGATCGCGTGACGGCTGGTGATGGTGATGAGGATGAGGATGTTGGTGGTGGTGGTGGTGGTGGGTTTGTCCGTAGGGAAACTGCGGCGCCAGGCTGGTGGGGATGGTCGGCATGCTGAAGGACATGGAGTGGTCGTAAAAATGGGACGCTGGTTGCGGCGGCGGCAGCGGCACAGGCGACGTGCACAGACTCATGTCGATAAAGGCGTCGACGTCTAGCTGTGACGGCTCGATGACGTGCTCGGGGAAGAAGGCCTGGTGGTCGTCGCGAGAGACCGGCGGCGGCCCTTCTCCATGCAGACCCCGTAATCCGCCCGGCAGGGGCGACAGTGACGACGCCAGTTCAAACTGCCTCTGCATGTCCATCTCTTCAGCCTGCGCGTGGACGTCCGGGTTGAGAGGGGTGTTGGTGCTGTTGTCGGTGGTATTATTGCTCGTCGTGAATACCCGCCCGTGGGACGTTCGGGGGCTACTAGATGTCGAAGCGGTCGACGTGGCGGATTGCTTGTCGATGTCCTCGAGCTCGTGGCATGGGTCCATAGCTTCGAGGTGTCTCTGCACACCCCCGCCTGTGTTATCATTGTTATTATTGCTGTTCTTAAAGGTGTGTCTCGACGGGTCGACCACCTCGCCTGGGAAGTTAAATTCGTCCAGACAGGGTCTCCAAAGGCCCAGTCCCTTTAGAATCTCGGTCGTCGAGACCTCGCCTTTGGACTCGTCAGGGATGTCGCCGGGGAAGCCTGTTCTTCTTCGACTGGCCCAATACAGCTGTTGCAGGGCCAGGTCGGTGACTTCTCGCATCTGGTAGTAACTAGGAAATAATCCATCAGTCTTCTCTCCGAGTTTGGACTGTTTGGTACGGGTGCTTGCGTACTAGTTTCTCGCCTCTCTCCGTCTGGCCGAGTAGGCACATTCACTCTCGGTGGCCCGGCAGAGCTTGCATGGTTGGTCGCCATCACACTGCCGAGGAGTCAGCGAATTAGTCGTTCAAAGGGAGAACTGGGCGGACGGACCTTGGCCTTCTTGAGTCTGCATCGATCGCATCTGTATCACCAGGCACTCTCACGTCAGTATACTTATTCCAGAGAGGGTCCAGACCTCGAAATCATATCGCCAACACGACTCGTACAGAAGAGAAGAACTTACGCCCGCGATGTCCTGCCACGAGAAGTTCTTCGTCGCGGTTTTGACGTCGTCTTCGCGTTACCACCGGGTTTCGGCGCGGGCTTCAGGCTCTTCATCGTCAATGTTCACACGTGGGGACAAGGCAGATCGGAAAATTAGGTGTTGTGGGCGCAGAAAGAGGAGTTGTGCTTGATATAAAAATGCCACGCCACCAGTCGAGTGTGGCCAGGCGTGATTCAGAGCCAAGATTTCGCCTGATCCCCGTGTGGGCATGCAAGCAGAGATATGCAGGCCCAAAGTTGTGCCCTGCTGCAAACGGCATTTGTTCTAGCAGCTGCAGGTAGTTCGACTAAGATATGCAGGTCAACGTCACCAGATTCTCCGAGACCTGTCCCCCATCGAACGATGGTGACTGCAAGCCTCGCCCTGATACGGTCTTGCAACGCCACGCGCCTGGAACAAATAGGTCAGACGCATCACGTCTCCTAACTCAGGGCCAATCAAGCCTAGAAGGCGGTTGACTGAATGACGTCGGAAGAGCCTTGAAACAAACCTGGGGGCAACAATTGAGGGAGGTGGTTTGAAAGCAGAAAGGGCATCCGCTGTAGCCGTCGAGCCTCCATTCAAGGGCATGTCAGATACTCTGACAAGGTTTCAATACGAGCCAGGGTCTTAGCTAGTGCTCTCTCGGCGTGCTCAGATCTCCCCAGGAACTTACCTAATCCGTCTACCAATCAAGCACCGCACGGCGTGTTTTGCCAGTACATAAGTGCAGCAGATTCGAGGCGTTCTGTTTTCTCTGGTTACATTTGTGCTGGCCCACTTTTTTGCTGAAGGAGTGGATACCGATATACTAATGCTGACCAATGGCAGTACTTCACAGAGTCGGGGAAGGGCAAGTGTCCCTTAGCGGGGCAGTAGCAGGGTTTTCTGCCCTTGTCCTCGTTTGTACACGAGCCTCCCCTCTCTCGATTTCCAATCAACCTTGGACAGCACAACTGCCCTTTCTTCGTTCGTTAAAAGCTGAGCCGGCCAATGGCAGATTCGGAAGGGCATGTGGGAAAGATGGCATCCTAGCAAACAGCGAACGAGGTCGTCCTAGACTCCGCTGCCCCTCGCCCCATGGAGGACCGTCTACCACTAGTAGACCGGCTATCGAGCACGCGAGAAACAAACCCGCCACACAACCTACAGATTCATATCTTCAGGTAGGATCAGCTTCTGTACCTCGGAGAAAGTATCCTACGGACAAACCTGGTAGAAGAAGGACGACATTTGTCGATCACGGCTGCTTTCTCCGGGCTTGGCCCTTTCAGATCCTGCTATCTGACACGCGGAAGTACTATTTCCTTTCCATAATCTATTGGGCCCTTCTGAGTGGCGCCCCCTCCCCGACGCCGCCCCTTTCCTGTTCTTGCCAAACCTGTGGAACCCGCCCCCTCCATCTCTCCGGACGCCTTGTCCGGAGAAAAATTCCTGGCGCAGTGCGTCAGGGAAGCAATGTGGCAGCTTAGACACACCAACCCCCTCTTCCCAACAATCAGTGCCACCTCTTGCTGGGTCACGGATTTCCTCGTCATTGGCAGCATCCTGCACCCAACCTGTGACGAAAGTCGCAAAGGAGTCCTACATCATAATCCCGTTTGCAGCCCCACAAGTATAGCCTGCATCGAGCTATACAAGACCGCCTGGTCATCATTCGTGATCCCGCTCATGAACAGTCATCGGTTTATTGGGATCTTTATCGATACCAGAGTCAATGGCTTCACACACCGAAATGGCGACTTCACCTGTCCTCCTAGGTCATGCCAGGGACTGGCAATTACCACTATGCTCGGACCTCCCATACAGCCACGGAGGTAACCCAGGATCCCCGGTATTCAGCGATCATGATCTTTTCCTGCAACCAGCGGGAACCACTCTGCCCAGCCTGGTCCCACAGCGACCACCTCCTGAATTTGTCCAGCCTCAAGACCTTCACCCGCGAGCTCTCCAGGGGTCAACGTCGCCAGCGAGCCAAACCTCGTATCTGGGACGAGCGGCTTCCCTTGACCCGAGCACCGCCACCAGCAGTCCGATGTCACTCAGTCACCAGCAGCTCCTGCGGCGGATGTCGCTGGCGTCCGTCGAGCTGAACGACGACTCGTACCGACCGCGCAACACGCCAGCGCGCCGGAAGAAGAGCACGACCGGCCGCATCGCGCCGCGATCAGAAAAGCACGCGCGCGAGCTCGAGCTGAACCGTCGGGCCGCGACGAAGTGCCGCAACCGCCAAAAGGCCTTCATCGACCAGCTCCAGCAGCGTTGTCGCAGGGAGGAAGAGCGAATGCAGACACAGACCTCGCTCGTCTCGGCCCTGCACGACGAGGTTGTGGCCTTGAGGAACGAGGTCCTGCGCCAGAGCCTCTGCGACTGCCGCTTCTTGTCGGGCGCCCCAACGTCCTTGTTCTCGTGAATGGACAAGAACAGAACCGCCAGTTTCGAAAGCGAAACCCCCGGGGGCCCCCGGATGAACCTAAGTCACGACGGTCAATCGATATCGTACAGGAGCTCTGGAGAACTCTACGATCCTTTCTATTGGACGAGGCTTGTGCCGATAGCCCCCTTCCTTCCATTTAATTGGAAGTCGTCGATGACAACAACCCCGCCATCTGAAGGTCTCCACTGGTTGGCTGGTTCGAACTCAGACCACTGGGTTGCGAGAGAGAGAGAGAGGGAACGAAGATAAAATGTTTTAACGCTATCATGATTCGATGCTGGGAGGGGATTTTCTTGTTTTGTGATCAGGTTTTTTTGGGGGGGCGGGAGTCGGGGAAACCCACCCATCCATCCATCCACGGAAAGCTCCCTATGTGTAAGAATTGGGAGCCGTGGAATTCCTCTTTGTTCTTCCCTATCATATCTATCGTTGGAGAGCGCTCTGGGCTGGTTTCAGGAAAACAAAAGGTCTTCATCGTGACCCTTGCTTGCTTGCTTGCGTGTGCGTATGTCCTGCCGTATACAGGTTCCTGATTTGTTGCAGGACATCCCACACGATGAGCTATTATATCTAGTCATATCTATTTGTCTACCTAACTACTTGTCGTTTCCGACCTAGGGGATGAAAGGGCCCCCCACAAAAAGAGAGAAGATCCATTCTCCCCTTCCCGAAGCGGCTTGAGGACAGTAAATGTTTCGATTTGATTTCGATTTCGATTTCGATTTCGATTTCGATGTCGATGTCGATCCTGATACGTGCATGGGCCCTTCTCCTTCGTCTCACCTGAAGCGGAACTGAGTGACTGACTGATTGAGTGATTGATCGACATGACCCAACGTCATCCCACGATCAGGAAATGATATCCGGAGGCTGGTTTTACAAACCTGTCAGCCTGTCTGTCCTCCTCCCTCTCCTCCCCCTCCCTCCAAGCACTGGGATTTTTTCCCCCCAAAGCTTTCGACGAGCATGCAAGTGAATGACTTATGTACAAAACATTAAGATTTGCTTTGCGGTACAGCCCGGGGCCGGATCATGGGAGAGTGTCTCCTCTTTCCTCTTCCTGATCCCCCTCTTCCATCCCCGGGTTTAGAAAGCCTGCAACGCCGCAAGAACGAGGAGCAAGCAGGCAGGCAGGCAGTGCTTGGGTGTGAGACGGATATCTGACTTGGAGTTGGACTCGGATTCGGAATTGGACTTCCGATCAAGGACACGACGGATCTTGTGTTATGACAACTCTTTTCTCTTGCATCCCGAGACAACTATTTTGGACTCGTAAATCCTCTAATCAAATTTCGTTTATTTACCATAGAAGTATAGGGCTTAATGGAGTAAATCTTGTCTATAGTTTCGTTGTGGAGGCCCTCTCCTTCTTCGCCTCCTCCCTCAGGATGCGCTTCAGGATCTTGCCGCTCGCATTCTTCGGGATCACATCGACGAAGCGCACGCCACCTTCCAGCCGCTTGAACTTGGCCAGGCGCTGAGCGACCCAGTCGTAGACGTCCTTGTCGGTCAGCTGGCTGGGGTCCACGCCCGGTCGGCGCACTACGTAGGCGCGCGGGGCCTCGCCGTCGAGTTCGGACGCGGCGGGCACGCCGATGACGGCGGCGTCGACGATGTCCGGGTGCATGAGAAGCACGCCTTCCAGCTCCGGCGGCGCCACCTGGAACCCCCGCACCTTGATCAGCTCCTTCTTGCGGTCCACGACGTACCATAGCTTCGTCCGGCCGTCGCAGTACATCATGTCGCCCGTGTGGTAGAAGCCGTCGGCGTCGAAAGACTCGCGGTTCGCCTCCGGGTTGTTGAAGTAGCCTCGGATCACGGTCGGGCCGCGGGCGCACGTCTCGCCCACGACATCGTAGCCCGTGATGTCTTTTCCAGAGTCGTCGACCAGTTTCAGGTCTATGCCCGGGATCACACGGCCGACCGAGCCCGTCGCGTCGTCCTCGGGCCATGGAAACATGGTGAGGACGCACGTCACCTCGGTCATGCCCCAGACCTGCGCGAAGGGCGCTCCCGGCCCCAGGTACGGCTTGATGGCCGCTTGAGTTTCCTTGCTAAGCGGTGCGGCGCCGGCCAGGCCGTGTCGGATCGTCTTCAGCGAGTATTTCTTAATTAGCGGCGACATGGCGATGGCGACGGCCATCGCCGATACCACGTAGAACTCCGTGACCTGAAACTTCTCGATGTTCGCCAGGAACGGCTCCAGCTCAAACCGGCGCATGACGTATGACGTCTCGCCGAGCTTCAACGTCGATGTGTGGCATCGGGGCGCGATGGCGGCGTGAAACATGGGCAACGAATACAAGTTGACGACTTCGTATGACTTGTTGTACATGCTCGGACTGTAACAGAGCTCATGTTGAGCGATGAGGTTTTGATGAGAAGTTATTGTGGCTTTTGGCAAACCGGTTGTCCCAGAGCTTGTCAGTCGTGCGGCCGTCATGTTGGCGCAGGTATCAAGATCGTCGAAGCGCACCCAGTCTTCCTCACCATGCTCCATCAAGTCGGTCCAGCTGGTGAAGCCCGCCGGCACGGATTGGTGCGGCTGTGTGTTGAAAACGCGGACATTGCACTGGGGAATTCCCGCATCCTTGGATGCTTGCACGAGGGATACGAGCAGTTCCGGTTCGCTGATGAGGAACGTGGCTTGGGTGATACTGACATGATGCCGCAGCTCGAGGGGCGTGTAGCCTGGATTCGTGCCAGCGAACACTGCCCCGGCCCCGATGATGGCGAGAAAGAGAATTGGATAGTAAATGTCGTTGAAGGAGTGGATAAGGACACAGTCCCCCCTTTTCACCCCAGCCTTGCGAAGACCGCCAATCAATTGCCGAACGACCTTGCGGGCTTGCAGGTGTGATATGGACCGATTTGTGTTGGTTGCATCGATGAAGATCTGAGGGTCCGTCTTGTGAGCAAAAAGAAGATATTCTTCTCATCTAGCCCTGCTAAGGATTCGGGGAACCTTACTGGTTTGTTGATGTCGTATTTGGGCTCATCGAAGATCCACGAGCAGATATCTTTGTTCGGAATCTCGGGGACCGCCCCGGATGCAAAGAATACCATGACTGACTGACAGAGGAGAAAAACTCTTGAAAGGACAGGGTCCTCTTTGACGTGCAAGTCTGCGCCTAGAGCCCAAGAAGAGGGGAACTCCCAGGCAACTTAAACTCGGTGCTGCTGAGGTAGACCTCAAAAATGAAAAAGGGAAGTGGAAAGAGGGCCTTAATCAAGAGTCCATCTCCTCCTCGAAGAAGGAAAAGGCACAAGGCGAAGTTCTGGATGGCCTGAGGTTGTGAAGCGGCTGTCAGCCGGAAACGAGAGGTACGCGAATTCTTGTAGCCGTTTCATGATGTATACATGGGACGCTTTGTAAAGGCGGGGTGTGATCCCGGATACTCAAAGGCCCGATATAAATATTCCCCGACGAGGAAAGACGATACCGTGTTCGGATGGATCACCTATCGAAACGATGGGACAAGCGGCCGCCTGAACGAGGCTCAGGCGAATTTCCAGACGTTTGGATCCAGATGTACATAATGATAATGATCCACCGGCCCTTCATATCTTGCTGCCGACGCCGCATATGGGGTCAGTCTCCGAAGTCAACAGATCCACCAGCTGCGCAAGAGACTCGCTTTCATTTGGAAAAACAAGTACTGCATCTGTGTGTGCTCGAGGATGAATGCTCCAAACTGCTGGAGTGGCGCAGGCGTCCACATCAGCGTCCGCATCTCCACTACTGCTGTTTAGCGCTTATCCTCGGTGTATACTAATACAAGTCAGGAGATCGTTCCCCAGGTAGCTCGGGGCCAACAAGTCGAGCGTTAAAGCGTAAAACCTCTGGGCTGGGTAGTGGCAGATACTCTGTGTCATTGCGAGGCGCGAATCTGGTCGATATCCATGGGGGGAGCACAGGGGAAATAATACATCAATCTCTTGCCGGTCGTTGCGGGTATTTCTGCATAAGGCTTTCCTACGAGGCCCGGGCCAGGTGGATATCTTAGGGCGAGTGCTGACGTGATGAGATATCTCCGGATTGGTAACACTTGAGGCCAGCTGCGATCCGTGTCCTCCCCGGCTCGCTTATAGTGACTTCACGAACCAAATGGTGCCAGAATCTCTGCCCTTTTCGCCACTGACACCGTTGTCAATCACATATGGGAATCGAGAAAATCCTACGCGAGGATAGAATTTCCCCGCGTCTTCATTCGCTGCGGCCATAAGCAGATGAAGTCCTCTTGCACCTTGTTCTTTAGCCACACCGCAGAACTCCTCAATCAGGCGCCGACCCCAGCCTTGCTTTTGGTAGGGAATTAGTATATCGATGTGCATGTGCGCCGGCCATTGCTCCATCAGCTGAGGATACTGTGCGTGTAGCATCGCATGGGGCGTGAACATGATTTGTCTGAGTGCGTTTGGCAGATTTTCACTCCAGCCAGTCTGTTCGTCCGGCCGCGGCTGTTCAAACCCTTGGGACTGTAGGTACGGAATGTATGAATCGTCGTACTTTTGCACAAACGAGGCAGTGTCAGGAACGCCAAGCAAGTACCCTACTGCAAGGCCGTTACCATCGTCGAGGACGAAGCAGGTTTCGGGTTCTAACATTAGGTAGGGTCGACACCACAGGAATGAGGCGTAATGCAGGACAGGGTCGCCTGCATTGCGTAAATCTGGAGCAGCAGTTTCACGAAACTAGAGTGAGGTCAGAATAAAGCCATCCGCCCGTTGGGCCTGAGTGACGAACGATATGGATCATTGCGTCCTTGTCCGACTCTCGGTATGCTCGGATGAATGCCATTGTCGGTGTCTGCGCAGGTGAGTATGGTGAAGGATGGGAAGTCTCTCTCTCTCTCTCTCTCTCTCTCTCTCTCTCTCTCTCTCTCTCTTTGCGACAATATCGATCAGGTTATACAGGGAGCATGAGGAGCGTCAGACGCCTAGTACATCTCCAGGCGTCCATATAAACGCGAAGACTGACTCACCATCCATATGGACCTGCCATCTTGAGTTGTGGAGCTGAAGCTGGAAATTCAGGTTACAGCGGGAGCAGCAGCGCGGATTGTCGGATTGAGTCTCGATATCTCCGAGGAAGAGCCGATGTTTATCCGGAGAGCACGGAAGGTCTGCCGACAGCTCTTGGCAAACACAGCCTCCTCTGGGCTCTCTATCAAGTTTCTCTCTGTTTCGGAATCAATTGTTCCCGCAGGAGGGAGGCCGCACGTTGCCTCGACTTGTAAAGCTTCTGCGACTGCGGACATGCGAGAAAGCCCCGGTGTCTGGGGTAGAAAGCGGGACTACTGGAAGTTCTCCAGCACCACTGAGAAATTGACGTTTCAAGCCATTGCCTGTTTGTTACGATCTAGATCAGTGCAATATCACAGCCTGAGATCAGATCCCGAGAAAATACCGAGTAATAGATGCCACCATGGCCCAGGGTATCCCTGTGGGGAAGGGCAACGTCTCCGGACATCTAAATCATCTAACCCGCTGTGAGTGGGCACCAGCGTTATCCAGGAGGTCGTGTTGTCATTAAAGGAAATCTAGCGGTGATCCCTCCAGGTACAAGTATGCAAGGACGACATGACCTATCCCAAGAGAGACTCCTGAGCTTTGTGACTGGAAACATCTGATTGGTAGGTGACGCTGGCTTCCTGTCAATTTATCCTCCGGTCACCGCGACTTCTCAGAAAAGCGACCAGCTGGCGATGTCAGTCCGGGAAGAAGTCCCTCCGGGCACCAGTGACTACTTTCCCAAGGGCTGTTTACGCCTTCTTCCTAGTTCGACATGCGGACAACTCCCTTCGGGTTGCCTTTGGCGGATCCGTCAGACAGCCCGCCATTTTGACCGATCACGTGAAACACCAATCCTGGATGCTTTACCTACCGAGTACTCTGTTTCGACCTGGCGGCAGCCATGGGATTTCAAAAAAGCGCATAAGTGTTGTTTCAGACTCACTAGTCACGTACGATCGAGCCGAGGTCGATTTCCCCATCTATTTTGTGTTTGTACGAGTACAAAGAAGGCGGAAGGACGGCTCGTTCGCCTCTGTTGATGGGCCGCTTGATCCGGATCAAGTAGCTATGGCACACTTGAAAGTCGATTGAGGATGTCTGCTCGCCTATTCCCGTTGTGGATCAATGATCAACCGGCCAACCTGTTCGGGCTTGTCTCCTTGGCCCCGGCTACTTCATACAAACTGCAGCGGTTTTCGTAGACGCCAATCTTTTTCGTCCTATCCAGTAATGGATGCATCACTCGGGGCCCGATCCTCCTTATCGTCGATCCTGATAGAGATGATGTTTGTAGGTACACGGCGAGTATGAACCTCAAATTTCATATGGAACTCTCAACCCCCAAAGCCTGCCCAAATCTCCATGCTCCACTAAAATACTCACAGCTGCCCAAAAGTAATAGCAAAGAACTCCCCCCAAAGCAACCACGGCATCAGAATATCAATCAATACCTCCCGTCCCAATAAGTGACCGAGGCATCTGTCTCTCAGGTGTGCCGAGACCCGAAACGCTGGGCACGCTGAACAAGTCAAAAAGATTCTCTAACTAATTCCCCACCTTTTGTGCGACAAACTTTATCAGCTTTATCGGCGGCTGGCTGCATGCGTAGACTACGAGCACACATTGGATCAGTAGCCAGTCATACATTTCATCCTGTGTTACTCCTCGCCCTCTACGAGTATTTGACTCAGCATTCACTAACTCGCTGGAAATTCTTTCCTGTCTTGCCAGTTATAGGTAGGCAGATATGCCATGTCAAAAGGCCAGGGCAGGGAGATCTTTGCCTTTTACTGCTCGATTTCTGAGTCACCATCATATCTGATACTACGCACCCACTACGCACAGTGGTGCTGCTCGGGGCCACTAACAATGATATTACCGAGTTTCCAAAACTTTCAGGCTCTGCTGGTGGTGGGATCCTTGTTGTCCATGCAGTACGCAGCACTAGGGCGGGATGAGTGGAGAGGAACGATTTCCTGTTCGGGAATGCTCGCCTTGTTTGTTTGAGGGAGAGCACACACCGCCGCCGCCGACGACCGGCGCCGTACAAGGCGTTGGGTTGTTGAATCGTTTTTGGGCACGTTTTCCCCCGTTCTTCCTCCCTGCCTCTGTCTGCGCCGGGATGAGAGCGACAATAATAATGAGTTAATAAGATGTCCCCCAATCGTTGGGCGGATGAGGGGGAATGCAATGATGCGATATTTTCATTTACCTCTCTCTTGCTTGGGGCCCACTCTACTCTCTACATTTCCCTTCTCGTCCCGGGCCAGGGGGGAGGTGTGGGGGTGCATGGGATGGATGGAATGCAAGTGCAGTAGTTGAGTATGTATGTAGGTGAGGGATTCTGATCGACATCCACCTATGTATGTATGTGTACGGCCGTTGTTCCCGACGCCGGTGGTACAGCGCACATGCTCGAGTGGTTGGGTAGAGAATAGGTGAGTGAGGGAGCGCTCGGTGTCTGCATCTCGAGCAAAGTGAAAGCCAAAGCAAACGCCGCGGCGCAATGAATGGAGCGGGATTTCCCTTTCCCTTTCTGGCCCAGCTGCATACCAAGACAGGGAGAGGTGAAGTGCCAACCCTCCGGCCTTGGCTCCAGATGATCAATGCAGATCGTCCCCAGCCTTTTGCCCTACGGGTGTAGTTCGTCAAGGGCTGTATTGATGTACACTTCACACGAAGGGGAGAAGGAGGGCAACAGGAACGAGAAAGAGGATAATCGTTTTGGTTTCCTTTGAAGAAGTAGGTATTCCATTGTTTTCCCTGTGTTCACTTCACGTCACGAGGGACTAGAACTATCTGCCAATTTGTACATGAGCCTTCTTCCCCTTGTTCATTCCTCCATGACCCTCGGGGCGCGTTTTGCGCGAGGGGAAATCTGGCAAGAGTAAACCACAGACGGATCGAGCAGCATCAGCAGGTCCTTCGTGTCCAGGGAAGCGGGTCACAGGTGTAGAGTGCTCAAAAGACTCATCCAATAGCCTGTGACAGATCGCTCCCATGGCACAAATGGCCCCCTGACCTGGCTCTATACGCGTCGAGTAGTCCGCTGCACTGTAATTCCCCCCGGTCTTCCGTCCGTCATCTCCTCCTCCATGTGGTCTTCGAGGGTAATTGTCCGCCGTCAATGTTGGGACATCTCGAGAGATCCACGTTTCCATTATTCGCAAGCCGTTAAAGGCTGCTTGTTGTAAAAGTCCGGGGCATTTTGGCCCGTCTGGACATATCGCACTTTGCTGCGTAAGACTGGGGTATCGTTGAAAAACCAGGAAGAAAAGTCGTCAAGTGGTCGTACATCGTGTCGGGTTCCCAGAGAATGGGCATACAGGTGTAGAGTGCTAAAGCCTCATCCAATAGCCTGCGTGTGATTCATCTCACGGGCCTTCGCGATTGCGTCCTTGTTAACGACAACTCTCCCAGGTCTTCCTCGCCGTCTTCCAGCTCCAGCGGAAATCCATAATCGTCCACCAATTCCAGGTCGGCGTGGGAAGATGTCTTTCCTTCCGACGACGGTCGTTTTCTCTCCTGTGGCATCAAGTACTTTTCGTCGGTTGGTGATGTTTGACGTTCTCGCTCTGTTCGGGCGATGTCTTGGAGAAGTAGTTCTAGTAGGTGGCCATGGCTGAGTTTCAGGCGGAGATCCTCGCGGACGAGTCTGTCCGATGACTTCCTCCGTGCAGTGTCGGCCAGGTGATATGTTTCTTCGCGAGACAGGCGTCGGGATGGTGTGAGATCGCGCGACGGCGGTCTGCTGAGGGGCTCCATCAGTGATAGAGGCATGTTGATGAGTGTTATGTGTCCGTTTTGGCGATCTGTGAAGTGATTTAGTTTAGTGTCAATCGAAGATATCTAGTATATGTGTGTGGATGTTCCTATGTGAAGGGAAAAGTTTTGCGGTGGATACTGGATGAAGAAAAATTTGGGTGGACGAGGCGGTGGGTTCTGGTTTTGTTGTATCCAAAGAATAATCTCAATGGGGCAATGGAGCCTCGCTGTGACATGTGAAGGCTGAAACTCGGATGAATTTTTGGTCGTCACGGGGCCTTTGATCTTGCACCTTCGTACTGACCAGGCCTTTTCGTTCGATATGGCAAAACGTTTCCGGGTGACCTGCAAGTTTCTCTTTTCCTCTGGAGACTGTTCTTGTCAAGGAAGAAGTTTTCGACTAGACGGATTGGAAGGTTGCAAACCGATAGTATTATATCACTTAACTTATGCGGGTTATGGTTTCAAATAAACGGATGCCTGAGTCACACAGCCCATGGCGCCATGGTATTATCGCCGTGGGAACCATGAATTTCTCCACCGGGCTTTGCTCTGCGTTGCGTTGCGTATCCGTAATGTGCGTTCAGTAAAGCCCGTGAGGGCCGAGTCGGAGCCAAATCCTGTCGATACGCGGACGCAAGACGGGCGTACGAAGAAGAGCGAGTGGTCTCAGGGCGCAGGGCTCGTCAGCGACCATGACTAGTGGAGATAAAAAAAATATAATCAATCAATCAAATCAAATGAGGACGGCATTGCGCAACAAGGCAGCAGCCAATCTCCTGCCCTGCCACTCTTGGGGGTTCGCTAGGCGTGAGTCAAAAGGGTCAGAGAAGGCGCTGGAATTCGCCCGTCGGATGCGAAGTGCCGTTTGGGCCTCGTGAGCTTCACCGCATGGAGGGACAAGGGACCAAACACGCCTTCGGGCTTGAGTCCGACCGACCCACGGAGATTATCAACCTACGGATCCATGGGCGTCTTCGGCCGAGGATTCATTCGCAAGGGCTCACAACCAGCGCCAATGCAACCACTCTAGGCACCACCCTAGGCATGGGCTTCTGGGCTTATGGGCTTATAGGGCCTTGGGGGTTAGCTTATTGCCGGGCTTTGCGATTTGATGACACGATGGTCTGATACGCGGTACGCAACCACCTGGCTCCCTTTAAAACAGTCTGCACGCCCTGCGCCCTCTGAACCCTGAACCCCCCGGTCTGTTGTCGACCTGTGCCCTTCGGCCTTCTATGCTAGAGGAGAGCAACGGTCCAGGCGAGACTTCAGCTTCTGATGCGGTGTACCATCACCATCCCCGCTGTTGTGACCTGTCACCTCCTCAACGGATCAATGTGCGAATATCTCACATTTTCACATCCATCCATCTTACTTGTCTGATCTGGTCCCTGGGTTGTTTATTCCGAATGGATGCTCTCTACGGTCAGGTCGGCTGCTCTTTGCATTTCGCTCTCCGGATCTCTGGGCGCCGGAAAGCATAAAACATTGGGCGGGCCATCTCAACATCCTCGGGCCCGTGCCAAATTCTTGACTGCCTTGGCTTGCTTACTGATCGTACAATCTACCCCCGGGTCCAGACGCTTCCGGAGTAAGCAGTACGAAACACGAGTTGATATTGTTGCTTACTACAACAAACCCGGGGAGATGGTCAGATGGCCAAGTTCCCCCGTATCCCGTCTCTTCGCGCTTCCTTCGTACGTGGCAGGCCAGACCAGATTTGCCACGAAAAGGAAAAGGTATTACCTTGGGCCGGTGTGAGAAATTGATTATTCCTGGGCATCCGGCTTGTCGGTGCATCGTCGCTGGTTTCTCGTCTCTATGCCTATCCGAGATATTTTTTAACCGTGTGAGGAAGGGTCAAGCCGAACACTGCAGCTTCCAGGATGCCATTCCATGAACACGGCCTGACCTGACTGCGCAGCCATCTATCTGGTCACTACTCTCGCTTTCACCTAATATTGGCATCTCGACCGCCACTGGCGAGTATCTGTTCTGGGGTTTAAGTCACGTGGCGTTACCCTGAGAGGAAGGACTTTCCCTTATCGGATGCCTATTGTACGCAGTGCCCAAGGGCGTCGCCACCCACCGTGCCATCGGCTGCGCGCCCTGTTACAGCTGAACTTTTGAGAAGGCGTCTCACCTCCCGTGTGCCAAATTCAGACTCAGGCTCGCCTGTGTGCAATGGCTTGGGTGACTTCGCTCGATTTTGCAGGGTTCAAGGTCAGCTGCAAGACTACAGGGAAGCAAAGTATACCAAAAGGCCCTGCATGCCCTTTTGGCAGATGTAATGCAACGATCGCTCTTCTCGGTGTCGTCCGCGTGGAAAACCCCTGTCCCGGGAATCTTTAAAGCAATAGGGCATGTCAACGAGGACGAGACAAGGCCCAATGCAGGCTCATGTCGAGCAATAAACTCGTACGGTGGGCTAGGTGCCACTCGAGGCCCTCGTTTGAACAAATAGCTCCCAGAGAAAGTGTTCACCACAACCGAAATCGCAGCTACACCCCTGAGACACCACCAGCAGTCTGTTTCATCTTCTGTACCCGCCAGGCTCAGTCTATTGCCGAAGCACATCTATCGTCCGCTTCGTCCAAAAAACCAGCTGGAGTTCATGACTTAATCTCGTCGCTCTTCTGAGCCTTGCTGTCGCCGTCGAAGCTCCCCTCGTCATCCAGTGGTGTTCCTTGGCTGATAATACTTGCGCGGCGTTGCTTCGCGGCCTCTTCTCTTTGCAAAAACCGTTCCTGCTCCCTCCTGCTCTTTTTCAAGTCGACGAAAAAGAACAACAGCAGGAAACTCAACCCGGTGAGCCCAAACAGGAAATAGAAAGGCAGGCTGTTGTTCCCCTTCGGGTCTGCATCGATAATGGCGCTGCTCACAATCGGCCCAATGAATGCGCTCGTCTTTCCCATGATGGAGTAGAGACTGAAGAACAAAAACTCTATGGATCCGAATTAGTTTCTGGCCATCGCGGTTGTTCAATGTCGGGAGCATCATTCGATTGTAAAATATGCTCGCATAGACGTCAGGATGGCCTTACCTTTACCGCGGGGAGTTACCTCGCTAATCATCGTCTGAGAGTATGCATACCACTGACATACGAACAAGCCGTAGAAGGCTTGGTATACCCAGAATTCCCATTCATGATGGAAGCCGAATGATTGCTGCCAGATACCAACCATCCCCCAACCGTCAAGGAGTAGGATTCCAATCATGACGGCATCAAACATTGATTTGGTGCTGAGTCCGTAGCGCCTTTGAATAAGCCAGTAGATGAGAATGCCCGCCCCCTGGGCTGCAATTCCCACTATGAGCAGGTAGGTGAGTGTCAACGTGTTGTACGAGACGACCGAGTTTTGCAGGGTGGCGATCACCGTGACCGTCGTGTTCAGCGAATCACCCAGCAAGAAATATCCTGAAACTGTGCATTAGTCCCACGAACTTCACCATTGGGGGACCCGGGGGGGAGGATCACCAATGAGATACAGCAGGCTCTGCTTCAGCTCCCAGATTTGGCACAAGGCACGCCAAATATTCCAAAACCCAACACTGATGATGTTGGTTCCAGCGGGGAGTTTTTGGCCCGGTCGTCTCTTCTCCAGGATGAACCAGGGGACCGCCAGCACGATCCAAACGCCAGTTGCATATGCGATGAGAACTGAGAGGCCCCAGAGATTGTTCGCGGCGCTGGCGTTCACGTCCAAAGCGAATAGGATTCCAACTACCAGGGACGACAGGTTAGCGTTGTCCACCAATGCGAACTCGTTGAGAGTCTCATTCTCTGACTTCGTGATCGAAAAGGAGGTTCATTGGTTCACGGCTTCGCCTCCCTGAAAGCAAGCACACTCACCTAGCACAGCAAGAATCACGATTTCCCCAGCGCTCTGCATGATAAATGCGACATTGTAGATGCGATTGCGCTCCATCATGTCCGCAAAGTCATACTCGTCTCTGGTGATCTCTCTGTTCTCATATTGCACTGCCTTCTCCCTCATTTGAGGCGTATTCCTTGCCAACCCAGGAAAAGCTGAACAACATCTCGTTAGGACCGTGCAAAGTGAAAGAAGTTAGAGCTGTTGCTTACCAGCTGTCCAAAAGGTGATACACATCTGGTAAGATATCAGGCCAACCGCGTAAATACCCGTTGCAGCCGGCCATTTGTCTTGCGTGTGTATTCCGAGCCAGCCAAAACCTAGCGCAAAGGCGACGACCGACCAGAACACGAGCACATATGGCCGCCATTTTCCGTAGTCGGCCAAGCTACCAATCAACAGAAACAAGACTACTTGAATTGCGAAGGATATGCCGTTGGTAAGTAGGACGATGCTGTTGATGGTGCGATAGGCACCCAGAAATTGCAGTCTCTCGCTGTCACCAGCGGCCTCATACAGCAGGTCTTGAAATGACGTCGGCGCAAAGTTGAAGAGGGTCAGCCCATTGTTTCCAATATAGTAGCAGCTGCGGGGTGTCCGTTAGCAACTCTCTTGTCGAGAGCTTCGTCCGAGGTTGTAATGCTCCTGGGACATGAAGAGAGCTCACTAATAGGCCCATATCTCCCATTTGGAAGTCTGATATTTCGGATCGAATTGATCTGGGGCGACGGGTCGCTCTTCCTCAAGGTCGCCGGGCCTGTCGAATCCAAGATCCTTCTTTGGGTCTTCTGCCTCCGGTGCGGTGGCTGCAGCTATGATTCCTGCATTTGCGACGGACATCTTGACTACACGAGGACGCCCTGAAAAGAGCCTTGAACCTCTCTGTCAAAGCCTCCGTTGAGCTCAAGAAAAAAAAAACTGCTATATAACAGGGCAAGCGGCGAAGACGCCATCGCCTCCGCCCTCCTGCGGGAGAGAGATGTGATAGGAGATCACGCATGGGTATGACGAAAAGCACCAAACAAGCAACACAAGGCGACATTGTCGATTGCTACTGCAATGCTTAATGGCCGACTACATGAGTGGTCCAATGATTGTGAAGTGCTAGTGGCCACGAAAATTGTCAGAGTAGCAGTGGGCAAAGAAGTGGGCTTGACCGCCCAGTGACAGCGTTCTCATAAGCAGTTTTCACTGCTGCCAATTGGCGGCCCAAGAGAACGTGATAAGCTTCGAGATTTTCAGCAGCTACGATCGCCGCCAGGCGGGACACAGTTGATTTCTTGATAGACAGTGAGTTGAGCCTGCAGAAACCTGTAAGAGATGTTGGTTAATTCTAGGTTGGAGAAAGCGACATATATGTATATCCGTTCAGGACTGAGCACAGCTCATTGTTTGTGGAGTAGGATGTAGGATACCAGGTATATACCATATTGGATACCAGGGTTCTACCATATTGGTGGTATATGCACAGGTACCTCTGTCCCTCGATTGTAAGTACCTGGGGTCCTAGAGAAGAGGGATTATGCCTGATGGGAAACAATAATGACATCACAAAGCAAATCCCAAGCCACAAAATTCGCCCGAGACAGATTTTCCGGGGCCTGAAGGGAATATAGTTGTTCCTTTGCCATCTACGCACGTGATGGTCGCACGTGACTGAATTTGTCGAGCTGTCGATGCCCAACTCACATCTTCCGCAGTCTTCCATGGTGCTTCTCGAATTCAATTATACTCCAACGGCGGAGCAGTACTGCAAACCTCGTACAGCTCGGCTACAGCTGAATGCCCTGTCGATCACGATCATGGTGACAGGTCAAGCACACCAAAGTGCGGGAACGTGGCACGAGCCTGTGTCTGGGATCGACGATGGGCGTCACGCCTGGGTGAATTTTCCAGTGGCGAGACGAAGCGGCAGCCACAGGGTACGAGACTCCCGTGCTAGCAAATCCTCATCTTGATCGTCCTGCTCATATGCGTTCCAGTTGTCCATCATCATCACTGCAAGCACTCGATATTCCTTGCAGAGCCTTTTGTCAATAACGCAATCGAACATGATCACCACGGCCTCGAACGTTCTGGCCTGACGCCGGCGATGGCGGACTTGTCTCAGCTCCCAGTCGAAGCTGATGACCAGGGGGATCACGATGCGGCAAGAGAAGGGATCAAATCGACGATTGGACAGTCGGAAGGTTCCAGATTCTTTGCACTTTGGCCGATCGCGTTGCAAGGTCCAGATCATGGCGGACCATGCCAGACCCCTAGAACCACATTCGGCCCGGCGCCGGACACATCAGGTGCTGACTCTTGGCACTTATTTCGAGCTTCGTCCTGCGATTTCAGCGATTTCATATGGTGGCCCCGATCTGTGTGCCCTTTCTACCCTTCCCTCAAGGCTCTGGAGATCGAGCCAAACAAATACTTCGCTCCCACCATACCCACGCACCACCCTGCCCACCTGGCGCTGTGGGAAGCAACAATGGCGAGCACTATACCTCCACCTGGCATGGGCATGGTTTCTTGTTTCTCACCTCTTTCCGATTATCATCTACGCTGTGTACACCAGCCAAACCCCTTTTCACCGCACCTCAATTTCGATCTCGTCTACCGAAGCCTAGTCGGCACCGACCCAATCCTATCTACACCTTATCTCAGAGGGCGCTTCAAAACACCACCCCCTTTGTACAGGACGGCCACCGACGGACTCACCTGATCGCTTTCGCGCTATAGCAACACCGAGGTACAGTCCTGAACCGTCTGATTCACCACGAAGGTCTCCCACCACGGCGCGAGAGCGATGTCGAAACATGCCCGACTCCCAGGAATCATCGGCACCGTCACCTAAGAGGGCGCTCTCGTCGACAAACAGCAGCAACCCCCGCCGGTCCCATCCGTCGCATTCAAAGTCGCTTCCGAGGATTAAGAGGGTCAAGATTGATCACAAACCTGATGTTTCAAAAGGAAAGCAGCCGCCCACACAGGAAGAGATTGTTCCGCCTCTTCCGCAAGGAGAAAGTCGGGACTCGGGGAGCGACCAGAGCGCAGCCAGATGGTTTGCGAGCAAGAATGAGAACGTGAGCGATATCCAGAACAAAAGAGGATCACAAGAGAGTAGGCTGGCCCGCTTGCTGCCACCGTCCTTTGTCGGTTGCCGTTTTTGCTGATCTTCGATAGATGAATCTCCTTTCTACCTCGCCCATCAGGGCAGTTATCACCAGTCAAAGAACCTCCGCTCGCACAACGCGGAGAGTTTCGTCCCGCGGCCCAGGGACGATACCGAGAACGATGAGTTGCGCGGGGTCATTGACGACCTCACCGTGGAGAACAAGAAGTTGAAGCATCTCCTGAAGAATTGGCAGTCTCGGTCGAGTCCCACCAGCAGTAATCCGGACAGGGTGGTCGAAGTTCGGTTGCATGGACTACCGACTGAGAAGAAGAGGGAACTGGAAGATCTCTTGAAGAAATTTGCCACTGGTCTCAATGGCGATTCTCCGTCGCAACCAAGTTCATCGGGTCCGATTGAGAAGTCCGCCTCGAGTGCTGGATACCCTGCCATCCCAGCGCCGAAGCTTCCACAAGATCCTAGTCATACGGACTCAGGTTACGCCTCCATCTCAAACTCGGGAATGCAGTCAGCGTCGCAGTCTAACGGGCTACGACTACGTGAGCCTGTGTCAAAGAGAAAAAAAGAAACGGATATCGAAAATTATCTGCACGACATTCCAGACTCGCTCTTCCCGAGAGAGACGGTTTCCGTTAGCGAGAATGCTAAGATGGCGTTGGTGGTGCAGAGGTTGGAGCAGCTCTTCACTGGGAAGAGGGCGGCGCCGGGTGAGCATAGCCTGCCTGTTCAGCAACAGAAGATCTCTCGTTCTGCCGCCAAGGCTGATCGGCGTGAGGATCAGAAGCAGAATCGAACATCAAGAGTGGAGGGTACTCGTGAAGCTCATATCCTGCCGCACGACTCCAAGATCAACTTCGATGCCATCGAGACCAGTGGTCAACCCTCGGGGAATCAATCCGGATCCGAGCAATCTTCTGCGGAGGGAAGGAGTATTCCGACCTCGGAACGCCCCGGGTCTCCAGATCAACGGCCCACTCGACCATTGGATCTTGACATCCACCGTGCGCAAGTCGCCGCCGATAATATCGACTATATTCGACATTTAGGGTTGTCGTCGCCGCAATTCGAGGACTACGACGATGCCAAAGAACAACCCTGGCTCTATCTGAACCTGCTTGTGAGCATGGCTCAGCTCCACACGCTCAACGTGACGCCGGCCTTTGTCCGCAAGGCTGTCAAACAGTTGAGCACAAAGTTCGAGCTTTCAAAAGATGGACACAAGATACGATGGATTGGGCGTCCTTCGCGATCCGAATATGGCAGCCAGGAAAGTCCCGAGGGGCCACCCCACCGCACGTGTGAGGATACTGGCGATGAACCTGGACGGCAGAGCGGCAGAAGTGCTACCAGTACACTCAATGAAGCATCAAACTCGGTCTCACTCTCAGATGATAAAGTCCTCAGGGGGAAGTTGAGCGGCGGCACGTCCAATTTGTTGAAGTCGACGTCGACTTCTTCCAATCTTTTAACCGGCAAGCCTTCAACAAGTCAGTCTAAGTCGACTTCTGCGTTCGAGTATAAACCTATCGTATTCCAAGGGAAGAGGACCTTTTTGAAGCACAAAAACTCATACCTGGATTCGGCTAGTTCACATGAAGATCAGTCACCCGACTCTGCTGGCCTGGTCCGCGCCTTAAACCGGTCAAGTCTGAAACCCAAGGAAGACGGGTACGATGGCTACATGACATTCTTCAGCAACCCGTACTTCTTCACCGATCTCAGTGGTGACAAGTCTCCTGCAAACGTCAGATTGAGCGGGTACAAAGGGTCCCGGGATACTTTAGGTATCGATAAGAAGCAGACACTCATAGACGACACCCTGCGAGACGCCAAAGCTTGTTATTTCCTTTCTCCCTGGCCGCCCGCACGGAACGCCTGGCCTCAAAACTGCCCGGAGATAGATATGCCGCTTTCACCGATAACATCAGCTGGGGAGGACGAGACGATGCCGCTGGAGTTCGAAGCTTCTGGTCTCGGAGGTGTTCGGCCGGAAGACAACTTTGCGCTCGACGTCCAGATCGCCAGAAAACGGCAGAAGCTCAGCAATGGTGACGGTCAGGGGACAATCCGGCAGAAGCGACCTGCAAGATATATATACCAAGTTGCCAATTGCCGGAGGCTGAATCTGCAACCTTCGCGGCTGCCACCGCCCAGCTATGTCTTCTTTACAGCAAGCTCATCGTCCAGTGCGGGGAACGGATATTATGATGACGAGGACAGTAACGAGTCCTCAGAGGCAGATTATTCCCCCGCGCCAGCCGGGTTTCTCTGGCAATGGTCGTCGAGTTCAAATGAACGACAAGGCGGTGACGACGATGCATCTGTGGCAAGTTCTTCCCTAGGCGTGTTGGAAGCGGCACGCGCCAGGATCCCGATCCCCGGTGCCACAAATGAGCTGGGCAGGACCATGAGTGGGAGCCTCGCCGCCACTGCCGGGGCGAGCTGGAGTGCCGCCTCCAACGACGCCGATGCTGCCTTTGCCACCGCCCTCAACGACTCTTCAGACGGGATGAGCGTGGACCGTGAACTGTGAGCCTTCTTCAGGTAGGGTGAGTAGATGGGACAGATTTCTTCTTCATGTGATTGTATAACGAAATTGCAAATACGGCATTCTGGCCGAATGCACAGCACGGTGTTGGCGGATTCCGTTATCAAAAGTCCTGCGGTTTACGCATGATTTACCTGTATTTGTTTAAGATTGGACGTGTTGGGTATACTTAGCACGTGTCAGCATACTGTCACAGATACCCCTTGACGAAATATGTTATATGTTGAGAACAATGACGATAGACTTCTTTTTACAAGCAACCATCCTTTAACAGTAATTTCTTGCTAAGCCGGCTCTCTCGGTTTCCTTTTTTGCCCCGACGCTGTAATCTTAGAATTGCATCGGATGGGGGTGTTCCTACGGATGTTATCGGGGAAAGGGTGGGAGCCAAGAAGGCGTCGCTAGCCCTTGGGCGGCTTCTGGCTATGTCTTCAGCCGCCCAGAGGAAGAGACTGAAGCCCCGGATCCGAGCTGCTTAATGGGCATCGGAAAGGTCACCTAGCCTAGCACTTGGACTTTATGGGTAGTCGCCGTGGCTCCAGCGAGCATTGCCTTTCCCCTCATCCTCTCTCCATCGGATCCGTACCAGTCTGCCTGGACTGCCAACATCCAGCGGTAATGATTCCGGGGTGCTTTACCGATCCCGCGCTGTCAATGCCATCTCCGCTTTAAACACGCCGACTTACCCAGCATGTCGGCTTCTCAACTCCTTCTCACTGCTTCTACACCAGTTGCTGTTATTTGCGACTTCACCTGTTGTGTGACTCTTGCCTGTTGCTCTATCCCCGGATTTCAGCGAATGCTTAGCTGCATCACTCGTCAGGAGTGAGTGAAAACACCGTCTTCATGTCGTCCTTCCTCGAGTCCTCTCTCCGCATTCCGTCGCAGGCGTCGAGAAGTTGGCGGACAGCGAGGTACTTTACACGCGACCAACGAAAGGTGAGTGAAATTCCTGCAAGCTGAGGAAAAACCCCCATCAGTCCCATAGACAGCTTTGTTTATTTTGACCATCAACAGCAAAACCTCCTCTTCGCTCGCTCGTTCTCGTCGACCCTTCGCCGCCATGAAATCAACAAAGTCGTCCCCTCGGCCGCTGAGGCAATCAAGGACATGAAGTCCGACTCCACGCTCCTGTGCGGTGGCTTCGGACTCTGTGGTGTCCCCGACACTCTGATCAACGAGGTCGCGAAAACCCCATCCATTACCGGTCTCACCGCGGTCTCAAACAATGCCGGCATCCCCGGTGCCGGTCTAGGTCAGCTCTTGGAGACCAGGCAAGTGAGGAAAATGATTGCCAGCTACGTTGGCGAGAACAAAGTGCTGGAGCAAATGTACCTGACGGGAGAGATGGAGTTGGAGCTGACACCCCAGGGTACTTTGGCCGAACGCTGTGCGGCAGGAGGCAAAGGAATCCCTGCTTTCTACACCCCGGCTGCATTTGGCACGGTCGTGCAGACGGGTGAGATTCCCCTAAGGCACAACAAGGATGGCAGCATTGCACAATTTGGAAAGCCGAGAGACGTCAAGGTATTCAATGGCAAGTCGTATGTCATGGAAGAGGCGATCGCTGGCGACTACGCGTTCGTGAAAGCATACAAGGCTGACAAGCTCGGGAACTGCCAATTCCGCCTCGCCGCAAACAACTTCAACGGTGCCATGGGCCGAAATGCCAAGGTCACCATTGTAGAAGCCGAACATATCGTCGAGGTCGGCGAGATTGATCCAGTCGCCGTGCATTTGCCGGGAATCTATGTGAGCAAAGTGATCCAGTCGACCGCCGAGAAGAAGATTGAGAAGTATGTCAACCGCAAAGAAGAGGGCGCCGACGTCAAAGACAGCCTCGGCAAGGGTGACGCCGCGTCAAAGCGCGAACGGATTGTGAAACGCGCGGCTAAGGAGTTCCAGAACGGCATGTACGCCAACCTGGGTATCGGCATGCCTATGTTGGCACCGTCCTTTGTGGATTCGTCCGTCGAGGTCCAGCTACAATCCGAGAACGGTATCCTCGGTCTGGGCCCGTACCCGTTCAAGGGTGAGGAAGATCCAGATCTCATCAACGCTGGGAAGGAGACAGTCACTCTGCTCCCGGGAGCGTCGTGCTTCGGATCAGAGGAGTCGTTCGGTATGATCCGCTCTGGACGCATCAACATGTCCATGCTGGGGGCCATGCAGGTTTCTGCGCGAGGTGATCTGGCCAACTGGATGTTGCCCGGGAAGGTCAAGGGCTTCGGTGGGGCGATGGATTTGGTGAGCAATCCAGAGAAGACCAAAGTGGTGGCGTTGATGGAGCACACGGACAAGAAGGGCAACCCCAAGATTCTGAAGCAGTGCGAGTTCCCTCTGACTGGAAGAGCGTGTGTCTCGAGAATCATTACGGAACTGGTAAGTGTATCCCGCCTCCTCCAAACAAGACGCATTGCAAGGAAGTCAGTCGACTTTGATCATATATTGACCTATGCTTTTACCTACAGTGTGTCTTCGATGTCGACTTCACCCACGGCCTGACGCTGATTGAGCTCGCGGACGGTGTCACCGTCGAAGAGATCAAGGCCAAGACCGAGGCGCCTTTCAAGGTCGCGGACAACATCAAACCCATGCTCTAAGCATCTGATTTCTTTACTCACAGCATTTACCAAGAGAGAAATCATAGACCACATTGACAGAGGCGCGTGGCAATGCGGCAAGATCTCTAAGGAGAGTCGAGAAAATTTGAGACGGGGCTGTGGAACTGGATTTCGACCGGAAAAGTCTTGCGATCAATGTATTTTGATATCAGCTCAGGGCAGGGAACATTAAGTTGGCTGGGTAGCTAGCTTGTCCGTGTGGAGATGAAGGCAAAAGAAGAAGAAAGTCAACAGGCGCAGACGGGGTATGTTGTCGCTACTCTCTGGAGATATGTCGACAGCACACGGGTGCACCAGTTGCGAAAACGAAGGGTCGCTGAGAAGGCGACCAGCTGGCTTAGCGTTGAGGAATGGTCGGAGACAATACAGTCTTCCACTGTCATCTACACACGGGGTTGTCCTGCTCCCAAAAAGGAGTGAAATATGAGATCAGGGGGATATTTTTCGTATCATCGAGCATTTTGGACTTCTACACGACAACGGCGTGGTATATGTTTGATGGGTTCTACTGGGGTCTAATACCTACCGTTATTCAACAGGAATCATTGAATCTAAGCAAACCATTTTTCGAACAAAGACGTTCCTGGCTCCGCTCAGTCATCGTACCAACCACTCGTTTCGACGTGATTGTCCTTGTTGCTAAACGATGACGACGACGACTTCTTGGACCCTCCTCGCTTCTGCTGCCGCTCGGCGTCGGCCTTGCGCGTCGTCCCACGTCTCAGCCAGAAACCCTCGTACTTGTGCGCGCGCGTCGCGCCGGGCAGGATCCGCGACACCGGTGGCGCGCCGCCGTAGCGGTGCCGAATGCCCGCCACGAACCGGATGCGCTCGTACGATCCTGTCGACGATGGGGGGTGGTAGAATGTCCTTGTGGCTGATGAGGAATAGTGACATGACGGAGTCTGAGGGACGCGGAGGATGGATGATGATGGTGGTGCGTTGGAGAGAGCCCCTTGCCGGCTCTTGATGAAGTCGGCCAGCTGCTCGGTCGTGCGCACGTGAGGCGGCAGACCCTGCTCCCGGACGAGGCTGGCGTGCAGTCTGCCCGTGCCGTTATCGTAGCTGAAGCTGGCAGGGGTTGCTGCGTCACCTCGATCCGGCACCGTCCTTGCCATTGGAGGAGCAGGAGGAGGTGGTGGTGGTGAAGGACGAGGTCCGCGAGGTCCGCTTGGCCAGAAGTCGAAGCTGGTGGCGGTCACAGGTCTCGAATACACCGAAGAAGGAGACGGAGAGGAGGGAGGGGTGAAAGGAGCAGGAGCATACCGGGGCGGCGGCGTGGCTTTGGCGGCTTCGAAGACGTGCTTGTTGTTGTTGGTCTTCGAGGCCCCGGACTTACCTCTCTTTGCGAGATTTGAGAAGTTGAAAGGCATGATTTTCTTGGTTGAATGGATGAATGGGTGGAAGGATGGGTGTAGTGAGTGTGTGGTTTTTGAGAGAGCCTTGGGTATTTTGCTAGATAGAGTGAGTATTCGAAGCGTAGAGACGAGAAAGGAGAAACGTTTTCCAATGCTGGGTGTGTGTGTGTGACAAAGTCTTCACAAAAGAAGGGAAAAGGAAAAGAAAGGGTATAAATAGAGTCCCCCAAAGAACAATGGGCTGTCTTTGTGTGTCTAGTCTATCGTCATTATGAGGTGGTGGCAGCGACGTATAACTGCTATCGCCTTGCCGGACAAAGAAATACTGTTCTTCGAAGCCTTCCAGGACAATGGGCTCCTGTTGAACCCCTGATAGAGTGTATCTAGACAAAGAAACACGGCTTAATCACCGATGTCTCTAGGGGAGTAAGTTGTGTTTGATCTGGGGTTTAGGTATGGAGGTCGTCTGTATTCGAAAGCAGTGCATTGCAGTGTACTCGGCATGAGGTCTGGGATCTAGCCAAGTCCCATCCACCGAGTAGCTCCCAAAAGCTCGTATAGAACTGACTAAATACTAGCGTCCTGGGAACCCATACATAGAACGAGGGCCTAGACACGAATGGGCCGTGGCAGCCTGAAGTATCGCTCGACGTCGCATACTGATCGTTCTTCCCATAAATCCACGACCTTCCCACATATGCCCCAGGTGTATCATATTGTTGAACAAATGTGTAAACTCGGCACCGTTCAGCAGGTACGTAACGCACTCCATGGAGGCTGGGCTGCCCTCCCATGAATGAATGGCAACTCACCCAGAGCATCAGGCTGTCGCCGGCTGGGGCAAAGCCCAGTTCGACTCGGACGACGAATTTGACGATTATTATAGCGACACCGACGACGATGACGTGATGCCCGATCTTGAAGATGAGGAACAAGACGTCCCCCCCCAGTCTAGACAACGCACGTCTTCAATCTACAAACCTCTCAAGCCCTTGGAGATTCGACTGTTTCGCATGGACTCGGCCGCCGACGCGACGGACAACAAGGCTGAGATCGTCCTCTCCCTCGACAACTACCTCATATCAGAGGCGCCACCATTCTCGGCCTTGTCGTACTGCTGGGGGGATCCGGCGACCACGGCGTCCCTTCAGGTCAATGGAAACGTGCTACCAATCACTAACAACCTGAACACGGCGCTGCGACGACTTCGCACTGTCCAGGAGCGGGACCACATTCAGTTCTGGTGGGTCGACGCCATCTGTATTCACCAACAGAACCTCAGAGAGCGCGCTGAGCAGGTCATGCTCATGAGAGAGATCTTCCGCGTGGCGAGCTCGGTCGTCGTGTGGCTCGGGGAGCCGCAGTCGGCAGGCAACAACTTTCTGCACGATGTCAAGGCCATCCATAGCTACATCGACGACCACGAGAGCGGACAGAGCACGTTACCACCACCGGACGTGAAGATTGTTGAGCCTCATCTCCCAGGCGTGTACGATCTGGTCGGCAATGCGTATTTCACCCGGCTGTGGATGGTGCAAGAGACTATGGCGGCGCGTCGTGCGGTCTTCTACTCAGGCGGCACGGCCGAGAATTGGGATACGGTTACTCGTGTGTGCAAGTGGGTGTCGGCGACGGGACTCATCTGGTCGGACTCCCGACAGTCATCCCGAAACCTGACGCGGGCCCAATCACTCCTGCTCCGGCACGAGTCGCCTACGCTGCTCCATCTGCTGTGCCGCTTTCGCGGCCTCAAGTGCTCCGACGACCGGGACAAGGTGTTTGCGCTCTTGACGACCTCGCGCGAGAACAGGGACACCTACGACGTCCTGCCGGACTACACGCAGTCCGTGGTCGAAGTGTACACGGGCATATGCCGCTTCGTGCTCCAACGCAGTCGCCAGCTGCATATCCTGAGCTGCGTCCAGAATGCCACTGAATCACCGGACCTGCCGTCCTGGACACCGGATTGGAGACGGACGTGGTCGCACATGGCGCTCGACGTGTACTTTGGCGCCGAACAGGTGCACCACGTCTTCCGCGCGAGCCAGGAGATGCGAGCCATGGTGACTCCATCCACGGATCCACGGATCCTGACCGTCAAGGGCGTGCCGATCGACACGGTCAGAACAACGGACAAGCCCGAAAAGGACGCGATCCTGGCGGCCTCTGCTGTGTCTTTCCAGGATTTCGCTGATAAGTTGCTCCATCGTCTCGGAATCGAGGACCCAGAAACACCCTACTTGCTCACGGGTGAATCATATCGCGAGGCTCTATTCCGGACTTTATCGGCCGACTTTGTGATGAAGGCACCAAGCTCTTCTCCGTCGTCGCCTGCGTCAACAACAGCCCCTTCCCCTCTTCCCATCATCCTGCCCGTCGAAGATGCGCTTGGCCACCAGGATGAACTGGTTTTCAAGCCGAGGACGGTACGGCGGTGGCACAGCACGCCCTTGAACCATACGTACATGTCTCCGTGGACGGACAGCCTCGAGGCCTACCATCCCACAGCCGTCGAGGCGTACAGCATCCCCGGCGCGCCTGTCTGTACTCGGTCGATCTACAAACACATCCAAAACCTCATGATTGGGCGGTTGTTGTTCGTGACCGAGACGGGACACCTGGGGCTGGGGCCTGAGGACGCACGGCTGGGAGACCAGGTGGTGGTCTTGCCTGGGGCGGACGTGCCGTTTGTCTTAAGGTCGGTGGGCGGTGGAGCAGGGGAATATCGCGTGGTCGGGGAATGCTATGTGCATGGTTTCATGGACGGTGTGGCGGTCGAGGGAAAGGAGGCGGCAGCTTGGCGAGAATATGTCCTTTGTTGAGACCTGTGCAAAGACCTGCCTTCTCGGCGAGCACCTTACACCCCGAGAATTTGAGCGGATGGACTTATCCATGGCCATAGAATGGGATACAGAACTTTGCAGCTGCTAATGAGCAGTTGGACTCATGGGCAATAGGATGAGCAGCAGGAACCACAGTAGCTGAGCAGAAGAGTCGACAATGCAATCCTTGACGAGCGCAATCGTGACTGTACAACAATATGTTGGCAGTCTATTTCAAATCTACAATACACAACAAATATGGCCGGCGATTAAGATTCCTGCCCGGGGAGTGCGAGCATCTACCACAATCTGCGCGTAATAGACCTCGACGCCTTTGAAATACCACCAACAATAGCTAGCTAGCTCTTTCTCCTGCGTTGACACTCGGTTTAAAGGAGTCCAGGAAGTAACGCGACCAAGGGCAACACCACTTGTCCACCACCAAGCGAGATTCTATTGCCAAAGCCCTCAGTGTCGGTGGTGGTGGTTGCTGCAGCGCCGGTCTCGGTTGGAGTCTGGTGTGAGAACAAAAAGTCGTCAATTGGATTGTTCCTCTAGTGTATTCTCTCCACTAACTCTAGAGATATACTCACCTCACTTACGGTCTGTCCTGTCGTGGCTGAAGGTGTCTCGCCCAAAGAAGCCGTGGTTGATGCCGAAGATGCTGCGTCTGTGCTCTGCGATGAAGCAGTCGTAGTCGGATTCGATTCGGTGGTGGCCGTAGAGCTGCTGTTCGTGGCGGAAGTAGCATTGGCAGGGACCGGCGTTGCATCGAGTCCACACGCCGTTGCGGCCTGGGCGACACTGTCCCCGTAGTACTGCCAGATGTCATATTGCAGGGCACAGTTGAGGCAATCCTCGAGTGCGGTGGTGAAGTTTGCCGAGTCACAATATCCCTCCGTCCTGCCATCGACAATGACGGTTCCGCTGTGTCTTGTGTGTCAATACAGTTCACAGGGAGACATAGGATATGACCTGTATGACCCACCAGTTCGCATGACAGTCGTATTCCGGTGTTCCAGGTTCTTGTCGTCGCTGTAGAGGAAAATTGTCCGGATACAGGAGAGAAGCTGAGACGGAGGCAACGGCAAGAGCCATTACCGACGGGAGAGCGTAACGCATGGTGTTGATCAGAATGCGATAAACTAGATTGAAGGTAACAAAACCTGCAACTGCAAGGTATAGGAAGAGCGAGGAGACCACAGACAGAGGCAGACGACTTCCATATAATCAAAGAGCTCCAGCAGCTCTAGCATTAGCACGAGTCAGCCGCCGAAATTGTGTCCTATCGTCTCATTTCGAGGCCAAGCTGGGGCACTCCAAGCGAGGTACAGTCCCACCACAGATGGAAGAAACCTTGGGAGTCGCAGCGGATGCTGTGAAGAATGCGGTTGTCCCGCTCTTGACATACTTAGAGCTGTACCATTGACCAGTGGGTGCAGCGTCGTCCATGTCTGCCCGCACTATTGGTCGTGTTTCTTTGCAGACGGTAAATAGCGAGTGCCCAGCGCTGGCCAAGCACGCCGGCGATCTTGGGGTGAGTGATTTATCTTATCTGATCGAGATCATCCAGTCTGACAGGAGATAGCTTCCTTTTTATGAGCGTAAAAGCCTGAAATATTCTGTCTGACGGCGCCCGATATCGGCATCTATCTTGTCTGATTAGATGGAGGCCTCGCTTGGACGCGAGTGATGCCGCTCTTGTATGGCCCAGTGTTGTGCGCTTCGTCGGGTTTCCACGCCTGCACGGCAGAGTGAATGCTTGGAGTCACATCCACCTCGTTTTTCCTGTCTCCCCCCGGCGGGATGACAACTCTTTCGTAGGCTGGGACGGCTGGGGAAAATTCCTGGCTAAGCCATCGTAGGTTTGCCTCGTGACCTGGAGGAATTGGATTGCACTATATCTTCCACCTACCTTCCCTGTTCAACCCCGATAGTGGCGTGGCTCAAGTCCGGTTCATTCCATTTTCTTGTCTTCACAAGCCAGGTCGGGTTCCATAGGAAAATCAACAAGTACTTTCGCTCTTGCAGAACTGGAAATTTAGACGGTTTCGCAGCGTCAGAAAATGGTCAAACTCACCTCTCTCTTGATCGGCTGCTACGCTCTTGCGGCGAAGTACGCCGTTGCCCAAGAGCATGGAGAGGAATACGAGAAGACAATGGGTCCAGTCGCCTTTTTGTGGCCGCCTGATCGTGAATGGGGTGCTGCTCAGGACAATACCGCCCCTTGCGGTTCCGCTGCCTCCGTGGTGAACAGAACGGAATTCCCTCTGCGTAAGTCAGCACTCAAGTCCACAGCATCCATGCTCATTATGCGCCAGTCAACGGCCAGATCGCGCTCGTCGCTCAAGACGAGTCCTGGTACATCCAGGTAGCAATCTCTCACAAGAACGGTAAGCGAAGGAGTCATCGATCGAGAGGTTGTAGGTCGTAACTGACACCTCGGCCAGACCCAACGTCGAATGACGATTTTGAGATCGTGATACCGGCCACGAGAATCCCAGAACTTAGCGAGGGCCACCAGTGCTACCCGATCCCCAATCCAGCCGCGGACATCGAAGCTCTTTCCAATGCGACACTGCAAATTCGATATACTTCGGACTTTGAAGACGACCGAAACGAGACGTACTATGCGTGCGCGGATGTTACTTACGTGCCGACCAGCCAATTCACCTACCAAGTGCCATGCTTCAACGCCACCGTCGACGATTTCAACGTTACGGATGTTGACCCCGATTCCAGTTCTTCGGCTTCGGCAGCTGGAGCCACTGCCACATCAGGAGTCATGGAGGACACGGGATCATCGTCTTCCGGTCTGTCTGGAGGTGCGATTGCCGGTATTGTTGTCGGTGTCGTGGTAGGGGTTGCTGCTTTCCTTGGTGTGATCTTTTTCATGTGGCGTCGGAGCCAACAGAAGCGTCGCATTCGTCAACAGGAAGCTTCCGTCAGGAACGTGAAATGGGAAGACCATCATCCAGGGAGTGGATCAGCATCGCAGGCTTCAGATCGCGACATTGCACTCCGGAAACTTTAGTCAGAGGAAGGTGTCAATAGCTGGGGCCAGAGCTTCAAATAAGGATGGAGCTCTGTTGACTGATGATTGATGGCGAAATGAGAGCTCGAGTCAGACGCATAGCCACGTAGGTAGAGAAAGCACGTTACACATTTGTCACATCGAACGATTATTCGGAATTTCTATCCAGCGGTTCACACTCTTTTGAAGTTCTCTCTCCAACATTCAGGCAACACCGTGTATAGCCAGCCATTAAAGGAAGGTCTGACGATCACGTGTCAGGTGCTTTCTGATTTAGACACGGCTATCTAAAAAAGGTTAGTGTGTTAATGTACACACGGCCCTGACGCCCAACCGTGCCACTATGCTGATAATGACACCCCGGATGAGGGTATGCCTAGGGTGACAAAACAGTATATGCAGCCTGTGCCTAAGAGACCTATACTTGACTCACCCCGCACCCTGGGAGCACAGAGTCCTTGGTAGAAGCCGGTTTAGGCTTAGGAGCCCAGTGCATAAAACTGCGGGGAAACACGGGGTTGCTTAAGACCCACGAGTTCAAACATAATGATAGGCCAGTCGAGGATTCAGGCCAACCCTTTTCGCAGCACCGGACCGAGGCAACTTCTGTCTCTTTCACCGTACTGGAGCTTGGTGTCACAACTTGTTTCATTGCCCTGCCGTCCCAGGGCCTTTGCCCCTTGTGCTCTGCCTGGGTTGCCGGCTAGGCAATGACGGCAATTTGATCATGGACGAAACCCCGCTCGATATTCGCCCATAAATATCTTTGTCGCTGGGAGATTCTAGATCTTCTTGATTACTATCCTGCCATCAATATCTTCACGTAGTTGGCTCTGTGGTTTGTTGTTCTGGCACAATGGCGACACCAGGTCCACTCGAGCGCGCCCACCGTGTTGCTGTAGGTGCTCTCACCCTACCCTTCAGTCTCGTCCATCGTGCATCAACCCAACCACTTCTTACCGGGAGTTTGTTGTTTGCTCTCACCAGGGCACCTCTTCAATACCGAGCACGTCTCTTGAAACTATTGGGTGACGCTGGTCTGTCCATAGACCGTATCCTCCTCCTCATAAAGTCATTGAAGTACCTCCTTGCCATCGGCCTGGTCCGAAAGCTCAATCAGGCACTCAACAGACTTGCCCTCAACAACTGGCATGTCTTCACGAAGCCAGGTGCACCTTTCCAGTGGGACCAACGGACGGAGCTGGTGGTGGTCACCGGAGGATGTTCGGGCTTTGGGTACGAGATGGTGAAGAGCTTCTCGAAACATGCGAGAGTCGTCGTCCTCGATATCTCCCCCTTTCCCGAGGAGTTGAGGAAACGTGAGGCTCCCCAGACAAACCCCGCATAGCAAGGCTGCTCACTCTCATGCCATAGTTCCCGGCGTCGACTATTACCAACTTGACGTGACCGACTTTGCCGCGATCGAGTCAACAGCGGAGACTATCCGCAGAGAGCATGGAGATCCCACCGTCCTTATAAACAATGCCGGCATCGGTAAGCCATTTGCAGTCGGATGCTCTTCTTCCAGAATGCGAGTTAGCTGACCAGCGCGACCCCTTGCAGCGAACGGCACCAAAATCATCAACAGTGATGCCAAATTGACCGACAGGATTTTCAAAGTCAACATCGCCAGCCATTTCATCCTGATCAAGGAGTTCTTACCTGGGATGTTGAGAGCCAAGAAAGGCCATGTCGTGACCATTGCTTCGATGGCCAGCTTCTACGCGACACCAGGCCTGGTGGACTATTGCTGCACAAAGGTTGGGGCACTCTTCCTCAGTGAAGGTAAGATTTCCGTGCACTTAAAGACCTGCCGTTCTGCGAGTTGACTCCTTGGAAAGGCCTGCGAAACGAGCTTCGCACATACTACGAGAATGGCAAATGCATTCAAACCAGCTCCGTCCATCCGTCCTGGCATGCAACCGGCATCGTGAAACCCGTTGCTGCCAAGTTGCAGCAGCTCGGGATCAGGTGCGATCCGGCATCGAACGTGAGCGATGCGGTCGTGGAACAGGTTTTGGCGGGCAGAAGCGGCCGAATCTTCGTGCCGAGGACGGAGGAAAGCAGCACATATGTGAGAAATTTCCCCGTGTGGTTGCAGGATGCAGTGCTCTCTCTCCAGAGAGTGCGTAAGTTTGACGTCTCCTGGGACTGAAACTGTAGTCGGGAAAGAGGCCGGCGGGATGGATCATTGGTTTGAGCTGCGATATGTGTTCGTATGATACTCAAGTTATTTCGGGGAGTTTAATCACCGTGACTATCTGTACTCCACTGATAAACAACGCCGGACTTGCTGGCTTTGGGCAGGCCAGACATCTGCAACATTTCCCATTCAGGATGAAACCAGTCTACACCTAAAAGCCTACGAAAGGGGTGTAATGGACACCCCAGAATTGCTAGCTAGCTATGGTACATTGCTTTTCTGTGTCAAGCCTAATGCAAGCTCTAACAGACTCCACCATTAGTCGTTGCTTCTTTTTCGACATCCCTCACTCACACCTCTCCACCTTTTGTCGAATCATCTGCCTCCCTCCTGTCAGCTGCTCCATTCGACGCGGATAAGGGATCGAGAGATGAGTGGCCTTTGCAACAATCCCATGCCTGCGGCCGCCATACAACTTCCTAGCTTCCCCAGTGGATGATTAGCCAGCGAGAGGTGGCTGATTGGTGTCCTTTCTGTGCCCGCTCTTCTGCTTGGTTACTGGCAGGCCTGGTCCCCCTCTGCTTCTGGCCAAAGCCCCAGACAGGGGTCGTTCCCACATCCCGATGGCTCCTATCCATTGGGGGGCCAATGCACGGTCACCTCATTTCGACGGGTGCTGTTGTGCACCCAGTCCATGTGACTACACCTGTTCCAGCCAAGTTCCAACGGACGGGGCAGTTCTCAGTTCGAAAATACCGGCAGGTAGGCAACCCTCGACTCTGATCTTCAGCAAAACGCCGATCCCTTCATTGCCATTTGCTCTGCGGCTTCCGTGAACTTGTGCACCAAAGTGGCAGCCGATTGCCTTGCAGCCAAGAGGATCGTTTGGAAAGGAAACTCTGAAATGGCCATCAACGGTTTCTCTCGAACCTTTGATCCGCCACTATCTATCTAGTCGCCGAACAAGCGAATTCCTCTGGGACAAGGTTTGGAAGCTCGGAAAGAACTAGCATCACGCCCAACTTTGACTCCAACTCTTAGTCTCCGGTTGCTTGAGCTTTCTTCAGACCAATCCTGCCATTTCCTCAAGACCATCGGATGGCTTTGGTGGCGTCTGGCTCCTTGCTCGGAACTACACCCCCTCGGTGAATCTCGACTCTCGAGGGACTCGATATTGTAGGAAGTCCTAATCTTCCACCCTGGTGAGGAGGACACGGAGGGGATTCAGAGAAATTTCAATGATCCACTTGTGCCGCGTTCGGAGTTGAATACTCTGAAGCCCATCCTCATCGACGGCTGTTCCTTGCAACAACTTGATATCAAAACGGCGGGCATGCAGGTACAATAATAAGATAACTTCGGATGCTCGACAAAAAGGTTGCGCAACCTCCGAAGCGTTAACACACACGGCGGCTTCAACATGGCGCCCTCAAGGCCATTAGGAGTTATATCTCCCGAAAATCAATCCGGCTTGATCCTCATTCTGACCTCATTGTCCCTTTGCTTCGTTCTCGTCGCCTTTGCCATCCGCGTCTATATTCGGGTTCCCCAGAGATTGTGGAAGTGGGACGACCACGTTTTGGCGGTAGCCACAGTAAGTTCTTGACGCATGCACTTGGGGGTGGAACGAAAACGGTCCTAACAGCCCTCTGGGTCTTTTCCATCGTTCAGACTTCGCTCGTCTTCTATGCTGTGCACCTGGGCCTGGGACATCGGAAAGTATTCGAGGGCAATGCTCCCAACAGTGATTTGGTTAAGAAGGTACGAAAGCCGGGCCAGGATGGCAGAAAAGTGACATGTGCTGAGCTTGCAAATCAGTACTATTATGCAGACGACTTCTTCTACCTCATCGTTCTGCTTTTCTCGAAAATGTCCGTGTGCTGTCTCTTCCTACGGTTGACGCGCCGCCGGGGGCATATGGTTGCGATCTACACCACCATCGGGCTCTGCGGTGGTTGGTTCATTTTGTCGATCCTTTTGATCAGCATTGGCTCCTCGTGGCAGCAGGTCTTTTTCATACCGGTAATGCTTCGACCCATATCCGAAACTATCAGGCAATCCCACGCTGACTTTTTCGGGCACAGTTTGGAAGATGGCTTGCCGTCGGTATCACGGACTCCATCACGGAGCTGGTCTTTGTCCTGTTTGCAACTTACCTAGTCAGCGATCTGCGGATGACCAAGGTCCAGAAAGCTACCGTGGTGTTTGCATTTGCTCTTCGGTTGCTGTGAGCCATGACCCTTTCCTTCTTGAGTGGCTGCGTCTGGGACCTTGTCTAACACGCAATACCTCCTGGCAGAGCGATCCCCGCCTGCGGAATACGTCTTTATTACCTCAATCCGTCCACCTTGCCGGATAACCGCAACCTCTCCCTCTCCCTGACCATCGTCTGCACCCAGGTCCAGCTTGGCTACGGGATAATGGCGGCGTCGGTCACAGTTCTCAGGCCCTTTATGGCAGTCTACGAAAAGCCGGTGGGCTACTCGGACTATAGCAATAATCCGGGGAAGACCTATGCGACCAACAACAGCGAGCACCTGTCCTTCAAGATGCAGCCTGTGTCACGGTCTGGCGAGGCCATGCCGGACGGACTCGGTCTGCATGCCGCCCATCTCGACCCCAACCAACCGACGTTCTCGTCGCGGACACCTCCGGTGCAAAAGGAGAAGAGAGGAGGCGGTGGCGGACACGAGAAGAGTGACAGTATACACAGCCATGACAGTCGACGGCTCATCATCGAGCGCAAGACGGACTGGTCTGTGCGATATGAAGAGGCGGAGAGCCAGAAGAGCAACTTCAGCGAAGGAGCTGCGTCAATGTCTGACCATTGAAGAAGGCCCGCTGGCTCGCTGGTGGACATGACAACCACATCTTGGCCGCCTTCTACAATGCATACGGAACGTATCCCCATGGTGGTGACGACAGTGTTGGAGTTCTCACGACTTGTAACCATATCTACATACAGCAGGGACCTCGGACAGCCGGAACGGACGGAATGGGATAGGTATGGGATGGAATGGAATGAACAGCAATCAACGGTCAACTTCTGACCCCATACAAGATGGGGGGCAGAATTTAAGGATCTTCCTTTATGTAATTTTGCTACTGTATACTTTTGGCGGTGTTCAGAGCCTGGACGATGACTGTGAGCACCACTGGAGTACGAGTATCCGCGGAACGGATAAAAATGACCATGGCTTTGGATCGGCTAGGAAGCAGGTATATGGGAATGGATAGGCCTTATGACATGAACGTGATTACCTCTCTCGAGCAACGCCGTACGACGGAAGAACACTCTCGATGATCACCCCAGCTACCGATGGATTTGCTGATGATCACCCCAGCTACCGATGGATTTGCTGATGGCTCCTCTATCCGCATTCTATCTCTTATCTATAGGCACGCCTGCTATCTTTGGATGCGCCCTCACACTGGTACTGGAGCTGAAAGTCCTCGATGTGCCTGGCCATGTTCGCGCAGGCGTTTCGGTCTTTCTTCTTGCACAAGTTTCGCGTGCATCTTATCTCGCCCGTTCGTTTCAAACACCATGTTTGCATGAATGAATGGCAACATATGCAAGGGGAGGAACGCAACCTAGTAACGCATGGGCAACATCAAGCGAGATCCGTCCTGCCGACGTTCCCCTTTGCCTCCTCCTTTCTCGCTAGGGGCAAGCACCACCTCCTCCCCTGGCGCAGAATACGAGAAAATGGGCGTGCGCAACATCTCGCCGAAAAGACCATTGTTCGCCGTCGGCCCTGCAAGCCACATTGTATAGAGTTTATGGCCCTCCCCTTTTTGCTCATCTTGCAGATGAGAGAACTAGCTCTTTTTGCTTAGAGAGACCGCCACCGTGCAGAAAGTTCGTTCCAATGACAAGTTTTCAATCTGTTGAGATGCGAGTCCGTCTCAGGGGCACCGAGACCTTCCCCCCTTCAGCGAAGTGTTGGTGAATACGAGGCGAAACTCCCTGCTCAGCCTGTTCGCCTATTTGAAGATGGTCGTGTAGTTCTTACCTCATTTTATAGGATCATTGATTGATCACAGATCCCGGAGCTGATTTGGTCCGAGGCGCATCGCCAATTGCTTGACGGATTCCTTCTCCGGACTGTACCTACCTAGCTATGAACGTTTCTGCTAAGACAGTTTTCCCTCTATTTTTGTGAGGCAGTGGAAGCAGTCAGAGCAGGAGACTATAGATATCCAGGAGCACTGGTGTATGTGTGTGTACATACATACCCAAGAGTAAAACGTCACTGGGGCCTTGAAGAGCCACCAAACCTAGTGTATGTACATACCTCCTCGCATTCCGTTTCCTTCCATCTCCACATCGGCGACCGTGAGACAGTGGAGAAACCGACCGGCCAAAGAAAGGACAGGGTGATATGGGAAATGTCGCAAAGGCAGATACATAATAAGAGGTGGAGTATTTCTTTTTGTGGGAGAAGTGGAAACTCAGGAACCAAAGTTTCGAAAAGGCCCCATCGTGATACATACCGTACCTACCAATGCGCTCCCTCATTTTTCCCCATCCAGCCAATTCGTCCGCACCGCCCAAGGATATCTATCGCAAAGTACTAAGAGTAGCTACCTATCGACCAAGGAAACGAACGAGTACGATAGACGGGTGCAGCGACAGGAAGCCACGGGGGATCATTGATAGGAACTAATAGATGACAAAAGGACTCCACTTCGAGTACTACTCAACAAGGGTGATGGGCAAGGAAGGACAAAGAAGAACGGGGCTCGACTAACTGGTTTGTGCTTTGTGTAAACAAGGTATTACACAGTAAGTAATATATTGAGTTCCCCCATTATAGCCCTACACAGAATATAACATGACTTCTCGAGCTGCTCACCAGAGCAGTCTTCTCTCGGTACAAGTATGTATGTGCAGCAGGACGTAATACTCGATGATCTGTTGTAATCCGTAAAGCTGGTGAGAAACAAACCCCCCACCAAACGGTGCGACCTAAAAGCGCTTGACGCGGAGTAACTTTTTGACTTTCTGAGGTAAAAGCAAGTACATGCAGATGCAGCTGGCGTAGAGATCTAGACTCGCCCTTTTTCCCTCCCTCTTCTCTCTGCCCCCTCCCCAGTGACATTCTGAGAAACGACGTGAGATCTCGAGTTGCTTTGTATGAGGCATAGTTCTGAGATAACCAGCTTCTTTGAGTCTTCCTCATGTTTCCTCCCGTCATGGTACAGATGTAAGTAACCCTTGATACAGAGCACTGGGAGGGCACCAATAGAAACAAAAATCGACAACCGACATAATCTTTCGTCGACAACGTACATACGGTAGTACTGCCACCAATGCAATCGTCAAAGTGACGCTGCAGTCCCGAGCGAAACATGGCTGAACTCTCATCCCCTGACGCTCTCGAGGTGTCTCCTTTACAGTTGTAATCACATTATACATAAGTACATAGCTGTTTCCAGCCGATTCGCCCCCTCCCGCCCGAATGTGGTGGATGATCACGCAATTCCGCGAAGAACGAACAGGCGGCGAGTTCGGGGACGCCCGTGCTGGACCGTGGCTTGCTGAAGGGAAGAAACTTACATAGACCAGCAAGGATATCATTATTATTATAACACGAGCTTTTGGGCTGATAGAAGGGGGGCGGGTGGGCACGGACTGGCCCCCACCGAGCTCACGGAAAGGAGAACACGCGAGAAACGAGGCTACTAGCTGAGAGGGTCTTTCTCTTTCCCTTACCGAGAGGCGCACGCTAGAGGCCCAAAATCTTTGGGGACTTTTTGAGAGCTTTGGACGGTAGGTAGTACGTAGATATTCACAGAATGTGTCTGTTCTTGCACTGTTACTTGAACCAAGAAAAAAATCCATGGATATATACCAAAGGCCTTTCTTATTGAGCAGGGAGAGCTCCTCGAATGTAGATATCCTCAGAGGCACTCTCCCGGTGAAACCGCCGGGATTCGTTTCGATGACAATCGAACTACCATCTCCACCGTGGCAGTAGGAAAATATGGAGGACTGAAGAGTGTTTGGAAACACGTAACTTGATGTCCCCAATATGCAAGGCCCTCCAATCAGTTCCTGCCCTCCACAGTCACGACAGGCCCGGTGTAGATCTTCCTCCCTTGAAACGCATAGAACACTCCAGAGATGACCATCACGCCAAAGAACAGCACGACAGACCAGTTGAAAGACTCTGCATCTACAGGTGTGCCATTGGGCCAGAAACTCCAGAAGAAGGCAAACAGGGAGTAGACGATGCTGAAGACATTGATCGGCACTCCCCACTTGCCAAGACTCCAGCGTGCCTTCGGCAGCAACTCAGGGTGGTATACGCGCCGGTACAGCACACAAGTAATTGAGATCATGTAAGAGAACATGAGTGCGCACACCTGGACCGAGATAATAGCGTTGAAGGCTGCCGAGGAGCCGATATTGATAACCGCCAGGAGACAGCTGATAATACATGTCAACGTCACGGCATTGGCGGGAATGTGTAGTCTTGGGTGGACAGCGCCGATCCAGTTGGAGAACGGAAGGCCCTTGTCGCGGGCAAAGGCAAAGGTTTGGCGTGAGGTCGATGCATTGAAAGATATGTTGGATGCAATGACCAAGATGAGGATCAAAATGGTCAGAGCATTGACGCCTCCAGTCGACACTGCCTGACGGAAGACCCAGATGAAGGGATATTCGGTCGGGTCGTTCAGAGCGGCATCGACGTCGGTCAAGGCAAAGTTGTACGTGACGATCAGCACCAAGCCGAGGACCCCATTCGACACATAAGCCCAGAACATGGCGTTAGGGACGTTGCGGCCAGCATCCTTAACCTCCTCAGCCATGTGCGCTGTACAATCGGAACAGAGTGATCCATAGATAGCCGAAATCTGCCCTATCATGAGAGCGAGGCCCATGCTAGACCAACCCCCTTCATTCGTAAATTGAGTAAAAGCGACCTTGGCAGAGTTCCGAGGTGCCATCACCCAGAGTACAATAATGACCGCTGCAGAGATCCGTCAGCCCCTGGACAAGAGACTCCGACCCACAAGGAAGAATAACCTACCGAAGAATCCAAAGACATGTACGATCAGGAGCACATTTTGGATCAGAGGTAGATCCCGAGCGCCCCAAGTATTGGCGACGAAGAGCACAAGAACCATTGCGAACACCAACAACGTTCCCTGCCATGCTGTCGGTTCGTAATTTTCATTGTTGATCTGTATCAAAGCCTGGATGATGGTTCCTGTCAAGAAAGAGCCAGACGCTGTTCCGCTCTGCCACGAGAGCGTGCTCATCCAGCCTGTTAGATAGCTCAGACTCTTCTGATACTTTGGTGGAGCGAATTCAGACACCCAATGGTACTGTCCGCCGCTAGTCGGAGCCCTATCACAGGTTAGAAAATTGATTGTGTGCGTTGACCACGGATGTCGGACATACATGGAAGCCATCTCAGCCAGAGAAGTCATAACGATACCAAACCCAAAGAAGGTCCAGACATAGGTCCAGAAAAATCCAGCAATGCCACCGTCGACCAAAACTTGAGTGTTTGCACTAGATGAATGTCAGGAAGTGGGTGGAACAGAAGGAGCTGCCATAGCTGGCAAACTGGGGACTCACATCAACAAGAACTCCCATGTCGCTTGTAACAGGGCGGTAAATGCCAAAGCAGAAAGAGGTCGAAAATTTCGTATCAGTTCTTGCCGTTTCCCCAAACGTTGCATCTCCCTTTGATCCTTGGTGGTGTAACCTTTGTCGAGGATACCGACATCATTGTAGCAGCCTTCATCTTCGACGCCGTCGAAAGGAGCCAGCTCTCGAGCGGTTAGCGACGCGTCGGGTACCTTGTCTAGAGTCATCTTGAAAAATGCGTCTCTTGAGGGGAATAGGCAAGGAAACCACAGCAAGAATAAAACTGGACGAAAGCGTAGAAACACTTGAAGATGATTCGACTTCGATCAGGAAGGAAGTTGGGTTGCATCTAGCAGCAACCTGTGAAAGCCACTCCTGGGAGTTCGGGTTATTCCCGACCCTTGATACAAGTAGCATGGCAAGCAAGAGGTGGGTATCTGCTGCAAGAACCCATGTTGGGGGCATTCGAGGATTGAGGCGAATTAGCGAACCAGGGTCGACAAGAAGAGGCAGGGATCAGCTCCGCATGAGCGACCTGCCCTGGCTTCCTTCGTGTCTCTAGCACTTACCGTGCCCCCGCCTCCGAATGGGTTGCTAGTCGTGTCTGCATGAAGGTGTTGGCAGTCGACTGTCTGATGCGGGCTGTGGAACCCTGGATCGCGCCACGATAGTCATCGAGGTGTCCATGTCGCTCGTGCGCGATGAGTGGTCTGAGACTCTCCAGATACGCCTTGGTGGAGATTGAAGTATTTGCCCCGCTTCCAGGCATAAGTCTAAATGGCCGTCCGTTGTGTCTTGATTGCGCGCTGGGCAAGAGGGTATGAGAGAAACATGGTGTGCTCGAGTCTCCTTTCCTACCTTGCTGGTCTCTTTAAATGGCTCGCCCCGTCCCAGGAAGCTGATCGGTTGTGCCTGTCAAAGTGCATGTACGTGTGACGGGCAATGGTCGCTCTAGCTGGGCGACTCCGCTCAAGGGCGAGGAAGGAAGCAAGCCCGAAAGTTCAGAGCTTGTTGCAAGCCACAAAAAAGCGACAGTCAGGTCCCTGGGGAGGTGGGAGGCAGGCTCTGGATAATAGTACCGAGCAGATAAAATAGAGATGTTTCGACTTCAACGCCCAGTAATGACTTTTGACTTTAACGGTGTGCCAAGGCGCTAATTGTTCCTGCTCCCTTGGCGAAAAATATCTTGCGATCCTCGAACTGTATTTGTCTTGCCCCGCGCTCGCTGTATCTTTATTGAAATTCGAAGCCAAGTCCACTCGAATTCCCCTAGCCCTCGCACAATGGCTCAGGGACAAGTCAAAAAAGCGTCGAAATCCTCCTCAACGAAACCCTCCAACTCTGCAGGAATCACCAAAAAGGGCTCGCGGAGCATAACACCCAGGAAGGCGAAGCTGCTAAAGCAGGCCAAGTTGAACAAGAAGTACACCGCTGGGCTTACTGCAAAGACAGAAGCTATGCTGGGAGCGCGTGCAGGACACCTGGAGATGTTGGGCCAAGGAAAGAAGAAGGACGCCGCAGGTGAAGCCAACAACAAGGGAAAGAAGAGTGGAAAGAAGGCTTGATTCTGGGGAAGAAGGACGGAACCAAACCATCGCACTTTTCGCTGACAAGCTCTGCGCCTGATTGATCTTTCTACCAGTCCACATGAGACGAAGACAATCCCGTCCACTCCTGAGCACCTCAACCGTATGAACTGTCTGCGGAAGAAGGGTCACAGTTCTATACCAGGATAATGCTCTTGATGACCGGTCAACGATGTGGCTAAAGAAAAGCTATCACGGTGCCGACGTCGAAAGCTTGGATGGCACAAAGATCAGAGTCTTTCGGACGTCCACTGTCGGTGGACAGTCTCGTTCAGACGATTATGCTTGATACGCAGGGACTCTTGTTTTCAAGCCCAGTGTCGATGTTTTCGAGAGCCACGCAGCAGGTCGGTCTCGAAATCTCGAAAAACACTTAACGCCGATTCTGGTATCTGATCCCAACAACTGAATTAACGCCGGCAGAGTTCGTCGCTCACATCCCCCCCAGCGCCCGAGCAGCTTCGCCGCCACCGCTTTCAACCATGGCCTGTTGGCCCAAGTCGGCTCTGAGTTTGCCTTTCCCAGGTCCACCCTCGCCCACACCCATTCTCCGTGCAACGTACCTCTGGGCCAGTACGCCAACCGCAAGACTCAGCGTTTCTTCGACCCATTCGCTCACCCATTCTCTGGGATCGATACCACCACTGGCAATAATCTCCTCGATACTCTCTGGCAAGGTGCCTTCACCACCACTGGGTGCATCCAGCCAGTCGATCCATTGTCCGGGAATGGCTTGAGAGACCGCCTGGAAGGCGATTCCGTGAATAGGGTCGTGCAGATAGACCGCGAAAACGACTTCATCTGTGGTGTTGTCCTCCTTCGCTTCTTTCACTTGTCCGTCTTTTTCCAGACTTGGTGCCGGGGCAAACATATCTTTCGGCACCGGTTGGGTGATCGCTTGGATCGCAAGGAAAATTTCACTGTCTCTGGTCGGATTGGAGGTGGAAAGCGTTTCTGTGGCTCGCTTCGCAGCCTCTTCCACTCCCCCTTTGCTTCCAAAATATTCTTCAGCGTAGCTCTCGGCAGAAGCTCTAGCAAGTTTGGTGCCCTCAACCATGCCCTTGACTGCATTGGTACTTCGAAGTTCTCCGCTCCTCCACCAGGGTCCGTCGTGCCAGGAGCCTAACGGTCGCGACATTTCTTTCGAGTCTCTCTTTGGTCCGGCTTCATGTCCTCTTTGAACGACCATCAAATCTCCACCCTCGACCTGTGCCATGACACGACTGAAAACTTGGTAAATGAGCGGGTCAAGAGTGGGATAGTTGGACAGGTCATGTGTGATATGGATTTGCAGTCGCTCGTGTGAAGAGATCGGAGGAGCAATCGTCTGCAGGATATTCTGAAAGGTCGGCATGGCTATATTTCTAAGGTCGCCGCCTGTCGTAGCGTTAGCCTGTGACTTCTCGTTCACACCCAATTGTTCATACCAAACCCTTTGAGCACACCGACGTTGCCTCGAAGTTGCTCTGCCCATTTTTGTGCTTCTTCATTCTTTTGAATCTCTTTCACGGCCGCCTGGGCCTGGCTGACAGCGGCAGAGGCAGTCGAGAGCAGTCCACCCCACCATCCACCGCCGCTTCGGGCGGGTGCTGGGGCCGGCTCAGGCTGCGTTTCATTTTCTGCGGATTCTTCAGTTGTTGTGGTTGCTGGTGTGAAGCTTTGATGGAACGAACGTGTACTATCACCCGACTTGCGCTGGCCGCTGCTCGACTTCTCTTCGCTTGCCCGGCCGGGAGGAGGGGTGGCGGTTGAGGTTCGCTTTGGAGATCTGTTGCCCGTTGCCGACGGAGCATTTGGTCTTAACGAAGGAGTGGCTGGTCGGCTAGCTGGTCGTTGGGCCAAGTTGCCCAGCTCAGCGAGTAGGTCTTGTTCATTCTGTGAGGATTGAGCTGGTTGTCCTTGTCGGGCGGTTCGTGTTGAAGGCCTGGAGGTACGCGTCGACGCCTGCGTACTCAGGTCGTCAAGCTGTGCCAAGAGCTCATCATCGGTGGGTGCCGCCTTCTTTGCAGCCATTGTCATTGCATATAGAGATCGAAATGGCCTGATATGAAAGTGGACAACATGGGGTGAGAGATAACTTGGAGTCGCAGGGAGGGCAGGGGCATGTTCCGAGGCCAGCGAGGCCTGCTTTGGCAATGAAGTGACGCCGCTTTAAACAAAGCTGTAACGATGACACGACAGAGGGACATGTACCCGGTACTCGAAGGTCAACGACGTTCCCTAATCCAATGTATCTATCACTCTTTTTCTCAGACTATCTCCGTGTTCAGATTGACGAATATCAATTTCATGGTACCTTGTCAGCACACCTCTTCTTGACTTCGGATCTATCAGCCAAGCCGCTCTAAAGCTCTATGGGATGATTTGAGTGCAAGCAAGCATCAGTCTACAGCATAGCCGAATCTTGGGCCAAAATAGGGTAGGGGTGAAAAGAATCTATTGCATGAACTATGGTCAGACCGACCTTCAGGTCGACAGGTAAACCATGTGCTCTACAACTCCAGCTCACTTGGACCCATTACGCATTGAAGGACGCGCTCGAAATGGAGCTTGCGTGCGAAACGGCAAATCTGACGCTACTTTTGAGCTTTGACTTCGGCCAATCAGAGTGCGGCTGATATCAACTCCTTCATCTCTGCTGTGCTCTTCATGGCTTGTCAAGGGGGATGATGGCTTCTCGAATATCGTGGATTGTCTGAAGGTGAGGGGCTTTCTGTTCCTTACTATGTCCATCACAAGCTCCTGAACGAGGACCTCCAAACGCCACAAAACACATCAGTGAGGGATGTCCTCAGATAAACCACGGGCTGCCCGTGCCTGCGCGGCTTGTCGGAAACTAAAGACACGCTGTTACGAGTCTAGATTGGCTGGAGGCTCATGTCTGAGGTGTGAGAGGCTGGGGGCTCACTGTTCATTAGCCTCTGAGCGAAATGCTAAATCTTCAAACGATCTATCTCCACACGGTCTGGCAAGCAGCGCGCAAGACGCCAGGTTTGTGTTGGAAATCATTGTGTTGGAAATTATGTGGCTAACTTCCACAGACTTGCTCGTCTCGAGAAATCTGTGGATCTAATCCTAGGTCGACTTGGGATCGACATAGACGATGATGCTGTGCCAGATTTCACATCATCTCGCCCGTCAATGGCCGAACAGACAGAACCACCAAACATCACAATGGATACGGCAGCGGCTCCAGTCTTCGTCATCCGAGACCTTGCTACAGAAATCGGAGTGGAATCTCCAGCGGCGATTCGCAGTGCCCAGACAGCAACGGATGCCGGAGTCTCAGACTTGATTGTAGACGGCCTTGTGACGAGTCGACAAACTGCAGGTCTCCTCACCATGTCGGTACTGGTCTTCCATATCAAAGAAACAGCCACTAATACATTAAGACAGATTCAATGAGCACTATGGTCGCTGGGTATTCTTCGACAACCTGATGTCTGCAGAGAACCTGTCTGAGGAGGTCAAAAGATCACCACTTCTTTTGTGTTCGTGCTGCCTTATCGCTGTCCGACACACCAACGAAGAGCTTGCGTCGAGCCTGGCCCCGGAGCTCTTTGAGAAGTCGAAGGCCCTTCTATCCGCCGCACTGCTCTCTACAACGCAAAACATCGATTTCTTTCAGGCAGCTCTCATTTTGTGTATGTGGTCCACCACAGTGGGTCAAGTGCCTTTGAGTATCGACAGCTGGCTGCTGAGCGGTTTCGCCATTCAGCATTGCATCTCGAGCGATCTCTTTGAAAACGTCCTTAGCCATGGCTATCCAAGAACTAAACGTGATTTGGGTTTGTTAAGGCTCTGGAACCATCTTTGTTTGGTGCACTTGCAGTAGGTTCCCAGTCTTCCACAAATTCGTGAGACTGATCTCGAAAGCTATTCGGTAGGGACGAGGCGCAAATCCATGGTCGGTCGGGCGCAAGTCGATAGATGCCGAGACATTCTAGCTTCTGATCATGCAACAAATTTCGAGACCCGGATGGTGGCGGAAGTGATCTTGTACTGGATTCTGTACGAAAACTGCTGTCTGACAGAGGTCGATCTCCCCAAAGCGCAATCTGCCTTGCACCAGTGGAGACAGAACTGGAAGTTTGTTCTCGGTTCGTGCTCGTTCCTGAGGATCAATACTTTTTGCACAATCTGACAAGCCATCACCCAGATCAGCCTCGGTCACAGTTTCTTGAGATGGGATTTCGCTTCGCTCAGCTCCTTGCCTACGATCAATCTCTGAAGACTCGATCTGCAAGCGTTCGAGAGAGTCTGCTGTCAGAGATGGTTCGTCTTTCAGCTGCAATCTTGACGCTTGCAATGGAAACAACAGACGAGCGCACGAAGCACCTAAGTGATCACATTTACCATATGATCACGTTCGCCGCAGTTACCCTTTGTCGACTACTGCATATGTACGAAGAGCAGTTGGCGCGCTCCCACAACATCGCCGAGCTGGATTCGCTGATCGCGACGCTTGTACCATGGCTCAAGTCGATCGGTCTCCCCTGCCACGCCGCCTTCACGCTCGGTGACATCGTCGCCGCTTTCCACAAGAAACTGCGTCCTCTCTCGGGACCGTCGCCCGTGAATTCTGAGGATCAGAACGCTTGGGCAGACATGTCGTTCTGGGCTTCCTTCCCAGATCTACTAGGACCAGAACCTACGAACACTAGCAGTTGGGATTTTTTACCGAATTGGGAACCATTCAAATGAAGAGACTTCCTGATTGACAGCTTCTCAATGTCTATCTTTGATAAAGCTAGGGATATGTGGTTCTATTTGCCTCCGTATCTTCTCTCCAAATATCGGAAGATTGGGAATGTGATCGCCGAGAAGGCAAAGGTTAGCTCGTGACCGATGTTGGCGCCTTTTCTTCCTATCAGGCCCGCGATGGGAGCAGTGTACCAAGCTGTTTTCATGCCCAGGGCTGCGCCCATGAAGCCAAACCCGAAGGCTCCGATAGCTGCCCAGCCGAAAGGAAGAAGACCGGGCTGGTTCCAAGCGTCCAAGTTGTATTGACTCCAGCGACCGGCACGGAAAATGATGTGCTCCTCTGCAACAACAGTGAGATGAATGACTGTCCAGTACCCGATGATGCTCAGGAACGTCTGAAGGGTATCACTGAAGAATTCAGCCGCACAAGCTCCAACGATAATGGCCGCAATGAAGCCAAGGGTGACGAGAAAGATTCGGGGAATGCGTGCCGCCCAAGGACCAAAATTTTGCGCATGCATGGCGAAAGAGTAGTTGTTTGGGATGTTGTTCTGCCCACTGTCAGTCTGATGAGCCTGAACTGGAATCTTCACGATGACTTACTGGAATGGCACTCAATGCTGCAAGAACCAAGAGGAACTTTCCGAAACCTCCAGCTGGTTCCAATGCCATTTTGAGGGGACCGCCAATCCCACTCTCTTTGAAAGCCAACTTCCACTCTGGGTTGATCTCAGTGCCGGTGTACAGAGCTGCACCTAGGGCCTGAACCAGGATGGTGGGCACAGCGATTCCGACATAGGTTGCGATGAAAATCTGAGCCCTGGACGTGTTGACAGGCATTCTCACGTTATAGTCGGCAGCGCAGTTGATCCAAGACACGGCAAAGGAGAATATGATGGCGATGTACGAAAGCGACGCTGCTGCCCCATTTGCTCCGGCCGGTGACTTGATGGCATCTCCAGAGAAATGTGAGGCACCGAAACCGGCGGTGAAACACCAAACCACGAAAGGGGGGATCCAGAGGAAAGCGTCTAGACGATGTATCCAATGGATGCCCAGGGCACAGATGACCCAGACAGTGGTGCAGATGATGACAACCCCGAGCCACGTCGGACACTTCCCGTCAGAAAGCGCATTGAGGACGGACGCCCCAGAGATAGAGTTGACGGCATTCCAGCCCGTGGTCGAGACCATGGAGAAGACGACCACCAGAAGATTGCCCCAATAGCCAAAGGAGTAACGACTGTGATTGTCAGCCTTGCGATATCAGAGTGGTAAGTTGGGGGGGCCCTCTTACGAGAAGGACGTCATACGCAAGCCCGTCAATCCGAATCCTGCAGTCCATGCCGGGATCATGCAGCTGAAGACATTGACCACGACGATGATGGCAAAGCAATCCCAGAATGATAACCCAAGGCTGCCGCCCACGGAGCCGACGTTGAGGGTTGCCACAGCCATGTTCGCGCTCAGCCTAAGAAGTATTTAGACCTGTTGGATCTTCTGTTTGTAAGAGACCGGTCAACTTACCAAAAAGTACACGCGTTCCACACCTTGCTGGTGTTCTGCTGGCGTTCCTCCTCCGTGACTCGCTGGATGCCACTCGTCTCGACGGTATGGAGGAGGCCGGTCAGCCATGACTTGGACAAGGCCTTGACGGGCAGTGCCTTTCCCTCGAAGGAGTCTTCCACCACATCATGGGGTTGATTCTTCGTCATACAGTGCTTATCGTCTGGATACTTGTCCATGCTGGTAATCCTTTATGGTGAGTCTGGCTTTGTGATGCGCAGTTTTGTCACTCGTTATAATCTGTTGTTCCTACATTCTGAGCAGGGTGCGCGCTTTCTTTTATGCTTCATCTTCTCGAGGATTGCGTGCTCACCAGTCTCTCTGGCGCATATGTTGATAGGACTATCGTTCGTTACCCAAGACGGCAAGCCTGCGGGTCCTGATATCGCAACTGCTACGCCGCCCTCGGCATGCCGTGGGGACAGAAGCATACCGGATCTGCCCGCGGAATTGCCTTAGGTCGATGTGTCAATCTATTGGTCCATGGACCCTCTTGACTATCAGCCTGCCCCAACAATACACACAGCATACCCTATGTATCCATTTCGAATGACGGAACCCACTGTGGTGTTGAAAGATCTACACCTACTTCCTCGGGCCACATATGGTATATATTGACCCAAGATGTTCAGTCCACACCTTATGTTGTTCCGAACACGCATCTACACATCTCAAATTCATCCTTCAGATACTGAGCCATGGAGCAAAACACACTTACGCGACGTGGAGTCGGCCTTCGTGGCTTGGACAAGGACCTTGTGTCCCCAGGATACCTCCTCTACGCTCACTTGACCAGCCCGGGCACAGTACGACTGATTGCCAATGACGGGATGGAAGTCCACCGCTGGAACCTGCCTTTCCGTCCGGGACGTCACGCCCGCATCCTGCCCAACGGCAATCTAGCCTACAACGGTGTCCATCCTGATGCCCCAAGGCTGTTCCCCATGTGGCAGAAGTACCGCGGCGGAGTCATGATGCAAGTCGACCCTGACGGCAAGGTCGTGTCTGAATACCGGGATCCGCTGGCCCACCACGACCAGCACCACCTTGACAATGGCCAGATCCTGTACACGACGCTGGAAGCTCTCACTCCGGAACAAGCCGCGACAGTCTCCGGCGGCATCCCGTCGTCCGAGGCGCCCAGTGGACACGTGTACGCCGACTGCATCAAGCTGGTTGATCCCGCCGACGGCGGCAAAGTGCTGTTCCACTGGCGCGCCATTGAGCACCTCGACCCGGCTGCCTTTCCTCTTCACCCACACTACGCCCGCGAGCACTGGCCACTGATCAACAGCGTGCACCAGCTTCGGGACGGCAACATCCTCGCGTCGCTCCGCAGCGTGTCGGCGGTGATCATCATCTCGCGGGAGACAGGCGAGGTCATGTGGCATTTGGACAGCACCGTGGTGGCACAGCAGCACTGCGCCAGCGAGCTGGACGACGGGAGCATCCTGGTGTTCGACAACGGCACGTTCCGCCACCGCGAGAGCTCGACCTACTCACGGGTAATCCAGGTGGACCGGGCCACGAAGCAGATCGTGTGGGAGTATCGCGACCGGTCGTTCCCGTGCGCCTTCTTCACCCCGTTCATGGGCGGCGCGCAGCGCCTGCGCAACGGCAACACGCTGGTCACCGAGGCCGTGTTCGGCCGCATGTTCGAGGTGACCCCCGACGGCTGCGTCTGCTTCGAGTACATCAACCCGCACTTTGCCGACTACAAGCAGCTGAAGGCCCCCGAGCTGGAGGAGATCGGCTTCGACTATCCCGCCAACGCCGTCTTCAGGGCCTACAAGTACACCCCGGACCAGGTGCCCTGGCTGCGGCTGCCGAACTGACGGGGAGACATTCATGCGTCATTCCGTCAGTGATGCAAATATCTTGTAAAGTTCTCGCGGTATCAAAAGGGGTTTTTGGAGGGCACGAAAAGCAGCAGTTGGAAAATAGGGGCTTTCAGGTCAGGGAGGGAGAGAATTTTATATGGGGTCTGTTTCTTACTATTTTATATCAGGCTGTAGCAGCACATGGTTTTAAGCATCATATATCCTCTTTTCTCTGTCGTCTGAGTATCTTTTTCATGGAAATCTGTGACAGATGCCAGTGCTATCCGATCAGCCAAGAATGAAACGACATTTCACTACTGACCCAAAGTCACTGGAACACATTCAGCATCTTGACTATGGACGAGTCACTCTCTGGCAGGTATCAAAGATATCTCCCCACGACTTTGATTCTTTCCTCTTCTTTACTGATTCCCTCCGCAATCGATATCTCCTCAAAAATATCCCAGCACTCGCGAACCACAGGATGATCAAAAGCTTTCACCTCCTAATAGTCCCAGCCATTGTGACCTTCCCTCGTCTGCTCCTCTTCGCTTCCCAGCTTGCGGTTGCCAGGTCCTTGACCGATCTCAGTGAACCCAGACTCGACATTTTGTCTCGAGGAGCAATGAAAAACGGCACATGCGACAGGGGCTACGAATGGACAGTCATCACTCCGCTCTCGATTCAAGGCGCCACGTGCTGTCCAACAGGGTACAAAGGAGAACAGGCAACGATTCTGGCGAATCTGGCGGGAACATTCTGTTGTCCAGAGCACATCGATAAGGTGCCATGCGATGCCCACGATCGTGAAATGCCGAAAACACCTCTCACCTGCCCGGAGCTGGGGGAGTTGGTCGGGGCGCTGTGCATGTACTATTATTGGTAACGTCGGTCTTCGGCACGAATCATGCTGGAGGAAGTCGGGAGCTGCCACGAAGCTGCTTTGGATGTAGTCAGTGACCGAATACTGAAAGGTTGACAAGGTTTGACGATTCCACAGTGGGGTCGGACAAATCCGTATCGAAATGAAGGGTTTACCAGCCAAAGGAATGTTCTTTCTCTGAACAGATCTGGCCAAGCATCAGCATCATTAGATTGGTGACCACCATGCTGGAGGACCTGTGAGGGCAAAGGCAATGGTCTTGCCTCGTAAGTCACCCTTGACTTCCTTGAGCTGCTAAGAGTCGTCCCAGAGAATGCAATCTGGTGTTGAATAAGACTTGTCGTCCAGAAATGTTGTGAACATATTCCATTCCGTTTTAATGTGCTGGTAAAGTGAAGTTTGGTTCCCATCCGATAGTAGCGACCTTGACGAGCAGATGGTAGGACAGGCGTTGAAGTAGACGAGGCTAGTCACTGGGCTGAGTTGCAGCCTGGTGGAAATGCTTCACCCGTTCACCCCTCACCAACATCTCACCTCGAGTGATAGTCAAGGTATCGCTATCTCCGCTCCATTCATCTCCTGGATGTGTTCACAAAGGACTTGTTTGCTTGAATGCGAAGCAGCACCATTCACACGCCGGCCAACGACTCTGTGACTGGTCGATTGTGAGCAGTTACCTTGGACTTCTTCTGAGACGTCTTTGACCTGAATTCATATTAGAGACAAGAGTGTACCTTGTTGTTCGTCGTCAAATCTTGAACCTCGAGTTGACTTGTTGTTGCCTAATTCCCACTCCGAGGAGTCTTTTCAATCTCTTCGTGATGGATCATAGCACGAGCAAAGACGGCCCCAACGACTTTTCAGATGAGTTTGCATCATCTGCAAGCTCTCCCGACACTAGATCGGATGGGTTTGCTCGCACTGTCGACGATGAATGGCCGTCCAGCCGAGCACTCGCCCAGAGAAACGGTCGATACGACACACAAGGCTTCTTGATCGATTTTGAATATACAACCGCTTACACGCTGCCCAGAAGAGCGCCTTTGCCTCCTCTTTGCAGTAGTCGAATCTCACCGTTGGCTCACACCAACACCACTCTCGTTGATCATTCCTCTTCGACTTCTGAGCCACTGATCGCTATACCATATGAGTCAACGTTCGAAGCAGACTCTCCAACGCCCTCGCGTCCTCAGATCAGGTTCAGCAACACCTACCGAAAATGCTGGTTGCAGCAATATTCTCGGCCAAAGCAACTAGTGCAGCTTGCACCTAAAAGACCAGCTCGAGCAAATCGGCAAGGTTTCTGGCTCGCCCGAGGCACGTTGAGAGGGTGCGATAGGGTGATGGAGCAGCAGGGCCTGGGATATTGGCTGACTCGAGGGTCAGTGAAGAACCCTGATCAGTACGGAAGTGCTGAGAGATTCCGTCGCCTCTTGAAGCGTGTCGCCAATAAGATGAGAAGCATCAGCAGCAAGGAGAAATGACCACTGAGATGAAATATTCCTGAGCATCATCTCACTCTCATTCATGCCATCAACTTTCATCATCTGTGCGCTTCTTGTCGGCCTCGTCAAAGTGGCTTGCATGGATCTCGGCCAAATTGAATCTCTTCAGTGTCTGATATTCGCTCCCAACAACGCTCATACCAATCACGTTCCGATACACATCGACAAGGACGAGCTTATCATAACCTTTCAAGTCTACAGAATGCTTCCCCTGGCCCAGACCGACGATCTTGTCAGCGACCACCCGAATGACTTCATCTCGATTGATTTTATTGTTGTTGCGGATCGTGGGGCGGATGGCGAATTTGCATGGTTGCTGCTTAGATTCGTCCTCCTGTTCCGAGCTCGACTTGTTGTCATCGTCGACCAGGAAGTGCCTGGGAAGAACCTTGTCACAGAGGGAATGCAGGCCATCGTTCAAGGTCTTCCGGATCAAGGTAACAGGGGTGAGTCTTTTGATATAGCGGCTTCGTGGTCCAGCTCCTGCCTTGTTTGAGGCTAGGAGGCATAATTTACTGACTATGTCGACGGGGTCAAGGGAGCTGTTGCTAGGAAACCGCACGAAGGAGACGCACGGAATATCAAGCGTAATGAAGGCTAATTTTGGCGACAAGCCGTTTTGAGGTTCCCGTTTAGATTTCAATGAGTCCAATTCGGCAAGGATGTCGGCCTCAATATCGACCTCCACGTCATCCTTGTCTCGCTGGATGTCCGGGCTTGCCTCCACGGCTTGGCAACCTGTATCAGCAGCAAGCAACTGACGGCATAGTTAGTTGGGAGTGCGTGACTATCAGACTCATCACTCACCTCATCCAACAAGTCAGATAGCTCTTGCAAGCATTTCCTCTCCTGACCTTTGTCGCATGTGACGAAGATTCCAACATCGTCGCTGTGGATTCCGGACGCACTAATGGTGGCCGGCCGGCGAGACTTAGCCCGGGAGTCCTGGGGCTTTTGGACCCGATACTTGGTTTTCCCGTTGTTGTCTTTGCCAGGCTTCGGGTCTGATGGCGACTGCGCATGGTCCATTTTGAGCCTTTTGGGTGATCGGTCTAGTGATTCTGTGGGGTTCATGCCTAGGCTGTCCTCACAGAATTCCCGCCGGAGAAGGAGTTTGAAGACCCGGGTATTGACACACTTGAGGGACCTTTGGGTTTCTTCGGGGCTTGAGGGAGAAAGCGTCGGTGGGAATTGAATTGTCGTCGAGGCGGCAAAATGGATGCTTGGAGCCGCCAAGATCCACTAGTCCTGTTTCGGAAGACGGTGTGTATTTCTTCTTCTTCTTCTTCTTCCTCTTCCTCTTCCTCTTCCTCTTCCTCCACGTCTTGCGACTCTCATAAACAGCCTGAACCCATTCTCGACCTGCTAAACTGCTCCTGCGTTGGTCAGCTTCCTACAATCGCCTCGGCCACGGGTCGTCTCACCATGATACCCGCGGTGAGCAGGACAATGGAGCCATTCGTCCAGTGCCGGCCTCGTGATGGCCAGGGTTAAGCGCCTCTGTGTGGCCAGGAAAGCGACTCTGGGGACGGTAGCACAATCGCATCTCCCCTCTTGTGGCTTTTGCGTCCATCAGCAAGACTTCTTGATTGGCTGTTTCTCTGGTCTTCTTCCGGATAAGCTGTCGAGACTTTCTCGGTGCGACTCTCGATGCTTCAACCCCCTGCCTAGTAGGGCGTGGACAATGATGTCCCTCTGCATGGTGCATATGCGGGCAAAGTCCACGCACCAAAGAGCGTAGTAAGATTCAAAAGAGACTCGCCTTTTCCTCTTCCCCTCTGATCATCTTTCATGTTCCTGTGCTTCAATTACAGCGATGGCGTCCATTTTTGGCTCAAAAATGCCGGCTCATGATACGAAAATAATTGCCAATGGAGGTCTTGGAGGTCTGGTACGTGCAGAACTCGCTGCTGGAGATCAAGCACAGGACAAGATGGACGCCAAGATTGTATCCAAATTTCGTCGTCGACCTCCCCCCCTTCGGATCTCGAGTGGTTGTGAAGCAGCAAGTTTATCACCCGGTTTGGCTCCAGCAGCATCAAGCTCGGGCCTTGGAGGCCTCTTGACTCCCAAGACACCCACTGACCGCCGTAAATATTCACTACTCGGAGTTGATATCGAGGGCGGTGCTTCACCTCTAACACCGCGCTACAACCCTGCTGCACCTTGGACACCGGGCGCTCCCCTGCCAGAAACGCCAGCGAGCCCGACCTCACCCTATTCACAGATAACGGCAGAGTTGCCAGGTTCCCTTCTCTTAGCAAGCCAAGGTTTCCCGCAAACAAACCCCATATCACCTCCGCCATCTCTTCGATTGCTTCGTAGAGACACCGAAGAATCCATCATCAGTTCGGTGCCAACACTCTCAACCTCCGCGTCTACCGATGACGGGACAATGGAAGCTCTGCGAAACTTGACCACGCCTATGAGAAAGCACGACCGATCTGCACATAGCACAATGCCTTCTTACACCATCGGCAGCCGCGTCCCTGCAGATCTACAAATTACACAGCCATTCACTGCAATGACCATCGAAGCCATGCTAGATAAACTGCCCGAATGCGACCATGTGACCATATCCCGGCATTGGCTTCCCGCCATGCGCAGTCAGTTACAGCAGATGACTTCTCTGCTTAACGAAGCATGCAATTTGAAGCTCGAGTCAAGTGTCCATCAGGTAACCCTGAATAGTGTGAGAGATGCGACCCTTGGAAACTCTCCTTGCACTGACATTCCCCAGGCACTCAAATCCTTCTCCGACCAACTGCATTTGATCACTGCCGAGTATCACAAAATCGTCGAGTCTGCCGAATCGCTTGCTGAACGTGATACCAGGGTCTCTCACGAACAACTAAAGGAGCTCGAGGGACAGGTAGGACAAGCTTTGGGGAGGATGGCGGTGAAAGACAAGGAGATTCAAGATAAAGAACGAAGAATCTCAGAGCTTCGAAATACAGTCCACGAAGTCACCCGGATTTTGGGCACCTTCATCGAGAACAACATCGCCAGCTGGGTCGATACCATCCACGAGCCTAGGACTCTACAAGTTCTTCGAATATTATCGGACTACACACGGGACGAGCCTCACGAGTCTGTCGATTACGTCCGTGTTGCCGAGGACACGCTGAATCAATATATTCGAGATTCACGCGAAGCGCGCAACCTCGTTGGAGAGTATCGCAAGGTATTGCACGGTCAGGGAGCCATGATCAGGGATCAATCCAGAAACCTCGACGCATGTGTGCAGAAGTGCAACAAGGCAGTCAGACTCGTACAGGAAAAGGATCACGAAATATTGCTCCTTGTACAACAAAACGATGATCTGAGCAAACAGCTACAGGAATGTCGAGCTGCTGTAGCAGAGGGCCAGCAGGCCCGTACGGACTCGGAGAAGATGGTGCGGAGATATGAAGAGCTGCGAGGGGCCATGGTCAGCTTGCGAACGAGCCACACGCTGGAAATCGATCAACGCGACGCCGAGATATCGAACCTTCGTCAAAAGCTGGGTAGTGCCCGCGAGGAGGTTTTCGCGCGACGAGAGGACGTCAAGAACGTCATCTCCCAAGCTAACGCCATGCTACAAGTGTCCACCGAGTCGGTCCCAGTGGCTGCTAAGAACAGCAACACCTCCAAAGCCTTGAGATTCTTCGGAATGGAAAGAGACAAAGAAAAATACAGGAAGGGCACCATCCCCACAAGCTACAGCATGGTCGGACTTCCCTCGTCGGATTCGAGGTTCTCATCCAAGGAGGTAGCCTCCATTGACCGGGCCGCACTTCGGCACAGACCTTCACTACAGACACATACCAACCCACGACTGCTGACAACTCCGAACACGCCCATTGACGACTCTCAAGGCTCGAACGAGTCTATCATGACAGCACCAGTGACCAGGCAGCGCTCCGACTCACTCGGTGCAACACAACGCCACGGCGTTCTGACTGCATCTCCCGTCAACACGGACAAGTCGCTTCCTCACCCGCCAGCGCATCCGAGGCCACATCTCCCGGTGGCTCGAGTTGCCGAAATCACTCCGTCGCTCGAGAGCCCTCTCGCCGCACAGATCACGGCAGATTACTTCAAGAACGGAATCATGGGACAAACTGCTGCACGGCGTGTGCTAAGCAAAATCACCGAGGTCTCCGATGTGCTATCATCTCCAGAAAGTGGCCTTCAGAAAGAGCGAATTCTCGATGAAAATAAATCAGACCACAGCGTCGCCAGCAGCGACCGTGAAGTCTACCGCAAGAGCATATGTGCGTTGGATATGTTAAACTCAACGGGAGGACTACCCTACAGCGAGACGGAAACAGACATTGAACGAATCATCCGTGGTGTACGTCCGAGGAGTCCACCAGAGCCCAGCCACTTCCACCACCACCAAGCATACGAAGCCAATGACAACGAAGGAGGACAACAGCAGCAAGACGATTATGACGAAGAACAAATGTACACAGGTGTGGCCCGCGTGCTCCACCTTCGACCTGGGACACGGGACCTCAGAGGGGCAAGCGCAAGGTCAAGTGAAATCGAACAAAGTGGTTATGAAAGTGATCCCGCACACGGAGGGCGATGCGCGAGATTCAGGGAGAGTATGGTGAGTAACGAATCGGGGTATCGCACGGAGGACTCGGAACCACAGACCGTGGCCCAGTTGTATCATCAGGGAAGGCGACATATTCGTAGTTGACGCGTTGTCAACTGGATTCAATGACAGAACACGCATGATTGGGAATAGGGAGAGGCGAAAGTGGAATGTGGCAGAGTGTGGACGCTATTCCCGCCATGATCTTGTCTGACTGAGAGAGGTGGAACGTTGTCATGAGTGCTGAAGACCGACAGTGATGGCGAACATGACACCAAAGAGGGCTGGATCGAATTTTGAGCCACTCAGTTTTTGAACAGTTTCTCAGATAGGCAGGCATTGAGAAGGCGGCTAGGGTGCTAGCTGTAGCTGTGAAGCAGAACTTGGACATAGCAAGGGGGCTCGTTTCGACTCGCTCGACTCGACTCGACTCGAATCAACTCAATAGAAACCCAGATTAAAAGGTTAACACTGGTTTTTATAAAAGCCGGTTCTAACATTCAATAGCTTCCAGAGCCGTTGATCTGGCATATAATATATATAATGTATATAGTAAACACACACACAAACCCCCCATTGCTGGGGTCTGAACAAAGCAGGAACCCGCTAGGCGAAGACGCATTCTACTGTACGCTTGACAAAAAGTAATACAAGACTTGCTTTCTAATGCACAGGGCCAGAAAGGGAGAACAAGACAGGACAAGACAGGACATACTGATAGTGCAGTTGTATACATAGAGAGTGAGTGTTATAGATCACAGACAGAAAACAAGCAGCACGGCGTGGTGTCCGTCGGAGCCATTAATGTACAATGTACCTCGTAGGGCAATATTTTGAAACATCGCTCAACGCAACATGGAGCAAGCAATGCGGTACATACAGAACGGTCGAGGCAAGAGCAGTCAGTCAGTCCCTCGAGACGATAATTACGCTCCTCCCTTGGTCTTTTCTTGGTGTCTTGATTCAATTCCAAGATATGAATTGTCTCTTTCATAGCACAACAAACGTGCCCCTTGACGAGGTAAGGGACGTGCGTCGGCTGCTTTGCCTTCGTTCTTGCCCTGTGCGGCTGCGTCAAAGTGCGAAGGGCTGTGTCTGCTCTCGTGTCGAGAACATCATCCTGTATATCCGTCTTCCACTGCTGTGTGTAGGTTCGTTCTTTCAACCTTTGTGGCTTCGGCAGTGTATACTGTCAAGCGCAGACGCGGCCGAGGGAAGAAGGGGAGAGATAAGGGAGAGATCAGGACGCACACTACCAGATGAAATCGTCCTCCCTTCAACTCGTACCATTCATCTCCGATGCGCACGGAGACCTGGGCCAAAATGTTTCAGGCCAATGGCAACAAGCGTTTGCTTGAACACAAGAGCTCCAATTTCAACCGCCACCTCTGTCGCGAAAGGTGATGGCTAGGTGTGAGATGGATGTTCCTTTGGTTCAACGCAGCCGCATCGTCCATAAACAAGGTGACTGAGATCGTGTCACCTCCGATAATCGTTCAGTATGACGAGGTTAACAATATCCCGAGCAGTTGCTGGGACGAAGAAGGTGGTGCTACGGAGTCGGCAGATGGCGGTAGACCGGGAGATATAATGCGTCCAGGAACCAATTTCTACCGACATGGTCTCCGAAGACATCCGTCCGGGCCAGGTAGATCAACCCCTCAAATGGTGCGAAGCGAAGCAATTGTTGAAGGTGACAGGGGAGGTTCGTCAGTGTCGGCGCGTCTCTTGCGTGATTTCCCATGATGTACCTCACATCCAGTCTGTCGTGAACGCTATCCTCGTGGTCTCCAGATCTCTTTCCGTCAAGGCTGCCACGGTCTATCGGACTTGGGTACCTCCAACGACTTCTTCCTGCTTAGACGGCGCCTCACCCGAGGCCTTCGGCGCCAACGTCTGTAATTCTATCCCATTCTCCTTGCGGGCGGCGGCACTGCGCCGCGCGGTGGAGTTTGCAATGGTGAGACTCTCAGATATGTTTCGGATCTGGGGCTGCATGACACGCGAGATATTGTGGTAGCCATTCTGGGGGAGTTGGATGAGGAGATTGTGGAGGCAGGACAGGATCATGGTCGTGAAGCGGCCCATGGCTGCGGATCCCGGGGGAAGTCGTGTGTGAGAGTCGCAGAGGTAGTTGTGGACTAACAGGGACGACAGGGTGGTATATCGAGGGTCTGATGCGAAGAGAGCGCTGTCGTAGACTGAAGACGCAGTCAACAAGGCGGGCGAAGTGCTGAGAGACAAGGAGGATGAGGATAACGCGAGTCACGCCACGACTAGCAAGCGCAGGTTGGGCTGAACACCTGTTTCCTGCACGGTGATGTAGTGACGGCGTCTCAGCGGAAGGGTGACTTCTCGGTAATGCGGAATGTGTTGATAGGCACCAACACGAAGTGTGATGGCGGTTGATAACGGCGACAGGGGTTGGGGGGGTTGGATTGTATGTATCTCGACGTCGACCGGCGAACACCACACAAATTGCGTATATAGGTATGAAGGACGCGACTTGAACCTTCTATCGTGGTAAAGAAACAATGCAATGTGCTTGGTTGGTCGAGGGGCAATATTTCCTCGAGACGAGGACAACAACAAGTGGAGATGTTTGACGGGTTGGCTGGTGGGAATGTGGAGGGCTAGTGAGGCTGGGGAAGAAGTAGTGTACAAGTTGTACTCGGTACCTCGTAATACTCCGTATATTAGCCTCAATCTCGCCCAAACCCCGCCATCATCCAATGCAGCCAGCTATATACCTTTTTTCCCCGTTGACCACTGTTGAGTTTTCCTGCTACTCCATATTTGTGAGTCCATCATGGCTGCTGAGATCCCAACCTGTAGGTGGGGAATAGTATGTATGTCACAGACACTTTGCCTGCCTCTTCTACAACCTCGTAGTCTACTGACGGCACCTGACAGCCACCGGCCTCATATCTTCTTGGTTCGTGGAAGATTTGGTTCTGGATCGACCGGATGCCAAAGCAAAGCATGTCATCCAATGCATCGGGTCCTCGTCGATGCAAAAGGGTAAAGACTTTGCTGCCAAACATTGCCCCAAGGCCACCCCGACCATCTACGCTTCATATGAGCAGGTCTACTCTGATCCGGATGTGGATTGCGTCTATATCGGAACTCCGCACTCCTTTCACAAAGGCAACTGTCTCGATGCCATTGCCGCAGGTAAAAACGTGCTGTGCGAGAAGTCGTTCACCATCAACGCCCGTGAGGCGCGAGAGGTGCTCGATGCCGCCAAAAAGAAAGGCGTCTATGTCCATGAGGCAATGTGGCTCCGGCATCGACCTCTCGTGGCAGAGTTAAGGAAGCTCCTCTTTGAAGATCAGGTTATTGGCGACGTCTTTCGCATGTCCTCCGACTTCAGCCTGCTGGTCCATATCCCCAGCTTGCCAGACACCTCACGGTACAAAGACCTGAAGCTGGGTGCTGGGACGCTGTTGGATACTGGCATCTACCCTCTAACATGGGCTTTCCTGGTACTTGACCCCAACACGCCCGACAACTCTGAGAGACCCACTATCCGTGCGACGCAAAGCCATCTGCATGGAGTTGAGGTCACTTCAAGCGTTCTCGTGCAGTATCCGTCCACGGCGAGACAGGGCATCGTCAGTTCCACCACCATGTCGGGAAGCCTGGGCGATGTGGTCTGCCGGATCCAAGGCACAGAAGGGTACATCGACGTGCATGGTGCAGCGCCATCACACCCTTTGTCCTTTACCGTCTACCGACGGAAAGATCACACCAAAAATGCCTTTGAAAGCCAGCAATACGACTACCCCCGCATCGGCCGTGGGTTTTTCTACGAGGCGGACAATACCGCCCTTGACATCGCTGCAGGCCGGAAGGAGAGTGCGATCATGCCTTGGAAAGAGACTATCCGCGTTATGGAGATCATGGACGAGGTCAGAAAGCAAGGAGGAACACAATACCCCCAGGATGAAGTGTTGGGAGGGACGACGAGCACCGGGTCGTCGTCCTTGTGATATGTATGAGCTTCCACCTCGCTGACGCTGACGTCATCTCCAGGGGCTACGCGCACCTAGACACGTGGTTCAACTTCAGCTTCAACTTCATCCCTGAAAACACACACCTCGGATCTGACTCTCCTTCAATATCCACGGGGGGTTTTTGTTAAATATCTATATCAAGAACATCTGCCCTCGTACACCTATTTTGACTCACTCTACCTCTCTACCACATTGCTCACAATGGCCTCTCTCTACCAAATTCTATCCAAGCTCCCCATCTTGCCCTCATTACTATTCTCCTCCCCTCTGGCAATAATCGATGGTAGCAACCAACACACTCTTCTACCCTCAAACTCAAAACCCCCTCTCTGCCCCAACCCGCCATCGCTATCATGTCCCTCCCCGCCGGCCCAAGACATCAATACGTGCTGCGTCAACCACCCGTCAGGACACTTCCTGCAAACCCAGTTCTGGGACACCGCGCCACCCATCGGGCCGAACGACTCCTGGACCATCCACGGTCTCTGGCCGGACCTCTGCACGGGTGGGTTCGACGCGTTCTGCGACTCTTCGCGTTCGCACTCGGACATCCGGACCGTTCTCCGCCACGCGCTCGAGGAGGACGACCAAGGAGAGCATTATTCAGCGATGCTGATGATCGACGAACTGCTCTCCTTCATGGAGACGTACTGGCTCTCCCTCGACGGCGACCACGAGCACCTGTGGGCGCACGAGTGGAACAAGCACGGGACGTGCATCTCGACCCTCGAGCCGGACTGCTATGCGGCTCCGCCAACAAGCCCCAATCGTCGGCACCGCCACCTCGACGTGCTGGACTACTTCATCCACACGACCTCGCTCTTCCGCACGCTCGACACCTACGCCGTGCTCGCGGCCGCCGGCATCCTTCCCTCGTCCACCCAGCGGTATACGCTGCGCGAGCTGGAGGAGACCATCCAGGCCTCCGCGCACGGCCACCCCGTGACCTTCCGCTGCAACCACCGCGGCGAGCTGGATGAGGTGTGGTATCATTTCGCAGTGATGGGCTCGCTGAGACATTCATCTTACGACGAGACTCCACCCCGAGACGCTGGAGTTGGAGTTTACCAATCGCCATTCTTGAACACGAGCACCGTGCGCAAGCATTTCGTGCCCGTGCCGCCCGACGGGGCCATCTCCAACTGCCCCAGACGAGGAATCAAGTACCTCCCCAAGACACCTGATGGCCGAGAGCCTCCGTCTCCTTCGAAGACGACCACCGGTGGCCATCCCACGTCTTCCCCAACGAGCACGAGCACAGCCGCCCCCTTCACAGGCAGAGGCCACCTGGAAATCCACATTCTCGACTCCCCCTCTTCCTCCATCTCCACGGCAGCGACGGCGCAAGATCCCATCCTCGCCCGACTCCCTCCTCCTGCTCCTCCCTCTGCGGACTCGAGTCTTATCCCTCCCTCCGGGTCCGTGAAGAAGGGTTGCCTGATCCGCCAGGGCCAGTGGTACGTCTCCGGCACCTGCGCGACCTTCCGCGCCCAGCACGACGTGGTCGACCCGGGCCAGCAGGCATTGTTCTCCCTCGAGTCGTCGTTCTCGCCGTGCCTGGTAAACCCTGTGACCGGTAAATTTGAATGTACAAACTCGGCCAAGGTGCAGGGCATCTTTTCTTATGCGGAGAATGGGGATGGGGTCAGTGTGCTCGCGTATCACAACCACAGCGTCTTTTACGCACACAACATTCCGAAGAGATTTGAAAAAGTCGATCTTTTCGCTGATGATGCTAATGGTGAGAGGCCGGTACAGGTGGAGATCCATTGGATACCAGCATAATTTTGGCGCTCGGCAGACGAGTTATCTAACAAGTTGTGCTACCTGCTACTATTTTTCATCTGAACGTCTCACTGCAGCAATGTGACATGCCTCGCCTATCTCATGACACTCCTTGCCAACACGGTCCTCACTTGCTCCCACTCCTGGGCGATGTCAAATCGTCGCTACTTCCAGGCCAGCCTATCCCACTGACACGACGGCCCATCCTCCTGACCTCTCGCATGCTGGCTCCAAACAGGGTCTTGACCCGTTCCCCGCTGATCTGTCTCTCGGACTTACGGCGTGATTTGACGACCTTCTCTTTCCCACCTCCAGGTAGCTCGACCAATTGCACTCGCGACGGCGAGGCTCTACTCACAGCAATTGGTGGTGGACGAACATGTCCACTTTCAAGCATGGCTGCACTCAGGGAACCTGTCACTGCTTCTGCGGCCTCCACTTTGGAGCAGGAAGAGCTGAATCGGGGTGGGATCGACCCTGAGATTGTCACAGCGTCAGAGGATGACGCTGGGTCTTTGCTCTGCCCGCGACTCTTGACCACGCCCATGAGTGGAATCTGTGAGTTCGAGCGTCGATGCGCCTCAGCTGCTCTGCGAAAGGCACGATCCTCTCGCTCTTTCATCGCCTTTGCTCGAGTTTCGGGGGAACAGTCGAAGTAGGATGTTCTCCGCCGGTGCGAGGCGGGCTGAGCAGTATTTGACTTTGGCCGAGAGTGGTTCGCAATAACATACTGCCGCTTTGGTATGAGGGGGGTGAGAGATGCCAGGTTGCCGGTCGTCTTGCTTTTGGCCATATTGCCGCCGCCGTAAAAGGTCTTGGACGGTTCGGTAAGCACGGCTTCAGCGTTTACGCTCGATATTCGACTCGTCGGCGTCGATGCATTCCCAGGAGAAGCTGTCGTATTCAACAAAAACGGCTTAAATCCGTTTGACGCAGATGTTTCCGACCTTCTTTCAACCTCCTTTCCTGCGAATGCGAGGCTCCCGACTCGACGCAGGCTCTGGCGTAATATCCCCAGTTTTCTGAGAAGGATATTCTCGAAGTCCTCAAAGCTCTCCAAGGCCTCTTCGGTCTTGCAATGCGTTCTCAGTTCATTGAGCACGCTGTTCATCCGCACTTTCTCAATGTTCTCGAAGAGGCGATCAATCTTCTTTCCCGTGGATTCCGAGGGCGATGGAGGTGGTCTGTTGAGCTCGTTCATATGAAAACGGTCACAAAGCGACATATATCGGCCTGTCCAGTATGACAAGTCCTCGGCAAAATACACCTGCTCGACGGTTAACAATGATGAATGTGGCGGAATGGTCGGTGGTCTCTCACATGGCTTGGATCATTGTCAGACTCCTGGCTTCGGTTGGAACTGGTTGTCATTGTGGTAGAAGTGGGAAGGTCACTGTCCCGCCAGTTGTTCGCCAAGGTGGAATTGATAAACAAGAGCCGCCCAGATGATGATGTCTTCTTCATGCCTTCGAGACGTTGTGTATTGGCAACGTCATTCAGTGACAATTTGAGGGTGGGTGTGTGCTCAGGCGTGCTCTTTGGTGATTGAACAGGAGAGGCATATTCTAGAGGATTTCGGTGTTGACAGGCATTTCTAAGTCGAGCGCGATTGATTGCCGCCTCTCTCTGAACCTGTATCATCAAATCCAACTCTGTTTCTGTCATCCTGCTTTCGATCAATGCATCGGCGACGTTGAGTTGACTTGCATTGCCGTGATGCTGTTTTGCAGGGGAAAGGGAGACCGAGTGTGGCTTTCTCGGAGAAGGCGTTTCATGCGACGGACCAAAGCATGAGATACTGCCCAAAGTCTGTGTTCGTGGCAAGGGGGGTCCAAGGGGCTGGAGAAGGCGTCGTCTGGTAATCGTGTCGCGGGACGAAGAGAGCAAGCTACCCATCGTCTTGGATTTTGGCAGTCCGGTAGTGCTGGATGCCTGCTTGAGATGCTGTCGGCATGCAGCGGCATCGTGGCTACTCAAGGAATGAGTGGACATGTTTCGAATATAGAGTTGCTGTTGGGTTCCAGACAGATCATGATGAGACCGTTGTTTGTATGGCAGTAAGGACTCTCTATTGGGCGTGCCCATCTGAGATTGGGGCATTCGGAAGGAGCTGGGTGGGAGACTGTCTTCGGGGTGCCATGATTTTCCGTGCATGCGAGGGATGTTCAGAGGACCTGTCCCGGCTGCCGAGTCCCTTCTGTGTCCTCGACCACGTGTGGGCGTTGCGTGACGAGAGGTACCAGACTTTGGCCGTGGAATGGCAGAGATTGAAGACTGACGGCTCCGGGCGCTGAGTGAAGCAGGGTGAGGACTTGGGGCCATCCTGTGCGGTAGGGGATGGAGAGGACAGACGAATGGACGTGGCACTGGTTTCAATGGAGATCGAAAGAAATGCAAGCTGGAATGATGGGGAAGCGGCTCGCAGGAAGCATGAGAGAGGAGAAGGAGAAGACTATCGTCAGAGTGCTTCGCCCATCTTGGAGGACATGCGATGTGATTAAGGCTCACGGTTACAGGGCAGGAGCGACGTGAAAGTGAACATGAGGGCAGGCATGCCTCGTCAGAGAACCTACCAGCAGACCAGAACCAGAACACTGCTTGGGGCAGCAGCATCACCGACGACTCTGGGACAGACAACCACAGCCCAGCCAACCATCATCTGCCTGCCAGACCTCTCCATTCACTACAAATATCCTCCTCCTTGCACAACCCAAACGAGGCTAGATCCATACAGTGAGAATCGGAAATGGGTTCCGTCCTCATTGGTCGAAATATCTTCAATATGACATCAACCAATGACATCACGACCAGTCGATGCAACTCAGGTACAAAACCACAAGGAGGTCGATGTTTGGACTGTTCTACTCTGATGTTATAATTCTGGACTTACCATCTGCGAGAAGACCGAAACCTCTTCAAGCAAAAATCACCCGGAAATACATCCCAACCATGTCTGAACAATACAAGGGTCAAGACCTCATGGATATTGCCAAACAGGCCGAGCGAGATCTTGCGTCCGCCAAAGCCCAGCACGGCGCCCAGGACAGCGGGTTTGGAGGCAAAACCGTGCCTGGAGGAAGTGTCAGCAGTATGTCTACCCTCGGAAAAACGAAACACAACACCTTCCTGTTTTCCTACTCTCATGGCCTGCCCAAAACGAACTGACCAAAATCTCTAATCATGATTTCTAGCAACCGAATCTGGCATTGATCAATCAGTAACCAACAAATTCCCCGGCAGCACCGCCGAGTACGGCAGCAAGGTGTCCGGTGCCGGGGACAACCGAGAAATCCCCGTCGAAGAGGGCGGGGGCGTCCAGAAAGGCACAGGGCAGCCGACCAAGGCGGGCGACTTTGAGAAGGGAGCCCCGGGCGAGGGACCAGAGGACGTGAGCAGGCACTACGCTGAACAGTACGGTGGCAATGATGACGTGAGGAGCAATGTCAAGAACGCCACGGCATGAGCAAGTTGGGAGTGCAGTGCGTGTTTGTATTGATGCCGGAATCGGAATGGAAAATATTGGCATACAAGTTCTGTATATGATCAAAGAAGTAGGTTTCTTGAAGCTCCTCACATTCGGGAATTCGACATCCTAGAAACGGATATTGCCATCTTTCTTTCTCGTTCAAACCAGACGTTGACACCCCAAACACCACGCTCACACATCCAGTAGCAAACCATTCCCGCCTGTGCCTTTTAGCTTCACAATGTTTGTACAGTGTGGAAGAAGGGATTCTTCATCAATCTCTCGTCACCCTTGACCATCTCTCTCATCAGCCGTAACTTTTCGTCTTTGCTCATGTCCTTTCCTTCAACCTGCTCCTTCCAATTCTGCAGCATAGCCTTCAACAGGCGGCTGGCTTCATCTGCATCTTCCTTAGAATATTCATTGTCCTTCTGTTCACCGCTGGCACTGGTGAAGTCTTCCAACTCCTCAGCCTTTCGTCTCGCCATACTGACCACCTTCTCCGGAAACCTTACCAACTCAGCAACGTGTATTCCGAAGCTTTGGTCACTGATGCCGGGCTCAACTCGGTACAACAAGGTGACTTCCCTTCGTTTATTCGAAGTTCTGGCATCTCCCTCGCCGTTGGTCATGGCAACATCCTGGTCTTGATCACCCACAAAGGCTACCACATGAAGGTTCTTTACCGCGTTGGGGAACTTGTCCGCTAGAGCAGTCAGTTCATGAAAATGGGTGGCGAAACATCCAAAGGCACCGATCTGTCCGACTATTTCTTCACTAATGGCCCACGCAAGACCGAAGCCGTCGTATGTGCTCGTGCCTCGACCCAGCTCATCAATGATGATCAGCGAGTCTCGCGTGGCACTTTTCAAGATATTCGCTGTTTCCAGCATTTCCGCCATAAAAGTCGACACGCCTTTAAGTTGAGAATCTGATGCTCCCACGCGAGCGAGCACGCAGTCAAAAATGGTCAACTCTGCTTCTGTGCAGGGCACGAAACAGCCAATTTGGGCCATCAAAGCAATGCAGCCGATTGTGCGAATGTACGTCGATTTCCCGCCCATGTTGGGACCGGTAATGATGAGGAACCTGGAGCTGTCTCGCCTCAATTCGACATCATTGGTGATGAAATTGATGTCGTCCTGAGCTTCCATGCAAGGGTGTCGCGCCTCTTTCAAGATGGTATCCCCAGTGCCTCGTTCGTGCATCTTCGGGCGGACGTACGCCGTCGGAGCATGGACCGTAGCATGTGCCAGACTGACGACTACATCCAGGTGAGCGATGATGGCAGCAAGCTGCTCAATAACTGGCGTGTATGATGAGGCTACTTGAACGACCTCCGACACTAGGGAAGACTGTTTCCGGTTGTAAGAGCTTGAGAGCTGATCGTACTCTCTCCTCAACTCCGCCAGTTCATTCGTTGTGAAGTACACGCCGTTCTTTTGCGTCGATATTTCCTTGTAAGAGCTCTTATTTCGTATGCAACCCGCTTCATTGCGCGTGAGCCGGAAACAATGCCCATGGACCTTGTGATTCTCCAAAAAGAGCTTCTTGTCAAGCTCTTGACTGAGGTCCTTGCCGACTCGACGGTGCTCGGCGCCCATGGCGCGTTGGACATCGTCAAGCTTGGCCCGAATTATCTTGAGTCCCTCATCAAACTCTGGTTTGATAATGAACTCATGGCGGTCCAGGGCGTCGAGATCCACAGTGGTCTCAACCATTTCAGCCAATTTTCCCAGAAAATTCGATAACTCTTTCAGCTTTGCTGTATACTGTGCTTCCAACGGGATTTGGTACTGCTCGTCGACAACAGTTTCCAGGGCGTCAATGAAGCCTGGAAGCCGTATAACAACCTGGTATGCACGTACCACGTCCTCCAAATTTGCATGCTTGCGCTGAAATTTCTTCGCCAGGCGGTATAGGTCAGGAATTGAACGAAGATGTTCTTCTTGCATAGTTTGGCGAAGCTCAGTATCTATGACAAAAGCTTCCACTAGTTGTTGTCTCCTCTCGATTTCCGAAAGATTCATAAGGGGCTGCTTGAGCCACTGTGCAAGAAGACGACCCCCGATCGGGGTTTTGCAGTGATTCAGCAGACCATACAAGCTCATACTTTTCGCGCCATCTCGAGGGCCAGGCATGAGGTTCAGAGCTCTCAGTGCAGCTGCGTCCAATTTCATGTAATGTCCGAGGTCGTGTTGGTATAGCCGGTATTGTCCAAAGTTGCTGGGGTCCGTCATGACACCCAGATACTTGATGAGTGCAGCTGCACTACCCATCGCGAGTTTGAGGTCTGTTTGGGGCAGAAGTCCCATGGCATTTTCGCCTTTCAGAAGCCTGGCCAGGTCTTGCTCAATATCCTTTGTTCCCCAGTCGGCAGCAGATCTCTCCGAGAGGGCAATTCCACACGAATCAGCAATCTGTTGTATCTTTGCTAATTCAGGATCCTTTTTCTGAAGGTTCCCTGCCACGACACACTCTTTGACGCCTAGTTGAATAAGAAGACTCTCAAAGTTGGAATAGAGATCGTTGTCCAAGAACTCGCTGACACCAAGTTCTCTGACGCTGGCATCTGCAAAGCAAACGCCAACACTTCTGGCCTCGCCTGCTCTTGCAATGACCTTGACAGCCAGGATTATGGGCGCAGAATCACCTTGGCTATCAATACCAGAACCTAGCTCTTCTTCAACGGCTTGCAAGTTGCCGGGACTAGCTTGCCGGGCGAGTTTCCATTGTCCTTTACCACTGGCTTCCCAGATTTCCACTCTCTTGCCTAGCTTGAACAGTGCTTCTCGGAGGAGGTTGCGGAAAACTGTGGTAGACATTGTGACACTGGGCAAGGCATTGTCGCTCCGACCGAGGTTTCTGATAACAGCGGTCGTCTTGTAGACGGTCCGCGCAATGAATTCTGCATCTTCTCCATGGGCTGAGTACCAATCGACCCGATCAAAGACACGGATAGTATTGCTGCCGCCAGGTCTCGGAGGAAGGGAACGAAACGAACGGATGAATGAGCCCTCGTCATCAACCTGAGAAATTGTTGTAAGTAGGAATGAATATGAAGCCGGGAAGAGATATCATACCTTGAGCTCAGGTCTCGAAGCCATTTTTGCTGGGCCTGATGAATGATGGCGTTGGAGTGTTGGCTGTTGGATTGTACCAAGCGCACCTCGAGACTTTTGGAAGTCCACTCCAACGCGGTTCACGCGTCGACACGAATACTTGGCACTTTAACACGCGAGGGTAGGTAGTGGGTAGTTCTCGGTAGGCAAGGTTTACAGTAGGCGTCGCTAGCCCAGACTCGAGCCTAGTGAGCCCATGCGTACCGACTGCCACCCGCCAACCCCAGTCCACGAACAACGGTGATCACGCTCCTCCTCGATCATGAGGATGTTTCAGGTTTCGAGACATGGCCAAGGACAAGCAGCCTGCTTCTTTCTCGTTCCGATTACTTCAACCACTTGACACTTCAAATCATTTTGTGAACGAGCTTCTTCATCATGCACGAAGTTCTCTGGCATTTGCTGAGCTCGGCTTATGGCTGTGTGCTCTCGTTCCTGCTGACTGTCTACCCTCTCCTGCTCCCTGTATACATGACCAGCCTCGTGCCTTCCTGCTGAGTATATGAGATCCTGCTCTGGTCGATCAGCAGGCATGAGGCTGCCGGTTTCTCCCTTGTCTTCTGCTTTGTCTCATTTTCTCACTCTGCCTACCTCAACCATTTCCCATCACAGGCACTCCCAGCCGCTTATTTGGTATTTAGCACATTATCCTTATCATTCTGCATTATCACGAGCTCAACTCCTCCCAAAGTCACTTGGACCAGCTTGCCTCAGAGCCTTCTCCATCATGCCTAGAACAAAGGACAAGTCAACCATGGACCTCACCGGTCAAAAGGTCAACGAATCCCCTCTTGAGGCCCAATCTCGCAAAGATGCCGATTTTGAAAGCATTGAGGCCAAATTACCGAAACGTTGGAGCAAGACCGAGATGAGCTTCATTGACAAAGGCACTAGTATGTCAATACCCCAGGATCAGATCCAGGGAGAGGAGCCACTAACGTGCAAACTAGGTCTCTTGGGTTCGAAGAACCCTTTCGGCAAGAAAGCGGACCCTAAGGACAACATAGTATGGCTCCTGGACAACATAGCATACCGCCCGATAAAGCCTGGAAAAGAGTCTATACAGCCTTGGCAAGCCGAATTTGTTGCCTGCTTCTTCCGTGAAGGCCGTAAGGACCTTACCAAATATGTCAGTTCCATCGCCGACCTGGTCGGATTGGATGGTAAGGCTGGCGTTGATGATGCGGCCAGAAAGAGAATCGAAGAACGCATCAAGCCCTTGATCATGGCCATTGCTCCAGCCCGCACAATTCAGATCAAGATTCCCTGCCCAGGTTCTACCGGAATCCCTCACAGACGTGTTCTTGGACCGTCAAATTCCAATGGGATCAGCAGCCAGACCTTGCTCACGGGCGGTGCAGATGATGCTGACGGAAAGACTGTAACCTGCACGAGCGACAGTGACACCTTCCCCAGCTTGAAATCCAATACACGCTTTGTCGGTCCTGAAGGCTGGGGTGTCATTTCCGATATTGATGACACGATAAAAGTGACTATGACTCCCAGTCCGACTGGTATTCTGCAGTCCACCTTTGCCGACGTTCCTAAAACTACACCAGGAATGCCGGATTTCTACAAGGTTCTCGACGAGTCCTTGAAATCTCCTGCTTGGTTCTATCTGTCGGCCTCTCCGTACAATCTGTACCCCTTCCTCCACGACTTCGTTGACGCCAACTATCCGCAAGGGACACTGATCCTCCGAGATGCCTCATGGATGTACTTGGGGGCATCTTGCAATCTCTCACTCAAGGGGTGAAAGACTACAAGACTGACCGCATCGAAAAGATTCAATCTTGGCTTCCGAACCGCAAGTTCGTCTGCATCGGTGACTCAACCCAGTCCGACCCGGAGGCGTACGCTGCCATGTACGCCAAATATCCTGACTGGATCAAGGCGATCTACATTCGGAAAGTTATCGAAGCCCCCCACATGGAAGCCAAGAACAAGAACCAAAGGTTCATCGACGCATTCAAAGATGTTCCGGACCAAGTGTGGAGGGTGTTCATGGACCCGAAAGAGTTGGCAGATCACATCAAACATGTGGCAGGCGTTGCGCATGCGGGGTTGGTTGGCAATATGCTTGGTCTTTAGTGCCAAACCGAGCATGAGAAACGTACTCCTTCCAGATCCCAGGCTCAGACTCCGGAGGCAAGAACGCCGCTTCGTTCGCCGAGCCCTGCGCCGAAAGTCTGAGCCTACGTGGGCAAAGATCCGGCAGCCTTGCCACATTGTACCCGGCATCGGTCTCCAACGCCACCTGAGAACAGACCTTGTCCTAAAGTCTCACCAATGCAACCTGGGGTAGTCGTGGTGGGATCTCTGGATCAAGGAATACTTCACCTGGGAACCAAAGCTGAACATGCCAAAAGGACTCCGGTGTTGCGACATTGTTGTATCGTTAGTCGTCGGAAGAGGATGTGATGATATTCTAGGAGGCTCCTGAAACCAAAGGCACCTAAAGAGCACCTACGTAACACTCAATAAACAAGAATCGCTGAACTGCATCACTTCGTCGCCTCTCACGGTCTCCTGTCATCTTCATATTTGATCGGTGGAAAACGCCATGTCCGAAGCCGATCCCACCACCCTGCGAGGCACGGCGAGGTGGAGCTGCGTGTTCGTCGAGCCCAGAAGAAATACTCCATGTAATTAATATTTTTTCTTGTTCATAATTCACAAATATCGGGAGTTCCCGTTCCGCGAGAGTTCCAAGGTTTCTAGAAAACTCATCTACACGAGCCCAAGGTTACATTGGTTGACACATGCAGGCCACGGACAGCATTTCTGAGATGCGAAAGAGGTCAAACCGCTGAGCAAGCAGGGAGCTCTAGAGCTTGTTCACCATCCACCACCATGGAGATAGGATGTGTCGGATGTCTGGAGGCAACTCACGACACAGTCACTCCACTCAAAGGCTCAAATAGCCCCTAGTTCGAGGCTGCGGAGTCCGCTGGCTTGGGCAAAGCTTAACGATGCTTGTGCTAGATTGGACTGACAACACCTTCAGATTGGATCCTGGTGACGCGACTCCTGTCGATGATCCCAGCAACTTCGGTTCGCCATTGACTCCAGCCATTGGCGTCACGGACCACAAGCTGGATGCCTTGATCGCACCACGCGACACGGGGTGGTATCGATCGCCACAGAAAAGTCCATGCTCGTGCGACCTGATGCCGACATGGGAGCCCTTCGCGTGGCAGCGTTTGCTGTAAGTATATACTGTACTGCTGTCCTCCATCCGAGCTGCCCTCTCTTTCCCTCTCTCCTTCTCTGACTTTGCACTGCAAAGAGCCACTCCTAGGTCTTCTTCAGATATCACCTCACCCAGTTGGTAAGACCCAACTATTGCGACTGACTCCTCACTTGTGTCAACATGTCTTTAGCAGATGTGAAGGACGGTGGGTTGCCGGCCAAGCCGGACAGGCCGGAAACTTATATCAGTCCCTCCCAGCGGAAGCTTTATGATTCTGCAGTGACCTTTGAGGAATACGTGCACTACGCCAATCGCACCAGGGAAGAGGAGAAAGCTCAGCAAAACATCCCCGATGGAGGGATCATGCAGCAGGTTTTCAGGAGGAAGAGCTCTGTGGCGGCAGCGGCAGGAGTGCCCGTTGACAACAGTGTCGATGCCGCGGAAAAGGAGAAGGCGGAAAAGGCTGTGACCCCTGGGGCAAATGGGCACGACAGTCAGGAAAATGAGCAGCCTCGCCGCCGAAGTATCTTTTCCAGACACAGCGTGGTCTCTGAGGAAGAATGGCGAAATGCCTCCCGGGCGTTGAGGACCGCCAGTTGGGGAGCCGGCTTCTACCTCATCACGACAGATATCCTGGGCCCCTACGGTGTCGGATTTGCCCTGGGGACCCTCGGCTGGGGTCCCGGCGTTGCTCTCTACACGGTCTTCGCCTTCATGGCCGGGTATTCTGGCTACCTTCTCTGGCAAGTCTATCTCGGCCTCGACTCGTACGAATATCCTCTCCGGAACTACGGTGATCTGCCTACCGCACCATGGGCACCACTGCTCGCTATGTTGTCAATATTCTGCAATCAATCCAGCTGCTGCTCATTTGCGGCCAAGTCATCATCCAGAACGGGCAGGGCATTTCGCAGACGTCCAAGTTCCGGCTCTGCTACGTCGTCTGCGTCGTCCTGTTTGTCATCGCGGGCTTCTTCATAGGCCAGGTTCGGACGCTGCGAAACTTCGGCGTCTTCTCCATGGTCGCCGTCGGCCTCAACCTGTTGGTCATCTTCATCTCCATGGGCGTCATGGCGCACTCGCCGCCCAACTATGCCATCAGTGTGCTCGGCTCCGCGGGCTCGGCCGTCAACGCCACGACCATCACACCGGACAAGAATGGCGTCTACCCAGCCATCATGCACTATGGCGGTCTCCCCGACTCGAGCAACTTCGTCGGTGCCATCAACGGCCTCATGAGCGGTGTCTTTGCGTACGGCGGGGCACAGCTTTTTGTCGAGATCATGGCCGAGATGCGTCGGCCTTGGGACTTCATTAAAGCCATGTGGTCGGCACAATTCTTCATCTATTCCGTCTACCTCATCTACGGCTGCTATGTCTACCACTACCAAGGCCAGTACAGTTTCACCATCGCCTACATGGGTCTTTCGCCCTACGGATTTCAGGCCGCCTGTGATATGCTGGTCGTGGTGTCGGGGTTGATTGCGGCGGGATTGTACGGGAATATTGGAATCAAGGTGCTTTACAATCAAGTGCTACAGGAGTTGTTCCATGCGCCGCCCTTGACGTCCAAGCCCGGGAAATATCTCTTTAGTGCGATTGTGCCAGTTTACTGGTCGGTGGCTTTTATCGTTGCAGCTGCTATCCCGGTGAGTGTCTTTTTTTCCCCCTTCCCGCGCAGCAAATGTTTGGAATGCCTTGGTCGAATATACCCGTCTGTTTCGCTCACTGACACATGGTTCAGGATTACTTTGGGTTTGTCTCCGTCATTGCAGCGTTCTGTATTGTACAGTTCAGCTACTCTTTCCCACCCATCATCCACCTTGCCTACACCATGCAGAGGAACTCGATGAGGCCCGGCGAAGGCTTCAACGAGCACACCGGCCAGACCACCCGCAGTGATCATGGTATCAAGAGGTTGATTAAAGGATTCTTCGCGGACAGATGGTACATCAACGTGTGGCACATTATTCATGCGGGTGGTGCGTTGGCGACGGCTGGACTGGGTGCGTACGCGGCCATTGAGGGCATGATCGATGCATTCAAGAACCCTCAGATCAACTCTTTTACCTGCAAGAGCCCGCTGGATTTGTCGGCTGCCTGAGGACGAGTAAAGGGAGGAGAGGATACGGACTTCAACAGGGCATTTTTGCGTGCAATGGCGTTGCTTGAGTTCTGAGATTCCCCGATGATGACCTGCCTGGTAGATGAGTGATGTCGAATTTACTGTGGTACCAACCTCAACAATTGTGGCATTTTCCCGCAAACAATCTTGACTTGTCTTCCGCTCTGAGTGGGCAAATGTCGCACGTCTCACGACGGTGATAGGAGGCAGAGGAATCGTAATTCGTGGCAAGACGAGTCTAGAGGATCATCGCAACCCAGGGTGTGCCTGGTCAGCAAGCTGCGGGGGGCCGGATAGTCGCAGATGAACTGAGGGAGGTCAACTTTCGCCGTGGCCAAGTCAAGCTCGTGCCCAGAGTTGAGCGTTGTGGAAATCGCAGTCAAGCCTCTGGGCTAGACGGCAAGCCGAAGCCCACGTTCTACAAGAGCTGCTAAGCTTTTTTCTCCTGGGCACCGAACTGGTCTTTTTAGTTGGTGTCGTTAGGCCACTAGGGCGAACTGCCAAAGCCCCTCCCCCTCAAAAACGTGTCCTCGAGCTCACTGCTCGAGTTTCTGCCTTGCCCGTGAGGACTGTGAGCGGACTACGCGTGTCTCGGGCGTCGGAACGGAGTAGTAGGACGAGTAGCAGAGGGGGAGGAGGGACTGCGGTTCCGTGTCAGTGTACGAGGAATCGTTGTTATTGGCAGACACAATGACATAGAGGAGTACGTAGGCGTGGCAGCCGTGGCATCAATCATAGTAACAATAATAAACAGTTGAGGCAGTGCTGGAAACGCAATCTCGCGAGGTCAACGCTTTGGTATTGGTGGATCCCCAGGCCAGCGCTGAAGGATGGACGACGGCTACTAGACCTAGTGAGCCCTCCAAACGGGGTGGAGGTCAAGTCAAGTTTTGAGACACGGTCCGCGGCTCAAACTGGGAATCGTTTGACGCATGATCCAAAACATTTGCGTAGCTTTTTAGGGGGTCAGGGATCGACCGACTGGGCGTCTTTCTTTGTCGTCCTTTCGCTCTCACTCTTGTCTTATCCAATATCCAACACACTCGACGCCGCAACAGGACAATCGTCATTCTTTTTTCTTTATTATTCCTGCCGCTACCAGAATTGGCCAGGGAAAGCTTGTGCAGGCACAGCGTCGAACCGTCACCTCCATCTCCGGGCCATCTCTCTTGCGCCAATTTCCATCGCTCGCTCGACGTCGCAGTAGCCATTTTCCACACCCCGTAACGACTTCTTGGTAGCCCTCGAATCGTCATCGACACTTCCATTGTCTGCCCTTCGCTCTCCGTTATCTTCTGTCACCCGTTCGCCATGAGGCTCCTGCCTCTGGCCCTTGTGCCTGGTGCACTGGCCATTTCACTCGACATCAATGATCCCAACAGTGTGTCGTCGGCTGCCGCAACCGTGGCTTATGACATGATGACCTTCTACACTGGCAACCAGACCGGCCAAGTCCCTGGATTGCTACCGGGTGGCTTGAGTTGCGATCCCAATAACCCGCAGATCTACTGTTGGTGGGAGTCCGGCGCAATGTTCGGCACCCTCATCAATTACTGGCAGTACACGAATGACTCGTCATACAATCCCACCGTGTCACAGGCGCTCCAGTTCCAGCGCGGACCCGACAACAACTTCAACCCGCCTAACCAGTCGAAGAGTATGGGTGTCGACGACCAGGCTTTCTGGGCCTTCTCTGCCATGGATGCCGTCGAGGCCAACTTCCCAGAATCCGATGAAGAAGACGCTCCTTCGTGGTTAGCGCTCGCCCAGGCCGTCTTCAACTTTCAGAAGAGTTTGTGGGATACTACCACTTGCGGTGGTGGGTTCCACTGGCAGGTGTTTTCGTTCAACGCCGGCTACAATCTGAAGAACGCCGTGTCCAATGGTGGAAACTTCCAACTGGCTGCCCGACTTGCCTATGTGACGGGCAACCAAAGTTATGCCGACTGGGCGAATACGGTCTACGACTGGATGGAAAACAGTGCCTTGATGCAAACAGACCCGTCAAGCGGCATTCTCTATATCTGGGATAACACCGACTCTGACAACAACTGCACAGACCAGACGCGATACGTGTGGACGTACAACTACGGTACCCTCTTGGTGGGTTCCGCGTACATGTACAACTTCACCAATGGCAGCTCAGTCTGGCTCGATCGGGTCAATGCGATCTTGAATAGCACATTCGAACTGTTCTTCCCGGCGCAATATGGAGGCAACATCATGTCGGAGATCCAGTGTGAATCGACCCTGGTATGCGACCAGGATCAAAAGAGCTTCAAGTCGTATTTGGCAAGATGGATGGCCGTGACCAGTCTGCTCGTGCCCTCTACAGCACCTCAGATTCTTCCAAAACTCCAGGCCAGTGCACAGGCAGCCGCGGGACAGTGCGATGGCGGCTCTACCGGTCGTGAATGTGGCATGCAGTGGTACACAACCACTTGGGACGGTACGACCGGCGTTGGACAGCAGGTATGGATTGTTCGATCGTGACCCCATGATGAATTCAGTTGCTAATATCCCTTTCCAGATGGCTGCATTGTCTGTGATTGGTACGTCATTGAACCGGCAGGAATTGACTCCCAAGTCCACCAGGACCGGCGCCACCTCGAAGAGTGACCCGAACGCTGGGTCTACGGCGCCAACCAACCCTGCTGAGTTACAAGACAAGATCACTACGGGCGACAAGGCTGGTGCAGGTATCCTGACCCTCGTCATGGCCGCTCTGGTCGTAGGTGCTGCGGTTTGGTTAGTTACGTGATGGAAAGGGATTTTCTTGGGTACGGTGCCAAAACCGAGACGACCGCCTCGTGAAATATCCGTGCGATTCACGATCTACGCCTCTCCATGTTGTAGAGTTTGGACACAAATTTCACGTCCTGGGCTGCTTCCGGTGTGTTTGTATATTACTGGGAAGGGCAGGCACATAAAAGATGCGTCCGATACCATAGCAAAGTCGATTCCAATGTCCATGAATTTCAGAGCTTTCTCAAACGCGACTTTTCAGATTCGGGCGTACGCAGATTCCCGCCGCTTTGAGTGATACCCCCCGGCCTTAAGGCAGCAAGTCTTCGTTTCGAATCGGGACGACTGCGGAGCGCACTGCGCGAGGAAATTCCCAAATTCTTCACCACCACCAAACACTACATATTTCGCCAACGACGTTCTATCACTACACCGAGATTTTTTTGGTTGGAAACGCAATCTAGGCTCATACGCACATCTCTGAACTGCGCGACGCTGAACAAGATGGGCTACGCCTTCGACAAATGTAAAGAAAGGCCGGCTCTGATTGACGAGATCCTCAACGGCTTGAACCGCTACAACCCTGAGACGACGACCACGTTTCAGGAATACGTCAATCAGCAATGCGAGGAGAAGTTTTTTGATGCATATGCATGCCTGGCATTGCTCAAACTGTAAGAACCCCGTCAGACCGCAGGCCACACCTTCACCGGGTTCATCTGTTTCCACAATGATGAAGAGAATTTTCATACCACGTTTCCTATTACCTGACTTGTCCCTCGGGAACTATGGAGAGTTGAATTATTAGCTCTATCTGATGTCGTCCTTCCTACCTTCAAAGCTTCTTGTCGGCTCGAACTTGTTGCTGTTGCGGGTGACAGGCTAACCGGCGGCATTACAGATACCAATTTAATCCTCAACTCCTCCACCCTGAGACCGTGACAAACATCCTTGTCAAGGCGCTGACAGTGTTTCCTTCGCCCTCATTTTCCCTCTGCCTTGCTCTTCTCCCTCCCTCGACAATTCCCTACAGCCCGGGTAACACCTCGATCCCCACCACCGACCTCACCGAGTCAATACAAAAGCTCACCCGGCTGAACACGCTGCTGGAGTCGGCGCAGTATGAGGCTTTCTGGTCTACATTGGAGTCAGACGATCTTTACTCAGACCTCTACGCCGATGTCGTCGGATTCGAAGACCTGGTGCGGATACGAATTGCTGGAGAGGTGGGAAAGACCTTCCGACAAATCGACCTGGGAGTCCTGAGCGGGTGGCTGGATTTGAGAGGAGATGCGTTGACAAAGTTCGCCCAGACTGCCTGTGGATGGAGAGTTGCGGGACAGAAGGTGGACATTCCGGCGAACGCAGAAAACGAAGCCAAGAGCGAAACCAAGGGTGAAAGAGTTGGAGTTGATATGTTTGGCCGAGTGTTCAGGAGAGGTTATGAGGCGCCCGCCTGAAAATGGAAGCGAAGATTGTGACGACGTCCGAATTAGGACAATCACTGCACACCAGGGCCTTTTGGGCTCTTGGTCCTTCAGAGTGCAGTCAGACATCGTGGCTTGAACACACGGTCTATTAGAAGCGACGAGATTCTGGAAGCCTCCTGTCCCAGGCCGGTTCCCTCGTCGATCGACGGTATGTTCGTCTGTTTATTGACGAATATTCTCCTCCTGAGCTTAGTGAGGGCGGGTCAATGGGCTTCTCACCTGTGGATGACATTCCTCCAGCCTGGAGATAAAAAAAGAGAATCATGATTAACGGTTGCACGGTGCGGAGTATGTATGTACTCGATAGTATGAGCTAGGTTGGGGTTGCTACAAGGGCCACTGACTAGAGCTTCCTCCCAAACCATGGCGGCAATGCGAAATGACCCTGGTGTCTAATTCGAGAACTTTTCGAACCCCGGGTGCCATCGCTCGCGTGCCAAAGTCACCCCAAGCTTTAATCATCGCCCCGGATGAGGGGCTAGGGGATTCGTTAGTAGGCAGCCGTTTAACCCTTTTAACCAAATTCTTGGGGCCAGTTGGGCGGCCAGGCGGAAGCAGCACCCAGTCGCGGAGCGTCCGCCAGTCTAGCCACCCTAGCCTGAAGCAGCGATGACATCGTTCGCCCCCTTCACGGTCCTGAGTGATTCAACTTGCTGTCACTCTTCTTCAACAGCAGGTGATCATCGTCCACCAGTTCCAGCATCCCACTTCTCCTGTTCCTTTGTCAAGAAATATCACCCATCTCAAACGGACACTCTTACAGCAGCTCGACGGGCAGATAGCCCCAATGCCAGCATTTTAACCGCCCGCAACTCCGGCTGTTCGCAAGTCTTACCCACGGCCACCATGATCGCACAAACACCCACCGCCCTGCTCCTACTACACCTCCCCGATGAGGTCTTGATCACCATCTTCAGCTTCCTCGATTTTCGAACTCTGTGCAATGCTACGCTCGTCTCCAAGCACTTCGACGACCTGGCAGAGCCCTTTCTGTATCACACAATCGAGGTGGTCAGCGGTCGTCAAGCCGCCGCCCTGTCAGCCAGTCTACATGCTAATCCCCGCCGGACCGCATGGATTCGCTCTCTGCTTGTCTCCACTAAGTTTGGGGATGATAATGGCTTGAGCACACTACCACCTTACATCTTCATGATGCGAAACCTCCAAGATCTTTGCTTAGAGACACCTGATTGCAATGCGAAATTTCCCGAGGAGAGAGTAGGCTGGGTCAATCTCCAGGATCGGTATGAGCGCATCTTCGAGGCTGCTTCTGCAGTTATCCCCAACAGTGATGAGCGAGCGTTGCCGCATCTGAGGAATTGTAAGTATTCAGGAACAAACCACCTGTAGCCTCAACTAATCAGTATGTTAGGCACGTTACACTTCGTTGATGGTCAGAAGGAGATCTATTCTATGACCAAATACGCAATGCTGTTCTTACACCCGAATCTGCGGTCGTTGACAATGTCATGTGCCAGCACCGATTTCCCCGACCGACTGCTGCGACAATTCCAGGACGATCAGGCACTCATCGGTTCGACTAACCTCGAGCATCTACATCTCGAAGAATGCGATATCTTCTCGCTTTCTCTGGAAATCTTGTTGAGTTTCCCTCGAGCGTTGAAGTCCCTGAAGATCAGTGAAGGCATCCGCTACGACGGCATGTTCACGAGGAACAGTCGCATGCACGGTAACGTGTCTCCCGGGACCTTTGTGGATGCCATAGCCCGGCACTGTACCCACTCGCTCGAGCACTTGTCTTTAAGCCTGGGATACTCGAGACCGTCTCATCAGTCCTTCAACCATCCCGGCCAACATCTCAATCTGTCAGCCTTTCGTGCTATCAAGCAACTTGACCTTGACGTGCGAACAGTCAACTTGATCAGAGTCCGAGCAGTGTGTGATCACGCTACATGGCGCAGACTCCCTCCAAATCTCGAGACTCTCAAAGTGTTTGGTATTCCGTTGGGTGACCGACCACCGTTTCACGCTAGGCGACGTGTTTGGTTTCCGTTTGAAACATGTATCGCGACCGACAAAGCGAAACATGGCGTGCCACTTCTCAGTAACTTGGTACACTCGTACGAATATTACAGAGAAGATGACGAGCCGAGATTGGCCATTTCCGAGGATGGAGAAACGGTGGAACAAATCAGCCAGGTCGTGCTCGCACAGCGTCTGATGGTCGAAAAGTGCCGAGAACTGCAACCTGTCTTCAAAAAGGCCGGTGTGAGGCTTGTGATTGAGATGGTGGCCTTACCTAACGGATTCATCCCGCCATATCTATTCACAGAAGAGAAGCCAAAATATTTCACGCTGTGGGAATCAGCTCCGAGATGAATATCGTTTGTTCGATCGCAGCCGAGATGAATTCATTCGATGCAGGGTCCATTGCGTCGACAGAGCCCGAGCTGGAGATTATTTTGCTGTTGGTCGAACATCAGAGCTGAGGTAACAAAACCCGAAGACAACTCTGAGGGGAAGTCAAAGCCCGATTCGAGACGCGACATGGGCGTCTGATTAGGAAAACAGGCCGCCTATGCACTCTGACGTCGCAGACAAGCCTCGCTGACAAAGGACATCCGATATACGGGCGTGGGCCGGTTCGTGCGAGATCTGCCTACCATTCGTCCGACTGAGCCACCACAGTTGTGTAATGAGATCAGTAACTGGCCCGTGCCTTCGTCTTGAGCCCGACCATGACATGTACCTGTTGAAGCAGCGAGGGTTCCAAGACTCGCAATCCGCCTGGTCCGAGGAATCCGACGTGCCAAGGGCGTATCGGAGTGGACAGTTTGTACAATGGCCGTAAGTTGACTCATCCGCGCCAGAGAAATTCTCGTAATTACTTGTTAGTGGCTAAAGCGGGAGCTAACTACTACTCGATTCAGCGACAGCAGCCTCGTCTGGTCCCCGGTCACTATTACTATTCCTCCTTACGGCAGTAGTGGTCGAATTATCCATTCAACGATTTCCAATACCATATGGAGGCTGCTGTTTTTCCAAGGAACTCTGTTGCTGACAATTTGGTGTCGTAAGGTGGATATGCTTCAACCCCTGGCTCAACAGTTGGTCCAGCCGAAAACAACAATTCTATTGACTGAAGAGTTTCTCGATACCCATCCGTGCTATGGGTGGCCCAAGCAAGCCCTTGCCTACGCCATATAAAATCGGCCGAAAATTGTTCCCTGCATGATTAGTCGCTGACTATGCTGCACTGGTCCGAAACGTCGTATGGAGGTACGTGTGTTTACCGTCCTAATAAGAAGGGCGGTTGCTGCTCGCCATTTTCGAATTGATCATTTCCATCCATGAGTCGACTCAGTCTCTTGTCATAACAGATACTAAGCACACGGAACCATCAAGATGGGAAAGGCAGTTCTGGACGCAATCCAAGACGCACCTTTGGGGCAGGTATTGCACTGGGTCTCCAAAGGCAAACTCTTTGCCTTTCCTGAGCAACATCCCGGCTTTACTATCCCCTGGGAGCGGGCCACTGCGAGTGAGAAGGAGAAAGAGATCGAGACTACTCCAAACGTTGATGTCAGCCGCGAAACCAGCAACGCTACCACTCCACACGCTGTTTCTCGTGAACCGTCATACGCCAACCGCGAGGACATCGAGGCACGACACCTAAGCACCATTCCTACAGCCCACTCCGCTGCTCGAGCGGATTTCACAGTTGTCACCACGCGGACAAGAACCAGAGAACAGACCCTGCCCTATTCTCAGGAACGATTCGAGGTCGAACAAGAAGAGGCCGTCGAGCGCCAACAAAGCAGCATTATCGCCCCGCAGACGACCGCCGATGGCATCACTCTTGTGGATTGGTACACCACCGACGATCCAGCGAACCCTCAAAACTGGGGAAGCTGGAAGAAAGTCTGGGTCTCCTTTATCATCTTCATGTATACCTTCGTGGTGTACTCTGCAAGTGCGATCTACACCTCAGCGGAACCCCAGGTGATGGCGAAATTTGGCGTGGGGCAGAGTAAAGCAAGTTTGGGATTGAGCATGTACGTGCTGGGGTATGGCTTTGGACCGATGTAAGTCTTGACCATTCATCCCCCCTTCCGCCTCGGAACGTTCACGTTGCTGACATGCTTGCAACTAGGATCTTCTCTCCACTTTCTGAGATCCCGGCCATTGGCCGAAACATTCCTTATATCGTCTCTTTCGGGCTCTTCGTCATCCTCTGCGTGCCCACTGCATTGGCAAACAGCTACGCGTCCCTTCTTGTCTTGCGATTCCTCACCGGTTTCATGGGCAGCCCCTGTCTCGCTACCGGTGGCGCGACCATGGGCGACATGTATGGCCTCTTGAAGCTTCCCTATGCTCTGACGGCATGGGTCGCTGCGGCATTCTGTGCACCTGCGCTCGGGCCTGTTCTGTCAGGTTTCTCGGTTGTGGCCGAAGGCTGGCGCTGGGCACTCTGGGAAGTTCTCTGGATGTCGTCTCCAATTTTCGTGCTCATGTTGCTGTCTATGCCGGAAACCTCGGCCAGCAACATCCTTTTGCGTCGGGCTCAGCGTCTCCGCAAACTGACGGGCAACCCGAACTTGAAGAGCCAAGGCGAGATCGACCAAGGCAGCATGTCGTTCTCCAAAGTTGCGATAGAGCAGATGTGGAAGCCTGTCGAGATTTTCTTGAAGGACCCTGCAGTCTTCTTCACGAATGTCTATACGAGTTTGATCTATGGTGAGTTGCTTCGAAAGAAGGCCCCCTTCCACCGAGTACCTCTGCGATAAACATCGTGCTGACCGGCATCGTTACTTGGGAACAGGAATCTACTACTCTTTCTTCGAAGCTTTCCCCCTCGTCTATGTCGGCATGTACGGCTTTAACATTGGCGAGCTGGGAGTTGTCTTTATCTGCATCGTCGTGGGGTGCGTCTTCGGCATTCTCATCTACGTCGCCTATGTCTACTATTATCTTGAACCCGACATCAAGAAGAACGGCCTTCGCGCCCAAGAACACCGTCTCGTCCCGGCGCTGTTTGCGACCACCCTCCTGCCCGCAGGAATGTTCTGGTTCGGCTGGACGTCCACGCCTCACATCCACTGGATCGTCTCCATCATCGGCATCACATTCTACGCCTGCGGTGCCTTCATCCTTTTCCAGTGCATATTCATGTACCTACCGCTCACCTATCCACAATATGCCGCGTCCCTATTTGCGGCCAATGATCTGTGCAGATCCGCACTGGCCGCTGGGAGCATCATCTACGCGCACCCGCTCTACGTCAATCTCGGCATCGGTCGCGGAATCAGCGTGCTCGGCGGGTTGCTCTGCGGCGGTGTCATCGGCATCTGGGCTCTGTGGTACTGGGGCGGATCCCTACGCGCAAAGTCCAAGTTCGCCATGAGCTAGAGAGAGAGAAAAGCGCTTATCGCGATTGACCTCGAGGCTGGAGGGAACGACTTCATGGGCCAACTGTTTCCGTGTTTTGGTCCGCGTCGTTTCCCTGGACATGGCGGCGAGGTTGGGAGGCTGGAATGACCAGTGGGGGATTCCGGAAAAAATTGCTCCCTGTTCTCTTCTCTTCTCTTCTCCCTCTTTCCTCACCATGGAGATTTAAAACCACGAGGCATTCCACTGGGAGAGTCTCGATGCGAATCAGGGTCTCTTTTTCACAAAGTTACATAATTAAGACAGCAAAGCCAGGCTGTTCTCATGATCTGAGCAACTGTAATGAGGGGGATAAATAGATTGGCGCTTTCAAGGGCTCGCTCGAATGAGACTGATTTTGATCATACTATATATATATTCATTTCAAGGATTCAGTCCCCCCTTTTCGGCGTATATACATTTTGTACTCAAGACACATCCATCGATCAATGGTAACTGTGCAAAGCCATTGCAAGCGAGACCAATTATAGTCGCGAACGAAGGCTCACCACAGACCGTCGGGCTCTCATCAAACATACCTTAGCCATTGACCATCATCAAGCGACCACGTCGACTCCCCCGGGATCTCGGCACGCTATCTAACAGCCGCCTCATCCCTTTGCGGTCTGCGCATTTTTCTATTAGCCATAGCCTTCCGTCGCGCTGTCAGTTCCGCTGTCCGCCTGACTCTTTCCACCCACTTGACTTCGCGAGCAAGGAAAAGCCCGACCTCGTCATCTGACGGCCAGCGCAGCTCTCGACAATGCTCCCGTGCCTGCTGGATAATGCGAGCATCTCCTTCCAAGGGACTTTCGAACCTGACACCGTCTCCTTCTGTATCGGAAGAATTGGGAGACCGCGACCGGCCACTGTCAAGGAACAGTCTGATTGCACATAATATATCATCCAGCGGCGACGAAGCGAAGGCTCTTTCCTGCGCAGTCTCGTGCACTTTGTTCTGAGACTCGGGTTCGGACTGAAGGTTCTTCGGCCCAAACTTTATGGTATGCTCGTTGACCCATTTCAGAAGCGCAAGCATCCCATGAGTGTCATGTGTAGAGACCAAGACATCAATCATGAGTTTGAGATCCTCCAAATCGGGCACGACAAGCAGTGAGCGTTCAGATCCGGGGAGAAAGGCCTTGGCCATACGACCATAGATCGCCCGAACGAAAGTGGTCTTCGCAAGTGAGCCAAGATTTTCTGATGGGATCCGCATGTTCACATCTCTTAGCATTGTGTGAAGGATCGTTGTCAAATGTCGGAAGGTATGGAGGTCAGGATGTATGTCAAGGTGCATCTCCTCAGGTGAAAGAATCCTTCTCAATCGTCGCCACACTGCTGCCCTAGATGCAGCACCTTTGTAGCTGGTTGGTGATTTTCTAACACTCACCGACGCCCCTTCTATGAAGGCGTTCCAAACGCGAATGTCTGTGACGCCTGCCGCGAACAGCAATTGCGACGCATATGTCAAAGCAGGCACGTCTTGATGATTTCTCTTGACCAACTGGTCTGTAGTAAAGTCCATCCGTCCGATGTCCCGAAATGTCAGTGGATCCTCGGGTCCGCTCTTACATATGAGCGAGATGAAGGCAGCCAAGGTAGGCTTGGGGATTTTGTTCAAACTCTCCCGGATGACAGAGCTTGGGTATTTCTCAGCGTGGCGAAGGACGTCTTTCGTAACTTCGTCCCATCGACTGGCTTGAATGTAACCAAATCCAGTCTCGACTTGGACAGTGTAATTCAGCAGACTGGCAAGAAGATGACCACCTGGCTTGACCCCGGCACGCAGCATGTGCTCATAGAATTCGTCCACCGAAGGAACCTCCGTCTCAACGTAAATGACTTCGCGGGGATTTGCCGAGACTTCGAAAGGCTCTTTTACGTCGCCTGCGAGGTACTTCCAGGCCAGCGTAGATCCTGGCTCGACAGTTGAGCTGAGGAGCTTATCCAACATGGCGAAATAGGGTTGATAATGTGCTTGGGAGGCAGGTTTGGATTTCTCGTAGGAGCAAAAGGACGCCCATGCCTCTCGCTTGGTTCTTGTAGCTCGGATGCGTGCAGCCCACAGTTCTGGCGGATCGCAGGATTCGTTTTCTTCTTGGCTCCGTGACAGAAGCCACGGGCGTCGCTGGCGCATCAATATGGCGCGAGTTTGTATAGTAGGGCTTCTATCAGTATCCCACCCTGCCAAGACAGCAGCACTCCTTTCCCAATCACCGTGAGAATATCCTGCTGCCTTCATTCGCTGTAATAGCTTGATGACACGGCTCTCCTTCCCAGGATACTCGAGATCCTGTTCAATTCCTGACTTGATGTGACGCCACGGAGGCCAAGACAGAGACTTGGCCTCCGCCCATGCGCGTTCAGGCCCAGTCTTGGGATGGAGTAGTTGGACTGCAATCAACGCACGGTAGCCCTCGCGCGTCAGTAATAGTTGTGGGTTATACGCGAACATTGTGCGGACGAGTACTAGCTGCGCATTTTGTTGTGAAAGATACGCACTGTAAGGTGCTTTTTGTGGGGCCAAAGATATCAGTGACAGGAAGCGGTTGTAAATATGGGAGAGGCGCAGTAACTCCGGACCTTCGAGTGAGCGGGGGTGGACACTGTAGTAATCCGAGAAGAGATGCTTGATAATGACACTGATGTCCTCAAAGCACTCGGGCGCCGCCGAACGAGCATGTCGCAGCAGCCGAACGACTAAGCACACTCGCGTAACCCAAGACCAGCCGAAATACTCTTTAGCCTCCGAACAGACTTGTAAGTCGGCCAGAATGCTTTTTATGAATCCCTTCAGAGCGAAAGGACTGAGGTTCTCCGCGCGAAGGAGTTGTAAAAACACAAACTTCGGTATCCGGCCTCGTCCAGATTCGCGTACTTCTCGAGCCAGTGCGATGTACCTTGCAAAGGCGAGGTCGACATTGTCAGAGGAAAAAACCCACGCCCAACTTGCGATGTCAGCAATGTCGTAGCCAAGTTCCTCCAGACTTCTCAGAGAGTCCGGAGGAAAAGTGGTTCTGAGAGCAGACAAAAGCCTCTCATCGTCCTGAGCACCATGTAGGAGGGGTACAACATTCTGGAGGTAATCGAGAAGAAGTTTGCGCAAAGATGTTGAACTTCTGAAAGTCGTAGTAGATTGTTCGTCCGCCTTCTGATTGTTCATCTGCCAGTGGAGAGCATTCGTATACGACAGATCAACTCTGTTTCGTCTAGGATGAGAGGGAAGGAACAAAGAGAGAACTTGGTCTAATCTTTTGCGGAACGTTGACCGGTGTAGGGGACAATTCGTTGGACCTTTGGGCTTGTAACCGAGATCCAGCTCTATCTCTTTCGTATTATAGCCCGTCCTTTCTTGAAGATCTCGGCTGCCGCCAAGATTGTTCTCGCTGCCATCTTGTCTGATGTACTCGGAGAACTCGGAGAACTCTGTGGGAAATAGCGCTTGCTGGTCGGCTAGAAACTCTGGTGCAGCAGGGGCTAGGGGTGCAACCCTTGTGACTTTAGCGCGACTCCCATAACGTTGGGTTTGGTGTTGATATCGAGCAGCTCTGGCGTGAAATTGTATGTGCAGAATAGAAGATAGAAGAGGTCTTCCGAACAGAAGGTGGACACGACGGACGCTGAGCATCCATTGATGCTTCAGAGGAGAAGCTATTAGGAACGTCAGAAAGAGAATAGAGGAGTGTAAAAGAGATGGACTAAGAAGTCAATACAAGCATCCTTCTTGTCAAGTGGAGCAGATCAGTTGTGGACGGTGAGCTCTAAAGTGAAATGAAGGCGAAGATACAGATACATAATTAATGGACTCCAGCGCAGTCGCGGCGCGCCAAGCCAAAAGCAGACTGCGGGTGTCAAGCCGATCGCAGTCAAACTACGTCGACTTCAGATTCGGCGCATCCTCAGTGAAAAAAAGCAGCCAGGGGCATTCATCTTGCGATCCACCACCCAGCTGCTCTTGGTGGCTTACTCCATTACACCCTGCCGCATTCGGTGCGCCGCTCTCTTGTTGCATTCCTGGATTCAGTCATTTTGCAAGTCCATAACGCGCGTGGACAACCCCCTCATCGCTCCCTTTTCTTCTCTCAGGTCGACATTACACGCTCCACCCTTTCACACAAAAGGCGCGTGGCTCGTGCGCACACTAAGGATCTGAATCATGTTAAGAGACTGATATCGCGACATACGTTGAGATCTGCATGTGGTCGAGTTATTCCCCTCTGCTCCCTGTCCGTCAACATCATCGCCGACCGGCACCTCGAATCCATCACGACCTGTCAGCACAATGGCCGAAGTCAACGGCATATCCAAACATGAAGACACTGTTTCTGTGTCTGCATCACACTTGGGCAAGAGAAAGCGCACGGTATCGCCAGAGATCGCTTCAAAAGACTCTGCTCTACAATCGGCTCTGCAAGAAGCACTGCGAGTTCTCCGCAAGTACGTTTGCCCACTTCCACGCCCGCGACAGACTACTGATGCATAATACAGATATGACACTACTCCATCGCTTCTCAAGTACCCTCTGCCTTCGTCCGAGTCCGAGGCGCCTGAAGTCAAACGCGCCCGCCTTGTAAAGTCAGAATCCGCCAACGATACTATCGAGGATCGTATTCTGACAGGGACATACAACTCTTTCCATGATTTGAAAGACGATGTGCGAAGTGCCCAAAACGCTCTGATCACCGATCTATCCGCTACGACACAGAATGGCGAGGTTGAGTCTGACGTCCAAGGCCAATTTTCAAAATTACTCAATGTATTGGACAGATATGAGACTGAGTCCTCCGAAGTCTCCCAAACCAATGGCGAAGAATTGCCTAAAGCCGACCTGATCAGTCAAAGTCCTAAACAATTCCTGTCATTGCGCAGCCAAGTCAACGGTAGTGTCCAGATCCTGTTCTCGGGTCTTAAAGTTGAGCGGCAACCTGAAAAGAACAAGGCTGGCAGTATACCAGAGGCTGAAAGCTCAAGACTTCCCAACGGATTCGAACTTACAGACTTTTCGGCGTTAGGCGGAGATCAAGAAGCATTCAAGAAACAGGAAAAGAGGTTATTTGGGACGGTCTTTCGCCAAGCTGGCCGAATCAAGCCTTTAGACCTGCCACACACGGCGAGGGATGTGGTGAGAGGTAATACTCTGGAATTCATTCCAAACTCCAGCCGGACAGAGAATCTACCTCAGAACAAGCACGACTACAAATTTGCCAGATTGGCTACGAGTTCATGGCTCTCATATGCGACCACGAGTAACCACCACCCACAACAAGAAGATCGAAGAAGGGTGCAGCCTGCATCCAGCAACAACGACTTTAAGGCAGCCCTCGAAGCTAACAGTGTGCGACAGGGCCATGATCTAGGTCCGGAGGAACTGTTCAGCTCTGTTTACTCCTCCTTTGCACCTACCTCAGATAACTCGTATTCTGTCGTGTCTCAGAAAGACAAAAGTCGTCAATGGTGGAGACAATACGGTGAGCACAAGCTGTCGAGACTTTTTACGACAAGAGATCCCTCAGTGTCGCTGGGTGACGGCGAAAACGGAGTCGCAGAAGACAAAGATGAATTTGCCGATTTGGTTGCGAATTTCGAGCCTGAGCAAGGTGAAGAAGATGCGCAACCCGAAAACACAGAAAAGGAAGTTGAGACGCTCCTTGAGGAGGTTTCGGAACTGATCGAAACTCTCAGTTCCTATCAGAGAAACCGCAGCCTTGAGACAATCGTTGCAGGCACGGTACCGAAGCCAACAACCCCGGAAATTGACACGTTTACGATGCTGAGAGATCAATTGAACATCTTGGTCTCGTCATTACCCCCGTTTGCTGTGGCCAAGCTCAACGGAGATCAACTCGAAGAATTGAACATCTCCACAAGACTTGTTGTTGAGGTGCCTGACTATCCAGGCACGGGACACATGGACGAGTACGTGAAGTTTCGACAAAAGATGGCGCAACAAGCGGCAGCAGCGGCGAGCCGCCCATCAGGGACGCCTCAGCCAGTTCGCCCGAACTATTCGCAAACACAGGCAACGCCAATGGCATACAACACCCAAGTTCGAAATTACAATGCTTCTGTTCCAGCCACGGCGGCATACGGTCTTCGAACACAACAAAATTATCAGACCCCTCCGATTGCGCGAGCGACCTATCCGCAAAATGCATACCAAGCTTCCGCGAACCCCTATTCATCGTCGCGCCCTACGATCCAGCAATTTCAGCGACCCTCCATGCAAAATGGTTATGGAAGCTACAGTAATAACGCGTCCACACCGGCTCAAACTCAGTCGCAAACGCCTGGCGCGTACCGGCCGGCTCAACCAGGATATCCGCAACGTGCGCAAGACAATGCTGCCACACTGGCGCGATCTGCTTCGCCTCAGAAGCCTCTGGTCAATGGCGCTCTCGGGCAAGGTCACCAGTACCCTCGGCAATATCAGACTCAGCAAAGTCAGCCGCCGCAGACACCGTATAGTTATCAGCAGAGGCAAGGTTCTGGAACACCCAGCACACCGATTGCGGCTGCGCCAGGGGCAGCTGGAGGCGGATATGGTGGCAGATACGACGCTGCTGCAGGCGACAGTTCTTCTCAGACCATAGAGATTTCTCGGTAAACAGGACAAACCCAAGAAGGAAAATGTGCGAGTGGTGCAATTCATATCCTTGCGTTTTGTGTACCATTATGCCCCACGGCAAAGCTTTTTCAGTTCTTCGAATTCTTGGAGAAAAGCCTGGTTTCGATCTCGTCGAAAGCGAGGCGCTGATGAGGGTGAAATGAGACTATTTATACCAGGAACGGTGGGGGAGAAAGATCGTTCGTCCATTTCATCCAAAAAGAGTTGCTATATTAATAACGAATTGATTCATTAACTATCACATTACTTTCTTTTCCTCGAGCGGCATTCCGCGTCAAGACATCTTCTATTTGCCCAGGACCCCCAGCGTCCTTTCCAAAGGCTAGCGGAGATGGCAATCCGAAGCCCTGAGCATCTAGAGCTCCCGCGACGAACAGACAAACTGCACTAGGATTTAGCAATACTTGAAAGTCCCGTGCTTTCGTAAACGCCAACTGTCCCAGCCTTTCAAGGCACTAGCTTGATTTGAATCCCCGACTCATCGATTCCCGGACATGGATGTGCGGTACACAGGGTCGACGAGGCATGAGAGACAAAGGACAGGGCAAGGCGTAAACATGTGTTGACCGGTGAGGCTAAGTCGGGCTTGGAAAAGTTGCTAAGCAGGCATTCCCTGCCAGAAGCAAAGGATTCGCCTGTATGAAGATGGCCGGTTCTTTTGCCGCAGTGGTGGTGGTTGGTGCTGGTAGTGGCCGCCCCACGCCCTGGTGGCCCTGCTGCAAGAGATGATGTCGTCCAAGACGGGACATCGAGCCTCCCCTGCACAAATACGTAGATATGTCCGCGCCACAGGTAAACCGGGCAAACGTCGATGATCGCATTACTGACTTGTCTTAGGTGTCTACTCCCGCGAACCACTTGGTATATGAGCAGGGCGCATTGTCCACTCTACAACGGAGTCGTTTTTTGGCAGCCTGCTCTCCTCCTTCCTCAGTTCTTTCAAGGTGAACACCTGTAACCCTCCGTGTCTTGACATCTTCCCTATAACAGTCAACGCGATACCCATATATCCTCGTCCACTGCCAATATGTGCTTTGGTGGCGGCGACAGAGACGAAGCCGTGGTTATTAGACGACGCGAGCGAGAGCGACCAAGACCATCACGCCACAGCCGAGAATATGTCTCAAGGCCCGAGGTTGCCACCTACAGGCGAGAAAATCGTCGCGAGACGGTCACTAGGCGATCAACTTCTGCCCACCGGCCCAGTCACGATCGCTATTCCGAACGCACCTCTGACTACTCTTACGATCCGCGGCGGCGCAGCGGCAGCAGGACGAGGATTGTGACGGAGCAGAGAAGGGAGAGAGACCGCACTTATTACTGAGGTGCCGCAGTGAACAGCTTGAGGTCCGTGACCACAGAGGAAGGGAGTGTATGATATCATTTTGGTGACATTATGAGGCTGTCATTGTCGCATACGATCCTGCGCAGTGTCAGCTCGTTTATTGGAAACACGGGATATGTATTCTGATCAAGATAATTCAGTGTGGTATTGGGACGATCTTCCTCCTTTTGTCGCTCATGGTGACGGTCAACAACATCGAGATAGCCTGATTGTACAACAAACGGGCAAAGTAGTGGTGGTAGAGCAAGGTTTGCGATACGGCAGCTAGAAGTGAGGGGGGGACACCCAGAATGCTCGAGATCATGGCACTGGTGGCACCCCTCCAAGCTCCCAAGTGCAATACGTCATCTGCCGCCCTCCTGCGCATGGGCGCATTCCTGCGCCCTGCTGTATTGGGCGTCGAGGGGTTCTTGTCCGCACCCAGTTTGTCTCGACGGCCTTCACCTGCATCTTCCCAGTATCTAGCGCATACTTGAAGCTCGTTGAAGCTCGACGAAGCTCGCCCGCCCTATATCGCATGTTATCACAGCTAATATAACAGGCAGCTGAACCCTCCAGGAAGCAACCCCATCACCTCCGCCATGAATCGAGCTTTGTCCATCCGGTCCCGCAAGAAGGACGATCATGCCAAAGAGGCTTCTAAACATACCTTTTCCATCTCGACCCTCCGTGGCATGCATCAGGCCGAGCTCTCTAAGAAACTCTTCAAGCTCATCAAAACCGAGAACCACTGCATCGAGGCCTATGAGACCGCTGGCCGTGAACGCCTCTCCATTGCCTCCCAGCTGTCCGACTGGGGTGAAGCCACAAACGATGACGCCGTCTCGGACATCTCAGACAAGATTGGTGTCATCCTGTCTGAGATTGGAGAACAGGAGGACCTGTTTGCGCAGAACCTCGAGGACTACCGCTCTGTTCTGAAACAGATCAGGAACATCGAAGCTAGTGTGCAGCCCAGCAGGGACCAGAAGGTCAAAATCAGCGATGAGATTCAAAAGCTCAAGTACAAGGAACCATCCAGCCCCAAGTTGGTCACGCTGGAGCAAGAACTTGTGCGAGCAGAAGCTCAGAACCTGGTCGCTGAGGCTCAACTTACCAATATTGTAAGGAACCTTCCAGTAGCGATTCGCAGGCTTTGCTAACGTATCCGATGCAGACGCGCCAAAAGGTCAAGGAGGCATACGACTTGCATTTCGCCGCCACGATCGAGCGAGCAGAGAAACAGATCATTTTGGCCAAGTACGGCCGACGCCTCTTGAACTTGTTGGATGACACCCCTGTAGTGCCAGGAGATGTGCGCCAGCCCTTCGCACAGGTTGGCGAGGCGAGACAGGTCCTTGCGGACGCAGAGCACGAGTTGCAAAGCTGGGAACCTCACCTTGAGCCGATCCACTCCAACGCCGGAGCCCTAGGAACTAATCTGATGCCCATGGACGACCGCAGCACTCGAGCCACTTCGGAGGCTCCTGATCCAATTGCCGATCCTGTGCCAACGGAAAAACCGGCGGCAGAAGCTCAAGGAACGCATTTGGAGCAAGCGACCGCCTAGAAGGTGGAGAGATGGAGCGAGGAGCAGAGGAGGGAGAGGGAAAAGTTGGGCATCAGGAAATAGGGCAAGATGGGACTGATGCACTGCTCCTATCTTTTTTTTTGTCCTTTGTTGGTCGCATGGATGATGTTTTATGATTTTGTCGTCGTCTTGGGCAGTCAGCCCGGTTTGTCAAAGAAGCTCTAGAAGTGAGGTGACGGAGAGCAGTTCTGTTTTCGGTAGTAAATCCAGGATTTCATGGCTTTAATGTCCCCATTGGTATTTGATGGCCGTATCCGCCTGAGTCTGACATCCCGCCCCCGGAGCATCCTTCCCCATCGATTCATCATCACCGAAAGGAAGCCCTAGAGGATCAGCCTTGTACCCTGTACGTTGCCATTGTGATCACCATCAAGACTGCTTGATACTGGCAGGGCGAAATGTGCTCGATGGGGAAAGCCCGCGAGGCAGCCGGAGTCGATCCTACTCGGCAGCACCGCGGCAAGAGAGGAGATGCAACACCGGAGGGTTGGCTGCCCCAGCCATTGGAGGGGTGAGCCCTAGAGGCTAGTGAGGCCTATAAGCGACGCCCCCAACCCTGCTGGGTTCCCAGAACTAGGGACTTAGGCCCACCTAGCCGAGGCTCGCTTCGATCTTGTGTTGCCCAAGTGCTGACATTTGACTATTGTGATTCTTGCGCCGAAGGGCACAACAACCGCTCAGAGGACCGAGTGCTGACGATCGTGCTGCTTCTTCTTCACCACCTTGCCTTTGGACCCCATGAAGAGCTTCCCTTGAAATGGGCAAGTGAGGTATCGGCCCCCCGCCGTTCTCGTATACCCACGTCCTCTTTTCTGACTGACGCCCTGGGGCTGATGAATCATGGACGCAGGGCCGGAGTCCCCGATGAAAGATGCCACGAAGCCTAATCGAAATCGCGCCTGTTTGAAGGACCCTTCGCTTCAGCGAAACACCATCCTCGCCTGTATCACGACTTCCAATGACTGCCTGCCTGCGAGTACAAGTACGCGGCTTCATCTTCATGGTCACATCCACCATCACATCATGTCACCTCGACTTGTGCGCTTCTGATCATCTCCTACTCCAGCCCTTTGCCACGCCTTTCGAAACCTCGTTAACCTTTCCCCTTTGACACTTCTCGGACAAGCCCCGCCTCGCATTCATTATCGCCCACTAATTACCGCCCTTTGCTGTTCTTTTCTGGAATCGTGGCTATAATATCTTCTCTGCCCGCCCAGGAAAATATCGAAATGTCTGTTCAAACTCCCTCTCCATTAAATACACCTGGCGTCAAGATGTGGTCGATAGTCGGCCTCGGGGTGGTGGCATACCTCCTGTACAGTCTGGTCAACACTTTGATCCGCTTCCGCCGCAACGTGAACAAGGCCAAACGGTCTGGAATCCCCTATGTTGTCGTTCCGGTCTACTATCTTGACACATGGTGGCTTGTGAGCCATCCGTTATGGCTGCCATTCCTCGCCAAATTGCCCGCTAGCTGGACCCGATGGGTGGACTTTTGTATCCCGGACTTCTGTTACCGCCGTAGTATCGAAGTCTTCCAACAGGTCGGTGCCGACACATTCCTCGTGGTTGGTCCTGGAGGCATAATGATGCACACCGCGGACCCAGCCGTCATTACCCAGATCACCACCAGGAGGAATGATTTCCCCAAGCCCATCCCTATTTACCGGTCTCTTGACATTTACGGCAAAAATGTCGTGTCAACTGAGGGTGCGGTTTGGCGGCAGCATCGCAAGGCCACGAGTCCGCCATTCACGGAGAAGAACAATCACCTCGTCTGGGCAGAGAGCATCGACCAAGCTTCCGATATGCTGGCTTCATGGGTGGGACCGGAAGGAAAAGGCGACATCACCGTCGATAGGGTCATGGATGATACCATGCGTTTGAGTCTGTATGTCATTAGCAGAGCAGGGTTTGGAAGGAAACTGGAATGGCCTTCAGCTGATGCCAAGGCCGATGTTGACGTGAACTATGTCGACAATTCCAAGATCCAGAATGATCAGGGTGATCGAGATCTCGGTCATTCGATGAGTTACACCTACGCCATCCATTGTTTGTTGGACAATATTCTTGTGCAGTTCCTCCTGCCTAGGTGGCTCGTCAAGAGCATTCCGTTTGCGAGGTTTCAGAAGGCTAACGAAGCCTATTATGAGTGGGGAAACTATATGAGGGAGGCCGTGGCGTCCAAAAAGAAGATGCTTGAAGGTGGAAATGAAGACAGCAAAGACCAGATGGATCTTCTAGCCCAATTGGTGAAAGGTCAGCTCACATCTGAAAAGAGCAAGGACGTTCCTCTCACGGAATCTGAGGTGCTCGGGAACATGTTTGTCTTAATCCTCGCGGGACATGAGACCGCCGCCAACTCCATCCACTTCTCCCTGCTTTACCTGGCACTCAATCCAAAGAGCCAAAGGGCTACGCAAAAAGATTTGGATCGGATATTTCAGGGGAGGCCCCCCTCTGAATGGGATTATGACCGCGATTTACCTGCTCTGTTCGGCGGCATGGTCGGTGCAGTATTGGCCGAAGAGCTGCGGCTGGTCCCGCCTGTCATAGGAATACCGAAGTCGACTTGGGGTGTCCCCGATCAACCCATCACGATTGACGGAAAGGCCTGCACTGTCCCCAGTGGAGTCTATATCAGCCTGGCAACAGGAAATGTCCATCGGAATCCCAAGTATTGGCCCACAAACAAACCCTCGTTGCCCGGTGGGAAGGCTGCGCACCCAGCGGCGAATCTCGATAATGACCTCGAGGAGTTCCACCCAGAGCGGTGGCTTTTGGACGAAGGGAGTGAGGTCGAACAGGAGACGGCCAATGGCAAGAAGGAAATGCCCAATGAGACCGTTACTGCAGATGGCTTGGGTATCAACGAGGCAGCTGACACCTCGGATCGATTCTACCGTCCACCTAAAGGAGCATACCTCCCATTCAGTGATGGGTATCGCGCTTGCCTCGGCAGACGCTTCGCCCAAGTCGAAGTACTGGCAACCCTGGCAGTCATCCTGCAGAATTACTCGGTCGAGTTGGCAGTCGACCAGTGGGCGACGGACGAGGAGGTCATAGTGATGGATGAGGATGCTCGCGTAGAGGTCTGGCAAAAGGCTGCCCAGCGAGCGAGGCACTTGCTGCTCACTGGCCTCGGCGTCATCATATCTCTGCAGATGCGAGCCGGACACGTCCCTCTGCGATTCGTGCCCAGAGGCAAGGAACGGTTCCCTGACGATGCAGATGAGAAGTGGAAAGAAAAGCATCCTGATTTGTGCGAAGGAGCCCGGACGCCGCCTGGCTGGAGGTTCTGGGCTTCCTAATTGGTGTCTCACCTGTTGGAAGATGCATTGGTGGATTGTCTCTAGCTTTATCTAGCGAGCATGTGCTTGGGTAGACTTGTCGTTGGCAGGAAGGAGGTTGTATGCAGTTATTAGAACTGTGCCGCTGGTCGGTAGAAAGGGAGCCCAAACCGACATGGTGATGCCAAGATGTAATTATCACACACAATCAGTTGCCCTCATTTTCCTTCCCTTCCTATCTATTCTACACTCCTTCACGCTTGGGCCTATCTTCATTTGATATATTGCCCCCATGGATTCCGTCTCCCACGCCCCCGTGCTGGATTTTTCACCGCCTGGCTTCTTCAATGACACAAGCATTAGTCGGTACCGGGCATTAGGGGCGGCGGCGGGCTGCATGTGCCTGCCTAAGCGGCTTCGCTGGCTCAATCAGCGTCGCCAGAATTTCCGCTTCATCTGCACAAAGCTACTTGACTTCTTCTTTGCGCCGTTTTCCTCTGGCTTGTTATTCGATTGTTGGCTATCCATACTGGATCGTTTCTTTTCCCATTCGAACAGTCTGCCGACAGATCTAGGTAGGTCTTGGATCGGCTGAAGGGGCGCTTCAGCACTCCGCCAAATGGGCGATGGAAAAAATCCCACGCATTCTTCTTACACTGCAGGCGGCCAATTGCATTCACCGGCATCATGAGACGTCGGTCGATTGGTTCAATCAGCATCTCACTGGAATCTTCTGCCTCATCCGACATCCCACTCGTCCACTAGCCAACAGCGTCTGCAGTCCGTGGCGGCACCGTCGCCCCAGGCCTCGATTTCCCCGGTGCGTGGTTTCCCCTGGATCCTAACGAAGCTGGGCGGCGGTGGCAATGGAGCTCACGGCGTGCTGTTCGCTGGCATCTATCCGCTCACACCTGGCGTTGGGCACGAATCTCTTGATCTCCGATGCAGATTCGCCCAGATAAAACCCAGAGGACCTCCTTTGACAGGCTTCCTTGACCTCCCACATTTCCCTTCCTTGAGGCCTGAACGAACTCCTTTCCGTCCAACCTCGCCGTTCCCATTCCCCCTTTCCCCTCCGAGTCTCCATTGTGTCACTCAGGAGAAAGGACGTCATTCAAACGGCGAAGCACATCCCCCCTTTCCCACTTGGCCAGAGCGGTGGTGTTACATGTTTGTACCCCTCCCCTCGAACCTGTCACCTCACTCCTGGTTCGTCCTGTTTGCATCAAGGGATGACCATGATACACCCATGATAGCCGCCGCCACCCTTACTTTCTGTTTCGCTTCCATGATACTGCCTTTCATTCATGCACCCTGCCCTCCGTTGTCAAATGATGGAGCTCTTGACTACAGATTCTCCGCTCTCTGTCACTGCTGGATGCAATCAAGCCTCATTATCGCCACTACCTTCATGGTATCCATGAAAGGCCCCTTTGAGCCAAGCCATTTCTTCAGTCTCGCATGTCCGGCTCGGTGCGCGATCAAGGTCGTCGGCGTCGCAGCCAGACCTACGCCAGCCACAAGGGTGCTCGCTCTTCCAAGCTTTCCCTCCTCACTGCCATCACCAACGGGTCCCAGGGGTCGACCGATAGCTCGTTTACCGTCACGCAAGAGTCCTACTCCAAGTCCACCTCAGGTTCGAGTAAGCGAAGTAGATCCTCCCGGCAGAAAGTGCCCAGCGATGAGCGGAGGAGAAAGGCCTCGCCGGTGAAGACCGAGCCAGAGAAAGCTACTAGCCAGGAGCAGAGCGTGTCCACAGAATCAGTAGACGTCTTCGCCTTTCTCGTCAAGGATGAAGAGCAAAGCGCCGCCGAACCGGATGCCGAAGAGGAGCCCCAAGTTGAGAAGGACACCCCCGTGTCGGACGACTCTGATACTGAAAGCATCGTCCCGAGCATGCATTCGGATTCGGGTATATCCATGGGTGATAGCACTGTCCATTCCAACAATGACCCTTTCGTCGACACCCACTTGCCTCCTTTGCTGGAGGATGTCCAGGAGCAAGAAGACAACCACAAAGCACGGGCGAGCGAGCCAAATCGCTCGCAACGGCTACGATGGAAATATCCAGAGGTACCGCCGGCCACGCATAAGCCTCCCGCCCCGACCTTGATGGATAGGACGCCGGACCCGATGCAAGTTCGTGCACACATGCCACAGATACCCAACGGAAGCGACAGAGAGTTTCCTTCGTCCCAGAATATGTTGTCTGGATACGATCTCATTGCCGATAGACTGGCGTCGGGGGAACTTCCACCAGTGTTTCGGAGTTTCCAAAAGATCTATTTTCGGTTGCTTTTGCAATTACAGGACGAAATCATCGAGATGGAAGAACAACTAGCTGCTCTGGACTCCCTCGATGGTCGTCATCGGCTCCATCCGGACGGCGGCATGTCGCCGGCCTCCAGGAGATTGAGCTGGCAATGGGGTCAGTCCGATCTACCAGCACATCGGTTACATGTCTTGGGACGATTGTCAATGAAGCTCGAACAATACTGTACGTCGTGAAAAACATCACAAGAAAGCCGTGGCATGCTGACAGATACCAGATCAAGTGCTTTCAGCCTCTCAAAGGGTCCGCACGCTCTCCTCGTCGCCAACTACAACTGAGGTTGCACAATTCCGGACGTGGTTACAAGAACACAGCCCCCTCTCACTCCCAGAGTCCAAGTTCTTGGACGACAAGGAGGATTTGATATCACTAAAGGAGACCACTCCACCCACCCCAATGCATTCCACTGGCCCAGCATTAGAATACGTCCCTATTTGCATTCTGACGATGACGCTTCTGCCACTTTTGTGCTTCAAGTTCGTCACCGGGGTTTTGAACCGACTGATATTGCTCACCATTGTGCTGGCGGCCGGGTACAGCAGCCTAGAGAAGCTCGACAGATCAAAGGTCGAACAACATCGACAGTGGGTGATTGCATGTTTCGGTGTTTCATTTCTGGCAGCCCTCTTCTTTTAGAAAGCATTATTATGTAGTTGAGCGGCGACGCTCCATGCTTTGACAAGGCTAGATGGCACGATCCATTGCACCAGGCTATATGATTAAATTGATGTAAATTGGAATAGAAAAGAGATCATCCATAACAGAAGGTCAAGAGCGGCAAGAGCGGCGTGAGCGGTTGTTGAATCGAGGAGTCCGAATGCGGGGCGCAGCCTTGCCAAACTAATTATGTAATGGTACCTAGACACTGCGTTCAGTCCTGGGGAAATGTTTACAGTACCGAGTACATAGAGACCATCTCACGCCTCCAACAATCCCGCCATTCTCTTCTCTTTCATCCTCTGGCGTTCTTGTCGTGTGCATCCCGAATGACCTGCTGCATTCCTGGTCGTATGTCGCGGTGATCATCTGCACCGCGTCTCGACACCCCACTCTCCCTCATCTGCCTGTTGAGATAGTCTGTCATGTGCCTGCGCAAGAGCGTTTGCACTGACAGTTGCAGGCGTCAACACGCCGACATGACCATGTCTTAACCGTCGTCCACATCCTCTCCTCATTTCCCTTCATCTCTTGCCCCAAAGCAAACGCTCCTTCAACAACCCAATCTGCCGTCGATGATAGTAGTCCATGATGGCATCAAACTTCATGTCTCGGTTTACCGGCTCCAACAACCCTTCGGCCTCTATCTATGACGCCATCCGGCAAGACGACGAGGATTCGGACAATTTCGATGTCGAGGAGGCTGCAGGGCTGGGTGCAGATGGCGCAAATGGAAGAGATGACTTCAACAATCATATATTACACCGGTCCAGCTTTCGGGCCCAGGGGAGGAGTCCTCGTCAAGATGGCCGTGCTGCTCGCAATGCCTCCACCTCCGAATCCCATGCGCAGCGGAAAGATACACGCAGGATCTCGAACAAGACAAGGCGGACCCCGAGAGCTCACAAACTCTTGGATGTGGAGGAGGCGGACGACGATGTCCCGGCGTCGTTGCTGATCGATCACAACGCAATGGGTCTTGACCATGGCTCCATGTCCCTACCTCCTCCGCCCAGTCTAATGCCAGAAGGCCTTCTACAAGGTCGCGACGCCAGTCCTTCGACGGCTGCTCAAGATTTCCATACAAGATACCGTCCCCAGCCGGGCCCAGGCCGCCCGAAAACGGCACCAGTTCGGCCAGCTGGAGGCATTGTTGGGGGCAACCTCGCCGCTGCAGATCCCAAGGAGAAGGCCATGTTTCGATGGGTTAACGTGACAGATCTGGATAACTTCCTGCTGGAGGTTTACACTTATTACCTCAATCACGGTTTCTGGTCCACGATCCTCATGCGATTCTTCAATCTGCTGACCGTTGCCTTCGTGGTTGGCTTCTCCATTTTTCTTACGCAGTGTATCGACTATCGAGAGATTCGAGGGAGCACGAAGATGTCGGAGATTCTTGTGCCGCAATGTACCAAAAGAATGGGCTTTGTCCCGAACGCTTTGCTCTGGCTCACCACGTTCATCTGGCTCTGGAAAGGGGTCCTGTACCTCTTCGACATCCCTCGTCTGAAGCACATGCATGATTTCTATTTTTACCTCCTCGACATCCCTGAACCTGAAATCCAGTCGATCTCATGGCAAGAGGTTGTCAGTCGTCTGATGGCTCTGCGAGACTCGAACCCCACCATTTCCTCGACCTCCAAAAAGACCAGTGGCTATATCAAATCGCAGAACAAGCAACGAATGGATGCGCACGACATTGCCAATAGGCTGATGCGAAGGCAGAACTACATGATTGCCATGATTAACAAGGATATCCTGGATCTGACTCTCCCCATCCCCTTCTTTGGCAACCGCAAGCTCTTTACCCGGACTCTGGAGTGGAACATTGAATTGTGCATCATGGACTTTGTGTTCAACCGGAAAGGACAGGTTCGACCGCTGTTTCTCAAGGATACGCACCGGAAAGACCTCGCGAATGCCCTTCGTTCACGTTTCATCTTGGCGGGCTTCACAAGCCTTGCCTTTGCACCATTCCTAGCGACGTTCTTCGTCCTGAAACACTTCTTTCAGAATTTCAACGACTACCAGAAGAACCCTGCTCAGATTGGCATGAGAGAGTATACACCATTTGCGCAGTGGAAGTTCCGAGAGTTCAACGAGCTGCACCACCTCTTCCGGCGGCGCATCAACATGTCGTATCCGTTCGCCGACAGATATATCAATCAATTTCCTAAAGATAAGACCGTTCAAATCGCCAGGTTCGTCAGTCTGATATCTGGAGCCGTGGTTTCGGTCCTGGGCCTCGCGACGATTTTGGATCAAGACAACTTTCTAAATTTCGAGGTGACGCCGGGCCGGACGACAATATTCTACATCGGCATCTTCGGATCGATCTGGGCTGTCGCGCGTGGCCTGCTGCCGGATGACAATATGGTATACGACACGGCCTTTTCGATCGGAGAAGTGATACAATTTACACATTACGAACCGCAGCACTGGGCGGGTCGTCTTCACACGGTGGAGGTCAAAGAGGAATTTTCTCAGTTGTACCAGATGAAACTCGTCATCTTCCTCGAAGAGGTGCTCAGTATCTTCTTCACACCCTTTGTGCTGTGGTTGTGTCTCCCCAGGTGCAGCGAACGAATCATTGACTTCTTCCGAGAATTCACGGTGCACGTCGACGGTATAGGATACGTCTGTACGTTCGCCGAATTCCGGTTCATGAACCAGGCGATGCGGCCTGCCCCCAAGGAACGGTCCACGGATTCAGAGGCTGGGACAGGAGGTGCTACCGCCGGCGTGGCTAACACCAACGCCAATACGAACTTGCGGGACGACTATTTTGCGTCCAAGGACAACAAGCTCGAACACAGTTACTGGGGGTTCATGAACGACTACGCGCGCAATCCGAAGACAGATATCCATTTCCCTTACCACACCTCTAGGCGGCGCTTTAATCTCAACATGCCACCCCCTGTCCCGGGACTGCCTTCCCCATCCTTCCCAGCATCAGACCATGGTAATACGTTCGGCGGCGGAATGCACGCCCATCGACACAGCGGCGGAGGCCTGGGTTCGATGGCCTCCCCACATCGCGGAGCTTTGGGCACTCCCAGATTTGGCGCCGCTACGGGACAAGGACATGCTCAGACTCAGCCATTTGGCTCTCCTCTCCAGTCCCTGTTGCTCGACCCTCATCATCAACCCTCTGTAAGTGGGTTCGCTACGTCGCCACAAGCTTTGCGACCACGTGGGTCGATTCTTTCAAAACCGCGTCGGACTGCTACCGTTGAGCGCGGACATGAAATTCCTGACGACGTGGCGGAAGAAGAAGATTCCACTGAGCTTCGACCTCAGAGAGCAGACACATCTCAGCCGAATGCGGGCGGCATTCGAGATCGCCTCTCATCCGCGCCCACAGGCCTGACGACGCACGCAGTCCAGGAGGGCGAACTAGGATCCTGGAAATATGAGATCGACTCGTCCTCCGGCGCAGGTAGTGAAGATGAAGAAGATGAGCGTGATGCGAGGGCGATCATGCAACCCATGGGGCCACTTGGATTGATCAGGCAGTTTCAGAAAGCTCAGGCTCAGGAAGGAGGGAGGACCAGAGCCACCTGACATTCGAGGGCGTTTGGGAGGATGGAACTGAAAAGCCAGAAATCAGCATGTTGTCAACACAGCGTGATCGAGAAGCGACAGCAAGGGGCTGAGTGAAGCAGAAGCTGCTCCAACGAAGGGAAAAGCCAAATCCAGAATGACCTGAAATCATCCACGGTGTTCAAAATACTCAAAAAGGTAAAGTTTCAGCAAACGGGCTGCTCTGCTTTGGCATGATAGGGTAGCAGCTCGGAGGATATTGCATCTCAGCATGGAACAGGTGAGAAGGAGCATCGCAAATGAACTGTACTGGTATCAAAACAAAAAAGCAAGGGCGCCTTCTCGACATTTGGATCGTCTAGAGTTATTTCCTGCATACCGAGAGCCTGGCGTCAGGGAAAGACTCTCGAGAGGAGCTCGCCGTTATTCGGCACATGGCATTGGCCGGAGTCAGCTTGCCAGATCGCACAAGAGGGGGAGGATACAAGCAAGTCCTCTTCTATTAGATAGGACTGAAAAGGTCCCAAAAAGGTTTCAGGCTGGTAGCATGTCCCAGATAATTTCATCACGGTCGGTCATGGTTTCTCGTCGTGAGGGCCACTTCCCCGTCCGCGAGCCAACGTCATTCACTGTCTTCTTCCTCTTGTTCTATTATCCTCTCCATTCGAGCATAGTGTACCGAGTACTAGAGAGTGAGTTGAGAAAATGTGTGTGCGTGTGTGCATGTCTCTCTCTCTCTCTCTGTTTACGGCCGTTTGGACCATACTCCCTTTCTCCCAAACAAGGCCGATTTCCCCCTCAAACCATCAAACCTCCTCATCTAATGTTACATCCGCTACGTACGAATCGTCCCTCTCTTCTGCTAAGTAAAGCCGTTCTCGAGTTTGCCACCACATACACTTACACACACTCTCCGTCTCTATATTCTCAGATACATGTCCGATATGACCCGATATGACCTGATCTGGCCGGATCTGGCCGGATCTGGTCGGATCTGGCCGTAATCTGGCCGGATCTGACCAAATTGCCACTTGACAATGCATGCCATTGTCAATTGTGATTTGGGGGGCCTTGGCGGTCTCTTAATGCGAGGCGTGAGAGAGAGAAGTGGAAAGGGGCCAAACTGGCTATGCTAGAGTCTGGACCACTTGTAAAGTGACAGATGGATGGATGGATGGCTCAAGAGGGGGAAGGAAGGAAGGGAGAGTGTACAAGTACTAGAACCAGAACCAGAACTGAAATCAAGTCGACGAGGAGGGCGGACCATCCATCCATACATACAAGGTGCGCAGCCTTGTCCGTCCGGTGAAGAGCGGGGTACGACTCAACACAATCAACCCTCAGTTCAGTTCGATTCAGCTGGAGGATAGAAGTCGTTTTACCAGCAGGAGCAGTATTGGTAGTAAGTAGCATGTTACTTCTTCCTAGAATAATGAAAGGGAACCAACCCCTCTTTGACTGCGTGCTCTGCGCATGCGCTTTGCTTTCTCTTCCTTCCCCCCCCCCGTCTCTTTTTCTTTCTTTCCGTTTTTGTCGGGAATAAAGGCTGTGAACAGAGAAGAAGAGGAGAGATGGATTCTGGGTAAAAAGCATTTGTCCTGTTCCTCCCCTCCCCTCCCCTCCCCTCCCCTCCTTCCTCTCTCCTGCGCCTCACTCACCCTCTTTTCCGTTTCCTGACTTCCCTCTCACTCTCTTACCCCGTCCCCCTCCGCCTCCCCCTAACCAAGCTGAGATACAGTGAATTGTCCCGATTGCTTCCTGTCTGGTTTCGTCCTGTCCATGTACACATTACATACAGTATTGAACAATACAGGAGTCTAGTTCGTTACTTACTTACGTGCGTATTCGGGGATATGTATGTCCCAGGCTCTCCCTGCCCAGTCCCGAAGGAGGCAAGCGAGTGGCAGGGGAGGGGAGAAAACATGCTGCGGTATGTACTACTGTGTATGTCGGTGGGTCAGGTTGGTTAGGTTAGGTTATGTAAGTTTGTCGGTTAGTAGGTAAGTATGCAGGACATTGAAGCAGGATTACCATCATCTCACTCATTCACTCCCCTGTTGGAGTAGTCACCGACCCCGGCGTGAATCGGCCAAACGACGAGGGCCGTGCTTCCCTGGCTCGTCGATCCTCGATTGGGCCCGGCGTGGTGGTGACTGGCTCTGGGGGTCTGGAGAAGAAAGAAAACAAGTGTGCCTTGCTCGTTCGCTTGGGTTAGTGTCGCAGTAAGTTTGGACACGGTAGTAATCCGGGGAGGTGGAGCCTCGTGCTTTAGGTCACCGACGCACGAGTCAAGTCCAAGTCAAGTCAGCATCTATCATCGATGCAGTATGATTGTACAGCGGTAGTGACTCGTAGCTAAGCACCCCCAGACACCATTCCTACCCTGCCCTGCGTGGTTTTGCCTTGGCTAAGCAAGATGCGGGTTGCGGATTTTTACTTCTACCCACGAAGATCCAGTATTCTTCCACCGGTGAGTGGGGGTCGGTACTGGCTTTGAACGGTCGATGGGTGGGGGGTGAGATCATTGTGGTGTAATTTCGTATTGTGTATTAGGTAGTTGTCGCGGGGCGGCGGAATCCCGCCCAGATCCAATAAAAACCCCAGAAGGGAAGGCCATATTGGGGTTAGGCTAGGAAAGGCATCCGACGACCTCCCATCAAAGATAGAGTGTGATAGAGTGAGAGTGTGAGGCAGTGAGTTGGGCGAGTGTATGTCTGGGAAGAAAGGCCAAAAATAAACAGCATGCCTGCTGCTGCCTCGTTGCAGCAGGGAGGTGGGTTGGCCACTAATATCAAATTCCTAATCCAGAGGAGCAAACCAACAAGGGGATTCGTCCGACCACGGTGATATTGTAAAAGCCATGGTACGGACGGCGATGATGCAGCGGAAGGCGGTGCGAGCTATACACAGATAGATGGACCACACGGGGCGAGGGGGAGCAGCACATTGAGGCTAGAGCGTTGCTAACCACGTGGGATGCTGAGAAGTCAGTCTCATCGCTCCTCATGATTCGTGGTCGAAGCGAACGACTGTTGGTCCGTTATGCCGGCTCTTGCCCATCACCTTGGGTCTGAGATGTATACTTACCACTGATGGTGTGATCCTTCTGGCAAAGCCAGCAGCTAAGCCTCCTCTCACATCCGGGCCAACAAAACTCTCAGGTCCACCCTCGACGGCGAGCAGCCGCGTTCTGGGCCTTGATACTGGGCGCAGAATCTGAGTCGGGGATCGTGCACGACGGGTTCGAGTCGTGGTTTGATCACGAGCTCCACTCAACCTTCTCATCGAACGGCTACGCGTATGCCAACGTGCGTAGGACACCGGAAGGCTTTGAGGCAAGATTAATCACAGCCCGAAGCAATGGGGGAGGCCAACAAACATGAGACAACCATTAAGGAAGGGGTGCTTGTGCTGCCGAACAAAGCGTCGTCGTGAGAATGAATTGCCACAATGGGGGAACTTTCCGGTGGGATCACGGGCATGAGGTGCAGAGTAGCCTGGTCATTCTCCTTCCTCGTTGTCGGGCTCGATTTCCTTGTCAATCTGATCGTCGATGGCACTTGCTGCTCTTCACTAGAATGGAACAGAAGGGTATATCATCAAGCTCTGCGGCCGTAGTCGAGTGCGTTCTCCTGGTCCTGCGATCACAGGGTCTAGGGGCAAAGTTTGCCTCTCCAGCGACAAGGAAGAGGATAGCCACTCCTCCCTTCAGTGATGCTCGCAAGTGCTCTTCGACAAGTTGCCGCTTCTCCTGACTTGTTGGAGGAGTGGACCTCCCAGGGAGAGCCCTGCAGCCCGGGCCACATTGTCGGTAACTTTGTAGGCATATGGTCTTTTTGCAGATGCCGATCCTTGAATAATCATCCGTCAAGGGGACTAGCAAGGGTCTATTCAATGGCCCTCAGGCCGTGGCAGTGCTAGAGGCGCCGACGACGTCTCGCCTCTCCGGTGTCATGCCAACGCTAGACATGTCGACGGCATGTTCGGTTCGTCCACGTCGTTGTCTTCTCTCAGTCGAGCTCGGCGGTTGTCAGCTCACAGCCACGCAGGCTATAGCCAGGATTTGTTTTGGATCCTCCTCCTTCACCCATGTCAACGGGTCTGGTGAGATTGTTGACTGAAATGGTACTTACATCATTACAACCTGCCCTCTTTGAAGTGCGTGCGTTGCTCCGTGGCGAACAGAGACAGAACGCTCCCCGGTGGAACTACTGAAAGAAACGCCCTGTTCGGGACCGGTCGGCTAGTTCGAAAGGGGCAATTCGAGCTGATTTTTTGGTTGCTCTGTCCGAAGTTGAAGCTGTCATGCATCATAACCACCAGCTATTGGTTGCAATTGCGCTCAGGGGTATGCTCGTGGTGTCTCTGCCTCGGAAAAGGATATGATCTACTGAATTTCATAATCTTGCAGGCTGTATTACCCTATGGTGATTCGACCGTTGTCATGCCACCTCCAGACAAGGGGATGACTTTTGGAATCGGCACCATATGAACAATCGTAATCAGTTGGATAGAAGTAGATGGGTAGACGGAGAAACACATGGTCTAGTCACTTTTACGGGGTGTGAATCCGTCAAGCGATGACGGGAAAAGCTTCGCCTGCTAGGTGCAGATGGCTGGAGGCTAGTCTCAACTTGCATAGACTCGCTGCTGCTATACAAGGGCGTACACAATGCGGCAACATCTCTTCGACGTTTGTACTCAAGGACTGGGCCTCCGTTGGGTTGAGCGGAATCAGTGGCGGCCATCCACAGACGACAACCTGCTCTGGCCCACAGTATCCAGTCAGCATATTTAGTCCTTCCTCCACGAACAAATATAAATGATAATATATTACTTACTATGGATGGGACACTTCTGTATCAAGGTGTATTACTCTGAGATTTGGTTGCTGACTTGATAATGGAACACGAATCACACCCCTTTCATGGCCCGCCTGTGTGGAATCTGATGCGAAACCATGTGTTCCGAAACCACGGCGAACTTGAAAAAGGACGGTATTATTGACACGCTCAGAACGGGGGACCCACCGTCCCTGGACCACATCTAACTGTTCCCCATCAAATGCACATGAAAATGGCATACAACATCAATTTCCATAACGAGGCAAGGTGCGCGGCCGGGAGAACGCCCTGCGACAAGCTTCCTTGTAAGTGCTTCATGTCCCAGGCTGATTATGCCTGCAGCTGCTCAGATAATAGCTTTCCTTGGTAGACAGCTTCGAGGCCTGACGCTGACGATGTTTTGATAACGTCGTAGCGAAATGACCAGATGATCAGGTGACTACATGAACGTGAAAAGGGAGTTCCACTCGTAAGGCTGAGAGTTGATAAGATGGTATTTGTCAGGGATGATTGGAATCATTCGACGACATGGAGGATTCGATGGCCGGACCTGCCGAAATTCATGGGGAAGCACTGCCATCAGTCAGCCTGGGACCGACACCTTGACGGCGCTAAGACGAGTGAGACAGCTAGCGAGGTAGTGGGCCGACCCTGCGAGGGCTGATAGACCGGAGTGGATGCGGTGTGAAGATGGAACTGCTGGTACTGCGGCATGAGAGGAAAGACATCGGAGTGCTGTCATTGGACCAGCCCGCAGATAAGTTGAGTTGGTCAGCACAGTCCTTTTTGGCAGTGCCCTAAGCCCTTATTGAGATATAGGGTCGCCTTACCTGTGCGTATAGGGTAGCGCTTTAATAGAAGCGTTACCAATCCTGTCCATGAAACCAGTGGCGGTCCAGTTGTAGGCGAGTCTTGCGGTGAGCTGTAAATGGGCAGCCAAGGAGACATTCAAGGTCAGCGGGTTGGTAGCATCGGTCTGGAAGTCCCTTGCAATGATTCTCCAGGCACCAGTAGTGATCTTGTCGCTGACGCTGTTGCAGAGTTGGTCGACAGCGTCACTTCAGCCATCTTCGCCGTGTTTCACCTAAGAATTTGCTGCCGAGTTGTACGAGAAGCCGTTTTGGGACACTTCCTCGTATACTGAACTTGTCCTACCCGTCATCGCCGCTCGTACGTTCTGAAACCCACCAATTGGACAAAAAGGAAAGCCACCACGACATGCGGTGCGAGCTTAGTTAGGTAGGTGATAGGAAAATGAAGCGGATGACACAGCATGGTCGCATTTCGCCCTGATGCGACTAGGCAGCTGTAACTAGAGGTCTGTTCTATTACCTCATTGATGGTGCTGCTGGCATGTATGACTTGGCCCGTCGGAAATGGTAAGGCTTTCGTGGAGGAAACCGTCAAATGACTCGCAGCGAGCACTTGGCTTGTTGTCGGTATACTTTAGGGCTCAAGGTCTATGTACATAGTACCGCAGTACCAGACCAGAAGTTGCTTTATAAATAGTCGGACTGGGGTCGATTATCAGGTAAGCAATTTAGTTTGCCAGAACGCTTCTCCACCTGGCTAGAGCTGATCCGCATCAACCTGCGGCTGAGAATGAAGAAAAAAACCCAAACAGGGGTAAGCGAGCGGACGAGGTTGCGGGAATGGTCCATGTCAGACGGGTTTGGACCAGTGGTCTATGCTGATTCGAGGAGGACAGGGATCCCACCAGTCTTTGAATTAACTCCTTTTCGCGTGGTCTTGTCCTTGTTTCTGTCAGTCAGAAAATGTCTGCCCCCCGTCAGACCGAGGGGCTGGATCATGAAAGTCTTTCCCGTCTTTGGCCGGGCAAAGTGGCCGGCTTCTCCGACAGTACGAAGTACGTCGTGTTGCTGACCCGTGAATTGACACCCACGGAGCCGAGGAGAGGGGGTGGGCAGATCTTGATGCTGTCTTGCTCACCAGATCACCCCAGGGAACGCCCTGGGTTGCTATGGAAGTGCAAATTTTAAGTCTTCAGCCCTGCGTACCCGAGACACCACGAGGAAGACTACCAATGTGTCCATCCAGTTCCGAAACCTGGATTGTGGCATCATCGCAGCCACACGCAGTGGGCTTGTCCCTTGTTTGATGGTATGCATCTAAAATCGGAAAAGGCTCAAGGGTTCATCTTGGAGGATGGAAAGAGATGGCTGAGCGTGGCGGGCGCCATGGTACGTGATGGTGGGTTAAAGATCGTCCGAGTGCCGAGATTGCGGTGATAACGAGTAATACGGACGAGAACCCTCTCAGCGGACGAGTATCTAGAAATCTGACTACTTGGAATTCTTGGAAGGCGTGACTCTGGGCACAAAAGGATTGCACTTGAACTTGTGATTGGTGCAGATACAACGTGTTGGAGACTTGGAGTATAGGCGACCACAAAGTGCGAATTGGCGAAGGTGAAACTTTTCCTGTTTGCTGAAGACTTATTCGTCACAGATGCCAAAAAAAACCTTGTTGGGGTAATAGATTGCAAATTGAGTGTGAATACAGATGAAAACAGGAAAGGTCAAAAGCCCAATTGCTGGCTGGTGCTCTCTTTGCCAATATCTGATTTCGAGGTACCAGATCCTGTACGAGTAGAGTACCGGGTCCTAAGTACACAGTATAATATAACGTAGAGATTATGGAGTATCCCAACCGCTGTCGTCACCAGTCCCAGACTTGCTACGTAGTACATACTATGTACGTAAGAGGATGGACTCGTGCTGCTCGTTAATAAACTTTCGTCTACTGAGTAGGTGTACAGTAGCGATGCCACGTATAAGGACGGTGAGAGTGGGACTTCAGCTCAACTCTATGGGTACTCGGTACTCACAGGCATTCGTACACTGAAAGTTCAAGGACACTTGTATCATGGATACGATGCGAACAAGGGAGGCCAACGCTGCAGCCGCAGTCCCACTAGACTCGATCAATATGGAGGGCGCAGTGCTGGTCTGCTGAGGGCGTGTGTGAAAGGGGATACGAGGCTGAGCCTAAATTGCCCCTCCCAAGCTGTGCTGGTGGTGTTGCATCTGAAGTATACGCGAGAATACTTGGATTGATGCACCACTTTGGACGTAGGTGAATGCTGATTTCCTCTATACACTTGCCTTGGTGAGAATATGACGCCTCCAATGATTAAGGTGACATTTTCATGCGTCCGTAAGAATAACTGTAGAAAGGGATAGAGGCGCTGAGATGTACGTGGGTATGGGTGCGTTGAGAAGACACAAAGACGGATTAGTGGCCATTGAGTGATTTAGCATGGCGCTAACACGCCACATTCCGCTAACGGTGGAGGTCTAACCTATTTTGGCCCTTTTGGACATTTTAACAACGTCACAGGCCCTAATCAATTTCAAGCATTTCTCTGTTCGAACATTCCTTTTGACCTGAGACGGAGGGGCCATTCTTGAAGACTATCCACTTTACAGCCCTAAATACGAGCAGTACAGCTCAAGAACAAGTGACAGCCAAAGCAGAATGTTGGCATACTGCGAGTTCTTTCTCCCTTTCAATTGGATCCACGAGAAGTGCCATCGTCAGGGAACGCCTGCACCGGGGGCAATGTGATGGCAAGAGGGATTTCACGGCCCGGATGCCTACTACGAATCGTGTGATGACGACGATCTGGTGATGCTACATAATCACACCTCTGGAAAATGAGCTCTGGGTCTGTGAAAGACATGCCTGGGAGGAAGAGCGACTATTGCATGATCAGCAAGCCCTTCCTCCGGTGGCCTTCCCACTCGACATCCGGGCTGAAAGCCACTTACCTTTTCGAGCCGTGGACTTTACGGGTAATGCCTGTTATCTGTCTTCCTCATTACGCTATTCACTTGACGACCTTCTACACAACCCCGGACCAGCGTCTTGGGCCTTTTGGCTAGCATAAGCAGGAACCCAACGAGCTACGCTCTCGGGCGGCTTGGGGACAGAAGTCGCCTGTGACGCTGAGAAACGTTTTGTGTCTGACAGCTCAAGACCGAGTCGGGGGTTCATCCTCCAACCGTGGGTGGGTGGTCCTGGTGGGCTCTTTAGTCGCCCACTCAAATGTACCCAGATGGGTTACCGCTTCTGCTCGAGGCGCTGCCCAGATCCCCGGTGATGTCTTGGACGCTAAGGAGATGGCAAAGCACCCTGGTCCTTGCAGTGTTTTGCCCCTGTCGATGGCCACCCCTGTCCCTCATCTGCCGCCTCCCCTGCGCCCTGGTATGCTTTGCGGACCCCCCTGGTGCTGACTACGTAGGACCATTACCACCACATGAATGGGAACGACCATCGTGGCACAAAGCGGTTTCACTGCCACTTGACCTGAACGGCCGATAATGCCATCCCGTCACCGGCATCAACCTTCGTATCCCACGCGGCAAATGGATCAAATCCACTATTTACTGACAGCACTAGATGATACTCTAACCTCGACCAGCGAGCTCCTATCTCAACCCTGACTCGTCCGGGGCCACGTTGGAAAAGCAAAGAAGTCATAAAATCAGCCCACTCCATCCGTGACTCTGGCTTGTGCTTTTCTTCACATAACGCCCATGCTTATACCCGCTTTGATATAGAGAGAGCTATAACCGCCAGCTTCGTGCGCCTCTGCCCTTAGTTGAATCACATTTTCACAAAGACCTCGCCAGGCAGTGTCCCCTTCCCTGTCGCTCTTTCAAACCCTCACTCTTTCCTTAACCTCTGTCTTTACTAGACTACACTCCGATAAAATTTTCGGTGACCCAGTGGGGATTGTTCCTTGGAGATCACCTTTTTGGCCGGACATCTCTGCAAAGAACTACAATGGTCACTGAGTCTGGGTTGGTATCTTGGATTCCCAGGCTGAGACATCTCCACTGACATATGCGCAAGGGCAACCATAACAATGCCACCATCTGTCCCCTCCACCTCGACTACTTCTGGTACCGATGACCCCCTAACTTCGTCGTCCTCTCTGAAGACCACACCCCCCAACTCCAAAACTGAACCTAAGCCCATCAAACTTAGAGCAGCGTGCAACCACTGCTTCTCAGCAAAGGTACTCCATTCACTCCATAGTTTCACTTGTCCTTTTCCATTGACTCTGGCCGAAACAGGTTCGATGTGATGGGAACAAGGAGGGCTGTCGTCGATGCTCTGAAAAACGATTGTCTTGCGTCTACAGCGAATCCAGGGTCGGGAAAGTGGTAGGCAAACGACGAAAGCGGCCTCTTGACGACTCGATCGGCACCATCAACTCCCAGTCGTGGATTGTCCATAATTCGCTCCCTATCCAGTCTATTCCCTCACCCGCCACCACCCACGGTTCAGACGAACCCAACAGGAGGCACGGCAAACCGCCCACATGGTCCTCCTTCATCGTCAACAGTGATCCAGGTTTTTTGACGTTCGACGAGGCCACGGAGTCACTGGGCGCTCTGGAGATGTCAGACAATAGGAGCTACTCGATGGCCAGCGACCTCAGTTTCTTCAACAATAGTGGATTACCCACCCCGGGACTCAGTCCTCCTCAATTTACCCGATATCTGTCGCCGGCCCAGCTCGAAACTCGGCCTTTCACGAGACATTCTTCGTGCCCGGTTGATCCATCCAAGTTGCAACCTCCAACTTATGCCGTGCCATTTTCCCGCAACACCGAACCTGGCCCGGAAGACGAAGAAACTGTGTGCATCAAACTGCTCGCTCATCTCAAGAAACATTCGTCTGATGAGTCACAGCCACGGGAGATGCAGATTGAGCTGTTGAAGAAGAGCAACGCCGCCGTACGGAGGATATTACGCAGTCAGTCGGTTCGAGCCGACTACTCATGCCACTTGCTACTCTCGAACATCATCAACCACCTGGTGCGGATATGCGAGCGGATTTGTCAAGGCAGACTGGATGAGAGCGGCCTGGGGAACATTGAATGCCAATTCCTGCAAGACCAAATCCACTTTGAAGGCATGCCGGCTTTCTTCGACACCCCGGTTGCGTCAGCTGTGCCGGCCCCAGACCAGGACCTGCTGGGGGGCCTGGTCAAAGAAGTAATCGCCTTTACTTCAATAGTGGGTGAATTTCTGAAGAAAAAGCCTGTCTACGGGTTCCAGAATCTGGGACGGCATGAGACCTTTCATGTGGAGTTAGAGCAGAGGCTAAAGAAGGCGACCGTCCTGCTACAGTCTTGATGTATGAGGTATCGACGTATAGTCCCAGCCTTGATGGATGCCGTTTGATGCGGCACGGTGGGGGCGAGGACAGACAAAATGACATGACTGGGAAAATGGAAACGTTGAGAGGCGTACTGGCCCACCTTGTGTTTCTTCCTCTGCGTTCCTTATTGCGTTATGGGGCCCTTTTCATGCCTTGACCGTACGTTGCTTTTCTCCTTTTTTCCGCTCTTTGGTAGTAGCTAGGCCCATCTCCGGAGGTCAAAAGGCCACAAACTCGCCAAGACACGCGCCAGCCCCTTCCCCACAACGTCAGCTTTTAGGTGGCAGAGCGCGCTGCAGGCCGAGGAGCTCCCCTGTTTACGGGGCACAAGGAGCAGCTGGTGAGGCCTATGATGCCTGATTGGCGGCCTGTGCGGCCAAAACGTCGCTTCCATCGCCCAGAGTGGCCCACGGGCTGCCCACTCCCTCTACTCATCATCATGCCCATCATCATCCTTCAGACCCGTGTTCGGAAGGTGTTGATCTACGGTACAGCTCGTGGGAATGAACTTGTCAGACTACGGCGATTTCTGTTCAGACCTCCACTGTGCCTCAAGGCTGCCGAACTCTTTTCCTGCCTTGCGTTTTACTCATGCTTCGGACCTAGGAACCGCCGAGACGACTTTGTTTGGTATTCAGTCACCTACGATCCTCCACCTTTTGGCGTGATCGGTCCTGGCACCGGACCGGGTATGTACCAGTATTGTCCAACGGCCTAAACTCCCCAGGCACCGTCTGTCAAATGTGGGCCGAGACACCGTGTCGACGGACTCTGATCTCCCTCACCCCATCTGCGACCGTTGAAGCATACCGCGCAGGATGATGCGCCTCCGCCGCTACCGATTGTTCCTGCTGGTGGCCGTGGTCGCAGTTGTGTCAGTATACCAGCTGACTCGGGTCAAGCCCTGGGAGAATCCAGCTCTCGAGGCTCTCGTGGGATTGAAGAATGATCATGCTACCAAGAAAGTTGCTGCGAACACAGATTCGTCCGAAGAGCTTCCTGTTCCTGCTTCAGCTCCAGAAGTGCCCGGGGAGCCTCGAGTACAATCGGCACATCCTGCCCTACCACCGGTCGAGGTCTCCAAAAATGGTCATCTCCCTCCCCCTCCAGAAGAAATCGCTTCACCCCCGTCGAGTTCTTCGTCGAACGCACGGCCTGCGGTGACTCAAGAAGAGCTGCTCGCCAAGCAGCCGAAGTTTGATGATGGAGAAGAAGTTGATGAACATGAGGGCCGGCCTGGGCTCAAAACTCAAATCGTGGAGTCAGGGAGAGCATATTGGACACAACAGGAGGAGCATTTCCCAATACCATCAGAGAGTCTTATCCTGCTGCCGACCGGCGAGTCCAAGGCACTCCCCAGGGTGCAATACAACTTTGGCCGCGAAAAGCTTTCGATGAAGACAGATCGACTTCGAAAGCAGACCGTGATCCGCGAGGCGTTCAAGCATGCTTGGTTCGGCTACAAAAATTACTCTCTGCCTCACGATGAGCTCAAGCCCATATCAAAAGACGTGGGAGATCCATTCAATGGCTGGGGTGCGACCTTGGTGGACTCGCTAGACACCCTTTGGATCATGGGACTGCGCGATGAATTCCATGACGCAGTTGCGGAGGTGGGCAGGATCGATTTCAAGACATCTGCGAGAAGGGATATTCCTCTCTTCGAGACGACGATCCGTTACCTCGGCGGGCTGATTGCGGCCTACGATCTAAGCTCAGGGAACTACCCAGTTCTGCTGGATAAAGCGGTCGAACTTGCAGACATTCTGATGGGCGCCTTCGATACGCCCAACAGAATGCCCGCGGTCTTCTATGAGTGGGCTCCCTCATCTGCATCCCGCCCACACAGGGCCAGCGAGCACACAGTGCTTGCAGAAATAGGATCTCTGGCGGTCGAATTCACGAGACTGGCTCAAATTACCCGGGAACACAGGTATTACGATGCGATTGCACGCGTCACCAATGCCTTGGAGGAGTGGCAGATGCAAACGACTTTTCCAGGCCTTTGGCCGTTGAAGCTGGACGCATCCGGCTGTAAAAAGTCCAAAGTCGTTTCAAGGTCGGCAGCCGATGGTCATGCCGAAGGATTCGAGGCCTTTGCCCCTGTAAAGTCGAGGGATGGTCGAGAAGAGTTGTTTATGGTGGAGGGCCCAGCCACGGACAACCGGCGCAAACCCGACGATAACCCCTCGAATGTGTTGAATAAGCGACAACAGCTTTCATCGCCACCCCTAGACGAAGAGCCCTCCTTGAAGGGTAACACACTGGCTGCAGCTGAGCAGAAGCCTAAACCGCTAATCGACACAAAACTGAGTGAAGAGGCCGCGGACGATTCCCACTGTGAACCACAGGGACTGAGCACTGAGCCCGCATCGACTACCCACACTTATGGAATTGGCTCGATGGCAGATTCCACGTATGAATACTTTCCGAAGGAATATGCGCTGCTCGGCGGGCTCAACCAGCAGTACAAGAATCTATATCTGGATGCCATGGAAATTGTCCGAGAAGAATTACTGTTCCGACCAATGACTAAGGAGAACCACGACATTCTTTTTTTGGCAAAGAAAAATATCTCGCCCAAGGCCAAAGATCCTGTCAAAAGAAAAGAAACAATCTATGAAGGGACCCACCTGGGTTGTTATGCCGGCGGCATGTTTGCCTTAGGATCTAAGCTGTTCAACATCCCTTCAGACATGGTCATTGCAGAGAAGCTCACCGACGCGTGTGTCTGGGCTTATGCGTCGACCCCGGTGGGAGTCATGGCCGAAGAGTTCGAGCTTGTGCCTTGCGACAGTCGCACTTCGTGTAAGTGGAATGAAACCAAATGGTTCGAAGCGCTAGACCCAAGGCTTGAGGAGAGAATGCGCACGGTCGAGATTTACAATGACAATCAGCACAATCTTTACGAACAGTTACTAGCTGGCGTGGACGCCGTTCAGGATCACGCAGATGATTCCGTGGTCTCACAGATGATTACGGACCCCAGCTTGAAGAAGAGAGACACGCCCGTGGATTTGGGAGAGAATGAAGCGGCAGAAACATTTGTCTCTGACGATGCGGGTACACAACGAGAAGGACTCCGACCCATGACATTTACACCCCGTGTTGCGCTGTCTCACCAGAAGTACGTCGCGGCCAAAATCCAAGAGGAACGACTACCTCCAGGGTATACACGGATCAAGGCACGCGACTACCGGCTTCGACCTGAGGCAATCGAATCGGTGTTCATTATGTACCGACTGACAGGAGACGAGACGTGGAGAGACAAAGGATGGGCTATGTTCGACGCAGTCGACAAGGCAACGAGGACGGAAGTTGCCCACGCGGGCATCCGGGACGTGACCAGCCAATTGATGGAGCAGCAAGATTCCATGGAATCCTTCTGGCTCGCAGAGACGTTAAAATATTATTATCTCTTGTTCAGCGAGCCGGACTTGATCAGCCTGGATGATTATATTTTGTAAGTAATCTGAACACGAAGGCCGCTTAAGGAAAGCCCCGACTAACTGACTGACACAGGAATACCGAAGCGCATCCTTTCAAACGACCCAAGTGATTGTTGGATCCATTAGTGTCACTCTTTGGCCGGTGATCAGCAGGCATCATTTCGCCCATAAATGATTTGGGACAGGCGCTGTCTTCATTATCGGGTGTTTGGAGCACGGCGGAGATGACTGGCCGACCTTGAATTTATCTGGATACTTCCCTTACCAACAATATAGGTTAATGGTGAAATCAAAAATATCGGAATGGTACTCACCATTGTGCTTGTGGTATCAATAGAAGCCCGAGACAACAGGTTGAAGAAAGAATCTTAAAGGTTGGTTTGGTATACATGTGGACCTCATTCAGAAGCTACCAAATAAGTAACCCAGTATTTACGAGGTACGAGGTACAGGAGGGATAGTCGCTATAGGCGTGACGGGGCGCGAAGTCCCCCGGTATTGTAGGCGACGAGTGGTGATCCGCGGGGATCCGGGCCGATGCCTAAGCTGCTCGTAACACCCCATGCCTACGACGGGTGCTGCGTAGGTGGCACTGGTGGCTCAGTGGGCCATCAAGCTCAACCACGTGCAGCCATTGCCGTTTAGAGATTGTGACGCCGGGCGTCATGTGTTCGGGAATTCCTCGAATCCTACCCCAAACCTGGAATCAGTCCGATCCACACCAATCCGCACCCATCACCGTGACTTGTGACGGCTCGTCTTCTGTGCCGATACACAGCTCCCTTGTCGTCATGTGTTGCTATAGGATTGTTGGCCCCTGTTGTTCTGGCCTTGCTACGCCTTTGTTCGCATGAGAAGGAGCATCTGATTCGTTTCTGAGCCCGTCTCCTTGCCCGACCTTCCCCACGAAAGACGATATGAAGCTGAACGTAGCATGGAACACGAGGTGTCTTATAACTTCGAGGACGAGGACCAATTTTGGACCGGTAACAGAACACCCGATCTGCACTTTGGGACAGGAGCTCTGGCTGATTTGACTTCCCAGCTCTCGAAGAGACCGTCTCCCGAGAATGCACAACACATGACAGCATCGATGATACACTGCGATCCTACATAGAACTCATAGGGCAGAGTCGGGGTGCGTGCCACCAGGAAGCAAGAAAGAAAGAGGCAAAGGACCTAAGCTAACCATACTCGACCCAATCCAGGACACTTGTTCCTGAGCGACAATGATCTCGGCCGATGCGCCTTCAAGCTCCAGGAGTCGTCCCTGTTCGCAACCCACGCGGACTACATCCGCCGACAATTCGTTCAATGTTTGATTGAGGTTGGTCGAGCAAAAGTCTGAACCGTGCCAAACGGAGGCTGACACGGCACCTTTCGCAGGATGATGAGCCGAACGTCGTGTTGGTGTCGACATCCTTCTTGATCACCCATGCGCAGTTGCACGAAAAGACCTACGAGCTGTTGAACGATGAAGGAGCATTCCCGAGATTGATTCGTCTCATATCGAGCCCGAAGCAACATGGCCACGAAGGCATCCACAGACTCCTTATGGAGCTACTTTACGAGATGTCGCGAATACAAAAGATTAAAACAAGTGACCTGGGTACGTAGGCGGTTTGTCGAACCGAAGCTCGACTACCTTGCGGCAAAGGCTGATTCCACCACTTCACTACAGCGCATGTTGACGATGGTTTTGTCAAGATGTTGTTTGAAATTATAGAACAGGTTTCGGACGACGTCAATGATCCATATCACTATCCCACCATTCGAGTTTTGGTATGCCCATCAGTCCACATTCTCGAGCAACATACCTCTAATGATTTCTTCAGCTTGTGCTCAATGAGCAGTTTATGGTTGCCGCTCACGACCCTGCCAATGGCCAAGCTGCGGTGCCTCTAACAAACAAGGTCATCAAGGTCTTATCCGCACATGGCAGTGAGTACAAGACCTTTGGGGAGAACATTATTTTGCTGTTGAACCGCGAAGGTATTGTCCCGCATGATCTGCGATGTGGCTCTTGTTCTCTGACATCAGCAGATGAAACGTCGTTGCAGCTTCTGACCCTCAAATTGCTCTACCTCCTCTTCACAACTCCGCCCACCTACGAATACTTCTACACCAACGATCTGCGTGTCTTGGTCGACATATTGATCCGGAACCTGCTTGATCTGCCTGAAGAGGCATCGTCGTTACGCCATACCTATCTTCGCGTTCTATATCCCCTTCTCGAACATACCCAACTACAGCATCCGCCACATTATAAAAGGGACGAGATCCGCAAATTGTTGGTTGTCTTAGGTGGAGGCCATCTTGCAGATCAAAATGGCTCCCATGAAGGTCTGCATCATTGGGGCCATTTTGACGATGTTGATGAGACGACCAAACGGCTCGTTAGGCGGTGCGAAGGAGTCAGTTGGCTCATCGACCCAGAAACCGAAGCCCCTGTGCATGCAGAGTCTCCAACTGATGAAGGAGCATCTGACGTGTCATCACCGACCTCTCCTTCGAAAGCTCACCCGCCGGCTCTTCCAGCGCCTCGCAAATTGAAGAAACGAAACTCCTCCAAAGGCTCCACGCTGACTATTGGTCAGTATCTCACGCCTCGACTTGAGGGAGCCAGACAGTCCAGCCTGAGTATGATGGAGGTGGCAGCTCAAAAAGAAAAGCCAGGAGTGATCACTCCAAGCAGAAACCCAGGGTTGAAAAACAACCTTCGAGCTGTGATCATGCAAAAGAAGGAGAAACCTCCGCCACCCCAAGCAAGGAGGTCAGGCCTCTCGCGCATGAGGATGGAAAGAATGGAGAGCGATACTGAAATCGCGAAGACAGAAGTGCCGAAGACGGAACCGGCGCCGAAAACTGAGGTCGACAATCGTAGCCCGACCAACAGTCATCACCATCGTCACCCCCCTATCCCCTTCCATCACCATCATCATCACCATAACCATGGTGCAGACGCCCCAGCACCGGTACCGGAGGAGAAAGATAAGGAAAAGGCTAAGCCACCTCCTGTTCCTTCCCACCACAAAGGCCATCATTTCGGGAAGAAGCCCCCGCCCGCGCCCAGAGCACGGCGCAAGCGAGGTCGAGAGGGTAGTGGTGACAGTACAAGAGAACCTGGCAAATTCAGCTCGAACCTGCCATCCATCATCACAACAACAACAACAACAGCGGGTGGAAGAGTTGTTGAGGCAAGTCCCTTCTCGCCAGTAGATAAGACGTTGAGCCCCTCAGAATCGGAGTCCGCCTCAACAATCGACAGTCGGATGAAGCTGCCGGTCAGCGAGGCATTAGAGCAGGTACAGGCCAGAGCCTTGGCGGAGATAGAAGAGTCATTGGAGCACTTCGAGCTCGAAAGGCAGGCCGAGAAAGACCTTGCGGGAGAAGATGAAAAGCCGGAGTTGCCGATCACGGAAGAGCCCCAAGAGAAAGAAGTTGTGTCTAGTAGCTCACAACATGCGCCCGAAGAGGAAGGCCAGGAGGATAACAAGCAGGACCAGCCAGCGATGTCCCGAGCGCACTCCCAGGAAGAAATCGACCAGCAGTTTCACGATGCCGTTCCCAATCAGCCTCTCTCACAATCTCAGACGCTCTCTCCGACACCCTCTCAAATTCTAGTCCAATCTCATACGTTATCTCTACACCCAACCGCTGAAGAGATGGCCACGCCTCCCGAATCGATCACGCCAGCCGTCACCCTGACCACGGCCACTGGTATGACGGGTGCCAACGTAATGCAGCAGAGTCAACCCCAGCAGGCGCCCAGGATGGTCCTCACCCCGCCGGCACAAGAACCGTCACGAGGTGTCCCAGGCCCGCAGTATGAACTAGAACGGAGCCCTTTCCTCACCGACGAGGAGTTCGAGGAAGAAGACCTGGATCAGATGGACGAAGAGGAAGGCAGGCGATGAGCGAGGGAAACCGACAAAGGAAGGCAAACAATGGATTTACCAAAGAAAGAACACGGATCCCAGCAGAAGGAGCTTGACGGTGCTGCCAGTTCTATCCCATCATGTTGAAGTTCTACGGTACTGGTGGTGAATGAAGATAACATGCCCGGTGGTATGTCTGGCGGCCCTAGCGGATTCCCTACGTGGCTCACAAGCACCAGGGAGTAAGTAGAGTCGAGCAGGAGACGGTGTTCGATCGAGTCGGGGCCTGGTCTGAGAGCGCCCCCTGCCCTCCGGTCGAGGTGGAAAAAAAAACCGCTTGTAGATAATACCAGTAGAAAAACGAACGACAACGCCCTTGGGAAGCTCAGCTCGCGCTCCACCACAACCCGGGATGGGTTGCTCCTCATAGAACGAACGATCGATCTCTACGAGATCAAGCGAGATACGACGGACGACTCAAGCCTCTCTCTCTCTCTCTCTCTCTCTCTCTCTCGTGTTCTGTCCATCCCTCTCATTTCCAAGTGAATAACAACAGTACTTGAAAACGTTCACCTGATGCCTAGCAGGGCGATCCAGGCCATGCGAGACCCGACGAATGAGAAATAATCTGTCCGAAAAGCACAATTGTGGGAACTATTTCTTGGATTGATCCACATGGCCGTGTCGCCGGGGAAATTGATTGCTATGAGCTATGAGCTATCTGACGGTCGTGCACACGCATGGCGTGAGCGGGATACAAAACACAATAGCCAAAGCTCGGTATCCATAACCATATCCAGTCCTGATCCTAGAACGGTCATGCCTGCATGCCTGTGACTGATGCCCTCTTGACAAGCCACCTTATCTCGCCATACGTATCGCAGAGTGTGTTGTGGACTTGACTGATAGAGTTGCATTGATATTTGCCGGGCATACGATAAGCAAGCAATTTTGCCATAAGACAGGTTCCCTCGTTGCTGCAGATATCATGGTCGGACTCTTCTGTATAACACGGCTGCAACAACCTCGTAGGACTCACAATCGGACAGACTGGGCCATCCATGCAGGTTGAATTGTAGTATTACCACTGTGCTCAAGTTCCAACCTCTTCCTTGTAGGTGGGTCATGCAATGCCGGCCTGGGACTGTAGCTGAAGACTGGGTATCTGTTGTTGGCTAGCAAGAAGGTCGAATGGTGTTCGTTGCAATCGAAAAGAAAAAGAGGGGAATAAACAGGGGGAAGAGAAAAGTATGTCGGCTGCCTGTTCTACCGTCACATCGAGTTCAATCTCGAACGCCGTAAACGCCGTCGCTATGCAGGAGTAACAAGCATTATTCTTTGTAATGAAGGTGCAATTGTCCATTGTTGAAATCGCCGATCGTGTTTCCAACTGTTGACAATTACACGTGCCGGTTGTCGTACCGTGTGTGTTTTCTCCTTGGATATGCTGAGTTGTCGGTGTAAGCTTGCCACTCAGTGCCTCCAACGTCGGGTTTTAGGGTGAAATGTCCACTTGATGAATTTGTAAAATGCTGTCCGACCGGGTGTAATGTGTACTCTGGAACAAAAGGGCCATGACGAAGGACAAGTCCGAACACAACTCAATGGCCATAAATGCCAAAGAACTGCTCAACCCCAAAAGCTCCAGGAGCCTTGTAGGTTGCATCGTAGGCTTGGAAGAGAAACAGGCCGCCGGGGTTTGAACTGAAGGCACTCATCAAAGAATTGATCGCAGTCTGCTGGTTGGCAGGGGACGGGATAGCCTGGCCGTTGGGCGATCCTTGATATGGCCAGCCGGACTCAGTGACGATGACTTGTTTGCCATTTGCCTTCTGAGCGATCGGGGCAATCACACCCTCAACGAAGGTGCCTGCGTTACTGGCTGGTGTGTTAGGATCGAAAAAGGCATGAGCGTTGACGGCGCAAAAGTCCGATGCTTGGCAGAGTTGAGGATTGTTTTGGTGTGCAGTGAAGGTGTCCACGGTGACAACGTTCTTGGTGAACCCAGCAGCTTGCAGGATAGGACGAGCCACGGCGACCGCAGCGACAACATCGGCAGCCGAACCACCTGAATTAACAACTTCGTTACCAATGACGACAGTGTTCACCGGGCCCCAGTTTCCATTGATCATACCAACAAGCGTGCCCAAGTCACCAGCCACGTTGCCGATAGTGTTAAGACCCAGCATGACTTGCAAGCCTTGAGCAGCGGCAGCAGCTGTGGCCACACCAAGGTCACAGCCAATGTCGTAGAAACGGATTTTGGTGTACCCTTGGCTGGCCAAGAAACCAAATTCGGAATCCATGGTGCCTTGATCTTTGCAACCACTGCTGCCAATGAGTTCGTAGCAGATGCCAAACCCACTAGCAGCGGCGTTGGCACCGGCACTGGCTCCATCCTTGACACCTTTGTTGGAGTTTCCGTAGTTCCCAGCTGCAGCAGTGCTTCCTTGAGCGGAAATGCTATCAGATGTGGTTGAAGGCTGAGCCGCACTGGCGACCGGTGGAGGAGAAGTATAGGAGACCTCGGAAAGAGGAGAAGCGGAAACAATTGGCGCAGGCTCGGGAGTGGGGACTGGCGGAGATGCAGGGGATTCAGACGCAGGGGAGGCTGATTCGAATCGGGGAGGAGGAGCTGACACTGGGGCCGGAGCATATGCATTTGGCACGACCACAGGAGTTGCAGCGGAATGCGATGCGGCAATGGTAGGAGTTGGGTGATCACGATATTCGGTAGAAAGGATGTTATTGTACTGGTCAACCCAGACGACAGCATTGTTGGCAGTGACAGTCACGACGTCAGTGACCGTCGCGAAGTCAGTCTCAACCTGGTGGCGTGCAGCATGCTGATGTCGATGATTGCCTCCTGGAACAGGTAAGCTTTAACCTCGAGTGCGTCGGAAACCTTGAGACCTACCATGGGGAACAGCCAACACGACTGGTCCGCACAAGGCCGCCAGAGCGAAGACGGTTGCTCTCATGATGGATGAGACAGTAAGTGAGAACTGGTTGAAGCAGTCAAAGGAGCGTCAAGACCTATACTGGTGGAAAGCAAAAGTAGTGAGCAGTCTGTCTCACCGACCGGCGGTCTTCAGAGAGGGAAATCGACCAGTGCCGGATGGCCTGGACGGGGTTTGCTGTGGCGTATAACGATCTTCTATAGGGAAGGAGGGAGATTGCCAGTCAGTGCCCAGTTGGTCCATGCACCGTCGTCGACGGCTTAAGTAGCCATCCTTTGTTGGCATTGGCGACGACCAGACAATGCACGGACAACAAAGACGAAGTTCTGGGCTGCGTCCAGCGAGCTGCTTCTGGGGGGACCAAGAATGCATAACGGTTTCAGGAGCGACCCGAGACACACGAGACGCGTCAGAGCCGTGGTCCTGTTCTCATAGTAGCTGCGAACGGCGCGACGCTGGGGGCAATGACGGGGCAGAGACATCACGGCGGCGACGAGGAAGAAGCAATCAGAGAAACTCACCGGTCTAATCAAGAAAAAGGAGTGTCTGATGGAACCGTCAGAGAGCGTCGGGTTGCGAAAGGATGAATCTGATGTTGTTGTTTGGGTATTGCACAATCCAGGAATGTCGGGAGGAATTCGGGGTCTGAGCGGCAGAATTTATATCTGCCATCACTGTCGCTTCACCCTCATTTCACCTTGGCGAAACCGCTCATAGTGTCACTCGGCCTAATCAGCTGCTGCAAGGCGAACCGGGTAAATGTGGTTATACATGGGCAACAATTTGGTGAATCGACTTGCCCATGTGCTGTGCAGTGAAGCCATCTTCGCGTCACCCTGCTTGCTCCTAGGCCGGAGTTTGGCCATTGTCCAATATCCCATATCTACCGAGTTGTTCACAGTCATGAACCAGGACCATAACAGGTGGTGAACGCATTTTCTCAGGCGGCCTCCCCCAGGATCGACATATCGATGCCAATGTAACCTGAGAGGAGGGCAAGTACCATTGTACGGCATTATGTTGCTTTCGATAGCCATTGCGTACATCATCATTGACACTATTTCCCTAGGTACTGTCACAGTCAATCTCTAAGATCTCTTGATCAACCGAGCGAAGGCTTCGTCGTTGTTGGACGTGATGACCTGGAATAGCCTGTTCATTTCACCAGAATGTTTACCTACGTGTTCGAACGTGGACAGAACTCGCAGTGACAAAAGTGAACGACATTCAGCTGATGCCCACATGGTAGCCATAAGAGATCGCTGTCAAGGAAGGTCTTCGAATACAGATCATGAGCAGCAACAACATGGTTGATGTTACTTGAGGAGTCGGAAGGTAATTTCCATCTTGGCCAAAAGGGTTTAGCCTGGACAAGATGCAGCTTTGTCATCCTCGTCAGCCTTATTCCCCATGAAAGAGATATATAAAGAAACTACATGACACCGAACCTCCATGCATTTGATCTATGCGGTATCATCAATCATCAACCTGAGTCGCATTAGAGCCCCCGGTCATTGTCTTCGTGCCCTCAGTCTTTTCATAGACGTCGTTCCGGCTATGCCAAATCTTGTCCTCACACAAACCCCGGAAAAAGAGTTTCAGCCCAATCATCAACCCCCCCTTTCACCATAGTCTCTGGCCCACTTCTCGAACTCCTCCAACCCCTTCTTGCTCACACTTGGTCGAATACTATCCAAGCTGGCTTCAAAATCCATCATCTGAATGGGTCGAATCTGTTCTTTAGGAGTGTACAGGAGAGCCTCGCCGAGATGCCTCAAGGGGCCCATGGCTGCATCCTTTGCAAGCGCTGTAATGTCGGATCCAGAGTAGCCTGGTTGGGAGCGGTGAGCATCACGTAACAAGAACAAGGGAAGGGGCATTCTCGGGAACTTACCCTCCGTCAATTCGACCAGCCGAGCGATATCCTCCGGGCTTAGATCATGCTTCTGATGCCCCAACAACGTCCGAATCTGTGTCTCCCGGGTCTCTGCCTCTGGCAAAGGGATATACTGTCTTCTCACAAATCTCCGCCTTGCCGCATCGTCAATGTCCCACGGGCAATTTGTCGCTGCAAGCACCAGGACTCGACTAGCGTCCCCCACCGTCGTGTCTTTGCCAGCTGCTGCTCTTTGCAGGTCGGACCACTGGATGAGAAATTCTGTCTTACTCCTCCTCGACGCTTCGTGCTCGCTTGACCCGCTTCGGGCACTCAGCAGGGAATCGATCTCGTCGACAAAAATGATACTAGGCGCCAGAGCCTTCGCCAGCGCAAACAAGGCTCGGACGAGCTTCTCTGATTCGCCATGCCATTTGCTCGTCAGACTGCTCGCACTGATGGCGAAAAAGGTGCTTTTGCTTTCGGTGGCGACAGCCCTTGCAAGCATAGTTTTGCCCGTCCCTGGGGGCCCAAAAAGGAGCATCCCTCGAGCCGGCTCGCGGAGGCCCATGAATAGATCCGGTCTGAGAAAAGGGTATACCACTGCTTCCTTCAACGCCTTTTTGGCAGCAGTAAGGCCGGCAACGTCGTCCCAGTGAACTTCATCCCCCTTGACCACAATTTCATTGATGATCTGCTTGGCGGCATTTTCATCCACTCCTTTCGGTAGATTCTTCAGAAGATTCTCCATCCGCTTCTCCTGCGCCGACAAGCCATCTTCTTCCGGCGACTCGCCATCCGTAGATGGTGGAGTAATTGTGTTGGCGCTCGCGGTCCTGATGCCAGGGTCTCGTGTGGGTCTGTCAAGATTCCGTTGAGGGGCCTCGTCTTCGCTGTCGGAATGTCCACCGCGTTTATGAGGAGAGCGCCCTCTTGTCTCAAGCGCTGTATCCGCTATACCCACCGGTTTGCGGGATATTCCCGGTGCACTCCCCCCGGATCCAACTTTGGGGTAGGCTCTCTCTAAGATATTCCTGGCGAGGGGTTGAGGAACATTATGTGCCCGTGGAGGGTACTCTCTTCGATATGTGATCTCGGGCGCTTTCGGTAAATGAATTGGAGATCGGGGCCTTGCTTTGGCGCCTGGCTGGCCAGTGGGTGACGCATGATGGGGCACAGGAGGCGGCGACTTCTCAGGCTCCGAGTCGAGGTCGATAAGGCTGGGTGCAGAGTCGGGAGTCAATTTAAGACTTTCCATTGACTTGTTCATCGATGTAGGGGGCGGAACAGAAGCCGAGTTCGGAATGTCACGCGTGATATGCTGTGACACGTAGTCAGGGACACTTAACAGAGACGAGGCATTCGACTTTCGGTGCTCTTCCCATCTGGCTGTCGCATCTTGATCGATACTCCGTCTGGCAGCCGTAGCACTCAGTCTGGCTTCGATCGTGGGGTCTGATTCTGGTCTTTGGTTAGGTTGGGAGTTCTTCCGCGGTTGGGACTCCCATGCCAGGCCAGCCGCTTTCATAGTCTCGGTTCTTCTGTCACGGTTCGAAGTTGATCGATACTTCATGAATCCCTTCCTCTCTGGGCGTAGTGTTGTCCGCATCGTTTTCCTGCCATGATCCGGGCTAGGACTTCTAGAAGCCTTCATGGTTGGGACAGGTAGAGTAGGCGGAGCACCCAAAGGTGAGGACCGAATCCGTGATATCGGAGAGGTGTTGTCGCGTGCCACCGTCTCACTGCTCCTGGTGACGCCCAGTGGCGGCCGTGGAGGTAATGCTGGCGTGGCATTGGGCAGTTCAGACATTTGCATTGGTGGTATCGTCTCTCCTCCAAGCCACGAGCCAGCCGGTTCAGAGGTCGGAGGCGTCGCTATCGAAGGGTGCCCTCTGTTCTTCCCAAGACGTTTTCTTCCACTGCTGCCGCTGCCACTCGTGCTTCCACCGCCGTTGCCAGTTCCACCTCCATTCTTGTTTTCGGCCTTCTCTTCCTTGCGAGATTCTATCCCTAGCTCTTCCCGACTTCTCTTTAGAGTCTCGAGGAGATCGACTCGTTCCTTACATTGTATCTCCAGTTCCCTCAAGGAGTCGTACAGAGCCCGCTCGGTCTCCGACCGGGGTGAGTAATTAGACGAGAGTTTGGAGGCCTTGTAATGATTGATTTGATCGAGCGCCGCCTTCCATGAGCGGAGAGCCTCGGTCTCATTGCCCTGTCGAAAGCCACCGAGTTAGTGCGAAATTGAGAAGGTGGACAATGGCATTTGCATTACCTGGCCTTCAAAGAAGACCGCCGTCGAACACTGGAGATAGGCCTCATCGTAAGTCTTTTGCATTGACGAGGAAGGCTTGCTCCGCAACATTTTGCACGGTTTGTGAGGATGGGGACATGCTCAAACCAGACGAACAAAGAGGACGAGGTAGTGGCAAAATAACACCCGGTGAATTACTTGGGCAACTTCCGTCCACGAAGGCTGAGCCTCGAATGCGTTTGTCGAGAACGGGACGAGAAGGCAATACGCAGGACAACCTACGGACTAGTCACTGGAGACAGTCCGCTGCCCGCAGTCCGCTGTACACAGCCTGGCCCGCCCCCCATACGTCACCTGAACAGTGGCCCAGCAGCCCGTCACACGAGTGCTCTCTAGACATGGCCGGAGGCAACCAGATGGGAATTCGCACCACTTCATAAGTCCAAACCAAAGGTCAAACAAAATCTAAATGCGTGATAGCAGTTTCAGTCACGGAAGAAAAGGCACGTGGACTCTGTACGGCAGCAGGGACGCCCGTAAGGTAAGCACAGGCACGACCACCAACGTTGCTCCCATAGCACCTTTGATTTTCATCGCTGATTAGCCTGGTCTATCAGATGATGGAAAGAGACCCATGAACAGCTGGTCGAAACGCTCACCCCGTCCCACTTTTGGTGTTATGCCATAGATGTACAGTATTATCCCAAGGTCCCTTTCCCCCGAACGTCGATAGCCGACGAAAGGCAGGTATCAGCGCCCTGACCCCATTGCTGTAACGCCTTTTGTTTTCGCATATATGCATGCACCCCTACTGCCATTCATTGCGAATGTCCAGGAAGTTCTGCCCTGTTGAACGGAAATCGTCATGATCATGCTCGAGCAGCCAACACAAGCACGAGAACCGCGGCCGACAACCTCCCAACCGCACCCTCCATTGGGTATCTTGTTTGCGCAAGGAAGCCATGTCAACACCATTGTCACACACTTTGCAGGTGCCAGAACCTGCTAGATCCCTTGTTGCTTGGCACGGAAACGTTGAAGTGATGTTCGTCGATCTTTTGGCCACACAAAGTCGATCATAAATTATTGGTATGATGTGTCTGTTCTTCCCGAAGCGTCCTCTTGAAGTAAGCCTTTGCCATTTCGTATGATGACCTGAAAGACCATGTTAGAATTTGATAATTAAAAAAAGCCCCGAGGAGTCCAGGCCTTACCAGCAAATGGCGGTGCTTGGCATGGTGGTGATGATTCTCGGCCGCCACCCTCTCATAAATCCCCTCCAGCCAAACTCTTTCTTGATAATGGACGCAGCGTGGAACAATCCTCGTACGTTGCGTATCTCGGCTTGTTGACTCAACCCCCTCGTCTGGAGCAGAGTCTTGATCACATCCAGTGGGGTCGTGATACCGGCCGCAAAGGCTCCGGCCAGGCCACCAGCCACGCAATGTGTAATCGGATCATATTCTTTCCGAGGATTCATGACTTTGGAGAGAGATTCGTAGGCCATGAATTGCGTAGCCGTGAAAGGGACGGTCATGCATAATGTCGTGGGGTAAGATACGTAGAATGCGGAAATACCCTCGGCGCGCCAGACTGAGCGGGCGCATTGCGATATTGTCCGGTAGGTCGACCCGTGAACCTGCATTCGCTGCTTAATGACTGCGACAGACCGTTAGAACCATGGTCAATTAGTTTTTGTGGGAAGGCTCCAGTGAGATAGATCCGTACCATCGAAAGGGTTCATCAGAGCATCACTCGCAATGGTTGCACATGCTCCGCTCGCCGCTGGAAATCTCAGTTAGCACCGCCCCCAACCCCGACGAACGCCGCCAACTCCAGAGCTCACTTACCAGCAGCGAGGGGATGATGTTTGCCATCTGCTTTGTTCCCACCTGCAAACTCCTTGACCACTTCGTATGTGCCAAAATATACGGCATGAGCAGGGCCTAGTGTTGGTTGTTAGAATCGGAGGTAATCCGGCGTTTCCCATGTCCTCCTATTCAAACCACGCACCTGCTCCCACGATGACACTGGTTACTCCTCTCCATAATGTCCGTAGGCCTTCTATCCGATATATCGTAGATACTGCGTGCGAAAGCCCCGTATACAGGCCGCCGGCCGAAGGATTTATGATTTGCATCCGTGTCTGGGTCAATGCTGCGTTAGCAGTGTGTCCCCGCCAGCGTCGGGAGATGGGACGACTTCGTACCTTCATCAAGTCCACCGGATACATGACCGTATGTTCCTGAACCTAATGTCAGTCTTCCTTCCCTGCCTCTTGGTTTTCTTGGGCGTACTGCAATGCCTGCGAACGCGCCGGCCATCATATTGTGTCCGAGTCCATAGTTCGGCGGTAGAGCTTCATACCTGCGAAAATGTCAATGCTCGTTCTGACCGCCCGTGACGAAGGCCACCACTCACTCATATTCTTCACCAGGTACTGCATCCGGGCTGCTCGACACTGACATATTCTCCGCGGGCAATGCCGCTGGGAATTTGGCTGACGCCGCCACGATTGCGGATGGTAATTCTGTGCCTGCTCTCTGCAAACTTCCGCCGAGAGTGCACACGGTTGCTCAGAAAGAGCAAAGAAACGAAGGCAACAAGTCCTGCTGACCAGGAAAAGGGCCTTGGGAATGATTGATGCCGGAGTGAAATGCGCAGGCAAAGAAAAAAAGGATCCGCAGCAATATCAAGTCAGAGCCAGGGCGAAATAATGGCCCGGGCGAGGCACTGAGATCGCTCCAAAGATTTTGGGTCGACCTTGACGGCTGCTGCTTAGAATTTTGAGCCAGGGTCTCTTAAGCTCAGGCTGGCTGGGGGTGAGCTACGAGGGCTGGTTGGTTGACGGGCTCTGCGGCTCGACACAGTTCCCATCCATGACGCCCCCCGGTGACTCTAGAATCCTTCTTTCGGGGCCACGCACTTGTGTCATGATGCCTACCAGCTCTAACATCTGCCTGCTCATACTTGCCCTTTGCCATCTCCCGTCAAGCGTCGTATTCGTCTTCCGACTTCGCTCCACGCTCGCTGTCAAACACCTATTCTGGCATCGTCTCCCTCGCTCTCGCCTCGGCTTGAATTCATTCTCTCGGCCATAGTCACCGAATTGTACAAATACCTAATTATAATTACAGAATGTTCGGCCTTTGAGAAGGGCGTGGAATTGCAACTACCGAATACGTATTCCTTCCTGTTCATCTATGCCCCAGCATCCACCCAATATGAGGTCTTTAAATCATGGCACTGGGCATATAGTGCATGTTTGTGTCTGATGTAGACGGATGCGTCGTATTGTAATACACAGAGGCTCAGTCGCCAGGAGACACGTGAACCTGTTTCTCACACAACGTCCTCCGTACTCAGTCAGAACAACAAAGAATGACGCCGACCTTGCATGCATTATGCTTCCAGCGCCCTCTACTGTACCGATACTCTCGAGTCAAGTCCAAAGCTCTTCGTCTGAGCACCATCCGTTCATGATAATGCATCCAAGTTGCCCCTCCATCAGGGAACGCCTCGCTAGCATAGCCGTCAGCCCGCCGCTGGTTGATCATGCGTATCGCCATTATTTGCATAGGTATTCATAATATATCATATCTCGACATTGAACTTCCATTGGTCTGTCACGGTCAGTCAAGAACGAGTCACAGGAACTGCTCGGGGCAACGAACCTTTCTTCAAGTTTTCAGCCGTGTCACTCAACAGAATCTCCCGCCTCCGGTTGCAATATGTCGTCTTGTCAAGGATCTCAACTTTCAGATGTCCGAGCTCTTGCACTGGTTTCTCAAACATCTGACTCAGGTTTTCCACTGCCATTTCCAAATCCTTTTGGTTGTCCTCGAAGATTTCGGTCATGTTGTTGCGAGCAAGATAGAAAGCAAAGGCGTAGGTCCATTTCAAGGTCTGACGACAATTTTGCAGGGCTTTGGAGGCATTGTCAAGAAATTGAACTTCGATCCACGACATATTAGACTGGGATTGAAGGCTGGTCATCTTCTTTTCGGTCTTGAGCCACAAGTCCTTGTCAAGCTTCGCCGACTGTTCGTGGTTGGCGTAACGGTTGTAGTAATGCAGGTAGCGCTCCAACGAGTGTCGAGACCGTGCTTGAGCATCACGAGCATCCGCTCCTGATTTCTCCTCGAATCGGTTGCAATTGTACCAACTAGTTCCATGCTCCGACCAAGGGCCCATACACATCCAACAAAATTCGTGTTTGCATTTCCGGCACGTCATATGATTGCAACCTCCATTCTTCTCGATGGTCGAATTACACTTGGGACACTCCTTTGTGTTGGCCGATATCCAGTTGGAAGTTTCCGAATCATCCTCGCACTTCTTCAGCCACTTCTTGACGAGGGCGCAAGGCGCCGGACGGTGATCGGCTAGCGTGCATCCAAAGCAGAACAGATGGTCGTGGGAACAGCGAACGGTGGGGACAATCCGACTGAGGTCGCGTTTTCTCACAGGACAATCCACGGCATATTCACATTCAGGAGCCGGGCACCATTTCAGACTGTCCTTGTCGTCCACATAAGTTCTAGTGAGCAGGACGTGATAGCGGTCCATGACACTCTGGTCGACCAACAGCTTCAAGGATTTGGAGTCCACAATCCGATGGCAGCCATCGAAGGGGCACTCGATTCTAGCGGCTTCCCCTTCCTCCTTGACTTTCTGTGTAAGGTATTGGGTATAACAGTTGGTACAATATCTGTGGTCACATTTCATGGCATACGTGACCAGGTCTGGAGAGTCCTCGAAGCAGATCTCGCAAGTGAAACCCTTGACCTTCTGTGTCTTTGGGGCCTCTGCAAACGTGGGTCCCAGCCCAGCAGCCTCGAGAACTTTGTCTTGGTTGTCCATGTATGATTCAATCAGCTTCTCCTTGTTCCATCTCATGAATCGAAGCAGGATAGCGGTCTGTTCCACGGGCAGCTCGATGATGGATGAAACCTCCTTGAACTGTTGTTCCTGCTGGGCTTGGATATCCTCTGGACTCAGAACTTTGTATTCGACTTCGTAGGGTTTTTGCGGGTTCGTAAGGATGTCTTTCTCGTAGCCAAAGCCACCATCCTGGTCTTGCTCAAAGTCTATAACAAGTTCGTCAGTGTCCCAAAGCCATCAGGCAGCAAGACAGGGCAATACTGACCGCCGGCTAAACTGGCAATATCGCTGTCTTGTGTGCCTTCATCGAAATCAATCTCGTCCCCGCTCGGTGGATCTGACATAAATTCGTCTTCCGAATCCATGGCTTTCGGTGACGGCGAGCCGGGCTCGGTGATGGGAGTGGACAGACGCTGCGCAGGAGGGGCGGATCTCTTGAGGGACTTTGCCGCACCGGTGCTTGACGCGTCAGGGACGCACTCCGCAGCCTTTCTTTTCTTTGATAGAGGTGTCGTGTTGGCTCTGATAAGGGCAGCTGCGTCTCCAGACGAGACAACAGGCTGCTAGCTTGGTGAGGGGATGACCGGCGAGGCAGGTGACCAGCGTCTGCGACCACTCACTGTACCAACAGAAGATTGGCAGTGGGCTCAACCGAAAAGACGCTCAAGAAACTAGAAGACAGCTGTTTACACATATCAAGACAAGTCGTAAGGGTTCAAATGCGGGCAGGGAAAGTCTCGAGTCGATCCAGATGACGGAAAGGAAAATGGTTGTAGGGACAAGGAGACGTAGGGCAAATGCAGGTGGCACCACGACGCCCCCGGCTTGTTAGTTACAGGGCGATGGAACAGGGCGAGCGACAGGGCCACTACTGTGCCAGGGTGGCGATCGACATTACTGATCAGGTCGTCATGACTCCATTTTTGCGTGACACGTGACGGAACACCTCAAGGCTCAGGCTCAGTATGCTGCGAGGACATTTTGCCTCTTTGCTGTCAAGGCGTCCATGTCGTTGGGATCCTTTCCATCCAGATCCCGAGATATCCCTTGACACATTGACGATTCCACCATGGCTGTCAAGGACGACATACGAAGCGATATCGCGCCTATGAGCAGAACAAACCCTTGCAAGGCTGGTGCTCCTCCAGCGAGGACTCACTCATCTTCTTCCTCGCTTTCACTCTCGCTCTCGGCGTTTTCCAGCCAGTCAATAAATTGTGAACTTGGCTGTCTCACCGCTGCCATCTCTGGTTCATTGTTGGATCTTTCATCAGCCCACCAGTCCGTGAATGCTTCCTCCCCAAACACCTCAAGATCATAGAGATCTTTGACAACGAATAACAGAGTCTTGCCACCGTCTTTCCGCTTGGATAGTTCTTTTTGAGCATCGAGAAGAAACGACACTTGCTCTTCGGTAGCCTGCTCTGCACCTGTTCTGCGAATAAGTGGGTTGTACGCCGCAAGGATCCGCCTGGTCGCTTCTGCCGCGGACACTCCAGCCTCGATTTCCCCGTGGATGTGCTTCATGAGCGCCACTGCGACTGCCTTACGGACCTGTGTCTCATCTGCCCCTCCACTAAACCTCAGACCCATCAGTTCGCTAAGCATATCATCCACATGCTTCCGTTCTTGCATTCGTTGGATGAGGATCGCCACTGTGTCGTGTTGAAACCGGTCGGTGGATTCATCGCCAAAGCTTTGGCTTCGCGATCCGCCCAGCGAGGAGATTTCGTCTTCAGATATGTCCGATTCGAGAGTAGATACTGAATCGGCGAAGTCTGGTCTGTCATATACCAACTTCGAGAGTCTCGAACTCAGATAGTCTTCCTCGTCCTCGACATAAGCATGGCCTTCTCCTGCATCGCCAACAATCAAGGTGTCATTCTTCATCTGCCCATCTGCTCCTCGCTGTGATTTGACGATTCTTGAACCCGCACGGACCGTAGTACCAGCGGCGATCTTAACGCCGAAGGAAATCAGAACACCTTCTTCAATGATGCAATCGTCACCGATGAAGGCCTCGTTCCCGATGATAGCGCGGGAAATTTTGACATTGTTGCCAACAGACACATCGTCCCAGATGTAGGCAGCGTCAATTTTGGTATTCCTTCCGATATTACACCTTTGGCCGAGTACACTGCTCCTTATGACGCATCCTGCGCCGATGGCAGTTTCCGGACCGATGATTGTGCCTGCTTCGAGTTTTGTGGGTTTGGCTGAAATGACCTTTTTGTCGACAATGACCCCATTCTGCGAACGGGCGTAGTGTGTGTCGCCGAAGACGTTATTTTCCACCGCTATTGATGCGATTACTCCTTGCTTCATATCCTGCGATATGGCGTTGTACGACCAAAAGTCTGCAGCTCGGGCGGCGTAATGGTCCTTCACAATATATGTATGGATTGTCTTCCCATTCAGTTCCCAGTCCTTTAAAACGCCAAAAAGAAAGTCTTTTCGAGGCGATTGGTTGTCAAAGTTGTCTGACCACAGGCTAAGAACATCCGGCGTATATATGTCGATTCTGCAGTCAATGAGGTCCTGACGAACCTCTAGCTCGGAAGTCTTTAACAGTTCGGGGTCAACGTGGGAGGTGAACTGAGTACCTGGAAATGCTTCCTCGTAGTGCAGACATCTATCCTTGGTGGGATCGATAACAAAAGTCGGTACTATTCCGCCATTGTGGTCATGGATTCCAGGCTCAGCCTCCCGAAGGACCATGGTCATGATGGCATTTTTGTCCTTTTCCCGTCGGGCCTTGTGCTGTCGCAACGCCTTCTCGATGGGAAAATTTGCGACTATGTCACCACTAACGACAATGAAGTCTCCCGCCATCAAGTGCTTCTGATCGAGATCTCTCATCACGTCCCCCACCGAGCTCGCAACGCATCTCAGAATAGTCAGGCTCTCAAAAGGTGAGTTGGAGGCCTTCCACCGAGACCCTTCGATGTACGTTTCCACCTGGTCGGTATGTGCCCCGGCGTAGAGGAAGACAACTTGGACTCCAGCGCTTGCCAGATACTCAAGAGTATATTCAATGAGCGGAGTGTTGGCCAAAGTCAGTAAACATCTGGGCTTTTCCACAGTGAATGGTGCAAATCTGTCTTCGAACGTGTCCGCGACGACGACGGCCTGCAGAGGGTCCTCCTTCGTGTCATCTCCAGATCTGCCTCTCCCGCCGGCAGATTTTGGAGTTTTGGGCGGCATGGTCAAATCGGTCGCACGACTTCAGGTCGTTGGTGTTTGTTATGAATGTCGGAGCCTTGGAACACCTGAATCCTTGGAGGGAATAAGGTCTTGCAGTTGCATATTCAGGTCGTACGTACTGTCTTTGATGAGAGCGGTACTGTGAAGATACTTTTTAACCGGATCTCAAAGCATCAGCCTCGCGTGTATTTGGGACAAGGCGAGAAAGGGTCGTGAGTCGTGACTCACTTGTGACTGGTCGGTATTTTGAAATTTCTGGAGCAGATTTCCGGATCTCAGCAAACAAGTCTGTTAGATGTGCTGGCGTGGCTGGGTAGGGCAGCAATGGTCGATTCTTGATCGCGCCAAGCCACTCCAGGTGAACAGGGGCGAGGGGCTTGCGCTCACTAGGCGTCACTGGGGGGCACCCGCCTCAAGCCTCAGCACTTACGTTGGTATGTTAGGGCTCCCAGGTCTGCGGTGCAGGCATGGTTGTGCGTCATAGTCCTGGAGAGCGAAGGCCGCCCCCAATCGTCACCGACCTTTCAACTGCGCCCGTGCCTGATTAAGATGCACTTTTGGATCCATTCAGATTATATGTTTTTGGCTGTTGTCATTGTTTGCTGGCTCGACCATTGCTCATTCCTGCTCCCTCCACCACTTCGAATTTCCTACTGGTATCCCGTACTCTGAACTCGAGATATTGTCGTTGCCTCCATCCAGTGTCTGTCTGTTTTGGGCCGAGTCGCTCGTTGTAAAGAACACGTCCACTCTCCCACGACAGTCGCCCACCCTCCTTTCATCATGTCGACCGAAACCCAACAGGCGAATCCGCAAATGGAGTTGGATCCAAAATATGACGACTATGACTTTCCCACGACTGCCCCCGAGAACCAGTCGGGTCATCCTGGCCATACGACCAAGGAACAGGATGCTCAGGTGCACCAGCTGAGGGCTATGCTCGAAAGAGAAGGCTACACGGAGCGGCTAGACACCCTGACACTTCTACGCTTTCTTCGAGCCCGCAAATTCAATGTTGAGCACAGCAAGGCTATGTGTGTTCTTGTGGGAACCATTCACGGAGACCAGACACTGACAAAACCCACAGGTTCATCAAGAACGAGCAATGGCGAAAGGAGTTTGGCACTGATGAATTGGTCCGCACTTTTGACTATAAGGAACGAGCTCAGATGTTCCAGTATTATCCGCAATACTATCATAAGACCGACAAGGTACGGCTACAATGCATTGACCGAAACCGTCCGATATCACTAACCGACGCCGACAGGATGGTCGCCCTGTCTATATCGAGCAATATGGCAAGATTGATCTGAATGCCATGTACAAGATCTCTACTGCGGAACGAATGGTGCAGAACCTGGTGGTGGAGTACGAGAAGGTCGCCGATCCACGATTGCCCGCTTGCTCACGCAAAGCGGGCAAACTCCTTGAGACTTGCTGCACAATCATGGACATGAAGGGTGTCGGCGTTGGGCGAATTCCATCCGTCTACGGCTACCTCAAGTCTGTCAGCGCCATCTCCCAGGACTACTATCCAGAGCGTCTGGGCAAGCTGTACATCATCAATGCGCCATGGGGCTTCGCCAGCGTCTTCAGCTTTGTCAAATCGTTCCTTGACCCAATCACGGTCGCGAAGATCCACGTTCTTGGCTCAAACTACCAGAAGGAACTGTTGCAACAAATCCCTGCCGAAAATCTTCCCAAGGAATTTGGCGGCGAATGTGAATGCGAAGGGGGGTGTCAATTCAGTGATGACGGTCCATGGAAAGACCCCAAATATGCCAAACCGCCTAAATGGGCCCGGGAGGACCCAGTCACGGGCAAAGACGCTGCAAATACCGTCCAGCCTGCGCCCACCGATGGTGCTCAAGATCCGGTCACGGCAGATGCCCCTGCTCCCGCTACAGCACCAGCGCAGGCTGAGAACGCCCCGGCCGATGGACCCAAGATGCCCTTGGAAGAGACTGCAGGGTCGTAGATATTTTCCATCCCAGACCAGCTCGAAAGATGGCCGGAAAAGGCGGTTACAAGGGACAACTACAGATGTTGAAGAAAGCTGAAGAAACAGAAGAGCCCAGGGTGCTAAGGCTACAGCTTAGAGCGACCCCTGAACCTGCTTGTTGTACATTTTGATGATACATTGGCTTTCGGTGGAGACCTTCTGATATTTCCCTCTGAATACTACCCGCTTCGTTCCAAGCGGGCCTCCTTCATCCTTGCTGTCAGACTGTCCATCGCACACCTAGTTTCGCGGTGTATCCTGGCCAGGCCTACCGGCACGACGTTGGTAGAACAATATGATTTCAGCAAGCGCCTGCACTAATAAATTGGACGTCTTTCCCGCTATACATCTCATGCTCCTCCCTCGAGTCTAGAGGTTGTTCGATAGGTTACCATCAGTTGGAATAGCGACGTAGCTCAAGTCGTCACGTCTGACTTGGATTTTCCCAACACAGACGTCTTGCTACATCGTGGTTGAGACATGACGTGTCTTCTCGTGGTCGACGCTTTATGAGCTGGTGGCCAGAGAGGCCGTTCTTCGTCGTGGGCAGGGACAAAGAGATGCCACACGGACAAGACTCATGTGTCTCGCAATATGTAAGCGACTGTAGATTGTCCGGGCTCGAACTATTCCGACCCGGTCCTGGGCACTCAGGGAAAGGGACAATGCTGCAGTTAATTGCCCATGTCTTATGATCCGGAGTCGTGTTGGTGATATCCTGATTCTTGACTGAATCCGTGGAGTCCTCTTTCACCACCTGTTTTGCTCACTCAAACTCCATGGCCACCGTCCTCGCCCGTTGGATCTTGCCCAACGTCTCGGTCAAACTTGGTCCATACAGACGGTGGTGATCAGCCTCGTCACCCTCGGCCCTGTTAACGCCGGCCAGGGCCGCAAGCTCGTTCGTGCCACGGTCAAACATAGTACTGACGTCGTCGAACCATCCGTCTCGTCGGGGCTTCATTTTGAGGATGTCGTCGTCTCCGGAATCTGCTGCCTCTCGTTGGGACGACACCGCCATGCGCCGCCGCTCGAATTCGCGATTGTCCGCCTCTATTTCTTCCTGCAGCCTCTTTGCGAGCATCTCCGCTCCTTGGGCCGGGGCCGTCCGTCGCAGTTTGCTCACTTGCGTCGTCAACGTCTCGAGTTCGCCGTAGAGAGCCGCCACTTGCGCCTGGAGCCGGCTGTCATACGCCTGGTAGACAAAGTCGACCGCTTCCATCTCCTCTCTCTGTTCTTCCCGCTGGGGGCAGCCGGTCACGGAAGTCGCGCCACCCACAGTCGCCAATGCCCCCGCCCCTGGGAGATTCGTCGCGTCCAGCCCGTTGACGGTGATGTTCTTGCACGCTCCCTCCCAGGTACGCGCGATGAAGGCCTCGACGACGGTACGGACGCGCGCACGCAGAGGATCTTCTTCCGTAACCTTGTCCCCATCTTGGTCTTGTGCGTTGTCGCGGGACTGCTCTGCTCCGTTCGGCTGCTGGACGCCGTCTAACTGTATCATCGTCGCAGGCGGAGAGTTCCTGCCCGGCACCGCAGCCGAGGGGGGGAAGTGGAGATCGAGTTTCTGATGCGCGCAGGCGAGGAGGTTGGATTGTAGGTATTTCAGGTCATTTGGGGATTGGAGTTCGACTTTGCGCTGGTGACGGTCTGCCATCGCGTCGGGATGTGCCATTTTCTCGGGTTTCGTGGGGGTCCTTTTAATTTGGATTGTTCGAATTCGCAATGTGGATGACGAAGTGGAAGGGCTCAACGTTGTGCGTTTACATGCTAGAAGCCCCCTCTCATATGCAGTCCTTTCGCGTTTTGCACGCATGTAAACAAGCGGGCTATCGATAAAAGTCTGGTGGAGCCGGCCAAGAACCTACGAGTGAAATGATTGGTCAAGGCCTTTTTCGCCGCTACAGCGCCATCCCACAATTTGAAGGTGGGCGCTGAGAAATCGGGCCACGAAAACAGAGAAGAATAAGGACAGTACTGGTTTGAAGGAGACGAGATGGGACCTGAGAGCGAGAAATGTCATGACGGTAGTGAATCTCATGTGCTATCTGATTCCCATCGGCGGTTGAGTGATTGTCTGCAAATTGCCTTGACCTGTGCTCTGGACATCGGTCCTGACCTCGCATCGTGCTTGCTGCGCAACCCTATCTTCCATGTTCTCAGATCTATTTCGACTCGTCAAAGACGTAGGTCAAGTGGCAACGACCGCAGTACTGTCGGTTGTGCATAGCCGCCATGAAAACACCGGCACCGCACTCCTTGGTTGGGCACTCGCGCCTCAAGCGCTCGATCTTTCCATCGCCGTCGACCTTGTAGTACTTGAGGACAGCCAACTTGGTCTTCTTGCGCTTGTGCTTGATCTTCTTGGGAGTGGTGTAGACCTTCTTCTTGCGCTTCTTGGCACCACCGCGGAGGCGCAAGACGAGGTGGAGGGTGGATTCCTTCTGGATGTTGTAGTCGGAGAGCGTGCGGCCATCTTCGAGTTGCTTGCCGGCGAAGATCAGGCGTTGCTGGTCCGGAGGAATGCCTTCCTTGTCTGCAGGGAGTCTTTTGTAAGCCGGCTTCACATGCGATTTGGTCCAGCCCGAGCCACCACATACCTTGAATTTTGGACTTGACATTGTCGATGGTGTCGGAAGACTCAACCTCGAGGGTTATAGTCTTCCCCGTCAGGGTTTTAACGAAAATTTGCATACTGAGTGATCTGATACAACATGTCAGTTGATTCTGAACGATGGAAAAGGGTGGACGGCGAGCCCAGGAAGAGATCGAGGGGCAGATTGCGGGAAGGTAGAAGTGGGAGACCAGATTTGGAACTCGAGCTTGGGAAAGTCGTACCTCGACAGGAGTCTGTCTTCCTCAATCACTTGATAGCATGCAAAGCCGTCGGCGTGCAGGGACAAATGAACAAAGCGAGATGGATCGTTAAAGAAAAATGAAGAGGAAATGTGTGCAACCCACTCGGCATACTTGCCTAGCCTGTCCTTGGCGGAATCCACCATCTCAAGTGGCTTATTAATCAAGTTTCTGCTCTACAGTCTGTGGACACCGCCATCACTCTCATCGTCGCCACCAATGGTGATATTGATGTTGATTTAACTGCACGGAGAGATAGAGCCCAAACCTGGTTGTATCTTACATGGATGGTCAGGTTGAAGGGCATACGCAAAGAAGTTAGCCGGAACAGGTTGATATAGGCCAAGCTCCCACGGACAGGCTGCAAGGACGCTTGTCAGGGCGTCACAAGGTGGAGAGTGGTTGTTTCTTTTGAGTTTGTGAGGATTGAAAGCTGGCTTGCCAAACAACAAAGCGGAAGGACCCTAACCATCGAGATTTGATGACTTGATTCAAGATGAAAGAGCTGTACTTGGGCTTGTTGATCAGATGATCAGCCTTGGCTACAACACCTGGGCGCATATCAAATGGTATTGTGTTCCGAACATGAGCCTCCTCAATGCTTCTTTCCCAACTGTGGTGAACAAGAATCTGCGTCCTCTTTCACTCGGGCGCAGGTCTTCACGCTCAAATCCTCCTTGGCAGCCAGGTATCGATCTTGCAGCCAGTACCCTCTTGATGCTGCCTTCGAAAGTCGATGTCCATCCAGGGCAACAGAACGCAGTCTAAGCACGGGCTTTGGTGCTGTGATGCTCACCGTTGGGGCGGGAAGTGGCAGGGCACGATGTCACTACGTGAACCGTTCTCACCCCGGGTGCTATGGGTACTGAGATACGAGACTATGGAAAGTGAGCGCTTTCAGGACCAAAGTGTCTAATTTTGCTATCAATTGATGATGGAACTTTTCTGAGGAACACTGAACCCCTGTATTCCGCCATTCTAGCATATCCGGATTCTGAATATGATTTGCGCCACAAAATCAATCCCGGCGCCCTTTTCCTATTGGACACGTTTTCGTCTGAGCGATGCCGCATACCATGCTCTCCCGCTCGGTTTAGCTTGCTTTCAAGGAACAGAAGTCTCATTTGTTTCCCATACTCAGATGCTCTGGCGGAGTTCCCTGGGGGGCCTAGATGACAGCGATGCTCACATGTCCCGTATGTTTCAACTCTTGCACAACTTATTGCAGTGAGATCCTTATGGGCCTTGGGACATGTCAGGTGCGCTAGGTCTCATCACCTTCAATGGAGTCTGTCTACCTCGGTCACGTGAAACGCAAAATGTCGGCGCTGAAGGGCTCAAAGTCTTGGAGGAGGAAATTAAATCCGACCTGCGATTTCGATTGGTGTTGCCAAGAGGAAATATACAAGAGTGGACCCGACGTGGAGGAAAGTACCGCGAGCGCTTATTCAGCAGTCGACGAATCACATACCCTGGAGGCGGCCGGTTGCTTAGCCAGTTGCTGTGCAACCGGCCTGTTTACGCAGCCATCACTTCCGGAGTGACGGACTGAGATCGCCGACAGTGAACGAGTCCAAGTCAATACTCATCACATCCCCCTCCAGCTCCCAGCTCCATCCTTCTCTTCATCCTCCAAACCCTCCCAACCCTACTCTTTAGACCACCGACCTCTCTTCGAGAAAGCCCAAGACCTACCTGCAAAACAAGTCAATCGAGAAGCCTCTCAGGACCCAGTTCTGATCAATCCCACTATATCTGCCCTGAGAGGGCCCCTTCTCTGAAAAGAACGATAGTCGCACACAGTCGTCTGCGACTGGTGAAAGCCGAATAAACACAAGACCGCTGCCCGGTCCGCAGCCCCTTGCGCTGCGTGAGGTACGTTGGGAACTTGGAACAAGAATGCTTGTGAGAGTCTACAGAGAAACTGACCGCCGATACTTCTTGCAGTCTCGAGCCACAGAAGGATCCATTTTCGGACAACAAGTGACAACAACAACCCTTCGACAAGCAACCATTATCGAACTCATCTCGCCTAAGATGATGTCCAACCAACCCTCATCTCTTCAGCAACGACAGAGGCTACATCGGAGACAAAACTCGACACCCGTTGTAGCCTTCGAAGCCATGAGGGTCTCTGCCGCCATGCCTCAACAACCACGCCACAACATCCACCGACGGGGTCAATCGTTCGATCTTCAACGAAGCCCCATACGGAAGCAACAGCAAGGCAGCATGGTAAGTATGACTAACCTCGGACCAATCCACGGACAACAAATTTTGCGGGAAGCGCAGCAGCAACGAATAGCAAGACCGGGCCAGCAACATCCAAATATGACCATGGACATGCCTATCTCTCCTGAGTGCGGCATGTTCCCGGTGACCACTTCAATTCCACAGTCACCGTACGACAACATGAGAATGAATGCAATCATGCAACAGACCTCTCCAGGCATGACCTTTTCGCATTCCCAACAATACTTTACCGACCTCAATGTGCAAATGCAGACTGGCGGTCCAACGGGACTCATGGATGAGAATAATGTCCAGTACTTCCATGAGGCTCCAGCACCCCAGTTTCAACACGGTGTCGGTATTTCCTTCGACAATCGAAGAATGTCGCAACCTGATCTGCGGGTACAGACCCAGTTGCGACCTCATACACCTTCACATCAAATCCAGACTGGTGAGTATTTTCCATAATCAAGAAGTGTTTGAGGCGAATCTAACTTGTTGTCAGCACAACTCCCTCTCACACCTCCCTTCAGTCAACATAACCCAGCCATCCAATACTCACGTTCATTACAAGCATCACCAGCCCTTCAGTCACCCTATCCAGTGCCCATGGCACGAGGCAAGTCCCTGCAAGGAATTATTGAGCACGAAGAACTCTCAGCGGAGCCCATAGGAGCACCGACCAGATCTTTGTTTGAGATGGCTGATATGCCCGTGCCTGAACCTCGGAGACGGGCTCAGTCTCCCCCAGTGGTTGGGCAAACGGAGCCAAGGAAGGTCAAGGTTGAATCGACTTCCGAAGAAGCAGAGCTCGTTCCAAAGCTCGAAGACACGGCTGTGCCGGACCTTTCGAACATAAAGGCACCGGCTGGCAGCACTTCGCCAGGCAGGCCGGCTCTGTCGCCTCGACGGATGTCGATCTCAGATCTCAACCTGGAACCCGGCATGGAGGCATCAATTGAGGAAACAAACATCACGCTGGATGACATTGCACAGTTTATCCGTGGTCCAGATCCTGTGGACAACAAATGGGTCTGTCAGTATGAGCATTGCAACAAGAGATTCGGCCGGAAAGAAAACATCAAATCACATATCCAGACCCACCTTGGTGATCGTCAGTTCCGATGTGACCATTGCAAGAAATGCTTTGTCCGAGGTCATGATCTCAAGCGCCATGCCAAAATCCATACCGGGACAAAACCATATCCTTGTCTCTGCGGAAATTCGTTCGCTCGCCACGACGCATTGACTCGCCACCGACAGAGAGGAATGTGTATTGGTGCGTTTGAAGGTGTCGTCAAGAAGGTGATGAAGCGCGGTAGACCCAGGAAGCATCGACCGGAGATGGACGAACGTCTGGACAAGGCCAATCGAACCAGGCAGAGGACCACCGAGCAATATCCCGATCCATACACGTCTTCTGCATCGAGCTGCTCTTTGTCAAGCTGGGGCTCACCACCAACGGAAACCATGGACAATCTGAGCATCCGTGGAACGTCACCTTTCGAGAACATGGCGCTCTTTGGTGTGCCACAGCACAATCTCCTGAACATGGATCAAATGATTGGCTTTCCTCCCGACACGTTCTCCTTCACGCCGCCGCATAGCCCAGGATATTCCACAGGCAACAAGCCCAGTCCCGTCTACCGCGAGCTGACACCGGCAGAGCTCGGCGAGATTCCAGAGCTGCAGCACAGTGACAGATCACAAATGCTACCAGAACTCCCGGCCTTGGACAATGGCTTGCCAATGTTGCGTGCCACCCTGAACGTCTCGGCAGAACAGAGTTTGCCGAGTCTTTCACACTCGTGCTCATCACCCGCTGCTGATATGGCGGCTTTCGATTTCTCGGACCTACCTACCAATCCTGCCTCAGTCATGCATTCCCCCCAACTGCCCATGAAGATGGAGCAACAGGAAAGGAATGAATTCGACAACTTCCTCGACTATAGCGGGATGCAGATGGGACTGGACCCTTCAACTCAGGATTACTTCTCCATCTGAGGTCAATGTTTTCCGACGTCAACATCAACAAGGAAATCGGCACTGCAAACGGACGTGACCGCCACTGATCCGCCATTTGAACAACAACAACAACAACAACTTTGCGCATGTAAATGTATTCTACTGGTCAACCAAGTGATGAATGAAACGGGACGATGTATACAGGGAAAGGGCTTGTGGAAATCTTGGAAAGGGCAAATGGGGTCAAACCTCCGGAAGGGATAGCGCGTGTATTTACATTTTATTGTCATGTCATGCTTTGCGATGGTGCTTTTCATGTCATTCTTTCTCGGTGTATATTCATTCATTCCTTTGAATGACAATTTTTGGGAACGAGCGTCGGCGCCTAGAAGGGTGCCATCCATGCTCAATGGGATGAACGAAAGGAAGGGGAGGGAAGGAAAGGGAAGGACTTTCGTTTTCTGCTGCTTTGGCTCGTCGTCGTCCTGGTTCACACACGCACATCCCCTCCACTACTTACATACGTAGTTACTTACCTCCATTTCTGGCTGTAGCGGCTTGGGGGAAGAAGTGAGTGAATGAATGAGTCAAGAAAAAAGGTCACACACACGCACTCGCACACGTACTGCAAGCTGGAAGGGGAGCCAAGGCAAGGCAAGGCAAGGAAGGGATGTTGAGATTCAACGGAGACAACCGAGCAAGGTGTCATCAGACATTCATTCATTCATTGTTCTTTCACTTAATATATTTTTTTCATCATGCTGTTCGTTCTAGAGATCCGGGCTGGGCGAGATGGTTGGTTGGCTGGTTGGTAGTTGTGGACGAATTGTCCGTAAGACGGTATCATCATATCACCACTCCCCACCTTCTCTTACTGCTCGTCGTTCAGGGGCGCGTGGTAGAGGCACTTCTTCGGCTGTGAGGCTGTATTTGCCGATGCACCTGAGGAGGGGGTTGACGGACGCGAATACGGGCAAAAGAAAGAAACACAGAGAGAGCAAAAGGATGGTCAGCTCGACAGACACATCACAAGCGTGTCGAGATGTGATGCTTCCCTCCTTGTCCCCAGGTCCAGGTGAACGGACGTTCTTCTTCTCTCTAAGGAGATATGTGCCAGCTCTTTATCAATTAAAGCTCGTTCCCATCTCACCTATTCCAGCGTGTCAGTTGTACACATACGTGCATTCGTCCTTCGAATGCTTGGTTGTTGGAATGGTGGGAAACGAGTGGCTTTACCTTCTCTTTCTATTGTAAGTCGTTCCTAGAGGCGAGTGATATAAGACGATAGCCTGGGAGAGGATAACAGAGACGGGGAAAGCCGAGTACGATAGGTGAATGACTTCGTCGACGTTTCGTGGTCTGGAGGGTCCGTTCTTGGAAGCTTCGAAATTCGCCCTCTGCAACCTTGCTCGCCCTGTTTATTCAATGATTCGGGTTGCCTGACCGGCGGCCTTGCTCTCTGTCCGTGAGTCCATGGGTAGGACGTCGTGTGTGCATTGTAACAAGGATGCCACCAGGGTGCAAGAGAAGGCATCCTGCTCATGGAAAGGCGTGAGCGAGGTCTGCTTAACAAACGACTAGCAGAAAGGGCCGGGTGATCCGAATGATGCAAAGGCATAAGACTCTGATCAATCTGCCCATAGTCCCATCCCGGGCCTCATCCTACTGTGCCAACCCATGTACCTCGTCGCCAAAGGGGCAATGCTGTTGGTGGAGTGTTGCTGTCGATAAGACGGAGTCAGCTGAGAAACCCAACGCAAATGATAGCGGTGCCAATCGTTGGCAGATTGCAAATCGACTGCATTGGGATAGGTCAGAAGACCAGTTTGACGTGAGGAATCGTCGCTGGAAGCCAAAGCGGGAGCTCAAGAGGCGCCTCGATGTTTGCAGGCGGCGCAAACAACATGGATCGACAGTCGAACTTCCAGGAAAGAAAGTGGTGAATGCCATTATGGAGGGTATGAAAGCTCTTCAAGACAACATGTCAAGCGAGAGCTTCCGTTTAATGTTGCCGCTGCCAAGTTTCAACTCTGAGCTCTCACACATGCATCATTAGTGATGAATGCCTGTGAACATGCTTCCTCTGAAGGGCTCAACTCCCCTTTGGCCTCGCTTCCGCGCCCAAGTACCATGCTTTGACGAGACTGAATCCCTTGGAGCCAGTCCGAGCACTGCTCCACGCGGAAATTGACCTGCTCCACTGAAAAAGTGAGGCTTTCCCGCGGGTGGATGGATTCTTTGACAGGTACGACGCTGCAGAGGCACAAGAAATCCTCTCCATGGATTGGTTGAAACGGCCAGTCGACCTTTAATAGAGCCAGGAGAAAGTTGTAGGCGAAATGACAGAGTGAGGCTGGGAGTTACAAAATTAGCCCAGTTGTAGTGCCAGAGCAGTACGTGCTCAGTCCTGGCTCCGCTCGCATTTTCGATTAGTGGTGCCCTCCTCTCGAAAACCTGCCGCACCTAGTACGGTGTCGGAGAGAAAGGAGGTAGACAGAAGGCAGTGCGCATAGAGGCCAAGCGCATTCTAGCTAGCCCATCAGGATTGGTGCCCAGCTCTTACAACGATTAACCTCGTGCCGATGGGCGCAACCACGCCTACACGCAGAGATCGACTCCCACCCAAGCACGCTGCTGGGAGACGGGTTGGGTGCAAACACCACAGACCAATCACCTCGAGGTTCACTCCTTGTGAGCATTGGTCAGACTGCCTCAATTTCCATGGTAGCTGCAACCAGGACAAAGCCCTCCAGTGTCTCAATCTCTCGAATATCGTCATTGGTGGTCAGACTGTCCAGAGCTTGATAGGGTCCCTCAGGGTAATCGATAAGCCAGGAAATTGAAGCTGAGACGGTCTCTACCCTCGGATAATCTGTTGCCTCCCTCCGGCTTTGGAATGAGTGCCCATTTCGAAGTCTAGCTAGACATCAGGATGAATACAAGAGTGTTCGTGCCCACCCAACACCAGCCCCCGGCTACAAGCCTCCAGGATTCTGGAGGGTAGAAGCGTTTCTAGGGTAGTTGACGGAGTCCCCCCAGACAGTTCATGCAAAAGTGGTCGATCGGGGGACGATCAGGAGAGAGTGAGGCATTGTGACAGGGCCTAGTCAGGCTGATATTTAAGGGGGCAGAACTCAGTACCCCACGGCGCTGACGTTGGGCCGAATGTTATCATATCGTCGGCAATTCGTCTGTTAGGGGGGGAACCAGAGATGCGAGGTGCGGTTAAGAGCGGGTAGATTCGCTCCTTGTTGTGCACTAGGTCGAGCAGATTGTCACATATATTTCCAGAACGGTGGTGTTCGGCTAAGTTTGCGGAAAGGATCGTCACAATCGTCAGAAGGTGTTTGGGAGGGAAAATTTCCCGGCGGGGGAAGATGCACGGGCGTTGTCGAACCTTGACTGGACGGCGATTGTCGGGCAGCCGAAGCGCGAGGTTATTCAAAGATAAGATCAACTTCCCTACAGAACGCGATGGGACAATTCGGCAGTTGACTAGGCCGACAAAGTGCGATATCAGGTCTCTTTCCTTCAACCAAATCTGGTCCCATCATGGAAGCTCTCAGAGTAAGCTTGTCCTCGATACAGTGAGGATCAGCCAAAACGCCAGCCTTGCAAGATTTGATTGGATCGGTGTCGAGGCTTCCCGGGCGAGAAGAACGTGACTTGGTTGAAAGAGTACTTCCTGAGAACAGGATTGGACACCCCGCAACAGGGGGTGCGATTACTCGGGGGCCCGAAAGTCCCAGGTACCGAGTTTCAAGGGACGAGCAACTTGGTGGCGTGCCAGGATGACGTACGTGTGGCCCTTGTTTCCCCGTGAACAGGCTTTGTGTTGTTGTCACGGACGAGTTCCTCGACCGTGCCATCCCCTGATGGGGGTGTACTCTTGTGCTGAAGATTGACAAGTTTGACCCAAGAGGACAATCAGAATGGAGTTTGCTAGGCGGATGAAAACTTTCGAGGGCTCTCTGACACGGCCAGAAGGTCAAAGATGCTACCAATCACACTTGGCGGCCCTCAACGTCCAGCAGATTGAGTGGTGGGGTACGGGAAGGTTGCAGGAGATAATATCCACCTGGGTTAAGAGGATGCATTTTGCATAGCTTCGGCGGCCTGTGAGAGGCTCGACAGACAGTGTATTTCTGAAAAGCCTGAAGGACTATTGGGTCTGTCGGCGCACCGGTCAAAGGAGATTTGTGGAAACAACAGGTGGTACGAGAGCGAAAGACTCCGCCACAGCGTACAGATGCTCAGAGGTGGACCAGAGCAGGACCTAGTTCCACGTGTGCAAAGTTGAATCGACTCTGGGATTCGGTGGGCGGGCTTTTGGCTCCTGGAGGTTCGAGCGCATTGAGCGGTGAGGAAGAACCCGTTGCTTGCATAGGTAGTCCCGCATAGTGCCAAAGTTGCAATGAGACTATTGCCTGTGGAAACTCTGAGCCAGTACCAAAGGGACGACGCCGACGCCGAGGCTCAGGTCGTGGGCTGATGGGCAAGATGGGTTTCAGGGTGGCCACCGGCCCCAGTGGGTGTGCTAAGGTGTAGGTATTATTCTGTGCATTGCTGATCCTTTTTTCAGATCTTTCTGTGTGTAAGATACATGGCGGACTATGTCTGGCAGGCACTTCGGACCACTCCTGGGCAGGAACTCGTCAGAGGAGGGAGTTGTTGTCGATCAAATATTGTCCCACTGGCAATGGCCTCTATTTTGTGGTCGTTTGCCACTCAGGCAGGCAACGGGCAGCCATCGAAACGAAGCCCTGACTACGTGCCCCAGGGACACGTGTGCAGGAATAGGCGTGTTTCTGCAGCCTCAACAGGCACGGAATAAGGTTGGGCGGGCGCCTGGATAGTGTGATCTCGGAGAGGAGGGCACCGGGAGGGCACCAGCAGCGAGGAATCAGCTGGGTTGAGCGAGGGTTGAGCGAAAGGGAATGGTGAGTCGATGAAGCACCAGAGGAGGTCAAAGTGAGGCGACGGGCGAAGGGAAGGCGGCGGCTGTGATTGGCTGGCGCCTGACGTCGCCGGCGCTGATTGGCTCGCTGCCGGCCGGCCTAGAAGACTTCATCCATGACAAGGCAACCATTAGTTGGAGGCTTGCATGACAAGTTGGATTGGAACGCAGACTTCCATGCACAAAGATGCTGGGGGACCAATCTCCGTTGCTCTATCTCTACTCAGAGGCTATTGGCCGCGGCGAATTTGCCTGTACCCCCTCTCTCCCGAAGCCTTATATCTTGGTCGAGGCTCTCACCATCGAACTGTATTTTGGAGACTCTACCATGGCAGCACATTCACAATCTCTCTCCACGTAGGACAGGCGGCTCGGGTTTCGAATTCATCTCGTGTACCAGCTTCGGGCTTCCACCCATCATACGTTTTGTGTCTGCTCGACGGGCACTGCACACCTCTTTTCCCATTTGTCGACATGCCTCAACCACCAAGTCCGCCCAGGGATTACTGGATATCAGGCTATGGCCTATCTCGCCATATCGTTCTTCGACAGCTGCAGTATTTTTTGGGCCCCTCTGCCACCGTGAGGCCATATTCATATCATGTATGAGGGTGCCCCTTCCACGAGCAAACAAGCCACAAGCTGATGGGAGAGGACTAGGGCCGAGAGGGGTTCCTGATCAATGGTCCCGAGTTGACCAAGGTAAGTTCAGTCGCGGTTCCCAGCGGAGAAGTAACCCGCTCACGGCAGTCCACAGGAGCAGATCGAGGATCTCAAACGCCAGTCGGAACAATACGAAAGGCAGCAAACAATGCGCATGTCCAACAAGGCCAGCAGCGGTACCGATGACGAGGACTGCGACATCCACGAGATTGTGAACATCAATGCGAGTCGAAGGCACAACTTCGCAGCACATGCTTCTGCACCCCATTACAAGCGTTCTCGGTGACGATTGGTCACCATGGGGCGGGAAAGCGTCTTGCTGCAAAAAGTTTTTCATCAGAAAAATAAGGCCCCATGACCTCTTCGTCGGCCAACATGCTCGACTCTCCAAAGAAACCCGAAGGTCCCGCCGCTGGTCTGCTGGTCTGCCGGGTGTCACGAGGACCACGAAATGGTCCAGTTAGAGAGTCGAGGTCATGCACAGGGAAACTGCCCCGTGCTGATGTGCTTAGACGAGCGAGGCGCTCTGGGAGAGGATTGGGATTTCTTTTTTTCAGCATGGAGGAATGGGAATCGGATTCGTCAGAGTCTTGCAGGTCGGTTAGCCTTTTGGGAAGCCTTGTATGTATATGCGGGTATGGTGGAACTAGAGAGTCGTGGCAACTCTAGGTTTTTCGCTCTCACGCCGCAAAAACGCCAAACGCCCTAGGTTCATTGGCACTGCAGCGCCTAATGCGGAGCGTTCGATTCTCGAGCGGTACACAGCGTCGGCGATTGCTGGGAATCAAGTAAGAAACCGGGGTTGCGGTGGAGGCAGTTTAGCGGTGCAACAACAAAAACAAAGCATCCTGCGTCGTGAGATGCACCTCAAGATCCTCTGTAGGTTGTATAGGTCCACGGGCCGACCAATACGGGCACATGGTAATGCCGCTCGCCCTTTTTAACAAAGAATTTGACTTCGACCTCGGGCCAGAAGCTCTCGATGCCCTTCTCTTCATACCACGGACCGACCTCGAATTTGATGCTCCACGCGATTCGCTCCCCGTGGCTGTATCCTTCCATCACATCCGACACACTCCTGCCGGCAGATGTCTCCCACTCTTTGACGCGGCCGTCTTCGTTTGTGACGGCAGCGAAGCTTACTGCAGGTTGACCAGACGTGCTGTTGTTGGCTGAGAGCAGCGTCAAGGTCGCTTTCAGGCCAGATGCAGGAGTCCCGGACAGGGTGTTAAGGACGTGGCAGGTGATCGGAGAGGGCATTGTGCAGCAGTAAGGACGGGACAAGTACGGGTACAGTATGTTGCGTTGCAGAGACGGGGCGATGCAAAGAGATCAAAGAGATCAAAGAGATTCAATAAATATGCCACCGATGGGTCCCAAGTCGGTCGGAGGTGGCCGACGACGACGTCAAGACGAAAGAAGAAAGTTGCAGCTGGACCCAGAAAAATCCGCTCGAGGTGAGTTGTAATGTCACGTGAATACCCGTCGTTATCAGTGGGGCAGCTACGGTCGAGCATTGCTTATCGGCGACAGGACACACCCAGGAGGGGGGCAGTACTACAGTCAGTATGGAGTGCAGAGTACTTGCTCGCTACCATCAGACTGCACTGGGTGGCTATCCTATGTGCCTGGCTCATCTTCGTCTTGTTCGAGTGCCCGATACCCTCCATCGACGGATAGCGGTGAGAGAACGGCATCCTTCTCTCGCATGACATACCGTTTCACCAGCCATGGCAGGAACTCGATCGTCTGGTACTTGACAAACGTCCTCGTGGGAACCGAAAAGACCTCGTCCAGCTCGTCCAGTGTCTTCAAGCGCGTCTCGGGGAGAAAGAGGAAGACGAGCACCACCGCAACCACGTTCAGGCCTGCATACAAAGCAAAGGCCCCCTGAGACTGGAGCGCTGTGAGGATGCGTGGGAATGTCAAGGACAAGATGGCCGCCCAAAAGTTGGCCGTGGCCACGGCGAAACTCATGCCAACCTCACGATGTGACAAGGGGAACACTTCTGCTGAGTAGGTGTTCGGGACGGGCCCCATCCCCGGCGAATACAGGGCACAGAAGACATATATCAAGGTGGCCAGGAGTCCGAAGTGCATAGGGTTGTCGGCAGGAATGTTGAAACTCAGTCCGGCTGCTAGCAAGGTCATTGCCATCAGGGGCAACGTCAGAAGCAGAAGTGATCTCCTCCCCAGGGTGTCCATGGTCCATATTGCAGGAAATGCTCCGAGAAAATTGATGAACCCAAAGATGCAGGATGCCAGCAAAGCCCCAAAGTCGGAGAAACCCGCGTCCGAGAAGATTGTTGAGGAATAGAAGGCGATGATGTTGATGCCACACAGCTGTTGAGAGAGCATCACAACGTAGGAAGCGGTGGTAGCTCGTCTGATGCGAGGCACGGTGAACAGTTCCCGAACTTTACGCAGGAAAGAAACGTCCTGCTGGTCTGCCATCTTCAATCTTGCCGTCCTCTGCAGATGCGAAGCATACAGTTCTTTTGCTGCTAGCAACTCGCCGTTTCGCAAACTGCATAGTGATCGAAATGCGAGATCATAACGGTCTCCATGTTTCAGGAACCATGCTGGAGACTCGGGGCACATATACAGCATCAGCGACAAAGGTATGGTTGGGATGAAAGGAGCTGCAAGCTGAAGTCTCCACGCGTTGTCGCCATACTAAGCAGCAATGTCAGCCTCGTCCTGTCATAGAACACCCCTTCAGAATTCGAACATACGCTGTAGAAGGCAGCGTTGGCAATGAAGCCCAGGAACAGTCCAAAAGCTGTCCACATTTGCCAGGATACTGCTAGACCACCACGGATCCCCTACACAAATATTAGTCCGGGTTACCAAGATCAGTGCCACTAAGGTTACTGGGGTATCACTCACAGCGGGAGCACATTCAGCAGCATATACCGATACAGTACTCGCATTGATACCGAGGCCCCCACCCAGGATGAAGCGGAAGATCAACAGCTGTGGCCAAGTCTTGCACAGGCCGGACCCGAGGTTGGCAACGAGGCAAAGTATGCTTCCCAAGAAGACGGCACCACGCCGACCAAGCAAATTGTTCACGGGGTCCGAGACCCAGGCCCCTAGGATCCCTGTGCTGAGATAAATGCCGCTGTTGATCAAGCCGACAATGAAAACATCATGTTTGCTATTCGACCCAACGCCGAATGCCTTTGGGAAGTACAGGTTGGCGCCGTTCATGCCTGTCTGGGCCCAGCCTTGCTCTATAGCGCCCACCGAACACACCAGGATGGTGAAATAGAGCATCTTGGGCTGCCGCCATTTTCGGCGCGTTTCATCCTGCAACGCCTGAGCTTCTGCTGGGTCGAGTGGCAGATGGTCCAGAGGGGATTGACCCTGGAGTATGGCTGCGGCTTTGTGGAAGACATCGAGATGCTGTGTGAGTCCATGTGACTGAGCGAAGAGATGCACGTTCTCGAATGTCGCGTCTCGAAGAGGTTGCTCAACAGTGGAGTCGGGCACTGAAGAACATCCAGCTTGTTCTCGATGATGGACCTGGCCTTTGACCATTTCGAGTTCGATCGAATCCTTCATTCATCCATCCCTCAGACCAATGTGCTTCATTCAGGACATGCTCGCCTCAGGCAAACACTAGAGGCTGCAAGCTGACAAGGAGACCTTTCCAGCCAGATTGACTTTTTTTCCGCACACGGGAGCACCCTAGCCGGTCACGTAGTCTGTGACGAGTACAGAGTATACAAAGACGAGATATACTTCACCGTACTATGACGAGGCGCCCTAATCTAGGAATCCGTGGCGTTCCTGCAGATGCGAGTGAGGATCCTTCTCTCGCCACACTTTAACCCCCTTGGAGCCTAGCAACCCAGCCACGCTATCAAACGAACTTACTGCTCGTACCCCGACCGAGCACCGAGCACTCGCTCATATCGATCTGTCCCCACGCCTGTGCCCTCAGTGTGGTGGGAGGCCCCAGGAGGAATGACAAAGACGACCCAGGATTTGCTGACACTATCTCCATCTCAGGCGTTATTCACGACTATGCTCCAGTGGAGCGTTCCCTGTCAGCTTGCCGCCGCCGTAAGACAACCCCAGCTGGAAAGTAGTGGTTGGTAGTCTGGGTAGACACATCAGACTGCGTGTCATTCGGCCAGAGTTCACGCGATCACGATACTGGGCGGGTTGAGGTAAGCTGATTCCATATCAATATTGGGTGAAAGGGGGAGGCAACATGACTATAAAGTCGGCTGTGATCGCCTCCTTGAAGTCGTCCTTCTCTTCTCCCTTTCTTTCTTTGTTTCTCTCCCACAGCAACACCAGAAGACCAACAACTTCTTCACCATGACGAATCTCTCCGCCGCGACCGCCACTAACCCAACCAACCTCCCGCCTCGGTATGAAATCCGGAAGCTGACAGACGAACACATCGAATGGGCCAAGGCCATCGTGCTGCACTCCAACATGTTCTACTCCCCCGTGTGGCCGGTGTGCTACCCAGAGGACAAGACGGCGCGGCTCTACCGCGGCTTCGAGGCCTGCGACTACCTGGTCCGCCACCAGATCAAATCGGGCCACAGCTTTGGTGTTTTCGATCTGGAATACCAGTTCAAGCGCGACGAGTCGAAGCCACACGGCAAACTGTACTGGGATCTTCAGGACACCACGCTCGACCGGGACCAGCTTCTGGAGCAGATGGACTTCCCGCTGGTCAGCATCGCATTGGCGTACGACGGCATCAACGGACTCGACCACGAGCAGATCGGCCGGCTGGTAGCGTGCCTCCCGCTCTTCGGCGCCGTCTACCAGGTGCTCACGGAGAAAGACCCGCGTGATCCCGCCTCCTGGGCGCCCACGGCCGAGGGACAAGTGCTGCTGCGCAACGCCACCAGCACGCGCCACGACGCCGAGGGCAAGGGGCTCATGAAGGCACTGGCCCAGTTCATGATGCGCTACGCCGCCGAGCAGGGCTTCCGCGCCATCCAGATCGAGTGTCTCGCCGACGCCGTCACCAAGGTATGGTCGCAGCCGCCGCCACCGTTCAAGGGGACCGTGATCTGCGAGTTCAATACCGAGGACTACGAGGAGGAGGTTGAGGAGGCCGAGGGCGTCACCAAGAAGATCAAGCCGTTCTTGCCCGTCAGGCAGAGAGCCACCAAGATCTATTGCGACCTGAAACCGGCCCAGAACGGGCATGCCGTCGGAGCATGAGGCTTGAAGGGGGCACGGGTTTTAAATACAGCGCGGAGTTTGAAGTTCATGTATTGCGAGCAGGACTAGGACGTGGAATATTGGAATTTCAACATTTACTGTCACCGTCGCAGCGGAGTAGCAGCGGAAAAGAAAGTGTGTCTCTCAGTTCCTCGACACGACAAGCCACAATATAGACCGATACCTCGGTGCCTATGATGACCAACTACATACCCCTAGCCCACTCAAGTGTTATACCCCGGTGTATGACTGTTTGTTTCGAGGCAAGTTGCCATGTCCCACCATCTCCCTCCATCTTTTCCCACTCACTCACTCACTTCCTCACTCCGTAAAGACCCCTCCCGCCTCCACGACCTCGAAACACCGCATGGTATGATCCCAGACCTTGGTCCGCATCTCCTCCCGGTCGAACTTCTGGTATGGTTTGGGGTTGAAGTTACTCTCCCCGTTCCACGTGAGCGAATACACTCCACTCCCCGGGCTGCCTTCGGTGCCGACAATCGCTCCTCCCTCTCCCTCTCCCCCCCGGGCACTGGTAGCCCCGCGGGCGGGGGGATACAGCGCGGGCGACGCCAGGGACAGCATCCTCTCGCCACACTCGCTGGGCGGCACGGTAAGCCAGCGGCCGAACAGCGGGAGCAGGACCCAGTGGAACACGACGCGGAACCAGCGCGGCAGCTCCGTGCTCTGGTAGCCCGGCCCGACCACGATGCCCGGGAAGATGTGGATGCAGGCCAGCTTCGTGTCTGCGCCTGGGTGTCGGTGGGCCAGGCTCTCCATGAACAGCACGTGCATGTAGCACATGTGCGATCGGGCGGTCGCGTAGCGGTAGTGGCGCGGATCGCGCAGCGAGAGGTCGTCCGCGTACAGGGTGCCGTCCATGCCCGCGGCGTAGACCGAGACGACAGTGGCGCCGGTGGGGCGGGACGAGTTGAGCAGCAAGGGGAGCAGCTTGGTGAGGATCCGCATGCGCGAATAGTACATGAGCGACATGGTCACGTCGATGCCTTCTTTGGTATCTGTCGAGTTGCGAGAGTCGTGTCAGCCAGAAGAGAAGTGCAACTCCACTCTCTTTCGACCATCCTGGATCCATGCATAGAGATGTAATATATACATACATACCTTTGCGCGGAAGAAAGGGCATCCCGCCCTGCGAGATCATGAGGTAGTCGATCCTGGGATTCGCATCCTGGCTTTCCCGGCGCTCCAGCTCCATGATCTCCGCGCACAGTCGGTCGACGTCGCTGATCAGAGAGAGATCCTCGGCCTTGAGGAACCGGTAGTGGCCCTGCGGGTAAACAGCGCGACAATCGGCGAGGATGACTTCCGCCGCTTTGTCGTTTCTCCCGATAACGTATGCGCGGAGACCTTTTCCCCCTTCTTTCGCCTCAGCCGCGGCCAAGACACGCAGTGTGAACTGTCCTATACCGCCGGTGCCGCCGAAGAAGACGGCCACCAGGGGCTGGCTCTGGACCAGGGAACGCTTGATGGTGCGCACGACGTCCAACGCGACCATGGTGACAATAACATGGAAAGAGTACTACTACCGACGAGCCACCAACCAAGGGAGAAAGCTCGAGCAAAGGGATGGGGAGGACCATATATAGATACTTCTAGCAACAGCAATGAACCATGTGTTGAATGCACTGCCCCGGGGCCTTTCAGTCATCGTTGGTGCTTGCGATGGACCATCACCATGCCGTCGAGACAGCAAATCGTAGAACCGTCGACCAGGGCGATAGACGACTGGCGAGGAAGAGCCTGCCAATGGGTGAGCAGTGGGTGGAAACGCACTAACTTCCATTCGTATTTGCATCTGTGGCCTATACCGATGGCCATGGCCGCCTTGGGACTAGTTGACAGCGGCCTCGGGACAAACGCAAACCTAATAATGTGTTTGCGCAGCATAGCACGGCCAGTATGTAAGTAAGGAGATAAGTAAGTCGGTTCTCACAAGCATTGACCTCCGATGCTCCGTGCTCGGAATTCGGGAGAGAAGAGGGCATAATTGTGTCATGGAACCGGGTGAATACGTCGTCCAAGCCCATCTCTCTAACAAACCCTAGAGAGCCTCGTTCAGGCATGAGGAGCTTGTCACAACCGCATTCTTACCCTTCGGCTTCTGGTATCTGGGTCATTCACTGTGTATCACGTTGCCATGTCCCAGGCAGTAAGGCTGTCCATTCTTGAGGGTAACGGAAACGTCGCACTAGGAACCTATTGTCGTCGACTACCCATGGCTGTGGGAATTATTGTCATAAGTCACGCAGCCGGCTCAATGTGTTGGTGTGCGAGTGAGAGCAGCCGTTGTGGTCGCATACTGAGTGATCACAGCGACTGAGGGATCTCCATGTGAATTTGCACTAAGGATATAGAGAGCCCGGCTTGGCTCCACGGAAGCTCCTAGTAGCCGTAAAATCGATAACGGGAGATGTCTTGAGCGGGGAGACTCGGCACGGAGATTAGAGGCAATTGAAGGCGAGGAGACTTTCACAAGGCTCCTCGAGTGTAGAGATGCTCGTAGCTTGAAGAGATAAAATGGCGCCCGTCGTGTCCTGTCATCCCATGAATATTGTTCCCTCCCCTGGATGAGTTGACAACGTGTCTGGAGGTACCGGAGGGTGATAGATGTGGCCTTGCTTCGGGTGGAAAACTGTGCGTTCAAGTTCTCTCTGGCGAGAGTGATCGTGGACTCAGTGAAGACACCTTTTGTAGAAGCAGATCATGAAACCCCTAGAAACGGCTCACCTGTTGTGTAACTGGTGAACTCAGCTCTAGTTCCTCCAGTCAGTGGACAGAGAGAAAAAGACAACTGTCAAGTCTTCACCAGGCAGCACGAATCCAGTATCCTGCATCACTCGAACCCCAGGCCATCAAAAAGAGACCTGTGAAGCAACGCCCCTCCACCTACCGAGTAAGGTGTTGCCTCTGCGAAGGCTGCCTGTGAGGCTCGCTCAAAAAAAGGGGGCGAGATTGGCACCAAGCAGCATTTCGACCAGGAAATTCCTGAGCAGTCATACTCGGCAGTGTCTGTCTGTCGCTCGATAACCCTTCCATTCTTTGGTGAGTTCCTGACGATCGCCTCGCCTCGCCATCTCTTCTTCCCTCTGTTGAATTTGACTTTTCGTCTGGCAGTGCCGGCCGTTTCCGGGGTGCGACTCAAGCTCACTCGCTCCGACTCGGCCCAGCACGGCCGTGGGGGCTAGGAGCGGCGGTAGGGCGATCATCAGACCCATTTTTGGGCTCTTCCGTCCAAAAAGCTTGATCTTCCTACTCACTCATGGAATCCCTCCAACACACGCTCAGTGTCGGATGGCTGGTTTTGTGTCTTTTCTCGGTGTCAGAACTGTCGGCTGAAACTCGTTCTGTTGGGCTGAAAGACAGCCTCACTGGGGGCATCAGGCGACCCGTCAACCGGAAAGCCAGAACAATTTGAGATGGCAAACAGAGACGTGCGTCAGCCACTCCCCAGACACTGATCTTCTATCCACAATCTCAGCCCTATCACAGCCAAATGCGCGCCCCATGGGCGGACCAACCCCTAAACCTCTCCCAAGCCGCACAACAACAGCGTGTATCTCCCTCCAGGCTCAAAAAGTCGTACTTCCCTAGACTTGGGGAGCAGGCACTCTTGAACAAGATCATACGCAGTGTTCCCGGTCACGGACATGCCTCCTCATGCTGGAGAAGAGGAAAAGGCGGTGAAGGGGTCGACAAGGCAGCGTTGGAATGAAGGACAGGAAGGGATGGCGCTCTCGGTCCTGAAGTTCCGTCCCTGAGTGTGGCTTTCCGCTAGGAAACAGCGAGTTCCTGGAACGAAATGTTGGGGAGCCAGCCCAATATTGAGGGAGGTGGGTATCCATCCATCCCGTCAAGATTTTCTTTTCCCTGCACCCTTCTTGGTCGGGGGGACGGAACACTGGTATTGTGATTCAGGCTGCATGCGGGAATGAGCTATTGGACTGTCGGCGTTAGCCACCAAACTTACATGTGAGTCCGTACATAGCCTGCCATTCTCCACGACCCTTTGCTATGCCAGTCTAGCTAGGAATGTTGCAGAGATCCTAGAGGGGCGGGAAGCACGGCCGGGCCTCTGATTCTGGACGGGGTAGTCGTTCCATCACGACCAAGAACGGCCATCACGAAGGGGGACACTTGAGGGAAGTAGGCACTAACGCAAGGACATGCAGTGACAGACACGATGGATCTCTGGGTCGCAGAGACGCCTCAGCAAGCCAAGCTATGGCCGAGCCTCTCGAGTCCACCATCTGCTTCCTACTCGTACTGACTGACTGACTGATCGGCGATGTGCATGATGCAACCATGGGCGCATGGAAGGGTGCATGGGGGACTCCGTAGCGCCGACTGCAAACCCTGGTCACATTCCTGTCCTGTCGGCGCCCGACATAGGTCATGTCAATCCATTGCGTGCCCTGGTGGTGGCCCTCAATACACGTGCATGGCTCTTCTTCGACAGAGGGATCCGTTATTTTCGAAAGAAAGAAAGACCTATTCCGAGTCTCAACTGAGTCGTACGCAGCGACTCGCGCCACCCCAGACGCAGGTCAGAAGCATATTGTCACTCCCCCTTTGCCACCTGCACCACGGATTGGTGCCCGTTCGACAATGCGACAGACCCGTGCTCGGTGGCTGGCTGAAGCCTCAGCAGTGCATTGCCCAGACCCCAGCCATAAGTTTAAGCTGTCAAATTTTGAACCATTTCTGGGTTGAAAGGTTGCTGACTGTGTTTTTCTTTGCTTCTGCACCTGTGGCGCCCTGAATAATTGGCTACAGTCGAAATCGAGATAGAGGAGAACGAGACGCAGAGGTTGACAGGAGGTATGATCAGCGGCTTTCGGCGGAAATCAGCCGTCAACGCCCTCACCAGAATGAACTTTCTGGCCCAGAACCCTGAAGATGCTTCGTCTTGAGTTTCAGTCGTCTCTATGGCTGGCTCTATTGGCCAACTAAGCCGCCATCGATCTCAACGGGGGCCACAACAGGACCAGGGCCATCCCACCGTGAGAGTTCAGGCTCTGGCAAAGGATACCTGAGCTGGCCGTTGTCCACGACTTTCCAACGTGGAGCCCGGACCATTTCATCCCCCCGCGCATCCTGGTGCCCTCCCTCCTATCCCTATTTCGCTGAAGCACACACACACACACACACTCTCTCTCTCTCTCTCAACCAGGAATGCATGAGAAACTCCGCCTTGGGTCCTGCCGGACTCAAAAGAAAGGCAGGGGAAAGGGGAGGATCGAGGCGTCGACAAGGTAACAACAAGGGCCGTGGTCGGAATGCAACCACCGAGAGCCCTTCGATTAAAGAGGGACAACACAGCCAGATGCGAAGATCGTAGATCGTCATACCAAACCCGCGCGATCACTGTGTAACCGTTTCGTTGAGTTGAAGTTTCCATAGTTCCACCTAAACCTACCGGGGATAGATCAGGAACTCAAAATCCGCCCAGCATTGATTATTCGCTGCAGTAGAGCTTGTGTGATTTGCCTACCTTTCTCCTCTCTTCTCTTTCAACACGGGGTTCTTACTGGTCTGTGGGCCTAGGGCGTAATTGAAGAGGGAGGAAGGGAAGGGGAAAGGGGGATCGAGGAAGCTATCCCTCGTGATAGTGGTGGTGAGTCGAATCATGACCGTCAAGTGACACCACCTCGACTCCCCCTACCTAATACCACTACTAATCCTCATGTTTGTTCATCTCCCCACGAGGACGACGGGGCGATGAGCTTAACGTCCCACTTTGCCCCTCCCACGGTGAGCTGGGAGATTCGAAATGGTGCTTGTTTCTCTTACTGCTGGAAACGGGTCGTGGACACACGCACACATACCCACCCACACACCATCTCTCTCTCTCCCTCTCTCTTTCTCTCGGGTCTGTCTCCCCTTTAGTTTATAGCACAGAAGAGGGATGGGGGGTGCATCCATGATTCCCCCGTGCAGGTTGGGCATCTTAGCAGATCTCAGATGTGCGTCGGGAAGTAGATATTACCACATGTTTACCGCATAGAATTGGTAATGGATGCATGCACGCATGGCCTTGTAGTTTTGACAACGCATCTCCTTCCCAAGGGGAGAAGGGCAATCCGAAAAAGCAGGGAGAAAGGAAACATCTACCTCTCTCGCCTCGTGAGAGAGAAAGTGAAGCGGAAACAAACAAGCAAGTGGACCAGGAGCAACTCACCTGGCTATCAATCTCAACTTGGGGGAAACGTCGTGAACCAGAGCTGGGTCTTGCACCCCATCACTCACCCGTACCACCCTACCTTCTCCGTATCAAACACATTCATCCCCAGGCAGACGTACCCCTCCGCCCAAAATCTACCATGGAAATCGGGCCTCAGGTTGTGGCGACAAAGAGCTGGATAGATCGCCTCGCCCCCTTCCAGGTGCAATTCTAGGCGACGCGACAGGGGGAAGGGTAGCTGTCCACAGGGGTCCCCGTCCGCCTGACACATGCTCACAAGTACAGTCATCCCCAGTTGCTCCAAGGGAATAGGTAGGGAGGTGTATGCTGCCGTCGTGATTGATCGCGTCGTACTGGGGGGTATCTGCAATCGAAGTCGCCCTACCTCTCGACCATGGTCCCCAGTCACGATGTGGCCCCAGAAGAAATCAAAACCAACACCACCGTACCGTCAATGGATCTCTACAACCCACACCAGATACAGCCTGTTGTCCCAGCTATCCGTACGCATTGCATTGTTTGGTTGTGTTGTGACTCAAATCTCTCCTGCCCAGGGATCTCCTTCTCCAGCCCGTTCCACTCATGAGATTTCACCTATCTAGCCCGGTCCATGTGCCACATCCTTCAGAGGGAGAAGAGAATAATGGTTCCAATCTGAAATTCTCTCCAATCCCACAACAAGGCACAGTCAAGCCTCAGCTTCTCGTTCGATCTCTTCACCGGTCTCCTCGTCGACCCTGAACCGCAAAATGAAAAACACAACTTTTTGTTCAAGTAACAGAAAAGGAAATGGTTGGCATCGTAGGCCTTGCAGATGAGCCCAGGCGGGCCGTAATGGTGTCTCGTGTGCCGAGTGGTCGAAGCAATGTCTTTAAAAGTACAATCTGGAGAACGCACCGGGTCGTAGGATCGCACGATTTCTGGTGCGACGTCAATCCGCATGTCGGATCGACAGTTGTCCATCAAAGAAGAAGTTTTGATCCTTGTCGTCATGAGCCAGCCGGTCACATCATTTGATCTTGAGTCATGCCGCCCGTGGCCTCTTGACCCTCCATGGCCTCGTTGCCGTTGGCATTGGTGTATTTGACGTAACTCAGTCCAAGAGGGCGACCACCGTACATGTAGCCGGTGAATTTTGCTGCCCATGTTAGCGTACATCATCACACGGATGAGAGAATGGAATGAACACACAGATGGCCGTCTCAGCATTTTCGGCACTGTCAAACTCGACCACACCAGTTCCTCGAGACCGTCCACTGGGTTCGTATTGGATCTCGGCGCGTTCGACTTTGCCGATGGTGGTGAACAATTCGACCAAGTCTTCATTACTAGTGGACCAGGGGAGCTGTGCAGTGGTGAGCTTCAGGATTGTCTCCGGCTGAAACTGGGAAGGCACTCACATTTCGCACGTAGATCGTCTGGCTTCTCTCGCCGCCAGAGGTCGCAAAGTCGGTGAATGGGTTGGGTGCTGCTGGTTCTTGAGCTGCACCACCACCATAACCACCACCACCGCTGGCGGCAGCGCCTCCGTAACCACCACCACCACCGTATCCTCCTCGAGAAAAGCCACCACCGCCGCCGTAACCTCCGCGGCCACCGAAGCCTCCTCTTCCACCGCCGTAGCCACCGCGCATGCCAAATCCTCCGCCAAATCCGCCTCGTCCCCCGAAACCCATGCCAGGCCCACCGCTGCCTGCGTAGCGGTCCTCTCGGACCTCGAGGGCGCGGCCGTGCCAGTCGTGCCCGTTGAATTGTTGAATGGCGTTGCGTGCATCGTTGGGAGATTCGAAGGCGACGATTCCAGTTCCCTTGGGACGACCACTGGGATCTACGTGCACATCGGCTCGAACAACTGTTCCCTCCTGAGCTGCAATATGTGAGATTGATCGTCAGTTTGTCGTCGAAAAGGGACCACTTACCAGCCTGGCGGAAGAGATCTTTCAGATCTTGCCAACCAACATTGAATGGGAGCTACGGATTTCATGTCAACAGATCGTTCAGTCAGCAAACATCACCAGGGAAGAGAAACAGACATTGGAGATGTAGAGCTGTCGGCCGCCGCCACCAACTCCACCACCACCGCCACCACCGGCGCCCATACCGCCGCCGTAAGGAGCACCGCCATAACCGAAGCCGCCTCCTCGCCCGGCGTCGAAGCCACCGCGAGCCGACGGGCCAGTGAATCGGGGCTCTGTTTCGCGATCCTGAAGGAGGAAGAATGCGGTCAGTAGGGTTAGAGCAATGTGAGCGTGTCGCGCGCAGGGAAAGGGTGGCGCACCTCTCGGACGTAGACGAGACGGCCCATGAGGCTCTGATTGCTGAGTGTTTGGATAGCCTGTTGGGCTTGTTCCCTAGTTGCGTATTCCACAATCCTAGATCGAGTCAGACGGCCGGCCCAACATTTGTACAACTGGCACGGGGAGCACTTACCCGCATCCCTACATTAACCCGTGGACCAGGTCCAACCCGTCAATCCAACGTCCAACAAAAGTAACCAAAAAGGAAGACCAGTAGAACCAGCCGCATCACACAATGGCGCCCACCTTCGACATTCCATTCGGAAGAGTCAAGACATCCGCAAAGAGAACCTCTCCAGCTAATTCCCGGTATCAGTAACAGGGGCAAATCGGACAGAGATGGCGGAAACCGACCTTGTCTCATGAAATCTTTGAGATGGTGCCATTTGACGTCGTAAGCCAAATTGCCCACATAGACACGGCGGTCTTGTTGCGAAGACTCGCGCACCGACTGCATCATTTGTTCTTTTGCCGCAGCACGATCTTCGTACGTTCTAGCTGGTGGTCGACCTCCGCCGGCGTAGCCTGACCCTCCAGAGTATCCTCCAGCTGGGTTGGGTGCACCGCTCATGGGACTTCTGGAACGACGCTCACTTCGACGGAAGTCGTCGCCGCCTCGGCTGCGAGAGCGGCTTCGGGGAGAGTAGGAACGACGGCTGCGTCGTGGGCTGCGCGATCGGCGGCGGGGTGAACGAGATCGATCTGATCGGTCCCTCTGAGAACGGTCAGAATATGGGCGAGCAGTGGTTATCATAGCGTGGGAGCGGAGAGGGCTCGAATTTAAAGTGTCGCGCAGGTGAGTTCTAGGCCGAGTCACACGTGCAAGTGAATGGTCAAGTCACGCTATTGTTGGGGGTCAAACAGAACAGACAGTGAATCTGTTCCGTTTGATTCGTGTGCCCGCCACCACAGAGGACATAAGGCAGAAGTGGACCCAGGCCGATTGGGAATGGTCGTGGTGAAGCCGAGCACGACTTCACCTCCAATCTCAGGGCGTCGCAACCTCGACCTGTGCGCGGGAGACAAGAAAATCGGTTCACTTACTAGATATTCACCACGTTAGCCAACAGACGCTCGGGGACGGCGGGGGGGAGGAAAAGAAAAGAGACGGTGAAGATGATTGAGGTTGGGCAGAGACAAGAGTTGATGCAATGGAGATGGATGGGACAGGCACCTGCAGGGCAGGACAAGGTGATGATCGGGGAAGGCCAGTGCCGGAATGGCTAGCTTGGGCCACTGAAAACGAGGAAGAAAAAGAGAGAGGAAGGGGAGAGACACACCCATGATAATCGATTGCCGAGAGCTCGTGCGGCGGGCTTTTGACTGTTGACTTCTACGAGATCAGGATCGCATGCACGAAAATGCAGGAAGGGAGGGGGTAGAGAGACCAGCTAACAAGGTTTCCCGAGTAGTACAAGGGCTGTCTGGAGCTGTACGCAAAACGCGGGCAGCTCGATTCGTCCTGGGTGGAGCGGGTGCTCAGGGCTTCAAAGTGGTCGGAGAAGGAGAGGGGGCGGACACAAGAGACAGGATTCCTTTGACACGGCGCAACACAATGCAGAGCGAATCTGACAGAGCCTCAAGCGGCGCGCACTTAGAACGTGTTCGAGGGTTGCCCGTCTGGCCGGCGAAAATTTTCTCTGTGACAGAACAAACTTGGATCAGGGCAGCGAGGCCCAGTCGGGAGCGGCGGGGGGGGGGCGAACGAGGACAACCTGGGAGTGGAGTCTGCGACCTGTTGCCGTGCTTGACGCTGTGTCCAGGAGGTGGATGTAATTGGGCGACGATATGGGCGAGGGAGAACGGGGGCAGTTTTGTTGGATTATTGTTGCCTTGCTTGCGACGCGACGAGGTGATGCTGTAATTGGAAACCTGCACCTTCAGCAACCGATTCAGTCAGCCCCTTGGTTCACCACGATTCGACTCTCTCCAACGCCTTGCTCCTCCCATCACCGTTCTGTATGGCCCAAAGGACTCTTTTGCGATCAATGGTGGCAAAGCCCCGTGCCCCGGGCGGACTGTGGGTAGCACTCATCAATTCCCTCTTCCTCCTCCTTCTCGTTCCCCATTGAGCTGCAGGGGTGTTGGACCAACCAGAAAACCGGACTCAATGGACCCAACGGGCTTGTGTCAGAGGCGTCAAGACAGGGTCCGTTCGGGAGGGTGCCCAATGGAGACAACCAAGAGGCAGTGGTGGCAGGATGGCAGTCGATCGAGTAAGCCGGCAAGGCAGCGTTCTGGGGCCTAATGGCAGAGGGACAGGTCCGGGCTTGGTGAGCGGACACGGGCGAGGGGGAGACAGTTATGGGAAAGGCTCGGATGTAGTTCAATGCAGCTACGACGCAGGAGGAGCAAGATGGATGCAAGTGTCGAAGGGCAATGCGATGGCTGCGATGGGCGCAGGTGTGTGACTGGTGACGGGAGGAAAAGGCGAAGGCGCGACGTGTGAGTGGCTCGTCGGCCTTGGCGCTAGCGATCGGCTTAGCACGCTTTGGTCTGAGGTGACTCTCCCGGTCAAGTCAAGGTGTCAACGGGCCTCTCGTGTTGACTCCTCTCTTTCTTGCTCAGAGTGGGTGGTGGTGCACGGAACGAGGGAGGTCAAGATCATCCCCAGATCCCACCAGGCCAGCAGGCAACAGAGGAAATAAAATGACCATCTCCTGCATCGGCTCTCCTCTGTCTGTGCTCCGGCCTGACGCGTGTTCCTCCACTGGAAAGTACTGTACTGCACATCTGTAAAGCTAACAACGAGCTACGGCGTCCGTTGTTCCTCCACTGACGCAAACTCTCTCTGTGTGGCGTGCGCAGGCCAGGCCAGTAACGTGCCAAACGCAGTATGGGGGATCATTTGAGAAGCAGTATGCCATCGAGGATAAAAGCTATTACCAGGAAGGCCTTCTCATCGAACCCGTGCGGAGACATCTCCCAAATTTAGCTTTTGCCTGTCTGCGGGTTAACGGCACGATCAGAACTGAAGCCGGAGTCCCATGCCTCTTTGTCAAAGGAGGCGAGGAGAAGTACCAATAATCTGAGCCCACGGACATTTTCCCCTTTACCTGCCCAAAATGAACCTTCGTGGGGCCTCACAACCCGAACAAGAGATGCAAGATTTTCAGACTTGCATCATCGTTTCGTGCCCGGGTTTGCCAGAGACCGCCTTAGAGCACACAACGGGGGTTTTCCACCTCGACCGAGTTTTCTGGATGCGAGGAGCCCAAAAGCAGCACGCCTCATGGGAACAAAGAACCAGGGTTTGCTGACCTACGAACGATAGGATCGGCGTTCCAGTGGCGTCGTGACCAGCTCGCTAGCCACCTCCACTGTTACTGCCGCAGTGCGCCGATGTCTGTGATCCAGGGCCAGGATTCAAATGGAGCACAGGAGGCCATCCGGAATCACGACATTGCCGAGAAAGCTGAGCTTTGACACATTTCGCGCCGATGCTTGGAGCAGCGTCTTCAATAGCGGCTGAAGTGGAGGGCCGGAAGCACTTTCGTCCATGCACCTCGCAAAGCCTAAGCTGCAGTTTTCAGGTGATGAGCCAGCAAGCCACCAAGGCGGCAACCAAGGTCAGTGGTCGAGGTCAGCCAGGCCCAGCCAAATCGCGCGAAGCAGAAGCGCGGAAATACGGGTGCGAAGGCCTGGCGGCGCTTGGGCGATCCACCGGGACTCAAGTTCCGCGACAACCGTGAACAACCATCTTTCAACCTCTCTCCGGGGGCCCTGCAATGCGTCGGCGCAAGGGACCTTATCTTTTGGCCCTCTCCGCACAGGCGGCACAGCTGGCCTGGCACCCTAACTTGAGGACACTCACGAGGTTCTCCCTGGCTCGCCCAAATCGCGGGCGGGGAAATATAGGCACAGCAGAGAGACCTGTCGAACCTTTACCGAGAATGGCCTCAGAGGGGCCATCTTGACCCGCCCTGTGCAAATGCAACCTCGTTCCCTGACTCGACACCGTGATGACGCTCAGCGAGCTGCATTCGTCGGCGTATTATCTTGCCTGGCTAATCTAATCGTCGCTTGGATCCAGGGCAATTGCGCAATACCTCCTAGCTATGTCCGCAGTACCTGCGCAGTGCGCTACAATAACAAAGCTAAAACAGCCCTCTGCACTTGACCTGTGGTCGCAGGTCTTGCCCAAAGCGGAGAGTCCGACGAAAGGTGTCGCAACATGCACCTCCGAAGGTGGGATACTCAATCGGGACGACGGCGCAACTACTGTTAGATATGTTCTCCGGAGCTATGTATGGCCGGTTGAGATAAGGTATCTTGGTAGATTCTTCCGTTGTCCATGCTCGGTACTCGGTAGTCTAATATCATCGGATTATGGGTTAGTAACATATACTCCGTATATCTATATTAATTACCGGGAGTTCTCTGCCTTTGCAAGAATCGGACCATTGTTCCGAGCCAATGAAGACGCTGGTGGCCACGTGCCAAGCACGGTAAGGCTGATGGACACTTGGGGCTTGCTTTTGCAAGAGATTTCCGGTCAAGGAAACTAGTTTCATCGTTCGTCGGATGGCGGCATATGTTGTGCAGCTCTCTCTTCGCTTTGTTATCGATCGATGGTCCCTTGGGGTCTCCACATCCCAGCTTGTTACTGTCTTCTCCTGTCCTTTCGCTGCAGACCAGCCATGCCCATGGCTCACGGGAGGATCGTTGCACTCCTCCGACCACGGCGATTGAGTGCGACAAGTTCATACCACAGTCGTAGACAGAGACCAGCTCTCGCACGAACCTACTTCTCAATCCACCATCCAGACCCCCCGCCCTTTCCCGAAACTCAAGATCGAATCCTTGCGGCTGCCGTTGGTCGAGTACCCCAGCATGGTTTCACGGAAACGGCGCTGGCTTTAGGATCGAAAGATGCTGGATACCTAGATGTGACTGTCCAACTCTTTCCCCGCGGGGCCTTTGATCTGATCAATTACCACCTGGTCACCCAAAGACATGCGTTAAAAGATATTGTACAATTCCCAGAGAATTCCCCGTTGGGCTTGGGAGCAAAAGTAAAGACGTTGACCATGGCACGGTTGAGGGCAAATGCAGACATTATACACCAATGGCAAGGGGTCAGTTCACACACTTCTTCTATGCGGCCACTCAGCTAATGATTGTCTGTGAAGGCCCTCGGTTACATGTCCCTCCTCGAGAACATCCCTGCCTCAATGAAAGAACTCTATGCCTTGTCGGATGAGATTTGGTATCTCGCAGGAGACACCGCTGTCGATTTCTCCTGGTACACCAAGCGAGCCTCCCTCGCCGGCGTCTACGCAAGCTCGGAGCTGTTCATGACAAGGGATACGTCAAAGGATTTCTCGGCAACAGAAGAGTTCCTCGACCGCAGACTGAAAGACGTACAAGTCCTCGGCGGCACTGTTGGAGGATTGTCACAATATCTTGGCTTCTGGGCGGGCAACAGCGTGAATTTGGCCAGGTCTTGGGGTATGAGAGTGTGAAGGACGGCTGGGGAGGAACGCTCAAACCCTTGTTCCCTCCTCTGAAGATCACATGCAGCCTGTCGCGTTTTCCTATCTCTGCATCTAGGCGGGAGTTCCGACAGGATCACTCAGGGCGACATTGGCCGTTGGAGACAAGAAACTCCACCTCGCCATATTCTTTCCATTGACATCCGAGAGTCTCCGCCAGTGGCTAGAAAAGGGACTTGGATCGTCCTTGAGTATGCTCAACTGCTCCTTCAGTCAGGCAGCATGGAGGGGCATGTCGAACGGTAGAAGGTGGACAGCAACAGACAAACGGACCACGTCTATCCTTTCAGCCAAAGATGCCTGGATGGTTACAACAGGTCGATTTGGCACGGCCAGGAGCATAATGGGCAGGCCGTTGAAGAGGTCTGCTGGTGGTACCGCAACCGCATTTCCCAGGAAGACGAACAGTTGCATGGTCCTTGTCTGCATCCCATCTCAATCATTCAGCAGTTCCAGCTGTTGCAACAAAACATGTCCAAGGACATCCGAAGCTGCACAATCCCTCGCTCTTGGGGATGCGTCTCACGACTTACTCGATATGGCCGCGTGTTTTCTGTCAGAGAAAGATTGTACCAACATGTGGATATACTGTTTGGATATCGAGGGCATACTTTTGTATTCTAGACCACGATAAAGGTGTTTCGAGATTCTTCCAAGTACTGTAATTGATACCCCTATGTGAAGGCCCGTCAGGAGCTGTGATCTTGTCTGGTGTGACAACGTCGACCAGACCTTCAAGACCCGAATACATGGCTTCTTGTTGCCGCCTTCACCTGGATATAGGATATTCTGATCGAGAAACTGGAACCTACGTAGATGCGTGGGCCTCTGCTCTACGAAGGACTCGCCAATAATCTTATAATCTCTCTCTCTTTCTCTCCCTCTCTCTCCTTTGCCTAACATCCACCCTACTCCAAGTCTCCCCAGCTCTCAGACCTCGCCCTTCGTCGTCATCAGCAGCAGCAGCATGCAAGCATCCCCCTCCAAAGCTCGCGCCCAAGCCCTCGCGTCGCACTCCTGGTCCCTCGTCCACACGTGGCTCGCGAGGCTCTATCACCCGTGCCCCGTGCCGGCGTTTGAACGCAGTGCCACAACGCTCCGGGCCTTGCAGGGTCTCATGGCCGAGAACATCGCCGCGGATCGCGTCAGAGAACTCCTGTTCGAGGCGAAGGCTGAGGAGTTGGCGACTGGAGAGAAGGAAGAAGACGACGCGGCAGTGACGAACGACGGGGGAACGAAGGGTCATCATCACGCAGCAGCACATGCAATTCTCTCCCTCCTCGAGGCGTCACTGGCGCCGTCGGCACAGACAGCACTCGACTCGCTTGCCAGCTCGGTCGTCCTTCTGGGCGGTGTCTCTTCGTCGACAAACTCCAAAGATACCCGTGTCGTTTCAAACCTCACCTCTCAAATCGTCACCATCCCCCACCAAACCTTCGCCCAGGAATCCCAACTCGTCGCCATCGACACGCTTACAGCTACGCTCCGTCGGCAGATCACCGAGACGCAAAAGGCTCTCGCCGAGTTTGTTGGGAAGACTCCGTCCCCGACTCGTTCGCAGGACGATCCATCCTCGCCCACCACGCCGCCATCACTACCACCGACAAGCTCGACAACTCCAAATACAGCTGCAGCTACAGCTATGACTACGGACTACTCGCACCTCCACAACCTAACGCTGCAGCACCAGCGTGAGACGAAACAACTGACGCTCAAATCGGCCGAGTACAAGTCGCGGATCGACGCGCTCGAGCGGCAGCTCTCGTCATCATCACGCACGGCCACGGCCGAGCCCGCCCTCTTCGCCACGAGGCAGCAGGAGTCTCTCGACACCAAGAAGAGGCAAGTCGAGGCTCTGGAGAGCCGCATCCGGCAGTTCCACGGCCTGCCGCCCGACGTCGACACGTCGCGCGCTGAGGTGCGCCGGGCGGAGGGCGAATTGGACCTACTGAGGAGGCGGCGGGATGCGCTGTTCGAGGCCTTGTAGGAAGGAGGGAAGCCTCGCTTCGTTCGCCTTCTCGTCTCGTCGTGCCCCTGGCCTGCCCTGTCCGGAGAGAGAATAGGGGGAAGTGGGGATGGAAGAAAAAGAGAGCTCATGACCAACCGACCGGCCGGCCGGCCAGCATCGCAGGGCAATTTGGGGGCACAACGGCGAGCAAGCGCTCGAGCAGCTTTGTCGTATTGTAGTGCGTGCGTACTGCAGGTATTGAAAGCGCAAGGAACAGCCGGGAGTTCTGGTACAACCAGTGATGCAAAACGGCCGCCTAATAACACCTGTTGAAGACTGCCTGCCTGGGCCGAACGAATAGAGGGATTAAATCCAACACACACACATGTTGTCCCCGTCATCCCCTGATTTATGTCCGTCCTGATACTGAAGGCGCACTAGGGAGGAACCAAGTTGACAAAACAAGAGGACAAATGATTGCCTGGGGGGAAGAAAAAGGAACAAAAAACTCTTTGATGCATCTAGCCATCAGGCAAGTATCCGCCAGCGCCAACGCTGGGCCTGGAATAGTACAGAGACATAGTACATTATATTGTTTTTTCTCCCGTACGACGACGACCACCACCCACCACCACCACGACGGTGGGATTCGCCTCATCCGACTCGGACAAAAACAAATATCACCATCAATCCATCTAAAAAATCAACCTGCTCAGACGGAAATCCGTGCTCGCTTCATCGCGTCTTTCTCTGCCTTCTCGGCTTCTGCTCTAGCCCGTTTCCTCTCCTCCCTCAACCGTTCCTTCTCTTTCTTAGCCAGGAGATATTTCTCGGTGTGCCGCAACGGTTGGCCATCTCGCCCTCTGACGGTCAAATCGTGCAGGACAGGCGGCTTCTTGAAGAACAACACGCGTCCTTGATCGTCTTGGGGGAATTGGTCGCGGATATGTTTCGGGATCGATTCGTTGGCTGTGTCAGAGAGCACAAAGACATCGGCGAAGCGTTGGTCGGGGTAAACATTGGCTGCTGTGGAAGTAAAGGGTGCATATGACGGAGGAGCGGCCGTGGGGGCCACAGCCGCCGGTTGAACTTGAGGCGGGCGACTGTATATTCCCGGGGCAGGAGTGGTCGAGTGAGCGGGAGTCAATGCCGGCTGCGGGTGGATTTGGGGATGTGGATTATAAGGATGATGTGATTGCTGCGAGGCTGGGGTCTGGGGAGCAATGGTTGCGTGGGGATGCGACTGTGATGGTTGATAAGACGTCTGTCGGCCATATTGAGGAGCTGGTGAGATCGACTGGTGTTGGAATGAACTTGGCGTCAAAGAGGGCGATGGGCGTGTCATCTGTGATTGTAGACTCGCCGGAGCGTGAGTTCCGGCGCCATTGGTTAGGGGACGTGCTGCCATATTGACAACAGTGCTCAGCGAGGGTTGTCTCGCAATTGGTGCTGGAGGTGTAGGAGGCGGAGGTGTGGGTTCGGGTGGCGGTGATTGCTACGAGATAGAGAAAGTCAGCCAAAACAGGACAAGGAGATAGGCACCGGCCCATGCACGCGGTACTGGACATGGAGAAACTCACATTCTCGTCGCGGGCATGTTTGTGAATTCCGCCCACAATGGGCGGAGCATTGGGATGGCCCCATTGAGGAGAAGGGATCCCATCCGTCTCCTTCATCTCGTCCTTCAAGAGGTGTTTGAGTGGGCTGGGCACTTTCTTGATCTTTCGAGGCGCATCAAACAAATCCATCTCATAGTCCTTGTCTCGCACCTCGTCAGGTAAGCAGCTGGCCCACGTCTTAATCTTGTTGAATCTGTGCTTCTCCTCGTTGTACCGGGCTTCACAGACATAGACCTCCTTCGAGAGACCGAGGTTTCGAGGTCTGCCACGAGTGTATCGGGTGAAGAACATGACAAAACAACGGTCGATCACCTCCTCGATCCGATGGTCTCGGTACTGACCTGTCTTGACCACCTCGTTCGGCCAGAAATGCTTCTCATACTGATGCACCGTTTGTTCTGGTCGGTAGTACCAGCACGCATTGATCCACTTCTGTCCTTCAGGATCCTCCCAGGTCCGGTAAATCTGGGCAACTATCGGCTTGGTCACGTCGTTCTGGTTCTGGATATGAACCCAGTCACCGACCTTCCAGATTTCGTTTTTGTGAAGGATACCAGCCGGTAAGGGTCTTCGACCGTCTTCCATGAGGTATTCCTCGTCGGGTTTGGCCTTTTCAATTTCGAACAACCTCTTTGCTTCTGCGTGGAGGTCGACCGCATCCTGGTAGATCTCACTGCCGTCCTCGTTGAACTTCTTGGCATTGTTGAAGAGAAGATCAAGATCCATCATGAAATGTTCCAGTGACTGGTACTTCTTTCTTTTGGACTTTTTCTTGATAGTGTCGAGGGCGATCGGTTCTTTAATCTCAACGAAATACGCCGGATACTCCATCTTGTCGGGCAATCGCTCGAAATGACGGATTTTGAGGTTGTTATCATCGTCTTTCGGCTTGCGGAGGCCCTTGAGGATGGCTTTGATTCGAGCCTCCATGGGCGTGTCCACCTTGGGAGGTCGTCCTCGTCGCTTTCGAAGATCGCCGTCGTCGCGTCTCTCGTCGTCTTCGTCGCGACCCTTCCGTCCTGAGATGCTCGGACGCCCGCTTTTCCGTCTTCTCTTTCTGCGATCATCGTCAGAATCGTCTTCGTCGTCGTCGTCGTCTTCGTCCTCATCGTCATCGTCGGACACCGGGCTCGGCTCGGGGGTCGCATCGGGGATTTCTCCGAGGTCTGGAAAGACTGTTTCCTCTTCTTGGATCAAGCCTTCATCCACCATTTTCTTCAGTTCCTCCTTGAAGACTGACTGCAAGAGAAGGACATCGCGCACGGGAGCGGAATTCGGTCTGTTGTACACCTGCGCATTGTGGACGATCAAGGCAAAATCGCGGACGAACTCAGGGATGCCTGTGTATTGCTTTCGTTGTATCTTCTGCTTAAGAGTACTGATAGCCACAGGGTCCTTGATGATTTCGTGGTAATCTGGTAGGACCCGTCTGTTGGGCTTGCGTCTGAAGAGCTGCGCAGGGTAGTAGTCCCTAGCGACGAGGTCAGCTTGGAGGGGTAAGTTGAGCATAGGGCTGCACAGACTCGTCTTTGACTTTGATCTTGTAGTTTGACAAGACATCTGTGATGTTCTTCAATGCCCTGTACTGTTCAAGAGAGACGGGAGGTTCCTCCTGTCCTTCTCCGGGCGGGTTCTCAGCTTCTTCCGCGCCGTCGCCATCATTGTCGGATTTATCGTCAGCTGCATCCTCCTCCTTGACGCTAGGCTCGACTTCGATCGACTGCACCGGCTCATTCACGGGCGCATCTGCCGGCGCATCTGCGGTTTCGGATTCGGCCATTGTCTAATTGTCGCGCAACGATCGCGACTGGCTGGCGATGTGGAAGATGATCTGGAAAGGCACTACGTGTGAAGACATGTGTCGGAGGCCTGAGCGCAAGGGGCTCTATTGGGGGAGATGAACGGGGCGATGATGTTGTCGCGACTCTACATGAATTGCGACGGGCAACGTTGCGCTCTGGGAAACTGCGGGCAGAATCTGGGGGCGCGGCGATAAAGTCTTGGCGACGGTTGCGTTGAGGACCTTCGGCTGCCCGTCGCCTCCCATGTCACCACATTGCTGTGCTGGGGAGTTCTACAATTATCATTGATGAGAACGGTGCACTGGAGCTCAGGACCCTCCTCCAAGTCCCTCGGTCAGAACGCGTCTTCTCTTACTCGAATGAGTCGCGTCGAAAAATCGGCCCGGACAATCTTGGGGTTAAACCGCTCTGGGCTGATTAGACAACTCCCTGGATATCCTCACCCACCACCTTGATTGCCACCACTGGCACGCAAGGGACACCGAGTCAGTGTGACAGGTAGTGTGTTGAGAGCTGGAAGATCGAAATAAAGGATTGCTGCACAAACGACGACCCTGTGAATGCGATACCGCCCGCGGATATCCAGCTATCATTCACTTTTCCCCCTTCCATCCACGACCATACCATTCCTTAGCGGCAAGAGTGTGCCGCAAGCGTTGTGTGCTGTCATTTGTCACTAGTTACTGGCTTTCCTTCTGACTGATCTGCTCCTCCGGCTTTCTTGGGCATCTCATCTGGCCACAGTATATATAATAAATCACCAGCCGTCAAATCCGTCTCTGGGACAGAAGAACGCAATGAGGGTTCGGATAAGGGACCCTTCGGGCAAGTCCAGCACCGTCACTCTCGACGAGTCCGCCACCGTCGATACGCTTCGAAAGACGATCAAAACCGAGACATCACTATCTTCATTCGAGGTCAAATATGGTTATCCACCCAAAACACTCTTGCTCGATCAACTGCCTCCTTCACGGCCTCTTTCAGAGCTTGACGTCAGGTTGAATGGTGAACAACTGATAGTGAACGAAGTCAAACCACCCAGTCAGAAGAGTGATCTCCAACCGACATCGTCAGATCCACTGGGGCACGCCCCGAGAACGGCTGATTCCTCAAGACACCACGGCCCAACATCGACCGGCTTCACCAGCACGTCGAAACCGGCGGCCAGATCCCAAGAAGCCTCGGCAGCACCACTATCCCTATCGCGAAAGCAGAACCCGGAAATGGCAGATCCACCCGAGATCTGGTGTCCGGATCTCCAAGGCACCTTGGTCTTACGCATCATGCCCGACGACAATTCATGTCTTTTTAGAGCCGTTGCTAGTGCGGTTCTGTCGGATATGGACGCAGTCACGGAGCTACGGTCCATCATTGCCCAGAACATCCAAGCCAACCCCGAAAAGTACACGAAGGCCATTCTGGACAACAAAGAACCTGACGCATATTGCCGGTGGATCCAGACCGAGGATGCTTGGGGGGGCCAGATTGAGCTTGACATCCTCAGCCGGCAGTTCGACATTGAGATCTGCAGCATCGACGTGCAGAGCTTGCGAGTGGACAGGTACAACGAAGATGCACCAACCCGTTGCTTTATTGTATATTCTGGCATCCATTATGATACAATCGCTCTCAGTGTGCATGGGGAACCGCCGGAAGCAGACGTCAAGCAGTTCGTCCAGCCACTTTCTGACGAGGTTCTGCCACACGCTGTGGCCTTATGTCAGAAACTGCAGGCGAAGCACTACTATACCGACACTGCTGGGTTCAGGCTCAGGTGTAACGACTGCGGAGTGACGTGTACGGGAGAAGCTGGGGCAATGAAACATGCAGAACTGACGGGGCATATGAATTTTGGAGAGGCTTCATAAGGATGTTGCTCCGGGATTACGATTAGTATTGGTGGCTTCGTTAGAAAACTGTGTTCTCTTTTGGGGACGGGTACACGACATCCCCGAGCCTTGTGGTTAATGCTCTTCGAAACCTTGCGAAGACGCCTCAGGGAATGAAGTCAAACTAGCGGAGTGAGATCAGCGTCGCTCTGCGTTGTGAGGGTCCTCAAATCTCCAGTCTGAGTGGTGTGATAGTAGCAGCCTGAATAGCGGAATGAATGTATACAAACACTGCGTCAACCCGAATCGGACGACGCCGCTGACACATAATACTGGCAGGCAGACGTTACGTCGAGGTCCAGGCGCCCCGGATACGAGATGCATGTGCCTCACTAGCCCTTCCTACCCAGTGATTGCATCCTCAGTGACTACCCCCGTGGAATTGTGCTCGTACAGAAGTCTACAGCCGTTATAAGCGAAGCATTTCTTGGATTCTGACTCGCCCATATCGACACTTTTTGACTTTTCTGCCCCTTGGCCGTGGGGATCGCGTCACTGGACTGACACTGATCCTCGCCCACCCCCTCCGCCGAACTCGCGGTTTATGTAACCGAGGTCGAATCTTACCACGGTGCAGATATATATTTGTGCTTCGGATTGCCTCTCAGGTGGTCTTGAGGCTGTAGCTCAACTCGGATTAACCTCCTGCAAACCATCGTAGACTCAATTCATTTAACACTACATCACCTGAACCTCACAGGCAGTGAAACCATGGCGTACGCAGAATCATGGCTCGACGTGGGTATTCAAGACGCTTGGCTCGCTGTGTGCTCTTTGCTAACAGGGACCTACAGCTGGAGAAGACCCTGGGCGGTCGTATGGTCATGACCGGGACTCCAGAAGAGATTCGTGCCCAATATGACCAACTGGTGGGCCTGCTCCTCCCTCAACTGCCTCCTCCATCCGAGGCTGTCGAAAGCAAAGACGGTGAAGTCGAGGGCATCAAGTACCGCTTGTACACACCCAAGGAGGCAGCCAAGTCGGGTCCTCTTCCAGTCGCCATCTGGACGCACGGTGGAGGGTGGATGACCGGCGACCTCAACTCGGACGATTTGCTCTGTAGGATTGTGGCCGAAGCCGTTCCCTCCATCATCATCAGTGTGGATTACCGACTTGCCCCGGAGCACAAGGTCCCCACACAGCTCCAGGACTGTTTGACCGTGTACAAATGGGTGAGTAGCATCGTTCGGGCCCGGTGACAACGCAGTCACGGTTACTAATCCGAGTTCAGGCACGACAAAATGCCGCATCGTACGGCGGTGACCCAAACAAATTCTACACCATTGGTGGCTCTGCCGGTGGTGCACTAGCACTCGAAATCGCTAACCGTATAGTCAAAGACCCCTCGAAGCGCGATGGGATCAAGGGCATCGCCGCCATTGTGCCCTGTGCTCTGCACTGGGACAACGTGCCTGAGGAGTATAAGGATATATACAAGTCGTACGAAGAGAACAAGGAAGGCGTCCCCATCATCGACAAGAAGTCGATGCAGATCTTCTACGAACATGCAGGGGCCGATCCGAAGGACAGCGACATCTTCGTCGCGTTGGCCAAGGAGAACCACGCGAACTTCCCACCGACGTACTTTGTCAGCTGTGAAAAGGATCCCTTGAGAGACGATGCCTATGTGATGGAAGCGGCCTTGAAGAAGGCTGGTGTCCCCACTAAGCATGACCACTACAAGGGACTGCCTCACTACTTCTGGATCTTCCCTTCTGTGCCCGAGGGGCAGCAGTTCGTGGCCAATTTGATTGGGGGTGTAAAGTGGCTTATCTCGCAGATGTAAATAGACTGACTCGAACTTGCTTCAGAAGGATCCAGTGTGGATAGCCTTTCGAGAACTAGACAGAGCCACGGAGTCTCACATCCTCCTGCAATCCGACATCCTTGTTACCACATATAGGAAAAAGAAGCAACTGAACGAAGAGACAAGTACAGAAGCAATATTTCGTACGAGGCATCTTTGAGTACAGTGAGAAGTAAACAAAAAGCCCCGCGTAATGCCGCTGCTCTTACACCCCACATATGAGGTACACAAGCTCCTAAAAGCGGCGGCAGTTCCTTTCTCCCCGCAGCCTCGTCCTGCCGGTGCTAGACGAGCAGCTCGATTAAATAATGCAATGGCCACCCTTTCCCTCGCTTCTGATTTATGGCTACACCCTTCCTCACCAGCCTCGATGGCCTCACCTCAGCCAGCGGCCTCGACAGTCCCATCACCCCCGGTGGTGTCGGTGCTGATGGTCTCCCTTCGTCCAAACGTTCCACCGCCCTAACCGCAAAACTCACCAGTGTCCTCTCAGCCTCCTACGCCGACTATGAGACTCGCGACGCACTGCGGCTCCTCGACGAGCGAGGAGTTCATAATGACGAGGAGACGAGGAGGGACCTGAAAGCCAACGCACAGAAGGAGGTTATTGATTGCAATGCGCAGATCGTGGATGATTTCGGTGTGGTTGCGGAGGTACGTTTCTCCCTGGCGTCTATGGACAGGATACCACAATTGAACAGCCTCAAGCATCTCGTCTGACACATATATAGCAACTCAAACGTGTCGGGGCCTTGCTCGCAACCCTCAACACCACCTGCGACTCAATGCGTACACATATACTCGCCGCGAAACAAGAGTCGGCACCCACGCTTGAAGAGTTCTCCACCCTCATGACGCGCAAACGGGATACCGAAATGAAAGAGTCGCTCTTGACTGCGTTCACAAACCACTTCCTCATCTCCAATCAAGATCTGAACATCCTGACCAGCTCCGCGGAGCCGCTTGACGACCGCTTCTTCACAGTCCTGGCGAGATGCAAGCAAATCCACAAGGACTGCGAATTTCTGCTGGGATACAACTCCTCCCCGACGGGCGAGGAGGCCTCGTCCCGGTTGGGGCTGGAGTTGCTCGAACAGACAACGCGGAACTTGGACGCGGCTTTCAAAAAGCTCTACAACTGGATCCAACGAGAGTTCAAGACACTCGACCTCGAGGACCCCAATATCAGCGGCTCAATCCGTCGCGCATTGAGGGTGCTTAGCGAGAGACCGAGCTTGTTCCAGAACTGTCTCGACTTCTTCGCTGAAGCGAGACGAACCACGTTGTCCGAGGCGTTCCATGAAGCCTTGACCGGCTCGGGTCACGGAGGAGTTGCGACGAAAGCAATCGAGTTTTCTACTCACGAACCTTTACGGTATATTGGTGATATGCTGGCGTGGGTGCATTCCGCCGCTGTGTCGGAGAAGGAAGCCCTGGAGGGGCTCTTCGTATCTGATGCGGAAGAAATCTCGCGGGGCCTCAGTGCCGGGAAGGCGAGCGAACCATGGGCGCGAATTAGCAGTGGACGGCAAAGAAGCGTGTCATCTACGTCCAGCACAGATGCGGAGAAAGAAGACGACGAGCAGCCGGTCTTCGATGGCCGCAAAGCGCTGTCTGAGCTCATCTCTCGTAATCTATCCCTGGTCTGTCAAACCTTGCAATCACGGATCGACGTCGCTGTGCGCGCTTCGGGCGATCCGGTACTCATGTTCAAGACCTTCAACCTCCTGGACTTCTATCGCGGAATCTTCTCCAAGCTACTCGGCCAGGACTCATCTCTTGCCATGCTCATCCAGTCTCTGCAATCCTCGACGCTGGCGCAGTTTGAAAAGACGATGGAAGAAGAAACCACCGTCGCCATCGCAAGCATGAACTCGGAGCCTCCGCGCGACCTCACGCCACCTGTGTTCCTGGCCACGGCGTTGACGCAGTTCACCGACGTGTGTCGGGCTAGGGGTCCACAAATGAGTGAACTGGAACTGGAACGGCTCTTTGCGTCGATGTTGAGCGGGATATTGGCCGCGTGCGCCGAATCTGCAATTAATATCGCCGACGTGCGAAGGGGGAGCATCTACAGGATCAACTACATGACCGCATTGAAAGCAACACTGGCAAATGTGTCGGCGCACGTCCCCACTGCACGGATACCACTGGAGAAAGCAGCCAGAGAGATCCAGATGGTGAGAGACGAACTGGTGGAATTTGTCACTTCGACATTCCTAGAGTTCTCCGGTGTCGCAGAGCTCATGCAGGAGATCGATTCACGCAGGAGTCAAGGCTCCAAGGCACGCAGGGAGTGGCTTGTCCAGAACCTCGACGAGGCCGCACAACGGCTGGACGCTTTCCTGTCTACGGCGCTTATGGACGCGCAGGAAGCAATGAAACCTCTGTTCGATCGCACATTGGCCCAGGATGTGGTGGCCGAAGCTGTGGAGAGGTTCTGCTCCGAGTACGATGACTTGGAGGGCATGTTGGAGACCATCGCTGCCGAGACTTCTGTGTCAGTGGAAGAGGGCGACGGCGGTGATGATGGCGGGTCTGAGGACCAAAGGGAAAAGAGCGCCAATTGTCTGCTGGGGTCGCTGAGAGAATCGTATCCCAGGACTGGCGCCGAGGTACGCGCCCTTCTGACATGAGTTTCGTTTGTGCTCTGGCTATTTAGCGAGTTAGAAGACGATAGATCGCTTTCTCGCGGTATTCTGTCCTTATATCCTCAATGTACGGAATGAATGTGGCAGTGCTTGATGTGAATCCAGTGGTCTTGTAATTGAGCTAGAATGCTCGGATGGAAGAAATCTTGAGATTTCGCTCTGTTTCAGTGCCGTGAAGGGCAACTGATAGAGACAAGTCACAGTTGCTTTTGATATTTTAAGACAAGCTGAAGCAGAGAAATGAAGTGGCTACATGAACACAGGAGTTCTGTGAAACTCAATGCCCTGTCCCTTCATCTGGCTCCATTTCCATGTCACTTCTAATGATTTTTCACCTTGCTGTTACAGGATGCCACACCCGTCGGTTAAGGCCTGCCGTGTCAAGGGCTGCTTGGTTTACAACATCTTCTCGGCGGCCGAGACTATCAAGATTTAGTAATGGTACCAATGGTGGGAGGGGAACGGCAGAACTCACTGGTGACACCAGTGTTGTCGGGTTCGACAGAGGCCTTGACGACCTTGCCATCCTCGGTGAGCACCGCATACCGCTTGCTTCGGTTGTTGCCCAAGATCTTAGCAGCATCGAACTCCACGTCCCAGGCGCGAGTGAACTCTCCAGAGGGGTCGGCGAGGAATCGGATGCCACTCTTCTTTGACTCGTCCAAACTCTTGGCCCAAGCTTTCATGCTGTTCAAGAAGTGAGAAAGACGGCCACGAAAGGGACGATATCTCGGAAGCTCTTACACGAAAGCATCGTTGACAGAAACCACAAACACTTTTCCGGCACTCTTGAGCTTGTCACTGGCAATGTAGCCGGGGATATGGGTGTCGGAACACGAGGGAGAAAACGCAGCGGGGACACCGATGATGAGGCCCTTGCCGGAGCTGAGCTCTTTGGCGAGGTTGACCTTGTTGCCGGGAGAGTCCTCGTAGAGATCGATGTTGGGGATGGAGTCACCTTCTTTGACCTGAGGGCTTGGTCAGCACATCCAGAAGCAAGAGGCATAGACACATACCATGATTGCTGGTGTTGATGAGAACTGTCTGTAGAATGGAGTGAGAGAGGCGGGACGAAGAGAAGTGCGAGTGGAAGAACGGAAGATGGATCGAGAGAGCATTTATGTGACAGAGTGAGAGTGAAGTGAGCTGGGAAAAGTAATTTGGAATTCGTTGCAGGAGCGATGCACTCCGATTTCACCTGGGCTTGACCTGTTGTTTGCGGTTGACGCTCGTGGCCCTGGAGCTTTAAGGGCCGCACCTCGTAAGCTACATCATTGCGGGGAAGGCTTAGCTGCACTGAGCTCTCTGTGCCTCTGTGCCTCTGTGCCTCTCCGTTGCGTTCCCCTCAGAGCCAACCACAAATTCACGAACCCCTCTAAAGTGCCACCTCAGGCACCCATCTGGGTGCCCATCTGGGTGCCCATTGCCTGGGAGCGATGATTACTCAGTCCGTTATGGTCCTCAAAAGCTCCCTCGCTCCACACTGATATTTTTCGACGCACCAGACCGGCTCAAGTATTTGGAATAATCCTGACCACCGTGCACGTGCGTGAGATCTGCACAGGAGACAAAGGTTGCGGGAAGGGGTAAGCCCGAGTCTTCCTCCGACGCCTCTAATGACCCTGTCCAACAATCCGTGGAACTCCTTGAGTAGACTGAAGACAAATATTTACTGTTACTGACCCAACCTCCACCGCAGGGGACCTCGCATACCCCATATAGAGGTCTCGGGTCTGAAGTCTCGGGTCTCGGAGAAAGCATCCTCAACACGAAGCAGGATGGCCTTTTGGAAACACCCCGACAAATGGCATCGCGTCGCCTACGGAGTACACAGCCTTCCCGTATCCTCCCTCAGACAAGCCGTGACAGAACCACACGATGTCCAAAACGGGCAGTCAGAAAAAACTAGTCGTCCAGTAATTCACTGCAAAGTTGGTGTCAAACAGTTCGGCACCTGCCAAATTCGCACCCCTTGCGCCAGAAACAGCCCCTGCATTTTTCCCTTCTCGTTGTCCCAAGTCTCATGCTTGCATCCAGCAGCGGTTCCCCGACCCACGAATTCGGTTCGCTTTGTCGAAGGTCTAGACTCGCCCCTTGTTGGACCAACAGAAGAGCTCCCCATACACGAAACCAGATTTGACCTCCAGCTGTCACTGGAGGTCTCGGTCCAATGAGCTGGGTTTCTCTCATTTGTTGTGGACGGGGCTTTGCGAACAAACTTCGGCCTCGCCGAGAACGCAGGAGGCTGTCACCTAAATGCAGCGTGGAAACTTTTCACCCTGTTAGTTGCATCCGAAGGAAAGCGGTCCAGAGGCTAGGATGGAGGGTATTCTGCCGTAGCGATCTGACTTTCCCCCATACCGATGCATTGAAAGGACCAGGTTGCACCGCCACATGTTCGTGTGGCTTGCATACAGGTTAATGACGCCTTTCCCTGGATCAGATGGAGAAGACCCAGCGGCTATCTACGATAAGAAGCGAACGCAGGGATCTGAATCAAAATGACATCGACGCTGACATGGCCTTCACGCCAGGACGCAAACTCGGCGACAGGAGAAGATCTCCAAGGCATCAGGGGCCCCGTTCAATGCTGAGTACTCCATACGAAGGAGGATCTGGTCGTTGGGGCCCACATTGGCCGCAAGGCCGGGATGGAATTTATCACTTGACAAGCTCTTCAATGACAGATGCTTTCGGTGTATAAAGTTCAGCGGACGGTTATGACACTGGCGGCTTGAGCCATTTCCGTTAAGCCTCCAGGTTTGTTCGGATCGTCATGGGGTGAGCGTTTCCACGGGGGGCGATCATTCTCGCGTCAGCAAAATCTCATTGTTCATCTTCGGCTTTTCTTTCACACCAAACCGGCGTGTGGCTTGCTGTGCTTCTACTGACAGGCTTTAGCCTGAGTCGCCAAGGGCAAGACTCGCGACGCGATCAGCAGGAAGACACTGTGTGTCGTTCGTTCCGGAGGAAGAAAACTCCACGGAATGCTGGTGGCGACTTCGGGCCATTGCCGTAAGGGCATGGTAGAATGTGACAAGTCAAAGGTCTTTTTTCGAATTACGAGTACCTGTGTTGGTGTCTTCCTGGTAGGCCGTTATTCTGGCAATCACAAGCCTCATAATTGCTCTTCTCGGACAGGGAAACCATCTCGCACTTCCCCAACCCTGGGAGCTGGGCAAGCTGGCGAGCAGGGTAGTTTTCTCTGTTCTTGGTGGATCCTGATCAGCCGAAACATTGCGTTTTTCGGCTACGAGTTTTGCAGGCCAAGGACAAGCACTGGCGTCCCAGGAAAGTCAATGATCGGCCTGCGTTGGGATCAGATTGCAGCTTGCAGCCGAATGAGATTCTCAGACGGTTTGTGCTTGACTGGCACTTGGGCCCCCTTTTGCCTTCAAACTCGACGGTCGATCGTTGTGCCACTTGCTTGGGAAAGGATAAGCGCGGCCAAGTGGGCAAAAAGAGAGTCTTCGGATGGCCAAATCGGTCACAGAGCCCACGGCGCACGCGTCATGGTTGGCCAGTCGTCTCAGGCGAAGTGGGTTTTGGCGAATGCTGCGAACGCAGTCGGGCGGGGGGCGGGCCCCTCGCTGAAACTTTGGGCTTGATGCTGGGCTGGGATGAGGGAAACGAAGGCCTACCTACATCAGTAGTAGTGAAAGGCTTCGGGGGCCTCCATGGGCCATGGGTCCAAACTGTCTGGTGTCCCCGATCAGATCCTTTCTCACGCCTCAAGCATGCCGGAAGCGCCCTATCAATGCCCTCCTGGACTAGCCCATGAAGCCACCCAATGGGTCCCAATTAACCGAATTTCCCCTCTGCTTCTCCTCGCGCAGTGCTTTAGCCGCACCAGCATTTTTTCCCCTCGCCCCCGGTCCAGCACACAGGGAGATGCGATCCCATGCTCGCCTAAACCGGGTACAATGCTCATTTGCATGACGCTGACTGGATGGGCAGAGAAAGTGTGAGTGGTCCTGATAGAGCACCCAGCGCCAAAGTCGCCGTCCCAGAACTGCTAGGGACTTCGTTGTGCTCTTTGTTCTTCTGCTCGTTTTTGCACTTTCCTCGCCTGGCGCAAGTCACCAGCCCCGGCCTGTGGTCCAAGATCCCACCTAAACCACCTGCACCTGCACCCCGTTCAGGCCCGTTCACCCTAGGACAGCTGCAGCCAACTTTCTCTTCCCAAAGAGCCACCATCATCCAACCTGGAACCCATCGTCCGTCACCACTCTCGATCCCCTTCCCCGACACCACAACTCAGACAGAGAGACTCGGGCAAACTCATCTTCCTTCGTGCTGCACTCGTTACCATCCCCCCATTCCATTCAATTCCTGCCATCCATTTCTATCTTCGCTCTGTGCCTGAGGAATTTTGGGCCCATCTCGTCTTCGACCCTGCGAGATCTGGGAATCCTAGACTCATTGCGGCCGAATAGCCGAAGCCCAGCATTCTGCACCCTCCGACCTCAAGCAGCCTCCACCCAAGTTTGTCTGTGCCACTTGACCAGCATTCTGCCGCCAGCACATTCCATTCCAATCATTATTATCTGGCGGCGGAACACACATACCTTTCGTCCGCATATTGTGCTCTGGCTGCATTCGAGCGCCTTTTTCGAATCTTTGAGGGCGCATCTTTAGCGATGCTGCGGTGATCCAGCATTGTGCAGTCCATTGCATCACCGCCACGATTGGAAGCCGTCTACATCCTGACATCTTTGGAACGTCATATCGCACAAAAGAGGGAAAAAACACAATTGACCTGTTGTCAATCAAAATGGACGGACAGGGTGGGTCGGCAAACAACTCGAGCGACTTCGTGCGCAAGCTGTATAAGTATGTCTCTCTCTATCTCTCTCTGCAGCCGTCTTCCGGTGTGGCACTCGTAGCTAATCGAGCGCAGAATGCTGGAAGATCCTACGTACTCTTCGGTGGTACGTTGGGGCGATGACGGTGACAGTTTTGTGGTGCTGGAGAACGAAAAGTTCACCAAGTCAATTCTCCCCAAACACTTCAAACACTCCAATTTCGCCAGTTTCGTCCGGCAACTGAACAAATATGATTTCCATAAAGTGCGACAGAACAACGAGGACGGTGCAGCGTCCATGTATGGCGCCAACGCGTGGGAATTCAAACATCCAGAGTTCCGGCAGCACAACAAGGAAAGTCTGGACAACATTCGACGAAAGGCTCCGGCACCTCGAAAGCCGTCGGGTCTCAATGACGAACAAATCCCCATCCAACAGATAGACCTGATGAACCAACAAATTGTCGCACAGGCACAGCAAATAGAGAGCCTCGTGGCGTGTAACAATTCACTTCAATCCCAGTATCAGATGATGGCGGTTGAAGTCGTCCGACTCCAAAAAACGGCCGTCAACCATGAAAAGATCATGCAGGATGTCATGGTATACTTGCAATCCATCGATGCGAAGCAGCGGAGAGACAGTAAGCAGCTATTTGCTCCACCATCGGACTCGACACAAACAGGCACCACCTTGACTCCTACGAGCCAGAGTTTGCCTCCTCAGGATGACGACACCCCAGCGTCGCCCTTACAGCATGCTGCGAAGCTTTTGAGCGACATCAACGCCGATGGGCAATTCAACATCGCAGGCCTCGAACAAATGCACGCAAACATCCATACCCCGCCGGCAGGACAGGACCTTCGAATTGGGCAGTTTCACGGGCCTAATTCTGCTCCTCCGAGTGGAAGCATGGGGTTTTCCAAAATCAATCCAGCCGAATTGGAGACGGTGGTATACCCAATGGGGCAAACCAATGGCATTGATCCTATGTCTAGCGAGTACATTCATAATATCCCTTACCCATTGCCACCAAGAGACGGTTCAGATCCGCGGGCACAGTTCGCTGACACGCGGAAGAAGAGCGGGTTACCGGATCCTGGCTGGACTCGACCGCCGCGGATTCTCTTGGTCGAAGATGATCCGACCTGCCGGCAGATTGGTGGCAAGTTCTTGAACTCGTTCTCTTGTGTCGTCGATTCCGCACTCGACGGACTGGAGGCCGTCAACAAGATACAACAGGGAAACAAATATGATATGATTTTGATGGACATCATCATGCCCAACTTGGATGGTGTTTCGGCCTGTCATATCATCCGCCAGTTTGACCGGACGCCGATCGTGGCGATGACGTCGAACATTCGATCTGACGACATTCAGATGTACTTCCATCACGGCATGGACGATGTTTTGCCTAAGCCGTTCACGCGCAAATCACTGCTTATGCTGTTGGAGAAACACTTGATGCATCTAAGGATGATGCCGCCAGGGATGGATCCCCAGCCAATGTCAGCGACGTCTGCACCGTCAGGCGCAGCATCGTCAACGGCGCACTCTGTCCGAGACGACATGTCGGCGGGGGCTTCCCCAGCGGGATCAAGTGGCACGTGGAACTCCCCCAGCCAATACTCCGGAGTCTCACCCGTCAATCCCAATATGCATTATACCAATATGGCGCAACAGCAGCACTATGTCGATGCCAATGGAAACCCAACAACCTTTCAAGCCGGACCACAGACGCCTGTGGGGATAAGGGGTCCCGGAATGGTTGCGCAGCAACAACAACAACAGCAGCAGCAACAGCAACAACAACAACACGCACACAGAAGAGTTCATTCAGAGATGGGTGGAGGCTCGGATATGGGAAACTCGAATAAACGCCAACGTCTATTCCCACCCCAACAACAACCGATGGCCGCCCCGATGCGGCAATGACTATAGGAAAGGAGGTCGATCATAGCAAGGGATGTATGCATGAGCTTCCACGCCGGCGGCAGTCTTTTGAGCAGCGATCGCTCTTAGTGGGAAGCCCATCCTCAGCAATCGATATGGCGTCCAACCGACGGCACGATCTCCCTCCGATTTTGAGATTGCCGCCACGCCATTGAGTAGCACTGGAGAATTTCAACTGAGTACGAAAGGAGCCCGTCAGCTTCCTGCAGGGGTACACAGGGACCCATATCACGACTTCATGAGAGATACAAGGGTGGGGGAAAAGCCACGGCCGAGTTGTTTTGTTTTACGATACCTCTTCACGATTGATTCTTTGGATTTTGAGAAGGCCGCCGACTTTTTGGGTGTCGACATTTGACCGTGAGGATGGTCTATATGGATGGTTTATTTTGTGGCTGATCTGTGTGAGGTTTATCGTGGCCACCTCCTTTGCGTTCTCCAGGAGATGTGGAATATAAATTCTATGGCTCGACTGTAGTGAAAGAGATGTTTTGGTGTACAGAAGAATCTAAAATCTAGTGTGTTGTAATAATTGGTGTGGACAATCCCCTTGCTCAGCATTCACAGACAGCAGATGAAGGTTTTCGACGAGACGGTCCTGCACTTTTTATTTTGCTTGTCCTTTTCATCCTGATCTCATGTGCAAGGAGTCGTAGTTGCACGGCTCGCGACACCTCTGAGACCAGCATTCATTCCAAATTGATCTGACTTTAAGTCCAATCTAGATGCATGTCCACCAGCAAATGTCATTACAGGGCAAGTTCATTCCTCGCGTAGCCTCGCATTCTCCCCATCCACACTCATTCCCATCACCCTATCCTCTCTTTCTCCTTTTGCCACTGCTCTGGAGTCAAACATCTCGGCGTCCAGGCATGGATTGCCCTGATCTCGTCCTTTAGCACCCCGTTGACCAGCCGACTCCGTGCCAACAGCGTTTTCTTCTCAAAGTCTGGCGACACGATGATGGCGTTAAAGGCTTGTCCACAACCACCAGACATATCTTCCATACTGATATGGGTTATGTTCATGGATTGTTTGAGCTTTTCGGTGAGGAACTCTGGGGTGATGGATGGAGAGGAAGATGCGGCGACTTGTGCGGCTTCAGTGTCCGTATGCGCCGCCATTGGGGAATGGTAGCTCGAGGAAGAGTATGTGAAGCAGCGGGAGGTTGTGATGGGAAAAGAGCGCACGAGGAGAGATCGTGGTCTGAGTCTCAAGCGCGGGGAGGGGATGTGTCTGGTGATGCTGCTATCTGCGCGGACGATGGTAGTTGGGACTCGGCGTGCAGCTTGCAGTGCCAGGGCAGTTGAGACTTGCATGGACACGGCTCAGGCTGAGCAGGAGAGAAGTCGTGACTCGTGACAATCTTGTGTTGAAGTCGAAGACCTGTTCTTCCAATTGTTGAAGGTCGATTACTTATGTATTGCGAATTGGAAATCAACCTGAGGAAAATCCTCGGTCCTCTCATTAGTCGAGAGCGTCTCTTGGGAGTTGCGTCATTGGAGACACTTTGAGCCTCACGTCTCGTCTCGCGTTCTCCTGCAGCCAACGCACCAGGGAGACACTCACTACTCTTGACCATGTTGTGACCTGCTGGCCACATTGATTGGGCCGACAATGTGCTGCCCGAAAACAGCTTGCTGATGCTACGATATCTTCTCCTTCGAGGTGTCCCGTTCCCTCAGTCCAAGGCAGTTCACATTTCGACCCGTCGCAGGATGAGCACCTTTCAAGGCCAGGCCTACAATGTCTCCCCGTTCACCACCGCTGTGGTATCCTCGATGCGCCGTCTCTACCCCGAGTCCCTGGCAGACAAATCCTTCGACAATACGGGTCTGCTGGTCGAAGCTCCCTTCATATCCTCCCGGCCTCGCAACCGCAACTCGGTCCTGTTGACCGTCGACCTTACTCGAGCGGTCGCAGACGAGGCAATCGAGAGCAATCACTCTGTCGTGGTAGCCTACCATCCTATCATCTTCCGCGGTCTCAAATCCATAACTACGGATGACACCCAGCAGTTGTCCATGACGCTGCTGCTGGCGCATGGCATCAGCGTATACTGTCCGCACACGGCGGTTGATACTGTTCCTGACGGAATGGCCGACTGGCTTTGTGACATTGTGACGGGGAAGGTGGACGAGCCGGAGCCAGGCGCGTATGACGCGAATCCTCTTCCCTCGGATACAGAAGTCACCACCTCTGAAAGCGATTCGGAAGAGCGATCCAGTGCTTCTACAAAACCAACCTCTTCGTCCGTGGACTACGATGAGGACGCCATGGCGGACCCGTTCACTACCCCTAAAGCAAAGATGAAGCTCTCTCGCCCAAGCCATGCGCGCAGAACCTACTCCAGACCAAGCTTGCCACTCCCGACATCTGACTTCCATGCTGCCGTCATCTCTCACACTCGTAGCGTCATCACTCCTTCTCCCCGGGCTTCCCTTGACGCGGCAAATCAATTTACTTCGTCGGATATGTACAATACCTCGAATACTGGAGCTGGTCGATTGATTGAGTTTTCGTCCCCACAACCCCTAACGCTTCTGATTACACGCATCGCTCACGCGATCGGCCTTCCCAAAGGTTTTGCGGTGGCCATCCCTCAGGGGAGAAATCTCGAGGAGATCGCCATTTCGAGCGTTGCGACGTGTCCAGGCAGCGGAGGAAGCGTGGTCCGGGGCTGTAAGGCGGACTTGATATTTACGGGCGAGCTGAGTCACCACGAGGCCCTGGCGGTCATCGAGCGGGGCGGGTGTGTCATTGCCCTGTTCCACTCAAACTCTGAGAGAGGGTATCTTTGGAACGTGATGAGGGAGAAGCTGGAGCGGGAGATTAATGAGGAGTGGATCAAGGTGAGACGTGAGGAGAGTGGAAAGAGTGGTTTGACCGAGCAGATCAAGGAGATGTTGAAAGATGAGAGTGTGGAAGTCGTCGTCAGTGAGAGAGATCGAGATCCCTACGGGGTTGTGGTCCTGGATGAGACGGCAGTTGAGGGAGTCAAGATTGACGGCGAAACAGTTGAGCAGTGAGGATCAGACGTACGCTTCCACACGCGACGGACGAGTATTCGACAGCCACGACTTAGTTTGCGTCACCATCACCATGACCAGCAGAGGCTTGCCTCAATGTACAGTAACTCGTCCGTTACTGGGACGTTACAGACGGCCTACCTTGGTTGAAGCTTTCTGATCGTCATCCCATGGCCGGCATTCGAGACCTATCAACGCGAGAATTACAAGACTCACCAGCCACCTGAATGCTGGCGGTCTTCCATTTTCAAGGTGACCGACGTCTCCTATTGTCCGTGACCCTACATTACTATACCTTGAGCTACTATTGTCGACCTCTTCGGCCCTCCTGCAATGGCTCTGGTCACGATCTCCTTCCGAGCAAATTATACGCCACATTGGGTGCTTGGAGAGTGAATTCTCTACTCCTTGCTGCCTGACGCTGCCTTCACTGCCACCTCAAATTGTATGTACACAAGAATAGCCATTCAGGTCGACATCGGTTCGAAATACAGCAGAACGTCGCTCACGAAGAACGAGGAATATACATTAGGTGTGAACGCAATACCTTCGGTTTCTTCACAGTGTGTCTAAGTTCCCCCAACTAATATAAAGAAGAGCTATTTGGAAGAATGCTTTCGCCTTCCCGCTTGGTGGCCGCTGGCTCGAGTGAATTGATGTTGTCCTCAACACACAGACGGTGACAGAGGACCATGACTCTGTCACGAGCCACCGACCTCTACCTTTGCCCTTCCCGTTTGACATAGAGCCCAGATGTTCACAAAACCTTTGCTTCAAGAGCCTCTTGCTTCTGATATCGAATTGCCGTTTCGAACTCCCCTCCCTCCTTCATTCACTGTCGATTCTTTTTTTGCAGTTTCCCTGCGTTTCCAGCGCAAGCAAGAGATATCCTCTGATCCTTGCTTTTTACTCCAGGCTCGCTCAATCGTCAATAGCTCCAGCACATCAAAAGCCATCGACCTCGCCTCTAAACCTGTCACACGCGGACCACAAGACGACAGGCAACGCAACAGGATGGGCGTTTTTCTCGCATATTTTCTCCTGTCCACCCTCCTCCTCACCACGTTCATCACCTTCGTCATCGTCCTCCTCGTCCCGGCTCTTCTTGTGGCGATTTATCTCCTTGCCCTCATCTGCTTGTCGCCGGACGACGCGTTCATCCCGTCGCCCGGCGAGGAGGGGGGATCGCATCACCTACGACCAGCACCGCGCCCGCCAATACAAGAAGAACAGCAGCCACAACATCGAGAACGAGGACGATATGGAGAATCAGGCGCCGAAGAGCATCAGCCACTTACGCAACATACACGACTGGGTCATCTTCAGCCTGGAGCAGCCGGTGTCGACGGCGTCCGTGATCTAGGAGACGACAACAAGGCTGTCTTCGCTGGTGAGGATCAGGTGTCACTTGCAGTACCATCGAGGGCGGAGGCATAGTTTCTACGGATGAGCCCTTGATCACCGCCCATCAGTGAGGTAGTCAGTCACCTGCTTCAATGAATTAATTCCGCCCTTTCCTCCGGGTACATGTCGCGTCCATACAGTATGTACCTCGTGGTTTGAGTGGAGAGAGATGCAGCTGAAGAGATTGGTCGTCACTACAAGTTATGTATCTGGTGGTAGATAGCTCTAGTTTTACACCCTGTGCCTCCAGTTCTCAGATAATATTCCATTCCGATACAAGCTCGAGACGGGTTTGACCTGTTAATGCGTGGTTTGGTTGGTTTTGTTGGTTTCACAGAACGAGGCCCAGTCATACAGTTAGTTTACGTATGTATGGTGCAAGTGAGGAAGGCGAGATCACAGATTTTGAACCGACATTATTATTTCTTGAACCTGGCCTGGCCATGTATGTAGCGTGTATGCCCTTGAAACCCCCTGGCCATATACGCCCAGCCCACCACAATGCAATGCTGAAAGCAATATTACATACAAACATACATACATACACATCATCATCGTCATCGTCATGCCTCCCCGAAAAAAAAGCCTCTCTTCTCTTCTATTTTTATGACCACACCGCCTGGGCTAGGCTGATGGTCGAGCTGTCAAAGTCGTAGTAGACGTAGGCGCTGCGCAGGAAGGTGTCGCCGAAGCTGATGACGCTCTGGTCCTGCGGGAGAAAGCCAAACAGGCACGCGCCCGAGCCGCTTGGCTCCGGCACCGCCAGCTCCGAGTAGGGCACCTGGATGCTCACGGCGGGACCGTCGCCGAAGCCGAAGGTGAAGGAGCCCGACGGCATCTGGCACGGCACCAGGTAGTTACCCGCGTCGTCGGTGTAGACGTTGAAGTACGTGGCCAGCTCGTTGAACAGCTCCACCGGTAGCACGCTCGTCGTGTACCCGGTGTCCAGGGCCACGGGGTACGAGAAGCCCGACTGGAGCAGCGCCTCCGTGCTGCCGGAGCCGTCGGTGGCGGAGAGGGACGTCCACTCGACCTGCAGCCGGGGCGCCGAATCGGTGTAGGGGATGATGGGCAGCGTGACCAGGTCGCCTGAGTACTTGGACGAGTCGACGTCGCCGAAGAGGATGAACCCGCTGCCGGCCTCCAGGTCGTCGAGGTAGATGCTGTAGGATCGCCGGTCGATGAGGCCTTGACTCTGCAGGTCGTCCAGCAGCTCCGGGTACTTGACTTGGCTTGCCTCGAGACCCTGCAGTCCAATGCCCATGATGCCGCGCTGCGTGCTGGCCGCCGAGGTGGCAACGGCGAAGGTGACGCCGGTCACGGTCGCAGAGCCCAGACCGACGGTGTCTTCGATATAGTATCCCGATGCCGAGGTGCCGTCGAAGTAGCTCGTCGAGAAATCGCCAACGCTGCTGTCGTACACACCGGTGCTCGATTTGCTGGGATCAACTAGACACAGAGTTAGAGGATGTTCATTCTAGAATTGATGTCGACCTTTCGAGAGACTTACAGACGCCGCCCGTGCAACTCGTGCATGATCCAGGCCCATAGACCCAGATATCGCTGCTGCCGGTGTCGATGCTGAGGGTGATAGCCTGGCCCGGGGTTCCGAGCTCAAGGTCGATCAGGTATTCGAAGTCGCCATTTTTCAGCGGGGACGACACGGAGCGACGGCGAATGTCTCCTCCCGTGAGAAGGCTCTTCCGAACGGGCAAACGCAGCGACGCACGCTCAGGCTTTGCGGGTGAGGAGAGAGGTGCTGCAAGGCATTGGGAGCAGAGGATGGCTGCAACAGCCCACGCCCAAGTTCCTGTTCTCATTGTGTTGTGTAAAAGAGTGTGGGTCGACAAGGAATTCTGAAAGAATGGTGTTAGTTAGATAGATACTGACTTCTGGCTACATCACGCAGACTGTTCGACAACGTTGGGGATATAGGATCATTATTATAGAGAGCAGTCCCGTCCCAAGGCCTTCAACACGAGGCAAGCATGGCCTCGTTCCTCTCTCAGCCTCAGGCCGCCGAAGTTTGTGGCAATGCGGGAGGGAAACTGACAACTCGACTGGTTGGAGAGAGAGAGAGCCTCATGGGGGCTGCGGCCTGTCGACCGACTCGGCTGTGAGAAAGGCAGACAGACACACACGCTGCAACGAGCCTGCATTAGCGGGCGGTGGGCTGTGCAGGGCGGTTTGGGCAGAAGTCAGCCCTAGCCTAGTAGCCCTAATAGCCCCAGGCACTGTTGGGTTGTTCCTGTGTTGGTGTTGTTGATCAGTGATAGGCTCATCCGGCGGCGATGGAGCCCTTAGGCTTGGGAAGAGGCTCTAGAAGTTCCTTCGTCGACTAAGAAGTCTGGGAAATGCTTGCATCAGGGCTTGTGTGTTCTTGTACTTGTACTGTACTTGGACATTACCTTTACCCGTAGAATAGCGGGACGGAACGCAGCTTGTTGGAGCCCTTGGACTGAGTTTCTCTCCTGTCAACTTAATATTATGGTAACTGCAGTATTATTCTGTGCAGTGCAAACCGAGAGCAGGCTCGAGCCCCAGGTTAGAGAGACTGGATGCTGTGGCCTCGCTGCCTCCCCTCCATCCACGAGTACTACATGCGTAATTGTATGCGCCACACCACTAGCCCTTCATCCCAAGACCTACAAGTACGAGGAGGACTTGTCTGTGTAACACAACAGGCCACCCTCACAAGCAATGTATCGTGTACTGTCCGTTCAGGCTGCCAACGACGACGGGAAGTGAACCAATCCATTCCCTATTATGCCGAGGAGAATCAAGAGAGGGAGGGGGCCGAATTCACCAACCCTCAACCATCAGCCCTCGTCGGGAATGTGCGGATTCTGACATGTCTCAGCCCACCTCCAAAGTTGCCTACCAGCTGTGCGACCAATAATCGTCGACGGGGAAGTGCAGCCTGGCTTCTCATGGGTGTACCTACTGTACAGTTAGCACAGCAGTCTCGAAGTACAGTAGTCCCTTTAGTAGGCAAACTTTACAAGCGGCCCCTCTTCTCTCTAGCAGGACTGACTAGGCTGAACGAAGCTCTTTCACACCATGTACAACCGAACAGGTGCCGCAGGATTTGATGCGTCATTCTCAGCCTCGTTTTGCTTGGTGACAAGATGTCCAGACATTGCTCTCCTTGTTGGACGAGATTTGCTCAGAATGCTTGGCTTGGGCCAGGACACACCCGTATCATGGTTGTGACACGGTGGAATCGGCCATGAGAAGATATTTGGACGAATGTTTCCAACAGCAAGGTCACCTGGCTAGCCAACTAATTAGTTGATGCAGCCAAGACCACGACGCCGCGAATACGAGGGCCAAGTCACCACCAAGTCACTTTAGGGGGCTTGCGCTGGTCCAGACCAGAATGAAGTCTTGACCTGCCTAAGCTTCCTCTCGTCCAGTCTTGCCCATTCGGCCAAAAATAGCTTCGTGGACTGCACTCGATATTCCCCTCATGCACGTCGGTTGGGATAGGATACAAACATTCCTGCCAAATTCTACACACCTACATCATGGCTAAAACACTCAAAAACGTGGCTAACAAACAAATCGCCTTTTAACTTCCGCGCTTTACAGCAGTGTGGCCACCATGCACGGCCCCCAGAGCCATACTAACCAACCTAGTAGGATCTGACGACTCTGTTTGACGGACTCAGCTGAGTTCTCGGGAATATGGGAAGATTTTCATCGAGCGAACTTACCGATCCTAGGCGTGTGCCTCCATTGCTCTCCACCACCACTGACTGAGTGGGGCCTGTGGATGCTGTTGGACTTGATGTGATCGAGGTAGAATCTGCCGTCAACGAGCTGGTCGTCAAGCGTCCAATGTAGTGGGTACTCGACGATGAGGATGATTGGGTCGTGGTGGCCACGTTCTTGCACGGTGCAGAGTCGACAGATCCCGTAACGATGCTCGAATACTCCAAAGGGCTTGCCGTGGCCAGGTAGGCGAGACAGCCTGAGAACATGCCGTCATAGAGGTCAGGCTGGTATGTGCCGTTACTGTAGCACACGCAGCTGGCCTGTTGACTGAATGCCTCTGTCGAGAAGCCCGGCAAGTTGTCTTCGCACGCAAGCACAATTGCTTCGAAGCCGGTGCATGCATCCATGCCCGTGGCGGTGCTGGCGGGTGCTGTGATCGTGCTCGTGTTGGAACTTGCAGATGCTATGGTCATGGTGATCTCGACGGGATTGCTCTCCAGCTCGAGCAGGCATTGCATCATCGCGTTGTAGCTGGACAAGGCACAACAGTTGGCAATGTAGACGTAGCCCGAACACGACTCGCACATGGCGGAAACGCAGTCCGCGGCGTTCGTTTCGCACACGTCCTGGAGCCCTTCGGTGCTGCAGGTGTAGTTTTGTCGCTTGGCGAAAACATTGTCTTCGAGCTCGTCGTCATTGAAGTCAGCGGCCGCGACATTGCCAATAAAGACGGCGAGGGAACTGATCGTCGTCAGGGCCAACAAGAACGGTGCACCAAACATGTCGGCGATGAACATTGACCTTTTGGACGCGTGTACGGCAATTTCGAGTGAGGTTTTAAGATAGATATACCGGGTTTATCGCAGGGGCAAAATCATATTGAACCAACCTGTCTGTATCAGGTCTGGGCTACTAAGATTAGCGTTGTACATACGAACGGCCTCGAACCCATCAGGCTGGAAAAGAAGGCGATGCAGGTAGACCACCCAAAGGAAAATACCTCGCCGGATGTGGCAGAACTATCGTGCCACGACAAGCCCGTTTGACGTGCCGGGCTGGGAGAAGGCAGGCGCCGCCTCGAGAACCCGATCCGTCAAAGGCAATTCCCCTCTGAACAAGTCCCCCCTGAGTCCCAAGGGGATGATAGATCCGTGTCACGCGTGGCGGAGCAATTCAATTCAATCCATAGGCTTCCCAAACAGGTTAGTCAGTTCGTATTGCCTAGCCGGGCACGTTTCCCTCCTCCTGATTGGTGGCTGTCGACGAAGGACTGGCTCCACCCACTCACCACCTTCCACAGCCATGTCTCCCTCAATCTCGCCAGCATATCCGTACACATAGTCCCCGAGGAAGCCGCTGGATAGTGATGGACTTTCCTATGAAGGGAAGATAGAAGAGGTGCTATTTCTGTGGCGAACTTATGATTCATTCCAAGTATATACTTGATCTCGTACGGGGTCGCTCTACTCTCCTCATGAAGCTGTAGCCCTGTCGAGAAGCCATCATTTCCCTGCTCTGGGCCTGATCCATCGAACATGATAAACCTCACCGTTGGAGAAGTTGCCGGTCTGATTTCGGGATGTATTTCACTGCGTCAGGCTCGCTCCCCCTGGTGATGACCACCTATTGATCTCTGACTGACCGCAAACAGTACACATTGTGATCCCGCTGCTATTTGCGTTTGTGTTGGTAGGCATCGTCCGTGACCGCTCCTTCGATGCCGTCACATGGTCCTCGATCAGCCATCTCTTGCAGAGTTCTTGGTGGCCGTTGCTACTGCAGAGTGATGGCGCTGCGGGGAACTTCATGGGCAAAATGGTCCGCTGGCGTGTTTTTGGTGTGTCGATGCTGGTGACGCTCGCGACTATCTGCCTGGTCGTCGCAAACTTCCTCACCCCCAAGCCTCTTCAGGAGAAGATCAATCCGTCTCGCGGCCTCCATGATGTGGAGTTTCACTATGTCACGGGTACGGGGGTTTCCACAGTTCCCTGCTGCGTGTCAAAAGCTAACAAAGCGTGACAGATCCGTCCTACTACGGGGTGGCCACATTGGATCGACAAGGCGTCAACAGGCGGTGCGGGTGGCAGAAGTGGATGGACTGCCCGCATTCCATCTACGACGACCCGGCCGTGCGAAACCAGTATATCAACCACACGGTGATCAACTCGACCATCCCCGACGTCACCCGGGAACTCTTCACCAGCGGAACCAAGGTCGGCACCGTCGCCAATCTGCTGGACATCCAGTTCCGGGCCTACAACCTGGTGAACAACATATACGTGGACAACAACGCCAGCCGGGCCGTGGGACGCCTGGAAGTCCTCCCGTCCATGATCCTCAACAAGGGATACTACCTCGTGAACGGGTTGATCATCGACGCGTACAAAGGAGGCATTGGGATACGCAACCACACCGTGCCGGGCGGTCTCGAACTGGGCGCGACGTGGACGGAAGACATCCTGTGGGTGATTCCGGAGACACGGTGCACCAACACGAACCTGAGCCTGCACTTCTCGGTCAACGGCAACGCGTCCAACTCTATGTCCGGCGACGACGGCTACCTGCGCGACGACGGCGGCTTCTCCGAAATCAGCCCCGAGATCCCCAAGCCCCAGTGGAACGACGGGGACAAGTGGAAGGACGTTGGGGGGACGCCGCCGCTCAAGCGCAACGCCGACATTTTGGCGTGGTGGAACAACCAGTTCGTAGCCCAGGTGCTCAACCTCACCTCCTCGGAGAAGGGAAATGTGTACACGGGCCAGATCAACACCTTTGGCTCCCTCAGCGTGCCCGGCGCCATCAAGATCAGCGGCATGGACGGCGGGTTCCTGGACGACATCTACTACAAGAAGCAGCCGACGTTGCAGTCCAAGTTTGAAAATTACGGTATGTAACGCACTCCATACATGTTAGATGGAAAGAAAGGGAGAGAGGAATTATGGACCTTGTGACTCATATAGCTGTAGGCACGCGATGCAGCGGATACTACGACGACGACCCGAGCAAGGACGGCAAGGCGTTCATGCAGTGCGGATACCTGTACAGCATCCCGCAGCCGGAGCACGTCGACTCGGGCCAGTCGTGGCGCCCGGACCCGGGATCCCCGTGGCAGCAGAACCTGTACACGTGCGCCAGCGCGGTGTCCGCGACGATCAAGCAGGTGACGTTCCGCAGCAACGGGAGCACGTCGTTCGAGGCGCTGCAGGTGGTGGACGTGCAGGCCAAGAACTACACTTCCAGTGACATGCCGCTGTGGGGGATCGAAAAGGTCGACCACCGCACGTACAAGATCTGGGACGTGTACAAGTTCTGGGGCCTGGTGGACCAGTCGTCGTCCGCCGCCGCCGCCGCCGATGTCGACGTCCAACGCGCCGCCAAGATCTACCTCCCCGCCGCTGTGCGCGGCACCACCCTCGGCAACCACATGTACGACTCGTTCGCGGCCGGGGGCGTCTTCACCGCCGCCTGGAACAGCATCTACACGGACGCGGCGGCGCTAAGCGACGTGAATGAGGATGCCATTCCGAAGTAAGTGACATGGTTTCTATCTATACCATATATACATAACCATTACACCCCTTTTCTATGTGTGTCCTCCCCTCCACTCTCCCCTGTGTCCAATCCATATATACATACATGTACTCACACCCCTGTTTCTTTTTCCACAACAGCTACAGCGGCAAGTCCAACTACGGCCTGACTCTCAAATGGCGCGAGCTCATGTCCCAGTCGGCTGGCGGGGCCGAGACGATGATGAACCTGATCTGGACAGACCTCATCAGCTTCGCGATCGTAGGGACACGGACCGGGTTCGAGGGGATGGGGACGATGTCGTCGGTCAAGGTGGCGACGACAAACAAACGCTCCAACACCGGCACGCACAATAACAATAAACTCGGTCTACGCCTCGTGCACCGCTACGAACGGTCCATCGCGTACGGGGACATCCGGTACGCGATCCCGGCGTTCGTGGTCGGGGTGGTGTTCGTGCTCACCCTGCTCGCGTCGCTGGTGATGTGCTGCTTCCAGCGCCGCGTGTGGGCGGCACTCGCGCACTACACCCGCCAGACCAGCATGGGCCGCGCCGTCACCCAGACCATGCAGCAGCAGCAGCAGGGAGGTGCCGCCGGGCTCGAGGACGAGGAGATCATCAGTCCCGCCGCTAGCACAAAGCAGTGGGCGAGTCGGGCCCGGTATATCATCCTGCCCGTGCCGCCGGTGCCGCCTCCGCCAGGGCCGTCGGGGGTACGAGACAAGCAGAAGACTTCTATCACTCCTACTTATTCTTCATCATCAATGGATGTTTGGGGGACCCCGGGAAGACGGGCCATGCTCACGCCGGTATACGCCACCAGCAGGCCCCAGAGTGACCGAAGCAGCCGGCGGAGCCAGACTTCCTACATGGCCATGGTCGAGCGCTCGGCCGGTGACCACGAGGAAGGGCCCTTTGAAGGAGGACCACACGAAGGCGAGTCGCAGGAGAGGTTGAGAATTTAGACTCCGGGGGGGAAACAAGCATGGATTAGGGTCCCTCCGCCTGTAACGATTTACGAGGCGCTGGAAAATAGATAGTTTTGAGAGTGTGGGCCAGGGTTAGTCCGTCTGAGTACCGTGAAAAGGAAACAGCATCTCCTATCTGTGACACTTGACACAGTGGGAAAGAGCAGCGTAGGAATAAGGATATCTGTCATACGTACATGTATGTAATGGACTCAGAAATGTGTGGTAGATAAAGTGTCATAAGATCCGTGAAATAATCAATGTGGTAGTCGCAGTAAACATCTTGAGGTTCTCAACCCAGAAGATCAAAGATTCCGTCCTTTTCCCTGTTTACGTCGACATGAGGCCGTCGTAGTTAAGGACCAGAGCCAGCCAGATACTTGGGTCTCATCGTCTTCTTGTTGTAGAGCGGTTGTCCCTCTATCTCCACCAAGTCCAGACCCATTTGGTTGGAGCCGCACACCATCCATTTACATCGAGGAAGACTCCCTGGAACATGGGACTTCCGGCTTCCGAGAGAGCTCTAATTCTCTCAAGGCCACAATGTCAGCCTCGGCAAAGAGGGAGGCATCGGGGTCACCGTAAACCGGCGATAGACTCTGCACAACGTCCAGGAACGAATAGATGGTATGGGCACCGCGATTGCCCCTCGGCCTCGTTCTTCGGATCCTATCTAGACGTGACTGCACGGTCCCGGGATCACTGCGTACCGGCAATGTGCCCAAGTCCAGGGAGCTGAATGCTGGCTTCAAAACATTTTCGTAAACGAAGGCCAAGTCGGCCTCAGTTACTCCCGTTTGAATGCCGTGTGATACCAGCAATTTGACGATCGCAAGACATGCCGCGCAGTCTCGTGGCATAATGAGTTGCATCGACTCTAAGAACCACACCCAAATGGGAACGTTATGAACAACACTGTTGGGATCGGCCCCCAGGCTCAGGAGATGGCTCAGGATTTCGTGATCAGCCAATTCCGTGCCTCTCCTGTGCGGTTTCAGAGCGTAAAAAAGCAATGGCAGCCCCGCTTGCTCTCGAATCGTCGTCGCAGTCAATCGTGCCTTGATATACGACTTCCAGCCGCAATGACAGGAAGAATCTTCGTCCAGAAACTGCGTGTAACGATGATTGCAGAAGGTTCCACAATATCAGGCTGGCCGAAAGAGCGACTTGGCAGAGCGATGAGCTGGCAATGGGTGAAACTGCTTCATTGCAGGATCAGGCTCTGAGCCACCATTGAGGCGGTGCAAGGTGCGTTAAAGTGGTTGGATGGCCTCCAAACCAGTACAGATCAGACTGTTTACCGTTGAAACGAGCAAAGGCGATAGGCTGATTAGGGCAGGGCGTATTCTATTTGGGAAGGATTCTCCCATTGCTGAAAGGCGTATTCGCCCCAATGTTGACCACAATGCTTCGATATAAGTATATATGCCTGGTGGTATATTGCGATCTATTTCCCGACAATGTGACTTTCTGGGAGAAAGGGACGGCATCCGTGGCTGTCAAAGAGGTCAGACTCACCTCCACCACTTCTTTCCCCAGCCACCTTTCCTCGGGCCCCAGTCTTTCCACCGTACATCCTCAATGTCGTCGACACTCAGATAGTCCACCCCTTCCCTCACCAATACCCTCCAGAGGTAGTCTCTCAACCCAATGGGCCAAGCGGGAATATCCCAATATCGGACCTTCAGGCCCCTGGCGTGGGCCGAACGGATCTGCCGTCGGATTTTGTCAAGTTGGGGTTGGGTGAGGGAGGAGTGGTAAGGACGGCCGATGGAGCGTCGGAAAGAAGTGGAAGCATAATACGAGTTGGAAGAAGAATAGCTGGTCGCTAAGCCGGCTGGTGGTTGAGAAACTAGCTCAATGGATGGTGTGGTGTCGTCAGCACGGACATTGAGCGCCGTTGATGGGGAAGACTGTGGAGATATCCCCGGTAGATCAGCCAAGTCGTGAAGAGGTGCATCGTAGAAAATGTCTCTATATGTTGAATTCTGAACGACACGACTGAAGGGTGCATGGCCAGAGACGACAACGGTCAGAGGTCCACTGACCAAGTCGGATCCGTTAAGATAAGTGAGGTACTTCCGGTCGCGGAATCGTGCGAGCAGGGCATGAAGTCGACTCCAAGCCTCTTCCGGCTTATTCTTAAAGGCCCCTATCGGCTTATTCTTAATGTCCACCAACAGAACAAGCGACTGCTCGGGTTTGGTGTCAAAGACACCCACGCGTCGGCTGCTATCCAGGGCGGCGGGATCCAGAAAATCGGGCAGTGTATTTCTGTGATCGAGGATCTGTTTCAGAGGATCCAAATAGAGAGTCTCCAGAGTCCTGTTTCGCCGTATGCCTGATGCAGTGTGCGCCACGTATAGCTCGTTGCCCAACAGCCATACGTCTGCTTCGACGCCGGTGCATCCTGCCGCAATCGCGCTGTATAGAGGTTCTCGCCGCCAGTAATCGTTGTGGGAGTGACACATGACAGGCTGGACGTCTGCCGTGAGTGCGTCAAGATCCTTCTTCCACATTGCAGTTGGATCATTCCGGAACAAGAAGCTGTCTTTGAGCGGGCCGGAGACAAGATCAAGTTGATCTGGGAAGACAGCCTCCACAACACCAAAGACGAAGACTACGCACTGTAGAAGTCCTCTAAGCATTCGTCAGTATATGCTTCCGCAGAGCAAGCATTTCAATATAGTCTTGCTTACAGGGTCATCAAGGCGGCTTTGGCCAGTGACATCACCCTCGACAATATTCGAGAGCTAAAACATCTGTGCCTGTGCTTGCTTGCTGTCATTGGGCGCCGTGCCTTCCTCGAATGGAGTGTGACAACAGCCGAGGACGTTGCTCTGCTCGACACATCTGTCAAAAGGCGTGGATGATATCTGCTACTCCATTCCTGCTCCCCTGGCTCGCTTGCTGCAGAGTGGTCCTCGTCATCTTCATCCGTCCTCGATGGAGAGCGCTTTGGCAGCAATGTGCCCAGCTCGACGTCGGTACCGTCGCTTTCCGGTTGCCAACTCCTGCCTGGCCGGAGGAATCTGTTATCGCGCTTTGCAGCCATATTACTCTGGGAGACGGCAGATCGCAGCAGGTATCATAGCTTTCTGCGACTGATGAACGTGTCTGTCAGTCAAGGGTGTAAGTAGCATGGATGGGACTATTTGTCACGTTTAGTAATGTTGAAGCACCCATTGAGTTGGGTTTAAACAGTCAGGCAGCCGCCAACGAAGCTCAATCGATAGACCGTCTCGTTTCCCGCGTACGTGGCCGGGTGATGGAAGAAGTGGAAAAGATTCGTATGAGTGTTCGTCAAAAGACCGTAAGAATGCGAGGAGCCAATCAGCTTCGATGGATGACGGTCTGTGCGGAGAGAACGCGTCATCGCTTGAGGCGTCTAAGCAGCTTTTTGATTGGGTAGCAAGCGTTAGCGCGCCAAGAAGTGCGTTGGCGCCGACCTATGAGACAACAGCGTAGGCGATCATTCATCACGATATTCAAACTCGACCACTAACTCGATACTAGACGACAGTGAACGCACGGCATAAGACGAGTCCAGCTTCGTACTATGGCGATAAAGCTGACTATGACTCCCCTCGCTCACATCATAAAGCCACCTGGACTCCTTCCCTCATCGTCTCCAGGGTCTTCTTTCCGATCCCCTTCAACTTGGCCAGATCATTCCAGCTTCGCACAAAGACCTCCCCAGCCCCGTCGGCCCCTTGTTCGTTGAGGTATTCCACAATCCCCTCTGCACGCTTTGCGCCCAGCCCATGTAACGTCTTGATTTTCGTGATATCCCGCGTGTTGATGACTTTTAGGAGGTGATGTGTTCGGGGCGTCACCGCAGCACTGAGCTCTGAGGAGGTCTGCTGCGCCAGGGGATCCGGCGATGATGCCCTTGCCCTGCGTTTCTGTTGCTTGGATTGTTTCTTTGGACGCGACCGATGAGCGTCTTCATCCTCGTCACTCTCGTGGTAAGCCGAACCCCCGTTGTCGTCATCCTGGTAGCTTTCATCGCCCTCGTCATTGCTACGGGAAGTCTTCCTTCTGGCAAGTTCGCCCGAACGGGTAAACTCGTCGTCTACAGCTGGCGCTGTCTCGCTTGACTCTGTCTTTTGCGCGGCAAGTCTCTCCCGGAGCCGCTCAATCTTGCCCTTCAACTTCTCATTGTCTGGGAAATATGGCCTGGCCAGTTCATACATCTTCAGCGCGCTCCCAAGCTCCCCGCGGGCTTGATGCTGCTTGGCCATGAACAGGTAACTGAGTCCTTCTGCCCGTTCGCCATCTTGACCTTCCAGCCTCTTCTCAATACTGTCTAATCGCCGCTGAACTTCTTCAGATATGGATTTTTGAGGAGCAGGGTTTGGTGCGTTGAGAGCCCGAGCTGCAAGAATCTCGGAGACTTTTTTCTCAACCAGGGTTTCGATCGACGATTTATCCATGCCCAGAGGTTGACACTCTGGACCTCGCCGGATAAAGTTAGGTGTGGGACGCGAGATTTTAGGAGGACGAGTAGACGTCAGGAATGATGCATCAGCCGTGCGCTTCAGAGGAGACGACTTCTGTGGGACGGGTTTCGCACCGATGGACGCTTTGTTTTTGTCCGAGTAGACAGCAAAGGCCTTCGCCGGCTTCTCGTTTTTCGTGGTTGTGTCACGATTGGCGGCAAGGTTGACGTTGACGACGTGGGTCAGAGGCCGAAGTGGCTGTCGCTGCATCGTTGGGCCGCCCACCGGTGCCCCAGGAACCTGTCGCGGAGGCCCCTTGAAGATGGGTTCATTCTCCACCTCACGGACCTCGATCTTCTTGGTCCGGTTTGCAAAGTTCAGAGAGCTGAGCGTGTCGAGATGGTAGGCCTTGACAGGCGCCAGGTTGAGGATCATGACCGTGAAGCCATTGTTTTGTCCCAGCGAAAGGATCCTTGTCATCTTCGACTCGCGATACGGGATGCGCTGCTGTTTCTTGCTGATGGCCTCCACGCACTGGGCCAGGACGAACAGCGACTTGTTGATGCTCGCGGACTCGACCATCCTGTCCTTTCCGTTCCCCGTTCTTCTATTGTCTTCCGAGCCCGCCAGGTCGATCGCCGAAGCTGTGCTAACTCGCGTTTCCGTCGGGGTAGTGATGGTCACTTTGACGCAAAGAATGGCGTGCGATCGTGACGAGTGGGCGTTGAGCTTCGTGGCGCCGGTACTTCTATTTGCATTGGCTTTGTCATACAACACCTCGAAGTCCTTCAGAGAGGCACAGGGCATCTCGGTCAAGCCGACGACAACGGTCTTTCCACCTTCAGCTTCTCGAATGGGAAGTCCAGTAGCCGTTCGCTTCTCGGGTGCCTCGAAGAGATCAAAGACACGGTCGTTGTAGATTTCATAGTAGCTCATGGCCACGTCGACGGCGGTTTCTCCACTGCCGCTCTTTTCAATCGCCCGACTCTTTCTGTAGATACTGCTCAGCAATCTCGGAATCATCCCTCGGTCAGCGAGTGACTTTCCACCACGCATTGTGTGAGTCTTCCCCGTCCCCGTAGAGCCGTAGGCGAAGATGGTGACATCGTAACCGAGAAAGAGGTGTTTGACTGTGGGTGCAACTGCGGACACATGTGTCAGTCAGGCGAGTACCGCTTGTGAGGTCGAACCAGGAGCTCACCTTCGGCGTCGAATATCTCTTGCTGCGTGGCATGCTGCTCGTAGACGCTGTTGAACTGAAAACTGTACTCTTCGGCGAAGTTCTTGGGGTTGGGGATCTTGACAATGGTCGGCTTGCCGTCGGGACCGTTGTGGCTGGTCACGATCTGGTCCTTTTCGAGTTCGGTCTTGAGAAGAGGTCGAACACGGGCGACGACTCGGACACTCATCTTGAGGTCTGCGAGCTACGGCTGTTGGGCGACGGTTTACTCGGTTTACGAATACAAGGTCATGGCGACGCAGCTGGATTGTAGCGTCGAGTCGCTGTACCTTGTACCTCGTACGTTTTGGGCCGTTTTGGGTGGTTGCGGGGGCAACGGCATCAGACCCACCATTTTTACAGTACATACACAATAACAGGTATTTCTTTTCAACTCACGATCTTCAAGCCCCGGGATGCCTCAGATGTGCCTGAACAAGGTCTCATACTTGCAGAGGCAAAGGTGGCTGATGTCAATGCAGATGAGCCTCAATAACGTCAGGATGGCTATGCTTCGGGTCAGATTGTTCACTCTTGCTGAGCACAAATGGCAGCTGTTGGATTATTTATTGTCAGTGTTTCTCCCCTTGTGACTGTTGATGGCTGATAGCCGGGCCAGAGGTGTGCAGGAACAGACCGAGTTTATCTCGGATTGTTGCAAAGCTGTTTGGCAATGTCCATCCGTAATTATTCATCCTCACTTAAGGGCGTGCTCGGCCTGGGGTGTCTTGCTGGGTGTTCATCGGCTCCGGGCAGCATTATTTAGGCGAGACGACGTGCCCAGAGCAACCGGTCACTAGGCTTTGCGATCCCAAGGCGTCATCCCGAGCTAGCCTCTCCTACTACTGTATGTATCACCAGGGATAATAGTAATCAAGCCTGGCGCAATCTGTCCGCCATTAAGGATCCCACTGTTGGTCCTGCGTAGTTGACACTCCGGGTATACTTCCGGACCGTTGCAAAAGGTACTTTTAATTCCCGACACATGCGATATAGCGTTCGTGGATGAGACGGTATATGTGCTGGCTGCGATGGAAAAGAACTGCCCAACCTCCATCTTCACAGATAGGAATAGTTGGAGGGGACGAGGGGGCATATCAGTCGACGCCAGGTGTTTTCCCGCTTGTGTGGATTGTGGAGATTCGTCTGCCTCCCCGCCCAGAGGCACATGCTAAACTGGTGCATCGTGGATGGGCTGTTGTTGGGTTCAAGGGCTGTTGGTAGGCTGACCGATCTGTACCGGATACGGGTACATGTACTCAATCAGATCCTCTGGGCCCCCCTTCGGCCCCCCAAAACAATAAACACACTTTCATACCTATTAGTCGTGCCCTGAAGGATCAGTCAGTGCCTCCTATACCACACGCACCCCGTGAGATTCCTGATACAAAGCAAAAGCCTTCCAGAGATCTTGGCTTCACGCTGGCGCCCCTCTTCGGCCTTCATCTTCAACCTACCATGAATAGTTTTCAGGTCTACGAGCCTGGTGGCGGCAGCGGTGGTGGTCTGACGAAACGGCAGCAGGCCATCCTCGCCCTCCCCACCACGTACCTGGGCCTCAACTCGGGACCGAAACCAGGCACCGTCGCAGCCATCGTGCTCGGGTCGGTCGGCGGGTTCTTGCTCATCATCTACCTCATCTGGGCGGCCCTCAACTACGGGAACGTGTTCGGTTTCAGGCGCGGGGTCGTCGCAGAGGACGTCGTTCGTCAACGCCGGCCACGCAGCAGCAGGCGAGGGGGCACTGTCGTCGAGGAGACCATCGAGGTGGACCGGCGAAGTTCAGTACGGCGACGAGGAGCGTCGACGGTGCGAGAAGTCGAAGAGGTAGGGCTTGCAACTCTTCTTCCACCCATCCTGCCACCTTTCTCGGGATGGCCACTAACGGTGAACAATAGTCTGCGACTGTGGAGGAGTGACCAGCAAGCCGGAAGCCTGTCTATCTTGCCGAAGACAGACTGACGACTTGGGTGGTCACCAACTTTGTCGATTATTTTTACAATGCCAAGTTGTGGGAGGGATATATGCTACAACGGCCATCACCAGCAGACCAGCGTCATACTTGGCTGCAGTCTCGGGTTTGCCTGACTGCTGAGGCGACGATAGAGCTCATCCAGGATCTGCACTGCTCCTTGTTCGCACCATGCAGGGCGTGAGCCAACCGATTCAGACGTGCAAAAGTGCCTGTTCTCAAGGAGGACGCTGCAGAGTGAGACTGTTTACTGTACAGGTTTGAGCAGCACATGAACCAGCCAGCCACCACATCAGCATCTCCCATGTACTGTATGTACGGTGCAGTGCATGCAGAGCCAGCGTCCAAACCAACACAGTGACGGTGGGCCCTGGGGGGATGATACTGCTTGAACAGGACGGGCAGAAACGTGCTGGGAACGCTAGCCACGACTCACAATGTATGTACTGTGGAATCAGGGCGGGAAGCGAAGGAGCATGCAGGGCGTTTTGGGGGGGGGAGGGGAGAACACATGACTGTATATTTATGCCCGAAAGGAGGATTATGCTGTGAGGCACAGCGGGACATCAGGGGGACATAGTTGTTTGTTTACCGAATTATACTTACTGTAAAGACTGAGAGGACCGGACAGTACCTACAAAACCAGCCGCCCCGGTCCGGTTGCCCCAAGCCACCGGAGCAGTTTCTCCGCCACACCTGCGTCAACCCACACCAACACCAACACCAACACCAACATGACGCCCGCGTCGTGGCCGGTTCCCATTGACCCAGCTGGAAGAAACGACGCTTCGTGAACAACCACACACATCGCAGCCACGTCGTCGCCTTCGCCTTCGCCTTCGTCTTCTCTTTTGGGGCCGCATCCCGTCTTGCAGCCCAACGACTGCTCTACCGGACGGCACGGGGAACATCATCATCACCATTCTCGTCATCACATGCCCACGCCATCCTACGTCCTGGAACGAACATTCTTAAGCGCACGCTCACGGCCCCCATGGAGGAGAGACCTCGTCTGAAAACGCCCTGAAACTTGCGCCAGAAATCACAAGACAAAAAAGTATACACATACACGCACATACACCTCTTGCGCCGAACCCACGCTCGAGCCCTACGAAGGACGAATCTCCTCGCACTGCAGCACTGCGCAAGTGACATACCTCTCGCAAGCGCACTGTGAGTGTGTGTGGCCCGCGCTCGGTGCCCTTGCACGCCCACCCCCCGCCTCACCTCGCCCAGCAAGATGGCGACAGAAGTCATTGTGCGCGAGTCGCGCCGGCGGTACATCTGGCCCGAACTCCAGCTGAATCTGTGGATATTCATCGTGTTGGCTGGGTCGTCGACCGTATTAGGAATCAATGCGTGGTTCATCGCCGTGCAGGACCAGTTGAGGATCGGAGTTCCTTGGTACGTTGTGCTTCTTCCCAAGATACATACATTAACAATGCGTGGGCGAGTTGGTGGCTGACCGGTGCACGACAGGCTGTTCCCCTTCGCCGTCATCTGCGGCTCCCTCACCATCATCTTCCTCATCGTCATCCTCATCCTCGCCGCACGCCGGCTCCTCATCCCCGGCATCATCCTCCTGGGCAGCTTTGTCCTGTTTGTGCTGTGGGTGACCACCTTGATCGAGACGGCCATCCAGCTGTACGGTGACGGCAACGTCAACAGCAACTGCAACAACTTCGTTCAGAACCAAGAATACCGCGGCGTGTCGATAGAGACGCTGGCGTGGCTGACGCAGAGCAATATCTGCGCCTGTTGGAAGGCCAGTTTCGCCTGGAGTATCATACTGGCCGTGTTGTTCCTGTGGATGATGATTCTCAGTTGGCAGGTGCAGAACTACGACTGAGGACGAGAGAAAAAGCGAAATAGAAGGGGGGGGGGGACGAGGAGACCAACCCAATGTCTCTTTTTTCTTTTGTTTTAAGGAAGCCCCCCAACCTGCCTCATTTTATCTAATGCATATGTGATGTGATGTTATCTGACGTTGTTTTCTGGGCATGTGGGACTTTGATGTTTTTGATGCCATGTACGGGAGATTTCTGATATGTTTGTTTTTTGTTTTTGTTTGGCAGGGTTACGATATAAAACGTACATGGCGCATGCCAAACACACCAGGGATCTTTCTTCGTTCCCGGGGGACTTGGAATATATACACATTCCACACAGCACGACGGACAAGTATACAGAGAAGCATGCGTTGTTGTTGTTTTGGTCGACGTGGTGGAAACGAGATGTATCTTCCCATCGGCAGGGAGAAGACTCGATGACTTGGGGACTTGGGGACGTTGAATGGGACCAGAACGAGGGCTCGATGCCCCTTTATGGATGAATAGCCCTCCTTTACTCCTGAAGTGAAGGTGCCCTCGAGGGTTGGAAACTGTGGTTCGACGAGATAGTCGCTTTTTGATCGATCGACCAACCAGAATACAAAAGAAATACTACATATTAAGCATGCATGCACACTCAGTCCGCAGAGCCTCTGTTGTTTCGTTCATCAAGCTACTCGCAAAACCATGCCGTCGGCCTCTCTATAGCATTTAGTCAGAGTCCTCTCGAGAAGGCGTGTCGAGATGAGATACTCTCTCTCTCCCCCCAAAGGGGTCCTGTTCTGCCCGCTTATCCCTCTGCGTAACCAGTCCAGTCCAGTCAGTCTCCTCCTCCCCCCTTCATCAATTCGGCAATCTGCGCATTCAAAAACTTGCTGTCCTCCGGGTTCAACCCACCCCCCGAGACGTGACCCCAGACACTCTCGATGACGGCCAGCCGGCCGTGCTGGAGGTGCGTCATCTCGATCTCCGCGTCCTCGGGCGGGAAGTACTGGTCGGTCCGGCACGGCATGAGGAGCACCTGGGCCCGGATGCTGGCCAGGGCCTTGCTGTAAAGGTCGTCGTCCGGGATGGCGCCGCCGAGTTCGCTGAGCACCTTCTTCTCTCCTCCGTCGGGCGTGGGCATCACAGTCCCGACGTCGCCCATCTGCCACATCCGCGCCTTGACGAGCAGGTCCTCGGCGTCCCAGCCCAGGTAACCGTCCTCACGCATGCGCATCCACTGCTCGACGCTGGTCGGGTGGCCGTCCATGCGGGTGAAGAGGCGCTGCCGGAACCAGGCCGTGCTGGTCAGCCAGGCACCGTAGGCGCGGGCGAAGGCGCGCAGGCCCTTCTTGGGCACGACCTCCTTGAGGTTGATGCCGACGTGCTCCCCACGCGCGATTTTCTCCTTCATCGCCTTCCACGCGATGTAGTCGATGGAGCTGGTCAGCGCTGCGATGGGCCCCTCCAGGAACGCGTAATTGTGCAGCGACGTCCGCGCCGCCGAGCAGATCACCACGATCCGCTTGACCATCGCCGGGTACATGACCGCCCAGTGGTACGCCTGCTGCCCGCCCATCGAGAACCCCACCACGGCCTCCAGCGTCGACGCCTTCAGGTGCTCCGTGACCAGGGCGTGCTGCGCCCGGACCACGTCCTCGTACCGCAACTCGCCCGGCTCCGGGAAGAAGGGCTTGTTGGACGGACTCGCGCTCTCGCCGTTGCCCAGCATGGCCACCACCACGACGTGGTATTTCGCCAGTGCGTCAAAGGGGGCGGTGGTGAATGTGAATGTCGTGTTGATGAGTCCCGAGTAGCATGTCGGGATCAGGACGATGCCCGCCGTAGAAGAGGGGTTGAAGCTGCGATATGCCACCCGGACATCGTGCAAGGTGGTGCCGCACGAGAAGGAGAGGTCGTCGATGGAGTAGAACTCGATGCCCGTCGGGTCGTAGTTTGGCCCGTTCATTGTTGCCCCGTAACGGTGATTCTGGGGGAATTTTGTTGTACTGTTTTTAGAGTGGTATGCCTCTAGAAGTCCTCTAGAACGGACGATTTGTGCATGAAGTAATAGCGAGTCCTAATGCGTCCAGTCGCCAAGACGGTCACACCTCTCACGAATATCGATTGACGATCAAAACTTCTTCGGATCTGACACAAACCTGTCGAGTTCTAGCACGATTGAGGTGGGCAACAGAGGGGAAGGAGAATCCGATGATGCAACAACGACACGAATCAGCAGCGGCAGCGGGACTGACGCTCTTCTCCGCTGCTCGCGGCCGTTGCAACGATAGAACCAGGACAAAGACCGAGTAATGATGAGGATGGAACACATCTCTGTCAAACCCCGATTGATAGGAGCCAGGTCATACCGTCGTTAGCCTGAAGAAAGACGCCAAACAATGCAAAGTCCAACCATGCCCAATGCCAACAATATACAATGGTTGCAATGCTCACAACCGCCAGAAGAACCCAATGCTTCTCAAATCTCCAAAACGTGCCTCGTCGAACGCTGCCTCGATTGCCTGGTTCGGATCAACTTCAGCTCTTCACCGAGCAGTTTGGCCTCTCTCCACTGTTCCTCCATGTTGCTCATGCGGATAGCAGCGATTACGGTCAACACACCAGCACGCAGCTTCTGTACTGGCTTCAGCTTCACCTCGTACTTGCGTCTGTCAAGAGCCACGCCCATTTCTCCCAAGATGTTGAGATCGACTTGGTTGCTAGTGATTTCGTCAGTGTGGAACCAAGGAACAGGAGTAAAGAAAAGAACATACCACTCGACCCTCACGGCCTCGCCCTGCTCAAGGAACGCTTTGCTCCATGCCAGATCCTTTCGCAGGCGTTCTTCCCGTCTGCATTTAGCTTTCAGCCACATAATCTCTTTGATAAGCCCCTTCATCTCCTTTGCTCGAACCTCATCTTTGCTTGACTTGCCAGACGTCAGACGTTCTAGCATGTCTTCATACTTGCTCTGCAGTGCCTCGAGCTCGTTCTCGACGGCTTCAGCCTTTTTGTTGGCCATGCTGCGCTCTTCCCGTAAGCGTCGGAGCTGGTGCTTCATTTCCCGCGCTTCATCGTCACGGACCGAGAGTCGCATGGACATGTCGTTGACACCTTCATGTTCTTCCCGCAAGCGTTTGAGTTGCGCTCTCAGATCATTAATCTGTCTATCACGTTTGCGGATGCTTGATGAGAGGTGCTGTGTCTCACCGTCTTTGTCGCGGAGACGGTTGAGCTGCTCCTGCAGTTCATCGACAAGGTCATTTTGCTCCGCAATCTTCGCGCTCAAGGATTCAACCTCTGCAGAGCGAGATTTGATCTGAGTTTGGAGGATGGCCAGCTGATCATCATTGACAGAAGCTCGACGAGCAGCGCGCTTCAAGTCCCGATTCTCAGAGCTCAACACCTGAACTTCGGCTCGAATGTCGACAAGCTCTTGTCGAAGCCTCGCGACTTCCTTCGAGTGTGACGGAGGGGGTGAGACCGAAGGCGATTTGGCCTTGTATTGGGCAAGCCTGGCCTCATGCAGCTCACGTTCAAGCTCGTTGACCTGCATCTTCAAGTCCCGGTTGGTTGCTTTCAGATCCGTTTCTCTTTTTGTGGCTGCTGTTTCATTCTTTCTTGCTTCGGCCAAATCGTGTCTGAGCCCAGACATATCTCCAGCCGGAGATCCGACAATTTTCGAATGATTGTCAAGCATCCCCTCCAAATCCTTGATTCGAGCCTCCAAACGAGCAGCCTTGTTTTTCGCAGACGTGAGTTCGCGATCCCTGTTCTCTGCATTGAAGATCTTCTGGTTCCGGAGCGAATCTATCTCAGCATTTAAGCGATCCTCTTCCTTGCTCGCTCGCTCAAGCTCGGCGTTGATTTCATCTTCCAATGCTTGGTTAGCTTCCTGGAGGTTGTCGCGCTCCGTAGTCAAACGGGCAATGTCCTTTTCGAGCTTGAGTTTGATGCGTTTTAGTTCTCGCTTTTCTTGGTCGATACCGAATGTGTCGTCGTTGGATTTTGCAGCATTTTGAAGTTTGATCTCGAGGGCGTCACGTTCTTGTTCAGTCTTCTCAAGAGCCAAACGTGCATCCTGCAGGTCGCCCCGGAGATTTGCAAGCTCTGTCTGCAGAGATTGCCTCTCTTGCCGCATCTGCTGAATCTGGGCGTCCGCATGACTGGAGTGTTTTTGCTGTTGCTTCTCGGCGAACTCGTGCTCTTGCTCAATATCCGCCTGCAGCACCTCGATTTCCTCCTCCAGCTCAGCCACCTTTTCTCTCAGGGCGGCTTGATCCCTGATCGAAATCCGCAGCTCTTCTTTGGCGTTGTTGAGCTCCAACCTGTTGTCATCCGATGCGGTTCGTTTGTTGACGAGATCTTGTTGGAGCTCCTCAATCTGTTTGGCAAGGACCTTCTCTTCTTGCTCATGCCGTTGCTTCTCGCTTTCGAGTGCCGCCTGCAGTTTCATTTCACGTCCATTGATTGTTCCTTGCGCATCTTGGAGTTTATCCACCGTCCGCTGAAGCCCGTTGGCTTTCTCTTCCGCTTTCCGAGAAGCTGCTTCAAGTGTCCGTTTCTGTGCTTCCCACTCCTCCAAATCAGCCGCATGGTCTCGCTCTTTCGAGTGCACTTCCCGATGCAGTCCGTCGATTTGCTCGTTGAGAAGGTCGATCTCTTGCTTGTGCTGTGATCTTAGAATGTTGTCGTTCTGGGCGGAATGTTGTCTCTCTTCTTCGAGAGCAATTTCCAGGTCTCGGATTGATTTCTGCGCTTTGGAAAGGTCTTTCTGCAGATCCGCAGATTCCTTGGTTAACGCATCGTGACGTGTTTGCAAGAGGTCTTTCTCCTCAACTTTGACTTGCAATTCCTTCTCGACAGTCTCGAGTTGTTTGGTCATGTTGTGTAATTTGCGTTCGAACGTGTCACGTTGTTGCTGAGATTGATCAAGGTCTTGCTGCAACTTTCGCAGTCCTGATCCTCCTTCCCGCTCCAGTTCGCGAACTTTCTCACGCAACTGCCACTCCGAATCCGATTTCTGTGCGAGTTGGGTTTGCAAGGCATCATGTCGCTCCTGCAGATCTTGTAAATCGTCCTCGAGCTTATTTGTCTTTTCCTCAAGCTGTCTGCTCAGTCCCTTGGTTGTAAAGGACTTGTTTGCCATCTCGTCGCGCAGCTCTTCTAGATCTTCCTCGGCCTTGCGCTTTTCATCGAGAGCCTCTTCTTGGCCTTCCTTTGCCTCTTGTGCTGCTGCTTTTGCTCGCTCCAAGTTCTGCTTGAGATCTTCGATTTCTTGTCGTGCGGACTCAAGCTCATCTTCAACTTCAGCGGCATCATTTGATTCCTTGCTTGCTTTTGCTTTTAGAGCGTCAATCTCATCCTCTCTCTCGTCAATTTTCCGGTCCTTCTCACGCAGTTCAGCCTGGAGGTCTTCAATCTCATTTTTCAGCTTCTCAATTGTCGATTTCCCTTGGTCCTCTGCAGAATCTCTCTCGGTCTCCAGTGCCTTAATCCGCTTCTCCTTTGTGGTTACCTCGGTACGGAGAGTTTGGAGCTCAATGCGGACATTTTCGTCCACTTGTTTCCGTCTAATCCGTTCTTTGAACTCTTCAAGCTGCAGTCGATAGACCTCTGCATCTTTCTCGGCCTGGGCAATATGCTTCTTGAACTTGTGTAATTCGCGCTGCATGGTGATCCGGTTGACCTTTAAATCGGTATTTTCTTTCAGTGCAGCTTGGTTGAACTCATTGCCTCGCTTTGACAAAGCCTCCTCCAAGAAATGTATCTTCATCTTCAGGCCAAAATTCTCCTTCTCAATCTTGTCAATGATGCTTTCTTGCTCGCGCAACGTCATCATGTTCCCATCGTTGACAAGTCCGGCCGCATCTCGTCCCGGTAATTGTGTGAGGGGTGTACTTTGTGCGCTGCTGCTAATCTGTTGAGGCATGGGAGTGTTGTCAAGGGCATTGCCAGCCGAGCTCGAAGTGTGTTCGCTCGCAAACTGCGACACATCGCTGAGTCTCGGTGCCCCAGGAGTGTAGCCACCTTTGAGATAGGAAGGAGTCGCCTGAACACCGGGCTTTTTACTCGAAAGGCGGCGGGCCATGTTCTTCCTTGTGGCGCTTTGCATGAGTGGCGTGAACTCGGAGCGAACCTGGTTGCCATTTGGGAGCAGGCGCAGGGGATCTCGCAGTCCAGCTCGAGGAGTTCGGAGGTTGACGACCTGGGTTTTCGCGTCCCTCATCTGGCTGATCAAATCGCGCTTTTCTGGGGGTGCCGCAAAGGACTTCTCAGGCGAGATCTCCCCCAGACGGTCCAGGCCGTTGGTGATGTAAGAGGCATCGGTCGCCTGTGGTGTGTTGATATAGTTGGCCATCACGGGCGGATGTAATTCTAAGTGAAGTGTCTCACGCAGCGACCTCTCATTTCCAAGGGTACAATATCAAGGCGAACAACTAACCATACTCTCATGTTTTTGGAGCGTTAGTGCTTTGCAGCATCTCGCGGTTGTTGCTTGTTGTTGTCTGGTCGAAAGAGGAATGGTCGGGATCTGCGGGGCTTGGCACCAGCTGAATGAGATCATTGGTGGGCTCGGCAGGCATCTGGCAAGGCAATCCTTCAAGTTCCCCCTCGTCATCTGCACAGTTGTTCTCAAACTTGCCTGGCATTATTCTCCTGCGAAATCGATTGAGCATGCCTGCGACGGAGGAAGAAGTTGCCTGGTTCCGCTCTACATTCCATCCCATCCCGAAGCCAGCCTTGCCCGACGACTGCATCGAGTACTCCTTGTACATAACCTCACCTTCATTCGATCCAAGCCACGACTCTGAACTGCGCCTGCGATTGCGGGAGGTACAGAAGTATGCGACGGACCTTCATCGGCAATATCTGAAAGATTATATCTGGCAGCGCCAAGGTTTCTCCCTAGAGCTAAACAAAGAGGATGGTGAGGTCTGTACGAATTGGACAGGGAAGTCGAGAATAGACTAACAGGGGAGTTAGGAGTGAGTTTTTTGCGCGGACAAACTGAATATGGCGACTCTGTGGAAGACGAATGGGTCATTGTTTGGCTTCTAAGGGAGCTGACGAAAAATTTCAACGAGCTATGGGTCAAAGTCACAGATAGCGATGGCGAGTTCCTCCTCATCGAAGCCTCTGGCACTTTGCCATCTTGGCTCGAGCCAGATGTTGCCGAGAACCGTGTCTGGATCCACAATGGACAGTTGAAGATCATCAAGCCGGCGAGCGCTTCGAGAAGTTCAAAGCGAACCGAAGAGAAATTGTCGCTTTCACAAGCCAGAGAAATCATCTTGAACGAGCCAAAGAGGCTGATGCACTCGACAAGCATGGAGGAAGAAGCGTTCTTTCGGCTGCGCAATTACCCGGCTCAAATTTCAGAAAATATGCACCATGTGTTGATAACGATACCTCGGAAACTGGCATATTTGCTTCACCAGAAGCCGGCCTACATCGCGCCTGCAGTGGAAGCATTCTATCTTAGAGATCCTATCGCGCTTAAACCACTACAAAACAAAGAGAACAAGGCTCAATTGACTTTCGTCCCCGAAGATTTCGTGACAATGAGCGTCAAAGTCCCTCGCGTGGCATATGCACAAGTAAAGTCACAGGAATTTCCGCCGCCTGCTGTTTTTGCAGACGCGATGCCATCAGAAGTGGATTCAGCCGCCCGTGTTCGTGCCGAAACTGGGATGAAACTCACTTGCGGATTTGAGATGCTTGTTTCGGATTCTCAATATCAGGATCGACCAGCGGTGCGAGAAATCAAGATGCTCCTGGACGATCTAGATTCTGGGGACGAGGTACTACCATCAGATACTGAGATAGCTACATGGAGTCAACGAGAGGATGATGAGAAGTGGCTCGACATCAGTTTTGACGATCTCGAAAATGAGCTCAGCGGGCGCAAAGGTCAAACCGGGGGCAAAGGCAAGAAGACAGGCTTCGGCGACAAGGCAGCACAGGAGAATTTGCAAAGGATAGTGAAACAATTCGAGGAGTTTTTGAATGACGATAAGGCCGGTCTAGACGGCGCGGGATTGTTCGGTGGGGACAGTGACGATGATTCCGATGACGACGTGCTTGACGACGGTGGTGAATTTGAGGACGACGAAGGCGAAGACAAAGAGGCCAGTTTTGGTGAAGACGAGTTTAGCAAGATGATGCAGGAGATGATGGGCATGCCACCAGAGGTGATGAAGGAGATCATGTCCGGGGAACTTGGCCCGGGCACCCAGGACCCGGCCTACCGAGCTACACTAAGACGACCTGCAACAGGGACAGGCCCAGTTCGAGACTTGGACGTGCCGGATGACGATGAGCCGGAAAGTGGCGAAGACCTGCTGACCTTCATGAAACAGATGGAGGCAGAACTCCGGGGTCATGGCGCCCTGGACCTCGGATCGTCCTCATCCGGCAACAAGCAAAGAGCGATCAAAGGTTCTACAGCAAACGCCGGGAAGCAGCATGCTGGCGAAGACGAAGTTTACGAGTTGTCCTCGGACGACGACGACATCGACAACGAAATCGACATCAATCTGGCGAGGAATCTCTTGGAGAGTCTGAAGGCGCAGGCTGGCAAGGCTGGACCTGGTGGGAATCTCATGGGCATGATGGGGTTGCGGATGCCGAAGGATGAGCCAGACGAGGACGATGAGGATGCTCAGGCAGGACCCAGCCGAACACAGGGTACGATGAGCGGGACACCGAGGATCGAAGAGTTGAATTAGACAAGCACTTCAATCTGCTTAGATCTCAGCAATTCATATCAATATCCATCCTTGCCTTCCACAACCCCGTACGCACCACCGCCCTTTCCAAACATCTCTTTGACATCCCCGACAATGTCTTCCGGCCGCTCCCACGCCGCGAAATGCCCTCCCTTCTCATGCTCCCTCTCGAACACTACTTCGCCGACGGTCCTCGTCCATGAACTGGGCAAGACGTGGATATCCCGCGGGAAATGGCTGATCCCGACCTTCACCCCGTTGGATTGGCACGTCCTGAGTTCGTCCCGGGTAAGGCGATTTCCCCAGGGGCCCGACCGGCCCATTTCGTAGTATATCCGGCACGAGGCTGCAGGGCCGGCAGTGCTGAAGTAGTATATACTCAGCCACGTGCAGATCTCTTCGTCAGCTAAGGTACATTGGTGTTAGCGACTAGTCGCAGTCAAAAAGTCGGCGTAGATAGAGAGAAAATGGCTGGATTTGTCACAATATAGCCACTGTGAGGTCGGGTTTTCGTCGTGGACGGGAATGACTTACTCCAAGGGTACGCATCTGTCCAGTCATGCAGTTTCTCGTAGATCCAAGCCATCAAGGCTACAGGGCTATCGGCTAAAGCGTAGCCTATTGTCTGTGGCTTTGTGGATTGGAGGATGTTATACCCGATGCCTTCTTTGTCGAACCACTGTGTGCGTGAGACCCCTTGTTTCTCTCGCTTGGTAAGGCGCTGAAAGAAGGAGGAGATGAATAAGTATGGGTGCGTGAAGAGTGTAGGCTGAGAGCCCACGTCCATGTTGAAGTGCGTAGCTTTGCAGTTTCGCGGGTAGAGCAACGAGAGGGCGCGACTAATGTAGTAGCCCCAGTCGCCTGTCTGACGGTCAATCTCGTGTCCGTAACGTCCACCACGGTGGCTTTGTGCCCCTAAATGCCGTATGGTTGAGCCTACCGCCTTGAGTAACATACTGATCATAACCAAGCCTCAACATCAATTTATGCAACGTCTCGGCATACTGCTCGACTGAAAACCCGCGTTTCTTCGTGCCTTCGGAGAATCCAAAATTTGGTAACGACGGTGCAACGACATGGAATGATACTTGACCCTGGGACTGGGAAGACAGAGCTTCGATGATTTTGGTGACCTCCAAGAAATTCCCAGGCCAGCCATGCACGAACAGCAGCGGGATTGCTCCCTTGACTGGGCTTTTCTTGTGCAAGAAATGGATACTCAAAGGCTCGTAGTCTTCGGACTGGATTGTGGTGACGAAATGAGGCAGCTCATTGAGCTTCTCCTCGGCCTTTCGCCAGCTGAATTCGTGGCGCCAGTATTTCGTCAACCGTTGCATGTCGGACAAAGGCACACCCATTTCCCAGCCCACAGAGCCGAGTTCATCAGGATATGCGGCGTGATCAAGCTTAGAATTGAGCTCTTGGACTCGTGAATTGGGGATGTTGATTTGATAAGGATGAATGGAAGCCGACATTTTTGTGATGTAGTCCTGTGGATCTTGGTGATTGATAGACTTCCTTTACTTAGGGGCAGCTCAACAAGATGAAGACATTGTTAACGCTTTTATAGACAAATCATCGGGCCATCTCTGATCTCTGTGATCGTCGCGATGCATTCGATATCACTGCAACCCAACTGCTATGTTCTCATCTCGTTGTTAGTGGCTTATACTCCGTCCTGCAATACGCACTCGTTAGTCAGAGATATCGGGAAGGCTGCCAGCTGTGGCCTTGTCTCCGAGATGGACAGATGCTGTTTATGGTTACGATCTCTAGATCGCTGGCAATTAGAAGATCTCGGCGAGATGATTCTGCGGTCACGCTTTGTCAGCCAAGATAGTATCTAGAAGACCGCGTATAAGATCGTCCTTATGGTCTCCTTGCCAAGTCGGCGTGAAAGTAGCAAATGTCTCGAGGAAACATGGCCCCTGCCAAGGTGCAAGTAAACACCTCTGCTGGCTGATCGGTGTACGTCAGAAAGATTCTGTTGGGAGATAAAAGAACCATGAAGAGAGGGCCAGGAAGCCGCGAAGGATAGATGCAGACCATTTGTATTCATTGTTTTAAGAGGAATTGTGTCACCGCGACTCGGCAGACTTTCCTCAAGCTGGTGGCTGCTGAAATGAGTGACGCCTGACTGCGGTCCGGCGGCGTGCGGCGTCACTCGCTCCAGCCTCGCAATTGCCCAACTCAACACGATGAGTGATACAACCACTTCTTTGTATCGCGCAATCTTGCGTCTAGGTCGCTTGGCTCGAAGCCAGCTGAATCCCTGCGCTGGAGTGTCGGCTCAGAATTTCGAGGCTATTGAGCCTGGTTAGGTGATCTTGAATATACCCCACATGGCCGTCACCCCTCCAAGGCTGGTTGAATGAAATTGTCCAAATGTCGGCTCTCAGGGTGAGCATGGGCTCACTGCACCCCCCTCGAAGTGTCCAGCAAATCACCAAAGCCGCTCAAGACTACGAATATGACGCTCAAATTCCTCTGCGGTACTGGCTTCGGTCTGCCCAAGCCATGCTAAAGGAGGTCGGTGCTGCTGCCGTTCACTTGGGTGCCCAACACTGACATTTTTCACAGGCAGAGGTATATGTTCGCGAGGGAGACGAAGAGACGACGTATCTTCTCCTTTTCCGACATGCCCACCTCATTCTATCGCAGTTGCCGGCTCACCCGCAAGCCAGAGATAAAGCCAATAAACTGCTATTAAAAGAGGCGGAGAAAGAAGTCAATACGAATTTCAAGGTCCTGGACCTGCTGAAGCCCCGAATCAACGAGCGATATGAGCGTTACGTTAAGCTCATAAAGGAGAGGGAGGCAAGGCGGAGCGCACAAGTGCACAGCCAGTATACTAATGACCCTCCGAGTCCGCGGTCAGCCCAGGCACAAAGGCCCCAGCAACTCAAGGCACATGAAAACAAAGAGCTAGCAGTCAGACTCTTACAGAAGGAGAATTCTAGGAGAGCTGCGAGTCGACAAGCGGCACAGGCGTCCGGGAACGATACCGAGGACCTGTCCCGGAGGTTGCAGGAAATTCGAAACCGAGTTGAAGGAAGGTCCAATTCCTTTTTGCAGAGCCCCGAGACCCGTCCGTTTGCACCTATAGGCAGCAGCGCAACATATCAATACCCGAGCATCCCTGCCCATCATGTTCAGCCCGTGCTGAGCTCTCCATCACCCCATGTATTATCTCCCACAATCCCGAGAGACATACCGGGGTCACCCCCAGCATTACCACCAAAGCCTGGCGGAAGCAGTGTGGTGGCCATTCCGCCTCGTCCAGAGAAAGTGACGAATCATGCGCCTGCAGCAAGATCACAGACACCAGAACCAGTACACTTCTTTGCTCCTGCTGCTTACCTCGAAAACGGAACGCCATTGCGGACTGTATTCCTTCCACCAACCTTGCGGACAACGTTTCTGCGACTAGCTCACAAAAACACGTTGGCAAATTTGGAGACGTGCGGCTTCCTAGGTGGGACGCTGATCGCCAACGCCTTCTTCGTTAGTCGACTGATTATTCCTTCACAAACGGCAACATCGGATACGTGTGAGATGACAAATGAATCACAACTCTTTGACTATGTGGACTCGGAGGACCTCATGATTCTTGGCTGGATACATACTCATCCGACCCAGACGTGTTTTATGAGCAGCCGAGATTTACATACCCACGCAGGATATCAGATGATGCTGGCAGAGAGCGTAGCCATTGTGTGTGCTCCGAGCAAGGGAGACACAACTCACGGTGGCGACTGGGGAGTCTATCGTCTAACCGATCCTCCGGGAAAGAAGACCATTCTCAGCTGTGAACAGCCGGGAATATTCCATCCGCACAATGTTGACAACATCTACACTGACGCGCTTCGACCGGGACACGTCGTGGAGGCTAAAGGAATGGAATTTGAAGTGGTGGATCTTCGAGATAAGTGATGCCACCTTGAGGTCTAATGGCAAAAAACGTGGCTCGCGGGTCGCGACATTGTGCCCAAAAATGGGCTGCGATGGGTCGGTCTATTGCAAGGGGCTTCTGAACTCAGAAATGGACAAGGAATGGAAATCAACAACAGCATCAGAAAGGATGCTGCGACCGAGACGCTTACAATTATGCTCTGTATGCTCTGGCCAATATTGGCATTGATGCACGCCGTATGGAGTGCAGGCTGACTGTTGCGGAGATGAATAGTTGATGTTTGTGCAATGGTGGCCTCCAAGACGAGTTACGCGGTGTTCCGTATATGTTCCAGAAATATCAGCAAGATTACAAGCCATGGCGCACGGCTTCACGGGTGTCAGCGGAATCTACCGAGTACATTGAGCCAAGGCAAATTTCTGCCTTGCACATGTCCTTTTTTATTATTGTCCCTTCTGCAAACAATCGTTGTGAATTCAAACATGGGTTTGTGAACCCAAGTTATCAAGCGAAATCAAGCCGCGGGCCAGCCACCAAACGCCACCGCCCTGATCATGCCAGAAGAGGCGCCCCTCAACACCTCATAACACTGATGACCGCCAATCGGATAAAGATGAGTGCCGGGATACGACGCGGCCTCCTGGCAGCTAAGATGTTTGTTTGAAGCAGTCGAGGCGTCTCGTCGAGCTCCTAGCCCAAAGCCCCTCCACGCCATCCAAAGCGCCATACCCGAACGCCACTCAGCGATTTCAAACTGGGGCGACGGAGGTCCAAACTGCGGATTGAGCAAATCAAAGTCCGACGTTGCTTTGCAAGGCCACGCACACCAATGCAGGAACAACCTCGCCTTGCCTTTCCTGGTGCCTCGGCAGGATCCTGGAGTCAGAAAAAGAGCTTTTTGTTCAAGCAGGTCGAGAAGAGAACGGCAACTTCATCGGATTGAGTGATATAGACTCATTACACCAATGATTGACCTGGATCAAAATATAATTAAGCAGCCACGCCCCAGTCCCCATTATCGAGATTCGATATGAAGATACAAAGTCGCCAGAAAAGACAAGATAACGTGGGCGAAAGTGGCTTGTAAGGTGGCTTGTAGTGGATTGGACAGGGAAGTCAATGGTACCTGGCTAAGGTGAGCCGGGGGTAGCACCCCGCCTAAAAGAGTTAGTGATAGTGGGCTTCGGGGACACCACCATGCCTAAAGCGAGGATAGGCGTTTGACAGGCAATTTCCGAGGGGAGCCATTTTCTGCTCCCGCTGTTTCTTTGTGCGTACAGTGCAGGCCTTCTCAGCTTCCCAAGGTGCATGCTCCAATCACCCCTGCCAATACCCTTACGTGCTACCCAGGGCTCTTCCACCATTTGGCTCAATATTGCCTAGAGAACCAATTGAAACATCAAGCCTGCTCCCCTAGTGTCACCCAGCATCTCCTCTTGCCCTGGTCGCGTAAGGCACCGCAGTTGCCCGTCACCGGCCAGTGCCCCATCGACCTCGATTCCCTTCCCTTCCAAGTCTTGTGACTCTTCCTCTCCCAACCTGCACCACAGAAACAAACCACCACATTCCTTTCGACCAGCACAACAACATCACCACCACATCGCCATCGAGGCAACGTGCAACAGCACATTCAACGCCGTCTAGACGCCCGCCGCGTCTCGATTGGAGACCTCCTTCTTACACTCGCTCAGCTTCAATTACTGCTTTGATCGACTTCTCAGGGGCCTCTGTGTATCAAGTCTGAAACTCAACTTGCATTCCCAGCCAAGCTCCCCTTTACCTCCTCAAACAGACCCGACGACGGACCTCCCTACAGAATCGTAAACACCTCCATCTCGCTCCTCTCCTTTGATGTATAATCGGGGACTTGGTTGCTGAAGGTTAACAAAAGAGCACGGGTGAAAAAATAGCAGTGCGGGTCACTGCTGTGAAGGAGAACAAAGAAATTCTAGCTACGCCTTTCCAAGTGACTGGCCTTCACCTAGATTCGACTGGTTACACGACAAGGCAGCACCTGACGCGACCTTGATCAACTTCGACCTCACCGCTGACGATCTCGAATCTTTGCATCGACACGTCTCTATCGGGTCGAAAAGCATACAATACCGTGATTCTTTCGACACATCGACAGATCTTGAACCGCGTCGTTGTTTTCGTTCAACTTGACTCACCCACAAGATCGCGAATCATGGCACGATCACTCTTACAAGCCGTCGTTCTGACTTCGGCTCTCGCTCTTTTCACAACATCAGTATCTGCTCAGTCAGCTTCGTCCAGCGCGACATCCACAAACGCCCCGAAAGCGATCACGACACTGGGCTGCTACAACTCAGCAGATCCGTTGACCTCGCAGGGAGACTACACCTTCCAAACATCAGGATACTGTCAAGGAGTATGCGTGCAGTTGAACAAGCCCGTCATGGCCATCACTGGAGGATCAACCTGCTATTGCGGTGACGAATTACCAGCCTTGGACAGCGAAGTCAGCCTGAACAGTTGCGACTCGCCATGCAACGGCTACTCCCAGCAAACCTGTGGTGGCATCGGCTTCTGGCAAGTGTACCTCACTGGCTTGACCGCAGACGTCGAAACAGCCCCGAACAGCACCAGCAGTTCAAGCAGCTCATCCGCTACGCAATCTGGAGGCTCGGGTACAACCCAGCCTGCAGTCGTTACCAAACCGGGTGAGACGATTGTCGTGACGGCTGCACCTTCAGCTTCTACTGCAAAGTCATCTGGCGGAACCAGCAAGGTTGGCATTGCTGTCGGAGTCGTCGTTGGCGTTGTCGGCCTCTCTGCCATTATCGGAGGCATTCTCTTGTACTTGAGACATAAGAGAAACCGCGAGATCGAAGAAGAACACCGTCGTAATGCGGCAGTCAGTTCTTTCGTAGGGTCAGCGAAGTCAGACAAGTCATCCACGGACCAGCGCCTTGATCCCTCAATCTATTCACATCGGCGACAAAGCATCGGAAGCATCGCTGATGAGCGAGATTTCTCTAGGAGGATACTGCAGGTATGTTCGATTGAACCTGACAACAGCTTATCAAGCCCCGCTAATGTTTGCCTAGGTGCGAAATCCGGATCGAGAATCAAAGTCATCTGCTATGGCGTAGTGGCAAGTGAATATGGGCTTTATCCCGTTACCCATACGGAACGTGGGTTGTACACCACAGCATGGGGACGACGACGCTCGTATGAAGTCGGCACACACTGCCGGTCTGCTATGGGCCTTTTCTCTTACCTTTGAGATTGCTGGATACCCAATACCATCAACACACAACTACACGCACACTGATGACTAAATACTACGATCCAGACACACCCCGACCATTCCTTCGCTTTCTGCATTTCAGCAATACAATGAAATGATGAACGTTCCTTACCCCGACGGCACCGTCCAGTCTCCTACTCTCATTTGCTGTTCGTTTTAGATTTCAGACCCAGTTTCAGGAGGTCGATGGCATAGCTTTGGCGTCGGTGGTTTGTTTGAGTGCACCGGAGGAGATGCTGCTGGGGAGGGCTGACAAGGTTGGAGGAGAAGGACAAGGTTCGGGACCGAAATGGCTTCTCGAGACTTGCATACCCGTGCTTACATCACTCCTGAGGGTGTGTGAGCAGTGACTTCAGGCATCGTCACGCGACAGGGAAAGGGTATCAGAGAACCCACCTACTAATATTTGCATGAGCAAGGACAACGTTACTCACAGTATTTTGTCCCAAAAAATCTTATCGCGCGCGTAATGTTTGATAGGGAGCAAGCATCGGAGGAGGTGGACGAAAGGTATTCCAAGATATCTTGTGGGAATGACCAGGGAGGATGGGATCAGGGTCCGACCAACAAGCACAGGGGAGGTTTTATCACATCGTGTCACGAAGTCATGGCACGGCTCCGGGGGCTGGCTGTGTGTAAGTGTAGATAGAGATTTTCCTGCCTGTTTTTGTACCACCACCACCACTATCACTACCATGAAAGACTTCATCCCACCGATCCAACAAGACACACCATGCTCATTAGATACCTTCTCGTGCGTACCACCAGCGTTCTTGGACCCTGAGCACACCTCAACCTGCACGTTTTGTGACAATCTCAGCTTCCTGCTCTTGCTCCACGCCTTCTCATCGACATCCCGTTCTTGGATTGCATTAGCCTGTCATGATACAATGTCTCATGTCTGTGCTTCTTTCGAGGTGAAGACAATCTGTAGAAGTATCCTGAGATCCTGATGTCCTGATTGATCTTGTTGCCTGCTCTACTCCTTTTCCCCTCTTTCCTGACCTCTTTCCTGGCCCACGGTGTCTGTATCGGAGGCTCGGTCCATGTATAAGGGCATGCTGGTAGGTCGTGTCTGATATGAGTAGTCAGATAGCTACAGTAGATATTCAGTTAGGTCGTCAATCGAACGGATTGTGAAGAACGTTCATGCTGTCAGGTTCTGTATTCCTATTATTGTAAGTCATCGTGTAGGTCGGTCGGTGGTCATCGCTCGTAAGTAACACTGTCGTCAAAGCAGTCTGTTCTCCAGCCCATCTCGGTCCGTCTAGACGGAGCTGCGCACGCTCGTTCATCGCTCATTATCCATTTTGATTTACTCCAATCCCGCTGTGACTCCTCGCTTCTTCGGCGCCCCTCATGTGCACATTTCAACTACCGCCTGCAGAGCTGCCCACGCCCACAGCCTTGAGGATATCGCCAACGCTCCACCCAGGTCCGCCTGGGACAATCTCTCGCCAGGTCTCATCTGGTATGTTGTCTTCAGCTGGCAACAACGACCAATTCGGACTGGGTTTATCGAGCGAGAGCCATTTGAAGTCGTCGATCTGGTCCCATTGGTTGGGCACGGCGGAGGGATCTTCTTGGGACGTGGAGATGAGGTCACTCTGTTCCCAACTCAGTCAGTACGGGCACAGCGAGGAAGATGAAGAACGAGGCAAATGGAGGCTTGAGAAAATGAGCGACGTACGTGGAATTTAGGCAACACCGCAAATCTTATGCCCTTGCAATTCTCAATGATTGGTCGACTAGTGCAGTGCAAGTAGACATCCACGTTCTCACAGTCGTGCATACGGAATTGGCGGCATTTCAGCACAAGGACGCTGCCTTTTACACCTGTGATGTGCGCGGGACCGGAGACTGAACCACAAAGTATCAGGGATGACGAGACGGAGGTGATGGTTATGCTTGCAAAGGGTGCGGTGGCGGTCGTGGGTACGGATAGATCGACCACACACCCACTGAGCTTCGAGAGCGAGCAGGGTGTTCGCGTGTTCGGAGCCGACGAGGGCAGTATGATGTGCGTGCCGGACTGATTAGAGATAGAGGTTGAGGTTGCAGTCGTGGATAAAGATGGGCGGTCACTTTCTGGGGCGGAGTCAGTTTGCGGCGACTTTGCTTTTGGATCGGTCTCGGTTGTAACGGCGGATTTGCCTCCTTGTCTGGCATCCTCGTTTCCCTCGGGTATTGAATCCTCCTGCTCGTCTTGTACCCTCTCGTTGGCGGGGGTGTTGATGTAGCTAGGAGTATTGACGAACGACGCATTGGGCGAGGGCGACAGATAGCCTGGTACACCTCGACGTTTCTCTGCCGCCAACTCTGCAGCATCGCTGAGAGACAGGGCGGAGGGAGACTTCGACTTGAAAGAGAACTTGGGTTTCGGTGCGTGAGATTTGCGTGTTTCTTCCAGCTTCTCTTGCAGAGCCTTGATAGCCTCGCCGTAGGTTCTCTGATCGTAAGGCGGGATGTAGCCTGAAGCGTCCTTGACTTCGCCGGATAGTCGCGTGATGCCTGCAAGGCAATGGTCCATGGCATCCGAGCGCTCGCCACCTATGAGGGCAGTCTCTGCGAGACGGTCCATTTCATCTTGAAGAGCTGCCGTACAGTTCTTTTCGTCAGCCAGGGTTTCTTCGACAGGGCAGAGAACTCAATGTACCGGTTATTTCGTGCTGGAAGTAGTTGAAGAAACGCTGTTGATGGGAGAGCTCGCCGGGAGGCTCCGCGACCAGACCGGTCTGTCCTTGGGGTTCCATGGTGGTGGTGGTGGGTTGAAGTCAACACCAAGAGGAGGATTAGGTACAGGTATCAACAATGGGGTGTGATTGAGTTGGGGATCTGGAGATCTGCTAAATATGCTTTATTATAAGCCCTGTTGTGTGGCCAGGAAAAAGAGCCCTGGGGTGTACGGAGCCATGACGAAACCCTTCGAACATCCCTTTCACTATCTTCGTCGCGTCTAAGGGGGAATGGAGATTTAGTGGTGCGGGGGATCGAGGGGCACCCAACAGGCGCCCGGGGGTGGCCATGAGGGCAACGCAGGCTGGACGCAATGACCGAGTCGGCCACCGATTGGGCGGTTCAACCGGCTACAGGTGCCGAGTTAAGTAAAAGGGTCGCCCATGTCGCCCACGCCGCGCTCCGCCAACGCCCAAGGGCCATTGGGCTTGCTCCTCAACTAGCCAATGGCATTCAAACAGGTCTCCATCTCCGCGTCTTTGAAGCTGTGTGTGTCTCTTGTCATCTTCTCACTGAGGTACCACCAGTACAGACTCGGTGCTGACGATACTGTTTCTGGTTCCAAGGTCATATCCTGATCCTCGTTTCGGACCACTAGGGTTGCCGCTCCCAGTCGCTCCTTTCTGCGTATGATCCTCCGCTTTTTTTCACGTCGCGCTTCAACAGTTGCTAAGAAGACTTTGAGTCGCGGCTCTGGTCGCTATGAGATCACCAGTGAGCTACTGTGTGGTAAGTGATTGACATCTGAGCCCCCTTGATCTTTGCTCACCTGCCGCAGACGATATCCTCAAACGATTGCATACCAGCCTTCCTGCTCCAAACACATGCGACATCATCGACATCAACCCCGGACAGGGTCTTTGGTCCCAAAGTCTGCACCGTCTCGTCCAACCTCGACGACATGTCCTTGTCGAGTCTGATCTGGAGAAGTATGGGGAGCATCTCCAGCCTTTGTTGAGGAGTGGCTCAACCTATCGGCACGCGACCGTTCTTGAAGACGCGTTTGACCCTGAGAAAGAACTATTGTCCCAATATGATGTGGAAAAAGCTGGATCGCTGGGAAAGCCTCCCGAACATAACAGATCGTTGTTGATGACTGTCAACCTCTCCGGTGCAAAGGTCAGCATTGGCGGGTATATGGGATCTCTAAGCAGAAAATTCTTCGACGAGCTCTACTTGTCGCTTCTGTCAAGTCCTCGTGCCGGGTACTTTCGTTACGGTCTGATCAGGGTTTTGGCATGGATCCCCGATCACGAAAAGGATTCTTATATCCCGCGGACTGTTCACGCACGCCACAAGCAGACCGTCATGCTTGAAGCAACCACAGACATCACCGAGGTGGCCGGGGCGTCGGCAGAGACCAGATCGACCAGGTATAGGAAGTGGCCTGATCTTGAATTAGAAGAGCTTGCCGTCATCGACGCGAGGGCCAGAGATGTTCCAGGACAAAGGACACCCAAGTCGAGGCTCGACATGCCCCCACCACGGGAATTGCTCAGTATTGAGCCTACTCCTCGAAACTTGCGAAAAGCAGACTTTACCTCCGACGCAGAGTGGGTACCAAGATTACTCGAGCTAGACAGTCAGATAAAGCAGAAGTTTCCTCACTGGTATCGGCGTTATGCTTCAGGTCAATCCATCCGCAAGCTTGGCCTGAAAACACCCCTTCAGAAGGAATGGGGAGAGCTTCTACGGCGGGCAAACACCACACACAAGACCCATATGAAAGCAGTCGAGTTGGTTAACCAAGAAAGACAACTGATATCAGAATGGAAATCTGAGATACGTAACGCTAAGGATCACCACCTCGATTCCGAGACCGAACACTCGTTTCAGAAGCGCGCTGAAGCCATCAAGGAGAACCTCAAAGGGTTGAATCGGACGAACAGAATCTTTGCAGAAAAGGCCATCGACGACTGCAGAGCTTGGGATATGTCACCACCTGTCCTGGCCTGGAACAGGCGGGAAGCCCACCCTTTGGTCGTATACGATGGCGAATTTGATGCTCCATCTCGGTACATGGCCCTACTGGATGTGATCCCCCGAGCAGATTTGATCTCCCGAATCGACACTTACGACAAGATGGTTTGCTTCCGCTACATTGTAACGAGTCTCTCTCTATACTTCTCCAGGAGCGTCGCTGAAGCGTTGAGGGCTCTGGTCCACGAAGGGTTGAATGACTTTGTCAAGACCATCCCCGGGATTCATGATCCCACGAAGGGAGGTTGGTATGACTTGACCGCCTTGCGAGTGAGAGTCTTGCCCACGGAAATTTTTGTGGAGATCGGGTTGGCTTATGAGAAGTGGCCGTTTCGCATGAGTACGGAGGCTATCCTCATGGCGACCGCAGATCCCCTGGCGGGATATAGTGGTCAGGAGGATGACATGAAATGATCCACCCAGCGGTGGCTGTATCAAAATGTTGTATATTATATGCGAGGATACACTGGCCCCCAGCAACGGCAACTGCTAATGAAAGTGGCATTCGTCTCTAGGCATCGCTTTAGTCTGCATTTCATTCATTTACCCCCAAACCACAATGGTTTTGTGAGATACGATATCAGGAGAGCCAACATCATCACCCAAAGAGCTGATCCAGAACGTCCCCGGTGGTCATGACCTTTGCGAACTCGCCCTCGAGACTGGCGAGATGGACCTTGTGCACCGTCTCGGCGTCAAACCCGCCCTTGTTGAAACACGCGGTCGCGTCGCTGAGGATAACGATCTTGCCGTCTTCCGGCTTTTCTTCCCCTTCCCCTTCTTCTTGTTCGGTCTGGGTACCACTATATCCGCACGAGGCGTCTGCTTCGACGCCTCGCACCACGCCCAGATCCTTAGCCCAGCGTACGCTCGTCGTCACGCAGTGGTCCGTCGCGATGCCCACGACGACGAGCTGCTCGATGTGCCCGTGCTCCAAGATGGTCTTCAATTCTGGGTTGCCGAACGCCGTGTTCGTCGACTTGGACAGCACGTACTCATTGGCCACCGCCGCCGCCGCCGCCGGTTCCGCGCACGGCATGAACATGATCCCGTCCTTGTGCGTGGTGCCCGAGACGTGCAGTGGCGATAGCGGGTTTCGGGATTTGTGGTATACATGGATGATTTCTATCGCGCGGGGACGGGGCTTTGATGGGTGGTTCGTGGCGTTTGGATCAGAGAGAGCATTTTGTCCTCCAGATTCAGCCGTGTTCTTGCTGATGGTATCACCGGTAACAGAGCCAAGACTGCCGGTCGTGTTCGTTTCGTTGTACTCTCTGCACGCGGCCAGGATGGCGGAGACGTTTTCCTCAAAGTTGGGTGTCGAGCGTTCGGTTCCGAAGTAGCCGTTTCTGGTGTTCAGGCCGCGTTGGATGTCAATCAAAAGGAGCGCGGTGCGGGCTTCTGACGCCGGTGAGAGGTAACGGCTTGCATGGTTCACAGCACCAGTTGGTTGGGTGGACATCTTTTGGTCTTCCGCAGAACGTTCCTTGTGCCGGCGGTGCTAGTGGAGGTACTGTTATGGAGGATGGCAATGAGGTGCAGGTGTGGATATGGAGTCTGACAGAGATAGATATACAGTCAAGGTCTTGATAATATTGCCTTTTATTGCCTTTTGTTTGCCTCTTCGGTGTAGAGTCATATAAGATACACTCTACAAAATGTCTCCTGTGGCTTGCCTGAGAACTAAAGTCCTCCGATACAAACCATAAGCCGTCCCAGAAAGAATTCTGAGGTTGACTATTATCTGCCTACCTCGTGTACATACGCAATCTGATTGTCTAAATGGTGTTGAGGAGGAAGCGAGCTTTCCCTACCCGACGTTGCATTTGGATGGCGTCTGCCTAGAAGAACTCTTTCAATACGTCCAATGACAAGCACGGGATCTCCAAGTACGCTTGTAGCAGGGCGCAGAAATAGAAAGTGCTTGTGTTTTTGTGATGATACGTACGTCCAAGAGGATGTAGAAAGATAGAAGGTACTGTTGCCCCCTCCATTCACGACGCGAGCGGTGATCATAGCTTATGACAGGGGGTGAAGAGGGTATGGAATATGTATCTGCTCAGGTAATAGGCAAGATCCGTATAGTATGACACGCAGCCTTGTGTGTGGGGTGCAATCCGCCAATAAGGGGCTGCAGCTCAATAGCCCCGTAGCATATTGTACAAAACAGCACGCAGCCGAGAGTACCTGGAGCTCGTGCTCGAGAAGTGCCCATGGAATGATGGCGGGCTCTCGTTCCCATACCAGTGGTCTCGCCAACACCCGCTGCAATCGAAAACATGGCCTCATGACAACCGACACCAAAAACGGTCCACGTCTTCAGGCATCTACGCTTGGGAGAACCAGATCAAAACACCTTGCGGTTCTTCTTGTCTCAATGACCCATTTCGAAATGGAGGAAAGTCCTTCCCTCAAAAGCAAGTAGTTGTCAGACACTGCCTGAACTCCGCTGAGTTAGGTCCGAGAGGAGCTAATGTTTTCTGTCAGAAAGCATACCGTAAGATGTTAGTTTGGATGGAGGTTGCATATTTGGTGGCAGAACGAAAGCCCATCTCCGTTTTGGGAACGTCTGGACATGAAAGAAGAAGACCTCCCAGGCCCGAATGCTTTGAAGTGTCCCGCATTACGGACCGTAAAATTCAGCAACAGCAAAGCTTGTTGAGTGAAACACCACTCTCGGAATCCTTGTGCCTCTTCGAGTCAACAGAACCTCGTCGACCATCCATCGCAGAGGACGGCGATGGAAAAGGGATGTCTCACATACTTTCGGTCTTTAGCCGCGGTGTTTTGAAGAACAGCTCAGACACAGCTGTGAGGAAAGTGACGTTTTCTCCTTTTCCTCCAAATTCCGGCATGCCAATGGCTAATTATAACGTGGCACCGCATTCAGCACTGGTCAACGTGGACATGCATAGACATTATATAGTTCCAGGCTAGCTCTAGGCTCGACAAGTCAGAAAAACCGCTGGTACCCCGCCTATAGGGGATGGAGGTGCACCACCAGAACTCATGAGTGGCTGACGTGAGGCCTGCCTTGGCCAAGAGGCTCCGAAAAGAGACCAATAGTAGGCTTTGACCCGGTATATGGCTTTGATGGATGAAATAGGTAATTCTGAGTATGGAATCGATGGGTCTCAGCGTATATAAACAGACCCAATTACCAGACTCACCTTCGCTGTATCAAGCCAGCAATTCAATCCATTCTTTTCCACCTCAGCACTCGTTCCAAGATTAATAGTCCTTCATTTTCTCGAGAGCTTCCACCATCATGTCAACATTCAAGAAGATCTTCCCAACTCTTCTCCTTCTCCCAGCTTTGGGTCTTTCGGCTTCCTACCCAAGTCCGGTTGCTACCCCCCAATCCTCGGATGACACGGATCAAATCACCTGTTCTGAGCCAGGAAGCGGGTTTGTCACCAGCCAACAAGCCAACAGCCTCGTCAACGAGTTCAATCGCTTGATCTGCCAATCGAACCCAAGCGCCCCCATTTCTCTCAATCCGTTCGAGGGGGTTTCGGTCGACGATCCGTCAGGAACCATCCTCTTTCAGAACACCCTGAACATGGTGGCAACACCGCCTAGCTGTGGTGAGGTCGTTGATGACTTTCTAAAGCTATTGGCTCAGTGTTTCACTGGACAGGGCAGCTATGGAGGCGTCTTGATTGAGACTGCTGGCGGTGGGAGGACCTCGTACGTTATCAAGTCGCCATGAAACCGAAGCAGACGAAGTGGTCCAAAACAAGGGCGCGGGGAGCGGAGAGGAACAAGGCAGACGATGTACAGCCAGCCATATAGAATAGCGACAGGCCAGTTCGACCTTTACCCTCATTTAGTGGTCGCCCAACTCTTTGAGAGCTGGGACAAAAATTGGATATGGATTTATGACGTCTCTGTAGCGTCCTCTGAAACCGATTGTGAAAAAAATGGAGAATTGTAAATCGGGTGTTCGGCTTAATGGCACTCATGCTTTGAAAAGGTTAATACTGTGAGCAGTCATTCTTGACAACACCTTGTCATGCATGTCGGTTTTGCGATCCTGGGTGCCCCCATCGATCTCCACAACGTCTTGATTTGTGCTGGGAATTCAAGTAAAGGAGAGGGCATTGATACAATAAGAGTTATGTAAATGAGATAACAGGTTGCTGGTGAGTGTCAAAATAGGGACTAGAGGCCAGAATAAGCTGGACGTGAGATAACGCTGAGGAAAAGGGGTGACGCCGCCCCAAGACGACAGTGAACAGGTCGTGCAGCATGTTCGCTCAGAAGATGCACCACCTCTGTGAAGTTCTGACATTGACTGACTTGGCGTGTGTCCGGAAGATCCATTCTCTTAGATTTCATAAAAGATTTCGCTTGGTCAAAGTCGTTCATCCCTTGAGGTATCAATCTCTCATACCAATATTCCTCGGAACAAACAATGAGGCCTGTGAGCTAACGCGCTGACACTGGTTTGCCTTCGTCCTCCTGCGCACCCTCTTGTCCAAGATCAGTCATGGGTATGGTCAGTGCAGCAAAGGTTTCTGAGCGGCTTGTGGGGTGCTCGGCCAGGAACAAGCACTGCGGCCGTTCCGAAAACCAGCCATATCCGCCCACGTATCCCGCTCCTGATCTGTGAAGAAGACGTATTTCTCAGACGAATCAGATAATGGAAAACGCACATGTGTTTTTTTCGATTGCGGGAAGCAGCATATCCTTCAACAAGGCTGCTTCGATGCCCTAGACAAGAAGTCTGCTAGGTGTTGGCTTTGCCGGTGCATAATCTGCGAAAGGGGTAAGGAGCCTTGTGGCCGGATGAAGCAAATTGCTGGGAGCCCAACAACACCCGTCAGCCTTCAGACAGGGCCCAAGCATCCAGAGGACGCTCGCGGGCAAATTTTCCTGATTCTTCCAGTACGTTTCCATTTCACATCATCCGGGACGTCGAGAACGGAGCCTAGCAGGATGGATGCGCATACTATAACTTCCCGATGTGGGCCGATACTGGGAGCTGCCAAAAACCTTAGGAACGGGTATTTTTCACGGCTTAGGGCTTGGAGGGACAATTTAGCATGACCAATGGCGATAGCAGCGTATAGCCCGAGCAGTTGAGAAACGGGATTGGCGCTGCCTTCTGAAGCCATGACCCTCGAGACATGTTCCTTGGCAGTGTATGGGACCACGGTATCGGCAAACTGGAATTTTAGATCCTCGGTCAACGAAGCTTCCTGTATTGTCCAAAGTCGCAACATCCACTGGCAGCAGTAGATGGAAAATAAGGCGTGATCTGGTGACGATGGGACGTTCTGGGAGAGAGGTTCTCTAGATAAAACCAGGACTGGACTGGCGGACGAATAGACCTTTGCCATGCGCAGAATAGCCAGGTTTCGCAGAGGTACCTCCACGGGTACGCACAGGGTGTCTATCCAGAAGAGCGACCCTTGACTCTCGGTCAAGGCTATGACATACTGTTGGATAGAACGAAGTTGACATATGGGCAATGAATTCTGTCTGGGATTTCCCCTGCCATCACTGCAGACGTGGGAAATCGCAACATATCGCATACCTGGCTGGAAGCTAACGATGTTGAGCTGGCCGTCCTGGAATCTTACAAGTGGAAACTGTTCATCCTCGAATTCCGCGAATAAGTCCGCGTTCGGCATGGTCTGATGTTGACAAGGGCATTCAGCCTGCAGATGGTCGCACCCAGTCCTTGTACAATCGCAGAGCTCGGCCAGGTGTTGAGTCAGGTACTTGCCGACATCTACATTAACAGCCACGCTGGCAAATCTTGAAGAACAGTTCTCATGGTCAAACCCGTCTTTCAAGGTAGAGAGAAGGCTGGCGAAGTATAAGCCTACAAGACCAAGACTTGAGCCGATGCGATGCACAATACTGGGATACCAACCATCCTCAGATATGAGTTTCCTCTCCAGTAGCTGGCACGGCACTGAGACAGGCGAGTTGTGGATAACGTCTTCAGCGTCCTCGAGCCAGATCATGCGGTATCTATCGAGTGTTTCGACCAAGGTGGATAAAGCAAGACATACCGAAAGCGGCACGAATTGCATTGCAGCTTTGTCTGATGTTCGATCCAGCTTCTGGAGGATCCATTTCGCCTCTTGTAGACATCGTTCCAGTTTGTTTTCCCAATCCGAATTGCCGTTCAGCTCATAGCGCCTGGCCACAAATTCTCTGAAGAGACCTCTCGCAGTGAGATAACGACCCGAATTGCATGTATGATTTTCCGCTGCACTGGCATTGGGCCCTTCAACAGTTGCCTCTTGCCTCGAGACCGTCCCGTTCAATGCTTCCTGCCAAATCCCGAAGAATATCCATGTTCGAAGGAACGAGCCTACACAAGCAAGAATCTTTTCCCGTGTCGTTGGCATGCCAGCAAATCTGCTATCTCCAGTGAGACTGAAGCATAATGGTCCTGCCAGTCTGTGCGAGCCGAAACGATCTTTCCTTGGAGTAAGGCATCAACATCCCAACCTTGAAGCTCGTCGTAGCCTAAGAATCCGTCGTTGTCAAAGTCCGGGCCGCCGAAGTTGGGGACGGGTAGATGGGATTCGATGCCGTCTGGCAATGGTAGGAAGTCCATGGCCGTTTTCTGAAATGGAGGCCTATTTACGGGGAGGTGTTGTGTCTGCTTCGAAGAAAATCAGGCTGTCGTGGGAGAGCGCAGTTTTCAGCCTAATTGGAATTGTAGAAAGTACGTCAACTTCTGCCTTATTCCTTTGCTCCCCTAACAGAACGGCGTCCCATGTACACTGCCTCTAAGTCTAATAGAGTACAGCAAGCAGGGAATCAGGTCTGCAGGGGTGTGTTGGGGGGCCAATGTCTGCGCGTTCTGCGCATTCACAGGGGTCTCTCTGCAACACTAATCGGAACAGGGCGATGGTCACGTTTGTGGCGCCCACAATCACAACACCTCTCCTTTTTCTGGTTTCCCAGACCGCCTCAAACTCTTCTCATCTTTCCTCTTCTTTGACTTTCTCTGCATAAATGGAGGATATGGGTCGTGGCAACATCAAAAAGACCCTTCGAGCGCTGGCATTACTACCAGCTGAGCAAACACGGCTGAAGAAAGATATTACAAACTTCTGGAGATCAAAGTTGCCAACAACGGATACTACCAGAGTCTCGAAAGCCGTCATTCTCTCAGTGGCTCAAGCTTTCATTGACCAGAAGGGTGCCATGTACTTCTCCACCAACACTCGCACAACACAAGAGAATGTTCTACACTCCATCGCGGCTATTATTGAATCCCAACGACGAAACTACTATGATAACCTCTCTCGCAGGAAAGGGAAACGGCGAGCTATGTCTCAGACGCCGAGACCACGAAGGGACTCATTGGAGGCCAGGACGGTGCCAGATAGTGCATCATGGGATTGGTGTAAGATACTGATCCGAGTCAACCGCAATCTGCGCTATAGCATCACTGACACGACACTAGTGAGCCTTCCGGAGACTGAAAACCGGATAGCACATAGTACAACCGACGGAAGCTATTTGCCATCGGATGGTGAGCCATCTGATGAGCAGATTGGCATCATCTACAGGGCGAGGAGGGAACATTCCGCTGTTCCCGAAATCATAGGGTCAGATGATGTCGAAGAAGTGGAAGGAAAAGAAGAAAATACTGCAGTGAATTTCGAGTTCTTGGGCAGAAGGTGGGAATTCAAGAGTCTGGAAGCTATGACGAAAGCCCTGGCAACTTTTATACTGAAGTTGTCAGGCCAAGCAAAAAGATATCGCGAATCAAGCGATCGGAAAGGCTTTGGCGAGCCTGAAATATCCAAAGATACCATCCTCGATGATTTTTACGCCCTCGAGGTCTTCCAGAACATCGGGGATGAGCTTCAGTCTTATCGCGCCGGAATGAATCAGAACAATGCACCGGATGAAGATAGTTCACCCACCGAGATGACTTTCCAAAACACAACATGGACATTCAATTCTCTCGACCACAAGGCTGCGTCACTAAAGGGAGCCCTGGAACGAGTTACGCGGGAGATCAAATCGCACCTCGGGGATCTCGACGAAGGAGACTTGCCATATAAGGCTGTCAAATGCCACACGAATCAATACTCAGGCTGGTTGAAAGGAGCGTTCCTCAGCAATGGAGCCAAACTGTTGCCGTGTTAGTCTTTTGGGATCGGTCGGCGTCGGGAGTCACATATGAGGTTGATTATCGAACTCTTTATGAACGAATGATCTTTTGAACAGTGCTTGGTAAACCAAGTTGTACCCTCGAATTGGAAGCACCGTCTCTCTCCTTGGGCTTGTCCTCGTGCTGGCAACAATCCCTCCGTCTAATGGAAGTCGTTAATTAACCCATGGTGAATTTGCTATACTACGCGTCAGGACGTTCGCCTGGAATAGTCCCTCGTTTCCCCCTCTTTCTTTCAGCAAAGAAGACGGAGTATCTCGCCAAACTTTTACCTGGAAGAACGGTGGAATCTAGGCTTTCTCGTGGCTTTCGTCCGCACAGGTAATGAATCCGTGGGCACCAAATCCCGAGTTATATACATAACGCGCGCAAGCTTCGTTAGGTCCTTCACGAGGGCGAGGAACTCTCGTATTTGAAGTATGTAACTACCATAGCGTAGCTTGGGGGTAATTGCTCGATGGATCATAAAGGGTCATACGTCGTCGGCTCGTACACGCCACCGTTTTTCAGTAGAAGAGCGGTGTGTCCCGCTAACTGTTGGTGGATTCGGACAACTCTGCTAGGCGAGTAGTGGGCTCCTGACACCTATAGGGACTGTCTCGGGGCGGCGGAACTGGCGGCAATTTCAGAGACGGCGGATTCGCTAACAGATCTAATTGGCTAACGCCCGTAGTCGTTATCCAATAGTCGCTCAGCTCTATTGCTAAGCCCTCTCTCCTTTCCTCCTTCTTACAGTAGGAGGAGTCGCGCTAGTGAACTGGGGCGAGGCTTCATGGCCAAAGGCGATGCCTCTCTGCGGCGGTAGGAACACACACACAACACACCACAACACCACAAAACAAGATGGATGGAATGCTTGATTATCTGTGCTACCTCTCTACTACTACCTATGTAAAATACCCTTGAAAGAAAAGAAAAAGTCTCTCCACTTCATCCGTCCAATCAGAATCCACCATTGCCTCCCTGACAATGTACAGGCACGTGACCTGACTCTTCCCATTACACTAGCTAATAACTTTACAGTGAAATCTTATAATAGAGATACGATATGATAGTGCTGGCACCGGCACTGGCACTGGCACTGGCACTGGTAGTGGTAGTGGTGGTAGTTGGTTGTAGCAGCAGAGGTAGTAGTAGGGACATTAGCAGTGGTGAGATAGTGGTAGTGACTGGCAGTGACAGTGGCAGTGACCGTGGCAGTGACAGTGGCAGTGACCGTGGCAGTGACAGTGGCAGAGGTAAGTGGATCCGTAGACAGACTGTTAGGCTAGTGGAGTCGAAGCAACAAGGCTTCCTGGCTAAGCTAAATAAAATAAACACCAAGGTTGGCTATACAAGATGGGCGGCGGCGAGGATTGATTCCCATCCAATTTTGGTACTGTCAGTTTCTACTGAGCATTAACCGAATTCGCCCTCTCTGCAATCACCTCCAATTCCGCCGCCTCGAGACAGTCCCCACGTATATGTACATGTAGGATTCAGACATCAGATTTTCGTGTATAACATCCAGCATGCCCCCGTCGGCTTTGTGCTAGGAAACCGTTTCTGTAGGAAGTCTGCTTCGTTCTACCATAGCAACTGCCAACCTGGTCCGTTAATGGATTTGACGGGTTAACATTGGTTTCACTGCTCCTTCTCAAGAGCTGCCAATACCGTATGAATGAAGTTCAAAGTGCGTGTTTCTGTGTCCTCCACAGCCTTCAATGGGCTCTGACGATGTCCTGTTCAACTGTTTGTGTGACAGCTTGACAGTATGACAACGTGCCGTACTCGGTGAAGAAGCATCGCGTCTCGGACGACTCCTTTCGAAAGTCAATTGAAGCCACCGTCATACGTACTGTGACATATATGCACGTCGTCACTCCAGTATATGAGATGCACGAATCAACAACTCCTACGAAATCGGGCAGTAGTTGGACATGATCCATAGTCATCCAGGAGGATTAGCAATGGGCTAGCCTGACATATGTAGCTGTCAGTGTGGAGCCGAGACGCGGCGTGGGTCGGGTACTCCATGGTCGCATGCTAGCATACACTAACCTCGAGGTATATAAGTGGGGCTTTGCACGGGGGATATTGAAGGACTAGCCCCTGTGACCGTTCTTGCTCTATGGTGTTGCCGGTGTGGGTAGACCAAGTATACCCCTGGGGAAACTGAGGTGCGATATTAAAACAAAGCTCTCTCCATAGGTGCTGGTCAGTCAAAGTAGAGAGGTAGTCGCTCCCAATCGGCTGGGTGTGAGTCCGCTGTTGATAAAATCCGACCAGAAAAAGCATCCACATCAATAGGTGATGGAATGGGACAAGAGCCAGATGTCGTGGAAATACGAAGAGGCGGAGCATGGCTCATACGAGCGTCACCGAAGTCGACATTGCTGTCAATGATGATTGTATGTGCATACGGGAATGGAGCAAGTGCCATGTTAAGGAAGTCGGTTTCACTGACATGGCCCTAAGAAAAGATGAGTGTGATGACAACTTGACGGGATACTGGAATTGGCCGGTCCCAAAGTCAAGCGGCGTCAGAACAGCGATAGCACACGAGTAGATCGAGCATCCAGCACAAGAAACAATATCAATGACATTTACTTGACGCTGACGGCGGAAACGACCAAGTCGAACTCGAATACGTGATCTTATGCCACCTGTCTCAATTTCCCGGTTTCAATATCCAACAGTAACCCAACCACCGCCGGAGGGTTTCCCCCATACGTGGGATCGGTCTTGATCATCGCCACGTCTTGCCGGAGACTGTCTTGTAGGCTGCAACAAGGAAATTAGCAAAATGGGCAGTTTTCAAGACTGGCTTCGGAGAGATTTGGCTTACTTCGTGATCTCGCCAAACTCCATGGCATCAATGGCCTCAGCCGGAAGAGAAGAAATTTGCTTGAGTCTGTCCCGCACTTCGTTATCCAGGACATGAGTCGTGCCGCAATCTGAAAATGGCCAGTGAGCTGAGTGTCGTCAGCGGGCTCGCAGGCTTAGCAACTCACCAGTGTGATGAACGATGGCGATCAGTCCGATTGGAGCGATGGTGTTGAGCACCTGGATTGATCGCATCGCATCCATAGCTCTTCCACCTGCGTTTCGGATAACAGCCGCCGGAGCGCTGGGACCCATACCCAAGAATTGCTCGGGAATGACTCTTGGATCGCTGCAAGATACTTGACTCTGTTAGTATACCTTTGGTCGCTCGCGTCCAGAGGCAACGTACAGACTATTGTTCCCTTGACGCCTTGCTGCCGCCACATCTCTCGCATCTTCAGGAGTGGAGGAGGGGGCACGCAGTGCTCGGCGAACTTAGCATTTCTTTCGAGCCACGAAGCAAGAAGCTGATCCGCCATTGTGAGAAGGGAGATATCTCGAGCTACCTTCTCTGTCGAGGTCCTTGCGTGGATGAAACGCGCAGATCACTCGATGAGGAGGACAAGCTCCCTTTTAATGACTCCTAGAACTCTACATCGGTCTGCTTTACGCGCGCAATGACAAGTCCCTCCCCAAAATGAGAAGCCAAAGATGGTGGTAGTTGTAATCAAACCGGGGTCTCGTACTCGATGATTGAAACCGGTGCTTTAGTCTCTCCGTTTTCCTTGGTATGATTGGCCGGACAGTCCAACGGATAGATGGCAAGGACTAATCATTCCGTACCTACGTCTCAAGCAGCGACAGGAACAAGAGATGGTCAGCCCGTGTTTCTCGTTCATTTGTACCTGATCGGTGATTTGGAGCCCGATAGCTGAACCCTGCGAACTTCGTACGAGAGAATGGAGAGAGAATGGCGATGGATTGGGACAGTGAGCCCGAAGGGAGGTTCCCCAAGCAGTCTAGAAGCAGAGGCGTCGTGTTGCCAAGCCAGGTTCACCGAGAAGCATGATAACCATACTAATCATTCATAAAAGGTTGATCGTTAGTCACAGCATGTGAAGGTTGACACTGTCTAGTAAGCCGTTTTTCCGCGCCTACATTCGTCGACCAAGCGAAGCCTGCTGAACCACAGTAGATCAGACGCCAGAGTTACCTGGTTTGTGAGGATCAATGGTCCGCTGGCAACTCCCAACTGGTTGTTGTGTGGATGTAGGTTATACCCAAGGGTTTGGCCATACTAACTCTGCAGCTACTCAATATCGTTTTTGTTGGTACCCCACCTACCAGTAGTGATTGTATATTCGAGCCTAGAGAAGACGGACTTCTGAGGGGGGAAAAGATGTATGTTCGCAATGTGGCTATTGGTTGTAGAGGGAGAACATGAGGATGTTGCTTTTAAAAGCGGCGCGGGGTGGAACACGTGCCGGCGTACCATCTCCCTGTGGATTCGAAGCCCGCCAAGTGACCTCATCAACAACACGCCCGCCAGACCCGCTGCACCCATCGCGTCGCACAAAACTTGTCCACTGCACAGTTGTTGTGCAATGCGCCATACCCTCCCTTCCTCTATATGAATGTTGTCGACCGACGCGCGCGTGTGGAATCTCGCCGCAACAACACTTTACAGCTGAGCCTGCAGCTTGCCTGTACGGCAGTCGTCAAGCCATGCCTCGCGCTCCCCTTCGCCGTCGACAGCTCAACCGAAATGGCCCAGTTCCACACGGCGCCCAAAAGTTGAACAAGAGCCCGGCTAAACTGGAATTAGAGAAGATGTTGGCGAATAAACCAATCGGCCCTCGACCGAACGATAGCGATGACAGCGATAGGCTCGTTGTCAAAGGCAATGGAAGGAGAGGGAGATATGTTCCAAGGCAGGAGATTTACGCTTCTGGCGCAGTGGCTGCCGGCGACAAGCCGGGGAACTATCCTACCAGAGCGCAAAGAAGGAAAAATCTGGCCAAAGCAACGAAGGAGATAATCAGGAGTGATCAACAGGAGATGCGAGATGAAGAGGGATCCGTCCCAGTCAACAAACAGCTGCACCAGCCCAAGGCCAGGTCTCCCACCATGAATGGAATCTTGAAAAATGCGACAGACACAAACCAGGTACTAGCCACAGCTATGCCACTAGCTGCGAGGCCCTCAGTCTCTGTTCCGCGAGCCCTACAGCCGACTCCCGCAAGAGAAGATTCCATTATCGGCGCGCTGAAGCCCAGACGAAGGCAGCCTAGCATCCTGCAAAACCTGGACCAGGATTCGTCAAGTTTTGACCTGGAGGATGAAGAAGAATTTCTTCCTGACGACGAGTCCACGCCGTTTGGGGTCTCTAAACTATCGAACAAGGTCACACCTCCTGTTCCAGAGTCTCCCATACTCCTGTCGTCAACACGGAAACGCAAATTTGGCTCCTCCGACCCTCTCAGGCCTGTAGAGATCGAAACCGCGCAGAAGACCATGCGAGCGTCGAAATCTACCCCTCAGCCCTCGTTTCCGGCGGTGACGCTCTCCAAGCTGCGTGAGTCAGGACGACAGCACAGCGAACATGTTCGTGACGAAGATGACATTATGGCCCTCCCACAAAGCAGTTCCTCACCGGCACCCTCTCCCGTAAAGGAGAAAAGCCCGGCACCCATAAAATCAACGAAGCATCCTGGGAAGCTAGCACCTCTCATGACGACGAAGGAGCTCCAAACTCACATGATGCCAACCAAGAGGCGAAGGACCGAGCGGGTGCGAAAACAAAGGCGCGACACCTTTGATATTCCAGCCGATTTCGACCTGTCGGAATCCGAAATCTCCGAAGACGTGTCAAGTTTCCTCCCCTCAAAGAAGGAAAAGAAAACCCGTCGGAATGGACCTTTGAAAAAGGCAGGCGGCACGCGGACCAAGGCGAAATCTGGGAAAGCTGAAAAGCAGGACTATGTTGCTCCGTCATCAAAAGCAAGGTCAAAGTCAAAACCAAGTACGAACCACCTTACCACTACTACCATTCCGCCCATATTGAGGCCATCTACCTCGAACCGCGAAACTAAGTCTCCGTCACAGCATTCTACAAATATGTCGTCGAATATCAACACAGGATCCCAGGCAGGACCGTCCAAGCCGTATGGTGGCTCCCCCCACGAAGGTCAAGGTACAGTTTACTCGCAAGACAAGGAAAACCGGCACTTTTATCAAAGCGATCCCAGCCCCCAGCGAGCTGAGGACGCGTGGCTCTTGGACGGGACGGGAGAAGAGGTTGCCGGAGGTGGGAGAAATGTACACAGCAAGTGGGCTGAAATAGATGCTTGGGATATGGATTTTGAGGATGTGGAAGTTATGACTGGGGAAAGTAGCTCACCTACACGTTGGTGACGAGCCAGGGGCTTCTTGACTTGCACCTTACGCAACTTCAGGATAGCAATGTCCAACGATCATGACACAAACATGAGCAAACGAGTGGGTAATTTGTGAGCGCTTTGTAATTCTACGGGTGCATTTTCCCGTGAGCTCGAGGTTCAATATCAACCAAGCTGTTGGGGCACGAGACCCCGTCGTCGCTGAGGATCGTGCGTGGTGAGAATAGTAGAATTTTAGAATCAGCGTTACCCAGATCTTTTTGGCTTACCAAGGAGATGGATGATGCCTTCGTCAAATCAGAATTCCTGCTCCAGACAAATGCATGCACCGTGACTTGGTTCGATTAACCTATATTACTACTCGATACTGTACTCGGTAGAGTTGACGGGGCCGTGGAATGCCAAGGCGGGATGAAGCTGGTGGCTGAGATGGTTCACCGCGTCCCGCACTTCTGGGGAAGATCAACCCAGACACAGACAACCCACCACCGCGCCCGTTCTTCTGCCTGTGCCTCATTCACCCTTCTCATTCATTCAACTCTGTCCGGCCTGCTGACAACTACATTCGCATGAGATTTTTGAGCCGACAAACCATAGATCTGCGACAACTTCCATCTGCCCAAACAAAGTGACAACAAAACTCGAGTTGACCTCACTTTGCACCCTCGCACATGGCAGGCCCGTGAGCGAACTTTCGCAACCCACCCTCATCCTTTGCCATGGACAAGCTCTTGGCGGAGAGCACTGCTCTCGCATCAATTCCTCTCTCTCGAGAAGAAGACCAATATGACAAAACCGCGAAGACGTTGGTGAATAAGCTGGGCAAGCTTTCTCCAAATGAAATCACACCTGCGAAAGAGGATCTTGATGTAACGTCCATTACAAGAGCGGGCTTGACATGAAGTTGACCAGACGATAGGCAATACCACCCTCCGACCACACCATTCTGTATACCTATATGCTTGTAGCAGGCATCGAGGTATCTGCAGCCAGTGGAAAAGTGGCTCCGAGGCAACTACCGTCAACTGTCCTCCCTGAAGGTGCCTTATGGCCTTACATCGCTCAGCTTCTCCTCGAATTCGACCCTGTCCAGGCACGGTATTGCGGTGCTCAATTCCTCCGGATCGTCGACTGCGTTGCTATGGGCGCGGAGCAGACGTCGAATTACGTGCCTGCGATCCAACTGCTCTACCATGTCATTCTCAGACTCGACGCAACTTCATCTTGTCTGACATCCACACACCGCACATTCCTCCGCCTTTGTCTGCTTTCACAAGCATATGCCGAAGCTGCTCGTATTCTAGACCACCCGATCTATCACATTCCGTCCCTGAGACAGGACCTCCGCTCAAATAGATGTCTTTGCTCGAATTCAGATCAGCCATGGAGCTTTCTAAGTCCGGTCACTGGTCTGAGTCAACCAATCACCAGTCGCACATATCTCGAGTACTATCTCATGGGAGGCATGTGCTACATGGCATTGGGAAGATACAAGGATGCGATGTTTTTCCTCGAAGTTGTGTTCACCGCGCCAGCCGTTCAGAACGTCGCCAGCCTTCTCATGGTGGACGCCTACAAAAAGTGGCTGTTCCTGGGCCTTCTGCTGACCGGCGCCAGCCGTCCAATACCAAGGTCGGCGAATCAAAATGCAATCAAGCATATTCGCGCGCTGGCCAGACCGTACGAAGCTGTCACCGAGGCTTTCAAAGGTCGCGACGTGGAAAAATTGCGGACAGAAATTGAGGCAGGTAATCTCGTCTGGCAGGACGACGGAAACTATGGTCTCGCGATCGAGGTCTTTCAAGCTTTCCGCAAGTTTGCGGTCCAGAGGCTCAGCAGAACGTTTGCCGCGCTCTCAATAGCAGAAGTCGCGACACGGACTTCGCCAGATCCATCAGATCTCGCCGAGACGAAAGCATACGTGGACATGTTGATCCAGAACGGCGAGCTCAGTGCGGCAATCACCGAGAGTGCCAACGGCGACCAGACTCTACGGTTCTTGCCTACTACGGCTGCTACACGGCCAGAAGCACAATTTCAATCGGCACTAGCGGCGCAGACGCTGGAGCTACAAGCCATCCTGAGACACGTTCATGACACCGAACATCGTCTGGAAGTATCCAAAGAGTACATTGACTACCTCAAGAAGCTGAAAAAGATCAGAGAGGAAAAGCAAGAAGGAAAAGTCACGGGGAGAGGAACGGTCGATGAGGACATTGATGAGGACATGATGGAGGAAATCTAGAGCAGTTGCGATCAACCCGTCATGTGGCGCGGTGTACGCACGCTCATTACATTGCCGCTCGATGTCGAGTAGAAATGTAGGTCGTCGGAGCGCATCAGTTGAGCTTCATCTTGAAGCGATGAATGAGGCTGCATTTACTGGTAGACGGGGTGTTATGCCCAGCCACTTCCAAGCGACAGTGGGCTTCATCCTGAAGAACAAGAGAGCATCCGTGTAATGCTTAATTTCTCCCTTATGAATGTTCCCACGTGCCCGTGATTTGAGATGCCTGGACAGCGGACTGGGATTGCATGAGCCCGTTTCCCCTGTCCACTTGTGAACCTCTTTGTAGTGGCAGGATCAGCGAATCTGCTCCAGCCTCGCTAATCTGCGGCTCATCTGCACCCCCAGGATGGTCGTAAAGCCATGGAACAGGTTAAATGCGGGTGAATTGACGGGTGGGTGGGTTCAGACAATGACTGGAGTAATAGGCTAATTGAAGATCTGGCCCTGACATTAATCCTATATATTAGAGAGGATGATATATGTATGTACGTACCATTTCCTCGCATCATCGCCGGTCAAGTCCATTGAAACCCTGACCCCGTCTTCGGCGCCCACGCCGACCGACCGACCCCCTTGTCGAGAGAATCAAGTCTGCCCTCCTTTTCCCCCCTCTAAAACGTCTTGTCCTTCTTCCCGTCACCCCACCGCTACCGTCATGCCCACGTACGTCCTGACGGGAGCCAACCGCGGGCTGGGGCTCGAATTCGTGCGCCAGCTCTCGTCCGACGGCGCCAACACGGTTATCGCCGCCGTGCGCAGCCTCACCCACGGCGAGCTGGACGACCTCAAGCAACTCGCCACGGGCGCCCCGGGCACGGTGCACATCCTGGAGTGCGACACCAGCGACGCAGCCTCGATCCACCGCTTCGGCAAGGCTGTCGAGGAAACGCTGGACCACGGCAAGAGCAAGAAGATCGACTACCTGCTCAACAACGCCGGCATCAATGCCACCCCGGACCAGACCAGCCTGACCATGACGGCCGACAGCCTGCAGCACCACATCAACGTCAACGTCTTCGGCCCTGCCGAAACGGTCAAGGTCCTGCACGGGATGATGGGCCCGGGCAGCGTCGTCATGAACATGACCAGCGGCCTGGGCAGTTGCGGGAAGAAATTGTATGTATTCCCCTTCCTTGCGCGGTTTGGAGAGAATGAGAGGGGGTGTGCGTGTGTGTGAGAGAGAGAGGGAGGGGGGAAAAACAGTAGATTTCTGACGTTTCCGTTTTCCCTCCAGACCAAAGTGCACGACGTATTCTATTTCCAAAGCCGCCCTGAACATGTTGACCGTGCACCAATCCGAGCACCTAAAAGACCAGGGCATCAAGGCCATCTGCATGGATCCCGGTGAGTTACCTTCCCTCCCCTTCCCCTTTTACACAGCGAGCCGAGACAAGGCTGTAATATCAGATTCCTGACTGACTGACTGACTGACTGACTGACATGTTCGTTTTCACAAGGCTGGGTCAAGACGCGCATGGGCGGCGAGGGTGCGATTCTCGAACCCGACGTGAGCATTGGCGTAAGTTTTCCTCCACTCTTCTCCCGTTTCCTTGCTTCTGCCTCCTTTCTTTCTTTCTTTCTGTTTCTTCTTCATTCACCCACTCTTCTTCTCCTTGTCTTTTTGTTTGGCGGGATGCTAATCATGAACCCGGCGCGAACTCCCAGGGAATGCTCAAGACGCTGCACGGCCTCAAGGACTCGGATACAGGCAAGTTCTACACGTACACGGGAGACGAGGTGCCGTGGTAGACTCAGATTTTGGGATGGGTGGGTAGGGGAGGGTAGAGCGAACGAATAGTAAGATCATCAAGAACTTAGAAAAGGGACCGGGAGAGATCTCGATTTTTCTGATAACATGTGGGTGACATGTACTCACTTATTTGCTTACTACTTACTACTTACTACTTACTACCCTCGAGCTTCAGGATAGATGTATATAGACTCCACAGAGAGACCCGCCTGTAGAGAGTATAAAAAACAGTAGTAATCGTATCCGGCATCTCTCGCCTGTTTCTAGTGCTTCTCAAGAATTCATATGAATTCTCGCCGCATGTATGTAGCCCTGGAAAACCGTCACGGTCGCATGCAGAAAGGGAGGAAAGACACCATCCATAGCGGTAGGCAAGTAAACAAGCAAAGGAAGCAAGATATGTATGCCACCTTATTACCATCGAGGTCTGAGGGAAATTGGGACGGGATGTCCATAGTATATATGTACATCCCTTCTTCGCTTGGATAGGACATGGGTTGTTTCACCATCACGAAGGCTCCACACTTTAACTTCCCCGTGCTGTATGTATACCCTGATAGCTAATAATTACTGTAGGTATGTACCAAGTACGCCGTAATTAATAGTCCGGTATTGGGTATCTACTACAGTAGTAATAGTATTATTGATCTATGTCCCCTATCCATGTAGGAAGTCATGCTAATTAAAGCACTGTGAATGCAGTCTGTTCTCAGCCATGGAGTCCCAGCAAACTATCGACGCAGGTGACTCGAGACTCAAAAATACGGTAAAAAGTACCACAACATATGCGTGCATCAATGGGGCTTATTGGCTGCTAGAGTGTCTTCTTCTTAGTCATGATCCAATACTACATCTGGTTATGGGAATGTCTGTGTGGCAAGTGGGATATAAGATTTGACTATGTCTGAGATGAGTAGCGACAGGCGAACAATCTCCTCGTTCCTCTTCTCACCCAGGCCTCCCCCTTGTGATCCCCTGATCCCCCAGTCGAGCTTCACTTATAGCGTGGAGGTCCTCTGCTGGATTGCACCCGGCGTACACCACGAAGCTCACCTACACAATATCGATGCTGTCCCTCTTCATCAGAGGAACCGTGCAAAAGGCTCAATACTCATCTCACGAAAGGGGGCGACGCCGAACACGACCGAGCAGCAAACTTGAAACGAATCTCGTCGTTGGACTGAATCAGCCGTTCAATTTGCAAACCGACCTATACTCCTGCCGTTTGGCTGCCAATAAAAAAGGGCATCCGCCTATTGACACAATTTTGTCCTGCCACTGGTTGCTTCAACTTGCAGGCTTTTTCGACCTCCTATCCCAAATTTCACTCAAGCCGTCGCACTGGCACCGGTATCGGTTGTCGCCGTAACTCGTTCAATTTCAATCTTAGGCATTGCGGCGGAGGCGGAACCCAAGTCCGTCGCCTTGGCCTTGGGGTCTAGGAGAAGATATTCACGTCAGCCATTTCCATTCATGTGTCATTCTTCAGGGTTTGGACCAACTTTTCTTGTAATAATCGCCGATGGCGCTCTTGATAGCATCCTCAGCGAGCATGGAGCAGTGTAATTTGACCGGCGGCAGGCAAAGTTCTTTGGCAATTTCCGTGTTGCGGATCTTTCCTGCCTGTTCTAATGTCATGCCGCGCACAAGCTCGGTGAGATATGAGGAGGAGGCGATCGCCGAGCCGCACCCGAAGGTCTTGAACTTGACGTCGCTGATCGTTTGAGTGTTGGGGTCGACTTTGATTTGCAGTTTCATCACATCGCCGCACGCGGGCGCTCCGACGAGGCCTGGATGAAGAGAGATATGTCAGCGATTGTGGTGGCCGATATGGGGTTTCGACCGAAGCTCGCGCTTTTCCGCCGCGGACTGCCCGAGCTCCGGAACGTGTGAACGTTTTCCAAATTGACGTACCTGTCCCAACATCTACCGCCGACTTGTCCATCGAGCCGACATTTCTTGGGTTTGAGTAATGATCAAGGACCTTCTCGTGATAGCTTCGTCGCTGCTGCGAGACGGCGGTGGCAGGTCTGAGCGGTGATGGGGAGGCGAGACTCGGTCGGACAGCGGATGTTTGGACCGAGGTGCGCATCGCGCGAGGGACGGAAAGGAGAGCTCGTCGTGACATGGTGGGTATTGGTAGTTTTGTGTGCGTTCTGTGTAGTCGTTACTGAAGTGAGTTGTAGGATCAGACTTGGTAGAAAGAGGGTGTAGGTTGTTGAGTGAGTCTGAAATAATGAGAGATGCTGCGTCAAAAAGTAATTGACGAAAGATGTCGAACCTTGGATGGCAAACGAGGGGCGGGATGGTCGTCGCTTATTGGCTGCGGTGCATGTGACTTTGCCGCTAATCCTTTTTTAACAATGACGTCGCTCCAACTCGGTCAACCTTTCCGAGTTTTGACTGGCGCGGCCGGAATCAAATCGAGTAACTGCGAGCGACAACCAAGACGCGCCTAGATCAGAGATCGCGTTGCTTTGGACAAAGATGGGGAAGACACAGACAACCAAAGCACCCTCATCCCAGACGCCGAAGAAAGATCACCTCAAGAATCCCTCCCATCCGTACACCTTTGAGCACCTCCACAACGCGTACATCACCTCTCTGTCGCACGGCAGTATGCCCCTCCCGTCCAAGAAGAGAAAGTCCGCAGTCGGCGACGACAGTAACCTCGACGTCTCCACCAAACGGGGGAAAGGCGCCTCGGGGACTACTTTTGTCCCATCCTCAAAACCACAAACGGATTCAGACGGGAATACGTTCTGGGAGATCTCCAAGGCGCGGCGGGTGACCCTTTCTGAATTTAAAGGCAAACAACTGGTCAACATCAGAGAGTATTATGAGAAGGACAACGATTGGCTGCCAGGAAAGAAGGTATAGGTGCCGGGGCGTATGCCACATGTGAAGGTGCTGACCCATGGTATCCAGGGCATTTCAATGAGCATTGAGCAATATTCAGCTCTCATCAAAATTATGCCTCAGATCGAAAATGTCCTTAAGTCACACGGCGAAAAGGTGCCTCGACCGAATTACGACGGAAGTGCCCCTGCTGATGACGACGACGAAAGCGACAAAGGGGGGGATGGAGATGAAGAAATGGACAGAAAACCTAATATTGAAGCTACGAGTGACGAAGACGAGTGAGGGATATCACCTGATCGCCCCCGACTGCGAGGGACTACCTCGATGAGAGGAGCCTCCAGTGGTCGAAGATGGGCTTCAACTAACGAGTGCTGCCTAAGAGATCACTCAACGATCAAGCAGGTCGACATTTTCACATAGACAGGATTTATGGTATGTATAGATCTCCCCAGGCGATGCTTCTAGCTGACATGACAGGGATTGAGTGAAGCTTTGTAGCTCCAGCAATGGAGGTTCTCAAGAGCTGGACTCCCATTCTGCCAGGCGGGAAGCCAGGCTGCCCTTCTTCCAGTGCTTCTCATAGTCCTCTTTCAGCTGGACTTGGGACTCTTTGCCCGCCTTGCCGTACCCGCCACCACCAGGTGTCATCTAGGGAGAAGAATCAGTCAGTGCCGTGGCTCTCACACTCTGTGCCGGATCGGTACAAATAGGACTTACCACGATGATCCTCTCGCCAGGCTGCATGCTCGCAGTGTTTTTTGCTCCGAGATTGATATACCTCTCCACATACTCATCGACGTCCTCAGATTCCCTTCGTTTCCCTTCATGTTCACCTCCGAGGCCTCTGCTCTCTTCCTTCTTGATCCTCCTGACCCAGATATTCTTACCACATTGAGCATCACCTCCGCCGTGCAAACCATAGGGCCTGTACACTCTCCGCTCACTCAAGATACTGACCTGGACAGGGATGCGGAACTCGATGTCTCGAATCACGCCATCTCCCCCTTTATGCTGACCCACTCCACCGCTGCCCGCTCTGAGACTAAACTCCCTCAGGATCACGGGATATCTCCTCTCAAAGACCTCCGCGTCCGTAATCCTGGTATTCGTCATGTGTGTGTGCACACCACTTGTGCCCTCCCAGTCCTTGCCCGCGCCACTCCCGCCCGCAATGGTCTCGTAATACCCGAACCCCTTCTGCTCCTTCCCACCCTTCAAGTTCCCACCAAAGCCAAACGTCAAATTGTTACAGTCTCCTTGACTCGCCGCACAAGCTTCGAAGCACTTGAACACCACATCCGTAACACGCTGGCTGGTCAAGACGTTCCCACCCACAACGGCGGCCTTCTCGCTGGGGGAGAGAAAACAGCCAGGCGGGATGCGTACCTCGACAGGCTTCAGACACCCTTGATTCAAAGGAATGTCTTGGTCGATAAGACATCTCAAGCAGTAAATGATAGCCGAGTAAGTCACTGCCTCGGGCGCATTGATGTTGCCATATACCTCGGGGCCCGTGCCCTCAAAGTCAAACAGGGCCTCTCCTTTGTCGGGATCAATCTTTATCTTTAGGCAGATCGGACTGCCGTCGTCCATGTGATCTATCGCCTGAAGCTGCTGGCCCTCAAACCGTTTGTGTACTTGCTTCAGCAGCTCCCGCACCGATCGCTCGGCGTTGTCCTGGATGTTCTGCATGTAGAACTGGACCACTTCCTCGCCGTAGTCCTCGATGAGCGCGCTGATCAGATTGATCCCCTTCTGGTTGGCGGCGATCTGTGCCTTGAGGTCGTTGATATTGTCCGCCAGGCACCGTGTGCCGCTGCACTCGGGATACTGGGCCGGCTCTTCGTACAAAAGCTCGGTGATCCGTTTCTCGTCGAATTTGCCCTGCGAGACGAGTTTCTCGGACTTGATGGCGGCACCTTCTTGGTATAGTTCGCGGGAGTGTGGAGGCATGCTGCCGGGTAATATGCCGCCTATGTCAGCGTGGTGGGCGCGCGAGGCGACGTAGAAGATGATCTTGTCGCCAGAAAAGGCCGGCGTCACGACCGTGATGTCGGGAAGATGCGTGCCGCCGTACTCGGGGTGGTTGGACACGATCACATCCCCCCTTTTCAGTTTGCCCTTCCAGATCTCCGCCTGCGTGCGGACGCAGGTCGACATGCTTCCCAGGTGGACCGGCAGGTGAGGAGCGTTGGCGACGAGACCTCCCTCGGCGTCGAAGAGGGCACAGGAGTAGTCCAGGCGTTCTTTCACGTTCGTGCTCACCGAGGTCTTTTGCAGCGCGCGACCCATCTGTTCTGCGATGGCCATGAAGCGGTGCGCGAAGATCGAGAGTAAGATCGGGTCAACCTCCTTCGTGTTCACCTTCTTCGCGGTCCCCTCTTCACCAATGTTGATCACGACATGTGTCTCGATGACGAGGGCCGAAGCCTTGGGGTCGATGATGATTGTCTGCGTCCCATCCGCAATGATAGCCGGACCAGGGATACGTGTGCCCACCTCGAGATCTTCGAGCTTGTAGATCTTTGTGGGAACACGGCCGCCTTCAAAGTAGACCTCGGATGTCGTGTAGGCCTTGTCTTCGGGCACGTCTTTCGGAGTGATTTCCTTGAGTTGTTGGTCTGCTGTTTTGGACATACCCCGGAAGGACTTCCCTATCCCGCGCACACGCACGTCGTCGATGATGATGTCTCTGTCTGGGAGGGTAAAGCCGAATTCCTGCTCGTGCTGGCGTACGAATGCATCGCCAAAGGCCCAGTCGTCGCCGTCGTAGAGTTCCTTCGCTTCATCGGCGCTGGGCTTGATCACCATCAGCGCGGATTCCGTGCCGCGGTATCGCATGTTGAGGTATTCTTCGTACTCGATCGAATCGTCTCCAAAGCCCTGATCCTTTAAGCGCTTGCGGGAACGTTCTTTGAGCTCGTTCATCTTTGCCTTTAACTCGTCGCGAGAGGAGCCCTTTTTCATGTCCCAGACGTGAGATTCGGGGACTTGATTTTCGTCCACCACGTCGGCGAGCGCCATTCCGTAAGCAGAGAGGACAGAGGAGTATCGATGGACCAGAATCTGCCTGATGCCCAGGGATTCAGCGATTGCTACGGCGTGTTGGCCTCCCGCCCCGCCGAACGTCGCGAGCCGATGTTGGGAGGTATCGTGTCCCCTCGCCTCAGTCAGTGATCGAATGGGTCTCGTCATGGTCTCGTTGGCAATCTTGATGAATCCGTACGCCACCTCATCGGCAGACATGTTTTTGTTCGTCTTGCTGTTGATTTCATTTGTGAGCTCTTCGAACAATTTCTTGCTGGCTTCTGGATCGAGCCCTTCATCTTCGTTTTTGCCGAAAATCTTGGGAAAGAAGTCTGGGAGCAGTCGACCAAGGAAGAGATTTGCGTCGGTCACAGTGAGCGGACCGCCCTTTCGGTAGCACGCCGGCCCTGGGTGGGCACCGGCAGACTCTGGCCCAACGACGAAGAGGCCATTTCGGAAGAACAGCCGGGATCCGCCACCCGCGGCGACTGTGTTGATATCGAGCTGAGGGGACTGAATGGTGACTCCTGCCGTGGTGGTCTCGAACACATGCTCATATCGCCCTGCACCATATCGACTGACGTCTGTGCTCGTACCGCCCATATCGAACCCAATGACAGGGGTTTTGGTCTCTGGATCATATGATGTCAACGCGTACCCAACGACACCACCTGCTGGTCCTGACAAGATTGCTCGCAGGCCAGAGAACTGGTCTACATCCACGAGACCTCCATCTGACTGCATAAATTCACACCTTGCACCTCTATCACCCTCTTCCTTCTTCACGCTCTCGGTGCCCAGACCGCCTTCAAAGCCGGCTTGAAAGCCAGAGATGTATTTTCTGATGGCTGGTGTGAGGTAGGCATCTGCACAAGCTGACGTGGCTCGAGGGACCAACTTGATCATGGGCATCAGTTCGTGGCTCAGACTTACGTGCTCGAAACCAGTATCGCGGGCAAGCTTGCCGACCAATGCTTCATGATCGGGAAACGTGTAGCCATGCATCAAGCATACGGCAATGCTTCGGAACCCTTCATCGAAGAGCTCTTTGAGTTGCTCCTTGATCTTATCTTCCTCGGGTCTCCTTAGTATTCTGACGGCTTCCCCGGACAAGCCTTGGACAAGCGCGCTGTTTTTGTAATCTTCGTGACCGGTTTCGGCCTTTGTCTTGTGCCGTTCAGGATCTTCCGCGTAGTCTTCTAGCGTCACTCTCTCGTCAACCTCGACAACTTTCTGATAGAGTACGTCAGGTCTTCGAATTGCTAGGTCAAAGATCTTCGGGCGGGACTGGTTGCCAATTTCTAAGCAGTCTTTAAATCCCTTGGTGACGACCATGGCCATTTTCTCTCCTTTTCGCTCCAGCAACGCATTGGTGGCAACCGTCGTGCCCATGCGAATGCTTTCTATCTTGCTTGTGTCAAGTGGTTCGCCGCGGGGGATCTCTCGACCCGTGAACTTCGACATGAGCCTTCGGATGCCTTCCAAGGGTGCATCGTCGTAGTTCGAGGGGTCTTCCGACAGAAGTTTGATGATAATATCATCGTCCATCCGCCCCGTTCCCGGATTCCCCACACAGTCCGTGAACGTGCCTCCTCGCTGGATCAAGTCAGATATTTTGGAAAGAAACCAGTAAATCGCTAACTCACGTCAATGGCAATGCGAATGCCTCTTTCGGCGCCCCCAGCGTCCCCCATTGTGAAGGCTTTGACCCAATCGAATACAGGCTCCGAGCTCAAGATTCAGCGGAATAATTTCTTGTTATGAGAGTCAAAACCAGTTCGAAGAGTCTTGCAAGAGAATCAGGTGTTTTTCATAGGAGAAGTCCGTATCAATGTATCGTCTGCAGCCTCTTGTCCAAAAATTAGAAAGGACCGAGGCCCAAGACTTCGTCAAAGGGGACAAATCCCAGGAGGATCATACAGTAATGTCACAGTCCATGTATGATCTAATAGCACAACGTCTGGTAAAGGCCATGGGCATCATCGGGGGTGATGTGCGGCTTCGGAGTTTGGAACTTTCGTCATGAAACGCATTTTGTCATTTTTGCGCCAGACTCAAAAGACCCCACCGTAGTGTGTACGGTGAACTGTATGAGAGCGGGCTGCAGAAATCGAAAATCGAAAAGCTCTCCATTCATTGTCCAACAAGCTATGCAAAGGAAAATCCCCATCTGTAAAAAAAAAGTACAGCCACGTCAAGAAGTTTCATCCATCAATGAATTTCTGATATACACACCTCTCGCCGTTCAGGTGGCCCGAATAGCCCCTCTCCCAATCAAAGAACCAGCCCACGCCTGTCCCGTTATTCCCTTTCACTCGCCGCATTGATCTTCGTCCAAAAAAGAAAATGTCGCTCATTTCCGTCTCCGAGCGGGTGTCGTCGCGGAACGTGCAAGAAAAACTTCGTTCCCCCATCCTGTGCTAAGCATCTTGAAGTTCTGCGGACGAAGCTCAGGAATCAGAGCTCGAGTCTCTGTCCTTGCTGTTACCGGACGCTCTCTGGAAACCTCGTTCGCCACCCTTTGTCACGCAGTGCTTTACGACCCATGGATGCCGGAGGACATCGTCAAGCGGAATCCGTTTTTCGGGATCAAGCACCAGAAGCTATAAAACCTTGTTAGCAGCACTCCAAGAATACTCGGTGATGTGTGAGATTGACTCACTCGCATAATGAGGTCCTTGGCTTCGGGACTGACGAAGCTGGGAACCGTCATGTCACACCGTGCAATCCTTCGCTGTGTCATGACTGTTGTGTCCTCAAAGGGGGCTTCTCCCACCAGAAATTCGTATGTCAGGACACCCAAGCTCCATAGATCGACCTTTTCATTGTAGAAATTGTCGGAGCTACCCGGTTTGAGCATCTCCGGAGGTAGGTAATCCAATGTGCCGCACATTGTTTGTCTGCGGTTGTTTGGAGCGTGGACTGACCAGCCAAAGTCTGAAATCTTGATCTCGCCGTGGATGCCGACCAGGATGTTTTCAGGTTTGATGTCTCTGTGCATGACATGCTTTTTGTGCAGATACTTGAGAGCGGCGGCCATTTGAGCGATATATTGCGCTGCTTTCCATTCCGGGAAACGACCTTCCTTGCGGAGGTGCTTATAGAGCTCACCCTTGCCGGCGAATTCGAGGATCAGGAATACTCGTTTGCTGTCATGGAAATGACCAAAGAGCCTCAGGATATTTGGATGCCTCAGGTTGGATTGAATTTCAATTTCTCGTCGGACTTGCTTCTCCACTTTGCCTTGTTGCAACTCGGACTTGTGAAGGACTTTTAGGGCACAGACGAAACCGGATGACCTCTCTCGAGCAAGATACACCCGACCGAATTTACCCTTCCCGAGCGGCTTTCCAATCTCAAACATACCCAGATGGAATTGTTTGGGCGCTTGTGGCTGATCGAAGAAATATTTCGGGGTAGATCTACTGCGTATCGAGTCATCGCTCTCGTCAGATGCACGGGCAGCCTGAAGAGCCACCCGCACTGGCGAAGGTGGATGGGTTGGGACAGTTGTTGTGGTTGTGATTGTTGTGATTGACGCAGTGTTCTGTTTCGATTCTGTTGTGACTTGGAGGGGGTATTTGACAAGATTTGTCCGGGGCTGAGTTGAGGAAACGGTTGGCAAAATTCCCGGGCCAGCGCTCTGTGGTTGTAGAGTCAGCACATGGTATGTGTAGACAGGGAGGGTCATCAACAAAGCAAGCTACCTTTGACTTGAGAACTGTTGTCGTCGGAGCCTCATTTTCGTCGTTGACGCTGAGGTGCTCGAAGCGAGATTCCAGGGTTTTGGTGGCCATTCTGACGGAATATCCGTGGTGAGTGACGGAAGGGCAGACAAGGGAGGAACAACGTCTTGATCTCAAGACAGTACAGCTGGGCGCAGTTGGGGATAGTAATAATAGCAGTCGGTGGTTTTCGGCGACTCGGTCATCTACAGTATCGCAGTTGGGTGAAGTCTTGGCATAAACACTGGTCGTCGACCGGGGCAACCGCCCGTCTGCGGTCTCTGCGGCCTCCGCGCCCTCTCTTGCGTCGTTTCCCCGCGCTGGGCCAAAATGCGCACCTAAGACGTTTCTGCGATTCTGCATCCTTCGCATCACCCTCAAACGCCGAACACCAAATCACTTTTCCCCTTCGGACATCCACCTCTTTGAAGGGGTCCTTGACAGGGCTCCAGGTGACGTCGCCATTCACGCAGTCACCATGGCGGTCAACGGTCATCGGCCACCTGAAGGGTTCAACACGACATTCCCCTCGCCCTCCGCTGCTCCACCACGGTCGTTCTCAATCGAAGGATTCCGCATCACCACCCAGAAATTACCCATCTTGAAGGCCGGGCCCATCGAAGAGATGACAAACAAGCTTGGAATTGCTCCACCCGAGATGATTTTTGGCGATAACTTCGTGGCAATCGAGCACGCGCCTTCGCACTGGGGAATCAAATTTGACGCCTTCGGTGCGCTAGATCGAGTTGACAAGACCGGGGAGAGGCGGCTGAAGGTTGCCTACTCCCGAGAATGGCAACAGAGCAGAGAGGACACGCATGACATCAAAGAAGTTGTCAAACCCTTCGACTGGTCCTATACCACTGATTATAAGGGTGATCTCGCGCCTGGAAGCCCAGATTTTCATGCCGCGACTGAAGCCATCCCTCTCGAGCTCTTGAAGCGACCAGATCCCATTCTGTTCTTTGATGATGTGATCCTCTACGAAGACGAGCTTGCCGATAATGGCATAGCCATGCTTTCGTGCAAGATCCGCGTCATGCCTGGACGCTTACTCCTCCTCTGTCGATTCTTTATGAGGCTGGATAATGTGTTGGTCAGACTACGCGATACCAGGCTATACATCGATTTCGGAAAGCAGGAGGCAATTCGAGAATACATCGCAAAGGAGGAAGCGTATGACAAGGTGCGCGATGAACTTGCGAGCAGAAGGGATGATGTGACCGCAGTGCTACGAGATGCGAACCAAATGGCCGATTTGTTACCCGTTGTCGAGAAGACCCTTGAACGAGTCCAACTGGGAACCTGAAGCAGTGGCTGATATGGGAATCCCTAAATGAACGGGATAAAACCCGTCGAAGTCCGACTGTAAGGGCTATTTAGGCCACCCGGGGGACAATGGTTCTTTGCCCATTTCAGGAAACGACTGAGTCACTTGGAGCATCCTGGCAGGACAATTGTCGACCACTCGGTACAGGGACGGGATGTTAAGAAGCCACTCAGTGGTCATCGCGACTCCACTGGATGGTGGGCTATCTGTCGACATCGTGGTCGTGGCCGGGGTACGAGGTACTTTCAGTCCGAAGAGAAAAAGGGTGCTGCATTGCGAAAGTGGAAACGCATCTGTCATGTTGCCGACGAAGTCGGGCAAATGCAACTTCCTGACGCTAGATGTACCTAGCGGGCTGCCGTGACCAGAGTGTGGACACTTCTCGTACGAGTATGAGAGAGGGCAGAGCGCGCCAGAATATGTCAGACATACCGAGTAATGGATATGTTTTCCAGCCTTTATGCAAGGCTGCTTGTAGCGCCAAACTTCGATATAACTCCGAACTCAGTCGCAGCACCTGACCCTTTGTCGGGGATTAAATCTGAGTGCCTTTCTCAATTCGGTCGTCGACACAGAACGCCGTCCTTGTAATTGTACAAAGTCTTCTTGCTTCTCACTCTATCCCACAATTGTCGAAACTTGTATCTGAGAGTACAAGAGAAATGAACGGCTGTGAGGTAGGGAAGATTTCGCTGGACAAAGTGTTCGAGATTGTCCTTGCACCGGGCTGTGGCCAATTGACATCTTCAGCACGCGCTGGAACGCGTGTTGAAAGGCCATCAACCCCGGGAAGCCATGTCGGAGTCTGCATGAACCATCCGAGCGACGTGGATGAGACCAATTTCCGCTGCCCCAAAAAGGGAAAACGTCAACTTCACTCCAGCCAATGACCTTGCTCCATCCTCAGCCTTCTGGCAACCCCTATCCATTCCTCGCTTATGCTCTCGAGATTCACCCCCAGGTTGGGGCCAGCGAGCTTTAGCATGAAGCCACAGGTTCCGCAACAGGAACATGACGCCCGGTCACTCTCAGGCGACTTGCCTTCCCCCCACTGCACAGGAGCCCGCGCGTTGAAATTTCGTCAGCACCACGAGGGCATCTCTTTTCCTGACTCAAGTCTCGCCCTACCCCCCCTGCCTTCGCGATCTTCTTTCTGAAACTGACCTTCGCGGTGCCATGGGCACAATAATGGGTCATCAGAGAGCGCTTTGCGCTCTTGCTTTGAATGTTTTGCTTCGCTTCTGCATGGCATCACCTTCAGTGCCCGTTGCAACAGATCCTATTCTTTCAACTGCGACGGTTCCCACGGTCATACCATCTTTGGTAACAATCTATTCGATTGTGCCCGCTACCGATGCGGCACCAGGCGCTCCGACCACAATCACAACTACGATCGATGGCCAAACAACCACCATAGTCTCAACTGGAGTTATAGCTGGTTCTATCACAAGCACCATCATCTCAACCATCTCTTTGACCACAAGCCAAGTAGTCGTCAATACTATCGGCTACTCGACAATTCTTGGGCCAGATCCGACCACACCGGTAAGCCTTGTGTCCTTCTATACGCTGCTTTGTGCTTTCCACAGTGGCGCTTTATGTCACAAGACAATCCTCGCGTGATTGACATCTCGATATCCACGGAAGGCTGACTGCAGCTCAATTAGACAACTGCCGCCGGTTTGCCCCCAACCACAGTAATATCCACGTCTGATACACCTCTACCGACCAGTACATCTGTATCGGACGCATTATCGACCAGTTCTTCCGTTGGAGAAACCAATGCTTTTGCGACCTCAAGTGCCACGTCGACAACGGTGACTTCAACAGCAAGCTTACCAAGTTCTCCCAGTTCCTCGGCAACCGGAACCAATGCTTCGACACAAGCCGCACATTCTTCATCTACGTCCAAAGGACTATCCACGGGCGCGAAAGCCGGGATTGGTATTGGCGTCGCGCTGGGAGTCATCTTGTTAGTTCTTCTATCATTTTTGCTTGGCCAGCGCTATTCTCGCCGACGCAACGAGCGTGCCAAGGGCAACACCGATCTAAGTGGCGCCGACGAGAAGGATATATTCCAAGCGGGTCGTCCATATGAGGCCACCGGTCCGAGGCACGATGCTCTCGCCCCATCTGCTCCCAAGGGCCATGCATATTCCACGAACACGACTGCGATTGTCAGTGGTTCGGAATCCGCGAGCGGCAGATCCTATGACATGCCAATCCCCAACCCGCCGAACAACCATGCGCATAACCCGGAATTATCAGCTTTGCCTCCAATCGAAAAAGGAGACGAGCCTATGTATGTGGGCGTCCCTGCGCACATGTCAGGTTCCAAGCGATGGAGTATGAAAGAATTCATGAAATGATGCATTGGCAGTATGCTCATCGACCCGATTGTTGGTGAAAGGCACCCCGTTGCCTCACGCCCCTATGAGATCTCCTTGGGGGACAAAAGGCCATTTCATGGAGAAATACAAACGCGGAAATTATCAACAGCTACTAAGAGCCTTTGGTTTCTCAAGATACCAAGATCCAGTCCCATACTCCCAAGCGTCCAATTAGGGGGCGTTCCAATCCGGAAAATATTGCCACGAATGGCAGCGCAGATCCTCTAGACACAATTCAAGCTTTGGACGGATTCTGGATCAATCAATGAGACAATAGAGTCGGTCATCGGTGCGGGACATAACTTTATCACGCCATACCTCAATTCTGCAGCCGGCAGCACCATTTCACATACTACCGAGGCCGGTGAGCGCCTCGCCAAACTCCCAAGGTCATCCAAAAGAGGAGACTGTCAGCCAACGGCTCGGGCCCGGAGCACTCCGAAGAAAGTTGCAGCCTCGTCCCAGGACATTTTGGTGGTTCACGTAAACGGTCCACAAAGCTCTTTTAATGCCACATGCTTTGTCGAAACCCATCTTCTTGCTTGATATCGGATATCTTAATCTCTACGACATATACGGAAACGGACAACAGTACATGAGGCGAAGACGTGACGGAGAAACAAGGCAACACTGCAGCTGGAAGGTAGACCTCAGGGGATTCCTATCGCGGTGGTTTGCTACGGATCCCGCTATGATTAGTATTTAATCTATAATTCATATCGTCCTTTTTACTCCAGCCTGGCATTCAACGACCATATGTGGTCTGCTTTCTTCGGATTGGCATTAATCCAGAAAGAGATTAGCCTGCCAAGCGCCGGTCACGTGTCGTGAGGTTGCGACAAAATCGGACCATCGCCTTCCGCGACGTCCAACTTTTACCTTTTCACTATCCTACAGCGACAATACGTATCCAGAAAGTCAGCACTCTAGATCATCGCCGAACTGCTGAAACCGCGTCGGACAGGTTTGCAAACTTTATCGGCTTATTTGCGGCGGACGGTTGAAGATGCCGGCCCTATTAGAGGACCCAGAATCTCCCGTAATCTATCGGGCCTCTGGACAGGACCCGTACCCGACCCAAGACAATCCGCAAATACCGTCGTCGATATTCCCGCGCCCCGTCATGCTTCGAGACCGCCTTACTATTGCAACCCTGATTCCATTCTTCTCTCCCAATGCGGTTCCAAAGAGACTGCTTCAATATCTTTCCGAGCAGCTCAACAAGGAAATTCAGGGTGGAGACACGTATCCCATGATCAACCCGCTACCTCTGGACACCTTTGGCCCCTACTGGTTTGGTAATTTCGGTGCTGTTATGGTTCTCGGTGACATTGGAGGCATTGAGGCCGTGACCGACATGGATCGGGAGGGCGTTGACTGGAACAAAAAGTGTTTGGGCAGCTTTTACATCAAGCCCAATTATCCCGGTCGAAGCAGTCATGTTTGCAATGGTGGGTTTTTAGTCACTCCTGCGGCTCGTAACAAGGGTGTCGGAAAGTCGATGGGACAATGTTATCTCGATTGGGCACCTCAGCTGGTAGGTTTGGCGGTATGAGTCCAGCCAGATAAGGGCATATGAAGCTGATAATTCTCTAGGGGTACACCTACTCGGTATTCAACTTGGTTTACGAAACCAACACTGCTTCAACGAAGATATGGGACTCACTTGGCTTCAAGAGGATTGGAAGAGTCCCGGGATGCGGCATTCTAAAATCCTCGGAAGAACCTGTCGATGCAATCATTTATGGCAAGGACCTGAAAGGAGAGGGCGAGATGGATCTCTCTGAAGAACGCTTCGATAAGATAAGGTACTACCTGAGACATCAGCTCTATCCTCAAGGAGCCGACAGGTCAGAGAAAAGTCGACTAAGGAGTGCCGCCACTCATTATAAACTGGTCCCCGCGGCCGATGGAGGTCCGGAGAGGTTGTTTTTGAAGGACAAAGAGGTTATCTCTGATCCTCAGGCACAGTATGACATTGCCAAAGGTATCCATCTCCAGGCTCATGCAGGCATCAACAAGACTACCGCCCTGATAGCAACCCAGTATCACTGGATCCGGATCAAAGAAACTGTGAGCCATGTCATCAAGAATTGCCCTGAATGCAAAGATGTCAATAAACCGCCCATAATACGTTCGGAGAATCGACCTGGGCGGAGCAAGACGATTGATGAGGCTCCCCCTGATTTATCGTCGCCGCAGACTGGCCCATCTCCAACCGTGCCTGCAACAACCGTGCCTCCACAAATACCGCAAACAGCACAGTCGGTACGATCAGAAGACGTGCAAAACGGGCCACCGCAGGATCAGGAAATTGCGACAAACCACCTATCCGAACACGACTTCGCATCAATACAGCAGCCCATGGATCTGTCTAATGACCATGCCCATCTTGTCACTGACCCAGTTGGCCATCTTCATGCATATGATGAGATGGCCATCGATCCGCAGATCATGGAACAGATACAAGCCCAACTTGATGCCGACTACGACCCCAACAGCCATACATTTGTTCCTCCAGGGATGCCCACTTTCACGGATCCTTCCCATTTGCAGTCTCCTCATGATCCCCGCGACTTCAACCATGCAACCTCTGATCATCATTTTATTCCCGACCCAAATCAACCAATCATGGGACACGACCATGTCATGGACGAGAGTGGCGCAGGCACGGGGCTGAATAGCATGCAACCTATGCAGCACGTATTGCAGATGGACTATGTTGACTCGCAGAACGAGCAACAATTCAAACTCAAGCAGTAAAATGCGGAACTGGCGTTCAGGTTCGGTTAGATCAGGGGTAGGTCTTGATGAGAAACGCATGCGGTTGATATCAATGAGTTCGGTCTGCATACTGTCACACGCTTATGGGCACGGGTTAAGATAAGAAGAATGTATAGGTGGAGTACAGCCTGGCAGGATGGGAAGCACGCATTTCAGCCATGAGCTGAGGCGAAGTCATATAGGCCATAGATTAGGGTGACGATAGACAAGAGAACCCGATTGTAGATGACAACTCGTTCCAAGCGGGTCTGTGTCGTCTGATGAATCCAGAATAAAGAAAGCAAGAGTCTCGCGATTCACTCTATTTTCTTCAAACTGAGAATGGCATTGCTGACCGCGTATGTGTAAATATATTTGCGGTCCGACAGGCAACAGTTGGTGCCACACATGCCTGCACTTGCTTCGTCAGACAAAAATGATTTTATAGCTTCAAAGAATCCATTTGTCATCCGCCACTTCCCCAAAATGCTTCAACTCAACTCATCCGTATAACGAAACCTTACTATGGACGCCCGCAGGCTGAAAAGGCCGGCAAGGCCACCTCCTCGACTGAGAACCAAGACTGGCTGCTACACATGTAGGGTAGGTACTCCCAAGCATCCCCTTTCCCGAACGGTTCACCACCTGGTTTTCGCCTTCGAACCTACCCACTCGCTGTCTTATCTCATGTCAGGATCGTTGATGGCTGGGCTTCTTCACACTAAATCCATTCAATCGGGCAGACGAGACGAAAAAAATGCGACGAAGCACGCCCAATTTGTGGTGCTTGTACCAGACTCGGTATTGAGTGCATGTATGGGAGCTACCCCAGTCCTGCAACGGCCTCGCGAACTCCTCCTCTCTCATCCCAGGACGCTCGAAGGAACGCGATACCCGAAAGCCCAATAGATGTGTCACCACCAAGCCTGACGCTCAATCGGTCTCTAAGTCTCATGCCCAAAGGGCTGAGGACCGAGCGTGATTGGAACGTGTTCAATTATTGTTCAACGCAGTACATGAGGCTGCTGACTTCGCCTGACGCTACCTCGGAATTTCGAGATGTTTCTTTTGTATTTTCAATCGGGTTTGACGAGCCGTGGGTGATCCATTCTGCACTGGCTCCAGCAGCACTTCACGCTTCCTTTGCTTCCTTGCTTCCCAAGGAGGATGCGATGCTGTACACTCAAAGCGCTCTACAGGGTCTCCAGCAGGCGCTTCAGCCCAAGACGGGCCAAATCCCTCCCGAAGACGCATTTCTCGCAGCGTCACTATTCCTCGGCGTGTTTGAGGGAGGTGTTTGTCCGAACCACTTGTGGTATGTCTGATACTGACGTTGATCAGGACTTCTACTCTTCTTCGTGCAGCGCCAGCTTGACACACTATCGCGCCTTAGCTAAGATGCTTGAAGATCGCACTGCGAAGATTCCCCAGTTTGAAATTGGCCAGCTCTCGATCTTGCACTCGACTCTCCTCGATTCCGTCCTATATCATTTCTCTACGAGGTTGATATTCGAGCAGGACATTGAGGCTACCTGCAGATCATTTCCGTCCCAGACTATCATCAAGTACATCGAAGCATTGGAGGTAGCTAAAAGAGACAACCGCGATGAGCCATTGATCCTACCTGTACTTGGTCGGACACCGGCGGCGTTGTTCGTCCAAATCTACCAGATTACGTGGTTAAGCAGACAGATCCCTTTCAGCCATCATGAGCTCTATGAACTCGCTTCGCAGTGCCTGATCGAGCTGGAAGTCCTCGCGAATAATTATCCGGTGGTCATTTCTGACAACGTGCAGTGCTTGGAATCCGGTGCCACGGGCAACCGAAACAACTCCGTGATTGCGGCAAAGCTCTATCACCTCGCGGCGCAGATCTTTGTCGCCAAAGTTCTGCATCCGGAGGGGCTGAGCAACCAGTCTCCACAGATACAGGCTCAGATATCTCAAGGGACGGCGTTGCTTGAGATGTATGATGCGACCTTACCTTGCGGACAGTTCATCTGCTGGCCTCTACTCATTCTCGGGTGTGCAGCATGCCCGACGACCACATCCGAAGCGCAACAAACTCACGAGGGCGACATGCCCGCCCTCCGTCGATCAGAATTGCGAAGTCTCATCCAGAGGAAACTTGTGCAAATCTGGCATGTCTCATATTCTGGCTACGTGAAACGCACCGCAAGCGCCCTGAAGAAAATATGGCAACTTCCCGCAATACTGACCAAAACCTCGGTCGATATATGTTCTGCGAGTGAAGAGGTTACGTTCGATGGACTTATGGCGCTGTTACACAAAGAAGGCTTGGGAGCGGGCCTCGCAGTCGCAGAGAATGGCTAGCTTTGTTTATCGGCAGATATCGCGAAGGTAATTTATGAACTCTGAGCCCACAGCTGCCGTCACCTCAGGCATTTTTCTATGATGCGAGCTGCTTGGACGCATTCTTCGTCGCGCATCCGGCTTGTGAATATTTGGATAGAGCACGGGGCTCCATGCTGTATTTTCGGGTCATCTAGACGACTGCGTCAGCGAATGAAGCGTGGTCGGCACGTATTCCACTTACAATTGGGGCCAGCCTGCCCTGGCTGAATCTGGAAAGGCTCAGAGTCCTGCTGCTGCGACGTTTTCGAGAATGGTAGGATACAAGCCGGGTACTGGACAAGTCAGCGGATACGTCGTGGTTGGGTGGGGGAAGAAGACTCACATCAAGCAGGTTGAGGAAACAGGTGTATGGTGGCCAGCCGTACGTGTCGTGGGGAACGGCTGTATTCTGGGCAGGGGGGCTAATAACGGCATCCAGCTCCATTTCCGACCATGTCTTCCGCCAGTCCTCGGAGAGCTCCTGACGCTTGACGGTCAAAGCTGCAAATTTCTGCAGCCTGTCCAGCTTGTCAATATCTGGAACATACTTGTAGCTTCCGAAATTTGCTGGTCGAAAGCCCGCTGCCACAGAGGGTACCGCTGGCTCTCCGCTAGCGAGGATATGTCCTGTGGGGGTCTCTGTCTCGAGACAGAACAATTCCCATGCCACTTCGGTGGCATCAGAAACGTGACCTTGCTCCGGGCTTAGGTGAATCAATTGATGACCTTGGTCTGCGAGTTTCTTAGCAGCTTCTGCAAGCGCTCGCTTCACTGGTGGATGAAGTGGATAAAGGGGGTCTTCAGCGAGAACTCCGATCCTGAGATTGGCTGCGCCATCCTGCTTGAGCTGGCGCCAGGGAACGTCGATGGCGGTCGAGTCATATGTGGCGGGCACTGCGTCTATGACTGCTTGGGTCAAAAGCTCCAAGGCTTCAAAATCGTTCGCAAGAGGTCCGGCGCAAGCGACGATAGGCTTCCACCCTGGTAATCCAGGGGTTGCTTGTCCCCCGTACGGCACCCGCGAAGACGTTGGCTTGAAGCCATAGGTGCCACAGCACAAGGACGGAATGCGAATGGAACCAGCGACATCCGTGCCGATACCGAGCGGAGATCCTCGAAAAGCAACCAAGGCTCCCTCCCCTCCGCTGGAACCTCCGGCGCCCAGAAATGTGTTGTGGGGATTCAAGGTTCTGCCAAAGATGTTATTGTCAGAGTCAGCGGTCATCAGCGTCTGGGGAATATTCGTTTTCACATAGAGTACGGCGCCGAGGTCGAGCAGAATGTCAACAATCGGCGAGTTCTCCTTGGATCTCTTCCCAAGGAAAGAGACGAATCCGATTGAGGCTTCGGTGCCGGCGACCTGAAACGAGTCCTTCAAGCTGATCGGAAGGCCATGCAAGGGCCCAAGCTTCTTTCCCTCACTCCTGCGCTGATCGAGATCCTTTGCCCGTTGAAGTGCGGCGTCGAAGAAGGTCTCCGTGAGGCATGAGGTCAATTGTTGGGCGATGGCAGCCCTTTTCGAAAACGCCATCGTAACCTCGAGAGAAGTGAACTCTCCCGTGGCAAGTTTGGCCAGCAATTCCGGCACGGTGTAGTCTTCGGTGATCGATATCTCACGCTCAGACAAGATCCCCGACTTCTTGACTATGTCCATGTCCAGGAGTCTGTTTGGGTTCTTGTCTAGTGGGAAGGCCAGCATTTTGAATATATCAGGAGACAGCTGCCATTCCTTTGGAATGGCTTGCTGACACTGCTGTCGCTTTTGCGCGACTCTTGTCTGCCAATCTGAAGGATCCATGGCGCTGATCGAGCCCATATTGTTCGCTTGGTATTGGTGCTGATGACCTCTGTACTGTTTCGGGGTCAGTATATAGCAAGTCGACTTCAGGGTATTGCGTCAGCTTCTTTACCTTTGATGTCCTGAGGGAGAGGAGAATCTTGCTCAACTACCTCGAGTCGTCGACGAAACAATTCGACAGCGATATATAAATATTCTCCGTTCTCGACTCTCAACAATCGGCACTGAGATTCGGTTGTTTACTGTTTACCGATTGTGTTATCTGAAGCATCTTTTGTCCCCCTTCGCTCTTGTCCGGCTCTGACTCTAGCAGATATATAAATCCGGGGGGCCAATCAACCATCTTTGCGCCCTCCAATCACTGAATTTTGCGCCACGTGTTGGTGTCGACTATCCCCAGACTTTCTCTCCCGGCCGTATCAGTCACTGCTCCCCAGGAAGTACGGCACATTCACGAGTCGCACTGCTATTTTTAGGCGAAGCTGCCGTGGCTATGAAAGAATATTGAGGCGGATACGGCAGATGCTCTAGACGATCTCGGAAACGGCTGCTACGGCGAGCGGAAGATTGTTTATTTCAAAGAACTAGTTCGTGCCTGAGCGGGATTCGCCGCCAAATCGGATACAAGAGCTCCAAACAAGCCTGTCTGTGTCCTTCGTCAATCTACATTCCCAGCTCGTCTAGTGTATGTCGTTATGGCGGAATCATCTGCACCCTCTCTTTTGCACAAATTGGCCGCCAGGCTAAACCGAGACCCTGGAACGCCAGTCGAAACGCCGACCGAGTCCTTCTGGCAAGTCCCTCGTCAGGCTTTTGCTGATCAACAGTCAGAGACTTTGCCCAAGGAAGCCGATGTCATTATCATCGGCTCGGGTATTGCTGGTATAAGCGTGGCGCAACATTTGCTCCATTTGCAGCCATCACAGAAAATTACCATCCTCGAGGCCCGGTCGGCGATATCGGGAGCAACAGGCCGTAATGGTGGACATATCAAAGCCGTCCCATGGGCTGACTATGATGAACTCAAGGAAGCACTCGGCAAGGAGAGCGCAATCAAGATCACAAACTTCCGGCTTGCTCACTTGGATGCTTTTGTCAATGAGGCTGCGGCATTAGGCGAAGCTGGCAAAGCTGGCTTGGTGCGCCGCGTGGAGGGAGTAAGTGCTGTTTTCAACAAGGACGTCTGGGAGTCGGCGAAGACCAAGTTGCAAGTGTGGCTTGAGGACTACCCGGACCACCGCGAGAATTGGAGCGTACATGAGGGAGAGGAAGAGATGAAGGTATCACGGATCCCCCAAGAAGAGGTTTCTTCTGCTCACATAGTCCCAGAAATTTGGCTTTGTCAACGCCTATGGATGCATCAACGGCCCTTCAGGAGCAGCATGGCCGTATCGATTTGTGGGTGCCGTACTATCAAAGCTGCTCGCGAGCGGCCAGGTCAGCCTCGAAACGCACACCGCTGCAGAGGAGGTACGCCGAAGTCAATCTCCAGGTCGCCCGTACAAAGTGCAAACATCGCGGGGCATGATATCGGCAAACCATGTCATCCACTGCACGAATGGGTACGCCGCACATCTGCTTCCCTTCCTGACGGGCAAACTCTGGCCCATGCGAGGGCAGATGACGGTCCAGTCGGTCCCTGACGTGTTTCCACGACTTGGTGCTTCGAGGTCGTGGAGCACCAGGTGGGCGAGAGGCTATGATTACATCACGCAATCTCCTGATGAAGACGGCTCACTGTATCTCGGTGGAGGGTTCTTTCAAGGCGGCCCAGAGAAAGACGAGGACTTGGGGAACACGGACGACAGCCAGCTGAGTGCGCAATGCCTCGAGCATCTGGAAAAGGTCCCATCGAGAGCATTCATTCACGGGACCGGTGCAAGGATCGAGAAGAAATGGACCGGGATCATGGGGTTCACGGGAGATGGGTTGCCCTTGGTCGATCGTGTTCGAGAGTTCATGTCTGGCCGGGCTGAGTGTGATCCCGAAATCGGGGCAGAATGGATCGCCGCAGGGTGGGATGGTTACGGCATGGTCCATTGCTGGCTCGCCGGAAAGGCACTCGCCCATATGGTCCTGGGACGCGAACACGAGGTTCTTGAGTGGTTTCCGAAGCATGAGTTCGGATGCAGCAAGGAGAGGCTCGATCAGATGAGTCCGGAAGGCGCCCTCAAACGATTCCTTGGCTCGTTGGAGTGATAGAGAGCGCCAATAATGCGACTTCAGCCACGATGGCCTCCTCGATGCTCTCGATGTACCGACCGACACTCGGCTGTTATTTCTCCAGTGTTCCTCTTCCACCACCCAACTATCAACATATCAATATACATAGTGGCCGTATCTAGAACAATCAAAAGAGGCAGCCCCAACCAGCACAGAATTTGACCCGGCGTCTTGGCCTCGGCGCAAAGGGTTTTGATTCGATACATGGCGGCGGGCTTCAGCGTCGACACCACCGGAGATCAGCTGTCCTAACTGGCTGATCTGCTCATTTCTCCGCATATCGAGAGAGAGTCCCACCAGGTCCGGGCTGAAGCTTGTCGGGAATAGTTCGAAAGCAGTGGCAACGTTCCACGATGCTGGTCAGTTGATAAGGGGTCTTTCCCATAATGGGGGTGCTATCCGGGAGGTCTGCTAAAAGGATAGATAGACCTCCCTCCCCTTCCCACCAGTTCATCGGCATCGTTGTGCTGCTTCAAAACATATCATCGAGCATCACGGGCTACCTGTCATACCGACAAGATGACTTACGAGAGACTCCCGCCGGGAACGCAGAGGATCGAGGACCGGACCGGACAGAAGATCCTGTTGGCACCTCAGCCAAATGCGGATCCCAACCAGCCACTGGTGAGTCTCTGGGCTTGTGAGGGTATGATGGTGGAATGCTTTCTCACATCTGCAACAGAACTGGTCGGCTTTTCGCAAGTCGTTGCATATGGTCATCCTGTGCTTCTATGCATTGATGGTGTTTGCCATGTAAGTTCTACTTGGCCCCTCATGATGCAGTCAGTGTCTTGCAATGGACTGATCCGTATACTCTCCAGCCTCTGCGTCGCCGTTCCCCTCTGGCAAGACTTCAACACCGAGCTTGGGATGAGCTATGCCGTTCTAAATGACGGCTACGCCACAAATATGGCAACCCTATCCGTCGGGTGCATCATCTTCGTGCCCTTCGCTCTTCGAATCGGACGGAGGCCAGTCTACATTGCGACGGCGTTGGTCATGCTTGCTGCCGCTGTGTGGCAAGCAAAGATGTTTACGATCGGAGATATGATCGGGGCAAACGCTATTTCGGGTCTTGCAGGAGCTGTGAATGAAGCCATCTTCCAGGTTACTGTATGTGCCCCTTCTGCATTTGCAGATGGATATCTGCGGGCTGCTCTTTACTGACACTGCTGTAATAGGTTTCGGACCTCTTCTTCGTGCATCAGCGCGGCACCATGAATGGGATCTACCTTGTCATTGTTATCATTGGCAACTATCTCGGCCCGGTTGCCTCGGGATATGTCGCCGTTTCACAGGACTGGCGATGGGTGTATTGGTACTGCACCATCTTCATGGCCGCGGTGACTTTGGCGATGATTTTCTTCCTCGAAGAGACCAAATACACTCCCCCCGTATTAGCCGGTCGGGAAGTCGTCATCTCGACCTCGATCGAACAGCCAGATAACCTCACCAAGGTCAGCAGCACCAGCAAAAGCAACGCCCGCGGCTCGATCTCTGTCGATTCCACCGACGCCGCCAATAACGAACGTCGCCGTCTCGTTGACATCGACACCTCCATCCCCATAAAGTCGTACTGGGAGCGCCATTCCCTGTGGTCTGCCGACAAGCAAGCCACTTCCGAACAACGCAGCCTGTGGATGCACTTCTATCAGCCGTTCCAGATCCTGGTCACGTTCCCCGCCGTCATGTTCACGGCGTTGCAGTATGGTTTCTGTATTGCCATGTTGGCCATCCTGGCTGTGACCCAGGCGACGCTGTACCCGTTCCCGCCGTACAATTTCACCCCGATCGGAGTCGGCAACATGAACTTGCCACCCGCCATCGGAGCCATCCTGGGCTCTCTGTTCGGCGGCCCTCTCAACGACTACTTCATTCTGCAGGTCGCAAAACGACGGGGCGGCATTTACGAACCCGAGACTCGACTTTGGCTGTTCTTGGTCCCGGGCTTCTGCATGCCCATCGGATTGTTCATGTATGGGTTGACTATCTCCAAGGTAGGAATCAATTTCCCCCAGAGCAGGTCTCTGTTTGAAGTCGATGTGTATGGAACTGACATGCTGTCTTGAAGGGAATGGCGTGGCCTGTCAACGCCGTCGGGGCTGGGTTCATCGGCGCGGCGATCGGCGGCTGCGGTGACATTTCTCTGACATACTGTCAGGACTGCTACCAATATGTAAGTTGAGCCAGCACCTGGCACGTCACCTTTCGGGAGACTCCCTGCTTACTCCTTCTCTCCACAGATCCTCGGGGACGCCCTGACATCGGTGGTCTTCGTGCGCAACATTATTTCTACCGCGCTCGTCTTCGCAATCACGCCCTGGATGAACAACATGTAAGTCTTCCCCAGACGAGTGATCCTCTCCCAAAGGAGTTCCACAAAGTCATCCCCACAAACATATATTTGGTGCTGACGATGAATTCAACAGGGGCGTATACAACATGTTTGTTCTGCTGGGCTGTCTCGGTATTGCCGTGGCTCTCACCTGCGTGCCATTGATTATTTGGGGGCGCACATGGAGAGCGAGACTGGCGGGACGGTATGAGTATTTCGCGGCCAAGCAATATTGATTGATCGATTACTTGTGGGATAGCTGGGATTAACACAGAAAACGTCGAGCTTTTAGAGGAAGTCTTGCAGACTTTTGATCAGCCCTTATCAATATGAGCAGTGGAAGATCCGAAGCATTTCCCATTTTCTTTTTGGGAGGGGAACTCCTTGAAAGGCCCGTGTGCAGCAGAGATATGGATGGAATACGAGCTGCCAGCCACATGTTGACTCAAAGCATGCCTGCTGCCCGTTCTTTGTAGTCAATGTGAACAAAACTGACCCGACTGGATAATTTGCATCGCACCTCTTTCCCGCCCAGAACAAAACAAACAAGCGAGAAGCGGGCCTAGAACTGGCCGCGATGTGCTGGCAAGGGGGAGTGCCTGGATCACGGATTTGAGCAGAAGCTGGACACAAGACCAAATGCTGTCCCTCCCTCCACTACTTCAGCCTCGATACGAGCAAGAGGGACCCTAATCCCCGCCTGGTCAGGCAAAGAGCACGGCCCAATCGCTTGTAACCCAAAAACAAAAACAAAAAAAAACAGAACAAAAGCAAAAGGCTTTCAAACACAACTGGAGCATTTGGGAATTCTAGACGAGAGACTCGTCAAAGTTGTGTCATCCTTGCTGATTGTTCCAGAATCCCGAGCCTCGAGGGTGGGTTGGGAGAGAGAAAGGCAGGACAGGCAGCATTGAGCAATATTTGCCAGTGGCCAGCAGGAGGACTGCCGCAGGACCACTAATGAACGAAACGGCGAGAAGAAACCATTCAATCTGTTGAGATGCCTGTCCGGGATTCAACGCTGAGGGTGGTACAGAAGAACGATGCCCCTTCGGTCGGGCCACTCTTTGGTCAAAGACCTCGTGTGTAGTAAGCATAAGTGCCAGTCCTTGTTGCTTCTTTTTGTCTCAGAAGCTCCTCGTGTCCAGCCATCAAGGCTTTCTTTCTCCTGCCTCTGATTGAGCCGGTAAGGCTGGACCCCCTGGTGGTGCCCCCGTGTTCAGCACGTGACGCCCGCCGTGTGGCTTTTTCCGACACCTCCAGACGCGCGCCATGGCGTCTTTCTACTGACCCAGCAATTTCGGAACCCTTCAGCACGCTTATCATACCCTGGCAGTGAGCCAGAACACGTCCAAAAGTTCCACGCCACACCACCTCGACGGGCCCTGTTGAAAGGATGGAAATTCAGCCCCCATTGCCACACGTTTCCAAAATGCCACGGTGATCCGGCGTGGCTCACTGGGCTGGCTCAGAGATGTGCCTCTTTCCCCGAGGCTTTGGCCCTGCTTTCTACCGATATCCGAGACTGATTCTGCAGTCTGGACGTCGCACACGCCCCTGTTCGTGTCCGGGAGCACAGGCTGCCACCAGCAGAGGCGGGTATCCAATCTTCTGACAGCAATAAGGCTGAGGGGACAAAGAGAAACAGCGACCAGCACCCTGTGTAACCAGGGTAGGCTTCGGGCCTTTACACCGCTTGCTATGGACGAGAACGAACAGGGAAGCCCGACGGCCTCGTACTTTGCTTAAAAGATCCGGTCTTGGGCTTGGAAAAGGGCCAGCCCACCCCTTCGATCCTCAAGCATGAAGCTGCATGCTGCCGCCGCAGAATCCGACCAATGCCAGCCTTATCATCTCACGCCAATTTCGTATAGAATTGGTCTGCACGGGGAGAGGAAAGGGCCCTTCTGAGACCTAGCGTGTCCCCAGCACCCCGGCTGGGCCCTTGATCCCTCAAGCAACGTCGCTGTCCTCCATATTTTCCTCCCTCCAACCGTCCCAAGCAACGACAAGACGACGTTCAACTCTGCAACCTGAGGGGGCTTCCCGTGTTTGACGTCGCCTCCCCATGATGGCGACGCTGGCTTCGTCTCTGCGTCTGCTGCTGGCTCTGTTGACGGCACAAACGGTGGCCCAGGCTCCGGCAGACCCGCTCGCCAACTTCTGCAGGAGGTATGGCCACCAGACTGCGGTGATAGACCGGAAGCTGTACATTGACGGTGGTTGGCTATATGCGAACCCCATTTCACAGAATCCCATCCCCACAATGAGTACTGCCGAACTCTCCCACCGTCGTTGCAGAAGGTTCCATGCTAACGATGGTTCCGCAGATGAAGGCCTCCTGTTCTGCGATTTGAACGAGTCATACGAAACCATGCCGCCGGAATATGCTAACCTGACCAAGAACTCGTCGGTACCGGACGTTGCAGGAGGCACACTGTGGCAAGATGAGGTCAACAAGGTCTTCTGGCTGTACGGCGGCGAGTTCGCGACGGCGCCGTCGGCGTTTGAACTTTGGGGTTACGACGTGATCTTGAACCAGTGGAATCTGTCGTCCCCGATCCAAGGGTCGACCGCGCCGATACAGAGAGTGTCGTACGGGGCCGGGGTAGCGAGCAGTGATATTGGCATGGGCTTCTACTACGGAGGCTATCTCAATAACCTGACGAACCCTCTCTGGGAGGGCCCTCCGATGGCAACGAGCAACCTGATCATCTACGACATGGATCAAAACACTCTGACCAACAACACTGGGTACGATAATATCGGCCGAGCCGAGGGGATCATGGTGTATATTCCTGCATCCATGTCTGGTCTGCTTGTGTATTTCGGAGGAGTGAGCTTCCCATATGGCAACGAAACTGAGGTCCCGGTACGTGGGAGGCTTGGGACGACGACTCTCGAACAGAGACATGGCCCCTTGAAGATACAAATGCTGACTGACCATGTGTGAAGGCGCCCATGGACACCATCATGATATACGACATTTCAGACGGCAAGTAGAACATCCTGCACGCTCACCAAAATCTACTCAGCTCGTGAGGCTCATTTTTTCCTCCGAACAGCAAAGTGGTATACTCAGACAGCTACTGGAACTATCCCCGAGATGCGTCGCAACTTCTGTGGTGGTGCCACCTGGGCGGATGACCAGTCCTCTTACAACATGTGAGCTACCTGCCACGGGTGTATGGAGATGGCCTTTTCTAACCTGGAACGCGGCCCAGCTACCTCTATGGCGGATTTGGGTTTGGAGAGAACGTCACAGTGCGCTCGCCCTTTTTTTCTATGTGGTGTTGACATATCTCTGAAGAAGAATGGCAGGGCTTCGACGACGTCTACATCCTGACCATGCCGACCTTCGAATGGATCAAATGGTATCCGACCACGCCCGGGCCCGGCTCGCCGCATGGCCTGCTTACATGTAATGTCATTGACAGAGGGCAAATGATCGTCATGGGAGGCAACTTCACAAACAGCACGGCCTGCGACGTGCCCGCCATCCAAGGCCAGCATAACCTGAACCTGGGCCAGTATGACAGCACCGACGCCAAATGGTATCCGTACCTGCCGAATCTCACCGAGTACCTTGTCCCACCAGCAATCCTGCAAGTTGCAGGTGGCACGTAAGTTTTTCCCCTGTTCGTCATTTTGGGCACGTTTTCGCAAGTGACACCAGCGATCACAAGACTGACACGCGTTGTATTTGGTCGGCCAGACCTGAAGGCGGCGCCATTAACAATGCTCCAGTGACGGGATGGAGCGACGATCGGTTGTCTGTGTATTTCGGCGAGAAGGCTGTCGTCTCCTCACGCACGCCGACTCGCGCCCTGCCTAGCGCGACAGCAACGCCTCCGCCTCCGACGCCGACTCCTACCCACCGGCCGAGCAAGAAGACCGAGACGGGAGCGATCGTAGGGGGCACCGTCGGTGGTGTTGCTGCCCTAGTGCTCGCGATCGCGATCGTGTGGTTCTGCGTGAGGAGGTATAAGAAGAAGAAGAAGGCTAACCAAGCAGGGCCGGCAACAACACCTGTCCCCGGCGTCGCGCAGGCTTTTAGTCCCACCTCGCTGCAGCCGCAGTACGTGGTCGAGAAGCATTCGACGACGGTGGGTTCGCCGGGTTCGACCACCAGCCGCGTCGGCTCACCCAGCGACCAACTACACTCGTCGCAGTACAGCACGCCGCCGCCGCCTCCACCGCCTACCCTGATGCCGCACCCGGACTACCCGAACTACTACTACGCCGCGACGGCTCCGTTGCCTGGCCAGCAGCAGCAGCCGCCGCCGCCGCCGACGCACTATTACCCGGTCGCGATCCCCGGCCAGCAGCAGCATGGCATGTTTGCGTACCCGGCACAAGGGGGCCAGCCGATGGCAGGTCCCATGCCATTCTACCCGCCGCCCGCAGACCCGATACGCACGCAGAGCCACGAGATGCCGACTGTGCGCAGTCCTGAAATCGTCCAGGTCCACCAGCCCAAGCCGGTGAGGCCGCCTGAGGTCCTGGAGCAGTGAAAAAAAGGGGAGGACGGATTTGAGATTCGGAGGAAGGGGGTGGATCGAGCACGTTCCTCTCCGTTGTGCCTTGTTCCATGGAGATGGAGGATGGCAATTCTCACAAAACGATCCTGGGACCAAACACAGTATTAATTATTATTTTTCTGAATGCAATCTGACCCCCTCATACTTAAGACATACTTCATCTGCTACCCGCCTACAGCAGCGAGAGTATTTTAGATCGAATCGTTGATCTCCTTGAAAGCTGTTGTCTAACGAATAATTTCCGCTTGCCTATTCATGAAACATGCTAGCTGGAATATATATGTATATGAAAACAAACGGGACCGATTCCCTCGTATGAATTCAAAAAAGGAAATAATAAAGGGCTTCCCAGTCCATCAATGTCCATAAGTCGTATCCCACCCCTGGCTCTCCACAGGGTTCTCAAGCGTATACCTTTTGCGCGCTGAGAAAGTCCGCTTGCCGCGTTTCTGCCACCAGTCCGACGTGTCCGACTTGCCCGTCTCGAGAGACGTCGGCGATCCTGACCTTGACGTTTCGGAGAAGTCTCGCCCTCTCCAGCCCGCCGAGCGTCGTGCCTCCATCAGGAAGGTTGATGTGCGGATTGTCCCTTGTCAGACTGCTCACGTAGCCGAAGATATCGGGCGCGATGGTGTTCTGGATGTTTCCCCAACGAGAATGTTAGCCATATAATCCTCGTAATGGGAAGATGTCAAAGCATTCGGACAGATCTGCATGGCCAGATAACGTACCTTGCGAAGCCAGAAAGCGGCAATGGCTGCTCCGAACAGGACTGTTTGGGAGATAAAATCGACAGCGATCCAAAGTTTGTTCGTGGCATACCTAGCGTGGTACTCGCCACCTCTCATGTCGGTAATGGCGAAGCGAGGGTCGTCCCCGACAGCATCTAGGTCGAGATCATCAGGCAAGAGCATCGGGTCGTCCTCTTGAAGTTGGGAGGCGAAATAATATGTATTTAGAACCTGGCTGGCACCAGCGCCGATTTCCCACGAAGCCAGAGTGGAGTTCAAACACTCGAGAACACCGGCGTATGTGGGCAAGAGTTGCTTCTCAGAATAATCAGTATAGAAGCAGCTGTCAACGGGGTCCCAGTTGAGGGCCTTTTGGGTGGTGATTTGATTGACTGAGAGAAGGCCTTGAAAGAACCGTTCGGCAAATACGTCGTCATCAAATGGTGTGGAGTTTTCAGACGGGCTATTAGTCGCGTGTCAGCAGGTCCTCTGGCTCAAATTGGCCACATCACGACATCGTTCTAGTGGGTTTACGTTTTGTAAATTTGTACCACTTACTGCTTCCTGCGAGAATCTCGGATTCTGCGAGCACTGCAGCTGAGGCCGTTGCAATGTATTTTAAGCTCGACATATATCTGGACAACGGTGCAAGAGAACTGCACGGCCACGGACGAATTGTGCAGTCCAGAAATGGTAAAAGTTCGAGGAGAGGTGTGGTTGCTTGCTTTGTGGACTGCCGCGGAATCGCTCATATTCATGGCGAGCAAAGCTGGTTGGATGATGCCATTGTGGTATTGCGATGCATGGAGAAGCGTCCAATTAGAGCATTCCACCTGTAAAAAGGACATTTCGGAGTTGAAGTCTCCAACAGGTGTGTATCCGTTGGAACGATTCGAGACAGCGTAAACATAATAACCGGCATTTGAACTATACCAGTTCTTTGATGGCTTAGAGACATCCTTCCAGTTTGTTGTCTTGTCACTAAGGTCGTATCTAGTTCTCAGGAGAGACAATCAGAGCCACATATTCAGAGGACAACGAGGTCAATGAAGAATGGAGAGGCGTTGAGGGCAAACTTGTTGACTTGCAAGACTTACGGATATCCTGAAGGAAAAGGGACGAGAGCTCCACCGGCATAGTCAGACGGATTAGGTGATCCGGCATCCCATTGGTAAGACAGACCAGAAGTGGTATAGACGCCATATTGTAGGTTCATATATTCGAGAAAGGACGACGAGTATCCTGCGTAGCTTGCATTCTGAAATGCTGACGGAGCGGAAAACGTGCGATATGCGACAGTTTGGTTCGAGTAAGGGCCAGATAATTGATATGTGTACTCCTCCTTGCCGGCCTGACTTCCGAGGTAGTAAAAGGACCACATGATGATCAAGCCAACACTGATCGAGTCGAACACCCGTAAAGATAGTGTGGAGCGCAATGTGCTGATCATAGACATGCTCGCCTGGTATTGCTCTAGCCTCGCCACGTACTCTCCTTTCTCTGCTCTCCACAACGCTAGTCGTTTCAAGAAGGTTGTGAAGATCAAGACGAAGACAATAGTGAAGGCGGTTGCGAGCTGGCCATTGAAGCGAATGAGATACGTGGTCAGCATGCTGACTTCGTCTACGAAATAGGCGGAGTGCCAACTGTCTCGATGCTCCGCCCATAGACACAAGCCGATCTTGACCATCAATACAATAGGAATTAGGCACAGGCCAACATCGTACAAATCCAGTAAAATTTCGTAGAATCGATTGTTGGCTAGTGGTTTGGGATCGGAAGGCCAAGCTGTGGGAATCGATGTGTCTTGCCGGAAGGTCGGTAGCGACGTATTGGAGTTGTTGAGCTCTCTCATCTGCACAAACCCAGTTTCTTTGATTGGCATGACGGGCATGGTGATAGATTGCCGCCCGCCAGTACACCAGAGACAAAATCCGCAGTAAAAAGGGACAATCGACGATAATGAAGTTCAGCGCAATTCTCATAGAAGATGTTCGAGAAGCCAGGCCAAAGAACAAGAACCAGAAAAGAAACAAGGCCAATCCATTTCTTTAAAGCTAGTCGACGACCGCACGACCATCTTGCGGTTATCCATCACCAGCAGGAACTCCGATAAAGTGGCGGTAGTCGAGGCTGGCTGCAGCAAGACAAGAGCATTTGCTTGATGTTCTTTTGGGAAGCCGAATTTAAAGCCATGTCGTTTTCGGGATGATGTGATACCCGTGTGGAAAATAGAGATACCGCATGAGCGACTGGATTCAGCCACTGCAGGGCTCATTTACCTTTTGAGGCCACAACAGGGCCTATCCACCCCGCCTAGTGCTGGCACGCGCAAGCCACAACCTACCCGATGATATTCGCATCCCTTTTCTTGAGCGCAAGCTCGCCTTGCCCTCAAGCATGGCGTCTCGAGGTCGTTGAGACAAGCTTTCTTTCGCCCTTCATGCCCGAGCGCCCTGGAGCCTCTCGACACGATCAAGGTTTCGGTTGAATAGACGATGAGAGTAGGCATGGGCGCGACCACGTGGTGCGCCTCGGCTTGGAAGTCCAGTTCGAAGTCTGCAGCACTCGGAGCCCGATGCAGGATTGGGAGAGTCTGATTCTGAGGTTATTGGTCATTAGATCCCTCTAATGGCCACAGGAGGTTGCGGGCTCGAAGTGGCGGTTTGGAATCCGATAAGAATAGGGGAATGAGCGAGGGGAGAAGCGGCGAGGCCGAAGAAGGGTGGAGGGACGGAAGGTATTCCGACTGGTATAACAAGCCCGCCGTAGACAAATTGCATATCTGGTCCTAATACTCCGTCGATCATGAAATTCGAAAAAGTTCCCTCTAGAAAAGCATCTCGTGGGGAATACTCAATATATTGTGAATTCCCTTTAGATAACTGTGAGCCCTAAGATGGCAGCTTTTGGAGGACAGACGCCCACGATCATCGTGCTCAAGGAAGGTCAGAAAGCCCCTCAACCAACACCATCCCTCGACATGATTTGTTCCGTGCGTTTACTCACACCACTCGTGGCATTCAGGCACCGATGCCTCTCAAGGCAAACCCCAGGTAATTTCCAACATAAATGCCTGTCTCGCCGTGCAAAGTACAATCAAAAGCACCCTCGGCCCTTACGGTGGTGACTTACTCCTCGTCGACGCCAACGGAAAACAAACAATTACAAATGATGGTGCGACGGTAATGCGCCTGCTTGACATAGTGCACCCAGCTGCCAGGATCTTAACGGACATAGCCCGGAGTCAAGATGCAGAGGTGGGTGACGGAACGACCTCCGTCGTTGTGTTGGCAGGAGAAATATTGAAGGAAGTAAAAGAGTTGGTTGAGCAAGGCGTTTCGACGCAGACCATTGTCAAGGGATTGAGGAGGGCCAGCGCAATGGCGATCAATAAGATCAAAGAGATTGCCGTGAATGTGGACGACGGGACAAATAAGAGAGAGACACTCCGGAAATTGGCGGCCACTGCGATGAGTAGTAAACTTATTCACCGAAATTCAGGTTTCTTCACCAAGAGTAAGTTTCACTCTATCACGCCAACACGGGAGGCGCCAGTGTCTGGGCTTGCTGACAATGAGGAAACTGTATAGTGGTCGTCGACGCAGTCCTAAGCCTCGATCAAGAGGACCTGAACGAGAAGCTCATCGGCATCAAGAAAATCACCGGCGGCGCATTGGAAGACTCTCTCTTTGTGGATGGCGTTGCCTTCAAGAAGACCTTCTCCTACGCCGGCTTTGAACAACAACCGAAGTCTTTCAAGAATCCTAAAATCGTGTGCCTGAACGTCGAGTTGGAGCTAAAGGCAGAGAAAGACAATGCAGAGGTACGGATCGATCAGGTGTCCGAATACCAGGCGATAGTGGACGCCGAGTGGCAGATCATATATGACAAGATGGAGGCACTATACAAGACAGGCGCGAAGGTGGTCTTGTCGAAACTGCCAATCGGCGATTTGGCAACGCAGTACTTTGCGGATAGAGATATCTTTTGTGCGGGTCGTGTCTCCTCTGACGATTTGGAGCGTGTATGCCAGGCCACCGGGGCTGTCACACAGAGCACCTGCAGCGACATCCTGCCGGCGCATTTGGGGACGTGTGGCCTGTTCGAAGAGCGCCAAATTGGTGGTGAGCGGTACAACCTGTTCAGTCACTGTCCGGAGGCCAAGACATGCACGTTGATTCTGAGAGGGGGAGCCGAGCAGTTCATTGCCGAAGTTGAGCGGTCGCTGCACGATGCTATCATGATTGTCAAGCGAGCCTTGAAAAATCATACCATCGTCGCCGGTGGCGGTGCCACCGAAATGGAAATTTCCGGGTACTTGCACAGATTTGCAGACAAGAACGTGCCTCACAAGCAGCAGGCGGTAGTGAAGGCCTTCGCAAAGGCCTTGGAGTGCATACCTCGTCAGTTGTGTGACAACGCGGGTTTCGATGCCACAGATATCCTCAATCGACTACGGGTGGAACACAGAAAAGGGAATACCTGGGCAGGGGTGGACTTTGATCACGAAGGTGTGCGGGATAACATGGAAGCCTTCGTCTGGGAACCTGCCTTGGTCAAGGTGAATGCCGTCTCGGCAGCTGTGGAGGCCGCATGCCTGATTTTGAGCGTCGACGAGACCATCAAAAACGAGGAGAGTCAAGGTCCGCAAGCGCCCGCGAGAGGCTTGCCACCCGGTGCCGCCCAGCGAGCATTGAGAGGAAGAGGGAGGGGGATGCCGAGACGGTGAAGAACTCAAGGTCTAGACACTGCTGCATTTGGACATTGGGAGTTCGCAGATCCAACGGCATCCCACTGAGCGGGAATTGAAAAACGGTCCACGCATACAGTCCTGCGGCGCAGGAACATGAGTACCTATGAAGAACGAAAAAAGAGTCCACGCATGATACCACTAGATATCCGGCTTCTCTCGGCAACTGGACACGAGGTATTGCCATCACGAAACAAATCTCAAGATATCCACCATCGAGCTGACGGAGTTCTCGGTCTCTGTGACTTCTTTCAGTGCTGGCCGCAGCAGTTGCTGCTCGTTTCCACCGCAAACGATGCAGATACGGAAAATCAAGCACTGCAATACCGAGATACGTAACTACTCTTGAGCGGATGGAGCTCAGATGAGTGTAATGATCCGGAGAAGATCTGAGGCCCATGAGTGACTGATGTGTCATGACATCGAGTCGGTATTATTAGAAGAGAGGTCGCGAAGCCTTGCTGTACCTGATCACGGGCGAGACTGCAAGGATGGCCGTCAGCCTCGTCAACATATCTGCTCAAAAGGACCAGGAGCCAACATCGTCAATCAAGTGATATCTACTCAGGACTCGGTACAGAGCCATGAGAGCTTACCTTCAACTCACTGTGGCGTCGGAACCACTCGTGAGGCGCCGGAAAAATTGACTCGCTTCTGTAAGCCACTTCACTAGGCGATATATAAGGGGGTCTCCTGTACTTTTGCTCATTGATCGTATCGGCGGCCTGTGCCCCTGGTCCACCTGCCTGGTGAAACGAGAGGGGAAGACCTGGTACTTTGGCCCTAATCTCGTTATAATATGTCTCCTGGTAAGGACTGCTGCTTGTGGAACATCAAAGTAGGGCAATCTTGCGCCTCACGTGTTGGACACGTTTGGATTCTTTCGTCAGCCACAAGTTTGAACCTTACACATGAGAGCAGTGGCTAAGCGTTCGTGATCATCGCGGGAACGCCGATCCCATCGAGGTCTTGGTCTCATTCCCGTGGCTTTTTTGAGGTTGCAAAGCCCGAACAAGAACCCGCGTAGAATGGCATTGGGTCGTGTTGGGCACAGACACCGCCTCATTGGGTGTTCCATTAGACCGGGTACACCAGAGGGTGCGGGGATATGATCGGTGAGGGCTGCAGCTTCCCATTGCAGCGGAGCTGTACCTATTCTGTCATCGCCTTCGGGGTCATAGAAGACAGTCAACACCTGAATTGGCTCCCAGCTCGTATTGCCGGTGCAGAAAGCTTCATGATTGACGGGAGCTGCATGGAAGCTGACCCCAATCCCCCTCAGCCCTGAGGTATATAGCCAATCAAGCAAAAGTGAGTGACAGATCAGTGTTTGTGGCGGGCTGATCTCAAATGCAGGGAAAGAGCTTTTTGAGCAGCAGTCAACGGTGACTGTCCCCAGAGCGTTTGCTGATGCTGCGTCGAGGGCAGAGCTGGACGGCGGACAGGCCCTCGTGGGGAGGAAGATGCACGCTACGTGGACTACTGTTTGATTATGAGTAAGAGCCTCTTATCGCTGGCATGGACAGACGAGGAACGAATGAATGGTACTAAGTGCAGCTTCTCAGCTCTAGCGATCATAGAAGATTGTACTGGGACTGAGGCATTCTTCAGGTCTTGCGGTACTTGTAATGTTATCACGGGTCATTGAAACGTCTTGGGCATATTGGTTCGGTATTGCTAGCTGCAGGGGTCCAGGGATAGCTTTCGGCGGAAGAAGGGTGTTTCAGATACTATTCCCGTTGTGTGGTAGACGCAGTTGGAAAGGAGGACGGGGAGGGCTGGACTCGTCGAAAATGCACCCTGACCAAATCCCCACCAACCGAGGCCGCAGGGTTCAGAAAGAGGGAAAGGGACCTAAGCCATAACATTCGTCAGCTGGTTCGTGCATGTTCGGGAGTGTGGTGGTGTCAGTGGTGGTGGTAGTGGTAATGGCAGTGGACAGGAACAGAACATGGGGCATCGGGAAAGAGTTGGTGGAAGCGCAGGCTGCGTGGCATCATGGAAACTTCGAGCTCATCGACCACACTGCCACCTTCAGCAGCCTTGATCCATCATTCACCATCCGCACTTGCCTGCATCAATATCTTGTTCTCCGTAATCTCTTGGTTGACCCTGGTGACCCTCCTCGCGTGTTTGACTCGGCTAATACGAACACACGTCAACCACCCCCCCCGCTCCACCTTTTCGATAGACTAAGAACGAGTTCCCGAGCACCGGACGCCGCCCAATTCGATCTCGAACCTCAAATTCGTCTTACAAACCGGCGTCAAAAACATCTTCTCCTCGATCGTCGCCTCTATTCTTCCACCTTCAAAAGCAATCTCCTAGACCACCATCGACATTCACACGACGACTTGACATTCTCACCTTCTCTGCCTATCGAGCTCGTTGGCAGCTATGTCTTTCTATCCTGGGTCTGGCGGCTACGGTGCGCAACAGCACGGTGGCTACGGCTACCCTCCTCAATCACACTCACCACAACCATATCCACCCCAAGGTTACTCTCAAGGATATCCTCCTCAATCACATTCTCCCCAGCCATATCCTGCTCAAGGGTACGGAGCTCCTGGTGGTTACGGGCAACCTCCACCGCAGGTTGCTCCGTACGGCTACAACAACCCTCCTCCACCACAACAAGGCGGGTATGGCGGGTATGGATCTCCTCCTCCTCAACCAAATGGCTATCCAGGTATGCTTGATTCATGCTCTCAAGGTGGAATCAAGTTGCTGACCGTGTACAGGCCCTCGACCAGGCATGCCTTCTTATGCCAACAATTCTTACGCACAAGGCAACCATCAAGCGCCTCCTCCCCCTCCCACAGCGCCACAACGGTTCGGCCACGGAGCTCCTCCTGAATATAGCTTCCAGTACTCCAACTGCACAGGAAAACGCAAGGCACTGTTGATAGGCATCAATTACTTTGGACAGAGGGGCCAACTCCGAGGTTGCATCAACGATGTCAAGAATATGTCCACCTATTTGAACCAGAACTTTGGCTACGCGAGAGAAGACATGGTGATCTTGACCGATGATCAACAAAACCCGATGTCACAGCCTACGAAAGCCAACATACTCCGAGCTATGCACTGGCTGGTCAAAGACGCTCGGCCCAATGACTCGCTGTTCTTCCACTATAGCGGTCACGGCGGCCAGACACCCGACCTGGACGGAGACGAAGAGGATGGCTACGACGAGGTCATCTATCCTGTGGATTTCCGGACGCAAGGGCATATCGTGGACGACGAAATGCATCGTATCATGGTCAAACCACTACAACCCGGTGTCCGGCTCACCGCCATTTTCGACTCGTGTCATTCTGGATCCGCCCTCGACCTTCCGTATATCTATTCGACTCAAGGAGTCCTCAAAGAGCCCAACTTGGCCAAGGAAGCTGGTCAAGGCCTTTTGTCGATTGTTTCATCATATGCTCGTGGCGACTTAGCGGCATGGCCTCATCCGCAATGGGCCTGTTCAAGAGGGCTGCCAACGGAAACAACGTGTACGAACGAAACAAGCAGACCAAAACAAGCCCTGCCGACGTCATCATGTGGTCTGGCAGCAAAGATGAACAGACTAGCCAGGACGCCAACATTGGAGGCGAAGCCACTGGAGCCATGAGCTGGGCTTTTGTGACCGCGCTGAAGAAGAATCCCCACCAGAGCTACGTGCAACTGCTGAACAGCATCCGCGACGAATTGGCCTCAAAGTATACGCAGAAGCCTCAGTTGAGCTGTTCACACCCACTGAGTGAGTTCTCATTAATCATCTCTGTGCTTCGCATTTGACTGACTTTGCATTTCTTCAGACACCGACCTTCTCTATGTGATGTAAACGGATGATATTGATACCCGGGGAGTCATGGAAGCCCTTATTGATTTTTTCCCAATTCGATGGGAGGCCGAAGCGCAATGGGCGCTCTTTTTTCTGTACAGCATGACATGGAAATTTGTTGGGACGAGGCTGCAAGTGTTGCACGGTAGATGCACCCGAATTTTGCCTCGCCTGCGAATAATGTAGGGCAATGAAAAAGTCGGCCGTTACAGCCTCGTTGTGATCGTATTCGCAAAATGTCGCAGGGTCATGCGTGAATAAACGAAGGCTCCAGTGAACATGGAATGGACAGCCGTGCAAGCCGAGAGCCCTTAGATGTGACCCAAGATTGTCGGTTGATGTGTGTGACCCGGTACCTACTCCCTATTTCCTGGCAATGATGTGCCCCCTAGGTTTGGCTTTTGATAGAGTCATCCGAGGCAGCTTCGGGGCGTCATTGGTAGCCAGCTGGCCCTTGAACCCTCCCGCACTTGCAGGGGGCTAGTCTATTTCTAGGCGTCGGCAGGGCTGCTCTCTGCCTGGATGCCTTCTAGAAACTGGGCACGTGGTGCAACCTCCCCAGCCAAGTCACCTCACTGCGCCGGTGGGTGCGACAGTGCGGCATATGGCGTATCTGCCATCGCTCAACCCTGTCCCTCGACATCCATTCAAACTGCCTGCACGACCCTCACGCCCCCGTCTTCCAAGACTTTGGTGATCTTGGTATATACCCAGGTCTGTGTCTGCCTGTTGCGCCAGTTCATCTTCAAAGCCTTCTCTAGCCTCCGGTGCGTCAACCACGATGACACGCACTGATACCGCATCTCCGCCGCCATGAAGCCCGATGTTCCTCCATCATACGAAAGCGCAGTCAGTCGCGAGGCATGGACCATTATCGCTCCCTGGATTTCCTCCAGCGACCTGTGCTCGGCATGCCTGGTGTCGCGCAAATGGTACTCTATCTTCGTGCCTTTCCTCTGGGGCGATCCTGCTTCCCACTTTGGGATTCAGAATGACGCCGTCTACGTCGCCCTTACCCGCTTCAAGCGATCCCTACGCAAAGCAAGATTAAGTGTGAGAAGCCTCACTCATACGCTACATCTCCCGCCGGCTCTTAGCGAAATCTACGGAGGCCCCAATCCTACGTGGTTGCGAGACGTCCTCGAATTCCTCCCCAACCTCCAAAGCCTCATTGTCACAAAGTTGCCATTCTTTGACCACCATAGCCTCAATGCATTGAGGAATTCAAGCGCCGGCAGAAGACTGTCCAATGAAGAAACAGATATCTTTCCCACATACGGCCTCAAGTTACTGCTGGCCTCAAGTGAGCCAAACACAACGTCTTCCTCGCTTGCGAATGCGCTACCAAGATTTCCAAGTCTGGTTTACCTTGATCTGTCCTACACATCGCCCGCCCGAGATGCTGCAGTTCTCATAGCCTTATCATACCTGCCAGATCTCCAAGTCCTGAAGTTGCGGGGGGTTGGTCTTAAAGATGGGGAGGCCGAGGTCCTTGCCAATGCGATTGGGATCCGTGTTCGATTGCTTGACCTCCGAGACAACCTCTTGACCGATATGGCTGTGCGATCATTGATGCAGGCATGCTTTCTGCCCTCGGATGCTGCACAGTCAAGGTACCTCAATGTAGAGGATTGGCCGGTAGGCATGGCTCCTGGGCCGGATTTCTTCAGCCTGGATACCCTCCGGAGCGAGGAACTCGACCACGAGTTGCTCAAGCAGCTCACGAGGCCCCTTACTGGAAGACTAGCCTTCGAGGACATTCCTCACCGAGGCCTGACCCATCTGTACATTTCCGGCAACCGGCTATCTGTGGAAGGCCTGTCAAGTTTGCTGAAATCGGAACGCCTCCATATTCTCGACGGAGGTTCGGTCGACACGGTCAAGACTATCGCACGGACTCAATCGCTTTCTTCCCCGACAGGCTATATCGATGAAGTCCGCTTCCCAGGTGCCGAGAAGCTTATCCCTGTCCTTGCAACGTCTGCCAGCAAGAATTTGACCTACCTTCGCGTTGACCATACACTGGTTACTGCAAAGTTTGAACCCGGTCCGGCAGTCGTCAAACCAAAAGCATCTTCGGTCGAACTTGCCGGGTCTGCGCCACTTGCTGCTGAGCTTCCCGCTCAAGGAAGACAGATAGTAGAAGCCCCGGCCCCTGCCCATTATGCGGTCGAAATGGCAGTTCCCGATCAAGTTTTTGAACTGGATGCTACTCCGGCACCACCACGAGCCGAGCTGATTGGTGACGTGATATACTTTGCCCTCAGCCCTCCAATTGGAGACAAGCCAGAGGAAGCAAGCCCTGTCATCGAAAACCACAGTCCGATCAGAGGCGAAGGCCCCTTCGCTCCAGAGGTAGTCAACGGTGCTGCGGATGATCACGAGAACGAAGATCGTGCCACAGTCGCGGACTCGGAGATCTCTGATGAGACTGGAACGCACAGCACAACGAGATCAATCCTCTCTCCCGTGTCTCCCATGACGCCTCACCCCAATACCATTACCTTTCAACCACTAGTACCGCCGCCTACGCCAAAGACTAGGGCTGCGCCAACGTCAGCTCCAACCAAGGCGGAAAGTCCGACCTCAGCACTCCCAGCGACTCCTGCGTCACGCCCGCGTGCATCTCTCTCAACAACTCCAGCAGCATTGCACCAGCGTCAGGCTCGGATAGAAGCACTGCTTGCCAAGCGACCTCCGGGATTGACCTCCAAGACAAACCACCCAGGTTTGGACATTCCGAAGATCACGGTGCAGAATCTGACCAGTCTCCACCCCGCTGTGCTTCCCAATCTGAGAACCCTGATTCTCACCGATGTGCCTATCACAGTGCCGAAATCGTCCCCTGTGATCCCTGCACTCAAGGCTTTCATATCTGCCTGCGCTGATGAAGCAGCCCTTGCTCGCCTCCTCGCCAGGACGGACTATTCTCTGCCACCCGGTCGGGCCCGTCATATTGCCGAATTAGAACACGCACGGTCGCTCTTCGCTCTCCGCACGATCATTCTGGAGATGGAGGATCCCACCATTCCGAATGCCACTGAGCAGCGCAAATGGCAGCATTCTCGTCAGCGTATCAGCATGAGCAAATCCTCGACAGGCGACCGGGATAGTGAAAATCTTTGGTCTGCAGCAGAGAATGACTTCAGCTTCTTCGGAGAAGAAGGCGAAGAACAGGCAGAATGTGGCATCTACCAGCATGACCCGGAGAAGTATTTTCCCACCGCGCATTTTGATGACAAGATTTTGCTGGGTCCCGAAGACAATCCACCAGAAAGTGGCTCGAGCAGTCCACACGGGAGCCTCCACGGGTATGGGACATTGTCTCCATTCATGATGAATTATGGTGGTTCCACCGGGACACTAAGAAGCCCGAGGAATTTACCATTGGGTCGGAATCGGAGAAGCTCGAATGAATCGCAGCGGAATGGGACCACCCGAAGTCTCTTGACCGAGATGCAAGGCGCACCAGTATCGCCCGTTTTTATGAATGGCAGGTTGCGCCCGCAGTCGAGAGATTCGATGCTTCCCCCGACTTCCAATCCCGTCCAGCAGCAGGAAGATGAACCGAAAGTCGATGTCATCGCCGAAGTCGCTGCGTGGCGAAAAGAGCGGAAGAAGGCCTACGAAGATGAATTGGCGCGGTACCGAATGGGCCGTGGAGGTGGTGGCGCAGGTAGATCGAATAGCTTCACCAACCAAGGGAACGGACGCTCGTCGTCATCTACTCCGCGAGGCTATGGATATGGCTACGACCATGGTGCTGGACCAGGTTCGCTCGCGTACGCACATGCATACACGAATGGGAATTCACCGGCCAAACAAGGGAATGAAACACCGTCCGGCAACTCAACTCATGGTGAGATTAACGACCTCGACATGACGTTCGTCGAAGGACACTGGAAGGGAGAGATCAAGGTGATCAGGAATGCGACACCAAAAGGTCGAACAGGTGTGGTGGATATGTATGGAAACTATTTCGAGAAGGGGTATCTGTATCCCTGAGAGGACGTTGGCCATGAACAGCAGAGTGGAAGCGTTCTCGTGCGGTTCATGCCGATTTACTTTGAGTTGCGATTTTTGATGAGGGACGACAATATACTTCTACGAGCGTGGCGTTTAGGTGTCTGCTGGGCCTTTGTCTGCAACACGATGTCTATGTACGATATATGTGTATATCAGTAGATACCATTACTTCAGGCATCACGACCGAGGTCTAAACGATAAAAGTTGCCATCCTTCACCTCCTTATGAGACGCACCAGACTGACGAGATGATTATCTGTACCATTCGGACACAATCAACAGGTCTGTCAGCAATTGCCTGTGCAGGGGAAACGTTCCCGGCCATTGGGGTTCATCTGTGTGGCAGTGCTGAAAAACGGGGAGCTACAGCCTCGCGCCCACGTCTTAGACTTTCTTACCTCCTTTCGTCGAGGTTGGTGTAAAATTTGGTAGAGAAATCCACGTCTGCCACCTCAGGACATTGGCAAACAGCAAACTGTAGAATTGGGGTAACAGCCATATAATATCTATTTAGCTAGCTGGCTAGCGACATGAATAGCTTAGCTAGGCCGGGCAGCGAAGTAGGTACCTAACTATCAAATACACAAGCCCGTGGTGTGTATAGACAGGCCCATAGCTCTCTCAGTAACGTACACGATATCCGCCCCACCCCGTTGCGCAAAAGATAACTGAGGAGTTCACTCGATGTATCATGGTATCATCTTGCTTGACAAAAACAAGATAGCATAGCTCAATGTCATGAAAAGGTGCGCACGTGTTGTCGTCACCGTGCGCAGAACTGGAAATCAGAATGCCGTCCGCCCTCCATATAAAATCCTTGTGCTCTGTACAAATGCAAGGGGGCATAATAGCTCCCTGCGGTGCCATTCCCCGTGTCTCGGCGCCATTGCGCCAAACAGTCGGTTGCTGGAACTCTCTGTCCCAGAAGGGGCCATCGTGGTGGATATCATGAGGTGAGGCCATATCGCATCATTAGATCTCCATCTCCGGTGTACATTACCCGATTGTTTGTTTCCTTTGCCGAGCATCTCTCGCGTTGTTACCCGTCTGTCTGTTTGTCTGTCTGTCAAAATATGTCATACGACAACCTGCCTCTGTGCCGTCTCGGTGACGGCCATAGGCATGGCACATTGCGGATTCAGCTTTTTCAGGCTCATATTAGTATTGGTGAACAGCTTGTTCTTGTCCTTCTCTCTGATGGTCTTTCTCGGCTTCGACTTTGCAAGATCAACGTCAGGCACGCAGTCCCCACCGAGCTTGCCTTTGCTCTCGGGAGAAACTTCCTCTGCGGCCTCCCGCTGTTTTGATTGTTGCAATGGCCAAGTCTTGCTGGAACTCATCTGATACAACTGCGGCGTCGGTGTCGTATCTTGGTCTCTTAAGCTCTCGAGATGGGTCTTGTCAGCCTTGTTCGAATCTCCGAATTCTAGGTTGTCATCGTGGCCATGCTCTCGGGTTCGGACAACGTCTGCTTGGCTAAAATACGGCGACTCTTCACTCGTAGAGTGATACACCAGCGGATTTTCCGCCAATGGCGGTCCCCCAAAGCGCTCGCCTAGGCAGCGCAGGATGGCGACAAAATACTGGTGGAGGAATGTGAAGATGTTCTCATCACCTACGATCTCGGCCAAGCTACGCGGCGTAGCTTGTCCAACACGCCGGGGGTGGCCATCCGGGTCGACCGAGCGGGCAGTCAAGAAGGAAGACACCGGAGTGTAGTTCCTTGCGGTCGATTTACCGCTCGCGTCCAGCGACTCGGCTTCTTTTTCTTCTTTGCACCGCTGCTTCTGGGCGGCTGCCTCAATCCCCTTGGCCATCCGCGCGAACGATTCCCAAAGCATGGGACATGCTTCAAACGCGCGAGCAGCATCCTTGCCAGCTAAAGCGAGGAAGGCGTAGGCGCGCCGTCGGCCTCGGGCCTTTGGGTCGGTGAGCCGGAAGACGTACGCAATGGTATAGCCTGTGTTCGAATCCCCAAAGCAGAGAGGGCCGTCCGACATGCCTCGGGGAAGGAGTTCACAGGATAGAGTCCGAATCACCGAGGCACGCAGTTGCGCATAGCTCTCCCGGTCGGCGGGAGATTTGGCGGTCAGGTATGTCAGGGTGTGGTCATGACAGTCGTCGGACCGATGAAACTGTGGATGCGATGTCGTGTGGGAGGATTCAGATGACATGACCGATGAGCTGTAGGAGGACGGTTTGGACTCGTCCGAGACGATCAGACTGCTATTCCTTCTCCTCTTCTCTCGGAGACAGACAAATTCTCTTGATCTCAGCACGGGCGCCCCTGTATTGACGTTATTTTGGTTGCTCTCCCTCTTGCTTCCGGGTGCGCCGACAGGGAGCTTTTCTGCGACAGCATTGGGGACAGAGAAACTGCAGCTGGCACAGGTTTCGTCCTGGTTCCGACCATATCGCCACTGGGAGGAGAGCGTCCGTGCCTGGTCAACCGTCTGAAAGAGAGGGTGCTTCTCAATGGTCGGGCTTTCAAGTTCTGTTTCCGAGTCGATCACGGTAGATGCACCGGATAATTCGGTCGGCCAGGTGGAATTCGTTTCGGTTTTTCTCAGGGTCGGCGGTGTCTGGAGGCTCTGTGAGGATTCAGGTGAAGAATTGTGGACTTGGGTGGCAAGCGATTCGGTGGACGACGAAGGCCTCAGAGGAGGGGATGGTGGGAGGCATAATGCACATTCCAACGGCAGGACTTGTGTGCAGAGAACAGACTTGGGGCCATGCGCCTCGCAGAAATGGGTGAGCGCGAGCTGGAAAGGGAGCATTAGTTGATGTTGAGCCAGCGAGCAGAACAGGCCTCGTGCGGCAGCGGTGGAGAGTACGAGGCAAGAGTTGTGGTGGTATAATACTTACGGTGAAGTCCATTGTATCCCTCTTCGCCTTCTCTTTCGTTCTTTGTGTCTCTTTCTCTCAACCTAGCCGCAAACTCTGCTACAGTCTGAGGAGGTGGACGTTGCACATGTTTCGGTTTGCCAGGCGGTCGCAGAGGGCTGAGGCGGGGCCAGCCATGAGTGCCTGTGTTGGAGGGCAGTCGAGTGTCGTGACAGAGAGGGAGAGGGAGAGAGATCACTTCTCCTCAAGGGCGCAAGCAAAGTGTGCGTCGCAACCTGGTCGTCGATTGGTTGAAGACGGCAATCAAAGGGAGGGCGAGAAAGAGCTCGTGTGCTCGATCAAAGGGAGAGAAGAAACCTAGCAACGTAACAGTTCGACTGGAACCGCGGGTCCGCAACGTGTGTGTGGAGATTTGGCGGACTGGCACTGCAAAATGTGAGATGGAGCTCGATGAGGATGTGGGATTGAGAACAATTACAACAAAGATGGTTGCCAGCGACACAGACAGAAGAAGATATCACTTGCAACGAGCTGCGATGTTTGTCATCGGTGAACAAGTGAATAAGTGAGGCAGCGATGATGGTCTGGCCTTTTTGGCGGGCTACCGGGGGGCCCTTCAGGCGCAGACCGCCACTTGCGATGGATTCTAGGCATTCGGCCGCCATCCAATCAGCCTGGAGCCGATGACAGAGTCTTGGGCGATGTGGGCGATCCAGGCAACTGGGGGCGATGCCGCTGCGAGTAATAAATCCGCTCAGCCATTCGTCACGATTCGCCAGCTCATCCGTCGCTGGCCTAATGCACCGTTCGGCGCAGCCTACTCATGCGAGACAGGTACAGGCGAGCACGAGCTATTCGTTCTGCTCGTGTCAGTACCCCAGCTGCTCGGTTCCATGGTCATTCAGAATGCGTGTTATTTTGTTTGGCTGCTGCCGCCACCCTTCTTCATGTGCATTTCCCTCTTCGCCCAGTCCGTTTTGAACCTTCCGTCTGTCGTTGCTTTTGGCACCACCAGTGCCACACCGTGAGTCTGTTCCTGGATTTCATGCACCTGCAGTTCGGCTGCAGTGATAAGAGTGATCGTCCTTTGGAGAATGTCGATCTCCTGCACCAGGGCGAGCCCCAGGCATCGAGAACCCTCCGCCGAAAACGGAAAGGAACTTTCCAGACGGCCGTAATCTGCCCAAAGCGGCAGATCCTCCTCCGTCCGACATATCCCGGCGCGATCGCTGTCGTCGCTGACATCACATGGCACTTTTGTGGCCAGCACAGCAACCATACTTCCTTCTAGGGCATCGTACGTGTCCTCAGGCGCAACACGGCCGCCCAACAGAATGATTGCCAATATGTTTGCGGCATTACCACTGTACGTTAGGGTCATAGAGTGAGACGTTGTCACTAAGACCGGCGTGTCAACCCAGTAGGGGCGATTGATAGGTGCGTCTCTCAGATGGAAGTATGACTGCATTTGAAGGTCATGCTCCCGCACTGGAGATATCTTGTCAAACACCTGAGCCGGAATCTGGTGAATACGACAATTCCCCGTTTCTGCTAGTGGTCTCCAGGGCTCTAAATGGGGCGATCCGGGAGTAGAGTCAACACAAACAATGTCCGTGAGGGCCAGCTTTGCCCAGAGCTTGCTCGCCGTGGCGTTGTCGATGTCGTTGAGCCACTTGGGACATGTCACGAGGACTGGTGCACCCTCGAATTCGCCACGACACTTCTGTTCAACATCCAGTAAATCAGAGACGCGATCAATGTGCCAATTGACCACACCTCTTGTGTCTAGATCACCAAGAAAATGCTTTGCCAACACCCGACTGGTTCCTCCTCGGTAGGCTGGCAGGATGTTGGCGAACGCTGGGCCAAAAACGGGGTTTGCAATGTGCACCAGGCTAATCATGCCCGGAGGAGCAAACTCTGGCGTGTTCGTGTCCAAATCCACCAACATGACTCCTTTTGGGTGAGTAATATCTGGTCGGGCAGATTCTTTGGCAAGAAGTCGGTTGAAGACACACCGAACCAAAGTCGAAAGTCCAGAGGAACGTTTGCCGCATACCAAGACTCTTTGTGGCTTGCTTGTGTCAGCGCCGGGAAATTCGGCCATGAGCGATTTCCAGTAGGCAGTGTCCAACTCCTTCAGACGTCTTGGAGCCTTCGGGTCTTGTTCGAAAGAATGGCCCAGCACATAGAAAGATGCCGCCGATGGCTTGACACCGAATGGGGTCCACATCCCTCTGAATCCGACTTTTGGAAGATCTCTGACCCCGTCATTGAGAGATTCAACTTGGATTTCGGCACTCGAGCTCACGGCCTCAATCGGCGGAAGTGCATGTGAAGCAGGGGCATAGACACGGTACATGGCCGTCGTGGCAGTAAGAATCGCGCCGTAGAGGGACACGGATCCGTGCTTCACCCACAGCGTGTATGTTCCCAACACAACACATTTCTGAGAGAGTCAGTACGACTTTGCAATGTCCACTTTGATCATACCTGGCCTCGCGAGAGTTTGATCTTGACAGATCGGTCGGTCAATTGCTCGATTTCTCGAGTCGAGCTAAAATGGACGGCAGAAGCTTCAACCAGCGTTGCAAACGGATTTGGAGTCTGGATCCCCTCATCTTCCGAGGAATTGGCATTGCCCACAGGTTGGTCAATAGATGGAGCCTCGCTCAGACTGGCTTTGGATACTGGTGAAGGAGTGACTTGGCTGGGACTCGACGCAGCCTCCTGCACATCCCGCAACAGTCGCCGCCTCGCGACTGCGCTGAGTCTTCCACCATCTGTTCCCCGGTCAGCATGCTCTAGACCTATGTTAAGGAGTTCTTGACGTACTAGCTGGCATAAAATGTGTTGATAAAGAGAGAAGAATCACTGGACACACATTCACTGCAGGAAAACCCCTCTAGCAGGCTTTTCCATTAACGCATTAGCTCCGGCTGTATCCGAAAGTCTATTTGGTGCCTCGCCGATCCACTTCAATTTTCTCCAACTTTTTTTAATTTCTGTTGTTCATCGACGAGGTACACTTTGCATATTTGTCTGGTTGCCCACTAATTCGACAGTCATGGGGAAGGCAGTCGACGCGGCACCAAATAATGCGCTGAGTGAAGAACACGTTTATGATTCGAGCGACGAGGACGAAAGTGAATCGTCGTCGCCGCAGGAAACTCGGAAATCAAAGTCGAAAGCATCTCAATCGAAGCCTGTAAATGGCGTCAAGACTGCATTGAAAATGGCCAGCCGGAATCTCCCATCTTCAACCGGGTCATCTTCCGCAGCAGCATCAGATAACGACACCGACGAAGACGAGGACAGAGGCGAGAAGTCAAGCGACGGAGAAGACGAGGATGAAGACGAGGAGGATGATGACTCAGATAAGGAGTCAGCATCAACCCCGAGTTCTTCACCCAGTCGAAAGAGACTATCCTCAGGAATTCCAGAGACTCCCTCAAGCAAAAGGCCTAAGACGACCACGCAAGATAAAGTCAGCATCCCTCCCAAACCCTTCCAACGGCCCAAAGGCTACGAACCGCTCACGTGGTCGGCATCGGACCACGTGTCCGACATGGACCTTTTCGACGACTTGTCCAATAAACAAATCTGGCACATATCTGTACCCAGTTTTGTCTCCATCGACTCCATCAAAGAGCTCGATATCGAAGCGGTGCTGCGAGGACAACCGATCCTGAGTCGGAATGGCGTCGACTACGGCATGAGTCCCCTCCCGTCCAAGGACGAGATCATCCTCCTGCCGCACGGCACCCGCGGGAAGTACAAGCAATGCGCCCGGAAGATCGAAAGGAGTTTCCACATGCGGGAGGTCAGCGTGGCCAAGTCCAGATCTCAGTCCCAGGCAGATACGCCGGTGGTCTTTACAGCGACGCAGCACGGTGCCCCCAAACATATCCGAAAACAGCCCGAAGGACTCAAGATGCGATATGTGCCCTATGGAGTCTCGCCGTCACCGGGAGATAAAGCAGGAGATGTGGAGATGGGTGATACATCGCGAATCCCACCAGACCAGACGTCTTCCTCCGCGACACAGTCTAGAAAAGCACGACAAAAGCAGACCAATGGCGACCCAGGCAACGAAAAGAGCCCGGAGAAGACGCTGCGGGGTGCAGACACGCCAGCCTCGAGCGAGAAGAAAAAGAAAAAGAAGCGGAGGCTGATAGATGAGGAAGTGTTGTAAGAAAGGGGGGAGTGCGTGAGCAAGAAGGGCCGGCTGATAGATTTCCCTCGTGTGGACTGCGGAAGTGAGTACTCGTATAGCAGTAGCAGCACATGCACAATCTATTTTTCGGAGTGGTAGCGTGATGCTCTGCTCCACCGTACCCAAGCAAGCATCACCCTTGCAAACATTTCCCAAAATGCGGCATGAATACACTTTTCGCGGGGAAACTTCGCACGACTGCTGAGAAGAAAAAATAACGGTGCTGCTGCTCCCGGGGGCCTCCTCCCATATTTTGTCGTCTGCCTCTTCTGCCTCTTCTCCTTCTCCTTCTTCTTCCTCCTACCCTCACTCTCCGTAGTCTTGTGTCACTTCCGCTCGAGACACATACTCGCTCCATTTCCACACCAGCCTCGACTTTGCATCTTCCCCAATCAAAACCAAACCAAAACAGTCATGGGCTCCGCAGCTACTGGCAGCTATGCCCTCTCGCAGACTCATCGAGAGGTAAGCTCGAGAAACACATCCCGTTTGTGTCGTGTCACCGACTTCCCTCACCCCGTCGGAGAACACTGGACCTGACTGACCGCTGGCTCTTTGTTGCACCTATGTAGATGCTCGAGAAGCCCCTCGTCGAGACCGATCCGGAGATCGCAGAGATCATGGTACGTCGCCCTCCTCACGTCACTCGATACACCCACACACACATGCATGGTATACTCATGTTTGGATAGAAAAAAGAAATCAAACGCCAACGCGAGTCCATCATCCTGATCGCCTCGGAGAACGTCACCTCGCGCGCCGTCTTCGACGCCCTCGGCTCCCCCATGTCCAACAAGTACAGCGAAGGCTACCCGGGGGCGCGGTACTACGGCGGCAACCAGCACATCGACTCCATCGAACTCACGTGCCAAAGCCGCGCCTTGAAGGCCTTCCACCTAGACCCCGAGAAGTGGGGGGTTAACGTGCAGTGCTTGAGCGGCAGCCCAGCGAATCTGCAGGTGTACCAGGCGCTGATGAGGCCGCACGACCGGCTGATGGGGTTGGATCTGCCGCACGGCGGACACTTGAGTCACGGATATCAGACGGCGCAGAGAAAGTAAGCAAACAGGCTCAACAACAATGTTGTCGTTGGACCAAGGTTGTGTATTGACAGGATCTCAGAATCTCCGCAGTCTCAACCTATTTCGAGACTTTCCCCTACCGAGTCAACCTCGAGACCGGCATCATCGACTATGACCGGCTGGAAGAGAACGCCCTCATGTACCGCCCCAAGTGCATCGTCGCAGGAACCTCCGCATACTGCCGCCTGATCGACTATGCCCGCATGAGACAAATCGCAGACAAGTGTGGCGCGTATCTCATTGTGGACATGGCACACATCTCTGGACTGATCGCCGCAGGCGTTATCCCCAGCCCTTTTGAACACGCCGACGTGGTCACCACGACCACCCACAAATCGCTGCGTGGTCCCCGAGGAGCCATGATCTTCTTCCGCAAGGGCGTGCGCAGCACAGACCCCAAGACCGGCAAACAAGTCCTCTACGATCTGGAGGGGCCCATCAACTTCTCCGTCTTCCCTGGTCACCAGGGTGGCCCGCACAACCACACTATCACCGCTCTGGCGGTCGCCCTGAAGCAAGCGGCAACTCCCGAGTTCCGTGCGTATCAGGAGCAGGTGCTCAAGAACGCCAAAGCGCTTGAAACCGAGTTCAAGGAGTTGGGCTACAAGCTGGTCGCCGGCGGGACGGACTCGCACATGGTCCTTTTGGATCTCCGACCCCAGTCTCTCGACGGCGCGAGAGTTGAGGCGGTGCTCGAGCAGATCAACATTGCGTGTAACAAGAACAGCATTCCCGGGGACAAGTCGGCCCTGACCCCCTGTGGCATCCGTATCGGCGCGCCGGCCATGACCTCGCGCGGATTCGGCGAGGAAGACTTCAAGAGGGTGGCGCGGTACATTGACACGAGCATCAAGCTGTGCAAGAAGATCCAGGCGGAACTGCCCAAGGAGGCCAACAAGTTGAAAGATTTCCGGGAGAAGGTGAGCAGCGAGACCGTGGACGAGATCCTGAAGTTGAGGACCGAGATTGCCGAGTGGGCTTCGAGTTTCCCCCTGCCGGTGTAAGTAGGAGTCATGTTCCCCCGCTCGCTCTCCGGGGGGAAACAGAGGGCCAAGGTCTGATGAATTGATGTCATTTGGGCGTTTTTGGCGGGGTGGTGTGTGTCTGGCTGGCTGTGATGCGGCCATGGGAGACTCTCAGATTTCAACGACCGTTGGGAGAGGAGAATAAATGGGAAGTTGGGTGCCCTCAAAATTCACAAAGAGCCTGCGGGAGTCTGTATCTTCAACGATACCTAGGTGCCCTTGTTTGTCGGAAGTTGCTGTCAAGTCATGCATGATGTCTTGGCCACTTGAGGCGACGCAGCGTGTCCGGTCGATGCCTCTTATCCTTGTCGCCCTCTCTTTCGTTTCGTTCCGTTCATCTTTCCCAAGCAAATCATTCGCGGATGGCCCGTCTGTAGAGACCAAGGTGCTCAGTTGTGCTTGTCATAAATGAATCTCCCGTCCCACTCTCCTCCTGACCGTCGCTCACCCCTCCCCCCATTCTTCTTTTCGTTCTGTTCCTCCTCTTTCTGTCACCACGCCTTGCTCCTCCTTCGCGTCCACCCTCGTATCATCCTCGTGTCCGGGCTGAGGCTCATCTTTCATCTCTACATCCCGCACCCCTTCCTCGCTCCTCGCCGCCGCCATCCCCACGACGTCAAGACCAGAACCAGAACCAGAGATGGCCATCTCGCCCAAGAGTCCCAACCGGCCCCTGAGACCTTTAACCATGCGCTCCAGCCTGTGGATCTCAGCCTCCTGCTCCTCCACCGTCCGGGCCACGTCCGGCAGCCCGGTCACGGCCGCGCGGGCTTTTGCGAGACGCTGCTTCAGCGGGTAGATCTGCGCGGGGAGGTCTTTGAGGTCCAGCAGCGGCGCGCCGTGGAATATGGGTGCCGTTGCGGCTGGGCCTGTGGCTGAGCCGGCGCTGGGGAGAGGTGGTTGCGATTGCGATTGCTGTGAATGTGAATGTGAATGTGGCTGTGTTGGTAGTGTTTGACTTTGCTGCGAGGGTGTGCTCGATGGCGCGGTTTGAGACGTCGGGTGGCCATGCGACGACGATGGCGGCGGATGTTGTGTTTGTTGTTGTTGGGGAGTTTGGTGGTGGCCGTTTGTCTGGGCTTGTGTTGTCTGCTGCTGTTGTTGTTGCTGTTGCTGCTGCTGGAGTTGCTGCGGTGGGTGGTGCAGGATATTCAGCCGCGCAAGGAGGAGCCAGATGTCCGGGAGGATCGAGAAGGTCGAGGGAGAAGGGAAGGGCGGGATGTCAGGATGAGCTGTTGCGGGCGTGGCAGGCGACGTGTTGGTGTTGGACGTGGAAGGCATTTTCTCTCTCTCTTTTGTTTCCTGGACTTGCTTGCGTCTGCGTGTCCGTTGGTGTCACTGCTATTGTTTCTGTTCCCCCTGTTCTTCCTCTCCGCCTCTTCAGGATACGCGGCGCTGCACCTGTAGGCGTGGTGATGTGGGACGAAGAGAAAGCAAGGCCCAGACGCAAGAAACGCAGTTGGAGATGGATCATCAAGACCACCACCCTCCTTGACACGAGTGAGTGGAGAAATTTGGGGGGCACACGTATTACATAATAATTGAACACCGTAAAGCTCGGATCATTTCTCCCCCGAGAGAAGAATGATGGAATCTCTGCCAATGGGCGACAAAACGGCAATGCGGGGGGCCTGTAATTAATTAATTACTACTCCGTAATTAGCTACGGACTACTGTACGAAGTAATCATCGAATACGGTATATGTAATATGTAGTATCAATTATCTTTGTCCAGACGTTTACTGGTTACCTAGGGACCCTTACTACACTAAATAAAAAGAAGTAATAAGCACCATGTTAATAGTTGAAGTCAATTAGCCCTATACTACTACTCTACTACTGCTACTACTACCACTATATCTTATACTTTGTATCCCAAATCTCCCAGCTCCTCCCCCAAGACAAACAGTAATTATATACCGGGGTCAGCTCCGATAAACGTGTACCCAACCCAACCCAACCCAGGGGTGTCTGTCTACTACTCCCAAAAAGAAAGGATGGCCACCAAGCAGCGCATGCTCAAGCTCTCGCTCTTCGCGCGCCGCAAGAGCCACCTCTCCGAAGACGAGTTCCAGCGCTACTGGTCCGAGACGCACCGGGCCCTGGCCACCGAGTGGTTGGTGAAGTACGGCATTGTCAAGTATACGCAGGTCAGTCAGTCCAGTCAGTCCGTATTTGCCTACGATTCTGTATGTCTATTGTCCATGCATGGACTGCTTGGGTTGGGAGAGATCTATCTGAGGAGGCTTAGATGCTCGGGGTATCTATCTTCTTCTCTGTGTGTCACATACAGTAATTCCCTCCCTCTTAGAGAAGAGAAGAGAAGAGAAGAAAAGAAAAGAAAAGAAAAGGGCGCATGCTCTCGTTGTACAAGAATACTGTCATACCATACCACATCGCATCACGTCACATTCATTCCCCTCCTCATTCACTCACTCACTCACTCACTCATCATCCATGGGACCGGGCGGAGACAGTACCACACGCCCTCCCACCTCCTCCCGTCCGCGCTCGCCGGGTTCCCCGCCCTGGGCAGCGCCAAAAAACTCGACTTCGACGCCGTGGGCGAGTTCCTCATGCCGGACCTGTCGTGCTTCCAGCGCGCGCGCGAGGACCCGTACTACGCCGAGGTCATTGCGCCCGACGAGCAGCGCCTGTTCGACTGGACCTCCGTGGAGTGGACCGTCGGGTGGGAGGAGGTGTATATCAAGGACGGCAGGGTGGTGGATATGCCGTTGGGCGATGTCGAGGTGGTGGAGTCGAATTCGAAGTCGGGTTCCTGAGTAAAGGTATAGCCTAGGATAGGATAGGGGTAGTGCGGGAGATGTAGTACTGTTCCAGGCAGGACAAGGATTAGGAGGAGGAGGAGGAGGAGGAGGACTCTGTCTTGTTGCCCATATTTGTGCCTCCGGGTGTCAGTAGTAGGGTTATAACTCCATAACTCCATAACTCATAGATCGTTGAACCCAATACAAGGCTTCTCCTCCAATCCGCGATCCGCCACGGCCCACGCCCACGCCCTGCCCGCCTCGCCCGTATACAGGCCGACGAAGTGGTCGTCCCGCCCCGCCTCGTTCAACCACCCGATGCTTTCGAGGGCCTCGGTGGACATGCAGTTCAAAAAATGCTGAAACTCTGACTCGTCGTCCAGAGCCAACGCATTGCCCGCGATGCCGTGACACAGGCAGGGCGGTTTGGTCAGCAAGCCCCTCTCCCAGACGTCCTTTTGCGCCGCCGTGACCGCGGCATCGACCAGGACCTGCAGGCTGGGGGGGAAATGCCGACGCAGCGGCCGCAGCGCCAGCACGGCCCCCGGTGCTCCGTGGCAGAACTGCACCAGTTTGTCGGATCCCCCGGTGGAGGGCAGCGAGGACGGGAAATTGCCGCTGGGGAGCTGTACCGTCTCCAGCAGCCACGAGAGCAGCGGTTCCACCGTCTGTGCGCACGACGGCGCCGACAACACCAGTTGACACAAGATGCCGAGCGTGCCGTGTGCAGCGCCCACGTACGGCTTGCCGTGCCACGTCCAGGGCTGTTTCGAAGCCCAAATCCGCCGGATCGTCTTGCGGATGGTCGTTTCGATCAGGTCGCTCGCTTTGGAACCCTCCCCAAAGCTCGACCGCGCCAGGCGCAGGTGGTACAGGTATCCCGCCCGGCCGTACAGCCACTCGTCCGACCCGCCGGAGCCGTTGATGACGGGCTCATGCGAACACAGTTCCTGGACCAGGCTGGGGTCCTGCTCCATGGCGGCGCGGATGGCGAGCTGCGCCAGGACCTCGTTGCCGATCCCACAGTGGTTCGCGTCCACTCCCACGCTCTCACGCCGCCCGCGGGACTGGCCCAGATCCAGATACGCCTGGGCCCAGTCGAGCAGGGACTGGCCTTTGAAGACGAGGTCCGGGTAGAGGTGTGAGAGACGGAAGAACAAGTACGCCACAGACGTGGGACCGTAGTACAGCCCGTGGAAGGTCCAGCCGGTCGAACAGGTCTGGACGGGCGGGTTGTAGGTGTTGATGCGCGTTAAGGAGGCCAGGAGTTCTTCGTAGGCGTTGGCGTTGGCGTTAGCGACGGAAGAGGATGGAGATTTGTGGCTTGGGAAGTGTCGGCCTGACGAGGCCATCTTTGAGCTGGGGAATTTTATCCCTCACTCTCTCTCTCTTTCTCTCTCTCTCAGGGTGAGTGATTGATGTTGTTGGGGAGTGTGAAGGAAGAAGGAAGAGTGCAGAACGATATGTATTGTGTATTGACTGACGTCGTCGTCTGACCATCATTTTGACGCACACATGTCACTGTAGGGAACATGCTGTACCACCACACGTTCCTTTCCACAGATACCACAAATGTTCTCTGAATTGCCAGCTAAATGCTCACGATGGGCGACGAGTCGATGGCAGCCCATCGAAATCACTCGACATGATGGATCTGTCGACTTCCAACGGCGACAATAAGACAAGGAAAGCTAATTATTACTCCAACCACGGGGGGGAGTTCAGGGTTACTGGACGACTATGCATTGATCGTTCTGAAAGTATCCAAAACAGTGGATATAGACAAACAAACCCTCTCGTGGTCTCCATCTCACGGGGGCGTTGATGCTTGGTTCAAAGGCAGCCTCCTCCATCTCACCCTGATCAAACGGTCCTCGCCCTCAAACTTCAGGGGGTCGTCCAAGCTCAACACGAGGTATTTGCCGTCGCTCTCGTCGACAAACTTCATGATCCTCCTCTGGTGGTCACCCCGCAGGTACGGCAGGTTCGAGTATCTCATGTTGTGGATCAGGATCGGGCGGCCCTTGTCATCGCCGCGTTCGTCCAGGTAGAACGCCCCCGTGTAGGCGACATAGTTCCTCCCCACGGTCGCCCATTCGGCATCCGAGCCCCCTTTGGCGCCTGATCTCTCCCCAAAGGGCTTCTGGCCTGGTGTCTGCAGCTGCGCCGACATATAGCCGTCGGGCGTGTACATGATGATGCCCGTGGCTTTGTCTCCCATGGGATAGTACTTGTTCGATTCATCATGAGGCAGGTAGGCGCAGTATTCAATCAATTCCCACGCGCCGATCAGTTGAGACCGGATCGAGCCTGGATCGCCAGCCGCCATGGTGTCACGTTTGCTGAGGAGTGGTCGATATGGGATGGATCTTGGGAACAGGACGAGGCTGGGCCGGGAATTATATAGATACCCCAACCAAACCTGACATCAGCTGATGGAAAGCCTTGATTCTTCTCGAACAGAAGATGTCTGAGGCCCCCCCTTCCCCTCTCCACCTCCACCGAATAAATAGTTTTCGTTCATCCACCGGTCGGTATAGGTGATCGCAGATCTTTCGGGATAGCCGAGCACGCCGAGGGAGAACCGGATCCCCGCGTTATTGTACGAGGAGTCAAGATGTCACAACAAGGGTTACCGCATCGAGCAATGTCTGCCTTGGCTGCGATATACTTTGTGTTGTCGGCCTGAGGCGTTGTGGATTGGAACGGGAGTCTCCTCGGTAATTGAGGATTTGTCTAGCAGTCGGGAGACCTCTAGACCGGAGGTCTGGTGTACAAAGGCGAAATAGAAGGCGTCGAACGAAGAACTGATCATCTCAGATTGGGACCGGAGAACTCATTCCAGCCATGACAGAGGTCAAGATCGCCGACAGCGACATTGGTAAGCTGCAAACACTATGGGATTCAGGTCTAGGCAAACTGACTGGTCCGCTCGGATAGGGGATAAGTTGCGAGGGAAATCTGCAATCGTGACCGGTGGTTCTTCAGGTGAGTCTTTAGTTTAGAACGATCAAAGACCGAGACTGTAGACTATGCTAACGCCAGGGACCAGGTATCGGCCAAGGTATGTGGTAGTTGTTGGTGCCAAACAGGCCACCGAGGTTTCCGTGTCTCTTCGACCATGTTTTCCCCCAGGTCGACATCACACTGAATTCCGCGGGTACAGGTATTGTTCACTATTTGACCAAGTGTGGTGTCAAAGTCTTGATCGGCGACTTGCAGCCACCGACCGACCCCGTCGATGGCCCGGTATACCAAAAGACGGATGCCGGCAGCTGGGACGACCTGCTTGCCCTGTTCAAAAAGGCCAAGGAGTTGTTCGGTCGAATCGACATAGTCGTCCCCAATGCCGGCTTTGGTGACCGTGGCGACTACTACTTTAAGCAGGATGACAACGGAGATCCCATCAAGCCCGAGTTTGACTGCCTCAAAGTCACTCTGGTCGGTCAGATGTACACGGTGAAGCTGGCGATGCATTTCATGCGCTACCAGGAGCCCCAGGGCGGAGTCATTGTGTCGACGGTCTCTCGAAGTGGCTATGACTGCCAAAGTATCCCCGTCTACGCCGTGTCCAAGCACGGCATGATCGGGCTGATGCGAGGACTGAGGAATCATACGCCAGCGTGGAATATCCGCGTGAACTCGATTGCTCCTCATGTCACCGACACCGCGGCGGTCAGAAGAGTGGAATGGCTGATTCCAGAGCTAAAGAGAGTCGGAATCCCTGTGAGCACGGTGGAGGAAACGGCGAGGGCCGCGGCCTTCTTGGCAGCAAATGAATCGTACAACGGCTGCACCATCAGTATCATGGGGAGTGAGTACCGTGAGCTGGAGAGTGGCGTGGAAAGGCATAAGAGAGATGTAATGGGAAACGACCCGAGATTCAACATGACCCCGGAGCAGCAGGCGGTGATGGGTAAGGCTTTCCCCTGCTGGCTTGGAGGTATCTGCCTGCTGACTGCTGATCAAAGACAATATCTTTCCCCCGGCCTCGAAGTGGTAAGTGTTGGAGAAAAGTCTGCCGGCTCTGTGCAGCTTGGAATGGACACATGAGGGAGCATATCCTGGGGCCACAGTGGACCAGACAGTCACAATGCGTGTCGTTCTCAACCGTAGGCGCTCGACGAGGAGCCGGTCGTGGATATGTATATCTTGTATGTTCTCTCAGATAATGCAGATGTGGCTCTCGCCTCGGAAACGCGCGTTTGGACCCCAGTAATACCTACCCAGCGCTTTGTCCTTTTTGCTGGTCGGAGGCTCTTTGATGGCCTCGACATCCTCATCGAACAAATTCAAGATCTTGGTCAACCCGACTCGTTTGTATCTGATCCCGTGGTCTCCATCGGTCGCCTGGACGAGAAGGCAATTCAGATATCGGTCGTCTTGAGAGACTGGTAAACAAAAGACTTGTGCGTCAGGGCCGAATACCGAAGGCTCACTGGCAGGACTGTCCAAGTATACGATGGAATGCGAGTTGCCGATCGGCTCACCCTTATGCATCAGACGCCAGCTGTAGCGCACCGGTAGGTCTTCCCGCTCGGGCTCCTGGTGCTTGTGTCTGTACAAGCCCTGCGTGAGACAGTGCAGAGGACCTGGAAGAGAGGAAGCTAGGAGGAGTGTTATAAGCAGCTTGTGTCTTGGCCAGGTGAGTATCCTTAGAGTCAGCAGCGTCAGCAATATCGACAGGCTGACGACGGTAACGGCAAGGAATGTGCTGGTTGGAGAATACCATTGCCACTGGGTCATGCTGTCAGTGAGTGAATCTCTGTGAGGCTGCTGGAGGACGACTTGCCATAGACCCGCGCGTCGAAGTCGACGAGTACCGATCCTGCTCGGCATCGGTCAGCTCAATCCTCCTTAGCACACCCTTCAGAACAAGATAGCCGTCAGTGAGAATGCCAAACATGTCATCCTCGGTGCGATAGGTCAGTCTGACCACCTGGACCTCGACCAGAATGCCCTCGTCCGTGGTCTCTGGAAACGTGACACCGCGCGAGGTCTCGACCGAAGCCCAGGAGAAGCTGGGAGCACGATACCGCTGTGGTCGAGTGTTCTGCAGTGGCTGTAACGTCGTCCCTTCCTCCTCATCGTCATTGACATACCACAGTAACTGGCTGGCGAGGTAATTCTGCCACATGCCCGCGAGATATTGGTCCTCGCTCCCATCCAGCCTCAAGATTCGCGTCATCATCCTGGCAATACCGGAGAGTGCAATGAGGCGGTCTCTTTCATCGGTCAGTTTCATCTTCGTGTAGACCTCAACCATCCGTTTCCAGACCTCATACAGGTACAGCTTTGGGTCGACGGCCTCCACCATCCACTTGAGTCCCGAGGAACGGAAGGCACTGTGCGAAGCCGCCAGCCGCAGCTCACGAAGTCGCCTGCCAGTCTCCCTGTCCATGGCCTTCAAGCGAGCTTGGTCAATGAGCAGACCAGCCTTCATCTGAAGATGCGGGAGACCTTCTGGGCGGCATTCCGCGCGGTCCAACTCACGGCATTCGAAGGCAATTTGATCCTTACACCAATGCAGCACTCTCGGTGCCAGGAGTCGTTCCTGGAATACCCATGACCGCGTGTTGACCGGGGCATTGTCAACATATTCATCCCAGAATAGCAAGTCGGAAATGGTACACTCAACCACCTTCGGCTGGTCTCCAGAGAGGTATTGTGTTTCAAGGCTCACGGTATCGAACCATTTCCGCTGGGGATCGCGCTGGTTAAAGAGCCCGCCCGAGCCGTCCATGGCTGCAGTGGCTGAGATGTTGCAGTAGCTGAAAGCATATACTTTGTCCATCTGCGCACTCTCAAACAGCCAGTCCTGCTCGTCGCCTTGGATGATGCAGAGGGCGTCGATCCATATCCACCGCACACCAAGCTCCCGGGCACACTGAATTGCCTGCTGGAACGTCGTGGAGAGACTGCTCAACGGTATGGCGGTTTGAAACTGGGAACGATTATGCTGTCGGAGCTTGGGAATCTCCCCCCGTCCCCATCGATGGCTCAGAGTAACGTATCTGCCTTCAAAGGGTGGTTGGTCGTCCTGTTTCTCGGCATCCTTTTGTGACACCAGTCGTACCATTTCCTTCTCAGGCTCAGGCATGGCTCGCAGATCTATCAGTCGTGTCGGATACCACTCCGTGTTGAAAGCGTTCCTGCATTTGTCATGGGTTCTTTCGCACACTTCGACCCATTCTCTGGCCAAATCGAAGACCCCGGCATCAGATGTGATTGGACTTCTAGGGGTGTTTTGGAGATGACTCGGCATAGCAGCGTCTTTAGTCATGTCAACAACGGTGCTCGATTGGGCTGCAGCAATGGTAACATACCATTCTGTTTTAGGACGAAGCTCGCGATCGTCGTCTTCGTCGCCTTGGACTGTTCGAGCTCGATGTCCAGACGATAAACTCCACCATAGCGAGGAAACCGTTGCAACAACGCACAGAGGTACCAATTCCTGTCTGGGCCGACCGGAGGGCTGATGTCGAGATCTCCCAATTTCTCGTCGATGACACGACAGATATAGCAGTCCGCATCCGCCGCACCTTTGACATTTTCTGCCGTTTGGTGGTGCCAGAAACTCAGCTCCAGCTGTGAGCCAGAGGCACGACGCCCTGTGTGCGAGAAAAGCATTCCATGGCACACCTTGCAGACCATTGTGAAGGGTTCGAGGATGTCGAGATGGCATGGTTCAGGCAGGAATGGGATCATTCGAGGCCAGGCCGAAAGAGATAAATGTATGAGGCTCTTCAGCCCGAGACTGCCGGATCCCTGAAACAACAAGGGTTGAAGCCAGGGTCCCCATGGCCAGAACACCATTGTCCACCGTTAGTGGACTCTGCTGGGTAAGTCGCATCAAGGGATCTTAGCTGCGAACCCCATACCAGCAAATGGCATGAAACCAAGGCCCCCAGTGCCTAGAAGCCGTTGCATAAGTAGCGCCATGGAAACAAGTGGTGCCAGCGCATGTCACTACACCACAGCGTTGACGAACACACACCTTCTTTGGAGGGGCCGGCGTCTCATTTCGTATTGTATTTCCGGCCCTCGCCCCGTGCCCCCCTTGAGAACGTCTGCAAAAGCAACGCCAATCAAAGGCGCACACTCAGATACCGACTGATGTTTGGCTCCTGGTCACTTGTCTTGGAACTTTTGGTGACCTCCACAAAGCATCACTCCAGACTGGCCGGTTGCGGTTAGATTTCGACAAGTTGAAGATAGGTTGATACATATCTGTGCAAACTCGTGGGTGATGGGGAGACATTGACCAGCGACTTCTCCGACTTGTAGGCTGTGGCAAGTAGAGCAGAGACGTATTCCTAGCCACCATGCCCTCATTTATCCTCCCGAAAGTCTCTCCCAGCGTCGAGGTGACGATCCCGACGACCATCACCCAGGACGAGCTCCTCGCATTCCGTCCTTTCAACAACTGGCTCGCGACACTACAGAAATCCATCAAGGTGCAAAAGTCGGAAACAACGCACGCCTTCTACGACAAGAAGGATCCCTATCAGCTGCGTTCCATCAATGTCCACTCGGTGGAGAGGTTTGGACCTCGCATCGGCTTCATCCTGATGGAAACGGTGGTCCAGAACGCCGCCGACCCACGACCGTTGCCGGGCATCGTCTTCCTACGCGGCGGCAGCGTCGCGATCCTGATGATCGTCCGGCCCGAAGGGAGCAGCGACGAGAGATTCGTCGTAATGACACAACAGCCCCGGATTCCGGCCGGGAGTCTCACTTTCTATGAGATCCCCGCGGGCATGATCGACGACTCGGGCACGTTCGTGGGCGCTGCGGCGACCGAGATCCGCGAAGAGACGGGCTGGCGAGTCCCGCAGGCGGAGCTCGTCGACATGACGGATATGGCGCTGCGAAACTCGACGGGCATTGAGAGCCACTTACAGAAAGCCATGTACCCTAGCCCCGGCGGCTGTGACGAATTTATCGCCTTGTTCCTGTGGGAGAGGATCATGTCACGCAAGGAACTCGCAGAGCTGCGCGGTAGATTGACGGGCAATCCCAGAGAAAGAGAGAAGATCAAGGTGAAGCTGGTCGAGTACAAAGAGCTGTGGAGGGAAGGAGCGAGAGATGCAAAGACGCTGGGTGCCTGGGCGCTGTACGAGGGTTTAACAAGAGATGGCCTTTTGAAGTGAAGAAGGAGAAGAAGGAGAAGAAGGAGAAGAAGGAGAAGAAGGAGAAGAAGGAGAAGAAGGAGAAGAAGGAGAAGAAGGAGAAGAAGGAGAAGAAGGAGAAGAAGGAGAAGAAGGAGAAGAAGGAGAAGAAGGAGGGGGGAGAAGAAGAAGAAGAAGAAGAAGGAGAAGAAGAAGAAGAAGGAGGAGAAGGAGAAGAAGGAGAAGAAGGAGAAGAAGGAGAAGAAGGAGAAGAAGGAGAAGAAGGAGAAGAAGGAGAAGAAGGAGAAGAAGGAGAAGAAGGAGAAGAAGGACAAGAAGGACAAGAAGCCGAAGAAGCTGAAGAGGCTGAGGATGATGAATGCCCTTTGGACCGCGTGGACGAGAGATCATTGTCAAAGATTGCGTCCTGGAGATCTTGCTGACCATATCTGCGGAAACTGGCTACCTTTTACCATCGTCTTTATAAAGCAAAACCCCCTCCTCATCGCCGTGGCTGTCACCCCGTCCCCGTTCCTCTAGCGACACCCAGCTCAGCCAGCACCTTCGTCAGCCCCAGCCTTTGCCACTGTTCTACCTGTTGTGTATTCGTAACCCAAACCATGCCCATCATTCCTGCGGCGTTGGCACTCGCTCCTTGAACTGCCACTTTTCGCCGGGGTATCACCATCATCCACCGTTTCGTAAGCACCATGTTGTGAGGGAAGTAATCCAGGGTGTCCTCGGAGCAGGTTCGCCAAACTGCATGGGCCTCGTGGCGTAACCACTGGTATACTGGAAGCAAAGAATCCAGTGTCTCCTGCACTTCAGGCTGGAGACGTTGAACAAAGTAGCTGAAGGCAATGCCTTCCGGATCCAGAGTCTCCAGGTCGGGAAATAACTCGAAGCCATCCGAGCAGGGAATCACCTGCATGTGCTTGTGTGATCTGCTGCAGCCGGCCTCGTTCCCACAGTTGAACATGACAAAATGCTCATGGCTGAGATGGTGAAGCACAAGCCATGCGGCCGCGAGGTCCGTCTTGTCGAGATCCTCGGTCTGCCGCCGGAACGAATCGAGGGTCAAGATCAGGTATTGTGGCCGAAAGACGGCAAACCGGTTTAGAACCAGCAGATGCGTCCCTTGGACCTTGGTCACCACCAGGCCTGGGTCGGCATCGACGAGGTCGCTGCCAGGCCCATACTTGGGCAGTTGTTCAAAGGCGGCGTTGTTGGTCGCATCAGCCGTCGCCGGCTTCAACGCTAATTCTGGACAGATCCGGAACTCGAACTTGACATGGGAGTCAGAGTCTCTGCCACGGAGGACGAGGGAGGCAAAACGGAATTTATCTCACCCCAAACCCTTGATCCTTGATTCTCACGACCGTCTCAGGACCGTAGAGAATGACCTGTCGAGCGACCAAGTCGTCGAAAGCTGCTAGTGCCTGCTCTTCGTCGAACAGCATATTCAACGGGCTTCAAATCGAGTCCGGGATATAGACCAATAAGAACCTCATCCTCGTCACATTTGTAAGAGTCCTGTTCGACACTGATTTTTTATAAAAACATCGGGGCAAAAAGAACGGCCCCATCAAGCCGAGTTGAGAAATTAGCGGCGGCGTAATTCTCTGATAGGCGGTTTTTGATGTCATAATAGTAAAATCGCTAAACTGACAGATCAATGGAGTCCCTTATTTTGTGTAACAGCAGGTATCTCGCCTACATTCAGATATAGCAGCGCTCTATTCTTCATAATATCGCGTGGTATTTCCCTCGGTCTGCTCTGCAGGTGCTCGCCTTCATGACCTTTTTGGGACTGTTTCCCGTCGCAATGCCAGCAAACCAGGAAGAGTGACTTGAGCTTCTTCATACATGGGTTCGAGTGGGTGACCCTTTCTCACCAAAAAGAGACACTGTGAGAGTAGCTTTTGGGCCGGCTCTTTAATACGTGGATCGAGATGGATGATGTCTTTAATCTCCGCCTCAGGCAGGACCAGTGACCGGTTTTCAAACGAACGCATAGCGCTCTTCATTTTCTGCACATCGTCTGCCAAAAGTTCCGTACCTTTGAAGACCTTGTCTCGAATGGGTGCCAGCTCGTCCCTCAGGTCCAGTAGCGCTGCTCTGGGCATCTGACTTAGTAGGAGGGCAGAGTACTTGTGGCTGCCGGCAGAGACAGCAGAAGTTGAGAAGGTCTTTTGGGAGTCGCCTGCATGGGCGACGGAGGACATGAACTGCCACGAAGGAACCTCGTCGTCTTCGAGAAAGATGAGCGTTTCATTCTCAGCACGCGAAGCGTAGTCGAAAGTCATGGTTGCCCTGTATGGGGCGTCGAATATCTCGTGGCAGAAGGGGCCATACAGCCAAGGTTTCTCAACAATCCGATCCCGTGCCTTCAACAGTTGAACCTTGGCGTCTTCGCCGGTATCCTTGGTCAGAAATTGGATGACACTGTCTCTGTCGCTGGCCTCGTCAAAGAGATCGGCGAATTTGTATAGCGGTGACCGAAAGACCGCTTCCGGCAGGTGCTTCGACAGCAGGTGAAGGGAGTTAGAAAGATCTTCCGCCGCCTCTTTCGCGATCGAAGAGCGTTTATCACAATTGTCGCCCACATCCCAGTGACCTCCTGCTTCGATGTGATTCCAAAGTTGTACAAGATGCTCAATGGTATCCTCCCGATGGCCAGGATCAACTTCAGCACGGAAGTATCTGCCATAGTCCCGGCTGAGTGTCGGTTCATCATAATACAGAATTTGGTGAGCGTTCGCCGGGTCATCGAAATAGTCGTCCATCTGCGCAATGTGGTCCTCGTTGACCGGTTCAAAAATGTAAAGTTTCGCCCTAGTCTCACGACACCTTTGCAGCTTGCGAGGTCCGTCTTTCAGGCTTGCCGACAAGATCGGGAACACGTGGCGGATATAGACTTCATCCAGCTGATTGCGCTCGCCTTGGAAGAGGATCTCGTCCACAAACACCGTAGAGTTGGTGATCGTATTTGGTGGGACGACCATTCCATCTGCAAACAAGATAGATCGATGCATGAGGGCTCTCATATAGTTTTCGGGAGGCACACCAAAACGATTCATCTTGGCATTGACATTGTCTAGCGAAGGGCTGAAGGCCACGCACTTTGCAGACGGTTGTCTGGCCATGGTATTCGCCAGTCTGGGTTTCGTTGAGGCTGGCCGCTGCCGGAGAATGGCGGCAAGAACGTCCTCGATCAAATGGCGACTCTCGTAGTTTCCGACTACCCAAGCAACGCCACTTGAAATCCGAAGCGCTCTGGCAGCTTCTTCCACCTTGCCTCCGCATAGCAACGCCAGCCCGCTGAGGGCACTGACGACCCATGTCTGGGCGTGATGCCGAGGAGGCATGTGGAGCAAAGCAGCCTCTTCAAGCCTTCCATGGTGCGAAATCAGCTCTTTGAGGCCTTCATTCAACGTGCCGCAAAATTTCCGCTTGGCTCCAAGACTGAGTAGGCCTTCGTCCTCGAGAATATGGCTGAGCGTTTCCCGTACCGCGGAACAGCTCTTTGCTGGTCCGACCTTATTCTTCTGTTAGAATGAGTCTTGGGACAAAAAGCACGAGAGGACTTGCCTGACACTCTTCTTTCTGGAGATTCATTTGTTTCAGGATCCCATTCCAGTCCTGTCTTGGCGACGGCCCCCGATTGAGTGTCTGTAGAAGTCTTGGAGGAGCCCTTTCTCCGCTCCTCTCCTCGAACAGAATGATAAGGTCGATCAAGAGCAGTTGACACCAATCGGGTCCCAAATCTTCGGCCCACGACGTGATCTTTTTCTCAAAACGAGGGAACTTGCTTTGACCAGAATGTCTTTCTCCGAGGAAATATCCATTAAGAAGGCAGAATCCAACGGAGGAGTCCTCTTTGAGGTCCATACTCAGGGTGAGGCCTTCAATTGATAACTCCCACGGGCTATAGGGCAACGTGAGCCAAACAATCGAGGCTTGCCTCTTGTTTGATAGGAAACGAAGATAGTCGAGGTTGTCATTCATGTCACTTCCACTGAAGCCTGCAACGAGCCACACCGTTCGTTTAAGGAGAATATCGAGCACATCAGTTGCAAAAGAAGGCAGGCCTTGGGCACGTTGCAATCGAGTGTCAATGCAACTGACTGGATCATAGCACGAGCCATGGATTTTGAAGAGGAATGTTACCTTGCCATTTCCCAGCTGCGGCATAAGAGATCGTATGAAGGCGAAGGCCTTTGCGCCGTTCACAATTAGAACCAACTTTTGGTCCGAAGAGGTCAATGGCAACCGGGTCGAAATCTCCCCGCCGTCCACGTGAGGATCTCCGACGACCTGGTAAAAGAGCGACGTCTTGCTCTCGATAGCCTTCTCCAGGTAGTTGTCAAAGTTTGTGGTCATCACTGCAGCAACTTCCCCAGTGGAGAGCAGCTCAGCAGCCCATGTGTGTATCTTGTTGAAAGCAAAAGCACCATCGTCTTGCTTCTCAGCCTGAAACGCATCCAACACCTGTAGATATTGTTGACCAAGACGTCTTGAGATGACTTCGGTAACCATGTAGTTGGGCACGGTCTTCTTGAGTCGGTTGAAAAAGCCCAAGATTTCTGCGGACACTTGTCAAGACATCAGCACCCGCTTATTCCGTATTAGCCTTGATCCATGCGCACCTGTATCAGGTCGAATGGCTTTGATGGCGACATTCAGCGCCGACGTCCACAACAGTTCCACAAAGTCGTTCCACATTGGCAACTGTGCTGGCTTAAACGTGGAAATAGCAGCACCTAGGAACAATGTGGCTCTGCCTTTCGCCTTCTCGGTAAAGGAATCGATTCGCGCAGCCGCTTCACCCAAATTGTGACTTTTGGAATTCCTTCCGGCCTCGTGCGGAAACTCTATCACCCCGACCGCGGCTGCCTGCTCGAGCAGAGTACCCTTCGCCTCCATGACTGCTGAATGAGCCGTGTTGGGAATGACGTGGTACGATGACTGACTCTCAGTCGTTAATGACAACAGAAACGATTGTTAGTAGATCAGGTCTGGCCTCCATTGATGGGTGCTGTTTCTTGCGTATTAAAAATAGTGACAGTTGTCTGCCATACTGTGCCATTAAGTCTTCGATTTAGCCCGTTGGGTGCAGGTGAGGCTCAAGAGAATATGAAACGCGCTAGAACGAGACCACTTTCGCCAGTCATCAGGCCAAGGAGTCCAGACGGTCTCCTGGAAACTAGCGGCAAGGCAGGCAAGCGGCTGCCAGACTCTACCTTGTACAGGCTCAGGGAATGCTGTGTGACAGGAGTCGCATCTGAGTTGAGCTGAGACTAGAAAAGGAGTTCTGTGTTTGCAATACGACCGAACAGAACAAATACGAGTATCACTCGAGGGATGTCCGACAGACTGGCCAACTGTGATTGATGGAACGGAACGCCATGGCTTTGGCTTGTCTTTGGCTACCTGATTCTGGTTTATGCATCGAAGCCTGGGGCGTGCCGACAACAAATCGAAGGGTTCTCATCAGGGCGTGGGCATGTGCTCGCTCTCCTGTAAAGCCACGTAAGAAAAGAAGCTTACGCCGTTGTCGCATGTGAGTGGCTGGGGAGGAAAGGCGTCTGGAGGTCGATGTATTCGGAAATAGGCCAGAAGGACCTCAGAGTAGGAGAATGGAGAGGCCACGAGGGCAGAAAGAGCTCGTGGATTTGATATCGCAATAATAATAATAATCAATGACAGCGGAGTGGATTTTCCGCCCCAAGGACACGCCGATCAAAACGTTCAAGTGGAGCCTGGAAGCCTCAACCCCGCCCACAGTTCCAACGCTCTGGGGGCTGCCCTACAGTTGCAACCTGCCCACACAGGCGCACACCCGCCTAAACCACCGCTCCGAATCTCATGTCAGGCATGAATCGTACCCCACGTGACCGAGAGACTCAAGCGAACCAATGAAAAACCTGTCATGCCTTGTCCAGCCAATCAAATGGCACTAGAAACTGCGCACATTTTGTATCCCACCGTAGTCGCTCTCCAACTTGCTTCTCTCTATCAACAATCCCCTTCGCCTCCCTGACCTTCGCCATGGCGCCTTCTCTTCGGAAATCGTGTGACGCTTGCTTCGCGGCAAAGCGTCGTTGCTTGCCTCAACTCCCACAATGTGCAAGATGTTTTGAGAAACGACTAAACTGCACCTACGCCTTGGAGCCTGTGACCAATCTCGAGACAGATAGCTCCCGTCAGCCGCATCCAGCCACCCAAAAGCCTTGGGAGCCAGTCCCTCCCATCATCTTCGATTCGGTCGCTTCGGCCCATGAAGCCGCCGTGCGTTCCTACTCCTCCCAGGGTTCCCAGACGCTGCCTGTCATGGCGAATCCGGAAACGCTGATGCTGGTCGTAGAGCGTCACCTGAGACCTATTCCCGGGCTCACATTCCAGCAAAGGACAACCCCCTACATCCATAGCCAGGTGTTGTTGGCTTCCCAGCCGAATCCCGCAAGCCTGGATCTTCCAGACGTTGATGACTCGGGGACAACACTAGCCCCCAGTTCTGCCTTTCTACAAAGAGCGCAACAACACCTGCTGCTGCTAAATATTGAACGGCTAACGTTCACTGAGTTCCTGTCTGCATTCCACAACCTAGCGGCTATCCTGCTCTCCTTAATCTTGAGTTTTGACCACTCCTCTCCCGAGGCTCAACTACCGCCGACCCTGCTTGATCTCTGGACAACATGGACAAACCATCTGCACAGGATAATCCCACAAACACTCAGTAGCAAACTCTCGGCATGGCAGGCTTGGTGCACTGCTGAAAGCGCCCGCAGAACCCTTCTGTATATCATCCTTATCGATGGAATGGTGGAAGTAACCCAAAAGGGATTCTGCCATTACCGCCCCATGGTGGAGTCCCTGCCTTTCGATGCAAGAACAGGCCTCTGGGAGGCAAACACGGAAGAAGAATGGCAAGCAGCCGTGGCAGCGGACGACGGTGTTGAGTCTAAACTGATCTCATGGGCGGAGTTCATCGCAATTGGAGGCCCAGAGCCTCGCCAGAGCTATGACGGAATGCTTCAGCGAATGCTTCTTATGATCCAATTTGGCAGGGCCGCTGCTGATCTCCAGTGACCTGCCTCGTACACAAGCCACCGCAATCTATTCAGCGACAGACGCCCGTACCAAGTATTCCCGTTATGTTTCTGCATGGCGAGGCCAGCAGTGTCCACCCAAAAAGGTACTCCGAATCTCTCCTGAATTACACGAGTGGAAACTAATCCTATTGACGTTAGATGCCTTTCTTGCTCCACAACAACGTGGGCCGCCCAACGTACCACAACCTATATGGAAGTATTTGCCCTGGAAGAAGAAGGAAAATGACAGTGTCTGACTCGCCAGATGCTCCTCGCAGAGTATGGGTTACTCTCTTGCCTCGAGAGTGAGCCTCTCTTGTCTGACAGTGGATTTTCTTCGAGCGACTCCACTTCAGGATGACGACGACCCATCTCGAACAGTCAGAAGACGAGGTGAAGTTACACCGAAGGCATATAAAAGAGACGAAGCGACCACGGGCGCCCTGATCGAATGCAAGCCCTGCTCTTGCTGGCTCAACCAACCTGCCCGGTACAACAACTCGCCATTAAGCTTGAAGCATGGAATATAACCAGGACCTCCCCAAAGGCAATCCCTTGTAAGTCCCTCCAGCTATCTCAACTCAGCGACAATTTCCTGTTGTCTTCCAGTGAATGATAGTAATCTTCGCGGGCACATAGGAAACCAGTCTACTGCTGGGGCCACAAAGCTCTCCCTGTCCAACGAGGCGTGGTCACGTATGCCGTCTCTCCGAACAGGCTAAACCCATTGGCCAATGGTGTGCACAACGCCGTGTTCAACACGTACCGCCGAGCAAAGAACCAGGTACTGTACTGGGTCCCGCCGCTGGTCGCAGCGTACCTGCTGATGGACTGGGCGAATCGACGGTAAGTTATATCGAGTCTTTAATCGTTCCTATGCACAATCAGCCGAGAACTTTTTCGAAATGGATGTCCAGCGAAGAAGGAAACCTGGATCCCTGTGTTCTCTCCTCTTTTCTCTCCTACGATGCGACATTCTGAGCCACATGTATACGCATACTAACCGGGACCGTTGGAATAACAGGAACGAGTACCTCAATTCCAAAGCTGGGCGGGCGGAGGCAGCCGGAGGCGACTGACAGAGACAATCGATACCACGCAGTCTGCGGCGCAGGAGCGAAGAGGAAAAGTGGAAGAGAACCCAACCCAGCCCCGTCGAACTCGTTGTACTACAGTCTCATCGGTCTGGGTGGTCGAACACTGTTCCACCTTGCGTAGTCCGATCAAATGCATCCAGGAGGGTTTTGTCGGATAGAGTCATAAACATGTTTCTTCAAGATCGCGAGAGAAAAAACCCTTATTATTGGGCCACACTTACTGCATGGTAGAACTCGGTCTACGTTTGACGTTACCCGTAGCAAAAATACAGCTCATCGCTCGTTCTTCGCCTGTCGCCGAGGATTCGCTGGTCTTCCTTCGCCCTGTGTATTCCTTCTTTTATTTTACACAAACCAAATCCTCGTTTCGATGTTTTTGGCTCCTCTCAGCATACCATTGTAATTAAATGATCCTACCAAGTCCATTCATCCGAAGTCCCTCCGCGACCGCTCATACCATGATATACAGCTCGTCCCTAGGCAACCCATCCTCCTTCAAGTTTGGATAGTACGGCACCATCGCATCGGCGCTGTGAACGTACGCATCGTTGTAGAGTCTCCAGTATGGAGTGCGAACTTTCCTCGCCGGGTGGAACAGTCCTGCCCACACGTAGTTCATCACAATGCCAGTACCAACTGCCATTCTTATTGCCTCGATGGCCTCGATGATCCTGTCAATGACATGAGGCGACGTCTCGAATAAGTTGGGGTAGAGAAGGTTGAGGAGATGCACCATGGCGTCTTCACACCCGAGACCCATAACACCTAGAGCGACATGTTTGACGACACTGGCGGCCGTCTGTCGGTGGACTTGGTCCCGGTCAATAAGCGCATCCTCCAGTAAGGGTGTCACGGCATAGACATAGTCCTTGGCCATTTCGCCGATATATTCGAAGAGAAAACTCAGGGATTTCAGCACGCCGTTCTGCACATTTAGTTCAGGGACGCGGTATTCATTCATCAAGGCCGGTAGCACCGTGAATGGAGCGCATGTTTCAGCAACAATTCCGATAGCCACTGCTGTGCACACGCGGGACTGCCGCTCTTGGACACGCAGATTGTTGAGTAGGGTCGCGAGAACATCCTGCGGACCAATTGCTTTTGCGATAAATCCGAACGTGTTGTTGGCGGCTCGACGAATACCCTTCTTGTGTGCTTTCAGCATATCCAAAAGTTCAAAGCAGATACGCATCCACTCTCTTGCATTGACAGATTCAGGGCCTCGATCCGCAATACGTCCCACGAGATCAATGGTATTTTCCTGGACCTTTTCGTGGCGGTTGCGCAGAATGGGGGTTAGCCGCGGTAGCAGGTCCTTGATCGGTGGCTGCATTTGGTTTATTCCCACCACGGTGACAATGGACCGGAGGGCACCCAGGATGGATCCTAAGACTTCGGGATACTCCTCGCCGAGGTACTCGTAGAGGACGACACCAAGCTTACCCATCAGAGCATCTTCGCCACACTGCCTCATGACCATTGCAATACGCGAAATGAGGTCTGCGGCTTGCTGGCGAACAGTGGCAGATTTGTTATTCAATCGCCAGAGAATTGTGCTGACAATCTGTGGGAGGTAAGGTTTGCATCGCGTGCCTAGAGCGTTGACGACTGTTCCGAAGCCGTTCAGCATGACAATATCCTCGATACTTTGCTCTTGGAAAGCGTGGAGGATGCCGTCCACGAGCCGCTCTTCGAGTCGTTCACCGATATCCGCAGCGCCGAGAGAGGCGATGACCTTTTCAATAGTTTCCACAGTCATCTTGCGGTAAGCCTCGCTTTCGTCTTTCAGATTATTGACGATTCGCTCGACAATCTCGCTGACACCGACTTTCTGACCGAGATCAACCGTCGTCTCCACGACTTGACGGTAATTTCTCTTATCAAGTGCCATTCGGCGGACCCAGAAACTCTTGAAAAATTCTTGTAGCACGTGTTCCTTCAGATATGCAGCGGTGACACCGTCGGTGCTCGCGCACTGAGAAACAACTTTCAGCACGACTTTCTTCATTTCTTCGTCCGGCGAGGCGAACTCTCGAAGTAAAATTTCCATAATCTGGCTGGTGTAATAGTTTGCATACTCCTCGTCCATGAGAGGAATGATGTAGCCCACGGCTTTCAAGAAGCCAGCAAGCCCTTTGCCTCGTTGCTTTCTCGCGCCCGTCCAGAGAGGATTGAGAATATCGTCGAAGCTCTCGATACCATATGGATTGGCGGCCTCGGCAAGTGCAGCGATTGCCAGTGAAGTAACCGTCCTCACCTTTGCTTGTTCGTCACTTAGATTGTCGGCAATACAGTCGACCAAGCCTTTGAGATGAGGCAACACCGCGCAACCCATCAAAATGGGGATTTGCTGCACGATCTTGACCCCTGTGTGTCTCGCTTGCCATGACTTCTTGCTTCGACAGACTGCACGTAGGAACGGCAGGAGTGCTGGAATCCCCAATGCTGAAGCCACCACAGCGAACGCCCTGGCTGTGGTGTTACGGACGTATTCGTCCACATGGTCGATATCCGGGCGCATTGTACTGATCATATGAGCCAGGCCAGCAGCTTTTGCCAGATTGGAGATAATTTCCCGTCCTTCCACACGAGCGTAATAATCCTGATCGATAAGAAGAGGTTCAATCACGACCAAGATCTTGTGCACGTAGGGCCTGATCAGGTCATCGAGTTTGTAAAGAACACGGTCGATAACCTTGACGAGTAGATGGCGTTCCTGGTCTTCCAAGGACTTTTCCATCAACAAGGGCAAAATCTGGTTGAACAAGGGCCCAGCTCCAAACTGACGCGCATTGTCAGTCAATTGTCGGAGGGCAGTCTTACGCATTGGCGGAGTGCCGTTCTTGACTTTGAGCAGCAGGCGCATGATTTTTCTCTCTTTCAGCTCTTCGACTGACATGGCATTTTCATCAGCACCATCGACGAGTTTGCCGAAATAGGTCATGTCCTCAGCCTTGAAAAATTGAAGGTCACCCACACCGGGAATTTCAGTGGGAAGTTGCTTGCCCAAAATTCTGGGGTTCTCTGGCTCTTGCATCATGAAGCCGCCTATGCCGGCTGAGGCGCTCGTGGCGGGAGTGGCAACGACTTTTCTGGCGACAGGTCGGATTGGGGCATATCCGGGAGGTGGTTCGAGTACGGTGTAACCCTCAGTAGGAAGCATCATATCGAGTTCTTCATCTGACCAAGGAGCGTTTCTTCCAGTGATGTCTGTCCCGAAGCCTACCTGTGCCATTTGTGAGGGGTGCATTGGAGTGGCAAGTCCGGCATTGCCCAGGGGAGTCGCTGATGGAAGTGCAGGCGCCTGATCCCATCGGGAGCGTTTTGTTGGCGCTGGTGCTCCGTCCGGGGCTGGAGCCTGATCCCATCGAGAACGCTTTTTCACCTCGGCGCCCTCAGGAGCAGGAGTAGCCTCGCTGGAAACGTCCCATCTCTTCTTACGCTTGCGTCCCGTTGCCTCGACAGTGGACCCCGCGTCCGCATTCTCCTTGTCCGATTCTTCCTTGAGTGTTGGTTTGTGCTCGACGGCATCACCATTTGACTGCTTTTCGGCAATGAGTTTCTTGATCCGTTCCTCCTCGCGTTCAAGATCCTGCAATTGCATGACCTCGCGGTAGGTAGCACCTTCAGTGACGCCCGCGTGCTTGTTTGCAGCAAAGGGATCGGCTCGTGTAGGGGTCAAAGGGCCACGATCAAATCTTCGCTTCTGGTAATCAGTTTCACGATCTGCTATTCTGGCAGATTTCTCACGCCCAAGTAGAATATCCTCTTCCTCCACACCATTTCCCGCTGCGAACTCGTTCATTTGATCCTTTGTCGCTGTATACTGCCCGACAAGTCTCCGACTGCTGTCTGCATCTGGCATCTCATCGTCTTCGCCATCGGTGGGGAGAGAAGTGTGATAACCCGCGAACTTGTCGGCGCCATCGCGGTCGTAGAGAATGGTATCAAAACTTTCAGTCAAAGACGCCTTGGTGGATGAGTCAGTGCGTTGAGTGGATGGATCGAAGGTCTTTGAACCTTTCTTGCCGGCTGCCTGAGCATTGCGCTCTGCCTGCAGGCGCCGCACAGTATCGAAGTCGGCTTGAAGTGACGTTAGCTGGACGTTCGGAGTTGATCGAGCTGGGTGCTTACCGTCCGACATGTTGCGCGCCGTGACGACCTCGATAACTCTTTGAGTAAGGAGAGACAAGAGGGAGGGTATAGAGGAGAAAGGTGTTGATTCGTGAAATGATTGTCTCCGCAGTCACTTCATTGCAACAGCGAGAGGCGAAAAACGAGAGAGAAGTCTAATTTGTCACTATCTTTGTCTGAATAGTCATGTGACCAGGAATTTTTCTTGGCTCCTCCTCACTTTAGTCGAGAAACCGTTGGTCTTCCCGGCTAGACGACGTTGGACCCCAAGCAGCAAGCACCTGTCTCTATGAACGGTTCAGCCACCAATATTCGTGAAGAGAGGTGCGCATAGACTGTTACATTCTACCTGTTACCCGTTTCTGCACATGTGAATCTCGTATGGGCCCTGCAGTACCCGACACTTGGCACCAAAAAAGTATGAGTCGAACTCAGTGGCGCGGTAGAGAAATGGTGCTGGGTGTGCACCCGTAGGACAGGGGAGGTCGATACGGGCGCTGGTGGTGGCCACGAAAAGATTTTCCTGCCTAAAGAGGCATTCTCCGGGGCCTAGAATGGCCAGGCTCCAGCAGTAGCAGGCTGCCAGGGTCAGTTAAAACTAATGCCTGCAGCAGAAGTAATTAATATCCTAAGCACCCGCTAACTGAGGAGGTGCATGCACACCAACCCCACACTGCTTGGACCTAATGGAAACGGCCTACTAGCCTGCACCTCCTTTCCCCTTCCCACCGTGCCACTCCCTCCCACCACCAGCTGCACGAGTTTACCGTCCTTACACTGCCAAATCGCCAGGCCCTGTACATTTTCTCCTGGTGATCTCCCAATCGCTGTGGTCTTGCGCTGGGCAATACCACGCACGTCGCTGACCTGGACGTCGCATCACATCGTTCCTGCATAAGGCTTTTTCACATTCCAATTCTTACCCCCGGCATCTCAACTGTCTCTATTCGAATGCCTCCGATGTTTCATTCCCCCAGCCGTTCGCTCGTCTCTCTGACCTCCGGGTAACGTCGTATTCAGCATCTTGCTCGATCGCCCTGCAGTTTGGTAATCCTTTAAACCCAGGATTTGTTTTTGTCGTTATATTGGTTGCATCATCTCGAAGCGTACCGAATCTGCTCTGAACCCAATGCGACGAGGGCAGGCCGAATAAGTGATTGTCCGACCCTCCTCCTCGCAAGGCTCCGTTCTCGCTTTCCCCTTCTCCAATCCTCCATGCCAATGCCAGGTTGCTCAGATCACGGTCTGGCAGGCGCCCGTCGAAGGAAATCGAAGCAAAAGACTGGTGCGCGCAGTCCGTACCCTCGTTTTGGTACAGAATAGTTGCCGTGGTGGCAAGGACAAGATTTGACGTCGATTGTTCGATCGGCGAGAGGGCTCGTCGGGTCCTAGACGATGAAACCGAATGAATGGGAGGAGATGGCAAACGTGGCAACCCAGACAAGGTCCAGATCACACTTGATTCAACGGAGATCCAGCCGCCAGGCTTCGTCCCGGGACAGGCATGGCAAGATCTTCGAAGAGTCAGAACACACCACCATTCGCGCAGTGACGCCAGACTATATAACACCTCGCGCCGACTCTTTCGATGCTAATCACATCCACTCTCCAGTACTGCAGCCCACACGCACGCGGCATTCACAGAGAAAACGGGAGACCTCCACATCAGCCTCAAACGCCGAGGAAGACAGCACCATTGACAGAAGAAGGCGGAGGGCACAGACCAGAACAAGTACAAACGAAGAAACTCCAGTGGATGTCTCGCCAGGATCCTTCATCACCAAAACTCGCAAGAGGCTCGGGTCCATAGCCACAGGGCTGCCCATCCTCCCTCCCGATGAGGCTCACGGATCAATAGGGTTCCCATCAGTGGTGCAGAGTCCCGAATATTTGGACCAACATGGTCCTCCCAAAACTCCTCGCCGGCCATTTTCCCCCGATGACTCGTTTAGCGCGAGCGCAAACAGTCTCCGTTCTCCCAAACTGCTTGATATCGACTCCGGCAAAATTCTCCATCTCATGAAAACTACCTGTGGTCGAATGCATGGTATTCTTTTCTTTAGGCCACTGCATACGACGGCGTGGGCTTCTGGCTACTGTGCAATTAATGTTGCGCCTGGCAGTTTGGTATGCCAGACCAAAGGCGAAGTCCACCAATCCAAGACACTGATACCAGATCTGCGGGGCTGCACGGTCAGAACACATTACGACCATGAATCTCAAAGCACTTATCTGAGTGTTTTAGTTGCATCGTCAGGAAGTGGTTATCAGCTTCGGCCTCCAGTGCCTGAAACATTCGACTCGTGGCTCGCAGCATTGCTTTGCTGGCAGCCATTGAGACCAAAGGGAATACACAACAAGATGACCAAACCCCAGCCAGTCGGAATCGCCGAGAAAAAGGCAGTATCACAAAGGCGTCTTTCTGATTTCACCAACCCCAAGGCCACAGCTATTGTAAAAGTGGGAAAGATGCTACTCTGGGACGGACCATTACCCTCAGGATCTCAACTTGAATCTTCTCCCAGCAGCATTGGCCGGTCGATGACGGAAGAAAACTATCTCTGGCGCAGAGTGAGCTGCACCCTGCACGAAAATGGCACATTTCGCCTTCTCAGCGAGATTGATAGTCAGGTGCTCTCGGTAACACCACTGTCGCAGCTTTCTCGCTGTGCGGTTCAGCGACTGGACGAAAGCGTACTACGTATGCCACACTGTATTGCGATTTATCCCCAGTATCGCATCCAGACCTCTGTTATGGGGCTTTCGAGACCGATGGTGTTGTGCTTAGAATCACATGTCGCACTCGAAGCTTGGTTTGTCTTGCTCCGAGCCCTGACTGTGCCAGAGTTGTATGGTCCAGAGCAACTGTCTCCTGAAGACGCACAAGCTTTATCGCAACCGTCGCAACATGGTAATAACGTCCCTACGCAGGGCATGTTTCGGATAGAGCGATCCCTCTACATCAAAATAACTGAGGCGAAGTTTGCACAGCGATCCGCACCACAAGAGACCTATGAATATAACAAGGCAAAGGGGAAATCCGCGAAGGTTGAACAATCTAAAGAAGGGGTATACGCGGAGATCTTGCTGGGCAAGGACTTACGAGCTCGGACGACCACCAAGCTCACTGTCTCTTCAGCATTCTGGGCCGAGGAGTTCAATCTACCAGACATTCCTGCGGCTTTGTCAAAGATCACCATCGCGGTCAAGCTTGGAAACCCTGCAGAGAAGGAATGGACGATGGTCGCCGATGGCCTCTACGATATTTCGGCAGATGCTGGGTACCTTTCCGGCCTCGGCGGTCTGGAGATTTCGTCCCACGATCCGATCTTTGGGAGAGTGGATGTTTCGATTGATGAGCTGGAGCGTAGTGGCACCATCGACAAGTGGTGGCCTCTGTTGGACAACAACGACCATTCTGTTGGTACGGTCCTAGCTCGACTGTCGCTGGAGGAGACGGTGATCCTGATGGAGGCTGAGTACGATGAATTTGCATCTCTACTGCACAACTACTCCAATGGCCTGACAACACAAATCGCCCATCTCCTCGGGCCCGATCTCCGGCAGTTATCTGACATCCTTCTGGACATCTTCCAGGCATCAGGAAATGCTACTGACTGGATCAATAATCTTGTAGAGGAAGAAATCGACGGCATCTACAAAGACACACCCCCAATGCGGATGCGCTTCAGTAGCCGTATTCACTCCAACGACTCGTACGAATCCGCTGAGCAGAGAGAGATGCTGGTCCGTGACCTAAGTCGATCGGCTACGATGGAGGCCAATTTGCTTTTCCGAGGCAACTCACTCGTAACCAAGGCACTCGATGCCCACATGCGCAGACTGGGCAAAAACTATATGGAGGAAGTTTTGGGCGAAAAACTGCGCAAGATTATCGAACGCGACCCTGACTGCGAAGTAGACCCCAGCAGAGTCCGATCGCCAGAGCAGCTCGACAAGAACTGGGCGAACTTGATATTTCTCACCAACGAAATCTGGAAATCGATATACGCCTCCGCGGGCCGGTGTCCAATGGATTTACGCGTCGTGTTTCGCCATGTCCGGTCTTGCGCAGAGGATCGATATGGCTCTTTCATACGGACGGTCAAGTACACGAGCGTCTCTGGCTTCCTTTTCCTTCGTTTCTTTTGCCCTGCAATCCTGAATCCAAAGCTCTTCGGGCTGATCCAGGGTAAGTTTTGCTGCATTCTTTTCCCGGCTTATGCTAATATCATCTAGATCACCCCCCTGACCGCACAAAAAGGACTTTTACATTGATCGCGAAGTCCCTCAACGTGCTTGCGAACCTGGCACGATTCGGAACGAAAGAGCCTTGGATGGAGCCCATGAACAAGTTTTTGGCGGCGTCGACAAACCAATTCAGAGCCTTCATCGACGAGATATGTGCTGTGAGCTCCTCTCAGATAGCTTCGGCAAAACTTGAGCCTCAATATGCCGCGCCGAACCAGATACGAGGTCGACTTCCAGCTTTATCCCGAGAGGGCCTCCCTAGCCTTCCGTTCCTTCTGGACCATGCAAAGCTGATGGCACAGCTCATTGACTTATGGGTCACGCATGCCCCCGAAAACATCAGCGATGCAACTGACGACGAGGTCGTGCAGGCATTTCATGCGGTCTGTGTGCGGCTCTCCCAGAGAAGCAAAGAATGCCTGAAAGCTGCGGAGCAAGCTGAACGGCCTGACGAAAGGTCAGAACATACCTGGCAACGGCTGCTCACGGACCAGCAAAAAGCTATATCGCCCAGCAACGCTTTTGAAGAGTCTCTACTGAGATCACACAGGGACAATGAGATCACGGCTCTTCCCCAAACAGCAAACACCGTGACAGATGTGGAATACAGAACTGCTGAGCTCTCTCCAATTGTAGGAGAAGGCGACACAACACCATCAAGCTCAGCTTCGGCGTGGGAAAGACGGATCCCCTACCCTCACCGGGCCACAGAGGCGCGAACGATGACAAACTCGACGAATTCGTCGACCGATGCAGTTGACCTGACTGAAGATGCTCGGCGGCCGATGTCTAGCAGCCGCGATGGTTCGGCAAAAAGCCGTCTATTTGAATTAATGAGTTCCTCTTCGCGGCGAAGAGGAAAAGCTGGAGATCGCAGTTATGTGGACGATGACGGGCACGACATTTGACGACAGCAGCAGCAGCAGATTTTTGATGACTTTTTGATGTCGCTAGATACCACCTCATGTACGAGAAACAATGATCTTTCAGCCACAAAACTCAGGTACAGCTTCTCCAGTTCTGCAGATAATTAGCGAATATCATTCGGCTTGCTCCTTCACAGACGAGTTTCCTTTCAAGAGACCAGAAAAATAGAGCGATCTTTGTTCCACACGTAGACGGAAAAGCCGTCTATATGGAGAGCCAGGTGGTTGGCCTTAGGGGCCCATTTCCTGCCGTCTTATGCTGACCAGCAATATTACTATGCAGACAGATCGAAAATTGGGGGCATTTCCCGCACTCCTCTTTGCACGAGGGCATCGCTATCCTTAAGTCTGACACATGGTGCTCTGAGGGTCTTGGTATTATATAAACTTGTGTCAGAGATCAGGCCAGACCGACTTGACTGCCAAAGTCCTAGATGTCAATCTGCCCTCAGACATCAGATCAACCTCTCTTTGGCGGCCAGCCGTCCCGCCACCACGTCCAACCAATCCAGTATCCTCGGGAACCAGAGCATTTGCTCTTGCCTCCTCCACCACGCTGCACCACGACTACCGAGTGATTCGTGCCCCCTTTCTTTTTCCTTTGCCTTCTCCCTGCTCAAATCCATGGCTCTGTCCTCCTCGATCCCTCCTAGCACTGCGTACGTTCCCTCATCCATCTCCACTCCACCCCTCTCCATTTCCGCGAGCAATCCATCCACCTCCCTCAAAGAACTCCGCGTCAGCCAGACCAAGGATATCAACGAGTTGTAGAACTGAGGGCTGGCACCGAGTACGTAGGATGTTGTACCCAGAGAGCGGATCCGCGGCAGCAGGAGCAGTGCGTAGGGTGACGATGGGTAGAGGTTGATGTATAGCCTGAGGGCGAGGAGGAGGGAGGCCGGATAGGTGTGTTGGAGAATTGCTAGTTGGGTCGTGGAGAGTGTCGGGACCGAGGGTGCGTTTGGGCTTCCTAGAGGTGTGATGTCCGTCGTGGTTTCATGGCTGCTGGAGGCAGGAGACGAAACTCGTATCTCTCTCTCTGCCGCCTCCACTAATTGGCGTGGGTCGTCCGACTTTTCTCGCGAAAATGTGAACTTCCGCAGCCCACCGTATCTTGGCAGCTGGTCCTTGCCGCTGAGCGCCTGGCCAGGGTGGGATTGCAAGTCCCTGGCCATCGAAAAGATTCGAGACTCGCAGACTTCCCACATCGCAACCTCGCCTCTCTTGGTCTTTGAATATGCCGCTTCCTGGAGGGCTCGAGATATAGATTGCATGTGCTCACGAACGGCATGTTGGATGGATTCCTCGAGTTGGCTGAAGGGGTGAGATGGAAGGGCAGTCTCAGCGAGCGATTGCTCCAAGATGTCTCCTTCTTGTAGTTTGGAAATAGATTCTCCCTTCAGGGTCGGTAGAGCTGAAGGCTCGTCGACTTCTGTGGCTTGCAGGGGCACGGAGAGGTCTTCACCACGGGTTTCCTTAGTAATTAGACCCAGCTGGTCTGCCAAAGCCGTGTCATGCTGTTCCGCCAATCTGGTCCCAGACTGTTTAACCGCGGCAAGGGCATCTTGTGTCGTTTGCGCTAGTCCGGTGGTTGGTTGAATGTTGGACTGCCCGATCCTAGCTTCCGGATGAACAATACTCCCATCGGATTGTCGAGCAAGACGAGATCTCTCTCGCTCAGACTGATGACTCCGCAGAGAAGAAGTGAATATCTTGAGAATATTCTCAATGTCAGTGTCGGCCGCATCGGCATAAGATGGGCGTCGCTGTGACGTAGTGGCTTCGGTCTGTTTAGGGGCAAACCGAAGTATTGTCTCAAAGGCTCTGCGCTCGCTGGCGGTGATGGTAGAACTGATGGTTGTTTCGGAGTTTTTAGAGGTGGACTTAGACGCTATCGGAGACCAAGCGACGCTTCGGGCTTTTGCTTTGAGAAAAGACTCTTCGTCAGGGGCAAGGGGAGATCTGCCATCTTCGACCGGGGCATTTGAACCCCTTTGAGATGATGCAAATCGTGGACGTGAGCGACAAACTCTCTTTGGCAAGCGCAGGATCGTCCGGGTATGGTAGAGGAATGGTAGTTCAATGCGAGTGGCCATGTCCAACGCTGCAGAAACCAGGAAAGCGACGTGGACGAGGATGGCTGGGAAGAGCAAGAAAATCCATATCACGTGGACTTCAGGAGGTCGGCACGCGTTCGGAGGGACATGTGACACGTTTCCACTAACCTATTTCAGTTCTTGGCAGATTTGCCTGCTTCTCGGAGGCTGAAACGCTCTCCGCCCTTTCTTAACCGCAACTGCGCGCCGCGCCCCACCACGCACCTAGTGACACTTGACACTCGCCCTGCCCACGTCCATGATCCCTCGTTGATAAAGACCATATCTACGCCTCAACTCTACGTCGCTTCTCTACCTTCTCTTACTGCGATTACAAATTCCGACCTTATTACTGCAAAGCCCACCCCCTACATTGCCCGACTTCACCCCACCTCACATTCCGCCCAGACGTTCGCGTTATCGTCTTCCCTTCACCCCCACGCTGGTCCGCCGAACACGTGGATACAGTGCGTTCGTCCCCGAGTCTGCGCGGTCCAGGTGCCGCATGACTTGTGGCACAACTCGCGATCACACATTCCTCCGGGGTAGCCTGACCACGTCTGTCGCCAACAAAAGAGCCTCCGACCCTTCTGCGTGCGCTGTGCACGCTCTCTTACTGTACTCTGTGACTTACCCGCACCATGAGCGCCGCCCTCCCTCGATTGACCTCGGACCCTGCAGCTGCGTGGAACGATCATGAGCAATACGGAACCATGAATCGGGGACATTCAAAGAGTACCACACAACATCCGGGGTCTATGATGCATGGACCGAGCAGACAGCGCAATGGCTTCGGCGGCAATGGTGAGAAGGCCGTGCCCGTACCAGGGTCGACGGTATTCGGGAACGGCGCAGATAGAAAGAGCAGTATCTCACAGGCCCAGCCGTTATTCGATATAGCGAGAAGCCCTCCCACCACGTCAAGCAAGAGTGAGTCAGACCAAATGCCGACGCACGTATGCTGACTTGTTGCAAGATACCAAGCACGTCCCGTGTAAATTCTTTCGTCAGGGGGCCTGCCAGGCAGGTAACGCGTGCCCTTTCTCCCATTCTCTCGACCCAATGACGCAGCAAGCACCTTGCAAGTATTTCATGAAGGTACGACGGTCGTGGGGAGTAATGGAGTCGGAACTAACATGTACAGGGGAATTGCAAGTTCGGCGCCAAATGTGCCCTTGCCCACTATCTTCCTGACGGGCGACGAGTCAATCGAGCAGACCTCGATGCTGGGTTCGCCATGGCAGGCCGAAATTTCAACTACGCCAATCGAGCAGACCAAGCGCCATTCCCCAGCCAGGAACCCAGCCTGGCCGATCCCGTACTCAACCAACCGCCTTACAACTCAGACTACTTCCCAGGTCAAGGGTTTCCGTTGATGGACAGTGATGAAGCAGATGCGTTTCAAGACCGGTACAACCAATATCAACCGCCCTCCACCCTCGATTCCGGACTCAACTCTCCCCCAACATCTCAGTTTGGTTCTCCCCCCAATGATTTCCAATTCCCTAAATCGCCCGTCGAAAATCTTCGGACCGCCCTCAATGCGCCTCTACCACAATCCTTTGACGCGAACGGAGTTTCCCACATAGCGAAGTACGGACCTCTCGGTCAGTCTGTCCCAGACAAGTTTGGCATGCGATCTCCAGCCTCTTCTTCGTTGTCAAGACAACTTGGAAGTCCTCCGGAATCGATTGTCAATGTTCGAAACGCTAATTTAGGGTCTAATCTGAGAAACGTGTCGCCTTTGGGTCTTTCACCGCAGAATGCCGAGGAGTCCATTGGCCAGCGAATCATGCATTCTCAGAGGCCCGTCAAATCGAGAGGGCTGTCAGCAAGTGTTCCGCGTCCATATTTACCTTATGAATGGGAGGAGGGGTTAGGGGCGGAGACAGACTTGCTTCCCAATAGTTTGCACGACGAAGTCCTCACTCCCCAGGAAAAAATGCGCCGCACTTCAAGAGCGGATCAAGAGCACAGTTCCAAGGATCACGTCCACGCCCTGGCAATTCCAAGTGGAACTTCAAGCAAAGTCGGATCACCACCAGCAGGAAGTCCTTCTAGATTCAGTGCCTTATGGGCTGAACAGAGGGAGAAAAAGGCTGCCGAAAACAACGGGCCGTCCAGCTTTGGCCATGTGGGTTCTCCTCTTCGTGGGTCCTGGATGCCCAACGAGTCAACGCCGAGCGTACAGATATCTGGGATATCCCAAGCGATGGCCCGCATGCAGCTCAATCGAGTCGACTCTGGCGAATTGAATGGTTTGAGGCTCCAGTCCAGTGGTTTGAGACATTCCTCGGCGCCAATTGGCCGATTTGATCGTGGGATCTCCAGCCCTGGCCTGAGTTCCAAGAAGATTGACGAGGAGGTTGAAGGAGTATTCTTCCCCATGGACGGCGATGACAGGACACCAAACTGGTCAGGCCAATCGCCTCGACTTGTGCCACTGCGTGACCGAAGCAATGGTGACTTGACAGGTCCAAAAAAAGACATCCCGGGACTGGATGAGAATGGGTTGAAGTCAATATGGGCATTTCGCTCGTGAACGGTTTTCCGCAAATTGCGACGCATAGCGATACACGTTGTCACACATAATAACGAAGCACGACCGGCGTCCAAAAAATGTACAGGATGTTCGATAACACTCCGGTTCCTCATTCGAGTGACGAAGGCATGAAACCCCAAAACTTATTGCATTCACACACATTGCAAGGCGTTTACAATGAACGAAACATGAAATCAGAACCAGGGCTTTTGAGTCAGAAGGAGAGAAATGATCGGCGCTACAGATACCTTTGCTTGTTTCCAGGGCTTGCTTATTATATGGGGGCGTCATAGACACAATGTCGCCAAAGTGAATATGAGAGTTTAATTCCAATAACAGTCGACCTAATGTGGACCATGACAGTGACCCAAGACGCGTCCAGTACTCGGTTTATACTGCAGGGCTTTTCTATAAGAGGCCGATGCGGGATGAAACGCTAAGGTGAAAAAGGCCCGATTGGGCCGATAGACCTTCCCTCGACAACTGCGTCTCTGCATTGAACTTTTTTGAGTCCGTGAACCAGCTCTCGACATCTACTTGACCACCCCAGTTGAAGTCGGCATTTTCCCTTTTCCCCATCCAAGGCATGTTGAGTAGTAGCTCGGTGTGGCGGCTATGCTCAACATGCATTGGACCTTTGCTGCGCACGGCAGCTAGAACCCCTCATCGTCGAGTCCGCTTCCAGAGCTCAGGTACGCACTCGGGTATACCCGCATATTTCGATGTCCCAGGCCTTTAGACAAAGTCCCAGTGGTTGACTTCTCGTCCAGGAACCATAGGTTCGGGAAATGGGCCAGAAATCTCGCCGATTCTTCTGCAGCGCGCAAGAGCAGTGGCCGCCGAGCACCAGCAACTGGCTGCGGCAAACGCAGAGAACTACGATGTCGCCGTCGCGAAGAAGATCGGGGAGCTGGGTCCCGTGTCGACGGCGTTGAAGGAGTGGGATGATGCTCAGAATGTATTTCAAATACCCTTTGTCGCCGTCGGATATCGCAGGTCTACATGTTAACAATGTATTGGGGGGGAAATAGTCTCTCAGAGAACTCAATGCTCTCCTGCACGACCCTTCTTCCGACTCCGAGCTTCGCTCCCTCGCGGAAACCGACATCCAAGCGACTACCGCATCCTTGCACTCACTTGCCTCAAATCTCAAGAGGTCGCTCATCCCGCCTCACCCTTTCGCCTCTATGCCCTGTCTGATCGAAATCCACCCGGGCGCTGGAGGCTCCGAGGCTTCCCTCTTCGCCCAGTCCCTCTTGAACATGTACACCGACTTCTGCACGCGGAAGAGATGGCCTACAACCCTGGCGAGCTACACGCCGGACGACTCAACCCATGAGGCGGGACTGACCGATGCACTGCTGGAAATCAACCATCCGGGGTCGTACGATGTATTAAGGACAGAGGCAGGAGTCCATCGCGTCCAGCGTGTCCCCACGACCGAGAAGAAAGGCCGCACACACACCAGTGCGGTCTCAGTGCTCGTGCTGCCCAACCTGCCCGACTCTCCCGCCCACGCCGAGGGCTTGGACTACGACGACCCGAACTCGGACTACTACATTTCGGCGGCGGAGGTCAAGTCGGAGACGATGCGGGCGCGCGGTGCGGGGGGCCAGCACGTCAACAAGACCGACTCGGCGGTGCGGTTGACGCACATGCCGACGGGGACGGTGGTGGCGATGCAGGAGTCGCGGTCGCAGCACAAGAACCGCGAGAAAGCCTGGACGCTGCTGCGCGCCAAGCTGGCCCAGATGCGCCGAGAACAGCGCGAGGCTGAGGTCATCAGCATGCGCCGCGCCGCCATGGGTGGCGTCGCCCGCACCGGCCGCGAGGACAAGGTGCGCACCTACAACTTCTCGCAGAACCGCGTCACCGACCACCGCTGCGGCGTCGAGACCAGCGACCTCGACGGCGTCCTGGCCGGCGGTGAGAGTCTGGAGGAAGTTATGGGCAGCGTGCGCGAGTGGATGAACGAAGAAGAAGTGAGGGGCCTGGTCGCCGAGGAGGAGATGAAGATGAAAAGCACAGTAAGGGCATAGTAATAGCAATGGCAACAGGAACGGGGACGGGCACGGGAAGAAATGAGACCGGATCTCTGTCTGCTGAACGGATTCATGGCATCTTCGTGGCGGTGATGCTTTTCTCTCTTCATTTTCTACCCTCCAGCTGTTTTCATGATGCCTGCTACATACAGCAGAGAAACTTTGCCAGTTTCATAGAGCCACCAGGTATGAGCTCTAGTTCTTCATGCCGGCTCTGATCTGACCACTCGCTGTTGCTCGTGCTTGGTTCTCAACTCAAGAAAGCCCATTTTCAGTCCATCAGATCTGCCTGTGTGTCTGTCTGTCTTTCCTCGTTCAATGCCATGCCATGCCGTGCCCTGCTTATGGATATCATATCATGATACCCTTTAGTCCAATGCTCGTCATGTTGCTGGGGTACTCTTGGTGCCCGTAAGCTCGATTTTTTCTTTTCTTTCCCGACAGCTTCCTTCTGTCACACAATGTTTTCTGTTCACTGTTTCCGTCCACGGCCTTGAATTCGAGAGCTTCGTGATGATCCCTCAAATGTTAGCGTTCAATCGCATTTGCAGCTTGGGGCCGTTCAACTGCGCATTGGAACGGACTACTCCGCAGACATTTGTTGTTGATAGTTTTGAGTCCCCGTCGTGTGATAGATTGATTCGATCCGACCATCCATACCAATACCCTTGCATGCATGGATTCATTCAATCAGCGTCCATTCATTTCGCCACGGCGGCGCTCAACACCTGCGTGCGGAAGAATGCACCCTTGGTCTTCTCAATGACCTGTTGGTACACGCTCTGAGGGGGGTGGTTCATGACGACCGTTCCAGCCTGGTAATCGATTTTGGCATCCACCTTGGTGTCGCGGATGAGGTTGACGATCCATTTTTCACCTTCAGTTGGAGAAAGGCCCAAGCGGGTGGAGAGGTCCCTGAGTCAAGAAAGTTAGTATTTGAGGTATTTCAATGTTTCACTGGGAGCAGACGCCGTTGGACTTACTTGATATCAATTCTCTGGTGGATCTTGCAATAACTCTCCGAGATGAGATGTCTGGCACTCTCCATAAAAGTATCAGTCGAGCTTCCCAAGAAGAAGTCACCCCTCAAAATCGCCTCAGCTTCAGACAACTTCTTCTGTGCACCTTCGAAATCGAAATCGACGTAGAGGGCCTTGACGAACTCAGTCACGGGGTCTTGATACTCGTAAACTTCCTGTTTAACAACTCTGATGAGATCCTTGAGTTGTTTCTGGTAGTTGTGCGAGTTGTTCATGCGGGTGCGGTTGGTGATGACTGCTGCCGCAAGGTAACGGAGGATCCAGGGACAAACGGTTTGTATGGAAGAGATGTATGGCGCAGAGAAGTACATTTCCGTCAACTTTTCACGAGCAGGTTCATAGTTGAAGAACGGGAAGAGGGCATAGTGAACCAAGGCTTCGCGGGCCGTGAGTTGAGCGCGAGGATTGTTGAACAGCCGGGTCTCGATATGTTCCTTGACTTTTTCCACTTCTTCGAGCGCGTTCTCCCATTCTTCACCTAGGATTTCACAGACCAGCTTGCCCCAGGTGGCTTTGACCACTTTTTCATTGTCAGTTGACAGAACGCGGAAGCGGTAGAGTAAGTCAGCGGCTTCGGGATAAAGACCGCACTGGTAGCGGAATCTGCCAAAATCATAGAGATTGTCCACCATCTGCTGCGTGACGCCGTGTTGTTCTTCGAGGAACTTCAAGTTGGCGACCTTGTCACTTCGGAGTTGTGAAGTGACTGACTCGTCGTTCAGCAAGTTGGTCAGATGTTCAGACTCCTCTTGGTATTTTGCCAGTTGGTTCAACACTTCCTCTCTCTTCTTCGCAAAATCGGCTGGCGTCGACTCTGTCTTATGAATTTCCTTGTAGAGATTGCCCACATAGTCAATCATGTTCGTGTCACTAAGAAGGTTGAAAATGGCCTGTTTGATGTCATCGTACCGCTGTTGTGAGATGTCTTCGGACCCGAGCTTGTGTTCAAGTAAAGGAAAGATAAGATGTCGATCCATGCGCTGAATGAGCTTCGCCAGGAAGGCATACTCGCCGGTTGGGTCTTCGAGGTGCGACATCTTGAGTAGTGCTCCGAGTCTGGGCTCGAGTCCAGTGTCAATTGCTATGAATTGTTGTTCCAGCAGGGACAAATTCTCCTCTGTGAGAGGGTGTGTGGGTGGAGGAGGCGATGGCGACGGGGTTGGAGGGAGGAAGAGACAAAAGATGTACTCAGGTATATCTTGATTATCTTCGTGCTCAGGATGGCCGGGCGGAAGGTTGTTGACCTGCGGCGACATTTTCAATTATCGGTGGTGCGCCTGTGAAATTGAGTTGAGAGAGGTGAGGCTATACCGAATATCGTTAGCGGTGTTTTTGAGAAAAGCGGCGATGCCAAGGTAAACCCTTGGCATTTTCAGCCTTGTATTTCACGTGCATATCCAGCCCAATGTTCTCGTCTCGATTCTAACGTGCACGGCGTTGTCCATTTGTATGTGCATTCAACCACGACCATGAAGGCTCCTTCTACTCTTCTTCTACGGGCTATGCTACGCCCACAACAGCCTTTATGCCAGGTCAGATGGAAGTCAGAATGGATGCCTAGGGAGAAGTACGCGAAAATCACAACTCTGGACAAGCTGCACCGAAGACAAAAGGCAGCTGTTCGCAAAGAAAGTAAGTTCATTGCTGCGGCAGAGCTGCTTTCTTGCTCTTGCTGGGACACTCACTGACGTGAACCTTGACCCACAGGACAGGACAGCGAAGATCGTGCTGCGAAAATGTATCCTACCTCCAGTCCTCCAGCAACCCTCTCACCGGCACGACAGCAGCAACAGCCACCACAGCAATCCCCTCCTCAACAACTTTCTTTCCTCAAGAGCCAGATTCAGAGCCACGACCTCACGCCAACCCTTTCCCCGCTTCCCTACCTGATCACGCGTACTCCATCGAAAAACCTCCCAATCTATCAGACCGCCAAGGCCGGCGGATCCAAACACATCACGACGATCCGCAAGATCAAGGGCGATCTCCAGGAGCTGGCGAATGCTGTGCGCACTGCCTTGAAGCTGGAGGAATACATCACCGACGTGCGAGGGCGCAAGAAGGCCAATGTCGTGATCAACTGGACGACGAGGCATGTGGTGGTGAGGGGCTGGAGAGGGCCCGAGATCAAGCGGTGGGCGGAAGTGAGTGGGTTCTGAAGAACTCTTGAGAAGAGGGCAAAAAGGACCTGAAGGATGGATTGGGCGTCTACGGGTACACGAGTAACGCGGGCAATCCAAGTTCCCCAAGCGGTGATGGTGATGGCGATACGACAGCGGATTGTGTTCGATTGGGCTTACCGCCCCGAGTACTCCCTGTAGATCAGTGACCGGGTCCGGTGAGACTGAAAGCTACGTTGCAGAGCGAAGAGCTCTATTCGAGCAGATCCAAGTTGAGTGTATTCAGATTTGCAAAGACAAGATGCCTGTTGGGCCATTTTTTTTTACGGATCGATACAAGAGACAGACCCAGCCTTGAGATACACCAATAGTCTTAAGTGTCAGGGAGAAACCCCTACCACCCTTGCATGTATTATTAACAAAGTCGGATTCGAGTCCACTATGTCCTTGCCAACATTATAAATGTATGATCTAACGAACGAGCGCCAATATTCACAGAAGCGCATCTCAACAGACTAAGACCTCTCCTTCGCATTGAGACCGAATCCAAATCAAAAGAGTATCTTTATTGAATCAAGTTGAAGACTAAGTACACACATTTTGTGCTCTTCCCTCTCTTTCTAGAGCGGATAAAAGCATCCTTTGAGTACCCAAACATTGGAAGCTTCATGTGGAGGTACAAAAAGGCCCCCAAGTCAAGCCATTGAAAGTCCTTGTCATAGCAAATCTTGCTCATCTCCGCCAACTCGTATTTGCACACGCTGGATGAATGTAACAGGGGTATGCTCAAAATCCAGCCGTCAGCTCAACCGCGCTCATGCAACCCAATGCTCGTGAGACTAATCCTCTAAACCGGCATAAACACAAAGCTGCCGCAGGATGCCGGGGTCAATATCTTTCTGTATCATCGCTCCCAACAAACTCTCTTTGCTTGGCATGATACCCAATGGTACTATTGTCGAGCCGTGTTCATCAGTCCTGCGGGCCTTTTGCACCAAGGTCTTCAGGACGGCGATGGCACGATTCGCTATTGCCCCATGACCATTGACGTCTGGCTCAAAGGCATTGTTTCGGTTGTTCGGGAGTGGATGCCTGGGAACGGTCTGCGTCGTCCGATCGGCACTCAACAGACCAACTACCCGTAGAAGATTGCCAGCAAAGCCATCATCTGACTCGAGCCACGAGCGCGCTAATGGATGGTCTGAGCCAGGTGCAAGACTTGCCAATATTTCTGCTGCCAACATTCCTTGCAGGAGGAAAGGTTTCCGTGCCTCGATGAGTTGCCTGGTGTGGTTTGAGTTTGCTGGTATTGAAGAAATGGCGAGACCGAACGCCCTAGTCAATAACTCGTATGGGGGGCTCGAGTGGCCATCGGCTGCGAAGATGGCTTTGTAGTAAGTGCGGTTTGGTTCGTCGCGCGCCAGAAGCTTAGCGAGACTGTCAACAGCGGAAGGCATATACTTGTGTAGAGTAGGCGTGTACGAGACGAAGGAGACCCTGGTGGTGGAGCCCGAGGTAGGGGGTGGGGTTGGTGCGAACGCGAGAAGGAAATGAAGGACACAGAGGGCTTCTTCTTTCCCAGGGAGCTGAAGCAAGGTCGACAAGTTACTAAAGTAGATGACCACGTCTTTCATAAAATCCAGGGTATTTCTGTTGTGTCGCAGGAACATTTCTGTCGTGCCGAGGTATCGAATCACGGTGCTGAGGAGCTTGACAACCTCTGGTTGACCAAGTGGGACAAAGTTGGCTTCGTAAAAGGAGAAATTGCGCAACAGGGTGGTGATACAAATCAAGCGATCCGCGGCCCGCTCGAGATCGTACGCGACCGTTCCAAACTCGGGCGCATCTTGCAAGGACTCGTTCTCAAGGCGACAAGCTCGGATCAAATCTTCGTACGAAGTGAGGAACATTTCATCGGAGACTTCGGTTGCGTGCTCGCTGAGAAATGTGACTTGATCCTGCGCACAGTCCAGTAATGTGTCGACAAGATCGTCGCATTCACTTAACGCTAGTGGCAATGCAGATTCCATCGACAGCGTAACAAGTGTGTCCAGTGCAACTCGTGTCTCTGCGTGTATTCCAGATTTGATTGCCATTGTAAGGGCGTGGATATCAATGACGCCCAGCTCCCGGATAGTGGGTACGAATGGTTTCGATTCAGCGATATGTTGGCCGATAATAAACATCTCTTCCACATTGATTGGTCCATGAAATCTGCTGGGAGGAAGGACATCAGGCTTGAAAGGATCTTCGATAGGATTCGACAAAGGTTTGCTCGTGTCAGGCTCCGATTCTGCCAATTTCCCACCGCCCGTCTGAGGTCGTTTTTGTGGTGTCTGAACCTGGACCTGACCCTGCATGGCAGCAATCTGTTGTGGGTCGAACTGGCGTGACACGTGAGTGCGATGCTGAGGAGTCACTGTAGGATCTGATGGTGGTTGAGCGTGTGGAGGTTGCATGAATCCATTGGCTGTAGGGTGCTGTGGTTGTTGGGGGACGGGTCCGACAGATGACGCGCTTCTCTGGTGGCTAGGGTCTTGAGGTTGGTCGCGCGGAGGTGACATCTGGGTCTGGCTCTGTATCGCAGCCTGAGCCGCCATCTTTTGCTTCTGCTGTGACAGCTGCCATGCAGCCTCATAGGGGGCTAGATTGTTCATCCAGTACGCCTGAAGTTCTTGAGCTGCTTGCAGATGTTGTGGCGGAGGGAAACCGAACTGGTGCGCAACCGCAGCCCACTGATTTAGCTTAGATATCCTTTGTGAGCCTCCATTTTTCACCACAGCTGCGTATAACCGCAACAGCGGCAGTGGCCGGCCACATATTACCGGATTCAGATCAACCTGGCGGTTACGCGCAGCCATGAATTGCTGCAGGCCCCGTATAAAATCTTCGGGATTGTTGGGTCTGGCGGGCTGAAACGCGGGTGGTGGTCCTTGCGGCATCTGCGGGTTGGAAACAGGCTGATTAGGATTGGTCGGCATGCCGTTCATGCCACGAGCTTGAGCCTGAGCCTGTGCTTGTGCTTGCTGCATCTGACGCGCTTGAGCCTGAAGATGCATTTGATAGTTTCGCTGCGCCGCAGCCACGGTTTGATGTTGTGCCGCCATGTTCATTTGTGGGTTCATCCCTACTTGTGGCATCCCATTGCTCATATTCTGACCAAATTGGGGTTGCGAAAAGCCTGACGCAAACACCCCATTTGGCATGAAGTTTTGGGGGTTGTCATGAGGTGTGCCGACGCGACTCGCATGGTCCGAAGGAGCGGGAGAGGCGTGTGGGGGAGCATGTTGGGGGGAAAACGGACTGGGGGACGCCGTCGCGACGCGTTGACTGGCTTGGGCCGAAGTGAAATGATTCAATTGTTGTATGGTTGGAGATGGCGAGGCATTAGAGGTAGTTTGGAGGTGGCCATAAGGTGTGGGAGCGTTGGAAATGGCCGGTACACCATTTGGTTGGGGGTTGTATCCGGGATAGGGAACTTGTCCCGGGGTCTGTGACCTTGAACCAGGCAGGCCACCAGGTGCCTGGCGCGGCGAGGTGACCAAGCTATCTTCTCTTGCTCTTTTGGAAGGTATCACCGGGTTGGTTTGATAGACCGGGTTGTGGAAGGCAGGTGAGGTGGTTCGGGCGGCGCCATTGAGGAAGGCGGGATTTTGGAATTGAGCAGGGTTTATCGTCTGCGGAGGTTGCAGGAAAGACATGCCAGCATCCATTGGGCCTCCAAAGCCAACATGATTGTTTGGATTCGAGGAGGCGTCGGTCAGCCAAGGGTTCATGGCTCGAATGAGGTTCGGTCATCCATTGGCTATAGCAACAACAGTCATCAGTCGTGGTCCTAGAATGCGCGCAGCCATCACGAAGGCGAGCACATCCGCTTCAGCATCAATATCACCCACCAGGGTCCGATATCTCATGATGGACAGGCCCGCGGACGGTTGCGCACTGAAGCAAGAATGTGGATGGCGCCGCGGTTGGGGTGAAGAGGTGGTGAAAAGACGCGTCACAGGGGATGGCCAAGGTCATCATCGGGCCGTCGAGGCTGATGTGATACGAGCCGAGTGAAGGAGCAGCAAGCACGCTTGGAGGACATCAGACAAGGCTACTTACCTGACTGGCAATGTTTGAGCGGAATCGTCACAGGCGTAAAGGTATGCGAACCGATCGGAAAGTCGAGATTGGGACGATTTTCGTGAGGGCTGGGGACGGCCGAAAAGGGTTTAGCCCCGGCGGCGTGTGACAACTGAGAACAGGGAACTGCTGAGAGAAGAAGGTTAGCCACGCTTCAGGCAGGGCAGCAGACTGGCAACGAGGATCATGGGAGAGGTCCCACTCGGGTCTATTGGGCCGTGCGACACGATCTCAGTTGCATGTTTGATGGGAGATAACAGGCGCTAGTGATGGACCTGTGGGTGGATGGTTCTGGGGGAAGGGAAAGAAGGCGAGAGGATGGATGACTGTGGTGGGCGAGCCATGTGCGCTGGTGTTCATTTCCGGCTGCTGCGAACCGGCCGGCAGAGGGAACAACAAGACAAGCCCACTATGTTTGCGAAAGGCAAGGGGGGAATCGGCAGAGGGGCAAAAAAAAGGTTTCATGGGGGATCAGAAGGAAAAGGCAGAGGCTTACCGTGTGGATGTGATTAGAGGGCAGCAATCTGGAGTTCCCTTCCCAAGGTTGATGATACGTGGTAGTTCGGACGCTGCAGGAACAGAAAAGAGACAATCACCACGGCAGGACAGGGCGGGGTGGGAGACGATCCGTCAAGAGGGATGACAAGCGACAAGCCAGAGAGAGTCTGAGCTGACGACTTGGGTGAATGGGAATGGAAATTGATGAAACACAAAACAGCAACTGCCTGGAACCGGGGGATAAACTGGTCGACAGGACAGGCACCGTAAAGGTTGGAATCGGGGGCAAGTCGAAAAAAATTGGGAGCCTAGAGAAAGCGCTTGGGAAGGGGGGAGAGTGACAGAGAGACAGGTAATGCAACCGACTAGAGGCGAAAGGAGAGGGCGATAAAGCGAAAGATGCAGCAGAGAAAGGCCAGAGAGCTGCCTGGTTGTTGGCTGCGTTGGCGGTGTTGGCTGCCCTGGGTGGGCAGAAGGTGGGCAAAAAGTGGGCTGTCCGGTGCCACTCGGCTGTTCTTGGGGCACGCGCAAAGGCCGCCGAGGGGGGCCTGTCCGCTAACTGGCCATCGGTGAACCTTCATTGGCTTCTGGGCAATGCAGGGTTTCGTCGTACGAAGTGAATAGCAGTGCCAGCCCAGTTTTCGCTTTTTCTTACCTGCTTCCGTCACTCTGTGCTCACTTGTGGCCGTCTGCTCAGCATAGCAGTACCCTCCAGATACCACCAGTTGTCGATCAACCAGAACTCTGCCCCAAGAGCGTAGGCAGTCGAAAGGCTGGCCGGTGACTTTTGGTGTCTCGTGGGAGGAAATTTGCTGGCAATAATTGCAGGGTTGTCTCCCGTCTCTTGCTCCTGGGAGTTCCGGATTTTTGCCAAAACACGGGTTTCAAAATGCAAAGCCGAATTGGGGCCGCACCAAGCTCGTTTTCGGCTTAGATCATCCTCCAAGTGCCTTGGTGTGCGATCACAAACCTAATGATCCCCCATCACGCTGAGCATACGAAGGAGACCGCTCCGCTTCCCATCTCAGCCACGTTTTGAGCACGGAAACGCCCATGTGCTCTCTTTGCTGGGAGTCTCTGTGCCTGTAGGTGTGCAAGCACATTCAGGATTCCCGTAAAGAAACTTGGAGTTCATGGCGATTGGGATGAGTAGACGGCGGCGACAGAAGGCTGGGAACCACACTGAGGAGGCGGTCAGTCACATCCCTTCTTCACACCAACAAAGCGTAGCATTGTCCCCCAGACAGACCACTTGGAGCACGTCTGGGCTGTTCTTGTCATCTGGCAGGGTCGTAGACTAGAATGGATAAAAGATAGGTGTCACCTGAAGGGTGAGAGAGAGAGAGAGAGAGAGAGATCATCACGGCGGACATGAGCCGGTAGAACAACGAACAGAGACATCTCCCATGGTCAGGTTTAGGAGAGAGGAATCCTAGCTATGGGAAGAGGAGGGAAAAGAAAAAAGATCTAGCAGGTCGCAGAAATCCAGGGCTTACATAGTCGGATATTGCCTCGTTTCTGCTCAACCAGCTCAACCAGCTCATTGCTCATGCGTAGGCGGCCAGATATCGTCTGATTGGCAGATCCGCGAGTCTAGTTTCCTCATTGCGGACAGGCTGAAGCCCTTGTCGACACAAACCTTCGAATCGTGTCACACGCCAAAGACTGTCTCAAGCGAACCTGGGCGGGTTCTTTCATATTGCCAGAACCAATGCAATCCAGTTCACCAGTCCGGGATGGTTAGGCACATATCGTGCATGCTCGGTGGTGCGTGGCCCTCTATCTATTAGCTGCATGGACCGCTCCTCCTTTCGGCTGTGGCCCGATGTTCTGCGAGACCCATCACTGCATGATACACTACGGTCGGACTACCACCAGGCTCAATGCATTGCGGAGCCGGTGTGGTCGTATCCAGGGAGAGTGGCACAATTCGAATCTTCAAAACCCCTCGAGAATCTTGTCGAAGTCAACTATGGAGATCCCTGGCGGACGTATCCAGGGGAGCTGGAGCGAGCGGAAAGGAACTAGATCAACGGCGCGGGATCTTCCTCTTCGCAGCTATCCCTGAACCGACCGAATCCAAAAAGCCGGGTCCGCATGCCTCGAGACAGCAACCCGCTCCAGGACTTCGCTTTAGGAATACGTTTTCTGACGTGGAGGACTCAGTTTCACCAATCTCTTGTCTCTGGAGCAGCCAGATACTCATGTATTATACGCCAGGTCGGCTGAGTTCTGGCCAGAACAAAGAGAGTATGTCACCGCTTACGAAGTGTAAAGGGGTCTGAAACCTAGCATAGATTTTGCCAGCATGCCTATAATTGCCGGACCGCCCGAAAGCTTACTGAGGAGAGCTGGTCCCTTCGATAGGATGGCCTGTGAATAGCCCAGCTGATCGAGAAGGCGGCCTGTGCGATGCTCAGTGGCCGTTCGAGACGTCAAAAGAGGTGGGTGGGTGAATCTCGCCGCGGAACTTCGAATTATCCGATTCTCATTGCGCCCTAATTCACTTATGGACTAGTACATTTCCTTGCGAGCGGCGCGTCCCTGTGGTCGCCTTCAAGTTCGAACTTGACTGTAGAGTCGTCCGACAAGGTAGAGCCTGCGATCAACGATTGTATCTTCCCACTGCATCCCATACGTTGCCGGGAATCTTGTCTCCTCTAGGTGGTGACGAGTTTCCTCCACACTTCCGTACCAAACAGAACTCCAAGCCTCCATCGGAAAATCATCATGGGCGACGTCCTCGTTGACAACCCAGCCAACACCGTTCCGCCTCACAAGAAACCGCCCATTTCAGATTCCATCCCGGACATCGACTCATTAGAAGGAACTGCTGCAGACGGAGGCGATGAGTACTCGACATTGAAGAGGCTGCAAAGACATTTAGAGTACGGATTCATGCGGTTGTTTGTCGGCGCACCACAGCTGACTTTGCCAGGTACATCAAGCTGCAGGAAGAATATATCAAGGATGAGCAGAGGTGAGTCAAGGGCGATCCACAAGCTCATGCAACGACTGACTTCATTTAAGATCCCTGAAGCGTGAGCTGGTGCGAGCGCAGGAAGAGATCAAGCGAATACAGAGTGTTCCGTTAGTGATAGGCCAGTTCATGGAAGCTATCGATCAGAAGTAGGAGTGCATCCCTTCCATCTGTGTTCAGAACACTGACACCACACAGTACCGGAATCGTCCAATCTTCAACTGGCTCTAATTACGTCGTCCGCATCCTCTCAACCCTCGATCGCGAAAAGCTCAAACCGTCCTCGTCCGTCGCCCTCCACCGTCATTCGAACTCTCTGGTCGACATCCTTCCTCCGGAGGCCGATTCTTCCATTGCCATGCTCGGAGCTGACGAGAAGCCTGATGTGACGTACGCGGATGTTGGCGGCCTGGACATGCAAAAGCAAGAGATCCGGGAGGCAGTGGAACTGCCACTGACACATTTTGATCTCTACAAGCAAATTGGCATCGACCCGCCACGAGGCGTGCTGCTTTACGGCCCTCCCGGGACGGGAAAGACTATGTTGGTCAAGGCGGTTGCTAACAGCACGACTGCGAGCTTCATTCGGGTTGTCGGCTCTGAATTTGTCCAAAAATACCTGGGCGAGGGCCCTCGCATGGTTCGGGATGTGTTTCGAATGGCGCGAGAGAATTCCCCTGCCATCATTTTCATCGACGAGATCGATGCCATCGCCACTAAGCGTTTTGACGCTCAGACCGGAGCGGATCGAGAGGTTCAGCGTATTCTTCTAGAACTCCTCAATCAGATGGACGGCTTTGACCAAACGAGCAACGTCAAGGTCATCATGGCCACAAATCGAGCGGACACCCTGGATCCTGCCTTACTCCGTCCGGGCCGTCTGGACCGGAAAATCGAGTTCCCGTCGCTACGAGATCGCCGCGAACGGCGGTTGATTTTCACCACAATTGCCAGCAAGATGTCGTTGTCACCTGAAGTGGACTTGGATTCGTTGATTGTGAGAAATGATCCCTTATCGGGAGCCATCATCGCGGCGATCATGCAAGAAGCGGGATTGAGGGCAGTGCGCAAGAATCGATACAATATCATCCAAGCAGATTTGGAGGATGCATATTCGAGCCAGGTCAAGGGAGCACAGGAGGCAGACAAGTTTGATTTCTACAGGTAAAAAGGGACATTATCAGGACAGGTGGGTGTCAACGTGTTGGGTTTCTAGGACAACCCGAGCCGGGAACCAGGCTCGATTGCATCGCATGGTGTCTCCGTTCTACAGGTAGAAGTAGAAGGCATTTTTTGCGGCATCAAGGACATGATCAAAAGTTACCGGTCGTAATAGCTGTTCCGTGGCACCAGTGATCAACCACACGTTCGAGCGCCCAGCTCAGTGGTCGTGGGCACCCAGTGGGTGGGGAGGTTGTTTCATTACTAATACGAGGCCAGATATACCTTATGTACCGAGTACTCGGTACAGGTGTGGTTTTCGGATTTGCTTGGTGACTGTGGCGCTTATTACCTACATACTGGTAGAAACTTTACGAAGAGGCAAAAATCACCTTCAACTGATTTATCAGCACCACTGGCATCTGGTTTGGGCTGGACTTATTCGTGCTGGCTCACGGGAAAGACAAACACAGCAATGGTATTGAAGGGGGCAACCGTCAGGAGATTGTAAACGAGGAGAAAGGTCCATTACTCCGTACTAAGTAGTGGCAGACCTGGAAAAGCGGTATATCCTCGCTACCATGCAAGTTAAATTCACTGGAAGCCAGGAGAAACAGGAAGGGTGGATGATTATTTGGGAAGGGAGCGTGGCGTGCTTGCAGATGCACTTTTCCACACACCTTAACACACTTTTGGCTCTGAGCGAACGAATATATTATTGACCAAGCTTGCCGTGGTGGGGTGGCGTCAAGGCTAGTCCGGGTTGGGAATGGTGCTGTGTGCGTGCCGGGGCAATTTTCATCGATGATTGCGTCAGAATTGCGAGTCAAAGGAAAATGAGCAAGTCACCCACACAGGCTTTACCCCCCCAAATCATTATTCTTTTTCTTTCACCCTTGAACTCCGAGTTACGAGTACTCTCACCACCCCAACACCTAAAAGTCCCAGTGGGATGCTACTTACGGGGGGCGAAGGGGGATTGAAACTGTCCCAGTTAGTGACCCTCGCCCCAAGTAATAAACTCCCGTAACTCCATCCTTACTTAGCCTCTGCTACCTCTCCATCTGCGAGCTGAGGTCATTGATATCTCTTTTCCACCCTCTTTCAAACTTTCCCATCCCCTGCCATTCTCCTCTCTCCAGTTCCAGTTTGAGCCTCTCGCAAAAAACCCACCATCCCAACTCGGCCATCAATCAAAGCAATCCATACAAAACTAGGTGCTGTTGTAACCTCCCTAGGTACACGCTGTTCACTCGCACCGTCGATCACGGGACCTGGATCTCTTGTTCTTGGGATCTTTCATCGGCTGTATCACCCAGCCTGCGACACACGTCATCACTTTTCCTCCTCTTCTCCTCTGAGACCGCCCACCACCCACGCCAGAATCTAGCTGCGCCCTCGATCTCCTTTTGGATCGCGAATCTCGAAAATCCAAGACGACTGTTCTCGGCACTTCGACTGGGAAAAGGATTCGCTGCTCCGAGCAGGCTTTGGTGGTGTACTACTCGTCCGGTAAGTTGCTGGCGACAATTTCCCTGAATTTTTGCTGGCCCCGGAGCCAATTCCCGCCCGGCTACGATCGAGTATTTGGAGTGGGCGGGTCGATATGAGTGGCGAGCAAAAGCGAAGCTCTGAACGCTGATGGGCTCGATGGCTGGCGATCGCCATCCACTGCCGACTTCCAAGCTGACACGTCTCTGATTCGCAGGCTGCGTGGTTAAACCCACCCTTGGACAGACCGCTCGGACAAAGCCAACCCTTGCTCCCTCGCGGCCCCCCCTCTCCCCCCAAGCCTGCACTTCCTCGCCTGCCCTACCTCCAAAATATATGAGGCGCCAACGCCTTCCCAGCTCTATCGACGTCACTTCTGCAACGGCTGACGTTGTTTCCTCATCTACGTATTGCTTCATCCCAATCCGACAATATGGCGAGCGCCGCAGTCGCAACTCAACCGTCACAACAACACCTTGGGGCTGGCCCAACTTCTCGTACCTCGTCGCCTATGGACAATAAGAAAGCCACAGCGAAGCAAGAAGGTTAGTAGGATCTTGTCGGCGCCCCCTATTTGTAAAAATTTCTCCCGTCTTTCGCCCGCCCACAACCGTCACCGCTGCCATCACCATCATCAACTGCGCAGTGACAATTGCTTTATGCATCAACACGGCGTTCCCACGCGCATTCTGGGAACCAATGCTGATATTCCTGCACATAATTAGCATCCAAGACATCCCCGTTGCAGGCTAAGTCGTCGCTTCCAGGTACGCGTCGGCCACGCGCCGTGCAGAACATGCGGAAAAGCCCATTGCTAATGCGACTATACAGAACCACAATCCACCTCGCTGGCCGAAGAACCCAAGCCCATCATTCAAGCATCAGAACCCCTTGCGCCGCCGCCGCGACCAGCGCCCACCACCCAAGCAGAGACCCCCGACTACTTCTCGGCCCTGCACAATAACGGGAGCAGCATTGGTCAAGAATTCAATCCTTTTGAACAATCATTTGGAGCGCCCTCAACAGAGACACCCGGCAAGAACTTGCTCCCTCCTGTGGCGGCTCTCACATCTCCTGCCATCCCTGGCACCAGCTCAACTGCCGGGTACGGTTGGCAGAGCTCTCTTCGGTCGGGGCCGCTGAGCCCTGCAATGTTGGCTGGTCCACAACAAGGCGATTACTTCGACAGTATCGGCCGTGGCTTCCCAACGCCAAACGAATCATCCCTCCGGACTGGCCTGACTCCGGGTGGTGGCGGGTCTATGTTCCCGGTCCCCAGCCCGAACTCACAAGCACTCTTTAATTCTTTGCAAAGTGGCGGTGCCACTCCTGGTACCCTTGATTTTCATCGCACGGCCATCAACGCTGCTGCGCGCAACAAGAACACCCAGTTTGCCAACACCTCCAACCCACAAGACCCTGCCACCAGCAACATGGACTCGGTCCATGACGCCACTGACGCTGCCAATGGCCTGTTTATGCTCGCGAAAGGAGGTCAGACTACCAACCAATTTGCTGTGCCAAACCCGACGTCTGTTCCAATCGTCCAAGATCCGAAACGGAACAGCAGTGACGCCGGTGACAGCGTCGAGAGCCCGCCGGAATCCAAGCCCACCACACGTAGTGGCCGTGGTAAGAAGGCCATCAAAGCAGAGCCAGGCAGTAACCGAAGGAAGTCGGAAGCCAGTGCCAAAGGCAGCAACAAACGTGCCAAGGGCAACTCTGGAGCTCCGAATGTGGACCCTGCTCTTGACCCGCACGAGGAGGAGGACGATGATGATGATGACAGCGATGATGGCGAAGAACAGGGGAAACCCACGACCACGACTAATAACGGCAACAACAAAAAGATGACAGATGAAGAGAAGCGGAGGAATTTCCTTGAGCGCAATCGGTGAGCTCCAGCAAATTCCTGATTTTTTGTCATCCAGAGACTAACCTGTGGTAGTGTTGCTGCACTTAAATGTCGCCAAAGAAAGAAACAGTGGCTAGCCAACCTCCAAACCAAGGTAGAAATGTACTCGGCCGAAAATGACAGCCTCAACACACAAGTCGCTCAGCTGCATGACGAAATCCGGAATCTGCGCTCACTCCTGATGGCCCACAAAGACTGTCCCGTCGGTCATTCCCAGGGTATCGGACAATTCTTGAGCGGCATGCAAGATCCCAACGCATACGGCAGCCAACATGTCAATCCGTACATGGCCATGCCCAACGGCGCAGCGCTACAGCCCGGCATGCAGCGAACGTGAGCACAGTTGACCCACCAGTGCATCGCTGGGCGCGGAGCAACAATTTATGTTATTTGCAAGACTAATATCACCCGTCATGAACATTCGACCTTATTTATCCTGACCGGGTGTGAGTAGAGAGGCGTCATCCATTTCTGGCGTCGGAAGGTCTGGCCATTATGCAACAGGCTAGGGTTTCTCATGATTTTGTAGCATCTCCTCGGATGATGCGCTCTGGACTGGTTCTATTTTGTACATAAATGTTCGGCAGAACGCGCCGGGTAGGGCAGGGGCTTTCTGTACAGCACCAGGCAAAAAGAATAGCAACGGCGGTCTCTTGAAAAGTCCCCGTGCGGGCCCATGGAGTGCAGTTTCTTTATCCGGTGACTCTTTTTCTCATGCGTTATGCGAGAACGCACAGACACACATGTGGCTATGTTTGGGGGAACAGATGGATACGATGAAAACGTCCAAGGCACAACGAAACGGCGAGAAGGGGAAGGGAAGGCGACCGCTGTCAAAATGATTCCTCTCGAGGGATGTTTTTCTTTCCTTTCCTTTGCTCTCTGCGGAACAAAATAATCACAAAACCACGCACACGCACACGCACACGCACATGCAGGCGGTGAAGAGCTTCCTGGGCTAACTTACTTTACTCCTGGGGTCTAGATCAGAAACTCGTAGCCAGCTGCTAGGTACAAGATACATACCTTGTGTATTATCGTATTGTAGCCAGCTAGCTAGGTAGCTAGACAGGTAGCCATGTAAGGTTTAGTTCGATGAGAGAAAAGAGATCCCTCGATTGATGCACGATTATTTTTAATAATTTTTTTTTTTTAGCTGTTCTTGCTCTTTTGACCTCAGGACAATGCACATGTAGGTATGAAGCTATGTATGAAGCTATGTATGAAGCTATGTATTCATTATGTATAGTATTGAGTATACACTTCGCCTGTTGCCCGTTTGCGTAGTACTCTAGGTGCGAGCGGAGCGAGTCCGTCTATGTAAGTATGTAAGGGAGTAAGTCTGCCCCTCGTCGTGCACGAAGTGCTCTTTGTGTGTACGGTACGGTACCTATGTACCTGGTATCTGGTACCTGCCTGGTACCTCGCACTCGGCGGTATATAATTGTTGTACCCCTCTCAAAGGAGCACGGCGTCATGGCGTTTCGCGAGACTCCAGGGTCAGTTTTCCCACAGGACTCCCGCCGCTCTAGGCGAGGCTGTGGCGGAAAAGGGGGGGGGAGGGAAAGGGGGGAGGAGGGCGGAAAGAAGCCGGGAGGAAAAAGGACACTGTATATACATATACACACATATATATATCGAGTACGGATGGTACACAGAGATATAGTCCATGAGTATGCTTGTACGTATCTTGGATATAGTAGGTAATAGAGAGAGAGAAGGGGGGGGGGAGAGGAATATATTCGCAGGTCATCCACATAGCTCAAGGTGTACATCACTCGACATGCAGAGGTTAGATTGACAGCCACATTAAAAGAACCTGTTGCCTCATCGGCAGCTATCGGCCTTCTAAAGCGACATTCGGGACGGTCCACGCACAGATTCCCATTCTTTCTCGCGCTGTCTCTCCCCAGATGCTTGTTGGGTAGGGATATCTAGTCGAGCGTATGTGCTGCCGGTAGTGAGAGTACATAAATAAGGAAAGAAACCATTCCCATCAATGTTCTCCGCAAATCACTCAGGCCACTCGTTTTCCAAAGACAACAGCCCCGGACAGCGGGATGTCGCTTACTGGTGCGGCGCTTGGGGTACGACGTGGAAGCGGCAGCAGCTTGAAGAGCTTTGCTGGCTCGAGGCGTTGGATAATGTCATATCTCTTCCAGCACGAAGAACTACCGCTAGTGCCATGGATGCAAGGCTCAAACGGGTTGCCGCAGAGAAGCCAATAGCTGTCTTCGGAGATCTTGAAGCCCTGGAATCCATCTTGAGGCGTGAGCCTCCCTCCCTTGCGCTCTATCAGTCGAGTGAGACAGGGCAGTGTTGCGGCGAGGTAGTCCCGATTCTTGGGCACGGCGTTGCAAGAAGGGCTTTCCCGGCCACTGCCTTCGGCCGGCGTAATCGCTTCGCCGAGATCCGAGCAGACGACAACTGCGTCGACAACGTTGACGATGTCTAGCCAGGCTTTTCCCGCAGCGTCTAGTTCCAGCTTCTTCATGCAGCTTCCACGACCAGGGGAAGTGACCACGTCCAAGAACTCGAACCCATAAAGCTTCTTTCCCGAGCTTTGTTGGACTGCCGAGACAGTAGCCAGCAAGTTGATATTCAGTCCTAACAACAGTTGTCTGAAGAGGAAGGGCTCGGCTGGATCCTCGTGAATCGGACATTCACCAGAGGACTTCAAGAGCCCGATGATTTCACGAGCGTCAGCATGAGGGTCAACGTGCGGTACTCGAAAACAAGGGAGGGCTCGACGCCGGGCGTAAGCATGGCTCATGTGCAAAAGAAGACTCAGCTTGGGCAGAAGCCAGCAACGGCGCTGACCTGCGTCATATACGATGGCCAGCTCTTCGGCAGTGTCCTCCAGCAGCTTTGCGTAGCAGTCAGCTGGTGTGAACTGTCTGCGGCTGGATATGAATTTGAAGTTTGTTTGCAGTCCCACGAGAAACGACACGGGAGATTGCAGACCTATTTGTAGCTGTGTACTCTGGCCCTCCAGGACAAGGTACCTTTCTTGATCTTGGCCTCCCGAGTACCTCACATCGGCTGGAAGCTGCCTGGTCCCTAGGTTGATCTGGGCGGCTTCGCACCATCCTAGAAAACACTGCATGCCCGTGAACTGTGACGCATCCTGGATGAGCAATCTGTTCGGGAAATCCAGGGTATATGGATTAATCTGCCCACCATCGGACACAATGGCGTGGAATTGTGCGTCGTTCTCAGAGATTGCCGTGGGGAAGAGCACAGTCTGGTATCCAACAAAGACCACACCGCCATTTATGATCAATTGACATTCAACCGCTGCGAGTGAAATCATGAGGTCAAAGGGCAGTTTCAGGCCCTTGCCTACATCCTGCCTGGAGGGTCTTCCGAGAAGCCGGCCACTGGGAGCGGCATCGAAAACTGATACCACACAACCGGTGAATAGGAGGCGCCAACAATCGTGTTCGTGTGCCGGTAACGGACTGTTCTTTATGTGCATAAAGGCTTCGATTCTGTATCTCGTCCTGGAAGTCTCACTTTGTCTGTGGGACTTTTCCATGCCATAGTCAGGAGGAACCTGGCACCGATCCAATTTGTATACAGCTCTGGAGAGGACCATGGAACCATCAGGCGCAGGCATGTGAATTGTTCTGGACAGCCGATCTATCGCACGGCAATATGGATTCCCGAGAGTGTAAGGGTTTAGGGCCCTGAATGTCATGGTTATAGTTCTGTAAGAAAATGTCATCGACTCAACCCTGTGGATCCAGCGGAAATCACGAATGTGTAATTCTGATAACAGATCATAATCTGTATCAATTAGTGAGTTCTAATGGCTATAGGGAACAGGAGCACAATACCGTCGTCGTTGTCGCCCAGCTTCTTTGCGGCAACTGCGCGCAAGACGTCCACAACAAAAGTACTCACCGCAAAACCGAATTGGTCAAAGAGAAGATCACGACAATTGATTGCGGTGGGGTGAGAATGCTCGAGATCCGTAACAAATACGACATTCTCGGCCAAAAGCCAGTCCGCAATATCAAAAGCAGCGACTCCACAATATCTGGCCATCTCAATCACGGCTGGCACTTCCCAGTCCCACGTCATCGTGAAAAGTCGATCCTCCCGAGCACCGCAGAAAGCCTCTTCGGCATCTTCCAAAGTGTCATAAGAGTACCCTTGGGTGGCGAACTCCCACCGTTTCAAGACGGGCAACTCTGTGTAATAATGGCGCCGATGCCAATTTGCAAAAACCTGCGAAGCATCCGCTCCATACTCCAAAAGTAGCAGAACTGCTCCTTCGTATTCATCGTCGATGGCTGCGAGGACCACCTCCAGATCGATAGACGCTCCGTGTTCAAGCAGGGTCCGAATGATCTCGAGATTGACGCGTTCATGGTCACCCTGGGAACCTGAAGTTAGAGCGAACATCGATAGAGCATAATATGCTAGGCCATTGGATATTACCACGAATTTGACGCTTCCCCAACCAGATTGAGACGAATCTGCCCTATATTTATTACCCTGGTGTATGGATGCGAGTAAAGGCTTGGGATGCCCATCAAGGTCGACATTTGGGTCCACGCCAGCATCAAGCAACCGACTTGTAGTCAACACGTCGTTCTCTTCGATTGCAGCGAGTATAGCTCGAGCTTGATGCTTAGCGTTGAGCTGATTTATATCGGCACCTCGCGCAATAAGCATGTAAACGAGGGAATGCTCTGCTTGATCCAAAGCTGCCTCCAAGGCTGTTCCATGTGCTCCGGATGGTGCATTGACATCTGCACCATAGTCGAGGAGCAGCCTGGCGACTTCAATCTTCTCTCTGTTCAATGCGATTGCATTCTGGAGTGGTGTCCCCGACGAGCCAACTTTGCCATCAACAGTTGCGCCGGCTGCTAGGAGACATGACGTGACAGCCACCGAAAGCGTCGCAGCGTGACAGAGAGGTAGAAGACCTTCCAGAATAGGACTCTCGATGTCGAAACCTCTGGAGATCAATCTACGAACTGACCCGACATCCCCATCGAGAAGAGCCTTGTGCCACTCATGAAGATAGGGGGCATTAACAGTCACAGCCGTTCGCTGCCCTGGGCCATCTACTTCCTCATCGTCTTCTTCGGTCCTTCTGTTCTTGAGAGGCTTTGAGGTGGCGTAGGGGTTTTGTAAGCCCTGCCCATCGTGTGTATCTGGCTTGTTGGCATCATCGTAGTCATTTTCCGCTTTTTTGGCGTGCTTAGAGACTATCTTGCGGGTTTCCCTGGTTGAGTGCCAGGAGCCCACCGGGCGAGACATGGGGACAAGGGGCTGCTTCCGACCGAGGCGCCAAAAATTTCTCGAGATCGCCGGCTGAATTTTGATTCTCAGGAAAGTGAAGGACGGTTCTTGAAAGGGTGGAAGGTTTCGACCCTAGATGAGGACAGCTGAGAAAGTAGAAGGGAATCAAAGAAGGTCTTCTTGCCTAACAGGCACGAAGACAGATGAACAACAAGATTAGGCAGCAAGAATTTGCAGTTGTGCTAGTCCTTGGTCGCAATCAGGCTGGCTATGTATAGGTCGAATCTGCCTTGCATGTGATTTAGGCGCTTCCAAGGCGGGTCTCAGGCTGACTGCTGCCACTCGGTAGTTACGAGGATCTAGACATTTCCTCTCGTCCAACAAGGCTGATCGTCTCGATCAGCCTGAGAAGCGTGTCTCTGGTGGTGGAAATGTTTACAACCACCCGGAAAAAGGAACCTCTCTCAACCTGATGGCTCAAGGCGGGCGCGTAATCGACCATGAAGCCTCGAGAAACCAAGGAGCGAGCGATCCGACTTGTAATAGCTGAGTTACGTTTGCCGACAATTTCAGCTTGATCACGTTTGTCGTCAGGATCGCCTCCATTAGCGTTAATATGGCTATCACTGCTCATACCGTGGACCACCATACCTCCTGGAGCATAATAGAAACACACCTGCAGGCAGGGCGGAGGACTCGTGGTCACCAGCAGCAGGTCTGGACTCTTTTCCACGAGATCTGTCAGGTAAAAGGCCGTATGAAACGCCTTCTGGATCTTTGACGAGTATCCCAGTGTCCCATAGTACTGCCAGGAGAGAAAGAATTTCAGACTGTCTCCCCGACGCCCACATTGGAGCGTGAGGTCGGCGAGGTCATTGGGAGGCGTCCATTCGTCGTCCAGGGATTGTGGTCGATTATGGCCATCCAGTCCCAGCTCTTCAGCCTGCCGCTCGTCTTGATCTTCGTCGTGGAACAGGTATCCCGCTCGGAGAGTGTTTGCCCTATGAGCATTTCTCAGATCTCTGAGCAAAAGGAAGCTGCAAGTCACTGGAACACCCAACATCTTGTGCGGATTAATTGCGATGCTGTCAGCGAGCTCACATCCCGTTAACCTTGTTCGACTTAGAAGGTCGCAAAAGATAAAGCTTCCGCCCCAGGCGCCATCGATGTGCATCCACAGCCCGTGCTTTCTAGCAACTTCGGCAATAGCTACAAACGGATCAAATGATCCCAGGACTGTTGTTCCAGCAGTGGCGTTGACATAGAAGGGAGTATTTCCCTTGCTCTTCTCTCTCTCGATCAAGGACTCAAGCGCCTTGGGATTCATCCCTCCGAAAACCCGATCAACAGGGACGGAAATGACACTTTCGCAACCAAACCCACACTGCTGCGCAGCCTTCTCGATACTGTAATGCCCATGCTCAGAAGTGAACATCACTAATCGTCTTCCTCCAGCGTGATTTCCGGATTGTTTCGTGTCCGGGAACAAGGTGTTCCGCGCAATGACAATACTAGTCATGTTGCTCGCGCTCCCGCCTTGCACGTTGATCCCTCCAGCCCGTGGCCCGGTGAGGCCGAACATTGCCGCAAGAGCTTTCGTGGTGTATGTCTCGATGAGTGAGAGCACGGGAGAAACCTGGTAAACATGCACATTTGTGTTAAGAACGCTGAGGATCAAATCTGCCGCGACTCCGGGGGGCAAAGGAGCGGAGTATAGCTTGTCAAGAAATCCAGGGGCAGAGGTGTTGACGCTGTATTTCAATATCGAAGACAATGAACTGAGGAGTCCATCTTGGCCAGTACCGTGAAGAGGCAGGGACAGGGTGCCGTTTGAGGCGAGGATGGAGAGCAGATCTGAAGGTGGATGAGGCTCAACAATGGAAGAGATAGATACAGGTTGGTGGAGCTGGTGAGCTTCATGCTCTAAGTCGGCTTGTCGAACAAAGGAGACGAGCCGATCGAGGACCGATGCGAGAAGCCTTTGTAACTCATCAGCTCGAGACATCAAGGCATCATTGGCGCTTTGATTTCCTATGCCATTGGATGGTTGTGAGATAAGGTCACTGGGCAGTGCGTTGTTGGAGGTCATGCCGTAGACGCTGCGTTGGAGTGAATGTTCCAGCATCCTCCCCGATCTGATATCGATATAAATAAGAAAGTAAACCCGTTCACAGGGTGATTTGAGCCCAAGAAAACAGATCAATCGAAGACGAAGATGAAATGGAACAACCGAATCTATCGTTTCTATATTGAACAACCCAATAGTCGAGGAAAAGCCAGCAGAAAGTTGTACAGTATGTAAGCCCCCAGGCTACTTTGTAAAATTCTGCTTAGCAGTGTTGGTGGCGTGCTTTTCCGAATGACGCAATCCAGTGGGGACAAGGCTGAGGATCAGGGGTTCGCTCAGAAAGATACCGGCCTATGGCGAATGTCCATTTTACTTCTCCATGTCCCTGTCCCTCAGGCTCTAGGCGTTGGTTCGGACCACAGCGTTGGCGGATGTTGCTGAGGCATGACTGTTCCTCGTGCCGTGCGAATTCATCTTCTGAGAATGCCTTTCTCGGGCGAGCTCGATCGGCGTCTTCTTCCTCTCTTGCCCTGATGCTTCCTTCAGAGGCGCAGCCGGTTTGACACTCTGGCCTGAGCCCTTGGCCAGAGCGCGCCATTCACCAGGCCGTCGAAGATACAAGTCCATCGCCCAGTTCTTCCAAACATTTCGACCAAAGGGCGAGTCTCGAAGTTGACTTTCACTATTGGCAAGCTCTCCGGCGAGACGCTCTTTCACGAAATGAAGCCCGTCTGTGGCGGACCATAGGGCATCAGCTACGTAAGAGCCAGTAAAATCTTGCGCTAGGCTGCTGATATGCCCATAGAACCGAGGGACAAACTCTCGTCGAAATTGTATGTTGGCATCAGTCGGAGATAGGGAAGATTGGATGACGCGTGAGGAAGCTGGATCTCGCGACATTGCCATCAGCACTTTTGTTTCTAATGATAACAAGCTGTTCTGCACTAGGGCGCAGGTTCTTGGGCTTTGGAGCATTGTCTGAGCCAGTAGGGAACCATGGACATCAGTCTTTGGGCCAGAGGCTTCTGTGCCTTTGTTCCTGTCTTTGTCCTGGGGCTGTTCTGGTACCTCCACCGGTCTGAAGCTGAGAAGATTGGACAGAAATTCTTCTCCATCGGCGCTGTATGCTGACTTGATCACATCCGATACATCCTGCAAATCCACACCTCGCAAGGCACATCGTTCGATCAGAACTCTGATCAAGCCAGTTCTCCGCCGGGAAATGAGGATTGGCAGCTCTGCTAGAATCAATTTTTTCGCTTCGCCAAGATCATCTTTACCCAGCCGTTCAAGGATCCTCATCGCCACATAGCTGGCTGTGTCGTTTTTGGACAGACTCCCGAGCCGTGGTTTCAAGACGTTCTTGTAGAGCTTCTTGAACACTTTGCCAGGAAGCTGCTGGATAAGGATCTCGACCAAATGTGAGCCAGTAGGATCATAAATCAACCCAGAGATGAATTTAGCACTCTCCGAATCCTCCTCTAGGTCTTGGTCTGGTAACAATTTCCGAAGGACTGAGTTCTCTTCAGTCGCCTTATTCTTGCCGGATGCCGAGAGTTCAACACGGAGAAGTAATTGTAAGACAGGATTGCCGGTCGGATGTGTTGCCAGTGCTCTCAGGTAGGTCGTGTCCAACGAAGAAATTGCACTACCAATTAACTTGTCAAGAGCGTTGCGGAATGTCTTGGGTACGACACGTTTGGTCTCGTGTATTTCGGTCTCTTTGACAACTGGTGCTTCGAGCTTTTCCTTTCTTTTGCTGGCAACCATTGCCTTGACTGAATCATCCTCTAATGAAAGTCCCGACAGGACGAGGAATAACACCCGGACCGTATGGGAAGCGAATCTGTCAGTCAGCAGAAAGCCCATATTCGGCTCTAACTCCTCTGCTGCACGCAGAAAGAGGTTTTCTATGGTTATCGATCCAGTCTCGTCGACTTCCTCTACCTGCGGTTCCCTTCCCACACGCTTCGCCGCCTCGAGGAAAAGTGTCTCACAACAATGGCTTCCGAACCGATGTCGCACAAGATAGGTCAAGTTTCCAAGGAACTTGCTGAAAAGATGTCGCAGCTGTTCAGGAGTAGATAACATGATGATCTTCTCTAGATATCTAGAACATGACTGGCTCGATGCGACCTTCATTTCTTTGCCTTCGGTCTCTCTGTGGACCGCTTCGAGGAAAACCGCACGGTCTTCTGGGGACTCGAAATCATTTGCAACGATCTTCGTGTTGACGTTTGCGTAGTATTCTTGTTCTTCGGGTGTAAGGAGTCCGTGAAACTCGATCTCTTCTTGCGGCTCCTGGATTCCTTGCGGCCTTCCAGCATCAAAGCTGATGAAGTCATCTCCGGCATCGCCCTCCACCACAACTTCGCCTGGAATCTCCTCGTCATGAGTGTGTTGGGTTTTGAGGCGTTTTGTAAAACTCTTCCCCTCCTTTTCTTGCTGCCGCCTCCCTCGCTTTTTACCCTCGCGAGGCATTTTGAGAAGAACAGAACAGTGTTCAGAGAGACTGTTCGTGCGAGAGGCTCCGCAATTGAGCGACAAACGATGGTGAGGGTGGTCAACAGCTGGAACACAGGCCGAGAGGTTTGGATAGAATGGAGAAAAAATTACGGCGCCAAGCCTTATCGGCAGATCCGCCAATCAAATCTAGAGCTGGAAAGAGTCACCCGCAGCCTGGTGAGCGTTGTTCTGCTGGAGCTCAACAAGGACAAAGACCAAACGAGAATTAGATTCATCCTACGGGTCATAGTCAATTGACGAGACATGAGTCGCCTCCAGTTCATGTCTCTTCATAACGACACCCAATCCATGTCGGAGCGCCTGACTATCTCACTCGGTTCGAGCAATTGTATGCCTACTGCCGCAATCTTCCACTGCGCATGCCTTCACTCCTACACGGAAGTCTTTTCCCTAATGTGTCCGCATATCTGTCCACAGCACATCTTGAAACACCTTGTGAGGTTTTGAATGACCTCGAGGAATACGCTGGGGCGTATGGTCCTGCGCAAACGCCAATACCGGATTGGCTTGCATTGGATTTACGTCCGAAACTCGCTCATCAATACAGCCGCAGAGCCGTTGTTGCTGTGTGGTTGGCGACTGGAGGGAGATGGCTTCGAGTGCCAGTGGCAGTTTCGATCTCACCCAAGGTGTGCGATGCCGGAGACTGGTAGTGCTGTGGTAAGGAATGGACATGGGATGGGCATGCAGTCTGACAAAAGACCGTTCCATTCCTCGCACAGTGCCCCAGGGAACACGTTCAGTGTTTTCTTCAGCCTGCGCCTTGTCCTTGCGCGGCCAATTGTATCTTTTGTTGAAGCTGCATCAGTTCGACTCTCTTCTTTTCGCTTCCTTCTTGTAGTTCCTTGATCCTATCTTCCCGCCTAGTGATTTCCTTGGTGATAAAATCGAGCCGGCCGTCGACCGCATTTACCGCCTCCGTCTTGTCCTGCTTCAGTAGCACTGGGCCGACCAGTTTGTAGATCCCCGCGTCCTCGGGTAAGGATTCGAATTCTCTCTGGACGGCCTTGTTTTCTTGCTGCTGTGCTTCGAGTTTTTGACGTGCTTCCACGGCGGTTTGGAGATCTGTGGGACGAACAAGTCAGAACATCAAAGGTAGCGTGTCTGGGGGCATTTTGTTCCCGACCGTCTTGGAATTTTTGCAGAGCTTCGGACAAGGCCTGCAGCTTACTTCTGTCCTCTTCCATGGTGTGCCGGTTGAGAAGACGATCTAGGCTGTGATGGAAAGATTTGTAACGGATTTGTACATGCCTGGAATGGGAAACCGTTCTAGCGCGCAGTCCGCGGGGCAAATGCCGGTGCGCCATCTCCGTTTCCATCCCACTCCTCACCTTCGCTGCTTTGTGACCACTCTACGTTCTTCTGGGATCTGGGATTCACGCGACTCCGAGACAGAATTCCACGACCCTTGTATATCTGTGCTGGACCTGCTGGACAGACGCCTTTCATTGGCTCCCATTGCAGCCTGAAGACAGTCATCGAGCGGATTCCGCCGCTTGTTTACCTCAATTGTATCTGGTCGAGGTACCTCTACGACCACCCTTATCTTCCGTCGTACCTTGTCTAGGACCCCCAGCGTCAGAGACCCGCCGCTCAGAATGTCCAACACCGACTTCCTCGGCCGCGCAATAGACACGGTAAAGAAAGCCATTGAGCTCGACACCGCCGGTTCCTACGATCAAGCCTACCAACAGTACTATGCCGCACTCGAACTCTTCATGCTGGCACTAAAATGGGAAAAGAATCCAAAGTCAAAGGAAATGATCCGCGCAAAGGCGGGCGAATACATGGATCGAGCGGAGAAACTGAAAGCCCACATTCAGACAAACGATTCGTCTAATCGCAAAAAGCCCGCGGCGATGGGTGTGAACGGAAAAGCTGTCAACGGCGCGGGCAAAGGAGAAGCAGGAGACAAAGATGAAGAAGATGCGGATTCAAAGAAACTCCGTGGACAATTAATGGGGGCGATCTTGACCGACAAACCAAATGTCAAATGGGAGGACGTCGCTGGTCTTGAGGGCGCAAAGGAAGCATTGAAAGAAGCTGTCATCCTGCCTATCAAATTCCCTCACTTATTCCAGGGCAAACGACAACCTTGGAAAGGGATATTACTCTACGGGCCTCCTGGTACGGGTAAGTCGTACCTCGCAAAAGCTGTCGCGACAGAGGCAAACAGCACCTTTTTCAGCGTGAGTTCGTCCGATCTGGTGAGTAAGTGGATGGGTGAGTCGGAACGGCTGGTCAAACAACTCTTCAACATGGCAAGAGAAAACAAACCCGCAATCATCTTTATTGACGAGGTCGATGCCTTGTGTGGACCTCGAGGCGAAGGCGAATCGGAAGCGTCAAGACGTATTAAAACTGAGCTTCTCGTCCAAATGGATGGAGTGGGAAAGGACTCTCGTGGCGTCCTGATCCTCGGCGCAACAAACATTCCCTGGCAGTTAGATGCTGCTATCCGTCGACGTTTCCAGCGAAGAGTGCACATCTCTTTACCGGACAAACCAGCACGAATGCGGATGTTTGAGCTCGCTGTTGGGGATACGAAATGCGACATGACCCAGGCGGACTACAAGGCGCTGGCAGATCTGAGTGAAGGCTACTCGGGGAGCGATATCAGTATTGCGGTGCAAGATGCCTTGATGCAGCCCGTGAGGAAGATCCAAACAGCTACGCACTACAAGAAGGTAAGTCCAACCGCTCTCCCAAGCACTGTCCCGTTATTACCTGCAAGTCAAGCTACTAACAAATGCTCGTCAGGTCATGGTTGACGGCGTCGAGAAACTCACTCCGTGCTCCCCTGGCGACCCTGGAGCAATGGAAATGACCTGGGTGGACGTTGACTCGGAAAAGCTGCTCGAGCCTCCGTTAACCGTGAAGGACTTCATCCGCGCCATCAAAGCGAGTAGACCGACTGTGTCTGGGGAAGATCTGAAACGAAATGCCGAGTGGACGGCCGAATTTGGAAGCGAAGGTGCATAACACGGTAAATGACAGATGAGAGATACAACTTTGTCGAGAAATGCAGAATGAAGACGACGATAGCAATGTCATTTGGACAGATTGGGACTTAGTAAAGGGGGTTTCTGCAGGGATGAGCAAGGGCGTTCCAGGCTTGTTGCCAGTAAGACTGTGCTTGCTGGCTTTCTTCCTCTCGGCAGAGAACGGCGTCGATGCCAGCTCGATTCGAATGTCTGAAGAATCAATGAGCCCGGAAGCAGAAATTGGCCAACAAATACAAGATCTCGTCTCCAATGCGACGACCATGGGAGGTGGTCAGCCTCGCCACTCGATCGCAAGGGCCTCCCTCCCCTTCGTATACGCTGGATGTCGGAGGCACTTGCAAGCATTTGAGAAGAGAGATCAAAAAGCTGGGATGAGCCTCAGCAGGGAACCCTGTCGTCGCCGGGATATGTCAGGGGTTCTACAATGTGTTTGGCCACCCAAAGGTTCTGTTAACTGCTCTATCGATGCCTTTCTTCCTGCCTCTCTTTCGCGGACGCTAAGCCCGATCTTCCAGCTACACAGTGGACACAAGGCACGACACGATATCATATGATCAAAATAGCCACCACTCCTAGCTAGCTAGCCCTTCATGGCAGATTCTTGTACATCGTCATGTCAGAGAGATATATATATATATCTCCCTCTTGAGGTCTTTCTTCCAATGGCTGACGCGGACTTCTTTACCCCCCCCCTTGGTCTGTCTGGTCCTCCCTGGCTGCTCTGAACATTCTCCGAGATGCATGGCTTTGCTTCACAAGGCGTAGGATGAAAACGATCAAAACCCTAGAACCAAAGAAAAGGGGTTTGGGGGGAAAGGAGGGAGGGCGGTTCTGTTGAAATCCAAGGTCCTCAAGTCTCCATTCTCTAGTCTCCAGTCTGCAGTCTTCGCCGTCCAACCCAGTTCCCATTGAAGCCCATGTCGAATTTTTCATTTTATTTTATTTTGTATTTTTGCTACTTATCGTGGGATTTCCCCCGGATTCAGTGCAGTGCAGTGCACCTCTCTGTATCTATGTAGGTACTGATAGTGATTTGCATTTTCTTTTCTTCTCTTTTCGTTTTCGTATTCTCTTGAAAATTTGACCTGACCTTCCACGTGTGCCAGGCTTCCAGGAAGGAACAAAAGATAAAGGAAGACTGCCTGGCTTAGTGTGATGAAATGGTATACGATATACAGTATCTGATATCCCTCAATGGCCGTCAGAAGGGAGGGAGGGAGGATGGGAGGAAGTAAGGAAGGAGGTAAATGTTTATGTACAGTAAAGGTGGGTCGCTTCACAGGACTGTTCTCGAGGCCATGTAATACTCCGTCCGTACCTAAAGGTCCACCAACTTCATCCTAGACCTGGGACATACATATCTCGGACCGTCGTCATGAATCGTATCCTGGAGAAGCCTTCATTGAGCCTTGCGTATACCGGCACGCGTGTTCCCTCCTCCCGTCTGATCTGAGGGGTGAACCGTGTGTCTTGACAACTGCGGAACAGGAAACGGATGCATTCAGCACGGCGATTGGCCTGAATTTCTTGACAAAGCAATATATATTTATCGAATGTTGAATTTCATTACAATCAATTCCCTTCTAATAGTTGATTCTTCGTGATAATAATCTATTACCGTCCCTCTCCCCTTGCGCATGTGCGATCAAATTCGTAAATCGTAGCGCCTTTTGGTAGAAACCCTCGTCCCCCCAGCAGCTTCGGTGTTGCCATGCACACCCATGGCCAACTCGTCTGCTTTCCGTTTGGTTCCCCTCGGCCGTATTACCATCTCCCTAAAAGGGCCACACCCACTTCCTGATTTCCTCCGGGTCGATGCCGTCGTTGAAGGCGATGGTGCGGTAATTGATCTGCGAGCTGAGCAGCTTCTCCCGGGCGCTGGCGCCCTTGTTTCCCAGCTCGGGCATGCGGTCGAGGGCCTCGATGGCCAGGCTGAAGCGGTCGGTGCGGTTGCGGATGGCCAGCTCGAGCGGGGTGTCAATGTTGCCCTTCTCATTGTAGCCGCGGACGTGCAGGTTGGCCTGGCTGGGCCGTTGGGCTGTCAGGCGGTGGATCAACCAGGGGTAGGAGTGGAAGTTGAAGATGACGGGCCGGTTGGGCGTGAAGATGGCCTCGAACTCCCGCTGCGACATGCCGTGCGGGTGATCGTGCTCCGGGATCAGCTTGAACAGGTCCACCACGTTGACGAACCGGATCTTGAGCTCCGGCACGTACTCGCGGAGCAGCGCCGTCGCGGCCAGCGATTCCATAGTCGGCACGTCACCGCAAGACGCCATGACCACATCGGGCTCCTGGCCTTGGTCGTTGGACGCCCAGTCCCAGATGCCGGCGCCTTTGGTGCAGTGCTCGATGGCGGCGTCCATGTCGAGATACTGCAGGTGGTTCTGCTTGTCGGCCACGATGACGTTGACGTAGTTGCTGCTGCGGAAGCAGTGGTCCATCACGGACAGGAGGCAGTTTCCATCTGGCGGCAAGTAGATGCGCACCACCTCGGGAGATTTGTTGCACACGACGTCTAGGAACCCAGGGTCCTGGTGGGTGAAGCCGTTGTGGTCTTGACGCCAGACTGTCGCTGTCAACAGGATGTTGAGAGACGCGATCTTGGCCCGCCATTCGACTTCGAGGCACTTCTCGATCCACTTGCAGTGCTGGTTGACCATCGAGTCGATGATGTGGATGAAAGGCTCGTAACTGTTGAGCATGCCGTGGCGCCCGGACAGGAGATAGCCTTCGAGCCAACCCTCCACGGTATGTTCGCTCAGGATTTCCATGACGCGGCCTTCGAAGGCCAGGTTGCCACCGTCTTGGTCTTCTTCAAAGTATTCGCCCATCCACACTTTCTTACCGGCCTCGTATACGCCGGCAAGCTTGTTAGATTCTGTCTCGTCGGGCCCGAAAAGACGGAAGTTGTGTGGGTTCTTCGCGATGATGTCTCGCAGGAAAACGGCCATGTTCGACATGCTGGGGGCCTCCGTGATGCCTCCCTTCTCACATGGCAGCTTATAGTCACGGAAGTCGGGCATGAGCAGCGGCTTCTTGATGAGTCCACCGTTGGCGATCGGGTTCGCACTCATCCGGCGATTGCCGTCTGGCACCAAGTTCTTCAGAGCTGGGATCAGTTTGCCGTCTGCGCCAAAGTACTTCTCAGGGGTATAGCTCTTCATCCATTGTTCAAGGAGTTTCAGGTGCTCGGGGCTCGACGCCACATCTGGAAGGGGAATCTGATGGGCTCGCCAGAAGCCTTCGAGGTAGTGCCCGTCCACTTTTCGTGGCCCAGTCCAGCCCTTGGGGCTTCGAAGGACGATCATGGGCCACAGAGGCCGGAATGCCTTTCCTGACTCACGTGCTTTCTTCTGGTGGGCTCGAATCTCCAAGACGCACTTCTCCAAGGTGGCGGCCATGGCCTGGTGCATGCTCAGGGGGTCGCTTCCTTCGACGAAATACGGGGTCCAGCCATAGCCGATGAAGAGCGCCTCCAGCTCTCGATGGCTGATACGGGCGAGAACGGTAGGATTGTTGATCTTGTAGCCATTGAGGTGAAGAACAGGGAGAACGGCACCGTCGGTGATTGGATTGAGGAATTTGGTGCTGTGCCAGCTGGTTGCCAAAGGACCCGTTTCGGACTCCCCATCGCCGACCATCGTCAAGGCGATCAGGTTGGGGTGGTCGAAAACGGTTCCGAAGGCATGTGAAATGCTGTAACCAAGTTCACCTAGTTGGAGCGTTAGGTGGACCCATCACGGCAATTTGGGTCTTGCCACTCACCTCCTTCGTGCAAACTGCCAGGCGTCTCGGGGGTGGCATGGCTACCGATGCCTCCAGGGAACGAGAACTGTTTGAAGAACTTCCGCATGCCTTCTTCATCTTCGGATTTGTCCGGGTAAACTTCGCTATAGACGCCCTCCAGGTACGACTGGGAAATAACGGCGGGGGCTCCATGTCCCGGTCCGGAAATGAAGATGACGTCGAGATCATACTTTTTGATCAGGCGGTTCATGTTGACATAGGTGAAGACTTGACCAGCGTCGGAACCCCAGTGTCCCAGGAGTCTGGCTTTCAGGTCTCCGAGCGAGAGCGGCTCTTTGAGGAGGGGGTTCTTTTTGAGGTAAAGCATGCCTAGGCAGAGATAGAGACTGGCTCGCATGTAGTCATCCTGGAGCTTCAACTCGTCGCTGCTGAGAGGCTCGCCCTTGACGGTGGAGCGGGCCTTACCAAAGGGCGAGATGCTCTCGGCAGAGACATCCTCCTGGACGGTGGGCGACATGGTGGAGGAAGAAGACAAGGTTGACGACTGCAACCAATGTTGAGGAGGAAATCTAGAAGGGAGGAAAGACGGAAAGAAGGGTAGTGATAGAAGATCAAGATGAAGTTGTGGTGGGAGAGGAGAGAGATTGAGGTGACGACGGGGGGAAGCGAGGAAAGGTTTATATAACAGTCAATGATGATCACATCTGCTACTACTCCCTTCAGGATGCTACGTATCATAACCCAAGTATGGAACCACGACAAGAAATCCGGTCGTAACGGACGGCGGCAGGCACCGTGGATTGGATTTCATTGCTAATCTAGGCGGCGGCGGTCGACAAGCATTGTGATGGGGATGAGCGACATCTTTTTACCATTCTCGCCAACTGCTCCTCCTCGCCTCCAGTTATGCACCGAGTCAATTGCATCAGAGTGCGTTCAATGCGAGCTGTTCAATCCCTGCACGTGTCCGAACAAGGTTACAAGTGGGCGTGGGAAGCGGTAGGAGTGATCCGGAGCATATGCTTCGGGGGAGCTGCATCGTGAGCAATGCTGACTGTTCTTTTTCCCGCCAGCGGCATGGATTCGAGGACAAAGGGTCGAGGAGAGGTGGATGCTCGATGAAAGGCTTCCGAAAGCTACCAGGCATGGCCAATGCAAGGGTGGCAGGATACGAACACGTACGAGTGGCTTCGAAGAGGGTTGAGGAGGGGCAGTTGGACGAATGAAGGCGTCTAACAGCTGGCGAGCTCTGCCACCCTTTTGCAGCTATGGGACCGGGGGGGGCACAATAGAAGGGAAGTTGCCGCTGACATGATCTGATGGTAAGGGATCGGCCAAGGAACGCAACATCAGGAGATGCATAAACTCAACATGTGAGGAGTTGAAGAGGTCGAGAAGGTTGAGAAGGTTTCACACTCTCCAGGGCGCAGGCGGGTGGTGTGAGGCACCAATGCACCACCACCTGCATCCGGCATAGCGGTATTTATGCCGCAGACGAGACGCATGCACTCGGCTGTCCGGATTCTAGTCCTCCTCGTCAACCTTACAGTAATTACCTAGTGCCTAGCCACCGATTGCCTTTTGGGTCGCTCCCTCAGTTGTCCATGCACTAGATTGCACACGACGGACTGTCCTCCAGATACCAGTGGGATCCACGAGAAGATCAAAGGACAATGGATCGATGAGCTGGTCATCCGACTTAACCCCCCTGTCTCGCCATGTGCTGCCATGTGCTGTTCAGAAAAGAGATTGGACAAGGGAAAAAATACCGCAGGTCGCATAGGGTCGAGGCGAGCCGACGATAATACCACTCTATGTGCACACCGATCTTATCACGGTTCCCAACGGCTCAACCCACGAGGCTGGGTTCAGCAGTCCTCATGTTCCAATCTAGCAACTTGACGCTTGATTCCGTTCTGTTATCTCTTTCACACTGTCCTCAAAAGCCTAAAACATCATGAGCAGCTCGTCGGCAGCAACGTCTGTATCCTGTACTGACAAGCCCTCCTGTTTCTATAGGAGCCTGCGTTGAATGCATACCTCCAAGGCTGTCTCAAGGCTCAGATCTTCTTGTTCAGGATCTATCCACTCCCAAAGTCCTGCAAACACTAACCTTCTTATGCAAGATTGCCGGACCTGCGTCGATCAGGTCGTTTAACGAAAGTATCCGTATCCTGGCCCGACACCAGCAAGAGGTTCCGTGCATGTGGCGGAAGCAACCGTTCGATCACATCTAATCCGTTCATGTGCCGTATTGGGGATCGAGTCGAGGTGGCTTTACCGAGGGCGATCAGGGACGGACGTGCCTTGAGGAGGGGGTCCCATCTGGAAGTGGAAACGACAAATGGTCGCGCTGCAAGAGCCGATGGGAAATGACGGTCTTTCTATTGGCCAGGTCGTGACTTGGTCTCGTGCGTGATGAATTGATCTTGGCCTGTACCGGGGTGGTGAACATGTGAGTATTTTCCTTTAGGCCGTGGTCTTGCCCACCTTCAATCAACTCTTGATTCGAGGCTGCCAACCTTTCTGGGGTCAAACGGCTGCGGGTGCAAATCCCGACCGTACACCTGACCTGGCCAGAGACCGACATACATATGCATGTCTCGAAGCTCGTCTCTTCTGCATGTCTTGGGTGGCAAGACGTGCCCATTGTCCAGCGATTAGTGACTGCGAGGAGACGCACGCGGTGGCTTGACCGGGAGGCCTGATCATCCTTTCTCTCTCGTTGACAATTGCTGGTGTTTGAGCCGGTAAGTGCTTTTGTGCAGCTTCAGGAGGATGGCTCTGTTCTCACTGCCAGTGTGATGACTCGGCTGGAGGTTGATGATGGCGGCGTCATCCTGAGGGCAACGGTGAGTTTTTGTTGTGCAGGCTAACACCTACCGAAAACTCGATATGGAATGGGCTCAGCTGCCTTGGAAAATCTGCGTGCATATCAGTTTCTGTTCAACGTCTGAGAGACTTTTGGTGTTGCTGGGCTTCACTTGCCCGTCGACACTGCTGTGATATGGAAATCATTATCACCATGGTCATCGAGTGATGAGCCCTTCCCCGTCATCTCCCAAGCTTTGGAAGGCGAGAATATCGACTGTCGAGGCTGGACTTGGAACAGCATGTCTCTCCTTAGACCAGATACCAGTCGTCGAACGCCACGCAAGGCACGAATGAACTGCGCTTGCGTATCTCTCTTGCCTGTTCGGGAATCTGGGTTGGGCGTTGCGGGGTTGATTTGCCCGGCGGACTTGAGCACCACGCGCGCAGTTCATCAATTCGTCTCATTGAGATTCGCCCATCAATCATTCCTTCTATCAATCAGTCAATCAGTCAATGAACCCCTCAACTCCAAGGCTCTTCTCCCTCTCTCTTGCCTTTCTCGTCTTATCACAGACACACTCCCTGTCGGGGGTCGTATATCCTCGTGTCTTACTCCCGCTGTAGGTATAAAGCATCCAGCTTCACCCTCCCTCACCAAGGTAATTCGTTCCACCTCCATCTTTCCCTCCCTCACATCTTCTGGCACTGTATAACTCGATTCCCATTGCACTGCCTTCACCATGTCGACCACGACAACCACCACCACCTTTACCCAGGTCCTCTCCACCCCCTCTTCCGACGAGCCCCAATACTATGGCAAGCTACGCTACATCCCTCAGGGCCAAACACCCACCCCTTCTCCCCACAACTTCCATCTACCTGCCATGGCGGAGTTCGGTGACGTCCGGCTCCAACCTCTCATCGACATGCGCCCGGTCCCCACCGTGGCCGAACTGCCCGGAGCGAAGGAGCCCACCGCCAAGCTCGACACCCATGGCTTCGCCGCCGTCCGTCACCCGACAACCATGAACGCCGCCCCCTACACCCGGGAGAGCTGGAACGACCCCAAACTGCTGAAGGAGCTCTACGTGCCCGAGACCGAAGAGATGGTCAAACAAGTCACGGGCGCGAAGACGGTCATCACCGAAGCCCTCTTGCTCCGCAGCGCTGTCTGGTCCGAAGCCGACGCTCTTGCGACCCATGCCGGCCACGGGGACCAAAATGAAGAAGCACAGCAGCCGCTGGAGAAGTCGCAGGAAGAGAAGGACCTCGAGCTCGGCTTCCCTCAGTTCATCGGGTTCTCCAAGCAGCACGGCGGCGCCAGCCCGGCCCCGAAAGTCCACCTGGACTACGCGCCCAACGGCGCGCGGACGCACCTGCGGAAGTACCACCCGACCATGACGGCCGTCGCAAAGCCCATTATCGACGCCGAGGAGAAGCTGCTGGCGCAGGGCAAGTCGCTGAGAGAGGAATACGCCGAGTCCGGACTGGGCCCGCGCTGGGCGCTGTACTCGATCTGGCGGCCCCTGAAGCGCGTGCGCCGCGATCCCCTCGCCCTCGGTGACGCCCGCACGTTCCTCGAGAGCGACTACGTCCCCGTGATCGTGAAGACGCCCAACCTCGGCATCTCCCCGGACTCGAAGGAGACGCACGACACCGAGTCGTACCTGGCCCGCTGGTCCTCGGGTCAGAAGTGGTACTTCATCAGCCAGCAGGAGCCTGAGGAGGCGTTGGTCATTGGCCTCTTCGACAGCAACCGCGACAAGGAGACCGTCGCCGCCGGTGGCACGTTGCACTCCAGCGTGGATCTGCCAGGAACCGAGAACGAAGAGCCAAGAGAGAGTTTGGAACTCCGATGTCTGGCAATCTGGTAAGGTGTGTGCAGTCAAAGTATCGAGCTGGGCGGGTGGGCACATGAATATCCTTCGAAGCTAAGTGAACACAGGCGTTACGTGGACGAAGATCAGGAAGCAAGAACTCCGGCGCTGCAGGGGACACCCAGACACACACACACATATATATTCACATATCTGGATATTCCTGAAAATCCGTAGTTCCTGGCTACATAGTTCGCGCGATAGACCGACGTGAAGTAGATTCTGAACGAGTCGACTGACTTCTTTATGAGTACTTTGTTTCCCCCCCTTCTTATGTTACATATGTCCGCAGGAAACTGATAAGGTGATGAGATGATGCTACATCGCACGAAACTGGTTAGTTGATTGGTTGGTTGGTAGTGTATAGTAGAATTCCCCTACTGTACATCTTGTCACTTATTGTACATATATACATATAAACATACATACATAGGTATTATGTAACCATCGCATCGCATCGCATCGCTACATACATATATATATAATATAATAAGGAGGAAGCGGGCTTGGCTGGATTAAGCGCGAAATGACTGAACCGGCACGACGGAGTAGGGTTTTCCACATCATATAATATCTATGTGTCTAATATTTCTCTTTCTCCACATATTAGATTCATTCATCAGAGGTACATACAGGTTGTTAAGTGAAAACAAGCACATAGGTAGGTGAAGTAGGTATTTTCTTATTGCCGCTAGAGCTACTACTGGAAGAAGTGTCTGGGTGGTAGCAAACAGTACCACCGTACCCAGTACACCCCGTTCGCTGCGCACTCTCTCTGTGTGTTCGTATCCTGCAGTGTGCCACCACGTCTGAAGACGATCCTTTAACCACAGCCACCCATCTCTCTCTCATCACACGTTGAAGCTCGTGAATTGCTCGATAAAGGACCTCCATACACAACATGTACGGTCCCTTAATTACAGTCGTCGCCTCACTGCTTGAGCGCCAGGCCGATCGAATTGAGGTACTGACACCTCTTCCTAACAGCGGTGCTGACCTCGGCCATGCCCGTCGTGTCGGCTGTGTCGAAAAGCATTCGCATCCAGTCACCGGCACCAGTACCGGCACTGCCGTCCTCGTCAGCGAGCGTAAACTCCTGCCAGGTGGGGGAGCCTGGGGCCCGAAACGGGTTCGGGTCCAGCGTGCGGACAAAGCTGATCCAGTAGCCCTGCATCAGAGGCACGATCCACGCGTTGGGCCCGCCGCTGCGATAGCTGGCCGGGCTCGCGCCGTTGGTGTTCCCGGGCCCCCAGATAGCCGCGAGCTCGACCGTGTGCGGCACGCCCAGCCCCTGGCGCACCTGCGCGGCGTCCTGTACGTTGTACCAGTAGTTCCAGTTCCCCGGCACACCGTACCGCGCGTAGCTCGACGAGATGAACAGGTTCGGACACATGTACCGCATGTCGCCGTACGCGTTGGAGACCTGGCGCCACCAGGAACCCGAGTTGGGGAATTGCGGCCCGTTGTTGGGGTAGAGTTGGTCGATGCGACGCAGCTGTTCGATAGTCAGGTCGGGGAATTGGTCGTGCAGGAACGTGTTGGACTGAGCCAGGCTGGAGGTTCCCCGAGGCGTGAAAATCGTTCCGCCGTTGGTGTCGTCGCCGAACAGGACGGGGACGCGGAGAAAGTTGCCGTTGTCGAAGGCTGCATAGGTGTAGTTTTGGATCAGCTCGTTGTCGATGACTGGATTCCACATGTACAGAGGGGGGTTTTGGGCACCGGGATACGGCACATTGTGATTTTGAGTCTGAAGCTGTGCCGTGGTCTTGGAGCGGAGGCACGACAGCGTGTCATCCTTGACGGTTGAATCTTGACCGGTGGTGCGAGACGTGCAGCCCAGGCGTTTCGCAAGGCTGTCATATTGGTACTGGCTTTCCTCGAAGGTCAAGATGGGTGCAAAACTGACCGATTCGGCAGCTGCAGCGACAAACAACCCGTCATTCCGACCGCCGTACGCAGTCAAGTGGTAAGCAATGGATGCAGCACCTGCGGAATCTCCACCGAGAACAACATGCTTTGGATCTCCACCGAACTGAGAAATGTACTTTTGCACCCATTCAAGTGCTTTGCGTTGGTCCTTTAGACCGTTGTTTAGGCTGGCAGATGGAGAGTCTTGGATTTCCCGGCTGGCGAGAAACCCATAGGGTCCAACGCGGTAATTGAAAGTCACGACAATAAGCCCATGCCCGGACGTGGTGATCAAGCCGCTGCCATTGTAATTTGGATTCGAGTTGAAGTTAAAGCCGCCACCCTGGATAAAGAAATAGACCGGCAGTTTGGAGGCGTTGGTCGCGTGGCTGGGAGCATAAACGTCCAAGAAGAGACAGTCTTCGGACAGTCTTGGGTCGCGAGCATTGTTACCCGTTCCAAAGCAAATGTCACCGTGCTGAAGACCGTAGTTAGCCATGGCCAGTCACTGAACGGTGAGACTGAAAATATGATTCACCTTGTCTGCTACGTGAATACCGTGGGTCACGGGAGGATCTTGGGGTGCAGCGAATCTCAAACTGCCCGTCGGCGGTGCGGCATATCGCATCCCAAGCCATTGTGTGACCCCGTTCGGAAGAGCTGTGCCTCTGTAAGACGCGTATTCGAGGCGGATCAAATCATTTGCGGCCAACACTGTCGAGAGACAACAAAGAATAAGGGCTGGGAGCATCGTCAGCTGTAGGTGTGGTAGAGCTCGAAGCCGACGTTGTGTGTCTGCGAGTGAATGATAATTTTCATTGAGCCACACCCTTGAAGCACTGGCGAGAGTTCATCCTGAACAGGTTTTCATTTACAAATCAACCTTCACAAATTCCGTGACGCCCTTCTTTCGGCAGTCGGTCACGCCTTGAGTATTGGTACTTTCTCAGGCGAGATGTTCTGTGACGCGACGGCATGAGGCGCAGCGCATAAGAAGAGAGTCCACCATGGTTTAGGAGGGCCGGTCAGAGACGGCAGCAAAGATGGTCCTGATAGCTATAGCTTTCGGACGACAGAAGAAAGTAGTCTCATGCGCTGCAAGGGACACCGATGTTTCGGTACACGCGGCCATTCCCGGTTTCGACCAAGTCTGGCGTCATCACCGGCCTAAATGTGCGGCACAGGTAAGCTAAAAGTCGAACGCAGCGGGATAAGTCCGGTGACAGTTGAGGAGCTGTAGAGGAGCTTAGAAATAGTTCCCACGGTGCACGGAAAGGTCCTGTTTGGATGACAACTGTGTCGATTCAAGAATGCTGGATGCTGAGTTGATGTCAATGGGGCACCGCATCGGCAATCCCCGCTTTCACGACCTCCCAGTTGATCCCTCCAATGTTGTCGCCTTTCAGCTGGCTCAGCGCAGTTAGATCGCTTGTAGACCTCCCCATAATGATTCTCCTTGCCATGAGCGAATCCTTTGCACCAGGCAGCTTGGAAGCTGGCCCGTTCAGTATACAGCGCTCGAACCAAGCTTCCTCCTGCGCGGTCCACGGCAGTCCAAGAAGAAGGGCTGCTCGCTCCGAACGAGAATGGCCAGGGCTGTCCTCATGTACATCAGAAATCAGTTTCTCAAACAGCATTTTGTGTCTTGCTTCGTTTTGTCTTTGTGCGAAATAATATGCTTCCACCAGGTTGTTGTCTATGATCAACTCAAAATATGCCTCGAGCGCGGTCGGATCTTCCAGTGGTGGAGACATAGCAATGTAGTATGCTGGTATCAACGATGGCTCGCATTTTGGATGTCGCATGAGGGTAAGGAGGATTTCGTCCGTGAAGGTGGGTGTCAGTGATGGATCTGTGAGGTGTTCGAGGGCGCGAGAGAATTGAGCGTGATCAAGTTCCCACAAGCCGGCCACGAGAAGCTGCCATCTCTGAGGCAGGTGGGTCCTTCGAGCAAAGTTGGAGTCGGCGTTAGGTAGCTGGCGACAGTCTCTGAGCAGGTAGTAAAGGAGAGCGAGTTTCTGCTCATCAGGAGCGGAGGACTGAGCGATCTTAGACCACAAAGTGCGCAGATCCTGATTAGATCGAGGTGGATAGTTATTCCTTGCAGCTGATGTTTGATCAGTAACCCTGAGACATGCTGATATAACGAGGAGAGTGAGGTCTCACGTCTTGCAAGGCCGATTGTCTTCCAGATGCGATCAAAGAACAATTGGTCGCCGAACTCCTTGCGGTGCTTGATGATGCTCTCCACCATTCGGTTGTCGTAGGCATAGTCCGGCTTTTGCTGGAAGACCGCATCGAAATCCTGCCAGTCGAGCATTTTCCACTGTGGCAGCAGGTTCTACAGAAAGTTCTTTTGTGGAAGATGAGAGACTTGTTCTTGTGGCATCAACATTCTTCTCCGCACCCTATCACGTGACGGCCCCGACCTCCACGTCTTACGTAAGCAGATTCCTCCGGCTCAAGTCCGAATTTGGCTGGTTCACTTCATCCTTAACCGAATGCTTCAATGATGGATCGGTTCCGCGTTTGTGGCCTCATTACCTGAATTGTACTAATCATGTAATCTAAACCGCAGTTTCGAGACGCCCAGACTCTAGAGCTTCCTTGGTTTTGATTGGAAGCGAATCATATCACCATTACGTCCCACAGCAAGCTCACGGTCGGTGGGTGGAAAAACCGAGCAAGACGAACCCCGCGTTATTGCCTCATGTCAAAGCTGCGAGGGAATACTAACACCATCACCCGAGGTGTGGCTCTCTTCCCTTGCCCCGTCGTCTCTTTACGCGTATATAAGGGCCTACGCCTTCCCCTCAGTATGCCTGCCTTCAGTGCTAAACAATCCCCATTGATTTTGCGTCTCGTTAAACGTCATCATGGGGTCCGAGCGGTATCCCGTGAAGCATAAGGGCATCTACCACAATCTGCCGACTTTTGACCCTTCCATCAAAGATCTCACAGCTATCGTTACCGGTGCAAATGGCATTTCGGGCTTCCATACCATGCGGGTGCTACTTGACAGCCCCGAGCGCTGGAGCAAAGTCTATGCTTTATCCCGACGCCCTCCCCCTAAGGACATGATGGCCCTGCTTCCAGAGTCTCAGCGGTCTCGTGTACAACATGTGGCGGTCGATTTTCTTGAGGATCCTCAAAAAATCGCTAATGCCATGACCGCCGCTGGCGTCAAGGCTGACTATATCTTCTTCTACTCCTATCTGCAACCGAAACCCCCGCCGGGAGCTCCCGTGTGGTCCAATGCCGACGAACTGGTCAAAGTGAACACTGCGTTGCTCGACAACTTCCTTGGTGCTCTCACACTTTCTAAGATCATCCCCAAGCGGTTTTTGCTTCAAACTGGTGCGAAGAACTACGGCATTCACGTTGGTCGTGCCCGCACGCCCGCTATCGAATCCGATCCGCAGCCTGAGCACCTTGAACCAAACTTCTACTATCCACAAGAGCGGTCATTGTTCAAATTTTGTAAAGACAACAGCACCACGTGGAACGTTATCCGTCCGGCTTGGATCCTTGGCGCAGTCAACAATGCCCAGATGAACGCCCTGCATCCTTTCGCCCTCTATGCGGCGGTACAAGCTCAGAAGGGTGAGCCCTTATATTTCCCGGGAGACTGGGATACCTGGCAATGGGAGTCTCATCATTCTTCTGCCATGTTGACGGGCTATCTGTCCGAATGGGCCGTATTAGAGGACAAGTGCAAGAATGAAGCCTTCAATTCTCAGGACACAGGGGGTTTGAGCTGGGATCGTTTCTACGAGGAGCTGACACGGTGGTTTGGCGTCGAGAAAGGCGTCCATCCCCCCGAAGAGGATCTGAGTAAGTTCCATGTGATAAAGGGCAGGGGCGGGAAAGGGTCTCCGATGGGGTGAGTGCAATCAATCCACCTTGCCACGTGAACGGTGGAGGTCGCTAATTGAGTCGCAGCTATGGCCCTCCTCCAACCTTCCACACCCTCTTCTCGCTTGTCACCTGGGCTTCAGAGCCCGCAAATCAGGAGGCCTGGCAGCAGCTTATGAAGGCTTCTGGAGGCCAGTTGACCGACAATCCGTTCAAAGATCCCCAAGCGAACTTTGAGTTTGGTGATGCGGCCTTCATGAAGTTCGGCAGCTTGTGTATGAATAAAGCTAGGCGATTGGGATGGACCGGGTTTGTCGATACCATGGAAGCTCTTTTTGAGATGTACTCCGAGATGGGCGACTTGGGAATGGTCCCTCGGATGAAGGTTGACAAAGCGAAGCCTTTGGTGTAAGGTGGAGGGTTTGAAATCGTCATCCATGCATTGATGTGCTGGCGATATTGCAGTTTAGATGTCCTTTCCCACCATCTCTGCAGTTTCTGATATCCACTTAGCTGCCTTCGCAGTACCGTGGTTTGACTCGTCCTGAGAGTCGTGGTCTTGGGTGATGTTCATGCTTCGTCAGTTTGCTTGGGGCGTCGCTCATAGAGGACTACACAGTCAAAGACCCACATCAACAAGGGAAGAAACACATACAGGTGGTACTTGTGCAAATAGCGGATTGCTCATGCATCTTCATGTTGCCGCGATAGACATCGGTAATACGCACTATATACCTCGTACTGCGGAGTAAGTCAAAATTCGCAAGGCTACAAAGATTTATCTGCTCAATTTCTCTACCACGTCCGACTGCAGTCTCAAGCTCATGCCAACAAGCCACTATTTTCCATGCAGCAATGCTTGCCAGGTTGACTGAACCTAATGAGAGTAAATCGAACGCTACGAGAAGGCTCGAAGTTGAACTCAGTAACAGGCTCCCTCAATCGTCCCCACTGCCTGTGCCAGGCCATACTCTGAGAGACATGAACCTCCCAAATACGGCAAACAGACGTCGAGATACGTCATACAGATAATAAATAGCCTGAGGCTTCCCTCTAGTACCGAGTACATATGTATGTATGTGCTGGACGCTGCGAGGCGCCTTAGCGCCTTGGCACTTCTACCACCTTACATGATAGATAGATACACAATCCCATGCCCCCACGTTACCACTAGATACACTACTGTTGCCTCTACGTCAAGATCCGAGGTCCAGACTGCAAGAATCCACCGTGATCCAAACACCGTCGAATCGAGAAATCGGCTAATGCCCCGTCGCCCGCTCGGCTGACCTTTCCATTCACAGCAGGCACAGATCCACTTCGGTGCAATTCGATCACCCAGAAGTCGTTGACGACAGTCTTTGCGTCGACTTTTGGTGGAGAGGGAGGATCTCGTCGACGCGAAATTCCTCACGAGCAACTGATCCCAAGCTGCGGTCAGTATATTGAAAAGTTGTGGCTGTTGCCAGACGACCTCGAGATTTCCCGTAATCTTCGCGGTCGCCGAGCTGTATGTACGTGCTAACAACGAAGATTGGATGCCGTCAAAGAGGTTTACTAGACGCGCTAGGCCAATCGCCTAATTATGCTGCAGGAAATCTTTCTCCGTCGGTTATCTGAGAACGAATCTAGCCTGCTGAAATGGTTCAGATTGGGCTGGACGAGGCAAAAGAAAGTTTAGTTGCGTAAGTCTCGCGTCTTTGAAGCAATTGAGCTGGACACGAGGCTGTCCCCGCTTCCCGCCCCGGCATCCTTGACCTTTGCGAAACTGCCATTCGACGAGCTCATCATCATGTGAAGAGCGGGAGCGGTATTGACTAAAAATGACCCAATACTACGATAGGTCATGGTCGGCATTGTCGAGCCAATCAACTTGGGACTATGTCCTATACCCAATCAAGATGGGTGGGAAAGGGTTTCCCAGTACCCTCAGGGACATATTGTCGGCGCAATTGGACTCGAAGAAATGCAAATACAGGGCGCGCCCATCATCGTTCAGGCCGCACTTTGGTGTCTCATTCTTCCTTCCATGTTTTCACCCAACATGCAGTCCCATTTCCAGCTCGTTGCCCCCAACGCCGGAAAGACCAGCAGCCATGCACTTCCTCATGATGTATCCTTTTCTCGCATTATACCGCTTGACACCAGTACCGGACCTCGCAGACAGACAGCCGTGCAACACCTATCAGAGTTCATGGTAAGCGGGAATCCATCCGAGAGACCGACAGGACAGCATTAAAACACTTTCGCAAGGAAGAAATGTATCGTTCGAATCTTGCTCGTCTCCAGCTAGAGCTGGGATTGTCCGACCTTGCCGCAAAACGACTTGACGGCAGGATCAAAGAACTCGTTGTCCCACCCATCGTCCCAGATGATACCAACTCCGCTCTGAACTACGGGCTGGATTTCCACGCCATCGCCAGTTCCATTCGCCGTTTTCCTGAGCTGAAGCCATATTTTGCAAGAACACGTTCCAGGAATTGGGAGACCTGTTTCAACAACGCTCTCTATTTCTGGGCTCACCTCGTCTGCGGGATCCCGCAAATTTCTCAAAAACGAACGCCAGTGGCGCATACACCGTTAAAGAGCGAAACATCTAATCCGCCCAAACGTTCGGAATCCACTGGAACCAATGAACAATCTACTACGCCTGCATCCTTCGCTACAACCGACTCGCCGGAGTCGCCGGACGACGTTTTTGTTGCACCTAAAGGCAGCTCCAGCCAAGCTGCAGGAGATCTCTGGATGAGACTCTACCCTGGCAGGTATGCAAACTTCATCGAGATCCGCGCCCTCAGCGGTAGTCAGGAAGAAGTTCTGAGAGGGCGCATGCAAGAATTGTTCTGCGTGCAGTCTCCACCTGCGATCAAGAAGTATGGGTTTGACTACGTCGTGTCACACTGTCGAAAATTCCTGGCGAAGAAAAGAAAGGCTCCACCTGATGCTGAGGTCCAGCTCCTCTATTACATCAAAATGCCGACCATTGCAAGCCCAATTCGAATAGTGATTTGGGATAGGGAGTCGTTCGGCATGGCCTACGACATTTGGTCAAGCCTCAAAGACAACAGGATTCCTTTCATGCTGTTTTTGGACGATCACAAGCCCGACCAGTCGTCGCCGTTGATGCTCCCTCCCCCTCAGATTTCTCCTAGTAAATCACTCGAGAGCACCCAACACCTGTCATGAGCCAGATCCTATCTGCGCGGGCGACATTGGCTTTGAGACACCGCATCCTCGTTTGGCCACAATGTACTAGGATACACTTCCCCACGGTCATTTACTCAGCAAACATGATGCCGCAGACAAATCGCAACCAGACCCTAACTGTCGATCCTTGTAGCAGGGATATCAGGATGCAGGCGGGCGTGCACTTCCAGCATGACCGTCTGAAGGAAACACCACATATTACTCGGTGAAATATAACAGCCCCTGCAATCCTTAATTTCCAAACGGCAACGGAATGCATCACGGGAATGTGGTCGAATCGACCCAGCAACGTTGATCTCTCAAGATGGAGAGATCAATCCGAGGTAGAGTTTCCCACATCCGTACGAGCGGGCAATTGAGTTCAAGGTCACTGCAGACGCAAGTTAGGTTGAGCACTGCCACGAGCCACGCTCCTTTAGATCTGGCTGCACCCGCTAGCAAACCTTGTTCCCTCACAGCCAGCATGGAGTGACTGGAGGGCTGGACATGCTGAAGTGAGCTTCCGCAATCTATTCTCGAAGGCCAAACCTTGATGTGCAGGCAAGTGATTGTTATCTAGTATGCGAATTGTCCAAAAAGACAAAAAAAGGGCCACCAGACTGGACTTCCGGTTCACCGCTTGTTACGCAAGACAAATGAGGGGCGAGCAGGGCGAGCAGGGCGAGTAAGGGCGAGACATGACGCCTACTATTAGGCAGACTCTGGAGATGGGAACGCACAGACCCTGTGGCTTGCATTAGCCTCGTCAAAAGGGCACACGGGACATTTCCCGCCTGATTACCTTCTTCGTCTCGCGTCTTTTCTTTTTCACGTCGTGGTTTCGCTCTGCCCGGGGAAAGTACATGTGTGTCAAATATTCGGCGACCTTGCGCAGCTTATGCAGCTTGTGCAACACGCGATTGGATGCTCTGTGCATTTGCCGCTCGGTAACACCTCCCAATCAGTGTCATAGCCCTGGTTCCAGCCCACAGCCAGCTGAGATCCCTACTACTCGTATCAGATTGAGTTTCACATTCCCGGCAAGAGAGGTCACCGATCACTACTTTCCCCAGCGAGACGGGGAGGAGAGGGGAAAAAAAGAGGGTCCAGCACAGAGACGGAAAGAAGAAACGAAGGTGGACAAACACCAACATGAGCCCTTGATTGCATTTGGTCTTTGTACAAGTGTGGCTGTTCTTGCTCGAATGGGGCATCGTTGTCTCATTGGCGTCCCTCAAGGCCCATGAAAGCTCCGTGCTGGGACAACCCAGCCCTTTGGCTCGGCGAGGCTGAAGCTGACGTTCGATGGTCCTGCTTCCCCCACCTTCATTACCTTTCTCTTTTTTCTGTTTCAGGAAGTTTTCCAAAGGGGAGTGGCTGGAAGCTCACTGGTGCTTGTCACACGGTGTGCTATCTTCCCATTTTTTTCTCTTTCTTTTTGGTGGTTGTGTTGTCGGCGGCATTTTGCCCCATTATTCCCTTCTTGTTCGTTCTTTGAACATTTTGCCTCTTCTACTTCCCAACGAACCAGTTCTACTCGATTTCCAGCACTCGTATTTGAGAGTGGCCTGTGATTTTGTGCATTGATGTTGTACTTCGAGACATCCTGGTTCGTGGAAATCCAGACTGGACTCTGGCGGAGGAGTCAGTTCGAACCCTTGCTGCCGTCTTCTGGAGTCCGTCGAGCTTTTGGTCAGCCCTCTAGACCTGGTTGGCATCCTATCCCTCAGCTACTCCTCCACTGCCTTAGCAATGCGAGGTTGTTCTCTGCGGAAAATGAATTGCATCTCAGCTGGGAAGTGGTTTTCATCGAGGAGGGTCCCTGTCTCTGCCTTCCAGCCGTTCAAGAAGCCCGACCCTGTACTGTGCGAGACTAATTGCTCCATCTTCCTGTCTGCTTCGCGACGCAGATGATAGGTTGCCCGCAGAGGTATGGTTTCTTCGTCGAACCCAACCCAGAACGTCACCTCGGCCAGAGATGGGAGTCTCGGTAGACGTTCTTGGAGACCTTTCAGAAAGCATTCCAATTCATCAGCTATCCGGGAATTATACCACCTCTTGTGTATGGCAATGATGTACTTCAGCTTGGTAATGTATTTCAAGTTGTCTGTCATTGTTCCTGTGCCAATAGCCCCGACGTCTGTTTTGCTTCCCCAGCGCTCAGTGCAATTGCTTGAGTCGACCACGATTGTTGTTGTGCTGAAGAAGATTGGGGTCCACTCATTGCTGATCTGACGGCACACCGTTTGTAGTGACTTCCTGGTCTGCTTCACACTTTCATCATCTGCAGGAGCACTTGTATCCTCCACTGCGAAGTAATCGTAGATGTGTAGTCTGATCTCGGAAGGAAGGTCCAGAAACCGGAAGCCTGGCGGGTCGTCTTTCTGCTTCTCCTCTTCTGCAGCGCTCTTGTTTGACTGACTGCTCGCAATTCCTTTGGCTGGCTGCTTTTTTGGGTATGGGAGCGACCTGGAGAGGCCCTTGGGCTCCGAGGCAGTCACTTTCGGCATGGTGAAGCAGTGTGGAGTTTCACTGACGACGCGATCACCGCGGATGAAGAGAGCTGGAGACAAGATTTTAGTGGGTCTCGGCGTGGTACCGCAGCCTTGTGTGCTGACGAGGCCAAATGTCCCAGGCTAAAGAAGTGTAAGGATGTCAGAATATGTGACGAGGAGCTCGAATGATGGGCTTTGACGCTGGCCGCTGAAGAGTCTGACTTTGCTTGATCGAAAGCTCAAGGAAGCAGTCTCCAAGGATGGAATGTAGTTTGTGGAAGAAGGAATGTTGAGTACTTGGAGGACTTGAACGCTGGGAGAAAATTCTCAGAAGACACGTGTTTCTCTGTACTACTCTCAACTGCCTTTCATTCAAGTGAAACAACAGTCTCTCCCTAGGGCGGCAAGGGGCGAGCTGGACGACCAAGAAATGCTTGAAGGGTCCTTTATTTGCCTTTCCTTTGTCTCGGCAGTTTGGCTATGTGTCTGCCGCTTTGAACACGCTGTAACTTGTTTTGCAACTTAACTAAACTTGTCTCTGCTCAATCGATCTAGTAGAGTCTCACAGTCTTGACTGTACGACGGTCCACATGTGGCTCAGCCCGTTAACACTCCCCACCAAAGGAAAAAAAAGTCTGCATCACTAGGACTTGTGTGTTGATCAACCTGTATTCCGTTCTCTCTGTACAGAAGAACATTGATCCCTTTGCATTCTCACGCCTCTGAGAGCAGAATATACGGTGTACCTCGTACTCTTGGGCCTGAATGCCTGTGCCTGGCTATCACTCCATCTAATGTCGGGACCATTCCGAATCCCGGGAAATTAGTGGCTTGGCATCGCCTGTGATTGGGCTTCAAGGTCAGCCGGTGGGCAGCCGCCAATCGGCATCATTATCGCATCCCCGCGGCAGATATTCGCGGTCCCCGTAAGCATTCCAATCCCAGAACCGCCCTGTAGAGCTGTATCATCTTTCTCACGAAGCTTCCCCAGCCAATACCGAGTACCTATTGCACCATGTCGGCATCGGGTTCTGGTCCGAAGACAGCTATCCCCGTCGGTACAGCGAGGTGATGAATCTGTCGCCCCGGTGGGCAGCATTCCCCATGGGGTCGCCCCTCGTAGGTCATCCAGTGCAGGGACTCTATTTAAAGCAGGCTGAAAGGCCAGCATAGTCACCACTAACTCAGCGTAGAGTAGGCGTGATCGAAGCGAAGTCCAGGATGGCAGCCTTTGCAGCACTGGGCCAGCTTCAGGCACTGAACCCGTATACACTGTGTGCAGCCCCCGTCATTTACGCGCTCGCCGTCATCATCTACCGGATATGGTTCCACCCTCTCGCAAAGTATCCAGGACCATTCCTCGCCAAATTCACCGACATATACCCCATGGTGGTGGCGTTCAAGATGACGCGACTCTACTGGCAGTATGACATGATCCAGCAGTACGGGAGTCCCGTACGAGTCGCCACCAACCAGCTCTTCTTCGCCGACATGAAGTCGTGGGTCGATATCTACGGGCAGAGCTCGAGCCCGTGCTTGAAGGAACCTAATTTCTATGACCCCTTTACGGCCACCGGCGCCAACAGCGTCTTCAACGAAAAGGACAAGACCGCGCACGCCCGTGTTCGTCGTTTGCTGTCCCATGCGTTCTCCCTGAATGCGTTACTCAAGGACGAGCCGTTCGTCCAGCACAAGGTCGAGACGCTCGACGAGACGGTGTTCAGGCCCAACGTAGGCCGGACAGTTGACATCTTCGGGAAGATGATGTGTCACTTTCTCGACATCTCGAGCTATTTCAGTTTCGGAACCTCTTTCAATTCCGTGTCCGGCCAGGGAGCCATCAGCCATCGAGACATGGACTGCTTGTGAGTGATCCGACAGTGTCCATCACAAACATGCACTTCCCATACCACAGTAGCCTCCTGGCTGTAAACCCCTACATGGGTAATCATGTCGCAAAGTGATCTGACCGCCCTTGAACAGTTTCGTCACGATCCCCGTCCAAGCTTTCATCCCATGGCTCAGATACGTGCCGATCCCCAGAATCCAAAAGGCCTACGGTCAGCTCGACAACTTCGTCAAGTTCGTCCAAAAGAGCGTGCGAGACTTCCAGCTGCAAATCGAGAAAGAGGGCGACGGCTTTGCCAAGGGCACATTTCTGCGCAACCTCATCGATGCCCGCGACGAGGAGACCAAAAGCAAGTTGACCTTCGAAGAGTTGGTAGAGAATACCATCATTTTCCTGTTGGCCGGCAGCGATACCACCGCCATCACGTCGATCTATCTGATGTGGGAGTGCGGCAAGAGGCCCGAGGTGAAGAAAAGGCTCATGGACGAAATCCGCTCGGCGTTCCCGGATTCAGGCAAGATGCCAACCTACGAAGAGGCTGCGAAATTGGTGAGTCAGAACACCCTGGATCTCTGTCAGTTGTTGATATGTCTTTGTCAGTCGTATCTCAACGCTTGCATTGACGAAACCCTAAGACTGTGGGGTCCCTTCAACGTCGGCTTCCCACGAGTGTCACCGGGCAAACAAATCGGCGAGCACTTCGTGCCCAAGGGTGTCAATGTGGCGACCGTCTCCTACGCGACTCACCGCGACCCCAAGATCTTTCCTGACCCGCTGCAGTTTGTCCCTGAGCGATGGCTAACTTCCACCCCGGACATGAGGGCCATGTGGAAGCCTTTCGGCCACGGGCCGCGCAATTGCATCGGGAAACATCTGGCCGATATTGGCATGCACCTGACCCTTACGAGGCTGTATCAGCTGTATGATATCGAGACCGATCCGAGCATGACGGAGCAGATGATGCGGCAGAAGGACAGGGGGGCTGCGGGACCGTGGGACGCGAAGTTCTTGGTCAGATTCACCCCAGCCAAGCGAAGTGAAGAGTAGTGGACCATTTTCTGCGTCCGGTATGGTTTAGCACTGGTGGTGGACACACGGCCCTAAAGCCAATCTGTTTGGCAGAATGATCTGAAGATATACATCCGGACATAAATAGCTCGGATACGTGTTGCTTCATGTTTCCACAATTCCCGGGGGATGTGTCAGAGATAGAGCTTCGAATCTCCTTGCACGCTATGTAGAATGACGTGTTCTCTCGCCCCTCGTTGGCGGTGGTCAGGCGCTACAGGTAATAAGGAAACCTCTGCCAGGGAGAAAACTAACACAGGATGCCGCTTTTCTGTGAGATTTCCCCCACCAACTCAATCGGTTCATGAAATGGCTTGTGGTCATAGCATTCGACCATGCACCGCCCTTTGGACACCCGGGTCTGCTCTCCTCCTATAATGAATGCTCCTTATATTCCTCCCGTCACATCGAGCCAGTGGGATAAGCGGTTATAGTCACATACGGTTATAGGGCATTTTTTCCGAATCAAGTGGTTTTAAGCACATTCATAGCCTGTGGAGAACAGCGTTGACTTGTGCTATCCTGATATAGGACACTAGCCTAAGAGCCTCTAACCCCCCTTGATAATTACTCAGTCTTTTAGAGCCCCGTTTGGCATACCTCACTGAATCCGCCGGTATATCCTTTCCAGAATTATATCTTTATTGTGAAGAGTTAGCCTTTGATCTTATGATCCGTTCTATGGGGACCAGCTCAGATTAGCTAGCGACCGCTCTCTGCGCAATGAGCCCAGGACCACGAAGAAGGTAGACAATGAAAACTGGCCCCGAGAGCACCGTGCGGTAAATCGCAGGCCAAGAGGACTGATCTGTCGCCATATTGACCAATGTTGCTGGGCACCATGGCACTAAGATTTTGACCTCAGGGACTTCAATCGGAAAAACCGACACAGCCCGTCCGGATCAGGGGACTTGTCTCCTCGGTTCTGGGATGTCGCACGATTCTGCCCACGGAGCGACTCTGAGTGACTATTTGTTGCTGTTGCAGTCAACTGGAAACAAATATCCGCTTATGAGAAGACCATTCTGAAGTCTGGAGGAACGTTGCCATTTTTGAGATAGAAAAATGTAAGGCCATATGAGTTTGTAACATGGTAGATGACCTTATAGGAGCTTCCTGCTCATGGGCTGAAATGGTCAAACTTGACCATATCCTCCAGGTATGAGGCCAGATCCCCGTTCTCGTCAAAATCCACCTTGGTCAAGCCGTTCCCGACGAAATTGAAGGGGTTGTTCGTGTTGTAGACGAAATCAAAGTCCTCGCCACGCAACTCGCTGAGCATCTCCCTGAAGTGGTTCATGCTGCCGGGGTAAATAGCCGTGATGCCGGTGCGATATTCGTCGATCTTGCCTTTCTTGTACCACGAGTCGCAGTCCTCGTTCCACGCCGTGCGCCGGAGGATCTCCTGCAGGTAGATGTTGTATGCCTCGACGCGCTCATTCTTGACGCACACGTACCTGTGATTCTCTCAGTTGAAGGCCAAGGAAAAGTGCTGGATCGGAACTTACTTGACGTCCTCTGACGCGATCTTGAGGGCCCACTTCAATATGTAGTCGGAAACGAAGCCCATCGCAGACAGGACGGGTCCGTTCGCAATGGGGAAGTTGGGTCCGCATCCGATGCTGAAATAATTCGGCATGTCGGGAGCACACACGCTGATGTAGCCGTCCACATTATCCTTCCATCTTTCTGCGAGGGTCATTCCGCCCCGTCCTCGCATAGTCCAAGGTGGAATGCGGTTGTTGACAAATCCAGTAGCCAGGACTATTATGTCGAATGGGTGAAACGAGCCGTCGCTGTTGCGGATGCCATCCTCAGTGACAGCCTCTATTTTGGTATCGACCAATTCAGCATTAGGAGCCTGTAGCGCTTCTAGGTATTTGTCTTCCGGCGTGAGTCTACGGCACCAGGGTTGGTAGGAAGGCTTCAGGCGGTTGACCAACGCAGGATCTCCGTGCAGGCGATCGCTCATCCAACGCTCGAGCTCGGCCCGGAATGCTTGTTTCGCCCCTTTGCTTGTCTCGTTGAAGACCAGTCGCATGAAAAGGCCGTTGTTGAAACTCTCAATCATCTTCCTGTACTTGAATAGGTTCTCGGGAGTCTTGAAGGATTCTACCTGCTCTTGGGAGTCTACTCTCGATGATTTAGTTTCAAGAAGACAACATTTCGACGGGGAGCTCCACTCACATGCAAAATTCCTGCCTTCCGGTGTAAACTGGTGGGCATAGCTCATCGAGATCCAGGTAGGTTTGCGAATGAAGTGCGTGATAGCAGCGGCGTCGGGTTGCATTGCACGGAATACCTGAATTCCGGATGAACCATTGCCAATGACGCCGACTTTCTTGCCCTTCCAATCCAACGAATCATCCCTAAACTCCATCAGTAAGTGTGAAGTTGGAGGCGAATAATTCTCCGTACCAATCTCCAGTGTGGACAAGTTTGCCTTTGAAACTGTCGAGCCCCGGGATATTGGGCATGAGCGGTGTGCTACAGAGAACAGGTATCAGATTAGCCACAGCACCAGTAGTTGATCCATATGAATAGCTTACTTTTGAGTCCCAGCAGCACCGATCAAGATGTCGCATTGGTCATTCGAGATGGAGCCATTCGATTCGACTGTTGTGTCTCGGTCAGCTTTGACCGTCACAAGGCAGTTTGCCAACCTTTGAGATCCCATTTGCCGCTTGCTTCGTCAAATGTAGCTTCAACCACCCTGGTGTTGAACTTCATGAGCCTTTCCAAGTCGAATTTCTTGGTTGTTTCCAGGATGTATTCGAGTATTTCTGGCCCGCTCGCCAGGAAGTTCTTCCAGTCATGTTTTGGATTGAATGGCAGAGTGTAAACGTGGATCGGAACATCACACATGAGCCCTGGGTAGTGATTGGCCGCCCATGTTCCGCCTGGATGGCTCTGGTCTCAGTCAGTTACGATGCCAAATGTCCGTTAAGACCTCGTGTACCTGCTTCTCGTAGACCTGGAAGCTGATGACGTCCTCAAGCTTCAGTTCATGTGCAATTTTGTAGGCAAGGGTGATGCCCGCGAATCCTGCACCGATGCAAACAACTCGAATCTTTCGAGTTTTGCGCAGGTAGTTGGGGTTTAATGGGACGCAATATGGTGAATACGGCGAAGCCATTGCTCCAACGTGATGCAAATGGGAGTCAATTGCAATGATCTGTGAAGAGCAAGCCACAGGAACGAAGCTGAAGGGGAAATATCCACTCCAATACCATATATGAGGTTTCCGAGGCCATATTTACAGTACGTGGATGTGGGGAAGAATAGTCAGCTTGGGGGCGATCCAGCAACTGTCCCGAGTACCATTCTAGCCTGGCGGCAATTGCCTGCGGGGGAATGAGCTGGCACTGACCAAAGCAAGCACATGTAAGCTTGTGACCTTCATCCTATTCTGGGAGAGCGGAATGCATTTCTTGCAAATTAAACCTGGCAGGTGGAAGTCGACAAGGAACACAACGGAAGACGAGGAGGAGGCGGAGGCGGAGGTGGATGTTGACATCCGCCTCACGAATACGGCTAGTGTCGCCCCTGAAGTGGAGCCGGTTCTCTCCAAATCTTCGATACATCTGCCTCTGTGTCGATGATTGCTTGATCACTTGCACATTTCTGAACAGCAAACACGCCGGCAGACTGCCGAGGGTCGCTCTGAGCGGAAAGACATCAGACCTGAAGCCACGTCGTCGGCATGTCGTGGCTGGCGGAATCGTGAGTATGGCGTAAGCTCGCACACCAAGAATGGCATGAGGTAAATCTCGACTCCAGGCAAGCGACAATCAACTCCGCAATAGCGCTTGGGGATTTCGGTAAACAGTTGCAATATCCATGAGCATTCACTGCTGTAGCAGGCTAGGATGAGTTCGAGAAAATCGGAGCCCATCTCATCAATGAGTTGCCTGACTTGCAGTAAATGACGACCAGCTAAGTCCAAGTCCCTGCATGACTTGTCTTTGAATCTACTCGCAAGCTGTGTACTTCCGATCAGACCACTTGAGCCTGTACCCGGGGTGGATATGTCGACTCCTGTTGTAGACCTCGACGTTTTCCACTGTGTAGACGATTTGATCATTGCGCGTGCAAACGAAGACAACAACGAACCTATCATCGCATACCCCAAATCAGATGGCACGCTTACAGACTTCCAATGTCTGACGGCAAAGGATATACATCAACTCACAAATGTGGCTGTCGAAAAACTCTTGAGCCAAGGCCTCAGGCGAGTTGTGAGTTGAACAAGCGAGCATCTCGGCCACGGTTTTCCATTCTGACAAGAATGTATCTAGGATAAGGACAGCGATGAGGCGGAGACTATCGCCCTGCTGGGCCTATCTGACTTGGACTATATGTTGACAATGTTTGGCCTGAGCCGGCTGGGGTACACGGTGTTTCTGCTCTCCCCAAGACTCGCAACGGAGGCTTATACGAGCCTGCTAAGGGAAACCGGGTGCGGAACTGTGTGCTACGACCCAAAGCTGGAAGCAACTGTGAGCAAGATCCGTAAAGTCGAGGGTTTGCGGCTGCTGCCAATCTTGGAAAGTGGCGAGCTCGATGATGCGGCGAAAGCCAGGCCTCCTACCAGACGAGCAGACGGGAAACCCTCTGCGAAGCACAAGGTGGCGTTTATTCTGCACTCATCAGGCTCGACGGGCCTGCCTAAACCGATTTACCAGACTCACCGAGCGTGTCTTGAGAACTATTCCAGAGGGCATGGCCTCCGCGGTTTGTTAACCGTGCCCCTTTACCACACACACGGCCATGCATGTTTGTTCCGAGCGATTTTCAAGCGAGCAACCCTTTATTTTATGAATGCGAGGCTCCCATTGACATCGACGAACTTGACTGCGGTGTTGGAAGCTGTCAGACCTGCAATCATGTTTACAGTGCCGTACGCACTGGGCCTGCTCGCCGAAACAGACCGCGGGATCAGAGCCATGCAAGCCTGCAAAATTGTCTCGTCGGCCGGAAGCCAGGTCCCCGACGAACTGGGTGACCTGCTTGTTAACTGTGGCGTCCATTTGATCTCACACTGGGGCTCGTACGTCTCCGCCGTGACTTTCCTAGTGACAAAGGCTGATGGACTCCCAGAACCGAAACGGGAGCTCTCATGGACTCGATGCGTTCCCGGGACGACAAGGACTGGTCGTACATGTCGGTCTTCCCCGCCGCAAAGCCTTTCGTCATGATGAGGCCGTTGGGAGCACAGAGCTACGAACTAGTAGTGCTCGATGGGCTGAAATCAAAGACTGCGACAAACTCGGACGACCCGCCGAACTCGTTCCACACCCGAGACACGTTTGCCGCCCATCCCACCAAACCAGATCGTTGGAAGTATACGGGCAGGCTGGACGACCGAGTGACCCTCACAAACGGCGAGAAGGTGCTGCCTTCGGTCATGGAAGGCCGTTTGCGCCAACATCCCCTCATTCGCGAGGCTGTCGTGTTTGGAATCGGGCGAGCTTTGCCCGGTGTATTACTGTTTCGCAGTTCGCCCGCAGCTGCCATGAGTGACGAGGAATATGTTGAACACGTATGGCCTTTTGTCGACGAAGCAAATTCCAAGGTCGAGTCCTTTGCTTGCATATCAAGAGAAATGATCCTGCCTATTGGGGCAGAGGTCGATTACCCTCAAACGGATAAAGGCACCATTATTCGCGCTCAAGTGTACAAAGCGTTCGAAAGAATCATTGACGACAAGTATGAAGCGCTCAACTTAAACGCGAAAGGAGATCTGAGACTCAATCACCACGATACGGAGCGCTTGATTCTGGACAGTTTCAAGAAAGAAGGGTCAATTGAGCTTCTTTCGGCAGACACAGATTTCTTCTCCGCCGGTGTAGACAGCCTGCAGGCCACGAAGATGGCAGCGTCTCTCCGAGGAAAGCTGTACCTCCCGAGCGCAAAGGCCTTGACGCCCAATACGATCTTTGAACATGCAACGGCAGCAAGATTGGCCCGGTATCTGGTCGGGCTCCAGGACGGGAGAGAGCGCGAGGACGAGGATGAAGTAGACGTTATGGAGAGGATGATCGAGAAATACTCGACATTATCGACATTTGTGCCGGTCGACAGGGGTCAAAGCTCTGGACATTTTGTGGTACTTACCGGAGCAACAGGCTCTCTTGGCAGCCATATCCTTGCTGTGCTTCTGCAGCGGCCAGAAATCAAAAAAGTTTACTGCCTCGTACGCTCTTCAGCGGACGAAGAGGCCAAGCAACGGATCCTCTCAGCCCTTACAGATCGAGATCTGTCGTTGCCAAAAGAGCACGAACAGCGTGTGGTTGGCCTACACAGCGATCTAGGCCGGGAAGACCTTGGTCTCGAGCCACGGGTGCTCAGCGAGCTGCGAAACAGCGTTTCGTTGATCATCCACAATGCTTGGGCGGTGAATTTCAACCTGGGCCTGCGCAGCTTCGAGGGCCAGCATATAAAAGGGACACAGAACCTCCTCAATCTCGCCCTGTCGGTCCGAGCAGCGCGGCCGGCGGGATTCGCCTTACTCTCATCGGTGTCAGTGGCATCAGCAACACGGCAGGAGAGCCCCGTTGCAGAGACACTGCTGGAAGATCTCGACTCGGCGACCATGGGCTATGGGAGGTCCAAGCTCGTCGCAGAACACATGGTACACAACGCGGCAGCCTTTGGAGTCGAGGGCCGCGTGATTCGTGTCGGGCAAATCGTCGGGGACAGTCAACAGGGATTGTGGAACGATTCCGAGTCGATACCACTCATCGTTCGCTCCGCACTGACGCTGGGATGTCTGCCCGAATTGCAAGAGGTTCGTTCGCAATGTTCTCCTACTCAGTTTCATGATGCGCGTTCGAGTTTCCCCGAGCTGGACTTCTGACTCATTTCCAGTCTTGCTCCTGGATCCCCGTTGATTTCGTTGCCAAGATCATCGTTGAACTATGTTCCAACGAGACAGCACCTCCCGGAGCAGGAGCAGGAGGGGGCCGGGAAGTCAATCCTTCAGCAACAGGAGCCTGCTGCCGCTTCTACAACGTCGTGAATCCAACGTCATTCTCCTGGACGGACGACTTACTTCCGTTGCTGCGGCGGGCCGGACTGTCTTTCGAGTCCGTCTCCCCGCAAGAATGGCTGGCGCAACTGGCAGCCAGTGAGCAGGATCCGGCTGTCAACCCCACCGTCAAACTGAGATCGACCTACGAGGGTCGTTACGGGACCGCCGAGAGGACGGCCGATGAGGGCATGAGGCAGCACACAAACAGGCAGGTGGTGTTTTCGACGGACAGAGCACAACGGGAGAGCGAGACGATGAGGAACTTGCCGGATCTGCTTGTCGGCGGGTACGTGGAGAAGTTCGTTGCGCGCTGGGTAGAAAAGTGGCAGGATCAAGGTGTTCGGGGTCGAGAAGGCAAGTTCTGCTTGTGAGAGAAGGTACTGGAGGCAGGGCAGAGCGTGCAACTGGCCACACATCTCCATTGCCCGATTGCCACGGGGTATCCATGGTCGGTAGCCTAGATATAGTCTGGTAGGTCTATCAGAGACACGAGATAGCCGGATCGGGTTAGATCGTCAACCACAGTCCATCCATCCATACGTTGCCGGGTTCTGATGCCGAGAGACCCGAGAACGGGAATGATTTACAGGATTACAGGCGAGGAAGAGAGGGGGAAGGAAACGATATGGCTATTATTGATTCAATCTTTCCTCACTCACGGTGGATCTGGATCGGCAACAGCGTACGTATTATGTAGTCAGATCTGACAGGGCAAAGTCCAATTGGACCCCATACGGCCATCCATTCAGCTGGATAATGCATACATACATGCAATCTGAATATTCCCTCTGCGTCAAAACATCATAGCCTTGACTTACAATTCCTATCCCCGACGATCAATTGACACAATCCATTCGCTACGGCCAAGGTATCGATAGACCAGCCAGACGATGGAATGGACGACGACTCCCAGCTTCAGCGTCAGCCTCAACTCCACCACCACCTCCACCTTCACCTCCACCTCCATCTCCGGCTCCCGCGCCAGTGCCAACCCAAGCCCGCGCCGCATCCCGCCGGACCTGCGCAAGCGCGCCGTCGTCAGCTGCGACCGGTGCAAGAAGCGGCGGCGGCGATGCGTGCGCGGTGGTCGTTCCTCCTCGGCCTCGGCCACCGCGACGACGTGCGAGCTGTGCGCAGAGCACGCCGTGCCGTGCGTCACGACGATTCCCCGTAAACGGCCATCTTTGGCTGCTGCTGCTGTTGCTGCTCAGCCTCTTCTGGCGGTGGACGAGAACATGTCTTCTCGGCGCCATGTTCTCCTGGAGCAACTCGTCGACAGGCTGTTCCCCGAGGTGACATTGGCGGACGGCAACGAGCTTGCAAACCTTGCCGAATGTCTGGAGAGAAGCCGTGTGCAGATTCGCTTCGTTGCTGGACACAAGATGTCCCTGACGGCGAACGGTGCGACCGTGCAATGTGGTCTTGCTTCGTCCTCTTCGACCTCGGGTCCGGTTCTTGAGAACCATCACCACCAGCCTTCATGTGTATCGCACAGCGAGCGTGGCAACTTTGTGCTGACGCCGTCGGAGCTGCCTTCTATTCCAGCAGCAGCAGTAGCAGCAACAACATCATCATCATCATCATCATCACTATCACCATTGTCGACAGGGAATGGGAAGAGGAACTGCTGTGAACGAATCCTCCAGAATTCCTCGGGGACGCTGTGCTACTTCGGCCCCTCCAGCTCGATGGCCTTTGTGATGCAGCTACGGGAGCATCTGATCTCCACCGCGACCCAGAACCTGGACAAGCTCCAGCCCAAGCAGCGCCGGCTGCGCCAGAAGTTCGTGGACGACAACTACTGCTGCACAATGGAAGAGCCTTCTGCGGCCAGGGTGACGGGCACACAAAGCCACAGAGATACGATACCTCCGTCGTGTCTGGAAGACGTGGCTGATGTTGATGATAGTGACGACGACGACGATGATGATGATGTTTCCGTCGACGTCCACTCCTTCACGTCCCCTGTAATGCCCCACACGCCCCCCAGGCTCGTCGACATCTTGCCGGCTCGAGATCAGGTGGAACACCTAGTGGAATTGTTCTTCGTGCACGTCCATCCCAACATGACCTTGTTCCATCGTCCTCTATTCCAGAGCGCGCTTGAACGGCTGTGGACCATCCCGTCAGACTTGGAGTTGCAGGACGTGGGATGGTTGACCTGTTGTCTCCTCGTGCTCGCCTTTGGCTGTAAATATCTCGTCTCGACATCGACAACAGCTGACAAGACCGCTTCAGCTTCCGTTGCCGGAAGACCATGGCAAACCCTCCAGCTGCGGCTCGTGGAGATGGCGCTGGGGAACGTGGTACGGCTGATCCAGTGTGCAACTCTCCAAAGCGTGCAGGCACTGGCCCTCCTCGCGCTGTACCTCAACACCACGCACCAGCGCAACGCGTCGTGGATCATGATGGGCTGTAGCATCCGGATGGCCGTCAGCCTGGGGATGCACCGGAGCGACGAGATCCTCGTCAAACAGCAGCAGAAGAGCGTTGTCCTGTCGACGGCCGTGGACCGGGAGTTGAGAAAGCGCGCGTGGTGGTCCCTGTACATCTTTGAGCAGTACAACAGCGCCCTTTTTGGGCGGCCGAGTGCCATCGACGAGCATGAAACGACCAGCGATCTGCCGACGGACTCCATTCTGGATGAAGGATACCATCGACCGCCCGGACTCGTCACGTATGACATACACCTGGCGCGCATTGTCGACCGGATCCGCAAGTCACAGGCAAGCAAAGGGTGTAGTAGCGTGGGAGACGAACAGATGGCACGTCGACACCTGGACGAGCTGGATGCATGGTACGAGGCCTTGCCGGTGTTCCTGAGATTCGACGTCTCGAACCAGCGGCACGTCTACCCGAGCCACTTCCGGCAGCTGGTCACGCTGCAGCTACGCTACCAGCACGCGAAGCTGCTGCTGACACGGCCCTTCTACCTGCGCCTGGTGCAGACCCGCCGAGCAGGAGGAGTACCAGACACTGACACCGCGACCTCGACCTTGACCCGGTTCTTCGGCGACGTCTGCATCACGGCGGCGCTGGACTCGTGGCGCCTGGCCCAGCACCTGTGGGGACGGGGATTGTTCCCCACCAGGGACGTCGTGGTCGGGCTCGACGGCGTGCTCCTATACCAGTGCGGCATGGTGTTGGCCCTGGCGTGTCTCGACACCCGCCACCAGCAGCAGCAGCAGCAGCAGAGATGGGATGTGGGCGGTAGTAGTAGTCGAGGAGATCGCCGAGTGTTTTACCGCGCCGTCGAGGACATCTTGACCATGCTGCACGACATCCCACCCGACAATCCCATGAGTCGCATGGTCCAGATCGCGGACGACTTCTGCAGCATCGTGCGGTCGATGAAGTCTGAGCACGTCGGCCCCCACGACTCGATCGTGCAAGATCAGCAGCTGGCTTCGCTACCGCAGTCCAAACCGGGACAGCAGGGCAGATCTGCTCACATGTCGCGGACACCGCACCAGCACCACCCATCTCGGCCCAGCACCACTGAGGCTGCCGCCGTGTCCTTCACAGAGATGGATGGCCTGTCGTCGTCGTCGTGGGCTGGATCCCAGCCAGGAGCAGCAGGGCCAGACGGTGAAAGCAACCTGGTGAACAGAGAGGTTGCAGCACTCCCCGTGGCTTCGACTGCGTGGAGCATTATGGGGGGAAAAGAAGAAGAAGAAGAAGAAGAGGAGGAGGAGGAGGAGGAGGAGGAGGAAGGCACGCAGCTGATTGACTCCATGCTCGACTGGGACTTGTCGCAGGTGTTTGGCTTCGAAGGGGGCGGGTCGATGAGTGGTAACCCGTTCCTCGCCTGATAACGGTCGTTCATAATGCAATATAATGATATACAGTAGATCCAATATACAATGGCCGCTCCTTCGTGTCATTAAAGGTCTCCAGGCAAGGGTCAAGGGGTCATATAATAGCGATATTTTCAAAGCGCGCCTCGCCCATCCGCACCCTCCGCGAGATCTCCCCGTCCATCAGGCCGTGGGCGTAGCATTCGCCAATGACTCTGTACCTATCCGGCCCTTCTCCACTGTCGTCTTCGTGGACGAGAACAACAGGTCGCAAGAGATACAACCCCCTCCCACCACGCAGGGCCCAGATCGTGTCCCCCACCGCGGCCGTGTTGGGTATCATGAGCAGTAAATCGCACTGACTTCGCCCGATGTCGCGCCCGACCGACGCATTGTCCCGCGCGGCGCGCATGTTGAGCTGGGCGCGGTACTCGGCCAGCGACAGCTCGGCACGGGCGCGCCTCAGGAACGCAAAGTCCAGCTTGCCCCCGCGCCGCGACGCCCGGCCTAGGTCGTCGTACATCACGTCCAGCGAGAGCGTACGGTTCAGTGCGTCCACGTAGCTCTCCCCCGTGGCGGCGTACTTGGAGTGCATCTCCGTGGCCCACTGGTGGGATTTGGTTCGGGCGACGGTGCGGACAGCCTCGAGGTCTGGGCCTGTGTTGGGGATGATGTCTTTGAGGATGTCGACGGGCACGCCGCTGACGAGGAGGGTGGTGTTGGTGTTGTCGTTCTGAATGCGAGGTTTCGTGGACAATCTCAAATGCTGGTCTTCCTCGTCGTCCAGAGGACAATAGCACGGCACCCGGGGCAGATTGTGGTTAGGCAAACCGCGGGTGTCGTTGAAGACAACGGCCCGTTGGTGCACATTCTCCGGGACACAGAGGTACTTGGGCAGGGGGACCAGACTCAGCCGGGTCGAGAAGTTAGGCACCCAGGACGGCAGCGTCGACTTGACGCCCTGGGGAGTCTCGACCTCGGCCGACTTCTGGCCCAGCCACAGCACATTGCCCAGGAAATCCAGCTCGTTACCAGATCCTTGGGCAAGACAATAGCGCACGACATCGGCGTAGACGTCGAGCACCGTCTGGCGCGCGTAGTCGGGGCGGATGTGATGTCGCACATCATCATCGGGAGCCAAGTACATGGGCGCGTAGACCTTGTCACGGGGGTCGGCACACTCAGTATGGCGAAACATGTCCAGCACCTCGAGGAACGACCCCGAAGCGTGCTGGACGCGACGCTCGCGGAACCTCATCAGCTTCAAGGCCCGGTCTCTGGCGCGGGCCACGGGTCCGGCGAGGAGAGAAGCAGAAGTAGAAGACGCCAACCCCGGGGTCGACGACAGGATGCTCGTCGCGACCGTCAACGAGGTGACCAGCTCAGACCAACCGGCCTGCTGGTCGCCACTCAGAAACTTCACCTTATACGTGGGCGGAATCACGGCGACGCCCGCGATGAACTTCAGCTTGTACGGCTCTGGGACGGTAGCCTCCTGGAACACCCAGGTGCGCATCCACCAGGGACTCTCCCACAGGGCCACGATGCCTTGCCATCCCCGGTGCGTCTGCGAGCCGGGCACGCTGTCGAAGATCCTCTTGTCGCCCGCGACAGGAACTGTCCGCAAGAAGTCGGCGACGTCTTCGCCGCTGGATCGAATCTTGCGTGGCCACCACGCCGGACGGAACGGACGTGCTTTTCTGATCCCCTCGCGGTGCAGCTTCACAAAGTACCGCATCATCGGGAAGGCCAGCCGGTTGGCCTTGTCGTCAACGGGCGCGCCCAGCCAGACCAGGACGTTCGTGGCCTGCTCGTAGATCTGCTTCATGAGCGTGATCTGGATGCTGCGTTCCGCCAGCGCCGCGTCGTCCGTCCCCTGGTTGATGCAGATCGCGTCCACCCACAGGTAGTCAGTCACTATTTTGGAGCTGGAGCTGTGAATCTGCTGGAGCGCGTCGTTGAGGTTTGGCCGGATCGGGAACGTCTGGCCACTGAGAGAGATGTGGTGCCTGGTGTCCGGACGGCCCCAGGTGTAGGACAGAGCGACGTAGCCCGGCTGCGAAAGAAGGGCTACATGGACGATCTCGAACGATAGCAATGCCCCGGGCGATCGACGAAGAGGTTTCAATACCCTGATCTCCCCGGGTTTCAGGGGGAGATACGAAAACCCCAGGTCCATATTGTTGTTGTTGTTGTTGTTGTTGTTGCGTCTGTCAAACAGTCATCCTGGAAATATTCTGGGGCTTCTGCCCTTCACAGGCAACCTGAAGTATTTATTGCAAGACTATGCACCAAAAGAAAAAGAATAAGTTCAAAAGAGGAGAGGAGATGAATTCGAAACCTCTCCTTTGCACAGGCTGATGCTGGCGGTGGCGAAGTCACACAGTGGCGTCGAGCTGTCATACTACATACAATGTTAATTACGACGGGAGGTTGCCGAGTGCTGTCCGAGTATATCATATTCCCGCCTACAATGACTGATTCTTGAAGTGTAACCATCTGTGGTTATGATTTGGATCTTATTCTTCTTCTTTTCATCTTGGTACGGGAGTACTTGTACATAAAAAAACCCCAGGATAACATATGAACGCCGTTGGGATGCTCCTTGTTATGCACCGCCCTGGATATGCCCCCTCGATGCTCAAAGTCTTTCACAGCTCTAATGGCCATAACCTGAAAAATCAGTGACAAAATGGGCCATGATTCAAAGCCCGCAAGATGCAGTTGGTGACGGTCGGTGGATGCAGCAAAAATATCAGTGTCATGTCTCATCACATGGTGACCCCTTTCCGACACTGGGCATGTCGTCCCTCCTTTGTCTACGTCGCGAAGGACTTCCGCCAGCGGGAGCGAGTCTAGCCCTTAGCATACTCACGGGTCCACCAGTCTCGATCCCAGTATCCGCTTTCCAGCTTCATATCGCTCATCTCGAGCCGGCCCCGTCGATCTTGGCTCACATTGGGATTGAGATGCTGGTGCGTTTCCGCTCTCTGTTCACTTCCATCTCCGACTACATTTGCTTGGCCCGAGTGTAGTCACTCATATCCTGCCCCTCGTTGCCAGGGACTGGCGTTGTTTTGCTGCCGGAAGACTTGTTGTGGAGGATAACTGCTCTGCGCGGAACGAGGAGGCGGGGCCCCGTAGCCACCACTGGCGAGACTGCTCATGCTTCGATCGTACGATGGCTGAGAGGACGTCGTGTTCGGCCGCCCACCGTACCCGTAGTCACCGCCAGCCCCGTAGCCTTGGTTGGACATCTGTCGTTGTTCGTACGACTGCGGGGGACCGCGTCGTCCCGGCTGGTCGCTGGGATACATGGGCGTGTTGTAGTCTTGTTGAGGGTTGGCGGCGTGGTTTTGGGACATGGGTCGTTGTGAAATGTCAGATTGATGTTTCAGCGACTCGCTGGAGAAAGAAGCGTCATCATCATATCCCTTGTCGTTGGTGTACGCATTCTTGCCATCTCCTCGCGCGGTAGCACCAAGGGCGTCCAATTCGGTCGTCAGTGCTGCTTGGGACTTGATGAAGCTTCCTCGGTCATCACGCATGGGCTGATACCGAACTTCGGGGTTCTTGGACGCAATGGCGTAGATGGACGCAATGAGCACCAGGATCAGGAGGACGGCCGCGAAGACCACGTTGTAGAAGGCGAAAATAACGCCCATCACGCCCGAGACCATCTCTGGCTGTCCGAATGCATTGGAGAAGACAAGGAGGAAGATGGCGTTGAGGAAGTTGACCGAGGCGATGGAGATGTTAAAGATGTTGGTCTTCTTGTCCATGAAGGGCCGGAGGATGCTGATAGCGATCAGCGCCACCGCCTCGACAATGACCAGGCCCACGGCTTGGGCGACGGGCGATTTCTGCGCAAAAGCGATGAAGATGGCCTTGATCAGAATGTAGCCGAGGAGAGGAACCACAAAGTAGTATGCGGTGGCACGGTACTGCACGTAGAGGAATCCCCACTTGTTGAGGCATTCAGGGTCAGAGTAGAGAATGTAGGCCGGGTTCTTGTGCATGGCGACCGATTTCTTTGCGAGCTGAATGACCTTGAAGGATGCCCACGCCAAGGCGACAGCCATGGAGATGAAGACAATTAGAGCCAAGACAACCTCAGCCGCCGAGTCTCGTTCGACCAATTCCCATAAGCAGAGGACCGACATTTGCACGAAACCGAGAAGAACCTGCAGTGTACCAGTCAGCAACCGGATGCCTTACGTGGGATCATCAGGACTCACCAATCGGAAAAGAATACCCTTGATGACAATTTTCCAGCCATTTCGGAACTCGAGGAATTTATCAGACTTCATCCAACCTGCCTTGGCACAGCCGTCAAGGATGACCTTGGTAAGAGCGACCAACACGGCAACGAGGAACAGAATGAAGACGAAAAAGATCAGACCCGTCATGAAGATGTTGGTCTGTTCGATCCCGGCCCTGAAACCGACCCTGTCGATCCCACGAACGACCTTGACGTTCGCGACGGTGGTCGTGGTGGCAGAGCTCTGACGCTTGGCCAAATAGCGCAGGTTATTGGCGGCGAAGGTCGTCATCACGTCCAGAGAGCGTTTGATGGCGCGTTTCTGCACCTGGACCGAAAATGTGCTGAGCGTGGAAAGGTAGGTGGTTGGGGTGCCGCCCGTCGCCCGCTGATACCACGTTGCAATAGACTGTAGAAATCCTACACGAATGATACCCATACTCCACTGGAAGTTCTGGGTCCAGGATTGCACGATCGGAGGCATCGTGACAGAGGTCATGCCAATCACAGCCTGGGCTTGGAAAAAGCCAAAAAGCGACACGGCGTTGGCAGCAACGTGCGCGGCCGTGTTGGGATGACCGAGGCCAGAGGTCAACCCAGCAGCAACGAGACCCAGACCGGCAATAACGGCCGTGGCCCAGCCGACAGCGGGATGGTACACGCTTTTGGTGTTGGAGAGATCCGCTTCCATGCAAGCAATCACCGCGCCCGTGTCGAGAGAGGTGACGTAGACACGAACCACGCCGTCCAGATCGGGCACGCTGTAGGCGATTCCAGGAACTTGTTTAGCAACATCCTTCGGGACATCGATGTTCGTCTGGATGTCGAGTTGACCGGTCTGCATGGGGCAAAAGCCCGCCAAACCCATGGAACACGGGTCGAGAGTCTCGTTGAGAATGGTGAATCCATAGGCAATAACCTCCAGCTGTGCCGATACATTCCCTACTATGGACGAGACACCATTAATGTTGATCCCGATGCTGCTGTTACCAGGCGTGTATGCCACATTGAACAGGGTTGCTGTGAAATTGGAGCCACTCTTGCAAGAATTTAGCGAGTTGGATTCGATGATGTTTTCGGCGAGGGCGAGAGGGGATAATGAAATGGCGGTCAAGAGGGAGAGGAGGTAGGAGAGCGACATTTGCAATCGCATCTTGAGGAGAGGTCGCAGTTGGCGTCTGCGACGGGACGCGGTTGTTTGTGAGGTGGAAGAGAGACCGGCGGATGAGAGAGACTTCAGGGCGCCAACCAGGGCGAAAATCTCCAGCAGTCGGATGACTAGGGTAATGTATCGAGAGGAATTATGATTTATTCTTCAGTGTTGCGCTCGATGATGGCAGGAAGAGTTATTCGAGGAGGGTGGTGGTCGGTTGTGTCATGGGGATCTGCAAAGGAGGTTGGATGGGGTGGGAAAAAAACCGGGAATTGGAATGAGTGGAAACTCTAGAGCGAGCGTTCGTCGTCGTCGTCGTCGTCGTCGTCGTCGCTACCGTCTAAGTCTCGCAGTGACAAAGAAATGTCAATGAGATCTGAAGGCCGAGTTGGATGTCGAGTACGAGTGGCGGGTGTCGAGGGTGAATAGCGAGCGTGGATGATTGAAGAAGGAGAGTTGAGTGGTGACGACGGGCTGGAACAGGATGAGCTGCGAGATTTGACACGCAGGATGTGAACAGGAGATGGCTCTGATGCTCCGCTAGAACCGCGTGGAGCCCACAACCTCAACGGGCCCTGGGGCTGGTAGGCCCAGAGCTGTAACCGGAGTTGATCGGGTTGGTGGACTCTGCGGCACTACGGCACTCCGCTTGGTACCTGGTTGCGTGTCTGTTTACGGGTAGCAGTGTCTTGGTTTGGGGGAGGACGAAGGATGAATAGGGTTGCGTCGGCGAGAGTCGATAGGGCAGTTGGGCGCGAATGATTGGGGAGGGGGGTCCCGTTTTGGGGGTTTAGGAGGCGCAAGTAGGCAGGGGGGGCAGGGAGGAGAGGCCGGGAGAGAAGGAGGCAGGAGACCAGAGCTCAGGGAATCAGGGATGTCCGAAGATGCCAGATCCTTGCCAAGCAACGCCATTGGCACGGGCACTAAACGGAATTAGGAGCTGGCCCCTGACCACCCGCCAATCATGGTCACCCAGTGATCTTCCTTGGGCTTGCGCGTGCGGAGGCGCAGCAGCTCGTGGTCAAAGGAAATTGAAATTGCTGCAGCACCAAACGAGCCCCAAACAACAAAGCAATCGCTAAGGACGGCTCCTTGACGAGGCTGATTCACCCACACACACAGACACAGAACTCTGCCTTGCTGATGGTTGTTATTGTTGTTTTTATTATTGTTGTTATTATTATTATGATCACGGTCCCCCCCAGATTGCTCAACTCCTCCTCAATCTCTTCACCCTCTCAGCCTAACCAGAAGGAGTTAGCACTCGGAGACAACGTCATCGTGTCTCGCATTCGGCTCTCGGCTTTGCTGCTTTCCGCAATTGGAAACATACCAACGGCGGTCGATCTGCTTCACAATGGGCCCCCGTTACATCTCGCGTTTCATCGGCTGCCCAGCTCCCCTTTCTCCTGCGGCTTCGGTCTGGGTACAGAGTATCAAGCCCAGTCATAGCCTCATAGGGTTCTGTAGAGTGAGGACACGTACCTCGTATACAAACAATCATAGAGACCAGCCCCCAATCGCTCCTAGTATCCACCTCGCCCGGTTTTTCCAACGGCATCTCTCGATTAGAATAGCTTCAACTATCTGAGGGTATCACTGTTCGCACCTATCCGTGCTTGTATGTTTCTCTTTTGATAGAGAAGTTTGCCCTTTTCCCGTTCCCAGTACCTCAAGTATCTGGCCCATCCTCCGAGACGCGAATGTTGTCTGCTCACAATACTCAACACCAGAATCTCGTGGCTTGCGTCATTCCCGCACATCGTAGAAGCCCCAAGATCATAGTACGTTTCTTCATGTTTGTTGTCTAGCGTTCTGTGGCGGTTGCTGCTGCTGTTGGGCAGGAGGATATCGCTGCGCTGGCGGATATTGTTGCCCTTGACTCTCTTGTTCTTTGCGTTCTCGAGCCCGTTTGCTCTTCGCTAGATCCCCTCTCACTGTGCGCAGGTATCGCGTGGCTTCATCGACGATGTCACGACTTTCGATACTCTCCTTGAGCGTCTGCAGCAAGGTCATGACCTGAGTCTCATTGTTCAGATGCGGACACGTCCGCGAATACCCCAGGTGGGCAATCCCACATAGCCCGCAGTATTCAACGCCCGCCAATTTGAACCGACACCAACCCATAGGGTGCTGCTCATTGCACGCAGAGCAATGGTGCACCGCCGGCATCTGTTGGACCGGTCCATAGTCAAATGCTTCGTCTCCATTGAAATGCGGTGCAGGTCCCAGGGGAACTCGTACCCGTCGGAAGGGCCGGACTATGAATGTCTTATCAGTATCAACGACTTTGCGGACTGCGTTGGGCTTTCTTACCTTGAACTTTACGTCGTGACTGGGACCCCGCTTCCGCTTCCGTCTCCGTGACCTGTTCATCCTCGGACTGTTCCTCTGGGATTTCGAAGTCAGAGTCGGCCGCCTGGACGCCACGTTTGGCCTTCGTCGAGGCGGGTTCCTCCTTCTCGCCCTCGCCGAGACCGTAGTCGACATTCTAATCACGTTAGTCTCTGATACGTTCCCGTTCTGTCTCGGGATTCGAGATCTGACCTGTCGCTTTCGCTTGCCTCGACCAAACGCCTGAGCTTTCCTGGCTTGCTCCTCGGCAAACTGTCGCTCACGCTCCTGCAATATCTTGTCCCAGATCCCTGTGTTGGGGGTATTCTGACCTGTCCGGTCCGGCAAATCCTCTTCCAGTGAAGATTTGTCATTTGCCCAGATTCGCGCGAAGCTGAACTGCGACTCGGCAGACTTCTCCTTGTCGATCTTGGTGTTTTCGATCTGCGTCCGATCAAGGAGACGATCGATGGACGCCGAGTCGTAGATAATATCGTCGGCACCACTGTCGTCTTGGAACAGGGCTTCGGCACCGTGCCGAAGGATCGACTCCAAATCCTCCCCTGCATCGTCATCCTTGTCCATGCGCTCGATCAACACATGGTCCAGCAACATCTTCTTTCGACCGATCTGTATAATCTTCTCTTCCACGCTGTCTCGAGTCATGAGTTGGAAGACTAGCACTTTCTCCTTTTGACCAATGCGGTGCGCTCGGGAAAGTGCTTGGATGTCCTGGTGCGGGTTGAAATCTGGATCGAGAATGATGACCGTGTCGGCACTGGCGAGATTGATTCCCACCCCACCTGCTCGCGTTGATAGCAGAAAGGCAAAGTAAGGCGAGTTTGGTGCATTGAACTCGTCAATCCGCTTTTGTTTCTCTGCCGCAGAAATTTGTCCGTCAAGCCGGCGGTGTTGCAACCCGAGCCCGTCAAGGAAATCTTCCAGAATATCCAGGTTGTCCAGAAACTGTGAGAACATGAGCACTCGGTGTCCGCGTTCTTGAAGCTTGGGAAGCATAATGGAGAGCAGCTGCAACTTGGAGGACGCATCGACCAAATTGCGGTACAACACCACACCATCAACGGCTCTTTCCTCAATCTCACGGCTGTAGACAAAGGGGTGACACAGGCATTTGCGCAGCTGCATCAGGATGTTGTTCAGATTGTATCTATCCTTCTGTGGGATGTTGCTGTCACGGACGAAAATGGACTTCATCAGCTCTGGGTTCTTGGCCAAAACGGACTTGTAGACCTTTTTCTGGACGGTTGACATGGTGACCGGCACAATGATCTGGGCCATCGGAGGGAGGAATGTCAACACCTGTGCCTTGGTGCGTCGGAGAAAGAATTTTCGGAGCGTAGCGTGCAGTTCAGGAACGTTGTCCTGAGTGAGGTCGGCATACTTGACTTCAAGATCGGCGGCACTGATGCTCTTGTCGAGGAACTGCAAAAGATTGAAGAGCTCCCGAGCATTGTTCTGAAGGGGTGTGCCCGTCAACAGCACTTTAAACGGGAAGCGAAATTTTGACAGGACCCCGTAGATTTGTGTCCGGTCACTCTTCAATCGCTGTCCTTCGTCGACGACAAGGGCTTGCCAGGGAACCCTCATCAAACTTTTCCGAGTTTTCTCCTCAGCAATCGACTCGTAGGAAGCGACCACGATATGCGCTTTGATGTCTTTGACCTCGCCGGATCTCTTCTTCGGTGGTCCATGGGAGTCTTCCTCCTTATCCTTGGGGAATAATTCATAGTCGTGCGTCAGCTTCCTGGCCACAGAAGATCCGTAGTATGTGACAACTCTGAGAGACGGCGCCCACTTTTTGATCTCGCGTCGCCAATTGGGGCACGTGGAGTTGGGAACTACCACAAGAAAAGGCCAGCATTTATGATCCTGGACCAGGGCAGCAAAGAAAGCCACGAGCTGAATGGTCTTGCCCAGCCCCATTTCATCCGCCAGAATGGCATTTTGATTTGTTAACCATTGATAGAGAAGCCAGTTCAGACCTTCCAACTGGTACCGCATCAATTCTCCTCCGGTTACGATAGATGGTTGCTTCTTTTTGATAAGATTAGTCTCAAAGTCCAACGTTCGGATGTGCGTCAGATGGCGCCTCAACGTTGTTTGAGGAGGTATCGACATGTGCAACTTCATCACATAATCTTCGTACGCCACTTCGAAATCGGACCATCGCTCGGTGTCTGCGTATGCAGGCGGCTTCTCCCAAATAGCGTCTTCGTAGCCAAGGCCCTTATATTTGACAAATGCCAAGTCAACCTCTTTGACGCGCGCGAGGTCTATCTCCTTGGTACTGTTGCGTACAACGCTCGAGTAGCGCACGTCGAAAACGATATCGACTCGGAAAACGTCCTCCGGAATCGCATCAGCGGTAGTCATTTTTGGCAGCTGATTCTCCGGTTTTTTGCAGAAAGCCATGCGCATAGGTACTGTGGCGATACCCCAGACCCAGGTTGCTGCCATCCATGTGGTCCGAAAATAAGATTTTGTTTTCCATTTAATCAGGTACTCCTTGTCGTCTTCCGGTATCTCGATCACAGTAGTTCCTGATACGTAGTTGTCAAGATCAACAGGCCGCCATGCCACAAGAGTGTCAATTTGTTGTTGATTCTCCACGCAGTCTTTGCAAATCCATGACCGGTGGTAGTGTTCGAAGCGTTTCTGGGCCAGTTGCGTTTCGTCTACCGTATCCTCTTCCTCGTCGTCCTCGGTAAGGGAATGTGCTGTCTTGCGCGCGGGAAGATGATGCATATGCCACGCACGTGCACATTGCGAGCATCTGAACATCACGTTGCCCACATTGTTGAGTAGTTTAGATTCGACAATGGTGATCGGGTCTTTTCCTCCATTCTCTTCTCTCTGCAATTGCTCTTGACGAGTGGTCAAACGACCACGCAACGGTTTCGATAGTTCCCCTAGCTCATGGCAGCCCGAGCAACATCCCTGATGAGGTGCCAATTTATCCTTTTCGTGGGCAAGTCCTATGCAACGCCTACATTGCAGGACGAACAGACCCTCGCCAACTTTTGTGACCAGATGATCTCTGGTGCCACGGAACCCAAGGCAGACTTTGTGGTACGAGTTCGTGCAACCCTGACAGAATATCAAGGGCCCTTTGACATTATCGTCTCCCTTGAAGTAGCAAGTGTCACACTCTTGCCGATGTCTTCTCCTAAAAGGATCATTTTCGGGAATCCGGCTGAAGTGCTCCTTCGTGCTGACAACCTTCGGGCCTGCCTTCTCTTCCTCATAGCTTGAGATCTCATCCTCTTGACGCTCTCGCATGCTGCGTTTCGGCCTGGACTTTGTTCGCTCGGATCGCCGTGCCTTTGTAAACAACTCCTCTTCCGAAGACGAGTCGTGTATGAACCTCCGGCGGCGCACCGGACGCGCAATCCCTCGCGTAGACCATCTCGTGGACCGCTGTGGTCTTCCGTGCTTCTTTGCTGGATGGGCGTCAGAACTGTATTCAAGGTCGAAGAGTTCTTGTTCTGAATATGTTGACTTTCGTAGTTTGCTGAGTCTTGCTGAGCGTCTGTGCTCCCCGTGACCTTCATCTGAGAAACTCTCGTTGTCCGCCTCCACCAGACCCCTTGCCTCATCTCCTGCAGAGGCCTCACTGTCGTCTACTCGTTTACGACGTCTCTTAGAGTCTGGTTCCTCTTCCGACTCTGATAGAGCTATTTCCGTCCAGTTTACCATGACCGAGTTTTCCCGTGGAGCGCGTCTGCTTCTGCCTGAGGCAATGCTGGCTTCAAACTCCACCAATGCATCGGAGCCGTTGTCAAGGCCTCGAAGTTCCCGTGCAGAGACCTTGAGGGAAGGGAAGGCATGTCAGCAGTAGGTAGATTCACAGGGAAAGAAATGCGGTGGCAATGTATTAGAGAGAATGATAGAAGAGATAGGAGTGGAAGCCCAAGAGACAAGGAAAGCTAAGTGTGTGAGAAGCAGAAAGGAGAGCAGGGTTCGAGTAGAGGTCGTATCAAAGTGCGGTCCAAGTCATGGAAGGGGGCAGACTTACAATACTCTCCTCACCACTCTCAAGCCTAACAACATAGGTGTTTTTTCCATGCTCAGAGAGTACCTTCTCGACAACGAAATGACCTGGCAGGTAGTCGTACGTTTTCTTCTCCTCTTCTGACAACTTGGGGACGTGGATATAGAAGGGCCTTTGAAATGGGCTGACGGACAAATCATCATCACTCCCAATTTCTTGGTGCGAGACTGACTGTTCCACGAAGGCATCGTTGCTCGAGTCTTTCTGAAGCGCGTACCCATTGTCGTGCAAAACATCTTCCGCCTCGCTAGACTCGTCCGAGATAGTCAGTGGTGTCTGTAGACTCAGTCCATCTGATTGTAAAGTGATAGCATCTTCCACAGGCTCTTCGGCCCTGCTTGGCTTTTCTGGTGGTTTGTCCAACCATTCAGCTATGTCCTCCATCTATCGGTATAGCTCTGCGGGCAGGGAGGGAGACTGTCCGGCGAATCTGAAAAGCCGGCTTCGTCGAGCCCGTCCAGTCTTTCGAGTCTGTCAAGTCCCCAGAATCGGCCGAGTTCGACGACGGGTGGGTTCAACGAGTCAAACATGTGATATATAGAGAAGCAGAGGCACTCAAAGGTTTTGCTATCGTGCATTGCTCAAGGTAGGTTTGACAGGAAGAATGAGAGTGTGGTGGGGAATCGCAGTCATAGAAAGTAGTGAACCGTGCACACGCGCTGCGCGTTAATTACAAGTCAACCAAAACTAAACTGAAATTCCATTTTCTCCAAACAAGCTTAACTTTCTCCCCTTCATTACCGCAACTCGATTGACAGCGGCCTCCCAAGCGTCAACCCAGCCGTGAATGCTACAATCCACTCGCTATGTTTGCCCTGCCGCTTTTGCGATCAGACCTGTCCGTTGGTCCCAACCTGCACGATTCATTTCCTTGACCGGCGCAATCGAAAAGGGCATTCGGAGAGGTCAGCAAAGCAGGAACAGGCTAGAAAACCATTATGCACAGCCTACTACGCGCCCTCAGCAAGATCAGGATGGTCCGTCAGATATTTTGAACACAGGCGAGGATGTTGGAGAGAAAAAGGTGGTGATCATACCAGGCGAAGAAAGGCGAAGAGGCCAGAAGAGACTCAGGGGACCCAGGACTGTACAACCAGGGCAAGATGTAAACAGCATAAAACCCGCACGCTCTGACCACGGAGTTCCAGCTTCAATCCCCTATACGACAGCAGGATCAGAGTTTCTTTACGGCACATTTTCCGTCCTGTCTGCTCTCAAAGCTCAGCGACGGAAGCTCCACAAGCTCTATCGACTTCTTCCTCCAGGCTACGACAAACAGTCGAAGAGAGCCAAAGCCCTCCAGCCCAAAGAATCTCCACAGCAGATCCAGATACACAAGCAAATCCACGGCCTCGCTGAAAAGGCTGGGGTAGCTGTCACGGCAGTGTCAGGACCTCGTTGGCAAGGCGTGTTTGCCAAAGCATCGGATGGACGACCACATAATGGCTGGATTCTAGAGGCCTCTCCAATTCCGAAACTTCCTGTAACAAGCTTGTTATCCGTGACCAAACCGTCAGATCCTATCGGTGTGACGGTCGGATGGGCGTCCGAAGAGGATCGAGAAATCAACACCGTGTTTGGTGCGTCTGAAAACATCGCAACAATCCAGTCTGTCCGACCCTCCCATCGGTATCCTTTCATGCTCTTGCTTGACTGTATCACTGACACCGGCAATTTCGGTGCCATTGTGCGGTCGGCTTGGTTCCTCGGTGTTGATGCTATTCTCATCCTCGAGCACGGCACTGCCCCTATATCCACCAACAGTGTCAAGGCGTCCGCCGGGGCCTTTGAGTACATGCCCATTCTCCATGTGAAGAACGAGAGAGAATTTATCAGGGATTCGCGGAAAAATGGATGGAAGTTCTTCGCTGCTGATGCACCGGAAACCGACGACGGGATGATGCGGCGGATCATGCAGCAGAAGGGCAAGAAAGCATTGGATGTTGCGGGTGCGCTCTCGAGTCATCCCTGCGTCTTGATTCTCGGTAATGAAGAGGTCGGCATTCGAGACTTCATGCGAACAATGATGGATGGCGTGGCGGGAATCCCCAATGCTAGACCTGCTGTTGGGGATATCGACAGCCTCAATGTCAGTGTAGCTGCAGCTCTGCTTACTCAAAAGTTTTTCGACGGAGCTCATACCAAACCTGTCCTTGACGAGCCTTGACTTGACTCCGCAGAACTTCCGACCAAACGGCCTGGATATCCTGACTGGGTAAACGGGGTCAGCCCGCTGTCCTCCACACCTCTTTCAGTCCAAGATGGTCGAGCTGCCTTGCTTGACGTCCTCGAGAGCAGTGGCTGATGTTGTAATGCTCAGGAAAACTGGGCGTGGACATGTCCATCTGCTCTACGGTAGTCGGATACGGTGACGCAGAGTCGCTATCCTCTGGCAATTTCCCGCCCTGGATTAAAAATACTTCGACACGCCGTGCTCAATTTCCATTGATCATTTTTTGCTCCTTCTGGAATATTCATTACGTTTGTGAATTCAAGGCGCCCCTGCAGTTGAGGGGCCAGCATGGAGATCTTTGGAACGACATGTCCAAACATATAAACACTGGTATCACCATCCCAGCTCCCCGACTTTTGTGTTTTCTTTCCTTTTTCGCCTCGGAACACCTCATGCAACAACTGGATAGGTACCTTCCCCCATTACCCCTTCATGGACAAGATTGACCAATATCATATCTCCGCTGTTCCGTTTGTTTCATGGGGGTCAAGCTCGTCTTCTGCTTGGGAATCTGCCTCCGACCTGGCGCTTCGTCCACTTCTTCGGTCTCTTTGGTCTCTTGTCTCCTTTAGCTCCTCCACAGCCTCAACAATCCTAAGCCTCCGCTCTGCTATCCCTCTCATTGCCTCCCTGAGAATATTCTCCAAATGAATCTGAGCAGACTCGTGCCTACTCCCTTTGAAGAAGTCTGCGATAGCTTCTGCGAGTGCTCCGCCATTACCAAACCTTCTCGGCACAGGGTTCCACTCTTGCAAATCGACACCATTCGTTGATTTAGCATTGTGCCTGAATCCCAAAGCTTCCTGTGCCGTCCTCAGCGCCCCTAGGAATGTGGATTCAAAGGCTGCTGGATATTGAGCACGCTCGAAGTCCCGCGTTCCCGCGAAGGGATTTCCTAGGTCTAGTCCGAGTTGTATGAGACGTGCATTGAGCTTCAAGCCCAAATCCAAGAGTTGTCTGTCGCCGTCGTACGCCAACTTCTGCATGACCCGCGAGAAACTAAGATGCATGAACTCAATCAAGGCTCTTCGCTCCCCTTCAAGTTGTTAGCGCCTGTCTTCCATGGTCAGGGAAGGGAACGCAGTGCAGACAACACTCACGGCTAATGATCTTTCGCAGCGGTTCTATTTCGCAGGTGAATTCGACTTTGGAATTCCACACAACTGCGTCGATATACTCGGCGAGCATCTGGTCAAAATCCCCACCGAGGACGAAGGCGATGATCGTAAGATACGACGCATCATTGATAGAGGGCGTGAAGTTGTCGCTCAATATCAAAGCGCTAGCACTCTGTTTCAATTCCCGCCAGTCTGCCCCGTCACACCGATACACCCAGATCGTGATGCAGATTTGAGTTATCCACTTCAGAAAGCCTTCGTGCTGGCTATTTGGAGCGTGGTTTCCTGCGGTCAAGTGGTTGATGACATACTTCAGAGACCCGGCGCTCATGCCACTACCATTGTGTGGAAGCAGTTGAGAAGGATCCCCATGGGCGATGCATCGGTGGAGTAATTGATACGTGCTGATGTATTCCAGCCCTCTCACGGTCCCCGTTCGAAGGCCTCGGACGAGATCAGTGAGTTCCTGCACAGTTTGTGGATCATTCCCGTCCGACTCTGTCAAATCCTCCTCAAACGACGGAGATCCTCCCATGGGCCATCCTTGCCTTCTGAAGGTGTACGCTTGTTGCCGCTGGGCACTGACAGGGTGGTAGTTCACAAGATTCATCCTTCTGAACAAGATAAATCAAAAGCTAACGGCATACAGATATCTACTCGGTAAAAGTACGTGTGATAGGAGGCGACGAGATAAGGATGACAAGCCTGTGGGACGCTGGGGGAGATGGTTAATGAATATGGAGGTGTTGGCCACCAAACCACTGGCATTGAGAGGGGATGCACCTCCAGGTTGCAAAAGCCCTTCGCGACCGTGCTATTGGCTCTGACGTGGGATTCGAGCCGCCAGTCCGATTGGTGGCTTGACACAGATTGTCAGAAAAGGAGGCGTGCAGAGAGCTGCAAGGCATCGAAAGTGCCAGGCAAAGGGTCCTTCGCAAAAGCTTCGCCTCTCCGCCACGCTGATGTTAACGCCGGCATCGTCCCACAAGACTAGTTTCATCAGAGAGACATTTACTGAGGCTCTGGGCTGGAACCCCCCCTGCTCACTCGACGAAAAGACCAACCGCTTTCCCTGGGACTCACCAAGGCGCATCACCCGTGGAGACAAAGTATTTGCCTAGTTGCGAGAGGCTGGCCTCCGCCCCCCTCTAGGCATGTCGCCCAATAACGAAGCGAGGAGGCAGCCGTGCTGGAGTCCTGGATGACATAGAATGAGACTGACGAGCAGTGGCCGACCAAGGAGGACCGGCGAATATTGGCACCATGAACCCAGAGCTTGGACTCTTCTCCACGAGAGCTACCGAACACTTGCCGCCGAATTATATATGAGGCGCTGTCCTGGCCTTGTTACTGCCACCACATGCACCCTTACTTGCACCTTCAGCGACCGAAGCAAAAAATGGCGACTACAGAGGCTTTCAACTTTGGACCTGTCCCAGCTGCCCCCCGACTGAACGTAACGGTAACATATGATGAGTTGAAATCACATCCAGAGCTCTACTTTCAGGCAAGTTCTCCGTGGCAGCATGGATCTCGTTTTCTGACGTGGTCTTAGGGAGCCGATATCGGGTTTATGATGGTAGCAGCTGCTCTGGTCTTCTTCATGATTCCCGGGCTCTGTCTCCATTTCTCAGGTGTTTCGAAACGGGATTTTACGCTCACCTTAGTGCGGCTCCCCCTGATCACTACTGGTGTGGTGGGATGCGTGGTAAGTCTCGAGTGTAACAAGTCCCCTCCGGAAGTGTCGCCGTGTCTGATCATCGATAGTGGTATATGTGGGGATACGCCCTTGCTTTCTCTCCAGCGGTATTCAACGCGGCCGAGCTGCACGGTGTCTCATGGTATGGTGGAGATACCAAAGCAAATGCTTATATCGATGTTGCCGCTCGACCCGTTGGTATACAAGGTCCGAACCCATTAGTTCTGACGGGCCCGAAAATTCCGGAGATGGTCTATGTCTTCTACCAAGGCATGTTCGCATGTTTCACGTGAGTCTCCCTCGAAAAGTTGTCCACGAAGAGGATTTAATGTTTGTCTGCAGGGCAAGTCTGGTCTCTGGCGGAGCGGCAGGCAAAACCCGCGCCGGACGGTACATCCTTTTCATTACCTTATGGACAACTCTCGTTTATTGTCCTGTCGCCAGGTGGACATGGCACCCTCTGGGCTGGTCTAAGCTCAGAGGAGCAATGGATTTCGCCGGTGGTACTGCAGTGCATGTCTGTTCCGGTTCCTCAGTCGCTGCTCTCGCCGCCGTCTCCCAATTCGATGCTGCAAATTGGCGGACGACGGTCGTCTTTCGAAGACGAACAGTGAAAATCGATGTGAAGACTTGGAAGGTCTGGAGATGGCTATCTATAGAGAAGCAGACATCTCCAGACCACGTCGAACTGAGCACAAATTCCCTAGGGACAGGATACAATGCGAACGGACACGCTCGAGCTCCAGGGCCGCAAAATTCCGTGCAGAGGCCGCGAGCTCGCGTGGATCGCGGCGAGTTGAGTCTGCCTTACAGCATCAACCACATGGTATTGGGCACTGCTTTGCTTTGGGTCGGCTGGTTTGGCTTCAACGGCGGTTCAGCACTTGGGGCCAACCTTCGCGCTGTGTCTGCATGCCTGGCAACACAGGCCGCCGCATGTGCCGGAGGCACAATCGGATTACTCGTTCACTGGGGACTGGGCGGCCTTGACAAGAAGGTATCTACCAGACCGGACACCTTGACACATATACCGTCAATACAGGAGTTCTGTGACGGTGTAATTGCTGGACTGGTGGCCGTTACACCCGCCGCTGGATACGTGAGCGACCTTTTGGCTCCTACCTGAACGTCAACTGACATGATGCAGGTTCCTGTCACATATGCCCCCGTCTTCGGCATCATCGGGGCCATCATCTGCAAGATTTTGAGGATGATCATGTATTACCTTTTGCCGGCCGACAAATTGGCTATATTCGCCGTACACGCCGGCGGCGGAGCCACGGGCATGTTACTTACTGCCTTTTTCGCAAAGTAAGCCCTAGCAGACTAAGGTCCCAGTGATTGATGTGTTACTGACGCTGGTTGTGGCAGTGACGCGACTACTGGTTTGGATGGGTACTCAAGGCTGACTGACAAAACAATGGGAGCTCGATTCCGGTCAGTTTGCGTTCTGGCAGGAGCCCGGGCGAGTGCATACTAACCTATTAACAGAGACCAAGCATTGGACATCATTGCATGCCTTTTCTATTCCTTCACCATGACCTTCGCGATCCGGGTGGTCATGAAGTCTGTCGAGGTCGTCATCGGCGCCGGAAGACCTGCACGTAACGACAGATTTGACCATTACCCGGATACTTATGAGGCCATGCCTCAGTTCCAACGAAGAAAACCGCTGGAAGAGGTGTGAATCCCTGTTGAAGGTATTGATGTCGAATTCAAGAGACCCATAGACGGGCCTCAACCCCCGATGGATTATTGTTTGGCCCAAGAGAAGGCCTAGTGGTCCCTATGCCACACTCAAGTTGGGCGGTGCACTGCACAACGGAAGGATCTAGGTCATGAGGAAATGCGACGCACGTAACGGTAATAACAATAAGGCGCAATCAATCCCAGCCACGAGCTTCAACGCAAAAGAGCTTTCTCGGACTTTTCGAGACGGAAAAGGAGCAGGGGCTCGTCCATGTGCTCGCTTGTATTCTCCAAGCCCCAAGAGATTTTCCAGGAGCTCACGAGTCCCATGGTCTAATATGGATCTGTACTAGCGGCGTGATTGGGACTGTGATCCAGATGGACGACGTTTCTGTCTAACCTGCTGTCAGGCTGGACGAGAATTTCTAAGCGAGGCGCCCTCACCGGTCACCTTATTGCCGGAGCAAAGCATGGCAATGGGCAACAAGAAGACGCTGATCCGGATTACATGGGACTTGCCTCTCCTTTTCCAAGTCCCAGAGGACGCCTTCGAGACCAAATTCCCTCCCAAAGAGCCCGACGAAGTGGCAGATGATCATTAGCGAGGGAGCCTGGTTATTCAGCCAGCCACAAATCCTTCATCAACGGCCAGCGTCAAGGGTTAAACCTGCTCGCAAGAGGCAACCCTGAGGTCAACCTGGTTCGCGACCCAGTCCAAGCTCGTGTTCTGACTTGGCAGAGGCGCAGTGACAGTCCTGTCTGGTTGCCTGGCGCCTAGTGATCGACAAGAATGAGGCTCTGGCCTGGAAGTGTGACCATGGCCGTTGCCATTTGCCTCGGTCACGGGCTGTGTCCCAGTTGTCTGTTGAGTACCTTGCATGTGCTCTTATGGGATAGCCAGGATTACCGCTCCAGCATTCAACCTCAATCCTCTACAAGCTCAAAGGGAGATTTGGCCTACCGCTCTCGAGTTGTCCAGAATGGTAAGACCCTTTGATAACGGGCACGGCAATCTCTCAGAAGCTCAAGGCGAAATATCCCCCTCTCAGGATGTCATGTCCGGATGCAAGTGCCATTGTGGCAGGCCAATCCCCTGGAAATGGGCAGTGCGATGCTCCAAGAGTAGACAATGCCGGGACTATTACTCCCTCCACTGCCACAAAGATGGCTGCAATCTGAAGGAGTGCAGGTTCCACGGCCACTGCTGGGATGACCACCTCCCGAAGAGCTCAAAGTTAGCAGCATCGCACGTCCCAATTGGTTTGACGGTCCAGCACTTCTTCGTCAGAGATATCATTCACTCGGAGGATGAAACTGAAACACTGAGGCAGCTACATGAACAAAATGCAGCAACGCGATGGTTCAACATTCGCCATCGCAACTCCCAGCCCGTCCTCTACGTCTACGATAGATTTGGTCCCCTGTGTGAACCGATTGCTGACCCAACTTCATCGGCCGCCACGAAATTCCCAACATTTGTGTCCTTCATCGGCAAGTCGGGTGTTGGAAAGTCCACGCTGGTGAGGGCAATGCTCCTGCTGGGAAATCTCAATGTGCCAAAGATCAACGACGACGATATTTCCGACCTTTCAACGAACCAGAGCCGGTGGGAGACTTTGAGGGCCGCCATATCTTCGCAACAGGAGATGCCAGTCACCAGATCGGGCCATGTCGACCATGCAGCAGATCCAACAACCCTCGGTGTCCATCTCTACAAGGACGGCTCGAGTTTACGCACATCGCAAGAGGATGCCAGTAGCTTCACTCTGTTCGCCGACTGCGAAGGCTTCTTCGCTGGGGCTGCTCAAACAAATGCTGAACGCTTCACTACAGACCAGGGCAGAGCATCGGCCCATGAAGATGCCACAGAGGCAAACGTTTTGTACAAGGCACGTGTGGCCGCAGCCAGTTACGCTCGCGATGGACAGCAAGGGACTGAACTGTTCTACGCAAGGTTCCTCTATGCTGTCAGCGATGTTGTTGTTTTTGTGACCAACGAGGACCAAAACATCACCTTTCTGCTTGTAAGAGCCCTCGAGTGGGCGGCGACAGCAGTCCTTCACTCGGTCAATTACCCTTCGCGGAAGACCCTCGTCATCGTACGCAATGGGGCCCTGGGCTATAGCCGGCAATTTCTCGATAATGAATTACTTGAAAGGTTGTTTTTGGACCGCCAGGATTTTCTATGGAAGACGTCGCCCGTCCTGCAGGACTTTGTCAATGATTACAACAGCAAACAAGATCGATTTACCAAGCACATCTACCGAAACCGGGACCTCTACGATGCATTGTACGTCAAGATCATTTGCTGCTGTATACCACACGTCAGCGAAATGGAGGAACAAGGCGACGAAACATTGTTCGCACAATACGTGAAACTACGCACGCAGATCGACGACGCCTCACAGCGCGCGATCGATATGCGTTCCAAAGGGTGGATGAAGTACAATGTCTCTTCCCTCTCGCAGATCCTCTTTTCGGCTTTCGAACACTTTCGCACCAGTGAGAAAGCATTCGATTTCAACGAGGTGGCACGCATCAGCAAGCCCAACCCCAAATCATTCTCTGATCATATTGCCAATTTCCTTCGACTTGCGTTTGAGTCGCCCGCCTCGAGCAAAATCAGGGCCATGATACCTGATATCATTTCTCTGAACTTGGTTGTTTGGTCCATGAGGAATCTCACCCACGGTAAGGAAGTACAATGGCTTCCCTGGCTATCGTCCCTGGACTGACGGGCCTCTATAGTGGTGGACCCAGCACGGCTCTTTGACGGCATGACCAACGGCGATAAGGAACCATTCTCACTGGCTCACCGCTGTCAGTGTGCCATACAAGAATACCAAGAAAAATATCAGCAATGTGGATATAGATTCTCGGAGAACGACCTTTGCACAAATGGCCCAACTACTGCCCACCAACGCCTTCATTTGTCTACTTCTAAAAAGAGGGCGGACGGGGAACTCATCCCAAGGCATATGTTGGACCCACATCTGGTGAGTGAGATTCGCCATAGATTCTTGGAGCATTATGAAAATTTCGCGAGCGACGGCAGGACAGGGTACCGGTCCATGATCAAGCCCGCTCCTGGCAAGGTCACGAGAGTACGGCAGGCCGTTATGCAAAAATACTGTAAGCAATGGACTCCAATGACCAGCAACATTACCTGTCTGGCTTGCTTGCAGGCAGTGCCGGAGAATGTACTGCATTGTGGCCATGGATACTGTGTTCAGTGCGTTCGAGAGCTGGGACGGCCCTCCGAGAGCTTCGAATCCGCTTGGACATTCGAAGTGTGCCCGCTCTGCAGTGCCCGAATGGGCGACAATTATTCGCATTTGATCAGGGAGCGACCACGATGCGCTGGTGCCCGTCTTCTGACGCTGGACGGAGGTGGCATTCGAGGCATCATTGAGCTTGCCATTATCCGAGAGATGGAGAAGAGGCTGAACTTGCAGATTCCCTTCCGTGACTATTTTGATCTCATCGTCGGGACTAGCACAGGTAAGTGTCGTACCGGGAATAGATTCTCGACGGTGGGACATGTTTTGACACTGACACCCCCCTTCTCTCTCAGGTGGCATTATTGCACTCGCCCTAGCGATGGGAGACAGAGATGCAAACACACAGACAAGCCTCATGACAGATGCCTTCAAGTCCTTTGCAGTCTCGACATTTGCTCACCCCCGGGCTGGCAGTTTGCTGACGAAGATTGGACTTGGCCACTTTGTGACGAGCGTGGTCATGTCGTTCGGCCTGTACCAAGCCTTGTTTGACTCGGCGCCGCTCGAAAACGGGTTGAAGCGGTTCTTTGGTGCTCACACAAGTCTCTTCGGGTCTGCACGGACTCGCCATCACCAGTGTTCGACCCGAGTTGCTGTGTTCGCCACGAAGGAGTTTGGAAAACGAGCACACCTCATCACCAGCTACAACAGACCCAACTTGGCGTCGAGCAGCGACTTCGAGCGGGAAGACGACGAAAGCAAAGGTATGCGAATCTGGGAGGCAGGGCTCGCTACGGCAGCCGCCCCGTTCTATTTAGCCCCCTTTAAAAAGGCAGAGACAGGAATTCTGTATTTCGATGGGGCGTTGTACATGAACTGTCCGGCCCCCGGAGCGGTCGAGGAGATCAGGAAGCTGTGGCCCGACCACACGCCTTCGCTCGATGTTCTCGTCTCTATCGGGACGGGCATCCAGGACTCAGAAGTCAAGATCCCCAGAGCCATCCGCATCGGCGGCTTCGAGGAGATCTGCCGGACATTCCACAGCAAGCTGGACTCGGAGAACCAGTGGCAAGAATTCATTGCCAGTGGCGCGACCGACGGCATTCGTGACCGACTGCACCGGCTCAACCCACCCATCGACGAGAACCTGCAGAAGGTTACGCTGTGGCACTGGAACAAGATGGGCAAGCTGGAGGAGATGGTGCAGCGGCAGATGCGAGAGCCCGAATGGAAAGCCCGCCTCGACGACGCCGCCAACGCCCTGCTGGCCAGTCTCTTCTACTTCGAGCCGCACACCGAGGAGGCCGCGGCGTCCAACAACCTGTCGCATACAGGCACACGGCACATCAACGGGAGCTTACCCGAGATCCATGGCACGATCCGCTCGCGTCTGCGCCACGGCAGCGGCGAACTGGTCCGTCTCCTCACCCGCGTCCAGGGCTTCTTCTACACGAAGCTCTCCATGTCGCGAGCAACCCCCTCGGCCTTGCTGCAGCACGACCCCTGGACTGAGATTGCCGTGTTCCACCCCATCAAGGACAAGGTGGTCAGGTCGGGCCAGCGGTTCCGCGTCCCTGTCCGACTCGAGGAGTCGTCCGAGAGCAAGTTGCTGGTCCTGGCCGTGCGGCTCGACAATTGCTCCGCGCCGCTCCCCATCAGCGGGTTCCCCACGTTGCTGCAGGACTTGCATTTGCGGGCCAAATCATGGGATTAACGACGAATCCATGCTCCTCGGACTTTGGTATCGAATCAAGAAGTGAGGAATCAGAGAGGAGAAGAGAAGGAGAGGAGGAGGAGTAACGTTTTCCATTTTGTGGATAGATGGATGACTGGACTCGGACCGTCTGTCCATCATCACAAACAGGTAGTGGTTGTATGTGCATGTATGGCCCTCCCTCCTTCGTCTGTATTCTCACATACAAGAGGTACAGGAGCAGAACCATCAGCCCAGGGGGCCGATTGTGGTTGCAAGGGCTTTCTGCTTTGTTTCTTTCTTTCCCCTGCAGTTCCAACTTGGTTCGCGCATATTGCGGAGCGACTATGAACACTTATCTCCCTCCAATGCATGCATGTCCTGGGCCCATCAAGTCCGTCTTGTCCGTCGTCCACCATCCGCCATCAACCAGACCATCCCACCCAAAATAACCAATGTATGTGTGAGTTGGTGATAAATTTGGGTGTTGTTCGTTGTTGTTGTTGTGTTCCGATACCGATTTGTACGCGCCATGCCAGGGTGAAAATGCTTGGATTGATGCCGTGTGAGCCCACCATGTCGAGAAAAGAGAAATCTATTCACACCATGAAAACGCCAATCTTGCTCTGATCGAGTTTTTGCTATGTTGCCGGGTCTCGTTAAGTTAGTTTTGCCGTCTGCCGAAGAAAGGAAAAAAAGAGCATAATGTCGATCGACTTCCTGTCCCTTTTGTCGCGTCGTCGCAAGGAGATATTACACACACACGCACGCACATCCAATTCGTCCGCTTTCATTTCGTTTCCGTCAAAAAAACATTCTTCAACTTTCGTGGACTGTACACGTCTCCCTTTTCTTAGTCCTGGTGGAAAGAGTTAGCACCCATAATTCGAAAGTCATGTTCTAGAGCGGGTGCAAATCATACCTCATCCGTCAGACGGTCCAGCAATTGGATACTCAGGATCATGACAAGCAGTCCAAGCGTGACCACGACGAGTAATCCAAAGCCGAACCAACCTAGCACCATGGCTGAGGTTCCTACCCCGGACTTGACACTCCCATTGCCCAAGTCCTGCGCGACGGTGCTTGCCGCCACGGCCGCGGTGTGTTGCCACATCACAGAGACCAGCACAAACACCGACGAAATGAAAATTGTGGCCAGCGCCACCTGTGACACCGCTCTCGACGGGAACGGTCGGACTTCGTGCTCGGAGCCATCGGGTCCCGTCGACGTATGCCAGCCGGGGAACGTCGCCAGGAGCAAAAACGTGAGGAAGGCCAGCACGATGGCGATGATTAAGAGGTATGGAAACACGATGGCGTTCTTGAACGTGCTGGCGACCCATATCAGATTCAACGGGTCCTGATCGATGGACACCAAGTCGGCCAGGGCGGTGGAATTTTGATTACACATCCACGCTCCTCCGTCGACGCGGATGCAGATGCCGAAATATCCCACGCGGACGTTCAGGTCGGCATTGCCCACAATGTTCGCTATTGCCGTTGTGACCGACGGGTCGACTTGTACGCTGCTGAAAACGGGAGGGTATTTTTGGTAGTATAACGAGATGAGGTAGATGTCGGGGATGAGTGGAGAGGTTGATGAGCAGCCTGCGAGCAGGAGGGCTGTAGAAAAGTTGTGTCAGTATTTATGCCACCAGAAGATGCCGTAAGTTGTGCCATGGATACTCACATAATAGGATGATTGCAATGGCTATAAAGATCATGAGAACATGATGGTAGCCTATGAAGGGCACGAATCTTCTCCACCCCGTCTTAAAGCGTAGAGCCATTGTGCCGTCTTCTTCTTAGGATCCCAACTGTGTCCACGGATTGACTTGTATTTTTCTGTGTCGTGTGTGTTTTACCGTCCGTAAGGACGGATATCGGTATTGAAGTTCAGTACGAGCACAGGTTGTGGCCTTTGGCCAGGATTCGAATCGTCGGTCAAGGTTGCGTCTCTCGGAGGGCGTCAGCAACAGTGGTTGTGTAGTACTGACGGTGGTCGAAGGGTATTCAACCGACAGAGAGTCGATATATGTGGTTGTTTTCTCTGAAAATCAGGATGGTTAGCTGCCTGGGTTTTCTTCTGGCAGAGAGAGACAGATGTAAAGGAAGAGGAAGGAAGAGTGTAGGAGAGAGAGGCGTAGCTTGATTTAGTCCTGGAGATATGTTGAGACTGGAATTGCCATGACTGTTGATTGGACTTCAGGGAGGAGCCATATCCGAAATCCGTGAGGTTGGGTTCGGTTTGGCTGCGATGTGAGTGAATTGTTAGAAATTAATGTGGTGGCAGGAAAAAGCGCAGTTGTAACAAAATGTGGCAGGGCTGGGCCAACCCCAATACTAGAGTGACGAGGCTAGCTTCTGTTTTGGTTTTGCCGTTTTAGGTTTAGGCTCCCGCCAACCTTATGCTTATTTCTGCCTGGCATCCTTATGACGTAGCCTTCCCTCTTGAAGCTTCACCGTCTTTTTTAACGACCGTATCGGATCTTGGTCTACTGACCTGCTTTGCGTCCATGGTGTTTTCCAAGAACTCAATCATCCCATACTGAGTGCCTCGTACAATGTACGGAGTTCTTCGATGATAATCAATCTAATGCCCCGACAGAGCGACCCGTTCTAACCAATAGTCGTTAACCGTCTAGGTCGTCGTTTTATGCCCGATGCCCCATTTCCAACGACCAATCCAAACCATCCACATCACGATGCAAAGCATCCCTGGAAACCAAGTAGACGCCAGACAGAAAGCCGCTAAAACTAAGAAACAAATTAATCAAGCCGGTACAAATGCAAACGAGCTGAGATCAAACTTGGGCTGCTGTGCTGGTGAGCCCACCTCCGACCTTTCATCTTCGCTGTTTGGTATTATCGCGTCCTCACTGCCACGACCCTCACTTCGCCAAATTGCTGTTGAGCCACGTTCATCACGCTTGGTGATAGTTGCAGGTGATGCTGCGGAAGAGCGTTGCTTGTTCAGCGACCTCAAAGCTGATTGCTGCACCTCGAGTGGTTGGTATGCGAAGGTCTGTTCTAGTTCCACTTCCCGACGAGACGACCGAATCTCTTTTGCACTCGGTGACTTTTTACGAACATCCAGTTCGATCTCAGATCGGAAAGCGGACGTCTGCTGCCTCAATTCCACAGGGAACAGTGACCTCGTAACAGAGTTTCGGTTCTCTCGAGGTTGGAAAGCAAAGGTCTTCATCAATGATTCATTCTGCTTTCGAACGTGGTAGTCGAGCAAATCCTCAAAAGCTTCGGGATCATCGTCCTGGCTTATTCCCCTCACAGCAAGGGTACCACCTCCCTCAGGCTTGCCTGGCGGTGGAGGCTTCTTTGAAGGCCCGGCTGCGGGAGAGGATTGTAGTATGGATTCCTGTGATTCGAGACCTAGAGATGGATAACGTACTTCCGGCCCTGTCAAGCTTGGTGTCGTGCTATCCTTGGCGGGACTCGCCGCTTGCTGGATTTCGGGCTCAAGCAGCATTTCTCCTTCACAATGATCCAAAAAGACCTCGAATTTGGTCTTGGCATTTTTCTTGTTCTTGCGCATCTTTTGGGCCAAAGGACTGGCTTCTTCACCTTTGGCATTGAAAAAGGGACTTTGCTTCACCTCTCGGGTTGGCGAAGGGTCCAGTGAATCCGAGCACAGCCGTTGTCTCTTTGCCGATTGAAAGGTCGATATTGTGGAAGCTCTAGCCAGAAACGCTGTGCGGTCTGTCGTACTGCCGGCCGCCGCTGATGTTGTTGTACTTCGCCTCAAAGCAGGAGCGGAAGAAACCAGCCTTGGTTCCCAGGACACGTTCCGATTACGTTGCAGCAGTCGCTGTTGTGAGGGAGAAGGGGTGAGGCTGTTAGGATCTAATTCAGCGAGAGGTTGGCGCTGCGGCTTGAAAAATGTCTCTATCGACTTCTTTGGTTTCAGGTCCGGGGCAGAGGCGTAGCTCTGGCTCCTACGCTCTCCCAATGCGGGACGAACCAGAGATTTGCTGCTGTTAAGCTGAATGGGTCTCTTCGAAAATGGATCCAGGTCACCGCAGGCGACACCAACAGCCGTGGAAGCTTCCACATCAGGCCCCAGATACGGCATGTCTGAATCTAACAATCCGGGACCAAGTTCATTCAGAAACACCACTTTTTGTGCGATCGGACAGAAGACGCGGTGATGCAGAAACGTCAATTCTGCTTGTCGAAATTGCTCCATATAGCCATTCGGGACGATCAACTTGCCTTCCAACTGGATCAGCCGAAGGATCTTCTCGATGTCGGTATGCTTGCGGACCAGTCCATGGGCCGTTTTCAAGCCCAATTTGCCGATATTTGGCAAATAGTCGCAGCCGCTGAGGATGGCCATACGCCGAAACATCGTGTCGGTCCAGCCTGCAAGCGAGATGTCCTTGCACATGGGAAAGTCTGACCGCTCAATCTCGACCAATTCGCCGTACTGATTAAGCTTGGTCAATAACCGTTGAGCACCAAATACGAGCATGTCCGAGTCTTCGGCCAGAATCCCATTGATGATACCCTTTCGTTCCAGATAGACCAACTGTGCGTCGGCCTCGTATGGAGCTACGACATACTGGACGTTGAGCTTCTTCAGTTCCTCAATCAATTGTCGAGCCATAAGAGGGGTAACATCGATGGCTTTCTGAAGTTCTTGTTGTGCCTGCGTGGTTCTCCCGGCCTTGTGCAGTTCTAGACCCAATGCTCTGCTTTCTTCTCTTTTCTTGCGCCGAGCTGCATTTGTTCCTGCTTTGCTGGGCAGGTTATCCCCGTCGAAGACCAAATATGGAGTAACCCCGAAGTCAAGCAGCATCCGAACTCGGCTTAACACAAAATCGATGTGGATGGTGGTCGGCTTGTCGAGGGCAAGGGCGAAGGCACAGCCCACCACACCGCGATGTAACCAGCCATAAGCGTCGACACCAATGGTCTGACCCGAGAACTTCTTCAGAGTGCACTGCTTCTGGATGGACTTGAGCATAGGCAATAAGCCTGGCAACGTTAGTATGCCTTGCCATACATAGTCAAGCTAGTTACCTTTGATGCCCATCTTTACTCCGATGTCAGTGCTCACCGCTTGTTTACGGTAGCTGTTGGCACTTGGAGGCAGAAAAGAGGAAGGATACAGGAGTGGTAGCTGTAGGGAGTGGGCAGCGATATAGGTGTAGATGGACCTGCAACATCCATTTGGTGTATTGTTGACGTTCGACCTCTTAAAGTTGTGGTCGGAGTTGCATTGCATAGCAGACCTCGAGGCCAGGCAAGCGCCCACCCATATGCGCGCCGCGATCGCACCGACGCGTTTGGCGCCCTGCCAGTACGGGCCGACATTTTCCCGGCCCCCACCAAATTTTTTCCCAGTGTGCCACAGCCTGCGTCACAAAAAGCCTCGAGGCGGAAGCGTTCGATATTAGGTACTCAGGAATCCTTTATTTGCTATACTATCACTAGCCAAAGAACATGGCTCGTGCTCTCAACAAAGTTCACAAGCAGATATCCAAGAAGCGAGGAGGCAAGCCGAACGCTCTGCATGAGAATAGTCGAGATGCACAACGGCTCCGACGAGCAGGAGCAAGGGAAGAGAAGCTGGCACGGTTGATGGATGCAGCAGTCAAGGCCAATCAAGTCTATGGTAAATTCCGCGCCTGATATTGCGTTGGCCTATATATTGATTTGTGATGGCCGCAGTGGAACGGGTGGCATGGTTCAAGTCAGCTTTGCAAGGCTCCACAGGAGTGTTGACGGACGAAGAAATGCAACTACTCACGCAGAGGTATGTGGCTAATTTGAAGTCGAAATTCCCCTCAATGACAATAGGGACCAGCTTTATCGAGCGTGAGGATGAAGAACTAGCCGAAGCCAAACAACAGCGTCGACCGGGAAGACCACCGACCAAGCAGGAAGAGAAAATCAGCCACCGAAAAGAAGTCGAAGAACGCGAATTCCGTGCCGGGTTCTGGGTCCCTGAACTTCGGAACGAGGAAAGCCGAAGGAAGGTTGAGAGATGGGCTGGGGAATGGGGGGGATTGAACACGCTGGATTTTGTTCGCGTTGTTAAGTCGGGCGACATCAGACCTTCAAGCTTCCCTCCTAAGGCACTCTCATGAGCGGAAGTGCATCCTCCGCACTGTCGACTCTACTGGGCCATACAGGGTTGTGTCTACCCATTCTTTCGGGGACATCGTGGTATCCACCAGCGACTCAATTTTCGCCGCGATGATTGTGCGAAATCCTATTATACCGCCGTTCCTCAGTGATGGAATTCGGCCGTCACCACTTCCCAGATGAGGAGCGTGTTGGGCATGCCGCTTGGTCAGGCACCTCCGATGCGGGACCCTGCGAACCAGAGAAATCTCATCAATGAGTACAACGGGGTGATGCTTGTTCAGATGCCACATGGAGCACTCGGATGTCCTACACAAGCCAAATGGCAGCTCGTTGGGTTAGAGGGTTGCCAGAAAGAAAATGACTTTGGGCCATTCAGGTTAGCAAACAGCGTTAGCTGCAGAGTAAAATCCGAGAGGTTGATCGGAAACGCGGCGGAAAAGGAGGTTGATGCGTTTACCATTATGAATGCACTGGGAAGTACGAGGTAGTAGTCCGGGTTTTGCCCTGGTATCCCTCAGCTGAACATAGTGAGCCATGCTTCGGGTTGATGTTCGGGCTTCCCTCCTCCATCGAGGCAAAAAAGCGCGTCCGTCTCGTCTCACCTTTTTTATACATGACTCGCCAATAACTCCTGTCACGTGTTTTCATGACTCGCGCCCAAAATTTATGCTGGAAACTTTCTCGAACCACTTCATCTGTCTGCGAATTTGCATCTTCTGTTTAGGATATCGCCCTTATTGTATATCTCTTCGAACCTTCTTACATCTCTCTGCCTTCAACATGCTTTCGCTCCGGATGCTCAGCCGGGCACTGCCCAAAAACGTCCTGCGCCAGCCAGCAGTTCGCTCCGTGTCGTCCATCACGAGATTCGCAGCTCGTCGGCCGCAATGGCAAGCAGCGATGAAGCCATCATATCCCGCATTCTCAACCTCTGTGGCCCGAAGAGAGCCCGCTGGCCAATGTAAGCATCTGCAACTACAGGCTGAAATTTTGCTAAAGGGAGTCACAGCGGACGAGGCCCTCGTTGCGAAGCTGAACAATGAACGAATGCTCGAACTTCAGTCGCAAAGCGATGACAGACTAGCCGCGATCAACGAATTCCTCGAGAACAGCCCCTTCAAGGTCCACGACAAACCTGGCTCACATGAAATTGTCTTGACCCGAGATTTCGGCAATGAGAAGTAAGAAGATCTCATCATTGGGTGGTGACACGCAAATGCTAATATGAACCAGGATCAAGATCCAATTGAGCGTCTCCGACCTCTCCGAGTACCCAGCTGAAGACGAATTCGATGCCCTGGATGAAGACGGCGCTCTCTCCGATGAACCGGACTTCGAGGTGCGAAAGAGAGGCATCAATCAACCTGGTGCAAGAGGAGGGAAGGTCGATGTTATGCCGGAGGATAGCATTGCACCGGCCGACAGAGCTGAAGGGGGAGAAGAAGCCGACGACGTGGCTAATACCACGCCCGCCTACCCTGCCCACATGACCATCACAATCACGAAGCCCGGCAACAAGGCCATCGAGATTCGAGCTGTTGCCCAGGACGGCACCATCGAGATCGAAAACGTTTGCTTCTTCCCCAAGGACTCACTCCTCGAAGCGCAGAATACCAAGGACGCTTCAGAAGCCCGCAGCCTATATGCTGGTCCGCCTGTCGAGGATCTGGACCCCGAACTTCAGCAGATGCTCCACCAGTATCTGGAAGAGAGGGGGATTGACGAGGAGCTGGCTAGCTTTCTTCCAGAGTACCTCGACTACAAGGAGCAGAAAGAATACGTCAAGTGGCTCGAAGGTGAGACGATACATCCAGACAAGTCTGATTGTTGTGCTAACCTCTCCCACCAGATCTCGAGAACTTTGTCAAAGAGTGATACTCGTTACCCTGTGTGTCTGTAGTCTGGGGAATGCTTCCCGCCCTTCTTACTAGATCCTCCACTTTGAGCAACATTTATCATGTCAAAAAAAGGTGTACATTATGTTACAGGGACAGCTCTGGATCAACAATGAAATAATCAGATACCCAATCGAGTCGTTGGCCAACTGCATTGAAGTCTTGTGATCCCGGCTCGCTTTCGCACGGATCATTGAGATCTTGTAACGCTGCTCGGGCCAGCAATCGAGTGCTGACACTGTCAGACAACAAAATCATATCCACTCTCGTTGAAGTCATGTTTTCCGCGGGGAGCCTGAGATTGCCCTTCTAAGTACTCCAGAAAGGCAATCTTGGTCTGGGTGACACGCACTGATTAGTTGTCTGTCGTTGTTATGTAAACGAGGCCTCGTGTCAGCTTCGGCTGGTGGTTGCATTCATGCTCACGCCGTCTTTGCCTCTGGCGGCCGCGACTCGCATCGCATGCCATACTTCGGAAGTATGTACCTCGTACAGCTCGCCGGGGCTTGGCTGCGCACCTCGTATCGACCCAACTCGAAATGTGGGCGTCTCCGTATTCTTCCTCGTATCGCGTATTGACCAGTTCTCCCCAGAATATCAGAGCCACCAATCTCTCGAACCGATGGACTTCCGGATTGAGGTCTTCCAAGACGCCTGGAAGGCAGCCATTTATCTACGGAGACATTCGTCGAGTCGGTGTAACTGATGGCCCCGAGTTTGTCACCCTTGGGGATCGGTCATCAATCATGTCATACTCGGTAGGAACCCACAGGGTGGAAACCCGCAGGACTCTGGATACGGGGTCCAGACCACTCAGACACCACGCAATCTGTTGCATCCTCGTTCTTCGGGCCAGTGAAGCCTCCGTCGCGCCTCGACCCCTCCCCCAAGTTTTGATGTGCGTGGGGCTGCGGGAGGAACACTTCGATGCCACCAGGTCATGCATGGCCTTTCCACCTTTAAAATGCTGACGTCTCGAAGATACTGTCTCCCTGTTTCTCTTCAGTGACTTGTCTGCTCCCAAGAAGCTCCGACTCACCCGCGTTCGTTGTTCGATTGCACGGGCTTCGACGCCAACATGAACCACTACCAAGCTGTGGGCCTCGGCCTGCTCGGCACAGCTATCGTCTACTACCTGGTGGCTTCTTTCCTTGCAAAGCGGTACCACGCGAGAAAGGCTAGAGAGTTTGGATGTCAACCAGCCTGGGAACGGCCTTACCGGTGGCCATTTGGCACTGACTTGATCTGGGAACTTATTCAAGCCGACAAGGACCATGTTGTTCCCAACTATTTCCTGGACGTCTACAACAACAGGACTGGAAAAAGATCAACATGGGCACAGAATATGCTGGGCACCATGGGCTACGTGACTTCGGATCCCAAAAACATCCAGGCGATCCTCGCTACTCAGTTCAATGATTTCGAGATTGGAGAACTTCGCCGCGGCAATTTCTTCCCCATGCTGGGCAATGGCATCTTTACCACTGACGGCAAAGCATGGTGAGTGAGCACTTCTTGATAGGTACATATGGTGCGGCCTCCGTTAATCCCAACTACAGGGAACATTCTCGGACTCTTCTCCGCCCGCAATTTGCTCGCCAACAAGTCTCCGACTTGCAACTGGAAGAAATCCACGTCCAAGACATGTTCAAACATCTCACGACCCAAAACGGGTGGACAAATCAAGTTGACTTGTCCCCTCTCTTCTTCCGTTTGACGCTGGACTCTGCCACGGAGTTTCTGTTCGGCCAGAGTGTGGACTCACAGATAGCTGCGTTGCCTGGCTATACTCAAAAGACCCGAGAACCTGGTGAACTGGACTGGACTGCCTTCGCATCCTGCTTTGACGGTGGGACCAACGCTCTCGGCGTCCGCGGAAGATTGGCAGAGCTATATTGGTTGTACAGTCCCAAGCACTTCTACGAGAACTGCAAGGAAGTCCATCGATTTGCCGACTACTATGTCAATCTCGCATTAACCACCGATTTATCATCGCTGAGCGAGCACAGCCTGGAAAAGGGCCAGAAGAAGGAGAAGTACATCTTCTTGAAGGAACTTGTACAACAAACACGAGACCCCATCGAGCTTCGAAGCCAACTACTGAACATTCTGCTAGCCGGTCGCGATACGACAGCCGGTCTGCTTGGATTCACGTTCTACTTATTGGTCAGGCACCCCAAGGTCTTCAAGAAACTGCGTGAGACTATATTGGAGGACTTCGGCACGTACGAAGACCCCAAGGCGATCACCTTTGAAACGCTCAAGGCTTGCTCGTATCTGCAACACGTCCTGTCCGAAACACTTCGCATATACCCCACTGTGCCCTTCAACAGTCGCCGCTCAACCAGGGACACCACCCTCCCTCGTGGCGGAGGCCCCGACGGCAATTCGCCGATCTATGTCAAAAAGGGGACGGAAGTCAACTATTCGGTCCACGTCATGCATCACCGGGAAGACATTTGGGGGCCCGATGTGGAAGAATTCAAGCCCGAGAGATGGATTGGGCGACGACCGGGTTGGGAATTCTTACCGTTCAATGGTGGACCGCGTATCTGCCTCGGACAGCAGTTTGCGCTGACGGAGGCCGGTTATGTAATTGTCCGCATGCTGCAGAAGTTTGACGGCATCGAGACTTACGAGACCGACCCAATCGTGCGCCATGCGTACGGCCTCACCACTGCGCCCTTGCGCCTTCCTGTCCGTCTCCACGAAGCCTCTGCGAAATAAGGGGACTTGCACGGCGTTATGGCAGATTGGGCGTGGCTGCCTTCAGAGAAGCAGTGGCGGTATCGAGCAGCAAGTGAAGCATATCCTATTGCCTCCCGCTCTCATTATTTTGACATACCTCATCAAATATCTTTTCGCGGCGTCAGGAACAAGAACCCTATTCCTCCACTATTCTTCGATTCTCCCACCCCTCATCCGCGGTACGCCGCCATGACATTGATGGCAAGTGTGCTTCTCCTCCTTGCATGGAATACATTGTCTAGGGCGCCATTGGCTGTCTCTTCCCTAACTATTGAGATCCCAACCCTGGTGGAAGGATTGCCTCCCCTTCGGACTGCCGGCAGTGAGGCTCTCAACAGAGTGACTGATGCGCTGCCACCTCTTTTGCTCGAAACTGAACAGGCTTATCGTTGTGTTGTCAATGGCGAAGCTTACCGTGGACCGGGTGTTCTGCAGTGCCCGGAGGTTTTTCGCCCCACGGGTGGATGGTTGCAGCACCTTACTGGAGACCGAAGTCTCCATTTCACCTGTTATTCCTGGATGCCTGACCTCATCACACCAGTCTTCACCCTTCTACCGAGGCGAGGAGAGGAGATAGTATGGATGTTGCCATTGGAGCCTACTGCTGGGTACTCGAAAGGATCAAGAACCGAGCTCGGGCAGAAGAGCGAGCTCGTGACTGACGTGCGATTTCTGCAAAGGACGACTGCACTTGATGGGCGACATTGGCCCAGATCTCGAGATACAGGCACAGTGCTCTCTCCTCGAGACCCTTCGCTGTCGGGCTGGAACCAACAAGTCTTGATTGCAAGGTATCTTGCCATGATGTCAGCGTGCTGTTCATTCTTCGTTGGGCTCTTTCGCATGCTGTACGACAAGTGGAAGGTGGTCAATTGGATCGAGAGACCCCACACGAGCATACTGCAACGCATGGATGAAGTGACGACGCTGGCAGCGAAGGAACGCTGCTACCAACGTCAAGGAAACGGCAGCAAGAAAGGAAAGCTTGGATCTGAGCGAGATACCAAAAAGGAAAGACCTATGCAGCAGAAGGACAAGGGCAGCAACATGGACAATATAGAACCAAGCGAGCTGACGCCAGATGTTGGCGTGGAGCATGGAAGTGCTGGGCCATCCACCCTCACCGACTCCATGCTACCAACCTCAGCAATGCTCCCCTTGACTACGACATCTTCCATTGATCGAGACGACAGTGGTGAGGGGGAAAACTCTGGATTAAGCCGCACAAGGGACACCGGACAACTACCTCCAAGGGGCGGAGCGGGCAAGAAGTTCCAGGCAAAGGACGAGTGGCGCAGGGCTGGTGATCGGTTCTATGGGTTCCTGGAATCTGGGATGAAAAGAGCCAAGGGGTGGCTGTGGAAGAGAGAGTAGATCCATAACGCAGGCGAACCACGCGCTCTTTCGCTCCTTACAGATACTATGTGGAGTTGGGGAAATGATAAGCGAGCTTCTCCTGTATGCGCACTCCTTCGTCGGTAGTCGTAATACGGGATAGTTTTCTCTGAAGGATTCGCGACTCCAGCTTGACCAGGATCCTTCTGCAGGGTGTTCATTGGTCAACACTCAGCCGAGAGAAGCAAAGGGAGAGTCGTCCATCTTGAGTGCGCTATTGTCGGGTGGCTGGCTACAGAGCAAGACTTAGTCCTTTTGTTGCCGCATGTGCATGTGCATGTGCAGTCCAAGGGAGCGATGATGACGATCATCATCATCATTGGTGGCGAGAGATGCAACCATGACGTGAAATGCGTGACGTCGTCGGTCTCCTTCGCAAAGGCCCCCAAGAGCTATCTGAGGGGATGGATCAAGGGGACCATCGAGCGATCGGAGATGGGATACGATACCCAGGGGCATGCATACAGAGTAAATGGCTGGATGATAGATAGGGGTCAGAAGCAGGTTTTTCCGAGTTTTCATTCTGATCCAATGGGCCCAGCCCTCCAGGGGGACTGACTGTATATACATACACGTACCTGCCTATCAGGTTCTCCTCTCAACAGAACAGACATAACTATATATATATACACATATATACATTCACCCGACACGCGAGAGGGGGGAATATATTCCACCACCACCACCACCCAAGGCCGAACTATTTCCAACCAAAACCTAGCCAGAGCGTATCGTATCGTATCATATCATATCATATCATCTACCCAGCGAGCACACCAACAACCCCAGACGACGACGACGCCATGTCCTCCTCCTCCTCGTCGTACCCGACAATCCTCCTCCTCTCGGTGACGGGCATCTTCACGTTCCTCGCTATCGTGGCCGCGGCCGTCTATTTCGCAGGCTACGCCGACGACGTCGCCGAGTGGTGGGCCAAGCGGTACTACAAGGCCAAGGCGGTGGCCGAGGTCAAGGTGATGGAGAACGTGGGCGAGGAGAGGGTGCAGGGTATGGTGAAAGGTAAGTTTTCAATCAGTCACCGTAGTTAGTTGGTTAGCCAGGGCCACGGGCGACAACAAGTTGGCTTAGCTGCTCGTTCCGTTCCGTCTGCACCATGTTCACACATCACACATACGGCTTCTTGCTAACCGTCGGTGCACTTACTCGCGAAAGACTCGCTGAAGAAAAACCCCGTCATGGGCGAGGACGAACTCGAGCAGGTCTCGGGCGGGTTGGGCCAGGAAGCCGTCAAGGAGGGACTCGGTGGGGTCAGTGGCAAGCTGGGCGGGTTGGGCAAGTTGTGAATAAATCCAACCTGCCACTTCATTCCCTCTGTCCTCTTGGTACCAATGGGGGTGGCCCTTGGGGAGGGCCAAAAAAGCATAAGTGTAGCTCAGCTGACGGCGCTGCGAATTGGGCTCAGCCAGGCGAGGTCGCAGCAACAACCAGACGGACGGTATAAGGTGGTAGATAAAACAGGCGGACACTGTATTTCACTCACATCATATACTCCCAGTTTTTCAATGATATAACGAAAAAGTCACAGAGCAAGAATCTGCCACTGGCTCAATGAGACAAAACTCAAACATCCATCTGCCTCAGATCTTGTAACGTGCGAGCAGACTTCAATATCCTTACCAACAGCTCGGGGTAGTCCCATCCCAGCGCGGCGGCAGCTATGGCGGTCAGACTAGCCTGGTCTTCACGACCGGGTCGGCCTGGACCGGTCATGTTGGGCTTCATATTGACATCGAAAATCGCAAATTTCGAGTCCGTTGTCTCTGTGAACTGCCTCACATCGATTCTGATCGGCGCAGTCACCCGCAGCAAGCGAGCGACCTCTTCGCATTCCTTACTGATACCTTGATACCGTGGATTTTGATCTTGCTCGTGTGGTGTCAGCACTCTTGAATTGGCAGTCACAGCGACAACGCCGTTATACGGCGCAATGCCGTCTTCGTGGTTGAAGCGCACGACGAGTGGCAGTGCGTAATAACCGGCATGTCCCTCACATGGCGGCATGACCGTGACGGTCGCTTCCTGGCCACAGAGATATTCTTCAAGCATGACGATCGGGCTTTCTTTGAGCAAGGCTGTTAAATGGGTGGAGAGATCCGAAGGGCTGTGGCACACCTTGACGCCGTGACTTCCTCGTCCACGGATCGGCTTGGCAACGATTGGGTACGGGAAGTTTTCAAAGCTGAGAGATGATGCGGAATCTATGATCCATGAGCGAGGCATGGTGAAGCCGCCGTGCTGGCGCAGAAGCTCGTTGACATAGTTCTTGTCGTCGTACTGTTGAACAAATTGTGGTGGCTGACCCACTACCTTCACCTCCGCTGCGTATGTATCCAGAGCTGGCGAGGTCTGCAGTGGGTGGGAGGCAAAGAGAATCGTGTTGGCCCATAAAATGTTTGCACCTCGTTCGATGGCGGCCAGAATGCCTGCCTCCGTGTCAGGGAAGCACCAGCCTCCATCTCGTCGTGGGTCTGGATGTTCCTCTGCAGTAATGACATCGACGTCCTCCCTGGCCGTGAGAACGTAGGCAATGTCAGCCCCTGAATCTTGATATCCCCCGGGTTTCTTTGGTTTGCGGACACCGTTGACGACTGGGGGGTCGCATGCTTGGTAGAGGACTGCAACACGTAAAACAGTTGAAGGGCCATGTGCCATGCCGAATGGGCGTGCTGCCTGTCTAGTTTGCAAGCGGCAAAATGGCAACAAGCTCTTGGTGGCTGTATTGAGAAGCAGAGACCTCATCTTCAAAATGCTGGGATGAAGCACAGGCCATTTCTTCAGTGGGCTGCCTCAACCACATCCGAGATGTGATCGCGTTGCAGAGCTCGAGGGGCAATGCAGTTTCATCAGCAAGCGTGACAGCAATCCCACCAGTAGCGCCAGTAGCCTACCGTTGCTATTGCCAGGTATAATGTACATATACAGTATATATCAGTAAGTGGTGCGTGTGAAGGAGGCTTGTGTCTAAACCATGGGGTGGGTGTAGGTGGCTTGGTGGGTGGCCTGGAAACTTATGCGGGACAAGCTTCGGACCACATGCATCTCGCCAACTCCATGTCGGTCCAGCTCGCCAGGCACCTTCTGATTCACCGACTCACTCTCTCAAAAACCAAAACTACATGGCACCCTAACGTCTTCACCATACCCACCTCCCGGAGCACGGCCGACTCATGACCACCAAGACCGCTTCGAAAGACCGCCTGTGGTCAAGGCGGGAGATCGAAGGACTGATAGCAGAAGGCAGGAAGATCATAATCCTCGATGGACGGGTGATCAAAGCTGATGCCTGGCTCCCCTTTCACCCTGGGGGTGACAAGACCATCTTACATATGGTCGGAAGAGATGGAACAGATGAGATCCGGGCCCTTCACTCCCCCGAGGCGCAGGCAGAAATGCAGAAGTTCGTGATCGGGAGAATCCAGGGGAGATGGGTCAACTTCCTGCCTCCCATACAGGGTGGACATTTCAGGCCATATGCCAGAGGACAGGATGACAACGAGGCGGAGGAGGAGGAGGAGGAGGAGGAGGAGGAGGGGGATTCGGATTTGCAGACCGATGGTGCCTTCAGCTCTTGCAGTGACAGTACTGCGCCCCCGTCACCCATCTTTGATCCCGTCGATGTTCGAGACCGAGGGACTTCATCACCTTCCACTTCCTCGCTGTCGGAAAATGAGCAGACGGACATCAACAGCGACCCTATCCAGATGAAACTTGCGGCTGAAAAGTCCTCAGACATACTAAAGTATCCGTCGTTGGATTACAGCTCACAGAGTCGGATTGTCGCCAAGTATCGGGAAGTTGATGCTCAGATACGAGCAGCTGGTCTTTACAACTGCCCATATGGTGCCTACGGAGTTGAATGCTGCAGATATATCCTCCTCTTTGCATCATCTCTGCTTGCACTTCACTACTCCTATTACGCACTCTCGGGTGCCCTTCTGGGCCTTTTCTGGCACCAGCTGGTGTTTACCGCCCATGACGCCGGACATATGGGTATCACACACAACTTTCATGTCGATACCTGCATTGGAATCTTGATCGCAGACTTTTTGGGTGGCTTGTCCATTGGCTGGTGGAAACGCAATCATAACGTCCACCACATCGTCACAAACTCACCTGAACACGATCCGGATATCGAGCACATGCCCTTTTTCGCCATCTCGACTCGGTTTTTCTCGTCATTACGTTCCACTTACTACGACCGAATCATGCAGTTCGATAGCATTGCGAGATTGGCCATCGCGAAACAGCACTGGCTATACTATCCAATCCTCCTCCTGGGTCGTTTCAACCTCTACCGCCTCTCCTGGGAATATCTCTTCCTGGGTCAAGCCCCCAAAAAGGGCCCTGCGTGGTGGCACCGCTATCTTGAAATCCTGGGACAGTTTGTCTTCTGGTGGTGGTTTGGTTATGGAATCGTGTATCGCTGCATCCCTACAGCCTGGGATCGCTTCGTGTTCGTCATGGTCAGCCACATGGTCACCGCACCACTCCACGTACAAATCACGCTTTCCCACTTTGCCATGTCTACCACCGACATGGGCGTCCACGAGTCCTTCCCGCAGAAGATGCTCCGGACCACCATGGACGTCGATTGTGCGCCCTGGCTTGACTTTGTCCACGGCGGGCTCCAATTTCAGGCGATCCATCACCTATACCCGAGAATCCCCAGACACAATCTCCGAAAGGCGCAGGTTTATGTGCGAGAATTCTGTAAAGAGACCGGGGTTCCATATGCGATCTATGGCTTCACGAGAGGGAACAAGGAAGTTCTCGGCAGATTGGAGGAGGTAGCGAGACAAGTGAGAGTTTTTGAGGAGTGCAGAAAAGTGTGTGCGAGAGAAGTAGTTGGAGAGAGGGAGCATGCCCACTCCCACTGAGTGAGTATTGTAGACACGAACGGAGAGATGTGCCACGTCGCAGCTCGACATATTACGCCGTGGATAGGAAAAGATGGTTGAAACGAGACCGTTGCTCTTACATAGATCATGATGAGACGAGTCGAGATGTATATATGGGTGATTGTTGGGGACGGAAAATAGAGGCGTCTAGATACCTTGCTTCCAGATGCTAACAAGACTACAAACATGTTCCCCCGAAGATAGAAGGTTCAGGCAATCGAAGCCATTATGACTTTTCCCCCCTGCGTGCCTTGATTCAGAGGCTGTCTGACAACCTTGCCGGCCGAGTCGCATGTTTCACTCGAATTCGACGCCGTCTTTGGTGATCCGAAACCTCAGCACGCCTTTCCCTTTCCCTTTCCCCCTCTCGCCGTCGGCCCCCACAAGTGCTGCCGCTCCGCTGGGGACGAGAGTCGCAACAAACCTCCCCTTCCGCACCGCCTCGAGACGCTTGTCCCGGTCCCTCAAGCACGCCTCCATGTCCATCTGGGCTGGGAACTGCGCGACGGGCAACCTCGCGAGGGTGAGGGAGAGCGTGGCATACGACGTCCAGGGAGAGACGAGGCGAATGTCCCGATCCGAGGGCGCCGGCGCGGTCGAGGCGGACGTGGTGGTGGTGGTCGCCGTCGTCGTCGTCTCGTCGTTCAGCGTCCGTGTTGAAGGTGAGGGAAATGGCGGAGAAGATGAAGTGGAAGGGGAGGTCGTGCTGGCGAGCACGGCACAACCGAACCGCTCCTGCAGGGCCTTGAGCTTCTCAATCAACTCTGCAGCGCGTGATGGTCCTCCGCCGGGCGCTGTCCCCAGGGACTCGAGCTTCGCCAGGGCCTGGTCGGACCGGTCCTGCCAGTAGAACGCGGTCGCCGAGTCGATCACGATCAAGCTGAGAGGGCGAAGTATGGAGTGATGCCGCGACCTGTTCAAGAGGTACGTGTGGAGAGACGCGAGGACGGCCGTCATCTGCGCCGAAGACTGGGGCCGGAAAACGTGTACGTGGTCGAGGGAGGAGCGGATGGTTTCTTGGAGGGCGTCCAAGTCTGTCAGGGGAGGCTGGGGAGCTTCGCTCGACTGGTGGTGAGTTTGGAGGCAGTGGTTCATCATCTGCGCTAGCCGGGTGGGCGAAAACCGGCCGTCGGCGTCGATGTACACGACGGTCGATTCCTTGCCACCCCTATCTCTCGGGAGCACCGATACGGCGCAGAGATGGGAGAGCAGAGACGTTTTCCCGGAGGCAGATTTGACGCTGGTGAGTTCGATCGTGGCAGGCTTGGGTTTGTCTGGAGGTGCTCGTGGTGGAGGCCCTCGAGGAGACACCTCGTCGTCATCCTGATCTTCCTCTTCGACGGCAGGAGATGTTGTTCCTGGCGAGGATGGCCATGCTCGACGATGAGGGCTGTCCTGGGTTGTTGGGTAGCGGAGTGATTCCAGTAGACTGTCCAGCTGTGGAACGCCCAGAATAGATCGTGGTTGAGGGTCTATCGCACATCTGAGCTCCGCTAGGAACTAATTCTCGAACGGAGAACGACTAGTTAGATAGAATTGACAGGAAGCTACGCCATTGCAGCCGTGATTGAGGATTGGGTGTTGTTGAACAGGGTGGTGGAAGGGAAGGTGAAGCGGAAATCTGCTAATAATTACCTGCTCGAGGCTCTCTTCCTGTATCTCTTCGAGGAGACGAGCTCCGTATTGTTGGGCCGACATGATGATGGTGTCGCCATGGTCTACCAGCGTGTGGTGGTGAATATCCGTCCCTCGTTTTCGATTGAAAATTCAAAGGAGGGAGAGAGTTCTTTCTCAATCAAATTATAAATACATACATACATACAAGGAACTCTCTTCCACCACCTTACAGAAAAAATGGCTCCGCCCGAACAACCCTTCCCTGTCTCCGAACTCGACCAGCACGTCCGCTCACACACGGTCAACTACAAGGAGCGATCCCGCAAACTGCCCCAGGACTTCGACCTCAAGCGCGACTGCGAGTTGCTTGAGCTCGTGCAGTATAGTTGCACCACGGTCAAGCAGCAGTATGAAAGGGCGCTGGCCAGCGGGACCGGCACGGCCAGGATGGAATGCTTCCCCATCGTGAGGTTATTTAGGAAGTAGGTGCTCCTTTCCTCGCTCGTCCAAGCAATGGGGAGATTTCCAACCCAACGTGCTCATGGCTCACGTATGATAGATGCGTCAAAGGTGGGAAGGTGTTTCACGTCGAGACGACAGCGTGGGAAGGGCAACATGCCTGGAAACCACCTGTCGATCCACAGCCGACGGCGCATCTGAGCAGTAATGACCAAGAAAAGGCCGCTGCTGCAGACGACTCATCAGCAAACGTGCTTACGTCCTATTGGAACTCGCTATGGTCCAAAAAGTGAATCCTTTTGTTCTACCTGGGGTATCATATGCAAATCTTATCCCATCCAACGTGAACGACCAACCAAAACACCAGCGCTGCCAAAAGCACCATCAAGGGTGCTGGGAATCAAAGCTGCATGTCCACATCGCCTCCATCCTGTCCTGAGCTGCTGCCCTGCTTTTCAGGATGAGAACTGTCGACATGTGCCCGCCTTTTAACCATCGATTCTTCCGGCATTCGGTATGCCTTCTCGCAGTTGACGATCGGTCCCAGCTCGAAGCCGCCACGTTCCTTGCTCAGCAAGTCGCGCAGCGTCTCTTCGAAAACAGCCTCTTCCGACAAATCAACCCCGGTCTTCCACTTCTTACGGCGGATGATCGGGGGAGCTTTCGGCATGGAAGATCTGACCTCCGTCGTCTCGAGGGGATGGGTAGCATCCAGTTTGACGGCCCCGGCCAGTTTACGCAACGCCTGTTCGCCAAGCTTCCCCTCTTGGGTCGCCAGTTCTCTCATCTTTCTAATATCAACCGGTCGGTCCGGGTAGACAGGTGTCCCTCTATAGGTATGTGCAGACGGTAGCTCGGGCAAACCTCTCGTTGCTTCTAAGAATCGCTTCAGCTCGCCGTGGCTGTCTAAGCCGGGGCCGAGGTACGACGCAGGAAGTTCGAGGGGGTTGTGGAATTCATCTTCAGGAGGCGGTGTTGGCAGTAAAGGAGGGTTGATGGGGGGTTCAGTCTGATATGGGGCGAGCTGGTCGTCGGGGCGAGGAATGTCGAGGACGTCGATGGCGGTCTCGAAATCGGTAGCGATAGGACAAGTTCGTCGCGCCGCCAGCATGGAGCGCCGAACCTTGGAGAGGAACTGGAGCACGACTGCCAGGATAGTCAACATCAATGCCGTGCTGCGGCGTTGAGCAACCTACATTCGTCCATCGCTGCTGCCAGGGATTCCAGTGCCACCGACTCGATCACTGGATCCGAAATTCCTTGTTTGTGCGCCTCCTCCTCACATATCGTTTTTATACATAGCACTAATAAATCATCGACCACCGCTTGCTCGAGCAGTGCTGGTTCCGCGGTGGGTATCGCCTGAAATTTGTGTCGCATGACATGGTGGTGATGGTATGGGATCTTCTTCTTCGGTGAGGCAGCGAGCATTGGCCTGGACTTTTGAGGTCGATCGGTCTACTTGGATATAGGCTAGGGTAGAATGTGCTATTGTTCTCCGTAACCTGAGGTCCGAATCACTTCGGCTGCGCGATCGACTGTTCGAAGCAGCGCAGGAAGTCGAATGCGCAGGGGCCCAAGAAAGAAGGTTGGCCGACGAAGCCTGCGCATTACATAAGGCGCCAAGGCTCTTCAATTGGACTGCGGATCTCGAAGGAGCTTCACCAAGCTACTTCCACTGGTATCAGACCACCACCTGACCTAGCTACACTTCCTGCTCCTGGTCCCCTTTCCAATCGTCTTCCAGCCTCACCCTCACCTCACACCGAGTGTCTGAGTCGAGGTTTATCACAGCATCGAGACGAAACTGAGCTCGGGCAGAGCCACACCAGAACAATGGCGATCAAACCCATTACAGGAGTGCGTTTTCTTTTCACTCCCCCCCTCATGCCCAGCACGCATCTTTGCCAACAGGGAATAAAACATACGGAATGTCCCTGGCCTTTTGAGGAGTTGCAATGCTAACAAGTTCGTGCCTTCCGCAGATGCTTCGACGAGGCCTCGTCTTGGATATCAGCATTGCGATGGGTATGATCTTCTCTCCTTCGAGCTTTTCGTCCAGTCGGGCAGTACCGGTTTAGTCTTGGTTTGCGTCTGAAAGAGATGGAGTGTACGGGACACTTGCTAATTCTCGCATCCCGTCACCTGCCGAATTATGGAAAAGACATGGGATCAATCGGAAGAGACCTCGACGAGAAATCCTGCACGGGAAACTCTACCAGAACGTGCCGCTGATCAGCTGTCATCAATTCTAGGTCTCGGCACAACATTCGGCTACCTCTGGTGGTACGGCTACCACCTTCCCCGCGTACGAGCGCGAGACAACTTCTACGCCAGACTCGAAGACCAGCGGGCGAGAGAGGCTGGCTTCAAATAAAGACGCGCGCCTTGCGGATGGGTGGTCCGGATTTCGACGTCGTTTCATGCCCCTTGTGTGCTAAGATAAAGAGCGTGGGAGACGGCGGATCGTCTGTCGGTGGAGAGAACCATTTCGAACGAGAAAACTCCGCGTTTTTGGGGCAGTCGCGTCGGCAAACTCGGCAGAGCAGAGTCAGTGCATTGAAGCGTCGTCGAGCGGTGAGGAGAGGAGCAGATGGAAAAGGCCTGATGGGCGGCTCTGTACATATCAAACGCCCGGCATTTCGAAAGAATAAAAAAAGCTGAGATTATATCAACCAAGAAAGAGGAGTTTGTGGATTTCTTTGTGCTCTATGTTCTTTTGAGTCTTTTCTACAACAAATAGGTATCATCTCTGAAGGGTTCTCGCCATAATGAACGCGTAACGGACATATGCTTGCAAGGACATCCGGTAAGCAAAGGTGGTGAGTGCCACTGCGTATCAAGTCGACGAGCTTTGCTAGATGGCCACCAAAAAAGACGCTCATGTTGGGCTGTAATCCTACACTCATCTTCTCATCCTCTCCTTCCTGGCCGCCTTCTCCCAACTGTCCTCGAAAATACAGGCTTTCTTCTTCAACGCCCCTGTCTTGCTTGAGACATTAGCGCCAAGGTTCAAATACCTCACAACCTCGACGCTCCCGGTGCCCACGCCCATGGTTTTGCCGACGATCACACTCTCGCTGACTCCCTCGATCCGGTCGACCTTGCCTGCCGCCCCGGCATCAAAGACGTGGTCGGCCGTCTTCTCGAAACTGGCCAGCTGTAACACCGAGTCACGCATTTTGGCCAGCCCGAAACGCGTGATGCCCAACACCTCGCCTTTGTAGGTCATCACGTCGGCCAACAGATACATATGACGCGGATCGATCGAGAGACCTTTGGTAACTTCTTGGATTTCAGTGATGATTTTGGAGCGGGCGGCTTCGATGCCGAGGACCTGAAGAGTTTCCATCACAGAGTTCGTTTCGGTATGATAGGGGTCGACACCTTCGGTGTTCATACAATAGCGGAGACCGTAGCCTTCGACCATGACTTTGTGCATTTGCACAGGTGCAGTGTCTTTTTGCGGCACGGCATGGAGGGAAACGGATGGCGTTGGCTCCTCGACTTTGATTTTTGAGGACAGGTCGGAGGGAACATCGCCTGTTCCCCCCATGGCTTCGTTTTTGACTTCAGCGTCGGCGCTAGAATCAGCCTGCTCGGCCTTCACCGCCTGTGCCAAAGACCTACGCATGGCCTTGATCTCGTCTGACCTTGGATCGTCTTCTGCCATGACCACTGCTCTAGTTGCTAGAGGATGACCCAGGACGTGCACGTTGGGCAGTATGCGACGCAGAGTCTGAAGCCGAATGAGACGTTCACTTTGACCTTCCTCATCAGCCTTGGCTGCCGCCCCTCTCTTTGCAGACTTGATCGCAAAATCTGTGAGTATCCTGAGCTTATCTTTGCCGCGAAATTCGATCCTCAGTTTGGCAGATTTGAGTTGTCGATGTTTTTGGATGGCAGTTACGATGTCCTCCACAGTGAGATCGAGACCCAGCTCGGTAATCGTGTCCAATGAGATTTGGAGGTCGATGCAACTTGGTCGGTCTAAAAAGTGGTGGATTTCGATATAAGACGTTACGTCTGCCAGAAACAGATTTTCGATCCGGCCTTTGACGATGCGGGCAAGGCCTTCGGGTATGGACAGATCTCTTCGGCGCTCTAACCGGCAAGTGATGACGGGAGTACTGATCTCCCTCGAGGCATTGATGATTTCCTTAATTCGGGGAACACCTGCTGTCAAACTCATGCCAGCGACACCGGCGAAATGGAAAGTTTTCAGCGTCATTTGGGTTCCTGGTTCTCCTATGGACTGTGCACCCACAGCCCCGACCGCGTGCCCGGGTTCTACACGTGCTCGCTCATATTTCTCCAAGCAGAGGTTCACAAACGCTTCCAGCGTCTTTCTAGAAAGCTTAGACGTGAGCTCAAAGCGATCTTTCGTGGACGGAGACGGCTTCGTTCGCATGCGATCCTCTGCTGGGACGGGCCTTTGGTTCTTCGAAACTTTTGACGTGGTAGGAATTGCGCCTTTTCTGCCCGTACGTCGTTTCTGAGCAGGTCCTTCCTCGCCCGCGTCGTCTGGCTCGGCTTCAGCTTTTCGCTTTCCGCTAGAGCCCGTTCCAGAGGGTGGCAGTGCAAACCGCTGTTTTTCCGCCCTCGCCTCATTAAAGGCGTGGCACTTTGCCATGACAAAGTCATGGATCGATTGTAGGAATGCTCGATTGCTCTCATTTTGGTCGACCAGTTTATCGTCATCAGCATCATATCGAAGCTCGACACTATTGAGCCCGACTCTTGTCAGCAGGTCTCTCTTTGTTGACAGCATCTCTTCCATGACATTGAAGATTTCGGTATCCTTCAGGCCTTGGTCCTTCATATCAAAGGTAGTTGCCTCGACATGAGCGTAGGTGCGTTCGAAGTCGACCGGTTTAGCACTTGCCTCCATATCGACAGGGTCGAGATCGTCATCCCCAAAACGAAACTGTACAATGTTGGAAGCGGAGTTGCGGACCGTGCGATCGTAATTTGTTGAAAGATCCTCGAGAGACTTCATCAGTCGCCTTGACATATATCCGGTTTCTGCTGTTTTGACCGCAGTATCCACAAGACCAACCCGACCTCCAACAGCATGGAACAAAAACTCGTAAGGGAGTAGACCGCTGAAGAAGCTGTTCGAAACGAAACCTTTTGAGGGAGGAGATCGTTCATGTTTCAAGAAATGCGGTAATGTACGGTCCTGGAAACCATCGGCGACACGCTTTCCTTCAATATCTTGTTGTCCTAGAAGGGCTGCCATCTGCGCCACGTTGATGTTCGAGCCCTTGGAGCCAGAGACGGCCATGACCATTGGGGTGTTGTTTTTACTGAGCTGGGATGTTAGAATTCCGGCGATGTTGGTTCGAACCGTACTCAACACTCGGATCTGTTCTGCTTCGAGGGTGCCTGCATCGTCCAAACCGGCCTTGCGCTTCAGCTTACCCGCCTTTGAGTCGCGGGCAAAAGAGCTACACTCGTCGAACACTTTGGCTATCATATCGGCCTTTTCTTTGACGAGCTTTTCAGGCGGTGTAACATCACTGATACCAACAGTGAAGCCTTGATTGCCCAGCCACCTGGCGCAGAGTTTCGAAAGGCGGTTCATCCCTTGAGCGGCAGCATCAGGTCCGAAATCACGGTATAGAATGTAGAAGATTGAGTTCTTCTTTCCTGATCCGACTGTTGACTTGTCCATCCGACCGCAAAGCACCTCTGAATTGCGGATACATAAGAAACTATCATCCTGAAGGTCTCGATGTAGGCCAGGGTGGTATTGATTGTGGTCTCGGCAGGCAGCGTCAAGATTGACTCTCACGTGCGACTCCTTGTTCGGACGCATCAAGACACTGAAAACCTGCTTGCCCGTCCAAAGTGTCTGAGGCTTGATGATTGCAGGGGGAGGAAGGTCAAATTTTGTCTCAGGCTCCAGCATCCCACAGCACATCGTCACGAATGTTTTCTTATCGAAGAACTGATCCAGGCTGCTCAGCAGGAACGACGCGGTGATAAAGTCCTGAATTGCCGATATAATCGGCTCGCCATTTTTGGGGGTCACAATGTTGTGCTTGACGCCCATCAAAAGCATTGCTTCCGTCCGCGCTTCTTCTGTCTGGGGGACGTGGAGATTCATTTCGTCTCCATCAAAATCGGCATTGTAAGGGTTGCAGACACACTCGTTCAATCGAAATGTCCGATGGGGTCGAACCTTGACGAAATGGCTAAGGATACTGAGTTTGTGCAGCGAAGGCTGGCGGTTGAACAAAACCACATCGCCATCTTCAAGATGGCGTTCAACGATGTCGCCTTCCTTCAGATGATTCGCCGTGAGATGGGTGTTGTACTTCAAAGAATTCTTGAACCCTTCCTTCTTAATCACATGGTTGGCTCCTGGCCAGACATTGGGTCCGTTGCGTACTCGTTGTCGTAACTTCTCAATGTTGAGCTCGTTGACCACTTCTGGGTACGTCATGTTTTTTGCCACTAAGATGGGGACTGCGACTTCATCGATGCGCAGGTTAGGGTCAGGGGAGATGACCGTCCGCGCCGAGAAATCGACTCGTTTGCCGGAAAGGTTGCCTCGAAAGCGTCCTTGCTTGCCTTTGAGACGTTGGACGAACCCCCTGATCTGTTTGCCAAATTCCCCTTTTGCTAGACCGGGTACGTCACTGTTGATGTACATCGCCAGTTGGAGGGACAAATAATCCCAGTGTTCCATGATCTGCGAGGAGGGCAACCCCTTCTCAAGAGTTTCGCGCAACGCATCATTCGCAGCGACAATATCCCCGAGCTTAGCGGTGATGTCGTCTTCGGTGCTTGAAGCCTCTTGTCCTACCGACGGTCGGATACACGCAGGAGGAGCAGGGACATATGTCCAAAGAAAAGATTCTGGTTTCGCGGAAAAGAGTCCGAGCAATTCACGATCGGTACGACGGATTCGTTTGAACAGACGCAGAGCTCGAAGCGGGGTCAAATCATCCATTGCCTTCTTAAGATGCTTCTCGAGTTCCGAGTTGGCAAGCTTGGCGCTCTCGAAAGATTTGTCAAAAGCGACCTTTTCAGGCGGCGGTACCTTTTTCGCGGAGGTGGAGGCATTATAGGACTTGAATTTGTCGTGAGTTATCTTGAGAGAATGCGTCGTCGCTTTCCGAACCAAGCCATTGACGGCGCCGCATTCGAAGCACACTTTCGTCTTCTTGCATTGATCTGCAACCCGTCTGACAATAGCAGCCTGTTTCAAGCTATCATTTTGTGATCTGCGGATTGCGCTCAGGAATTTTCGGCGGTCGGCTTCGGAGAGGAGAATGCAGGAACAGTCCTGAAAAGGTCAGTATTTGTGGCGGCGGGTTCGAACATAGTGCGTGCCTTGCAAATGCTCTGTAGAATCTGGATAACTTTTCTGAAGTATCCGACGTGGTAAACAGGAAGGACCAGTCGGACATGGCCAAAGTGACCATTGCACTCTTGCAGATGTTGTCCGCAGGTTTCGCATGTGTTCTGCTTCGACGAAACGCCCATGCGCCTATCAAGAGGCCCGTATTCAGCGATAGCACGAGTTCCATCCGAGCGTGTCTTGTCGAGATCGAACAGGCGGCGGTCGACGAGTTCAACGGCAGACTGGTTGATTATATCTTGATCCGAGCTAGAGACATCAGAATCGTTCTCAAAGTGCCACCTCAGTCAACCCTACAAGACGCCAAATTGGATTTCCTTGATCACTTTGGGAACATCATTTATCACCTGCTCTTTTCCCAGGACCATATCCTGGACCTGTGTGGCTGCAGCCATGTTGCTTTGTACTAATCACCGCAGGACGCGGGGGAGGAATGCGGAACACGAAGGATGGTCAGGCATCGGCGCGACTGCTGACGTTCAGCTCAGAACATGAGGCTCGGTCGAATGCAACAGAAGATCTAGGGTTCGTTTGGGAAGACGGGCGCGGTGTATGTTGCGACGTGAATCATTTATTTCTGGAGGCCAAAGAAACTAGAAACTATGGTGGGTGACCGCAAAAAGTTTCTCCAACTTCACCCCACTTGTGATTTGTGACTTGATATAAGGCTGAGCAGTGTCTGCCCTCCGAACCAATCATGATCATGATCATCAATTACACTGATGTATTTCTGTAGCTTGCTGTGTATTTCAAGTCGACAGTCCATGCTGTGTGACCTTCCATCAATTCCTATCACTCCTGACACCACCTCCCAAACTCCATGCTGTCCTCAAGACCCTGGAAATATCATTCCGCCAATCGATAGCTGACCATGGTATCTACCTTGTGGTTGCTGGTGCTGAAACTGCGCAGTTGGACCTTCTCTGCGTTCTTGATTTCTTTGGCATCGCTGTCTCCCCACTCGATAGGCACGTCCGAATCTGCATCCGCGTAGACCAACACATTGAAGGTGCAGTTTCCATCCAACACCGGCAGAAATGTGACGGACGCTGTAATCTGGCGAAAGATGGCTTGGATCTCTTCCTGTATTTGAGTCTCCGTCTTCTCGGGCTCGGGCTCTTCTGCAGCAGCCTCTCTGTTCTCTTGTTAGACTTGTCGCATAGATTGCTCCGGGTGTAGCTTACTCGGGTGCAGTGTTTTCCTTGTCCGCCATCCTTTTTGATGAGCGCTGTTTCGAAGACTTCCCAAGAATTTGGACATCAAACTGCCACCTCTCAACGTGTTCGCCCGTCTCCTTGCTAGTGATGACCACCACCAGCTTCGAGATCTTGCCTCCAACCATCCATTTGTTCAGTTGTGACATGATCTTCTTAATGTACGCCTTGACCTGATCGTCTGAGGAGACGAGCATATTGAGTCCATATTTCTTGACCCTGCCTGATCATTAGTCAAATGTTTTCCCGGTGTTTCCATTTGACTCACGGTGTGAAATCCTCTGCAGGATATACGCCTCTCTGAAACCTGTAATATATCACTATTTAATCCTCTAATCTTTCAATGATGTGGCTCACAGTATCGTGTTTATCGAGTATTCGAACTGCTTTCCCTCAGTGTCGGCGCGTGTGAGATCAGGAGGAATAAACTTACGAATTCTGCGACTGTCTTCGATGACCCTGCACACCCATCAGTACATGATCGTCGCGACGGTCAGTGTAAACTTACCTTTGAGGGCAACTTTGTGCAACTGCGACTTGTCTTTCTTTTCTACTGCCATCTTGCTCATGTTGGGTGTTCAGTGCAGAGTAGAGTGTTGGTTGACGGTAAGTCGGGGGGTTTTGTGTTGATGCTGATTGTTGACCGGGCGATAATCGGCAACGTGCTCTCCCTTACTTTTCGCCCTCAGCGCAGGCAAGTTTTTCTACCATCTCACAATGCGCAGTCAGGTCAATGTCCGTCACCACCCCTGATATTCTGACCCATGCGATCATGGCTGCAGATCTTTGCACGGCGAAGAGCTGCGTTAAGCACCGCTTCTGCCTCAATATGGCATAAATCCGGATTGCGATCCTTTGCAACCTCTGCTTCCCGGTACGCGCCAACTAGCACTCCTCCTGGCGACCTCGAAACTCGGATCGCCGCCATCCCCATTGAACGATACCGTAACTTCTGCATCGTTGCGCATGTCGACCATGGGAAGAGCACACTTAGCGACCGACTTTTGGAGCTGACCGGTACCATCCAGCCGGGCTCGAACAAGCAAGTCCTGGATAAGCTGGATGTAGAAAGAGAACGGGGCATCACCGTCAAAGCTCAAACATGTTCCATGATCTACAACTACAAAGGGCAAGACTACCTGCTTCATCTGGTGGACACCCCTGGTCACGTTGATTTCCGTGCCGAAGTCTCGCGAAGTTATGCAAGTTGTGGAGGGGCCCTGTTGTTGGTGGACGCCAGTCAAGGTGTCCAAGCTCAGACAGTCGCCAATTTCTATCTTGCTTTCGCACAAGGCTTGTCGTTGATCCCGGTCATCAACAAAGTCGACTTGCCTCATGCCGACGCTCCGAGGGCGTTGGAGCAGATGCATGATGCCTTTGAACTCGATCCCGATTCAGCTGTTTTAGTGTCAGCAAAGACAGGGCTGAACGTGGAGAGTATCCTTCCAGCTGTGATTGAAAAGATTCCGGCGTAGGTAGCAAGTTGTGCTCCCATTGGAAATCATTGCTGACGGTAAAAGCCCGGTTGGAGATTATAGGAAACCCCTGCGACTGTTTCTGGTAGACTCCTGGTATTCAAGTTACAAAGGAGTTATTCTGTTGGTACGCATATTCGATGGTGAACTTCGTGCGGGAGATCAGGTCGTCTCCTTCGCGACAGGCCTCAAGTATACTGTGGGCGAAGTCGGTATCATGTACCCCGATCAAACTCCTCAAAAGGTTCTTCGGGCTGGACAGGTTGGATATGTCTATTTCAATCCCTCGATGAGAAAGAGCAGCGAAGCCAAGATCGGAGATACGTACACGAAGGTTGGTTTCGGAAACCAAGTCAAGCCCCTCCCGGGCTTCGAAGAACCCAAACCAATGGTCTTCGTGGCCGCATTTCCTGTGGACCAGGGTGAATTCGAACATCTTGAAGATAGCATTAACCAGCTCTTACTGAACGATCGAAGCGTCACGATCCAGAAGGAATCATCGCTGGCACTTGGCGCTGGCTTTCGTTTGGGTTTCCTGGGAACACTACATTGCTCCGTCTTTGAAGACCGACTTCGACAAGAACATGGGGCAAGTATCATCATCACTCCACCTACTGTCCCATTCAAAGTACTTTACAAGAATGGCAAGGAGGAGGTCATCACGAATCCGGCCGAGTTCCCTGACAGCGAGGAAACACGCAGGAATGTTGCAGAACTCCGCGAACCCTACGTTCTAGCAACATTGACCTTCCCCGAAGAATACTTGGGAAAAGTCATGGAGCTCTGTGAGGCTAATCGGGGCGAACAAAAGTCTATGGAATATTTCACTTCCTCCCAAGTCATCCTCAAGTACGAAATGCCCTTAGCCCACCTCGTGGACGACTTCTTCGGAAAATTGAAGTCGGCGACCAAAGGCTATGCTACCCTGGATTATGAAGAAGCCGAGTGGCGAGTCAGCAACATAGTGAAACTCCAACTGCTGGTCAATAAAGAGCCTGTCGACGCCATCTCCCGCGTCATGCATCACTCCCAAGTCCGGCAAGTGGGAAAACAGTGGGTGGAGAAATTTAAGGAACACGTCGATCGGCAAATGTTCGAGGTGATAATTCAAGCTGCCGTCGGCCGACAAATCATTGCCCGGGAAACATTGAAACCGTTCAGGAAGGATGTCACTGCAAAATTACACGCCGCGGATAAGACGAGAAGGATGAAGTTGCTGGAAAGGCAAAAGGAGGGTAGGAAGAAGCTCAAGGCTGTCGGCAACGTCGTTATCGAGCACTCAGCCTTCCAGGCATTTTTGGCGAAATAGGGTGGAATATAGAAAAGATTTCAATTGTCGAGAGTACGATCATCCCAGAGCAAGTCTACCTTTTCGTCTACGTTTTCACCTCTGATCTGGTCACTTACTCCAGGGTATTCGATCGTGTAATCCGCCTGCCGTTCCTCGGTTACTCCTAGCTCGTCACCTGGAGCAGCTTCGTGATGGGAAAATGGTCCAGACAGTCGTAACCTTTTTTGGAGATCAAGATATGTCATCGTATATGAATATGGAGTCGCCCGTTACGTATTGAGATATTAAACACCGCCACAAATACATAGACTCTCAAATCGCCTTTTGTTCGGCAGACCGACATACATCTTGTCAGACGTGAGGTATAAATTCGCTCCATCTGACACGCTCGTAGATTCCTGATGGCGCTGACCGCAGCGATATGATCGTCTCGACCACAAGATATGTTCGTGCGACGATATAGGTGCACATTAAAAAAGATACCACAATCCAAAGGGGTAGAGAGTCGAATTTACCTTCGGCAATTATGGTGAAAAAGAAGATGATCGGCAGAATAACCGTGGTGATGCTCGAAGCTCTCCAGAGTATGCGCTCAACCGAGCTAGGGAACGAGTAGTTCCACGCTGCAAGGTGCCATACCCCGACCGCTCCGGCCAGAAAGAACACTATGCCGATCCAATACTGATTCATGTGGTCGTCGGCATTGTCCTTTTGGCGTAACTGTAATTCTTGGATCAACTTGAACCTGTCTCCGTGTGTTCTCTCGAGCATTCTGTCGATATCTTCACCGCTGATCGAGGGGCAAGAAATTTTTCTTCGTATGGCGACCCCTGCCGGCTTCTTCCACCAGAAGATCAAAGTGACAATCGTGCAAGTGACAAAGCACAGCGTCACGACTTCGAAAAGGGCCGACTCCATTCCTTCCACGGTCCGGCCAATGCATTGAAGAGCGAACCAGATAAGCTGTACAACAGCAACTGCTTTTCGGAAGCCGTCCTCACGAGCCAGGCCGTCGATCTCCCAACCTGCGATCTCTGGCAGAACCAACAACTTTTCTGTTACTAGCCATTCGATCTCTGGGAATCTGACAATGATTTGGCCCTCGTTTTGATACTCCAACAGGTACCCGCCTATATTGCCGAAGAATGAATGTTTCGTTGTCCACCATCTGAGCCCGAGGTCCCGCATCTCCCGATTTTGGATGCGGGCACCGACATATTCATTAATCGCCTGGATACTAACATATTCCGGGGCAATTATGGTGAACAGGGCCCAGCCGATTTTGCGGGTCATACCCCTCCATGCGGACTTGTAGGGAGAAGCAATTGTAAGATGCTGAATATTCCAAGTGCAGATGATGATTGTAAACACGCAGCCCCACACGAGTTCTATGGTGCTGCGTACCGGGCCGACAGACACGAAGCCAACATGCTGGTGGACGTCGGTAGGTAGGTCGTCCGCTGATGTCACGGCCATTTGTGAGAGCACGGTTCAGGAGTTGTTGAAGAGACCTTACTTGATCAGATCGCAGAAAGAGATGAAGCCCATGCGCCAGAATAAGGCTGGCATGGGCTGATATATTCATACAGGTGCCGAGTACCTCGTAGACACCACGAAACAAGGGGGCAGTGCTGCATTGCTGCCCTGTCTCAGCCACCGGCCTTGCGCCCGGTTTCTGTGCTACTGGCGCTCAACTGGCGAAACCGAGGACACTTATGCAGCTGCACTGCCAGCCACGGAGGCAGTAGTCCAATGTCGCACAATGCAAGGGAAAGTTGGCTCTCGTCGAAAGTTGGGGGCGGACGGAAGAATGTTGATCCGATAGGCCGACTTGATGCCCGCAGCGCTTGGCACCGACCGGGTCATTTCCTCTTTCGTCCATGTCAACACGGACAAACACTGAGCTCTCTCAACCGCAGCGGCAGCATCCAAACACTTCAAGAGATCCAGTTCAGGATGTCAGCTGAATCACCAGTTCGACCCACGCGTCGGGCCGCGCGCAAAAACGTTATAGTGGAAGACTCGGACGACGAGCTGAGCTTCATCAAAGAAGAAGACGACGAGGAGTTTACGCCCGCACCGAAGCGAAGTCCGCGAAAGTCCACGCGAAGGCAGACAACTGCAAACGTCGATGCGACGCCCAAGAGGTCCGCGCGGCCGCGCAAGCTCAAGACGGGTGAAGGCATCGAGCCTTCGCAGATATTCGATCCAGAAGAGACCATGGCTTCCAGCGGACCTACCTCTCCAACCAAGACTGCATCGCCGCGAAAACGAAAAAGTGTCGTTCCTCGAAAAAGCCGGCGGTCCTCGGTCGCACCTCCTCTACCTGAACTACCACCGCCTGAAGCCACCGACAGCTCGGGACGTGATACTCTAACAGGGACACCATTGAAAGACATCACTAGCCAGGCATTGAACAAACATACCCCGCTCGACGCAGATCAAGAAAATCGCAAGCCAACAAGACCGGCTGATCTAATGGTAGAGAAGCCTATGGATATCGTTATACGGGCAAGAGCGCAGGCAGTTCCCATTGCTGAAGAGCCTACGGGACCCAAGTCTAGGATGGTTATCCGACAACTCGTCATGACAAATTTCAAAAGCTATGCTGGGAAGCAGGTCGTTGGGCCCTTTCATGCTTCGTTCTCTGCAGTTGTTGGACCCAATGGCTCTGGAAAGTCTAACGTCATTGACTCTCTGCTCTTTGTTTTTGGGTTTAGAGCGAGCAAGATGAGACAGGGTAAGATCTCCGCACTGATTCACAACTCGGCGCACTACCAGGACCTTGATTTTTGTGAGGTTGAGGTCTACTTCCAAGAGATCGTGGATTTACCCGGAGGGAAGCACGAAGTCGTCCCAGACTCGGAACTCGTGGTTTCCAGGAAGGCGTTCAAGAACAACACGAGCAACTATTACTTGAACGGTAGGACGACCAATTTTACGACAGTGACGACGTTGTTGAAGGACAAGGGTATCGACCTGGACCACAAGCGATTCTTGATCTTACAGGGCGAGGTTGAGTCGATCGCGCAGATGAAGCCAAAAGCTGCAAACGAGCACGACGATGGACTGTTGGAGTACCTCGAAGACATCATTGGTACCTCAAAGTATAAGACACCTATTGAAGAAGCAGCTGTCGAACTTGAAAGCCTCAATGAGATTTGCGTTGAGAAGCAAGGTCGTGTTCAGCATGTCGAGAAAGAGAAGAATAGCCTTGAAGACAGGAAAAACAAAGCTTTGGCATTTATCCGCGACGAGAACGAGCTGGCAGAAAAGCAATCAGCCCTGTACCAGATATACATTGGCGAATGTGAGGACAACACCAAGGTCACAGAAGAGGCAATACAGCAAATTCAGGAGCAGCTCAACGCCGAGTTGGAGAAGCACGCTGGCAATGAAGATGCTATCCGAGAGCTCGAAAGTTCTTACCACAAAGCTCTCAAGCAGTATGAACGTATCGAGAAGCAAGTTCAGGACCTGAACAAAGAGCTCGCAAAATTCGATAAGGAGAGTGTCAAGTTTGACGAGAAGCGCAAATTTATCGGCGGGAAGCAAAAGAAGGCGGAAAAGGCGGCGACTTCCAGTCGATTGGCTGCATCTGAAGCTCAAAGTCTCGTCGAGAGGCATACGGGAGATATCGAACGCAAAGGCTCAGAGGTTCTTGAACTTGAGAAAGAGATGGGCCAAGAAGAACAAAAGCTGGCCGCCATCAGGGATGATCTCAAAGGGAAGACCCAAGGCTTCTCCGACCAGATTGCGGCGAAGCAAAAATCACTGGAGCCGTGGAACGCGAAAATAAACCAAAAGCAGTCAGCGATCGCCGTTGCACAATCCGAGCTTGACATCCTCAAGGAAAAAGCTAACAGCGGCCAGAAATCCATTGACCAGGCCAATGAAAAGATTGCGAGCATTGAATCCGACAAGGCCACAAAGCTGGAAGAAATTCAACAACGAAAGTATGAAAAGGCCCGACTCGAGAAGGATATTAGGAAGATCCAAGATGCTTTACAAAAACTCGCCGCCAGTGAGCCAGAGGTCCGGGCACAGATATCGTCGGCACGGCAAAAGGCTGATGATGCACGTGCAAGCCTCGCATCCAGCCAGAATCAAAGCAACGTTCTCAAGGGCCTGTTGCGCCTCCGGGATTCGGGTCGTATTGATGGCTTCCATGGTCGCCTCGGCAATCTGGGTACAATCGACGAGAAGTTCGATGTTGCCATTTCCACAGCCTGTCCGTCATTGGAGAACATGGTTGTCGACAATGTCGAGGTTGGCCAGCTGTGTATTGAATATCTCCGGAAGAACAACTTGGGACGGGCGAACTTCATTCTTCTCGACAAATTGGCACAGCGCGATCTGTCTCCCATACAAACTCCCGAGAATGTACCTCGACTATTTGACCTCATCCAGCCAAAGGACCAGCGGTTTGCCCCGGCTTTCTACAGCATCATGCAGAACACGCTGGTTGCGCAAGACCTCGAGCAGGCAAATCGTATTGCTTATGGTGCCAAGAGATGGCGGGTCGTCACTCTCGACGGTCAGTTGATTGACGTCTCTGGCACCATGAGTGGTGGCGGAACTCGTGTCGCGCGAGGGGCCATGTCGTCCAAGTTGTCTTCAGATACTTCCAAAGAACAAGTACAAAGGCTTGAGAACGAACGAGATCAATTGGAAAAACAGTTCGAGGCTTTTCAAACCAGACAAAGAGAACTCGAAGCCAGCCTCAGAGAAAAGCAAGAAGAGATTCCTCGGCTGGAAACCGCTATTCAGAAGACCAATCTCGAGGTCGAGACCTGCACGAGGAATATTGCAGACGCCCAGAAACGGATCCAGGATCTCACAGCCGAGTTGGCCAGCACCTCAGTGGACGATTCCCAGATTATACGTCTTCAGACGCACATCTCATTAATGAACAAGGAGCTCGAACAACTGCACTCCGAGACGGCCAGTGTAGAAGCCGAGATCCAAGCTTTGCAGGACAGAATAATGGAGGTTGGTGGAATTCAACTCCGAACTCAAAAGGCACGAGTCGACGGCCTCAAGGAAAGAATTGATATGTTGAATGACGATATCTCGAACGCGGAAGTAGCTAAGACAAAGAACGAGAAGCTTAGAGTCAAGAATGAAAAGACGAAATCGGACGCGGAGAAAGAACTTGAATCTCTATCCCAAGACCTTGAACGACTGGAACAGGACATCGAGAAACACAAGTCTGCTACTGCAGAGCTGCGAGCTCAGGTTGATCAAGCTGAAGACCAACAAACCAGTATGAAGGACGAGCTTGGAGATTTGAAAAAGAATCTCGATACGCAAACCGCTGAACTCAACTCGACGAGAGCTGTCGAAATCGAGATGAGGAACAAGCTCGAAGAAAATCAGAAGGTCCTTGCGGACAACCGGAAGAAGAGTCGTTATTGGACAGAGAAGTTATCCAAGCTTACATTACATGACACTACCGACCTGGAAGCGATAACAGAAGACCAACACAGCCAACAGCTTGAGCGGCCAGCAGATGAAGAAGACATGCCCGACGCACCTCCTGAAGTCGACCCGGACGCGATGGACATCGATGAAGGACAAGGTGAGGAGGAGCAACCCAAGTCTCCTTCCAATCCGGCGCGACGGCAGTTGCAGACATTCACCCGCGATGAACTATTGGACAAAAACAAAGACCATCTTGTTGCCTCAATCGCGGCACTCGAAGAAAAGGTCTCCAATGCCTCAAGCATCGATTTGAGCGTCATAGCTGAATATCGGCGACGATGTGCAGAGGTGGCTTCACGAACAAGCGATCTCAAGACTGCCGTGAAGAGCAGGGATGCTGCCAAAACACGCCTGACTGATCTACGAAACCTTCGCCTTACCCAGTTCATGACAGGCTTCACGACCATCTCCTCGCATCTAAAGTCTATGTACCAGCTCATCACTCTTGGAGGCAACGCGGAACTCGAACTTGTGGACAGCCTCGATCCGTTCTCTGAAGGCATTCTATTTTCCGTCATGCCTCCAAAGAAAAGCTGGAAGAACATTGGCAACCTGTCTGGCGGAGAGAAAACATTGAGTTCGCTTGCGCTAGTGTTTGCGCTCCATGTGTATCGGCCCACACCCTTGTATGTCATGGATGAAATTGATGCAGCTTTGGACTTCAGAAATGTAAGTTATTTACTTGGTTGGCCATTGATGTGTCTCTGAAATGCTAACCTGACCTTCTTGCAGGTGTCAATCGTCGCGGGATACATCAAGGAGAGAACCAAAAACGCACAGTTTATTGTCATTTCCTTGCGAAACAACATGTTCGAACTGGCCGAACGGCTAGTGGGTATCTACAAGGTGAACCATATGACAAAGAGTGTCACAGTGGAAAATAGAGACTACTTGGCCATGGGGAGCCGGAGGCAAGAGCAGCCAACAAGTGATGGTCGGACGACTAGTGGACAACCCGGAGAAGTACGGTGACTGAGAGAACGAAAGTGGCAAGAAGGTACCATTGATTGACGACTTTCATGAGAGAATTCCTGCTATGATTTCTGGACATTGACGCGTGTATGTGGGTGGCACCATTGAGATTTTGTACAGCTGGTATGCGTTTGAAGAAGCTGGCGTTTCGACTATATCAAAGCAAGGGAGGTAGCGAAGCTGAATTCATGCCTTGGTTGACTGCATGGAGTCATTTATAATGGCAGAACCGGATGTCTCTACTTATACCTGGCAATTGCCGGCTCGATGTCGATGCTTGGACCTCGGTCAGTTCTTCCCCTCTGACCTGGGTTATGCCTTTCCATCATCCCTCGTGAACTCCAAAAACATGGCCATTCATTCCTCGCCTACCAATGCGTCAGATCACTTCTAATGATACAGTCTCCGGGCCGAGACAAGCTGAAGTAGAGCAGTGAGCCTTTGATTTGAAGCTTGGTGCGTTGATTTCCTTCCATATCCTGGCGATGGGGGCTTCGAATGTGAAATTCCACCAGAGGAATGTCTTCATCAGCTCTTTGAATCCGTTCCAGTCCAGCTGTTGATGGTCAACCAACCCTCGCAGCTGCTGTAAATACCATCCCCGAGCTTTCGTGAAGGTGGCAGCAATCGTTCCCATCAAGACAACCCACGTCAACAATTCACCATAGATGGCCGATTCCCAAAATACGCGCAGAGACGGAGACTCTAGAACCGTGCGAAGTCGACGGGACAGGCGAGTTTTGACACCGCTGCTATATGGTAACGGCAGTATTACCACATCACAGAAGATCAGACCGGCAATCCGACATATCTCGTAAAGGGCTTCAAAGGAGTCTGTCCTCGATTCTGCTGCCGGGGACAGGCTACAAAAGCCGTGTTGAGTCTTATTTCTCGCGTTCACACGATCTGATAAGTCAGGACATCCTTCTGCGCTCCGGTGGTACTGGTCTAGGGCGACGGTGACTTCACAAGCCTCGAGGTACAGCTGATGCACCTTCACATCAATAGACGACAGTACGGTCAACCCAGACCCCAGGACCTTGCAGAGCTCTTTCGCCTGTTGATCTGGAATGCATTTTCCCTTTGCAGCCAGATTCTGAGACCCGTGCATCCAAGGATACAGTGGACGGCTGCCCTTCAGGGTGGACACATAAATGTCAATGCTATGAAAACGCCGTTAGCCAATACCGGTCCAAGTGATTCTGCATAGACTTACACCTGCACCATATATGCCAAAGCACTACTTGCAGTTAACACTGGCAAGTTGTATGGCTTCGGAATCCCGATTTCCAAGAACAGACATGGGCTTTTCTGCAAGACTTACTATGACTCCAACCCCTGCAGACCCCCCTTGCATTTGATAAGCATGTGTACAGCCTACAGGTGCGTATTATTCAATTTCACTCTTCCGACAGGCTGAGCCTGTGCGAGTGGCGATTTCGGATGAACTTCTTCTCCCTGCGCCTCGTTGAAATCTCCTGACGAAGTGACAAGGTTCAAAATTGCCATAATCAACTCGTCAGATGGTTCGGCTTTTCCGTTGTTGATCAATTGGAGCTCCTCTCGGATGAGCTTGATCGCCGTCATTTGATACTCAAGCCGTTTCAGGGTAAGATATTTCGCCGCCATTTCATCTTCACAAACACTCAACGCAGCCGCGGCAGCGCCCACGACTTGGCAGTGGAGTAGAAAAGGGTAATGTACCGCCGCCTGTCTCCAAGACTTCTTCGTCAATGCCAGCTGATTGTCCTCGGAATGAACCATCTTTGGCCAGACGACTTCATAAGCTATGTTTAGCAGTCCTGGAGGTGCCCTGTTTGATTGTCTAGGACTGAGAGGGACCCGGATTTGCAGTGCTATCAACCTTGAATAGTATTCGAAGGCTTACTCACCGTCTTCCAGGACGGAAAGTAGTCGGCAAGGAAGATTCCTGCCCCCGTACGAGCCGAAAGGGTCCTGTCTGCCCTGACCGAGACACGTTCCCAAGTCAATCTGGTCTTGCACGACACCTCCCTGTGCGTACCAATCCTGAGATACGTCATTACGCTCATGAACCCAAGCAGACGGGTAGCGGGCAACAGCGCGACTGCTATGTGTTTGGATCAATCGCGATAAAGCACCGCCATTCTTTGTCGTGACGGACGGTGTGTCGTGACAAAAAGTACGATCAAATCCCTCTCGCTCGTCTAGTTCCTTCCCACGGACCTTTTTCTTCCTCTGTTTTGCTTTGTTGTGACCAATTCTTGCCGCGTGAGATCGTGCGTCTGCGTCTCGTAACTCTTGTGCTCGACGAGATTCTGTGCCCGGTTCAGGTTTCACCAGGAGGAACTGGATCTCCACCATGGCTTGGGCCAGACAGGAATTTCAGGAGAGGAGGTATATTTTCAAGTTACTTTCCTCCTTACCATCTTTTCAAAGCCGCAGCCCTCACCTCCGCCATTTTATATATATATATATGATATATATATAATCCCCGTTCTGTCGTCGCCCACCTCTTTTTTGTCGACTCATCCCTCGCCGCTTTGCTCTCCCGCTAACAACTATTTAGTCCATTCGCTCCCTCGTCCGCTCTCTTCTGCTCCCTTCCTCTCTTTCGCGCTCCCCTTCCACTCCATTCTGCTCCCTCACGGCTCTGGCCCGCTCCTGCCGTACTCCCTCACGTGCCAGTAAGGCGTCCGTTCGGGCTCTAGTCTTATAGGCGCTAACGTCACGTACATCCTAGCCTCGTAGTAACTTTACCTAATTATATCTATAAGGGCCCGTTTCGGCCCTAATAAAAGGTAGAATCCCTAAGAGAATCTTTAAGAGGATACCTTACTACTATATATTATTAAATATGGTTAGCTAAACCCCCTGGCTCTATAGGATAATACTTCTCTTTCTCTTTTTCTTTTTTACTATACTCTCTTCCTCTCCCTCTCTAATAATACAAATAAGACCGGCGCGGAGTCACCAGCGAAGGAATAGTTACAGAGAAGGCAGGAAGGTCGAGTAGGGCAAGGCTGTGTCACGTGCGAGGCTATGACACGGGAATATAGGACTGCCAGGACTGAGGACTGTTCAGGACAGTCCCAACAGTCCACAGTCGAGGGAAGGTTAGGCTCATTGGTTGATGAAAGTCTATATAGTCACGCCCCCTCCCCATAGTAGATAGGACCCTCGCGGTCATCCTAAGTCTATAGTCAGACCCTATGGTTCTCAATGCTACTATTGCTATAGATATCACTGTGCGTCGGCTAGGGAATCTATGTGAATGCGCAGACGCTCCAAGGTGTCGGTACGATTCATAATAAATAATATATATCTAAGGACCACTCGCTGCTTGGGCCCGGTATCTTCGCGAGAAGGCAGGTGATCCGCTCTACTAGTATGGAAGTCTTCCTGAATATGGGGACTCAGAAGCTCCACAGGGCCTTTAAGGTGCTTGTTCAGGCTGTCTTGGACTTAGGTATAGATCGCCAACCCCCCTTGAGTCAACTGGCCCGGATGTAGATTGTCCAGACAAAATCAGACAAGTTCGCGGTGACTATTCTGATTGATTCTGGTCTGATAACGACTCCTCAGAGAGAGAGAACATAGGCTGGATGGCGTGATCCCAGCTGTTCTGCACTCTGCCCCTGATTGAGCCGATAGTCTCGTCCACCGCGAGTTCTCAACTTGTTTTCTGCATGGTTTATCCACATTAGCAAACCCGTCAGGGCAATTACTAGGACAGTCATGGCCAATTCCACCCCGTTTGCGACGTCGGCCTTCGCGTTCGCGTAAGTGAAAGTAGAAATAATCCCACCAATTGTCCCCATGGCCACAGCAAAGGAGATCCCGGTTGCACGAACATAGTGTGGTTGCAGATTACCAATCAGCCATGAGCTGGTCGAGTTGATGGCAGGGTATATGGAACCGGCAATCAAGAAGAGACCAAAGTATCTCACTCCTACACCATTGCATGTCATCTGAATGATCCAGCCGATGACCTCAACGCAACAGGGTCCTATCACAAAAGGACCTCGAATCCGGAGGTGATCCGACGCGAACGATGTAGCGAAGACGCAAATGGCCCCAAAGGTGTATGGGGGTACGCTGAGGAGCTGAGACTGAATCGTGCTGTAGCCAAAACCCTTAATGATGGCAGGGGAAAAAAGGCTGTAAGCGTAGACGTTGCAGTAGGTTCCAATGCTGATGATGGCAAGAAGGACGGCGTTCCAATCCTGAAAACCTTGCTTGACAGCTTTCCAGGAGAACTTCTCTTTTTCATGATTGACATCGACCGTGTTGCTGATTTTTCCTGACCTGATTCTCGCCACTTCGCGTTCCTCTTCTGTCAAAAATCGCGATTGGCCGGGCATATTTGGGAGGATGAAAAAGCAGAGAACTCCTACGAGGATGGAGATTGCCCCCTCGATGAAGAAGATCCAGGGCCAGGCTCTGTATGATCCAACATTGATCTTTCCGAGACCAGACGCGAGAAGACCACCGACTGCGCCACTGAGAGGTGCGGCACAATAGTAGAAAGCCAGACGTCGTTGTATATTAGTGGGCGAGTAGAACATGCCCATGTAGATGCTGATGCATGGTGTCAAGCCACCCTCGAAGAGACCGAGCAGGCATCGAATCGCGTACAGCTGACTCGCATTCTGGACAAATCCGAGGCAGATGGTGCAGATGCCGAAACAGAAGATGCTGATGCAGAGAAAGGCGCGAGGTCCGATGATTTTGAATACCAATCCGGCGGGGATGTCGACGATCATGTAACAGATGAAAAACAGAGCCAGAGCCACGCTGTAGCTCTGGCCTTGGAGTTTGAGGTCAACATTTAAGCCGGCAATGCTCGCATTCCCGATACTGGCTCTGTCCATAAAGGAGAAAAAGTAGAGTAAGAACAGGCATGGTAGAATACGGAAATCATATTTCCGATTCAATGCCTTTTCAATTGCAAGATTTCCCTGATCCGTCACCTCAACAGAGTCGAATTCTAGCTTTGCTCCATTTTCGATGTGTATGGGGATTTCAGACATTGGTTTCGCGTCGGAAGACATCGTTGGAAAAGATAAAGGGACGGATCACAAGTTCGTGGTTCGGCTTGCTTTGGCCAGGAGAAGGTGGGCAAGAAATTGAGGGACCAAATCTGGGGAGATTTTATAGTAAAACTTGTAGTGCTATGCCAGCTCGTTATTTCTTTCTGAGAACACGAGGCTTCGCGAAGTCAGGAGACGGGAACACTGGAGACAGGCCCTCAACCAGAATCCACTAAAATCACCGGCGCAGCTCACACGAATCCCACGCAGCCGAGAAATCGGCATCGGCTGCCGATAGTCTGGCCCAAGAGAAGAACTCAGAAGCTTTGGGGAAAGAAACGCCCGCAGACACCGCGCTGCCGCCTGGACTCACGGTCATATCTGTTAGAGATAAACATCATCTTATCGGTGCTCTCCCCTCCGAGAACATGGCGGACGGTCCAAGAATCTAGTCTGGCCTGGAACTCTTTCCCTCGGAACTCAATATTTTGATATTTCCAGACTCAACGTTCCACTTTTTCTCATGCATGGAGCATTTTCACTGGCTTTTTCCTGGTCATAGATCAAAACTGGCCCACTATTCCTCCCTCTTTGAGGCGGAAATGAAGACTTTTGATTGGTCAACTGGAGGACCTATGTGACAGCTCCGCTCTATAGGAAGCTACGATTCGGCGGGTTGCCTGCTAGCGCCTTGAATCGCCGACTTTTCGGCCACACTAAATGTTATTTTACTTCCAGGTCAATTTTTCGAGACCAGTTGCAGTCCAAGATAGAAGGCTGTAGTGGTCACTTTTGGCGAGGACAGTTGGCGAGGACAGTTTCTGAACAGTCTAAGATAATTTCCAAATTTCTAAAACACGGGGCCGGCTTTTGACAAGGTGAAAAACTTGAGTGATCGGGGTCGGAAAAGCAAAAAGTGCCAATTACAACCAGATTGGTCTATGAAACCATTATAACTTACCATTCAAAGAGCGGACCACTCATTCCATTCACAAACCGCTTTCTAGTGGCTTTGAAATAAGGCGTGGCGCCATTCCTTACTTCATTACTCGGGGCGCGTGTGCTTTATTCGCCTTGCTCAGGAGTCAACATGACTGTCAGCCACACCGCCCAATGGGTGATTGTCCCAAACAAGGGCATCGACGCTCTTCAATTCGAAGAGAAAGTCCCACTACCTAGTCTTGAGGAGGGTCAATGTCTGGTTCGCATCGAGGCAGTCTCGCTGAATTACCGCGACATCGCCATGGCTCTGGGTCGATATCCATTACCGTTGACAAAAGGATTTGTGGCCTGTTCCGACGGCGCGGGAGAGGTTATCGGCGTAGGTTCCGGGGTGAGCGAGTTCAAACTGGGAGATAAGGTGTGCATGACATTCATGCAAGACTTCCAAGACGGCATTGTGACACCTAATATCCGCCAGAGCACCTTGGGAAGTCAGCGGGACGGTGTTCTACGACAGCATGGAATATTCGAAGAGGCCGGACTTGTGTTGTTGCCCAAAAGCCTTTCTTACATCGAGGGAGCTACATTGCCCTGCGCTGCTCTGACTGCTTGGAATTGTTTATTCGGTCTCGAATCGAGAGCGCTCCGACCGGGGGAGTTCTTACTGACGCAGGGAACCGGCGGGGTTTCCTTATATGCTATTCAGTTCGCATTGGCCATTGGAGCAAATGTAATCAGCACAACTTCGACGGCCGAGAAGGCAGAGAGGCTCAAGGCACTGGGTGTTCAGCATGTCATCAATTACAGGTCTAATAGTGGATGGGGGGAAATTGCCAAATCGCTGACTCCAGACTGTCTTGGTGTGCACCATATTATCGAGGTTGGTGGCGAAAATACAATATCTCAGAGCTTGAACGCCATCAGACCGGAAGGAGTTGTGTCCATGGTGGGATTTCTCGGTGGAAAAGGAGAAAATGAAGGCATGCCCAGCTTCTCTTTGATCCAGCGGCAACTTTGTATTATCAGAGGGATGAATGTTGGTTCGCGGAGGATGTTCCAACACATGATGGCGTTTCTTGAAGAGCATACCATTAAACCCATTGTCTCGGATCGGATATTCAAGTTTGAAGAGGTTCCAGAAGCCTACAGAGAGATGGAAAAGCAGCAATTCTGGGGCAAGATTGTCATACAGGTACAGCAAACTTGACTAACAGGCCGATCCTGAAACACGACTCAGTTGAATCTCTACCTTAAAATCTTTGATCAGCTATTTACGACGCGAGTGTAAATGGGTTTTCAGGTACTGGATATAATCGCAATGAAGGCCTCAATGTAATGGATGTTCGTTCTGTTGGAGACCTCCTAAATACACAGTCAATCCTTTGAGGCCCCTCAACATGGTCTCCAAGCTCAAGGAGCAGATAGCCACCTGGCTGTAAATCAAAGGGCACGACAGCGTATACCTTAATGTTGCTCTAGTATACGTGTATCGCAGGATGAAGAGGGTAGTAGATAGTCCAATGAATAGAGGAAGAAATAGAAGTATAAAGGATATGATTTTACTCTTTGCGATACCACCGTTGTCCGTCCTTTCAAGCCCCGTTGGCGAAGGATTTACCTCCCGCCGCCGCATCAAACGCGATGCGCTCCTCCAGGCCGAGAATGTTAAACAGATACTTCACACCTGCTTTCCTCCGATTGTCACTCACAATCGGGAGTTGCTTCTTCTTCAGTTCCCTCATCGCATTTCCCACCATTTCCGATACGGGGTCCAACGCTACCGAGGGAAAAATCACGATTCTGAAACCCAGCTTATTTGCTTCTGGCACACTGAGGTCGGGCGTGACACCTCCGGCCACCATGTTCAGAAGGACAGGCGTAGGAGCCAGATCTTTGCAAACACGGCTGCATTGTTCCAAACTCGTCATACCCTCAGGAAAAGCAACATCCGCACCCGCCAAAATAGCATTCCGGAGTCGTGAGACTGCCGCTTCATACCCCAGCGACTGGATAGAGTCGGTGCGTGCGATGAGAACAATGTCTGCTGCGCCTCCAGACACGCTCCGCATCTCTTCTCGAGCCATTACCGCCGCCCGGATGCGAGTCAGGTACGTTTCTTCATCGACTAGTTCCTTGTTTGCCAGATGACCACAGCGCTTGTTCTGGACCTGGTCTTCAAGGTGCATGCCAGCCACGCCGGCAGAGATATAGGCTCGCACCGTCCTGGCAACCATCAGTGGGCCACCGTAACCTGTGTCAGCGTCTGCAATGACAGGGACTGAACGGTCTAGCGAAGAGATCATTCCGGCATTCGCCACCATATCGTTCATTGTAGCGAGGCCAAGATCTGGCTCGCCCAGTCTGGAGGCTGCAGTTCCAGCCCCGGTCATATAGAGACAATCGAACCCCTCTCTCAATGCTAGTCGCGCTGTGATGCCGTCGTAAACTCCTGGACAAAATATTGTCTTGCCCTCCTCCTGAAGGAGCTGTCGTAGCCTAGCAGCTGCCGGCTTTCCTTGAGACTCAGCAGCGGAACCCATTATTGTTGAAAACGTTGCTCGGATTTATGGTATGGGTACAGAGACTCGCGGCCTGGTGTTTCGCCCCGGTGCGTTCAGAGATTTTGATGATGAAAATACAAGCCTCCAACAGATCTGGTCTGGAGAGTTGGTTACATAACTCTTGAGACATCGCACTCACCTCGTTGGTCTTTTAGCTCTTTCTTCTCTCCCCCGACAGTGTGTGGGGGCTTGATGGAGATCGACAATTTGGTCGTTTACGGGGTTAAAGGCCGAGAACTCGGCGCAGCTTGTCTCAGAAAGTTTTCTTTCGTTTGTTGGAGACGTTCAGCAGAACGGGGAGTCATCTTTCAAAAAGTAATATCTTTCATAGCCACGAGCTTGCAGTGTCACAAGCAGACCCAGGATCTGAAGTGGGAAGCTACCAGCGTGCAAAAGGTCTTTGGAAGCTTCGGAGCAATTGAGAAAGTTGATCAATATTTTTGACACAGCTTCCACTACTGTTTTCAAGAGCATAAAGATGGAACAGTTAAGCCATCTTCCTAAAACAAGAAGGCTCGTCACGGGCCATAATCGCGAAGCAAAGGCGATTTTTGAGTTTGATGAGTTACTCACGCCCGTCAATCCAACTCCCAAAGGCAGCAGGCCGGGGACGTCGACAGACAAGCCGGTTGGCGTGACACTGATTCATCGCACTCGAAACTACCCGGTGAAGATACAAGGTGGCAAGGAAGAACTCGCAGTGGAAAACGTACGTCGAGGTCAAGGGGAGAAAGGAATTGTTTGTCAGATCGTGGATATTCCTCCAACCCCAGAAGGCGCAACACCATATTTACACCGTAACGAGAGCCTTGATTACGGTGTGGTGATAAAGGGATCCCTGCAGCTACTCTTGGACGATGGACTTATCGAGACTTTGAGAGAGGGAGACGTGTACATTCAAAAGTGGGTGGCCCTGGCCAATTCTGCTCTTGCTCAGCTGAACGTGGAGCAAGAATTGATGCTAACATTGCTAACATTGCTGTTTTAAAACGTCTCAGGGGAACATATCACGCATGGCTAAATAACTCCACCGAGTACTGTCGCTTTATGACAGTCGTTATTCCATCCGAGAAGGTGAAAGTGGAAGCAACGGGAGGCTTTCTGGAAGGGACCAAGATACCAGGGCTGAGTGACTGATACATGGTACAGAGAGCCTGACGAAACACTGGCACCGTCTGTAGCCATATTTCTCAATGACACTGAATTGTCTCTGCATTGCACGTATCATTGTATGTACCGTGACGCTGTGAGGTGGTGAACAACCAAGGCAAGGCGCCACCCTTTCAGACATACTTCTCACTTCTGGAAATCGGGCTTTACTATGGCCAATGGGTAATCCTACAGTCCACAGGCCATGCAGACTATTTCCCATCTCTTGTTCCATGACTGATCCCATGACTATTGAGGCAAGAATTGGCCGAGTTTTCGGCAAGTGTAAATTGCCAGCCCTCCGGCCAAGAGCCACACCATGGGTTCCCCTTTCCAGACTGAATCTTGACACACCCGACAATGTAACGGGCCTGCGAGTTGTCGGCTATGCAAAACGTCATGGCATGGCGCCTGGAGATGTGCGGGTACGAGATGCCTCTGCCTTCGATGCCACGAAGCTTGACGTGGGAAACCTCTTTTTCCAGAGGATTATAAAGTAGCATCATTTTATTGATACGTTTGCGTCAGGTAATCAAAATTCGAGAAAGCGATTATCAGTTCACGAATAGCATCCAATCAAACCGGCAAAGATGATCTCAAAAACATTGCCAGAAGTGGACCATTTTGTCCCCGTCGAGCCCACGAAAGAGAAGCTCGACTATGCCGACCTGGATATTTTGGATTTTTCTCTTTACAATGACACTTCTGCGGCCAAAAATGCGCTCGCGGAGCAAGTTCACCAGGCTATGACCTCCCACGGTTTCTTCGTGATCATCAACCACGGCATCAGTGAAGAAAATATAGAGCGTATGGTCGATATCGGCCACACGATCTTGTCACGTACACCCCAGGAGGAAAAGGAAAGGCTGAAGGCTGATCTGACGGGGAAAGGGGAATACCCTGGGTTCAAACCTCGTGGAGAGTGGAAGACACTGGGCGGCACTCCAGACCGGATCGAGCAATTCAACGTGGTTAGAGACATGACAACTCACGAGCAACCGAAGGCTTTCGAACCTTATCGTGAAGAGGTACAGGAATTCATCGACACTGTCCACAAAGACATCCTGGGCAAGATCCTGAGACTGTTTGCCATCTCTCTCGAGATCAGAGACGAGGAATTTTTCGTCAAAGCGCATAGCTACGACAAGCACGACGAATCCTGGTTCCGCTGGATGGAGTACTACGACCTTCCCACCCAGGGAGGCGCGGACGGGAAACAGTTGTGGCTGAGCGGCCACCAGGACTTGACTTCCCTCTCGCTACTCTTCAGCCAACCCATGGCAACCCTGCAGGTCCGGGACTACCATGACGAAGCACAGTGGAAGTTCGTTCCTCATATCCCTGGGGCGATCATTGTCAATGCGGGCGAACCGATGATGTGGTGGACGGGCAACTACTACAAAGCCGCGGTTCATCGGGTCGTCGAACCACCAGCCGATCAGAGGGACCATGATCGCAGTAGCGTCTTCTACTTCGTCGTGCCGAATGATGAGGTGGTTATCAACACGCTGCTCGAAGAGAGCCCTCTCTTACGACGCCAGGGAGTGAAGAAGTGGTTTAAAGACACCGATGCCCCGACGAGCAGTGAATGGGTGCATAATCGCATCAAGGCGAATCTGCAAAAACATGTCGCAGCGAATGCTGGCGAAGGGAAAACAAGTGTCCAAAAGATCGGGACGGTCACTACGACATGGTTCAAGTGATCCAAAGGAGAAAATAGTCGGGATGTGAAAGAAACTCTGGTGTACTGATATATTTAAAATTGCTGATACTATTATCTAGTTTGCTCTTAGTTCATTTGCAAAATCATTGCTCCAAAAGATCTATATCTGCTGTTCAATGTTTACTGTCGCTCCTTGTGCTGCCATGTGCAACAGCCAAAAGTTATCATACACAACTGTATATAGTATTAGCAACAAAGGATCTCGAGGTCTGAGTAGTTCATCCATATGTTGTCACCACGTTAGCCTTTATTCCAAGGTCGATGAGAAAGAGGGCATTTTGCTCTGTTATTCAGAATTTCTATCTTCCATCAAGAATATAAAGGGGATGTATTGATGGCAGGTATCAAGTACCTAATTAATCTAAAAGTGAGCACCTTGCTTCTACTAGACGTAAGAGACCGACAATCACGAAGCATCTCTCTGGGAAGCCCCAAAGTTTTCGTTCGACTACCTCTCAAACTATAGGGCCATTCCAAAGGTAAAGCAGTGAGTGTCTCCCTTTTTTTGTTTTCGGGCAAAGACTTTGTTCACGAGACAAGACACCTTAGTTCAAAAACAAAGCAACTCACGTCCAGCGTCAGTGATCGTCTCCAACTGCTGACACCGCTTAACCAATTTCTGCGCCATCTCCGCCGACAACCAACGAGAAATCTCTAGCATAAACCTCTCCGTGACCGCCGGCCCGTCCAGCCAGGGGACATCTGGCACCTCTTCAACGATCGCAGTGCCATCCTTGAAGAAGATCTCGATCTTGGCCGGTTGCAGGCCCTTAGCGTAGCTCTTTTCGAACTCCACGTCTGTGGTCACAGACATCTTGCGCATGAGCCTATTGACTAGTGGGTCGTCGATGCATCTGGACGTGTCGTCGTCAAAGCGGCCGAAGACGAAGGCCGCGCCGATTCCGAATTGAATGCTTAGTTTTCCGCTGGATGCGCTGACCAAGGGGCCGGCGTTGTCGCAGCCCGGGTAGGCGAGCGCGCCTGGGGTTGTGGTGATGTGAATCTTGACAATGTCTTCGACATTAGCGATCTTAGCACGGAAATCTTTGTGCATCTTCAGCGCAATGGCAGTGGATGCCTGCGTGAAGTTGCAGCAGGATGCGGGCTTGAAATGAGTCTCAGTAATCCCTCTACCTGGCGAGGAGGTTTCGATCCAGGCTTTGAAGCGGCCGGGCGCATTTGAGTCGACTCCCAGGGCTTCAAAGTAGCCGTCCTTGCCTTCGAGGACGACATCGCTGACAAAGATCCCAGTGCGACCGAGGTCGTAGCTGGTGATGGCGGCAGCACTGGCCGACCCGTTGTGGATATAAATCTCCCTGCCTCCTGTGTGTGCCCATGCATTGATCCCGCAAACCATGTTAATTGCAAAGCACAAGATTCGCATGACGGTGTCCTCATCTTCAGGGATGTTACCTGCGCAGAGGGCTCCCGCAGCCGCAAACGAGCCGATCAGAGCCGTGCTGCGGAAATGAGTATTGAATTGTCCTCCTCCTCGAATCGAATATCCCAAGACCGCTCCCATCTCGTACCCGCCCACGATAGCCCGGGTGAGTTGTTCGCCGGTCCATCCGTCTCGTTGGGCAATGGCTAAACTGGAAGCAATTACCATGGAGCCCATATGTGCGCATGAATCAAGGTGCATGTCATCGCGAACTGTGCTTTTGTGTCCATGTTCGTCAGTTTCAGATACTCTCAACCCCCCCGCCCGTCGACCCCACATGGGTTCATGGGTGCATGGGGTGAATGTGCTGGCTATAGATAGTAGGAAGGCAATGACTCACTCACCTATTCGAAAGAGCGGCATGTATAAAAGCGGCTGTCTCAGCAGACATTTTCTTGTTGCTCCCGAAGACGAATGCCTCAGGTTTGCCAGTGTGAAGCTCAGAGTACTTGAGCAAAGGCGCGCCAAGCTCACCTCTGAGTCCAACCTGACAAGCTCCGAGGAAATCTAAGATGCATAGAGACACCTTTTCTCTGGCTTCTGCAGACAGCTTTTCCGAGGAGATTTGTTTCAGCCGCTTTGCTGCGAGACGAGTTAAGGCGAGGGAGTTTTCGGGCTGGGAGATCATGCTGGATGGATGACTATGATAGGGGAGCCCGGCCCCTGCTCTGTCTGGATGTTTTGAAGAGATGCCTAGGTTTGTAGGTAATTTACTTGAAACCAGAATAGAGGACGTTGACTTTCTCAAGAAACGATAACGAGGGCTACTACTGTCAAAGACAAGAACAACCTCAGGAGAAATGCAGACATACGACAGCTAGATTTTATGCGTAAGCATGGAGATGGAGGATGGGTAAAGCCTTGTGATGGACGACCGAGGTACATAGAAGGCGGGATAAAGAGGCGATGGGAGGTCAGCACATTTCCCGGACACACGGCTCGCACGTCCTCTGAGAGTTCACTGAATGAGACAGACTATGCACTGTTGTTCTCAGATTACTCTGCTTCCCCGACTTTTCGCAACACGAGTAACGGTAGCAGCAATAGCTACTCCGTACTCCTTCCCCACAGGGCAACTCCGGGGAACGGTGTCTCAAACATTCGATAAGTGGACCTGGATAGAATAATAGTTCTCCAGCCCGACGAGAAGTGGATCCGCTCGCCGAGTTGTCGGCGAAATTGGCCGACAAATCGGACAACAGAAAAGGCCAGACGTTCTTCGTGAACACTACCTTAGGGACTGAACTAAGGAATGATCTCATGCAGTGGGGTTTATCACAGAGAAAAGATCGACTTTTACTTTGTGTGCCAAGGAAAACCCTTTCCCAGGCGTTCTGTACATACAGGAGGCTATTGAAAGATTGAAGGGAGTTATTTTTGAACAGATTTCGGCCTTTCTCAAGACATTGTTCTCCAGCCCCGGTAAATATATGTAAATAGCTCTAGGCGTCCAGTACTCCGTACCTTAGTTACATGCCTATAACCGACTCCCCGAACTCGTGTGATAGATCGCCGGACAAAAATGCATGGGTGGACCAGTTCCATTCCGAAAAAAAGGCATCGTCGTCCACACCTAATTGACCACAGACGCTGGTGTCGAAGTCCGGTAGTTGAGTGGTGCTTGGCTGGTGAGTGGAAGTGACAGCCTGTGGATTAGCGACCGAGAGTCTCTGGCTTTGGGCTTGGGCTTGGGCCTGATTACCATTGCTCTCTTCCGAGTACGGGTTGGATTGTCCTAAGAATTCTTGCCGCCACCACCAGAGACAGTCGTATGCCACTCCCATTGACTGCGATACCATACAGTTAGACCGTCATCACACGTTATAACTGGATAGTTGGAATCGTGGCTTACCCCTCGAGTTTGAATTCGAACATTCAGGCTGTCAATTAATCCATCACGTCGTGCGAAGATGCGCTTACTCCGCCATAGCTGCGACAACGTAGCCGCCATTCGAGCGTTGAGGTCATTATTCTTCAAGGCTCTCTTCTTGAAAATGCGAATTGCCGCGAAGTACGATTGCTCCCCAAGTGGATAGTCGATGGCCGAGTTGAGTTCGGTGCTGCGACATATCCGCAGTATCACCATGGCGGCGAGAGTGAGCGTCCTGTAATATTGCTCAGAAATGTAGAGAGCGTAGTCGTCCTTTTGATCTCGATCCGTGATGTTGTCGATAAAGGCGCAGGCAATGTGGTGGAGCTCAACAAGACGTGAGAGCTTCGAAGGCGAGGGCTTGGAGATAAAGAAATAATACGCTCCAATGTGCAACCTAGCAGAGTTGAAATAGATCCCAGCTGTTGATGATCAGGTTTTCGAAATTAGAGAGAGGCGGGCCAGAGCGAGGAGGAAGTCCCTTACCAAGATACGCTTGAGCTTGTCGCCTGATCCTTAAGATCTCGTCGTCATAGAATTTGACCATAGATAAAAGCTGGTACGGCATCTCAACGTCTTCTTCTCCATATCTGCCTCTCATCAAAGTGTGATGGGCGTTCAAAACAAGGCCGACAAACCGCAGCATCCAAAAGATGGGTTTGCTCAAAGAGTCGAGGACATCATTGCTCTGTAGCTCCAAGTCGAAGGCATCTTGAAAGAGGTGAGGATGTAAGCCGCAGTACACATTAACACTGATAGTAGAAATTAGAAATCAGCTACTTCGGGGTGGGGTTGGAGTTTTACCAGCAGCAGATCAGCTTGCACCAAGCCCACAGAGTAGCAAGAAAGACATCGCTATTGGTATCTCTGATCAAATGGTTCTGTGAGAAATCTTGTCTCCTGCTAAGCATATGCAGACCGTTCTGTTGAGAAAGCTGCATGATGACTCCTGCATAAACAGGCGAGGGGTCATCTGATGCATTTTCCATTGGTAATGGCCAAACACAGAGAAGAAGTAGTGCAGAAATAGTCGGAATGTACTCAGAAGCTCTGATCGTCGCCAGTGCTGCAAGATTGGCGACTTTGGGAGTCAGCATTTCCAACAATGTTGGATCAAAGCTGTATCTTCTTGAGCCTGTCACAATGACTGTCCAGAACAGCAAAGGTGAATGTTGGAAGCAGTCGCGGCAGCTTTGTTGTGGATCCAAAATTGGTATAATTGAATGGTAATGTTTGAAATACCTAACCCAGAGTCAACATCGAACAGAAAAGGGAGTGATTGTCAAAAGGAAGTACTGACAAGGAGTAGCAATCCTCCAGTTTTTGAGGCTCAATTTCGAGGCCATCTAGCGATGGGGAGAAAGGCTTGACGCTGGCTTCAGGTTGCGCCGCCGAAGGAATAGTAGTAATAGATGGAGGATGATAGGGATACTGATAGGGTGATGAGTGTCTGGCCGACGCATGGTGAGAGCTTGTCGGAATACCACTGCGCTGCCCAGGGTGTGGAATTGCTGTAAGTGTAGATGGCATCTCAAGCGATGGATAAAATGAAGTGACTCCAGCGTCAGATTGTGGTACCACTGCAGCGGCCACGGATGAAGGATGATGGAGATGGAGATGTGGATGTGGTGGAGGTGAAGGTGGAACATTTCTGGGTTCCTCTACTTCGTTCACAAGCTGAAGCGCTCTCCGGAGTCCATCTATCTCACGCTGCATCTTTGCCTTCCTATGCAGGAGATAGTCAGCCGAACAATACCTTGTTCAAGAGGCAAGAGGCAAGAGCGACGTACGATTGAGTTTTTCTCCTTGTAAAGTCGGTTATGAAGATGCATTGCACACCCGACTTCCTACACTTGGAACATGGTTTCGAGTAGTCAAGATGCGCATCGCATTTTATCTAGCAGGTGTAAGCTTCAGGATAGCTTGATTCAGGGATAAGAAAAGGAGGTTGATAGGGTAATGAGTTGAGATCGGACTTCGACCTACTTTCTGTTGCCGACACTCTTCACAAGCTCTTGGTCTGTTCGTTAAATTCGACGTCGGCATGAGGTCATGGACTCTCTAGGCTCTCAGACTTAAGAGTCCTAAGTCGGGGTGACGATATAAGCTGCTGGTTTGCCCCCTGAAGTTCAGATGAAGATAATTGTTGTCAATGTGTCAACCTGGATATTATCTGCATCTGGGGTCTATAAATAATAGATTAGTCTTGTGATGCGGGGTTAGTACCTAAGCCTAAGGTAGGTGCCTACATGAGGTAACTCAACCGATACATACAGCTAAAATACATGGAACTATTGAGAGTGATTTATGGCCTAATGTAGCCGGCAAGCCAATTGACAAAATAAGTAGCACACCTTAAGTCGGGCCACTGTGCAATGCACTAACCGAGTAATGCAACAGCCCCGTATTTACGCGTGAGGCACACGTTCTTATAACTATCACTCTTTCATATTATACCAGCATATTATAGCGGAGTAGGTAAGTGCTGTCGGCACCGGCTCAGGACATAGCACCCAACACACAAAACACCTGTGTCGTCGTCTCGGTAGCTTCGTTTCTCATCTCGTCTCACGGCGCGTCAGGCAAGGGATCGATAGTCAACTAAGGAAGGAAACACAATAATGAGGAGGCATCAATCATTGCTCTACTACCGACGGAGTGCTACTTAACTCTCGTCTTTCGTCTCGTCAAGTGCACATACTGACTAACCCCTATGGCATCGAAAAGCATTTTGCTCTTGGAATGTCTCGCTACACCTGCCATCCTTGAAGTGAACTGAAAAAAGGAAAAACTTTTATTCGGCCCGACTCCCACTACAATATCACGTCTGGCCCAATAAAATTGTGCAGCGTCGCCAACTTGGATGTCGAGGCAAAGCCTGCGTTGGTGGCCAAGAGGAGGCAGCTGCAAAAACAGTCTACTTCCAGACGTATTCTCAAAGCAAGATCGGTGTATAAATATGAAGAGAGAGACATCACGTTTCTCATAGAAATAGTTTCGTTGATGTTTTGACATTTGCGTGCTTGGAACCTTCCGGATCCCGCGTGCTGGCGTCGCAGCTTGAACGCATAGACGACCGTAGAAATTATACGGTGGAGCATAGATTCTTCTGTGGTCGGTGTGTGACAGAGTTGGCCTTAGCTCACGTGACGCTTGGAATGACCCTTGGAATGACCGTCAGAACCCGCCTATATATAGTCTGACGGTCATGTTCCTCCACATGAGCCGCAGGTGGTATGAAGAGCAATTATAATAAATCTACTCGACATTTAAATGACGTGGATCTTTTGATCATCCACCCTCTTCCATCTTCCCACCTCAAGATCTCGTGTTTGAGAGAGCCCCAATCGATTCCGGGGACGTTCACCACTGGCGGGATCTGGGGCATCTCGGAATAAACTCTTGTTCCGACCCTGCCAGAGGAACTTCGACAATACATTCTTCCCCCGCATGAGCCCAGAAAAAATAAAGAGAGTGCAGTTCATGTCCTCATCTATGCAGCATGACTCCCCTGCAAGGTCAGTCTCGTATCGAGGGCAAGTTTGGTATGATGCAGCGCCATCCTGGAAGCATTATACAATCTCCTGACGCCTCACAGTGACCGCTGCCGACAGTTAGTAGCTCCCCCTTTCAGCGTGTTCTTATGCTAAGATATACTCAGGAAAAAGATAAAATGCGACGGAGGTGTCCCTAGCGTGAGATTCTTCTATCATGGTCTTCGACGTTTGCTGACTGTCAAAGTGTTCGAATTGCCTCGGCGCGAGAGTATCATGCCTGTGCTCTGCGAAGCTTCAGAGAAGAACAAGAATCCGAGGGCAGTAGATGACTTTGCAGTACCATTTTGATGCTGAATAGTGATACTAATTAGGTTCACGAGCTCTGATGACTCCCATGATCTGGTCGAGAGTCTCCAACGCGAGGTTTCAGAACTTCGTGATCAGGTGCGAGCCTCATCCAGAATCACGCGAACACTAAGCGATGTGGGAGAAGCGGTAATCGAGCCATCTGTCACCTCAGCGCGGCCGAGAAAAGCTCCCAGAACATTGGATCAGCCCATCCCACATTCCGGCCTTTCACCGGCTGTGTCTCTTTCAGTCGAGTCGGAGAAGTTGGACCCACAACGCTCCACCTATATAATCCACCACATGGGAAGGCTTGTGACTGATGGTTCGGACATTCAGAACCCGGAAATGAAAACGTTGTTCCCCCAGCCGAGGGTGTATGGTCGCAAAGCTGAAGACCTGGAAGAGTAACATAGCATCATTCTGGGGATGCCTTCGTTGGCGTCCATGGGCAAACTGGTTCGAAATTCCTAACATCGCTTTAGGAGGGAGAACGCACGGAAACAGAAGTCGGAACAGGGCACCTAAGCTCTCTGAGCAGTGCATATGCACAAAGCCCAGGAGGCCCGCAGTGATAACATCTGCGACAAAGACTCTTGAGCTCAGTCGAGTGACGTTTCATCGCGTGAGACTTGTGGTAGCTGCACTCGTTGATCGGGATGCGATTCCATTGCCCGCCTCTCTGCACGACCTCCAGCAGCAGCGTTGGGTGATCTGGTAGAGACATTTTTCAACATTCCATGAGATCACCGCTCCGCAAGCGCTCGTTGCGAGCCAGCAGGCTAAGGTCTTTGATCATGAATCTCTCAAGTCTTCGGGGTTGTCGCCAATTCGGAGGATTTCAATCTTGGTTTTTTCGCTGAATGGTTGAAAACCCGATGTGCGGCGATGAGGACATGGTCGCCGTGGGCTTCCCAAAACGTATGGAGCCAATACGGCTGGATCGTTTGATATCGATATTGATGTGACCATTTTCTATGTCACGAGTGGATAGTCGAGTGAAGATAGCATATTGTATTGTATTGTAGCATCATGAATAGGGGATTGACGCTCCTAGAGTGCTTCTGCACTTGTAGGCTTGTAGACATGTCGAGAATTTCGCTCACCTCTTCTCTTGATTCTCTTCTTGTGGTCATGCCGCTATGAGAGACTGAAAGCGTTCAACAGACCCTGAGTGCCTCCACACGTCATCAGACCTCCCCTACTCCGTCGGCCTCGGGGAAGTATAGTCCATCGAAACCTTTGCCGAAGGCGGCTGGAACGGGCTCTCAAGATCGTCGCCTAAGGTCGCTTCCAAAGGTCCCAAAAATGCTTCTGGAGATTTGGCGAGATAGTTGAAAGACATAACTTCACTGGCATCTTCGCACCTTCAAAAGCACTTGCTCAGAGTGCACTCGAAGCAGTCTCTTCTGCAGCTGCTCGTACAAAGATCTGTAGCGTAGGCGTGTGAGATAACGTACCCCTATCCGCCAAGAGACGTTCGATTTCGAGGATAGTGCCAGGATTGGCTCCTCCGCCTCTTTTCATGCCACGAAGATTCCCGAATTCCGCCTCCTTGTCCCTTGCTTTACTCCTCAGCTCCAACTTCGGGGTTTAAAGCCAAACTCCCAAGCCTTGGTTCCATAATGACCAGGAACCACTGTGCTTGTGTGTCCGGAGAGTGCCCGGGTGGATGCAACAAATCTCCCTTTTCAGGCTCCAACAATCCGGAGGGATAGTTCTGCAAACCCGACGATAGTGTTGTCAACAAGGCTACGCAAACCCTGGTGCAATCAAAATTCGTTGTAGGCGAGCGTAGTCCCTGTCCTAGCACTTACACTGGTACTGATGAACGGCCATTAGCCGTCCAGCCATCAGTGCCCTCAAAAGCCTAGCTTTGAACTGGTGGGATAGTGCAAGGTACGTTTATTTTTGTTCCGACCTCGCCGAGTAACAGCTTGATGACTACCTTCCAGCAATGTGCCTTCTCATATCTTGGACCTGGCTCGATCGCAAACTACGATCTATTGCGACTATTCAAATGCGTGGTAGACGCGCCAGACCCACGTGGAAATTTCCATCTCCTCCCTTCATAAAAAGGTCTGCCAAAACCGTTTCCGTCATCCTTTTCACTCTTCCACTCTTTATTCTGTGTTGCCCCATCTCATCATGTCTATTCTGTGCATTCTCAGTCTGGTCGTTGCCGCTTACGCCCAGCTGCAGAATGCGAGCACTGCTGATGTGACGACGGACTCGCTGTCGAAAAAGCTTCAACACATCAACTATGGAGCGTTCACACAAACCGCTACATACTCCGTGGCCAATCAACTCGGATTCTTCCAAGCCTATGGTCTCAATGTCACCTATTTGCAAGTCCCGAATTCGACATATGGGTACAACCAATTGCTCACGGGTGGTTACGATATCATGACAGGGACTGTCGACAATGCAGTCAACCTACGCTTTAATCAGCAGCTGCCACTTACAGTCACGGGTCAGCTCGACGGCGGACCGGAGTTGACTATTGCATCCATCCCTTCCATCACTTCTATCAGTCAACTCAAAGGCAAAGCTTTGATGGTGGATTCTCCCGTGAGCGGATACGCGTACATACTTCAAAAAGTCCTTGCATTGTACGGGCTTTATCTTGCCAACGGCGACTATACCTTTCAGGTATGTCCTGCCCAGCAAGCACTTCCTGCTCGATGCTGACCTATGACTCAGGTTGTTGGATCAACCGTGATCCGCTATGCTGATCTTGTCAATGGAACTCTCCCCGACGGCACTCCTGTCTATGCTACAATCCTCACGTACCCCTTCACTAGCGAAGGAAGTGTCCTTCCTACCACACAGCGGCCCAATATTCTCGCTTCAGTCGTCGATTTCATTCAACCATTCACTTCTTCCGCCTTTACCATCCGGGAGGATGCTCTCAACAACTCCACGCAGCGTGCTCTTGCAAGGAAGTTTACGTCGGCGATGTATGCAGCAAACAAGTACCTGGCAAATCCTTCACACAAAACATGCTCAGTCAACTCGATCGCGAAGCAGCTCAATGTCTCGACAGCGGCAGCCACTTCGGCGTACAAATCTGCGACTGACACATTGACGGGTGAGACATCGTCTCCAGGAGGAAACTTCACCGTAAACCGTCAAGGGATACTAAATGTGATTGACGTCCGGAGTCAGTTTGGTGGATTCTCGACCGTGCCCGCCGGCTTCAGCTATGCAGACGCAATAATTCCAGGGACGGGCCAGCTTATCGACTACTCTCTTCTGGATGAGGCGCTGAGCTCCCTGGTTTCCTACACGCCCCCCAGTAGATGCTGAAGTAATTAGGATGGTTCAATTCTCTGTGGCAGATGCTATGAGCTCATAGACATAGATTACTATTGTGGCCCATGCTTCTTTTGTAGTTGATACATATAATGTATAATGTCAATTGTCACTGGGGGCGGACTTCAGAAAATCACTCTATGCCTGGACCAAAAGAACCTTCACACTGAACAGTTTAGGGTGAGCTGCGATATCGGAAATTAAACAAGCTGAGGTGTGCATTGGCCAGCCCTCAGGTCCCTGGTCTTGTCCCTACCTTTTCGCCTGGGGAAGAATGAGGTGACTGGGTGACTGGGGACTGAGTCGGAACAGGACCAAGAAAGCACCTCATTTGGAAAGGGGCTTGAGTCCTTGTTGTGTGGAGCCAGAGGACAAGGATCAAGCGGGTTATACGCCCTAACTAGACAAGTCCCGGGCGGATGCCTTTCCGGCCGCTAAGTTCTGCGGTTAAGTGTAATCTCCCCCTTGATATTATGCCCCGGCGAGTCTACAAGGATATTGGGAAATGTGTGTAGCCCAGTATAGCACTAACAGCTTCCTCAGACAGCCTGGGGAAGAGTCTCATGGCTTAGGCTCACTGCAAACCCCCATCTGGCTTGGCTCGACTCGACAGCAGCTCTGGCCAGGAGGCGCGCACAGCAGCCTTGGAATAAATCACGGCCAAACGCCGGAGACAACCTGGTAACCATGAGACCAAACTTTCCCTTCATTGTCGACATGCTTGCATTACGGCCCCAACTGATCTCGCAAGCACATGAATCCGACAAAGCTTAGGCTGGGTAGAGCAGATGCCATGGCGCCACACTTCACCGGCGGTGGATGATCCTCCCGGATTCCTTTCCTGCCAAAGGCGCCCAGTGTCCCCTTCAAGGTCCACTTTGGAGTCTTGACACCTCAGACGCCCTGGCTGAAGATGATATGGGCTTAGGGGGATTGCTGTCCTTTACCGCGCGGAGGTTGACGCATGCAGACCTTCCTTGCGGTTTAGTAGTTCAAGCCGTGACCCGCTTCTCGCTCGGTTCCACGCTGCTTGCTGCATCATGGATTCCTAGGTGAAGTTGATATGCTATAAGCTTTCTTCATGAGCATTATCTGGGGCGCTGACAGTCGTTATTACAAAAGGACATGTAACTGCACGATCTCATGGGTTATCGCCTTGAGAGCTGCTGCTCTGAGTGACATTAACTGCGCGAAGGGAAAATGTTTTCAGAGCGTGGACTTTCGATTCCCTGATAGCCCCTGCAGCCATTTGAAAAGGACCAGGCAAGGTGTGCCACTAGTCCTGAGGTTGAGGCCGGGTCTGGACCAAAAATCCCTGCGACACCAGACCAATTTGTCCTTTAGCGCAAACAGTGCTTCTCCAGGAAAGATCGTCCCTTCAGAGCCTGCATTACCTAGTTTATGCCTACAGGCTCTAGGTACCCATTTCAAGCTAATCCCTACCACCGACAGGTGCGCAGCATAGAGGCAAACCTTATGAGCCCTCGGCTCGAACTCGAGGAAGCGATGGCAGCAGACCGTTCAGGTACAGGAGTAGCGATGCTTCTTGCTTCATATGCGAGTTGGGATCCTTCTAACACTTCGATGTCTTTCACGATTTCATTTATCGACGCTCCTCACATGCTGTGATCATAAAAAGATCGAGATGAAGACGGCAGCCGGGCTGCCACCCAATCCCCATGGGGAGCAACTGGCACGCATTAGCATCATCATGTGCACCATAGCCGGCGTTCTCGCCATTTGTCGACTGCTTGTGCGCTTTCTGATCCATCGACGAACTGGCTGGGATGACTATACTCTGATTATATCCCTGGTATTGATTGTCGTCAGTCGTCGCTTCAGGACCATGCTGAGAATACTAGGCGCTGGCGATCGGGATGACGATTTGTTTCAATATGGGTATGCAAGTCTTTTTGGAAGCTCGTGACAGGCTGACATTTTGTGGCAGAGGTATATTATGGGATGGGATTGCACACGAAACAGGTCCATGGACACAACAAAGTCTTAGCTTTTGAGGTATGGACTTACATTCCACCACATGATCTCGTTGGCGCACTCTTCGTGCTGACCTCCGTCCTCCAGTGGCTTTGGATTGCCCAGCTTCTATACAAATTTGCAAACGGAATGACAAAGATCAGCATCGTGCTTTTATACTTGAGAATCTTTCCTACGAGAAAGTTCCAGATCCTGGCTTGGGCAGTCATTGCGTACGTGGTGGCGTACTGTACGGCGGCGGTGTGCACAAGTATCTGGCAGTGCAAGTGAGTGACTATTTTCACAGGAAAACATGGCATGCTCACATGGTTTTTAGCCCGATTGCAAAGGCCTGGAAGAAAACCCTGCCAGGCCACTGCATCGATATCGGAAAGCTATGGTATGCAAATTCGGTGCTGACCATTGTCGCCGACCTGGTTCTTATCGCGATGCCAGTCAATCAAATCGTCAGACTCAAACTCCCGTTGTCGCAGAAACTGGGTTTGATCTTTGTGTTTAGTCTGGGCGTATTGTAGGTTTTGATTCCTCGATAATGCGGCAGGTCTGGGCTTCTTTACTGATGTGTTTTGCCCCCAGTGTCATGGCATGTACCATCATCCGATGTGTTATGCTTGGTCCGACTACCTCACAGAAAGACTCGGTTTGTAAGTGAAAATCGCCCGTTCACCCCACAGCCATCATACAATGACACCCGACTGATGACATCTCGCTTCTAGACTATCAAGCAGAATCCAACAGCTGGACATTCCTCGAGGTAGATGTGTCGATCATTTGCGTCTCCCTGCCTCTCCTGAAGACTCCGCTGCAGCGACTCCTCCCTCAGATATTCGGAATGAGGTCGTCCTCTGCCAAATCCGACGGTTACTACCACGGGAATGCCCACAAGTCCAGTGCGAGGGGATCTGCTATTCCCATGAACAACCGCTCCGGACGTCCGAAAGGCCCCTACAGCGATGCGGCGAGCGACGAGGAACAGATACTAGAATCACGTGGGGGAATTGTGAAGACAACAAAGGTCACAATGGAATATGAAGAGGAGGAAGTAACCAAACACCTGGCTAGCAAGAGAGGAAACTTGAGGACATTCGACTTCGGGCTGCAGGGCTAGATGAAGATCGAAATACTTGGTGCTTTCATGTGAAAGCATTATAGAAGAATGCAAATCAGGAGACTGTCCGATAAGACTGTCTTCGTGGGCCCGGACCTCGCTCCTGAATGTCGATAACGGAGCTGTACTCGGGTTCCCTTCCCTAATGTCGTGTTCGCGGCGGCGAAGACGATTTCATACAGGAGGGTCCTATATAAACGGACGATCTCAATTCTACCTTTGACAAAATCCATCCGCCTATATTCTTTTCATCGAACACACCTTGAATACAGCCGGCTGCATCAGAACGTACTCACAATTGTATGAAACGGCGAATCCTCACAACAATCAAATGTGCCGCTGATCGCTCCAGATAGACGACTTATCTTTTTCGGTCACACAAGCCACCAAATGTGGACTCTCGAGTATTTAGCAGGAAGGTAGCAGTAATACTGAGCGTACTGTAGAGGTGACGCAGTGGAGCTCACGGAACTGCGCTAGGCCATAAGTGGTTAATGTACCATAGGGCATTCCCAAAGTGGTTGTCTAGACAGGTAAGAGCCAAAATTGATATCAGGGCAATCGCTATTGATTACTTCTTTACCAGCGCGCTGAAAGCTTCAGGGCCTGCCGTAGACTTTCAGGATTGCAATTGGTGCTGGCCAAGACCAGTGGAAAGCCGACTGATTCGGTCTAACCCCAGACTAACAATATGCCTCGCAAGGGGTGCTGGACGATTTCAGCAGCCGCAACTTCACGCTTCACACCCGGCAAAGACGATGCGGAGCACGTCGATCATCCACAGAATCACCTTGAGCCTCTGTTCTCCTTCATCAGATTGCCTCGGGGCCAAAAACTTATATTTTTGGAGGGGTAAACAGCTTCTAGTTCACATCGATTGCCGAGGTTATTAACTTCCAATTTCGGACACTATTCTTCCATAAATGTCAGTCGGAGCTATAGTACGTCGCCGTTCTCGATGGCGATCAACGCCGTCTTCTTAGTCCCCATCCATACTGAACGGTAACAATGAGCTCTCTGGAAGGATACAATATAGCCATCACCGGCGGTGGATCTGGAATCGGCCTAGCCACCACAGTCGAGCTCTGCAGTCGAGGGGCGACGGTTTGGATCGCCGAGTTAACCAAGGACGTTCCAGCGAAGCTCGAATCTCTGGTTCAATCAGGAAAAGTACTGTTTTACGGAGGCATCGACGTGGGCAACCGGGAAGCCTGTGTCAAGTTCTTGGACGAGGTGTTGCAGAAAGCAGGACGTCTTGACAGCTTGGTAAACAATGCCGGAATTGGACCCGCCGAAGGGCCTATTGCAAGCGACGAGACTTTCGACAAGATCGTGGATGTGAATCTGCGTGGCACGTGGAATTACGGTACGCAGGCGCTGCGAGTCATGGAGAAACAGGAACCGAAGGGCGAATGGGGAACCCGGGGGACCATCGTCAATGTCGCCAGCATGTCTGGACTTCTTGGCTGGAACAACCTGGCTGTGTACACGGCAACAAAGCATGCTTCTGTCGGCCTGGTCAAAGCATGGAGCAAAGATTTTGGCCCTCTGGGCATAAGGATCAATGCCGTGGCACCTTGTAAGAGAACTTGATTCATTTGGCAGAACACAAGAACTAACTTGTCAACAGCGGTGACCGAGACAGAAGGCGTCAAAATATGGGTTGCTCAAAGGAAAAAGGACTTCAACGAAGACGTGAAACCTCCTCCAGTCGGTCGATTCGCACAGCCTTCAGAAATCGCCAAGGTGATTGCGTTCCTCCTCGGCGAGGACTCTAGTTACGTAAATGGACAGACAATTCCGATCAACGGAGGCTCTATATGATGACGGAAAAGGGAATTCATAGCCTTCTGAGAGGAATTAGACCTGGTCGTTTCAAACAAACAGAGACCACATGTCAGCGAGCCGAAGGGTTAATGCATTGGTTCACGACAGCCGCATTGCAAGCAGCCAGTGGCAAGCAGAAGACCATAATATCTTTACAGCCTTGCCATACGTTTACCCGGAACAGGTTGACCGGAACTATCGTTGTGCTAGTAGCTCCATTGTTTGCAAGGGCTGGTTTATCTGGATGTATTCTGTTTTGAACGAAAATTTCTCGTCATATCTACCTCCCCCGGGGCTCATTGTATGTATGTATACACTACTGCGACCCCCTCTCATGGGCACACAGTTGCCTTGTCTTGCAGAAGCACATTAAATTGATCCACAATACCCTTTCGTCTGAACACAGGCGCCTTCGGGTACATTACTGCGTAGTGGGTGGGCGCATCTCTAATGAACGCCCGAGGTCTACCCTGCCGGGGCTAAGAATACTTCGCATTTTAATATAGTAGAACACGCCGTCAATGACCTTCAGCTTTTGGTGTGGTCTTTTGCTCACAATGACCTTGCTCATACCCGAGGATATGATCTTCCTACCCTGTAAACTTGCCAACTGGCGTGTAATGTTAAATGGTTGGTAACTTCGCAGCCTCTGCATACGCGAAACGTCTGTAAGTAAACGCTCAGCCTCGGCTTTCTGATCGAACCGAAGATGTTGCATTGAGGCCTTAAGCATTCATTGTGTGATGCAAGCAAAGGCTGAACCGCTATCTATACATGTAAGTGATCCGAGGGACTCGAACCATGACTGTCCATTTTAGGCAACCGAGGAAATACCATTCCGATGCCATCCATGTAACCAGTGACCGAGTGCTATGTACAGATAAAGTCCATGGTCTTGAGCTGTACAACCGCAATAACTAGAGTGATCATATTTCCAGATAACTGCAAGATACTACCGCTATGGCCGTCGCCGTCCAACAATCCGTCGAACCACAAAGCGCGGCCATCCTCGAGCATCGCAGCTTGACAGAGCCCGAGAAGGTGGGACTAGATTTCGATACGCTCAAAAGGAAATATCAAGAAGAACGCGACAAAAGACTCAAAAATGGCGGTATCAACCAGTACACCATTATACAGCCCTCCAGCAAGGCGGCAGAAAAGTTCCTAGACGATCCCTACGTTAAGCCAGGTTTCACACGCAACCCGCTCCAGCTTGACACCGATGTGATTATTATTGGCGGAGGCTTTGGCGGACTCCTGTGTGCTGTGCGGCTATTAGAGCAGGGCATCACAAACTTTCGGATTATTGAGAAAGGTGGTGATTTTGGGGGCACCTGGTATGGGTTCTTCAACTAGCCGTCCGTCAACATACAGATGCTAACCATTTTCAGGTACTGGAATCGATATCCCGGAGCACAGTGTGATATCGAGGCCTACGTGTATATGCCACTACTTGAGGAGACCAACTACGTGCCTTCTGAAAAATACACCCATGCATCTGAACTACTCGAGCACGCACATCGGATCGGAACTCACTACGGGTTATACGAGAAAACCCTGTTTCAAACCGAGACTCTGAAGTTGCAGTGGAACGAAGGCACAGCTCGGTGGGACGTCGAAACAAACCGAGCAGACACTATCTCTACCCGCTTCATTATCCCAGCTGCGGGTCCGCTTCATCGACCAAAGCTCCCAGGTGTCCCTGGCATAGACTCGTTCAAGGGTCACGTTTTCCACTCCTCGCGCTGGGACTATGACTACACCGGAGGTCACAACCGCGGAGGTCTAACGAAATTGGCCGACAAACGGGTTGGGATCATCGGAACTGGCGCGACAGCCGTACAGATTGTACCCCATGTCGGCGCTACGGCTAAGCAGCTTTACGTCTTTCAGCGCACTCCATCGAGTATTGACGTCCGAAACAATCGACCGACGGACCCCCTGTGGGCGAAGTCCCTCCCAAAGGGATGGCACCAAGCGCGCATGGACAACTTCGACACCGTCATTGCCGGTGGGTATGTCGAGGAAGACTTGGTGGCCGACGGCTGGACGGATATCCTGAGAAACCTGTGGCCACGCAATACCGGAAAGGATGTCGCCACCATGGATCCGGCACAGATTGCGGCGAAGATCCAACTCGCAGACTATCAAAAGATGGAGTCTGTACGTGCACGCGTCGACAGCATCGTGAAGGACAAGCAGACCGCGGACTCACTGAAGCCGTGGTATAATCAGATGTGCAAGCGGCCGTGCTTCCACGACCAGTACCTTCAGACCTTCAACAGGCCCAATGTGACGCTAGTTGACACGAAGGGAAAAGGAATCGACAAAATCACGCCCGAAGGCGTAATGGCGAACGGAGTAGTCTACGAACTCGACTGTCTGATCTACGCCACCGGCTTTGAATTAGCCACCGACTGGGCTCAACGGACGGGAATGGAAATCTACGGGCGCGACGGCATCACGACGACGGAGAAATGGAAGAATGGATTCCAGACATTCCACGGCTGGACCAGTCGCGGATTTCCCAACTGCTTCTTTGTCAACAGCGTCCAGGCCGCCGTATCACCGAACTTCCTCCACGCGACCGCTGAGCAAGCGAAGCATTTTGCCTACGTGGTCCGGCGTGCCTGTGACAAGAAGGTCCGCACACTGGAGCCCACCGCCGAGGCGGAGAACGCCTGGGTGCAGCTCTGCGTCGATTTGGCGGAGCCGCGCCGGAAGTTCCTCGAGGACTGCACCCCCGGCTACTACAACAACGAAGGCGAGTTCGACGACTTGAAGTCGCAGAGGAACGTCATCTACGGGGGAGGCTCACCGGCGTTCTTCGAGCTGACCAGGAAGTGGAGGGCGGACGATCGCTTCGAGGGGTTGGACGTGCGCTATCTAGAAGACTAGACAGAAATAACGCATGTACAGAAAGGAAGTGTAGGACAATCGCAATTCTCTCCTGCTGCAGCACTCAAGTGATCTGGTCATGTCGAATAACGGCAACTTTAGACGGGCCCCTAGAGTATACAGCTCCGTTTAGGCCTAGCGTCTCTTCCCATTCTCATACCCTGATTGGCCAGAAGCAGACATCCACTGCTCCTCTTCCGAAAGTCAAATCAATCAAACCTTCAGCTCGTGCAATTGTCAAACTTCAGCTTGAGGAATCGATTATCACTTGGGAATTGCTTTGAGATAGCCGCTCGCCTCCCGCTTCGTACAGGCCATTACCGAGGTATTCATCGCGAGGCCTTATTCTACAAGACTTCGGCAATCTGATCGAACAAGATATACCAACAATACCGAGGGATCATGGCTCCCCATTGGGACCCGGGCAGCCTCGTCTGTCGGGCCATGATACTGTCTCGCCCGGCTACTCTTACCTTCACTCCCCCGCTCGGGATGCAGCTTCCCCGGCTTTCCCGCTTTTTCTGGAGAGGGTCCGGGGCACTGTAGAAGGAGGCTGTTAACTGCTTGCGGCATTGTGGCCCGAAACAGAAGAAAGCTCATAAAGCCCATGGTTCGTTCCTCCAACTTGAAACAGCCAACAAGATTCTCTGTCTTTTGGCCCTACCTACAGGAATTGTTGCTTGATCATTGAACTACCTGCAGATCTGGGTCAGCAGCCATGAACAACTATGGCCTTGTGTGTATCATCTACCTCACCTTCGGGGCCTTCTTCTACGGCTATGACTCTGGGCTGACCACCTCCGTCATTGGCTACCCTCGAGTGCGTTATCCTGTTCTGTGATTAACGGTCAACCTCAGCTGATACACACGGGGCTTTAGTTCATCGAGTACTTTGGATTTGATGCCACGCTCATCGGCGTGCTCGGGTCGATCTACTACTCGGGCCTCTTCCTCGGCGGCCTGGCCATGCTCTACGTCCCCAACAAGATCGGAAGGCTTCGGACAATCATCCTCGCCAGCGTTATTGCTCTGGCCGGCAACGCCATGCAGGCCGGCGCCCAAAGCCTCGCCGTCTTGCTGGTAGGACGTGGCGTCGGTGGATTTGCGGGTGGCTTGGTCTATGCTGTCTGTCCCACCTATGCCGCTGAGATCGCTCCGCCGAATGTCCGAGGACGGATAGGTGGCTTATATGCGTGCGTCTGGTGACGTCTCAAAGAAACGAGGAGAATGGAATACTGACGAACATAGCATCAATATCTCCTTGGCGTATGCCATTACAGAATGGATGGTAACCAGCGTTCCTTCCCATATCATTCTAGGCGGAGCAAGTTCTGACCTTTTTCCCAGGGCCTTGGGTTCTCCTATATCGAAAGCGATGCGGCCTGGCGTGTGTTCTTCGGGCTCCAGGTCCTCCCGCCCATCATCATGCTTCTCGGAGCAATCTGGATGCCTGAGAGTCCGCGCTGGCTGATCATGAAGGGTCGACACGAAGAAGCTCTGGTGATCCTGCGCCGCATGCACCAGACCTCGGACGACGACACATTCTTCATGGGCGAATTCAACCAGATCCGTGCGCAGCTCGAGCTCGAGGCGGACCAGAAGGTCAATCTTCTGACGATCCTCAAGCGTCCCTCCTACCGCAAACGCCTCTATATCGCCTTCATCCTGGTGACCGGGCAGCAGCTGACCGGCGTCATCCCGCTGCAGAACTACCAGGTCATCGTCTACGGCAGCCTGGGCGTCGCGGGCAAGCTGCCCCTCGTCCTCGTCGGCATCTGGGGCACGGTGGGAGTGTGCTGCAACATCCCGGGCGCGTGGTACTTCGACCGCTGGGGCCGGCGGAGAGTGATGTTGATCTCGCTGGGCATCATCATCCCGGCGTCCGTGCTTCTGTGCGCCTTCTGGGCCACCTTCCAGAACACGAACAACACGAACAAGACGTACGGCATCTTGGCCGTCGTGGCCATGTTCCTCTTCCTCGTCGGATACGCCGTTATCTTCAATTCTTTTGTGTTTACGTACATTCCGGAAATCCTGCCGACGCCGGTGCGAGCCGCCCTGGGAGGCACCATCACCGCCTGGGGCAGTGCGTTCGTCATCCTCCTCGTCCAGGTCACGCCGATCGCGATTGAGCACATCAGCTGGAAGTACTTCATGATCTTTGTGATTTGCACGGCCGTGTACGCGGTAGTCTTTTACTTCTAGTAAGTTTTCCTGCACTCACTATTGGGGCTTCGATGATGCTAATGGAGGTATAGCTTCCCCGAGACAGCCAACAAGACACTCGAAGAGGTCGGGGAGCTTTTCGGAGATCCTGTGGCGCTTCACATCGAAGACGCCGCACGACAGGCGGAGCTGGATCCGGTCTCTTACTTGAAACAGCACGAGAAGGATAGTGCAATCGAGCAGATTGAAGGCGTCTCTTGAGCTCTTTGGAACTCCCAGAGGATCCAAGATATGAGATCTGCCAGATATATCTTGTCAGGGGAAGGGGAGATCAGGGGATGTGCCTTTAACGTTACCAGGACAGAGTAGTTGACATCGGGCAAGAAGAATTAGATCTATGTGAGTATAACTCACGCATTGAGCGGGAATTGGACGTTGTCACAGTGGGTGATTCAGAAATTCCTTTTCGAATCATGATCAGCCAGAGCGAAAGAGGCATCATGCCCATCAATACCTCTCGGCCTCTTCCTTGCCACGAAATAGAAGGCAATCGCGTCTTTTAGCCCGAGGTCAAAGTCACCGAGCCAGCTGCCAGAGGTGATATATACTGGATGTTTTTCTGAAGTATTGAGCAGATGAATTGCTTGTCTACATAATACACCAATACAGAGATGACTTGAATGCCCCCTTGTTCTGATATTCAACAGACACTCACGTAATGGCCGAAGGAGATTCTGCCTAATGTGCGAGCACGGATCGATGGGGCTTTGTAGAGGCTGTTTCGGCTCAGCCTTCACTACAGATCCAGCTCCACAGCGAAAAGAATCTGTCAATACCTTATAAGAATGAATGTGGTATATTTTCTCACTCCGTGCCTGAATTCTTACCGGCAACGCAGTCAAGCCGTGATAGTGATGCCCTTCAAATCACCGTCAGCACGCCACCGCTGGAGCACGTCTTCGTAGCTGCGAATCCCCTCGCCCCACGGTGCTGCGCGGGCCTTCTTGACCTGCTCACGCACATCAATGTCGGCCTTGACCGAGGCCGCGCCCTCTGCATTCAGCCAGCTGGGCGTGCAGCCGACCATGACCGCAAACCAAGCGGCTCGCTTGACGACCTCGTTGGCCCACTCCTCTTCCGCCTCCTCGGTGACTTCGACGACGACGCCGTCGGCATCATCGTGCCGTCGCTTCGCCTCTGTCAGGATGTACGCCACGTGCTGCGCCTGCACGTCCGTCATGAAGACGAGGTTGAAGGCCGAAGCGGCCTGTGAGGCGCCGAAGAAGAACAGGTTCGGGAACCCGTGCGAGCTGATCCCGTGCAGCGTCGACACGCCGCGAGCGAGGTACTTCTCCTCGATGGACCGGCCGTCCCGCCCGATGATGGTCGTTTTTGCGGCTGCGGCAGGGCTGCCGTTATGTGCTCCCGGAGAGCGATATCCCGTGCTAAGAAGTAGCAGGTCAACGTCGTACTGCTTGCCGCCGGCCGCAACAAGACCGCTACGGTTGATTCGCTCGATACCCCTGCCGTCGGTGTCGACGAGGTGGACATTCGGCCGGTTGAATGTCGCGAGGTACTCGTCATGGAATCCTGGCCTCTTACACCAGGCCGGATACCACGGCTTCAGCTTCTCTGCGGTGTGGGGGTCCTGGACGATCGACGCCACGCGCGCCCGAACCTTTTCCGTCCTTTCATGATCCGCGGCAAGGACCTCCGCGACGTGTTCTTGTACCTTGTCTGGTGGGATGATGCCTTTCAGCGGACTACCCAGGCTGGAGGCCGCCGTAGGTGTCGCACACCACCCGTCAGCGACGAGGTCCTCCCCAACCAAGACCCGTGCAAGTGCGGCATTGAAGTTTCGGCGTCGTTCGAGCTGCCACCCGACCTTGGCAGCGATCTTGCTGGTCCACAATGCCTGATCTGTCGCGACTTGGCCACGGACGTCTACTCTAGCCGGCGTCCTCTGGAAGATGTAGAGCTCTTTTGCCCACTTGGCAATGTGCGGGACCGCTTGAATCGCGGTTGCTCCAGTGCCAATGATTCCCACCCTCTTGTCTTTCAAGCCGGTCAATGCCGGGTCAGTGGGGGAGCCGCCGGTGTAGCTGTAATCCCAGCGCGCCGTGTGGAACGTATGTCCCTGGAAGTCATCAAGGCCTGGAATCTTGGGAACTTTGGGATGGTTCAAGATGCCCGGAGCGGTGATCACAAACTGCGCCTGGATTGTCAGCTTCACAGGCTCTTGACCTGGCCCGCGATCCTGAGTCATTTTGACGAGCCACCGTTTCTGCACAGCATCCCATCTCATAGCATGAACAGTGGTTCGGAAGAGCGCTTTGTCCGTGAGGTTGTACTGTGCAGCGACCCGTTCGGCGTGCTCAAGCAGTTCCGGACCATAGGAATACTTGTGCTTGGGCATGTAGCCCGTCTCCTCCAGGAGAGGCAAGTATATGTAGCTTTCAATGTCACACATCAGTCCGGGATATCGATTCCAGTACCAGGTACCCCCGAAACCGCCGGCACGGTCCGCCAGTCGAATATCCTCCGCGGCGAAGCCTGCTTCGATAAGTCGGGCGGCGTAGACTAGCCCACTGTAACCGGCCCCGAGAATAAAGACCTTGCATGAAGATCCATCCCTCATCGCGGGCTCCTGGGCATTGAGGGCCGCATGATCCACCCAGGGATCCTGCTCGAGGTGCTTGAAGCGATCCGATTCAATGAGGTTCAGATACTGCGCGTTTCCGTCGCTGCGGAGTCGCTTGTCCCGTTCCGCTGCATATTTGTGCTCCAGGAATTCCGGTAACGGCAGGGTTTCCACTGTGATAGACCCCATCTTGTTAGAATGCTGATAGGCATTAACTTTCCATTCTTCTGGCTGTCTCTTTCAATGCAATATACTGTGCATCAAAGCCCATTTGCCAAACCTTGGACATCGACCCCGCGGCATCCATCAATATCTCGAGCCTCGGTTGCCTGTGTACAGTAAAGGATACTTTACCTGCCGCGTCCGAATGTCTGTCTGCATTAACATTTCGGCTCAGTGCTTACCTCGGTTTCGTCATAGACCAAGCGTTTGTGACAACCCCGATGCGCTCTTGCTGCTGTCTCCAGAATAAACCTGTTGGCTTGAGATGGGGATGTTATCAGAAGGGGCTCGAGGACGAAAGGACAGCTTCGGCACTAACTTCTTTCATGGCCTCAGTGATTGTTCTAAACCAGCCTTCTAAGTGTAGAATGTCCATCTTTATGAGGGAGAACATGGGCGGGGACAAAAGAACACAGTCGTTCAAGCGTCAAAGACACCTCGTCTGCGGGCTACTTATTCGCTCCGGTCGACCGCTTCGGACCAGATGTCACAATGTCCACGCCACTGAACGCAGGGCGTCAAACGGTATCCAGGAGCTCGAAACCGAAGCTCTAACACGGCGGCACAGCTTCGAGGCCAAGTCGTATCCGGCAGACCAAGCTGTAATATCTTGGACACGGTTAGAAGTTCCTAGCCCGACGAGAAAAACGAAAGGGAATCTGTGAATTAGATAGAACCACTGTTCCTTCCTTCCAATAGAGAGCTGGTATAATCTGGTATATCGTGTATCGTCTACCGTTCTAACCAATGACCTCTTCTCGTTCGTACCCCGTCGGCTTCAGCACCGCTTTGGGTTTGTGGACGTTCATTTCGGTCTTGTAGTCGCTGACAAACGGGTTGGGATCCTCTTTATAGCTCAGGTTGCTCAGTGTATGGTTGACGCCTCTGTGGACAGCCTCGTCGGCTCTGATGTACATGATCAAATCTTTCATCGTTCTCTTTCCCTCTGGCATATTCCCTTTTTTTTTTTTTGGTTAGTTAGCATCACGGGAATTGTAACGATAACGGACGGACCCAAAGACCTCCGTCATAGTCTTTGAAGCACGCAAAAGTTCTTGGACAAGAGGAGGGAGACTTACAGTATTGTACCGCCAGGTCGGGGATTTTGAAATCCTTGCTACTCCACTTCTTCAGCAAACCCTGGTCGATCTCGTGGATGCATCGAGTGTAAGTGTGCACGGCCTCTTCTTCCAAATAGCCGACAAAGCGGTGACAGATCTTCGGTGAGATCAGGTATGAGAAGAAGAGGGCGTTGAAAAACACGCCCTGAGCTCCCATAATCATGGTCTTCATGAACCAGCCGGGTTCGCACATCTTCATGAAGGTCAAGAGGTGCATCCGCTCGTTGTACGACTCTTCCAAGAGCGTCTCGATCCAGCCATTGTCGCGCTTCATCCGGCGGAGAGACCGCAAATGCCGCAACATGCCCGCGACCATGCCCGGGACGCCGGCGATGGATTCGAGAAATACGAATCGGACGAGCTGCGAAGGTCAGACGTCAGCCGCGATCTGAAACGGTCTTTGTGGGCCTGGATCGTGCACCCACCCATTGGGCTTCAGTTAGAGGCTTGGACGCCTCAACTGCCGTGGTAGGGTTCTTTTTGTCGACCTGCTGATCTGAGCGAAGGCCTATGGCTAGATCCATCCAAAACCTATCGGGTTATCAGCCTCCCAAGCTCTGCTCTGCTGAGTCTGGAAATTTCCTGTTCAGACTCACCGGCAGAATCTGACGAGTTTCCAGGCACACCAGTCGCCCACAGTTTTCGGTTCTCGATGTGCGGGCTGGACCTTCAGCATTTCCTCCTCCGTATAGCCATGGTGCGGCCACGCGGGTGGCGTCTGGCGAATAAACTTGGTTTCCTGGGCAGGGAAGAAATCACGGAGCAGAGTTAGACGTGTTGTGGAGAAGTCTCGTGCTGGAGCCAGTCTCCTAGCATTCCGTGTGATTGTACTGCTGGGGTGGCTCTGAATTTTTGACGAGAAGGGGCGTGATGGTGTTCTTGTTGTGGAGGAGTAATTGGCTGAAATAATCCCGAGCGCTGCGCGATGTCTTGTAATGGTATTCCTGGTATGAGCAAGGGAAAGTGCAGCTCTTCCAAGATGAGCCGCTGGCGCAACCAAGTGGACGTGGTGTGGCACTGTGGCTATCGACAGCATTGGTGCAATGATCGAGGTTGGGTCAGTTCTGTGAATCCTAGATGTTCAACACGACCATAAAGGTTGAGAAAACATGGGAAGCCCCGATACTTATGTCTGGTAGTGGGTGTCAGATTCACTATTGTCATATGGCTGCTAGGTGGCCCCATATTGCATGTGGCTACCCTCACACGTCCAGACCATTGGTGTCCAGATGCTTAGAGCTCCACGGTCGGAATTTGACTCTGGACCGAATAGGTGGCTCAGGACTCTTCTGTGTCTTCCGAAGAATGAGCGTTTTAATGCATCATGAGATCATCCGAGGTCCAGCCAAGACGTTGCTAGTCCTCCACGAAGAGGTTGGCGGCCTGAATCTGGCTAGTCGCCGTCTCACAAGCTGAGCTGGTAGTCTTGTGCTGCCCACATCGCCGTTGTTCACTTTCGAGTTATACGAAGGTTATACGCAACGATGTAACACATCCACCACAAACGAGCCCGTGGATTCCAACACTTGAAAATGCATCATCTATGTAGGCATTTTCCTTTTGACGTACTGAGCTGGATGAGGAGGATTTTCATTCGCCGTTCGTGGCAATGACCTCGTATGGCGTGATGTGACAATTGATGGAGGTTGACAAAAGAACCAAGTGGATTCGAGCATTGCGGAAAAGACCAACTATATGACTTTCCGACTTCAACCGAACCATTGACATGAGTTTTGAGTAACAACAAAAGTTAGACGGTTGGAATTGTGGTCCTGGCGGAAAGTACCTCGTGGTGGAATCTAAACTCTGAAGGGTCTAGCACAGCCTGATGGCCCGGTCTGTCCCATTCGAGGTGTTACAGTACAAGATGTCCAAAGCTATCAGTCTAGGGATCGATGAAGCGGAGACTAACTATATCGATCGAGATGACATGTGTACGAGGATGACTACCACCCGGCCAGAATGCAGTCCTATTAGAAGCATGCCATTGGCTTCAATGCCACTCACTTAACCTTCTCTAAGCGGCCCATCGAATGCCTGTGTTCGATCCACTCCTTGACCGTCTTGACCCTTTGACCTGTTACACAACTTATTGGCGGCTCTTTTTGCTGCACTGCCTTTCCATCTTCCCCTTCAATCCCCTGCAGGACCTCCAGCAACGTGTCGATGTTCGGATGGCAGAAGTACGCCATCGAGAACCTCTCTTTGCCCTGATCCTCGGGCAACGGGGATCGAGTGACGCGGTGCAGCGTGGACTTCATGAGTCCGCCGGAAAAGAAGGTCATGGTCTCGCCGATGTTGATGAGCACTGCCCCTGGGATGACGGGGGCATCGAGCCATACCTCGTCGTCCTTGATAGGACCCGTGTACTTGGGCGGTCGTATCTGGAGGCCGCCGACGAGGTTCTGGAAGAGAATGGTGATCACCCCCTGATCTGTATGAGATCCCAGGCGGACTTTGGCGGTGTCGCTGGGCGGAAGGGCGGGATAGTGGATGAGTCGGAGAGTGGTCATCGATGGACTTTCATGCTGATGGATCTGTGGAAGACGGTCGGCCGAGAGACCCAAACCAACCCCAAGGCATGAGAGCAACGGCACGGCGATCTTCTCATGTACCTCCCCCATAAACGCCTGAATCTCGGGGTTGAATTTTTTCAGAGAGGGCGGCATAGGTTGGTCATAAGACGCCTGCTTCCGAATCACGAATACCTCCTTCTCGTCCACGGCTGAAACACGCTCCTTGGCACCGTGCTCCTTGAAATATCCTTCGGTGCCGGTCTTCGCATCGTAGCCGGCATTGACGATGCTGCTCCACGGCGTCGATGCTTTCTCCGCGCGAGGGGTGGTTTTGAAGAAGGTCGCGCTGATGTCGAACATGCGATCGATGGCTGATTGTGGCAAGCCGTGGTTATTGAGGTAGAGAAACCCCCATGTCCCGCAGACCTGCTTGATTTCGCGAGCGAGGGAAGGCAAGTCGGTAGAATACCGCGAGAAGTCGACGATGGGGATAGTTTCGGGCGAAGGAGATATCATGGTCGCCTACCTTTTCCTCAAGGCGTGAAAAACAACGTATATAGGAATGCACTGAAGGCAGGAGTGAAAGAATAAGGGCGACAATACCTCTTTGTCCTTTCGATTCATCGTCCAGGTTCAACAGAGAGAAAGGAGGTTATGATAAGGGCACAGTTTGCATTGTTCTTTACCCCAGCATGGTTCCCCAGGGCACTAGTGGCGATAACAATAATGGCCACCTCCGTCGAACCAATGATAACGACTTAGTGAGCGCATATCCATCAATCATAAAGCTCGATCTCTCGCTGTCCTCCCGAACGATGTTGATCTAGTCAAGCGACGTTGATCGGGACTTGGTCGCACATATCCGACAAGACGGGTATGAGCGCCAGAACCACGACAAAGGTCGAGGACTGGAGGTTATTCTCCAGCTAGAGCTCATAGGATCAACATTGACTGCATCGCTCATCTCCCGTGGAGGACAATCTCCGCATATGGAGCGAACCATGCGATAACTCGGCTTCCGAATCTGGCATATCTTTCGGGATATAAGGTGGCTCGTCAACGGATATCATTGCTGCACCACGAGCAGACGGCAAAGCACTGTCGACTGCAGCAGTTCCGCACCAAACTTGTAAATCTCACTCACTCCAACGCCGCCCCGCAACGTCAAACCCAGAAGGTCGCAACCCTTCGTGATCAAGCATCAAGCGCTGAAAACCCCGTGGAGATGCATTGATTTATGATTTGCTCATGTATTCTTATGCGAATGGAATTCGTGGGTGCAGGAGTGCAAATGAATTGCAACCGATCTCAGCGATTGGAATGGTAACACCGGTTGAGATGCTCCGCCTCCAGTCGATCGAATCGTCAATCCGTCATCTGATCGACAAGCCGTCATCTGATCGACAAGAACCTGTTGAAGCAGAGCACCTGAGCCCGTCGGATTGGCTGCCGAGATATCTGTAGGCACCCAGAGAGCAAAATCTCCAGAAATCCAAGAACCGAAATAATCGTCGAGCCTTTTCATCGTGCCTCAACAGTCTTCGATATCTTAATCCTGCCTCCTGGGCGGTCTTCCCCACACCTCGTCGACATCCTTCTTGCCTTTTGTCTCCGGTACATACCATCCCACAAAAACAAAGGAAACTGCTGCAATGGCCGCGAACACGAAATACACCACGCCCTTACCCAATCTCTCATTCACCATTGGGAAGAATTGAGCAACCACAAATGTCGAGATCCAATTTGCGGCTAGGGCCCATGATTGAGTTGCCCCGACAGCCTCGGGACCGACAAGTTCAGAAGCCAGGATGAAGGGCACTGGTCCCAAACCAAAAGCAAAGCTGGCGACAAACAAAAGCACTGAAATTGCGGAAAGAACAGGAATTGCACTGCGTATTCCGACAGCGAGGAGAACGGATGAGACACCCATGCCGGCGATTGAGGTGAGTATACATGGTTTTCGACCCAGCACGTCTGCAAGAGGCGCGAAACCTGTAGTGGCTACGATGTTGAGTATGCTCACAAAGATATTGAGCAGTGCAGAGTTGGAGGCGAGTAAGTCTGCGAGCAGGGACACGCCGTACATGACGATGCTGTTGATTCCGCAAAGCTGCTGAGCCATCATGACAACAACGACTGCGAGGATTGCGCGATTATTGGTCGGGTCTCGGAGCACGGTCAGGATGCCCATTGGTTCCGGTGCTTGGCCTCTGAGAGAGGTGTTGCTGTCCGTGTGCGGATCGTGATCAGAGTCTGCGAGCAGTGTTCGTTCTTCTTCTGTGCCAGGGTTAGAACTTTCAACAGAACACGTCATAGAACACAAACCATGTCTCTCATCACCATCCTCAACATTCCAGCCTTCTATCTCCACTTGAATATCGGCCTTCTGGCCCCTGATACGTCGCAGATTGTGATTGGCTTGCCTTGTTTCTCCATGACCGGCCTGCCACTTGGGACTCTCCACTGAGAACATCAACCCAGCGAACTGCAAGACACCAATCATTCCTGCAACAGCGAGGATGATACGCCACATCTGCCCATGGCTGAGGAAGTAACCTAGGAGCTGCGTGGTGAAGATACCCATGTTCGTCATGATTTGTGTGAAGGCACCAAAGAAGCCCTTTTCCTTGGGCGGAGCGATTTCAGAGATGTAGATGGGTACCACAACCACGGAAACGCCTGCACCTAGACCGGAAATAAAGCGACCTGTCGATAGAGCACCGATATTGGGTGCAAGTGCTTCAGCGAGAGGACCCAACGCCAGTAAGAGAGTGTTGACACGCATAGTACGCAGACGGCCATAGCGGGCGGACAAAGGGCCGGCCGCAAGAGCACCGATCAGGCCGCCCAATGTGAATATAGACGATACAAGCCCGAGTTGGGTCGAATTCATGGGTATGCATTGTGGCAGTCCACCCAGAGTCGATGACGGGTTCTTCTTGGATCTAATGGATTTGGCCACACAGGTAATGACCTCCTGAGGAGCATTGAGCTCGGCCTGAAGCTTCATTTAGCAAGGTTTTGGACACGAGAGAGTGTGGGCCACGATGGCAAAGCATAACAGATCATACCAAATGATAACCAAAGAGTAGAGGTCCTAGTGTTGCGACCAGAAGCAGATACAGAAAATACGGAGTGAGCTCCTGAGACCATGATCTCAATTTTGAGGCGAGGCCCATCTCTGAGCCAGTGCGGGATGTCTCAGTCACCGTGACGGTCTCCAAAGCAGCGAGTCTGCTCTGTGGTCGTTGCGTCTTTCGCAACGGCAACGGTTCTTGGTAAACGAAGGGGAATGAGTGTGACACCAAGGATGGTTCGGCACCTGGGGAACTGACTTCGTCGGAAACGACACACCGTTGTCTAGTGCCATCCTTGGCATACACGTGACGCTCATTACGCGTTAAGTGGCTACACGTGTGACGCGTGTTTATACTTCATGCTACTGTAGACCTGGACGAGCATGGTCCTCGACACAATCAACACTTACGAACATTTTCACTGGATCGTTGAATGATTGTGGCTGCCTAAGCATACTGTCTTGGCCGTCCCAACATCTCCCTGCCTCCAAGGTTCGGAGATCTTTCCTATCAGCACCAGTCACAAGGTCCTGGTCCCGTGCTGTGGTTCCAGAACCTGTAGCAACGGTTGCCCAGGGTCTAGGGACTCTCGCTCCTCTCATTCCTTCTACCAATGTCCCCTGTTCACCATGCACTAGCGCTTCTTACTGCTGCAAAGACCGTTCCTGTCATAAAGTCGTATACATCCGCGGGAACGCGGGCAAGAAAAGAGACAGAAATTCAAGCAGCGCCACCCCACTAAGAGTCAGTCAGGACCGTTGTGCAGCCTTAGCACTCAGACTTACTAGTTGAGCCACCAAGTCACTCGCCACGTCGAGGTAAGGGTAAGGGCTGGAAATCTCTTTTTCGACGTTCTTGTAGCGCTTGCTGACCGGTTTCCAGTAGCCCTCTCCGCCCATTTCGTCGAGACGGTCAGAGCTGGTGTGACTGATGTCTCCGAATCCGCTGGTGGGTCTGCTGTTCGTCGGGCTGGTCACAGTGCTGCAGCTGCTAGGTGTCTTGTTTTTCTCTCGTTCCTTCTTCGAATCGTGCCAAATCACATTTTGATATCCATCGCATTTGAAATCCACAACAAACGTTCCCTGCTCTATGGTGTACAATTGAATGTCGATGAATACCCAAACTCCGATATGCTCGCTTGGGATCTTCTTATTGAGTGTCGAAAGACTGTCAGGTCTGCTCATAGACACTTGTCCTGGTCCTGTGAATGCATCTTGGCTGTGCATGGCGGGCTCTCCTCCGGTATTTTGTCGGCTGGGATGTCCGCTCGATGCAGGTGACTTCGCATTTGCTTGGCCTCCGCTGGACGAGTTCATCCCGAGCACCTGTTTGACATCCTCCGAGGCATATCCCAGTTGCTCAATATGTTTCTTGAGCTGGGTTTGTGCTTCGGCGGGCAGACTGACAGCGGAACTGTGAGCCGACAGAGATGGTGCTTCACCAGGCATCAGCAATCCCTTTTTTAAGATTCTCGCCCGAATGTTGAACGGGTCTCGGGGTATGTAGTAATCGGCGCCCACAAATGAAAACCGCTGTTGCAAAATCTGGTGGCGTTGGCCAGGCTCTAAGTCGGGTGGAGGCGGTGGAATGCCGTCCTTCTCGTCCTCGCCATCTGGCATCGACTCTGGTCGTAGCCAGGGGTTAACCTCCCACTCAGCACCTTGCGCCTTGAGGGCGGCATACAAGCACTTCATGGCCTCCCAGGGTTGATTACGACTGCGAATCCCGAACTGCCACCGTCTGGGCTTGGTTTTTGAAGCTGCTGGACGTTTTTCGTCGACTGGCAGAGCAGACATACCTTCAGGTCGGCTTTTAGGGTCTCGCAGTGCGTTCAGAGCCGTCACCGATCGCGAGTGTGGTTTCAATGCTCTGGAGGTGGCTTCTTGTTCCTCTTTGGATCGATAGATGGGGTTCCCCTGTTCATCCTTAATTTCTTCGGGGATCGGACTTTCAGCTTCATCCTTCTGATCTTGACCTTGTGTCTGGTGGAGAATCATGTCCGGATCCTCACCGCGAGCCTTTGCCTTTTCGCGAATCTGCAGGAGCTCTTCGTGAACGTGAGGTAGTGAGGTATTGAGAACGCGAACGTTCGAGATTCTGGGCTTCTCTTCTTCTCTCAACGACGACGGAGTTTCAGATAGTGATCGACTTGCTCGGTGGGTGTCGGTGCGACTTGGAGTAAGGGGCTTGACATCGATATCCTGAAATCGTCGTGGCGAGCCAGGGAAATTGGGATAATTTGGCTCAACAGGAGGTGAAGAAGCCATAAATGACTCCAGTTCTGGATTCTCTGTGCGGTAATGGGGAGTGCTCGTCATCAATTGGTTCTCTCTGACTATGAGATACGCATCTTTGATCGCGCTCGGTTCGTCTTTGCTCAGAGCATCTTTCACATCCTCCTTTGCGTAACCCATGGTACGGCCAAGTTTGCCAACCACTTGCTCATGAATTTTCTCAACCACATCGAGTGGCTTTCCCGGAGCCAGTTGACGCGGATCGATGGCTTTGCTAGGATCGACACCGGTGTCTAAAAACTCCTCAACGGGGTCAACCAAATAAGGAGGAAGGTCTTTCATGAACCATTCGTCTTGTCTGATTTCGGGGATGGTGATGCGGTGAACCGGGTGCACTTGCAAGCAACGCTTGATGAGGTTTACCGCACCTGGCGGAGTTTGTGATGGAATGTGAAATGTGCCGGCCTGGATCTTTTTGAACAGCGCAGGGATGAACTCATCGTCAAATGGCAGCCTGCCAACCAGAAAGACGTAGAGGATGACGCCGCAACTCCAGACATCGACCTCCGGGCCAGCATAGAGCTTTCCACCAATGACTTCGGGCGCAGCATAGTTTGGGCTTCCACAACTGGTCTTCAAGAAATTACCATCTGTCATAATGTTGCTGAGCCCAAAGTCGGCGATCTTTACGTTCATGTTCTTGTCAAGGAGGAGATTTTCGGGTTTGAGGTCTCGATGGACGATTTTGTGGCGATGGCAGTACTCAACAGCACAGATAATTTGCTGAAATAGCTTGCGGGCCTTCGCTTCACCGAGCCGACCATGCTTCACGATGTAGTCGAATAATTCCATGGGCACATATTCCAGCACCATGTAGATGTCTGTCTTGGTTGTGATGACGGTGTAGAGCTTGATGATGTGTGGGTGACGCAGGAGTTGCAAGTATTGGATTTCCCTCTCTATCCGCCCTGCCATGTCCCGACTGATCAACTTGCGTCGACTGATAGTCTTCATTGCAACCTCTTGACCGGTAACCTTGTGTCTCGCCAGCTTGACTTTGCCAAATGAGCCTTCGCCGATATTGCGGACGAAGGCGTACTGATGCAGTCGTTGCATTGCGCGGGCAGTACCTGGAGACTCCGCCATCGGGGTCTGACTCAAGCTGGCCCGCGCCGGCGGTGAGACAACAGTAGGGAGGGAGGGCCTGGAGCGGCTGGATTGGGTCTGCGGGAGGGAGATCGAGAGTTCGTCATCGTTGATAGCCGACGACATGGTGGAGGGTGAGCGTTGGCAAGCAGAGGTGCACCCTGCGCACCGTGAAAGGGTGTGGTATGAATGTCTCGAGCCTGTCGGGTGGATATGAATACACAGATTGGTGTCACCAGTAATCGCTGAATTGGTGGTTGAGCATCTCCAGGGGACGAATCAGTTCCAGGCGTGAGGGTGGGGATCCTGCGCCTCTGGTTGACGACGAGATGGGGGTGAGGCTTAAGTGGGTGGCACAGACTGTATCAGAAGGCGGATGAGGATAGGGGCGATTTAGGGAGAAGACGGTGCAGTAGACGCCCGTTCGTAGGTATTTGCAGATCAGAGTCGAAAGATCTGGCGAACTGAGTAAGTGATCGTGTGGGCGTTGAAGAGCGCAGGATGAGGGTTGAGAGTTGAGGCGAAACGGAACGGGAGGAGGGGGCTGCCCGTTCATGTGCTATAATGACGGGCAGCCCTCCGCTTAAGTTACCCGAATCGGCAACACTCCCCTTTTGGCGGGGTACGGTCACGCTAATTTGGTGGGAGTTAGTAGAGACAGCATGGGAAGAGAGAACAGGTGAGAGATGGCATTCATCACTATGGTTCTCTTCATTCAGTGAAGTGTAGCACTGGGCTCTAGCCTCTTGAAAAATGACCTGTTTGCCCCAACCCATGAAATGAAACGAAATGAGATGGGCCAGAAGACAATTCTGCCACTCGATTTCTCGCATACAATCTCATCCTCCCATCTCTCTTATTATCTGGTGCAATGTCCTCGGATTCTGCTTGCATCGTCGAATGTCTCATGCACATGCTTTGCCGCTGATTTGCGGCCGCCGGTATCTTCTCACTCAGGTCTTTTCCCATATCCTCATATGAAAGCTGGCAGATCAATAGGATCAATTAGGTCTTCTCTCTTGACATCATCTGGCGTCCACAAGTCTTCTCCTCCGGAGTAAAAGAACCAGTACTCTGCCGTGTATTCTTCTTCTGCCATGAATCGTTGACTGTCACAAATAGGTGGAGTGCCTCCCGCAACCTCGACTCGGTAGATATCCCAGTCCTTCTTCGGGCTCACGGAGTGTGCCCATCTGCTGTTGGTCTCGGGGTCATCTGGCGCCAGGACAGACTCATACGGAAGAGCTTCGAACGTCGCAATGTCGAACAGAGTGACAATGGCCGTGTCGTTGACAGTTCCAATGGTTCCCATGCACTCCAAGGTGGAATTCTTCAGCTGCTCGTAATCGAAGTCATGAAGTTTGGCGGGGAGGGCATGGAAGGCTGCTTCGTTGGGGAGATTTTGGATAAGAGGTGCGGCATCGTAAAGCTGTGTGGATTGAGATTGAAACTTGGCCCCGTCGCTCGATCCGTTCCCCTCGCACAGATACATGTACAGGCCGCGAGCGATGGCAAGGTATTGAAGAGGCTTGCCCGGAGGCGGAGGCGACAGTGAATCAGTGCCTAGAAATGTCAGTGTATGGCCGCTTCAGCCCTCAGGTCGATGGAGTCTCACAAGGTTTGTTAGGGTCGCAGGTGTTGCTGCCCTGGAGAGGCACTGTCCAGCCTGCGGCGGCTGAGGCGTTGATGGGGGGAACATAGTCAAGGTCACCACGGCGGTCAAAACGACGGGCGGAGTTCGACCCTGTGACGAAGCTCAGTAGAACAATGGCTGTCCACCACAGGATTGGGGTGACTGCGACCATAACGCCACGGCTCCTGGAAAGAATGGCAAGAGACGGGAAGTAGCCGCGCTGACCAATATTGCTACCTTGTTGAATTGATAAAACGAAAGACTATTTGCCGAACGGATGATATGGGCGCAGACAGGCAAGAAGATGATGGTGTTGGACAGAGGCGAGAGTCGTGGGCTGCAGGAGCGACTCCAAACAAGACCTTAACGCATTTCTTCGCCAAGAGCAGAAAGATGTGAAGAGTGTAAGTGAATTGGAGGTGCTTCACTTCATCTTGCTCAAAGCCCGAGATCGTAGGCGAAGTGCTCACAGACAGCACGTCAGCTGGAAGTGAAGTCGAGAGTGAAGATCTGCGATGCTTGCCCCAACAGAAAGGAGTTGCAACGGCATCCTCTGGTACTTCTTGGACTTCACCAGTTGGAAAGCCCACAAAAGAGGAGGAACCGGAGGGTTGAGTGGATGGAATTGTATACCTATCAATATGAACCACGACGATGGTACAGCGCATCCCTCTTTTGGTTCGAAATACGCCATCCATTACAAAATACTTGATGCACATGTCCCCAGCGCCTGGCTCACAATCATTCAAACAACAGGGTTAGTAGTACAAATTGAACTGAGGGTTGCAATTGAGGCTGCTCAATGCAGGATATGACCACAGAAGCAAAGGGGAGCAGGGTTTCAGCTTCCCTCTGGCCCCAACGCTTCCATCCGATCTCTTCTCATGCCTTCGAGGACACCCACGATACCGCCGTTCCGGAGTCTTTCCAAGACGACGTTCATCCCTTCTTTTCCGTTAACCAGAGCTGTCTTGGTCCGTTTGACTCCAATGAGCTCGATGGTCCGCTGAATGCCAGCCGTCGACCATGCGGCAAACAGGCCCTGCTTTGGCGCATCTTCTTCGCCATTTGCGGTGTGTTCTTGCCGTTTCCGGCTCAATAACTTGTTCTGGCCCAGATGTGATACGAACGTCACCACTGTCTTGCATGTGGTGGTCTCTTTGTGTCTCTGCGGTTGGAGGTCATCGGCCGATCGACTGGCAGATGAAATCTCGGACAGTCGCTGGCGTTTATATGTCTGCCGTTCCACAACGCTCAAGATCCCGGTCCATTCCATGTTTTTAGACTCTGTTTCCATCCATCCTTCATTGATGTCAATGGTGCTCTTCTCCAGGACATAGCTCTGGCTTGCACCACCCGGGCCGGCAAGGCCACGAGGAAGGAATTTGAGGATGCCGGCGGGGACTTTGGATTTTTTCAGATGCAGTCGTACAGTATGTAGTCGGTTGGTCTCGGGATCGATGTAGCGGTCGATTACGTCGGAGCTGAGCACATGCCTGGAGTAAGGATTCGGATAGCGCAGGAAATATGCCAAAGTCACGGCAGGGAAGGTGTAGTCGTAGTTAAAGGAGTGTTCGTAGAATTTCATCCTGGCATGAAGACATTGACCCCCAAGTTGCGGCTGATGGTTAAGGCGTGTGATGAGGATGGAAAGGAGATGGCGAATTTGTACATCGGACCCTCACGCGAGCTCTCAAGCGCAGTTGCCACATTCGGCCGAAAAGAAGAGGAGAGAAATGCTTGGCCGGCGAATTGTGGAGGACGGAGAGACATATCCGACGGCGACATTTCATTGGACAGGAGACTGTCACCGCGGTCAACGGCCAATTCTCAAGACTCACACTCACACTGCGTGCAGCGACTGCTCCCCCCAACTGTCCCTCACTCCCACGCGGCTTCTGAGGACACCGTCGGCGCCTTGTCCTCCTTCTCCCACTTCCTGCCCTTTGTCTCCTCCTCCTCGCCTCCACACCCCGCGCCCGCCATGGCGGAACAAAAAGTCACTCCCTTCGAAGTGTCCGGCGGCGTCGACGAGTCTGGGCAGATCAAGCCAGTAGACTACAGCAAATTGATCCGCGACTTTGGTGCCACGCCCATTTCGCCCGAACTGCTCGAGAGATTCGAAAAGGCCACCGGCCACAAGCCCCACAGGTTCATGCGACGGGGAATCGTGATATCCCACCGCGAACTCGAAAGAATCCTGAGCAAGTATGAGAAGGGCGAAAGATTCTACCTCTATACCGGGCGAGGACCGAGTAGCGACAGCATGCACGTCGGACACAGCGTGCCTTTCGAGTTTACCCGCTGGCTACAGGAAGTGTTCGACTGCCCCCTTGTGATCCAGTTGACAGACGACGAAAAGTTCATGCACTCCAAGACCATCAGCATGGACGATGCCACCCGGTATGCACGAGAAAATGCCAAAGACATCATCGCATTGGGCTTCGACCCGAAAAAGACCTTCATCTTTTCGGATTTTGAGTACATGGGAGGCGCATTCTATCGCAATGTGTGCTTTGCCGCAAAACACGTCACGCTCAACCAGATAAAAGGAGCATTTGGATTCAATGACAGCAACAACATCGGAGAGTTCCATTTTCCGGCAACCCAATCTGCCCCCTCGCTTTCAACGTTTTTCCCCCATATTTTTGGCGTCGACGCAAAAAGCGTCCCGAGGATCCTTTGCCTCATCCCTTGCGCCATTGATCAGGATCCCTATTTCCGTGTCTGTCGAGACATCGCCGAGAAGATGAAATACGAGAAACCATGCCTCATCCACTCTCGTTTCCTCCCCGCGTTGCAAGGCGAGGGCACAAAGATGTCTGCTAGTGTCGACACTTCTGCGATATTTCTCACCGATACACCCAACGCAATCAAAAAGAAGATCAACCGCTTCGCCTTTTCTGGTGGACAGGACACGGCAGAGAAACAGCGTGAGCTGGGCGGGAGAACGGATGTCGACGTGCCCTACAAGTACCTCACTTTCTTCCTGGAAGATGATGACGAACTCGCGCGAATCAAGGAACAATATGAGAAGGGCGAGATGATGACCGGCGAGCTCAAGGCACTCTGCATCAAGGAGTTACAGCAATACGTGGGCGATTTTCAGGAGCGGAGGAAACAGGTGACCGACGAGGTGGTACATGACTTTTTCAGCCGGAAAGGATTGCTATTTAGGGGAGTCCCGGCGGACCAGAAGACGGTGACGACAGGTGCCGCCAAGGAGAACGAGCCAAAGAAAGAGGTACCTATGCGATGAGATGTTGTGGGAGGGAGAAGTACCTCAAATAGATAACGCCGCATATCTTTCTCTCAGGAACGCATGGTTTGATCCAAGACTAGAAAGAATGATTACGACCTAGAATAGGAGCATTCATCGGCTGTATCCATACACAGCGACTCCAGACAACTAAGAGATCCTTTCAATCTTTTTTTCCTTGCGACCATAGACTATCAGGTATTTTCCCGCCTCACCACGCCGGGGAAGAAGCCTCTGACCGCGTTGCTCAACCAGACGCCCTCACCGTCCTCGACCTCGCAAGCCAGAACAGTCCCCTCGTCGCACCAGCCCTGCTCGAGCGCGTACAGCCTGGTGACGGACTGCAAGCCGCCGCAGTCCGAGCGCGGGGTCAGCCAGGTGGCGCCACGCCGGAAGTACACAGCCGACAACGACGCCTCGGTCACCTGGCCGTCGGTGTTGGAGAGGAGCACTTCCCGCGTCGTGGGCGGCGTGGTCGGGAGCAGCGCGACGCGGGCCCGCGCCTCGTCATATGCGGTGCGGCGGGTGGTTTTATGCCGCGTGAACCGGGACGGCCGTGTCGGTTGGGTGTCAAGCGTGACCTGGCATGCTGCTGCTGCTTGGTCGTCGCCCTGTCGCGGCACCGTGGACGTGGACGTGAAGGGACACGAGGTGTACATGTCGAGGGCGCGCGTGAGCGTCGAAAGAGGCCGGTCCTCGCCCATGCCGGCGGTCGTGCATTCCACCGCCACCTCGCCGTCACGGTCGATCAGGACGCGGACGCGGACGTCTCGTAGAAACCCTCGTTTGGGGCCTGGAGAGGAGGCGGCGGTGGCGGCTGCGGCCTCCTCGACGAGGCATTCTATCCTGATGACAGGTTTGGCGGCCGTTGACGATATTGGGCCTCCTCCATCCGCTTGCTTGCTGCTCACTGTGGCACTCGCGACGACGGGGGAAAGGCTGGTCGCAACATCCGTCCAGCCGAATGCTTCGGCAGCCTCCCGCAGACGCCGTGTATGCAGCACGAAGAGCCTCCCATTGACGTCTTTCCAGCGCTGGACCAGAGCGTGGGCCCGCGAGTCTGCAGACTCGGCGTCCTGAGCATTGAACAGCGTGTGTTTGAGGGTGGTGATGATGCGAAAGGTTGGCGCGTCGTCGTCTTCTTGTCTTGGGCGTAGAGACATTCTTTTCAGAGTGTAGTTGTTATATTATTTATTGGGGAGCAGTGCCCGTGTGGACTGTACATCCACGGCCTAGATATAGACTCTTTGTCTCTCTGGTTTTTTCTGTGAAGTTTCCTTTCAACCGCCGGCGTCGTGGCGAAGGCTTGTTTTGATTGAATTAATTAATTAAGTCTTTCAGGCCCGGGCGGGCCGATCCATAACGAGGACGAAGACGTATATAATAATACTGGATACCTCTCTTTCAAATAGACAGCGATTTTTATTCCCGGTTCCCAGTATATTTCCCACCAAACAGCTGCCTGGCAGGGCTGACTCCAAGTATGTCAATTATGGTTCTTGAGAGGAGGCGATGAGAGGATATGATGTGACTGGGCCATCGAAACCGGAAAAAACAAACCCAAGCCAGCAAGAAACGCCTGTAAATCATGGTTGTTGTCTCCCTCTCCGGCCGCAAGGTTCAAGCGAACATCCACAGCTTCAGACGCCGTCGTCGTTGTTGTGGCGGTGATGGTGTTGATGTGTCGATCAATCACCCAGAAACATCACATCACTCCCGTTTGGGATGCATGCTCTCCCACTCATCATCCTCCGGCACGCGCGTATACAGGATACATCCGCCCCTGACCCTTCCTTTCAAGGGATTGACCCTTCCCTGGTCGTCGACGCCGTCGTTAGCCCAGCCCGCCACCTCGGTCAGGCCGCAGCGCTGATAGAAGCGCTCCTTGTCGGCGGCGGCCATGACGCCGGCGGGGATGCCCTCCTTGCGGGCGCGGTCCAGGCCCCACGCGACCAGCGCCCGCCCGTGGCCGCGCTGCTCAAAGTCCGGGTGCACCGCGATGCAGTCGAGCGACCACCGCGTGAGCCGGTGCGGCGGCGACAGGTAACAGTGCGAAATGAACGGCCACAGCGTGCGCTGCAGCGTCGTCGGGGTCAGGGGAAAGGGGTCGGACGGATCAGCCACGGCGGCGGCGCGGTTGGGCCGCCAGATCGATACGATGTGGTTGAATGTCTTGATGATGGGGAGGATCAGTCGCCCTGTCAGTCATGTTATGGTCAGCATACCATGCTCGTGCTCGTGCTCGTGCTCGAGCCTGTGCCTGAGAATCTGGAGCGTGCGAGACTCGGTTCGCCGTGATCTATCCGTATGGCCAGAAACGCAGAACGCACACCGCTCTCTTGCTCTCTCGCGAGGGAGAGAGCAAAGCAGGTCAGGGGAAGAGAGGAGGGATGCATGCATGCACGGGGTGGGTGAACTCAACGTGGATCCCACAAGCCAGCCAGGCCCCAGAACCTGGTCCATCCTGAACCGACACGTTCCCACTCGGCCACGCCCACGACGACCTCGCGTCCGGTGCTGGGATCCTTCTCGCAGCTGACCACGAGCACCCGGCCGTAATCCCAGTAGCGTTCGCAGCACCGTCGCCGCCAATAGGCCAGGTAGTCATCCGGGTACTGATGGCGGTAGGGGTGCAGGAGTGGTCCGACAACCTCTTCGTCGTGGAAGGCGGTCGCAAAGACCTGCCCAATGGTTGGGAGGTCGGAGAGCCTGGCGAGGCGGAGATGGGCCATCCTTTTTCCAACAACGGAGGGAGGGGGGTTGATGGAACAAGCCAAAAGGACACAGGACTGACTGTGTGGGTTGACCTGATCGGAGAATTGCCTGTGGTGGTGATTGATAAACGTGGTGGTTGGTCCCCTCTGCTCTGCTCCAAGCTAATAAGCCCAGACACTTCCCGTACGAGGTACCACTCGTGCCGTCAATCCTTTGGCTGGGGCCCGTGGCCCCTTTGCTGTCTTCGAAGACAGGGTCACTAGCTAGTGTAGTGCGGGCGCTCGCTTGAGCCCACAGCCTGACACAATGGGCATCGGATTTCCGAGCTGTTTTCGTGAGGCTCCGGCGGGCAAGTTAGTGATGTCGTTACAGCAGCTCTTCTTAAGGAGAAATGGAAATGCACGCCGAACCAGTTCAGCGCCGAGCCGTCTCGAGAGACGGTTCGTCCGTGGACTGTATGGATTGGCAATGTTTCGATAATCAAGACAAAATGCGGTGTCTCAGGGCGTGCTCGCGGGAAGCATCGGAATTTCTCATGCCCACATGGTAAGAGAAAGCAAGATTCAGCCCTGTCTACATACCTCGTACCCTGCAAATGATTCCTGGGAAGTTCCAGATCTTTACTCCACAGTTACACAGCCTCCTGGGTACCGTCCTCGTGCGCAAGTTTAACCCCCTTGCCCATCTTCACACCTTTGCCTAATCTGTCGCCACTATTAACTGGGTGGCGGTGGTCAAAAGCCCCCCTCATCGTGGCGTGGTAGGACTCCGAAAGCACCCTCGGGATACACTCCAGCAAGCGGCACGGGGAAGGACGCATCGACGGTCTGGATCAGCTCGCTTAAGATGCATAGGAAGCCCTACCCTAAGCCTCCGTTGTTGCCAACTAGGTCGCTGGTCGAGTAAGCAGGCACTGACGATCAATGCCACCCAAATGCCGATCAGCACCAGGCCTGGGAGGGGCGTCTCGTACCGGGGGAGGGAGGGGGATTTGTTTCAAGGGTTGGTGGGCTCCCAGAGCGCCCACTGCCGTACTCCTACTACCACTACTCACTGACCAAGACCTCGGACGGAAATCTTACTGTGTCCTAATTGGGCGTGGATGTCTATCAGATTTGCCAACTGGAGCCAATCGGGGAACAAGGTGTAGAGGCCCCCGGGAAGTCCCGACTGGCACGCACGAGCCGATCCTAATTCGGAGGTTGGTGTTGATAAGCTTTTGTAGACAAACAATGCTTGTTAGGCACCAAGGAAGAGGAAAAGGAGGAGGAGGAGGAGGAGGAGGAGGAGGAGGATAGATCACCGTGTTCTCTCCTCACGTCCCCTGCAATGATGCATACAATTGTCCCGAGTTCTGTGGGGATGCATAACATGTGCTCATGTGTCTATGTGCGTGCTGTAAGCCCAACTTGCTCTCGTGCATGAAACGACACAAGGGTACGAGCAAGTGCCGATGATTGTCCCAGGCTAAGGGGGACTAGCGACTGGGGCCACGTCGAGCAGAGTTTCCACCACGGCTCCATCGGGCCGTGTCAAGCTCTGGTGGCGCAATGTGCCGGTGAGTGTAATCCTGAACTGCGTACAGAGTCCGGAGTATACTCTGACTCCGTGCGAGGTACTCGGTATTACTGTGTGGTCAGCATTTCAGCCTGGTGGGAAGGACAGTGTTTGGTGAAGGATTTTTCTTTACTTTTGATCAAAGAATCCCAACAGCCACCTGTCCAACTTGGTATGCTACAGTCCTCCCAGTTTTCCGCCAACAATTGCATCGGCACAATCGAATTCTCCTGCCGTTTGAACAGTTTTCCCAGTAATCGGCCGTAAACGCTCAACAAACACAACACGACTCAAAAAAAAATAACATGTAAATAGTATCCTCCTTCCACTGCCGACAGAGTGTAGACTTCCCCCCCCTTGGATCCGCATTCATCCCCGTGCAACTCTTAATTTAGTCCTGATGAACAGTCCACGCCACTTCTCTGCGGATGATCATTTCCTGACTGCCCTTGCTGCGGTCCGACCCGTTGTCTCGAGAAATCGACGACGCCGCCTCGTTCATCTGGGCTGGACTGGCTCGACTGATTGCGGCCGTGTATTCAACAGCGTCTGGTCGAAAGAGTGGTGCATCTCTTGAAACGGGGGGGTTGTCGCCATTTCGAGACCGTAGCGACTTCATGCGAAAAGATGTCGTCGCAGAGTAAGGATGTGTGACGGCGTGCGATCTCGTTGTCAGCGGGTCGAGGGTCATGCCGATGGTGGTGTCGAAGTTGAGGAGGAAGCTTTTCAGGTTGGGAATCGTGCAGGAGAGGAGAGAGTAGCACAGCTCGATCTGTTGGAAGACAATAGGCGCTGCGAGTCGAACGCCGGTGTTGGGTCGCACGGTGAAATTCTTCTGATCCCAGACATGGACAGCGGCGAATGCGAGGATCCTGTGGTTTCATCCAGTCAGTGCACCAACACAAGAACTAAAGATGGCGCTGCTTACCCCAGTCGGAAGGAGAATGCGCCCACGATCTGGGCCTTTCTGCCCGTCTTCATTTTTAGATCCCAGAGGAGAGAAACAACCATGCCGACCATCACGGCCTCGGTGGCAGCATCAAGAATCCCAATGGCTTCCCAGCGGGCAACCTATTCACCGGATTGTAAGCGATATATCTCAACGGGTCGAGTGGAAGGCTCACGAAATTCGCGCAAAACCGGCCATGGTATCCCATCAAGGAGAGCAGGGGGCAGTCGATGGCAATGATCAAAATGGACGCCAGACCCCATATCGCACACACACCCAGGAACAAGTCGCATACCAAGGCCCGTTTTTGCATGTTGATGGAGAAGAGTCGGCGGATGAGCAAAGTCACCGAGGCTTTGGCCAACGTCAACGACATAATGAAGAAGATTTCGCCGGCAAGAACACTCTAGAGACAAACGTCAGATCCATCTGGTGTTCGCAGTTCGAAGCAGTCACTGCGCCATCTTACCCTCCCAACCGCTGTCGCCTGTGCTTCGGTCAGGTGTTTGTAGGATCTGCCCAGTCCCTTCGACGTCGCCACCCACACGGCGATGTATTGGGCCAGAGACATAACCTGTGTCTTTTTGTCAGTCCTGGAACATTGCGGAAAGATTTGACTTATTGTACAGTCGCTGCCGCCGCTAACCAGTCGTCAAACCCCCAGGTTCTCAGTTTGATGTAGCCTCTCAACGTCATGGTCAACACCGAGTAGATGCCGCAGAGGATCGACACGGTCCAGACCACGCCGCCATAGTCGTCGTCTGTCACCGTTGCGAAACGAGGCCCATCTCCAGTGATGGAAGTCATGTTGTTTGAAATTGACCCTCACGTGGGGAGAAGAGAAAGATTGTAGCAGATCTTCAGGAAGGAGACCGAGTACTATAGGTTGGAACAGTGTCCAAGATATCAAGCACAGATCGACGCAGGTGACCGAGCCCTCCACCCCCCGGTTCAAGGGAGGTACTTGTGATGTTCACACGGAAATTGCGGGCCGCGCTGAATGGCCGTCCGACCTAGCCTTGCTGGGCAGGATACGGCATGCAGAGAACAGGTACATGGGGGTTAGAAGTTTGGGATATCTGGTATCCCTGCATCATAGACTGGCAAGGAAACAGTTAAACCCAGGGAGTGGCAGGAGCCAAACCTGACTCTCACTGGCCCAGGCTAGACTAATGTTCCTCGAGGGTTTGGGGTGGTGCTCAGGTGAGGCTGGCTCCCTAGGCCTCAACAGATGGACAGACATAGTGGTGGAGCGTCAGAGCATTCCACACCCCAGCCGCCCTAGTTGTAGTGAGGACCGTCGGATCCAGCAATCCGGACGCGGCGTCGAGGGCGAGGCCGTCTTGAGCTAGCAGGGACAGCTTAGGTAGAGGTAGTGCACATGCTGCGTCGCCACCCCTGGAGCCCTCGCGTACCATTGGGGCGTGGTGTAAGCGAAGGGCCTCTCCCTCGTGGATAACAGGAATGAACGGCGGGTCGCCGTACCTCTTTTTTTCCTTCTCGACTGGCAATCCTTTTCCCTTTTCTTTCCATCTTCGAAACGTGTTTTGCTCGCCTGTTGTTGTTGTTGTTGCTCTCTCGATAACCTTACGTCCAAGTTGTCGAGAATTGAGGAGCCAGAGAAGTCTCAGCCATGGACAAGTCTTCGAAATCTCACGAGACCCAGGTCTATGCAGACGATATCCCGGAGGGCGGCGGGGCTGTCGTTGGCGAGAAGGATGGCACCGTTGACGATGTCAAGGATATGCAGCGGATGGGCAAAGAACAACAGTTCAGGGTATGTATGGTGTCTGTGCTTGCCCGGTGTATGCTGGAGAAAAGAACCCAATACTGATACCTGTGTCTCTCTCTCTCTCAACAGCGAAACTTTGGGTTCCTCTCGATTATGGGGTTTGCCATGATCTTGATGAGCACGTGGGAAAGCCAACTGGGGTAGGTTCCAATGCTTCCAATGCTTCTCGAACTCCGGACCAACCTATCTGGGGGGATATCACGGAATATGTTATCGAGTAACGACTTGCTAACGGTATTGACACTCACAGTACTGCCGGCTTCGCCTTGGGCAATGGCGGCACCGCCGGCCTCGTATACATGTACATCGCCTGTGCCATCGGCATGTCCCTAAACATCGTCTCCATGGCCGAAATGGCCAGTATGGCTCCCACGGCCGGTGGACAGTACCAGTAAGGGGATCACCAACTTCCCACACGAGGCTGAGATGCTAATCCTGCGCAGTTGGGTGTCTGAATTCGCACCACCCCGAGCACAAAAGTTCATCTCCTACTTCATCGGCTGGGTGTGCGTACTCGGCTGGCAAGCCGGCGCTGCATCCAGTACCTTCCTCGCCGCCACCGAGATCCAGGGCCTCATCGTCCTCAACTACGACAACTATGTCTACAAATACTGGCACGGCACGCTGCTGACCATCGCCATCACCCTGATCTGTGGCTTCTTCAACACCGTCTTGGCCAAGAGACTCCCTCTCGTGGAGGGTCTTGTCTTGTTCTTGCACATCGCCGGGTTCTTCGGCATTCTCGTCCCCTTGTGGGTGCTCGCCCCGCGGACACCCTCGAAGCAGGTCTGGACCGTCTTTGAGGACGCCAACGGCTGGGGTAACGTCGGCCTAGCGTGCTTGGTGGGCATGAACAGTCCCGTACTCTCGCTGCTCGGTGCCGATGCGGCAACCCATATGTCGGAGGAGTTGAAGAACGCCAGCAAGGTCCTTCCACGCGCCATGGTCTTCACGGCCATCTTCAACGGGACCTTGGGCTTCATCATGGTCATGTAAGTTCGGTCTCGCATCCCAGATATATGCCATCCGTTGCTGACGACCGGTGCTCTGCAGTACTTTCTGCTACACGGTCGGAAACGTCGAGCAGGTCCTGTCCACGCCGACCGGGTACCCGTTCATTCAAGTCTTTTACAACGCCACACAATCCAAGGCTGGCGCCACTGCCATGGTGTCGATCATGATTGCGCTGAGCACTTTCGGCGCCATGACCAACATGGCGACCGGGTCGCGACAGATCTTTGCCTTTGCGCGTGATCGTGGCGTCCCCTTCAGCAACTGGTTTGCCTACGTGCCCGAAGGCTGGGACATCCCGCTCAACGGCGTCATTTTCACGGTGGCTGTCTCGTGCCTGCTGTCACTCATCAACATCGGCTCGCAGATCGCCTTCAATCAACTCACCTCGCTCGGCCTCTGCGCACTGTTGTCGTCCTACATCGTGTCCATCAGCTGCATGGCGCTCAAGCGCATCCGGAAAGAGCCGCTCTTGCCGTCCAAGTTCTCCCTCGGCCGGTATGGTCTGGCCATCAATCTGCTTTCAGTGGGCTTCCTGTGGTTGGCTTTCGTCATGATCTTCTTTCCCCCAGGACCAAATCCGAATCCGCAGACGATGAACTGGGCCGTTCTCGTCTACGGAAGTGTGGTCATCTTTTCTCTGACATATTACGTGTTCCGTGGACGGTTCAGGTATGCTGGTCCCGTCGAATACGTCAGGAAAATGGTTTGAGCGAGCGTTTTATCGTCTGGTGGACAGGATGTACCCATCTCAGAGAGTTTGCGTCCTGATCGGTCTCGTATGTGATGTATATAGTGTGCCGCAGTATCTAGCGAGGACCAGATCTTGTCCATAGCATCCCTTCCCATTCCGAAGTCCTCTTGGTTTCTCATCCTTCTGAACTTGTAGCTTCTGGATCCCACATTCCAACTCTCTCCTCCCTATCGCCATATTCCACGGGATGTTGAGCGGGGGTAATCATTCAGGCCTGGCCAGTCCTAGATCCAAGGGCCTTCTGCGACGATGGAAATGAATAGGCACGAGCAAGGCCTTTCAAATGGTTATGATGGGCACGCAGTAGCCATGCGAAATACCGGACGAAAAGCATTGGTGGTCAAACGAAATCCACGCCAAAACGTAAGCGAGTCTCGGCGGTGGACTCGGGGTATTAACGGCGAGTGTCGAGTGTCTGGTAAACACAAAGTTGTAGCCGTTCGGGACCTGCGATTGCTCAGGGTTACTGGGCATGGAGGCTACGTGGACCAAATTTCTGACGATGGGATGGGGATATGTCGATGCTGGCCCTCCATACCTCCTCCAAGTGCAGCTGTGCGATTCTCGTAGGGATAGACAGGCTGATCGTGGGCGAGTATATCTCTCCGTCTTGTTAAACGGCGCTGCCTCTTCCACTATGCACGACGGAACGCTCGAATTGGTTACATGACAATACCATGACGACCCGGTGCTGCGTTGGTGGTGGCCTATAGAATATATAGTATTAAGATGTTAGTCGTACGCAGCGTCATGCATTTGAGGGAATAACCGTGGGATCTGAATTCGCACTCTCTCGCAAGAGCTTCCATGCAACCTCTTCCTGCTGTTCGTCGATCTCTTCACCCGTCCAGGGCCTCCATTGCTCTTTCAGCTGGTGCCCCACAACTTGAACCCCGTCAACAATCTGCCAGCCATGCTGCTTTGCAAGCTGGAGATTGCGAGTCATCAAGGGGTGGTAGCACATATCCAGCATAAGTGCCTGATGTGGTCTCTCCTTCGCGAGAAATTCGATATACACGGACTGGGCTTTAAGTTCTTCTGGAGTTCTCGGTTCAAAGTCGGGCACGGTGCTCACGATCCAGCGTGGGCACGAGAGAGTTTGGGCCTGCTGTATGGTCTGAACGTGGACAATCTTTGGTCGGTTTGGTGTCTTATAGTGGTGCACGTCTTCGACAAGCTCTTGGACCTCGCGAGCGTCGCGGTTGACAACGTAGACTTCCTTGCACCCCAGCTCCATAAGTGCGTATATTGCGGCTCGACTCGCGCCACCTGCCCCAACAACCATGCCCTTGAGTTCTTGCCTAGGACCAGTGGCAGGTTGTCCTTGTAAAAGAGCCTTTTTGACCCCCGCCCAATCAGTGTTGGTTCCCCTCAGAGTACCATTGTCGGCAACAGAAACATGGTTGCAAGCACCCAGCTGATCAACGAGATCATCAACTTGATCCAGACACGGAATGATGGTCTTCTTCCAGGGCATTGTCACAATACCTCCCGCGAAATCTGGCGCGTGAAATGCATCCGAGACCTCCTGGAGCGTCGACGCGGCCAGAAATGTCATCTTCCAATCGCGTTTGAGGCATTGAGCGATGAAATCGTGGGTTGGGGGCGCTATCGAGCCGCCGCCCGGGGCGCCTGCTATGAACAGTTGAGTTCGCCGTGTCGAGTCATTTCCCATAATGATCTTATTCCCTGTCGATAGCAACAGTGCTGATTCTAATACATTCCAATAATTGTAGTGAAAACCGGTCCCCACCTGCTGAGGGGGTCGAAGGTACTAATATCGTTTCATTTCAACGATTTCCGGAGTAACCGGTTTAGAGTGAATGAGGTATTGGTATTTGCCTCAATGGCGACTGATGCCGCTAAATGGGCTGCCTGGGGGACAACAGTGACCCGCCATCAGCCCCCGAAGGTGGTTTGTCAGCCCGTTGTTTGACCCGTGCAGCGCGGAAAATTTCATAGCCGGCGGTTGACAAGTCGGTTGTTGGGGATCGAGCTTTAGGTGCGGAGAGATCTTTTCTGTCAGCTCACCTCAAAGCGAGAAACCCTCCAAGACGGGGAAGGGTTGAGACGATATGCTGTCTTCACCAATGGTTTGTGGACACCAGGCGTAACAAGCATGATTCGTGACGCCCCGTTGCGATATTTGTCGGCTTTCCGGACAATAAGAGCTGCCTGCCGTTGGTGTTTATTGTGAGGTTTTAAAATTCTACCCGCACAAATGATTCGACCTGCTATAGCATCGCTGTCCCTGGGCGCCCCGGCTGTGCACGACATCTCGACAAGACTGCGCGAAGCAGCACGCAATGGATTTCATGGGGTTGAAATCATAGACACTGATATCGACACGGCCGCAGAGAAGCTCCCAGGAGGATTGACTTACGAAAATAGGTTGCATGCCGCAAGGCACATCCGAAAGCAGTGCGATGAGCTTGGGTTGAGTGTGGTGGTCTTTCAACCATTCCGACAGTACGACGGTCTACTCGACCGCAAGCAGCACGAAGCCATGATAGAGAAGCTTCAATTATGGCTCGACATCGTCAAGATCTTGGGAAGCGACATGATTCAAGTGCCAACAAATTGGCTGCAGGAAGGCTCGACGGACAGCGAGGAGGTCGTGGTGGCTGATCTCATAGAAATGGCCGACATGGGTCTTGCAGAGCGCCCTGTAGTCCGGTTCGCATATGAAGGGGTAGCCTGGGGCAAATATATCGACACGTGGGAAGGCACATGGGAGATGGCAAAGAAAGTTGACAGACCTAACTTTGGGCTCTGCTTGGACACCTTCCATATAGCTGGTCGAGTATGGGGGGATCCCACCGCACCAACGGGGCGCACTGGAGATGCCGACCGTGCTTTAGAGAGGTCCATCCAACGCTTGGTCAAGGAGCTAGACGTTGAGAAGGTGTTCTACGTCCAGGCTGGAGACGCTGAGAAGCTGGAGCCGCCATTGAGCCAGTCTCATCCCTTCCATGCTGTCGACCAGCCTGCAAGAATGAGCTGGTCACGAAACGCGCGCCTGTTCCCATACGAGGAAGACCGTGGCGGCTATCTCCCTATCGAGCCAGTGATGAAAGGCATTGTTGAAGGGCTGGGTTATGATGGATGGGTCAGCATGGAGCTGTTCTCGCGGGAGCTGTCGCGGCCAGACCCTGAGTTGCCAACACGGTTTGGTGCTAGGGCTTCAGCATCGTGGAAGAAGATGATTGCGGCATTGAAACAATGAGGATGAGATAGACAAGAGTATCAGGGACTCGGTGTGCCGATACCGTGCGCATATATTTGTAGGGGACTCGGGGAGTGACATGTATTGTGTATTGAAGCCAGCGGAGGTCGACCAACTGTGCCCGATGTGATTGGCTGATTGCGAAAGTGGTTGGAAAAGTTGCATCTCCATCTCCATCTCCATCTGCGCATCGCTCAGGGAAACATTCTTGCCTTTTAATGACGATTGTCTATAATTCTCTTGCCTTGACCATCCTTTCCATCTCCATTTTTCTCGGGGACATCGACGGCTTGCTGTTCTAGCTTCCTTTTCCTCTTGTACATTAGATTTCTCTGCCCTCAATGTCCGAAACCGCCGCTATCGATGCTACCAGCGCACCTGCGTCCCTTTGGGATCGTGTGTCGAATTGGGTGTCGGAGAACAAGGCGGTTGCATACACCATTGCTGGCACAGTAGTCGTCATTACGAGTGCCGGGGCCATCTACTATTTTTCGAATCAGAAGACCGGGGCTCCTGCAACCCCTACAGAAAAGAAAAAGAGCAAGAAGGAGCGACGGAAAGAAAAGAAAGCTGCCGAAGAGGCACAGAAGGCCGGCATCAGTCTCAAGGACGAGGAAGCTGGTGAGACGGCCTTGCCCACGCAACGTGATGGGCGTCATGACTGATCCAAGATGCAGGTACCGCACCTCGAGCTGCCACCGTCGAGACCGAGGATGAGTTGCCCGAAATCAATGAATCAAACATTGAAAGCTTCTCGAAGGAGGTAGAGGTTCCCTACACCATCTTGACTGCGTTAAGTTGACCGTGGACGTGAGTAGGAGAGAGCAACATATGCCGGCAAGTTAAAGGCCGCCGGTAACAAAGCATATGGATCGAAAGACTACAACAAGGCCATCGAACTCTATGGCAAAGCAATCCTCTGCAAACCCGATCCTGTCTACTACTCGAACCGAGCCGCTTGCTACAATGCCCTCAGTGATTGGGAAAAAGTGGTGGAGGATTGCACCGCAGCCATATCGATGGACCCAGAATATGTCAAAGCTCTAAATCGCCGCGCCCATGCCTACGAACATTTGGGACTGTTCTCCGAAGCCTTGCTGGATTACACGGCCAGCTGCATCATCGACGGGTTCAAGAATGAAAACAGCGCCCAGAGCGTGGAGAGATTATTGAAAAAGGTGGCTGAAAAGAAGGGCAAAGCAATCCTTGCAGGCAAGAAAAACAAACTGCCCGGCGCAACCTTTGTCTCCAACTACCTGCAGAGTTTCCGCCCGAGGCCCCCGCCGACAGGGTTGGACGAGAGCGCCGAACTCGATGAGAACACGGGGAAAGGCCAGCTTCAGCGTGGTTTGATCGCCATGCAGAAGAAGACGGCCGAAGGCTATGATGAAGCTGCAGCAGCCTTCAAGAAGGCTCTGGAACTCGGGGACCTGGGTGAGCATGAGGCTTTTGCCTATAATATGCGTGCCACGTTCTTGTACCTGGAGGGTGACATCGCCAACGCTCTTGACGACCTCAACAAAGCCATCGAGCTCCAGCCATCTCTCACCCAACCATACATCAAGCGGGCGAGTATGCAGCTAGAGTTGGGCAACAAGGACCTCGCTGCCGAGGATTTTGAGAAGGCCATGGCACAGAACAAAGATGATCCTGACATCTTCTACCACCGTGCACAGCTGCATTTCATACTCGGAGAATATGCTGATGCCGCCAAGGACTACCAAAAGTCCATTGACCTAGACAAGGACTTCATCTACTCGCACATCCAACTGGGTGTCACCCAGTACAAGCTTGGGTCAATCGCGTCCTCGATGGCAACATTCCGCCGATGCGTGAAGAATTTCGACAAAGTGCCCGACGTGTACAACTACTATGGTGAGCTTCTGCTCGATCAGCAGAAGTACCAGGACGCCATTGAGAGATTCGAGACCGCGATCGACATGGAGCGTCAGACGAAACCCACCGGGGCGATCAATGTGCTCCCACTCATCAACAAGGCGTTGGCACTCTTCCAGTGGAAACAGGACTTCAAGGCGGCAGAAGAGCTTTGCGAGAAGGCGTTAATCTGTAAGTCACCACTCAAAACCAACTGGATTCGGCTGGTTACTAACGTGACGCTCTAGTGGATCCTGAATGCGATATCGCCGTAGCCACGATGGCTCAGCTCCTCCTCCAGCAAGGCAAAGTGACCAAGGCCCTGGAGTACTTTGAGCGCGCCGCCGAGCTGTCGAGAACAGAAGGGGAAATCGTCAACGCGCTCTCTTACGCCGAGGCCACACGCACGCAACTGGAAGTGTCACAGAAGTATCCTCAATTAGCTGCTCGTCTGCAACAAATGGAGGGTGCAGGCCTCGGCGGACCTCAGTTGAGGTAACAATGCCCAATCCATGGCATGGCTGAGTTTGCATATGGTCTTGTCTTAGCTTTTTGTTCCCGGAGGATCTCCCTTCATACCTTCTCCTCGTTGGGTTCGAACGGATGCAGGTCTTTTATGCTGATGAGCGATCTTGATGAGAGATTCTTGACCTGTACGGGGTATGTAATACGCATCTCTTCTTCCTGACAATCCGGAGGTTAGACACCGGGATTCGCGAATATGGCGTTTGATGAGCATGAGGGAACAAAATCTGTGTAGTGAGTGGTGTGTAATAACAAAAGAAATCTCAGAATTAGCTATGCTTCCTCGCTCTATATAACGTAGCTGCTGCCTCTGGGGGCAACAAGACTGAATCGCAGTGCTGCGGCTGACTAATAGTAGCTCGGTGCGTGGTTGGCTCTTTCCCTATTATTGCTCAAGTGCTAGGCGCTAGCTGCCTGGCATGTGGGTGCCTAAAACAGCAACAGCCGCCCTTGCTTTAGCTAGTGGGCCGTTGGTGCCGTGATCGTCTTATCGATTAGCTGGTGTGACAGGTGCGTGCCCCTCACTTGCAGCCTGCGCCTGACTTGTGAGACCGCATTCAAGAGAACGAAGGCCCAACCGCCTCATCTCTCATCTCGCCAGCTGCGATTCTTTTCACCTGTTGACCACTTCACGCTTGACGTCCAACAAGGGAGTGATTTGACTCTCAACGTTCCGGAGTCCTGCTTGGCCAACCGGCCTCGGACCACCTACCTTGGCCTCAACTCTACCATAGCCCGCGGACGACTTCTTCCCGAGAGCCAGCCTGCTTCGACCGAATCCCCCTCTATCTCCTCTATTTGCCTGTGCCCGGACCCCGTCTGAACCTCATCTTGACTTCAACTTCATTTCCCGAAGGAATTCCAGCTGGACCAACCCCAAGATCCTCCCTATACCTTCTCTCATTTCATGGCTCCTGAAAGGAGTCCTGGAATTGACGAGCCCTCTAATTGCAACATGACTGACCACAGCCCGCCCAAGTCCTGTACGTCCGGCAATCTCCCTCTGTACTGTCTACGCTCGTTGGCTGACATGTATTTCAGTGACCATCACTCTACGAGAACTCGATTCCCGCGAACCCATTCCTAAGCGGGTCATCACCCTTGAAGGCCCAGACTGGGAGCTCAGGATTGGCCGGGGAACTGAAAGTCGAATTGAGGAATTGACTCCTGCTGAAAACAATGCCTGGTTTGCCTCTAGAGTCCTGTCCAGACGTCATGCCATTCTACATGCGAATCCGACGACCAAGGTATTCCTTACTATATGCTTCCTCTAGACCTGGGGCTAACAGTCGTCAGGAAATTTTTATTCACGACGTTGGCTCCTTGCACGGCACCTTCCTATCCGGGAGCAGATTGCATACGAATGAACCGGGGCCGCTCTGGCCGGACGACATCGTGACATTGGGCGCCAATGTGATTAGAGGGAGCTGTGAGTACAATAACGAGTCCGAAGCATTGACTGCTGACGCTCTAGCAGCCCACTTTAGTGCTCTGAGGTTGAGAGTCACTTGGAATTGGGGTATTGGAACGTAAGCATGCTTTATCCTGGTGACTTGGAAAAGCCTTCATTGATTCTCCTTGTCCACAGTTTGAGCCAACCAAACGTCAACCACACCAACGCAGGAGTGTCCCGGAACACCTTCTCAGCAGATTACAGTGATGAGGAAGCATACGGCAGTGCCTCCGCGCAGGCTTCCAGCCGTCCGCAGGAGGACAAATACGAGCCCCGCGAGGGAAGTAATGAATACCATTCGGAGCTTGACGACAAAGCTCAGAACCTCCGAGTCCCCGTCTGTGACACCAGCGTCGCAATGGACATTCTTGAGGTGCGGACCTTCACGGTTCCTGACTCCGACGACGCATCGAACACTCCAGGTCACGCCTCAAGCGCCGATGTCTCTGACGAAGACAGCCCAACTTCCAGTCCGTTGATGCCAAGAGATCTCCAGGAAGTCAAGAGCGTGGCCCCCGAAACCCTCCGCCGCGAGTTCATCAATGATGTTCTCCGCGTCACCGATCCTGATCGCACAGACCCTACTCAGGTTATTGTCCCAAGTTCAGCTCAGCAAGCCGAGCCGCTTCCAGCTGTGGATGAGAGCATCTCTGAAGATTCATACGGAGATGGTGAACTTGAACGTGAAACCAGCTGGCTCTTTACCCCTCCTACCTCGCTTGGGCGAGACCTTGCTGGTCCCACGAGCTCTTCGAGCGGAACGGATCTGTTTGGACCTGCTCGAAGCCCAAGCCCATCCGACACGGCAATGGTCAATCCATTGATCGGACCTGACTTTCGCATCAAGTGGACCGCTCCTCCCTTTCTGACGCCCGAGTCTCCTCACCAACAGACTGTGACCTTGGACAAAGTCGGTCCACTAGACCGCTCGATTTCTGCATGGGCTGGTCACAACTCAGTGTTGTATGAACCAGTCGTACCGCCTCTTGTACCTGAAAAGTCTGCATTAGTCCCCTACCCTCCTTCTGCATCGTCTCTAGCATTCTATAGTGATGCATTCACGTTCAACCCTTCGCCATTGCTACCTCCCCCGAGACCACGCTCACCACTCTCGATTGCTAGTGCCTCCCCGCAACAGCTGGCTGTTAATGACTCTGACGGAGCAAAGAAGCGCAAAGCTGATCAGATATCCTCGGACCAGAGTCTGGACCCCATCGCAGCACCTTCTGGCCCGCATTCACCCGAGAATGGGGACATTCTTGCCACGACTGCCACGAGAAAGGTCGAAAGTGTCGGTGATGTTACTGCAGACAGGCTGTTGAACCCATCAACTTCGGCTTCGGAGGTTGCTGAGAGCACCTCGGCCGAGGAGACCGAGATGCCAGTACGAAAGAAGGCCAAGAAGAACAATGACAAAGCTCCTAGCCAGCGCAGCAGTGGCAGCAATAGTCTCGTCACAACGGCTGGTGTAGCCGTCGCCGGTGTGGCTATCGGTGCTGTCGGCATGTTCCTTGGCCTTCTGGCCTTGCCGGAAGAGTACCTCATCTGAATGGTCCTACAAATTTTCTCAACACAGATGACAGGTTATTTAGAGGCTCTGAGGGACTGGTGTGGTTTCCCATGATTCCAAGGGGTACAGGACTGGGTTCTCATCAACTCCATATGTGAGACGGGTATGGATGAAACGGTGGGTAACAGTTACCGGAGTTGAGCTTTAGGGTCTCGAGAGTATTGGCGACAGGGCACACGCTGTCTAACATGGAGCTTCTCACTACGAGGTCGGGAAAAGGAGTGAGAATGGAAGATGACAGATGGTTATGGGGTTGTTTTCGGCTGGTCAGAGGCGCAGGAGCTTGTGGACTATGGACAAAGGGGACACAGGCATTGTATCAGCTCAGCTTACAGTAGTTCTTCAAATTGACCTGTATCTCCAAGGCTTTTCCAGCGTCTATGTAGTGCCCATGCTTCGTTCGTCGCATCAAGTATCAAGCATCTTTGCTCGACTACTTGCTTGATAACTTCATTCATTAACCTCGTGTTGTCTCATACCTCATTTCCTCGTAGTCTCGTGTCTCATTTTCTCATGTCTCATACATACCTCGTGCATCGGGCTTGTAGGCTCATGCTCATGCTCATGCTCATGCTCATACTCATACCAATCCATCAATAGAGAGACAAACAGCCTAGACTAGTGTCGACCCAATCAATCCCTTCCTCCCCGGTGCAACCGATCCGCACAATACCCAGTCCCCATCCCAATCCCGATGCGTCAATTTGTGTAGGGGATCATTGCAGCCCAGTCCAGTCCAGTACCATCTCCAGTTCCAAGTCCGATGACCAATAAATTCCCTCGCTCTCGCTCCGTAGCGTAGCGTATGACAACGCAAGGGGAGCTGTGGGTAGTTGGAGACTGGATTCAAACGGAAACAAAAAGCCCTGCCGGCCCTTTCTATATGCAAAACCAAGAGAACGCATCTCTCCTCCCAAGTCAGACTTGAGCGATGCATATCTCTGTGAGAAGTTGTCTCTCCCAGGGTCAATAGTCCAGCGTGACCTGAGCTGCAAATTGGCATGGATGCGTCATGATCATCCACGAAAACCTTTTGTTCGAGGCAAGACGGCTTAGTTTTTGGACATGCCCACTATTCATGTCATAGCTTCTGAAGAGTACATAGTCGGAGATCTCGTCCTCTTGCGGCACTGGTGAGTATCCGCATATTTATCCAAGCCTCAGCTTCAATGCTCGGAAACGCTTCTGCACGTGGTCGAGTGAGCTGCTCGTCGTGTCTTGGGGTGTCTTGGGACTTTTTCCGGCCCCTCAACCAGAAGACTAGATGAGCATATGGCCCATCGCCTTGCCGAGCGTCTCATGGCTCGTAAGGGATGTGAGGGTGCAAGTCATGGCACAGCGCTGACGATGATGTGTCCCAGATAGATAAGATCCAGGCAGAAACATATCACAGGAATGAGGCTCTCTGTGTCGTGCCTACCAAGTGAGATGGGGGGAAACTTGAGCAGAAGGTAACCATTATCGCAGAGCGTCTGGTCAATGCACAAAAGCGTTTTAACAAGCGGATGGAACCTCTTCTCCTAGAATAGGTGCGAGACTGTTGTGAAGCAATAGAGCAGGTGGGAAAGCGTTGGGGATCTCAAAATGGTGCGGATCCAGCCCTCATTGGACTCTCGCTATCGTCAGCAATTTTCCTCTTCTCACCCTTCGACAGGCCTCTTAGATCATCATCGGTTGGATTGGCCTCGTCCGCGTGTTTGGTCTCAAAGTTGACCACATCGAAGCCCCGTCCGTACCACTCATCCCAGTCCCAGTCTGCGCTGCGATGATTCTCCTGCCCAAAGGCTCGAATCATGGCCTCGCCCTCTTTTTCTGCGTCGGGCCCTGTCAATAAGGGCTTGGCATCCTTGCGTTGTTTACTTGTAGCCCCCTGTCCCCATATTGTGCCCTGAGCGAGATTGATAAATGTTCCAATGTGTCTGAATGTGAAGCTGATTCTTTCTCCATCGAAAGCGAGTTCGGCGGGTGTCTTTTCCGACACAGGTCGTTTGTCGGCTCGTATAGAATGTAACCACTGCCGGTTGGTCTCCTGGCCGAGGACGAAAAGCGAATTGTGAGGAAGATGGATTCGTTGAGAAGGTCTGGCGCCGTCCGAGTCTTGGTCCAGATCAGCCTGTGTCAAAGAGGACTTCTTCGCTCTTAGCATCATGGTCCTCTGTGCACCCAGACTCACATTCACGATTTGAGATCCTCGGACGATGTCGAGTGTCTTGTCAGAGTGCTCAGAGATGTTGTCCTCGCCGTGGCGATACCATTGGATCAAAACATGGTTCAACGGATGGCTGACGAGTCTTTCTGCAGCTTTCCGCAGCATATTAACCACGCTGTCGAAAGGTAACAACTCCGGAGATTCATCCGCCGGATGCCTGTAGATTGGAACCTCCGTCCCATCCTCAGACATGGACCCCTGAACAGCAACCAGGCGAGGTACTTCGCCGGACCGGTGAAACATCTTTTGCCATTTAATATCGCTCCTGCAAGAATAAAAGGCCTGTGCGGCTTCTGTTTGATCGAGGACGCCGGTGTAGAGTTTGCAGTCACCTTGTCCTAGTGTGTCGTCAGGACCAAGGATTCTCGGTGTTATTTTCTTCTTCTTCTTTAGGGCTGCTTGACCGTTTCCTTGTTTGGCCTTCGGGCTTTGTTGTTCGGCCTCGGTTGGATCAGCTTCCGACATGTCCTTGTGAATAGACGGCTCCCCGGTTGACGGCGTCTGGTGCAGGGCTGATGTCGTAGGGGTAGAAGATCTGATTGGTGATTCGTGTGAAGGTCGCCGCTTTCGTGTTGATTGCTGTGTCTGCTTGGTTTTCAGTTGCTCAGTATGAGTCGAGGTACGACGGGAAGAAGGCTTATGGGATAACTTCAGGACACGCTCTTCGTCCAAGGGATCGAGATCACTGGTTGATCTTTTCCGGGTAGGACTGCGCTCAACTGATGTATGCCTTATAGATCTACGAGATGACTCACTTGGTGTGTGGGAGTCACGCCGGATAGACCCGGTCTGTTCCGTCTCTCTCGATGGTGTGTCTGCGGCCTTAGCGAGTACGGGAGGGGCTTCTTCACCTTCGAGGCTAGAAATCCAGTCATGAATTTGCCTCCTCGAGGTGTGCGCCCTGGTCGTGCGAGTCGGTGGTGGCAGGCTGACCTGGAATCTAGTTGGATAGTCCTCTTCGTGGATAACGTCACCAAGAAGGCCGGCAATATCGTCACGCAGCTCCTGGCAGTCAATTCCATTTGCACCCAGAGTGTCTGCCATCTGGCGCATAGCTTCTATATGGCAAGCTTCATCGATATATCCGAGACAGTCTTCAACCAGCGTGACCTGGACACCATGGCAAACGGCGTCAAGGACGGTGGCGTAGACGCCGATGTTTGAGAGAGAGCCACAGACGTAGATTTCCGTGACGAGATGGGAGCGTAGATGCATGAGGAGTGACGTGCCTTCAAAAGCCGAGTACTGGGATTTCAGCATAACGAGGTCTCTTTGTGGGTCGACGGCTGCTTTGATGCTCTCCGGATAGTCGGCACCCCATGAGCCGGGTATGCAACATCTGTACTTTGTGGTGGTCAAGAGGGGGGCGAGAAATGCTTCTCGATCATGGCTGACATCTGGGTTCGTCGAGGGTGACAGGGGATCTTCGCGAGGTGAGCGTGTGTAACTCGGGTCGTTGTAGTACTCACTGCTCTCCTCGGTTAAGTCCTGCCGCTGGAGATGCTGTTTCAAGATTATAGAGTGAGACCCTGTCACGGAAGAGATGGTTGAGCGAGACTGCTTGTACTCGGTCCCTGCCCAAATCACCTGCCCCTTGGCGCGGAATTCGTCCACTAGGCATAGTAGATTGCCTATAAAACGTTCAACGTTGCGGACAGGAAGGTTTCCATTGGGCTTGACGAAGTCGTTCTGGAAATCGAGTAAGATCAAGGCCTTTGTGGTTTCGATAGGGGGTCCCGGAGGGACAGAGCCAGGTTCGAATAACATGATTGTCGCGGGAGCTGGTTCATCATGCGGCGGGTCTAGCCAGTATCACGACGGCATAACAGAGGCCTCGCTGTGAGTCAGCTAGGTTGTAACGACCTTCGGTCCTGGATGTGCAAAAGTACAATCTCAGAAATCCGGTGCAAGTGTCAGATTCGGTTCGGACCGTGATTATGGCTGGACGATGAGTGTAAGATTGTAGGGCCTCGTCCGAATGATCTGACACACGGGGAGGATGGAATCACAGGCGCAGGAAAAAGTATACGTGACGGAGGTGACTTTTGTAGAGGCCAACTGGACAGGATAGAGGTTCGGGTCTCTTGAAGCGATCAAGGGCTCCGGAGACGGCAGTTGAAAACTTCAAACAGAGCGGATCTGGGAAGGGTGTCGGAGAGAAACAAGATCTTGGGACCTGGCTGGTTGATCGATTGTCCTCTCTCCTTGAGCCAAAGCCAGAGCGCGGGAGAGCTCGAAAGGTATGAGGGTTCGAAGGATAACTGGGACTCTGGTGGGATGTCTGATGCGGCTTGTGGGGGTGGATTGGGGGTATTTTTTGTTATCTGGATGGACGTTGCCAGAAGCAATCAAGTGTGACAAGGGTGTGTGAGAAAGAATAATGGCATCGGCATGACATAGGATGCGAGATATGGGAAAATGCAGAGTGTCAAAAGGTTTGCTTTTGTTTTGCGATTTGGGATTGAAACTGCCTGTATATCCGAAAGTTTTTCTGGTCAAAGTGGTTTTGGAATGGTGGGTAGGGATGAGGAATGCTGGCTAAGGCGGGGACTAAGTTAGGGTGACAGCCAGGGCTTGTCGACCGCCAGACCAATTGCAGGATGCTCGTGTATTTCATTCAAGGAGAACCGTTATTGGGGGCCGATGAGGTGGTGAGCCAAATGGGTATTTCACAGGATGATATCACAGGAGGCGTCGAGTAAGACCTGCGGGGGATCATCACCGTCACAGGCTTTGGTGGGAGGTCGGGCGGTCGAGCGGCTTGAGTCGGGGCGCAAATTGTCACCAGGTCTGTAACCGGGTCCTGGCCCAAGGGCAGGGAAGGTCTAAACGAACAGACAAGTCAGAGATGGAGGTAGCAAGGGCGAATTCAAGGGAGGGAGGGACATAAGCGAAGGGGTTTGAAGGTTGCACACGAGGACTGGCAAGGCGAGTTGGGAGAAGGGAGGTGGGGAAGGAGGACGCTGGAGGATGTGAACCGAATGGATGAATAGTGGTTGAGCGAGCGAACGAGTGAGTGGACAAATGAATGAGGGAATGAGTTTTAACTGTAAGTGCAGGGAGCAGGGGAGCAAGGGTGAGATGGCAGCGATGGAGAAGAACGGGACGACGAGGGAGTCAGGAAACTGAGAGACGAAGCGGAAGCGCAGAAAGCCAAGATTGAGTTCATGCATGAGACGGACTGACTGTCACCTTTTGTAAGGCAGCATCAGGCATCATCCATGCTATGGGACACACAGCAATGCAATCATAAGAATACGCAGCGTAGAGACAAGAGGGAATGTCACCGCTGCGAAGATGATTGGCGTGGGTGGGATGGGACGCAGGTGCCAGGTGCAGCATGCAACCTGCACAAAGTAGTGCAGATGGCAGGTGGCAGATGGCGGCCCAATTTGGTCATTTTCCCTTCACCTTTGGCTTTACTACCATGCTACCTCATAACCTGTTTGTGAGCAAATATGGACCGAGTAGAATAAACATTCTGTATAGCTTCATCGAGTGACGTTCCATGGGAACTCTGTTCCCGGATTCCTGCTCACCATCATCGCCTCCCGCCTCCTGCCTCCCCTCTCTGGGGTGTATCATGTATCGTGTACCAAGCACCTCGCTAGATTAGTCGGCAGGTCTGTCATTCCAGGCACGCTGTTCTCCTCTGTTCCTGTCGTATTAATTAGCCGACACTCTCTTTGAGTCACGGAGTACGAGGTACACTCAGTCATCCCACAACCAGTAGTAAGTACTAATACTAACACTAACACTAACACTAATACTGCGTACACGCACGCATTGCGATCCCCGATAGCCCCGCCGCCTGTCAAGGGTGCCTCTGCTCCTCTGTGCCTCAATTACCCCCTGCACCAACACAACTTGCATCAAGCCACCACAACCTACGAGAAGCCCGTCATCCTCTTCCCCTCTCTACCCGCATCTTCTAAACCTCCTACAGCTGTCCCACCTCTGAACAGCCATAGACAGCCTCGACACGCTATACAGAAGTCCCTTCTTCCACGCTAATCGAGCTCGCCGTCTCCTTCGGGGCCACTCTATCCGCACCCTCTGCATTAGGCATTCCTGTCCCTTCCTCAAAGAGCATAAACCTCGATCTGCTGCCCCCTGCTGACTTGTTATTCAGCCTGCATGTGGCTGAGACCTGCCTTTGGAACGTGCTTCTCATCTATCTCCTTCCCATTCCTGTCGTGAGGAGGCTCTGACTCTCTGTCTACTGAGTCGCCTACACTCCATCCGCGTGCTTTCTTCCCCACCCCCAGTGGAGGTTGGCTTGTTAGCTGTTCCCCAAATCCTCAGACATCATTTTCTCCAAAAGATTGACGCAGCTACCTCGCCGTATAGCACAATATTAGAGCCCTGAAAGGAAGGAAAGGCAATACGCGCAGATGACGATCCCTCGCTTTCAGACGTTAAATTTGTGCTTCGGGTTGGTATTCCCCGCGCTTGCGGTCTCTACTGGTTGTTACGGTGTGGACAAATGGCGTCCCCACCGTCGGCACACCCCCGACAATATCCCTGCTACTTGATATCTCATAAGCTCATCATTCCTGCTCAGATGGACCGCCGTTGAGCACGCAAGCGCATGCTGCTGTGAGGGCTTCAGGAATATTAATTCCGAGAGATCATCCTACGTCATGTGCCATCCCTCGTCACCCTGGTCCAAGAAATAGTGTGATTCTCTCCGTCTCTTTCAAGCTCGTCAAGACCAGCCTCCTCATCTTCCAGGATACCACTTTGACGAAGATGAAGTGGTGCAGTACGGTGCTTTGCTGTGGGAGGCGGTCCTTGCAAAGTCGTTTGGGACCTTATCGAGGTACAAAATCAGTCGAGGTCGCTGTCCTTGTCGTCATTGTCGACTTCATCCATCCCCATGGCCGCATCCATCAGCTCTTTGACCTTGGCCTTGATTTCTTCCACTTTGTTCTCCTTGACCAGGCAGGTTCTATCGTCGATCTCCTCCAAGATGTAGGTATGGCCTGACTCCCGGTCGATCTTCCGCACCATGGCCATCTGAGGCGGATCACATTGGAGAAGAGCCCCTTTCTGGGCTTTCGGCATAGTACTTTATGCAGCTACCGGGAGTGGTAATCACTTCGGAGAAAGGCGGTAAGTGGTCGAGATATCTGGATACAATAGCTGGTGATGCAGGTGGTGGTTGTCACTGTGACTGTGATTGACATGGACCTCCGACTCTATCAAGCCTGAATCGTGCAAATTTGAAACAAGCGAGGCAAGCCACAGCGGTCGCCATCATGTACTGTACGATGACTCGGCGCTTGCGAGGTTGCTCATCTGCCAAGAGATTACGTTATCAGTGACAGCTTGTTGTGTCATTTGAAACGGTTGCGCACAGTCTCGGCATCAATGAATACCGAGTGAGTGCACGCGAGGTCACTCATCCGCCAAGAGATTACGTTATCGGTGACAGCTTGTCGTGACATTTGAAGGGGTTGCGCACAGTCTCGGCATCCATGAGTACCGAGTACACGCAACACACCTCACTCACTCCCTCTCTCCCGTACCTCGTGCACCATTCGGTTCCATGTCTGGTGCCATGTTACTGGTCCGATCCGAATGTCGTCTCCCACGGTTCATATCCCTCGCTGGCAAAGATCCTCTCGATTTGTCTCCTTCGAACCCCGACATTACCGCCGTCGAAAATCGGCAACACCACCGCATCGTTCAGCAGATCCCCGAAGGGTTGCTTGGCCGAGTATGCAGAAACGCCGATCAGGTTGATTGCATCCATGACGGACTCTACGGCGCTTTCCGATCCCATGATCTTGGCTTCGTAGCACAGCTCGGCTCCGTATCGGGTTCGGCCGAAGCAATGCGCAGCCTTCCAGACCAGTGCTCGCGTGGCCTCACATCGAGTCTTGATCTTGATCAACAAATCCGCAACGCTTTGCTTCTGGATCATCGTCTCCGTCGAACCTCGCTTTTCGGTTTTGGCCCAAGCCAAGGCACGGTCAAAGGTCTGCCGCATAATGCCCACCCCCATAGCACCCACAAGAGCTGCTGAAGCCGTGAAGGTCATTTCCACCACATCGGCGCCTTTGCCTGGAGGTGCGAGCAGATTTGATTTTGGCACGCGCAAGTCCTTGAATCGAATGTGCGGCCCGTTAACCGCCGTGTGTCCGATGGTTCGAGGATGGTAAAGCACCTGATAGGCACTTGGATCGTTCGCCGCGATGTCTTGCCTGGTCACAACAATAATCGCCGTTTGGCCACGGACGTCCTCGGCTGGAGCAGATCCAACAATACGGCATAAGACGCACTGAACGTCAGCACCCCGATCATCCCATCCGGAGCAGTTTGTCGCCCAAATCTTTCCATCCGTCAGCAAGACATTTACTTCGTGTCCGAAAAGCTTACCTTTTCACCACTGATTACATATTCTTCCCCATCCTCACGTGCAATGGTCTGGAATCCTGGGGCCCCTGCCTCGTCAAAGTTGGCGCTTCCCTCAGGTTCAGAAAAGACCAAACTGGCCATGGGCGTCCCGGTCCCTTCCAGAAAAGGTTTGAAGAACTTCTCGTGCTGAGCTGCGCTTCCCGCCATAACCAAGGGTGTCAAACCAAGGCCTGTCCCAAGGATCGTCAATGCTGCGCTGGTCTCGACAGCATAAAACTCCTCGACTACCAAAGCTGCCTCGATCAATGGACCTCCGCCGCCTCCAAGCTCCTTCGGAATTTGAGCCTTGATGAGACCTGCCTTGACTGCTTCGGCATAAATCGGCTGAGTCGAGCGGAAGCGTTGCTGCCATTGTTCGGACGAGGTGCTTTGAGCCTCATATACTGAGCGTGCTGTTGTGAGGTGAGCCTTCGCCCAACCCCTGACCGCATTTCGGAGTGCGAATTGCTCCGGCGACAGTTGGAAATCAATCATTTTTTCCCCTGGGGCCTCCTGCTCGAGTGTCAGAGAAGTCAAACTGGAGTCCAACTTCTCCCGCAGCTTGACATGCCCGGCTTATATCGCCAGATGCAAGGGTGTCAAGTTGGCATCTGTCCCTGAGCAATGGGATGAGCTCGGTGCTGCTAAGGTTTGCTGAATAAAGCCGTACTTCGTGTAGCTCGCAGTGGGATGGGCGGAAAGCTTCCGGAGTGTGGAGGGGTTTCTCTCCCTGGCCAACGTTAGGGCAAGTAAAATGAATCAATATCTCCGTGGGAAGAGCCAGAATGTTTTGCAGCGCCGCCGTTCATTGTAACTGGTGTGGGGGCGGCCTTCGCTTGTGGGTGATATAAAGGATCGACAAACGGGTCTAGGCACAGTCCTGATGCTGGGAAGTCCTAATCTAGGCATCGAGGCAGCGGAATTAGGAAATCAGTGGCACCCTGTCTGACTGGGTGTTCATAGACCAGCAATGCTCTCCCTTTGATAATACGAGTAGGTATTGCGTTACCATTATGAGATAGCGGTGCTCTGTCATGCCAGCTATATCTGATAGACTGATACGACGGCTGCTCCTCGCTCTCGAGCACTCTAGCTGTATTCGCCGGCATCGTCTATCCTTGTCAGACTGAGCCGTCGCCTGCCCCTCCAGGCGGCACAATGTCAAGCTCCTCCCTGCATTTGTACAGCTCGATCATGCATGTCCTGACCAATTACATGCCGATCGCAATGAATCCCTCCATTGTCAGCAGATCCAACGCCAACACGCCACTCGGCGATGGCATCGCAACAACATAAACCTTTGGCCACATGGTCATGTAGATAAGCAGTACTCTGTTGTGCTGGGTGAGTGAGTCTGTGATTTTGATCTCGATTGAACTCGAATCAAAGGACAGGAGCAGTGGCAGCGGCAACCTGCAGGACGATCTCGGTGGGAGACACCCCATGATGTGCGCTCATGCCTGAACCCTGCAGCAAAATTCCCTACCAATGGCCAAGCGCAGGTCGTCATTGTATTGCGCAATATCCAAGGGTATCAAAACATAAAAGACAGGTCAAGATCAGGTGGCGATGCTCAATATCTTTGAGGATGTTGGTCCTAAACAAGAAGTCGGTGATAAATGATCTGAGAAGATGCAGAAGTAAACATCCAGGTACAGCTGGGTGATGAGTCGGCAGCATCCAGCGTGAACTTGCTCGTTTTCAAATCACAAATGGAAGCGCAGACAACTTCCTTCACCCGCTGAACGATTTGATTCACTTTGATTTGGATTCTTTTGTGAGTTCCCGTGTCACTCCTTCAGCAAACCAGTTGACCAGGTGTCTATATTTGTTGTCTTCTTGTCCTTCATTGAACTGTCTCTTTGCCGGCGACATCAACTTTGACCAAACCATCTTCATTCCTCAGCAAACACCCTGCACACTCTGCAGAATGCTCCAGTTCTTCCATTTTGTCATATTCACCCTCGTTTCTGTCCTATCACGCGATGCTGCTGGTATTGCCCTCGATGTTGATGACACAGGTGAGTCGGGGACGAGTCTCTTTCATCTTCATCGGCTCCACTGACTCCTGCCAGATTCCATCCTTGAGGCGGCGTCCTTGGCCGCTCAGGGTGTAATAGACCTGTACAATGGCAACCAGACCGGGGGGGTTCTGGGAAAATGGCCCTTTCCACCGTACTACTGGTGGGAAAGTGGCGGTGCATGGGGTGGGCTGATGGAATATTGGCATTATACAGGCGACAACAGCTATGTCAATGTTACGCAACAAGGCCTCATGGCTCAACTTGGTCCTAAATATGACTTCAACGTTCCTGCCGAAGCCTTCGACACTGGAAACGACGACCAAGCTTTCTGGGTCTTTGTGGCCATGTCCGCGGCCGAATACTCCTTCCCCCAGTTGCCTGCGCCCTATCCATCCTGGCTCCAGATTGTCAACAACGCCTGGGAAGACTATGTTGCTCGCTGGAATACTTCTCGGTGCAACGGGGGTCTGAAATGGCAGTTCAATCCTGCGAACGCAGGCTACTACTACAAGAACAGCGTCGCTAACGGCGCGTTCTTCCAGCTCTCGGCAAGATTGGCAAGATTTACAGGCAACCAAACATATGTGCACTGGGCAGACACAATCTGGAATTGGGCGTCAGGAATTGGCTTGGTAGACAGCATCTACAACGTCTTTGACGGTTCTGATGAGACCATCAATTGCACCGGCGTTGACCACCATCAGTGGACCTACAACGTCGGCGTTTTCCTCTATGGGGCGGCCGTGCTGCAGAACTATACCAACGGATCCTCGCCGTGGATCGAACGGACCGCTGGCCTGCTTGACTCAACCAACACCTTCATCGGTCCTTTCCGGAATGCATCCAATATCTTGTTCGAGGCGGAATGCGAGCTCTCCATGACCTGCAATGTTGACCAGCTGTCAATGAAGGCCTATCTTGTTCGGTGGATGGCAGCAACGTCGAAAATGGCGCCTTTCTCGGCAGGTCGAATTGGTCAAGTTCTTCGAGCTTCCGCCCAAGGCGCAGCAGCAGCATGCACGGCAGGTGCGAACAACAATACCTGTGGAAGCAAATGGTACATCGATGGGTGGGATGGGACAGCTGGACTGGGTCAGCAGCTCTCAGCGATGGAGGTCATGTACTCTTTGTTGGTCAACCAAACCAATCCACCCGCTACCTACCCCAATGTCCAGATCCTCCCTGCTCCACCATCACCAACGTTATCCTCCTCTGCCACCAAAGGTCTTCCTACGGCCAGTGGCATTGCTCGCCCGCTTCACGATGGGGCGGCAATCCCTCAATCCAAGGCCCAGAATAAGATTCGGCCTCTTGTCGCAGCTTTTTTCACCTCACTGGCAGTCATGTGAAACGATGGGGGTGGGAATTATCGGGATGTCCGGGACCTTTGTATGGATGGGACAAAGGTGCTTTAAAGCCTCAAACCATTCTTGCGGATAAATACGAGTGCATGATCAGACTGAACTGGGAGAAACCCACAGAGAAGCCTGTGACAAGGCTAATGGAGTTAAGGGGTTCCTCACTAGTTAAGCCCAGGGCGGTTTTAGGGGTTTAGTTAGGGGTAGCTGGGACCACTGCGTCGCCGCTATCTGTGACTAAGCGGTGAGACACCTGGAGAATGGGAGCCCAAACATCCAGAGGCACCGCCTAAACAAAATCATGACTTCAATCGTAGTGTAACAATTGCGCAAACGTCTTTTTTTTTTCCAAGCTCGAGTACGACGTGCAGGGTGCCTGAGCGTCGGTAATCGATTCATGAATTCCCTGGCCATGACTTTCAGACAGGGAAATGGCCACACTGAGTAAGAACAGCAACGAAGCGGCTTCTCTTGATGAGCCTCGAGGAAGCCCTCGCAAGAGAAAATCCAAACGTGATGCTCCACTGAAAACACCAGTCAAGTTTCAACAGCAGTTCGAGTTCATCGAGGGATTGAACAGTAAAGCCCAGCGGAAAATTACGAGATCATGGGTCACTACGCAACACTACCGGCGAAAGCGACATGAACAGAGCAACGCTGAGTTGGATTCTGGCCAGGAGCCTAAGGGCGAGGTTTCGAGACCTCCCATTGCGTCTCTCAGCAATTCCAAGTCCAATATTAACGAAGGGAGAGTGCAAGCTGGAGACGAATTCGTCGTACAGTGGAATACAGGGACAGGGCAGTCCTGCTTTCCTCAACGGCTGGGGGCCGGACGAGCAGATCCTTTCAATTCCTATCCTATCCCAGCAACCCGTGATGTGCATGAGCTTGTGGATCACTGTGAGATTCTCCTGTTCCTACAATGGTGCATGTTTGATACAGGTGCTGAGACATGTTAGACTACTTTGTGATTCCCTCCCTTGTCCACAGACATTGGGCTAGGGCCGTTCGCAGGCCCCGAGCCTGTTGGGACTTGTTCAACCTCTACCGCAACCACGAGATCCCCTTTTTAGGCATGCTCCACCACGCAGCGCATCACCTGGCGGGAATGAGAGGAGATGCGATGTCTTTGCAGATCTTTGAGTTCAAGCAACGTGCACTTGCAGCAGTGAATCAGAGTCTCCAGAGGCGGCAGGGACCTTGCGGTGATTGGACGCTCATTGGCGTCGGCCTGCTCGCTAATGCAGAGGTATTTTCAAGCACTTTGTTTTATGATTCATCGCCTGACAGAATCAGCGTGTCTGGGGCAATCGCGAAATCGCTCGAATGCATTGGGGAGCCCTCAAGCGACTCCTCCTGGAGCGTGGAGGCTTCCGGGCGCTGAAAGGCAATCCGGAAATGCATACGAAGCTCGTCTGGTCAGTGTGCCCTCACCCAGCGTGCCGCAATCTATTCATAAGGCGCACAGGAGCTTCATAGCATTGTCATGGCCGACGGCAGATGGTAACCCAGCTTATATCGATGCCTTTACCGAATCTGCGGCGGCTTTACCTGATTTACCAAGCGTAAGTCCGGGCTCCTCTTTCAGCCGCAGCTGTAAGGAATTCACCCAATTCTTCAACGCACGACGAGGCCAGATCTTGAAGAGTCTCCCCTCGACACCTGCACAGCAGCGGCAATTGACTACTCGTCGATATCGCGCAACCATGTTCCAAGAAGGCTTAGAACTTGCCAATGCTTTAAAGTCCTTTGAGACAGGCTATGAAAACCCCGACAAGCGACGAGCTGTGAGTAACTGCCGTATTGCTTGTCTGATACACCTCAACCTAGTCATGGATGAGCACGGGGACCTCTCCCAAGCCACCGAGGAATATCTTGAGGCTCTGCAGCGCATTTTAGAAGAATCGGACGACGACAGCAGTCTCAGTGCCGAGCATCTGTTGTGGACGCTGCTTACCCCATTCCGTCCTCAAGGACATTACGAGCGGGTGTGGAAAATGTCCAGATTGGTAGGCGTGGTCAAGAGGATGTCGCCGCATACTTGGACGGCGATCGAGAACGCGCTCCGTGGATTTCTGCGCCTGCCGGAGTCGATCTACGATCTTCAATCTGCCTTGTCAGCATGGAATTGTGACCAGTGTTTGGACGAGCTCAACGTCATGGGAAATGTCGAGTTTAGTGCTCTGGATCCCCAGGTAGATCAGGATGTGCCTGGACATGACGATATCCCATGCTCTGATGGTTGTCAAATATGTCCTCTGAAACCGACGACGTTCTAGACCAAATGAAATCATCCAAGCTCTTTATTCTGATGAGTTAGTATTAAAAGTCCAATGAGACATGATGCCGCCGTCACGCCCCAAATGGCTCATAAGCTTCGGCTAATCTTCGCGTCGACCGCAGTCAGACGATGAGCATGCCGCACCACTCCGCTTTCTCTCCCTCTCTGTGAACATAATATGTGAACCACCAGTTTGCACCCGGGGTCGTGCAAAGGATGTGCCAGCATGGCTCGTTCGTGACACCCACATCAAGATGATATACTACTCACCGCATCGCAAAGTGCATCGCCGGTGGAGAGGGCCCACTCGACTCTGCCGCACCACGACCGCCATGTAAGTTGTGGATCACTCCGCCCTCTCTTTTCCCAAGCTAAAGTAGCATTGCAATGGCGGAGGCTAAGACTGACTGACTGTGTTCCGTCCCCAGACAGATCCTCCTCTTCCTGACCGTCTCCCTCGCTGTGTGCGGCCTGCTTGAAATGAGCGACATGGGTGTCTCCCTTCTCTCGTCCTCGGGCCAGGGCGTGCTGGATATTCACAACGACAACGGCGCCGGTGGTGTTGGAGGCGGAGGAGAAGGCGAGGGGCAAATTGAACAACACAAGAAGCCCGAGCGGCCCTCGACGCAGAGAAAATATACATACAAGTACACAACGTTGGACGGGTACTTCCTCCAAGACGACCCCTCGACAGTCGCGGCGGAGTTCGACTTCATGGCCACGAACTTTGGCCTCATCGACCGTGAATACGATTCAGATGCCGCACTCCCTGACAACGGCCGGGACATGACGCCGTGGCAGAGATTCGAACACCATATCTCCTCACTGAACCGCACAGCGCAGGAAGATGAAGAAGCTGGCGACAGAAGGAATATAAAACGACATGGAGCTTCGGCGAGGTATCTACTGCTCTTCCTCGGCCGGCATGGCAATGGTTACCACAACATTGCTGAGCGCTACTATGGCAATGTGGCATGGGACTGCCACTATGCGGCTCTCGATGGCGACCCGGACGGGATCATGACCTGGAGCGACGCCCACCTGTCCAAGGAAGGACAGCGGCAGGCGCGGGAGGTCAATACGTTCTGGCGGAAACAGATCGCGGAGCAGAAGATGAGCCTGCCGGAACTGTGGCTGGCGAGTCCCCTCGATAGGGCGATGGAGACCGCCGACATCACGTTCCAGGGCATCCTCCCCGACAGAGCGAAGCTGGAGGCCATTGTGATGGAGAAGCTGAGAGAAGGCACCGGGATCCATACGTGCGACCGACGGAGTGATGTTTCCTACATCCGACAGCGGTTCCCGAGCTTCAACGTCGATTCGGACCCGTATCTGACCGAAACAGATGAGTTCTATGATGCCGACCGACGTGAGCCGGAGAGCGCGTTGACGGAGCGTCTGAGGGCATTTATGGATAGTCTCATGGGCCGCCATGATCTGATTGACGGGAGAGAGAGGGTCAGCATCACCAGTCACTCCGGAGCCATTGGTGCCCTGTTGAGAGTGTTAGGCCACAGGCAATTCAGTTTGGGCACAGGAGCTGTCATTCCTGTCTTTATCAGGATTGACAAAATTCCCCTCGACGACGGTCCCGATGACGAGGACAAATCGAGCAAGGCCAAGCGGCACGGCGGATCGGGAGAGGGTGGAAACCATGAAGACCCCACGCTGGACTTGCCTGACCTTGACCAACCCGACCACAGTGATAATGGTGCCAAAGACAATGAGAATGCGAAACAACCGTCAGACAGCGACCTCAACGACCGCTCGAAATGGAAGCCCATTCCCTCCTGCCCCGCCGACCTGGACCTCTCGACTGTTGGCCGCATCCGCTGGGGTGTCGGGTTGAGAGAGTATCTCGAGGGGGTAGAGAATGGCACGGTCTCGATGGAGGAGGTGGCGTTTCGATTTACAGCCTGATGAAGGTTGGCTAACTAACAAAAGCGTGATGGTTTGGCTATAATGTAGGCCGCTTTTTCCTTCAATCAGGATACTGGTTTGAGGAACCATCCCCCATTTCATCACAGGTTCGGCCATATAAGACTAAGGGTATATGGAGAGATAGATATCCTCAGTGTTGATCTTCATTTAAGTATGTGTATAATGATATGTATCTTCCAATGGTCACGAGTGTGCAACAACAAGACTACTAGATACCCATGACATTGAAACGCTCCCATAGAGCCCCCTCTCTACCGGTTTATTCTCCATAAAAGTGAGCACGAATGGTGCGTTAGAGAGTGTCTCGGATTCTTTTCGAAGTCACGTCCCATGCCTTGATCGCGTGCGTGAGCTTCCTCATACGCGTGTAGAATGGTTGGAATGTAAATATGAGACACGCTGGTGCGTGAGTGACTGACTGTTGCCCCCCTTCACCCCCTTCACATATCCCCTTCACTTCACTTCACTTCCTTTACTCGACTTCTTCTCTCTCTCTCTTCTTCGGCATACAACAAAGCCTTTGACCAGACCCATCTCTCATTCTCGTCTACCGCAACAAATCCCTCAGAACAGAGCAGAGCACTATACAACCTACGCTTGTGACCAGAGAAAGAATGGCGGATTCTCATCCTTCGACAACCAGCTGCAACAGCAAGAACGACAAAAATGAAAATAACAACAACAACATGAACCAAACCCTCCTTCAGCTGAACGACTACAAGCTTCCGGTCGAGATCACCAACCACATCATTTCCTTCTTCGTGCCTGAAGCGGGACTCTGCATCTCCAACGACCCGGACTACGATGCCGACTTGGACACCATTCGTGCCTTACTGAAGACGAACCTCTCCGTCAAGCAAGAGATGTTGAGACTGATATTCCACAAACCCCTGAATATCTACATCACCAATGGGAAGAGATGTGGTTGTCGCCAACAGGAAGAGTTTCACCCGCTGAACCGCCTGGCGTTCCTCCCTTTGGTCAGATGGAACGAGGTCAAAGTCTACTTCGCACCAAAAGAGCTCGAGTTCCCGGCACACCCTGGGATGAGGACTTGCGGGTCCGCCTGGAGCTCTGACAAAGACTCTGATATTGATTCAGCAGAACTGGCCCAAGCTGTGAAGTGTGTTGCCGATCAGTCAAGTGCCCTTGGAAACGACCTGTTGAACCTGAGAGGGTCCAGTCTCCGAACTCGCGCTGTCAATTTCAAATTTTTCTTTGAGCAGCTACAAGGCGGCGACTCTGTCTGGCACCTGGACTTGGTCAATTGCATGCTGCAACGCTGGGATTGGACCGTGGCTGACCATTCTGGCGACAGCCCTAGCCGACCGGAGCTGCCACACCAGGTGTATGTAGACATCTCTATGTTGGATCTCGCACGTCTTTGGAGGGGCCAGCCCACCTTGAATCAATGCCGCCACGTGTGTCTCGCAAGTCAGCACAAATTCCTGTCCACACCGCTCGGATGGGTGAGAGGCATCGTATGGAAAAATAGGTCAGCAACCACAGACGGAAAGGGCGCGCGGATTATCGCCTGTGTATATCTACGTGACCACGACTATCAACATACCCGGGACACAAACCCTTGAAGAATTGTCCAACAAGAAGTGGGCTCCAGGGGATATTATCGAAGGGGAGATTTTGATGCGAATGCCAAGGTAAAAGAGTTTCGATGAGGAAAACATGCTAAAGGAAACGGCCTAGCTACCTGTCTATCAAGGCCGGGATGATTTGGTGGAACAGGCGAGTTGGCCAAGAGGCCATCGACAGTGACATAGAGTCATGAATGTATCTATCAATAGTCCGAATTGTTCCCCCAATCAACACCATGCATGCACGGTGGTATCTTCCCAGTCCAAGGGGTTCACAATATCTCAAGGATCTCGCTGCCAACATCGGACGTATTGACCCAGAAGCTCTCTGGCGTAGTCTGCATCGAATAGGTCAGTCCCTCACTCGAGAAAGAAAGTCTTAACCCCGTCAGCCACGGCCTGGGAAAGAGGATCTCTCACCTGGATAACGAGCACACCGTCCTCGACCAACACCTCATGATACTGACCCGTCTTCTGCAATTTCTCGACCACACGCAGCAAGATGATGTTCTCGAAAACTTCTTCCTGAAACCCTGTTTGCAGCAACCTGTCGTGCTCGAAGCCGGCGCGCGAGAGCTGGTCCGTGAGGCTGCTGAAGTAGTCCAGGCTGGCAAGGCCCAGTACCTTGTCCCAGTCGTCGCGGACCTTGGGCCCTGCCCCAGCCAAAAGAGCGGCGTTAGCCTCAAAGTTTGGGTTGAGTTCGATCCTTTTTGTGCCGACCATCACCGCCATGGCGCTTTGTACAGACTCAATATTCGGATCATACGACTCGCGTATGGATTGGCGCGCGTTCGCATTGATGTTGATCATGGCGCTGTTATCAACACGGCAGGCTGCTGCGGCAACTTTCACAGCACCAGCGATGTCGCGGCTCACCTCGCTCACATTGACACCAAAGCTTCCCTCGGCAAACAGCAGGCGGAGCTCGCCGTTCCTGATGTGCAGACCGCCATGCGCGAACTTGGTATCGTCCTCCTGTGGGGCGAGTTCTACTGTCTTCGTGTTGCACAGCATGTTGAGCTCGCGTGTGCCTATGCTACCATACGTTTTGACAAAGGATTCGAGGTTCGTGCAGAACGCCTCCATGTACCTGTTCGTGCAGACAGCACTTCAGCCTATTGTTTACCTCTCTTCTCCAATATCACCTCGCCGGTCGAACCGAGTGCAAGCCGGCAAGGCGGAAATGAGCCGTACGTACCACATAATGATGTTACCGAGGCGAGCCTTCTGGGAGTCATCGTCTGCGTACACGTACAGCAGCTCGGGGTCTGTGACCACATTCCACGAGTTCCCTAGGGCGACTCCGACCCTGCTTCGGACCTTTTCTCGCATCCACTCCCACTCGTCGCGCACTGCGCCGTTGGTCAGTCAAGAAGAGCGCAGCGCGGAGGCGTGAGATGCAGGTGTTCGTCACCATTCTTGCCGTGCAACAAGGGCATTCGGTCAGCAGGGGCTCGAAGAGGCATTCTGGTTGGCAAGGGTGGACAGTATCGGGTGTCTTAGATGACGGGCGAGGATCTCCCTGTGGCGTAAAGGTTTCTAGCAGCCACCACTCGCTTGGAAGGAAAGCTAGTGAAGACCATTCCACGGCTTGTTAGCCTCGTCCTCGTGGGGTCCAAAATTGCAGTGGGTACGTACCTTCGAGAACAGGGAGCTGGTTGTTTTTGATGCAAGAGGGCAGTCTGATCAACGGAATACCTTCTGTGCAGCAACTGATGGAGACGAGAAAGCAAAGCAAGCCTTCGCAGACAGAGAGAGGTGTAAGAGCACCTGCGCCCAAGGTATGTAAGGGCAGCATGCCAATCTGTGCCAAGACAGGAGAGATCCACCAGCGGTCCGCATCGGGCGAAGCTTACTCCGTAAAAACGGCACAAGGCTGAATCTGCCCTTAAGCCCCTTTTCCCCAGAATACATATTAGATCAAGGCGTTTTCGGATCGGCTCAACCATAAAAGGTGTACAAGCTATCTACTGCGTACATGCCCACCTGCGCACGCAAAACCTGCTCCCAGCACCCTCTTCCACTGGAAACTCCGCAAACAATGTCCCAGCTGTAAGTAGCACACAAAGGGAGTTAGTCGATTGACAAGCTGACCGTCCCCAGGCCCTCGCAAATCCGCAAAGACGTCCGCGACCTCTTCGATAACGAGGAAAACACCGTACAGAAGTCCCTCGCCGGTCTCGGGGAGACTATAGGCTGTCAAGTCTTGTGCAGGGCAGAATGGCTCATGCTGTGGGCTGAACTGCAGCATCTCTGGGCCGACATGACGACTTTCGTCCCGACTATTGCCAAGGTGGTGGAGATGTGGTGCGATACTCTAGGCAGGAGATTGAAGGATGGACGATTCGAGGGTTGGACGGAAGTGTTTCTTGAAAAATTAAAGACCGTGAATGTTCTGAAGTTATCTATTCAGGTGAACCCTCTCTTCGCATTTTTCCTCTATCTTCTGTGCCTGAGGAACACAACGTACAATAATGCCCAGTGGGAGAAGATGCTAAAATTGTGTGAATGTAGGTCGCCGCCGACAGACAAAGGGTCCAGACAGCCTGGCTGGGGCCACGGTCGGCATCATTATTCACCATCTCACTAAGCCAAATCGCCCAGCTGCAGCAGACTATGGGGCAAACCGCTGCTTCATCTTTCGCGGAGGACTTTGAATCCATGTTTGAGCCGCCATCTTCACAAAAGGAGACCAAGGGACAACAATACTCAGCCCGTGAAGACGAAGAAGATTGGGCCGAATTGGAGTCGGTCCCTGATACCACGAAAAGCACCGCGCACAGCGTCAACACTACGGTAAATCGTGTACCGCCATATTCGCTCCCGGACCTGAGAGTCGATATCCTGCCCGCCCTGGAGACGCTGCCGAGGCCAGAAATCCTATTCCGCACCACGACCCCGTATGTGATGCTGGTGTCGTCGAACGCACCGAACAAGATCACGATAAATGGTACGCATGAATCAAGTCTACAGCTTCTGGCAGAGTACCTGCAGCGGTGGATTAGGACTGATCCTCAAGACGTCCGCAAGGTGTGTGCAATGGAGACCTTCCCCAAACATATCCATCAAAGTTCTCGCCAAGAAACTTAACTAACGCGACACGCAGATCCCTTACCTACGCATCAAGTTGAACGAGTCGAGCTTTGGCCTCGGGCTCTTCCATGACTCGTTGACCATCGAGCCTTTCGATCACCATCAAAGGCATGTGGTGGTGAATATATCTCTTGTACTTGCGTTCATTCAGGGAGTCTTGGGGTATCAACGTGTCTATGAAACGTCCACTGCTGGCCAGTGGGAGTTCAGGCGGGACATCCTATTCGAAGCCTGAACAAAGTGGTTTAGGGAATTCAGCAGCACTTGATCAGCCAAATTCTTGTGTCTCCCGCCATTGTATACCCTCGAGACAGGAAACCTCTGGTGGTCCACGACAATACTTCCTGCAAGTGTTTACTGGCGTGTTGTTCTTTCCCAGCTTTGCCTTTGCTCCATGTTCAGATTGGCATTTCTTGAACAAAGTATTCCAATTCGAGAGGTGACTCGGCACCAGAAACCTCTCTTTCATTTCTAGTGGTTATAATGAAACGCAGGTTGATGATGTGCGCGTCGTACGATGTCGTTTGAACACACCAATCCCGATACGGCTGGAAACCGTGCCAGTGGCCTTTCCGGCAGCGAGTCGAGCACTCGCTCGGAAAATTTCTGCGTACGGCCCAACCTTTGTCGAATTTCCAGACAGTGACGAGTCCCGTCATAAGTTTCTGGGGCAGATCAATCTGGGGGCCCGGGTTATCGCGGAAGAACGAGGAAGTGCACACCAATCGCCACCTAGTCAGCGGCCACTGCGTGGCCCGACACCTCCCAGAGGGGTGTCTCCCTCAACCGATTCACCTCGGCGACGCCCTTGGATGCATCGAATCCGAACCTGAAAAGCGGAGCATCTTGAGCCCTCACGTCTGGGTGTCGCATCATTTCCTCCGCGAGAGGGTGAGACTGATGCGCGACGCAAAGCATCTCCAGTTGGAACTTTTCCCTTCCTCGCTCGCCACTCAGGGAACTGACCGGCCATGGCGTCTGTCGACTGAACCCGCATGCAGGCTTGAGCAGCTGTGGCGCAAACGTTACCACCACCTCCGGAAATCTTTTGAGCGGGAGAGCAAACACCTTGCCCAAATGCGTCTGTAGGAGAGGCTTCGGTCTAAACAGACAGCGACAGTTAATACCGCTCAGAATGTAAACTTGTAAGGGTCGGCAGAATATGCGACGAAGGATCTCGTTGCTGATGGCGTGACTGACTCTCAGAAGTGACCCAATCGTGGCGAAATCCGAGTGGTAGTCTGGATCGTTCGAGACACAGAGGCCTTTGCCGCGTGGGACGAAATTCGAGATGACCTGCTCCAGGATCTCATTCGGGAGGAGGCATGCAGACACCCTACATAAGCTCATGGCCTCCGCCAGATCACTCGTGTCGAAGGCTTTGGACTGATGGAGAGAACTGTTCTCCATGTTGACATCTTCGTCCATGCCCACATCTGCATCGACGACGCTGTTCATGGTTGCAAGCGGTTGGGCAACTGAGGGAGCTGGTCTCGACCAGCTCGTGCGTGTTGGACAAGTGGTTCTTGATATGTGCGTTCCCATGTGCCCACGTGGATTTTAGAGAGAGAAACAATGTCTAGAAGAAATATTCATGTTGTGGGGGAGCTTTCGGGGTCCTCGTATGGAAGCCCGGACCCACCGCAACCATCCCGTTTCCCTGAACCAAACTTTCGCCTGTTCAATTTTTTGGTAGCCACGATGCCATTCGCAGCCACGACTCGATGGTAGGTTGGTTCGAGGCCGGTGAGTGGTCATAAGTCCCTGTACCCATTATATGGTGGCCAAGGCGTCTGTCTGCCTGGATGATTCGCACTACAGTTGGGGTCCTCAAGGTCCTCCAGGACCCTGGATCACATTTGCTGTCTATGGGATATACTTATCTGTCGCGAGCTGCTGGGTAGTTAGTACGGGAACAGATCTGTTCGTCAACCAGTGTGTTCTCGGCAGCGTACCCAACCAGAAATACTAGAACACCTCAACTCACCTTAGGTCCACCGAGTCAACGATGGACTCAACCACCACGTCTTCGGGCGGACAGCACGCTTACAGACCTTTGGTCAAAAGACCTCACACGGCTCATGAACCAGCCAGTCCCGGCGTTCCTTCTCTCAGCTGCTACGTCCCTGACGAGATCATCTTCGAAATCCTGAGCCATCTCATTCCCAAACAAGGGCTCACCGTATCGACTGACTCTGGCAGCAACGTCTGCCCTTTCACCATAAATTCTCTTCTCCAGACTTCGCGCACGATCAGGAACAAAGTCATATCCTACACCAAGCGTTTCCCGCTGCACATCAACATCACCAGCGGCGAGAATTGCCGGTGCAACATCTTGACGATACCCGAAGATATCTTGAAAGCTCCCCTGGGCAAGGCAGCACTGTTTTCCATCGGGATCTGGAGCGAAATCATCGTCACGTTTACACCTATCCTGGTTGACGAACTGAAAGACTCTTGTATGAGGACCCAGATAGCTCTGATTGAAGCCGGCGTGCCCTTCTCAGCCTTCAGTGCCGGGAGTAGATCACGGGCGGCCATACGTTGCGTTCGGCGCCAGTCGGGCGCCCTCTCCCAAACAATGGAGCGTCTCGAAAATAGACGTAGGGGTGATAAAATCCGCTGGAGATTCGTGTTCGATGGATCTCGAGGCATTGACGCCCAAGACGAACAACGTGAGTCACCACTGTGGAGCCTTGGTGCCATTGGGGCTTGCTTGACGCGGTGGCGGTGGCACCAAGGGACATACACTGTGCCGGCTGTCAAACTCCCAAAGCGCTTTTATGTGACCACAGAGAGAAGTTCACTCATCGTCCGGAACTACTCGACCGACGGTTGGAATAAGGCGCAGGAAGCTCACGAGATCGTTACCAAGCAGCATCTGGAGGAAGAGTTCCAAAATTGGTGGACGTTGGGGTTGTGTGCCTCCGAAAGCGACCTCGAGCACATATATCCAGCTCATTACTGGTACAATGAACGTGTACCAGAGGAACCAATTGTCATAGAAAACATGGAGATCAGGGAGGTTCTGGGACCGATAGTGAGGAATTCGCCAACTTGACCATCTTGTTGCACAACTCGCTAGAGTCGTGAGCACGGGCCCCTGGTGGAAGGAATCCGCCCACAGAACTAAACGGTGAAGGCACATCTTGGACAGAAGATACTTCCACTTCTATTTGAAGGAGATTCCGCATTTATGGGGCAGTATTCGGGGTACACAAATAAAATGGTCCACCATGTAGCCAGATGTGGAGATGATATGTCGCAAACGCATGGAGGGGAAAAAAAGGAGCTGGAGCTGGAATCGCTTCGTAATGTGAATCGACATGAGACGCATGAGCATGGTACGGAGTAACTATCGAGGCATTCTACATAGACTATGCTTTCATCCCCCAGGGGCCATTGATTAACAACACAGTTATACTCGAGCTCTTCCTCCCTTCTTATTCTCGCACCCCCATTCATTCCACTCACTCACTCACTCACTCACTCACTCACTCACTCTTCATCCAAGAAGTCATTGACCAGCTGGGAAAAGTGCACGTTGTACTCGTCGAGGAAGCCGTGGCCGGAGTCAGGGTACAGGTGCAGGCTGGCTTCGCAGTTGGTCAGGCGGCGCCAGAGCACGATGCTGTTCTCGGTGGGGACGAGCAGGTCCTTGGAGCCGTTGGCGACGAGGGTCGGCACTGTGATGCGGTCCAGCTGGTCGTACGCCCCTTCCTCGCGGAAGTCGCCCGAGAACCAGCGCTGCACGGCCTGGATCTGTCGGCCCGTGCCCTCCTCGTGCAGCAGCGGCGCGCGGTCCTTGCGGGCCCCTTCCATGCGCTTGATCCACTCCGCCGCCCGGGCCTGCTTCTTGGCCGACGGCGAGAAGAACGTGTGCATCAGCCCCAGGTTCGCGTCCTCCGCCGTCGCCGCGCTGGCCACCTCGGTGAAGTACTTCGGGTCGCCGCCCACGACGCCCTCACCGGCCGAGGGCCCCGCGCCGGCCACGATCAGACGGCGAACTAGGCCGGGTTCCTGGAGGGCGATGCGCTGCGCCACGAAGCCGCCCATCGAGAAGCCCAGGACGTCCAGTTTGGTGATGTTGAGCGCCTTGGCCACGTCTATGATGGTCTGAGCCCACGCCGCAAACGTGAGCCCGACCTCGCCCTCGCTGCGGCCCACGCCCGTGTTGTCGACTAGCAGGATGGGTCGCTTGGCCGCGAGCCGGTTGATGAAGATCGGGTCCCACCAGTCCATGTTGCCGCGGAAGTGCACGTGAAGGAAGAGCGTGGTGCCGCTGGTCTGCCCGAACTGGCGGTAGGCGTGCTTGATGCCGTGGATGGTGACGAATTTGTTCTCGGCGGTCTCGTAGGTGGCCATGGTGGTGAGATTGGGGGTTTCTTGTTTGAAAGGTTTTTGTTTTTTGTGGCTTGGATGGATGATCTCAAAGTCGTGCCCACGGATGCTGAGGTTGTCCGGTGATGTTGAATGGGAGGGGAATCATCTTCTGCTAGACGAAGGACCGCCTTCCCTTATGTACCAGAAGCCCTGCCGATACTATTGACCTCTTCTGGTGCTCCAGCACTCAGGACTTCCGAGCTCTCCACCGTAACAAAAACCCTCATTCTCGTTCCTGTGCTTTACAATCAACCGGGCCTGACAAGTACGACCTGATTACGAGAAAGAAGCCCGTTCCTCATCCTTCTTACAGGTGCAAGTCAATGAACCTGACGTCCAGCCACGTCGCAGTTAGTCATGCAATCCGGCGCTCTGATTGGCCTGCTTAAGAAATTTCCTGATCGGGAGTATGAACCACCGCGCTAGTGCTCAATTGGGATACTTCTTTCTCCCCAAGCAGAAACAGAATCGAAGCAATGCATCTTTGACACCTGCGTCATTCAGCTCGTGGTATTGTCTGGAAGCTCGAGTTCCAGAACACTGTCGGATCAAGCATTGTAAATCCTCACGGGAGACCGGCACCCTGTATCTTCCGCAACTGGTCTTAGCAACACGACCGCCAGTAGAACGGCAATGCTGCCTGCAGTTACGAATGTCTCTTTGTGGATGGTGTATTGGCACTGCCGCAGAGTCGGTACTGATAGACAACGAGGGTTTTGTCATTTCGTAGTTGTTAGATAATTTGACAAACCTGCAACGTTTTGGAAGTATCGTTGAATTTATTCCATCCGCAATAGATTCGGATGACGCGCGGTCCAGTTGTGTCGGTATCTGGGATTAAAAGTAACGTGAATCAAGATTCGGTATTCTCTAATTGTGTATCACTATCTTAGCCGTCCAAAACACAAAGCCAGACATGACTGATCATCCAGAAATTGCAACAAAGATTTGCGGCTCGATAACACCCAAATTCACAACAGCTTTTTCCAACTTAGACGCCCACGCCATCCCAAAGCCAAACAATGCTCACAAAACTGCACTCGAATCTATCTATATAATGAGATACCATTTCCCCTTCTGTGAGGCTACGTAGTCAAGAGCACATGATTCGCAACATTGATGCGACCGTAGCGCTATCTTACGGCCCGAGGTATGCACCCCAATGGGCAACCATGTGATCGCATGCCAGCGAGCATAACGGTCCCCTTTCGTCAACACAATAACGATCTTCTCCGGCATGGTTTCATCATCCACCATTTCTTCCCACCCGCTAAGCAGTGCTGCCACGTCTGGACCGAGCGTGATCTTCTTTGCCTGCTCTCGGTAAGAATGGTCTTTGTGGCTGCATGGTGGAGTGAGATGAGTGTTGAACAAATTTTTTGCCATTTGGGAATAGGCCAGTCTTTGCTGGAAGGACTTGGAGCCCCCATGTGCCTGCCATTCACGAGTCGACTCGAATGAAATGAAGAGGGTGACTTGGAACTCATACGCAAGAGTCACATAGTAATCTTTCCTAGAGATGTGGTGTGCGAACGTGCGGGGAATGCACTCTAGTCCTCTCTCAACGGGGTAGACATAGGACTCCGTAGTTCTTTCAATACCAGATCCATCTAAGATCTGCGATTTGCATTGCCCTGTTTTGGAATGTGTGGGTGTACCTTTGCGAATGTGGACGAGCTCAGGCCGGATATCACCTGGGTCGAGGTTATCATACGTGCTCAGCAGCACAGACCACCCGAAATCGCTGCAGAGAGATTTGTTGACGACAGAGCTGCGTCTCTCGTCAAGGGCGAAAAACTCGGTAGATGAGAGTAGTTTGGCGACCCCATAGAATACCTCATTATATCGGACCAGTCCCAGGCGACCGGTCCCCTCTCGCATCTCACGTATGAGGTTTGAGAAGGGGGTAAGGTCGTCGGTCAGAATTATTGGCACATCCCCGCATTTGTCTACCTCCACGACATGAGCGAAGGTCAAGACATGTTTTGTGGTGCTTTCGATCAGTCGTACCATCCGTGCTTCCGGAGAGGATTCAGGACGGTGTCTCGGGACTGTCGCGAAGAACGGATTGAAGGTTGATGGCAGTGTGGATTCAGACAAGGGGTGTTTTGATAGAAAGTCCGCGTACATCCAGCAAACGGCCGGGTCGATGGGAATGCCATCGAAGAGCAATTTAGCGGAGTTCATGATTCTCCATGCTTCCAACTGAATTTTTTGTCCAGTTTCCTCGAATTCATCCGCTCCTATGGGCGCAGGGTCTGGGAGCTCTCGAGCCATTCTCTGCGAAGCGGCGATCGCAAATCCAACGGTAAAGCATACTACCTCTTTATAAATCTCGGCATCATCACTTATGATGGTATCGACATTCAGGCTGCGACGTAGGAAGACCGTGCCATACCCGGCCAAAGGGTGCCTTTCGGCCGAGTAGAGCATCTCCGAGTCGTGATCTTCTGGTTTAGCAACGAGAAGGACGGTCATGTCAGCCTCATTGAGGCAGATTTCGGGGCCTTCTTCATCCCCGTCCGCGCTCCAGTACAGCTCGTCCCTATCGGGGCGTTCGGTCCAGGTCCATCGAATGATTACATGAGGTTCCTTGGCATCACCGAAGACAACATCCGGGCATGGAAGATCAGTGATCACAACATTTAGATTCAAAATGTAGTGCGCCCAGATGGTGAGAGGTATGAATCCTCCCTGATCCGACACTGTGATTATTCTGTCTGCTGGCAGGCTTTTCACGGCATAGAGGAAGTCCATAGCTCCCAGAAGGACCGCAGGGCTGAGTCGAATATAATAGGGATTCCATTTGTAATTTTGCATTGAAGCTCGAAGCCGCTGTTCAATTTTTTCACGATATGGCGCCCACTGGAACTCGCCGCACTGCGCACAGCAAGCTGCCAATGTGCTTTCAATGCCTTCGTACGCAGGAGGACTGCAGGCTCCTGGCACTTTAGCCTCGAATCGTTTGGCCATACCAGTGGCGATCATTCTGGCAAGCTTTTCTCTCGGGAGGAAAAAAGAAAGTGCCGAAAGAGTGACAATGGTTGCGAAATATTTTGAATCTTGAAATGCTCGGATCACGGTTGGGCCAGGGCCGTTCTGGAGCTGGATCTCCGAACCCTCGTGCAATGGCGTGACCGTGCTGATGTGAACTTTGGCCTTGAATGCCGCCTCCAGTTCAAGGGAAACTTGAGCCCTTCCAAACACGCTTGCCAGGTCAGCCTCAACAACAATATCAGAACCTGAATTGCGAAGCTCGCGGGCCATATTGAGTAGCGCTGTAAATGCCGAAGTAGTGAGCTCCTTAACAGGGAAGACACTTGAAAGTTCCAGTGCAAGCTGGAAACCGGCATAGGCAACCATCTTTGGCAATAGTCGGGATCAATTGGCCTAGGTAGGATGGACTTTCGAACAGATCGTGAGGGCCCCTGAAGCTGGCGCTCAGCGGCGTGACTGAATGATCCGCTGGTCTGAAATGAGACTTTGGTCTCTGCTGGAGGCGGGTATAGCACTATGGTTTCGCTATGAACCCTTCTGGAGAACAGGAGGCTTCCCCTAGACTGGGGTATAAGAGTAATCGAAAAGCGTATGTTCACAAGGCCAGAATAGATCCTAATGGTAGCAAATAACTCAATCTTTGAGTGCAATTGAGCTATAGTGACTGCAGGATTGGCGTAATGCCATCGTGTATTTATTGCTCAAGGAAACAAATGGTGGGAGGAGGGGGAGGGAGGAACACCAGCCAAACAAGGTGGCCAGGCGATTCATTCCATGCAGGGGTATGCACTCACTGAGGCTGTACAGCTACCAGGGCTTGCAGGGGTACAGGAATCGCGCTTTGAGCCCGAGTTGATCATTTGACTGCATGGCCCAATGGATTGCTGCATTGCAGGGAACTGGGCGTCTAACCCTGGAAGACCTGAGACTCCTAGTCGGCCGACATCAGGCTAGCGATACGACGGGCTCCTTATTGTTGAAGAATCTCAGACAGGACTCAAACAAGGCCATCGTTATCTTGCTTGTTGCTGACCAGGAGCCTGGTCCTAGCCGCCCAGGGTGAGTGTGCTTGGTCGTGCTTGCTTCGATTTGAATTCAACCTCGTCGCCTAATGTAACTTGAAGGCGCCTGCCGAAAAGCGGATGATCGGACAAAAATCCGAGCGTGGCGCTGTGGCGCAGAGCGATGACTCAACCTGGGTTTAGCCTCAGAGTGTGCAAGGAAATGGCGGCGGATGGGGATGGCAACTTCTAGATCGCCAGTCAACTCAGCTCACTTTCTTTGCAACACTCAACGTTCCATTCTCCCATATATTGCCTCTGTTACCCAGTTGCTCCGTATAGCTCATAGTAAAGGGCTGTATATTCTGTTCTGTATATTGTCCGTCGAAGGAAGCAGAAGGAGCCACAGCCCACGAACCACCACACCAATTACCAACTTCGCTTGCATTTCAACGACGTCCATACTCGACATCATGGCTGACGACTGGGACACCGTCACTCGTATTGGTAGCAAAGTTAGAGGCCCTGGCAGCGGTGGGGTCGACCGTGAACGGGTGGTGAGAGGCAGCTCTGCGCTCAACGCAGCCAAGCGATCTGGGGCCGTCGTTGCCACGGAAAAGAAGTATGGCGGTTCCAACAGCGTAAGCGGCTATTTTGGTCCCCCTGCCTGCAAATTGTATTGACATGGATTGCATAGAAATCGAGCGTTGAAGGTCAACACTTGACCAAGGTCGACCGCTCCGACGATATCATCAAGCCCAAAACCGTTCCACTTGCGGTAGGACGAGCCATCACCACCTGGCGAGGCCAACAAAAGGACTCGCAGGGAAAGGGAATGCCTCAGCGAGAACTTGCCAACAAAGCCGGGGTCAAAGAGGCGGTCTTGAAAGACATTGAGAGCGGCAGAGCCCTATACGACCAGAACACTATTCGAAAATTGGAGAATTGCATGAAAATCAACTTGACGGGGAGTGATATTGGGAGCCCGAAAACTCCAGGCCCGAAGAAGACGTAACAGCAGCCAGAAATTCTTTGAGTTCGAGGCACAAAGAGGTGGGATTGGGGAGCGGAGTGAGACAGCAGAGGCCAACAAGGGCGAAAGAAGGCGTTGACAACGCCTCACCACACGTTTTTGTGTGTGGAATACCGATGAGGGCGCATGGGTTGAACTGAAGAAGAAATTTCTGTGTTGCTGTTCGAAAAGGAACCTTGTCACGACCGTTGCCGACTCACTCTGGTTTTTACTTGATGTTCCATATTCTGGGTTTGCACCAAGGGGTGTTATTGATAGAGAAGTTTGCCGTTATGACTTGTGGCTCTGGTTTGGGAATCACAAAATAGAACTGGTGTGGAAAATTTGCTCGTTTCCTCCATTGCTTTCAGGGCTCCTTCCCCTTTGATTTGTCCCTGCCAGTGACTGTCATCACGGGAGAAAAGTGAAGAGAGAGAGAGGGTTCAGGAGTGAATGCTCTACTTCCTAAATTCCTTGCCTTTTCTCGGTTCAATACCGGAAAAACCGCCTTATTTCGAACAGAGAGACATGGGAAATCAGCTAAGGGCTCAGATTCATATATCTCCATGATCCTTAGCCAGGGTATGATTCTGCGAGAACGCAGTAAGATAAATAGATATAACTACTCGATTTTGATGTTGATATTGATATTGATATTGATTCTTGTAACTAGGACCAAATGCGGGACACCGTCTTTCCTTTCATATCCCAAATTCGAACAGAAACCGACTGACCCTGAGTCTATGCCAACTCCCTGCGGATGTCTGAAGATCTGTGTGCATCGCTGGGCATACTTCTTCCCCCTACCCCATCTTGGTCGTCTATGCGTTCTGTCTTTTATTGTCGTCTTTCATGGCATTTGCCTCCGTCTCCGTCTCGAGTTTGCTGATCCACCATCTTTTTTTTGCTGCTTCTCCATAGCTTATGCTTTGGCCACATTGCCCAGGCCTTCAGACTCCAAATTCTTCTTGAATCGTTTCTCAATCGCCTCCATAAACTGAGTCGTGGTGACCCACGCTTCCCGGTCCTTGCGTCCACATGCCAGAGCAAGATCCTTGGTCATGATGCCGTCATCGTTGACCGTCTGAATGACTGCCTTTTCCAGGTTCTCTGCCCAAGTCACGAGCTCGGGTGTGTCATCAAGTTGACCACGCTTGACTAATCCCCGGGTCCATGCGAAAATGCTGGCAATAGGGTTGGTGCTGGTCTCCCTGCCCTTCTGGTGCTCCCTGTAGTGCCTCGTAACAGTTCCGTGCGCGGCCTCACTTTCAAATGTCAAGCCGTCGGGAGTAATCAACTGACTGGTCATCAACCCCAGAGACCCAAAGCCTTGCGCCACAATGTCACTCTGCACGTCTCCATCATAGTTCTTCATGGCGATCACAAATCCTCCGCTACTCTTGATCATTTGCGCAACCATGTCATCAATCAGACGGTGTTCGTACCAGATCTTCTTGGCCTCGAACTCCTTTGCGTAGTCCTTCTCGTAGATCTCCTGGAAGATGTCCTTGAAGCGCCCGTCGTAGGCCTTCAGAATGGTGTTCTTCGTCGACATGTAGAGCGGATAACCCCTGTCAAGGGCGAACTTGAAACTGGCGTGTGCGAAGCCTCTTATCGAATCGTCGGTGTTGTATTGTGTCTGGGCAACACCGCCAGTGGCAGGGAAGTCGAAGACCTTGATCTTCTCTGCTTGGCCGCCATTTTTTGGTGTGAATACCATTTCCAATGTGCCTGCTTCGCGAATGACTGTGTCTTTAGCACGATACTGGTCTCCAAACGCGTGACGACCGATAATGATGGGCTTCTCCCAGCCGGGCACGAGACGGGGAATCCGAGGGATCACAATGGGCTCCCGGAAGACAGTCCCTCCAAGGATATTTCGGATGGTGCCGTTGGGCGAAAGCCACACTGCAAGGAACATTAGTAACAAGCCGAGAAGATGTGAAGGTGCTCTATGTCATACTCTTCTTCAGGTGGAATTCCTCAACCCTGGCCTCATCCGGGGTGATGGTCGCACACTTGACACCCACGGAATACTTTTTAATGGCCTCCGCAGCATCCACTGTGACCTGGTCGTCCGTCTCATCTCTGTAAGGCAAGCCCAGATCGTAGTACTTCAAATCGATGTCCAGGTACGGGTAGATGAACTTGTCCTTGATATCTTGCCAGATGATCCGAGTCATCTCATCACCGTCGAGTTCCACGACGGGATTCTTGACCTTGATCTTTGCGGGACCTGAGGACATGGTGCGGGTCTGGCTCTGTGGCAAGCCCAGTCTGCGGGATTCGGCGAGGAGTCTGTTCGTGGCCGTGGGCGCCATCCTGCAGGAGAGCGAGGAGGAACAGTGATATAGAGACCGGCTCGACAGGGTGGATCTTCTTGCAGCGCCGCCCACGAGCGCCGTCCGGAGAGGATTCATGTGGGTAGGAGGGAAAAGCTAGATAAAGGAACGGCAAATCTCTGAGGTATATAAGAAGCTGTGAGGTCCGGGTGAGTAGACCGGAGTTGTACAGATCGACTTGGGAGAAACTCTTAGCCCATTACCTCGTCAATCCGAGCAAGCTTGCACGTTGGGAAGTGCGCAGATGGCTCGGCTCACTGCTGCTGTTGTGGACACCCCTCTGAGGTTCCATCGGATAGAGATCTTGTGATTCACCAGCCGATGACGAGATGGACCAACAGCCGAGGATGAACAGACGCGGAATTGGTCAATCTGCACTGCAATGTGGCACACAATGCGGGACGTGGGGTTTTTTTGCTGCTGTTTTGGCGGGCATGAATAATGGGATGGGATGCCACGGTGGCGAGCGCGGCTAACGCTCCGAGATCGCTCCGACTTTCTCAGTAACCGGCGCACTCTGTAAAACTCTCCCGCAACAGACGCGTTGGGCAATCACCACTTACCTGCCGCCAGCATACCTTTCTAGCCTCACATTTCCCCCTCTCCTTTCGTCCTTTGCCATGGCCGATAAATTGCGCACTCTCCAACAACTTGAGTCCCTCCAGGCCAAATACGTTGGCACTGGCCATGCCGACACCACCCGCTACGAATGGAGCCAAAACATCGTCCGCGACTCCCTCGCCAGTTATGTCGGTCACCCTCCTCTGCTTGCGTACATGGCCCTTGGGTTGGGAGAGAACAAAGAGATCGTGAGAGGACAGATGATTGAAAAGATGATCAGGGCGAGCGGACCGCCACCACAACGGGACGAGGACTGAAGGAGTCTGGGTTTCCCATCAGACGTCTTGGGACAAGAATTCACATCGAGTGTTGAGGACCGACACATGTCCAACCGGCCCTCAACTTATTTCGAGGATAGGTAATCGGCTTCCGCAATATCCACGATGGACGTACGGCTTCGCGGTCCTTTTCTATCCAGAACAACTGTTGAGCTCCCCATGACCGAGATCGACCACGGTACATTATTTAGGCGGAGCTCTCGACTAGCGAGTCCTATTTGGTGAAGACCAAGCATTCGGGTCAGGAACGCCAATACTTTCTTGGGAGGAATGGCCTTGCAGGATTCCAAGACTTGTCAGCTGCAAATCAGACGAGAGGAGCTGTGGCAGCCTTGCTGGGAAAGAACTAAACGAGGGCCAGAGCCTCCAAGACGAACCAGCTATGGATATGGAATTTCTCATTGCATACCAAGCCTCTTGAAAGTACAGTATGTGCAGTACCGGAAAATGTGTCTGCATATCAATCAAGTTGAGCTCGTCAGGCCCGTAAAGAAATTGCAGTTCATTCTGTCCTTGCTTGCTTTCTCAATCCCTAGGGCAATTGTGTGAAAACCACTCTGCCTCGTCTCCTGAATGACAAAACCTACAAGCCCGTCGTCCTGGAGAATGTAATGGCCTGTGGGCGGCCTGTTTGAAAAGGACAAAGAAAATATAAGTGTGGATGGCTGTTGGTGGGAGCGTACACTCCTCCTTTCCATTCATTTTGTCGACAATCCGCGTAGCCAAAGAAGTCGGTGGCCGAGGACCGACAATCAACGCCATTTTCTCCCATTATGACGCCGTAATGCCCATACCCCCCGTCTCCGTCGAGAGATGATCCCAGTTTCTTTTTTCTTGAAGATAATGCCCATTATTCGCTCCAGTTTGCAGTGCTTGTGCGCTCTTCCGCTCTGTGGAGGACACTCTAACGAAATTTCATAGCCGTAGCCTTTGCAATTCAAAGGCTGAAATATCGAGCATCAGAACGTGAATACTGTCATTAGAAAATGCCATTGACAATGTTGCTGCCAATTGTCGCTCCAGCCCCGAAGATGGCAGCGTTGCCCATCTTCTTGCCGAACTTCTTGCCCTGTTCTTCGAGCTTGCTGTATTTCCGACCTTCCGGTCCGACAGTGGAAGAGCCTGACTGGGTGATTTGAAGGGGCATATTGCCGTACTCAGTCGATTGTGAGTGGACCATAGGAGGCCGTCGGTCCTCGATGACATTTACATAGCTTCGTGGGAAGATGCCTTCTAGATTTGTCCTTTCATTACGACCTCTCCACCCTGGATTTGACGTTAGCACACTCTCGTACCCATATTCTGACAAGTAGCACGTACAGTCATTGTTCATATGCTCCAGAACTTGTATCCGATCACCTTGCTGGAGCGCCAAGTCTCCAGTATCTGTGGGCGTGTATGCGTAGAGAGCGGATGCAATTGACAGTATCGGAGGCGGAACGTATGCTGGAGGAGGGAGAGGCGCAGGTGTAGGCACAGGAGCATATCCTTCCTTCAGGTTCATGCTCGAAAATTGATCGACAGGAGTGTTGACGGCGCCATTGACGGGAGCGTGTAAAGGAGCATGTAGCGGCGTCTGAGCCGGTAGTTGTGCTAGGATGGAGGAGAGCTGCTCGGGAGAGATGATGGAGGTATCGGCGAGAAATTCCAGTTCCTATCCAAGGTCAATCTGGTGATCCGAGAAGGGGAGAGGTTGGAGAGGTTACACACAGTACGAATGGTACGGAGAGAGCGGTTGGTTAGAGCGATGGAGGCCTCGGTGGCCATGATACCGCGAGGAAATCAGAAGGCTCGGACGCGTATGAACCAGCAGATGCGAGACGCAAGAATGAAGAAAGGCGAAAAGAGATAGAAACGAGAGTGATGAAACTCAGCCTCGGAGGTGGTGGGTGGTCGAGTCGATGGTCGTTTGACGGATGAGGGAGGAGGTCAGGTTACAAAGGGTTTGAAGGGCAGAGGTTGGTGCAGACGGTCCCTCGGGAAAAGGTGAGGCGCAGGCTGAGAGCGTGCAAGATGACTGGCCTGCTGGGTAAAACGGGAGCGAGAGATCGGGCAGGGGAATAAGATGCGAGGGCCCAGGAGTGGTGGTGTGGTGTGTGGTTTTGGAGAAGGATAGGGAGTGGTGGTTGGACCGTGAGCTGGTTGCTGAGGGCTCGAGCGCGTGTGAGGGCCTGCCAGGTGGTTGCTGCAATGTCCAAGTGACTCCTTTACCGGCTGGGCCAGAAGCAAAGGGCACAGCTGCTGAGTTGCTCGCTAGGCATGACTTACTGGGTCTGGTTAGTGAGGCTAGGCACCGGGCAGGGCTCACTAGGCCTAACCACGGGGGGTGAAAAGGGATGCCTGACTTTTCGGACCAAGAACATGAAGTAATCCGTGTCTCAGAATGCCGAGCGAGCTAGTGCACCCGGATTTATCGGCATTACCTCTTGAGGCTAGCAGCAGGATTTTGGCGGGCATCGATCAACTATCTTTAACCATCCTTAAGAGTTCTTTAACTGGTGCCTGACGTCCGAAAGCCTTGTTGACCTTGTCAACCTCCAGAAACAGCAGCAAGAACAGGGATTTCCCGTCCAGGCCGCTCCAGTGGATCCCACTCATCTCCTTGCTGACTGTGGGCGTGTCTCTGCCATCTAAATTCAACGTCTTTCCTCGATGAAAGAATGACACGACAAAAGAGAACACAAAAGAAAAGGAAAGAAAAGAAAGAAGACCTTGTTATCGCTTTATGTTCGTTTCTGATTACAGTCCACCGCCTTTGTGCAGGCACTCACTCACTTTTTCGTGATTGCTGGAGTATGCGTACACCTCTACCTCCGATGTCAAGCGACAAGACTTCCCGTGCCAAAATAGGGAGAGCCATGGTTTGCTGTCCTGATTCCTGAAAGAGCAGGTAGCGGCCTTGCGGCTCACTTTATGCTCTTGATGAGATGCTACCTTCGTGAGTTTGAAATCTGGATGGCGTGTTCTTCATTGTCATCTTCCCTTGTCTTCTTTGCTGCCATGCAATCGCCCGTTGTTTGGCCGCATTACTGGGTGTAGCCGTGTGCGGCGTGCTACTTTAAACCCTCAACCCAGCACGCGGGGCATATACACCGCGCTCGGCACAGACAAACAAGAGCTGGATATGTCGGATTGCTCTATGCCTGACCGTTTGTTCAACGTCCAAACCGCGATTGTTTTCATCTGGACTAGTTATACAATAAATGGCGTTCAACGTCACTTGTCCCAGAATGCCCTCAGACCTGGTCATTGGGAGTTCGCTATATCTTCCCTACATCGAATTCACTACTTTTCAAGACCATAACCCACCTTCGCTGCTCCGACAATCACTCGCATTGAGAGTCCTATACAACTACCATTGTCTTTCATTGTGAGTATCACATTGCGCCATTGTCTCTGTCGCACCTTTATTCACCGCGCCTTGTGTTCACTGCCACACCGTGACTGCCTACCACTGATCATTCTCCCTATAAATATCCTCCTTGTCCTCTCTCCCCCCAGACATCTTACCCACAGATCATTCTTTGCATGTGTATTTGAAGAGCTTTACTGGCTTTGGCTCTTATATACTCACATCGAGCACACAGAAGTCAACCCATTCCTCGCTTCAGCTAACTCCATCGCCTTGTCAAAGATGGCCGTCCAACAATCCCTCAAACCTCAATACTTTGTCACCCGTCAGAATGGCGCCCTAGTTCCACTTGTTGCCATGGATGAGCTGCCAATTCACGTCCAGATCGAGGGTGTTTCTCGAAGTCTCAGTGTCTTTGAGACCGCTGGCATGACAAGTGTTGGCGTCTGTGAATCCCGACACGAGTTCTATGTCATATCAAGCATGAACAACACCAGATCAATCCCTTCACCACCCGCCTGCGCTCTGCAAACTCCGGTCTCGAAGGTTTCGGCACCAACTTCCATCGTCAAAACTCCTGTGTTGCGTCCGACTACGCCGTCTGGCCCTAGCCCGCCAAAAACACCCAATGTCGCCGAAAATCAACCCAGCGAAACATCTAGCAACACCGTTCCATCTTCCGCCGAGTCGAACGAAGGAGAAGACAAGTCGACCCGACCCTCGACCCAGTCCCCCAGTCCTCGTCCCAACGCTGGACCACATGGGATCTTGCCCGCCAACACCACCACCTTCACTCCTCTGGCATGGCGAAGCACGGCTGCATCCCTCACTGCAGCAAGCAACACTACTGCTCCTCCTGCCGACCCTGTTCCTGAGATGCCACCGACGGGCCAGAAGGTGTACTGCTCATACTGGCTGCGCAACGGCGAGTGCAACTTTGCCCAGCAGGGGTGCATGTACAAACACGTGATGCCGATGAAGCTGGAGGTGCTCGAGGCGCTTGGCTTCCGCGACCTCCCAGACTGGTACCGCAAGACGTACAACGTGGGCAGCCTGCGTGTCAACGGCGGGCGCAACGGGCTCAGCTACGGCATCCTGGACGGCAACAAGCCCGCGCCGCGCTTCGCGGAAAGCACCAAAAACATGCTTGCCTCGCACATCACCCCCCTGCCCACGGTTAACGGGAGAGGCGGCGTCCAAGCTTACCGCCCCGCCGACAACAACCGACACCCGCGAGCCGCCGGCAATCACCACCACTACCGTGGTCGCGGAACCGGCAACCAGCGCGGCCCCGCCCATGCCGCCAAGGCCTGGGCCAATGCGCGAGAGCGCCGGGACGAGTGCCTGGCGGCCGCCTTCGCCGCCGACATGGACAGCGAGCTCGGCGACATGATGGACGCACAGATGGAGAAAATCCGCGAACGGGAGCAGGCCGGGTGGGAGGAGGAGCAGGAGGCGGCGAGGAAAGCGGCTGCCGAGGCGGACAAGCACGGCGAGAAGAGCAACGAGACCGAGAACGGCAGCAAGGAGGGTGAGAAGGACAAGAACACTCCCGTCGCTGCTGCTGCTGCTCCTGCTGTGGTGAAAGACGAGCAGAAGCCACGCCATGCCGCCCAGCACAAGGCCGATCACAAACAGGACAAGGGACAGAGACTCGAGAAGCTGGCGCAGAGCAAAGCGCAGCGACAATCGCGAAAGAAGACTTGAGTCAGAGTTTCACATGACGACAACGACACGGTATCAGTGAACGGGGCGCAGCCATCACACTTGCACAGGGACGGTAAAATACAGCTGTGGTTTTTTTTTTCCTCCCAAAAAAACGGACCATCAAGTGAGTGAATTGAGTCAATCCAGAGCAGTCTTGGAGAGATTCTGCATGGTCAGGAGGCCGGCTCTTTCTTCTTTGTTTTGATTTTTTAATTTAATTTATTTTTGGCTGCAGCGACGGAGCTACAACGGAGAGAAAGGCACCAAACAATGCAAATGAGAGCTGTGGGAGCTGAGAAACTGATGATGCTAGACGGTATGCGAATTCACCACACTTCACAGCATGATCACATCGAATGCCGGGGAATCCCCCCAGTGTATACTTAATTACCTACCTAGGTCAAGTAGCTAGCTAGCATTGCTCCAGAGATACCTTTTTGCTTCTGTTTCTGTTCTTCTTTTCTTGTTCTCTCCCTGGTCTTGCTGAAAGGAAGCGAACAGCGACTGAAAGGATAGACGGTGACAGACAGACAGACAGACAGACAGACAGATGAAACGACTTTCAGTTGTTACAAGCCATGTCCTTCGGCTTTATAATTGGTTCTTTCTTTCCTGCTTTTCCTTTGGTTTTGTTCCACAATGTGCCATTCGAGATCTATACTACGGTATAATAACCCGCTGTTTTTTTACAAAAGACCGGGAGCGAGCGATTACGACGGTCTCAACAAGGGCGCCGGCGGCCGTCCCAACGCCCGAACATAATCGTGCACCAACTCCTTGCCGTCGAGGACCGCCGGCGCCGCCGCCTGCTGTGCCGCCGTCTGGCCCAGCAGCTTCTGCTCCTGTCTCGCGATCAACAGCTCCCGGACCCGCGCGGGCTTCAGCTTCCAGTTCTCGGGAAACTCGATCTTCTTCTGCGGCTTGTGGTGCCGCAGGTCGAGCGGGATGTCTTCAAACGTGTCCTTGCCGTTGCGCGCCTCGTCCAGCAGCTTCTTCACCTGGTCGCCCAAATATCGCTTGTTCTGCGCGGGCGCTTCGAAGGCCTCGCACGACATCTTGATCATGTCCGTGTCCGGGTTGTAGCGCGGGCCGACGAGCTTGAGCAGCTTGAGACGCTGCTTCTCGGTAAGGTTCGGGAGGTCTTTCGAACAGAACTGCACGACCACTTTGCGGGCCGCCGGGTGGTGTTCCCCCATGTACGTGGTGTAGCGAAAACGCAGGGGCGTGGCCTCCGTCGGGGGTGTGAATGGTTTGGCAAACTCTGAGAAGACACATTAGTGGGATTGCAGTGATGGGGTGATTGGACTCAGTCCAAGGAGACTCACGTTGTAATAAGGGCATATCCCACGCAATGACCCGCGTGTACTCTCTGATCTCTCGGTGGAGGTCCAACTCGCTGTGCGCCACACTTGAGATGGCACTCTCGTCCCACTCCTCGTCGCCATCTTCCACCTGCGTGAAGTCATCGTCCTCCTCGTCCAAGGCCCAGAATCCCACCTCGTTGCCCTTTAGCGGGACGTCGGGGAAATCCAGCGGCTCGACTTCCTTGCCGATTTCCCGGTCCACACTGTCGACAAGCCGCTCCATCAACGGGTCCTGGGCGTTGGGGTCGGCGTTGAAGTTGATCCCAGCTTCTTCGAACTCGGCGGCATAGTGATTCTGCAGCGCCAGGTATGACTCCTGGTCCTTGGGCGAGAGCATTTGAAAATCGGCCAGTTCGTCGGGATCGAGGTCGGCGAGGGTGATGGGCGCGGAGGGGACTTTGTAGCCGCCTTCAGGAGGTCTGCTGAGGTCCAGGTCTTCGCCATCTTCGTCATCGTCTCCGTCCTGGTCGAACGCACCGGTTCTTCGATTGTTGTCCGCCCGGCGCGGCCAAGATGTCGAGAGTGACCGAAATTGTACGCTCGTGCCCGTGACTCGATGCCGTTGCGTAAAGAGCTGCGACTGGGCTGCTTGACATTTTCGCTTCACGGGTATCTGTCGACTGACCTGAAACAATGACCGACAGAGATGCCGTGCCGTGGTGGCCATCGTTGCTGCGTGTCTGGGGATCTCTTGTGAGCCTGCGCATTGGAAAGCTTGAGATAAATTTCCCCAAAATCGCATTTGCATCTGGATGCCTTGTGGCTGGCCGTACAGCCAGGATGAGTCAGCTGCTCAGCTCGTGGCCCGTTTGATCCACCGAAATCTACGTCTTGTGCTCTCTCTCAACGCCCTGTCCATGCTGCCTCCCTGCTCACAACCCTGTCTGTGGGGATTTGGATAATGAGTGATCGGAAGAAATCGAGCAATACCTCTGGGAAGCGGTGCTTTGTGACAATCGGCGCAACAGCTCCCTTCAACAGTCTAGTCCGTGCCGTACTGGAGCCCACCTTCATCCAACCCCTCCGCGAGGCAGGATATACACAGCTACGAATTCAATACGGCGATCACGAAGGTGAAACCATATTTCAGAGACGGTGCGAAGCTCTGAGGGACGTCGGACTCGATAAAGGTATTGAGATCACCGGTTTCGGCTTCAACAGAGAAGGGCTGCGAGGGGAGATGCTTGCCGTGAAGGGCGGGTCCCCGCAAGACGAGGGCATGGTCATCAGCCACGCCGGGTCCGGATCGGTCCTCGACGCCCTGCGCATCGGCGTGCCCATTGTGGTGGTCCCCAACACCGATCTTCTGCACAACCATCAAGTCGAGTTGGCCGAGGCCCTGGCCGAGCAGGAGTATGTGATTCATGGCAAGCTCGACAATCTCGCGGGCTCGATAGCGAGCGCCGAGGATTTGCGGAGGAAGATGAAGCAGTGGCCGCCGCTGAGGTCAGGGGAGGAAAAGTACAAACGCGGACTCGAAGATGTCATCGCCGAAGAGATGGGCTGGCAGATGGACTGATGTGGTACGCCCCCCGGGTTGGGCCTTTCTTGGACGGTGTCAAAACTTAGTGGGTCTCTGTGACCTGGCTAATAATGTACTTTGGAGGCGATCGGGTGTTAACTGAAGAAATGTTCAGCAAAGAGTAAGAGGTGGCAATCGATGTCATGAACGACCGTAACGCTGTGATTTCCCTCGACCCATTGGATTTGGCAAAGAGTTATCAACTTGCACCAAGCAGGCATTTCCTTCTGCTACAGAGAAAGCCGGTGCAGGACAGTGAGCAAAAGCCCGAAACTAATCACCCAGTCGTGGCCTTCGCGAATTTTGGTAGACACGCCCTCTTTTCCATTACACATCTCGCCGACTGGTGCTTTCTTTAGAGCCGGGGTGATCGCCGATGTCCACGCTCCTTGTTGCAATCAGACACTGCTTTGGGTTCATCAACAAGCCTTCCTTCCTTCTGAGACATGTTTCTCTTTGCAAAATGGCAGTGCCCAATAGTCCGAACTCCGTAGCAGACCCTGGACTCCGTATGACCACATAAAGGTAGTAAGCTGCTCCGTGCAGCTCTCCCATCAGCTCTGCTCGTCAATGGCCAAACTGCCACCTATATTTCAGGCTCTGATTGTGCGGCAGAACGCTCCGGGAAGGCCAACGTTCGCGCATAGCGGTAGGTATGCGGTCCATCCGATGTCCTCGCTCGGCTCTGCCATTCGCGTATCTTCTTTAGCAGGTCTTCCTCTTGTACCCAATCTGGGTCATGCTGCTGCTGAATACGAATGATTTGCAGCATCAAGCCATCGACTCCGTCGTGATACCCATCGCAAAATGTCTCATCGTTCACGACTCTTGCCCCGACTTTATACAATTCATGTGTTATTGAGCTCTCGGTCATGCTGATCCAGGCTTCCTATGCGAAGACCGGCCCACTGGCCACGGTGCCTTTGTTAATCAATGCTTGAATCTGCGGAAGGAACTGTCGTACGGACATCTTCCAAGCCCAATGCCACCTGCTTTCTCTGTCGGGGAATTCTGTCAAATTTGCGCTTTCCACTTCAAAACGCGCCTCATTGATGATGTCGTCGCGCTTCCCTCTAGCCGTAGCTTTCGCGTATTCGAAAGCTTCTGTTCTTATGAGCTAGCAATTGTTTCCGCGTGACCTCGCCAGTGGCAGGATGTGCAAGCAGTGTCCGGACCACGTCCCGCACATCCGAGTTGAACAAGAGCTGGGTGACAAGCTCTGGAGCTCAAGACTCATTAGCGTCCGGCCGGACTAACAAACATGAGAAGCATAATCCATACAACCCTCGAGCTTTCTTGTTGCCGCTGCGCGTTTTGAAGGTCCCTGGAGCACGTCACTTTGTTCTCTCTTGAGATTTGTGGCCATGTTGAAGGCTCAGGGTGTTGTATTGACCAGGGACAAGGTTCGAGTAAAAAGTCGTGTGAAGGGATGTCGTGTCGTAGTGTCTGAGAACTTGATTTCGTTGACGCGGCTGCAGCCTAGATAGACATGCATTCTTGAAACCACGTTGGCCTCGGATTCCTGTGGCGCAATGACCCCGGATTCCTGTGCCACCATCAGCCTTAATTCTTGTGAATTAATGACCTCGCGCCGGCACTATTATGGAATCAAGCCAAAAAGGCGGTGAGCACTTATACGCTGGTTCTGCGAACTGCATAGTTAGATCGAGACTGTATAAAGGACCTTCTGTCGACCCCTATCTCCATTCTTGGAATTCTGTGGGTTCCGAGTTATTGTCTGGGCTCAACTGGCGCTTGTTGGCAATATCAAGACGAGGAGAGACAGAATGGCAGAGAGAGATATGGCCAACGGAAACGACACTCAGCGATTGTATGGGCAAGAAGACCCTCTCCGATGAAAGCAACACGCTGACAGTCCCAGATGAACTCAAAAAGAATAGGCGGAACGTCCAAGGGAAGGCCTAGAGCACATCTCACTGCCATTCTATTCTTCGAGGTTGTCGCCGTTGTGTGTGTGATCATCACCGCCGCCACGAAGCGGACTGTGCCTATGCCTGTGATCTTCCTTCGGCTTTCCATATTCTAATCCCCAGGTTTGACTCGCCTGCGGCCTCAAACTCAGCACTTTGTCAATGTCCTGAGATGTCTGGATTTGTCCGTTGGTAGCTCGCAAGGCGACCCTCTCTCGATTAGAGCGAAGCATTCCAGCACTGGGGTCATAGCCGCGAATCCCGTAGTAGTCCTGCACCTGCTTCTCCTGAGCTTTCCTTTCTGCCTTGAGTTTGTTGTTCTGCCTTGCTCGATCTTTGCTCTCTTGTCTTTCCCCCCTTCGCTTTCTGTCTTCTTCCGCTCGCCGTGCATTTCGTTCTTGTGTCGCTGCTTCTTTGCGAGCTTTGGACTGTGCCTTTCGCTCATCTTGCTGGCGCTTATGGACTTCCTCCTTTGCAGGGTCTCTGACGCCTTTGGATCGCGCAAACAAGATGCGGTCGAAGATCTTGTTCGATCTGATATGATGTGCTGCCGATATTCCGGGGGCAGGCAAGGTGAGAAAGGAGCCCTCGCCTTCTGGACAGCCATGGGACACTCGTTCCACGACATCGTCGAGATCCTGGCTTGCTGGTCCACGAAGTGCGCACTCCTGGGTGTAATTTGGCTCGGGCTTCGGTAGGTCGGCCATCTTGTTCACACAGGATTTGGGTCGCCGCGGTTGAGCAGAGACTGCCGCGAATGAGATATGGATAGGATCGAGTTGAACCGGAAGAAGCGACGCTCACTGTTTCGGTGGATTGTCAAGATACAATGGATGAAGAGCGCAAGAAGCAAGACAATAAAGATAGGCGCGATAAAATATTGCACGAATTCGATGAGGTTGTCGAAAGCCATAGGTGAGGTGACTGACTAGCAAACAGAAGGCTACAACGAGTGACGGATAGAAAACAGGCCGTCCCCCGTTGATAACTGGGGCCGAACCGCACCCTGTCGCCCCTGGACAAGGCAGGCACGACGCTCCAGGTGGAGTGTCTCTTTCGTGCCCAACAAAGCTCCAGCCGTAAGCTTAGCATCTGGCTCATTTCCAAGTGGCTGGTTTCAATTCCCTTGCTGGCATGGAGTCCCGCTTTGTTGGGCATCCTGTACGGCATGTGCGTACTGCCTTGCTCGGCCTGCATGGCAAATGCATATTTGGCTTCGAAAGAGGGGTCAAAGGTCATGTCGACGTGGAATTCGGCCTTCTGTTCCGATCTACGTCAAGGTGCTGCCGTCTTGGGGTGTCCCTAAGGCCAGCGATATTGGTACCTGAACGAGGTGTATGTGTCCAGACGACTCGCTTCCAGTCACGGGTATTCGCTTGGTGCCTTTTCTCTGTGTAGAACAGCATCTGATCTCACTGGCATGCTCATGATTTTACCGTCTGTTATCATTTGCACCAGGCGGACCGCTCATGTTGAAACCCGGCGGAGGAGGGGCTTGGCTTTGATTCATGCCACTACCAGGTCCCGGGCTTGGACCTCCTGGTGGGCCTTGCTGACCTTGTTGACCTGGGGGCGGGAATCCGCCCGGCGGCCCGGGGGGAGGAAATTGGAAGTTTGGAGGAAATCCTCCGGGCGGCGGTGGAAACGGCAAACCGTTAGGGAGGGCTGGCGGAGGAGCGCCACCAGGCGGGAAGGGTGGAAATGGTATGCCACGACCACCGGGAGGAGGAGGTACGATGCCCCCAGGGCCTGGCGGTGCTGCGCCAGCCAGTGCGAACGGTGGAGGAGGCATTCCTGTACGGGATCCCGATGAGTTGAAGTTTATGTGAAGTCAGGATCGAACATACCGGGAAATCCAGGAAGAGGCGGAGGAAATCCTGGCGCAGCTTGTTGAAGCATGGGGTTCGCTTGGCCTTCAGCGGCGTAAGAAGACGTGATCGAGTCAATGACCGACTGTGCTTTTTCGTGGCCAATCTCTGAATCTTGTTAAACACGGTTGCCCTCGTCTTGCCTTCTGGTACGTACGCTGATAGTACTCGACGACGTTCCTCAGGTGATTTCGGCCAGCGTTATGGGCCTTGCGCACAGACATTGAATCATGTGTAAGGTAGACATCGCAGTAGTCGCAAAAGAGTACTATGTGTGTCAGTCAAGCAGTCACACGTGGAGATGGAAGAGAGCACTTATATTTGGGCATTTTGAGAGATGTAATGACTTGATTCCAACGAAGGGTGGTATGGTCGTATTCAGTGTTGGCAAATTGAGTGGTAGGTTAGTGGTGTTGGGATGCGAATCTCTGCGTTGTGGTGAAAGTCGATGCTCGATGGTGGAGGAAACAAATCCTACAAAGGCGGTGTAAAGCGGCAGAATTTTCTCTGATCGCGTCCCGACACTGCAACTCGCGTCCTCACTTGTCCACCTCCCTATTCCTCTCCTGCAACAACCACATCACTGGCACAATGCGGTGATCGAAGCAGCAGTCTCCTTTTCGTGTCAGTCTTTGCTTGCTTGGAATACTTTTGGTCGCCATGGCCGACGGTGGAAGTCTGCACAACGTACCGCTCGTGCTGGACAACGGAAGCGGCACCATTCGAGCTGGCTTCGCTGGGACCGATCTTCCTGCGGCCTATTTCCCTTCCTATGTTGGTCGTCCTAAGCACGTGCGGGCCCTTGCCGGCGCCCTGGAGGGAGATGTTTTCATCGGACCGAAGGCGCAGGAACTACGGGGTCTCCTGAAAATCAAGTATCCGCTGGAACATGGGATTGTGACTGATTGGGATGATATGGAGAGGATCTGGACTTATGTCTACGAACAAGAGTTGAAAACACTGAGCGAGGAACATCCCGTCCTTCTCACAGAGCCACCCCTGAACCCGAGACAGAATCGAGACACGGCCGCCCAGATCCTCTTTGAACAATTCAATGTGCCTGCCGTATACATGTCAATCCAAGCAGTTTTGAGTTTGTATGCGAGTGGTCGAACCACCGGTATCGTTCTGGACAGCGGAGATGGGGTCAGTCACGCAGTTCCCGTCTACGAGGGCTTTGCCATTCCGAGCAGCATACGGAGAATCGACGTGGCAGGAAGAGACATCACAGAATATATGCAACTGCTCCTGCGCAAGAACGGACATGTGTTTCATACCAGTGCAGAAAAGGAAATCGTCAGGATCATGAAAGAGAAAACCGCATACATCGCGCTCGATCCTCGCAAAGAAGAGAAGGACTGGTCACAAGGGATCTGGAAGAACGAGAAAAGGGATGTCGAGTACGTGCTCCCAGATGGCCAGAAGATCAAAATTGGGGCGGAACGGTTCCGGGCACCTGAGATCTTGTTCGAGCCCGAATTGATCGGGTTGGAATATCAGGGCATCCATCAAATGGTGGTGGATGCCATCAACCGGACGGACATGGACCTCCGCAAAAACCTTTTCGGAAATGTTGTCCTCAGCGGTGGTACGACTCTATGTAAGGGGTTTCCGGACCGACTTCTGTATGAAATGCAGCGGCTGGCGGTCAAGGATATGCGCATCAAGATATACGCACCCCCTGAGCGAAAGTACAGCACTTGGATTGGCGGCAGCATCCTGGCTGGGTTAAGCACATTCAGGAAGGTCAGTGTCGAGCAAATTTTTCCCGGTGTTGGCTCACCACTAACACCACACCAGATGTGGGTCAGCATCGACGACTGGCATGAGAATCCAGACGTTATCCACACGAAGTTCACCTGATTGAGCAGCGAGCACTTCGGCTTCGCTAGATCCAGGCCTCGAAACAACGAGCATCTGGCGGTGAGGCTAAACAGAACAGCAGGAAACCTTTTTGGGTCAGGCACCACCTACAGTATTCTCCCGCTGTCATGGAGACAAACCAATTTTGGGTCCGGTGATCCATGACACCTTGAGCCACCGACTTGGGCAACTGCGGGGAAGTGCCGAAAATCCGGGGATGGGTCTAGCCACAGGTCAACACAGGCTCTGGAAGCACTGTCCGGATCGAGGCAGACCAGAGCCTGTGTTGACCGGGGGGGACATTCCCTCTGGTAGTGGACGGGTACGGGCACGGGCGAGATCGCATCGATGATCCCTTTCTCAGGGGTAACCGCAACAACGTGTCGGCTTGTCAGGACAACAAGTCAGCGGCGAAGAGCTCACAAAGAGAACGAATGTGCGAGCGGCAAGGGCTGTCTCAGGGGCCCCGGCTCCAGCGGTTGCTGACCATGGTGACCATGGTGACCGAGGTGACAGTTGGTGATGGACTGGAGCAGCATAGCAATCTATTACCCCCAGGAAACGACCGTCCCCGCTCTGGGCAGCACACGATTACCCCATAGATTGCTTCGGAGGGCAGCGCGTGGCGGAGGGACAGGCCGAAATGAGGCTGGGCATGACTAACGGATTCGAATCGCGTGGTCAACCTGACGTCTTGCTGCAGCCAATCAGCACGCTGCCGGCGACTCCGCCGCAGGAATTTTCTTCGAGAGACTTTCGCCCTCGCCCAGCTTCCGCCCATCACGCATGTACCACCACGTACCCTCACCAGCTTGGCCAGCTCTTGGTTTTCCTTAGGACAGAGTTCCTTGAATATCCACCTGCGACTCCTTGTTCCATGACGCCAGTCTTGTCTTTTCCCGCTCCTTGTGTCGCCATCTGCCCCCATCGTGACCTGCAAATTTGCACCTTCGCGCTTTGCAGTTAACGGCAGGCCTGTCTCAACTTTGGTCGACACTTTCCAGTTAACTGCAAAGTGCGAGAAGGTGCTGGATTTCTATCGAGTAATGGCCCCAGCATTGACACATTGACAATGCCCTCAGCCCGCCTTTCCCCCCCTTTGCTTGCGTCTTGGCTGGGGATCGTCGCGTCAACTGTTCCCTTTGTTGTCCGTATAGAAAATTTTCACTTGCCATGGCCCGTGTTGTCTGTATATAATCACCTGGTCCCCTAGCCCCTTCCTCGTGACGGCCGTTCACCACTGATCTACTGACCTATTGACAAAAGCCCATCGTCACTTATTGACCTGTGCGGGAAAATACCTCACACCAGCCACACAACAAACAACAACAACCAGAACTATCCAAAGCTTAACCCTGTCACCTGACAGCTCGTGAGAATCCAATCGAATCCCATTCCTGGCGTCACGCGGTGCACCAATCATAAATACTTCTGATCAACACCACCACCACCAGGGGTACTTTTCTACAAATACACTACATCTGCTCAGAACATCAAGCAAATAAGGCGAACAACCTCAAACAATCCAGTGCTCAAATCACACACACACACACACACACACACACACACACACACACAATATACCTCAAAGAAAAGATGTCCACGTCAACGTCAAGATCCTACTCCATCGTCGAGCCTCACCCCTCAGTCGCCAACAACATGCACTACATCTCCACGGGGCGAGGTGGATTTGGCAATGCAGTGAGATCCTCGTCGAGCAACACCTCAGCATGGGGCAGCGGTAGCGAGCGCACAGCGTCACGGCTCGGGTCCATGTCGGCATCGTCAACCACGTCGTCGGCCTCCAGCTCGCGCAAGACCTTCACCACCGGCCGTGGCGGCGCGGGCAACGTCTTCCCCAGCTCGGAGCGCGCCATCTTCAGCTTCGACGAGGAGCTCGAGCAGCAGCTGCGCTGGGAGCGCGACGCCGCCCCCGTGTACCACGTCGGCCGGGGCGGTGCCGGAAATATTGGGCACGTTAGCACTAGCGGCACCAGCCGCACGTCTCCTCCTCCTCCTCTAGCCGGCGTCGGCGGCACCGGCGCCGTGATGATGCAACGCAGGCCCAGCGAAGATAGCTCCCTTTCGGCCAACAGCGCCAGCTCGCGTGGTAGCGAGTCCGGTGCTGACCAGTTCAACCGCAGCGTCAAGAAGGGCTGGAAGAAGATCACCGGCTTGGGCATGCATCATCACCATCACCACAACCTCCAGCAATAATAGCCCCGCCATCACCATCATCAGCGCATGACTGACTGGCTGGCTGGCTGGCTGGGGTGAACATGACCCCCATACCAGGCATCTCCTTCTCCTGGTCTCTTTTCCTTTATCTTCTTTGTCGACCATCACATCATCACATCATCGCCACTATCAATCGCACCTCTCTCTTGTCTCTATCTCTGCATATGACTGGCCGGACAGGAGTTTTTACCACACGCAAACACAACATTTTGAGGGCGAGATGCTTTTGATTTCTCTTTTTCTCAGGAGAAACATTGGGACGGTGATGATAAACGACGACAAATGAAACACACACGGCATTTGCATGATGATGATGACTGACGACTTTTTTTTCTTTTTTGTCTTTCTTCGTTAATGGTTGATTGCATTCAGGCGTGGCGTTCTGGGGGACACATGGATTTTTATTTGCTGCATGTGCTCCCCGACACACCTCTCCATCGAGGGAGTTCGTCGGGGACCTACTACTAAGGGGAAACTTGTGATAATGATCCAAGTGGGCCCCCGAAGGGAACTGGCATTGATTAGCATGGCATGGCATGGCATTATAATGTACATCATGCACTGGCAAGGTGTACACCGGACAGATGCAATATTTGGAAAGCATAGCATGCGGACGGACACAGACACAGACACCCAGAGGGAGAGGAGAGATAGGTATGGATATGGGCATGGGCATGGGCAAGGTCCGGATGAATGGTGCATTGGAAACGGGGAAAACAAAAATTTGAATTGCGTTCCTTGAATATCAATCCTCTTGTTCTCACCAGATATGTATTTCTACGACCTTATCTTTCGTGAACGCGGCCCTGAGCCATAGGGTGACATGCTCGAACAACAATAGCAACATCATTGCAAGGCACTTGTTGTAATTCATTTTGCTCTAAGCGTTTTTATTTTTCATAATCTTGTACATCATGTCTCGTTTCATTCCACCCTTCTCTCAACACCTTGTCGACTCACGGTCAGGTACTTGACGCCTTTATATGGTCGGACGCCGTCGCCCAGTCCTTTAGATTTCTTCACGTCGACCACCAAGCTGTCGACCTTGATCCCACTAGAGAGCCATCCTTTGACACTGAACGAGACCGAGATCGATCGTGGCATCAGTGCCTTGGTGGCTTGTGTCCTCTTGGAGTTGCCATTTCCTGACGGGTCGGAGGCCGTGCCCTGATTAGCGACGACATCTTCCTGGTAGTATCCTGCCATGGTGTTCTGTTTGCCGATCTCGGCAGCTTGTGTCTCTTCGTCCATGTCACTCTGCGCATTGAAAGCACCGGCCACTGTTCCGGTCAAGGTCGCCGTTCCGTTGATCGATGCTCCATCCTTGGTAGGAACTTTCCACTCGACAACCCTGTCGAACGCGTTGAACGTGGCTTCCCCCCTTGAGGCCTTGAGTTCGGTGACGCTCCGCACGTCGGAAGGAAACGGTATTGTGACCATCACGGCTTCTAGTGTGGGGGCAGTGGAACTACCACTGCTGGCACCGCCAAAGGACAGAGACGAGATCGGGCCCGAGCTTGTCCGCGAGGCGTTCGGTTTGGTGACCGAAGAAACACCAGGAAAGTTGTTGTTCAAGGTCAATTTGGCTTCGAATTCGGAACCTGAACTACCTAGTCCGCCCCGGAGGTCTACGGTGGCTGGTAAGAATATCTTGTCACTTTTGCTGGGAGGCTGATCCGTGTCGAGGGGAGTGGGCATCAAATCGGTCTCGTAACCTGCAAGCATGAAACGGCCGTCTGGCGGCACGAATGACAGCTCTCCCGGGTGTTCTTTCCATCTCGCTAACCGCACGCAGGGATGGAAGACAGGTAGTTGCATCGTACGAGTGATCCCTGAGGTTTTGGCACTACTGGTGCCTCCAGGCGCGGTCAATACCAACAGTAGATCTGGGACCCCCGATATTTTGGCTGTGAATGCAATCGAACCGTGTGAACGCGCGGATATGGGGCGACCTGAGGGAGCGAATATGACGGACAGATTCTCAATGATATCGACATATAGCTCGTTAGAGGTATGCCGGACATTGGGCTTCCGCCACGGAATTGCTGGGCCTACAGGCGGCGAGGCCGTCCCACGCAGACTGGAAGAAAAGTTGCTTGACGGCCCAAGAGCAGGTGAAGCCCTGCAAGAGTTAGCACGGCGCAACCTTGCGAAACACGGTCTGTGTACCCAGGCAGTCCTACGTGTGTGAACAACTTTCCCAGCACTGAAGAAACTTCTACCGATTCTCGCAGCGCATTGGGTTCGGTGTTGCATATTATGCCACCATCACACATTTCACCCAGTAACTGAGCCACAATTTCATAGTTGTCTTCGATCTTTGTGGTCAACAGGGGGCTCCCAAGGAAATCCTCGAATACATCGAGGACGCGTTGGAGGAAATCGAGGATGGCCAGCGACTGGGCATCTTTGCCAGATACCGCAATCAGCTGAAAGTTTGACGGAGAGATCGAGTATGCAGTGGTTGGGGGAGCGAGATCTGAGAGTTGGAGGATGGATGGTCGAGGACCGGTTCGTGCAGTCAAGCTGGAGATGAGAGTCTGCGCAGACGGTGGGCGACCCGAGTAAAGGTGTTCGAGGACGCAGTTGCTGGCAAAGGGTCAGCAAGCAATTCAGGTTTCCCACGGTAGACATCGATAAGGATCACCTACTTGTGATCATCAAAGACGTAGAGCGCGTCAATGGTGACGCTCATATTGGGAAGGAATCCTCGGATGTTTAACTCACAGCGTGGCGCATGGTGGGCATGAGATGGATTCTCCTCACCGGCACCGCCAGATCTCTTGCCACTTTAACAATCCGTCACTCCAGAACTTTCTCTCCAAACCATGCGCCGACAGCGTCGCTGTTTTCCATCTCCTCTATGTCGTGACACCCTTGAAGCATCCAATTCACGCAGGAGAGCGTATGCAGCAATCTGGTGTGTCCATTGCCTTTGCCGCCCCATGTCGTGGATGCCTCATATATTACCAACTTAACCATTTCTACCGCATCTCCTCTAAGCGAACTGCGCTGACACCCTGACTGCACTTCTACTAGCATGAAACGGGTCCTATCTCCCTGTGGCATCAGCATCCGGCGATCAGCAGCAATCACCTCAACCCTACAGCCCATATCTGTTGGCTTGATTGGCTTCCAGACCGCGCCCAACGGTCGCTTAATTTTGGTAAGTGTGGGCAGCATGGATATTCTGCTTGACAAATGTTTTGTGAACATAGACCCCCGTCGCTTGTTCCACGGTCTCTCCGCGAGTGGCTGTACGAGTAGCCCTATGCTTCAGACACCTTCGCCTTTTGACGATCTCTCTCACATCGTAAGAGATAGCAATTCACGAAATTGCGAATGGAACCAAACCTTCTTTGCCCCCAGACACACCGAAAGCCTGGCGAGCTGTTCAGTTTCAGGCGGCCAGCCACGTATATGGAACACAACCTGTATAAGATGAGATGAATTTCTACTCTGACTAAGTGTGCATTGTGTTTGGCTTGAGTGGATATGATGCTCTGGAGGCTAAGCCGCCATATCTCACCTACCAAGCTACTCTAGTAGGCGTTTCTTACTCTCCGTATCCACTGGCTCCATCACATCGCCCTACGAAGCGACGTGCGTTCAAGATAGGACACCGCATAATGGGTATCTGACCGCCTTATAAAGGAAGACTATCCCCTTCTCTTCTATACCCAGCCGACTCTATTTGTGTCCATCTGACTACCAGTTTCAAGACACTTCCATCGTGGCAGCCACTGAACGGCACTCAACCCAGCATGGGCATCAGAACACTGTTTCCGGCTTCCAGCCAGAAGCCGCGATCGCAGTACTCTATTGCTACAAATATTGGATCTGGCAAGAAAACCGGGTTTGGCCCCTGGGCTGGGTGTGACATCGCCGTAAGTAGATTTTCCACACGAGGTCTTCGGTCTTATGGGCGAGTCGAACTCACCCATCGTCCCTACAGCTTCTCAAGGACAACTTCTCGGTGACAACTTGGCTCCTTATGGGTGGTGCCATCCAGATCCTGCTTTCTTTTATCTTTCCTCGATCTTATGCCGCTTTCCCGGTTCTGCTCTTCTTGGCCTGGAACATCATTGATGCTTTCTTGATGCACTTTGGCCTGAAGAAGAATATCTGGGCTGAGGGTGTTATCGATGGGAAATGGAGCGTGGCATATCCTTCCGAGGGGGAGAAAGAGGTTGTCCATGGCAATCCCGGCGAAAACGGCCCAGGCGCCGTCATGATTCTGGGAGCAAGGTGCAATTCACCGCTGGGCTTATTTGCTGAAGGTGAGCATCGGCCCTTTGAGCAGGATCAACCAGCTCTGATCGGTTAATATTCCAGGCTACAAGGAGGTCGCCGATTGGTTTGAAGTCATGCTTAGGCAATTAGAGGACAGTCGGGAAGAAACTGGTTGTAAGTTGCTTGCTGCTTCCTGCACGCATTCTTTACTGACTCTTTCTAGTCATGGGCATGTCAATCTGGCTCAATGCGGGCGAACGGTCTACCGGCAATGAACTCGCGACCATTTCGTACTGGCGTTCGATCGAGGACATCCACAAATTTTCCCTGTCGCCGATTCATCGCCAGGCCTGGAACTGGTGGAACGACACCGTGTCCAAGCACAAGCACATCGGCATCATGCATGAAATCTTTGCTCTGCCGGAACGCCAGGGCTGGGAGGGTATCTATGTTAACTACCATCCAACCGGCCTGGGCATGACGAGTCGGGCTGCTGGGCCAGCTGAGAAGGGAGGTGAGAAGATGTGGATCAACCCCATCGTGGATGCCACTCGAGGCCCCTATTCGACTAGTCGAGGGCGCATGCACAGAGGAGACCCTGAGGGCAAGAGTCACGAAAACGTGGCCAGCAATCCCTATTCTCAGGCTGTCCTTGTGGAGTAGGTGACGAGGGGATGTGCGTGGAAGGCAGCACGGCGTCCGTGCAGCCACGAGCAACGGAACAGCTGGGACAATGCTAGATTCCACCATTTATGTGCGAAGAGCCAGGCAAAAAGAATACTTTGTCACTAACCTCAATTTACTCGTCATGACGCCACATCCGTCGTCTCCCTTGTCAAGGCTCTTCTGGTAAACTGAACGCACCAGGACTTTCAGTTCTATTCCTCCTCCTCCTCCTCCTCCTCCTCCTCCTCTTCTTCTTCTTCTTCTTCTTCCTCTTCCTCTTCTTCTTCTTCTTCCTCTTCCTCTCCAGGTTCAGGCGTCAATCAATCCATTTGACTCCCCCTCACCCGGGAGCTGTTGAAGAGATGCTGACCGGCAATTAAGGCAAAGACCACGCGCCGCCGCCCACAGTTACCTTGGCCAGATCGGACAGCGGGTCGCCGCCGCCGACGCCCGGGAGACACCCGACTACCACGCTGCCGGCGTCGATCGCGTCGACCACCAGACCGAGCCACACGGCTGAGCGCAGCGCCGAGTCTCGCTCCGCTAGTTGAAGACTCGCCATCTTGTTGGCGGGGTCGTCGCCACCAGTGGTGGTGACGGCACTCGTGGCAGTGGTGTAAGAACCAGTCGGGTCCTTATTGTTGTTGTTGCTGTTGCTGGAGAGCAACGGCGCCTTGCTCCCTGTCCCGACATCTCCCCTTTTGCCGGCAACGTCCTCCCACCCCCGGACTCGCTTCCACAGGTACGCGCCGAGCACGAGATCCCGGACGCCCGTCATGCGGCCCAGCAGCACGCCCTCCGGGCCCGGCGCCAGGGGGAGGCCGAAGAGCATGCCAGCCGGGCGTGGGACGAGCAGGCACGACGCCCCGATGAGCATGCGGAGCGCTGCGAGGGTTTTGAGCGTGACTGGGGACATGGTTTTTCTTCCCCGGAAAAGAAAGTAGGTCTTTGGTTGCAGTAATAGGGCTGAGTGAGTGGTTACTGGATTGTGGAAGGCCAAAGGAGGAAAGCAATAGATAGATAGATTCAGGATAATTCGTCCACTTCGTCGGAGATGTATATAAGATCAGACGAGGGTATCAAGTGGAAGGGCAGGAGGAGGATGGACAAAGGTATGGGTTCCTTGCTCCATCCCATCTCGTTCTCCAGGCACATATACATATACTTCCCTGAACATCTTGCATCGTATCTCGTATACGCATGACGATAACGTTAGGGTTGCGTTATTCTCACGGCATCCTTTGTTGTTAGTTCCATTTATCGGTATCCAACCAGAAGATCCAACAACTCTTCTACTTTGAAAAGGTCCTCTCTCATTTCAAGGCTTTATCTATGTAATCTGCCTTGGAAAACATGCTTTGCTTGCCTGCCGTTGGCTATGTGCTCTGCCGTGGATCGCCCAGCGCCAGAACCCTAATACATATGCCCATGCCCACCAAGTGCAAAGGTTAATGCTGTAAACACACAGTATTCGTGCCGGAATCGTTACAACACACACAATTATCCGTCCCAACCTCGCCGCTGCATCACATGACAAAGGATGGGCCAATGTCGTAAGCCTCCGCCACTCTATCAACATTCCTTGCATAGTAGAAATACCTGTGATGCATTGCTTTCCCGTCAAGTGGCCGATAACCCCGTAGCATCCTGATAAAACGTGCCGTCATAACCACAGAAACTGAAAAGCTCGTCCAAGTACTCTATGAATACTAGTAATCTGCCCCTTATTTCTTCTTTCCCTTCGACCGGTTCGCTGGTGCCGTCGTAGACGACACGCTCTGTGCTCGAGAAGTTGCCGGGGAAGTCGCTTTGCTGCCACGGCCAGATTTGACGGCCTTGACTTGTTTGTTCTGCTGGAACTGTTAGTCGGAGCGGACGCGAGGTGGGCTCGTCATGTACATACCACAATACCATTCTTGGCCTTCTTCTTCACAGGTGCGGCTTCGCTGTCGTTCTCCTCGTCTTCGTCATCGTCCCGATCACGGCCTCTTCCTTTCCCGGGAGCATGGCCATTTGTGAGCTTCTCTTCGGTTTCTCCGAACTCTCTGGTTACGGTGTTGAGCAAGGTGGTGCATCGTCGACCGATTTCCACAGGCGTTCTGCTGAGGAAGAACCAGTCGAACCGGAATAGCGGCGACTCCCGGATCTCATCCCGTATTCTCTCGTACAGCCCTTCCCCGTCAACACCGTATTTGTCAAGCATGACCAGGAGGAAGCGGTCCTCCTCCTCCGTGTAGACCTTCTTGTTGGTCGTTGAAACCGTGTAATTAATCTTCAACTGTTGCAGCGGGACTCGATACATCTCCATCTTCTTCCGGAGCATCTTCCGCTGACGTTCGGTCTTCCGCAGCTTTTCCTCCCCTGCCTCGATGTTCTTGATGTATTTGTCGAACTCGGCAATTTCCGTGTACCTCTTCCAGAAGACCTTGGCATATTTTTCGATCTCGTCTGCTTCCTTGCTGTCGACCTCGGTCGCAATCCCTTCATAGTTGTTTCTGCCGAATTTCGCAGACCCGTTGATGAATTGCTGGAAATCACGCCGATTCCAGTTGCCGAAACCATGCTCCTGCATCTCCGCTTTGCGCTGTTTCTCTTCTTCGGTCAGCGGTTCCGCGTTATCAATCTCATCCTGCGCTAGCCGCTGATCCGCTTCTCGATCGCTTAGATCTTCTTCAGTACCTTCGTTGAGGGGGACTTTGAAGCCGATTTCTTTGTGGTAGTACGCTGTCTCCTTTTCCTGTAACTCTTGCAGGCCCGGAGGGAAGAATTGCCAGTCGTGCACGGCGACTTGTTTCGGCGCCCGTGGAATCTTGGGTTTGGTATCTGCGGGTCGTCCACCTGTCGACAAAGCCTGCTTGTAGTACTTATCCATGGAGTATGACTGTTCTTTCCGTTCACGCTTGCTTGGATTGATCCAGTGTAGGCTGATATCTTTACGTCGGTTCGTAAAATCCTCACCATTCCACTCGTAGGCGTTCTCGGAGGAAAACTTTTGGAGATCGTCAATTCCCAGTTTCTCATATTTTTTATTGAGTTCCGCAGTTCGAGCTTCGCCACGTCGCAGAATCTCGTCAATGTCGTCAAGTTCCCCTGTGGAGCCCTTTGTTTCAAATACCTTCTCTGCGCCGTGTTGGATCATGGTCAATAACTCGTCCTTCGAGGCTGCCTGCTTGGCTTGCTGTTGTGCGCGCCCTTGTTGAATGACAAGTTGGTCCAGACGTAGTTTTTGAGCAGCTCTCTCAAGAACCTTTTCTTCAATGGCGTTCTCTGTCACGAAGCGGAATACCACGACTTGTTTGGTCTGGCCAATCCGGTGTGCTCGGTCCATTGCCTGAAGATCGGCTTGAGGGTTCCAGTCACTGTCGTAGAGGATAACAATGTTGGCCGAGGTCAAATTGATGCCCAACCCCCCAGCTCGGGTCGTCAGAAGGAAGACAAACTTCTCTGACCCTGGTTTGTTATACTCATCAATAGCCGCAATTCGATCCTCATGTGCAGTTCCGCCATCAATGCGACAATATTTATGGCCTCGAAAAACGCAATAGTCTTCGAGGATATCGAGCACTCTGCTCATCTGAGAGAATATCAGAACTCGGCTTCCTTCTTCCTTCATTCGCTTGAGTATCTTGTCGAGAATGAGCATCTTGCCAGAGTTGAAGACGAGATGCTCATCGGTAGTATATGGAGGGCCTGGCTCAGCCCCCTCGAACAGATAGGGATGATTGCAGCATTTGCGGAGCTGCATGACAATGTTCAAAAGTCTCGTCTTTGATTCTCGCTTGCCTCCTGCACCGTTGACGGCGTCGATATCCTTCTCCAGAATCTTTTTATACCATTTGACCTGCATCTCAGACATCCCCACGTAGAGATTCACCTCCTTCTTCGGTAGAAGGCTCTTCTCAACGTCACTCTTCACTCTCCGGAGTAGGAACGGCCTCAGAACGCGATGGAGCTGTTGAACCACTGTATCTTGATCTGCGTTCTGGCTAGAGAACCAAGAATCAAACGCCTCAGAGTCTCCGAATACGTCAGGAAGCAGAAAATTGAGGAGAGCCCAGAGTTCGTGGAGATTGTTCTGAAGCGGAGTGCCGGTAATGAGGAGTCTGTTTCGCGAGCTGAACATTCGGATAATCTGTGCAAGCGAAGACTCCTCGTTCTTGATTCGATGGGCTTCGTCGACAATGATGTATTCCCACGCAAATTTCTTCAGGTGAGACTTTTCTCGGAGGATCATTTCGTAGCTCGTAATACACACGTCGAATTTCTCGTCAATTAGTCGTTCATTGATCAAGGCGTGCCGGTCATCTTTAGCGCCTTGAAGGACCAGCACATCGACATCGGGGGTCCATTTCTTAAACTCGCGGTGCCAATTATCCAGGGTGGATTTGGGGACGGTGATGAGATGCGGACCTTTGATGCCGCATATGTGTCGCAAATAGCCTAGGAAGGAGATCGTCTGCAATGTTTTACCAAGACCCATTTCATCGGCGAGGATACCGCTAATACCGTTCTCGTGGAGAGAGATGAGCCAATTGAGACCTGCAACTTGATAGTCGCGCATCTCGCCGCCCTTGATGAAGGCCGGTGAGTCTCGAAAGACAGTTTGGGAAGCTGTGCCACGCTTCTCATCCCTCAGGAGCTCAGCATCCTCTTCCTGTTCGGTCTTTCGCTTGCTTGCGCCTGCGGCACCCCCTTTGCGGGACACAACCTTTCTGGCCTTCGCCTCCTCTTCGGCATTTTCTTGATCGATCTGTTGCAGAACTTCTCTGATCTTGGGGTTGGGGCTAGCATCGATGAAGTGGCGGAAGAGATCAGTCAGACCTAGCAGGTACCTGAATCTCCGTAAGGTATCATCCTCTTTTGATTCGTCCAATTGGCCATGCTTCCTTCCCAAAATGCTTTTCCGTAGTTGAAACGCCTCTGAGCGCTTCTTGCGGCCATCCGCTAGGGGAATATCTCCAGCCACGCTAGAGGCGGTCGTGTTGGGATTTGTGTCGGAATCGGTGTAGTCGGGGGTATCGTCTACCGGGCGATTGAGGTGACCAAAAGAAGGTCTATGGGGGCGGATATACTCTTGACCGTCGGTCATTGGAGTATCCGCGATGGAGGAGGTTTCTGAGTCGGGCTGTTGTGACTTTGAAGGAGCCATGGTGGACGGAGTTGAGGGGTTGAGGGCGGCCACGGCCGCGGCGGAGGGAATAGTTCTCGTGCAGACAAATGTAAATAGTTCAGACGCGACTTCTGTTGGCTGGTACAGACAGGGTGACAGGGTGGCGCGAAGCAGAGCAAAAGCACGATGGCAACGAGTCGTGCACACAACAGTAGAGTTGTCAAGCAGAGATGTTCACGAAGGTGAAAAGATATGGAGGGAGGGTGTGGAGAGAAGAATGAACGTCTCTACCCTTTCCTCGCAAACGCGCTGCGATAGTCTCTGATTGGCCAAAACACGTCTCTTGTTCGGCCAACTTGCCGTGTCCTGTTTGCCACGTGACTAAGTTTTTTTTTGTGAACGGATTAACGCATCGGCCGAGCCACATGGTCACGGGGACTGAGACTTCACCTTTGGTATCGGACCTTGTTTCATTCCTCCAGCTGCCCAACCACGACTACTCTCGCACACGTCCTGCACCTGCTGGGGCTTCCTTGTGTGAAGGAACGAGGACTTCACCTGAGCGAATTCTACCCCTTCTTTGTCATACTTCTCCTGTTCTCCTGGTAGAAGTAATATTTTTGTCTTGGGGTTCGGCATCAAAACAAACCCCTCCCTCGGTCGTCTCGTAATCAAGACCTTCCGCATCCGCTCGAGAAACCGCTCTTCTTATCACCTCACAACATCAAAGCCTCCTCGAGTCTTCATCATGGATTCGATGAGGTCTCTCAACACCTCACTGCCTTCAACTCGGCCTGCACCTCCCGAACAACTCCTTCAAGCCTTCAAATCCGCCGCCCTCTCCGTCACGAACCTGTACAAGTCCGCCGCGGCAGACCAGAATGCCAGCCGTCAGGCAGGGTACCAAGATGCTCTAGAAGATCTGCTGAGTTTCTTGGACAAAGAGAATCTCGGTCTACAAGATGGCGAGGGCTGGAGAGTGAGGCAGTGGGCCACCGAAAGATATGAAGGGTCGACACGCCATCACCAGATCGAAAGCGACGATGACAGAAGCGAAACTGGGCAGGGGCAAAGACAGCAAGGGATCATCTCAACAGGCGATCAGTTGGTGGCAACTCCAGCAGCAGTTCAGCCTGGGCCTGCAAGGGCAGAGTCAGGCACGCAAACTGATGACCAGCAAAGCTCTGTCTCGGAGGAGCAGCCGACGGCGACTGCCATGTACCACTTTGGTGGAAACACCGCCTCAACATCGCTTGACGACATGCTGACCGATGGGGAAGACGGTGCATCTACAGAAGCTCAGGCCTCCTCATCGACATCAGGGAACACGAGCCGAGCAACTTTTGTCAACAACCGAGGAAATCGCACACCCCATAGAAGTAGCAACCAAAAATACGGAACACGGTCATCGACGCGAGAGTTTACTTTTACAGCTGGTACGAAGCGCAAATTTCCAATACACGACTTCTTTGACATTTCCAGCATTCCATCGAGGGATGGATTCGAAAACAGCAAGAGAGGACGGCTTTCATGACCTTTTGCCCTCCCAGCTCGGTTTTCTGCGTTCAGCGGCATGATCAAGATCTTTCAGCCCTAGTGCATGAACAGGTATATTCTTATGAGGACATGACCATCAGCATGGCGGAGTTTGGTTGCAGTAGAAAACACCCATGTATTAGCTCGGTTTGAGCATTCTAGACAGACAAGATGCAGATTACTTTTACGGGGCTGTGACATGCTGCCCCTAATTTATATTGACCTGCTGTCCTTTGATTTTTTTACACGTGCTGACCAGTTCCATCGCTCGTTAAACGATGATAGCATAACACAACTCGCCAGAGCTAAATAAACATGCGATAAATCCCCAAGCCCACCAGCGTGGCGGACAGCGACAGGATGCCCAGTTGGCGTGAGCCGTATTTGTACTTGGACTTGCTGAGTTCGATAGCCTTCTGCCGTGCGCGAAGTTGTTGCATGCCCGAAAAGTAAGTGTAGCCACCCAGGGCCACGAACGCCGTTGAGCCTTTACCAGCGAGCGAGAAGGAGTTAGCTCTCTGAAGTGATAGGGGAAAGGGGAATTTGTGGAGGGCAATACCTAGAACCCTGCACGAAAGACAGTCCTCTTTGTCGAATGCCCGTGGATCCTCGAACTCGGGGAACTTGTCCTCCTTTCTGAAAACCATTCTTCCTGTGGTTGATATCTTGGAGGTCTTTATCACATCTTCTTTTCCATAGATGACTTTTTTGTTCTTTTTTGGCTGAGGGCGTGTGTGGTTTCCTCGAAAGGGAAGCGCCCAGGGACAAGCTGTACCTTACATAAAGTGCAAACACGCCAAGAGATGATCCCCTTCCGATTAAGTGATAGTGACCGCCAGCACCTAAATGAGAACTTAGGGATGATTAGGTACACCTATGAACATCTAACAGGGGTCCGTTTAGTGAGGGGCTTCCAACGCAACCTGGCTTGCCACATAGGCACCATAGTTAATGCATATAGCCCACAGCACATACTTTAACTACACGGTGTACTCGGTACCTCGTACAAAATAGCCAGCCCCAGCCCTGTTACCTGTAACTCTACGAATAGTCCGACACTTTTGATCACATCACCCCACTTCAACACAACCTCAATGATGGCTCGGCTTCTAACAAAGACAGACCGCGTCGTCATCGTGGGTGCAGGCGTGTTCGGTCTGAGTACTGCTCTTCATCTGGCCGAGAGAGGCTACACTAATGTCGCTGTCTTTGACGCACAGCCCTACGAAGCCACAAAGTATGACTACATTTCCGGCTGTGATTCTGCTTCTGCCGACATGAACAAGATTATCCGGTCTGCATATGGTGAACAAACAGAATACCAGGACCTTTCTGGAGAAGCCATCGAGTGCTGGAAGGCGTGGAATAAAGAGATTAGTACCGGTATTTGCGTACCTGATGGGATGACTAAAGCCGATAAGGTCTTCATCAACAACGGCCATCTCTCGTTGACTGACCGGGATGAACTTCCTGAATTTGAGAAAGCCACAATCAGAAATATGGAACGGGCTGGCTTCAGCGATACTCAACTCATCACTACCGATAGTCGTCATCAGAAAATCGCCAATGACAGCGGCTTTGGTTCTGCGATGGATCCTTTTGGACGCAAATCCAAAGCCAAAGGCTACCTCGGCGTCCTGGACACAACTGGGGGCATCGCCATTGCGGATAAGGCTTGTCGTTTTGCCCTGCACAAGGCGAAGCAAATGGGCGTTGCCTTCGTACTGCATCCAGAATCTGGCCATTTCAAAGGATTTTGTTACGACAGCCGAGGAAAGGTCATCGGGATTAGTATGAGGGATGGCCAAGAACACCTTGCGTCGAGGGTCGTTATGGCATGTGGTGGGTGGACGCCCTCCCTGATGCCGGAGCTAGACGGCATATGCGAAACTACAGCCGGTTCTGTGGTGATGCTGAAGATACCATCCGAATCACCGCTCTTTGAACGGTTTGCCCCAGAAAAGTTTCCGTCCTGGTCGTACAGAATGCGAGATGGAGCGATCGGTGGCCTCTACGGTTTTCCCCGAGACGACAGAGGCTACATGAAGATTGGGTATCGAGGCACGAAATATACTAATCCGAAGACGCAATCAGATGGCAAGGAGCGCAGTGTACCTATCACGAGATACACAGCCGACGAGAAGACTACACAAATTCCCAAGCAAGCGTTGACAGTGTTCAAGTCCTTTATTACAGAGTTTTTACCAGAGCTGGCTGAAGAAGGGATTGGCATTCAGCTGACCCGACTCTGTTGGTACACTGACTCTTTCGATAACCACTATCTGATCGACAACGTGCCGGGTCAAGAATCAGTCCTGATTGCGACAGGCGGGAGCGGTCATGCCTTCAAATATCTCCCCAATATTGGCAAATGGATCGTTGATATCATGGAGGGTGTTGATATGGATCGCCAGCTGATCCAAAGTTGGAAATGGAGGGAAACGGCAGCAGGCCGACAACCTGTCAATGTTCTAATGGAGGGTAGTAGCGGCCCGAGAGCCCTCAAGAATGTGGAAATGTCTACCGACGACGATTTGAAGCTCTCTGCTCGACATCGGCTTTGATATGACATCTGCGGAGAGGGTTTGCTCGCTCAGCCAAAAACACGAAGAAGTGGTCACTGAAGCATAGACAATATTCCCAGAAAATCAACAATCTCCTGCAACTCCTGTTCTAATACCCCGGAGAAGCCCGAACTATCGGAGATGTGCTACAACGTTTGTGGCACTCATAACGAGACATCATGTAGGGATTCCCAGCTCACGTCTACAACAAACGGGTACGAGAGCAGGATTCGAGATTATCCAGTGAGCCAAAGCTGAGAACGCACGGGACCAATTTCTTACACCAACGTCTTCATCTTTGATATGGCCAATCACGCGCCATCAACCAAGCCTCTTGTTGTGGCTTTAGGGGATCCAAAATATGTCGGGGATGACTTTCTACAAGATTTCAAGCGAGAATTCGATTTCAAGGTAGTACATCTCTTCAAGGATGCATCACCTGGCCGGACTTCTAAGTGAGACTAGGTCCTTCCGGCAACGAATCGCGAGGAAACCCAAGATCTTCTCCCAAAATTTATAGCGAGCTCACGACCAATCGATGCTTTTATCATTCGTATGGGAACGATCCCATATGAGCCATTCGACGAGGATCTCCTGGGCAGCTTGTTGCCTCACTGCAAGATTATCACTTCCGCTTCCGCCGGGTTCAACGAGTTTGACGTCGATTGGATGACGCGCAATAACGTCTGGTTTTGCAACACCCGGGACGCAGTCGCTGAAGCAACCGCAGACATGGCCATGTTTTTGATCCTGGCCGTCCTGAGAGATACTACCAGAGCCGAAAAGAGTGCCAGAACTGGCAACTGGAAGCAAGGCCTTGTCCCCTGTCGAGATCCAACAGGGCTGACACTCGGAATTGTGGGAATGGGGGCAATTGGGAAGGTTGGTAAACTCGGCGTCTCTTATCGGGCATCAATTGCTGATCACGAACCTTTCTTTCAGTATACCGCAAAAAAAGCATCTGTTTTCAACCTCAAAATCAAGTACTACAACCGCAACCGACTCCCTCCGGACGTGGAACAAGCGTACAACGTGGAATATTGCTCATCCCTTCACCTCCTCCTTGGAGACTCCGACATTGTCTCCATCTCCTGTCCGCTCAACAAGTCGACCACGAATCTCATCTCCTATGCCGAATTTGCCGCCATGAAACCAGGGTCCTTCTTCGTCAATACCGCTCGCGGCGCTATCGTGGACGAGCAGGCATTAATCCAAGCTCTGGAATCAGGGAAGGTAACGCGTGCTGGCCTCGACGTGTTCTGCGACGAACCCAACATCAACCCGTATTTCCTGGCTAGCGACAAAGTAGTTGTCCAGCCGCACATGGGAGGGCTCACGGATGTGGCATTCGGAAAGTCCGAGAGGGAGTGCTTTGAGAATGTTCGGAGTCTGTTCCGGACAGGGAGGCCTGTTGCGCCTGTCAATGAGGTGGCGACGAAGTAGGGACAAGGTATGAACTCCTCTCATCCCTCCGCCTTCACACCACTGCTCACCTGGAGTTCTTGCCCGCCATATCATTTATATCATATAGTTGGGCAGCATAGACAAACATACATGAATGTCACTCTGGGAGGTATGTCCCACTCTCAACAGCAAGAAGGGAAGGCGGTATAATCTGGGGGCGTGATGGTGGTCAGGTCACCCTGTCCGAGTGCGAACTATACCTCGTTGGCGAAGAGGAAATCTATTCACTCCCCTCGGAAATTGGGTGTCAATAACAACCTATTTCGACTGGTCCCCAATCGCCGCTACTTCCATGCATAAATGATCCTGTATGTCCAAGCATTGGACGATAAGCCCATGCGATGTGTTGTTCAAGTGGGGTCAAATGAAGTCCTTACAACTCGGTCACTCTCCTTGCCGAGAGGGGTTTACCAACGACTGTCGACTCATCGAACAGCATCTGTGCAGTGACTTGTATCTCTCACCTCCTAGGTCTACTTTGAACGCTGGACACAATATAGGAGATTGTTTGGCTCCTCGTCTTCATTTGTTCTCTCGAATCTCGACCTACTGTGGGAAGATAGGGCCAGACTCTGTCCTATACAGAATATAAATTAACCCCGCGTTTACCTGGACAGCTTATATCATCTTTGATCGCCCAGACCAAGGGAGGAGGACGAGATTTTGGGTTTAGACATCTACCCTTACGCGAACATTCTCACCATGCCGGCCACCACCACAACCCCTTTGCCCAGCGAGATGCTCGCGGCTCAATTAGTCGAATTCAAGGCCCCCCCGGTGGTTCAGAAAACCAAAACCCCGACGGCCGCCGACTTGGGCCCCCATGATCTCATCCTCCGGACCGCCGTGGCCAGCCTGTGCCACACCGACCTCATGGTCCAGGCCGGGTTCATGCCGCTGAAGCATGGTCTGCCCATGACGCTGTCGCACGAGGGCACGGGCGTGGTGGTCGCCGCAGGGGACGCAGTCGAAGAATTCAAACCAGGCGACCGCGTCATGTCCGGCATCACGTTCCACGGCTGCGGCCACTGCGAGAATTGCCGAGCCCCAGCCGACAAGGACTGGAAACAGTACTGCTTCGACACCGACGGCGCCTTGGGCGTCATGACGGACGGCGCGTTCGCCGAGTACCACGTGGTTGACTCGCGTATGAGCTGCAAGGTACCCGACGGGGTGAGTTTCCTCACCGCAGCGCCGCTGGCCTGCGCCGGCGTAACCGCCTACCGCGCCCTGCAAGTCAGCGGCGTCGAACCGGGCCAGTGGGTGGCGATCGTGGGCGCCGGGGGCGGGCTCGGCCACTTTGGCGTGCAGTTCGCGAAGGCGCAGGGCATGAAGGTGATCGCGGTGGAGGCGCGGGACGACGGGCTCGAGATCGCGCGGAAGTACGGCGCCGACCACGTGCTGGACGCGCGTGAGGGCAAGGACAAGGTGGCCGAGCGCGTGCGGGCCTTGACAGGAACGAACGGCGGCGTTGACGCGACGGTCAACGTGAGCGACCACCCGTCGACGGCGGCGCTGGCGGCGGCCATCACGCGCACCCACGGCACCGTGGTGCAGGCCGCGCAGCCGCTCGAGGTCACGGTGCCGTTCCAAGAGATCGTGCTGCGCGACATCACCATCAAGGGCACCATGCACGGTGGCAAGGGTGTCGCCGAGCAGATGCTCCAGGCCGTCGCCAAGCACGGCATCGTGGCCGAGGCCCAGGTCTTCGACGGCCTCGCTGGGGTGCCCGAGATGTTCGAGCTGCTCGAGTCCGGCAAGATCAAGGGCAAGGCCGTCTGCGTGGTTGATAAGGAGTTGGTGTGAAAAGAATATATAGAAACGAGAATGAGAGAATGAATCTTCTAGGCCTGAACCTGGAAAAGGGAATTGGTCGATATGCGCTTTTTGGGAGTTGTCAATCTGACGGTCTCGACAGAATTCGAGCTATCAATTTGCTATGGAGAAAGCGAAACCATCGCCCTCTTAGCTATTTTTTTCTGATCCCTGCTCATCGTCATCTTATCGCAACGTGGCTGCATGTAGCAGCTCAGGTGTATTCAATAGTATGCCCTGTTCCTAAGAAGCCGCGGCAGAAGTCGATGAGGTTGCCTTGGTAGGATTTCCATGCACCAGCTGCCCACACGGCCCGTTCATTACGACCCATCTGTTGGTGGTGGTCTTTTTGTTGGTGTTGTAGAACCCCGCCTGCGCATGGGAACATGTTGCATTGCCTCCCTTCCTCGGGACGTTGGCCTTGAACAGCATGCAGTTCGCCGCGCCGGCCAGCGTATCGTAGTACGCAAAGTCGCAGAAGCCGTTGGCGTCCTGGCAGATGGCGCAGCAGTCGTAGCTCGAGGTTGCGTTGGTGCTCGTTCCGACGTTGGCACGGGTGTTGTCCACGACCGTGTTGATGTAGCTGGCGTCTTGAATCCGGGGGCCCAGGAGATTGTCGCTGGCACAGGCGAGATACGTGCTGCGTGTCGCGGTGTAGTCGGTGTAGGTGGTTGTGGTGGTGGCGACGATCTTTTCTCCTGGGACCGTGGTGGTCTGTGTCAGACTCACGGTGGTAGGGACCGTCACCACAAAAGTCTACCTATGGTCAGTTCCGACTTTTCCTTATGGGAATGGAGAATGACGGCACGTAAATTTTCAGGAAGAATAAGGCTGTACTTAGGGCGAGTACTTACAGAGCTTACTGGCGTGTCTGGAACGCCCACAGTGTTGGTTACAACAATAGTTGTCGACTGGGTCAGCGTCTGCGGTGGGCGTTGGGTGCTTGTTTTCGTCGAAGTCACAAAGACAGTGGAAGTTGTTTGCGGAGCCAACCGTGTGACAATGGAAATGATAGAGATATATGACGAGTCGGCGGTTGTGGTGGCTGCTTGTCGGGGCAGCAGAACATCTTCTTGCAGTTCTGCATCACGTCGCTTGCTGGTTCCATTAAAGTTTTCGTCCCCAGAAGACTGTTCTATCGGCACAAACCCAGTCGGCGTCGGGACCGTGACAACGCTTTCTTGGAAAAGGGCGGTGCTTGCAGAGGCGGTAACGTTGAGATACGAGGTGAAAGTTGTGTTTTGGATGTCATAGTGTGTGCTGGTGAAAGTACTAGTGAAGATATCGGTCCTGGAACACACGAGTCAGTGTGCCTGCCTGGAACCCCAAAAACAAAGGCTTACGTTGCGCGATAGGTGCTTGTGACGTCGGAGGTTGACAGGTAAGTATAAGGAATGAAGGTCGTGAATCGCACGGGGCTGGTGGTGACGACTCTCGAAGTGCTGGTTCGAGTAGTTGTTTCAAGGATATTCGTGACATGGCTTGTGACCACGCTCAATGGTTGAGAGGTTGCGTATGCCGTAAATGCCCGCACTACGGTGGATGTAGTGACCCCTTGATCGCCCTGGCCGAGAGCCAGAGCAACCGCCATGGCGAGGACAACGAACGATTGTGAGAGAACGTGCATGTTTGTAGTCTTAAATGGTCTGTCTTTCAAGATCAAGTGAACGAGTTTAAGTGTAGGGAATGAAGAGGGAATATGGGGAGAGAACTTTAGCAATTTTTCCGACTTTATACCCTGTCCTCTCCCCGGGAAGGGATGAAAGCTCTGACGGTAGTTGTCGTGGACATTGATCGTATTGCGGTTTGTGTAGTTGCTGAAATCGTCACTGCGGTAAGTGTTCGTCCTGAGTGGCCAGAGTGAGCACTGGCTTTGCTCTAATAAGGCTGTGGAATGTGGACAGTGGGTGTACAAGACGCGATATCGGTATGCGTCGACACTTGACAAGGGCGTGGGTACCAATGCAGCCTGAAGGGTGAACGGGAGTATGAGAGAAGGCGAGTCGGGTCAACCCTCTCTTTCTTGTGGTTGAGATCCCAGCCACTGTGACTTTCAGGCTGTCCGATAGCTTTGTGGCTGACAATGAGCGCAGGTGTAGTGGCACGCGTCCCCGTGAATGTAGATTTACGCAGGCCCAACTCGATGGGGAAAAGGACCAAGTGGCCGCACAAACACAAGTTAAGGGGAGGTTGGTTTCAACTTTGACATGACCAAAACAACGAGCTGAGACGCGTTATTGATGGTCATCGTCCGAGCGAAGACCTCCACATGTAGAACATCCAGCTCTTAAACGCTGTATCACAACGATTGGAGGTAAAAGGTAAGGGGAGGTGATTCCCTCGATGTGGAGAATGTTCGTGGGCAGGAGGTTCATGGTTGAGGCTTCTTGTCCAGCTGCTTCAACACAGGTCCTAAGAACGAATCTCACCATTTTTGAGTTGCGACCGGGTACGTTTCCAGAAGCTGGAGAATGTTGCTCCTCCTCATTGTGCATGGAAGATAATGAGAAGGCGATCGCGATGTTGGTACATACCAAAATCTGGGACTTTACCATGGAACAATATTTCTCCGAGAGACGAGCGGAGCCAGGAGTTCCAGCCTTGCGTCCCACAACATCTACCAGCTTTCTCTTTACTTGGTATCGCCTTCGATCATGCCCTGACGAAGATTGGTGCATAGCAACATGCTGTAGATATTAGTTCGTCGTTATAGGGAGCTCAGGTGGTGACTTTCACTTTTTCGCCGGTCTAATGGTTCCAGGGCAGCCTTAGGGCAGTACCCTCTAGGGGAGGGGATTTCATTTGAAGTCACCGGAATATGGCTTCCGTAACAACCATAGGTGGGATGATTTTACTCTTTCGAGGTGTTAGTTGAAGTCAAGCTGCCATATCCTGACAAGAAAGAGATGGACGTGGAGGGATTTGACATTGCCTCATGAACTTACAAGATTGTTTAGAGGGAAATTGTGACATGGCCGAGAATTGAGGCCATCCTCAGAGGACTCGTAGGCAGTTTTCGGTGGTGGGAATATGTTACTCAGATTCGTCAGCATGCAAGATCGCTGTGGCGACTTTCTTTCAGGACCTGCCGCCAAAGGATGAGGGTTCTTAGCCATAAGCAGAGCATCCTTGTTTCGGTGGGAGGATTCAGAGTTTGAACCCGAGGTCATACGGAGACTTGAAGCTGAATGGACTCATTTGTAAGCGCCATGGCCCAGATGTCGAATGTAGATTGTCAAAGTTGCCATAGACTGTTGGTTGCCGGGAGGCAACTGTAGATGAACACTGTAGTATACGCAACGAAGTTATAGGCAGAGTGTTTGATTTCTGTCTCGAGACGACAAGCCCCAGGCCTTCAGTGTGAATTAGAGCGACCCGCAGAAATTGACAGGACAAAGACGTTGTAGAGGAAATGCTGGAGGTCATATTCAAATCTGGCTGGAGGCACTGTTACGCAAGGGGCAAGGCAAGTGGCAACAGCGCTGATGTATCTATCCGCTGGACATTGAGCATATTCCCACAAACCCTGAGGCTTTTGGAATTAAGAAATCGATCTAGAACGACTGAGCAGACGAAAAGACTGTAAATTATAGAGCATGCCCCTCAAGTCACCGGTGGTGTCTAAACCTGAAGGCCTAGACCTAAGTCACGAGGCTACCTCACTCTGCAGTGACTTCTCGTTAAGTCGGCTCCATCGAAGAGAAGTCTGGGGCTATGGTTGCTTTACAACAAGCCTTTAGAGGGTTACGAATGTGGTTGCCTCAGTCCAGTCGTCGTCAATGGGTATAAGCTTCGCACTTCGGCCCAACGGCACCAAATTCCTCGCAAGCCGACTTGCGCCGTAGCTTGAAGACTATACTCTTTGTCTCCGAGTGCTTAGCTGCTTTCCAATGCCGCTATAGCAGACGAGGGGCCGGTATCCCAGGGTGTTCCAGCATCTGCTCGTGTATCTCGTACAAAATCAAAGATCCTTATTGGTCTGAGGGAGGCCGTAATAAACGTGTGGGTTAAATGTCAGAACAAGTGTATTCGCCGCGCCGCAATTTAGTCTTACGCCAGCCATACCGAGGAATACAACATACTTGTATGCTTAGGGACGGAGGAGTTATCCACACTTCTTCCATAACCCCGGATTACCCACAATTGTCACCCCTTCAACCCCACGATTATCAGATAGTCCACTGGCCATTGCAGAGAGTTACCTTTCTGTCTTTGACTAAGCACCCAGTGGTTGGGTGCTTGAAAATTCTTGATTGATTCCCCCCTCCTGGTGTGGCGTCCAGGTCATATGACAGTCGAAAATACTTATGAGATACTTTGATGGCCATAAGCAAGGTCTTTCCCAAGCTGGCGACCTGCTTTGGTCGGTCCGGGGGCGATGTAGGGGCGCAATCGAAACACGAAACGCTAAAGGTTCCTCCGAGCGGGACGCAATCTTCTCGTTAACTTCTATTGCATCCCGGATCGTGGGATGCTTAACCGAGAGGTCTGGTTCTCTCCAATCATGGTTTTATGGCCGTTGTACGAAGAGATTCCAGAGTCGAGTTATAAGTGTAGCTCATACCCCAGGCTTTTGAGTTGATCATTACATCCGCCATCCCAGCTACTAAACCCTCCTTAACCCCCTCCATTTGATCCCAACTATACCTCATAGCAGCATCTTCTCCAATTGTACCATAGATCCTCTTCCCTCTCGACCAACAAGATGTCGACACGGGCGGGTGAGCAGCCAAAGTCCACCAGAAGGAAATACGTGTCGACAGCGTGCACCACATGTCGTGACGGAAAAATCAGAGTATGAGTGATTTTCCTCCCTTATCAGAAAAGTAGTTGATGTTCATGATACACAGTGCGATGGTGTTCATCCAATTTGTGGCAATTGCAAAAAGAAGAAAAAGCAGTGTGTCTATGCTCAAGGGGAGGATAAGAGACGGTATGTCCAGAACACGGATGAGGTCTTAGCTTTAAATATTCACGTTCTTCGCATTCAGGATCCCCGTCCGGAAAGCTATTCAAGTCTTTTCAGCCCGACTGTCGGAGCTTGAGCAATTCATTCGCACGCACGGCTTAGAACCCCCACCACTGAATGCCAACGATGCTGCGTTGATCGACCGCTTGATTGAAACGTTGCAGCAGCCGGGCACATCGCCAAAGGAGCAAGTAGCGCCCGGAACGCTGGATCCAGAGCCTACAGTCGAAAGAGAAGAATTTGCCAACGAACTAATCCCGCTCCCTACACCAATGTCGCAAGATTCACTGCGGAGGCACTCTCAGCCAGGAGAATTTCAGAACAATGCATCCCTTAGGGTTCCCGAGGACTTTATGCTTGATGTTGCCCAGATGGATAATAACCGTCCGATCCCGGCCCCTGCGGCGTCGGTTGGCGACTTGTTCACCAACTTTACGGACATGGACGACCAGCTGGCTGTGTTACAGGAAAGCAATATCGCCTTTCCTGAGTGGACCACCGACTTTACTGGACTCAATGCAATGCCGTTAGGCATGACATATGGCTGGATTGACTTGCAAGTCCCTTATCCGGAGGTGGACATGTCTGGAACAGATCAGTCTCTAGGACCTGCAACCTCCCCCGAGTCTGTGTCAGCCACCGATTTGGATGTGCGACTCGCTCCAGACGATGAGGGTTCTGACGGTGTGATCAACGAAATTTCCGAAAGGATGGGCACTCTGCAAGTTACTGACGACGGCGAGCTTCGGTATTTCGGTGCTACCTCAAACCTTCCACTCCGTGACGATACCGCGACATTCACACAATCTGCGGAATCAACTATTGCTCGAAACCGCGGTCAAAGGCTGCTGGAGGCTGCAGGGCTCAGCCAGCACGTCGATGAGGCCCTGGAGGACCATTTGACCAATTTATACTTCACCTGGCAGGACCCCACGTTCCATGTCGTGGACCGGGATTTGTACAAACAAGTAAGGAGATCGCACCGCTCCCGTCCTGGTCGTAGCTCCTACTTGTCAGAGACGTTGATCAACGCGATGTGAGCTATATCAGTCAATCCTTTTCCTTGCCGGTTGTGCTGACACAACAAAGGTGTGCTTTTGGAGCGATCTACGACACAGGCCGGCATGAGAACTTCCCTCTCCCCTTAACCAAATTCTTTGCGAAACGGGCCAAGATCTGGTTAGACATCGAACTGGACAGCCCCAGAGTAGCAACCGTGCAAGCATTGGTGATCCTGAGTTCCTTTGAGGCAGCAACGACAAACGACGCACGTGGATGGCTCTACAGTGGTACGTCGTAAGGGTAAATCAACGATCATTAATAACTTGTGGTTGCTAGGAATGTCCGTCCGTTTGTCGTTCGATCTCGGCCTCCACCTCGACATGACGCCTTATGTGGCCAAGGGTCTAATGAGCCCGACTGAAGCTGAGGCTCGGAAAATGGCATTCTGGGGAAGCTTTGTGGTTGATCAGTAAGTACATCTATGTGCATTATAGTCCCTGCTCACACCTCGGCAGTCTCTGGGGCTTCTATCTGGGAAGACCACCTTGCCGCATCAGCAACCATAACCCTTCGGTCCATGAGCCCGCTGATCATATACCTGGCCTGCAGCGATGGGCACCCTACGGCGTGCTCGAGATTCTGCCGGAGGCAACGTCAGCAGCGACAAATTCGCCAGATCCCACTGGTCTGCTTCCTCGACAATGGGTGTTGCTCTGTGAGGCCATGGATGACGTTAGCCATGTTCTGTGAGCTCTTTCCCCCTGAGTCATGTGGCCTTCCGCTGACAGTATAGATATGAACGGGCGGATGTCTCAGACAAAGTGTTGCAGACACTTGCGGATGAGACCGTCGCGAAACTGGATCAATGGCGACGAAACCTGCCCGTTGTGTTGCAGGTCAGTCTTGATAAGTACGAGAACAACACGAAGTACCTGCCTCATGTGCTGGTCTTGCAGTATGTTTTCCAACTCTTTCTGCGTGACTTGAGTCATGCTGATCAGCCACAGCATGCAATACTACCAATTCATGATCTATATTCATCGGCCCTTCATGTCGAAGACAGCCTCAGATGCAATCAACTCTAATATTCGGCACATGCATGCCCGCTCAGTATGCATCGAATCAGCTGTTGCTATATCCACTCTCCTCCGTCTGTACAAGTCGAGCTATCCGCTGCGCTTCGTCAACGTCGAGGTGGTGAGCATCGTCTTTTCGGCGGCCATCATCCTTGTATTGGCCTCGGTTCTCGACTTGGAGGGGACCGACAAGTTGAACCTACAGCGGCACCTCGACACCTGCTGCAAAGCATTGGCAGAACTTGGGAAGGCCTTCAAGAATGCATCCAGGACTTTGGATATTCTCTTGGATATCAAGCGCAAGTGGCAGGCGAAGCTTGTCGCCTCGGAAAAGCCCAAGCGCAGGGCTATCGAGGGACAAGAATCGGTGAGACCGGGCACCAAGAGACGGAAGTCACAGTTCCAGCCTCTCCAGGGCTAGTTTTGGGGAGAACTTTCCCGGTTCAAGTTCATGTACGGTCGATTCATTGGATGCCTGCGTCGCAAAGACGTGTATGCATATGATATTGCTAATACGGTCAGGGGCAATGTATGGTTTAACTCGGCATGACAACGATGGAGTTCGCTAAGCACTCGGCTCTCTCGTTCCATTACTTTTGCTACTGCCCCTGAGTGACTATCCGACTTGGAACGTGTTGTTCCGGCCCTCCCGATTCACCACGTAGAGAGTTCCGTAACCGTTGTTTCTTTCTTTCCTCCGGTAGCTGTGCTAGTTCGTGCCAGGTCCGGAATTGTATGAAGCAAAGGCAAGTCGGATTCCGTGCCATGTTCGTGTCGGCGAGGCAGCAGCCACTGCATCCATTGTGGCCAGCTGCGACAGGCAATCAAGTCTATAAACAATGTGGATCAGTCAGATTGAGTCTAGGGCAGCTAACTGGGGCATTAGGGGCCACGAGCACAATACACCAGCCCCCAGACCCCCAATCCCCGCAACCCAAGCGAGCTGATGGGCTTGTGTCTCCGCAGATAGAGGTGTCTCTTCACCGCTTAGGTCTTTCTCCAGACTTGTCCCCAGGAACCCATATTCCGGATGACAAGGCCCGCTCCAGAACATCCTCCAAGGCTGCTGAGGATAGGTCAGCTTGATACAGGCCGATGCCTTATATCATGAGGTCTTTCGTAAGCCCCTTTTTTCGTCTCTGTCGAACATCGAGTGGAGAGATCATAAGTTTCTTTTGCTGTCGACAAACATGGCAGAAGTCAAAGAGACCTGGACTTGGCTCAACGTGCTGGTATGTTCTTCCTGCCAATTGTCCAATCAGTGCTACGGCGTGAAGAAATCTGAGCTGACGGCCACAACAGATTGTCTTGTTCGCCACGTTCGGCTCGCTCTCGTATGGCTATTGCACCACCATCATCGCCTCGACCCTTGGACAGCCCCAGTTCCAAGGGTACATGAAGCTGCTGCCGGGCCAGTCCAACGGGGACAATGCCTCAGCACTGATCGGCGCCACCAATGGGTTGTTCCAGACCGGAGGGTTCTTCGGTGCGCTCCTGATCGGCCCTGCGGGTGACTACTTCTCTCGCAGAGGTGCCATCGCCATCTCCGGGCTTCATGGTCATTGGCGGCGCGATACAGGCGGCCAGCCAGAATATCGCCATGTTCCTGGTGTTTCGTATGTTCTCTGGCTTCGGCGTCGGTATGGCGGTCGGGGCGGTGCCTCTCTACCAATCCGAGGTTTCTCCTCCTCATTCTCGTGGCTTCTTGGTCGGCTTGCATGGTAAGTTTCTGTGAACACAAAACTGTCGTCTTTGGATACTGGCTCATGTTTCTCAACAGGCGTCGCAATCGGGGCTGGCTCTGCTCTCGCAGCCTGGGTCGGCTACGCCTGCTACACGATGACCGGCAACATCCAATGGCGGCTGCCCTTGGCCTTGCAAGTTGTTTTCCCAGCGATCCTAGGCCTAGGAATATACACAGTTCCCGAGTCTCCCAGATGGCGTAAGTTGACATTTCTCGGGCCTTTTTCCCCTAGCAATCTTGATCAGCTAACCTGTTCCGAAAGTCCTCCAACGTGACGATCCAGACAAGGCTCTCGCCGTGCTGATGAAGATCCACGCCAACGCACAGGACCCTGACGGCGCATTCGCCCACCGCGAATATAACATCATGCGTGAGCAGTTCGCGTTGGAGACGAACGTGATTGGCATCGCGGCGTACAAGGAGATTTTCACCAAAGCTCACAATCTCAAACGCCTTGCCTTGGGATTTGGCGTTATGTTTGGAGGACAGTGTACGGGGACTTTGGTCATTAACTGTAAGTTCCCTGCAGCAAGCGAGAGGGAGAGAGAGAGGGAGAGAGAGAGAGAGAGGAACTCTTTCGCTAACCCAACTTCAGATTATGCTGTTTCTTTGTACTCGAGCATCGGATACACCGGGCGTCAGGCATTTCTCCTCTCCGCCGGCTATGTGACCGTGTCGATCTTAGGCAACGCAATCACTGCGATACTGGTTGATCGTGGCGGACGTGTTAATTTCTTGAGTAAGTCGAAAGAAACCATGAGCATCACCCAATCCAGCTTTTCCAGCTCACAAACTCCTCAGTCGTCGGCTTCGCGGGCCTCGTCCTCGTCCTGATCGGCGAGATCGCGATGCTCTCTCTGCCCGCGCACGAGCAAACCTCCGGCACGGCCGCGGGGGCGATCGTGTTCCTGTTCATGCACATCTTCTTCTACGGCAGCTTCATCGATGCGACGACGTACATCTACGTGTCGGAGATCTTCCCGACGCGGCTGCGCGCCGTCGGCACCAGCCTGTCTATCAGCGGCCTGTTCCTGGCCAGCCTGATCTTCACGCAGGCGGCGTCGTCCGCCTTCAAGGCCATTCACTGGCGCTACTACATCGTCTTCACCGTCCTCACCGCCATCTACGTCGTCCTGCTCTGGCTGTTCTTCCCCGAGACCAAAGGTCTCAGCCTGGAGGAGGTCGCCAAGATCTTTGGGGATCCCGTCGCCGACGGCACACATGTTGTGGGCAAGGATGGTCACTTGTACGGCACTACCTCCAACAGTAATAAACCTGAGGACGACGTCGAGCATGAAGAGCATTCCATCCCAAACAAGGTTTAAGACGGAAGACAGAGAATGGAAGTGTCAATTTGACAGGAAACCCGGAGCGCTGAGGCTCTGTTAGGAATTCGCTGGGAACGGCTTCTCCGTAAATCCTCAAGAATTCAGAGGTGGCAGTCTGGATGGAAGTCGTGTATGTACATAGCACAGATATATGCGAAGAGAAGGGGATATATAAACTTGGAAGACGGACACTTCTTTGCCAATGCTTCCCAGGAGAGACACTTTGCTATTGAACTACCACCAAGACCACCGTATCAGGGGGAGGTTGTCAATTTGGGTACTTTGGGGGATTGATACATCTAAAGTGTGAACGATGGATTGACACGGATGATAAAACTGATGGAGCCTTGAAGACCAAAGTCATAATGTTCATTGGGAAGATGTGCCTGTACTAAAAATGGGCGTATATATAGAGGCTGAGAGAAACACCCTCAGCGACCCATGAAGCCTCCATCCAGCTGCGAAGTGCTGTTAGATTACATTGTCCACGATGAAGAACGTTTTTACATATACTCACCAGCAATATATGTCCATGGATGTAATCACTAGCCGAACTCGCCAGAAACACCGCTGAGCCTCTGAAATCTTCGGGCGTGCCCCATCGACCTGCAGGAATTCTGTCATTGAGGCTTTGTAGATATGCTGGGTCGCCGGACCGGGTGTCAATGTTCATATCTGTTGCGACATATCTATGTATGCGGTTAGCGGGCGCTTGGTATGATAGCGAAGACAACATACCCCGGGGCAATTGCATTCACATTGATACCCTTGGCCGCCCATTCGTTGCTCAGGGCCTTGGTGAGTTGTGCCACGCCTCCTTTGCTCATGGCATATCCCACGATCCTGACGCTGCCAATGAACGATGCTAGGCTGGCCGTGTTGATGATCTTGCCGGTCATATTGTTGTCGATCCAGTACTTTCCGAGGTCCCTGCAGACGACGAACGTCGAGCTCAGATTGACTTGGAGAACCTCTTCGACCGTGTCGAGGGTGTAGTCCACGGCATCGGCTCGCCGTTGTATACCTGCGATGTTGAGGAGAATATTGATCTTGTGCTTTGCAGTTACTCTTGAGACCAGGGTGGCCACGTCTGTCTTGTCACCCAGCTCGCAGGGCTCGATGAAACAGTTTCGACCTAATGCTTCGATGGCTTTCTGGGTTGTATTATCTGTGGTGGCATTCCTCTGCACCGATCAGATGTCGGAGCACAGGGTGAAAACGGTTTCAAGATTCTTCTTCATACCTGTATCAGCACAATATCTGCGCCTGCTTCTGCAAGTGCGATGGCCATGGCCTGCCCGATGCCTCTCGTGCCCCCTGTGACCATGGCGGTCTTCCCACTCAAATCGAATAGCGAGAGGACCATGTTGGTTTCGTTCCAAATTTGTTTGTTGAGGTATAGGTAGAGCTCATCTCAAGTCGAGAAGAAAACTTGCAGAAAACCCATTTGAGGCTCCGATACACAGGTAGACGTGACGATGGAAACAAAAGCCCCGTGTCAAGGACTCTGCAGGAGCATATTCGTTTTGGTCCAACGAGACTGGCCATCAATGATCCATCCTAGGGCGTGCCATCGCCCAGCATTGGGTCAACAATACTCCAAATTGTGGCCAAAGGCAGGGCGTCGAATGGAAAGTTCACAGCACAGTCGACCGCCAACCGAGTGAATGCATTACGGCGCCTTGCATATGGCATACTGTGTCTCTCTCAAAGCGGCGTCCTTTCCAGAGATTGCGGAAACCATATTCCGGAAATGGCTCTTTGTACAACCCTACAGGGCTTCCAGTGACGGACACGCTAAGCTCGTAAGCCTCGACCGGCCTGAAGCTTGTGAACTTTCCAAGGTTTTGATTGCTCTGTCCTACAGAAAGCTCTGACTTGGCGCTGTGTGAGATTATAGAACCATAAACCGTACAATACAGCGTGAAATTGTGTAACGATTCGTCTTTACATTTAAAATAAATTCTATCTCTATCACATGCCCATTCACGAGTTATGGACCACCACCTTGACCACAAGCTTCCCATCCACATCTGTCGATCTTGCAGCGACATCGAATGCCTCAGGAACCCTCTGCAGGCCTTCAAATCTGTGTGTGATGATGCTTGACAGATCAGGTATCCCTGTCCCGTCTTGACCGGCCTTGCTCATGATGTCAATACTTTCGGGGTACGTGTTGGCATACCGCCAAACGCCAATCAGATCAACTTCACGGTGCGTCGCTGCTGCGATAGGCAATGTCTGGATGGGTGATCCCATCCCAACGAGCAAGACCTTGCCACTTGCTCGAGTGGCCTACATGTTGACGAGTCAGAGAACGGTAACTGCGACATGGTTGCCTTGAAAGACTTACATATATGGCAGCCTGGACACAGGACTCGACACCCGTACATTCAAATGTAGCTGCGAACTTGTGTGGCTGCTTTTCCCCCGTCCGTTGTCCTGCTTTGCAGAACTCTTCTGCGAATTCTTTCGCACAGGCAAGCTTGTCCTCCAGAGTCTCTGCTTTTCTTAGTGACATGGGCGACACAGCAGAAGCAAACCCTCGGCTGAGGGCGAATTGGAGTCGGTTCTCGGCAATGTCTGCCATGACGATGCTGGCACATCCAGCTGCTCGCGCCGCGGCGGCGCACATCAAACCGACAGCGCCTGCTCCGATTACAAGGCATGATGAACCCGGGGCAAGGCTTGCTTTTCTCACGGCATGAAGCGCCACCCCCAGCGGCTCCAGCAGAGCACCCTGGTCATAAGACATTGAGTCCGGTAGCCTTGCCAGTCAATAATCCACACTGGTAGGTTTCGATCGTTGAGTACTTACTTATGACACCACTTCGCCGGATGGTTCAACCTCGTCTGCAGTGTCCCTTGAAAATGTGGGAAGGACGCAGCACTGCTTCTGAAATTCATCCGTGTACAGACATTGTACCGGCCAGTCGCGCAGTCTCCACAGACATCGCATGGCACTCCGACTTCTAGGGCTACTCGGTCTCCAACTTGCAGTGTCGAGACATTCTCGCCAACTGCCACGACTTCACCAGCCGATTCATGGCCCTGAGATAGTGGCTCTCTGATCTGGATGCCGCCATTGCTATAGCTCATATAATAATGAACATCAGAGCCACAGATTGTCGTGGATCGGACTATAATCTGCACCTCATTTGGTAGTGGAGGAGGGACAAATTTGTCTGTCTAGGGGTCGCCAGAACCTGTCAATGACATAGTTTCTGCAACTTGAGTGCTTCTAGCCTAACTCACCAAACGGAGATCTTTCGGGCCATGAAGCACCTGAGCCTGACTGTTAAACAACACGGCGGAAGGCATTTCCTGTTGGGTTTGGAAGGCTCAGCGAATGTCCCAGATCTTGGACTTTCTTCAACCCCAAACTTTCCGCCCACGTACCCGAGTTATACGATGCATATTCTGGCACAAACACGGGATTCGTGGCGCCTCTCACCAGACAGAAGAGAGACCAGAAATCAATTGGTGTGGAAGATGGTTTCCGCCGTCTTCTGAGCAGCAATGAAAGCCAGGGTTGCGTAAGTCTGGCGTACATCTGGATCTCTTACAAACCGACAACCTACTCGGAATGTACTTTCTGAGCCGAGGCTCCATCGGAAGCACTCCTCACAGCTCCTTGATGTGCTAGCCTTTCCGGTGGAATACACCCTATGCCGCTCAATCATGGTAATAGTGCCGAACGCGGAATTCATCGCCCGGTAACGATCAGGGGGCACTTCCTCTTTGCAGCCTCGTTCATGCCTGCGGTTTAGGAATTGCTAACCCGTCCATCAGCTGCGTGTCTTGCAAGCAGTATGCTCTGGATCCCTAGCTTGCTACCGCCACTGGGAGATGGATTCATTTGTTTCTCGAGGCTGCAGCCTCTCTGCCTTTCTAGTCTGGGCATTCAATCCGAGTTAGTTCGTACTAGCCACCGATGCAAACCCATCCGACTGCCACAACACTGAGCAAAACATACCCTTAGAGCTCACTATAAGCTTCTACATACTGCTGGGGAGGGTCAACGATCAACTGTCTCGCAGGCTCTCCATCTAGGAGAGACTCTTTACGGCGGAATGGCATTCGCGATAGCATCGAAGTCGGCTATTGTGACTGGTGGAGCGTCGGGTGAGCTTTGCCTGTCTTCAATACCAAACTCGTATGCAGCACCTTCTAATTCTCTGCTAAAGGTATAAGCCTCAGCTTTGCAAAACTTCTGGTTCAAAAAGGAGCCAAGGTTGTTGTTGCCGATGTACAAAGGACACCGGCTCTGGACGACTTCATGAAGCAAAGGTATTCCCGCTCGGGCATAATGGCAAGTTTATGGGAGATGTTGACACCAACTTACAGGCAAGACGACATTTTCTTCCAAAAGACAGATCTCACTCAATGGGATCAATTACACGACCTCTTCAAGTTCACCAAGAGCAGACTCGGCAAGATCGACGTGCTGTGTAACAGTGCAGGAGTGTTTGAGCCAGTGAGAATGTGGTCATCCACAGGAACGCAGTCATAGTTGCTGATGCACGATCGCAGCCGTGGTCCAATTTCTGGAAAGACACCGAAGAGACCAGCTACAAATCGATCGACCTCAACGTGTCCGCACTGATGAAAGGGACGCGGCTGGCCATCCGAGACCAACTGACACGTGCCTCTCCGCCGCCATCCACGTCGACCGTGGCGGTCATCCTCAACATCTCGTCCCTCGCCGCGCAATTCCCGCTGTTCAACCAGCCGCTATACTGCTCGTCCAAAGCAGCCGTGTCCGCCTTCACGCGCGCATTGGCTCCTCTGCACAAGGAATTCGGCATCAAAGTTGTGGCGGTGGCGCCCGGAAACGTCGCGACGCCGCTGTGGACCAAGGACATCAAGAAGGTCTTCCGCGACGACGACGTGGTTATCCAGCCCGAAGAGGTGGCCGATGTCATGCTCAAGGTCGTCGAGGGGGCAGAGTACCCCGGTGGCACGGTGCTGGAGGTCACGAAGGGTCGTACGCGATTTCTGGCCGTGGACAGTCCCGTGGCGTCGGGGCCGGGCGCCACTACCAGCAACATGGGCGTGATATACGGTGAAACCATAGCGCTTCTGGACAAGGAGAGGAAGACCTGATGGCGTCTTCCTTGTTCACTGTCCGACCCAATGGAAAAGTACATACTCTGTCTAATCCCGGGTCTCGTGGCTTGTATAGAGCACATTTAAATCATTCATATCACTTTTTCATTCAATATGTATCCGGCAAACTTGAGCCTCGGCCCTTAGAATCGAGATTGATTCTCTAACGACCCGCGAATCCACCTACATGCTCGACGTTCTTGATCAACGGTGGCTGTCGCAGCAGACCCTCTTCCTCCCACGTATTCAGCAACTTCGCCACGTGCGGGACGCCCATGTGGATGTTCTGGTTTTCCATTGAGGTGTATCTTGTTTTTCTCCGAGTTAGTTTCTTTTCCGTTCCCTCGAAATCTCTCGTCGAGGATCTCTCGAGATAACATCCATAACACAGAACACAGAAATAAAACGAAGGCACCTTCACGGGACTTAGGCAAGGTAGGGCTGTGTAAAACAGGACACACACACCTCTCAAACATGATGATATCCTCCTGGCCGTCCTGGAAATTGACCTCGCGGTAGCACATATACTCAGTGACGTAAGGTTCCTCGGCGTGTACTATTTTGGCTGTTTGCAGAAGGAGCTCGATGACCTGAAAAATGGGGAAACAAGGGGTCACCGTCAGTAAAACGGCTTTGCCAGTGATGCCGATCCTTATATGTATACTCCCTCATGTACGTACCCTGTCGGCTTTCCCAGGCTTGGGGTAGATGGTTGCGATCAGAATTGCTTGGGTCATCGTCCAAGGCTTTGCAGAGTTGTGCTGAGCGAGTGGTGGGCAGTAGGAACAACGAATGGGTATGAGTGTATATACACCGAGGATATCTGCCGGGGTAGATGTGAACTCCTACGACAAGTATGAAGGCATTAAGTATTTCACACAGCGTCACGGGGATAAAGCATGCACATCTGAGTCTGCCCGTGGAGTTCTTCATATGACTTCGAGAGAGCTTCCGGAATCACGATGCCGGAGTCTGGCGTATGGAGTCTGGAGTCTCCGGATTTTTGTTCAAGAGCACATCTGTCTGTGAAAAGGCTAGGTAAGTTGAGCCATCTCCACATGAACTCGGCTTGTAGGCTATCTTCCTACGTTCGACCGCGGCAAGGGGAAAGGTCTTGAGACGGAAATGTTCTTGAGTGAAAATGGGATGAATGTGCGGCGGAACGGGAACATATTCACACACTTCGCTCTAAATCCTCTAGTCATCGCATTCGAAAAGGCCCGGCAAGAGTTGTCCGAGCATTCAATCACGTCCACACAGTAGATTCAGAGGCAGTACTTGGGAAGAAAGGACACTTCGCTGTCCTCATGCCCATATGAAATGATCGTACAGCTATCTAGAGCCTAGTCGTGGGAAGTGGTGGGATCCCAGGTCGACGGAGCATATACGTCCTTCAGATCCAATTCCGCCATATCCTCGTCCGTCAATTCAAAATCAAAAACATCTGCATTCTCTTCGATCCGCTTGATCGACACCGACTTCGGTAGTGGAGAGAAGCCCTGGCAAAGAAGTCAGCATTCAACGAGAAATTGTTAGCTGTCTGTCTGTGTCTCACCTTCTGCAAGCTCCAGCGTACCAGAATCTGCGCGGGGGACTTGTTGTACTTCTCGCCGAGTTTATGAAGAACAGGCTCTTCCATGCGCTGACCGCGTGCGAGAGGACTGTACGCCTGGCATAGCACGCCGTTCTGTCTGCACCACTCAGTAATGTCTGGTCTGGCAAGCCACGGGTGAAGCTCCCATTGCCCAACACTGATCTTGCCGCCGGCGCCCTCTCCCCCTTCCTTCTCAAGCTGTGCAATGTATGCCTTCAGCTCTTCAAGATGGTGGACGCCATAGTTGGAGACTCCGATCGAGCGGACTTTTCCAGCCTTCTGAGCCTCGACAAGGGCTTTCCACGCGCCACATCGAGCTTCCTTGCCTCCGTACGGTGCGTGGATGATGTACCTACACAATCATCAGGTCATTTAACCATCAGTCGATGAAGATAAATGCGTACAAGTCGACGTAGTTCAGACCGGCAGTGGCCAGCGTCGTGTCGACGTCTTTTTTCGCGTTCTCGTAGCTCATTCTGTTCGGCCACACTTTGGAGACATAAAAGATTTGATCACGCGGGATGCCGCTTTTTCTGATGGCGGCGCCACAAGGTGCTTCGTTCTCATAGATTGGTGCCGAATCGATCTGAAAGGAACAGTGTAGGTAAGTTGATGGTCAACGAGGAGGAGAGTGCCACGTTGACGAACCTGGCGAATCCCAATTTTTAGAGCATGCGCTACAACCTTCTCTGCTTCGTCTGCTGGCCTGAGGTAGATTATTAGTACAGCGAGAGCATATTTCGAACTTTCCACTCACGTCTGATATACCTGAAGAGCTCAAATTCAGCATGTGAAAGTACGACGTCCTCTATGGTCCACTTACTCCAAATCCAAGAGCTGGAATCTCATAGCCAGTATTCAGTTGGTAGGTCGATTTGATGGTCAGCGGCTCCATATTTGTTGCAATCATGTTTACTATTACCGACACGAGATATAGTATAAGACACGCCTCGAGTGAGGGAACCAGTGAGACAGCCTTGGGGACGTGTCAGTCTTATTATATCATCGTGCCTTTTTGTTCCTTCTTGTTATTCACCGGGATTGAGTTGCTCAGTCTGCAGAGACGAGAGCTAGTACAGCATAAGAACTTGCTCCACAGTCCTGTTCCCTCTTTTCTGCTAAGCCGTGTTGCTGTGTTGTTGCTTCGTATATAGTGGGAGCTCAGGAACCCGGTTTCCGGGCACACAGATGCAAAGCGCGGGGATAGTCGCTGGCTTGCATTGAAGTCAGTGTTGAGAAATATTAGTGTCTCCACGAGAGAGTGGTCCATCAGGAGCGTGTTATCCTTCATATTCTCCAAGCGTATCGTCATCTAGACACGTCAAGAGTGTGGAATGAGAACTGACTGGAATATCGTTGTTTGGCTCTGAATTCGACCATACAGCACCCAATCCGGTAACTGGGCCACAAGCATCGCCATGAAGGAAATGGAGGGCATCAGTTACCTCTTTGGCTATCCTCTGAAGCATTCTCTCTCGCCACTCGTGCACAACACAACATTCGAGAATCTGGGGATTCCCTTCAAAATGACCGCGTTGGAGTCCCTCGACATGCCAGCCTTTCTGCAGTTGACTCAAGAGCCGCGATTCTTTGGAGCTGCAGTCACAATGCCGCATAAAGTATCCATTATGCCTCACCTTGACGAGATCGACTCGGAGGGAAGAGATGTCGGTGCCTGCAACACGATCTATGTGACCGCGGTGGGCGGAAGGCGCAGGCTTTGGGGGACGAACACCGACTGTGTCGGTATCAGGGAAGCTTTCGCTCAGAATATGCCAGAAACACTCTACCGGGGAAGGCCCGGTCTGGTTGTTGGCGGCGGTGGAGCCAGTCGAGCGGCGGTGTATGCATTGAAGAAGTGGATGGGCTGTAGCACAATCTACCTGGTCAACCGTGACAGACAGGAGGTAGATGACCTGATTGCACACTTTGAGCAGAGAGGCCTTGCTGAGGGGCTGCTATTTGTGGAGGAACTTGGGCAAGCTGATACTCTAGAAGGACCAGGGGCCATTGTGTCGTGCGTGCCAAACTTCCCTCCCAAGACCGAGGCAGAGGGAAAAGCGAGAGGTGTGCTGGAAGCTTTTCTGTCGAAACAGCATAAGGGTGCGCTCCTTGAAATGTGCTATCACCCAACCCCTTGGACAGAAATCGCAAACATTGCGCAAAAGGCGGGCTGGCACGTGTTGTTGGGGACGGAGGCTTTGATATACCAGGGTCTTGAGCAGGACAGATACTGGACATCCCGCCCATTGGAAGACTTGCCCGTGGAGAAGGTTAAGGAAGCTGTTACAGCTGCTCTAGAGGAATTCGCACGCTCTCAAGGCCTGTGATCAGGTAGTCTAGCGAAACATTCCTCAATGTGCAGTTCTCATGGGGCATTGCTGCAATTGTAACGGCGTCAAATTGCCTAACATTCCCACCCTGTTAGGAACGGTGGCTACTGCTACTTTGGTTGTGGGACATTCATCGTGTTAACATCAGCCCACAGCATCAAAATATCCATCCGCCACTCATTCACCTTCTCAAAAGGTGGTCAGCAAAAGCTTCTACTGTAGGCACCCGTACTAGTTGTTATCACGCTATGCTTGCTAGGTGTCTCCCTTCAACGCCGTGGAAATGTTACCTGACTGTCCAACAAGGGTATATTTTGAGTTCGTAACTGCCAGCTGTGATCCTTGGGGAGCTCTTATACGCGAGGTGAATACAGCAATAGGCTGCATTAGCGGCCACTTTCCTGTGCATAGATAGCGGGGTCCCTTGAATATGGAGATGGAGCATCAAGTCCTTCAAGCTGCAGCAATCGCTCTCACACGCCTGGAGCCTAATGACACCAAGGAACTGACGTATGCAAGGGAGTGACAGTCACGGTCGCAGCCGGCATCGATCGGTTCTATCATGAAGATAGGATTCAACTCGAGGCAAAAGATGAAGGTGAACGGCCAAAGAGGCTGAAAATTCGCATGTCTTTGCTCATCAAAAAGTTCTTCGAAACCCCTATGACAATGCCTGTACATCTACCAACGACAACAAATACCACGCGGCCATAACCGCCGCCGCCGCCGTCTAACACTAATCCTCGCTGGCGCTCTCACCTTCGCGAGTGAGCTCCAGCAGCGCCGCGGGAAGACAAAACTCGTGCTGAGCTTCCAGTCAATGCCACACTCTCCTTCCTCGGCTTTGCGGTGCCTGTTCCATACTTCACCGCTACCCGTGGGCTCGCCGTTGTACTGGCCTCAGTCATTGCAAAGGCACATCTAGAAGCCTAGGAATGCTGGTTTGGAGTCCGCACATGTGAAGCAGACGCTGCAAATAGTATTGTGGCTGCTGGTAAGGACGGAGATCATGCCGGTGGGATTAGCCAAATTGACGGTTGGGAGGTGAGTGATTTCGGACTGTTTTTCGAAATGGTGCTACAATCAGCCTGCACTGGCTATTGGAAGAGGATTAAAGGTCCTCTCTGGTCTCCAGGTAGGCTACAGAAGAGCCGCAATGTCGCTTCCTCCTCGAAGTTGGTCTCCACTACCATAATATCTTCTCTGATATCCAGCAACTCAAATGCTAAGGGCCCTTTCGAGACTTGTTTCAGCGTTATCAGATCTGCGGGATCCTGGTTCAGCCGATTCTCTGCAGGGTCTGCAGCACTGCGGCATGTCGGCCGCAAGGGTTGACTCCATGAGTAGAGGGCTCGTCATTCAGGTCTCTTCAAGTTCATTGAAACCCCAGTATTGTCCACAGAAAACTTGACCAAGTGGATGCTGTGCAACACCAACCCGTAAAAGAGAGAGAAGGATCGGCTGCACGGTGATAGGACCTGTGTCCATGTCTACTGGTATGTGGAATCCCAGACTTCTGATGTCGTGCTGAGAAATTCAAAGCCAATGCTGAGGCCACCTTCCACCAAGAATACCGTCAAAACCCACAAATTAATCTTGCCAACTTCCTTAAGCCCGGACTTCTTTGCTCGGGAATCCAGCTCCGTATATACAGTAGAAAATGTGAACTCAGAGCTCACACCACTGCAAACATATCAGATTCTAGATATTTTGCTTCTCAACAATGCAGCCGGAAACGCGATTCCGGCCTAAGGTGGTCGGTGGACTGGCGCTGCCTCGACTTGAGATAGTGCCAGCAGCACTGGTCTGACAGCAGCTCTCAGACAATATCACTTGTCCTCTTTCCTTGAAAATGTCTTCCGCTTTTTGTCCGTCAATAAGAGGGGACTTGTTGCTGGTGAATTGACTATAATTAAAGGAGCCACCAAACCGAGATAAATCTTATTGCACAGTTATCAGGTTCGCACTTGAGGATATCTTTCCAAAATGTCGCCTCACAAGGTAGATGATGTGTATGAAGCACCGTACAAGATTGAAAGGCAGCTGCTTTTCGCACCGCGCAAGTTGCGGATTGTGTGCATTGGAGCAGGAGCCTCTGGCATGGTGAGTTCACGGCAGATCTGACCTCTGACCAAGCGACCCTACTAACGAGCTGGTTTGCGTTCAGTACATGGCGATAAGACAAGAACAGCTTCTGGAGAATGTGGAGTTCCAAATCTACGAGAAGAACCCAGATGTGGCGGGAACATGGTTCGAGAACAAATACCGTGAGCGAATCTATCTGCTGATTCTCGCGCCCCCCACGACATGAAGCTGACTCGAGATCCCATAGCCGGCGCTGCCTGTGATGTCCCAGCACATATCTACACATTTTCATTTGCTCCAAAGACAGACTGGTCCCACTAGTAAGCTGAATCTCTCTCTCATTGAGTGGTCCACTAATCCCTTAGTTACGCTGAATCCGACGAGATACAAGAGTACTTTTCTAGCGTCGCCGACAAGTACCGAGTGCGGAGATTCATAAAATTTGACCATCAGCTCGTCTCTGCAGAGTGGAATGAGCAAAACGCGAAATATGAGCTTCAAATCAAGACTTCAAATGGGTCCATTCTCCGTGATGAATGTGATATTTTGGTCAATGCTTGCGGAATTCTCAAGTAAGTTCGGTTATCGAAACGTGGAAGTTCTCTGTTGATTGGAAAATAGTGCGTGGAAATGGCCAGCAATTCCCGGTCTTCAGGATTTCCAAGGCGAACTGCTGCATTCCGCCAATTTCGACCGGTCTTGGACTCCAGATGGCCGGAATGTAGCCTTGATAGGCACTGGTTCGTCGGCCATACAGATCCTTCCAAAAAGTTTGTGGCAGAGACACTGAGCACTGAGGCAAATGCTAACTTCGACCCAGTCCAGCCCAAAGCGAAACATATAGATACATATGCTCGATCGCCCACGTGGATTGCGATGCCTTTTGCTGGCATCAAATCAAGGCAACCACAAGGCAACCCGCCATACTCGGATCTGGAAAAGGAGCATTTCAAGAATGACCCAGCGTATCACTTACAGTATAGGTGAGAAATATCTTCCCATCAAGTTTGATGGGAGTATAAATCTAACGTAACTGCCCAGATGTGATCTCGAATCGGAATTTAACCACTACTATGAGATGTTTGTGGACAATTGTGATCTGCAACTTTCGACTGTCAGAGACTTGACTGCAAGAATGGAGGCATCATTGGCCAAGAAGCCGGAGCTAATTCCTCTTCTCATTCCCAAGTTTGGCGTTGGATGTCGCAGACTAACGCCGGGCGTCGGATACCTGGAAGCAATGTGCGAAGATAATGTTGAAGTGGTGACGCAGGAAATCACTCGCGTGACCGCCGACGGGGTGGTATCGGCCGATGGCACGGAGAGAAAAGTCGACACTATTATCTGTGCGACAGTAGGTTTACTTTGAATTGACACTTGTCACGGTGCTGACATATCATGAAGGGATTCGACGTCAGCTTCACCCCTCGCTTCAACTTGACGGGGAAGAATGGCTTCAAGTGTGACGAAAAGTTTGGTGCAGGTGAGTTGTGTCATGAAAAAGGGGCTTGCAAATCCTCATCTGACTGAACAACTCAGATCCCAAGGGCTACATGTCTCTCGCCATCCGTGACCTTCCAAACTATTTCATTTTCAATGGTCCACAAGCCTGCGCAGCAAACGGCTCATTCCTTCCCGTCCTGGAAGCTACCGCAGATTACATCTTGAAGTGTGTGCATAAGATTCAGACGCAGCGCATCCGTACGATGAACCCTAAGCAAGAGGCCATCGACGATCTTGTCGAGCATGTTGACACTCTGATGCCGGAGACGGTCTGGGTCCATTCTTGTCGAAGTTGGTACAAAAACAACACAGTCGACGGACGGGTCACGGCTGTGTGGCCCGGGAGCACGTTACATTTCCTTTCGGTCATCAAGGAACCGCGCTGGGAAGATTATGACTATGAATATCTCGGTGGCAAGAACCGCTTTTCGTACTTTGGGACTGGACAGACCAAGACCGAGGCCGAAGGAGGAGAACGAGCCGCGCATCTTCGCACCAGAGTCCATTTGTTCGACGAATGGTGGCCGGAGCATGAAAAGAAACTGGTGGAATCGGACGCCACGGCTTAGGGGTCGCATCAGGGGAAGATGTCCTTGCAGGCAGCATGATGGATCAAAAGTGGATCGAGTTTTCTGTGCCTTTCTTCTAAGAGGGCGGTGTTGGGTGTTTCAATAGAGCTGATAGATCCAGATAGATACAATCACATCCTTACGGTAGCTCTAACCGCACTTGTGTTTTGTTTGTCACAGTGGTCCATGTTACACATCCTCTTTGCTATCTCTGGTGGAGAACTGGCATAGGTTGAAAAGGGGTTCGAGCGGGTCAAGACTGTATCCTTGTCTATTCTGATTGGCCAGCTCTGTTATGCTCTGAGATACATGTGGGGTACAGCCAGGTACATAGGATTCCTCTCACACGACTCCTCTGCTGTACGAGGTACTCAGCTTGAACCCCGGTCCAGCGGAAAGGACGAGATTTGTTCGAGAAGCGCATGGTTCCTACATACATTGGTAATCAATGCGAGGTACCTCCCGCCGGGTGTTCTGGTCCTCGTGAGGCTACGACGCCATCGGAAACCGCCTTCCGGAATCGCTGTTCCGTGATTCTGGCCAGCACGGAGGTTCGCACCGCCTGTCTACCCACGCGATCCTCCAGGGCAGGAAACCATTCTCGAGGAACGAATAATCAAACCTTTGAAGAATGGATGATTGCGCCTTCTTGCGGCTGCTGCTCACCATTGCAAGCTCCTCCTCTTCATCTCCGAATCCAAGAACACCGTAAAACCGTCTCAACGCGCAGAAATGGCGACAGCGCTTGTTCTTGGAGCGTCTGGAGTGTCCGGCTGGGGCGTTTTGGACGAGCTGCGCACCTACCCTTCGCCAACGGCCTTCAAGCGCATCATTGGCCTCACGTACCGTCCTCTAACGAAGGAGACTGCCATGGTGCCCGAGGAGGACCACCACCGGGTCGAACTCTACAGCGGCTTCGACCTGGGTCTCCCAGTCGACGAGATCGCAAAGAGGCTCAAAGCCATCGACAACATCGGCGATGTGGGACCCGTCTATTTTACGGCGTACACAGCGCACGGGCAGGGCCATGACGAGGTCATCAGAGCGAATGTGGCCCTCGTCTCCAATTCCATCCAAGCATTGGAGAAAGTGTGTCCCAATTTCTCGTTCTTCACTCTGCAGACTGGTGGGAAGGTTAGTGACGTCCTTCTCTGCTTTTGGTAACTCCAGATTGACAACAACGGCAGCACTACGGTCTTGAATGGATCGAACACATCAAGATTGAGATCCCGTTGAAGGAGTCTGCCCCCCGCGTGCCATCGCCTTGGGGAGACAAAATCTTCTACTACGCCCAGGTCGACGAGATTAAGAGGCTCGCCAAAGGCAAGAAATGGGGATGGTGCGAGCTACGCCCCGATGCGATTGTACGTCTCGTTGTCAATAAACCCCCAACTCCGCTAACGAGAGTGTCCAGATCGGATTCGTGCCGCAGAACAATGCCATGAGCATCGTCCAGGGCCTCGGTCTGTACTTCAGCTTCTACAAGTGGCTGCATGGCCCCAATCCCCCGCCGGTGAGGTTCCCGGGCAACGAAGGAGCCTGGAACGCCAAACGAACGGACACATCGTCGACGGTGCTCGCACGCTTCCACATCTACGCGTCGCTGCACCCGGAGCGGGTGGATGGGAAGTCATTCAACGTCGCGGACTCGTCGGAGCCCACGCAGTGGAAGGTGCTCTGGCCCATCATCTGTAACTACTTCGGGGTATCCACGCTGGACGGGCCGGATCCTGAGGGCAAGGCGCAGTCGATTGGGGCGTTCATGGAGGGCAACAAAGACAAATGGACGCAGTGGGTGCGGGAGACGCGAGTCCGGCCAGGCACACTCGAGGGCACCAGCTGGCCGTTCATCAACTACCTGACCCAGGAGTGGACGTTTGACCACCCCTTCGACCTGACCGAGATGTACGCCACGGGGTTCCCCGACGTGCTGGATACGCCGACGCAGTGGTTGCTGGGATTCGACCGGATGAAGGCCGCGAATCTCATTCCGAAGTAGTGGGATGGAGGCTGACTGAATGTTGATCTAGAGTATGTACTGCTTTCCAATATCTTCCCCAAGAGCACAGACGATTCGCGAACTTGATCTTGCAGAGTTGAAAACCTGTTTGAATTGCTTGGTTAGCAAGTCCTTTGGTCCAAAAGTCGAGAAGAGAAACTAGCTTGCTAGTTAATTAGCCAGCCATGCAAATGGAATCTCCTTTCCGTCCACTTTTCAACCCATTTTGTTTAACATAACGCGAAATATCTAGCTCCAGAACAGAGTTTTTTTCTTTCTTATTTTCCCATTTCTTTTCTCTCGTGATTCTTACTTGGCTGTGGTTCTGGATCCTGCGTTCGGATGCACACGCCTTTCCCTGAACAGCATGTCGTCGCTAGGAGGGGAGGAGGCTCTCCCCCAGACACCAACAAGTAAGTTTCTATAAAGTATTTCCACCGGGAAAGACGGCACACACAACAAAGGCTCATGTGGGGACGGAAACATGGTTCCGTAACGACAGCTAAGTCGCTCCCTGGTTCTTGTGGAGACGGGTATTGTTCGTTCGGTGACAATATCGACAGAGAGGAGGTACATATATCAAGAGCCCCATGTCGAACGCCTATTTCTCGAAACGGGACACAATCTTCCTTGCTAGCACTGTCTGATCCCACTGGCTACCACTGACAACCTCCACACACACAGAGCCTCACACGAACAAGTCTCCCCACGAATAAAGCTGTCCACCATGAAGGAATCTCGTTCCTGGTTGAATGTTGCTGTAAGAGGCTCTTCCCGCTATGGCGAGGTCTCTTGCTTGTATAAATGCCTGACATGGAACCCAGATCGTCCTCTTCGTCTGTCTCGGCTCGATCTCATATGGCTACTCCGCCTCCATCATCGCGACCACGCTCGGCCAACCGCAGTTCCTCTCCTACATGAACCTGCTGCCGTCCAATCCGCAGGCCAACGCCTTGATCGGCGCCACCAACGGCCTCTTCCAGACTGGGGGCCTGTTCGGGTCCCTCTCCATCGGCCCGTTCGCCGACAAGTTTTCTCGCCGCGGCAGCATCGCGATTGCGGCCGGCACGCTGGTGTTTGGCGGTGCCCTTCAAGCCGCCAGCCAGAATGTCGGCATGTATCTGGCCTTTCGCTTCATTACGGGATTCGGTGTTGGCTTGATCGTGGGTTCTGTTCCATTGTACCAGAGTGAAGTCTCGCCACCGCACTCCCGGGGCTTGCTCGTCGGGCTCCACGGCGTCTTGCTCGCCCTGGGATACTCCCTGGCCGGCTGGATCGGATATGCTTGCTACGCGATGAAGGGCAACATGCAGTGGCGACTCCCCCTTGGGATTCAATGCGTGCCTCCGGGATTGCTTCTCTTGGGGATATATACACTGCCAGAGTCTCCGAGATGGCGTGAGTAGCCGCAGTATCTTGTCGACTAGAACGAGGCTGACGGTCAGTACAGTTGTTCAACACGGCAAGCTTGAGCAGGCACGCGCCGTGCTACACCGGATCCACCACGACGCCGCAGACCCAGAAGGTGCCTTTGCCGAGAAGGAATTCTACGACATCAAAGCGCAGTGTGAGCTGGAGAACACGACCGGCGCAGGCACCTGGAAGAGCCTCTTCACGGGCAAGCACAACCTCAAGCGTCTTGCGCTAGGATTCGGGACAATGTTCGGCCAGCAATGCACAGGTACCATCGTGATCAACAGTAAGTCTCAAATCACGCCTACCGCCCACCCTTCCTCCAGAGTCCGGGTGTTGATGACTTGTTCGGCAGACTACGGCGTGACCCTGTATTCCAACGTCGGGTTCTCGGGACGTCAGGCACTCGCCCTCACTGCTGGATGGGTCACGGTGGCCATCCCGTGCAACATGATCACATCTCTTTTCATCGATCGACTCGGGCGGGTACGATTCCTCCGTAAGTGTTGCTGCCCGCTCCCTTTGTGATGTTGATTGACAACGACTCCTGACCAATTTCTGCCAGTCATCGGTTTCATCGGCGTAGTGTGCGTCCTGATCGGCGAGTGTGTCACCTTGGCAGTGCTCGAGCACCGGAGCAGTTTCTCACTGAGCTGCCTGGCCATCTTCTTCCTCTTCGGGCACATCTTCTTCTGTGCGACATGTAACGACGCCACCACGTACATTTACTCGTCCGAGATCTTCCCCACGCACTTGCGGGCGAAGGGTCTTTCGGTCAGTCTGGCCGGGCTGTTCCTCGCCTCCTTGACCTACACCCAGGCGGCGTCCAGCGCCTTTGCCGCCATCGGTTGGAGGTACTATCTGCTGTTCTTATGTCTCTCCGCCGTCATGGTGGTCATCATCTACTTCTTCTTCCCGGAAACCAAAGGTCTGAGTCTGGAGGAGATGTCGAGGGTCTTTGGTGACCCCGTGGCGGTCGACGAGACCAGCAGTGTCGGGGCAGCAGCTGAGATCAAGGAGTCGGTGGAGATGAAGGCCTGAGGAGGTGGTGGTGGTTTGATACGTAGAGATTGGAAGAACGTACGAAAGGTACCTTAAGTGACTCAGTTCTAGGGTCATTTGAGCCATAGTAATATTTATGTCACATACTGTTGGTTGTCCCGTCACAGGCATCCAATTGGATAAACTATCGGATTAACCGCCTATACAGCGCCGCAGCCTCGCGGCCACGGCCTTGCGCGGGCGGCGCACCTGTGCTGTCCTAGCGGGTGCTGTGTGTGCTACATGCAAAATCCTGTCCATAGCTTGAGAAACTACCATATTGTGTATCCTGAACGGAGGACGTTTCTGGGACGACTAGAGCCAGGACCAAGAAGACGAGACGGTGCTAACGGCAGACGATAGTGATGAAAGTCAAGATGTGAGCTGGGCGAGTCGAACGTAAAAACGGATCATGGCTAATAATTTCCCTTATGTGTACAAGGTACTCCATCCTCTGGGGTCTTTTGATTTTGCTAGCGACCTGCTGCGGCATGATGCCAATGTACATTTCCATCCTACTGATCCACCATTTGATTTTATGCTCGCTGGGCTTCATTATTGCCCTGACGCCTTATAACTCAACCTGCTCCACAGATCGAGTCCAGACACAACGCCGGTCATAACGCCTAAAAACCTCCAATATCTTTCTATGTGGCATCTATGTTAGTATGCGCCGTATGCTCTCTGAGGCCGTAATGCCGTCCTGGGCATCCTCGACGGCCCAATGTCAATTCTGCTCAACTCGAGAGCAAGGGAACTCTCTTCATTATATGAAGGGCCGCCGTCGTAACTGGTACTATCGGGCAGCGATCTCTCAATTGGCGGATTCGTCGGTGATGGAGAATACTCCAATTGATACTGAGGTCCTGGTGGCAGCCCATATCCACCGCGCGGGCTGTAACTGCTCGCGGACGGAACTTGATATTCCGGCAAGGGAGACCGCTGAGGTGATCCACTTCCAGGAGAAGAGTGGATCGTATATCGCTGGTTTGAGGGACTAGGTCGCTCGGGTGGGACGTCACTCTTCATAACTGGACCTGCCTGAGAGTTCGGGTATGGTTGAGTCGGGAGAGGTCGGTTGGGCATCGGTTTCTTCAGACGATTGCGGCCACTCGGTGGTTCGACTTGGGGCGAAACTGGTGCAGTCGCAGGAGGGGTTGATGTCTGGTACGGGGAAGACATCGGACCAGCTGGAGAGGCCTGATAGGGCGACGCTGCAATCGAGTGCGGTCGAGCGGACGCTGGCGACGATCCAGCACGGTTGTGCGTTCGCGCTTCTTCTCTCGTGCGGATCCTAATGACATGCTCTGGCTTCCGTTGTTTTCTTTCGGGTTCCGGCGCCCATGTGTCAGAAGGAAGATGGTCCGAGGGATCAATCACCCGGCCATCATTGCCAATAATTGGTCCTTGGTCTCGAAGTTTGTCAACCTCCTTCTGTCGAGCGATCTCTAGCGCATCTACAGGGGAATTGAATGCACCCTCAACCGATGTTAAGCTCGTGCCAGGATTCAGCACATCGTACGAGCCAGGTCCAAATGGAACACTAGGCATCTGGTTGCGATCCTCACTCGTCGGGAACGTGGGGGTAATTGACTTTCGAGGAATACTGTGAGCAGAATTGGGAGTGATTGGACGAGGCCGGACAACGACCGGAGCAGATCTTCGGACATGTCTCTCATCGTGCAATTCAAAGTTGTCGAACGTCTGCACCCGCCGGGGAGGTTCGTTACCTGTAGAACGCCTGAAATTCTCTTGTATGTTTTCTCCGCTACGTTGCGGAGCGAAATTACGATCGTAAATCTGTTCCGGCTGTGGCACGTCATCCTCGGTGCATGTCGGTTGAAGTTGGTTCATATCGCCGTTGTAGGATCTTCGCTTATCAGATGGAAACATAGGGTATCGGTCATGGTCAATGAGCGGTGGTGCGCTTGGTTCACAAGATTGTGGCGATGGAAGTTGACGTTGTATCTCTTGGGAGGGAAGGTTTGCCTGGAACGGATCATAATCTCGCTCGAGCCTCTGAAGAGGACTCCTACCTTCGATGCTGTTGTGTTTCCCCGGAGTGCGTGGTGAAGATTCTCCGTATGAATCTCTGTAACTCAACGAAGATGGAGGCACCCTTGTCAAAGTACCTCGGTGAGCAGGAGGGGGCGGCGGCGATCCATCCTCATCGAATCCCGGGTCGGGATAGGCCGGAATTACCTCAGACATGTCATTTGGACTTATGGACTGACGAAGTGGACTGTCCCTGTAGGTGACATGCTTGATTGGAGATGTGCTGGCCCTGCTCCAGGGTTGATTTTGCGGAGACTCTGGTGGCGTTCCCTGCGGAGTCGTTCGAGGGGGAGTGGAATGATACGGAGGCTGATCCAACCTGTCGTATGGCGAGTGCGGTGCTGATGAGGAATGCTGGTCGGGTGGCGGCGGTCCTGGCACCGCCGGTGGTAGTTGAGTTTGCGGCAGAAGTCCCGCTTGCTGGTAGGAATCTGCCGCATATGGGTCTTGGTCCCCGTAACCCCCCATGGGATCGTGATAGTTGTCATAGTAATGGTTCGAGGATTGATTCTGGTGATAAGATGGACTCGAGTTTGAGGGCGGTTCGTAAGAGTCGGGGCCGAATCGAGGGTTGAGATCATATCCAACGTCGTCCGGAGTCTCTGGAACGAACTTTTGTTTTGGTGGACGTGGTGGAAGGTTATTGTTCGAATATCCATGGCCTGTAAACATATCTGGCGACTCTTCCCGGGGCCATCGTTCAGAAGTCTGAGCGGTCGAAACAGCTGAGTGCCCACCAGGGCCAGGCGGGAGTGGCCTTCTTCTGATCTCACGAGGCCCCAGTTGACGAGGGCCAGAAGATATGCTCGGGGCGTCACTGGCCATTGAAAGAGATTTATCTCTTTTGTTTTGCTTCTCCGCTAGAGGCTCCGGCTTTGGTCTTGCATCGTAATATGTCAGCTCAATCCGGATATCTCCTGCATATTTTCCCTTGAAGTTCAATTGACGCCATTGATCACTCTGTCCGCCACCTGGGATGATGACTTCTGTCAGATCAATCCAAGCTTCCCCGATGAGGTCAGTCTTCTTATCATCATTGAAAACAGAACACTTCAATTTATAATAGTCGGGGGAGTCGTGGACGGTGAAGCGCAGCTCTTGATCCCTGTTGCATGTTAGTAATATGCCCGCCTGCGCCTTCTTCGGAAGCTCCTTACCATCTGGGTGTCTGCCCGCCTCTTTTATCTGTTTCCGTCTTTTTGGCTTCCTTCCCCAGTCTCATAGCACAATACGGGTCTTGCTTGCCCATGGTCTTCCGATTTGGCAAATTTTTGGCCCTGTCAATCACGGCGACGAGGGTGCCAATCTCGGGGCCGTCGAGGGTCATGTCTGCAAAAATCCCAGCAGCATGGGCAGCATTGAGGGCTCTTGTTTTGGAGGCCATGGTTGGAACGGTAGAGAAGATGACTACCGGCCTGCGGTATCGATGCTGAGGTGTTGAGGTTGTTGTGAAGGCTGCAACATTCACGGCAGAGATGGTGGTTGTGATCGGTCAATGCCACATGGTGCCAGTTGCCGGGTCGAGGAAGACGTTATAGGTTTCCGAGGAGCTATTGAACGATGAGCCCCATTAGATTTGTCGAGCAAAGCTTTCGAAATGGACTGAACGAAGGACAGGATTGAGTTTGCGATGGTGAGGGGGCATTGGGACTTGAAGGTATGCGGACCAGGCGCCAGCCACAGAATTTACGCATGCAATTTTGCAGAAGGCTGGGAAGTTCCGAGCCGGAGGGTCTGTCGACATTAAGCTACAGAAGAATGCATAGTAATGAATGAGACAGTAGATGTCCGTTATTCCGTCGCCAACAATGAACTTTCTCCTCTGCCAAAGACTGCACCCTGGTCAAACGATGGCTGAAGCTCTGCTGTCAGTCTGTGTTGAACATCGTACCACAGGGTGCTGTGGCGTCAGCCAATCATATCGATTCCCATTGTTTTGGAGATGACGTCGATCTTGGAACCGCCAAGCCTTGAAGCTCAAACACACTACTCTATTTACGGCTAGCGTAACATCTCAGCCTGCTGATCTGTTTGGGCTTCTGGTATCAATTGAGATGCTTTCGAATAGCTCGTCTCAGAGTTCGACTCTTTCGGTGGTCTCGATCTTCTCTGGGTACCTGAAGGCATGTTGGCGTCTAACCTCATCCATCACCTCCATAATCAACACACTCTCGTCCAGGCTTTCATACTTGCCCTCTTTGCGCCCCTCGACTATCGCTCTCCCCGCTTCATCCGCCTCCCAAAACATTCCGTGGCCCTCGCCCTCTGCGTTCATTGTGTCTCCGAAGCCGTTGAACCATCCACTTCCTTTGCCAGGTCCAGGCTGCGACCAGTCCTTGTCTTCTGTAGTGCCATCCATGAGTATCAGCCTCGTCTTCGTTGGCCGGTATGCCGGTGGCCAGACTTGCATTTCCCCCTTTGTTCCTTGGATTCGGACCGCAGGCCCTGCCGTGCCCTTTCCGTCGGTATTGCTTGACGTGCGCATACCCGTAGTGGCAACAGCGTGCATGTCGCCTCCTTGTTCCACGTCGCGAGGGAACGTGAGAAGGATGGTAGTCGTCTCGTCAACGCCCGTTGGTGGATACTTAACCATGCTGGAAACAACCTTTGGAGGGCGGCGACTTTCGGGGGCTTGCGTGGTGTACAAAGTCTGAAAGACCCACGTCAGGCTGTAGATTCCCAGGTCCAGAAGCGCGCCGCCCGCCAGTTCTGGATTGACCATCCTATGTTTGCCGTCGGACCAGGTCTTCTCCGGTTCGGAAGCGCGCGAATTGTCGGCAGATACCCTGACTACGTGACCCAGTTTGCCCGAGCTAATCGCCTCGCGTACATAAACAGAGACGGGGAAATATCGTGTCCACACTGCCTCCATCAGGAAGAGGTTTTTCTCGCGTGCCTTTTGGACCAGGATCTTAGCTTGAGCAGCGTTGACGGTAAAGGCCTTTTCGCAGAGGACATTCTTGCCAGCTTCGAGGCAGAGGAGTGCGTTTTGATAGTGGTGGGAATGAGGCGTGGCGATATAGACAATGTCGATGTCTGGGTTTTGTACCAGCTCCGCGTATGAGCCATACGCCTGAGCAGTGGACGGGGCCTTGACCTCTTTCAGGAATTTTTGTGCGCGGGAGGCGCTAGAACTACTGGCCGCAGCGACGACAGTGTGTCTGATATCGTGCACGCCGCGCGTTGCGGGGTCCACCAGGAGATCTTTGGTGAACGTTATGGCAATACCTCCAGTAGCTGAGACATTGTTAGCTGGCTGCACTTCGATTTAGAAGGCAACAGCACTTGCCTAATATGCCCCATCGTATCGTCTTGGGAGCCATGTCGTCAATTTTGGACTTACGCTTCTTGACAACTGGTAGAGGGATGACACAAGTGCAAGATTTCGTCTGGAAATCCCTGTGCACCGAAGCCCCGCGTATCAAATGATGCAATTGACACTCACGGCAATTCTCGGCGGATCTTTGGGCCGAGAGTTACCGTTCGGCATTTCCTCAAGCCTGCTATGAATTTCATGTTACAGTCGAAATTCCACGAAGCAATGTAGTTTTCGGCCAGCTGGTGTCGGGGTTCTGCGCTTGAGAGAATGACTGATAACGCTCATTCAACCAGTTTGTTGTGCAGCCAAAAGCTCCAACATCCCTCTGGTTATGCCTGCTTGCTCTGCTCGATCTGTTTCTTCGTGTACTCGGTCCCGCAGCCTCTTGAGGTGCTTAGCAAGATTCTCGCTTTCGGACAGATGCTTCGAGTACAGGTCCATGATGTTCATCGAAACCTCGACGCACAACGAAACAAACGCTGTATTAGAGATGTTCTTCCATATCCAGTGCAGAATAGGCTGCAGGTCTGCTTCGGTGCGATCTTCGAGAGCGGCACGGAGTGCAGATCGGTAGCGGAGAGTGTTCAGCAAGGTGACCATTGTCAGCCTATCGGCTCCTCGTAGGGCAATATCCAGCGCCTCGCGGTATCTGCCTTTGTGCAGTTCCTTTTCCCACAGCGCCAATTTTTTCTGTTTGGGTCGCACGTTTCCTTCCACGATGATATCAGCATCTTCGCCCGCGTAGTCACGCCCTCTGAGGCGCTTTTCGAGTCCCCTCGGACGTTTTTTGGCCTGCTTCTTGTCGTACGCCTCGATCGTCCCAGCGATGAGTGCTTCCATTTGTTTTTGCCTTTCCCGCTCTTTCACCTTTTGCTCCCCAGAGAGTCGTGTTCTGATGCTGAGCTGACCGGTGGACATTCCCACCACAACATGTTTGTCTTCTCGGGGATTTCCAGCAGCAATCACGGACAATGAAAGGATACCAGCTGGGTATTTGGAACCGGACACGACGTTCCATCCCGTAGTCTCAAAGACCTTTAGATGTCCGTCGAGCCCGCCACTGACTACCCTTGATCCATTGGATGCCAGGCACAACGAGGTGACGGTTTTCTGGTGGTTCTTGATCATCTGCAATGGTCTTCCCGCCACAATATCCAGTACTGCAATCTGGTTCTCGGCTGACGCCAAGATGGCGGTTCCTGATGGCATGCATAAAACATCTTCTACGGCAGCAATGTGTTTGAACGTCATAACAGCCGCATTCGGCGTACGAGGATCCCAGAGCTTGATGGTCTGATCATAGCTGCCCGAGACAAAAAGATTACTAGACTGTCCCGGGAGGAAAGACCCAGTCCGCACGTAGTCCTGGTGGCCGCGGAATGTCTCGACACTGCTCTCGCTTGGAAGATCCCATAGTCTCACGGTCCTGTCGTCTCCGCAGCTCATCAATGCTGTAGTCTCCTTGGGACTCCATCGAACCGCGTGCACTGGTTGTTTTTGTTCTTTCCAAGTCTTCAAAATAGCTCTTGAGTTGACGTCAAACACCTGGATCGCACCAGTCTCGTCGCCTGCCGCAAGGACCCGTCCGTCATATCGGGCCTCGCCACTGTAGGCAATATCGTCGAATCGTGTGATAGTCTTGAGGAGTTTTCGGGACTTGAGCGAGTAGAGCTGCACGCGTGCACCAGTCGTGACAACAAAGAAGTCGGAAGAGTTTTGGCCTGGAGTGCTAGCCTGTGGTTGGGAAATGTGTGTTACAGCGTGCTTTGTCGGAGAGGCAATGTTCAGAGGAGATTTGAACGACCGCCAGTAAGTCTGCTCTGGTGTCAAGGAAGAAGGTCGCGCAGGCAACTTGACTTGGGCAATCGGCTGGACGTCAGCAGCCATTGTGCTCTTTTATGCCCTATAAAATTATTTGACCTGGGCGGTGTCGGTGTTGGTGTCGCATCAAAATCTCGTGGTTTGGGTCGGCGCAGGTGAATTTTTCTAACAAATTGCCAGGTGAATCTAATCTTATCTCAGAGTTGAAAGTTTCTTTGGTTACAGTATGGGCTCCACCCGCCGGACCCTCGGATCCAACGCCAGAGGTAGGTTGTCCCGCAACAAGTTTCAGGTCTAATTCAGATCTAGGAGCCTGTTTGCATTCTTGTCCCATCTATGGCTTCATCGTGGACAAAGGACCACATACCGCTTTGACCTCACAGGAAATGGTTATGCGTGGGGAGGCACTATGCTGGACTCGAGAGGTCAATGAATCAGTCTTCGGGTTGTATATATGGTTTTTGAACCACATCATCTCGTTATTGAGTCCTCAGAATCTCCCGTGCTGGTGCGTGGCTATGATGATATATATTCGAGAGGATTGAGCAGCTAGACGTCCAGGCAAGCTTTGGCTCGTAACGATTCCAATCTAACCTCCTGTGCAGTATAAGGCTCGCCATGGACAATTGTATGACAAGGCATGGTTGGAATCTAAAGAGAAGCAAGTCTCACGTCTACAGGATTGAGTATCCAAGGTATATCTAGAGACGAAAGACAATGCACGCACTTGAACAGTACACCGAGGAACCGAGTCACAGAACAGCTAGTCCTCCCTACTAAAAGCCAGATGAAAACTTTGACAGAGTCGTTCGGAGGTACAGGATGAAGATTTGGGTATTAGTGTCGGACAGGGTGTCGAGGGCAAACAAATGAAGATGGTAAGGTCTACGCTCGTGACACATCCTGGTCTGTCCATATCCCAGGCAAACAGCTTGTTCCCTCCATGCCATCCTCCATCAACATCCTTCGATCTTCAATTGTTTGATCTGCTCGAGACATCGCAACTTCTACGATTACCTCTTGCAACTTACTCTGTCCGGTTGTATCTCAGGCCTATGAAGTCATCCTTCCGCCTTTCACGTACTTGGATATCTCACTGGTCAGGAAGAGCAACTGCCCATCATGATACTGTTGCAGTGAGTCTCTGAACACCTTCCATCAACATTGTTAACACGCGCCTGCTGTTCTTGTGAGCCATGTGCTCCAGCTTGTGTGGCGTCTCTTCTTCCTACTCTGTCATCTCCTCTCCCATAATTATACCCCCAGTTCTCATCCTCTATTCACCGATACAGCATCTTTTCAACTCACTGCATTCTCTTACACTGGCACTTCATCTCTAACCTCTGTTCTCCCTACAGCTGTATCATCACTTGGTCTCTTTTCATTGCCGAAACCATGCCTCTCTCCAATGTCGCTCATGTTCCTGTCCACCGCAATGCCAATTACAAGGCTAATGGCACAAAATCTCTTGTCTGGCTCTACAACAAGTATAACATAACCCCTACAAGACCAGGCCGGTATCATCGTGACGAGAAGAATCGCCTCCTGAAACGTCAGCATGATGGGTCTTCCACTGAAGTGTGAGTCACACCGTCTCTACTTTCTCATGTTGGCTTATCCAGTGGGAAAAGCACCGCAGACGATCAGCAGAATGACACCTACTATACTTGCCCGGTCACCATCGGCACACCCGGCCAGCAACTTGATGTGGTACGTCGAGGAACAAATCGCTTGGGGGTGTTTTGTGCTGACAATCTCCAAGACCTTCGACTCTGGTTCTGCTGACTTTTGGGTACGCTTCCTCCCCATATCCTATGACATTATTGAGCTGACCCCCCGCAGGTCTGGTCCAGCTATTTGCCTGAAAATATCAAGAAGAGTGGAAGTGCATCTGGCGCTACCATCTATGATCCCAGCAAGTCCTCTACCCAGAAGCCCATGACTGGAAGCACCTGGCAGATTCGGTACGGAGATGGCTCTTCAGCATCAGGAGCAGTGGTCACAGACGTCGTCCAAGTCGGAGATATCACGATTCAGGGTCAAGCAGTCGAGATAGCCAGCCACATCTCACCCTCGCTCACTACGCAGACTGCTTCCCAAGGCATTTTAGGCTTGGCTTTCGGCAACATCAATACGGTCATGCCCGTGCGAGTCAAGACACCTCTTGACAACATGGTTGCGCAGGAAGATATCCCCGAGGACCAGGAGGTCTTCACCTGCTATATGGGCTCTTACAAAGACGCCAACAATCCGGACCATGGCGCATCGTTCTTCACTTTTGGGAATATTGACAGTGACGTAGTGCATGCGACAGGTGGAGAGATTTCTTACACACCGGTCAATGATAGTAACGGATTTTGGCAGTTCGCGTCAGAATACGTTGTCATCAACGGGGATAAAACGCCGCTCCCAGGAAACACCGCCATTGCCGACACTGGCACAACCCTGATGATTATTGATGATGATCTCGTCGAGAAGATTTACTCTGGTATCCCAGGAGCGATATACGACGAATCTCAGCAAGGCTGGCTGGTCCCTGCCAATACACCATCCAACAAGATTCCTGATCTCACTTTCGCGGTTGGTGATGTGGATATTGTAATCGAGAAAGAACAAATAGCATTCGCTCCGGTTGAGAACAGTAATATGATATTCGGTGGTATCCAAGGCCGAGGTGACTTGCCATACAACATCTACGGCGATACCTTTCTGAAATGCGTTTACGCGGTTAGTGGTCTGGCCCCCTGAAGGTTAATTCTGATTATTAACAATGAAACACAGGTGTTCGACGCCGGGAAGAAGCAATTCGGCGTTGTCCAGAGGGTTACCCCTACACGAAAGATCGCCTTTTAGGCTTGCTGCTCAAGGCTGTACAACTTTTCAAAAAGCAATCCAATGACGATGATGGTGGTGGTGACAGGTATCTGTGAGGGCGGCATACCTACACGACTCCCACAATTCGGTTGTCCCTAAGAAGTGTTCAGATAAACTTTAGTCATAAAAGACCACTCAACCTACGCTGTCGTTCTGTCGTTGCTCAAATATCTGAGTTCAAGATGGCAATTATCCAGTGTTTAGGGCAAGTAGCGGGAACGTTGAGGCGACCATGCTGGTGGAAAGGGTGACTGATTGTGGGCGTTCCTTCCTGCAATGACCTCGCCTGCTGGATGTCAAATGGATCGCAGCTTTTTGAAGAGTTGTCTGTCCGCTCATTGTCTATTGCTCGATTCTGACTGAACGTTCACAATGAGGAAATTTGCAGTCCTGTTAGGACAAACCTCCCTCCTGCTAGCCCTCTTCATTCTCCTAATCTTCCAGGAATCCCACAAGCAGCCTTTGATGGACAAGTTGCATGACAGTCTACGTCTGGCCACCAATGGACTCAATCGAACACTCCCTGCGTTGAGCATTCTGAATGGATCGGTTCAACCGTCTGCCTCTTCCGCCACTTCTACGCTTTCGTTCATTGCCCCGACCGTCAAGGCCGGAACTCAACGACCTGAGGAAGCCAATCTCCTGACTTCCCCCCCCCTCCTTGCTGGCACTGAGGCACAAGCGCCCCAGGTGCTACAAATCGATTGTAAAGACAGGATGACGGATCGCGAATCATTCAACAAGGCTAGCGAATATGTCCACTCAATCATGAACTGCAGTGTTGGGCATGGACCACAGTTGGAGTGCTCTTCGCTGAACACTACCAGATACCTCGGGCTCCACGATCCCTCTGCGTACGCTCAAAAACCAAAGTTTTTCTTTGCCATGAGCCTTCATCAGTCGGCGGCCATCATTTCACAGCTGCTTGGAGCCATCGTTGAGGTCGTTCGATTCCTCGGTCCTCAAGCCTGCGTTATTTCTGTGGTCGAGGGCCGATCAACAGACGGGACGTTCGAGATCTTGAAGAGCTTGGCGAAGGAGATGGAACATCTTGGAGTGTCCTATTTCTTGTCTTGCAATGAGCTGCAGCCTGGCGGAGAAGGCATGGAACGTATCTCCACCCTGGCAGAACTGCGGAACAGAGCTCTGTTGCCTTTGACCCAATATGCACGATCGTATGACCTGTCAACCACAATCATCTTCCTGAACGATATTGCTCCATGTGCGGAGGACATCTTGGAACTGATTTATCAGCGAGAGCTACTAAAAGCGGACATGACTTGTGGGATGGACTGGTACAATCTGGATGACGGCGGCACTTTCTACGACTCATGGATCGGGAGACAGATGAACGGCGAGACCTTCTTCGAGGTGCCCCAGAGCACGTCTTGGGACTTCTCCAAGAACCTTTTTTGGAATCATGAGCCCAGCAAGTCCCGTTTTTCGTTGGGCCAGCCGGTGCAGGTCTTCTCTTGTTGGAATGGTGCGGTGGCTCTCACGGCCAAGCCCTTCCTGGATGGGAAGATCCGGTTCAGGACCGAAGTAGAGGAGGAGTGTCACCTTGGAGAACCGGTTCACCTAGCCAAAGACTTGTGGAGGCTTGGCCATGGCAAGATCGCTGTCATCCCGAGTATCAACGTCGGGTATTCCGTGGACGACTCGAGGAAAGCAAAAGAAGCGCATGGTTCGGTGACAACCGTGGCATCCAAGGAATCTGTGGAGTTGAGCAAGATTGATTGGCAACAGAAGCCACCAGGTCAGATCAAATGCTTGTGGCCCTGGGATCGTCCCTTGTGGGAGCCTTTTGAGCTCCGCGAATGAGCGGACATCTAAAAAAATGCTGGAAGCTTAGTCGTGGGTACGTAGATGAAGCTCAAAGTTGGCGCATGATATGGGCGACAACTACAAAGGTGGCAAAAAGAGAAAAGTGGAGCCCACACACAAGGAATTTAAAGAACAAAAAGTCTATCAAGTGATGATTTCGAACTTGTGGTTGATGGAGCAAAAACAAAAATAAAAACTGTGTCTGCACAGCGCAGTAAATAATAGAGTCCAAAGATTGAGAAATGGAGTATTTTGGGCGTAGCCACGGCCATCTCTGGTAAAAGGCAAGAAATGGATTCTGCAATAGCTCGTCCCACTCCAAATGGAAAATTTGGGAACAAAAATATATATTCTACAATAATAGAGAGCTCAGTATCACGTGTGTTTCCCTCATTGAGCTTGCTCCTTCCCCCGCATCAAAGCTCCTAAAGCTCCTGCGGGGAGGTAAATTGCAGGTCCAGGCAAATGGTTTTCCCCGACGTCCAGCTGTACGAGGTACATGATGCGTGAAATTTACATCCCGAGAAAGGTTTGCCGGCACTGAAACTCTACGACGTGCTCTGGAACAGTCTCTTCGTTGGAATTTCATTGATCTATCGGTTCGTTGGTCTTGAAGCTTGATAGACAGGCAAGGCAAGCTAGCAGATGAACAAGATGGCCGCATGCATCTTCTGCAAGATTGTCAAAGGTGAGAACGCGACATCGGTTCCTTCGTGTTGGTCGTTGTCGTCGCCGATGGAAATGACAAGATCAACTCCTCAGACGTGTGGAGTGCTAACTGTGTGGCTTCCATAGGAGAGATCCCTTCCTTCAAGCTCTTTGAGTCCGACAAGGTCCTGGCGTTTCTTGATATCCAGCCGCTGAGCCGAGGTCACGCTGTACGCATGCCCTCTTCTTCCCACCGTTCTCCCTCCCCTCCCACTGCACACATGCGTAGAACCTACGAATAAGAATCTACAACCCCTAAGTCCCAACCCCCTTCTGCACCGACGCCCACAGGACAAAAACCACGATGCTACCACTACCTCCCCAACAGTCCATGACAACATGCTAACTCGCAGGTCCCTGGCGCCTCTCTCGGGCGAGGGATGTCGCATCATATAGCTCGTGATTCCCAAGCACCACGGCGTCAAGCTGACGGATATCCCCGACGACTCGTTGACGGACATCCTGCAGGTGCTGAAGAAGATCGCGGTGGCCACGGGCGCCGAGAACTACAACGTGCTGCAGAACAACGGGCGGCTGGCGCACCAGGAGGTCGACCACGTGCATTTCCACCTGATTCCGAAGCCAAATCCCACCGAGGGCCTGGGTATCGGGTGGCCCGCGCAGAAGATGGATATGGACGAGTTGAAGAAGCTGTACGAGACGTTGAAGGCCAAGATGTGAGGGGGCGGGCATGGGGAGATCGGTGGGGAGGATGAATGGATGAATGAGGGATGAGACGAGACGAGAAGAGAACAGAAGAGAAGGGAAGAGAAGAGAGAGTGTGTGTGGTGCGAGAGGAGAGGACGGGACAGACAGAAGGGAAGAGGCGGGCTCAACTACCCCTTCAGGACTACGGATACTCGCGTACAAAGTGCTTGAATGTGGTCTAGCAGTTCGAACTTGTCGGGGAGACGATCCGGCAGGAGAATATCGCCACAAGGGGCCTTTGGACATGTTCCATTCATTGTAGGTATCGTCTTGCTTGCCTGGTCACCGGAATCTTTTCACCAGGGAGGGTGCAACGACCACCACTACCACCACCACCACAAAGAAAGTCCGCGTTCTCAAGACAGTGCCACACCACTGAGCACAGCTCCACGGGTTTCCTTCTTCATGCAAAGAGTTCGACGTTGAACAACCATCATCATCATCCTCATCCTCATCCTCATCATCGCAAAGACCTCAACGCTCCAGGGAACGTTTGTGGTACCAGATCGTTTCGCTTGCATGCACTCTCTCTTGTCCCCTTTTCTAATCCTGGATATCTATCCACTGTCATCGTCGAATGCGAATACACAAGCCAATCATCTTCTAGTTTTGAAGCAAGATGCCCATGGCCCAAGCCAGGACCCCTTTTCCGGGGGGCCCGATGTATGCTTCAGTTTCCCTTCTGCATATGTGGTTCGCTTTCCCCCACTAATTTCATTCTTTTATGAGTCCCGGGCTCTTCGCTCGGTCTATGCTTCGACAGCTTTTGTCGCTGGGTTTTATTTATTCTCTTTCTGTCTTCTTGAGGAGGGTGGGTATCAAGGAAACGTACACAAGAAGAGAAGAGAAAGGGAATGGGTAATGGTGTAATGGTGCACAAGGTGTCTGTCTGTCGTCTTCGTCTCATCATATCTTCGTCGTCGTCGTCAAAGAGAACCTCGCTCGACGCACAAGTGCAAGTCAGAGGGAGAATGCGAAAGAAGAAGAAAAAAATGCAGCGTCGAATCATGCTGGTCCGTTACAGCATAGGCTACTTGGCCTGCCTGGGCGGCTTCAATCTCGTGATCCGCGCTCCCTGGCTGTCCTTGTCGGACCACTTGGGCACAGTCGGTTTCATAGCAGTCGATGATGACGACGATGAGGATGAGGACGCGACCACCGAGGTCCGCCCGCCCTCTTTATTCGGTTTTGACGGCGTTGACGGCGCCGATGGTCCGCGAGCGGAGTGTGGCTCCGTGGGCTTGTTGTTATTGTTGATGTTGTTCACGAAGTCGGACTTGGCCAGCTGTTCCTGCAGCGTGTTGATGAAGAGGAATGTCGAGTCTTGTGGCGACAGGTCCTGCGGGGCACGGGTGTGCGCCATGTTGGAGGGCCTTGCAGCTTGGTTGAATTGAGCCGGCTGGCCGGCTGGCTGGGAGATAGTTTTTTTTTTGTGTCTGATTTGATATCCTTGAGAAAAATGGTTGTTGGTTGGATAGAGGGTTGGACTTGTGGTGCCCAGTGTTCTTTCCCTTCGATCTTTGGTGGGTTGGTTGGTTGGTTGATTGATTGATTGATTGCTCGTTTGCCTTCCGTCTCGTCCTGGCTTCCGGTAATGAAGAGCTGAATGGAAAAGGAGGGTTGAGTCATTCGTTTTGCAGCTCGACAAGGACAGGGATGGGTATTGCCAGAAAGAGAAGGGTCCCGAAGAAGAGTCGTTACGTGGAGGAGCAAGAAGCGAGTGACTCTTGTCTATTATCCAACACCAAGAAGGGGCCGATTTGCAAGCGTGACAATATGATATATATATTACCCCAGACTCCGGTCACCGGGAGAAATGCATATCTCAGGATTTCGAGGACATTCCTGATGGACAGCAGCAAAGGATAGACAGGCAAGTTCTGGAATTGAAGGGCTCGACGACCTGGAGAACCAACTCCCAACTATTCGCTCATGTCCTGCATCAACTGTTCACATATCATGATCTTTCTCTCTCGCGAAGACCGGAAGAAATATTCGGTTCAGTGTTTACTGGTTTAAGCAGGTAGGCAGGCAGGGAGGTCAGGTCGAGACCTGGCAATCGAAGTGCTATTGGGGATGTTGATCGCCGAATTTCCACTTTTTGCGCGCGTACGTCTATGCATGTGGGAGAGGAGGGGGGGAGAGTGTGTGTACGTGTCTATCGTACCATGTATTGCTCTGATCATTTTCCGCTCTGGATTGGGGTTGGATCTGAACCAGCAGAGCCCTAGCTCGTGCCGTGTCCCTTTTGATTAACGCCTGCTTGCGCCATTGGGTGATTTGGGGCCAAAGACGAGACGAAACGAGCGGAAGGAGAGTATTGAAGGACGCAGCCCCTCCCTCTCAGTAGATAGGTAGGTAGATAGGTAGTAAGACTAGCTAATACTTACCTACCTGCGTGCCCTACTTCCCTCCCGAGGCAGATAGTAGGCTGCAGCCAAAAGCAACAATGATCAGCACCACGCATATGCATCTTTTTCCGGGGCGTCCACATAACGATGGCTTCGGTTTGTCCTCCTTTTTCCTAGCTCTTACCCACACACCGCCCGCGGCCAAACGGCCGATGAATCGGGGGTGAGCCAATGGACCAAAGCGGACAGCCAACGACCGTACCGGAGCGGGTGGGATTGGCAAGGTAGAAACGAAATAAAAGAGACCATTCAAGCATTGATGCAGAGAAAAGAAGAAAAGAAATCACAAAGTCCCCGAGCTGGAGCGTCCCAGGACACCCAACGACCAACCGGTATGCCAACACTGCAGGCCAGCGATAATGGATAATGCCATGCAGGCATGCATCGGGGTTCTTCAGAAGGAAAAAAACCCGATGTAGTTAGCAGACCCTGTTTGCAAAGGGGAAAACGAGATATTGAAACAACGGCCACCGACGTAACCGTGCATGAAAAGTCAATCCCTCAAGAACCAGGGTCTGCATATATTGCGCGTCGGAGTTTATTATTCCACGAGAGAATCGACCGACTCTGTTTGGCGGGTGGTCGTGTCACTCACTACTGAACCCTGGGTGTTTTCTCTCCCATGGAATGCTGGGGCCGGCAAGTGTGTTGGTTGGCATACCCGACTGGGTGCTGCTTATGCGAGTCAGCGTCGTGAGTGGAGTGGTGCAAGATTTGGTGGCTTCGAGGAATGGCTCCATTGGCCTCTGTCACAGGTTCTGGACCGGCCCATTCATGGATGTCGGCACCTCAAGGTTTCACGGCGCATTGGCGACTGAAGTCATGGCATAGGACGAAGGTAGTGGTACCCGAATTGAAGCATGTTTGGGGGGGGGTTACACATAATACCCGACTCACGGGAAGCGCAGAAGAGGACAGCACGCACCAGGACATGGCTTGTCGTGGGGTTGGCAGATACATCCCACAGAAACAGACGAGGGAGACAGTGAGTGCTTGAGAGAGCCTCTGTGAGTGCGCATTGTTGAAGAATGTGGACGCCGTTCTGCCATGCGAGTTTCCTTCTGTAAAAGCTCGTGCCGATCATTCCAAGCCCGAACCGATCGAGTCGGCGAGCCTTGCCAGCTGCTCGCCCAATGCATTTCAACTCGAAACGAGTGACCATACTCGGCTGGGTGTTTGTGCACAGGCACAAGATCACGAAAACACGCCGTCCACCCACCATTAGCCCAGCGACTGGCGTCGACTTGTTTCCTGGGTGAACTTCAGGATGATCGTCGTCTTCCCTCGCCCGCACCGTATTGAGCTGGCTCGGGCTTGGGAATATGCAAGACGTGCCTCCCTTGGTCCGTCCAAAGCCTGAAAACGACATCGACCACACGCATGCAGCAATATCTGCGATGGGTCCATGACGTACTGTTCCAACTTCTTCAGCTTAAAAGAGAAGCTGTCCTGAAACATGGATGTGCTTTCGTATTCGAAGAGCCAGGTCTTATCTCAGATTGGTATAAATCCACGGAAGCCCAGAAGCAAAACAATGGCGGTGACAGCCCAAGAAACCAATCCAAGCCGGGGACGGCCTCGATACGGGGAGCAGGCGAGCAGAAAATCAAGTGGGAACAGAGCAGACGAGACTCGTGACAACAAATAATGGAGAAGCATGGTCCGCGCGCCTTACCTTTTGCACGACGGCGCAGGGCTGCTGTGGGCGCCCATCCAATAAATGGGGTGATCAACTTGACCCAGAAGGAAGGCCGGGTAGCAGTCTTCAGCGTCAGTCAGTTGATTCCTTGACTGAGAGAAAAACAGGGTGAATTTTGGACCCAGAACGTGTGATCTGTTCAGCCGCCATCCCGTATATCCGCTATGGAAGTGTGGATATTTGTGTGAGAGTCCTCTTATCTGTGCTGATGGGTGTGTATGTGTTGTTCGTGGCTTCTCCCTCTTGAAGAATCGTGTCATCGCGTGCCTGTTCTTCTCCTCTCCTCCCACATACTAATCTGCAATTCTGCCCGTTCGACCAATCCAGTCAATGGCCCTCGTCGTCCTCATCAGCTTGCGCAGCTGTGCTGTGTTCTGCGGACTGAGGCGGGCAGGGTGCACCTACCCATCCCGTCCTTCTGGTCAGATGCACAGTCGACCGGGTCAAGCACGATGACAAACAATCATAGCTGAGCTGTGTGGCGCTCATCAGCACACCTACCAGATTAGATAATTAAAGTATATGTCTTCTCACACAGTGCTATGTACCCTTGCACATGCTCGGGGCTGACGAATGTCCGGCTAGGCTCTGGCTGTATCGTATATCCTGTTGCTGGTTGCCCCCCCTCTAGAAGGTCCAAGAATCGAACGATCAGATGTGGGCAAGGGTGTCGCTAAGTCCTGCTTCTCCCGCCTCCGGACTTCAGTCGACATCATCGGTAGAGGTTTCGATCTGTGGAGCGTCCGGCACAGTCTCCGGCGACGTCGGTTTGAGATCCACGTTCTCTCCCTTCCCCGGAGGCGGCGGGTAAAAGTTGATCTTGCCGTCTGGCCCGATCATGCCCGTGCGGTCATAGTACGTCCTCGCCCGCACATATTTGTCCAGTTTCCAATAGTTTGCGTTCAATTGCCTTGCCAGGGCGTGCCTCTCCTCTTTGATCTTGTCCACATCCGGGCCCGTGCCTTTTGATATCCACTCAAAAGTTTTATTCTGGTATTCGCGGACCTGAATGTCCCGCTCAGCGTTGAGAGCGTTTCGGGGCGCTTCTTCCTTCATAGCGTCGTTCTCCCCAGGTACGGGCTCTGCATACTTATATTCCCAGTCCTCGTCTCCATCCAACTCCTTGATGATCTGTGATCTAGGGATAAATTTCTCGAGGTCCTCCACGCCGGACGTAAAGTGCACTTTACCCGCCACGACGGGATCGAGCCAACCCCGAATGATCTTCCATATGCCTTGAAAAATCCACGGTGCCTTGTGGACAAGGACGGCGCCGAGCGACTCGGGGTAATTGGCTTCAAAGATCTTGATCATAAACTTGACGGGGGTATAATCCATATTGGCCATGGTGAAATTGGTCATGTCGAAAACTATACACTGAAGAGGAAATGTCAGCGGTGTGTCGATTGGGGTTGGGACAACACTCACAGCGGTTTCTACTGGCGGCCTCAGAGCCAGTCTAGCCGTCTCAATCACATAAACCGTATACCGTTCGAGGGCACGCTCCGTCTGGTCGCCACCTCTATGGAGTCGTACCCGTACAAAACATAGCGGTCTACCTTCTTTATCGGTGCCGTGCAGGAAACTCTTTCCTAACCTGAGTTGCGCCAGGAAGTCTTCTCCCTCGCGCCTCACGGCGGGATCGCTGGATTTCGAGTCCTCTAGAGCTCCCCCTTCTCCCCGCAGGACGACATCATCGTCGACATGTTGTTCTTGACTTCGCCATCGCATCGTAGAGACCAACATGACCAACGCCTTGTCCACATCCCATTTTCGGGCTCTCAGAAACCGTAGCAGTAGCGCATCCGGGTGATCTGCCTTGACCATGCTCCAAAACGTGGCACGCAAGGATTCTGGGGTTTGTGTGACCAAGATCTGCTGGAATTCCTTTACCTGGCCGTACTTGTCGTCGGAATCTGCATGATGGCTCGGATCTTTGGTCGGCGTGGCTGATCCATTACTTGACTCCTTATCCTTGTGTCTCTTGAATATACCCAATCGCTTTTTGCTCTTCTCCTTCTCTTTGACATCTACTTCAGATCCCGCATCTTCGGTTCGTGGTGTGTCTGTCCCACTGGTATGCTGCGGGTCTTCCACGCCAAAGATTTTCAGCGTGACGGCCCAGAACTCGCGCAATTTGGCTTCTTGTTCGGGAGTCAAGTTACCCAGGTGGCCGGGAGGAGCAGGCATGTCGAGACGGAAAGGGTCGGTGGGATCTGAACTGGTGGGGGAGGAGGATTGGTGTTTCTTCGTGTTGTCCCCTCTGTCGTGTGCCTCTGGGGATTGCTGACGCATCAGATACTCGACAACAATTGCGGCTCCACAGGCGACACCAAAGAACAGAATATACGAAGAGATCGAAGATTCGACAGGCGCGATAACCCCTCGAGTAGGATTCCCAGCGGTAAAGGGGTGGGTGGGTAAGGAGTGAGGCCTTGTTTGCGGGCGAAAAATCGGATGGAATTTGTGGGAGAATGAACGCGCCCCTCTCCGAGCAGCGGAGGGGAAGATGAAAGGCAGCTGACTCAAGGGCAGCAGGTGCTGGCAACAGCTGCGTCGCATCTATGTCAAGACGCAGAAAAAGAAAATGGACCACGCTGATTATGAACGATGCGAGATTGCCGCTGCCACGGGTGTTGTATTGAGCCGACGCAGCCGTGGATTGAGGATGAACTCAGCACAAATCGATGACTGACTTCAGCAATTGCAATCATCCGCCTCGCCGGGTTCCTGTATCATTGATTCCCCGTGGCGCAGGTGGCGTAGCGGCATTACCGAGCAATAGTGGGCGCAGGATCGAGCGAGCAGGGATGAAGGCACTGTGGGTGGGTGGATGAATGGATGGTGGATGGTGGATTGGTTTGTCGATTGGCTTTGGCGCAGTGCGAGATTAATTGATGGGAGATTCATTACGTCATCGACAGCTCGCATCAACACCTGCGCTTTTCTCTTCGGCGTCGTCGTCGTCGTCGTCGCCGTCAACGTCCCTTCCATTGACACTGTCTACCGAAAAGAGTACTTCCTCTTACCTACCAACCCAGAAGCATCGAGCAGCCAACAATATGCCAAGGTCATCATCTCCCTACAAGCGTCAGACACAATGCGTTCGTTCTCATGCCGCAGTCTCGGTCTCTAGCCTTTCCAACTGCATACCCTTATCGACTGTGAAGGTACAATTGCGGACACTCACAGCCTCTTTCACTTACAATATCATGACGGCAAATGCCTGTGACAAGTAGAATTCTTCACGGTGTCATCATTCCTTCTTCCCTTACAGTTGTCTACTGATGTTTTCCACTAACAAGGTGCTGTCACTATATCACTGGGCGACAAATATTCAAAAGGTCTAATGGATCTCAAGACTCGGAAAGTGTTATATAAACTGCTTCTCTGCGCACAGGCAAGGCTGGAGCTTCTCTTCTCGCACTGTCAAGCTTTCTCTGCAGCAAGAAATGGCTTCGTCACTCGGCAATCGTTCCTGCTCCGTTTTTCTCGCTCTTCTGCTTGTCAGTTTTGTCGTCCAGGCTTTCGAAGATGTTGTGCGCCCTCCCAACACACCTGTTATTGGTGGCCCTGCAGGACTGGCAGACGCGCAAGTGGCTATCTTCTACCGCACATTCCAGGATGCCATCTATTTGGCCAGGCACACCGCTCTCTACTGGCCGTGTGATGCTGCGAACGACGAAGTGAGTTGCTGTATTGCTCGATCTGAGAGATTGCCGCAGTTGGGGAGATTTCCATGCCACTGACGGCTGTAGGTCTTTACCCGTTATTTCGAACCAGGAGACGCTGAATTCGTGAAGAACATATTTCGCACAATAGCCAACATTGATCTCGACCTGGATCTCTCCGACCCAGAGATGGTCAAACAGCTGGCGGATGAACCTCTGACATACAACGAAAAGTTTACTCGTTTATCAATTTATTTTCTCGGAGACCATCCAGGATTGACACAGCCAGGGGTTCCAAAAACCGACCTTAGCTGCCAAGGGACTCAAACGTATTTGGCCTATGTGGTTCCTACGTTTGGCGGCGCATCGGCATTGATGTCCGTTTGTAGGCTCCTATATCAGGAGTTACCCATGCTTCGGGACGTAGAAGACCCTCCAAATTGGGCAATTGACCCATCCAAGGATCAATCAAATGGACGACAATATTATGATGGATACGGTTGTCAAAACCTTGGAGGCATTGACACAATCTGGATGCGCAGCACCGGGTCTCTCATGTTGCATGAACTTATGCATTTCCCTGGCCTCTTCTCAAGCGTCCCAGACTACAACGCCAACATTGCGATTTCATTCGATGCCAACACCCCCCACTTCATCTCCGACTTCTATGGAGATTGGCCGAGAGATGGATATGGCCCTTACAATGCTGCGGAAATCAAGAGATTCCTGCCACGGGACCAAAGCTATATCGAATGGAGGCCGGTTGACAACGCGGACAACTATGTCAGTTATGCAGTGAGCCAATACTACTCCATAGTTTGTGGCAGAGCATTCGGAGAAGCACCGAGCGAAGACGCTGCTTGGCCAGCACGGGAGCCGCCATCGAACCCATTTTTATTGACAAAATTGAATTGATCAGTCCCTGGTGGTGCAATTGCGAGCTGGGTTGAGAAATTGCTGGTAGCCGAAATTCGTGCGAATGCTCTCTATCCAAAGCTGGAATTGTTGCTCGCTGGCACATGGGCAGTCTCGGTGGTGTTTTTCCCAATGGTTCAGATATTGGCGACAATTTCTTGGACACCACGGGAGTTTCCGATGCATCACCAGCTTCAAAGTAGGAGAGAAATGATCTAGTTCAGGATCTGGACCAAAGACTAAGAAATTATGTCGGCATGAGGACCTGCCCAACCAGCGTGGCTTAATGCATTCTCTTCTTCGGCCAGGCACCCGGTTATCAGCGCATCGAAGTTTTGTTCAATATCAAGCGTCGATCAAGGTCTGCACCGGAGCTGGAGGTGGTGCGTGAACCGCCTTACCCGCCACTTCATCCCAGTCCCAAGTGTGGCACGAGCCGCTCTTTCACAAACTGCTCCAGTCCGTGCAATTCCACTCCGAGACCCAGTACTTTCTGGTCCGGCAGCTTCACCCCGGGGTAAGTGCCCGTCTTGTTGTACAAGGTGAACATGATGTCTCGCTGTTCGTTGCCTGTCGTCGGCAGCACCACGTATTTCGTCGGTAGACCGGTGACTGTTTCGCCGCTGTTGTCAGCTTTTCCCCCCTCCCTGTTCAGACAGCAGGAGATGGGGCCCGAGCTTACCGCGCTGTATCACCTCGCAGATCTCACGAGGGGTGTGGATGGCATCCATAGCGTACAGATAACGAAATTTCAGCTGCTCCTTGCGCTGGTCCCAGTGGTCGAAGATGGCCTTGGCCACACCAGCCAGGTCCTTTTCGACCCAGACCATATGGACTAGGGTGGCTCAACGGACCTTAATCAGCTTCCTGGCTTTATTCTGTCTAGACGTGACACAGGCAAATGGGAAGCACAGAGAATAAGAGATAGAGCGAGTCAAGACTCACGTGTCGTATCCTCCTGGATGACAGGTTGTCGAAACTCGATTCCCTTCCCATCGTCTGTCTTGACCACATGGCCCCGCAGGACCATGTTCTCGTAGAAGTTGCCCGTGTAGACAAAGACGGCGGCGTCGAAGCGGAGTTCGTCGCGGATGAAGCGGTCGACGCGGTGCTTGCCCTCGTAGATCTCGCAGCACACCTCGCCCTGGGAGATTTCGAGAGATGATGGCAGCGTCGACCACACGAAGCAGGACACCCCGGCGCTTTTGGCCGCCAACGCAGCGTTACGCCCTTGGTGTTCTTCACTGGCCGGGTCGTCTTTGATGGTCTACACAACCCGACACAACACCGAGTCGGAAGTCAGTCGATCATCCCAAGCGACTCAAACAAATATGGATTGGTAGGCGCTAGAGGGAGGAAGATAGGACTGGGGCCAAGAAGGGAGGGATGGATACATATATCTGTATCTCCTCCACCAGCGAAAACCCACTCCAAGCTAACTCGACTCACCGCATCGTAGAAATTCGTCACGACAAACGCGCCCCAGCAATCCGCGAACGCGGCATCCAGCGTCGACGCATCCGTCAAGTCCCCCTTGACGACCTCGGCGCCCTGTCGGGCGAGCTGCTTGGCCGCATCGGAGTCCGGGTTTCGCGTCAGGACACGTACCGTGTACGCGTCCGGGTAATGCAGGAGGAGCTTGGCTACGGAGCCGCCTGTAGAATAGAGGAGGACGGTGGTGGCGGCGGTTAGCGAGTGTTTCTTCTGGGCGGTGGGGTACGTGATAGATAATATATAGGATGGATGTGTGCGTGTGTATAGGTATGTACCTTGATTCCCAGTAGCACCCGTTACCAAGATCCGCTTCGACATCTTGTGTCTGCTTTTTGTTTTGATCTTTTCTCTTCTCCTCGCTTTCCTGGTCCTGTGTGTCTCGGTTCGATTCGACTCAGGGTTTTCAGAAGGAAACAGGATAATTCACAAATTCTCTGTTTTTCACTGGGCACCTTTCAGAGAAGAGGGCACGTATTCTCCAGTCATCCCATCATCATTATCATCATCATCAGTATCGTCGCCGTCGTCGTCGTCATCCTCAATGACCCCACACGACGTACACACGAGTATATCGACCACAACGCGTGGGTGCTGACAAATTTGGCTAAGGGGTCGAGGCGCGGAAAGCGGAAAGATGCGCTGCAGACTGGCAAATCTGGAGCTTTCTTCGCGAGGAATTTCGATTTGCTGTCGTGCATCCAATGATGATGCTGATGCAGAACGGACAACCGGCCAAATCTGCCGAGTGGGCGTCGGATGCAGAGTCGCACTACAGTAGAAACATCACTTTGTCACAACGGTGGCTCGAGGAGAGAAAGTTATGGGTCTCAATGACTTGGCCGGACGTGAGTGTCTGTGGACTACGAGCTACAATTCTTTTCCTTTCCTTGTTGGATAGGGGCTGTGAACTGAAGGAGGCAGCGCAAGGCTGAGGCGGGCAAGGGGCTCGGAGGAGACGCCGTCCTCGGCACATCTCCGTCCGGACTGTCTGTTTGCATTGGAGACTCTCTCTAACGGACTCATTTCCGTGCTACGCAGCCCCATACATGAGAGTATGTCGTGGGGTCTGTGGTGGATCACATTGAAATCCAGATCTCTTTGAACGTGCTCGTCTCCCTCTGCGCCCGTCCCATCTCCAACAAAGCTGGTGGGATGATCTCCTCCAAGTGGACGTCCATCAACCTCGCTACCAAACAGACCAAGGTAGTGTCCAGCGCCGTTGGGGCGGTCGTGCCAAAGATCCATGCATCTGGCGTCAAGCCCTTTTCGTTATGGGCGCGTCTGACCTGGTCGATGGCGTTCAGGAGTGTCTGCGCACGCTCGATCTCCTCCTTGATGACCTCGGGACGCAGCCCTTCGACCTTCTCTGAACGGGTCCTGGCAACGGTGTTAGTCTCACCACAATCTCCCTGCTGTAGACTAGTGCATACACAGTCAACTTGTACTCCAGAGCTTTCTTGTGTCTGGCTGAAAGGTCAGGCGTGTTCATCTTAGCGAGGATCGCCGCTTCCTGCATTTCTGCTCTCTGTGGACGATTTCTCATGGAAAGCGTGAAAAAATTGATGGCGTGCAGATTGCGAAGCAGTCTATTAATTTCATTTGCATATTCCGAAGGTCTCAGACTGGGATACCTCTCGCATAGCCAGAAGGTGATATCAAGACTGTCTGCGATAGGCTTTTCAAGGAAACCTGGACTCAGCAGAACCGGAACCTGCGCGGATTGTCAGTACTGCCTTCACCTTCAGATAGCCGTCAACCAATCACTCCCCAAAGCTCCCCTTACCTGTCCTTTCGGATTTAGCTCGCATAGATATGTTTCGGATAACTGTTCGCCGGTGTAAATGTCCACCGCTCGGAGCTCTGTAGAGAGTGGCAAGCAATCCTTGCCTGGCAAGCCCGCATTGGCAAGAGTATACCGTACCATCGAACTGCAGATGGAACGCCGGTCGTAGTAAAGAATGCACGGTTGAGTATCCATATTGTTCTATCAAGCTCCGCTTTCCAATCTACGTCGTCAGGAAGAGACGTAATGTGGGGTGATTGAGGCACGGGAGTTCCGCAGTTCTAACCAACGGTATATAAACGATAAATCGACAGCATTAGCCTCCAGAGTACACAAATCTTGACAACGCATGAGACCCTCCCGAATTCCCCTAGTTGAATGTGACGCTTAGTCAGCTTCGTTGCTGGCCTTGAAGTATATGAGCCGACCCACGCGTGTACGTCGGCCGCAGAGTCTGCTGTTCGGATGGAGATAGCAGGCTTCAAGCCGAACCAGAACCATCAGTCGCGTGTTCCACTCCGTTTCTGCAATCCCGGAACATTATTTTCTGTCTGCTGGGATGAGACCAGGGGAACACTGGGACGTGAGACTGGTATGGAACAAACGCAGAAAAGTGTATTGTATCTAGACCCAGTCGTGAGTGGTATCGGAGACGGTACAAAGCTCTCTGGAGAATGGGAATCCCGAGTATAAAAAACGGTCCCGCCACTTCTCCGCCAAGTAGCAGAGCAACACTAGCGGAGACACCCTTCATGAAGGATGCTGCAACACGAAATCTGACGGATGATATCAGAGTCATTGTGGTCCAGAGTTGCAGCAAGTCTCACTCGGTGGCGAAGATAGATCCTTTGCCAGATGGGCTTGTAAAACACTCCAGCTGACCAGGCTTGAAGTGATAGCATAGTACTGGCGGTGAGTATATCAGAAGAATCCCATGCACGGCTTTACGGCTGTCGAAGAACTTTAGAAATCCTCCGCCTTCCCGCAGATCTGACACGAGTCGATCGCTCATTAGAATGGTGGAAAGAATTAATGATCGAATTGCGGCAAACAGATTGGTGAGAGCAAACAGTTTTGGAAAATCGTTATGCACCCAGAACGACCATTATCGAGTGTAGAAGAACCTGTGATGCGGAACGAGAGGAGAAGATACACTGGGAGGAGGTGGACGCTCAGCACCAATTGAATACAAGATCCACCTACAAAAGAGCAAGGAAAGCTCACTGGCAACAACACCAACCTTTCCTTGAGCACTGATCTAGAGCTATCGCAATTGGCGTTTTGACTCATGGAACGTTTCGTGACACTCCAGTAATATTGATGCCGGCTGACATGGTGACGGCCAGTCTTGTTGAGTGCTGGTTGAAGGTACGGAGACGCATCTGGGTTAGACGTCTTTCCCATGTGCTTCTTATCCAAACTCCATTACATTCTTGCGGCCAAAAAGGTGCCCTTCAGAGATCCAAATAATGTGTCAAAGACTGCCTTGGAATAGATGAGATGAGGAGGCATCATTGGCCCGACAACACCATACCCAAGACGGTCTAGGATAAAGCTCACGCCATATTACCTTTTGAAGCTCCTGGTAGGATGTGCTGAAGTCCATATTCAGGGGTCATTGAGACTATACATGGCGTTGGAGTATGTAATTGTCTGGAAATTGCATGTCTGTGCTCGGGTCCAGCTTGAGAGGCAACAATGAGAGACATGGAGCGGTGAAAATCGGCCTGTCGGCCACATTCGGCCGTGAGACAGTCACTGTACGGTGAATGTGCATGGCTCATATCGACCAGATTCCCTGAAGTTTTAGAAGCTGGCTGATGGGAGGCTGTTCATCCAAAAGGGTTAGAGAGCCTATAACCGAGCGATCTGGTCGTCGTTGTCGATTCATTCGGTATCAATCGATATGAAGCACATTTTCCGACGATGGCCGAAGTCGACGCATCGCTGAAGAAGTGTCTTTTCAAAATTTGTGCGCCTGATGGCAATTCTCAGGCGACATCCTAGACAACTTGTTCTAGGAAGTTCTTAGAGAACCGGGTGACCTGCTCGTAGACCTCTTCGAATCCACTGTCGGCGCCGTAGTAAGGGTCAATGACCTCCTCGCCTTTTCTTCTTCCCCCAAAGTCGCCAAACATCATGACTTTGGCTTTCGTTTTTTGTCCCTTGCTTTCAATTCTTCGCTGCAATCGCTGCAAATCGTCGAAGTTGTATCTATCCATTGCGAAAATGTAATCAAAATCGTTGAAGTCCTTCGAGCGCACCTGACGGGCGCCATGATCGTAATCTGTGATGCCATGTCTCCGAAGGGTATGGAGTGTTCGATCATCGGGTGGACTGCGAGTGTGATAGGCGCCAGTGCCGGCTGAGTCGATGTCGCCAATGCGAGGATGGGATTTTGCAAGAGCCCGAAAGACGCCTTCAGCCATTGTCGACCGACCTGTAGATACATAATCAGCTGACATACGCAGAATTATAGTGAGGCAGAGCTACGTACAGATGTTCCCAAGGCAGACAAATAGGACCGAGATTCTGGTCGAAGAATCTGTCATTGTGGGGTATCTGGATGGCGCAGTCGACAGTTGCGTGGAAGGTTGCGTGGGAGTCACTCACCGACGGCAAGGCGTCGCGAGAACAACAAGTAGAACAGAGGATTCAACGTGACAATTGAGAACAGCTTTAGAGGAGCTCGTGATAAACTACTGCGGTTGGCATAGAATCGCATGTAGGTACCTCGTACGCAGCAATGGGTACTGATAGGGACTGATAAAATGAACTTACGAGCGATAGTGGAGGCGGGGAAGGTGTACTTGGTACGCAGCCCTGCCAAGTGAATTCCTCGTCAGCCTCTAATGAACTTGGCAGGGTCGGTCTGGGGAAGCATGAAACGTTCTCTGCACAGCCACAAGGCACTAGAATCTGCAGTTCGCCTTGAGGGAGATTGCGCGTCAAGCATTATTAGGCACCAGGGAAAGCATCCCAAGGACAAGGTTGCTACGAGAATGTACAGGAACACTCGATATGGAAATAGGTGAGGCCAGAGATGGTTTAAGGCAAACAGATCGTACATCGATGCAAATCCCAAATCTGGCTGTGAATAAATAGAAACAAGGGGCTTAATCATGATGAGCGGCGGAAACTGCAGTAACCAAGAAACGTGGGCGCATCCATCTTTTCTGCAGGGCAGTGGCGCGTTTCTGCGGCGATGACTTCTGGGCGGGGCTTTAACTGGCTGGTGGGCGCCCGGGGCCCATGGCGCCTGTTCGGTAAGTGACAGGAGCCAATGCCAATCAGCCGGCTAGCGGGTCTGACACCCAGGATGCCCGAAACAGAAAAATCAAGAGAGTAGTCAGAGAGGGCTGAGGTACTACAGTACACGGAGAGCTAGACGACCTGAGCCCAGCTGAGAACCAACAGGACACTCTTTTCATCTCACATGTATCTGGTATCACCCTGACGGATATCCTCTCTTTTCTTTCTTTCATTCTGTGCAACCGGCCCAGGGCAAACTGGATACCCTCGAAGGCGTCCGGCGTCAACTTTCCTAAGACTTGATGACGGCTGCGCCCCCAGAGTCAGATCCAGTAATAGAAGAGTAAACAATACTCCGTATAGACCATACTCCACTCAGATCAGATCGCAGGCTGGATCCTTCTTGCGAACAGTGTCCGACCATTCAAGATCCTAAATTCTGACACAAGGATCGTCTTTGCTCCGTCCTCGCATTCCTGTCCCCGAAGCAACACAGACCACTTCTCCTTGCGGCCCCTCATGGCCTACAATCGCATCGGTGAGACCCCTCTCTACTTGATATCGACGAGTATACTGACTTTCAGCCCTCAGGCGACCCTCAGCGCGACGGTCCTTATTCTCCTGCGATGAATCCTCACTACGATTCTCGGTCCCCCTCTCCTGGCCGACCACTACAACCCTACGCTCACCCAGACGAGGCCCATTCGAGACAACAACTGCACTTGCAGATGCCGACGGCCTCCAACGACCGCCTTGCCATGCAGCCGACATACTCGGTAGAGAACATCCCGCATTCTCATGGGCATAACCAGCAGTATGAACAACAGCGGCCTCTTGGACCAGGGGGAGATATTGGTTACGGAAGAAATGACTACATTGTATCACCAGAGGAACATCACGACGCATATTATACACAGGCATATTCACCTCATCCTCAAGGCGACTATGCCCTAGATCCTTATCCTACGCCGGAACATCCATACCGACTGGACAACGACAACGTCCCCATCCTTCAGGCTGATGGCGCATATGGCCCAGATCCGCATGCTCAGGAAGATATCGGTTATGATGGGTACCATGATGAGCAGCGCCCTACGCCGTCTCCGGCGCCAATACGAAGATGGAAGACCGTGAAGGAAGTGCAGCTTTTCAATGGCAATTTAGTGCTTGATTGTCCGGTTCCTCCTAAACTCTTGGCTAATGTACCTCATGCGAAGCCGCCGGAGAGAGACGAGTTTACGCATATGAGATACTCAGCCGCCACATGCGACCCCTCGGAGTTCTACAATGAGCGGTTCACTCTGAGACAGCGACTGTTTGCTAAGCCGAGAGAGACGGAACTTTTCATCGTTGTCACCATGTATAATGAGGACGAATTCCTGTTTGCTCGTACCATGATCGGTGTCTTCAAGAACATTGAATTCATGTGCAATCGCAACAGTAGCAAAACATGGGGCAAGGAAGCGTGGAAGAAGATCGTCGTTTGCATCGTTAGCGACGGCCGTGCGAAAATCAACCCCAGAACGAGGGCAGTCCTCGCCGGTCTAGGTGTCTATCAGGACGGCATTGCCAAACAACAGGTCAACGGCAAAGATGTCACCGCTCATATCTACGAATACACCACTCAGGTTGGTCTCGAGCTGAAAGGCACGCAGGTGTCTTTAAAGCCGCGATCCGCGACCCCGGTTCAACTGTTATTTTGTCTCAAAGAGAAGAACCAGAAGAAGATCAACTCACATCGCTGGTTCTTCCAAGCCTTCGGTCGGGTGCTGGAGCCCAATATTTGTGTCCTCATCGACGCCGGTACCAAACCCGGCAAAGACTCCATCTACCATCTGTGGAAAGCTTTTGACCTAGAACCCTCTTGTGGTGGCGCTTGCGGTGAGATCAAGGTCATGTTGGACCATGGCAAGAAACTCTACAATCCGTTGGTCGCCACCCAAAACTTCGAATACAAAATGTCGAACATCTTGGACAAGCCTCTGGAGTCTGCATTCGGCTTCATTTCGGTGCTCCCCGGTGCTTTCTCGGCTTACCGTTATGTGGCCTTGCAGAACGACAAGAATGGTGAGGGGCCTCTCGAGAAATACTTCAAAGGCGAAACTATGCACGCAGACGCTGGCGTGTTCACTGCGAACATGTATCTTGCCGAAGATCGAATCCTCTGTTTCGAGCTCGTCAGCAAGCGCAATTGCCAGTGGATCCTTCAATATGTCAAGTCGGCCACAGGCGAGACCGATGTCCCTGATGGCATTGCCGAGTTTATCCTTCAGCGAAGGCGTTGGCTGAACGGGTCCTTCTTTGCCGCAGTTTATGCCGTGGCACATGTCTATCAGCTGTGGCGTAGCAACCACAGCGCTATACGCAAATTCATGTTCCTGATCGAATTCACATACCAGACCATCAACATGCTTTTCGCTTGGTTTGCAATTGGCAACTTTTTCCTGGTTTTCCGGCTTTTGACGGCCTCCCTTGGCTCACCAGGGCCATTGGGGAGAGCTGGCACGGTTTTGGGCGTCATCTTCGAGTTCATCTACCTGGGCACACTTCTTTATTGCTTCATCTTGTCTATGGGTAACAGACCTCAAGGTTCCAAGAAGTCTTACCTGGCAATGGTCATCTTTTGGTCTATTCTCATGATTTGGCTGACCTTTGCTTCGATCTTCCTGACGGTGAAGTCGATTCAGACGGAGGTCAACCAAAAGGACTTCAGCTTCTCGACCATCTTCAACAATAGCACCTTCTTCGGCCTGATTGTGTCTCTAGCGAGCACATACGTCCTCTGGTTCGTGGCAAGCTTTCTGTTCTTCGACCCTTGGCACATGTTCACGTGTTTCATCCAATACATCGTCCTCACGCCGACTTACATCAATGTCCTCAACATCTACGCATTCTGCAACACCCATGACATCACGTGGGGCACCAAAGGAGATGACAAGGCGGAAAAGCTTCCGAGTGCAAACGTCAAGCCTGGTGGGATGGTTGACGTGATGATCCCCCAGGATGACGGTGACTTGAATGCCCAGTACGATGCAGAACTGAAGCGATTTGCGACAAAGGCAGAAAAAGAAGTCAGGAAGCAGAGTCCAGCTGATAAACAAGAGGACTACTACAAGTCTTTTCGAAGCAACGTAGTCACCGCCTGGATGATCACGAACTTCATTCTCGTGGCCGCCGTCCTGAACATTTCGGGTTTCGAAAGAATCGACACTGGCGACACTGCACAGCAGAACTCGACTATTTATTTGGCGGTCATTCTGTGGTCGGTGGCGGGTTTATCGCTCTTTAGGTTCACTGGCGCATGCTGGTTCCTGATTGTACGGATGGTAAGTCGATCGAAGTCTTTCGCCCGGTCTCTGACTAACTTTACGTAGTTCCGTGGGGTATGATTTCGCGGAGAGCCCACCATATTTGAGAATGCACGAGCGGCATTTTGGATGACGACTTGAATCAAGTATACGACGGTTGGGCGTTTCCAGAGATACACTGTATGTATACGTTGGGCAACGATAGTGCTTCATAATGGCGAGATACCCCGGAGAACTCGGATGAGCGTTTGAACACTAGGAGTTCTTGACGACCTGGACATGGAATTGGAAAAGAGAGCCTTGAATAGATCGTAGTTCACCTGTTTCCATTGCAAGGATTGGTTGTTTATCGCTTGTTCACCCGCTTGCCCGCTTTCTATGTCCACCCTGCGGTCTATAGTCGTCTATATTCCAGGCAATCTGAGCCCAAACTTCATTTCCATCATTATATCCACGTCAGGCCTTCGACCAAACGCAGAGCCCGATGCCACCACATACCAATATCATGCCTAGCCAGGTATCTCTCGAAATGAGTTTGCCCTCGGCGTACCATTCGCCCAACACCGTGAAGAGAAATGCCAGAGAATTGGTGATGGGCACTGTAAGAGACAATTCTGTGCTTACCAATCAGTTCATGAAACATTAGGTAATGCCCTGGCATCAGCGCGCATCCGGACAGGGAAGATCGATGTGATGAGCTTGAGAACAATAATAGATCGCGATGTTCGGCAAATGCCATGAACTGTACATACCGGCTTGCCCAACCAACAAGAAGAACCAGATACTGCCTGTCAGATTTAGAAGCAACGGAACGGCGTATGTAGGCGTTTTCAAGAGTCCCACGACGGTGAAGAAGGCCTTCGCAACCTGTCGCGAGATCCACGATCGGCTGGAGTCGGTGATCGAGGGATGGGATGGAGCTGTGTAGTTGACGGCGGCTTTGCGGATGAAGGGTGTCGTGAAGCCCCAGCAGATGCCAACAAGCAGGAAAGAGAGAATGTAATTGAAGGGAGAGGGAGTCGGGGGAGCCGAGCCGTCTGCAGAGGAAGACATTGGTCGAGAGATGTGAACGGGATGGTTAGTGAAGGGATGGTCATGTTCAAAGGTTTAAAGGGGAAACCCTTACCGTTAAGGTTGCGACAATAGACGAGCACGTGATGATGCTCCAATGGCAAGTCGCCGATCTGTGATCGACCGTAGATCTTACGGTGAAGCATCCTATTTTTGAGCATGGCACGCAACATCACGGCAAAGCATCCCGCTCGCCCACACCTTGCATCCCTCTATGATTGGATTCACAACTGATCATCAGGCCTCCAGTGCTGACCCGATACGATTGTGCCTGTCATGTCGCGCATGGCCGCTAGGCACACGTGTAGGGATGCCTACCGAGCGAGTATTATTCCATTCCTCGATGTCCATTCAGACTTAAAAAGGTTTGGCCTCCCATCCGAAGCGGGCCTTGATAGATCAAGACACCCTTCACTCTCCGGCTACGAATCTAGGTCTCGAGATAGTGATGACCGTGGACAAGACTGTACACCATGACGAACTTACTGGAATGCACGCAGAAGAGGTCGAGGCGCCATACTCCCAAGGTTCGCACGGGCTGCGTCACTTGTAAAGCAAGAAAGATACGTTGCGACGAAAAGAAGCCGAGCTGTGAGAGGTGCACCTCGACCGGACGTCGATGCGAGGGCTACGTCGCCCTAAGACCTCTTCTTTTCGAAATACCCCAAGACAAGGACGAACGATGGGGGTTCTACTACTTCCGGGACAGGACTTCAAGGCAACTCCTCAGCTTCGCCCATCACGATTTCTGGAACCGTCTGGTTATTCAAGCTGGCTATTCTCGTGGTATCGTCCGGCACGCGCTAGTCGCCATTGCTTCCTATCACGAGAGTGTCGACACTCCCGACCATGTTCGACAGCTGGACCGCCAGCAGTTTGCCATCTGCCAGTATAACAAGGCAATCAAAAGCCTCCTCGACGCTGGAATTCACAGCGATGTTGAGGATGTTCTGTTAGCGTCGATTTTGTTCACCTTTTTTGAAAATGTTCGAGGGGCCTTGCCAAATGCCCTGGTTCACCTACATGCGGGATTACGCGTTCTGTCCGAATGGCGATCTTTGCATAGCTCTTGGGACAATGTCAAGCCATCGAATCAGCTCATTGGGCAGCATCTTGCGCCTATCCTATGTCATCTCCAGAACACAGCTGCCACCTTGATGCCGATAAGATTAGACCAGCCGCGGATATCCTCCATCGGCCCGCCAGAATGTTTTCAATCTCTCCAAGAAAGCCACGTATTCTTTGACAAGATAGTTCATGGTCTCTGCGCCCGTCTCCAGTCCGTCCACAAACAGGACACTTGGCCTTATGGTGATGAGAGTACCATTCATGAAGGACGGATATTGCTATGGGCATGGTATAATTCATTCAGCAAGTTTCTCGGTAAGGGGAGCCATAGCGTCTGCTTTTGCTTCACTCCCTCATCTCTTTGCCACTTCAACATTGGAGCCTGCTATCTTGAGATGCAATTCTTGTCCGTCATGATCCGACTCGAGTCAAAGGTACACCGATCTGAAATGGTGTTTGACAACCATGTGGCTGATTTTCAAGTCCTCCTCGACATAACTACCCGGCTCGCCGATATGCTCTACACGGAAGAGGCTGCTGGCGCTGACACGTGTCTTGGCTTCCCGATAGAATACCTTGCCATAGCTTCCTTCATCGCTTTGCGTTGTCGGCAATCGATCATCCGCAGGGGCGCCATCGCTTTGATGCGATCTCACCCTAGGACAGAAGGCATTTGGCAAAACAAAGTGGCAGCTGACCTTGCAGAATTTATCGTGACTCTCGAAGAGACAGGGAGCACTGTCTATGATGCCCCCAGCTGTCATGATATACCTGAGAACAGTCGAATTCAGCTCCTCGCCAGCAATTTTCTCTTGTACGATCAGAGAAGCGAAACCTTTCAAATGTAAGCCAACATTCGCGTGGCTTGCTTTCATGCCTGACTGACGATGGCAGTGCTCACGACGTCTCATCTCCGGACCTGATCAAGATCAGGGTTATCCGCTCTGGGATCAGGCCAGCAGACCAAGGCTTTGAGACATTCTGGATCGACTGTCGCCCCGAACGGGGAATGGGCATGGGCACAACCTACCTCCCTGACGATGTATCAGGCCTCTTCCCGCAAACTCTCCAGACCGAGTCGAATCTGTGGCGACAAACCGACGGTGGAAACTGGGCAGAGTACCTCGAAAGGTCTGCCGCGTCCCATATCTGCGGAAATGTCAAAGGGATCCAGGGAGGACACCAGTAGAGAAAGGACCATATTTGGAGGTACACCAGAGGGTCAGCCAACCGAACATCATAGCCCGCGACCAGACACGCAACCTGCTGGACACTTCTGTGTCTAAACATGGAAGACTTGAAGTGCTCGTAAGGGCCACATTTGTACTACGGTTTTCGCAGACCAGACTCCTGCACGCGAGGACATTCGAGTAAATGTGGACAGGTTTTCGGACCGGTTCATCGCTCCCTTGACGCCTTGGTGTCAATTCTCGACTGCGATGGTATGCAGGATTAACTACCAGAAGTCACCATTGAGATCTGGCCAATTTACAACGGATCCTCTCGGAGGGTGTCAGCCATGCATTTATGTCGCCTAGTATCCACCTCCAAAGGCTTGTGGAGCTCACGTGATGGCTGTCTCCACCATATAAAACTCACGAGGCTGGGGCACAGCTGAGGCATGGTAATACATTGGCCCTGCAACATCAAGGTCACAAAAGGTCGTTTCTGACGTGGCATGGCATTTGATGATTGCCGTGGATGACTTGGTCTCACTTTAATCATCATACCAAGACTTATGAGGGCGAAGCGCTCGATTTAACAAGCGTGGCGGTTCCGACATGGCCCAGGCTCCCCAATTTCCCAGCCTCGTCAACTTTCCCATGTGGCTGGGAATACAATCTCCAAAATTGCCTCAGAGGACTCGCACGCAACCTACAACGATCACCAAGCACTGTCCCAAGTCTGCCCTTCCTCTTCAGAAGTGCTCAGCTTTCTCTTTTCCCACACTAAAGCCCATCCCACACTAAGGTCATCATCCATCTCATTGACATACACACACACACAAACACACACACATACACACACACATACACACACACATTTCGACCTCACCCATCATCTCGCCTCTCTCTCTCATCATATTCACCCATAAATAATGCCGACCATCCTCACTCCGCAGGGATGGGTCAAAGTTGCACCCCCTCCCCCTCGCAAACGACCCGTCAACCACGATCCGACCGCCGTTCTTCGAGGGCCCCTGGCGTATCTGGCTTGCCAGAGGAGCAAATCGCCCAACATCAACGTTGGCGGCGGCGGGAACGTCAAAGGCCGCGCTGCGTTCCCCTACGATCTGAGTGCGAGCCCCGAGAAGTTGAGACGACAAGGCGAGGTAAACGCAAACAGGAGTGTTTCTGCTCCGGTCATGCACGGCGCTCTTCACCCAGGCGACGACGAGGTGGAAGTAATTCCTGAACCAGAGACCAGATTGCCTCCGCCACCGCCGCCATCATCACCACCGAGGTCAATAGAACAGCAGTCCAGGGCCAAATCCAGGTCGAGTCCTAAATCGCGAGCATCGTCTCGATATCACGACGACCACGACCACGACTATAACGACCACCGCTCCCGTCTCAGCGCCAGCACCCATTCGCGTTCGCACTCCAGCTCGCACTCCAGTTCGACCTCTGGCTCGAGTTCAAGTTCTGGTTCGAGCTCCAGGTCCAGCGCGAGCTCAAGATCCAGCGCGTCCAGCGCCCCGTCAATAAAGTCTTATCACAGACCGGCTCCTCCGTCTATCAAAGCCAGGCCTCCTCCTGCTGCGTCCATGCCGATGCCCATGGGCATGCCTGCCGCGGACCCGAGAATCCCCTATTACTCGGCGGTGCCCACGTACGATCCTTACGCGGTGCCGCCGCCGATGCAGCACCATCCCATGCCAGCAGTGCCACCGACCCCGGTGTCCGTGCCAATGGCAACAGGTGGTGCGAGAAGTCTTTCGTATAGCTGGTACAACGCCACCACGCCGTTGAAGCTGTGAGGATTCATCCATAGGGTATGGGTCGGATTTATACTGTGTGACCTCGGTTTCTTATCTTTCGGAGGGATTTGAGATCAGATTGACGAGCGGGGCGTTTAGGGGAACCGATGATGGCTTTCGCGCTCCAAGTATTTCATTGGTAGCTGAGCTGAGCCCTGTTTGGGTGATGTTTGTGTGCTCGGAATGCTGATGACAGGAAGCTCTTTCTTTCTGTCTCTCTGGCCAACGATATTTGATATATTGTATTTACTAACGACTATTGTCTATTTCCATGTGGGCTTGCTTAATAAATGTATGTTTGCAGTTTCCAAAGCATCCATTCTCCTTCTCTTGGAATAATGAACCAACACTCTCGTTCCACCGACCTAGGTATCTTTGTAAAAATTAAAATGGGATAAAAAACCATATGTCAATTAAAGATCCCTGCCCTCCCATCTCATGTATGATATGTGTATACCGTTCGTTGCGCTCATCAATGCCCAAAGTGCCCCCCTTCCCCAGTCATTGCGTAGTCGTGTAACGTTCGTGCGTGCATACATACACCAATTCACCTCCTTCTCCTCCTCCTCCTTCTACTGTTTACATAAAAAAAGGCTCCTGCAGGCCGTTTTTGGGGGGCCTTAATCGTCGTCCTCCACCACGACCACCTTCTCCCTCCTCGTCTCCCGCACCGTCCTGGTCTGCCTGACGGGCGGGGGTCTGATGAAGATCTTCTGGGTCTTGGTGACCATGACCCGGGTGCCGGGGTAGTTCCCGCCGCCGACAAAGGTGAGGTTCGCCGCGGGTCTGTTCGGGTACGGGTCGATAACGACCACGGGGGGCTTGCGCCGCCGCGGCGAGTGGCTGTGGGAAGACGAGGACGAGGAGCTGGCGTAGTACCGCCGCGTGCGGTAATTGCGGGAGCAGCAGATACACAGGAGGACGAGCAGGAGGACGCCGAAGAAGGCGCCGAGCACAATGCCGCCCACCACGCCGGGGGCCAGGCCCTTGCTGTGGTGGGCGACGACGATGACGCCGGCGGGCGAGGTGGTTACGATCGGGATCACGCTCGTCGTGGTGGGCGTGACGATGATGGGGGTCGGACACCACGACGACGATGACGTGGTGTAGGAACCCCACTCACAGTCGCAGTCCGTCGTCGTGGTATAGCTCGTAAACCAGCCTGTTTGCGTCGTGTAACTTGTCACCCATCCCTCTGGCGTTGACGACGTGGTGGGTGTCCATTGCTGCTGCTCGCTGGTACTCGTCGTGTAACTGATCCACTGGCTCTGCGCGGTTGTCGATTCTATGACGGCCGGGTACACCGAGTCCTGGCCGGGCGACCGCTGCTCGATCAGCGGCATGGAGAAGGGGGAGGGGGAGGAGAATGAGGCGAAGGTGGTAGTCCAATTGGGGGATTAGGATGGCGATGGTGGTGGTTGTTCACGCGATGGGAGTTACATCTGCGTTAGAGGACAACATCGGGTGTGAAGCGAGAATAGGTTCGAGAGGAGAAAAAGAGCAAACCACCCAAGCCTGCAGTTCGCAACTCAGCTCGTGGGATAGATAGGTAGGTGGTGGGTGGTGGGTAGTGGGTGGTAGATTGAGCGAGCGAGAGCTGACGAACGCCCGGGGTTTTGAGAGACACGCATGCATGATGCATGTCCGCCATGATATTTTTGGTAGTGTAGTTCTTCATCGTTCGGTCCTTCGCATGACGATGGCGGCAGGCTTGTGTTCGCCAACCTCCTCCGTTTCGTTTCTGGCGCTGCTGTTTTCGATCAAATGCAGGCGGCTGGAAAACTTTTGAAAGGAGGGGCAGGGAATTGCGTACATACACTGCGGACGAGGTAGCTAGGTGAGGCTAGTAAGGCTAAAGCTATGGGCACGTAGAGGACGAATCGGCTCCAGTTAAAGCTCCCGGCGGTTGGGG